TTGTCTCCCCTAATGCGAATGTCCCCCCATCCCCCATGTCCATTCCTGTACAGTTAGCACGGCTACTATGTTGGTGGCTTGCGATACTACGGACAAACTTGCGCGTGGGTGTAGCATCGCGCTACCCTCCGCCTCGCCTCGCCTCGCTTCCGCCTCGCCTTGCTTTGTGACGCCGTGTGCCCCCTGTTAGACCAGCCAGTTGGTAATGTCACCTACTGTGTACGGAACCCTTCCCCTCCTCCCTCCCCCCCCCTAAAAACCTGCGATCGGCATCTAGGTCTGCCTAGTCCGGACACCACATGTAACCCTGGGAGGAACATTACCAGATGCGCGGATTCGCCCCGGGGCCGTGGTTGACGAGCGCATCTATCGGTGTCCAGACTCAGATTTCGCCCACACCATCGTTATCTCGCACTGTACCTTGCAGCCCCAAGGATGAGGGGGCAAACCGTTGACTGGTCTTACATGTGTCCCCGCCTCCTCTGCCTACGCCCGAAACGAGTGACCAGTTCGTTCTTGTCACCTCCACTTCGTCAGAGTGTGTACTGCAGGATCGAAGCAAGGGAGCAAGGAGGGAAGTCTCCGGCGGGAAGGATCCAGTGGCTGATCTTGCATCGAGTCGTGTGGTGTAAGTGTCTGTGTGATCTCTTTGCGGGGTCTGGGATAGTACTTTGGGAGGGGGGGACAGACGTCAGTAAAGCCCAGCAGTGTGGGCGTGTGTTGTCATGTTCGATAGTTGGTTGGCCGCCCGGCCAGTGATGCAATCTGGTGATGCAATCCTCTCCTACCCACCATACCGCATCCAAGACCGATCCAACAATGCTTGTCTAGATTTGAGACCTCCCGTAATTTGCTTGACCCAAGTGGCTATTACCAGGCGCCCATGAGTCTGGGCCTGTTTGGGTTTGATCAAGGATCGCCGATCGTCTTGCCTCCATCAATATATCATGTATCTCGGCCTGTTAGACCCACGTCTAGGTCGGTATAAGTCGAAGCTACTACGTAGCACTCCGCAGTGTGGTTGGTTCAGGCCCTGTTGTCTTGGCTCTTGTCGTCTCAACCTGAATCTTCCCCCCCACGATAATCGATCTGTCATATTTCCGGTTCCCACCTCAGACACAACCAACGCTGCACCGCAAATCAAACCCTCGTCCCTTGCCTCCCACCAAGTCACATTGCCCGCCCTAGGCGCAACCCCATCTCCCACGGAGGTCCTGGTCCTCTTTTTTGGGCGTCTTCCCCCCCCGGCTCTACGCGCAAACTCGGGTCGCCATTTTGGGTTGCAACCCATCATCTTGCCTCGCTGTCCCCCCCACAGACCGGCCCGCCGCAGAGATTTTTCAGATGAGATCCCGCACCGGTGATAACAGGTCGTATTTGCTAAGCCAGGGTTTTGTTCAGCTTGACGCAGGAATGCTACGAAAGGGACTAAGAGGTGTTAAGCGGCAACATGTATCAGTGCCTTTTGTATCCTAGTCTAGCCCCGTGCTCGGTCTCGTTCCGCTGACAAAGAGGTCACGGTTCGTAATTTCGATGCTACGTAGTAGTTCCCGACCGATCATCGGCTTGGCTCTGACCTGGATCCCGGATTCAGCGTCGCGCCGGCGCCGCGACCACGGGCGGGAAGACAACGACGGGCACACGGCTAATTCTGGGGCAGATTGTCGGAGACGCGGCGCTGCCCGCTGCTGCTTTTTGCTTTTTGGGCTCCGGCCGTTTTGACTTGCCCCCCTCCCGTTAACAGGTATAGTTTTTCTTATTTTTTATTTTTATTTATTTATTTTTTCGGAGGCCACCGCCGCCGTGTCACTGGGAAGAGCGGGAGCACGGGAGCTAAACGCCCTGCCCCTCTTGGGCTTGGTCTTTACAGGTATCCGGGGGAGAGGCAACCAGAGACACAAAACCGGTGCCGGCTGGTCGAAGTGGGTGGCGTAACTGGCAGTTGGTGTGCCTGTGGTTGTTTCTGGACTGATTGAGGCCAAAACGACCGAGAGGCGCTTGGGCGGGGTGTCAGCGCATCCTTGCTTTTACTCGCCAAGCTATTGGGATGGGCGTGGCATTGCTTCGTCCATGTCATTCTGACGACCAGTCACCTCAGCAAAGCAGAGATAGCAAAGGTCTCGAGTGACACACGCCCGCCACCACCAATTTCGATTACGAGGACTGAGGAACTTGATGAATCAGAGGACGAGGAGCGGTGATACAGGACCATCGATAGGCCCATCGGGCTGAGCTGGCGGTCCATGTCTCGACTCGATGGCGTTGGGTACTGCCAATAGCTAGTTTCGACAATGAAGTTTGCTCCCACCTAGTATGCGGAGGTGCGGGCCCACGGTTCAATGGGCTAGGCCTTGTGCGGGCGGGTTGATCATTTGATTAGTATTCAACTCCATCCCAATGCAACGCTGGCCGTATCGAAATTGGAATCTGGGGTTTCGTGAGAGAAGGCTTGCGTGCCGTGCCAGAAGCTGCAGCCGCATCTCAAGTCGGAGGCGGTTCGTGCAAGGGTCTCGGGTCTCGAAGTTGCTGCGTCGCGGGACGGAAACAGATTGGGCTAAAATGCATACGAAATAATGCGGCGTCGCAATCCAGGCCCTTCGTCCCGTTTCCCCATTTGCTGCAATCTTCCCGTGCCTCGTAATGCCAAACCGCGGCCCCGGGACTTGCCGCCTGCAGTAGTCGTGGCTTGCCTAATGCGCATCACGATGTTGCATCGCCGCTTCGATCCAATAACGGCCAGGGCCCCTCGACCAAAGAAAGAAAGAAAGCAAGCAAACAAACCCGCAGGGCAAGCCCATCTTGGAAACCCAGGCAGATGGGCTGCAGCGTCCGAGCGCACAGCTGGTGGTGATCGATGCATCGTGGCGTGGACATTGGCTGGTTCGAAGAGAGACATATGGAGCTGGGGGCGTTTGAGAGAGCCCAGACGCCTTAGCACCCCCGCGGTTGAGCCACAGAGCGCCCTCCTTGCGTGCCCTACCTACCTACCTAGGTAGCTGCTACTGCACCTAAGACAGCGGTTCAGCTGCCACATCGCGGGCCATCTGTCATCCATCCGCACGCTTCATGCCGCCGCCACCATTTGAGGCGGGAGAGAAATGGCCCGAGACTGCGGTCCACCGCCACGGATTGGATCGCTGGCCGCAATGAACTACTGTAAACACACAGACCGTGCACATCTCGGCCCAGCAGCATGGCTGGCACTTGGCACCCGTCATTCAAGCGCGAGCAGACGCAGGCGCAGCCTCTGGGCCCCTCAGGAGCAGTAGATACTCCTCCTCGCATATTAGCCCGCGCTGGCGTATAAGATATGTGACAGATTTCAGGTACGGACTCGCCTCGCTCAGCGCGACACGCCTGCGGGCCACACAGACGTCGGTCTAGGCGCTCGATGGCCATCCCACTGGTCGGTCGCGGGCATCTCGGCCATCTCATCCCCATCTCGATCGCACAATCCAGCTGTCAGATCTCAGTTTCCCCTTCCCTCCCGTGTCCCTGGTCGTCATCATCAACACCCTCCCACTACTGTACGTACGGGTCACAAGGGTCAATCAAATGCGTGCAGCTACCTACCTACTCCGTATCCTTGGCGGTATGCTTTGCCACTTAGGTACCTACTTTCCTCTTCGTCCTAGGAAGTCAGCACAGTCCAGCTGCGTGATAATTATAGACGTACTCCCTTGAGGATGTGTACCTATTTCTGATGCTGCCCAGACTCTCTAACTTAATGACAATGTCGCAAACCCATAGACTTGATCCTTGTAGCCTGCAGCACCTGTGGCCAGAATGCTCCCTCATCCCCCCATAAACACCACCTGTGCGTTGTTTGCGTGAGATACACCCTCCCTCCCTCATCTCGCCCCATCTACTCGTAGGCCCATCCATCTGGCTCACCGACGCCTCACTCTGCCACACCCTGCTACGCCATGCCACATTATGCCTCTGCCACACTATGCCACACTATGCCCGCACTATGGCTGCACCTAGTTGCGGCAACCTCCACAATCTGACGGGTCATGGCCTTCCCGAACGGAATCGTCCCCCGGCGACGCCATCCCTACCATCGCCCCGATCACGACCCTCTCCTCCTCCAAATCGTGCATTTGTCCCGTCGCAAGTCCAGCCAGAATGGAATGGCTCCCTCCAGGGATCATTTGTCCAGTGCACGTCCTCTATCCGCCGTCATCTCGTCTTATACCACTTCTATCTTTTCTCTCTTCTCTCTTCTCCTCTACTTTCCTCTCCTCTCGTGGGGTTCCCTCCCCTACCCCCGTACCACAACACTGCTCAACTTCTATCCTAATCCAACCCTCCCTTACGATACGTACAGCGCTCGTTTCGTCATTTCTCATATTTCCTCATGCGCTGGGATGCTACCAGGCGGGGTGTAGCAATGGGCCTCGGTCCCGAGACACGGTCTGTGGCTTCTGTACCCCGTGTCGCTGGACGAGAGACGCCGCCGATCTTGATCTTTTCCCAGAGCCTGGATATCGAGGAAAGCAAAAATTGACAGTCCTGGGACCGGGGCGTGCCACCATCACCACCCCTCCCTCTCTCCAGGGTAAACACCACGGCCAGGGTAACACGGCAGCCAGGGCAAGCTCCGCGATAGGACAGCAAGCGCTCCCGAAATCCCGGGGCCATGGTAACGAAACTGAGGTCACCCAAACACCAGAGACGACATACACCGTCCAGATGCGGCCCTGGGTTGACCTCTCTCTCTCTCTCCGACAACGACGACGACGGCAACGACAACCACTATGCGCCGCCGCGACCTACGTTTGGCGGGCTGGCCCTATCATCTCTTCTTACTCAGCATTTCTCGACATCATCTCGCAATACGAACACTGAAACCGCCCCCGAAAGTCCACCCCCTATCCCAAGATCATCAGTTCCAGACCCTGAGAGTTGCAGCCGTTGTTTTTGTGAGATACGACCAGAGAAGGCCTGGAGCGTCGAAAAGGAGGCTAGCATTGAAAGGAGTGCCCGAGATCCATCGGCCGCAATGGACCACCCATTTGCGTTGCCGTCTGCAAGATGGACGTTCACTCGAGCCCGCTGATGACCGCCAGGCTACGCGGGACGCAAGGGGTTGTTGGCAGTCTCCCTGGTCCAAATTGGGTGGGCCACTCGCAGACCAGCAAGCCAGCTAGCCACGAACACCTCCGGCTCTTGTGAGTCGTCGGCTCCTCCTCGGTTCTGCGCCCCTATCATTGGCGAGTGCTATCGCCGATTGCCATCCTCTTGGATGCGGTGTGGCGCGTGGCGGTGCGGATGGCAACCCTCTCTCTGGTGACGTTTGGCGAAGGCTGGAGTGGGTGGCAGTCGTGGGGTCCATCGAACCAGGGTGTTGGGCCAGGTGAGCCAGGTGTCGAGGTGACATCGCGCCGAGGATCGACCCAGCAGTCGGGCGAATCGACTTGGTCACATCTCCCCTGCGTCGAGATTCAGCTGTGTGGATGTCTCCTCTTGTCTCTTGCAACCTCGATGAGTTTCCCGATTCCCAAACCCCTGGCAGTCCACGGTCATCTTGAGCCCTGGCTCCCTTGCTTGGCCGACCAGGCCTCCCCCCCTCCCCAACTCTTACCTCGCTCTCCATCAGTTGTTTCCTCGCCTTGTTGTTGCAGCTCTTACTCGTCCAGTACACCCTCCCGGATCGCCTTGAGGGACGCCCACAAACCCAGGCCTGAGCTCCCCTAGTCTATTGGGGGGAAAGCGAGCTTGCAGGGTGAAGCACGCAGGGTGAAGCGAGCAGGGCGAAGCGTCCCAGCTGGTGGGATTCTAGGTCTGGGGAGTCCAATACCCAACGCCCTGGTGCGTCAGCGTCGGCTCGTCCCGCCCTCAATTCGCAAGCTCTACCCTTTGAGGTCGTCGGCCGCAATCCTTCATTTGGGGTCGATCATCCGCCCACTGCACGCCCACTGCACGCGGCCGCCAGGGGGCCAACTGTTTTCGGGACTGGAGACGACTCCATGCTCGTTTCTGTTTTCTTCTTTGGGCCATTAGGCGTAGAGGATGCGATGAATCGAGCCTTGGGGGTCCTTCGGGTCCCGCTCGATCATGCTTGCTTTCTCAGAGCCTGTCATCGATCGGGACGCTACGGGTCCCTCACCACCACGATACCCTCCAACCCCCAGGCCGTTTCTAGGTTCCTCTCCCACATACTCCTCTACAATGATACTTCGCCTCAACCCTGGAGTCTTTCACGATTGCCTGTAGGACCGGGTTCGTTGCATCCCGTCACAGAATTTAACATGAAATTCAGGCTTAGTGGAGATCCTTCTCAGTTTGAGGTAAGAGGATTCAATCACATTGCATGCATCCCAGAGGCACGTCGCGTTAAGGTGTTTCCTGTCACTTTTCAGAGTCCGCCCTGGAGGCCTGTGCCTATTCTAGAGCAGTCGTCGAAGTCGATGCTTACTCCATCCACCCGCATGACATGCATTACGTGGGATCCTCCACGGGTCTGAGCCGAACCGATGCGGCGTAGAGAGTTCTCGCCGCGCACTTGCAGGACGCGATGATCCTCCAAGGGGGGCATTTACAACATGTCGCAAAACCATTACTACCCTTCGACAGCCTTGCCGTGACCATTGCCGCCGAGTCTTCGGAGATCGCCTCTCTGCAGTAGCAAAGTGGGCAACTTAGGGCTCAGTTCGGCGGGCTGCGAGAGCGTCGGCCAAAGGCGAAGAAGTAAAGAGAATCTTCACCTGTGAGAGCTCGTGTGCGATACTGCCGTCTAGTTTTGCAGGGGCCTCCGTTCCGGATTTTTTTCAACGACGGGTCCCGACCGCACGCGCCGCGACGGGCGGTCCCTGCTGCCTTCTTCTCCATCACTCCCCTCGCAATTCTTAACAGTGGGAATGGACTGATTCTCGTCTAAGCCTGGGGCGGGAAGTGGAAGAAAGGGCCTCAGGTCGGCGTGTGCATTGCGCGGGGCCCTTGAACGCCCGCGCGGTTGGCGAAGGGCGAAGAATAAGACCGACAATACCGGCCTCTCTGGGGTTTGTTGGAAGGAAGTCAACCGATGCGCTGTTTTACCCCGGGTGACAGACAGGGCCAGGATGATATTTTCATGGCCTTGTCTTGTCCCGGGCTCAAACTACAGACTAGAGTCCTTGCCCTGGCACTCGTTCTTCCTGGAGTACCTGGTTCCCGGGGACGGGAACGGGGACTGTGCGGAACGCTTGCCCGCGTGTGTTTTGTGATGTGATGTGATGGGTTCTCTTGCTTGTGCTCGTGCTCGTGCCTGTACCTTTGCCTGTGCCAACGCTTGGACTTGAGACTTGAAGGGTTTTGGCTGTTCGACGGAGATCGCGATCAACGGGCGAGACCGGAAGAGATCTTGGTGTCGTTCCATCTGTGGTGTGATTCCCCGGTTGGTTTTCGTCTCCGGGAGAGCAATTGAGATCCGGCCGACCGGCTTTCGACGGGTTTGTAAGTGTTGTCTACGGATTAGCAAGCAGTCAATGAGAATTTTGCAGTGACAGGTTCGCCGGTTTCGCGATGAGAATAACGAATGTTGGTTGTTCCGGTGCTGCGGCGGACATGTGAAGAAAACTCCGGGCTCGGAAGTGGGAAAGTATCTGTCTCGAGATCCAGGGTACGGTCCGGTATCTCAATTGGGAGTACTTTGTGAAATCATGCCTTGAGAGGACCTGACGTTTCGGGGGTTGTTTTGTTGTTATTTCTTGTGTCTGTGTCGTGAACCATGATGGTGTTCGGTGAACACGGCAACGAGGGAATTGACTCTTCACTGCCGAACAACCAAAGCGCATGTTCCCATGCGTCAGGGTTAGTTTGCATTGATTGTGTTGAACTATCCCGGTCCAATGGCTGGGGATCATTGAGTTGTGTTGATATTTGATGCCGTGTCTTCGTCCTTGGTCATCATGGATTGCCGAGGTTACGGTGTTTTGGTGTAGGGTAGCTGCAGTTGCACCACGATGATTTTTATCACTGCTACGCCTGCCCTGTGTGAGGTTGTGAAGTTAATATGGATTTCACCTGATGAGATCTTGAGATTTGATTTACGTCTCTTGTTCAAGTTGCTTTCCGAAACGTGATGATTAGATCTACAAATGGTTTCGTCATTCAAGTTGAATATCCAACGTGGGTTACTTCTTTGAATAGAGGTTCACTATTTACCGATCATGAACAACGCAACAACCCGACGACTGTGACCAGAACACCACGGGGTGTTCACTCTGGAACGAGAAGTATAAATTCAACCACCAGCCACCCTTCTTACTCCCATTTCCCCAAACTTCTACGACTACCACCCATACCAAACTGTTCAACAAGAGTCACATCCTTCAAAATGTGCACAGAAACGACCGTGATATCGACTTGCCGGAAGTGCAAGTGCGTGGTGGATATCGAGACGAAGATTATCACGTGTGTGGATGCAAAGACGAAAGAACCCGGTTGGATTGACTTGTGTCGTATCCGAGGGTACCAAATGGCGATGGATGTGCCGGAGGATAACTGCGACAATTGTATCAATGACACCAAGAACAAGGCAACGAAGTAAATATGGCTTCCTCAATACTGTCGCTGGGCGGGACTAAGAGGTCTCGGGAAGTGGTATGTAGAGAGGCCAAGCCCTGCGATTCATAGTTGAGAGCGGACGTTCTGGGTTGATACTTTCGAAATACACTTGGAAAACATAGAAATGATTATATGCAGCTGAATGACCCCGCACGAGTGAAAACATATCGAGACTTGTGTATCCCCTATGGTTTCTCGGGCAGTTGACACCTGACTTGGCTGTGTAAGGGTGGTGACGAGGAAACGCCGACGACGATAGTGACTGGTGAGAGCCTGGGAAGTAACACAATGTCACCCACAGCAGCCGATGATCCTACGATATGACATGAATCACCATTGACCGAGGCCCATAAATAGCTCCGAGTCCCTCCCGCCGGTTCTCACAACCAAAAGCTCCAACACTGTACGTCGATACCATACACACTACAATATCCGACCAACTCTCAGCGCGAAGAGATGTGCAAAACTACTGTCATTCGGCTCGACTGCGAGAATTGCCAGAGGAGGGTTGGCGAGAGCATCCAGACGATCGTGTGCCAGCATAAACAGGCCAGTCGGATCCACCTGTGCGTAGAAACCAAGGTCGATGCCACCCTTTACGTCGAACAAAGCGAATGCGACGTGTGCGCCGAGAAAGCGAGGCAGGAGGCAGCGGAACTAGGTGCCGGCAGTGGTGATTGAAGATTGAAGTATGGCGAGCTTGTGAAGGGGACTGGATAGTAATAGATTGTGAATAGTGGCGATGTTGAGCCAACAGTTGGAGAGTAACTGACTTGGTGAACAATAAAAAGCTATTCATGATGGTGCCATAACCAGCCAAGGGTATCATAACACTCAATAGTGAGATTAGAGAGAAATCAAGTTCCTGTATCGCGTCTAATGGGCCGACCTCGAGAGCCGTCATGTATCGCCCTTCTATACCAAGAACACCAACCAGCCATGATCCCGACGTAGAATTCATTAAACATGTCTTGTCTGCGCCGTTTAGCCAGTCCCCCTAAGCAATCCACCGCGGCAGATAGTACTTGACGTTCTCATAAACCAAAAACGTCACCCATGTCGCCGGCATCACTCTCACCACGCCGGGAACCAGGCCGCGATAGAAGCCTCGTAGTCCCTCCTCAATCCAGATCCTCGCTACCACGCCGCGGAACCCGCGCCCGAACCTCGCTTCCGCCTCGTAGTTCTGCAGCCGGCTCCGTAGCACTTGGTACGGGTACGTCACGGCGCCGGCGACCAGCTTGGCCGCGCTCGACAGTGCGACGGTGGCCTCGGGCTTCATGGGCGCGCTCTCGTCAATGCCGTATAGGTTATGCCGGCGATTGAAGTACCACCGCTTGGCCGGCTCATACACGGCGAACTGCACGGCGCCATGCGACACGCCGATGAGAGAGACGGCGAGGCCGCGGTAGAAGCCGCGCGGGCCCTCGGTAGCGAGGATAGTGCGAGCGCCGGCCAACATGGACGGATACGCGCCGACAGCATGACGATCCGACGACACCATGCGTGTCTTGAGCACCCAGACCGGATTCGTCAGCACGGCAGTCGACGCGCCGGCCAGAGCGCTCGCGGCGAAGTAGTCACCGGGCGACGGGCGCGGGCGGCCCTGGTACGCGGCGAGAGCACGCTCGAAGCGCGACTTGAAGAAGAAGAAGGACGCCCAGCTTGAGGCGTTCCCGACGAGGTTCGGCGTCAGGCCGCGGTACAGCGAGGCGAGCGGGTGCGGGTTGGCCGTCAGCGAGCGCAGCAGCGAGACGGTCGTGGGACGGACTGCCGAGGGCATTGAGTTGCGGTAGACTACACGGAATCCATCGTCAGTCCCTACAAGTCCATCTGGAAATGCATCCAGCCGCGGGGAGTTGCGTACTTTGCATGCGAGTCTTGACAATGTCCAGCGGGTGGACGACTAAGGTGGCGACGGTGCCGGCGCTGAGGCCGGCGAGGGACTCGATAACGGCGGGGGAGAGACCCGCATGGTTGAGGTCGGGCATAAAGTACAGATGGGATTGCAGCTTTTGTCACATCGTGTGATCGGAACAGGAAGAGAGAAGAGAACTCGGCGCGCAATGGCCGACGTGGTTGAAGTCGGCCGTCTCGAATTTTATCGGAGCCCTGTCCCGTGGTGAACTAGCACCGAGCTTCCAGCACCGAGCTTCCGGCGCCGACGTCACACGGACACGCTGCCGTAGTTGGCCGAGACCATTTCATGTAGCCGACTTGGGGACATAAACGGACGAATCGGACGAGGAGCAGGTGTAAAGAATTATGAGTGGCTTTTGTCATTTTAGACGTGCATTTTAGCTTTGCTTTATTTTGCGTGATGATACAGTCATTCGTTCCAATACAGCCAACCCCGCCCAAGCATGCGTCGGATTCCCGGCCATCCATTACCACATGATATCCCAACGCCATGAATGCTGGTGGAGCTGCCCCTGCTCAGATCTTCCCTCAAGATAATGTACACTAGATGGTCCGTCGCATTGTCGATTCTCCACGTTAAGAGAGGGGAGAGAGGAGGCTAGAAACGGGCAGAGTTAGCGGCATGTCATACAACGCCTGGACATGAGCTAGCTGCCAGCATGAGGACCAGCATGAGGACCAGCATGAGGACCAGCATGAGGACAAGAGGCATACCGGATGACGGAGGGTCGGGGGTCGCTGCGGGTGTAGCCTGGTCTCGAGTTAGTGCTGTCGTCTCGACGAGATGCTGTCGTTATTCGAGTGCGTTCATACCGAGGTAGAGGATCAGGGGAAGGTAGCCACTGAGGGACAAGTCAGCAAGAGGGAATGGCGCAGATGGGACGGGAGCATCAAACATACTAGTGGATGGCGACGCGGGAGATGTCGATGAGCTTAGCGATGCGCTCCTAGAGGCCGTTAGCACCTCGAATCTTCAATCTCAAAACCAGCTTCGTGCTCAAGGTATGCGCACCTTGGACTCCTCGGAAAGGGCGAACATGTTGGCGGTCGACGGGGGGAAGGCGAGTACTCGAGACGGTGATGCACCTGGCGACGGCAGAGTCCTCAATGGCGGCGGTGGTCGATGCCGGGGAGCTGAATTCAAGGATCGTGAGGCTGATGAGATGCACCGTTGTTTCGCACGTCTCCAGAAATTTCGGCAGCGCTGCACCGGGACGGACCAAGGAAAAAGTTGAGCTTCCGATCTGCGCGGGCGGCCGGATCAACGTCGGCAAAACCGCCCCGACCTTCTGGCCTTCGCGTCCAACCACCGGCCAAAATTTCCTGGGAAAGCTCCACGACTCCAGGCTCAGAAGCATCACGGAAAAGCTTCGCCTGCGACTTCTCTGCCCTCGACGACAGTTTGCGGTTCAGCACGCCGACGCTTGTTTTAGAGAATTGACACAGAGGCGCTTGCTTCCTCTCACACACCGGCAATATGGCGCAGAACAGGCATTGGTGAGTCTCGCGTCCTTCCCTGCCGGATGCTGATCCACGGCCCATGATGCGTGTAGCTAACAGCGTCCCTAGGGAGCAGGACAAGGAGGCGACCGTCTACATCGGAAACATCGACGAGCGCGCGACGTCGGCCATGGTCTACGAGATCATGCTGCAGATGGGCCCCATCCACAACATCCACATGCCGCGCGACCGCGTCACGCAGACGCACCAGGGCTTCGGCTTCGTCGAGTTCCGCACGCCCACCGACGCCGAGTACGCCGCCAACGTCATGAACGGCGTCAAGCTGTACGGCAAGTCGCTGCGCGTCAACAAGGCCAGCGCCGACAAGCAAAAGGCCGCCGAGGTCGGCGCCGAGCTGTTCATCGGCAACCTCGACGCCATGGTCGACGAGAAGATCCTCTACGACACCTTCAGCCGCTTCGGCCCCCTGCTGACCCTGCCCAAGGTCGCGCGCGAGGAGAGCGGCGCCAGCAAGGGCTTTGGCTTTGTCAGCTATGCCGACTTCGAGAGCAGTGACGCCGCCATCAACAACCTGCACGGCCAGTACATCCTCAGCAAGGAGGTGTCGGTGCAGTACGCCTTCAAGAAGGACGGCCGCGGCGAGCGCCACGGCGACGAGGCCGAGCGAGAGCTGGCCTCGCAGGCCAAGAAGCGCAACATCGCCCCCGAAGCACAGCCTGTGCCCCAGGCCTTCCTGCAACCGCCGCCCTCGGCCGCGCCGCCAGCTCCTGCCGGCTTCGACCCGTCCGCCATGGGGATGCCTCCCATGGGAGCACCTCAGCAGGGCATGCCATCCGGCTTCGCACCTCCTCCCCGGGGACCTCCTTCGTACAACGCCGGAGCGCCACCCCACGGAGTCCACCGAGGCTCGGCTCCTCTCCCCCCGGCGCCGTCCGGCCTGCCAGCGCGACCGCCTCAGGGTCAAGCCGGATTCACCAACCCTGCCGACTTCCACCCAGGAAGCTTCCGGCCTCCGAACGGAGCTGCACCTCCCCAGGGCTTCCCAGCAGCTCCTCCTGGATTTCCCACTCCTCCAGGTGCTTCTGGCACTCCTCCTGCTCCTCCCGGCTTCATGCCCCCTCCCGGCTTCCAGCCCCCCCCTGGATTCCCCCGTCGGTGAACATGACCCCCTTGCACCCCCATACCCTCATAGACATCAACGTCAACATCACATCGGGTTCTTAGGAGCCGCGAAAATATCAGGGCTCACCGGACTCAATTCGAGTCGTCAACTAAAATTAACTAGGCCTTTTAACGGGGCCAAACCAAGCGATCTCAAGTCGCATCTCTCTAATTCTCCACACCCCAACAAAGATGAGACCACTCAATAATGCGGTCAGGTATCGTACAGCCCTCATATATCCCCAGTCTCTGGTATACAAATCGTCAAAAATGTTCCTTTTCTTTGTGGCAAAGACCATGCCTCAACGCCGGGTCCGCAATAGCGCCCCCATTCAGCAACGCCCGTAAAATGCCTCTTTCGCCTCCCTCGTCGCCTTGTCCCACTCCCGAGCCGCCTCCATGTGCTGGCCCTGCACCTCGTGCGACTGTGCCAGCATCCCATCCGCGACGCTCTGCCACAGTACGTTGCCACTGCGTTGCGCCTGCTTGGCTGCCGCCATGGCGCTCTTCAGGGCCTGTTCGCCGATGACGTTCTCGAATAGCCGGCTTCTCATAATAGCCAGCGTGACAGCGGCGCCTAGGACATTGTTTGTGGCCCTGGAACCGCCCATGGCAGCCTGAATGTGCTGCTTCCGTTGGTTCAGCTGCTGCGGAGGATCAGTAACGAGGGCGGCCATGACATTATGCCATGCGGTGCGCAGGTCGAAGTTAGGGTGCATGGAGCACAAGGGCTGGAGCTCCTCGATTAGATCAAGCGTTTCCAGGTCGTCGCGCTGATCGGGATGCTGCATAATCCAGAGCCGGTTTAGGCCTGCGAGCAGAGCCATCTCCCGGTGCGCCGCCTTGATGCCCGTACCGCGTTGCGAGATGTTGAATAAGGGGTTTCGGAAGACGGAGATGGCGTTCTGGAGGTCCCCGGTACCTTGGTGGTACACCCCGGATAGATAGATGGAGAGCAACCGTAGGATGCTTTGCGTAGATGGTGTAATGAGAGCATCCAGTTTCGCCATAAATTGCTTGACCGTGTCCCACTGGCATTGACTGGCCGCGAGCAGGCCGAGCAGGATGTTGAGGTAAGCCTGAGCTTCGGTTCGCCACTCCCGCTGCCTGATGGCCTCTTGCAATGACGTAGACGGGCCGTAGCGGATCCCTGTAGTTGTGGTGTCCCCTGGTAGGTGTCAGTGACCGTCCGTCCATTTGTATTCGGGGGCAGTGGCTTACAGGCATCGAGAATCTTGAGGCCTTCCCGCCAAAATTCGGCCGACTTTGGACCGTGGGAAGATGTTCTGTGTACATTCGTTAAACCGCTGAAGGTGAACCTAGATCTGAGTTAGGAGATGCGTGAAGGAAGGGACTTGAAGGACAGCTTACACAAGTGACGTTAATTCCATCTTCGTCATGAATGAGACAACCAAGAAATCTGTGGGTGTATTGCTATCCCCTCCCCGGATGATGGCCGCCGTATCGCCGCTGATCGTCTGCGCCGTCGACGGTTGCTTTTTCACCGGAACAAGAAAGTCCGCCTTGACGTTGTGCCACGAACCACATTCATCGAGCCTTTTCTGCAACGAACGCAGTTTCTGCGAGGTGACTTCGGGGCTTTGCTGGTTGATGCTGGAGGCCAGGTCGAGGAGGAGGGTGAGCATGTCGAGCTGGATGATTTGGACGGACGGATCGAACTGGAACTTGGCAGCGTGGGCGATGCAAGTTTGAACCTTTTCGATGTTGCCGCCATCCTTGGAGGCCTTAAGGAGAGCGAGGCCCTCGAGGATTGAAGCGAAAGCGCTGATCGCGTTGTCGCCGCGCGTGTTGGCGATGACTTGGATAGAGCGAATGTTCTCGAGGGCGCTCGCGTCTGCCGTTTGTCCGACTTCCATGTAGAAAGTGGCCTTTAATAATTTAAAGGCATAGACCCAGTGGACATGTTTGAAACTGAGAAAAATGTGAGACCAGGACGAGATGCAGCTAGTTTAGAGAAACTTACGCTTCACAGTCAGAGATGTGACGATCAACGGCGTTCAAGGCAGCCTTGTGACTTCGCTGAAACAAGACTTTCAGCATGATGTACTGCATGCAATACTTCAAATCGAACAAGCGATGCTGCCCATATTGGTTAGTGGGGGCCATCCTACACGGTTATCTATACATACCTTGTCACAAAGCGTGATGCCCTTGGTGAGCGCCGTCTCAGCCTCCATCAGGTTCTCCGTCTCCTCGAGGAGTACAGCGGCATATCTCAGCCGCATCCTGGCCTCTTGGCGTGGGGAGAGTCGGCTACCTTGTAGAGACGCTTCTAAGCATGCTAAGCCCGTCGTGATCAAGTTCTGGTACTCATCCACGCGAGTGGGTTCCAAGTGCATGGCCACATCGTGCACCGAAGCTCGCGCCTTGTCGAAGCATTCTTCCGCAACAGCCACCATAATCTGAACAGTGTCGACGGGTCGGGCCTTCGGGGGGATGGCGGGCGACTTCTTGGTGATGCTGGGGGAACGCGCTGTGAGGGCTGGAGAGTTGGTGACCGAAGAATGAGGGCTCGGCTTGATCCGGGGAGTGACCGTCCCCGCCTTCTGCGGTTGCGGAGTCTTGTTGATCATAATATCCATAGGTTTGACAGTTATGGTTTCCAGCTGTGACGGCTGGACGTGGATGGTATCGAGCATCGGCTGGTCTATCAGGGTGCTCGGAGACTGACTCATGGCGGGCGGAGGTGGGGGCAGTTGTTGTATGTCTTGTAGGTTTACGTAGTGTTGTATAGGCTGAGACGGTGGTTGTTGCACCAGCTCAGGGATGAGTTCGGAAATGGGTTCGGGGACGGGTTCGGGAGCGGGTTCTGGAACGGATTCGTGTACGGGTTGCTGCATGGGCTGAGGAGTAGGCATTTGAACATTTTGAACAGTTTGCTGAGTCTGTTGGTGGCTAACTCGCCGTTGCATAGGTTGTTGTCCCTGCTGCTGGGCAAGTCGTTGGCTCGCTTGTTGCACCTGGCTTCGTTGGGATTGGTGCTGCGGCTGGTGCTGTTGTTGATGGATCTGATGATTGGACTGCTGCTGCTGGTATTGCTGATGATGCTGCTGCTGTTGCGATGGAAGTTGATACCCCTGCTGCGGAGGCAAAGATGGCGTCCTGGGCTGTGGCGAAGGCATCTGCTGCGTCCTTTGCTGTTGCGGCGACGCGACATGCCTCTGATACATCTGCGGCGTGTGTTGCTGCTGCTGGAAATGCTGCTGATACATCATTTGCTGCTGTGACGACTGCTGCTGCTGCTGCCACACATTCGAAGGAGGCACGTACTGCGACGCAGCAACCTGTTGATGCATCTGGTGATGCCCACCACCCACGAACGGCTGCGCGGTGGCATCGTAGCCCTGGTAAGGCATGCCACCAAATTGCGCCATCTGTTGTTGCTGCAGCTGGGAGAGATACTGCTGCTGCTGCTGCTGCTGCCCCTGAACCGGATAATACTGCTGCTGCTGATTCCCATACGCCTGCTGGAATCCTCCTGCCCCTCCTGCCGCGGCGGTGCCGTTGGCGCCATTGCTCGCAATGTACGTCGGCGACGAGTTGATGCCCGCCGGCGACGGCATCGCCGGCTGCTGGCCCTGCTGGCCCTGGCCGTGGAAGGCCTGCGGGCCGCGGTAGGTCATGGCCTCAAGCTCGCCCTGAACCAGACGCTACCTCACCATCCACATGCGATGTCGATTGTCGTCGCGGGGCGCAGGCTGGCGCGGTGCCGCTTCATGGCTTTGGGGTGTGCGCCTTGCCCTTGTGCTTCGGGCTCGAATGGGTCCGGTGCCGATTGCGCTCGTCCGTGTTCGCTTCGGTGTTTCGGCGTCCTCGACGACGTCCTGGGTCGTTGGTTTTCGATTCGCCGCGTGTAGGATGAAGGTCGGAGACACGATGTGACGAGGATCCGATGGTCGTGTCGCGGAGCCACGTGATTGGTTGGATTGGAGGCGTCTAACGCCATTAGCGCGTACCAATGCGCCCCCAGTTGAGCCGCTACGACCCAGGAGATATCAACTTCATCTATAGTTCCAGGTTCCATATCCGTGACATATCAATTACAAGATCTACTATCATAATAAACAAAACCATGATCGCTCTCTGACCTTGTGTTTGTTTTGAAGAAATGCTCCATGCTCGTGTCGTTTGGTACTGTTACATATATACACAGGCATCATACACCACCGTTGCTTTTCCACATCATGCCTAGATTCCAAACCAATGGCCATGCTAGTCTAGTAAAAGAAATTCAAATTTCCAGCGCCAGGGCATGCAAGATCCCCCATTCGGGTATTGAGCAAACAAAAAGATTATAGAAACGCGGAACTCCAGTCGCCCGACCGCCCACTCACTCCTCCCCTGGATGCCTCAGATGTCCCAACAGCTGGGCAGTTGCGTCAACCCATACATACCCATTCGGCAAACACGCACCATCGTGCTGTGCGATCCGCCAGCACAAGTCCTCTCCAAACACCCTTTTCCGAACACTTGATGATGGTCTCCCATGTGCCTCCATCGCTGACATCGTCTCCAATTGTTAACGATCTGCTGCCCACGTGGATACCTTTGCGGTCCTCCTTCCTCATAAGACGGAGAATTTTGCCTCCTGGTGTTTGAATCGCGAGCTTTGCAGGCTTTCTTCCTGCCACCGTGCCACTAGCAGAGCTGGGTTGAGAGCCGCCGACACTAGAGGCGTTGATGCTCATGGCAGACCCCGGACGAGCAAAGGGAATGGGGCTTGTTCCACCGGGGTTCGAGGATGGCGTTAGATTTGACTGCGGTCCGTTTGCCAAGGAACTGGGATGTTGTCTGATAGCAAAGACGAACGTGTTGTTCAGAGCCAGTCTTTGACATTGAGGCTGAACGACGTAGATGTCGTGCCGCTGCGCATGAGGAGTAGGGTGTCTCGTCACAAATTCGTATGGAGGGTTCTCGCCAGTGTGAACGATCGGCAGGGAAAATGCCAAGGGGTGAGGGATGTCCTTGATACTGTGCATCAATCCTCGCTTGCCAGCGTAAACCTTCAGAGTGCCCTGACCCTCATCCCCCGGCAGGAGGGCCTTGACGGTGTACCGCTTGATTCCATTGAACCACTCAGCTTGGGCCAGAACTCGCTTCTTGACCACTTCTCCGCTCTCAAAATAGTCACCATCAGAATCTCGCGAGTACCCTCGCACCTCAACTTCGGCTGCAATCTCAACATCTGCTGGTACGTTGAACTTGACGTGGACCATTTCCAGATCCTCTATCCGGTTCAATGAAGTGTTGTAATCCACCATCTCGAATCCGTGGCGGAAGAAGGGGGCCGAGGTACATGGCAAGTTCAGCAGCGTCTCATGGGCCACTGGAGGCACGATATGTTGTTGACTGTGGTGCTCGGGAATGTGCGTCCAGCAGATCTCGAGCGGTCGGGTGAGAAACCACCATGGGTCAGCTGTCGTGGTTGCTGCATTCGAGTAAAGCCCGCGTCGGGGATACGACGGGCTGGCGACACAGCAGTCTATCATGCGCCATTCATTATCCACCACGACGGCGTTCCACCAGTGGTTTGGTCGGGGCATGATGTTGATCTCAGCAACCTCGCCAGGAGATTTGAGATAACCACGCACAATCTCGCAATGGATACCGACTGCGGCACACATCTCTGACACCAGCACAGCGTACTCTTCAGCACAACCTCTCTTGGAAGAAATCACGCGGCGTGTGTCAATTTCTCCTTCAAAGTCTTCCTCCCAGCAAATCTTTTCCGATACCCACGTAAAAATGGCTCGTAGTCGTTGCACATCGCTCCGGAACGGTCGGCAGACATAAGTAGAGGCTAGAGTAGCGGCTGTTGTGGTGCTGGGAAGACCACTGACGAATCGTGAGTTCTTGTCAACCTGGGTGAGGTTGATGTTCTGATAGTTGGTGGGCTCATCCACCGGCTCTCCATCTGCGCCCTCATCTCCTTCAACAGCTTCATAGAGCTCATCGACAGGGTTCAGTGCAGGATGATCCATCATTTGACAGCGTTCGCGACGGTCGATCTGCTCGTTCTTGCTGATAGAATTGGATCGATTGACATCGCGACGCACTTGGACCCAGTCCACCCCCGCGCCGAGGCCCATGTCGGTCGCAGCATCTCGCCCGTGGGTTGAGTTGCCCATTCCAGGCATGGGTGAAGCACCTGGTGGTAGTGATCGAGCGAATGGCGATCGACTTGTTGACTCAGAGCCTGTAAGACCACCGGACACGAGGCCGCCTCGGCTGCTGGCCACGCCAGTCTTCGCGGTGTCAAGAATCTTGCGGAATATATTCCTCTTGGCAGGCTTTGGCTGAACCAATCCTCCCAGTCCCTCATCATGGAACCCAGTCTGAGGCTGTGGCCGAGCGGCAGCGGCATTGCTAGCGTGACTACTGTGATATGTGACGCCTGTGAATGGCGTTTCTGGCCTGTCCACGTCTACGTCTCGCATACCCAGGGCGCTCTGAGCGCGGTTCCCGATTCTAGCAAGGCTTCCAGCGCTGGTTGAACTAAATGCACCTGCCGAAGCACCGCTCCACAATGTTCGTGCACTACTCTGGGTGGACGAACTGGTGTTGCTTTGGTTTCCAGATGAGGAGTTGGTGGCATTGGTCTTGGTCGTATATGTCCGTGCAATCCCCCGACCGATCTCATATGCCGACTTTCGAGATCGCAATTTTCGTTCAGATGTAACCGAGCCCCCCATTGAAGACTTGGGCCGCTCGAATGGTAGGTTTTTAGGAGGTGGAGGTGGCGGGACGTCGTCTTCAACCTTGGGGTTATTGTGGTGCAGTTGCTGGAACCGCTTCTCCATGCGATCGACATAGCTGCTCAACTTATCGTCACCACGAGAGCCGCTCTGGTAAGATACCTCTTGGGAAGACTCGCCGCTCCAGGTCTCGTAACCTTCGTCTGGATGTGCTATACCCAACGATGTTCTCGGCCGTGATCGTTCTTGGTTTCTGCGTTGTGATCCACGGGACACCATGTCAAATGATTCTGGGGACCAAGGATCAATAGCGGCATCCGGAGTCTCATCGTTTCGAGAGCTACTAAGACCTCCCAACTGACCCAACTGCTCCATGACCCCGTCCATTGCTTCTCTGAGTGGTGAGGGCGTCATCCCTCCAGCTGGGGAAGGTGGGGCGGGCGACACCGCGCCGGGTGTGTAGGGGATGTAATTTCTGTCGTCAAATGACGCTCGTGAATCGTGTCGCACTGGAGCAGCTGGAGGAGGGGGAGGTCTGTAAGAGTTGTGAGAGTTTTGCCTTGAAACGTCGTAGCGGTATGAAGCGTTAGATCCCTGACGGACTATATCCATCGATCCGCGGTGCAAGTCATTGGATCCTGTTCGAGTGACGTGCCGATGGGGCGGCGGCGCAGGTGGAGGAGGTGAGGCAGATCGTTCCTGGCTTCCGCGGAAGCTCTGAGGGCGAAATGAAGGGGCTGGCGAGGGACCTCTACCAGGATACACATGAGGGGGAGAAGGTGAATGAGCTCTTGCGCCGTATCCATGAGGTGGAGCTGGTGAAGGACCTCTTGCGCCGTATCCATGAGGAGGAGCGGGGGAGGGACCTCTTGCGCCGTATCCATGGTGAGGAGTGGGTGAAGGAACCCTGGCAACATATCCATCGCCATATCCATGATGCGGAGCAGGTGATGGACCTCTGCCGCCGTATCCATGGGGAGGAGCCGGCGAAGGAGCTCTCGATCCGTAACCAGGAGGTGGTGCGGGAGATGGGGCCCTTGATCCGTAGCCGTGGTGCGGTGCTGGGGATGGAGCTCTTGACCCATAGCCGTGAGGTGGAGCGGGAGATGGACCCCTTGAGCCGCCGTATCTAAGAGGGGGGGCTGGTGAAGGGTTTCGGGAGCCATAGCCATGAGATGGAGCTGGTGATGGAGCCCTGGAGCCGTGATTGTGTGGCGGGGCTGGTGAAGGAGCTCTCTCAACCTCGTGAGTACTTTGGGCGTAGGAGGCGCTCGAGTCTTGCCGTGTTCGGGATTTGGGCGCCTCTCGAAGGACCTCGGGTTGTTTTGCAGTTGTGTAATGGGGGGCCTTGGCGTATGCTTCAAAGGGCTTTCGGAACGTCTTGGACTTGGTGGGAGCGGTGCTCGGGGGCGTGTTTCCAGCAAGAGGGCTTACGGATTTCGTCGTCGGTCGGAAATCTGAAGGAAGAACTTCGACAAAGTTGGACGGAAAAGAGCCGACTGTTCTTCGGTCGCGGTAGAGTCTGCCCACCCACCACGATCCATCGCCAGCGTTTAGACACTCGATTAAGTCGCCTTCGATGAATCCGAGATCGCGTTTGGACTGCCAGCTATGTCAGCTGGCCGGGTTGCCTGATCGGTTTCGGCGCAAAACAAACCTCTCCTCCCCAAGAATAGACAGCTCTGCACCAGCACGGGAACCGCGTTGGGAGCGGTAGTGGTGCTGGCACCATGATGCAAAGACGACCGCGTCGGGTCGGAACCTGCGAAGGGGGATCGAAGGTGCGGCGCAGAAAGCCGGGAGCCCACGCGATCAACGACTGTTGAGGGAAGCTCTACACGTCTCCAGAAATACTCATATCATACACCGAGTAGTTGGAACAGGCGCGTGTGAGCTGTGAATCACAGAACCCCAAATCGATGACACAGAATTATGACGGGGGACTTGTTTCCTCGTAGGGTCGCGGCGAGGTCCGAGCAGGCGGTTTGTAGAATATGAGGATGCAAAGGGCTGAAGAGGAATGGAAGAGCACAAGACAATGTAATTGTGAAAGTGTGATGGATACGATGGACCTTGGCCCTGCGAAAGTCGGTAGGCGGCCGAGATTGTACCTCCGGCCACCCACACCGAGGCCAGGGCCAGTGACAACAGAGGGGAGGCGTTGCTAGGGAAACGCGGGGAGCTGGTCGATTTCCGGGGTGGCTGACAGGCGCTAGCGGTCGTCCCGCCCACGGCTTAGCGCCTCTGGCCGCTGGTGTGCTCTGAAAGGCCGCTAACGTCAGGGGACTCAGCGAGGGTTGCCCCAAGACGCAGGGGCCCGACACATCCCGGCCGTGCTGGTGTGCCCTGGTCTGGCGAACATGGAAACCGTAATTGCGCATCTCGCCTGTCGCCAGTCTGACGATTGGTTTGCGGTCTGTACGGGGAGCCGCGACGCAATTGTACTACCTAGAGGTACATGGCATGTAGTTGACCGAGATGTATGGTTTCCTTTTCCCGCGTCTAAACAACTAGCGCTCCAAACGGCGTTCAATGTTGCTTAGATTTCGTCTTCCCGCCCGGTTCCCGGCGGTTTCTGCCCCAGGATCCTCCCGAACAGAGCACAACAGGTTCTGAGACCCTGTGTCAGCTCCGGGCTCAGCAAACCGCCGAGGCCCAATGGCGCGGCCCAGCAGACTGCTTTCAGTGGAGGTTCAACTGAATCAACTCCGCTGGACTCCCAATCGCCTTGCAGGCGCTACAGGGAACTTCAGCTGTGCCCCGCAGAACGCCTGCGAGGCTGTTGCACATCATCTGGCGGGGCCCGCCGGGGCATCCACCAGGGTCACTTGACGGGGGACTGGCCTGCATACGTAGTAAGTATCCAGCAACATTCTCTGAGCGCACCACCTGCAGCTGGTATGTGTCGATTCTATATAGACGCCGGCTTCGCTCACGGGACGCTTAAACACCATCCGAACACTTCTCGCGATACAGCCAAAAGAGACGGCCGTCATCGCTTGCTTTCCCTCTTGCGCCGTCTCTCGTCCCTGTCATCTTAAAGCTCCGGCCCGCCGCCAGCTGCCACGAGCTCTCCCAAAAGGGCTAATAGTAAACAAAGGCCCTAGCTTTCGCACCCCCGACCCTCCGACCCCCCGGACGCCCGCTGTCCCAGACAACCGTCCACTCTGTTGCTGCACTGCCTGCTGACCTTAATAACCAACAGCCAGTCCATCGCTCGCGCAGGCTTTTTGGTTTCTCTCTGTCGCACGATACGATTCCTCCCCCAAGCATTTCCGAACACTCGATATCCTCGACTCCCTTCTCGTCTTCCGCTATCGCACTTGTTTGCGTCCCCGCCACTTGCACCGGGCTGCGCGATCGAACATTCCTTGGACATTGTGTGACGTCGACGAAAATGGCTGACGAGGGCGTTGCTGAGCACTATCAAGTCCTTGAGGAGCTTGGCCGTGAGTCCACCACCTCTCCTAAAGATTCACCAGTGTCTTTTTCCTAACATCTTTCTAGGGGGGAGTTTTGGCGTTGTCTACAAGGGCATCGAGAAAGCCACCGGCGAGACCGTTGCTATCAAACATGTAAGTGCCCCTGGTTGCCCCGCCCACCACAATCTCTAACGCATAATGCCTCCAGATTGACCTGGAGTCCAACGACGATGATATCCAAGACATTCAAGCCGAGATCGCAGTGCTGAGCACCTGCGCCAGCTCCTACGTCACGCAATACAAGGGATCTTTCCTTCGAGGCACAAAATTATGGATTGTCATGGAGTTTCTCGGCGGCGGATCCTGCTTGGATTTGGTACGTGCTTACGTGCTCTGCCCCTCTCAGGCTGTACACTAACATCGATTGATAGTTGAAACCGGCGAACTTCAGTGAGGCGCACATCGCCATCGTCTGCCGCGAGCTACTGCTCGGCATCCAATATCTACACACCGAAGGCAAGATCCACCGCGATATCAAAGCGGCTAATGTCCTCCTGTCAGAGACTGGAAAGGTCAAGCTGGCCGACTTTGGTGTTGCGGCCCAGTTGACCAACATCAAGTCCCAGCGAAACACTTTCGTTGGGACTCCTTTTTGGATGGCGCCGGAAGTTATTCAACAGGATGGGTACAGCTTCAAGGCTGATATTTGGTCTCTGGGCATCACGGCCATGGAGATGGCGAATGGCGAGCCTCCTCTCTGCCATATCCACCCCATGAAGGTCCTGTTCCATATCCCCAAGAACGCCGCACCTCGCCTGGAGGGCAATTTCAGCAAGGAGTTCAAGGACTTCGTTTCTCAATGTCTGACCAAGGACTACGACCGTCGACCAACTGCCAAAGACCTACTGCGACACCGCTTCATCCGAAACGCAGGCAAGGTTGAGGCCCTCCAGGAGCTCATCTCCCGGCGGCAGATGTGGGATGCCAACCAAAACCGACAAAGGCACCCCATTTACTACCAGGAGACCCTCCAGACGATCTCCCCCAAGGACGAGGAGCAAGAGTGGGTCTTTGACACCGTCAAGTCAGTTGCACCTTCGAGGAGACCAACCGTCAAGCATCATCGTAAGCCCTCGTCTATTTTTGCTGCGGACGAGGCCATGCGCAGGCTAGATCTTAAGGACGCGCCGCTCGGTGTTTCCTCCCCAGGTACTGTCCGAAGGTCGACTGTTCGACGAACCCCATCCCTTGCACAGACCTCTTCAATTCGGTCTAACGGCTCTCCTCGACCCCATGTGCTCCCTAAGAAGCCACTTCAGCCAGATATGTCCTTTGGCAACTCGGGATCGACTATGCGTCTGTTCCGACGAGTGCCCTCGGATGGCTCCATTACGAGTCAGACGGGCCAACCTGCCTCCCAAGACGATGTCTTCTGTGACGAGAACACTCCGCCCTCGGCTAGCGCCCCTATCGAGCCATACGGCAAGGAAGCTGTGCTGGGACGTCGGCTATATGCCAGGGCCGTGGAACCGACTCTTGCCGAGCTGCATGCTCAAACCTCTGCCATGCAGAAACGAGAAGCGCTGGCGAAGTTGTCGGATGCCTTTGCGGCTTTGGACGCGGTTGACCCCGAGGGTGCCTATCATCTGATGAGCAACATGGTGTCGGCAATGTCTCAGGATAACAAGTTGAACGCTGCTCTCCTCCGCCAGCCTACTCAGAAGATTCCTGACGACGGAACTCCTCAGGGGACTGTTATTGTCAAGAACTCTACACCCCAGACGAGCCCGAGCAAGCTCGTCATGAACTCCAACAACCCACACCTCCGGAGTCACCGACGCCGACATATCGAATCCCCCATTCTGAACGAAAAGGACTTTGGGGACAAGTCCACTCTTGAGGGCAGGTACCCCGGTCAAGAGGCCAGCGCGGGCATGGAGCACTGCAAGCAGTTATCCGACGTGCTCTACTCTCGTTGGGTTGACGGTCTTCGCATCCGATGGCCCGCTGTTTGATCCCAGCGAGCTCATCACTTGCAGTACATAATGGATGAGACGCCGTGGTCGAATACGCAATAATGCATCGCTAATTACGGTGCTACACCATGATCTACTGTACGATTTCTGTATACAACATCAATGATGTTGATTATTTTCTCAAAAGGGACTGGAAGGGCTTTATTTAGGCTTGTTTGGTACCGTCGTCCGCCACATGTGTGGTTTTCATCATGGCTCTGGGACACGGCATGGTATTCTTGGCATGATGATATCTTGACGACCGATGGCTGCTTTTTTGCTTGCATTTTACTGGAGCATGGTGTTTTATGGTAATTTGCTACTTCGGATGGAGGAAGGGTGGTAGTCTTGATTTTTAGTTGCTTTGTTGTGATTCTAGATAGCTAGATACGCAATACCTAAGCATATGAACGCAGTAGCCAGGTTTTCACGTCGCCCGTGGTTCCTCCTCGTCCTTGCAAGGGAATCATCTTGATGTTCGCCGCTTTGTCCGTGTGTTTAGTGCGAGATTGTTGGTTTTGAGATGGGTAGTCTGCGAATCGGACTTCAGGTTTCATTGCTCGGTCCAAGGGCTAACTTGATCCTCCAGTCCTTGAACTCATCAGAGAGAATATCTCCATGGCCTGTCTCCTCAACCTTGTACACCTCTATCGTTGCTGACTGCTGCCGACGGGCTATCCTCCAAACCCCCTCATCATTGATTGTCTTGGTGAGCCCTATGAATACCCGCGTGTTAGCTTCAACGGTTATCCAGGAGACCACCTCACAGAACGGTGGTAATAGCAGAAGCGAGGGGTATCTCACACTCTAAAAAGGCACCAGCAAAGTTGACGCACATATCGGCGTTCCACTTAGGATTGGGCTGCGAATTGACTATCTCTGGGATCTTGTGCGTCTCAATCTCATTAACGTCAACGAGAATGCCGTCCCTTGTGCGGAATCCGACCATAATCTTGGGTACGCCAAGAAGAAACGACTGGATCCAGTACTTCATGAGCTTGCGGTGGAAGTTCTCCTTGTCGCCTTGATTGCGGATCTCAGCGGATGTCTTAAGCTCGACCCAGTTGATCGGACCACCCTTTGTCTCGGGCTTGCAATCCCAGACTGAATTCAATACGTCAGCACAACCGAATGTACAGTAAATGATATGGGTTGTGAGAGAAGAGACTTACTTGCATCGACTTCGCCGCCAAGGCAGAGGACAGTCTTGCCAACACCCGTGCGGACGACGGAACAGTACTGGGCTTTGTTGTTGACGACTTCGTTTTCACGGTTCTCAATGAAATCCCTCGAGGTCTCAGACCAAGTGTTTGGTAATGTGGACAAAGTCTCGAACTTGTATCCTGGAATCGGACGCCGATGTCAGCTCGGAGCGGAACTAAGCATTGGCAGAAGCAGACTTACCCCAGAATTGCATCACCTCGAGGGAAGGCCCTCTCCGCTGTTTGCCGTTTCCCTCCTTAGCTCGCGAAGCTGCTTTGTATTGGTTATTCTCTTCAATGAAGCTGCCAGATGGTCAGGGTACTTGGTTGCCATTTGGAGCTGATATTTCTCTCACAGGCAGTCCTTTGTGAGGCGAGCGACGTCAGAACGACATTTAAAATTGGAGGAGGGCTTCTCTGTGACATACTTGATATAGCGTGGCATTCATCTCGAAGCTGCGAATGTGTCAGAGATGCGACGACCTCGCGATTTGGTAAGCACATACCCATCGAGCTGGTCGAATGGCGTGGCCATGATCTAATGAGCCAAGTCAATTACCTGCCAAGCGATATGTTACGATAAGAGGGAAGCCGAACCTTGGTCATCATGCCTCGCCATGTCACGAGGGTGGCATCTATCTTCTTACCCGTCTCCTTCTCATGGGCGATGATGGTCTTTAGCAGGCTGTCGAGATGCTCGTCACCCGTGTCATCCTGCTTCTGGAAGGTGTCGAACCCTTTGGAGAGGTCTGCGCCGAGCTGTGGCGTGTAGTAGTACTTGAGAGATGAGTCGTCGAGGTGAAACTCATGGTTGTCGTCGTATGAGAAGCATGCAAACTCCTGCGGGTGTGTAAGCGGGACGGCTATTCACGCGACCTGAGACACGGCTAGAATTCACTGGACCGCAATGCTGCAGGTACCAAACCAAACCCACTCACCTTGGGCCTTTTCACGGGCTGGCTGGCACCAGCAAACCGGCCGATGGGCTGGATGGAGAAGGTCGCCGACATGGCTGGCGGCCGGCGTCGCCGGACGAGGTGGTTCAGGAAGCTGCGGGGAATGATTGCGCAAACAAGTTTGCCGGATAATTAACAGGGCGCCAATGCAGCTTGTTGATGGCGAGACGGTCAGGCACGGAGGGATGTAGCGTTGAGGATGGATGGCCGGGATGTCGCAGGAGAACCGGGAAGGATTGATTGCTGGCGCGCGCTACTGCGAGGTGGTGCAGACAGTGGTCTCAGCGCCTCGGAGCCACTGAGCCACTAAGACAGGCATGTGGAAGGTGTTTGAGTGGACGGTCGGGTGAGCTGGGATTCTGATATTACCCGCAGTCGAACTGTAAGCTGTCGACCCATTTACATCCCTGGAGAATCCGGATGAGAACGGGCTCTGGATCGAGATGAGAGATATGGAAGCGAACTGCGAGACGGCGGGGAGGAAAATAACATCCAAGAGCATAGGTGGTGGTAATTCCATACGCCGCCGTGGCACGGAGTTGGCGGTATAAGTAGAGGCCAGCGCAGAGCTGAATGCGTGTACTCCTTAGTGAGAAGTGAGAAGTGACTTGGACAAACAAAGAACAGCGCCCACAACCCTGCAAAAGACGGTTACGATGGGCCTATTAAACAGATGGCCTAACGAAAGCTTCACGTATAGTGGAGATTTAGAAGAGCAGGAGCGCTTTGGCACATGCAAGCCGGGCAAATTGACCTTGTCTTTCTGCGGCGCTGGTGCACTTAGTGGGCGGCAGTTACCCAGAGCCCCCGTGTCACTCAACTAATCACTACCTACATCAAAGGTGAGCGCGAAGTGAGCCAGAGGCAATTCTTCAAAACCCTTCCTCCTTCACAAACTCGCACCCCAAATCTCACCTCCGGCATCTCCTCCGTCCCTTTCGTCTCTCGCCGAGATACCCGATCGCCGGATTCCTCTTCGAACCTCTGCACGCAGCTCGCCGCCCCAGGCCCCTTACACGCATCTCCCCACTACAGCGGAGCCCTGAAGAGCAGTGGCCCCTCCAACCACCCGCTAGCGGTTGCCCTGTCGTGCTGTCGGCGCCCGAGTTCCAGCACCTTCAGCAGAATCACGTGCGTTAGCGGGACACTGATCGCCTGTTCTTCAGCACGTCTCCTTGCGAGTAGCCTCGTTATCATCGTCGTCGCGCGACACGCCTCGGTCGACTTATACCTCAGCGTTGACCGCTGCACCCGGTCGTCGCAAGCCCTCCCGGGCCGGTCTACGCTGTCGCAGCTATAGTTCCAGCTGTAGCTCTCAACCTGACGACGCCTGCCCACGTCCTGCGCCCCGCGCGTCTCTCCTCCACCCGCGACACCCGTCCCACAGTACCCATGCCCAGACGACGCCGACAGAGGAAGTCGAACAAGCGCAGTTCCAAAGGCCCCTCTCAACCCGAAGAGTGGTACACGATCCGCCAGATCCTTGATGAGCGGATCGTCAAGGGGCAAGTCGAGTACCTGGTGGACTGGGACGATAACGTCAACACTGGAGAAGTGTATCCTCCGAGCTGGGTTCGTATCTCCATACCGTAGTTGATGTACATTGCGCTAACCATCGCTTCTCACAGAGCGACGAGGTAACCGACGTAGCTCTCCAGGAGTGGGAAGACAACAAAAGGGGAAACGCGAAGGACGCCGCCCCGGAGCCACCAGCATCCCCTCCACCACCGGCTGCCGATAGAGAGGAGGAGGACAGTCAGGAGCCGCGACCTTCGAACTGGCGACGAAACGGCAAGCGCCCGAATGTGTCCGGTGAAAGCCAGCTCCTCCCCAGCTCTTCTGATTGCGACGAGCCCCCAAGGAAGAAGGTGAGGATTGGCACTCACGACAGGGCTTCCGAGGATACGGTACCATTCACCAGCTCGACGGGAACTGCGGACCCTGAAGTTCAGAGTCCCAAGTCATTGCGCTCCGAAGATTTCGCTCGCCTCGCTGGTCAAAAGCTTGCCATAGAATTGTCCAAGCCCCCCCAGTTTGATCCCACCGAGTACCATAGCGTCGTTAACACTCAAAGCTCCCAGTTAGTGTCTGAGCTCGAGGAAGAGGATAGTAGGGCCATTCTCGCATCGCAGCTGAGCCAGAGAACTATCCCCAACTCACAAGACCTCTCTGGACAAACCTGGGCTCAGTCACCGGTTGAAACACCCACAACCCCTACACATCCCCATCTGCCAGATCAAAAGTCGTCTCGCTGTTGTATCCCTGTTAGCTCCCTCGTCGTCTCGGACTCTCAGGGCCACTCTTTTAGCTGCCCGGAATCAGGCGCCATCACCAGCCAACGAAGTTCAGTGGTGCCAGTAAACCAGGGGATTTCAGCTCAATCTCAACAGGACATTGCAGACTGCGAGCTGACCAGCTCTGATATTCCCTCCCACCAGCTCGAGCAACCTCAGCTTCAATCATTAGGAAGTCCAGATCTGTCAACTGCGCCCGAGCCGCATCTAGCCAACCACTTGGTCTCTGGGACTCTTGCTTCTCGCGTTTCTCTGCCATCAGCCGTCGCCGGTGCCCTGCATGAACCCATCTTTTTGACTCAACCACAGGGACTTCTTGATTCACAAGCTCCGCCAAGTTCCTCTACAGTCTCTCTCGCGATACGAGCGTTGGAAAGTTCTGCAGGAACCGACAGAAGCAGTCCACCCCGCAACCGCTACACCAACGATCCTAGTGAAACTCGGAATACCCTTCAGTCTTGTTCTAGAGAGTCGCAGGCGGCCCAGTTCGTTCCTCGAGAGTTTGAATCCTTTCCAGACAATATTACAGGCAGTCATCACACCGAACGTAACCCCGAGTCGCAGCCGAAACCTAGGTGGGAGGACCTGATCCTGGCGTCTCCATCGGTGCCCCAAAACAATCAGCCTCGACGGGACCCAGAAGGTTGGGAACACTCCGCAGTGAATCCTCCTAGATCGAGCCCCTCTGTCACTACTCAGTTCCAGGCGTCCCAGTCCGGAAAAGAACTACAAGGTCAGGAGTACTCCGCGGCGAACCCTCTTGAATCGAATTTCTCGAGCACTCCCCATTCCCAAATCTTACCAGAAGAGTCTCTGACCTGCCCTGAGCAGCCGACGCCTTGGGGAGAAATCCCAGAGTCACCCATAGCTATCGCTCCAATTCAGGGTGGTCCGATTTCAAACATGGACGAATCCTCGACACCAAAGCCACAAAGTTCGGCGATAAACGAGCTGAAGAGCTTGTTTGATTTCGGCAATGCCTCGCTTGCATCTGACCTAGAAGATCTTACAACCGATGTGCAGACCGAAACCGCCCCCCAGCAGCAATCACCTTCATCTGTCAACCTTGCAGGCGAAACGACTGTTGCGCCCCGAGTGGTTATTCGTTCTCCTGAACCAGATGTTCTCTCGCAATCTCTGTTCCCGGTGGAACCCTGGAAACCCGAGGTTATGAGAAGCGCCGCCCAGGACATGCCCCCTCCGTCAATTTCCCCTGCTTCGATTATGGTCAACCCAAACCAGTCCGCAGTTGAGTCAATGCGAGAGATTGTGAACTCGTCGTTCGGTGACTCAAGTAATTCAATCGCGAGATCCTTGCTGGTCGAAAGCCCCGGCGACGTGCCACAAGGAACCGTTTCCCCTGCCGATATAAGCAACTCAATGGATCCATCGAACTCGGTTCACACACTTATCATGCCTTTTTCTGACCGGACTGTGATATCTTCGGGGCAGTCCATTACCATGGGACAGGGCACGGATCATCGAGCATACACAGAATCATCTTCCTCGTCAGAAAATGAGGTACCTCTGTCAGAGCACATCGTCACCCTGCCATTTCAAGCAAGCAGACGGCCGTTCTATGATGAGACCTTGCTCGAATATAGGGTCGATGCCGAGAAATTTGGCGAATATTTCAGCAGCGAGGTCTACATCGATCCCGATGAGGCGTTGATCAAGAGAATCGATGAACTTCTGGGTCGCTTGATGAACATTTGTGACTACCCGCAAGATCTCGTTGGCACCAAGTTGGAGGATCTGCCTGCAAATGAGCAGGCCAAGTATTCAGCTGACGCCAACCCAAAATTCAACTTCATTTTCGAGCTTCTACAGACAATTGAAAAAGAGACGGAAATTCTGGTTATTGCCCGGACTCCAGAACTCCTTCGCCTTCTGTTTGCTCAAGCGGAGGCTCTGGGACTCGAGTCTGTGTGTCAGAGCGTTGACAAACTAGAGAGTGCCCAGAAGGACTCTCCGGTTCGTGTCACTCTTGCCCTGTCGAGCGAAGACCTCGATCCATTCAAGTTTGATGCTGTTATCGGGTTTGACCACACCTTCAACTCCTCCCCTATTTCCCAACGACTTTCGTCGAGCAGCAATGGTGGGAAAGCGCCGCTCGTCTTGCAGTTGGTGACGACTCATTCGATTGAGCATATTGCCCTTCATGTTCCTCAAGAAATCTCGCCTCTCGAGAGAAAGAATGCGCTTTTATCAGGCATCGTACAAGCGAGGAGGTTGATAGACGATCCTGACCGAGGGTATGTCGACCCTCATGAAGTCGCGGAAGTGTTCTCAAACTACTTGAATGGCTTCACGGAGAGTATATCATGGCAACCCCAATCGATCCCGGACTATGTGATCGACTTTTACTTAAGCTCGCAATCTCGCTCGCAGATGCCCGCCGAGTCCAAAATGCTTGAAGGGAATGGGCTCAAGCGCAAGCTTGTAAGTGACGATCAACAAGCGGAAACTAGCTCTCAAGCTAACCAAAACATAGGACTCTGAGGAGGATTCTGACGATGCGAAGCGGATACGTGTGTTTCCTGTGATGCAGCCGGCAGTCGAGTCTAACGACCCTCCGCTCACATATGCGCTTTGGGAACTATTAAACTCTAGCAAGCCCAAGGATGCTACGAGTGAGAGAATGTCCAAAATCAGCGTGCCTCTAGCTGTCCTGGAAAGCTTAGCTGAAAAAGTTGGTCCAGTCTACCAAGCACATGCTGTTGATGTCTAACTAATTATAGGTGTCCGATTATCAACGCCAGGCGGCTGAAAATGATCTCAACGCCGAGCATAAGGCCATCATCAACGGGCTCGAGAAACGACTCAAGGAATTTGAGAGGACCACCAACAAGGTCTCCGAGTCTCACCGCAAGGCTCTCCAGGAGCGCTCCAGTTTCGAAAAGGCCAAGCTGAAGGCTGACGAGGCCATGAGGGCAACTGCGGAGGCCGCACAGAAGGAGAGTGAGAAACATCAGAAGCGAATAGCGGAACTCGAGGCCAGAGTTGCGCGGTTGACATCCGCCCCCGAAGCGGCAGGTACGGAGGAGGGCCCCTTGGCCAAAACTGAGAGGCTTTACGAGGAGTCTGAGAAGAAGGTCAAGTTGTTGGAGAAGAGACTTGAGAACGCCCAAAAGGAAGCCGACTACATCAGAAACTTATACCAGGATGTGAACTCTACGGCTGGTGGTCTCGGAGCAGAGATCAAGGGGTTGCGGGAACAGAACGAAGACTTGCAGAAGAAGGCGTCAGAGAACATGGTACGAATTCAGCAGATCCAAGCCGACAACGCGAACAAGGAGCTGTTCCGTACCCTCTCAGATCTCAAGATTCAATTGCGAGAGCGGGAAATTGAAGTTGCGCACCTCCGTGAGGAGCTCAGCCTCCGCAACGGCCGGCCGGCTACGCGCCAGGCCAGCGTGCCGCGAAGCCCTCGCATGGGTAGCATGATGAGCCCGCGGGCTGGGCGGGGGTTCGGAGGTTCTGCTAGCAGAGGAACCAGCCCGGCTGCAGTGGCTGGGTACGACGGGAATGGATCCGGAGCAATCCCTGGTGTGCAGTTCATGGGTCAGCAGCCCGGTAACGGCCGATGGGGCCACCTGAGGGATTGATCAAAGGTGGTACGAGAAGTCGGGAGCCAAAGACGGGATTGAGGTTGGGAGAGAAGTCGCATTTCTTTGGGACGGAACTGACTACTTAGATGTCCAATTATTTTTGCTTTCAGGGTGGCCGAACGAAGATGGCTTGGAACTGCATATATGTATCTTTCTTTGTATTTTCCATAGGCTCGCATTGTTGCGACTGGCGTATGCGGAGGCAGGGATAGGGGGGAGAAGGAAGTAATGGAATTTGATGTCATGGCATGCACATGCCATGTGTGAAAAAGAATTCCGGCATGTTTCAACCAAATGGGTACCTATGCATCATGACCCGTGAGGCATGTGTTGCGAGTTCACTGAGATGTGACTCAACCAGGGTAAAGCAATTAGGCGCGATGCAACGTCGACCTGTCAAAGATGGGACTTCGGAACATGCTGTGCAAGGCAACCGGGTATACAACGTTCAAGATTCAAGATTAGCGTAGAGGAAGAGTCGCCAGTTGCGCCTTGGGGTTATAACACAATCGATTTGGGGCAGCCGCAACCAAACTCCCCAGTCTACCTCTTGCTCTGGATTCCCTTCCGTCTCTGCTAACATGTACACGGGCTGGCCCGGGGATCAAACACTCTGGATACACACAAAGGGTGTCCTTTACTTCTCCTCGGGGTAAAGCTCCTCCTTCAGAGGCACGCCGAGCTCTTCCCGCAGGGGCTTGAGCTCCTCGAGGTATTGCTCGTACTGGCCCTTGTTCTCGACCTTGGACTTGATGCCTAGTAAAAGAGAAAGTCAGCAAGAGTGATTCGGCCAGTGTGTCGTATGCATTGTCGGCCGTTTCGCCATGGGGGGTGTTGTCGAGGGCATGGCGTCGTTCAATTGATGCGGTCAAGGGTAAAAAATATCCCTTTGGCGACAATTGGCCGGCGGGCGGGTCGGCGGGCGGGCGGCGACGTGGGGTCAATTGCAGTGAGGGCATACCTTCGAAGATACGGACGGCAGTGCCGAAGTCGTTAACCCTTCGGGCGGCCTTGAGGGCGGCGGTAATGACCGAGGGAGAGGGGACGAGATCGTAAGCGAAGGCGTTGTTCAGGTTGCGCTGTGGTGGTGGTAAGCCAAAAGTCATACGACATTTCCGGAGCGGGCCTGGAGCAGTGAGCTCGTGGGGCGCATTACCTGAAGCTCGAAAACGTCCTGGACGCCATCAAACTCCTTCTCGAATCTGTAGAGGGACGCAGTTTAGCCATTGAACCGGGCGAGAGTCGTGGGCGGCCGCATTGAAGGTATTCGGGAAAAATCGCGTGGAGCAGCGCCGGCCCAGTTTTGAGGCATCTTTGTGGCCCGGCGGCGGGTAGGCCAGCCGGCGAGAGCAGCACTGCTGCGATTGGGGAAAGCACCTCTCCGGGAGACGCAAAAGGTGATTGTGAAGCCATTGGGAGCACGGGGGGTCGTCTCACCTAGCGGAGAACTCCTCAAAGGTCTCCTCGCCGTGGTCGCTTCGTCGGGGCGTCGAGGTGCTGAAGTTGGCCGAGAGGGCGACGGCCGAGCGGGCCACCAGGGGCTGGGCGGCGGGCCGGACGGGGGCGGCGCGGATGCCACGGGCGGCGACACGGAAGAGGGCGGCAGACATGATGATCGGAGAGTGAGGAATCGCGGAGGCGAGAAGATGCGTCGAGGCGAGGAGGAATTGGAGGTTTAGGCTGGGGTGCTTTTCCGGCTCGGGTGATGCTGCAGAGTTGTTTGGGCGAGGCACAAAGAATCATCTGAGGCCACTTTCTGGGTGACTAAGCTGGGGCTATACCGGATTCCGTAGTGGTGGAGGTGACTGTGCGAATTGCGCCGGCACAGCTGCGGCTGTGAGGGCGTCTGAGGGAGGATGGACAGTGCGTTCTGCCTTGCGCACGGTTAGCCCTGCGAGCTTATTTCAGGTGGATTCCATTCGTCATTTCCTCTTGCTGACCAGACCGGGCCCCCCCAGGACGGTTCAGTGGATGTTCAGTGGAGGTGACAACTGCCCGAGACTGATAGGACGGCCCAGAGGAGCCAGACTCTGCCAGAGGCGCCACCAGTGACGATTCTCAGCTTCAATTCCAATGTCAGATCATTTTCCCCTCCCAGAGTGAGGAAAGACACCAATGCACCCAAGCAGAAGTAGGCGTTTGACGCGCTCACTAGAAGCACCCGAGTATCCCCAAACACTGACGGGCTGTTGTATTTATTATTTCCCACACCAGTGGCATGGCGGGATGCATGGGCTCCGAAGAATCGATAACCACCAATTGCCGCTTCGTGATGGCTCAGTCGTCATTTAACTGACAGCACTCTGCGCCCCATGGCCGCCCCAATTGACATCACGTTGCGCCACAATCACGGTCAAAAGCCACACAACCACGCGTAGTCGCCAGGAAGCGATTTGGCAGTGGCCGACTCAGTGCGCGCAACAGACGAAAAGCCCGTCGGCGATTTCTTTTATGGGGGTGCCGGCCGCCCCGTCTCAATGACGCGAACCGTGCTGAGCTGCTGGGCAGGGAGATATTACTTCGTACTCGCCCTACCGCGTAATGAATCCCCTGTCGCCGGCCGATGCTCTCACGGAAGACCACTCCATACCTTATGTCATTCTCCCGCCAAGCAGCACACGAAGCCAATGGAGTTGAGAAAGGCACCGTTGTCCATCCGGAGTGCCGGGGTAAAGAGGCAAGAAACTCCAGCAAGGAAGCTCGTGGCATCTCCGAAATTGCCGGGGCCACCTGCAGCAAAAGAGAGAGATGGTTGCCCCAGGTTTTTTGGGCCCGAGGCGGTGGAACTGTGAGGTACCCAACCAGGGAGACAGGAGGGAGGGACGAGGTACCTTTGGGCAGGTTCGTGCAAGAGCAAAGGTTGAGGTAAAGATCGTGGAGTAAAGGGGTACCGACGGGTATCGGTCCATGTCACTTTCGTCTGGCTCCAGCCCGCCAAGGATCAGTTCGACGTCACAGCGGACAAGGCGTTGACCCGGAGTCAACATTCAACGGGCTCTTATCCTGCTCCGGACTGCGTTGTAGGGGAGTTCGGCTAGAAGCCTCGGCGCTGGTGGCAAGCTGGGCTGTCCAATCTTGGGGGTGCCGTGCGCGTTGGTGCATCTCAGAGGGGCTGGCCCACCCCGAGTCAATCCCGTCAATCACGTGCCCGCCAGGCGATGAGCGAGATGAACGCCAAAGGGCGGCCGCTGATTGGGCCCCGCGGACGATTCGGCAAATCACATGCGAAAAGGGTGCTCGTGTGGGCAGGAGCAGGAGCAGTGCAGCAAGAGCAGCGCAGCAACAGCGTGTCCTCACGCACACGAGTGAGGGTAGGAGCGGGCCATGAGCATGTGAGCGGGTGTGCGCATCACGACGTCAGCGCGTGTCTTTACGTGGCCCTCACAGGCTGCGTACCTTTTTTGCTGGCTCCGAACGGGTGCCCGTTGGCGTCGAGGCAGAGTTCTGACTGGCATAGATAGAGTCTCGAAAAGGGCGGGAAGCCAGCCAGAACCCGTCCGTCTCGAGCCCCTAGTACAATGGACCGTCGGCACGACCAACTCCCCGTACAATGGAATGGCGTCGTCGAGAGAGAGAAAAAAAGGCTGCCAGGCTCCCTGGACTCCTCGAGCTCGGCCGCCCGTCTGGGGCGGACCCTGCCAATGGAAGCCGGGAAGTGAGATGGGGCTAGCGGACCGACCAGTGCCTTCAGTGCCTGAGTCCGTCTTTGGTAGGTCCATGTAGCGCACCCACTCTCCCCCCAAGGTGGTACTCATGCGCTGTAGGGAGCGTAGCGTTCCTTTAGCGGGACATTTCCCGGTGCCAACCTCGATCTGATGCGAAATTTCCCCTTTTTGATGCGCCGCGTCTCTTGCCCCAAATCTTCTTCTCCTCTCCTCTTCTCTTTTTCTACTTCTTCCCTCCTCCTCCTCTCCTTCTCTTTGCCTCTCTTTTGTTTGCCCCTTCGATCGCCGTGTGTCTGGCATTCGTCGCTCCTCCTCCCTCCTCCTTCCCTCTCTCAGGAGATTCTCTTCTCTTCTTGTCATTCCTTGACCTTCTTCCTCCTCCAACTCCTCCGTGGCATCCGTCGCATCGCGTCGCCTTGAGGCTACCTCAAAAGACACATATCTCGAATCCTCGACTCTTGTTCGCTCAACGAACCCCCTTTCGCCCGCCTACACATCGACTCTGGTCCTTCTGTCTGCCCATCATGGCGTCTGCAACCCCTTCCACCTTCTTCGAGCAGCTGCCGTTGCCCACCATCGACCGCCCCTTCGGCATCCACCTGTGGCCCATATTCGACAAGGCATGGACCGCCGTCGCGGGTTACCCCGTGGCTGACTTCAAGTTCGTCCCCTTCGAGACGCCCATGTCCACGCTCAAGTCGACGTCCATCTTCATCGTCGTCTACTACTGCATCATCTTCGGTGGCCGCGCGTTCATGCGCAACCGCGAGCCCTTCAAGCTGAAGACGCTCTTCCTCATCCACAACTTCTACTTGACCGCCATCAGCGGCATTCTTCTGGTTCTCTTCATTGAGCAGCTCGTCCCCACTGTCGTCCGTGGCGGCATCTTCCACGCCATCTGTGACGTTGAAGGCGGGTGGACGCAGCCCCTGGTCGTCCTGTACTACGTCAGTCAACCTTTTCCCGATTCTTCTTCTCCCTAGGTCCTGTGGGGCTCCGGAACTAACCTTTTCACAGCTCAACTACCTGACCAAGTACCTTGAGCTCCTCGACACCGTCTTCCTTTTCCTCAAGAAGAAGCCCCTGAGTATGTCTTGCCCCAACGTCTATCCAAGTGTCCTCAGCCACTAACCGCTCAACTCAGCCTTCCTTCACTGCTACCACCACGGTGCCACCGCCCTCCTCTGCTACACTCAGCTCATCGGCTCCACCGCGGTCTCATGGGTCCCTATCACTCTGAACCTTACCGTCCATGTCGTCATGTACTGGTACTACTTCCAGAGTGCCCGTGGCATTCGCATCTGGTGGAAGGAGTGGGTCACTCGTCTCCAGATCATTCAGTTCATCATTGATCTTGGTAAGTGATTATGTTACAACGGGTTATGAGATGTGGGACTAACAACGACTAGGCTTTGTCTACTTCGCGTCGTACACCTACTTCACCTCCACCTACTTCGACTGGATGCCCAATGCCGGCCGCTGCGCTGGTGAGGAGTTTGCCGCCTTCTCTGGCATGGGCATCATCAGCTCGTACCTGGTCCTTTTCATCTCGTTCTACCTCGCCACTTACAAGCGCGGTGGCAAGTCCACTACTCGCAAGAGCTTGCGACGAATGAGCCAGGCCCCTCTCCCCGACCTCACCACCACCCCTATCAAGGGCAAGTCCAACGGTGCCGTCTCTACCGGCGCCAAGACCAACGGTGTCACCACCCGATCCCGCAAGGCCTAAGTGAGACTCCAGGACACTGCCAGTGACGACGCAATCTGGCGGTGGGGCGCATTGTACGAATTGCATACCGCCCGGCGGCGGTCTCCCCTCTATGCACCACTGCAGCCGTAAAAGTTGACGGTCAATTCAATGGCGACAGGCAGAGGGGGTTTAGATCAAAGACATACTAAAGGCGGCATCGACACGTATATAAACAGTGGTTTGGAGATTTCTGTTTTTTTTTGTTGCATCTCAACCGTGGGGAATCCCGCAAGGGGCGGGACGCGGCGGAGTAATATCGTGTATGCGGGCAGTCATAATGACGAGGTGGTTGACGAGGACGGTCTTCATGGATTAATTGTTTCCTTGGCGAACATGGGGGCATTTTGGCAGGACGGGCATGGTTGTAATGGGGCCAAAAAAGGCTCGGCCGGAGTTGCGACAACGCAGGGCGGCCTTGGGCTACGACGATCTACCTAGTACCCTTGTAATCACTCTTCGCTGGCTATGTATGATAGAAGCATCAGTCTTTTGCTCTGGAGTTTTTTCAGGAGTTCCAGAGCGAGAGCGGTATACGATGGTAATTGATGTATCTGTTCTCGGTTTGACGCATGTGACTACTTCGTCAAAGACGAGCTTTGGTGAAGCATGCTATATTGACACAACTTAGCAACTCTTGGATCAGCAAAATTTCTAGGCAGGTAACTTAATTATCAATACATCAACCGCAAGTAGTAAAAATTCGCAGCATATGGCTTTCTCATGACTGATTCTGACAGAGGGATAGATCTCTCTTCTGTCGCTCGTGTTACCGTATCAACTCAATAAATTGGCCCTGTTTTTATGGACTAAAGCCAAGCTATATAAGGGTTAGATTTCCTAAATCATTAGGTATAAAAAAGCCCGAAGGCAATAAGTTGGGGAAGGATTCAGGGCCAGTTTACTGAGTCGATATGGTAGTCCTGTTTCCACTCACGTCCGACAATGAGCATTTTCGCCCAAGTTCATAGGTTGACTTCCAGGGCCGTTATATATAACAATAGTCTTGGTACTATCTATGTATCATCGACTCTCCACTCCGAACCATACAACCCAGGTACTTCATCATTTTTAACTCCCATACTCATACATATAGCCTCCGAAACAATGATACCGCAAATATCCCGGCAAAGACCACCACACTACAATAAACGACACCCCGTAATTTGTGACTCCCAGAAACTGCCTCGACACAAATTCCAGTTGTTTCTCTGAATGATATCGGGCCCCTTTCGAATTTGGTGGATTGATTGTGGTTGGTTGATCTTGTAAGATATTTGATTGCTTCGGCGCAGTCGAGTTCCATCTACCATTTGTTAGCTGTGGCTCCTCGCGCACAACTTACTTCGTATACTTCCCAAGGCGCAAGGTAGAGCGCTCTCCACGGGCCGATATTATTGCAAGCAATAGCATATGTGACTTCGAGGATCTTAATCTCATGAAACATACAACCGAATAAAGGACAGAGAAGAGGAAATGAAGGAAGGAGGAGAAAGGGGAAGCGAGGGAAGAGAAAATTGAAGAATCACACCGAATGACCACAGTATGTGTCGCTCAGTGCGCAGCTGTCAGCAACTAAGCGTAAGTTTTGTAGTGAGCTCATATTATATATTATAGAATAATTTCCATATTAAGAAGGATCAATTGAATACTGTTGGGGAACCAGGCAACCATGGTATGGAATCCCACAGTATGGCCCTAGCTTCGAATCGAGTATCCTCCGCGTCTACTCATTCTTAGACGACATGCCCGCCATTCCTTTTTAGCAGGGCGTTTGGGGAGTTTAGGGAGTTTGGGGCGAGAAAGCAGAGGCCCCTCGTCCTCGAGACCTGTAGGCAGCACAGCAACTTCGGATAATGATTGTGCCTCGGAGAGATATTGCATGCAGAGTTCAGGGTTGTGCTCCGACAGATCCCATGCCTTGAAAAGATCCCAAACTCGAGGCCAATCTCTTCTTCTGACCCTGCCGGTCTTGCGGATATGCTGGCTGGCACTTGGAATAGGCCCAAATGCATCTATGGGGAAGAGCCAGAACCCATAGGCCGAAGGAAGTGCCTGGTCATCGTCCTCGCAGGCTGTCCCCTCCTCCGCACATGTCTTCCGCCATCTTTGCCAATACTTCTCCTCCTCCCAGAGCGCCAGATATGCCTCCTCTCGGTTTTCCACCCGCCTGCTATCTAAAGTAATCATAAAGCGATACTCAACCGAGTAATTGTGGTACTCAATCTGCCACTTCTCAAGAAGCCTAAACCAGCGGTAAATTTGGTCTCGTGGATCTCCGAAGCCCATAAAAACCTTCTTCAACTCTGTTTCTATTGATCTGGGATCTCGTGGCTGCCGCTGAAACTTTGAGACGGCGGCCTGAAGGGGTCGGGAGCGAAGTATCTGGCTCTTCTTGAAGCTTCCGCAGGTAGTCGAGATGTCTGGAATCCCACGTCCAAGTTGTCCGTCATATCCAAAAATAGCACACTGTAGTCTTGACAGAGCTTGACGTAGAAGATCTTCATCCTCTTTTTGTTGAAAAAGCTTGTCATAGTGCCCCCTGGGTCCGCTCTTAGCCAACCCAAGGTTGACGAGTCCAACACGCCGAGGATCGTGGGCCCAGAGCACATGCAAGAACCCAGCAAAGAACTTTTGGCCGGATATATCCAAGATGTCTAGCTCCGGGTGGAAATAGAAAGCCCCTTCTATCAGAGGACTGCCCAGCTACTTATAGTAGCAAGGCACTTGGACCCGATAGAAACGCATGGCAGCTTGCCGCGACTCGGAGCAAACGCGAAGAAGCTTCTTATTTCATGTCCGTTTCTCAAGACGATGAGAAATTTTCCGAGAGCTGTAGCGAAGCCTTAGCCTGGTCCCTGACAGTTCGCTCTTGATCCTCGTACAAGTGTTCGGGAGAAATCCCCGGCCAGAGTTCCACCCGGATCAGACGCTCATGATAGAGTGATTGCTCCCATATAACGGAGCGAAGCTCGAGGGGAAGCCTAGTGAATTGCGTAAAGGCACCGGTTCCGATAGGCACCGTGTTGATAAATTGCAAATGGGGACTGGAATGGTAGGTCATGTTGAGAATGATTCTGAGAATGGCGACGAGAGTGTTGTCGAAAAGTGGCTGGCAGCTGACGAAGGTAGGATTATCCAAGGCAACCAAGTACCGCAGAGAATCAGGACTGTCACATGTGATATATACCACTATCAAGCCTGGTGGAGCCGAGTCTCGATCTTGTGAAGAGACGTCGTGATATTAGTGATTGGCCGACATGCTTTGGTTCGCCGAGAGCTTCCTATGCGAAGAGGAGACTTCAAGATTGGTCATTGGCTGAGTTTGCAATATAGAGTTCCACAGAGGCAGAGAATTGAGAGGCTTGCCAGGTCGACCAAGAAAATTCTAGATAAGGAGCTGGTAAATCATCTGGTGCTGGTTGTAGTGCTAAAGGTGTGTCCCTATTGGTTGATATAGATTAAAGCTATAGAAAGAATCCACCAAATACCTAAAGCCTGGAGGCTGGCCTATGCAAAGTGCTGAACTAAGGGGTGGGACCTGTTCAGTAGGTATTCACATGCCGCGGTGGGACGAAGGGAGCAGCATGCGGGTCGCCAGGACAAGTCCACGGCTCTTCATTCGGTACTCGAAGAGAGGAGATAAAAGCAGGAACGAGCGTTGATCATCAGTACGAGCAGGTCATGACTGCGAGCACGCGTAACATGTTGAAGAATGATGTAAAGCAAAGCTTGGCACATTAAGATGGAGCATATCCCGACCCAAGACGCGAGGCACATACGAATACAAGGAGAATAGTAAGAAAGAATAGACCAAGACTCATTTTAGAAACAATCAATTGGATGTGATTCCCGGCGTGGATCCCAGGTGTGTCATGAGATGGCGCGTCGGCTTAATTAAAGCGCGGGTGGTCCCTTTAACTCATGAGTTACTACAGAACGGCTGGGAGGCCTGGGAGCGGAATGTGGGTGGGCATGCGTCATGCGCCCAAGCCGAATCCACCTTTGTGATATCCAATATAACTGTGACTTGTCTTTGAGGTGCAGGAGGAAGGTCTGTCTTGGCTCGGCCGCGATGACGCAAGCCAGGTTTTTATTTTATTTTAGCTTGTTTTATTATTTTTGTTTTATTTTGTTTTATTGTTTAGTTTTATTCCAATATCTATTCTGACCGTCGCCCTCCAACTAGTCTGCCAGACCTCCCTACATGGGATAGTTCACACGGGACGCGCAGAGAGACACAGGGAGGACGTAGGACGGCCCCTTTCAATTTCGCCGACGGAGCGATCCCGTAAGCACTTGGGCTGTTCCGCCCGCCGAAGGAAACAAAGGGAGTTCTTTGTCGGCACCCGAGGAGCGCCAGCAGCGCGAGGTGGGCGTTAATCTCACAAGCGGCGCCAGCTGATGAAAGCCAACCAAGTGCCGGGCGAGGACATTCCCCAGAACAGCGCGCTTGTGTGAGCCTGTAACGCCCGGCTTGCGAGCGGACGGGCCACCCCCAGGCCAAGACATCAGCCCTGGAGCCCTGGAGGCCCTGGATGAACGCCACTTAGCCTCCATTTGCGGGGACAGGGGCAGACACCAGTGATTCACTGGACGCGGTGGCATTCCCAGCGCGGTATCTTTTAGGGGAGGGCGGCTGATCGGCCGTGTGTTAGTGGTCTGTCCGTGGTCTGTTAGTAGAGGGCGGGCGGTTCAACCCCTCTCGACTCAGTAAAACGGCAGCCGGTACAGCGCATTGGGGAACACCGAAACACTCCAGGTAACTGCGGACAGGTAGGTACCAATTGCTAGAGCTGCCAAGCTGAGGCCCCCCCGCCCCCCCCCCCCTCCCCCCCGGCCCCTGGACTACTGTACCTTCCACGCTTGTTCCTGACCCTTGCCAGCCCGAGTCGATTGGATTATACGAACACCACAACTCCCCTCACTCCCCTCCTCCTACTTGAATCTCCCCATCATCCGCATCCTCCTTTCGCCTTTTTCCCGCTTCACCAACTCACTGCACTCTTTTGCTTCCTCGTCCTCGTCCTCCTCTTCCTCCAGCTCGTCCGCCTCCCCCAATCGCCCCTCCCGCGCCATCTCACCACTCTCCCCGTCCCTGGGGGAACAGCTGCAGCCATGAGGAATCCCTTCCGCCGCCGGGTCAAGAAGAACGACTCCACTGGTGGCTCCGATAGCTTCGCCGTCCCAGCAGACCTCATGCCCCGGCCGCCGCTCTTCGCGCCTACCCACCGCTCCGCCCAGCTGCTCGCCTTCCTCCCTCCCGCCGTCATCGAGCGCGTCTTCGCCTTCGTGTGCCCCCACACTCGCGACGAGAGCTACGACTCATGTGAGGGCAGCGCAGCTTCCATCGACTCGCTGTGCATGCTCTGCGACCTGCGCGACCTGGCGCATTCCGCCCGTGTCTGCCGCGCCTGGCGGGCCATTGCCATTAGAGCTTTGTAAGTTTGGTTCATTTGCCCCGCGTTGCCATCTCTTGGCATCGCGAAGAGTTGCCGCGACTTCAACCGCTGACACTTGTCCCTAGATACCATAGCGTCCGCATCGACCCTGTCCACTACTGCCCCCGCGAGGCATGGCTCGCCGAGAGGCGCAAGAAGACGTCCCGTTTCGACCGCAATGGCGTCCCCGAGGATCCTGCCCAAGCCCGTTTGCGACTCCTCCGCCGTACCGTCCGCGATGATCCAACCCGCCTCGGCAAGCTAGTTCAGTTCCTCAAGATGCCTTATATGTTGCGCGAATCGTGCCAAGTCGAGCTCGCCCAGACCATCGCCGTGCTTCCCAATCTGCACTTCGTCGATCTGCCCGAGGGCATGTTCTCCGACGACCCCCACTTTGCAACGCTACGGCTCGAAGTCCAGGCGCGTTGTCCCAATCTGCGAAAGATGACCTATGTCGGGGGGTCTGAACGAAGCTTCGCCATGCTGGCTTCGGGCCAGATCTGGCCTCGCTTGGAGGTGCTGGAGATTAACAATCTTGACATCGACCCCATCACCGTCCGTGCCGTTCTCGGCTGCCTGCCAAACCTCCAGGCCTTGAAGGTCTCGGAGACGCCAACCCTCACCGACGAGGTACTGTCCTCCGGTGACGGTCTCCCTACTCTCCCACCTCTCAAAGAGCTCGTTCTCAAGGACACTCCTCGTGTGACGGTCAAGGGACTTATTGAGTACCTCGCCTGGCAGGAGACACAGCAAGCCCTTAGGGTGTTGACCCTCAAAGACACGGGCGTCCACCCTTCTAGCCTTCAGGAGATCCTGACCATGGCCTCCTCGCTCAAGACCCTCGCTATTCAGACAAAGGTTATAGACCAGTTCCCCAGCTCGCCAAACATTCGACCGTTGGCATCCCGTTCGTTGGAGACGTTCCGGTATGAGATATCCGGGGCCTCATCTGCCAGCGCCTTTTCCAGCATGACAACGGGCTACTACAACTATCTCGCCTCGTCCATCATGGGCGGCGGCTTTCCCCGACTGCGCCGCCTATACGTCCAAGACGATACGTTCCCAGAGCAGCTTCAGGGCCTTCCACCTCCTAACGCTGCATTTTCCGGCGGTCATGTTCGCTCGGGCTCTAACTCTTCTATCAAGTCCACTCCGGGATTCAGTCTCTCACCCCGCTCTGCCAACCTCTCACCACTCGCTCCGCCCCGGCGACCTGTCTCGAATGTGCCCGTGAATCGGCGGTTCAGCTCCAACAATCCCTTCGCTGCACGGAACCCCACCTCACCACCCCCAACACACACCCTCGAAGTCTTTACCAAGAGCGATGAGTTCGGCAAATGGAACTTTGCCCGCGTTGATACGTTCAAGTCAATCGCCGCGCCGTCTCGTCGACCGGTCAGCAGCTATGGGTTGGCGGCCGATGTCGCAGGGTCTGGATGGGACGGAGGCGACGCCCGGCGGAGCGTCATGGTCGGCAACGGCGCAGGAGGATTCTTGGCCGTACCAGGAATGGATACTAATCAGAACGAGTTTGACGATGGATCTGAGTCGTGGAGACCCACAAGTAGTGGAGGAGAACCACGAGGGAGTCGCGATCTGTGGAGATGATGTGGAGATGGGATTCGTTCTAGGATGCGAATTCAATAAATTGAAAAGAGAGACATGGCATTGATGAGACACAGGGAGAATGGAAGGACTGGAAAGTTATATAACGATTCCAGGAGTGGGGAAGGGACTCGGTCGTTTTCATTGTTCTGGACCGACGCATTTTCGGAATCAAAATACCCTATCAGTTGATGTATGCTTGTTCTTGGTTTGGGGGTTTAAAATAGGCGAGAAATGTTGAATTAATTAATGAACTCCTTGAATCTGGAAGATTGACCAGATATTTCTCCATCCCAAGATGTGTTCCCACCCAGCGGGGCTACCCTGTACTCGATACCAATCGTCGCGCGATGCGGAATGTCGGCGACGATGACGCTGAAAACCCTAAACCGTACTGGATGACGAAATGTTGGCGTTGAGCCCCCATAATTACGATATGCAGCACGCTGCGGCTTCGGGTATGTCGTGACAATTCAGGTTTCTCTTTTTTTGTCGGAAAGTTGCGACAGCGTGTTGGAAATGTCGCTCCGACATCATCGCTTACCCTAGAAGCACAAAGTGTTACAAGGTCAAAATCAAGAAACTCGAGAGTAGATGTATCAAGACAAGATCATCGTGAACACAGGGTTGAAACTCGAGGTGATTGCCACGTGTGATGCCGTGCCGGGTAACTGGAGTGGTTCCTTGGATGAGGTTGGGCAAGAAGTCACCAGCTCCGTCTTCAATACTGTGCTGTGTGAGGTCATAGCAAGACGTCGAGATAGCAACCAACCTCTTAGACGGACGCGTCCTCCCACATTTTATTGGAAAACCAGTAACAAGGTTGGAAGGCTCGCCAACCAGTGAGGGGTGATGTCAATCGTCTCCAGCCCAACCTCTCTCTTCCAACTTGCAGCGGTCCAACCTACCAAAGCCACAATCCTCATGGCGATGACGTCCCCCCGCATCCACTAAGAGGGACCCCCGCCACACCCAACCCATTGGCCCAATTGCCATAGTGCCGACCCTCGTCGAACCACTACCGAGCAATCGCACCACAGGAATGTACTTCACAGCCGGAAATGATATATGTTCCAAGACCATGTACTCCATCGGGATCGATGCTGGTGGTCCCGCCTAAGTGGTCTGATGGGATGGGGACTAATACGACATCAACGGACCGTAGAGAATGGAGAAAGAAAAGAAAAGAAGCGAAGACTGAGTTGGTGGGTGCGGGCCTGACGTGGCGACGATGCTACCTGCATGCATGAAGGGTGACCTTGGAGTTGGAGACGGTAACTCTCGGACGGGCCTGGGCCTGGGCCAGGGCCAGTCACGGGCACGGGAATATGATGTGTAGTATAGGGGCATGGGTGCGTGCGATGGGATGAATTTGAGTCGACGTCGGGCGAATCGGAATGCCATGTGGTTTTGAGGTACGGGAGTTGACCGCTATTAGCGAAGATCCAGTTTGTGCCCTTCTGCATCGGGAGCGACGCCGCGCGATGCGGTAAGACGACGGTTCTTTGGTGTTGAGAAATGCACAACACCAGACGGGCAATGCAAAAACACAGGGACCTGCAGCACCTGCCATATTTAGATCCCCGAATAGGGTTCTGATTGCAATCTGCAGTTCATCTTATCACCGGGACTACAGCTCGTTATACGTCGTTAATGGGAAGGGTAAGCATAAAAGTCTTCGAAGCCCTCGCCACACACGGATCACACACACACACACTTCGTGACAAGGCCTTGTCCTGGCTTGGGCCAGCTGTCAACTTAAACCCAACCCAACCTGCCTGGACTAACCGATAAACACCAAATATATCCATTTCCTTCATCCTCCAGGAGTCATTAGGCGCTCGCCCTTGGAACATCACGAACACCCAGCCTTTACTCTCCAAAAATAAACTTGCCCCAGGATCCCCATCCCATTCCTGTTCCTCTGGATCCTCTCCATGGCTGCCGCCAACGCACACCCAAAAAAAACACACAGCCTATCCGCCCCGCCCACGGCTTAGAGCAGTTTACCACCAACACTTCTAAGCACCAACCGTATCGCCGTGGCTTTACCGCGCTCGAATTATTGTTCTTTCAAAGTCGTAGAGTTCTGATGCACTGTGCACGCAAGGAACGAAGGAAATGGAGAATGCGGCTCAGCCAGCGCCATGTGGGGGCCGCCTAACGCCCGTCTTCTCGTGTTGGCAGCCGACAAGCGCAGTACTGTGTACGACTGCTTGCTGGACGGCGAACAGCGACCCCGAGAATAGCAGCATGACCCGCACAGCCGCGGGCCAGCGCCGGTAGTGAGCAGTGGGCGTGATCGAATACGGGCAGTTACGATTCACACGTTGGCGGCCACAAGAGCTGTCATACGGCCTGGGAGGCGTGCTTCCTTGGCATCGGTTCGACGGCGACGGTTTGTCGGCCTTTCAGCTGGTATGGTGACTCTGTAGGTTCCATGTCTAACTGGTCCACGGTCGGGGCTAAGAGGGTGTCGAAGACTGTGACAAATAGCCCTTGTGGCGCGTTTATCGCGCTGACAGCTGAGCATCTGGAAGGTTGGTCGCCGCCGGCGCGGAACCGCCACCACTCACCTGCGCCCGTCGACCGTCTCATTCTCTATTTCTGTACCCAGTACATCCACATCAGACGCAGTCAGAATGTCGATGACTTCCCACGTCCCCGACCCGCGCGGGAGCTGGACTGCATCCTGCAACTACCGCCCTCTACCGCTGCGTCCAGTCGCATCCCACAAAGGTCAGGAACCGAACGGGCCGGCAGCGTGCCTCATCGCCTCCGGGAAGCCCCCACACGGGCCGACCGGCCCTCCGTGCACCCGCGGGGCGCAGCCCTTCCTCCCTCCTCCTCCCTCCTCCGGACCCCAAACCCCAAACTGTGCCGTATCTCATCTGCTCGCCTGCTGCGGCACCTTGCGTTGCGGGAAGGTCGATCGCCGACAAGGCCCGAGGCAGAAACCTCCCCCCCTACGAAAATGGACCGTTTCGCGGGGGCGACGTAGAGTGTGATCCGTTGGCGAGTAAAGGAACGTGGTACACGGTGCATTAAAGAGCTCGTCGCTTAATCGTGTGACGTTTTCGGAGCGCCGTTTTGCTGCTGGTGAGGGAGACTACGACAGGGGGAGTGTTTATTTGTTCATGCGTGCGGCGCGGGGTGGCGGACGAAACGGGCACGAACAAGGCCAATGGGCAAAAGGAACAACGAAGAGGAGGAGCTGACAGAAGAGGCACTATACGGAATACATCCGAGTCCCTTGTCTGCATTGTCGTGGTGTGCAGCATCCGTGGAGGGCGCAGCAGAAACAAAAGAGAAACCGAAGCAGAAGCAGATACAGAAGCAATGATGCGTTGTGCAAAGGGAGAGACGTGACACGCGAACAGTCGCAAACGAAGCGGGGCCAAGGGCGGATGAGAAGGGATGATATGGCTCCGAGGCCTATAGCAATCGCCCGCCCTTGCCCGTCTTACTCGTCCATACCCGAGTTTGAGGTGCCCTGGGTTTGAAAGATGTTTCCTGTCGCGGGGTCGCTGCGGTCCGAGGGTTTGTCGATCATCCGGGGCCTTCCCGGTGCCACGGGTTCTGCTCGTGGCCCATCAAGTGTGTTTGGTAGCTGTCGGGTGCTACGCGGATAGCGAAGGAGGCATGTCCTGGTTTGGTGTGCTGGATCGGAGTTTCGCTCGTCGGGTCGTGTTTCTGTCATGTTGCATCGCTGGGAATCCGTCACCCACGAGTCGATGGCTAGCTGCGTCATCGGGTTGCATCTGAACCGTGCGGAGCGTCTTGATCACATCTTCACCTCACACTACCACTTGGTGTGTTGGGACTTACTCTCCATGTGATGCACATCCAGCACTGTATTCCTCAGCACTGTATTCCTCAGCACTGTACATATCGCGACACAATGCATCCATCATGATTCGTCTGAGTTAGCCTGGTTGGGCTGAACGTCGACTGAACGTCGGCGTGTGTGTCTCAACTCAGTTCCACCTTTGCAGTTCGTTCCTCCCAATCCCCTCAACTGTGGCTGTTCACCAGCCTCTTCCACGAGGACCAAATCTGGGTCACTCTCTCAGCCATTTTTAGACTGAGATTGCGCTAGGCCAATCAGGGCTAGGAATGGCTGTTGAAGGGATCAGCCGTTGCCAACTGTGGAGGCTGGATTTGAGCTGTGGGTGTGTGGCTGTTGCAGCAGCGGCAACAGCTTGGACGTGGCTTGAACGGGGACCCACTCGCAGTGTGTGGCTCAACTCCAGAGGCTCTGGAGCTGTTGTGGGGAACAAAAGAAAGTAGAGTTGTGCTCCCGCAGCATCGCACCCGAAGCCATGACGCCATGACCAGGCAAGGGCCTGCCAGACCGTCGAACGGTGACCAAACCCACACATCCACAAATCCACACTCAACCGAGAAAAAAGAAAGCCCACCGAAAACATCCCTGTCACACCGTCCGCACTATTACACTGTCACAGCTTTTGCATCGTAGAGATATCCTTTCAATGCTTCTTGCATTAGAAGGAAGGCCAAGGCAGTTGTTTCCGTGTCGCAGAGCCTGAACATCGCCACCTCCATCAGCGGGCCACTGTCAGCGGGATCGCCGTGCAGTTGACCGCGCCACTGAGATTGCCTTCATCCATCGCCGACCTCGAACTCAATGCTGACTTGGTTCGCGCCGGTCTGGTGTCTCGTGTAAGAAGGTTGACATTTTAGTTTGTGTACTGCCCCCGCCACTACGACTCTCAGCTGGCCTTCTAATGCGCCGGGCTACGTTGGGGAGCCCATCATCATCAGCCTGGAGCGCCGATAAGAGGTCGTAAGCTGGGTCGCAGGATAATTGCATTTGCGGGCGGCTTTCGTGTTTGCGTCGTAGACGCCGGCCAGGCATTCGACCTAAGACCCGTCAATCAATCTTCATAGTGGCAATCCTGCTGCTGCACCACGTAGTTTGCTTCGATTTGGCATCTTGCCCCGACGCACCCGTACTGCAAATCTCAGGGACCGCTCAGCTCCGAAGGCCTTATCGCATTCTGGAACGAGCAACGGTGACGCTGACGAGACGACGAAGCGACGATACGGGACGGACAAGTAAGTTGTAATTATTCCGGCCCGGAATCATCGCCATCAGACGAACCTGCGACAACAGGATCTACGTCTCATCATCAAACCCCCGCGCGCTCATTGGTACCCTTGCTGGCTTGGCGACCCAGGATGGCCAACCTGAGACCAGAATGGCAAGGGGTTTCGGATGGACGTGTCAACGGGCCAGGGTCGCAGAGGCAAACGCAGACGAGGGAGGGGGCCAACAAGACGGTCGCCTCTTGTAAATCCCCATGCTTGCTCTGTGGCAGGGGGTCGGAGAGTGGAAGGGGAAAATTTTCGTAGGGGATCTGGTCACGATGCAAGGAGAAGCAAGTGCACACTGTACCGTACCCACGGCTATCTCTACCTAGGCATGAGGCCATTCGGGAAGAGGGCGAGGGCCAGGGCGAGACCAGGGAGAGAAAATGATCTGCTGCCAACTGAAATGGCCCTTGAAAGGTGAGGTGCTTGGTCCGGACACGAGTGCGGAAGATGAAAACTCTTACCGGGACCTAAATGTCGGTCTGTCGGTCTGCGCCCAAGAGGCGTGAGGCTGCCGAGAAGATGGATGGCCGGGTGTCTGGCACACGCAGGCCGTCTAAGGCGCTCTGAGCCGTGATTCGCGCATTGTGCTCGCTCTGCGCTGGTACGATTGCGGTGCTGGCCAGCGGCGGACCAACGAGGGCTCAACGATGGCAGTGGAACCGCCGGCGACGACACTCCAACGGACGACTTTTGTCTGCTCGCCCCACGAGCCCAAGAGAAGCGCTTCACGGCCAGTGTCGCCCAATCTCGATTGTGCCTGTCGAGTTCCTGCAGCGCACCTAATGCGCGTGCGAGGGAGAGGGCAGGGTGACGAGGGAAAAAATCGAACAAGAGCCGCTGTTGACCAGGGCCGGAGCATGGCCGCAGGGCATGGAGGGCATGGCGGCCTTGGGATCGCCAGTGCTCTGTGCAGACTGCAGCAAGTGCCTGCCTTAGTCGAGTCCGCTTTGGTGAGCTGGCCGGAGTTGGCGCACGTCTTAGAGTCGCAGCCAACTCGGCTTGGGCTTGGTGTCTCGTCGAGCGGCATCGTTTTCGCTCGACTTGCATCTCTAGGCCACGGACCGTGTGTTGGCGAGGTTGGTGCACACACACAAAATGCGCGCAACACAACGCGACGGGACTGCTTACGCCTCCCCTTTGCGGACTTGGTCTGCCTCGCCGGAACTCGACGATGCTGTTCGCTGAGCCTGAGACTCGATCTGTCTAAATACAGGCGTAGCACGGGGTAGACTTCGCTCAGCAGGCAAGCTGGATGGCGGCTGGATGATGCGCTGGTGAGGGATTGGTCGACTGTGGGTGTGTGGGGTTGCGTTGTGTCTGGTGGATGTAGTGGATGTGGGATGTGATACGCGACGCCATGGTTGCAGGGCGTACTGGCAAGACTCCAGCTGCAGTTCTGCAACATCCACACAGATGCCGTAGGTCGATGGTTAGCTAGTGGTGGTGCCGTATGTGTCTCCCACCGTCCACAGTCCACAATCGACGACGTAAACTGTCTACAACAAACAGTTACAACAACCCACAGGAGACAGCATCTCAGAGGCCCCCCCTCCCTCCCCTTCCACCCCTTGGCTGAAAAAGGCCCAACTGCCAGACCTTAGTCATGGCGCCGGGCCACAGCTAGAGCCAAGTCGATTCGAATCGAATCGTGGACCTGGGCCTAACATGCGGCCGATCACCAGGAACGGGCGGCAATGGCTCAAAAGCCGACCAACTAACCACCAACGATTGACCCCCAACTGCCAACCATCATCCTCCATCCACCATCCACCATCCACCAGCCCTGAACGGATCAGGATTTTCCATTTCCGCATACTGCACTTTATCTGAAGGATTGACAACAGGATCTCATGCAACATGACAGGACCGTCATCTCGGAGCAAGTTGACGTATGCCCCTCACCCGAGATAATGAGATTATTGAAGTTCGTCATGACGATTTTGAGTTCACTCAACAGTCACCGCCCGTAGATTACGGACCCTCCAGACTCGAGAAGCCCCATGAGATCGTTCAAGGGTTGCCTTCCTTTGGCGGGGAGGGGCTTGCTTTTCGCGTGACAAGTGCAGATCATCGCTGGGCTCCAACAAAGCGGTGTCCAGTTGCGCGACGGAGCCAGGACATCGACCTATCATGGTGTGCGCCCGTGCATAACTTTCCATCTTGCTGCTGCTGCCTCCTCAAGCAAGTAACGCACTGGAATCTGTTCCATGTGCCAGTGAGATGCCAAGCCCAGATAATAACTCAGTATTATGCCCAATCACGACTCGTCATCGAAAGTAAGCATCGAGGTTGACGACAGACGTTGGAACACACAAAGCCCCAAACGGTTCAGGGAAACAACCCCTGGCCCAGGGTCAAGAGAATGTCACTGTAGAGTGGAGAAATTCGGATTTTGGTCTGGTCTCCTGGTTTGCCTCTGTATGCCGCGTTGGCCAGTGGGCGTCTGCCCCTGGACCCTGAAGGTGGGAGTGGGAGTGGGAATGGGGACCGCACTGTTCAGGGCAGGCGGTTTCGTTGGATGGATGGAGGCATGGGCAGCATGGGCAGCATGGCGTGGCCGATGGACAATGCACTTTCAAAGGCTGGCTGGACGGGAAAACCCCTATTAGGAGTAACGCCGTCGCTGATGGACGTGGGAAGAGGAGCAAGGCTGATGGAGGGCAGATGATGGACGACGAATGATGAAAGCGGAGAACGGTTGAGGTGTTTAGGATTATGGTAAGAATTAGGATGGTGATGGGCTGGAGACGGGCAATGTCGATGACGAGAGCGGCCAGCAAAGGCGGCGATGCAAGGCAGAGCAAGGCAGAACAAAGCCGAAGCGTGACAGAGACATGGTCGAGCATTGCACGGAGTACGCGTACCGAGTATGTAGATCCGGTCAATGCATAGCAGAGCGAGGTGCAAGAGGGAGCTGATGTGAGTGACAGCATATCCGCGCGTGAGTGAGGCTGGTGCACCATGCGCTGTGGTGGCTGTACATTGCCCAAGTTCGTCAACCGTCCTGTCTTCCAGCCAGTCAGCGTTGGCCGTCAACCACACCTATCGTCACTGATGTGGCAGCCAGTCAGCTGGGCCACCAGCCAAGCTCTGGTATTCGTACGAAACACACGCAAGCCAGACTCGGGACCCAGAACACCGAGGACGGGCTAGGGGGTCAGTCCACGTAAGGCATGTTGGGGAGGCAATGCAGGGTTCGGCATTCTTTTGGACGTCTGGAAGAAATGTTGAACTCATACCGGCGACCTTCGGACAGGCTCCGTGTGGGCTCCGTGCCGACGGACGGACTGCGAAGGGACGGAAGTATTGACCAACGGCGGGTGGAGAGCTTGCGGAGGAGCTTCGCCTGTGACTGGAGCCCAGCGCAATCCATCGGCGGCCCAGATCCCACGCTGCTTCGCTGCACCGCTGCACCGCTGGCTGAGACCCTTGAGAGACGAGGCGCCGCTCCAAAACGCTCTGATGCCGGAGGCGTTCAGACACAGGTGAGCCCTCGTGCACCACCAGTGCACCACCGCGTCCGCTGGAATGAGCAGCTGGGGGCCTGTTCTTACATGAAACGCCTCCCTGGGCAGCCATGAGTGCGCCAAGGCTCGCTGCCGACTCAGTGGCTTCCTTCAGGTCGACCTCGACGCTGTGCTGGGCTCCTTCCCCCTTTGGTCCTTGGGCGCCACGAGCAACGACGTGGGAAGGTACGTATCTACCCGGCCCCGACGACATCAGCCCCACCGTCCCCACCAGCACCGGCCAGCACCCCACCGGATGCGACTAGGGCCCCTGCCACCTTCCCCTGTACCCAGTGCGGCGTCCTCGCGGCTCACACTGCAGGGACCCTCCTTCCAACTTCCCAACTTCCCATCCGTCAACCGTACCAGGAGGTGGCGGCAGGCGTGGTGGGCACCCAAAACCCTTGCTCCTGGGTCTTGGTGGGCTGGACAAGGGTCTTGCGAACATGGGTCGTGGGACTTGGGCCATGGGACCTGCTGCGTGCTGCGTGCTGCGCTCTCTCGTCGCTCCATTTCATACATATGGTCTGGCGCTCCCCAGCCGCCTCAATTGAAACATCTCCTGCTCTTGTTCACTGTTCCTGTACCTGTTCACCGAACAGATCGAGCTTCACATTTCCCTTTTTCTTCTATCTCGACATTCTTTCGCCTTTTCCCTTTGGCCTGTCATATCCTGTTCTTCGTCTCCTTTGTCACTTCGACATCCGGGATCCGAAAACTCGACCGAGAGCCCCCTTCAAACCGCACACCCTTTGTCGGAGTGTCTGAGTCCTCCCTCAGACTCTTTATCCCAGGCCCGGGAATTCAATATCGTGAATAGGCCGGTTATGTCTTTGACATTGCCTGTTCCCGACCACACACTCCCAAGGGAGCACGTTCCAGAGTCCGCTGCGCGGTGTCTCCAACAATCACCGCTCCCTCTTATAGATTCCCTACCCACCTCGCCTTCGCTTTACTCCGACGACGCCGACGACGAGATTCCACGAAAACCCAACCAACTATCACACAACATGATGCCGCGCCAGCGACAACCTACCGCCGAGCAGGCTCCGGCCCTACCTGAGAGGAGTGCCCGTCGAGCTTCAAGGATGCTCGACGGCCTCACTCCCCATAAACTTATCGCGGAGGACCAGCAGCCCCCTCTGAAGGCCCAATCCGCCCCCCACGATGTTTACCTCTCCTCCGAGGAAGACGCATCCTCATCCGCCGACGACTTCTCCGACTTCGAGTGCGAGTCTAGCAGCGAGCAATCTCAGAAGTCAGCTATTCGACGGGGCAGCCAGGAGGACACCGCCCGCGTGGTCTCAGTCATCTTCTCAGGCAAGCCCTCCATCGTCGACCTTCCTCGGCGATTTATCTCTCCCAGCTCTAGCGAGACCTCTTCCCGACCTCCCAGCCGCCTCCGGAGAACTTCGACAATGCCCATCATGGACCACCGCCGAGTCTCCATGTCCTCTTCCCCCTCTGGCTCCTCCGTGCGGTCTTCCATCATGCACCCTCCCCGCACTAGCAGCATGCTTCCCAGCAGCCGCCTCGAGAAGCAAAGACCTCATTTCCTTAACATTGACCCATTCGCAACCAAGACTGAGCGGGAGGAAGAGCATAACAATGGCGACCTGAAGACGCCCAAGACGCCCACAGGCATGTTCAAGCGCACGCTTAGCCTCGTCAAGAAGCGCAGCAGGCCTTCCCTAAACACTCACTTCATCACCCAACACTCCTCTCTATCCCGAGACAGCCTCCCGTCGTTCATCACGCCGTCCTCCCACATGGAGCAGGTTCGAGAGGAGTCTCCGGCCCCCGAGCCTAAATCCGCCCCCCGGCCTGTTAGCCGAGGACCTGTCACTTACCACGAGATTGTCATGTCCGCGAAGCGAAGGGCCCAGACGACACCCATGTCGCCCATCTCTCCTCTCTCAGAACCTGCATCCCCGATGACTCCTAATGGCACCCGGCAACGCCTACGACAAGGTTTCTCTTCCGCCCGACGGCGGAGTATCAAGGCATGAGCAAGAGTATTATCGCGCTTATGTTCTGATTGTATGACGTATTACGACTGGGTTCAACATCTCCATCTTGGGACCGGCGTTATATTGGCTTTGTTCTTTATGTCCTCTTTTTCTTTATCATCTTTTACTTATCCCCTTTCTGGGAGGTTTTCTTTTCTTGGGAAGGTTTTTAGGGCGCATTGTTTTTGTCGGAAGACAACCAGGCAGGAACAAAAGGAGGCGGAGTTTGGGCATGGGACACTCGTTTCTCTTTTGGGTTACGAATGCTTTTTTGGGGAAGACTGGAGTTTGGCGCCTTGCAACATACACACACACGCATACATGTTAGCGCCCTGGACAGGCCACTTTCGTTATTGAGATAAATTGTTAATGAGGCCGAGGTCGTTGAACCGACCCGGTCGAGGGGCAACACATCCGTCAGAGTCATGGATTGGAAGATAGCTGTTTTCGCACGCGCAATACCAACACAGACATGATTGCTTGTTCCCAAATGGAAAGACCCCTTCACTTCACTTACTGCTTCCGTGAGACACTCATCTGCGCCGAATTGGTAATTACTTTTGGGGGATCTTAGTTCTCATCGTGCTGTGGACACTTCAGTACGTGCAAATCCGTAAGTCCGTCATGTGCTATGTATCTGTCCGTGCCCGCTGAAATAATGCATGATGTGTTTAATGGACGCTTCTTCCCAAGTCCCATTTGAAAGCGATCAAAGCGCGGCTCGAAGCGAGACCTTACTTGTTGGTGTATCTACGTGCTAGTTTTTCTTGGGGACTTCCTTTTGGCTTCTAGATCTTGGCGGGGAGGATGGCGCGAACTGTGCGTGTTGTGAAGACAAAAGAAAGCAGAGACATTGGAGTTTCACTAAGCAGGCTACGGGGATGTGTGTCGCGGTGCCATGCATGGTTGGCATGCCGAATTTGTTATTGAGTTTGAATGTCTAATTTTCCACGACTGTTATGATGGTTTTAATATGAAAAGGGACGAATTGATCTGATCTGTGTTGTGATGTGTGGATGGATGTGGAATGGCACCAGACGAGGATAGTGTAAGTGGACGTTTCGGCGCTGAGGGACGCACTGCGTATGTTGCGGACGGACCTCTGGCTCCTTGAGCTTGCACCTCTGGTTCCTGGGCTTGTCGTCTGACAAAGGGAAGTCTGGCTTTTGGCGGTCAGTTTGACAGTTGGACTCAGGCACGCAGCGAATGGGCGCATGGGACGCAGGGCGGCGGCGTAAATGGTTCGCCTGGCGTTTTAGTTCCAGCAGGAGGTTGGGGTCGTCGATTACTACTTCGGGAACGTCAGGTGGCGGGCCCTCGCGGCCAATTGGCTTTCGCGGTGTGGGAAGGGCCCGTGGGAGGAGGGTTACACTCTGACTTATACTGGAAGTGACGGCAGGTTCAGTGGCAGGGACGGACGGGGGGTTTGTTCGTTCTTCCTTTCCTTTGGAGGGACTGACTGCATGGGGATTGCGTCAGGGGAACAGACAGATGCAGGAACGGTGACAGGATACGGAGCCGGAGCAGGAGCAGCCATGGCCGAACGGACTCGTCCCGTCTTGACGCGGCCGTCCGTAGGCCGTAAGTTAGGTGTGCCATGTTCGTCCGCCTGGTTGGATCTGGCCGCCGACAAACTACGGAATCAATTATCTACAGAGACGGGACTCGATGCAGTGGATGCACCGGCTACCAGAAGACAGCTTGTGCAGGCCATCGGTTGCATCCGTCTGTCCTCCCTCCGTAATGCCCAGGGGGGGTGCTCCGTCGGCGTCCTAATTGAGATCTTCTCTACGAAGGCGGATCAAAGCACAAGCCACCGACCCACCGCAAATGCAAAACAACGGTGAAGCAGTTGGCAGAGCACAAAGAAAAAAGGGTCACTTCCAACGGCCACAATTAAGCAGGGCGCCCAAATTGGCCGTCATTTCGTTCCATGTAGGGCAATTGGGGGCTTGGGAATTGCGGTGGAGCGTAGTCAACCCACCCACCGACGGGACGCTTGATTACCGACAGAGCCAAACTCCACCGTAGAAGCTGCAAGGTACCGCGTTGGCGCAACATGGCCGGCGCACACTGTAGCCATCACCAAGCCATTGTCATCTGTTGAGCGAAGCAGCCTCGCGCCGTCGACAGCCGCATCGCCTGAATTGGCCTGCTGAGACAGCTTCGGGCTTGGCTTCACCGATGCCATTTAGCCCAGCTCTGACCGCCGTTGAATTGAGCAGGCGCCAGTCCGCAATCGGGCATGGTCGATACTGCTCTCTCGGTAGTCACAGCCGATCGTGGCCATGACGCTCTCGTTCTGCTCCGTTAATTGCGCGACTTTGATCACGCTGCCATTTCCAAAATCCAGCCGCGTGCTCATAGCTTCTGCATCTTGGAGCGTGGACATGGACGTGGGAGTGGACCTGTACAACTGCGTGGAGACGTGAGAGAGGACCCTGGCCGGTGATCATTTTACTCCGTCCGCGACATGCTCTCGTATTCTTCATTCTTCTGGAACCGTGACGCCGCTTCAGCTTCAGTTCGACTAGCTTAAGTCTTCCGATGCTCAGAGGCTCAGATGCTTAGATGCTTAGATGCTCAGACCCTTAGATGCCCAGACCCTCTGACCCTCAGACCTAACCCCGATCAATCCTCCTCTCCCAGGAATAGTTCACACACATCCCGACGTTACGGCTCTGACATCTCTGACAGCCTCCCTCTCCCCCTTGGCCCGCATCTATCTGTCTGTAACTCGTAAAGGCCCGCCGGTCGACCCGACCGACCTGGCCTGACCCCCGTTGCACCGCCTGCAACCTGCAAGAGTAATCAATATCCTTCCCGCGTCGACCGTACTGCAAGATTGCCCACCAGAGCCTCGAGTGATCCCGGTGCCCATCATCTCCACTGCGAATCCGGGTACCTGAACTAGCGAGATGGAAAAGAGAGAGGGAGAGGGCCTGCGCGGGGGATTCTTGGCCCTGCTAGCTTCTAGCGGCTAGCCAGGCACTGTCGCTGAAGCTAACGAGGCGTTCGTCATTTCGTTGGCGGCTGAATGGCGCGACGCCTTCGGACGATCCAGGGGTTTGCCCCTCCTCGGACGGGGAGGACTAGTCACGAAGCTCAATGAACGGTGAGGTTCTGGAAATTGTTCGAGAAGAAAACGGAGCAGTATTACCACATACGTAGATGGAGGCTGGGAGGAGGATGTCATGGGATGGCTTCGTCGCGGCTCACTCCGTCAGTGTTTCCGCACAGCACCCACCACAGCGGTAGACGGAGTAAACAGAGACAGCTAGACTCAAACGTGGGCATGTGGCCAGAGCTGAGACACAGAAACGCCTTTGAGACAAGGATTCGGCCCTGGTACCGTACCGTGGCGCGGTGTACTGCAGACTTCAACAGTGCAGAATCTCCAAGGTCTCCAAGGCAGATGCTGATCAAGGATGCTGATCAAGTATACAGTATCGTGACGTTAGCTGCAACTCAAGGACCCGGCATTCCGAGGGCAGTGATACGAGGGCAGTGATCAACTCGACACACGCAAAGTCCCTCCGATCTTCATCTGCGAATGGACCAGATGACGACGTCTAGGAACGTATTGTACCTCTGCTAGATGAAACAGAGTGACGCGCCGGTGGCCAACCCACCTATCACGACCGACAGTCCGCGAGGGGCAAATTGGGCCTCCCGACGATTACCGATCAACGAAGCTCTCTCCACTCTGGCCGTTGGGGATTGAGTGCGTAATCCGGGGACTCTCCTGTTTGTTTGGGGCACCGCACTGTGAGGAAATGCGTGGCGAAGCCGTTCAGCGGGGTGGCGCCTTTGGCCTGGCGATGCTAGTCTGAGGAGGAGATTTGTACTACGCGGTAGGGGGAAGTGATCATCGCCAAACGTCTGTGCCGGGTTACCAGGGGAAGAAGATGCGAGAGCAACAAACTGTGTGGAGGATGGTGTTTGAGCTATGGTGAGCTGATATGGAGATCCCTCGCTGGGTGAGCCGAGCCACGATGATCCTAGATGCCGATGTGGGCTATGTCGACGTCCAGCGGGGAGCAGATGAGATGGAGATAGAGACGGATTCAGGTGAAAGGAAGATTTGAGGGTGGCCTTGAAGAACGATTAGCGACTGGGATGTGATTCCCGTCAGAGCACTACTACGATAATAGTACTCTTTTGGTGGTACTAGACTCTGCCAAAGCGTTGCTGAGCTTGGTTGCTGTCGAGGGGACGTGGCATCGGCTGGCGCATGCGTACAATGGGACATAGGCGAGGCGTCTTTCATAGCTTGTCCTGCCTGAGCCGACGTCCTTGCCACCACGGAACGTTAGTGTTGGGTTTGGCAGTCCAGACTCTGACAGTCGGGTAGTCTAGCAAGGGGACGGATATGTTTGGTGGCGGCTGATGCGTTGTTTGATGTATGGTCTTTCGGTGTTGGAAAACACTATCATCGAGAGGCAGGGCTTTGTTGGCCTCGTATATCCAACCATCCTAAGAGTGGTCGATGGGGTCGGTCCACCGTACAGTTCCATTGCTAACGTTGCTAGGATCGCAGCTTCACGTCACCGGAATTCTGTTAACCAACTTCTCCACCATGGACGAATCCAAAGAGGGGTCTAGACTGCCACTGATGAACTGAGGAGTGTTGCTGGCCTTCATGGGACCCTGGAGGCTGAAGGCAATATAGAGGCATCGACATCGACGACTGCTACACGTTGAAGAACATACTCATGGCTAAGTGAAGCAGTTTTTATGGCAGGTCCTAGAGTGAACTCACACCGTGGCGTAAGTCGTCGTTTCAAAGGCTGGCAAGAGTTCCAAGATTGCTGAGCGTACTACGGCTCGACCTAACTAGCTATGGTGCTATATATGAGGCACTTGATGTAAAGTGGCCAGATTTGTGTCGTATTGCATTGTATTGTAGGACCTCAATCATAGTTGAACAAGAAGCCCTTGAGGATCTCAGCTTGATGTTATGCCATACCACATTCACACTAGCTAAGTAGGTAACAAAGAACTACACGGTATCCATGAGCCAATGCCGTGTATGGGCTGCTGAAGTTTTATTAAAAGAAGGATTCGTGTGTCTTTATGCAAAATAAAATAAAAAAGGACTCAAAGGACTCTGTAAATTGACACCTGCGGTCGATCTGAAGGTATGGCTCCCTGTTCAACATCCGCAGCGCCATCTGGACCCATACGGTGCCGCTGGCGTATATTCCTAGTGGGAGGCCTCGACCGGTTACAGATTTATAGATGAATTGGAGCTTCTAGGCGGCGCTGGTTTTAAGCTGCATATCGAGGGCAAATCTCCCAAAAGGAAGAGATATCTTCTATAGTCTATTAAACTGTGCTACACTTTCTGGACCCTCAGGAGATACGTCATCGTCAACTGTAGCAAAATTGAAATGCAGATCAGTCCCTAGTAGCTGGCCTTTGAAGCCAGTATTGCTGCTGGCCGTACATGTACTGTCAATATGCATTTTTCCATGGTTGAGACCTTGCTCTAAGTTTGTGAAGGCCTTATTAACCTTCCCTACCCTATGCCGAAATTGAGAGTGAAGCTGCTGAGATGGAGAGCTCAGGGTATCGTCTCTACATAGTAGATCTACAAATTCAATGCAAGAGAAGATGTAGATAATAACAGCAAGCAAGCAAGGGCTAAACGACATGCCCCTGTGAAACTCGGTCACTATTCCTAACCAGTTCACGCCGTTTTAGGACACGCTTACATGGCACAGCTCGAGAGGATTTTGCGTATCAACGGCTCATTATACACCCCCCTATCATACGGCCCAACGTATCAACAGGACCAGGGCAAATGCGTAATTCGACAGTGCGGATGACAACAAAACATCAGCCGCCATATGCAAGTTTCCCGGGAGGCAAAATCCATTCCCATCTCTTTCCCACCCTCCATCTTTGATAAAACATGATAAATAACATCTGATTCCGTCCCATTAACCATCACTAAGGTTGTTTGCTCTACTTAAAGGTTCAAGCTGTTGCTGGTGTACACATCACTGGGGGGCTCCTGCGGTTCCGTTCAGTGGGATATTGTCGGAGGGACTGTGAGGAATGGGTTGCTTGGATCGCAGTGTCAGGGGGAACGGGTACTCGTCAGGATCTTCCTCCTCACTAATAATTGTTAATAAAACAAAAAATTGTCAAGGGAAACAAAGGGGTATACATACGGGAGCTTCCATGCGACATAGTCCTCGGTGCTGAGGCCCTCGCGGCCTTCCTGCAGGCTAGCAAAATCGCCAGGGGTCATCATACCGGTTCTGTCTCGGGGAGAACCAGGCACAGAGAATGGGCGTGAAATCTTCTGCTCGACGCCGGGAATGAAGTCTTCCTCCTCGTCACCGGTGAAGGAGTCGGGGTAGGCACGGCGAAGGGCCAATTGTCGAGCCTTGACGTACTCCATGCCCATTCGCTTCCAGTCCAGGAGATCGCTCAGGCGTTCCGTGCGGTTTCGCTGGTTAATTCGCTGCCGGCGGCTCTTCTGGCAGAAGTCGAACATGAAAGACGTCAACTGGTTGACAGAGTCATCGACACCCTTGGTGCGGCGGTCCACAATGTAGATTCCGTAGTCGCTGGAGTTCTCAATAAGCTCTTCCATGTAGCATCCGAATCCGGAGAGGTTAGTGGTGATGCTCGGCACGCCCATGACGGTGCACTCAGCGGGAGTGTATCCCCAAGGCTCATAGTAGGAAGCGAAAACGCCCAGATGGCAACCTCGGACGAAGTCATCGTAGTCGAGGGGAAGAACAGGGTTGGCAGAGTTGAGGAACTCGGGGTGGAAGATGACCTTGACTCGGTCCGTCGAGTCGTTGAACAGCTGCACTCGTCGGATCTGGTTCAAAACCGGGTCCTCGTGATCGTTGACCATGTTGTGGGTGACGATGGGCGGAAGTCCACCTCGCTTCATGGCGAAGAGGCGACGGCGGAGTAGGACTCGATCCTGAGCGGAAATGAGCTCCTTCTCATCGGGCATAGGGTCACCATCGTGCCACTTCAGAGATCGCTCAAAGATGCGGCGTCCAATGCTCTGCTCAATGACATGGGTGGTGTCTCGCAGGGACTTGATCACAGCCTGACCCTTGAGAGCCTCCACAGTAAGCGAAGTAGTCTGCGCAGGCATGATGATGAAGGCCACAATCGTGATCTTGCTTCCTGCGGCCTTGAGACGGTGGTTGAGACGGGCCAAAGACTCGATAAACATGTCGACACCCTTGTTTCGGAACTCATAACGGCCGGCAGTGAAGAGGTACAGGGTGTTATCAATGTCGAAATCGTAGTGACCGTAAAAGTGTCCTCGCACAAAGTCATGGATCTTTTCCTTGGCTTGCTGATGGAGGTTCTGGAATTCGTGGACAGCGGAGAACTTGGTAACATTGAGGCCATTGGGCAAGACACCATCAGGCTTTCGTTTTAGCAGATGCTCAGACTCAAAGGCGGTAATGTGGGAGACGGTGGTGAAGACATCACAGGCGTGGGCGGCGGCTCGTTCGATGCAATACCTGTGGTAAATACCACGCTTGCCAGCCTCGGCGTCGACATCAAACCACTGCAGGTTGTTGTAGAAATCCACGGAGCCGGCGCATAGGTATCGGCCGAGAAGAGTAGCGTGGGTCGTGAAGATGGTAGTAATGTCAATGCGTCGCTTCTTGGCGAGGGGCAGGGCGACACCAGCCAACCACTCGTGGAAATGGGCAATGACGGCCTTTTTCTTCTCATGGACGACAAACTAGATAGAGGGTCAGTTGAGGAGAGGAGGGAAAAGAATCATGGGTAGTACCTCTCCCAGGAACCACGCGACTAGGTAGCCGAAGACGATGGTCTCATTGGTCTCGTCATCGCTAGGCGGCGAGGGAATGCTGGCAACGTTCCACAAATCGGCCTTCCACTCGTCCAAATGACCGTAGGCAGTCTTGGTATCGATGAGAATGACTCTGGGAGCACCCTCAATGAGCCATCGACCGTAGATGATGCCGATTCCTCGGTCCCTCATGGACTGCATGGTGGCGGCGATCTCTGGGTTTGTGGGTTCCATCTCTTCCACCTCGACGGCAGCCTACTACTGTCAGTGGACGCAGTCCAAAAAAGGGAGAGTTCGGTCAAGGACGCACCGATTGGTGGTTGAGGGGACCGATGAGAGTGTAGCGATCTCCATATTCGGCTGTTGTGACCGGAGCTTTGGACTTGATGACGGAGTAGATGCCACCAACTACACGCGAGAGAACGGGTCAGCACAGGGACGGTAAGAGCGAGTTGAGCGGGTTTTGCGGAAGCTCACCTCGATGGGCTACCTCTGTAGCAATCTCAAAGAGCAGGTGGTTCTTGATGTCACGAGTCGGTGACACTTCGCCGTCGGAACCCATGGCGATTTCTGTCGTTGGGGACGTGGAGTGTTGAGGGGTCAGGCGTAGATGATCTGACGATGGTGCAGGCGGCTGGATGGCTGGATATAGAAGGCGGGCGAGGGATCGCGACACGGCACGTCAGGGAGACCAAAGGGAGGGAAGTAAGAATTCTGGGTGACGATGAAGCTGAAGAGCTGTCTGGAGAACCCAATTGGAAGGGTTTAAGGAGCAAAGAGGCCAGGTCAGAGTCGGTCGGTGGCGGACGACCAAGAGGAGGAGGTAGTGGTGAGGTTGCGTCACAGGCGCTACTGGATGCGCTTGGATCTGCACGCGAGAGCGAACAGGGTTTGTTGAGCGCAGGAGCAGGGTGCCGGAGGGGCGCAGAACCGGACGTCTGGGATTTCACGCGCTTTGACGAGGAGGAGATTGGAGAATTGGAGCAGTAGTGACACCGGGAGACGAGATGATGGCTGGGAGAAAAAAAAGGAGCGGGAGGAGAAGAAGAGCAAGAAGGAGAGGAGGGCGACGGAGCGTCGGCGGAGAGGGCGAGCGAGTGAGTGCCTGAGGGCCTGAGTGCCACAGCCAGCGAGCGAACGTGTGGGAGTGAGGGGGGAAGCGAGCGGCGTGGGCAGGTGACAGTCCAGAGGTTTTGGGAGGTGGTGGTTCGGTCCGTCATGTACTTTAGCTCCCTGGAGCCCGCTACACGATGCAGCTGTTGATTGACCTGTTGTTGCGCTAGCGAGCTCCAGAACTCCAGTGGGTAGTCCAGGGGGGCCCGCTACCAAGCAACGGGCCCCCCCCCACGGTCGCCACAACCGTTCGTCGAGGGCTGATTTTGGGTCCCAAAATGCCCCAAATGCCCCAAGCGCCCCGCCCAAGCTCCCCAGAGCTTCAGTGGAGCATGCACCTCAGCGCCCAGGACATCCGCGGAGACTCCAACTCGCCGCTGCCCAGTTCCCATCCGTTTTTGCTCCATCTTACTCCATCTTGCCCTCGCCCACAATAAACAAGACTCAACCCGCCACCCGATCTCTCCCCATGCCTGCCGATGGGATGCCAGCCGATGCATCCATGTGCTTGGTCGGATGTCCTTGGCCGGATGGCCCCCCATTTCCCATCGCTTCACCCCTCAGACCTCTGGCGCCACCGTCCCCGCCTCGGTGAGCCGAGGCCCTCAACAGAGCCAGGTTTTGTTGTTTCAGTGAAATCTCCGGGTCGGCGCCAGATTCACGAGGATTGCGCTGTTTGTTCCTATTGTTTCCTCTCTCTTCGAGTCGTCCTGTTCGGTTCTCGGTCCATCGCTCGCACGCTAGCAGCACCCAACCATCGAGAATGAAGCCCTGGTTGTCCTCGACGGTAACTGGTGGCTGGGACCTCTGCATCTTGTTGGGCGCCACATGCAGTCAATGCAGGCAAGCAAGTAAACCCTCGCTTCGCCTTCTCCTAGTCCATAAAGAGCTCGCTGGCAACGCTCCTTTTTCGGCGGGATTTGTCCCGTGGCAACCACAAGCCAAGAACACAGATGGCATTGCGGCAACACACAGAATGGTGCTAGTCACCTCTGCAATGCGAGGTTGTCTTTGGTTGCCTGCATGCTCTAGCACACCTTGGACGGACCGGGATGACGAAATGGAATGCGGGGGAATGCCAACCACGCCGCGAGGCCCTCCTCCTTTCTCCCTCCTCCACCTCGACGGCGCCCTCTAGCTTCCCGTCCCTTCGCTTGAAACGCCACTCAGGAGGACGGATGATAGCTGAGCAGTCGGGTGCTCCTTGCTCCCATGTTGTTAGTGCACGACACACCGCTTTAGGGTTCAGTCATGCACCAACTAACCCGCACGACTTTCGGCGCAACGTACTTACTTACATCGCGACCGACGACGACTACATCGGAGCTGACCAGCCTGACATGCAGTTGCCCATCCCTGCCGACGCCTGCGTCACAAGCGTCATATTTCCTGCACACGCACGCAGGATGCCGGTTATTCTGCGTCCCTTTGCTACTTCTCGCTTTCTGTATAACATGAAAAAAGAAAAAAGAAAAAGGATTTTGGCATTCCAACAAAATGCCATTGCTCTTGCGCCATCCATTCTCCTGGGTTCTAGCCATCACACGCTCCGCTATCGCTCCCTCCGATGTCTCACCACTGCTTCGTTGGCCTCTTTGGAGGCCCTTGAACGAGCGTTGCTGTCCACTATCTGACTTGCTTTGCACCGCACGTTGGGTAAAAGAAAAGCAAAACTGTTGGCTCTCCTCGAACCCCACGCATCCGCCGAGATGCCCCATTTCCGGATGGCATCTTCCCGAAACCGGGAAAGCTTCGTTGGTGGAAATACCTGCCTCCATCCACGTAACACGGCAACAACCGCTCACTTCGCGCCAGGGGCAGCTTGGAATATGTTGTATTTCACCGCAGAAGCTTCTTCTCTGGAATGTCTTGCCTTACATAACCCGTTTCCTCCTCGCCCCGTAGATAAGATCGACACAGTCGGAATCGCCAAGCTAGGGCAATGGATGTACCTCACTTCCCCAAGATCGAGTTGAAACAACCCGGGACTACCGGTCCACACTATTGCTAGTGAGAAAACTCAACAGTACCAGCATCAAATCGTAAGAATGAAAATCGTCTCGGTAGTTCTCCCTCATGTCTGGATGCCTAGCTCACCGCAATGCAAGATCATCCTTTTGCGGGTCTTGGCCATTTACAACAGTTACAGGTCGAACCTGTCCCGTGTGGCGCATATTCAGCAGCCGCATGAATCGGATCAAAATGAGCGGCCAACAAAAATCCCATTAAAATTCCTCTCCGTCGTTGGCGAAATATTTTGATTCTCATCCCTTACTGCTTTGCATTGGCACCAACCGGCGCATTCAAACTCCGGCAAGGGCCAAAGCAAGAGCCCAGGCCGCAGCCCGATTCTGATCAGGCCAATCACTACCGGTTGGGCAACAATCCCTCAATGGCGGTGAATTGAAGTCTTGCGATAAGTCTCACTTCAGCTCCTGCACGGGGTTTGGAAGGGAGCTTTTCGACGGCTTATTCTTAGACCTGCCTTATCACTAATCGTCCAGCGCGACTCGACCAGGAGCAGAGATCAGTCAAGTACGAGGGTACGTACCGTTTTTGCAAATCTTCAGCCTTGTGCTGGTGTTAATCATGATTGGTCAAGCGGCTCAATGAACCGCCCCGCGGTGGGGCGCATTTTTGCAAGGCTGTCAATTTTTCCAAATTTTTCTGAAAGCCCACCCATTTCTGCGACCGGCCTCGCCAGAATATACCTGCGCCTACGACATCTAAGATACCCGGAGCCACCGTAGCTCCTCGTGAACAGCCGTGATCTGTTCGCTTCTTCGTCACGTTTCTAAGGCCGAAATTCTGTTTCCAGAAATTCGTTGCTCAAGATGGGCGACATCGCGCAGGTGAAGGTCGTCTTCACGACCTCGGAGCAGGACCTGGTGCTCCCAGAGTCGAGACAACAACTCCTTGTCCCCGCTGGTATGTTGGCAATCATATCCGTACAAATAGCCCCTCCCCAAATTCCCTAATCTGACGCAATTGTCAGACATCAAGCGATATGGCCTCTCCCGTATCGTCAACTCCGAGTCTATGCTCAACACCTCCTCCCCCGTCCCCCTCGACTTCCTCGCCAACGGCACCTTTCTGCGCACCTCTATCGAAGAATACCTCACGACCAACGGCCTCTCTTCGGAATCTACCCTGGTCCTTCAGTACGTCCGCAGTCTGCTGCCCCCGGTCTACGAGGCAAGCTTCGAACATGACGACTGGGTTGGCGGTGTGGATGTCCTGTCGGCGACTTCTGCTGCCGGTATCCTGGCCGGCGATGCCAATGTGCGAGAGAGAGTGGCTAGTGCGTCCTATGATGGCCTCGTGAGAGTCTGGAATCCTTCTGGCGATGCAATTGCGATATCCAAGACTGGTGGCCACACCCAAAGAGTCAACGCTGTCAAGTGGGTGTCACAGAAGCAGCTCGTCTCGGCCGGATTGGACCGAAAGGTCATCGTCTGGGACTACAGCGAATCTGATGATGGTTTCTCCGGCGCTCTCAAGTCCAACATGGAGCTCTGGGGGCATGAGAAGGATATTCTCAGCCTCGACGTCAACGGCGCTACCAAGCGAATCCTCACAGCCTCTTCCGATGGCCGCATTGGTCTGTGGTCGTCTTCAAAACGCACCGCGCCCCAAGCCGACCCCGAGAGCTTGCCTTCAGCACACAGCACCAAGCGTGCTAAGATCTCGAGCGCGGCCAACACCGCTCAGCGAGGCCCCCTTGCCATGATCTCCGTTCACGACGACCCTGTCACTGCTGCTATTTTCCACCCCAACGACGCGACTGTGGCCTACTCAGCCTCAAAGGATCACACCGTCAGGACTCTCGATTTGACCACACAGCGCGAGGTTAGCCGGTTAACGACCATGCACCCTATCCTCTGCGCAACCGCCCTCCCAGGCTCCTCGCTGATCGCCGCGGGTTCATCCGCTCGACACATCACGCTGCTGGACCCCCGTGAGTCCGCTTCTGCCACTTCAGCCATGACGCTGCGCGGCCACGTCAACATGGTCGTGTCGCTGGCGCCCTCGCCCGAGAACGAGCACTCGCTTGTATCCGGCTCCCACGACAGCACATGCCGAGTGTGGGACTTGCGCAGCGTGCGCAGGGGAACCTCTGAGGAAGGCAGCGGTAGCGTCAGCGAGCCCGTGTATACCATTGGCAGAGAGTGGCTCAAGGGCAAGAAGCTGCCGCCGTCAGGCGACGGTGCCAAGGTGTTGAGCGTGGTTTGGGACAAGACTTGGGGCATCGTGAGCGGCGGCGAGGACAAAAAGGTTCAGATCAACCGAGGAAGGGGTCTGCTATCCGAATAGATTTAGACATGGAAAATTCAATGGCGAAATCGGTTATGATAACAAGAATCCAAGGGTATCCTTTTCTATCCCAGCAAGCAATTGCATTCCGCGAGTGACAGCATCCAATAGCACCAAGGCATTTCGTCCAAATGATACGCCAATACAAATTCTCAAGTCTCCTTCGCCATCTGGGCCTCCTGCATCAGCGCTTTGTACTTTCCCTGAAGAAACGAGTTCGCCGAGAGAAAGGATAAAACTTCGCTTCTCAGTCGCTCCTTAGAGAATGGTAACTTCTCAAAAGCGATGGCGTCAAGTATATACGTCACGACTGTGTTCGTTTTTAGAGGCGGTTCGCGTAGAAGTTTGGCGATAGATTCGGGTTTGAGATTTTTATTACCGTGCCAGATGTAGTAGGTACGGAGGGCAGAGGGGGACACTGAGAGTTGTTTGTTCTTCCGTGAGCGGTATAATTCGAGTTCGACATCGGCAGCAGTGATGCGAGAGTCCCTTTCTTTCAGTTTTGTCTTTGGTTTAGGGACTGCGATGATTTCTTGGGGCTTTTTTGCTTCAGCCACAAGTTCCGGCGCATCTTCAACCTCTGTGATGGACAGATCGATCTCCGCGCCGTCATCGATATCGACCACCTCCGCCATTTTGATTGGCAGGCGTTTCTCAGCGAACTCTGGTCGCGGAGGACACGGGTCGAGATTCTCTCGCTCCTGTTCCAAAACGTGGTATAGCTGAATCCCAGCGTAGGCATCTGAAGCGGAATCTGATTATTATTAGTAAGTAGTAGCGAGAAGTTATAGGTTAAACTTACACGATATCTGGGCAGCATTCAGGGCCTTCATCCAGTTGCTTGTGCGGACTGATGGCCCCTTATACAAGGGAAGACGAAGACAATCCTGTACCTGGACAGCCATAGCAACAGGAACCCTGTTGACAATATTCAACTTGTTCTCTTTTGAGTATTTGACAACTTTGTAGAGATGGCTAAGCTCGAAGATGCCCTTTGTCTCGATGTCGAAAAAAGTCTTGAGCCTTGTGCAGTCGCCCTGGATGTTTACGCCGGCTTTAGTCACGCCCTCATCTTCCATAATCTGTCGGAATATCGGGCCAATAAAGTCGTCTTTAATAAACAGGGCGACGTGAAAGAGGGCTATGCGGCTGGGACTCGCGATTTGGATGAGAGAGACGTTTTGGCGAGGCCCCGCAGCTTTTGTCACATAAGCCATCCATTCTAGGTCGAATCCGAGCACCTTCTCGCCTAGGAAATACTGCTGGCAGACGTGTTCCATGCTGTGTTTGCTCGTGCAGTAGTGGACTTTCACCTTCTGAACTGAACCATCACTGTGGATGCGTTGGTACATGTCATGAGACCAGAAGGATCCAAGGGTGCCCTCTTTCTTCTTCCGAGCAGCTTGGAATAGCTCAGAGGAGATGTTGTAGTCCAGGGAAGTCAGTGGGGGGAGAACTTCCTTTTCCGTCTTGGCATTGTCCTTTGTTTCAGTAGAAGGATCACTTGTCACTTTTGTGATATCCTCGGGTTTCTGGGGTTTCTGGGGGTCTTGGATGCCTTGTGCTAGCCGCGCCGCGGACGCCAGTACATCTTGTTGATCGAACCATTCGGCAGCATCAAGTTCGAACTGCTCATCGTCGCCAAAATCCTCCAAACCAACATCAATGGGTTGGACGGAATTTCTGGCGTTGAAGTTTGTGGCATGGAGAAATCGAGGCACATCTAGGAGGGGGTAGAGGGGAGGGGTTTTGCTCCTCGGAGAGAACCGGATGCCACAGGTTGGATTCCATAGTTGGTTTTGAGAGGGGGACGACATGGTGGGTTTGTATCGTCTAAATTCATGGCTGTGTCAGAATAACGGTTGGGAGAAGAGGAACGGCCAGGCGCCATCTAACCTCGTATGTGACAACAGTGGATGAGGTCTCTTGGCGGGTCTGATTACATTGCCAGCAATAGTCGCCCGTCCTTTGTGATAGGTCATTGAAGAAGATGATGAAGATCCCGCCGCAGTCAGCACTGAATGGCCATCGCGACAAATGACCATGACCTGAGCGTGCGCGCGCTATATTGGACCCAGGCAGCCACGTCCTGAACGGGGTCGATGTTCGCTGCTGTTATTCACGACCATTGGCGTGGCGTCGTCTGTTGGTTGACGCATCTGCTTAGTCAGGCCCGCGGGCTCACGTGGGGACGTGCTCACCTCGACCCTTGCATCTCCATCCCACTTTGCGACAGTTTGGGCGACATCGACGGAATATTCCACGACAAACAAGGACCGGCGATAATTCAGAGCTGCAGTATTTCCAAGGGACGCCTGACCGAGGACCTTTGAGTGTATCTCGGACAACTGACCGTCACAACACTGCCCGACCGCCAATATCTGATCCACACAAACACATTCGCCATGGCTTCTCAGTTGCTGCCCCTCGGTGAGCCACCCGCAATGGCGGCACCCAGCTGGCGCATCTCTGCATCCGCTAACATTTAGCCAGAGCTCATCGACAAGTGCGTTGGCTCCAGGATCTGGGTCATCATGAAGGGAGATAAGGGTGAGACGAACCGCTCAGTTGTGTTCCTGCCGTTGCTGATGGACTGTGATAGAATTCAGTGGGACTCTCCTTGGTTTCGATGACTACGTCAGTGAGTAATAACATATGAATCACTCACATGTTTATATACTAACTCATGGCAGACATGGTGCTGGAGGATGTGACTGAATTGTACGCACCGACTTCTCTATACCGTGATCCCGGCAAATGAGACTAACGAAGCAGTGACTACTCTGGAAATCATAACAAGCTACCCAAAATCCTATTAAACGGAAACAACATTTGCATGGTACATCCCTCGCTCGTATCTACCTTAGATGACCTATATGCTAACTGTCGGGCCTCAGTTGATCCCCGGAGGTGAGGGGCCAGAGGGAGGTGCTTGAACGATAAGATGAACGAGATGAAAGCATCATATCGAGCATAATCTACCTCGGGATTCAAATGGGATGAGAGCCACACAAAATTGAAGCCTCTCACGCAATGTGTGCCAGTGTTACTTAACATGTAGCTTTTGAGCATACATATGTCGCTCATGCATCCGCGCCAAAACGCGCAACAGCCGCAGGATAATGAATCCTTTTGATCTTGAACTCGTATCGTTTTCCCAATTTTTTACTGAAAAGAAGTAACATTAAGTCCCCAACGCCTGCCGCCCATGGAGTCGTGTCCACGTAGGGATGTCCATTCTGTCATTGCTCCGCTTAGTGACCATTCTGCATATTGCCCTGCTCTCCTGTGTTGGTGATACGTCTCAGCTCCCACTCTCGTGTGAACTCTTGATGCAGCATCTCGAGTTGGTTGATGAGTTTCTCACAGACGGACGTAAACACGTCGCGGGGCGTGATGGTGCCATCCGTCTGGACACGGATGAAGAGCTCCGGGACGTTGGGGTGAGCAACTGGGAAAAAAGGTGAGCGCGTGTGGGAATTCAAGATGGCGGCAGTGTTCACTCTTATATCCGGCCATGTAGACATTAGGATGAGCCTTGAGATGCTCGGAGAGAAGGTTACCGAGGGTGTGGTCCTCCTTCTTGAGCACGAAATCGGAGGTGTTAGACATGCCTGTCGCACGGTGTTAGGATGAAGTAGCAGTGTCCTGGGTGTAACCCACCAGAGTAAACCTTCTCTTCAATCTTCTTCTCGCCGTCTCCGAGGAGGAAGAGCTCGAAACTGTCTCGGACGTCAGCTTTGGTCCTTAAGATGTCACTTCAAGAAACATAACGGGTCGTCCTGAAGGTTGAAGTGCTTGGGGTTTCCACCGGCCATGGTGATAATAGCAGTTCCTGGTTCGAGCGGAGTGGAGGGAGGTAGCAGGGAATGTGTGTCGATTCTAAAGCAGGTGTTTTGGTGAAGATAGAAAGCCGTGTTGAGGCGAGATGATTGCTGGCACCTGGCACCACCTGGCAGGAGTGGCAAGTGACGAGCAGGTTATTAAATGCGACCAGAGTGGACATCAGCAGGCTCAGCAAACCCTCTCAATGGGGGATCTGAGCACCCAATCTGGTTGTTTGCACCAATAAAGATGACCTGGGTATGAACGACTTGTTTGGAGGTAACTGCTGTCACCTCTCCGTCCATCCCGGAGGCCTGCGCCGGTCGATTCGCCGGCTCTGGGTCAAACCCTTCTTCCATGGGTTTTCCGGGTCCAAAGGAAGCGGGAGGCCCAGGGTGTTGGCGATAGGCTATGCGAAGTGGCCGTTTGTCGCCAGCATGATTGCATGGTAGTACAACAACAGTCAGGTGTGATCCCAGCATCCCACGCGTCCTAGTGGAAGAATACAACAATCCCATGGAACAAGAACAGACAACATAGGAAAAATTCTTCGGCTTACCGATCTGGGGCGTTCATCTTGTCGGTTTGGGCTCACCAAAGCTAGAAGTCGTCGTAGGGTGGCAAGGCGAATCGGAGGACGGACACCGCAAAGAACAGGTTTCCGTCGTTGGGTCGAGAGATGAGCAAACACCGAGCGGTGGGGGAGGTTTCCGTGAGATATCTAACTATGATCCAAAAAAGAAGAGCTTGTGATTAATTCAACAGATCTCAAGCATCGGCAATACTACAGTGAATCCAGAATGAATGGACAAGGTTGTGGCCATCGCTGTGCCTGGTCACAAAGACGACAAAAGGCTAATAGTCGGCTAAATCCGCTAGCACCCTTGCGTAGCACACAAACTCCAGTGACAGAGCTCAGACTTTCCCATTGTCCGTCAGCACTCCCTCAATTAACCAAAATGCGCAGTGATTATTCATTCTTTCAATCTTTACATTATTATCCTCGAACCATGCTAGTTGCGGTCAATGCCGCGCCTTCCACCATCTTTATTTCGGCATGCTAAGCGGCAATCGCCCCACCTTGCAACACTTCTTCCTGCTTGTCATGACCTCGAATCCGCACGCAATGAGCTGCGATGGATAAAGGACCATGTTGATGAGACCTGCAAACACTATAAACCTAGGCGCGTGGAAGAACTGTGTCGGCAAAGGGGAAAGGGTGTCCCTTTGCAGTATGTGCTAGGCTCGCAGCCATTTGGCGCACTAGACCTCAAGTGTAAACCTGGTGTCCTCATCCCCCGGCCAGAAACTGAAGCATACACATTTCACCTAATAGACCTCATCAAGTCGGGCAGGTTACTGGGTTCCCGGGTTGATCATAATAAGCATGGGCTTAATTTGATCGACTTCTGCACGGGGACGGGTTGTATCCCACTCCTCTTGTTTTCGGCCTTGCAACGGTTGGTCAAAGACTTGCATGTTCATGGTGTCGACATTTCCCCCTGCGCAATTCAGCTTGCGGAGGAGAACATTGCTCGCAACCTTGAACTGGGAAATATCTCCGAGCCAGGTACGGAACAAAGTCTCACTATTTCCAAGGCGGATATTTTTAGTAACGGCGACATCCAACGTCTCACGGGTTCTCGGTGGGATCTCCTCATCTCAAATCCTCCTTACATCTCACGGGATGTCTGGAACCATGGCCGGGGACAGCTTGGATACTCAGTCCGCAAGTACGAGCCACGACTAGCTCTTATTCCCGACAACCATCTCCCTCGCCCTATCGGATGCAGCCCCGAGGATGTATTTTACTCTCGACTTTTGGATATTTCTTCACTCCTACGCCCAAAGGCCATCCTCTTTGAGATTGGGAACGAGAGTCAAGCCCGCCGCGTCTTGCAACTCTACTTCAAACACGGTGTTGCCAATACTTCACGAGTTGAGGTCTGGCGCGATTGGCCTGATTTAGAGGCTAGCGCGAATGAAAACTCTTCTGTAGAAGTGGCGACACCGAATGGTCAGAGCAAAACTGTTCCGGTCAGAGGAAGTGGACTGATACGATCACTCCTCATTCAGTGCTCAGATGAGAGCGACCAGGACGATGGGAGCATTTCTCAACTACATTCTTCATGTAACCCATAAACATGTAGTATACTCAATACCCATTGATATTGTAGCGATCTTGTTTGTGTCATGAGGTTTTGAATTCATCATAGAGATGTGTCCGAGATCGCCACTTGCGAGTCAAGTCTCTCGGCACCAATCGGATTGACAAATCTGGAAACCTTCCTCCTCAACGGAGATGGCTGCCGACCCCAAAAAAGAAGCACGCATGAAGATAGATGCAAAATGAAACAGGACTCGATGAACGTAATAATGGAGATATTCAACAAAGCCAATGGCACTATATGCACTGGACAGATTCGCGAATTAGTGATGGGTAAACCAGCAATTTGCAGGCATCTACTCGCTGACGTGCTACCCTGAACCGGCTCTTGGCGAACCCCGACGTCTTCCGAGGGCACGTGATAGCGCCCAATTTTCGAGCTAGCAAGGTCGATGGGTTCATCGCCAGAAGCTTCCACTTCTGTGGTGTCATCAACAATTCCCCCCCATTGGAGCCAGGAACTTTGAGGACTCGCTATATTCCACCGAATTCTGCTCGATACCCAAGTGCGAGACCGTTCCGGCTTGAGCCGCGATCCCTCATGAGATAGCAGGCCGCCTGCGCATCTCTGCCTCCCACGACTCCGGTGGTTCCGCACTTGCGCCAGCCTGGAAGCCCGTCATGTCGAGATATCTGCGACAATCGAGCCAGCTCGCGCGGGTTGTGCGACTGTCAGCACAGCCTGCACTCCGAATATGTGCACGACCATCTATTCTCACCAGATCGATCCCCGCAACAAACTCGGCGGCATTTGCGATCCGGGCGAGGAGAGCGTACTCGTCTCAGCCCACCCCACCTGGCCAAGAACCGCGATCGAATAACGGCAAGGGCACCAACAAGAACGACATCAACCCCTCAAACCAACAAAATGCCCAGGCACCGAAGCCACCGCCTCTGCCCGAGGGCTGGATTCACCTAGCGAAGGAGGAGATTGCCCACCTCGAACAATTTATTGGCAGGATCCCTGAGGCTCACCGACCCATGGCGAAGAATATTCTGAGTAAACTTCAACAGACAGGAGCACCTCCTGAGACTCGAGACTTACTCACCAAGTTGCGCAAAGGGGAAGGAAGCCTCACAATTCTGGACAAGGGAAGACTTATGCGATGTATCTACATGATTACGGAGCGAATGGTCGAGGTCGAGGAATATGAGGACCGGAACGGTTCCTTCTCGTCATTCCGGATGGATGATGAGTCCAAAGCCAAGGGTCAAGCCAAGGAACAGCAACAAGAAGGCGCTTCCAAGGAGGACGGAACCGACAATGTCAAGTCGAAGGAAACCGACCCCAGCAAGCAAGGTGGTAAGCCGCCCAAGAGCGAGAGGAGTGGGTGGCTTGAGGCCATTCAGACTGGTATTGCCATTGGTGTCACTGTATGGATTGCGGAGCTCATCGCCAACCCTTTCTCGGAGAAGGAGATTACTTGGCAGGAAATGAGAAAGGCGTTCCTCGACAAGGGACTTGTGCAGAAACTGGTGGTTATCAACGGATCCCAGGTCCGAGTTGAGCTCCATGCGTCGGCCTCCGGTACCGCCAGCGACTCCGGCCAGACCCCCAGGAAAACCTATGTTTTCTCTATTGGATCCGTCGAGTCTTTCGAGAGGAAGTTGGAGGAGGCTCAAGACCAGCTTGGCATACCCCCTTCAGAGAGAATCCCCGTTAGCTACGAATCTGGTGGTGGCACTTTCGGCAACCTTCTCCTCGCCTTTGGCCCGACACTCTTGTTTATTGGACTGATTCTCTGGACCCAGCGGTCCATGGGCGGTCGCGGTGGCGCCAGTGGCGGCATGTTCAACTTTGGCAAGAGCAAGGCCAAGAAGTTCAACGCCGAGAGTGCGGTGAAGGTCAAGTTCGCAGACGTGGCTGGCCTGGAGGAGGCAAAGATGGAAATCATGGAGTTTGTCAGCTTCCTCAAGCAGCCCGAGAAGTTTGAGAAGCTGGGAGCCAAGATTCCCCGAGGCGCAATCCTTGCCGGCCCTCCTGGTACTGGTAAGACACTGCTTGCTAAGGCCACGGCCGGCGAGTCGGGCGTTCCCTTCTTCAGCGTGAGTGGTTCCGAGTTCGTGGAGATGTTCGTGGGTGTTGGCCCTTCTCGAGTGCGAGACTTGTTCGCCGAGGGCCGAAAGAACGCACCCTGCATCATCTTCATTGACGAAATCGATGCCATCGGCCGAGCGCGTCAGGAGAGCGGAAAGGGATTTGGCGGCAACGACGAGCGAGAAGCCACCCTCAACCAGATTCTTACCGAGATGGACGGATTCAACACACGGGAACAGGTTGTCGTTTTGGCCGGTACCAACCGAGCGGATATGCTCGACAAGGCCTTGATGCGACCTGGACGATTTGACCGACACATCTTCATCGACCGACCCACGATGAAGGGACGACAGGAGATCTTCAAGGTTTACCTGAACAAAATTGTGACCAACGAGGATCACGAGTTCCTTGTCGGCCGACTTGCTACCTTGACCCCTGGTTTCTCTGGAGCCGACATTGCCAATGTCGTCAACGAGGCTGCACTCATTGGTACGTCTCATATGTAACCATCACGCAGAACTGAGTCACTGACATGAGAATAGCTGCCCGAGGGAATGCTGATGATGTCAAGATGGATCACTTTGAGCGAGCCATCGAGCGAGTGATTGGCGGCCTGGAGCGCAAGTCGTTGGTGCTAAAGCCTTTGGAGAAGAAGACGGTGGCGTACCACGAAGCTGGCCACGCCATCTGCGGTTGGTTCTTGGAGCACGCGGATCCCCTCCTGAAGGTGTCGATTATCCCGCGAGGCCAAGGCGCGCTTGGCTACGCCCAGTACCTGCCGCAGGACGCCTACTTGATGAACACCAACCAGCTCATGGACCGTATGGCTATGACGATGGGAGGTCGTGTGTCCGAGGAGCTCCACTTCCCCACCGTGACGACAGGAGCCAGTGATGACTTCAAGAAGGTTTCACAGATGGCAAGGAACATGGTGACCCAGTGGGGAATGTCGGAGAAGGTGGGACCAATACACTTTGAGAACGACCCGAACCGAATGCAGAAGCCATTTGCCGAGTCCACAGCTCAGAAAATCGACCAGGAGGTGTCGCGAATCGTCGAACAGGCTTACCAACGGTGCCGCGACCTCCTGACAGAGAAGAAGACGGAGGTGGGCGTGGTCGCGCAGGAGCTGCTCAAGAAGGAGGTGCTGACGCGAGACGACATGGTCCGCATGCTGGGCAAGCGACCGTTTGACGATAACGAGGACTTTGAGAAGTATTTCGGAGGAGGCAAGGAGCAGGGCGCGCCGCCCCCATTCTCAGAGGAGACGGACACGCCCAAGGAGCCGCCGACGCCGGCCCCAGCGTTCAGAAGTATGCAGGAGGATGCGAGCCGACGGTAAGGTTCCCAACTTTCAAGGATGAACACGTATCGTCGTATTCTCTGCAAAGTGGGCCATAAGGCTCATTGTTCGGGGTTCGGGGCCCACGGCCCACGAGAGGAGAGGAGATAGGATATGGATCATGGGGAACTTGAGGCAAGGCGGGGATTGGCTACGGCGTTGGACACGGCACGGAGCATAGCCACCTCGACGAGCCGGGACAAGAGGCGGCGAAGGGAAATTGGCTGGGCGAGGCCGCAGCGGCAGCACACAGAGGCACTCAACTCTACCTAACACCTACTCGGTTCCGTCGAGTGTATTTCAGCAGATGATCTCGGAAGCTCGGGGATTAGGAAAAGCTTCCGGTGTAACATGTATTTTAAAGGGGGGATAGAACTGTAACACCTTGTCAATACGGCTACACAAAAAACAAAGATGGACAACCGAGCACAGTACCGGGATATAGCCGCCTGTGAATAAGAGGAGCACCACGGGGACGCCGAAGGTGTAAAACTGTATCTGTTGTGTGTGTGTTACGTGAGCATCGGTGAGAGGACGTTATTGGAATAGCTGCGGCGCAGCAATTGCACGGCCATTATTATCGGTTCGAGAAGAAGGCCACGATGGCATCATTGAAGATTGGTCAACAGCATCAGCAAAACCCAATTGGAGTATCTTCGCATAAACCTAACGAGAGACGTGACGTGGACCTCCTGATATCCTATGGTTTGTTGGATAGCGAGGATCGCTGACTGAATCGTGAGACACACGCTGATTGGCTGGCAAAGTTCCCCCCGGTGAAGGAACTTTCTGGTGTGTTTGCGGGTTGGGCTTTTAATAGAAGTAAGTGGAGGAGAGCGTAATAGGAACCCTCTTTTTTTTTTCCTTGGGTGGTTTGTCTTGGGTGCCTGTTTGTGTTATTTCTCACCGTCTCGGGGCTAGTTCGAAATGCCGCTCCTGGCTTGACAACCCGAGGAATCGGATGCTTGTGAGGTGTGGGTGTGTGTGCATGCACCGGTGTTCTGTTGGTCCCCGGGGCCGGCGGCAATGCGGCTAATGGAAAAAGGTCGGCACGTAGGGTGGGATCGGAGGAAATGTGGGAGACGGACTAATTACTTGTTTGTTTGTTTGGTCAAAAGACGAGTTGGCTTTGCGGCTGGAGAGAGGATGGGAAAGGTTCCGTGCATTGCATTCGAAGTGTGTTCTCGGCGTGGTGTGGCGGTGACGGATGGATGGACGGTGACCGGGAGAGGCTGCGGGGGAGGGAGTGACAAGGATGGAAAGGAAAGAGGGAGAGAGAGGGAGGGAGAGAGAGGGAGGGAGAGAGAGGGAGGGAGAGAGAGGGAGGGAGAGAGAGGGAGGGAGATATGGTCAGTGTTGTGTGTGCTTGTGTGTGTGTTAACTGTCTGAAAGATGGAGTAGTAGCATGGAGGAGTAGCATGGAGGAGAAGTATGGAGGAGGAGGAGGAGCATGTCGATGGGTAGCAGACAGACTCTGGCTGCCAATCGGGGAGCAGCGCGTTGATGTCATTAATGTCCGTTTACCCTTGATTGCAGCCATCCATCCGTTGACCCGTCCACTTATGTGGCCTGCGATATACTGCCAGCCGCCCAAAACCGACGTTGCTGGCCCGTCCTACTGGATGGCCATGGTGATGATTCAACCGGTGTGTGGTGTGGTGTGGTGTGGTGTACAACGTAGGGCAGGCAATGGACCGCGGGCCTCACCGCGAGGAGCTCCACACATGTCGCGGATACAGGGACCAGGGATCGGGGAGACTACTACTGTGCTGTACTGTACTGTACGTACAACAACAATCACCGTGACTATCAGCCCCCATCCCCCCACTGACGGAGAGGCACTCTTCATCACTCACTCTCTCTTCCTGGGTTTATTTAGGTGCGGTTCCGGGTTTCTTACCCCCCCCCTTCGCGCCCTGTCCAGTGCCCGCTCGCTCGGATATAAGGCGAGCTAGCAACGTCGCTGTATCCGCTGGTTGGGCAGTTGGAAGTTCGTCTGGTCTTTGGCGGCCGCCGATTGGCTGAGAAAGTGTCGGCATGCCGTCTTGGGGAAAAAGGGCAATCCTGACTAGGTACATGACATTACATTCATACCTTCATAGTTAGGTAGGTACCTGACCTACATACATATAACGTCCAACGTCCAACAGGACGGACCGGGCCTCAGCCCGCCTGCCCGCCCTCCTGCCGTGTGTTGTTGGACATGCATACATTGACGGCGGGTTGTCTGTCGACTGACTACCTAGGTATCTGCCTGCTTTATTAGCCCCTGCCTTTGAACCCATCTACTTTTCCCTCTTCCTCGTTGACTTTCCGTCTCGTTTCCTTTGCGTCCGTCCGTCCTTAACTCGCAAGTCGGCACCGCTATTTTTGAGGGGCTCATAGATCTATCGCCCCCGCGCCAGATCCGCCCCATTTGAAATACGCCCGATTCCACCGTCCTGCTCTCTCTCTCTCTCTCTATACGACAGGGGACACCCCAGTGCAAGAAAGACGGCTTCTTTCTTCCCTTTTCCATTCCATCCCATTCAACTCAACACTTCTTGCGGTATAAACTTCTCTCTCCTCGGCGGCCCTAGTCCTCGTGGCAGCCAAACATAGGTAGAGTTGTCCTAGTTTCACGCCTCCGGATCGGATCCACCCTTCCGACGCCGCCATTCTCAACCCTCTCTCCGTCTCCGTCTCTGACCCGACCGCAACTTTCTGCTCTCAATCCTTCCTCCATCAACACGTAAAAACCACGCCAAATCCGATGGCATCCTCCTCCGCTGGACGGGAGAAGGTGCCTCCCACGGACCTGCCGCCGTATCCTCTAGACCGCGCCCCATCCCGGTCGTCCTCATCGCGGGGAGCGGATGCTTGGTGGAGGATTCACCCGTTCCGTGGCATGGTCAACGACGTCCGACGCAGGGCGCCCTACTATGTTAGCGATTGGCGGGATGCCTGGGACTATCGCGTTGTGCCGGCTACGGTGTACATGTACTTTGCCAAGTGAGTATGCGTATGCGCCAGGCGGGGATGGAAATAGGACGAGAATAGGAGCATTGTTGGGGACTGACTTTCCTAGCATCCTTCCGGCTCTGGCCTTCTCTCTCGACATGTTCCAGAAGACGGGCTCCAACTACGGAGTTAACGAAGTCCTGCTGGCTTCCGTCCTCGGATCCATCGTCTTCTCCCTCTTTTCCGCCCAGCCCCTCGTCATTGTTGGCGTAACTGGCCCCATCACCGTCTTCAACTAGTAGGCCATTGTCTAAACCCAGGTTTCCGCGCCGACCTCGAGCCTAACCAATCGTGTAGCACTGTCTACGACATTATGAAGCCTACAGGTGTCAACTACATTGGCTTCATGTGCTGGATTGGCATGTAAGTCAATTCAACCTCCCCTCTATCCGTTCCCCTAGTTCGCAGTCTACGTCGTGAAGACGTCATACTGACATCAACCCAGCTGGTCCCTGATTCTTCACTGGATCCTTGCCATCACCAACTCGTGCAACTGGCTCCGCTGGGTCACCCGATTTCCCTGCGACATCTTCGGCTTCTACGTTGCCTTCATCTACCTCCAAAAGGGCATCCAAGTCCTCCAACGGCTTGGCGACGATGCTGCCTTCTACCTCTCTATCGTCTCCGCCCTCCTCGTCTTCATGGTCGCCTACCTCTGCGGCGAACTCGGCACCAGCAGCCTCTTCCGACACCCGATTCGTGTCTTCCTCAAGGACTATGGCACCCCGCTCACCCTCATCTTCTTCACCGGTTTCGTGCACATGGGGCGGATGGCAAAGGTCGACCTCGAGGTGTTGCCTACTGGAGATGCCTTCACGCCAACTAGCGATCGCGACTGGCTTGTCAGGTTTTGGGACTTGAGCGTTGGAGAGATCTTTACAGCCCTCCCTTTTGCCATTCTCCTGACCATTCTGTTCTGGTTCGACCACAACGGTACGTGATGCTCTCCGATAGCCCCTGAGGCCATTTTGTGCTGACAACACTTAGTTTCCTCCCTCATTGCTCAAGGCAGCGAATTTCCTCTCCGAAAGCCCGCCGGATTTCACTGGGATCTCTTCCTCCTCGGCCTAACCACCGGTGTTGCCGGCATCCTCGGCCTGCCCTTCCCGAACGGCCTCATCCCTCAGGCCCCGTTCCACACCGAGTCCCTCTGCGTCACCAAGCCCGTCAAAGACGTCGACGAACACGGCAACGAAAAGGAAGGGCATTATTCATTTGAGACCACGCATGTCGTCGAGCAGCGGTTTTCCAACTTGGCTCAGGGTCTTCTCACACTGGGAACCATGTCGGGCCCCCTTCTTGTCGTCATCCACCTCATCCCCCACGGTGTCCTTGCCGGTCTCTTCTTCGTCATGGGAGTCCAGGCCCTCGAGGCCAACGGCATCACCGCCAAGCTCGTCTTCCTTGCCCGTGACAAGACCCTCACTCCGTCTTCCGCTCCACTGCGTCAGATTCGTCGCCGCTCCGCAATCTGGATCTTCGTCCTCATTGAACTCATTGGCTTTGGCGCAACCTTCGCCATCACCCAGACTGTTGCTGCCGTTGGCTTCCCCGTCTTTATTATGGCCCTGATCCCCATTCGCGCCTGTATGCTGCCCCATGTCTTCAGCCCGGAAGAGCTCGCTGCCCTCGACGAGCCCACCGCTTCACCCTTTACCATGGAGGGCATCGGTGGTGTCTGGGGCGGTGCCAAGGATGACGACCCGAGCGACGAAACCTCGGCTGCGCCTAGTCGTGCGTCCTCTGGTCGCGATCCACGGCATCGCCCTGATCGTCGTGATAGCGTCTTTGCTCATCCCGGTGCGCCCCGGAAGAGCCAAGAGGACCTGGCGGAGCTGGGTCAAGTTCGGTCAGGACGCAGCACTGCGACTCGGAGGAGAAGCGTCGAACGGTAAGCCTAACGATAGCCGGACGCATAGACACTTTTTTAGAAGGGGTGGCGTTCCCGTGGACGTATTGATGGTACGCTCGGGTCTTGGGTAGATTAGAGGCTGAGACTCGATGTGCTGTGTCATGGCAAGTATGCACTCGGCGCCAACTTATTTAGCGATTCATATATCACAAGCATGGATGGAGCGTGGATGCCCCTGTTTTGGATGGAAGAAATGAATGACGGGAACCATGTTCAACAAGACATAAAAATGGAGGTTTAGAGACCCAAAAAGGGTATTCGTACAACGATGGATACATACTGAAAGATGAAAGAATTTACGCTATGGCTAACCCATCAACATGACTGCTAGCTGATTTCATGTGTAATGAATTAAACCTGCCATACACCCAACCATCCTCCCAGGCTCCAATATCATCCAGCCCAAAGATAACCTGAACGCCGGCTCAACCCAGATCAAATCTGCTACTCATCATCATCGCTGTCCATGATAAACGGGCCACGCCCTCTGGGCCGCCTCACCACCGGGGCGGCATCCTCATCATCATCGACAGCCCCCGACTCCGATGCCTGCTCTGGCCCATTGCTCGTATCGCCCATCTCGACATCCTCCTCCTGTTCCGAGTCCTCCACGCTCACTCGCCGCCGCTTCCTAGCCTTGCCGTCGCTTCCGTCGAGCGGCGTGTCCTCCGCCTGGTCTACGGTTGCTTGGCTTCCCATGACCATGCGAACAAATCCCAGCGCGTCATCTACATCATCGTCGTCGCTGTCGTCGTTGTCGGGGCTGTCGTCGTTGTCGTCGCTGTCTTCGTTGTTGGGGCTGTCTTCGTTGTTGGGGCTGTCGTCGCTGTCGTCGTTGTCGTCGGAGCTGACATCAACCACTGGGGCGCGCTTCTTTGGCGCAGGGACTGCCCTGGGGATACCATGTGCTGCGTTTGCAGCAGCAGCAGCCTTTTCCTTGATCTCGCGTTCCTTGGCGTAGAAGACCCTGTCTTCGTCCGAGTCGAACTCGTCGTCACCCTCGCGTACCAACAACGCCGACTTGATACCACGGTTCTTTTTGGCATCTTTCTCGCGCCGCTTGCGGGCCTTTTCTTCGGCATCGCTACCCCGACGACGTCGCTTGCGCGTTTTCTTAGGCCGCTTTTCCTCGTCGATGACCTTGCGGGCAGTAGGACCGCCCGCAGGGAACAGGCCATCGTCTGGCTCGCCTTCCTCGTCGTCGTCGAAGACGGCCTTCTTGCGAGGGGTTGTCTTGCGCTTGAGCTGGTTCTCAGCGAGAACTCCCTCCTCAAAGGTTGGCGGGCTGAACTCGGCCTGGTTGATATAGTGGAGGCTGTCTTTGAGATCGTCTGCAGTCACGTCGCTGGAGATCATCCATGGTGACTCTGGGGTCTCTTCTGAGGCCGGCCCGAGGAGTTTGAAGTCGGAGAGCGTCATCAGAAGACGGAGATGCGAATTCTTAAACATTGCTGTTCGCTGGGCATTGTCATCGGGACGGATAACTATTTTTACTCAGTCAGCCGTTATTGCCACACGGATGATTTTCACTTACCGATCATGGGAGGTGCCTTTGGCTCTCGCTCAACAGGTTGCTCCTCTTCGCCATCTTGAGGAGGTTCGCCCGGTGGCATCGCCTCTTCCGCTGCCGCCCAAGCACGTCGCTCGCTCTCAGCATCGGCAAGAATATGTTTCACCCAGCCGATATGATCTCCCTGGTTCTTGTCTAACAGCGCACCCACCACAATCGCAATCTGGCGGTCCTTCTCTTCAGTATTCTTGAATACGAGCTCTGCGCCTGGCTTTGCCTTGCTCGCAGTAGACACAGTCTGCCTCTCGTAACCATATTCCAAGAAGAACGCGGTGCTCTGTAGCTTGCTGAAAAGCATCTCGACGATGAGTTCTGGCCGCTGCTCGATTTTCTTAAAACATCTGCGCAGGATCTGCTTAACCAATTCTTCCCACTCCTTGAACATGCTAGAAGACTTTTCTAGGGCTGAGGGTCCCTTGACCATGTTGTAAAAGAGGTGAATGATGTCCACCCGGAAGAGCATGACACTCATTTCCTGTTTGAAGGCGACACGATAGAAGTACCGATGCATACGCTTTAGTTGTGTTTCGTTCATGTCGTGGTAGAACTTGGTAAACTTGACGAACGTGTCGACGACTCCTTGAGGCGTGAACCGCGAGCAAAATCTATGAAAGTCGAATTTGCGCTCCTTGGTAGTGCGCTCAGCCGATTGCTCGTCAATTTCCGAACCATCGTTTTCGTCGTCGTTGTTGCCTTCTCCGGAATCCTGCTGATCAGCCTTCTTCTTCCGGCGTGTCCGCTTCCGCGAGCGGACTTGCATGTCTGCGTTCTGTTTTGAATAGGCCTCCAATATGCGAAGGAAGTGGTGGACCAACTCTGTGGAAGCATCAAGATAGTTGAACCCCTGGTCCTTGTATGTTCTAATGATGTTGGCAATGATGTCATGGGTAGCTTCTTCGTAAAAGAGACGGCTGAGTACGTTCTCGGCAATCTCCTCGTCTTCGTCATTGCCAGACTCGGCCATCTCTTGGACGGTAAGGAGAATCTGAGTGAAGCAACGCATCACTGCAGTTAACTCATTCCAGTCCTTGTATTCGTAGGACTCGTGTAGAGCCTTGTTCAGCGTGATGAACATCTCCTGGTTTAGGACAGCAGCCACAAGGTTGAAGCTGCTGACCTCGTCGGTGCTCTTGTTACCTGATTTCTTCTTGGACTTGCGTCTCATGCGTTCGGCATCCAGGAACCATGCCACCAAGTAGAAGAATTGCCGACGATGATACTGCATCACATGAGGCGCTTCTCGGTCGATTGTTTTCCGGATATGCAGGAAAAGAGGGTTGAAGCCGGAATCGAGAAATTCTTCGACAAAAGAAGCCAGTTGGTCATTTGCCCTCGAATTGAGCTTAGTCGGAAGTCCAATATCCTGCTCGTCCTTGTCGGCCTTTCGAGCCCTGCGAGGGGGTCGGAAGGTCTTGACACTGTCAATCTTCTGGTTTCGTGTGGCGGCATCGGCGAGAGCATCCTGCCCCGAAAGTGATGACATCTTGCCGTCTTCGCGCTTCACCCAAATCATTGTGCCAAACCGATTGTGTCGGGTGGGCCCCTTGCGATTGACGGCCTTGAGCATTGATGATTCCTTGTCCATCATGGCAGAGAGCTCTCCAGCCCTAGCCTTGCTTAATTGCTGCTCGTTCATGAAGAGCTTCTCGGCGTTGACTTGCTTGACTAGGTGGTAGATAATTTCCATAACGGTGGTGTCTTCGGTCCTGAAATCTTCGCCCATGTTCGACGCGAGTGTGAGAAGTACGAGGAAGATGTCTTGGTAGGAGAAGGCGTCGATGGTGGCGGATCTCGAGATTTGCGACTCGTCGCCGTCGTATCTGACGTTGGGAGGTGGTTCGATCATGGCCATGTTTCGCAGGAAGAAGAGCACCAGCTTGATGATGCCCTGGTCTCGAGGGGTTCGGTCGCCGATCGGAACGGCCATGGAAGGCAGGGCCAATCGGACAGCTGTGTGAAGAATGCGGGCTCCGTCGAAGTTGATGATGGCTCGTTTGTATCCCACCTGAGTCAACTCAAGGACGGGGATATGGCGGTGATGATTCACCGTCATGCGTTCCCGGTCCTTCTCCATGGGCCATGTCAAAGGGGTCATGACCTCGAAGCAGGCCAGGGCTATCTTGGACTTGAACTTGTTGTCCATGGCGTTCTCGGGCCAAGTCGCAAGAATGGGGAGCAAGTCGCCCTCGATCAGGTTCGCCTCGAAGATGCATCGCGCAACGTCCATGCGGTTCGTCTTTTCGTCGTAGAATCGGATCCATCGTTTGATGTCGCGCAGAACCTCGAGGGCGTCGTCTCCGAGTCGATATCGGCCGTCGTCGTCGGCGCCAATGCCACCAAGCTAGAGTAGGATCAGCATTTTTCCTTGACGCAGGTTGGAGCCAAAAGGGGCACTGGCAGCGGGGACTTACGGCAGAGACAAGACTGTTGATGTGGGCTCGGACTTCCGGATGGACAATGTCCGTGGTGCCATCGCCTAGATCCATGATTGCGTGTCGACGGCTTCTACGCTGGTGTTGTGAGCATCATATGTCGTGGGGCTCACTTTCGAGGCTCAAGATGTTGCGCCTATGGTGGTCCCGCCTCTCTGGCCTGGCCCAGGAACACGCGTTGAGACGCGTAAAGTCTAGACGTGTTTAATGGGTGGGGACTGAGGAGTGGGACTACACGCGGGCGATAAGATACCGATTGCCGAGATAAGATGCGGCCAAAACGGCAGGCAATGGCTCGGCATTGGACGAGCACTCGGGGTTTGGCGGCTTCTCCGGCTCATGCCGAGGTTACCCGCGCTCCGTGTGAACGTATGGGGAACTTACAAGCGAGACACAACCTCCCAACTTCAACTTCAACTCCATCTCCCTCGTCAAAAATGGCTTCATCAATTCTGCGTATGAGATCACTAGGGGCCGCGCGCCAGGTGCGCTGCTTCAGCTCCTCTCCTCGCCAGCATGCTGCCGCTGAAGTCAAGAGACTTGGCGTCATTGGCGCTGGGCAAATGGTCGGTTCACATGAGACTCACATGTCGACGGGAAGCATCAGCTCAACTAACAGCCACGCAGGGACTGGGAATCGCCCTCGTTGCGGCGCAGAGGGCCCAGGTACCAATCACCCTGATTGATACCTCTGAGAAGAGTTTGGAAAAGGGCCTGGCTTTTGCCGGTATGCAGCATTGCTTCTACTTCGAGCCCATAGCTGACCCCGCGTAGATAAGCTCCTCGCCAAGGATGTGTCCAAGTCCAGGCTCACTCAGGAGCAAGCCGACCAGGCTCGTTCACTTCTAACTCCTAGCACCAACATGGAGGACCTCTCTTCCGTTGACTTTGTCATCGAGGCGGTTCCCGAGATCCCCGACCTCAAGTTCGACATCTTCAGCAAGCTCGCCCAGATCTGCCCCAAGCATGCTATCCTGGCCACCAACACCTCTTCCATCTCCATCACTCGCATCGCTGCCGCCACCACCTCTGATCCCAAGGACACTTCTGCCTCGTCCCGTGTCGTCTCTACTCACTTCATGAACCCCGTCCCTATCCAGAAGGGTGTTGAGATCATCAGTGGCTTGCAGACCAGCCAGGACACTCTCGACACTGCTATCGAGTTCTGCAAGAAGATGGGCAAGATTGCCTCCGTATCTGCAGACTCGCCGGGCTTCTTGGCTAATCGCATTCTGATGCCCTATATCAACGAGGCCATCATCTGTCTTGAGACCGGCGTCGGTGACCGTGACTCTATCGACTCCATCATGAAGAACGGCACCAACGTTCCCATGGGTCCGCTACAGCTCGCTGACTTCATTGGTTTGGACACGTGCCTGGCAATTATGAGGGTTTTGTATGAGGAGACGGCGGATTCCAAGTACAGGCCGAGTGTCTTGTTGAAGAAGATGGTGGATGCTGGCTGGATGGGCAAGAAGAGCGGCAAGGGTTTCTACGAGTATTGAAGATTTTACGACATACATCTAGGCCACAACATTCACGGGTTGATGTTTAAAAATTGGACACCAGAAAGGTGCTCTTTCTTGCTTCTACAATAAAGGGGTTGGGTTTCATGAACTTACTCCGTTGAACTCACTTGTAAAACGCGGGGCTTCCAGGGCCACGGGATGTTTATTCATATAAGAGACTTGAAGATCGATGTTCCAAATTCCATTAAAGTGATTTGATTTACCTCTTAGTGCTACACCCCCATTGCACCTAGTAGTTATGCTCGGACCAATGTGTGTTTTCCAACTTTGATGCCATTGTAGGGTAGACAGTGCAGCTAAACTCCCCAAAACTTTCGCCAAAATTGACATAACGCAGATAGAGAAATACAGTGTAGCGAAGATGAACATATTCTGACCGGGCTAAATAAGACCAGATGTGTGATGGTAGACATCGGGTATTCACACGGGGAAGCGTGTTATGGGAGCAGATACCCTGCATTGCATCGTAGAAAGCAGAATCACCAGTATGACTCGCCGTCGAAAACATTCAATCACCACATGGGACCCAGAGAGACCAGTGACCAGTATGAGGGATGCCCAGGTCTTACTAGTGCACACTCTTTCACCGCTAGACCATATCCCTTTAACTGACGAAGTGGAGGCCGAGCTCGGCGTCACATATGATCGAGATGGTCAATTTACGAGCTTCAATGTTTATTGTGACGAGAGTGAGACAGTCATTTACTTATAACAGGGGCACGTTTCTACCGTGAAGACTAAAAATACCTTGATCAGGATCCAAACGACTGCTACGTAGCATGGCGGTGGTTGTTGTAGCCAAGTCTAGACCAGGCCCCAAACTGGAAACGGCTCTCTTGGCAAATTATCGTTATCCGAAATCGACTCGAGGAAGCTGAATTTTCCGTTGAGTCCGGCAGTCAAAAAAGTAATCTCGCCACTCCAGTTTTAGATAGATGTGACAGCGCCCTGAATGTGAACCCCAAAAATAGTAACTCCCGCGATCGGCACCGTGATGTTTGAAATACAACTGTTTCTGTTTTGTCCCGCCCGTTATTTAGAACGGGTGAGATCTGGATGAACACACAAGTTTGTGCTAGCTTCCCCGAACTTCCCCGAACTATAGCAAATTCACCACTACGTGTTTGGCAATTATGTCTGCAAAACACGCCCCATGATGTGTGTGCCATCCACAACAGGGTGCATCTGCGTCACTCCAGGCCCAGGGTTAGATTCTCACCGCCATGTAGGTCCAGTAAAAGTCCAATCCCTGGATCGTATAAGAAGATTACTCGCCACGGCCGGGATAGGGCCAGCCGTGTATGTAAGTAAAAAAATGAATTGAAGGACGCATCCCGCGGCTGGGGATGGGCCTGTCAATCAAACCTGCTCCGAACTTGACATAACTAGCGAGCTGACGTGCAGCGTTAAGGACCCCAGTGCTTGCAACGCAGCGTCACAATGGTTCGATGTGTGCGTGCTTGGAGCAGCGAGTGATCCGAGATCTGACCGTCACCTGCCCCAATGAGAGAGGATTGTTGTTGTTGTTGAGGCTTAGGCGTTATTCATTCTAGGGTGTGATTAGATGTCAAAGTGTGCGTGCAAGGCCGTCAGAGATTAGCTTAAAACTTGTCTCTATCATGATCTCGGAAGGCTCCAGTTGATTTCATTTCTGATGGGAACCAATATGAGCAAGTCCTTTAGACTAGCTGAGCCCCGAAGCTAATATGGTTGAGCGTCTGGAGCATCTGCCAGTGGCGGTGTTTGTCTTGCCCACATTACCCTTGGGATTGAACGAATAGATGAGCAGCATCGTGGATGTTTCTATGCAGCCTACGCGGATGTACTACCATGCCACCCCAGCGAGTCATTGCCTTGCTGGTGGGGGTAGTAGATATGCCGCTGCATCGCATGCTGACGATAACTGCAGGACCCAACATAACCCAATACAGGGAAGCTGTTTAGACGCCACGGTCAAATTCAGATGACCCTCGACTCTCGCTTACACTATGAGTGGACCATGATGTCGGCCGTAGCTGGTGGGATGGCCGATATGTGGATCGTGGATATCGTGTTGTGTTCTGACTTCTGAGTGAATGTGGAGTTGATATGTGATGTGCCTTGAGAGTTGGTGAACGGAAATGCCCATGACAGGATTCTCCGACTGAAAGATAGTGGGACGAAAACATCCACCAGTAACGGCAGAAGTGGAAGCAGGCGGCATCTAAGGCTAGCTGAACACTGCAGCAGCGCGGGTTTCCAAATGCTAGCTCAATGCACACGCCTGGAGTTTTTGGCCGTCTTTCGACCGCTAACAAAGCGTTGCATTTACTACATACACGGTGGTGAGCAGCACCTGTGGCCGGAGCCAACGTTTGTGACGAACGGAGGTGAGCAGTTTCAAAGCCCCTCACCATATCCTTCACATCACAACTTTAGAGAATTCGCTGGTGAATGAACTTTCGGACATTGACCAGATTATTCGGTCCCGCAAAGCCCCCTTTTGGGAGATTCTGTATGTTCTCCACAGATGAAACATGTTGTCAGGGAAGAGAGAAAGCCAAGTAAGGGTCACCCTTGAACGAGCGGGGCTCATCCGGAAAGGTTGAAGAGCGGACTGCGAGATTATCGATTGCATCGGGGACCTCATCGACTGCCTGATGTTCGGCGATACTCCTGACCGATCGGCCGTGGGACTTTTGACCAAGAGAGAACCCGTCAAGAACTAAGGTTTTGACGGATGTTTTGGCCTTGTGTGAATGAAGCCGCACTTGAGCTTGGCAATTTGTTAGTGCCCGAGCGACGGGACCGTGGATAGATCCGTGTCATAAGAGTAAGAGCAACAGGTGTTTTGGGCTTCGGGTTGGCCCAAATTTAATCGTAGTCAAGGCGTAGTACCAACACGACAACTAGACGATTCAAACACTCGCGGAACCAAGAGACAGCGCTCGGCCAACATTGGCCGGGGAAATTTCCTGTTCTCGGATCGGAAATGAAGCGGTTCTGCTGTCGGCGGTTCCCGTTGATCCAGCAGCAAACAGTTATCGGGTGTGAATCCCTTCACGTCTGCAAGAAGGGATGGACAATGCTTAGCAGTACCCAGGTTCCGGGAATTCCGGGGGTATGATCATTCGATCTGATCTGTAATTAGAATGGAGTTTGGGCCTTCTGGCGTGGCTTCTGTCGCAGATCATGTTCTAGGTGACCGTTAGCCGAATCAGCCACCATTTATTTCGCCTCGGCCGAGCCTGGCTTCTCCGATTCTGAAAGATCCTTTTATTTTGGGGACAGTGAGGGCGCCGAAACAAGAAGGAATTCGAATGCGGTAGAATTGCCGAGGCTCAGGTTGTCGATGCAACGAGCGTCGCTACATCCCTGTGGCAGCAATCGTGAAATAGACGAGGCACAGACATGCGATTCAGGGCCTTGCAGAGAGGCACTGCACAGTACCCAGCAAGTCTTCCGGGGAATGGGGCCGAGGGGAAAGGGTGCCATGGGGCGAGTACCAAGTGAGATGAGGTGAGGTCTGGTGTGTTGACGGGTCTGAACCGTGAATGAGATCTTACTGTGTATCCAATCCACGCCACGCCATCTCATGCCCCTGCGTTACTCCTGCAATTGTATCTCCCCTGTCCCTGGCACTGAGAATGCCGGCCTTTTTGCCATTTGCTTCTCCCACTTCTTCAAAATTTCCCCAATTGGTTCTCCAGGGGTACCCACGGTACCTGTCTTAGCAAGGGGGATCAACAATGAGGCGGAGGCGAACCACATGGGAGAGGCATCACTTGCTGAAAACCGAGATCCAACCCAGCGCGTGTCGTATTGCGGTCCAACTGAGGATTCATCACTCAAACCAACTGATGATTCTGGCCATCGAAGGGTCGAGAGTTGGGGATGATTGGCATGCATGAACCCAGGAGCCCCAGGACCCGGGAGTCCATTAGCGCCTGACTAGCCGCGCCATCGCGGAGCTGGGGGCGGGGAGGGCGCTCCTGAAATCTGGGGGGTGAGGCGTGTCGGTATCAGCTGGGATGTGTGCAACTGTCGTCGGTCTGTCATTGCAAAGGCCATGGGATACTTTGCTTGATTGTCGTATGTATCGAGATAGTGGGACTCGAATCTCAAGTTGTTGGAAACGAGGCTACTCCATTGGATCCGTCTGGGGGGCGGACGTGTTGGCGCTGTTGGGAGCTGGGAAGGCTTGTGCTGTGTGTTGAACAAAATGCATGTCTCGGGACTCACACCGACCCTGAAAGGCTTACCGTAGCCGACACAAACCTAATGCAGGTCTCGAGTTTCCAAGACACCCATCACAAAGCTGGCGACTCAAATCGGGGTCCTAAAGGCCATGTGCGGTATCCGTCACACAGCACCATGTTCCACTGGCACCATGCTGCCGTGTTTCTCATTGCTATTCAACGTGGCTAAATCGACTCGGTGCCACTGGGAAAGGGACTATCCCCACACATCCGAGGGTCCTTGTCCGGGCACGGGTGTGCAGTAACATGCCCATTGCCGACACCTGCACAGCCGGATGCCTGCTTCTGCGGACCCTCACAGCATACTTGTAGTGTTGTCGGGTAGGACGCGTGTAAGTCTCGGTATCTGTAAGTGCGCGGACGGTATAGCGAGTGCTGTGTTGCCTCGCTTCTCTTGAGGCCTGTCCTTTGGGTCTCGTTGAGCAACCCCAAGCATGTATTTGGTTGGTGCTGGAACGACCACATGGTTATCAGAAACCTCACAACGGCAGCTCCGGAGCCGCTGGCCGCGTTTGACACTAGACAGTATTCTCAGCAGACATCCCAGGCACTTGGCCACGGCATGGTTGCTCAAAGCCATGCTGACAGTGCAGGTACGCAGTGGGATATGGCCGGCGTCTGCTAATCTTCTGGCCCCACTGCTCTGCCGCATTGTCGGGAAGCTCAGAATTCCCGACAGAAGCAAAGGACGGAAGCATCACCTGGGGCTATCGCTGGATAGGGGATGAACCTGCAGCTATGGGATTTGGGTTCATGGGCAGGGCTGGGTGAGTGTCCTGGTAATGAGAGTCGCTTGGACAGTGACGTGGGTGGAAGATAAAGTTCCTATTCGAAGACCGATCCTGGTGAGAAATGAAGGACTCCTTGACAATGGCATCTGGGGCCCACAATCGACACATATGCCGCGACGGTAATGGTTACGGATGCTGGGGAGGAACGGAGGAACAGACGACCAACTGCGGACCCGGGGGGGCTGCGAGGGGCAGGGCCAGCGCCCAGAGGACGGAGTTGCTAAACCTTTTTGGTGATACTCTTGCGGACTCTCCAGCCGCTGGGGCCGTTGGCCATGACCTAAATGCTGGGCTCCTCATTTGCCTCTGCTCTGCCCCCTCCTTCAGCTTTCGGGGCTGGGATCGGGGATGGTAGAGGATGGATAGCGGATAGCGGATGGCGGATGGTGGATGGCGATGGCATGGATGATGGTGGTGGGAGATAGGTGGGATTCGTGACATTGCGCGACGGATGTGGGCGTCATCAGGACCGAGTCTCAAGGGCCCAAGGCTCAAGGCTCACGCAGAGAGGCGCCAAACCCGGAGAAACTGGCATTGAGGCTTGCGAGGTCCGCATCGCCCCGCTGATAGATGAAACCCGAGGCTGGGTACATCCGATCCTTGATCCTAGCGACGTCGTCTCCCGGGCGGGATGTGCGAGACGAAGTGGAGAGTAGCGAGATGTGGGAAAGCACGGACAGCCCTCATGTCTACCTACCCAGATTCAATGGCCTGTGCGACCTGCTGCGTAGGTACCTGAGGTACCTAGGTACCTTCCCTGCACGCAAGTACAGCAAGCAAGCACAGCAAACGGGAATTGCTTGTATTTATTTTAGGTCTAATGCTGCAACTCCCATTTCTGAGTTACAACGAACCGCCTTTTGTCAGTTAGAACCAATATTAATTATGAATCGGAGCCGGGCCTGCTACGGACTCGGGTGTCGTGGACAGCCCAGCGTGTTTCTCAGTGTGCCTCTAATGTCCACATCCGTTGGTGTGGACAGAAACTTGTTTCGGCTGCATTCGTAGTAAATGCTGTACCTACCTCCACCTCTGCATCCACCTGCACCCAGTAAAGCAAGCACACTCACACTCATACTACGTGCTGCACACCCGCAGGCCTGGCCGGGTACCTACCTAGGTAGTTATGATGGAGAGAGAGCGGAAGGGAAACAGCAATCGACTTCAGATCGACATTCGCTCCTTCCCTTGCAGCTGCCGGGCTTGTCATGGGGCAGGCAGAATTATCACTGGTCTCTGGCACACACAACTCACATTATTCCAGCCTCCCTGACCGCGCCACTACCCAACGAAGAAGCAACAAAAAATGAACAATTCCAGCCTGCGAACGCATGATAAGTCCATGGCGTTGCACCAGGCCGGACATTAGACTCGGGACGTATCGATTCAGCCGACGGAGCCTTCGTTCCTTCGTTCCTTCGCCGCAACCTCCTAGTGCCCAAGGTGACTGACACTGCATCCGCCGTGCCGACTGCTTCCAATAATACATGATACGCAGTCGTATCCGGCTTCGATGGCGTGGCTTGTTTGGGCCCGTTCCTCCGCGGGCGCAGATACTAACTAGCCCCCGAGTGGACCGTCCTGCGATGCTCGATTTGCTGCCGTTGTCCCTGTACGATGGGCCGACGATGTTGTGTCTGATAGCTGCCTGTGAGCTGTCGAGAGTTGCGGGTCGCTTTCCTGCACCACTACCGCCGGCACGCCAAAGCTCACACCCTAGTGTTAGCCACACACGACGCTGCGGACCGTTGGCGCCCGCACTTCCATCGGCCCTACGTATGGGGCGGCTTGAGCGACGGCATCTCGACCCTGGCGTTCAAGTGCCGTTGTCTTCAACAGTCGAATGGACTCTTGACAGAGGCCTCGAATCTTTTTGCTTGCGGATCCACAGTCGGAAGATCAGCGCTACAAACAAAACATAAACGCAGTCTCCTCAGTCACCAGGACAGAGACAGGGAGACGAAACGTTTGTGAGGATCTGAACGCGCAATGGAATTGCGGGAGTGCTGTGAATGCCACCTGCTGCTGCTAGCTGTACGCCTGGACCTCTTGTTTCAATCGCCCACATTCGTGGTTACCCAGCGATCGAGGCAGTATGTCATCTCTGTCCTCTCACCTGGTTCTAACGAACACCACGTACCGCGCGTCGACATTTGCTTCACTTTGCGGCCCCGATCCACGATCGCGAGATCATGGCTCCATACGGAGTACCTTGGAGGTATTTTCCCATATCCGATTACGCCGCCTCATCATTCATGGCTGGCTTTGGGGACAACCCCTCTGGCAGTTGGCAGGGCATCTTCCTTTTTTTAATCCATCTCATCTTGAGTAATCACCGGAGCTTCTCTCGAGGCCCTGCCTCCCGTCATATGGCAATGTGCCAATGTGCCATACGGATATCGAATGCCCACACCCTACCAGGATCCCTGGTGGCTACTAGAATCCCGTGAGCGCGTTTTCGTACCCTCGACATTGCCGTGCGGTTTGGAACGCCCGCCAACTTCTCATTGGCTTGAGGTCAGACAGGTCTCAACAACGGTCATGCGTAACATGCGTTCAACCGTGGAGTCGACACAGAGCTAATGTAATGAAGGACCAATGGACACCCAAACAGATATCCCAGCCGAGATGCTGTCTCCCTGTTTGTGGGCTGGCGAACCTTGCTTGTCTGGCCGTGCTCTCATGTTGTGGCGGCCTCGATCGATGGATGCTGCTAGTGTTGGTGTTGCAGTTGGTGGGAAGACCACGCCGGCTTTTGCGCCACCCGCAATCTTCTCATAGCACAGTCGTACCTTGCATCTTAGGGCGTGCTGTTGTGCCTCCCAAGAGACCATACGATTGCTACGCCTCCACCATTTGGCTCTCATCCCTTCCGCCCAACACCCAAGGGTTCAATGAGGGGTCTCGCATGGAGTGGGAGGCCTGGCACCGACCTGCGTGTGCCTGCGTCCGTAACACAACACACAACCCAAGGACGCCTGGACAGTCTCCTTACCTCGCCCCTTCTCGGAGCATTGAGGGCTCGGCCGCGGCAGGCTGGGATCAACGATGCAGCTACTTGGCCGCGGCTGGTGGCCTCGTCCTCATCTCTGGGCAAGTCTCAGGCCCATGTGGCTCAGCAGACACTGGCTTCGAACTGGGGAGGGGAAGGGGAAGGAGAAGGAGAAGGGGAAGGGGGTGTGGTGATATGGAATGGACCCGCCCCTGGTCCGTAGTCCGTGAAGGTGCGGCACCGACAGGCCTCAAAACGGGCACACCGGGCCACCCACTCAGCTCCGCCAAGTACCACACAACACGCACCCCCCGCTTTGTCGCCGCCGTTCCCACTGCTGGCGCATGTCCCCGGTACCTTCAGTCGGGATCTTCTGTCGACTCTTCTTCCGTCACCCTCGTTCGGATTAATCACACTTTTGCCGTATACAGGACCAGGGTCTCTGAAGGATGACGGGCCTGCCTGTTCAGACCGCTCAGCAAGGGCCTCCTGGTTATGTGGATTGCGGATGCAGCCCAGGGGATGCAGGACGATCAGCCCCCACCAAAGAAACGTTGTGCTCTAGAAGCCGTCCATATATGATCTCGACCCTACCTCTTCGGTGGGATTGAAGATCTGATTCCTTCCCCTCTTGAACTCGAGCTGGTTGCTTGTTCCTGAGATGCTGCTTACATCTTGACTTACTTTCTTTCTTGGTACCCTGCGACTTCACTCATTGTCCTTGACCGACCTCTCTCTTCTTCTTCCACCCATTTAACCACTACATTCATTCCATTCTGCAACCGACCCCGGCACCTTCTCATCAGCCTTGATTCCCTCTTGAGATTCGACTTTCCCCTTGTTTGATCTTCGCCGTTTGATCTTCGTCGAAGCATAACTAAACATATCGCCATATCGCCCCTGTCATTCCTTACCCCTCGGCCAACGGCAAAGCTGCACGAGAGATACTCGACGATATTCCTCTCCCCCCATCTTGAGCTTTCCCGATCCTAAGATCTTATTCCGCCCAAATGCTTGTCACTAGCCGGTGCGATTCGGATCACAGTTGGCCTTTCAACAAATACGATCCATCTCGGAAGCCAGCCAGTCCCCCACGCATGTCGAACCCCTATGGTGCTGCTGGATTGTCGGCGCAGTCGCAATGGCAAGGACAGCATCAATATCCCTCCGGCGATGCGAACGTCTTCCCACACTCCCTTGACTCCAGCAGCAGTGGCCAAGAGGCAGCACAGTTACGCCCGGCAGTTGAAACCGACAGGGACGCATTAGGAATTCATATCAAGGAAGACTTGAGACTGGCACAGGTTCACAAACTCCCCGGCGTTGACGCGCTGCAAGACACGCATGCATCACCAGTTTCCACCCACTCAGAGACCATGGATGGAGGACTTGGTTCGAAGATCGCTGGTTCGGTCCAAGGAAACCCGCACGGTGTTTTCGAGACACAGGGCCATGGGACACTGTCGTCTCCTAACCTGCCTGGGCATGGCGACAATGCACCTTCAGCGAAGAGTGATGAGGATGATGACTTTGACGAGGATGACATTTTGGATGGCGAGGGGGACCTTTCTTCACAGACCGCGGCTGAGCGGACTGCCGCTCGTCGAAAGATGAAGCGGTTCAGGTAGGACGGTTTGTCCCAAGGCTTCGAGAATACGGGCTGACATCAACCAGGCTCACCCATCAGCAGACTCGGTTCCTAATGAGCGAGTTTGCTAAGCAGCCACACCCCGATGCTGCTCATCGAGAGCGCCTCTCGAGGGAGATTCCTGGCCTGAGTCCTCGACAGGTCCAAGTCTGGTTCCAGAACAGGTACGTAACAATGCCGAACAAAGTCTTCGTTCTTTGCTGACCCTTGCTAGGCGTGCCAAGATCAAGCGTCTCAACGCCGACGACCGCGATCGAATGATAAAGATGAGAGCTGTTCCCGATGACTTCGACAACGTTCAAGCGCTTCATTCGCCGTACGGCGCAGTGCACGGGCTAGGAACGCCCATGCCCTCCCCAGGAGATCTTGGAACTCAGTCCTACGCTCAACACATGATCAGGCCTTTGGTAGTGGATGTGCGGAGAGGAGCACCGAGTGATCACTCATCTCCTACTGGTCTGACACCGGGATTTGGAGGCCTTGGGTTTAACCCAGCTGCAGGGATGAGCAACACTGACCTGATGTCACCGATTTCACCAGCCCCAAACGATCGATACCCTTACGGAAGCCACTTCTCGGCCCCTATGAACGGTGGTGCAAGGACTTTGAACCCGTATGGGGGACATGGTGGCCTAGAATCGTCCATTGACTCTACCAGACAGAGTCCGCCGCATCCTCTTCAGCCCTCTCAGCTTCGAGATTCCATCTCCCGTTCCAGGTCTGAGTCCGCGCAATCACCTTTGCGCTCAAGCATGGCCTGGAAAGGTGATGCCATCGACTATGCGAACTATCGAGGAGCCAACACAAGTCCGAGTATGAGTGATCGGAATCAATCCATGTACCAACCCGGACATATGGGGTCTTATGATTCGGCATCCTTCCCCAGTAGGAACTCCCCAACCAGCAGTCGAATTCAGGGCTAATACTTGTACTTCAGATAATTCGACTCAGCAGCCAACGAGCATGAGCTACTCTACGATGCCCTCTCCACTTAGCCGATCTCGACTTCGAGCAGCGACGGCAACACTGCCCCTGAGCGTCGATCCCCGGGACCACTATCGCAATACTGGCTCGGATGTGCACACCCAAAGCCCTTTGAGTCAACCTCGTTCTACGCCCACGTCGACGACATACAGCACTTCTTCATACGCAACGAGCTATCCGTCTGCACCTCTCGCTACCCCGGCAGAGTACTCCGTTCCAAGATCATCAGACTCAAAGGCGAACATGCAAGAGGCTCAGATGAGCGCTCCAATGGCCCCGCCTAGCGACTTCTCCCAGGCCCTTCATGGAAACATGGGAAACCCAGATCAGGCACGCCATGACGCTCATAGGCATATGATGAGCGGGAGGGAGGGACACAAGCGAAAGAGAAGCCTTACACTCCCAACTGGATCGACTCGGCCCTTGTTTTAATCGCTCCATGCTCGGAGCATTACCAGTACGCGGTCTTGAAAGAAACGCCAAGGTGGTGGTGTTTGTTGTTTGACCCTGGCTGGTCGTGCACCTTGTAGTCGCTGGATTCTTCCCCCTTCGATTCAGCGACTTGCATCCATCTCGCTGAACAACTTCTGACAACTTCTAACAACATCATACCCACTCTGCGCGTGGGCAGCACTGCCGGCAAAACCTCTCTGATTCTCTCCGTTCTTTTCGACTTTTCCCTTTGACGGTCTTGATCAATAATTGCATCCTGGCGCAATACAAACGGTGGGTAAGTGGCTATCAGTGATGGGTTTTAGAGTTTGGCATGGTGAGCCCGGGCGGCTTGGGTATGATGACGACCTGTTTCTTTGTTTGCGGTTCTGGGCTGGTCTCGGCAATGATGATGATCTTTAAGCTTGGGCTTGGATGGAAAATCAGGGAGGGGACATCGGCGTACATCATTGGGTTTCACGGAACGGACTGGATCTGTTTTCTTTTTGGCAACTTTTTTGTGTAAATACCGTAGATTGATAGGGGCCAAGATGGTCAGTGTCCTCTCTGGGCATCCCGCTTGACGCGGTAGACAGCGCTTTGAATAGTTGCGAAGAAGAACTCCGAGCTTTGCCTCGAGACATCAAAATACCTCCCCACTGCAACTTTTACGTGACCAGTTGCTAGAGATTTTATTGAGTCCAAGCCGGATCAGTGCCCGACATTGTGACAATTACACCACTCCACGACTTCGGGACTCGATTGATGTGATACAAATTTCGGGAGCACTGTACACAGCTTTGGATCGTTTGTATCAGGGAAGCATCACCTGGGTTTTGAAGACCGAGAATCTGACAGGTTATCCATCAGCCTCCGTCTCGGTGTAAAGGTGGGTTCGTGGAGTTTTGGGTGTCGATTCAAAAGTCAGACAATGCCTTTCTCCTCCTGAGCCAAGTGGTTATCAGCCAATTGGATGATTGACAGACAACGACAGCCATGGCTCGTAGGTTTACCAGATGTAAAGGTGTCATCATGTGAATAGGAAACCACGAGGGCGGCATTCCTTTGTAAAAAAGAACTTACATATTGCGAGGCAACGCTACTGATTTAGAGACGGAGGATGAGTCCTCCACCTGCCGGGCGAACTTGGGGCACATTGTCACAGCCATGCAAGGTTAAGCATGAATAAATGTTACTTGCATCAGGTCATCAGCGCATCATGGCAGCCGCACGAGGGGCCCTCGTGATGATGGTTTTTGGCAAGGTTATAGTTTGTTCTCGACCACTGATCTCCGTTTGTTTGTCAGCAGCGAATGAGTTCGAGCAAAGTCGGCGCGCTGGCGAAGAAATGGGAGGTGGTCTGGGGTTATATTGTTGAGAGAAAAGAAAGAAAATTCAGTGGCTCTGAGAAGCACGAAGTCGATCTTATCGCGGGAAATTGGTCATGTGACTTGGCTTCTTTTGTGGCTCTTTGTGGCTCTTTTGGCCCTTTGTGGATACCTATTTGTGGATCTGCGGAGGAGGCGCGAGGAGGCGCGAGGAGGCGCGAGGCAGAGGGGAAGGGCTGCCTGACAGTTCAGGTACATGTTTCCGGTGTGGCCCAGGCTAAGATTCGGGGATGCCGCGGGGCTGCCTGCGACAGCGGAGTGGTGCGACTGGTGCGACCGGTGTGGAAGTCTGGCGAAGAAAGGCGGAGGTACCTGTGGCTCACGTGGCCGAGGCCCTTTGTGACTGGTCCCAGCCACTCAAAGTGGCGGCTCCGAACGCTTTCAGTCAGCAAACCCCGGCGGGTGCGTGTGAGACGGCGAGTAGGTACGTACCTGCCTGCCTGCGTTTGCCGGGCCCTTATGAAATTGCCTCGTCTTTCAGGCCCAAACATCTCTCTCCCTCATTCCACACTCCACACCTTCACCACCTCACTCACCCCCCGACTCAACCTCCATCAACGACCCTACGATCGCCTCCTTCGACGCCAACCCTCGCTCGCCCGCGACATTCGCCCATTTCCCCTCGAAACCGTCGACTTTCACCCCTCGATCCCCATCCATCGACTCGCCGCCGCCCGCCGCGCCGATCCCGAGCCGAGAAAACCCAGCGCAGTGCATGACGTTAAGCTGAGAGCCGAGCGCAGCGACACTCGGTCGGCGGCCGGCGCGACTCTCGCCACAACCCTCCCTCGCGGAGACGTCCACAATGTCGTTCCACCCTCAGACGCCCCAGAGTCCATCGCAATTCTCCTCCGGGACCTCGGACCCCGTGTCCAGCGCGGCCACCTCTATGACGGCCGCGTCCACGGCCACCACCTTGCCGACTCCCGCCCACAGCGTCAACGGAAGCGCCTCCCAGCCCGACTTCATCATGGCCGACGACTCGCCGCACAAGCGGAAGCGCTCCATGGATGACAGCGGCGACCGTGAGCAGAAGAAGATTCACCTCGAGGAAAGCAAGCTTGGCATTGAGGACCTGCATCTCGATGTAGGGAAGAAATACCTGCTTTGCCAAACTCGTAAGACTCCCTTCGCCGTCCTCTTCCCGCTCCTTCTGGCGCCACCACCTTGACTTGGAGACAAGTCGCGGGCATCTCGTGATTCCCGCAAGAGAATTGTTTGTTAACATCGGTTATCTTTAGCGCACCCTGAATCCCTCCCACGGGCCTCGGAAGATTTGTACGAGATGTTCAACCTTGCCAGCTTGGCTGCCGAGGTTGCTCGAGAGAAGCCAAACGGAGAGAAGAATGCTCTGCGAAAAACGTACAAGGGCCACATCAAGCGATTAGGCGTCGCTGGTCACTTTGACGTGCAGAAGAAGAAAGAGGACGCGCCTTCAGAGTTTATGGCCATGCTTCAGGTCCCTGATCTCGAGTGGAACGTCCACCAGGTGAAGGGCCGAGAGATTACCGACGGTCTCTCAGATACCAGCCTCGCCAGCCTCGGACGAGCAGTCACCATGGCCAAAGGCCCCATACCGAAGGGTGTGTGGGATTCGTCGGTACTGGGGGACATCGCGCCATCAAACGGAGATTCGAAGCAGCCATCCTCAGCGAGGCCCACCGCCCCAAACACGCCCTTGGCTGGTGCTCCTGGCGCCGTAAATAGGCTCAAGTCACAGGGTCCTCCGGGCTCAGATCCCTTGCGACCTCGGCGGAACATCAAGAAGCGAACCTACGGCGATAGCAGTTATGAGGGCTACGGAGAGGGCTTTCCTGATGATGATGCGGGCATGGAAGCAGGATACTCTACGGGAGAGGGAGAGGGAGGCCAGAAGCGCCGCAAGAAGGTAAACACCCGCCCCTTGCTCACTATCAAAATTTTCTCATCTAATCTCACTCGCATTAGAACCCAGGAAATGCGTCACCCTACCCGAGCGCTATGCGCCAACAAAGCTACGGCCCTGGCATGGTTGGCGCCTGAAGTTCTTCCACCGTGGTTATTCGACCAGGTCCTCCCTTTTCTCGACAGCTCATCCCATCCCATGCCAACAAACCCCTTCCAGCCAACTAATAGACCTCATAAGAGGGTGTCTTAGGCTCAGGGGATCCTGCAGGTATCACTCACAGGCGAAAAAAAAAAATCTCCCAGTTGCTCACGATATCCTTCCTCCCGGCTGGCTTTCTTCCTTTTTTTCCTTTTCCATAAATTGTACAGGTATACCACGATACACACGAGAGGCGCCTCCTCCGAAAGGGGGACGCAAAAAGACGGCCGCCTCTATCACATTCCAAAAAACCAGTTGCCAATCTTGTTTTATTCGTCATTTTTACGCTTTTTCTGCTTTCACTATGGCATTTTGCACGGACGGACTTCCGTCCATCAGCACGGCGTTTGGGCACAGGGGGAACGGACGGTACTCATTTTGAACTCAACGGGGGAAGAAGGGAAGGGGATGGCGACTGCGGAAAGGGTGGCAATTCCGTTCAGTCGGAGGGATGGTCTCTCGAGACACGGCCTACTCTCTTGTTTTTTGTGTCTCCTTTTCTCTTTCTTGCTACTTTTTTATGCGGCCTTTTGATGGTCGGCGGGGGATGAAGGCAAAGGTTGGCGTGGGCAAATCCTTTGCAACGATGGTAGTTTTCCGCGGTCTTTTTTTTTGCATGGACTCGTTGATGAACGGCAAAGGCTCTAGGGCGGCAACGGGAAACACGGACGACGCGGATGACGACGGTGGATGGAAGGATGGGCGAAAACACAGCGCAGTAGGCATTCATGTGGTTTCTTCTTGGATTAGATGCCGGTAGAGTCGCAATTCGACACCTGGTTTCAGCGAGTCATGAGTCGCCATGCCCTTCTCTCTCAGTGATTGTGATTGTGAATCTACTGCCATGCGCCGTGGTGTGACGCGCATCTTGGTTCGGCGAGCTGCGGGTTCCATGGTTGTTTCAGTCGCTGTGCTAAGTGGTCTGTCTCGTGGTTTCTTTGTCGCTTCGAGACGTGGGGGATATGAAAGGGGCAGCACAACGCCTGAAACAAAGCGCAAAGGAGCCAACCGGGTTGTCGTCATTCACCGCTGAGGCTTTGGATCAAAGAAATAATCAATCTACACTCCAAAATGAGAAATGTGCTCAGAAATCGAGACATCGTGTTGTTCACCAGAACTAGTCTACCAGGCCGCAATCAAGGCTCCAAAGAGATGAGAGGATGAAAGAGAAAAACAAAGAGATCCCAGAATACTCCTCCTACATCCGATAGTTGCATCATGTCGCATGTCTCATAACGCCTTCGTCCAGATGGCTTTTCCCCGCGGCTTCCGCACATTACCTCCCACAGATTACACCCCATCATGTTTGATGTACACTGTCTACCACCATTCTCTGCCCATACACTCTGGCTTTGTCCCCTGCCCGCTACTTAGCGGCGCTTGGTCATTGTGGCGCAGCACCCATCAAGTGATCAATGTTGAAGTTGCCATTCTCGACCGTTGGGTATGCACCGCCGCTCATCTCAGCGAATGTAAAGTCCAAGTTCATGGGCAAGCTAAAGAGGTCGTGTGGGAGGACCGGCTGCTGGAACATTGCCCCGGGATGCATGGGGGGAGAATGCACGCCAGGGACAAAGTTGAAGGAGTCGTAGTCCCCGTTTTGGGACATGCCAAAGTCCTGAGTCCAGCCGGCCGAGCCCATCGGTGGAGAGCCACCGTTTACAGAGGTCGGCATGGAGAAAGGCGAGCCATGATCCGGCCTCAGTGAAGGCGATCGATGGCTGTTTGGATCACCTCCAGGAGGTGTTGAATTTGCAGCCCGAGGGGTCTGTGTCGCGGAGAAACTGGATGGAGTGGCCGTCGTCGTGTAGGCTGGAGTCTTGCTAGATGTGTCCTGGGGCTTGCGTTTGCGACGTGAAGACTGGTCCTTCTCCGCCTTCTCGATGACTGCCCTGGCGATACGCTCAAACTCTGCGCAGATGCCGAGCATTCGGTGAACACCACCTTGTTCGGCCTCTTGTCCCAGCATAGAGAGGAAGGTAACCACCGTGTTCATCAGTCGGGTGTCCGATTTGGCGCGTGGGTCCACAGGATTCTGCAAGATGTTGCCGAACAATGTCACGAGAGCAGAAACGGGGAAATACAAAATCATCCTGGGTTATAAAATCAGCCTTCAGGTCCAGGGGAGTCGGATGGACAACAACAAAACTTACCAGACACAAGAAAAGTCGCCCTGTGGGACGTACTTCAGCAACGACACGGACGCCCTCGCCGCGTTGGTGCAAATGGTCGCTGAGGAGAAGACTCGAGGGTTGAGGGGCTTCGAATTCAGGCCCTGGATGGCGTAGTTGGAAAGACGGCTAGTCCAGTATCCATGGTGAATAGACATGCGATGGATCGTTGTTAGGCAGTTGTAGTAGGTGAGGTGGACCATGACAACGTGAAGGATTAGGGGAGTGTGCGAGGCCTTGATCTCATGTTCCGGGCGGAAGTCAACGGGGATTCTGTCCTTCCAATCCTCCAGCTTCTGGTCTAGCTCGCCGATGGTGTTGAGCAGGTCACCGTCAGACTGCTTCGTAGCCTGCACCGAGTATAGCCGCTTATACACCTCGCTCTCGATTGTTGCAACCTCGCACATGACCCGGAACAGGTTCATTTTGCCTTTCCCATCTGCCAGTGGGATATTGCCGATATTATCCACAGGATCAGCTTCTGGGAGCTCCACGTTCATATCGTCGTCGTCCTGTGCGGGTGGCCGGCCGGATCGGAGGCACAGATCCTTGTCCAGCATGTAAGCAATCCAGAAGACCCTCTTCCGCTGCTCAATCTCGATGGGGTTGAGGTTGAAGCCCGTACCGCGCTTGTGGAGACCAATACTGTGGGCTAGACGCATAGCGGCTGAGATGAGAAGGAAGCTCGGTTGGGGGTTGGGAGTTCCCTGCATGAACAAGGCCATGCCCAGGAGAGCCTGGACACTCAGAAGGTCTGTATTTCGCATCATCAGCTCGGGGAACACGCCCATTGCATTCTTCAGATAGCCCCAGGCCTTGTCATCTTCTTCCTGGGGCACCAAGTTACTCATGACACGCAGACGGTGGGCGATGGCAAGGGTAACATTGAGACTGGCCCACCAGCCAGAGCCATGGTAGGGTTCAGTGGAGTACTGTAGTTCCACAAGGTGCATGAAAGTAGGCTGGTGGAAGAGGGGAAAGATGCAGTTGAAGTTCTCGAAGAAATCCTTGAGGAGGGACAAGGCCTCGGGCTTCGAGGGCAAAGGACGGAAGATCTGGCGGCGGAACAGATCGCCAAAGACCTCAGGTTTCCAGTTAGTCCACTTGTGGTCGTCAACGGAGACGTCGGATATGGTGCGCTGGAAGGACTGGTCGCCGGTCTTGGTGTTGACCCATTGGATTCCCTTGGGAGAAAAGATGGAGAAGCCAGATGACGATCCTGCGCTTGGTCAGCAAGAGTAGCCCGTGTTAGTCTGCGAGGACAACTAACCGATATATCTCGTCTCGCCGTAGTTGTTGGTTACTAGAGAGCACATCATCTCCGACAGAGCTTCAACTTCTTCTTGCCCCTCTGGGTTCTTGTCCGCAGGGGGGCTCGAAGATTTGAACTTCTCATCCTTAGGAATGACGGCGGCAGCGGGGGCCGGGGACGTAAATGAACTCTGCGGGGTGGACTCGGCTCCATCGGTGGCCGATGGTACGGAAGTAGCTTGCGAGGGAGAAGTTGGAGAGGATGTGGTAGCCAAAGAAGCCTGCCGCGATTGTTGATTCCTTTCCATGAGCTTCTTCTCTAGAACGCTTAGGTCAACATCGCCTTCCTCGTCGTCGAGGAGTCCTACAGAAGGTCAGCGAGGGCTCTGGAAGTGATGATTCGTAAAATCCAGGGCGATGGCGCACCTGAGAGTCTTAGAAGATGTTCCATGCGCCCAAGTCGGTTCTCTAAGCCTTCAATATACTTGGCGCTGAGAATTGGTCAGCAGCTGGACGATAGTGTCTCTATACGGCGAGGGCCAGGCATACCCCTTGGGAGGACTGCGCTTCTTCTCAACCTGGGTGAAGACACATTCGGTCTTGTAGTTTGTGCAGTGACTGCAAGCAGGCAGCTTGCCGTCGCACTTGATCTTCTTCTTCCTGCACATATCACAGGCCTATGGGTGACGAGGCGGATTAGCACTACGGCCAGGCGGTCCCGGTTGCGCCGGAAGTACTGCGAGAGGAAACTCACCCGAGCAATCCTCCTCCGCTTGGCCTCGACAGAGTCGTCAAGCAACATGGCCGAGTCCTGGAACATTTGGGCGGCCAGGTCGGACGTCATGTGAGGGAGGCCATCGTAGCTCCCAAATATCTGGGGGGGTTGATTAAGGAGGGGCGGCGGCGCCATGGTCGGGATCTGGAATCCCATGTGGTCCATGATGAGGGCGTGAAGCGGGCTGTGGGAGCCGCGGTAGAGGGATCGTGGGTTTATAGTCGAGGGTTCGATCTAGGAGGAGCAGCGGCTCGATGGTGACCCAGACGAAGGCAATGCGTTGCGGTGGGTGCGGCGCGGTGCGGCGCGGCGCGGAGTATGGGCGTGCGGGAGGAGTCGGCCGGCAGCAGGGCTACCTTGAAGACGCACGATTTCGTGCGCAGGTGAGGGGCCAAGATGCTGCGGTGGTGCGGTGGTGGTACGCTGTGGTTGCGGCGGAGGGCGATGAGGACGGAATTGAGGCGGGTGGGAGGGTAAAGGTGAGGGCGAAGAGGTGAGTTTATCGATGTTGTGTGTGGTTGTGTGTGTGGTGTGAATGGGGGGGAACTTGTTGAAGGCGGGTCCGCCAGATGAGATGTGGACGGTCTCGACGGAGTGAGATGGAGGCGCCGCGCTAAAAAACCAAGTCAGCGAAAGAGCCGGCACTGCAGGCCCGGTACCGACCAGTTACCGCTAACGAGATGCATGTCCAGCGAGTACTGTGCTGTACCTTGGGTACCTGAGGGAGGTAGGGAGGGTGCCGATGTACCTAATGTACCAGGTAGTAATCGACCAGGCTGCGCGGGGGAGGTACCTAATACCCCCCGTCAGGTATGGTGGCAGTTACAGCGATGCACTAAGACCGCTAGAGAACAAGGCGGAGAGGTGGGGTGGCGGAGTCAGGTTTGAGTGGGCTCTTGGTGTATCCCTTGGGCGAGTTCGTGTTTTGGGTGGTGTAATAACCGTCGCAGCGCAGGCTATCCAGGCCTAGCTAATGCAAGTGCAGCTGTGCGTGCAGCTTCACGGTTGCGAAGATGCTTCTAGCATCGATCGAGGAGGGGAGAGCTAACTAGCAGCGCGAGAGGGATGGCTGGCGACGTGGTGGTAGTGATGGAGGCAATCGAGGCTTGCGATGTGAGGATGGACGAGATGGGGGGTGGTGGTGGTGGCCATGACGGCCATGATGACCGCCGTAGCCCCCCCAATATGATGACGATAAGCGGTGACAGCACTGACAAATGCACAATTCCATTTCAGCTTCAGCGCTGACGCTGCATGCGACTCTGCCCTCGTGGTGGATGACTCTCGCTCCCGCCGCGGACCCTGCGGCTCGCTGGCTGTTGAACGCAACAGAGCTGAATGCGACCTGAATGTGCATCAGCCGCCTCTGTCCCTCTCTCTCTCTCCCTCTGCTATCGACAGGGGAGCCCCGCGGATGGACCCCCGGAGAGGCCTCGCAGACAGCGGTAATGTTACCGTGCCTAGATGATGGTGAGGGCCAGCCGAAACAAGACGAGTAGCAAGCCGCGAGAAAATACCACCTCGGGACTGAAGGCCAGGGCCAGTGGCAATCGACAAGAGGCGGGAATCTGTCGCAGCCCCCTGCCTCTCTGCCTCCCTGCCTCCCTTCTCGCATCTTCTTCTTCCTTTTGCCTCTTGGCTACACGTCGTGCTCCGCTCCGCACCTCGTCATCACCCTGGCCGGCGGTCGATGATGGTCCAGAATTTGGAATAACCACCCCCCCATCCCCTCGGCCCGCCCAGAGCACAGGGAAGATCCAGAAACCACAAACGCGTCCCAGAAACAGATGCCGGCCAATGCCTTGACAAGTTGGAACGCCTCTGCGAATCACGAACTAACCGTCTATCAAACTATCTTCTCCGGAATCCCGTCTGCCCGAACCCGTTTTGCGGACTCGGCATGCGTCTCTTCCACCTCGGATCTCACATCTCCTCCTCCATCTTACGCATGCCCAATCTCACTCTCCCCCCTCCAAACTACGGGTACGCCAGATGACCAATGTGGCTTGCCCGGGATGTCGTATCAGCTTGACCTCCGGTGGAAGATGCCGTCAGATTAATTAATTGATCGAGCGCCTCTCTTGACGGAGTCACTGTTGCGTTGCGGCGGAAACGTCATCACTATGCTTGGCATCTTAGTTGCAAGGTGCCAAGGAATTCAAGCCCAGCAACACCCAATGACTTACAGCCGCCATGTTATCGTTATTAAAGCCCAGGCACCTAGGGCGGCTCTTGGCAAAGACATTGAGAAATGAATGCCACGACCTCCCCTAATATGCAGAGGTATACCTAATTTAGCAGAGTTTCACAGTAGTCGAAAAACTGCTGCGTTATCCAGCCGCAATAGCGAGAGTGACAGTTGGTGGCATGCGCAGGCTCAATCCCTGCGGCCTGCACATCAACCACGGCCAGCTCCAACCGTCCGCATCCCACGAAGGAAGCCACTAGTCTAACTACGTGAAGGCACTATGCCCAGAGCCAAATAGCCATGTCAGACTCCATAAGCCTCGCGTAAACGAGTCTCCGCCTTCTCTCAGAGCTCTCCAATCCCTTGCCCCAAGATAGCTGCGGAAGTCCATAACACATAACACCACAAGACGCCGCGCAACCAACCACAACCCATCCCACGCGCGGCATTTGCCATGCTGCAGGGCTCCGGCCAATTGCGACGCTGCGACGCTGCGACTTGACACCGGAATCCGGCCACGAGGGGGACCGTGGCAACCCTGGCGACCCTGGCATGGCCTGCCAACAGGAGCCGCCTAATAAGCAGTCGGCCAGTTTTGTGCCGTTTCTCGGGCTCCTCGTGGTGGTTTCCTCCTGAAATCCATACACGCAGTTTAAACAACGGGGCACACTTTGAACCCCAGTCCCGTCTGCCCGCGTCTATGCACACCTTTTGGCCCCCAGGGAGAGAGTCCGTTCTTGTCTTAGACGGCTGCGGAGTTAAAGCGGAGTTTGAGCCTGGCTGTGACTAGCCGAAGTTATTGGACGTGGTGACGGCATAGATTGGAACCTGTCTTAGACATCATGATGCCTTCATTCCCCCCCCTAAACTCACTGTAAATCAGCCCTAACTCGGGTGGCAAGAATTCCCAGCTGAACGACACATCCAAAGAGCTTTCAATTACATGTCCATTATTCGCCACTTTACTCTTGTGCTTCCCCGGCTGGCCCCGACGGGACAACTCCCAACGCCGCCTCCCAACGCCATGCGCATCCATGTCCATTACCTCCTTATGTGTCCAAGAGGGGAAGGGAAAAAAGTGGAAATGTCCCCAAATCAAGTCCTCGCCAGTACGAATACGTCGACATCGGCCCCTCATTCCAAACCCCAAGTCGCCGCCTGATCGATCGCTCTGAACATCCGTGAGGCTGTGCATCTTGACCCCGACACTCACCGTCCCAGCCAAGGAGCCCCCAGTTGTGCCCAAAGCGCCCATCTCCGCTGGCCCCCAGAGCCCCCAGAAGACAAGAACTGTCAATTAGTAATTCCTCGGTAAACATGGCGTACAACACATCGAGACGAGCACTGCCTCATCCCTTCGCCAAGCCCTCACATGGGACGAAAAAGTCCCTTCGGACAGCTCTCGTTTCACTGTCGTGTCGGGAGCGCCAATCCCATCCCCCCTCCCTCCCTCTTCTCCGCGTATCCGACCGCGTCTGCGACCCGGCGCCTTTGACACTTGGCTGTCATCTTCGGCAGTTTCGGGGCGGGTGCGCTGAGGCGTTGCCTAAGACCAGTTAGGAGCAAGACGGGTTGTTGATGTGGGGGATCAAGCAGGTTATATCACTTGGTTGATATACCGTTCGATATTCATGCATGCGTGGAAAGGCGCGTAGGATCCTACAACCCTATAAATACTTTCAGCCGCCTCTCGTATCCAAGTTTGGTTCTTGGTAAAGCTAAATTGACAACCCCGTGTATTGTCCATCTCACTCCGAGTACCGAGGTATATTGTACAAAATCATCAGCATTTCGCAGCCGTGGCTCATCCCAGCATATTATCAACCATTCAATCGCATGCGCTTTAATAGGACTCACTATAAGAGTCCTGAATGCGACCATACGATTCATGCTAATTTAGATGAGTGTTCATATTCCGATACAGCCATTTAGGTTTGACCCAAATGTATCATCACACTGTATGCCTCTGCCTACAACATCCTTCTCGCACCGTTCACATTGATATCTGCTAAACACTATTTGGAATGGACCCTTCGGATGGGGTATATTGCTTTTGAAATCTGGGGGGCAAGCTTGTATTATATACACTAAACCTCTCTCCTAATCCTCAGCTCACCCACCCAAGATAGCTCCCTCTAACTGTCCCAGAGGTCATTAAAAGGAGGCTTTGAACAAAAAGCAGCAAGGCAAAGAAGATTTCGACCGTGAAAACGTCTCGTAGTGCTTTTGTCTTCCCAGTTGCTGTCTCTTCTGGTTCTTTTCCCCTTCCTGCTGCTTCTTCTTATTCTTCCTCCACCCTTATGCTTCTATATGTCCCAGCTTTCCTTCCAGCTCAGATTAAAAGAAAAAAAAAATGTTTCCCGAGATCCCAATGGTGGTACCACATTCAAACGCCGAACAGAATGCTTCTCGCCGCTGGTGTGGGGAATCCGTGAGAAGATAAAATAGAGAAAAGAAAGACACCCCATGGCGGTAGTAATTGGTAGTTGACGCTTTGTCAAACTACCCTTGATGATGCAACGACAAGATGCAACGGCAATGTACAGAACGCTCAGATTTGAGACAAAACAAACGCGCAAAAGGAGTGGTGCGCAGTTTTAGATCCTTTCCTGGAACCGTGATGGTGAACCCCACGATCCGTCCTGAGATGTTATCGACCCGCCCCCGATTGAATCTCCGAGCGCGTCTGAGTCTGGGCGTGGTCGTGAAATTGGATCAGAGAATGGGTTCTCTTCTTTGATTGGAGTGCGCGCCGGGCCTGTTCGAATAACCGGCACGCCGCTAACAGGTCGCATTGGGGATCCCAAAGCAAGTCGTGTTGAGCCTCCTTCAGAGGGGTTAAACGCCTGTGAACCTCTCCAGTAGTCGGTGTGACCGCTAGCAACGCTGTCACGGTCACGAGGATCCGAGTATCCATCACCACCCGTCTGGAGAACCGAGTGCAACTTCTTGCCGGACACTCGGTAGAATCCCCGCTCACCACTCGGCGCTGGCTCCGGTGGTGTTTGGTTTCTTTTGCCTGTCAAACCTGCCAAGGCGGCGGCGACAGCGAAAGGCCCTGTGCGCTCTGCCATAGCTCCACCGCTTCCGTTCCCAGAGTCACCGCCAGTGATGAGACCCTTGACGTTCGATCTCGGCGGGCTGTTTCCCAGCAATGATTGGTTGCCCTGTCTCTTCTTGTACTTGAGGGCGAGCATGACCAGAAGAGCCAGTACAGCGACACCAGCAATGCTTCCCATAACACCGCCAAGAACCTGCTTCTGGGTCGTCGAGAGAGTTCCACCCGATGACCCGTCTGCGCTGGAAGTAGTCGTCGAGTCGGCAGGTTGGCTGGCGGCTGTGGCGTCTCCACCACCGCTGCCGCCTCCGTCGGCGTACAGCGTGGAAGTCCAGGTCTCAGTCGAGTAAGAGTAGATTGTAGACGAAAGAATAGTCGAGGAGAGATCAGTAGTGTCAGTGGTTTCTGTAGTTGCGGAAGAAGTGAACGAGGAAATGGAAGAAGAAGTCAAAGAGCGCGTGCTAGATGTTGACAGAATGTTTTTCAACACCGAGAACGTGGTCGAATCGGAGGCGGTGGCATCAGGAGTGGAATGGGAGCTGGCTCCAGGTGTTGTGTATAAGTTGGTCCCTGTGAGAGTGGTTTGACTTGAGGTGGAGCTCAGACCTAATAACAGCACGGGTCAGTTCACTATATAATTCCACAACATATACGACAAGGGAACATACCAGCTGTTGGTGTAGAGTTTGTGCCGTTTAAGGCTCCATTAATACCAGTGCCGATTGAAGCACCGGGCGTCTGCGCCGAATTCTGAGTGTCCAGAGAAAGCGAGTAGGTCGCAGAGAGGAGGTCAGAGGAAGAGACCGTAGGAACCAAGTAGACCGCGGAGCCAGCATTGGAAGTAGTGGCATCCGCGGCGGGAGTGGTGGTTGCCTCTGGCGGGGTCATATCGTCCGAGGACTGCACAACATTATCGGTGGAAGCCGCGTTCGAGGCTGGGGCCGCCTGAGTGGACGAATCCGGGTTGGACGCGGAGACGGTGCTACCCGAAGCCGAATCAACAACGATGGTGTTGGTGTCGCCGTAGAGAGTCTGAACCGCGATAGGGGAGCCAACGGAATCGACGACCTGGACGACGGAGACAGTCTGGACAACCTGTGTGACGTATCCAGTGGCAGTGTCGTCGCGAATCTCGAGCTTGAGGGGGGCGGTCTGGGCGTCACGGTACTGGAGGCGGCGGTGGGAGTGACGCAGGCGAGAGACAGTATCGATGCTTCGTTCAGAGTCGTCTTGATCCTCACTTGGGCCTTGGTGATGGTCCTGGTTGGCGTCGACGTCGACGTCGCGGTAGTCGTGGCGATGCAGATGAGCGTGGCGCTTGCCGCTGCCGGAACGAGCGTGGGGGGAGTCTGAGTTCGAGTGAGAATGAGAGTGAGAGTTGGAAGATGAAGACGAAGACGATGACGAGTCGGAGGAAGACAAAGGCGGATCGACATCAGGGGCCTGAGCGAGTGAAGGTCCGCTAGATGAGTAAGTCATGGTCGGTCGTGACCCGTGGGCGTGGGCGTCCAGGGGAGGCGTAGGCGTAGGCGTATGCGTCGGGCGTAGGCGCAGCGCTGGCGAAAAGCGATCCAAATGGCACTGGCGCTGGCGTAGGCGTAGGCGTAGACCAGCCTTGGACCTGGAAAGCCTGGAGCCTAGCAACCTGCAAAGTGTGGCGATGCGTCGAGCGGGACGGGATAGCACGTTGGCGTTGGTCCCTGGGTGCCGTTCTGGGGCTGGCGGATTGCGGATTGCGTATGCGCCTGTACGTTTTTGCGGGGGCCTCCTCTAAAAAAACGAACAAAACTGGGAACCGAAAGGACGGGCCGTCAACCGTATTCGCTAACGGGGGCGCGGCTCAGTAGTCGAGTCGAAGGATTTTAGTGAGAGTTCCCAATCCAGAACGCTGAATGAGCAGAAAATAGAGCGAGTGTGATGCGAGTCGTCGTCGTGGTCGTCGTGTCGAAGGGCTGTGTTGCTGGTAGCAGGCGCACTACATAGCCAGAATCGTCCCCAACGGTCGTGCGTCCGGTGTGGTGCCGGTTGTCAAATCCAACTCTTTTCTTTGCTGCTTGCTTGCATGCAACTGTATTTCCTTTGCTTTCCCTTGCTTGCTTGCTTGTTGTCGGACTTCCTTTGTTTCCTTCTTCCTTCCTTTCCTTTCTTTCCGCTTGTCCCGACAAATTCCTGGCAACAAATCCCTGGCGCCTTTGTTACCGTCTCCGTTGAAAGAATAAATGAGTGGCTGATCCCGTTCGTCACCGTGGTCGGGGGGGTTGGGATCGGGGCTGGACAGGGTTTCGACAGCGGGCGGTCTTGAAGTTGTGCGATTGTTCTCGACGTGGATCCGGTCCTTGGCTCTCCTTGCATCAACAACAGCAGCGCCCAGCGGTCGACAATGGCATGGCGGCACGGCACAAAGTCGACGATGCGGGTGGAGGAGGAGGAGGAGGAAAGGTTAAAGAGCGACTGGGGGAGGAGGAGGAGGAGGAGGGGTGGGAATGCGAGAGAACGGCTGAACGAGCGTGGTGTGTGAGTGAGCGAGCGAGCGACCTGCAGCGCGCGAGAGTGGGCAGCGACTACACTAAATGACGAGGCGCCGTCGTTCGGACCGTAAAAGTGGTACCTACTGTCCGGGTGTGCACACGCACAGTCGTCTCTACAACGGCGTCTATGTAAGTCCCCCCTTCCCTCCTGGAAGCCCTGGAAGCCGTGGACTGCTTTCTCCTTGAATCCCAGATGGGGGATGGGCTAATTGGAATCGGCCCCCCGGAAACGCCCAAAGGAAAGCCAGCAGCCCGTGATCCTGGGCTCCATGGCCCCAGTGGCCCTGCGAGATGGGAAATAATCTCGCTTGAAATGGACGCGGTGGCTCTCAGGTCGCCGGAGAGGCCAATCAGCGCTCTGCAGCCGCACGACATCCTGGGACTCTTCGGTGGACAAGCATTGACTAGGGTGGCATCAACTGTTCCGAGTGGGCTAGAGCATGTGCCTGGACATGGATGCCGTCCGCCATCAGGGCTCGGCGACAGGAACAGGAACAGCGCAGTTGCGGCAGCAAGCAATAGCGACATGGATAAGGGCATGGGGACGGCGGCCACAACTGCGCGCTTCTTTCGCCTGTCACCACCTCCTCCAGGATTTTATCCAACCCATCCCACCATCGATCCATCCCACGAACTTACGAAGAGGGGGGCGCCCTCGCATCTTCCTCCAGGGCCCCGACGGTCACAGCGGTGTTGGTGGGTTCTCGAGGAGAGGAGAGGAGGAAAGGCGACGAGACATAGCTGGCACGGGCTGGAAACCTGGCTGGAAACCTGGCTGGAATCCATCCATCGCTGGCATGGGGCACATCGGGGTGGATAGATGATAGATCCATCTTACGCACAACAGCATCTCGGGAGGGTACGTACGTCCATACGTACAGCAGTTCCAGTCCCAGTTCCAGTTCCGTCAAGCACGGTATGAGTTTGGGAGTGGTATTTTTGGCCACGCGAGGGTTGGGTCGAAACGCGATGAATGGATACGAAGGCGGGCGGCGGTTCCATCAGCCAACTCACCGTACTACGTAGCACGTACAGTATCCGTACCTGACGATCCAACACTCACCGTCTGTGGCGAGGTGGTGTAGACGGGTTCGTACTGGAGCACGGAGTCGTGGGACTTCAAAAAGCCCGTTGGAAACCCGCATGCATTATCACGCTGCACCCGCTGCACCATGCTTGCACCGCTATGCACCGAAACGTCGCCTGCATGTTCGTGCCTGTATCTGCGTTGGCGCGTGCATGAAGAAGAAAAACGGTCCCTTCTCGTATGAAAATAGACTACAGGGCCTGTCAGGTGGGTGTGACAGCAGAGAGCGTTGTTTTTTTTTTGGCCGCCTTGCATATCTCGGCTCGTATTCCCAACCGACACGCACCGTCACCGACACTAGCCAGTTTTCTTATTGCAGTACGAACCGCGCAATTCACACCATCCTCTACATTTAAGTGCGCTGCTTAGCATGGATTTTTAACCCACATGCCACGGAGTGCTTCTTCCCGAGGCGTTAACCTGATGCCCTTTCTCGGGTGGCTCGTGAGCTAGAGTTACAGACTTGCAGCCTTTGGGACCTTATTCCATCACACACGGACGCTAATAAGCGGCACTCGGACAGCGCAGTGAGTATTAGTTAAGTTAAAAGATTCGACTTTGTGCACAACGGTACATGGCAGTTTAGAATAGTTAGCGTTGTAGTGACACTAGCTGGTCTAGTCACGCGGGGACTGAGCATCCGTCCCCTCCATTCATATTACACAATTAGTCGAAACGTAGTGTAAGTGTGCGTATCCAGCCCATGTGGAAGGTTGATGTACTGCAGTGTTACGGCGACGTCCATTCAACCAACCCCCATGGCCATGGGCTCCAGGGTCGACATGGAGCGATCGCCTGCAAGGGACGCGACACGTTGAAAGACAAGGGCATGGGAATGTGAATCACCAATTCCCCCATGCCAGGCAAACTCCGAGACATGGTCACACTTACACAACACGCACGCACATTAGTGATACACTGAGACAGAGAAAAAGACAGAGAAAAAGACAAGACAAAAGGGGATGGAGGAGGAGCCGGACCAATCTCATTTACCCGAGCAGCCACTGAGTCACTGATTGATTTACATGATCCTCGCGACTGACGACACGATACGACATGGGCTTGACGCGAGGATTGACGGTGATTAGGGTGACGACGACTCGAGCCAGGGGACCCGCGCCCATGGCCCACAGCCAGCAGCCCACAGTCCACAGCCCACGGCTCGCGTTCTGGCCATGCCACCCACCCGATGGAATTGCGCCCAGAACTGCAGCTCCCAGCTCTTCAAGGCTCCAGGTTAAGTTGGGAGCAAGGGAGAAACGGAACACCTGAAGGGAAGGTCGCTGGGGGGGTCGCGGTGGGTGCAATGTTCCAGGCCATGGGAGGACGAAGCCGCGGGGGGGCAATCCAATCCATGGCCACGGGTCGTTGGGCTCCTCTACGAATCCCCCTAATCCGGTCAGAGCTTGGGTCAAAGTGTATTTTTGGAATCCTACCGGCCGTGGATGGCTGCTCTTCAAAGCTTGGCTCTTTTGCTTGGCGCTCTCTCTTCTTGGCGCTCTCTCTTCTTGGCGCTCTCTCTTCTTGGCGCTCTCTCTTCTTGGCGCTCTCTTCTTGGCTGTGCCTCTTTGTGCGAGCGAGTACGGGAATGAGAGTGAATACGCGAAACCACGCGCACCTCGTGGCGACGGAATGTGACATTTCGTGTCCGCCATCCCAGAGCATAACAGAGACACCAAGTGCAACGGCGAGCAGAGTCCTCGGCCTCGTCCTCGTGCTATCCCCCGATGTAACCGTCGTTCCCATGGGCATCCCGGCCTGCCGCTGGCCAAATGCAGGTACAAAACTCTGCCGACAGACTATCGACTGCCACAATCCGGCGCCTCGACCTGTTTGGGCGTTTTACCAGTCACCAGGGCAATCCCATCATCTCCTCTTCCATCTCCTCTTCCATCTCATCCCAACTCTCGCAATTCAATTCGTCCGTGCCATCCCGATGTCGATTTCCCGTCTGACTACTCCGTACGTACAGAGCAGCCCGCACCGATTCGCCCCCAACTCTCAAGGCCAATCAACACATGGCCTTCTCGAAGTTGCAAAGAAACCCCGTCCCCTGTTGCCCTCTCGTTCTGTTCTGTTCTGTTCCGTTTCGCTGCACACGCCGCAGACGCACTTGAGGGCCCGCTAATTTCCCGCTCGGAAGAGCGCTGCTTCTTCGAACCTGGCGCCGGCTTGCCCACTTCCACCCATGGTCCGTATCGCCCCATGCTTAGGAGCTTGGGGTGAGAGCTCAAAGACCTTGCCAGTGACAGACCACAACGCAGGATATCCGCCATAGATGCTGGCCCTGGTGTCGGCCCAGCTACCGAAGTGGGACGGAGAATTCAGACAGGGACGCTCCGTTCGGGGGATTAACGCGCGGTCTGCGCACAGTTGGGAGCCGTACGAAGTAGGACTTGGTGTAACTTTGGGCCAATATGGGTCGCTCTGGAGTCTGGATGGTCTGGAACCTGGTTCGTGACTCCCTTTTTCATCTGTGTCTTTGCTTCTCTTTTCGACGGGTGGCTGTGATCATAATGTCTGATTGTGCGATGACCCCCTTTCGCCGTCGGTAAAAGTGAAGCAACTAAACCCACCGACCAAGACCAATGTCATACGCATATTATGATTGTGCCATAGCCACACGCTTCGTACATGCTTTTTTGGCAAATGTCACACATCTGAGTCTTGGTGGCCTACTGCGAAGCCATCCGGCCGAGCGACGCGGGACTGTGTTGACCCTTGCGGCAAAGTTGCACCAGCGATGGATCTGGAGTGAAATCCATCGATATCGAAAGACTTATGACGCAGGGGCCCAGAAATGAGCTCGACGTAGCATTGTGGTACCTGGATCGACGAGGGGATCTCTCTGGAAACGCCATGCGCGGGACCCATAAAGACCGGGCCTCGCGGAGATGATATCGCAGTACTTAGTATATCATGCCCCATATCTATCACCAGTTCGCTTCTGACATCCTGGAGACAGAGCATCTCGCTAGGAGCACAGTTGCATTTGCGTAGAATAGATCGGACCCCGACGGGACCCGTTGACGCCATAATCATAATTCTATTATAGACCATGCATGTCAACATGTAATTTCCCATCGAGCCCCCTCTCTGGTAGGCACTGTATTTGACCATGGCCTAAAATGGTAGTTGAGGTCCAACTTAATTTACATCGTAATAGTACTAGTGCGCTCTGAAGTTTGTTCCCTGTTTCCTGTCGCTGCCAAATGGAATGGTGCTTGGTGGTTAGTGGAGTGGCTGAGTCCAGCACACGTCAATTGGAGATGCGCCTCGGTGGCAAAGCATCTCAGTGGGTGACCAACAGAGTTAGTTACTGCAAATCAATATTCAGTTTGCCAGCTTGTCCAAGAAATCGCCGCATCTGCGTTGTGTCGTTGCCTTGTTGGGACGCAGTTGAGTCGAACCATTCTGGTGGGGATCAACGAGCCATACAAAGCAGAGTCCCGTGGAAACACTGCCCGTTTTTCTCCCTCTCTCAAAGCATGATTCTGCTGTAGGGTGGCAGGTACCCGACAGCAACGCCACAGTGCAGCACCAGCGCAGCAACAGTGGTGCTTTTTTGTTCTTTGGTATGATCCGACTGGCTCTCCTCGGTCTAGAATACTACTCGAATCTTGCATCCTTGCCTCTCGACAGTTCCGGATGTCCAAGGGCGAATCCAGGTCTGCTTTGTCAGTCGACTGAAGTGGATGATGAATGATTGAGTGACATCCTTGGCGAAATCGTCCTACCGCTCGCTACCCCACGTGCGACGACTCACCCAGCTCACTCACTCACTCGCATACGCATTCACTCACCGTCGTTTCTCGCTGTATCTGCAAGTAGTGAGTGTTGGCGACTGGGCGCGCAAGGGAAAGACTTCTCCTCCACGGCCACCGGAGAGCTTTCTCCGTGTTCACCACCCCCTCACCTGAACCAGATATCTCATATTCATTTCATCATGGGATTCCCGCCGACGCCACCGCCCCCATATGAGGTAGAGCCACATCCACGGGCATCCTTCGCGTCCCCGTCGTCATCCCCGACCCCGGCCCCGGCCTCGGCCCCGTCGCAACCTCCGATAACCTCCTCTCTCCTAGACGGGAAAGTTCCGCTTCCGCCTCCGTCTCCCGCTCCGGGCTCCTCCTCTCTCACCTCCGGAGTATGGCTCGGCTCCGATCCCCGCTCATCCTCCACTCAGTCTCTCCTCCCCGGCGACTCCTACTCCCCGTCTCCGTCGCTGTCGGCTTCCTCCGTGGCCGATCCTCGTGGCCGTCGCACCCTCCTCGTCATCTATCTCCATGGCTTCCTCGGCAATGACCAATCATTCCGCTCGTTTCCTGCCCATGTCCACGCCCTCTTGACGAACATGCTAGTTGACTCCCATGTTATCCACTCCAAGATCTACCCGCGCTACAAGACGTATCGTTCTGTCGACGTCGCCCGGGACAACTTCAGTACCTGGATAGCGCCTCACGAATCCCCAAATACCGACGTCATCCTTGTTGGTCATTCTATGGGTGGCATCCTGGCTGCGGATGTCATCCTCATGGTGAGTTGAGCGTGTTATTCTTATTCTCTCAGGCACAAACACAACTAATTCACCGGCAGCCGGATTATAACCCATATGGTCAACAACAATTCAAGCACCGCATCCTCGGCCATGTCTCCCTCGACTGTCCTTTCCTCGGTCTCCACCCAGGTATTATTGTCTCTGGCATCCAGAGTCTCTTCAAGCCGGCTCCTCAGCCCCAGGAACCACCAGCCCCAGATAACACCAGCACATACCATCTGGAGGCACTCAACAGCTCCAGAACCTCAGTCGCAAGTCCGGGAACCTCGTCCGTGAATCTCACACCTTCTCAGTCCTCTCTGGCGGGATACGCACCAAGTATCTCTTCAACCTCATCCTCGGCCCCTTCTGCATTTGCGCCAGCCGACCCCTTCTTCAACCAGCCATTCTTCAACGACGCCGCCTTCCGCGAGCAGCCCTTCGTCCGCCGCATGCTGCACTTCGCCTCCAAGTACCGCTCCGAGGGTCTCATCCAGGCGGCCGTCAAGCACATGGGCTCCTACCTTGAGTTTGGAAGCTGCCTTGCGGATCTGACGGGGCTAGAGGCGAGATACTGTCGCCTCCGTGCGCTGGAGGACGTCGACGAGCTGCAACCGTTTGGTCCAGGCAAGGACCCTCGTGGCCCGACGACAAGGGTACGATTTGTGAATTACTACACGTTATGTACCGGCCGACCGAAAACGCCCAAGCCTGGAACGCCCGAGACAGACTCTTCCGATGAGGAAGTAGAGACAGGAGTTTCTTCCCAGATAGACGGATTCCATAACGAGACGCCAACGGACGAAAATAATTCCCTAGGACCAAAGTCGCCTCCCCTGTTGGAGACAGATGAGGAAGCACATCTCAAACCCAACTTTCACAGCCCCAGGCCTAGCATCACTATCGAGGACCACGACCAAAAGGGCAAATCATTAGCCATTTACCCGCCCCCCGGTCAGAGCTCTGACTATAAAGCTCCAGAATCGCGAGGCTTTGAGAATGCTACAAACGAGGACGGCGTCTCCCCCCTGTGCTCGGACATGGACGGCCTCTCTATGCAATTTCTCGACCCAACTCCCATGGAAGAGCCTAGCCCTATAGAGGAGCCTAGCCACATGAACGAGTACACCTTCAAAGACCAGCCCGCTCCCATCGATGATTCCACCCACTCGGAACCCCGAGACTCCATCACCACGCATACCCGGCCCTCCATAGATCAAGACTTTGAGCTCGACCTGGCCCCCGTCCCCAACGAGCCCACCCAACCAGACCTCCCGGACCTGAGCCTCTACACCGACAAGGACGCTCGGAAGCAAGCCGAGCGCGAGGCCAAGCGTCTCCAGCGCGCATACGACCAGGCCGTCAAGGACCGCACAAAGGCAGTCCGTGAGCGTGAGAAGATCATCGACAAGAGGCGCAAGAAGGCTCTCAAGGCCGCTGAGAAGCTGGCTAAGGAGGCGCTTAAGGAGGCCGAGAAGCTGGAAAAGGACGCTTTAAAGGAGGCGGAGCGAGAGGAGAAGGCGGAGCGAGAGGAGAAGGCGGCTCGCAAGGAAGCGGAGCGCCAGGAATCACACGAAGTCAAAGAAAAGCACCGCCTCCAACAAGAAGCCCTCCGAATGGAACAAGAAGCTCTTCGTCTGCAATACGAACAGATTCGCCAGCAGCAACCCGCCAGCGAACCTCCTCCTCCCATTAAGCGCGACATAACGTCGTCTACATCCTCTCCAACACCGCCAACCGTAGCCCTCCCAGAGATGACGCTCCGTAGCATTGCCTCCTCCTCCTCCTCCGTCACCCCGCCAAGCGCTCCCGTCCCGGAGGCCAAGCCCCGCAAACTCCGGAAGTTCTGCAACCTGCCCGACCCGGTCCCCACTGCGGCCGGCGGCACCGCGCGCGACCGCACGTGGGTCGACATCTTCATGGCCGACGTCGACGAGGTCGGCGCCCACTGCGGGTTGTTCATGGCCGGGCCGCATTACGAGCGGTTGGTGGGCGACGTTGGAAGTCGAATCGTTGGGTGGGTGCAGGAGGACCTGACAAGACGGGCCATCTTGGAGATGGGGGAGTGAATGACCGAGTTAGGTAGCGAGCTATGAACATACAAGATCACGAGGGTTACAGCGGAGGGGAGCAATATTTTGGATCGGAGGCTGTTTGAGAAGTCCTTCAAGGCGGTTTCATACCTTTCAGCATGAAATATCAGGGGCAGGCCCCCCTTTCCCACGATGACTTCGACACAGCACACAAGACACACAGGATAATCAACAGACAGACATGAACGATACCCCCCAAAATTTTAAATTCTAATGCCGTAGAAATGCTATCCACATATGCTATGGTACATGGTATCTAGAGAAAGCCAGGCCCAAAAACAGAAAAACACCCACCCCAGCCGTTCGTCCGGTTAATTCATCAGTCCGTCGTCCGTCCCCTTATCCATCCCCGGTCTATCCAAGTATAATTATAAAGGTATATAAGATGTACATGGACATGAAGATATATGTGCGTCCTTTCGTGCGTATGTGTGTTTTGTGTATGGCCGTGAGATGTTTTAGTAAATGTCAAGCTCCCGCAACTGCACATCCAGCCTCCGATCGTCATTCATCGCGCCCTTGATCACGGCGGTCTCGTCATCTATGCCTAGCAGGCCACCAGCTCCCAGCTCCAATGTACCCAGGCGCACAAGCTCGCCATCGGGGACCCAGTTGCGTCGGCCGCAGATGAGCACGCTGGCCGACTCAAACGACTCGTCATTCTTCCAGTCCCGACCGGCAAGGATGATGCCCACAAGCTCGTGGTCACCAGCGGGTGGCTCGTTGTCGGGCATGTTGTAGGCAGCCCGGAGAAGGAAGGCGGCGATGGCAGAGGGGTAGGGGTCGCGGAGATCAAGGTCTTCCGAGACCTTGATGGTGCCGTCGGTGTCTTTGTTGAGGTGGATATCAAAGCAGTGCGACTTGAGGCGGAGGAAGCTGATGGAGCTGGTCTTGGCGGCAATGGCGTCGCCCTCTTCCTCCCAGGAGAGGACCGAGAGGTCCTTGAAGCCGATGGATATTTCGAGGTTAGGCGAGGCGGTGACGTTGTCGATGAGAGCGCCATCGTCGCAGACTTCGTACAGGTTAAAGGAGGGGCCGTAGCCGGGGAAGTCGGGGCGTTGCTTCCAAGCAAGCCACGTCCATGAGGGGAACGGCCCATGGAGGAACATGGAGTGAGCCAAGACGTCCGCCTCGCCAACGTGCTCGTGCTTCCATCCGAGGCCCATCGCCAGGCGGTCTGTCCTGGTGACGGAGGGCACGTTCTTAAAGTCTTGGGGATGATATAGAGGCAGGCCGAGGAGATTGTCCACGGCAGGATCCATGTGGGCGTAGCGGTCCAGCACACCCCTGAAGGCGTCTAGTCGGTCCTCGGGATATGTGACTTCGCGGCTCATGTAGCCATTCACCTGGGCCTTGAAGTCCTTTGCCTGGGTGCCGGCGCCGGCGGATGGGAAGACGCGGCCGAGGTTGAGGGTGGGCTGCGTTTGGAGAGGATATGAAATGGTTTCGTGGCAGTGGAGGTGCTGGCACTGGAAGTAAGTCTGGGAGGGGGTGAAGACGAGGCGGCGGCGTGAGAGGAGGCCCTCCTGGTAGGTCCAGCCGCGGGACGCCCATCGCGAGCTGGCTACTTCGACGTCGGGGCGAGTGAGTGAGGTGGTGAAGTGGCCGGCTTCGGTCTGGAGGGACAGCTGCTCCTCGCGGGGGACGCTAACACCGGGGATACCGTCCGAGACGCTCTCTCCAGCGGCGACGATGAGGGTCAGCGCAGAGCGCGCGTAAATGTCCCCCATCCGATCCAATTGGCGCCGGCGCTCGCTCCCGTTGTACTGTGGGAAGCAATACTGATCCACCCAGAGATATCGAAAGCCCAGAGATTGAGTTACAGCCATAGCGTCGGCGATCAGCGGAGGCAACTCTGTCGGCAGAACCCCAGGAAGGACTCCATTAGGCGCTGGCAGCTCCTCAGAACCGCCCCGGACGTAGCTGAGAGTGACGTACTCGACGGCCTCGGCCATGAGGTCATCGACGAAGAGGATTTCCATGTCGCGACAGTCGAGGAGCTTCAGGCCGCGGATTGGCCGTCCCGGAGACGCACATGTTGTCTTGGAGTGATTGGCCATGCAGAAGTCGATCCAGGTCCTTGGCAGGGCGGGATCGAGCTTTGGTGTGATGACCCTCCCCCGAATTGCCGGCGTCGCCTCGCGATACCCTGCCAAGTCGTCGGTGTTTTCGATGACAGGTACAATGTAACCCCATGGTAGCACCTTGCTTTTTGTGGTGACCTCGAACAGCACGGCCCCGCCCAGCTCATGCTTCTCCCCCACCCCGAGGCGCTCAAAGGCCTGGCGAATGCGCAGGTACGGCGTGAACTTGCGCGTCAGGTCGGGCTCGGCGCCGACCAAGGCCTGGAAGAAGATGCAGTAGGGGCAGGCCGAGTCCCCGGCGAGGGTGTGAGCGAGAGGGATCCAAGGACGCGGCTCGCCGGGGCGCCACTTGAGCAAACGGGGGAAGTCGATGGTGTCGCAGACGGCGCACGGCGGGTGTTCGGTGTCGACGACGAGGCGGCTGAGGCCATTGCGAGCCGGTCGCTTTGGCTGACCCTCGCCCCGGCGGCGGCGCGAGGAGAGCTGGTGCAGGTCGGGCGAGGCCTCTCGAGTCGACTCGGCAGCGAGGTCCCATTCGGGGACGGTGTCGGGGCGGCCGCGGCTCAGGCGCGTGAAGGCGAAGAGTCGCGAGAACTTCTTCATGCCGGGGACGCGGCCGGCTGGCTTGGCGGTCGCGGTGGCCGCGGGGCGGTCATTCAGGCTCATCTCCTCGCCTCTTCGCCGAGGGACTGCAGGACTGAGGACTGGTGATGGAGGACGGTCGTCAGATCGTTGTAGGCGCAATGCAGACGGCGGCACGGGGAGGCGCGAGGGGATTCGTCCGTCCAGGACTGGTTGCGGAGAAGGCGGGCGTTCTCTCTCTCTCTCTCCTAGGGCAAGTTCATGGCGATCGGGGAGGATTATGTGTTTCGTTGCGGCTGTGGTTTGTGTGGTTTTGTTTGTCTGGGCTTGTCTGGGCTTGTCTGGGTTGGAGTCGTCGGTTGGTATGGACCCGAAAAAGAGTGCGAGGCGGGAGGCGGTGGTGTGTTGTAGTCGTACCGGGGTCCGCTTTGGGGGGTGGGCTAGTGGGCTGGTGGCACTGACTGGGCAGAAGAGTCCCCTATTGTTGGAAATATGGCGGATCAGATGCCACCCGTGGGACGCCTGGAGGTATGAAGTAGGTACCTACCTACTCGAGGTGCGTTGCTACCCCAAGTCTCGGCGCTCTGACTTCGGCCGTGTCCCCTTTCTGCTTGTACCGGTTCGGTGCTGGCCAAGGCAATTAATTGAGCCCGCTCACTACGCTAGACGTGAAATTAATCACAGTCTCGACTCCCGCCTAGTCTGCATTCATCCGCCGGGGCGAACATGGAATAGCGGGCATCCGGCCCCTCGGTGCCACGGACGTCCCTTTGTCGTCAGTATCTGGCGTGCCCATCACGTCACGCGGGTGAACCTGCTGTTGCTGCAGGGCGCTCTTTTCGGGGGTGCCAGTACTACGTCGTAGTACGTTCTATGCTTCCCTGACAATGGCGGCGCAAATGTCAGGTCCCCTGGAAAATTACCCCTCGATCCTGGTGACACCAGCCAGGGGGAGGGGAATCATGCCCCGGGAGCTGCCACGCGCTCCCGCTGGCTCGGTGCACGGTGCACGGTGCTGCGGCCGGAGCAGACGACAGCCAGGGATCAGCGCCGCTCGCAGGGGGGTTGAGGCCTGAAGCCCACCGCGATGCGACTGTGCGAGTAGCGTGTGTTGCTACGGTACGCCCTGTACGACACCCTCTCGCATCCTCTCTTTCTCTCTCCACGCCTCTCTCCACGCCTCTCTCCACGCCTCTCTCCACGCCTCTCTCCACGCCTCTCTCCACGCCTCTCTCCACGCCTCTCTCCACGCCTCTCTCTCTCTCTCTCTGCAACGCTGTCTTCTCGACGCTCGCTGCAGACAAACTCCCAGGCCCTAGCGCAGCCGGATTTGCAAACCATCCCAGCCGTATCCACGTGGTCTTGTACTATACATCCCAGTTCTCGTCCAGCCGAGACAGAATCCATTGACTTGACTCTAGCCGCCGTAGCAGAATCTACGAGTCATGATTCACCACCATGATGGAACAATTAGTCCACCAGCCTTCAGCCCAGTGGCGGAATCCAGCTGAGCCGCACCTAAGTTACGTCGTTAGTACCACTGTAGCAGTCTGGGATATCTATTACACTTTGGTAAAATCTCCATCCGAGCCTCCCGTGCCCGTCATCAGTGTCTAGGCATGGTCCCCCCTTCCACCAAAGTTCCCTTCCATTGGCACAGGAGAGGTACCCAGCGCGCCATATACTGTACCCCGGAAGTGGCTGGCTCCGTCGATTCAGGGGTCGAGTGCTCCCCTATTTTCCTGGGCTGAACTCTAGGGTAGGTACATGACCGACGTGGGTCACAGCCGCAAACCTTTATCCACTGGTCGCGTGACCCTCGACATATTCATTGGGATTGAAGGGCTATAGCTCGCTTTAGAATACCTAGCCAGCGGGTAATGAGGAGCTGATTATGAAGTGCCGTCTGGTCTAGACCAAATTTATCGTCTCTGTGGGGGCGAAAGCACTAACTGATTCTTTCACCCATGGAACTTTCGAACATGTCATCTCCCACATCAGAGTTTACACCATCGCTCACATGCAGCTGTCAACCACGCGCTCGCTACACCTTGTTTCAGCTACCGAGAACAGCCACAGCCCTATGCGACCCGGGCCTTATTCGTGTCCCTTCATTGACAACCCTGCTCAACACTTTACATTGCACAGCGACGGCAAGAAAACATCAACCACACAGGGTAAATGAAATATCCCATTCATTATTCACCAATAAAAGGTCATCAGCAATTCTCCTATCCGCGCATATCTATCATCATGTGAACGGTCCTCAGGGGTATTGATTGTATGTCTTCAAGCATAAGCCAGCGTGTTGTCGTTGCGAATCCTTCCAGCAACACCAATGTTGGCCACTCCCCCAGCAACACAGGGGCCCTTCACCACAATCTATGCCACAGGTTAGCATCCCGTCTTGTACACCAGAGACCCATTCACATCAGGAAACTTACCTTTCCTTCGATCTTCTCATCTGTAGTCTGGTGCGGCCCTTCGTCCTTCAAGAACACCTCGACGCTCGTCAAGGGTGAGCCGAAATGACCATTGCCATCGTCGCAAAGTCGGTAGTCATAAAATGCAGTCTGGGTGATCGCTCCAGCAACCTTGGCCGCCGTCAGCGCGTAAACGAGTCTCGCACCCGTGAAAATACGAAGATCGGAGAGGACACTGGCTGAGAGATGAGGCGTATCGGCACCCGCTCGCTCGGCCGTGTAGACGAGGCGGAGCTTTCCTGGGGTTGTGCCGATGGTTGGGGATGCGCCAGAAGCGAAGGCAGACAGAGGGTTCGAGCCGGACATGATGCCTTCCTGGGTCAGAGAACGCGTCGAGAGGGCGTGCGAGGCCTTGGCCAGAGGAGAGCTTAGCCTCCTCATCGATTCGGCGTGTGAGACAAGGAGCGTCTGGGGGCTGGCGACGATGATGGTCGGTGCAACACCCTGAGTTGCGACGACGATATCTGGTGACTGTCCAGCAACAGAGTTCAGGGCGATTGATGCATTCGAGTACATTGCGGCCAGAGTGAGGACCAGAGTGTGGACATTGGCAAGCGAGTCGGCGGGGAGGAACAGGTCGGATGGATTGATGCGCTCCTTGACGGGGATGGCAGCAAGCTGTGCGGCAATGGCGGACACCATGTTTGCCTGGTTGAAGCGCACCATCTCCTCCATCTGGCCGGGCTTGGTCTGCCAAAAGGTCACAATGTCCATGGGAGCGTGCTCGGGATCAAGGTTGGGAAGCTCGAGTCCAGCCTCGACGGGGGCATCTCTCAGGATATCCTGCCAGGTGGCAACGTTGATGCTGCTGCCGGTGCCCTCGGGGACCTCATTCCAATCCATGTGGCTACTGCCTTCATCCGTAACCCAGATGAGCTGGCGCAGAGATGGGTATGCCTTGATGACGGCATCGAAGGGGAATGCGCCGGGGGCGGTAATCAAAGTGTCGACGGCGGAGCGGCGGAGCATGGAAACAAGCTCGTCATCAGTGACGTTGAAGGGGACCAGGACGGTGGTTAGGTTCGAGTAGAAGCTGCAGGCGAAGAGCGTTGCAAGGAGTTCGACGGAGTTGGGCAGATAGATGGCGACCCGGATACCACCCTGGTCGGCAATGTGCTGTCCGATGAGGTTGATCTGGCGGGTAATGTCCTCTGTGTCATGTTAGCTTCACCAAAGAGCAGAGCGATAGAGGCCATTGGAGCCGCGGCTGTATCGTACGTAGCTTGTGGTCGACAACGACTTGTTTTCCCAGGACGGTCTGGATCTTTCCCGTGACGCCGTCGTCGCCACCTTGGACGACCCTGCGCCAGACATCTCTCAAGTCGCCATCGCGGCCGCGCGACCACTTGGAGGCGCCGGCATCCTTGACGTTCAGACCGGGGTTGAGGGGCATGCCGTGAGGGGCGGCCTGAGACCTGTAGACGGGGCTTTCGCCCTCGTTCCGGACGGGAGACGGAACGGCCTGCCGGGCCAGCAGCATGGGGTGGACATCGGGCTCGCGGGTGGTGAGCACGCGGTAGGAAACGAGAGCGAAGAGCAGAGTCAGGAGGCCGGTCGAGTAGGGATTCCACTGGCCAGCCAAGCTGGAGAGGCTCTCGTCGATGGTTTCGATGAGACCCATGGTTGGGTTAGTGCCCGCGGCTGACTTTCAGGATCGGTCGGGGTTGGGGGGGGTCGGAGAGGTCGGAGGTCGGAGGGTCGGCTTCGATGTGGGTAGGCTTTATTTAGAGGACGCTGAGGAAGCAGACGAAGAGAAGTGTGGGCGTCTCTCGCTCGCACGATGCACGTGTGCGAGGAAGAAAAGAAGGCCGAGAAAGCTGAAGAAGCTGAGAGAGCTGCAGGAGTCGACCGACGCGTGGAAAGTTGGCGACGTGGGTGAGTTTCGGGCGGGGGAAACACCGACCCGGGATGCAGCACCACCAAAAGAGGGCCAAGAGGCCACGGCATGCGGCTGGTGGGGTAGCCCACGGGTGCGATATGGGGGGGGGGCTGAGCTGGAGCGGAAAGTTGCCACGCAGAGAATGCAGAATACCTAGGTGCACAGAATACACAGAGTACAAGAGTACAAGAAAACCGGCGCCTGCGGGCTACCTCAACTGAAGTTCCATCAACTACCGATAGTGGTGGCAGTGACAGCGCAGTTACCTCCAGTAGGTAGTTACATACCGGCATCCACCCTCGGCATCAGCGCCGGGAAAGCCCTTCTCGGAATATTTCCCATCTTTCCATTTCCATTCCCATCCACATTTCTCCGACGACACGAATCCCATGGAATTCTCTCGATACCCGAGAGCCACCAGTCCTGTTTCCATTTGTTCGTCACGTACTGCACTTCCCATTCTACACTGGTTAGTTTATTAGTCTACTTAGCCACCGTACTTCATACCCGTTCTCCATGCCCATGCTCCTCCTCCCTGCAATGTCGTCAGCTCTGGTGGGGTGTTTGTTGCTGCTGCCAAGTCAGCGCCAACAAGTTGCTGGTACGGTCCGTCCCCCGCCTCAGCCGCTCCCGTCCAACGGAACGGAACCTTGCCACGCAATAAACCATGCATACAAACTTCACTGCCGTGTCAAACCCTTTCAGTCGGCAATCACGCCAATTCACATCACACCACACTCATCACAATCATGAACCAAATATTAGAGTGCAAATGCGTTTTTTTTCTTGGACTCCTCAGTCCAGTCTGGTTATCTGTCCTACCACGGGAACTGAGTCCATGACCTCTCCTTTTTTTAGAGTCATGGTCCCCGTCTTCAGAAGCCTCGGGACTCGGCGCCCTTTTTGGCCAAGTCCAAGCCTTCGTCAATGTCCATGTCCCAATGTCCTGCCAAGAGCAAGAGCCTTTTGTTTCATGCCGTGCCGCCCAAACCAAAAATCCATAACCTGTGGCGTCGCGCGGCCGCGCTCGTGCTCTCCGCATTGTGTAAAAACAGAGAAAACCGTTCTGTTGACCATCATCAATGTTCCTAGCCTTGTTCATCGCCCTCCCACCGGTCCCCATTCCCTCGGGGGACCGCCGGGCGATTGCTGACCAGAGAACCGAGAAATCCACTTTTGTCTATGTTGCACGGCGATGGCATGACCCTCTATCGTGAAAGCGAGAAAAATGCCCTCGGGGTTGGGGGAACCCCAGGTAGACCGCAGAAACATGATACTCGTGATGCCGTGTCCAGATCCAGTGAATCTAGATCCATTAAACACCACGTTCTGCCAACGTCTTCCAGTTCCCCAAATCTCGGTCTAAGGGTATCAAGCGAGGAGTGTGCCGAAATCAAAAGAAACGCAATCTATCACATGCTTCGTGAATGCCCTGGGACCGAATACTGCTTCGTGCCAGTCATAGAAGAGGCAATCCGTACTTCTTCGCAGGTCATGATGCCGCCGTGTCGTCCAAATTCAGATTCGTGCGTCCAGAGTAACGTTGAAATCAAAGCAAACAAAGTGTCGAAAAAGGAAAAAAAAACGGGTGATGCTGTTGCTCGGCGTCCGCCCGACAGCATCGATAACACACCTCACGGGTATGTCATTTCTTCGGTGGATGTGTTGTTTACCACCAAGAGGACTGGCCACCGGGGCCGCCGGGGTTGCCGTAGCTACCACCACCGCCGCCGCCGTAGCCACCACCACCACCACCATAGCCGCCACCGCCGCCGGAGCTGTAGCCGCCGGAGCCGCCCTGAGGAGCACCGCCGTAGCCACCGCCGGAGCCGCCGTAGCCACCAGATCCGCCAGAAGGACCGTTGAAGCCACCACCACCGCCGCCGAAGCCGCCACCACCACCACCGCCGAACTTGCGGAAATCACGGTTGGCACTACCACCTCGGCCACCTCCACCACGAGAGCGGCCGCCACCACGGCCACCGCCGCCGAAGGACGACTCACGGGCAATAGTCTCGAGGAAAGCGGGAACCTCCTGGTTGGCCTCCTTGAGAAGCTCGAGGAGCTCGCGGACGACGCCACGGTTGCCACGGTTGAAGAAGGCAGTGGCAATACCAGTGTTGCCAGCACGACCAGTACGACCAATTCGGTGGACGTAATCGTCAATGTCGGTGGGAAGATCGTAGTTGACAACGTGGGTGACGTTGGGAATATCGAGACCACGAGCAGCGACCGCAGTAGCGACCAGGATGGGGCAACGACCGTTGCGGAAGAACTCCAGGGCACGCTCACGCTCGCGCTGAGTTCGGTCTCCGTGAATAGAAGTGGCAGGGAAACTCTGGTTGATGAGGAAATCGGAGAGAGAGTCGGCCATGCGCTTGGTCTCGACGAAAATGAGGGTCAAGCCACCAGCGTGGGTGTGGAGGATATCAAGCAGCACGGAGCGCTTGTCGACGTCCTCGACGTACTCAACCTTCTGAGTAATGTTCTCAGAAGTGGAACCGACACGACCAACGGAAAGGAAGACGTAATCCTTGAGGAAATCGCGGGCAAGCATCTGGATGTCGCGGGGGAAGGTGGCCGAGAACATCAGAGTCTGGCGGTCCTGAACACCGGGCATATCCTCGCCCTCAACAATGCGGCGAATTTGGGGCTCGAAACCCATGTCAAGCATGCGATCGGCCTCGTCAAGGACAAGGTACTTGATGTTGCAGAGGGAGATGCGACCTCGCTCTATGAGATCGACCAATCGACCGGGGGTAGCAACGAGAAGATCGCAGCCACGCTCAATCTGTCGGAGCTGAGAACCAATATCGGCACCACCGTAGACGACGCAAGGTCGGACCCAAGATCGGTAGGCAAACTTTCGGGACTCCTCGTAGATTTGGGAGACAAGTTCTCGGGTGGGAGCGAGAATCAGGGAAGTGGGATAAGCCTTGCGCTGACGGCCAAACTGACCGGCGGCGCCGGCGGGGACGGCAGAAGGGCCGTTGATGAATGCCTGCGAGAGGATGGGGAAGAGAAAACCACCAGTCTTTCCAGAACCAGTCTGGGCACAAGCCATGAGATCACGACCGCCCATGACAATGGGGATAGAGTACTTCTGGACAGGGGTGGGGACCTTGTAGTGAGCCAGCTCGATGTTGCGGCAAAGGTGCTCATCCAGGGGAGGTGTGGAGAACTGGGTGACGGCCTCGGGGACATCTGTGCCAGAAGCCTCGACAGGGATGTCGTCGTACTTCTCGAAGTTGATACCGGTGTGTTGCTTGGAAGGATCGTCGGGGGTACCGAAGAGCTCGCGCTCGACACGGGGGTTAGCAGGGCCGGGAACGTGCTTTCCATCGCGCCACTGTCCGTCACCGGAGCCACGGGCAGTGTAGTTGCCGCCACCGCCACCGCCAGCGTGACCACCGCCGCCCTCGAAGTTACCACCGCCGCGGGAGTAACCACCACCTCGGCCGCCCCAACTGCCACCACGACCGCCGGCGCTGGGAGCGTTGTTATTGTAGGTAGGGACGTCGTTGCTCCAGTTGGACTGGCGAGCACCGTAGTTCTGGCTGTTGGGAGAGGTTAGCTACCTGCTGATAAGACCGTAGGGGGAGAGGCATCACTCACTTAGCCCAGGCACTGTTTCCAAGGCCGTTAGGTCCCTGGGGTCCAGGACCAGGAGCACCAGGAAGAGGACCGGCACCAGCCGCAGCAGCATCAGCGGGAGTAGGACCGGGAGCAGGTCCAGTACCGTTGACAGGAGGACCACCGGGGCGGGATCGCATGTGAGGCGGGATGTAGGATCGTCCACCAGGGGCAGAAGCACCTGGGGCGCCTTCGGGCCCAAGGTTGAGGGCACCCATGTTGAGTTGGTCGGCCATGATTGCACGGGGTCGAGGATTCGGATTCGAGTCGATGGTCAAAGGGAGAACCAGGTCTTCAAGACACGAGGACGACACAAGTCGATCGATGAGGAATCACGCTCGAGAATGAACGAGAGTGACAAGAATGAATTCCCGTCCGACGAGAGAGACAGGAAATGTAGAAAGAGAAAGAAGTGGAAGACCGACGCTTCCAAAAACTTTTCAGGCACAAACAAAGTCGGTGCTTGCAGCTCCCTTCGAAGAACACGCAGAATCTTCAAAGAAAGACCAAGGAAAGACGAAATGTCTTGGGGATAAGACGAGGATGAGGGGGGATGGGAGTTTGTGAGGTGAGGGTGAGAGGGTGAGGGTTGTTGTGGGAGGAAGAAAAGGGACAGAAGAGGCCAAAGAAGAGTGGGAAAAAATTGGTTTGATCTGTGTCAGAAGAGGCTAGCGCGTTCTGTAGCCGGGTCAGAATTTTTGGGGGGCGCGCCTGCTGCGGTGAAGGCGAGTGCGAGGGAATGGAGGGGGAGGCAAGCCCGTGAGTGGGTGGAGCGGCGGTGAGGTATCCGCCAAGTATCTTTTGGCCACCGCCTGGGGCCAGTGACGTTTGTGGACAACCCAGCGGGCTTACAACAGGCTCCAGTGGACTTTGTGGCGGAGGGGCCAGCGAATAGGTTCAAGCTGCTTTTGCTGTCACACAGTGCCCTGGCATGGCTGGGGAGGGGAGGCGCAGGCTTTTTAGAGCAGAGAGAGTCACTACGCGTACGAAGACCCAAGGGGCAGATGGGAATTTTGGGATTGAAGCGGAGGTGAAGGCTTGGGCATCCACTGCTTTGCCAGGCAGTTGGTTGTAGGGGATTCTGGTATGACGACAATAGTGGGTGCGGGCCCGGGATAGTTAGTGGGAGAACGAAAGATGATGGTGGAGCACAGAAGAAGTGGACTCGGGCAGAGATACTTGAAGGGTACCTCTGAGTTTGCTGGGATGAAGGGGCCTCCCTGGGGCCGGTGCTGGGTAATCAGTAGATCTGCACTGGCCGCAGTCTATGTCGAGGCTAGTTTATACAAGGGTTAATTGAGATGTTGTCCCAAGGCAAACGGGAGTTAAACAGTTTGAAAGAGGGCAATGGATAGAAAACACGTTGGCAAAGACGGGAGAAAACAGTTGCAAGTGGATGCCGGGGTTTGGTAGGCAGCGCAGCCTAGACCCCTTTATTAGGTACTGACCTACTGCCTAAGCGGGCGATTTAGAGAGGATCTTATAGGGGAGGCGAGTTGTTTTACACGAGGCAGACGCAGGGAGGGGTGCGGCTGCGGTGTACAACTCTCAGCAAGCAGGTACCAACCCACTGACACAGGTAGCAATTGCGCTGGAAGATAACCAACAACTGACTCAGTCGCCTCTGGCCGACAAAGTCTCTGTAAAGGGAGTCCAAGTACGAGGCCGAGGTCTCTTAACCTGTCACGAAAACAATGGCCGGGCAGCCATGAGGCGCCGACCTCGACCTAGAACTACAGGGATCAAAGACCAGGTTCAACACGGCATCCCAATCGATAGATGACGAAATCTCCGATAAGCGGGAGAACTTGCACACGTATCGAGATACGGAATACCGACCAACGCGCCCTTGTACTTCTGTGATACAGTGCCACCACGACATAAAATCTTCTTCCGCCGCGGTCTAGAAGGCGCCAGCAGCGAACGGACATCCACGACTTCCGACATGGATGCTTCCTCCACATTTCCGTCAGCCGATGACGCCGAGGCAAAACGCCTTGCCATGCCGCATGCCCGTCTGCCTGGATAACTTTCGATGTTAACTCTCTGTCACCCAACATGTGTCAGGCGCTCGTCGTCGAACCCATGACCCGAGTACCGTTTTGTGTTGATTCCGACATGAGACCACCCACACATGTTTTCACACATGCTCAAGATAACTACTCTCAAACCTAGAACATCTTGGCCTCGGGCGCACCGAAAGATACCATGGCCGTTTGGAAAGCCAACATACTTGCCCGGACGACGGCAAAAATATCCAACAACCCATCTTTCTCCGGCAAAAAAAGGAACCAGGCGCATGGCTTTGACACCAGGCACAGTGTACATATCGAGCCGCGCTGGGTTGCAGCACATAACATCGAGATTGCCCAGGCCTCCCTAAGTCAGCCATGCATTGCATCTCCTCTGACGCAACGCCTCAGCCCAGGGCCTGCATCAGCCCTGTGCACGCCGTCTGACCACCGTTCTCGGACCCAACGAGTCTGGCCTGCGCCTCAGATACTTGAACTAACCCGTTGCTGTCTTGCTGGCTTTGAAGTGATATGACACTGGGTTGGGACAAAACTACCATGTAACAACCTGTAGAAGGTGCACCAGACACCAAGAGGACAATAGGTAGTGGGTCGCCACACTCCATAAGTTAAGCATTTCTCGGGTTTGCCCGTACCCATCGTCTCCGAGGACGATACCCACCTTCTAGGCGCCGCATGTCTTTTGTGTCGGATGCAGTTCATCTCTAGTTCAACCCGACTCCTCGGGCCACGATGGCCTGCGAGGTCTCAGACAGCATGCCCGGGGCAGCCGCCCTGCAGGAACAAAAGCACGGAAACGAAACCCGAGTGGTTAAAGTCCCTTCTAAGTCTCAACATCCTTTCTGATAGGCAAAGGACAGTTCAGCTGATCACGTGAGTGCTTATTTGACCGCCCTGGAGGATATCGACTTTATTGCGAACATTAGCCCCCAGCTCATCTAGTAGTACAAAGTCATGTCGCCTCTATCTGTTGTTCATGCTTTAAGCACTCTTCACCACCTTGTCATCATCGAATTCTATGTCGACGATGCCGTCGGCCTTGACCGCCTTGACCACCATGCCCTTGAAGTCAATCGGTAACCGTCTCTTCAGCTCATCCGTGCACATCGTCAGGAGCTTGATACCCTGTCCGAGCGTGATATCGGGGTGATGGTGCTTGTCCAGAATCGACAGGCAGTAGTATCTGTCATGCCATGTTAGTCCTCATCCTGGTTCTACCAAAACGGTACCCCTCGCCAGCTCCCCACTCTCAAACATCTCCAGGCAAGGGACAACTTACTGTGCGTATCCATGCGCAGCATAGGGAACATCGGCGAGCGACGCTAGGTAGTCCAACCAGTACAGCGAAGGCTTGCCAGTGATGGGGTCAACACCGCCCATCAGGAGGTTGACATTGTAGGGCTTGCGGGATCGCAAGCTCGTGGCAAGCTCTCCGCGGACGAAGTTGGCCAAGGCAGAGGGCGACAGGTCAGACTCGTTGCGCATCGAATAGAGTTGGGCATTTCGTTGGATGTACTCGGCGAATTGCACTGCGGGCAAGTAAGTCATAAGTCTGGAGGGGGCGCTGGCGTCGTTGGGGCGTCAAGTACCTGTGTCGCCCGCCTCTCCGGAGAACGCCATCAACGTGTGTTTGTTGAGTGCTCTCGTCTTGTCATCGGACGTTTTGAGGACCGTGGCGCCTCGCATCGCAGCCTTGGAAGCTGCAATGATGGTGAAATCCTTGCCGGTGATTCCCAGCAATACCTCCCTGTGCATGGAATGTTAGCGGATGTCGTAGTTGCAGCCAGAGCTGCAGCTCGGGAGAAGCTCACATCTTGGCGATTGTGCAGGTTGTGGTGACGTTTGGTGTTGTGGAGGAGGAGTTGTTGTTGTTTGTGTCGGCTTGATGGTCGTCGTGGTCTGTGGTGAGCCTGCTTGAAGGTCCAGCAACCAAGCAAGCTCCAGTTAGGCTGTAGCGATGCGCGTCAACGGACTCCGGGAGCTCTGCAGCCGCTGCTGGGTTGTGCCGCGTGTTACCGCCTAGGCCGGAAAAACCTCCCCCCAGGCGCCGCACTCTGATTCGCTGAGCCGACGCCCAAGCACCCAGTTGGATTTTCCGTGGCCCACTGTACTGAACTTTTTTTTCAGACTGCCCAGAAATTTATCTCCAGCGGCGGGACGATCAAGTCGGAGTAGGCAGCCAACTTCGCGGCATTGCCACCATGTCGTCCTTTTTCACCGTCCCCGGCGCCCAGAAGAAGCGCAAGCGACCTGCGGCCCCAGAACCTCCAAAGAAAAGACTTGCTGCCTCAAAATCCGCCGCCAAAGGCTCTTCGAAGGCGGCCGGCCCCACTAAGAAGCGAGTCGAGCGAGACGAGTCCATCTCCGGCAGCGACTCAGAGGATGACGGGAGCCACGATGACGCCTCGATCGCGGAGGAGGTGGTGAACGAGGATGAGTCTGAAGAGGAGGAAGAGACTGCCGCGGAGCGAAGATTGCGCCTCGCCGAGCGCTATCTCGAAAACATCAAGGAGCACGTGGACGAAGCTGGATTCGATGCGGCCGACGTTGACCGAGATTTGATCGCCGAGCGACTAATTGAAGACGTTGCCGAGACCAAGGGACGAGTATATCGCCAATTGGCCTCCGAATTGGCCTTTGACAAAGCCTCTCGCACCTTTTTCCGAAGCAACACCAACGCCGTCACCTCCATCGCCACCTGCGCGCCCTTCATCTACACCACAACCAAAGATCTCATTGTACAAAAGTGGAGGACACAAGAACTGCCTCAACACCAATACCCCCAGACCACGAAGCGAAAACCCAAGAAGCCCCCGGCCCCCCCGAGAAAACAGCCTGAATTGGAGACGTGGCTGAAAGGAAACACCAGCAAGTCCCAAGACAAGGACTACCAGAGACACACCGATCACATCTTGGCTGTGGCCGCCTCACCGGACGGCAAGTATGTTGCCACTGGCGGCGCAGACCGCAAGCTCATCATCTACGACGCCGAAACCCTTAAGCCTATCAAAATCTTCACCCACCACAGAGACGCCGTCACAGGCCTGGTGTTTCGGAGAGGAACTAACCAGCTGTACTCATGCTCTAAAGACCGAACGGTCAAGGTGTGGAGTCTGGATGAGATGGCATACGTTGAGACCCTCTTCGGTCACCAGGATGAGGTAGTTGCCGTCGACGCCCTGGCGCAGGAGCGCTGCATCAGTGTCGGCGCTCGCGATCGTACCGCCCGTCTTTGGAAGGTTGCGGAGGAGACGCAGCTCGTGTTTCGTGGTGGTGCTGTGGACAAGAAGGCTCGGCCAGGCATTAAGCCGCGATCTCTCTTGCACGAGGGAAGCATGGACCGTGTCGCCATGATCGACGACGACCTCTTCGTCACTGGCAGCGACAACGGCGCCATCGCCCTCTGGAGCGTCCAGAAGAAGAAACCCGTCTATATTGAATCTGCCGCCCACGGACTCGACCCAGCCCTCGACCCCCACGAGGCCTCTGCTGAGCAAAACCCAGACTCCAAGGTCGTCCCACCCCCGACCCCTCGCTGGATCACCGCCCTCAAGACCATCCCTTACTCCGACGTTATCCTCAGCGGTAGCTGGGATGGCCACATCCGCGTATGGCGGCTCAGTGAGGATAGGAGAAAAATCGAACCAGTCGGCGTCCTCGCCACCCCAGGCGAGGCACCGCAGCAGTCCACGGACGACGGCTCGCGGGGCCCCATTAAGGGCATCATCAACGACATCTCAGTGTTTGAGCGAGGCGACCGTGGCAAGGACGGGCTGTGTGTTGTCGCAGCCGTGGGACTACAGCACCGGCTGGGTAGGTGGCAGCCGCGAGTGAAGGGCGGACGAAATGGCGGTTTGGTGTTTGAGATTCCGAGGATATCGCAGCCGACGGCGAATGGCGCGCAAGAGAGCTCGGAAAATGAGGATGAAGAATGAGCGTATAATCATTACAAGGAGCCAATAGACTTGACCAAAACTGGGAACCACACTTGATGCTACCATCACACCAACATTACATCCCCACTCCTTCCGTGATGGTCGCATGCTCTACTTACGTGGATGAGTTATAGAGTCGGAGTCAAAATAGAGTAGACGAATGTGGTATGGGTATTTCATTTCTTGTTGTTTTATTGCCGTACAATGCGCCGGCTCTCTCGGCAAGAGTCGCCGGAAGGCCAGACAGCTATGTCATCTCACGTCAAGCCTCTCTAGTTATCCACTGATGCAACAATGCAAGATCCTCCTAACGCCTGAAACTCATCGCGCCGTCATTTCGTTGTCAAACATCGCTTACAGTAAGCGCCGTCTTTATTCACGCAGTATTTTGGAGAAGAAACATCATGGACGTATGCCTCGACGTAAGGTAGTCGAGTTTAGAGTCGTCATCGGGACGCAATGTCGAATGACCGGTCGATTCCGTCGTATTGCGGTCCATGGGCGGCTGGCTTGTCGCTTTCGATGGATGGAAGAACTTTTGGAGACAGAGTCAAGGCCCGCGGTTGAGCGGAGGGGGACTTTTGGGAACGGCGCTTTTCGACGTGTATGATCTCTGGAGACTCCGACCTATCTCGTTTCACCGCTCGAGGCTCGGAGGTAGAGGGACGGTTGGACGGCGAGCTCGACAGCCTCGCAATAAATTTGGGTATCGATCGCTTGATAGGTGTGGCCTTGGTGTCATCGTCCGGCTCCGCAGTTGTCAAGTCAACTGGGACTTGTGACGCTGCTTGCGGTGACTCGCGGGCCGAGTGCAGAACCTCGCCAGAGCCAGAGGTCTTAGCACCTAGACTCGAGTCATCGTCCAGAGGCACGACGAACTTGGGATCCTCGCCGATGATCAGACTACGAGGCTGGGGAAATCTGTCGGGAGACGTGCTCATATTGGGCGACGTTGTCGCGCTCATAACCCGTTGAAGAGCCGCGACAGCTGGACTCTTGATGCCGGTCGCCAACGGACTCGTGATTTCTCGCTTCGATTGCGGTGTCTTTGAGCTCTCCGGCGGTTCTTTTGGCGAGGACTGACCGGATTGTGACGCCGATGGCCCTGAAGAACTAGGCTCCTTCGCCAACTTTCGTTGTCTCTTTCTCGCTTTCTCCGCTCCTAGTCGGTCCTCCTGCTCATGCTGTAGTGAAAAGAGAAGGCGTCGTACCTTGGCACGAATTTCAGACGGGTTGATATCCCACCCCATATCCTCTTTCTGGAGAAGTTTGCGGACAGCGCCGTCCGGATCTTTTAGGAACTCCTCCATGTAGCCAAGGACGAACACACCGCAGTCGCAGTGATTGTCCTGCTCGGGGATCTTCTTCGCAGTCATCCCACCCGGAATCTTGGCGAGCTCGACATTCTTTTTGTGTCTAGCCTCTTCAACGAGGTAGTCTCTCAGGTGTTTGCAAGTCACCGAGTGTGAGGACCCCAGTGAGTCAAGGGTGATGATTTTGGGTTCTTCCGAACTGAACTTCTGGAGGCCGCCCGCCGACTTTCGCTTGCCATTCTTGACTGCGCTTGTGTTGGGTGACTTGGTTGCAGAGCTTTGAGGGAGGATGTCGATGGTTCCAATTGATGACTGGCTTCTAGCCGCTTCTTTTGCCCCTTCGCTATCCAGCACGGCAATGTCCAAGTCCTGCTCCAAGGGTGACGTCCTCAGCGAGGCCCCTGTGACAACCCGATCCACATTGATCGTTTCGGGGTCAGCTGAGACTTCTTTTCCCTGGCTATGTGCGAGCATTCGGGGCGCATTGTAGATGATTGCTAGATACCAGTGCATGTTCTCATTGACTGGGACCACAATGTAGTCGTACGACAACAAATCGACCTTGGCAGTCCACGACTTGACACCTTCATAGTTGATTTTGCCTCGGCTCGGTTTGAGTTTCGCAAAGAAAAATGTGTTGAAGAAATGGACTTTCTGAAGTACATCCGGTCGTTCTGCCTGAAGTCTGGTCTGCAGGTATCGAAAGTAGAAGCTGATAAGATTGTCGTTGAGAAATTCTCCCTCATCAAGACGAGAGATGTCATCTCTGTCAACCGTCGCTCGATCCTTTCCAGTTGCAGGAAATACCAGGGACCTGTGCCAATTCTTGTCCCAGTCTGGGTTTTTATCAGTCCAGCGATTTGGGGCGATCTCCAACAAAGGCAAAGGGGGTGATCTCCTCGTCCGTCGGGTTCCGGGCCCTTGACTGCGAGTCACGACGGAGACGACGTCATTCTCCCGTCCTGGGATTTCTGACACATCTGCGATAGACTCCCGCATATTGTCTTTGAGTTTCTTAACTGGTCGTTTTGATTGAGGGTTAAAAGGATCTCTGAGGTTTTCTGGGATCCGGAATTTGAGCTGGGTTCGCTCAACCGGACTGCTGAGCTGGAGTCTCGCCTCCGTAAATGACGGGGCGCGCTTTTCATAGTCGCTAGACTCTTCGAAGTGCTTGTTGAACATCCTTTTGAGTTCCTCACTGAAATTCATTAGTATTTGTAGCATGTGATTAGGATGAGAGTAAGGTGGAGTTCAACTTACACCGGCCTTTCTTCAATAGTCTCGGTGGGTTGTTGCGAGAGCCACGCCAATAAAGAGACTACACCGTCTTTGTCACCGAACTCCAATGCTAGATTTGGGGATAAAGTGTCCACAGCAGAGCGTTTGATGACGACAAACGGACTATGTGTTGCCGCATGAAACACTCTGTTGACCTTCGACCTTTGAATCTCAAGCCATGGTAGACGTCGAGTTAGCCCCTCAGCCGCGTTTATTACCGTAGCAACCGAATCTTCCAAATGAAGCATGATTTTATGGTCGGGTTGAGATGCCGAAGAATATGCAAACTTGCCAGAGGCAGCGTTGGCAACGAGAATGTCTGGTAGACTGGGCGGGCTAGACTGTGATTTGTGTCCTTCAGTAGTCGACTTCGTAGACACAAAGGCGGTTGGTAGTATATCCGCTCGGCTCTTGAATCTCCGGTTCACGTCGGTAAAGTTGGTTGTCTTTTTTTTGGTCCGCGGTTCGTACATGTGTGTCTCAGATTGAGCGAGCTCATCTTCGGAACCGCCAATATTTACCGTCGGAACACGCTTGCGCTTCGTGGCAGGTTGGCCTCTGTTGGCTTGGTCGCAATGTGCCAGGATATCAGAAGTCACATGGGAAAGCGGCGTATCTTGACCTGGTTCATGAGACATGTGGTTTGAAGCCTGGTGAGCACTGGGCGAGAGGTGATCGCGAGAGGAACGGGCGTCATCGCTATCCCGTGAACTAACACCAGTCTTTCCTGCTCGGGACTTGCGCAGTGCACGACGGTTGGTTTTACTTCTTGGGTTGGCCAATCTGTACTCCACAACACCTGCCGACGCAGATTGCTTCCCGGCACTAGTAGTACTTGCAAAGTCGATGGTGTCGGCTTGGGAGCCATCCTGAGTTAGATCATGAATCTCGCGTCTTGAACTTTCTCCATGTTCGAGTCTAGACGCGGAGTTGAATCCGCCTTCAGAATCGTCTTCGATAACATCGTGGGGCGGTTCCGTGCTTGACTTTTTACTAACAAAGAATTTTGATAGTATAGCACTGCCGGACGGACTACGCTTTTGGCGTTTAGCAGTAGGTTCAAGGGCCTGGCGGAAACGATGCTCTCCATTTTCTCGTGCTTGACCGCCCCCCGGTGGACGGGTCATTGAGTTGCGAGGCCCAACGCTGGTGGCATTGATTGACTTCTACTCTAAAAGTCAGCGTGTGAGCCGTTCGCAGCGAAGATGGGACACCAACTAGTAAGTTATGATTATACATGATGTCCCCCGGAGCGCTCCAACGAGTGTTAGTGGAAGAGTCGAGGCTGGGGTGCGTTCGCCAAGCCTACCCATAATCTGGAAAAGAGTGGGCGTCGGAGTGGTATCGTGCGAGTGGACTGCGGCGTTGCAGAGTCAGAACGAGAACGGAATCGCAGCTGTGGATGTTCGGGGAGGGTTCACACGCACTCCCATGGAGCCTTGGTCCTCCTCTCGTCCTTCGAAGCCGGGGGGTGAGCGTGACGCTCCAGCTTTCTGCCTAGGGATCGCGGGGTTTTGGGTATCGAGAGGGCGGGTGGCTGCTGCGAGGCCGTTTCGATCGGGTTGTTGGATTTGTCGTCTGTGGAGGCTGCCCGGCGCCCAGGAATCGGTGTGTGCGGCTCGAGGTTTCGTCAAGGTAGCGCAGAGGCGCGGAAGATGGATGGAATGGGACGAGGCGAGACGAGATGCCGCAGCAGGGAGATACGAGAGTCGTCGGGCGCATGCCAGACCGAAGCCTGGAGGGTTTGTGGTTGGCGAGAAGGCCGGGGTAACGCAGGGCCCGTAGAAGTTGCTTTTGAGACTGAGGCTCCGAAGAATCGCAACGCCGGGCCTAGTGGGGTCGGCCTCTAAAATTTAGTGGAGAGCGCTGCCAGCTGCGCCGGCACCGGGGGAGAGGTGCAGGTTGAGTGTCAAACTTCTTGTGCAACGGCGTAGGCATTGGAGGTACAAGCCAAACAAATGTTTAGATGAATGATGGTCATCGGGCAATATTCGTCCCATCGTGAGTTGGACTAAATCATGTTGAGATTGCGCCTGGACATGTCATGATGGTAATTTAGCGTGCCGTTTTACCTCAGGCCGCTGCAATAGCGCTGTAGGTGCCTGCGATCCCCACATTGACCCAATCACAAGGCTGAGCACCCACTGGAGCTGGCGCACTGAGAGCCTGGAGCTTCTGTCCTCACCTGGCACGCGCGCGCAAACGACGGACGTGTCCAGATTAATTATCACCAGCTCAACGGCACTTCACCACCTCTGCTCCCTCCATCCTCCCTCCAACGACGCAACCCGCCCAATGCCACGATAGCTGGAGGCCCCCATGCAATAGTCACCCGCCATGTACAACTCCCTCACCCGCATCCAAAACACCTTCGGGTTCTTCACCACCGTCGCCTTCGTCGTCGCCGCCCTCATCGCCGCCTCCGACTTCCTCACCCCGCGCACGCCTGCCTCTGGCCTCCTCGCGCCCACGAACGTCCAAGTGTACTGAACCACCGCCTGATCGGCCCGATCCGAAACTCTGCTGTTCCAAGTGTGCATGGCTAACTGTGATTTCTCTTCTCTTCCCGTTCGCAGTGTCAAGGGCCGCCCGCACTACTACAGCTCCAAGAAGGAGGAGTACGCCATCATCAAGTTCTCCCTCGACGCCGACCTCTCGTCTTTGTTCACATGGAACACCAAGCAGCTCTTCGTCTACGTTACCGCCGAGTGGCCTGGCCCCGAAAACGCCACCAATGAGGCTGTCATCTGGGATTCAATCATCACCAATCCCAGCGCCGACCACCTACAGAACATTGGCCCCGTCGCCATGAAGAAGCTTAAGCGCAGCGCTGAGGGCAAGACGATTGATCCTAGCCGGTTAGTTTCGCCCTCTATTGGCAACTCCGCCTTTTGATTTCTCTGGGAATTGCGAGACTGACCCTTCATGATCATAGCGGCCTGCTCAAGCTCCGAAACCAGAAGCCCAAGTACCAGATCACCCACCCAAGCGGCAGGATCGCTGAGAAGGAAGATGTTACCCTCAAGCTGCACTACAACGTCCAGCCCTGGGTTGGCCTCCTGACTTGGAACCAGGATCAGGATATTGGCCCTTGGAAGAAGTTGGCTGGCGGCATGAGTAAAACCTTCAATCTTCCCGCCCTCAAGAAGAAGGACGAGAAGAAGAAGAAGAATACTTGAGTTCAGCCAGCAGAGTAGGTTCATGTCACAGCTGGGGATGTAAAACTATATATAGCATGTAAAGGCGTTTAATGGACTGGTTACGGACACTTGAAACTCTTCCGATTGCGAACGATTGTTAGGCAATTAGTGTCGTGTTCGTGACTTCGTGATACAGGCGTCTAGTCTATACTACATGTGGCCACTCTCACCGTCCTATCCAGGCCATGCATCCTTGTTCATACAATCATTGACATGCGTTTCATGCATAGTAAGAATCATAAGCCATAGTAAGAGTCATAAGTATCGATATGACAAAACCCTGAGGACACCTAGTCCTGAGTTGCGTTGCCCCCAGCCGCGTTACCGCCCGCGTTACCTCCTCGTCCACGATTGGGTCCGCCGCGTCCTCGTCCTCGTCCGCCACGGCCACGGCCTCTACCGCGTGGCTGATCCAGGCTGGCAGGAGGAGGCACGTTGCCGTATCTCTGTTCCTGGGGTTGGTCTCCGGCGTCTGGACCCGGGGAACCGTGCATGTTGCCTCGGCCATGTCCGCGTCCTCCATAGCCTCCTCGACCATTGCCGTTACCACCCTGGCCCTCAGGACCGTTGCGGTAGACCAATGTGCTGTGCATAAGGTTGGGAGCACCGCCTCGGCCTCCATTTCCGTTGCCGCGTCCACGGGGTGAATGAGTACCGTTGAGGGCACCACGCCAGCCGCCGCGTAGCGGTGCGGGAGCTGGCGCATCCTTGTATTGCGTAACACCGACAGACCCGTAAGCCCCGGAGGCGGCAGGGACGTTTCGACGCTGCTGAGACTTGCTAGTCGTAGAGATGACCTGCTTGACGGAGGTGTTCAGAACCGACGATGATGCAACAGTCTGGCCGCGGAACATTGGGGCTCTCTCGCCCAGTGTCGTTCCGCTCATGAATGAAGTGTCCCAGACCACATCCAACAGGAGAGCAGTGGCGGTGCGGCTGATGCCGACGACCGTTCCACGAGTTGCAATAGGAACCTTTCCAGAAGCCGTGACATATGTGACCCTGTCCCCCAGAGCGAAGTTTTGGTTTCCAAGAACCATCTCGGCATCAGAGGGCTTCAGGAGAGCCGAACGGGGGACCGAACGCAGCTTTCGGATGTCAATGTCGGAGGAGGCCAGATGAATTTGTTCTCCAACGCTGGCCAGAGCCATAACAACCTCGGAATCAAGCTGCTCAGCTTCAAGCGGCACTCGCTCGAACTTGCCGGTCTCCTGCTTCTTCAGCCAGGCCACAATTTCCTTAACTCTCTGGCCAGCCACACTAGGGTCATTCCACAGATCGGTCTCCGACACGTCACTCTTCTGTGGCTCCCTCTGGATGCCAGCAAAGAAGTCGGGGAATGCAACCATGTAATCCGCAATCAGCTTGATCGCCATACCGCTGAACTCCCATCCAGTCTGGGACTTTCTGGAGTAACCCAAAACCTTGAGCTTCCGTCCTTCAAACTTGAGGTTCAGACCCAAGTTCAGTCTCAGTCCGGCAGAGTTAATTATCTGGTAGGATGAGGTAATCTTGCTCAACACGAGAGGATGCACTCCTAGCTGCTTGGCAACGGCAAATGAAGGCGTGTATGGGTTATTGCGTTCCGCCTGGTAAATGATTTGCTTTGCAAAGTCTAGTTCCTTAGTCTTGAGCATTGACACAACAATCTCGGCCTTGTTGTTGATGTGGCCAGTGATTTCGAGAGGACGGCCAAAGGCATACTCGCCGAGGAAAAAGGCGCGTGTGCCCTGAGGGAACTCCTCCTCGATGGGAAGAGCTACCTTTTCAATGAACCGCTCGTCCTCGTTGACGACATCATCAACAATGGTTTGAGCAGCATATGTGCTTCGAACACTGGGGTTTTCCGCATATTCCTTGATAAGCGCACCCTCCTCCGTCCGGAGCAGACCCTTGAGCATATGGACAACGACGAGACACTCAACTTGTCCGATGGTAATAGCAAGTCGCTTGCTATGCCAATTCTCGAGGAAGTCGGATTCCTTGGCGAAGTCGGCAGCCTCCCTGTTGTTGTGGTCCTTAGTCACGATGTCCTTGCCATTCTCTGCTAACTCGTAGCTAAAGAGCTCATCCTGCACCCTCATCACCTTGGCCTCTTGAAGGAAGGGGTATCCAACGAAGCAGCGTTGGCCCAGCTTCGCCTTCCAAGTTTCAGTCTTGGTACGGCTCTCGGTCCCAGTCAGAGTGACAACAACGCTGGGGTTGCGGCTATCCGACTGGAAAACATTGACACCATAACCCTCCACAAGCTGTGCGGTGTATGGGAGGGTGTGCAATGTGGGGAAGCCAGCCAAAGCCGACACGTTTAGCAACGCGCCGTTCGTCAGACCTGAGAGGTATTGAAGACCCTCCATATCAGGGAGGTCAAAGATGTTTTCGATGCAGTGGCAGAACTGGACCTCCGGGAAAATACCAGGGAGGGGTGACGGGTAAGTGAAGTTTACCTCCGGGTTGTAGGTGAACTTGATTGGGACACCAAATCCGTTGCGAGCCTTCTCGTCATCTTCCAACAGGTCATTCTTTGTCGCCATGGCGGACAACAACCGCTTCTCATCAATGAAGGGAATCTTGACAACAGCTTCCCAGTCCATCTTCTTGCCGTTCATGTCCAATTCAAAGTCTCGGGGATAGAAGTCGATAATTGGGGACTCGGGGTTGGTCATGAGATCGTGATAGACCTTGGGGACAATCTTTTTGCTTCGATCCGGCAAGACACCCATGAGCTGTTCATAAGGTTTAAAGGGCTGGCCCTTCTGGAAGTTCAGGTCCGCTCCGACACCCTTGACAACATCTGCGTCTTGTTAGCACCATGCTTCTCGCCCTTGTACCGACTGTCCTGAAGCTTACCTGAGATGAGAGGCGCGTAGTGGTATTTGTAGAACCACGGCCAGGATGCGATTCCACGGTAGTAGTAATACAAGACCCATTGCAGACCTTGCACGTAGTTCTCGCAGAGGTCCAAAAGCTCCTTGTCATATTTCTCCGGGGCCCATTCCTCAAACTTCTGGAGATAGTATTTCGTCTTCCAGCCCTGGTACTTGTCCTGATACAACTTCTGGTAGTTTTTCTGAGCGTCCTCGGCGGTCAGATCGATGACCATGGCCTTGTCGTACGTCTTCGTCACCCGGTAAGCGGCAAGGTTACCTTCCTCCTCTTCCTCATCATCGTCGTCACCAATCTTAGGGGGGAATTCCACGAGGAGGTGGCGGTGGCCCTCATCATCTTCTTTGGTGGACCATTGCAGATGCATGGATTCCGCAAGATCCTGCACAAACTTGCGATCGGCAGCTATGAGGTCCGCTCCAAGATCCAAGGGCTGATCAGAGCGTTTTGAGACGTATGGGCGGATCTTCTGCTTCCAGAGATCTCGTTGTGCTGAAGTGATGACAAGCTGAGCGCCTTTTGGCGTCTTGCGGCTGGCGTTTTCCAACTTCTTCTCCATTTGTTTCGATACGAACCACTTTTCATCCGAGACGTCGTCTTCGAATTGTTGGACTTCGAGGTTTGAGATCTCGCCGAGCAGGGCTTGTAGGCGATCCATGTTGATGACTCCGTTTTCGTTGATATACCCATCACCCTTTGGAATGATGGTCTTGTATATCCTAAACATGTTCGCCAAAGCACCCTCGTTGATATGTAATCCGTGTAGATTGGGCAAGAAATCGTTTCCAACAAAGAAGGCCATTAGAATAAAGTCATCAATAACCCTTTCAAGATCGAATGGGAAACTTAAGACCCCGTCCTGTTTGAGCTCCTGGAACTCCATCTCAAGATACTCTCTGACGATGCACAGATGGAGCAGATAGAAATTCTGATGCTCCAGTTCCTTCGACTTGGTCTTGGATGCCCGCCCGAACGTCACTTCTTCTCGGAGGAGGCAGAAATGAGGATCGTGGCTGAGGAGACCCAGCATGATCAAGTCGGCGTCAAGGCCATAGAGACAGTGTCGGATGTTGGAGTTATATCCAGGTTGCGCCTTGGCGTTTCGGATGTACTCCATGATTTTGTGTTCTCCCTCACCAGGAACTTCGTGGCCGGATAGCACAATCTCGCACCCCTGCCAGTCAGTGTCTTCCGACACCTTCTTGTTCACAAAGTACCTCAGTTGTTGAGACAGCTTTGCCATGAACTCGGTTCCTAGGAACTGTTAGACTTGCGCTTCGTGGAGTACTGAGAGCGGGCATACCAGGAGTAATGCAGTTACTGTCGAAAGGCTCCTCTTTGGGCATCTCGACGCCTTCACTGATGGCCTTGTCGCGGGCCTTTTCGACGTCCAGCGCCGTGCGGAAACGTCGCGCGCGCTGCTGGTTCATCTTGGCGCGGGGTGCAACGCCATCGATGGCCATGAAGAAGAGCTGTTTGGGTTTGATTTTACCAAACAGATGTTCGATGTAGTTGAATATGCGGATGAACATTTCCTCCTCGCTTAAACGAAAGGAAACGTCCTCGCCAGCATCTTTATGGGTGCAGTTATGGATAATACCATTCATATCCAACTAGACGGTTGTTAGCAGGGAATTGGTCGAGGATGTTCGGGACCTCGAACGTAGAGGCAGTCGAACTCGGGTATTCGGTTCTCTGCGATGAGTTGGGAGATAGCGGGATAGCGCTCGGAGAGCCATCTGAAGAACTTGGGGACACTGCGACGAGCAAGAGGTGTTAGCGACAGCCGATAGAGATTAGGCGGCGGGAGAGAGGGCCAGCGGGGAGCTATCGTACCCCATGGTGACGGGTGGTGGGCGATTCTCAGCCCACGGAACAAGTCAAGGCAGACCGCGAAGCGATGGGGTAAAATAAGCGCCTGAATAAAAGGGCGCCGAACGTGGAAAATCCTGTCGCAAGAGTGATGATGGAACAACGCAGAGGTGAGCCAATCAAGGTTCCCGCACAAGACGTGAAAATACAGATGGGGGGAGAGAGGCAGAAGAGATCAAGGAGCAGGTCCTGCCGAATGTCCAAGGAGTGAAGAACAGAGTCGTGAATCCAAGGAGATGGGGGAGGGCGGTTTAGAAGAGTGGTTTGGGGAGAGGTGATGGTTGCGACGGTGCGGGTTGTCGTGACGATGTGGGAGCTAGAATGAGAGTCCAGTCTGCAACGTCGAGCGATGGGGCTCTGCCTGAATTGGGGAGCTTGTGGAGGGGCTGCTGGGTTGTCCAATGTGAGTCAATGCCGAAAGGCCCACCAGCCACATCCACCCCGCTGATCTGGTGAGGCTGAGCACGGTATCGTGGGATGCCCGCCGCCTAGTCCAGGGCAGTGGTTGCAGGGGACTGCGCTGTTCCAAGGTGGTTTTCATGGCCCCTTGGCACCTAGCTTTCAGGGCCACAAGCGCCTGGCATACTCAGCCACACCTCTCCCTCCCTCTAACTAAGGAAGTACCTCTTAACGCGCGACGCGTGAACCCTCCTCACTTTTCAGCCTTCTCAATGCGACAGCTCCACTACCTCAGCCGCGCATCTTGCAAGCTCTCCTCCGTCTGCACGCAGCTCATCAGCGCTCATCCACTTCGCCGAACGTCAACTTCCCGTCTCGATATCACATTTTAAAGTCGTAAGAACCCCGGGCACGCACACATTACCACGATGGCGCCGACACAGGCTGCAGAGCGCGACCTTGACGGTGAGTTCGCCAACGGAATTCCGCCGCCACCCACGCGCAAACATTCAGCAAGTGCGCTTTACTCACGCATTCTACAGTCGAAATGGCCCACGAAGAAGAAGATGACCAAGGCGAACGCCTCATCAATGAAGGTACGAGCCCTATGCAAGCTGACCCTTTACCTTGCTCACTTGCTGACACTCATCTCAGAATACAAGACGTGGAAGAAGAACAGTCCCTTCTTGTACGACATGATCTTAGGGTAAGGACAAATCTCCATGTTGGCACCCCAGAACCCCTGGACTCACCATTATAGAACGGCTCTGACCTGGCCTACCCTCACTGTCCAGTGGTTCCCCGATGTCAAGGAGCCTGAGGGCAAGAATTACCAAGTTCACCGACTACTCCTCGGCACCCACACGTCCGATGAGAGCCCCAACTTTGTCCAGATTGCCGACGTTCAGATCCCTAAGGCTGTGGCGCCGAATCCCGACCACTACGATGAGGAGCGCGGCGAGATTGGCGGATACGGAAAATCTGGAGACGTGGCCGCCATCAAGTGCGACATTGTCCAGAAGATCGAGCACCCTGGCGAGGTCAACAAGGCCCGGTACCAGCCCCAGAACCCCGACATCATTGCCACACTCTGTGTCGACGGCAAGATCCTCATCTTTGACCGAACAAAGCACCCCCTTCAGCCCACCTCCCTTGGCAAAGTCAACGCTCAGATTGAGCTCGTTGGCCACAAGGCAGAGGGCTTCGGTCTCAACTGGAACCCTCATGAGGCTGGATGCCTTGCTTCGGGTAGTGAGGATAAAACTATGTGCCTCTGGTAAGCGGTCCCAACTGAAGACGCTCGAATTTAGAAAGAGCTAGCTAAGGCCAGCATAGGGACCTGAAAACACTCGAGGCGGAGTCGAGAATTCTCAAGCCTGCCCGCAGATACACCCACCATACCCAGATCGTCAACGACGTTCAATACCACCCCATATCCAAGAACTTTATCGGTTCCGTGTCAGATGATCAGACTCTACAGATTGTCGATGTGCGCCACAGCGAAACTGGCAAGGCCGCTGTGGTCGCTAGACGTGGTCACCTGGATGCTATCAATGCTCTCGCCTTCAACCCCAACTCGGAGGTGCTCGTCGCCACCGCTTCGGCCGACAAGACGATTGGTATTTGGGATCTGCGCAATGTTAAGGAGAAGGTTCACACTCTGGAGGGACACATGGATGCTGTGACATCCCTGGCGTGGCACCCCACTGAGGCTGGCATTCTGGGTAGCGCCAGCTACGACAGGAGAATCATTTTCTGGGATCTCTCCCGTGTGGGCGAAGAGCAGCTGCCTGACGACCAAGACGATGGAGTCCCTGAACTGTACGTTGTACCCCTGACCACCGCTGAAACCAAACCGCTAACACAACCCCAGCCTGTTCATGCACGGTGGTCACACAAACCACCTCGCAGACTTTAGCTGGAACCCCAGTGAGCCCTGGCTCGTTGCAAGTGCAGCTGAGGACAACTTGCTGCAAATCTGGAAGGTTGGAGAGTCCATTGTGGGCAAGGACGACGGCGACCTGCCTGTCGATGAGCTCGACCGATAGATGAGGTGGAAGTTCGTAGAGAAGAGTCGGTCTTCATAGGATGAGGAGACGCAGCAGCTCTGGCAGCTCTGGCAACAAAATAGTGAGTTGCCATTGACGACGAGAAGCAAGTCACCTAAGGTAGCTGAAGACAGATGTGAAGTAACCCAGGGCGACGAGATGAAGAACAACAAAAGACGGCAAACGTCCCTTTCACTTACCCCTTCACTTGCAAACAGCCCGAGGCCGGTGCCTAGGATACTGGCGTTTTCCCTGTGAACAATGTGATGCTCACGTGCGCCAACTGTCAAGTTTCGTTTGACAGCTGGCGAGCGATGTGTGATTCACGGACAAATTCTCCGATTTCGGCTGTGCCCCAAAACATAATCCCTTTCTCACCTTCGCCAACTCGCTGTCTGTTGATCTCCATCGACTTTCATTGTGATTCTTGTTCCGTCTTGCTCGCTGGTTGTCAAAACACGCGGTTCATTCTCGTTTGCAGATGAATCGGCATCCTTCTTTTGCAACCAGCGTTTGTTGTCTCCCATCTCCCCTCAACAGAACAATACAGCCAGTTGCGAACAATGCTCGCGGCCGCTCGGTGGGCTTGATTTCACCTCACAAAGCATCACTTTTCTTTTGAAACCCTCACACTCGTACACTCTTTCCTTAGCCACATCTCTCTCGACCAGACTCGCTCCTCAGAGCTGCATCAACCAATAGCTCTCCGGAATGTCGGTTCCTTTCAAGCTCGAGGATGTTGTCGCCAACGCTGAGCTTCGCGGCTTTGGTCGTATCGATGCCATTAGACTCGCTACCGTCGCCTTCCATCAACTGCAGCACCTCCAGCACATCGCACCGACCGGCCAGCACGTCACAGCAGCTGATGTCGCTGAGGCTTTGAAGTTGCGGGCTTCTAAAGAAGCCGAACGAGCCTCTCGAGAGGAGGCAGACCTGCAAGCTCTCGGCATCGTCGTCTCGGATGCGGCGGTCCTTGGGAATCAAGTCATGGAAGATGCTCAAGATATCACCGACTACACCATGGAGGAGGGATACGGCCAGGTCTTGGAAGAAAAGTTTTCCGTTCAGAAAGACCACCTCAATGGAGTATCCAACAAGAAGTTCAAGTTTATGCCGGATGGGCTGGACAAGTTCTTTGGCGGAACCACTCCATATAGCCCCGAAAACGACATGAACAAGCTCAGTCTCAAGCACACAAGCCACGACATCATCACTGCACTCTGCCAACACGTCGAAATCGCTGTTGAGATTGGCAAGCACCTACGGCCACGAGATGTTTTGAACCTCTATTCAGTCAGCCGATCATTCAATGAAGCCATCAGCAGCCACATGTTCTCCAGCATTAAGGCGTGGGTATCATTAAACGCCCCAGACGCTGGCCGCACATTCAACTTTAAGCTCTACCGCCGTCATTTGATCCCCGATCCTGCTGGCCGGACATGGGTCGGCCAAGATCCAAGCGCCCAGTCTCGAATTCCATCACACCAACGGAATGATGCTCGACTGATCCCCGGCATCAAGTATCTACAGCTGGTCTTGGGACGTGTTCGGTGCTGCAGAGAGATCATCGCCATCCTAGCCCGCAATGGACACCGCTTGCCAAATGGTATGCTTCCTACACTCGTCCGTCTTTGGCTCCTGATGGAAGTTTCCACGACCGCCCAGCGACAGGCTTTGTTGCATTCCCAAGAAATATGGACTGAAAGAGACCTCTTCAATGTCCAATTCTTCCTCGTCAAGCTTGGCATGCACTTTATCGATCCTGTCTTCGGTCCTGCCTCTACCGAACTGGTCAACCTCATGATGGGCCAGAAGGGCTTGTATCCATTGTGGCAGCTGCTCATGTGCAACAAATACACCGAGCTTTCCGATTTCCTGGAGCTCAAGGTGCGGTATGACTACCAAATCTCGCCCACCCACTGGACCCAGGACCTTGCAAATACGGAAATTTTCGGCGTTCCTTGCCATGAAGTCGGCATCGTTCACTGTGAGGGGTGGGGTGAAGGCATACGGCATCTCGCACGCCCAGATGAGCTCATACCCATGGAGGCTGTGACCCGTGGCCTAGAGCTTGACAAACACTTGATGGACATGGTCGTCTGGGGTTATATTGACTTCAGCACTGGAGAGAATCTTGTGCCGACCGAAGAGGAGATGTACATTTCAGACGATGAAAATGTCCTGAAGCACGTGGACACTCGGCACCACTGGAAACGCAAGCACACCCTCAAGAAGCGTTGGAACAAACTCACGCCACAGCAACAGCAGGAAATTATCGACGACGATGAGGATGAGCGGCTGCGCTCCATGGCCTGGTGTGGTGACTCCGACTCCGAGGACGGAGACGGAGAAGAGGAAGAGTCAGAAGACGAGTGCTCCACGGCAGGCTACTCTCTTGACGACGAGATCAGACGTGGAGTGCGGCTCAGACCTTACGTCAGGGGCAATCCATCAGGCGTCCCAGCTCTAGACGATAACCAAGCTTGGATCGAGTTTGTCAACAGCTCGCTACTAGGAATGGGAGCGGATCTGGGCATTGACGGAGATCAGACATTGAGTTCAATGGCACGCGAGACTCACAGGGAAGAAGAGTTGTTTGGTGTATTCAACTGGACAAAGTGGACAGTGAATCGAGACCAGCCCTTGGCTTGGGCAGGCGATGGTGGTGTGAATGACGAGGATGAGGATGGCGAAGAAGGGATCCAGGAAGATGAAGATGAGACCGAGGAAGAGGCCGAGGAAGATGAGACTGATGATGCGGAAACGGAGGGTGAGGGGGGGGGAGACATCGACATTGATGATGTTGATGTCCTACATCTCCAGGAACAGACTCATCTCCCTATTCTGTACCCACCAAACAACCACCAGATGCAGTTTGGGTATCAGCACTTTGGCTTTCCGATCCCTCACGGGAATCAACTTCCCGGGTACGCACAGCAACCGGAGGCAAACCATGCGGACCAGGGGTGGCTCGTACCACAACCATATATTACAGCCACCCAGCATCCGCTTGTACAACAACCAGTGCTGCAGTATTCGATGGCGCAACCTCCTCCTCCGGGAATGTTGAGCCTGGGAGATTCATCACAACAGGGGGCAAACCTGCAAGGAGTGATACATCAGGGGCCAGCACCGCAGCAACTAGTGCCACAACATCAGGCTGCGCAGAATCAGGGGCTAGGGCAACATCAAGGAGTGCCTCAACACCAGGGAGGTAACATTCAAGGAGCACAACATCAGGCACCAGCACAGCAGCAGATGCCAGCACAACCACAAGGTCTGACTTATGATGAGGACGCAGCCTTCAGCCAATTCGAGGCATATTTGAAAGCCGAGTCGGAGCGGCAGATAGAACCGTGGCTGCTACAGCAGCAGCAAATGGGACTAGATCAGGGGGCAAACGTCCCAGGAGTAGCGCAACATCAGGGATTTTCCCAGAGCCAGGGGGAATCAGTTCAAGGAGCACAGATTCAGCAACCGGTACAGCTCCAAATGCCGGCGCAATTTCAAGGCCAGGTCCCATATCAGGGCGTTCACCCCCAAGGAGTGCAGCATCAGGCGCAGCATCATCAGGGGCTTGCCCAGCAGCAGGGAGGATTCGTTCAAGGAGTGCCGATTCATCAAGTGGCACAGAATCAAGTGCCAGCGCAGCATCAGGCGCAGCACCATCAAGGTTTTGCCCAACAGCAGGGAGGATTCATTCAAGGAGTGCAGCATCAGGCACAGCACCATCAGGGGTTTGTCCAGCAACAGGGAGGATTCCTTCAAGGAGCACAGATTCCTCAAGCGGCACAGAATCAAGTGCCAGCCCAGAATCAGGGGTTTGTCCAGCAGCAGGGAGGATTCATTCAAGGAGCACAGATTCATCAAGTGGCACAGAATCAAGTGCCAGCCCAGAATCAGGGGTTTTTCCAGCAGCTGGGAGGATTCGTTCAAGGAGCGCAGCATCAGGCGCCGCATCACCAGGGGCTTGCCCAGCAGCAGGGAGGATTCGTTCAAGGAGCACAGATTCATCAAGTGGCACAGAATCAAGGGCAGGCCCAAAACCAGGGTGCACCGCCCCCATGAGTGTAGCATCAGGCTCAATGTCAGGGAGCGGCTCAGAATTGGGGGATGATGGGATGAAGTTGAATGTTGCCATCGGCAAACCTCGTTGAGGAGAGTCATCAACACCATGTATGAGAAATGTAATGTATATCACGCCAGAACAAAGGGGATCAGGAAATGTTCTCTTTGAGATCAGAACTTTAGGTGGTTCATAGTGGCCCCTGGTTACACGGCTGTCAACCCATTAACGTCCCAGTGGTTCCTGCGTGACGATCCAGACGCATGTGCACCAAACTCGACAAATACAAACGAAATGTATGTCGCTTCTTGCAAAAGACGTCAATTCAAAACAAACATCTACACACTTTTTCCCTAAACCTTGCATCCATAATTCACCTTTTTGATCAACCCCATACCTGCAACCCCTGCTCCCCAACGACCGATATCCATGCATAGCCCTCCATGTTTGCGGAAAAGACAAAACAACAAACAATATGGTGAAGAACAAACCAGGTACAACGAAAAGGACATTCTTTTTGCATCCTAGCATATGCAACATCTGCGACACGAGAGAGACATGCCCCAGAAGAGATTACCTATCAACAGAAACGGAGAGAGGGAGAAAGAAAAGCATCAAAAGCAACAGGAAAAGCATCACAACCTCCAACCCGAACCGCCCGTCCAACCCATTGCATCCAACCCTATCCATCCCGTCCAGCCAGCCTAGGCGGTACAACCAGTCCAGTTTCCGCCCTTCTTCCTCCGCCTCCAGAGCCCCTCAAGACCAAGATCCAATGACTTCCCGCAATGTTCGTCCAATGACGCAGTAGAGACAGCTGGATGAATGGGTAGTATAACCGGGAACGCCCCCTTTTTTCATCCTGCAAGGTTGGCCCTCATTGAAGGCGAGACACAGAGGGGAGGGAAGAAGAGAGCGCAAACAACCAGCACCCCCACGGGAAAGCAGAGCAAACAATATATATAAGCCAGCCTTTGAATGAGAGAGATTTCCCTTTGCACTCCCCGACTCCTCCGTCCGCCAGCCCCGATTTCCCCGTGTGGTTTCCTTCCTCCGGCTCCCCAGCTCCTGTGCGTCCCAAAATGAAAAGGAGAAAAGACGCAAGCATGTAGCAAAGAAAAAGAAAAACAGGGTTAAAATATGTGTAATGTGCGATGATTGATGAGTGATGAGTGATAAGGGGAGATGACTAGGAAAAGAAGAACAAGAAAGACATGAGAGATAGAAAGAAGGTGTGAGATGATGTGAAGAGGGAAGATGAGAGACAGAAAAGCAGTTTGTCGGGTAGCAGTAGCAAGCTGACACCGGCCAAACTGGATATTTGAGTCGCACACAAAGGCCAAGATATACCCTTACACTCCCCTTCGCTATGCACCCCGACCCCCGAAACCAGTTTTCCAGCAAAACAGCCTCCGTCCCATTGAGCGCAGCCGAGGCGTCATGATCTCGACCGAAAAGAAACAAAAAGATCATGAAGCCCGGCCCGCCAACGAGCCAGCGGCCTAGCAAAGCTCCCCGTACCGAACTGATAGACTCGTCAACCCCCCCAAGAGCAGCCCTGGCATTGGGCAAGGTAGTCACTTTTGTCTTCCAGCCTTCGAAATTTTTTAACAAGTCCCGCCTGAAATAGTGTCCGACACTCCGTTCCTGGTCTTCCAAAACCAATACACACCGCCTGCCTTTCCTCAAAGAGAACAACCAAGTCCAGAAGGTATTTGCCAAGGTCAAATGCTCTATATTCATCATCCCAAAGTCGTTTTGCGCAACAAAAAAGTGACACGGAATCGTCCCCCGCCCAAGGGCTGATGATGGTGATCAAAAGAAAGCATGTACACACCGGCCTGGCCGTGGCAAATTTGTGTCGATGCTTAGGCGGGCGACTTGCTGGGAGGAGCAGAGCCGCCGTTCTGGCGAGCATCACCGCCGCTAACCGAGAGCCCACCGATTCCGCTAGAAAGGAAGGCAAAGGGATCGTTCTCATTGCCAGCATTGTTCGAGCTATTGTAAAAGTTGTTCGAGGGGCCAGCAGAAGCCGGGCCGTTGCTCGCCGACTGGAAGGCAGCCTCGGCAGCTCTGCTGTCGAAGGGACCCGCAGAGTGAGAGCCAGGGGCCGATCCGAAACCGCCGCCATGGGTGTTTAGGGAGCTGGGGTAAGCTGCTGCGCCTCCGCCCAGACCCGAGGGGAGGTAGTGGCTAGGGGGGCCACCAAAATGCTGGTTGTAGCCACCGCCGGATCCAAAGGAGCTCGCGGAGGAAAAGGGGCCGGGGCCGGGAGTTCCAGCCATGGAACCCTGGCTCATGCTATACTGAGAGGAGTTGTCCATGGGCGAAGGATATCCAGAGTCGGCAACTACCGCAGCACCGGCGCGGCTGGCACCGCAACGCAGGCAGCAGACATTCTTGGCGAAGTTGTGGTAACCACACACCTCGTTGCCACACTTCCAATCACCGGCACGGAAGGGGACGACACCGCTGCCACCCATGCGTCCGCCACCGTGGCCCATGGGACCGTGGTGGCCACCATGAGGAGGTGGCGGCATCATAGCAGGGGGCCCGTAGCCACTGTACCCTCCATAGTTGCCGCCACCGCCGCCGCCACCACTACCAACATCGTTCGAAGGACCGGCGCCAACAGCAGGGAAAGAGCATCGGAAACAGGCGGTTCGGCGCTGGAAGTTGGAGAAGCCGCAAGAGGGGCAGGTCCAGTCACCGGGTCTGGGTCGGTTCTTGCTGGGAGGGAAGGGAGTGAGGATGTCCTGGGCGCGGTCAAGAACACGGCTCGACGAAGGCGAGACCTCGATGGCCTTCTCATTCAGAGCACGGCCGTTCATGCAGAGACTCTCGGCGGCCTGTCTCGGGTTAGCATCTGTCAGGTTTGGAAAGTTCTTGGGTATGGTATGATGCTCGATACAGTGCTACTCGTGTCGAAAAGCAAATAGCGTTGTGCAGAATCAAACAGGAGATATAGGAACTCACCTCCTCGTGGGAAGAGAAGACGGCAAATCCAGTGCCGGTAGGCTTGTGCTGCTCAGGAGTGCGCAGAGTCCAGAAAGCAATGGGACGACCACCAAACTGAGTAAACCAACTCTCAAGCTCCGACTGGGTGGTGTCGTGGGGCAGGCCAGACATGTGAAGGACCTTGCTTCTCTCGGAAAGGAAGGCTCGAACATCAGCTCGGGCATCCATGGGCCGGGTCAGGACGTCGGGGTGCTCCTGGGGAGGCTGCGACTTGCGAATCAGGCCACGAAGAACACGGGCAAGAGTAATGGCCTCCTCCATGGCGCGGCGAGGCGAGGCGGGGGCCAGGGCCTGCAGATGGAAGGGGAGGTTGTGCTTGATGGGAGCACTCGACTGAACGGGCTCGACCTCGAGGGCGGCACAGATGTTGGAGAGCATCGAAGGACCGAAGGGCAGCGACTCCGGGTGATGCTGCTGCCAGCGCTGGTACTCTGTGCGGAGGTCGAAGGTGCGAGAGTGCTGTAGGTAAGGAGGCAGCACGACGGCCTTGTCGCGGGCCTCACGAGGAAGCTGGACACGGAGGTCCCAGGCATCGAGGGTAACGAAGACGAAATCGAGGTTCTTGGAGGTCAAGTACTCGGTAGCGAAGGTGTCGAATCGGGTGATAGCATCTCTAAAGGTACCAGCGTTTCGGACATGTTCCCAAGTCAAAGTGGTTAGGCTCGCTAGAAGAGTCGGCGTGTTAGAACATTTTTTGGCCAAAGGGTGCGTCAACGCGAGTGGATTTGGCAGCTGGGCGCGTGGCGGGCCAGGCCCACGAGGAGCAAAAGAGAAGGCGGAGAGAATTGTGGGATGGTAGCGTGGAAAACTTACTGCACAGGGGAGTGATGGGAGTGTTGACAGGTTTGACGAGAACGCTCTCGTGGGTAATCTAGCAGCAGAGGAAGACGTTTGTTAGCCATTTGGCTCGACGGAGATGGAACGTGCTGGCCCGGTTATGGGTTTTGGGGTGGTTGTTGGCGACTCACCTCCTCGAGAGAGTTGGCATCAAGCAAGATCCATCCAAGCTCAATCACCTCGGCCGAGTCCTTGGTCACATAGACGCCGTGCTCGTCGCAGGTGGTCGCAACGTGGATGACGACGTAGCGATCGATGTTTAGCTGAGGCAGCGGTTGCGAAGACATGGCTGCGGAGGGTTCGGTCGGACGAGACCGAGGGCGAAGGACGCAGAGGGGAGGGCGCGGCTGGACAGCGACGACGGCGACGATGGGACGACGACGAAGGGATCGCGTGGTGGTCGTCGAGACGAAATGCTCGGCGAAGTGCGAGAGTGGGAAAAGAAGTAAGAGGTCTGCAACTAGCCCGTGGCCCGGCCAAGTCGCGATGCGCTGGGTGAGGTGAGGTGAGGGAGGTGAGGGCGTGGTTAAAGTTGGGCGGGAGTCGGAAGTGGCCAGTGGAAAGCTTCAGGAGAGGCAAAGGCAGACAGATCCAGGTCTCCAGTTGCACCGTGCCGAAACAGCAACGGAAAAAAAGGGCCGCGGGCGTTCACAGTAAGTCTGGGCTTGTGTAGTGCTGTGCTGTGTTCGGTAGGTTGCGTCGCCGGCTTGACTACAGCGCTACCCAGGTTGGTAGGTACTATACTGTACTGTACTGTACAGTGCCGCTGTCCTAAACCTGGCCACGTACTTGCTAGTTAGCTGGAGACCAGCACCACTAATGTTGGTGGGGAAAAGTGGGATAGGGGAACAAAGGCAATGGATGGGTGAACAACGACAGGGAAAAAATATAGTTAGAGCGGTCATGTCCATTACCAGGAATTACCCTCCAATAATCGATCCTCCAGGCTGGCAGGAGAAGCAGAGAGAAAGGCAAAAAGAGGAGAAGACGAGTGCGAGAGACGAGATGCCGCGGTCACATTCCGGGGATTGTGGGGGAGCTATTTCCTCTCACCTCGTGCTGGCTCTGACGGCTGGCGGCGCTTCGTACAGCGGTTACAGGACCTTTGCAGCGGGTGTGCAGAGCGTGCAGAGCGTGCAGAGCGTGCAGAGGCGTGCCGAGCCCGCTGGAGCGGTGTCCGTCGTCCGTCCTTTTCGGGGAGCGGGGAATATGTCCAAACCGCCCAGGACCCCTGTGACCCGACGCCCAGGTCACCCACGCTGGCCGGCCCCTGGGCTACCAGTGGAGCACCAGAAGGGCTCAGTCGTTTTTAGACGGGCGCGCAGTGGCCCTTCCAGCGCTTTGCGGACCGCTTGGATGGGGATGGGGCGGACGACCTTGGCACCGGTACTTACAGCCACGAGGCGAAATTGGTGTATCCACAAGTACCACCCCTGAGTTCAACTGCTTCCTTCCGGGGCCACCGCGCGATCCTTCCCTCCATCCCCTAGGCGGCTGGGGCTTAGAACCAGGATCGTGCCAGTGAAAGACCTAATTCCCAGGTACTGCCTCCCAACATGTCAACAGTGACACCACACATCATCTCGCATCTCGCATCTCGCATCTCGGCACCGTACTCACTGACTCGATCAAGTAATCGTCGTCGTCAAAGACACCGAGCAAAGGACGAATACGTGGCCCATGACAATATCTACCTCAATCACAAACTACAAACACCACGAGGTGAGGTAAGGTGATATTGTCCCGTTTGGAACTGCTCCCTGCTCCCGCTCCCGCTCCAGGCCTGGAAATGTGCACGGGCGACTGGTTCAGGTGGAGGGTGACAATGGAGGGAAAGTCGAATCGTGTTCGTCACAATTCACCACCGAAAGCGCAACAGCTTCAGGCGACGCCGGAGTCACCCGCTTTAACTCTCGCACGTTGTTGAGCATCAAAGAGACCGAGATACCTCGCCGCGCCACACAGCACACGCAAACGCCTGCATATGCACATGGACACACTTTCACATCACCCTCCGATCACAGTACAGTCTCAACGACTACGCGCCCACGGCCATCAACTCGCGGCGGCCTCTTTCCACAGCTTCCGCAGGATATCGATATGGAGCAGCAAACGAAAGTCCGGGCCAGTTTACCAACCGACGTACCTATTTTACCCATCCATTCATGTTCTCGACGGCTAGATTACCAATCAGTGAGGCGCGTATGTTTGCGCCGTACCCGCGCAGCTCCAAACGGGGACCACCCACACATGCACACCACATCGACAACAAGACAGCTCACACTCACACACACACACACACACACACATATCAAGCCAAACCCCTCTCTCTACCGTGTCTGTACAGTGTCATGCCGTGTGAATAAGGAACGAGGGAACGAGGGAACGGCTTGCCCCTATGTCCCTGTGTCACACCCGCCCCGAGGGCAACAAGGTATGTCAGGTTGGGATCCGAATCACCCAGGCCGTATCCGTACTCTGTACAGTAACCAGTATGGATTTGATGTACTGTACGAGCCTACGCTGCTTAAATAACGGCATACCAAAAGATGAGGCAAAAGACAAAAATGACAACAGCCTTGCCTGAACTCTTTATTAACACCGGAGTTCCAAGGCTTGTGCCAAACTATTGGCGCTTCCTCTCCCGCTTGTCGGGTCGGCCCCCCGGAAAAGAAGCTATTCCCTTGTTCTCCACGTGCAGGGCTCAAGTCTTGAGCCGCCCTACCCAAGGCAACAAACCACACTCTCTGTTGCATCTCCCCAGTCACGCATTTGTACGCAAATACTGTGCTAGGACACCAAAATGGGGCAAAAATGTCAAAGGTTGGCCTTGCAGACGAGTCCCACCTTTGCGGAGACCCGACATGCCGGCCTGGGCGAGGTGTCATCTCGCTCCCACAACATCAGTCCACAATGATGTCGCTGCCCCCTCCTTCCCAGTACTCCATCACAACCGTCTCCAAACAGCAGGCAAGACATTCTGACCTATCTCATATATGATATGCATCAAGAAATAGGGTCGGGGCGGTGTACCCTTTCATCATCGCTCAACCTACACCTGAATACATGGCCCCTCCTGTCAACACATCGAGTCATTCATCTCCTTCTCGCTTACCTTGAACCTCGCATTTCTTCGGACGGACGGCAATCATGAAACCCCGATTCGACCGTTGATGGTCTTACATGCTCAGGGGTTCCGGTCCGGAGTCGTGATGATACTCACCAAGGCCGTAACGGCCGTAGCCAAGCTTCCAGAACTCGCCTGCAGGTAACCGCCCTCATCTTCTTTTACCTTTTTGAACTCTTTCTGAGCTCCCCATAGTTGTGACAATGCAAACAGTCGACGATACAATCTCGCTGCGCGATGTAGGACGCAGGCAGCCTGAACTCTCAACAGCGAATGCAAGCGATATCGGGAACTCGGGAACGCGGCCACCGTTCCAACCGCCTACTTACCTCAACCGGTTGAACCATCAGCGGGCCGCCGCTGTCCATATCGTAACACAAGGGGCTAAGGCTTGCTGATTCAGTGCCCTCGGCCCCTGAAGCCGCGCCGGCTGGAAAGTTTTCCGGGGCCCCTCCCGTTGCCGGCGCGGAAGCGGGAAGGCAAAGATACACATGGATCTCATCCGACAGGTTGGAACGAACCAACCATCCATAACGTTACCTGGTGCCAAAAGCTGCACTCCTTCGGATGCTGTGGCCGAGAATAATCGTAGTTATGGAGTGCCCTGTACTTTCGGCTTAGGCGGACTCTCCCACCATTAGCGGCCACTGGTTCCCGAATTTTACCTGTAAATTGCTACGGGAAACCAAAGTAGCTTGTTGAGAGCCGGGAACCTTATGTAACGCCACAAGGCTTCCCTTGTTCGCAACCAACTGAATTGGATTCAATTGTCCGTATCAATGCATACCTACCTAGGTAAGCACGAGAGTGTCGGTATGTTGGCCTGCAGGGCAAGTGCCTCGTGAAGTAGGCTGATATACCGAGGACTTTCTGAATATTGCTCGGCCTACAGGGTTTTATATTATGTCTCGGGACGGCTAGCACAACGCGCATTCAACGCCTCCCGTGGCTATTTTTAGGCCCCAATTCCCAAGAGCAAGTCGATTCGCCTGCGCGTATGCTGTCTCGGGAGGCCACCTGCATCTCCAATCCCGCACGAGACAGTCAACAAACATTGTACGTTCTTGTCCTCGATATTCTAGGGCAGCACAAAATAGGACCGGCAAGGTTAGCAGAGCGAGATCGGGGTGGAATGCATCGGGTTTTATCAAGTGCTACCACGATAACGTTCCCAACGGCGAATTATTTTCACATCACACAGGGAGATGATGCAGGCGACGGTTGCATCCCTCCAGTCTGGGCACTGTGTGTGCGAGTGCGGGTGGGAGAAACCTCCGATTTGAACACACAAACCCGTGTCGAGGGACTTGAATTATTATTACTGGAATGCTGGGGTTGGACGCGGTTTGTTTTCATTTCCGTCTAATTTGTTCGCGACAACTTAAACTTCGGACTACAATATCAATTGACTTTGGCGTATGAGTCCCCAGCCAGCTAAGAGGCCTTGAGAAACGAAGACTGAAGCATGAGAAAATGTGGGCATGGCTCTGCTCACGTGCTTGCCGGCTCGTCAATGGTCTACGTCATAGACCGACGACCACCACGTCACGGTCTGAGGCAGCAGCCAAGGTCTCACTTTGGAACGCCATCACGTTACGTTACGCGGCGGAGGGGCTTATACGTTTGTGATTAAGAAGGAAGTCCTCTCTCCGTGGTTACTTTTTTAACACTTTTCCTCCTGCAAGACTCTAATCATTTGTTCGATCGAGACGGTGCACGTTTACAAGTTTCTCACTTCACACAACCCCGCTTACAGCACACTACAGCACACAACAGCTCACTTACGTCTGATCTGATCGATCAACACACGCGCACAAGCACGCGCACGCATACCATCGCTCAATCGCAACGCAGCCACGCAGCAGCCGTCAAAATGGGTGTCGTCTCAGCTGTCCTTCTCGTCGTCATCACCATCCTGTGTACGTCACCCCTCCCAAACCTGGAGTCGCAGCGAAGGACCTGGCGCGGGGTACGGGGTACACATGGCTAACTGATCTTCTCCAGGCCCTCCCATCGGAGTCTATGCCGTCGCCGGATGTGGCATGGGTGAGTTTGACCTCTTTCCCCCATTGAGGGGAATTCTTCCTGAGTGGCTGCGGCCAGAAGGGGCAACTGGCTGACACGTGTGGGCAGATCTCTTCATCAACATTTGCCTGACGCTCCTGGGCTATCTGCCGGGCCACATTCACGCCTTTTACCTCGAGTATGTGTACTATGACCGACGAGAGCAGGCTCGCGAGGGCCGCTTTGCTACCGGACCGGCGCCCGGCGTTTATTCGGACCACGTGCAGACGGGTGGACAGAGCTACGGTACAATTGTCCAGACAACGGTTTAATAGATATGCGCATACGGATGACGAGACGGTTACACCGAAGGAACAAGGTGAAGGAGTCGAGGGTCACAGTTACATTATGCAGGCATCGACAAACGAATGGAAGACCGAGACAGTTAGAGGGGCAATAGCGGATACCATCACGTGTGGCTGAAGTCATGTATGTTTGGCACACGCAGGCGTACGGAGGCGGTCTCGTCACATTCTAGTTAGGAGGCAAGGTTAATATCATGGATCATGGAAATTCGCCGAAGAGTGATTTCGAACCGAGGTGCATTCGTGTCATAGGAATTGCCAAATACGGCCCAGTGTGAAGAAGGGCGGAATTCCAAGCGTTGAGTGAACCGCCAGCTAGTCAATCCGGGTGTGACCCTGTAGACTGCGTTGGCAATGACACGACCGACGCCACCACCACGCCTCGCTGCATGCAGCAGCGCCACTGGCACAAAAAAGAAGAAAATATAAGACATATCCGAGCGGCGAGGAGTCAGGAATATGCCTGTAAATTCGACCACCTGTAGCCCGGGATGGAATACCATCAGACATGCTATCAACATGACGACGGTGGTCGGCTGGATGCGGCGTTACGGGGTCGCCGGGGAGGGGGATTAATATGCAGGGCAAGCTGGACGTACAGCGCATTGACGGGAATCAATCCAGCGTAGCTTGTTGGTCACTGGATATGCGCGGATACGTGCGGTTGTGCGGTTGTGCGGTTGTGCGGAGGTGTTTACCTCGCGGGATGTCGTCTGCCGTGTGTGGCGGGGAGATAGGATAGCAGGGCAGAGATACCAATCATCATCCGTAGAGGGCGATGGAAGAGGCGGGCGATGAACATTGAACCCCCGCGTTGTTTGGTCGAGGCGACAGACCAGGCAGATTGCAGGATGGCTCATCATGTACGGTACTGTATAAGGCATGCGCCCATTTAAGCAGGAAAAGGTACCGGACGATGTGTTGTCACTGGGGAGAGTTTAGGCCAATTGGAGAGGACCCAGGCGGCATGTTGTGGGCGAATGGGGATCATGGCCGGTGAAGGTTCTCGCCCGAATCACTAGCCAGAGCGGCAATTGGAGAGAACAGAGGGTCAGTCAGTTCTCATTTACGGACTACTGGGCTGCCGGGGATATTGTTCGTTTGTTGATCGTCTCCGGTGCGGGGATTGTCGACGAGAATTATCTCATCCTGTCACGCGAGTCGCTCGCTCTCAGCAGTCGAAGCAAAAAGCAACCGGGCCAAAACAAAACGGGGAGCAGTGATTTGAGCCACATCACACCGAGCCGGTCGTACAAAGTACCTTTTGCCTCGTCTCTTCGCCAATGGCACGTCTGGTCTGTAGGGTAAAGTATTTGGTTGGAGTAAAAGCTGTGAGCGGCCGGGGGTGGTAGTGGTGGTGCGTGGTGCATCTTCTGGGAGGGACCATTCAAGCGTGGAGCCAATCACGACGAGCGCGGGGCCGGCACAGACGGGGCATCACCCTCTGGACGACAGCCACGACACTCGTGCATCTGGCGTCTCTTGTCGCTTTGCATTTGCTAATTATTCCCCATTCACCGTCCAGCATATTTTTTTTTTCAGCAGCAGCAGGAAAAACTGAGCACCGCAGACGACAGCAAAGCAAAGCGAAGAAGCGGAATCAAATCCAACCCCCCCACGTTTCGCCGTGTCTTGGGTCCCCCCCTTTCTGGCCTTTCCCTCCCATCTCCCTCTCTCTAAAAGCTAAGTTCCGTCCGTCGTCGTGTCTCACCTGCCGCCGCCAACAACCCCCGGAAAACGACCCACCCCCGTCTCCTTCCTCGGCGTCGACGTCGACCGCGGCCGTGCTTGCTGCTTGCCCTTCCTTCCCTTGTCGTTTCTCCTGCTCGCCAGAGAGCAAGTGTACTTCGTACATCCGAGTCGTCCCTGCCTGCACCGCGGACCTGCCAGGACACGCTGCAGCCAGAGTAGGTACTCCGTACTTGGTACCTACCTAGGTACCTATCTCTCCTCCGCCCACCGTTTTTTTGCATCCTGCATCCCAGCGTCTCCACCACCACGTCGTGGCAGCGCATCGCATCGCAGACCGGACGCCTGGACGACACCACGAACAAGACTACGGCGGCGACCAAGAAACACTTCCTCGCTTCCTCGCTTCCTCGTCCAGCTGCTGGCCAGCATGTCCTAACTGGTTCTGGCCGCTCTCCCCAGCGCTCTCCCTCTCCACTCCCCCTTCCTTCGCCTTCCGCTTCTGCTCCCCCTTGCCGCCCGCCGCCACTCAGTTGACGACATCTGCTATCCTGCTGCATGGCCGACAGCAAGTCCCGTCGGTCAACCACAACTACGAACTGCCACTACTGCCAGATCATCGCCGCCTACGCACACCCTTTCCCCCATACGACATCTTGACGTGTAACCTGTACCGCGTCTTGACCTCCATGCTCCACTGAGCTGCTGCCGCGACGCCAGTTGTATATATCTATATATACCTGCTCCACCACGCCGGCCGTTGACACTTCCGCCATGACGCCCTCTACCGTTCAGCCTCCGGCTCGACCTCCGCAATACCCTCCTCCTCCATACCACCGCCCTCACCCACCTGCCTCCACTGCCGCCTCCAACTCCGCCTCTAACGCCGCCTCTACCTCGTCCGCCCTTGGCCCTGCCAAGTCTCGTCGACACTCCCTCCCCTTCTCATTCCCGCCGCTCTTCCAGTCCAATACCTCGTCGACCAGTCTCGTCCCCTCTACAGCAGAAGGCAAGCCTATCCCCGTGGATGATTCAACAGCTCAGCACCGTACCTCGGCCCTCCGCGAGTTCAACCACAACTTCCCCAGCCGCCACAGATACGCAAAATCCACCGGTGCCCAGAACAGCACCTACTCCCAGCCTGTCATAGTTCGTAGCTACTATTCGCCGCTACCGAGTCGTCCTATAAGCACTGACCGCGGTGTTATCATTGTCAACGGTGGAGGCGCTCGCACGGCCGTATCAGACAGTGGCGGACCAGCTGCCATTGTGAGGCGTGTGCTTCCATTCACTGCCAGCCTTACACCCGCCAGGAATGGAATGCTGGGAACCATGGCTCGGACTCGCGCCAAGAAACGTCTTGATGGACCCGAGGAGGCCAAACTCCCACCCATTGATGCATTTCGCTTCAAGAGTTTCATGGCTCACCTAGAAGACGAGAATCCAGGCACCGACATCAATGCCGATCTTGACCGGATCGCTGAGATATGTGCCAAGTCCCGGTATTCACTCAGCAACCAGTACGAAGTCCATTATGCCCCTCACGGCTCGGGCTCTTCGTTCTTGGCAGAAAGCGTTCAGACCCAGGATTCCCAGGGACCCACGCTCCAGGTTGTCTCTTCTGATGACGAGAGGAATATGAGGCGCCAGAGAAGGAGGCCAATGGGAGTGAGGAGGAATAGTCGGGCTATGGGAACTCTGGAAACAATCATGTCATCCAGTCGGTCTTCTGATGAGGACAAGTCCAAGAAAAAGTCCGCGGCTGAGATTGCTGAGGATGTCCGTGGCAGGGCCACGAAAAAGGGATCAAGGAATGGATCATCCAAGTCCTCTCAAAGCGGCTCCGAAGCCAACCCATCTCAAGTGGACGATTCGCCCCCTAGGATTCCACGTGCAAGGAGGTCCGGGTCTCTGGCTCTCATCGATGGTTCCCGGCAAAGCCTGGTCCTCAGTGATACGACTTCTCCTAGAAATTCGGCTATTGGTCTAGTAAGCGAACCAGCTCATCCTCGGACCTCTAGCAGTCAACTCGAGATCCGCACTGCGCCTGAACCACCGCAGAAGGAGCACCGCAGCACGCCTAAGAAGAGAAAACTGGTCTCGCCCCAGGGGCCTGCTCAACCTATTGTCCATGGATCGATGTCCCCCGTGGACCCTCCAAACCCGAGGAACAGCATCATCTCAACACTGAGTGGCTGGATGACTTGGCGCCCCTCGGAATCATCACCAACCCCCAAGGGTCGTGCAGAGGGAAGCTTACGAGAGCTCCTCAAATCGACTGATGTCAAAGGAAAAGGAATTGAGGCTGTTGCCTACCCCTAAACTATACAACAATCACACGAGAGGAAAACAGAACTCTCCAAAAGTAAAAGTTGCATCAAGTATGAATTATTGCTCGCAACCTTCCTTGGCCTGGAGCAGCTGGTCGGGAGGACGTCCTGCGAACGCGGACGCGAACCCCCCATACCACAGCGCTGTGGCAGGCATTGGTAGGCCAACGACTGGCATGAGGGAACTTCAACACCCTGGTTTTTATTCTGCCGTTGTCTTCTATTTCATTTGGAATAGTATGAATGACCGGTTACGACATTGACGAAATTTTACGAAGTTACGACGTACAACAAATGGGTGGGTACTCGAGATGGGTGCGGAGAGGAAAAGATCGGATATCAGATCGTATACAGAACGGATCTCTGGAGAGGTGGGGCTTATATGTGCAGGAGATTGGGGAGCCAAATGGCTGTATTATAATGGCATCGTGAGATGAAGATCTTCTGAGATGAGGATCTTCAGGATATCAAATACAGGGAGTTTGCTTATCCTGAAATAGGACAACTGTCCAGCCCCATTGGCTCACCTCTGGCTCATGATTGAAGTCCCTTGTAGCATCATTCGTATTATTGTCTCCCCCTCTTATGACGGAATGGCCTTCTCTCTTCCTTATCTATTGTGTCCAGCCAGATATAGGTATAGTACACAGCACAATGTAAATCAACTCATCCACCCTACCTCAATCCCATCCTGGTCCCATTCCAATCCGAGACCATCCCAGCTCGCCATGCCGTGCCATGTCATTGACGTCTCATGCCCAAGGCCCAAGTCAAAGCCAAACCAAATAAAATACCAGAACCACCGTTTCGCTATCAAAGGCTGATGCGTAGTTGCGAAGGCAAACGCCAGTTCCCAGGTAAAAGAAAAATGAAGAAACCAAAAAAATCGCTGTTGGTTTGTGAATAAAGGACACAACCGGGCATAGTCCCGGGCAAAATCAGACAGAGCACGAATTACTTCCCGTGAGAGAAGCTGACGTGGTTGTGCAATAACGAAAAGACGTGACCCCCGAATGAGAAACAGAACGTCGGAATACGTGTATGGAGTTGTTGCGTGGCAAGGCTTATGATTTGGCGGGGGGCTTGCCTGGGTTCGCCTTCTGATTCTTGTCGACCTGGACACGCTTCGCCTCTCGTTGTTGGTCACTTCCTTCGTTGGCACGCTTCTTCTCCTTTTCCTTGTCCCGGGATGGGCCGTCCTTGGCAGCTTTCCGGGCCTCTCGGTCTCGGCGCTCGTTCTCCTTGCGGAGTGCCTTGGACTCAAACTCGTGCCAGTCTCCGTCAATTTTTGCGAGTCTAGAAACGATGCTGTTAGTATGTCTGCTGCAAATGGGCCCATGGGCGAGGAACGGTCGACTTACTCTATTGCCTGGCGTGGAGACGGTTCCTCTGTAGTGAAGTAGGCATGTTGGAGCACCTCGGCAGCGTTGGGACGTTTGGCAGGGTCGTAGCGGAACATGGCGGTCAAAAGATCAAAGCCAGCCTCGGTCATTCTGTCCCGGTACTTCTCTGCGAAGATGTTCTTCCGTTTGGCAGTTGGGCGAAGCAGCTCGAACCAAGCCATATCAACAAGGCCAGGCCACTCCTGACGATTCGGTGTCCCCAGGATGTTGTAAATCTTCTCGAGTTGGCTCAGCTCGGTTCCATCACCGGTGAAGATGGCATTCCGTGTGAATATCTCAACCATTACACACGCGGCACTCCACACATCAACCGCAGCAGTGTATTTGGTTTCTCCAAGCAACAATTCCGGTGACCGATACCAGATGGTGATGACTCGGTTCGTATAATCCAGCTGATGACGCTTGGCATAGAAGCGTGCAAGACCAAAATCAGCAAGCTTGAGGATGCCCTCATTGCTAACGAGGATGTTGGCAGCCTTGATGTCTCGATGGAGGACTCCTCTGATGTGGAGGTAGTCCAACCCTTCAAACAGTTGCTTGGCGAGATGCTTCTTCTGGGCGGGGTCTAGCTTGAAGGAGGGATGGTTTAAGAGACCAGTGAGATCATGAGACATGTACTCAAAGACCATGAAGCAGTCGTTCTTTTCAACCATAACCTCCTGCAGGTTGACGATGTTGATATGTCTGAGGGACTGCAACAGCTTAATCTCTCGCACGGCAGTGACTGGGAACCCATCTCGTTCTCCCTCCATGCGAATTCGCTTTAGTGCCACAAGGCCTTTGGTGTAGACATTGAGACCCTTGAAAACCTTGCCATAGGTTCCTGAGCCGACGACGGATTCGTTTCCAGGCTTTCGGAAAAATACTGATTCTGAGTCCACGAGATCGGCCGGGAGGGTTGGCCGGGGCTTCGGTCGCCTCATCAACTTCTTGACCTTTCGCATCCTCACTGTTGTGGCCCTGGGCCCATCTGGGGGATTGCGGAAGTCATGACGTGAACGCGCCGAGGCAGGTTCAGTCGGCGCGCTACGGGGTGGTTCGCGATCTCGGTCTCGGTTCTCCTTGGGAGGTTCTCTGCGTGGCGGTGCTGCGTTGAACTTTTGTGATATCTCGGGTTTCGGGGCCGCTGGGGTCGGCTTGGAGGGCTTAAAGGCGAAGCTGAATTTGCCAGAGGAGCCTGCCTGAGACTGAGAACCTGGCCCCGAAGGAGGTTGTCGGTTTGGAGGCGACATCGCATTATCCTCGTCTTCTCTCTCTTTGTCCGCGTCCTCTACCTGTGAATTCTGAGACGGCCGGAAGGGAGTGCCTTCAATGTCCATGGCATCCGGGTTGCCATCGCCGTTGTCACCCTGTGCACTTGAATTGTTAAACCGCCCATTGTTAGAATCCTCGTGATGCCCTCGGGGGGGTCCTTGGTTCCCAGAACTCCAGTGTGCATTCTTGAAGCCAGCTCGATGGCCGCCCCGGTTGGGGAAACCGCCTCGGAAACCGCCACCGCGATATCCTCCACGGTAATTGCCCTGAGGGTATTGCTGCATGGGTCCGCTGGGGGCTGAGTGCGGAGGAGAATGGGGTGGGTTGGAATAGTAAGGTCCTGACGGTCCATTTGGGGGACCGTAGTTTCCACCATGGGAATGTTGGGGTGGGTATTGTCTACATGTTTTATTAGCATTGACGTCAGAGGATGTCGAGGATATTCTTACTGTTGTGGTGAGTATTGCTGGTTACTCCATCCGTTGCGGTTGGCTCCGTAAGGCGACTGTGACGGCGAGGTTTGATAAGAGCCTCCGGGTTGGGGGGATTGAGAGTATCCCCGAGGATCACCCCCGTGATGCGACTTATGAGAGTACAGGGGATTGTAGCCTCCTCGATGGCCACCCCGGGACGTCATATCTTCGTCGATGTCGGACCTCGAGGAATGGCGGCGGTCCAGGGATTCGTCTCGATGCCTTCGGTCTCGGCCGGCCTTGGGAGACCGCGGCGGCGCAGGCCGCTGAGAGGACCGACGTTCAGGGTCCAAGGCCCGATCACGCGCTGAATTGGACGGGACTTCAGGGTAATCTCCACGAGCCGAAGGGCCAGGTCGACGGGATGACGAGTTCCGTCCCTCGGGTGTCACCGAGCGACTTCGTGATCGGTGGCGTGGTTTGTCTGACCGAGATTCACGATCGGAACGGCGTGACCCCGTGTCTCCTCTCGCCAGCGAACGGGAGCGAGAGCGACGTGTTAAACGGGATTGCGTCTCGTCTACTCGTGATGGCGATTTAGGGGAGCGGGCGTGGCGACGTGGTGATGACTTCCGTCGATCACGAGACGAGTGCCGGCCGTGCTTCCTCGAAGTGGACTCGGGGCTGTAGTCCCGTGTCCTGGCCCGTGGGCTTCGATCTCGTCGGGACCTCTTGCGATGGGCTGTGGTCAAGGAAGGGCTTCGACTCCGGTGCCGCTTGTTCGGGGATGAGGAGTCTCGGCCGCCGCGGTCCCGACTTCGAGACCGGGATCGACTTCGGCGGCGTGGCTTGTCGGAGGAGTCGCGATGTCGGTCCCTCCCAGCTCGGTAGCGAGGGATCAGGTCGTCCGTGTCGACAGCTCGGCGCGTAGGTTCAGACGAGGGGTGTCGGTCTCTATCACGGTCACGGTCACGGTCACGGTCACGGCCACGGCTGCGATCGCGGGAATGGTGGCGACGGTTGGATGAAGGCTCAGGTTTAGCCAAAGGGCGATGACGGGCTCTGGCGTCGGAACCGTGGCGGGGCTCGCGGGGCGATCCTGGTCGAGGCGAGGGCTTCACCTCTCGCTCGGTTCGAGCCCGTTCTCCTTGGTCATTAGGTCTTTGGTCGTCTCTCATGGCAGCATGTCGAAGGCGACGTGGAGGCTTGGGCTTGGGCTGAGGCTGCTGCTTCATGGTGGGCAGCCGGGTTGAGTTTTTAGTCCTCGCACAGCTAAATCGCCGTACCTTAGCCGGGCGACAAGGATCGCTCGCGACCCGCTACCAGCAACAACCGTGCAGCTATTGCGGGGGACAAGTGCTATCTCGTCGCTATCAGGTCGTCAGGTCGTCAGGGAACGCTGAAATCCTCATTCGCGAAATGGATGAGAGAATGAGTCCGCAGGAAGAGGAATTGCGCGGTTAATGTGGTCCGGGCTCGGAAAGGTCTGCCCGTGAACTTCGCTGTTGGGGTGTTGTAGTGCGCTCTGCCGATCAGAGCGAGCTGAGTTAGCTGAGTGCGCGTCAGCGGGTGAGTGGCGGCTGAAAACCGCTGTGCTCGAGTTCTGGCAACTGTGCGCCTTGAGCCTCAAGCCTCGAGCCTCGAGCCTTGATTGAGCCTTGAACCTCGAGTTTTGAATCTCGAGTCCCGTGTCTCGAGCTTGAGCCGACTGATGTAACGAGAACCTTGCGTGCACTTGCAGACTTGTTTCTCCGCCAGGCGCTTCCTCTCCTCTTTTTTTTGCTCTTGCGCGCCCGCGTTTCTCGTCCCGCTCTTCCTCAGCCGAGTTGTGCAAATGTCAGGTGCCTCTACCAAGACAGGGTTGCGCTGGGAATCGGTTGGACTATTCCCAATGGTCCCACCATCAGAGAACCGCGGTCGTTGGCTCAAGACCGCGGGCTCAAGACCGCGAGAAGGTACTACATACGAATCCATGCGGATGATTTACGACATGCCCCCAACCTCCTCCATCCACGAGTGACCAAGGGATCCCGCACGACAGATAGCGTGTGCATATCAATGCTGTAGTGAGGCCTTTTCACACCACCAGACTAAGCCGATCCTGACGCTTTCTCGTCCTGCACAGTGCTCTCAAACGCACCACGCTCCGAAACATGGCGTATAACAAACATCTGGGGTTGACCCTTTGGGCGCCAGAGATGAAGCATGCAGGTAACAGGGTCTGCCCGATGAAGTCGGCCATCAAGGTTCCATCTGGACGTAAAGCCGCATAGGCCGGGCAAGATTTGCCTTCCTGGCGAATCCAAACTTCCGTAGAAAGCGGGCCACACGCCTTTGGCTAGCAAGGGCCTGATGAGACTCATACCCTGCCACCTCCAAGGAAGCGGGCATAACAAGCAGCATCCCGAAGTGCTGCGTATCATATGTCGAATGGATCGTGAATCAACTACACATTCCCAGCTGGAAACGGTCCGTCACCGCCATCCAGTCTGTTCCAGTATGTCAAGTTAGGTTGGAGGCGTCGCAGTGACTGAGGACGGTAGTCTCCATTTTGGTATTCCTGTCGCTGCCGGCAGGTTGGTGTGCTTATGTCCCTCTATCACCGCTACTGCATTTGTGTGCTGCTGGCAGGTGATGACTGACCCTACTATATTTCAGAGGGTAACATGCGCCATCATAGGCAGTCGTGGACCGAAGAACGGAGGAGTGGAATCGTTCGGTGTGAAGAACAAACTCGGCTGGCCGGAGGAGGCGAGGGTCTCGGATGACCTGTTCGACTTGGTCGGATCACCCTATTTCGCGCGGGTGGCGGTCGAGGCGACAAGAGTCGCAGACCCTTCCGTGCATGTTCAAATAGCCCTTTGGCTTGACCATGATGCCGTATTACGGACGGCGAGGTGGGCGGTTGGCCATCGGTGATGACGGATTAGGTGCAGGAAGGCTGGATGATCATGGTTGTGGGAACCTGGAGAAGAGCCTGAAAGAGTCTCAGTCACGTGACAAAATCGGATGGTCAAAGTGGGGCCTGACCGCCTTGCTCTGCACCGGGATCATTTTCTTGGGTGTGCTCCAGTGGAGCGTATAGGTACCTAAAGTTTTGATCCAAAGCGATGTACTGTGTTGTGCACTGCTAATCTATATAATTTACTGGATTGCCATCTTAAGGGTTAGGGTTCGGGTTAGGATAAATATTCTCGGCCTGTACCCTAAAATGAAGAACAACAACTTATTATATATTTGAATAGAATATGAAGCAAGGCGAAAAACATGGGCTTGTGTTGAGCAAGCGACCAGATGTAGTACAAAATGTTGGGCCAGTGCTTTGGATTGCACTGTAGGATTGAATACCACCTTGCACAAAGGCACGTTGGGTAGGTATTAATCAAGCCCTGTAGATGGTGGAAGCCTCGAAGACTTCAGTCAACCGCAGTTTCGTCGTCACCATCTCATTTTGTTGTGGTGTTATCGGCAGGTCGTAAACTCGATGCCTCGGCACGTCGGTTTGGTGACCCACACCAGCACACGTCCATCCCCTACCGCTTTAGTGTCTTCAGTGCAGTTAAGGTCTCGCTCGGGCTTGTTCTGCAAGGGCGCTGGTGCAAGTGAGAGTAAGTGCTGACTCGATTGGCTCCGGGCGGTCTACTAACAACACTCGACTCGGATCTATGTTCGCATTGGGAAGCCTGGCTTGACGGATCGGACAGTGGCGAGAACTATCGAAGTGCAGAAAACATAGCCATTGATCTGCATTCTTTGCCATGCAGGGTGACCTGATCCCGGCGCTGTTGCGGCCGGGTTTCGGGGAACGAGGATCCACTGTGCAACCGTCCTTGCTGCGAGTCCGTTGTTGGGTCTGCTATTAATACGAATCTGTCTGTCTGTCCCGGGCGACTTTTATCAAATCTCCTTCACGATCCCTCGCCATCCGCCTCTGTGTAACCCTGTAACCTCGCCGCGCATCCGGGTCCTTGCCGTGTCGTATCCAAGTGCCATCTCAGTCAACTATCCGGACAGCTCAACCGTCATCGTCGCCGCCATGGAGTGGTTCGGCCAAGCTGAGATCAACTTCACCCATGCGCCGTCCCCCCGGACAGTCCGCGACAAGGACGGCGTCGAGACCGACCTGCTCAAGATCTGCGAGCAGGCCACGCCGCCCTGCCGCCTCAACCCGCTGCTGTTCAATGGCCACCTGCAGACCATGTGGACGGCCACGCGCCCGCCGGGCCCCAAGGTCTACTACAAGCGCAAAATCTTCGAGGCCGACCACGAGATGTATCACGGCACCTTTGCCGTCGACTTTGTCGTCGACCCTTTTGAAGGCGAGGACCCCACCTTGTGCCGCCGCACCGCCTACTACACCGACGAAGAGCTGCAGAACATGGGATCTGACGACACCAAACCCATGTTGGTCGTGCTGCATGGACTCTCGGGCGGTTCGCACGAGGTCTACCTACGACATGCCGTTGCGCCATTGATTGGCGAGGGCGGTTGGGAGGCCTGTGTGGTTAACTTTCGAGGATGCGCGCGGAGCAAGATCACCAGCGGTGTGCTCTACAACGCACGCGCGACGTGGGATGTTCGGCAGGTAAGGACGCTCTCGGGAATATTACCATATCATTTCTGACCGATTTGCTTTGTAGACTGTGAAGTGGTTGACGGAGAAATACCCCAACCGCCCACTCTTTGGAATAGGATTCTCCCTGGGAGCTAACATGCTCACCAACGTAAGCATCTACCTTGGCCCGCCCCAATTGGACGGACATGGAAGAATAACTGTTTCGCAGTACTGTGGCGAGGAGGGCGCCAACTGCGTGCTGAAAGGTGCCGTCGCCTGTTCAAACCCCTTCAACCTCGAGGTCTCTAGCAAAATTCTTCAGAACAGCTATGTTGGTAAAGAAGTTTACCTACGCATCATGGGCAGTGAGAACACCCTGTAATTGTCTCGTTTTCTATTCTTTACTGACGGAGGAGTAGGCTCTCTGAAGGACTTGGCGCGCAGACACAGAGAGGAGCTGGAGAAGTACAGCAAGGTCGATGTCGAGTCCGTCCTAGAAATCACCTATCTGAACGAGTTTGACCGGCTCATCCAGTGCGTTGCGCAGATTCGCGGTCACCGGCATTGAGACTGACTTGTATCCAGGTGCCCAACTTGGGGGTATCCAACCGAGTACGCCTACTACCGTGATGCGTCGTCCACTGACGCCGTTCTCTCCATCCAAATTCCCTTCCTTGCCATCAACTCCACCGACGATCCTGTAAGTGCTCCTTCGTGGCTGCTCCTAGACCTTCCTTGCTGACCTCAATGGTAGATTGCCATCAAGGAGGCCATCCCCTTTGAAGAGTTCGAGCTGAACCCCAACACCGTCCTCCTGACCACTTCGCTGGGCGGTCACCTCTGTTGGTTTGAGATTGGCGGTGGTCGGTGGTTTGCCCGCCCGGTGGCCAACTTTTTGAACCATCTGGCCTTTAAAACGGATCTCGACAGTCTGGCGCCGAAGCCGGGAGCGGCTGACAGCAGCGCGGCATCCGAAGGGCACGGGTATGTGCCGATGCGGCGGAAGATGATGATTATGCAGGAGTAAGTAATGACGTGGGATGTGCTGTGCCTAATATCGGCTGGGCGCAATGGCTTCTCAGAATATTTGGAATGTCCGACAGACACCTGTAGCATAGACATAGACTTATGTACATACATACAAATAGATAGACTGAATATGGCACAGGATGTAGACCGTAGCCTCGCGCTTAATCTTTTTGATCAATATGTCGCACGCCCTCTCCTTTGGGAGCCATCGCATTCAGCTTTCATCATCTCGAATCCTATACCGAGCCAAAGCAATAAAAAGGATTTCGTCCAAACCCCCCAGGGCCAACTCCGAGCGCCAAACAATGCAATGCCACACCCCATCCGCGCCAGGACCCTTTTTTCTTTTCATTTCCCCGTCATCCCTCACGCAAACGATACGCGCTTCCTTCCCTTGGCCTTGCCGGCCTTGGTGCCAGTGGATGTCACGCTCCTGACGTTGTCCTCGGCATCACCAGCGCTCTTGCGCTTGCGCTTCTTCCTCAAGGCATCCTTGGCGGTCTCCATCTTGGAATCCCTCTCCTGCTCCTTCTTCTCGGCCTCGACCTTGCGGGCCTCACGGATCTCCTCCATCTGGCGCGCCTTGATCATCTTGGACTCGATTTGGCCATTCTTCTCGGCCTGGACCAGTGACAGAATCGTGTTCATGCTTTCCTGTAATTGGAGGTTACGTTAGCAATCTGTTTTAACCATACGGGGTGGCAGTAGCCTCGAGGAAGGGAAAGGAAAGTTGCGCATACCCTGTCATCGACAAAGACCTTGCCCTTCTTCTTGCCCTTGGGCTTGATGACGCCGACGGGGGTGATTGTGTTGAGCTTGGGGATGCCGAGTTCCTCCTCAGTGTAGGAGCGCTTCTTGGGGTTCCGGAGCTTCTTGATGAGAGCGTCGCGGCCCTTGTCCTTGATCTGCTTATTCGGCAGGGCGCCCTTGTTGCCGGACGACTTCTTGGACGACTTGACGATGCCGTCAGTCGCTCCGCGCTTGGAGGCCTTGCTGTTGGCGATGCCCGACTTGGCGGCGGCATGCTTGTTCTTGACGGTGCTCGTTCGAGAGGGCGCCATTGCGAAAGAATGGGCGGGATTTCGCGACCTGGTGGGAGAGGAACGGTTCGAGGCTGAGGTCGAAGGTTGGTGTTGAAGAGCTGTGTCGGGGATCCAATAATTTTTTTTCTGCGCTGGGGAGCGATAACCCGATAAGAGGGTGGTCGGGAGGTGGAAGCGGGGCCGACGTGGGCTGCACTGCGGAGTGGGCAGTCATCACAAGTACCGAAATGTCACTTTATGTCTGGGATGCACGGCATATTTGGTGCAGTGTACTTGCAATACATACTCCCACCACACCACCACTGGCTCATGGGGAAGACTAGAGCGTGACCTCTCATGATAGTTCCTAAATGTGAAGTGTGGAAAAGGATCGAGGAAAATAGTTGCGATTCATCCCACCTGGAAGAGGCTAATCTGTGTTAGGGTATTATATATAATATATATACCATCTTAAGGGTTAGGGTTAGGGTGAGTATGAAGATTTTTAAGCTACCCAGCAACCAGATCATAGAGTATATTACAGACTTAGTAACAGAGCAAAGCGGTAGAGTGCACTAGCTATACCAAGTGAGTGAGTAATGCAGTGCATAAATTTTGATCAGGACTTTATGCTTCCCACTCCACTGTAGCTGTTTGTGGTAAGAGTAGGTACCCATGAGGTTGTGTTTTAGACCCTGCATGGTGCCATGACACGGCTCACTGAGACATATAGATTCGATGTCTCATTGTAGGAATTGGGAGATGATCTACGGGGCATGATACATTTGTCAAGAGTCGTTCATAACAGACAGTTCTGGCTCTCCCTAGCATTGGTAGTTGACCAAGTTCTCCGCATCTCCTGCCATTGAATGGCATGTAACAGTTAGCTGTTTGTAAGGGATTGCAAATGGCTCCCGGCTCCATGGCCAGGGGATAAAGCCAGCAGACCTAGTGGGGCGTCTTAATTTTTGGCTGGGCTTGCTTCTTCTTGGTCTCACTGACTCGGAGCCGGAGCTATCTCTAGGATGGGATGGCCTGTCGCGCTCCACCAAGGACTGACCTCTAGACCAACGCCTACGCGATTCGACGAGAATCCAATGACTCGCGATTTAACGCAACACAGAGAGGTTGACTGGTAAAAACATTGAAGCAGATGTGCGACGCGGCGCTTTGAGTTTTGCGGGCTCCCGAAGGTAACGGTGATTGAACGAACACCTTCTGCTTTGGGCCTGTCAGGAACACCCGAAACCACGAGCGCAAGACGTCACACGGCCGTATTTGTGTTGACAGCGAAGCATAGCCGGCCCTGGTTGGTCCCGGCAGCGTGGTCCCGAGGATGGATTCCGAGAGGCGGGCCAGAAGAGGGCAATATCATGTAGCATACAAGTTCCTGATGTCCTTGCAGAGTAGAATTGCTGCAGATACTTCGTCTTTCTTCAACGGGTCATCAGTCTGTCTTCAGCTCTCGTGACACAGTGGGACTGTCTTCCAGAAGCCGGCACAGCGCCTCAGGTACCTAAGCGAGAGGCGCTAATGGCCAACGGTGGCCTGTGACCGCTGACGACAGAAGGCTCCCGGGGCGAGGAGGGGACAGGTTGCCGTCGAAATACAGCCCGTTACAGCGGGTGGCAGGGCTGCCCTGGCCTGGCTTCGCCGGCGTGACTGATGCTGGGGGTGGGTTGTACATATGTCGCCGGGACACCTCCAGGGCTTGATCGCCCAGAGACAAGTCCCCCACATGTATCTTTGCCCATCCAGATGCAGAAGGAGTACCCCCATGATACCTTTCGCTGAACTCCACCACCGGGACCTCAACGACTCTTTTTTTCCCAGGTACGTGGGCAGAATTCTTTTGTCTCTTCGAACCTCCTTCACAGTCAAAACACCATTCTCGCCTCACTACTGCTCCGCCCACCACCGCCGCATCCCTACCGATCACGACTCCAACCCGCCTCATTCACACCCCGATACCCGAACATCCTCCACCGAACTTCGATCACGACCGACTTCACACGTCTCTGCCACTCGCCATCCGCCCTCCCGCTGCCCGCCGCCTCCCCCTCATCCCTCCGTCGATTCCCACCACACCCAAAAGTGCCCCATCGTCACGCTTCCTGAGCCTCCCTCAAACTCCAGCGCTTCTCTCACCCGCCACCTCGCTCCTCCCTCCTCGCTCCTCCCGCACGCTCACGTCCTCCTCCTCCTCCTCTCCCGCGACTCGTCTCCCAGACGTCCTCTGGTGACGACTCCCCGCCCTCGATTCCCTTCCCAGGCACTCCCGTTGCGATCCGTCTTGATGGATAACCTATGGACCCGCCGCACAAAGTAAGTCTCTTCCTCCCCGGCCCCCAAATAGCAAGGCACAGCTCAACCAACACGCCTCCTTCCTTAGCTCCGGCAAGCTCTCCCTCTCGACGCCCGGTCAAGCCTCCAACGGTGATTCCTTCGGTCGCAATGCCTCCTTCTCTAAGCGCCAAGGCGGCGACCCGTCCCAAGGCAAATCCAACCCATTCAACGCCTCTGCCCCGGGTAGCGCCCTGGTATCCCCTACCAGCGGCGCATCCAGCGCCTTCGGCCTAGGCTCTGGAGCCTTTGCGTCCTTTGGCTCTGCTAAGACGCCTAAGACGTCGGCCAATCCATTCGACTCCGCAATGGGGACGGCCGTCGCCAGGCCTGGGCCGACTAAGGACTCTGCAAAGGCCGTGGGGAAACCTCCTGGCATGGCCTCCATCTCCGAGAATAAGACGTCGGCGTTGTCGGCCATTCCCCAATCACACCCACTGAAGGAAGCCTGGTCCTTCTGGTACCGACCACCGATTTCCAAGGCCCACGGCTTCATCGAATACGAGCAGACACTGCACGGCATCGCCAGTGTGCAGACGGCGGAGGAGTTTTGGGAGATATATTCGCACCTGAAGCGCCCCTCGGCCCTTCCGGTAGTGTCCGACTACCACCTGTTCAAGAAGGACATCCGCCCAATATGGGAAGACGACGTGAACAAGAAGGGTGGTAAGTGGGTGGTTCGCATGAAGAAAGGCGTGGCCGACCGATACTGGGAGGACCTGCTACTCTCCCTCATCGGCGACCAGTTCGGCGACGCGGGTGAGGATGTGTGCGGTGCCGTGTTGAGCATGCGGAACGGAGAGGACATTTTAAGCATCTGGACTCGAACGGACGGTGGCCGTGTCATCAAGATCCGGTAGGCTCCCCCCTCGCTCCCCCCTACTTGAGGTAATAGACCTAGTACTGACATATCCCCTAGTGAGACCATGAAGCATGTCCTCAACTTCCCACCCAACACGCGGGTTGAGTTCAAGAGCCACGACTCGAGCATCCAACAACGGACAGCAATCGAGGAGCAGCGCCGCGAAAAGCAGGGCCAGCACCACCACCACGACAAGCGCCACACAGGCGGCTCGTCAAAGCAACCCCCTGAGCAGTCCCAGTCGTAAATATTTTCGCGGCCCCCCCCCCCCAACATTTATGTACTGTATAATAGGTATACAGGGCCACCCCGATTGTGATTTGCAATCGCCGACCTCCTTTATTCTGCATCTTCTCTTTTTGCGTTCGCCCTCTGCTTGACACGGTGACGACGACTGTTCTTGGATAGGGTTCCTCATATGTTGTTCATTGAAGGATGGGACGGGCAACGGGACGGATGGATGGGATGGCATGGGTTGGTTATGAGGGCTAGCGATTTTGTCGAAATGGGTTATGTACTATAGCTGCCTGCGGGCACAGCACGGCTGGCGAGGCAGCGCTTTTGAATTGTGAGGTTAAGAATCACAAACCAAGGCAATCTTTTTTTGCGGGCTGGTTTTCCGCCTACAAAGCAAAGCAACGCGTTGATCATGAAAAAGTGATGTTACATATTGGTGTCCTTCTTTTGTCTATTAAATTCCGTCATGAAGCTCCCGCCCTGCCCTTGCCCTTGGGCTCTCTCCTCCGCTCCCATACCTGCAGATACGCCTCGCCCAGGTACAGCAACTCGCTCTGCACCTTGTCTACGAACAGATCTTGGGCGACAACCCACTCGCCCGTGGCCTTGTCCTTGAGCTGGACCTTCCACGTCTTCCGCTCCTCGCCGCTGTCTACGACGTCCTCGCGGACGCGGACGGCCTCGTGGACGACGTTGGCGACGAGGTCGTACCAGATGGGCTCGCCAGGGGGCCACTCCTTGGGGTTGGGCTCGACATAGGGGGACATGTCGAGGTTGCGGGCGTCGAAGGTGACGATGGTGGGGTTGCGCTCCGAGACGAACTTGTTCTGCGAGAAGCGCTTGACGTGGAAGACGAGGTAGGGCGGCAGCGGGTGCAACAGGCGGTAGCGCTTGCGCTGGGCGTGGTGCTCCTGCGCGCGCTGGCCGTCGTACTTTGTGAGGATGGTGGTAAGGGGCACCTGGGGGATGATGTTCTTCTCCAGCTCGTCCTGGAAGAGCGGCGCCGACGGTAGATCGAGCGTGAGGAGGAGGAAGCGCACAATGTCCGTCTTGACCTCGGCCGAGTCCTCGAAGCGCAGGCGGTCGCGGGCGTCAGCGCGTGCCGTGATGGCCTGCGACTCGACCTTGAGCTTGCCCTGGAACGTACGCTGGACCATGGAGCTGCCGGGCTTGGTCTTGGAACCACCGAGGCCGAGGTGGAGGTTGTTGAGGAACCACGAGAGGAACTCGACGGGGTCGGATTGCGCCAGCAGCGTGAAGCGCTTGTTGGACCGCAGCGAGATCTCCTGTAGCAGCTCGTGCGGCGACACGTGCGCCTTGAACGCCCGCGGGTTCCAGATCTTGCGGACCAGGATGCTGCAGCGCTTGACGAGCTCGGCCTTGGTCGAGAATTCCTCCAGGAGGAAGTAGTTGCGCAGCGGGGCGACGTGTGCGAGGGCCTGCACCACGACGTTGAGGTAGTCGTTGTCCTTGATGTTGTTCATGCCGACGAAGCCCGGGGTGTACTCCTTGTTGTCGAGGGTCCAGCTAGTGCGCTTGACGCGGTCCATGTCGATGACCTCCTTCTTCGTGTAGCGCGGGTCCGAGACATACTTGATGTCGTCGAGGGCCCGGCTCTTGACCTCGTAGCCCTCGGGCAGGACGTAGACGCGCTGGGACTCGAGGTTGATGAAGACGTGGTGGTCCTCGTCGAGCGAGTGGAAGTAGGCGTGCGACTTGGTGCCGCGGCCCTGGAAGTACTTGCCGCAGACGAGACAGGCGTAGACGTTGATGTTGGAGAGGGAGACGGAGCAGAGCTTTTCAAAGTCAAAGTCCAGCACGTTGCGGTCGATGGTGTCGAGGTAGAGGTCGTCGTATCCGTCTGTGGGCGCCGATTGCCGCAGGGGCGCCGCAGGGGCGATCTCGTCGTCAAAGTCGTCGTCGTCCTCATTGCGTCCATCACCATTCACATCGCCGTTGGCGTGCGCCTCTGCGTCCTCGGCGGGCGTATCTGGAAGGCCGCTCCCCAGCGGCGAGTCGAAGTCGCCGAATCGAGACCTCTTGGACGCGGGCGAGGCGATGTCGAGGAGCTCGTCGAGGGCCTCGGAGGCCTGGCGCTTGGCCATGGTAGCGCAGTATCTGGATCGCGGGCGGCGAGACGACGATTGGACCGGCTTTGGGATGTTGCTGGGTGGTGGTGGTGTATTTCGTGTGTGAAGCTTGTCTTAAATTTTGATGTTGGCGATGTCAGGCTGCGGAAGCATGCGACAGTGGAGCTCCAAAGCTAGTGGCTGCAGCCTGGGGCCCCTGCTAACACCACCAAGCCCATCCACATTTGCACTGCCAAGTAACTGAACTGACTTAAAAAGCTGCATACAAGCAGTCAGATTTGAAATCCGTAATAAAAAATGTCTTTTATCTATATCCTATATCCAGATAACCACATACACTCGGATTATGCTAATAACTCAGGAACAATGCCATAATTCAATGCGGGATAGTATCTGCCCTTAGAACCGCCTATCCAGCCATGACAACATCAACCTCCTCGCTGGCCTCCTCCAGCGCCGGAGCAATGCTATCCATCTCCTGCAGGGTATATTCCACCAAATAGCTCTCATCAACCAAGTCCTCCGTCCGCTTGTAGTGTCTCTCAGTATAGACCCGGATGGCGTGCAAGACATCCTTGAGACTCTTCTGCCCCTTGGCTCCCTTAACAGACAGGTTCGACAACTTGGACGCGGGGTAGCTTCGGATAATGGTCCACAGGATCCTCTGTGCCACTGGCGCCGTGCGGGCATTTGTGTTCCAGTCTCGCAGCCTCAGGAGGAGGAGGAATATTTGCTCATCGGAGAGATTGCCCAGGACCTCGTCAACGGCCTTGAGGCCTGAGAGACTCCCAGCATCGGGGTTGCTTGAGGTGATGACAGTGGTGAACAAACTCAGGAGACGCCCGGGGTGGTTGAGCTGAAGAGCAAGCGTGATGGCCTCGCGATATGATCCAGCATGGATGTGATTTTGCAGCTCCTGTTCCTGCTCAATTATCTCAAGCGCCGCTCGTGATGCTGCAGCTTGAGTCTCAGAGGTGGTGTCCTTCCAGAAGCTGACGGTCGAGTCGCCGCTGCCAGAGACAATGGTGTTGGTCTCTGGGTGCACAGCAACTGCCCACACTCGGTCCTCGTGGTTATCAAGGGTGCACTCAGTTTCTCCTGAGTTTGCATCCCAGACCTTGACGAGGCCGTCTCCGCCAGCGCTGGTGAATTGAACACGCTTCTTCGATTGCTCTTGGCCTGAAGGGGACTTGAGCCAGGCCAGCTTCAAAACACTATTTGAGTGGCCTTCAAAAGTCCTGACACAAGTGTAGTCAGAAAGACTCCACAGCTTGATTGTCTTGTCACCACTGCCTGTGAGCGCCACGCCCTTGCCGGTAACAGGGCCGTCCTCGCCCTGAACAGCGGGTAGCTGAGCGGGTGAGAACTGGACCGACCAGACTCCTCGCTTGTGGCCACGCAGAATGCCCTGGACCTCGCCCTCCTCAACAGACCAGATCTTGACCGTCTTATCCTGGGATGCGGATGCGAATAGCTGGCTGGAGTGGTGGACATTGAGCGCATTGATGTCCTTGTCGTGGGCCTTGCGAGTGAAGACGGCTCGGGAGCCGGTCTTGCCGCCCTTTTGCTGGGCGGTTCGGGGTATTTCCCACTTCTTGACGGTCTGATCTTGTGAACCGGTCAAGATGAAGGCTGGGGGGTGCTCAAGGGGCTTTGATCGCGCAGCTGAGGACTCAGGGGGAATAGACTTGGGAAGGGCGACAGCTCCTAGGGATTCAGCATGACCTGAGAAGGTAGCCCAGCAAGTATAGGAATCATTCTCCGGGTCAACACGCCATAGTTTGGCAGTGTTGTCCTTGGCACCGGTTGCGATCCAGTGACCGGACCAGTCGATGTCTAGAGAAATAACAATATCGTCGTGACCCTTGAGAAGTGCGACATCCTGGCCAAAGTAAGGCGTAGCTCCCGATTCCCAAACAGCTTCCGCGTCGTCCTTCTTGGTCTCGGCAACGGATACCAGCCTGATGTCCTCCGAGTTTGTGGCCAGGGCAAGGAGCGAATGATCAGGCAGCAGGTAGCCCAAGTCGATAATTTCATCGTGAGTTCCAGAGATTCTTCGGAATGGCTCTGGCACCGTCAGGGCTGATTCGTCGTTCCTTGGTACCCGATATAGAGCCAAGGTGTGGTCGACTTGGACGCACATAATGAAGGGAAGGCCAGGGCGGTAAATAGCGGAAGCAATACCCTCCTCCTCGCTCTTAGCTGCCACGGCTGGAGAGACCTGCGATCCGGTGTCGGTGTTCCAGAAACGGAGGGATCCGTTTGCACCAGCCGAGTAGGTGAGCTGTCCATCTTCGACAAATCCAGCGGCTTCCACGAGTTCCAGGCAAGGGACAATCTTTCGAATTTTCCAAGACTTGGTATCCCACCAGATCAGTGTCTTGTCCCGGCCGGCAGTAACAAGGGCGTGCTGCTCCGGCGAGTAATCCAGTCCTTGGACGTCAGAGACGTGGGAGTCGAGGTTGGCGATGCAGCTGCGCTTGTGGAGGTCCCAAATCCTCACCTTACCGTCCTGGCTGCCGGAGGCTAGTCTGAAGTTCGTCGCGCTCATACTCTCATCCTCCTCATCCGAATCGTCCTGACGCTTCGAGCCCTTCTTTCCCTTGCGCGATTGAACGGCGTCCTTGGAACGAGCGGCGACCTCGAAGAAGTGGAGGGCTGAAACGAGCACCGAGGGCCCGCGGAAAGTGTGTGTGACATATCCTCCTGCGATATCCCAGACTTTGATAGCACCGTCTGTTCCTCCGGTAGCGAGCAAGGTGCTGGTGCGATCAACAGCGAGGACGACGACAGGTGTCCCGTGAGGCTTTAGTGTTCTGATAAGAGAGGCTTCAATAGAGCTGTCCTCCTCTGAACGCTTCAGCGCAAAAATTCTCATTGACAAGCTCCGGCTGCAGATGATGAGATGTGAACCAGAGGGCGTCACTGAGGGCGGTCAGTTCAATTCCGTTGAAATAATTTGCAAGACCAACTCACAAGTCAATGTGGAAATGAGCTCTCCATCCTATCGAGTATTAGCCATATTGCGCTTTCACTGCTGACGCATGAAGTCTTACACCCTCGATCTGGGCAAGGTGCTTGCCATTTGACGGATCGGTGAGGACGGCGTCCTCTCCAAGGACAGTGGCGAGGATGCGGGCGCCATTGTCGAGAGCGACAGAGCCTCCTGTGAATACAGGCCGAATAACATGGCCGACGTCAAACGTCGTTTTCAGTGGCTGTTTATTCGCCATTGTGTTCCTGCCTTGGATGTTAAAAACTTCAGATGCAGCATCATGGCTAGTCCCGAATTTTTTTTTCTGGTTGGATGCGCTTGTGTGGCTGGCGTGGCACAGCCACAATTCAAGCCACTCCTCATTAAGCCTACCGCGTCAGAACCCAATCATGACATCTCGAGCACAGTGCACGTCCTCATCTGTTCTCCATCGAAACATCATCTCCAAACCTCTATTTTGTTTCCGTCGAAGACCTGCGGTCGATGCGCCGCATAGATCTGTCATCATGGGCATGCAAGGCCCCCTGACGGCCCAAGCGCTTGTGAGTGGCCTGTCGCTCTTTGGAAACGTGATGATCGGCCGCCTGATTAACCACTGTGCTAGGGTCGCTCCCCGTATGATGATGTGGAATGGGACCGAGAGAATGAGGGAGCTGGGGAGTCAACACAGCAATTCGATCACCGAGGGCGTCCGGTGAATCCCGAGACAAAGAGGATTAATCGAGATATCGTCCGGTCTCATAACGAGGTGATGCTTGTGATCGGCGTCGCAGAGCAGGAGAATCCCAACGTCGGCCCAGAGGCCGAGTCGCAACGACGACATGAAGCCTACGAAGATGCTATCGGAATCAAGATCGCTTCCTCTGCCCATCGATGCATTGAAGCTGTCGGTATTTTCGGCCTTCATGGAGCCCGCCAGAGGATCTTGGTAAGACCCAACTCGCTCTAGGAAACGCGTTGCGTACCTCCGTCTGACTGAGCAAGATTTACAAGCGGTATTCGCAAATCCCCTTTTGGGACCTTTACCAGGCAACGAGGAAAGATTTTTCCTTCTTCCGGGATATCCTACCCGGCGCGCCGGCAAGCCTACTCTCCAAGTACGCTGAGCGTTATGTCATTACCCTCTGGAACAATCGTACAGATCGGATAATGGCACGCAGATGGTGAGCATGGGTGCTCAAGTCATGCCCAAGGTCTACGGCTAACACAACCAGCGTTCATGAGATTTGGTCATATCTCCGAGTTCACCTAGAACTGTATATTGCTCTCCAGAGGCTGGGCCTCATTTCGAGCAGTCAATGGTTTCCTGGGCCATCATACTTTGTCCCCTTCACTGAGGCGTCGCCAATCCCTGCCCCACCTCCGTTGCAAGGCTTCACACCCCAATCTCTGCTACAATGGGTGGGAGGACTTGCCATTTCTGCCACTCCTTTCCTCGTCTGGGTAATGACGCAGAGGATGGTGCGTGATTGGAAGCCTAAGATCTGGAATGAGATCCTCTCGCGTTTGCCCAACACTGGTTTCTCCGGTCGACGAGTCCCTCCTCCCCCACCGCCCTCATCATGGCGGCCAACCAACGATTCGTCTCGGAGGAGAAGGTCTGAGCCGCACCAAATTCGGGAGGCGGGGGATGACGTTTCCCCTCTGAGAGCAGTTGATGGACAACTGCCCGACACCCCCGTAGAAGCTGTTCGACGCCAAAGTACCTTCTCGGCCAGAGGCGACGACTACGCTAGCGACGAAGAAGAAATGGAGGGGGTTAGTGCAACTCTCATCTCGTTCGATGTTGAGGCGAGCGAATCGACTGAGGCTCCGGCAGGACTCTGGAGCGCAGAGCTTCGTCCAAGTGTGGCCTCCGACGCCAACACTGTTGCGAACTCCCAGCCGCTTTATCTGGACACAATGCTCACTCGACTTTCACCGCTGATGGCATCCCATATCTTTACAGATGCAGTCACCAGGATTTTAATGTCGCCCTACGAGGCTACTGCCCTCCGCCTGATAGCTCGGACGTTTTGCTTGAGACGGGGTCTTCTGTGTGACGACATTTGCAACGTCAATCTCTTGAGCGGGCTCAACCTTACCACCCTCATCAACTTCTTAGGTATAGAGGTCCTCCACCTCACTATTTCAGGGGAGGTCTGGGGGGCGTTCACGGGACTCTCGCAGTGGTTCCACAAAACGGAAGAGGAGTGGAAGCAAGCAGAGGCTGACAAGGCGCTGGGCTGGTCGGATGATTGAGAGGTGCTTGAGGTAGCAGTTGGTCATGTACGAGTCTGAGTATGGGTAAGGATACAGCATATCGCATAAGAATTGGCGTTTTCTTTTCTTGCCTTTTCTCTACATGGCGCTTTCTGATTCGGTGAATGAATGGCCCAGGGAGGTGAGTGCTCACCGGTGGCTGAACGATGGAACACTGAATGAGGCTAGAGGAATAGGGGAGACTGCGTTTGGACGGGACCTGGGCCACGGCGCCTGCCCTACACAGGACGCATGCTTGGGCAGGGGGTATTGCCGGAGCTATGTACCTCCTTCTCTCACCTTCCAACACCGCCAGATAAACGCCTCGCCTTGGCCTCAACCCTGCTTGCCATTCCTCCATCCACATCGTCAGGGCGCCCGACGGAGCTCCCAGCGGTAACGACGCTACACCGGAGAGGGACGACGACATGGCACAACGCATATCCATTGCGTCTGTTGTGATTGCCTTTCATTTGATTGGGTTCCAGATCCCGGAGACCAGGAGCCGTATCGAAGGCGGGAGGGGTAACAACAACGCAGCGGATGGCAAGAGACGAGACCAACGCAAGTAAGCAATGCTAATCCTGGTGTGAAGTGACAGGTCCCCAGCTAACGGGGGTGTCACACAGGGGTTGATCTAGAGTTGCGGACCGGCGCCGGAGTGACAGGACAGGCCATTTCGCCTTGCCAAACCTTTAGCGGGCGCTGCCTTGAGAACCATCACGTATTAGGAGGCTGGCCGTCGCTACGCGTCCGCCCTGCCACCGTCAGATATTCATCGGATGGAGACTACCGGCCTTGAACCCGTCCCGGCCGACCAATCCTAGTCCCTCCAGACCACACACCACTTCACTACGCGGCTCGGCCGCATTGCTTTCGCCTCACGGCTCTCGTTGTGCAAAGCAAAAGGTACCATCTAGCCTCTCATCGTGAGTTGTGGTCTAGGCTGCCGAGAGGGGCCTCCTCCGCAAATTATGAACTCCCGCACCGACGACACTGCAGCATGTTTCTGTCCCCACACGCAATATCCACGAATGTGTTCTCTCTCCACATCTCCCGTCTCTGCGTCTCTTAGCCAGGTCGCAGTCTGAGGCTGCTTTCCGGGGTTGGTATCCGGATCCCTGTGCCGTCGGTGGATGTTGATTTGTGACCAGGGCCACTCCACGGCTCTTACCCTTGTCGGGTCGTCAAATCCTCCTCGCGATGCTACCTGCGCACGGCCTCTGTACAACGTCCCTGAGCAAGCCGCAGATGGGTCGGTGTCAGCCGGCTACGGTAGCCCCCGACTGTTTAGTGCAGAGGCACAGTTGTGACAAACACGTATATGGGGTACGCTACTGACGTGGTGAGACTGGAGAAAATGGCAGCCCAGGACACCTCCTGGCAGAGTCTTCTCCTCTCCGTCATTCGCCAATGGCGTATTCATGAACAGACACATTGAACGGGTTCCTGGTTTCAGGGGGGCGTGCCACAGACCAGCCTTTGGACTACGTTGCCTACCATCTCGTGTGCGGTTTTGGTGCTGTAGACTCTCTGCCCGAGTCCATTGCGCACGTAGTAGGAGCTGGGAAAGGCATCGCTTTAGCCAAGACCCCCTAGTCCGACTGCCTAGGGCCCTTGCTTCAGTTTTGAGGCCCGACTCCGATGACCCCGGAGTTTGATGAATACGGAGACTGTGGCGCTCTAAGTCCGTCCTCCCCTGTCCTCGCAGACGCTGGCAAAGGTCGTACTGAATGTCTTGGTACAAGGAGTTTGCTGTGCTGTGACCGGTTCGTGACACCATCGAGGTATTTCACACTAACGGGTTCGAGTCTGTGTTCACGACCGGAGTACCATGGGTCATAAGTGCCCACAGTCAAAACCACTAGGGCGCCTTCTCTCCCCACTCCGCTGCAAGAATCTCAGATATCATTTTTGTTTTATTTATGACGAGTCTATCGACGCGCCCTGCGGAGACTCGTTAGCGAGAGAAAACGAGGCGACTGACAATGAAGCCGCGGAAAGCACGAAGCGATCAGAATGCGGAGCTTATTGGTCTCCAGCTGGGCCACAGAGTCTTTCAGTCCACCCATTGAGCAACTATAAATGGAGGCCATGGCAGCAGGATTCTGCTATTCGTTCTCTCATCACTTTCCTGATTTCACTACACTAGCAAGACTTCTCCTTTTTCTGCACCAACCTCGAGTCTCTTTACTCAGTGTCCCTCAAATCACAATGTCCTCCATCCGTATCGTAAGTTTGCCCATCGAAGTGATGGACAAGAATCGAGGAAAGATTTCTGACAAAGAACCGAAGAAAATGCAGCGCAAAGTCCTCGCTCCCCATCCCCCAACCCCAAAACCCACACCTCAACCCTCAAAGACCCAACAGGGCGTCTAAAAAAGGCTTGGATTAGGGACGAAGGAGCCCAACCCCTGCAAGCTGGATCGGAAACTCGTGGAAAAAACAGCAGCTCAGTACAGTAAGTCATGGCCGTTTCATAATCGATCCCTTTGCCGCCCTCAGCAAGCTCATTGTAGCTGACGCCAGACTTGACAGAGTCTAGGCAAGGAACCTTCTCTGAGTGTGTGTGCCTTCTACCGGATACTGTATCTACGAAGGCCCAAGAAAGCAATATCTAGATGTCGGATGATGACAAGAATTTAAAGAGAAGGCTGGATTGATGTTCTCTCTGGGATGATTGATGCGCTGAGAAGTCGGGAAAGTCTACTTGAAATTTTGCGTTGGACGATGTTGAAAATAGGCAAGAAGCTTACTTAAATACAAACACTCACATCGGTACGAATGCCGGAATTGGTGGGTTTCGCTAATCAATTCCATATCCATCAAAGATCATTGTCTCTTTGCTCGTGATGTGAGGTCGTCCAAGACCATACGAGACAAGCGCCGTCGCTAGACCAGGCTGGCGCGCTTGGCGTCTGTAATAAGCGAATAATGACAAGTAACTTGGGGGATACTTTCTTGTACAACCACCGCGTTCTTCACGGCCCGAAGGAGCAGAGGTGTGCCACACTGCGTCGGAAGGCAACTGCCAGAGCCTCAGGCGGTGCTGGCCGAATGCATACATATGTGCCAAGAGTTGTAGATAGACAACTCGGGCATGCGGGCATTGCAGTCGTGAGGCTGCTCGGCAGCATTCAAGTCTCTCTTAGGCGCGATCAAGTAGGCTCCGGCTGCGGTGGGTGGGCCTTGTTGGTTAGGCCCCACGATCGACGCAAGGATGGTGTGGGAGGTCAATACAGGTTGAAGGACGAGGCCGGAGGAGCGGTAGATCGAGATTATAAGATAAAAGGCTGCGTGTCTGCTCGTCTTAAATCAACTGATCATAGGCGACTCCTACTTCGAACACAATTAGCAATATCAGGCCCCACCAATTCATCAACATGCAGCTCAACATCCTCCGTACAGTGCCATTGTGTCGTGGTACCGAATCTGGAAGCGCCGACTTGAGCGACCAGCGAATGGAACAAGACATACCTCTGCGGCACAATCATGAATCGGATCCTCCCGGCGCTGATCTTGAGGCTCACCTCGGTCAAGAAGGTTGAGATTTCCTCGCCATCGCATCAATTTCAGAAGTGCTGATTGATGTAGAAGCCCCGCTGCCGGGGTTGATTCGCGCATCCAGTCACCGACAGGACGATGTCATGTACCTACTTGCAAGGCGCTTTCGCCAACAGGCAGCATTTTGCCTTGACACAAAAGCCAATGTCGTCGAACAACACTGGAGAGAAATTGTCCGTGCTCTAGAGCGGGATGAAAGTGGTACAGACAAGCTCCAGAAGGATTTCTTTGGGCATATCAAGGAGTATTGTACGCGCTCAGTGATCTGTCTTGTTTGTCGCTCTAGTCGAAGCTGATCCGTGCCTAGACGAACTTGTAATTCTCACACATCAGATTGAGGGACTTAACAAACCAGACCGCCTACTGCTCAAGCACTTCATTACCACGGTCAAATCGTACCTTAAGGAAGGCCAGGCCAGCTTTCTTGAAGCCACACGTGACGATTGGCTAGAGGCGTATCCTATCGAAACCCTGAATCGGTGGTTGAAGCTTATGCCTGAACATGGCACTTTCAGATCTATTTGCGTGAGTCAAACAATATCCCCACCGGCGCAGGTTTGCTAAATTCGATAGGACAAGTTTCGGAACAGGACGACAACCCATGAGCACTATGATACCCATGAGTACCCGGACGAGTTTTTCGGTGCGGTGTTCATCACTCTTTCCCACATCGTCATCGTGGTGCTCGTGGGCGGTCCCGTCGTGGTTCAAGCGCTTGACATCCTGCCGATGGTGGGCAACGTGGTGATGTACATGGTGTGCTTGATCTTCTTTATCGTCTTTACCCAGGCGTTTGTTCGTGGTGAGGGGGCTCAATTTTTGCTGAGCCTCGCCTATGCAGCCGTTGCTGCCACTAATCTTGGCCGCGGGTGCTGAATGAGCAACGTTGTCACGTCTCTCAGTAGCATGTGAACCTTCCGGTCATATCCAGGGGCGAGAGGGACACACGCAATCGTGTCATGGTGTAGCTAAATAGCGGCGATTCGGATGACTTCGGATGTGTGAGGTGGATGTATGAAGCAGCTTGGCTTTCGTGCGATGTCTTTCAATGTATCTGACTTAGTGTAGCTAATGCATGTCGAGATTGTTGTCCAGTGAGCAAGGCGGGTTTGAACGTGGAGTTGTGACGGAGGCCAAGAGCCGTGACGACAGATTCGTGGTTCTCGTGTTCGGTTGGATACGCGGCGCAGCTTGTGATGTCAGTTGGGTCGAGAGGGTCGGAGATGCCGTAGACGTACATGGTGAGGACCGGGAAGAAATGGTCTTTGAGCAAACCGAAGGCCCATCATCTAAAGCAGCTGAGAAGATGGGTAAAGGTCGAAGGTGGAGCTCGTGCGATGAAGATAGACAGAGGGAGAGGAGGGCAGAAAAGCGGAAATAGGTAGGTAGAGAGGATTGGTAGGTAAGGAAGGAACTGAGGAGGGCCAAGGAAGGAACTCGGGAGGGGTGGATGCAAACCAGAACAGGCTGGAGTGTGCCTCAGGTCAAGGGGGGGAGCCTCGTTCAGCGTAGCCCACCAATTTTCGCCAGTCACCAATGCCAAAAGGGACAATAACATGACCAGCCACACTAAAGTATGAGACAACGAGTAGAATATCATGGAGAAGAAAATTAAAATAAAAAACTATGTAGTATTTGCAAATATTCCTTTCAAGAGAGGTTCCTCTCTCTGGAGTATTCGAGCTTGTTCAGAACCACCGGCGTCCCACCGTCCGAAGTACCAAGGCCATGACCCTGGCGCATTTGGCCTCAGTTGGAAGAGATTTTCGTCTCGTTTACTAGTGCAACCATGGTGCGCCCTCATGTCACTTCCAATACATTTACCCCTCTGGCTGATGCCTGCCACGCCAGACTTGCGATGACGGGGGCCAGCGCGTCACTGAGCACACCGGTGCGGGGAGTTTGGTAACCATCACCATCTCTCCCCTCCTCCTCCCTGATCTAATCTCCACAGCCATCCTATATCAGACCGGCTATGTTGCCCTTGCGCTTTTGCTCCACTATTTGCTCCATTTCTCAGAGTTCCGTCGATACTCGTCGTCCTGGCCCACCTCGGTGTAAGTTGGGTTGACCCTCGTCAGAGGCGGAGAGATTGCCGACACTCTCCGAGAGGGAGTGGAGGAAGCGCGTGCCCCCCCAGGTTCGCGCAGAGCCTCATGTGGGACGCGGCCTAGCCCTGATTAACTCCCCAAGGCAGCCGAGCAATCAAAGAATAGGCCCCCATCCCTCCCTAGCGTCATGCTTCATCTCGGTAACCCTCTCACAGGGTTGGAATGAAACCAGCAACCCATGCAGCTTCATTTCCAAACTCAAGCCGTCAGCACTGAGAACAAGTGATGTAACCATTGGATGCGAAGTGCCTGTCTTGAGACGACGCGGCGAACGCCACCGGAGATACTGACAGCTCGAACTCGTCCGAACGTGACCGCAATCGCATGATGTGTAACCTGCAACGCCGGGAATCGGCTGGGTCCCTGATCTTCCGGGTCTTCTTCTGCCACGGTCAACAACAAACAGAGACCTGGCCGTCCCTTATTGGCTGGTAGTGGTTGTCGTTCGCCGCTGTAGGATGAATAAGCTTTAATCCCAGCTCGCCGGGTCATGACTGGTGAGGCTCCTCACACCGCTTTCGGTGCCGAAGGGATGCAAGTTAGGCCGGTTTGAAGGCGTCTGACATCTTTAAATGGTGCCCCCCCGGTCCGTTGCGAGTACGTTCTGTCAAAAATAGCCGTCTCGTTACCCGGAAGAGAAACGACCATTCTTTGATCAGGTCCGCAGTTTATGTTGCTTGGTGTCGACCTAATATGCTTATCGCACTCGCTGTCTTTCACCCTGCCGTCGCAGACAATGTCGCTTCATATACCCCCATCTATCAGTCTTGCCTGTCGCTGAAAGATGCATCGCCCCACAGGCTGTTGCTATCCACATTAACGTCACTGAGTTCTTTTGCCCAGTGACACTGAAGATCCTCATTGTTCAACGGGAATTCTGAGAATGGACAAAGTTAGCACAATTCGTGTATTTTAGCGAATTTTCCCGGGTGCCGCAACCAAAAAAGGAGCACACATCTGGAGCAGAAATGGAGCAGAAATGGAGCAGAAATGGGAGCCGATACAAACCCAGGTAAGCGTGACAGAAGCGTGACAGCCTTGCTGGGCGAAAAGCAATGTGTGGCTAATTGACAGCAGTTCCAAAGAGGTCACATCCTCCAGAAAAAGCACACAATCCAAGCGACATCCTCTAGCTGTTTCTATTCCGAGTCGGTGGCTTGAGCCGATGCGAGTGAGACTCAGGGAGTCAGGGGCTTTCACCATCGTGGTCGTCGGCAGGATCCCTGCCTGGCTGCAATCACCGGGTCGGGCCGGCCCTTCGCCAACTTCTCTCCAGCCAACTAGAACACAGGGCGCCTTAGCCATGGTCCATACCCGCAGGAGTTAGAGTCTGTGGGGTAACGGCTTGTCGATGGCCGATGTGAGATCGAGAGATCTGCTAGGAATCACGACGACTAGGGAGGGGCAACGTGCTCCCTGGCTTGTGAAGCGACTGCTGGGGTCTTGCGAATCGGTTCTGTCAACCCAAGTGTTGGCGCTGTGCCGTCATCCTTTCCGTCATGTCGAGCGTTCTGGCTTCGCCTTAGGTGTGCCAGGTTGGAGGGCTCAATGATTGGGGGCAAAGTCATCGCCGCAAATGCCTCGGCAGCGACTCGCCTTCTTCTTCTCTGTCATCAAGAGCGGGGGACCAGCTATATACGGACGCCGGTACCGAAACGAGTCGACATCTCGCCATCATCAATCTCCGCTAGATCTAGTGGCAGCGGCTCGACAATGAGGCATGGGTTCTCAGTGGAGAGCCCTTAGCGAGTCCCGTTCATTTGATTTGATGAATCACGATGGTCTTTAGCAGAATGACGCAGTGACCCCCGTGGGGCTACAGTACACTGGACCTCACGCACTCATATTCCCTCCAGGCTTCGCTACGCTCAGGGCTTCCTCACAACACGCCCACCAGTGATGCCATTGCCACTCCTGGGCGGTGGACACGGGCGTCCACGACCACCTTAGGGTCGAGCCCGGAGGCTTTGGCATTACAGTCCTGGACGCTTTATTTCCCCGGATGCAATGACCCAGGTGCGGTTTTTTTTGTCTGCGCAGAGATCTCAGGCGTTTGCTGGAGGAATGAGTGTTTACGGCACGAGAATTTCCATGGGGGTTCCAGATCAAAGGGCCCTCTTAGCACATTAGCCAGGCTTCGTTCTTTGTAGCCCCAGCGCTTCACACATCAAGTTTGCCGCTCGCAACCTCACGATCGCCACCCTTTGTCTTCAGAGGTTGTGGAACTGCAAAATCTGAGGCTGAACCCCTGAGAGATATTCATCACGCGTAAGGAAGGGGGTTTCTCTCCTTTGGAGACAGGAAAGTCCGATTGAATGCGCCGCCATCTTGGGTTGGCTCCACAAACCAACCGAAGATGCGAAAATCTAGCACTGCAGATCCTTGGAGCCCGTGTTTGATGGAGTTGTTGGGTCAATGAGCCTGGTTTTGACAGCGTCCCGATTGAAGATGGGAATCTTGGCGTCTCGATTGCCACTGAGCGATGGGTCCCAGCAGCCATATTTGAGTTTCGTTGTCCGAAGCAGCAGCAGCAGCAGCAGCAGCAGCGCTTTGGCCGTTGGTTTCTGGAGAATGAACCCCTGAGCCACTTGAGGGCGATGAATTTCCACGTCATCAGCTCACGACGTTGGCCGCCTTATCAACCGGCGAGAAGCTGTGAAACACATCGAGCCCAAATTCTGCGGGCGTTTCTCCTCGGATCGGACATCGCCTCGCCCTCGCCATGACGATCGTGAGCTCCCGGATGCGCCGAGCCCAGTCTGACGATGGCAGCGCAACCCAACATACCCATCCATCCCATGGTTACACACAATCTCAGCCTCCATCACGGCCCTCTCGGAGCCTCTCTCTCTATCTCAGGAGCTTACTCTACACCCACTTTCCGAAAGTGAGGCTCTCGTCAACACTTCAAAGGGCGGTGAAAGCTGATGGTGTTGGCTCGGAGCCTACGATATTCAGCCCCTCCCATCCTTCTCAGCGTCGTCATTCCTGAGTGGTCCTTCTCCTTGCCAACTTTCAACCGGTGAAGCCGACGATCAAGTTGTTGCACAGCCCGTTGCCTAACCAACACCCTCATGATTCTTCGCAGCCAATAAACAACATGCCGAGATATGCGCCTTTCAGACACCCACTGCACACTGAGAAGTATCGAAGAAGTACTCTCGTGTCGCCCATTTCTCGCAGCAGTTCAGTCTGCGAGTCTCACTTGCTCCGCCTGGAAGGGGGGTCATATGAGAGCGATGAATGCATGCCATTCGCGCTTCCTGCAGAGCGCATGCGTGTCATGACCCTCTTAGCCCGGATCGAGAGCGCGCTGAGCCTCAACCTCGGGGCGGTCAACGGGAGGATTAGGCACAAAGTGGAGGCTGATGGAGTGGGCTGCTGCGGGGGGCCGGGTTTAGCATCGTGGATTAAGAGACGGGATCGGAGATTACGTCGACGTGGTGATGTGGCTGTTGGTCGAGGAGAATCTTGGCGGAGATGCGCGCTTGTGGATGTTGGCTGCGCGGGTAAGAGGATCAATCAGAGTGAGTCTTGTTTCCAGTGGACATCACTGGTAGAAGATCCAAAGGACTCGATATAATACTTTGGCGAACTCGGCGTAAGAGTGCTGGAGCCAGCCTGGCCGTTTTTGTATCAGTTGCATGTTCAGCCTCGTTGGTTCTGGGCTATTGGACAACCTTATGTTCTCAGCATGGCCACCTCAGGGACGCATTCAGGTTACAAATACTCAAGACGATACTAATAGAAGATGGAAGCACTTGATCACGCCAGATGAGTCTTTGTCGGAGTCTTTATTTGACCATGTACGGAATTCAGGGCTCTTTGATACCAATGTTCTTGGCCAGTGGAAACTTGGAAATATGTGCTCTCAACTCATGATTCATTCCACCATCTATGTAGCCAGACTGCCTACAATCACCAACAAGTCCGTTTATATCATTACTCCGAAAAGCCCACGTTACGCTCCGTTTCGATACACCTGTGCACCCTGATTCCTGAAACCAATGGTATCCCTTCGTTGCAAGATCATCAAGGCCCGATTCAACGCCTGCTCACTGTATCCCTTACCATCGACCATCTCCTTGCGCAGCGTCGCCAGACTGGTGCTCCAGCCGATGGGGAGTCGCCGCTTCAGCTCTGCCTCAATGCGGTTGACTTCTTCGTTGAGCTCACGGCTGCCCTGGTTGCTACCCTGGTTGACTGCATCCATGGTGGAGCACAGGAACAGACGGATGGCTTCGTCTACGTGCACCTCGGTTGCGATAGTAGAGAGGGTGAGTTTGGCGAGGGACTCAGTGATACGGACGATGGCTTCGAGCTGACGGACCGTGATGGGGATGGAGGAGCGAGCGTTAGCTTCAATCTCGGCGGCATGGACCTGCCGTCGGATGGAAACGAAGTGAGATGAAAGTTTCTCGGCAGCCTCAGGACTAAGACGGGGAGCGCATCGACTACAACGTGTTAGTGGTTGAATATGTAAGGGGAAAAGGACGAATTGGGGACATACGTTCTGCAGTAGGTCAAGTACTTGCGCATCCGATCGATAGGGATTTCGGACTCGGTGACCTCTTCGGCACCTCGGCCGTCCATCTGGATGCTGAGAACGTGCTTCGCCATTTTCTCATCCTTCTCGCGGCTGTGGTCATCCTTGACGATAAAGATCATGTCGAAACGAGACAGAATGGTAGTCTGGAAGTCAATGTTCTCTCCAGGGGTTTTCATGTCATCATATCGACCAAAGATGGGGTTGGCGGCCGCCAAAACAGATGTTCTGGCGTTGAGGATGGTGGTGATACCCGCCTTGGCAATGGAGATAGTCTGCTGCTCCATGGCTTCGTGGATAGCCACTCTGTCTTCATCTCGCATCTTATCGAACTCGTCGATACAAACCACACCTCCATCAGCCAGGACCATGGCGCCGCCTTCGAGGTAAAACTCGCGGGTCGAGTGGTCTCGTTGGACTGAAGCCGTCAAACCAGCAGCAGATGAACCCTTTCCGGAAGTGTAGATGGAGATGGGGGCTGCTTTCTCCACAAACTTCAACAACTGAGACTTGGCGGTACCGGGGTCACCAAGTAGCAGAACGTTGATGTCACCTCTTAGCCTCATTCCATCCGGCAAAATCTTTTTGGAACCTCCTAATAGGAGACAGAGGATGGCCTTTTTGATGTCACGGTTTCCATAAATGGACGGTGCAATGCAATCTGCCATGATGTTGTAAAGGTCTGGTCGTCTGCTCAATTCCAGAAATTCCTGCTCTTCCTCTTCGGAAAAGGTGGCAGCGCCCTTGGCGGACTGGTCAAGGTCGGTTTGGATGCCAACCGCTCGGAGGTAAGGCGTGCGAATGGCTACGGCTCCACCATTCGACGAGTTCTTTGAGGCCTTGTTCTGGTAAATCGAGAAGATGCCCATAACAGTACATCTCGACCCAGGGACGACTCGGTTGGTTAGATGCCTGTCGGCGGAGATGAGGACATGTCTAGGCAACTCTCCCACGGGAACCTGGTCAGGGGCTTCCTGAAGCTTGATGATTTGCTGGTCGACGAACAGTGACTTCTCATGCATTACAAAGTATGGGTCCAGAGGACACTTCGGTGTTGGGTCGCTCGGGACTCGGGTGCGGCCGCATATTCGAGGCAAAGTAACACCTGTAAAGCCACCCAAGATCGGGATGGTCTGTGTGTGTTGGCAATTCCGACATTGGAGGTGAAGCTCTGTCGCCTTTGATGACATGACCGAGGCGCCAATCACGATGCCTGGTACCCGAACCAGTCGGGCGATAGTCATCGAGTCAAGGTTTCGGATAGATACGTCGTCGGCGTCCGAGTGAAGAAGGAGTTGGTGCTCGGGGATTTGGGCCTTTGGGTCGTGGGGGAAGACGATTCTGTGTGTGCACTTCTTCAAAGCGCCCTCAAACTATTCCGGGGTGTTAGTACGTGCGCCAAAGGATCGGGATATGCATGCTCTGCTCACCAGCGGGATGATCTCTGCGGGCTCGGACGCCAACTTGTGCGCCAGCTCCTCGTTGAAGTTGATCAAATCGTTGATGTTGACATCGCAGTAATACTTCTTCAGCAGCGCATTTTCTCGCAGCTGATCTCTGTGTAGGGGGTTAGCACGGCAGAGCTAGAGGCCTAGGGTCGAATGCGCAAACCTGTAGACGAAGTTGTTGTCGAGTCGGAAGTCGAGAATGAAGGTCTCGAGCTGGGTCTGCAGCTGCAGGCGGGTGTCGCCATTTTCGCTGAAACTCGGGTCAAAGACTTGGGCAGAGTAGACAGATTGGCGATCCATTGCGACGTAGGCGTGATGTATCTGAACTTGCTCTTTTGTCGTCTGCGTGCCCAAGGCTGGAACTGACGGGGGTGGTGATGCAGATACTGTGGAGATGTTGGAGGGGCTCGCAGTTGACCAGTTGACCGAGTAATTTAGTTAGGTCTTGTCGCGAACAAGGACGCGACCGCGTCAACGCGTAAATTGATCCGGTTAGTCAGCTAACCCCACTCCAAGGCGCATCAGCTCTCGTATCTTATCTTCACGTGTTTCCAGGGGTAAGCTGAGCTGTCGTGGCTCCAACGCATCCGGGCTAGGTACAATGCCATAATTGAGCTGCCTAATGATGACGATCTATGCGCTCTTGTCTTGATTTCTATTTAACATCTCCTAGATTTCACGTGTCGGTCGCCTGTGCCAGTTCTTGTCTTCCCAGCGATGATACCCTTGTAATTCGCGAACCCGGCCGTCAACACAGTTGTCGGCGTCTTGTCCTGCCTTCGCCAGGCCAGCATCAACCATGTTCACTCACAACGCCGCAAAATCCGTCGACAATCTATCAGCTCTGTCCCCCATAGGCCGCGGGGAGCTTCCCTTCCATAGGTCAGTGGTGGAAGAGTGCGCATAGGACTTACCGCTGACAATACCGAACGTAGCGGCGGTAGACATGGCTCCGTCCATCATCGACCGACCTCCCGACGCGGATCGACAGCGAGCTCGATCCATTCGGTAGGGGGCGTATTGGATAGCGCTCCCAGCAGTTGGGCTGCTTCTGTTTACGAGTCGAACCATAATGGTGCGTCTTCCAATTCCGGATTTGCAAATATGCGCCCAATATTAACCACCAAGCAGCCATCTCGACCCTCCTCCAACCTCCTATCGTCCGAACTGGCCTTCAACCTCACACCTCAGCGCCAACATCGAGCGCGCACAAACCCCCGACAGCAAAAGACATTCCCCCGGTTGCTCTGACGAATATTCCCCATGTCGATGTCGAAGAATTTAAGCCGTACCTGTCGCAGGTTGGCACCTTGTACGAACAGCTTCGAAGAATAAAGGAGAATGACGACGACGCCAACAGCACCCAGCGGTTAGCGAGGCAAGAGGAGCAGGTGGACACGAGTGGCGATGCGTTTCTAAGACCCGGACGCCCTACGCGCAGGAGCTCAACTGCGTCCCTCTCATCGTTAAACTCGAATGAAGGCTCGAGTCCCGTCCGGAGACCCAGCGCCAGCTTTGCTCGGAGGTCTATGCAAGGTCCACCCCCACTGTCGACGATTCCAACTGTTTATTTCGACGATGAATTCCATCTTGAGAACCCAAGGACTTTCGATGTTGTCAGCGAGCGATCGGAAGTCATCCGCCCGGCCAGTTCGGGGAGCGGAGAGAAGGGTGCAACCAATGGGAGCGCAGCTGCGCCCAGGAAAGCTCTCGCCACGAACGCAATTTTGCAGGAGAAGTTGTCTTGGTACATGGACACAATTGAGGTCCATCTTATCAATTCAATCTCAACTGCATCTACCACCTTCTTTACGGCCCTTGGGTCTCTCAAGGAGCTACACTCGGAAGCCGCCGAATCTGTCCAGAGGATCAAAGGCTTGAGGAAAGAGCTCGAAGCTCTTGATGAGGAGATTGCGACGAAGGGTCTTGAAATCGTCCATAAGAGACGACGACTAGAGAACCTCAAGCAGCTCAACGATGCTGTCCTGCAACTAAGGCAAATTGCTGACGGTGTCATGGGATGCGAGGCACTTGTTGACCAAGGCGAGGTGGACAAGGCTCTCTCGAGCATTGACTCATTGGAGAAACTAATTGCTGGCGAACGGGATCCAGCCGCTGACTATGAGTCTGAGATGCAGTTGCGAGATCTCAGGTCAGCCTCCGCCTTGCAGGGCGTCAATGCCGACCTCGCCACGCTGAGATCCCGCGTTGGAAAGGCATACGAATCTAATTTCCAAAATATTCTGATGCGCGATCTTCGAAACCACTCTGATTCGGCGTCCACACCAGAGATTCTACTCCGCTGGACCAACGCTGCAACCAGGGCAAAGGGTGGTCATGCCAGGTCACCATCAGTCTTCCCAGCTTACTTAGCGGGTACCGATGAGCTTAAAGCACAGCTTTTCCCTTGTATGGTTGGATTGCACCGCGCCAAGCACATTGCGGCAGCGACCATTGCATACAGGGAATCTGTTCTCCGAGAGATTCGGAATCTGATCCGACGACCGCTCCCGAGCTCCACTGACGACGACAATGAATCAATGATGTCAGTCTCAACGGCGAGCGGGGGCCGGGGTCTATCAAACCAAGAAAAGTCGTCTATTCTCGCGCGAAACTTGCGAGCCCTGGATCCCGAGGATGGCGAGGAGTTACTCATCAAAATATATGTCGGAGTCACAGAGACCCTGAGGCGGTTGACAACCCAAGTCAAGGTGCTTCTAGAAGTTACGTGTTCCCTGACGGATTCGCCACAAGGGGATGGGCTCAGGTCCCCCCCAGTGCGATCACCCATATCAAGCCCGAGGCCTGATCGGTACCCAGGCAATCCCATGAATTCAACATTCGAAGCCCAGGAGGAACTTCACAAGAATCTTGACGTTGCCAACCTCCTCGGCCAGGCCGTTGATGTCGCAATTGAGAAGATTGTCAAAGTGTTGAAGGTCCGAGCAGAGCAAACAGCCCATCTTCCTCTGGATCTTTTCCTGCGATATTTCACACTCAACTTATACTTTACCAATGAGTGCGAGTCGATATCTGGCAGGAGTGGCACGCCCTTGAAGACCGTGGTTAATGGCCACATCAAGGATTTTGTGCAGAGAAATCGCGATGTTGAGATGCAGAAGCTTGCACAAGGCATGGAATCTGACCAGTGGAATGCCAAAGATTTCAGTGACGACAACGCAGAGATCCTTGACATTCTACTAGCCAGCAGCACGCGGGATGCCGCCAAGTGGACAGAAAGCAACAAGATATACATGCCTTATTCCGACACAGAGAAGACAGAGGGAGAGACAGCTGCCATCGAAAGCAATGGAACTAGTAAGGAAAAGACGCGAACCGCAACTATTGACTCGGAGACGTTCATGCTCCCCAAATCAGCAATTCTTTGCCTCGAGGGAATTGCTAAATTCTCACATCTCATTACCGGGATTCCGTCGATGACGCTTGACATCGCGACTTCCTTAATAGCATATCTGCAGCTCTTCAATTCTAGGTGCACACAGCTCATTCTGGGCGCGGGCGCAACTCGCTCGGCTGGCTTGAAGAACATCACGACAAAACACTTGGCCCTGGCGTCCCAGGCACTCTCGTTCATCGCGACTCTCATTCCTCACATTCGCGAGTTTGTGCGACGTCATGCTGGCTCCGGAGCAAATGTTTCCAACCTCATGGGTGAGTTTGACAAGATCAGGCGACTCCTCCAGGAGCATCAAGACAGCATCTACCAGAAGCTTGTCGATATTATGAGCGGCCGAGCCACCATTCACTGCAGGAATATGAAAGCCATCGACTGGGACGCGGACGGTGCAATCAGTACTCACCCGTACATGGAGACTCTGGCGAAGGAGACAAGCACACTACACAGGGTTCTCACGAAACACTTGCCGGAGACTTCTATCCAAATGATCATGCTTCCTGTCTTCTCCAGCTACAAAGAGCAGCTTGGTTCAACCCTGGAAGACGCCGAACTCAAGACAGAGGCGGGTAGACAAAGGCAAGACTACCCAGTCATTGACAGGCGGTCAAACCCGTTGCTAACATCTTACTAGCATGCTCAACGACATCGACTTCTTCGCAGCTAAGCTTGGGAAGCTCGACGGGTTCGGTGACACTGGAGAGTTCCTAGAAAGGATAATCAAGGCTAAGAAGGTCGAGGTGGAAGCACCTCCTGCAAACTCAAGCGCTCCTGAGCCCCAAGAAGATAAGCCGGAAGAGGAGGCAGAAAAGAAGTCAGAGGAACCCGCCAAGGATGACGAAAAGAAGTAGTCTTCAGCAGCAACCCAGTTCCAGAGATCAACGTGGCAGTCGAGGTGGTGGTATGGCCCGGGCCACAAGGCCGTGTTACGATAGTTATGTGAAAACACCATATTCTTGTACGTAGAATGCTATTCACATCCCATTGGTTAGCTACGCTACACCGCATCCCGCACTGAGGCCATGTGCCGATCGCGACAAGCCCACCAGCAGCAATCCTTGGTGGCCAACTTACCTTGTCACTTGACACCTTCTAGAGTCGTACGGCTACGGGATCATATTTCGCCTTGGCGAGAACCACAGCGCTGGGTCCTGAATACTCCGACAGGGGCGTCCCGTTGGTGCCACGCCACGCCAGCCAGAATAATTACTGCCGCCGAGTCTCAGGACATGTCACGCGCTGTGAGACGTCTCACCGCCGCCGTCCCAGCGGCTGAGCGACGCCAAGGACTCTGCGGCACAGCGAGATTTCGTCCCCGACTGTTGCAGACTGCCCGACCATGGATCTAGACTCTTCAGGGCGATAGGCGGCCGCGGGGGAAATGAGCAGCGTTGCTTGGCGATGAGACGAGCCACGATGGCCTGCACAATTTGCGCCAAGAGATTGCACCCCAGGCACAACGATCGGCACGATGTCGAAATAAGGATCGCGTGCGAGTGACAGTGGGAACAATGGCAATGGGGCCTTTGTTGGTTACACCGTCCCGGGGATCATGCATTTTACGACTCGGCGCTGGTGACACCGCAAGGGGTGGTGGAGATGGACGATCCGCGATCGGCGACAACAAACAAGCCAGGAATAGCAACAATGAGGGGAACCTGAACTTTGTGCGACGAGTTCTCAATAGGATAACTTACATTTTATGCGAGGGGGGGATGAGATGTGCAACCCTCTGTCGTCACTCGGTCAGTATGGTGCAGCTGCATGTCTGACGTGCCCGACGTGCTGAGCAAACCTTCCAGGGACAGGGCAGGTCGCACGACGCGAATAATGGTGAGGCAAGCGGGCGGGGAAACCAACAGAACAAAGCGTCGCTCCGGCCAACAGATCGTCATGATCTCGAACTCTAGGAAGATCGACATTGTGCAGTCACATGAAAAGCATGTCAAAGAGAGTTCAAAGTGTAGATCCAAGTCTATGTTCATTCATCCCAAAAAGTATCTTTTCAAGGGGTTCACAGACCCCAAAGTATATACAAAGAATCTATCAAAGTTCAAATGGTGTTTCAATGAAAGTGAGAATTTTCCAAAAAGTAAGGAGTGCCAGACCCAACCCCCCTTGCTGATCTGTGATCAAAGAGGCATCAAGCCTGCGACAAGTTGGGTTGGTGAAGAAGGCGAGACAGCGAGTGCAGCTCGCATCAATCCCCAAAGGGTTCTGTGTTGGAGTTTTTTGTTTTGTTCCATCCATAAGCGCCGCCAGCCGCCCAAAGTCTATAACCCGGGTATCTTGTAATGGGTATGTGAAGGGTATGTCAAGTGTCAAGGGTAATGTGAATGTGCTCGTGTCATCGTGAAGCGACGCTCTGCGTCAAAAGAGGAGGCAAGGTGGACATAAGGCGTCCAGGCAAAGCGACGAAGACGCTTAGTAGACGGAGCCGGCACCCAGAGTGCTGATGAGGTCGACCTCCTCAGTAACCTTGGTCTGGACGTCGTCAGGGAGGTAGTAGGCGTTGTTGCAGGGGAAGACGTCGCAGCCAGACATGGGCTCACGGGTCTTGACGGGCCACATCTGCTTGACGTTGTCGTGGTCGGCAGGGTTGACAATGGCGGAGACATCGAAGTAGGTCAGGCCGCCCCAGCCACCGAAGGTGACCTCGCCGAGCATGCCAGGGACGCTCTCGGCACCCTCCTGAATGGCGTAGTAGTTGCCAATGTAGCCATCGGGGAAGGTGACAGTGGTGTTCTTCGTGCTGTCGACAGTGACGGAGTCGATCTCAGCGTGGCCAGCGCTAGGGGTGAAGACGATGGTGCGAGTGACATCGTCAAGGGTCCAGAAAGTGACAGTGTTGGCGGCAACAGTGGTGGCGGCGGCAGCCATGGCCAGGAGAGCGGTAGCGAACTGCATTTTGAAGTTGGTTGGTTTTGTGAGGTTGGTTGTTTGTTTGGTTGGTTTGTCGTCAAGACAAGTAGATGATTTCAACGGTTGATAAAGGACTGAACCAAGACGTTTAGATCAAGATGCTCCGGTGAGATCGAGGACTAGCTCGCTGCTTCAGGGGAGATGTTTGCAGGGAAAGTGATGAGACTCGGCTTCCAAAGGAATGAGAAGCGTGGAGTATAGAATGAATGATAGTCCGAAGACAGAAGTGTGAAACAAATGACAGTTGTGGGTAACGAGAACGAACACCAGAAGGAGGTACGGGTAGGGAGGCCCGTTTTATAAGCACATCTGAGCCCGGACATCTGGGAACGCGTCCCATCTCGCTCAGGGCCAGTCTCTCGCCAGATCAGATTTTGTCAAGCAAACGTTAGCGCCTCAGTGGAGCAACAGGACAAGGTCCAGCGAGGCGATGCTGGCGAGACGGGGTCGGTGCCCGAGCTGGAGGACACCCGAGTTGCCGGCGCCACCATTGGACGCCCCGGCGCCTCCGGTGGGCCACCAACACAGTGAGTTGCGAGTTGCGGCACAGGGTTGGCAGAAGTCACTTACGCCCGAGACTCCTCTCATCTGCGTGGGGAGTTGTCCCGTCGTCTAGCGCCCTGGTGGTGTCGTGGTGGTGCGTGGTACGTGGTGTGGTGCGCTCCCGTCCAACTGCCACGCGCCGCCCTGACATGACCACCCACCCGCCAGGAACCTGAAGCCCTTTGTTTCAGGGAGTGTCTTTTTTTGGGTCTCACAATAGCCCGCTGCTGATGAAAGCGTTTCCCCCTATTATTTGCCGCCTGGAATACGACCTTTGTTTTCAGAAACACTTCCTCCACCGTTGGCCCTCCACGAGGAGTGAACCATGCGGCAGGATTGTTTCCCACCTGGCCCATCTACCAGATCGAAGAGGATGCGGCAAGGAGCCGTGGGATTCGGGGAGTGGGGGCATCGATCCGGCGCCTTGGGTACATGAGCGCGTACCGTATGAATTCCACGAGAGAGGAGACAACAACAGTCCCTGGCCAAGCAGCCAGGCACATGCCGGACAACAACCGCTGTCAGCCCGGGACTAAGGCAAGGGGCAAGGGCAAGGGCATGGCAGAGCTTGCGAAGTGGAGCAATGCCGCGAGGGGTTGAGCCAAAAACCGCTCTTTTTTTCTTCTAGCTGCATCCCTCATCAGGCGCGAGGTTGGCTGCGGCCCATCATTGGTCCAGCGATTGCGACCAGTGCCTGGTACCTGCGCGAAGCCAGGTGGACGGCTCTCACAGGCTTGTTTCGAAAGCCTCCGGGGTGTGTGTGGATGCGCACATGGAGGCCAAGCCAAGGGGAAAATGTCCGTCAGCACTCGCACAAGGCCGATTGAATAAGACCTTTGTACACTTACAGCAAGGTCGCCTGCAAGCACTTCACAACGCACGTACTAGTACACACCGCTTACCACCAGGGCCGGCTCAGAGACGAGTGTGGCCACTGACGAGGGTCGGAACCTGGCGCCGGGTCGCTGAGGCCTCAACACGTGGAGCCGCGAATTCCCAGTGAATTCCCAGTGAGCACCTGAATCATTCTGTGCTGGCCTGGCATCTGGTTTCGTCTGGCACAGAACGCCTCATGGTGGCCCGACGGGCACTAGACAGATTGGGCATGTCATGGCGCCGCTGTTTGAACAAAGGCCTTGTCTGGCAAGCCATTTTCTTCGCGGTGAGTCGGTCAGACGTGGACTAGATCCGGCATGTCTAGAGGGGCAACAACGGTTTCGTTGGGGCCATTGCCAGTCCGTGATTCATTCTGCGATGTCGGGCCAGCAGTTGCGAGTCGGAAGCCACCGCACCACACCCGCCTCCCCGCGGCCGATGCTGGGCAAGATTGTGCGAGAATAAGCAACGAGATGATGGCGAGATGGCGAGATGGCTGGTTTCCAAGTCAGCCGTCCAAGCGTTCCGGTTGCATTACCTCGTTCCTTGTTCCTGGATGATCATCCCCCCGCCGAACGCCATGTCTTCTCGTGTAGGGGTCCCATGCAAATGGATCTCGGCGAGTCGGCGGGTGCTACGGGAGCGCAACCGCATCGCCAATCAGCGGCCAAATACGAATGTTTGTGAAAGCTCTCCTTGCATACCGAAGGGCTATTATGGACCTGGACCATAGCGCTGAGCATGCCAGAGGCGACACAACCAGAAGACGGAAAAGGGGTGGAGCCGCTGCTGAAAACTTTGATGGCGTCGAATGTGACGGAATCTTGCATTATCCAAGACGAGTCTAATGACGGGAGGCGCAATGCTCGCCAGGCACAAAATAGATGCCGGCCCTAGTTGCCTGAGGCCGGAACCGCGCTTGAGCCCTGCGGACCCGCTCCGGTTGATTCGGTAAAGTCGGTTGGTCAGCTTCTAGCCCGCTTCCTCCATAACGGAGTGGAACGCTCTCAGCTCGCTCCTCACTTACCTGAGAAACGGCGTCTTTTTCCAGCCATTCTAGCCACTCTAGCCCTTCTAGTACAGTTCAGAACTGTCGGCGGCTGCGTGGCATTAGCAACCAGCCCAGCCTTTCCAGGAAAGTTCTCCGTCCGCTCGACTCATTGTGCAACCGATGCAGACTTGTGCAGTCATGTGCAGCTTCCCCCGATTGGTCCGCTGTGAGTTTGTGCACGCTGCGCTCTGACGTTCTCCGTTCCCATTCCGGTCCAGGCGGCAGACAACAGGGGGATAAACTTGGTGGTGCACGCAACCGCACTACGGATGGTACCTTGCGTCCGACACGTCGAGCCGCACCTCAGGAACGCTCCAGGAACGCTCCGCTAGGTCTTGGAGATGTCCCCCAACAAGCTCTCGCCTGCAGTCTCCCACGTACCGAGCCCTCTTGGAGCCCTCTCAGAGCCCTCCCACAACTCAACCGAATCCTTCGGCATTGAACCGACTCCTGGGCCGAGGGAAAGGTCTCGTTGCGAGTCATCAAGTGATTGCGAAATCCATCCCACCTCCGATGAACCATCCAGCAGTGCTCCCACCCCCAACGCATGCTCGCCCGTGCCCTCTTACCATTTCTTTTTCCCCTCCTCTGGCGCCCTCAGCTTGTCGGAGCTATGACACGCCACCGAGCCTTGAATTTCCTCTCACTTTCTCAATTATTGCAGATCTGCCCAGTCATCTGCTGTAACCCTGTCATAGTGATGAAAATTTACATTACTTGTACCAACCGATGATGGCATGGACTCCGATCGAGATGGACCAGAATTGTGTGGCAACTGGCAAGAGACAACGAGCAAGTCCCACAATTGAGGCACTTGTTCTAGTCGCTTCAGTCCTTTCTCTTGTGACCATCTCCAGTAGTTCGTCTCTTGGTCTTTTAGGCCCACTGACATGTCGCAGGGTGAAAATTCAGCAATGCCACCCTCCAGCAGCCCGGTAAGTGCCTCTCTCGGTGATACATGTGACTGAAGATACTTCTCCAGTCCCGTCACCGAGGCCGTGGGCTCCACCCCAAGTCGACCCAAGGTTGCCTACATGCCCCCGGCTGCTGAACCCATGTGTCAGGCCTCGTAGGGTGCCAAGTCACATAGCCTTACCAGGTAGACAAAGTTCACACCCAGACTATGTGTGGAAAAGTCCCTCAACTAGAGAGGACTGGTTGGGTTTGTCATTTGCTAACCACAAGGAGTATGTTTGAATCGACAGCCGGCCTTCGGAAGTGTAACCCGGGTTGTCCATTTGGGAGCGGTCCGATTCAGATTGCCACGGCATCTCAATTCACACGTTTGAACATGTTGATCCGGGGCGGGAACGATAGGGTATCGGGACTGCCCCCAAGACGACAATCAGGCCTCGGCGAATGTCGCGTGGCGGGACGATGGGGGCTCTCGTCAGGAACTGCCAACGTAGTCCACTTCTTGTCCCTTGTTGAGGTTGGGCCGGGACCGGACATGTGTTTGAACCGTCCAGGAAGAAGCGCCAATAAGCAAGCCCTCATAGGACGAGTTATCATTCGAGTCCTCGTTACTCAGTGCGTTGGCGAGTCACGTCCTATCTCCTCGTGCATCTCCTCGGCATCTCCGGTGAAGGGAAGAAGAAGCCGTTTCTCTCTACCTGTCATCACCGTCACTTGACAGCGGACTCGAATGTTCAAAGCACCTGCTTCTGCGTGGTAAGCGCGCTTCTCGCATGCCGGCTGAAATGACTGGTTTTGCGAAACCTGATGGCTCCTCTGGATGGCCTTCGTCTCATGCGGAATCGTTCACAGTTCACCGCGCATTAAACTAGTCGAACGAGTGGTTTATAATGCCTGCCACAGACCGTGATGAGATAGAGCAATGGATCGTCTTGTGTTGTATCTGAAGTCAACATGAGAGTAGAGAGGAGGAAGGATGCGTTTGGGGGATCAGCCCGATCAACGACTCCTCATGACCATAGTCATGTGACGTGACCGCACTCCAATCCCCACATCTGTTCTTCTGATCTTCAGGAAACGTGAGTTTTGAGCGAGAACCGATTAAACAAGCAATTACCCAAGGGTACGAGAGGTTCATTATTTTCTTCTTATACCTCACATGCGGGTGTTCCTGGGGTGATCGGGTCCATCTTGTCAAGGTACCTACCTAGGTACCTCAAGGATCGTGAGCAGATGGGTGTCACGTGATGCATAACATCGCTTTAAACTCGCCCATCATCAAGCGCTGGTCTTTGTTGAAAAAGAGCCCTTATTTACCTTAGTTAATTTGGCCCGTCTTCGTTATATTTATAACGTTAAATCCCTGGGTTCCTATCCCTTCATCTTGCTCCACGACAAATTTCTCAGCTTCTCATCTTCTATATAGCTCCAGGGTAGCCAGCTCTGCCCTCACCACGAATGTCCCTTTTTCGCCTTTGTCACCGGCCAACAAAGAGCTTAAAAAGTTACGTAATTAATAGAACAATGAATCTTTTGGGGGGGAAGAGGGACTATGTAGTTACAAGCATGTGTTGTGTCGAACATGTACCCTCAAGCTTGAGCTTTCCTGAATGTGCACCGTATGGGAAGTAGTGCTCATTCTACTTGGCATAAAACATCTTAACCGTGTTTACTAAAGCTTCAATACACCCCTGAACAACGGTAAATCAGCCAATTGTAATAATAGTCTTGGGAAGCTCCGAGATAATAACCTTCGCATTGCCAAACTTACTAGCAAAATGAGAGTGCACATTTCAACCAGCGCAACTAGTAATATGCCTTCCGTTCTGAATGTGACACCGTAATGAGGAAATACAATGTTTGCATTTTCTGTGTTTTTATTGTATCTGTGGAAACTATAGAGACGGAGGTTTGAGGGCTCGGTGCAAAGATAAATCCTGTGTGAGTTGTATGGAGTCGAGAGATTGAAAACCCAACAAACCACCTAAAGTCAAATTGATAGAGACTGGTGTGGCGATGTGTCTGCAATGGCAGAGAAGGCAGAGACTGGAGGCAATAGAAACGAATGAATAGTCAAGACGTCATGGATACCATCACCGGCATCGCCTGATCAAATAGTTTCCAAAGTGATCCCACACCGATAGACGAATGACACTCTGAATTGAATATGCTGACGAATGTGTCCGCTAGTGATAGTGGACGGTCTATATCCATATTTGAAATGCTCCCCTGTGGGACTCTGAGATTTACTAACTCGGTTGAGCCAATAGCCTCAAAGGCAGGCGGAACTTCATGTTGAGGGCGGTCCGCTGTGGACTCCTTTTGGCAAAGGTAAAGACTCCCACGTCCCCTAAATCCCCAAAGATGAAAAAGCCCCCAATATAATTCGCGACAGCCCTATTTTCCGAGGTACTGTATCCCCCAGTACTGGGTGTGGTGCGGTGGTACCAAGTGTGTACCCATGCTGTGCGCAGCCACTGTATGGTTTGGATATATCTCATGATATCGAGTAAAGCAAAAGCTAAAATAAAGAACTCAAAAAACGGAATGTGAAAATAGCAGCTGCGGAAGGGTAAATTTAATTTACAGTACTGTTATGGAATCACGAACTGGGCAGAATCACCGGGAGAGAATGTGCTATCAGAAATCTGCGCAATAAAGTATCTTGACTAGAAATTTAAACCCAAAACATAACAAGAGTGCTGAGAAATATGTACTATGAATAATGCCTGACGCGGACTTGAGTCTAAAATCCCAATAGGTCCGCCGCCATTGCAACAATCCTGGAGAGAAGCGAATAGGGAAGGTTGATCTGGTATCCTGTGACATCCTATAACTCGTGTGACTTGTTAAAACCCCACCGTAAATCAGAGACTGCAGGTTTCCAAAAAGAGGCAAGCAGCTATGAAAACAGGAGATCATCAATCATTCCATGGCTTAAATAAACTTGCCGCTTCCGTTGCAGCGAGTCAGGGGGAACTGCTTCTTGGCGCACATGGCTATGATTTCATTAGCAATCCACATTGATTAAACCGAGGCCGTGAAACTTACAGATAGCTCCAGAAACCCACTTGACACCGGCGTACGAGCCCTCCTGGTAGGAATCAGCCATCCATGTGCCAATCTGCTTCTGGCTACCGATGCAACCTCGCATGTTGCGGCCGTAGCGGCGGGTCTTGAAGGGCCGGGTGATCATGACACCGGACCAGCCCTTGGGGACAGTTCCCTTGATGTTGATGACGGTCTGCGTGGTCCAGGTGCGGGTGTAGCTAACACCAAACGAGGCACCGAGTCTGTCCTTGATGAACTTGAGCTCGCCTTCACCGCTCACGGTGACACTGTTGGAAACGGAGTATCCAGAGCTGACATAGACGTCCATGGCGCCGACACTAGCAATGACGACGGGGCTCATCTTCCAAGCAAGCAGACGTTAAAAATTGTGTGCCATCCAGGGAGAGGTAAAAAGCCAGGGGCACTTACCTGTACGTCCCAATCCACAAAGTTTTCGGTTTTGTCGGTGATAAGGGCAGTGGTATAGGAGCAGTCAGCACGGGCGTCCAACACCTTGTCATCAGTGCTGTTCAAGAAGGCCTCATCGATCTCAGGGGCCTCGAGGTCGAATCCGTGCTGGCCGATCAACTGCTCATAAACGGACTCATGGACAATCTCCACTGTGATTTCCTGAATGTCAGTGAATGTGCTTCCAAGATATCTGGGCTCCATGTAATTCAAAGAGAGAGGGAGCAAATGTGGAGGTCAAAATGGGAAGAGTGCTTACTGCGACCATCCTCGCCGTAGAGGATAACCTCATCATGCTTGAGGACATGATCAGGAGTCCACTTGGTGCTGTTCAACTCGGGAGTGTTGAGCTCGATAGCGGTAGGAGCTGCGCTGGCGGCGCTGGCGAGAACCAGGCCAACGAGGGCGGCGGAAAAGAACATATTGATTGAGTGAAGAGTAGAGGGAATGTAGTATATTGAATGAGTTGTCTGATTGAGCTGATGAGAGGCAGGCAATAATTACACAGAGGAAACTCGAAGGCTTTATACATAATGTACAAACATGTTGAAATCACGAAGTCATGGACTCACGATCCAGTATCACGCAGCGTGTAGTTGCTCACTTTCCATTTTGGGTAATTGTTCGTTACGCGATGCCTATCACGTAGAAAGCAGGTGTATTTTTGAGCATGGCCAAAGCCGACGCTTCTGATTCGCCCGCTCCAACTTCGTTTCCCGATACGAGACATACGAGACAGGATCCAACATCCCGCTCTCAATAATCCTCCCCTGCCGGGTATCCATGTTAGCCTTAAAGTTAAACAATCCATTGACTTGACTCGATTGAGATGGGACGCGGGCCTCCCACAGCCATCACAATGTTTCACGAACCATTCGTCTGTCGATTTCGAATAAGCTTCCGTAAGGTCACATCCTAGGCCCTTCCAGAACAGTTCCAACTGACCGCATGATCACAGCCGTGCCCGACTTCAGTGTAGTTAGGTTTCATGGCCAGTGGAATGGGGAAGTTATGTCAGACCAGCATGCAAAAGAACACGAACAAATCACATTGCAGTGGAATGACTTGGCCTATTCAAGCAGGTGAGATGGTGATGGTGGTGAGTTAGTTGCCTGCCGAGCACCCGTGCTATCTCGAGAGCATCGTTTTTCATGAAATGATCATGAATCAAGCTGATCGAGGGGCTGGTGTGGAACAAGGATACGAAGATACGGTCCATGAAAGTAATCCGGCGAAGGCGAGGGACTAGTGCCTATTGATTCCCAAGTTGTTATATATCATGTTGTATCTCAACAGTTTTGATTAAACCAGACACATTCATCTTCCTCAAAATATCTCTTACAATACCAATTCTTCCAACTTTGCAACAAGTCAACATGCAGTTCACCATCGCAGCTTTTGCTCTCCTGTTCGCCGCCGAGGGGTATGTACTTCACACATAGCTTCGAGGATATGTGGTGAAAGCAGTCAGCTAACATTCATCGCTTGCAAGTGCCCTCGCCGACCTGCATAATGCTGCTGCCTGCGTTACCAACAGGAAGAGCTCTCCTGTCGGCGGTACGGGTTGGTCCGTCAGCTACACCTGGGCGAAGAGCTACGAGATCTTGCCCGACGCCACCAAGTGTGCCTGCAACCTGTACCGACAGCGCAACACTGGCAACAAGCAGTGGGACAAGTGCCCTGATTGCACCTTTGTATGTGCCCATGATTATTCTCGTCCATGAAACTCTGGACTAATTACTATTACAGGACGGAACGATCTGCAACAGCAAAGGCTGGCACATTGGCGGTGACGAGGTAAGATGCCTTTACATGTTACCGAGTGTGGAGTTGATTACTGACCGATCCGGTTTAGATGACCTACTACTGCGAGAAGAAGTGTGGTGCCCAGGGCGCCGAGGCTAACTGATGGGAGGTTAGAGGATCCAGCTAGATCTAGATGGGAGAGTTCTCTGAGGGGCTTTTTTTGCTAGGGTGCATTGTTTGTCGTGTGCGTTGTTAAATTTCTATCCTCAAATTCCTGTATATAGTCTGATTTGAGAGCCTCGGCATCGTAAGAGCCAATTATATACGAAGCTATTCATTCTTGTGAAATCATATTCTGTTTGCAACAATCGGGACGTGTAGAATCATAAATTACGCTTGCATAACCGTCATATGTCAGACTTCGACCATATCATGCCGGAGATATACTTCATGACGCCCAATTTTGTTATTTTATAGTTTCTTTTTTTCGCGGTAGCTACGTGATTTTGCCTATTGTACCTTTCGACCATGGTAACTACTCGAGCCAAGTCACGCAAGTAGTGGGCCCTATGCATACAAAAAGCGACCAATAAAGTCAATTGCTTGTGACCGTTTTACGGTTGACGGTGGAATGTGGAGACAGTACGGAGGCGCGTGAGTTGACTCGGTTTGATATAGGCAAGGGGTTCCTTATTAGCTATGAAACTGCAAATAGTAAAAGAGATTGCGATCTAGCGGGGAGTGAAAATGGCCATCGAATATAAACAATGTTACTGCATGCGGTAGATTAGGGAACATCCGTTGGGCGATCTGGTTGATAATGGCTGTATGGGCTAACTATCATCCGTCATGGAAGGAGTGTGAGCAGACATGTCGCAAAACCGGCGCAATTGCCAAGCCCTCGATTCCGGGAAGCCATTGCCGAGATCTGTTGATAGATATGTTCATCATGCCTAAGCGAGATGTCTCTGGCGACCTCAGACCCTCGGTTGGCTACCGAGTGCGCGAAGCTACATTCCAACGGGTCGTCGGGTCTGTCGATTAACACCTTTCTCTGGTATCTGGTCTGGCGAATTTCCACATCGGGTTGGTGAATCTCCTGATTGCATGGCATGGAACCAGGGTTGAGACACTTCCCATGGCGCTAAACCGATAGCCTTATACGAACTTAATTAACATGGTCAAGTTACTTACGCTTTTTGACAAGTGAAGATCCCCTGTAAGTAGATCCTGACAATTAAGGTAGGGATCCTCTTACACTTGGACGTGCGCTGCATTTTGACGTGCCACACCCATGTGTTAGACCCTGACAATCAACCCCGGGATACTAATCCTACGTATTGCCCTCGTGCGTGGGATGCAAGACGCCGATTGGCTGCAGTACCGGTCAAATGACATCAACCCGTCTGATACCAAAAGCGTCCTTACCAGGTCCGGCCTTCTGAGACACGTCTCTTGCTTGCACTGCGGCCTTTGCTCTTTTCTTCCGCTACCGGCCAAACACCGAAAAGCTCCCGGGCCTAGCTGCGTGCAGACTCTGGTCCTCGCTGATTTCGGCCGTTTTGGTGGAGCTATGCTGCCTCGCAAGGCGAGCGTTGGGAATGGGGGCATGTCAGAGTCCAGCTTTTTGCTGCATCCGGGAGCAAAACACTGCATTGCGCGATTTCGTCATGGCAAAGGGTATTCTTAGATGGAAATCCGGTGCGTTCATGTACACCAGCAGCTCGACTACAAAATCTGTGAATACCTTGCTCTCGAGTAGTTCTCATCAGCCTTCTTATCCATCTTCCATCGCTTCCATTCAGCTTCAACACTACCATTTTTTTGCCTACCAACCGTCGCCGTAAACACCACATCCCCCACCCTTCCTCAGACAAAATGAGATTAATTCAGGTTTTGGCTTCCGCCGCCGTCTTCTTGACTGCCCCCGTTCAGGGCTACTACCCCACCCCTGCCGGCAGCATACACACCGAGGTTGTCACAGGGGTCGCCACACTGACCAAGACCGTCACCGACGACTATGTCTACTGGTGTCCGGTAAGTCGACTTGAAGCTCGGTGCTCTTGGATACCTGCTAACTGAACTGTCTCTGTAGGAGCCCACTGCCTTTATTCACAGGAATGCCACTTACACTGCTACCGGGTCCATGTGGGTGACCATCACCAGTGAGTCAAGGGCCATGAACTAAACTTGATGATGCACCACTGACTCGTTCTAAGACTGCCCTTGCACTGTCACTTACACCGAACCTGCCTACACCGCCTCGACATACTCTCCCGATTATGTGACTATCACCACCGGGGGAACGGTCATCACCTTGACTAACCCTCCTACCAACGCTCCTATCCCCCCGACTACCACCATCGGCCACACCGTCCCTATCCGGCCGACTATTACCAAGCCTGTCGCGTCAGCCGCTACTCAGCCCTCTGCCGTTCCCACTGTGGGTGCTGCAAACAAGGTCGGCGCTGGCTTTGTCGCTCTGGCCATCGCTGGAGTTGCTGTTCTGATCATGTAGTGGTCGCACCTCGGACTTGGGTACCTCACGCACTTCCAAAAATGGAGCAGCAGAGGGTTCTTATAGGAATACTCTCACTGCCGTCCTTGTGGCTTAACCAGTCCCCCTTTTTTTTTTGGAGAGTTTCGAGAGTGTACGGAGTTAGGGGAAGACTAGGTGGAAGAAAAGCTCACCACAAAACGGCGAGCTGTACCACCCTTTAACACGGGGCTTTGCGGATTTGCCCCATTCGCTGGGAACTGTATAGAAAACAGTGCATTAATAATAACCGCCCAGATAATACATAATATTCGTTATAATCTACCGCATGCGCATGGGCGTCCGACGTCGATCTTCAACATTGGTCTAGAAGCTCCTCTTTTTTGCCCTTGCGCCTCTCCTTGGATTCCCCAGCACCCACGCCTGGCATCTATATTGCGCTCCCCTTGTGCGAGGTATAAACTTAATATCAGCCCGGCACCGCCCGGTTCAAGGCTTCCTTGCTCCCGTCGGGTTGTACCCTTGATTGCGGCATTTGGCAGACTTTAAAGGCCTCACAATGAAGGGTCTCGGAGGCTGGCCACGAAAGTTGGTCGCTATCGACATGTTGATTCCGGATCGGCAAGGTTTGTTTGGAGAGCTCCAGTGAAGGAATAAAGACTGCCCTCCAGCCTCATACCAGCCCTGCGATCCGTTCCCAATCAGTCCATGAGCTCCTCCGTCTCTTCATCCACGCTAGTTCCTCGGCGTGGGCCACCATGCCTGCCACCAAGCCCCAAAGTTCATAAACTTCGTAATATTCATTCAACAGGCCAGTCACTTCGTACATCCCTGGCCTTCATATGCGTCTCGCCCGCGTCCGCTAGCTCTGCGGGTCAAGCATCCCAGAAGCCTCCATCCGTGACCTCACCTCTCGTACAAGCGCCTTCGCCTCCTCCACTTCGACCCCGTCCTGACAGAGCTCTGCGGCAAGACGATTGGCTGTGGAGTAGTCCGAGGTGCGCATGGCAAACTTGGCGAGCCACATCCGGGCCTTGCTAGTGGCTGCTGTGACACCCGTGCCTTCGTTGCCTGTTTTCTCTTCGCCATCGGCGCCGTTGTCTGATCCAGGAGGGGAGTCGTTGTGGATAGCTATGGACTCGGCCAAGTCAACCTCAGCAGCTGCACCGCCGTCCTCCTGGGCCACACAGAGTTCCATATATGACTTGGCCTCCTCCTCCTCACCCAGCTGGTCGTACATAGCGGCAATCTGCAAGAGAATTTCCGGGTCCATGTGTCCTGTCACGTTTCGTCCACCAAGAAGGTCCCCGCCACTTCCGAAGCTGCTTCCCACGTCGTAGTATGCATCGGCCAAGAGCGCTCGCTTCAGAGCCTTTATGCCGTCGCGTTCTCTGCCCATCTTCTGTAGGCATGAGCCGACTGCCATCCACATCTTGCCGTCCCAGGGTCGCAGGCCGGCAGCCTTCTTGTAGTACCACAGCGAGTAAGTGTGCATCTCAAGCATCTCGTATGTTTGGCCAAGGCCGTACCATGCTCTGTAGTCGCGACGGTTGACATCGACTGCTCTTCGATATGATTCAATGGCGGCATGTGTGTTCTTGAGTTCAACGTATTCGTGGCCCATCAGCGTCCATGCTGAGAGACATGTTCTGTCCAATGTCAAGGCGCGTCTGAAGTATTGGACAGCCTTCTCATGCATAGAGAGGAGAGAATAGTAGTTTCCAATGACCACACACGATTCTGGACGGAACTTGTCGACACTTGAACAGAGATGTGCTAGGAATGCGAGTTTTGGTCGTAGGTTTAAAACGTAAAGAATGTTGGAGTAGTGGTCTAGCGAATCGAGTCGATGGGGATGGAGTGACAATAATCGACTAAAGTGCTGTTCGGCAGCCATCAAGTCTTTCGCGTGATATGCCAATAAGGCATTGCAAGTGAGAAGGAAGGATGAGGTCGGGAAAATGGACAGAAGCTGCTCGAGGGAGCTGGCTAGTCCGGGACCTTGTTGATACAGCTCCAGCGACGTATGGAGGTGGAACATGTAGGATACAATGTTTTGAGGGCAATGCCTTGAGATGTTGTTAAGCTGCATCATGTTAGTATTAACCACCCGTAGATAGCATATCGAACTTACGTCCTCAACTCGGGAGATTAGCGACGTCATTTCCAACCAGCATCCCCAGTTCATGGTGTATTTGTGCACGCTGCGAATAAAGAATGACAGGGCTCTCTCGTCATTCTTCTCTTTGGAAAGAACCATCCCGTACCTAGGTCAACTTTAGTTCGGGTCTTCCAAGGAACACGCCTGCATGTCTTCTCACAAGTACTCGAGCCATCCCTGGCTGCTTTGAACCTCCTCGTCCTCTGTGGCTCTCTCTTCGAACCAGGTGGCTAGGAATCGCCCGACCACGAGAAGTTGTTTGTTCGTGACCGTTCCCAGGTCTTGGGGGCCCATGACCATCTCCGAATCCTCGTTCTTCCGCTTCTCGCCCGACATGAATTTGGCGTATAGTGCGAGGAACAGGCTCTTCTGGCTGATCTTGGGCAGAGGTACCACGGTCGTGGACCGGGATGATTCAGATGCCTTGGACTTGCCCTTACTCTTCGTTGTCGAGGCGGCCGGGTTCTCGCCTCGCGATGTAAGAATGCTGGAGAGGAGGGAGTCGGGGAGGAAGACGGCGGCGCATCGGTCGTATTCTCTGCAGTCGAAGAAGGACTTGGCAAGGAGGTATTTGCTCAACTCCTTAGCCTCAAGCGCTGCCTCATCAGGGTCTGTGTTGGGCGTGTATATGGGTGATGTGTATTTGCCATCGGCAGGCTCGGGTTGTTCATCGTCATCGTCGGTTTCGGGGAGGGCGTTAAGCAGTTCGGCGGCCCTTTGGTGACATTAGCACAAACCCGGGGTTCTGTAGCCGAAAGGTGGTTTACCATTTTGATGATTGGTACAGGCACCTCTCGGAGCACTTGATCACTGCATCCTGGAGCGCAGCCCGCAGCTGCGAGATCTCGTGGGAGCTCAGCGCCATGGTGGCTGTTGATTTCTAGACGCGAGCGGTCGCGCGTGGACGTGAAGAAGCAACCTCTTGGATGGCCTGTCGCATGCGAGCTGTGGGCACCCCAATTGTGCAAGATGGGATGTCGAGAGGCTGTGTGCCGTGGAGTGTTGGAGAATCGGTATGACGTTAGTGTCGAGCTGCGTCACTGTCATCGCTGTTGCTGGTGATGGCATCAACAATCCTCGGCGCGGTCCGTGCTGGACGCGGGGCATACTGTATGTTGCGCACTGTGCAACCTGCATCACATCCTCTTCCTCAGACGTAAACATGGCTAGGTAACAAAGGAGGAGTAAAATGAGAAAAAGTATAAAACTTTACTCAATACATAATCCAATCGCCTTTATAGGTCCCGACTACAATTCTGACAATGGAAACATATCTCAGACCAGCTCACTAGCACATCCCCTGGTATTTTTGACCTATAATGAATGATATCTACAAACTGGAATGCACTGCGAGCACGAAAGTAAAGACTGCTGAACCTTTCGTTCCTTTATTCCACCCCATTATCTTCCATGAATATTTAATTTCTATCACCTCCCGATGGCACTCCGTTTGACTCAGTTTCACACTGTTGTCCCCATCTCCCCGCCATCTCTCATCCGCTCCACCTCCCCTCAATTCCCCACCTGATATCTACCCCCTACAATGTCTCTCTTTTAATATTACTTTAGATATGCAGTTGATATCTCTATTCATATATCGTGACTCGTATTGATAGACGGAAAGGCTATATCCATTTTAGTTGCCGTGAAATATCGATGGCACGGATGGACACTACGTGTTTGCTGCAGAGAGCAATATCCTTCAGCGACTTGGGTAGAGGCGACCTGAGCGATTTACGTAGAGGACACCAGGCAGTGAATGTCGGTGTGGTTTAGATTACTCTTCTAATAAATTGAGCGCCCTGCGTAGGCCCTTGTGGTACTTGTAGACGATAAGTGGGATCGGGTTTATCGTAACAGGGCTTTGAGATTGGCAGCGCTGCGTTTCCACTCGGCTGGTATTAATTTTGTTGGGCCTTTATTCATTGACTAAAATTATAAAAAGTCCAACATGGGAAATCTAGGCCTTTTCTTTATATGCACTCTTACACCTATTTACCAGTGATTTATCTCATAGTTTGGCATTGTTAGAGTTCCATCCGCTTTCCCTCTGCCTATTGTGCACCCCAAATGCCGTGCGACGATGGCGTTGAGAGAGCGAGGATTACCAATCCTTTACGATGCCTCGCATATCCCCGATGTTCCAATGTATCTTCCCTTGGGCGAGAAGAGATCCCCGTTCTAATCCCATGATCATGGTGTTTTGTATGGGCCACCGAAGGCACTCGTATATTCACACTCAAGCTCCTGCCTCAATCCAAGCTCTGGCGATGACTCTATTTGATGCCTGGATCAAAACCCGGTTTGCAGATGGCATAATTTATCTACCAAGAAAATTCCAACTGTTTAGCAGATGCACGCCCCCTCATACCCTCGCATTGCAAAAGCGCCACGCCAATAGCTTCAAGCTCCTGACACAGGCAGTCTCCCGCGCGCTCCTGTTGCACATCCGAGGTCTCCTGGGCTAGCATCATGAGCTCTAGCAGCCCGGTGAGGCTCTTTCCATGCATTCACTGCTGGACACCAGCAGTCAAGTGCCCCAACTACGTGTTCCTTAACCGAAGTTCCTGTGTCGACTGTCAGGTGAGATCTTCGGTCCCCCCGAGCCACAACCGCGCTCGGCATCCCCGTCCTGACAACCCCATCTGTCTAGAGCGCCCGAAGAGAAGTCCGCGGTGACGAAATGGCAGCGGCCGAGGTACACGAGAATTTTGTACGATACCTGTTGGAGATGTACACGGAAAACGATGGCATCACATACGAGCGTGTCAACGGACACATCGCGAAGGCGAGGGCGGTCCACGTGGACAACTTGCTCAACACGGCGCTCGATTACATCTGGCGCAATTTTTTAGGGATTTATGACAAGGTCTGCGACGAGTTGGAAAAGGCCCGTGACAGGGGGCCGCAGCAATGGACACCGGTGAATTTGTCGGAACGACTCGAGCGGTGGCAGAAGGAGGACCAAGACAGGTAGAGGATGGATGAGGAGTTCAATGAGAGTAATCGATATTGATATAGGACGTCTAGGGCCCATAGCTTACTGGGGCTTGGAGGATTTCTTTCAGGGTTTCTAGAGGACAGTCCAATGATCACATTGCCTGATCAGTTCCCGCCTTCGAGCTTGGTTGGAACACTTACATGACGACATTGCCTCCATCATATCTGACAGGTCATGTCGCTAGGTTCGCAGAAATTAATCTTCTGTGCTTGTTGCACACTTTCTTGTTCTCCGCGTCTCCCAATTAAGTTTCATCCATGTCGGTTCCTCGAGGACTGGCCAAGACTCGGGATGATGTCACAAGCACCGGTTTCCTGACCTCTTAGTTGGTATCGTGCTTCTACAGAAGATCACTCTGCAATTTTTTGCGTCAGAGTATCGGTGAGAGGACGTTTTCTAGCACGGGGTCGAGTTTTGGAGTTGCTCAACAATAAAACCGCGCTGTTTTTGGTTGGCTGCAAAACAGATCTGTCTGTATCACGGTATGTCACGCTGTGAAGGATATTCACGTCTCACAAAAAGCACGTCAGTCAAAGTTTCGCTGTCGATTTGGCCCGTGCAGCCCGAATCACTTCACATGTTGGAGGCAAATCGGCATGGGCGATTTGTATAAGAAGTCAGTGGAGTATGGAGTAGGAGTTAACTCACGCATACCCTACCCACCCAAGTAGTATACTCGAATCTATGCTCCAGCAACAGCACCTCTTTGAAAGTACAAAAGGAATTAACCAAGTAATATACCATGCGTTGGCCGTGCAACCATCGTTGGGGTTCGTGGGCCTGCGGCAAATGGGTCAACAGCATCGGGGCCGCATGCGAAGATTGCAAGGTACGCAGTCAGAGGAAACTCCTTGACTCAACTGCAGACAAGAGTTGGGAGGTTTATTAGGTGAAGGAAGCTAAGGTTGTACCTAACTACCTAGAATAAGACGGGCGAAGACTCGGTGCCGACACATGAGCGACTTTCCCGAGTTGATGACGTAGAACTCCTTGTCCGGGGTCTCTGCAACGCGAATATCAACACCGGGTGTGTCGTAGATATGTTGAGGGATGGAGCAGCGGAGCAACATTTGCTAGAGGCGCTTGATGTGATCAAGGAGAATGAAGAGGTCTGGCATGACCAAATCTATTCGATAGTAAGGGAGGCGATGAGCAAATGGAATAGGGGGACAGACAAATAACTCGGTGGCAGCTGCTGGAAACGTCTGATGCCTTTGGTTCAAAATACAACTGACAATTTTTCGGTTTAAGCAAGACGTTCAGATTGTAGAGCATCGTCCATCGGGTGGTGGGGATGACTGACTAGTGTTTGGAGGGGTCGAGATAAGAAATACTTCAGATTGGAAAGTAGGCGCAATAGAGTTTTAAAAAAATGCCAAATAAATCACCTGAAACGACAAAAAGCAAGCCATGCAACGGATAACAGCGGTACCCGGTGCGGCCCGGCTGATTTGGTTGTACATTATCTACGGCATGCACATTGCACTGAACTGAGGGCATCGGTGACCCCCCCGAACAGGCTTAGCGAGTCATTGGGATGGCCAATTGCCGTGCTGTGCCTGTCGCACCTGCCAACTGCCACCCAGACCGCCAGCGCTCCAACCAACGGCAATTCTCCCGAGCCTTTCCCGGGCCGCCGCTCCTTCAGTTTTCGACCTCACCGAGCTGCAAAGTGGACGACCCCGCCACAAAGCCCCAAAGGGGAAAGAGGGGCAGTCGCTAGCAACCCGACGGCGGACAACGGCTTGCGCGCCAAGTAACCCAGGCAATTATCGTGCAGCAAGCTCCTTCCCGACCATTGCTAATTAAATCCCGACCTTTCGCATCTCGACTCCTTTCTTTTCTCTCCCCTTGATTTTCTTCCTCCCCAAAACACTCCAATCTCTCCATCTGCCTCCTCCCGTCTTCAATCCACCCGCAACCCGCAACCATGGCGCAAAAGACTACCCTCAAGGAGTTCGAGTCGGTCTACCCCAAGCTTGAGGAGGCCCTTCTCGACCATGCCCGCTCCTACAAGCTCCCCCAGGAGCAGCTCGACTGGTACAAGAAGGTGGGCTTCTACAACTCAGCCGTTGGCTCTCCCCCTTTGCCATTGCTCAGCTAACTCCCTTTGCGTCATGGTAGAACCTCGAGATCAACCCCCTGGGCGGCAAATGCAACCGCGGCATGTCCGTCCCCGACTCCGTCTCCCTCCTCCTCGGCAAGGCTCTCTCCGAAGACGAGTACTTTCACGCTGCCACCCTTGGCTGGATGACCGAGCTGCTTCAGGCCTTCTTCCTCGTCTCTGACGACATCATGGACAGCAGCATCACCCGCCGTGGCCAGCCCTGCTGGTACCGTCAGGACGGTGTCGGCATGATTGCCATCAACGACGCATTCATGCTCGAGGCCGCCATCTACACCCTGCTCAAGAAGTACTTCAAGACCCACCCCGCCTACGTCGACCTCATTGAGCTCTTCCACGAGACCACCTTCCAGACTGAGATGGGCCAGCTGTGCGATCTCATTACCGCCCCCGAGGATCGCGTCAACCTCGATAACTTCTCCCTCGAGAAGTACAGCTTCATTGTTGTCTACAAGACTGCCTACTACTCCTTCTATCTCCCCGTCGCCCTCGCCCTCCTCCAGCTGAACCTCGCCACCCCTAAGAACCTCAAGCAGGCTGAGGATATCCTCATTCCCCTTGGCGAGTACTTCCAGATCCAGGACGACTACCTTGACAACTTTGGCGACCCCGAGTTCATTGGCAAGATCGGCACTGATATCAAGGACAACAAGTGCTCCTGGCTCGTCAACCAGGCCCTCGCCATTGTCACTCCTGAGCAGCGTAAGGTTCTCGAGGAGAACTACGGCCGCAAGGATGACGCCAAAGAGAAGGTCATCAAGCAGCTCTTCAACGAGCTCAACCTCGAGCAGCGCTACCTCGACTACGAGGAGAAGTTTGTCACTGACATCCGCGCTCGCATCGCCAACATCGACGAGAGCGAAGGTCTCAAGAAGTCTATCTTTGAGGCCTTCCTGGCCAAGATCTACAAGCGAACCAAGTAAATCACGAGGGAATCCAAAATAACTTCACAAAAATGTCAAACCCCAAACCTCGATGGATAAATCGAAGGAGACATGGCGTAGTCATATACGGCATAGCTCAGCCGACATGAATATTACGATAAGTAGACCACACAAGCGATACCTCGAGATGAATTGAGACACATGATTGAGCCAAACTCCATTTGAACCTAATTAATACGGCGGTCAAGGAAAAGACATTCGTTCCTTCTTCCGTGTTGCATACATTGACAACTAGAGCCTGCTCAAATCGCTAAGTGTTCCCACACGATAGATCCCTTGTGTGCGTTTCTTCCGACCCAAAAGTAAAGGAATTGATGGACAAAAGAGAGGAAGGAAAATAATCTAAAAAGAAAATAGGGGAAAGAATAATAATAATGGCCCAAAGGCATCGACTCGAGTAGTTCTATACTCCAACACTGCCGGCCCCCTGATGTCGCCCTTCGCCCCAGCGGTGCGCTATTACCGCCAACACACACCAAAACACCTGTTTTTATTTGTCCGCAAGCCCCTGGATTCCTCGTCCGTCAACAAAAGAATAATAGTGGTAGTAATAAAAAGGGAGAAGTGAAAGTTTTTGAAATATCCAAGAATTCTGGGCATGAACTGCATGGCCTCGTTACGGAACGGCCTCTTGGTCTCGTTTCGTGCAAGAGGGGGTGAGCCTCTCCCTGCTTTAATATCGTGACATGCTAGACAGGCCGCTGGAGCCGGCGCGGTTGATGAGCGGCTCCCGGGGACGGGGGTCGCGGCCGCGAGGGGGCTCGATCGGCTGCGTCTTCTCGCGGCGGACAGAGCGGTTGGGCAGCGGCGGGACCGGAGGTGGGGGAGCCCGGAACGACGGTGGGGGAGCCCGGAACGACGGTGGCGGCATGCCGGCGCTGGAGCGGCTGCGGGGCAGGATGTTGGCGCTGGAGATCGGGGGCGTGCTGATGGAGTTGAGGGTGACGGAGCCGGTCAGGGGAGCCTTGCTGGTGTTGTGGAGGGTGCCGCCACGAGTGCTGCTGCGGATGAGGCCGGGGCCGATGGGGCTCATGGTGGCCGCCGGTCCGCCGGTGGCGAAGTTGATGAGCGGGCCGCCAGAAGTAGGGGCCCTGTGGGCGCCGCCCTGGCTCTCACGCCAACGAGGAGGCTCGGGGAAGCTGTTGGTGAGGTTGACGAGAGGCTGGGGCTTCTGCTTTAGGCTGGAAGGGATGGCGGCGAGGCCGGGGTTGGGAGCGCCGACGTTGTTGTCTGCCATGGGTACTCGTTGTGTGGAGTGGACAGACTTGCTGCGCGAGCGAGCAGAATGCTCCGAGGCCGAGGGCAGCCAGGGTCTGGGCTCAGGTTTCTTCTCCCGGGGAGGAGAGACAGGTGAGGTGACGATGCTATTGATCAGGGAGGGAGCATCGGTGAAGGGCCCAGAGGTCTGTATCTGAGACCCGTTAGAAGCCCGCTCAGATCGCTCAGCCTGCTCAGCCTGCATTCGCTTCTGCTCATAGCCGTTGCCCAGCAGACCACCTGGGGAGAACTCGCTGCCGGTCTGTGGCGTCTGCGGCGTGTGAGAGGCGCGGGATCCCTGCTTGGTCAGGATCTTGGGCTTCTGGACCTTGGGCTTTTGAACAACGGGTTTGGGCTTGGGCGGGGGGACAACCTCAAAGTCCTTGCCGAAGTCCTCGATGGGCTTGTCGAAGCGGTTCAGGTCCATCAAGGGCTGAAAAGCACCGATTGTGTATGGGGACTCGTCGACCGACACCTTGAGACGGTGGGAACCGTTGGTAACGGTACTGATGGACTTGGTGATGTTGCCCTTTTGCGTTGGGAACGAGCTTTGCGAAATGCGCGGCGGCTTGTCGGGCACAACCCTCTCATAAGGCTTTGGCTTCTTCTCAAAGTCAACCTGCTTGGTGACCAGGTACCAACTGCGCCAGCGTTGCACGAGCTCGTGGAACCGCTGGGCGAGCTGGGCATCCTCGGCGCAGAAGAAGTGCACAAAGTTTTCGCCGTTGGGGAAGACGACTGTCTTCTGCTGGCTCTTGACGGCGTAGCAGAATCGGCGGGGGGCCTTGAGGTGGCGCTTGACCTCGCTCTCGCGAGGCGTGTAGATGTCAAAGTCAGACAGGTGGCACAAGACGGTGCTGTCCTTGTCTGAAGCCTTAGCCTCGGGCTTCTTGGACGAGAACATCTGACCACTCTCCAGCAGAGTAATCCAGCGCTTGTTCCACTTGCCGGGGCGGGAAGAGTGGTAGAGCTGGAGGGTAAATCCAGTTGGAGGATTAGGCGTGCGGGGGACCGAGTTGAGTTCGAGGTCTGCATCTGCGTCATTCTCGGAGATGTCGTAGGTAAGTACGAGTAGGGAGTTTTGCTGGTCGCGATCCCACGAGTTCATGACATCGCGGATGCGCTCGTAGCGACGAAGGCGTCGCTCGAGGCCCAGGTCGACATAGCACTCAACAATGACGCTCGTTTTAGGATCGATGTCATGGGCGGTGAGGTTCGCCGTTGAGTACAGCACATCGACGGGTGAGGTATCTGGGGTGACAGGGAGGTTGATGGTGGAGGATAGGCAACGCACTGTCACGCGCTGGCGGTCGTTAGTACCTGGTGATGATGGCATGACGTTTCCAGGGCTTACTCGTTCACCTCCGTTGCTGGCCGAGGTGGGAGCATCGTGGTTGGGTACAATGCCCCTGCCGCCCTGCTCTATAAAACTCATCTCGTCCGACGTGAGAGAGTCCTCGAGGCTGCTGGCACGACTGGCACGGTTGTATTCAAGAGAGAAAACGGTAGGCGCCTTGGGGCTCGGCGTTCCGTTTTGACTGTTGGTTGCATTCGATCGCCGGCCGCGAGACAGGAAAGGGAGCTTGTCGAAGATGAGGTACTTGGAGAGCTTGGGAGGGGGGGTATTGACCTTGGCGCGCACGCGAGCAGCGTCTCGTTTCTTCTGCTCGGCGATGATGCGGTCGGTCTCGGCCTCGAGGCGGGCGACTTCGGCGGCCCAGCGTTCGGCTTCCTGCTCCTCGTCTCTGCGGCGCTCGGCGTTGTCGCGCTCGAGCTGGGCGGCACGGCCGGTGGTGTCTGCGTTGAGGCGAAAGGAGCGGAGGTTGAAGGCCTTGCGACGAGCAACTTCGTCGACGGGCGAGGGCACAGGCGACGACGGAACGGGGATCGGCGAGGAAGGGATCGGCGGCGCGGAGGACTTGGACTTGGACTTGGGTCTGGACTTGGACTTGGATTTCGACTTGGGCCTGAGGTTGAAGAGCCCTTCGCGGCTGCGGCTGGGAGCGAGGACAGAAGAAGCGGCTGAAGATGGAGCGGCTGGAGCTGGAGCGGCTGAAGCTGGAGCAGCGGTGGGTTTGGGAGTCAGGGCAAGCGGTCTTGGGAGGGGCGGAACGGGCGATGGCGCCTGGAGTCGGTCCATGCTAGCGGGCGATGGCGACGCAGGGCGGTGCGGCAGGGGTCCGTGGCCCACTGCACCCACTGCAGCGCGCGGCACTAACCCGCCTAGACGACTGCTAAGGGACCCTGAGACGCTGTCCGCGAGCCCCCCGGCAGCCACTGTAACCCCTGGATCGTCGTAGGGAAGCACGGGACTGCTGAGCATGCTGCTGGGATTGGGCGACGGGCCCCTGGACGGCGGCGGCGGCGGCGTCCAGCTGGGAGCAGGTGACGAGGGCAACGCAGGCAACACAGGCAAGGCGGGCCACGACGACGACGACTTGGGCAACATGGGCGACTTGGATAACTTGGGAGACTTGGGCACCTTGGGAGACTTGGGCGCCTTGGACGCTTTCGGCGACTTGGGCCGCTGCGTGGGCAACGAGGCCACGCTCTTGGAGCGCCGGCGAGTGACGCGGGGCGACGACAGCGTCGGCGAGTCGAGCTGCGGATAGCAGTCGCCCGTCGTCAGGTTGCTGTTGATGGGGCCGAAGCCATCGTTGTACACGTCAAAGGCCCGGCGCCGCGTGATGGACGACACGCTTTTGCCGCGCAGCGTGCGGTACCGCGACACGGGCACGGGCGGCGGCTGCAGCGTCGTCTGGAGATGGCTCTGGTTCTGACCCTGAATCTGAGTCTGAATCTGCTTCAGCTTCTGCTTCTGCTTCTGCTTCTGCTTCGGCGTCTGCAGCTGCAGAGGCTGTACCGGCTGCACGCGGTTGCGCTTCTGCGGTAGCGACAGAGGGGCCACCTCGGGCCCTGCCGCCATCATCGACGCCATGGCGATCTGGGAGTCTAGCAGTCTGGGGATATTTCCCGGCGATTCGGTCCCTGGTTCCTTGCAGATACGAGCAAGTCGGCGGGCGCTGTCACTAGCTAAACCGCCCGGAACTGCCCTATCGGACTCCCAAAACAGCCTCTAAAATCCGGGGGAGCGCGCGAAGCCAAAGTCGGTCGTCGACCCAGCTAATCTTCGACAGGGTTCGAGCGCCTAACTTATCTTTCTCCACAGAACGACGGAACGGAACCGTCGATGACAGGCCGGGGGGTCGTATCTTGGGTTTGCGCGAGTGGCGATCGAGGGCGTTTTCGATCGAATCTCGCAGGTAGATAAGGTGGCTGGATAAGATCCGACCAGGACAGGCCAACTCCAAAAAATGAAGTCGCCTTTTTCTCTCCTCTCTCTCTCTTTGCGCGCGTGTTCGATGAGGGACGACGGTCGACCTTGTTCCCCCTCAGTCAGGATGAACCATTGCTTTTCTTCCCAGCAAGCCGTTGTCGCAGGAGCCGATGGACAGACGGTGGGAAAAATGAATGATGGTCGACGGAAGAAATTGATCGAGAGTTGAGAGAAGGAAGAGAGCGAGAGGAAAGAGGTTGCAGGAAAGACGGAGGCGCGAGAACAAGGACATGCCACTGCTAGCTCTGTCACGCGAAGCTTTTCCGCCGACTATCGACGGGCCAAGGGCAAAGCATCCAAAGGAGGTGTCCCCATCGGCTGGCATGTATCGCGACACGGCGGGCGGCGCTGGCATGGGATAAAACTCGCAGCCGCGTCTCGATGTCTCAGGCGCCGCCCTGCCATATGACGGTGATCCATTCCACTGCCCAACAGGCGTATAGGATGATATCCCAACAGACGAATGGACCGAACGCTCCCTAGATGTCATGGCTGGGACTTCCCAATTGACGGTTCGAACCTCGTTTTCTACCCGAGTAAGGGACGGAACGTGTGTCACGGATGGGCGCGCATACGGCTCGGTGGCATGACTATATCATGTATGCATTGGCAGATGTGGTTTCGTAGTCCATCCATCGGCCGAGGCGGAGACACTCTCCTCCAACTCATTCAGCTCATTCTCTATCTTATTTACTACGGACCTCACTTAAGCCGTGGGGAACAAAGTAAACGTTGGACGGGCCAAGAAACCAAGCGTCAGTTCAATCAATGCACAGGATACCGAGAGCGCGGCAGTTGGTTATTTGTTTTGAGTCCATCGCCCCCAAATCCACGATTTTGTTTGTTTTTCAATCTCTTTCAAATACCCCGAACTATTGGGAGCTGGGCCTCAAGGGAAGCCGTCGCAAGCCATCATACTTCAGTCTCCATCCACCACCGTGGCTTTGGTGAAGCCAGCCCCATCATGGATTCCACTGCATGGTGACGTCTGCCCGCACGCGCGAGACAGAGGCGTCCCTGTTCCTGCATCTCCGCCCCAGCACGACTCAGGCATGCTCCACTCGACAAGACAAGCTGAGCCCATAGCCAAATTCTTGCCTCGCCTCTCCGCGATCGCTGGTGCATTCATGGGGTACGGAGGGATAACCCTTATTTGCGAAACGCGTGAACCTCCCGGCGCCACCAAGCACGGAAGTCGTTCGTCGAGACGTCGATGCCCAGGTCCTTGAGTGCCTGGGTACTCAGGTGGCAGTCGTAGGGTCGCTGCACACTGGCATTTGGGTCATTCCCTACGGTGTTGGCCTCGATCCCACTCGTCGAAAGGCCCATGATCTCTCCAAATACCTGGCAGATCTCGTATTTGGTCATCTTGTCCTCGCTCGAGAACTGCAGGATGCGAGGTAGTGATTTGACTTCACTGCCAGCGCTGAGATATTTCTCGGAGATTTCTGTCATGTTTGGGCAACATTGTCAGTCAGCAAAAACAGAAAAGGGCGCGGTTTCCGCCGGTTATCAGGGCAAATGGTCCGGGTTGAGACATAACGGCTATAAGAGAACTGAGACATACCGCGGCAGACCCGTCCAATGTCTTCGGTGTTGGTGGGATATCGAATAGCCCAGTGGTCCATGTTGACCGTGGCTCCTTGGGTCTGCGCCTTCCAGACCGCGTCCATCAGGACATTGACCGCGCTCTCCGCCGGCGTCTCTGCGTGTCCGTACAGCACAGGCACTCGGAGCACGACACCGAGGCCGTCCTTCCCAGCCTTGGCGTACGAGTCTAACACGGCGATCTCGCCGTCCCGCTTGGTCTGGCCGTACAGGTTAGGCGGTTGAGGCTCGGCGTCGGCCTGGTAGGGGGCGTCGCCAGGCACGCCAGGGAAGACGTAGTCGGTCGAGATGTAGATGACCAAGATGTCCCGGGCGGCGGCCAGGGACGCAAGGGAGCTGCTGGCAGCCACGTTGAGCGCCCTGGCACCCTCTGGGTCCTTGTCGACCTTGTCTGGAAAGCGCTGGGCGGCGCCTTATACAGACGGCCCGGTCAGTAGCTCCACGCCGCGGCGATGCTGGTTCCGTGACTTACAGTGGACAATTACCTGGGGTCTGCGTCGGAGCGATCAGCACACTGACATCAGTCTGAGGTTGAACTGGGAGTGAACTCACTTGGTATCATTGAGGACCTTGGCCACTTGGGCGTCGTCGCCGAGATCGACTTTGAGGATGTCGACTCCGTCGGCGCGCGAGTAGCCAGTTCCCTTGACGGTCCAGCTTTTGAGGCGGAACTCCTTGGCGACCTCGCGGCCGAGGAGGCCAGTGGCCCCAGTGACGAGAACAGTACGGCCGGTCATGATGCAAAGGCGTCTACTGTCTTAGCTGGTGGTGACGGAGTGCGTGAGAGGTTTCAAGGTGCGAGCTGTTACTGGAGGTCGTTGAGTGTGACGATACGAGACGTCATTTGTCCAACTGCACCAAGTGAGAAGTGGGGGTTGTCAACAGAAAGAGGGGCACATGCATATCAGAGTCGTCGCTGTTTAGCAGTCAGCAAGGTGCTGTGTCTCTATTACTATGATAAATATCAACAACTATGTTCTGGTAGATAGAAAGAATAACTGTGTAATAAAATTTCAAGCCAAGGGTAGAGCTGTATTCTCAGGCGTTTGGTGTTAGAGTGGAGATGTTCTCATCCCGCATTTCTCGCGGCGGTATCGGAGAGTTTATCGAACATACTGAGATCGTTCCACTGGCCCATTATCAAAGCCTCGCGATAGCATATTTCGCCCCAAAACTTAAGTTATTATGTTATTCCTGATATGGGATGTTATGATGTTATAATTCAGTAATATCCAATATGAGGCGAGATTTTGGCAGCATCAATAGAAACTTCTCTAATCTCTTCAATCTACCCTACACCTAACAATCAACTGCCTAGGAATTTTGACAAAATCACGCCACATCTGTGGAACTTCCCCGATGTTTACTTTTTAAGCATGTAATTGCTTCTGTCTCGATGCATCTGGATACGCGTCCCATTCTGCGAGATTGCCGGCCAAGCCGGGGGGAGGGCCTTTCCATCCTGGGATCGTCTCATCACGCCACGTCCAAGATGATCCTAGATGATTCAGGATCAGATTCCCGGCAGCAAAACGGGCGATGTTGTACGGGATCCGCTAACTCAAGTAATTTGCTCACTTGATTGACTTGAGATGTTTGCCAGATCCCACAATCTGCCCACGCGTAAACTGCGCGTGCACTAGGAATCACGCTACATGCCAACTATCAAAGCGACCCTGAAGATGTCTTGCATGGTCTTTCAAAGCTCAAGCCTCCAAATTTGCATGCTACATTTATGGGTCAGGGGCAACATGGGATCTGCGAGGACCATCCGATCAGTGTCGATTCTCGGGGTCTATCGGACACCCCCTGAGGGCTGTTGAGATCGCGTATCTGGTCAATAGTGACGGCTGCTATTATTGTAAAATTTCTGGACGAATTATAGTATACAACGTAATGGCCATAAAGTTCAAAGTGACGCCTTTACGTTCAAGAATACAATAAAAAAGAAACTCCGTAAATTTGTACCCCGGCTTCTCCTATCCCGAGACAGCGTATCCAAATCCTAAAAGCGGCCTCTTTCAGGTCCCATAATCTCACTGCTACTTGACTCGGAAACCGCAGACCCGGAGCCGAAATTGTCGTTCGCGCCTCGCATGTTGTCTCCCTCTTTGCCAGACCTGTTGCCGTAGTGCACCGCAACCTCGGACGTCTTGAGGATGCCGTTGTACGTCATGATCTCCTCCTCGGAATTGGTTGGCGAGTGGCTTCGAATCTCGGAGCGGCCCTTGATGTCCTTGAGCGGGAACGGCCCGTTTCGGTGGTTGCTTCGAACTGCAGTTCCGTTGCGCGAGCGTTTCGTACCCGACGATCGACCGTATTGATCATTCGAGTACTTTTGGCCGGACGACTTGAGTGCCGAGAAGAATCTGGGGAACCACTTGAGGAACAGAGGTCGCAACGCGGGAGCTGAGGCCGTGATGATGGCTAGATTGGTCTCGACGGCCGAGTAGGTGAAGCGGATATCGTAGGTCGGGTCAAAGTCAGGGGAAGTTGGATCCATGAAATACGATGTCTCGATAATCCATGCAAGACGAAGAATACTCATAACGGTGACACTGCGTATTGGCGTTAGTACAAGGTATCAAGGAGTGAAGCGACAACCAAACACTTACACAGCACCGAGAGCAAACACGCCAATGATGGCAGCTCGGACCTTAAGGGGCAACTTGAGACCTAGGAAGATCCAGAACGGCAAAATAAGCGCCAGTATGTCGGTCAAGATTGTCAGGGCTCCCGTGGCAATATAAAAGGCGCTGGTATCGAAACAGGTCCCATCGGGAGGGTTGGGCGACGCCCGCATCCAGAAATACGAGACGGGAGAGCACTGGAAGATGGCGCAGATGAAGATGGCGACCATGAGGGCCAGGTTGAAGGCGAGCAGGCTGTAGATGGCGTATCGGACCTCTTTTTTCTGCCCGCCGAGCCGCAGGAGGAACAGGAGCACCGATGTCTTGACGATGGCCAAGATGGGGTTGTAGAGTATCTGGATGATAAAGTTCCACTGCTGTCCGAGGACTACGTCGGCTTGAGGAGGAATATCGCGAAGATGGACGCCAAGAAAGGCTGTGCGCATAGACTTCCACGAACAACCAGTTTCCGTGATGGATAGAGCCTAAAGGGGGTGGTGAGTTTCTTGTTTCTCGAGTCTTCAGATAATAGGAGGCGCACCATTGCTATAGTGATGAGTAAATCGTCTAAACCACCACGCTTTGGTTAGCACACACTTCGTCGCAAAACGTTGCTGTCGTGGGGAAAACGTACCGTATCCATATTGCTTAGTTGAGAATCGTCCGTAGATTCGAAGCGCAAAGACAACCAGAGCCAGTGCCGGGAAGAAGAATAGGATGAAGAAGCCGATATGTTGTAGACGCGAGTATGGGTACTTGTAATGGCCAGAACCAGCGTCATCTTCAGTTGCCCTAGAGTACACCGTCTGCGCCCAGAACACGAGTGCCTCGTGCCTCATGGTGTCGTCGTGGGTGATGTTGAATGAGCCACCAACACCGATGTTCCTTTCAGAGAGCCTGCTCGCCAAGGTAGTATAGCGACGAAAGCGATATCACCGTCACACATTTACCAAACCACTGGCGGGGGAAAAGAGCGAAACAGAACAGAAGTCCATCACCGAGGGAGTGGGAGCGGGATCAGGCTGGTCAGATCTATAAGACGCCGCAGCGTGACCCAGCTTCTCGGGGGGCGCCAGGGCACAGGAGACGAACAAGAGCAGGCCAGCACCCTCCACCCGGGCTAGTGTGTGACATGCTGGGACGACGCTTCAAACACGATTCTCGCAGGACAGACCGGAAGCAGCCCAGACCGCACCAGTCGAGACCAGGCGGGTTTTGGAGACGCAGAAGGCGTCGGCGAGGTAGCAGCACGCCCCAACCGCGGCGTGGAGATGCGGAACCGAGGCGGCTGGATTTGATCCATACAGATCCAGCCGAGGAGGAGTAGAGACCAAACAGAGTTCGCGGTGAGAAGGGGGAGCGCGGATGCGGCCCCAGTTGCATTGCCCGTTCTAGGCATGGACGCATGCTGCCAGATCGAGGAGGGACAACATATCGAAGTGGAACGACGGGCGGGGAGCAGCACAGGAACGGAGGACTCGCATCGGACAAGGCCTATCCAGGGAATCATCTCGGGCATGGTCCAGGGATGTGGTTCTAGGTTCATGATCCCAGGGGTTGTTGGTTGTAGGGGAGTCTCCCAGGGCATCGGCATCAGCATCAGCCATCAGGGGAACTTGGGTGGCGATGACGACCGAGTTCCGGTCCCTGTCGAAGTCTGCATATTGTGTGAGTGTGAGTGAGTGTGTGTGTGTGTGTACTATTACATGCTGCATGGCTGCAGTACCCAGCACACACTATCATCCGCCTGCAGCTCGCCCTGAATCCCACGCCCACGTCAGAGCCAGAAGGGCTTGGCCGGTGAGCTTGGCCGGTCGACAAGACATGGTGGGTTGTCCCCTGCATCATGTTGGTAGGCAGCCCTTTGAACGAACGTCTGGGATTCAGTCGGTCGGCACCTGGCGAGGAGAGGAGAGTTCTTTAGCGGATACGCTCTCGCGGCAGGGCTCTTGAGGCGAAGGAGGGCATACTGCAGAGTCCGTACTCCGTATGTCTCGGGTGTAATTACATGTTACAACGGACTCGACCTGAGAAACATCCAGTATCCGTCGACGAGACGAGCGAAGGATGGCTCCTGGCACATGTCTCGCCACCATAATAGCCCGACATTGCTAGCCAGCCAAGCATCATATCAGCCCTCATCCTTTCTAGGCTCGCGCCATCAAATGTGGACAATTCGGACAAGATACAGGCGCATTGGCCAGTACCGGAAGCATAGCCACGAGGTGACGCGCATGTTTCTTCTCAAAGAGGCATCGCTGGACGTCTCTCGCAGGGTGCAATTGGCTAGGAGATTAATTACAGGCTGTTGGCCCGGGCTGTTCGGAGACTGTTGGTGGCTTGTTGGTTGGTGTTCTGACAGGTTGGGCGCAACGCGATGATACTCTACCAGGTAGTACTACACCCAAATCACCCGATGGATGGCTCTACCGCCTCGGCCAGGGTACGATGACAACAGAGTTCAAATAGTGCCAAGACTCAAACCGCAATTCCTCCTCCAATGCCGTGGTTTAGGATTGTCCAGGGGTCGCGGGCGCCCACTTGGTTCCTCTCAGCCCTAGCCTCTAGCCTGGAAGCTGCTCCATCTCATCTCACTCGCGAGCCCTGGAAGGCGGCTATTCTGGATGATCTGCCACGGCCGGGGGATCCTTGCTGATCGTTGGGCCTTGGCCAGGACGGACCATGGACGTTCTGGGTACGTCAAGCACGCTCCCGACGGAGCGAAGCAAAAAAAGTGGTTGGCATCGCAGCGAAACGACAATCGAGATAACGCGATGAGATGCAGACATGCAGAGCGGCGGCACAACTGAACTGCCATGGCGAGATCGATTGACTATTTACAGCCAGTTCGAGCAGCGGGACTTTATGCAGCACTTTATACGGCACACCATGGCATCTCATCCACCACAACGGCATTCACGAAACCGGCATAGCCAACGCCTCAACCCCAGAGAAACGGCCGCACTACTACGTAGTACTTTACTTAGCACACTCAAGCGGGGGATGTTTCTGCCTCCCCCACCAACTTCAGACAGCCATCGTCGGGGTTCGTGTGCGCTGTACTGACGGAGCGAGGAGCTGAAGGTTACAGTCCGCTATAGGCCCGGGTGGACCGGCGAGAGATCCAAGCTTGTCGTCAGCAAAACAAGGAAGCCCGCTGCGCGTGGACTACTATGTACGGAGCGTAGTAGATATTTCCATGACCCCTGCAAGCTGAACGCAGCCGGGAGATCACAGAGATCCATCCATCCATCCATCCACCCCAGCCCGGATGAGCGATATATCATACGCGCTTTAAGTATGCGCCGGGATCGAACGCGACGAACCCGAAGCCGACTTGTACGAGGGCCTCATCGTCCGAGACGTCCGGCATTGGGGTCCAGGGTGTGTTGAAGATGGGAAATTTGAAAACGGCCGCTTCCCTAGTCGTTGTGGCTGGCAACTTGACCAAAACCGGGTTAACAAGCAGCCAAACGTCAATGGAACATGGTGCCGGATACGGAGTAGTCCTGGAGAGGACTCATGGTTAAGTCCAAGAGAACATGGCTAACAAACCCTAAAACCCCGGATCGTGGCTTAGTTTCCACAACCTTTTGTCTATCCGTCTGTTCAGCGGCCAAAACTCTACTCCATCTCTATGCCTCGCCTGATGAGGAGTCCATCATGGGCCTCGCTTAACACATTCCCCTGGCAATCCCCCGCCGGGGACCAGGGCGAGCCGTGAGAGCCACCCCCGCGAAGCCCGAGACCCCCCTCTCGGCCACCATAGCCCACCTTGTAAGTAACTTAAGCAGGTCGAGCTCGATCTGGAAGCACGTCTTCGTGTACGACCGGGGCTTCTGGAAGACTCCCTGTTCAGCTCTGCCAACGGCACTTGGCCGGGATATCTCCAGGGATATCTCCAGGGATATCTCCAGGGATATAACCTAGACCAAGGCATTTGTCCCCGGCACCGATGAAACGTCACGGGCTCCTGTGGGCGCAGCACATGGCAGAAGCCCGGTCGACTTGCCACGCGGGTGCCCATGAAGCATCTCCAACGAGGCCAATTGAAGCTTTTGAGAGAAAGTCTGTTCCCCTGAGTCCCAAGCTAGCGGATAGTGACAGAAGTCTGTCTGCCTTCTACGAACTATCGAAGGTTATCATGCCTGACCTGGTTGATTCTGGAATCATCATGCAGGAACATTGAGGGAGCAATGCTACCTGAGCGACGAGTCGGCCGGATGCCCCATCTACTCGGCCAGGCCAAGACACTCGACCAACCAACTAGTCTCGCACACGGCTTGCAGGCCCTGCGTACTATGCAATTTGTTGTGCTTGCGTTGGCTCTTCACCTTGTAGTCGGCAGAGAATCCTGCCGACTTGCCGGCCTCCGTTCGCCTCGGGAAACAACCTGGCCCATGGAACCTTTGCCCTCATGCCATGCCATGCCATGCTCCCATGTTCCAGTTGAATGCCCCGTAGCAGACCAACATGTACCACTACACTGGTAAATGAGTCCTGCCCTTCTCGTCGTTGCTCCGAGAAGCATTGGCTCCAGGGTTCGCAGTAGGCATAGATAGCCCATGATTGACATCTCCGGGCGATCCACCCCCGTCGTCGTCCGGTCTTGTACGCTGCATGCCGCCCGCTTGGTCTTCGTATAGATACGCATGTATCCCTCCTTCGGTGTTGAACCTTCCTCTCTAGCTCACCCTCATCGACTAGACCGAGTGACTGTTGGATACTACCCACCTTGCATCCTCGCGTGGCCACCATGTCCGTCACCCGGTTCCTCACATACGCCGCACTTGCTGGCGCGGCCTTTGCCCAGACAATTGTTGTCGATGGCGAGGAAATCGGTGCGTCTTCCTAATGGATCCTGCCTGTCCAACGTGGCTTTGCAGCATCACCCTCGCTAACATTTGACACTAGATGCTGATGACGCCGTCATCGCTCCCGCTGCTGAGGAGATGATGAGCTCCTCCAGCAACGCCACGGCAGCTCTCTTCAATGACGAGACCATCCAGCTCACTGACGCTGTCCTGGCCAACCTCACAGACCTCGAACTGTCTCACATCGATCTGTTCCAGTTCGACGATGACAGCGAGGCGACCGTGAAGAGGCGGAGCGCCTTTGGCAGCTGCAAGACTGCCCCCGGCGATGCTCTCTTCCCCAGCCCATCCGTCTGGAAGGTCTTTAGCCTTCTGACCGGCGGTGCTGTCCAGAAGACGGTCCCCTTCGCCTCGGTCTGCTACCACAACTTTGGCAACTATGATGCCGCCGAGTGCGAGTATATCTCCAACAACTGGTACAACGGCTCTTACATCCAGACCGAGGACCGCACTGCCATCAATGCAATTCTCTTCGAGGACCTCACCTGCGTGCCCCCCAGCCTCTTCACTGCTGGCACTAGCTGTGAGATTGGCGGTCACCCCCTGTACAGCATTGATGCCACTTGCGTCTCTCACATCCAACTTGCCATCAACCTGGCCCGCAGCTTGAACCTCCGTCTTGTCGTCAAGAACACCGGCCACGACTTCGGTGCCAAGTCTACCGGATACGGTGCTCTGTCCATCTGGACTCACAACCTCAAGTCGGTCCAGTTCTACAAGTCTTACAAGCAAGGCAGCTACAAGGGCCCCGCCTTCAAGATGGGTGCTGGTGTCCAGGCCTACGAGGCTTACAAGGCTGCCTACGACAACGGCGTCACCATTGTTGGTGGAGAGGGCCAGACCGTCGGTGTCATGGGTGGGTATATCCTCGGCGGTGGCCACTCTCCTCTCTCTGGAATCTACGGTCTTGCTTGCGATCAAGTCCTGGCCTTTGAAGTTGTCACTGCCGATGGCCGCTTCGTCACTGCCAGCGAGCAGAGCAACCCCGATCTCTTCTGGGCTCTCCGCGGCGGTGGTGGCGGCACTTACGGTGTCGTGACATCCGCTATTGTTAAGGCCTACCCCAAGATCAAAGCTGTTTCGACCATGACCTTCACTCTCACCTCTGGTACTGGCAATGTCACCGATGCCATGTTCTGGAAGGCCGTCCACAGCTACTGGAAGCGCTTCCCTGAGTGGGCCCGCGACAACGCCAACTACGAGTACTTCATCATTTCTAACATTGGAACTGGTTTCAACTTTGCCATGTCTCCCTGGTTTGCTCCCGGCATGACTGTGGCTCAGCTCAAGGCACTTGTCGCTCCCATGTTCGCCGAGTGGGCCGAGATTGGCATTGAGATTGAACCCGTGTACAAGGAGTACACCGACTTCTACCCTGCTTGGAAGAACTCTTTCCCTCTTGAACCTTGGGGTTCCTCCACTATCCGCCAGGGTAGCCGTCTCTTCCCCTCTAACAACTGGGCGAACGACACCATCATCGAGGACACCCTTGAGGTTGTCAAGGGTACTATTGAGGACGGCTGCTACTTCATCGGCTTCAACACTTTCACTGGTGTCAAGGGATACCCCAACAATGCCGCTAACCCTGCCTGGCGCACTGCATTGCTCCACGGTATCGGTGCTACCTTCTGGGCCGATGATGCTGATGAGGCTACCAAGAAGGCCGCCTCCGACAAGCTCACAGACAACTACGTCGCCAAGTGGCGTGCCATCACCCCAGGCGCGGGTGCATACATGAGTGAGTCGGATTACAGAGAGCCCGACTTCACCCAGTCTTTCTGGGGTTCCAACTATGAGATGGCTCTTTCGATGAAGGAGAAGTGGGATCCCCGTGAAGTCTTCTACGCCACCAATGCCGTTGGCTCGGAGAAGTGGGAGCTTCAGGACAAGATCTGGGGCAACCTCCCCAACCAGAACAGCAAGCTCTGCCGTGCGTAAATAATGTACTGTGATTGGGGTGACGCGCTGGTGTAACTATGGAATCTCCAGTTCATATGCCTCGGCGAATATGACGCTGGGGGAGTGTATAAAGACAATCATGTATATAACCGGTATATGGGACAACTTAAATTTCCTCCTGTACATAAATTATTAGACAATTATCAATTATACCTTTAATATCACTTGCCCCTGTATCAACCTCCGAATATCCCATGCAGTCTCCCATGTCAATTCATGAGCAGCAGTCCCTAACTATCTAATACTACGCTGCAACTAGGAACCAAGACATAACCGTACGGGATCCAGTGGTCACTAATAAACATTACATACTACTAAGATATGCCTCTTAAAATTCCACGAAGCTATCCCTAGATTATAGGGCTATTGTAGATGCTCATTGAGCGTGGCGTTAGATGACCCAAATGATGGCTTTTCCATCAACTGGCTGCCTGTCCGCCGATGTGAGCACTGAGGCCAGAGATAGACACAAAAGCGACTCTCCGAACAGCACTGTCTTTCTTCTTCCTAGCCTTTGCTCTCTTCCTTCGTTTTTAAAAAACACACCGCCTGCCATTTGGCTCTCCAGCGCCATCCTCAGGTAATTTTGGAGCCATTGCAGCTTTTTTTCGTCAATACACCGGGAGGATCTCGTGAGGATGGGGTTCTAATTATGAGATGGCGCCGAAGAAAGAGACAAGTTGGATCCTTGTGAGGCTTCTGGTAATCAATCCGATCAGCTTTGAGAAGTAGGACCTTTGAAAGCTGGCCTAGGGCAACTTCGTGAGCTGAAGTAGTAGGCTTCATTGCAATGGGCTAGGACGACGAGAGATGTCAGCCCCTCTTGTATTATATCACCCAGGATAAGGCTATTGTCTCCATGTAGCAAGCTTATTATCTACAGTTGGCAGGGCCGTTGACTACACACAGCAAGGCAATTGTCTACAGTTATCAAGGTTGAAGACAGAGGGTTGAAGTGAAGATTTAGGCAAAGGTCATTATCCAACAACTTTATTGCTAAGCTACTGTCTCTTCTGGCGCTGGATGTAGTACTAAATGTATATCTCTATTATTTGCAAGTACCGCATGGCTTTGATCCATCTGATGATGATATCAAGTAGAGCTAAAAACAAAACAAAAAAACAAATAAAATACTCATATATGTGCATAATAATTGTAAGTGGAATGGTTGGAGTTGAAGGCTTGCAGTTGATGTGACGGATGCGGGAGAGTGGGAGCTGGCTAGATTTTGGCGACCAAGCTCTCGTACCTTCAGACATGTTCAACCCAGATGCTGATCGGTTTAGAGTAGATATACTGTGGAATTTGGTAGATATCTCCGTTTGATCATTTCACTTCAAGAGGAGAGATCCATCTCAGTTGAGGCATACCTTAGCGTGCAACTACTATGTGCAAACAACACAGTTGTATGCCTAACTGCGAGCTTGGCTACAATTTGGTCAACCTCATCTCCATCCAAACCTGTAGCCGTCCTTCCGGCGCGTGCGCACAAAGACTTGCGTCCTTTCTCGTCGCTGCCCTCAACATCATCCCCACACCCCATTTGGTCAACTAATCGGTGACAACTCTCCGACCTCCCTCAGCTCAATAACTTTTGAGTCCCTGATTTTATGCCGCCCTCTCTAACGCCGAGAAGCCTCATAGGTGAGGGGTATCCGAAGGAGCCGTGCGCAAACATTGTATCCTCACTTGTTGTCTTTCCTTCTTTATTTAACTTCATGTTCATCATCGTATTGTGCTGTCCAGTTAAAATGGTCGGGCGTCGAGGTACTCTTGTGCCTTGGCCCAGGCTGCCTTGTCCGCTTTTGAAAGTTCTTGGTCTCTCAGAGTCTGGACGCCCTTGTTGAGCGCATCAACAAAGGCACAAGCAGTTCGGAAGTCCTCAGTCAGAGCCTCGGCAAATGGCACAAAGGTCTCGGGGAATTCTTGCAGCCGCTTTGCCCGTGCCTGCTTATCGTCACTGGCCTCGTCTTCGTCGAAAAATGTTCGGACGGCGATGCCAAGTCCAATGTCGGGCTCGGTCAGGAAAGGGAGTCTTGGATAGCGTTAGTCGTTGTGTTTTGTAGACATCAAATTGAACTTACCTCTGGCTGATTTCCAACTGATCATTCCTTTCGCGCTTGGATTGAGCGTACAGGAACATTGATGCGACAATGGCCTCGACCAGGTCGCGGTTGGATTCTCGTACGGTTGATGACAGAGACCGGAACACCAAAAGACTCTTGTTAAGAGGACCAGTGTATCCGTAAACCTGGTGTCGCAGCTTCAATAGGGATGCGCACTGGCTGATGAGAACCAAGCTTGACTTCTCCTCGTCTGTGCCCTTCCTGGGCAGGCCTGGCTGGTCCTGGACATAGGTTCCGTTCAACAGGCCAAATCGAATAAGCTCAAATGCGAGAAGGGCGGCCTCATCAACGCCGGGCACGTCCGGCTGGTCTTCATTGGAATCCTTGATGGCGAGGATCGTCGTAGCTAGCGCATTGCCCCAATCGGTGAGCTTGTGCTCATCGTTGACGTAGCCTCGGAGGTGGAGAAATCGCCAAATGGCGATCGAAGTTACCATCTCGGTGCTATCGATGCCCTTGATAGGCTTTTCCTTGGGGAAAGTATTCTTGACGAAGTCAAAGTTGGCGAGCGCCAAGACCTCGAGTGCAACAGGACCGGCAAAGTTGGCAGGCAGGAAGGTGGTGACATCATTAAGCTTGACGTTCCAGCTGGCTGCTTGTTGTGAAGGAGGAGGCTGAAGAGATCGGTGGTTGATGGTGTGAGAGAACTTCGGGTCGTACCAGACCCGCATCTTGATGGTCTTGTGCTGAATACCGCGGTGGAGTCTGGGAATGAGGAGGGCCAGAGCTTGTTCCTTGATGGGAACCACCTGCTTCGTGACTAGGTTCTTGTACTGGTCCGAGGCGACGCCGTCGAGGGTTGGCTGGATAATGATCTGGCCATGAGTGATAGCGCTCAGCAGGCGAGGCCCAATTAGGCCGGTGTTGACATAGTGGAAGAGCTCGGCAGGCAGCTGGAGTCCGAGGTATTCATGGTTGTCCTTGGTTAGGCGCTCGGAGTCGTTGACACGAATCTCGCCACTCTCTGCAATGTAAACGAAGTGGTTCACGGCCATTCTCGCCCTGTGGTACTTGTCGAGCCAGTTGGGGTCCTTGTTTTGGAGGATGTCGTTGAAGCTAGCGCAGGCAGTAGCGACGCTATTTTCCGAAGTCCTCATGAGATTGGCGGCAGTCGAGATGTTGTAGTCGGAGTACATGGAGTTCTCCAAGAGCGCGGGGAAAGGGGGGAGGAAAGAGGTGCCCGACATGAGGTATGAGTCGATGAATCTCTGCTCGCTGGCGGTGGGCGTGAGGCTGCGCATGACCTTCTTCTTGGAGATGGCAGTGACAGTCTTAGCATCCCAATCAAAGCTGCGGATGACCGAGTCCTTGACGGGATACAACAGAAGCTCCTGCGAGCCCATGACGCCCGAGCACTGGTCGGAGTCGATCATTTCAAAGTAGGCGAGCTGCACCTGGTTAGAATTGCAGATCGCAAGAACATATGTCGGCACGAACCTGGGCGCAAGCGGTGTACGGAGCTACCAAGAAATGGAGTCCCCGGCCCTTGATGATTCTCTGGAGCATGGGGTAGAGGTTTTGCATGCGAAAAGCCCCTATTGTATTGTTCAGTCAGTACAGTGCGCATGACAACCACAATAGTCGACGCACCTGGGTTGGCGCCAAATGTCGTCACGGCCTCCTCGGCTGCCGTCTTAGAGTACAAGTCCCAGGCCTCGTCCGTCTTCTTGTTGGCCTTGAGGCCGCGGTCGAGAGAGATGTCATCCTGTCCGGATACGGACTGGCCGTCGAAAATGAAGAAGGGGGTGATGTTGTGCTTCGCCCAGAGATCTAGGTTGTCATTGATGTGTGCTTCGATGCCAGTCAGGCCGCCGAGCGCAGACAGGAGAGGTTCGTGGGAGGGAGCATTATCGAGGAGCTGGTTGAGGTAGTAGGTCGCATCGACGGCAAGGGCGCATTGTTCGAGCTCGGAAATGTCGTGGGTGCTGTGACGTAGAGTCAGCGCAAAAGCTCAAGTGGGAGTCAAGAGCGACGGCAATACGTACGACGCCTGGTCGTTGATCCAGGAATCCTCAACAAGGACTAGAGGAGCGGTCAGCACATGCTACACGGGGAGGCCATCGTCTACGTGTTGCGTGGAGGCCAGGATGTTGGAGTCGACGACTCGGCATGGCGCTTGGGGCGTAGGTTGATTAAGGAGAGGTGGACGAAGCTCGTCAAGAGCAGCTAGAGCTGCAATTGAGCTTAGATTCGCCGTGACGGCTTCCCCTAGGAAGCCAACAGGCTACGTTGAAGCTAGCTGCGCCGAGACGAAGCTCACACGACCACAATGCTGGCACTCTGGCTACAGGCTCGGGGCCAACGGCCAACCCAGCTCAGTGGTCTCACCACGCCAGACACGCAGCAGGCAAGCAGGAGGCAAAACACAGGAGAGGCTTGGACTCAGACTCACACGGCATCTCGAACAGCTCACTGCGACTCAGTCAAGCGCCCGTGGATCTCGAGTTACCGGCGTCGAAAACCGGTGGCCAGGGAATTTTCAGGAGAGGGCGATCCGCGGACAAGGTTCGGTCGGTCGTTCGACGGGGGGGGGCAGAGGCGAGCGGAAGCTGGCTGTTGGCGGGCAAACCAAACCAAAGAACAAAGGATGGGGATGGGGATGGCGGGGTTGAGCACAGCACGGAGGGAGCTGGAGGGAAACAAGCGGCGCAGCTCTAGGGAGGAAGGAGGCGGAGGCGGGGGAGGAGAGGAGGGCCTTTTGGGGGAGGGAAGGCACGAGGGAGGAAGTTCCGGATGGAAGGCGGCGTGTCGGAGGGAGAGAGAGAAAGAGAGGCAGAGCAGGGGAGGCAGTGACAAACGGATGGATCGCTTTTTGCCAAAGGTTTCGGGTGAGGCTAAGGTAGGTAGGATAGTGCGCGTTGGAGACTTTGGACCTGGCAACAGGAAAGTTTGGCGAGTTACAGCATGGCAGGGAGCAACCGTAAAGGCAGGGGCGGTGCGGTACGGTACGGTGCGTTGCGGTGCGGTGCGTCGCCGGTGCCAGTTGGTGTAATGTACCTGGCGCACTACGGCCAGACGTACCTGCTGCGAGGTACCCTTCAAAACCCACATGTTTACAAGTCCACAGGGGACTTGCCTGCGCCCAACAAACAAGCAAGCCCTGGCAGTTGGCACTACCTGTGGCTGGTGCATGCGTCTTGTGTGCTGTGGCGGTGCGCACCAGAGCAAACCTAATTCGGCTCACCGACGCTCACCGTGCTGGAATAGCTCTCTTGGCCTGGCGGGGTGATGACGAGCCCCTCTCTCCCCTCTCCCACTTTCAGGGTCTTGCCCAAACAGATCAAGCTGCCTTTGACAAACGCGACCAGGCCTAATGCCAATCCCACGTTTTATGCCTAAGGCTGAATCTGCGTCAACCCTTTTGCCTCCTGTGGTTACATCCGAGTGATACAGATGCGGCCCTGCATGCCCTCGGCTTAGACATGCGGAGGTGACCCACCCACCAATCAATCAAGAGCTATATGACTACTGAGGAGAGACAACACCATTCTCGGCCGAACCCGGCCGCTGATAACACTCTTATCTCACTATATAAGGGCAACCGCTCCTCCAACTGCTCCATCACGCTCCACCTCTGCAGTACAGAAACAATGGCCGCCACCGCAAAGATCCCAATTATTGACGTTTCCGCCTCGGGCGTGGACCAGAAGGAGATTGCGCGTCAGCTTGTGGACGCTGCTGAGGAACACGGCTTCATCTATATTCGAAATCTGGGCCGCGACATCTCGGCCGGGGACGTTGATGGCGCATTTGCCCTCGTGAGTCACCTGAAATGGTTGGAACAAATAACTCAATGCTAACTGAGTGGCCCTGTAGTCGAAAAAGACATTTGAATGCCCGGTAGAGGAGAAGCAGAAATGCACTATCCAGACCAACAACCGAGGATGGTCGGGAATGCACTCCGAGACCCTGGATCCAAAGAACCAGAAGGTAAGCCATGACTCAATGTCTTTTGATTCTTCTCCCATCCACTTGTTCTGATGCTGATGGATCCCTATCTAGGTCGGAGACTTCAAAGAGTAAGACACCCGTACACCCCACTAGATTTGATGCGAGACAAGAACTCATACAAACAATCTAGAGCCTTCAACTTTGGCGAATTCACCAATGGCAAAGCCCAGCAACCTCTTCCCACCCCAATCCTTACAGATGAACCCCAAATCAGCGCCTTTTCGGATTCTTGCCATGCCCTCTGTCAAAAACTCCTCTACCTTCTGGGTATTGGCCTCGGTGTAAGCTAAATCTCACACCCTCTGAAGCTCAATGAGACTAGGTTGATCCTGATACATCCAGGTTGATGACTTCTTCTCTTCCGCCCATAAAAGGGACAAGGGCGCATCTGGCTCTATACTCCGCTTCCTCCGCTACCCACCAGCTGATTCTACGGCGCATTCCGAAGACGACATTCGTGCTGGAGCTCACTCAGACTACGGTTCCGTTACTCTACTCTTCCGCCTAAAGGGCCAAGCAGGCCTTGAGGTGCTTACCAAGGAGAATGTCTGGGCTCCTGTCCCTGTTTGCCCGCCCGGCACCGAGGATGACCCTAGCCCGCCGATTCTCATCAACATCGGCGACCTGCTCTCGTACTGGACCAACGGCCTGTTTCGGAGCACGGTTCACCGAGTTGTCTTCCCAACGGACGGGAGTGTGGGTGTAAAGGGCGAGACAAGCAATGGACCGAGGTACTCCATGGCATACTTCTGTCACCCCGTGGGGTCAGCACCACTCGAGCCCGTCCCCAGCGAGCGGGTAAAGAATTTCTTGCCGTCTGAGGGGACTCCGAATGCGAACCCATATGCCGAGAGGAAGGTCATGACCGCCGATGAGCACCTTTTCATGAGACTCAAGGAAAGTTACGGAGACTTGTATGATAAGAAATGATAGGTACAATGCCCTAAGCTTTTAAAACGGGTGCAATTCGTAAACTAACTCATGTTTCGTAAGTCATTGTCGTTGGATCCCTACTACACAATGCCGCAATACCACCGTCTCCACGGATCATGCCACCCATCATAATACTTTCGCGTGACATTCTCATCTTCCATGATCGTGACGTACTTCAACACCCGCCAGTCGTAAATTGTCACCCAATCGCGTCTATCCTCTGGGAGCGATGCCCTCCTCTCTTCAACAGATGCAAGGAGAGCCTTTGTTTCTGCTTGCTGCCCCACGCTGTCGACCAACAGGAGTGTGTTTGGGCGAGGTTCCCAGTGCTGGTCATCCACAGTCCTCGCCTTTTCTCGTTCTAACCAACCGTCAAGATCCTCGATGGGGTCTAATATGCCATGACCATGGAGTAAAGACTTTGCTTCGGCAGAGGTATCTAGAATGTCCGCGGCTATCAAGATGACGGTCTTTACAAACCGGCATGCGCTTCCGGAATAGCGACAGCTGGTTCGCAGGGGAGCCACTGATTGCGACTCTGCCTGTTCAGGAGTTTGAGAATGCGCGGCATATTCCTCTGCTCTCAGAAACGATAGCTCTTTGTCAGCTACTCGTTGATCCTCGCTGTCGGGGATCCCGCTGTCGGGGATTTCGATGTCTAAGATTATAATATCCGTTGTGTCCTCCATTGGAGAAGTTGGGCGGGGAATTTGTGAGGAGCGGAACTTTGAAGTGGTGGCAGTTGTGAATGATGCCTCGGGTGACGAAGTGAGGTCAATTACTTCAGGCAGGAGTTGTAGGTTGCAAAGTGGAATGGAAGAGAAAGACGAAGGATCTGACTGCGAGTTGCCATTGATGTCTGTCAGAGGTTTGCGTGTTTGCGAGGATGTTTGCTTCTGCGTAGGCTGTGCAGTAGTTTGGGTCAATGTTTGCTTTAATTTCTGTCGTTTGTGTGGTGATGATGGCTTTGCTGGAGGGGAAATGCGCTTGTGGCTGACATGTCTGTCGGTTGGCGAATTAGTTTGAATAGTGGGCGCAGACATAGTCGCATTTGTGACGTTTGTGACGGCTGGCAAAGGGCGCGTTCCCGCGAATCGATCGTGACAAGGGCTTTCTAGTCCAATGGGAAGTAACCTGGCAGCGACAGGCGAGGTCGGAGTCCAAGCCACGGTCGAGGCCTGGGAAGATCTTCGAGGCGATGGTGTAGGCATCGTTGTCATGGTGAGCTGGCTGATGGCATCCACTGCGACTCCTCGAGGATCCGCTCCTTCGAGCTTCGCAATCCACTGCAGGTTCTCCTGACTATCCTCCAACACCTTTGCCGTAGTGGCATCCTTCGCCATCTCCTGGAGCTGCTCAAAGGAGACAGTGTCCGTATAGTCACGATCGCAGTGGACCTTGGTCACTGATGGAAACCGCAAACTCCAAAATCCAGTGTTTCCCACCTTGTCAAAGCTGAAGCACTTCAAGTCAAAGACTAAGGGATTGGTAAAGACAACCGCCAACGGCATGCCCTGTTCAACACCCGGGGTAAGCTTGAGTTCGAGGTGAGTGTTCTCGTTGGAGGGAACAGGCATGGGGTTGGCGTAGGTGACGACATCTCTAAGCATCGTCTCGTTGAGCTCCACAACGTTGACCACAGTGAATTCAGGCTTGGCGTTCCATCTCTTGACTTGCTCTCTGTTGTCAAGACATCCCAAATAGAAGTGAGTCCATTTCAAGTCGGCAATTCGATACCCTCTTGCCTTGACTGGGTCGTATCGAGCTCCAACCACGGCAAAGTCCCCGACATCCCCGAAATTACCAATATATTCTTTTTTGAGCTTAATGCAACAACTTGAGAATGGTCGTCGGAGATCTGAAAAGTCGAAATATGGATCGTCCGGTTTTAGAACAAGACCTTCCTTTTTGCCTAGAATTGTCCTCGCAAATACTTTCCGCAAGTTTGATGCGCCCAAGTTATGATCGAAATCAATGACCTCGCGCTGGACCAGCTCTGCCCATCCTCTTTTAAAATAAATTAGGCTGGAGAGGAGTTTGAACCTCTCGGAATGGCGAACATTGATAAGGGACTGGTCGTCTAGGAGTAAGAGATCGTAATACACTATCATTAAATGTTCATGAGGCCCAGGCCTGCTTCGCTTAGTAGTTGAACAATGAACAAGGGAGGGCTTACTATACAAGGAGTCCTGCTCCGTATTCAAAAAACGGCCTCGTCGAGATACATGCTTTCTTACTTTATGAAAAGGGAGAATTCTTTGTTCCTGTGAAGTGTTAGAATATGTTGGCATCGATCAGGCTCATCTGGACGCACGGAATCATCGTATACAAGCAATTCGCCTTCCAAAATGCAACCCTTTGTGACCCTTGCGTCACCCTGTCCAATTTTTAATGATTCTAGAATGATCCTATGGAAATTAGTTTCGTTGCATGAAATTGAGCTGTGACACGTACCCATGAAGCGCCTGTCTATCCTCAGTGCTATCCTTGCCGCTCTTCGAGAAAATTTGGACGCATTGGTCGCCTTTACTGAGGTCGATATGAATTTGGCAATACTCCCCATCCATTTTCTCTTCAACGCTCATTCGCCCATGACCCATGTCAAGAGAATGCTTGATGCTTCGTCCCTTCATCCAGGGTTGCCGCCCCACCTTGACTCCCAGCTGAGGCTTAACGAAGCTGAGTATCCGCTCTCGAGATGTTTTGCGCGCCCCAGTAGGCAAGAGCCTACTCCGAATGGCCTGAACAGTATTAATGGCAGTAGAAAAGTCGTCCTGGACTTTAAGCACTGAAGGGAGGATTGGATCGCAAAGACGGTAGATAAGATGAGGATCGAGCAACAGAGGCTGGTAATCTTTGAGGATGAGCCTGGTGAACCATTTGGCCTCGTTTGCATTCAAACGCCTGTAAACTTTTTCGAGATCGCCCCGGTTGCCCTGGGTAAGGGTAGCCTGGGAGCTTCGGATGGCAGGGGAACTCCATTTCACCCTGGAAGCCAGAGATTGCAGGATCTCGTCAATTTCCTCGACCGTAACCTGATGCTGTTTGTCGAATGAAGGATTTGGCTGACGAGTGATTAACTAGAGTTATTTTTGATATCTGGACCTGACACTCACAGTCACGGTGAGGAGTCGGGTAACACAATCAGCCAGATCAACCCCCGAGCCAGGTTGTCGATACTGTGACAATTCCGCAATACGAGAAGCCCCAAGAAAGAACGCCCGACCAATAATTTTTTCAAGAGTAGGCACCTGGATGCAGTAGACCCGATCTGTTCTCTTTTCTGGCAGCAATGTGGACAAGAGGGCACCTAGATTGGCATCGTGTGCATTGACGCGATCTCGATGACGCGTAAACCAACCGGCCACGACATGTGCGTTGCTCTTACGGGATACCGAAAGCTTGTAGGATGGTTCAAGCAGGTCGCAAACCAGGGCAAAGGGGAGCGGCATTGTGGAACAATGTCAAAATCATATCAGCGATGTTGGGAGGACGGGTCCAGGAGCGGGAGAGGAGACTGCTGATATAAAGGATCCGCTCTGGAGGTCGGTGTGGAATGAAGCTGGGTCTATTCACAGGCAAGCGCAGTCGCAGCTGTAGGCAGCAAGGGCAGTTGAGCAGAATGACTCCATTCTCGGGGGAGGATTTACGCAGCTGGGTCCGAGAAGCCTGGCGACAGTGCCTGGCTAAAGTGCCTGATGAGGTGTCACGCGTGCAGGATGGCCCGCACGTCTCCATCAAGCTAAAGTGAACACGGTACGCGACAATAACGGGAAGTCACATGATGTCCATTAAAACACTCCCTCATCCCATCTTTGTCCCCCATGCCATCCCCATGCTATCCCCATACCCTGAGTCCTCGGTCTCTCGCTGACATCAGCGGGGCGGACAAGCAATGGAATGCGGCACTGCAACCGGTTGAGGCATGACCTGCACGTGCAGACCCGGTGACAGGGCAGATGAAACACCACCACAGGGTCCATTGGCTGCTGCTAATTTCGGCGGAAATTGGGGCCAAGCGGCCATGTTGCACGGTTGCAGCTCAATTGCTGATGCGGCCCTTGCGTCGCCGCTACGCCGTTGCTGGGATTGGCGGGGGGATTGCTTGTCATGCTGGCAGTGATGAGAGCCAGTGAAGAGAGGGCACTACCACGAGCCCACAGTGCACTACGGAGTAGGGCGGGAGTGCTAGGCCCCTGTGGGAACGCCTGTGGACACACTTGCGCCAGCGGCCACTGGGAATCTGGCATCGAGCTGCGGCCCAAGTTGCGTGGCTCTGACTGGATCCCTTCGAAAATGGTGAGCGAATGTCTCTCTCAAGGAACCCCCTACTTCCTGCACCAGCATGCTGCAGGTCGTGCATCTGCAGCACGCCGCGAGCAACAGGAACCACAAGCAGCCAATGGCGCCGGCCGTATGGGGCCCGTTCTGGCTGGCCAACGGTGCCTCGAGCGATCCTTTTGGGCCATGGGCCATCCCATCGCTCCGATGAAATCCCCAACACGGACGGGCGCGGACCCCCCTGAGGCTGAGGATTGAGAATTGAGGGGCCGATGGTCATGAGAGGGTCAAGCCCGTCCCTCCGGAAGACACATCGACTCACCACCACACACTGTGGCAGACGAGTTGGGAGAGCCCAGCTGAGCAGCTAACGCGATGAGCATCGAGAAACGCAGCAAACTAACGGGGACCGGGGTCCGATCCACTGCCGACAGCTGGTTGTCCGGGTTAATGGTGCCATTTGGGCTGCGTCTCACAGCTCCGTTGATGGATGCATCCCGATGATAATCATAATAGTCGCCGCAATACGGGTACGGGCGGCGTCGGGCGCTGCCGAGGTGAATATAAACAAACCGCACCTCGTGATCTTGGACGACTTCCCGTTGGGATTCCTCTGTTCCGGCTCTCCCATTTCGCATCCGACCCATCCAACCGTCGTCATTCATTCATTTATCCATTATCATCACCACCGCGTCCCACCCACACACACACTGTTTTTCAATAGGTTCCTCACCGCCGTCGTCCAGTTCCAAGCATGATTGATCGCCACTCGCTTGGTTCTTGACAGACACCTCATCTCCCCCGCCCACGCTCATTTACGTCGCCAGTCTCGATACTACCGTTCCTTATCAGCACGCGCAGCCCGCCATCCAGACCCCCGCCGCCCCTTCATCCCCTAGAATAACGTCACCCTGCCCCGGACGACTTCCCCCTGGCCGACCCCCCGGTTCTGAGTTCCCAGACCGCAAAACGCCCACGCAACTCACTCAACTCACCCCCAATGGTTGTGCCCTAGGCGCGAGTCTTGCACTGCAGAGTCCACTCTGGCCCTTCTCGCACTCCCCAGCTGGGTTTGGTTCAGCGCTCTAGGCGTCGTCGGCGCTTCTGTTACCGCCACTGAGGGCCGCTGAGAGCCACTGAAGAGCCCCCGATACGCCCTCAACCCCCTGAGCCTCCACCACAACGGCGGCGCCAACCCCCAATGCGCAACACCACCCGCCGAAACTCGCCTACGCCTACAGTCCTCCACACCTCTCTTTCTCCTAACCCGCCATCGCTCCCTGATGCCCGGTTTCCTCCTTCAACTTTGCGCCGCCCATCGTTGTTCGTCCCTTTTGTTTGATGATTATCGCCATCTGACCCAAGCCCACCACAGAGCGCTCGCTGCCCGGCCCGTCGTCGCCGCCGTTGGACGGCGTCGCAGAGTCTATCGTGCTCCCGTCACTCACTTGCAGAAACGCCGAAAGACCGGTGACTTTTGTTCTTTTAAGCTCCTGGGGCGCCGCCTCGACATGGCTTCCCAGCAAGCGGTCCGCCGCCGCTACTCCGTTGCTGACCGAGTGCCTGCGGATTCAATCATGCCTGCTACAACCGCCGCTCCCAGCCCGGACAACATCAACAACAACCCAAAGACAACAGATGCCCCCGTCGCTGCGAGCGTACCCGCCCGTGACCTCTCACGGACTCGCCAGCAGAAGCAACCTGCCTCAACAACACACAGCCGTCAGGACAGCGCCGCCTCAACAGCATCGATGCCTCCACCGCCAGTCTCCCGAGAGGATGCTCCCCCCTTTAAACGTGGCCACTCACGCTCAAAGTCCAGCATGTGTCGACAGGTCAATCGACTCTCGCTAACCCTTCCAATTGCTCCCCCAACCAGCGATCCGTCCAGACCGACTCCCACCTCTGTTTCCGTGCCCCCCACGCCTATCGACTCGGCTGCCACTTCACCCTCCGACGCCAATGAGTTCATCATTGCCATTGCCGCTCAGGAGAGACGGGTGCTGGAACTTCGTGAGGAGTTGACTCGTGCAGAGACAGATCTAATTATCCTGAAGAAGAAATGGTCCTCACAGGATGCATCCCGCAAGAGGGCTGAACAGTACCCTCGAGAGGCTGTCCGGCCCACGACCCAAACCTCTGACGATGAGCCGACATCGGCAAGACGCAGCGTCGACCAGGACCGCAGAAAGCTATTGCAGCAGAGCCAGCCTTCAACTCCCCAAACACCTCAAGGTCGACGAAAGGTCATGCGCGGCGGCCACACCAGAACCCTGTCTCTCCTTTCTCCAGGAAAGGACGGAGCCTTCTCCCTCTACGAGGACCGCCCAGATCAGGAATCCGTCAAACTTCCCACGATTGAGCGCAGGGCTGCTCAATTAACCAACCCTAATCTGGCCAAGAGGGCCTCCTGGGCGCCGCGTTCCCAGCAAAACGTCCCAGGCGTTGCCCAAATGGCAGAGGACTTTAAACTAGGCTTCAAGGCTTTTGTCGACGACATTCGTCAAATCACAGTCGGAGACGAGCCGATTAATGGTCAGCAACTTCGATCCAGGGCAATTGAATCCCGTAACTCACTAGAGAATCAAGACACTGTTAGGCCGAGCCACGCCCTCCGACCGAAAGTAAGCACCGTGTTTGAGCCTCCTCACTCGGCCGAGTCGAGCCCAGTTCGAGGTGCCAAATCCGCAACGGCGACGAAGGAGACCCAGGACAAGGCAAAGACTAAGGGCAAACACTTTTCGTGGACCCCTCTTGGGGTTGACTCACTCGACGACAATGATTGGTCCAACTGGGAATCGCCGGCATCCACCAAGACCTCGCGCTGGAGCGGCTCGACCATGGGCAGCAGCCTCGACGACACGCCCGATGAGGACGAGCCGACCTCCACGCCCTCGTAAGCCAACTCACCATATTATTCTTCGACCTGGTCACATTCTAATTTCCCATCTAGAAAGAGAAAGTCGCTTGGCTTTGATTCCCCTCTCCTTTCCCCCAAGCTAGAGGAAATCTCGAATATGGTCAACCGACTCACGCCGACCAGTCTCAAGCGAACCGCGACCAACCTCATGGATGAGTGGGAGAAGTCACTAACGGAACCCCAAGTTCAACAGCGACGGGTCCCGAGCCAGGCCCGGGGCAAGGCTCAGAACAAGGAGAACAGTGTATAACAAGCGACAGATCATCATCTTGGTTTCCTACTACGGCGCAACCGGTCATATTGAACATACACAGAGCAATCTGAATACAGGGAAGGGAGAAGAAGAAAACTCAAAAAGTTACGGCGATACAGACCAACATTTTCACGAAGACAAAGACTCAAGGTCTCTCTGGAGGAGTTTGTATTCTCGCAGGTTACACTGGATCTTGGACCGTACATGGGGCGATATTTCTTTTGGTTTGCTTGCGAATTGTTTGGTTGGGCGAGTTGGAAGAAGGCTGCAAGTCTGTGCGTGCGTGCGTGCGTGCGATTGTTATCTTGTTGGGATAATGATAATGAATGACCATCATGAGTGATGACTGAGGAATCTTTGTATTCTGAGTCTGAATTCGAAATATCAAGAAAACATGCCAAAGTAAAATTACGAGTTTGGGGTGGACTTGGGATGTGATGTTTCTGGAAATGTGATTGCCGCACACTTTGCGGGCTGTGTGCTTAGATTACTTGCATATGGGTGAGATGGATCATGATGATGGGCATGATGATGAATCCTGTCCCCACGGCGGGCCGTGTGTCGTGTTGCCACGATGTGTCCGGCCCTTCAATCCACTGCTGTCTCAAGAATTAGGGCAGCGGGCGGACAGAACTCGGGGATGGGACGGGGAACAGTGGACAGCTATTCCTCCCCCGCATCCCACTGCGTCATTTCAAAACAGCTCAGCAACACAGGACAAAGGGAAATGATGATCTGGTCTGGGACACATCTCACTTCTAGATCCAAACTAGATGAAGCCAGAAAAGACGGAACGGCGCCTCCACTCTACATAAAACCGGGCGTTACCAGGGCAGCCGGGGTTTCTGAAGTGTGGCTGTGGGTGGCTCGGGGCCGTGGAGATGCCGTTCCGTTGGGATCGATGGCCGATGGCTGAGGGGGGATGCGGGAGAGTGGAGAGTGGAGAGTGGATGCGAGTGCGACGCCCAGCTTCTTCCATTAAGTTAACTAGCGGGGAGCAGGGAACTCGCTGGAAGCACGGTAGGCGGTGTGGTCGCACTGGGAGACCGAAGGGCAAAATGGACCCTAGAGGCTACTGCATGCACCTGCGCGTCGACGATGCGGGCGGATGGAGATGGCGGAGGAACAGGCGGTTGAGAGAGGGCGAGGGAAATTGACCATTGTTCATAATTGCGCCGGCCCCGATGGACCGACTGCGAGTCTGGAAAGTAGTAGCAAAATGTGCCGTCGTCAAGGGCGACATCTCCATCACCAACCTACCAACTCAAGAGCTGGTTTTTCCGTGTCTGCTTGATTCAGGTGGCGGTCCCACCAAAACGGAACCGGCCTGGTCTGGATGTCGCGCTGCTTTTTCTTTTTTTCTGCATAAGCCACCCACCGATTTGAGCCGATTCCCACAACAAGTGGTCAGCTCAAATCGACAAAGAAAAAGAAATATCCTGGGCTGTTCACGACCACGAGTGGTGTGACCCCCGACGTCACCGGATCAGCCGAGGGGCCGGCCCGGAGGTTTACGGACTTTGCCGCTGTTCCATAACATGCGCCGAAGCACACATCCCGTTGCGTCGACGGATCTGCGACAAAGTCGGAATGAGGATGAATTACTTGCCCTGAATCCTACGCATGTGAAGCAGGCCCAGCGTAGACGTCGGCGTCGGACCAACAAAGAAGGGTGCTTTGTAACTTGAGTTTGCAGAGTCGCTGGTGCTGATGGTGGCTTTATAGGCGGGTGCGAGTGCGAAGCCACACACGTGCGAATGCGCCCTCACAAGACCGAAGCTGACACGCCCCTCGCACTCTCTTTCGCACAATGAGCAAACCAGAGAGGACTGTTCGAAGAATGTTCAGAAATACGTGACAAAGTGCAAATGTGTAGGCAGCTATTGGTTTAAGTGAAATGATTTTGTCTAAATAAAAGCTGCCAAGATGCCACCACCTCCAACCCAGCTCTCTTGACCATCACCAATACCATCGCCTCTAGCACCTGGTACCTATCACCATTTACACAATAGCCAGAATCTCGCCATTGCGGACTTGCAACAGCCAAGATGAACCATCCCCAATTCCGTCCCAAGTTGGCCTTCACCAACAAGCCACTAAACTTCCTACCCAAGGCCAAGACCTCTGTAAGTCCAAGTCTCGCAAACCCCAAAGAGCCCTGTTTTGCTGACTGTCATGATTAGGCCATGTTTAAGGATGCCTTTAAACTCCGCACCATCATCCTCATCGGAGCCATCATCCAGATTCCTCTCTGCGCCATCTTGCCCATTCGCTATGCCATCATCCCTGCTCTGGCTCTCCTGCTGAGCTCGATCATCACGACTATTTCTCAGGCTCGGAAGCCGGAATCTAATAATTTCATGAACCACATTGTCACTGGTCGCTCTAGTGCGCAGGTTCCCTCCACTTCCACGGCATCCCTCGGCCGTTTCAGCTCACAGCCAGCTGAAGCCCCCATCGTCGTCTTCAACATCGGCTCCCAATTCAACCACCCGCTCGGCATTCTCGCCCCGGGAGTCAAGGACCTCGGTGAACGCTTCTTAGCCTTGAAGCGGGATCTATTAAATCGCCGCGAGGAATTCGGTCTCCTAGGTGTATCGTCGTTCATCGGCAACGAGCAAGCGAGCAACAACACCAGTATGCTCACCTGCTTCTTTCGCGACGTCGAGAGTTTGCATCGCTTTGCGCACGAGCCGATGCATCGAGAGGTCGTGGGCTGGTTTGACCAGAAGAAATACCCACACATTGGCGTCTTCCACGAAACCTTCTGTGTACCGGCTAAAAATTACGAGACGGTGTACCTCAACTGTCGTCCAGTCTTGCTGGGCCGAGCAGCAGTCCAGATGTCAAGCCAGAAGGCGGAGCCAGAGTGGGCAAATTGCCTAGTCAGTGCGGACACACCACTGTTGAAGACACAGTATTCGAGACTGTCACGCTATGAGACTGGAAAACCCAAGGAGAATGAGTGAGTAGATACGGCTTGGATGTTGGATTGCGGTGCTTTTCTCTTTTTTTTGCTGGCGCATAGGGTTGTCATTTTATAGCCAAGGCAAAAGCCCAACAAGGGTGGATGTTGTAATGACGTTTGTATAAAATCTAGGCGAATGTGGCGTGTGTTAGGAGCATCGGTTTTGGTGGTTGTAATTGGTGCCAGCGCCACCATACCTACATAGCATGCGAGAAGGTAATTGGAGCTTAATATTTGTATCTCATCAACCGAAAATCCCATTCCTAGTCACATGAATCGTTTAATGATAGTGATTGACTAGGGACTTGCTAAAGAGAGTAAAGGGAAGACAACAAGAACAATACTACCAACTCTCTGCTGCTGATGAAAGAAGATCCCTCCAATCCTCAGGCAGATATCTTGACAACTTAGTACAGCTCAAACAAAGAATAGTACCAGCACAGCCAAAACTCGGTTCCATATTCGTGCGAGTAGACCGGTCCGAAATTCGTCATAGTGAAAGAGTGTGAATTCTGAAAGATAAGTACAACTGCCCGGGCGCGCGACAGCTGTAGTTGAGTGTGTTATTGAAGTGTGTTTGTATGAGTTTCGTGTAAACTTGCCGAGGACGGACCCCAAGGCAACGGTTCACCAATCCAGTCAAATTCGATGAATTCTGAGGGGAAATCGTTCTCTTGATACAGGGGCATTCCAAGCAGTTCGTCTTGATTGAAGGGCATGAGCTGCTGCCCTACCAGAGGATCGTCGAGATTGGGTGCCGAGGAAAGAAGATAGGGTTGGTAATCCTCTCGAGTCGGCGTTGTTGGTGAGGTCTGAGGGATACTAAGCACACCACTACTATGGCTTGATTGTGAAACCGAAGCGGGGCCTTGCATCCAAGGAGACATCATTGAGTATTGGGCCGGGACGACGTCTTGGCAATTGCCAGTATCGTTCTCCGTCCCGGCATCGTTCTCTGTCCCGGCAGACGGAGTCTCCTGGACCCTCTGATCAAACCGGCTCTGGACCTCGTTCAGCATATCCGTGAGAATCGGTAAAAAATTGCAGTCATCTCTAACGTGCAATGGTTGGCCATCGAGGACAGCCGGAACGATTCTATGCGCCTCCTTTTTCCAAAAGTCTTGTATCATCCCCACGGTCTCTTCGACCACAGGTCTGATATAAGGACTCTCTGGTTTTGGCTTGTTCTCAAAGAGGATGTTCCAGATCTTGTACCATTGTCCGAATGGGGACAGAGTGCGGTCGTGACGGATTTTCAAGAGCTCCAGCCTCTCTGGCGAGACACCTTCGGGGTTGCTGGTCTTGGCATGAGGTGAGAGCTCGCAGGACCTGGACCGGATGTGTTCGTCGCGCGCCAGACAGGAGGAGAAGACCTCGTAACAGACGGGACAGGGCAAGCCCTGCAAGTGTCGTCGTTGGATATGTTGCCGAACGTCTCGGATCCGCATCAACTTGAGATGCATACAGTTCGTGTAAGAGGATGGAGATAACTTGTAAAAAGGACAGGCCCAAGCCCGTGAGTCGCCTGCTGACTTTTCTCCGGGTGGGTTTCCAGGGCATTCGTCTTCGTCGTCGTCGTCGTCGCCGTCGTCTGAGTCGAAGTCTCTTTCTTTGTTCAGATGATCCAGCCTACGAGTTGACTGGTGCCCCGCTCGTGACGTTGTGCCAGATGTCTTCTTGGCTACGCCTTTAGAGCGGCAAGATGATTCCTTCTTTCTCGATGGCGGAGCGCCTCGTTGTAGAGTGTGCAATGAGCCATGTACATTGCACACCGAAACCGAAGTTCCTGCCAGGCTCTCTGTTGACGGATCGATTTGTTGGGCATTGTCGGTAGTGGACGAAGGGAGGGTAACTCTGGAGTCGACGAGACCACGGAAGACGAGTGGAAACCAGCCGACACTGGGCGCTTTCAACGATGTTCCGATATTTGGGCCGGCCGAGCATAATTCTGTATGTCCTTGTTAGTTGGATCGCCACATTTGACTGGTGTGTACATACTCAAGTTGCCCTCCTTGCTGGAGCTGGAGCTGTTGCCACCATACAGGCTCCGAAACGCTCGAAATGCTGTCCCCAATATTCCAGAGGAATCTGACCTGTCCATCGACGAGTGAGCCTCGTTGTTGAATCGGCAAATCAGTGTGACTCCGTAATGTTCCATGTTCAGCAATGGGGCGACGGGAATTGAAGTCTTCAGGTAGAAGTCTTCGTAACCAAGTGATGTTGCCACAAGAAGCGCTCCGAGTTCGCACTGGGGCTATTTTGGCTAATAACCCCCGTATCAGCAAACGCGTGATAAAAAGCAAAGGACGGATAATACTCTAATGCAGTCCCCACAGCTCCAGCCCTTCGAAATAGGGCATGACGTAGAACGTTGGGTGTCCGACTCAGTTGTGATTTTTGGGAGCAGGAATGCCCGACTCACTGGTGATTTCTTGGACAAGGGGTGTCCGACTCACTGTGATTTTTGAGAGAAGAGTGCCCGACTCATTGTGATTTTTGAGAGTAGCGTTGCATGGTGGCTTGCCAATAGGCCTGACCCCCAAGCCTGGCGGAATTGCTTCTTTCACGTTGGTGACAACATGAGCGCGTAGTTTTGACGATCCGATTGGAAGAAGTGCAACTATGATGGGGGCGCCGAGCCACCGAGCCAACTACCCATGAGTCTTAGCCTTAGTCATCCCTATTGAGAGAAGATATCATTATCTCTAGTCCAACTTGCGCCTTTGCAGCCTTGTTTTGCTGGCTTGTGGCGCCTGGTATCCACCGACGTTATTGTGCAATCAGGAGCCCCGAATCCCGAGTTGGGGCGGTACGACTCGGTGGAGTCGAGGGATGTATAACAATTGTGCCCACGAGGCACTCCTGGGTGTAAAGCCGCATGTGATGTCTCAGCCGCCGGCGTGTGTCCTCTCGGGCGAAGTGTGTTGCATCTCGGAGCGTATCAGGCTGGGTGGATGTGGGGGCGGCGGAACAGAGGACGGATTAGGAGAAAGAATAACGAAAGCGATCACAGTTGAAATATCTAGATATATCCGTACGTTCTCAGCTGTGTATCTTCTTCGTCACAGAGGTGTCAACATCATAGTCCGGTAGCTATTTTGGGCTGTATCAAGGGTCATTATCAACCCGCCGCCGCGCACACTTGTAAAGCGCAGCCGAGTTCTCATCATTGCTCACACCTCAAATCTGCCACAGCCTGGCCGGGCGGCCCCAGCCCCTTGTCTTGCTAGGGCTGGATCGAGGCATTTGTTCTCAAGGCTCAGTCGAGTACGCGCCTGTGCTGGTCGGCCAGAGGTAGCCGGCCTTGGCTCCGGGTTTATTGGACAGGACTGAATGTGCGCTCGTCACTGACCTGTTGCAACGGAGTGTGCCCAGCTGTCAGCCCCCCGTGGTTTGCCACTCGGCATCGGACGGGGTATGGGTGTGTGTGGGGTGTGTATTCTTGTGTATTTTCTCAGCGGTGTTAGTTCTGAAAAGCCATCACGGCCTCCCAAAGGTCGTAGCCGATTCCAAGTTAAAAGGATGCCGAAACCCTACTGGATAGTTTGCAGAGACATAGACTGCTTAGGTTCCCTCCGGAGTGCATATTTTCCCCCTTGTTGGGTAGTGAGCGTTCAAGCCACCATCACCATGTCTCAGCCCATCGAGAACTTGTCTTCGACGGCGGAGCCTGACCAGCAGGTCGTCAAGTACAAACGCACCATTAGGCGCCGCATCACCCGGGATCTGAAGAAGTTCTTCAAATCACCACAGCCACGAGCGTCTGCCTACTCTCCTGCCGAGAGCGAAAGCCAAAGTACGGATTGGAACTCCCCCGACTTCCATTTCAAGAAGCTTGAGTCAATGTATGCCAAGGTGGTAGCCCTGCTAGGCAAGAGAAAGTGGGAGCCGTCGCAGTTCAACAAAGATGACGCCGATGAAAGCTCCGGCGGCAGGGAAAACAACCCCAAAGGCCAGTCTGGCGACAATGACAACCACAAGAGGCCTCCAGAGTCCTTCTTTGCTTGCCCCTTCTACAAGCTCAACCATAGAAAATTCTCTGAGTGCGGCACGTGCAAGCTGAGGGATCTCAGATGCGTCAAGCAACACATCAAACGCAAACACCTCGCTGGGGACGATTGTAAAAAGTGCGGGACTCGATGGAAAGACAAGAAACAATGGGACGACCACATCCGAGCCGGAGACTGCCAGCCTCGCACTCCTCCCTTGAGCCCCTGGGTTGATGGATTTCTTCTCGAGGCAGAGTTGGGGGTCATCAAAGGGTGGGGGCCAAAGGGGGACGAATGGCAGAAATGGAACTGGATGTACAAGAAGCTCTTCCCTTGGAGCAAGATGCCCCAATCGCCGTATGTTAGGCACGGGGCGGTTGGCGTCTTGGAAACGGTCAGCCCGCGGCTCGAGCGAGCGCTGCAAGAACGGTTTAAGGCTGTGGAGTGCCAGTGCGCGGGAAAGGATTCCGGGACCATGTCGAAGGTTGCTATGGATGCTTTTTATACCGAGGTGAAGCGTGACGGAGATGAAGGGGGTGAACCTTCCGAGAGCTCCGAGAGCTCCGAGAGCTCCGAGAGCTCTGACGGCTCCGACACCTCCGACACCTCGTCCTTGGCTATAGCCGACCGTCCGATGTTCCCCCCGGCCCCGCAACTACCGGTGATGGCCCCACTTGGGACGGAGCCGGCCGTCTACGATGCCGGCGAGCCCTCCACTGTCAATGGATCCCTCGTCCCGGAGCAAGACCAAATCCCTGACTTCAACAATGACGACGTCTCGGCGTTCGGAGACCTGACGAACCATCGGCCGGCGACAGCGCCACTTGAGGCTGGCTATGCCCAATACGACAATTCTCAGTCCCATTTCCCAGGCATGACTCCCGGTATCGCTGGGACTCCCCCCTTCCTTGGATACCAGCCCCGAAACTCCTCTTGGGGCTTCGAGGGATACCAGAACCAAACTGGTGATCAATCTTTTGGCAGTGGTGGTCCCCAGGGGTTCCAAGCTAGTGAGAGTGAATATCGGCCGCACCAACAGCAGCAACTGCAACAACTGCAAGAAGCCCAGCAGCAACAGTGGGAATATTTCATGCGGGAACGCCAATTGCTGCAGCAACAGTTGAATTGTCTCCAGCGGGAACGCCAACTGCTGCAGCAACAGTTCCCGATGTTGCCTACAATGGGGAACGGAGACATGATCATAGGCACACTTGATCCCTCCCTCTTCGGTGCGCAAAACGACGCTGGTCCCCAGACATGATCAAATGATACCCGGGATTGCACAACAGACTCTTCGGGTCGACGATCGTGCACTTCTACATGTCCATGTTGCATCGCTTCCGCTTGGCCAGAATTTTATTTCGTTTTTTGATACGGGGGGCTCTTTCAAAAGTCTTATCCAGGCGCTTGTAAACCACATCTATTTATACCTGTCGATATATATAAAGCTGTTACAGTCTCGTTAAGGTAACCTGCTATGCTTAAGGGCTAATAGAAATTAGGAAGTACTGAGTGTACTTAGTATACTTAGGTATCTACTCTAATAATTAGTTGACTTATTGGCGTTATTTTTCTTCTGGATAAGACTTTTGAAAGGGCCCCTCCGTACACCGGGCCATATATGTTTCTATCTTGTTTTACTCAAAATCACTTTGGTATCCTATTGGCACATTTTGAATCAGCGTATTTTGGCCACTTAGAATAGAATCACTGTTTGGTTGATCGGTATGCTCATTTATGACCCTCGAGCCTCGGCCCTTAATTCTCAATGCATTTACAACTTAAGCATGCTCGCCCTCTGTCCCAAAATCACCGATCCATACTGCTTCCAAGCCCTCACATTTCTCCAATATTACACAAATTCAGACTCCGCCGTCATTTCCCAGCACCTTCCTCAATAGATCATCCAAAGTCTGCCTATGCAGAGCCTCCAACGCCATCTCCTCGTCCTCATGTTGTCGAACAAGCAGGCCACAACTCGCCAGGTACTCCGCAATGCGTTCCCTGCCGTACCGGGCCCAGTAATCTCTCACCATGGTCACCACCAGGCCTACACCATCTCCCAGGTACGCTGATTGATGAGAGCTGGCGCTGGGAGAGACAGCAGCCCAGATGCGCTGCCACCGCTTGGGCTCGCTCAGGTACATCCTGTCCTTCCTCATCAAGTTGAATATTGCATACTCAGTGAGACCGTCCACCTTGTCGGGGCTGCGTAGCTCACATGTCCTCGCCTGGATATGTGTTTCACATTCCACACCGTCATCGAATGTTTGTCGACATATCGGGCAGTACGGCGGCTGTTTGTGATACCTTTGGAGGTGGCGAATCACTTCCTCGATAGAGTGGAGATCGTCATGAAACAGACATTGCTGGTACCTTGTCGGATTGGAGACGTAGAAAGGACAGGCCAGACGACAGTAGCCGTCGACGCGGGAAATAACAACGAGTTCGGGGTCGGACCCATCTTCTTTCTCTCTGAAGCGGGCTGATTGACCCTGCCAGTATGTCACTCTGGCGCGTTTGCGAAGCTGGTTCCCATCATTCGGTGGCATGACGTATCGTGCCGTGGTCCTCCAGGCCTGAATCTTCTCAGAGAAAAACTCCAACATTGAAGATCGCAGGTTTTGGAACGGATGATTCTCAGGTAAATTGTACTCTTCAATGACGCTGTATTCACAAACGACGGCTTCGTCCTCGCTGTCGAGGTCTTCATCGGTGTCACAGCCGCAGCTCGAGGAATGACTCTCCAGTTCACTGTCAGAGGTAAACAACCTGCCCTTGTTTATAGAATTGGATGGATTGAGGAATGAGGAGTGATCGCGGTGACCATGGTTCCTAACTTGTGACACGGCCCGCCCAGACCTGTCCCTTTTGGTTCCGAAGAGTGGAGTGATGCGCGACTCATTGTTCCGGTGACTTTCTGAAGGATTGGACGCAGAGGATACGCATCCAGACGCCGGTCTCAATGGAAGATGAGATACTGTACTCGCCGTGTTGCGGCATGTAAACTGGGGCGAGTGCCTTGCCTTGCCAGTCGAATCACTCTCACAAATCCCGCTCGGCGTCGCGGCCCCGACATTCCAATATGTGGTATCCGAGCAAGTTCTGATATCGGTCGAGGTTTGAGGATCTTTATTCCGATCAACATCGGGTCTCCGAGACTGATCAGTTCTGTTAATTCCAGGAACTGGGGTTGCATCCACGCAGTTGTAGATGCCGTGGTGTTGTCGGAGAAGTGTATTCGAAGTAGATGGAGGGGCTTCTGAATCTGAGGTCCCCCCCACCTTATTTGTCGGTAAATGAAGGAGTTTCATTTCTCTAAGTCAACGGTGAGTGAAATTTGCCAAACATGTCCTTCTAGAACTCTCACCTCAATGTAGATGAACGGCAATCGGCCACTGGTTGTAAAGCTCTCAATGTACCTGTAACAAAGGCCCTAAGCCCCTAAAATATGTGCTGGACATTAGCATCATCCTCTTTATATATAACGGAGACATTGAAAGATTTGATTTTGCACGAAGCATAGGCAGGTTGAAGGACGAGAGGGCTTTGCCAGTGGCATGGTTGGAGGTGGTTCCACGTGTTGGTCGCAGCCTGCTTGTGGTGCACACCAGTGCGCTTCAAAGTACCGGGACTTTTTTGTAGCGTGGTCCCACGACCGAGATTGCGTATCTGTACTTTTGTGGTTGAAATCACGTTTGCGACAAAGAGCAATGCGTGACCCACACTCATCATTTTCAACTGAACCAAACGCGCCATGAAAATGGTTATTGTTGGCGTTCTGTGCATGCACTTTGTGGCCCGTTGGAATGGGCAGTGGTGTCGACAACCTTGAAAGTAGCATCTTGACAAGGGAAGCAATTGAGATCTGCAAGTATCGTGGTTAGGTGGGTAGGTCACGGCCTTACGGCTAATGTTGGCGGGTTCGCCCATACAATTTCCGATTGTAAACTGAAGAATACTGCTGACCTTTGAATGGACTGGGTATATGGTCTGTATTGTTGATACTATCGTTGGTGATTCTTTTTTACTGTTGAGCTTCTATCCCCCCTCTGGGTAGGTATGTGTGTTCTAGGGCACCCTAGCCTCTTGGTAAACTAAAGAAGAAGAAAAACCGAAAGCAATACCCAGGAGCTTCTGGAACTTTGATGGGGAAATTAAATGACTCGAAAGTTGCCACCATCACCTGCGTGTATACTTTATTCGCCCATAGATGAGGCGCATGTCTTTCTATAGCAGCGACGTCAATCTGATTTGACACTAATCTCGCCGCAGCTAAGGACAAGGCGTCACCAAAACGCATGCAAATTATAAATATAACGATGATCCTCCATGACGGTATGCATCGCTTTCACACCTTATATGGCTATGTAGTAATACCTCGTCGCGATGTCGTACTCCAATAACACCTCGGTATTCATCCACTGCTCCTCCACGACAATCTGGCGCCACAGATGCACGTCATACGCCTCGGCCATGACAGCTGGAGTCACTATGGCGCAGAGGTAGCTAGCCCCCTTGGGCCCTGCTTCTTCTCCCTTGTCGCTTCGCCCTGGGTTGACCTGGTTTCCGAGGACGTCTCTGACTCCATCGCCAACTGCCGGGACCGGACAGAGAATGACAACCATGTTCATTCCGGGCAGAGCCATGGGGAACTTAGGCGGCGGTGTCCAGCTGACGGCCATACCGGGGCGGATGCGCTCTTTGAAAGGCACCGAAAGCGTTTTGGGGTCGGGGTCTTGACTCGATGATCGCGACAGCAGGTCCATGGTGTCTGATTCAGGCGCACTCACGGCCTTGGCAGGAGCGTGCTGTGAGTCGATGTGCATTTGCCAGAACTTGGACCAGAAGGCCTTAGTTTGTTCGGGGGTTGCGCCGGGAGTCTTCAGGCATCGGCTCTCAAACTCTGGAGCTGGGAGGCGGAGAAGCTGAGTGCCGGACTCGGTTGGGGCGAGGATAGCAGCATCGATGGGAGGTATCCCAGACTGGAGAGTCGGAGGTTAGTCTTCACTTACACGGTATGTAAGGGGAAATTGAGGTTCTTTCTCACATTTTCTTTCACCCATTCCCTCAATCGCTCGTTTGACCACGTCATAGGTGACTTGGGATCATAGCGCAAGGGCTTCGCCTTGGGCACCAGAACGCGCAACGTCTCTGCGTACCGTAGAGTGTTCTTACTGGGGCCGACGTCCGCAAGACAGGGGTTTACACAAGCAACGACAACCGTCTTGCATGGACGCAAGGCCGCGGGATCGAAGACATGCTTGAGCACCTTGGTCAGGGCGCTCTGGCGGAAAGGCACATGAGGCTTGCGTTTAGAGTTGGAGCCGGCGAGGGCATCGGCCTCAGCTTTTCCACGGATACAGTCTTTAAGTACGGATAGACTGGTGTTGATCTCGCGCGTCTCTTTCATGCGCTGGGCGCCGTGAGCAGCGGAATCACGCGCTGCTTCAGAGCCGGCAAGATCAATGAGGTATAGCACGCCATCCTCGGCCTCGGGCACGGCCAGGTTTTGTATGCGAATTCGGCAGATGGCGTGGGAGCGCGAGGAGGCGTCGTTCTTGACGGTGGATTCAGTACGACGGAAGGCAGTGGCAGTGTCGATGAGAGTGAGCATCTCGGCAGTGGTGGTGACTTGGTGCTCCAGTGCGCCTGTAAGCTGCGTGATGCCGAAGGAGTCTTCGAGAATAGACACAGGGCGACGGGTGTTGAGAAGATCTAACACTAGATCAGTAACTCCGTCAACGAGGTTTGGATACATTCGGGACTAACCGTGCGCTGCATTCCCTGCCAGTTCGATAATGGTGACATAGACGTTGCGTTGGCCTTCAAGACCGCCGCTCAGCATCTCCCCAGCCACTAGGCGCTCGAGGTGACTGATAGTGTACGTCTTCCCAGAGCCTGTCTGGCCGTAGGCAAACAGTGTGCCGATGCCACCGTTCCATGCCCAGGGCACCAAAGGTTTGACAACATCCTGGTAGATGCGCTCTGTTTTGCTGTCGGCGTCGTAGATGTGGTCTACTTGAAAGTTGGCCGACTGAAGTTTCCATGTTAGTCGCTGCATCAACTTCCGGTTTCAGTTTCTCCCACCTTCAGTAGGGGCGGCCCGAGGGCCGATTGCCGGAGTTCATGGACATCCAAGACGCCGGGCTGTTCGGCGCGGGGGAATAAAGCCGGAGGTAGCTTCGCGGAGGACTCGTCATCGAGCAGGGGCCGGAGCCGGGTTGTGACAACCATGCCCGGAGCCGGGGCCGCCTCGGAAGCCGGCCGGCGGGACTTGGGAGGCTTGAAAGCCTTCACCAGCGACTGATATCGGTCGGCATGCTCGGCAATAAATTTTTCCATTTTGGATGGGTTGTGGAGGGGTGATTCTGAAGGTTTTTAGAGCGACTTGGAGTAGTAGATTTTGTTGGTCTGCCTTAACGTCCAGTCCGACGTTGAAAGGGAATGCGATATCCCTCTTTATACCGGAGGGAAACGATCAAGTTGCCAAGCAAAGCAACCAGGAGACGACCGCTCTTGGCAAGACTTGTAGGTCCTGCTGTTTCAGTTGCTGGTGCCATTACTATCGTGGTGCCTAATTCACGCCCGAGACGGTTTACCAAGTTCAGCCCGTCGGCGGGGGAACAGGCCCCTGCAAGCCACCTCGCGTATTGAGGCCATAGGAAACTACTACCTATTAAGCCTCAACTACGAGAATCTCGGCTGCCTGGCGAATTCATCCTGGTTGGGAAATTGGCAAATGGGTCTGGTCGGTTGATTGTGGTAAGGCTCATGCGATTATACGGGTGCCTGTCGAGCCACGACCCGGCCGTGTTAGTTAGACAGAGTGCAAAACATGTGACAGTCCGGGACTAAACTAGTCAAAATCCATGTGAAATGGATACGTGTTTAAACATGCCAGTTTAAAACACAGGAGAAGGATACTCTCAAGTCAATAAGGTCGATTTATGGAATCCTGTAGAAAATATAGGGTAGGTGTGCAATTCAATAAGACAATTGACAACCAGCGTCGGGTCACGTGGTCAGCGGCACGTGGCTGACTGGCTTTCTTGTGACTCCTACTTGAGATTGTACACCATCTCGCAAGCTCCTTGTGTCACTCAATAAGTACAACATCCTCGGAGAATGGCGACCACAGGATCGAGAACTCTTCAGCAACTTCCCTTGCATGTTGTTGCAGGGATTCTTGTTCATCTGGGATCTTTCCAGCACCTTGGATGCGCTATCCTGAGTCATCGTGTCTTTCTTCTCGCGTTCCAGGACAATGTCCGCTCTATCACTGGCGGCATCATCACAGCTCAGATCCCACCCGAGATACTTCCTTTCGCGATTGCGCTTCTGGAATCGACCTACATTGATCCAGGGAACTACGATGCGGCTGAAACCCTCTTGATGAATTTAAACACAGCCATAATCAATCCGTCAAACGCAGTTCCCTACCTACTCCGTGCTTCTGTGTCTCAGATTTTTCTCATGAGCAAGAGTTACGAGGCTGTTGAATCTCTTCGTCATGGCCTGGTCGAGGAACTCATACCGGTGCTCAACAAGAAACTGGGTTTGAGCCACTCCCGCCAAATATCGCAGCATGAGAGATTCCGTCTTGATCGAGCCTTCTTTCGCTATCAGCTTATGTGTAGCTTGTTCAGTCGCGGGAAAAGGCCAATTCACCCAACCCCACATCAAATAGACCTTTTTTTCCACGGCTTCTCACCCTGGGTCAATGAGCAATTGATATGCGTTTACGCCTACCTCGAGCGAAAAGTCTGCGATGGTGAGTGCACATTATTTCTCTGTTGCTTTCATCCTGACTGCTCTTTCCTCTAACACCTTGTAGCCTTTGACGACGTCGCTGGACACGACGTGGACTTTGGAGAGATACCTGTATACTGGCAAGAAGACCCAGAGGACAGTCCACATATTCAAGAGTTTGTGAGTATACGTTGGTAAATCAAGAACCGGTAGGAGCCAAATCTGATCCTTCCCACCAGCTTTGCCAAGGTCTTCCCTATCTTAGCACAATCTGTAGTACAAAGAATTACGACGTCAGGGCCAGTCTCATTACATTGGAGAGATTCCGTGCCATGAACTGGGATAAACATCCTACTAATGTGCTGTTCAACGCAGCTCTTCTTAGTGAGATGGAAAACCACGAATTCGAAGAAGACAACGCACCTCTTCTCGCGGATTACAAGCTAGCTGAATTAGCGAGGCCGTTGGATGGAGAGCAGGATTCTATCGACTCCGGCCCCTGCAGCATATGGTTTAACATGCACTTGGAGAACACACTATTCAGCTCTGTGTATAATCGAGGAATAGACAAAAATCTATGGGAATTCGGATATGTCCTGTGGGACTATAACGACACGAATAGAACCGAGATCTCGTCAAAGGGCAATGTCGCAAGGCAGTCGCCATACTTCCCAGAGCATCTAGAAGTATGGACGAAAGAGGAGATAAATAGATCTCTGGATGAGAGGGCGGCTATTTATTTCGCTAGCGGCAAGGGTTACTGGCCTCGTGACCGTTACGACTTTAGTGGGATACGTGGGCTAACCGAGGAGACGAAACAACGACTAATTGATGGTTGGCGGCAGCGTGATGAGTCGAAAAACAGGCTCAGGGTACAGGAGGCGGCGGATGGCAAAGAGGACGAGTAGAATCGTGTATAGCTTCTTAGGTTACAAGAGAATCGTATAACTCTTGCTGCGACCCACCCAACGGTATGGAGTAGAATCACACTATCATTGCTCTAACTCGGAGTTATTTCGAAACCCTCCATTGTCATTTCAAGGCCTGCAAATGACTTTCCTTCTCATCGAGTGATATCGCGCGCGTTGACTACGTTGGAATATCCCTGAGAAGGTGCCCTCACACCCGTGTTGCCGAGTAGCCGGACGAATTTCCTCTGGCAGACTTGAGGTAGATAGCCTAGACCTAGATGTTAACCAGCTATCAGTTCCGTATCTCCAAAATGTCCCAGGTTTACTACATTGCGTGTCGATCAATTAAATGAGATGATATGGGCCGCAGAGCGGCGCTTTTTACGAAGGTATCTTTCCAATCCAGAACACGGGCAGCCACTCGCACCTTGTGGTCACAGGGGGTATGGCGATAGCTCAAGGGGGCTGTTTTGTCCAGATGAGCGGACTAAATCCGCCGACAAGGCGGGATTAAGATAATATTGAATGTCTGAACCTCGGAGATGCCAGCCTCTTCAGTAGTCACCTTTAGGTGCTCGGCCTTGTAAGTATGGCCAATATAGTCCTCATTAAGATCTTTACAGCTCGGAGTCTTAACACCGTGTGTCTTCCTCCGTGTGAGTAATCCAAATAAGCGGTTGTTCTTCATCAATCACTGAGCAGACTGTTCAACTTTTAAAACTAAAAATGGCATTCTTTTGTTGTATCTTGTACAGTATATCTATAAATTTCCCACGCTATCCTTCCCAAATGATAAGACTTACAACCCAAAACCTAGGTAGAATCGTCAACCCCAAACGCCTCGCAACGCCAAGCTTGTATGCAATACCGACTCTCCCTTTCCTTATACAAACACAAATGCCGTTCCGGCCAAGACTCCGCTGCACATCAGAATCGTTATGATGGCAGCTCCCGCTCTATCTGCGGTCGTGATCTTTCTCTGATTCTTGTTCACGTCGTCCGAGTTCTTGTTTCCCGCATTGCTGTCTCCCTTGGAAGTTCCACCCGTCGAGGACGTCACTGGCGCGCTCCCTTTCTCGACGAGTGTGTACATGACCATATTCATGGCGTTCATCTGCGAGCCCACGCCCACCAGGCCGTCGTACGTGGTTTCCAGCCAGGTGAATCCGCACGCCGTGCCCGCGTGGCCCTTGAATCCGGAGTCGGTTCCCGTGCATACCGCCACGGCCGCCTTGGCCGTCGATAGCAGCAGCGGGTAGATGGTGTCGTACGTGTAGGGGGCCATTTGCGTCGTTGCAGCCATCCAGCGGCCCAGGTATCCCTTGAAGCTCTGCTGATCCTGGTTGCACTGGTCGGTCTGCTCGCAGAAGTGCTCGAAGATGACGTCGCTCTTGACAAACAGGCTCGTGATGTCGCTCAGCATGCCGTCCATCCGCGCCTTCCACGTGCTGCTCTCGGTGATGTTGTACATGACAGAGGCGCCGTGGAGGAAGATGCCGGCGTTGTAGCTCCACTGCGCAGTGTCGGTCGAACTGCAGTTGGTGTCGCCGATGGTCACGCCGTCGTAGACCTTGAATGCGTCCGTAATCAGTCCGATTTCCGTCTGCCACTTCCAAATCTTGGAGGCCCAGTCCGAATATGTGTCGTTGCCGGTGTAGCGAGCAAGGCGTGCGGCAACGTTGAAGAAGCAACCGTTCGAGATGGTGTTCTTGTAGCTGTAACCGCTATTGAAGGTAAAAATCTGCCAGCGCATTCCACCATCGCAATGCGCTGTGTCCCATCGGCTGGTATACTCGTTGAAGACGGCCTGGGCCAGGGCGAGCCACTGGGGCTCGTCATCTGATGGGTTGGGGAAATTGCGCTCAGCGGCGGCCATGGCGGCCATGGCCCAGAAGCCCTGGTCATCGTTTCCTTCAGTTCGCGTTTGATTCGTCGGCATGAAGTCTTCGTCGTCTCCGGCTTGGTGTACCATTGCCTGCTTGGTGATGTTGTTGTAGGAAGAGTCCCCGGTCAGCCACCAGTAGTCGATGAGAGCACCAAACATGGCACCGGCCTCCCACCCTGAGATCAGTTAGCGACAACTATCGAGCTTCTTTGTCGGGGATTCATACAGTAGTAAGGGTCTGGCAGGTTACCCGGCGTATCGCCAGTGTTGTTACCAGTGTAATATTTGACCAGGCCGTAGGCGATTGTACTCGCAGCCTCCTTCACAGATGCTTTTGTTTTTTTCTTAGCACCAGCTTGCGTCGATTCCTGGAAGTAGAACTTACACTCATCGGTCCATGTCACATCGATGGCTCCGACTGAAGTCCCCCATAGGCCCAAGGCCAGTGATGTTGTTTGAAGTAGTGACCTCATGTTGGCGTGTAAGTCGCTGAGGCTCCAGCACCGTGTGGAAAAATGGCGTTTATGTTGTAAAGAGTGAAAGATCCAAGATTGATATCAATAACAGATCTAAGTTTGAGGCCCAGATCGATGCCGTGTTCCGATTGACAGCTCTTACAGTTCGACCAAGGGGTATCGGCACGGGATAGTGGTCACCGGATGCAACCCAAAGAAAGAAAAGAACGGATACGAAGGAGGGAAAGGCGGAGCATACGCGGAAGAAACTGAGGCAAGTTCCAATAAAAGAATGAGCTTGGGAACTGTAAGCGGCCTCCCTCGAGACAGCAGCATGGCGACTGAAGAGGCAAGGCTCCTTACGGTGCTGCGTCGCCAGTGCTGCGAATGGACGCCGGCCACGCGTCCGGCAGCAGCGAGCCCCCACCGTATGCCGATAAAGAGGACGATGGAGTCGAGCAACCAGCGTACGGAAGTTGGACCCGTCGAGTAGGGCCCGGCGGTCGAGTCAAGGGGCGCAACCGCGAACTGCGGACGCCGACGTTGGCTCGGTCCACTGACAGGCCAGGGGCGCGTCTCCCAATTCATCCTTCTGCCGGGGACTGCAATGCGCTACTACGTAGAATAGACCTGGGGCTTGCAAATTAGAGCCATGAAACAATTTCCCCGTGTGCATAGAAGCCGGGGAGAAGCAGCTGGCTCGTCATGTCCAGATTGAGTTATGTGGCGCCGACGGGACTATATCATCGCCAATACTCGTCATGACAGCCTCAAAAGGCTTCCACAGGCGGCCAAGACTCGCTCATCGCTGCTCGGCCGAGTGAGCATCTTGGCAACGCCTTTCGATCGTAGCAAGGATGACTTGGAGGACTTGGCTGACTTGGCATACGACCTGTACCGCAGTCCAAGAGAAATTGCCCCAACTTCATCTCTGGGCATCGTCGTCACCGGCTCGCCGGCACCATGACGACAACACACCCCGGGAGCCAAGCCGGGAAGCGCGGTTTCGGAGGGCCAGACCATTTTCTTTCTTTTCGTACCAAGCTTCAAACTCCCAGGGCCCTCGTCCTCTGTAAATGATATGGTCCAGGGGGGGTCTAGGCGAATCCTCCGCGCTAGAAAGTCGGCAGCGGGGAGAATCTTTCCCTTTGCTACCACGTATGTAGTGCTTCAATGCTCGGACATTCAATGCTCGGACGTGTAAAACTCCAAGAGTCCAGATGCGCCGCGTGGAAATGGCCCCAACTGGTCGCCAGCGGGTCTCACGCCACAAGCCCCTGCCGCCAATACGTAACCGAGCGTACGTATGCACCCACGTCGCCCTGTCTCTAGTTTCATCCCCACCAGCAATGGAATGGAATACGGCCCTGAAAGAGTAAATTTAGTTGTATCTGCACAGATTGAGGTCCAGATTGGCCTTGTTGGTTCCCTATCACCGGTATATTACTGGTACCGATTAATTTCGGTGGCTGTGCTCGTTGAATTAACGTCTGCGGCTGAACATTTCTCGGTCGTTACGGCGTCGTATTGACCTCGATTTCCTGATTTAGACAGCTGAAACCCACATATCGTGCTGTGACGTTCAGCCAGCTAAGAAGCTATTCGCAACCCCTTGTGCACGTGCATGCATCTAGTATGAGGTTACGGAGTACCCATCAGTTCAAACGCCTTCTGTCGTGCTAAATCCGGCCTTGAGCCGTCATAACCGCGGACCAGCCCTATGCCGTAGAATTTCTCACTCTATACGATGTACCAGAGTTTTGCACAGCCCAGTTATGTCATAGTGGCTGCATCCGCCTGATGTATACACCATTCAGTGAATGGTGGGGGGTCTCTAGAGATCCGTCTTGTCCGGCGAGGTGTGGCCCGCGACATCATACAGGTGCCGGAGTTCCGTTAGTACCATACCTCATTCAACGCTTCTGGAGGAGAGCATCTCGTGTGTTTTCGTTTATGAGTATTATGGGCCTTGCCAGGCCAAACCGACATTGCTGATCCTCCAAATGAACGAGCACGGGGAAGGCTCCTCCCGCTTCGATCCCCGCACTGGTCACTTGGCGGCCGTATTTCGGTCGTCGCAGGGAGGAAGCATAGCCAGCTCCGGGGTGATCGACATCCAACGGCGTTAATGAGAGAGACATGAACTTCTAACTTATTAGTTCTTGGAAATAGGAGCATCAATTGTGCAATCCAACACGAGTCTGTCAAGAAGCTATCGACACCAATAGGTCGAGGAATCAATATTGCTCACCCCATACCACCTACGACCTGATACGAACGCATGTTATCGGCGAATCATTCCGTTACCTGAATTCTAACTTTAGTTCACAACCATTCTACCACACAACTCTGGAGATCTTCTTTTTAGTAGCTTCGCAAAGTCTAATCGACTTGCGTATGCTCCAGATCATGTATCCTCGTGTTACCGGGTATCTCGATGGTGCAGACAACGCCTGAATGTCAAATAACCAGCAACATACTGCTATTCGAGAGCGTAAGTTTTTCTGATGATTATATTTAGTTAGCCACCATAAACGATGAAGGGAAAAGACTGATCCAAGGCTAGGTAAGTGTCGATCTCCCTTGTCGCAGGTACAGACCCAGAAGCCGGTTAAAGTCGGGTCCAACCCACAGATCCCACTAACAGAGGTCACTCGACAGACAATCTCCCACCGACCATCTTGAAGCCAAGGTTACAGTACTTGCAATTCGCTCCGACGTCTTTCGCGCGTTGTTATTTCAGCACGGAAGGTGAATTGAGATGTTATCAAGTCCGTCACAGGCAGCAGTTCGGGGCGGAAAAGCTCGGAAAAGGATATAGGTTTCCGACCCAGGTACGCGGAAACCAATCCCCAAGTACTAGCGTTGGTTATTCCGATCCCAGGCAACTCGTTCGAATTACAATTACCTCATCCACTTGGTCCAGAATAGAGGCATTCTCAACGTATTTCCCTCGCGGTCCTTAAGACGCTAAACGGGGCGGTCGTCCACGCCCAGAGGGGCCGATTATCACGAAGCACCCCGTTATCCGATCCCAGAATATAGCCGTCGGGTATTCTCCCTTTCCAGCGCATTCGCTCCTTCATCCATTTGCCGTCATCATGAGAGACTGCCTAGCGTGGCATGTTTCCCCGCGGTTCGGTTTCCGTGCGACCGCAAACCGCAACCAACCCCGCGATTCAAGACAAACCCCCGCTTGACTGCAGCTCCCTCTCACTGGATGGAACGTCACTTGGCAACGGTGTGCCAGAAGGCGCCGAGGTGAAAGCTCACCTGATTCATAAACTCTTCATAAACTCCTCATGTCATCCTCGAAACTCTCAGAGAGTCAAGTACTATAGTTTGCAGTTGCTTAAGCAAGCTCAAATAAATCGGCATCATGTCCGCCAAACACTTCATCAACGATCCTACCCACCTCGTCACGTCTGCTCTCCGCAGCCTCACTATTACAAACCCATCCATCGCCCTGGATGTGGACAATAAAATCGTCTACCGTCGCCCTTCTCCCAATGCTACTCAACAGGTATCCATCATCTCCGGTGGAGGCTCTGGCCATGAGCCCTCCTTCGCCGGCATGGTCGGCCAGGGCATGCTCTCCGCCGCCGTAGCTGGCACCATCTTCGCGAGTCCCTCAGCAGAGCAGATCCGCGCGGCCATAACCTCCCGCGTCGATACCTCCAAGGGCGTACTTGTCATTGTCATGAACTACACTGGAGATGTGCTCAACTTTGGTATGGCTGTGGAAAAGGCCAAGGCCGCTGGGCTCGCTTGCGAGATGGTCGTGGTAGGCGACGATGTAGGCGTCGGCCGCGCAAAGGCCGGCAAGGTCGGGCGCCGTGGAATTGCAGGGACAGTTCTCGTCCTTAAGATCGCCGGTGCCCTGGCAGCATTAGGACGGCCCCTGGATGAAGTGGCTACGCTCGCCCGCGCGATGGCAGCTAACTTGGTGAGCGTGGGAGCCAGCTTGGAGCATGTCCACGTCCCAGGCCGCAAGCTCAATACGGAAGAAGGCTTGGAAGTTGGAGAAGTTGAGGTCGGAATGGGTATTCACAACGAACCAGGATCCGAGAGATCGAAGCTGGAGCTACCTGAGCTGGTCAGCAAGATGCTTACCCAGCTCCTGGATCCCAGTGACAAGGATCGCGCGTTTGTCAACTTCAGCTCCAACGAGACAGTTCTTATGATAAACAACCTCGGCGGCGTCAGCGTCCTCGAAATGGGCGGCATCACCACCGAAGTCGTGACCCAGCTGGAGGCCAAGCACGGCATCCGACCCGTCCGCATACTCTGCGGCACTTACATGACCAGCCTGAACGGGTTGGGCTTCAGCATCAGCCTGCTCCAAGTGCCGCCTCAAAAACCCGACGCCCCAGGCGTGATAGAGTTGCTCGACGCTTCCGCAGAAGTCGTCGGGTGGTCCGCGCCAATTCAGACGAGCACCTGGGATGCCAAGAACACAGCCACGATGACCGACAGCACTGGCGCCAGTCACGAGACCAAGAGCAGCGACCTTAAGATGGACGCCGCGGTGGCTCAATCCGCTTTGAAGAACGCCCTGGATCGAGTCATTGCCGCTGAACCTGATATCACCAGATACGATACAGTGGTCGGAGACGGAGATTGCGGTATCGGCCTGAAGAGGGGAGCCGAAGGTAAGCGGGAAATTCACGTCTGGGAACACAGTAACTGATACGGCCTACAGCAATCCTCAAGCACCTAGGTGAACATCCTCTCACCGGCGATGTCATACGGGATCTCGGAGCCATTGTGTCCATCGTAGAGAACAACATGGACGGCACGTCTGGTGCCCTGTTCGCCATCTTCCTAAACGCCCTCGTCCACGCACTCAGCGGCGTCGCCGGCACCGCGTCTCCCGAGGTATGGGCAAAGGCACTGAAGCAGAGCAACGAGGCCCTATCCAAGTACACGCCCGCACGCCCAGGTGACCGCACCTTGGTCGACGCACTGTACCCCTTCGTCGAGGTCCTCGGCGAGACGGGTGACGTCAAGAAGGCAGCCGAGGCAGCAAGAAAGGCCGCAGACGAGACCAAGGGCATGCAGGCCAGTCTCGGCCGTTCGGTTTATGTTGGAGGCAGTGGATATCAGGAGGTTCCTGACCCTGGTGCTTGGGGTCTTGCGTGTTTCTTCCTTGGGTTGAGCGATTGAATCTGATGAGCCTGGATTACCCCCATTGTAGCAGTGGCAACTTGAACAGTATGGTGACTTATAGCGAGTGAAATCTGGGATGAGAGAGCCTGTATTGTTAGGAGCAGATGCGAATATGGACCATGTGCGCAAAATCAGACTGTTTTCAACGCCTATGTAACCCTAATGAGTCTCGTCCATAACGCCGTACATACAGCATCCCATTCATCCTCAAGTAAATCTCGGCCCTCATATCATGGCGGGATGATTTAGCTCAGAAGCACCAAGATGACACTATCTCCTCTCAAGAACCTAGTTTCGGGTTAGCATCCGCAAATATGTAGGCAAAGGCCCTCAAAGAAGCATCGGCCAATACGTACATCTTGCTAATGAACCGATCCTTGTTCACCGGTCGGCCCTTCTTCCCGTCCGCCAAACGCGGGGTCTCAGTCCACATTTCCTTGACGTTCTCGAGGACCATGTTGCAATGTCGGTCAAAGGCCTTGACACGTGCGAGGAGCTTCCTGTTGTTGCGGATGGAGATGAGGACCTGCACGTGGGAACGCACGGCGGTCTGGAGGATGCTCAGGGGGCCGGAAGCGAACTCGTACTCTTCAAGCTGCGCCAGCTCGTACTCACTGTTTGCAGAGGATCACGGTCAGCAAGCGGTGTCGCTGCGGGGCGGGAGGATTGGGAGAGAACTGGGGGGAAAGGATCGGAGAATTGGAGGGGGAGGCGCGTACGTCAGCTCTGAGCGCGTCTTCGTGAGAAGCTCCCTAGGATCTCGTTAGTACCAATGCGGAAGTCCATGGGAGGGGGCATGTCGTACTGCATCTTGGGGTCGGCCATCTTGGGTGGATTTTCTGGTTGTTGGGGTGAGGTTGCGGATGGCAAGGCTGGATGAGATTGCGGCTCGCAAGGCTGAAGCGTGAAGCCCAAAAAATTCACCAGTGTGTGAGGATGGGCCTGATTGGCTAAAGCTCATCGTGGGGCTTCCCGGCCCGACTTGGACCTGGGTCAGGTGACAAGAGCCGACAGCCAAGGTCCAGGTCTTGGCACGGAAAGCTGCTGCTACCCTCGGATGAATTTTGGTTTGAAGTGGAGGATGGAAAAGCATTGCCGCGGCCCGTAAACCACCAAGACCCTCGAAACCCCTCCTCTCTCGATGCACATGTCAATCTCATGAGCGCATCGATAATTAAACTGTAATGTCCTTCAGAATTTTGGCAGCCCGAGCCGGCGTTGCGGCGAATACTGCAAGCAAACAGAGCTTCAGAAGCAGCTTCGGCATGGTTCAACAAGTCAAGGTCGTAGGCTCTTCGCTGGGCGCTCGACAGGTGAGATAACACTGCAAACCACCCGGAATAGCCTCAATTCCTAACCTGCATGGCGTAGCTGTCCACCGAAGCGACGACGATTAAGGAACTGCCGGGCGACGAAACCAACGATGTCGTTTTCGAGAGCAAGTATGGTCTGCGGACTGTGATGCTCAACCGACCCAAGAAACTCAACTCCCTGAACGGATCGATGATTCGCAAAATTGTGCCCCGGTTGATTGAGTGGGAGAAGTCGGATATGGCCAACGTCATCGTCATGAAGGGTGCTGGTGAGAAGTCACTGTGTGCCGGCGGCGACGTCGCGGCCCTGGCCCAATACAACCAGGAAGGCGAGAACGGATGGAAGAAGTCGGCCGACTACTTTGCCCTCGAATACAAGCTCGACCACTACATTTCGACTTACCAGAAGCCCTATATTGCATTCATGGACGGCATCACTATGGGCGGCGGTGTTGGTCTCAGTGCCCATGCGCCATTCCGAATTGCGACCGAGAAGACCGTCTTTGCCATGCCTGAGACGACAATTGGTTTCTTCCCCGACGTCGGAGCCTCCTTCTTCCTGCCACGGATGAACGGATCCGTCGGCACCTACCTTGCCCTGACCAGCGAACGAGTGTCTGGCGCGAACGTCTTTTACTCTGGTCTCGCCACCCACTACCTGCACTCGACCAGCCTGCCCGACCTGGAGGCCCGCCTGGCTGAGCTGCGGTTCCTCGACAGCGACAACCTCGCCGCACGACTTGCCCTGGTCAACGAGACCCTCGAGGAGTTCTGCACTGGTCTCCCGTATGATCAGCCCATCCAACTGGGCGGGGAGGTGCGCAAGGCGATTGACCGATGCTTCAACAAGAACAACATCAACGACATTATTGCTGCCTTGGAGGCGGAGCGGGGTCCGACTGAGGAGTGGGCGCAGAAGCAGCTGGCTACGTTACAGAAGAGGTCACCCACGGCTGTGCACGTGGCGCTGAGGCAGATGCGTGTGGCCGGCAAGTGGGACATTGCAGAGACTTTCCAGAAGGAGCACCAGATCGCGAGCAAGTTCATGCAGCACCCTGACTTCACCGAGGGCGTCACGGCGCTGCTGGTGCGCAAGGAGAAGCCCGTGTGGCAGCCCGAGTCGCTTGCCGCTGTCGGCAGCCAAAACGTGGCCAAGCCCTTCTTCGAGTTTGATAAGGAGAATAACCTGGAGCTCTTCACCGACCGAACGTACAAGCAGTACCCTTTCGCGAGCCTAGGTGTGCCCACGGAGGGTGAGATTCAGAAGCTGCTGAAGGACAACAACTACACCCCAGAGGAGCTCTCCTACGCTGTTATCAAGTCGCGAAACGGTCGCCAGGGCATCTCAGATGTGGTCAAGGAGATTCTCAGCCGCAAGACGGAAGTGGACTCCAAGGGCTTTGTCCAATGGGTGGATGACGAGTCTGTCCCGACGAGCCGACTGTAGAGCGCAGACCGGCCCAGGAAAGGGTGCGTTTGATGACGTCTGATAATTGTAAAAATAGAAGACACTACTCGATGGAGTCGTGTAGTGTATGCTATATGTTGATAGATGGAAATGATATCAAGTTCTACGCACGATGGTGATGATGCCTTTGTGTTGTGTTGGATGAAGATGATGGATGTTAGTGAGCGACGATGCAAAATGGAGATTGCATCATGGTTGCGGCGACTAAAACAATCCCCAGCCTAATCGTGGCGAATGGAGGGGCGCGTGTGGGGTGGAGGGAAAACCACCAAAAATCGACCAGATGAGGCGAAGAGCGGGCAGTGGAAAACCCTCATTTTATTGGGTGTCGGGGCAGAAAGGCTGAAGATGGAGGGAGGGATAAGACGCACTACGTGTGTGATGGAGGGGTGGGTTGGCGCCGATAGTGGGAGAAGTCGGGGCACAGAGACGGAGATGGAATCACGAGATGAGACCAGGCAGTGATGAAATGAGGGTCAAAAGGCGGCGTGGGTGATACAGCGTCATATCCCATCTCGACTCACTCATCCAAGAGATAGCTACGGTCCGATGTATGGGGGCGAGCGATGGAATGGCCTCAGGCAAAGGCCGGGGATATAAAAGGGACGGGTCCGCCCCATGGCAACGAGAAGGACGACAGCTGGATAAAAACCAGCCAGCAACCTCGCTCTTGCTCTTCCCTCTTCCACCATCTCTCCCGACTCTCGACCGGACTCGTTGCTGGGTGCCGAAGCACAGGCTCTCGAAAAGATCCAAAGCCTTCGCTCACAGCGGGGGGAAGCGGCTTGTTGGGTGGCCAACCGAACCACTATCCCGTGCGACCCCGGTCTCAGCAATCTCAGCAGTCTCAGCGAGGCAGCCAGGCCTGAGGCACAGCGCCGGAGCAGACCGACCGGCAAGGGGAGCAGCACGTGAGAGCAATCGCTCAAGCAGGTGCAAAACCAGGCAGGCGGCCGCTTATTAACACGCAGTCGAAGAGGTGCTCGGATCGGACCCCGATTGTCAGCAGCAACTCCAGCGCGGTGCGACCAACGAAAAGATACCTTGCGGTGGTACATCCAGAGGCAACGCCGGCGCCAAGAGCCACAGGCGGGGCCGCATCTGCCCCGAAAATCCCGGTGGGGCGACCTCCGAACGCTCCAAGCCCCAGGGTCCCAGGGCCTCCCGCTCCGCTTTGGGAGGAGCCCCGTGCGCTGCACGCTTGCACGCTGCACGTGTTTTCGCTCGGCGCGACGCCCGCTGCGCTGTGCGCTTCTATTCTCAACCTCCCGCGCCCCACCCACCCACCACCCACTGGAGTACCCGCTGCAACCACTGAAACAATACCTGCCACACCCATCTTTCACCAGGTCGGCCACCACTACGCTGAGGTGCACTAGGGTCCAACACCTCCAGCGCGTCATCGTCGACTTCTTTGTGTATTTTACACCACACTGACAGTCGCTGCATCTTCTGCTATTGACATTGTTGTCTTTATTTGCGGTCCCTCTCTTTTTTTGCTTTGCTATCACTGGTATCGCTTCTCCTTTATTCATCCCTGCACCTTGTCTCTCCGCGCGTTTCCCAAGGGTCCTTCCATCTTTAAGTGGTATCCACTTGCCTGACGCGATTCCTGGCGCGTCACGAACATGACGCCCGCCTCCCCATTTTGATACATACAACACCCTCGAGCGATCCCTTCTACACCATTTTCAAACCCACTTCCCACATCCACTTTTCTTCTCGACCATTCCTCCATCTGCAACTATTCTATCCTGCCTGGGAAAATAGCCGACTGCCTGAGTGTTCCCTTCCGTGTCTACGTGACTCTGGCATCTGCCCGGAGGGACCTACCGCCATGGCGTCGCCTGTGCCCATCGCCCCCGTCGGCGGCTGGAATCACAACGGCCAAGCCATGCCTCCGAATAACAACGAGTTTGAAGATTCAGGTGTCCAACTGAGACCTATGGGCCGTATGTCACCTCGTTCTCTGCCCCGTGTCCGCCTGGCTAACACATCTTACAGTCAAGGTACACTACACCTTTGACAAGGACAGCAAAATCAACTGCCTAGCAAGATACCCCCACACTCTCCAGGTCCAAACGATTCCCCTCGACGACAAGAACTCAATCGGCGTTATCGACTTGCGCGTGTGTCTGCAGGCAGTCACCGAATGCAGCCCCGAACTCGCCGCTCAAGATGGCGACTACACCGTCTACGCCCTCGACTACTCGGAACCGGACACACCATTGGTGGGGCAGGGCATGTTGTCGTGGGCATTGGAGTCGATGCGAGGTGACTGGAACATGCATCAGCTCAAGATGGTCACCGGCCGCGTTACCAAGAACCTACTCGCCGTCTTTGGTGGCGGTAACCGTGAGACCCTTGAGGTCAAGCTTAAGCTCACCGCCGCTGCCAAGGTCCAGCGTCCCGAGTGCCAACCCAGCATGGAGATGCAGCCGATGAGGCCCATGGACACAGTCATGACCCCAACCGGCACCGCAGAATGGAACTCCTTCATCCAGTCAAATCCTCAACTCGGTCACTCTGCTCACGTCTCGCGGGTGGCCTCTCCAGCCTTGTCCCAGGGCCCTCCTGCAGGTATGATCCGACGAGATTCTTTCGGCCCACCCGTCCAGAGCATGCCAATGCAGGAGATCCAGCGAGTGGCACCCGTGCCCGTCGACCCAGCAACCATGCCAGCTCAACCATCATCACGACCCTCTAGTAGGAGCTCGAGGAGGAAGCAGCCGACAGGACGCCCCCGAGGAAGACCACGAAAGAAGCCAGTCGAAGGCAACACATCGGGATACGAAGACGGAACTGAGGGAGAGGAAGGTCCTGCTAAGAAAAGAGCCAAGACGACCAAGGTCGATAAGGCCACCCCAAACCCGTTCGGTGCTGGCCCAGAATCCCTCCGAGTTGCTGCCAGCACCTCTGGCTCCATACGAAACTTCCGCCCCATTGCGGCTAACAACGACAATGCCGCAGGCAACCATCTGCAAGAGGTTCCGCGTGCCCCTACGCCTGTTCCTGAAGGTGGTCCGATGAACATTCCTCCGCGAGGTGGCCCAAACGGCAAGCCCCGGCGGGAGTCATCAATGCGCCAGGAGTTTACCTCAAACCTGGCCAACCAGTACCCCCAACAGCCGAAACGGGCTCCATCACCAAGCCAGGAGGACGGTCGGTCTCCTGAATCCCTCGCTCCGACTCCCAACTACTCAGAGGATAGCCCTCAAGATATTGGCTCCTCACCCCCAGTCGCTCGAACAGCCCCCTTCCTACGATCGAGCCCTCCTCCTTCCAGCCCGATTCTCCCGCCCATGCCCCAAGCTGCCGACGCTAGCTTCATGAATGGCGAACTCGATGATCTCTTTGACGAAGCAATTCTTCAACCGCTCAGGGAGAGCCAGCTCGCGACACATGCACCCGTACAGAAAGTCATCGAGGTGACCGACTCGACCGGAATACCTACCCGGGTTTTTCAGATGAAGGCCGGACCTGACGGCCACGGTCTCGTCCACATTCAAAACTACAACACTCCCCATCCCACCTCCACCCCAGCAGGACCACCATCCATCGAGGCTCCCTCACTACCTCCACTAAAGAAGAACCCCATCCGACCTCGGCCGGTAAATCCTACCGCCAAGCGTTCACGACCTTCACCACCCGCCCTCGCACCCACTCCACCACCCACAACGGACGCTATCGAAAAGAATGCGAGCCCAGTCCCTGTTTCTGAGGCCCCTGCAGCGGCAGCCGTCGAGCCTATGGAGATTGACGATGTGACGACAGAGACGTCAACATCCACTGAGTCAGTACTGGCTCTTGAAGCAGCTTTTACTCCGGACATCCTCCCACTCCAAGCGCCTCTCCCTAACCCCCTTAACTCCAACACGAACCCACCACGACACTTAAGTCGATCTCAATCGGCAGGCCCTTTGGCCTTTCCCACAGTGCCTGCCAGCGAGCCTGCCGGTCCATCCACCCTCTCACAGTCTATACTTCCAGACCCCCCGCGCGCCACAACCGAGATTCCCGCTGTCCTCCGTCGATCAAACTCCACCGGCCCCCTGAGCCTGCCCGTCCCTGCGAGCGACTCAGTAGGACCACCAGAGCCAGTCCTCAACTTGGCAAGTGTTGCCTTCTCCGAGGCACCTTGCCCTCCCAGCGATGCCCTCCCCGCTCCTTCATCTCCTCCTACAAAATCCAACAAGAACCAAGTCAAGAAGCAGTCCATAAAGCAGCGATTAGAGAAGGCCATCGCAAACGGCGAAATGCCTCCCTTTTGCACCAACTGCGGTGCTATCGAGACTCCAACTTGGCGCAAGATCTGGGTCCAGGACCATGATGGCGTACCGGAATACGTCGAGTACTCTGAGAAGCCGGGCCGGATCACCGCTATTGATGTTCTGAAGCGTGACGACGAGAACAAGCCTCTTTCTTACCGACTTATCAAGAAGTCTCTCGGCGGCGATGATGACAGGAGTGCCTGGCTGGAGCAACTCCTTTGTAATCCCTGCGGCATCTGGGTCACCAAGTACCGAACCCATCGTCCCCAGGATAAATGGGACAACAGCTTCGGACGACTTGGAGAGGCACGACGCAAACGAGGCCCTGGTCAAAATAACTCGAGATCTAAAAAGGCCCGCACTAAGAGTGACTCGCAGCCCAACTTGGCATCTGAGCCATACTTTGCGACTGACCCTCTTGGTCCTATTGAGCCATCCTCTCCGAAACACACTGAGGGTGCACCCTCCCAAGGATACACGGGTCCTGGCCTCGAGCAAACCCGAGACAGCGAGGCCCCTTCGATGCTCGGGAATGATCTACCCAACAATGACATGAGTCGTTCAAACCCAGGGTCAACACACTCGAGGGGCAGTGGGACCGCTCTTAGCCCTATCGACATTGACTTAGATGGGCAACTTGGAAGCACCAGGCGACTCCTTTTTCCCTCTCCTCGCAAAGACAATTCGCCTCGGGTTCTCGGAGAGTTGAACGTGAATATTGTTCAAACTACCGAGTGCAGACAAAACAAGGAGGTGGCTGATGAGAAGGAGAATATGGCCGTCAATGGACATGAGGAGGTGTCACAAGAGCACGATATCTTGGAGTCTCTGTTCCGAAGCCCAGCACATGCTCGCCCATCGACCCCTCCCCCAACGGCCAAGGCTACGACCAGTTCAACTCCTTTCAAGACGCCTACGCGTCCAACCCCAAGCCACCGACCTGTTACACGCAGCGTTTCTCGATCGCTACGCTCCGTGAGGGATGTCCTAATGTCTCCCAGTGGGCAGGCCCTGCTCCAACGAACGCCAACCAGGACTCCACGAGGTTCTCTTAACGTTCAGGGCAGTGCTAGCCGGCGACGAAGCCCTCGAAACCACCAAGTCAACTTTGACAGCGTTTTTGATACTCCCTTGAGTCGCACCATCAGCCAGATGCTCTCAGATCCTGCTTTTGATTTGGGCAACGGCGACCTAGATCTCAGCAGCCTACCAGCTCTAGACACCAGCCATGGCAACCTCATCGACTTTGGCAACCTTCTAAGCACTGATGCCGTGATGCCGAGCTCGCCCCCTAAGGATGGCTCGCTGGGCTTCGACTACAGTGGCTCTGCAGAGGTCTGGGCACAATGGAGCATTGAGCAAAGGGTTCGAGTACACGAGATGGAGGAGTAAATGAGTGTTTTTATGGACAACGACATTAGCGATACAGCGTTTTCTGGGTTGGTGCTACAGTATTATGGCACATTGCTATATTTACATAGACGGTGTTTTAAGGAACTGCGGAAACAGGCGCAGATGTCGAGCAAGGAACATGATGAGATGATCATGGTAGCTTTTGATGAAAGGATAATCGATTTTAATTTTCTTCAACCAGTTGCTTAATGTCCCCTCTGTGATGTCTAATCACCCACTGGTGTCGACTTACAAGGACGGTTGTACAGTATCCATATACCAATGCACTGTATGTTCACACTGCACTTAACGCGGGGAGAAAATGCGACGCGTCTACGGATCGCGTCTTGCAGACCCCACCATCCGTCCAACCACCATCACCATCACCATCAGACACAAGGAACACGCAACGATATTCCCAGGCCAAACCACAAACAATTTGCAATTCAATTATACAGGTGCCCGTCGCATCTCCCCGTCGCCCATCATGGCCGACGCCGAGCTTCAATCCCGCTTCTCCGCCCCCAACAAGCCGCTTGAGCCCGATGTTCTCAGCGAGCTCGAGTCCATTCTGCGCCTCCACAACCTGTCCGCCGAAGACCTCTACTTCAAGTGGGAGTCGTACTGCATAAAACTCGACCTCGACGCCCAGGACATTTCGCTCGATGCCGTGCGCAACCTCAAGCAGAGCATCCAGGACGCGCTCGAGAAGAGCCACCAACAGGTCCAGGTCAAGTCCGAGCGAAAAGTCGTTGCCACGCCGCGGGCTGGCGCGAAGGGCAGCGGTATGCTTGGCATGCTGGATGGGATGATGCCCAGCACGCCCGCAGCAGGTGGAAAGCTGGGCCGCGCGCCAGGCACTGGGAGTGCGCTGAAGAGAAAGTTGAACACGCCCAAGGGGTTGACAAGCTCCCCGGTGACAGCAAAGAGCGCCGTAAATGGATCTCAGTCTCAGTATGCAGCCCATTCTTGCTCCCAATACTTGTCTATTACTAACGCCAATCAGGGCCACGTCTTTCAACGATCGAGGAAATGCCGGAGAAGTCGTCGAGATCCTCAACGACCGCCTCACTGCTGCCGAACCTCCCATGGCACCCTTTGCCGAACCTCGCGTGAAGCTCACTGCTGCCTCCGACCAGAAGAAGATGAACTACAAGCCGCTATCCATGAAGCTGTCAGAAGCGAGCGAGATTCTCGATGACCGAATCGACGACTTCATGACGATTGTTCAGGAGCATCACAAGCTCGATGAGACAGCCTTCTGCAGCGCCGCCAGCCAGAGCACTACCGAGATTGTAGCTGTTGGGCGGATTGCGTCAGACTCGGCAGAGGGAAAACTGAATGCCGCCTCGCTCGTGTTGGAGACATCACGGCGCACTGGCATGGGTCTTCGAGTGCCGCTCAAGATGGACAACATCAAAAGTTGGAGCTTCTTTCCCGGCCAGATTGTCGCCTTTCGGGGGAGCAACGCGTCCGGAAACGAGTTTGTCGTCAATGAGATCCTCGAGATCCCTCTTCTCCCCAGCGCCGCCTCGGCCCCATCGGCCCTTGAAACTCACCGTGAGAGGCTCCGAGGAGGACCGGACGCTATGGACGACGACTCCGACCCAGCACCCCTGAATGTCATCTTCGCAGCGGGCCCTTACACGGCTGATGACAACCTCGACTTTGAGCCACTTCACGCTCTATGCAGCCAGGCAGCTGACACCTACGCCGACAGCCTCGTATTAACGGGTCCCTTTCTCGATATTGACCACCCTCTCATTGCGACGGGCAACTTCGACCTCCCTGAGGAGGCCAACTTCGACCCGGACACTGCTACTATGACTACTGTCTTCCGATACCTCGTTTCCCCCGCCTTCAACCGCCTCGCCTCTGCCAGCCCGCACCTCACCATCATCCTCATCCCCTCAGTGCGTGATGTTCTAGCCAAGCACGTCTCGTGGCCCCAGGACACCATCCCCCGCAAGGAGCTCGGCCTGCCCAAGTCGGTCCGCATCCTCACCAACCCCATGTCCCTCTCCATCAACGAGCTCATGCTCGGCGTGTCCTCCCAGGACATTCTCTCTCAACTCCGCAGCGAGGAAGTTGCCATGGGAAGCCCCGGCACCGACCTCATGGGCCGTTTGTGCCGCTACCTCGTTGAACAGCGCCACTACTTCCCACTTTTCCCGCCTACCGACCGCACAAGACTTGCCAAGACGGGCACAGAGGATGGTGTTGCTACAGGTGCGGCGTTGGATCTGAGCTATCTAAAGCTTGGTGAGATGGTCAATGTGCGACCAGATGTCATGATGGTGCCCAGTCTACTACCTCCGTTTGCAAAGGTAAACCTCCTCACTTCTCCATGACATGTTCCAATTCTAACATATCCACCAGGTCATCGAGAGTGTCCTCCTCATCAACCCAGGCTACCTCTCAAAACGGCGCGGCGCAGGCACATACGCACGCATGACACTGTACCCACCCCCCGTCGACAGCGGTGCTGAAATGGTCAGCCACCGGGTCTTCGATCGAGCGCGCGTCGAGATCGTAAGGATATAGAGCATAGGCGAGTAGCCAGGAACGGAGAATGACAAGACTAGCATGTTCTGTTTTGTATGTAATTTAACGATGAACGGAAAATAGGGAGTCTTCATGGCACGGCAGGGTGTGCGTTGGGTATTTCATTAATGGTTATACATTGGGGCCGTGGGGCCCGGCCGATCAGGCGTCTACTTTGCGTCTCTTGTCGCCGTCGTAGCGGTCGCCTCCGCGTGACGTGCTGCGCTTGCGACGACTTCGGTTGTCGTCCCTATCGCTATCACGCCGTGGTGAGCGCGATCGTGAGTGTGATTTCCGCCGGCGGTTGCCATCATCGTCATCTCTGCGGTAGCTGTCGCGTCGATCCCCCCTATCTCTATCTCGTCGGTCGTCCCTCCTGCGGTCGTCGTGCCGATCGCCCAATGGAATCGCATTCGCGCCCTTGGCTCCCCGTTCGTCGGGCTTAAAGCGGTCGTCGTCGGGTTGAAATCTCTCGTCGCCGTCGAAGCGCCCGCCCTTTCTCGGCCGATCATTGTTGTCGCCCCATCGTCCCGTGTCTTCGCTGCGCATGTCTCTGTACTTGGTGCCGCCCTTGCGACCGAGCTTGGCCATGTCGCGGCGCTGCAGGTACTCGGGCAGAGCCTCGCGGTTCCGCACGTCGTCGGCGATGCGGGTGCCCATGATGTCACGCTTGTCGAGACCTGCGGCCTTAGACTCTTCCTGGTAGAAGGCACCCTTGTGGAAGTAGCGCTGCATGAAACCCATCTTGCCCTTGGCGTCCTTCTCGTCCTGCTGCTTGGCGAGGAATTCTTCGTCCTCGGCCTGTCGCTCCTCCTCAGTCAGGTTGCGCCGGCGCTCAACCTCGGCGAGCTCGGCCTCGGCTTCCTCAATGGCAGTGCGAGCTCTCTTCAGACGCTTGAGCTCGCGGACGCGCCAGGCTGCCTCCTCGGCCTCTGGGTCGATCCCATCTGTTGTGTCCACGTCCGACTCCTCATTCTCCTCGTCGTCCCAGTGCTTCTTTCCAACTGCGCGCGCGGCGAGATCCTTCTTGATCTGCTCCTCGACGAGCTCGTCGGCAGCTTTCTTGCGAGCTTCTTCTTCGGCTTGTCGAGCTTCCTCCTCCTCTTGCGCAGGGTCCTTTGCATTCCCTCTTTGGCTCTTTGGCACAAACTTGGGCCGGATCATTAACCTCCGCGGGGCTTCTTCTTCGCTGCTCTCCTCTTCCGAGTCGCTCTCTTCTGAGTCGTCCTCGTCTTCTTCGGCGCTCTCCTCTTCCTCCTCCTCTTCCGTCACGAATCCCTCCTCGGCGGCCAGCCGCTCTGCCTTCTCCTGCGCGATCCGACGCTCCTCAGCGGCCGCCGCCTCTTTTCTCCGGGCATTCAGGTCGACTTTTCCTAGATTGCTCGAAATCTTTCCCGCGCTGGCGGCTTTCGGTGGGGGAGCGATGGTAGGCGCGGCGGGCGCTTCGGCGTCGCTGGCGTCGGAGTCGGAGTCTGATTCGGCGGCGGTGGCCTTGCCAGCACGGTAGCGCGCCGGCTTGACGGGGTTCGCGGTCATGCGCTTTGGCGGCATTGTGATGTGATGAGGAGGAATGAAGAAAGGGAAAGGGAAAGATGGTGGTTGGTGACGTTTGAAGCTGCATCGACTTGAAAATTGGGTGGAGCCAGGAGCTGATAACCTTATCGCTGGTTGTTACCCTATACCTCAGCTGCGTGCACTCTGCGTTACATGGTTATGGATTAGTATTCATTGTCTAGATGCCCAGATGAAGGCTGAAGTTTCTAATAGCCAGATATTTATCCATATTGTGTTTTCATATAAAAGACAGAATCTTGGAAACCTCGTGTCTCCCTAACGAGGCCGCGTCCCACAGCCCTTTACGATAACCTACACGCTCTAATTGTTCAGTGCCGAAGCGCCTTGCTTACTACCTCTATAGTCAACCCCGACAGATCTCGGCTTCCCAATCCATTTTTAGAGCCAAGCCTGAGTTGTCGCTGCTTTAGCCTGAGCAGAGGTGATCAGGTGGGTGATCAATACCTGAGCTGAGCGCACAGCCCTGTTTCAGGCCCCTATACACAGTTGCTGGCACGGATCGGATCGAAAAGCCACCAAAGAAGAAGGACCTCAGCCTTCTGATCCTGTCCCTGAACCCGCCCCTGAATCTATCTCCGGAGTTGATCATGATGTTGTCTCTGGAAATATTCATGGTTTAGCCACGTTGGCAGGCTCTCCATATGCTTCACACGAAGTTAAGGCATCACGCAAAAGTCGGTGGAAGATAGGAACACGATCCAAGGCAATTCGAAACAATACAAAGGCTGAGAGGCTGAACCAAACACAGCGACGTCTTCGAAAGCAAGCGGCCAGATTACAGAACGTCAAAAAACCCAATGGCTCTACGGCGGAGAAAGAAGAAGAAGGCGACGAAGAGGAAGCAGACGAATCTGCAAGACCAAGCCCAGTTTCTAATCCTGATGAACAATACAGCCTCCTAGCCACCACAGTCCAACGTAAGCTTCGTTTATATTTACCCTTCCTGTTGTTGTACTAATCACCACTTTAGGACACCAAACCCCAGCCTGGCACCTTCTCCATACGACATATCCAGCTATGGAGAACAAATTCCCTATTGCCTCAACACTCTCCAAGACGAGTACATGGCTGGCTAAGGAGGATCATCCATTCACAACTGGTATAACGAAGGCGAAATTGGAAGCTTTGAAGAGATCGCCCCGAAACAACAATCCTCTCGAAGAAAAACATAACGCAGCTCCTTTCAAATGGGTCTACTCACGTCACCTTTTGGGTGGCCTACTCCAGGTGGTTGGAGTCCCTGCTCCTAGACCCTGCAGATCGTGCGAGAGGGGCAAGGGACGCTGGACGACGTGTGTTATCAGCCACGACCATTCTTCCATCGACATTGCGAAGGGCGCATGTGCCAACTGCCTATACAGCACTGCGGGAGAGTACTGCTCATTCAGAGAGTTGTTACCTAAGGTCACAGCAGATACTGATATAAATCCTGAACTGCAGCATCTTGAGGGGAAGGAGTTTCCTACGCACCTCGCAGCCAAGGATGCTATCAAACAAGCTCAACAACACAATGGATATCAAATCGTCCGAATTTCAAGCAACCTACGACCAGCGAAACCTATGTTCTATAGGTTTTGTTGTTTTCGACGCGACGACCTCACTTCAGGTGGCGCTAAAATTGATGATCCCTGATTTTGGACTATTCAGGTCGATTTCATTGACGGCTCCTGGGTGGTTCAACGACCAGACGGTATACACAGTCACGATGCCATGGACTATACTACACCTCGGCCCAATTGGAGATGCGATATGTGCGAGCAAGACTTCAACTAGAATGAGAAGGATTCACACACCTGCCCAGGGCCTTTTAGCACATGCTATAAGTGCTGTGTCCGCTTTCCAGAAGGCGAGCTGGCGGCACATCGGCTTCTATGCCCAGTGCTTCGCTGCAGTACTTGCGGCAACAAAGTCAAAGACATGGAGCAGCATCGCAAGGATTGTCGCGGTCCACGCGAGAAACTGAGGAAACAGTGCACGAAATGCAGGCAATACTTCGACAAGAATAAGATTGAAGAACATGTTGAGGCTTGCGAGTATTGGCTCTGCAGGCACTTCTCAATAGTAATGTTGGCTGCAGAAAGAGACGAGCCTTCAAAGATCTGCCAGGAATGGCTCTGCGGTATTTGCTTGCAAGAATGAAAGCCTCAGAGAGGTACGAGCACCTGCCGAATTGTCCAGTGTGGAGATGCACGCACTGCATCAAAAAGTTTCCGCGGTCAGCTCAGGATGAACATATCCAGTCTTGCGAGTTCTGGTCCTGCAGAGCGTGTCTTCTGGTTGTCTTTAAGACAGAGAGAGACGCTCACTTGCAGAAATGCGATCGGTGGTGCTGTGGACGCTGCTACATGAGTATGTTGAAGTCTGAGAGAGATCAGCATCTGCAGAACTGCGAGTACTGGACATGCTCCCGATGTAGTAAGCACTATCTAACGTCGATGAGGGATGAGCATAAGGTTGCATGCCTTGAAGCACACCCAGCGCGTTGCAACTACTGCCGCAAGACTGGACAACGTAAGGAGATTTCTCAGCATGAAGCTGAATGCGATACTCGGATCTGTCCAGGCTGCAGACACGTCCTCAAAGTTGACACAATTGCGGCACATTGGGCAAAATGCACAAAGATGGTTTGTTCTAGCTGCTCCTGTATAGTTGAGCGCAACAGGCCTCATAACTGTCCAAAGCAGCTTTATCCAATCTGTCTCCGTCGTTTCTCTCGGGGATATGAGGATAAACATCTAAGAGAGTGTGAAGGATATAAGAAGGTTGACTCTCTTCATTCAAAGAAAGAGTCGGATCGTACTACCAGGTCAATTTTATCGCAGAATTTTCGATTTCCTCTCCTCGAAGGTTGCGCTAAAACCCTCACAACATTTCTCAAGCACCCTCACAACACATTCATTATTAATTTCAAGTATATCAACTCAGACGATGGGCCACTACCCCTTCAGGTAGCTATATTCGATGCTTTTGAGCGACAGGTTGTCCCCCCCACGGTCATAGATCATAAGATAACAGTTGGGGAACTCCGGCAAAAGATCAGCCTTTCGAAATTCCACCAAGCTCGCGGCCCGTTCGCCTCTGTTGGGGTGATTCAAAGGTTTCAGCCTAGCCGTGAGGAAGACAGAATGATAGGTCTGACGTGTCATGCGATTGCAGACCTTATGCGGAAGCATATCAATGTAAGTGCAACATTCGCCTTCTCTATCGCCTTCTTTTATTTGCTTTTTACTCATCTAACTTGCCTTCTCCTCCCTAGGAACATGGGCCCGTGGAAGTCTGCATTACTTGGGCAAGGACTCAAATCGATATTCGATGCTTGAGTTACATTCTCATGACTGCGGGCGCCGAAGATCTGCTGGTTCCTGAATGGAAATTTAGCGATCAGCCACTGGGATGGTATCATACTATCCGGCGTCAAATGAAACTTGACGCAAGAGTGCTGTCCTTGCAACTCTCGAAGCTCTACGGGACCTTATTCCCTGAGGATTGGAGGCTGACCTTGAATGCCCACGACGCCGGGGTTGATGTGATAATGACTATTCGATTAGTCAAGGCATACCTGCTGAGGGCCTTCAGCATGCCTCTTTCTGGGAAAATTAATTTCCACTTCTCCTCAGCTGATCGTGGCGCGAAGGGATGGGAATTGGACGTTGGGAAGTTGCTTAGCCTTCTCGAAAAGGCAACCCCTGCTATTGCCCTAAGCAAAGCCGACGATAACGAGATCAGCCAAAGTGGCATCAATGAGCCCTTGGACGACGACGAGGAGATTTTGGAGGATTTCTCAGACGATTAACCTCTGGAGGACATCCTAGACGATAAATCTGCGGGGGATCTCTTAATGAGATTTGAGGAGAAGCATACATTGGATGATTCCGTGCATGATTCGAATTAAAGATGCCTTTCAGCTATAGACGAAGGCATCTTCACCTCGAACATCTCCCCTTATGTCCAGTTCGTCTGCAGATGTTTTGTTCGAGTTTCTTGAAGCAGGTATCTTGTCGTGTTCTTGTCTTTGATCTGTCTAGCCTCTCAAAACATATCTCTTTCCACAGAATGAAGCGCAATTCGTAATGTCCGTCCCAAATTCCCTTCTTCCACCCTTATCCTGCACCAGGCCATCAGACCTCTAATCCAAGATAGCACGGAGTTCTTGAATCTGCTGCAGCACAGCTAATCGACTAGTACCGCCCCTGGCCGATTTCGCCTCAACACTCGACTCATATTCGAAGGCCTTTACAATATCCGCTGTAAATCGAGAATCAATAGCTTGCAGTTGCTCCAGGGTTAGCTTATCCATCGGGGTTTCCGTATTTTCCGATAATGCAACAATGCGTCCAGAAATATGATGAGCTTCCCTAAAAGGACATCCGTTTCGCACCAGCCACTCCGCGACATCAGTAGCAAGCATCGTCTTATCTAGGGCAGCTAACATCCGCTCAGGCCGCACGGTCATGGTAGCGATGACCCCGTTGGCGATGCCCAGACTGTCCGAAATAGTTTGAACCGAATCCAGCATGGGTTCCCATCCCTCCTGAAGGTCCTTGTTGTAGCAAGTTGGCAAGCCTTTCACGCTCTGTCAGGTATCTGTTAGTGGCTGCTCTTGATCCGCTCCTGATCACTCATGAGCTGATATGTCTGTATTCGAACTCACCATCATCAGCCCAGCCATTTGACCGAAAGCACGGCCTGACTTGCCGCGCAAGAGTTCCAAACTGTCGGCGTTCTTCTTATTCGGCATTAAACTGGACGTGGATTAGAGTCTTGTGGGATTGTCTGGGAGTCGCGATAGATACAACGAACCTGCTGCCGGTACTATAAAGATCTGCCAAACGACAAAACCCAAACTCGGAAGTGGAGTATAAGATGAGATCTTCAGCCCACCTGCTGATATGGCTGGTGAACATCGAGTTCCAGGTCAGGAACTCGATAATAAAGTCACGGTCGCCTGAAGTGTTCATAGAGTTCAGAGTGATTCCGCTAAAACCAAGCTCCGCAGCTATTGCGTCTCGATCGATGCCAAACACATTGCCAGCTAATGCGCCACAACCAAGTGGGCTAAGGTTGACCCTTTCGAAGACCTGGCGCAATCGCTCGAGATCCTGCTTGAACGAAGCAGCATGTGACATTATCCACTGACCCCAGCGAACTGGCTGCGCGCGTTGTAAGTGGGTGTAGCCGGGCATGAGGTAGTCGCTAGGGATGTTACTCAGTAAGGGGCTTTGTCCGGATGTAGTGCTAAGCTTACATTTCAGCCTCGGCACGTTTGGTGAGGACTTGAAGGAAAGCAACGAGTTGGCTGTCGATTTCACGGATGCGGTCACGTAGCCACATGCGCATATCACAGACGACCTGCTCGTTGCGGCTGCGACCTGTATGCAGCTTGCCAGCGGTATCCTTTCCGATAACCTCTCCTAATCGACGCTCGTTTGCAGTATGAATCTGATTTATTATATTAGCCTTGGGAGGTTAAGTGGCGTGGGCTAGTGTCTTACATCTTCGTCATTTGGCATAATAGCGAAGGTTCCCTGCTTCCATTCTTCCATCACTTTAAGCAGACCACACTCGATCGTCTTAAATTCGTCTTCAGTAATAATACCAACCTTCGAGTTAGCCCTAGCGAAAGCGATCGATCCAAGAATATCCTCTCTGTAGAGAGCCTTATCGTATCCGATAGAGGCATTGTACTTGTGCATAAGCGGATCAATCCCACCTAGGCATCGCAAGGTCAGTATACTAGATCTGAAGCTTGTGTCCGGGGACAATCGAACCTGTAAACCTGCCACCCCAGAGCATATTGGTTGCCGGGGCGTCCGTCTTCTTTTCAGCCATGTTGGAGTATTTGTTCTCGGCGCTCGTTGCGATCGTTGCGTTTGTTAGTTCGTTGCGATTTCAAGCTCGATGGAATTGATGGAGCCAATTGAGGGTAGAGCGCATGGTTATAGCAATTGACGTTCAAATTGAGGGACGCGAGTCAATTCGGATGATGTTGCTTGATTGAAAAGGTCGAGAAAGAGGGCGGGGTTGATCAAGTTCGAAAGCTTTGTTGAGGACGTGACGAAAACTTTGTGGGGCCGACACCGGCGGTGTCAGTCACCTTGCACGTGAGCTTGCACGTGAGGACCCCTACTACTTCTTAGCATGGTGAGCTTCTTCACATAACATCGGTCGACCACTTGAAGGGTAAAATCTTGAGCATAAATCACCTCGAGGCTTCAAGAAGCAAAGATAAGATATGATCGAATCTGGTGTCGTGCCCACGTAGCGTCAAAGCGTCATGCCCGACAGCACAGCAGCTGCCTTGACGCTGAACACGCGCCTCACTCTCGTTTTAGCCATTGACTCAGCCTGGGACGATTTTCTCGGAACAGAAACCGCCGAGCATGATAGTGGTATCGGAATCAATCGAGAATATATACGGTTCTTGTTATGCGTAGTTCCTAATTTGTTGCGCGTGTGGGTTGCTCTCGCCGTGGGAATCTAGGGTCAATGCTCATATCGTACCACCCATGGCATGTTCGACTGACCTGACCCCAGAAAGGCACATTGTCAGGCACAGCCGCAAGACCGTGCACAATGCCTTTTAGGTATGCTGACACTACAATGTGCCTCCGTGGGTGGGCAACACTTGGCGAGGTCGGACAGTTTCCAATAATTCAGGAATAAGCGCCGAAGTCAGGGGTTCGGTTATTCTGGCACTCGGCAGCCGGCATGGTAATGGTGATATCTTAGGTAACGGGTAATTCCTTTGCACGAGGTATTGTCCAGAGTGATCATGGCCTCAAAATAACCGCCCGATGGTATATCTCCTTGTTGGCAGTAAGTCGGCCCCAACAAGCAACTCGAAGACCTACTTGCATAGCTAATAGCAGCGACTTGGACATAGCCGTCCGACAGTGCTGCGGATTTTCCCAAGCGCTGCGATATTCCAAGCGCTGCGATGTCCTAAGCGGAAATGTCTTCGTAGAACATTATCAATATTGATACTAATTCGATACTAGAGAATCCTGCTCCACAAGTACTTTACTCTAGATTATCTCATTAAAGGTGAATCAGCCTTGTCCGCTTCGTGTCCCGCTGCAACATGCCTCACAAGTGGTGATCTTCGTCGCTTAAACTGAGAATTGGGCAATGCTCAACTCGCTGACTGCCGAGGACTAATTTGCGCTTTCTGCAGGTAGACGCCTTGAGCTCTAGACATGTCGGCGACAGCGAGCCCCCTCGATCAAAGCACAGGCCATCCTCCACAGGCCGTCACGTCAGCCAGCCTTCTCTGCCGCTCCGTTCATGGCCTTGACATCATCTCAAGGAGGGTCGCGGAAGAGCCGCACGTGCTCGTGTGCGCATTTCACTAGCGAGGCATCTCCCTCCCTCACCAGGTACGGCTGTTACTGTTCCGACCGGGTGTCGATGCAAAGCACCCTGAACGACGCTACCAAGCCACGCGATCAGGTCGCCACAGTCGCTGAGGGTAGGAGTAGGAATTAGGTATAGTTAAGTGAGCAGGTAGGAAGTAGGACGAGGTTAAGGATGGGTGACCACAGCCTCATATCCGCTTAAACTACCGCTGAGTAAGGATGTATTTCAGCAGGGTGTAATGCCTGGCGCGAATACGGGACCAACTTCCTGCATCAGGATTGTTGCTGCTTTTCCGGGTGTTCTCGACTCTGAACACCCTCTGAGGAAAAGGCGGGGCCCCTCGCAAATGCGCCTCTAGTCACCGCCTGGTCTCAACCTGGGCCGTGACACTTAGTCAGAAGAGGGGTCTGATAACCCCTCTTCCGGCTGGTCCGGATGACCAGAAGGAACAAGCATATATAGATATATATATATATCAAGATCATTATTATCAACTTGAACACGATTTACATTAATCAATTTGACCGGAACGGATCCATCAGCAACCGCTAGATCCAGAGTCTATTAACTTTCGTCTAGTATCCACCCAAACAAACAAAATGTCAAATAAACTGGCTGGAAAAGTGGCATTAATCACGGGGGCTTCGTCGGGGAATAAGTTCATCCTCATCAATTGAGCTCCCGCGCATTGCTGTGCTGACCTAGAATGCACAATTCAGTCGGTCGCGCGATTGCCTTGGGTTTGGCGACACACGGTGCCAAAATTGTATGTTGCGATTTGCAAGGCCAAGCCAACCAAGAAGGCTACGAGCGCGACCTGGAAAAGACCACAGCTGAAGCAATTGCGGCTAGTGGAGGAGAGGCCATATTCGTTCAAGCCGACATTTCAAACACGCAGCAGGTTGAAGAAGCCTTCCGCTTGGTCATCGAGGTAAAGATAGCGCGGTTACAGGCTACATATTTCTAATAATAAGTCTAGACATTTTACCGGCTGGATATCCTTATCAATTGCGCCGGTTATGGGGCATCATTCACCCTCTTTGCCGATGAGTCGGAGGACTTGTGGTCAAAGATGGTTGCTGTAAATACCCTCGGAACTGCTAGGATGAGTCGTAAGGCCGTTCGTCAATTCATCGAGCAGGATTACAATACCAACTGGGGAAGTCGCGGGCGAATTATTAACATCTCATCCTGCGCCGGCGTATTTGGGTTCCCAGGCTAGGTTGCATACTCTGCGACGAAGGCGTCTATTAACCATATGACGAAAGTAGGAGCCCTGGATTATGTAAAAGACTATATCAACTTTAATTGCGTTGCTCCCGGCGTGGTTGCGACGGGTATGGCTAGACAGAATTTTGAGGATAGTAAGATCCACGACGTGTTGAGGAGAGCAACCCCATGGACGAGGCTTGGTGTTGCTGAGGATGTTGCGGGAGTGGTTGTATTTCTCTGCCTGCCCGAGTCTCAGTGGATAACTGGCCAAGTTATCTCCGTAGATGGAGGTATGACTCTTGGTGTATCACCTACTCCAGAGGAGTGACCACGGAAGCTGTCAATCCAGGCAACGCAGCGATATATAGATACTCTATTGTTGATACTATTGGTGTTTTTTTTATATTGTTGAGCTTCTAGTCCCCCCTCTGGGTATGTGTGTACTAGGGCACCCTAACCTCTTGATAGATACTCTGAGATAGATTAATATAGAAATCGGCATATATTTTCTTCTACACACTCCTTATGATTAAAGAAGCTAGGTCGCCGGCTATCTTCTTCCACGACGAGGTAGTCGAGGCAGTCGAAGCCCAAGAATGGTTAGGCAGGGAAGGCGGCAGATACCAAGGCAAAGAGGAACTCATGTTCCGAGACTTTCTCGAGACTCTGCTCTTGAGCCCAGTCTACCGCGGCGAAAACTGTTTAGACCACGACGACGAAGGCATTCCAGACGGACCCTGGAACGACGAGACCGTAGCGACGAGCTTTGCATTGTTTTGGGCAGAGAATGACCCCCGTTTTATGTACCCTCCGCCAAGGATCGGCGAGCTTTTGAAGGTGGAAATGTTTGCGAGGGGCATCTCTCAGACCAAGTTGTTCCCATTCCTCTGTGGTGGCGTGGGCAAATGCTTCTTCATCACTGAAGATGAGCGAATGGGAATGTGTCCGCCTGACACACGACCCGGTGACATTATTGTTGCACTATTCGGATCCCGTGTACCCTTTGTGGTTCGCCCTGTGAGAAAGGAAACATAGTTTGAGGGAGATGATTGGACCTTTGAAGGCAGTGAAATGTTGAAAGATCAGCTGTACCGGTTTGTCGGGGAGTGCTATGTGCACGAGCGCATGGCGAGCTCGTTCTTGAGAGATCAGGCCACGAAGTTGGAGGAGGCGGAAGTTTTCAATTTGTATTAGACATGTTACCCTCGACTAGGATTGTTAAGAAGCGTTAAGTGGCCGATGTGTGATTGCTAGTTCTCTTGCGTAGAGTTGAAGAAATAGACACGACCGGATTCCACTTCACAGTTACGGAGTATCTGGGCGATGGAAGTCGGATGTGCGGGAGCCATGCTTACTGGCGTGTAGTCTGGTCCTCGGCGAGGAGCTTGTGGAGAACTGACGTCTACGTTTTGTATGCATTCATACGTAGGCTGGGAGATGCATGTCGAAAGGCGCAATCTCAAGACCATGACAGCTACACCGGCGCTGGGAATGCCATTTATACTCACGACGAAGGAAATAGTGATTGTGGTAACATTCAAGACCGGACTTCATGCTTCCTCATCGCGAATAGAAGTCGACTCAACGTCTCAGTCTAGCACATACGACCATACTCTTTGGAAATATGGGATCCCGTCAAGCTCTTGTTTCCTGTTCAAGGGCAGGCATCCCCCCCGAAACAGTTTACCCATCAACAGCTCAAACCCCGGTGAACATATGTAGGCATTCTCCATGAATAATACCCGTAACCACTTATATATCTATTCATCCTCCCTGCTAATAATATTATTTTACGTAAAAAAAGTTGTTTCAACCTTGCCAGTGCGGGGACGGGTTGCTTCGTGAACTCACAGCAGTTCTGGACGTCACCGCCTACGAGAGGGTATCTTGGGTTTCTGTGTTCGTGCTCTGCTCGTCAGTTCCGTGAGATATCGTCCTTGCAGAAGCGTGGAAACTCGAGACGGCATCGTCGAACTGGCCCCGTTCGAACTGCCAGAAGGCCAATGTTTCGCCCGACGTTACGGTCCGATGATTGTTCAACCACACGCTCTCACACCGCAGCGCAACGACTTTTTGCTGGTGAGAGATTGCTTCGTCTGGTTTCCGCTGATAGTGCAGCGTGAGGGCGAGTTTCTCGATGGCGTTAATAGTTTCGGGATCTTGCTCGCCATTGCACCGGTTGCTCGTCTCCCAGACTGTGTTGTATGTCGACATGGCGTCGTCTAAAAGGCCGCACTCCCGCAAGGCGTCTCCCACCTTACTCAACGCGATAAGTGTTGCTATGTGCTCAGAGCCGTTCCTGTCTTTGCACTCTTCCGCCAGTTTCCGTCGCAATGACAGCACATCCGCGAGCCGGCCATCTAACCGGAGTAGAAACGCGAGCACCTCGGCTGGAGCTAGCTCATCAAATGCATCTGGTGCATCAGCGGCCTGTTGTGAATTGAGCATTTTCCGCTGTTGACTGATGGCCTCTTTCAGGTCTCCACGATGTGCCAGCGTCAAGATTAATGTTCCCATCGCCTGGAGTGTCTGAGGATGTCCTATGCCCAGAATTCTCTGGCGCACAGTGAATAGGGCCCGCTGTAGTTTCAGAGTCGCGTCTGTATTATGCGGCGCGTACCACGATGAAGATGCGAGGTGCTGGAGGATTTTGTCTAGTGCAGAATAATCCTGCTTTACCCTGCATATATCGTCCACAAGACTGAAACATTCGTCCAACTCATCCACCGCGCCCAAGGTGACAGATAGAGAGTCCTTAGCCAGTAACGTGCCCGGGTGGTAGGGCCCCAGAATCGTCTCTTGTCGTTTGAGAACCTCACGTTGAAGTTCTATTGCTTCCACGTATTGCTTCAGATCGAACAGTGTAATTGATAAATTGTGCATGATTTCGGTGGCGAGTGGATGATCATGGTCGAAGAACTCCTTGGTTTCTTCGAGTACTCCGCGCTGTACTATCTCGGCCTGCCCAAGGTCGTTGTTGTCAAAACTTTGGAGCCCGACAGCGTCCATTACTGCGGTACTTTATCAGCACAAACTACAAAGTGAGTTTGGGCTCCAGGCTTGCAATGATGGGGAATTCTTACCCAGCAACTCAGTCAGTTTGCGTAACGGGTCTGGGGATTCTGGTGGTTCATTGGCGGCGGCGGGGCTGCTTGCATCCGAAGCCATATTGACTCTTCAGCACTCCGGAATCACGGACGATTAACTTGATGCACGTATTGCAGAACGTCAAGACCGAGGCCGAGCATCGAGACAATATCACTCAGGTAAATCGAAAACCATCGAGGCTACTGCGGCTGGGACCCCGCTTCTCGAGAGCTGAAATAGGCACGCTCTAGTTATTGTGGCTGCATCTTGATATGAGAAACCCGGTCTATTTGTCGTCATATCGCATGTATTTCTTGCATCATAACATCATAACTACCCACTAGTCAATCGACTCTAGCTTCTTCTCGATGTTCTGCGCATCCTTCTCAAATTCCTGCCAGGCGTCAGCTTCTTCAGCCAACGTCTCGTTCCCATCACTGCCCATCAAACTCTGCTCCTGTCCCAAACTCAACTCTGCCACCTCCGGGCCGCCCTTTACAGCTTGAGTACGGAGCGGCAGAAGCCGCAGCTTGTTGGGCGCTATTGTCTCCCAGTCTTCGTCTTTGATGATCTTGGTGCCCACCCGCTGCCACTGTGCTGCCCAGACCCTCTCTCCCAGAATCTGTCCGCCGGCAGTCACCATCGTGGTGGAGCTCAACTGAGCATGTAAGCCCACTTTGAGATCCAGGAGCTCTGCTATGCCGGTCGGCTCAGGGATTGGTATTTCCGACTTAGCTGTAGTTGAGACTTCTTTCGACTTAGTCGTGTAGTAGAATGCATCCTTGATGACAAAAATTCCAGTGACCATCCAGATCTCGGGGCGAAAGCTCATCCGTTTCTTGAGAGCGTCCCACCTACTGAACACTGACAAGCGAGATCGAAGCCATAGCTTCGCGTTTTGATCTTCCAAGATGACTTTCGAAAAGTAATTTTCAGGGCTGAGAGCTCAGTCAGTCTGTTCCGCCGGGGAGTGAAATTTGGGAATCACCCACCTGTTCAGTTCGATCTTGCTGCCATTTTTTCCCACCACCAAAGAGTAACTACTCCCGGCACGGTCGTGGTCGAATTCCAGCAAGCCCTTTAGACCGGCGCCAAAGCTGTTACTTTTGCCGCGCTCGAATGCCATGTAACAAGTCGGTCTTTGATCTTCCGCTGCCTGTGGAGGGTCGTCGAGCAGGCTCTTGCTGGGCTTGTGAATGTAAGGCGTTCTTGTGCGTGGATTTGCATAGTCGAACGCCAGACTTCCGAGCCGCAGCCAGTCGGCGTGGACGCCTTCCGCGTAACAGAAGTAGGTGCTTTCTTCCATCCTGTCACCAGCGTGTTCGAGCTGCTGTTGTAGTGATAGTTGTTGTAAAGTGAGGAAATCGTATCCTCTGTGTCGTGACCAGGCAGTTGGAAATACTCGGTGCACCCAAATCCCCCGCTCGTGTAGGCACTCAGCTCCGACTGTGGGCCGTAACGGCTGGGCCCGGTCGATGGTACTTTTTAGAACCTCATTATGCGTGGTGAGTACAAGATGACGTATGGTCGAGTGAAGGAGACTGAGGGGATATTCAAATGGGGGAACAACCCGGTTAATTGCCAGCCACGACGCCCTTAAAGCTCTGTACCATGGCAGGCCCGAACTCTGTCAGCTTCTCCATCACGAGATGATTCGAGTCTCTCCGTCTCAGCGCGGACAGCTGAGCGCGACCAAGCCACAACCATCCATCGTCCTCGTCACTTAGCCATTGGCTGTGTGGGATACCCCTCAAGCCTCGTGGCTACATGTCGCTCTCCCGTTGCCGTGATTGGGAAAACCTTTGTGGAGATGGTGTGGAGAGATAACTCAAAACTGTGTTGTGACATTTAGTAGTGTACTTGAACGTGGCGCTTCACTAGATACAAGACAGACAGCCTCAGATAACTCGCTTGGCGACTCTACCAGCCCATGGTCATACGGAACAATCTCCCAGTTGGCGGACTGCCAAGCGGTGGCTGCATTTCAGCTCTGAGCGAGCATTCACCTTCTACTGCACAGAAATCGGGAATATTTTCGCGATTGCATTGAACATGGAAGAGTCGAGGCCATTCTAGCAAAGGATAACTCATAAACCATCATGGACTATACGACGGTGTGCGATTTCTTCGGAGGCTCCATCTTCCACGATGACCTCCGTGGAAATTTCGTCGAGACACAGCAACGAATAGACCAGTTGATCTCCGCGATCGACCATCAGTCAGATGACGAGAAGAATGCATCTTTCTTGTTACAAGCCGTCCAGTTCGTGATGCAAGGAAATCACAAAACCGCGCAGGCGTGGCTCGACAAGATCGGCGAGGTTCCGGAAACATCTCCACGATGGCGCTTTAGGAAGTCGAGTTACCAGATTCTGAACATCGCCATGGCCCGCTCTCCCGCTATCGGATGGCCGGTGCATTTGATGGAGTTCCCCGTCAATGATATCTGGAATCCTAAGCCGTACCCCGCCAGCGACGTGAAAAACGCCATCATCGCTTCAAGGGATCTTCAACAGCACGCTTCACCTGTCGACTTGTTTGAAAGGGACTTGTTTGCGTACGTATTCGGAGTTTCACATCTGGCGTTCCGAGCACATGAGTACCAGACCACAACGGGAGGTGGTAATGAGGTATGCGAAGCCTTGGGGGAATTAAACGACGCCAAAATTATATTGGAGGGTGAGCAACTCAGCTTTCTAAGCTTGCGAGGTAGAGCGCTGGATTTGCAGCTCACAGCAACGGAGACTTTCCTACAGAGGTTTATGCTGGAGGCAAACAAGGCCCTACCGTCTCTGGACAAGGGTGCATTTGCCCGTCGGCTGCGAGGATTGCGGGAAACTTGCGAAGCACGGCACGATGACCTAGGAGTCGCACAATGTGTGATGGCGATAGGCGACAGTTTGGTCTCCGGGCAACATACCTCCCCATTGTTTTTGAATATGCAGATCGGAGACAGGCTGGACGAAGTCACTGTACGGACCGCAGAGGCACTGTATCTTGAACCACTGCTCACTGCTGGTTCTCCCTGCCTACCAGACGACGGTGGTGTAGTTGAAAGTGATCTCGAGGAACAGTTGCCCGACATTCCGCAGCACCCTACGCTCACTGGTTCTGGATTTCCAGAAATTGCCAGTTTAGATCAGATCAAGGAAGCCTGGAAAGCCTACAGTCGCGCAGAGTCCATCTATCAGCGAGCCGGCCACTCTCGAGGTCTCGGTGCGATCAAGCTCCGTCGAGCGTGCCTACTGATGATCGTTCGGTCCAACTCGGGAGTCATGTGGGCGAACAAGAGATATACAAACGATTTGGAGCGGCACATCACAGAGCTACTCCGAGAGGCAGCACAGCTTTTCTCCTCAAATGCTGATATCATACACGAAAAGTTGGTCCAGGTTCACCTCCTTATTTTAGAGCAGCTATCAACGGAGTCTGCTGAGCAAGCTCGAGAGACGGGAGCTTCGGCAGAGGACAACGATGCAACGATGCTCCAGTGGTATTTAGCTACCTTTGCCCAACGGCTCGGAGACTACTACCGATACTTCTGTGGCTCCAGCTTGGGAATGCATTGCTATGAAATCGCTCGACTTCTCTGCATTCGAGCTCCCACGCTCAACTTTACCTGGCTTCAGAGCCTCGATTCTCTCACGGAATTCTCCCTGGCTTTTGGTTTCAGTCAAGTGGCAAAGGCGTCGATAGCGACGATGCAAGAAAGTCTAGACAATATCTTGGGAAGGCTAAGGGCAACCCAGCGCGTCAATGCCGACGATGTAGGTGTTTGCCGTTGCTGTAAGAACCTCCGTTGGTATCTCGTTCACAGGCTAGTACGCCGGGTCCTCTCAACCTATACTACGATGGGCCTCTTTACGAAAGAGGTTGCAAACTCGGTCAAGACTCTTTTGGAGAAGCTGGACGACATTCCAGAGGACCTCTTTACAACAATTGATCTAGATACGAAAGACCTTGTCGAGATCTACGCTGAACGGGCACGGTGCTCGCATCTAATGGAGGATGGTAATCACTCGTCCTTTGATGAAGTTGCGCAAAACATGGTTGAATCATATACACGACGGTCATCGTTCGATGTGCTTGAAGCATGCTCCAAGTTCATGGCAGACATTTCTGAGGATTCGATATCGATGCAACAGTTTGGGGAGAAGTTTGGTAGATTGGAGCACCGGCAACTGTCGGCCTTTCACGAAAGAGAGACTTTCAGCCAGTTGAATGGAGCGTCCAAGGAAGAGATGGAAGCCGTGAACTCCGTAACAGAGATATTCCTCGTGGAGCGCGCAATGGGGACCTGTATCTTCCTGAAACGATGGGATCAGGCTGATCAGCTCATGGAAATGCTAACATCGAAACTTGCTGGCTATGCAACATCGGTGTATTGCCCGACGATCTCATTGCCCTGGCAGCGTCGATTATGGGCTGGCTTAGTCGCAGAGCACAAAGGTCGATACTACGACGCTCTCAGATTATATTTCCAAAGCTGGTATTTCGCCACAGTCAAGCGCATGGACGATATGGATCTCGAGCAGAAGCGCTTCCAGATGACATTCTCGGACCGTGCAAGGATATATTCGTGTATTGCTCGGCTTTGCGTATATGTTCGAACTCAGCGGTTTAGCCTGCCCGAGCCGACAAGCACGACTGACCAGGACCTGAGTCTTTTAAGTGCGACTTCGAGTGCGAATATCCCCCCCGAGAGCGCAGACGAGACGGCCATAGAGTGGCTAGAGCTGGGCAAGGCCAGAAACACCATGGCCTTGCTTGCGCTCTGGAAGAACGACCCGCCGGGATCCAACCTGAGCAAGTGGCTTGAGCTGAACCGGAGAATGGCCCTGTGGACAGAGCTTCAAAGCCGGGGCGCCATGCGAACGCAAGACGAGGAAGCAGAGTTTCTGCAGCTCGATCAGGAAGCAGTGGAGATGGAGAGATTCTTGATCGAAAATATCGGTGTCCTGCCGAGTCAGCGAGCAGACGCGTCCCTTTGGTACAAGTTTCCAACACTTTGCGCCTCTATTCCCGATGACACTCTGGTGATATACACGGCGATATCACAGGACGGCCTGGCCCTCTTTGCCATTGACAACACCGGCATTCTCCACCGCTCTTGGAACCCAAGCGTGAGGCCATTTCAAATTCGAAAAGCCGTTTCCACCTACCTCGGGCTGATGAACCAGTATCAATGCGGAGCCGACATCAATGTCCTCAACTTCCTCAGCGCCTACCTCTCGTCGATATTCATCCAGCCCCTCGCGCGCTTCGTGCTTCAAAAGGAGGTCATCTTCTTTGTTCCCTCGGGCGATATGGCCCGCTTCCCGCTGAACACACTGATGCTCGACGGCCGCTACCTCTTCCCGTGGAAAAAGGTCTGCCAAGTTCCCAGCCTGTCTCTATATCATCACGCCCGCAGCACCGCAACTCTAGATGGCGAATTCGCCGCCTCTGCGATCGCCCGTCCAGGAAGCCTCCGCGAGGAACTGGATGGCGGCCTCGCGGCGCTCCCCATGGGCGCAATCGAAGCACTACACGCCTCTCTCGTGTGCCGCGCGAGCATCTTCGACGCCACGACGGTGACGCGGGATCGATTCCGGGAGCTCCTACAGACATCTTCCATCCTGCACATCTCGACGCACGGCAAGGTCAACTACGAGCGGCCCGGGCACTCGTGGATCGCGCTGCAGCAGCCCTTCCGCATCCTGGACCTGGCCAACGTGCGCGCCAAGGTCAGCGCGGTGGTGTTCAGCGCGTGCTTCAGCGGCGCCGGCATGGCGCATTCGAGCGGCGACGTGGTGGGCTTCAGCCACGCCGTCTTGGCCACGGGCACCAAGGCGTACGTCGGCGCGCTGTGGAAGGTCAAAGAGGTGTCGACGCTGATCCAGATGTTCCTCTTCTACATCCGGATGGTGCGGCAGAGTGACGAGATTTTCTTGTTCCGCGACGCGTGGCACGAGGCGAACGAGACGGTGTTGTCGTTGGATCTTCCCAGGGCCGTTGAATTCTTGCGGTCTATGGCGGCCGAGTGGGACATTATGGAGAGGAAAGGGCTCAATCCGAACGGATTCGTCAAGGGAGGGAGGGAGGCCGTCACCGAATCGATCGAAGAGTTGGGCTTTGATGGCGCCGACATTCTCACCGAATTTCAGCACCCGTTCATCTGGGCGGCCTTTAACGTCGTTGGATTCGCGGACTGGGGCATTCGGAACAACATCAACCGGTATTCGCAACCGGCCGGTGAGCCTTGAGAAGGTGAGCTATGAGAAGACGATCCCCTACCCAACATTATTGGTTGTTCCCTTGCTGGTTGGACGAGTTGATGATCAAAAGCGCTAGCGAGGGAGTGTTGTTTGAAGAGAAGGATGACGAAGCCAATCAAGTGCAGTGATACGCGACAACATAAATTATTTACGTCTAAGCCTCAGGCCAAGAGTTGCGTGGATGCCTGGGACATGGTGTACATACAGGTACTAAAGGCTCAAATGTCCATCAGAATACATGGCTTCAACACATGATGGAACCGACATGACTGAAATGATTTCAACACCAAGAGTTAATCCGCCCCCTGAACTGTCTGCTCTGCATCCAGTGAGACTTAAATATCGTCCTATGCCTCTCTGTCATATACCGGTAGCTTTCGACACCCCCCTAATCTGCAATATGCGAAGACTCATCGTCGCTCTCCGAGTCACTTTCTTCACTTTCTCGAGAATCGTCATCCTTAGCCCTACGGCTGCCACTCGAGACACTGGCTCTCCCATCATCCACCACAGACGGTTCACCCTGCGAGCCGCCCTCGTTATATGTCTCGACATATTCCTCAAACTCGTGGCTCGAATCGTGCATCGTTGCGCGATGTGGGAAGCACTTGAAGCACAAATCATTTGATACCTCGCATGCGGTACATTTGTACCGAGGCCCGATGATTCTCTATACCCAAAACAGTCGTTAGCGATCATACTCACAGATTGAGAGGCAGGAAAGGTGGTGACTAACCAGAAAGCATCCATCACAGGTAACGTCAACATGGGTTCTTCCAGGTTCAGCAGTGTGGAAAAGAGGATCCCACGTTTCCTGGACTCCGTCGGGCCCGACACGCTCCCTCTCGCTTTCGCGTGGATCCAGACGCTCGCGAGTTTCCATGCCCATATCGCTAAAGCAGGCAAGTTTTAGAGCAGACCATTCACCGTCCTTGCTCCTAGACCAAAAGCTGGCTCCGCGGTCCCTCAGCTCTTCCACCATGGGGCCGTTGCTACGGTCAAGCTTGCACGCCCACATGAGCGGTGTCCATCCATCTACATCTCTCTCGTCGACGTCGAGGCCCGGGACCTTTCTGAAAAGCCACTCGACCTCGAAAGTATATCCAAAGCCACATGCAAGATGGAACGGAGTCCGCCCGTAGTTGTCTGGTGATTGTAAGTCTGCGCCAGCCTTACGGAAAATGCGATATCTCTTCAGGGTCGCGGTGTTCGTGGAAATGGCGTAGTGAATAGCACGGCGGCCTTGACTGTCGGCAGCGTTGACGTTGGCACCAAGGCGGATCAAATACTGCACCAGTCGAAGATCGGATTTCTCAACGGCGGCAATGATGGGATGTAGTTGAACCCCGGCTGGCGCATTGATATGCGCGCCAGCGTCAACGAGATATCTCACCAGTTTGTGTCGAACCCTTGAATCCCAAGTTTTGCGTATCACAGTGTATAGCAAGGGTGGCTTAGAAGGTTCAGGTCCAGGGGCGTTGGGATCAACTTTGGCCTCGAGGAGAAGCTTCAGAAGATCGATGACTTTCGTCGCAGCTGCGGGATCTTCCTTGCAGGCAAGAAACAGGAGACTGCCAAAACTCGGGCTGCAGACCGTTGGCCGAGCATATTTGGATAGCAGTAGTTTCACGGCGTCGGTATTGCCGTGTTCTACAGCCATGGCTAGTGGCGTCCACCCGGCTGTGTTGGGTGTATCGACTGGAGCGCCGGCGTCGATTAGAAGTTGAATAACCGACACTGGCGTAGATGATCTGATGCCATGGAGCGGTATATTTCCATCCTTGTCCACCTGATCAGGCTTGACTCCACGTTCGAGGCAAGCCTTCATGAACTTGACCATCTCGTCAATCTGCTCCTTTTCGACGTCTTGTTGTAGGATGAACGCAGCATCATTCAACTGATCGACCAGTTTGGCACCAGCCTCGAGCAAAAAGTTGGCACACCCGTAGGCTCCGTTGCTGACGGCAAACGTAAGTGCGGTGTAGTCGCGAAACTCATTGTCTTCATAGGTGTACCTGGTGTCAAGGTCTGGCCGTGGATTCTGATGCGCGACGAGGGTCTTCAACGTCTCGACGAAATTCCATCTTGCCGCCATCATCAACACCGTTCCGTCTTCAGTCTGTCTTTCGACGTCTGCACCGTGTTTCAAAAAGAGGGTCACGAACTTTGGCGAGTCGTAGGCAGTCTGGAGAGGTGTCCAGCCATCGGACCGTTTCCAGTCGAGGTCTGCTCCTCGTTCGAGAAGCAATTCTGCTTTCTTGATATCGTCTCCTCGCCAAGCGGCGGCAAGGAGCGCGGACTCAGCTCCGTCCGGGCCATAGTTTGGTGACGCCCCCTTGTCAAGAAGAGTCTTCATCACCTCGTAAGAACAGTTATAAGACGCAAATGTCAACGGGGTCTTGGCTTCTGCCTCCTCCCAAGGGTCAAAAGAGTCCGGGTTCGCTCCGTTGTCGAGGAACAACTCGATGAGCTCCTTGCTGTTTCTTCTCAGAACCCGAGTGAGCATCATCTCCTTGTCCGGATAGGTCTGGTTCGGGTTTGCTCCCTTCTCCAGGAGAAGTCGGCAATTAGCTAGCTGATTCCCGAATTGACAGACGAGATACAAAATGCTTCCTCCTTCTGCTTCTGTAAGCGGATCTGCTCCGCTTTCTATCAGGATCTGTAGACAGCCTGGCCTGCCATGGTCCGCCGCGTGAACGATGGGACAGAGACTGTTGATATCGAAACCGAAGTCTCCAGATTTAAAGTCTGCTCCAGCCGCGATAAGTACCTTCAGCGTTCCGGGGTCCCCCGCTGCAATAGCAGCATTCACAACTGACATTCCATCTTTATCTTTCTCATCCAAACTAGCACCATTGTCAAGAAGAAGTTGTACAATCTCTGGCTGGCACATGCGGACTGCCAACAGCAAACGGGTCCTGCCGTCAGCGTCTCGTGAGCTGAGACCAGCTCCAGACTCCAAGAGAAGCTTCACCACTGATGAGTGGCCCCAGACGATGGCTGTCTCAATAGCCGATTGCTTGATGTCGTCGTTTTGTTGATCCAGGTTCAACCCTGTTTTAGCGAGAGCGGAGATCACCAGGTCACTGCCGGCGAATGCCGCGCGAGACAGAAGAGAAGCGGGCCGACTGAAGCTGTCTTTTGAGGCGACTTTGTTGACAAGAAGAGATAATACCTCTTCATTGCCAGAGGAGGCTGCCCAGAAGAGTGCGTCCTGTAGACCAGACTCGTCCGCCTGCGCGCGGTCCAACAGCATACAGAGTATACTTTTGTGACCATGTCGCGCCGCTTCAGTGATGGCTAGCCAACTGTCTTGATGAAACCACTTCGAGCTTTCTTCATGTTTGGTTTGGTCAGCAATGAGATCGTCCAAGCCCAGGGCAGCCATCAAAGGCAATGGAGAGAAGTAACTCCGCTGGATGCGTGTGAAAGGGTTTGACAGCAGGTAATACCCCTCAGCCCACTTGTTCCTCGCTTCGGTTTCTCTGAAGAACTCCAAGGCGAGTGCGAGAGGGCGATGAGAACCGGCAAGGCGGTAATGTTCAGGCCAGTATTGGACAGCGTACTCGAGCAGGTTTTCTCGGGGAAGAAAGAGTGGGCGTTTGAGATGATCACCGCCATAATTGTCGACTGCGAGTTTTCGATATTGTGTCTGAACTTGGCCGTGCATCAGGTACTTCAGGCAAGTCTCGGCAATCGCGCCATGGACAAATGAGGGTTGTTCGTCCTTGCATTCCTCCACCCCAGCAATTGGCGCATCGTGGAACGACTCATGGACAAACTTGATGTCTCGGCCATCGATCACGATGATGCCTGAGAATTCCTTCTGCAGGTTGTCGGAGAGTTGCTCGCAGTCGATGTCCAGCAACAACTCGTCGCCTGAAGATGTCGATGCTGCGAGGGCATGGCCGAGAACCTCAATCGTCAATGGCTCCATAGCGTATCTCACCCATCGGTGAACTAGGACTGCCCATTTCCGCTTCTCTAAAGGCAGACTGCCAATCACAACACTAATGACACTCTCTGGTGTGACCGGACGCAACTTCTCGATTGTTGCTGATATGCTTGCAGTTGGAGTTCCTCGCCCGAAACGGCTAAGCCAGTCGAGGATCCTGTAGCCAAGATGGGGTGTATGCTTGCATTCTTCCATCAAGGCTTCCAGAGTTTGCTTGAGACTGTTCAGAACTGGGCGTTGACGAAGCACATCTTCCAGGGCCACTGCAAGCCCACTGCCATGGATGCCCTTTTCATCGATTGCGAACCCATTCAGTTCCGCTGGGCAATCTGTCAGATGTACGAGTCGCGATTCCGGAACCGAATCATTCAGGAGGCTGTCGGGATTGCTTGCGGTGATGATGAGCTGATCGTTCATGTCGCTATGGCTGTGCTGGTCCAGCACGGCCTTGAGAAACCACGTTCGCTCCTCTTCAACGCAACTGTCGAAGCAGGCCAGGTAAATTCTCATTTCGAACCTGGCCAAATTTCGTCTCACTTCTTTGAAAATCTTGAAGAGATCAGGAAGCGACCAGGAGCCGAAATACTCGAGGTTCTCAAACAACCAGCGAACCCCGTCGGCACAGCCAGGCATAGACCAACTGAGCCATGCCATCTCGTTAAGATAGGTTACCAGCATGGACCGGATGGTATTTCGTCTACTGTCGAATTTGCTGAACTCGAAGGAGAAAGTGTTTCCCCCGTAAGTTTCCTGTATCCAGCTAAGCAGCTCTGCGTTGAAGAGGTGCCAGTACTGGGAAAGCATGGCTGTTCGGGCTGGATCTGCAACCCCATGAATGTACAGCACTCGTGGGCCCAAGCCGTTGTTAAAATCCCTGAGATCATTTTGGTACTTGAGAATCCAATCAAGGAAGGGAGGTGTACCCGATTTGGAGAGGATCCCGGCCGGATACACGTACACTCTTGGGTATCTGATGGTTGGGGCCAAGGACAGCAGGGCGACCTGGCGGTTGATAAAATCAGAGAAAATTTTCAACGCTTAGAGTTGTTAGTCAAGTGATTGATGAGCAAACAAGGGTAACCAGATGCGATATGACATACGATAATAGGAACCGTCGAAACGGATGTCGAGCTTGGTCACCCAGCTCTTGTACTCTTCAACACCCTCGTCACCTCGGACAAGATTAGCATGGTCTATGTCACACTGCGAGCATCGGCTGTCGATTTCCATCCAGTGACCGGTGGTTAACGTGTATTGACTGAACGGTGATGCTGGCGGGGTGGGAAACTCGATCAAAGGGGTCGAGGAATGCGGTACAGATTGAGAGGTGTCTTGTTGGATTGTAGCATTCTGATGTTCCTCTTCTTGCACGGAAGATTCCTGCTTGGTCTCTGCTTCTTTTGGCAAGTCTGGGAGGTAAAAGGTGTTGATGTTGACCAAACGTGAGAACAGGTTGCCGTCCAGAGCTCGAATGTTGACATCGTTTACTTGATAAGCCATGTCTTTGATCTTTCTCATGATACCCTTCTTGACGTCGGGGCCTGGTAAGCTCATCAAGTTGTACAGCTCGTCTTCAAGAACTTCGATGGACTCGGCTCTGTGAGGACAGCCCAAGAATATCTGTAATGGTGCAATTAGCGGCAAGCAGAGAATTTCATCAACAAGTGGCTGTAGTACAATTGCAGTAGAAAACGTCGAGATTCTCCTGTGAGCCTCCTTCATGAACTCCCATGTTTCAGCATCTTCATAGCCCTCGGCAAGAGTAGCTTGGGCAGCTTCAATGAGGACCTGATCTAGAGTTAGCTCATTTTCGTGAATAGCAACGGACAACGAACCTGTTTGACTATCGTGCCTCCAATGTCGTGACAGACCCAGATTATCGGTCGATCAACTTCGGTCTGCGAGTTGTATTAGCGCTGGCTCACTCAGCACAGGGCGGTCGGAACACTCGCATCTTCAAGCCTGCGTCTCTCCTCGCTGTACAACCGCAGCAAGTTTTGAGCCTCGGCCTTGATTCCATTTCTCTGGAAAATCCTAGCCGACTCATCAGTGGCGTACGAGTAGTCCAGTTGCCGAATCGAGAGCTTCTCAAATAGCCGATCCCGAAGCCACGGCTTCCCACTTTTGGATTTCCACGCAGTGCTGTGATCATCGCGGAGGCCGTGGACAGCAATCACACTGAGTTAATGATCAGTCGGAGGTCATGAGGTATCATCGACGCCGCACTCACTCGTAGTCGTCGTAATATGACCACCCCCATGGTCTATTCAAGCCCAAAGGAGGAGGGGTCGCTTCGGTATCAACATCCGGTGTCGCAGGACGTGAGATCCCGAGGAGGTCTAAAGCCGGCTCTTCTGATAATTCTGTTGAGGTAGTAAGGATAGACTTCTTGTCATCCTCTGCATCGTCGGCAACAGACTCTTGGTCCCTGTCATTGCGCTCTGACTCTGTCTCACTCGAGTCCTCGTCATCGGCTTCCGAATGGACTGGAGAGGCCGGCGGGGTGTTCTCGGCATCCAGCATGTTTTCTCAAACCAGAACTGGCTTCTTAATTATTGTGAACGATTACTGACAGAAAAGGTGCATCGGGAGCTCGTCGACGCAGCGGGTGGACAAACTTGGAGGTTGAAGGCTGGGGAGAAGAAATCCTGGCGACATGCTTCTGGAGGTTGTGGGCCATGGCCTCACGCACACAGATGTTCGATTACTTGAAGGTACTTCGAGGACCCTAGAAGGTACAAAAGGATGAGCATCAGGCTGGCTGAATCCCTGTATGCATTCAAGGCGTCTACCCCTCACGGCTGCAAGACAGGACGCGTATCACAGCTGCGAGACAACAGCGCATATCACAGCTGCGAGACAACAGCGCATATCACAGCTGCGAGACAACAGCGCACATCACAGCTGCATTTGAGCGAATAATACAGGCATCTGAGCCCTACGGATGCATATCACTCTGTCAGAAAGCGGGCCTGAAACTGATTCCCTGTTTGCTGACCACTTTTGGCCCCCACGCGTTACTTCTGAGCATCCAGGATCATGGTTGTGAAGGTAACGTCGCTCAGCTTCTGCAAGTCGATGCTACCCAGCTCCTCCGTGTCGTACACTTTGAGCTTGTTGGTCGCCTTCATGTCCGGCTTGAGCAGCACAGGGTCATCTTCGGGCACCCTTCCAAAGAAAGACTGTACAGAGGTCCACTTGTCTGCCTTGCACTGCAGCTTTGGAATGCAAGTGAAGACTGCCTCGTCCCTCCGCTTGATCCTAACGGCTACCTGTATGGATGCCGGGACTCCTGTCTTGAGCGTTTTGTTCTCCAGAAGAGTCCACTTGGCCACCCGGTTGGGGGGCATGTTGTCGAGAACGAGCTTCCCTCCGCTGACGGTGGTTGCGTCTGCCGTTTCGCGAGCTACCGTCTTCTCCCATTTCAGCGAAGCGTTGAGCTCTGCTCCGTAGCTGGCTCCAATGCCTCCGTCGGCGCCAGTGACGATGGTCTCGGATTGTTTGCTAGGTAGGAAGCTGTAGTTGCCGTCGAAAGATACTGCTTCAACCTCGGGGAGCTCGTTGTTCGTGTCGGAAACATCGAAACGGAGCTCAATTGTTGCTTCAGAGACACGACGTGCCCTCTTCTGAGGATCAAAGCGGAACTGTAAGACCAACAACGTCGCCCAGAAATCGCTGTCCGCGGACATGGAGCCATGAACCGCATCTATCAGAGTGCATCTGATATCCACGCCGTGACCAGTCCGTTGGATGACTTCCGAACGCTGGTACGGATCCTTTGGGTTGTTCTTGGTGTGGAAGCCGCTTCCTTTACTTCCACCTTCGAACATGCCGACGTCAAATACCTCCACATCTTGTTCCTGTTCAAGCCCTTCGAGGTTTGGATCTTGGTTTTCACTGGCAGCCATGGCGACTGATGAGAACTTCGGGTATATTTGGTGCTCGCAGTTAGATCAGGTGGTGAGTTGGCGGTTGCAGCGGGGGATGCCGTCAGATGGAGGCCGAAGTACTCTTTTTAAAGAGCCTCTTCGATGGACATGCCTACAGTGTTGCTTGAGCGAGAAGAGAAAACAGCCCTGCGTAATCGCAATCCCGAGCATGCATGGATTCTGCTTACTGGTGGTCATGGGAGACATCATCCTGTCTCTGGGTAATGCACCCTTTCGCACATACCCGGGATAAGGCCACCAATCAGCAACTGAGAGTTCCAGTAAAAGGCAACGGAGACATATGATAATTTCAGCTGTATGCGTGTGCATGCATTTTGGAGTGTCCACGCCAATCAAATGGAGGGTTGAGCGGCTGCGCCCCAATTCGAGCGTCGACATTGAGGTACTTCCAAGTTTGGGGGCCGGACATATTCACAATGGGATGATGAACAGCTTGAGACATTACTCTTGAACCCTGTCACAACTTCGCGTGACCGGTCCGAGCCTCGAAAGATGGTGCAATCTCCGCCACTAAGTCGACGGTAGCCAGGCTCGACACTCCAACACCCTCGAAGCCCAATTCAATCCCCGAGCTCCATTTTGCATTCATCGTCAAAGTCTTTTCCACATCTTACTCCCAAACATTACAATCATGTCGGACGCAGAGGACAGAGAGTCGGGGCGAGAATCCGAGGAATCGGACGAGGAAGAGGAAGTGGAAGACGACATCACGAAAAGAACCAGGTTGGCCACGGAACAGATGAAAAAGACCTTCAACGGAGAGGCCACTGAAGAGGATATTGACAGATTCTTCCACGACCATAAACAGGTTTTGACCCAAGAGGCCAGTCGAGACGGGACCTTTCTGCACAGAATTGCCCAATTGGTGTACGCCAAGGAGATCAGAGCTTCAGATGTCAAGCCGCTCGTCAAGAGACTGATGGAAGATTACCCGTACTTACTACGAACCAAGAATGATGACGGGCAGAACCCACTCTACCGCGCAATTCAGCTGCTCAAAGCACCTGCGTGGAAGCTAGTTGACTACATGTTGAGTAACTGCAGCGATCCGCAGGCCATCTCAGACGCCGTGGAGATGCCATGCGGCGAGGACAGGTCGGCCAAAACCTGCTTGGCGCTGGCCTTTGAGAAGGGCATGAAAGACCAAGTCCTCCAAAAGCTGATCAGTCATGCCAGTGACAAAGCTCTGGAGCTCAGGGATGGTTCCGGAAGGACACCCTTTCATTGCGCGGTGGAATATGACCAGTGCAGCGACAAGCGAGTGGGCGTCGTCAGACTACTCCTTGAGAAGGACTGGGATGCTGTCATGCGGCACAAGACATCTGGAACGCCCAAACCCCTCGAGACGTTTCTGGATTACAAGTACAAGAGAAGGGAAGACCACGTCGAGTACTCTGTCTATGGCGAGCACGAAAGAACAGCCAAGGTCTATCAGGACAAGGTGGAGAAACTTGCAAGAGAGGAACGGGAGGAGGCAAAGGCGCGCGATACAGGTCAAGAGCGAGGGGACAGCAAGGCATCAAACCTTGCAATCCCCAGTAGAGAGAAGGATGCGCGCAAAGGAGGTCTTGACAAGGGACCAAAGAGCCGAACCGTCGAGGAGCGTGACCGCCGGGGCAAGAAACCGGAGCGGGATCGTGAAGGGGCCAAGCAAGAGCTCCAGAATCTGGACGAGAATGAAAGGCGGCGACAAGAATTGAAGGAACAGGAAAGAGAAGCCCAAGAACGCAAAGCCAAGGAAGACAAAAGGAATCCAAAGGACCCGAAAGAGCGTACGAAACAGCTCAAGGATCCGAAAGCCAGCCCCGATGGTCCGATATTGGCCGTCCCCAGGAGCCAATCTGACCATGCGCCAAACACGCCTCTGAAGAGAGTCGCGACGCAGAGGTTCGACATTCCCACTGACGACGAAAGGAAAAAGAGGGACAAGAAGGTGTCGTCCAAGAGATCTACGACGAAGGGACCGGATTCTAGTGACTTGGCAAGGAACTCGGCCAAGATTCTCAACATGCTGAAGCTGCACTACATGAGGACTAGGAGTGTCAAGATGGCTAATTCGTTTCTACAAGGAAAGAACTTTCAGCAAGGTAAGACCAATCACGTTTCATGCTTCAGATCTCAATTTGACCGTGGTGCCCAGATATTCAGATCTTTTTCGACTACCGGGGACTTCCATCCGAGATCCAAGACACCGCTTTTAACGGGACCTTCGGAAAGGATGGAGACCACGGCATCCGGTTCGATGAGGTGCTCATGTATGTAAGGTTCCCCAACGTGACCGTCATCCAGAAGGGGAGGAGAGCCCCGAAACCTCGTGCTCCAGGCCGCCAGGACATGGAGTTCTTCTTCAACTGGCTGTACGCCAAGGGCGTCCGGCGCATTCTCAAAGTCGAAGTGGAAGACAGTGACAAGATTCCGCACAGTGACGAGTCAATCACGTTGTCGCTGGAGAAGATCGTGGTGGAGCATCTTGACTGGCAGAAGACGGACCTAGATCCTCAAGTTATTTGCCAACTCGGCAAAAAGGCCGACCATCCAAGTTTTTATGAGAGTGATGCGAAGGGCAACTCGGTTGGGTCGAAGAACCAGCTACGAGAGGTGACGCTGAAATGGAGTGGCAACAATGCCGTGCTGAGGGCGTGGAGTGAGTCTGAGGGTTTACCTCAGCTGGAGAATCTCGAAGCCATCAACCTGAACATCCCGCCTCAGTCCGACGTGAGTATCCTCGCTTCATGGCGCTGCTAAACCATGCCCTTTGAAACAATACTGAAAAAATTTCACTTAGTTGTTCGACACTAGTAATTGGGTGGCGACGAACCTTGAAGAATTTCGAGCTCGCCTAAACCGCAATGCCAATGAAAACCGGAGGGCGAACATGACGGTTGGCGTTATAGCTTCAGCGGAATCAGGAGCTTTGAATACATCGTCGGAGCACCGAAGCTCGACAAGAAGCTCCACGCCGCTTCCAGAACGCTCGATTGAAGTTCGGCAACGACAGGGCAAGAAGGGAGCTGAAGTTCTGGTGTCGGCTGCCGGTTTACCCAAGGCAGCTGGGCGCTTCAATCCAATGACTGAGCACGAGTGGCTCAATTGCATGGAAAAGTTTGCAGAACACATGAATGAGCTTTGGAGGAAGACAACCGACGCATCGAGCAGCAAGCTCGGCCAGGATCAAGCTGACGGCGGCCAGCTGCTGAGCATTGACAGTCAGACCAGGAGTGATCTTCAGAATCTGCAGAAACCCGTTGTTGTTGCACTAATCGATGACGGTGTTGACAGTTGTGACCCGGCCTTTTCAGGCCGTGTCATTGAGGGCGTGACGTTCGACTATCAGGATAGAGGTGTGGGACAGTACTATATCTCAGGCAGGGGCCACGGCACTGAAATGGCGAGGATGATTTGCAAGGTGTGTCCTATGGCGAGTATTTACTCGATCCGTCTCAAGACGCATAGCAGTCCGGACAGAGGGCACTCGACCATCGATGCGGCCTCGGCAGCCTTGGTGAGTTTCACTCTTCTACTCTACCATCACCCACTGACTAACGGTACCACAGGCTATCGAGGCAGCTTTGGAAAAGAACGCAACTATAATATCCATGTCGTGGACGATACCAGTTCCTGCAGAGGGAAGTGAAGAGAAGAAGCTGCTTGATTCGGTTCTGAAGAGGGCATGCGAACGGAAAGTTCTCATGTTTTGCTCGTCGTCGGATCAAATCAGCGATCCCAATCACTATCCCTCAGCCTTCAACCGTGACCAATTCTTCGTCATCGGCGCCGCCCACGACGACGGCACCGCCTATGGCCATGCTGGAAAGAACAACGACTTCATCTTCCCAGGCGTCAATGTCAATACCTCCGGCGGAAGAAGCCTGCCTCTTTACCTTGCCGACAAGACCTCTTCGACCAAAGAATCGACAGGCTCCAGCATCGCCACTGCTCTGGCAGCGGGCCTAGCCGCCATGATAACGTATTGTTTCAAGGCTAGTGCGCTAGCCACCGTCATGGCCAGGACGCAGCAGGGGAAAGACTACGTGGCTGGGCCTGAGCTTGTCAAGAAAGGCGACGTGGACAGGATTGCGGAACACGATGTGCTCAAGAAGGCTTTCAGCAGGATAGGCAAGGTGGGGAGCGGGCAGTTTATACCAGTCTGGGACAGGTTTGGGCCTGCGAGTAGGTACTTGGAGGAAGCCAACAAAAGTGACGAGGACAAGCTTGAGTGCATTATGAATCTCTGCTCGAACCTCATTGAGCGGTAATTTGTGAGTGCCAGGTTTAGATGGAGTCAGGATGACGATGTCGTGGTGGTTTATGACCCAGTCTCCCAATTAAGCTTTGAGCTGCCAGATCAGCTTCAATAGGAAAATCCGGTCCCATGCCTCTGATGGAGTTGAAAGGCCAAGTCGCCCAAGGCATCTGGTAGATTGGCTTGTGTGGAAGACAGAGTAGGCAGATCGCCAGCCTGATGTCTGCCCAGCTTCGACTAACTCAATGGTGGGTTAGCCTCAAAAAATGCACTCTTTCTGCGACAGTATTCCGCTCAGACCCAGGAAGAGCTTCTGTGGGACGGGAATTGCTTTACTAAGCTAGAGATAAACCTGCCCATAATTTCGTCTTAATCTGAGAATAATAGCTTTATTGCTTAACAAAGGAGCCCCTTGGTAGTACGGAGGCTGCGATAGCTTCACCCACCTATCTCTAAGAGGATCTGCGGTTCGGAATATGATTGGTCAGTGACTGCGCTTCGTGACCCCATTGGCGGATAGATGGTATTGATAATTAGTGGAGACCCTCCAACCGACTGCGGTAACCCATCTCATTGGTAGAATCCTCCCGAGCAGATGCGCTCCCACTTACAAAGCCGGGATGATTACACAGCATCATCCGCCTCTTGCTACATATGAAGGGGAGAGTAAGACAGTCGATGTAGATATTCTACATTCTCGTCAAAGATTCTCGACATTCCACCTCTTTTTTTCTTAACGCAAAGATGGTTCATCTGCTCGTCTTGGGCGGCAACGGACGTACGGGCCAGTATGGCATCCAGTATGCTCTCGAGAAGGGTGTGTTATAAGTTCATTCCATCAGCTCAAATGATGCCCCAATCCAGCGCTTTCTAACACCACATTCCCAACAGGCCATACCGTCACCGCAATCGTTCGAAAGTCGTCCTCTCTACAGCCACAGAAAGGCCTCAACATCGTCACCGGATCAGTCTCCAATCCCGAGGATGTCGATCGTGCCATCTCTGCTGCGCCTCCGATCGATGGCGTAGCAGTCTTCCTAAACGCCAGTCGAACCTCCGATATGCCTTGGGCAAAGTTGGTGGTCCCGCCGCGGTTCATCACGGATGCTGTCGCAAATGTGGCGAATTCGATCCACAAGACTGCACCAATTACAAACACGCGCCTCGTCGTCATGAGTGCCATTGGCGTTGGCGATAGCTGGGAGGTTGCGCCGTGGTTTCTACGAGTCATGATTTCGAAAACCAATCTCGGTACCACCTACACCGATCACAACTGCCTCGATGGCGAAATTGCAAGCATTGCCGGGAAGGGGATCATCTGGACCTTGGTTCGAGCTGTCGGCCTTTCCTCGAGTGGGCGGAAGCAGGTCAAAGTCTTCGGGAGCAATAAGCCTGGGGCAGGGTATACGATTACACGGGAGAGCTGTGCCAACTGGATGATCGATGCTGCTGATGGTACTTTGGGCTCAGAGTATGACAACAGAGCTGTAATTGTCTCGAATTAGCTTTGGCTATCGTCTAGTTTTGCTTTCAGGTACTGCGGATAGCCGACTCTACATCTTATCTGATGTTCATAAAGGCCTTTCAGGATTAGATTAGTGTTGAATTATTTCTAGAGTCTTGTCCCATCCGTGGGATGTTAATATTACCTTCTTTATCGTCGATTCCTGTCACCGCGTGACCGAAACTTTCATCACTTTTTATCACTAGGCTTAGCAAAACTGAAAAACACAAACTGCCTCGAATCCGCTATCATTAGCTAACTCATGATAACACCCAATTAATTACAGGATGGCTACTATATCTTCCAGTACTAGGTATGTGTGTCCCTATTGTGGGCAGCTACTATATGAATTTAATCTATGTAATAATATTGAGGAAGGCTAAAAGAAAACTCAAATATTGCGACAACAGAATTGGTCCTACTCATAGAAGCAGAAGGCTGTTGTTCAACGGCCGGACGCTGCTTTCCCAATCCCACCACCTAGCAGTCGTTTCTCTCATACACCACGTCTCTTCCAAGAGAGGCAAGATCCTTCGTCGATGCTCCAGCGATGGATTTAGCAGCGGAGGAGAGCGGAAAATGCTTCTAAAGAGCTCCTTTTCCTCTTCGCTTGCGACGGTCCCCGTGACATATAACGGCCATACGATGACGTGCCACATGTTCTGGGGGATCTTTTCACGAATAACCATCATGGCTTCAGCAAGTGTCGACTTCAAATCCTCCCCATCAATTTGGAATCCGGAAACAACCACATGTAAGTATATGCATGCTGTTAGTGCAAACAGATGGGTGATCAGGAGTGGTAGAGGTATGTCTGCACTGTGTACCGGGTCGGGATCGGAATCCGAGACGGTTAGGTATCTCAAGAATCCCTCGGACAGTCCTCGTCGAAGAATCTTCTTGATGTCGTCCGCCGTTGACTCGAATTTGGCCGTTTCAAAGCAGCCGTCCCGAAGCGCCTGATATTTATATTCGTGCAGTGCGGCAATGCGAGCGATTTGAAGCATCGGCCAGTTTTGGCAGCCCATGATATTTTCCAATTGGATTTGAGAGCCAGGAGACAGAACGAAACGGTGCAAAGAGAGCAGACGAGGTGTGGTCCCTGTCGTGACGCTGGCGATGATGTCGAGCCAAATTACCACCCCAACAAAGAGTTTCATCATCACTTCCTGCTCGGGACTTGGGGGATCATATTCCAGTGGCTCTGCATCCGAGGTTCCGTTTGCTTCTGGTGCTGTTAAAAACTTGATGAGCAGAGCCGATTGCCCGCTATATCCTTCGTCTAGAAGATCTGTAGCCGCACGAAGATGCATCTGCCACATATTGGTCTTGCCTACGAAAAGCTGCAACGGCTTAGCTCATGCATGCGCAACACCTACTATTGGGTGCTTACCTCGAAAAAAATGAGCTGCATCATTGAAGCTGCGATACCTAGACCATCCTTTGTGCAACTTTCGCTCACCGATCGGTCCATATTTCCAATGGCCTTTTGCAGCTCTGCTAAGCAGATCGCGTGGTGCTCCTCAAGCCTGTCCCAGTTAACTTCGCCGTGCGGAGCAGATGATGCTGCTAACACTGTCTCCCTATGATAAACACTGAGACATAGAACCGCATGGAGTAGAGGTTTCTTGCGAAGTATGAGAGAAAGAAAGCAGCCTCGCCCGCCTTCAGCGATTCCTGATTGGTACATTGGGAACTGCAAAGGGAAGACGTTATCCAAGAAATGCATCAGAAGTACTGCTTCACTAGCTGGGATCGCCGACGACTCGGGGATGGAGTTCTGTACGGAGGTTAGTATTTAGATATTCCATTGTGGCTCTGCTCACCGTACAATGGAGCTCCCAATTGACCGCATTTGAGAATGCTCGTCTCGAGCGGCAGCTTGGGAATCAACACTCGACTTGAGGTTTGGTGAAGAAGCCCCCTGCACCTTAGAAACCGGCGTGGGTGCGAGGTTCTGGACGCTTTGATCGTTGTCGACCCGCTGAATCTGTGTTTGCGGAGTGTCTCGCCGCCCTCTGCGTCGCGAAGTGTGCTTGACTATATGTTTTATGCTGCTGATCATGGCCTTTTCTTCCTCCCCATCATCCATCCACTCCGGTTTTGGGCCATAGCCATAGCACGTAATCAACAGAGACTCACACACCGCGCAGACCGGTTGTCTCTCGTCGCATTTCTTCTTTCGCAGACGGCAAGTCCAGCAGCCCTGCTTGCTTCGCAGAGGTGTTTTCATTTAGAGCTGTATATGGCTTTAGGAAGAGCGCTCGGATGAGACAGGGAGGCAGTGAAGACCATGCGAGGGAGGCAGATTGGGGAGATTGTCGCTATGAAGATGAGAAGGGGTCGTGAACTGTGGAGATACTGGTCATCTGATATCACCCAGGGCCGGCAGTAAGTGTCACCATGAGATTCGGGAAATTGGGTTAGTCGGGATGTACTCCTAAAATCTCCCGATTTTGCTGCAGTAGGATAAAACTGGAAGCTGAAGGTTTAAGTGATAGCTTACCAGCGTGGATACGTTTTCTTGTGCTTATGTAGCTAGGGTACAGCTTCGTTATTACTGGCTGGTTTTGCATTACGTCAGTTCGTCCAAGCCTAGAAACCAAAGGATCAAATCAACAACGCGCTTGGCGAGAGCGCAAGCAACAGGACAATAAAATTTTACCTTCCGAAAAGGCATCATACGATGATACTCCGAGGCTAAGTAGCTTGTTAAAATGTTAACAGCCCTTTGGAGGCAGAGGGAGATGGCTACCCAGCACCCACGCAGTCTGGCGGAGAAGAGAATCTACACTACGAAGCCATCTTCAAGAACAGGGTTTGGCCTGAATCGTCATTGTGCCCGGGGCTTTTGATCCATGTCAAGCCTCCCCATTACAATGGCGAATTTGATCGTCGCCCGTACTGCCTGCATGTTCGGATCTTTTAGCAATCTCCTTGTCAAGTTCAACGGTCTTTCCAATTCTCAACCTATCGGTCCAGAGATTGAACCAAGTATGTACATGCCACAGGGATAAAATATACACAATCTTAATCGTATCATTCTCTACTCGCTTCATTTTAGCCATGACAGTACGCACGCCACAACAGTTTTCCACGGTGGATTCTTTCTAATTACTCGATGCTCTCAGACTGCAATAAACCTTGGACATACCATCTAAGCACTAGGACTGGCACGTATTTTTATACCTCTCTCGCTAAAACACCGCGGGTGCCTAAGCTCAACTAGTGATGCCACGTGTGCACATATTCAACCCATGTGCACTGGAGTGAACCATGTCCGCAGCAGAGGAAATGGATCATACAAGGCGATGATTATTTTTACACAGGAAACAAACGAGCCGGATGACAAGCAGTGGTTCTCATGCGTGTGAATAACAATACTCTTTAAATTAGATATATGGTATCATAGCCCCTCTAGCTAGCTAATGCTTGGACGTTGCGCATGCAATTGTCCGGGGAAAGAAATTCGTAGAAGTGAACAGTTTTTTGCCTGCGGGCAGGACTTAGCTCTTAATGCAACAAAGAAAAAACAGACGGCATTAGGTATGACGAGCTTGAACTTGGTCAATCCAAGTTGTCCTTCTGTCTGAGAATGTAAGTCAAATGAGAAGGATATGGTGATAAAAAGGGCTAATTAGGATTTGCTCTATTCATCATTTTCCATCCCATCTCAAATGGGACCCCGACCACTCCGTTACGAAATAGTTAGAACCATGGGCCCAGCCACGGTGATCGCATCAGTCAGGACTCCATCTATAGGAGCGTCGCTTGTAAGGGTAACATATGTCACGCCCGCGATGTTCTGGGGAATCTCACAGCCGTCCGCTTCGGTGAAGGCAGAGAACTTAGTGCCACCGGGGAGCGAGCCTCCAGAGGTAAAGGCGCAGTTTGTCGCACCCGTGGCGGCCGTGGAGGCGAGCTTGATGGATGCTCCGATGGCGGCGGCCGCAGGAGCTCCCTCGGCCATGGCGAGAGGGGGGAATGCGGCGATGTTGAGGTTGGAGCCATCGGGACACGAGACGATGAAGGGGGCCGCGAGGGAGAAGACGGCACGCGGGCCCAGAGGAGTATCGAGCGCCTGCGGCACAGCGATCTGCTGGGAAAAGACGCGAATGGCCGTCTGGTGCCTCGACTCAACAGTGAGGATTGCGCCGGCGGTGCTCAGGATGCCCTTGTCCGACAGGAGCGGCGCGGCTCCGAGATAGGCCGAAACACCAACGTTCTCGAGCACGGCGGCCGTGGCAACCATGCCGGCGGCGTCGGTGAACTTGAAGTCATACTCGCATGCCTGGACGGGCTGGATGCCGCCCTGGGCGAGGGCCGACTGCAGGAGTCCGACGTGCTGGGCCTCGGTGGCGCCGATGTTCTTGAGGTCCGCGATAGTCGACTCGTCGAGGCCAAGGGCGGCGAAGTCAGAGTCGGGAAACTTGGCGAAACCAGTTCTGTAAAAGGTTTCTTCGAGGTTCTCAAGAGTCAGGGCGCTGTCGGTGGAAGTGTTGTGTTAGTCAGCTGTTGAAGAGAAGGTTAATGGGGGTGGACTAACAATTGAAGAATGTCAAAGTCGTTGAGACCCGCGCCTGCAGCGGCATCGTTCTGGCGCTTGGCGAGAGAATGGTACCGGAGTTGTCGCTCGCTGAGCCGTCCACCCGCGGGCATGGCGGAAGCAGCGCCGGCGAGGGCGGCGACCATGATGTGTCGAAGAGAAGGCATGTTTGTTGTTGTTGTTTTGTTTCTTAATAGTAGCTTTGAGAAGAAGTGTTGAGAGGTGTTGAGGTGGTAAATGTGAAGCTTGGGTATCTTATTTGCAGCGAAAAGAATGCGTAGGGCCAGCCAGCGATGGAAGAGGGGTGCGGGTATCAGGAAGGATTACGGAGTATGCGTAGCAGGAAAGAGAGACTCGACGGATAGAGAACGGAACACGAAGATGTCAAATCTCGAAAGCAGGCCAGCGCTTCTGTTGGGAGAGATCGACTCTGGTGGAAATGGGTAAATGACCGTGGGATGAAGAGGATGGGGGGAAACAGCAGAGGGAAACGGGCCCCTTCTTATGATATCATGTATCAGAGCCGCGGCCAGCAGTTCCAGCTCCAAGACGGGGGATTGGATCGCCCCAGAGGCATGTAACTGTGCCGACGGCTCACCGAAGATCCGTCGTCGGGGCTCGCAATGCAACCTTGGACCTCGAGCCTTCGGCGCCAAGATGGATCCGGGGCGCGTCGACGGGACTAGAGAGACTCGATGAGACTAGGAGACTAGACGAAAAGGGCCCTGGGCAAAAAAAAGGCCCTGGGCAAAATGGCCCTGGGCGACTCTTGGCGATCGACTGCACAACCATAACTCTAGCGAAGGCCTCTAATTGACCGCTGGCCAAGCTTAACTTGGACGGAGTAATTGCTCGAGGCCCCCAGGAGCGAGCGCCACGACCCAACGCCCGCGACACTGGCGCCGGCATGAAACGGTGCCGACGAGCTCGACACCCACACACGGGACGAACGAAGCTCCCCCAACGCCCCCATATGAGGACGATTATACGCGGAGCAGCAGCGTCTTGGTGCAGTAGCAGGGGTCCTCGAGGCCGGGAGCCGCTTGGCCCCATGTCCGGCCCGTCGCTTGTCCGCCGCGCACGAAACGCTCCTGATACGCGAGCGCCAGAGCCCCGGCGTCAGATTTCGTTCGGAGGGGCTAGGCGTCTCGCTTCCTACCGAGGGATATGGGGGGAAATCCAGAGCCGGATGGGGGGGTTTTTCGCACAATTCTTTGCTTTCGTCACATCTACGGGCCGGTCGGTCTTGGAGTAACATCGGAGGGAGCCCACCACCCGCGCGCAAGGTAACCGTTCCGGTGACATGGCCGTTTCCCTCCTGAGACTAAGGAGACGAGGCCCGATCACGGATACCGAAACCTGGTGTTTTAGCGACCCTCCACCCGCAGAATTCCAACCATCTCATGTGGGATAGAATCTCGGCCACCAGCTAATAACCGTATCCGTCCCGTCCAGATTGGGTACCTTATCCAGTCGCGATGCACCACGTGAAGCGGTCTTGATGTCGGCTTCCGGTCTCCGAAGATGAGACCCCGGCCCCGCTTATCTGAGCTTAACTCTATTTCTCAAGACTCAGTACTCCCTACCACTTGTGGAATTCTGCCTTCCGGATCGCGAATATTATTAACATGCCGAGATTAACACACTGAGAACAACTACATTCCTCTCCGGCTTACAAGACTAGTGTTTCACCGAATACGCGCCCGTAGAAGCTCATTTAACTCATGTGTCTACCGTTGAGGACCCCCGTAGAAGTGTCCTCGTAGCTGAAACTCGAAGGCGCGAGCGACATAGACTCTGCTGTTTCATCTTCGTCCCATGTTCCGCCATGCTAACTCCAACTCTTAGAAATACGGGAGTGGTTGCTTAGAACAATCACCAGTTTAGTCCCAGTCCGCACGCCATTGTCTCAACTTTACATGGTACATCAAAAAGCTCGTGCCAAGTAGCTAGGCGGCTGACGATGGTCAAATTCACTGGTGTTTGAAGCCCAGGAAGCAACCATTAACGATACCGTCGTGAGGACAAGACAATCACGTTTTGTGTACGAATATAGTGAAGGGGGATTCATTTTTACTACTTCGAGCGTATCTCGATATTACCTCCACTATCTCCCATCACACCTTACTTCATCGCCCGCTTAAGTATAACTGCCTCCACAAAATGATATACCTGTAATCCGTAGGCTGAGCAGATTCACGAATGAACCAACCCACCTTCAGTAAACATTTTCACCTCCTCACTTGGCCAAATCTCCATCTTTTCTCCAATTACAGTGCATATGGGTTCAGCGACCGAATCGTCAGGCATCTAAGGGGTCTAGTTAGCACAAAATGTTCCATCAATGTAGCAATATTAAGAAGCACTTACGGTGGGCTCTTGCTGAGGTCAGTCTTCAGGATCACAGGGATCCTCGTCATCTCCGTCACGTCCTGAATGTACTCGCCACCCTCCTCACGAAGAGAGAAAAGCTTCAAGTACTTCTCCTTGTTGGTCAGACGAGTCTCCACGGCCTCGGCGACCGGCACCTTCGAGTCGGATCGAGTGCGGTGAAGGCCTCCAGCGTTTGACGTAGATCGAGCGGGGGATCCGGGCACGCTCTGGGTAGGGCGCTCTGCGAGGGAAGCTCCAGCCATGGCCTCGGTGACATCTGAGTTGTTGTCATCGTCATCATCGAACAGAGCGTCGACATCATCCGTCGACATGGTACCGGTTTCCGTCTGCTTGCGAGCAGCCTCCTCCTGCTCCTTTCGGACACGCTCCGCCTCCTCAGCCTTTCGCTGAGCAGCCGCAGCATTTGAAGCCCGCATCGACGCAGCAGCCTTGGGCCGCTCATCCTCGGGCACGTACGCGGAACTAGGGACACCCTTCTCCCAGTAGAGCTCGAGCACTCGCTTCTCCTTGCGGAACTCGGCCTTCTTCAAGGGCAGCTGATCACAGTGAACTCGCTTCTCGAAACCCCACTCAGGGATGAGGATATCAAAGGCAGACTCGTACACGCAAACGACAATGCCCTCGGCAATGAGGTCACCGTTAGCCTCCTGGCGCTTCTTGTCCATTGTGCGGCAGGCCTCAATGTGGATGCTCTGATCCTGTGCGTTCTGAGCAGAGTCCTTCTTGGTGTTGCAAGACTCGACAGTCTTGACCAGGTTGTCAATATCCTCAGTAAATTCGATCTTGCCCTCGGAGAGGACGGCCTCGAGCTGGCGATGAGCGACAATGTCGGCATAGCGGCGGGTTGGGCTCGTGAAATGAGTGTACAGGGGTAGGTTCAGAGCATAGTGAGACCAAAGGTGCTTGCCACTCTTGCCAGCGATGAAGTACTTGGCGCGCTGCATCGACTTGACAAGCAAGGTCTCCATACCCTTGCGCAAGTCAGAGTCGTCGACCTGGAAGAGGCTGGTCTGAAGAGCTCCGCTGCCAGAGGAGTCAATGTCGTAGCCGAGCGCAGTCATGCGCTCAACAAAGGTCTGTAGCCGGCGAGGGTTAGGAGCGGCCTGGCGACGAAGGATAGCCTTTTCAGGAAGTCCTTCGGCAAGGCGCTGAGCCACAAATGCGTTGGTCTTGTGCATGAGCTCTTCAACAAGCTCAAGAGCTTGGGTAGAGTCAAACAGGTTCTCCTGGACAGGGTTGTTCTCGTCATCCAACTGCTGGAGAAGTCGGAGAGGGGCGATGGGCTCGCCAGCCGCGTTGAGGCGAGCCTCACGGAACTTCTGGGCAACGGCATTAAGGATCTGGACGGTGTTGACAGGAACAGTGGAGTTCGTGTAGCTGGAAGCGTCGGTCAGAGCATCGTCAATGTCCTGGAGCGAAACCTTGCCGGCACTCTTAACAATACTCCTGCCGATCCAAGAGTCACCCTCGGCAACGGTTCCATTGTGAGGGTTCACGCTGAAGACCACACTGACGGTCAGACGCTCCTGGTCTGGGCTCAGGGAGCAAACCTCGCCGGCCAGCTTCGGGGGGAGCAGAGCGCAGAAGCGGTTGCTCAGTTGGACAGAGGTACCACGCTTCTTGGCCTCACGGTCAACCAGTGAGTTGGGCTTAACGAAATGGGCGATGTCGGGAACGTGAATGCCAATGTCAATCTTGCCATCAGGACGAGACTTGACGTGCACAGCGCTGCCGAGCTCGGCACCACCGTTGAAATCAAAAGTGAAGGTCTTCTCCTCGCGGAAGTCTCGGCGGGCGGCGAGGGCGGCCTCGTCCTCCTTCTCGAGCGACCAATCCTGGAGACCAACGCTGCGCAGGACAGCCTCGGAGAATTCATCAGAGGAAAAGTTGTTGTCTCGGAGAAGAGCATCCGTCTCCACCTTCAGGTCGCCCATGCGACCCAACTGCTCGACAAGGGTTCCGAAAGGATGGAGCGAAGTGATGGGCCAGCGCTTTATGCAAGCCACGAAGATTCGATCCGCATAATCTTGGTGCTTCTCGACGAAGTCGCGAGGAGCCTGCTCGGTGGGAATGGCAATGAGGGGTACCCGCTTATCAGTAGGCTTGAACCAAACAATCTTGGGCTTCTCCTGGTGCCGGGGTTCGTTATGACGGGAGTTACCGCCGTCTCGAGCAGCCCTCTCCGCTTCCTGCTTCTCCTTGGTAGCCTGACTGCTAGGTCGGAGAAGGCCAAGAGTTCCGGAGAACATCTGGCCAGCAACACGCTCAACGACAGCAACGACGTGGCCAGCATACAACGGCTTCGCCTCATCGTTGATTTCCTCCTCCTCAACAAGAAGGAGGCTCTGGCCCTCAACCTCAACATCATCGTTCTTCTTCTGGGTAGGACGCTGTCGGAGACTGCCACGTCGGCGGATACCACCCTCAGGAGGGTTGGAGTCGTTGTTACCCGAGTTCTGGTTGCCCTGGTTGGTAGATCCAGACCGGGTGTCAGTGATATCCTTGCGCTTCTTCTTCTCTTCCTTCTCACGCTTCTGGGACCAGACCTCATCGACATCGAGAAGCTCAATGGCAACAAGATCTCCTTCAAGAGCGCGATTGCGGTCCTTGCTACCGCAAATGAAGATGTCGGCATCAAGGAGGCCGTCCTGAGTGGTAACATAGGCGTCACTGCGGTTCTTCTTGTTGACACGGAGAATGCCAGAAACGAGTTGGCCATCTGCAAGGAGCGCAGGAAGGGTGGCCTGGGGGAGGTAGGGAGTGAATAGGGTCTTTCGTTGTTGCTGCTGTTGGCCGCCAAGCTGGCCGCCGTGCTGAGCGCCTTGAAGACCAATGAACTGCTGGCCGTTCATCTGAGCGGCCTGCAGGGCCTGGAGCTGGCCAAGCTGCATGGGGTTCAGCTGCTGCCCGTACATCTGGGGCATCATCATCTGGTTGGGCAACTGCATGACCTGGGGTTGGTTGGGGTTGTACTGGAAAGCACCGACGTTGGAGACCGATTGGTTCATAGAGCCCCGAGGACGGTGGCCCGGCTGGAAGCCGGCCTGGTTCTGGCCGGCATTGCCAGGCTGTTGTTCCTGGCTCTGGCTCTGGTTACGCCAGTTGCCCTCAAAGTTACGGGAGCCGGTTCGGTTATGGCTTCCGCGGCGCTGGAACTCGTTATCGACGGTGAGGTTCGCAGCGCCACCACGGCCAGCGCCACGGCCATTGACGGCCATGCTCTGACTGCGGCCGTGGCCACCACGTCCACCACGGTTCGAGCCTTGGGCGACAGGAACATCGAGGGTGGTCTGAGCAGCTCCCTTGTTCTGCTCGTCGGGCTTTTCGGCGGGGGATGCAGGGAAGGAGAAACCACTGGTGGTTCGCTTCTGCTGGGCGATTTCGGCAGCCTTCTTGGCGTCGGCCAGAGCCAAAGAGTGACGTCTCTGGTGACCACCACCGGCGCCGCCACCACCACGGCCACCTCGGCCACCTGCATTCTCGCGGCCATGGCCAGCGGGAGCTTCGAAGTTGCCGAAGGTAGATCCGGAGGCACCGGCCGAGGGAGCTGGGGGAGGTCCCATACCCATGTTGGGAAGTGCCGACTGATTACGGCGATGTGACAGTGGCTGGGTCGGAGGAGCCATGTTTTGTTGTGGCATTTGGTTTGGGAATTGGAAGGCGTTTTGTGTCATGTTGGGCATGGGCTGCAAAGGATTGAAGCCGCCACCGGGAACCATAGGCTGGCCCGGGGGCACCATTCCCATGTTGACATATTGCTGTTGCGTAGCCTGGATCTGCTGTTGCTGCTGCTGCAGCAGTTCAATCTGCTGCTGGATGGCAAGCTGCTCCACTGTAGAGAAATAAAGTTAGCATGCATCCCAATTGTAAATGAATCGATGTGAGTGGGTTGGGGAGACGGTGAGATAACGGGGCCGAGTTGATGATGGATAAGTGATGCATCGACTTGGGGGCGGGAAGTGAGGCTGCATATGACGCCATGACGCAGCGGGAGGGAAAGGTGGACTAAGTTGGAGGGAGTAGACTCACTTCCTGGGTTGGCAAACATGCTCATCAGAGGCGTCAACTCAGAAGGGCTACGACGATGGGCGATGTGCAGCCTGCGCCCAGCAGGACCAGGGACGCCGCCAACCTGAGGCTGCTGGGGCGCTTGCTGCTGTTGCGGCTGTTGCTGCGGGGGTTGCTGTGCTTGCTGCTCCATGATGGGCAGTTAGAAGTAGATACTTTTAGCACGTCGAGGTCGAAGTCGGGAGGGGATCGAGTCGAGCTGGCAGATTGGGGTAATCTGATTCGGGAAGCGACGTAGCGGCCGAGATGGCGGCGGGTTTCGGCGGGACCTGTTATTCAGACGACGAGTGCTGATGTTTGGCGATGGCGAAGGCGATGGCGATGGCGATGACGGATGGCGATGGCAAGGCGGGACAGAGTTTGCCCAAAAGGAGGGTGTGCGAGCTTGAGCAGAGCCAAGGAGTGTGGAAGGAAAGGCGGCGATGAAGAGGATGGTGTGACGACGAGAAGAGAAGGCCGGGATGGATGGAAGTCCAGCTCCTGGCGGGAAGAGAGGGGAGGAGAGATTGCGCGAGAGGAGGGATTGTGATGGGAGAGATGGGAAGCGGGAGTGGGAGTGGGAGTGGGAGGGAATGGATGGATATGGATGGAGAGGTGGAGGTGGAGGTTTACGTGGGAGGAACCCGAGCGACCTACTCCCTACCTGCCTACCTCCCCTACCTTACCTCTCCGGCCCAGCACTGGGTCCAGTGGATCACCGCTGGAACCACGGGCTAGGTGGCGGTTGCTCTGGGAGAGCTACTGGCCCAGGCGGGCTTAGCCTAGTGCGAAAGGCAGAGACTCACCAGAGAGGGAGCGGCCAAGGCAGTGGAGGTACAGTACCTGGGATAGGTGGCCTGTGGTACTGGGCCGGGGGCTAAACGCGGCCAAAAGATGGGGTTCGGCTGCTAGGTGCCTACTGCTAGTCCCCTACAAACTAGCAGCTATTAGTGGGCTCTTGTCCCCCAGGGCCCCCAGGGACTCCAGCACTGACGCGGGTTTGGGCCGCTTCAAGGTGTCTTCCTTTGCACCCATTGTCTTACCACCTCCTCTATTGCCATCCACACACACGCGCAACCAACTTCGTACTCGTCGACAAACGCCTACATGCGCACACGGACACATACTCGCACAGAGAGTGAGATACATCCTCGCACCCACGCACATGCGCGCACACACACACACCTACACCCATCACCCACGCGCGCGGACGACGGGCCGCCCGGCGAAACATTGGTCCCGTCTCGTGGGGGGGGAGGGGTAAGATACCCTAACATTCTACCTGTAAGATCCAAGGTTTAGGGGATGGATGTCTTGCGGTGGGTGGCGTTGAAGGGCGTCATCGGCAGCGGATGGCTTCGACAGGCGCAGTTGCTGGCTGACGTCCAGAAGCGTGTTTGATTCCAGGTTGTGTTGCCGCCATCAACTCGCCAGCCCAACGCAACGTGCCCGCCCGCAAGCTTGTCGCAGAGGCTCCAATCCATCCATGGGTCCTGGCCGCTACGACTGGCCCGGACAAGCTGGTGTCGCACGGGAGAACTCCACCAGGGATCCCTGAGCTACATAGGCCTAGCAAGCGGGCCGCCGCTCGTTCCCTTCCCCCATCGTGGATGGCAATCGAGCAGCTGGAGCCATGCGGCCACCGGCGAGACCGCTACTGCGTACGGAGTCCTGCGTGGTAAACTGCAGCGCATGCGCATGCGCCTTGCTTCTCACCGGGGCTTTGTCTTGGGCGGCGCTGCCGTGGCTGCGCAGATCGTCGCCGGCGACATATTGCTGCAATGCCATGACTAGCTGTGCAGTATTACTGTAGTACAGATGACTAGGTTGTGGAAGAGCTTCCCCCTTCGAGAGGCCAGACCTCCCCCCTGTGATGAATGAGCTGCGTGATTGATTGCCTGACCTGTCCTCCGCTGGTGTCAGGGGTAAGACTCCAAGGATTACCCTCGACTGCTGCACCTTTGACTGGAGCACAGCCGGAGAGCCAGGTGGGTTGGTGGGCAAGGGAGTCGAGACTCTCTTGCTCACAACGTCATCGAGGGGCAAGAAAAACAGCCAGGCGAGATGAGTGCGAATACGGGATGCTGGAGCTCTGCTGTTGTTTATGCATCACTTATTCGCAGTAATTACGCTCCGTGGCCTCATAGCATCCACGGCTCTAGGCCATCAGCCGGCTACGGTGTGCGTCTTGACTGTTTTTGTCTTGTCAAGGCTCCACTCTTCAACGACCATCGCCATCACCATGAACCAGAACCACCAACAACAGCTCGCCAAAGGCTAGTCGACAACAGTTAGGTAGCCATAGCCACTCCCATGTCTGTGCCCCCCGTCCAGCCAAACCCCCGTCCGTCTCCCCAGGCAATCGTTTCTCTTTAGAAACCAACTGGGAGGCGAAGCCTACCTTGCGCCTGAGCCTCCACCTGCGTACTATGTACAAATCCGGGTCCCCTACGCCGAGGTCAGGTGCTCCACGGCTCCCCGTCACTCAAATTTGCCAAGCTCTCCCTGGGTGGTGGAGTCGATGCTTTCCTCTCTCCCTGCGTAGAGCCCAGAGACAGTACACGGAGGGACCTGGGCTCGGCCTGGGGTGACATCCAATTGCTCCGAGGCGCCTCCAGGTCGCCTTTCACACTCACACTTTCACCTTCACCGTGTTCGTCCAGTCACCGCATCCGTAACTCATCCTCATAGGCCTGGTCCAATGGCCACCACCAGGCCCAATATTTGAGCCCTCGTGCCTCCACAAAGACACCATCCGATGTAACCCTTCAGACAAGACCCCCTGTCTTGTTTCGCCTCTTCTCAGTCGGCCGAAGAGCCCGTGTTCCAGAACCAGTTAGCTGCGTTACCATGTTCCAGATCCCAGCTCACCCTGTTCGAGATGTCTCCGTGATTCAGCTTGTTGTCAGGTCGTTTCCAGATCCATCAATCTTATTATTCATCCCTCGGCACCGCGGGCGCACCGTCTCAGCTTGGTGCCCGAGCCCTTTAAACATGTCTCAGATCTTCGTCATCCGTATTCCGACCCAGGTCGTTCTAGCCCAGGTGGTTCTGACCTAGGCGGAGATAACTCAGCCACAGATCAAGTATCCAATGTGTGGCTGAACCCACGCGCCTCAATCTGCTGTCGGCGTCGGGACTTTATTTTAGCGGGCCGAGTCCTTGGCGCAGGTTGTGCATTGGTACGTACCTGCCTATGCAGTGATTCAACCTCCAGTCTAAATCAAAGGTCTACACTATCGTAGGCAAAGAAGCCAAACAAAGCTCCTACAACGCCAGGAGAGGGCCGTTTGACCTCCCCGACTTGGCCGCTCGTCAGGAAATACCCACCCGACTGTGCCTCTTTAATCCCTACGCCAGTCTCCCTCATCGAGCCCTGCGATATCCCGACTCCCCATCGCGTCACGACCACAAATGCACAGCCGATAGCGATCCGAAGCACCTGTCCCTACCTCTGAACATGTCACGCTCCTCACCCGCGAGGCGGAGCCAATTACTCTCGAGCCCAGACCGAAAAGTTGCCTCAAGATTCCTGCTCGACGACCGGAACAATGAGGTCAGCCACCGAGATGCCTTGGCCGCTGCACAGCTTGAGCATGACAGGGTGCGCAAAGCCGCCATCCGGGTCTATGAGCTCCATGAGCTGCAGATTGAGCATCAGCGAATCGTCGACGAAGAACGAAGGGAGGAGGAGAGGTTAAAGACAGAGGCTCTCATTGTTGCAGAGGAACAGCGGCTCCGGGAGCTGCGGGCGAAAACAATCCCTAGGCCACCACCAGAACCACCAAGGTCACCTACGCCGCCTCCCCCTGTGAAGAGCGTGGCTCCAGCAAAGACAAATGGCACCACTCCGACAAAGGAATCGAAGCCACCAGCATCAACAACGCCTCCTTCAGAGGTGAAGAAAGTGCTTGCTGCCCCTCCATCGAGTCTCCCAAATAAACCGCCACCGACCAATCCTTTTCAGAAGACGAATGGTCTCGCCGCACCACAGCCCACGGCTGCTCCTGCGGCCCCGGTCGCTGCACCAACAGCTCAGCCGGCGCGATCACCTACTGTAGATCAGTACAGCCAGATTCACCAGGAACTAAAGAAGCTGCGGAAGGAGCTGCAGTCCCAATCTAAGGTCGCTGGCTCGCCGCTCAAGGGGAAAATGGGCACATTCCGAAGAGAGATTCGTGTATCCATTGGCCAACTCACCAGTGGAAGAGGAGCCAACGCCGTACCTGTAAGTCACCCACGTTTCGACTCCCCCGCAACGCTCTAACATCAACCAGGTCGCCAAAATCACTGCTGCTTTGAGAGCGTCCTTAGATGGCAAGATACCGAGTCCTCTCATTGATGTTAGCCTCTTCGTGGTAGACAAGAGACATCCAGTCGAAGGTGCCATAAACAACGACGCGACTATGCCTTCACTATTCATTTACTTGATGAACATCTGCGCCAAGGGCATTATAAACCAGTTCATTAATGAAGCCGGCGCGAACACCAAAGCTGCCGACCCTGTTGGAGTCTTTACGGCTCAGATTTTCTCGCAAAAAGACTTCCAGTGGAGAGGGCAGTCCTTGATCGACATCCTGATGGCCAAGTACCGCATAGCATGCCCGGTTCTCTTTGGACATCGCGGCAACGATAAGACGGAGCGAGGGCGCATCGCCTTGGGCTGGAAGAAGGACGGTACCTCATGGATCACCGAACAGAATCACAACGACCGAATGACGGGTCTCGGCGCCGGGTTCGCATCTCTCTCCCTCAGAGACTTTAGCAAGACAACGAAGACCAACCCCTACCCGCCGGTAAACTATTGGAAGGCCCTCGCCGGCATTGTCAACTCCCCCGCCAACGAGACGTCAAACACACAATACGTCGTTTTGCGCGCCATGATAGAAGGTCATGAACAGCGTTTTCTCAGCTTCTACGGCAACGCGGCATTCGCTGCCCTGCGTTTGGCCTTGATCGAGTTCCCAAAGAAGGCACCCGAGACAGCCAATGCAGCCGGATCCCTGCGCGCCCTGGCCGACATCCTCAAGACCGAGGTCGGGTTGGTCTTGGTTTGAGGGTAGAGGATGGGGGTTTCCTTTTGTTCAATCAAAGAGGTGGCAAACACAAGGAAATATTATCAACATGTTAGGATTTGTACGGGGCGTTCAAGGAAGGGCCATTCTCTCATAAAGACGGCCCATTATTGCCATCAGAAGGCTTAGCTGCATAGCAGGTGTTTGAAGGACTTGTTGGATTATATGACGCCGTTGAAGCAACAACGGCTGCGTCTGCTGCTCTATCTATCCTTTAGTTATACAAATGTAGAAGACCTACTCCGGGTCGACAGTAGCGCGAACATATATCCCCTACCAAACTCCGAAAACAATATCCCAGAACTACCGCGTTTCAATCAGATCATTTGCAAGCATGCGCAGCATCTCCGTTTTACCTCATTCACAGAATCAACAGCAGCACCAGCAATAAAATGAGGACAAAGATGAGGACTGCGATGCAACAGCTGCTCCAGCGATCCTCGTTCTGCCGCACCACTTGCTGCAGCTTCTGCACGCCCGTCTGTAGCCGGCCGCCAACGCGGTCGGCTACGTTATCCACGACCTCGAGCATCTCGCGCTGCTCCTCCAGCTCACGGCCCATGTCGTCGGCCTGGCGGCGCAGGTTGCCAACGGTCTGGAACACGCCGTCGAGGTGCGTGTCCTGCTCGCGCATGATCTCGACCTGCTGCTGCTGCTCGAACTCGGCGTAGTTGTCGTCGCCGTCGATTGCGAAGGCGTTCGGGTCCGGCAGGTCGCTTGCGCCGGCCGAGACCTTCTTGTCGAGCTCCTCGCGCATGTCGTCGACCTCGCCGCCGACCTCCTGCACCAGGCGCTTGCGGCGGGTCACCTCGTGCGCGGAGAGGCCGAACTGGGCCGGGTTTGACTCGACGGCCTGCACGGAGGCGACGAGGTCGGCGAGGTCATCGGCGAGAGAGGAGAGGGCGGACTCGAGGTCGGAGCGGGCAGAGGCGAGCTCGGGAGAGGATGCGGCGGTGGTGAGGGAGCGGATGCGCAAGTAGGAGGCGAAGAGCGGCCGCGTCGAGGCCATCTGGGTGAGGACATCTCTATCAGACGGTGGTCAGTGGATTGCGGGACGGTGATGAATGAATGGATTGAAGGCGCCCGGGAGTCGGAGACGAGATAAGCGGCCGGAGGTCAAACGTACTGTTGGACCTGCATGAACGGGTCCTGGTCGTGTGAGGAGGACATCATCCAGTGGGTAAAGATGCGTGAAGGCGCATCAGCCTCGCCGGGATGTGCGTGGTGGGCTCGGGGGACGGAAGGACAGGTGGGTTGTTGAAGCCAAGTGCGTCGGCCGTAGGTTGCGACTTTCGAGGTTAGAGGGATGACGTTGCACAGACAGACCAGCCAGATCCCTGTCGACTTACCCTACACCACTCTCGAATTTGCGGAGGAAATGGGGCAATCCGCAACGGTGCATCTAGGCAGCGGGTCTCGCCACCGAGGCCCTCACACCGAGCTCACCTGCAAAATCCACCCGCCCACTAAATCGGGGTTTTTGGATTTGTGCCTGGAAGAGACAAAGTCACTCGCCTTGTCAGATACACCTGGCTGGCCTCTTTCGCACCTTTTAGGCCTTCGGAGCGATCTGCAAGGGTCGATACTTGCGCTGTCGCAGCATCATCGCCCATTTCAACTCAAGCGAGGACTGGGCTTTTTTCTGTTTTGGGTTGAACAAACCCTGCTCACCAACTGAGAAGTCTTCTACTTAAAGGTACGGACTTCACCCAGGCCTCGCAGTTAGATTTTCAGGCTTGTACTCACGTCCTGTGCGTCCTTCTAGTAATTCACTCTCCGGCAAAACATATCAACCACCCTCTAGGGTAGCACCCAAAGCCAAGAAGTTTCAGAATGATACCAGACAAGCCGCTGCCGTACAACGGCAACTATGCCTCCCCCGAGGAGTACATCGACAAACTTCTCGAGTTTGTGTGGACCTCAGATACGTTCCAGATTCTCTGCGGCGGCGTCCACATCCTCGATTTCTTCACCATTGAGCCCGGGCTGTTCCACTACGCTCTGCCCAAGGAGTGGCAGCCTTTTATTCTGTCATGCGACATTATGCGGCTACTGGACCTACTTATGAGGGACGATCTGGACAATCTATCTCTTGAGGGCGACCAGAGGCCACCGGAGAGTTTTATTGAATATATCCGAACGATTCGAAACCTCTCACTGGGACGGTCGTTCACCCCCCGGCAGCAGAAACTCCCAGTTCTTCCACGCTCTGTGGCTGTGGGCATGAACCAAAAGAAGATCCACGAAGTCACCAATTTCGCAGACTACATTGACCGGCTCTCCGGAGATATCACAGAGCAGTCGGGTGATGCCATCTCCCACTTTGTTGATTTTGGAAGCGGCCAGAACTACCTTGGCCGAGCGCTCGCCAGCGAGCCTTACAATCGGCACGTCGTGGCGGTTGAGGGGCGAGAGATCAATGTCACTGCAGCAAGGGGCCTTGACATTTCGTCTGGACTGGCCGTCAAACCCAAAGTCATGAGGAACAAGAAGCTATGGAACAAGATCAAAAAGACCCGTCGCGCAGAGGGACTTGGTGACCCGGATGCCTTGGCCAAGGCCATTCAGGAGGTGGCTGGTGATGATGCCTTCGACTTCAGACCAGTGAAAGAACTTGAGGCAGAATACACGGCAGAGCAAGGAAAGGGATTCGTGCAATACATCTCAGGGAGGCTGGACAGTGGTGACCTAGCCGATGTGATTGCGCAGATTGAGAACGCGGATGCATCCGAGGGAGAGAAGAAGGACCTCAGCCTGATGGCCGTCTCAATCCACTCTTGCGGAAACCTCTCACACTTTGGAATCCGGTCGATGATACTCAACCCCAATATCCGAGCTGTCGCCATTGTGGGATGCTGCTATAACCTACTGACCGAGAAGCTTGGCCCCCCGACTTACAAGTACGCATACTTGCGCCCGACTCTCGAAGCCGTCAATGGGCGTCTTATGCGAGAGTCTGAAAAGCACGATCCGCAGGGCTTCCCGATGAGCCAGCGGTTTTCGACATACCGAGGGGAAGGCGTCCGTCTCAACATCACTGCGCGCATGATGGCATGCCAGGCGCCGCAGAACTGGTCCGAGAAGGAAAGCGATGGGTTCTTCTCCAGACACTTCTTCCGTGCGGTCCTTCAGAAGATTTTCCTCGACCGGGGGGTTGTGACGAAGGTCCGGCACTATGCCGAAACGGAAGGTGATGCGGCCACGGATAGTGAAAGCCCATTTGACATCAGCACTAATCCAGTCATCATCGGGTCGCTGCGCAAGAGTTGCTACGGGTCTCTAAAAGCCTACGTGCATGGAGCAGTGCAGAAGCTCATATGCAACACTGATTACAAGCAGTACGCGGAGGTGATGCGGGAGAAGATGGCGGGCATAACTGACGAGGAGATTGAGCGGTATGAGACCATGTATCTGCCAAGGAAGAAGGAATTGTGCGCCATCTGGAGTCTGATGGCGTTTAGCGCTATGGCGGTTGAATCACTGATTGTCGCAGACCGATGGACGTTTCTCCGGGAACACGACGACACCGTCCGTCACGCGTGGGTCGAGACGGTGTTTGACTATGCGCAGAGTCCCCGAAACCTTGTTGTCGTGGGTATCAAGAAATAGACCTCGGCGATGGCTGAATCCAATACTACCGGGACCTTATCGGGGATAAACTTGCTCGACACGGCTCGGGATAGTATGCAAAGTGTGCTGTTCTTGCAACGCCACGGTCCCAGCCATGCTGCAGAGACCGACCCAGACGCCGTATGAAACAAGCCCTATTCGACTTGGCATCGGACGGGTGGATGTGGGCGGCGTACCAGAGTGGTCGGCTGCGGCGGCTATTGGGCAAGCCACAGCGGTATTTGGGCCGCGGACAACGATGTCATGCATGAACTCCCCGTTCTTCGCTCCGTTTGGTAGGTCAGTCGTGGGGTGATGGACAATGTAAGGGATGGACGATTGCCGGTCCCTGGACAGAGGCTAGTAAAGTTTAGAACCCCCAAGCCCTTTTGAAGACACGGGAATTGGATGCGTAGAACCTTGGTTTCCAATTATTGTCGCTCGTTGCCGGTGGAATTACGCCATGAGGACATGTAAGCTTGGCAAGTCTTTATCAGTTGCTGCCCCATCACGACTAGCTTCCGTCCCACATGTAGCGGGACGGGGAGCCACTCTGTGTAGATAGGTATTAAGTTGCTTGCAAGTCGACTCCGCCGATACTTGCCGCAGGGGGAATGTTCCATGATGGTTGGTGAGATAACCGACCAAAGAAATGGAGATGGAGGCGATTTGCAGAGTTTTTGGAGCCGTGCTCAACGGTCCGCGTTCGCCATCGGGCCGTCGAGGACGCTACGACCCCTCACTAACTCACCGAGAGAGGAGAGGTGCCTGGGGGTAAGTCAGGGGATAGGAATTGGGGGCGGTAGTGGTGATACGTCACCGGGCGGAATAAATGGTGACGAGTTGCAGCCGGATGCAAGGCAATGCAATGCTAAAGGCTCTTCGTAGATGGTTACATAGGAAAATCGCAAGGAAGTGGTGCCATTGGCAAGCCATCTGACAAGTTTAGGGGACAAGGGAGAAGGCGCCAGAGCAGCCGGAAGAGCTGGGCTGCTGGGGTGGACGAGGCCATTGTGTGTTGCGCCCGTTGCAACGGTAGATGTCGTGGGGTCGCTTCCAGAAGTAGAAAAATCCTCGGATATCTCCAGTGCCCTGGCGCCCTTCTCGTCGGGGAACTGGTCGCTTTCGGGAGGGGCGGCAGGTCGACTGGCCCGAGACAGACGCGATGCGACAGCGTGTAAGCTGTTTTGAGGAGGCACGGGTTCAATGATCCCCAGGTGGCTTGACGGACGATGCAATAGATGCGAGGGGTGTGTGAAGGGTCACGGGTTGCAATATGCTGTGTTCTATGGCGTTTTGGAGGTGACAGTGAGGTGCGCCTGGCCTGAAGAGGCAATAGCTGACATCAGCGAGGGGGGTTGACGGCGTGGGAATCGCGGGAGGGCGATGCCAATGGGAGGTTGGCGGCGTGGGAAGCGTGGGAGGTGTGGACGCGGAGGTGAGGGAGACGCTGAGGTGGTGGTGTCAGGATTGACCGAGCCAGTCTTGGACACGATGGACGCAGGCCGACGCCGTGACCGTGATCGTGACTGTGGCCGTGACAAGAACCCCACGGTCAAGGAGTCGACCTAGACGTGAGCCAACCATGCAGGGCAGAAGCATGACAGGGGGGACGATGAAGGAGCGATGACTGCTACCCTTTGCGTTGTCTTGAATGTTGCAGCCACTTGCGGATTGTAAAAGTGACGAGTCTGAAAGCTGATGGAATTGATGACCACGACGGTTCGTAATTGCGTGTTAACGGGAGGCGTTGCCAAACAGTTGGTGCCTGGTCAGTGGTCGAAGCCGGTTGGTGTCAGAGAAGAGGGGTTGCCACTTGACAGAAGAAAAGAGGTACGTAACAAGGAACATGCAATATTTACCTAGGTACCTTAGGCTATGCAACATGCAAACTTGACTTGCTTTGGCGTGCTCTTTCCCATGGATCATCCCTCCTCTTTTATTGTCGCCATCACCACCCGCAGCACCACCTCGCAGGCTCCCAGTACAATACATACATCTCGTAGCCCGGGCGGGACTCACTCGACCATCGGAACCGCTCCGGGGACAAGGATGGCGCCAATCGTCTCTCATACATCGCCTTGGGCCCAGGCCATTTCGAACCCCCCACGCCGGCCGCTTGCTGCGTAGCACTACACGGCGTCCGCAGTCCCAATCCTGTCGTGTTAGTGTCTCCCGAGTGTCTGGACAAAGGGACGGATCCGGTCGAAACTTGACCTGTCCCTATCGCGACGCCCCACCACGACCGTCCGCCACTGAGCGGATGGATCAACCACCCACTACACACTACCACCACCACCACCGGGTCGATCTTTGGTAGAAGCCGCGCTGTGCGTGTTGTCGCGCAGCTGCAGCTCTCCCCGGACGGGGAATAGGAACGCCTGAGAGGGGTGTTCCTGGGCTTGGCGGCGCCGCCTTGGAGTGATGGAGTCGGCCACGGGGCTAGCAGCAAGACGTGGAGCAGATGGAAGCAACATCCGAGGTAAGACATTCGATCTCTCTCTGGAATAGCTGCTATGCACAGAGGACTCGGAGGAGTGAGGGGCCGAATCCACAGCCAGCCCGGGACAAGCCCAAGACAGGTCCAAGACGGGCTCTCTCAGCTCCAGCCGTGTCTGTGCCGTCAACCTCGTGCATCGTCACGACGGCAGCCACCTGCATCGTCCAGCTGTCCTCATTCCCGGCGCGCAGGCAACAAGGACAGACCCAACGCGCAGTATTTCGTGGTGGGTGGGATCTGCCACGCCCTCCACCTTGCCCCATGGCAGCCCATCCATCCCGTGGCGACGTGCCATGGCATCCGATGGCATCCCATGCTCCGACAGCACATTGCGGCATGCCGTCTGGATGTACGTCTGGCTGCACGGTGCAGGCCCCCGACCTGCCGACAGGGGTGCGTTGTGGCCTTTGGGAGCCGCTGATGCCAACTGAATCTGAGCAATTCGGTCGTCTTATTAGTGCCCTCGACTGTGCCCCGCAGCCCACGCATGCATGCTGCCCATATGCCCATGGCTGCTGCAAGAGCCTGCATCCGCTGCTCGCTGCCGCCGTCATGGCCCTGGCTCGACCGACTAGTTACCCTACGTAGTTGGTTGTTCCTCAGAGCTAGTCGCACTGGGTCTGTGACGATGCTTCCCTCTGGCCTCTGGGGTGGGCTTGCTGCTGTGGGTGCGTCCGCTTCCCGCTGCTGCGGAGTCCATCGTGTGCCAGTTGCTTAAAGAGTCTAGTTAATAACGAGGGTTGCCCTTATCGTACAACGCGGCGCCAGCAAGCCAGCGAGCCAGCCCGCCCTCGCGCTCTAATACATCGTCGTCTGCTCTCATTCATCTGCCCATCACTGCCCATCATTGCCCCTCCTGCTTCTCCTTCTCCTTCTCTTCCCTCCCACACAACCAACCCGTCGACAAAATCAGAGTTTTGTCGTCTTCTCGGGCTGTCTAACCCTAGCTGAACTTTCTGCGCGACAGATCGAGGCTGGCTGACAGCCAGCGACCCAAAGCAGATCAGCCCCCCTCTGCTTGATTTATCGCCCCGAGTCATCATCAGTCGCCTTCTTGCGCCCCGAACCATACCCACCCAACCAGTTCGCCAGCCTATATAACCGCGGCCGCGCCCTCTCAGCAGCCACGTCCCTAACCTTTGGCCTACTATTGCCCCCGAGGCTCATCATGAACGCCCAAATTTCCTTTCTTGTAAGTCGGTGTTTTCTGCAAGCTCGTGTCTGTCTGTGCTACTGCGCCGCGGCCTAATGAATCCCGCTCTCGGCCGTCATCGGCTTGCTGTCATGACTCGAGAGCGGGCATGCCTCTACCCGCACTGCATCATGATCCTTCAAATCGAGTCAATCAACTTGCGCCATGTCATCCTCCCAAGCCTAACGTTTGCTCTCTTTAGGATGGCACCTATACGCTGATCCACATCCCTCTCAACCTCTATTCGACCCTCCTCCAACCAATCCTCCGAGTCCTCCTCCCCCAGTCCCAAAGCGTCTCCGGCCCCCGCGACTCGCCCGAGTTTGAGCTTCAAGGACTCACTTCCGACGGACAGCATGGCTTCCTCAACATTAGCGTCACTCCTATAGAGTGCTCGCTTGTCTGCCACTCCTCCTGGGCCAAGAATGTGTTTGAGCCCGTCCTGCAAACGCTGTCTCGCGAGGCTGCCAAGACCGTCTCCATCTCCAAAGACTCATACATGATCCTCTCGGTAATCAGCGCCGGACTCGATGCCGCCGGCCGTGTTATGGAGTTAACGTCACCACTGGCCCTGGCTGGCATCCCGCTCTTCTTCATCACCACCTACTACTCCGACTTCATCCTCGTCCCGACCAAGGAGCGCACAAACGTCACCCAGTCGCTGCTGGCCAAGGGCTTCGAGCTGTCCGACAACAGCTTTGTCAACCCTAGCGCCTATGGCCACAAGCGGGGACCCAGCAGAGGGAGCAGCACCTCCCCTCCCAACACGCCTCCTCCATCCAACGTCGCCGAGCTACAGACCCGAACCTTCAGCCTGCTCAAGAAGCGGGACGTGGCCCCGTACATCGAGGAGGGCCTGGAGCTGGTCCACTGCTCTGGTCGTGAGATGTCGCAGCTCTCCCAGTTTAACCACCGCCCCGCAATGAGCCGACAGGCCACCCACAACGGCCGTCGTCCGAGCTGGGCTGACAACGTCGACACCAAGCTCTACACGTGCATCATCTCCGCTCTCGTCTCTCAGCCGCGTTTCATTTCCATCACCCTTGCCCAGGACGACCCACCGTCACTGCTCCTCGACAAGACCCTATTGGACGTCTTTGGCGACTCCCTGGTTGGCGACACCGAGGGCTGCCTCATCCCCATCTTCCTAGACCTCGATAACCTGCCGTTTGAGTCCACGGGTATTGTCTGTGGTGTGGCGGGCCGTCTTGTCCAGGACATGCAGATGGCCGCGAGCTTTGAGTTGTCGTACCTCTCCACAGCCCGCGCCGGTGCCGTCATCCTCTCCGAGGAGCAGTCTGTTCGCGCACTGGGGATCCTGAAGCCACTGCTCAGCAAGGATGCATAATTATGGAGTTTTGGTCTTTCGTTGCGAACAAAAAATTGGGTGGGATGCGTTGTGATCTTTTGTAAAATCCAGGCGGGCCGGGAATGTTGGCTGGCGAGAATCTAGGGCCGGTGTCATCACGACGACGTTTTGATGTTGTCAGTCTGGCCAAATAGGATTCTCGGGCAGTTTGAAAACCTCGGCGGTGGGCGGTATTTTGTTTGTTCGGCTGGCGTTGGTCGGAGGCTGCTGCTGAGTTCCATAGCGAGATACCATCTTTATATAGCAAACTCGGCGCTGGTGCGATTCCAACATGGCAATTCCTGGCTTGTACTCTTTGAGATGTTCACCTTCCCAACATCCCACGAGCATAGGGATATGCATTAGTTCCCTTCTCCTCACTTGCCCTTCTTCTTCTCCTTGTCTTTCTCCTCGACCAACCCCGCCCGGACAAACCCATCCCTCGCGGCGGCGTTGATGACTGCGAACCGCCTAGGCCCGAGCTTCACGCCGCCGTACCACCGCGACACGACGACCATGGCGTCCCACACGTCCATGAGCTGCATGAGGTGCAGCAGCCTGCCGCCGGCCGCCGCCTCGCCGTCGTCGTCGCAGTCCTGGAAGCTCGCGTTGCCCGGGCCCCGGATGCGCCACGCCGTCATGTTGTGCGTCGCCGAGCGGAAGCGCCGGTCCGACGCGAGGAGGGATTGCACGTGGTGACGCGCTTGTTCGGTCGACGTTACGCGTGCGACGTGTGCGATGAAGGTGGATTTGCTGTCTATGACGACTTCCGAGGCCGTCCAGGCCGGAGGTGGGAATGCGTCGAGTTCTGCTGCCGGTGTCGGTACGGGATCCGGCTCGGCGCCGGCGTCCTCCGTGTCAAACGGCTCCGGGGCGTCTTCCTCGCACCGCCGGGAAAACTCCTCGACGGCGTCAAACAGACAAACAACACCGGGCTCAAAGACCTCGCCGAGGGCCTCGCGGAACAGTGCCAGGTCGCGCGCGCCGGCGCCCCTCTTGCCGCCGGAGCTGTGGTGCGTCGCCAGCACGGAGGGCGGGCTGGCGGGGTAGTCTCCGGCGAAGCTGAGGCGCAGGGAGGAGGCGTCGCCGGGGAGCTTGAGGATGTAGACCGACGCCGAGGTGTCGTCGTCGGCCGGCACGAGGCTGCCGTCGCCGTAGATGGAGTTGATGGCTTCCACCTCGTCGCGGAGCTCGTCGGACATGGTGGCGGGGTAGTGAGGGGAGGACGAAGTAAGAGAGTTAGGGGTTGCTTTGAGATGAAGGAGACATGTATATAAGAGACTGTTGAGTCTTCTCAAGTGTTTGGAGAGCCCGAGGGATTGCGATTTCTCTTCTGAGTGAGACAGTTTATCCGATATGATGGCATCAGAAGTTGTCATGTCGCAGCGAGAATAATGGCATGCCGAGCCCCACCTTCAAACGCCGAGAGGCCCCGACCCACAACCGGATGACTCCGGGAGAGGGATTACCAATAACGAGTTTCGGTAAGTTCAGACGAAGGAAATGGGGCTTTTAGGGTGGTCAGAAACTTCGAAGGATTCGCCTAGTATCTTCATTCGAAGAGCGGACGAGGAGTTATCTTTCTTATCTTTTGTTAGCGCAGCACGAGTTTCTGTCGTTTATGGCTTTGAGAGACCGAAATAAATCCACAATCACCACAACCAGCATAGCTAGAGATTTAGACTTATACGCCCGTTTATTTCGTCATTTCTTTGGAAAGAACCTAAATGCAGATGTCACAAATACACGTGCTGACCTGGTGTCGTCACTTCGTGAGTTGCATTGAGAACATGCATGGAATCCGTGAATATTTCCATTGCAAAACTTCAAACACAAATCGATACTGGATCGAATACACGATACTACGCGGCAGAGCTAACAGCATTGAATACCGGCCTTCCTCAGACCGTTCCCCAGCAAAAACCCATCTATTGGACAACAACTGCCAGCAATGCAACGTCTCACGACATCACCGTAGAGCCGTCTCTTACTCGTCCATGACGGCCGCAAACTTGTCCGTCATCTTCTGGTGAATGCCCTCGTACTAGAGAGAAATATGTTAGCAACGGAAACGTTGGCTCTGGAGTGCAACACAAACCTTCTTGCAAATGACGTCCTCGCCATCGGTGGGAACCTCAAACTTCAATTGTCGCAGCTGTGCCTGGAGCTCGGAGGTGGCCTCTCGGACCTTGGCCCAGCTCTGGCCCTGGGCAATGACCTTCTGTGCCTCGTCATGGAAGCCAACCATGAGCTTCATCATCCACTCCGTCTTCCAGATGGGACAGAACTGATCGTAGTCGGAGTAACCGTTCTGCTGCAGGAAATCCTCCTTGATGAGAGTAGCAATGTCCAGGGTGATCTTGTCGGGGTCGGACAGAGCGCTCTTTCCGACTAGCTGCACGACTTGGTCGAGCTCGTCTGAGTCGGACAGGAGCTGTCGAATGCGGTCTCGGAGTCGGGGGAAATCGGGGTAGTTCTTCTCGTAGTACTTGTCGAGGATCACAGTGTACTTGCTGTACGATACGACGGTGTTGATGGACGGGAAATGCTTTCGCTGAGCGAGCTTCTTGTCGAGACCCCAGAAGACCTGCACGATACTGAGGGTGGACATGGTGACGGGATCGGAGAAATCACCACCTGGGGGGCTGACAGCGCCGACAATGCTGACACTGCCCTCACGCTCAGGTGAGCCAAGGGTCTGGACCTTACCGGCTCGCTCGTAGAAGGAGGCGAGCTTGGCACCCAAGTAGGCGGGGAAACCCTGATCAGCAGGCATCTCTCCCAGACGACCGGAAATCTCACGAAGAGCCTCAGCCCATCGAGACGAGGAGTCAGCCATCATGGCGACGTCAAGACCTTGATCACGGAAGTACTCGGCGACAGTGATTCCGGTGTAGATGGAGGCTTCTCGGGCGGCGACGGGCATGTTGGAGGTGTTGGCGATGAGGGTGGTTCGCTTCATAATTGGCTCCTCTCGGCCGTCGACGTCGATGGTAAGCTCGGGGAAATCCTTCAAGACTTCAGCCATCTCGTTTCCTCGCTCACCACATCCGACGTAGACGATGACGTCGCTGTTGGAGAACTTGGAGACGGACTGACTAATGACAGTCTTTCCGCAACCAAAGGCACCAGGGATAGCAACGGTACCACCCTGGACACTGGGGAAGAGGGCGTCGAGCACTCGCTGGCCGACGATGAAGGGTTGATCGGCGGTGAGCTTCTCGTTGGAGGGACGGGGCACTCGGACGGGCCAGGTCTGCATCATGGGGAACTCGGTCTTCTTGCCATCGAACTCGACCTCGAGGAGCTTCTCGGTGACGGTGAACTCGCCCTTGGAGGCGATCTTGGTGATGACACCCCGGGCGCGAGGAGGCAACAGAATCTTGTGGACAGCCAGGAAAGAGTTCTCGAAGACGGTACCCCAGACATCACCACCGGAGATGTGGTCGCCGACCTTCTTGGTCGGGGTGAACTCCCACTTCTTGTTGCGGTCGAGTGCGGGGACGGCGACACCGCGGGGGATGTAAATGGACTTGGCCATCTTGGCAATGTCTGCGAGGGGACGTTGGATACCATCGTAGATACCGTTGAGCAGACCGGGACCGAGCTCGACGGACAAAGGCTTGCCAGTTCGACCAACGGGGTCTCCGACCTTGACACCGGCTAGAGGGTGGTTAGCATTGCTTATCGAGGTCGAACGTGATTGTCGCACCGGTTTCCTCGTAGACCTGAATGGTAGCTTGGTCGGCACTGATTCGAATGACCTCACCGACGAGGTTGTCGTGTCCTACTTTGACCTAGAGGAGGCTCGTTAGCTGGGGGAGGACGGGAATGAGTTCTAGGGCGACTGACCAGCTCGTACATGGCAACACCCGTCATGTCCTCGGCCACGACGACGGGGCTGGGAGAGGGTTAGCGTGAAGCTACATTTAGGCGACAGATAATGGCTGCGATGCATCTCGAGAGGATCGCGAGGACAGCATGGAGGAGCTAGGATGGGCGTGTCGAGGTAACTGACCCAGAGACGGAGTAGATTTTGCCTAGCGGAGAGCTGCATGTTAGCACCCATTACGACATTACCCAGCAAATGAAGCGCAAGGACAGCTGGGAGGAATTGACTCACCATAATGAGTAGAGTCGTCATCGGCGGTGCCGGCAGCTTTCGCTTTCTAGAGGAGATGCAGGTCAGCTCTGGGATCCAGCGGGGCAGCTCGGGCGTGTCGTGACGGACGGCCAGTGAGCATCAGGGGAGCAGCAAGGGCGCCGGAGGGGAGGACGTCGTACAGGAGCCATCTTGGGCGGAAGGACGGGCGCGGCGTCGAGCTCGAGATTGGGGCGAGGAGAGAAGCTCTGGGAGGGCGGCAACGGGGGCCGGATGGGCGATGGAGTCGAGGGTGAGGGTGAGGCGGAGGAGGATGCGAATGAGGGAGGCGGTGGTGGTGATGGTGGTGGAGAGTTTGGCAGAGGCAGTTGGCGAGCTACGTCGACGAGAGCGAGAGCTGCAGTAGCACCAGCGTCAGTGGAGGCAGTCGAGGTACCTCGCGTTGCAGCGGCCCACAGGCGGTTCAGCCGTGTACCGCTTGGCGGAGGCGAGGGTGGGGCCGGCGATGATGTCGTTTCAGTGGTCGCCGCAGCAATGTCAGTGGGCGGTGCAGGGGGTGGCCCGCTGGAGCTGCCTCTGGAGCTGTCTCTGGAGCTGTCTCTGGAGTTGCTGCCTCTGGAGTTGCTGCCTCTGGAACCTGGGCGGCTGTTCGCAGGGCTCGTGCCGATGCTACTGCTGCTGTCTCGCTGCGGGACGCGCCCGCGGTCGTCGTTATCGCTGTCGCTGTCGCTGTCGTCGGCGGCGTCGTCGTTCCTGGCGCGAATCAGATCCAGTAGCGACGGCCGCGCCTTGAGGGTGGGACGGATGCCGAGCATGCACTGGGACCGCCTATTTGGCGGGGGTTGTAGTGGTGGAATAGAAATCGGCAAGTGGTTGTAAAGGTGTAGTTATGACGACGTAATGGGCAAATAGACAAGGAAGAAGAGATGCGAATCTAAGCTGTTGCAGGGTCTGAGCATTGACTATAGCTCGTTGGAGCACTGATATCGGACGGGAGCCTCTGCTTTCTACTGGTGTCTGGCACTGAAACGGCCTGGGTTTACAGGTCGAGATCGCTGACGGATTGTGTCGCCGGGCTGCCTCCCACTGAACGCATCCAGAGATGCCTCAGGTAATCTGTTGTTGATGCCTAGCCTCTGCACTTTGAGGCATCACTTCCAGTCCTCCACACTTGGCAAACCGTCCTCTTCCAACCACATGGGAACGCAGCTCCGTTCCGCTAGGCTTCCATTCAATCCATCATCTCCTCGCCGTCACCAGTCAGCAGACCTCTGATCTCGACATATCAAGGCAATGCGATGATATCATTTCAGCTTCATGTACTAAAAATAGATTCGAAATGCAGACCTTCACCCGACTCACGAGATTTCCTCCCAGAACTGACCCTTCCTATCAATCTGCCTTCTTCTTGTCCTTGTTCTCCCGCTCCCAAGCCTCTCCCAATGCCTTCACCTCGGCATTGACGTACTCAATCCTCTCTCGCGCCCCCGGCCAAGGCTTCCTCCCCCGCCCCATGTCAAACAGCCGGTACACTGCCGGCACGTCAGGCCCATCCATCAAAAGGTTGTAGAACTTGCGGTCGCTCCACCACAGCTTGCACGCCTCCCAGCTCCAACAGCCCAACCGTTCTGTCACCCCCGTTCCCGCGGCCTTGTTCAGCCAGTCATACGTCTTTGTTGAGATGACTCGGAGGCCGAGGTGATGCATTGGCCCCCGGTTCAGCGCCTGTACGAGGAAGTGGTATTGAATGTCAATGTCCTTGCGTCGTTCCTCGACTGACGCGATGGGGTATGTACCACTCCACACGCTCGCCAGCGCCATCGAGATGACGTCGTAAAGCGGAATTGGCGGCTTATTGATGAGCATGTGTCCCATGAACGCCAAAGACTCGGGATACTGCTCCGAGAGGAATCCCTGATATAGTCGGGGAAACCTGTCCTGCGGGTCGTAAAACCGAGTCGCCTGAATCTCTTTGTGATGATCCGGAGCAATAGTCGGGTCCGTAGGATCTCCAGTTCCCCGAATTACAGAAAAGTCATAAAAGTATCCGGAGCAGAAGATGATGGCGTCGATATCCTCCAGCACTCGACCGTCTGTTAGGGCCACCGACTTAGGCCCCGTAATCTCCTCAATGCCCACGACTGTCTCAATGTTGCCATCTCGCAGATTATTCGCCAAGTCATCCGAGAAGAAGGGTATGCGGTGCAGAATCCCATCTGTCTGTCGAGGGGCACTGAGGGATGGATGTTCGTTCAAGAAGGGATACGCTTTTGATCGCATGGCGACGAGAGCCTTGGTCATCAACGTACTAGCTCCAATGGGAAAATAGCTAAACAGAGCTCTCACTATCGTGCCAACCCGGCGGGTCATAGAGTGGTCAAAGGCCTTGCCTTTAACCATGCGAGGCAGCTAATTCCAGTTAGCATTTTGCGTCCATGGCTGTCCACCAAGTCTAAAGAGTTCAACTCACAAGAAAGAATTGCGATCGATGGCTGAGATACACCTTGGCAGCTTTCGCTCTGACCAAAAAGGACGTCGAGTCCGCTCCCGTTGCGCCGATACCGACAACAAGCACGTTCTTGCCGGTGTACTTGGACGGGTCCTTGAACTCTCGGGAATGGACGGCATCTCCTGCAAACGTCTCGATCCCTCTAACTTTGGGAAGATGCTTCGTGTTGAGTATACCCGTTGCAAGGGCAACGCGGTCAAAGCTTCGACACGCATGCGAACCTGTGTTGGTGTCTTTTGTGTACACGAGCCATTTTTTCCCTGCCTCGTCGCGTTCGATCCGATCTACTGTCGTAGAGAACTCGATATGCGGCAGCAAGTTGAAGTGCTTGGCATACGACTCGAGGTATGTCTGGATGTCCCTTGCCTGAGGATGTATTGGGAGTTCTAAGAAGCAAAATGTGAGTTCGAGCCCTGAAGATGAGACTCTGTTCGTCTCTCTTACCGTCTGGGAATGGGAAGTCCGTGTAGGAAGCCTTTGGATAATCACCGTCAGTTGTGCACCCCCCAAGTTATTTACAGGGTTCAGACCGATTGCTTGGACGTGTTGAACTTTGTCTGCTCCAGTGCCGTAGTTTGTTTTCCGTCTTCCGAGACGTACCAGGTTCCCCCAATGTGCTCATGTCTTTCGAATGCTGTGACATGAAGCCCTTGCTCGAGAAGGTTCTTGATCGTAACGAGGCCGATGACGCCGGTTCCGATTACACAAACTTCAGGCCCGAGCTGCTCGTCTCCAGTGGTCGCCATCGTGAATAGTGTAGCACAACAAGAGGCACACAGTCAGCGTTGCAAGTCTAAATCCCCCCCAGGACTGGGTACAGCCCTGCTTATAAGTCACTCCATCCTTCGTTCAAGCATTGCGAGGCACTGATTGAATGCGTCTGAGGCAGCAACCCTACATGATGCTGACTTGGTGCGTTAGCACTAGTCGTGTGCGATATGCTGACTTTGGCTTAGGGCTGAACAAAACGGGCAACAACTCGGAGTAGGATGCCGATCCTGGTGAGATTACGTCTCCGATTTGGGATTTAACTGGTGAATCTTATCCTAGCGATGATGACGCTTGAAGCTTGTAGAGCAGCTGCATATCATTTGTTGGAATGTTGGTATTCGCACACACCAAAGCTGTCGTCAGCACACATAAGCGCCTCGGCCCAAGTTACTCGATTAGTCGCCACGCCCCGTTAATAAGTTATTCCACTTGGACACTTATTGCGTGTATTTATTGACCTTGTCTAGATACTTAACGTATGTTTGATTTGCGCTGATAGCAACTTCGGCGGGGTTGGTGCGAGAACGTCGTGAGAACGTCGCCAGGTCTCCCCCAATCAAAGGAACGAGTATGACCCTCAGTTTCATTTAGCTGCCTGACACTAGTGCAACACATTTAAAAGCATATGAGTAGGCTAGAGTTGTTGCAATACTTACGAAACGTCTAAATGCACTAGTAGGGCATAGATACGCCACTGTGACTACCTAGTAACCAAGAGAAAAGGGAACAACGACTCTGCTCTTGACGATGTGGGACGTGTTTCAAATCACAGTGAACTGCATGGGGTGACAGGCCCCAGTTGCGTATTGATGCCCGAAGTCGTTGGCTCAGCCGCACGAGGCTGGCGGCTAGAACCGCCCAACCTGGTCATAAAGCCTGACACCTCAATCGTGATTGTCTTCCTGACAACAACAAACAGCTGCGCCCAAAATCTTACACTCCGGCTCTGATAACCTGTTTCCCTCCTGGCCTTTCTGTAGAGGCTCTTGATCCAACCGATATATACCTTTTCTATCAGCACTCTCGCCATGTCGAACCCCGCAGACTACACCGTCGGCTGGATTTGCGCCATCAGCACCGAACGTGTCGCTGCAGAAGCCTTCCTCGATGATGAACACGACGGTCCTGATTATGTCTCCCCTCATGATAACAACGATTATACATTAGGCAGAATTGGAAAACACAACGTCGTCATCGCCGTCTTGCCAGACGGAGAGTATGGCACATCCTCAGCTGCATGCGTTGCGAGAGATATGCTTCATACCTTCCCCAATGTGAGGATCGGCTTAATGGTCGGTATTGGCGGCGGCGTCCCAAGCCAAACACATGATATTCGCTTAGGTGATATTGTTGTGAACGCTACGCGCGACGGCAAGAGTAGTGTTGTGCAATATGACTTTGGCAAGACAATACAAAGTCAGGCTTTTCAGACAACAGGCTTCTTGAACCAATCTCCAACGGTGCTACGAACAGCATTGAGTGGACTTAAAAGCCAATACGAGCGCAGAGGCCATGGGATCGAGGATGCTATAAATACTGTCCTAGACAAGACCCCCCGCATACGAAAGAAGTACAGGCGCCCGGATTCAAGCAGCGATATGTTATTCTGCAACGATGTTATTCATCCTTTGGACACAGAAACAGCCTGTACGAGCTGTAGCAGGAACAACCCATTTGGCTCGATATCACGATCTAAGCGGACCGAGGACGACGATAACCCAGCTATCCACTACGGCATCATCGCCTCATCGAACCAGCTAATGAAAGACGCCATCCTTCGCGATAGGATTGCGGCGGAACATAATGTCCTGTGTTTCGAAATGGAGGCGGCCGGACTAATGAACCACTTTCCTTGCCTAATCATTCGGGGTATATGCGATTATTCCGACTCGCATAAAAATAAGGAGTGGCAAGGATATGCAGCGATGGCGGCTGCTGCGTTTGCCAAAGATCTGCTTTACCGTATACCGCCCAACAAAGTTGAGGCAGAGAGGCGAATAGTGGAAGCCTTGGAATCTAGTTGGTACTTCCTTGATATGCCTTAACAGTACTGTCTCTAACTATGTCAGTGCAGGACACTTTGAGCCATATCCAATCGACAGCAGTTGAAACGAGCACCAACATTGAGGAAATACGCTCTGATAGCCACCTCACCCGGATCAAACAATGGCTCTCGCCTCCAGACACATCAACCAATGCCAACTACGCCCGGGAAATTCGACATCACGAAACCGGTACATGGCTGTTGAATACCCCTGCGTTCAAGGAGTGGAAGTCTGGATCACTACAGCATGTCTGGCTCCACGGGATGCCCGGGAGTGGCAAGACTATTATCAGCACGACTGTTCTTGATGACTTAACGAAGATGAACGATCACACCACCCTCAGCTTCTTTTTTGACTTCAGCGATACGAAGAAGCAAACTCTAGCCGACATGCTCCGCTCACTCGCCTTTCAGCTATACACCCAGCGGATCGAGTCCAAGAAGGAAATGGATAGTTTATTCACAGCTCACGAGGATGGTCAGAAACAACCAGCACCTAAAACTCTGGCTACATCGCTGGCAGCCATGATGCAAGCTTCTGGGAAGATTTTTATCGTCCTTGATGCTCTAGATGAGTGCTCTGTGAGGGGCGAGCTGCTCACGTGGATGAAGAGCTTTTTCTCCGATCCTAGTTTTGTTCATGTTCAAGTCGTTGCTACTGGACGACCAGAAGAAGAGTTCCAGCGTTTCTTCCGCGGTTCATTTGGAGAAGACCATTGCATCTCCATGGATGCGGAGTCGGTAAACAGAGATATACGCGCCTACATTGAAGCTAGACTTGAGCAGAGCCCGGAGTTCAAGAAATGGGCGTCATCGCCGTCTGTATTGAAACAGATTCAGGACGACATTGGATCTAAGGCCGATGGCATGTAAGTTTGCCTACTCAATGGAAGTTATTGCGGGTAACTTTTTGTATATTGACATGTATATGCAGGTTCAGGTGGGTTGCATGCCAGCTAGATAGCCTCGAGACGTGTCTCGATCGGGAGGCAATCGAAAAGGCTCTCGAATCACTTCCAAGAACCCTAAATGAGACGTACGCCCGCATTCTTGCGAGTATTCCCCCAGAACGCAAGCACAAGGCAACTCGTCTACTACAATTTCTTGTGCATACCGAGCGACCTTTGACTATTGAAGAGGCTGTGGACGTGATTGCTGTCCGCCTTGACAATGGTGGATCTTTCGACGAAAGGGATCGGCTGCCTTGCCCGTCCGACATAACAAGATTCTGCCCAAGTTTAGCCACGCTTGTGAGAGCTTCCCGAGATTGGTGGGTAAATGAAGAACTACAACTGGCTCATTTCTCAGTCAAGGAATACCTTCTATGTTTCGATGTTGAAGGCCTTAACTACATGGATGCTGCAATCGATATCACGGAAACGTGTCTGGCTTATCTCAGTTGTGTGGCAGAATCCCGAATACATGAGGCGCGATTCCCACTAGCACGATATTCAGCCAAAATATGGATGGATCATGCTCGGCTAGCTGAGAGCTCGGAGCGAGCCCGAAAACAGATTCTTCGTTTTCTGAAGACTGAAAAAACTTACAGGGCGTGGACTCGGCTATTTCAACCTGACAACCCAGAGATTTTTCCCCCACCGGAGACAGATGCACTTCCACTCTACTTTGTTTGCTTGAAAGGTCTCAAAGCAACTGCAGAGGCGTTGGTGTCATCAAAGACAAATGTTAGTGCTCGAGGGGGGAGATATCAAAACGCTCTGCAAGCTGCATCCTTCGAAGGCCATCGAGAGATTGTACAGATACTCGTAGATAGGGGAGCAGATATCAACGCCCAGGGTGGATTCTTTGGCAGCGCTCTCCTCGCTGCGTTATACCAAGGCCATCAAGAGATTGTGCAGCTGCTATTAGATAGAGGAGCAGATATCAACGCCCAGGGTGGATTCTTTCATAACGCTCTTCAAGCTGCATCAATCCAAGGCCATCACGAGATTGTGCAGCTGCTATTGGATAGGGGAGCAGATATTAACGCCCGGGGTGTACCATATGGCAACGCTCTCTACGCTGCATCATCCCGAGGCCATCAAGAGATTGTGCAGCTGCTATTGGATAGGGGAGCAGATATTAACGCCCAGGGTGTACCATATGGCAACGCTCTCGAAGCTGCATCACGCCAAGGCCATCGAGAGATTGTGCAGATACTATTGGATAGGGGAGCAGATATTGACGCCCAGGGTGGGGTATTTGGCAACGCTCTCCAAGCCGCTTTGACCGAACGCCATCAAGATATTGTACAGATGCTCTTGGATAGGGGGGCAAATGTCAATACCAAAGGGGGACGATATGGCACTGCTCTGCGAGTTGCATCCTTACAAGACCATCGAGTAATTGTACAGATACTCTTGGATGTGGGAGCAAATATCACGCCAAAGGGGGTAATATTCCCAAGCCGCTTCAAAAGTAGGTCATCAGGGTATTGTACAGATGCTCCTGGACAGGGGAGCGAAATTTAATGTCTAGAGGGGAGGACTATGGCAACGCTCTTTAAGTCTCTGTATTACGAATGAAGAGGATTTCATTTAGTTCCAATGGTAATCACTCGCTACAATGGGCGGTTACGAAAAGCCCAACCCAGAAACAAGCCCGACGTGTCCCCATACTCAGAAATTGAACCAGGCTATCCAATCATCTAGAACAAGTCGTGTAGTGTTTTATCATATTCACCTTCAAACCAACTAGCCCCTAATCTAGATTCATTATCACTTGCGTTAAAACTCTCTAAGTCTCGGCACTCACAACCGGACTTTCCGCTCCTCTTCAATAAGCCTCCTCTGCAGCACATCCAGCATCTCCTTCTTCACTCCCAAGGCCGCAAATGTCGCCCTTGCCACCGAAATCCCACACTCGTCTCGCTCTTCGACGCGGTTCTCGCTCCGCTTGTTGAAGTTGACGCCCAGGACCGGTTCGTAGCAGTTGTCCTCGCTGCGCGCGGCCCTCAGCGCGCAAATCTCCTCGGTTTTGCACGACCCAGTGCAAGTCTCGGGGCTCCAGCCGCGGCTCTTGCGTGCGAGGTACGCCTCAAATGCGGTATCGTCGGAGTCAAGGAGGGCAGTGACGTTGTGCCAGAAGGCGGCGGTGAGCTCGGCGCCCGAGTCGGTAACTGGCGGGGTGAGAAGTGAGCCGTAAGCCTCTTTGGCGGAGTAGTACTTTGTCCACACGGGGCCGGTGGTCTGGAAGGCTGGACTGGTCATGTCGGCAATGTATGTTGTTGAGTCGAGGATGCCGAAAGTGACGGGGTCGACATCGTAGACTCGGAACGATGGCATGCCCGAGGTGGGAGTCAGAGAGGGGCCGATGTAAGAGGTGACGAGAGCGTTGGAGAACTTTTGGTCCGAATAGTCGGCGTAGCTGATTTGGAAGTGGTCTTTGTGCGTGTGTCCGAAGAACATGGCTACAATGGTCGCCGAGTACCGGGAAACGACTTGGTCGAGATAGTTTGACTGGTCGTGGAAGCAATTCTGGTCTCCGAGAGGCATGTGGCCCACAAGATACACACGCTCCCCCGCCTTCTCCGCGGCATCAAGCTCCTTCACGAGCCAGGTGATTTGGTCACTGGGGTCCTGGATCATGGTCTTCTGGTACAGCCAGTAGTTTCCGCGATAGTTCATGTTGGTGTTGAGAGAGATGACGCGCAGGTTGCCGTCCGGGTACCGGGTTGAGTAGGCGCCCAGCTTCTCTGTGTCGGCGACGGCTTCGACATCGATCCAGCCGGACCAGAGTCCCGACAACAGGTCGTAGATCCACTGGCTTACATTGCCAACCGAATTGGGCTGGAAGGCGTTGGCGGGATTGGCTTCGTGATTACCAGCGGTTCCGTATACAATGCTGAGCTTCTGGCTCATCATTTGGTAGGCGTGGGTTACTGGAAAATGTCAGCATCACATCGACTCAATCAGGTGATGCCCACGCACTCTGTTCCATGTTATAGGGCTGGCTTGTGTTCCAGACTGCATGATCAACAATATCTCCCGTGAAGATTGTGAATGCCACATCTGGGACGATATCGTTGATTGCAGCATACATGCTCTCCTCGAGGCTGATAGGAACATCGCAGTTGTGGTCTCCGTTGGGTCCAGCAGGCGAGCTGGTGTTACCAGGCTTATCTGCTGCGGTGTACGGCCTAAGTACAGAGTTATTGTATGTCCTTGTCAATACTATTTCCATACATACCTGCAGCAGATGGGCTTGGTACACTTGGCATTCGATCCCTCAACATAGAGGGGATCAATGTGGATATCGGAGTAGTGAACCACCTTGATCGGATCCCGGCCGCTGGGTGCAGGACGACCAGTGGTGGGCTTCGTGGATGGGAAGGGGACAGACCATTGCCTCACATCCGGATATTCGCAAATCCCGAGAAAGGTAATGCAGAACTCTTTGGAAGTCCTGGACCCGATGGTCATGCCTCTAATTGCCTTGGCAATGATGGGCCCCTCAAGCTGGATAGCTCCATCACAGACGTCGTCGTCTTCGGCCTATATTGTTTTAGCGTTATTCACGAGAACGGCGCCTGGATTAACTCACTCCAGACAGCTTGCAAATCTCCTGAAGAACGTCAATTAAAGCCTGGTCGCCTAAGAGCGCAAGGCCTTTAAGCGCGACCAAGAGCGTCTACGTCTTGTCAGTCCCCATTCAATCACTATCGAAGCAGAAATACTAACCTGACAACCCGCACACGACGCACTATCCTCGAAATCCTTCCAGATATCTTCCACCCAGCTCCTAGATTCGATGGCTCGCTCAATGTGGGCGAGATCTCGCGCGGCTACTCCAGGACCTTCAGAGCCGACAACGCTCTGCAAAAGGCCGATAAAGGCAACAAGCAGCGTAAAAAATAACATCTCAAAACCGGATACGTGATCGCCGTCTTTTTTAGAACGCCGTAAAGATATGTTTGGTACTTAAAACCAGCGTGAATGAGCGGCCCGCGTGCTTGAAACGATGGCTTGCGACGTCTTGGCAGCCAGATCCGTTCTCGATCCCGCTCCGTCTCACTTAATAAACCCGTGACAGCTCCATCTCACGGGCTCTGGCGCCTGTGTTCCTCTGGCTCTGGCGGCCGGCTGACCGGCCTGCTAAGATGATCCCTCGGATCGGCACTCGAGATGCATTCAGGCGGCATCCAATGGGAGCAGGCATGTGGCCCATGCACCCCGGAGCTGTAGTTGCATTAGGAAGTTCGCCTTTGAGGGGATTGGCATCGGGTAGAAATAGCCGTTCGGCGATATATCACGGCTCGTAGCGGACGATCCCATGGTCCAATCGCGGGAGACTGTGACCTCACGGGCTCATGTGATGGTAGGTGGCATGGCAAGTTGTTGGCGGTTGTCGTCATTTGATTGGTCTTGCATGGATATTACAGATACCAACACAAGCCAAAGACTCGCGTTATGCGAGCACAACTTTCGCAAGTCTCTCGAAAACTACACTACCAGGTTCCAGTCGGTGACTGTCTTGGGACACCGAGCAGACAATGCAACCTGACCGGGATGTCGGCCTTAACATCGCCTTTTCCCCTCACTCGCAATAGTTCCTGCAGTCTTCACATGGCTGCCGAACAACCGCTACCCATCCGAGGTAGCACGAGACAGCTGATCCCAACCAAAGGTTTTGTCATTGAATACAGAATAAGTTTGAGATGTGAGATTTTACCATTCCGCTGACAACTCGAGTGACGTCCCCAACCTGGTTTTCTATAATAATATACACGTTACCCAACACCATTTTTGCCCTATCCTAAATGCTCATTATGCTGAGATGTTACTTATACACGGTGACGCCCCTTACAGGCTACGTCAGACACCGCCTTCTTACAAAATATACTACATGTCTCATCATTGAACGTTTCTTCCCACCTCATGTATCCCAGTTCGTCTCCCAGCCAATCGCCTTGCGCCATATTGCTATTTCGCTCAGGCTAGGGCTTCACGTCAGCGGGAAGTGGCCGTCTATCCCACGCAACTTTTACGGGGTTGCCTGCTTCAGACTGGTTGACCAGTTCCCTGTAGCTCTTGCTCAGCTCCACCTTTCGTTCTAAACCACCACCCCACATGTTATACCACTGCTTAGATCTGACCTCAGGGTCGTGCTTGAAGATGTCAGACCGACGCTTTCTGACCTGTCCATATATTCTCTTGGCTCTCTCGTCCGGTAGCTCGGTGATGGCGTACTGAATGCTCCAGTCTCGCGTATACTTCATCCACGGCTCATCGCAGACGCGATCCACGAATTCGCCTTGGACTCTGTTTCGGACCGTGACGTACATGCCCAACAATTCACGGGCTTTGGTGTCAATATCAGGCTCGATCATGTCTGAATCGATCTCTGGGTTGGCCTGCTGGGTTGGCCGAGTACCGTCCTCGGAGTTCGTTTTGCCCGAGTCAGGAATGGTCTCGCTTTCACTACCGTCCGCATCTGATTGACTCGATTCCACCGCCAGCTCAGACAACACTTGCTCAAAGGTTCGCATGTTGGACGATTTGTGGTTGATGCCTTGTGCCACTTTCATGATGAGATCTTTCAACGATGAATCTGAAACCATATCGTTGTCCGAGGAGGTCATATCCTCTTCAACCAGATCAGCTGCGCGTGCACCAATCTCTTCCACCTCATTGGCAGTGGTTCCAGCTGTCGCCTCGTTTGACTCAGCGGCATAGGTAAAATTATCCGGAGTGTCTGTGGGGATTGATGTTGCTTCATCGGTTTGGTGTGTTACGTCTCCATCATACAACATCTCCCCAGGAGACGAGCTCAACCCTTCATCAAGCCCTCCGTCAACATTAAGCACATCTCGCCCCTGTTCGTCGCTGTGTGATTGTTGCTCCTCTGTTGATGCTTCGGTCGTGTCCTTGCCCTCCGAGAGCTCACCAGTCAAAGCCTCAACCAGAGCTTCCAGGTAGGACTCCTTTTGGGCATCCGACTTCCCGCGGAGGAGACCACTCTGCTCAAGAGCTTCATGAATGGCGTCCCTCACAGTTTGTAAACCCAGTGCATCGTTTTCCACAGTCTCGTCAACCTTTGACATCAATTCGTCCCACGTGTTTTGGTCCCGAGAACCGTCTCCCTGTGTAACCTGATCCGGTAGGTCCTCGTCGATTTCGTCGACTTCTCCATCCAGTTGAGCAGACTGCTCCTCGTATTCTTTGCGCGCAAGCCCTAGGATCTCGGTTTGAAACTTGCCCACAGATTTCTGACCCTGCTTCTGAATACGCGAGATCATCTTATCGTCGACTGGCTCGGCAAAAAAGTAGGTCAGGGGAGGATTTGTTTCCCGAGTCTCTACGTGCAATCGCAGTGACCTTCCTGGGAACCGTTTTGATGCCCTGTTTAAGAGATCGTTCAAGAGAGTTAGACTGGCCTTGAACTCATGATCTCCGACATGTAAGTCCCTGGTCCCATGAAGGGCATAATCCATCTCTGCAAGACTGATGTACTGAAACCCGAAGATCCGCTGCGTGTTGTGAAAGGCAACGAAGATGCCATCCATTCGCCCCATTCGTACTTGTAGCGAGTATTTGAGGAATGCAGATCTGATCATATCGTAGTACTCTCGCTCGTACGACAGCCATTGACCAGTCCGGTTTTGAATCTCATACCCCACTCCTTTCTCATAGTCGCCCACGTCCATACGAATCGACACCACTGCTCTAGTCTTGAGATCAAACATTCCAGTGCCGGGCAGTCTAGGGTCGTGCGCGTCAAGCTGAGAGCGCATCAGAAAATCGCCCATGGTTGTGTAGTGGAATCCTTCTTCAGCATTCTTTTCCTCTTCCGACAATTGGTGTGAACGAGCCCGACTGTACTTTTCAAATTCTTCCTTTGGCAAAGTGAGAAGCTTCTCCATCGATTTTCCGAGCATGCTGAGGATATTCGCAGTATCAAACTTTTTGTCTGCGTCAATTGCGTACACTCCATCCTTGAAGTTCGCGAATGCAGCAGCGGGTGCTCGTGTGATTTTGGTGAATGATTCAAACTCAACCTTGAAGGAGCGAGAGAGTGTGCTGAAATTTGGCTTTCTCCAGGCCGAGAGGAGAAAGTGGAAGTGGGACAATATAGCCGTCATGCTCGACGTAGAGCCACAGTACTTTTTGCCATGTTTTGCGCAAAGGTTTATAAGCTTCATGTCCTTAGAAGATGTGACGTATTCTTTGAGGGCGTTAAAGTCGAATTCCTTGACTGGCATGATCGAGGCGAGGTGAGGATCGAAGTTGAACACCCGCGATCGGGGATCTTGAAGATCATAGACTCCAGGGTTGAAGAGAACCCGATCTAGGTCGTGGGAAAGCCTCGGGACCTCTGGGGGTTGATCATCCTCGACGGGTGTAAGGGTTAGTTTGCGTGGCTTTATAGTTGTCAACTCCCAATCGGGGTTCTTCCTAGCCTTTCGCTTGGGCTTCTGGGAGACGGCGGGGTCCGCCACGCCACTGATATGCGGTGGAGAATGAAAAGGATCTTTCTTGGATATGGCAGCCTCTTGTTGAAGTTTTTCTCGGAGCGAAGTCCACATACCCGTGGTTTGTCCTAGACCTCCAAGCTCCACTGTTGTACCTGTGTCCTCGGTTGAACGATTGTTCTTTTTCTTCTTCTTCATTTCCTTGTTTGGAGACGATTCATCCACCTCCTTCACACCATAAACCTTTCGCACAACATCCAATGCCTCATCAAAGTTGTCCGATCCCTCCAAGGCAGGATTCGAGTTTGTGGCCCACTCAAGATGCTCTTCCCGAAATGATTGTGAGCCTGCTTCCAAATCAATGGTTGATTCAGCGCTCGAGTCTCGTTCCTGTTCTTGTTCTCGCTGAAACATCTTTTTCTTTAATGTTTCAATAAGTTCTTCTGCTTCTTTAATCGCGGAGGGGAGATCCTTCAAGCGCTCGTCGATTTCGGCAGAGGGAGCTTTCGAAGCTTCAGGCTCCTCAGGCTTGTTGTCAGTCGCAAAAGTCCGGCATCGTGCTGCACGGAGCTCGAAAGAGCGCAGGGAAGGGCGAAATAGCTGCACATATCTGGCCGATTGGCCAGCGCCACGCCTGAGACGAAGCATTGAAGCACGTCGTATTCGAGCTTGGTTCGGTGTTGAACAAAGACAAGCTATGATGCACTTGAGGAAGCGGGTCGATAAGAAAATTAGACAGAAGATCTCCAGAGTCCGTATCGATAACAATCGATAAGGCAAGCACCCGGCAATACTCCGGCTGCCAGCCACAATCTATCGCACGTGGTTGGCCAACAAGGGTCAGCTCCCACGTCCTCCGTATCAGTACCTACCTACGTACGCATGCCGTCCTGGCTATAGCCCTCTACCTCATCCTCGTCGCGACACCACGACACTGACCAAAGCGCAGTCTCACCAGGGGCAGAGCCTCTCACAGCAGACATGGGCGCGAGCGATTCCAAGCTCGTTTTCAAACAAGGCATCTTCCGACTGTCGGAGGAGCGCCACATTCCACCCGATGATGCCTACTGGACTTCCGTTCGGCCCCTGTGCTCCCCACCAAGGTGATCCATGGCTTGCTAACACCGAGTAGTTCTGGGAACTCCCCGAGTCCTCTGAGGACGTCTTCAGTCTATTCACACCCGCGGATATCCGACGAACCCGAGATCGCGCCCTCGAAAACCTCGAGACCCTCATTCTTGCCATCACATCCTGCCTATTCAGACTACGTCATCATCCGTCGTTTCCCGATCCGGAACTTGCCTCTGAACGGGAAGCGTTGAACTGCATCAGAGTCCTCAACCGAATCCTACCCTACCTCTACGAAAAGGATTCTTTGGCTTCTTGGGAGGAGAAGTTTTTCTGGGGCCAGAGGAGAAAGCGCACTCGCCATGCCGCCATTGCCAACGAAGTTCTGTTCGACGAAGCTCAAGTCGAAGAGGCCAAGACCGAGGGTACGGAATTCGAGGATGTGAAGCCGTTGGCGGAGGAGTTGATCGATACATTGGTCGACTTGTTGTTTTTCTCTGAGTTTACTCTGCCCCGGCAGCCAAGCGGAAAGTCGAAGGTCAGCTACGCAATATGGCAGAGTGGTGTGGGATGCAACACGGCTGTTGCCACCACCAAGGAGTATGAGAGCAACCGATCGGAGATTTTGCGCCTACTCTTGACCCTCACAGGCCAGAGCATGTATATGACCGCAGGAGTTCTTCCGCAGAGGGGGGTGCGAGCCTTGACCCATCTCTGTTCATGCGCTGAGAAGCAGGTGGTGCTTTCGGTTCTGTGCTCGTTGCTCAATACGGTACGTCGGCCAATGCTTCTAGCATATGAAGTATGACTAACATAAAACCCCTCTAGACCCTGAAGTACAACCCTGCCAGTTGGCGCGTGCCTTACAATACTCTAGTGTTCAAGGATGGGAAAGAGATGCTAGTGACGTATTCTCTGCAGTTCCTGTTGGTTCTGCTCCTATATCCCATTCCTGAAAGTCCGTCCAACCCATCACCAAAGAACTTCTACCGACACTTCCTCGGGCGGCTTCACCGACCACAGGACTTTCAATTCATTGTGGACGGAATGACGCGGGTTCTCAACCAGCCACTCCAGGAGAAGTCTTCCTATCTCCCAGGAGCTCAATCATCTGGCAACTTTGCGCCAGAGATACTCATGTTATTCTGGGAGATAACCCAGTGTAACAAGAGATTCCGATCTTTCATCATTGACACTGAAAGAGCACACGACTTTGTCATCCTGACTCTATTTTACGCTTTGGAGTACAAGAATGACACGGCGAAGCAAGGAGTAGTGCGCATGTGCGCATTCTTGTTGCAGACTCTCAGCGTGGAAATCAACTTCGGAATCAACCTGAACAAATATTTTGAAGGTCAAGACAGCCTGCCCGCCTCAATACGGGTCCCGGGTTTCAGGGGCACCTACGCAGATTTCTTGATTCATTCGATTTATACCTTGATTACCACGAGCCAGGGCAAGTTGACGGCGATATACCCAGCTCTCCTGGCGGTGATCAATAATATTGCCCCATACCTTGAGGGCCTCAGCAGCACCAGCAGCTCAAAGCTTTTGCAGCTGTTCTCATCCATGTCGGCGCCGTCATTTTTGCTGGCCAACGATTCGAACCATAACCTCCTCCACTCCCTTCTAGAATCGATAAATTCTATCATCGAAAATAAATACGCCAAGAATCCCGAATTAATATTCATAATTTTGAAGAACAAGAAGCGCATCGAGGCTCTTCGGTCCTTCACGCTGGAGAGTGGTCAGGAGGAGGTGGAGAGAAGAAACAGAAGGAGAAAGGATTCTGGTGGCCAAATCGACCCATTTGATTCCGGATCTGTTCGAAGCTCAGTCGACAGTATGAGGAGTCCCGCAGTCACTCAAGCCCGACCTTCAGCGCTGGAAGAAGTTCCAGAGGACGGTGCATTCGCCATTGGAGACGACGATGACGATGACGATAGTGATGATGATCATCAACCAACTCCCGCGCGATCAACTTCAAGCGAGAATCAATCACAGGCATCCTCGACGGCAAATGTCGAGGATGCGGTGCCAACTCAACTACGAGGCATGTCAGAGAAGGCTCGGGGCAAAATGCCAGCGGGGGTCCCAACCTTCTCGCGGCAAAACAGCACCACCAGCCTCGCTGCACACTCGATTTCAGGACCATCACACAGTGGCGGGTTTGAGCCAACAGCTCATTGGATTGATAGTTGGCTGCCGGAACTTCCCCTCCATACCATCTTGGCCGTTATTCAGCAGGTCTCTGCTTTACTCCCGCGCCAGGATCTGACACACGATACACCTACCCCGGAAACACTACGGCGGCTTTCGGGGACTGAACTTGTCGGCATCGAGGCCTCCCCTCCCCGGGTTCATTCATTTGAATGGTCTCAATTGGCCCTGGGGTGGTATGAATCACTACTCTGGGGCATCGTGTTTACAAGCGAGATGCAAGTTGCCAGAGGGCCCATGGGAATTTGGAATGGCACCGCGATCAAGCTCTTCCGGGTCCAGGAAACAGCACCTGAGGGTCCGACCCTGACCTCACCTCGGGGAGCTGTCGACGCCATGGGGAGCAACCTCGTGTCACGGATAGGGCAGATGAACCTTCGGGGCGCGCCCGCGGCAGGGAGTCCGCCTCCGCAACAGCATCACTAGCAGAGAGGCGGCGAAGGGGGAAAGCGGTGACGGATAGTGACGCAAACGTATACAGAAGCATTGAGGTGTTTGGGATTTTGAGGATTGTACGGCGTTTGGGGATCCAGAGTCGAAGTGTGGGCAATTTTGGAGATGTTGGTAGTTAGGTAAGGTAGGCAACGTAGTTAGCCAAGTAGCATGGCACAAATGTGCTTCATCAAGGCTAAAGCTTTGAATCATGCGTTACAGCTCCCCGACAGCAATGCTCTCAGATTTATCCGGCGCTTTGTCATGGATTATGCCAATTACCTGACGTTTCACATGTCTATCTGCCCATCTCCTTGCAAGGGCCCACGAGTCATTCGGCAGCCAGCGTCGGACATGCTACGTAGTATTAGGCAGTACGTGCAGTAGCCACAGCATGCAGCCACCAACAACAATAACAACACCGGGATCCCTGGCGGTGCCGTCGCCCGTAACTGCCGATTCCTTGGTGCTTCCTTGATTTTTGTGCAGGAAACCTGGCAAACACAGCTGGCAAGGCGACGGCGCAGCACCCACGACTGGCCCCGCTGCGCTTCGGGGCTTGCAGATGCTAGGATGCTAAGATCCTAGACCACATCATTTCCGCACCCCGGGAAGCAAGCTCGAAAGCTCTCGCACGCACCGCCACTAATGTCCAAGCGCCAGGCCAATCGTGGATGGCGTCGGGCCATTTCGAGGACGTTGCAGCGCGCGAAAGCCATCAAGCCACAGCGCCATCCTGTCATCCTGCCAACGCAGCCACGCCCAATGTCGCTTTAATATGCGCCGGGTCTGTCAGTTATCAGGCCCTGCCGCCCTGGGGCCGTCGTGTGTGGAAGGGTTCTCGTTTCGCCGATTACCGAGCTGGGCTGTTCCTTCGACCTTTCATTCATGAGCTGCTCGCCTACTGCCGCGTTGGGACGGTCTTTTGTTGTCCTGATCTGCGCCCGACCTCACAGCCGTGTCAAGTGTGGAGCTGAGCTGCGCTGAGCCGTGTAAGACATGGCCGGCGACGATCCTCTGCTGAGCCCGCCCGCGGGGAGCTCTGGCAGCGAGATCCTCCCATACCGTATACATGTTAGCCTCACCTCGTCCTGAGAACCTTCTCCCCGCTGCGCCGGCGCGTTTGTGGCTGACATTGTGGGAATAGGTGTCCAACAAGTATCTCGACATTACACGACAGAAGCTGGAGCTCACCCGGCTTCCCCATGAGCCCCGCTCCAAGGACTGGTGGGAACCGAAGCCCCAGGTGGAATCGCTGATCGACTTCTGGTGAGTTGGATCATCTTTCTTGAGAATAACGATTAATATTCATGAAACTGACCGAGAGACAGGCAGGAGCATTACTCGTGGCCGAATCACGAGGAAGAGCTCAATTCTACCGTGCCCCAGTACCGCACAAGCTTCCAGACGCCTCCGCCAGTAACACCCGTGAGGGTTCACTTCATCCATGCTCGATCGCGTCACGCGAATGCAGTTCCGCTACTTCTTATTCCCCCATTCCCTTTGACCAACCTATCCTTAATCCAGTTCATTTCACCCCTCACCGCCCCCGAAGATGCCGGGACCCAACAGCCCTTCCACTTGGTGATTCCCGCGCTGCCGGGCTTGGGCTTCAGTGACCCCTTGCCCAACAGCGCACCGCCGATTTCCACGACGGCAAACATGTTGGATGCACTGATGAAGAGGCTCGGCTATCCGCGCTACATCGTCTCCAACGCAGGACCTGCGTCCATGTCGCCTGCCAAGATTGATTGGAGACTTGTCAAGCATCTCTCGCAGCACTATCTGGAGTCGTGTCGGGCTGTCCATCTCATCTCTCCACCCTTGAGCCCCCCGAAGATTCAGGAGTCAGCAGCCGAATGGTCGAAATGGAAACTTGCGCGCCTCTTCAGCTCGCCTATTCTGGGATACTCCAAAGAAGACTTCTCCGCATCCACAAAAGTCGACAAGTCGCAGTCCAAGGCTAAGAAGGATTCGCCGCTTGGGCAACTCAGCTCAGGGGGTTGGGAACCGAACACGCCGTCTTATGCCCTGTGTGACTCTCCAACGGGACTTCTTCTCTGCGTCTTGAAGACTTTGCGGACTCTCGGCCCCAGGAGGGAGTTGAAACCGGACGACATCATCACGTTGACACAACTAGTATGGTTGCCCGGGCCCGAAGCGGCACTGCGGTTCTGGGCGCATTGTGCAGCTCAGGCTGAGCCGGTGGAATCCAACAAGCCAACTACCAAGCCCAAGGCTGCCATCACTGTGTTCCTGGGTAACGAGGAGCAACCCGACCAGTCAAAGACATTGCCTCTCCCTGCGAAGAACGCATACGCCTGTCCTAGCTGGGCAAGGACGGAGTTCCAGGTGATTCACTCGAATCGAGTGGCAGGGAAGCCCGGTTTCCTTGCGTGGGATCGACCTGATGTCATTATAGACGGCGTGAGGGATCTCGCCAAGGCCATTCTAGCTACGGACAAGAGCATGCAAGCCTCAAGTCAGCCTGGCACTGTTCCTCAGCAGCAGGCCGTTGCTCAGCCCGAACGCCCGACGCTGACGCCACCAGCCCCTCTTCCAGCGGATCTATCTGGATCAACAGTGCAGGGAACGTTTGGAACGATAGCTGAGTCGGCGGACGAAACGACGGCTGAGACACATTCCCAAGATCCGGTGAAGCCGTCAGCCAAGAAGGCTGTTGCCGGCGAGGGTCACAACGTCGCCCTCCCAGAGACTCCAAAGAAATCGTCCAGGGTTGAAAGCCCACATTAAGGCAGTAGGTTATCGGGATGGTGCTTATATCATAAGAGTGCTGTAATATGAATGGGGCATTAGTAGTCTAGTAGCAATAGGGAAGGGATATGATGATGACTGGGTAGGTTAATCCTCCAAGGAAGCAATTATCGTTCATTTGGTCAAGTATTTAATAGATGGGCTGAAGGGTGACTGGGCTCTGCAGGCTGGCGAAATTGTAATTACACAAAAGCATGCCGATATACAAAAAGCATGCATGATATATATACCGCTCTTCTATCTTCATCTCGGTGTCCATATCCGGAGGCTAGGAGGAATGTGGCTGTTGGTCTGGGGGAGGCTGAGCGTGGTCTGTGCTAGCGCAACCTCGAAGCTCCAGGTCATTGAGGCACGTATCCCACGCCGCCACACCTCTAACGACTAATGTTCCATCCCAGCTCCAACATCTCTCAACCTCGAACCCAGTAACCCACTCATACGTACAGCAACGAATTCCCGACGACCTGCACACGCATACGACACTCTTCATTCCTGCGGCGAACCACAGACCGACTCCCGCGCTCGCTGCGGCGACGATGCCCCCCGATCCCCGTCTCTCGTGACCACGCCCAACGCATCCCTCTCTAGCCCCGACTCCAACTCTGCCATGGCAGGCCGCTACGGTCAATCGTACCGCGAGGGCAACGGCTACGGCAACTTTGGCCGCCCGGGCGACGACTACAAGAACTTCCAAGATAGCCAACCCAGCGACCGATATGGCGCGCCGCCCTCGCTGCAGCCCCCGCGGCAGCAGCAGCCGCCCCCTGCCATCCGCAACATGCCCTCTCGATCGCGCGTGCAAGAGACAAACGCCGAGAGACAGATTAGCCAGGTCCTAGAGCACATCAAGGCGGAATGGCCCTCCATGTGCCAGGACGACTGCGTCCCCGTCCAGCTTTCGCTGCAGCTTCTCGACTCCAGCTCCGTCGGCCGCGCCCACGAGTATCGTAAATTCCAGAAGAGCCATTCATACCTGCAGGAGTCTCTCAAGGGCATCGTCCACGAACATCACCAAGGCTTCAATAGTTCCATCGGTACTTTCCACAAGATCCAGGGCAGCATCCAGGCCTCGCAGAAACGGGTCCGCGCCCTCAAGGAGTCCCTGGCCAACTCCAAGACGAGTCTCTGCTCGACTGATTTGGAGCTTAAGAAGCTCTCCAAGTCGTCACAAGAGTTTGACGATCTGCTTCTGGTTCTCAATGAGCTGGACGAGCTGCGTGCAGTGCCTGATCAGCTCGAGGCCCGGATATCCGAGAAACGGTTCTTGACAGCCGTCGAGGTGCTGCAGAATGCACTCCGGAAGCTCAGGAAGCCCGAGTTGGACGACATTGGTGCACTGGCTGACCTGAGAAGCTATCTTGCCAACCAGGAGACTGCCCTAATGGATATTCTGGTCGAGGAGCTACACGAGCACCTCTATCTCAAGTCACCATATTGCCAGGAGAGATGGCAGAGTCTAGCCAAGGCCCAGGGTGCCCTCAATGAGAGCTACAGTGACACAAGTGCCATTGCTCCATTCCATACGATTCTTGACTCTGTCGATATCGAAAAGGCAGTGAGCGAGGATCCAATGAAGAATCCCGAGGCAGACACATTCTATTACACTACGTTGCTCGTTGAGTCTTTGAACAAACTTGGACGGCTGCAAAATGCCGTTGAGACTCTTAAGCAGCGATTACCAGTTGAGCTCTTCGGAATCGTCAATGAGACGATTAACGAAGTAGACCAACGCCACCCAAGCTCCCTACGTGGAGGATCAGCCAAGGGCGAAGGTCTCCACGTTTACGGAACCCGCGAGACCCAGATGCGTGCTGATGTCATCTTCGATCTACTTTGGACGCTCTACGGCAAATTTGAGGCAATTGCTGAAGGACATCGCATCTTTCACGAATCCATCAAGATCCTCATCCGTCGCGAAGGCGCTGGTAACAACAGTGCTCTCCTTGGCAGCTTCAAGGAGCTGTGGAATCTCTACCAAAACGAGATCAGGACTCTCCTGCACAATTATGTCACGACCGAGGCAGATGTTTATCAATTTGATTCTCCCCAACCAGGCAATACACTCGGTGGCAAGAAGGATGCTATGCGAGAGCACCTGTTCAAGTTCTCCGAGGCTGATGCCAAGTCCGTTGATATGGCGACGGAGTTTGATGCCCTGGAGAACATCATCCAAGCGGCTGTTCCCGGTCTAGGTGGCCGAAAAGCCGACAAGAAGAACCGACCGGCTGCTGATAGCGGAAACAGAAGAGGTGGTGAGTCCGGATTCGGGAGCAATCAACAGACGGTCGGTTCGTACAAGTCTCTGGTAGAGCCCAGTGTCTTCAATATGAGCCTCCTGCTGCCTCCAACGCTCGTGTTTCTGCAGAGACTCAAGGGTATTGTGCCACCCGGGTCAGATCTCGCGGCCAGTACGCTAACCACGTTCCTGGATAACTTCTTGGTCAACGTGTTTCAGCCTCAGCTGGACGAGACCTTGGCAAAACTCAGCGATACCGTCTTCGGGGAGGCGGATGCCTTCGCGCAAGACCCTGCCTGGAGCCAAGTTGCGCGCCGGCCTGTGTTCCGAGGAACAACTGCCTTCTTCGAGGTGGTTACCTCATTCTGTCGCATGCTAGGAACGATCCCGCCCGACCAGGCCCTAAGCTCGTTGATGGTGACTCAGATGATGCGATACTATGATCGTTGTTTCAGCTGGTACAAGTCACTGGTGATTCAGGCTCAGGAACAGGCTGTCGACCCAACCAACGCTAACCTAAGGGCGTCGGCTCGCCTCTCGTTGGATGTGGGGGATATCCAAGAGACAATGAAGAGGCTGTGGACGGCGGATGAGATGGACTGGGAGCTAGCGGAGAAGGAAGTCCACCAGCTGATCGAACAAACCAACGACGCGCCGTTGGAAGCCAAAGACATCATCCAAGACCGAGATTCAATCTCGTCCCTGTGTCTCTTGTACACCAGTATGAAATGGCTTGCCGTCAAGATTTCTGGTCTGAGATACATCACCATGCACGAGACAGATACGGCACGGCAGAACCTCTCACGTCACTCGAGCCGCCGATGGACCCTGATGAACGACCCAAACAAGAATACAAGCGAGCAGGGGCCTGTGCAGTTGCCGCTGACTCAGGATACTGTCCAGTAAGTTTGTATTGATTCGAGGTTCACAAACACCGCTAACCAGAAACAGAGCATTTGACAGCATCGTGTCGTCGTTTGAAGAGCTGGCTGGCACGGCTCTCCTAACACTGCACATGGAAATCCGCTGCCGTATTGTGCATTCCCTCCGGATCGCACTGTCGCCGAGTGTGGCACCTTACCTGCTCGACCAGGAGGTGAATGAGCCAGATCCGCAGATTCTGAATCTCAACTCGGAGCTTGTCAACTTCGACGAGACGATTGTGCGGTTCCTTCGGGACAAGGAGATTTCCTTTATCCGAACTGGATTGGGCTTGCTAATCAACTGCTACCTGGTGAGCAACGCCAACATGGCGTCGCCGATGAACAGCAAGGGTTGCGGACGGATGCAGCTCAACATCCTGGTGCTGCAGCAGAACCTCAAGAATGTGGAAGAGGGCGTAGACCTTGCACGGGCGGCCAACTACTTCTCGCTATACGAGCAAGGGGCGGACGCAATCGTGGACAAGGCTCGGGAGGACAAGGAGCTCCAACGAGGGAACAGCTGCCAAGACGCAGAGCACTTTTCATACGATGAATTGAAGGCGCTAGTAGAGCTATGCTACAGCGAGCAGTTGGCTCACCCGGAGCGCGGAATTGCGTCTGCTGCGAAGCGGCAGATGGCGGATAAGCTGCTGGGGCTGAGCGAGCACATGTGGCAAACGTAGTACGAGGAGGGATCAGCTGGAGGGATCAGCTGGGTTACCATCGGGATAGAGTTGGGTGGCTTTCGGGACGTGAGGAACTAGCATGATGAGATGATGATGCGGAAACCGGATGTGATATAGTAGCCGAGCAACTCGGCGCAAATGCAACGCAACGTTGAATGCGAGATGTGAGATGCTAGCTGCGGACCTCCTGCACATCATTTTCCTCCCGAGCGCCGCTTACATAGCAGACTCAGACCGGCGGCAGGATTTAACGAGCAACGACGCTTCACTTGAACGACGAGTACGGGTATGGCACGGCAACCAGTGAGTAAGTAGGAAGAAGGTGAGTGGTGCGCTGGCAATCACAACGGGCGGCTGCTACGTCAACGGATGCAGTGAGGCGGCGAGCCACGCGATGTTGACACCCATCAACACCGTCTGTGTAACGCAGAATGGAAACAAGGCATCCCACCACATGCACGCAACGCACGCTGAGAGGTTCTCGGGTGCAACCAAAGGGGCAAACGCTCCCCTCCTCTCTAGACGCCTCTTCGACGTTTAAACAGCTGACGTGAGCCGGCGCTTGCACTGCTCCAATCCGCAAACATGCTAGGGGATACCAGTCCAACGCACGCTCGCTTCCCCGCATTCAAGATGGCCATGTGCTACGGAAGTTTGATATTGGACGCTGCGATGCGTGTGGTTCTCAGGGAGGCAGCCGGGGCTGGTGGCGATGGCCGGGCTGTCCCAGCTGGACACAACGTACGAATACTCCAGCGCGGAGATGGACACGGCATAGCATGAGAATATCCGTGCAGTGTTCGAGAATGGGCAAGGGGGATGAGGACCGGGGAGACGGGCTGGACTTGAGGACTGGGAACAGGGATTGGACCTCCGTACGAGACATGACGAGGTGAGATGGTGATGGGAGATGTTAATGGGAAATGGTGATGTCGATGAGAAAGATCAACGCCGATTGATTGGGCGTCTTGTCACGGCTAGTCTGATCATGCCTTGCTCAAGCTTGAACCGAGGATCCGGCCTAGCCAGATCAGCTCCCTCAGACATCTCAGGCAAAGCCCCGTAGCTAAGACATCTCGTTGACCGGGCAGGCAGGCAAATGTGAATCAGGGCGCTGAGACTTTTGCTTCCTTTTTTGGATTTATTTTTGGCTTCTGCTTGCGTACGAATACGTACGAGTTCCCTCTATTTTAATGTACGAGGCCTGGGCTGCGCTCGGCTGGGGCTGGGATCCATTCCGGAGAGCGGCTTCCATGGAAGAGAGACAGAAATAGGGGTGGAGACGAGAAATCACAGAGCCGGAGAGAGAGGGGATGGAAATAATCCCCAGGAATCCGAGGATGCCGTGGGTTTGGACTCCACTGCTGGGGGAAGAGGGAGGTGGTCAGTCAGCCCTCTGGAGATCTGGAAGCCTGGAAGGGGACTCTATCGCCTTGGCAGCTGAGCGGCTCAGTGACTCGAAACAAGCATCATCTCGCGAATATGGCCTGCGGAGGGGAGCTTAAAATGCTGGTGGTTCCCTGCACAGCTGCAGACGAGCCGCTGCAATGCAATATTCAGCTGCATTGGACCGGCCATGCCGCCGCCAGCTTCACTAGGTGCTGCTGCTGCGGCGACGGCTTTCGCTTCCAACGCACAAATGTCCAGTGGCAACGGTCCACTGCAGACCGACCCGACATACGTAGGTCCGGTACGTAGGCCACATGGGCAAATGGGCCGTGGATCTGGTGGCCCGCGGATTGGATGGAGCCCCTGAGGCTTGGTCGACTCTCTGTTAGTGGTCAGTTGGGCGCTGGTGTATTAGTGGGCATGATGGACGGATGGAGATGGATGGATCATGGTTCCGTCCATGGGGAATCACAGGCACCCAATGTAAGAAGTACCGCGCAGCATCCGTACCCTCGCGCGCACTAAAAACAGGGCATATCGCCTCATGCTTCAGACTCGGCCTAGCGACTCGGTACCTTGCATGGCCCATTGTGCGCCGTCGCCCCCCTTCCCAGCCGAACCCCCCGTGCGCGTCCGTTGTTCTGCGTCTCTGGCGTCGTCTGCGCGCCCCAATGCAAGCCCGCGCCGGCCGTCTCGAAAAGCAGCCGCTAAAAATTCAACGGAGTGGAGCGGAGGAGGCCGCGATGTTGCCCTGTGATATTTCCTCCAGAAACTGAGATTCATCTTGCGGGACGTCGTGGTGGCACACTGGCAGCCCCCAAGGGGTGGGGGAGCGAGCTAGTAATTACCGGACCGGTCTCCAGTGGGCACCTTAATCCAGGGCTCAAACGCGTTGATCGCTGAGGAGGGTCGTCCTTGAATTAACAAGGCCATGCGTTGTGGCTTCTGATTCGGATGTACGCATGTTACTATGTACTGTGTGCTATGTACTGGCCCATCCATGTAACTGTAGCCGTCATTCATCTCTCGCTTATCAGCCCTGAATCTCGGTCTCCTTCTCTTGTCTCTCGTCAACGTCGGTTGCCAGTGACTGCCCAAACACAGGTCATTAAAGAATAGGCACAGACGGTTGCATCGCTGAGGACCAGGGTCGTCGTCCGTTGACCTCTTTCTCGTCGGACTGGCAGTGGTTCCGTTCCCCTATCCCCTTTCTACGGTATTTCCGCCCCTCTCTCTCGACTCCATCCGACGGCGCTTGACAGTCTTGAGCTCCACCTCTTTGCGTATTTTCCTTCATTTATTTTTAGGCTGTAGCTGCTCCGGGTGTCTCCTCTTGCTGTGCTTTGTCCGTCCTTTCCATCCGCTGCAGTAAAAATCCCAAGGGGAAAGCCCTCTATCTTTACCTTTTCTCTAGGGGGGTTGCGCGCACTCCAGCGAGCCTAGCTTGCTAGCCTACCTAATTTAGTACGTACCACCCAAGGGCCTCCACTGAAAAATTCCACAGACAAGAACCCGTGGCAGTGGACGACGAGACAATCAAACAGAGCCACCCACCCAACATATGTACCCGACCCGGGAGCCACCCACACCAGGGCTGATTGATTGACCAGGGGGTTAACACTCTTGTCCTTGTTGGTGTGCGTCCTTGTTGGTTGGTCTGTGTCCTTGGTCTTCTCCTTGGTCCTCTCTCCTTGGGTCTCCTCCTTGTTGGCCTTGATTCATACCTACATCCCATCCGCTCTCTCATCAATCCTTCCCTCCTGCGCACGTCGATCCAATCTTGGCTTTAGCCGCGTCCACTCTCTTTCTTCACTCTCTCACACACACAACACAGACACACACACACTCTCTCTCTCTTTCTCTTCCACTTCTCTTCCCTCCTTTTTTCCTCCTTCTCTACAACAACAACAACAACAACAACAGTCACCGCCAAAACCCTCCCGATCCCGAACAAAACCCCCCGACTCCCGACTCCCCGACCCCACGCGTCCGAGCGGCAGAAGCCACCTCATCCCTCGTCGCTCGCTCGTTCAGAGCTCCATTCCCCTGGATTTTTGGGGGGGACCCTGACGTGGTGGATACCTTTCAGACACTGCACGCATAGGCTTAAGCTCCAGTACTGGCGCTGGCATTGGCTCTGGTCTCTCAACTTTGATCCTCCTTCTCCCGCCATTTCATCCACGGCAACGAACCGCTTCCGCTACCGCGACCGCGACCGCGACTTTTTTTCCCCTTTCCTCTACCAGCAACGCTTCCCCGTCCGCCCAGTAACACAACCAACAACGGGCTCGCATCACCTTCTTTCCACGAGCTCTTCTGGCCTGGAGGCCCTGTTGCTGCCATCATGGAAGGGTGAGTTTGCCCTCCCGTCCCTATCCGTCTATCCGCCCCTGCCTGGATTCTCTTGGTCCCAATACCGCCTCGTCCGCCAACGGTCGCTAACCATCTTCGCTCAGCTTCGGTTCCACGTTCCGCTCAATCTGGCATGCCATGACCAGTAATGACAGACGTATGCGCCCCCATTACTCGGTGATGTTTGTTTTCCACGCGACTCGTCCACTAATCAATCCGTCCATCCTCCAGATTCTTCCTTCGACTCCCCCTATCGCTCTGGCCGCCACGTCCCCCTGCAAAATGGCCGTAGCGACATCCTCACTGGCGTCGCCACCGCCTCCGACTCGCGACACGACGTCACTTCCCCCTATTCCGACGAGTCTGGCCGCGCATCCCCCGCCAACGGCATCTCTCTCAATACCAATACCAGCACCGGTCCCTTCACGCCCACCAGCCCCGCGAACGCCCCCTACTCTCCCGGCCTGAGAGGCATTGCCGCACGCAACGCCAGCCAAGGCGATGGCTTCGAGGTCCAGAGCCCCGGCGATGTCCCCATGCAGAGCTTCCAGGACGGTCTCCCCCCTGCTCCCCCAGTCGCTCACACCTGGAGGCGGATAGATGCCTGGGCCGACGAAAACTACCCCGAATTGTTCGATCAGCTTTGTGAAGGCGCCACAAATAACGACTTGAATGAGCTCGAGCACCAGCTCGACTGCTCACTTCCCCAGGACGTGCGAGACTCGTTGATGGCTCACGATGGCCAGGAGCGAGGAGGAATGCCCACCGGAATCATCTTTGGCTCCATGTTGCTAGACTGCGAGGAGATTGTGCAAGAGTGGGAGAACTGGAGAAAGGTCAACCATCAGTACCTGCTGGAGACTTCGGTCGCGAAGCCTTCCACACCCTCCAAGGCCTTTGGCGGCAGCAACGAGGCGTCTTCATCCAGGCAAGGCGGCCCCGGCAACAACAACTCCGGCGTCTGGCGCCAGGATCTCATTTCCCGCCAGGACTGCGTGCCTGCCAACAGCGTCCAGAAGGCCTACGCGCACGCAGGTTGGATCCCCTTGGTTCGAGACTGGGGTGGCAACAACCTGGCTGTTGATCTGGCTCCTGGTCCTGGTGGCCAGTGGGGACAGATCATCTTGTTCGGCCGTGATTACGATACCAAGTACGTGGTGGCTCGTTCCTGGGCGGCCTTGCTGTCTGTTGTTGCCGACGACCTCAACAGCGGCAAATGGTATGTGGACGAGGAAACCAACGAGCTCAAGCTGCGAGAGTTTAAGGAGACGCGAGTTGAGCCCTCCTATTTCAGCATTCTGCGATGGAGAATGGACCAGAAGTACGGACGACGGGCCAACAACCGGAAATCCATGGCCCCTCGGGGCAAGTCCAACTCTCCCATCGGATCCCGCTCCTCGTCGCCCTACGCCAGCCCTGTCGAAGGCCCCGATGCCCGCGGACGATCGTTGCAACGCCTCAGTGGCTCGTCTCCGCTGACGAGTCCTATGCGACCTGGATACGGAAAAGCCGCCACCCCCTTGAGTAGAGTGACGGAGGAATCGGCCATTCCGGAGATTGCGAGTGGTATCATTGAGCCAGAGAAGCTCGTCGAAGTCGAGACTCCCCGGCAAAGCAACGAGGGCAGTAGCTCCAAAGCCGGCAACCTACCCCGTGTAGAATCGGACCTCCTCAAGGATAAGGAAAATGAGGCGCCCAAGACGAACGGGAAACAGCCTGCGGTTGCGGACGAGTCGATGAAGACGATTGAGATCTGAGCATCCATGAGGGACAACAAGTGTTTGGAAGAACGAAGAGCCTGCACTGGCACTGGCACACAGACAACGATGGCATGAGACTCTTAATTTTCTGCAAAGCTCCGCAAAGAGGCAACTCTTTACACTTTACATTGGTAAAAAACATTTCGGCGTTGGGGGCGTCGTGTCGAACACGCAACGAATCCATTATTCTATTTTATTTCCGAGGGCCGGATTCTTTTGTCGCTGCCCGAATGGTGGCGCGGCAGAGAAGGTATTATACGGAGGAGTGGAAATAACATACAGCTTTCTACCTATATCCTGGTCCTTTTTTTTTCTTTATTACTCCTCCGATCTCGGGTAGGGAAAGACGGCAATCAGAGGGCAGAGCAGGAGGTGGAGGAGAAGAGGAATGGATTTCAAAGCCGCGGGGGGGCAAGGGAATGTTGTCCCTTGGCCTATATAGATGGGACAATGTTAATTATTGTACGATTAAGAATCACGGTTTAAATCCAAGTCTCTGGTATTGTTCTGCGGTCAAAAAGAGGAGTTTCAAGTGATGAGTGTTGTGGGTTTGGTTAAGTGTGACGTTGGGAAGTAAAGTGCAAAAGTGGCGTGCAGCCGCACATGAGGGGATGTGCATGTTCCGCATGGCAGTGTAGGATCCTCGTGTAACAATGAGCTAGAGGTGTGCTGATTGGTGATGGTGTTGGTTGATGGTGGAGGAAGTGAATAGGATGTGTATTCTGGCAGATGGATGGCGGTTATGTTCCAACAACGTAGTAGGTATATTGGTTCGCGTTTGACTACACGCAACGACTTTGTAGTAGATGTGTGTGTAGGGTATGTTAACGGGGTTAGATTGGTAGATTTGAGGAAGAGTATCTACTATGTTACCACTGACAGACGATCTAGCAAAGGCCCATGTTAAGCATAATCTCTGGTTATGGCCCAATTACTTTTGAAACTGAAGCGGTATGATTGCTCCAGAGTATGCCAGACGCAATTTAGTATCACCCATCTCGAATGCCAAACCACCAACCAATCTCGGCAACGGTACGACCCGAGGCACTTGAGGTCAACCCACTGGACTAGTCGATGACTCAGCTTCTCAAACCAGTCCTCTCATCTATCTAACACGCACCTCCTTGCACGCATCTCGTCTCACTTCTTCCCTTTAAGCTTCAGCTGCATCACAGAGCCCCCCTGCCGACTCGCAGACAAAGCGCGAACCAACCCTGTCGAGCAGCGCCACGCTTGTCTTTGGGGTGGGCGGTTGGCCGTCGAAAATAGATGCCCCTGCATGCCAATCAGCCACGGCCAGTGGACCGCCGCCCGCAGATCCGGCATTTGGGCTGGCGCCGGCGGCTACTGGACACTTGCAACCGCTGGCTGCATATTGGCTTTTGCTGGAAACGGTCGCGACAAACGGCCGGCCTGGCGCAATTGAGAAAAAAACTCTGGGGTCAAGAGGCTGATTTAAGGTGATTATGGTGCAGCTCACTGCAGTGGTCCGGTCCATGGGCGCACGCCACAGTCACAGGGCGCTGCTCGGGCCGCCTCCAGAGGATCGACAAGGGGCTACCTTACCAGGACCAGGGCATGTCTGGAGCGCAGCGCTGTAGGATTGTCTGGGTAGCATTCAGTCGCATTCAGCCTCGAGGCTAAGCTCCCCGCGCAAGCTTCGAATTGGTCGGATCCGAGTCGGCGGCGCTTAACCGCGCGATTCCCCCAGCATAGCCTGTCCGCTTGGTGTTTCGCAATGAGGATTGTTTGCCCAACCTGCATGTTGAACCTGCCTTAACAGCTGCGCTGCCATTTTGCCGCACCGGCTGTTTGCGCTGCTCGTGTGTGGTTGTTGGTTCTCACGATGGAGGATCACGGCCTCGGCACTTGGAGTGCGCTGTCTCCGCGGTGCAGCAGAGTCTTTAGAGACTCCGCCCCCGGCTGAGATTCCGTCCGTCATGACCTTTTCTTCTGTCTTGGATTTTTGATTATTGGGTAGCTGGTCGCTCTTCTCTTTCTTGCCTGTGCTCTCGCTCTGTGTTGTCATTTCTTTCACTCGTTTACGCTCTCGTCTCAAAGATGGTTTCCGCCTGGGATATGGTGGCGGAGCGGGTAGCTTCGAATGCTGCGTTCGAGTATGCCGCTGTTGAGCCCGGTACTAGAGAGACCACCAGAGAGACCAACAACAGAGAGACCAACAACAGAGAGACCAACAGAAAGATGACCAACAGAAGGATGACCAACGACAAATACAAGTCACTCCAGACTATCAAAAGTGAGCCCCCCCAAGAGAAACCGATCCCTGGCTGGAAACCCATCTCCCTGTCAACTCCAATCCTCTCCTTCGTCATCTTCATCACCATCCTCCTCGCCGGCGCCATCGAGACTCTCGCCCAGCGAAGCGCAGCACGGGGCGGACTCGCCTTGTCCCCGTCCCTCGACCAAATACCGAAATCCATCAATCTTAGTTATCTCTATGGCCCCACCACCATCGCTGTTCTATACAGCATAATCTGGAGCTGGATCGACCTGGACGCGAAGCGCATGCAGCCGTGGTTTGAGCTGTCCAAGCCCAAGGGCGCCACGGGCGAGGATTCGATCTTTTTGGACTACCAGTACGACTTTGTTGCTTCGGTCCCTTTCAAATCTGCGCGGAGGAAGTAAGAATGAACCCGTCTTGAGTTAGACCGCCATGGGCTGACGATAATCCAGGCACTGGCTTGTCTTCTTTGCAGGGACTTCCATGGTCATTGTTTTCTGGCTACTCACTCCCTTACAGAGTGCTCTAATGGGCACGAGTATTGTTGCCCAGACCGAGCGGGCCACAATAAGCTTACGATCGCAATTACGTCCGTTGCGTGAGCAAGTTGCTCTCATCACCCCCCATTTCCTCACCACGGCCTACGCCATCGAATGGCTTGGCCAGCCGTATCCCCAGTTCGCGACATCCCAGTATGCTTTGCTTCCGTTCTACTTGCAGGATGATCTAGCGCCTGTTTCGGTCGCGTCAAACTGGACGGCTGCAACGACCAAGTTCACAACCGAGCTGAGTTGCTGGCCAGCTGAACATGAGGTAAGCTTTCCCAAGGGAACAATATCCTACGACTTCTTCAACGGTCAAGGATGCAATGCGTCGGTTGAGTTTACCACGTACGGAAATTATTCAATGATTTACGTCGGATATGCACCCAGTGACTACTCGCAGTTTGCTCTGGAGAGTCCCAGTTGTCCCAAGACGGCCAATTCAACCCACCAATTCCTGGCCATTTGGGCTGCTGAAATCGATGGCCCTCGCTTAGACTCAGGAAATCCAGACTTCAACATCACGGCCATCTTCTGCCAACCCAAGTATTACAAACAGCAGGTGCTTGTGACACTGGAATCAGGAGATCTCAGGCCCATAGATGATTCCATTCAGGCTTTATCCCCGCGGGAACTTTTGACCGAGGAGGAATTCAACTCCACCGCGTTCGAATATCTTCTTGCGAATGGAATGTCTGAAAGCGACATCACGAGGGATTATCCCTTCAACAGTGTCACCGAGCAACTCCCGCTTCTCGAAAATGCCACTCTCTCTCGTCCCATCTCCAACATGGTCGGCTTTGCTTTGGCAGGGCAGAGTGCGCCTCTCGTCGACTATTCTTCCCCAGAAAAACTTGCGAGCATTTACCATGATGCTCACCAACACCTGTTTTCTGTTGCCATTGACGACTTGCTCACCAACAGCACAACAATGACCAACCGCACGGCGTCGGTCGACTTTTTCCTCTACGGCGTGGTGGTTAGTAGGGTTTTCGCAACGACTGTTGAATGCCTACTGGGCGTCGTCGCGGTTTTCACTGCTCTTGTACTGTGGTTTAGTCGTACCGCACTGAGCAATTTGCCGAAGAATCCCTCCACTTTGGGGAGATATCTCGACCTCTTTCGACACAGCCCCGAGCTCCTTCATTCATTCCGATCGATGGACAACACCAATGAGAAATACACCGTGGAACAGTTCCGAAAGGACGAATTCCAGCTGTTTTATGATCGCTCCTCGAAGCGTACCAATGTCACTATTAATAAGATCCAGTCAGACGTGCCGAAATCGATTGGGGAGAACCTGAAGCCCCAAAAGGGCTACTACACACCCGTGAAGCCGTGGATTCTGAGGAGATGGACCGGGTCTCTCTTTATTATCGTTCTTGTCGCAGGAATCGCTGGCCTCTCCTACCTGAAACTGCAGGAAAAGAAGCTAGGTGGTAAGCAGCTTTGCAATTGTTGAACGGTATAACGGCTAATCAATCTAGGGCTCCAACGTCCATCTGAAAACTTTGAGGTTTTGCAACTCCTGACAAACTACGTTCCAACGATATTCGCCACCTTGATCGAACCCCTATGGGTCCTCTTGAACAGGATGCTCTGCGTGCTGCAGCCGTTCAAGGATCTCTGGGAAGGGAGCGCACGATCATCCGTCTCGATGGACGCCACGTATACTTCTGTCCCGCCCCAGCTCGTCATGTGGAGGGCCATCAAGTCCCGCCATTTCATTCTCGCCCTGGTATGCCTAATGGCTCTCCTCGCCAACGTGCTTGCCGTTGGCCTTGGTTCCTTGTTCAACGAAGCACCTACAACGGCAACGTACCAAGAGGTTATACAACCAGCTTTCGCGCCCCGGTTTGACAACGATACAATCTACAGTTTTGAGGATTACCTCTTCGACAACAACAACGACGCGCTCAAGTACCAAAACCACTTTTACGTCGCCATGGCCAACATGGTATCTGGAACGGCCTTGCCTCCATGGGTATCCAAGGACTACTTCTTCCAGCGGTATGACCTACCTGACTCTGACAAGACTGCAGTGGGAGATACATACAATGTGACGAGCCGGGGATTCGGACTCAATGGAAATTGCACCGCGGTATCTGCTTTCGAGGTGTCAGCTGACCTGGATTACACATGGCGGGACGGTACTTGCCCAAATCTCATTGAAAGAGCCGCTGGGAGAATGCGAGACTCTTTCCAGCCGGATGGCCAGGAAGGCCCAGCAGGAATCGAGTGCGTCTTCACTGCGAGCGGCTCGACCATTCCTGAAATTTGCGACGTGCCCCTGACCATGGGGTGGGCTCGTTCTGCCAATCTGACCGACGACGACGAGCCGATGGAAGCCAGCTTTGTTCTATGCGAGCCGATCTTTGAGACGGCCATGTTTAACCTCACGATTGACTCTTCCGGGCATGTTCTTTCGTATCAGAAGACAAGCGATCTGGAGACGACCTTGGGTTATGCCGAGTCAAAAGACCACACGGACGTCATGATTGAGAACTACAATCATCAATGGGACTTATACGCACCCGATTGGCACAATGACACGGTGTCACGCGACTGGATGAACTATTTTATATTCCTCTCGACAGGCTCACGGGACGCTTTGGATCCAACATTGTCCACACCTGATCCCGAAGAGCTCAGGCCGGTAGTGGAAGACATGTACCGTCGGCTTTTCCCCATCTTTCTGAGCTTGAATGAGCACTTCCTCGACCACACGAACATGGGCCGGTCCATCACAACCACTCGAAGCACCAGCGAGACCAGAATATTCATGGAAGACATCTCATTCATCATCACCATCGTTATTCTTGGCATGAACACGGTCGTGGCAACGATTTTCTATATCCGCGCCGTTGCATTCGTCTTACCGCGCATGCCGACCACGCTCGGTTCGATCCTGGCGTACATTGCCCCGAGCCGACTCGCAAGTCCTACCCTGGAACAGGAGAAGGACAAGGAAAGTCGGACATTTAGTTTCGGAAGATATATCGGTGTCGATGGGGATGTGCACATTGGTGTTGAGATGGATCCTTATGTTGTCCGCGTAGATCCAGCATCCCTAAGGAGCGGGAATGGCTTTTTCAGTCGGATGCGTACTCGCTTTTCCCCTCCTACGCATGAGCCAGTTAGAAGCGGGCCGTGGATATGAGTGCAGGAATTGTAAAATAGATGAATAGGTAATGGTTATGATACCCAGCCAGAAAGAATTTTAATAACAGCGAGATACTTTAAACAAAGCCAAGGGGCGAGCAGTGGTTAAGCTGGTAGCGAATGTTTATTGAAATGTGTAAAAGTACAGCGAGTCTCGAAAATGAATCGAGCTCGGATCTGAAAGAAAGTAAATATAAATCTGAGAAGATGTCGTTTGACAGTGTCCAAGCCCAATCCTACGCCCCATTTCCCGTACCCTAGATCCCTCCCCAACCCAGAAAGATTTTTTGTCTAGAATGAAATTTATCCACGAATGCGGAGAGAGCGGCGCATCTGCGAAATGCCTCTCTTGGCAGACAGCGCAATGTCAGCGGACTGACCAGGAGTGCAGCTCACGCCGTCGGAAAGAGCCTGGGCCGCAGTCCAAGCACCACTGGCACAGCGCTGGAATGAAGTGCCGCCAATGCAGTTCCACTCGCCCTCGGTAGTGCAGGCAGTACCAGCGGTGAAGGTCTCACCAGAGCTGGAGCCATCACCGGAACCACCACCGGAGACGGGGGTGGAAGTGGCCACAGGAGCCTCGGTAGCAACAGCAGTCGTAGCAACCGGAGCAACGGTGGTAGCAGCTGGGGCCTCAGAGACGGTAGCGGCTGGGGCATCAGAGACGGTGATGAAGACGCCTCCAGGGGCGGTCGCAGAGCTGCCGCTGCCACCGCCATTGGCGGGAGCGGCGGTGGTGGCAGGAGTAGCAGCAGTGGTGGTGGCAGCCGGAGCGTTGGTAGCGGTGGCAGAGCTACCGCCGCCACTGCCAGCTGCGCATCCAGTACCGGTGGGAGCAGCGAAAGCATCAGTAGAGCCATTGAGTTTCTCTACTTCACTTCCAGCGTTGGGGAACTCGACATCGGTATCGGACACAGTGCCGCAGCCGTTGCCGATGTTGGCAGTGAACATATCGGGGAGAGAGCTAAGGTGGTCGGCGGAGCCACCTGAGCCAGTGACGGTGAGAGGAGCGCAGTTCATGTACATTTCGCGGTTGCCGACCTTGTTGAACCAAGTCCAAGCGAGGGTGTAGTTGCCAGAAACGAGCTCCTTCGGGACGGTGAAGTCATAAGTGTAAGGGTCCACGGCGTTGGCGTCGTCTCCAATGTTTCCTGCTTCGCCCTGAGCAGGGCAGCCGCCCTCGATGGACTTGATGACCTTCCAGACGGAGTTCGCGTCGGGTGCAAGGTCTGTGGTAACTGAAATTTGGCAAGATCCACCACCGTGGACGGCAGTACCAACGAAGGAGAGCTTTTGGGTGCTTCCCTGAGCGTAGACATTGCTGGCTCCCTGAGCGTCATAGACGCCATCTCGTTGCTTGCAGGGGAAGTCGGAACCGCTGGCATCGAGGGGCGAGTTGTTCAGGTTGGACTTGCCATAGGGGACGGGGTTGCTGATCATCATGTGGGCACTGGCAACGGAGGCCAGGCCAGCAAGAAGGAACGTCTTGGAGAACATGTTGAAGGATGGTGAAATCTAAACGTTCCAGACGATAGATGTGGTAATTGCAGTGAGATTGTCGTCAAGACAGATGTCGAGTAGAAGTCGACGTGGTGGTATCACAAAAGATGGTAGATAGATAATGCGCCAGGCAATACTGTGAAGTGAGTTCTGAAAGTGAAAAGAAGAAAGGACTAGCCTTTGAAAAAGAGAAGAAGAAGGAATGGAAGGTCGTGAAGACTATCTCACTGAAAGGATGGACTGTGGACTTGAAGGCCTGAAGAACAAAAAAGACGATTGAGGGTGGTGATGGGGACGTCTTATATGGACTGGAATCCATCCCAAGGACTGGACATCGGATGCCCACAGGAGAGACTGACTAGGGTCAAAGAGAAAGGGGAGTCCGACACGAGCTGCAGGAACAAGCGCTATCCCTGGAAGTGAGTGCATCGATTGTCACTGGGGGTGAGCTATAGCCCCTTCAGGACAAGGGAGAGACAAGTTCTGAATACCTGGCCAGTCAGGTACGGGCATCGCCCTTTGACAAAGACGTTTCGAAGCAGCGCGGAAGGCCCAGGGGTATGCGGGTCAAGGACGATGTGCAGCAAACGGCAGGTGATAGGCTGGCTGCATTGTTTCAAGGCGATTTGGTCACCAGTAGTAGTGTGAGCGGGCTTGGTCCAGGACGGCCAGAGCTCAGACGGCGTTCAGACCCCTGGCTAATGCGGACTGCGGAGGCGTTTGCAGGGTCCAGGAAGGATACTGCCGAACAGGACCTGCGGGAGAGGGAGGCGTGGCCTAATTACCCTACCAGCGCAATGGGGGGATGGGGCATGACGGGCTCATGCAGATCTGCCAGGTCCCTGTCGTGCTGGATTGGCCTCCGTGAGCTCTAGTGTAACACCCATTTTTATTCGCTTGCTTGCAAGGCCGTCAGCTTAGCGTAGGCCGCCAATCGTGGCGAAGACCTGAGCGCGGTGTACAAAGAACGGAGGTCGGCACAATGCACAGAGTAGGGCATGAGATCCATGTGGCGTGGTTGGTTCTTGGTGTGCGTTGACATCTGTGGCCAGGATGGCGGCCGCCACTGGCCGCCAATCAGACCCGGCCGAACCGATTACTCGGAATCGGAGTCCGCCATACGGAGTAAATGGAGACAACATGACGGACCTTCATGGGCCTTCATGCGGCCAGTGGCTCGTCCAGGCTTCTCGTGCGCTACCGTGCTAGGGTTGACGGACGGCTTCGCGGCAGGCCCCAGCATTGGGTTCCAGTTCAGTTGCCGTCTCATCCTACCGAGTACTTGCCTTTGTCAGAACAGAACATTGCAGAGGAGACTGACGGGCTGGGATTGCATGTTTGCTCTTGGATCCACGTTTGAGTCAAAGCTGATGCAAATCCTTTGCTATGCCTTTGGCCTTGCCGTATCCGCTCGCCATCGCCATCGCCGGCATACAGCCCCATGACAGTGGAGTCCGATGCCATTCAGGGAATCCATTCAGGGAATCAGGGGTAATAAGCCACGGGACAGGGGTTCAGGGGCTGGCTGGCTGGCTGGGACGGGTCGGGGCAGCCGATCCACTGGATCTGGAATAGTCAAAACTGCCGCCCACCAGTCGTTCGTCGAGATGCTGCCAAGCCTCAGACATTGTCGACTGTGAGACGACACTGGGGTCCAAAGAAGGAAAGTTCTTGACCCGGGGGAAAACATGGCGTGCGTGCCGCGTGTAGGCTGAGTCAATATTCGTGCCGTAGCCGGACGTATGTACGAATGCGTGCAGTTTTTTTTCGCATTGGTCCTGTCGCCGTTCGCGATGGACTGTGGCTCAGATCCGAACAATGCCAGCCACAGTCAATGCTCGCTGGAGACCAGTCGTATTGGCGGGGATATGCTTAGTAGATCTCGGAGACGTCGCTCTGAGCCTACATCTGGACATGGCTTCCTTGGAGGCCTGGCACAATGACACTGGACCACGGGTCTGGGCAACTCCCTATTTTGGGTGCTCAAGGGCTTTTGGCGCCTTGCCGAGGCTGACTGCGTCGGGAGGAGAAGCTGACAGCCTGCGATCCAGATGACGACAAGTATAGCGACTCGTGTTTGTGGTGAAACCGGGCCAGTTTCATAGACGTCCGTTGTCTTTTGGGCTGTCACCTGCCGGAAACAGCCATCCGTTGTTTCCTGGGCGGGTGCAGTGACATCTACGGCGATGGCCACGACCACGACTCGTTAACGCGTTTGTCGCGCCGGCTGTATCACGGCTGCATCGCGGCTTGCAATGGTTGGCGTTGTGATGACAAGAGATCGTGATGGTGGAGTTTGTTTGGTTTGGGTTCCGTGCGTAGCCGCCCGGAGAGGCAACCGACTGACTCCCGCTGACTCTTTTCTCCTGACGTGGCGGGTGGCAGGTGCGCAATTGACCGCCAGTTGCAAGTGCGCAGCGCCTGTAGCGGCCCCCAGCTCGCCAGTTTAGGGAGCTTCCCAGGCAGCCACTCCGGCGCCGCTGGGCCGTTAGCGTCTACTGCTACCGCGATCTTTGGTGCAACCGCCAGGCCATCCAATTGACCTTTGAGAATCACCCCTGTTTGCGCCCTGTGTGACACCGAAATGCTGATATTCCCCGAAGCTGGTTTTTGTTTGGCCGTTTCTGCTCTCTAGGACTTCTGTAGAAGGTAATATCAGCCTAGGTCTGGCCCAGCTGGATTCTACTCCATACCAAGTGTGATCCCAATTCGAAGGGAATTCCTTTTACGGATAGCTCCAATAGTCGCGTGAGAATAGTCGCCTACGTCGGTCCCGACTCTCACCTTCAGCTGCTGACAGGCATCGCAAGACTTTCATCACTTCCTTCCGGCGGCCGCCGCTAGATCGGTGCTGGAGGGATATAGACACCACGCTGTGGCGTGATGGGACGACTCGTCGGACCTGTCGTTCATCCCCGCCGGGGCCAGGAGACCAGATGACGGGCCGATGTGGCAACCCAAGAGCATGAACCAGGATACTTTCGCTGGTGAGGCACGAAAGGAAAGAAAAACGCTCTGTCCACGTACTCCCAGCGATGCTGCATGAAGCCTTGGGTGGAGAGGGCGAGCACCGACCAGCCTTCTGTAGTATTCTTGGTGGAGCTGCGAAGATCTGCCCGACTTTCTTGGCCTCTGACTCTCTGTTTCCCACCTTAGATCAAACATACCATTGACAAGGGCGGCTATAACAAGTACGAGTCGACTGCCACCATGAAACATCGTCCCCGCTTGCGACGTACCCCAGAGAATTTTCCTCGACTCTTTTTGGCCACCTTACGTACGGTCTTGACAGTGGTTCTCAGCCCCATTACAGATAGATTAAACATGCGCTCTGTGCTTTCGTTGTTTGAGATCGACGGTAATCCTGAGGCCAAGGCCAGAGCTCTTTTCTGTAACGAATTATAATTAGACACTCAATGTTGCTTTCATCTTCCTGCAGGATTCGCCGCGACGTTTCTACGGTCGCAGCATTCAAAGCGAATTGCTGACAATCGTAACATTAGCGATGGCGACGACCTGATTCTGCTGCTCAAAGGAAGTGGGCTAGCTCTTCAGGTTTGCGACCCGACACACTAGTCATGTCCCAGTGACAACAATATGCGTGGCGAACTAAAAACCAACCACCACGACGTCTTTCTAGAGTATTCTATACTTTTCACCTGCTTGTGGATAACTTGCTACCGGTCGCTTGGTTTGGAGGGGTACCGTTCTTTGACTGATGGCTGGGCCATTCTTTGACAGATGGTTGGCACGCGCACGATTGGAAACTGTTGGGGCTTGCGGTGACATAAAAAAGTCTTTCATATCTATCTACTCTGCGTGGCAGCTGGCACTTGAAACTTTTGCCTTTTATCCGCTCTATTGGCGTCGTTGACATTTAAACACCCCTCACTGCCAACCCAAGACGGCTTTCTTTCATGCGGTCATATCGGCAACTGACTCATCCGGAGCCGGCGCTTGGAGAGTTGGTCAAACGGAATTGTCAACGATGGCCTTATCCTCGGGGTCTGGGTCAAAAGTATCAGTGAACGTGCTTTAACTGGCGGGGGCAGAGTAAGAGTCCTGACCTTGATCCGATTTCCACTCACCCCGAGTCCAGTAGGCCATCTTCTCGGCGCGGAACTCGGCATAGTCCCATTCCTTCTTCTCCAGACAATCGGGCTGGTTGAAGACGTATACCGACGTCTCTTTGTGCTCATCACCACTGGTAGTGTCGCCATCCTTTTTCACAAGCTTGACCTTGACATTCTCTCTGTTATAGTCTGAACCCTCAAAGTAGTCGAGCTTCTCGATGTTGGCGTCAGTCAGCCCCGTGGCGTAGATGCCCAAAACTGTGTGCCCCTCCTCGGCGATGATGCCAGGATAGTCGGCGTACTGGACGCGATGGCGACAGTATCCATCCAATATGGCTGGCGTAAAGGTGTGCATGTCTTTGATGGCTTGAGGAGGGTTCTTGTCTCCGTAGCAGACACTGAAGAAGACCTCGGGGGCCATCTGCTGTCAGTTAGTACTGCGGTGTCACATAACATGGGGATATGAGTCTTACTAGTGTTCCTGTGAGATGAGTTAGTACAAAAATCCACAAAGCGATACAGTGAGCGAGACTGGGACATACCATAAAAGAAGGCGGTAAACTCTCCACTCATCTTGTTCTCGGATCTGGTGTAGTGGTTCGAACCGGTAAGGTAAACGCTTGAAGCTGAGCCTTATTGCTCTGGAATCAGACCTGAAGTTCGTGGTAGGTGATGATGTAGAAGAAGAGTCCGTCTTAATGAGAAAACTGTGTAGAAATAGGAATCAAAGGCTGTGCAATCAGGGCAGTTCGGGAAATCAAGGTAGTTTAGGCAATCAGGGCAGTTTAGGCATTCAGGGTAGCTTAGGCAATCAGGGTTGTTTAACTGCTTACCTATGATTGGGAAGCTATCCGTGAGGGGGATGAGCGGGATTCGTCTCCACCCGTGGTGTTTGGTGGGGCACTTCAACGTCCTGTACTACGTAGTACGTCCGTTTCTTGATGGCCACGTGAGTGTAAACAACAGGCAGAAGTTTTCAAGGCAGAAATATCTCCTGATACACAGCGAGTTGGAGGCGAACTTATAGGTCTCGCAGACGCCTTCTTTCAGTGATTCGCGGCATCTTTCAGTGATTCGCGGCACTGATAGATGCCTTTGTCTCCTGAAGCGCAATTGGTCCACGATAAGATAAGATAAGATATGAACTCGTGAGTGGAAGCTCCTAGGCAACTCGCACGCATAGAGCCCCACTCAGGCAGCCAGCCTGCAGGGGCTAGTGTCGGAACAATATTCTTACGTCGCCTAGCGCAAGTGGAATTGGCGGCTGCGGTCCCCAGATTCGATGTTCTCTAATTTTCAACGCGAGGCGACCTTCACGTCTACCTGGAAATCCGCCGCGCCGAAGCCCTTGAAATACCAAGGCCACACCTGCATTCACTTCACCCCCCGAACCCAACTTTCGCCATCGACATATCCGAACCGAAAACCACTCCAGTCATCGTCGGCCGAACTATCCCCATCGATTCCCCCGTTTCCGAAGCAGCGCAGGCTTTCGCGACAGCTTCGCGAAGCACTAGCTCTGAAGCTATTCCCCCCGAACGTTAGGGGTCACCACCACGTCGACCCTCCCGCGGATGGAAGGGAGCGTCGCGTCGTGTGGACGCCAATAATGCAGCCATGTCGGGAACCACTATTGACGATGTCGTAAAGCGACTCAGCACACCCGAAATAGGTACGGACACCCAGTCGTTCGCACACCCCACCATGTCTTGTGTCGCAATATCTCCACCGTGGTGTTTCGCTTACTCTGTATTATCCAGATGTCCGGCTCAAGTTGGAAGCCGCAACGACATTGCGTGACAGCTTGGATCACTACACTAGTGGCCCTATTTACCCTCCATTCCTCAAGCGATTAATGCCAATCTTCATAACCATTCTCAGAGGACCATGTACTTTTCAAAGCAACTCACCGGAGCAGGTCAGTCGGATTAAACGATACACATGAGTTGCTATTGACTGGTTTACAGAGACTCCGCAACTGCATCCTCGAAGTTCTCCACCGATTACCTACCGCGCCTGCGTCCCCCGAACCGTTTGAGCAGTACGCCGAAGAGATTGTCGACCTCTTAATGCAACTTGTTCGTACCGATAACGAGGAGAATGCGACGCTATGTGTCAAAATTACATCAGATATCATGCGCCACCAGCACAAGGTGCTCCAGGGCAAGGTCCAACTGTTCCTGTCCCTCATCCAGGAGCTTTTCGAGCAGATGGAAAAGGTGGTCAGGGAGCAACTCGACAATGCATCCTTGACTGCCCCTTCTCAGTCTGGGGGACCTTCAACACCAGGCAGCTCACAAACGAATTTCCAGTCCCCTAGACCAGGATCACCGGTGGCTTCAGTGACGGAGCTTGGTGCTGACCCCCAGCAACAAAACCGACCGCTCTTGAAGGGCATGCAATCTTTCAAGGTTCTCTCCGAATGCCCGATCATTGTCGTCTCGATTTTCCAGATCTACCGAAATACGGTGCAGCAAAATGTACGGAAATTTGTTCCACTCATCCAGAATGTCTTGTGCCTGCAAGCAGCGGCGCAACAACAAGCGCACGCCGATGCTGCTGCGAGAGGGACCATTCACACTGGGGTGAGCCCCGCGATCAAGAACCGGGCGGCGTTCGGCGACTTCATTACGGCGCAAGTTAAAACGATGAGTTTCCTGGCCTATCTTCTCCGACAATACGCATCGCAGCTCAACGACTTCTTGCCACGATTGCCAGACATCGTCCTCAGGCTCCTAAAGGACTGTCCTAGGGAGAAGTCCGGTACCAGGAAAGAGCTGATTGTCGCAATTCGGCACATCATCAACTACAACTTCCGAAAGATCTTCATTCCCAAGATTGACGAATTGTTGGATGAGCGAACACTCACTGGTGATGGGCTGACTGTCCACGAGACTATGCGACCGCTGGCTTACAGTATGCTCGCTGATCTTATCCATCATGTCCGCGAATCTTTGAAGCCTGAGCAAATCCGTAAGACCGTCGAGGTCTACACTCGGAACCTGCAAGACAGCTTCCCCGGGACGAGCTTCCAGACCATGAGCGCCAAGCTCCTCCTGAACATGGCTGAGTGTATTGCCAAATTGCCTAACAAGGCCGATGCACGATACTACCTACTCATGATTCTAAACGCGATCGCCGACAAGTTCGCTTCCATGAACCGAAATTACCCCAACGCCGTGAAGCTCTCGAAGCTCTTCCACGAGCAACTTGCAGCCGGGACTACCGAAACATACCTTGCGGACAAGGATTACCCACCTGACTGGGACGAGACCGACATTTTTACTGCTGTTCCGATCAAAACCACAAATCCCCGCGACAGGGGCGCAGACCCAGTGGTCGACAACAAATTTCTCTTCCGAAACCTGATGACGGGTCTCAAGAACACCTTCTATCAGCTGAGGACGTGTAATGTTGGCACCACGGTTGACCTTCAGAATGCCCCTACGCACTGGCAGGAGGTATCTTACGGGTTCACTGCCGAGGAGGCCAAGGTCATCGTTAAGCTGTTCCGAGAGGGAGCCTACGTCTTCAGATATTACGAGATTGAGAAGCCCGCTGCAGAGTCACAGTACATGTCACCAGTGGAGTACATGGCGAACTTCTACATGGTCTCGAGCAGCAAAGAAGAAAAGGACCTACTCGAGAGCTTTGCGACCGTCTTTCATGCCATCGACCCAGCCACTTTCCATGAGGTTTTCCAGCAGGAGATCCCCCGACTTTACGAAATGATCTTTGAGCATACTGCATTGTTGCACATCCCCCAGTTTTTCCTTGCGAGCGAGGCAACTTCGCCTAGCTTTTGCGGGATGCTGCTCCAATTCCTCATGGAGCGGATAGACCAAGTGGGCTCGGCGGATGTACACAAGTCCTCGATCCTGCTGAGACTCTTCAAGTTGGCATTTATGGCGGTCACGTTGTTTGCTGGTCAGAACGAGCAGGTCTTGTTGCCACATGTTGTCAGCATTGTCACACAATCCATCGAGCTGTCAACAAAGGCTGAGGAGCCTATGAACTACTTCCTCCTGCTGCGCTCACTGTTCCGCAGCATCGGCGGTGGTAAGTTCGAACAGTTGTACAAGCAGATTCTCCCCCTTCTCGAGATGCTCTTGGATGTTCTGAACAACCTCCTCATGGCGGCGCGAAAGCCCGCAGAGCGTGACCTGTATGTAGAGCTCTGCCTCACAGTTCCGGCTCGTCTAAGTCATCTCTTGCCGCACCTGAGCTTCTTGATGCGTCCATTAGTCGTCGCCCTGCGGGCCGGCACGGATCTCGTTGGACAGGGATTGCGAACGCTTGAGCTCTGTGTTGATAACCTCACGGCCGACTACCTCGACCCTATCATGGCGCCCGTGATCGACGAACTGATGACAGCCCTGTTTGACCATCTGAAGCCACATCCCTATAGCCATTTCCATGCTCACACAACAATGAGAATCCTTGGCAAGCTTGGCGGCAGGAACCGCAAATTCATGACTGGTGCTCTGCCACTCGGCTACAAGGAATACGCGGACGACCCTTCAAGCTTCGACCTGAGACTGATCGGTTCAAAGAAAGACCGAGCATTCCCTGCCGAGATGGGTATCGATTCCGCCATCCAGAAGTTGATGGAGGTTCCAAAGTCCGGGAAGAATAACCAGAACCGGCAGTACGATGGGCATTACAAGAAGCAGGCCCTTCACTTGATCAAGTCGCAATTGAAGCTGCGAATCGGATTCGATCAGCTGCCTGAAGATTTCCCCAAACTCCTGCGCCTGCAAGCTCAAGATTTCCTGGCTCGCAAGCTTGATATTAACCTCGCCAGTTTCGAGGTTTCTGATCGAGAGCGGTCAATTCCGAAGAAGGACGGAGAGGATCTGAATGTGAAACGATTACTGAAGGCCATCATGTTTGCCGAGTCGATACCCGAGTTCAAAGAGGAAGCGAACACATTTCTCCACAACATTTGCAAACACTTTGCAATCATTGAAGTCGGCCGTGCTTTGGTTGACCTGAAGAGGACTTTCAGCCCATTCGATCCCTTGGCTGGTGAAGGCCCCTTGCATATCGACACTCGGAATCTTTCAGATGCTATTGTCGAGTGTCTCTCATCGGATCACCCGGATGTGCGCGAGTCAGCCCAAGGCGCTATTCGGGAAATGCACACCTGCATCGCCACCATCTTGGGCTCAGAGACCGGTGTCGGGCGACTTCCATTCTTTGGCCATCTCAGCAGCACATTCTGTCATACCTGTTATGAAGAAGAATGGTTCACCAAGACGGGCGGAAGCTTGGGCATAAACTTCTTGCTTACGGAGCTCGATCTGGGCGATGCCTGGGTAGCATCCAAGCAAACCGAGTTCATCCGGGCGCTCATGTACGTCATCAAGGACATGCCCCAAGACCTCCCAGAGAAAACAAGGTGTCTAGCTCAGACCAGTCTTGAGGTTCTGCTCAAACGCATCACAAAGAACATCAAGAAGGAAGACGCACTGCCGATCCAGCAACAACAAGGCCAGCCTCAGGTAAAGCAGCCTCGCCTCGCCCAGATCTGCATGCAATTCAACAACGAGCTGTCCCACATGAACAAGCACGTCCGCGAGACTGCCAAACGATCTTTGGAACTCATCGCCAAGGCCGCTGGTTGTGAGGTCTGGGAGCTCATCGACCCCTACAAGGATCGGTTCCTGCAGCCCATCTTCGCCAAGCCCCTGCGTGCTCTGCCATTTGCAATTCAGATCGGATACATCAACGCCATGTCGTACCACATGAGCATCAAGAGTGATTGGGTTACTTTTGATGAGAATTTGAACCGGTTGTTGATGGAGTCTTTGGCCTTGGCTGATGCCAGTGACGAATCGCTTGCCAACAAGCCTGCTGAATTCCGCACCCATGAGCACATTGTCAACCTCCGCGTGTCATGCATTGGACTACTCAGCACCGCGATGACTTTCGAGGAATTCGCCAACACTCCGACAAAGGGCAAGATTCTGTCGGTCTTCTTCAAGTGCTTGTACACCGAGTCCAAACCCACCATCACAGCAGCAAACGATGCATTGAAGTCAGTCTTGGCAGTGGATAGGCGACTGCCCAAGGATCTGCTCCAAGGAGGTCTTCGCCCTGTGCTTCAGAGCCTCTCAGACCCGAAACGTCTCAGCACAGCCGGACTCGATAATCTCTCGAGATTGTTGAAGCTACTTACGAGCTACTTTAAAGTCGAGATTGGTGCTCGCCTGCTTGACCAGATTGACTCCATTGTGGACCCAACCACCATGGAGCAAATTTCCTTCACCTTCTTCGACCAACAGCCCCAGATGAGAGTCATCACCGCAATCCTGAACATCTTCCACTTGCTACCTGCCCCAGCTGAAGCATTCAAGGAGCGTCTCATCGATTGCTTCCTTGGCCTGGAAGACAAGCTTCGCAGAACTCAGCTGAGTCCATTCCGCCTCCCGATATATAGGTACCTCAACCGATATCCCAAGGAGATTTGGGCACATCTACTCGGGAAGGTTGAGGACCTCAAGTACGGTCGATTCTTGGCCCAGGTTCTCTGCCACCCGGACAGTAGTCCTCTGCGAGATGTTGCTGTCGAGAATGTGGAGGGCCTGATCAACCGATGCAATGAAGTCATGGCTCAGAATAATGAGGCCAAGTTTGTTGTTATCATCAACACGATCCATATTCTTGACTCCCTCACCCAGTTTTCTGATAGCTGGATGGACAAGAAGGAGAGCATTGCTTGGCTCAAGAACATTGGCAAGATCCTCGAGAACTCTCTCCGACAGCATACCCTGCCAGGCTATCTTCGACTGCCTGCGTACCAGGGTGCTGAACAGGTGATGGCTGTCCTCGTCAAGTCCCTCGAGAGGTCCCCTAAAGACCTTGACGCTCTCTTTAGCTTGATCGAGATGGTCACTGCCGAGGATCTTCGAATGAGCCACGTTCTGCTCTCATACATTTATAATAAGATTATCTGCAGCGATGCTGTGGATTTCTGGAAGGTCACTCTCCTGCGATGTTTGGACGCGTATGCCGGCAAAGTCGTATCGAACAAGACAAAGCACTTCTTGTTGCACTACATTGTCAACCCCATTGTCGCTATGGATGTCATGCGCAACTGGAACAACTCGGACCAGAACAAGACTCCCAGGCTCATGGATCGCGCCGTCATTGACGCTGTGAGCAGTAAGATCTGGAAGGTTCACCCTGAGATGACGATGGATGACCAGAGCCAACCTGGCATTGATCACACTCGGTTCGAGGTGTTGCAACTTTCTGCAATGCTTGTGAAGTACTACCATACCACTCTCCAAGAGGCACGAAAGGACATCATCAAATTCGGCTGGACTTTCATTCGGCTGGATGATGTCATCAACAAGCATGCTGCCTACGTCGTCATTGGCTACTTCATCGCTCACTATGAAACACCCTCTAAGATTGTCACACAGGTCTATCTGTCACTTCTCAAGGCGAACCAAAACGAGGGTCGTGCTTTGGTGACCCAAGCTCTGGAGTTGATTGCGCCGGTCCTGCCCAAGAGGTGTGGAACTGGCCCGAATGAACGCAATGCCCCTTGGGCCGTGGCTCCTCGCCGCATTCTTGCCGACGAAGGACAGAATGTTCAGCAGATGACTAGCATTTTCCACTTTCTCGTTAAGCATCCTGAACTGTTCTTCGAAGCTCGAGACAAGTACATCATGTTGATCATTAGCTCCTTGCGAAAGGTCGCCGCTCCCCAAAATGCTTCCCACGAGAGTAAGAGGCTCGCTCTTAACATGATGTGGCTTATTTGGACGTGGGAAGAATGGCGGGTCGAAGGGCGAAAGTCGCCTCACGTCAAGTCTCGGTCGCTCTCTGAATCTCCCAACACGAAGAAGAGAAAGCTTGAGAGCGACATCCCAACCTCGTCTCCCCCTGTGCCGAGACAGATGGAACGAGCCGAGTACCAGATTCCTCCTGGCTTCCGGCAGAAGATGATCAAGTACCTCATAGAGTTTATCGCACAACTCAACGAACGATATGTCCTGCCCTCCGCCAAACCCCGAGACCAGGCGATTTCACCTATCCCTTCTCCCCCCCCTGTTGTGACGGAGCTTTGCAAGAAGGCCATGGCACTTCTTCACAACCTGGTCCAGCCTCAGTACTGGGGTGACCTGGACCTGGACCTGTTCCCCAACGTGACCGATGTCATTTTGGCCAGCGAGAAAACGCAGAACATTCTCAATGCTGACCCTACCGACAAGGAGAAGTACGACGAAAAGTTCCTCACCAACATCATCAACACTCTTCAAGTTGTGCGAATTATTTTGAACTCCAAGTCGGACGACTGGATCCAGAAGAATATGCCCGCAATCCAGAAGGTGCTTGAAAAGTGCCTCAAGTCGGAGAATCCTGAGATTCAGGATTGTCTACACCTTTCTGATAAGAAGTACGACGAAAATCGTGATCTTCGATCTATCATCAAGCGCGTCCTCGACTCCGTACCAGATGACACTCCCATGGAAGACGGCGATGCTGAAGGTGAAGCTGAGGCGCAAACCTCGGAGATCGTTGCCTATCTCTCACAGCTTGCCACGGAGGCCATGAATGGGAATAATTACGTATCAGGTGTCAACATGCTTTGGTCCCTTGGGAACCGCAAGCCGACTGTCATTGACCAGCACATTCTGTCGCTCATGAAAGCTCTTCAGAGCAAGCACGCGCGAGAGCATGTACAGCACTACAATGCTGTTGCAAACCAGGCTGCAGGCATGAACCCGCGAACGCAGGACCCTGCCACCCCGACAGGAGAAATGTCAGCCTACGACTTGGACATCCAGACCAAACTCATGATCAAGGAAATTCAGGTTGTGGCATTGAGGATGGAAGTCCTAGGCGACAACAGACGGCCTTTCCTCAGTGTCCTCGCAACCTTGGTGGAGAAATCTATGCACATAGAACTGTGCGAAGAAATCCTCAGCATGGTTGAAGGTTGGGTGTTCCGTTCTGAAGGAACTTGGCCTACTCTCAAGGAGAAGACCGCAGTTCTCCATAAGATGCTGTCATTTGAGCACCGCCAGGATTCTACCATGCTCTCCAAGTTCCTCGACCTGGTCATCCGAATCTACGAGGATCCCAAGATTACTCGCACGGAGCTAACAGTTCGCATGGAACATGCGTTCCTTATCGGAACTCGGGCGGCTGACGTCGACATGCGCAACCGCTTCATGGCCATTTTCGACAAGAGTTTGTCCAAGTCTGCCAGTGCTCGCCTCTCCTACATCCTGACTTCACAGAACTGGGATACTCTGGCCGACTCGTACTGGCTTGCGCAAGCCTCCCAACTGTTGCTCGGCGCAGTGGAGACCAATGCTACCATCCAACTTCATCAGGACGACTTCAAGACGATGCCACTCTCTCGATTGTTAACCGTTTTCACGAAAGAAAAAGAGGCCAGGGAACCGTCTATCATGACCGACGACAAGTATGAGGCCTTGATGGCAACCCATCGACGATTCATGACGGAAGTTGGCGATGTCAAGGTTCGGGACATCATCGACCCTTTGATGCAGCTTCAGCACATCGACTCTCAACTGGCCCATCAGCTTTGGGTGACTCTCTTCCCAATTTATTGGTCTGCTACAGCTCGGGATGATCGAATTGATTTGGAACGTGGAATGGTTGCACTCCTTACTAAGGACTACCACAGTCGCCAGATCGATAAGCGCCCCAACGTCGTCCAGTCCCTTATTGAGGGCGCTGCGAGGACCTGGCCAGAGTGCAAGCTGCCCCCGCACGTTCTCAAGTTTGAGGCTAAGACCTACGATGCTTGGTACACTGCATTGGTTCAGCTTGAGAACGCTGCCATTAGGCCTGAGGCCGAATCGGCGACAGTGCGTGAGAGCAACCTCGACGCCCTCGTGGAGTTGTACGCATCGCTCTCAGAGGATGACTTGTTCTACGGTACCTGGCGACGTCGTTGTCAATTCGTGGAAACCAACGCTGCTCTCTCTTACGAGCAAAACGGCATGTGGGATAAGGCCCAGAAGCTGTACGAAAATGCGCAGATCAAGGCTAGGACCGGCGTCATTCCATTTTCGCAAGCTGAATACATGCTATGGGAGGACCACTGGGTGCTATGCGCGCAGAAGCTCCAGCAATGGGAGATTCTCCAAGACTTTGCCAAGCATGAAAACTTCCAGGATCTGCTCCTGGAGTGCGCTTGGAGGAACACGGACATGTGGCAAGAGGAACAGCATCGCGAGGCTCTCGACAACATCATCAAGGGTGTGATGGATGCCCCAACCCCTCGACGCGCTTTCTTCCAGGCTTTCATGTCTCTGCTCAAGTTCCACAATCAACAAGAGGCTGGAACCGAGTTTGCCCGTGTGTGTGATGAGGCTATTCAGTTGTCAATCAGGAAATGGCATCAGCTTCCAACACGATTGACCAATGCCCATATCCCGTTGCTGCAGAACTTCCAGCAGTTGGTAGAGTTGCATGACGCCAGTGTGATTTGCCAGAGTCTCGCCAACACCAATCAGTCCAACTTGGATGTCAAGTCTGGTGAGCTGAAGCTTCTCTTGGGTGCCTGGCGTGACCGATTGCCCAATGTTTGGGATGACATTACGGCTTGGCAGGATTTGGTCACCTGGAGACAACACATCTTCAGTCTGATCAACCAGACCTACCTGCAGTTGCTTCCTCAGCAAGGCCAGCAAGCTGCTGGTGGGGCTTCTTCCTTTGCCTACCGTGGATACCATGAGACAGCTTGGATCATCAACCGATTTGCTCACGTGGCCCGCAAGCACAGCCTACCAGAGGTCTGTATCAGCCAACTGAGCCGAATCTACACTCTGCCCAACATTGAGATCCAGGAGGCCTTCTTGAAGCTACGCGAGCAAGCCAAGTGCCACTACGAGAACCCCGAGGAACTCACTAGTGGTTTGGATGTTATCAACAATACCAACCTCAACTACTTCAGCCCACAGCAGAAGGCCGAATTCTACACGCTGAAGGGAATGTTCCTTGAGAAGCTCAAGCAAAAGGACGAAGCCGACTCGGCTTACGGCACTGCCTTGTTCTTCGATATCGGCGCAGCCAAGGCATGGGCCGAGTGGGGTTACTTCAATGACCGCAAGTTCAAGGATGAACCCACCGACCTGAATGCAGCGAGACAGGCACTGACGTCGTACCTCCAAGCCGCGGGAAGTTACAAGAATGCCAAGACCCGCAAGCTCTTGGCCCGAATCCTCTGGCTCTTGAGCTTGGATGATGCTAAGGGCAGCATCGCAGCGGGCTTCGATGATTTCAAGGGTGAGACGCCAGTGTGGTACTGGATCACATTCATTCCTCAGCTTCTTACTGGCCTCGGCCACAAGGAAGCTCCTCGGGTGTACCAGATCCTCTTGAAGATTGCAAAGTCGTATCCCCAGGCCCTGTACTTCCAGCTCCGCACCAACCGTGAGGATATGCTCGTCATCAAGAAGAACCAAGAGGCCAAGGAGAGGGCGCGACAACGTGCGCAGTCGACTACATCCAGTGGAAAGCCGAGCGCTTCTCCTTCTTTGACCAAGCAGGAGGCTCCCAAGCCCGAGTCTCGACCAGGCACTGCCAACGCAGAGAGTGCCCAAATCAAGACCGAAGGCAACGACGGCGCCGCTGCAACAGCCGTGGCTAATGGCCAGGACCCGACAAAGCCACAGCAGCCTCAGAAGAAGCCCCCGTGGGAGCTTACTGAAGAGATCATGTCGGTGCTCAAGACGGCGTTCCCTCTCCTGGCTCTATCGATGGAGACTATGGTTGATCAAATCCAGAAGCATTTTAAGTGTCCTCCTGATGAAGATGCTTACCGACTCATCGTTGCTCTCTTGAACGATGCGCTTGCATACGTCAGCCGCACGCCTGCCTCATTTGCGAAGAACGTGAAGCTGCCGGCTGCTACCGAAACTAATATTACCCGGTTCGCTGAGACGATACTTCCGAATCACATTAAGAAGTCTTTCGAGGCCGACTTTGTCGACGTTAAGCCAACCATGTACGAGTATATTCACAAGTTGCGACGCTGGCGGAACAAGTTTGAGGAGAAGTTGGATCGACGTGTTACTCGCACTTCCCTCGAGAATTTCTCTCCCCACCTGAGCGAGTTCCGGTACCAGAAGTTTGACGAGGTTGAGATCCCCGGCCAGTACCTGCAACACAAGGATAAGAACCAGGACTTCATCCGAATTGAGCGCTTCCTGCCTAATGTCGATCTCATCCGATCCATCAGTGCCTCTTACCGCAGACTCAAAATGCGTGGCCACGACGGAAGCGTTCACTCTTGGGCGGTCCAACACCCGGCAGCTCGACACTGTCGACGAGAAGAGCGCATTCTGCAGCTTTTCCGACAGCTCAACCAGACGCTCGGCCGCAAGAAGGAGAGCCGACGCCGTGACCTCCAGTTTACGCTGCCGTTGATGGTCCCCTTGGCGCCACACATAAGAATTGTGCAAGAGGACACTTCCTACATTACCTTGCAGGGCGTATATGAAGATCACTGCCGACGCATGGGCATGTCAAAGGACGACCCAGTCCTGTTCACAATGGAGAAGCTGCGCGGTGCGCTCGAGAGCAAGAGCTCGGTAAGTTACCTCGCCCTGATTCCCGTGCCAACAGCGACTAACATGATGCAGAACAAGCCTGAGCAGACTGCCACAGCCCGGTTGGAGGTCTTCAACGCGATCCAAGAGAAATGGGTTCCCTCGACACTGGCTTTGGAGTACTTCCAGAAGGTGTTCCCACAGTTCTCAGAGTTCTGGCTCTTCCGACGCCAGTTCTCATACCAGCTGTCAGCGTTGACATTCATGACGTATATTCTTTACATGCACAACCGCTACCCGCAGAAGATCAACATTGCTCGTGGGTCGGGTAATATCTGGGGATCGGAGTTGATGTCGTATATGAGCGCATCGAAGCCCTTCTTCCACAACCCAGAGCCGGTGCCGTTCCGTTTGACGCCCAACTTGCAGACGCTCATGGGACCACTGGCAACGGAAGGTATCTTTGCGTGCTCCTTGATGGCAATTGCACGATGCTTGACGGAGCCAGAGCACGAGCTAGAGCACGCCCTGACACTGTTTGTGCGTGATGAGATGATCTTCTGGTTCACCAGCAGCCACCGTGTTGGAATGTCGGAGAGCCAGCTCCGGGAGTCTGTTCAAGTCAACAGCGACTCAATTGTCAAGCGGGCAATTAGCCTGGCCCACAGCCCCGTTGGAAACCTACCAGCGAACCAGACTGTCATCGACTCGATTGCTAAGGCGGTGAACCCAATGAACCTGGCGCAGTGTGACGCCTTGTGGATGCCTTACCTGTAAGACGAGGGAGGCCAGGGTGTAGGCAAGGAATATGATGTGTGGCGGAGAGAGGCTAGGAGAGATTTGTGAGGCGGTAGTTATTGGACTTTGAGCAAGGCGTTATGGTATCAAGGCAGATGTATGATATGGCGGATACGTGGCGGGAAGGATGACAACAGTTTGCATGCGAGAGGACCAGCTGGGATTGGTTGACTGGACGATGCAGCATTTATTATTGCACTGTAATTAATACCAAAGGCTCCAAGATGTTTCTTTTTTATGAAGTGTTCGTGTTGGCTGTTGGATATTGTGATGATAGATACGAATTGCTGTTCAATTCCAGGACCCCGCTCGACGATAGACATTGTGCCGCGTGCCTCGGCTCGGCTACACAGGCGGCTACACAGGCGGCTACACACAATGACAACTTTGGCTGCGAGTTCGCGCCGATCAGCGGTGGGTGGGATTGGGGAATTAAGCGTCACACCAGAAACGCCATGTCTCGGATGGATTGAACCCCGCACTGTTGGCCACGAGTTCCGAGACTGAGTTACCTCGGAGGTGACGTCGCCAACTCAGACATTGTTTATAATTCTCCTCATTGGGTTTTTGTTTCTTGGCTGAGTCTGAGTTAGTTCTGATCGCCCAGTTTCTAGTTGTCTGCTTGGACGTGTTGTGAATAACAGCTCTATCTCTCCTATTTTGCCCCAATACCCATCGTCATGGACTTGGAACAGACGCCACGAAAGGTCTGGGAGCACCCGGATCCCCAGAGCACTGCAATGTGGGCGTTTATGCAACAAGCAAATCAGAGACATGGGCTGAATCTCAAGGTATGTTGCCGTTGTAGATCCGCTCCAGGTTTGGAGTTTGTATGGATCCAATTGCACAATGGCTGACGCAATAGCAGACCTTCTCTGACTTGTATGAGTGGTCCTGCGAAAGACGCAGCGACTTCTGGGGCCAGCTTTGGGAAACCCAGAACTATATTCACGAAGGATCCTATACAGAAGTCGTCGACGAGTCCATACCCGTCTCCCAGCTGCCCCGTTGGTTCGCCGGCGTCCGCCTCAACTGGGCCGAGAACCTGCTCTGGACACGGCCTCCCGCCGGAACAAGCGCCCCGGGGGAGCGGTGTACGCTGCACAAAGAAGACGACGCCGTGGCTGTGACTGAAGTGCGTGAGGGCAATACAGAAGTCAGCCATGTGACGTGGGGAGAGCTTCGCCAGCGAGCGGCCCGGTTGGCGGGTGCGTTGGCCGCGAGAGGCGTTGGCAAGGGGGATCGCGTCGTCATGGTTGGCGCCCATGCAACTGAGACGCTGGTTGTGTTCCTGGCTACGGTGTGGTTGGGAGGGATATTCAGTAGCAGCTCGACTGATATGGGAGTTGGAGGCCTGTTGCAGCGGACGGTGCAGATCAATCCCAAGGTATGTGGTGATCTTGTTTTGTGGTGTTGTTCGCAAACTTGGATGAGGAGCACGCTGACGAGGTGGCAGTTTGTCTTTTTTGATGATGGAGCCTTGTACAACGGCAAGATGATCGACTTGAGGACCAAGATTGCCGGTGTGGCCGAGGGCATGAAGCAGTGCGATGGGTTTGAGGGCATCGTTGTCGTTCAGCGCTTCGACGCGCCATACGACACCTCCAACATCGCAAACACGGAGAGATTCGAGTTGTTCCTCTCCGCGTCGCCTCCGTCGCCGCCGCCCATCGTGAGAGTCGACTTCCAAGACCCGATGATCGTCTACTATTCTTCAGGCACCACGGGAACACCCAAGGCCATCGTCCACAGCGTCGGCCCCCTCCTCGTCTCCATGCACAAGGAGGCCGTCCTGCACCGAGACATTGGCCACGAAGACGTCGGCCTGCAGTACACCACAACCGGGTGGATTATGTATCTATCGAGCGTTGGGCGGCTGGTCTTTGGCGGACGCACCATTGTGTACGACGGATCGCCCTTTGTGCCGGACCGCACCGTGCTGCTGCGCATCGCGGACGAGCAAAAGGCCACGGGACTGGGCGTGAGTCCGCGGTGGCTTGGCGAACTGATGAAGCACAACATTGTGCCGCAGAAGGTGGCCGATCTACGAAGCCTGCGGTTTGTAGGGAGCACCGGGATGGTGCTGAAGGAACAAGTGTTCCATTGGTTCTACGACGGAGCGTTCCCGTCCAGCGTGCGGTTAGCGAACTTTTCGGGAGGGACTGATATCGTGAGTCTATGCCTTGGTGTTTATGTCTGCCAAGATGGACGGATTACTTACTGTTTTTTCATCTAGGCCGGCTGCTTCGCCATCGAAAACCCTCTCACACCCATCTACGCCGGCGGATGTCAAGGCGGCAGCCTCGGGACTCGCATCGCCATCTACCCAGCCTCATCATCAGGCGAAGACAGCAGCGATACGGCCATCTCGCCTGTTCCAGACGGCACGGCCGGCGACCTCGTAGCCACATCCGCATTCCCAAACGTGCCGCTGTTCCTCTGGAACGACACCTCCCCGGCGCCGGGAGCCAAGTACCGCGCGGCCTACTTCGCGCGCTTCCCCAACGTCTGGGCGCAGGGCGACTTTGCGGCGATCCACCCGACGACGCGGCATGTCTACATCCTCGGGCGGTCCGACGGCGTGCTGAACCCGAGCGGCGTCCGGTTCGGCAGCGCGGATATCTACGCGGTGCTGGAGCGGTGGTTTGCGGGCGAGGTGGTCGAGAGCCTGTGTGTTGGGCAGCGCAGGCCTTCGGATGCGGATGAACGCGTGGTGCTGTTCTTGTTGATGCGAGAGGGATCTCGGTTGAGGGAGAAGGGGCTGGAGCAGCGGATCAGGGAGAGGATTGCGACTGACCTGACGAAGAGGCATGTGCCGCAGTACATCTTCGAGGTGCCTGATATTCCCGTGAGTTTTTCCCTTTCATATCCAACTACCCTCCCTTTCCGCTTGTTCTCTCATCTGCTTTCGTATTGCTTCACATCAAAGAGCAAAACCACTGACGACGATGACAGACCACGGTCAATGGCAAAAAGGTCGAGTTGCCCGTCAAGCACATCATTTCCGGACAGACCATCAAGCCCAGCGGAACGCTGTTGAACCCGCAGAGCCTGGATTTCTTCTACCAATTCCAGAAGGTTGAAGACGTGGTCAAGGAGCAGGAGGCCAAGGGAGTGCTGGCCAAGCTGTAGTGATGTAACCGTGGTTGCGTTGTTTGAGCTAAGTTGGGTATAATATACACGGCCTGTTGGAATAGAGGCCTTCAGGTCCTTGAACGCCGTCCGTTGTGCCTGCAGTCTGGTGTCTCTACGTGTCGTCTCTCTTGCACTCCAGATGGTGGTTGTCCTCCTCATCTTAGTGCTCCCGTAGTCAAGTCAATCACCGTTATAGCTTCACCTCGGGAAACTCTCCCCCATTGACACCATATCTCCACCCAAGATATCCCAGCATCCCTCCTACGCTTCCAAGTCCCATGCCGCCGACAGCTCCTCTCCATCCCAACCCTCCCGCCGCCGCTCCCACCGCCGCTCCAGCCGCCATGCCAGCAACGCTCCAGTCATCCGTCTCAACCTGCCCCTTGTTCTCCAGCAGCCGCCAGCTGCGATCCTGCCACTCAATCTCCTCGCGGCCCTGCATGCGGCCCGCCGTCATCGCCGCTCCCAGGCCCACGGCGACGAGCGTGCCGGTCGAGGCCGAGCGGAGCAGGCGTGGGGCCAAGGAGAGATCAGTGGCTTTGGGGCGGAAGGCTGGGACCAGCTGGCGCGTGGTGGTGATGCCTGCAGAGATGAGGGCGCTCGCCGTGATGGTGCGGGCGACGACATGGGTGGTGAGAATGGTGCGCGAGAGGGGTTGGTCCTCAGCGTAGGGCGTGTGAGGGAAGAAACGCGACATGATTCAGAGTCGTTTGAGAATAGTATTTGGTGCTTCTGGCCAACGGGATTGGTAGGAAATGAGATGACACCGTCGCTGCGTTTGTATCACCGTCCTCGAGATGTCCTGATGTGTTGCAGTGGTGTGCTACGAACGATGCCAATTGACAATGGTAAGAAAGGAAGTACCACCAAGCTGAACCGAACACGCCACCTCGTAAAGACGCCCCGGCCCTCTTCTTATATAAGAATCCCCCTCTGGCCGCGAAAGCACACGCTCCTTTCAGCCCTATGAATACGTCAAGCATCATTCCGCTTTAATAAGCACATTCCCATTGGTGCCGACGGCCCGGGCTGACCACAATCCCGACCGTCTCCACAGCGGCCTTGAAGTGGGGTAATTCAACCGAGTGCGAGATGCTAAGCGGATGGACTGGCTGGGAGGAGATGTACTTTGTAGACTAGGACGGAGTAATCGGGCTGGTGAGCGATTAGTGATGGGATGGATATATTCCCCGCCATCTTCAAGCGCTGTCCAAGTTTCCAATCTGAAACAGCAACCCTCAAGTGCAATCGTCAAGTTGCGGTCAGGGCTTGGGCAAATCTGATTTAAATGTCTGAACTTTTCCTCCGTTATCGTATGCCCCATGGGATTCTAAAAAATCAGATGTCTGCGTTTTTTCCTCCGTTTCCTGCTGAATGGACATCGTGTGTGTAAGGAGCCTAGCGCTAGAGATTACTCTCCCATCGGCTCTGGCCAGCATCCATGCTGCACACTTGGATGGCTATGTATCGCGACGTTATCATTCACCGACAGCCTTCGCAAGGACTGCCATTAAATCTGAAGCAATTGGCCCAGACTCGCATCTAAGCGAACAAAAATTTGGGTCGGGTTGAGCGAAGATTCAAGTGTGGTTCGAATATCAAGTACTCCAACGATAACCTGAATGCAGAGTGGATCGCCTCTAGCTAACAAGTAGCACGCATCCATCACTTTGGCCCCATGCCCATGATCTCAACAAACTCTTGATCTATAGCCAAAGTCAGAGGATTATGCAAGATGGTCAGGTCGGGGAAAAACTCACAATCAATGGTGTTGTTGCCGTCCTTGTCGGCCAACTGCATCATGTCGTCGATCTCAGCCTCGGTGAAATCCTCGCCGATTGATCTCATGACATCGCGAAGCTCATCGCGGGAGATAGTGCCAGTGTTGTCGCGGTCGAAAACCTTGACTATGTTAGCGTACGATAAGGCATCAAAGAGGCCATGTCATACCTTGAAGGCTTCACGCAGATCTTGCTCTGGGTCGGAGGCATCGGCCTTGCGTGCCATCAGGACCAAGAATTCTGTACCGGGGTGTCAGCCACTGTTGGTTGTGTGTGGAGTAATGAGACCAACCGTCAAAGTCAATAGAACCGCTGCTATCAACATCCACCTCGTTGAGAATGTCTTGGAGTTCGGACTCGGAAGGCTCCAGGCCCAAGCTCTTCATAACCTCACCTATCTCCTTCGTAGTGATTTGACCTAGAGCGCGTCATCTAGCTGAGCTCATTCGGTGTCGAGGGACGGTCCTGAGGACGTCCCAGCATGATGACGACTTACCATCACCATCCTTGTCCTTTGGGAATTTATCAGTAACAGGCGGGAGGGGATAGAACATTACAACTTACAAAAACAGCAAACGCCTCCTTGAAGTCCGCGATCTGCTGGGAGGAAAGAGCCCCGGCCTACGGAGGAAATAACATCAGTTGCGGCGCTTCTGACTGGCTAAGAGGAGGTACCAACCATGATGGAAAGATGATAAACACTAGAGTGAAGGCAACTTGAAGAGACGGTAATCGGCCTGCGCGTCTATGGTGATCCCAAGTGTGGTCGCTGTGGTGCGCAGTAGAACAGTAAGGTAGAGGTTAGAGCTTAGAGGGGTGAAAAAGGCCGAAAGCGGGGTCCAAGAAATATCACCACATATCCCAGGCAGACATTTTCCTGGAGCACGTCACCACTCATACGCGCCACATTCCTCGACTTTGTCGGTGAGCTTGGGCATGTTTTTAATGCATTCTATACATTAAAAGTATGGCTTATTACAGGAATTCACTCATACACGCTTCATTCTAGACATATAAAAAACAACCAACACTCGCAATCGGGTTTTGGCGCCATGCCTCAAACCCAAGAATCATGTCAATATACCTTCCCCACCTTGTTTCAAATAATGGCCTGATACGCCCCACCGCACTTCGAGTCGCAAGTCACTTCACTTGCTCAACATCGACTTTCCAGCCCATCAAGCCACTTAAGAGTTCCTCTAGTCTATTGGTCTGGATCACAGCAGAATTTAGCCATGATAATACCATGGCTTCCCTGCCAACGAGTGCCTTAGCGACTCACCACTCTTGGGCTTCCTCCAATTCCGCTGTAACCCTGTTCCAGCGTGTCCAAGGAATCCTCCCCAAACGCCCTCCTTGAAAACAATAAAAATTCCCCAGCGCCGCCACTATAATATTTTGACAAGTCATGGACAGAAATAACACAAAAGATGAGAGCAATGAGTGGTCAAGAAGCCTCCAGTCATTAAATACTGGCTCAGAAGAGCCATTCGTAGATGACCTACGAAAACATCGGATCTCCTTTACAACAGCATGGAGTGGAACATTGACATGTAAAACACCAGTCAGTTCCCAATGCCTCCGCCAGTCCACAGTCGCTTGCACCATCCTGAGTTATTTGAGAGTGCCACAATGCAGCAACTCCCTGGTCACTCTCAATAGCCTCCTCACTCAAGGGCCATGCACTCTGACCCTGCTCGGCCATGTGAACTACCGTTTCTTGGGTCGAGGCATCTTGATCCAAGCCGGCTTCGTCCATCAAAAAAGAGGGACCATTGCCACTAACATGATCGACGTGTTGGGCGTTCAGACTGGCTCCGTAAAATGACGACCCTCCTTGAGTGTTTGCCCGAGGAGTTGGTAGGAGTGGTCTCGGCGTCGAGCCTATGCTGGTCGATGGCGTGGGTATTGCATCGCATTGCCCTGGCTTTTTCCGCGGTTTTCGACGTGCTACCGTGGTGTATGAGCCGAATACTTTGTCCTTGGAGTCTTGAAAATTGAGCTGAATGAGAGACTGAAAAACGTCCCAAATCTTGCTGGCTGGGCTCTCGTTCGTCGCTGGCTCGGTGTGCCACTGGATTGTCTTCATTTGCTTCGCAACAAATACACTGCCCTTATCCGCGTTCTGGTTGAAAACATGCTCTACTTCATACATATCAATCACAGGTTCATATTCTAGATCCGCTGTCAGTGACCACGTTAGAGCCAGTCGTATAGGACTACAAACCTGCTGGTGGGACAGTATCGTCACCAGGAAAGAGAGTGCGCCAAAGCACGCTCCAGTTCAAAACTTGAACACGTCCCCGCCTGTCCCTTAGAATATCGTCAATGTCAGGAGTAATGCCGTTTTCGGGGTCTTCTTGAGAACCGAATCCCTCTAATTTGTCTTGGATTGCGCAAATTTGATCCAGAGGAACGCGTAAGTGGCCATCACGAGCTTGCTCCGTGGTGAATGTCATCTGGCACCTGGTACAAGTATAGGTTGGCAGAGTTTTTCGTTTGTGAAACGTCGTAACGTGACGCCTTAATTGTCAGCATCCCTCACAATAAAAGTCCAGTGGGGGGCCACATTACTTACTTCAAGAGTGTCATCGATGAAAATGACTGTGTGGCACAGTTGAGATAATCGCGAACATGGAACCTTAGTGGATTGCGCTTCCTATATGGACAACTGAAGCGCACACATTCCTTTAATTTCTTCCGTTCCGGAGGTGATGGATTCGAGTCGGGGTTATTTCTCCCATCAGAATTTCGCTCCTCTGAACCGTCGTCGCCATCGCCAGAGTCCCGAGCCTTTCTTTTCCCTAAGGATTTCGAAGAAGGCTTGCTCGTAGTTGTCTCGGTCGATTTGTTCCCGGAATTATCAGAAGACAGCGAATCGCCCGAAAGTGAAACGGGACTCTTCTGGTTGTCTCGCAATTGGGTCATCTCATAATCGAGACCCACGATGGCTGATATCTCGCTTAAGCAGGTCTGGACGCTCTGCCATACATCGGCTGGGTTGGAGATCTCTTCGATTGTGACTGAGAAGGCATTTGAAAGAATGCTATCGCACATATCGTCCACCAATGTGTGCCGATCTCGAAAACGTGTGCTGGTTGATGCTACACTTTCGCTTGGCTCCGGTTTCAGTGGGTTTTTTATCGCACTCCACGTGGAAACGTCGCTTGGAGTCCTGCAAAGATATATTCAGCATAATCACATGTAAAGAAGGCCGAGCAATGTCGAAAGGAATATCTTACCCTCTCTTGTCGTTGTCTGTGCACTGTGACCACTCTGAAGTGTCCATCTGCTCGCGTTTGATTCGGACCCCGTTTGGCTCTTCACAGAACCCAAGTCTGAATAGTTCAGATTCTATCAAGGCTTTACATTCCGGTGTGTTCACCGGCAGTGCCCTGTCCTTGATCAACATTTCCGGTGTGCTCCACTGATCCGTGAACGATGGCTCAAGCACAGCTCCAACCGTGTCACGCGATAGCCACGCATAGCATGCCTCAAGGTTTGAGTATGCCCGTATGTCATCGCTGGCTGTACTTATCAACTCTGCTAGGAGTTGCAATGGACTCTGACCGTTACGGTTCCTAGCATGAACCGCTGCACCACGTTGTACGAGTGTCCTCATAGCCACCTTGTGACCGTGGCGCACTGCGAGGTGCAAGGCTGTATCGCCCTGTCTATTTCGAGCGTTGACGCTTGCACCATGATCTATTAGTTTCTCCAAGATATCGGGGATTGTTTTATACGCATTGCAATCTGGGAGGTGGATAACGAATTCCATCAAAACATTATTCCCCGAAGCATTGTATGCATTGACATCAACTCCTGCGAGGAGAAGCCCCTCTAATATTTCAAGGCGCAACTGGGATTCCCGCTTTGGATCCGCGTTTGTTTGTCGGTTTCGACCGGGGATGCTTTTGGTGTGCTTCGGATCTTCACGAGTCGCTTCCACACTCCCCGTGGAAAGCGCCACCGCAGCGAGACAGTGGAGCGCATTTCCTCCGTTGGAGTCTTCAATTTTGGGGTCGGCATAGGCTTCTCTGATGATTGCCAAAAGCTGCCCGTGATCTATAAATAAGTAATCGGTAGGTTGATTCAAGCTGTTGGAGACATTTCTGTCACATTCCATGTCTAAGCCCATTGGTAAGCGTTTATATTACACATGAATAGCGAACATACCTATTGGAATTAATGAATCGTTTGGGCCAGATTGTAGAGAGCTGGCCCGGTCATTCTCCTGACCCCAGGCACTTTGTCCACGTAGCCGCAGTGCTGGTTCGAGCGCCATTGATGGTAGGTATCCAAATGCATCCCGTTCGGGGAAATATCCTTTAGGGTAATAACATGCCATGGTATCCTTCATAGCAGCTGGATCGGGGGTGCGACGAGCAAGAATGTGGGAAATAGACTGGCCGTATATGTCCCGGCCATCCAAGTCAAAGTCAATGGACTTTAGATACTTGAGGAGAAGTCTTAGTGGTTCCAAACTGCCCAAATTGAACCACTGTGGCCCTAGACAGTGCATGAACGTCTGGCCTCCGGTGTTCAGGTCTGTCACCGCTCCGAAAACTGCCAATGCACTAAACAAAACCACAGGTTGTGCCCGAGCTGCCACGAAATGCAGGATTGTGTTTCCGAAGGCATCATATTGCTTGTCCTCTCTGGAAAAGTCCGCATCCTCTTGCAGCAATTGCTGTGCCTGAGGTGGAATTCCGTCAGGGAGGGCCCAATAACCATGATGGCCTCCTTTTGAAACAGCACAGAAGCAATGTCTGAGGTGATGAGTCTGTGTTCCTTCGAGGCAAATATCTGGATTGGAGCGGTGACGGTCAACGTGCAGAAAGTCTGAAGGTAAGATGATGCCATTTTCCGGTATTGCTCGCCATCTCTCGCCTTCAGGAACAACTGGAGCAAAGTTGTCGGTTGTTGAGATGCAGCCCCAGAATTTAATCAAGTCATCATCCATGATCATTCTGATGCTTTCTTTGTTGGGTTGGTCGTGAGGTCCGATAAGATCCCGAAATGGCGACTGGTCAAAGGAATTCGAGCCTGGGCTCTGATCACTCTCGTGGGATGTGTTCGTGGATTTCGTGGCTTCCATCTTTGGCTGAAAAATTAAGCAACTGGCATCAGCTTCAGCAGATTCCATATCGAGCTCAGATGACGCTCTGATATTGCTGCGAAGTTTCAACTTTCCACCGTACTCAGTTCTGGCTCTGAGGCTCGCTATCCGGTTATTCATATCCGATTCTATCTCCGGACGCAACCATAGGACCCCGGGGCCAAGCATTAAGGCAAGCCTCTTCAGTGCCGACGATCTTCTGTATACCAAGTATAAGTGGCTAGTGTTACGGTAAATAGGAAGGGAGTCTTACCCATGGCCGTCACCTAATTCTTTGAGGATCTCACGTAGAGGTAACGTTGAATAGACATAGAGTCTAACGAGCTTCCTGACAGTAGAGTCTGACCATACAGATCGGCGAGCGAACCAAGACGCGGACGCGGACGCGGACGACGTTTGAGATACGGTACGTGTTGATGCTGGGGTTGGGAGGTATGACGGTGATATTGGATCCATCGTGGCTCAATGTGCCTCTTAAGCAGGTATTGGTCATTCTCGCTGTCTGTGCATCCGGCAGCCTCAATTCGAAGATCGACCGAAATTAAGAAAGGAGCCGATAGCAAAACACTACCATTTTCTCATGGGGATGAGCAAAAGAGAGGGTTTGGTTGTTTGCAATATTTAAGCGCTGAGAGCTTGCCGTCCCTTATTGGTCCATACCAGCAAGTCTCAGTCAGCCTCACTGTCAGGCAACCGCGGCGCCAGCAATCAACCCCTCCACTACTGGGATGCTGAATTCCGGACTTCTCATTGGTTCATCCAAAGTTGTTTGAGCACTTGGTGCTCTTAAGCAACTCGACATTGACTACTTGCTAGACTTGGGTATTTTAATGCTTAACCTTCAAGATAGCAGGATTCTCTTAGATTTAAGCCATAGATGAGTTCAAGACCCGAAATCATCCCTAAAATGCGCATGTATATAGAGGAGAAGTTATTCGTGTCCGACAACCTGTTGGAATTGATCATTCACGACACCAGTCGCTTCTCATTCCAGGCCCAGATACCACTTTCACATCTCCAGTCTCGCCCAAAGTTCTCAGACCCTTGTCTTGTCTCTTACCTGAGCCTTTATTATACCTGAAACCAATTCTTTACTCCCAAATATCCGAGCTGAGCCTGTTCTCAGACGGCGATGGAGTTCGAGAAACCCGCATCCACACCTCCTCACGAGGGAACCACGAAAGCCTCAAAGTGCGTCCATATCTGTCTTACCCATTTTGCTCTAGCTAATATGTGTTTCGCTAGAAAGCCAAAGACGTTCTCTATGCTCGACGCATTCATCTACGATACATCTTCTGTGCAGGACCGACTACTTCAAGCTGTCATTCAGAAAGAGAAGGAATCCGTTTTTGATATCGAACATGCCAAAAAAGCATGAATCACGTTTGTTGGTAAAGGATGTAGTCAAGTAGGCTTAAACTCTGTGGGGATATTTGTACGAGCATCGGAATGGGATCGAGGGATAATTAATTGCCGCTGTGGAAATTTGGTCATCGAGATTGGTGAACGTATCCTTGCTTATAGGAAGTCATGGTATGTCAGAGCTAGGATTTTGTAAGTAAGGAGGGTGGTGCATACGTGGGCCGGGGCGCGTTTCAATGATGCATCGCAAAACACCCCATTCTCCCAGTATTTGACTGAAGGTCGAGTGATCTTTATGGAGGGATAGTTCATTCCGTCATATAGAAATTTATTGCTCGCGTTAGCTTTAACTCAGTTTGTGGTACCATTGTGACAGGTTACTTGCATTGTAATTATGCTGCGGAGCGGGAGACTAATGGTGTGGCCGCCTCCTCCCCAGAGTGGCTGACAAGCATACTTATCCCCTTACTACGTACGCAGTAAGAACTTGTTATACCATGACAGCACCCCTTTCACATTATTGCGTCAGTAATACTCCCTAGAAACAACTGCGGCCTCTTGCATCTCAGTATCCGCGTCCATGCACACCCGCGCGGCTCGACCAAGATCTACACCAACCAACATACATCACCACAAGTCGACAACCGCGCCGCCCCCGATCGACTTTCAAGCCCTGGTCTCTGCTTCAGCCCCCAAAGACAATCTGCTGCATCTACAGCATCAGCCTCCACTTGATGCCCAACTGCCTCCTTGACCGCCTCCAGGATGAGGCTCTCGCCGTTGACCGGCCGGGCCGAGGAGGCTGTCATGGCCGGAATGGGAGATGTGCTGCATGACGCTTCAAGATGCGGGACGAATGATGTGCATTCGCCCACCTCAGATGACCTAGCGGGCTTCTCCACCGGTCACGGGCGGGCCAATTCTCGCGGGACGGTCCGCGAGGGGACGATCGTGACCTAGGGGTACTTAATCGAAACATCGGCCGTGTGAAATGAATATCTTGGCTCTGCATATTTTTATGTGCCCATCATTGGCCGTAGAGCGTCATGAGGGTGTTGTCGGGCAACGAGGCCCTGTGAGGATTCGTGTTCGGCGTCACCGGCTGAGGAATATGAAAGAAGGCAGACCATTCAGAACGAGCCCTGAGGCACAGAGGGGCTGAGTGCTTCAACGTCGGAACCAACAGAATTCTCTTCTTTCACCGCCCTTTATGACCGCCGAAGATGCCCTCACAGGGTCAGCGATAAGGTCGTGAGGGTGGACACGATGTGAGCTGGATGGGAGGTTGAAGGGGGTTGTGAGGCAGTGCAAAGCACAGTGGTGTGCTGGTTGTGCTGGTCAGGCCGGCCATCATTCTCAGACACGACCGTGGGCGAGACCGAAGAAGTAAATATTACCACGGCACGTTCCGCAAAGGGAGAGGGCTTAGGTGATGAAAAGGGGACGCCGGCCGCCTTCACGTTAGGCTGGCTGCCAGCCAGAGTAAGGGGTGACGCGATGAGCCGAATCGCAGTTCACCAGTACCAAGAACCAGCACGGGAGGAGAAACGCGTCGCTCGATAACATAAATGGCAATATGCTCTGCAAATAATGTATTTGATCTTGCCTGCCGTCCGTAGATGGTCATCGTGACATGGTAAAGAAAAGGGCAGAAATTGGCAGGACGGCAAGGCCATTCCACCCCCATGATTGGGAGAGAACGTGGCTGCTTGATGCTGAGAAGGCAGACTGCTCAGAACAGGTGGCTGGTGAGAATAAGCGCTGAAGAGGGTACTGAGACCAACGCCTGGTGCTTCATCCAATTAATCTCGCAACGCGAAGCAGACCACACGGCTCCAGGTTCACCAGCCGTTATTTGCCATCTCGCTTGGAGCTGCTGTGGTAAGTCGTTATGCCCAAGTAATTAGAGATGCGATCTCTACAAAGGTAGCAAAGCGTGACGCCTCCCTAGAGAGTACTTCGGAAATAGGAGGGAGAAGTAAAGGAGGCCCTTGGTCCTTGTGGCACACTGCTCTGCTGCAGTAGTTAGGCTGGACTGCCGGCAAACATCCCGGTTCCATGGTCAGGAAACCAACCGCCCAATCTGAGGACAGTGGTCAGCGGCCTTCCCAAATCTTCACGACTGCCATCACAAGCTCGATTCAGCGGTCGCCAACGCGCCTCTCGAAAAGACATCTCGTTGCATCGTCCTGATCGAATATTGACACGCAAGGGATACAGGATTCTATCCCTCCCATCCGTCGAGCCCAGGCCGTGGGGTTAAGATGAGGCCCATTTTTCACGGAGGCGTCGTCCCGCGATAGGCGCTGATTCATGCGCATCACCCACGGAGCTTGCCCGAGACTACTTGCCCGACAAACTTGCTTGCCCGACGCGAAGCGAAGCAGGGGAACGATGATGTTTCGCTTAGGCATGAAGCTTGTACAAAACCCATTCATCGCCTTCTCCATGGGAAGCTGATCTGAGATGGAGATGGATCACCACTTGGTTGGTCCAGTTTCTCCCTTTCGACGGCAGTATCGTGGTGGTCTGCAACAAGTTAGCCTCCAATGCGTCGGGATAACTAAGGTTTGTTCCTCTCCTAGTGTTTCGCGAAATCGCTCAGTCCTTTGCTCGTCGAACCTTGTGCTGACTCTGGGTGTCAAGACTACGGACAGGAATAGACGAAAGGCCTTCAGAAACCGTCCTGGTTAGGCATCGTACCGAAGAATCGACGCACCACACGCCCGCGGCCGCGACAGCGAACAAAATGATTGGAGGCACTGTGCATCGCACTCCAACTTCCCTTGGTGTTGTCCGAGTTTGGTCCGGGCAGCCCGATTGACCCGATTGACCAAAATATTCGACACTGAAGATGGCGACACAATGCGTCGGGACAATCAAATTGATTCGGATCAGGAAACCCAGGGAAAGCATGCGAATTGGACCTAGCATGCTAGATTCAACAAGGCAACCATAGCACGGATATGGAGAGCGGTGAACGCTTTGCGACCACTGGCGGACCACCATTGACGGGCCGGGCCGCGGTGAAGGCCAGGGCATCGCCCCATGGCCTATTCAAATCTCAACCGATTATCGATAGCGAGCCGAGCGCCGATACAAGCGCCGATGCGAAGGACGATTCTAGCTGTTTGATCCTCTTCTTTCCGGCTCCGGGCAAGCGCTCCCTTGCTGCCGAGCAGAAGCGTGGAAGCGTACTTCGTGCTTCGTACTTAGCAAGTCGCTCAAACAGGGATACACCAGACTAACCCGCCGGCGTTGGACGGAGTAGTACTGTAGGCAGCACCAGTCACTGTGCTACCCACTGCGACAGCTGCAAGACTTCCCCCCAAGACTCCCAAGACTCCCGTCAATTTCAGGGCCAAGAAGCCTGGTGGCTGGCCTCACCATTTTCACAGCTGCGAAACCGGACTCACCACCACTCGCCCCACGCCGCCGCGAAATGGTGAGGGAGGGATAGTGGGTCGCCAACCCCCGTTACGCAAACACAAGAATGCCAGCATCGACAAGCGGAATGGACGAGCTGTGATGCCGCTGTATTGGGGTTGCGTGCCGCGACGCTTCATCCCAAGGGCTTCCTGCCCGAATGCGTCCTGCTCGAATGTGTCCAGTTTGCGTCGCTGCCGCATCAGCCCAGGGCCGGTATTGAACGTCATTTGGTATTTGTTCAACCGCGAGGCGTTTCGGTTGCTGCGCCCACCGTTTGCCCCCTGGAAGAATCGACGACAGCCCGCCGCAGGGTTTTCACTGTCAGACTCGGTACCGGAGGCCCTGACAATGAGCCGCTTCTTTGTCTCGGATGGGCAAGGGTAAGGAGAACCCCGAGAAAGGGGCAAGAGACAAAGGTCCGCTACGGCAGAGCGAGAACTCGGCAGGGAATTTGTGGTTGAGCCCGCATCTCCCGGAACAGCAGTTCTCTCCAGAGGCATCAATGGCCAGTCCTCGCCGGTGCTTGGGCATTTGCCTACAAGGAGAACAAGGTCAGCGCCATCGCTCGCGCTGGTCAGCCCTGGCGTAATATGCAATCCGAAGCTGCCACCAGGGGGTTGGGACACTGGCTGCGTTAGTGAGCAAGGTACACGCAAAGGACTCAGCACCTGCTATGGCAAGGTACAACGCTGGTCTCATCGGCCATCTTCGAGCGTCTGCGGTCACTGCAACCGTCCCGTTCTCTTCACGACACTCAAAGCGCTGGAGCGAAGCGACTCAACCCAGGGTTTCGAGCTTGAACGAGAGAAAAGCGGGGCATCGTGCTCGCAAACTCCAATATCCGGGGATGGAGGGTTTGGGTCTACCAGACAAGGACGAGAAGAGGGCTTCGTCGTGTACCTGAAGATGGCCCGGGGTAGCGATTGTTTTTGTTCTTGCAATGTACATGTAGCTAGCGTAGTCCAATTTTATGCCGCCTCGCGCTGATGGTGAGCCGCATCCGCCGCCTTCCTCCTGACCTGCCCCCTCCCAGCCGTTCCTTCCTCGCACACGTTCTCCTGAGCCTCCCCATATCCTTCTACCCCCATTTCATCCCAACAGTCTCTGTAACCTTCATCCATTTCCACACTTCATCGCTGTATTTGCATCATCAACTCCACCCAAGCCTTCAACAGCTCTCCTGCATTTCCCCGATCCCTCAGGGTGAGATGACAACAACAAGCACGAACCAACGCGTCGCTGGAGGCCATGAGACGCATTACCGAGTCGCCGTTCAAGTCACAATCGATCACCACTCTGCCCATCTCGCGAATATGGTACCGTAAGGACAGTCTTCGATTCAGTTCTGCTACAGCTCAATACGCTCCATCAACAACTCCAACGCTGCCCTGTTCCATCGCCCAGTTCCGTCGCCCAGTCTCCCACTGCACCTCCAACGCTACGCCGCACGTCTGCACGGCAAGTCCACCACAGTCCACTACGTCCCTTTCATCGTAGCGGCGAGCACGCCAGCATATGCGAGAGTCAGGAACAGTTGGGCATTCGTGCCCTGGGCAAGGCCTTGGACCAGAAACCCGAATGCAAGCAGAAAGACGAGGTAAATGATCACCTGGCCACTCTTGGAGGTGATGCTCAACATTTGCAGGGCAACGGGTGTTCCGACAAGGCTTGCAACAAGAGTGTTGAACACGCCGGCAAGCACAACCCGGATTACCTTCAGGGGGTAGTACAAGTGCTCGATCTCTCCTTTCTCATCTTTCTTTGCCAAGAACCACACCTATCGTTGAGTTAGTGACTCCAGCCTGCACTTTTTGATGCCCAACTCACAAGTATGATCCTCCCCCAGGGGTATTGTGGTATGTCCCGTACCAGCTGATCCAGCTTGTCCATGTTCATTATCAGCGCCCAGTCCCAGCTCGGTCCGTTTGTATACTTTGCGTCGTCGTCATTGAGGTCCCCACGTACGCCTATGATATAGTTTTCGACGAATTTACCGCTCGGTTGGTCAAGTGCCTGCATTTCCTTGATTTGGAGCGTAAACTGATCTATAATGATGCTTAGTTCCGAGACGATCGACGAGATAGAAGACCGCTGGAGACTTACTGTGGTCACTGATCTCCTTCCTCAAGTTAAGGAACATCTCGTCATCATCGCTTCCGAGCTCGTCGGCCTCTTGGCACTCCTCCCAAATCCGATGGATACGGCTCATTCCCTTGGATATGCAAAACGTGGTTGCTTCAGTGAAGCGCCGTGTGACCAGCTGGGATGTATCATGCCGTCCCCTGGCACACATGCTCATGAACCCTCCCTTTGGGTCCCCTGCCTTTGTTAGCAGGTGTGGAGTGTAGTACGGTCGGGAACGTCTCACGTTGCTGACTTTCACCAGCCTCAAGGTCTAGAAGGCGGCACACCATTGTCAGCTATCAAATCACGAGGAAGACTGGGGGCTTGCTTACCCGGAGCCGCGGGGGCTTGATCTTCGATCGAAGACATGGGCTGCTCTCTAAGCTCGACCCCGGAGTGCCAGGTTTCGGCTCTGTGCAATTGAAGGTGAGCCATGGTGCTGTGGTGCGGTCTTAGTGGACTGGGGTCTGAGTTCGATGATGCCGTTTGAGCAAAGGATGGTGGATGATTTGGGCAAGATGCGGACGAGACGGCTGCTATTTATCTTTGCTGCGTCCTGCCATTGTCCTGCGACATCGTCATCGAGCCGGCCCAGCACCACCCTCCTGATCACGTCAAATGCAGCTCCACCCTTCCCACAAGCTGAGAGCCTCATCCATCTTGTGCAATTCCCGAGAGAGGCCCTTGACCGATTCCTCCGATGCCCAAGTCCATCCACCATATCAGTCTTGGCACGAGCGAATGGGGGCGATGCATGGCAGGCCTCAGTCTTGCCTCTCGTCGCCTTACAGCGCGGCTATGCAGTGTCGGGCCTGGACTTCGTGCTCTATGTATCCCCCAGTATCCTTGTTGTTCCGTGGCGTCTCCATTCTGCGATTCGTCAGTTCTCCGCGGGGCCTGCCCGTTGGGTTCAGCACTGTACGCAGCGGAGCCTTGTTGGCTGTAGCGCGCCTATGAACTATGCAATTCTCCGTTGACTATGATTCGCCAGTGTTTCCAGGGGTGTTAACAGCATTCAGCGATGGATAACATTGACACCGTTGATTTACGAACGAATTTGGAGAAGCAGCAATTAATTGAACTATGGAGTATATGTAGAGCTTGCACAGACCTCTATTTTCTTTCTTTCCTGGACCTAGATTTTGACCATGAACCCGAAGGAAACCACCAAGCCACTTTAACTACTTTTCTCCAGGTTGGGCGTAACATCCATTTGCACGGAGTTACCGCTCATCCGATTCCACTAGCCGTAAACTCAACTAAAACAGACGCATCTGAGCCAAGTAAGTTTGAGGACGGTTTAAAAGCGGAGCGATGGGAGTTCTCACGTTGAAGTTGCTTTACTTCTTAACGGGAACAATGATGTACTGTATGTCCTGTTCAAAGTTCAGGAGTGCGCCATGGGCGGAGAACTCTTCGCAATCATTCAGGCGCGAAGCCGTGGCAAGAGAAGCAGGGGGCATTTTGAGAGCTGGTATCGTGATGATGGTGCGAATGGGAAAGGAGAATGAGGACTTGGGTAGTCGGAGATGGACAGGTTAGAAAGAGGCAGGAAAGAATAGCGATGCTTGACGAGAGTTGAATGAGGGGGACTGAAACTTAGTTTAAATAGTATTAGAGAATGTGCGCTGTGGACCATGGCCCTCTAGGGTCTTCACTCTCAAGATCACGTTTGCCCTGCTCTCCAAGCTTTTAGACTGCGCAAGAAGAGTAACCCACGGACCGGGGGTGAACCGAAGAATCATGACGCATAAATGAGTTTCGGCTAACGGAGAGTAGTGGGAAATAAGTGATCTATCACCACTAGTAGGCACGGTTTGAAGGCAGCATCGTACGCCAACATGGCTCAGCGACGCCATGGTGCCAGGTTTGGGCCTAGATTAGGCTCCCACTGGAGTCCTGCCAGGAAGGAGAGAGTTTGGTTAACAGCTCCAAACTGCTCTGGGTAAGGCTCTTGCCAGGGACCCGTGGCATGGATCAGACTTAGGGCTGGACGTAGATTACAGAGGCGATATAAACAGGGCGGAAGGAATCGATTGGCATCCGGCAGCCGGTTACTGACTACGTAGCGCAATTAGTTCCCGCGATGGACGAGGGGGCGATAGGGGGCCCTGTCACTTGTAGGGGTATGTAAGTACGGAGTGAGCCAGATGCATACTGCTAGTGCCAATTATGCCAGGTGTCGCCCTGAGACTCACCGAAACTGACCTCCGAATATTGAATTGTTGAATTCGTGCAAGGTGGTAATGGTTATGAACGGGTACGTATCTCACCCAACCCTCTCCGACCGTTCACGGTGGCTGGGTAGAGACAGGGAGGACGAACGACCCGACCGCCACCAAGCCAGGATCTCAACCTATTGGACGTCGCTCTTAAGAAAAATCTTTACGGGCCGCGACCAAAGACGCCTCAATTCGGCATGCCAGGTAGCCGGCGTCTTGGTGTACTTCACCTTGTGATATCCCTGGCGAAGGGCTCCGCCGCGGGGACGACGCGACACACTCTCAACGTCCGCCGCCATTCCGGGATTCTCAATTATTCGGCCTTGACGAGGGAAATCTCTTCCTGAATTGATCGAAAATAACGTGTGAATCCATCGTCTCGGAGGCTGCCGTTGTCTCGGTCTGGCTCTTTCGGTCACCTCGTCGAGCACATGATGCGGGGCCGATGTGATGGAACTTGCAGCCACCCGTTCACGACTCATGGACCTCTTTCGATCATGGGTACCTAACAGTCTAAATTATACATCTCAACGTCGAGTTGTGCAGGACAAAGTGCTTATGCGAACGTCCAGCCGATCTGCATGGCCTCAAACTGGCCAGGGGTTTTCCCCTCTAGGTAAGGTGTACTCACAGAACCACATACTTGATAACTCGTTATGCTCTGTGATCAATTCGAAATGCAATTACAGCCATGTGGGATTTCTGCCTTACCAATAACCTCGCATGACAGGTCGCCCACCCAGGTCGTGGCAGTGTAGTACACAGTTGTGTTTTTCTTCGGTGCCGATTATCCCCATGGCCTGAGTATTTCCACTTTGTACTACTAGTCACGCGCATAACTTACATAACTTATCAATGGCGCACCACCTCAAAGAAGGCATCCCAAACTAACTTGCCTTCCTGAAGCTGCCTAATACTACGCAGTTAGTGTCTTGGGAGGGGAAAGGTTTACGAGTTTCTGATCCAGAGGGAAAAGAAATAAACGAACTAAAAAGGGAGGGACGCATCATTAGCACGGTCATTACTAAATGAAACACTTGGTTTATTTTTGGTTTGTTGAGCGTTCACGTCAACTTCAAGCCACACAGTCATCCGTCGTACAATCCCCGCCTGTTCTTGGGGGTCAAAAAAGGAGGGTTCACCACTCCACGGGACCAGGTTGGGAAACGCCAATTATGAACATGCTCATCTTCAACTTTTTTGAGAATTATCCATATCTTTTTTCTACGGAATGCTTTGTCCTTGGTAGCCCAATCATAACGCGTGTACCCCTTAAACGCCCAATGGTCCCAAATTCATCTCATTACAGAACCCATCCCGCGTGCCATCTTGATCCCCGTCGTAATTGATGCAGTCCGACCTTCACTCGTAGTCGCTCATATCCATCATGCTCTCCCCCTTCGCCTCGTCCTCATCGTCATCCCCCAACACCGTCACCCGGCGAGACCGTCCAACCCTACCGGTGCCCTTCTCCATCATTATCCCCCGTCCAGCCGCTCTTCTCCCATTGACCTTGACCGAAGCCGCCATCTTTCGCTGGCCAAGCTGATGCTCAAACTCAGCCAGATCCTCGGCTTCCGACTCTGCCGCGCCATCAACGAATGCAGTCTCCTCCAGTGCCTTGTTCAGAAGCTCTGTCGCGATACTATCTTGGGGGCTGATCGCCAGTGCCTCATGGAGCACAACCACGGCCTCCTCAGGTTTGTTCTGCTCCATCAGGATGAGACCTTTTGCGCTAAAGATGGCTGCGTCCTTGCCGCCTTGCCGCAGCACCTCGTCAAATTGCTCCAGTGCGTGGTTAAAGCGTCGTAGTCTCCGGTAAGCGTGACCTAGGTTCGTACGGGCTGCCAGCCATGCTGATGGCTCACTGTCCATATCAGCGGCGACCTTGAGCGCACCAGTGAAGTACTGTATAGCCTCTTTTGGCTTGTCTTGATGGTATTTGACAATTCCCATCTCGTTCAGCAGCAACGGGTCCGTCCTGCATAGACCATATGCCGTCTTAAGAAACTCCTCTGCCAGTGTCATATTATTTAAAGCATGGTTTTGCATCCCAAGGAAAACCTGTGGGAGGTGAGTTCCCATGAACAACCTCGCGGCTGTGGAGTAGGCTGAGATGGCCTGGTCGTGTTCGCCCTCGGCCGCAAAGGTGTGCGCAAATCCAATCCACGCCGGTCCAAAGTGTGCGTCCATCATGCTGGCCTTGCTGAAGTACCGCCTCGCCTCAGCGATCTTTTCGATGGCGAAGTAGTAGATTCCCACTGCCAACCAGGAGCATGGCTCCTCAGGGTGACTGTCCGCCAAGTCGTGCGCCACCAAAAACAGCAAATTCTTCAACTTGAGCTCAAACAGACAGGCCAAGTGAACCGGATAGACGCTAAAGTTGTACTTATCCTCCTGGAGGATCGAATTCGTGATAGCCAAGGCGTCTCGATAACGACATTGCGTGTACAGTAGGTCGGCTCTAGCGAGCTGCAGGTCGGGATTCGACGCGAGGTGGTAGTGCGTCGACAAAGAGTCGTAGGCCGTCGCGAATGCGGCTGGGTTACGGTACTTGGACAGCCGGGTGGTGTAGAGCATCTTGGTGAAGTCGGCTGCCTCCTGAGAGGACGAGACGTCTCCGGACACGTGGATTGAGTCGAAATCGAGGCTCTCAAGAAATTGCCACTCCTCGTCGGGCGACAACAGGGAGTTCTTCATCAGCTGCTGGAAGGCCTCGAAGCACTGGACATCGATGCGCACAGCGTCCTTGTAACACTCCTTGGCGCGATCAAAGGCATTCTGCTTTGCATAGCAGATGCCGCGGAGAAAACACATGCCAGCCTCGTAGCGGCGGTTAGCCGCCTCCTCGTCGGCGGCATCGTCTCGGCGTCGGCCGTGGCGCGGTTGCGTCTTGCGCTTGTTGCTCCCGGACCCGTTGGTGATGAGGTGCGTCGGATTGCGGTCGCCGAGGACAGCCAGGGCTTCGTCGAATCGCGACTGCTTGATGAGGCAGTGGCCGGCGAGGTAGCGGCACGAGGGGTTGCGGGTGACGAGGTCTTGGCTGGAGAGGAATGCCTGGGCGCGCGTGTAATTTCCCGTGGCAAAGTGGACTTGGGCGAGCCAGAATGCGTCGTTATCGTCATCTATAGATCCGCGAACCCATTAGAATCATATGCCTTGCTCGACTTGAAGGTGAAGGGACGGGCTTGGTGCAACTAACTGGTCAAGGCAAGCAGCTTGTCGCCGATGAAGATGGCCGACTCGTACTGGGCCTTGTTGAGGGCATCCTGCCGCCATTCCCTCAGAAACTTCTCCATGACGCTGCAGTTCCTCACCAGAGCATCAACCAGCCAGAGCAATCAAGAGAAGGAGAGGTTGCGTGGTCGTGTGCTGTGCTCGTCAAGCGCCGGGATGTTGTTTGGAGTGGGTATGGACGTCTGGCGGCCGGCCTACCGAAAGTCAATAAACGGCGGCTGAGTTGTTGTCCCGAGCGCGACATGGGCGTGTTAAGGGCCCAAGGGGGTAGAAGTCACAGCGGGTGTGGCCACAGCAAATAGCGGGGTAGCTTCAGCGTTCAGCGCAATCGCCCCTCCAGTTACAGTGGCCCCTCCTGGAGAAAAAAAAAAGTTAGGGGGAGTCAGCGCTGTGGCGTATCAGAAGTCGTCAATTTGGCACAGCCGATACAGGAGCCGCCATTAGTCCAGACGAACTACGACTCTTCTCGACTGTTTCCTTCTCTCTGCAACCTACAATCCTCAATTAGCTCTCTAAATTCTCCAGAGTATCCCGTCTCAATCCCTCACAATGGCCACTTCGTTCCCTCCCCGCTGGTCGGCCCTCGCCCGCGACACCAACGAGACTAAGATCCAACTTGCTCTCAACCTAGATGGCGGAGACTTTCCCCCCGATACCGATGCTCGCCTCCTCGATGGCCCCGACAGCCACGCCTCCCAGGCCAGCAAGTCGCAGAAGATTGCCATCGATACCGGCATTGGCTTCCTCGACCATATGCTCCATGCCCTCGCCAAGCACGCCAACTGGAGTCTGGCTATAAAGTGCCAGGGTGATCTTCACAGTCCGTCTTCCCTCTGTCCTGAGAGGAACAAGCATCGCTGACTCCAACTCTACAGTTGACGACCACCACACCGCTGAAGATGTCTGTATCGCTCTCGGTTACGCCTTCGGCAAGGCCCTCGGCACTCCCACCGGCCTCGCCCGCTACGGCTTCGCCTACACCCCGCTCGACGAGGCCCTCTCCCGCGCCGTCATCGACCTCTCCAACCGCCCCTACTGTGTCGTCGACCTCGGACTCAAGCGTGAGTTCCTCGGCAAGCTGAGCTGCGAGATGATTCCCCACTGCTTCCAGAGCTTTGCCCAGGGTGCCCGCGTCACCCTCCACGTCCACTGCCTCCACGGTGAGAACGATCACCATCGCGCCGAGAGCGCCTTCAAGGCCCTCGCCGTCGCTGTCAAAATGGCCACATCCCGGGTCGCCGGAAAGGAGGGCGAGGTTCCCAGCACCAAGGGAACCTTGACTGCGTAAGTGACGGGCATTGGTGATGAGATTTGGAGTTTAAGGTCGGGACAAATTTTGGATAGACGTTGGTTGTATGTTCGGGTAAATATTAGACACAGGGCCGTGTTTTCGGAGGTCCAACTCATGATGAACCATGTCAACAATATGAATATTACCGCTCTCACGCAGAACAGTTTAGGGAGAAAAAATGAGATCAAGTGGACAGTTAATGAACCAGTCTAGTCATTATTCAATAATTTCGTACGCTACTTTTCATCCTCCTCTTCTAAGTTCGGTAGTCTCCGTTAATGGTGACATAGTCGTGGCTAAAGTCGCAGGTCCAGTGTGTGGCCTGCTTGTCACCAGTGCCCAATCGGACCAGGATCTCCAAGTCCTCCATTTGCAGGATCTCGCTCGCACGCTCCTCGTTGACCTGCTCCGGTTCACCGTTCACCAGCAGCTTCAGCTCAGCGGAGCCGTCGGCGGGAATGAATGAAACGCTGGTTTGCTCGGGGGCGATCTCGGGGACGTCGTTGATGGCCTGGCCGGGGGGAGAGATCAGGGCATAGCCAGCAGCGCAGAGAACACGGCCCCAGTTAGCGTCCTTACCGTACAGGGCAGTCTTGACGAGAGGAGAGACGGCAATGGTTCGGGCAACTTGGCGGGCGGATTCCTCAGAGGCGCTGTCGACGACACGGATTGTCACAAACTTGGTGGCACCCTCACCGTCGCGGACGACGTACTTGGCCAGGTCGGCGGAGAACTCAGTGAGAACATCCTGGAAGGCCTCGTAGTCGGCGGACTTCTCAGAAGTGACCTCCTTACCACCAGCAGCACCGTTGGCCAGGAGAGCAACGGTGTCGTTAGTGGAGGTGTCACCGTCAATGGTGATAGAGTTGAACGAGCGATCAACAGCGTGTCGAAGAACCTTGGGCATAACACCAGGGGCAATGGGGGCATCCGTGGCCAAAATGGTGAGCAGGGTCGCCATGTTAGGGGCAATCATGCCCGCCCCCTTGGTCATACCAGCGATGCGGTACTCGACGCCAGGTGACGAAGGCAGCTCAAAGGACCTGGACATGAGCTTGGGGAAAGTGTCGGTGGTGCAGATGGCCTTGGCGCAGTTGAGCCAGTGCTTGTGCGAGTCACCAGCCTGGTGCCACGCCACGGGGATGTGGTCGACAATCTTCTGGATTGGCAGCCTGTAGCAATGTCAGTTGAGGCCATTGAGAGATCAAGATGGGTCAATTGGGCGACAAACCTCTGGCCAATGACGCCGGTACTCATGACGATGGTCGAGTCCTCAGCACCTACCCGTTGGTCGGTGGTGTGGGCCATGTTGGTGGCATCCTCGAGACCTCCGGTGCCGGTGACGGCGTTTGCGTTGCCCGAGTTGACGATGACGCTTCGCAGGCCGGCATTGCCCTTCTGCTGGAGCAGCTTGCGGCTGAAGGTGACGGGCGCGGCCTGGAACTTGTTCTTGGTGAAGACTCCTGCGGCGGCGCAGGGGCGGTCGGACGACACGAGGGCCAGGTCCGGCTTGCTGGTGTTGCCCGGCTTGACGCCGACGAAGATACCGGAGGCGACGAAGCCCTGGGGGTACTTGCCGCTGGTGGGCACGTACTTGACCTTCTTGGCCGGGATGGCGACGCCTCCGAGGGTCGTGGCCGACGAGTAGGCTCGCGCGAACTTCCTTGCTGCAATCATCCTGTGGTTTTGGCAATGCAGATGCAGCTCCCAAGGTGAAGTTTTTCCGTCTCGGCCTGGTTCAACGAGCGAGGTCTCTCAGCACGCTGCAGTGAGCGATAGCGGTCTCGCTCACTGCCGGCAGCGGCATTTGCTGGGGATGTGGCTGGTGACTCAACCCACCTCTGCGAGAGATGGCACCTGCAATTGCCTCAGACATTTATTACGCCGCGTAGAGACGGAGTCATACAAGTTTTATGAATCTGTCTGGGTATGATTGATGAAATTTCTGCATTTTAATGAGTCACCCCCAATTGCGCAAGGCCAATGTATCTTCGTTTCCTTCCATCTTCAAAGTATGTTGTGCAAATGCATCCAATTCACTGTTGATTTGCATTCACATGTGCTGTGCGCCATCAAGGGTGGGTACGTACCGCCACATTCCCACGAGGGTGGCGAACCAGTCACCAGTGAATCGCTGTGAACGGGGCAACAATTTGCAGGCGCAGCTACCTGGAGGGGCTCCTGCCTGCGGGGGCTGCTGGTGCCTGGCGGCGGCTGGCCCTGATGCCTGCACGGCCCAATCAATTCACATCATCCGGGTTGTTGATGCCTTAGTCATCCAGGCCACCAGCCCGTGCGCGAGTGATCCGCTAAACCTATAAATTCTCGCTCTCCCTCCCGCCTTTCAGTCTTCTTTTCTTCCTTTCTTCCCTATCCAAGTGCAAGGGCGTTTTCCTTCTCCGTGAAGCGATAAGCTGAGAGAGGAATTTTGCTAGTTGAAAACTATACACTGACCGCTCCTCATTGGGTTCGCCTGGTGAGGGAATTTTTGTAATCTTCTTCCTCTGGAATCACTTTCATTGCGGTTGGTCCCTTGTGGACCGGCGTGAAGAAGGCGTGGGAGATTTGATGCGTTGGTGATGCGCGTGCTTCTTCGTTTTCCCTCTTGCCCGTTGTAGTTCGTGCGCCTCGTGCTACATATATCGCATGGAGAGCCACCACGAAGCTTCCCGAGATGGTGGCAGCCGCCTCTGGTAGATGTGAAGCTTCACGTCTCACGTCACCTACCGCGGCAGTGGGTGCGAATAATGTCCAGCTCCAGTCTGGAGCCCTGATCGCATCAAAGCAGGACGTCACCCTCTAAAGTAATGGACCTCCGTAGGATTCAGGAATGTGATACAATCTGCACGGTCGCTCCGACAGCTCAAAGCAGAATCTGAGAGGTGACAGGTCAAGATCGTTGCGGCATAGAGTTTTCTGGGCGCACCTTTCTGGCGAGTCACCACCAAGCCCAAACGGCCCTTGATGCAAACCCGAGTCCACGAGTCTCTCAGATGTAGAATCCTGAAGGATCCCTCCCGCCCTCCAAAGACGTGTAGTCCAGCTGCTTCTCTCTTGACGCTGAGGCTCTGCTTTCTCCGTCATCCTCGAGGTTCCTCCGTACATACCAGCCCAGAATTAGCCCAGAATTAGCCCACCCTCGTTAGCGCGGGGCACTTCCCCATACCAGATGATCCCGGCGTGCGTGCGTCCAAATCACTATTTTCCAGTGACTCAAAGGCTCCAAGCCCAGCAACTCCTCCCGCAATCCCACCACGACGGCCTGTCCTCGACGCCGAGACTGATTCCCGACGAGCAATTCTCTCATATACAGAGCATACGAAATAACTATTCAGCCATATTTAGCACAGCGGCTCCCTGACGATCCCCGCGCGCAATCACCGCCGCTCTCCCACTGTGTGCCCCGCCGCGGCCTCAACACCACCACTACGGCCACCACCTCTCACAGCGCTCGCCCACCAACCCCGATGGCCACCGAAACAGGCGGCCCGGCCCCCGCAGGCCCGGTGACGGAGAAGAAGGAGAAGAAGGAGCAGGCCAAGGGACAGGCCAAGGACCAGCAGCCCGCCACTGCGGCCGCGCCCGGCGAGAAGAAGCTGTCCGGCGCCGAGATGAAGAAGAAGGCCAAGGAGGAAAAGGCCGCCCGCAGAGCACAGGCCAAGGCCGTACTAACAGCGCATGCCCCCGCGCCTCAGCAGTCTGGCGGCGGCGATGGCAAGGGCGGCAAGGGGAAGCCCAAGCAGGACGGACAACACGGTGCGAAGCTGCCTCTACGGCCAGCCTCAACGCCGGCCGTCCCCAAGGAGAACAAGCCCAAGATCCCAGACTGCTTCAGCCACCTCTCCATGGCCAAGCGGATAGACATGACGCACGCCGACAAGGACGTCAACCCTGCCGTGCTGGTCCTCGGCGAGCACATGAGCGCCTTTGCCATCAGCGACAGCATCACCAGGTTGGAGGCGACGCTCTTGGCCTTTAAGAAGGTGAGACTACCGGGCATATACAGAGGTACATTGCATCTAACATGGAATCGCAGGTCGTTGAGTCTTACAACACCCCCATGAACACTACCTTCTCTCGTCACTTCACATCCCACGTCCTCAACCCTCAGATCGAGTACCTCACGGCATGCCGCCCCATGTGCTTCTCTATGGGCAACGCCATCCGATGGCTCAAGCTCCAGATCAGCAAGGTCGACATTGACGTGCCCGACCTAGAGGCCAAGAAAATATTGTGCGAGGCCATCGATGCCTTCATCCACGAGCGCATCACCCTCGCCGACTTTGTCATCGTCCAGACCGCCACTGACATGATTGTCGACGACGACGTCATCCTCACGTACGCGCACCACCACCTCGTTGAGCGCACCCTCCTCCAGGCCCACAAGGAGGGCAAAAGCTTCCGCGTCATTATAGTAGACGACCCCTACGAGCGTGTTGGCATCGACCTCGCCAAGAAGCTCTCCACTGCCGGCATCCAGATTGCCTACTCATCTGACCTCGGCGCCCTGCGGACGCATCTCAACGAGGCCACCCAAGTGCTCCTCGCTGCCGAAGCCATCTTTAGTAACGGTGCCATGTACGCCCGCGCAGGATCGTGTGACATCGCCACTGCGGCCACCGACTTGGGCGTGCGAGTCGTCGCCCTGTGCGAGACCATCAACTTCACCGAACGTGTATCTATCGACTCCCTCACATACAACGAGATCGATCCCGAGCGGTGCACCACGGATGGGTTCCGGCTGCTCTTCGACACCACCCGAGACAAAGACCTCTCTGTTGTGGTGACGGAGCTTGGCAACTCCTCTGCCACTTCGGTGCCAGCCATTCTCAGGAAGCTGGAGGAGCTGTAAGCTGGTGTTTGTTTATATGAGCCAAGTTAGAAAGATGTAGACGACCTGGGCATTCCCCTTGGGTGGATAACCCCCGTACAAAAAGCAATCCTGATGAATCCGAACCATGCCATTTTAGGGGCTTAATCGTGCATGCTTTGTCGTGGTTCTGCTCATGTTATTCTGGTACGTCTTAGGGGGTCAAGTCGAAGCATTGCGGATCCTCTCGGCAGTCATACCGTCACCAGACAATCACGCCCTCATGCCGTCTTAACAGAAGAAAAGTTCCAATTCCAGACGGCCCATGTCGACGGGTCTATTCCCATACAGGATATGTACAATATCTCTCCTCCTCCACCGTATCACTCCCGAACATTGTCGGTCGGCCCATTTCCATTTCGATTCGTCTTTGCCGATCGGTGCCCTTTTACTCGGCCGCCGCCGCCTCCGCATCCCGCTGGGCCTTGCGTGCCCGCTTCTCGATCAGGAACGCCTTGCGCTCCGTCAGGGTCGCCGTCTGTCGGTCGTCAACGCCCTGCAGCCAGTAGCCGAAGCTGGCGCCGCCGGCCGCGTACACGGGGTACGCCCACAGGGAGGACTTGTTGAAGAAGGGCCGCATCTCAATGCCGACCTGCCAGAAGCGCACGCCCAGGCCTATACGAGACCAATACGTTAGCAATCGGGGAAAACCTGGGTCGGGTCGGCGGGTTTTGGTGGGATTGGAGTCGCTGGCTCATAGCGGCTCATATTGGCGCACGTTCACGTACCGAAGAGGCTCCAGAAGGCGAGGCGGTGCACCATGTTGGGCAATTGACCGTCGGGTTGTCGGGAGTAGAGGCTTGGGTGGTTTGCTCGTGGCTTCGTCGGGGTTCGCGGTCGTGAGGATTAGCTTCAGCGACACTGCCGAGAGAAGAGGTCGTGATCCTAGGGATACCCAGACTCAAAGCTCAATTGGATCCGAGTTGATTGGTCACGTCAATATCACGTGATGTGTCACCTGCTTCACCACTTCACCACCTCACCTACCCTGGACCAGAATTTCGATCTCGAGTTTCTAGGTTAAGAGGACGGCAATTAATTGGGATAAAAGCTGAAGAAACAAAATAATCATACTCTAGTTTAACTTTAATTGATTAGATGTATGTTCTCACATAGTTACATATTGTTTGGATGCAGAAAAAATTGGGTAGTTGTTCTTGGCATGTTTGTAATCTCTAGTGGTTAAGGCATCTAAGAGACAGAGTTGAGTGGAATACCACACGGGTGTAATATATTAGGATTAGCATGCCCCGCATGCCAATGCAAGTCTCGCTCACTCTATAGAACTCTAGCTTCTCCAAGTCAAGGCATGCAAAAACGCTGCAGAGAATAAACCCAACTCAATCAGCATATATCCCTACTCCGTCCACAATGCAAAAAAACTCCAGTTCATGTAGATGCATCTACTAGTCTAGCAGGCTTCTAGGTGCCCTCGAATACGGAGGCGGTGCCTGGGATTGTGATGGGGCTCGGGATGGCGGTGTAGGGCTCTCTGCCATCCACTGCATCGTCTTGGCAACCATCTTGGCAAAGTACTGCTGGATAAACGACTCGCTGGAAAATGTTAGCGTTTTGTTCCCGAGAAGGGCTGGAGGTAGACTTACGTATAGTAACTGTGATCAGAGTTGTGAGGCGAGACAAGGTTGTGTGCTAGCTCGTGAGCCAACACAACCCACCACCAAGTTGCCGCCTCAGCCTTCGCTTCGCCCGGCCGAGGTCCCTCTATTTGCCTTGCATGAAGTTGTAAGAAGAACCTGAAGTTGCAGAAGATACTGCCTCCTGTGTTGAATGCAATCGTGCCACCGGCTTCATCGTAGAAGATGTGAAGCACCTTAGGCGACAGCGAGTAGATGTTACCGATATCGACTAGTAGGCTGGCAAAGGAGTTGATAGCCGCAATATTCGATGACAAAAACTGGGTTGGATCCGTCGACAAGGTCTTCGAAACAAAGACTTTCATGCCATTCGAGGCCTCTGCAACAAATGCGATGTTGTGGGCGGGTTTGCTGTCACAGTATGTAGCTTGTTCCTTGACTTCGTTGACCTGGGGCTCAGAGAAGACGCTGCTAGATCCGTATGCTCGGGTTGAGTTGACGGCATTCAAAAGGTTCTGCTGAACCAAGGCTGGGTTGGTGACATTTCCATCGTCCTTCTGAGGTCGTTGCGGGGTGCTGCCAGTGTTCGATGAGCTGCCACCAGAGGATGGGCCGGCTTGGTTGGGTTTGTCCAGGAACTTCTCCACTTGCTGATGGGATTCGTCCTCATCCTGAGGATCGAAGCCAAGCCGACGAGTCAAGTTAGAGAACAGACCCCTAGGTTTCCTTGACTGCTGATTCTGCGCAGGCTTGTTGTCCTCAGGGGAATCCCAAGAACCAGGCATCATGGTGCTTGGGTGCTCTGGCGTTCTTGCGACTTCGCGTGCCGCTTCGGCAGCCTTCGCTTCAGTAATTGCGTGATTCTGAGTCGACCATGTTTGCTCCGTCTCCTGGATTCTGCGCTGCTCATCTTCCAGTGCCTTGCGTCGTTCCTCCTCAGCAATCCTTGCCTCAGCGGCCTTGGCGCGGAGAATTCGATCCACGTTGTATCCACGAGCCCTCAACCCATACAAATCCAGGGTGAGAAATGGCTCGAAGAACAGATACGCTTGCTGATTCGGGCGGCTTAGAAGCATTTGGCAGATGGCCTGTCCAATTTGGTACATATCAGGCTTCCCCTCATCAGTGACATAAAGAACCCAACTGCCGGCACCCTTGGCGCTCGCAGCGGACCGCTTCTCCGTATGAGACTGACTTTGGCTCTTTAGACTGCGTCGTAGAGCCACTGAACGGACAACCTCGACAGTAAGATTCTTGTCAAGCCATTTCGCATCGTGTTTGATAGTGTCACGCCGGTAGCTTGCGTACTCGTAGAGAAAGATTTTGGATCTCTCAATGACGTGTTTCCGGAGCGCTTGAGACGCCTTTTGCCTGTCACTGTGTGGTCCGATTCGGATGTCCTCTTGGACGATGCTGCTTAGCTTCTGGGCTCCCAGAGCCATGTAAAAGTCCTCAAGAGCATCTTCCTCAGGAGCGCAGATGAGGCGATCCTTGAAGAGACGATAGCTGATGATGTCGTCTTGCACCACAATTTGACTGGCAGAGGCCAGCTGGTACTGCCTGATGGGAGCCTCGTCTTCGTCCTCATCGTCTAGCTTTCCCTTGGGAGTTGCCAGTTCCTTGTACGCGAGGAGGAAGGACGCTGCTCGCATCTTTCGCCAAAGATCTTTATCCCGGTGAAGGGTTGAAGATGCCTCTGCAAGAGACTTGAGCAAGTCGAGGTACTTTTCAGGGCTCTGCAACACGCTGAGAAGCCGTGCTGGTTCGCTGCATGCCATATGTGCAACCTCGAGCTTGGTTGGCTCGCTCTTGGCTCCGCATTGGAATAAGAAGGTATTGGCATCAGGCCCAAAGTCGACAAAGTCGAAAATATCGCCATATGTTGTGGATTTGCCCAGGTACGCGCTGGATGGGGTAATGTAAGACACAGTGGAAGTCGACTTCTCAGACGTTCGAGATTTAGTGGTTCGAGTAATGGGGACAATCAGGGCGTTTCTCAGCTTGGCCTTGCCGTTTTCGCCCAGCTCAGTGATACGAGAGGCAAAGTAACTGAACAAAATGGTGGCATTGTGTTGGTCCTTGGGCACATTGGACAAGAGGCGGTTGACACAATCGACCATGGGCGGATCTCTTGCAACGCCGAATTTCTGACAAATGTTAGAAAAGACTTATAGCAAGGTGGAAGGGAGACTTACGTTAGCGTGATCATGGAGATCCTTTCGCAGGACATGGAACCCAAGGACAGATGCTCGAGGATTCCAGAAACATTGCGACGGCGCGACGAGCTGGGAACTTCCCTCTAGCGGCATGAAAGCCTTGCGGCTGTCGCCGAGGTTGAACGACGCATACCGGTTTGTGTGGTGATTAGCGACAAAGTATGTCATGGCTGAGACTCTGAGGGCCTCATCCTTGCTTGACATCATGTCGACTAGCTCCGGGACAGCAGGGTGAGGTCGGAGGCCTAGATTCGATAAGAACCGGGCCTCCACACTGCTCGGTCGGTAGCTGCCAGGAGGACCGGGCCATTGTAAAATTGTCAACTGGAGAGCTCGAAGTGAATCCTTGGGCTCGAAGAGCTCGGATACCTTGTATAGCGTATCCGTTCCCTTGGTAGGCTCCATGCCTTTCGGGCCCGCTTCGGCCGGGCAAAAGCGTGTCTGCTTCAATTTGAGCAAATCAGCAGTAGGAATATCCTCGCGAACTGAGGCAAGGTACTTGACGAGCTCAACATGGCTCCACTTCTTCTGCCCCGAATCGCTCGAAGCATTGAGCAGTCTCGTGAAGATTGTCTCAAGATCGACGGTCTTCCGAACTCCAATGGCTACCAGCAACTTCTCCTTCAGTTTGTCGCAGCCTTGGATAACGGGCAGATCATCAAAGAGCTTGACAGAGGGGAAGAATGAATCTTCTGGCTTCTTCATGCCGAGTTTTGTTGGCATCACCGTGTTGGCTCGGAGGAGGGATACCACGCTCGCCCTGGGAATGTTGCCGATGTTATCCCAGTTCTTGGAGAGCACCAGCAATACCTGGGCAGCAAAAGTAGGGGATCTTGTGAGACTTGTTTCCTCTGATCGAGAATTGCTCGTCTCAAGGAGAAACCTCAGCCAAGGCAAAACTTCGAGCGGCTCCCAGCCCAAAGCCTGCAACTCTGGAACATTGGAGTTGGCTGTTAAAGCCTGAGGAATGGTCGTCGGCGGGATGGGCATGTGTGCAGGGATCTTGTTCATGCTCAGATGGTATTGGATGCTGCCAAGGGCAATGATTTCGCCTTGTTCTCCGTCATCGCTCATCGTGCCAACGGCGACTTCGAGCAAAGCTGATCGACTAGGGGGGTCAAGTTCACCACTCAAACTCTTCTTCCCAGCCCAACTAATGAAGTTCATTAACTGGACCCTGTTCATGGCCTTGGCCTCCAGTTCTTGCTTCACGTCCGTGACCGTGATATGAGTCACCAGACCATAGTCTATAATTTTCCTCACGAAGGGAATGTCTTTCAACTCCTTGGGAATGACTGGGATGCTATCCACAAACTTGCTCATCTCGTCTGAGGCGATGCGAACTTGGGATGTTTGTAGGACTCCTCCACTTGAGTACATTTCGATGGTGGCTTTCTTGAAACAAATCCAGAAAGCTTCCTCGATGATCTGTCCAACCTGTCCGCTGGGCGTTGAGTCACCAAATGTGAACGTCTTGAGAATATGAAGAGCCTCTGGCATAAACTTGTTGATGACGGCCGGTGTGATACGGCCATTCTTGTCGGTGGCTTGTTTCACTCGGCTGCTGAGGTCGCTCATTTCGTTCGAGAACGCAAGGCGGGTGATGATGCCCGCAGCACGCAGAATCTCGACGTTCCATGTTCTGACCCATCGCGCATTCAAGTCAATGGCTTCTCTTTCAACGGTCGGGATTACCGAAGGGGCTGAAATGTGCATCCCAGCTCCAGTGGTCTGCATGGTTGGGAAACCAATGAAGATGCGTCCACCAGGCTTCTTGCTTGGAAGGACAGAAGCAAACACATCTGTGGCCTTGCCGACGGCGCCAGAAGCTGCAGCGTCTTGTGAAGCCTGAGACTCGTCGTATGATGAAGTCAAGATGGCAAGCTTCGTAGTTCTGGGTGGAGGCTTCTTGGTGGCACGCTCGAGTTCTGATGCAAATGAGGCTGTGACATTGGTCTTGATGCATGCAGAAGTTGACCGAAGGAAGATGGTTGAGGATGAAAGCTTAGTTACATCCTCCGAGATGGTCACTTGCGCCGCATTCTCCTCGTTTTGTGTTTTTGACTTGAGGGTAGCTTGTGAGGCAGTTGAGGTTAAGCGAGCAAAGAAGGACCGTAATGAAGGTGCTTCAGGGGCACCGTAGGCTTCAGCAGATTTTGTGACTGAAGACGAGGCTTGAGGCTTCCAGCCAATGGCAGCCATGTACGACGCATCAATCTGGGTGCTGGTGCGGTCGACGCTCGTCACCTTCATGAGGCCTTCCTTGGTCCTTGCCTCTAGGTCACGGGGCAAGGGCATATCCACGCTGGGGGAGGACTTCTTTCTGAGTGATAGGATCTCATAGTCATCGATCCAGAACTCGATCTTCTCGAGTGCTACGAAAGTCAGACTCGTTGCCAGGAACTGACTGACGGATAGGAGATTCGGCAAAGGGGTCGTCGTGTTTCGGTAATCGAGGACAAAGGTGGTATGGGGAGTAGCCTGGTCTGCTGGAATGTGAGACTTCTTGGTAAACAGAGCATTCCCCTTCCAGTAAAACGCCATGGCCTCGTTCCCAGAGCTGACAAACGGCTCCTCGCAATCCGCAAAGACACTGTAGAAGCCGACACCGAAAGCACCAATCTTGGTCTCGTCAGGGTTGCCCTCGGCGATGCGCTTTAGCCTGCCCCAGTCCGTCTTTGTGAAAGGCTGGCCATCGTTTTGGACGACGAGCCGGCGCAGGGTGTGATTGGATAGAACGTGCTTCAGGATGTCGGAGCGGTTCGGATTCGCGGGTAGGGGGACTTGGGTCGAGGGGAGCGTCTCCCACTTGACGCTGACGGTCGTAGCCTGGGCGTCGGCGGCATTCTGAATGAGCTCTCGCAACGTCGTCCACTCTCCGGAGTATCTGGCGAGGACCTTGTCGATCAGGGCTCGGGTGTCGACGGTGACGGCCTCTTCATCCTCGCCGTCCCGCATAGCGGCGGCTCGTAGCCTCGAATAGTCCATCGCGGGGACTCGGTTTGGGTGGTTGTCGGTGGATGGTTCAAACCCGCATCGTCCTGCGAGGCGAGGGAGTTATGTAGGTTTCGGATGGGCGACCAGGCCGCACAAGGCGAGGCAAGCAGAGTGGCAAGCAGTGGCAATGACTGTGTGAGGATTGGTCAGGCAGCTGCCGGCGCGGAGACAAAGGGTCAGCAGGCAGGAGGAGTACGTACACGTGCGAAGTTGCGCGGCTTCCAGTGAATTGCACAGAGGAGGAGGATAGAGGCTCTAGGGTGGCGAATAGGGAGAGCGAGGCGGAAGGCTACGGTGGCCTGTCGAGATGTTGTGATGATGCGGGATAGGTTTCTGGCGTTTCTGGCAGATTGGACGCCCGCCGTTGAGTCCTAGAGGCTGCCGCGTTGCACTAAACGGTCCCTGACGTTGTTGCTTCGGAGTTCGGTATCCAACCAGTGCCCCTGTAGCTCAGCGCTTCCAGGGGTTGGTTTAGGGACCCAACGGGGCTGTTAGTGTAATCCTAGTGTAATCCACTAGGCTGCACATGCGCCCTGCACCCGCAGCTCGGTGTACGCACCATGTGACGGGACTGCGTCATTCTCCTGTACGGAGTAGAGAGAAAGCATTGCTATTCGCACACAAGTACGGGCACACTTCAATCCTAAATATGATTACTGACAACCCACCTCGTACAACGTTTAGGAAAGAAATTTTATAACCATCATGTTAGTATTTATTCCCTAATAATTATTTTTGTTCTGTTTGATCTACGCCATTGACACCTCTATAGGTTTACATCAGGTTTTGCTGAATGGGCCTGTTCCTGCGCGAATAGCAATACTCGAGACAAATAGACCCTTGTTATCCATCCCCATCCATGTCCCTTTCTTTGAATCCGGGGAGGCCGTTAACTCTAATTATATTTGACCAATTAAATTTGTTCGTTATTCTGCCTTGTATTTCTGCATGGTCGATGTACGTAGCAGTGCATTTCTAGGAAGCTCGTCTCACCTGCCCTGCCGTTATATTACTTCCTGGGCGGTCTTTTCTGCATTGAAGGAGACCCAGTTCATAATCCTTCAATCAAGTTGAACCTTGACCAATGTATTTTCCTCCTTATGAGTATGGAAGATTTTGGTCCTTAAATTCAATAATCTCTAGTCTTTCCACATTGTTAAATAGAAGTTTCCGACTCATTCCTGTCAACGTCTTTTCAAGCCGCCCATGTGTCCTGTGCCTCTATATAACCCCACATACCAGCCATATTTGAACTACTTAGCTGAATTTGTGTCCGACGACTTTATGGACAAATCCAAGAGGAAGTTGCTTGGGACCAACCCGCTGTGCCCATCCTGGCCATGGACCTCGGCCTCCCACCATCCGTCGTCTTGGTGACGAAACACGGCGAGCAAATCGCCTTTGGCAAAGCCCAGCTCCTCAGGAATGACTGCATAATATCTGTACAATGCGCGTGCTACAAGACATCTCGTTGGTCATGGTTCAATATTGCCTTGCTGTCGTGATGGGGACTCACCGTAATGTAGGATTTGTCTGCCACTGTTGGTGGAGGGCGGAGCATTGATTACGCTCTTGCTTCGTTGACGCGAGGCTTCCTCGTCTCGTCTGGTTGAATGAAGTTCGGGTGATAATCTCTGCGACTCTTCACGTGTGAATCGACCGCTCCAACGTGATGCGCGATATTCATGCGAACGATACGGGCTGATGTCCATGAGGGTTGACCCGCGTGAATCTTCAGGGCGGAGTTGAGTTACAATCCCGCTAGGAACCTCATGACTACCCAAATGATCAGCTTCTCATTTCGGAGGAGTGAGGTAAGGCTATGCTCACGCTTTTGAAGGGATGGGTTGATCATCTGAAAGGATTAATCTGTCTTCGTCAATGTCCCCGCTAACAACGGACTCAGCATATGTTGTCAGTGAATCCAGGTAACGCTCCATCATAAAGTCCCTTCCAGATTTGGTCTGCTCAGAGAGTAATATCCGAAGTCGAGCTACTTCCTCCAGAATCTCATCTGTGTTCTTTTTTACTTGCGAGGACTCATCCCGGATTGCAGCTGTGTCGGCCTTTATATCTTTGACCAAGCATCTGCGATTGTATTAGAGTTGGAATGACAGATTGAAAGTCTCCACCCAGGAGCGTAAGCTGCGACATGACTTACAATTGAATGGCCTCAACAGCTAGCATGAGAGCTGCTCGGTGGGTTTCAAGGGACTGACGAAGCGCATTCACAGCATCCTTGCCGTCCCAAGCCCATCGCATGGCTCCGTTCTTTTTTCCATTGTGTTTCACGAGGAGAGCGCTGATATCGTCGACAACGGCGCCGCATTTATTAACGATGTTTACAACTTGATTTTGAAGCGTCTGGGGTATCATGACGATGGTAGATGCATCATCTTTCAGCAGCTCGAGAACCAGTGTCAGCTCGCTCAGTTCAGCGTGTACGCTGAAGAGGTCGCTGCGGGCATCGCGACAGGTCCGGATAAAGTCGGTGAGGGAAATCACTGTCTTTGCGGTCACTCCGATGAGCGTGATGCACGAAGTGGTGATGGAAAGAGGGTCCATTGGTGTTTACACATGTCGAAGTTCAAGTTTGGTCGCGACGATTGCGAACCGGGAGGGGTAGGGACTTGATAGGGTTGGCGGGAGGCCCAGTCTAAGTCTGCCTGGTTGTTTGGGGGCTGAAAGATGAAATCCGCCTAACGCTGTGGCGATGCAGGTGGCATTAGCGGTACATAGCATGGTTTGGCTCTTGAGACCATGTTGGAAATGGTTATTGTAATTGTAAAAGATTTTGGCCGGGTGTAGGGGATGGAAATATCATGCTCCTTTCCTGACTCTGGCGCACACGGTTTCTTAATAAGATAAACGAGTAGGTTGAGAACAAAGCATGATTTCATGCTGGGCAAAACGGGTATCATTTTCTAATTCAATCGCCGGGATAAACTTAATGTTGTGGCCCTCAATCATTACGACGAGGTTTGGGGCTACCACTCCGCCTGCGGTGCTCCCTGGATCTCGACCGATGGCGGTCTCTGCTCCTGTCCCTCCGTCGACGCTCGCCTCCATCACGGCCTCGGTTCTTGTTGTCAGCGTCCCGGTCTCTGCCCTCGACTCTGCCTTCGACTCTTCTCTCATCTTTTCTCTCGTCTCTTCTCTCATCTTTTCTCTCGTCTCTTCTCTCGTCTCTTCTCCCATCTCTACCCCTATCTCTGCCACCTTCCCTGTCGCGACTACGGCTGCGCCTGTGCCTCCTGTGCCTCCGCTCTCGGTCCCGATCATGATCCCGGCTACGGCTTCCGCTCCTATGTCGTCGTCTTTCTCGCCTGTCGGAATCGCCGTGCCGTCGTGATCGTTCCTTCTTCTCGTCGGCGTCTTCATCGGCGTCGGGTGGTGGCATGCTAGCCGGGCCAATCTGTCTCTGGGCACCAACCTCGACAGCGTTCGCACCCGAGGTGTTTCGCACTGGGACAGGAAGACCAAGTGCCAGTGCAATAGCATCCTCTTCAGCCTCTTTGATTTTGCGCAGCTCCTCCTTTCGCAGCCTCGCTTCGCGCTCCTCTTCGGTTTCGTTGGAGCCGTCCTCGGCCGCCGAGTCTGCTTTGGCGTACCAGTTGAGATCGCGGCCCTTTTGCCATCGCCCGACGGGTGCCTTGAGACTGTGGCCGAGATAGTTTTCGCGGTGGGAGGAGTTTGCGACCTCGTCCCAACTGAAGTTGACGCCACCTCGGGAGCCGGACTTGCGAATGCTGGAGAGCAGATCCATGGCGTTGGTTGCGAATATCGCTGGATTATTAGAGGCGATGTGTTGACCAAACCCAGTTCGGTAGTGTTAGAGTGTAGTCGTGATCCGAGAGGGCGATGGTGGAAGATGTTCGAGGTGAAAATGGAAGGGTTGCTTGGATGCGATCCGCGTCGTCGCAACGCCACTACATTGGAGAAATTGCGGGGCTACTTAAGGTGGCTGCCGAGTGGCCGCTTTTCGTCATGGCAAGTCTCCGTGTAAGCTTGACTGTTACCTTGACACCCAGAGCCGTCACCCAATTTGGCCAGCAAATTTATAGAAAAATAATAGTGGAATAAATGGTATTGGAAGCTAGCTAAATCAGTCTACAGTGCAGTTCCGGAGACCATGAACTTACAGTGGCGAAGGCCCTTGAGTCTACGGATGAAGGGCTGGAGGCTAACATTTATAGGCACACCTCCACCGCTGGTTCTATGCCCCACGACACCGAAGCTTCCCTGGCAGCTGAACTCTCTTTGTGACTTAAACCCAGTGCGTCAACACCAAAAGGTCGAAACAAAGCAACATCCGACATCGCAACGTTCACTCGCAACGGCTCCTCACCGATACTATAAAACGCACCCTTCAGCCCACAGCCGCCACCATGTCCAATCCCAACGACCCTCCCCTCGACGAGATCCAATGGCGCTCTCCCCCCATCGTCGCCAACATGGGCGGCCTGCACTCCAACACGATCCTCTTCTACTTCGCCGAGTCGCCCTTCTTCGAGCGCACCTCCAACAACGCCGTCATCATGAGCCAGGCCATGAACAACATGGCCATGTACCACTTCATCCAGACCCGCGAGGCCTTCGAGGCCCGCCTCAAGACCATGTCCGGCCTCGAGTTCATCGTCGGCGAGGAGCCTGCCGAGATGGCACCTGGCACCGGCACGGGCGTGTGGATAATTCGCAAGCAGACGCGCCGCAAGCTGTACGACGACGAGGATGAGGTGACGGTTCACGCGTCGTACTTTGTCGTAGGGGAGAACATTTATATGGCGCCTACGCTGGGCGACATCCTCGCCTCGAGAATTGTAAGCTCCGCCAGTCCAATCTCCGGCGACGTCTAACCATGTGTACCTAGATGACCATCTCCTCAGCCATCGCAAAGGCTCTCCCCGCCGCCGAAAGTGTCCGAAAGTGGCGCCCATCTCTCGGGCACGTCTACCAACTGCCCCCTGACCAGCCCTCAACGCGACAAAAAGTACAGGACTCCAAGGAGGCCACCCCTATACCAGACGAGACAGGCAAGACCGCGCCCGCTGCTCAAAAGAACGACGAACTATCGCTAGAGAGACTCGCGGAAGAGTCTCTCATGACCCACATGAAGTACGGCGGCGAATACGTCGACGAGAATCCCATCACCGGCCGCCCTGGCGAGTTCCATCTCTCCTCCACAGGCCGCAAGGTCGTGCCTCCGCCGCAACTTGCCAAGGAGGAAGGCATCGGCCGCATCAGCGGACCGACGCTCAACACCAAGTTTGATGACAAGAAGGATGGCAAGGCCGACAAGACGCCCAAGTCGGCGACGGCGCCGAAGCCCAAGCGGAGAAAGAGCAAGATGAGCACAAGCACGCCCACAGCGTCTTAGCAAGTTCTAGAGTGTTGAAGAAGAGGGGCCATGGCGTTATGTTCTGTAAAATTAGATGGAAGTTTTGTATTTTTACTTTTGATACCCAATACACGGCGCTAAATTGCAACAAAGAGAATGGTTTTGTGAAGCACCGAGCAATTGTCTTCATCATGCAATATGAATCGGATTGGATTGGTTTAACTCAGAACGACTCCAATACGATTTTGTCCATTCAAATGAGGTATCTTGTCTATATGCATCATGTATACCTAGTACTTTTGTCCATTAACCCTTATGTTCACTCCACAACCCACCCCTTGCCAGGGACCTTCTTCTGCTTCACCTTCTTCGCCGGCAGGGGCCATCCTTGACCACCGGTATTCTCTGCTCGCAGATACGGCACGACGAAGCACTCTCTCACTGTTGTCCCATCGACTCCTGTCGTTGACTTGAGCTCCTTGATTGGCTTGCCGTAGGTAATCAGCGGCGTTCCCTTGGCCAGGCCGGCCAGTTGACCGCCGGTGACATCGGTGAGAGCGTGCATTCTGGTTTTGGGGCGCTTCTCGGAATCGAGTGACTGGGTGGCTCGCTGGAGGTATGAGTAAACGATGTACTCGGGGCACTCCTGGATGCTGCGGTGGGCGAGCGGGGATGAGGGATGGATGTACACCGCGGCATCACTCTCCACCTCATTGCCGGTGTGGATAGGGATGAGAGGAATGTACGGAACGTCGATTGCCCGGCGAGGCTTGCGGAAGTGCTCGGGAGGGTTCGGCGTCAGATCCGCTCGGATAGCGACCTGATCAATGAAGCCCGCAGCGACCATCTGCTTCAGGGCGGCGACCTGCTTGGGCAGCGGAGGGTCCAGCTTGTCCTGGAACTTCAGGTTGGCAAACGCCGAGACGTTGGCGCGCAGGAGCTCCGTGATCTGCTTGCGCAGCTGCTGGATCTCCTTGAGCACCTTGTATCGCACAAAGTGGCTCTCGCACCACTGCTCCGTCGGCTCGTGCGCAAACTCGCCCACCACCTGGAGGAGCTTGATGGCGTCGGACCGGTCGTCGAGGAAGCAGAAATTCTTCTGGACCTCGTTGTACATCTTGCGCACCATGGCCTGGCGATCCTCGGCGATGATGTCCTCGGCCGTGCGGATGGCAGCGTCGTCCTTGGCCGCGAGGGTTGGGATTGCTTGGTTCTCGGGGATGAACACCTCGGCAGCGGAGAGACCAGCCACGAGCGCAATCGTGTAGGGGAGGCAGTCGTGTAGGTGGCCGACGAGCAAGATACGTGAGAACCGCGGCGACAGGGGGAACACGGACATGGTTGTGCCGACCTGGGTAACTTGGCCGGTAGAGGAAAGAGCAGAAAGATATGTGAGTAGCTTCTCCGACTTTGCCAGAGCTCGTCGATCTGGAGGGGTGGGGAAGGGGAAGTTGACGACATGCTGGAGGTTCATGGCCTTCAACTGCAGAACGACGCCCTCGATGGGCATCCTGAGAAGCTCCGGGTCGGTAAACGCCGGGAAATCTCGCTCATACACGGCCGAGGAATACAGCCTGTAGCAGTGGCCAGGCCCCGTTCGACCGGCACGGCCAGATCGCTGGTTCGCGCTGGCCTTGCTGATCCAGCCAATGTCGTAGCTCTGGACGCCGCTGACTCGGTCGTATTGTCTCTCCTTTGAGCGTCCGCAGTCAAACACGTAACGGATTCCGGGGATGGTCAAACTGGTTTCCGCAACGTTGGTTGCCAGGATGACTTGCCGAGTGCCCTCAGGCGCCGGCTCGAAGACTCGCATCTGCTCTCGAGTGGGTAGGAGGGAGTACAACGGCAGCACTCGCATCTTGAGCGGCGCAATTTCTTGGTCCTCCTCGATCTGGAATTCGTCTTCTTCATCATCTTCGTCATAATCATCTTCGGACGGGAGGTCATCAAAGTCGTCGCCTTTTCGGTTGTCATCCACGTCGCCAAACTCTATGTCCTCCACTTCAATAGGTGCCTCGCTCGCTGAGATCTGGACCTTGAGACCTTCAGCAGTTTTCGGGCCGCCAAAAGCTTCCTTCAGGCGCTTGCTGAGCTCTATGATTTCGTTGCGTCCGGTCAAGAAGACGAGAATATCGCCCGGAGGCAGCTTCTTGTGGCCGCGGCTAATCTTGCGGAAGGCCTCCTCAACATAGTCGTGGTGAGTCCGTCGGGAGAAATGCATCGTGACAGCATGCTGTCGTCCCTCAACCTCAAGCACGGGCGGCGGGGTCGCAAACAGAGTTGGGTTCATGGTGAGATCCTCTATCCTCAGCGTGGCAGACATGATGACCAGCTTCAGGGGCTTGACCTTGGGATCCTCCGCAGCGAGCTCAGCGCGCAGCTTGATGACTCTGCTAAGCATTCCAACGAGGATATCTGTGTTGACGCTTCTCTCGTGGGCCTCATCAATGACAATGGCCGAGTACTTGCGGAGAGTGATGTCCTGAGCGATCTCTCGGAGCAGGACACCATCCGTCATAAACTTAACCGCCGTCTTCGGGTCAACCGTGCCCTCAAACCGAATCTGGTAGGCCACCACGTCTGAGTGGTCTCCCAACTCCTCCGCGACTCGCTTCGACATACTGACCGCGGCGACTCGACGCGGCTGCGTGATACCGATTAGGCCAGGCGTAGGTGAGTCTGGCGAACCATATCCGGCCTCGTAAAGGAACTGGGGGATCTGCGTCGTCTTTCCGGAACCTGTAGAACCGCAAATGACGACAATATCATTGTTGTGGATCGCTTCCATGATCCTCTGCTCCTCCGAGACAACCGGAAGCTTGAGACGTGCGTCCTGAACCTCTGGGGTTCGGGTAACGGTCACGCTGTACACTTTCCGGTTGGTGTTCCCTGTCGGCTGGAGTTCCATGGGCAACGGATCTGACTCGGGAGCTCGGGGGACGAAATTTTCGGGTTGGGGGATGATCATGTTTGAAGTTGTTGGTTCGGCGGGATCGTAGCCGAGGGCTGCGTTGCGTTGTTGGTTTGCCCATGCCTTGAATGAGGAAGATCTCTGAGCATTTCCCTCCTCGTCCATTTCTTCGTCAGAGTCCTCCTCTTCAGAGTCTTCTTCGGAGCTCTCCTCGTCGTCCTCGGCCTCATCTTGCTCCTCGCTCTCATCCTCGTCGCTATCCTTGCCGTCGGCTCCATCATCGCTAAACCCATTCCATTCGTCCGCCGACTCGTCGCTGTCCTCCTCGCTGTCCTCAGACTCTTCGGATGGCGGCGCCTCGACCTTGGCCAGCGAAATCTTCGACTTCACACCGCCTCGCTTCTGTCGCTTCTGAATGACAGGCCGTCCATCGTCGCCGAGGTCTAGGGGTCGCTTTAGGCCTGAGCCGATCGAAGCTGGCGTAGGCTTTGCCTGGGCTGGTATTTCGGAAGCCACAACAGATTTTGAAGACGGCTTCTCTAGTTCCGAACCGCTCTCGCTCTCGTTGCTGTCGTCTTCGGCCACGGCCTCACGCCTCTTCACATACAGCAACGCCTCCCTGTCTGCGTCTCCCTCCAATCCCGCCTTCTCCTCCCTCATAGCCCTGCTAATCGCCTGCTTTTTCGTCTCCCTGCCCTGTCCCAAGGATCGAGTACTGGAGAACAGACTGGTGTCGACCTTGCGCTCGGCCAGCTTGGCCATGAGCTCTCGGTTCTCGTCCTTGCGGAGCTTGCCCTCAATGTACTTCTCCAGACGCTTCGCCTTCTTGCCGCTCATCTTGGCGCCCTCTTGGAGAAGCTCCTTCTTCATCTGCGCCTTCTTCTCCTCGTGGGCGAGCCTGTGCTCGGGGAGCAGCTCCTCTGTGTTTGTGTCCTCGACATCATGGCGGCCGTTGTCTTTTGCTCGCTCACGAGCCAACACCTTGTGCTTTCTCTGGCGGGGGATATACTTGGCCATGTTGGGTGGCGCTGTATGTAATAATTGGCTTGACCCCTTGGATTTTCAACGAGGCGACCAGCACGTCGCAAGTTCGTTGACATGAAAGTTGGTGGCCATGGGTTCATGAAATTTTGGGACTGAGCCGTTTTGCCTCCCGCCACCGCCAGAATCTCCAGCCACTTTGAGCCTAGTGCGGGGTGGTGGGGCCTGTCGCAACTCCACACGGCATCTCATCGCCTCCGCCGTTGTCATCGGGAGCTTTCTTCCACTCAAACTACGGGAGAAACGAAAAGAAAACGAGAACACCTTAATTTCCAATATGGAAGTTACCGATGTTAGAGAAGAGGCCTTCCCCGCCCCAACCCGAGAAGCCTCTGGGCTCGTCAACGGAGTCGCAACGGAAGTGACCTCGACCAGCTTCTCCGACAAGATCCTCATCACCATCTCCCAAGAAGGACGCCTCTCTCAATGGGTACGGGCATATAAACATCACCTATCAGATATATTTCCTAACTATTCCCTCAGATCCAGGTTCCTCTGACAGGTTCCTCCGCCGGCATGGTGGAGATGACACTGCCCAGCATGAACAAGGGCCTCCTACCCTCAACCCACCTGACCCCCAAGACACTGCTAGGCGGTGGCGGCGACGACCGTGAAACGCTTGGGCAACTGTACGCATCGCAACTTGCGAGTCACTTGTCTTTGAGGTCTCCTGATGATCGACGGACACTGGTTTTGGGCCTGGGACTGTCTAAGATTGATACCGAGCGCGAGGCTTTCTTCGATCTGCTAGAACTCACCCAGAAGGTCCTGTGAAAAGAGACCGAGATCTTTGGTTTCAAATCACATATCGCCTTTTGTTAAACGGACTGACGAGCTGGGCGACTGTGGACAGATTGAACGCCTCAGCGAAATGGTAACTTCGGCCCACTGTTCAACTGGAAGCCCATTTGTGGTGCACTCACAGTGAGTGGGGTCTCGATTACAGCAATGAGCCAACCTGACCCCAAACACAATCCCAATCTCGTCAAAGTCCTTCGGACTTTCCAGGGGAGACGAATGGCTTGAAACACTTTTGTGTTCTTTTAGTACGAAATAAGGCTATCCGCAGCTAGTTGTCTCTTAGGAGCGTCTCTAGTAACCAAATACTATCAAGCAAGACTCATATGTCTTCTATTTGAGTTCCACATAGTTGAAACACAATATCGAGCAACTTAGACTACGGATATATGTATAAAAATAAGGGGCTCCGATCATGTTCATGTATTCATTAAGGTGCATCGCCGACTGCGACCCGTGAGTGGTCTGGCGGCTTCTAGACAAGTGTCCAACGCTGTCTGCAGTTTCTAGCGCCCAAGCATCACCATTCATCATCCACCTCAATTTTGCACCCTGTTTGCGGGTGTTGAACCATGGCCCTGGCCTGGCAGTGACCCGGGACTCGGCCCTTGAAACGAAAGTGATAAAAATGACAACCTCAAACTACACAAGCCATGCGTCATTGGTTCCAATCGATGAAACCATCCGCTTCCATGCTCAACGTTCGTATCAAAACGTAGATGCTACTGTACAGCCATGTTTCATGACGATGGTGCTGTTCGAGGCTTGCGATCCCTGTGGGTCAAAGTCAGCATGGTCAGTCAAAACAACCGAGGCAAGAGAACAACTTACGTGCTAAGCCTCCTGGACAATTGCTGCAACTTGGTATCGTTGTTGGCGTCTTCCGCAGCCTTCTGGAGGGCAACCTGTCGCTCCTCCTCCTGGTGCTTGACCACCTCCTCGTGGCTGGGAGGGAGCCTCTCGTTCTGGATATCGACCTTGCGGGCATCCTCAAAGTTGTGGATGGCATTCTTCAGACCCTCGGCACCCAGCATAAGCGTACCAGCGGGGAGTCTGCCACCAGAGGCCGTCTTGAGCTCAGACACCCTCTCCGACTCCTCACGAAGAACCTGGAACACTCGGGACAATCGGCCGATGGCAAGAATCTTGTTCTTGATTGCTCGTCTCTTGTATTCGATCGACTCGGGATCCATGTTGGGGCTCGAAGCCGAAGGCGAGATAGGGCCGGGCGATGACGCCGAGGGAGTGTCGTCCTTAAGCTCCTCCTCGGAGCACGTGCTCAAAATAGCAATGAGCATGTCGGTGATCTTCTCGCCGACGAAAGGCAGCGACCAGGTGAAGACATCCATAAAGTTGGGGAGCCAGTAGGGGTGAGGAGTGCAGTTGAACTGTCGGATGTTCATAACGTTGTTCTCGTACTTGAGAACGGCGGCCTTGTTGTTGTAGACATCGAGGTAGTTCGGGGCGGAAAAGATGGTCATGACACTGGGGAAGCCGGTAGTTCGGGTTTTGCGATACATTCTGTAGCCGGCATCTTGGGCTTCGTGGGCTCGGATAATCGAGAGCAGGTTGTTCTTCTCGAGGAACGCGCAGGCGGCGGGGTACGAGAAGAAGTATGAGCAACCTCGGACGTGGTTGTGGAGGAAGTAGTCGCTGGTCTTTTCCTGGCCAAAGTCCTCGAGAGGGTCAGCCCAGAGGATGTCGCACATGATGCCCTGCGTGGGGGGTTCTCGGAAACGATCAATCTAAGCACAAGTCAGTCGAGTTTAACTACAAGAAAGCGCAATGGGGGTAACGCACGCCTCGTAGGTCATCGAGTGTGTGCAGCTCGGGGCTCAGGCCTCCGTGGATGCAGAGGAACTGCTTGTTCATAACGGCAGCCAGGGGCAGGGCACAGAAGGACTCCATACAGGCGTCGTAGATGGTCTCGGAGTACTTGTGCTTACACTCGAGCTTGAAGGTGAAGTAATCGGTCAAGTGGCGACACTCGTGGTTTCCTCGCAGCAGCCACAGGGACTGGGGGTAGTGGATCTTGAGGCACCAGAGGTAGAGGACGCATTCAATACTGAAGTAGCCACGGTCGACGTAGTCACCAAGGAAGAGGTATCGGGTTTCAGCAGGGTCGCCGCCGACCTCGAAGAGCTTCATCAAGTCGTAGTACTGGCCGTGGACGTCACCGCAAACGGTGATGGGGGCGTCCATCTCGAGAAGGTTGGGCTCGGCGCGCAGGATCTCGGTACCCTTGTTGAGGATCCAGAGGGCCTGCTCATCGGTGAGACGGCCCTCGCGATAGAAATGCTGCTTGAGGAAATTGATGTCGGGCTTGGTGTGGGTGTCATCCTCGAAGAATTGCTCGTCGGTGGGCTTGAACATGGCGGGGGCTTGGACGTCTGGAGAGCCGGGAAGGCGGTGGAGTTAGCCAAGATGGAATTCATTTTTGTCGGAAACAGCATCATGATTGTTTGAGAGGCGGGCAACGTGCAGAGACGGCGAAAACAGGCTCGTTGGGTGTAGATTTCAAGGCAGATTGGTGGTGATGGTGGGGTCCAAATCGAGGATGGAGGGGGAATCTCACGCACCTTTGCACACGCGCTCCATGGTGTTGACCTGGGTGCCATCCTCCATGGTATGGATAGTGAAGTCGATCTCGGGGACGGGCTTCTTCTCCTGGATCGCGCGGATGGCGTTGTCGACCTGGGCATTGTGACGGTCGTCGACCGAGGGCGGAGAGTTGGCGTCGCCTTCGGGATCCATGACGGGCAGTTAAGGCGTGGGTTAGGGGGTTGCTGGAGTGGGAGAAGGACGAGCGATGGCCGAGCCGGCGGCGGTGAGACAGCGGGAGCAGCTGCGTCGAGCGGTCGTCGCGGGGCCTCGAAGGGAGGAGGAATGCGATGGACAGCAACGGGGCACGGCGGGCGACGGACGCAGGAGGCAGCGCGAGGCGGAGGGGAGGAGAAGGGACGAGAGTTGTGCAGAGAGGATGTTGCGAGATAGGGCTGACAAGGAGAGAGGAAGTTGGGGCGTTGGCTTTGGGCGACGGTGAGAGCGAGGGCGGGCAGCGGCCAGCGGGCTACGGCCAGCGGGTGGGCTGGCTGAGAGCAGAGTGGCGGGCGGGAGCTTGGATGGGTCAAGAGAGCACGGGGCGGGTAGAATCGAGGGGGACTCGAGGTACCCTTTGCATGGCGTCGCTGCCGGAGAAATACTTGTCACGGCCGCTAGCGGTACCTGCGCCGACTTGGGAAGCCCAGGTGCAGTGTTCCTGGGGGTGGTCGGCGCGGCCCAATCAGGGGGCTGGCGATCCCCAGCTGTGGTTTTCCTTTTCTTCCAACTCGCGTGTCCACCACGACCCGACGACGGGCTTTTTTTCTTGCCCCCTCTCTTCTCTCCTTTGCCCAGATTCCAGACCACGGGCCATAACGACCTGTGGACGATGCTGTTGGCTCTTTGCCGCGAGTACCAATCGCCGACTTGGCCTCCAGGACCCCTACCGGCAGAAGCCGCATGTCCAGCCCCGTTGCCCGCCTTGTGGCTGCTGAGATTCAGATCAAGATGGAACCCCTCTTTTTGAACAGCTTCCCGCCACCGTCTCCCTGGCTGAAAGACATTCATTTCTTTTCATGTTTTTATTAGGAAACCCCGTGGGCCCGCCGTCCTACCGAAATAAGGTAGTACGGGAATATCTCGTGTCCGGCGGTCCTGCGCTGTACTGCTGCTAGCTTCCTCTTATTAGGTGCCTCCTTTATTAATTCTGCCTTGGGTCTGACGGATGAGGGGCTGTCTGTCTCTGTCTGTCGCTGCCCCACGCAACGCCAATACCCCGACGCCCAACGGGGTCCAGAACCAGAGACAAACGCCTAGAGCCTCGCAATCCGAGGTCGAGTGTCTCAAACACACATCCATCCGCCGTCACCGCAAAGGGAGGCCGCCCGCTGAGTGGGCAACCTGGTCTCGCTTTGCTTCTGGCCGTAATTAGATTCTCGGTCTCCGAGCAGTGCTGCCTGGCCGCCTCGGCGCCTCGTCGCCTTACGTATCCCCTGTGCGGCTCACTATACCGTCATGGATTCACCAATCAGTTCGGGTCATGTGAATGATGAAGTGTAACGATTCTGGGTATCTGCAGAGTCTGTACAGATGTACGAAGTACAGCAATCTCACCTGGGGATTTCCTGAGCACGTGCGCGTGTAGGGAGTCCCGACACTTCCAGCAAACTATCCCGTGCCGCTCTGAACGGGTAGGTCGGTCTATGGTCTGAGTAGTGACGTCTAAGTAATTCCAGTCATAATGAAATCAAAGAAAATATCGCGTTTCTTCCGCTACATCAAGGCAACGTGTAGCCACCGTCGACAATCATGTCCAGGCCAGTCGTGTATGATGAAGCGTCGCTAGCCAAGTACAGATACGCCCCCTTCAACTCGCTCGCCTCACCCTCTCGGCTACACAATGTTAGTTCAAATGACGCTCAAATATAATAGAGCGATACTCACCCCATCACTGTCCTGCCCTTCCATTGTGCCTTTATGTCCTCTGGCGCAAAGTGTGTAATTTCCGTCTTGATGTAGCCCGGCGACACTGTGTTGCACCGCGCGAAACCTGTCCACTCCACAGCTAGACTCTTGCCTACAAGCCACACCGTCAGTCTCCCCAATCTCCACAGGCTCAAGGGACAAGCGGAGCACATACAGAAGTGGATAACAGCCGCCTTGGAGGCATTGTACACGCTCTGCAGCTGCGGCACATTGACGATGCTGCCGCTGATGGACGCCGTGGCGATGAAGCTGCCCGCCCGGAAGTTCTCGAGCGGCCGGCCGTCGAGCGTCGTGCCCTCGGTCTTCTGCCGGCGGAAGTGCGCGCCGGCGCTCTTGGCGCACCACATGACGCCGTCGACGTTGACGGACATGACCTTGCGGGCCATCTCTGCGGGGCCGTCGAGGAATGGGCCGTCGGTCCAGGCGATCCCTGAGTTGGCCACGAAAACGTCCAGGCGGCCGTCGAACTCGCCGACGATTTCGTTGATGGCCTCGTCCACGGCTTCCGGCGAGACGACGTTTACTTGATAAGCCTTGCCTGTTTACCATCAGCCTCGGTTCCATGGCTTAAACCGGGAGGATCCTGGAGATTCAGAGACAAAGCGGCCGACTTACACTTGACACCATACTCTTTCTCAATGCTCTCAGCCTCGGCCAGAGCCTGCTTGTTGCTGTTGTACCAGATAGCCACGTTGGCACCCGCCTCGGCCAAAGCATGAGCCACGGCAAGGCCAATACCCGCCCCAGCACCCGAGACGATCGCGGTCCGGCCCTTGAGGGAGAAGAGGGGCATCACACGGTCCGACTTGGGAGCCTCGGTGTTGTCATGACGAAAAACTCCGTTCTTCATGTCTGCCATGATGACGGTGTTGCTTATCGATGAGTTGAGGAATATCGAGTCTGAACGATTCAAGAGTAAAGAAGGCCTTTTATGTCACACTTCCAGGGACGACAGATACGGAGTTCGCTTTGCAGAGAGGAGTACAGATCGCGGTGGATGGGTCTGGATAAACATCTGGGGAAGACCCGCCACCAGGCACGCGACAACAACCTTTATATAGGCCGCCCGTCTTACAAGGACGCTCCCCTCACTCCTCGCCGGCAGTCCACCTCGGTGCGTCCTCTCACAGCGCGGCTTGCGACATTTATCGTGCACGCCAGACAACCAGAGCCGTGCCAGATATGCCGCCCCGGTCCGTCTCTCTCGGCGTCGATGCACCACAGGTGTGGAGCCGGTGTAAGTTGCGATGCGGACGGGAGTGGACTGGCCGGGCTCGCTCCACTGACTCGCGCACCTATCAGCTCGCCGCTCCTGCTCCAGACGTCATGATGGCGGGACTTTGCCCGTTGCTGAGCCTCTCTCTCAGGCCTATCTGGAGTTTGTTCTCTGTTGGGTAGGTAGCAGGATCTTGCAAGGATCCCCGTTTGGGGTTCCCTTCTTTCGGCCCCGCCAACTCAGGCGCCTCCAACCTCCCCGCGGCCGTTTTCGAGTTTGGCGAGCCTGTCAGAGACGCCTGAGCCGGCCGCGGTGCCCACATGTACAATAGCCCCTGGCCTCCCGTTTATAACCATGGGCCTCGGGCTTCCCCCGTTACTGGGCGAAATGGCAGCGTCACTATGTCATACACGGTGAGCAAGGTCGCATGGAGTGGACCCTTCGGCTCATTTTGGAAAGAGACAGTGGAGGAGGGGATCTTCGGCTCTCTCGTCATAGTGCTTTTAGTCTACCGTCGCGACTACGGCGGCTGCTGGGGAAGTTCGTTGGTTCGACCACCCGCAGGTCGGTTCCAATCATGCCACCGAGAAAAGGCCGCCAAGGGCCTTGCTACGGCGTATTGTCATGGTTTCCCCTTGCGGCTCATAGACAAACGACCCCCTTTCCCTCGACAACGAGGGCTTTCAGGGTGCCCGTGTTATCGCCGCCTCCTCCGCCTAATCCCGCGGCGACGACCGCGACCTGAGGTTCAGGTTCCGTCCGATGATTGTCTCGTACGAGTAGTTGGTCACTCGGTAACGGGACACGAAGTCGTCCCGAGGAACTATTGAGCGCAAATGTGAGCTATGTCATGCGACAATACGCAAATAATGTGGATGAGACTTACTGTACGCCCCGCAGATGCGACGGATACCTTCGAAGGCGGCTCTTCCGTGCATAACCCTCCAGTTGTCAAATACTGCGAAATGATCTAGTCAGAGCTGCAACTGATGGTCGAAGCATACTTGGAAGACTTACCGACGATACGACCTGGCGTCAGCTGGAACCAGTACTCGCTTGTCCGCCGCTTCAGAATCGAATTCCACTTGCGAGCAGCGCTGTACCACTTGTCCGCCTCATACAAGTTCAAGATTCCGCGGTCGTCGTTGTTCCAGCGGACCTTGGTCAGCACGTCCCCGTCCTGTTCGATGACTGGGTAGGTCTGGTCTGGCGAAATGGCAATGCCCTTATTTCCGCTGGCGTGCCAAGGGACCCTGGTGGTTCGAAGGGTCTCGTACGCATCAGGGAATTCCTCTTTCAGAATGGTCGCTGCGTTGAACCCATCGACGAGCAGCGACTGCCCGCCCAGGGCCTCGTCAGTTGGCTTCGCATTGGGAGGCGCCGAGTGGGAGAGCAGGTGGAAAGCCTGGAGGCCGGCCGGCTCGGTAAAGTATGTCGTGTCGGTGTGGGCTGGGAGGGCGAGGTTAGTGTAGGCGGTATCGGCCAGAGCAAGGTCGGGGATGAAGTCGTAGAAGCCTCCATAGTGAGTCGTTCGAATAGGGCCAATCTTTCCTAGAACGGCCTCGGTGGCTTCTGGTGTTGGTGGTGTGTCGACGATGAAACTAAAGCCATGGACCCACTGCTGATGTGAGAGATGTCTCTTGCTTGCGAATTATATGATGCCTTACAATGTTTTTGGTAAGCTCGGCCATGCCCGTCACGTCAGACTCGCTCATGACGGCATCGAAACGGACCTCGGGAGGTGAGGCCTCAATGCTCGAGTTCCAGTGGATCCGGGCACTAGACTGTTAGTTTTTGGAGGCTTCGTAAGAAACGGTAGAGTCCAACTTACTGGTCTTGGCCAAATTGTTCAGCATATCCGCCGTCAAACCAACTCTCCAGCCATGACCAGGGGTGCTGGCTTTTGTGGGAATCAGACCCTGTCGCTTGTTTAGTCCTGTATCAGACGGTCGGGGTTTGGGGTTAAAATACATTGGACTTCCAGATGCGCCTGGGTCTCTGCAAAATTGACCGGATGGATGTCTTCTGGCAACTACACCACCGGGGTGAGCACGTCGGTCGCTAACACTATTATGCGGTTAATTACCTGGAATGTGTCAAAGTTGCGTTGCCTCGTGTCCTGGTTAACACATTGAGTGCACTGGCAATTATCTCTATTCGGTCGATTAAGTATTTTGGACAAGCAATCGATAAATGAGTAGGCTTACCGGAGCCAGAGATTAGGGCTGTGAAGCAGGTCAGCTCAGCAATGCACGCCAAGACACGAAGCTGGGGCTACGACTTACAAGGTCCGATGAGCTGGCCGCCCCTTTTGCTCCTTGCTGAGACTGATTTGGGGGCCATCGGAGAGAGCCACAGTTCTCCCAGAAGAAAGCCATCGGCTGGAAGTAGACGCAATGAACCTAGCTATCGGGGCCTGACGTTTGGTGTGACGAAGTGTCGAGGTCGCAGATCGGCCCAGCAGAGCGGCGGCGCTATTGAACACCAAAACTTAGCTTTGGTCCAGTCTGGCTGCGGGCGACGGGAATCTTGGCCACCAAGACATGGTGGGAGGGGAGTTAACGGGCGCAATTGAAGCGGGCATGCGTACCTTGAAGAACGATACGCAACACCAAAACGACCAATCATTGTCACAGAACGGAACGTAGTTCAAGGGATGTTTTCAAATGGTCGCCAAATGCTTCAACAGGCTTGGAGATTCCAAACACCGCTGTGCCTCTTTGTGGTGATGAAGCTGGGATCCCCTCCGTCCCAGTCGGGTGGTTTCAGGGCGGGCCAATGGTTTACTCAGACCTCGGCAGACGGGGCCCCCGATAATCGCATCTCAGCTTCCGACAGTAACCCGTGGAGAAGAGGAGCGAGCGCTGGAGAGGAGTCGGCATGAGCAATGCATGGCGCATGCGGTGCGGTGGACTTGCAGGCCTGTCTGTGACTGTTCCTTTTCTCTGCATGTGCGTTGCGGTGCAATGTGTTAGTGAAGCCGGCTGGATGCTCTTCTCTCTCCGTGCTGGCCGCTGCTTGGCCCTGTCTCATGTGGTACACCGGCTGAATCCTGCGGTTCTACTGCGTTAGCTTCACCGACCGTTTAACAGTTTGTGTCTGTTGGTGACGTTGGTGACCGAAAGGAGACATAACACACACGGGACCACAGCAGCATGCGTCAGTCTATCCCATCATCCATGCATCCTCTTCGTCCCATGCCGTCCTTCACCATTGAATCATTGCGCCTGGCCTGCGGGGAAGCTCGGGCCTCAGCTACCCGTGCCCCTCCCCATGGGCCATTCGTTTCCGCCCAAAAGGGGAATTCGACCAAGCCATCCTTGTGCACACAAAGTTATTGCTGTACTGCGATATTCCCAGCAGCCTCTTTTTGATCCTCACCTTCGCAATCTAACAATCACCACTTCGCTCCGTCGCCTCGTTCATGCTTCCCCTATTCCACGTAAGGCATCAAAGGGTGCCATCCAATTCTTGACCATGCTCGGGCCTCCTCCTCCTGCAGAACGTGGCGGTATCAGCTTCCAATAAAGGTCCCTCCCCCCACAAGTTTAAGCGCCCACCTCGCGTCCATCAACCGGCCGCCGCTGCGAGACCAAAGGCTCCCTGGCCCGTCCCATCACTCACAGCGCCGCCATGGTCCCAAGGCTCTGGGACGGACCCAGACACTCCTTTGGCTGCAGGTACCAGGGCCAGGTTCAAGGCATTCTCGGGCATTACTTGTCGCCGCCGCGCCTATCTGGGCTTCGTGATTGGCGCCACCACGCGATCCGCGACCTAAGGCTGACTTTCTGCTACTCTTCACAACCAACATGCAGATGGACGTGCTCGATGTAAGGTGGACCAACAGCAGGATCAAACATGGCAACCAACCTCTTCTTGCACTTGGCCCTTTATTATCGCCAGGGCCGCTGCGCGGCGTCTGCAAGAGAAGCGCCTCCTCATCCTTCCCTCCTGTCACCGCGGCTTTCCTGACCTCACCTCTGTCCCATGTTGAGTCGCCATGGCTTCACTACTATTTCTCCCTCACGATGGAATCATCCTCAAGATATTCCTCGTGGTGGCTTCATTTCTTATCGCTCCATCTGTCTCTGCAGCAGTGGGAGTGAAGCTCAGCCAAAGGTCGCCGCCACCATATCAAAGACCTCAGCTGCTAGCTTCGAGACTCTTTGATCGGGATGATTCATCCTGTGCCCTTGAGAATTACACGCAATGTGGCAGCCAGGTCCCAGACAACTTATGCTGCCCCGATGACACCAAATGCATGATCATCGCCTCCAACACGACCATCGTCTGTTGTCCCAATGGATCTGATTGTGGCACCATCAAACCTATCGTCTGCAATGTGGCCCTTCAGGATACAGCGAAGCACCCAGGCTCACCTATCCAAACCCTCGCCCTCAACGCCTCTATGGAAACATGCGGCAGTGCATGCTGTCCGTTTGGCTATATCTGCGAAGGCGACTCGCAGTGCGTCCTCGACAAGTCCCAGGACGACTATGACTACCTCATGATGGAGTCTAAGTCTAAGTCCTCTACATCAAAGACCACATCCACGACCACACTCGCGACCAAAACCACATCCACGTCCACATCCACGTCTGCAGCAACGTCTGCGCTGGTTGTGGAGACATCCGAGGTGCCCAATTATGTTGTTCCGGAGCCGTCCTCAACAACGTCAACCGCTGCCACCGAGTCATCCACCTCAGATGACAACTCGGACGACGCCAATAAGGGCAACACTACCCCTACCGGTGTAGTAGCTGCGGGCACCGTTGGCGGGGTCTGTTGCCTTGCTGCGCTTGGCATATACATTTGGTTAAAATGGTTTCGAAAGAAGAGATCATTCACAAACAGCCCACAAAAAACCTCAAGCGAGGAATCTTGGGGCTACTTTTCTACCCCAGACAGCACACGCCGTGTCTGCCTTGCTCGGGGCCCCGATGACAAGTTCATCGTCACTCCTAGCACAGCTGGGTTCTCACCTCCTCCGGTTCTCCAGGAGCCTGGTTATCGAGATAACTCGGACCCTGTGGAACTCCCTGCGACGCCTGTTTCACTGTGCATGTGGATGAATCTTGAGGATGCGTCGGTGGAGGAACCCAAGTTGGCGTATGTTGTGCCGGCCAAGCATCCAAACCGGAGGTGACGAGGTGATGGGGTGGATAGGGGAACAAAACACGAAACGACCACGACGATTATGATGAACAATTTATGACAGCGAAAACTTATGAGCCTTTTCTTTTCTTGTATATTTTTCTTAGATTTTATGATTTTGATCATGGGCGGCGACTCTTTTCAGGCACATTTGGTGGCCAGAAACAGGATACCCTTCAGGACACAGTACTATGCCATCGAGCCGCATTTTCAATACACTATGGTCTTGCAATGATACTTTGTTGCCTTGTAGCGAGTTAAACCGAGATGGCCAGCTTGGAATAATGAGTGATTCACTTATTGTGTGAAAATGGCTTGGTGTGGTGAAGTGTAGGTTAGCCAAACACTGCGACCTACAGTGGGATGCACAGAGTTTGAGCCCGATCCAAGTCACTCGCGCAAACGCTAGTCCATATTGAGGTACAGTTCATGACCAATATAAGTTAAGGGTTCAGGTAAAGATTAGGGTAAGTACTTCTATTTATCTTTATTGTTTACTTATTTGGGGGTTTTTTTTTTTCCAAAGACGCCTTATTATAAGTTGGGGATGCTAAGGTAGTCAAGCTCTTACAGTACAAGGATTTAGGCACAAACTTTCTGCGTCACACACGTGGAAGTGTACAGTGTGCGAACAGCCCCATGGATTCCACACGGTGTCACATTTGTCCTCCAACACAACTAGTTGGAAAGATTCACATTGAATTCAAGCAACACCCTTCCAATCAATCGCCCGTGACGATCCAACCAAGCATTTCCCGACGCTCCTGACTTGAAAACGGCTGGCTTTTCCATTGATAAACCGACTCCGCCATCAACGCGACTGCGCTATACGTCTCCAAGTCGCGCCGACACTGCGGAGGCCATGGCTGGCTTGCCCATCGATCGGCGCCATCTACAAGCTTGATCACGGGTCTTCCTGCGTCGCGAAGCTAGGACGAGACCGACGACCCCCGAGCCTCCAGCAATGACGGCCCAACATCCCGCGTTCGAGACCTTCTACGACGATCAGGTTACGGCGCACCGACAACTCTACTCTCGCGAAAACGTCTGGGACCGACTGTCTCAGCCAACCATCCTCGTTTCTACCCTTATCCTCCTCGTCACCGTCGGCTACAACCTATATGGGTCCTCAGCCACTCTTGAAGGGACGATATCGCTACTGGGAACGTGTCTGTGGGACGCGCTCGTCTTCATTTTACCCGGAAACCTCCTGGATACGGTTGACGATTGGATCAATCCATCCCTGGCGCCACGACCGATGTTACACCCCGAGCAGAGCGCCCATGCTGCGAAGAGCGATACCATGAAGAGGATTCTGGGGTTGGACCGCTCCGGCGGGATGATGGCCTCAGTTTTCCAGGCGCGAAATCGAGCCTTGTCGATGACCGGCAGCGTGCTGGGCATCAAGGTCGAGCCGGACCGACCGGCAGGCCTGGGGAACCGCGACAACTCCTGTTATCAGAACAGCATTCTCCAAGGCCTGGCCTCTCTAAAACCTCTACCCGAATACCTCTCCGCCTACCTCCAAGCTTCTGAGGGTGAAGACGACGACCAGGACGTCGCGCAGACGCTACGGACCTTGATATCCGACTTGAACGACGCTTCAAATAATGGGAGGACGCTATGGACTCCAAATCTCCTCAAATCGATGAGCACATGGACGCAACAAGATGCTCAGGAGTACTACTCCAAGATCTTGGACGACGTCGACAAGAGCGTAGCCAAGGCCATGAAACCTACGCAACAACACCCTGGGTTGCAAGCCAACATCGCAAAGGACGATACAGCGGCCAGCCAGCACAGCGACGACAGCGGCTACCAGAGCATGTCAAGCTCAAAGACTTCAGACACGAAGCTCCCTCGAAATCCATTGGAAGGCCTCCTGGCGCAGCGCGTCGCGTGCGTCCAGTGCGGGCATTCGGATGGACTGTCTATGATACCGTTCACCTGTTTGACGCTCAGCCTCGGATTGAACAAGAACCAGCATGATCTATATGAACGATTGGACGCATACAGTAAGGTCGAGTCCATCGAGAATGTAGAGTGTGCGAAATGCACTCTTTTGAAAGCTCAGAGGCTCCTGACCAAGCTTGTTGAGAAGATGCGCGAGGGTTCTACGAGCGAAGAGCAGTTGGCAGAGCCTCTGCGAAGACTGGAGGCAGTGGACCTGGCACTCGAGGAAGACGAATTTGACGAGAAGACGTTGACTGAGAAGTGTAAAATCTCACAACAAAGCAAGGTCAGCTCTACCAAAACCAAGCAGATCGTGGTGGCTCGTCCGCCACAAAGCCTGGCAGTCCACATGAACCGCTCTGTCTTTGATCCTACGACGTTCAACATGATGAAGAACTCTGCGCCAGTCAACTTTCCCATGACTCTGGATCTTGGCCCCTGGTGCTTGGGCAGTGCTGGAGCGGCCCCGGTCGACGCCTCCGACACGGAGACTGAGGAGCAGTGGCAATCGGACCCCAGGGAGTCGATGATTGCGGGCGACTTGAACCCTTCGAAGCTGACGGGGCCCATTTACGAACTCCGCGCTGTGGTGACACATTACGGGCGACACGAGAATGGTCATTACATTTGTTACCGCAAGCACCCTCGGAACATGGCTCCTCCCCAGCTTGTCGATGACAAGGAGGCTTCAGCTGAACCCGGCGATCAGGATGACGAGCCTGTGGCACAGCCTGACGTAATAAAGGCGGAGCTGAGTAAGGCGGACGAGGCGGGACAAGTTGAGATGGATTGGTGGAGGCTGAGTGACCACAACGTGTCAATGGTCAGCGAGGAGACGGTGTTGAGTCTCTCGCCAGGGGTGTTCATGCTGTTCTACGACTGCGTAGACCCGAACACTGTATTGACAGCCGAGGACGGGCCCATGCAGGACGCTCAAGAGGGAGCGGATACTGCGGCACAGGGAGCAGATAGCGGACAAGTCTCGGTTGCCTGCGAGAATGGTGCAAAAAAGACATTGGCCGATTGTATCGAAGGGCAGGACGAACCAGCTGAGGCGGAGACGGAGACTGAAACGGATGGCTTTGTTTCGACACCAGCGACCAGCACAGCCACGACAGAGGAGACTGATACCCCTGACATTGGGCCGGTAGCGGTGGTCGAGACTCTTCACTCGGCCGAGCAACAGGAGGAAGCTCGTACGGAGACAACATGAACGACAACAACAACAGTGGTGCGATAGAAAGGGATGCGCGCAGTATGATTACTCCATTCCGCACGTGGAATGCGCGCTGCACCCACACGCTCACTCTCACGGGCTGGAGTTGCAAACTTGACTTGCATAGCGACGGCGTTGAGGCATGATCCATGCAGGATGGATGGTCTTGGATAGGCGATTTTCCTCCAGACACAAACACAGCATGCATGACGGAATGTTTTTTAGTAGGACGGTGTTTTTACGGCAGCATAGTCATACAAATGAGACACAGAGCCAGCCTCCATTGGACCCCTACTTTAACCTACCTCCTACGCAGTGACTAAGAGTGAGACAAGCCGGAGCAAACTTGTGTAGCCGACTCTCCCGGACCAAGGGCCAATTTACGGCGCACCTGTCGCAGCATTAAATGGGGCCTCTCCAAACACGGGCGCCTAAGTAATACGAGAATCGAAGGCCGAAAGAAGGGTGGCTGCGGGTACTTTTTTTCCCCTCTCGGCTCCTGGGCCGAACTAGACAGCACCGCAGTTCTGCGGTGTCGACGGCCAACAACGGGAGGACAAAAAGAACTGGACGAAACAAGAGCCCCACAGAAAAGGTCGTTCGTATCGCAACACCAGGCCGCCCGGCAATGCTATGCTTCGTCCAGGCTAGTGGCGTGCCGATGCTTTGAAGTCTAAGTCCGTGTGTATCGCGCGAGTTTCTATGATTAGCCACTCGGCGACAAGGGACGAAAAAAGTGTTAGTGGAAGCCAAATGCTGTTTTTGATGAGGGGAATCTGTTTGCGGCGACTGAAACATGGAAGTGGCAGAACGCCAAGAAGACGCTGCATGTCCAGAAGCGAACATGAAGAGAAAAGAAAGGAAAAACCGCTAGAAAGCTGCTGACCAACAGCGCCGCCTATTGGCTACATGCGCGCGCACGTGCGCTGCGGGAAGACGGCATGAGTTAGCTTGGCTCGTCAGGGAGAAGAATGAGGACTATCATGAGCCTCATCACGATGCCAACGAAAGAGGGCGGCAGGAACGGAGAAGATGGAGCGTAAAAAGCTGGAACAGGAGAATACGAAGAAAAGGGGGCCCGGGGTGGTTTCTAAAGACCGACCTAGACTCGGTGATGAGACGGCCATGAATTAATTAAGAGTGCATCCATACGAAGTTTCAATGGACGGTCAACGAGGGATCTGGACTGGATCCTTTTCCGGCCGACCCGCCTCTGCGCTTTTTCCGGCCAGGGCCATCTTATGAATGGAACCCCCCCTGCGAGGCTTAATTGGCTTTGGGGGGAAAGGCACCGGGAGAGCCCCCCTGAGCCTGTCGACGGGTGCTCCGTCCTGACAGGACATTACAATTTACAGCGCCTTACAGGACCATTTGCAGTGGGTTTCCATTGCATTGGATTGCTTAGATGGATCCTGGACTCCAGGGTACTGGGTCCCTGGACGTTGAGTGCCTCGGGTGGTGGGCTCGCGTCTGGCTGGACAAATCATAGGCCGCAGTGTACTGGCCGGATGCCCCGCTGCTGGGCCCCTGTGAGTGGCCGGCTCGTAGCGATGCATCCTTAGAGCTGGGGGATGTCTTCAGTGGGAATCTCGGCATGCTAGACCCGCTGGCATCGGGCAAGTCGGCTGGTGGTGGTGGAGGGGGGGCGGTTGATAGCGTATCAAGACTCGCTCTCGCAAATCTCCGTCTTGTGGTGACGGCTAGCCCCTCCCTCAGGTCGCGCCCTTCTCTTTTAGGGGTCCAACTTGGCGAGTCGGGGGGGGCATTGGGGGCATTGGGGGGATTAGCGGTTTTGGCAAGGAACGGGCCTCCTGGGTCTGATACGAAAAGGAAATTGTGCCCTGCATGCGAGTTGTCCCCGACCAACGCTGCCGTTTTATTGTCGCCCTCTCTCGCATGAGCTGTCGGTTGGTTTTCGGCATCGTATTGCTACATCCAGTAGGGGCCGAGCAAGGGCCAAGGCGGGAGCAGCCACTGATCAGCACCGTAGTTGTGGACGCGCCGTGGTGCGCCGTGGTGCGCCGTCGAAAGCCGGTTGGTTGGGATGGGCTCGAGTTCTGCTTTGACGGATTGTGGCTGAGCGCGCCCCTGGCGCATTTTCTGGTCTTCCAGAACCAGCATGCCTGTCTCTCCTTTCCCGCCGTGTTGTGCTAGAGGCTCTCTCGTAGTGACTAGCACGACGATGGGGGATCTGTGGCTGGTTAGCTAACCAAGTCCAGTTCCAGAGACAACGCCTCGTGCCGTGGTGGCTCACTCAGCCATGGTGATGACGTGCGACTTTGCACGGGTTACGACAAGATGAACTCAGTGACACGCAAGAAGGACACTAAAACAGCTGCACCGCTGTGTTTGTTGCACGGCCGGCGCCTGGACTTGAGTCGAGGGCGTAGAACTGGAGTGCCCGTTCGCGACCGGGAGATGATACCACGCCGCCACCCTGTTGTTGGTCGTCCGTGGCCTGTGGGCAAAGATTAAGGCTGAGGCTTGGGTGCCATGGGCTATGGGGCGTCGACAGCGGGCACCCTGGACGTCGCTCATTCAGGGCACTGGGAACCGACAAAAGGACCGGCCCTGTTGAGAGAGAGGTCCGCTCAGCGCATCGCATCGCATCGCATCTCAGGTTACGGGGCATGGCGGTGGTGGAATCAAAGGCGGCCCGGCACCTGGTACGAACACAAGACAGATGTAAGACAGGTGCCAGACAGCCGGAAGCTAGAGTCGGTGGCGGAAAGTGCAGGCCAGGTGTAAAAGGCAAGTGCAAGACAGGTGCAACAAGTGCACAGTAAGCGCAAAGTAACAGTGGCAGGCGCAGTCCGTCCGTCCTTCCTCCTCCCCGCGCCCGTACGCCGCCCGCCGCAGGAGCTATGGCTGGTCTCCAGTCGATCCACATAGCCGCATTGAGGAGCAGTGACACGACCTGGCGGACAAAAAAAGCCAATCAACCGCCACCTCCCTCGCTCCTGTTGCCCATTGCATCACACCCTCTTCACCTCTTCTTCCCGCTCCTCCCCGTCCATTTATTGTCCTTCATCCTCCTCTCTCCGCCATATCTTCATTCATCCCCACCCGCAAGGTCGACCAGCCGCTTCCTCGCACCAACTTCACACATTCGTTGCGTCGACGGCATTGCATAACTAATAACGAACGGGGTTTCCTTTTTTCGCTCTGTTCCACTCCACTGGCCGCCTCTTTCTCAGCCACCACCGAAGAAGGAAAAAAAAGCACCACCCGCCGGTGCTGGGTACGCAGGTCGACGCATCACATCACCGCACGCGATGGCGGTCGCCGGCGATCTCGAGGAGGCGAGGACCACGTCCCAGCCGCTGCCTCAGTCGGAGGAGCATGCGGCGCGCTTGGAGAAGGCGGTGCCTGAAGGCCGGCAGCTTCACGCCTCGGTGTACATCCTGTACGTAACAGTTGTGAAGCGATATCCATGACGCTGAGGTGGAGGCGGACGATTCTTTCCGAGGCCATTCGGCTAACTCTGCCATGATGGCGCATTTTAGGAGCTGGATCTTCTTCTCAAACGTCACTATTCTCTTCAACAAGTGGCTTATTGACACAGCTGGATTCCGTGAGTCCCCCTCCTTTTCCCCCTTGATCTCTTATCTCAATCTTAGTCGATGATGCAACAATGCTAACAACCCCTCGCAGGATATCGTAAGTCTCGCCTAATTCTATCCATACCCGCAAATAGGGACCATTCAGTCTTGTTCCACCCAACAGACATCTTCAACTTCCTCTTTTTTGAATCAAAGCTATCGAAAAGTGCTGACCCAATACAGCCATCATCCTCACCACATGGCATCTGGTCTTCGCCACCATCGCAACTCAACTTCTCGCTCGCACCACCTCGCTCCTTGATTCTCGCCATGCCATTACTCTCTCTCGCGGCTTCTACCTCCGCACCATCCTCCCTATTGGCGTCCTTTACTCCGGCTCCCTCGTCTGTTCCAATGTCGTCTACCTCTACCTCTCCGTCGCCTTCATCCAGATGCTCAAGTCAACTGGCCCCGTCGCTGTCCTCATCGCCTCATGGGCCTGGGGAGTTGCTACCCCAAACTTGAGCACCCTTGGAAACGTCCTTCTCATCATGTGTGGTGTGGCCATCGCCAGTGCTGGCGAAATCGAGTTCTCCTGGATTGGCTTCGTCTTCCAGCTCGGTGGCACCATTTTCGAGGCAGTCCGACTTGTCATGATTCAAGTCATGCTCGGTGGAGAAGGCATCCGCATGGATCCTCTCGTCGGCCTGTACTACTTCGCGCCCGTCTGCGCCGTCATGAACATTTTTGTTGTCGCCGTGACGGAGGCGCCTACTTTCCAATGGGATGATCTTGCCAAGACCGGCTACGGAATGCTACTCCTCAACGCGTCTGTTGCTTTTCTCCTCAACGTTGTCAGCGTGTTCCTTGTGAGTCTCGGCCAACTCTCCCCTATCCATAACTCCACTAATGATATTCCCCCTGGCAGATTGGCAAGACTTCCGGTCTCGTCATGGCCCTTAGTGGCATTCTCAAGAGCATCCTCCTCGTTGGCACCTCCGTCCTTATCTGGAACACGCATATCTCCCTGCTCCAGATCCTTGGCTACGCTCTCGCCCTCGTCGGCCTTGTCTTGTACTCTGTCGGCTACGAGCAGATCCTCGCAGGCGTGCATAACGCCAAGGCTTGGTTGACCAGTGTTTGGAATTCTGAGAACCCAGACAACGGCGGCAAGGTTTCGATAAAGGTCCGCAGAGCCTTTATCATCGGCATAATTGGCTTCATCATGACAGTCATCGCCGTTTCTCTGTGGCATATTTCAGGCGACGGCCTGGTACAAATGACGAACTCGATGTTCGGGTCGAAATGAATAATTAATGCTCGGTTAGCGTTTGGTTTATAGAACAATAGATAATGAATAGTTCATCGCCGTCAGGCACATACATGTTGCTTTCCCAAACTCCAGTGATTGATATGTTTCGCTACACTTAACCACTACTATGTTATTATCCTCTCGAAATTGGCCTCCGCAAGTAATGCAACTCCAATGGGTATCTGTAAGTTACTAGTTCCTATCCATCATCTTGACACTATCCCCAAGAAATCAACGGCTTCGACTTCGCCGACGGCTGCGACTTCGATCGCGCCGATCCCGGCGTGGAGACAAACTCCGTTCCCTCCTATTTCTCCTATCCCTTGACCTGTCCCGATCTCTGTCTCTCTCCCGGTCTCTGTCTCGATCTCGATCCCGACGGTCACGATCGCGGTCCCTATCCCGGTCGCGGTCCCTATCCCTATCCCGTTCCCGTCGCTCTCGGTCCCGATCACGGTCTCTGTCATCTCGTTCGCGGTATCTGTCCCTATCGCGATCTGTGTCTTTGTCTCCGCCCCGCTGCCGGCTTCGGCTGCGCGAGCGACTTCTCCGGCGTTCATCTCGGCCTCCAGGCGTATATCTGTCAATATCTTCCGTGGTCCAGCGGCGGCGTAAGTCGGGAGATCTCTCACCACTGCTCTTCTTGTCGTCAAGTCCAGGAATCGGGAGGCCCTTGTCTCTAGCATCTTTTTGGGCGGCTAGGTAAGCCTTGGCCTCCTTTTCTCGCTTTCTGACTTCCTCAAGTTTCCATTCCTCAAGGTCATCCTTGCCCCCCTTGGTCGAGCCGGCTGGCGCAACGGATGTGCTGGGCTTGGATCGGGATCGGCTTCTTCGGTCCCGTTCTCGGTCGGGTTCGCGGGCGGTATCCCTACTCCGTCGTCGCGGCGGCGAGCGGTCCTTCCGGTCACGATCGCGGTCCCGTTCGCGATCTCGTTCCCTAGGATCGTAGTGGTCTCCTCCACCTAGGCGGGGCTCTCGAGAACGGCTCCGGTCCCTGCGGTTGCGCGATCGGGTCCTATCCCGTCTTGGGGAGCGCAACCTGGACCGTGACGGGTCTCGTCGGTCTCGACTTCGCTCGCGGCGGTTCGTTCTCGTCCTGGATCTGCTTCTCTCTCTTCTGTCAACTCTGGCATGAGACCGGCTCTGGTCGCGTCGTCTGGACCTGCTCCGCTCGTAGTGGTCGTATTTGGGCCGAGACCGACTCCTTTCAGGGCGATCCTCTCTCCGGGGGGCGCGGGAACGAGTCCTATCTCGTCTGACGCGCGACCGGCTTCTATCACGTCTCTCCGTAACTCGGGACCTGCTAGGATCGCGTCGTGGGGAGTGTGATCGGCGGTCAGTTCGTTGTCGACTATCCCGTCGGCTATCCCGATCTCTTAAGCGGTCACGATCCTGATCGCGGCCACGCTCGCGATCTCGGTCCACAACTCGCGAGACACTGCGGCTAGACTTCCTCTCATCCCTTGAGACAGGGCGCTTAGCATCAACAGGTCCTCTGGAGCCTCCTCGTTCTGGTTTGAGACCGGTGTCGCTATGCTTTCGGCGGTCTGTACCCCGAGACGAATCTCCTCTGATAGGATTGATGGCCGACGCGGGACCGGATTTCCTCGGTGGAGGTGCAAGGGTCGCATCAACCTCCAGTTCTGGCTGTTTGGGGGGTGGTTTGGAGCTTTCGCGAAGAAGATCCGCTAGAGCTTCTTGCTCTAGTCTTTCATGATCTTCCTTTGTCAACTTTTCCTTGAGTTCCTCGGAAATGACCCCCGTTTCCTTGGGACGGCTATCCCTATCCCTGTCTCTGTTGCGATCACGGTCACGACCACGGTCTCGGTCATAGTCTCGGTCGCGATTTCGGTCCCTATCGCGATCTCGGGTGTCTCGATCGTGGTCTCGATCGTGGTCTCGCTTCTCGCGTTCCTTGTGTCTCTTGTCCCTTTCAAGATCACGGAGTCGCTCGCGTTCCTCACGTTCTTCTTCGCGCTTCCTCCGTCGCTCGTCTCTCTCATCTTGTCGCTTGAGTTCTGCCTTCTCACGCTCTCGTTCTTCCTTTTTGCGCTCCTCTTTGACAATTCTCCGCTTCTCTTCTTCGATCGCAAGTTCTTTTTGTCGCAGCTCCTCTCGTACTCGTTCGCGTTCTGCACGTCTGGCTTTGGTGTCGGCGGCATATTCCTCGTCTGTTCTGGCTCCTTTGATTCTCTCTGCTTCGGCTGCTTCTTCACCGAGCTCCGCTCGCCGAGTTTCGCGAATGCGCTCTTCAATCGCGCCATCATCAATCAGTTGGCCAATGACAGCCTCGGCTTTCTGGTAAACCCCGGAGCGCTCCAGAGCGCCATCGATGAGAGCTGCAGCCTTTCTCCGGTCTAGAGTAAGAAGCTGCTGTGGGTTCCGCTCAAGCTCTTGTTCGGCTACTTCAAGGATGGCCTTCGTCACTTGAGCCTCATAGTCCTAGAGGCACGTTAGCATGTACCATTTGGCGCATCGCAACGAGAGTATCGTACGCTAGCTTCAAATTTGTCCCAGACTTGCTTGCGAATAGTATCGTATGCGCCTTCCTTCTTGAAACTATGAGCGAGGGACTCGATCGCGGCTCGTGTGGCGGAAGGCAAGGGGAGGTCGGAAGCCTTGAATTTTCGGGCTGTCGGGGAATTGGTGGGTTCGCTGGCTACGGGAGCCGTTTTTGCACTTGATGTCGCCATGATATGTAGCTGGATGCTCTGTCGCAATGTTGAAGGGAGGCGACGGCGCACGCTGGGGAAATGCGCAAGGATTTGGTTCTTTGTGACGGTCAAGACATGCCGCGGTATCTTCAGTCAGCAATATTTATGAGGGCTGGCCTCAATAGAAATGTGCGTCACGCCCACACATGCGGGAACCAAATTGCGGACAGCTCATGAAAGGTGGTTTGTCGAAGCTTGATGTTAAAGAGCCGCGAACGTGACATGGAAAACGCCAGGTCACGTGTGGCGCACCGTGTGAAATGACGGATGTCCAGCTACCCTGAAGCACTTTCAATTCCCGGGAATAAGTGCAAGTTGAATGTCTATTCTGTGTCTCATATTTGCTAGTTTGACTTCATAAAGGATGATGCCTAATCTAGGAGGATACATAAAATGGTGCATCGAGTCACAGGTGCCAGTGCATTACGTTTGCGGGTGAAATTGTCTCCCACACATTTCTGCATCTCCTACAAACAGGATGAGCAGCCGCTGCGACAAATATCATAAACACAAAGGATTTCTTTTCACCATGCACATACGAGTTTGAGGGGAAGTAAAACGGCCAAATACTCTAACCATTGAACTTTCAAGCTAGAGTTAATACAGTTTGAGTCAGTACCCCCTAACACGCGTTTGCAATATCACAGTTCCGGGTGGTATAAGTCACCCAAGCCCTGCGTGTTCGTCCTAGACAGTAATATTGTTACTCATGATTTAGATACAAAAAACCCCAAAATCCTCCTAGGATTTAGTTGTCGCTGACGCAGTAGTATAGGCTGACGAAGGCTCCTGCTTCACTGATGTGACACCACCCTCAATGATTGTTGGCCCAGGCACCTTGTAATCAGCCGGGTCGGCATAGATGTTGATATAAATTCCGGGATCTTCAGCATCATACAGCTCAGTACCGAGAACCCCATTCGGCTCATCAGAGCCTCCGTCAACGATCTTGAGGTTGAAGCACTGAGGATAGTTCTGGGCTCCGTACTTCTCAATTGCGTTGTGTAGAGCGATGATCTCATGTCGAAGAACGTAGTTACCGGATGCAATGTTATCCGGAATCCGGACATTCCATGCGTAGCCGTTTTCAAGCAGGACATCGTCGGCATACTTGCCGGGATTGCCTCGATCGACAATGCCTAAGCCGTCAATCTTGAAGAACTCAAGACTGGTCTTGTCGACGTCCTCGCATGGGCCGTGGCAGTTGGCGAGATAGTCCACGACAGGACCGTGATGAGCGTCAGGCCACTCCGACCACTGGATGGTGATGACATCGCCAGCCGTAACCTGGACATGTCCCTGAGCGGGAACAGCATCCCGGTGGCAAATGATGTCGGAGTCGTAGTAGGAATGGGGAGAGACGAAGCCATTGTCTTTCTGATTGACTGTCCAGCCGACTACAATGGGAGGATCTCGCATGTAGGGAAAGTTGGTGCTATCGTAGGTTTCATAGGAGACACCGTTGATAACAAGGTTTTTGACGTGGCCATGGGCAGACACCAACGAAGAAGAAGCCAAGACAGCCAACAAAGACGAGATCTTGGACACAGCCATGTTGGATAGAGAGAGCGGGTGTTTGAAAAGATTGGAAAAGAATGTATGGGTCGATTTGATGCGTAATTTGAGACCTGAAGATGTAGGGAGTTGTAGAGCTGGCGATCAAGCAGCAAAGCGGCAAACGTCTGACTTTTATGCCCAGAGAGGCACTCATAATCACTAGCTAGAAGCGAACGGCGTCCATTCAGCAATGTCCGATCTCAACAACATCGCGAAAAGCCCGCTCGATGGCAAGGCGCATATTGCTCTACTCCTCAACCGCTCGTTCCGTGACTACCAGACCCCGAAGGTTGGATCGGCGCTCTCATGATTGGCCTCACCCAACTACGCCGTCTTCTGTGCAACTGCGCCGGAGATCGCAGCTTCAGTTGATGCAGCCAAGAGCCCGCCACCGTATGGCATATATTAAATGTAAGAAACTCCAGCCTCGAGAAGTCGAGTCGCTGCCGAGTCTCACCAATAGCGGCTTGAAACATCGTTTGGGAGGAGGGCGGGAGCGCCCAAGGCCGCAGCTGGGATCGTCAAGATGTGACAAGCGGACGCCCCTAGCCGAGCCGAATGCTGAAGGAGAGCTGTCGTGTTTGATTCAACGCCGCCGTTCCGAAGATGCAGAATAAGCTGACGAGGTGTTCGCCTGGACATGCAAGGCGCCGCACGCCACTCCGAGTCGACGACGTAGCCCAGTGTCAGAGTTGCCGACGTGCGGCTGTGTTGCATGGCTGATTGGACAGAGGAGAGCCTCCTACATGACTGTCGTACGTCTACGCTTTATGGGTTGTGGTTCTGTTGGCTAGGAGCTCCGGGAGTTTGAGCAAAAATGTCCGTCGCCATACATGCAGCGGAAGGACTTCCGATGATATGAGGGGTGCAGGAGCATGCATGCTGTGATCAAACGGAGACGCGAGAACAGGTAGTATCATGATGTTGGGCTGAAATTGATCTCATCCTGTAACGATGCGTTGTTGGAGGGTTAAACATTGAGGTTCGTGGATACTTTTGTGTCCCCACGCACAGCAGCTTTGAAAGGAGCCGAACAAGCAAAGCAGCCCGAAGCGAAGCGACCAAGCCTCAAGCCATTCAAAGACTACGAGAGATTCACGCTGGTCGAGTATTCCAGCACTAAACGGAGGTATAACTTAATCGTGAGAAGTGGACGTGAGATTTGACGTTTACCAGGATCCCTTGACTTAGGGCATGAAAGCCAAAATACCTAATCATGCACAGGGCGTCACTGAATGCGAAATACTAGACGGGAAATTCCGCATGATTGTCACACGGACATAACATATCATAGTAAGAACCCAGCAACTCGAGTCTCGAGCAATGCCCAAGACATTGGAATCGAGCCATGAGGAGCGAGCCTTTGGTGGTGGTTATGATGCACCTTCCTAACTGCGTCATGAAATACACATTAGTACGCACTTTTGTACGCCGGTGCCAAGAAATGGAGGTGGATATCATGCCGTCCCATCATCAAGTTCGTAGAAGAGGAGAGATCCCAACCCGCAACGCCATGCCTGCAAATGCATTGCCCAAGCAACTTGGGCACTCTCAAAACTCGCCCTCTCCACCGTGTCCAACAACGCTGGCGGTCCACAGGCCAACAAGACCCCACCAGCTGACCTTCCACCCTCTCCAGAGGCCATCGAGACCCTGGCCCTTCTTGGTGACAGTGGGAGCAATGGCCTTGGCCCGTCCCTTGCCTTTCCTTGGTACAGGGGGCTTGACCGGGACCTCTCGCGTGCCCTCCTCGGTGACGATATGGAACATAGTGCCAAAGGCTCCTTCGTAGCGTCCTGGCGGAACAATGGTTGTGAAGGGATGGTCAGGGCCACCGAGAGCCTGGACGTATTCCCTGGTGGAAAGAAGAGCCACCTGGCCACGACGTAGAGCAGTCTCGATAGGGAGCTTGACTAGGATCGCAGCAGAGGAGGCCAAGAATTTGGTCACGGAGAAGGTCATGGGCGAGACATGGCTGTCGATCATGAATCGGGTTCGGAGGACGAGAGGAGTTGAAAGGGTGAGAACTGGGTGGATCAGCGAGTTGAGGACGGTGGGAACCGCCAGCATTGAGGAGCAGAGGTATGAGGGCATGGCACGGAGGGTTGCCAGCGTCCGGCGCGGCCCTTTCCCACTTGGAGTGACGATAAGTCTGTTGTCAATGTTAGCCCGTATGTCCGGCCACAGAAGCTTGTGGTCCCTACCTGGTGCGGACCAAGTCCAGCGGCGACAGAGCGACGCCGGTGGCAACCGCAGCGGCAGCGGCCACAAAGAGTGAGGACCAAGGATACGGCGAAGCAATGTCGATCAGCCGATCAATGTCCTCCTTCACTCCCAGATCCGGGACGTTGAAGATGGCGCTGAGGAAGCTTCTGGACCAATTCTCCAGCAGGGACTGAAGAACCGTGTACAAGAAGGTTGCATTCGACCCCTTCCAGACGCCCCACGCGCCCTCTTTCCCCCACAGTTGACCGATAACCTCGAGAACGGAGTCGGAGCGGCGCAAAGTGAGGTAGTGCTCCGGAATGACCGGTCTTTTAGCAGGAGACGGGGATCGGCGGCCATTTTGACGCCTCGGGTGCGAGGGAGTAGGAGTGCTCGGTACGTTCGAGGTAAAGTATGCTGGCTCGTCGCCGTCCGAGTCTGACTCTTGGTACTGGGCGTCATGATAAGCGGTGAGAGCGCACAATGCTGCCGGGGCCAACTTACGTCGTAGATTGAACTGCCGTTGACGGAAGTTCGTTTTCTGAGAACCTCGGGCTCTGCAGGGGATATAAGAGCAGCATTTTCATCCTGGTTGCGGACTTGCAGGATCGTCTTGGCCACCTCGAAGGGCTGGGCCATCAGAACCGATGTGTATTTCCACATCAGCTCCTCAATCAGATCCTTGACGTTCTGGACCACGGACGGCGAGGGATCGCCCAAATATTCCTTGTATTCCAGGTCGGAGAACATATCACGGGCCTTGGTCGCATATCTCCCGCTGGCCGTCACATTGCGGCCTTGTGAAAACGGGTTCGGGCTCGGGCTGGTTTTGTTCAGCGCCTCGGCGGGGGGCCCGATGGTGGGAGGTATGTAGTACGGCCTCAGGGGATTCACGCCTTCTCGGTGAGCTGCCATGGTGAAGATGGGGCATGCGGCAGCATGAGAGAGGTCAGAGTCAGAATGCGACCTCAAGCTTGGATCATGAAAACCAAATCATGCACGCCCTCCACCCACCGGTTCGGAGATACGGAGCGCGGGGAATGAATTTCCCGACCGATAAGCCCTCTCTTATCCGGGCTACCGACTTTTTTCCCGCTGCTTAATATCATCTTGGACGTGAGAGGACGGATCGAGTCGGCGAGGACCCAGCGTCCATTGAGCGAATTGGCGTATTCTGCGACTGTTGAAATTTACCGGCCTGGAAGCTACTGCCTCTGACGGACTATTTGCATCGTTGCAGCGGGTGAACTATTTATTTGCCGCCTCCCCCTCTGTTCCACCGTCTAGAGCCTTGTCCGAACACCCCGGCACCATGTCAGTGTCACGATCCCTTGCGGCCGGCTTCACGAAGCTCCCCGCCGCTGTTTGCAGGCGAGCCCAACCCGTCCGAAGCCAGAGCAGAGTCGGGCTCTTGTCGTCCCAGTGCGCGGCACGCACGCCGTCTGCGATATTGTCTCGAGCTGCCCCTCTTTCACCGCTATCCCAGCGCACATTTTCGACTTCGGCGGCTCAGCGGCACGGACATATCCACACGCCGAAGCCGGGCGAGGAGTATGTCCAGGATGACCTTGTGGCTGGGCGCATGGCTAACCGTGCTGTAGACTCTACATCACCTTCATTGAGAAAGATGGAGAGGAGTTCAAGTTCGCTGTCAGCGAGGGCGACAACCTACTCGACATTGCACAAGCCAACGACCTGGAGATGGAGGGCGCCTGCGGAGGCTCCTGCGCCTGCTCGACCTGCCATGTCATTGTCACTGAGGACGATTACTTCGACAAGATGCCCGAGCCCGACGATGACGAGAACGACATGTTGGACCTGGCGTTTGGCCTGACCGAGACGAGCCGACTGGGCTGCCAAGTGAAGATGACCAAGGAGCTAGACGGTTTGAAGGTCAAGCTGCCCTCCATGACGAGGAACCTGCAGGCGAGCGACTTCCAATAAGAACGGAGAAGAGACAGGGGTAGACGGGGGGTTGTCATGATACTGGGGATTTGTACTTGTAACTATACTGGGAAGAAACGGACCGGCGATGGCGGGATCGGTGCATCATAGGGGTATCTTTGTTGCGACTTTAGTTGCCAGGCCGGATAAAAGCAGGGGCCTGATGATTCCCGTACTCCTCTTTACTTTAACCATTAACATCAACGTAAACATGTGCCTTACGCCTCCTCGAGTCCGCCCTTTTTCAGTCCGCCGCCTCCCGACGCAATCAGGTCGAGGAAGCCCTTCTTGCTCATCTCGTTGACCTTTTCCTCCCGCCTGTTCATACCAATAACACCAGTTTTCCTCGTCGTCTGCTCGGCCTCCACGGCCTTGACCTGTGCCGCCCTGACGGCGTTGAACAGCTTCACCACACCTCTCTGCGCGACCTTGCGCAACCGCCTCTCCGTCACCATGATCTCCGAAGTGGTAGTCTCGAGCTCGCCGGTTGTGTCGACGGCAGTAGCGACGAGCACGTCCTTGACTCGACCCTTCTCCATCGCCCGCTTCTTCTGCTCTCGGATCTGTTTCCTCGCCTTGGCCTCGAGGGCGGTGTCTACCGCAGCCTTGGACGCCTCGTGAGCGGCAGCACTCCTGGCTAGGACGGGATCTGATCGTTTGGATGTGGAGAGCTTGGTGTTTAGAATCTTGGACAGCGAAGTGGCAAATGCATTGGGGTCGTTTCGCTTTGACTTCTTTTTCCGCACCGGGCCGTCCTCGTCGTCTTCGTCGTCTGAATCATCCTCGCCTTCCTCTGAATCCTCCTCCTCGGCCTCGGAGTCCTCTTCGGCCTCCTCCTCGGGTTGCGCCTTAGCATTGGTCTTCTTGGTCGGCTTCTTGGCCGACTTCTTCAGCGCCGGGCCCTCTTCGTCTGAGCTGCTGGCTTCGTCGCCGGAGCCGCCCACGTCGTCTACGCGGGCATTGTGGATGTCGTTGTCCGAGTCGAGCAGGTTGAAGGCATCAAAGTCCGGGGCCTCGGCGGCCGGGGCTTCCTCGCCTTCCGAGTCGCTGTTGTACGCTTGGCTGCGCCTCTGTTTCTTCGAGGGACGCGCCTGCCGGCCCTCGGTGCGGCGTTTTTTGTTTACTTGGCCAGCCATTGTGTTGAGGTTGATTGTTGGCGGGCAATGCGTGACAGTAGGTTGATCTGTCGCACGCGCAGATGCAGTTCTGGGCAAGAATCTTTCAGGAATTTTGCCGGGGAAATTTTCTAAGAGTGGAGGGGCGGGCCAGGGCGGTGAGCTACGCTTGCGGCGTGTGCTGCGGCGCGACGTGGGGCGTATCCGGAGCGCGGGGCCGGCATGTCCTCAGCTTGAGCCGCATATATGCATTGAATATGTATTTTTGATGATGGAATAAGATGGAGGGAAAAACTGGATAAATAAGTTAAAGCCATGGAGCCATTGGACTTCTGTTGAAGCTGGTAGTTTACTTGGCCATCAAGAAATGCTGATGGTAGTGCATTATAACCCTAACCCTTGAACTCAGCTTTGGCCTGAAAAAACTGCCCCAAGAAGCCTCAATTTTAGTTTGAGCATACTCATTCACCATTGATGCCGTTGAAAGCTTGAAGACACGGTTGCGCATCTGATATATGATCGAAGAGCGGATCTGAGCAGGTCGAGGACGAAAGGTGAATGGGCTGAGGTTGTCATGAAACACAAATTTAGGGTACCTTCCGCTGGTATGTATTAAAACTAATGCGAGGTATTGAATGTACGATGAGCCTATATATATCCCAAGGCTCAACCAAGAGCCAACAAAGAACGACAGTCCATGTATCCTCCGAAACAATCAATCCGTAACGCCAAACAATTACACCTCCAGGAACAGGACAATCTTGTCCTAAATGAATTTGATCCTGTCCCAAAATGAGGGGCTACCCTTCTCAACTTCAGGCATGGGAGGGGCCTCAACAACCGTGCTCCATGTCTCATTGCCATCAATGAACAGACGGTACTGCAGAGTGCTCTTGTCACCGTCCTTCTCCATTGTAAAGGACCCAAACTTCGAGATGCCTCCAGGGATGTATCTATGCAAATGTTGTTAGAAGAGCAACTAGGGGAGGCATATTAGAACAAACTCACCTAATCATGACATCCTCATCGTCAGTTTGCTTGTAAGTAGGGAACGGTGACGCAAATTGGTTCAGCGGGCTGGTGGAGAACTCATGCGCAGTCGCGGATTCGGGCCATCGGGACCCTGCCGGCGGCGGAAACTTAGTGGCGGCAAATTCGTGTCGATCCCCTGAGAGGATGATAACTCCAGTGCCTCGTGCGCCAGCATCCCACATGTGCTCCAGAATCTTCTTCCGTTCAACGAGGAATCCGCCCCATGTGTCCTGAACATTGACGGGCCAATTCTTGGTGAAAGGGACAGATGAAGCAATGATCTTCCACTGAACTCCTTGAGGCTCTGGGCGGGCAAGCCAGGTCAAGAAGTCGGCCAGCTGTTCCTGGCCAAGCATGGTCTTGTCCGTCGCATTGAAAGGAAGCTTGTTGTCCGATCGGTGGCTGCGAGTGTCCATCATGAAGAAGCTAGCGGGACCTTGAACAAACTCGTACCAGGTTGCTTTTTCACGTATGTTCCTGGTACCGGCTGCCTGCGCCTTTGGAGGGTTGATGTCGGCCTGGTAAATGTGCCAAGGATCAACGGCAGCATTGTAAATACCGGTGTTGTTTGAGGACCAGTCGTTGGAGATCTCATGGTCGTCAAGGACGTGGATCCAGCTCAGATTTTGAGCAACAGGGGCCCAGTCTGGTGAAGCATACACCTGGCGGTATTGCATGCGGTATTCTTCAACGGAAGATCCAAATCGCTCTGGAACATCAACGTAGATAAAGTCACCGAGGAACAACATGAACTGAGCACCAAGTTCAGGAAGTTTGTCCGCCAGATGACGTAGACCCGGAATAGCCAAGGGGTGATCAAGCGGGTTGTAGGGAAAACGGGGCAGGATGCATGACGTAGAGAGGAAGGTAAACTTCCCATCATGATACTCGGGCATGGAGCCAGCCTTGGGAGGGGAGAGGAATTCACCAGTGTGATTGTTGGAAGTTCTCCATTCGTATCGTCGTTGGTGTGAATGCGTAAGAGGCACGCTCAATGCAGCTGTAAAATCGGTAGTGTTGGCAGTCCATCTAACACCGCCGGCGGCCTGCCACATGGTGTTGTCGAAAGGGGGCTGAGGGTCCTTGATGTGGATTTCCAAGGTCACAGGCATCTTGGCCTGGTCCGGCTCGCGGATTAGGAATTTAGCCTCGGTGGGCGACACATATCCAAGTCGAACAAACGAGAGATCATCGGCAGGGTAGTACAGTCTCGCCCGGTAAAGAGCATCGGCAGTCAGGCTGACCAGGATGATGTTGACCAAGAATGTCAAGAAAGAGGCGAAAGGTCGGGTGCTACTTGGCGCGCCAAATAGTAGAACTTTCCATACTCTGGCAGGCTTCTCGCAGAGCACAACCTTCTCTTTGATGTCGATTTCGTCCGTAACGACCTCGGGCTTGGGCGCGACTGCGACACCATCCTTGGTCAATAGGGGAGTCTTGGAGGTGACTGTTGTCTCTGTTACGGTCACGTCGACCTTGTCCTCGACGACTTCAAGCTCGGGCGCAGTAAAGTAACTGACGAAAAAAGATGGTACATATACGGCGAAGAGGGCAAAAGCGATCGAGGGGAAATGTGCCTGTGGTTTGAGTTAGGATCGAAATTCTTGAGCTATGTCGGGGAGCTCGGGGCTTACAGGGAACTGTGCAACGTGTTAGCTGGTTGACTAAGTTAATAGGATAATGTACGAACAAGTCTGAAGAAAATAATGGCACATATCCTCAAAGCGACGGAGGAAAGGCCCGCGACAGTCTTCTGGATTGCCATGTTGAGAGCCGGTCTTCCAGGGGGAAGCGTACGAGATAGGGAGAGCTAGGCAGAGGCCCGGATAGCGAGGGGTAGGCTGCTGGAATCTGTAAGGCTGAAGCTGTGTTTGAGTTAAAGAGAGTGTCGAATTGAAGTGGGGGATTGAGTTGTCAATTCAACCTCATGACATGGTGAAACAATGTGTTTGTGCGAGGCGAAGACAGGTCGGGGTTGAGATGACGGAGGGGAGCTCGTATCATGGAACGGAAATACGTACTGTGTGAGGTCACTCTGCGCAATCACGTCTAAAACGCGTTGCTCTCAAATTACTGTGGCGTAACGGTTATTTAAAGTGTGGCTGGTGCGCCCGCCGGGTGTTGCGAAAATCCGTGCCGAATCTCAATCGTGGCCATTCGATCCCCTAGGTACAGCGCAGCATCCACACCCGCTTTGGCGACAGCTTGTCCTGAACCAGCTGCTCTGCACGCGACAACATCCCACAACACAACCACCATGAGACTCCCGACATTGCTCGCCGGCATTATCGCCTGCTTGGTGACCGACGTTACCGCGACCGCCCTCACCTACAAGCTTTCCGCCAACGAGAAGGCTTGCTTTTACACCACTACGAAAAAGGAGGCTGAGAAGATCGCATTCTACTTTGCTGTGAGCCTACCCGAGAAATCGATATACAAAGGGGCTCTAGCTTAACATGGGACTTAGGTTCAATCTGGTGGTTCTTTCGATGTCGACTACATTGTCGAGGGTCCCAATGGCAAGGTTATCATGGATGGCCAGAAGGAGCGACAAGGCGACTTTGTCTTCTCTGCCAACACCATCGGCGAATACTCGTTCTGCTTCGACAACGAGATGAGTACTTTCGCCGAGAAGTTCGTCGACTTCGAGATTGCGGTTAGTGCAGTGTGCGACTTCGCCTGGGAACAACTAACTAACTCTGCGACTAGGTCGAGAACGAGCAACGAGCCCAGCTGCCTTCTAAGCAGGGCACCACCCCCGAGCAGACCTCGGTCCTGGAGGAGTCTATTTTCAAGGTCTCTGGACAGCTCTCCACCATTTCCCGAAACCAGAAGTACTTCCGAACTCGCGAGAACCGTAACTTCGCCACCGTCAACAGCACTGAGGCCCGAATCGTCAACTTCAGCTTGATCCAGATCGGCCTCATTGTCTGTATGGGTGCGCTGCAGGTGTTTGTTGTCAGGTTCTTCTTCCAGGTATGTTGCGTCTCTTGTCTGTTGCGAAGTGTCAAGCTAACCCCTGGGACAGGGAGCGCGCAAGGGCTACGTGTAAATATGTCCGTTTATTCCAAGCTGGATCTGGATTCTACGAGGCGCAGGTTGAAAAGGAGGTTGGCACTGGGAACGTTATGTATAATCAATGGAAGCATGGCCTGTGGCTGGCTGACGGCCTTTCGTGGATTTGTCCTCAGGTAACCGGGAGCTGTGCATTGTCGTGAGCGAAGCCGGGATGATGTTGTCATGATGTGCTTTTACAAATAGAAAGCCGCGGTTGTTTGTAATAACTTGTGTTATCCATGCGATCGGCGAGGCAACCGTGATTAATCCGAATCTTATAACGAAACCAAATCCCAAGTCGCACTCACTTATACTTTGATATTATTCCTTCTCGTTCATGGATGATTCTTCTCTGTTTGCAATCATTGGAAGTCATCTTATCTTACATGGGGTAGCAAGATCTTGGCGCAGCGTGTGGCATGCATTCGGCGCTAAGCCACATTTAGCGCGTCGCCTCTTGAAATTCTAGGCTGGGCCGTGAACCTTCAAGCTTCAACCAACTTCATCCCAACCGACAACAAAATGACGTCGATCGCCGGGTCGCTTCAGGCCGCACTCCCCAAGCCCAAGTATACGGGTGAGGATGAGGAGGCTCCCGCGCGGGCGCAGCAGCGAGGCCCGCGCATCGTGGGCCCAGGCCAGCTCGACGAGACACAACTCGTCCTCAAGCGCTCCGGCCCTCCTCCTTACGGCCAACGAACTGGATGGCGACCGCGGTCGCAAGAGGATTTCGGCGATGGAGGCGCTTTCCCCGAGATTCCGGTTGCCCAGTACCCCCTAGACATGGGCAAGAAGGGCGCGACGACGAGCAACGCGCTGGCGATTCAGGTCGACTCCGAAGGCAAGGTCAAATTCGACGCCCTCGCACGACAGGGACACGGCGAGGGTCGCATCGTTCACACGTCATTCAAGGACCTGATCCCTCTACGACAACGCGCCGACGCGGGCGAGATCGATCTGTCACGGCCAGACAAGCAAACGGTGGAAGCCACAACAGAGAGGACCAAGAATGCCCTGGCAGCACTGGTCAGCGGCGCCGTGGCTACGCAGAAACCGAAACCAAACATTGGACAGCGGAGTGACCCGACCTTTGTGCGATATACCCCGGCGAACCACATGGGCGACAACTCGAAGAAGCAAGACCGCATCATGAAGATCGTTGAGCGACAACGCGACCCGTTGGAGCCCCCCAAGTTCAAGCACAAGAAGATTCCTCGTGGCCCTCCGTCACCGCCACCCCCAGTTATGCACTCGCCCCCACGAAAGCTCACGGCCGAAGACCAGGAGATGTGGAAGATTCCTCCCCCCGTCTCCAACTGGAAGAACCCCAAGGGTTTTACTGTGCCATTGGACAAGAGACTGGCAGCCGACGGCAGAGGATTACAGGACCTGGCTATCAGCGACAAGCATGCTCAGTTTGCTGAGGCTGTCAAGATGGCAGAGCGTCACGCCCGTGAGGAGGTCCAACAGCGAGCAATGATGCAACAGCGATTGGCGGAGAAGGAGAAGGCACAGAAGGAAGATAATCTTCGAGAGTTGGCCCAGAAAGCCAGAGAGGACCGCGCAGGTGCTCGCCGTGGACGAAGAGACTCTAGAGATTCGCGAGACTCGCGAGACTCGAGGTCACGATCGCGAAGCTACAGCGACTCTGGATCTGACCGGTCTGACAGTGAAGGAGAGGCGGTCAGAGAGCGTGTGAAGGCTCGACAGGATAAACAGCGAGACGAAGAGCGAAAGCTGCGACAGAACCGCATGGGCGCTGAGCGCCGAGCTCAGGTCATGGCCCGCGAACAGAACCGAGACATTTCGGAGAAGGTTGCGCTGGGCCTAGCGAAGCCTACACAATCTAAAGAAACCATGTACGACTCGAGGTTATTCAACCAGTCCAGTGGATTCGATAGTGGCTTCAACGAAGACAACCATTACGACAAGCCACTGTTTGCAGCGCAGGACGCAATCAGCAGCATCTACCGACCTCGACAAAACATGGACGACGATGATGCTGAGGGTGGTGACCAAGAGATGGCCAAGATTCAAAAGGCTAGCCGGTTTGGTGACGCGTTGGGCAAGGGTACTTTCAAGGGCGCCGCCGACGTTGAGGTCAGTTTGTCTACGTTCTCTTCCCGTAATGGATTTTTGCTAACTAAACAATTACAGGCGCGCGAGGGACCAGTTCAGTTTGAGAAGGATTCAGTAGACCCGTTTAATGTGGACAAGTTTTTGTCCGAGGTGGACCAAACCTCGTCGTCCAAGCGAGGCTACGGTTTGCAGGAAGAAGAGAGCCGCCAGTCAAAGCGGCCGCGTGTCGACGACGATGACGAGGATTAAGGATATCGGCTGCTCGGTATGTCATTGTACCAATAGACTCTGGTTGGGGGCGTCAATAAACATGTTCATGCGAGTAGCTTCGCGTCCCTTGTCGAATTCTGTCGCCTCGGGTCATCACAGAAACCTGGTGTCCAGAAGATCCGATGATCCGAGCGAGGCACTCGGTCCATGTCGTACCGTATGCTTTGCCAGGTGTCTTCTAGTCCCGCAATTGGCCGTCTTCATACGTGGAAATATCTCCAACTTCTCCGCACCGCGGAACGACTGCGTCGATTTGCGGGGTCTAATATCCGAGCCCTCGACGCTCGACGAACCTGTGATGAAATTTGCAGGCCACCGCCTTGGGAACCGCACCACCAGAACTGCGGCATGCCAGATCTGTGCCATAGTCCGCTCTTGGCTCCCGGTCGTTTCGGCCCTCTTTGGCCCGATGGCCGAGGGTTGACGGTGAGTCCCCCCATTTTGGGTTGTCGTCTAAACCTGAACTGATGCGATCGGCAGCTCCCCACGGGGTAGCTCACGAGCTACTCCAGAGATTTGGCTCACCAGACCGTCTGGTCAATTCCCCCACAAACGAACGATGGGGGTGGCTGTGGGGTTGGGACGGGGAAGGGGACGGGGAATGGGGAGGCATCTTGTTTATAAGGTCGCGTCGAGCATCTCGAATCGGGGTTTGATCAGCAGCCCTGGAAGCTCTCCCTTCATCCCTGTCAATCGCCAGCAAAATGAAGTTTCCGAAGCTCTCGACAACTCTCCTCGTCTCGCTGCTTCAGGCACCCCAATGGGCGGCCGCGAAGTTGGCAGCAAATGAGACCGACACCAACCTCGTCATCGCCAACGACCGGCTCTATGCTGCCGTGGCGAAGAATGGAGGCTCCATCGTCACCCTCACTCTCGATGGGCAGAACCTGTTGGGAACACGCTCGGGAGCCACCGGCCAGGGCCCGTACCTTGACTGCTACTGCACCCCGGCCGGATTCTGGACTCCCGGGTCTGTCAATCCAACCTATAAGCTGTTCAAGGGAACCGACTCCTCCGGCACCGACTACGGCGGCATCATGATGTCCGACACCTATACTCAGACCGGCCAAGTCCTCCAGCAGTACTGGTTCCTTCGAGACGGAGAGACGGGCCTGCATACGTTTAGCAGAGTGGCGTACCACAATGAGACGACGCCGTTCTTGCGCAACCTGCAGGAGATGCGCACTCTGTTCCGCCCGAACAGCAACATTTGGACTCATCTCCTCACAAACGAGAATCAGTATGCGCCGCTGCCTGGAAATGCGGCCAAGGCCAGCCAGGTCGTGGTGCAGGATGCGACCTGGGATATGAGCGCCGCGCCGAACGATGCCTACGTTCAACAGGAGTCTGATTACTTCACAAAGTACACTTTCCAGGATACATGGAGAGATGTCACAGCCTATGGAATGTAAGTTGAATTAGAAGCGACATTGATAGAGCTGGCTGACCTGGACATGATAGGTTTGCGGACGGCTCGAACACCGACGACGGCAAGACTTACGGAGCTTGGATGGTCATGAACACCAAGGACACCTATTTCGGCGGACCTTTGCACTCGGATCTCACAGTTGACGGAATTGTCTACAACTACATCAGCTCCAACCACCACGGTGACCAGACGGTGAGTGGCTATGCACTGTCAGTTGAGCATGAGCTAACATACCGCAGCCAAACATTACCAACGGCTTTGACCGAACCTTTGGACCTGTAAGTCTCCCAGAAACCCACATGACGGCTCTTTCTAACAAATAGTAGCAATACTTCCACTTCAACAGCTTCCCCGCCGACACTGATATCCTGACCGCTCACGCCGACGCCGTGCAGTATGCCGACCCTGAGTGGAACGCCGACTTTTACGACTCCATTGCCGAGCATGTTCCCAACTATGTGACATCGAAGAAGCGTGGTACCTTTAAGCTCAAAGCCAGTATCCCCAAGGGTGCCAAGAACGCCATTGCAGTGCTCGCTCAGGAAGGCGTTGACTTCCAGGACAATGTCTTCGATACCTCGGCATATCAGTACTGGGGCGACATTGACAAAAACGGCTATGCCAGCATCCCCATGGTCAAGGCGGGCACATACCGTTTGACTATTTATGCCGATGGCGTCTTTGGGCAATTCACACAGGACAAGATTAAGATCAAGTCAGGGAAGACAGAGACCACGAAAGTGACGTGGAAGGAAGAAGCCGCCGGCAAGGAACTTTGGCGCATCGGCACTCCAGACAAGTCGTCTGGCGAATACCGCCACGGTTACGAGCGCGACACCGAGCACCCGCTCCAGCCGGAGCAGTACCGCATCTACTGGGCTGCATACGACTTCCCCAACGACTTCCCCGAAGGCGTGCGGTTCAAGGTCGGCGAGAGCGATGTGGGCCAAGACCTAAACTACGTGCACTGGAGCGTCTTTGGCGGGCGCGCGAACTCGGTGCGGACCGAGGAGTACGTGGGTAACGGCGACGTGAACAACTGGACCATCGCCTTTGATCTCAAGGACTCGCAGATCCGACGGAAGGACAAGGCGACGTTCACTGTTCAGCTTGCGGGCGCCAAGACAGCGGCTGGTAACACGGATGTGTATAATGCCTCGGAGCCGCACTCCAACCTGAAGTATACCGTGAATGTCAACGGAAAGGACCTCAAGCCCTGGGTCATCCCGTAAGTCGATTCTTGAATTGTGTGTGTGAAAGCAACACTTGCTAACGATTGACATGGCAGATACTATCACAGCAGTTCGTGTGCGGTTCGATCTGCTGTCATCTGCTACAACATTGCGCAAAAGTTTGTCTTTGACGCGGGTCTTCTCAAAAAGGGCGAGAACGAGATCGTATTGAGTCTGCCGTATAACGCTACTGACTACGAGTCAGCTTTGTTGCCGTCCTCTGTGTATGTGCAGTACGACGCACTGCGGTTGGAGATCAAATAAGCTGCCTATGTGTCAGTGTCAATTGTGATGCTGATGGTAGTCGCTCTCAGCACGAGGCTGGGAGCGGGATTGGCAACGGGATTGAGATCGAGCCTCATGCCGACCGGGATGAATTATCGGTTATCGGCCTTTGTCATCTTCACTCCAAAATAGATTAATACCAAAGACGTGAAATGTGATGTGATTACTGGAAGTGAGCTAGAAGAACTATGAGAGGAAGACAAGCGAGTGGTGATTGTGAATGGATCGTCCCCAACGATTCTTGCTACATGTATGTATGCCACCCTGAGATAATGGGACGAAGAATAAGATCTTAGAAAAAGTCCTGATTTCCTGGGCGTGGTTGTGCAATTCCTTGCCCTTAGTTCTGCGTATCCAGCCAGAAGACCTTCGGCTCGAAACCCGGCATTTTCAGATAGTCATCAGCAGAGACTATCTCGCCAGTTTCCAAGTTGGTGACAATGATCTGGACATTGCCATTTTCGGCGTCTCCCTGTCGTAGTTTATCTGCAACCCTTTCTGCACTCAACACCCTGGATGCTTCAGGCTGTTGACATCGGCGCGTACTCCGCCGTCCAGAATTGGCTGCTCCAGGGCCCATCCCTAGACGAGTGATCTGCCCGATGAAGTCTGGATTGCCGACTACATCTACTGCGAATGACTTGGCTTGGGGTGTGAACACGTCGATTCGATAACTGGAATCAGTGCAGCCAACGCCAGAGAATACCACGTAAGGGACCTTCTTAGTAGCCGGGGCCGCTGCAAGCTTTGCCGAGACATTTACTGCTTGAGGTTGTTCTGCAGGCAAACTAATGGCCCGGCCGCCGCTCGGTTCCGGTGTAGGGAACACTACTGGTGGCGTGAAAACATCCTTGGAAAGGGGCGGAGCGTACATATACCCCAAAGCCCGAGTGTCTTTGGCCATGTCGCCAATGGTGGTATATTTCCATCTGCGGGGATCATCATAGGACACTTTGGTACCATTGTCCATGAAGGGCTGCAGGGGGAAGCTTGACGTATACTGGCTGCCAGGGTGAGATTCCATGAATATGCCCGCGAGGCGGTCCATGTTGGCATGGTACGAGAGGAAGATGGGATCAAATGCCGTGTAAGTGTTGTCCGCCTAATGCATTGTTAGAATGTGCAGAGGTTTAATAGATCATTATTGGGAGTCTTACCATATCTGGGCCGATGAAGCCATGGAAGTTATCGTGAACCTGTTCAAAGAGTCCATCAAAGTCGAAGCGGTGAGGATACCAATCATTTGGATTATTGTCTCCAAATTTTAGAATAAATGCCCATGGTTTCCCGTAAGATTCTGCCGTCTTTGAGGAGGTGTACGTCGACTGGCTCAATGCATGGGTGATTTGCTCGTGGTACAATTTGAAGAGACTAATCTTTTCGGCCCACTCAGGAGACTTGTCTCTTTCCGAAAGGAAGGGGTAGCGCGTCACATAGCGGTTTCCAGGAAATTTCGACTCGCCGTCCAGAGACAAGGCGTATTTGAGCGGATTGCATCGGGTTTTCTGATCCTCTGGGGAGATGTAGTGATCGTCAAAGAAGACGGACGGAACACCTGCGAATGTGGAGTCCTGAGTCACTGCATCAACACCATAGCCGTTCCAATAAGGGATCGGAAAGTCAATGAGTTCTTCGACGTATGTCAAGTAGGCTCGGTGCCACATGAAAGTTGCCTCCTGATAGTGAAGACACCAGTGTGCGTCTGTGTATTGGTTAGTTTAGCTGCCCAGGCCACGCCCTCACTGAGTGAACTTACGAATTCGTCCAAGTTCTTGCCACTTGGAGCCAAGTTCGCCCACGCCCAAGACATTCTCAAGTTTGGACTGGTAGACGGCGAGCTCCTCTGGACTGAGGCTCATGATGTCCCGCCGAACGCGATAGTTTGGAATAGGCTCCGGTGATTTCGGGATGATTACCTTGGGATAAACAACGGATGATGAATTCAGCGGAAACCCGTTGTGAGCCCAAGTGCGGAGAGTTTCCAACGCCTCTTCTGGCCAGTAGTCCTGCGGATCCGCGGTGATGGGCATGGATTTCGAGCGGAGGTGTTGGTAGATGGATTCGATGCTATCTTTCACGGCACCGTAATCGTCGAGTGCCAAGGATCCATAGTGATTCATGGCCTTGACCCAATCCTTACCTGCCTCTTTTCTTTTCGCTTCAGGGATCCAATAGGGTATCGTGAATAGGGCAAGTACATCATCTTCCCACGTGGGATAGGCCGGGGACTTGACAGCGTTCGAGGTGAGCGACAATGCATCACTGGCTTGGGCTTTCTTGACAAAAGGACAACCGCCATTAGCTGGAACTGCGGTGGAAGATTTCGATGAGCCTTGACAAGGAAGGACTAAGAGCGACGGTCGTGGAAGATGTGCGATTGAAAGAGGTCCATTTGGCTCAGAGGAAATAACTGGAACGAGCTCTGGATTGACACTTGCGAGATTGCGTGTCCACTCGAGGAGGAAGTTTTGACCACGAGCCGGCATTGGTTGGACTCTTCCTTCCGCTGTCATCTCCAGAAACGGACTGTCGTACGGAATGCTCAATGCGTACGGCATGGAGGAGTCGAACTCATCAAGCGGTAGAGGTCGGTAGATGCGTCGCCGCGATTCCGCTAGAGAAAGGTAGGATACCAGGGCTTCAGCCTTGGTTTCCTCTCCTCCAAGGTAACCTTCTATCGCCTCGAAATATTTGGCGATATTTTGCTGGTGTGTAGCAAGATCAAGCTTGAGAAGCTGGATGAACTGGTACTCTGGGCTGTCCGCGATCCCAGCCTTCACGTAGGATGAGTTGGTGACGTTGGTGATGAATTGCGCATCCAAGTCGTAGGTTGTGCCATTCCAAGTTGTCTTCTGCGGAACATATTGCATCAAGATACCGCGTCTCCACGAATAGATAGGATTCCAGAAGTCGAGCATCATGAGAGCGTTGAAGGTGTTGGCAGAAAACAAGCCAAGCCACTTGTTTGGACCAAGCTTCTTCAGCGTTTGCATCTTCGCAACGCCTTGGGCATCCTCATTTGAGGCATGCAGAATGTTGAACTGAGCTTGGCCCTCGTTGTCTTGAAGAATAACTCTGAATGCAAGAACCTTCTCACCTGGAAGGTACTCCCTTTCGTCTCCACCAAGTGCTGTAAGTGGAAGTTCCACGTAACCTGGGGGCTTTGACTCAGATTTGACGACATTGATGCGTTGCAGGATGGATAGACCCAGTGCTTTGGCAGCGGTCTGGTAATCTTCCTCGGTGACGGAGACATTCAATGTTGGGGCGTCACTCTGTGGAAGTCTGTCGTTAGCCAAAGGCATGTTTTAAATATCTGTCGGGTAGGACGTACTAATAAATTGAAAAGATTAGAACTAAGCAGTTCGTTGTCATAAAAGTGATCCAACGGAATACTGAAGCTTTTGTCGTCGGGGTTCATCTTGGCAGCCACCATGTTGACAGTAGTGGTCAGAAACAGATGCGCTGCCCATCGCGGAATATTCTTCGGTGATTCGAGGAGGCCAGTGGGAGAGAAAAAGTCGTTCTTCACTCGTCGGACGGACCATACGCTGACACCATCGGTGATCATTTCTTCCAAAACATCTGGACCCTCGGTCAGTTGAGAAAGGATGTCGCCACCCGGTTGTGTGAGATATGGCGCTGCCATGAACTCCTTGTTGTTTTCGTCGGTGAAACAGGCGGTGAAGTCGATAGTCGCACTCTTATTAAACCAGTGGATCCAGGGCCTAGAATCAGAACTTAGTAGTTATCCTTCTTGTTGACCATCAAACTTACGCGTGGAGCTCCTTCATGACGCAAGCCCCATTCACATGGCCATTGAATGGGCCAAGGTATTGATTGGCACCAAAAGCATCCATTGAGTTGCCAAAGTAGTTCCATGTATTTGTTCCGTTGATTTTATCTCTCTGGTCCCATGAGTCAGTGAGGTAGACATCTTCAACACGCCCGAATTTGTACTGTACCTGGTAGAAGCGGAAAGTGAGCCCGTCCCATGAAGCAACCTGGAGGAACTTGGTACTGTCTGATAGAAAGGCCGAGCCGACAATGCAAAGGGTCCATTCCTTCGTCGACAAGTCGAATGCACTGCTATTGTTCCCGGTAGAGTGAACAATGGCGACTAGTCGTATGTGTGGATTAAACCAGTCTTCCTTTGGCACGTCTCCGACTGTTACAGCGCTACCGTCCGCTACCATGAACGTATGCAGCTCGACCGGCGGCGGCTTCGCCTTTGACTGATCTGCAATCGTGAGTATACACCATTGGGGTAGCAAGCAACATGTACTCACTCCAGAAGACAGTGATGAGGTCGTTGAAGGTGTCGATGGAGGCATTGTCACCCATTTGCAACCACTTGCCGAAATGGTCCACAAAATTGGCGTTCAAGAAGTCCTGGCTTGCCAGGTGATCCCTGTCGTCAAGTCCATTACGAGTAAACTCGCGGTAGTACAAAGGGGGAGGCATGTCCTTGGACGGGAGTGCAACTCTCAGACGATTGCTTGTGATTGTGCGAGGAATCGGTTGTGTGGTGGGAGACTAATTCCTTCCTTCTCCAGCATATATAGGCTAGGAACCGGATTTAACCAAGTCAGAGGTGTCGGCCGTGATTTCTCAGTAAGGAAACTACGGCATGTGCAGATAGGGTGAAGGAATAAAGAGAGAACATCCCTGCAAATTCTCTGGGAATCTTACATGTGTAGCCAAGGCAGAATCGAGGTGGTTGCATGCATATGTTGAGTCTAGGAGGAACGGGTCAGACGCGGGGCCGCTTTTGAAGCCCCCTAGCACTAACGATACTGGTATGTACTACTTCAGCCGCAAAAAGCCATTTCGATTTGCCCATTCTAAACACCGGAGCGGTGAGGACACTTGTAGCATTCTGGGCTGGTTGAGATGCACATAGAGCTTGTTGAGACGCAGAGGAAAGACAAGACGCGGGCGTTGAGAAGAATCCAGTTTAGTCCATTCCCTTGGCTCTGGCATGTCTAACTTGAGTGGCTAGCGGGACTCAATAGTTCCAGGTGTTTCCACATGAGGCTGAGACATTGGCGGGGTCTTGCAGCATGTAATCCTATCTCTCAAGCTGATGATTGGAACATTTCATGCCGGCAGTACTCCTCCCCGCTATCTAGAGTGCCACAGAATTGGGCTCGGGCCGCTCAAGCAAATCCTAAGCTCAGCACTAGTGACTTGATAGACGAACGTGCCAGTAAACTACTGGTTCTGCTCTTGTCCGCCTACGACATACCTGCAGCTCTCGGATACCATGACAACTCAGGTGACTGGATTATGCACATATAGAGCCTCCTAGTGGACTGAACGCTTTTGTATTGGTTGTCTTGGCGTCAACGTGGCTTGCTGAAACATTACACGAGCTTCTCCCTGCATAGTACAATGTACCATATTTCAAGAATGTGATCGTCTTAGAAGCGGTGACAAGGCGGGGTAAGAGTTCAACAGCTGGCATTCCAGGAGCCACTGCAGGATTGGGACGGACATCAAGTGATTCTTGTATCATTGAGAGTAGTAGATCCTGCTCGAGCATAAGAGCGATTATCTTCTCTCTAGGTGATTCCATTAGAGCCCACTTTGCACAATCCACTCCAATCCCCCTCTTTTGACATTCTATCAATCTTCAAACAATCTCCAACATGTCCGTGAGCATCCAGAAGCTTGCCAAATTCGATCCTCCTGGGTATCCTGATGTCGACGACGGCCTCACCGACCCACAGAAGCTTGCATGGTCTCAGAAGATTTCCGACTGGATGGACTTCGAGATTGCGGGCGACGACGAATCCGGACAACGTAGCGGCCGTACCAAGCTCCCTCAGTTCTTCAACGGTACCGTCACTGCTTACGATGTCTCGCAGCAGCCGGCAGCTATTACCTGGATTGGATTCCCAAACTTGGTGAGTTAAGCTCCTTTCATAAAGAACTACAGCTCATTTTGCGACAGGTACGAGTCCGCTACCCCAATGCGCCTCGGCGATGGAAGGAAGCCGACAGCACCAGGGACAACCAGGACGAGTATTTGGAGTGGTCTGTCAAGAAGGACGACGACGGGAACATCCAAACAGTCACATTTACTTGTGAAGGTCCTGAGGTCAGTCCATCTTTTGAGTACGTACCGCATGGTAAAATACTAAAAAAAAAAACCCTCTGGTAGTACTGGGAGTTCTTGGTCCAGAATCAGCCTGACAAGCTCAACTCCTTGTATTTGGCTATGAACCCAGACTTCAAAGGCGAGATGAAGCCGTCGGATTGGTGGCATGGTAAGAGGTATAACGCAGAGAACAAGTGGAATGTTTCCACCACAACTGGGACCATTGCACACCTCGTCCAGAGGAACAACACACTCTCGGCTGAAGTGGATATTGCAGCCCAGGGTACTGTTATCCGCAAAGACAAGGACGGAAAGATCATCACGGATCAGACGAAGCTCATCAATTGTTCGGCTTACGGACAACCAAAGCGCAATTCGGACCCTGTGGTAAGCCCTCCAATCGTCTACCTTCTAAATTAACGACATGGATGCGCTAACAGTCGCGCCTCTCATCCAGATTGGCAGCGCCATCAACGCTCTCGCTCGAAAGGGTGCTTCTGTCTCGATTGCCAACCCGGTTGCGCTCTACATCCATCATTTCTCCACGAGCAACTTCCAGCTTGATGTCGAGGGAACGGGCGAGAACATGATTGACGTCCCCGAGGGTACGTTCAACTGGCAGAGGGGAGACATTGACAAGAATATGGGTTTGAGACTGCAGGTCAAGATCTCCGATGGAGTTTTGGGGACCGGCCCGGACAACAAGGGCCGGCAGTTGAATGTCAGCGATATCGTGGACAGCAAAACCGGAACCAACATCATGTACGGGGCTCAGTTCGCCGAATACATCACCATGACAGTGAAGGGCGTGGCTATCGCTGGAGGGAAGCCTGCGGATCCGCTGCCTTGCTTTCGGTGGCAAGCTTTGGCTGCGAATGGGGAATTGGCTATGATGGCAGCTGATGTTGCGCCGTGTGATGCTTCAACTGCTAAGCATACACCTGGTACTAGACTGTAATGCAGCGAGAATCTACTTGGGAGAATTTAATCCTTAGAGGTACAGCCCTGCTCACTCAGCCGAGTACTTGACACCTCCAGCAGAGATTATTTCGCGTCAATATTCCAAGTACAATTTCAAGTAGCGTAAACAATACTGGAATCCATTCGGCTTTTGAGCTTTGGAATGCGTACTGTTGTGGCTGTGATGTACACATTGCCCAAGGTGACGGGTTTGTGGCGAGGTGCATACTGCAGCCATTGACCGCCTGATGATTGCAGCCTTATCCAGAGCTGAACTTCCCTTCTCCAACAAACAATTCTCTCTGCATCAGCACCAACGCTCGATAGCGGAATAGAGCCAAATCGTCATTTTCCCTACGGCCGCTAGAGTAAGTTACGCGACCTTTCTGGATGTTGGGCGGTAAGTGGTGAACGTGACTACAGGCCATGGAAGCACTCGGTGCTGCTGCAAGCGTTATCGCGGTGCTTCAGCTGTCTACGAGCGTCATTGAGTACATCAACGCTGCTTCTGGAGCAAAGAAAGAACGTCGAGAACTCCGCGGGGAGATACGAGCCTGCACACAAATTCTTCAAGAGCTGAGAGATGAAGCTGGTGATTCGGAGGAAGGCCAGAGGTGGCAAAGCACAATAAATGCTCTGGAGGAGCCAGGCGCACCTCTCGGACGTCTGTGGGCTGTATTAACCATAATGGCGGTTAAATTACAGCCAAAGAGAGGCCTGAAGAAGATTGCGGAGACCTTGAAATGGCCCTTTGAAGAGAAGGAACTGGGAAAGCTGATGGACATCATCCACCGTGAACTTGGCCTACTACAAGTAGCTTTGGCCAACAACTCTCGCAAGCTGATTGCGGATATCCACAGAAGCAAGGTGGAGAATACGGCACAGTTAGCAGAGTTGATCGCACTCGTCCAAACCAACTCTAAAGACAACCACGATGGGATCCAAGAGCTAAAGGACCAGTTGACTCTCTTTCATGGGTCTCAGAATGACCTAAGAGACGGCATTAATCGACTAGAGCTTCAAAACGACGACCGGGAAACTGCTGAAGAGCGCGCCCTGGCTTTGAACTGGTTGAGTCTGGTCGATTTTACAAGCCAGCAGACCGACTCCACCCGTCGACACCAGAGAGGTACAGGACAGTGGCTCCTGGACTCCCAGGAGTACAAATCATGGTACGAGGCTGAAAACCAGACGCTCTTTTGCCCTGGGATCCCAGGAGCCGGCAAGACCATCCTCACATCAGTTGTGATCAACGATTTGGCTGACCGAAGCCGAGACGATACCTCTGTTGGACTGGCTTACCTCTATTGCAACTTTCGACGAGAGGGCGAGCAGAAGATGGAAAATTTCCTTGCGAGTTTAGTCCGACAACTTTCTCAGAAACATGCCCGTCTTCCAGACACTGTGAAGTCCATCTACCAACGACACAAGGGTGAGGGGACACGGCCATCAGTGGTAGAACTCTCCAAAGCCCTCAAACTGGTGACGGATATGTATTCCAGGGTCTTTGTCGTTGTTGACGCTCTCGACGAATGCCAAAAAGTCGATGGATCTCGTGGAAAGCTCCTTTCAGAACTATTTGACTTGCAAGCTAGTCATGGAGTCAACATATTCGCAACCTCAAGGTTCATCCCAGAGATTGTGGACGAATTTTCGGAGGGCGCATCATTGGAGATTCGTGCTAGTCCTGAAGATGTCTTGGCATATCTCGATGGTAACATGTCTCGACTCCCACGATTTGTGCTCCAGAACCAAACACTTCAGGATGAAATTAAGACCAAAATCGTCGAAGCTGTGGATGGGATGTACGTAAACCCATATACGTGTTCAGGACACCACTGACTCTCCTAGGTTTTTGCTCGCGCAGCTTCATCTAGATTCATTGATTGGAAAGACAGTCCCAAAGGCTGTACGTACAACACTACAGAAGCTTTCGACCGGATCAAATGCATATGATCATGCATATGACCGTATTGTGGAGAGAATTGAAGGACAGATCAAAGATCAAGAGGATCTTGCAAAACAAGCTGTATCATGGATCGTCTGCTCGGAGACCGAACTAACCACCCTGCAACTTCAACACGCCCTCGCAGTCGAGATAGGGGAGCCTCAGTTCGACAAAGAGAACATGCCCCATGTTGATGACATAGTTTCGGTGTGCGCCGGGCTGGTTACCGTGGATGAACACACCAAGATCATCCGTTTGGTTCACTTCACCACCCAAGAATATTTTCGGCGCTCAAAAGCAACGTGGATTCAGAACGCGGCCCATGTCAACATTGCAAGAGTATGCCTTACCTATCTCTGCTTCGACATCTTTCGCGATGGGGTTTGTGTCCATTACAAAGACTTCCAGGAGCGTCTAGATAAATACCCCCTATTCAAGTATGCCTCACATTACTTAGGAATTCATGCTGTCGTGGCTTCGCTTCCACCTCTAGAACTTATGGAATTTTTAGAGTGTGATTCAGCAGTGGAAGCATCGTTCCAAGCACTGTTGGTTGGCAAGCTGAGCTGGTCACACCCTAGCTACACCCTTCAGCTTGGCAAGAAGTCCCGAGGTCTACATTACGCATCAGTCTTTGGGCTGGATGAGGCGGTGACTATGCTCTTAGACCGCCAGCACCATGTCGATGTAGAAGATGGACATGGTAGGACACCACTGTCATTTGCCGCCGAGAATGGCCATATCGCTATCATAAAGCTATTGCTTGGTCGAGGTGCAAAGGTAGACTCGATGGCGAGTGGTGTGGAGAATGGCCGGACACCTCTTTCATTTGCCGCCGAGGGGGCTCAAGAGGACTCAGTCAAACTACTTCTTGAACAAGGTGCGAACCCCAACTCTCAAGAGTATGTCGTACCTCGAGGGTGGGAACGGGCAAAAAGTGAAGATGGCAAAGTTTACTATGTCAATCATTTCTCGGGAACAACAACATGGTCTGACCCTCGATATGACACCAACTTACCAGAAGGTTGGGAACGACGAATAGCACCTAACGAGCGCCCCTACTATGTGGATCACAACACGAGAATGACTAGTTGGGATGCTCCACAGCAAACAGTCAGCAATCTTGAAAAGTCGAAGCTAGATGGCGGGCGTACGCCGTTGCTTTATGCTGTCATAGGAGACAAGCTTTCGGTAGTAAAGGTGCTACTTGCTGTGGATGACATCGACATAAACAAGGTTGACAACATAGGTCGTACGCCTCTCCACCATGCAGTCATGTGTGGGCACCGCCCAATTTTCGAGCTGCTATTTGCCAGAGATGAAATAGTTGTCGATGTCAGGGATATCGTGGGATCCACAGCGTTCTCGGCAGCGGCTTCCCGAGACGAATTATGGTACATGGAGCAACTACTCGCGGCCGAGAGGGTTGATCCAGATCAGAAAGACAACTTTGGATCTACGCCACTTCAACATGCGGCCGGACGTGGCCATATAGCCATGGTTGAGCGGCTACTCGCGACTCACAGGGTCGATCCGGGCGGGAGAGACTGTATTGGCCGAACGCCGCTGTCATGTGCGGCCGAAAAGGGTCACGGAGCGATAGTTGAGCTATTGCTTGCAACTAAGAGGGTCGACCCTACCTTGAAAGACGTCACGGGACAGACGCCGTTTGATTACGCTGTTGCCGCAGGAGACGAAAGTAGCGTAAGAGCGCTGACCTCATATGGGGAGTCGCTGGGTCCAGGTGTGTGAGCTAGCCTACCAGCAACTCAATTGAGAGATGACCAGATGTTGAGATCGATAACTGAATATATTATCAGTTAGCGAATGTGACATGTCAAAGGATGAAGCGAAAGCGAGAGGATCTCGTTCGGTACCACGGTCTTTCGAGTGGAGATAGAGCCAATGTGAAACGTATTGTTTAATTACTGGTTGACGGGCTTGCCCTCACGGTCGTTGTTTAGTGCCTCCTCAGCCGCTGGTTCATCCCCGAATTAAAGATATATGTGACTTAAGTCGGTTTTAATTTTGAGGTGCTGATAAAAAAGGGGATTACTTGTGGTTCATGGCTAAGACGGCGTCTCAAGTTAGTATTGCTACCTAGTTGACGAAATGCCATCGACGGAGTGCAATAGAGTGAGAGAATTACTCGGAATATGCCCGGCAGCTCCCGAGATCATACGACGAAGGGGAAATTGACGTGGGAAATGGATAATTTATCCGGGAACTCATTTGCTAATTGATGCACGGTCGGAGGCTTTCTGGCATCGCGGGACATTACTGCAAGACTGAGAACCGGAGCGAGTCGGGAATCATTGTGCCAAGATGGGACTTGTCACCATGCACATGGCCCTGATGCGAACTTGCAAACCTCGCATTTTTGTCTTCGGATGGTTTTTGGAGGATAATCAGATGACCGCTATGGATCGACTTGACTGTGGATAGTTCAAATGGAGCTGTGGCCTGGCTGGTGACAACAACAAAAGTACTTATTACAGCTCACCAAGTCCGTCATCATTTCCGCCCATCTTCGTTGCACAATCGTGTCAATTTTTCCAGTGCGTATCAAATAAGTTGGAACAGAACAATTTTGCAACACCAAGCTGATCATCATGGCATCTGGCGCCTTCTTCAACCCGCGGACCCTCCTCCTGGTCACGCCCCTCATCTCATCGACATGCACGCTCTGGTACTCAAAGGATCAGGATTTCTTTATCGGCATCTTCGCCGAGCGCATCGACGAGAAGAAAGCCAACGATGTCCTCCCGTCATACATCAGGGGCATGTTTGTCAGAGGAACCTCGGCTGTCGTTGGCCTGATCGCCGTCACATTTTGGTCCTCACTCGCCAACATCTATCTCTACCGTCCCATCCTCCAGAGCCGCGGGTCGCTCCGCTGGTACGTGGGGACCGCTGCGCTGGCTCTGGGGCACCTCGCGTGGGTGCCGGCGGTCGCATGGAAGCTCAAGGCTCTCATGGACGAAACTACAGAGGCCGAGGGCACGACGAACGTCGGCATGATGAAGAAGTGGTTGTGGGTCAACTTCACCAGAATGGTGACGACAGATCTGAGCGCTTGGCTGTGTGCTGTCGCGGCCATTTCGACCACCCTCAGCGTCTAAGATGAATTGGCTGCCTCCGAAACCTCAATGATCGACTCAATTTCATCTGCGGATATTGAACCTGGGGTATATGACGTGGATTCCAAGCGGAAGTGGGCGCACTGGGGGCGGACGGGAGTTGAGGCCCAGGGTTGTACACTAGTTGCGCACATAAAACAACCATCTTCGTCTACTGTAAACTAACAATTGCCAAGCTTTTTTTATGGGCATGTTACGTGTAAATACCGAATACTGGGCTAAGTGTATTGTCCATGCGCTGGACAGCTCAAGGGTCGAGTGCCGTCAGGAATGGAATGAATGGTGCCACTCTCCTCGAAGGGCTGGTTACGCGTACTGTGCATCGCTAGGGAGCTCATCGTGGATCCGAAATGGAGAAAACTGGTTTCGATCCCTGCCAATTCTATGATTGCAGGTTGTCGGGCTCTTTTAGATGGCTATCAACACGTCTAAGAGCATCAAGAGCAGTTGGGCAAAGACGCGGATCCAGCACATCATGAAAGGAGGCAATCCCTGGCAAAGTCTTGTCAACCGGGACAGTTGACAAACGAAGCATCGGACTTTAGACAACTCCCCCGAACCCCCGGCGATATCTGATATCTAAGCATCGTTCGTCTATATTTACCGACCCGACCTTGCGGGCTAGAACAGGTCGATAGCGCAGAATGACGAACAGGCTGGGCCAATTACCCACAAAAGAAGCAAACATCAGATAAAATATTTGTTAGTCCGCCCTTCCGCGGTCGCCGAGGCGGCGGGGTGGAGCAACGCAAACGCCAGGGATGGATTCATGGTGTTTAGAATCGTGCATTACGCGTCTCGTGTGGTTTTTTTTATCGCCAATAGTGTGTGATCCATCACATCGAAAAAACCCGCTTAGGCAACTCGACGTCGATGGCGCCCGCCGCCGCCTTTCCCCGTAGTTCGTGCTATTTCCAGCGCAGAGATCTGCGCCTCAAAATAAAAACGGTGGGCTATTTCCGAATTGCATGATTTTCTCGTGTTCCCGCGACTCTCGGCTCCCGCTGGTGAAATCCCCTGTTACCTGTTGCCTGCTGCTTCGCTCGGGTCTATCACATCACAAAACAGATTCCGTCACGCCCGGGGGCGCAGCATCGGCGACGGTGTCCACGGTCCACCACGGCGTGGGTGTGGATACAGCGGTGGAGATAACGACGGTGTGTGTGTGGGTATTTCCCATTCACCCACCCGCCAGAGACTTGTAAGTCGTGCAGAAGCAGTTGCGTGGAGGTCTCCATACGAGATGCGTATGCCTGCGTGTGCGTGCGTGCGTGGGCGCGTGTGTGTGGGCGAATCGAGCCGGCCCGTCTTGAGAGCTCCAGATAAGAAAACCAGGCCAGTTCCCCCAGTTCTAAACCTCGAGCTCTTTTGCCTTGATCGTGCTGGGTTCAAGTTGCCCATTTCTCTCGTTGAAACAAAAGGAGTTCCAGCGTCCTACACTAAAACGCTATCGCGACCCGAGCATTCCTTCCGGACCCCTGACACAGTGGCACTCGGCACCGCATCCATTGCCGATTCGAAAGGCATAAAACCAGCTTAATTCACTTGCCTGCAATGCCTCCGCACATCATCAAACCTGGCGACCCGCCTCCAGCGTACGACGAAATCATGCTCAACAACCGAGGGGGCGGCGACAGCGTCCGACATGTCCAGACCAGCATGCCATGGTGGAACCCGCGATACTGGCGAAAGAGGATCTGGTTTGGTGTTGTGGCTGGCATCTTGATCATTTTGGCCATCATCATTGCCGTCGCTGTCACCGTGACCAAGAATAATGCTTATCCGAACTATACCACGCTGTCGTATAGCCTAGTTGATACCTGTATGTTCGCCATTAACATGTTCTCTGGGTCCTGTTTCTAATTGACATTTAGACTCGGGCGACACCTTCTTTGACCAATTCAACTATTTTACAGGATATGATCCGAGTAAGAATACCGCCAAGCAAACACCCGGCTTGTTTCGTTGCAAAAACTAACTTGTCGCTCTGCAGCCAATGGCTTCGTTCACTATGTTCCCCAAGAACAGGCAGAGTCTCTTGTAAGCTACTCCGTATCTATCTAGGTTATGCATAGGCTTTAACTTACACCGCATAGAACTTGACCTATGCCTCGAATGACTCTGCAGTCCTTCGAGTCGACACCTCCGTCGGCCCCGGAGACAACCCCGATGCCTCTACAGGCCGCTTCTCCGTCCGTGTCGAGTCCAAGAACACGTACGAAAATGGCTTATTCGTCTTCGATATTAAGCACACGCCTTATGGCTGCGGGACCTGGCCTGCTCTCTGGCTAACCGACCGCTCCAACTGGCCCGACAACGGCGAGATTGACGTCATGGAGGCGACGAACAATGCCACCGATGGCAACCAGATGACGCTGCACACTACCGACCAGTGCTCGATGAACGTCCGCCGCAAGGAAACCGGCAGCGCGCTGAGGAAGAACTGCAACTGGGAGAAGAACGACAACGAGGGCTGTGGTGTTTCCGACGATGACAGCAGCTACGGCACTACGTTCAACTCGGACGGCGGCGGCGTCATGGCCATGGAGTGGCGAGATGCAGGCATCCGCATGTGGCAGTTCGGTCGAGGCTCCATCCCCAGCGACATCACGAACAAGACGCCAGATCCCAGCACCTGGGGCACCGCGGTCGCCGATTTCCCCAACACGAACTGCGACATCGGCTCCCACTTCAAGAACAACTCCATTATCGTGAACATTGATCTTTGCGGCGACCTGGTGTACGCCGTGTGGGACGACTCGGGCTGTAAGTTGAACCTAGAGCTGCCTCTGCGAGCCGAAAACTGACGGATTCTCAGGCGCGAGCAACTGTACGGATTGGGTCGCCAACAACCCTGATGAGTTTAAGAACGCCTACTGGGAGTTTGGTGCCTTTCACGTGTACCAATCGTCGTAGGTGAAAAGAGGATTGTCGAAAAGGATCCTGCGGGGTGTCTATGGACCGAGGGCTGTCTCTTACAGCTACGTTGATCATGTTTTTGAAGCGCGGCGCTAGGTGCAAATGGAATTCCAGAAGGCGTTGGAAATATCATAGGTTTTCATAGTTTACATCAAATATTCTGTATTCTACATGAACGGCTCATCATTGAGCGCGGGTATTATACACATCTCATGGTACACGTGGCCATCCATCGTCTTGTCTTGTCGTCCCCAATGCACACTCAGGGGCCAAATTCCAAAGAGGAGAGAGTCCGTCTCCAACGCCAGCCCTATGCTCTAAATGGTCATCCATAACTCCCACAAACAGCATGTCCGCCTACACAACTCATACAATACACCCGCCGCCTGTTTTTTTTTCGTCCCTTATCTCCCGGTCTATTCGTCACTGGGCTGTCGCATGTAGACCTCGATGGCTGCACTAAACGCCGCGAAAGCCAGGCAACCGCCTACAGCAGCCTGAGGGCCAGCGTTCTTTGCGAGGACGCCACCGGTGACACAGCCCGCAGCAACGGCATTGGTGGTGTCGTTCTTCGCTCGTAGGCCCTCAATGCCGCACTCAATACCCGAGTAGAGAGCACCGACCTTGCCGAAGTTCTTGGCCATGGAAAACGACTTTGTGCCCATATCCTTGAAGCCGATCTTGAGCTGTTGTTTGAGGGGAAGGGAGCTGATGGGGGTTGGCTGTGCACCAGGGACGGCCGTATGGAAGGGAGTATCGTAGGACATCTAGAATGACGAATTAGCAATTGCGCCAGCAGCAACGAGCAGGACGATGACGTACGGAGGCCATGAACATTCCAAAGAGACCACCCATTCCAAAACCCATGACTCCAGACATGACAGACTTGCCCACACAAGACTCCATCGCGGCTTGGACCTGTTCATCGCCATAGTTAGCTGAGCTGTTGGTGGAGGCGCGGGGGAGGCTGCGCAAGACGTACGGCCTTGACACCAGGGTCCTGGGGGCCACCGGGCTGAGGCAGCGGGCCGGGGTTACCGGCCGGGGGCGAGCTCGACGGGAAGTTCATGGTGGGTGGTGGGAGGGAGAAGTCGAGGGTATCGCGGGTTTAAGCTGCGCAGCGGTTGCGGGCCATGGACCCAGATGGGCTTCTGGGAAATCTTTGGAGAGGATTGTTTCTGCCGGCGGCCACCGCCTTTCGGGCATTTCATGGGACTTGACGGCCCCACCATCCCGGCTTGGCGTTTTTTCGGCGCCGCCTTGTTTGTGTTACCGTTTGCATGGATGATGGATGAGGGAACGAGCACTGACGGTGTAGTACGGAGAAGTTCCGCCGTTTGGAAACGTACATCGAGGTAAACCTATTGGTGACTCCCAATTGCGTCACAGCCGATTGCCCACCATCTAGCTTTCGACCAAGATTTTGATCCGTTCCATTCAAGTTTGGTTCACGCCATGTTGGAATACATTTAGATGAATATTTTAGCGGAGTAGAGTAGCTTCTTCTACTAAACGAACGAATTCCCCTCAGAATCCGATCTCTCTCAGAACTCGACTCTCCCGCATGTTTTCACTAGTTGAAACCCGCTCCCACTAACCATGTAAGCCGCCTGTGCGACATGACTCCTCCCTGGGTTCACCATTTTCAAGCTCTCTTCTCACCCTCCCCATCCTGGCGATATCGCTCGCGCTCGTAATGGCCTCGGACCGGCATGTTGGTGCGGCCAGTTCCGTCGCTGGGTGTCTGCGAAGAGTAATCATAACGGACGCGCGATGGCTCGTGGTTCTGATTCGGATCATTTGCGTCCCCGTGGTACCGGATGCGACCGTACTGGTTGTCAGTGCGGAAAGTCTCAACGCTTCCTGGAGGAGCGCTTGCATTGATAGGCGGGTGCTGCCAAGCATTGGGCGGTGGTGGGAAAGGGCCCAGAGGGTAGTTGGCGGTAGCCGGGGCGTCAGTCGCTCTCCAAGGAGGGCGTTCATCACGGAATCCCATGCGCTGCCAATGAGTCAATGGCTGAAGTCGGGGTTCAAGCGTGGGATGGCTGCCAGAGTTGGTTGAGCGAGATACCCGCTTGGGAGGCGATCTCTCAACATCATCATCGGCCGACAACTGTCGCTTCCCGTGTCGCTGCTCAACATCCTCATGAACGTATCTGGCGGGAGGAACCGCAGCTCTGGTCAAATTGTATGATGGAGGAGCGGGGGCAATTGGCCGATACCGTCTTGTCACAGTGCCCTCGGAAACTGCAGTGTCGAGTGTAGAGGTCGACGACGCCGAAGTGGACAAGCCAGGCACATGGTCAGTCGGGAAGCCAGAGTTGCCGGCAGCGACACCTCCCATGAGCGCAGGATCAATGACGTTCGGCTCGCACCAGACCAATTGGCGTCCATATCCACGTCGAGGGTTGTAGTCCACAGGAATGGGACTAGGGGGAGGCGCTGGCACAGCATTGGACGACCGAGTGGAATATGGACCTTGAGAAGCACCGAGACCGAAGGTTGCAGCCGAGGGAAGCTGATACCGTTCATCATCTCCAGCTCCCTGGTTCTGGGGGCGGGGCCTCAGTGGAGCAAGAGTCGGTTGGTCTTGGGAATCTTGACGATTGCCCTGGCCCGGAGGCTTGTTTTGAACATACGCCCTGGCAGCGGGATCCCTGGCGATAATTGCGGCGAGCAACTCCTGGTCTTCTTTGCCGGGCACAGGAGGAGGAGTGGGAGGGCGAGGACCCCAGTTGTTCTCGTACCACGCTAGAGCTGGTCAGCATCAGAAGTCTGCAGAGGAAATGTGTGCGACGTACCCAAGTCACGGAGATGTCTGGCGAAGAACTTGCTGGCCTTGGGAGACTTCGCACCAAGCTTGATGCTCTGGTAGTGATGTTCATCTAGATGCTGTTAGTGGAATCCGAGGCTTGGATGATAGCACCTACACAACATCGTCTCCGTGTAATCGCGACGAGCCTCGGTGCCCATGATCTCTTGCATCATCTTAGCGCACTGCTTCCAGTTCATGGGTCGATGGTCGGGGTTCGCGCCACTCGGGGACTCAGGGACGATGACTTCCCAGAACACCCGTTCCTCATCCTCGGTCCAGACCTTCCCGCCCATGGTGATGAGGTGGGGATCGGGTAGCAGAGGCAAGAAACCCCTGGTGGTGAAGGATAACTCTTCAACCAACTTGGTGAGAGAAGGAGGTTTTGGGAAAATAAATCAGGGACGAAGGGAAACTAAATAGTGTGGTGGTTGGCTTGGAGCAACGCAGACCCGAGAACGGAAGTTCGTTCAAGAATGCTTGTTTTAGAGCTAGAGATTAAAATAATTGAACACTGGGGAAGGGTTTTATAGAAGTCGGTGCCACGCAAACTGCCCCTCGGTATGAGTGATTCAGTCCCATTTGCAATCATTTGACAGTCACTTGGGGTATTAGGACAGAGGCGGTCTGGTTCAATCCGTCATGTTGTGTGCGGGGAGTGTTTGATTCACCATGAACGTTTAGTCCTGCTGATGAAAACACCCTGTGATCCGCAGGCAGGGTGAAATCCGTTCTGTTTTTGTTGTGGTTACTCTTCAAAAATGCTTCGAGGTTCAGGAGGCGCACAACCTCTTGCGAATAGAAACGCAGCCAAAGGGCGTTCCATTCTTGAAAACTAGAATTTGTCAGTTTGCGTCCAGGTGGTTTGGAGCGCGAGTTAGTACCCACCACGCTCTTCTTCTCTATGGGTATCACGCCGTCTTTGACCCAGAATCCCCACCCGCCCATCATGTTTGCCAGCATCATGTCCGTTGTCAACCGATCCCCAACGACAGCAATCTGCGATGGGTGCGTCACCCCCGTCTCTGGATGTTTCCTGAAGTACTCCATGATCTCTTCACCACATCCTGGCTTTTTGATAGCGTGAGAAAGCACCGCAAGGCCAGTGTTCTTCTCTACCTCCACGGCTTGAGTGTGATCTCTGTCCCAGGAAGAGGCGCCGGCTGTGTTGGACACCACCAACAGCCGTCGTCCAGGGTATGCTGCCTTGAGCTCTTCAAAGCGAGCCTAGGAATGAGCTGTTAACACGGAGTTAAACAAAGCAGCAGCTGACTCAAGGAAACATACCTGGTATGGCTCATGCACTTCCTTGCTGTCCGGGTACGCAAAGCAATCGTCCTTGTCTAGCACAACAGCCTTGATGTCTGCTTTCCGGCCATTGTTCTGAAAGACTTTGTCTAGAGGAATTGGGAGGTCGTTGAATGTTGATACGGTGTGGTGAGGGAGACATAGACTCGGCTTAAAGAAGAGCCGAGTTATGTTTAAAGACGCTGAAAGATTCAGGTTCATTTTGTTGCCGGTGAATCAATCGCGACGAAACCTGGAGGCTCATGAGCAGGGTGAATTGACGTGGGAGTTTAGCGACGTCAAGCGCTGAAGCTCGCGCCTCAAAAAGACCCGGCGCCACAATACGCCACATTCAATTTAGTTGCACGCGTCCCAGCGCGACGACATCATTTCCGTCTTCACGACTTCCGACCTTGCACAGCGAAAACCGACCAAATCTGACGACCCCTGCGGTGGATTTGGGCTTGGATCAGTCAAAATGCCTCGGAAAAAGGCGGTACTCGACGTGCCGGAGCAGCTGGAGGAACCCAGGTCCTTGCGGAAACGCAGCCATCAAGAGTTGGAAGCTATCCCGGAGTCGGACCTCGAAACGACGCCTACGAAGCGACAACGATCAGGTCGCTACTCACCCACGACCGACGATACCGAGTCCGACAGCCAGGCCCCGAGCTCAGCTGTGGATGTTGTTGAGGCGCCAATAATCGCCGTGAAAGACTCTCCTATAAAGGAGGATGATACGCCAAAACCGAAGCGTCGAGGACGGCCGCCGAAAGTGAAACCCCCCGTGAATGGCGGCGATACTCCGACGCCCAAGGCAAGCCGCACCGCAAACTTCGCCACCCCGACCAAGAGAGCAAACGGCGTGAGTGGGCTCACGCCCATGCGACAGGCTGCAGACCAGTCTGCGAAGAGGAAGAGCGCGAGGGCCTTCATCCACCACGTGGTCGGCGACGAACTCACGGACGAGGAGGACAACGGCGATTTCGCGAGACACATTATCGATTCGAGCGACGAGGAAGAGGAGGATCCCGAGGGCGACGGAGTAACCACAGCGGAGACGTCAGCGGTCGATGAAGCAGCAACGCCATCCAAGAAGACGCCTCGTCCCAAGGGGCGACCACGAAAGGTCCGGTCGCCAACACCACCTCGCGACCTCCCGCCTCACGAACAATACTTTGCGCATAACAAACCAGGCCGACCCAAGACGTCCGGAAATACCCTGGCGTCATTGGCCCTGCTCACCCACGACGAGTACTTCACCATCGTGAAGGAGACCCAGGACCGCCATGCCGCAGACATCGAGTATCTGGAGAGCCTGCACGCCGAGTCCTTCTCTCAGTGGACGTTTGAGGTCTCGCAGGGCTTCGGCGTGTGTCTTTACGGGTTCGGGTCGAAGCGCAAGTTGCTGCACAAGCTTGCGACGCATCTGCACGCGCGAAGGAGGGCCGACAAGGGCGACAAGATTGTCATGGTCAATGGATATGCCCACACCACAACCATGCGCGAGATCCTCAGCAATGTCGGAAGCGCCATAGACCCCACGCAGCGAATCCCCCTCGCTCAGCCGCCGACAATGGTGCAGTCCATCATCTCCCAGCTCGCCACCACCGACATGACCCTCACGCTCGTCATCAACTCCATCGACGCTGCTCCGCTGCGCAAGCCCGGCTACCATGCTGCCCTCGCCCAGCTCGCCGCCCACCCGCAAATCCAGCTTGTCTGCTCCGCCGACACGCCCGACTTCTCGCTGCTGTGGGACATTGGCGTGCGCTCCGCCTTCAACTTTGTCTTCCACGACTGTACTACCTTTGCCCCCTACGCCGTTGAGCTGGACGTCGTCGACGAGGTCAACGAGCTACTGGGCCGAAACGCCCACCGTGTCAACGGCCGGGAGGGTGTCGCCTTCGTCCTGCGCAGCTTGCCCGAGAACGCCAAGAACTTGTTCCGCTTGCTTGTCGCCGAGGTCCTCCTCGCCATGGAGGAAGAAGGAGGCGTTGAGACTACGGGTGTTGAGTACCGCATGGTCTATAACAAGGCGGTCGAGGAGTTCATTTGCAGTTCCGAAATGGCGTTCCGCACGCTGCTAAAGGAGTGAGTTTGATCCCGTAATGCCAACCTGCCGAGTTGTTTGCTGACTATTTCTAGATTCCACGACCATCAGATCATCACCAGCATGAAGGATGCTATCGGAACTGAATTGTTGAGTCTTCCGTTCAGGAGGGACGAGCTGGAAGCGATATTTGAAGACCTAGCGTCATGATACGATGACATAGCATTGTGTAAACTATAAAATAGAACTGGAGTCTCGGAGGGGAGCAAACCTGGGAATAAATGTACAACACAAAATTAACTTGAACAACGTCACTGAAGAAGAGGGCAACTCAGATCTGATAGGCATAGTTCGTGAATATATTTTATCAACTCAAGGGGTATAAAGGCCAAGTGTATGTAAGAACCGGATGTCAAAACCGGTCTCATATGGCAAATTATCATGAGCATTCATTAATCTCTATGCGGCCGTTGGCCGTGTTTCTGTATTTTTCTGCCCGGGCCCAAGCCCAAGCTCACCATAAAACGCCGCCGTCGCCGTGGCTCGGCATATATCAAATCCCTAGACTTTTCACGCATGTCCAGAGGATCACTGGCACAATGACATTATCGTTCCCGCCCGTCAGGACAGTCTCCGTCAGACTCGCCATCGAGGCACACATGCCGGCATTCCGGGCGCTCACGAGGACGCTGGTCAGCTCGTCGGTGGCGGGCCAGCCGCCGATTGTGAGCCAGATCTTTGCGGCAGCGATACCGATGAAGACGGCCACGGCGAAAGCCACACTGCCTTCGAGGCTCTTACCACCGCCCCATAGCCATTTCCTGCGGCCGTACCGGCGGCCGATGAGTGATGCAGCCGCGTCTCCCAGGCCGACGCAAATAACACCGGATACCATGCTTACATCCCTGGTGGGAACCTCCCATCCAGCAAGATAATCCGATCCGGTTCGGGAAAGCGAAGCCAGAGCTAGCCAAAGAGGAATGGCGCAACCGATGAGGAGGAAGATGTGAGAGATGACGACTGGACCTCGAAAGTCCCTGCCGTCAACGTAGGGTGCGAGAAAGGTCGCGATTGGCTTGGACAATGGGGGGAGCTGGCTCGCTCTCAGCAAATCCAAGATCAGGAAGACTGCTAGGATGAGAGAAAGCGCCAGGGCTGCAAAAGTTGGATCGACAAAGGTCGCCGGAAGAAGCATGCCCACCATCATGAAATGAAACACCTTCCGCCTTGTGTCAACCTCGTAGATTTCCTTCAGGCGAAAGACGATCAGGAGCCCAACAATGAGAATGGCAAGCCAATACATGCTGATTAAGAGTCGCGTATTAGCTTCTCCAAAATCATTGTGGCGGATATGTTGCACCCAGCCCAGGTGGCACTGGCGGTCGTCGTCATCTGGTCGCGTTGGTAGACATATCCACCTCTCTAAGTTGGCATGGATAACTTGGAACCTGAACCAAGGGAGGTCGCCGAACAAATATCCCAACGCCCATCCGATAGGTTCATTGCCATCGAATGCAAACTTCTCGAGATATGCACGGATACCAACCAATGCTATGCCCAGAATGCTGGCGTATACATATCCAGCATAGAGCCACTTTCTCAGAGTTGCCTGACCCTGGGTCAACTTGAAAAATGGCCGGACCGACATTGAAGTGGCCCGCTTCCTCCTTCCAGACGGCGTATGTGTCGCGTTGCGGCGAACCACATTGTCGATATATGGCAACGTATGTCTTCGCATAAAAGAATTTCCATTCGCAAAGGCCGTATCGCCTGCCGTGGGAGAAGGGGGGAGGCTGTCAGCGTCCGGTGATACCTCGCTAGGTCCGAATGTGCGGACTTTTGATGGTCTCTTAAACAACATCGGGCCCGCCTCGTCCTCAGATGATCCAGCTGTGTCATAAGTAGCGTCCTCGGGGTTGGAGCCTAATAACTCATTCTTGATACGCCGCAGTGACAGGAAGTGCGTGATCTTCTTCAACATGGGCACATCTTGAGAGCCGGAGACTTTTCGGAATCGCCATTTCGGAACCCTTGCTAAAGCGATTCCCCACCTAATAACGGGAGCGCAGAAGAGCAGCACGCCCAGCCCACCTCCCCAGAGAAGAGCCTTCAGAACCAAGGCCTGGGGAGAAGAGGCCAGAAGCAAGACATTGATGAGCGCAATCGATAATAGCTGTAGCTCAGCTGTCAATAGACTGGTCGTGGTAAGATGATGCAGCACCACACACAGTGTTTGGTGCAAGGGATATAGTAATACAGCCGTCTCCCCTGACAACAATGGGAGCGCGGGATTGAAGTCTAGGTGATCTTTATATGCAGAGCTCCAGATTAAAGGCAGGCAAGTGAGCGCCCAGAAAACGACGTCGTATGTGGCATAAGGATCGGCTTTGGGAACAAGTTTCTGCGGGATTGAGCAGATGCTCAGAATGATGTTTGGCAGCACTCCAGCAGGGTTGTTGGTTGAAACGAGGAGAGATACGAACAAGGTGATCGCAGGAGGGTATAAGAGAGGGGCGGGATCGAAATTCACTGGGAGTTCGAGCGGAATCCTTCGTGAAGGAGTGCGGTTGCGGTATGCGGAGGCCGTAACTCGGAGAGGGTAGAGGATGAGAACACCGGTGTAAGAGAGACTGAGGAGTTTGATATCTGCAAATTGTGAGATGATGTCGATGGTGAAACATGGAAACGGGACTGCATACCCTTTCCCCAAACATCTAATAATCGTGAGACGTTGGGGTTTGAAGCAACCATGGCACCAAGAGCTAGGACAATGCCAGCCTCTGTCGCTCGTCGCGCAACGACTCTCCTCCGACGGATTACATCGAAGACCCGACGGGGCTCTGAGATGCCATCCGTTGAGAATACCTTGTCCGCAATCCTAAGCCGTGCGCCCTCGACATCTTGCGCGCCGGGAGAGGGCAGCGGCGTTGAGGATCCTGAGAGAGGTTCATTGAGACCCCTCAACCCCTTGTGAGGCTTGGACTTGGGCGCAGGAAGGCCCTTCCAGAAGTGCTCGTCGTCCGCTTCGGAGCCGCTGTCGCTGGTCTGCGGCGAGTCCTTGGCGATCGGGGGAGGGTACGCCGTAGGGGACAACAAGTCCCCGCCATGGTCCTGCTTGGCCGTGTGCGCGGAGCCGTCGTGTCGAGCGAAGCGGTCGGAGGGATGCGGGAGGTCGGCGGTTTGGTGGTGGTACGGGTGGGGAGATCGCGAGAGAGCTCTCAAGCTGTGCTGTTCGTCGGGGTCGAGAGCATTCAGCGGCTCGGGGCTAAGATGCTCGGGCATGACGAGGTAGTCGGGGACGCCAGGGGACCATTGACGATGGCAGAGGAGGGAATGCGCATGGAGGAGAGACGCGGTCGCTGGCGATTACGTAGGCGACGTCTCAAGAGGCTCCGGGCAGCGACTTCACGAGATCCACACGGATGGTGGAGTTGACTGTTGACATGGGGGACGATAGACCGTCTTTCTTCATCATGTGAAAGTGGCCTTTGATGGGGCGACGGTTTCGTCACCTTCAATTAGTTAGCAGTCAGCCAGGTTGCGCTGAGCCAACGAGATGGACGAGATGGAGCGAGCTAGCCAAGGCACCGCTCAACAGGAACCAGCACAAGCCACAGCGGCGCGTCACGTGAACCGAGGCTGAGCGGAGGAGTTGTTAGCGGCATCGTCACGCTGGCGTCAGTGAGGAGGGTTTGCGGAGGGTGGTATTGCAGATATTGCATCGGTTGCTTCTGGCATGCTGCACCAAGTTCATAGAGTTGTACCGCATTGTGCTGGCGACGCTGTGATGGCCTGGGATTGACGATAGTTACATGCCAAGTGATGCCGACAAAAGGGGAAATGGCCGTCACCAGGCAAGACACGTGAGCATCTCCGGTCGACAGGCTGATGTTCAAGAGTCGTCTGCACATTACGGATAATTATAGAATGTCACACATCGCACATCACATCGCACATCGTACGCATCGTCTTGCAAGTACCGGGGCATCTCGTGGGTTGCCACGGCCGATGGCTGCATGCTGCCATCTTGGAGGGGTGCATCTGCAGAGCTGCAAGCCGACCTCAATTGCGGTGCCAGTGACACGTCAGACACGTCAGCCAAGTCTGGCCGACCGAGTATCCAGCCCGACTGATTCCAGCTCTTCAGGGCTTACATGTTGGCCCTGTAACCGAAGGCCCATGAACCCCAAAGAATAACTGGAGTATGGAGACCGCCAACCTTGAGGCCTGTGGGAGAAAAATGCCACCACTGGTCGATCATGGAAGCTTCGAAGCTCAACGTCGTAGGGAGGGGCCTCGGGAGAGATACGAAGCATACGCGCACACCACCTCCACACCGTGAACGAGGGAGGATACGGTTCAGATCACGAATTGTTGTGACTCGCGCGGACTACGGCGTCTACGCGAGACCGGTGCCAGAAATCAGACTATGGGCGTGCCCCGTCCCGACTCTATTTTCAAAAGCTCCGATCGGGCGCCAAGTCCCCGGTCAATGTTGGTGGCGTGTTTGGGGTTTCCAAAGGTTGGCGGTTGCTAACTCTGGCTGGCTGGCGAGAAAAGCCACTCGCTTTCAGCTGGGCTCCCCCGCGAAAGCTCTGATCACGACAACACACCCATACACACCATACAGTCCAACGTGGTGGCTGGAGTTCTGGGACACGGATGGCGTTCGGCAGTCGCAACAATACATGTCAGACGTCCATCCATTGGACTGGAAAATATCTCCGCGTCGCACCAAAGTCCATTTTAGGAAGACCCAAGTCCCCCAGCCTCCCAAGGCGACACACCTCCGAGCTTCTTCTCCAAGACACGAAAGAGGTGTGCAGCCCGAGATTCGCCGTGCCGAGTCTCGTGACGATGGTGACGATGTTTACTTCGTACAGTAGAAGGTGCACGATGCGGGATGTGATGGATCATCGTGGATACGATAGAGAACTAAAACGGGAGTCTTTTAGGGTCGTTGCCCAGGCCCGATCGCTAGTTGTTGAGCCGCCAGATCCGGTTTCTCCATCCATGGTATTCTTGGCAGCCGAAGCTAGCAATACGGGCTCTCCGGGCGGAGCCTCTTGGTATGGGGCCATGAACTGATCGCACGGCCGGACGGTCGGTCACAATCTTGACGGTTGGGATACGGATGCTGTCCATGGAGAGTCCTCGACTCAGACGCACCTCCCCGGCATTGTCGTCAGCGTTCGAACAGGGGGGCTGGAGCAAATGTTGGCAATGACATGCTATATTATCTGCTGTACATTATATGTGTCGGAGTTCAGACGTCCAGAGACACAAAGTCGGAGATGGCTCCCCCGCAGCTTATCTAGAGCTGAGAGCTGAGGTCTAGACGGCGACCACAGCTGCAAGAGCTCCACGTAGCGAGCTTCTCGTTGGTCACTGCCGTGTTGATGCTGCGTGCTTATGGCGGGCTGGGACATCCCATGCAGCAGCGCGTGTCCTTCCGTCCCGGGCTGCTTACGCCGTGGAGCTCACTGGAGTGATGCTGCTGCTGCGCATCCCGTCGACAATCAGCAAGGCCAGGGCCAGGGACCAGGGGGTGGTTGACAAGCAAGCAAGCAGCCACAAGGTGGCCGGCCGGCCGTGGAAGGTCAACTTTGCCAAGGAAGACGGACAGCAGGGGGGCAAAAGAGTAGGCAGGGGTCAGGGGACAAGAAACGGGGGCATCGTGAAGCTCAGGCGGACTGGGACCAATGGGTCGGGCCCGATCGCTTACTCGCTTACGACTTGGACGCGGGTGGTTTGACGGTTAAGCCGATTCTCTCGTATTCTCAACAGGAAAAGAACAAGTACGTATCTTACGGAGTTCTGGATACGGAAGACGGTGAGGGCGGCGCTGACAGGCTGGGAGCAGATCCGGGGATGGAGAAGACGGAGGCAGTAAAAAAAAAAAGCCTCGACGCCGGAATACGAGCGGTGTCTTTGTGCAAGTGAGTGGTGTTTTGGCGACTTTTTAGGCTCGCTCACACTCACACACCCGCAGTGACATCACTCAGCCCCAGCGCGTCCGTCACTGAGCGAACCGGGCCCAGGCTCCACGCCAGCAGCCCGGTGCTGGCTGACGAGGCGCCAGTGGAGCGAGTGCGGCATCCGCGTGCGGAGTTTGTACGCAGTACGGAGCAGAGCAGGAACCCGATGGCTTTTGGAGGGCAGGGAGGCAAAGAACTGGAGGAGAAAATAAAAATATTATCCCCTGCTTGTGTGTTTACTCTGCCGTCGTCGTGCACTATGTAAGGGATGACTGTTGATGCCGAAGCTCGGAAAAGCGCTTTGTCAGAGAGGCAGCGGGGCAGCGGCGGCGGTCTGCGATGTGCCAGCGTCCACCGTCGAGCCCGATACAGACCTGAAGCGGCCTGCGTGAGGGAGTCGCAGCGCCTGGGCAGACCACAGCCAGCGCCTGGGAGGCAGCCTCCAAGGTGCGCGACTCGCCTAACGTGCGTTGTTGGCTAGGCCGGACCACTTGGTTTGCTTGCTCAGCGCCCAGCGCCTAAAAAACACCCCCGGCACGCCCAACCTCAGCTAATGTTCCCCCCCGAGAACCCGCGCCGCGGTGCATCTGGGCGGACACCACCGCCCCTCCCCCCCCGGCCAGGCCTGCGCCAGGTCCCCTTTCCGGGTGCCCCCATCCGCCTCGCCCTGGCCATGGGTTGGCAGGGTGGTGGAGGAGGCATCGAGAGACAGAGTGCAAGAAAAAAGCGGATTGCTTCTTTTTTTGGTGGCGGCCGGGGTGGCTTTGGTTAAGAATGCCTGCGGTTGTCCCTCCCAACACCCGCGCGAGCCCAAAAAGCAACAAGGCCAGGCTTTGAACTGTCCGTATCGCACCGGTAGTCCAGAATAAACTCTCACCAGGTGTGCGCTCTATTCTTACGGCCACTCTCAGCCTCAGCCCTCGCTCTCTCCCAAGCTCGTCCAGACGTCCACACATCAGCGGAGCTCCTGTTCCCGACTAGCTCGGATTGTTGGCCTGTTTTCTATCTGCACCTTGTTGCAGCTGCCTCCGCCGGTTCGTTTCGTGTTACCATCTTGGCCGGGGCCCTTCTGCGCTATCCGTTTTCCGTCTCTCCGTTTCCCGTCTCTTCCCTCTCTTTTGTTCCTTTTGCTGCATCCCCGTCGTCAGAGCCCCCTCAATTCGTCCCAGTCCCTGTCCGTCCCAGTCCCTGTCAGTCCCTGTCCTCACTAATCCCACGGCCCTGTCCTGCCCCCGGTTTGTCACCTCTCTCTTGGCACACGCCAGACACACCAGCCCAAGAAGACTCCGCACCCCACGGCCCACGACATCTTGCCATCATCGATAAAGAGATATCTCCCCCTCCTCCTCCTCCAGTTTTCTTCTGGTCCAGTCACGGCTCCGATCTTCACCCTACCATCCTAGCATCAACCGCTACCCTCTCTCCGCAGCCAGTCATTGATCGTCCCGGACGCCCAAAAATATACACCCGTCCACTTTCGCCTCACGCATGCAATTGCAAGACTAGAGACGACACTCCTGCATATCTGTCTTGGTACAGCGCCGTCTTGAGATCGCCCTAGCGTCGGGTTACACTTTGCCTCTGCCGTTGCCACAGACTACAAAACTCGCCTCATCCCTCCTCTCACTCAAGATGGCCTCCTCCGATACCAAGCACGACTACAACATGGAGGCTGGACTACTGAGCACACATGGAGAGGAGAGGATGTTGACGAAGGAGGCCCAATTCCAGGACTCGGAGCTCACCAATTCCCGTGATGGCACCCGGACTATCTCATGCGCACGACGGGCTCTCATTGCCTTGGCAGTTGTCTGTCTCGTCGGTGTTGGTCTGGTTTCCCTTGGACATGGCGTCTGCCCTGGCCATCTCCGCCATGCCGTGAACGGAGACATCAGTGTCAAGGACGCTATCCACAGCCACAAGCCCAACCTGTCTGACTCCATGGCCCGGCTGGCGAGACGACAGGACAACCTCACCCCAGGTGCTTCCTCCAACACCGGCTCGGGAGAGTCTTCAACCGTTGTCACGGAGCCTACGGCCGGCCCTACCGACGCCAGCACAACCGACCAGTCTTCGGAAACCATTGCCCAGGCCAGCCAGACCAGCGACACGAGTGAGCCTCCATCCGCGGCTTCGGGGTCCGATGAACCCTCTAACACAAACACAGACCAACCTAGCAGCACCGCGGCCCAGGAAACTACCAGCCAGGAAGCCTCTACCTCTAGCGAGGATACTCCCTCGTCTACTGAGCAACGTTCTTCCGAGGCCACCACCAGCAACGCTCCCTCCAGCACATCCGCTGAGACCACCGCCGAATCTCAATCCAGCAGCCAGGCCGAATCCACCACTGACTCCGGTACGTCCACTTCGGAAGCGGAACCTTCCGAAACCTCTTCCTCCTCTCCTAGTGAAACAGCCTCCATCTCCTCTTCTATCAGTACGTCTCCGCCGGATACCTCTTCTGCCTCTTTTCCGTCCTCGACGGGCTCCTCTAGTTCTGGTGATAGTCTTTCTTCATCCGAGTCCTCCTTCAGTACCAGTGATAGACTATCCTCATCCGAGTCCCCGGAATCGACTGAGACAGCCAGTACCTCTGGTATGTGGGGACCCTGCTGTTCAAGCTCATCCCGGAGCCGAGCACATGAACCCCGAATCCCGGAGCCCGTTGCCATTTTTCGATACCACCGACTTGTTCTAAGCCTGCGAGTGCGGCTCGTACCTGGATTTTGCCATGAGACTGTTTCGCTGCGTGCATGTCGAATTATTATCATGAACGCGATTTGCTAACAAATTATACAGCTGATCAGGCTTCATCCACCACGTCGGATTCAACCAAGGAGAAGACCATCACCACCGGTACGAGAACCACCTCTAGCGCTGTGAAGAAGACCTTCACCGCGACCATGGAGAACGGCGGTATCACCACTCTCACTTCGACATCCTGGGTCCAAGTTGTCCCCAACTCCCAGTCCACCTCCGCCAGCGATGCCAGTCTGCAGAATGCGGCTTCTTCGTCCTCCATTTCCGGCGTCCTCTCTGCTGTCATCAGCATGATGTTTGGCGGTCTCCTGCTCCTATGAGCAGCAACAACATCAGAGCATCCATCTTTATCCATGTGCGCGCGGCATAGCATACCCGGCTGGGATTTTGCGAGCGAGTTTTATAACATCGGGCTCTATTTTAACGAATTTGACGGTTCTCTCTTTACGGAAACATTCCAGGGTTTGGAAAAATGGGAAATAATAATAGACGGGGGGAGCGAACTCAGACGCTCAGGCAGAATGGACAAGGATCTAGACAAGGACGGCCACCCATAAAACGGCTGTGTCTTTGGTGGAGTGGGGACTGGGAATCATAGCCATGGCGCATACCACACTTGCCGATACGAACGGATGTAGAAAGGAAGCCAAGCAGTAAAAGACGTTTGGCGTTTTTGTCATATTCGAGGTCTTATTTTTGGACGTGATTGGTGATTTTCTTGTCCACACAGCCACCATGCCGACGAGCAAGCCCGATTGCCCCATAACAACACGAGGGCTTGCAGGAATGTCAGCGAGGATCAATGGCAGCAGGCCAATGCACAGTCCGATTCTGGTTGTTCTAAGTTGCAGGACAACCCTACATCACACCGACTAGCGGTTCAAGGCGGTGACGAAAGATTGGTGATGCCATGGCATTTTATTGCGAAAATCGAGGGTATATCCAAACGCCCTAAACTCCCATTCACATGTGATTCTACCCCTATCCTTCAGATGCCAGTGACCAATACATGTCCTTAGCCAGGTCCAATGCGAGGCATGTCGTGATGCTCGCTCAGCCTGGAGAGGTAGGTGTTGAGTTCCTCCACTCGCTCCTTGTGCGTCTTGAGCAGTTCAGGTCGGGAGCCGGAGGATTCTGCCAGCTGAAGGAGCTGCAAGATACGTGGTTAGTGGCTGACGGATGGCGCGCTGGGACAAATAGTCGACTTACCCGCTTCCGTTTGATTTCCTCGTGTCGCTTCTCCGACTCAGTCTTTTGCACCACGGGTCGGTCGTCTTCGTCCTCCTCGTCGGCCTTGTCTTTGGCCTTGTCTTTGGCCTTGTCTTCGGCAGCGTTGCCCTTCTTGGCCACTTCTTTCCCGATGTTCTTCTCGAGGTCGGACTTGTCACGCTTCTTCTTCTTCTTGTGCACCTTGGCTCCCTTTAGCTTGAGGGCGCCGCCGCCCCCGACGACGCTATATTCGTCGGAAGCCATGATGTTGATGCTGGAAGTTGGTTGCCTGCTCATGCGCTGAGGTCGAAGTAGGGAGGGGCAGCGCCACAGTATTACCTAAGCATGTGGCGCTGCTCCGGCCAATGACGTGGGGTTAAACCGTTTTCGATGCTCAATAGCGGATCGCCGTAACGTCGGACCCAGACCATCCATCGCTGGCGGTTTGAGTCTCCTATCTTGTGTCCTTTCAACCTTGGACTTTGCCCAGGTTTTAATACCAGAGTTTCAGTAAAGCCTTCGCACGGAAGATCGACTGTCTTAACCAGTACCGCACGATTCATCACGACGCACTCCCGATCAATTACCGCAGCGCAGGCAGCATTCCAACTCCATCGACCAACCTCCTGTAACGACCCTTGGCTTCGAGATCGACTCGGCCGCCTTCCCTGAGCCTAGAAGTCTCGACCGACCGCGATGGGCTGTCGCTGATAGATCCTACGTCGCCTCATTGGAACACTGCGGACGGTCGATTGAGGACCACAGGTCGCCACGAAGGGAGAACTAGCACATCGTCGCAATGGCACCCTACGGGCTGGCGCCGCACACGCGGGACTCCCTTGAGCTTGCATCCCTGGCCAGCTCAAGCCAGCTAAACGAAGACGCCATAACCGAAGTGTCCTCGCGGCCAAGCATCTCGTCGTCGCGGCGGCTGTCCCTCGAACTGGATGATCCCCTGAACAGCGCGAACCCGGCGGGACGGCTCGGCCGGTCGTACTCGGTGTCGTCGGCGTTCGACTTTTCGGCCAACTTGTTCCCGCTGAGCTCGACGGCGGGTGGTGGCGGATACGCACCCATTGGAGCGCCTACTTCGGCGGCGCGACCGAACGGCGGGTTGGGGGGTGGATCGCTTGAGAAGCACAAGACGCTGACATACCTCAACGGGTTGTCGCTAATAGTCGGGTTGATCATCGGTTCCGGTATCTTTTCCTCGCCGGGCCAGGTGAGCTCCAAGATCGGGTCCCCTGGCGCATCCCTGATCGTCTGGGTCATCGCGGGCATCCTCGCCTGGACGGGCGCCGCATCCTACGCCGAACTCGGCGGCGCTATTCCCCTAAATGGCGGTGCGCAGGTGTACCTGGCCAAGACGTTTGGCGAGCTATCGGGATTCCTCTTCACCTGGGTAGCCATGCTTGTGCTCAAGCCCGGCAGCGCCGCCATCATCGCCATCATCATGGGCGAGTACCTGGTGCGGGCCTTCATTGGCCCCGACGCCGAGACGGTCAACCCCTGGATCACCAAGGCGGTGGCTCTCGTGGGCGTCGCGATAGTGACGTTTCTGAATTGTGTTTCTACGCGGGTCGGGACCCGCGTGAATGATATGCTCATGTTTATGAAGTTTGTCGCATTGATAGGTGTTACGGTTACTGGTGTTGTGGTGGCTATTACGGGCAAAACTTGGAAGGGCAAGGCCAATGACGAATGGAAGACACACGACTGGTTCGCGAATACGTCCACGGACATGTCTGCTTGGGCACTGGCACTTTATGCGGGCCTGTGGGCGTATGATGGATGGGACAACGTAAGTGAAATCACTGATCTTTGTGGCATGAGAGAAGCTAATCATTGTCCTTGTAGACAAACTACGTGGTGGGCGAATTTCGAAACCCATCTCGAGACCTGCCGCGGGTGATCCATACGGCGATGCCACTGGTCATTTTGAGCTATGTGCTAGCGAATGTGGCCTACTTCCTCGTCCTCCCCATGGAGTCAATGAACGGTTCCAATACCGTGGCCGTCATGTTTGGCTCGAAGGTGTTTGGATCGGCAGGCTCTCTAATTCTCGCGCTGATCGTCAGCGCAAGCTGTTTCGGCGCGCTCAACTCGTCCACCTTTACGTCAAGCCGCCTCGCCTACGCCGCTGGCAAGGAAGGGTACATTCCCTCCGTTTTCGGCACCCTTGGCGTCGGCAACGACGAAGACCACGGTCTATCCACCCAGCGGCAACGCAGCTGGCTCAGCAAGAAGATGCGCCGGATGTTTGGCGACGAGGACACTGGACTGTTCTACACGCCCGTGTACGCCTTGATCCTCAACAGCGTGCTCACCGCGGCGTACTGCGTGGTGGGCGAGTTCAGCACGCTCGTCACCTTTTACGGCGTCGCGGGGTATACGTTTTACTTCATCACCGTGCTCGGCCTCATCGTCCTGCGCGTGCGCGAGCCGGAGCTCGAGCGCCCGTACAAGACGTGGCTCACGACGCCCATCATCTTCTGCTGCGTGAGCCTGTTCCTGCTGAGCCGTGCCGTCTTCGCGCAGCCGTTGCAGACCATCACGGTCGTCATCTTTGTCGTCGCCGGCATTCCTGTGTACTTCTGGCGCATTCACGGCCGGGACGACGTGGTGACCAGAAGGCAGCCGAGCAGCGGCAAGAAGTGGTGGCAATTCTGGAAGTAGCCTCCACCTAGCATACTTACAACGAGGCGGACGAATATGTACTCACGACAGGCGTGTTGGATAGAGTCATGATTGGGATCAGCGATGATGAGTGAGATGCCAATGGACTAAGAGAATTCAGTATTAGTGGCACTAGTGTATACCCAGTAATTAATTAGAAAATACAGCGCTGCAGGACATGAGAATGCAAGCATTCATCAGACTTTAAGTATGCATCAGACTCAAGCATCAATCTCAAGGACAAGGTGATTAACAGAAACAAGTAAAGCAAAGGGAAAGGAATACCACATCGTCCAACATTCACAAGGCAGATCTGGGACCGGTTGTATGATTAATTTAACGTTTTTATTCTCTCATTTCTGCGACGCTATTCTTTCCTGCGTCTGTCGCAGTGGGAGTTGGTACAAGCCATCTATCTGTTCCAGTGGCGTCGTCATGCATCCATTCCCGACCACGCGGGTCTCAAGGCCAGGCCAATATAGGATCTCTGGATCCTCCACCCGTCATATGCAGGTACTAGTTCTCCGGCGGCGGTCGCTGCGCACGATTCCCCTGTATCGCGGGCACTTACTTGCGCTGGCCGTAGGCCTTGGTGGCGTAGTCGCCGCCGTGGACGATGAGGTCCTCGGGGCGGTAGTCGAACTTGCCGCTGAGGTAGCTGGTGAGGATGGCCTTGGTGCCGTCGGCGTAGCGCTTCTGGGCGTCGAGCGAGGTGCCGGACATGTGAGGGACCATGGCGTTGCCTCCGCCGAAGGGGTTCTTGGCGGTGCGCAGGACGTGGTCGCCGGGGGCGGGCTGGGGGAACCAGACATCACCACCGTAGCCGGCGAGGTGGCCGGACTTGAGGGCGGCGGCGACGTCCTCCTTGACGACGATGGCGCCGCGGGCGGTGTTGACGAGGTACGAGCCCTTCTTCATCTTGGAGATGAGGTCGGCGTTGAAGAGGCCCTTGGTCTTCTCGTGGAGGGGGCAGTTGATGGTGACAATGTCGCACTGGGCGAGGAGCTCCTCGAGGGTGTCGACGCGGCGGCAGCCAATCTCGGCCTCCTTCTCGGGGCTCAGGGGCTGGTAATCGTAGTAGAGGAGCTCCTTGCAGTCGAAGGGCTTGAGGCGGCGGAGGACGCGCTCGCCGATGCGGCCGACGGCGACGGTGCCGACGACCTTGCCCTCGAGGTCGTACTCCTGCTTGGCGGCGCCGGCGACGTCCCAGTCGCCGCGCTCAATCTGCTCGTGGGCGGGCACGAAGTTGCGGATGAGGACCAGGATGGTCATCAGGACGTGCTCGGCGACGGAGACGACGTTGGAGCCGGTGACCTCGGCGACGGTGATGCCGCCGTTGGTCTTGTTGGCGGCGTTGAGGTCGACGTGGTCGGAGCCGATGCCGGCCGTGATGGCAATCTTGAGCTTCTTGGCCTTGGCGAGGCGCTCGGCGGTCAGGTATCCGGGGTGGAAGCTGGAGGGGATGTTAGTGCTGGGTGGTAGATAGATAGAGGATTGGCAGTAGGAGAGCACGTACGGGGTGGTGATGATGATCTCGGCGTCGACGAGCTCCTCGTCGAACTTGGAGCCCTCACGGTCCTTGTCGGAGGTGGTAACCAGGGTGTGGCCCTGGTCCTCGAGCCACTTGCGGATGCCGAGCTCGTTCTCGGTGGTTCCGAGAAGCTCGGGAACCTATGCGTGGAAGCCATGTTAGTTGCCGTTTTGGTCCATGTGCGTGGTGTTGCATCCGTGTAAGTGAGGGAGCGAGGGAGTGAGGGGAGTGGGCCGGCCGGCTGTAAGCGTCGATTGCGGTCTTGCAGTGTCGCATTATTTGCCCGGCATCATGCACGAGAAGCCCAGGGTTGCTTTGGGCTGGAGGTGGCTGATGGTTGGATGCTGCTCGAGTGCATGCCTTTCCCCGCGTTTGGGGATCGGCGCGCGGAGGGTGTGGGGGAAGAGGAAGAAGACGACGACGACAGGGCAATCAAAGGAATGGAAAGAAAAGAACAAGACGAGAGAGATGGAGAGACAGAGAAATGAATCACGTACGTCAAGAGCGTGCTGACCGCCGTCGTAGAGGACGAGAAGAACCTTGACCTGTGGTGGTTGTGAGCAATATGGTCCGGTTTGATGTCGAGGATGATGGCATCCAAGAGCGGGGAAGAGGGGAGGGAGAGAGACATACCATGATGGCGGTTATAAGTGGTTAATGGGGGGGTATTAAGAAAAAGGGAGGAAGATGAGAGATGAGAGATGAGAATGAAGATGGGAGCGAGAGAAAGCAAATCCTCAATTCGAGTGCCGCACCCTCATATTTATGCTTCAAGCCGCGGGCTGCACACACAGCCATCCATCACCACGCGCATCGTCGTCGTGACACCCGCTTTCGACTCCGCCCAGGCCGAACGGATTAGTTGGATCTGCCGCCGCTCGCCCAGCCAACCAACCAACCCTTTCGTCCCCGAGCGACACAGAAAACGCGTCCAATCTCGCTCAATCCCGTGAACCCCGAACATGTCGGCATCTGATGAGCGAAGCCCGCAACGCCCCCGCGGCGGTACGAATGGGGACCGGCCCAGCGAGGGAGGAAACTGGGACCCAGGCGCGCAAGAAACCGGACCAGGCCAAGCTCGGGTCAGGCACGCGAAGGGGCTTCTCGCCGGCCCCCTCTCACTGTCATCGTGCCATTGCGTGTTCTTGTCTCGCTGGGGAGAAGTGTGAATACTGGGGCGCGGAGCATCAGCGGAATCCAACCCCGAGCTTCCCCAAGCAGCCAGCGTGCAACGCCCACGCGCCGAACTACCCGCCCGCGCCAGAGAGCACAGATAGAAGGGGCTCCTCCTTCGAGCAATTGCTCGCCGGCGAAACCAGTTCCAACCCGTTCGAGGGGGCTTGCCGCATCAGGAAGGATGGCCAAATGGCCCAGCCCCATGCTGGAAAGGGCATATCTCGGCGTTCGGAATCGCACTCTGTCATGGTTGCTTGCGGGTGGGGTTTGAGCGGTTGAAGGAGGGGGGGCACCTGGGAAAGCGGGGGGTGGTAGTGTGGGCAAATCGCTGCAAATGGGCTGTAAAATGCTATTCCCAGATCCATGGCGCCAGGCAAGCTTCACGCTGCGACGCGCCGAGGCAATTGGCCGTTCGTGGCTCACACTCGCCGGACATGATGCCCCCAGGATGGCTGTCTCGCACCGTCTAGGGTAGGTTTGCCCAGGGGGACGCAGCCCTCTCAGCGCTGTGGCTGCGGGCGGTTGCATCGCTGCTGGGGGGGCGGCAACCCCTCTGTGGCCCCTGTAAGGTGGGTGCTGGGCGGCCTGGACATTGTTCTCCGACGGCGTCTTATTCCAACCTCCTACTTCTCGCCCTGTGAAACTCCCCGGCTGCAGATCCCATTCACAGTTAACAGCATCCGGATGGAGACCGGAGCCAATTCCACTCGCGTTCGTGCTAGTCGATTCCGAAACCCGGTATCCGTCGCCATGGGACGTACGGGACGGGCCTCTCGACTGAGCTGTCGTGCCATGGGAGCGCCGCCGTAGAGCCGCCGGAACAGTTGCGTAACAGCCTGCCTGCTGCCCTCCACACGGCCGCTCACCCCCTGCGCAGCCCAGACTGATTGACGCAGCGCAGAGATATGCCCGCGGCTCAGCAAGCATGGCACGGCGTGAGGGGGGCCATGTGAGGAGGCGGACGGTACAGCGCCGTCGATTGAGGCAATTGGCACCACGGCGACGCGGTGCTGCGTCGTTACGTTACCCGGCTCTACTTGAGGATGCTGCATCCATGCCACACACACATGTATCACAGCTCATCCTTGCCTGCTTGCACGGTCGTACAGATTAGCTCATAAAGACGCCTCGCTCCCCAGCAGCCCCTCAACACCAGCTGTCCGGGGCCCGAACAATAAACCCGCACTATCAGCCGAGTCGCGCAGGCCGCTCGCCGACGACGGGTCACAAATCATCCCATTGCCCGCCCGCGCCGTTCGCTATTCGGCGTCGCGCCGGGCGTTTCTCGTCCTGTATCAGCGAATGCTCGCCCCCAGGAACGACCGGCAAAGCTAGGCGGCCGATTACCCCGTGTGCGGGGGGCGCGCAGTCGTCGCATCTCAATCTCCGAGGCCATGTATTTACGGATACGTTGGCGCTGGCCTCAGATGCCGCCGTGCTGATGCCGCCGCCGCCGCCTCCTGGCTCCGCATTTGGGCGTCATCGGACGGACGGCTACCCGTAGCTCTTACAGCTCTCAAGGTTGTTGATATGCCTTCCCGCAACGCCGTGAATTCCCCGGTTGAAACACATCCTCGCATCTGCCTGAGTGAATTTACTGCTGTAGCCTTTGCCTATGAATAATAATAACAAGAGTCAAGCCCCATGACGCGGGCACACATGTATGGACTAGATTAATCATGTCTCCTCCTCTTTGATGAGCCATATCTGTCTTTCACCCTCTCTTCTCTCCACCTTTTTTCTCCAGCTGTCCTTGTCTGATATCGCAACGACAAGGTCCATCCTAGAGATCCACACTAGCTCATGCATACATCCGATTGAGCGGCATACCTGATGCCCAACATCATCATAGATCTCGTTCCCGTGTACCAGTCCATCGGGACGAAACCGTCCTTCCCAAGCACTATTCCTAGATGCCTTCATCTATCACCCAAATAGCGCCCCTAGTGATCCATTGTGTCCCGCGTGCCTACCAGCTAGCTGGGTATCCCAAACATAAAAAAACCGCACCGCTTCTCACAACATGGTTTTCACATGTAAAACCCAAATAACACTGGCATAGGAGGCATGGGCATGTGGCCATCCTCTTCATCATCCTCTTCATCATCCTCATCGTAGTCCTCGTCTCCGTCGAGCTGAGAATCATAGTCATCAAGACCATCGGATTCGTCCCCGTCGTCGGACAATAGTTCGCCGAGGACACCGTACTCGTCTTCCTCATCTTCGTCGTAAGAGCTATCCTCGTTATCCGAAGGATACACCGGCTCCTCGTACGGGATGTCGAACTTCTCCAACACCTTCTGCTCCACCAAACCTAGGGTGTAATCCGTTGGTACTGCTTGCTCCACGATGCCCCTGACCTCACGCCCATCCGCTAGTGTCACGTCCGTCCGGAGACCCGCACCCAAGAGATGGTGCGCAATGTTCCAGTAAAGGTACGGGACATCTGGTTCACCTGCATCTATCTGTCTTCTGCTTTGAGGGTGCATGCCATGGTCCCATCGGATCACAGAAGCCCAGCATTCCCGGTGTAGTCTCTCAGGCCGGTCGCAGAGTACATCGGGGTGCTTTGCCAACATTTGCAGTGACTGGGACTGATATCCTTGGTTGATCGAGTACATGAAAGCCCCGTCAGGCATGGCTTTGGTGGGCATGTTGATATCGGCCCCGGCATTGACCAGGACAGGTGTCGATCGCCAGCAATAACCGGACTTGAGACTGTAGTATATGGGTGGCTCGTCGTCCCAGAGCTCGTTGGGGCTCTCACCAAGGTCCAGGAGCGTCTGCACCAGTGTAGAAGGGTCGTCTCCCGTAAGGGAACCGTTCAAGAGGCATCGATGGACAAGTCCCTTGCGCATTTCTTTGGGCGTCGGTACTACCTTGATCAGGTCCGCCGCTCTTGTCCACAGTTGCTCGTTCAACGCCGTCTGGATAAGGCGTACCAAGAAAGCATCCGAGGGACCAGTCATGTCGTATTTTGCAAAGTCCAAGCTCACAATAAACTCCGTCTTACCATCGTCGTACATGTCCTTAGCAGACTTGCTCAGCAGTTCCTCAATGTCATTAGGCTCAGGGCGACCTCCGCTGTCAAGAATTGCTCGCGCAAGGGTAAAGTTGCTGTGTATCACGGCCTCTGTAAATGGGGGGCTTTTTGAGATGCCCTTCTCGTTCGGGTCTGCTCCCCGTTCGATTAAGAGCTTGGCCAGCTTGGCGTGTTGTTCCTCCCAGTCACGGCTCGCATACGTCTCGCAACGTCGAGAGCAAATGACGTTGAGAGGGGTGAGATCCTCCATAGAATCCTTGATCACGGCACCCGCGTCAAGCAACATATTTCCGGCCTCATACAACCCGGAGATGGCCCCGCCTTCGGCAGCCTCTCCTATTCGAGCCAAAGCGTTGAGGCCATCATGGTCGAGGGCGTTGACGTCTGCTCCGCCGTCAATGAGCGCCTTCATGGCCGCAAGGTTACAACTGGAACCTGCAACCATCAACGGCGTCAGGCCAAGTAGTGCTTCCCGAGCATTCACAGGGAAGCCATGGGCAATAAACTTGGTGATAATCTCTGCCTCCGATACCGTGCTTTTCGCCCTCTCCGGCTCTTGTGCTTCTCCATACTCATCAAATCGCAGTTGGCCTGGCCCGAGTATCAGATGAAGAATGCTGAACTGGTGAATAGACATTGTGCTGACACTTGCGCCGAGATCGATGAGTCTGGAAGCATCATCGAAGCGGCGCGAGAAGCAGGCCATCATCAAGGGCGTCAACCGTGTCTCGATGAGACGTGCGTCGATATCGGCCCCGTTCTTGAGCAGCCAAGGAACAACGGTATCCCAATGGCCGTACCAGATTGCTTGGAACAGAGGGGTTCCCATGAACGGCCCTTCGGCGTCCACATAGGCTTGGATTTTTGCGTCCTTCAGGAACTGAAGCAACTCCACTTGGTTGTGCTTGGCCGCATGATGCATCGCTGTGAGGCGGAACATGCTAGCATCCGGGTTAACTTCATCATCGAACCCGGTGACATCCAACTCAAAGTCGATGCCCTGGTAAATCACGTTGGAAGCGCCACGCTTCACCAGGTACTTGGCGGCCTCCACTTGGCCATGGCAGATGGCAACATGGAGAGGAGTCCATCCCCCACCGTGTAGATCCTCAAGTTCCTCATCTTCGACGGCTCTCGAGTCACTAAACGCTTCTATTGGTAGATGGGGCCGGCACAGACAGAGACCCCATGAGAAGGCATCGACACTGGCCCCCTTCTCCAGAAGAATCTCAATCATATCAATCCTCCCCTTGCTAGCTGCAACATGGATGGGCTCCCAGGAGCAGTCGTTGAATATTCCGTCATCGCAACCGCCCTCGAAACAGTTGCAGTGGTCGTGGCTGACGTAGGAGGGGTCGAGGTCTACCGAGTCGTCGTCGTCGTCCATCCGCCACTCAGGGTCGTCGTAGTAGGAGCTGTGGTAGTTCCACCACTTGTGTCTCGCATCGATGCGTGACTTTGGCTTGTGGGCGTAGGCCATTCGGTTGGGAGCGACGCCTGCTTCGAGGGCTCGGTTGAAGACGTTGAGGTCGCCATGCTCGACGGCCCAGTGCAGGGCGCCAGGGCGGTCGGACTTGGCCTCGCGCTTCCAGAGGATGGGACTGGCGATGTTGTAGCAGTGCCGGCTCGTCCGCGACAGAGCGGCGAGGTCGTATTTCTTGTGCAGCAGGGAGGCGATGTTGTGGAGGACCTCGTTCGGGAGCCGGTCCAGCGTCAGCATGGCGGGCGAGCGATACTGCTGGCAGCGGTGGCCAGGGATGGACGCTGTGAAACTAGGTGACGATGAGGAATGCAGGTGAGTGAGGGGAGGTTTTCCCAAAAAGATGTTCTATCGGCGATTATTAGGTCCAGAGGTGCTGTAGGCCCAATTGGTCGGGACGCTAGCGATGGGCCTACCTATCGACGCGTCGCGCCTAATGGGGCGGACTGTGCATGGACGAATTAGCGGAGTGACCGGATGGAAATTTGAGAGCATCAGCCCTAATATTGGCAGCTCCTGGGGGCCTATTTTCCGTCCCCAGAGGATGCCCGCCCCGCAATTTAGAACCTCGCTAGCCCTGCTTGCAGTGTTTCGCAGCACTGTCCAAACATCGTTTCGGGCCAAGACCCCACTAACGAGACGCCCTAGGCCTAGACCCGGGGAGCCCATCGGTCTGCTTGACAAGAGCCAAGTTCGCCGAGTCAGATACATACCTGGGTTGGGAGTAGAGTAGACATTGTCGAGTTATGTTGCAGTAGAAAGACCTCTGATGTATTTAGCGTCATGTAATTGGAGTATTAACCGAGGCAATGCGGTTGGCTAACCTCAGACACTCCTACCCTGCACCCAGCAACAAAAGGAATTATTGAGAACAATATGTCCTTTGGCGCCTAAGGCTTGATGTCTTGCCGGTATTTTTGCCAATATAAAATGTGATAGGGCGGTACGTATAGTGGGGATAAATAAGACCGAGCAGCTACTATTCCTAGAGTGTCCCATTCACATTCAAGCTGCAGATGGGTGAGACATAGCTGATCACAAGGACGAGAAGTCATGAGACAGTCATGTCTACTTGAACCCTTGGTAAATTAGATGTATTTAAATCTCATGTTCCCAGTATTTAGACATAAAAGCCATTACGTCCAAAGTACAACTAGGCTGGTTGGATGACCATCTCAAACTGGGACAGCCCTGTCATTAGGAAATTGGGCTCACTTAGACACTCCAGGAGGAGGACAAAAGGCAAACCAGCGGTGTGAGAGAAGCAATTTTTAAAACATTCTCCACATTAATAGAGGCCTACTGCGTCTTTCAGCTTACCACACGCGTCGGCACACATGCATTCTGCGGGTGCTCACCAACAGGCTCCCTGCATGAGGATGGTACCCTCCCTTGATTCCTCGAGCTGGACGAGTGCGGTCAAAGATGGAGTTGATTGGATGCCTTATGACTTGGAAAGAGGAAAGAGGAAATTAGACCATTGAATGTCGCCCGGTGGGAGGAGAAGCAACTTTTGGCGCCAGTCCCATACATATACTAGCTCAAATAATATTGCAAATACTTCTCGGATCGTCACGCATGTTGCTGGAAGACTTGCAGAGTATGTTCGTGTGGCAAAGCAACTGATTGAGGATTCGTGCCGTTTTGGATATCTAATAAGAAGTCTATGCTGTTGAGTTGGGGAAGGTACCTGCCTGCGTTCCAGCCCTGGAGGGAGATGAGAACGGACTCATTTTGGTGAGACATACACCGTAGTCAATAATGGCTTCTAGACCAGCTAGTGCAGTCAGCGTATCGGGTGCTTGTCGCACAACCCAACTAGGTCAAGCTTGTCCATGAATGGAATCGAATGAAGCCACGTATCTCCCGCAATAACGTCGAGACAGATCTCACAAGATTCGAGGCAGGGTGTGTCGCAATAACCGCTACTGCAAAAGGGAATGATCACTCCTCTTGCCGGTAGTGCTATTGTGGTCCATATCTCCGTCTGATATACCACCCCGGATTGGCGATTATAGAGACTATCTGATAGTAACGGTGCTCTAGATCGTATAGCGTAGTGTGGCGAGGTCCGATTTTTGGCTGCTTTTTTTTTTGTCACGCCTGATTGTTCGGTGTGCCGGTGTGCTGATGTGGGTTCGAACTGGTGGTGTTGTACATAGGGGTTTTTTGACGAAGGCTTGACGATTACGGATGCGACAGCAATTTCAGTAGAAGTTCGAGGCGATTAAGCCTCCCGGGCTCATAACTATCAGACAATCAGAGGATTGGTTGAGACAGCTCGAAGGATGATGGATGATCTTGTCTTTTTGGTCTAGGAAGGGAGGAAAGCTAGCTATTTATGCTGTGTGATCCAGATGCCCTTGATCCGATGATACCGTCGATATCCGAAGATCTAGGTTGTTAAGTACATCTAGGTTCGAAGGTATCCATGGTACGGATCACGGTCTCTATCTAGGTTCAAAGGAAACCACGGTACGGATCCGGTCCTATGCAAAGCTGACTTTCCCCTATCAGTCTACCTGACAGGGTAAACTTGAGTGAGGCTGGTTGGACCAGCGAATTCTAAATTGCCTTCGACAACGCAACCAGAACGCTCTTGAGTCCGAAGGAGATCCTGGTTGGGCTCCTTTGTCGCGACGAGATAATTCACGACCGTCGGGTTATGCATGAGTGGAAAAGACTGCAGATAAAATGATCGAGGCGGCACAAATGATCACTGGTTTGTGTACCGTCTTTCGATAGCTTGACATTAAAAAAGCTCGGCTACGGTGGAGGTCTTGATTGATGCAGCATCGATGACTGATCTGGATGATTGGATATAGTCTCGCCGTTCAGAGACCCCAGAAGCGAGCGTGGCTTCCGATTGTTCAATAGAAGGATGAGCGATAAGTGGGGAATGGCAAGGACAAACCAGAAGAGTTTGCTTATGCAGCAATAAATGCGTGTCGAGTGCTACAATAAGAATGGGCAAGAACTTTACCACACACAAACACACACGCAAACGTACACGAAACACACACACACACACACACACACACACACACACACACACACACGCACACACACACACACACACACGCACACACACACACACATGAACACAAAAGATTCCACCTCCCAGCAAAACTTCAACTTCAGCTGCCCGCGCGACAACGAGACCAACGCAACCGTGAGATTTCCGAAAGAACACGGGCCTTGTTGCAGTCACAGGCGAACCCCTCGTTGACAAGGCCGGTTTCCTCAGACCCCCCGCCGCCGAAAGAGCGTTGAATTCCTCCGGCAGATTGCAATGGGAACCCGAGGCCTTGAGATAGTGCGCTTCCGCGGGCGATACTACATTCGCTATCACCAGTACGACAGCTATTTCGAGGGTCTCGGCGCCAGCATCGTCAGCGGAGTCCCTACGCACCCCAAGCGCTACCAGGGTACGCCGTGAAGAACAATCCGTGCCTTGCATTATGCTGACGATTCGCAGCATGGCTCAAGTCGATGCGAGCGCACTATGCTGCCATGGAACGCGACCTCGAAAGAAATGTCTACGAGATTCGTGACGATTCAAAACCCGACGACTGTGTGCAGTTTAATGAATTCACGGAGCTTCCTACCGAGCTTCCGCGGCTCAGCCACTACTGGGACGCCGAGTGCTTTTACATCACCAATCTCGACCATGAAGTCTTCACTATAAACCACAGCATACACTTCAAGCTGGACAGTATCCCGCGCCAGGACGACCTGTGGCGTCGCGCCATTTCAGAAAGCATCTATCTGGGCAAGCCCACCATCTCCCCCGACCTTTGCCCCGAAGAGCATATGGCCTCGCTAGCTTTGGAGCTTCCCGAGCCGAACCGGGCAATCGGATACAAATCCCGCTTGGTAACCCCGAGGACGAACATCCAGGAGGCACAAGAAGTCTTTCTCACGCACGTTCTAGCCAGGACGCTTGCTGTATACAAGGACGAAATCGTTAGGTTCGGGAGGGAGTGGAGCCCGGACTCGTTTCCTTTCCGCGAGCTGGCCTTTGCTCTTGTCTCGATTGCGTCTGGCCAGGCCAAATTCCATTCCTTTCCCGCTCAGACTAAGCTTCAAGCTCGAGGTGAGTCACCTGGATGGCTTGGCGAAAAGTGGGTTGGCGATAGCGCGCCGCTGCTAGAGTTTGGCTCTATGTCTCATCGACCGGGCGAGAGTCCAGGAGTGTCGCCCACGGAGACTATGTATTGGCTCGAGGGCGTGCTTGTCAGCCTTGTGCTGGTGGTTGACGGCGAGGCCCTCACTCAGGCTGTGACTCGTGGCATCGAACAGGGATACACCAACTTTCAGATCGTCATCCTATCGCTCTTTGAAGCAGCCTTTGCCGAGGTCTCCTTTGGCGGTGATGGGGAGCCATTCGTTGAAGCCAGCGCTCCTATTTATCTCTCGCCTCTGCGTCCAGAGTATTGTTTGAGCACACACCCGCGCGAGCGACCAGTGATGACGCCCGAGATGAATTGGCAGTTCCAGACTCAGCGTGGTGAGCGTATCATGCAGTCGAACTGCACGGGGACGGCGCGAAAACTATCAAGAGAGTTCCCCGGACTCGCGGCACTCGTCCATGTCTTCGATACCGCCGCTAGCCGCCGCGCAGCATCCAAATCGGCAGGGATTTTTCCGCTGGAGTTGTATGATCGGATTCTGGACTTTGTTGACTACGATACGTGGAAAAACTGCTTGGTTGTGTCTACAGCATTTCGTTCGTATTGTCTGCGCAAGTACAGACTTGACGATCGGAAGAGGATAGTGGCAGGCCCCTTTGTGAGGTTGCGATCGGATCGCGACGGGAGTCTGCTTTCGTTCGACTTTGAAGACATGCAAACGGGCAAGATCCGTCCAGTGATGCAGATCTATTCGCGTTGGCATCCGACGGAAAGGTATAAGTGGATGCCGCTCATCGGCAGTGAGCGGAAAGCGCTCATGTTGGACGTGGGCGTCCACTTTGAGCCGGCTGGGAACTGGCCAGAGGTGTATAGCACCGATGAGGAGCCTGAATGAGCCTCTCAGAGTCCCTCTCTAGGAGAACGAAGACGTCGTTCTTGACTAGTTGAAAAAGGCATCACTCTGTGGACCAAGAAGGTCATCGCCGGGTAGACTGTCTACAAAGCCATAAGAGCAACAGCGGACACTCTGATCTAATACATGCCTATCAATGGGCAAGGGCGTAGAGGTCACTGACTGCGGATGCTGCCACCATGTTGGAGGGTGATTCCATCGGCGATGAATGCTGCCTTAAAGGGTCTCCTCCGCGACGGAGCAACATCAAGAGTAGCTATCCATACCATGGCTCTTCACAGGTGCGACCCAATGGTTCCCTTTCCATGCAAAACCCGACACGGCTCTTTAAGACCAAGGGCGTGGTAAGTGATTTACTAGCGAGAATGAGGCCCACCAATTCATCTTTGGAGGCTTGCAGAACGGTTAGTGAGGAAGCAAAATCACATTCGGCGCTGAAATTTGCATTTTGTAGTTGAATAACGGGCTCGAATTTACGTGTGATTTCCTCTATGTGCTCATCCTGGTACCCTAAAATCTCGAGGAACAGCTTGTAGAGGTGTTCCAGATGATTCTCAACCGCTTCGATTACTTCCGGCCACTAACTACCGCCAGAATAAAACAATGAGAGTTGGTTAAGCTCTTCCGATGATGAAACCTCTCTCTCCTCGCTACGTGGTGCGGAATTCTTTCAAGAAGTTTAACTTTAGGCCTTCAAAAGTCGTTACGAGGTTGAACTCACTGTATAAGATGACGGCAAGGATGGAAACCTCACAAGCCGCCCGCAACGACCGACAAGAGACCTATGCAAACAAATTCCCTGGAACCAGCAGACAGAGTGCCCTGGAACAGATTAACATCTCACTCGTCGCTTACGTCTGGCGGAAGCAGCTGTTAGAATGTGTCAACGATCAACAGCTCCAGGATCCCAGTAAAAAGGAAATAAAATGCGCGTATGATATTTCTCGACACCGTCTGCCTTTATCTAGGCTGATTATTGACAGTTAGAACCCTGTTAATGATATGTCGTTATTTATGTCATTCTGAAATTTCCATCGCCGACATCATCAGCGAACCAACTCATCGGATTTTAGTCTGTGCCGCCCATTCATATTGAGTGGCAATTGACTGTGGTAGCATCACTCTTCCCCGAGGGGCAATCTCAAAGCCGTGGACATCTCTCATCATGGCCCATGTGATGCCTCCGTTGTCAATCTCATGCACAGACCTGATGCGGTAGGCATAGTCATAGCCATCCCAGTCAGCGTGCCGATCATTGTACTCCTTGTTCCCGACTCCATCTTCTGGGAGAGGAGCATCACCGGGGTTTCTGTTGGCAGCTTCGTCGACCTCGCAAACGTGTGTGATGGCTGAGTGAGGTGAAGTTCGATAGAACCAGATTCTTTTAACGCCCGCCATGTTGTATTTGCGGAACTCATATGTCTTGGTCCCATCGATGATCTCCTGCATGTATGGATCGTTCATGGCGAGGACCATATCTGTGCGAGGGCGGGTTGCGTTATCGCGTTGGTTGGTAGTCTTGGTAGTCTTGGTAATCTTGGCGGCCTTGGTGGCCTTGGTGGCCTTGGTAGGTCTGGCTTTCTTCATGAGTGCTTTCGCCGCGGGCTTCATCGTCTTGATCTTGTGATCCATTGTAGAGAGAGTGATGGTGAGAGTGCGAGTGAGAGTTCAGATGGAGAGAAGCAGGTTCTGGCGTGTGGAGTTGGGACGGGAACTGAAAAGGCAGAGTTGGAACGAAAGAGAGCAGAAGCTACTCGATTTATATAGGTGCCTGATCGATTTTAGGTTCGGATAGAAGATAATGGAAGCCAAGGTCAGCATTGGTTGGTCGACCAAGCCCGGTATTTGTATGTAACCATCAAACGCGCTCACTTTTAAATACCTTTACGGCCACTTACATACGCTTGTTAAATAGGGTTATAGCTATGGAGGTTATGAAACCCAGCGAATAACTGGCCATCCACACCTGCACCGGGGGCGGTGTGTTTAAAACCTCGTGACTTTTTGCACCGCTAGGGTGCGAATAAGATCCTTTCCCACTTTCCTTTCGATGGCATTCCTACCAAAGTCAGAGTTAGCTCTTGACGGATCGGTGGTCTTACCAGCAGCGAATTCCTCTCGCAAGTCAATGGTATGACTTCCTCTTCCTTGGTAGCTAGCTCTGTCTTGAGATTCTCTAACTCTCTTTCGCAGTCCATGAGCTGTGTCTTAGTCCGGTAATGGTTCTGCACTTCTTGACTTAGCCACGAGCTGAGAACCCTGCAACATCGGGCGTCTTGGTTGGTCTAACACGAGAAAGAGAAGATGAATCCATATTTAGTTTGAGAAATGTAGAATTAGCTGCGCATGGAAGTGCCCGACCTTCATATGTTTTTCTGCAATCGCAAGTACACAATTGATTATCAGCATTACCCGCCATTGCCTCTTTTGCTGTGCTAGTGGCATAAGCGGCCCAAAAATGTTGGCTGCGCTGAAGACCTAGCCTTCACGATCACGATGATTAAAAGAGAATAAAGTTGGGAGGTTCGTAACCAAAGCCATTATATTTCTACTATCAATTCTTGTCTGAAACGGGCCCGATTTCCTGTCTTGGTACAGGAGAGGCAAACCGGTCCCTCAAGGAATAAAGATGGCTATTGTGGTTTTCAAGGTGGTTTACGTTTATGGCATCGACGGCCAAGGGTAAAGTATTGAGAATTCCCAAAGTGTTATTGAAAAGCGTGCGTAGAGGTGTCTCTTGCAGCTTAATACCGTATGCGGGCTAAGGACCCACAAACGCGGAGCAGTACGTGCTTGTGATAGATGTGGGATAATTAGTAAAGGGACTCAGTCTACGGAGCGAAAAACGGGACAGGTTAATGAAAGGCGATGAGAATACAGAAATATGTTTCTATAATTCGACTGCATAGTGTCAGACGGACCGATAGGAAAAGTCAGCTTTGCATAGGACCGGACCTGTACCGTGGTTTTCCTTTGAACCTAGATAGAGACTTTCAACCTAGATGACCCTGATGACCCTCAACAACCTAGGTGATCCTCAACAACCTAGATCAACGGTTAGGATCGGGGTTATCAGATCAGGGATATCTGGCCTCATCAAGGGCATCGGGATCAGTCAGATCCCTAGGCATAAATAGCTAGCTTTCTTCTTTCCTAGACCAAAAGACAAGATCATCCATCGTCCCAAGCTGTCTCAACCAATCCAACTTGTCTGATACATAGGACTACTTTCTGCACCATTGAGTAGCCCACTTGTTTTCGGTCCCGTCCACCCGAACATCATTTGGGTACATTTCTTCGAGAATCTGCCAGATCCGTCGACGATTCTGAAAGCCCCGAGGAATATCCAACCCTATTTGGCTGTACGGTCTCGGCAAGGGAGGTTCAATTTGCTTGTATACCTCGACAGGAGTCATGACCTGCCGTGTGAGCTTTTCCCAGTCCGACCCCAGAGATCCTGCCCGAGCGTCTTCTCCACTAGGGAGCAGCTTAGAATTGACCATTGCCAAGTCAAGATCCCAAAGGAATGGAATCTGTACAAAGAGCTCTCGCCAATACCTCTGATCGAGTACATAATTGCACTCTAAAGGCATTGGCTGGCACAAAACAAACCCCAAGATATGATCCTTGATCTCTCGAGGACAAGTATCAAACCTTTCCATAAATGCAGGGGAAGCATCTTGAGCGTGACCACGTTCTTCAATATTTGCAAAGAGACCCGCAGTCAAATCGGGAATGTATTCCGGATCAGCTTTCCACTAATAGGTTCGTTAGTCTCAGTCGGGGTTTTAAGGGTCTTATACTCACCCAAGCGTCGCCAAATGTTTCTTCCTCGTTCTCTGAGTCCATCTCCCGTGCGCCCAAGGCCCAAGGGTGGACAAAATACCGGCTCGTTCCTAGTTTAACTGGGCCGGATGATGGTCGGCTTTCAGGGGGGCCTTCGGGGATTGAGGGAAGAAATGGTCCACTCATAAGCCCCGGCCACGTCGGCAGCGGAGTGTTTCCTTCCTTTGTACAGCGTCGCTCTAGGGTCGACCAAAGGTCCGCAAGTGATCGGATGTGCGCCTGTGGAGATCGCTTCATGACTAGGTTAGCTATCCGGAGACAGGCAGAATGTATTGCAATGTAATAACCAGCTTCGCCTGGTAGCGTGGGATCCTCGTTTTGTGGCACAACGGATCCACGCTTGTGTCGAAAGGATACTGATGGACTGTATTTGGTCGATCTGTCATCAACAGCATCACAACTAACAGAGTCATCTGTTACAGTCCTCGGGCCGGGAACATCGTGAAATAGACACCAGTGAGGGCCTGATAGAACGACATTGTCTTGTTTCCATAGCTCATCGTACCAACGAGTAGGAGCTTGTCCGTCGTCGTTGCGGTAGCACATTTCATCCAACGGCATCCCGCATATTGTGCAGTCGCAACACTCCAATGAACTAGCCATGTCTTCGATTCACTGAAGCAAGGTCGCTGGGCGAAAGAGTGTATCGTATTCTGAAACGCTGGCAGAGGTTCTGGGCTCTGAGGAGGGCGTCGCAGAGGTGTGGTTGACTTTGCGCTGAGTGGTTACACGTGAATGTAGACGAAGAGATTCAGGTGCTGAAGTGGGAATTGCTGCGCAGGGGCAAAGTAGCGGCAGAAGAAACGAGAAGAAGGGGTGCTGCAATGCGAAAGGCAGGTTTTGTAATGCGAACCGCGCCATAAAGGTGGTGATGAACGAAGGAAGAGAAATGAACTCAAAAGCGGGAGGCGTACGAGAATCATGTAACCACAAGACGGTAAATCATGCCCGGAACCCGGCGGCCGGGCATGATTCACGGCCAAACCTTGGAGAGTTACCAACTAACGCGACGACCTAGGTAGGTAAACAACTCAGGTCTATAAAGAGAGTATCTAGGTATAAGTTAGTTAGTCCGGACAGCTGCGTAAAAAGCGGGGGGTGCGCGATAGGATGGGTTGTAACCTTACAGTCTTGTTTCATCAGCCGACAGCACTATGCGGGAAATGGAGTGCCGTAACGTACACAGCAGCTTTCCGTAACGTACACAACAGCTTTCCGTAACGTACACGGCAGATTTCTGTAGCGTACACGGCAGATTTCCGTAACGGACACCAGAGTAATGTTGCACCAGAACCTAATCTGGTAAAGATTGCGGCTCATAGCGTGTTGAGCTTTTCAGAGGCACCCCGGCCACAGTTCAGCTACATAGAATTTTATCTGCCCATCTTCTCAGCTAATATCGTGTTTGCATTCAAGACTTCCTAGGCTAATCTGCACATCTTCTTTGCATATCAAACTAGATTGTAGCAATGACTTAGTGGCAGCAGCTCCAACGAGTTGAGAAGCCGGCGATCCTCTCTGGATTCGTCACCTGCCGCGAAAATTAAGCGGATTCGGCTAAATCTGAAACAAACACGGCCTTGTTATTCCTTAATTTAGATGAGGTGACATACGTGTGACTCAGGCCTCTCTTGTTTTATTGAGACACCTGACTGACTGGCGAGCGGTAGGTAAGTCTAAGTCACAGTCCTTCCGCCTTACCGCACGGATACTTCATCATCAGATGAGCCTGAGACAACTTCACGCGAATGCTTGCACGACCCTACACATCACCAAGAGAGTTCATCTACTGAATTGTTTAAACTCACAAGCTGTTCTCATCATAAATTGGTTAACCATTCAGTAGGGAGTTTTGCAAAAGTATCACAAAGTTCGGAAGCTGGACTCTAACAAACAAACAAACTTCCGGTACGGGATAATAACCCGCCCGGGTTATGCATCTTGACCCGGAGCCTCCACCTTGGGTCCTTGCTCATCGAAACTTGGAATCCTGTCCTTCTAGTCTCTTCCGGGTTTGCCATTGCATGCTTCTAGCCTTGAACGCATTATCCCTTGCACAGATTAACAGTTTGAGGATGTCCCCTCGACAAATATTTCCATTTTGGGCAGTGCTGCCTTTTGAGTTCCTGCCCAGGTTATTACCAGTTGAGAATCATGTACAAAGACTCCTCGGTGCCGCCGCCCTACTCTCTTCTCCTTGGTAAGGCAAGCTGTACCGGCATATACACTTGTTGCTAAGTGTATCTGTGGCGTTGTTACTCGCTTCGTATTCACCTCGTTCTGTCTACTACGATGAAACACTTCTTTATTCTTGCACTTTGGTGCACCAACTCTCTTTGCGACAGAAACTGGCCTCCCGCAAAGAATGAGTCTTGTGGTACTCATGCACCCACGCCACTCGTTTCCACCTCAACCGTTTCCAGCCCATACCGTGGACTTTCTTGGACCTCTTCAGTCTCTGGGTACGGGAGTTCGGAGATTTTCCCCGTGGACACCGAAACATCTGTCCTTGGCTCATACTTCCCAACCTCACTGGGTCCTAACACGACAGAGTCGACAGAGTCGACAGGTACCGGTAACTCAAAGACACAATCAACTGGCGCTGGCGGATCCCCTACAAATTCATCGGCGATCATCTCGGAGGTGGTTAGCAATAGCTCCCCTGCTGTTCCAGCTGTTACAGGTTCAACTATTACCGCAGGATCCTCTGAGAGTTCATCCGGGGCCGCCAGTGGCATTAATACCCATACTCAGTCAACCGCGGCTCCTGGCTCGATGGGTACCGGAGGAATATCGACTGCAGCTGAAGAGGTCCTCCCAACTACGGTACCTGGCTCGATAACTAATACGACCGTTCTCAGTCTACCCATTACTACTACTCAGAGTAATGAGGGAGGGCTTGTTTCAACAATGACGGAACCTCCTGCCGGATTCAGCCCCACAATGGCTTCTAACCACCCAGAATGGACCACCAACACCTGGATTACGACCACCTCCGAAGGCTCATCTGAGCCCACCATTGCCCCTCTGCTTGTCAGCTGCGACGAATGTGGTGATTATGGTGAAGGCATCCTTATCTTTGGATTCTCCCCAATTGTCGACACCCTTTTTAAGTTCCCTGGATGGCCCTCATTCTCTTTTCCCTGTATTCCCATACTAGACCCACGTTGTTCTCTACCGCCAAAAACCTACAAGAATGATGGAACTGAAGATGATGACGACGGCGACGATGACGACGATGGCGACGACGACTCTTCTACTTCCGAGGAAGCCTCAAGCACATGCACCAAAGAAGTTACCGCCAGCGACTGCCTCGTGGCTTGCACCACCTATACTGAGGAAACTGACGCTACTAGAACCCCAGATTGCACGACGACATGCACTAGAACCCATACCGGATGCAGCGTTACAGGTGTGACTTCTACTACGTCGGCTGAAGCCTGTGACGCCACCGGCGGAACCTGTACAGCCTGTACTAGGTGCCCAGGTCTCGACAGCCCTGATCCCGATGCCGTATACGATGAATCGGAATACTATGCGGATGACGAAGAGCTGGAGGCCAGAGATCTCCAACTTCCTCAGGCACGAAAAAAGAAAGAAGCGATGACACTCGGACGACGGGTGGACGACCCAGTGAACAAACCTAATGGTGTGGGACTGTGCAAACAGAAAGGAGGACTAGCTTTTCCCAATTATATCGGTGGAAACAAATTATTCGGCAAGGATCGAGAGGGGAAGCTTACCACGGAGCAAAAAGAGATCGCGAAATGGTACGTGATGTACGGTCTCGGCACGTGCACTCCTTCAGTCAAAAAAGTGAACCCGACAGGATACCTCGAAATAACGGGAGACCTGGAACAGCGCAATACCCCCAGTGTTGATCATGTCTTTGAAAAGAGCTTTCTGAAAGACTTTTTTGAAATCATCCTCAACGACAGCGGTGATAGTTGGGTGGCCACCAAGAATCCTCAGCAAATGACACTCAAGTGTTCAGACTTGGAGTACTACACTTATAACGCAGAAACAAACAAGAATCGACTCCAAGACGTGTTAGATGCGTACCCTTCAAATTTGAAGTTTCAGTTTGATCTAATCGGAATGCAACAAGCTCTGAATGGAGACGCAAAGGTGTGCGCGCATAATGCATGACGAGCAAGAAATATCTGGGGCTAATACTTTTCTACAGGGCAAAGTGACCACCACATCAGGAGGGGATGCACTCGGACGCCTGACTCAAAACAAAATGAACCACCCCGGTGGATTATTCAACCTGGGAAAATGTTGACGACTCGGTGTCGCTTCTTCTTCTCTACATTGAGAGAATCTATCTGGGCGTGTCTGTTATGAATGACGCAAAGTTCGTAACAATAATGAAGCGCCAAAACAAGCGCCTTTGGCAAGCATTGTAAGTCTTTGCATTCTACCACAGGTGTGAAACTCAAGACTAACAAGGATTTTCTGCAGCAAGCAACTCGATAAAGATATCAAATGTGGCGTTGATTCGGAAGCATTCACATTTGCAGACAAATACCAATCCTACATCATGGACAGATTCACTGGCGGTCAAACTTGGTCCATTAATCGATACACTACTGATGCAAAGGCACAGATCACGCCTAGAATTCGAGAGTATTTGGAGAATATTCCTGACGAAGATGTGGATGAGACCACAAGGCGGGAGCGGGCTGCGGAGCTTGAGAACTGGAAGGGGAGACTGAAGTCTGCTGAGAATGCGAACTACGATGTTGTGTTCGAATGGGACTGGACAGAAGACACAAAAGGTGCTGTCACTCCCGATGAAGGCGCGTGCAGCCTCCCTATAGGATCTTTGACGACTATGTCAACGGTCGTTTCCAGCAACCCGAGCGCCTTGGCCTCGTCCACGAGCAACGTCAACGTCTGTCACTCCAACGTCGATTGCACGATGGATTGCGAAGAGGGCAATGTGCCTACTTGCTATATCATCTCAGTGTTCCCGGGCGCTAGAACTGGCATCTGTATCTGTTTGCCATTATCAGAGGCCACAGTTGTGCCTGAGACGACGACAACTCCTCCCTCGACCCTCATCACATCCGTCACATCCGTCACACCCAACCCCCCTCCTCCTCCTATCACTGTCGTAGTGGAGCCCGATCCAACACCCACTGCCAACTGCGACTTCTTGGTTGGAGGCTTTTACTGGTATTTCGTGATCTCGAATATCAGGGACTGGTCCCAAGATGGAGGCAAGAGGCTCAAGAACGAGGAGGCAGGATGCGGTGCCATGACAGGTTGGCACTTCACGGAAGCTACCGGCACACAGGATGCATCTGCTTCCTTTAATCTACCCTACATCATGAAGGCCGGATGTGTGGAGCGAGCCATCGTGTCGGCAGGAGGACCTCAGCTGGAATGCGATGGCCACGTCTTTGCCAAGTCAGCGAACTTGGCTACAGAACCTCAAGGCGAACCCAAGTTCCGTCCTGCGTCAGACGAAGAGTTGCACAGAACCTAGTCTAGCCCTGTCAGGGCTTGAATGCACAACGGGAGTGAAGAGGTCATCTGATCGGATGCTTGCAGCCACTATTCCTTCAACAGGAAATGCCGTACCGGGTAGGGACCAGTAGCCTGACCTATTGGGACTATAAATTGGGAAGATCTCAGGCAGGATCCGTTAGCAGCCATCATCCCTTCTAGCATCTCAGTCAATATACAGTCTTTTGACCTATTCTTTTGAATCCTCTGCTCACTCCCTCACTCACTAAGGTCTAAGGTCTAAGGGGACTACGGATCAGGGCCTAAGTTTTGTAGTATCTGGGCACTCGGAACCCGGAACAATTGGAGGTTTACGTGGGTTGCATAGAGGCTCAATTACCACCCCCTTTCGTTGGGAACTTGCCATTGGCGATGGTTGCGTGCCTAAATTGCTGGAGAATGAGACGCAGGCCAAAGTGGGTACGCAGCCAGCAGCCGGGCTCAAATTCCCGGGTCAAAACTTGACTGGACACGGCCTGAGGTGGGACGTTGCGGAGATGGACCCGAGATCGGATTTCTGGTAATCTTATCAATCAGTACACTCCAATTTCTCCCAGGTTCACGCCTTCTTCTCTGAAGCTACACGTCTGCATCCACAAAAACCACTCAGTCCATATCTTATTCATCCATCCCCCGAACAACGCTATTCTGCGAGGCTGGTCTCACATTATGGATCAATCCGAGTCAATACTGCGCGCTGCTTCCTACCACTGCGAGGACTTTGGCCGCTCCGTCATCCAGATTGACCACCACCACTGCGAGGTCGTCCGATCATCCATCTTCAAGCCTTTCGGCGATGATCCCGACGACGGCCTTGGAGCGCTCGATATTCTTCCCGTAGAGATTTTGTCCTCCATCTGCCTCATGCTCGACGTCGATGCTGGCTTTCGCTTCAGTCAAGCCAGTCGCCGCGCTCGGGCAGTCGTCGCCTCGATTCCTGAGTATCGCCATCTCGGCGACCACGCGCTGCAATGCCTCTGCGCGCTCCTTCGAACCGATATCGGCCACCACGTCGCCATCAGCACACTGCACTCAGCACTGGTGACGCAAGATTGCCAGTCTTGCGGTTTCTTCGCTGGATATCTCTTCTTGCCGACCCTCACGCGATGCTGCTTTCCGTGCATTGAATCGGCCAAGGGATTGAGCGCGGCACCTCTGGAGAAGCTGGCCAGCGAATCTGGCATGTCGGTCGACCAGCTCAAAGAGGCCATCCCGATCTTCCACACGCTGTCAACATTACACAACTCAGCGAGCGCGATACGCGGCGGCCGGCGATTCCTCGTAGCAGAAAAGCACTGCATCGGGATTCTGCGATCAATCGGACACCCGGAGCCGACGCCGGCCTACTTTTCCTTGATGCACCTGCCTGGCTTCGGATTTGAAGCATCCGCGACCTTGCCATCCTTGAACCCCAAGACGGGCGAGATTGAGACTGGAGTCTCATGCAAAGGCTGCCAAGTAGCGATGAGGATCTCGCCCTCCGAAGAGGCCTACAAACTCCGACAGCGCGTGTATTCGAGGGAGAAGTTTTTGGACCATTTCCAAGCTTGTGCACACGCAAAGACCATTTGGGACTCCAGCCAGCGGACAATCAGTTTCCGTTCATGAGAACCTCTGGCACCATTCTACCATAATTTTACCGCCGAACCGACGCAAGTTCATTCGCGACACCCCGGATCTACCCCGAGGCGGTCTGGGTCTGGCCATCGAGATCCCATCGACGTTGCACACAACCCAAGAGATCGCGGTGAAGATTGCCGGGCTCCGTTGTACAATGGATAGAGATGCATGGATTTCTCTTTCGCACTTCCCTTACATCTGGGCGACACGTTTTTGTGTCTGACACGCCACGATATCGAGAAAGCAACGGTGAACTTTTAATGGATGCAGATCAGAATAATGTCTCACAATGCGAGGCCCATGGAAGACCATCACCGACGCAGAAACTTCCCAAGTGCCCTCGGGATCGCCGCCCGAAAATACGCCCGTGGTACATCTGCTCGGTCAGGACGAGCAAGGCATGGATTTATGGTTCACCGGCCCAACAAAGGTTGCTGCCACAACGGATACCGAGCTAGCTTCTGCAGCCTGTCGAGCGATGGACGGCCTGATCAACAATGTCAGCCCAAGGAGGAAATCGACGTGGTTTCATGCCACAGAGAGCCCCACGATGCAGCTGTCTGTGTGGAGGAGAGGCCAATCGCAATATTGGTTGACGTCAGAGTCTGCGGGACCCTTTGTTTGGGGTAGCATGCTGAAGAGGTTAGAGCACAGATGGCCGAGTCGGAATACGAACAAAGGCCCAATCACATTCATCGCCCTCCCGTCAGCTGGAAACAACTTTCTCCCCCCCAATGATGAACCCGAGAACCGTGCTGGTGTTACGTTGCTGGTCACGGATGCGTCGATGGGACATGACGGCATTCCAATTGGGGCATCCTTTCGGATTACAGCGCGGATCGCCTCAACCCACAGGGGACTCCCCGCACATCAACCCACTGTAACCTCCCACCCACAGGGCCTCGGACCTGTGACTAGTCGCTAGCGGATTCGCCTCAGTGGTCCGGAGGTGGCGATCTTCCCTTTTCCCCACACTTCCCGCCGTTGACCGCACCGCTCCTCCCTTCTCTCAGCTCCACCTCCATCGTCATTCACCGTGTCACGCAGTTGCACAGGACGACCGGCTCCGATTTAAGACAGGAAGCGGCCGCCATCTTTATTCTCGACGATTCATAGATTTTTGGGATCAGCCGCGCGTCTCAATTTACCAGTATCCAGGCTCCTCTCTGTTCTACTCGCATTCAGACATTCGCATCTTCTAGTCCAGAAGCATCAACCATCATCGTCATGATCGCCTCAACGATCCTCTTCGGCCTCCTCAGCCTGACCGCCGCATCGCCTGTGTCAACGAGGGCCGGGAAAACCAAGTACCCTGAAACCGAGACCTCCAAGGGCTTCAAGCTCGTCGTCAACGTCACAGATCCGTCAAGAGACTTCAAACCGTCCATTCAAAACACTTTTGTCACCAGCATCCACACTGGCGCCGGCCTGGCTCTTGTCGGCGTCATCGCGGGGGACGGCCGCATATTCTACCAAAATGGAACCGAGAAGGAGCAGGAGGACAGCCGGGCGACCATCATCACCGACGGCGGCACACCTCTGACGCCCTCAGGCCTGAAACTCACCCAGGATTCCAAGTCGAAGACACTGTCCACAGCCCACCTCGACTTTGGGCTCGGCACCCCCGGCGTTCAGCTTTCCTCGTCCAAGACATACAGCTTCGTCCTCCCCGAGACGTATCTCGCTTGCAACGAGAGCCTAGCCTACTACCAGGGCCAGTACTTCATCACCATCAAACAGGCCAAGATCACCAAGCACAAGGATGGTTCTACAAACCGGAACATCCCCAAACACTGTATCCCTGTTCAGTTGGTCCCAGAGTGCGCCGAGCTGGAGAGCTTGCCGAAGGGATCCTATTCTAGCCACAAGTATGCGCTTGAGTCTCAATGTTACAAGGACGTGTCGAAGATCAAGTGGTGCGAGTATAGCCCTTGAGGGGAGGGGAAATGGCACGGTGGGATGACCAGAAATCATCGAATTGCTTGCATTAATAGCTACACATTCATTAGCCAGCCCGGCGCATTTCGCGCTTAATTCGACACATAATAATCACTCTATTCCCGTCTTGGCATTTCTCGTTGTCGGTTGAGCAAAGGGGCGGAGGAGCATCAAGCTCCTCCTTCAAGCATAAATAAAACAGAATCGGTCCTCAGTTATCTTACAGTCCTTGGCTATGACTTTTATATTTGGTCATTGTGGTAGCATTGGGTAAGTAATGCTTGGATTGTGGATAAAACTGTCTTTTTTGGACCTTGTGCCGGCAACTTGCTCACCTTGAGGGAGCAGACAGAAGTTAGATTAGTCATTGGCTATTATATTCAATTGCTGCACGAATGGAAGAGACTGCACTTAAGCTACACAATTTACTCTTCCCTTCTTCATTTTCCTTTCCAACCTTCGCGCTGCCATGCGATCATGCTGTATCCTAAGCCATCACTTGATTGGACATCGTAGTCTGGCATAAATCCTATGTGGATACAAGTGAAATACCTTTGAAACTACAGTTCTGTAATCAAACCACCTGGCAGTTACGTCTGTGTGGTGGTGTGGTGTTCTCTTGGAAGTGTCCTTTCGTCCAACCCAACATTCGCAACAGAAAAGAAAGATATCGACCCTTTGGCCTCCAACTGAGATATCGAACACGCCTTGCTGTACTACTGACACATATTCGTCTACACAAGATTGTTGTCAGAGACTCAGGACTGTTGGGTAACGCAAATGGGGAAGCTTACCTCTCGCCATCTTTTGCAACCACAGCCATTTTTGACGCCCTGGCCTCGCCACTACGACTCGCTCGGTGCCGTGGTTCGCGATGTGACTTGCGCCGTGACTTGCGCCACTGGGCCCGGTTGATACGATCAACACTTCAACATAAAACGAGTGAATATCATTTCCGGAGGTGTTCCTTGAAAGATGCTGTGGGGCGGGCAGGAGATGTGTTTCCACTTGTTCGATACCCTCGCTGGTCCATCCAATCCGCCTTGGAATTTGAACAATCCCTCGTGGCGTTGAGGTTCGTGGATTGATAAGACAATTGATGATCCATAGCAAAGATCTTGTCTGTGAAGCAAAGCGGAGTACCAATGTCCTGTTCTGGTGTTGGAGATCCTGCACTTAGTTTCTAGCAACGCCTGACTCGTCTTGTAGCCCTCGAATCGCTTCTTCAAGCGTCCTTATGACGTGCTCAGAGTTATTGACTTGTTCTTGTAGTTGTTGCGTCTGGTGTTGGAGCTTCTGCGCTTGGTTTCTAGCAAGGCTTGCCTCGCCTTGTAGGCTTCGATTCGCTTCTTCAAGTATCCTTACTTGGGCCTGCGACGCTTCCTTCTCGTTTCTCAACTTCTTCATATCGGCATCTGCTCCGTCGGTGAGCTTGAAAAGATTAGAGTTGATTTCGAGTTGCTCGCTATGAGATAACAGTGCGTTGTCCCTCTCCTCCAGTGCGTTGTCCCTCTCCTTTTCTACCTCCTCTCTTTTAGTCGTTTCATTTTTCAAAAGCTGCTGGAGCCTCTCCTCAGGTTGTGTATTGTCGTTGTGTACGTTGGGCGATTCAGGGTTGGATTCTGAACGTGGGACTCTAACAGGGATCTTGGATTGGGATGATCGACTCGGCTGGCGTTCGTTTCCGGGGTTGGGTGGCGGTGCTGGGTGATCTTTTGGCAGATAGGAGTCCTCCCACTCCTCTTCCTCCTCCTTCAAGGCTAAGAACTCTGGTTTATATGAGATAATCGAACCGAGCGGGTTGCTCTGGTCGCTGTTATCACGATCGCTCGGAGATGTCTGCTGCCTGTGCGAAGGGGTTGCAAATGGCGTCGCGGCCTTGGCCATAGGGCCCAGCAATGGGGACACGATATGTTTTCCCTCCGGTTTATTGAGAATCAGCTCCGAGTTGTCGAAAACACTGCTGGAAGCTGTAGCTAGACTCGCAGCATGCGACCATAGTGATTGGTAGCTGCTAGTCGCCTTGCTGCTATGAGATTGGCCGAGCGAACCGAGCTGTCGCGAGAGTGAATCGAGACCATGCGTTGGTTCAATCAGGGAGGTGTTTTCCTCTTCTCGAATTATCTCCATCAGATCTTGTTGAAAATCCTGGTCGTTGATGGGAGAGCTTTGTTTGCGGAGAGTCCAGTAGCGGAGTGAGATGGCCCACAGTCGTTGTCGCCGTTCCCATTTCTTGAACCATTCCATGGAGATTGAAGGGCTCGAGTGGGGGGCAACCTTCCATTCTTCGAATTGATCCTCCCATTCTCTTTCCTCCTCTTTCCACTGTTCTATTTCTTGGCCGTCATGAGGTTGTGCCAAGATCCTCCACTGCGCTCTTGCCGTCTCCCAACTGAGCCTCATGAGGTTCCACGCCACGAAATGACCCTCTTTAGGCATTTTGCGTATCTCCAGGTCCGTCTCACCGGACTTGGAAAATAAATCAAGGTTGAGAGGTATCAGGGGTAAATGAAGCTTAATGGTGGGCAATGCATCACCCAACATCGGTTGTAGCTTGGCGGCAATATCATCAAGGATCTTGTCCATCGGCATCAATAAGCCCTCACCGAGGCAGTTGGTCCCGATGAGCTGACCGTGGACTCTCTTATCTCCCAATTCATTGATACTAACCGCCCAACTCCCGCTATCCCCCGGGACGAAGTCTTGCTGCCCTATCTTAGGTGGCAGGCATGGTGGAGCACTGGTGGTATATACCAGGACCTCGACAAGTTCAGAGCTCGGTGGGACACAAATGAAGGCAACCTGGAATGATATTTCGGCCTCTGGGTAGCCTTGGCGCTCGTTGATGATCATTACTCTCCGGCTTGTGTCGACATCGGAGACCGAGCTACTTGGCTCAAAGACGCCAAAATTTCCCTGATTGGATGGCTGAAGAAGACCAGACTCAGTTCCAGCGATTCCACCTAGACCATTGGGCTCAAAGCTTTGGATTAATGCCCAATCCAAGTTTCCTAGGTTGCAAAGTCCTTGTTCGGGGACGTCGGTCTGCTCTGAAGACGTGACGTACACCTCTCCAAAGAAGTCTGTCGGGGAGGAGGATTTGGAGAGTTCAGGTGAGATAGAAGAAGGCACAATAGACGCCGCCGTTGCAGAATATAAACCCGCTGATAGCGATGTCTCAACATCCTTTAAAGCGCGAAGTGGGTAGTATTTGGACGGAGACAGCTGCATACTTGCGGTTGGGTATCTTCCCAGCATTGATTCCAGCTCTGACAAGCACGACTTGAGTGTGTGGCGAACTTTGCCTTGGATGGCGTATCGTAGGTCTCGACGAAGGTCACCCTGCACAGTCAACCTTGCGAGCTTTTTGGTGATGGTTTTGCAGTTTTGCATGATTCCCAGAGCATCTGAAGCGTAATTGTCGGGTTTAACCTGCTGTTCAGCATCGTCTCCCACCTGCTGGTCGATCCATAGGCAGACTTTGTCGATGAGCGCTAGGGCTTTAGACGTCAAGGCAGGCGTCGATAGATTCACCTTGGCAGCTTCGGTAGGCTGTTCGTTTGACTCTAAGCTGCTGTAAAGCCCATGGGCAGTCGTGACGCCAAACCAGGAGATGCTGCTATCATCCAAAGCGCCGATGGAGAGCATGCCGCCGAGGGTGCATTTCGCGAACCCGCTGCTTGTTTTTTCCACCAACATGAGGTTTCCACAGACTTTCAACCTGTCATCGCGTTTCCCACTCTCTGGCCAATACGCGAACGACAAGAAGTTGATCTCGCACCCCACAACTCGGGTCTTTACACACAGATGTTGCTGTGCGAATTGAAACGACGTCTCGACGGCTTCATGGTTGTCTTTCATGAACTGTTGTACATGTGATTCGACTGAAGGGTGGCATTGGACGATGATATCAACCTCGATGCTCCCGCTGGTCTCGCTCCAAGCCAATTTCGGAAAAATCGCTACGGCTTGAGTAGAGAGGCCCTTGCTAGTCTTCTTGCGCGAGTTGAGATGATGAAGCAAGGGCCCGCCAAAGTTCTTCTTGAACGCGCTGGCTATCTCCCGAACTGCTCGATGTGTTTCGGCATTAATCGTCGGCTTCGACTTTGGTGCTGTTGCTAGGTGCGGAGCTTTGATGTTATCGCCGTTCATCGTGTCTGACCTGGTCGAAGCCTCTTCGACCGACGTATTAATGCCTGTGGAGGAGTTTTGGTGACCCAGGGCGGAGACCATGTTCATATCGGGCTGAATGGACAATGAATCGGGAGATTTGATTGCCAGGCATCCGTCACTGTGTGTCGTAGATTCAACAGAGCCATAACCAGAGTCTTGTGATGAGATGCTTGGGTCGTCGTTTGGATTGACGCCGCGCTCCGAGAAGCGTTCAGCTGTGGTATCGGTTTCAGCTGCCTTCCCTCGGAAACGTCCCCACAGCATTCTTCTCGAAGTCGACATGCTGTTACGCATGAATTCTCTTGAAAGTTGTATTTAGGGGCCGCAGCGTATGGCACTCAGTGAGATGTTTTTGATTTCCCCGCGTGTTGGTTGCCTCGTGGTTCGCCTCGGCTGGGTCCTCAGACCACCTTCGCTTCAAGGCTAGAAAACTCGTAATGGGCGCGTAGACGGATTACACAGTGCGTTGATAATTGCTTATTCTTTGGCACTTCAGGGGCACTCCCTGGAAATTACCCAGCATTTCGTTGGCCAGAGTATAGCCTAGACGCGAGAGATACCGAGACTCGGCACCTATCCCGCTGTAGATCTTTCATGATAAGCTGAAAGATCGCACTGTGGGTGAGCCCACTGTGCCCTCGTCAACAACATTTCTCAGAGATCAACCTGAGCAGCGACAACAACACCTACGGGAAACACTCACCCAGCGTTGCTGCTATAGCCCTTTTGAAGACAAACGGCATGATGGAACTGGCATGGCTTCCGGCACTGCCAGCTGTAACTGAGAAACAACTGTACAAGCTCTTTTACCTGCTCTGGGACCTGGGGTTCTGCCAGCCATGTCTTGAGTCCAATTTTGGCGCCGATTGCCATTCAAACCAGTGCCCAAGGCGGACAGCTCTCACGCAGTACAATTCGTTTGTGGCATACTACAAAAAGATCTGCGCATCATACGATCCTCCTGTATCGTCTAGCGAGGCGGCGCTTCGGAGCCATGACGACGTGGGCCGCATTGTGGAAATCCTGAGACGACACCCAGAAAAGCCCAAGGGTGACATTCACAAACTCGCATTTCCAACGCTGGGCGATGCCCTCGACCAAGACAACGCCATCAATCTCGCCGTGAGCATCTTTGCCATGTCGAACTGCGGCTCGCAAGAGTCATCGCCAATCTTGCTTGAGGAAGGCTCCAATAGGATTACCTGGCGCGCCGGCATCACTTTGTCGCAGTATATCGAGCTCGTCCTTCCAAGATCCGAGGGATTCGAGTCACGACAACATTTTAGCCACTCCTTTCTCGACCCGAGCTGTCCCATGGTCATGGCCAAGGACCTGAAGCGCCTGGCTGGCACGAGCATCTGCGGCACCGACGACATTACCAATCACCTACGTTACGACGTTACGAACAATGTTCTCTTCATCTTCCGGCATGCGAGAATCCTGAAAGAGCACCTGCGGCTGTCGAAAAACTGCGGGAACGAACCCTCTCTACTAGATTGTCTGAATGTGTAAGCCGATGGAGTGCTTCTGGTTGCGAAGCCCATGTAAATGCTAACAAAATGGCGGCTGCAGTGGCGCGATGCCGCGCCAATATGTGCTCGAGGTTCTGTACTCGACCCAGAAGATTGTCTTCCCACTCTGGGATTCGGACTCAGTCGGGCTCCTACAATCGCTCGTGGTCAATGCTGGCTTCGACAAGAGCATACTGGACGGACAAGATCATGGCTTCATCAGAGATGATGAAGAAAGGATCGACTTTCAATATCTTTCGCTTAGGCTTTACGATATCTTCCAGGAAATCCAGAATCCTCGGCCTCGCGGCCGGCTGGCAAAATGGCTAGACCGGCGGAGCGGAGCCAGATATGTGATCCTAGCTACCATTGCGGGATTACTATTCGCAGTGTTTCTAGGTATAGCTAGTCTCACTGTATCGTCCTATCAGACATACCTTGCGTATCAAGCATGGCGGCACCCGGCTGGCATAAACTAATCGCGCTGAGCTTGACAGGGTCATTGTCCACCATCTGGAATGAGAGCGAATGATTCAGTCGTGGCTACTGTGTGTCAAATACCTCCAATGGTGGGTCAAATACACCCTCCCTATGTATTTCTCTCACAACATGAGAGATATCCTAGAAAAGTACGACACTGAGTTTGTGGGCGAGGCTACAAAGACGGGAGGCCAACACGCAGCGGTAGCTTCCTCATATTATGTCTCTGACAGTGCCTGAATTCCTATCAGTCTGCCCAACAGCAGTTGTAGGCATCCAAAAATGGCCGGCCATGAACAGGGGGCAAGAGCTTGACGGGATCCCGTATTTTCTAAGAGCTATGGTCGTATGTGCTGGAAAGTGAAGCACAACCGTCTTTTAAGCCCGATATTAATATTGCATGCATCATAATCATAAAGGAATAGTTACAAGATCAAGGCGTATATTTAGGACCCTGAATTTGATAAGATTGAGCTTGGAAACTCTAGTGCTCTGAGATAAGGGGCCCAGTGGAGGCTAGGGTATCAGAGGATGCGTTGGCTACCTCGATGGGATACCCACGAGTAACGACGCGTGATGGGCGAAGGAACCAAAGCGTCTGACATTTTACGCCACCCTTCTTTTCCTTACTCTAGAATGACAACTGACATTTGCGTATGTTCTTGATCCTTTTGAAATTTTTCTTCGCCCTCTTGTAAGCCACGGCAACTTTTTCATGCGTCAGTGCTTCTTCGTCGCCAGGTGATAACGAAGGCACTGAGTGTCGCAATCCCGCTACGGCAAAACGGAATGATCAGTCTTCTTGTCGGCAGCGTTATTCTAGTCCATATCTCCGTCTGACACTGGGGAGGTAATAGAAGCCAGAACCTACAGCTAGCTTCAAGTGTCCCGAGTAGGAACCGCTACTGTCGCATTGACTGCTACACCAAAAGTGGAATGAACACTCCGCTAATGCGTAGTGCAACTGAGGCCTATATACTGGATGCGATAGTTACGGTGCCAAGCCAGGAGAAATCAGAAGAGGATGGCATTAGCGAGGCTCAGAGCCCGCCTTTGCTAATCATTGGACTATCGACAGAGATTATCCGAGACAGAGACAAAAATACCTTTGTCTCTTCTCGAGACACAAATCAGCCGTGAAATTATAGGCCCCGTGTGGTACAGGAGAAGAGGGGGAGGGGAGAGACGGCGCGTCCCGGGTGGACTGGTATTTATATCAAACGGTGATGTTCAAGTGTATCGTTCTTCCGTAGCGCCTAGAATCCTCCTAGAAAAGCACGGGGTTAGGGTGGCATAGATGAGTTAAGGAACGAGGGCATTAAAGCGGCCATCTCGGATAACTTAGACTTCACTTGAGTTTTGTCTCAAGATGCCCTAATAAATGTCTGCAATTTCTATCTACTTACGAATAACAATACTCTAAAAATGTCTACAAATTATGAAAATAGTGTCTAACTTTGTCCAGTCTATGTGTGTGTATTGTCTACCTTCCCTTCCCCCTCTCGAAGTCGAACCCTGTTCATTCTCGAGCGAATAATGCCTTCACCTTAGCCCATGTATTCTTCTTGGGAACCCTTGCCAGCCAGTAAACGCCTACCGCAAGAAAGCAATTGAAGATGATGTATACCCAAATTAGTCCAAAGTTTCTCCATCGGTCATCATATTCTATTCCCACCGCCTGCAGATATACATCAGTCTGAGCAACAGAACAGAACATGCACTGATCGGTGCTCGACGGGTCTTGGAGCGAACCGCCAGCTGCTTGCATGAATGGCTCGAGATATTCACCGCAGGTGAGATTGTTGGCGGGCTGCAATGTCAGGAACTCAATAGCAGAACATTGAACTTCTTGTTTTGCTACGCCGTCGGAGAGCATTGCGCTGATGATGTATGTCATTGGCGAGACCCGATACATAAACTTCCAGAATCCTGGAAGGCTGGAGTATGCAACGATAACGCTATCAATAGAGTCAGTCGATCTGAACGGTAATGTTCTGTGGGAATTGGTGAGGGTCGTCAAATCTTACCCAGAAAAGATCAGAGTCATCATGAACAGCAACAGCGAGAGGGTAGCACCAATCTCTGCCGTGGGCACACCCGCCACGGCCATGTCTGCGAAAGTTCCCTCGTAGATCATGAAAGCCCACAACAGTAAGAACATTAAGCCACCTCTTTCGTGCTCCGTACCGGTGACCTCACCGTTCTGATACATACCGACCAGGAAATAGAACGGCAGGTAGATGACAAGTGCAGCCAAGGAGTTCCACGGCATCTCAACCACCAGGTTCGACACCACGAAAACATACCAGGAATACGTCTTCGAGGACCTTTCACGCCCTTCATAGAGAGTCCTCTGGGCAATGAAATTCGGCATCGTCTGGTACATCAAGAACGCGAAAATGACAACAAGCATGAAGATCGAGTATAGTTGGTTTTGGAGACCTTGAATCGAAAGAGGTGAGTCTTGGAAGGAGAGGCCGATGAATAAACTCTGAGAACCATTAGCAATATTCTAAACAGGCCAGGGTGCATTAAAACTAACGTTGCCCAAGCAAAGAAGCAACTTGGCGTAGATGTAAGTCGGTGTTCGCCAGTATTGTTCAAAAACACGCTTCATGCAAACCCAAAATTGGAGTTGAACTGGGGCTGCATAGGTGGTGCTTGAATCGGAAGCACTCTCTGGGCTCGGAGCCGTGGCTCTAAGACCTGCGAGCTTTTCCAGCTCAGCTTGAGCAGCGGTATATTCGGGGCTTTCTCTCCAAGTAGCTGTCCAATCTCGATCCGTATGGGCACCTGGGGCGGCACCGATGACGCGAAGCATCCACTCCGCAGGGTTCTCCTTTGCAGAGCAAGGGACTGCCCCAAACTTTTCAAAGTAGTTGGTCATAACCTTGGAATTCTCGCCAATGTCGCCAAAGTACACGGTCTTGCCGCCCCGAGCTAGGAGTAAGAGGCGATCAAACTGTTGGAACAACATGGCAGAAGGTTGATGGATAGTGCAAAGAATTGCTTGTCCGTGGTCCGAAAGTTTTCGGATGAGAGCAGTAATAGACCAAGCAGTTTGACTGTCCAAGCCTGAGGTCGGCTCATCGAGGAATAGCAGAAGATCGGGCTTGCCGGCCAACTCGACACCAATAGTAAGACGCTTTCGCTGCTCGACGTTGAGACCTACAAGGAAAATGTTAGTATCAGCAATGTGATTTAGCGCCATTCATACATACCTTCACCTGGCACACCTATCACCGCATCTGCGTATGCTTCCATTTCCAGCAACCGAATCACTTCTTCAACATACTCATATTTCTCCTGCCTGGTTGTCGAAGCAGGCTGCCTAAGCTCGGCGCTGAACCTGAGAGCTTCTCGAACTGTCGAGGTTCCCAGATGAATATCCTGTTGTTGAACATAGCCGGTCTTTCTTTGGAAAGAATTTGATCGTGGATGTCCGTTGAGGAGGACATCGCCAGTCACAACACCCATTGTAACTCGGTCTGCAAGAACATCAAGGAGGGTAGTTTTTCCAGCTCCGGTAGCACCCTAATATCATATTAGCATTCACTTGCAGCCGTTCAATAGCATTCGACTCACCATGAGGGCCGTTAAAGTACCGGGTTTTACCCATCCATTTACTCGGTCAAGGATCCGTCGGTTTTCTCCTTTGATGTTGATGTCATAACACAGATCTTTCCAATGAAAAACAGCCGTTTGTCTTTGGATTTTAATCATTTTCTCAGTGCCAGGTAAGCTTGTGGCAGGAGTGTCCGGGGGGATAGAAGTTTGGGGAACTCCAACGTCAGCAGACTCCTCATCGCGAGATTTAGACTGGCGTTGTCGATATCCTTGTCGGAAGACGAGAACCTCGCCCTTAGAAGGGCTGAGTGAGAAGTATTCGGAAGCGAAGATGTAAGCCAGTGAGAAAAAGATAAAGAAGCCGACAAGAATGCCAAAGTTCCTGCTCGCGTTAGTGAGTAATCCAGGCAGTGACTTGACACTACCTACCTCCACAGGTGCGAATATTTATAGCCATATGCTGCTTCAATGTAGGTGTCGCCGACAATGAAATTGTCACCGGGAGCCGCTCCAGCAGTAGCACAAGTCTGTTGAAGCGGGGTGACGTCTGCATAGGGACCACCCATTGGGATCATTATCGAACACGGAAAACTTCGGTTCCTGAATTCGTTCGCGACCAAGGCCTCATATCCGTATGCGATTGGGTTCACATAGTTGATCCATCTGAGCCATCCTTTCATATTTCGCGTAGGGAGAATGTAACCGGTGTAAATGACCAGTGCAAGGATCAGCAATGCTGCAGGGGCTAGAGCCTGGTGAACTGTCTTGGTGGATTGGCCAATGGTGCGGAGAATCATAGACATCGTCAATGTGGTGCTGAACCCGAAGAGCAAGAATATGAAGAAAGCTGAAGCGTCCCGACGAAGGTGTGACATAAAGTAGAGAGGGACATTGAATGCCAGGGTAGAGATGACTTTAAGTGGCAGGTCGCAAATTGTGGATGATATGGCTTCAGAGAATGGCCGGTAGAGTGCGTAGCGAGTATGCTTCTCAACGATGGGTCGTTGTGCATAGAGAGAAAGGATCTGTGAGAATCAGTACAAGTTCGAGGAGATGGTAATTTCCAATCTCACCTCAAGAGCGCTGCTCAATCCATTGAACAAGATGGCGAAGAAGATGATCGAGCACCGACTGCCCATAGTTTCTGCGGTGTCGGCGAGATCGAAAAAGACACTTCCGAGGACAAGGGAAATGAAAAAGTTGCCTAGAGCGGTGATGACGAAGAAAGTCTTGTCGCCAAGGAGCCGTTGGATTCCGCGGGTCATGCAGAGCTGGATCTGCATCGGGATGGAGATCGTGTAAGGACTTGATGTTGGCCTGGCTGATGTTTAGCGGGAAGTTATCAATGAGGCTGGGAAATGTCTTACAGGAGTGGTGCCTGTTGAGCACTTCTTGCTTCGCGGAACTTCTGAAGCTCAGGGCCATGTAGTGGGTACTGTTCTTCAAAGGCGGCGATTTCTCGAAGCAATTCTGCTCTCGTTTGGCTCATTCTCCATTCATCAGCAAACTCGTCCGGCGTTCTAGGCACTTTGTCTTCGAAGCCAGGTCGCACAATCCGCTCAGAAGGGTTGGTCAACGAGGTGAGGAAGTCAGCCGTCGTCTGGCGATCGGGACAGTGGTACCCCATGTTCGTAAAATACTCTTTCGCTGACTCCCTGGGCCCAAAGTACATCTGTCGACCCTCATAAAGGACGGCGACTTTGTCGAACTCCTAGAAAACAATGGTTAGTACGTCCAGATTCAGATGTTTTCTGTAGGAGAACTTACATCGTACGCAAGCTGACTGGCTTGGTACAAGGCTACAATGGCACTTGTACCTCCCATACGTGTGCTCAGCCTCAGAGTCTTGACAAACTCAAGAGAGGTTGCGCTATCCAAGCCCCTAGTGCTGTTGTCCCAGCACTGGATGGTGCTCTGGTTGAGAGTTGCCTCGGCGATACTGACACGTTTTCGCTCACCCCCAGAAACACCACGAACAAAATCATCACCGACTTTGGTGTTCATCGTATTGGAAATTCCGAAAATGGCCATGACGACGTCCCTGAGGTGCTGGGCGTAAGCCTTTCGAGACACCCCATCAAGACGATTCTGTGGCGTTCTTGCAAGAGCTGCAAAGAGGAGAGTATCTCCGACGGTGAGCTGTGGGAAATGGATATCCGTCTCAGCCTGGTAGATGATTTCTCCACGGAAATGGTCATGCATCACGTTCCATGGGATGCCTGGATACCGTTAGTCATTATCCCAGATGGGTTCTAAGAAGGACCAACCTTGATAATTGAACTCGGAGGACGTATCAAGATGCAACCCAAGCGTGTGCCCAGATATGGACTTGAGTAAAGTAGAGACACCACTGTGATGAGTTAGTAAACGTCAAGACAATGGCCAAGGAGATCATGCAAACTGTCACTTGCCTCCCAGGTCGGCCCAAGACGAGTACCATCTCGCCACTCTTAGCCAAGCCATCAAACCCATTCAAGATCTGAATTTTGCTCTTTCGTCGAACGGCCCAGTCTGCAAGCTTCAGGGGTGCCTCCCATAGAACATTCAGGACATCTTTCTGGTAGTCAGTCGAGGTGCCAAACCCATAAACACCTAGGTTCCGGTAGGAGACTCCAGCAGTATGGCGAGGGTACTTGACAGGATCCCGTGAGAATGCATGGAGGAGGGCACCTGCCCAGCGCTTGGGGTCAAAGTCCGGAGAGTTTGGATCGAGCTTGGGATCTGTGGAGAGGAATGGATTGATATCTGGTGGAAAGGCGGAGAAGGTTCGTGAAACAGAGAAGGATCTGGCTAGGCTGACGACATTCTCTTCGGCGCTCTCTGAAATGGTGTCAGATCCGTCGGCTTGATCATCGGAGGACAAAGAGGCACGCTCCCGGGGTTTCTCTAACTCTGCCATGGTGACCATTGGCGGGAAGAGAGTGGAATTGCGCCTTGAAGGGAAATTGAAGCAGAATGAAGTAGAGAGAAACGAATGGAGATGCTTCAAAGTGCATTGAGAAAGTACAGGGGAACTTTAACATAGATTTATATACAGGTGGAAACGTGGATGGAGCGGCACTTGCATCAGCCAACCGTAAATCGGATGTCTATCTCGGGATCTCCCACGTCGGGATTGGCGTCATCTCCCATCTCCGACGACCTGATCCTTGGAATTTTCCAACGGGAGATATTCACATGTCACGGCCAGCCAACGAGGCCTCCGCTAGAACGCCGCAATACGACGGCGTCAGGTGGACGAGAAGCTCATCTCGGGAGACAAAGGGCTGCCGGCGTTTGGGATGCCGCAGCTAGACTCCGGGACCCAGCAGGAATTCCGCAGTGGATCACCCTGCCAGAGCACCGATAAATCAGCGGCGCCGCAGTAGAATATCCTGACGCCCCCATCGTCAGATACGCGGTCCAGGCTTCGGGAAACGCAAGAAAAGCGGACGCCGCAGATTCCCTGATACCCGGTGGCTAGTCCGAATCCGGAAAGTCGGCGCCGAGACCTCCCAACGTCAACCTCCGGAGCTGGCGTTCGGAATTTGCTTCCTCAGCATAACCACATTCATGACGTCCCGTTTCTGACGCGTGCTATATGTTTCTGCTGTTCCGGGAAATCCCAGGTCTGCAGATTTCCCGCATCCCAGGGGTGGAGGTCACGTCGGCAACGAACACTGTCTCGACGCTGTCTCGCAGATGGACCAACGACTCCGGAGTACCAAGCGGTCCAAGGCCTGCGACGCCTGCAAGACGCGCAAAGTACGATGTTCAGGTATGGAATATATCCCCTGTTCCTCCCTCTACCTTTGCTTGCTCGTTTTCTAATCCGCGTAGGCTTTCCTTCGCCATGCCTGGGTTGTTCGGTAAGCTCGGCCTCGAGTCCTTGGACTCCTTTGTTGCCCACTCTTTTCATGGACGGGTCTGACAAGAATAAAGCAACGAGGCATAGATTGCTTCTTCGGCCAGAGGAAAGTTCCGCTTCGGAAAAATGGTAAGCAACACCGTGTTCGCCCCCGAGCCCAATTCCCGAAGCTGACAGGGCCGGGCCTCAGTGAACAAGTCGCTAGTCACAGCGGCAACTGTACTGCCAGGGGGGCATGGCTCACCAGTAAAACCACTCCTTGACGCTTCCAAGGTATGCCGCTTCAGATCTGTTTCTCCCCTAGCACAATGACGTTATCATCTGCCTCTTTCTATTCCATGAGAAAATTGTCAATGGATTTAGCCGTTGATCCGCTAACAATGGATTCAATGTTCAGGTAGCTCCATGCGATATTCCAATTGGAAAAGGAGGACCATCAACGCCAGTGTCACATTCCAATCTCTACATCGACCACCTCCTATCGAGAACCCTGACCTCCGAGGAATCTAACAACAACCGACGTCTCGCGCTAAATGTACACCCCCAGGATTCGCTCAGGCTTATCGGTTCGGGTGATAACTCGCCGCATGCCTCTTCTAATAGACTTTAACTGACATTGGCTCATTTAGGGAAATGGCCTCTTCGGTATTAAGGTCTTGTTCTTGGATCCTGCCCACCGCTAACATATCCAGGTGGTACATACACAATCACTTTTTTTACCGACAGTAGGCTAGCTTCACTTTCAGCTAGACTTCAGAACAACAAAGTCGACCAGCTCGTCCAGAGATTCTCTTCGGTTCTCAAGAGCAGAGTCAAGTCGCCAGACAAAGTTTCAGCTCGCTCGATATCTCTGGAAAAGGGGCGCGCCGGTCCATTCAATGACAGAACAGCCGCAGCAGGTTTCATTTCTGGTATAACAAGTCTCCAATGTGTATCGCCTCTTATTAAGCTAACACACCACAGCCTATTTTGAGCGTGTCCATCCCATATATCCTCACTTGAGCCGCAGTACCTTCGAATCGACTGCATTTTCTGCCGATTTGCCCACTGTCTTGACAGAAAACAAAGCGTTCTCTGCCCTCTACCACTCCGTCTTAGCTCTAGGATGCCTCTACGATGGTGGGGGCGGCTTCGAGCCTGGTAAAGGCCAGGCAGGGCAATTATTCTCCGTTTCTCTCGCTCTGTTCCCCGAGCTCGTTCAATCACCGGATTCCCTCTTGATTCTCCAAGCCATGACTACCATCGCCATCTACTCACTTGGAATATCATGCCTCTCAATAGAGAAGTTTGTCATGACGGAGGCCACCCGTCGAGCGCAAAACCTTGCCCAAGTCAATCTCGGCAGTGCAGCAACTCAGGCATTTCGACGCACATTTTGGGTCCTATATTCTTTGGAAAAAATGTCAAGTTTTTACTTTGGCCGCAGCTCGGTACGTTTCTATCTCAGTATCTATTCAGTGATGCTTACAGTAATAGGCGTTCATTGATATCGACATCACAACACCCATCCCCTGCATTCCAGAATCTATATTCGGCACCTTTGATTGGTTTCTCACATTTGCTCGCCTCTCTCGACTTCTTTCCCGGGCTTTATCCAGCCTCTTTTCTCCAGGGGTTTCGAAAAAGGACACGGGCTACTACATGTCGACAATTGATGACATTGACAACGACCTAGAGCAATGGCGAAGCTCACTGCCTGAAGATAAACAGCCGGGCCCCCTTTGCAACCAGTATCAATTCCGAAAGCCAGTGTCTGGGACTGCACTGCTATGGACCCATTTTCTGTACTACAGCTTCCGTTTGATTCTCGCCAGGGCATACCATCAACTTCCAGCAAATCACGATGACCTTTCAGTCCGTGAAAGTAGAGCCAAGGCGCTGCAGACGATGATAAGCATGTCAAGATCCGTTCTGGAGTTGACTCCATTTATCGATGTCGAACCCTCGACTCCTCTTATGTAAGGCAGCCTCCTTTCCTACTGTTACTCCTATTTCGTCCAGTATCACTGATATAGCCAGGATGCTTGCTGGTATTCCCATCTTTGCACTTTTTGTTCTCTTTGAAGAAATCATCAATGATCCGAAACACAAGGATGCAGCCAGCAATCTTGCCCTGTTGGACATTGCAGGTGGCCACTTCTCTCGCATAGAGTATGCAAGTGATGGGTCCCTCCCAGGTTCGTTGATCGCGGAGTTCGCAAAAATTGCTCGGGAGTATGTGAATGACACGAATCGCGACAATTCACAACACCAAGATCAAACCCAAGGTCTATCAGTTGGAAGTATTCCCGGGGTCCTTGGGGTTCAAATGCAGGGCGACAGCACAGTCCCAATATCTGCCGGCGAGCAGAACACTTCACCCATGTTTCAGGTAAGCCCACGGATACCTTTCTGTGTATTCTTTAATAGCCTCTAATAACGATTTTAATGTAGAACTTCGGTGCCATGGATAGCCACAGTAGTGGATTCTATTCCATGGATAGGAATATCCCATCCCAAGACTCGTGGATTGCGGACAACGACCTCCTTCTTGGGATTAATGTGATGGACATTTTTAGTGGCTTCGTTCCAATTCCAGAACCTCAATGAGCAGGACAAGGCCCAACTCAGAAACCCAAGGTCTTGGATGATTCAGGGTTGTCGGATGAGGCACGACACTTTTTTCATTAGGACGATTTTGAACACTCCCCTTCCGTCATGTTCCGGAGGCGTCCATTGGGGGTGCCTCCGGAGGTTTACAACTTTCATTAGGCAAACCATGTACTATAGTTGATTAGAACCCCATGCCCTTGGATGGCCCTCAGAAAGCTGGAAGGACTCTTGTTTGTTAGCTTATAGATTTATTAGAAACTCTACCATTTCCCTTTAAGTGAGTAAAATGATGAGAATTGCTATTCGCAAATACAGCTATTGCTATTTCGTTTATAACTACATGGCTCAATCCCGCTGATAATTATCTACTGTGCAAGTAAAGTAGTTGAAGAAACAAAACTCCTTTGACCTTTAATTCTAGTCTATTCTTCAAGAATTGTCTTTACACAAGTGTGAGATAAAATTCACTAATTGACGTCTAATAATTATCCTTTTACTGCACGTGTTGAATACATTCGTTCTTCTTGAACTGTAGCATAAGGACCTCATAGCTGTTTACGAAGAGCAATACTCAAGATGTTTTCCAGGGTCATGATTCCACATGCGATTCTAGCTTCTAACAGAGATTCCCAAACGATGGCACTGACTCCAGCCTCAACCCTGATCAGCCGTAAACCAGAGAAGCCAGCAAGAGTTGGCACTGGATGATTAAAATACTGTGGATTAGAAATTCTTGCAACACCTAGTACAACAAGAGATGGATGGGGTTTCACATCTGGATCGTGTTTACCGTATTGGTATAGGGTATTTCACCGAGCTGGAGCCACCCCACGTCCTTGGGAAATTACCTTGCCTAGCAACCAGGCGGCCAACTGATAAGGCTTATCAAGATAAGAGGCGCAGTGACTCTCCGTCCCGCGTCCCGAGCTCGTCATCCACCATCTTCACACCTACGTCAACAGCTCCCAAACCCTTCTCCGTTACCATCTCCGCCCTCGCCAGTCTATTTATCTCGAGCGCTCACCCTCCCCCAGCTTCCGTCCAATCCTCCAGGAACAATGACCAAGCTCACGCCTGGAATGCTCAGCGCCCGCGCATCGACCCTCTCGCTCCGCCAACAAGCGCTATCGTCATCCCTCCCAGCCCCCAGCCCAGTCGGGACCACACTCAACCCTCAGTCCTGCAGCCCGTCGCGCAACTTTGTGCTCGCCGATATGGACGGTCGAGATACGAGAGACAACCGCGCCTGCGCATCCTGTATCGCTAAATTGGCGCCCGGCGAGGTTGGGCAGGTCAACTGGCACCTCGCTGAGGACCAGGCCTGTCGCCTGTGCCAAGTCGCCGACATCGAGCCTGCCGCCTTCACCAAGCCCTTTTGCGACTTCCTGCAGGAGAACCCGACCATTTTTCACACCGTGGAGTACTTTACGAAAAAGTTGAACCAGTTGGGTTTCAAGGAGGTGAGTACAGAGGTTTCCCGTCCTACCTACAGTGGTACTGACTCGCCTAGCTCTCCACACGCGACTCCTGGGCCGACAAGGTGCAACCCGGTGGCAAATACTGGGTTACCCGAAACGGCAGCTCTCTGATTGCCTTCACCGTCGGAAAGGCGTACAAGCCCGGCAATGGAGTTGCCATGATTGGCGGCCATATCGACGCCCTCACCGCCAAGCTCCGGCCCGTGAGCACCAAGCCCAACAAGGCCGGATATGTCGAGCTCGGCGTCGCTCCCTATGCTGGCGCCCTCAACGCGACCTGGTGGGATCGTGACTTGAGCATTGGCGGCAGAGTCGTAGTGCAGGATGAGGAGACGGGCAAGACAACTACGAGGTTGGTCAAGCTAGACTGGCCGATCGCCAAGATTCCCACTCTCGCTCCTCACTTCGGTGTCGGTATGATGGGCACCAACAACGCCGAGACCCAGGCTGTTCCCATCATTGGCCTCGAAAGCTCCAAAAACACTCCGTCAGAGCCGCTGGGACCTGCTGGCTCCTTTGTCAACACCCAGCCACCTAGGCTGGTCCAGCTGATCGCCAAGGAGCTCAGCATCGAGTCTTATAGCTCCATCGTCAACTGGGAGCTAGAACTGTTTGATTTGCAGCCTGCTCGGACTGGCGGTATGGACAAGGAGTTCATCTTTGCCGGCCGCATCGACGACAAGATCTGCTCCTGGTCAGCTCTGACCGGTCTCCTCGCCGCAACTAACGACGAGAATGAGGGCAGCATCAAGCTCGTGGCCCTCTTCGACGATGAGGAGATTGGCTCACTTCTGCGCCAAGGTGCCAGGGGCAACTTCCTTCCCCTCATTGTTGAGCGTACTGTCGAAGCTCTCAACCCCGAGACCTATGGCCCTGGTCTCATCGGGCAGACCTACGCCAAGTCGTTCCTCCTGTCTGCCGATGTCACCCATGCCGGCAACCCCAACTTCCTCGAGAAGTACCTCAATGACCACGTCCCCAAGCTTAACGTCGGCATCGTCATCTGTGGCGACAGCAACGGCCACATGACGACCGACGCCGTCTCCACCGCCATCTTGCAGCGCGTCGGCAAGCTCGCCGGCTGCGAGACCCAGCTCTTCCAGATCCGCAACGACTCTCGCAGCGGCGGCACCATTGGCCCTGCTCTCTCGAGTATGATGGGTGTCCGCGCTGCCGATGCCGGCCTGCCCCAGCTGAGCATGCACTCGATTCGCGCCACCACTGGTGCTCTGGACCCTGGCCTGGGCGTCAAGTTCTTCAAGGGCTTTTTGGATAACTGGGAGAAGGTTGATGCCGAGTGGCACTAAACGTGGGCGTGCTGGGATGCATTGGACAAGCTGGGGTTAAGTCGGGTTTTTTGATACCTTTTTCATCATTGCATTTAGAATGTGCTTAAGTAGAACGGTGTATTCGATTATGCCAATATATTCTGTAACACCAAAAGATAACATCGCCTTTGTATTCCGACCTTGTCCAAGGCCGTCTGTATATCGCCTCCCATATGCACAGTCTATTACGTTTTCGGCCTTGTCACGCTCAGTACTTCATCCCATTAACATTCTTCCATCCCGTTTACCTAGCGTCCCGCACCAGGTCATCTGCTTCTCTTGCCAACAAGCTCTCAGACTCATCAGCATCGTCATCGTCGTCATCGTCATCGCTTTGTCCACCCTGGGCCGCCTCTTCCTCTTCCGCCTGCTCGGCGGGGCGGCGACGCTTCTCAAAGTCCTGTTTATGGGCCTCGGCGAGGATGCGTGAGAAGTTGCGCTTGGGAGCCAGCCCGTACGGCCTGCGTCGCATGGTGCCGTCCTCAGCGATGGAACCAGCCACGCCCGTGGACGCAGCCGTGGATTGCCGGCCCAAGCCAGAGGAGGTGGCCGTGCCTTGGCGTGAAGCGGGTACGGTGTCCAAACTGGCGCGGTCGGTGAGCGGCTCGATGCGGTAGGGCAAGGGCACGTCGCGAGAGGCCTTGTACTGAGCAACGTTGGCGCAGTGTTCATTCTCGACGCGGAAGAGAGTCCACATGCCGCGGCGGGTGACCTCCATGAAGGCAACCATGAAGGAGACGATGGTGGAATGCTGCGTGTTGTGGGTGAAGATGGCATAGAAAATCCACGCGAATCTAAGGATTGGGTCCACGACCATGATGAAGTAGTAAAGCCAACGGCTCTTCAATGCGAGGATATCGCGCAGACACCAGTGCCGCGCCTGGGGCTGGAGTAGAGAGAAATCCATAAACAGATCCCAGATACCTGGGCCATGTCAGCGCGGTTTGAGGAAATGGGAAGATGTGATACTTACTGCAGTAGATGCTGTTTATACTGGAGATGGCGATGAATAGGCCAAGATTAGTATGGGTATTATTAAACCGATAGAATGAGAGCATGACGGCGGCTAAAATGGTCGCTGTGTACTTGCCGCCGTTGACAAGATGCGGGAAGATGTTGCTGGTGTCCTTATATCGCCGTAGACACTGAAGTAGACGCCAGACGGCCGGCATCGCCGTGAAGAAACCTAGCAATCGAGAGTGGCTGGAGTTGCATTGCACCGGATTCTCCCAGCTGTTTGCATACAAGCAGAAAAACAGTTCCATATTCTGGGTGCTAATTAGCCAGTTGCGCTGGTAGAGTTGCTGCTTCAAGACATACCGCAGTTGCATATGTGAGAGAACAATAAATATCTCCAAGAAAGAAATCCCGGAACTCGACGGGATAGAGACCAGCTAGTAACAATCGCCACTTTGCACACCATTAGCATCAGTCCCCGAGAGAACCTATAACTCGGGACAGACTTACATGAGAATAGGCGAACCACTTCCGGCTTCGGTGCCACAGTATCGGGGCCGGGAAGAAAATAAGAATAGTGGTGACAAATATGAGAATCACGGGGTAGTAGATGTACATCCCCTCAGCGCCATATCCGCTAAAGTTGACCCACATGAAGAGGCCAAGAACCAGAAAGAAGAAACTCGGAAACCGAGCCAGCTCCCTCCAATCTAGGGAGTGGCGTTGGTCAAACTCAAAGATGAAGGGGTAGTTGACCTTGTTATTGTTCCAGATAGCGCAGTTGATGCAAAAGAGAGCAAAGAGGTAAAGCATGAGAAAGTAGCCACCGTATATCTGCAACAGATAGCTTGTCCTAACCCTGACCCGGGGGTCGTCGTCGAAGAGGAGCTGGGATCCGTAGATGAGACCTTGGATGGCAAAGACAGCGCCGGTGCCGATGAGAAGGCCGTTTTGGAACATGCTGGTGGACTGGTCCTCAGGCTTCTTGGTGAGCTGACGGAGCTTGCCGGCTGCTAGCTTATGGTTACCACGCTCAAAGTAGCGTGAATAAAGGTCTTCGACGACCTGGATGTGGCCCTCAAGCACGTCGCTGTTGACGAACCATGCCCTGTTGACCTTTTCGTTCATGTAGCGGTAGGGTGGTCGAGCATTGATGGCCTTGTCGTACTTTTTGTTCAATTTTCGGAATGCGGTCCGGTTGAGCATGGCGTACGACTTGAGCAACTCCAGTCCGCGGTAGAACTCCTGCAAGGCCAGCTTTAGCTTGCGCTTGGCAGTGCGGTAGGAGACTTCGTCATCCTCAGGTCGTCGGATGTAGTCCCTCGCGGCGTCACCTTGGGGGCCGCCATTTGTCCCACCGTTTGTATTTGGGCTTGGGCCCATCCGCTGGAGAGCTTTGGAGTTAGCCCCGAGGGGAAAGATCTTGGACTTGATAGGGTTGACCCATCCATTGATTTTGTCGTTTCCGTTCTCGCCGGTGCCGTTGTGGTTTTGAAAGGCGCGCTCGTCTTGAAAGCGAGCCTGGGCCATCTCTTGAATTCGGCGGTTTCGCATCTCGTGTAGTTGCACCCTCAGGATATCCAGTCGTTGTCCGGCCTGCTCCTCCTTCATCTTATAGAAGGCCTCGACCTTTTCGAGCTCGGTATCTAGGAATTCGAAGAAATCTTGCTCCCTTTCTCGCACCAAGTCGAGGTTTTGCATGTTGATGTCGACCCTTCGATCGCTTCGGCCCGTCGATGTGTGTGTGAATAGCCGGCGAAGATGGCTAGGAGACCCGAGGTCGGTCGGGCGTCTCGAAATCGATGCCATTGCAGGCGATGCGGGGGACAAACCCGGCGGAGCAACGTTCAAGGTCGAGCTTCTTTGATGTTTGAATGGCTGGAAGTCTCGTCGTATGGTTCCGTCGTGGTCTGGGGCATCGGCGGAATTGGACTGGACCTTGATCGCCGGAGCTGGCAGCTGGAAGTCATTGTGACTGCTAGTGGTCGATATCGACACTCCCTCCTCGGGAGTCCGGACAAAGCTCCCGTAATGTCGATTATCGCCAGACCCCGTCAAGGCGTCGCTCTCGTTGCGCCGCGGCGAAGGGGACGGAACGGGCTTCACTGTGGCCGCCGAGGACGCCGTGGTGGGGATTGTCGACGACCCATTGCCCTCGCTCCCGTCAGCGGTGTTGCGGCCGGAATCCCTCGACTTGCGGAACGTCTGTCGCGGCGTGACGGGTGGGAGAAAGGTCGCGGCCCGAAGCTGCCCAGCGATGTTGGGGGAGGCGTTGGCGCGGGCGATGGCTCGAGACACGGCCTTAACGTACTTCTTGCCGGCCTTGTAGTTGAGATACTTGATGCGCCATTCTACAAGCGCATAGGGAGTTAGTTACCATCCTTACAGCTGCCCTCGACAAATTGTAGAGCCGTTAGCCGGGGGGGGTTGGGGGTCGCGTGAGGAATTACCAGGCACAGCTTCTCGCTCGAGATCCTTCGCGAACTTCATGAGATCGGTTTCGTTGCCAGCACAGGCCTGGCGACTGCAGGGACGTCGTGGGGCATCAAGGTCGAGGCCTCGGAGATGCGACTGGTCGGCTTTTTGGCGAACTCGGAGGATGTCTCGCAGACATTTGTCGCACACGCCGTTGCCGCGTCGTCAACAGGTGAAGATCCGGCCTGTGAGAGATCTCACCGCGTCAACGTGGTGCCCCTCCTGGTTCTGCGCTGGCAGGGGAGTCATTAGGGGGCAAGCCGGGGAGTTGGGCCGCTAAGATTTTGTTGCTTCCGGTCGTCAGTGCGCTGGAACTGGAACCATATTGGGAATAACCTGGCCAGTCAGGGCAAACGCATTCCATTTTCGCCGCCATTTTGTCCCGCTGATGATTAGTCCGTACCAAATAGGCACGTCGTTATCACCTGTAACAAGATGGAGAACGTCATTGGGGAAGCCACTACGGAGCATCTCAACGGTTTTCCGCCTTTCTGCAAACGCCTCAACTTCGGAGATGCCGCTATCATCTGCCCTGCTTTTCTTCTTATCGCATTCGGTGGGCCGATAAGTGCCACAAGTGTCTGATCTAATCTACCCAAAACAGCGCATGATGATCCTCGCTTCCGCTTCCCGAGATGATGGAAGCACCTGTCTCGACAGGGGACACGTCGATCCTGGTTTTTTAACTGAGACTTCCCTACTGCATCATCTTGCTGCGTAGAAGTTCCCACAGTAAGGAAACAACCTTTTGCAAATACATGTCCCATCGTGAACACCTCGGCTCGGCCCGTCCGTGATCACATGTACTCTGCACGGATGAGGTCTTGAACTGAGCTTCTCCCAAGAACAACAACACAATGATTTCCAGCAACGACTGAACAATCAATCAATTGCTGCATCTCCAGAACACCAAGAAGAACAAAGGGGAAATGGAACAAAAAGGAAATAGAACAAAGATGATCCTCGGAACACCGAACTGGAAATCCCTAAAATGCTGTCTATAAAGCTCAAGCAAATGCCGTCATGAAACTCCATCAAACTCCCTTCCATCCAGACACTGACCAGATTGAGAAAATAACTACCAACAACAAGTCGAAATCCACTTACACAACACAATGTGTCGATTGGAATACCTGTTTGCCATCTGCCTTTGCGCAGACCCTCATTGCCAGACCGAGAGCCTCATGATCGCGGGTTATCCAGAGTCGGGTTCGGACTTTTTCCAACGCCACGTCGATGGCCCGGCCATTTCGCAGTGGGCCAATTGCACCGATAACATAGGACATAATCGACCGTGCGTGAGAAGGGCGCTGAGGGTCGATATCTCCATGGAGGGCGGTCGGATTTGCTTGAAGTGCGCAGAAAATTGCAACAAGGCGTAAATGTCACAGAAACAGGCCACTGTCTATACAATGGAGCATGGGAGCGGATTGATGGTTGGTAAATAGTTAATAGAAGGGTGAATATTTCACTTTGTTTTTGTACGTTTCTGCATGTTACCTTGTGTTTCTGTATCGTGTCCTGTGCTTCTGTGTCTGCCGTGTCTTGCGATTCCGTATCTTGTCCTATGTTTCCATCGGTCTTTCACGTTGGCAGCGCTCCAACATGATTGGTCACCTCGCGCTTTTTGTTTAGGTCGCATTCGCCATGTTTTTCTCTCTTGGACAATGGCTACAAGCACGGCAGTTTCGAATAAACTGTTTTGAGCAAGTTGCATCAGTAGTGTGTACCTATCCACCGGCGAACGGGTGAAGTGGTGCTTAGGACTTGCATGGTTGATGCTGGGAGAGCTCCATGTAGCCGATCTCAAATCAATCTCTGTGCCGAATCCTACCCTCCCCAAAACAAACCCTCGCTAATTGATCATCAATATTATGATTTCTTTTCATGTGAGGATTGATCTGGACCGGCCATGTCCGGAAGGTTCCCGAAGTGTTGGCCTGGGTGAACACTGTCTTAGAAAATTGGCCACTAACACGGTCTGGGTGGCGACTCGCTTGGGCAATGCGACAGAGGAGCCGCCCAGATAAGATCAATTGCGATTGACCAACCTACTGATAACAGTGCAGTCTCCGGTAGGATGCGGACGACACTGATCTGATCCGATACCGAAAGTGAACTGCATCAATGACAAATAAAAACACCGTTTCAAGGGTAAACAAACCGTAAGTTTCCTCGTCCCCGCAGCATCATAACAATCATTGCCGGTGTAGAGAGCTTCAACGAATAGGCAGCTTCGGAAGCACAACAGCCTGCCAAAGTGCCTAGCTGAAGCTCTTTGCCGTTTGAAGACCCCCCGCATCGGTCAGGACGCTGCTGACCCCGGCACCCGACTGGCTGAGGAATTGGGACGAGGCGTGCGTGCAGCTGCGGGCACATATGTCAACAAACAAATGGCATGCGCATTCGCAAATCAGCGAACCGGATACTGACAGATCATGTCGAGATGCCTATCGGCTGGGCCGCGCCGGGTACATAGTACTTACTTGGCGGTGATCCACCGCCGCCAACCGCGAGGAGACATCCCCGGCTGCGAGGTGGTGCAGTAGTGTCACCCGCTGACTGGACCTGGCTAACATCGCGAACCCGGGCGGCCAGTCACCGGCCAACACACGGCTGGCGAACACTGGAGCTGCTGAGACTTTTCCAATTGAGGCGTGCCTGGAGCTGGAGCCCCACGCAGTTGGTTGAAAGCTGATGCTTATGGGGGCCTGCATGTGGTGTTGAGATCGGGCTCAGGTTCCTGATATCTGCCGGGACCCGGATGGGCTCGATGCCAAGGACTTGCTGGTTCGGTATGTATTCTGTGCCTGCTTTCTGTTCAAACTTCTCCGGAATGACATAGCTCTTTTCCTCGCCGACGATGGCGATCCGTTTTTGGGGTTGCATCCTGCCACTAATTATGACGACCTGATTTCGTCCGCATTCCCAGGCCATTGGAACCGGAAAAGCAAGCTTCTGGAGCCTTAACTGAGCCAAATATTGGTTGTCTCGCCAGATTGGGTCAGGCAGCCACAGTGCCAGCTAGGATGCACCTCGATCACACCGCCCAAAGCGGGATGTTGCCTCACTGAGGCTGCTCGGCAGGTACACCACGTCGTGGCACAACGAATCCGGGTGCGCTAGGTACGCCGATGTTACTCAACACTTCCCATTGCATCCAAGAGTGACAGGAAACAGGGATGGGCTGATTATGTAGACAGTGCCCTGGAAAGTTCGCCGCCATTGTTACATAGAGTTTCCAAGGAACCTGCCTCTTCGGCGTGGCATTCTCAGACAGATCGAGATCTGAAAAACGCCATGGCCCATGTCTCGGTCTTGTTGTGAGTCGATTTCCCGGGGTTTGCTTTTCGCGGGGATCCATCGGCACGGAACCACCGGCATGGCGGCGCTCTGAACAGGCGAGGTTGGTTTGGGTTGTGCGCCAGGTTGCTGAGACTCTGGGGATCCCTGGCTGCTCCGACTGGACGGGCTTTGGGACGAGGCGGAGTGTGCAACAGACGAGAGAGTTGTCGTTTCCATCGCACATAAGCTTTCCTGCGAGTGGTTTTCGAGTCGTCCGCACCTGTGAGCGCGGCTGGACTACGAACCTAATTAGTTGCTTAGTCGTGGAGCTAGTTACAGGTGTTGGCAAGCCATCGGGCGCCCTGACGTTTAGACCGATCCAGACCACGCGAGATGGCGCCGCGGCGAGGGCAGCGAGGATGTTCCTTGATTTCCTACGGCGATTGAGCTGGACCATTTCTTGCGACATGCTGAAGCCGGAGCGAAGGGCGAAAGCGAAAGCAGACGCTGGATCTTCGCTTGCAGCCCCCGGCCCGAAGCCCAGGACTGCAATTGCCGGATAGCGTCGAGGGAGGATGCGACGGAACAATGCAGGCTGCATTCCAAAGTTGGCCAGCACGGCGATGACCGAATCACGACCCACGTGGAGATGCGGGCTTACTACATATGTACGCGCATGGGTGTTTGGTCGTGCAGTTGCAGGCAGAGCCACGGCCGCAGAGCCCAAGGCGGTGGATTGACACGCGAGAGGCGAATGGAAGAAAAGTGTGGAGGATGTGCTGTCACCTTGTTGGTGTTATAGGCCGTGGCGCCCATTATCCAGTTGACAGCACAAAGGTTGGTCGAGAGGAACGCTGACGGTGGAATGACGCGCCCTGGGGGACTGGCGACTGGTGACGGGCTACAGGTGACTGGGAACAGCGATTCTCAACTCTCCACTCGGTTGTGGATTTGCCCGATGCGGTCTCGTCGAGAGTTTCCTCGACCAAGCATCATCTGATCTGGCGCAAGGGACGCACGTCGGTCAACGGCCATGAGCCAAGCAGCATGATTCCGCTGTCACAGGGGGCTTCAGGACCAGCCCGCCACATCCCTGCACACATCCCGCGACCTCCAGCCCCGGCGATGAACGGAGCTCGAGGGGCTGAAGAAGATGCAGAGAAAAAGCAGGTAGTAGCAAGCCTCTAATTAACTTAATGGCTGCGCTGGACCCAACGAGCGAGACACGGGCGATGTCGCTGGTCCCCATCCAGCCTAGGAGCCAAGAGCGGGCTTGCTTTAGAGGTGGATAAGCTCAGCTGGGCAGGGCTGGGAATGTACTCCGCACATGGCAAATGGGTGCAGACGGCAAAATAAAATAAAAAATGCGTGCCTCTGGCTCCGTATGGCATGTTCCCGCCAAATCGTCAGTTTAGGCTTGGGGTGGCCAGGGAGACCCAATTGATGTCGAGGGGGCGCGATAGCGGTGCATGTACATGAACTGCACGCATGGGCTGAGCAAGGTTTTTGGTACGCGCGCGTGGTGGGTGGTAATGATGGCGGGCGGCGGTGGCGGCAGCGGTGGTGGTTGTGGTGGTGCCGACTGTTATCGGATCATATCATGGCAGCTGAGTGAGTTGGACAATGATGGGGAAAATCACTCAGTACTAGCGACACTGATGGGATTTCCGGTCCAGGTCCATCAGTTGCGCATTGCTTGGGATTCCCTTACATACGCAGGTTTCGCTGCCCTGGCCCGATGTTTCAACTCCGGGCAGCTTCCATGTCGATGGGTGCCAGAACTATGTAAGCCGCATGTCGCCGACTGAATGTTCCCTGCAACGGCACGGCGCAGCCAGGACAAGAGGGAGGTGACGACGAACGCAATTCGGCATCTGGCCGGCTGCAAATCCTTGGTCCTGTCCCTCGGGTGCCAGTGCTGAATCGAATGATCTGTTCCAAGGCGTGGAGACATTTGGCTTCATGTGCATCAGATCTTCCGCAGTGACACCGTGGTCCTGGCCAACGAGATAGGCCGGGCTCCCCCGCGAAGTAGACATGTTCGAGGGGTTTGCTGGAGATGGCCCAGGGCGGCCCGCACCCCGGCCTTTGATGAATCACCAGCACCAATGCCAATGGAGATATCCCTCACCTGGGCCTTTTGGTGTGAGTGACCGTCACTGACCCCGGCCGCGTTGCTCCATGTCGGATCACATCTCCTCTCGTGGGACCTTGGTTGCAGCATTGCGTCACCGGCCTCATTATCCCTGACATTAAGGTTGTCCATGATGTCTTCCGGCTGACGGTAGCTTCCTCGGGCCCGAGTGATATATGCAAGACGATGGGCGAAACAAGAAGCGAGGCATCGCAGCTATCATCGTTGGAGCGTTGGAATTATCGAAACCTTGCTCCAGGCGGCGGGCACGTAGTAGATTCGTCGGGGGGCTCCAGACCTGGTTCTAAGGTTCTAGCTGGCTCCTTGCTAATTTGCGTGCTAACCAACCCCCACCCGCATCTGGATCTAGGGAGCGAGGGAGAGATAGATTGAACCAGAGTGCCGTTGCGGTAGCGCAGCGCAACAAAGGGCGGTGCTTGGCATGGCACCTTTTGGGACGATTCTTTCACTCGATGTCACGCCTCGCCCTTATTCACCCTTACTCACCCTTACTCACCTCACGCTCGCGGTTAGCCTGGCCGACAAAAGAGCCACAGGCCCAGCCAGACCGTGAACTCGCCGGCATGGAGCCAACCCGACTAGAACATAGACGCACGGTCAGCGGGGATGTTTGGACCTGGGGACCTTTTTTCCCTTCTCCCTCCCGGATCGTCGGGGGCCTACGTGTAGCAGTTACATGGATGGCCACGTAAGGAGGTAGGCGGCTTCTTGAGTGAGGGCCAGGCCGGGGCGACGAGAGAACAAGGGAGGGGAATGGGGTCAAGGGCATTGTTCGTTACTGCGATTGCCATTCCGGTCAATCAATCCCACGTAGCAGGTTGTAGTCGGAAACACGGCGGACCAAAAGCGGCTACAAAGAATTTAGGAGTAAGCGTCTGCCCAGGTGCCGCTGGCGCTGGCGCTGGCGCATGACATCACAGCGGATGGTGCGCTGGTGGTGCGCTGATTGGATCCCGGCCGCTCCAGGGATCTCGGGCCAGTCACCTCCCGGCCTGGGACCCCCGCGCCAGAGCCGGCGAGAGTGCGCCAGCGACAGGCCTCTTTCTCAGCTTGGGCACACAGGAGCGCCACGGCCCACTGCTGTCGACGCCGGCAGGGCTGACTCCTTTGGCTGTTTGGCTGGGAATGCCATTAGTTGGGGGCTTCTCCAGGCGGAACCGTGGACGTCCAGTAACATGGCATGTCGGCTCCCCCGCCGGGCCAGCCCTTGAAGTTTCGGAGGTTTATTGCAGGAATGGAGAGAAGAAGCGCGCGGTACGTACCCGGGTTGTAAACGTAAAGTAAGTTAAAGTAAGGTACGGAGCAAAAGTCAGGCCGAAACAGAGATCAGCCAGTGCCACGGGAACAATGGCCGGAGTCGTCCACGGGTCTGTTGCAGAAGTGCCCTGAGGTAACGCACAGGCAGGCCAAGCCAGGCCAAGCCAGGCCAAGCCAGGCCAATCCATCACGACCGGCTGAAACTGGATAGCACGGCAGTCGTCTGGGCGAGCGTGGTGATGAGGGCCAAGCCGGCAGCCAAGCGTCGACAACCCATGGCACTCTTTGCGTAAGGACGTCAGGACGTCAGTACCTCTTGTCCTTGTTTAGCGGCGTGAGTGCTGAACGCACGCCGCTAGCGCGCTCGAGCTAGGCCTTCACCTCACCTACCGGACCCTAGCGGTGATCCACCTGCAGGCGACTACCCACTGGAACCCACCCACGCTGCGCGCCTCCCCCCATGCAACGTTGGACTGACTGGGCTGCCCGCCTGGCGGCTCCGGCCCTGCTGAGTGCTCCAGGTTCCTTCTTGTTGACGCCAACACCCACCACCGCGGCTGGGATTCTTTCTTCCTCTTCTCCTCCATCCCAGCTTCGGCGATAGCCTTCAACTCATCGTTAATCCCCCAGACTCGCGCTGTGCTAGTTTGTTTGGGCCTTGACCACGCTGGCCGGCTCCTGACCTCGAGCCCTGGACCCTCCGCTGTGCTGTCGCGCCGTCAGCACCGTCTCACTTTCCGCCGCCCTCTGCCTCAGTTTTACGACCCCGTTTTGTCCCATTTTGTCTTGGGACTCTGGGTCCTCCTGTCAGCTTCGCGCCGCGTCCGACGGGGCAGACCCAGACCCTCCCTCCCTCGCCCAAGCCAGCGCAAACACGCCACGAGCCACGACATTTAAGAGTCGCCGTCTCCCTCGCCCGCGCTTGTCTCCTCCGCCATGTTGGAGCCCCAGGGTATGAGAGGGCCATTGGACCAGACCAACGCCTACGGCCACTCTCGCTCTCGAACAACATCCTCCAACGTCTTCCCGATGCAACTACAGCATCCCCCAATGCCCACCCACCTCGCCCAGCCGGGGCATAACCCCCAGCACTCCCGGCGCTCTCCCTCCGTCAACACCTTCAGCACCGCATCGAGCATCCCGCCGCCTGCCGCCTACCGCACCAACTCGAACACCGAACTCCGGCGATCCATCTCCAGCCGCTCCGGTGGCAGCCCCCAGCCTTCTGGCTATGTCGCCCTCCTACGCAAGCAAAAGGCAACGGTATGGTGCGATCGAGCCCAGTATGAGGACCCACGGATAGCCGCCCAACAGCGGGCTGCAAAGATGCGCGCCACTCTCGAGGTTACCGGCGGTGCTCGCCCCGGCGCTGGTGGTGCTCCAGGTCGTACTAGCACTGGACTCGGCACCACTGGCAAGGTCTCTGCCAAAATCCCCAAGATTCGACACCACGCAAAGACGACGCCTGATGCCGGCTACGCCATGGGCGAGAACCACGTCGGCGTTGGAGGAGTGCCCATGCGCCTGAGCGCTACCGAAGTCGAGGGCGAAAGTAGCGAGGACGAGGACATGCCTACCATGGGTCGCCCACAACATCGCAGGACCGGCAGCAGCGGACGAAGCAGCACCGCTAGTGGCCGCCGGGGGCTCGCCTACAGGACTTCAGGTGGCATGGGGAGCCAGAGCAGCCGGCGGTGGAGCCCTGGCGATACCCCTGAGCGGACTGGCAGTATGGTGGATGCCATGCCCGAGGATATTGTCGATGACGCAGCTAGCGGCAAGGCACAAAGTACGAGAAGCGGCAGCAGCGCTGAACGCGCTGACAATGTCGGAGAGCTCGGAACTGCCCCCAGACTCGCCGCCAACTCTCTCATGCACTCGGCGCTTACGAGAGAAAAGAGCGTCAAAACCGCAGAAGAGCTTAAGAGGCGCGGAAGCGTCGACGAGCGAACATCCACCCTTACCTCTGGCCGCCTTTTCATTGCCAACCCCGATTAAGGGGATGATACCCAAACTCACATACCCACAACACGAAGACTCGGAGAAACGCAGTTTTAGTTGCGGTTCATTCGTTCAATTTCTCTCTGGACCTTCGATAAGGCCCTTTGCATCGGTCGGCGTTAGCATTGGCTTGCTTTTTTTGCTTCCTCTAAAAAATCTACCGTCGTTTTTCCTGGGTCCTGATACCCCGATGATTTATTTTGAATCCTCTCGCTACTGTGTACCTAATAGTTATATGGAGGGGCTATGTGTGTAGTTGGAACAGGGTCCCCAAGCGTTGACGGAAAGGCTTGATGTTCCAAAGATACCTATACAGCAGGAGTCAAAACAACCGCATGGTTAATGAGAATACATTCGCTTGACATTCAAGTAACAACCAAACGACTCAATGGTGTGAAATTCCGAAGAGGCCTCTCACCTCGTGCGTGGGGCAGCTGAAGTGAAGAGATCGTCGGCTCCCTCTCGTATCCACAGAGTCCCGAGTTCCCTCTCCGCAACACTGATCGTCGCAGTGACGTTGCGGGCGCCTAGTCGTACCATGTGGCCCAGCTGAGGAAAAAGATCCAGTCGTTTCCGTTCCCGGACAGGCTTTGTTGTCCATCTCTAGCCCGTAAAACGTCATCTGCCGATCTCCATTTTGACCATCAGTACTCCGTAATGGCATCGCGGATCCCCCATGGCGCCAAGATGTTTGGTTTGGTTTAGCCGCAAGCGCGTAGCCGAGGGGAGGGGTGCCTGGATTGGATCGCTGAGCCACAGTCCCCCGCCGGCAATTAGCCGTAAAGTGTGGCGTGTGTCGTGTCAGGCAGTAACGCGTAAATCGCCTGCCCCTGTGGCGCCAGATTAACGCGACCGCGTCTTCCTGACCTCCGAGGTCAATGCTTCCTTTCAACATCCTGCTCTGACATGTCACCCGAGGTCTCGTGAAGGTGTGAGACCGTCAATTGTTCTGCAAAGGGCTTGCCTGAGACCCTTGTTTGAACCTATTGTTCTTAATTTAATCCTTACGTTGCCTATTCTTTGTTCTACACACTGCCCTGATACCGACCTCCACCTAACCGCCGACCGTGAGATCGCCTTCACATCCACCAGAACTGCCTTCCAGATCGCATTATCGAGAGCTCGCAAGCTCATGCCGATCCAGATGCCGCTGATCGAAATGTCCCCCAACATCCAGGAGTCGGAAGCTATGGGCCGGAAGCGAAGCCACGAGGAGTTCACCGACGACGTTGTCAAGGTGGAGGGTGTCGAAGATACCAAAGCATCCGTGAAGGGAAAAGCACAGGTCACCATTGACTCCTGTGAGCCTCTTCTTGCCCTTGACAATGGAAAATTGCTGACTTGATAGTTTTGCCTCGCATTACCGAAGCTGGCGACCAGCCCTCCCCCCAAGGATCGCCCGACCTGACGGAAGCCGGGAGCAGCACTCCTGCCCGAGAGTCACCATCTCCCCAGACCCCAACAACGAATTCTGCAGCACTGTCTTCTGCTGTGTCCCTTCTGAAATCGAACGTCATCGCGTGCTCCAGCACTCAATCAAAATCGACAGCCAACCCCCCTGCGAAGCGAAAGCGCCTCACTGCTGCGGAAAAGTCAGCACGCGACAAGGAGCAAGCCGAACAGAAGAAGGAGCGTGAAGAGGCAAAAGCCGCAGAGAAGGAGGCAAAGGCCGCAGAGAAGGCTGCCAAGGCAGCAGAAAAGGCTAAGGCGGAGGAGGAGAAGGCTGCTAGAACGAAGGAGAAGGCCGCCGAGAAAGCCAAAGCAGACGAGGAGAAAGCAGCCAAGGCCAAAGAGCGCGATGATAAGAAACGCAAGAAGGAAGAAGAGCAGAAAAGACTGCAGGATGAGAAGGACAAGAAAGCTCGGAGCCAGCGTACACTGGGCAACTTCTTCAAACTCCCCAGTACTCCAAAGAAGCTGGACAGTACTTCCAGTCAGGATGACTCCAAGAACGACGCCAGCCCCGTTAAATCAGCCCGCAAAGCGTCCCAGACTGAGTATGAGAAGCTGTTCAAGCCTTTTTTCGTCAAGACACACACCAAGGTGGCTCCATTGGGTCCGCAAATGGATGACGAGACGCGGGAGGCCAAGTCGAAAATTTTGGATGAATGCATTAGTGGTCAACGGAGTGCGCAGGTTACTAGCATTTCTTTCGACGCCGTAACCCTGTTTGCGTTGCCTGGCAAGCCCCCGAGACGAGGCAAGCTTCATCATCCAGTTAGGCACATCATGGAGCAGGTTTACAAGGAGACAGAGAAGTCGGACAATTCGGATCCCGATCACGCCAACAAGATTATGAAGGAGGCCCGCCAGAAGCTTGTTAAAGTTCCCATGAAGGTCATTGCATTCTCTCAGGATGTCCGGCCACCATACTACGGTACAATGACTTTCAAACCATTCGCTCTTGGGCAGGGAAATATGAGCCAGTTGGCCCGTAAGCCCACAGGTCGACGCTTGCCACTCGACTACGATTATGATTCGGAGGCTGAGTGGCAGGAGGAAGAAGGCGAGGATCTGGATATGGACGATGATGAAGAGGAGCTGGACGACGAGGACGACATGGAGGAATTCTTGGACGACTCGGAAGATGCCGGTTTATCTCGACGCATTTTCGCCAACGCATTGGAGCCAGAGAGTACAGGCATATGTTTTGAAAATGGGGAAAGTGTAGCCCTGAACCAAACTGTCTACGACCACAGGATGGAGTTTATGCATGGTGAGTACATCATAAACCACGGACAAGAATAACCACTGACTCGTTATTTAGATGGACTTGAACAAAGTTGGGGCATTGATCCGTTCTCGACCGAATACTGGGAACCTGAGCCAAAGACTAAGACGGCGAAAGTTGGCAAGTCCGGGGAGTCGACGACCAAGATGCCACCTCCTTCTGCACCAACCAATGCATTCGCAGCTTTGGCTGGCGGAACTGCGGCAGCTGATGCACCAAAGCTGGTGAAGAATGAGCTCATGGATGACGTGAAGAGAGCTATCCTCCGTAACTCGGAACTATCCAAGGTCGGGATCGAGGATGTCATCTTTCAGCAGTTCCGAACCAACGCCTCGAGAACCGAGGTGAAGAACACGCTGGTGCACGTAGCGGAGAGGCAAGGAAAAGGTCGACAGAAGACATGGGTGCTGAAGCCTGGGCACGGGATTACTTCATCTTGATGAAGCAACGATATGGGACGGACGGAATGGAACCACTAGGGATTAACTGCTGTTTAGCGCCGGAGTGTCGGGGTCTTGATTTGAACGGGTTGTTTTATTAACGGAACTGAATGGAACTGGGAGGGACGCAAGGGAATGCTTGCGGACATGTACATCTAGATTGCTGTCGACAGATGTCATGGGTATCTTGGCACGCAATAGATATAAATACAACTCGGGGCCGTACTGCAATAGAGTATAGGCAGGCCAAGACATTGCAATTTGTTATCATGATGAATGCGATGACTGCCATGACGTGTCTCTGATTTGATCTTCGCATCTGGCCTGGGATTGACTACCCAATCCAATGCGCTAAATGGCATGTGCATATCCGTTGCAGTTTCTGAGTGGAGTGCCATGTCATCGGTGCTGGGTCTAACTCGGCCGGGATGGACGGAGCGGGCCCAATTTTGATGCCGGGAACGCGCCCCCTGACGCCTCGACGCTTGCCAACCCCATTCTCGAGCATTGCGTCGTCATTCCGACAAAACCAAAACAATTCAGCGCGAACCTCGACGGAAAAACCTGCCACATTGCACGACATTCACGGCGTCGAGCCATTGCCAATCGTACGCCTTCCTCGGCTTCCGACTGTGCGTACCTGTTGCGTCAGCCCTTACGCAGTCCCGTCCTGCATTCCGCGCCACCAGCTTCCGTGATACCTCACCCAGCCCGCCGAACCCACCCGCAATGATAATTCGACTGCGATAACTTCACCCTCGCGCGCTCTGTTCCTGCTCTTCCCGCGTCCCTGGCTGCGCGACATGTGCGCTCGCCTAGCATGGACGATCCCTGGGGCTCCCCTTGGACCGCGGCCGACCACGCACCCCCGAAGATAGACTTCCCAGCGCCGCCGCCCAGCGCGCACTTCTCGGCCTCGGCCGAACACAGCCCGCAGCGCGTCTCGCCGGCCCGCACGCCGTGGGACGACGACGATGCCTGGGGCGGCTGGAACGAAACCGCCAGGGACAAGGACAGCCCGCGGTGGGGGAGGAGTCCGGGGCTGCGGCCCCAGGATGCTGGCGGCAGCGGCAGCGGCCCGGCGTCGAGACTGCCGTCGCCTTCGCCCGATGCCTGGGGGCAGTTGGCCATGCTGGAGACGGCTCGGATGAGGAAGGACGAGAAGAATGGCGACTCGGCCATCAGTCTTGTTGAGGGGGTGCGTCGAGAGGTGTCGCGTGACAGATATCTGGCCCCGAAATCGATCTTCAACGACCCCAAGGAGAGTGTGGAGGATATGGCGCCAAAGCCTCGCCCAAAGGCTTCCATTGAGAGCTTCAATGCGCCCGCCACCGAGGAAGAACCGCGTCCGAGTTCACCAGACCTTCCGCCTGGGCCGGCAATTCGAATCGATACCCAGGCAAAGACCTCACGGCAACCGTCCTTGAAGGTTCAAAGTCTCGTGGAGATGTACGATGGGATAGCGAAGCGAAGTCACAGCGCATCTCCCATCGATCCTTCTTTGAGGAAGACACCAAGCACTGCCTCGCTGGTCGAGGGGCTAGTGGTGGAGCCCACAGAACGGGAACCCGAGTCACTCGATCTTGGGCCGGTTGTGGACCCGCCGAAGGCTTTCGAACAAGAATTGGACGTGAAGGAGACACTGCCGTCAGTCCCTGTGGACGATCTACCGCCTTTTAAAGAACCCCTAGTTACGGAGGATAGGCTGCATGTGGAAGACACCGCACCTGTGGACGTGCCACTGGCTGTGGAAGAGCCAGAAGAGTTACTGCCTGTGGTCGAGCTGGCTCAACCCAAATCAGCGTTGGAGGTCGCAACGAGCTCTCAAGAGCTAAAGAGCGAGAGAGAACATAAGGAGGCTCAAAGCGAACTTGGTCTCCCTGAAACAACACTTGATGAGATGCCCCAACGACCAACACACACACGGCTGAAACCACCAAGCACACCTTACGCAATCGACATGACCAAATTAGACGACCTCTTCTCATTCGTGGACACGTCATTCCCCCCGCCAGAACCCGTGCCGGACGTCATCATTGACGACACCTTTGCCTCAATTGAGGAGCGCAAGACCTGGTACCGCATTTCCCGCCCTGGCTCGCTCCGGAAACACAATCTGGGTGACGACGAGAACTACGTGCGCATCAATTGGGGCACATCAACGCTGCGGGGCGAGGGCATTGTGATTGTGCGACGGTGGATGGAAGAAGACTCGATTGCTGGACGGGTTGTGCTTGGTCGTCGAATGGGGAGCGCTACGTCTGGCAAGATCTTCAACTGGGACTCGTCTGCACCACCCGCGGAATTCTCAATTTCGGAGTTGTTCAGTCGGAAGAGCCATTCTAGGCATACGTCAACCAATTCAAAGGCCACCATCGCCTCGCCCACGACGCCTGCGTTCGGGTGGAGCAACGGCCCAGTAGCACCGCTGACGGTTGCCATTCCTGCTCCCGAGTCGCATGTGTCTCCAAACACTGAACAAAGCCCGACGGTGAAGACTTCTCCGTCACCGGTGGTACCAGTGATACAGCCTATCGCTAAGCCAAACTCAACTATCCAACCCATCCCGTCACCAACATCAGCTCTAGCACAGCCTCCTACCACGGCCAAGTCAGCTGGCAGCAGTCAAACTGGGGACGGGAAGAGTAGCGATGAAGATGACGAGGATGATGACTGGGGTGAGATGGTGTCTTCGCCAACAGCGGATTCGAACGGGGGTTTTCCTTCTCTCGCGGCGATTGCGGAGACTAGGAGTGAGACAAACGGGGTTAATCTTTCCAGACCTTCAAGTATTGTTCGGCCATCGGGCGAGTTTATTGGCTCCAGGTTGAAGCAGACAATGTCGGCAGCAGATTGGACTGATGTTCCTCGTTCATCGTTTGATGCTCCGCCTTCCCAAGGGCTAATCCCCCACAGCCAGTCCAAGTCGTCAACCACGAGTTGGACCGACACGAACCGCTTTTCCATCGATATTCCGGCTTCCCAAGGATTCCTCCCTGCCAGCCATTCCAAGTCATCTAGAACGAGTTGGACCGGCCTGGCACGATCCTCCCTAGACGGAGCCCCGTCTGAGGAGTTTATTCCCAATAAAGTAAGGCCACCACCACTCAAGGACCAAAGCAGGCCAAGTTCATGGGCCTTTGGGAATGTGGATTTCCGCGATGGTGCCCCCAACCCAGTCCGGCCGATCAAGGACCTCCCTCTCTCTACACGAAAAGCTCTGACACTGTTATCCAAACCTTCAGACGCCCCGGAACTCGAATTTCCTGCAGAGCATGCCTCTCCTGTCACCACCTCCCGCGGTTCACCGCAGCCCCAGACGCCATCAATAGATAACTCCGAAGACGACGAAACCGTCGCGAACATTCTCCGAGATCTCCCAGATCTATCATACATGTTACGATAATACGAAGCTGCGTTTTTGACGACACGGGGCCACGAGAAGGGCCAAGCCAGGGGCGTTGGAAGCATGGTCGAACACGAGCACACACGACCGGTGATGAAAGTTGGATATGCGGTTTCTTGCATAGCTATCGATGAGGGATTGGAGATGATGTACATTTAACCATTAGTGGCGTTTTCCTTTGGTGTTTGTGTAACGCGAAGCGTTTGTAGTACCACAAGAGAAACTTGGGTGTCCCAAGCAAAAGTTAACCTGCTGATCGAGGACTCTTTGCTGAGCCAAGATGATATCATGTTTGCTGTTTAAGATGCTCGCGACACTGCCCATTTAGTTTAAACCCGATAGGGACCAGTTTGGTGAGGCTTCAATCGCAAATTCGAAGCCATTGAGTCATTGAACTACCCGATACTCCAACGTGTGCATTGGACCGACGGTATGTTGTTGGGTGCGCAGGTTCAGGGTAGCGCGATACGCGCAACAGCATGATGGCGGCAGGAGGCCCAACATGCAGTCTTTCACACTCTCCGAGAAAGGAACATCGGCGCTAGGCCTTTCCGGAGAATGGTTGTATGGTTGGACAATATGCCGTGATGGGAGTATTAATATTGATAATTATTAAGAGTGTTTAAATCTGTATCGCAAAGGACGGATATGTATGGAGTTTGAAATTTGGAAGAAGGAAGATTCAGAAACAAACATTGGACGAACAGGAGCCAGGGAAGACCTTTTTTTCCTTTTTGCTCTACTGAATATCAGTGGCTCAAAGCCATACAGTATTTTCAAACATTAGAGATAAATAGTAAGTGCTACACCCCGCACCAGAAGAGATGATAACTGAACAACAAGGTTGCTGCATACTGGTCTTTACCTTAAGTTTTAATTCAACCCTTCTGACTTTATCCCTGGTATCTGCAGTCAACTACCATACTGTCTGTAGGTAACTAATCTAACTAATCTAACTTCTGCCTGCTCCCTCAAGGTGAGCAAGTTGCCAGCGTACGGTCCCCAAAAAATTTGGGTTTTCCACAATTCAAGTATTCCCTACCCAATGCTTCCACGATGACTATATATCAAGCTTTTCAGCTTGGAAAGTTAAATCTGTATCAATATATAAGTAGTTGGCCTAAGAAGCCGAGCCCTCACTCTTTCGCTCCCTCATGCATCACCTTTCCTATCAAGAAGTAACGATGCCTTTTTCCGTGAACCGTGGTCGGTTCGGCTGACCCAGCAAACCCTGCAGCCATTGCATACGCAACCAGAAACCACAACAAATCAACTTCATCTCCTCAAGCTCAATAGGAACATCCTATCATTACTGGAACAAAGCTGACGCCAAATTGACCTATCTTAGCAACCTGGACCGGTCAACCTAGTGCTGCTGGGTTGCCTGGCCGTCTCTATTACAGCCTACGACCAGAACCTCAAGACCTTCTGCCGCAAACGAATATCAGGCACGAAGCCCTTCGAAATGCGGTCACAAGCAACACGACCAATAAAAAACGGAAGAAGCAACCAACTATAGCACTAGCATTTAACCAGTCAAAATGCCGTTCCGCCTTACGATACAGACCGGCAAGGTCTGCCTGAATAACCGCTATATCAACAGCTTCCGCTTTGACCTGCAGAATATGATCCAGGCTGACCCAACCCTACTTCCAACGCTGCAAATTGGAACTTGAAAGTCCGGCTCAAAGATATCAAAGAAATCCACATTGACCGACCCAACGACATATATATAGCTCAGTTACTGATCTTTGGCTACTATACCATTCAAGAGCTAGCTGATCCAGACCTATACCAAGGATATAAAACCGTCCATCGACATGATATCAGATATCTGTATGACCCGAAAGACAACACGGATAGAGATGAATACAGGAGGAAGAGACCAGCTAGCTCTTGAATTGAATAGCAGCCAAAGATCAGTAACTGATCTAGATATATGTCGTTAGGCCGGTTGATTTGAATTTCTTCGATATCTCTATATCCGGACTTTCGAGCTCTAATATGCAGCTTTGGAATAAGGGTTGGGTCAGCCTGGATCAGATTATACAGGTCAAAGCAGAAGGTATTAATATAGGGATAATTATGAGTGATCTCGTCGGTCGGAACTATAAGGCGATATGCAGATATCTTATTTAATTGGAAGTTGGTGCGGTAGTTGGGCTGTGGTGTGTAAGGCTGGCCGGAATACAAGAGGTAACCAGTTAGACTAGAAACCTTAGTCTGTCGAAGTAAACCGTTGAATTTTGAGTGGACTGGGTATGAAGTCTGTATTATTGATTCTATTGTTGGTATTTCTGTCGAGCTCCCAGCCCCCCTCTGAGTATGTCTGTACTAGAGCCCCCTAACCTCTTGATATTTATTAAACCAACTTCAGACCAACGTTGACATATCAACCGCAACTAATCCACTGACTAGACGAATTTATCATGGTTAAGCGACCCGACGTTGACTGAGGACTCATTTTCGCTCACCGAATTCCCAAAACCTGGTTGTTTTTGTAGAAAAGGGTGCGTGTGGGCTCAATGAAATGTACCGGGTGCCCAACTTCTCACATAAAATTGAGCCAGGCTTGCATTGTGATTGCACCTTGTGTTTGGTAGTAAACTTGCTGAATTGTCACAACAGCGATGAGTCATACGTTGATTATCAGAGCCATCGCAAGTAGTTTACACCCACGGAATCTTCAATGTCAAGGCTCAGACTGGAACTACCATATCAATCGTTAATTATACCAAACATGCCTTGGTAATTAATCACACAAGGTATCACAATCCAGTACGTGCAATTACAGGGCAAGCGTTGGCAAACGTCGATTTATTGGAAAGTATATATACATGCTCCGTTAGGTGATACCGACCAGGTCTCATATACATTCCATAACTTGGGCGGATCTCATAAAGTTAGTAGTCTAAATAGAAATTAATCTAGTGCCGGAGCGGCTTGAAGAGAATACACAATATTAGTATGGGCGATCTAGAACTTGCGCGACTCCCACTCCGTAGCAGCCCCCAAGAAGGGACCGATTCCACGGAGGTCGTTCTGCACAAGGCCAATGCTTGAGTAGTACTGTTACATGTTAGTATTGTTGAGTAAACATATGTGATCCGTTTGAAACTTACTGTGAAGGTGGCGTTGCTTCCCAGGCTTCCAACTTCCACGGTGCCCTCCCAGTTGATCGTGCCATCATCGTTGGAGGAGACGAACTTGTCCACAAGGCTCTTGTAGGCCTTCTTGGCAGTGCTGGCATAGGTCTTCTTGTCAAGGATTCCCTGGTTCAGGCCCTGGAGGAAGCCAAAGGTGAACATGGCACTGGCACTGCTCTCGATGTAGTTGCCATCGACGTCCTCGTACTGCCTGTCCATAATGTTCCACCAGCCGCCAGTCTCGTCCTGGTGGTTCTTGAGGCCCTGAGCCTGGCCCTTGAAGTACTTGATGAACCTGGCACGGGCAGGGTGGCTCTTGGGGAAGAGGTTGATGACTTCCAGCAGCGCCATGAAGTACCAACCATCAGCGCGTGCCCACACCAGAGGGGCAGCTCCAGTGACGGGGTCGGCCCAGACAGCCACCTTGCTCTCGTCGTATCCGTGCACCAACAAGTTGTTGGACTTGCGAGTCCACTTGTCGATGTTGTCGAATTGCAGGGCAACATCAGCCCAAGCTGACTCGTTCTTCGGCTGGAAAAGCGAGACATACTTGGCGTAGAATGTATCTGCCATGAAGATTCCGTCCAGCCACATCTGATTGGGGTAGGTAGGGTCACGGTGCCAGAGCCCGCCGGTTGGTGTTCGGGGATGCGAATCTAGGAGAACCTTGATATCGTCTGCGGCAACCTTGAACTTCTCCTCTCCCGTCTCCTCGTACCACCAGAGCAAGTTGTTTCCAAGTCGGTAGTTATCAAGCGAGTGCTTGGAGTAGGTGTAGCTGGCAATGGAGCCATTTTCAGCCACCAGCCTGTCGACCTGGTCACGATAAAAGTTGTACACAGTCTTGTTGCCCGTGAGTTCGTAAACGTTCTCTAGGCCTGTGTAGAAGGTGGCCTGGCTGTAATGAAAGGATGGAGTAACACCGCGACGGATCTGAGAGTCGGTCAACCACCGCGCGTAGGACGCACTGCTCAAGGGGGTAGCAGATGCGCCGGCGGCTAGTAGGACGAGGGAAGACTTCATGATGACGGCTGTGGAAATCGGAATCAGGTTGAACAAGATGATTGAGTCCGAAGTGAAATCACAACGGAGCAGCTGCTGGAGGTTTAATACAAAATGTCACCCAGGCAGTTTATTTACCTACTTTTATTTAGGCTTTTCCGAGTTTCAGGGGAAATTCACGAGGGAACCATCAGCCCACCCTAAATGCAACGCTACCTCACGTATGAAAAACAACTCAATAGCACCCGGAGCTCAAATGGCAGGGCAAACAACGCGAGCTGCAGGACCTGCAGGACTACATCTAATTTGGCCTGAAACAAGGACATCCGCATGCCTCCGAGTTGTGGAAGAACACGGTCCGACTCTGGGATCAGGGGGAATGGCAGCTCTGTGGAGCTCGACCTCGGGGGGCGGGTGCAGGGATCCAGGAGTTGGACCAACGCATGCCGGAGGATTGCCAGTTCTGTGCGTTGACCCCAGTCGACTTTTCCTATGGAGTTATGTGTCCGATCTGGGTGACGTGGTGTTTTATTAGAGCTGTGGTTAATTTCTCGACTTCTCTGTTCAACGATGTTGGCCTTAAGTAGTGCTCGATGCGCGCAAATCACCAACCCCCCTTCAAAGTCGCCTCAGAGACGAGAAAGCAGTCTTCGGAAAAGCTACTCTTGGCCGGAGCTCAACCTAATTGATACCCTCAGGCCTAATACGGACACCTACTACACGAGCAGAGCTAAATGCGAGCAGGTGGCGTGTCAAAAAACACAGCAAAGCTAACCGCAATGAAAGAACTAACGCCAAGTCGCTTCGGAATAATTTAGGCTGTTCAAGCTTCTGACATCATTTCTCCGCAAATTAGCGGCCTAGATACAAGCATACTTATAGAGTTGAGTTTATACTTTCACTACCGTGAAGTGTGTGCATTCCAGAACATGAATGCGCTCAACAGCAGTGCTCTACCGTCAATCATTTTTATACCATTACCCAACCCAGATCGGCGTTGCTACGTTATTTTACACTGGATGCTACCACGTAGCACTCAAGAAAGAGGGTGACTAGGGTGGCTAGGTAGAGCCTCAAATTAATAGTTCATCCGATCTCTCCCCAGCCATGACGCAAGTCTCGCCATGGTGACATTGGACTGCCCTGTCACGTCTCTTCTCTTGCAAAGAGCCAAACAATCGCGTGGGAGAAGCGTGGGAGTCGCACGGCAAAATACCATTCATTGGTGGAACAACTCCAGGATTGAGGGATGGTTCAAGGCTAAACACTAAACACTAAACACTGGCACATTGTACAAGGGGTACGATCTGCAGATTTCGGCAACTGTAAAATTGGGTTGACAAGGTATGTTGCTCGACTACTGCGCAGTACGTACGACGCCGCGCGGTGAGGGCTTTTTATGGATCGCTCACCTTCCTAATGAGTCTGTCTAATTGGACGACGTGGCTGAAATGAGGTGGCATTGATGCTGCCTCGGAAAAGGCCCTCTCTCCGCTCCGCCTCTTCCGAAGCTCAGTCGGCCGAATAATTATCCTATGATCCTAGGCCTTAATACATGATCGCGTAAAAAATACGAATACTTTTTTTTATCGCCCTTCACCGACTAGAATCATGCGATTGATGGTCAATACGGAGAGGTAGGTCTACCATTAGGTAGGTTCTCGATACGGAGTTTTATAAGTTAAGATGTATTGTGAATGTTGATGGCATTGAGATAAAATGTCCACGTACCTTGCCAGGATTCGTTCTATGCTCGCCCGCAAGGTTACATGCCGTGCTAAGTAGGTGTTTGCCGCGCCCAAGTACTGGCCTGGCATTCACGTCAATGGTAGGGTTCGATGTGCAGGTATCATTTTTTGCAGTACCATTTTCTGCAGTACCATCATTGCGCGGATAAATGGGCTGCTTATCCGATAGTATTATTTGGAATCAAACCACCATTCTCCCTTTTTCACCATAGGCGGAGATGAATTGGAGCTAAAATTCTAAAATGCTTAGATATGTCTTTCCCGACGCCATTAATATCACACTCCTTACAGTCAGAATTTCTTTTCTACATGCGAGTTTCCACATTAACTAATTCCTGGTGGGATTGATTTTCTGCCTCGTCATATTCATCTTAAAGTGCGTCGTCCTCATCAAAGCTCAGTAGCTGGAGTTCCCAGGTCACAGATGTGGTGAATAATGGATCATGATGTAAGATTGAGATAGTATAATAACGTGGTCAAAAAGCATCACTTCAGCCTAGTGCCGAGAATGGAGCAAGCCGAACCACTAACGGCTTTGGGAACTCATTATTGCTGTGTCTCCAAACGTATTTATGGTTGAAATAAATATCCAGGAAGGTCTATTGGATCCTGAGAATGTACACGAGGTCGCCGCGCAATTCATATCCGTATATCTCGAGATCTAGCGGGTATTCAACCCTAAACCACTATATATCCAGCGTGAACTTTGAGGGCACTGAGCACCACTAATGCTAACTCTGAATTTATGGTCCTAAGGCGACTCAACATACGTTCGTTTGTACAGATGTGATACTGGATAACAATTTCGCAGGGCAAATTCCGAATGGAGGTCATATCGGGCTGAGACACCGTCCTACTGCGCTACCACACTGCAAGAGTGTAAGTCTTTGGGGGGGGGGGGGGGCTTCGGATCCTCTATCGTCATTTAGGACTTCAATTCCGGGTTCCTGCAGGTCCGAATACACTCGAGTCTATTGCAGATGGGTCAGTTACTCGGGAACATCCCGACAATTTAGCCCATCCCCATTTCTAGCCTCGAGATGCATTCCGTTCTGGGCGAAGATCACAACGAGTAAAGAGCAACAGATCTATTAGGTATATATACTCAAACCGTATGAAACATGCACAAAGTTGCGTTGATTAAGAATCAAGATCCTCATTCAGCGCACTCAGCCTCGACCTCAAGATTCTGACTATCTTTGAATGCTCACTTCTGAGCCACGCTCCCAGATACGAGCACAAACCAGCCACACCACTAGCACACGATTCGCCAGAGTCCTGCGAGGCGAAGAGGTCAATCAAGGTTGCTGCCTTCTTGAGCTCACTCAAGACCAGCTGGTTTCTGAAGGCGGCCTGCAAACTCTGGTCCTCGATACTGAATGTCCCTACCGAAAGAGGCACGTCTGTGACAGCAAAGCCGGTGGATTGAGGAAACGTCGGCTGACTCGTCGCACTTGTCCCAGCTGCTGTCCCGGGTGAGGACGAGGATGACCTGTGAGAGGTTGATGAACCGGCCAATGCTGAAGTCCCAGGACCACAAGAATTGTTTTCAGTCCACCCCGACGCCTGCTGGTACCATATTAATATGCGGGAAATAATGGAAGCATGAACCATGGCCCGATGCCCGGACTTGGCGCAGGGGCATTTTAGAACCCGGCTAAGGCGGCTGATGGCAGTTTTAGTGAAATGAAGCACGTGGTCGAATTGCGTTGAGACCGTAACCGAGTTTGCTACTGGTGCGTGGAGAGTAGGACTGGGACAGATCAAGTCCGCCAGGATCTCGTATGACTCCCGAGGGCAGCTGTGGGACTCGTGGCTATTGGACCTCGCCCTAGTAGTGCCGACAGGTTCTAATGCGGAAGCCGAGAGACGAATGTCTGGAGCGGAAGCTTGTGGCATGCAGGGAATATCTAGACCTGCACCCAATATGTCGAGTTGAGGCCACTCATCAAAGGACATGGGCATAAACAGAGCCGGGCCCAGCTGTTTCTGCTCATCGATGTTCAACGTAGGACTGATCCCGGAAGGCATTGGCAGTATATCGGTTACCATGTCCGAGAAATTGAGGTGCTCGGGTTCGTTGATACTTTGAGACTGCCCGAACCCAATAGTGGGAGGGTTATCGCAAATCCCAGGAGTCCATATCGCCCGCTTCTTCTGTGATAAGCCAGTACTCTCGTCGAGTTTGGCACCAGGGCGCTTCCGCGGTGGTTTACCAAATTGGCGAGATCGTCCATAGACGCAAGTCAGGTTAAGTGCAACACAACGAGCGCATTCGGGCTGACCGCGATCACATTTGACCTTTGCAGTCCCGCAACCATTGCAGGAGGATCGGAGCTTCGGGACTTCGGGACCCGGAAGTGGGGCCGTAGTGGGTGTCGGAGACGTAGGCATCGCTCCAACTGCCTGCGTGCAAGAGAAGTGAAAATTGCTGATGGGGGGTATCCGACGCTGAGACTGTGTACGGGATATCTTTGCTAGCCGTTCTGGTTGGCCGAAATATTCAAGGGTGTCGCGGGAATCACTCACAAGCAACGTGCAGCAGTCCCATAGCACTGGAAAGGGTTGACAGTTCAGGAGGTGGTGCTGACCATCGCGAAGAGTGGTGGCCAACAGGTCACGTGCAACCTTCTTTCGCCATCAGTTGAGACGACACACTGGTGGTAACAAACCCCTGAATTCCATCATTTGGTTAGTCTAAAAGACTTGGGAAACGGCGGCTTATCGAAAGTCCTTGGTAACGGGTATCTTAGTCCTCGCCGCCCAAATTGTACCTATTCCCCTGTCCGCGGCGGAGCCACCTGGAACTTCGGGGCCCGAAAGTCGATCCGTATTGGCTGAACGGCAGGCGACCTACCCTGTATAGGCAGACCCTCATTAGCATCGCTTGGCTCGATGGATCAAGGGTCACATATGAGTATATAATGGCATGAGAATAACGGTGATTGATTTTAGAGACAAATTCATTAAAAGTATCTACATCTTAACGAAAGAAAGCCTTACACGAACGACAATGGTCAAAATCGCAGTTGCTGGTGGCTCGGGTGGTATGACACTCAAAATCCGGGACCCCGTAAACTCCCATGCTGACCGTTCTTTACAGAAGTTGCCCATGAAATAATCGATGCTTTATTAGCTGCGAAGAAGCACGATATCACTATCCTGTGTAGGATTGTGAGGACGCAACCCGAGACTGTGACATCCGTAAGCACGATACTAATGGAGCATAGAAACCTTCCACAGGGGACAGTATGCCTGGTGTCACCTGGCGTGCTGTAAACTATGACGACAAGAGCGATCTAGTCGATGCCTTGCAGGGAATTCACACCGTCTTATCTTTCATCCAGGTCATGAAGGATCATGGGAACAAGTCCCAGAAGAACCTGATCGACGCCGCCATCACTGCTGGAGTTACCCGGTTTGCACCGAGCGAATGGGGAAGGTGAGTTCACGTTGGTGTAGAGTGCAAGGGTACTTTCTAATCAACTCAAAGTGGTGGAACTGCGGGAATGCCTTGGTGGACAGGGAAGGGGGAGATCAGAGAGTATCTCAAGAAGGTGAACGAGAATGGAAAGGTCAGGGCTTCATCTCATATTCATCGATGTTGGACTTATTCTGACCCGCTCCTCAGGTCCTCGGATATACTCTGTTCCAGCCAGGCCTGTTCTTGGACTATTTGGCATCTCCATACAAGACGGCCAAATACGTCACCCCGCTGAACACGATGATTGACTTCCAGAACCGGCGTGCAATTGTAGTTGACGGTCACGACAGCATCATGAGTTTCACTACTGTCCACGATCTTGCTGCAGTTGTTGCCAGAGCAGTCGAATACGAGGGCGAGTGGCCCGTGACTGGTGGGATTTGCGGCAATAAAGTCACCGTCTCACAGATTCTCGAGATTGGCGAGAAAGTTCGAGGTATGACTGAGCCCACTCATGACAGAAAATAGATCTGCTAACACGAGAGCATAGGTCGCCCGTTTGCCATCGAGAATGTCAAACTCGAGGATCTCGAAGCTGGGAATCTCAAGTCATCATGGACCTTGGAAACTCACCACCCAAGCGTCAGCAAGGAACAAGCCGAAAACCTGGTGAAGACTGTTCTCATAGGTACTCTACTGAGCAGTGCAAAGGGTGCATGGAATATCTCAGACGAGTTCAACCAGCTCCTTCCCGACTATCAGTTCACTCAGATAGAGGAGTTCCTCGCTGAAATTTGGGCGGGAAAGCCATAGTGATCAACAATCCCATAGTGAATTCAAACAGGGCTGCATTAATAAATGACTGGCTCAATATTTTCTCCCCTTTGTAGCGAGTGTGTTGCAGCCTCTTTGAAAAACAGTCGGTAAAATGGTTACCTCCGAATAAGATGCCATCGGATGTGATCCGTAGTTCTGCGCAAGATCCAGGACGTTGGGCAGATACTTAAGATGCTCTAAGAGCTTGGTGGGGAACTAGAACGGGGGCGAAATCCTCACGCATCGGGACCTACACCTCGACCTCAGGTCTCCGGAATCCGCGATCCGGGATCCGGGTCTTTCGGACCGAACCACCTCCCGCGGCTACAGCGGCTGCCGCAGAACCCAGTCACGTGTATCTTTGGGACTAGTCTTTGGGTTTTGTTATATTAGAGTCCAATGGCTTTTATTCCTCATCTTTTATGACTCCAGAGCGTTGAGCGTTTGCAAAACCTCTACGGCAGTCTGGTGTAGCTAATTCTGGAAGAAATCCAATGCCTACAGTCGAGTTCGCCCTTGTAGATATTGCTTTCGACAGTCTCGAATACTATTTCTCCTGATACCTAGAACCAATCACAAACCAGATGACGGTGTCTGTTCACTGGTTGAAAATGTGGTACAAAAGGACTCCGGGTACCACACTATTTGAAAAGAACCGCTCAAGGAAGATTGAGAACGCGCGGTTTCATGAGTTCTGTAAGTAGGTTTCTCCAAAATAAAACATTGCGGGGGCGGATTCGTTTCGATCTTGTGGATTTTAGCTTATCAGTGACATGTTGAGGTCGTTGAGTTGGCCTTTGACGACTAATGCATGTATGAAGGTTATCAGGGGACGATCTCATATTTGAACGAGTCGCTGGCTCACCTCCGGCTCAACAATGAGGCCACCTCGGCCTAACTTTCGTCTGCTCTCGGCCCAATTCTTTCTACTGCTGAACGATTCGTATTCGACCGGTGCCTAAGTGTGGTTGGAGAATTGCTATTTGTTAGACGAAGCCAATAGGGGTGGGGGAATATTGCCGAATTTGGAACGTATGCGTGGGAGGAGTGATCAGCCATGGCTCATTTCAGGACGTCTTGAGGTTGTATCTTACTATAAGGGCAATGCCATACAACTACAATGAAGACCGAGGCTATCAAGCCAGGAAACCTGTTGATCACTCGGAGACGTAAGAGTCCGAGACCCCGCGACGATGGAACTGAACAACGTCATCTGTTCGCTATTTCAAATCATGCTCTGATCATACATATCTCCACGCCCTTTCAATAGCTTACTGCGTATTAGTCTTGGATCCGGATTCTGACCGAAACCTCCGGGTGGGCTGCCAGAGAAGGACGAATTCATCATCGTGTGTCTCAATCTGGGAAAGTCAACCCCGCAATATAGACCTTGCATCTAATAATCCTCACGAATCTAGACCGTGAACCGGAAAACTCCCAGCCGGTCTAGGGCTGACCGGGATGATTGAAGCCGGCTGCCGGATTTCTGTGGTATTGACCTTGACAGTAAGGTGAACGCCACCTTATTAAGCCGAGGTCATACTCTGTTGAGACAGCACTAAGCAAGACTATTTCCCTAGTGTGACCAGTAAAATATCTTCTTGCATCTGGTGATGGTGACCTTGCCTGTCATCTCAGTCCTTTGGCGCCCGTTCCACCTCAAATACTTCCAATGATGTACACAATCTTGCAATGATAGGGGTGCTAATTGGTCCCCTAATAAGGGTATTAAAAGTAGGGGGTGTGGAGCCTCGAGGTCAATGCGGGCGAAAACGCGGGGGATCGTTGAAGCTACTCCAGATCTTCCGGCTATACTCCACATTGGGCAATTCACCCTCGGCCCGCCCTTCTGTACAATGAAGTGCAGTTCGTCACAGCTGAATGACACAGAATGGTAGATGTAAGTCAATGGTTGTATGAGGTTAGGGGACTATTACGGTGTCTTCGTATGTCTACAAATAAAGCGAGCTCGTCCTCCTCGGTTACCAAAGGGTTCCTCTGATGATTATCTTCAACCGGATTCCAGACTCTCTGGAACCATTTTCACTTTCCCAACTTTCTTACATTGATTAAAACCCGAAGATAACTTTCTGCGAGCTGAGTCGTGTCCATTGTCCACAGACTCCCGTTGGGTTGGTTAGCTTCTCTTGCTTTCAGACACCCTCGGTCCCCATCTCGGTAATCCGCGACAACGAGATCCGACAATAGCTCGATTCCAACTACAAAATGAGTGACAAAGTCGAAGTTGCCCAGTATGAGGAAGCTCCCGTGAAGTTAGGCAAGCGAAGGGGTTGCACGCGGCATTTGAAGAAGTTCTGGTGGGCCTATTTAGTTGGTCTCGTCTGCATCACCGTTCTGGTTGTGCCCTTGATGTAAGTATTGGATCAATAACGTTTCGAAACAACCAGGTTTAACGGACTCTAGACTCTTGGTGGCAATCCCGAAACTTGCACAGTCCAAGATAAATTCCGCTAAATTCCACATCGACGGCATCACCATCACGAAGACGCGCACTAAAACGATGACAGTCGCACTGAATGCGAGCATGGGAGTCACCGGTACCGCTGGCCTTAAAGCTACCATTGCCAAGTTCCCCGCAGAGCTGTACCTTGCAGACCTCGAGCCTTACACGACATTCCTCACCCTCGACTTCCCAAAGACATCAGCCTCCTCCCACATCAACCTCAACATCACCCAAGACATCGAAATCCAAAATATGGAGGCATTCACTACCTTTGCTGCATGGTTGCTAGGAAAAGAGACCTTGAACCTCGGGATGAGGGGTAAGACCTCCATCCGTGTCCGCGGCATCTCCCGCAACTATGGTATATCCTTCAAGAAGTCCATAGAACTGAAAGGTAAGAGTTTCTCAAGGAGAAGTGTCACGGCGCTTAGCAAAGTTAACCCTTATAGGCGTCAATCAATTCAAGGGCTTGGATGTCACCGATACCTCAATTTCTCTGCAGCCTGATGAGAAAGGAGATAACTTCCATGGTTGGGTTAACATCCCTAATCCCTCCATCCTTGAGGTCGAAATCGTAAGTACTATCCTTTTATATCCTCACCTCCCACTTTCCCTTATTCAAACAATACGGGGACGCATTCTAATATCGGCACTTGCAGGGAACCCTTTCCTTTATCCCTTTTGTTGACGGGGTGAATCTTGGCACTGCTTCTGTCGATGGCTTGACGCTGTACCCTGGTATCAACAACGTCAGCATGCGTGCAAACATCAGCCAAGTGCCTGTTCTCGCTGCCGTGACCAAGAAGCCCACGTGCAAGACTGGACTTCTTCCTTTCCAACTGCAGGTTAAGAGTGCAGTGAACGATGGCGAAAACCTCCCGTACTTTACCAATGCGCTAGCGGGGGCGAATCTGACAGTGGACATCGATATTGGAGAGACTCTTGAGAAGGATTTGAACATGACTTTGAGCTGTAGTTAAAACAGTGGTTAGGTCTAATTGCACCTCCAAACTTAATATAATCAACCCTGGATACCCACTTCGGCGAAACCTGAACATTTACAGAAAGACAAATTCAATGATACACTCTTCCCTTCTTGACGTTCACAGGTATTCTAAAATGTAGGTTTGTAATGCTGTATCTTGAGGCCCTGACCGTAGTATAATGGAGGATTTTCAATCTCCACAGCCCCGGTTGAAACCCCCAGATTAGGCGTAGCCCAAGCTTGAAAATTATTATTACAGATTGAAGCTGCTTGGCCCCTCTCTCAGTTAGGTGTTGGCGGTACTGAAAAAGCACCTGGCTGAAGAAAAGCCCGGTCCTCCACACTGCCAATGGCCTATCAATTATCACTAGGACTCGGTCTCTTACTCTGATCGGCATGGTAAAGCCTTGAAAAAGCGCCCATCTCGTTGGCCAGTAACTCCTGAGGTGTACCAAACTGTACCAATGTGCCCCTGTCGAGGACGGCGATTTTGTCAAAGTCAAGTAGCGTATCGAGTCGATGAGCAATCATGATGATTGTGCAGTTAGAGAACTCTGACCGGATCACCTCCTGGATCCTGGCGTCCGTCTGACTGTCAACGCTATAATACACGTCAGCTTCGCCCAGCCCAGAGAGAACAGCGAAGAGAGTTTACCTGCTTGTGGGCTCATCAAGAATAAGCAGAGGACTTTCCTTCAGCAGTGCACGAGCAAGACAGAAGAGCTGGCGTTGGCCGTGGGACAAGAAGTTCTCGTCCATCCTTTCGTCCAAGGGGTTCTTACCCTCCCCAACCCTGGCTTTAATCACGGACCAAATGCCAACACGTTCCAGTGCTCTGGTGATGGCCTCATCCGAACATCTTCCTATAGGATCTGCGTTGAACCGAATGCTGTCACTGAACAGAAATGGATCTTGCGTAAGACAGCTCAGCTTCTCACGGATCATTGGACGCGGTACTTTAGTCAAGTCCTCGCCGTCTAGAGTGATCTGGCCTCCAACAATATCCGCCATTTGAAGAAGTGCTTGGACAAATGAACTTTTACCGCTGCCGCTACGGCCGCACAGCCCAAACTTTTCCCGATGCTTGATGCTGAAGGAAATTCCGCGCAGGATGGGATCGGTAGTTTCACTGTCTGGTTAGTTGTGTATTCGTCAAGAAATTAAGAGTAACTTACTCATATTGAACCGACAGGTTGTTTACCTCCAATGCACCTCGAGAAGGCCAACCATCCGTAGGTTGACTATTTTCCCTAGGCTCTAGCTCGGTAGCTGTCTTTTCAGAGAAGGTCCGAATCCTAGTAATGGCCCCCAAAGAGGTTTCCAGGATGGACCAGTACAAAATGATACCTTTCATGTTGCCTCCTAAGCGCATCATGTTGACAAGTGCAACACCCAATAGCGACGGATTGACTTTATCTCGCAACGTGACCGCAAAAACAACAAGAATGATGGTGAGAAATGCAACTACCATGTCCAAGACTAGGGTTAACCATCTTTGGATGCAGTTGAGCAAGTAGGCGGGTTTCTGAGCATCGTCTAATCGGGTTAGATTCTTATCAGCATATGGCTGGACCCAGCCAAAGGCACGAATCGTGGTCAGGCCGTGGATGGATTCCAGGAAATGAGAGAACAGCGGAGCTTTTTGTTCAATCCTAAGACGTCCAGTCAGTATTTTATGACCATGTAGAAGCCGGGGGCGTACTCCAAAATACGAAGTTGCTTTGATGTCCGGACGTAGAATCGTTGGATGAGGACGAGTGTGGCAACGACAAATGGTATGGAAATGGCAAACCAGCTAACCGCTGCCATGGCAAGACCAGCGGCGCCTATACACGCAGCGATTTCTGAGGGACCAAGTTAGATGACTTCACTCTGTGCCTAACCGAGATATCACTCACCGAAAATGAACACAGCAAGCGCAACGGGGAGGACTATGTCCACGTATCGCAAGTCCTGACTAAATCTATGACAGTTAGCAAGGTCTCCAACATCCGATACTGTGGGATAGATACCGATTGACCAAAGATCCGGTCTCAATGTTGGATAGGAACTTCATCGGTGCACTATCCACGTGTTAGTCGACGTATCACCTGTGTCTTTGAACATCCATCATACTTCATCACCGCGTCCAACATTCTCTTATGCAAAGTCCTCCCACTTGTTGGTCCAACAATCAGAAGGAATAGACTAGAGCGCGATTAGTGAGGCCAAGGGATCTCGAGCGAGTATCTTACGCAATAGCCATCGTTATGAGGATGCCTTCCAAAAGCGACAACACAGCATAGATACTCAACCAGTACCCAAGATCACTACTGTTATGTCCTTTGCCATTGCCCCACCATGTGATCCAAACATCTATAAAGTAAGGTTAGACGTAAATAGGCGCAATGTGGACAGGGAGCTCACATCTGAATGTGCCAATAACACCTGAAGAAACAGTGAACAGAACCTGCATCGCAACGTTATGCGCCCGCATGGCCTTGCAGTAGTACAGGAAGACACTAGAGTCGCTTGGGAGGGTTTGATCTTCGCCACTTTTCCCGGTGGTTGGTTTGGCGTTCTTGGCCTCAGTATCGTTACCTGAACCTAGCGACGGTTTCTCTTCTTCGTCATCACTGAAATGACTTGATATGTCCAGGCTTTCGACGTATCCCCCTCCAGATCGGAGAGTGGCGAAGGATCCTTGCTCTACGAGCTTTCCATCCCGATCAAGGGCAATGATATAATCGGATTCGGGGAGTCGGTGGACTAGGGTAGATTAGAAGGTGTATTATCGGAGCGACGTCTAGTGTTAGACTCACCAGCGTGTGTTGCAAGGATCACGGTGGTCCCGTTCTGGCTAAGAAGGCCATCCTTTCCAAAGACACGGCCGAACACTACTTGTTCTGTCACCTTGTCAAGCCCACTGAATACGTCATCGAAGATAGCTACGGGCTTCCTTGAATAAACCGCACGGGCGATCGCCTTTGATACCGTTAGCTAGTCATTTCCTCGAGAACGGCGGACTCACTAATCGTTGTCTTTGGCCCCCGCTAAGCTTGACTCCCTTGTCACCAACAACAGTCAGGTCCCCTTCTGGAAGCCTTGAGAAATCAAGAGCCAGGTCGCATGCGTTGATCACTGTATTGAACCAACTACTCTCAAATTCTCGAGATTCCGCAACAATGTTCGCTCGGATTGTTGCGTTCATGACCCAAGGTGTTTGATCACAAAAGGCAACGTCGGGGGAGTTGAGAGAGACAACACCGTTGGATGAGGCGGTTTCTCCGAGGATGGCTTTGAGGAGACTTGATTTCCCAGATCCTACAGGGCCAACAACCATAGTCAGCGACCCATTAGGTTGTCGTGGGAACGAGGTGGTGATGTCTTGGAGGACATGCTTGTCGCGCCAATTGAAGTCCCCATCCACAATTGCAACATGGGCGTCATCCAAACTAGCTCTATGCAAACTTTGCATTTCGATTACCTCTTGGACGACTCGATCTGACCTTTTGGATGGCTTGGGAGAAGTTATTTCGTTCACAACGCCACGGATGGCGCGGCTGTCAACCCTCTCCTCAAGCAACAGAAACTCCTGGATCCGCTTGAAGCATCCAAAGGCAGAAAAAGAGTGCGGAATGTTTCCCACGAGATGCGATAGTGGCTCCATCATTACGGTGAGGATTGACAACGCAGTGATCGCTTGGGAAGCTGAAAATGACTCGCTGCCGCTGAGTTTCGCAGCGATAGCATAGGCGCCGAACGTAATGGCCTCTGTGAGACTGACGTTGCAGTTGGCTGTTCGCAAAGATGTCAGAAATTCATGCAGGGTAATGCATAGTGGAAAGGACCATACTTATGCAATTGGAGTAAACGGATACCCAGCGGTAGTGTATGCCTACTGCCAGCTCCTCGTCTCGCTTTAGCGCAATGAGGTCCCTGAAACGGTCTGTCAAGCCCAGCATCTTTACAGCCTTCATTGACCCAAGGACCTCAGAGGTGAAGTTGATGCGGTCTTGAGTTGACTTTTGGTACACTGTCTGACGGGGGACCGTCATCTTGCCAACGATGCTCGAGAGGGAAATCGAGACTAGACAGGTCAGGGTGCGGCCACACATCTTATCTCCATGAGAACTCACTTATCGCTGTGATTATCGGTGCCACGCAAACAGCTCCGAGCTGGTCTGCCAACATGTACATGGCAATCCCTACGGTGAGTGTATTGGCCCATGACTCGACAAGCAAGACGTGAAGTTTCTCTGTCAGTGTCTCTACATCGTTACCCATCAAAGCAACTGCAGACAATTCGTTTAGATCAGTTGTAGGCAACCTCATCATTTTGCTGTAGATCAAAGTAATAAGACCCCCGCGGGCCATGGCGCCAGCACGGAAAGTAAGATGCTCGTACCACGCCGTCATAAGCTACGCGGTTTAGTAGGTGGTATCGCTGTGGTTTATATGTGTACTTACAGCAGACCCAATGAAGACGAAAGCGAATCCGCCAATCAATCCGTATCCGAGGTTCATTGAAGCTTCTGTTGTTGGCGTGGAGAGAAATCGCAAAGCATTGGAGATGAGGAAAGGCTGCGAAATACTCAACGCAATAATGGCGAGACGAGGTGGCGTAATCCCAAGAAGCTCCCACTTCAAAATTCTGATTGTGGTCAGGAAGATGGATGGATTTTTGCTGTTCTCAGTCGCTGAAGTTGCAGGGTCAGCGATAATGTTGACAGCGTCACATGTGGATTTGAGCCGACCTTTTTTCCAGGCAGTCCCAAATCTGATCGCTAGTTTGGCGGAGGAGAGCTTCTCGTAGATCTCAGGTAGGCCATTGTTAGTTAAAACAGTCCCCCAGCCGGAAATAAGTAATGAATTGAGCCAGACAAAGAGCCCGCGACTAAACGGCCCACTCGTGCTCTCTGTGGATGGAGCTTTGCCGCCTTTGATAAGGATCCGGCGCTTCTCTATCGTCTCCAAGACCAAAAGCGTGAGCTTGAACACAGCTGACGCGGAGCTGACGGCTGCGTAGGCGACGTTGTAGGAAAGTAACCACTCGGTCCTCAGGTGCGCAGCATCGAAGAGCAGCGACACGAAAAGGTACGCCGTGAGGAGAAATGATGGTCGGATAGACTTGACGTGCTCGAAGTGGGTTAGAAGTACAATTGCGAAGGCGGCAAGGAGGTTGAAGATGGCGGCGGCCAGAGAGAAGTTGGTGGTTAGCTTTTTCCTGGAAGCGACCAAGGCGAGCAGGATGACCTGCAACACTGAGTAGATGATGGAAGCAACCTAGACATGGTTAAACGGGGTAAAAGCCAGAGCCTAGAGGTTGGATATACAAGCTTGGGGGTGTATGTTGCACGGCGCTTTGCTCTATCGGGGACTTTGAGCAGGTAGAGTGCCCGAGGACCTGCTAGTAGAAAGAACACAACCGCGGGGGTCATGCTCAGAATGCTCTCTTCAAATGTAACTACTCCAAATATGAGCGCTGGCAACTCAATGCCGTGGACAGGGTCATATCTGGCGTACGCGTAAAGTCGAATCCCCCCCGGCAACCCTCAGTCCAGACGCTGGGGCCGAAGAATCCATCCCGACACTGAGTCGAGTTATACGACTCCATGGCGTGAGTATGGGTGCTGGAATAGTCCAGCAGCCAAGCCGAATTACATCTACTGAGGTCTCAAATAAATAAAAGTGAGAGTCGTCGCGTCCTATTTCTCGGATATCTCGGTGCCTAGAAATACCTGGCCCAGATGTCAATTGGAGGTTGGCCGGTAACAATGTTTATTCGCGAGACAAAAGAACCCTGCAGGTTTAGCTGCAGTTAGCGATGGATGTAGCCTTGTAAGGCTAGGGGTGTCGCGTACTCGCCTGGAAGGCCGCGTTGCTAACGGATGACTCTTCTTATCGTGTTTTCTCTCACCGTCGGAGAGATTCATGTGTCCGGTTGGTTCGCGGTGTTGATGCTGTCAGCCCACTTTTCGGCCTTGTGTATGATGCATCAAAATTGAGACGGCGCGACAACTGATAGCGTAAATGGACCGGATACTTGAACATCGCTGGAAAACATGGGAGATTTTATCCTAATTCCCAAGATAAATCATAAGGCGACGAATCATGCTGTCGTCATTCCCAATTGACGGAGTGGGACCATACGAGCAAAAGTTCCTCGGCCAGCCACATCTGGCAGGTGGATGATCGGGGACACAGAGGCTAATTGGGATGGTTCGCAAACGTCAGAGTGTCAGAAATAGAAGTAAAAGAAAATAGACGTCTATTCGGGTATCAATATATGTAGGTTGTAGATTTTACCATCCAATGGCGCCATGTACATTGTTCTGCTCGTGAGCCATACCGTGCCCAACGTAGGCAATTTCTATGGCTCAAGCGCCCCTCCAATCTCGCTCTCTTCTCCTCTGGTGAATACTAATCAAGTCGCAGAGGATCGTCGGGCATGTAATCATCGGCGTCGTCGTCGTCACTGCCGGCGGTTTCTTCTCGGGTGTGCTTCTTTGGTGGTGGCTTGACAAACAACAAAGCAAGCCAAGCCAGGAAGCAGAGGAACCCAACATAGAACCACGGCATCCCAACCCAGATTCCCTTCCGCTTCAAGCCTCTGTCGAAGCACCAGGCCAAAACCGGGCCTCCAATAAAGGAGCCCACAACTTCGATCATGCCAATCAAGGCGTATAGTCGGGAGGTAAACTCGGGCTGCACAAAGTGCGAGACTGTCGCTCGTGCTAGCGGACTGTCGGCGGCGCCAAATGTTATGATGAAGAGTCCAAATAAGAACATGACGATGTTGTGGCTAAGGCCTTGAACGATGGCGCCAAACACCAGTATGCATGTCGAGACGCGTGTTAGGAACAGGTCCTTCTTGAAGGGCGTCATACGGAATCGGGGCGACAGCAGCATCTTCGAGACCTGAGGCAACCCCGCTAGGATGAGGAGGTTGAGGATTCCCAAAGGAGACAACAGGATACTCACTTCGGCCAGCCTCCATCCAAAATGCTTGCTGACGTACTGGGACAAAATGGTCGAAAGTGCGCTGAACCGGGCATTCTGGACAAAGAAGGTCACGAGGATCAGTGAGACGCTTTTGTTCTTGAGAATGTCGAGGGATTGAAGCAACTCCTTCACGCCTTGCTCCATGTGGTCTCTCACTGATTTCACGGGCTCGCTAAGCTCATCCTGCTGGTTCTTGATCTTAACGGTCAGGGTTTCGGGAAGGAGGAAGAGGATAGCAAAGATGACTGGGAATGTGGTCAAAACCAGGTAGATGGGAACCCATGGGCCAAAGCGCTGCATGAGGAGGCCAGCGACCACAGGCCCAAGAATTCCACCTGCAGTGCTACCAAATGTAAGATACAGAAAGTGAGTGGCTCTATTGCTTGAGTCAGCTTCCTAGCAATCCAAAACGCTTGCAATACAGATGTCAACTTACTTGTCCTCTTCAGAGCTGACATCGGTTGCAATTGCATAAAACGTGGACAGTAGCACCGGGACACCACCTCCGAGTAGCTGAAACAGAGATCCTGTGAGCAACACGTAGGGGTTGTCACGGATTTGCTGCTGAAAGATCTTGAGAGCAAAAGGGCCAATGCCAAATGTGAGAGCAACGCCAGAGTAGGCGAAGATGACGGTAGGCTTGCGACCAATTTTATCGGCCATCATTCCAAAAGGAAAGGCAATTATGAGACCTGTGCAGTTATCAGCAAAGGGTTGGGTTGGGGGAGTGATTCTCAGGCTCCGTACCCAGCACTGATGAGACGAGGCCACTCCAGCCAAAGAAGAAGCCCATCCGAGATTGGATCTCATCTACTTTACACTTCATCTCCTCAATGATCTCCGAAGACGTGTCCTTGTAATAAGCATGGCAGAATGCATCCTCGAGAAGGCGAGCGTATGGGACAAGAAGAAGCATTCCGCTCAGGACGATCAAGAACTTGATGACGGCGACCAGAATGACGATGCGGCGAGGCGTCCTTACTCCCCATCGGCGGATGCTGGACCCACGGTCTGGGTGAGAATAGAGGCTGTCGCTGTCGCTCGCGGCATCCTCCTCAGGTCGCTCATCGGAATCCAGCAGAGGCGCATCCGGCGCGGTGTCGAGTTCAAACTCCATGTCGACGGGCGATGGCGGCGCCATGACGACAGCTCCAGCGACAAGGGAAGCACAGGGGTTGTTAGGGAGCGGCAGCAGCGGCCATGGAAGGGGACTGGCGGATGCCTGACACGGCGACGACGGCGAGAATCGTAGGTGGACGATGGAATGATGGAATTGAAGGGAATAATTGAAGGAGCAAGAAAAATAGCCAAGAGATAGAGTGTCTTGGGACGATTTAACTAAGCTCTTTACGTGGGCGTTCGCCACGCTCCGACATTAACATTGACATGACAGTGTTGGGGTAGATTTAGCGTCGCCGGATTTATAATTAGCTCCTCTCTTGACGGCACGTTCCTGGCGCGTTTCGTCTTTCCCCCCTGCCGAGAGCCCGCTGTTGAGCGCTGCACAATGCCCCGAGAGTGCCTTGGAAGGCATACCGGCAGCCTAAAAGCCCCCGCCTACCCCCCTGAGCCCGGGCGCTCAGCCGCCTCCGCCACCCCCTAAAAGCTCCCGAGCCCCCCAGCGTTGATAGGGCTGTCCCACGCGCTGCTGCTTAAGACGTCCGCGGCGGCACGTCGGTATCAGCTTGGATCTTGGCCGCATGCAAAGGATGCATGCAACACGCAAGCCTGACATGGAGCAAGATGGCTTGGATGGATTCACCCGGTGATTTATGATGCTTTTGTCTGCAGATCAGGCGGTGACGCGGCATTCAATGTTGAACGACAACTCAGAGCTGCCAGAATAGGTAGCGGCCGAATCTTATCTTTCACAACGACGCAGTCTCTACTGAGCCTACCGGTACTCGATTCAGATGGCCGCGTATCATCGAGGCGTGGCCATCACCACCGTTTCTTGGCAGGTTTGCTTCATCTGGGGTCATCCAGAAACTACCCCCAATAACTGGAACCAAATCACCGCCCGAAATTGCAGCCCCCACATCACATTCTCAACACAACGCTCACACGTCGGCTTATGCAATCCTGCCTCAAGTCTGATTCAGAATTAAGCGCGGGAGAATTGAGCAATGCTTCGAGTTCCAGATCTGATAGGTTCTCATGCCGTCGATCTATGTAGGGGGCTGCTGAGCAATCAGAGTCCGTAGCGCTGCCATCCTGGTCCGGAGGAATCGGGATTTGTTCCAGGATCTGACATGGGGGACCAACATGACTTAAACCTCAACCATGTACCTTGCCTGTGCCCCAAGAAGGATTAATCCCAAATCTGTGATTGCCAAGCATGGATCTCAAGCCCGAGTCGAATGATAGAGCTTCTTGGTACTACGTACTATCATTGACATGGATAAAAATCTACCTTAGACAAGGCTGTCTTGGCCAAACATTGTAACCTCACATCCATGTCTCCGCATGTCGCCACCGCGGCGTCGGTGCTGCCGTCACCACCCGATCAACCCCACCCGCGCCGCGCCGTCTCGACCCTGCCGGCAGCCCTCCTCCATCTCGAATAGTTGGACAACGCCGCTAGAACACATAGCAGGCAACAGAATTAGCACCCATTCGCAACGCAAGCTCCAAGCCGCACGCTCTCAATATACGATGGCTTCAGCCCCTCTACGTATCGGCTACGTGCCGGAACACTTCTCCACCCCGCTTCACTTCGCCGTCCAGCAGTTTGGCCTCGCAGCCGAGCTCATCCCCTTCCCGTCCGGCACCGGCCACATGGTCACAGCCATCCGCGCCAGCGAGATTGACGTTGCCATTGGTCTGACCGAGGGCTGGATTGCCGGGCTCGGCAAGGAAGGCATTGAGGGAGATGGCGGATATCGCATTGTTGGCACATATGTCGAAACCCCGCTCTGTGAGACGCTCTTGGTACCTCACTGAAGATGTCCCGTTGGCTAACCACCCCAACTCGCCTCTAGGCTGGGCCATCTCAACCGGCGCCAAGCGCCCCGAGATTGCTTCCGTGGACTCTCTCGACGGCCGCAAGATCGGCGTCTCCCGCATCGGCTCCGGCAGCTACGTCATGGGCTACGTGCTGGCCGACCAGCAAGGCTGGCTGTCCGCCTCCAGGACGCAGCCCTTCTCCGACACGGTCATCCTGAACAACTTCCAGAACCTGCGCAACGCCGTCAACTCGGGCGAGGCCGACTTCTTCATGTGGGAGCACTTCACCTCCAAGAAGTTCTACGACTCGGGCGAGATCCGCCGCGTCGGCGAGATCTACACCCCGTGGCCCAGCTGGATGATCGTCGCCTCCACCAAGTTGACCGAGGGCGGCCTTGACAGCCGGATCAAGGAGTTGTTCGGGAAGCTGGATTCCGGCATCGCGCACTTCAACGCGAACTCCGAGGCGGCCGTTGAGTTCATCGCCAGCAACCTCGAATACAGCGAGGCTGATGCAAAGGAGTGGCTGAAGACAGTTAGATTCCCCCAAGCTACCGAGGGTGTCAAGATGGAAATTGTCCAGAACTGCGTGTCTATTCTCAGAAAAGCCGGAGTTCTAGTCGAGAACAAGGGAATGGAGCCAGAGAAGATGGTCTTCCAGTCATAAGCCGTGGTCTCCAAGACGAAGACATAGCCAATACAAAAGTTAAGCCATTCGGTTCCATATTCCTCCATCGATCCAACACAATTATCTTCTCCCTTTCCACATTCCGTGTACAAGCCGCCTCCCAATTCACCAATTTCTCCTTGTTCGTAGCGTCTACAGAGTAGTATTGGACTAGGCGTGGACCTCTCCGGTAAAGTAAAAGATCCAATTTCCCAAGAAATGGGAGTATGGATTACATGAGCCTCCAAACTCATGGATTCCTAGGCTTCTTCCTGCTACTTCAAGTGCCTCAAGGAGGTCATTGACACTCCCTTGATAGGACTTGGCAGACAAGGGCCATAATCGCTCTGCCATGAGCGCACGTATGAGTGTGTTCATGGGCAGCGGCCTACATTCTCCACAGGGTGCGATATTGTTGTCACTCCAGGTGTTGAAAAGACTCTCGTTTGGGAGAATGCCAGCCTCAAAGTTGATCACCTGCTCAATGAGCAGTCGGAGAGTGTCGAAAATTCGATCTATTCGCACACCTCGGTCAAGCCACAGTCGCTCATCTGTTATGCCATCCGTTAGTGTGGGATTCTAACAGTACGGAGGTAACGTACCCATGAAGCCAAGGCTTTGGAGCGATGCCCATTGTCCGGGTGTAGAAACCCGACGAGCTCTGTCAATGATGCTTGAACCGTCACCTCGGCAAGACATGACGATCGTATTCTCAACATCTTTCCGGACATTGGAGAGCCCGAACCTTTCAGCCACGACTCCAAGAAGAAGCCAGTTCTCGACCATGCGTAGGCCCTTCGCTTGCGAGATGAGATTCTGAATACCCCTGGCGATAGTCTCCGGGGGTATGAAAGGGACATTCGAGCGGCGTAAACATCGCGAGCGATAAAATTCCATAGCAGGCGTGCGAAGAAATCGCGGCCGCCCAAGCCAGTTGTAGATCTCTGACACGTACCAGAGCTCTCGGGCGGTAGCCTTCTTTAAATCCTCTCTAGTCTCTTTGTTGCCATGAGAGATGTCGAGGAGAAGCCTGATGGCGAACTCGGCCTCTGGATCATCCAGGCAGACATTCTTGATCTGGACGTTTCCCGATCGAGCTTTGTGTCGTATATCGAGCCATGCAGGGCAAACCATTGCCATATTTTGGGGATCGAGGACGAACTTGACGCGTTGTTTGTTCTTCATTAGGAAACAGAGCGTCTGCTTCCTCTTTCCTGTGGTCATGCGGTACACGATGTGACCGGCTGCGTCGACCTCCGGCTTCGTTCCCTCTCTCGACTGGTTTATCCAGATACCCTTGCCTCCTCGGTGCCTTTTATCTTTCGACCATGTCGTTTTTCCATTTTTGCAATCATGGGAGGCAAGCGACCTGTTCGTTGGTCGTCCTTGGGAGTTCCTGGTCATGGTGCCAGCGGTCCCTGGAGTGAAGGAGAAGATGAGCTTGCTCTTCCAAAAAAGCAAGTCTGGGGTGAGTGGCAGAGGTTTTACCCAAAGATGGAATTATTTGTGTGTTGAATGGAGGAGGAGAAGGTGGTGGATTCATTTGGGCGAGTTGGTGTGGTGACAGACGTGATTCACTGCAAGCACCTGGCTCCGGACCTGCCAGCAGCGGGTTCTTACATGCAGCCTAAATTTCCAGAAGCCCGTTCACTGAGAAATTTAGCCACCTGTTATTAGCAAACATCCTCTCATGTTCGTAGTCTTAATTATGGCGGAAGCACGATGAGCAAACTTCCTTACATTAATCGTCAATACCTACCCTGCAGTTTCAAGTCGAGCATCGTCTCTGAGTTCGACATCTTTCTCAGAAGAACATGTTAGAGAAACCCTCAGTTTGAAACGTGGACGCAAAGAAGGTTGGTCCATGATAGGTTGTCTAACTGGTGAAACCTCGCGGAAGTTCAAGCGCCATCCTGCCCCCGATTACTCTGTGGACAAACAGAATGGTGTTGAATAAGCAATGAGAGTTCACGCCAGGGGAATTCGGCATCCTATCTCTTAGAAAAGAGTGACATAATATCGGCGTAAATACTGAACGACTTGACAGTCTTGAAACAATCGCAATTACCTTTGATTGGCGCAGTCGTAGCCATTCTGACGTTATCGGTTGTCACGATTCCGCTTGCCAGATCTGGCCCAGCGGCGGGGTGCTTGTGCTGGTTATCGGAAAGCCCCCGCCTTCACGATTCCGCGCTTGTGACCATGCCACGGATCAGCACGAGGCCTATCTCCCGAACCAGAGACAGTCGGAGGTCATTTGACGACTTGCCTCTTCTCTCATCTCCTGGTTCGAAACCTGCGACTGCCAATCTGCCATCTAACGCGCCGCTCTCTATCGCGTCCTCTCCGAACCCGCCATCGCGCTCCAACGACCGCGCCCGCCGAGCTGTCACCGGAGGAGACGAGGAACCGGGGAACCGAAGACCGGGGACCGAAGACCGGAGAACCGGAGAACCGCACCGGCTGGTCTCGCCGGTGCAATACGCTATGGCGTCCTCCGACTCAGCATTCTCACAAGGCATTGGGCACTCGCGCGAACGCCATCATTCAGATGAGGACCTCGCTGCGTCCACCAGTGCGCTGCTCCCGGCGCGATCCGGACCTCCCGCCAAGGATGGATTTAGGGCGTCGCTTGGACTGTCTATGGGCAGACGGACGTTGGGAATATTGTGCTTGATGGTCACAGTGTTTTTCTGGACACTTTATAACTTCATGGCAAGCGTATGTGATACTCCTCCTCTCCTCGAGGAAGATAAGGCGCTAACATCCACTGTAGTATATCTTCTCCGACCATTCCTACGATAAGCCGTTCTTTGTCGTCTACTTCAACACCTCGATATTTGCGCTATCCCTGGTACCAAGGTTCTTCAAATATTTAAGAGTGAGGGGTATGCGAGGCTTAAGGCATGATGCGGTGGTGGTCTGGAACGAGTGCAGATACGGCGTCGTTAAGAAGACAGTCAGGGAAGACTCAGACGACCTCGCTGGTGAGCGCCTGCTTTCCGAGGAGCTTCTTCATGTCGAGTCAAATGCAAAGGGTGAGGAGAAATTGGACTTCCGAGAGACAGCCATTATAAGCCTCGAGTTCAGCATGCTGTGGTTCCTGGCCAACTATACTGCCTCGGCGTGTCTCGAATACACGAGCGTGGCTAGTGTCACGATCTTGACTTCGACTAGCAGCATCTGGACACTGGTCCTTTGCGCCATGTTTGGCATCGAACGGTTCACCACGCGCAAGTTTCTTGGAGTGGGAGCCTCACTGGTGGGTGTTATGCTTATCTCAACTGTCGACATGTCTGGGCAGAGCGATGAGGATCGAGGGTCGTTTCCGCATAAGACAACCGCACAGATTGCCATTGGTGATGCCATGGCTCTCTTCAGCGCCGTAGTCTATGGCGCTTATGTGACGGTGATGAAGAAGCGTGTTGGGGACGAGGACAGGGTGGACATGCAGCTGTTTTTCGGACTGGTTGGCGTGTTTAACTTGGCGCTTCTGTGGCCTATTTTCTTTGTTCTGCATTGGACGGGGCTGGAGCCGGTATGTCATCTGCTCATATTGTCGATGTGTGAAACTGACTGACCTGTAATAGTTTGAACTGCCCCCGACGGGCAAGATTTGGACCATCATCATTGTGAGTACCCCGGTCTGGACTCAAAGCCAAGCTAACTCGGCGACTAGGTGAACGCCGTTGGATCGTTTATCAGCGACGTCTCATGGGCGTATGCGCTACTCCTGACCACCCCGTTGGTGGTGACAGTCGGCTTGTCTTTGACGATTCCCCTTTCGCTGATTGGGGAAATCATTCAATACCACAAGTACTCGGGCGCCATGTACTGGATCGGGGCCGCAGTGGTCTTTCTATCGTTTGTCTTTGTCAACCGAGAGAGCCACGAAGTCGGCGACCAGAGCAGCGACGATGACGAGGAGCCGGTTCGGGGATCTATTGCCTAGATCATAGATGTAGAATCTGTCGCGAGCAGGATCTGAGGCGACTGGGGATGGGCTTGCCTCCTTTGGCGCACGTGGAGTTTTTGGGTTGACACTGGTTCGATGGCTAGAAGGGAAGGTCGGAACGGAGTTTGCTTGACGTTGGATGTTGTTGAGTGAATTGAGCTCTCTATAGCAGCCAATGCATGGAATTGGCTTTCTTGATAAGGCGGTACCCGTGGAGATGATGATAAGTCCTTCCTCTAAACCCCACCTCCGCGATCGCGATGCGGCCAGCGATCGTTCAGCATAGAGTGGCTCCACAGGTCTGGGCGGGCCCGGGAGATGGACACGGCTCGACGGCTTTCCCACATATCCACTCTATTTGCTTAATGACTGCATGTGTTTAGGGCCGACGCCATGAATTCCGGCGCCAATATTAGACTCTTCAGCTTGGGAGCCTCTTTTAAGGTCCAGGCCCTGGAAGTTTTGCTGGAAGTAAGACATGCATGCCTCCAGCCAGTTACGCGAAACGCCACCCATGTTATCAACGTTGATGCCATCTAGGATATACCTGCCTATCTGAGTGTGGTGGACTGCTACTGCTCATCTTCTTCTCTCCCTTGCAGAGACAATTTGTTCCTCAGGGCATCCCGACTTATCAGCTTCCGAAAAGTGATGACGGCATACTTCGACGCGCTAACACGACTCCGCTGGCGGCTGCGTTGGCGTGGATCATGGGCCGGGGCGAATGGTCCGCTACAAGTCGATGAAGAACCAAAACCCCGATCGCCAACTGGGGCGGGGAAATAGGACGGTCATTCAGGGTCAGGTTAATTTATCGCGACAAGTTCCGGGATCCTGGGACATTGTGGGCGCAAAAGTAGTTGCAGGCGGCGCTTTGGTTTTTCCCTGCAGCATCTCATCTCATCTGGACAATTGACATCTGAGATGGTCGAAACTCAATCTAGTCAAGCCATTCACCCATGCTTCTGAGTTCTGACGGTACAGCCTCGTCTCTCCCACAACACCCAGTGAGACTCCAGGACGCAACGGGAAGCTGTGGCACGATTCACACCGAAGCGGAGAAAACCCATTCCACTTTGTTTACACTTGTTGGGAAGGCGTCGTCTCCTGTTCTCCTTCTTCACCTGAAGCCTCTGCCTCGATAACAGAAACCCACCAGCCGTGAATCCACACCAACTTGCATCTCTACCCTTCAACCTTTAACCTACGAACATACATCGTCGCCTTGTTCCTACTTCTCCTAAACTCTCAACGCCGCTATAACGCTCACCACCCTTCACTGGACCTCGAGGCATTGACTTTCAACTCGCATCAATAATTGTACTCGGCCGGGTCAACCCTATCACCCCCCTTGTATTTTCCAGCTCCTTGGGCTGGAAATGCGCGGCGGAGACGACATGTCACCACCTTTCCCTGAGTCGATCACGGCCCCTCACGAGCATCATGACCACCATGTTCACCATCGTCCATTGGCAGAATCAATAGCCATATCCACGAGATCGATCCACGCCAGGCTTAACAAGCTCATAATTGCCCGCTTACCACTCGCTCTCCCACCTCGAGCTGCTGACCCGTCTATTTATGTCTCGGGCCTGCTCCACATTGCGCCCATTTACATGACCTTTGAGCGGCTATGGCGCAACATCCTAGATACAGATCCCGAGGCAGACCACGAAACCACAGCAGGGGATTGCTGTGATCCCGACATGCCGCTCTTGGCTTCTGCTGGCGTACCTTTGGAAGGACACGAAGCTGGTGGACAAGGTGTACACAACCCTCCGGTTTGCGAACGGATACACTCGCTTCTCCAGCATCTCCACCTGCCTGGCCTCATGCGCTCAGATCGTCTCAAGGCAGATATCGCTTCTCTCACAGGGTGGCCGGACCACGTTGTCGAGGAGCAGCTTAGAAGCATTGGCCAGACTGGTCGCCTCGCCCAGTTCACCAATCACATTAAGAGAGCGATTGAGAATCGACCACATGTGCTCTTGGCATACTCATACATCCTATTCATGGCACTTTTCGCAGGCGGACGCTTCATCAGAGCTTCCCTCGAATCCGCTGGGAACGAATTCTGGGAACAACTCCCATCACCTGTCCTGCCAACCGAGCTCTCTTGCCAACATTCGACCAGACCCATCGAGCGAGCGAGCGGACTGACGGACGAGGAGCTCCCCGAGGACGACCATAATTCTCATGCAGATCACAAAATGCCCTTGCGCTTCTTTCACTTCAAATCTGCCGAAGATGGCGAGGAGCTTAAACGCGAGTTTAAGAAACGGCTTGTGGACTTGGAGAGTATCCTCACGGACGCTGAGAAGCACGATGTGATCCAGGAAGCCGTCTGCATCTTCGAGAACATGACGCTAATGATCGATCAACTCGACATGGTATGCGCGGATCTGGATCAAAATAATGGTGATGAGATCACTTCGCTTAATAACCTTGCTGGCATGGTCAACCCCATCGGTGCCCGATTCAGGGACAGCGTTTCTATTGCCAAAGAACGCACCGCGAGATCTTCCAGGCTATCGACCAGCAGTGACGACAGCACCTGCTCTATCATCAAGAGAGCTATAGGAGCCCTGCGAGCCGAGTCGAGATCTTCCCCGGGCGAGCTCAGTGCTCATAGCCAAAGCGGCCAACCCCCCATGTCCAGCATGGCCGGTGTGGAACTCTGTCCTGCATTCCCCAAGTCTATGAGATTTGAAAAGACTCTACCTAAACCAACACGAAGTCCAACACTCCCGGTAGATGGTAGCACTCACCCTGACGAGCGTCTCAAGTTGGCATCTCGGAGGTTACAAGGTGTGCACGTCGCCAACTGGCTCATAATGGTTGCCTTTGGGGCGGCCGTCATTGGGGCTCTTGTGTCCGGACGAGGAGGTGGGTACGTGGCATAAACACCGGGAACCTGCTTAGTGTACATATGATGAGGCTATGATGACTGCATTTGTTCGGCGTTCTTTTGCTGATTTGCGGAAACGAGCATTCTGGATACCCAATTGGGAGCAACACGATTGTATCCTGGTTTGATGCTTCGGTCCTAAAACGCGCTCTATCGCGTAAGATTCACTTGTCGTTGTGTGTTGGCTTGAACATGACCTTGAAAGAAATGTCAATACACGCTGATTCAAGATTTAACTGGCACGGTTCAGATTATTTGATATGTTTGTTATATTCGTCATCGTGAATGGTATTCTGGATAAGAAATTACTATTTAAAAGGCCCGTAACTCCAACGCTTTGAAAATGATCCATGCTTGTAACGCCACATGGTAGCTGGGTATAGTGTACTAGAAACATGCATAACACACAACGTTCCTTCGTTGCTGCTCTTGACTTGTTACTCTTCATCATCATCCTCCTCGTCCCAGTCTGCGGCAACATCTGCCCAGCCGGCCATGTGTCGCTCGCCACCAAACTCACCCACCTGGCGGAGGTGGCGGGCAGAGCCGTCGCCCTGCTGCCACTGGCGGACGACAAAGTCGTCGGACGCGGTGACAAGCTTTCCGTCGTGGACCCAGCTGAGGGTGGTGACCTCGCGGGAGTGGCCGCGGACGAGAGGCGTGCCGGTGCGGAAGATGGGGATGGGCGAGGAGGCGGGCGCGGCGGAGAAGGAGGAGGAGAAGGACTGCGAGGGCGTCGCGGCCGCGGGGGGTTCGAGGTTGTGGGCGCGCTGGGCCGACGCGGCGTGGAGGTAGCGCTCGTCGGTGGGGAAGAGGACGGCGCACGAGTCGGAGCTGCCGACTGCGAGGAGCTCCGAGGTGTGGGAGTTGCGGCTGGGACGGATGGCGCACTTGACGTAGAAGGACTGCGCGCGGAATTGGTCGTGCTTGAAGCCGTAGAGCGGCCCGAGGCCCTCAACGCCGGCCGGACGACGCTTGGCGGCGCCGTCGACGAGCTCGGGGGAGTGGCCGAGCATCAGGTGCGCCGTCGAGTAGGCGTAGACGGTGCTGTCCTTGCAGACGGCGTACAGGCGTGCTGAATCGGAGCTGAGGGCCAGGGAGGTGATGCCGTAGGATCGCCACGCGTGGGTGGCGGGCTCGAGGGTTACGGCTAGAGGCGTCTCCTCGGCTTGTCGTCTGGGCTTGATGTATCGAGTGTCCCAGAGCTTGATGGAGGCATTGGCCTCGGAGGCGGAGAGGAGGAGGTGCTCGCGGCCGGCGGGGAACCACTGGATGGCGGTGACGGAGGCGGCAGAGGTGTTGCCCTGGACGGTGCGCTCGTGGGCGTTGTCGAGGGTGTTGATAGTCCGGGCAGCGAAGGGGTGAAGGTTAGAGTCTCTTGGAGCGAGGCCTAGGGGACCGCGGGTGGAGAAGTTGTTGATGGGGGCAGCCGAGCATCGCAAATCCCAGACCTGGATGCGGCCGGCCCTGTCCGAGGTGGCCAGGGTGTTTCCGCCCGACGTGCCGGGTTGGAAAGAGATTTGTCGCAGCGAGTCCCAGTGACCGGCGTTGAGCTCGACAGCAACCGTCTGCGTCGCCGTGTCAACGATCTTGCCGGTCCGGTCTCCACACGCCGTTGCCAGGCGCATGTCGTCCTCGGAAAAGGCCACGTCCATGATGGCGTTGTCGTGGACCTTGAAGTGGGCATCGACCTTGGATTCGGTGGGATTGCTGGTCATGATCGTGTTGAAGAAGCGCACGAAGCCCTCCTCGTCGCCGATGGCCGTGACCGAGGCATTGTGGCAGCTTGCGAGGCTGAACGGAATGGTGTTGCCCTGCCTGTCATGGGCGGTGACTTGGTGGACGTCGGAGCTGCGGCTGTAGAAAGAGGCCGTCTCCGTTCGGGGGTCGGCGGCAGGAAAGGCGAGGTGCCGGCGGCCAGTGTGGGATGAGAAGCCATGTTCGCGGTTGAGAAGCTGAGGCTCGAAGCCTCGGTTGGCGAGTTTTCGGATGGGAGTGGGTTCGTATCCTTCCAGGGTCTACCTTTGGTTAGTAACCTGGGTGAGATGATATTTGGTTACAAACATACGGGAGACGCCTTGGAGATTCCAGAAACAGCTGGGAAGTCGTCGAGTATGGGCTTGTCCTTTAAGCTTCGAGCTCCTCCGCGGCTAGCTTTGAAGAATTGGCTCTGTCCACGAGTCAGATTAAGGGTAGCTGCAGGAAGCCACGCGAAACTTACCAGAGTAGCTTTCCGACGATCTGCAAGGTCTTCTTGGCTATCTTGAACAACGGGAGCATTGCCGGATATGGAAGCATCGGCATCTTGCGATACCTGGCTCGACTGGGTTGGGAGGTTGAGCGGCGGAGGCGGCATGTCATTCGACAGGAAGACACGCCTCTTAGTCACAGTGCCCTCCTCGTTGTGCCATTTCCGCTTCCTAGACTCATTCTCATCTTCATCATTTCCTAATCGGCGAGTCGGGGACGGTGATAGGGGATCCGAGGCCAGGGGGTCGCTGAAGATTGATTGTGGTGAGAGAGGTTGTCGGTTGACGGCGGAGGAGTCCAAGCTGCCCAGTATCCGGCGGCTTGTGGGAAGACTGAGGGAGAGGCTGGACCGGGGCGTGAAGAAGCGACCGAAGCGTCGGGGGGTGACTGAGGGGTTTCGCTTCTCCTTCCGTCGGCTGGTTCGGGATGGGGACATGAGGCCATTGACGGGGGACGAGGTCATGATGGGCGGCGGAGGGCTGGACGTGAAGGCCGCGGTGCTGCCACAGTGATGGTCCATGGCTCTCGCCTTTTGTACAGAAGGATTCGATTAACGGCGGAGTGGATGGTTGGACAGGAAACTGGGATGGGACGGGACAAAATTAATTACGGGAGACAGTAGAACATGTCGCAGAGAATCTGATTACGGAGAAGATTGGGTTGCCGGGTCGGTTTTGATAGAGCGGGGGGGTTAAATCGCCGGGGCTGGGAGGCGTAAGTGGAGCGGCCCGAACGCGGTCGCGGCGACGCGGAGCGTGTAAATTGGCGATGGGCGACTTGTTCGCGTTGAGCACTGTAAGCTGCAGCGGGCACCGCCACCAGCGAGCCACAGGTGGCTTGAACCAGCACCTGGGAGAGCTGCCCCAACTTTACTCCGTAGGGCACTTGCGGCTGTCTGCAGGGGGCGCGACGGCACGCCGCGGCGCTAAAGACGGCCAGCACGGCACTTTCGGGTGGGTGCTGTACGCACTCCAGCGCACCAGGGCCCTGGAGCTGGAGGGATGGATGCTGGGGAATGGAATGGAATCTTCATGACGGCGTGGCCGGGGTTGGTGACGTGACGAGCAAAGGGGAGGGGGGACATAATCGACGATGGAAAGAGTGAAGTTCACGGGCTGAAGCAATAAATATTAAATCCCCCCTAAAGGCTCTGGAATGCAATGGCGCATCTAATAGTCTAATAGTCTCGCTCCTAAAACCCAGCAGGTCTCACACGAGCTGGGACTTTTCAGCGGAGCCACTCCCAGCAGCCAGCAGCCAGCAGGGATCTGATCGCAGTGCAGCGCAATGAATGGATCATCCCCCGATTCCCCATACTCGGGGCTCCGTATGCTCCGTGCTCCATGCTCCCTCCCATCCCACATCCATGCTCCCGGTGGTTCCACGGTGGGCGACTGCAATGATGCCATCGACGAGGCCGCTGCAGGAACGCCAAAGGTGCAGTGACAGTTCCGACTACTGTTTTTACCTCCCGCAGATCTAAGCAGCCTCCAAAAGTTGCAGCCGCACAGTCTCACAATCATTTACTCCCTACCTATTTTTCTTTTTTTTGCCTCTTGTCTCGCTATCTGGGACCCCTTTTTATCCCCTCCTAATTGGCCGCCCTGTCTCAAGAGTCAACCCTCCGTGGTCCGTCCACACGAGCCAAAAAGCAAACCAATGGTGTCATCTCTCAGACTGATTCAACCATAACCACCACTCGCGTCGCTTCGTGCAACAACAGCGACCTACAACTACACCGCTGACCGAGTCTGCTCCCTCCTCCTTTTACTATCCTTGGTATCCTCTCAACTTCGCCCTCTCCCATCTCCCTCCGCATCTCCCCTCAGTCCCCCCCTGCCAGTGTCGGGCTCGCACCGCCTTACCATGTGCCGTTTTCTGGTGCGTCACTCCTCCGACTCCGGCCCCCTTTGGCAATCGCCTGTCTGCTGACTCTGACTCTCCGCTTCCAGGTCTACAAGGGCAGCGACGAGATTCTCCTATCGAAGCTGATCCTCGATCCCACCCATTCCATCCTCAAGCAATCCTTCGACTGCCGCTTGCGCCTGGTGAGCCACCGCCACCCTCTCCTAACCCACCACGAACCCCTCTGACTGAGATGCCTCCCACAGGACAAAGGACAGAACAACGCCGATGGCTTCGGCATAGGCTTCTACACCGATCCCAAACTTGGCTCTGCGCCATGCCTCTTCACGTCGACCATCCCCGCTTGGAACTGCACGAACCTCCAGCGAATCGCCACCAAAACCGCTTCCCGACTCATCTTCGGCCACGTCCGCGCCACGACCGAAGGCTCTCTGAGCGAAGACAACTGCCATCCCTTCACCCATGGCAGCCTGATGTGGATGCACAATGGCGGCCTGGGCGGTTGGAAGCACATCAAACGCCGCCTCGGCGAGCGTCTCGCCGACAAGTGGTATCTGGGAGTCAATGGCGGCACCGACAGCGAGTGGGCTTTTGCCCTGTTCCTCGACACCCTCGAGCGACTAGGCCATAACCCCAGCGCATGCCCCGAGACCGGCTTTGGGCCGACAGTACTACGTAAGGCCATGGAGCGCACCATCGCCCAGATCAACGAAATGACAGACTCGATCCCCGAGAGCATACTCCAAAATGAGGACGTGGACACCAGGAGTCTCCTAAACTTCGCCGTCACCGATGGGCATAGCGTCATCTGCACCAGATACATCAGCAGCTCGACCGATGAGGCCGCCAGTCTATATTATTCCTCGGGTACGCAATGGGTGACGCGGACAGCTGCGGCAGATGACAGGGAGTACCAGATGGAGCGCAAGGACAAGGGTGCGGACATTGTGCTCGTTGCCAGCGAGCCTTTGACATTTGAGCGAGGTTTGTGGTCCATTAACCCTGGCATCAATGACGTTGGTTACTGACTTTGTGACTGTACAGAAAATTGGGTTAATGTGCCAACAAACTCAGTGTTGACTATCCACAAACAGACTGTCATGGTTCATCCGATCGTCGACAAGTACTTCGAGCGAGATCCTTACCATATCCGCTCCAGTGCTTTTGTTCAGGCTAAGGGCCTGACTTCGAACGAGAAGACCCGCAGTGACTCAGCCAGCCCAGCAGCCCTCGACCGGCTGCAGCCAGATCTGGATGGATACCGAAAACTCATGAGCGGGACCTTGCCCTTTGGTTCGTCACGGAGCCTTAGTCCAGACCTCACCCGCCGATCCAGGACCCCCGCGTCCATGCGAGAAGCCATCACCCCCATCTCGCCCTCCCAGATCTCGCTGCCTACGTCCTCGAACAACAAGGTCGTCCCCGCACAGGGTAACATCAAAGTCAAGCGACGGACCGCCCAGCTCCTGGATAATACTCCCGACCTGGACCCGGGATCAGACAGCGACGAGCCGATGCGATCAGACGGAGCGAACCAGAGGAAGCTCTCGCAATTATTCCCTGAGCTGGTGTTGGGGCCCAGTGCGGGGCCTCAGGCTGCTAGGGTTTGAGGCCATGAGTCGTTGTATTCGAGCGTTGTTGTTGGACCTATTGGGGTTTGACGGGTGTTGGGGTGTGGTTCTTGTGTAGAATAGCTTGCACCGATAGGATGGTGTATATGGATACCCACGTATCGTGAAGATGCAGATGGGCGTTTGCGCGTTAACGAGGGCATCGGCCCTCGAGTTTGTGTTGTATAGCTGGGACGCAGAATGTTTGTACTCGAATGTTGGTATCGTAAGAGCTTGACTAAGCATAATAGACAAGTATCTCGTGCTGCTTTATAATAAGGTATCTTCGAAACAAATAAAGATAAGAACGTACTGTTGTATTGTATTGTTTAACGCCAAGGGATTCCTTCATAAGAATACACTAGAGGTACATCGAAGTACTTTAACCTAACCCCTAAACTTAGGCGTTATATTGGCGATTATCTAGATGCTGGTGATGCTCATATTTTTCTTTTCATTTCCTACTGGCTCATGTTCCACCTCCACCCGTTTATGTCTTGCCATCAAGAATGGATTGAAAATCCTCATGAATGTGTTCCGATATTCTTCTCCCTTACTCTCAAGCAATAGCATATCATCTGAAAATCTGTCTTCATGGTCAAGAATCTGCCACTCTGCAGCCTGAATATCGAACCCCAGCAACCACAGCCGTCCAGTTATAACCCAAGTGAGGAAGAATAATGACGTAAACATTACAAGTAGTGCCGTTTTTGATGAAGCCCCGTGATTTGTTGTGGGGGGTTGAGAGAAAAATAGGCCAGAAGCAAGTAAACAGTGGTTGCGAGGAATAAAAAGAGAAAAGAGAAGCTGACGCAGGTAAGGAAGGTGAAGGAAATAACCTTGCCGAAGTCGAATCATGATCCGTCATCCTTTCCAAGACCTCTGTGGAATGCACCGAGTTTTCTGTTTGCTTGTGGTGAACCCATGCTCGATAAAGCTGAGTAGTAGGAGGTAGTTCTGGACGAGAGCTGCTGATAGACTGTCGACTGGCAGTTCGGAGTTGGATGGGTGATGATGGAGATGAGGATGAAAGATGATAAAACGAGATACAACGGAGGGCCTTGTTTTGACCCAGTCTGGGCATCTTGTTGGCACGAACGCATGCTGAATGCAAACTCAATGCAGGCAGGCGGGACGAACATGAGGGATGAGTGATCAAGGTCTGTGGCTGCTTCCTCAGTTGTTCCTCACCTCAGACTGAGTTGACAACCGCAGGTGCTTGACCAAACCTAGCCGAAGGTGGCCAAAGTGGATGCAGGTTGACACAATGACCAGCTGCCCCTCTTCAAAGCATCAGTTTGAGGGCATCACCATTGACAGTTAGTCCTAGTCAAGTCCACGGGTTGAGGGTAGCATCACATCGCATCTTCTACGACAAAGCCTTCTACGACAAGGCCTTCTACAACCCGTTCCACATGAGAAGCCGGTAGACTTACAACATGCCCTGCTGCATCGCCATCATCCACTTCGCCCAGTGCAGCCACAATACCCTCTTCAAACTCGGCTGCACCGCACACTGCGACGCCCTCTGTCCCGCCGCCGACCAGCGCACCCTCGTCATAACGCGCTACCTATGGTCTTGCGAAGACTGCCACATGCGCCAGTGGCTTGCCAACGACGACTTGCGGTCCGCCGCCTGGACTGCGCGCACCGAAGCCTTGGAGGGGGACCGCGGGCTGCGCGTCGAGGCCCGCGCCGTGCTGTTCGACATGCTGCGCTGCCGGGAGCAGTACGAAGATAACCGCCTCGAGACCGCCCGCCAGCTGCAGGTGGAGGAGATCCAGTGGGTTGCCGAGTGGACGCTCGAGTACGGGCTGATGGTGTGGGACACGCTGTATGAGCGCCGGTATGGGCCCCGGGCCGCACGACGGCGTATTAAGCAACTACGCGCTCTGAGGCTGTGGGATCTGGTGGTGACACGGGATGCGCTGCGAGGCGGCAAGGAGCTGCGGCAGGAACAGGTGTCAAGATCTACGTGGATAGGTGCAGGTTCGCATATGTCTACGCTACACGAGGTTGTTGAAGTTGCTGACGAGTAATGTCTAGAGAACCGAAGCCCACAGCGTAAGGAGTTGCCACAGTTATTGACGTTGCTAACAAGTGCTATCTAGAGAACCAAGGCTCACAACGTAAGGAGTTGCCACGATTGCCGACGTTGAATGGCCCGGCACCAATATTTCGTGCCGAAGACCTCGAGATGCTCGAGATGGAACCATCGGAGGACGAACAAGAGAGGGAAGCTCAAGACCTGATGGATGTAGACGAGTCTGGAGATGTCATGATGGATGCAGATAGTCCGTACGATTTCAACCCTGCGTAGGAAGGGGGTCTAGGAGATTCTGATGACTTAGCGAGCCTTGTTCGGCCGTGAAACCAGACAACTGGTTGGGATTAGGGAAGCCAGCAATGTTCTCGCAAGACGTGCCCAGAGTTGGCGGCGATGGTGTTCGGACAGATGGAAAAGAAAGACGCAGAACAACAACCCATGTTCATCCCTCCCTAGTACATACACCAGTTTAGTCCGAAAGTCTTGAGGACCCATAGCGGAATTGATTTGGTTGTGGTAGATATGGATTCACTCGAACCCAAGTTTCATATACCTCCCCAGTAGATAGACAAGACGGAACAGCGCGCGTGCAGCGGTGAGCTCGCGACCAACAACGATGGCAAAAAAAAGCCCACGACACGAGCAAACCTTCTTTGGCACCATCAACCCAAGGCATCGCATCATGGGGTGTCGGCCCGGGGACTCTGCGAGGCCCCCGGGGACTTTGTCGAAGCCCCGGCCTTGACGCCCGAGTCGAGCAGCGCCCCCCGACCGGCACTCCATGCGATGGCCGGGGCTCTGCAAGCCGCTAGAAACCCGGGGCCCCGGCGGCGTTTGGGGCCCAAAAGAACCGGCGCCAGTAGGATTAAGCTACTTTCTCGATCGGAAGCGAACTCCCCGGGCCAGGGCAGGGTAGGAGTGGACTCTTTTTTTCTTCTTCTTCTCGTATGTATGCCATCGCATCGTATCGTGCGGGAGGGGCCATGGTGGGAATGGAACCCACCCCCAATCCCCATGGCGGCTGGCTGGGTGCTGCTCGGTTGTCCGTATAGTTAGGTACTGTACTCTCCGGGGCACGGCTATCCCGGATGCAGAACGCATTTCCATCCACGTCCGCGTCGCGATTGCAAAGAGTCCCCCGTGTGGTTTTTCTGCACGACACCCTGCAACGAGGGACCTAGTCTAGGTAGGCACGTTAGATAATGTAGGAACTTTTTGTTCCTCGACAACTTACTTATCCAAGCCAAGCCAAGCCCAAGCCCCCTCCTCCTCCTCTTCCCGAACCGAGCCCAAGCCGCAAGCCAAGCCCCGTCCCCCATCGCCAAAACATCCCTCCCCCCGCCGCCATCAAAAGTTCCCCCGCGCTTCCCACATCCCAACTCCAGCTTATTCCCACACCCACTCGCTGAAAGAGATGAACGCACAATCTGTTTGCAGCATCGCGACCGACCGTTTCTCTTCCACCCCTGCTGCTTGCCCTGCTGCCCTGCTGCCCTGCTCCTGCCCTGCTGTCCTCTCTGCCCTGCTGTCCTCTGCCTTAACTCCCTCCCTCTCCCTCCCCCCCCCCCCCCCCCCCACTCACCCAATCACGCCCACCTCGCCTCGCCTCGCCTCGCACCGCACAGCGCTTATCGCCCGTCCCGCCCCCCGGACCTCCCGCTGGCCTTGCGGTGACAGGTGGGGATGCCCGCCCTCGAGACTCGCTGTCGGCCGGCTCCGCCAGATGTGGCCGGCGGCGCATTTCGGGACCAGGGGCGGGTATAAGCTGCGGCGACGCTGCCTGGCTGCGAGTGCGAAGTGCGTGCCCAGTGCATGGCTCTCCATCCCAATCCGTGCCCATCGCCATCCATGCTCCATGCGTGGGATGTGGCGGTACGATTATCTGCTGTGCATGCCTGGTTTTGTCAACCTTGTGTCAACAGATCGCGTGGGGGCCTTGACCGAGAGCCAGCTAGGCCTAGCCTCCACGCCTCCACACGGTAGCCACTACAGCACTTACCTCCGTAGTGGACAATGACGAGACGAGGCTGTGGCCAAGGTAGCAGTGGGTATGTACGTAGTAGCACCACCAAGAACCATCGAAATAGTGTGCGTTACATGCAGATGGAATGCAGGGAGTTTCCATTCCAAAGTTCCTTCGCCCTACCCAGTTAGGTAGCTACCTCCCAAGCTACTAACTGGGTAGCTACCTACCTACAGGACCTAGCTACTGATGCGATGACACTATGCGACCCTGAGATGCCATGATAATTGCAAAGATGATATTCCGTTCGAGATATGCTAATGATGCTAAGCCGGTACGCCTTCGCTCCTCTCTAGATGCAACGGCTAAAAACTACAGTGGGTGATGTTACTAACCCCCATCATTCCTTTCGTCCCACCCAAAATCCAATCGCCCGAGTCCCATTTCCTCTGTGTCATCGAAACCCTCCCCATATCCCAATAACCCCCATCCCGACGCCAGCCAAACAGTCAAGCCAGACCGCCACCGTCACATCCCAGTAGTCGTAGAGATTTTTTTTCATCGTGATAATCAAAACATAATCCACTCCACCTCCACCCCTGGACCTCCAATGCACCTGGTCCAGTTGAATGGTCCTCGTCGGTTGCCAATCTGGGCCCCAGGGCTAGGTGCCTCTTCGCCCGTCCACTCGCTCACCCAGAGCTTCTCCATGACGTCGAGAGCCGCCAAGTTGTTCATGTACCCGGAACGAGACATGATGTCTCGGCACTTGGTTCGCACAATGTCTTGCTGTAACGAGTTGACACACTCGCAACCTGCCACGAACAGCGGCCAGAGAAGAAACTTCTCAGCCCGGCTTCCCGTCTCCAGGCTGGTGGCGTAGTAGACCACCTGGCTCACAAGGCCTTGGATGCTCTGGTGGCTGGGTGGTAGAGAGGGGCTTACAAGCCGCTCGGTGTAGAGTAGCGCAGCGTAGCGGAACGCCTCCGATAGTGACTGCAGGTCTCGCAACTGGGCCGTGCTGGGTGACCCTGGCAAGGAGTCTGCAACACGCGCGACATCAAACTGCCACTCTTGGAGTGCAACACGGGCCTCCTTCCACTCATGCCAAAACGTGGAGCGATCGCCATCGTAATTTGTTGTCGAGCAAGCCCCGGGCGAGAGCATATCGTTCTCGCTTAGCGTTGTGCCGAAGCCGTTTCCATCAAATCGAGGATCGGTGAAGCTGCCACAAACGTTACCGGCCTGTTGCCCCTGCATGCCACCAATCGCCAGGTTGTCCTTGTAGGAATGTCCCAGGGGTGATATGTATGACGGCGACGGCGAGGCGGCGGCTGCACTGCGAGGTCCCGGGGAGGAGGCAATGGTTTTGACCGGACGGTTCTGGGAAAGTAGATTCAGTCGACCTAGCTTGCGGATAGTCTTGAAGAGCTCCCTATCACAACCGACCAGGTTCTCGGCACCAGCGGGTAGGGGTTCATCGTCTGATACTAGTCCAACAGAGGTGGGGTTGAGCTGAGCCTCTCGGTCGTTAATGCTAGCGGAGATAGCGTCAAAGTAAGTAAAGAGCGCTTCCATCCAGGCGGATTCTCCCGAATTGGCATACTGGCGCGATCTCAAGGCCAGGATCTTGTTGACACCAGCAAACTGGGTGTGGAACTTGGCAATGCCAGACTCAACCATGCGGTAGTGGCACAGCAAAAGAATGGTGGCGAGGACCGAATCGTGGCTAGACTTGTTTGGGTCGTTGAGCTGTTGGTTGAGGAGGTGCACAGCCATATTGCGGTGCTGATATTCCTCGGCGAGGGACTGGTCGTGGGATTGGGCATCGGCCATGGCTTCAGCGGCGTGTTTCTCGGCCATCAACTTTTCCGACAGTTCCCGGGTATCATGCCCGAGGCTCAACTTCCTCTTCATGCGCAAATTGCACGATGCCAACGCGCAGATGGCATGTTGTAAACTCCGACTATTCCCAGCCAAATGCAGGACATGTTCGCGGAACGGGTTTTGAGGGCCGTCGATGAAAACCATTGACGGACACATGACGTTCTCATAATAGTCGATGAAGAAAGGCATCTTAGAAGTCAGATCTTGGGTTATCTGTATCGACTGGCTCTCTGAAGCGGTTGGCCAATGAGACGGCGCAAAGTCCGAGTAATGCGATTTCACATCCTCCTCTTGAATAGACGGCGACTGCCACACTCGGGGTGCCGAGTTGTAGCTGGTGCTGTAGGCGTCGACCTCCGGGACGCCTATCAACAAATTAGAACATGTGGGGTGCACAAGGCGCCTGAAGGAGCTCACTGTAGGTGTCACAGTCGTGAATGAGCTTTTGGCTGAGCTGTGACTCAAAGTCCATGTGAGAATGGATGCTGGAGCCCGGGTCTGAGGGGGCGTGTACAAGGCTCGGGCACGAGGTCGGAGCCATTGTTCTCGAGTGATCCAAATAGAGAGAGGAAGGAGGGCTCTGCGGGCCGGGCGAGCTGTTGCCAGTCGCGTAGTTCTCGTACATGAGAGTTGGGCTATGGCCATACGGTATGTCGTCTCTGGTGAAGGACTGGCTCATCGGAGAGAGGTAGTCGACTTCGTGGAGAGAGTCGATCGAGGAGGAAAGGTCCTCGGTGACGAGCGGGAGAGGGAACCTGGTAAACTTCGGGGTCGTATCCGGTGAGTGACTGAGAACAGGAGAGTAGGCAATACTTCCCCAGCTGCCATGGGGTAAAGGGGGCGTGTTCTCGGGGTGCGACATTGAAAGGTAGTCGTATCCAGCCATGGGATAGGGAGTTGTGGGCGCCGAGGCAACCTGCGTGACAACGGGAATGTCAATGGGTCGGCGAGACATGGCACCAATATCATCGTGTTCCGCTCCTGGGATGGCCACGCTCGAGATGGAGCTGCTCGATCTCGAGCGGGAACCTGACAGCTTCTTGGGCTCACGAGTCACAGGGGGTGCTTTTGCGATGGGCAGAGACAAGCCGCGAAGCTTGCCACGGCTGGCAACTCCAACTCCCCAGGTCAACTGCGTCTTGTACCCAGAGCACTCACTGCCCACTTCAAGGCATTGAGAGCAGTACGGCCGCCGTCGGTCGCACTTGATGTTCTTCTTGGAGCAGGAGAAACAGTCATCAGAAGCACCACCAGCGGGAGCGCGTCTTCTGCGCTTGCGCACTGCCGAGGGGTCTTTGACCGCGATGGTCTGCTGTGCCAGAGGTGCCGTCATTGTGAACGGTGTTGTAGGTGTTGAGTTTGGTTTGTAGAGGAGCAATGGTCGATGGCGAGTTCAAGGTCCGTTGGGGCTAGACTGGCAAATCTCGACATACGAATAGAAGCAGTTGTTGTAGAAGACAAGGCAGTTTGTAATGTCGAGTATGTAACGGGGTAGTATCCTGCCAAGATGTGGAGAGAGAGATCAAGGATTCTCGTGGGGCTTAGGGTGGGAGTGTTGGTCGTTATGAATGGAAGAGATGGAAACGGCACACGAGGCATGTATATTGAGCAGGGCATTTACATGTAAGTGGCGTCGGGGGCGTGGTGTGAAAGAAGGACGTAAAGATGAAGAAGAACGGATAGAGGTTGTAGCAGAAGCTGGAGGGAGTGTCTGGGTTTGGACCAGTACTTGAGACCCTGAAGCCGGCAGGGGTAGGATGGGGGTGATGTGGGATGCGGGCGTGCGCGCCTTGGCCAACTGTGTGGGAGAAGAACGAGGAGGGAGAGACAGAGAGAGGAGGGAGATGCAGGTGAAGCCGAGTGGAGTGGTGGAGTGCAGTGGAGGCGATATCTAAGTAGGGACGAGATGGACGCCTTGGTTGGAGCAGGATGGGATGGGATGGGACAGGACAGGACAAGACGAAGCCGGTACATGATAGGACAGGATAGGATGGAATAAGAATGGGGGAGGGGGGGAGGGTACTGGCGCTGGTGTTGGCATCATCCATCCCCAGCCTGTTGCGTTGCGTTGCGAGGATGAACTGGGAAGATCAGCGGGGCATATCGGCCGAGGTCAGCCTGGCCGGGCCTCCCCTGTGGTAGCCGCGATGTGGTGGTATCTTAGTATCTTAGTATCTGAGTAGCCCAGGCCCAGGCAATGGCGCTGGCAATGAGATTGGGGCGGCGGCGGCGGCGGCGTGGGTGCCATGGCGGTCATGGTTGATGGCGACAAATACGGATGAGTGATGGACTCGGAGACGATGGGGAGACTCTCGATGGGTGGAGGTGGAGGTGGAGGGGTGGGAAAGCGGACAGTCGTGGATGGGAAGGAAGGGGGCGGGATCGCGGATGGAGGTGTGGATGGTGTGGTGGACGGACGGGAGCGAGGGTACGTACCTCCGGTGGTGGAAGGAAGGAGCTGCTGCAGCAGGGACTGGACGATGCAGCAAGGACACTGCAGTGAAGCTGCAGGCATGTGCGGCAAGGACCCAGTCCGAGCAGGTACCTACAGCGCCGCCTGCGAGGCCAGAGGGCCCCTGTACCTTGGGGTAGCTGGTGCCCCAAGCAGCAGCCAAGAAGCCAAGAAGCCAAGAAGCCAAGCATCCAAGCATCCTGCGCGTGCCCCGCCAGGGGTGGCTTCGGGGCCCTAGAGGCGGTGGTTAGGGGACCCCGGCTAAGGCGCTCTTAGGAGCTAGTGGCCGCCCGGTACATGATGTAGCGGCGCCGCCGTCGATGGAGAGCGTTGTACCGTCGCTGCTCCGGGCCTCGCAGCTTTACCCTCAACTCGATCCATATCTTGCGAGCACTATCTGGCCGGATGGGGGTCCTTGGTCCAAGCAGCCGGACCTGAGGAATGCACGTCCGCCTGGGGCTGATACCGAACATATCGCCCGGGTGCCCCTTGGACATGGGTGTGGGCAGCAGTGCACACAGCAAGCAGTGGTGGTGCCCAGTGGTGGTGCACAGCAGTGGTCGAGGTAGGTTAGCGACCTGGCATGGAGCCGGACATATCCAATCCCCTCCCCTCACCTCACCCTGTCCTCGTCTTCGGGGTGTTTTCCATACCTTGTGCTCCGGCGTCCGACGATTCACTCGCTGCCATTCATCCCGCTCCAATCGCCCATGAAACCACACTCTTTTCCTCCGAGTTTTGGGGGCCGGATCGGGGGCTGGTCCTAGGAAAGGAATAGGGCGCCAAGTCGGGGACGATACTCAAGGGGATGGGTGATAAATGAGATGAGATGCACGAACTGACAAGGGGGAGAGACCAGGGCACAGGGGGGGCCAAGGTGACGATGAACGGGAGGACAAAGGAACTAGCCGACGGGAATTTCGGGTCCCTTGAGACGCCGTTTCGCCCCAGCTCCAGCTGCTCGCTCTCGCAGTCGCTGGTCTCCGACTCATCAGTAATCAGTTCTCTTTTCCTCGTGCCTTGCCATGCCTTGCCTTACCTTCCTACCTTATGCTTGGCAAGTCCTTGGCTTTCTGACAATCCCACCCTCGCAACAACCCAAGGCCGCTTGGAAACTGACTGCCAACCACACCATACACTAACAAGGCAAGATAAGCCTGCCACTAAGCCAGGTACCGTCTCACCTGCTACGTAGACGGCGGACGCCATGGAAGGCCATTGGAAACGGTAGAACAGAGGTTTTTTTTTTTTTCTCTCTTTTCTTGCCGCGCTCCATAGCCAGTTGTGCGCATCTTGTGGCGGAGACCCGGAAACGCCGAAGGATGGCGGTCGTAGTGCAGCCGCTTGTATCCGAACCTAATTCAACGTCACTTCTTCCAACGGCCCGGTCCTGTCGATTTCATCCACGCATCGGCAAGATAAGCCCCTTGCTGTTCTGCGCTGTCTATCTGGAGATTTTTTCTTCTTGCGTTTCTCGTACCGCAACTAATCGAGCCAGCATCGTGTCCGTAGCCACAGCACCATTTGCAGCAGCCGGCAGCAAGGGCCCACTGGATGATACCAGACGCAGGCATGCCAAAAGCCGCCGGGTGCACCTTAAATCATCCGCTGCGTCGTTCATAGGCGCTAAAGCGATCCACTCCCAGGGCCTCCTATACGTACTAAGGTGCGCAACTCCGGTCCTTTTGCAAAAGCCCACCTCACCTCACCAACACAACCCACCTTGGGCAGTTGGGCTACCAATCTACGACAATCATCACCAGCACAACTTGTTACACCTACTGAGTTGTGGGCTTCGGTTCCAGTAGGAACTCCACTTCCGATTAACATTGTCCTTTGTATTGCCCTCTCTCGAGACGCTGCCCTCACCACCCGTCTTCCCCTCCTTCCTCCTTCTCACTTAACCGTGGCTTGCTAGGTTCTCGCCTCCTACTCAGCTAATGCGGATGGCCGCGATGTCTCCCTGTTCCCATTTTTGTCAAACATAAAGGCCGCGTTGGGCCGAGCTAGGTCGCCCCTTTTGAAATCTCGGTATGAGCTCGTCATCCATCAGGCAATGGCGCCGCCACAGAGAAAACCCTTCACAGGTGGTGGTGGCTAATGTGCAAGACCGGTGGGAGGCAAGATGGATCGTCAGGTCCCGGCCCGTCCTCCACTAGACTTCTCGGTGTCCATACCGACCTGCCGGGCTGGACTGGTGACATTCTGGTTACGTTACCGGTCTGATCTCTGTGGAACCATGGAACCAGCCAATGCACACCGGAGCGCCGGATTAGATTCAGCTTCAGCTACCATGCGCTCTCGTCGACGCAACACACGTCCGATGAGGACACCCCGGAGGAGCTCGTCCTTTCCGCGGACAGCCATGGCCGGCACGGGAGACATCTGGCCATATGGGCTCACGCCATGATCATGGCAAAAGGATCGCGGCAATGTTCACGGACACAGCGGCACCCACGGACGGTGGGCAAATGCCAACCCTGTGTAAACGAACACGGTGAGTGCACCATCGCTCCTCGGCGGGCCCTTTAGTAGCTTTCAGCGGCTCTCAACGGCTCCCACTGGCCTGGTATGTCCGTAGTGGACTCCTAGCGGGCGCCTCTCGCTGTCCCTCGCCCGGCTGGTGTCCACCCCAGAAGCTTGCTCTGCCTCGGGTCCATAGGGGCGGGGTCTTGGTTGACATCCTGGCGCAACTGGCGTCCTTTTAAGACCTTCCATGCATCCTTCCACCAGTCTTCGCCGCCCAGGCGCTAGTCGTATCTGCTCTAGTTGCTGACTACTCCAAGTACGTACTCCCTAGCGCCTTTACCCACCCTCCTCATCGGCCGCTTCCCCACTCCACCTCACAACGTATCCTAGCAATCTTGCTTGGCTCGTCGCCTCCCAGGATCGTCGGTCCACTTACATCATTCATGGACTCACAGCTTGCTCTCTCCAGCCTCTGGGGGATCGCACTCCCACCGAATACAAGGACGTGCACGAGTGGGCGGGAGTCCAGACGCACGATAGCACAGGACCACGGGAGACAGGGACACGCATGTTCACGCCGGGTGAATGGGAACATTTGTTCGCTTCCAGAAGGGCAAAGGGCACCACCGTGACCACGCCAAAGACGGCGGGTGACAGTGGAGAGGAGCCAATCGCGCACGCGTGGATCTAGTTGACCAGTGTCGCAGCGTCAGGGCTTCACGTCAGCGCCGCAGGCGAGGGAGCAAGGACTGTGCCACACGGGATCGGAGCCACGATTGTTCAACGGGATTGAAGATCATGGGAACCCTACTCAATCCTTTCAACCTTCAGCGCGTTCTGCCCGTGTGGCTCTTCGGGGCGACGTGCTGTACGACACCCAGTGACACTCGCCCTGCACGCCACACGCACACGCCGCTCTCGTCATCTGAGCACTCGCCTTGCAGCCATCACATTCAACGCCAACCACTCAGAATGACAATCCTTGCCACACTTGCTATCTCAACCAAACAAACCCCTCCGGGAGCTGGCCGCCCGGCTCTCGCGTCACCCCATCACAGGAACTTCTTGTTCTCCAGCCGCCAACCCTTGCCAACACACTCGTGAGGGGCTGATGAGGGGCTGCCTGCGTTCGCTGCGAAGAGCCGCTCATGTCCGGGAAGTGCGCCGCCCACCACTCAACGACGCCTTTCTGCAGCCATCGTGCATTGGCAGGTCAGCCTTCCCCGACTTTACCCATCCTTCATCTATCGGCTTGACAGCCACCTTTCTAGAACTTTGGCACCCTGGTAGGCATCCAAGGTCCTGTTGGTTCGTTGGCCCAATCGCGGATCGTGAACGCTGCCGCCGGCGCTCCTGCTAGTGGTTGCGGTGGCCCTGATGAGAGGAACGCGCCAACGCCATTACGTGGTGACGGTCATTTTCCACACAGCTTCTTTTTTTTCTACCGCCATCGCATCGACACTTGCCAGTGAGACGGCATCTAACCGCGCCGGCCCCCGATCTGCCAATGCTACGTAACCGCGCTCTGATTTCTCACTGTGCTGGTGTCAGTTGGTTCCCTACGGACATACGCGGCAGACATCTTCTGTTGCTCACCTAGGGCCTTCTCAAGGTAAAATCCTTGTCCGCTCTGTAGTCGTTGAATCTACCTTACCTCCAGCTCCGTACGGGCGGTCCCGATATCACGAAAGGGGTCAACGCCGTGCTGATGCCAGACTCGTATTAGCAGTGATCGCCCGAGACAGATCCCGTCAACCACCTGTGAGCCGCAGAATCCCATCGGTGAGCGCGAGACTGCCGATCCTGCACTCAAGGATGGGACGTATCCCAGCTGACTACCGTATATCAAGGCAGCGCTTCTCCCTACTGGAGATAGCTAACCAGGCGACCCCATGAAACACGCCAGTTAAAACCACTCGCAGTGGGGGTCGTCCTCTTGGCCTGCGTCTGTTGCTGTGAGTGAAGGATTACAGACGCTATTGCTGACCCCGGTAGTCCTTGGCTTGTGATATTTGCCCTCACATGAGCTTCCAGTCCTCCCGTCAGCTGGGGGACGGAGGAGCTTGGAGACTGGGCACCTTATCAATGCCCCTGAGCCCATCCACAGTGCTTGGGTTGTCCCCGCTTCGATTCAAGGTAAGGTTCGCTTGCCTCAGACGAACCAGCTGGGCGGTTCTTATTCGCGGCCAGTCCATGATGGAAGGCCATGAGACGAAGCACAGGCACACAGGAACCCTACCACCAAACCCCCCGGTAGTTTCCAACAGGGACGCTGCAAAACACCGTGGTATCTTCTCTGTCCCCTGGAAACCCTCTCGTTTGGGACCGACTGCAAGGCGCACCAATCAGATCAGGTTGGTTTGTGACTAATGCAACATGTCAACTGTAAGCACTCTCAGTGTTAACAGCAAACAAAGTGGTTGTCCAATGCCGCGACTCAAAAACGAGTACCGGTGCATCTCACTTGCTGCAAACGAGTCTTCCCCTCACCACACTACCTTGCCTCCGAACATCCTAGCAAGAGCCGGCTTGCTGCGGGGACGACGGGGGTTGTAGTGGCATTCCAAGCCATTCGACGACTAGGGCCTGGGCACAGACGCTAGTCGATGAATCGTGCGTTAGAAGGACCGAACGATGCTGCATGGAAGCCCGGCCCAAGGTCTAAGCCTCGTACATTGCAAAAAGCCCTGCCACTCAACAAGGGTTGTCACACTCCCTGCCAATCAACTTATCCCCCCGTAAACGTCGCTTCATTGACCGCCGTAGAAGTGGCCAAACAACCAACACCACTGATACTGCTGGCCTTGGCTTTGCTGGTATAATGGAGAAACCCCAGATAAACCCGCTTTGGCTGGAAACTAGCATTCACAATCCACCGCGGTCAAGGATAACGGTGGAGCCAGGCCTTTCCGAAGAACCGCCTTCGGATATGAGGAAACACCTAGTTAACCAGAAGCTGCTTCCGTCCGGGAGCAAGTATCCTTGACCATGGAAACGTTCAGACGAGCCGCCCATTTTCCATTGCGGGGGACTCCGAATGGCTCGGCAGACTCCACGAACACTGACCACATCCGAAATCCCGTCGACGTCCCCAACGGGCCGCGGTGGCTTCGGCATCACGATCTGGGCAAAAGGCCTTCACCGACAGGGGCGGAAATTTTGCTCCCACTGGGGCCTCCCACTAATCAAGCGCGGCTCGGAGACAACTACATCAGGTCGCCGAAGTCAATGGCTCAAACGGCGCAATACGCGGAGCGAAGTGCAAGACTTGATACCTCTAGTTTTGATCCCCGTTATCCCGATAACTGCACCATCCTCGGCTTGCGAAAATCGACCTGTTCACGCAGTTCACAAGCAGGCCCTGCTCCAAATTCCATTGCCCCTCACCGTTCCATCATTCGGTCCACCCCAAGACGGAGGCAAATGTTACGTTGCTGTCATAAACGAGGGCTGGGCGAATCAGAGGCCAAGGGGCGAGGGCGCTCCCCACGAATTATTACCTGTGTATCGCTCGCCTCGGCCAAAACCCCGGCGTCTAGCGGGCGACAAGCCCTTGGCTACAGTCAGAGTGGATTGAGTATCTGAGGTCTGCAGGTTCACGATCTCAAAAGGCGCTTCGTATTCCTTTCACCACTCTCCGCAATTGTGTCGTCATCTTTGATGTGCTGCCATGTCCCAATACCGAAGGCTTGAATCAACGCGGAATCTGTGAGGCAAAACACGAGATATCAAACATCAGCTCAGCGCCCAGCCAATATCAGGAGATTTATCGGGTATTAAAGGCTTCCACCACCTCGGAATTATGAGCGTCGGAAAGGCTAGACATGTATTGGGAGACGGCTGAGTCTCAGCTCCAGTACAGCTAGGTTTCCCCGCAAACCTGGTCGCCACTTGCTGGCATTTCATGTCCATTTCAACAACCTCGACTTCACGTGCCAAACCTAGCATTCCAAGACGTAATAGAATCGTCCTTTTGACTAATGAGTTCGACCAGGGGCAGTTCACGACATGGTCATGAATCCCTTAGTCTCAATTCCCCAGACACTTGGCAAACGCCGGCAGCGACGGTTGTGGTCCCGAACCTGCTGCCGCCAGTCCCGCCATCTGGGGAGTTGAAGCCGTCATGGTCAAATTGGATACGCCCACGCCACGTCGCTGCCGTCACGAAGTTGACTTGATTAGACTGGCAGGCTTGAAGCGTACTAGGACGAATCGGTTGGTTCTACATCGGTGCCCAACCATTATTGTTCTGCACTGCCACATGTCATCAGAGACTCCGCTTCTCATGACAACATTGAAGCCATCAGGAGACCCATCTCAATGAAACTGCAGAGTCGCATTCACTCAACCGTTTCCCCGTTTTCAGGGACATTGAACCCTTCTCGCATTGGCCCACAGGCTTGCCCTCTTCTAGCAAAAGTCCCAGGTTCTTTGTCGAAAGTACGGTAGCATCTAGATATGGGATGCACTAATGACACCATGATGCGGTGATCTTCCCATGACAAACCTCTTCCTCCATCAGGCGGACGATTCTCCGCCAAGTTATGTTGAGGATCCGGGGATCCCCACTCCCCGCATTCTTTGCCCCTTTACTCCACGGAAATGAGGCAAGGCTGGAGAAGGGCGGCCTTGAGAAGCTTGGTCTGGGGTTAGTCACTGCCAACTGACTGATTTGGATATTGATGTGTCATGGCTTGTCGCGAGGTACAAGTGTGCCCCTGCGTCACTTTGCCAGACCAACATGCAGGAACCGAGGTCTTATCTTGCAACAGACCGCTATACTCGAAGTACCTTCCGTTCCTAGCATGAAAGCGCCTCGATGTGTGATTTACCACCGTTGCAGGGTTTGCTGCAGCTCATCGGGATCGGGTGGATGGGGGGCGGAAGTCGGCCACAAAGCCTATCTTGAAATGTCGATCCCTCCCACCTTGGCAACCGAATGTGGAGTCCCACTCGATCAAAAGATCCCTTACGGCGAGCACAATCACTTATCTGTGAACCGGCAGAGGCCGACAGAAGAACCAGACAAGCTTTTCTGGGCCAGGTGCATCAGGGACACGCGGGGCAAGCCGCTGCGATACCTGACGCGTCGATCATGTAATGGCGCAGGGCGGGCTAGCCCAAAAGTAGGTGATGAGCCGCAGGACACCACCTCGGGCGGCAGATGTGTAGAATACTTTCCTGTGAAGACGATCGCTGCTGTCCGCCGGGGTGGCATTGCATCTTCTAGAATCTGGGGAAGTGGGCTCCCTCGGCGTTATCACGACGGAAGACTTCCGCTCCCGTAGGCCGATGTGGCTTCCAAAGTTGCGTGAGGCTATTGCCAAGTTCCATACCAGCTGAGTTTGGCAGGTCCTGAGATATTAGTTGTCACCGCTGCCCCTAACATTAGTTGACATCGGATGATAAGGGATGAATTAGCTCAGGAGGGACATGATGCTGTTCCATGGCTTCAGCTGAGACCGGTAAGTGTGCCAGGTGCCGGCCCCTCATGACAAGGAATGAAACCGTAGCCACACGTTCGAGAAGGAGTCTTGGAACTAACGGGACTTATCCAAGAGTAGTATTCTTGTTTCGGTACATTGTTGGGTCTAGAACCTTTTGTCCTGATATTCAGGACGGGGCGTAGGGTAGGCCCGTTTCGTACGCCCAGCTGGTTAGGGGGTTCCTAAACCGCCTCCCAGCCGCGTTTAAACGAGCATAGCTTTGATGCAGAAAGAGAAGAGGTAGGCTCTTTTTTCTTGTCAATTTTTGGGCGGATTTTGAATCATGGATGGCGCTGCAATGTTTGTGGATAGTGGTTGGATTATTTGCACTAGAACGTGGGAACTGTGAGGGCAATTATACATCCTTTGGCATTCACCAAAATTAATGAAATGTAACAATATTCAAGACTCATAGGTACTAATTAATTTAAACGCCTATTTCTTAGACGTGTTCAATATTTGTTCCTGTTATGATGACGCGCCAACACCGTATTGGCTGGCGTATTTTCCTGGTTGTCAGCAAAACTCCACGCGTACTTCGCGATCATACTCTCCCCAACTTCGTAGGTATCCAGCTCGACTACGCCTACCCCTCAAGAGTTTTCTTGATTTCCCGTACCTTACCATTGATCCAACATAACAACGTTGGTTTATGACATGTCGGCACGCTCTACAGATCTGCCCCATATTTTGTACATCGATGATCCTGGGTTTCACATACGTAAAATGTGTCGGTTGACTGCACGTGCTGGGACTGTGCTGGGACTCAAGCAAGAAACCTGGGAGATGCATATACGAGCTGCAAGTAATTACGCCCAGCCTTATGAGCGGATCTTTGAGATATATGGTAATGATCTGAGGGGGAAAATGAAGTATATAAACCCGGGCTCCCCCCCAATCGAATATCCTGAATCCTCTATATCAACCCATGAAACATTCTCTACGATGGTGTATGTCACGAAGATTCTATGGCTCATGCCGGCTGTGATGAGTTACATGGTGCTATTTGGCGTCATCCTCGGCCTCGGCCACGACCGGTGATACAACCGCCTGACTGGCAGCGTGGCCACCGACGCCGTTTATCAGATCGGATTGTTGGGAGTTCTCACGCAGCAGACGAAACTCTCGCCAAGGCGTCACTCATTTCGGCTGTATCTTGAGCCTACTTCCAGGCCTTTTGGAGAGCAACTTGGAATGACCAGCAGCCCATCAACTTGGAGGACATGGGCGTGTTTATATCTGTGCTGGGGAATGGCCTGTCTCTTACGAACTTCGCAACATGGTGGAAGTGGCTGTTGCTCTTGCTTATTGCCATACCAGCCTGGTAAGCTTGGTGAGGAACAAGTTGTTATGGCGCATAACTGTTAATAGATTCAAGACTTATACCACTCGTGTCTATCGTCACGCCAGCTTCACTTACGGTTGGTATCACGCATACTCCCTCGCAATTGCTCCACGTTCCTGACATTGCATTTGACGGGTTGAGTCTCTTGGCTCTGATACACTAGCTGATACGGTGGGACTAATCCAGCATATGGCAAGACAAGCAAACGGATCGGAGTGCTCTAGGATAGTTCCATACGTCTACAATGGGTCCGAAGACTCGGCGAGGCGAGTAATTCTAGCAGCAGCTGCCCAAGGAACAACACTTACTATTGACGCACCGGCGTTCGATTCGAATTGGTCACTGGATCTCACAGGACGGGAGAGCTTAAGTGCCGGTTCAAAACAATCATCGCCAAATTCACGCCGGAAAACTGCACGAAGCACCAGGCCTTGGAGCGTGGACGCCCCCTGGATTGGCTCGACCTGAACGATCGCGCCCTGCTGCCACACTTGGAGTTGGATGAAGGAAATTTTACACTCGACGCTGGAGCATCGAGGAATCGCTACTGGCTAATGGAGGCCCCAATGTTCGCCGCCGTCGTGCCTTCGTCGTTACAGTATACTGGTGCTTGGAGAATTTGGTGTGCAAAGTTGCTAAGAGGGATGGCACATGAAGAGAAAGTCGAGGATCTCTGCGATACGAATTCTACCATGTTGCGTTGCGACATGTACAACTTGACATATCTCACCGATAAATTAACAGATGGAAACCGGAGGGTCGATGTCAAGGTGACAGATATCAGCGAACCCCGTTCTCATTGATCATCGACGATACCACCCTGTACGAGAAGGGAACAGACGACTCGCCCTCGACGTGGCTCGCAATACCGAACAGCCTCGGAGCTGCACTTTCAACACGGATCTTATGCGACATGTCTCATACCAGGCCAATATGGATACCTCAGAGCAGTTGATGACGGACCGAGGCGAAATTGGCGCGGCAGGATAGTAGCTTGGCCTGCAACATCGACACCAACACACACGGTGCTTGCTCTTATGCCGGAATCGGACTTCATCATGGACAACAGGGAATCTCTCAACCGGAATTTGACGTCGCTGCAGAGCCTGAGCCCGAGCTGAGCGTTGAGTTACAAATTAAGGATCTTGATGGGAAAAGTTCGCTACTGGAGTACATGAAGTGGTAAAGGACAAGTTTCGAACAGATGGAGCGGATTCGAACCGGAGGAGGTAGAAGGAAACGAACCCGTGCGATGGTAGGTAAGCTGATTTTTGATACGTGCTTTGGATGCGATATTCCTTGGGCGACAATACTTCACCAGTTGGACGGCAATAAGGGACCGAGATACCAAACCCCAGTGGCCGACCTGCCGCGTCCTCCGCTTACTATCCGATGCGAAATAATATTTGGAGAAGTTTGGAGCACGACGTTCAGCTACACCTGTGAGAGTTATCTTGAAATACCGCAAGCTCTATCTCAGTATCGACGTGGTTTCTTGGGGTCTCAGAAAGTTCTGATCAAACCGACGAATGCACAAAACACCAAGAGACGCCCCTCCCACTCTATCAACGAGAATTGGACCGTGGGGTAGAACCTCGAAAGATACTTTGGGAGGGCTGAATTGGCAGCGTCAGTAGCCTACCAAGGAGAGGATGTGTTGACTAAAACCCTCCAGATGAAACAGCGTCATGAAGGGAGTACAGCACATCGAAGCCTCGTGACTCAGGCGCGTAAACGACTATTGAGACATTGACTTCAACTGGGACTACTTACCGGCCGTTGGCCATTCAACGCTCTATATGGTCGAATTTAACTTGAACTAAAACGTGGCATGGTAGCGCTGACATTTGCCATTGGGTGAGCTCTCAGTCGAGGATCAACGACATTGTCAGCATTGTTCCAAGAGCGAGAGCTAGCCCTGCTTACTTGCCTAAACAAGAAACAGACGGATTCTTTGGCAAATCAAACTGACGATCGATTTAGGGCTGACGGTAAGCTAATTTTTCTGCCAAGATCTTGCTTATAGAGGCTGGGGTATAACTATGACCCTTGGGTTTTAGCAGGCGAAGGTGGAGGGATCATGGTACGGCGGAGATGGCTTGAAAGGGCTGGAATGTTTTATCTTCGGAAATCAATACACGATGACTGAGAGAAATATGGAGATGGAAGATAAATGCCCATACGGTGTTTTAGCGTGTCCTACTCATAAGGCGGATGATTTGGAGGATTCGCATGGAGCCCCGTGCTATTGGGTATGCATCGTCTTGAGCTTACGATAACTTCATCCGTCCGACACCAAGCTCTCACAACAGCCCAAATGGGTTTCGATGGGATATTTGATATTAAATTGATTTCGCTAATGGGCCTAGAAGGCCGTTGCATGCGACTCATTGGTCGTTTTGCTTGTCAACACTTTCCTCCCATGCCCGTCTCATCGTCCTGCCAAAGCTGCACCGCCGGGACGAATCGACCACTGTCCTTGTGGTGCGATATTATGCGACGTAAAAAATCATTTGCAGTCACTAACAGCGAGCCATCGCTCTCCGGGACTTCGCCTAAGCCTTCTTCTCAAGCTCGGCGACAATGTCCTTCTCGAGGGCCTCGGGCTTGGTGGTGCTGGCCCAGCGACCCTTGACCTTGCCGTCGCGGCCGATGAGGAACTTCTCAAAGTTCCACTTGATGCGCTTGAGGCCCATGAGGCCCGGCTGCTCGTTCTTGAGCCACTCGTAGAGGGGGTGGGTGCCGTCGCCGTTGACCTCGATCTTCTTCATGATGGGGAAGCTGACGCCGTAGTTGAGCTGGCAGAAGCTCTGGATCTCCTCGTCGGAGCCGGGCTCCTGGCCGCCGAACTGGTTGCAGGGGAAGCCGAGGACGACAAAGTCATCGGGGTGCTTCTCCTTGAGGCCGGTGTAGAGCTTCTCGAGGCCGGCGTACTGCGGGGTAAAGCCGCACTTGGAGGCCGTGTTGACGACGAGGACGACCTTGCCCTTGAAGTCCTCGAGAGGAACCTCCTTGCCGGTCTCTGTGCGGTTGGGAGTCGGGTTAGCGAATGGTGTTCACTTAAAGCGAGAGCGTGGGCGCAAGACGGCGTCTTGAGGCTTGCGCCAGATGGCGCACCACGTCGGATGTGGCGGGGCAAGGATATACGTACTGTCTTGAGGCGCAAAGCTGTAGAAGCTGGTAGCGGAAGCCATCTTGGAAGGATGCGTGTGCGAGTGGGTATCACGGAGAAGAACAGAAGAGGAAGAAGTCGGTTGCGCGAGGGAGTAGAATCTCGAGCTTCTGGAGGATGGAGCGACGTTGGGGGTTTTGAAGGTTTGAGAGAGCGGGGATAGAAACGAGGACGGACGGAGGGCAGATGAGGAGAAGGTTGTGTTGCTGGGCCGGCAGTTAGTCTTGATTCAGCAATTGTACGTTGTAACTTGTGTGTCGCAGATGCTCAGGTCAGGCCAGGGATTCCAAATCACACAAATCACACAAATCACAGTCCAACTCCAAATCAGGACCATCGCCGGTGACCGAGCTGAACGTACGTACCTCGCCGGCCTCAGACTCGGACGCAGACTCAGACCACGCCACGGGGCCATCATCACCACCGCCGGCGCCATGTTTTCCTCTTGCTCTTGGCTCTAACTGAATCGATGGCGCCTCCCGGACCTGGGGACCTGGGGCAATTACAAATACCTGCGTCTCGGGCTGTGAGCGATCCGTAGCGCACGCGTTACAGGAGCTTGCTTGCAGAGCCGTCAATTCCCACATGCCTCGGCAGAGCACTCCCGATTTGGATAGTGACGTCTTTTGTTTTTTCTAGGGCGGCCGACGGTGGAGTCGACCGGCGCCATGTGTTGGGCCGCACGCCGATTTGTACTGAGCTTGAGCTTTGAGCTTAGACAGTTAAGTATGGGATTCTGATTTGGGTTGCATTGAGACGGTTGAGGAAGAGATGATGTGGATGCTGTGAATTGATCATGTGTGTTGCAGCTCGGTCGTTTGTTTCTCATTACCCGTCTACGTTTGTTCGCAGCTGTAGCGTAAAGCAATCTGCAGGGCATCTAGCTGTAACGCAGCCATTCTCTTACATTCAGAATGGACCGAGGAACGGTTCATCATCAACCCTCAATCAGAACCCCAACACTCGAATCTGTCAATGGACTTTCCAATCCATCCCCTAACTCAATTAATCGGCGCAACGCAAACCCCGATCCAAACCATCGATCCATAGTGCCCACTCTGCACATCGCCATCGCCATCGCCATCGCCATCGCCGCGCCAGAATCATCTCTGCCTCGGTTTTAATCCATCCACCCCGCTTTTCTTCCTACGACGCCCACACGCTCTCTCTCTCGCCGCCACTGCCCCGCTTGCATCATCACTCGACAGGCAGCCTCCCATCGTTCGGGAGCTTCTGCGGATCCGGAAGACGTCACCGAACCGACGGCTGCCCCTCGGAGGACGAAGGCCCACGGCCCCGAACTGCCCGATTCAGCCCTCCACCACCTCCGTGCTTCGGGATTTGCGGATGCGAAGCACCGTTTTGATCTTGTTAGAGTCAAGTGAGCGCGAGGTACCTAGGTATCTACTCCGTATGCCCTATCGAGTTGCGACAGCGCCTGTGATTACCCGCAACCATGGATAAGAAGCGCAACATTGTCATTGTTGGTTCGTCCCGCGTCGCTCGCCCTTCCCATCATGTGAATCGCATCGTCAACAGCTGACATCGGAGTCACAGGAGGTGGCATCATTGGCTGCACCACAGCCTACTATCTCACGCGCCATCCAAAGTTCAACCCGGCCCTCCATACAATCACTCTCCTTGAGGCTGCCCCGTCCATCGCCCCCGGAGCCTCCGGAAAGGCCGGCGGCCTCCTTGCCCTCTGGGCCTACCCTGACTGCCTGGTCCCGCTCTCTTACCGTCTCCACGCCGAGCTCGCCGCCGAGCACAACGGCGTCCAGAAATGGGGCTACCGGAAGCTTGGCTGCGGCAGCTTCGAGGCCGTTGTTTCTCGCCAGAAGATAGAGGCCTTGCAGCAGAAAGCCAAGGCTGAAGCTGATGGCGAGAAGGCTTGGGAGAAGCTGCCTAAACAGAATGGCGCCGCAAAGGATTTACTCGAGCCGGGCAGCCTGCCTCAGGATCTCGACTGGGTAGATCGTGGCATCGTCGACAACTGGTCTGAGATGGGGGCTCCGGGGTCAACGGAGACGGCTCAGGTGCATCCCTTTCACTTTACCACGGCCATCGCAAAGCTCGCCCAAGAAGGAGGCGTAAAGATATGCACCAACGCCAAGGTCACCGGAATAAAATCGTCCAAAACGGGCGTTGAGAGTGTCGAGTATCTGGATCGTGAAAGCGACGAGACCAAGACTGTCGATGCGGCAACAGACGTTATCGTTGCCGCAGGCCCATGGACGAGCCGGCTACTGCCGCGGGCAAAGATCGAAGGTTTACGAGCACATAGCGTTGTCTACGAGGCTGAAGTGAGCCCGTATGCAGTCTTCACCGATATCCAGCTGCCCTCGGACTTTATACCAGAACATAGAGCGGCTATGGGCCAAAAGAGACGACACAAGGGGCGCGTCGACCCTGAGATATATGCCCGGCCCTTTGGCGAGGTTTATGCCTGTGGCAAGTGGCCCTCCAGCGCTGCCGTCACGACGATCTGTTTCTAACATTTATGCAGGAGAGCCCGATACTTTGATCCCCCTCCCAGACACAGCAGACCAAGTCGAGCACGACGAAGCTCAATGCGACGACCTCATATCTTATATCAGCACCATCAGCCCCGTCCTCGGGTCCGCCCCCATCAAGGCCAAGCAAGCCTGCTACCTCCCGCGGCACATGCGCTTCGGCCAGGAGGGCGGACCGCTAATTGGAAAGACGACGACCCCGGGTGTCTGGGCCGCCGCGGGCCATACCTGCTGGGGCATCCAGAACGGGCCGGGAACGGGCAAGCTCATGTCCGAGTTTATCTTTGACGGGGCGGCGAAGAGCGCAAACGTGGACAAGCTGGATCCGAGAAAGTTCAAGGTTTAACGTGGTGTTTTGTGACGTGGTACATCCCACGGGTAGTTTATGAGAGGAGGAGCCTCCAAGGCCAGGAGGGACAAGCGTACAAGGGGATTTAAGGATACAGAGTGCTTGGTTTTGAATGAACAGAAGAACAGCGTACTGGCGGATATATATCGCCAAATGATTTATGAACCCATCTTGCGGTAATGTGAAGTGTGGTATTAATAGACGGCGCTTGCACTGGAGAAACATGTAAACAACTATGACCGTATCCAATGAGAACCAGCTGCTAGCGATCTTCAACCGGGGAGGTGTTCTTAAGATTCACCAAACGGCCATGCAACGAAATCCCATTTCATCCCTCGAAAAGTGGCAGCCACCCAGTACACTAAACCGGAGGTCCCCCTCATGAGTCCGAGACATGCTACGGGCTGGATGGAGACCCAAGTCGGGCGATGTATTGTCAGCCCAGACATTGCCTTGCATAAACACGCCGGAACATAAACTCGATCCTATGCTCTCGCCGCGAAACATAGGCTGAAGATAAATAAATATGAGATTCAAATTCGATTCCAACAAGAAGCCGCTCACTTCTATTCGTTACTTCGAACAGCACACCCTCAGCCAACCCTGCTAACCCCAACCCTGGAACCTCATCGGGACTAGCCCCAGCCACATCCTTATCGATAACCGCTCCCGATCAGAAATTTTGGCGGGCACTTGTCAATCGTCGTCCACCAGCCATCCCAAACCTCCAACCTCAACCTTTGCCTCGCCCGTTCAATCCCCTCCCTCTCCCGCAATCATGGGCCGCGAACTGCAGAAGAAGAAGCGCCGCTCCGGCCGCCAGCCCGTCCGCACGTCCAACAAGAGCAAGAAGATCCTCAACCCGCGCGGCAACTCCACCATCGCGAAGAACTGGTAAATCCCACCCTTCCCCGGCCAACTGGGTTTCGTTGGCTGGCTGCGGAGTGCAGCGCGCAGGGTGCTGACACGAGGCGGAATAGGAACAAGGACGAGACCCTGTCGCAAAACTACCGCCGCCTCGGCCTCCTCGCCCGCCTCAAGGCCCCGACCGGCGGCACTGAGAAGCGGCTCGGAGTCGCTGGCGCCGTCACCACCCGCACCTCGGCCAACGACCCCTTCGCCATCACCACCGTCGAGAACGCAATCATCTCCGAGGCCCGCGTCGAGCGCGACGCCGACGGAAAAATTGTCCGCATCCTGGGCCACTCGCGCCCCAACCCGCTCAACGACCCGCTCAACGACCTCGACGAGGACAGCGACATGGAGGGCGCCGACGACAAGGCCGGCGACGAGTGGGGCGGCATCGAGGACGACGCCAATGCCACCGATGTCATCAAGTCCCTGATTGAGGAGAGCCGGGCCCCTGTCGTGAAGACGCCTCGCCACCAGAGCAGCCGCGAGAAGGAGTGGCTCGACGCCATGGTCTCCAAGTACGGCGACGACACGGCCGCCATGGCCAAGGACCGGAAACTAAACCCCATGCAGCAGACGGCTGCGGACATTGCGAAGCGTATCCGCAAGCTGACCAAGGCCTAACAAGTTCGGGTTACGATGCACGCGGGAATGTGAGAGAACAAGGGTGGATACGATTTTTGGTTCGTCTTGGTCAAGAGAATTGGGAGCATCGGATGCCAGACATACAAAAAAGACGGCGTTGGGAGTTGGGCATTGACAGACAAGAACAGTGATATATGATACATATATATACGTCCTTTTTCATTTCCAAAAAACATCAACTCGAGCACACAGAACCCAATGCCCTGCACATCTACCTTTCATGTACACCGGGGTTGATTTGGCATCTCTCCTCGAGTCGCCTAGTAAACATGACGCCGTAACACCCCCTTCAGCCAGAGACGTAAATCTACCGTACAGTATGAACCTCGCTCCAACCGCAAACTTTCCCAGAATTGCCCTCGTAAACAAAGCCCAAGATCAACCCAAGAGAACTCTATATCCTGCCGTTACCCCTGTATGCTGTAGCACGATGCATTTAGTGCGTTCGGTCATAGTTGCCAGCGGGGAACTGCGCAGGGTGGTCAAGGTGGTCATCGTATGTGTTGCCCATGGGAGGGTGGTCGAATGTGTTGGTGAGGATGGGAGGGCGGTCATTGTACGAGTTGCTCTCGTACGCATTGCCGGCAGGAGGGTTTGCGTAGGGCATGGAGGCAGGCCCGGAGTTGTACTCGGTGTCGTTGTCGAAGAGGGTGTTGGTGCGAGGAGGAAGGGCGCCGTAACGGCTGGGGTCGTCGTCCTCGGCGCCGTAGGGGTTGCCCTCGTCGTAGCGGTTATTGCTGTTGTAGCTGTTGCTGTTGTACTGGCTGCCCGTGGGCTCGTTCTCATCCGCATGGACGCGCTCATATGCCTCGTCGTCATGGGGAGCCATGGAGAAAGCGGCCTTGTCGGGGTCGATGTTCTCGCCGCCGCGGAGCTTGCGGTTGTCATAGCCAGGCAGGTTGCCGTGGAAGTTGAAGTATGTCAGGGTGTAAGCACTGATGAAGGTGCTGCCGGCGAAGAGCAGGCTGCAGGATGGGACGGGGTTAGCAGCTGTGGCTTGGGTTGGCTGAGGGGATGAAACACGTACGTGATGAAGACACCTAGGGCAACAACGCCCTTGCTGACGCCGCATGCCTTACCACACAGGTCCTTGGCGTTGAAGCTGGCCTGGGTAGCAAACGCCGAGAGCCAGAGAACGGTGAAGGTACCGTCGACGGCCAACATGGCGTGGGGCTGAGCGAACTTGCGGGTGCGGTCGAACCGGGGCGTCATGATAAGGTAGATCCATGCTGGGATGGAGAGGAAGCACTACAGGAGGTCCGGTTAGCAACGACGGCCTAGGGGAGAGGGATAGGCGTCTGTCTTACCACTCCAAAGGTCCAGCCATTGAGGCCGTTGATGGTTGAATCCTTGGCGCGGAAGACGCCAATCTCCATACACCATGCGACGAAGGTGAAGATGATTTGGAAGGAGTGGAGGCCCAGCTTCAGGTTGGGGACGATATCGGGGTCGAATTCGAACTTCTTCATTGTGACGGATGGGGCGGATCTGGAGGAGATGGGTGTGGTTTCGAGGATCGTCGGAGAGGGAGGAGGGAGGAAGGGATTGTTATCCCGCGCTGGATTTAGGTCGTGGGTGAATCAGGCTGGGTTCAGCTCAGCTCAGCTCCAGGTAGCGTCAGACGGCGGCGTCAATGGCGGACACACGGGGGGGCAAACGGGGCAGTGAAGGGAGGAAGAATAGCGGGCGTCTCTATCGTCGGGGTCGTTGTCGTCGTCAAGGTTGTCTGTAGGAGAAGAGGGAGGTGAAGAGGTGAAGAGGGAGTAGTGAATAACGAAGAAGAGAGGGTTTGTTGTTTGCGGGACGGGCTGGCTGGCTGGATGGATGGATGGGGGGAGCCCCGGAAACAAATCGAAAACGAAACGTTCCCTGGTCAGCGAGAGAGTCGTCATGAATTGTAAGGTACATGGCAGGTACGCAAGTACCGACCGACTGTGCGCGGCTTTGGGCTTAGCCGGGGCGGCTCGACAGCCCAGCCCCAGGGCTCTCTGGGCTTTTAGGCCTCTTCTGGGCTCTTAGGCCCAAGCCAAACAGCGCCTCAGTGTGGCCACGCGTTGCTGTGAGTGGGCGCTCTACGGAAAGCCTCAGGGCCGTCCACTGCCGCTACAGCGCGCGGAAACGCCGCTTGCAGTGAAGGGACGGCGGCCGGGGGGGACTCGGGGGCACGCCTACCCGCCGCTACAGCGTGTGCAGTGCCCTGCAGCGCCTTGCTGAGCCTCCACTCCTAGGCGTCCCAGGGCATTTCTCTCTCGCTGTCGCTCCCCGCGCCAGTGCCGCTCGAGGACAGGTTGCTGCGCCACGGGAGGGCCACAGGGGCAGGTCTGCGGCCAATGACGTCGCGCGCAGAGGGCTCCAGCTGAGCGATGGATCCATGCACAACAGGCCTTGGCTTGCATCAAGGTGACACAATCCGCCCAATGTGCAGTGTGCGCTGAGCCTGCTCCTCCGCTTTCCTCGTGTCTTTGTCGTCAGCTGCGCGGCTGATGGGCTCTTTGGTCGCCTCTGTGACGTTGTCGGTCGTTTGTTGTCCTTCTTGCCATGGCTTCCGAGATGCCTGGCTGCCGAGATGCCTGGCAACGCCGCCCTCGACCGGCTGACGTGGAATCTACGGACGCACCGGAGCCTCTCTTTGGGTTTGATATGCCCATGTTATGATGCACTGGCACACTCATGACGACCTTGTTCGCCAGCCACTACTGCCAAACCCTGCAGAAATACAATGCGACCCAACTGCCGTTACCCCGGTAATTTCACCTGTCACGGCACCTGTTGTCTCTGTCCCGGTCTCGGTCGACACGGCGCGCACACAAATACGAGGCCGATACGGATCATTTATCCTTCGCTACTCCGTCCGCGTCTTCTATTTATTGCCGCTGCCGACCTTGGCATCAATTCCAAACTCGGATATCAAAGGGGCATTCGTGTCGCCTATGAAACCGTGGCCCTGTCAGCGGGGTCTCCAACTTCCGTCTCGTCCGACTCCACCGCCTTGGCCATTGCTGTTGTTTAATCGTTATGCATGATTAACCCTGACAAGTACCAGTCCTCAACATCTACGTATTTGTATCTCGTAGATCTCGCCAAGTCCACTTTAACACCATCTTAGACATTTGTGACAGCGAACACCACTGAAAGGAATCATTTCGAGCAGCCCACGTTTTTGCTCCTTGGGTCGGCGCCGGTGGTCCGAAACTCGCAGGTGTGGTGCTGCAACAATCCGTCATACTCAACTCTATCCGAATGAGGGATGCTGAGATTCGGCATCGAAGAGGACATGCCTACTCCCATCCAAACTAGTAGCAATATTTCAAGCAGGAGCATACCTACAAGAACGGATAGAAACGGTTGTGGAAACTACCCAACCGCCGTTGGTCGTGTACAAAGCGTCGCTAGATGTCGATCCATTCGTCAGCTGGGGATGGCTTAGCCTTCATCGCCTCCATATGATGGCTGAACCTTGAACCGACTATTGAGAATACTAGTGCCATCTTTTTGTTGCACTATCTAAATTCCGGTTGCGACTTATGGTCTACTCTCCCTGGGGCGGCCACCCGTGGAACGCGGAAGCGGAAGTGAGACAATGGCTCACTGGATGCCCGTTCTATCACACAAGGTTCCTCTATTTATCAGTGAAATATTAGGGAGCACTTTCCGCACTCGATTGAACGCTTTCAGGGATACAAAACTCCGAGTATTCAATTTAGCTCATGCTAACTCAAGTCTCCCTATCTTGGCTCGACGCTGAGTTGGCACCAATTCCCGACACTACTCAGTAAAATGCCAACTTCACCTTGGACTACTCCAAGACTCCATGAGGACATGGATCTAAAGCCACCCTGGATGGCAGCAACAGGTTGGTTTTGTCTAGTATTTTCAGCTAGGTGGTAGTTTCTCTTGTGGTACTGCTGTGTGGAGGAAAAGATCAGTTCTTTTGTGATCGGTGTAGCTTGGCTTGGATGCTTCGAAGGTTGGTGGTTATCGTCGAGTCTGACCCCTCCTCTAGTAGCAGTTGGACAATTCAAATATTCTATTCATTGCAATGAACATTAACATGGCCTATCCCCGTGTTCCTGTGTGTGTTTGTGCTAACCCCATTTGAGATCGATGTTGACGAACTGCCACGAGCGCCGCTCTCCCTTAGACGTCCACGTCATTTACGTTTCGCCGCACTTGTGTAAAGAGATACTTTAGCAATCCATTTAATACAACTAAAGCTACATGGAATAACCGGTCTATTCTTCAGGTTTCGCCTCGAGGTACCTGCGTGGTACATCAGGGGCACTGCCAAATGCTGTCTTCATGGTGCCTGGGATGAGGCAGCCATTTCTTCCTCCTCGATATGAACCAGATCCAGCGCATGCAGTTGAACGCTTGAAATAGAACGGATTTAATGTACATAGTTCAAGCAGGTGAGTTCCAGCAATCACAATGGAATAGTAGAGTAGTTCTCTAAGCTAGGCTTGGCCGATAATATTAGATTGCTTGGGAAGGGGAAATAGTAACAACAATAATCTTTCCACCGCTAAGTTTGTCGGCCAGAATTTGTCATACTAACAAGTCCGAAAGGAAAAGTCAAGCCTGCAAAGGCCCGGATTCGTATCACAGTTCCGATCAAACCTAAATAGAGACTTCAAACCTCGATCATCCTCAACAACCTATATCTTCGGCTTCTAACGGGATCTCTAGGGATAAGTAGCTAGGTTATTCCCCCTCATATCCAACAGAAAAAAAAAGACCTGCCAACAGGCGCTCCTCCCGTCGCATAGCGTTCTCCAACCTTTGACACTCCATCTCTTCGTTTGCCACTTCTACCCAACCGATTACCTGGGAAAGTGTCGTCTCATCCACAATAGAAACCACATCGGGCATGCTGGTCGTGGCAGGCCTGTTATGCTCATCCCATATCATGCATTGTTTCATGGTAGTCCAACGAACTTTGGGCATGTTCCAGAGGTCCCTCAACAAGACAGGCCAGTTCGGGCTGAGCAACTTGATTTCCCGGAGCGTGATGTCCTCGAGCGTCGCCTGGTGCCTCACAAGCGTTCCACCCAATTCGGAGGCAATGGTTTCGAATCGGCCAAGGTCTACCACCCGCAGATGGGGTATAGACAGCACCTTCGAAAGTCGGCGGAAGATTTGACCATAGTCATAGTGTGCACTACGCTCGAAGCACAGTGTAAAGTGCGACAGCTGCGGGAACATGTTCATGAACCGAGTAAAGCCCGGCTCCCAATCAGGGGATTGTCCCCAGCCAAGAAAAGGACTGATAATCAATCGGAGATAAGTCAAGTTGGCGAACTTCAACTCCTCGGACGAGTCAAGCACTTGCACGTGGATTGGGCTGAGGCAACTATTCAGATCCCGGTGACCCAAATTGATGTCGAGGCTCTTAAAAGGCAATTTGCTTTCTGCTGCCGCTGAAAGCGTGGTATCCAAGACATATCTCGTGAAATTTTGAACCCGTCCACAACCTAATACTGATGGGCCTGCCAGCAGTGTAAATGGGAAGGCAACCACATCCCGTACCCGTACCACTCCCCATGGGAGACGAGCATCGGTAAGGGAGAGGGTCTTGCAGTTAGGAAGATTCCGCATGGCCTGAAACAGACCTGCCCGATCTTTGCCGAGATGGAAGGCCTCTTGTTCGCGCAACAGTTGTCCAGATGCACAAACCCGACACTCGTCTTTGTCAACTTCCTCTTCATCCAGCCAGTCCTCTTCCTTGTCGCTGTCAAACTCAGGCTGTCGTCGGTTTTCCCAATCGTCATTCTCTAAACGCGGGTCATGCAGGCACTCAACATTATCATTACGCCTCATGATACGCTGCGTGCATAGTCCCAGTTTGCGTACGGCCAGCCGCAGGGTCGGATGCTCGGAGATGTCGATCAAATTATGTATGCTTCTCTGTTCAAGCATAACGTATCGGTCCTGGAAGTAATCTCGCCGAAACATGTCGAAGGTCATATCATTCATTGCTCGAGAGGTTTCCCAGAGTGATAGTAAGTCCTCATTGGGGAGAAGCTCTGCTATGTAGCGGACGACCTCGTTGGGAAGCCCTGACAGTGTGGCCATGGTGCAGGAGGTAGTAGTGTAGACTGGTTGATAGCGGTGTTTGGAGCGTAGGGGCGTAGACGGCAATGAGTTGAGAAGTGGTCTTGAGTAGAGGAGTGGTTTGAGTCGAGGAGGGGTCTTTAGTAGAGGAGTGATCTGGAGTAGAGGAGGGGTCTTCAGCCCGTCCAATCTATTCCATGAGTTTCTCTTATTGCCAAGTGTTGTCGTCATAACAATGGATGCATGAGCGCGTCCGGATTGGGAACTCCGCCAGCATACATTGGTAGAACGTTCTAACAACTGTTAGATGGGTTTCAGATGCTAAGTGTTGAAGGGACTAGACGCATACTACATCTATGTAAACCACATATGGAGCTCCTATTTTGCCTCGCCAGCTCAGTAGCTCAACACTACGCTAGGTTTGAGGGGAGAAGGCGGGAAAGTAGGAATGATCTGTCCATATCGTTGTACTCATACCGCCATCTAGTCTATATAATGGCCCCCTCTGCTTCGCAACAATTCTCAGTAAAGGTTCTCGTGAAATCGCCTCGAATGGAGCTGACGGAAATTAAATCATGCCCTCCACACCGCTTTGTAAAACTCTTGATAGCTGTACCATTTTTGAGAGGTTCTTGGCCACTTTACCTCACATATCTCGCTGCATCTCCAGAACACCAAAGCAATTAATGGACCGAAACAAATTGAAGGATTCTACCCTATCTAGCTGCGGTCACAAAAGCGGGCAGAGTTTCTATCATGTGCACAACTGAGCCTCCACAACAACTCGCCCAAGAGCTAGCTAACCGGGATTCCTCGATTAGCCCGCCCCCTCGCATGTCTGTCTCAGACAATGTCGTATCCAGGACCACCATTCCCCTTTAAAACGACAGCACTTCCACTTACGCACGAGACCTTGTCTCAAGCTAATCAAAGGGGCCAATTTTCAAGGGTTAGATAACTACATAGGATTGTCTTCGGGTGACCCGGCGTCCCGCTCGGCTTAATGACCTTCAGCCCATGGCTGTCTCTGATTGCAAGTCGTCCAGGGTTGGTCCGTCTTAGAATTACAAAGACATGTTGATAAAAAGCAATCCCAAATGTGTTTCAGCCTTTGTTCTCCATTTTAGATGTAGTGTTGGATGAGGCAGAATTAAAGTACGGATTGTTGGCGTCGATCGCAATACCACCCGCTCATACATTATTCATCTACCTACCTACGGGGTTCTTTTCTGGCCCGGCATGAACTCAGTAAAGAGGCAAGAGAATTTTATGGAATCATACGTTTATGCACCTTGCGGTTTGAGATGACCCCGAAGTCAGACCGCGAACAACTCGGGTGAATGAATGAAGAGGTCAAACTTATTGCAACTCTACTTGAATTACTAGCAGACGGACCCCGCTCTGTCATGAACTATCGAATCCCAATGGCCCACGAAAGTAAGACAAGAATTCAGCCCAAGTAGTACCGAGCCCTCGACTTTCGCCTTAATTAATGGGTTTCCACCAGCCCTCCCAATCTAGATTATGCAAAAGCAAGTCCAGGTCATCCTCGTCTAGACACACGCAGACATTCCAATCCTCATTCCCCCAATACTGTCCCTTTCGTGGCAGTAGGATGACGGTTCCTTCCTGCATGTGATCGTAGCACGGAAAGAAAAATGACTGGTCGTCCTCAACATAAGGGATGTGAGGGGCATGGTTTGTACCGTAGTAAGTCCAGTCCTCAAAAGCAAGACTATCTGTGTGGCGTCTGAGTGCTCTTTCATAGGCAATTCTCTCCTCAGTTACATCTCTCATCTCCTTGAGGGCCGTAAGGTGACGAAGATGATGGGCGGTGAACTCTTGCAGTGCGGCCCGCAGGAGTTGTGCTGCGAGAGCGAGGTCCTCGGGGCGCATTATCCGAGGGAGGCCATCATGAGGGTCATCGGTGGCTCGGATCAGTTCAGCAGCTGAACACGCAGCGACGGGGGTGATGGTTGAGTTGCCGCAATATTGAGGGTCAACTCGTCGCGGGTTTCGGGTGTGCCGAGCTCCGGGTGTATAGTAGTTGACACGACCCAGGTCCCGAGGGCCAAACGTCCCATTCTGAAAGCGAGCACGCATGATGGCCACCCAGAAGAGAGCGAGAACACAGTCCTCGTACAGGGCCACGCCTCCAGTCTTTTCTGTACTGATGACCTCCTGTACCATGCCATACAAATCCTGAATCGTGCGCGATTCGATCGTGAGGACTTGGCATCTTAGTCTCCTTCGGGGCGTTTGGCGTTCGAGAAGACCGGAACTCCAATCATAGAAAGGGAATAATTCCACGTCTACTTTGGAATCGGTTGCTTCGGGGAGAGAACGGTGATCAACTTGTTGAGGATTAGCACACGTTGTCTTCAATAAGTGGATATCAACTCACCTCGGAAGGATTTGCCGTCAACGTCGTGTGTATTTCTCGTGAACTGAGTGAAGAAGTTTTGTAGAAACTCCCCGTCGAAGATGACCTCACTGAAAGCAAACCCAAGGACGATGGCGCTGTCAACGAAACTGATCTTGACTGTAACAGGGGGGAACCAATCCCCATGTCCAGGATCATTCTCCCAGACAAAGCGTTCCTTGCCAAAGTTCTTCATAGGCAGGCGATAGAAATTCCCACGGAATATGGCATCCTTCTCAGCCGGCTCCTGGATTCGGACTAAGCGAGCAAGTTCTCTTTGATCCAGGGTCTCTGGATATCTGAGCTGCAACTTGGTAGGATCCTGGTTGGATGGGCAAAAGCAGCCTCCGAGAAACGGCCAGTTCTGTAAAGTCTTGTAAAAAGCCTCGCTAACAAACTTGTACACCTCTCGCAGCTGCATGCCAAGGAAGCTTTCGTGCTGAGTCCAGGGCAGCATCATAGCGATGCGGATGTAGCGCCGTGGCGCACTTTGCTCCAACGGAGAGAGTTCCAGGGTGAGTCCAAGAACATCACCAGCGCTGGTGCGGGTAGAGTCGAGGCCTGAGGGTTCGCGAAGGCGAGGGCCGAGAGAAGTGGACGAAGATGGCTGGGGCGCATTATTTCCACCTTCAATTTTATCGGAATCATCGCTGTCGATACTGATGACTTCAACATCGCCGGGCACGGTTCGCTTGGATCTCCGAGTAGTCGGTGCCATGGCTGTGATGTTGAGAGGAAGAGATGCGGATGGAGAGCAGGAAATAAACAGTAATGGAAGCAAACTCGCGAAGGGTGATTATGTTAGATTCCTGCAGAAGGAAAGCAAACGACAGGTGCGAGTCACTCCTCGAAACAACGAGCTCGACTTCCCGTTGATGATTCAAGGCAACAAACACCAAAGCGCGTTTTGTGGACCAATTGCAGACGCGGTTAACTGCAGCGAACAATCAATAAAATACAATGGCTTTTGTTCATGTTTATTGTTATTTGTTCGTACAAATATATTATATTCCGTCTACTCTTTCCCGTTGTTTTGTCCAAATCCAATCTACGACTCCGCTGGAAATGAGGTTCTTGTTCCCAACTCTACTGCCCCTGCAGCGGCAATCTAGTGTATCCCTAGCCAAACATAAATGAAATTTGGTGGACAAGCTCAACGTCTCTCGAGAGTCGAATGCAGGGTGTGCTGCCTCATAAACGAGACGCAAATGAGGGCAGCGACGGAAATGCAAAGAAGGGTGACCCAAACACCCCGGAACGCCGCCATGAACGATAAAATGACACCGTCGTACCAGCCGTCGGGGAGGTGCTTTAGCTCGTCAAGGTCATCTCGGATTCGGCCAATCTCCTCGGCAGCATTTGGCTCATCGCCGAACCTCGCCCACAGCTGGGCTTTGAGGATGTTCTGGTACACAGCAGACCCGATAGTAATGCCCACGGTACCGCCAAGGCTTCGGGCGAGGTCTATAAATTGTTAGAACACAGTGTCACATGCGAGAAGCCTATAAGTACTTACAAGTAGCAGATGTGATGACAGCTTGCTGCGAGTGATCAACGGCGGCAATGCAAGCCAGTAGCGTCGTCGTGAGCATAGCTCCGTAGCCACTTCCCACGAAGAAGAATGCCGTCGAAGGCAACCAGACCGGACTGTGTTCGTTCTGTGCCGTAAACAGACCGACACCGATCACTAATACCACCAAGCTAGAGATGCCTAGTTTCACGTATCTTCCTGTCTTTGTCATGATGAAGCCCGCAGACATGGAGCCGACCGAGACACCAATCGGGGACGGCAGGAGTTGCACTCCTGCCTTGGTAGCGCTGCTGCCGAGGACTTGGAGATAGAGAGGAACGTAAAAGAGACCTGCCATGACAACCATGGTGCAGAGAAGGTTGCAGAGGCAGGCGGCCAAAACCGTGTGATCAAGGAGCAAGCGGACCGGGATGATGGGTTGGCGAACTCTGCTCTCCCAGAAGAAAAAGGCAGCAAATATGACGACAGACAGAGGGATCGTCGTGAGCGGGAGGGGGTGCGTCCAAGGAACCAAGTTGCCGCCGGAGTTCAGACCCAGCAGCAGCAACACGAGGAACGAAGAGGTCAAGAACACGCCGAGGAAGTCGATGCGGGAGAGGAACGACTTGTCCGACTGCTTCGGAGGCACCTTGACCAGGAACGCAACGGCGACGGCAGAGAGAAGTACGGGCGGGACCTGAATGAGGAAGGCCAGCCTCCAGCCCATTTTGGTGTGGTCGTTGACCAGTCCGCCAAAGACACCACCCAGCATCGCCCCGGAACCGTAGCAGATGTTGCCGATGCCCTGGGCAATGCCTCTCTTGCGCAGAGGAATCAAGTCGGAGCCCAGGAAGGTCGAGATGCTCATGAGGCCGCCGCCTCCGATGCCGGCGACGACGCGGCCGAGGATCATGACGTACTGGTCCTGGGCCAGGCCGCAGATGAGGTTGCCGGCGGCGAAGAAGATGTTGCTGAAGACGAGGCCCGGCCCGCGTCCGAAGATGTCCGTCAGGCGGCCGGAAATGGGCTGGCACGCGGCATTGGAGATGAGGTAGGCGGTGGCGAGCCACGAGAGCAGGCTGAGGGAGTGGAATTCGCTCGAGATGGGCGCCGAGAGCGTCGCGATAATGGTGGAGTCGATGGCGCCCAGGAAGACGCCAAAGTACGCGGTGCCCATGATGAGCGCCAGCCGCGTGAACGACACCTCCTCGGCAACAATTGTCGTCTCCTCATGATGTGGCTCGCCTGCGACGCCATTGACAGCGGGGGAGTCGGTGGCGGGTTGTTGGTGTCCATTGGAGGCGGTTGACTTGAGCAAGGGCGTGCGTTCGTCGCTCTCTACGTGCTGTTGCTGTTCCTCATCGTCGCGCTGAGGCGTACTTCCGCTCCCGTTCTCACGCATGGCTGACCAGAGCGTATGGAGGAGTGCAGTGTGTTGGGAGATGTGACATGCAAGTAAAATCGCTCTTGTCGGCCAGGGACGGCTTGAGTACCGCCTGCTCTTATTAATGGGTCACGGCGAGCACCGGATTCGGAATGTTGACAAAAGGCGCAGGGCGCGGTATCGGCGATATTTCATGGACGGAATTGAAATGCCATTGTCCAGAATTGGTGCTGTGCATACATAAGTTAAGGCACATAAGCATTCGAGCCATTGATTAGATAACCATGTAGCACCCCGCGTGGGGGACGATATGACGCAATTCATTCGTCGAGCTTGCGCTGCGGCTGACGATGGCGTCCAGGCTGATGTAAGATGAAGAAGATGGCTGAGAATCAAACTCTCCAACTGCCCTAGCCTGTAAGATGATGGTCTATGGCGGTGAGTGAGTTTTTCTTTCCTCTGGTTGCTTCGATCATGCTGCAATTGGCACCAACCCTCGATAGGAAGAGAGTAGGTTCTGGTTTGTCGCTATCCACGTCAGCGTCAGCAATCAACTCGAGATAGACTAACCACAGCCTCACCCAGCCGCTCACCTGTCACAAAGACCTCATGTCAATCATAAAAAATCATTCATTTCTATCCATGCTTATAGTTCTCGTGCTTCAGAAAGAACTCTAGTCCTTTACCAAATTCCCGTCTTTCTATCATCCAAGAGTTGGCCTGACTGCTGAGAGCCATTGCCCTCTTCAAGATGTCCTTTCCCTTGGGTTTCTGGATACCCGATACAAACTGTTGCGCCTATAGAATTCGAGAATAAGCCAACGCTATGCACTTTCATATCTCTCCGTTTATCCATCCGATCTTCTTCCGATTTCCATTTAATAACAGACGATAAAACCTGCTCCCGATAGCCACTAGCTATGCCAGGTATCGTTTCTTATAGAGTCTTCTCAATCTCCATAATCTCACGAACGCCCTCCTCAATGGCATCGGCCTGCTCCTGAGAGAGGCGCTTGAGGGGTCGACGAGGGTATCCACCGTAGCCGTAGTAGCTCTGGATAGCAGACTTGGTGCCAGCAATGGCAGCCTTGGTCAACACCCAGTCGCCCTTGGAGAGCTTCTTCTGGAGCGCTTGCGCCTCATCCTTCTTGCCGTTGGAGTACAGGTTCCAAACTCGGACGCAGGCCTTGGGCATGACGTTGGCACCGCCAGCAATAATACCACTGCCACCGCTGACGAGAGTCTGAAGAGTAAAGTCGGCGATGCCGCCAAAGGCCATGTATCCGGAGCCCTCCTGGAAGGGAGTCTTGGCATCGGTAGCGAGGGCCACTCGAGTGAGTTTGCCAGTACTTCCGCAGGTGAACTTGGTGCCGATGATGTTGGGGTGCTGGGCGAGCTTGACCAGGAGGTCGCTGTCCATGTCGAGACCGGCCACGGCGCCAGGGTAGTTGTACAGGATGATGGGCAGAGGGCTGCCATCGGCCAAGGCGATGAAGTAGTTGTAGACGGACTCCTCGTCCATCTGGGCCTTGTAGTACGACGGGGGGAGGACCAGGGTGTAGTCGGCACCGGCCTCCTTGGCGAGCTTGCTCAGCTCAATTGTGCCCTTGACGCTGCCCTCAGTGGCACCGAGAATAATAGGAAGAGACGGGAAGCCAGCCTCATCGAGAGCCTCGCGGGTAGCCTTGGTGACGGCAAGCTTCTCCTCTCGGGTACAGTGGACGGCCTCGCCGTTGGAGCCCATGGTCACGAGTCCAGCCAGGCCGGCGCGGGCCAGCCGCTCGGCATGCTTCTTGATGGTGGAGATGTCGAGTTCCTCTGTCTCGGGATCGAAGAAGGTCATGGTAGGGGCATAGATTCCGACGGGGAGCGGCCGGCGACCGGCTACGTTGGGAGATCCATTGGAGGACCCGTTGTTGGTGGTGGAAGGCATGTTGGGCGTGGGGGGTGGACGAAAGGGGGCTGTGTGGGGATTGAGTGAAGAACCGGACAAGATGGAGAGGAACTGAGCACACGGAGACAAAGAAGCTAAGGATGATGGAGAATTGGAGAAGGGACTTGAGGGACTTTAATAGAACCCAGGGGGCAATGGCAGTTGAAAAGTGCTTCTTCGTCAAGCTAACGGATTGGGTGGGCGTGAGGCTAAAGTTGGGGGTGGGTTCGGCTCCGGAAGTCAAGTGCAACACAAGTCGAGTGGGCATTGGCCCGATTCCCCCCAAGGATCCGGCATTTGTATGGAGTAGGCAATGCAGGCAGCTGAGAAACCACCGGCCGAAGAAGGTCTTGTGATTGCCAGACTGCGGGAGACCGGGAAGGGAAACACGCCGGACCGCAGTTTGCCTGGCGTCGGGGTAAAGATGCCGGCGACTCGGTGTAAGTCGTCTAGCAGGACGCTTGCCAGAGAGATTCCCACCGCGGCAAACCTCACACCTAGAGACTCGCAATGGATACGCGAGAACGAAGGAAACGAGCACCTCGGAAACAACCTGCCGGAGGAGTCGATGCCCGGACCGGGTGTTGACGCAGGAGGACTTGATGAGTTGGAGGTTGCAGGGTCACCCACGCCGCTGGGCGTCGTATGCGGGGGGGTAATATGGCAAGAGATCGGCATCTGTGCTCGCAGATGCCGCATCTTCGATAGCCAGACAGGAACACCGGTGGGTGGCAGGGTGTGGCAGTCACTTGGAGGCCAGGGATCCATGAGGCCGAGCACCAAACCTTCTGGGTTCGGAGCAGCTGGGGCCATCTCGGCCGGCTCAACTTGGAAAGATCCGGGATGGGCGTAGATGAGCGGCATAGTGAGGGCGTGGATTCACCTGGAAGCCATAGCCTATAGCTAACGAACGCGTGAGAAAGCTGCTGGAGATCTTCGCGTAATGTCGTGCAGAGATCCTCCGTCTTAGTCCCCCCATCACCAATTGCGGCGAGGATAGACGGGCTGTGGGAGCAGTGCCAAGAAGAGGCTTCTGCGGTTGCAAGAATTCGGACAGGCAGCAGGCAGCGCTATCTCACGCCTCGACATGCACATGCACTCAAACGCGTGGTGCCGGGCGCCGGGGCAAACATTTCGAGATTCGTTCCTCAGGTTCGGGGGCTGGCCGTGATGGGAGAGACGGAAGACGGACGGGTGGCGTGCAACGTTGGGCGGACGGTGGCCGAGTGTCGGGGGCGGGCTGCCCCCAAAGTTGTTCCACCAGTGGCAAGTCGGCAACGGTTTACTGTGTAACGGTTCCGGACACGGCCAGGAATCACGACACCAGACGTAAAAAATAGATTCAGGCTGTTTACTCGGCGATTGGGCCAAGCGGCTGAGCATGACAAATCCCAAGACTGGTTACAAGGCCGCGGTTTGGAGTACCAAGGCTATCATGGCACCGTAGGACCCCAAGTCACGGCCTACGGCACACTGTACCGCGCGGAATACGGCTCGCGCCATTGGTGGCCGGAGTCGCTCAGAAAATGTGGGGTGGCGTGCGTGGGGGTGGGGGAGGGGCAGCACAGTGGGCACAATGGGACTGTGCTTTTTCAGTGCGACCGAAGCTCGCACTCCCTGTGAATCCCTCTGACGACATTGGGATGACATGAGCATTGGGGGTGGCACTGTGGCTGTTGCGCCTCGCTCCGCGGGGTCGATGTCTACCAGTCTTAGTCGAAAGCGCAAGTCGAGGCGCGCGACTGGACGGTCGACATTTATCATTCCCGTCTGTAACCGGGTTTCCAAATGCGATGCAAAGCCTCCGGGAATGATCTCCGGTCGAATGACGATGATGCACAATTCATGTATGTAGATGCAGACACTTTACGAACAATCAAGCTTGCAATTGCCCGTCCACTGCCCTCACAGCAACCCCAACATCGCACAACAACACCAGGGTCCCTTACTAGGATGCCATCTCACGACTCCTCCCCCGCATCGTGCTACGGCTCCGACCATTCCTCCACAGCAATAAAACACGTCCCGTCTGAGAAACTCCACCGCACATGGGCGCATCAACAGCAGATGCAGCGTCAAACACGGCCATGAGAAGCCGTCCTCGCGCCAGCGCCGGCCCCGGATTGGAGGGAAATGCTCCCCCGCCAAATCCCTCCAATTGCTGCCCCGCATTCTCGGCCAGAACCCCGAAGCTGCCATGAGCTCTCGCAGGCTGGACGCCGTGGAAAACAATATATTCGCCAGATGCCAACTCTGAGATGAGCCGTAGAGCATCGGTCCGCACTCTCCTGTTCGACGCCACTTGCTTTCTTTTTTCTTCACCTCCACCTGTTCCCTGCTTCGCCTTCTGTGCCTCCGGACTCTTAGCCTGAGCGTAGGGCTGTTACTCCTCCACCAAACTTCACTTGCTGCAGCCGGTTCCCCTCCCCCACCTGCTCCCGCTGCTCTTCTCCTCGCATTCACATTTCACAAACCTCTCTCCCAATTAAGATCCTGTGGTTAAAATCTATCATGGAGCCTCTCAATGTGTTGATGGTAAGCTCCAAACCCTGCCGATTTCGCGGCTCAGCCAGACTAACATGACATCCTCTACAGGTCGGTACCGGCGAGTACACCACCGGCTGGGTTGGCACCGGTGCTTCTGGCTCCGACAAGAAGGTCGGCGTCGTCGGCCTCAGCTTGTTTGACCTGCGCCGTCGCGAGAAGGTCAACAAGCTGAGCATGGTCGGCGTCAACGGAAAGAAGTTCCCCGCCATTCGTAAGTCTCCCCGCAGTCATCCCTCCCCCTGCTCGCCGTGCCCATGATCGCCGTCATGATGCTGTCCAGAATGACCCCGCTAACCATGACAACCCACGCACACAGGCGAGCACCTCCACAAGAACATCAGCCAGGCCTACAACAACCTCGATACCTCTTTCGAGTCATTCCCTGGCAACGACCAGGTCGAGCCAGATGCCTACAAGACGGCCATCGACGCCCTCAAGGCGGGCGACGCCATTACCATCTTCACCCCAGACCCTACTCACTACCCCATCGCCCGCTACGCCATTGAGCGCGGCATCCACGTCATGATCACCAAGCCCGCCGTCAAGGTCCTCGCCCAGCACCAGGAGCTGGTCGAGCTCGCCGAGAAGCACGGCGTCTACGTCTACATCGAGCACCACAAGCGCTTCGACCCCGCCTACAACGACGCCCGCTACAAGGCGCAGACCCTCGGCGACTTCAACTACTTCTACAGCTACATGTCGCAGCCCAAGTCGCAGCTCGAGACCTTCAAGGCCTGGGCCGGCAAGGACTCGGACATCTCCTACTACCTCAACAGCCACCACATCGACATCTGCGACTCCATGGTCAAGAGCCGCGGCTACGTGCCCCTCGCCGTCACTGCCTCCTCCTCCAAGGGTGTCGCCGTCGACCTCGGCTGCGACCCGGCCACCGAGGACACCATCTCCCTGCTCGTCACCTGGGGCAAGACGGACGACGCCAGCAAGCGCGCCGTCGGCGTCTACACTGCGTCGTGGACCGCGCCCCAGCGCGCCGGCGTCCACTCCAACCAGTACTTCCACTACCTGGCCGCCAACGGCGAGATCCGCATCGACCAGGCCAAGCGCGGCTACGACGTCGCCGACGATTCTGTCGGCCAGCTCGCCTGGTACAACCCCTTCTACATGCGCTACGCCCCCGACGAGGACGGCAACTTTGCCGGCCAGACCGGCTACGGCTACATCTCGATGGAGAAGTTCGTTGACGGGTGCCGCTCCGTCAACTCGGGCAAGGCCACGCCCGCCGACCTGGACAAAAAGGAGCTCCCCACTCTAAAGAACACAATTGCCACCACGGCTATCCTGGAGGCTGGACGACGGAGTATCGACGAGGGCCGGGAGGTCAAGATTGTGATTAAGGATGACAAGTGGTCGCTCGAGTAAGCGGTGACTTTTGAGATGAAATAGCAATAAGTCGGTAGCGGTGCTTTTCTGGGTTGTTTTTGGATAAGGGAACAAAAATCTCATAATGACCGAAATTATCATGGCTCCAAGGTGTGTAGTTGTGAAGTACCTATGATCAGTGCACTTCTGTTGCAGCTTGAAAGTCTAGATGTGGATCCATACCTCTCTGTGCGAAGACTCGACGACGACGTCCACCAAAATCCACAACTCACCTTCTCCAACTAAATATCTTCCCTGGTCACTCACTCACCACCCACTTCGCTAACTGCTTGTCCACCTCTCTTCAATCCCGTCTTGCGACTTCATCACCTGACCATGCCGGACCCCCACTTCTCCGACCTCATCCTCCCGCAAAACGAGCAGCCGTCCATCTCACAGTTGCTCGCCTCACTGAAGCGCACAACCCTCTCCATACACAACCGCCTCACCAGCATCCGCGACGATGCCGCCTTCGTCGCACGCGTAGCCGCTGCGTACGGTCCTCGGCCTCTCGTCGCCAACGAGCGCTGCGGAAGCTGGTACATCCCGCCGGCGGACAAGGCGGCGGGGGCGTACTTTAAGAGCACCGATGGGCATGAGCGCGCGTGGAAGTTTAGCACTAGGAGGCTGAATTTGCACTTGATTGAGATGGTGGAGAATAATGATGGGTATGTTGAATGAGGAGGGGGAAGATTGTTCCCCGGTTGAGGCTATAACCGGGAGTGTTGTGGTGTGATGCTTCAATAGCTGACTATAATTATAGCATCATCGTTGTAGACTCCACCCGCCGCGGCAAACGTAAGTATTTCCTCAGCCAATCGTGCTGTATAATCATCAGCTAAAACTCCCCAGGCATGCCCGACGCCCTCTCCACGACTCTTCCTGTCTGGTGCACCGTTCTCAACCTCGCCCTCCTCCCCTCACATCCCTCTTCTCCAATCCTGCACCTCCCGCCCTCCTTACCTGCATCCACGCATTCTCAGATCACAGCCCTCCTCCCCCAATTCCTCGCCTCTCTACAAGCCCTCAATCTCGATCTCCCGTCCTGTCTCACCAAGCCCCTGCGTCCTGTCTGGGTCACACCGGACTCGTCCCTTCCTGAGCCTAACGCCACTGGTGCCTCCATATTTGATGACTACCGCCCTGTCATCTGCTGCACGGCTAGTCGGCGTGTTGTAGGGAGTGAGATGGACGAGGCTGGCTACGTCCAGGGTGCGGGAGATGACACGGAGAACTGGGCATGTGGCCTTACACCAACCGTGTTCTGGGAGCATCTCGAAGATCTCCTCACCGCCTCTGAGGCAGACCTTCCTGACCTCATCGCCCGGCTCGTTAGCGAAAAGGAGCCTGGCAAAAAGGATGAGGGACCACGAAAGGAACTCACACGCCACATTTCAGTGTGTCCGCTACCCCTAGCCGCAGATCCAGGGACACCGACCGAGTGTCGCATCGCCCTTACTCCCGACACGACCTCCAAGGAATCGTGGATCAAGTCACCGACATATATGCAGATTGGTCTCGGGAAGAGCAAGTTGGCGAGTAGGAATATGCGCTCTGCCCTTCCCGAGATCTGCGCCTTCGCAGCCAAGTTCCTAGCTCGGACCCCCGAGGACTCCCAACGGCGGATCGTCATTGCATGTGAGTCGGGAAAGGATTTGTCTGTTGGGACAGCCCTGGCTATTTCCTGCTACCTTTTCGACGAGAAGGGCAACTTTCGCCAGCCGGAGACAGATACGTCCTTTACAAAGACTCTCGTCAAGTCCAGGCTGGGTTCCATCATGACCGCATACCCAGAGGCAAACCCCAGTCGATCTACGTTGCAGAGCGTCAATAGTTTCTTAATGGACTGGCGAAGGTGAAGAAGGGCCTGTCATTGCGTCTTCATTTTTATCTCTATCCGTGCCTTACAGGGAGGCGCTATAAAACTACCAAAATCCTGCCTCCGCTCTTGAGGACAGGGTGTCGTGAAATGCAGCATGCATCTTATCTATGTATCTAGACGCTGCCGGCCTCGATCTTGGCGAGGCAATCCGGGAACTCGGCCCAGTCTTGCATGATGATGACGGCACCGGCATCCCGAAGGACCTTCTCCATCTCGACCTTCTTGTCGTCAGGGTAGGGGCCGACGTATCCCACCACCTTCATACCGGCACGGGTGCCGCTCAGAGTGCCACTCTTGCTGTCCTCAATTGCAACACACTCCTGGGGCGTCTTCCCGAGCTTCTCCATGGCAAAGTTGTAGACAGCTGGGTCGGGCTTGCTGGTAGGAACGGGGAGACTGGTGGCAGCGGAGAAGACGACATCACCCTTGAAGTACTTGTCCTGGCCAACCTTCTCAATGGAAGCACGAACACGGCGGAGGGCAGATGATGAGACAACGGAGAGGAGGTACTTGTTGGAGGCGGCAAGCTTCTCAAGCTCGTCGTCCACACCAGGGCAGGGACGGAGGGCAGCCTTGAGCTTGGCAATGACAGCATCCTCCTCGGCGGTCACGTAGGTCTCGAGGTCCTCAGGGGAAATCTTGATGTTGTAGCGCTCTTGGAGAGAGTTGAGCATGCCGCGGAAGTTCTGGCCGACGAATTCCTGGATGAGGGTCTCGCCAGTAAAGGTGATGGTGAGGTCGCGCTCAGCACAGATCTTGTTGATGAGCTCGGCGCAGGCCTCGAAGGCAAGTTCCTCGGACAGGACGAGGGTGTTGTCGCAGTCAAACAGGAGGGCGGTGATCTGGGTACGAGTTAGAGCCAGTTTGTAGCTTGGATGGGGACATGGGAGCTCCAACGTACCTCAGGCATGTTGGCGGTGACGTGTGTGGGATTGGAAGAGCTGGGACAAGCAAGAAATGGAGCAATTATGGAGCTGTACAAGGACGAAACAAGCGGTAAATCGGGCTGGAAAAAAGAAGTGTTCCTTGGTGGTTTGGTTGGAGAGAAGAAGAGGAGGAAAAGGAGGAGGGAGGTGGGAATCACCAAGATATGTAAGGTAGGTAGTCAGCCAGGGTGCCTCAGGTGCGGGGGGCATGAGCTGCTGCAGGGCAGGAGGTACGTTGGTACCATGTAAAGCAAGCCAAGGTAGGTGCCAGGTTTGTTGACGGCGGCTGGAGCATTGAGGCCTGGATGTAAGACAGCTGAGTTAGGTGCGCAGCCACCGCTGCAAACGCGGGGAGCGGGATAAAAGGGAGGCGTCACAGTTGAGCATCAAGAACAGCACGGACAGCAAGAGGCAGAATAAATCACTCAGGTTGCATTGCGGCATGGCCAATTCCGTCCTGGTTCATGGCCCGGATCCTGGCCGTGGATGGATGAAGTCCTCCCTCCGGACAGGCATACATAGCTGTCTGGGCCCATCTGCCAGTTCCCATTTCCCATCTGGCCGAGCGAGCTCCGTCCGTATCAGCATCCATATTATTATGCACGTGTAAATTGCAGCTAAATCGCAGCAGCTAAAGTCTCCGTCGTCATCCTGGGCAATAGCTAACTAGGTACAGAAAAGAACCCCTCCAACCAACCCCTCCCCCTCCCTAAATTCCCTGCCCTAAAATCCCCCTGGTCCAACCCAGTGTCGTCATCGCTGCACGCTCGGATCCAACCACTGCCAGCCGCCGCCATCGCAGCCCGCCATCCACTAATCCGCTGGCTATCCTCGCTGTTCTGGGCAGCCTGCGTCGCCTCCCAACTGCACCACGCCGCTATTGGAGAAGCCGTTTTCTTCCCACCGGCCCGCCTGGCGCTCCGTCTCTCTCGTTGGTGTGCCCCAACGTTCCCGACCGCATGGGAACGGCCAGTGGCAATAGGCTTATTCGGTTCATACGGGTCACTTCCACTTGGTTGATTGTTGATTGTTCACGCTTCCGGAATATTAACGCAAAAATGCGTGCCAAAAGTAACCACCAGGCCGGAACCATGGTTTCATTTCCCTGGTCTTGGATCTATTGAACAACATCGCTCGCAAGGCTGAAATATCTGCCCTCATTGCCTACTCCCGTGTATCAGTACCTCGGCGCGGTCAATCTCAAACCGACCAGCCGCTCGCTGCAGTCAGCCCATTACAAAGGCAATCACTCTGCCTCGGCCTGTGCTGTCCTACACATGGCTAGTCTTAGCCATTCTTCCGGCGGGTGGCTCACGCAAGGATAGTTGCTAAAGAGGCCCACTGAGCTCGATTCACTTGGCACACCAATGCTCTTCAATAGTTTACTTTCCAGACTCGACTTGGTATTATACGCTAGCTACGGCATCTACCACAAGGACCTGGTAAATATTGTCCAAAACAAACTCATAAGCACGGATATCAAATCCCTATAACCCGCAAACTGTGTGATGACTCTCATCTCATCTTCATGCTACTCAGCATTGTTCTCCACGTTTCTCGTCACTCATCATTCAGTCCAGTTCCCCCAAACGCCATAACACCGTTGTTTTCGTATAATGATTACTCTTCCAACTCGGCCGTTCAAATATCGGATATCCGCTTCGGGCTGGCAGTGGTAAAACACGTGGGCAGAAGCATGGGTAGTAGTGTCATCCGAATGCTCCCTGCCCATGACTGGCGGAAAACGGCCCGTCTATTCCAATGACATCAGCCTCTGCCTTCGGCAATCTGTTGGCCGACTTGATTCGGGACTCGGTCCAGCTCCCCTGGTCTTCGCGTTGAGAGATTTACAGAATCTCTCTCAATTTCTGCTTCTGAATTGCCGTCAATGTCGACGGAAAGGTGATCCTGTAGTTGACCACAAAGTCGCCCCGTGTGCCAGGCTTCTTAGAGATGGGCATTCCCAGCCCGGGGAAGCGCTCCTCGCCGTTGGGTTGGGTCGGTCCAGCCTTGTCCAAGTTGAGTTGTCGACCGTCAATCGTCGTCACTGTCCGTCTCCATCCCGTTAGAGCCTCTTTAAGCTCCAATGTGATTGTGTGGACGAGATCGTTGTCTTGGCGCCTGTACAGAGGGTGTTCTTTCTATACGGGTTGTCAGTCAGCTGTTTCTAAATCATTCTCTGCTCAGGGGTTGCTTACCTCTTCGACGATAAAATGGAGATCTTGGCGACCACCTTCCACCTGATCGCCCACTCCATTGAACTTGATCTTTGAGCCCTTCTTCAAGCCTGGCTTGATGGGCACCTCGAGGATTTGATCGGTCTGCACACGCTTGCCTGATTCGTCGTATGTCTTGCGCTTGATCTTCATCTTCTTTGTGACGCCATTGTAAAGCTCCTCGAGAGTCAGTGGCAGTGGTCGCTCAACCGTAGAAATCTCCGGTGTTGAGTCTCGATTCCGTGGTTCACCCATACCAGATGATCTCATCCTCGAACTTCGACTGCCGCGGGGACCACCGCCAGCATAGGACGAGAACATGCCGGGGATCTCTTCGTCGCCGCCTTGGGAGCGCATAAACGATGAAAAGATATCCTCTGGGTTGTTGAAATTGAATCCGTTGGGACCTCCACCACCAGTGCTAAAGTGGAAGGTTCGGGCACCGCCACCGGGTTCGCCGCCCTCGAAGTTGAATGAATTGAAGCCGCCTGGCATCCCTCCGAAGGGGTTGCCACCAGCACTGTCGGGAGGGGGTGGCCCGCCGCCACGGAGGAGGAACTCGAGTCCATATTGATCATAGGTCTTGCGCTTCTCGGGGTCGGATAGGATTTCGTAGGCTTGTGAGGCCTCTTTGAACTTCTCGGCGGCATCCGGGTTGTCCTTGTTCTTGTCAGGGTGCCACTTCAAGGCAGCTTTCCTACAGAGGTAAAGTGGTTAGCAAAGTTCGCTCAGATGAAAGGCAGAGTGAGTGGTGGTGCCGCCGTGCCTAGGAGGAATTGAAAGTAAAAAGCAAAATACATTTCGAGTAAATCAATTGACTAGGGAGCCAAAGGGAAACAGGGGAACAGAAATAGAGGATGGGGAGAGGGGAGAGCAAGCACACCGAATGTCCAGTCCGAGGCGCATGGCCACGTTCTGTGATCGGATCGGCGCGCGGAGAAGAAAAGAAAGTGGTCTTACCTGTAGCCTTTCTTGATCTCATCCTGAGTGGCATCAGGCTTGACGTTGAGGATATCGTAGAGCTTAGTTTCCTTGGCCATGGTTGCGAGGCAAAAGCGAAGCCTCGGAAGAGCAGATGTTTGTGTGGGGGTGGAGTAGAGGAGGGGGAGTGCGTGGAAAAGCAGAAAGTGGGCGAAACTGCTGCAAAGTGATGTGTCGTATTGTCGGTTTGCTCGTCGACAGCAATAGCCTAGCCGAGGCTGACTGGATTCGTTGTGGAAATGCGATGCAGTGATCTGGGGTAGAGAGAGGAAGAGAAGAAAAGAAGAGGAGAAAGTTGGATGTGTTTACAGAGAGAAGTTGGATGGAGCGAGGTGTGATATGGATCCCGCATCGAGCGAGTCCAGTGACGTGCTGGTCTGTTCACAGGGCATGATGGGCATGGAGGGAGCGCTATTCAGCGGCACGCTACAGGGGCAGCAGCGCACACAACTCGCCGGAGGGAAGTGTCCTGGGGGTTGGCTGGGCGCTGGGGAAAGCAAAACACTGGGGCATGGGACCTTGTGGAAGCTTCGGCGAGGCGTCGCGCGCTTTCTGTGGAACTGGCTCTGGCTCGAGGGAACAAACGCAAGTGAACAATGGGAAAGGGTGGGGTGACGTCGATCGATCCATTGACGCTATTCATTCCAGCCTGGGCTGTTCAAAGTACTGTTACACGGCTACTTGAGAGGAGTTGTTCCCGCACCCTGGTAAACAAAGACCAACCAACACCTTGTAGTCGATCAACGCAGTGCTCATCAAACCACTAACAGTACCCACGCCCACAAAGACAAACGGAACAGAAAATCAAGTTTTTCCTTGGGCTTCAGATCCATTGCTGTCGGTTGATACCTGATGGGCAAGGATGATGGGCTCTCGCCGAGGTGGGCCTGCAACAGATGACCTATGACGATGATGATGGCGGGGTCGCCGCCCGGGAACAGAGGAGCTTGTGTGGGCGGGGCTGGGCTTTAGGTCGAGACTTGTCTCCGCAAGCCCAAGCGCCTGTCGGGTGCTGTATTCTCACAATACAGATAATGAACATGAAGCGTTGCACGATCACTCGATGTGGGTGACTTGAAAATAATCACCAATGCAATCTTTGTTTGAGATGATGCAGGTGTGACTTGTCCATGGTACAACCTATGTACAGTACTTCACGCAATACGGATCCAACCGAGGCCCACCTGCAACCAATAAGTTCCCTGCAGTTATCAGTGATGATCGAACCTTCTAGAATCTTCCACGGCGCCAAAATCTAGACACTGGTTGAAGCTACCAGACTAAACTACAGATGGGCATATGGTTATGGCGTCGTGATTTAGGATACTTACAGAATCATGAGGCCAAATGATCTCGGCAAACGAAGAGACCAGCGCATCAATGATCACACTGAAAATAGATGTGAACTGTTGTGACACCCATACCTTCCTACAGCCTGTGTCATGCAAGCTGCGTCCTGCAGGGAGTGTCTCTACTTTCACAACTATAGGAATAGCTTCCCAATAATAGAAATAGGTCAACTGCCGTTCCTTTTTTGTCTTTTTGGTGGTCATTCTTCAAATCCGTTGAATGATTGGCTTGTTAATCTCGGCCGCCATGTTACACAACGCCTTGACTGAAGTGGAGATGCCCGCAAGTCTGGGAACGGAAGTGAGGCTGCGAGAATCATTGCACTTTAAACCACAAGTGAGTATGCAAAAATCATGTTTGTATTTTATTAGGAAGTCCTCGTAACGGACTTTGGTGTATTAGAATGCCCGTTTCTCGAGTATTGCAGACTTAGAAGTGGATAGTATGTGTTTGCTTGTTTGACTATCGTTAAAGCCACATGCCCTTGTTCAACAGGGAGCTAAACAACCCCCAAGAGTCAACCCGAAATTACATCATATTTAAACCAGTAAAATTAATCGTCTGTACATCTATTTGGCCTTCTCGTCCTATTTCAAATCGACAATCGATCAATGAGCACGTGGAAAACGCTGGCCAGATTCGGCTTAGCTTATCTTATCGGTAGGCGCTAACGTCCTGTGGCACGTACCTTAGCCAGCACCACCAAATCCACCAAGCATGGTCCGTCCGCCTTCGACGCTGGTTCATCATCACCCTCACCCACCTCGCAAGCTCCATTCGCAACCACGACGCCGGTTGGAGTTGCTACCGGAGCCATTCGTCACTCCCAGTTTGAACCGCTACTTGATCGTCTATTCATCTGCTCCTTTTATGCCCTCGCTTGACTTGGCAGGCCCCTTCCTCGCTCACCAACCCCTTCATCCTTCCGCGCCCTGGCGGGCCCTCCCGCTGGTGCCAACTCTGAGCTGGCTGTGAAACCAACAGACGCCCATCGACAGCTTTACCTGCATCAACATATCGTATTCCATGGGCCTCTAACCAACGCGCTCAATCAACGACACCATGGCATCCATGGAGCCTTCCGAGCAAGAGATCTCGCAGGTCATCGACTTTGCGAGTCTAAGCCCTGCTGACGATCGCTTCCTCGTCACCCAGGCTCTCAAGGTTCGCTACCACCTCCTGCTTCTCATCACAAACCAACATTTGCGCCACGCACGCACCCAAATACTAACACATAATATCGTAGAGCAACAACCGAAATGTCGAGACTGTCGTCATGCAGTACTTCGATAATCCGGAAAGCGTACGAGCCCTTGACGAACCTGATGAATGGAATACCTGCTCAACTGTCGCAGTTCCGACAAAAGTACCAGACCACCTGGGATGACTCCATGTTTGCGGCCGACCGCGACGGTGCCGATAACAATGCTGGCATATGTTCGTACCGTCATCCACAACCTGCCGCCACGCCATGGCTAACCATGTAGCCTTCCACATCGAGTCTCCCGACCCCAATAGCATCATCCAAGGCGTCACTCCCCCGCCAGATGCATACCCCCCCGGCGCCCCCTCGAGACCTCCGTCACGAACGAATAACCGATCGCCGCTGGGTAGGATGGTAGACTGGACTGCGTCAACCGCACCCGGTCTTGCCTTCCCCCCAACTTCCCACGAACGTCTAACACTGTCGTCAGGTCTGACAAACAGCCAAGCCCAAGAAGATGAGGACATGCAACGAGCACTTCGTGAATCGGCCCAAGAAGCGGGAATTAGTATGGCTCAACCTGAGCCAGCCATCACAGAACCCTCAGCGTCTGCTCCCCCCAATTTTGGACCTGCAAACCGAAACGACTATGACCAAGGCAACTGGGCTATGGTCCCCGTAGGGCCTTCCGAGACAAATTTAAGCAGTGCACCCACGCCGTCTTTGAGGAAGAGAACTCCCGGTGCGCCTGCTTTCCTGATACAAGGAAATAGCTCGGCCGGAGATCACCAACTTGGAGGTCTCCTGACTATTCTCCACGAGATCCCCTTGGCGCGAAACATCCTGCTCGAGACTGGCTCCCCGGCGGCAACATATGGGCATAACAGCGAATGGTGGAAGGGTCAGGAAATCCTCCCGCCTCACGTCCTAGCCCAGCTACAGACGGGAGAGCTCCAATGGGGACAACAAGGCCAGGCCAAGACCGACTTGGAGGAGGAAATCCACCGCTTGATGGCATTCCTCGACTCCACCGATCGCAGCTATGGCACTATCAGCGTCTTAGCCGATCTTATTCCGTTCTCCAACTTGGGTCCTGAGAAGCAATTCTATGAGCAACTTGGAGAGAGGCAGGGCGACAAGATTCGACCACTCACACAAATTGCATCATTGACTGAAGTTTATGGCGACAACCTTGGCTACGAGGACGCTAAGTTCGGTCTTCTAGAAATGGATCATATGCGGAGTGATTATGGGATCATCAAGACCTTGTACGAGTCGCTCGATCATGTCATGTGGAATGATGTGCTAGGGTGGAACGAAGTGCATGAGTCGTCAAAGATGGCCATGTTCAAAGAGTTGGGGGATGTTTTCGTCATCAAGATCAAAGGCGACGGACCCGAGGACTCGATGGAGATTCCCGAAGTGTTTTATCCCGAAAAATATATGACAAGCCGAAAAGATGAGGCGCGACGGATACAGATAGGGTGGTGCAAGTCGAAGAGAGAAATGACGAAAATTGTGGAAGAGAGGGACCGCATCTACCAATGGCGGGATAGCTGGACGACTCAAATGCACGACAAGCGGGATCTGATCAAGAAAGCCGCGGACCAGTGGGCAGGATACAGCACCTATCTGGAGAGCCTGGCGCGGTTCCAGGCAATGGAAAAGTCTGGGTTTGACACGAACGAGTACCCCGACTATCGAGCCGCACCTTGCAACATGGATAGCAAGTCAAAAGAGCGACAAGACAAAGTAGATGAGGTTATTCGGTTCTCTGAACGTCTACTGGCCGATCTGGAGACAAGAGTCAAAGGCAAGCATTGGCGACTTGTTGCCTTCGGCAAAGGCATATCAAGCTAACCATTTCGCAGGTCTCAACGCCGAGTTAGAGTCTATCAAAGCTAGACAGCGCTTCTTGGGAAGACTTCTTACTACACCAGACAAACCTGGCCGCCCAAAGCCCATGACGTGCAACAAGTACCTTCTCCGAGGAGTGGCAACGTCCAGCGATGTTGTGTACGTCTGTCAACGGGCTGAAGCGGACTTGATAGAGTTAGGGGATGGGCCCAGCGAGCCATCAGATCAATGGTGGCGACTGGCTTACACCCCTAATGAGGAGCAGCCGGTTAAGGCAGAGGTATGGGCAATGATTTTGAGTTATCCAAGACTGATCTAACACACTCCCAGAAAGTCGAAATCGAGCGAGTCCTGCGAGACATGTGGCAGGAAACCAAGACTCCCTTAATAGTCTATGCCACCGAGAAGGCCCTTGATACACCACTAGCATCACTGACGGGTCCGCTCGAGAGGTTTGTGAAGGCAGAGAACAAGGCATTCCGCCAAGAGTTGAATCAGGAGAAGTCGGATTCAAGCGAAACAAGACGCGCAGCGTTCGTTGACCCTATTTCACCTTCGAAACGAAAGCACCGCTCGGACAGCGCCGACTCCATGGATAGCAACCGCGCCTCTCTAGGAAGTGACGACAGGAACGGATTCGACAATCCCTTTGCTGACCAGGATGAGAGCGTTGGGACCGAGATGACGGAACTGTCAGGGCGCGTAACCGACTTCGCCCGCAGCGTCAGTATCGACTCGGTCACGGAGCAGGCCCCAGCGCTCCCAAATCGACAACCGCCTTCGACGGAGAATACCTCGGCCACGATGACGCCGTGCACGGTAACGGCCGAGATGATAGAGGAGAGTGAGCGGGGACGCACCCAGGTCGCCGGTACGCACATCGATGCGGCTCCTCGGAACGTTACACCAGAAGCAGAGGTACCTCGAAGCCCGGAGATGCAGGAGCGGGCACGACCACTGTCTTTCATGGCTCTCTCGAGAACTTCATCCAATAAGAAGGATGTGATTGATCTCGTGAATATGGATATTCCCGAGCACTAATGAGAGTGTTGAGGAATGGCGGTTGAGTGCAGCCCGATGGCAGCCCACCAATCGAGAGGAGGCGGGATTAGCTGTTATGATATTGTTCCCTCGACAATTGAAGAACCTGGATGGCTCCAAAGGCAGCGCCATTTCGCCGGCAGGCAACTGGATGACTCAAAAAAGTTGAGGAAATATCGCCAGCACAAAGGAACAAGCAGGGAAACGGGGTGGCTCTGGAGGGGGTAGCAGGGGGCGGCATATTTAGAGGACGAGCGTTGCATTACTCATTACCCACCTCACACCAATTCTATGAGAATAACCACCACTGTGGAGTGTAGTCATCATTGGATTTTAAGTCTCCACGGAGGTCTGGATCACAATACATCATCAAGCAGGCAAAGAACATGCATGTCCCAGAAAGAAGAGAGTGTGCTCCCCGATCTTTGTGAACGAAATATGTATTGTCAAGTCTAGTTGTTGATCAAAAGTGGCATCCTTGCCCATCCTGGGCGTCTATGTCGATGACTCTATCGAGAAATCGACAACCAAAGGACCAGAAAAGCCCCGGCTTTGCAAAGAATAAAAACATGTATGGAGGCGAACACCTATGCTCCCCGAAACCTATATAAAATTGACCACCCATTTGCCCTACTACTCCCCCGTGGCCAATTCCACGGTCCTGGTCAAGACAGGTTCCCTTTAAACGCCGAAAAAAATCAACCCGCTATGCCGTCAAACTGGAAAGGTGAAAGACAACAAGGTGGAAAGGGAGATGGCAGACTGGTACCAGAAACGCCGGAGACAGTCTCCTGCCGTTAGTCTGGAGCCGTCTATTTCTGGTCCTTTTCGTCCTCGTCGTCGTCATCATCGTCAAAGTACTCCATGTCCTCGTCGCTGTCGCTGCCGCCAAAATCCTCCTCCTCATCCGACATGTTCCAGAAGTCGGCATCGTCGTCGACGGGCTTCTGCGGCGCAGGGGTGAGCTCAGCGGAAGTGGGCATGCTCATGCCCTCAGGAATGTCCTTCTGAGACTTTTCGATTACAGCCTTTGCCCGACGATCGTACTCGGCGCGTGAATCGCGGTAGAGAACGCTGGCGTCGACGTTTGCGGGGGAGTTGATCTCGGGGTCGTCGAGAAGGAGAAGTACAGAACGCAGGACAGACTCGACGCCATGGAGGACGTTCCAGCGCTCGTTGGCCAGCTCGCCCGAGACCTCATCCTCGCCAGGCTTGTGGAGGATAGAGATACAGAGGTTGCCGTCGGTGTAGACGTTGGGGTGGCAGATGCTCTTTGTGAGGAAACGGAAGGTGGGTGGTTGGTATGGGTATTCGCTAGGAAAACGCATCTCGGCCTTGAGGTAGGCGCCGTGCCAGACGCTGTCGGGGTTGACGACCCAGAGGCCGAGCTTCCATCGGAAGAGGTTGGTGTCATCAGTCTGTGAGGGCATCGTGTCAGCCACGGCGGTCATGAAACGGTGGAGAATGGAAGCGCCAGTCTTACCTCAATGTTTACCCACTTCTCCTTTTGGAGGGGTTGCAACTCCTGCATCAGTCGCTTCTGAGCCATGGTGGATTACGTGTGGACAATGTCGTCTTCTTTGGGGTGTTTTGGTGGTTTGCAGCGAGAGAGGTGGCGGGAACGGAAATCCGAAGTGGGAGGGTTGTGGTGGTGATGGGGGAAATCGAGCCCAGCGCCAAACGATGGATGGATCCGTCAGGCTCAGTCAGGTCAGTCAGGTCAGCCCGGTAAGCGGGCGGGAAAGGCGGTCGAAGGGTACCGGCGGCGTCGGCGGTGGCGGCACGGCGAAGAGCGAGCAAACGCCGTTTCGTTGGTTGGTCAGTCGGTTGGTTGCTGGTCGAGTCAGGCCACGATGGGGGAGTCGGAGAGACGAGGCGAGAAAAGAGCGAATTTGCGGATAAAGGGAGAAGGAAAAGAAAAGCAAAACACGAGTGTCCCTTCAGCTTTTTTTTCGATTCAGCTGAGCTTGGTTTATGTAAGGGAAAGAAAGAGGGAGAAGGTTTTCGGGTCCATCAGGTACCGTAAGTAATTAGCATGTCTCTGAGAACGGGAGGCATGAGCAGGAGTCACTCGGCCGCGCCGTTCTTGCCGCTACCCACTGTTACCACCTTGCTGGCGCCTGAAACCGGACCCTTGTAGATCAGGCGGCAGGTGGCTCTTCACTGGCAACGCGCGCTGTTCCCCCTTGCTCCAGAGCATGTTGCAGTACGTTTTGCAGTGTTCCAGTGCACGTTCCAGTGGCTCCAAGCGCCTGTTGAGAGAAATTCACCGCCTTCCCTTCCTGCACTGGCCCCCTGCCCCCTTGCCCCTCATGCCTTAGCCCTCGTGCCTTCCTCCGCTCCATCACTCATGATGACCGACTGCCCACTCAACCATGACCACGGAACTGACTAGCTGACGTCGATGGAGGGAAGGAGGGGTCCCCTGACCCGCCTGCCCACCTCGCCCACTCCGCCCACTCTCCCGGTCCGGTCGGTCACTGCCCGGCTCCACGTCGGTACGTACCTACCCTTTAGGTCGTCGCGGCGCCCGAATTCGGAGTTGACAAGGTCGTCGTGGACGGGAATGGTTGGTGTTTTGGCTTTCGCCGGATCCCCCGACTTCTGGCATGTGAGTATTTTCTTGCTCTAGATTGTTTGTAGCCCAGGGTCGAGGCGCCTGGATCACTTGGTCATTGTCACCAGACAAAGAAACTTACCCTGGAGCCATCATGCGTAGTCACCCGGCATCACCGACACTCCTCTACTTCGTGTCGTATAGCATTTTGTCTATTTAGCAGTTAATCTAGCAACCGAGATAATAACATAGACTCGGGTTTGGGCTCATTGCTTCTTACATTGACTCGAATAAGCAGGGTGGTTCATTTGTTGATGGAATTGTCATTCGAGCATCATACATCCATCATTGAACAGCAGTGACCTAATACAACCCACCAAAAAAAGAAGATAAACAAAAAACTTGTAATTCCAGGGTATCTGTTAGGCTATGCTCAAGCTAGAATCAAACCAGCTCCCTTCTATGATCGAAGAAACTATTTGTCCGTCTAGATCTCTCGAGCCCAATTCTTCCCCTCATTCGACCTGTGTTGATAAGCTCACGCTCCAAGATCGTAGTAGATGCAGGTACCCGATCGAAAGTTGTAAAGGAAAGAGTGTCGCGTGCCGCTCTTCTTCTCGTACTTGTACCGCCACGTATCCAGCTGGTCGTGTATCTCCCGCACGTACTTCTTTTCAGATGTCGTCACCGAGTGCTCGACTTGGCGCCATCCCTCAGGTTCCGACAAGGCCGTTTCTCGGATGAGGTCCATCACCTGATCAGTCGTCTCAATCGCCAAGATTGGGCCATCCAAGAATGACCGCACCAGACTGGCGGAGCTGGTTTGTGCCTGTTCCACCACAGTTCGTCGGTTGAACTTCTTGCTCCGCGTCTGAGCTATGAGGACTCGGACATCTTGTTCGGGGTCTTTGTCGCTGGCGCCCGCTTCCGCTTGCGGAGTAATACCTCGGAGCCTGGCCATGGCCCTGGAGTCGCGTTCTCGGATTTCGCCACGGAGCCATGAGAACAGCTGTGTCGTCGGGATATCCACATCCTGCACGTCCTTTCTCCCCATTGTCTTCACCTTCAGGATCGAGTCTGGCTTGATAATGATAATCCACGAGTAAGCCTCATCACGGTGTTTTGACAATAGGTCTTCTGGAGACCTTGCATCCTTGGCCATCTCGGCGCTAATATCGTGAGACCAGAGTAACTGCAATAACTCGACTCCAGATGATCGCAAGAGGGCTGCATCAAAGCTCGCAACCAGGACGTCACACTAGGCCATTAAATCAGCTGCCGGTCTTCGTGAGTGAAGAAAAAAAAAAGTAGGACTTACTCGTCGAGCGTTGAAAATTCCACTTGGATCGTCCTCCACCCTCTTGAGGAATGACTTCCCACCAGATTTAGGCATCCTGGCCAGCCGCTCCCAGGCAAGACTGAAACCAACAGCATGCCTCTCGCTAAACTGTCCTCCAATCTTAGGCCGCTGCTCTTTGATAAGGTGGTCATACCGGCCACCGGCTGCGAAGACGTCCTTGACTTTCTTGTCATACAGGCACGAAAAGAGGATTCCTCCCATGTAGAACCCTTCCTTTAAGCTGTTCAGAGGGTTGACGTAGATCTTAGTCCCAACTCCTAGCCGTTTAGAATACTCTGCGACTTCTTTGAGATGAGCTATCGTCGGCGATGCGCGTTGATACATGTCACTGCCCTCAAATATTGTCTTCAGCTTTGAAAAGGTCTTGTTCGGAGTGTCTATTCCATCATTAGTCGAGTTACAGTGTAAAAAGTTGCCATGGTGCATAAAGTCACCCATGAGTCACAAACCTCGGAAATCAAATCGCTGTAGTTCGTCAACGCTGGTTGCTGAAACGCCGACAGCCGACGACCGCAGTTCGATTCTAATCTTCTGCCAGGTGTAGTTGTGGATGTTCAGTTTGCTCAACACATCTGCAGTGGCTCGTCTGCAGGCAGACTCGATACCGCAGTGCTCGAAAATGAGTTGTAGTAGATCTGAATGCCCAAGATGAAAGCACATGGCTGATGATGATACGGCCGGGAAACTGTGGATGATTTCGTCCATCACCTTTAGTACTTCAGCTTCCTTCAACGCCAGATCCAACGTGTCCGTGGTAACTATATCAAAGTCAACCTCTCCAAACATTTGAGGCTGACCGGTGTCCTGCTTGTCTCGGAAAACGTTGCCAAAGGTAAAGGTTCGCTCTATGACTGGCCCGTTGGCCTGTTTGGACATCATCCTGGCATTTCCCATTGTCAAATCATACGGCAGCTGAAGAACTGACCCATTCTGATCCAAAAGTTGAACAACATTGTCTCCATAGTGGGATGATCGGGGATAGATGCAGTTCCTGGGGCACTCGATAGCTCCGTGGTGCCGGAAGATCGAGACGAGTGCCTTCTTGACGATGCCTTGATTCAGTAGCTCAGTCGCGCTTGGACTCGTTGCAAACATGTCCCATGCGAAGTTCTTTGTTGGTTCCATTGGCTTCGCAAAGAGGGTGGAGAGCATCTTGCGGTAGTAGGGAGAACTTGGGTCCGCTAGCCCAGCCAGAGTGCGCCGAATTGTCTCGCTCTCCATCTGAACAGGGAGTTTTCCGCTCTTGAGAAGCTCTGAACTCGATGGCCGCTCTTTGGGATTGTGGTTGACGAGAGACAACACGATCTCTGTTTGAACCTTCGTGGTAGGCCTGAAATCAGAAGGAAGTACTGGCAGGGGCCTTCGGAGCTGTCCGAGAACATCGGCCTTTTGCATGCCTATCATCGGGATGTAGCACATTTCGAAGAAGATGATGCCGAGCGAGTACATCTGATTATAAAGGTCAGAAACGGAACTGCGCAGAACGGTAACAGGGGAACTCACATCAACTTTCGTGCTGTACATGCCGTTGACCGCGGATCTTACTTCAGGAGCAGAATAGTAAGCAGTGCCAATGCTTCGTGTCATGTCGTCCGTCTCGAGACTGTTTCCAGCAGCTCTGTCTACTGAGAACTGCCCGCTGGTGGCGAGACCAAAGTCGCCAATCTTGACGTTGTCAATACCATCAGAGCTGCTGCTAATGAAGATGTTCTCTGGCTTCAAGTCGCGATGAACGATACTAAGCCCGTGGATATGGGCCATGCCTTCCAGAATCTGGCGGAACAATCGCCAAATCTCTGTCGTATTCTTATGCAAGCCTCGGGCAATAAGATCTCGCAAGGTCTGAATATTTTGTCAACACTTGACTACTGCATTTCGATAAATATGTGACTTACCCGCTTTTCACAGTACTCCATAGAGATGTAAAGTATTGTTCGATAGGACCGTTGGTATCGAAGTCGTCGCTGAATCGCGCCATGTCTTTCTTTCTCAGGAGAAAGGGCACGGCCGACAGCCACATCGTCAATGTCAGAGGACTCTTCATCTTCTGTTTCGTCGTCTTCATCCTCATCTTCTTCATCAGAATCGTCATATTCGAATTCCACATGGGCATTCGAGGACATGAAGTCCAGACCTCCAGTACTGGTAGCAAATTGGATATCAACACCGGCGGATCCGGTCTCCCGAGTATCTTCAGTAAAGTAGTCGGTCGAGGTGTCATCCTCAGTGTCCGTCAGGTCGGGGATTTCTTCGACCCATGTGTTGTAGTATCGAACCACAGCTGGATGACTGAGCTGAGATAGTAAACGGACCTCCTTCAGGATTTCAGTGAGACTAGCCTGTGAACGTTGGGTAATCTTTTTGATGGCGTAAATCTGACCATCCAGCTTCTTCCGTGCCTTGACAACCTCCCCAAACCCGCCCTTCCCAAGTCGGCCTTCCTCGACGAAATCCTCAGTGTATCGAGACAAAGTGTGGCCTCTGACATTTGAATCGCGCCTTAACCTTTGGGGAAGTACCTGCAGGGAGGTCAAGGATGGACTGCTTGACAAGACCGCAGACGCATCATCAAAGAGCACTGGCGCGTCAGTAGCCAGGAACTCGCTTGAGCCTAGTTCAAAAGCTCGGGGTCTCTTCTGCTTATCCTCCTTGAAGAATCTACTAACTAACTCCTGCAGCGAGTGTGATAGCGTGAATGACTCCATCAGGTTCTTAGGTGAGGAGTAGGTGCGTAGAACATCGAGGCCAAAAATCATCTGCACAAACACCACACCAAAGTCCCAGATATCGGTTTTGTATGTGTACTGAGGCTTTGATGCCCCTGCAATCTCTGGAGGTAGCCAATATGCGGACTTTGCACTGTTCAATCCCGGCAGGCCTTGCTTCTGTGTGCTGATGATGTGAAGTTCCCGCTGATACCAGGAATCGGAAATCTTGGGAATAATTTCACCTGTAGGCTCACGGAATAGCAAGATATTTCCGGGATGAATATCTTGATGAGCAATGTTCTTGTTGTGAAGAAAGCTTAGCGCATCTAGTAAGTCCCGTGTCCAAGACCGCACTTTGCCAACCTCAATGTGACCCGCAAGCTCCAAGAGTTCCTCCAAGGGTCCCTTTTCAGCCAAAGGAGTCATGACGCTCACTGTCCATGTATTCAAGACTGTCGGATCAGTGACAAGCCCGCTCTGCACTTTGAAATCTAGAATCTCGACAAGGTGCCTGTGTTGCACCTTTTTCACTGTCTTGAGATCTTGTAGGCGAGACTCGACACTCTGTAGCTGCTTCTTGAACTCCTTGGAATCCTTCCCACTGGAGCGTAGAACAGTTTCCTTAAGCGCCAGCGTCATGCTACCCTGACCGTTGGCGAGAACTGGTCGAACGGTGTACACGATCGAGACGGGTCCCTGGCGTGGGTCACATTTCCCGGCAACGGATTTGAAAGTGACGATGTCGCCCGACTTGTCCGTAGTGTTGCAAAACTGATCAAAATCTATGACTTCGGTATCGGTACTGGTGCTGGCCGTGGGCTGTCGGGGTTGACTCCCGTTGGGGCGGCGCTTAGACTCCTTGGCCTTTTGGCGTTGACGATCGAGTTGCTGTTGAAGCATTTCGGCTATGACCCTCTCCTCTTCTTTTGCCTCTTCGATCTTCTTCTGGTCTGCCACCTTCTTCTCCTCCTCTGCCCGCTTCGCCAAGGACGCTTCGTGTCGCTCCCGTTCTTCCTCGAGGGAAGGGAGGTGCTTCCCGTTTGCCTTGGCTTGCGCAGCGTCCTCGAGGATATCCCGGATCCCTTCGACAATCTTGTCGATCATTTCCTGTTCATCTTGGGCAAAGATCTTGGGTTGGGTCTCGATGAACTTTTGGATCTTGAACTGGGTAACCTCTCTAAGGTCAATGTCCTTTATTACGAGAACCGGCGGGGTCTTTGGGTATGTCGCAGTCATAGTAAAGCTCAGTGTGACGGCAAAGTCCTCATCGCTCGAAGCTTTTATTCGGATATCGAAGGATGGTTCTGTTCTCTACGGATCATGAGTTTCCATGTGGGACGAAAGCAACGACAGGGGGCGTCATGGGATCCCCTACCTTCCAGGCGCTGTGGGCCCCAGTGTGCATGACGAAGTCCTCGTCATAGATGGCCTTGAGTGCGACAAGTTCATTCTGCTGAAGCTCGTGGTATTCAATCTTGGTGTTGACCTCCGGGCTCGCGGCGGGCTGCAGGCCCGGGAAGCTTGACTCATCGTTCTTTTTGGGGTTCAAGGGCGTCTTCCATTGCCCAGGTGCGTTCCACGCCATGATTGCGCGAGACCGAGGAAAGAGTCACAGCCTAGGCCGTGACGCTTTACAGGGAAGAGGCCATGGTGGCGGCGATATCGAGTTATTGGTGACGGGTTGGTATGTATGATCCAGATGCTCCAGGCAAGGGGATGAAAGGTTCGACTTGTGACGTCGCTGGCGATGGCGGGGTAGTTTATAAGGCAGGCTCCAACTGAACGTGTCTGACCCGAAAGGCGGTGTCATCAGCTCACTGACCACTGTGCAGACAGGCCTGGCGTAGCGGTTCCAGCAGGGATTCAGGGCCAGGCCAGGGGTTCATGGGCTGCACGCGTGCTAAAGTTATCAACTTTTAGCCAATAGGTGCCCTGGACCGCTGGAGCCTCAGTGGCAGCTGCTGCACAGATGCCCGACCCGGCGCCAGCAAGATCAGCCAACCCACTTCAGCTGCCGGGATCCACTCTTTGTCTACGGCGGCAGCTGAAAGTAAACAATCAACCCTCACCCGCCCACTTGCCAACGCAGCAACTCTCGATTGCCACCTTCGATGTTGCTCGTTCGTCGCCCGTGATTGCGGAAGCGGAAGCTCTGATCTCGACTGGACGGATAGCGAACTGTGTGAATACCCCACTTCGTCTACCATGTTGGGGTGGATGTTGCGACGCGGCGAAGACGCGCCAGACGCGGCTGGAGATGGAGGTAGGATTATGATGCTTGATTGCTTTGAGCTGTCGCGCAGGGATGAGGCTAACCTTCTCAAACAGACACCACCCAGATCGACCAGCCCGACACTCCTGCACCCGTCTTTGCGGCAAGAGCCTTCAAAAGCGCCATCTTTGGGACGCCCGCGCGACGCAATGAGCAGCCCGAGACGAGACCGACAACAGACGAGATAAACACGAAGACCGAACTTGATTCAAAGACGCCCCAGCGGCCCCAGGGTATCTTACTCACGCCGGGAACGGGAACGTCACGGAGGAAGCGCGTATCTTTTGGGCAAGATGTTGGAAAGAAGACAAACGGCGCCTTGGCTGGGAAAACCACCGAAGGACACCAGCGCACACGCCTGAACGAAGCTCTGGAAAAGGCTTCTCAACAGGGAGTCAAGTCAGCGGCTCAGAAGGCCGCGACGCGACGAACCCAGGATGACAAGTCTGACGACGAATGGGAGGAGGCCGACGACGAGGATGTCTGCCAAGACATCACCGTTGACCTCAATGAACCGCACTCCCAGTCCGGAAAATACTGGAAGGAGGAATTCGAAAAATACCACCAGGATGCCAAGGCAGAGATGGAGAAATTGCTGAAGTATAAGCAACTGGCAAAATCCTATGCCAAACAAAAGGATGCTGAAGCCATTGAGCTCGCCGAGATGCTGAAGGACGAGCAGCAAAAGGTCATCGCAATGGAGAAGCAGATTGCCGAGGGCGCTTCCAAGATGGTATCGAAGCGAGGTGACAGCTCCCGCGAAACCTCTCCTGAGCTGCTCTCCACCCTCACGAAGCAGACGGCATTGGCTGTTCAGTACCGGACCCGTGTGCAGGAACTGGAAGACCAACTCGAAGATTTCCTGCAGGACAGGGAAGCCGATGCGGATTCTGAGACCAAAGGCCGAAGGCGACGTCTGTTAACATCACCCCGAACACAGAAAACGCTTCTCGAGACGCAACGGGAACTTCGCAGAGCTCGCAACCAAGTAAAGGAACTGGGTGAGCTTCGGGATGAGGTTTCAAATCTGAAATCTCAGCTCCGGGTTGCCGAGAAACGAGCCGCCAAGGTGGAGACGCACGGCAAGACGGATGATGATGCTCCTCCCGAAGGCAGCAGAGCGCAGGAACTACGAACCCAACTTCGTGAAGCAAAGGAAGACTCCAAGAAGAAGGATGAGGAGCTCCGAAAGCTTAAGAAGGAGTTTGAGACGTTTCGACAGGACACAAAGACTCGCGAGGAGGATACCAAGGGAGTGCTGGCACGCGCCCATAACAAGATTTCGGATCTTAAGAAGGAGATCAGAACCCTCAAAGTCTCTGGCGCGGAACCTGCGGCGCGACCGAAGAGTTGGCATCCGCAGACTGAGCTGGATCTTACACATGACCCGGCTTTGAACCAGATCGCGAATGGTGTTGCGCGTAGGAGCTTCGACTTGAAGGATCTCCAAGACGATTCTATGGAGCTGAAGATCCCCACTGGCAGTGGCCGAACACTACGAGAAAAGTTCCACGACGACGCGCTTCCCAGGGTCACTCAATCAGATCTTGGTGCAAGGCCGGCCTCAACTCTCGTCGAGCGACCGAATCTCGTGCCGCCTAGGTGGCAGCCGTTTGTTCCTCGATCGCCGCGAAACAGGGCCTACCTCGGCGAAGAAATCACGAAAAACATTCAGAACGGAGGGGCTACCTCGGTAGCTACGAAACCCAAGGAAATCGAAGCACCAGATCTACCGTCCCTTGCTAAGACGATTGCTCGATCAGGCCGGAGCCGATCAGCGGACAAGGGCGAGGCCAAGGTTGATCTTCTACAGGATCGCTTTGCGCGCCTCGGAGGACCAGATGCGAACGATAGTGTGTTTGCAGGAAACCCACCCAAGAGCACGCTCCCGCCAGAGCGCAGGGCCGCTGCCATTGCGCGGATTGAGCAGAGGATGGCGGAGAAGAAGCGAGCACAGAAGCAGAAGGGTCAGGATAAGGAGAACGTGCGACCATCAAGAGGACGCGCTTTACTGGGATGAAGATTTTACGGAGTGAGGTGTCGAATGGAAACGAGGAGAACGGGGATAATTTGTATTTCTAACGGCCGTTCAGGTTGGATTTGATTGTCTGGCATTGACATGGTGTTGGGTCTCCTTTTTAGCATACGGAGTGGTCCGTATGGATATTGATTTGCACGAGGCTTTATCTCTATCTCTAATCTGGAGCTTCTTATCTGCATCTGCCCTGTGAACCCCCCCAACCTCAACACCGCAATCCATGGCTCCCAATGGCGTCACTGCATCTTGGTTCGGATCCTGTTGATGAAATCCAAGATGAGATCTTAGAGCTGGAGCGGCGGCTGCAAGAGGCCAAGCAGCGTCTGAAAACGGCGCAGCCACAGCAGCCACGCGCGAGCGGTCCCGGCCGTGAGTCTCATCCCATGCCTCGGTGAACAAACAGCTCACCACATCTCCAGCTCACCTCGCCGGCTCAACGCACTTCTTGCTGCTGCTCTCGGACTCGGCGCTGCCTCTCGGCTCCTTCGCATTCAGCAGCGGCCTCGAGTCGTACCTCGCGCACAACCGGCGCGCCGCCACCTTCGCCTCCTTCTTGTCGTCGTCGCTGTCGTCCTTCGCCGCCACCACGCTGCCGTTCGTGCTCGCTGCACACCGCGACCCCGCGGCCCTGGCGACGCTGGATGACCAGCTTGATGCCGCCATCGTCTGCACCGTTGGCCGCCGCGCCAGTGTCGCACAGGGCCGCGCGCTGCTGAGCATCTGGGAGCGCTCGTTCCGTGCGAGCCAGCCCGACGTTGACGAGCAGGTGCTGCGGGACTTTGCGGCGTTGTTGAGGGAGGAGAGCAAGCGTGACGTGCCTCTTGTGTCGGCTCATCTCGGGCCGCTCTTTGGGGCCATCTGCGCCATCGTCGGGCTGGGCTTGCGGCAGACGGCGTATGTTTTCATGCTGAGCCATGTCAAGGCCCTGATCTCAGCGGCCGTCAGGGCGAGCGTGTTTGGACCGTACCAGGCGCAAAAGGTGCTGGCGGGACAGCACGTTCAGAGCATGATTGACGAGATGATTGACCGGGAATGGACTACGCCGGTAGAAGAGGCTGGGCAGACGGTGCCGGTCATGGACTTATGGATTGGACGGCACGAGACGCTATACTCGAGGATCTTCAACAGCTGACCGTGCTGTCCGTATGGTATCATTAATGTACAATAAATGTCTATGTATTCCTAAAACGAAACGCCTCGCCCTTATTCATCATCGCTGTCGCTATCGTAGGCAACCAGCGGCCCTGAGGAGACCGCCTTGGGTTTTGATGCTACCGCAACCTTGGCCTTGTTTAGAGCCGCGAGCGTGCTGCCCGAGAAGATGCCGCCCGTCTCCTGCTGTGGCTGCTCTGTATGTGCTGGAGCCTCGCCAGTCTGACCATTCTCAATCATTGGCCGCTCCTGATATTCGACCTCGAAGCCCTCTCGCCCAAGGGGATTCACAGCGTTGGCTCCTCGGGCAAAGTGGACCTCGTCGGGAGCCTCGTAGCCCTCAAGACCGTAGGTGCTCTCAAGCTTCCTTCGCTTGCGCGACTCTGGGTCCTTGCCTTCGATCTCGGCGACAAACTCGGCAGGGAGGGCCCTTCTAATAGCTTCGGCGGCCTGCTCCTCGATTCTGCGCGCCTCTCGCGCCTGCGCCATGGGGTTGGGGTCGGCGGTTGCCCATCTGACGTTCAACACCTCTTCGTGGTCGAGAGACTGGTGGGCCATTGCTTCCTTGGCGAATTGCGCGTTCGCTTCGTTCGTGTACGTGATGAATGCTACACCTCGGGTGTTGAGAACGCGAACTAGTTTCAAGGTTAGCATTGGATCAACAGTTCGGCTGGGACATGGAACTTACTGCGCTCAACCTGCCCCCATTCCGCAAAGTGGCGCGCCACAACCTCCTCAATATCATCGGTGACGTGTATCCTTCCCACATAAACGGTCCTGTTCTGGCGCATAAAGCTTCCAACACCGCCCATGTCATCTCGGTAGTCTGAGAACTTGTCGCGACCGAAGCAGTCTACGTTGGGGTTGAAGAGATCGAATGTCCCCGGCAAGCGGTGGAGGTATTGGCAGTCCTGGCCCTTGGCGCAGATGCCACGCGAAAAGGCGATGCAGAAGTAGCTCCCAGTGACCTGGTCGGCTCTGGTGTACCCGCTGTCCTTGGCGACGTTGCAGCGACCCTTGGCTTTCGTTTGGGACAGATACTTGTCTTCTCGATCGCCGCCGGACCACTTGTTGTACCACAGGTTGTATGTGACTCCAGTTTGGGGCGGGGGCTCGGAATTGAGGAAGTCAGGGTCGACCTGAGCTCGCGCCGGTCGCTTCTTCTTGCGGATGATTTTCTTGATGACCTTCTTCCCAGTTGGCGCCGCGACCTCGGTGCTGCTGTTTGTTGTGGCTAGCGCCATCTCCTGATCCTGCTGGACAGCGACCGGCGCCGTCTCAACCTGTTCCGCTGTGTCGGCCATCGTTCGTTCGTAAAGGGGGTGGTTGTGGCCGAGAAATTGAAGCGTGTGATGGCGACGCGACGACGTTGCTTTGGGAACCCTGGCGAAGATGATGCAAGGCTGTAAAAGTTTCTGGGGAGCCGAGTAGCGTGGCGAAAAGGGAAGGCGGTAAGTAAGCCATCCCGCACTTGTGGGCGCTGAGGAGAGATTCTGCCGCGCCTCGTCAGGTCCTCACTCGCCCCACCTGGGAATCTTGGACTGAAGACCAAACATCGAGACTCGACTCGACGCCGCTTTTGTTTATTCTTTTCGTGGGATTTTGTCTGGGGCGCGACGGGCGCTTCCAACCAACGGCATCATGGTGAACATTACAGAGAAGATCAAGGAGTTGGTTGTCCCCGGCCTTTGCTGTGGCGGGGCAGTTGCTGATTGCCCCTCAGGATTGAGGATGAGATGAAGAGGACTCAAAGTAAGTAGGCTTGATGCCGTCGCGGAGAGACAGAAGCCCCGGAGGATAGCCGAAACCGCTTTTATGAGGATATGTCATCTATTGCGAGAGTTTCCGTCGTGCTCCTGGCAGCACGCGACCCATTGCTGTTCGGTAGTGGGAATGAACAGAATTTACTCTCTTCGGATGGGACACTCATTTGGTCACTGTTTGAGAATTAGACTAATTTCTCTTAGAAAACAAGGCTACTGGTATGTGTGCGACGGATTATCTTAGCCAGATATCGAACCATTATTAACCTGTCTCAGAATATCATCTGGGTCTATTAAAAGGGTGAGTCGACTATCTCCTGAGACACGCTTCGGATGAGGAAATGCAACGGGACAATCTTGTGGCTGTTGCTCGCATTCTTTGAGTGCTAACTAGTCTAGAAAACTTGCTCGACTACGAGCACAGCTTCTAGAGCCTGGTCCAGGATCGGGAGGTGGCGCCGGTGCAGGTTTCGACGTTAGTAAAAGTGGCGATGCTCGAATTTCCCTAGTCGGCTTTCCGTCCGTAGGAAAGTCGACTTTCCTATCCAAGGTGACCAAGACGAGGTCTGAAGTTGCTTCGTATGCCTTCACAACCCTGACAGCTATTCCCGGTGTGCTGGAGTATGGTGGTGCTGAAATCCAGCTGCTCGATCTTCCCGGTATCATCGAGGGTGCTTCCGAAGGAAAGGGCCGGGGACGGCAAGTCATCTCGGCGGCAAAAACCAGTGACTTGATTCTGATGGTCTTGGATGCAACCAAACGTGCTGAGCAGCGAGCCCTGCTGGAGGCCGAACTGGAAGCTGTCGGTATCCGACTAAACTGCGAGCCACCGTTAGTTCCCTTGTGCGGAACCCACTTCACGTTGTGATGCTGACGAGAGTAGAAACATCTACCTGAAGATCAAAAAGGCCGGCGGCATGAAAATCACGTTCCAGTCGCCTCCTAAGAACCTGGACGAAAAGATGCTGTACAACATCCTCCGCGACTACAAGATCCTCAACTGCGAAGTCCTGGTCCGTGACGAGGACGCAACCGTCGACGAATTCATCGACGTCATCATGAAGGACCACCGCAAATACATCAAGTGCCTCTACGTGTACAACAAGATCGATAGCGTCTCTCTCGACTTCCTTGACAAGCTTGCGCGAGAGCCCCATACCGTTGTCATGAGCTGCGAGCTCGACCTTGGCATTCAGGACGTGGTAGATAGGTGCTGGGAGGAGCTGAAGCTGATCCGTATCTACACGAAGCGAAAGGGTGTCGAGCCCAACTTTGGTGAGGCGCTGATTGTGCGGAGCAACAGCACCGTCGAGGACGTGTGCGATCGCATTCACAGGACCCTCAAGGATACCTTCAAGTATGCGCTGGTCTGGGGAGCGAGTGCGAGGCACATTCCTCAGAGAGTTGGTCTGGGACACCCGGTGGCGGATGAAGATGTTGTTTACATTGTCAGTGGTTGGCGAGCATAATCGTGCTCTTTGTCTGGACATGTCAGGCAGGATGATGCGTGAAATAAAAGCAAAGGCAATTTCAAAATCATCGAAGTCAGGTATCAAATGGATAAATTCATAAAGTACGACACCACCCAAGAAACCAAAGTCCAGTCATCGCATCATGTCATTACAAGCCAACGATTTTCATATCCTGCACAACGAACATGTCGTAAACCCTGCCGTGAACGCCGCCAGTCCGCCGGGCCCAAAGTTCCAGCAACGAAAACAAGTGCACCATAATGATTCAACAGACCAAGCTGTATCTGAAAGAGTGAGAAATCAATGAATGGTGTTCAGTCTTAGAGCTGGAAAGCCTTGGCTGACGCGGCGGGTGTCGTACCCAGGGGGTTCTCGCCCTGGAGTTTCTTAGCGCTCGCTTGGGCGAAGAGCGACTTGGGCTTGACTCTGCGAGAGGGTTAGCAGATGCGACGACGAGCGGGAGGATGGGAGTGACGAACTTGCTGGCGTGCTTGTTGCGCAGAGCGTTGATCTTGGCCGTGCAAGGGCTCATGATGTTGTCTGAGGGAGAGATGTACTTGTTGTTCCTATTGCAAAGTGTTAACGGTGGCTGTTCACGATGATGATTTACTATGGCGGGCTTGTCGCATTGATTGCGGCGGGGGGTTGCACGTACGTATCTTCCTCGGCCATCTTGGACTGGAGGACCTGGCGATGGTACTCCATGCTCTTGACGTCCTTGCCAAAGACCTGCTGGTCGACCATGGAGGCGTTGGCGTCCTTGTCGGCGAGAACCTTGGATGACATGGTGCTGTGCGTTGTGGTGTGGATTGATTGGGGTTGATTGTTGAACGAACGCGTGTGCAAGATGAAGTTGGCGCGGTAGGAGTAGATCAGGCGTATTGAGACAATGCGATGGCTCGGTGAGCAGGCAGGGCAAATGCAGTTGCGAAAGGAGCTGGATGAGATGGATTGATGATCTTGCAAGGCTGGAAGAGCGTGGGATGCGAGCGTTAATGTAGTAGCAGCGTGAGCACTGATATTCCCGGCGAGCGTGCACAGCTTTCAGCGCAAAATCGCATGTCAAGTAAACGGAACATACGGTCGGCGGGGCAACGGCGATTCATCAGCCAGGGTGCGACGTGGAATGTGCGAATGTGCGCACCCCGGCAGGAGGTGGGGCCGGGCAGAATTGGGGAATTGGCAGGCACGCAGCCCCCGGTCCGTGTTTGGACGGCCCATGTGAAGGCCCTGCAAGAATGGTTCTTGGGAGATCCTTGAGATTTTCGCAACCACCTAATAAACAACGACAACGCATCATCGCCACGGCAATGGCATGACCCCTCCCCTGGCTGCAGCGTGCGCGGGAGCGGCATTGTCTGGGGTAATTAGCAGCAATGACTCACGGAGCTAAGGCAGAGGGCGAGCGTCGTGTCTGGTATCAGCATTCTGCAAGCCGTGCCCAATCATCTTCACCGTTGGCTGCGAGACTGGACGACACTGCTACTATACGATGCTATTGTATATCATACACTATGGCGATCTGACTACGAACCCAATGTGACCCTGCAGAAACTCCACTGCTCACTCAGACAACGCGGCCGTGGCCCAATCTCGCGGGCGTGATGTTCATGCGTTGTGATTAGATTCGAGCTTCCAGATTCCAAATTCAAGGCTCGCCGTCTATATCTTCGCATGCTTTATCCTCGATCCCGGCTGCGCGGGCGTCACTCCGTACTGTGCCATCAGCTCCGCCGTCTTCTCGCGCTGTCGCTTGATCGTCGCCGTCGCCTCGGCGCCACGCTTGTTTTCGTTGCGACCCAGCTGCTGCAGATGCACCTCGTCGGGGCCGTCAGCCAGTCGCAGCGTCCTGATACCTGCCCACATGTATGCCAGCGGCGTATCCTGCGAGACGCCTGCGCCGCCGAAGGCTTGCACTGCGCGGTCGATGACGTTGAGAGCCGTCTGTGGGACGAGCACCTTGGCCTCGGCAATCTCCTTGAGGGCCTTCTTGGGGCCCAGGTCGTCCATCTTGATGGCTGCGTTGAGCACTACCATGCGGGCGGCATCGATCTCGATGCGGGACTTGGCGATCCACTCGAGGATGACACCGTGCTCACGGAGGAGCTTGCCGAAGGGCTTCTTTCCTTCGTCGTTGACGCGGTAGAGCATCCAGTCAAGTGCTCGCTCCGCCTATGTGATATTGTCAGCAAACTGTTCACCTTCACCACTGCTGCGATTCTGAGGGTATACTTACAGCACCAATGCTGCGCATGGCGTGGTGAATTCGGCCAGGTCCGAGACGGCCCTGAATAATCTCAAAGCCCCGGCCCTCGCCAAGGACCATGTTGGAGACGGGCACTCGCACGTTCTTAAATGTCAGGTGACCGTGACCGTGAGGCGCATCGTCGTAGCCGTAGACCTTGAGCATCCTGTCGATGGTGATGCCGGGAGTGCCAGCCGGCACCAAGACAACCGACTGCTGCTGGTAGGGATCTTTGTGGTCCGGGGCCGTCTTGCCCATGACGATGTAGATGGCGCACCGCTGGTCGCCGGCGCCGCTGGACCACCACTTCTGACCGTTGAGGACATACTCGTCGCCCTCGCGGCGGATGCTCATCTCGATGTTGGTGGCATCCGACGAGGCAACCTGGGGCTCCGTCATGAGGAAGGCCGAGCGGATCTTGCCCTCCATCAGGGGGCGGAGCCACTGTTCCTTCTGTGCGGCGTTGCCGTACTTGGCGAGAACCTCCATGTTGCCCGTGTCAGGGGCGGCGCAGTTGCAGGCCTCGGAGGCGACGCCCGAGCGGCCCAGCCACTCCGCCATGAGGCCGTACTCGAGGTTGGTCCAGCCGGGCGACTCCTTGTAGTGGCCCTTGGGGAGGAACATGTTCCAGAGGCCGAGCTTGCGGGCCTTGACCTTGAGTTCCTCGATGATGGATGGGTGGCATTCCCAGCGGGCGTCGCCCTGGCCAGTTTGGGCCTCGACGATGGGGTCAGCACTGAATTGATGTCAGTTTAGGCATTCTCGTGATGGAGGTTGGTGGGAGAAGAAGACTGACGGGATACATTCTTCCTCGACAAACTTGGCGACAAGGTCAATCGTCTGCTTCGCCGCCTCGCTGACGCGATTCGCAGCCTGTACGTGGCAGCCAGTCAGCATCAATTATACATGAAGTTGGGCCAATGCCATGATGGCTCATCAAGAGGAGGGCAACCTACGATAAGGGGGATTCTGGCCGACATGCTTGCTGCAAGCTGATGACGTATCACAGTAGGGACACGAAAGGGGAAGAGAGGTGCGAGAGGATAGATGCAGAATGTCTTAGCTTCAACCAACTCTCTTTCCAAGGACGGGCAACCGATAAAAAGACGAAGAAGCGCGAAAGTGCCTTATAAAGGAAATTGAACCGACCAGCTGTCTCGGCTCTAAACCAGAACCCCAGCTCCCCAAACCTAGGTCGCTGCAGCTTCTCCGCACTCGTCGAATGTTTGCAGCGCCCGATGCCGAGGTCCAATCCCCAGCGCCGCTCCAGTTGGCTGGCGCAGCTCCCAGGCCAGCGACAGCGGGGCGCTGGGCGCTGGGGGAATCTGGGGTAGGCCGCTGAGAGCGCTGGACGAGCTGTTCCTGGAGCCTCGGAGCCGGGTGGGGCACTGCCGAGGATCCAGCCGCTGCAGTGTCAAACAGAGCCGACGCGGCCGGACGCCAACGCCATGACGGACTCGGACGGCGTGGCTTTAGAAGGTGGAAACGCGAACCAACGTATGATTCCTGGGCGAAGTCGAGATAGATGCACGCACTTCGCGTCTGGCTCGGTCTGCGATACGAGATGTGCTCCGACATGGTCTGATATGTTCTGGGAAACGACTTCCGTCCTCATGCCTCGAGACACGACTGGGCTGCTATCACTCGGGAACAACGGGGTCAAGGCTGGATTCGACCTCAACAATGAGCACTCTTGGATCAAATCTGTGGATACCAAAACCAAGACAAAACACGGTGGACGAGGACGAATAACTTCAACATTACGACCAAGCCACAAACGATACCGAAAAGCAACAAAAGCGCAACCATGTATAACACCAACGAAAAGCAGTCGTCTCTCTCGGTATGCTACATCCAGGCAATGATAACAATGTGTCTGGCGAGGAAAGAAAGTAAATCTCCCCGCAAAGAAAACAGCCCCTCTCGTGCCTTCATCAATCCTAGTCGGCAATCGCCAGTCTCTTCCCCTCGTCTAGGTAGTCCTCTAGCAGGCGCATCCGTCGCGGTCGTGCTCGATGTCAATGTTAATCGGATCGTCAAAGTCGCCGCTGAACTCCTCAGACTCCTCCTGGGCCAGAGCGTTTCGGGCAATGACTGTCATGTGTGAGCATGTGCTGAGTATGGATGGGGAGTTACGTACCCTCAAATGCCTGGTCGATGTTGATAGCCTCCTTGGCACTCGTCTCGAAGTAAGGGATATCACCCTTGGACTGGCAGAAAGTCATGGCACGCTTGTTCGAAATCTGTCCTTGTGTTAGCATGCGGCTCAACCAAAAGGATATTGAGGGCACCCACCACTCGCTTGCTCTCCTCAACATCGATCTTGTTACCCAGAACAACCTGTAACGCCGTTAGCACAGACCCCAACTGCCCATTCTCCGGCGGAGGCAGCTTACGAAGGGGAAGTTGAGCGGATCCCGGGGCGACGCCTGGATCAGGAACTCGTCTCGCCAGCTGTCCAGCGCCTCGAAGCTCTTGGCGTTGTTGACATCGTATACTAGAACACAGCAGTCGGCACCTCGGTAGAATGCCACGCCCAGAGACTGGAATCGTTCTTGACCGGCAGTATCCCAGAGCTGGAGTGTCGCGAGTTAGTATTTGCATTTCGGAGAGACTTCTGTGAGGACATTGTCACAGCTGTGTCGTACCTGCATGGTGACTTGTCGACCATCGACCAGGACCTCTCGCGTTAGGAAATCGGCGCCGATAGTAGCCTTGTAGCTAGCACTGAACTTCTTGTTGACCTATTCACGTCGGGATTCCCCATTAGCGTCACCGGGCTTTTGAAGGAGGCGCCTGTGATAAGGGGCGTGGTGGTCCGTACATATTGGTTCATCAGACTGGTCTTGCCAACACCGCTATCCCCAAGGATAATGACCTAATTCCAAGCACCATCAGCATCCATGTCCCCAGCAGCTGCAGGGACCCAAGTGCCGCACCTTGAGGAGGACCTTCTTCCTCGAAGACATGTTGACTTATCGTCGTGGACGGAGCGAGTTCAATGACGTTATCTCGAGGGTTTGCAGCGCAATCTCGCAATCGGGGGGCCGCTGGTCGAAGCTGGTCGCCGGTCGGGACCTTGTAGTAGTCGTAGAAGCTGCTGCCTGTCGTCACAAGGCCTTCCGCAGCAGGTGGTTGCTTAGATGAGGGGCGTTGTGACGTGGTGAGAGGCGTCGCGAGGGATGTTGTTTAAAGGCAGACGCCGCAGATGACCGGGACGACGAAGGACGCCAATGTCGCAGCCTCGCCCCGTCGCTCGCGGTGACCAATGCCCAGCGCGCTAGGCTGCGCTAAGGCTAGGCCGATGCATAAATATACGCGCACAGGCGCTGGGGAGTGGGGGCAATGCCTAACTGTGGCGCTGGGAACTTGTGCAGACCACGTGACATCATATGCGCCGGCATCATGCGACGTCACCCCCTGTCTCTCGATAGCTTGGTTGACCGATTGGAGATAGGGTCATTTTCCCCAGGACTCCCTCCAAGCATTATAATGCCTGATGGACTCGTGGGCGAGTTCCGGGCCGCTTAACGATGGTCGACGATGCTCTTCTCGACAAAGTCCATGCCCTGAGCGATCTTGAGCTGGCAGTGCTGCTGTGTCTCATCAGCCGCGAGCACTGTCTAGTTAGTACGGCGCCAGATGCAATCGACGACCTGTTACAGGAGCTACAACTGGTATGGAATCTCCGCAATGTTCTGGTTCTACGATTGAGCCCAGTAGCTCACGCACAGATATATAGGTAGCGACCAAGACATTTGGCCTCAGCTGGGTCGTCATCGACTGCAACTCTTCCACCACCCTCGAGGACTTCGCCGCCGCCCTCCTCATCCCACCCCAGCAGCCTTCCTCCAACAGCCGCTCTGACTCTCCTTTCCGCCGCAACCGCGCAGACTCGTATTTCGTCTCGCGACCTTCATCGAATCCTTCCGCGCCGCTCTCTCCGTCAATCCCCGCGCCCTCCTCGTCGCAGATCGCCAACATCGTCTTCGCCAAGAACCTTGATCGCGCGCCGCAGGCCGTGCAGATCCAAGCCCTCGAACTGCTGCGCACCCGCCGCATCTTTACTCGCACGTCGGTCCAGACTGCGCCGAAGCAGTTCGTCTTCATTCCGGTGCTGGAGGCTGCGAGCGGAGGCGAGGCGCACGTCACAGCGCACTTAAACGACTTCTTATACATCGCTTACTGGCATAACCCGGAGGATGGATTCGTCAACCTCGAGGAACATGATGTTGGGGATGGAGCCGATACTGCATCGACCGGTAGCGTTGTGAAGCGAGGAACTGGCGAGGCTTCTTCATCATCGCCTCCTTTGATTTTGGAAACAGTACGTCGTGGATTCGTGGTGATTCCCAGTAGCTAACATGCCTCACAGGAGATCAGCCACCTAGGCAGGCTGAGCCAACAAGCTCAAGTCGACATCGAAATTGTCCGCTACCAGATGAACATCATCTCCTTCCTCCGAATGCACCGAGCCGTGGCCGGAGGCATCACACCCACAGCCACAAAACACTTCACCCAGCTCATGCGCTGCCTCGCACCCTTGCACGGGCTCGACTACGTTACGCCAGCTCTTTTGGGACTCGCCGCCAGCAAGGTCTACCTGCACCGCATCCAGCTCACTCCACCTGAAAAGGAGAGGAGCATGCAATGGGGCAGTCGAGTCGAGGCAGTCGAAGCATTACTCGAGGATATTGGACCGGAAGATATAGTCGAAGATGTCTTGGGTATGGTGACCGCGCCGCTCTAGGCCGTGCCACCCGTGTATTAGGTAGTCTATAATTCTACACCTTGCGAACAAAACTCATGACCCCTGATGCTCAATGAGCCGACTCGTAACCCAGTCCAGGTCATTCCATCATGCCAGACAAACCATGCGTGTTCGTCTCCCTTTTGCCGTGTTCCCAACATACATGTCGTTCGACTTTCCCAAGTAAAGTCGCCGCAGTAAAACAAATGCGTTACATAATTTCCTCAACGCCGTCATGCTAGAGGTCCGTCTAAGAAACCTCGCTAATCTTACATTGCCAGCCGGAACCGGCCTCAAGGAGGGGCAAGCTAGAGCGTTCGTTAGCATCAGAAATAACATGTCGAATGGTAGAGGGAGGCTTACCTAGCACCCAAGCACCAACCAAGCTCGTTGTTGTTGATCTTCTTGGCAACCTTGACTTCCCGGTCAATGGGCATGTCATAACCAGTGTGCAGGAGAGCCATCATGAAGTTGAGATCCAAGCAGTGCTCAGGTCGGTCCAAAAGCTCCTCCATGGCGCCGGGAACGGTGCTGAAAATGTCCCAGGCGGACTTGCCCATGCACACAGTGTGGGCGAGATCGTGCATCTCGCGGAGGGTAAAGGAGTCGGGCATGCCAAGGGGCTTAGTGCGGTCATAGAAGTAGGAGAAGATGTAGACATCCTCCTGGGCAAAGGTCTTGGCCAGCGACGGCTGGTGAACACCGTTGAAGGAGCAGGGCGCGAGCTTGCACTCCTTCTCCTTGACCAGAATCTTCTCAGCAAGGTTGCGGCACTGAGCGGGAGCAGGCTCCAGGGGACCGGTGAAGTTGAAAGTAGCCTTCTCGGTCTCACTGATCTTGACCTCGATTTCCTTGGTCATTCCAGGAGCGACGCAGGGGTGGACGACGGACTTCTTCATCCACGACTTGTCGGCGCCATTGGCCTCGCTAACATCGGTGATCAGGGCCGTGTGGATGGCTTCGCGGGCGGCCATCAATCCGAAACCCAGGTGAGAGTGCTGGTACAGATCAAACTTGCGGCCACCAAAGTCCAGCTCATACTTGTGGTCACCGTCGGCAAGCTTCTCGGGAATGCCACCATCCGCAGCAACCTTGAAGTTGGGCTCGAAAACAATTTGAGTTGAGCCACCACCAAGGTCGAAAACAGCGACCGAGTCAGTAGAATCGGGACCGCCAATCTTGCCGAGGAGGTAGTTGGTAGTAATCCAGGCATAGACACCTTCCATGGAACCGTCCATGATGGCAACGCCCTCCTTCTCGCTGTCGACAACAGGGAACGGGTAATCCTCGTGGAGATGGCGTCGGACTTCGGCGAGGATGGCGTCGGCCAGTTCAGGACCAATCATTCGCAGACCGGCGGTGGCCTTGACGGCAACGGGGGTGCAGCGCTTGAGTTTCTCGGGGACGGTATCCATGGCGACCTTCAGGAGGGGATCGAGACTCTTGGCGGCGCCCACGGGGTCATTCTTAAAGGCGCTGAGGCCGCCGACAGACTTCTCGGTCATCTTGAACTCCTCGCCCTCGAGCTGGGGGGTGGGGCCGCAGTTGTTGAACTTGTAGACGTGGATACGAGAGCCAGTGCTGCCGGCGTCGATCATCAGGACGTACTGGACAATGGGCTTGTCCTTGGAGAACGACTTGGTGCAGAACTTGGTGCCGTAGGTGTCGTCCGAAGGAGTCTGGCCATCGCCGCCGCCGCTGGTGGGGTGCGAGACTATCGCATGTCAGCGCCTCGAGGGCCCAAGAACCTGGTTCAGTAAACCGTACCTTCTTTGTAGATCTCGACTCCCCTGGGGGACATGAAGTAGAAGAGGGTGACGAGGACGAGGACGATGGTGGCCGTCTTAATCCACCGCGACTTCTGCGCCTGCGTCATGACGGAGTCCTTCATCTTCTTGGGAATGAACTTGTAGCGGTCGGGTTTCTCGTGCGGATCCTGGGCTACTAGCTTTGTTGGTAGCGAGACGGATGTTCTTCTCATGAGCGCGGGATCCGTCCAGGATAGAGAGGAGACGGCGCGGCAACGAGAGGGACAGTCGTTAGGGGGGAAGGCCGTCGCGCATGGGAGTCGCGATGTATAGATGAGAAGGGAGAAGTCGAGGAGGATGCGTGGCCGAGATGGTGTAGTGGTTGTGGCAAGGGGAAATGAAAGGATCCGATGCAGTCTGGCGTAAAAGGAGTCGAGTTGCAGACGACGTGGATGGGAAACTTGCAGGCAATCTAGACCGTTCTGACCAATCTGCATCTACAGCGGTGATGCGTTCCTCCCCACAGTGGATCTAACAAGGACGGATTAGGGGAATACAGAGGGATAACCCCCTGAGTCTGAGGGGGCGATTGCTATTTCAAGCCACGCTGACCACTATGACGGCCTGCCAAAACCTGCGACAGCGCTCAGATAGCCCCTAACTTTAGCGGCTCCACCAGCTAAATGCCGAGTCAGCTCTGTCCGCTTGTAGGAATGGCCCAGCCACCCAATCAGGCGTGTGTATTCTCATTGGCCATGTCCAGGACAGATCGAATCAAAGAACCCAGAGGCGCATCTGAATGCGAGGCTTGTTCCCTGTTAGAGTTGAAGGTTGGGGAAGACGAGTTGATTGACCGATATCTCGGAGGTACCGAGGAATGACGGCTCTTTTAGTAGCCCTTCTATGTTTTGTGATCTCAATGGAGTCCTCTTGCCAGATTGTGCCGGGTCAAGTCGGCGCTGAAAGATTACTGAGACAGGCTCGCCAGTGCTCAGCCATCCAGAATCTTCTAAAACGTACGCCAGTGTTGCCTTGCTGAGATCAACTTTCCCTTAACAACTCAACGTCCCTCCTCTGCACCCCCGATATTCCATCCTCAGTTTATTTTGGTGACGCCTCAAGCAACATCAAACACTCCACAAACTCAACCCCCGCCGCTCTGCTTCTCTCCACCGTAAACCCTCCATTTCCCAATATCGCATCCACCACTTATCAGTGAGATGGACGTCCACTTGCTGGTGTACGACCTCTCCCGAGGCCTGGCTCGCCAGATGTCTGCCGGCATTCTGGGGTTTCAGCTTGACGCCATCTATCACACCTCAATCCAGGTAAACGGTCGGGAGTATGTCTATGACGGCGGCATCATTGCCATCGCTCCCGGTTCATCTCACCTCGGCCAGCCAATGGAGAAGATGCACCTTGGTACCACAAATCTACCGATCGATGTCATCGAAGAGTTCCTCGACTCTCTCCGGCCCATTTTCACTCTTGAGGCAAGTCTTCTCCTCTTGCATCTCTCCTAGTACGCGCTGACTCAGCTATCTCTAGGCATACGATCTCTTCCACCACAACTGCAACAACTTCAGCGATTCCTTCTCCAACTTCCTTGTGGGAAAGGGAATTCCAGAGCACATTTCCAAAATGCCCCAAGCTGTTCTTGACTCGCCGATGGGCCGTATGTTGTTGCCCCAGCTCACTCAAGGTATCAACGCCGGGAGACAGAACGGGTCCATCCTCGGTCTACAGCAGAGCTCGCAGACACCAGTCCAGAACCAACCCGTCGCTCCACCAAAGCACGCTGTCAAGCTTGTCAATGATCTCTCGGAGTTCAATCGGCTGCTTGAACAAGCACAGTCCTCATGTGCAGTCGTCTTCTTCACCTCCGCCACTTGCCCACCTTGCAAGATGCTATACCCGGTCTACGACGAGCTAGCCCAAGAATTTGGGGATAAGGTCACCCTTATCAAAGTCGACATTTCTCAACAAGGCGGCCACCAGATTGGAAGCAAGTTCTCAATTCGAGCTACTCCAACCCTCATCACATTCTTGAAGGGGGAGCAAGAGAACACTTGGTCCGGTGCTGATCCAGCTAAACTCCGTGGGAATGTCCAGCTCCTAGTCCAGATGGCTTTCCCTCTCCATCCACACGAGAAGTTGCATCTTCCAAGCTTCTCGAACCCGAATATCAAGCCTGTGTTGTATGCCAAGGTCCCACCCCTAGACAAACTAATGGCCAAGATGGGCCAGAGCGTCGCGAACAAGACCGAAGTCCAAACTCTCAAGCATTATCTCGAGGTCCGCACCCAGGATGGCTTACAAGATGCCATCGTGCCTGAGATGAAGCGTCTATCCGCTCTTATCAGGGATTCCGTGGACTCGCTACCCATTGAGATCATGTTCACAATCGTGGATTTGTTTCGATGCGCCCTTTCCGACCCCAGGATCAGCGGGTACTTTGCGGAAGAGGACAATCATCAGACTGTACGGAGCGTGTTGGATTTGGTCAACAAGCAGACTGACTGCCCATATGCTCTCCGTTTAGTCACATTGCAGTTGGCCTGCAACTTCTTCTCGTCGCCCCTCTTCCCAGAAGAAATCCTCCGCAAAGAGGATTTGCGAGCCCCAATCATCCAACTCATTTCCTCTAGCTTCCTCGACGAAAGCCATAATAATGTTAGGGTTGCAGCGTCTTCGCTTCTCTTCAATCTGTCTCTGGCAAACAGACGAGCCGCACAGGACTCAAAACCGACATTGGCAGAAGATGACGAGATCGAGCTAGCAGCATCTGTGGTCGAATCCATTGGTCAAGAGGAGAAGTCCGTCGAGGCCTTGCATGGCATGCTACTTGCCTTGGGAAACCTTGTCTTCCGAACGTCGCTGGATGGACAGCTGGCTGATCTTCTCCGGGCATTGGACGCTGAAGGAACGATCTTGGCCAAGAAGGCAGCCTTTCCACAGGAGAAGCTGATTACAGAAGTAGCTGTTGAATTGCTAAGCAAAGGCCTCAGGAAGGCATAGTGTGACGGATCTCGTATCATCCATCCCGTTTCACTCCTGAACTAATGAAGATGTATATATTACGCACCCATGAATACCATCAAGATCTTTTCCCTGGGAGTGGATAGCCTCCAAGCTTTTGAAAGAAGATTTGGGCTTTGAGAAAGATGTCTGACATGGCCTCCCCAGTCCAGGAAAACGCCGTGTCTGCGAGAGGGCCCTCAATCTCTCTACACACCCCGCTCACAACCTAATCTTCAGTAAGCGTAGGTTTATTTAATAGAAATGGCCTCGTTTGACCTACCAGACAGCATTTCCCCTTCATATTTGTGTCTAAAGACATGTGAAGAATGCCCATTGCTACATCCGCCGGAGTATTCGTCGGGAGCCCTTCTGCTTTCCAGGCCGACAAGTAAGCCTCAGTAATAAAAGTAGGGGTGACGAATGGCGCAACGCTGTTGACGCGGATGCCTAGGCGTTGCGCTGCGGTGTGAGAAGATCTCAAGAGACCCACGACGCCGTGCTTCGACGAAACGTAGGACACAACCCCGGTACCGCCGAAGTATCCCGATGTTGATGCGACCAAGACGACGGATCCGCGCCATCCACTTGCATCGGGTTGGTTGTCTTTCATATGAAAGACCGCGTGCTTGAGAGCTGCATCATGGTCAGCAAAGTGGCGGTTTGGGAGAAGGCCGAGACGGCAGACTGTTCATTGTGCCCTTCAGGTTCACATCAACTACTCGGGTGGAACCATCATCCTCCAACTCTCCCTTCTCATTCACGTCAAAGTCAAAGAACTGGCGGCTCTCCATGATTCCGGCGTTTGCGACCACAATGTCCACAAGCCGGAACCTCTCAATCGCCAATGCGAACAGGGCTCTCACCTCATCCCAAACAACGATGTCAACAGGTACAAACAAGGCTCTGGATTCATCACCCAGACTCTTAATGGCGTCTTCGGCGGACTTCCGCGATGATGCGAGGTCGGCGATGACAACGTTGGCGCCATTGGCGTGGTATTGTCGGATCGTCTCAAGACCAATGCCATTAGCCCCGCCCGTGACGATGGCAGTTTTTCCAGAGACACCACTCAGCAGGGATGGATCCGGGGAGAAGGACATGCTGTAGAACGTCGGGATTCCCTAAGGATATATCTTAGGCAGTATGGGATTTAGAAACGGGGAGTCCTTAGCTTCGAGTGTGTATTATGTGTGCGGACGGCAATGTACCGTGAGGGGACGGTACCTACCTGTGTTGGGGAACCTCGACAACGCAATCTTTCGCACCACGTGCCGACCCGAAATGTAAAGACCGATTTCTTGATTCATTCTTAAAAACAAGACTTCTTTAACTCTGTGCGCACGACATCTAGACATTACAGACCTCATCGCACCTTTTTTGCTCAGTATCATGGTCCAGGATTGAAGTTCGCGAACTCCACTTGCGTCACTCGGATTACTCGCAGTCGCCATTTTGCCCTAGATTCGGATCTTCTCTTGTTTAAATACTGTATTAAGGCACTGGCGAGTATTTTTAATTTATTTACGTTGATTCAGACTCGAATCTCTCACACGTGGGCGATACATGGAGTAGCAGAGCGGGGAGCATCAAGGACCGGATATCTTGACCCGCGAGCCTCTTCATGTCAAGCGTTGATGTACAACTCAGCAATAATTACTCCTTGAATTCCAGATAGTAGAGAAAAAAAACCTCCCAGGTGTTAGGACGCCAGCTATCAGGGTGCACAAAAGGAGAGGGGGTAAGTAGGTAGTCGCCCGGTCAATTTACTGTTGGTTCTGCCAAGCAGCAAAGATGGTGCCCGCGCAGCATCAATAGCATCAATAGCGCCAACGACATTGATCTAGTAGCAGCCTCCCTTGGATTTCTCTCGTCTCTGGTTGACATGGCCTCTTGCACTAACCGCGTATCTTTATTTGATTTGAGTTGGATCTTGGCAGCTGAGTGTAGAATAGTTTGAGATGGGGCTTGGGTTCATCTCGTTGCATATATCAGCGAGAGGAATTCCCGCCGCCTCTGATTCAACCTGCGCAACGATATCTTTCCGTTTCCTCTTGTACATCCTCTCGTCCTACGAGAAGATGACTGTCACCAGTCAACCATCGAACAGCAGTGTTGTATGTTCGACAGAAGGCACCAAAGGTTTATGACTCCACGGTTGTTCAATAGTCTCTCGTGGTAGCCTCCGAATTAATGGCTAGTAGGACCGCGCCCGATGCCGCATTTTGTCTCCAACCACCATGTACACGTCTGCCACATCGTCATAATGTCGCGACTTGTTATAGGCCACCGCCTCATCCTTGCAATTTGACTTCAAATCTACGTCAGGGCTGGGTGAGGCTCACGTCAGCATCAATAACTATATATCGGTCGAGATTCCTGTCGATGAGGGGACAGCAACTCTCCTTCACAAATAATCTCAATCAAAATTCACCTGCGAGAAATTCGTTTCCATCATCTTCACCATGGCAACCGACAAGCTTCACACAAAGCTCAACGAATGGTGGGAAGTTATCCGCGCTCTCAAGCCCGATTCGCCCCAAGAGGACTGGGATAAGTTCAGCTCCTACCTCAGCCCTTCCGCGGTCATCTACTACAACGGATTGAGTGCGCCTCCTGCCCGGGGTATCGATGAAATCGTGGCCGAAATGAAGAAGATCCTGGGGTTTTGGAACATCGTTGAGCGTAGGGTGGTGTCAGAGGGCACGGATGCGGCTGGGAAGACAGTCTTTTGCAGCATGAACAACCGGCTGATGATTCTTGGGGAGGAAATCGACTATCCAGAAACGGTTGTAATTACATTCGATGACCAGGACCGCATTCTCGATCAGAAACTGTACAGCGATCGGGCAATCATTGGGGAGATTTTTCAGAGGAAGGCTGCTTCTGCTTGATCCAACTCGTCAAGGGGACAGAAGGGTTGACGGGAGTGGGCTTAGACTGTGTAATCGGTAAGGTCGGCTGAGCAATACAATGATACGGTGTCAAATCCGAAGTACGATGTATTGCTTTATACATACTTGCTACGGAGTGTGAATTGTGTATCTTAGAAGCTGTCTTGCTCCAGAATGCAAATAAATTCTTGGCTTATATGTCCCCGACATGTCCCCGGCTTACATGTCCCCGACTCACATGTCCCCGAATTACCCCCCGGAGTGGAGTACAGTGGACCTCAGCAAGGGAGCAGGAGAAGCGGGTGCACCAAGCCTCGAAGTTATATATAGTGTTGATATGTGAGAGGATATTGATAGAGTGTGATTATCCAATAAGAGCATATCATGATAAGCACATGTTGCTTCATCCTCCGTCCGACAGCGGCAGAACGAAGACCAGGAAGTAGCACCACGTCAAGTTGCCTATCACCAACTAGCACCAAAAGGGCCGGTACATTATGCAGTTCATACTTTCATGACACTATTGGTGGCTCTTGCAAATATTTGGGTTTTGGGGCTTGAGTCATGCTGTCGGTGCTGAAACACATCGTCTATGAAGGTTTCTCGTCACGGGTGTATAACCACCGCTTACTAGGCACTATGAGTAGACACTGGGGCCATCCAGGGAGAGCCAAGAAATGCACCTTTCCTATAGTAAATCATTATGTGGAAGATTGATATTTAAACTTTTGGCGAAAACGCCGACGGACGACATACCCTTGTTTAACGACGCTCGCATCCGAGTATCCGGCTTGTCTCCTTGGCACCTGTTTCATCTGTACCAATCGCGGGTCTTGCTTTCTTGGCTTAATTTGCAGTCTTTGAATCCTTCGTCCCGTCTCCGGACTCCGTCATCCCTGGTGCCACATTGATCGTACATCGGCTTTAGATCTGGTTCATGACGCCACTATCGAATCGGCGGAGGATATCTTAGCGTATCGCGCGTCGACTCGCCTGGTTAGCTTCTGTGTGTTTTGTTTGCTGTGAACACGTGCAAGGATTATTTAATCCGTAATCATATAGCCTTCATTTAGTTCACTTCATTAACGTGTCTGACGGCTCTCAGCTGTTACGATGTAAGACCCATCACGGTCGACCAAACATCAACTTCAATCATCATATCACGAACCACTCCACCCCGCCTACTACGTAACTGGCAATTTTCCTCTTTGGGCGTTGATCTTTCCTCGTAATCGCGTACGACCGTGGGCTCGTGGGCTTATTCTCTTGGCGTTGAGTTACATCCCTGCAATGGGAAGTTCTGCCCCAGCATTTCTTCACAACCTCCCATCGTGACGCCACGTTGAAACGGGGGTTAATCTTACCATCGAACTATTCAATGCGTTGGTACACGCATTAATGGCCAAGAGTTATGGGGGCTGCTGTCTCGTGTACATTTTCCCGCCTGATCCCCATATCATACGGCGCAGCAGGGGGCTCCCGTTTCAGGGGTTTGGATTAAGAAAAGTGCAGTGGGTTCTCCCACCGTTTTTAAGAGAGTCCCCCGTTTTTTAAAGTTCAAAATGTCTGTGTGTCTGTGTCTCGCCAAGATGCGCCTGTGCCGGAGAACTCGGACGTCCCGTTGTAAATGTGACATCATGAGATAGGTTTCCTTGGACTGGATGAAACTACCTTCTCGAAGCGGAAGTCGGGCAGCTAAGTTACTCTTTACGCGAATTTCTCTTTCGGGATCTATGGGTCTTCTACTTCTATGGGTCACGATCAATAGTAGGCCCCTTGATCGATATGTGACATGGACTATAAGAGCGTCAGGTTCCATGCTTGTCTTGAAATCGGCCTCGAATGATCACTCACTCACTCGCTTCTCTTCATTGTGCTGTGCCATTATCTTCGGTTACAACCGTCCGACTTGGACATTTCATTCTTTATTCCACTTTTCACATTACATTCATTCTTTGCAGCGATCATGAGATTCTCTCAGCTTCTAGCGGCATCACTGCCTTTGGCAGTCTCGGCGGGACCGATTACCAAGGCTGTTACGGCCCGCCAGGATGTGGACTGTTCTTCGTCGTCTTCCACTGGACTGAAAGCGGAGTGCTGGGCTGCTCGTTCGTTGAATTCACATATTATGGAGGAGCGTGTTGATGCTGACAACTTACACAGTTGACATGAACAAATACATCACTGACTGGGTTGCCGCAAACGGAACTGACGCCAACTGTGAGGCACTGGGCTTTGCTCAGTGCTTCTTGCAGTTCAATGTAAGTACTATCTATCAAACGGCTCTCTCAAGTGACAATGGACAGCCAGGCTCACATACAACCAGGGTTTCACCGGACTTACCTGCAACTTGATCACGAGCGACACTTGCACACCGTTCCAAACCAACAGCCCTGAGAAGTACGACTCTCAGCAGCAGTTCTACGTAAGGCGTGAATCTCCTTGTTACTAAATCTCTTCTAACTTCCAAATTACAGGCTCTCTGGAATATCTACACTATCTACCAATTTTTCAACCAGTATTCTCAAGCCCTCAGCAACGGTGCTTCGCTTGCAGGCCAAACCATCGATGCCATCGTGGCTAAGGTCGCTCCTCCTGTCGAAGCCCCAGCTTCGACGAGCACTCTTATGAAAGTTCTTGGTTCCACACTCAACGTCGTTTCGATTTTCACAGGTGTGGTCCCTGGAGCATCAGGTGTGGCTGTAGGCTTCATCCGTTCAGGACTCGGTGCCGCCTTCGACCTATCAGGAAAGCTGGGCGAAACCCTTGGAGTGACTCAGACTGCAGATGATCGATTTACTCAGCTGGGAGATATCGGCTCTTCGCTCGCGGGACTAGTCGAAGACTATCAGAGTAACCTCTTGAAGACGGTGCAAGAAATCCAGGGAAACCACACCTTGTTCTTGGCGGCTGCTGGCGACGGCGGATTCTCCCAGCGAGTGACCACATCTCTCACCATCCAATCCAGCCAGCTATACAAGCAGCTGCAGTTGTTTGTGCTTTCAACTGCGCTCAAGGCCAACGGAATCATCTCGTCTAGAAGCACTGGAGTAAAGGTCCTCGAGTTTGCCAAGGAGACTGGCGATATCTCTTGCGAAGCATTCAGCGAAGGTGGAAACTGCAATCAGTGGTGGTTCGACGAGGCAGCAGGCAGCACATACGCTCTGCACAACCCCAAGGACTGGGAGAACACACACATTGACCTTACTTTCGCTATTGTCGATAACGGATGGGCTACGTTAGATCAGATCTTCAAGATTGAGGATTGTGCTGGCAAGGAGCCCACATTCGACACGGCCACGCTGGGAATTACTTGCATGGTGAGTGGAATACCATATCTTCTTGCTGGGCGACTTACTAATGCTTTCAACAGGCAAACCACAACTGGTGTGAATGGAACTACTCCGATACCCCCAGGGCTGATCCCCAGTTTACGAACTGCGACAACGATGGCGAGTGGGGCACCCTCTGCGGAAGTTTCCAGAACGGTATCAAGGGTAAGGCTTTTATTCTCTGCTCAAATTGAATCGAGAAACTAACACGTGGATTTCTTAGTGCCTGAGTCGTACCTTGGCCCAATGCTCAAGATTAGCGGTGGTACATGCAAGAAACGTAAGAAAAGTCTGCCAGTGCATAGAATACAAGATGTGCTAACTTGACACCCTAGTCTAAATTCAGACGATAAAGATCACTCTGAATTTCGCTTGACGCCCAGCCAGTATTTGCCAAGAACCTCACGCCTGTTCAAACTAGTTCAATACCGCCATGGCTAATTGGGACTTCATGACGTTGGCCAGTCCGGTCTCGTGCACTCGCAAGGATTCGTGGGCGGAAAGCAGATTTATGTCATTTACTTATCGTGGTTTTTCCAACTCGGCATCATACCCAGCAAAGGGCCTTTCCTTTCTTTTATTTCTTTACATCAATCATAGACTCTTAGATGAGAATTGCTTTATGAAGCGGATCCTGGTTGTCTCTGTAGTATATTTCTATCGGCTCACACGGTCCCGTGCATATGCTTGCCCAAATGCCGCACAGTACAAAACAGTCCGCTTATACCACACCATGAGCTGTAAATACCAAGAGTCCAATCTAGCAGCAGGTTTCAAATGGCATTTAAAGCTCAGAGTCAAAGATCATAATATTACCTCTCCATAATTGCCTAAGTTAGTCTTTCTGGAATTCGCCTTTAAATGGCCCAATAACCACCATTCTGGAGTGTCACCGTCACTATTGCAAGCATTCTGGTCGCTTTTTCAAGTTGCCACGTTCAGAGGATGCCCTGTTACAATTCAAGGGGTGGCGTAATTTTGTGGAAAGAGGCTTTTGAATGCAGAATGAAGCTAAAGCACCAAGGAAGCAAGAAGCCGAAATGCATAAAAGACAATCACTGGTGTTTGAAATAGTGCTGTTTCGGTTTGAGGTATCTATTTAAACGCTCTCATGCTAAAAAGAAAGCAATAAAATTCTAACTATGGTACACAATAAACGACTTCCAGGTAGTTTCTAAGTAGTCAGAATCCAACTAGAAGACGATGTTCAACACTCGCTTCCAAGCAGGTGCGGCGGCCAGCTCTTCTCGGAATGCCCGGATGGAATCCCAATCGTGCTCACGACGACCAGTGTCAAGGTCAATCTCACTGACCTTCAGCCAGGTCTCCCGCTTCCAGAGATAGCCACCGACGTAGAAAAGGATGACCACGGGGAAGGCTAGGTAAGACTCGAAGAAGCCCTCAGCAGTGCCAAGGGAGCCGTCGACGTTGGTGATGGCAGTGTAGAACTGAGCGATAAGAATGATAACGTTCAGTGCCAGGCCGATCCACGAGCCAGTAACGCCGAGAATGGCCTGGAAGGGGATCTCGTCCAGGGTGTGGCCGTGGTACTTCCAGGCCTGTCGGAACCGGATGTGGCAGAGACAAATAGAGCCCCAAGTAAACAAAGCTGCTAGACCTGACAGAGCCTGCAGCCAGGTGAAGACGGTGTTACCGTTTCCGTCGACACTCAGGTAGCCCAAGAAGCCCATGAGAATAATCAAAGCAACCGAGGGTAGGGGTCGACCAGACTTGTCAATGAAGGCGAAGAACTTGGGGGCGTAACCTTGCTGAGCAAGAGCGACGAGAGTACGGCTACCACCATACACACACGACACACCGATGGAAAGCACGGAAACCAAGATGATGACGTTCATGAAAGAGTCGTAGCCCTTCAGGCCAGCATTGGCGATGGCGATAACAAAGGGGGAGGCGCTGGGATCATCGCTTCCGGCGTTCAACAGGCGCTTATCGGTAGAGTCGACCAAGAATCCGACAAGGAGGAGACCGAGGACATAGAAGAGGGTGATTCGCCAAAAGACTTGCTTGATAGCACTAGGGAGGGCCTTGGCAGGGTTCTTGGACTCGGCAGCCGCCAAGCCGACAAGCTCGGTGCCACTGAAAGAGAAGGCGGCGGTAACGAAGACACCTGGATATCTTTAATTAGCAAACACTCGTAGGTTGGGTTAAAATATCTCACGTACCACAGAAGCCTCGGAAACCGTTCTTGAAGGCACCAGGGTCGTACCAGAGCCTGGCGCCCCAATACTCGTGGTACAGACCATCGGAGGGACCACCTCCGCAAACGAGGACGACGGCAACGATCATGAAGATGATTGTAGCTGACAGCTTGAGCAGAGATGCCCAAAACTCTTCCTCGGCGTATCCCATGGTACCAAAGATGTTGATAATGATGATCAAGGCCAGGAAAACCTATAGGGGATTAGTGTCGACTTCAATTATTCGAGACAGGGCTCGTGTGGGCTTGGCAATGATGACTTACACTAATCCAGATGGCGACGCTAGTATCCGGTGCCCAGTACTGGATAACAGTGCCGCAGACTGTCAGTTCCAGTGGTAACACGAAAGCCCACTGCATCACATAGTTCCAACCCATGGCGAAACCCCAAGACGGATCGACGAAACGGTTGGCGTAACTAATTTCCAATGTTAGTAAGTCAAGCAAGCTCAAGGGTAAACATCAATCACCCACGTGTAGAATCCACCGGAAACAGGGTACATGACAGCAAGCTCTCCCAGAGCGTAGACGACGTTGAACATCATGACACCCATGATGAGGAAACCAATCAACACGGAGCCAGGGCCGCCAGTGTTCAAGGCACCACCACTACCGACGAAGAAACCAGCACCAATACTATTGTGACGGTCAGTAAGAAGATTCTACATTTTGCGAGTCTTGTGTTGTGCAATGTTGACTCCTTTCGGGGTGGTTGGCAAGTTACTCACCTGCCTCCGATGGCAATCATGTTGAGGTGGCGAGGCTTCATGGTCCGCTCCAGCTCCACAGTACCGGAGCCATGGTCCTGATGGGCCGTGAACGAGGCGAAGTTGAGTCCATTGCGAGTGGCCCAGGACAGCTCGGGCTTGGTGATGGAGCCGCTGGAAGCTCCCTTCTCCTCGCTACTACGGGAGTCCGGGTTCACCACCACGGGTTCGCTTTTGCTTTCGATGTCGGCCATTGTAGCTTCGAAAGTCCAAGACTTGGTCAAATTGGCTGGATTGAGACGGCGCTGGGGACTCGAGGAGAGATCGGCGCAGCAACGCAGGTATAAGTTCTTATAAGTGTTTCGCCAGGTGCCATTGCGGCGCTGCGGGGATTCAGCAGATAGGCACCCTTAATGGCAGTCTTGAATGAATGCGGAAGGTGAGCGAGTATGGGGAAGCCCAAAGACGTAATACGAATGACAGCTACAATGGTATCTGGCCTTCGAGAAGTCTTCCACGGATAAGGCGGCAAGTCCCTGGCCGGAAAAAGTGGCACACCAAAACACACGGTGGATTGGCCGGGCCCACCGGCGCGAACATACACGCAACTTGATTCGAATTTCCTGGGGTACAGACACGCGAGGCCGCCCGACGAAGCCCCGCTGACAGGCACGTTCCCATTAACGAGAGATAAGGGGCGGCGTTTGGTGGTGCAGGATGCTGTTGTTGGTGCTCCGAAGACGGATCTCGAGCAGTGTGAAGCTGATTCTAAGTGGGGCGAAGGGGGATGCTGTTACGCGTCACGAGTTTACCGTCAGCCAACATGGTACAAATTGCTGGCCACAAGAGGAAGGTCTTCTGGACATGAGCCTGTACAGCCTGGACAATCTGGAATATACGAGTGAGAACACGGGGGCGGAGGATTTGGAAGCAAAGTGGCCGCCGTCCTGGGGATGATGAAACCGAGGGCCGCTAGCTCGTGGGATCTACGGCGCCACGCGCTCATGAGGCTGCGCTACACCACCCCAAAACACCATGCTCAGCAAGTTAGCAGGCCGGATTCAAGGATTAGACAATGCCACCCTGCAAGATGACCTCCATAAACGCCCGAGCCTAATCGCCATAACCCTAACCAAGGGCGGGCGGGATCTTCTGCGCTCTTACGCATCCCCCCCGGACCGCATTACGCATTACGCATTACGAGAGAATGGAGCGTCAACCTAGGAACCATTACCCTGTGCGGGCGTAATAGAAGGGATAATACAACCTTAATTCCCGACGCACTAACTTAGAGCCCTTATCCGTCCTCCGCAGTGGAATGAATCACTTAACTTATTACAGATCCAAGTGGAGTGGAGTGCCGTGCCGTGGCCTGTTGTTGTTGTTGTTGTTGTCGTCGCCATTTGTTGCCTCCCTTTTTAAATCCCTTTAAATCCGGATTAAACCCGCCCATTGTTCAGCCCCATCGGACCGTCGATCTGCCCCACAGCGATGCGGGCAGCCCGAACCGTCTTGGCGAATCTTGGCAAAGCTTCTCTCCGTAGGATTGCAAGCGACCCATGTGCGTCTCCACAGCGTTGGCCAACCCACCGATAGATACACCTGATAAGCCGCTTTACGGGAGACTCACACGAGATGAATGATGCTTATCAGTCCTCATTCAGGGCGCATGGACGGTGGATCGTGGATTGTGGATTGTGGATTGTGGATTAGGGACTGTGAAATCTCACCACTACCGAACATGCAGCTTCCGTCACAGGGACAGACCCGCATCTATCTGTGCCGCTCTCATGGGTCGCTCCTATGGCACAGCACCATATCGTTTCATGGACGGACTGGCCGGTGCTAATAAATACACTCGACACCGTTATCAAGAAGCGGTCCCTCACCACCGTAAGCCCTGTTGATTGCACTGATCCTGCCGGCGCCGTACATCCGAGCGCTGGTAACGATATTCAATTGAGTCATCTGCGTGGGCCATCCTGGCTGGCCACTATCTCAACAGAACGGTATCATTGTCCCCAAGAAAGCCAGATTACCATGCTTTCAGAACTCTAACAATTGTCCCACATCTCTCCAAATATGGCAAACCCATCTCCGTCGAGACTCACCAGCGCTCTAGGGTATCTGCAACACAACCTCGATGGCACATTCATCATGAACGGCAAAGAAAAGAAAAAGGCGAATCAACACCAGACTCACTTCTTTTAATTTCTATTCCTTCCTCCCCGTAATCTATCTGGCTGTCAAAATCAAAGGTATTAAAATGTTCTCCCTCTTAACCATAAGCGAGATTCTAAGTTTGCGCTCCGATTGCAAGGCACCTTGGTCAAAGTGAATGGTTGAAAACGCCAATCGGTTTCGCCTACTCGATTGCGCCAATCTCTGGAGCTAGAACCAGAAGGGTTCACCCTGATTAGGCGACAGAAACGTGCACTCCCCAATGGTTTCGGAGAAGCCGAATGGTTTGACTCCCTGGACCATTCTTGAGTTTATCCTCTCGGTTATCCACAGGATGGCGGTAAGGCCTGCCACAAGGGAGTAGCCAGGGATGGACATCTTACGAATCTATCGAATCGAACGCCAAGCCTTGGCGTTCGAATCGAATGTGACCCCGTAGATTCGAATCGAATCGGACGCATCTCCCACAGATTCGTATCGAATCGAACGTGCCACAATTCTTGTCCTGTAGATTCGACTCGAATCGAACACATCTCCCGCAGATTCGTATCGAATCGAACGCGCCACAATTCTTGTGCCGTAGATTCGACTCGAATCGAACATGTCTTCCGTAGATTCGATATCTATCGAATGCCAAGATTCGATCGAATTCGATTCGAACTCGATCGAACGTAGAACTAATCCCGGCGGAGACCGAAACACCAATAGGACCTAGAACCAAATGGACCGTCGTCATCATCACCAGGCCGTCATGCCGTCATACCCCGACAGAAGAGTGGTGAGAGGTGCAGAGCGGGTTTAGAAGGTATCACGGCTTCAGATAAGACATCGCAGAACATCGTCAATTGTGCAAAGGCAGGTACTAGGCAGATTAAATGTCACTCGTCCCCCTCAGCGACGCAAGTGCGTCAACCCATTGATCATCACTGAGGCTAACCAGCGGCAGTGAAGGCGTGTAGATCCCAGCTTTACTCCATGATCGAATGCACTGAGCCATCGCCACTATCTCCCTCCTCAGCCGACTTCTCAACGGTGCCGTCATACGTCCTGCACTGCTAAATGTCCTCTCGCTCTCCGCAGACGACGATGGGATGGTGAGCATATCAACCGCCATCAGAGACAGTCGCGGGTACCGATTCCTGTTGATTTTCCACCAGTCAATCGGCCTGCTTCTGTAGTGGTGACTGTTGACAACATCCTCAGCACAGTACCGAGCATATTCGTCATCAGCAGTCGCTCCTGCTGTCGTGTGTTTCGTCTTTCGGGTGCTCTTGCGGGCACTGGACACTGCCAAGGACGAACCCTGGGCGCATGGCGACCCAGCTACACTCCTGGCAAGTCTCCGCTCAATGTAATCCATTGAGGCCTCGTCAGATGTAGCGAAGACTTCGTAGTCAACTTCGCGTTCCCTGTAACTCTCCCAGATCTCCAAGAGCTGGGATTCGTACTCTAATCGCCAACCCTTGGCCTTACGAGAAGGCACTCGAGACCACAGTTGATCGAGAAGGCGCCACTTCTTCGCCGGGTTGAAGACAACAGCGCCGACATAAGCTGCGCTAGTCAGACAGTTGTAGTACTTGTGCAGCTTCTTCCATCCGAGCTTGATAAAGACCTTGAGCAATCTACGGGTTCTGCTATCGAGCCCGTCGTAGATGGCGACTTCGACGTCCTTCTTCTCCTTGCTCACTGGATCCTCAACTTCTTCAAAGATTGTGCCTTCGATAGCTCCTTCGAGGTGGTCAAGTAGGATCTCGAAGACAGGGAAGTATTCATCGAAACTACCGCAAGTCGACCTCGCGTCGGGAATACCGTCGCCCTGAAGTTGCTTGGTGGCGATTTCAAAAGGCTTCAGAAGCTTGACAAGCACCTCGATAACCTTCCAGTCGTACGCACTTAAGCGGTATTGCAGAACTGCCGGTTTCGGTTTGTCACAAAGACCCTCAGTTTCCCAACGGTTCTGAACGTCATTGAAGAACGTATTGAGAGCCGGGCGGAGACGAAGGGCCCTCTCCATCATCCGCATATCCGAGTTCCATCTGGTGGCATTGTTGAAGACCCAGTGAAGTGTTGATTCATGGCCGGATTCCTTGCGCTGAGACTGAAGAAACTGCTCGTACAGCTGTGTAGTCGCTCGCAGCTGAATCCCGATGTTGTGAAGCATTCCTGGGGCGCCGTTCTGGCTGTACTCCCTGAAAGTGGCTCCATTGATCTCCTCCGGGGCTGGGTGGGATGATAGGAAGTCCTCTTCTGGGATACCAACGGCAGTGTTCGCTTCAAAGTCTTCATCCGTGCCGTCTTCCATTTCTACATCCAGGGCCTCGTCGATAGCTTGATCAACTAGCTCCTCATCGTCATCTTGATCGTCACCATCGGCAGCGATGATTGCCGCGAAGTTCTCTCGCTTCGAACCGTATAGCATTGCCCGCACGCAAAGGTTGAAGATATGCGCAGCGCAGCGGATCCGTCGCTCTTCAGCTGAGAAGCCGTGTTCAAAGGCAAGATCGTCCATGCAGGTGTCATTGTTGGCAGCATTGTCCAGCGTGAAGTAGCCAACCTTGTCCGGGTCGTTGATTTGCCAGAATGCGAGCGTATCAGCGACCTCATCGGCAAGTGAAGCACCGTTGTGTCTGCCCGAGAGAGGTCGAAGCCCAAGGAGGATTCGGTGTTGGACAAAGTGGTTATCAATGAATTGAGCGTTGATCCCAAGAAACGAAGTGTACGACTTGGATGTCCAACCGTCGAAGGAGAAATGAATCTGGGATCGAGCGCTGCGCAATACTTCGGTTACCGGCCCAACGGCACCCCTATACTCGGATTCGAGCATGCGAAGCAGCGTCTTCGCAGAGGGAATGTGGGTCACATCAAGGAGGGGATTGCCGTAGAGAAGGATCCGCTGGAACCGCTCGGTATTGACAATGTTGAACGGCAGGTTATGGTAGGTAATCCAGTCGAGGAGGAGTACTCGGAGGCCTTTGCTGCTGAATCTTCCACGCAGCTTGCTGAGAAGAAACTGGTCGTGGGGATTATTGAAGTCGGCATCGATGAAGTCGGTGATGGTCCTGTCATTTAGAAATGAGCCCCCCACGGGGCTGGCAACTTTGTTCGGGGCCTGCCAAATCAGCACGTTATCAAACCGTAGATGAGAGGCACACACTTACAAGAATCCCGTGGGCTTTGAGTAGGTGTTTCCTGATGGCGACTCCTGTCGAGCAGACGAAACAGAAGTCCGACTTCTTCTTGAAACCTCGGGCAAAGCAGTCGGCGCAGATCCACTTCAGCTTATTTCCCTGCCGCGAGGTGGAACGGTCCTTAACGCGATACCCATATTGTTGCCACCATGCCCTCGTGTCTTGGCCGCCAGTATAACGCTCGAATCCGGGCCATTTGGCCCACTCTTGGCGGCCCCAGAGTGTCCAATCGACCTGAATAAAATCGGCGGCAGTCCCGCGAGGACGGAGCGATGGCGTCGTTGGTAACGAGGTTCCTGGAGACGGGGCGGCTGGCGAAGAAGAGAATTCATCGCGCTCCATCACACCTGGTTGATTCCAGGACGAAGGGCTCAAAGAGAATGGTTCGGAGGACATCATGATGCAGTTAGTTTAGCTAGTCGGACAGATGGGTCGCGTGGGTCGAGGTTGTTGGAAGCCATTGAGACTGCACTGAGGCTCAACTTAAATCCATCCATCCATCACTGACTGGACAGGCATTGAGGCCAATAACACGCGTATATCACGCCCATTTTGTCGTCAACGCGAAATTCGCGACATCTCCACTGCCGCTAAACATGCAAAGTCTTGTGCGATTAATGATGCATTCGCGAGCAGCGCGAACGACGACCTGGCGCGCCCAAGGCGAGAGAGTCGCGCGTGAAGCCGCCATTGTATGTAAGAAGCCAAACTTTGTTCCGACCATTGGTGTACGGAGATTCTCCCAAGTGCCGCTCCACCAAGCTCTCAGTACTTGGCAACCAGCCAAATCGGGGTCTCGTTGATTAGGTCCACAGACGGCGGGGTAAGATTCCATATATTCCCTGTTCCACTTGCGTCAGAGGCTCCTATTGGCTCATGCCACAAGCACAGACGCATCACTACGGGCCAACCTTGAAAAAAAGCCATCCCGTTCCTCAGCCAAGTCCCCATACCGGCTTTGCATTTGTGCTCATTCCAATCTGGCGTCAACTCAGAATGGATTCTTGAGATTTTCGTAAACCGTTCACGTGAGGGGGCGGAACGGTGGGGACTTGAAGTTGAGGCTCTAAGTGGATGCACCTGTGAAGTCGCTGGTACATCGGTTCACAGGCAAAGCTGGCTTTAGGCGCAGGTCCCCGAGACAACCAAAAAGTTAAAGAGGGGGGCAGGAAGATCATGAATCCCATACTCGCCAATGCGTGAAAACTTCGAGCCGGACATATTCATCTGATCATGCCAAAGCTGGCATCAGTAAAAACTTTTTAGTAGAGAGAAATACGGAGACAGTTTTTTTTTGGTTTCCTTTTCTTTTCTTTTTGCTTCCTTCCTATTATTCTGCAGAAAAAGCGGCGTGTTTTTGGTGATCCCCCTCTCTGTATAGCGGCCTGTTACTGGGACAAACATACCCTATACTCCTGCGTTAAAAACTACTGTAAGCCCCACCTACTTTATATGACGACCTTGGTACCTCCTAACTTGGGAGGTTGTATTTTACAGCAACAATAACTCATACTTCAACCCCCCACGCGACAAATATATATTCCTCATAGAAACCGACTCAGTGTTTTATTACAAGATTAAATTGGGTTGTCCGTTACATTCCTGTAAAGCACCTGCTGGTGGGTTGTTTGTCGGGATTGTGACCATGGGAGTCATTCCCAACTGGTAAACCTGTTGGCAATTCGCGGTGGCCGGCGCGTTAATCCGTTCCGGGCTGGGGGGCGGTTAGACAGGGTCGTGACAGGGATGATTGCTGTAGTTGCAGGGTACCTAGTATGCTATGGGCTTTTAGGGTCATGTTATGTACTTGCTAACACATCTTAGCATTAAGATGAATTGTTGTCAGTGTTGATCGCGTTGCACTTCTCGCGTCGAGGAGAGTGCCAGGGGCCTCTTAACGCGTCTGCGAATCGCGCTGAATCCACCCCTTGGTCATGATTCGCACATCGCGTCTCTCTGTTCGACCGAATCGATCGATTTTCGATCGAACGGGTGGGGGCGATCGATTCGATGTCGAATCATATGGTGACCTGTACGGTTCGAATGTCGAATAGGATGCCCCACATTCGAATCGATGTATTCGAACATCGAACAGGACATGTCACATTCGATTCGATGCGAATCGAATGGGCACGCCGCAGATTCGACATCGAATCGAATGCCAAGAAATTCGATTCGACATTCGTAAGACTTGGCATCGAATGAATCTATCGATTCGATTCCCGTTCGTTCGATGTCCATCCCTGGGAGTAGCTGTGGTGGCAGACATTGGCACCTTTCCAAAAATAATTGTTGATGGTGGACAGCCTCAGTTACTTTCCATCGGACGTTCTCATTCCTTGTATCCACCACGTTGGGATCATGCATAATGGTGGGTGGTCCTCAACGGCCTTGGTCAGTTCCCAGTCTTGCCTCATCCAGTAACTACTAGATAGCCGTACTCATAACTTAAAAAATCAATAAGTAATGGACACTAATGATCTTACAAACTCGACCAGGCGGCCAAACTCGGCGATACCATACTTAAGCGATGGCTCCACTCTCCGCTGCAGTGGGGAGCTGATGCCACCAAGGATAACATGGAGTGCAACTGGGCGACGAATCTTGGACTGCCGATAAAGCCAGCGGGGCGTGGATCAAAAGGTGTGTGCGATTAGACGTTCTATTTGGTATCTTAAAGACTGCCGTTTGTCTATCTACCCACATGGCTCCGTACATCCTCGATTCCCAATCTCCAGATATGATTCCGTTTGTCATGTAATTCTCGCAAAATCATCTACAGCTGTTTCTCAGCAGTCTAAGGTTTCAGGGAAAATCCTAGGTGTCTTGCAGAGTTGAATGCGTGATTGGAGAGGGAGAGAGTCCAGACCGTCTTCGCCTTTAAAGACCGCATAGCTCCCTAGTATTTGAAAATCCAACTACATTGCATTGTCTGTTGGTTGGAGTCTGCAATTGCTTCCTCTAGGCATACAAATTTCCAAGTTGTTAGGTTCAATTGAATCGTGCGTTTGGCCCCCTGTGCCAGCTGACGCCTCAATTAGGGGTGCCCATACACTCTTGTTTGTGGCCATGATGTTAGCCCCCTTCTCAAGAAATACGTCAACAAAATCCACCGACCCGTTGGCGCAGGTAATGTGACAGGCTCATCTCCCCAAACTACTAGTCTCATTCAGATTTCGTTTAATGATGAGTGAAATTGCCGCACCTGTCAAGTGCAATTTTATTGCGTAGTATAGAGGGCAGGGTGGGTGGTCTCGGCCTCTTCCCTTCTCGTTCTGCATCTCCTCGGTCGATCAATGTCCTGAAAGCATCCCAGGTAGGGCTATCGGTCGAGAAATTTGATATAGAGCCTGGCTATTCCGACATTGTAGCCGTTCAACACACGAGTGCTAGGTCCAACAAGAGAAGGCCTGAACGAACCGCATTGGGGAATTAACACCCCGACAAGATAGGGGAATGTCGAAACCTCAACATCACGGGCACTTAGGAAACGCTGTACTCGGGTTCAGTCTGTGACCCTCGAGTACTAACCATCATTGGGCGCCCGCGGACCCAGTTGAACTTCCAGTCAGTTGAAAGGCGTTCTTGAGGCTGACGCATTTGCCGCCCAAACTTCTCTCGTCTATTACCTACCATTCTACATCGCCATCGCACTGTCGTAGCCATATCGAATCCTTCTTTCTTCCAAAATATCTTTTTGAGAAAGCCTCTGAGTCATGCTAGTACTGACTTCGCCCGAATCTCTATTTGACCCTCACCAGCCTCTTCCTTGAACTAACCCTCACGAAAACGGCCTTCTATAACCAATTTTGAAGTCAGAAGAGAGATTATTCGCTCCTAGCGGAAATATTTCCTTTGGAGGCCCAAGCACTTGACACGTCATGGGCTGGGATCAACGTCGCCTTATATCGGTTACTATTGAGGACGAGGAGATCGAATCAGCAGAACCGGCGATTGGATATCCCTGGAAGCACGTAGACGATCTTGCACCAGACTTTTTCAAGATCCGGGTTTCAAAACAGGGTCATTGATTTCAACGTCGACTGACCCAGAGGATGATAATACCTTCTGTCCCTTTCATTATTCAGACCTTCACTCGACCTGGCTCAGCGTCCGGACGGAATCCATGCTATCTTAAGGTTAAACTAAGAGGAACTTGATAGACTTGAACTACTGGTAGACCTCGCCAGATACCCGAAGCCTCCGGAGTCAAGGAAGAAGGCAAGTCTTACCCAGAGACTCCTACTGTTGCTTAGGACCTTACTAGAGCACAGCTTGTATTCAACTGCTACTTTATATATTAACGCTTGGGTTATATATGGCACGAGATGGACTTATAGATATGTTTACCGAAATATCCGCATATAGTGCTCTTTGACAGGCTCGTCGTGGATGAGATCGAGGTGTGGTGTGTTGGGTTCACCACTGCATTATCCCCGGTGAGACCCTTGAGGAGAATAAGACTTGCGTTTTCAAGCTGAAATAGCTCCACCAGCTAATTGCAGTTATTTATGAGCCTATCTTGAGTCTCGGTATTTCTCATCAAAATGTGGCCCCTCGCAATCTCCTCATCAGCGACACCACGGATTCCTTGACGATCTTCGACTCCAACTTTTCGGTTCGAATCGGTGAGATAGGATACAGTGAGGCCCGGATTGATATCAAAGGGGTCATGTTCACTATGTACCAGATCATTACTCGTGATCTTACGCGCGAGGAAGCTCGAGCATGAAGAACAAAACGTCTTGAATGTCGAGAAAAAGAATGGATACCACATCCAGATGTCTTGCTGGACCCCCCAGTCTCCGAGTTTCGCGAGACTCTTGCGCAAGGCAAGCACACCACTTCCTACAAAGATGCCCCAGGCTTCATCAACTAGCCAAACACGCCAGAACCATCGCCATCAGAAGTTGTACTCAACTACTCAAGCAGACTGGTGACGCACCTAAAAGTGCTGTGGAGCGTGGAGAGAAGGAGGACTCTGGAACAAGGCAAGACTGTCTTGAACTGGCAACGGCCTGCCCAAGCCAGCTATTTCCAGCTCTACCAACCTAGGTAGCCTGTATTCTCATCGCCCTCGGGCCGAAGATTTTCAAGATGGTCACTATCCGATGAGGTTTAACGTAGAACTCCACCCGAGCCCAATTCAGTCGTATAATTCCCCAGATACAGCTGCCACTTAATTAACTCGAGTGCCAGAGGTAATAGACTACATTTGGTGGTGACTGCAGCCTTGGCAGTTTGGCAAGGCCGAAAACTGCTCGGCAGCTGAGCACATGTTCCTCCAAGTAGAAGCTCACGGATATGCGCATACGACGTCTGGGGGACTTGGCACAGTTGTAACCAAGGCCAACTTTCAAACTTGATCTGGTCACCTTGTGCCATGCACATCTGAGCATATCAGCGCATAATGTGCCATCGTTGCATCTACGGTAATTCACAACTCAAGGGTGAGGTGATGACAGACTAACCTCCATTATAGAGTCGGCAGTCATATTTGCATAACAAAGGTTCACGCTAGCTTCAATGTTATACAAGTGAGAGATGTAGTTCAATTTGTTCATTCAACTGGTCTAGGGCGGATTGTATCCATACCAAGACTCCATAACGTGACACGAGCACGCGACAAGTTGTATTCATCCTCTGTACTGGGTATCATCATATAAACCTACTCCTGTCTCCTTTGTTTAGACCCGTCATTCCATCTTTGAGCGTACGCCCGTCTTTATTGAGAAACTCAACCAAAGCGCCGTCATAAAGTAAATGTCCCCGCAATGATCATGCCGTAGATGTACCCAAATCAAAATCCTCGACACCCACGTTCTTTGAACCGACGACTACAGCCGTGTCTGAGAGCTGTGTGGAAACATTTGTGCTCTTTCCAGGCGGATTCGCGCTGCTTCTGTCCCATCATCGCGTACTGGTTCCTGGAACCATGGATGATTTAATGCTTCCTTTGCCGTAATGCGACGAGCGGGGTCATATACGAATATTTTTTGGAGCAGATCGAGAAAGTGTTTCAGAAAAGTGTTGCTTTTGGTGGGAATAATCTCCTGTGTTTGTATGAGCGTCATGTCCAAAATAGTTAGATCTCGGTGTTGGGGCGTACATCTAGCCGCTTCATGGTTCTGACGAATCTTCTTGAAGCTCGGTTTGTCTCAGGAGTCGGGTAGTTCAGTCGAAAGCGCTTGAAGTAACTGCTGACATCATTAGTTGTCTGAAAAGAACTACCATCCGTCACGGGTTTGCAAGGCCTGTGGTTCAGAGAAACACTTACCTGGCTGCACTGTTGCTTCTAGAGGACATTCGGTTAACTTTCCGCACCAACTCGGTGTCGATTTTCATGTCAAACACGGCTTCCATCAAAGCCAAATGCTCAACGTTATCATGTGTTTGGAACAACGCGTCGCCTGTGAAAAATTCAACGAGGATGCAACCTATACTCCAAATGTCGCAGGGGAAGGACCATCCAAGCCCGAGGATGATTTCAGGGGCTCTGTAATGGCGCGTTGACACGACAGAGGAGTGGTACTCATCTTGGAAAGTCGCTGATCCAAAGTCGATGAGTCTGATTTCGGGGTTTAAGAGAACCTTCCGATGTTCGGCTTGGCGACCTGGGGACGTCCGGGATGAGGGGATGGTGCGATTGTAGGTGAATGTTTGGTAGGAGGCGTCACAGAGGAGAATGTTTTCCGGTTTTAGATCGGTATGGATCAGTCCCAGGTCGTGGACAACTGGAGATATTATTAGAATCGAGAAACCAAGTATGACTACTGAGAACTTACAAGCGACACTTGTCAAGAGCTGTTTGGCAAAGCTCTGGATATGACTGTTTGGGAAGGGCACGAAGCCATTACCCTTGAGATAATCGAAAATGCTAGAGTCAAGCAGATTCATGACGAGACAGGTATGACCGCGGAAATCGAAGCAGTCGCGAAGATGAATGCACCTGTACTTGTTTTCGGCATCGTTTTGTCGGAGTGTCTGCAAAACGCGCAGTTCGATTTTGGCTGCATCACGGTATTTTTGCACGGATCGGATCACCTTCACGGCAACCACTTCGTTGGTTTTGCTGTCGAGGGCTTGCACGACCTTGCCAAAAGTTCCTTGACCGAGGAGTTTGCGGATTTTGTCTGAAGAATGGTAAGTACACCGCCAGAAAACACCGCGAAAAACTGACATTGACTGGTGAGATCTTCATCAGGAACAACAATATAGTGTCCGTCGTCGTCATCAATTTTCTTGTTATCGGCCCTCGAACCCTAATGATTGTGAGCAATTGGGCAAATAATTGTGAGACATCAATCACTGACCGTGTGTCCGACTCTGACGGCCACATCTTTCGCTCTGAGCACTGGTTTGGTGAGACCTTTGTATTCGATGTTGGTCCCCAGCAGTGACCTGGCATCAATGTCCGTACTGGCTCCATTCGCAAGTTGATACCGGGTTCTCTTCCTCTTCTGGTTTACTCGCGGATCAGGCGAGCCCAACTGCGGCGTGGAATTTGGCTGTGGTAACCGGATTTCCGCGCGTTGTGGCTGTACGGTCCTCGCACCCGACTTCTCCACGTATGGCTCATCGGCGGGTCTCTGGGGCTGTGCAACTGGTTCTTCGTCGAATTTTCGTTTCCTAGTTGAGGCGGGTTTTATCGAGGGAGCGGTGGTGTGATAGCTCGTGGGCTCGTCTGTCGGGCGGTCCGGGCAAGGCTCCGGCGTATCTTCGATGACAATGATCTCTTGGGGAAGGCCATTCTTGTAGAATTCGTTCCAATCTGGCAATCTCGTTTTATTCTGAGAAGACCGAAGCTGTCTGTCGCTGCCGTGGTACGGATGAGGCGACTGTATCGCAGTGCGGAGAGACGTGCTCGATTCCGACGTTGAATCAGGATGTGTTTGGTGGTGGAGGGAGGGGTTCGGCGGATCCGACAAGAGTAGAGGTGGTCGGAAATCTTCGTGATCGAACGGTCTCTGGCCGAGACCATGCGTCTGAGTCTGGCGGGCTGCTGTAAGCGTAGACATTGTATCGTCGTCGAGGGACGAAGAGCAACTGGTTCCTCGCGCGACGACGTTTGAGAGTTCGAGCCCTTGATCTCGCGCCGTGTCGGTCGAGCGTCGGATAAACGTAAGGCCGAGAAGGGTTGTGTGCAGCTCAAACTGTCCATGGAAGAACAATACCATACGGAGTCCTTATTGCAGGAGCTCAATACACATGAAACTGAATGCAAAATTCACCATTTGAGCCCAAATCTTTCGACGTCATTTTTGCTGGCTGCTCCACGGCACTGGGTAAGGGCATGTACACGTCGGATATTCCATCACTTGCAGCAGAGACCATGCATCAGTGGTTGGGATGGTTGCTGACTAAATCATCCTAAAACAGACTAGCGCCTTCATCAACTTCTTTATAATGCGGCACACTCGCCACAATTTCTACTCTTCTTTTTTTCTTTCTTCTTTATCAAAAAGCATCCGGGCTGCCACGACCTTCATCTAGTCCCTTCGGGGTTTTCCCACGGTGTCGCGTTGCCTTTCCCCTCGCGGGAAGTGCCCAGGAAGAGTAAAACCCTTGGATATAGGAAGTTTTCCGTCAGAATCGTTGCTTGCAACGACAGCTGTTTTCGGTCAACGCCAAGAAGGGGGGACATCTCCTTGTGAGAAACCTAAACTGCTGTGCTTCATTTTGAAGCTCAGTTGACGTGCAACGTCCATCGTAAACCGGTGCGGTCACGTTCAAGACCAGATGCCAAACATGACGCGGATGCATCTCATCATCGCCCATTGGTGACGTTCCGAGCGCCTGTTGAGTGTGGCGGCGGTGGAGGTCGCGCTGCAGAGATTTATGTTTCAGCCGCAACTCTCCACAACCCACGCGGCGCTGCTGGTGAAGAAAATGCCGGTCCGCAACTCATCGGCGTTGAACCATGTCTTGTGTCTCGTGTTGTCATGGTGACACTCTATTGACGGTGAATTGCCACAACCCGGATGGTGGTGGGCTTGGCCCAAACACTGTTCACGATGGTGGCGATGAAAAACATCCAAGCAATTCCCCAGCGTCGGGTTGTGTCAATTTGGAATAAAATTACAATGCAAAATCCTGAGACTCCACTCAAAGAACCCTCACTCTTCCCGGGCACCGAGGAGACCATCCTTGCCTTTACTTCCATGCTGTTCTCTCACAAACCCCTCTATCTTGTCATCATGGTGTGGTCGTTCTGGGGGCCCAGGAAGCTCAGGCTTGTTGAGGGTATTCGAGTCACTCTGATGACTGCCGAGGATTTTGGCAGCAGCTGGGACATACTCAGTGACTGACCACCGGGTAGGTTAGCGACCGTGCAAGACATTTAGGGAGTATTGCTGCTGAGAACATACTCTTCTCAACGATGGGGTTGGGCTTCTCATTGGCCTTAGAGCGAGTCTCTTCAGCAGCTCGGTCGAGCTGCTCCTTGAAGGTCTCCTGTTGAGAACCGTTAGGGTTTGGAGTCGTCTCTGAGGATGTCATGTTGTATTGACCAGTTGGCAATTTCTTCCGATGTGACAAAAGAACTTGTGAACGGTAAGTCTGGGAGAGTTTATGTTCAGGAATCGAAGAATTATCTTTATGATCTTCAAGCAAGCCTGTCTCTCGGCCTACGCCATTGACTTTCAGCTGTTGAACCACTTCCGGCGCAATCTAGTGACGTCAAGATGCAGTGGCGGGGTGACAAGCTGATAAGGCCCGATAAGCGCCAGTGTTATCTTATCGGTGACATTTTGGTGGGCTGACTGCTGGTACTTCGTATGGTGCAACTGACAGCAGCCACGAGAGATATTTTCGTTGAGGCTTGACAATATCAACAAACAGCGCGAGACTTCAAAGATGGCCCCCATCCCGATCACCATAATCACGGGCTTCCTAGGCTCCGGGAAGACCACACTGATCCTCAACCTGATCCCGCAGCTCAAGGAACAGAACCCCGCCTACAAGCTCGCCCTCCTCAAGAATGAGTTTGGCGACCTCGCCGTCGACTCTCAGTTGGCTACCAACTCGTCCATCTCTGGTGTGCAAGAGCTTCTGAACGGCTGCATCTGCTGCAACCTCGTCGGCCAACTCGGCCCGGCGCTGGAGGAACTTGAGAAGACCGTCTCGCCCGACCGCATCGTTATCGAGACCAGCGGCTCTGCCTTCCCCGCGACCCTCGCCCTCGAGATCAACCGCCTGGCGCGCGAATCAGGAAAATATGTGCTCGACGGTGTTATCAGCGTGATCGATGTCGAGAACTGGAAGGGCTACGAGGACACGAGCTACACCGCCCGCATCCAGGCCCGATACACCGACCTCATCGTCTTTAACAAGTGGGAGGCTGCTGGCGAAGATCGATACGAGGAGTGTGTCGACAGAGTTGGTGATCTCGAGGTTGACGTGGCTAGGGTCAAGAGTGACAAGGGCTGGGTTTCTATGAACCTGGTGTTTGGCGTTGATGGCGGTTTGGCTCAGGAGTTGACTGACGCAGAGCTGAATGGCGACCACAAGGCGCATGGCGAGAGCCACAGACACAAACACAACCAGACGAACGGCGATGGTCACAGTCACGGGCATCAGGGCGAAGTTGAAGTCCTGTCGATCGAGCTCAATGGCGGCAGTGGCAGCGCCATCTCCACAGAGAAGCTCTTGGGTTTCCTCAACGCTGCACCCAAGGACGAGGCCTACCGCATCAAGGCAGTCCTAACACTCTCCTTCACCCCCTCCAACTCGGACCCGGATGTCCCCAAGCCCGAGGCGAACTCTAGCGGACGATACATTCTGAACTGGGCGTTTGGCCGCTGGATATTCACGCCCGTCGCACAGGCTGTGCAGGAGCATGATTCTAGCAGCGATGTGACTCTGCGCATGACGATGATCCTAGCGCGGTATGAGAGCAATAAGTGGAAGAAGAAGATCGAGGCCGGCGAGTATTTGCAGTTGGAAGGCGGTGACGCGAGTGGGTTGACTGTTCAGAAGATAATATAAAGGGGGTTAGACAGACGACATTGTAGAGTAGAAAAGACATGGGCTGTAGAGGATATCACGATGAGACGAAAAGTTTGGGCGGCATATAGAGCTTAGACTCTGTTGACGAGCGGGCAGTATTATATATTAAATCCCGATATCATACAAAAGACGATGAGACAAGAGCCGAATCAACACTTGGCGAGACGCCAAGTATTCTTGACTATCAGATCCATCCGGGCCCTGGACTCATTGGGCTCCCCCAGAAGCCATCATACTCCTCCAGACTCACGTCCCGGGTCATGTACCCCTGGGCCTCCCGGCTCACCACCGAATCATTTCTGTCGCGGAACTTGGATTCCGAGTTCTTGTCAAAGTAGTAGTCGGCCAGTTCGTCGTTGGACAGAGGCCTTCCCTTGGCCAAGATCTTGCCGCCGGCAGTTGGCACACCGTACTGGTACCGCGCAAGTACTTCAGGCGTCGGCAGTGCGGAGAGCGACGTACCGGAAATAGGAGGTGGGACTGTCACGACAGTGTGGATGGTGCGAGAAGTTATGGCGGTGGGCGAGAGTTGAGAGGAGGTGGGCGAGATGGGGGGCGTCATCTCGTTGGCTTCTGGGTTGGAGGTCATGGAGACGGTGGGTTGATGGCGGCGGAAAGGCGAGGTCTTGTCGGTCACGATGGGCGGTGGGCGGTTATTCTTCCCCTGTACTTCTTTGTCCTTCTCGACTTGGTTAGAGGAGAATGCCTGATGATGAGGCGTCGGTCCTGGTGAGGTCTCATCGTCGCATCTTTGGCAGACTCCCCATGCCTCTGCCACTCCAATATGGCACATCCGACACATTGGGTCTGATACACTGTCCTGACGAACATGGACGGGGTCTGCCAGGCTGTCCTGTCGGAGAATGACAGGGTGAGAGTTCAGGGCTTCCCCGGGCGTCGGCCGTCGGGTATCTTTCTTGGGCTGCGATCCTTTACTCAGTGGAGATGGATGCAGCGGCCGAATCCAGGGATCGTCCGTCCGCGATGGCCGCCGGGGAAAGCTCCTGCTCATGTCCGGCGACTGAGACTGGTCACTGTCGTGAGAACCGCGCCGCGACGAGGCGTTGCTGGAGAGGTCATCGGAGCGAGAACCGCGACGGGTCATGGAGTGGACGCTTCCCTTCAGAGAAGGAGTCGGAGTATGGCCTGTCGGCTTGTACGTCCACGGGTTGTCCATGCGGGACGGCCGGCGGACGATGACGGTGTTGATCTTGGGCGCGGCCGGATCCGGCGCCGGCAACTTCCAGCTCCACGGGTTGTCCGGCCGGGATGGTCGGCGCAACATGACCATGTTGGCCCTCAGCGCAGAGGCCGTCGGCGGCGGCTTTGAAGCCACGTTCGATTCTGGCCGCGAGGCTGTGGCTGTCCTTGGTGCGGGAGCCGGAGCCAGAGCCATCGCCGCCAGAGGTTGAGCTGGCTCGGCCCAATTCCACGAGATGTGGTTGTCGTCGGTCCGTGGGCTTCCTCCCGGTGATACATCGCTGCTGTTGTCGTTGATAATGTCGTTGCTGATATTGTTGATATGGGAGTTGTTGTTGTTTTCTTCCTGGTCGCTTGCACTGTCGGCCTCCTCGATGAATGGCAGTGGTGAACATGGTCTCGATTCATCACTGCTGCTCTCGCTCATCCTACTCATGCTCATGGCTCTGTTGATCCTGTACCCGGGATTGACAGCGTTGAGATTCAACTCGGTCACTTCTGTGATGGTCGCCGAAATCCTGTTTTCGAGGTGGAAGGGATCATTCTCCTCCAAGTCCAGTTCATCGATTGATTCGGCGATTCCGTCAGAGTATTCATCGTCGTCCAAGTTCTCAGCCTCCTCCGGCCCTACCAAATCCGAAGGATTGAACGACATCCCAAACGTCATTGTGGACACTCTGCATTCCTCGGCTCTTTGCCTCTCCTCCCTGTCCTCCTTCATAATTTGCATGAGCGGCTTCACCGGTTGATCTGTGAGGTGGACGATCTTGAGGTCCCTTATTCTCGAGTCCCTTGATGACGCTGACGAGCGCTTTCCCATGAAGCTTCGAAACTTCAGCTGCTTTTTCCAGCTGATTCGTACTGAGCCTTTCCGGTCCGTCTGAGGCGAGTGGATATTCGGGGTCGTCGCTTGCTCCTCGGGCACATTCTCAAGGCTCGGCTTGTCTTCACTGGTCCGCCTGCTGGCAGACCGCGACGAGGGAGACTGGATCTTGACTTGTTTCATCATCTTGCGATAAAGATTGAATGAATTGTATTCTGCAATGGGAAAAACACAGCGTCAATTGCGGCGGATTTGGGAGGCAGCGAGCCACCATCTTAGATATTCCCCGAGACGACTTCCAAGGATCAGAGTTGGGGCTGGCCAAACCCAATGCAGACCATTTCCCCATTTCCGATCGGATGGGCCGAAGGTACAGTTTCGCCATCAGACGTGTGATTGGACCGCGGCCAAAGCATCACAGATCCGGGGAGTCCCTAGGGGAACCGGAGTGAGACAAGGAATGCAGTTTGAGCCTCAGCGTCGATGCTTTCGGTGACACAAGTCCGCCACGAACCTCCACCCAAGACGCGATAAGACTCGTTCATACTTTGTCCACCATCTCCAGATCGAGATCCTCCCCGGCTCCGGTGGTTTAGCCCAGATGTCGATGCCTCTAATTCAGTTTGAACTACTGATCGCCGGGTCCCGGTTAGCTGTCCCCGCCTGGCGCCTGTGTGAATGGCTGAAGCTCAGCCGCCGGGAATGCTCTATCTCAGTCTCGGCCCATCTGTCAAAATGCCGCCAAGCTTTATATATCCAAGTGTCGTTCCGGATTCGTCATTTCATTGTATTGAGCTTGACATGCCGCCCACACCCCCTCCTCCCTTTGTTTCCCTTTGTCTCTCCCTGTCTCTTGTCGACTCTCTTTCACTCTGTCTCTCACTGACCCGCCCCCTCTCCCTTTGTCTACAAACTTACCGTCACTGTCATGTTGTTGCTCAGCACCATTAGCGTCGGCGGCATCTCGTTGCATAGCACCTCCACATCCGAGAGGTAGCGTATTGTGGCCGCCTCGTCTAGGCTAGTGCCCTCCGATGGGATCGGGAGGGTACTCAGCAGTACTGCTGTGTCCTTCGAGTACCGTCGCATCAATTCATTAAGAATCAAGTGCTGGGCCCGGCTTGGGAGCTCGTTGAAAGAGAGTTCGACCCCTTGGCCCGAATACGGCGTGGCTGACTCGTCGCCATCCTCCACCCTAGGATCCAACGTATATCTCTCGAGCATCTCGGGCATCGGTAGCCGAACATCGCCTTGGCTGAAGTTTGTCGCCTGCGAATTCTGCCGCGAGTGGTGCCTAGACTGCCCCGCCGAGCGTGGATGGTGAATCGGCTGTTCAGCAAACGTGATTGTCCTACCCTCCTCCTCGCCAACCGTCACTCGCGTCTCAGGGGTGGGGCGGCTTGAGAATTTCCCCAGAGACGATTGCCGTGAGAATGCGGGCCGGTCCACTCTTGGGGTTTCTGAGATGAAATCTGACGGTGCGAAGCTAATCTTGGATCCTTCCGCCTCCGTTGTAATCTTGGTCTCTGGTACAGGTCGGCTGGTAAACCGTACTGCAGACGATTGTCGAGATAGGTTTGGTTTACCCGGTGTCGATATGCCGTCGCGGAGGGGACGCACCGTGTCTTCCCTGGTTGGACTCATTTGGCGTGAACGGCTTGATCGATTTGCGGACCCTCGAGCTTCCGGCGGGCCCAAGGAGGGGAATACTTCCAGCCCGTCGTTTGGTGTGCTGGCGTCTGCCTCAGTGATCGATCGTGAAACCAGGTTCTGGTCAGACAGCATTCCTAACCCATTTGACCTCCGAGTTCGAGACGCGGATAGTGTTCCATACGAAGTAGCAGACGCGACCCCGCCAGTGTTGGGCGAGTGTCCCCTGCCATGATGTCCCCAGAAGCTCACTGCTGCTCGTTCTCCAAGACCACCATTTTTGCGGCGGCCACTAGATCCTAAAAGGGGCCGCTTCACAGATTCGTTAGGGCCAACATCATCATCGTCCACCAGCGCCTCAAACCCATAGGCCCTCTCCTCATCAGAATCCGCAGAAGAAGCTCCTTCGATTTCGGACTCATCGTCGGTTGTCAAGTCGTCTAAGGCGTCATCGTGGAGGTGGTGTGTGTGGATTCCCATGTTCACTCCCATTTTAGACAGAACTCCGATCGGGGGCTTCCTGGGCATCTCCAAGACATCCACCACACTTGCACGGCGACGGTCATAGTTCTCTTCGTGGGGATTATAGATGCCTGGGCGCCCAGATGTGGAATCGAAGATGTGAGCAAGATGATTCGCTTCCTGGGCCGACGTCATATTTTCCGGCTGTCCTCGGAACATCTGAAGATCGTCCCACCACTCTTCTTCTTTGAGAGTATCGTTGACCACAATTTCCCAGTCAATATCGCGGCTGATACCATGAATAATAAGCTCATAGGTATTAAGATCACCCGAAGCTAGACAGAATACTTTGACCTCGGCGTCGATCCGCAGTTTCTCCAAAAGTGCCATGACTCGCGCATGTTCTTCTTGGACTTCATTCTCGTACTCGACAAAAACCATAACTCTGAGCGAGTATGCTTGTCTCCATGCGTGGACGCTATGCAAGATATGGCCTAGCTGGAGAATGAGGGTGTCTGATTTGGTGAGCTTATTGTATATGCATTCACACTTGAAGAGCTTACATGTGTCAAAATTGGTCGTCAATAAATTCTTCCCGTCCGCTGCAACCTCTGCCGACATCTGGATCGGCCAGAGATCGATGTATTTCTTGTGATTGGTTCCGTCCTTTCTTGGAGTTTCGAGCTTGTCGAAGCCACAGCCCACAGCAACATTGAGTTTGCACTTGAGGGCTAGATCTTCCAGGATTGTGAGGTACTGTGTGGGGGACATCATTTCCTCGGTTCGGATGACGTCTGTGGGGAGGATGCCTTCCAACAGCCGAGCAGAGGTGTCACCACGCCGTCGTGGCGCCTTGCCTTCTGACTTTGGCGGCCGGCGCATCTGGACAGTCGGGGACACGGGAACGTCCGGAACCCGAAACTTTAGATTCGACTTTCGCAGCTCGTCCATATTGTAAAAACCGAGTACAGCAATGTTGGGACGCATGCCACCTAGGCCTGCTGATAAGATCAAGTTTCGAATCCCCCAGTTGATTGTCGGAGACATTGTCAGCTGCACAAAAGCTTTGATCCTGGAGAATTCGGATATGTAGTTTGTCCAAGCATGCTGCTGGAGTCTTGCTTCGTGAACCCCGGAATCAAAGTCGTCTGTCACGATAACATGACCGAGGATATAAAGTGATCCTTTTTTCAACGAGTTACAAAACTGAATCAGTCTCGTCTGGCGTCGAGGATTATTGATAAGAAGAATGATGTGCGGGCGCCAGAACTTGATGTGCTCTGGCCTGAGTCGCAGTAGATACTTCCTGACCTGATGATAGATGAGGTTCTGAGATACATCACCCCAACGCTTGGGCGGACTGAGATAATGGATGAGTAGGAAGAGGAGGACAAGAACCGAGACGGCAATGGCCGCGTAGGTCTCGTCGATGAAGAACATGGCAGCAGCGGAGAGAAGGCCAGCGAGCAATGCCGTTTGCCAGGCGAAGAACTTGAAGCTCGGTCGAAAATTAGGAGCTGACCCGATTTTAAGCAAGAAGCATGCAAGGTTCATGACGAAGAAGGTCATCTATCTCATAAGTTAGCATCTAGGCTATAGGAATATTTCTTCAACCACAACACCCAGTAGTGGACTCGATCGACCTCTAGGGGAAGCTAAGAAACAAGATTGGGAGTATTTTTATGGGCTAGGGTTGGCTGAATATACATCATGGAGTTCCTTACCTGATAACCCATTGAGATAAAGGTAGCAATCTGGTTGAGATCGGCCAGAAGGGCAACCTGAGCGATGGCATATGTCAAGAGTAGTGCAAAGATAGGTTCGTCTCCATGTTTCGTTCCTCTGCCAAAAATTGAGAGTCCTGGCAGAAGCTTGTCCCTCGCGAAGGCCTGGAAAAGTTTGGCGGACCCAATAAGACCCATCAGAGCTGAGAAGAAGGTCACGGCACACTCTCCAGCTAGGATGACAGGCTGGGATAAGCTGACGAGAGAAATAGCATTCGGGTTCGCCAGAAAGGAGGCATGGGTAGTGCTTGCGGCGAGAGAGAGGATGACAACAAAGTAGGCAATAAAGGTTGTTAGCATGGCCCAAAGAGTGCCGTTGGGGATGGATCTGCTGGGGTCTTTCAAGTCTCCAGACATAGAAGCACCAGCAAAGATTCCCGAAGTTGCACTGAAAAATAGTCAGAATGTCTGAAATCGTAGCTTGGGTCGGGTATATTTGGCATACGGGAAAAGAATACCAAAGAGGTCACGGAAGGTGGCGAGGCCGTTGTACGCCGGGCTGGTGGTATGGGGAAGAAAGTTGTCGGCCAGGGTATTGAAACTCGGGCCGGTGAAATCTATGCCCAGGGTTTCATCACGGAAGGGCTCCTTGAAGATTGCGGAGATCGGTATGCTGATAATGGCGAGACTCAAGACCGCAAGCAAGGCATTTGAGGCTTTGGAGAAGGTAGCCGATCCCAAGAAGCATAAGCCGGTACAGAGAATGAGAGCGGCTGTCTGGAGGCCATAGCTCGTCCAATACCCTTCAGGAAACGCTGGACCCATGTTGAGGCGGATGCAGTCGATGAGACCAACAACATTCATAGACGCGTTCAAGACCTGGGCGAGGAAGAAGAGGATTCCGATCGAACCTCCAAACTCGGGACCGAGGGAGCGAGAGATGAGGTAGTAGGCACCACCGCCCTTGACCTCACCGTTAGAGGCAATGGCAGACAGGGAGAGGGTTGTTAGTAAGTCAATGCAATATGCAATGATGAGCAGGCCTGTATGTTGCTGTTAGCCCGGCTGCATCTACCCCAAATGGAGGGAATTCGCTGGAAATACTCTTACCAAATATGCCCATGAAGCCAACCTGTCCAAGAATGAGGCCAAAACGCAAGAACATCAGGATGCTCATGATGTTGAGGAACACAGGGATGTAGACCCCAGACAGGGTGCCTAGCTTGGTGCTATCCCGCTGTTCGCTCATCGCAGCGGAGGGCCTCCTATCGCCACTGCCAGCATCGTCGTGGCCGCCATCTGGACGTCCTCCTCGTCCTCCTCGACCATCTCCACCTTTTCCATCGAGAGGCTGCGGTTTCGTCATAGTTGCGGGCTGGATATCGTCCCCGGCCGGCGGGACCACTCGTCACGGACAACAGCGCGAAGACAGGGACATTGAGAGCGGACGCGAGCGAGAACCTGAAACAAGAAAAACCACGTTGGTAGATAGGCGTAGGGAGGGAAGTGAGGAGTATGGCATGTATTATCAGCGCCCGAGGGACGAACGAAGTCAAGGGAGACGAGGTGCCATCACGTTGGTTAAAGCGCAAGGCGGAGAGCGGAAGGCGGACGCGCGCCGCCTTTGGCGCTGGCAAAAACCCGTGAGCTTTGACGTCGGGTCTTAGCTTGGAACAGGTAACGTTAGGTTAGTCAGATCAACCAGGTTAGCTACGACAGAGCGACGATTCTTTGCTCATACGATCCGAGGCGAGAAGATCATCACTCGCGCTACTAGACCATACATTTGGTGCCTCCGAGATACGCTTGGCCACCGCCAACCAAGCCAACCAGAGCACTGCGTCACGCATCCTGCTACGTCGTTGGGCATCGCCAAAGGCTGAAAGTTGGTTGAAGGGACCCATTCTCCGCTAAATTCCAGCCCGGACATGCCTATCCTGAGACCGGGGTACCCAATGTCGTATTACCAGCCTTCGTGCAACCCCGCGTCCGGTGTGCTCCCTTGTGCTGTGGAACTTGCAGACAGATTTCACCCTTCACATTGCGGCTAGCAGCATCGTGGCCAGCGGCTCGTTAGCAGCTAAAGCGAAAGAGAAAAAAAAAGCAAAGAGCGGAGAGAGAGCAAAGAGCACATGCCAGCTACAGCGACGTGAACCGCCGGGCACTGCTGGCTCCATGCTCAGGCGGGCCCTTGTGCAGTCATCGGTCATCGGTAGGCTCGCACGCGATGGGGATCACTGGGGTTGTGCTGCCCAATGACGTATGCCGTGGTCGGGCAGGCAGTAGAAAGATCTATCCCATGTCTGTTGTGCGCATAGCGATATGTGCGTGCGATATCATCGCACAGGACGCAGGAAACTGTGGCCGGGGCTGCTGTTGGATGGGAGGCAAGTAGCGAAACCGGGCCTCAAAGTTGGACGAGCTGCAATACGCATCACGTATTGGATGAGGCGCTGGCCCGGGGACGGTCTGGACGTACAATTGCCTTGCAGGAGCGTCGCATGCTTCGTGCAGCTCCGGGGCCTCGGGTCGTCCAGGTCTCGTGAATGCCGTCGAGTCGGCTCGGAAGATGAGACATGTCAAGTCGGTACGAGGAGGTGAGACCGTGACGCCCCCCACGGCTTGTTGTGTGATCTAGTGCAGTGGATGTGTGACATCCATGCTGAGCCGCTCACCACCCACTGCCAGCCAGCGACATATCCCTCCCATGCGCACAGGGCCTCATGTCCCTTGAGCCGCTGTGCCGGAGGCTGCACCACCTATGCCAGACTTGGTATATCATTCTTCTACGCAATAGGTTCGGCTTTCTCCCGCACACTCCGTAAGCATAGTTCGATTAATAACGGAGTGATGCGAGGCGTCGGATCCAGTGCTTCCGGAGAATTCTTCGCAACAAGTCTCAACGGTCTTCGGCAGATGGGTTCGGTTTGAATCAAGCTCGAAGCGATGTTTCCGTTGCAATCGGTAAGTAGCGGAGGGCCCGATGGGCACAGAACAACCCAGGCACATATCTGGTGTAGCGCCAGCCTAATCATTAGGCGATTGATACGATCCTGACTCCGAACACTGCATTGGATCGTGTGTAGTCTCGTTTCACCGCGTCCTCTGCTGGCCCGACTGACTCACCATAAGAACCCATATTCCGCATCATCGACGACCCGTTCTATCCACCCAGCGCCACCGCCTCGGTCGAGCTGATGGGATGGACGAGCTCTGCTCTGGACCGTTGGTTTCGTTGTTATGTGGATCGCAGCCAGCTTGTATGGGGGCCCTGGGTTGGGTGGGGGTTTCGCACGCGGCCTCGATCACGCTCTAATCCGTGCGTGGCAACTCGCAGTGGAGCAGCCAGACAACGCTTCGGGGGAGCTTGGCGAAGGTGAAGCTTAGCCGTTAGTTAGTGGTCGAGTAATCGGTCCAATGCATGTGGATGGTGCCCGTCTCTTCACAACGACCGAGACAAAGCGGAGGCTGCTTTTTGGACGGCGCTCGACAGCATCCAACGCCGGGTACCTCGCTAGTACACATGATGCCTTAGCCCTAAGTATTAGCACCCGCAGCTAGGTACAGTAGGGTACTGACCTAAGACGCGGCACTGTAGCGCTCGATCAGGGCTACAGGGAGGTACAGCACATACAATAGGGCGGGCCAGGGGCATTCTCAGCGGGCTCGTCACCAGACCAACCCTGAGGTGGGCAATCAAGCCGCAGTGCGCGTGCGCCACCCAAGGCATTCTCGGCCGGCGGCGTCGTCCCCAACCGGCAGCACCCACTAAAAATCCACTGCACCCGCTGCACTCACCCAGGCCTGCACCCAAGTCAGGCCTGCACCAAGCGCGACCCAGTCACTCTGAACCCAGTCGCTCCTGCTGCACCTGCCCGTTCGTCTGCCTGCCTTTATCTCACCTCTCCCCTCCAGCCGCCCCGAAAACCCTCCACTCCTCCTCCACTCCTCCAACCACAAGCTCCCTCTCCCATACGCCTCAATTGGTTCCGTCATCCGAGCCTCCGTCTCGCCGCCGGCTCCTTCGTCTTCGCGATCCGTCTCTGCTGTCATTTCTTTCCTTCTTCCTGCTCCATCTCCTGCCGGCTCACCATCCAGCCCTGTGTCCCGTTGTCGCGTCTCGCTTGCTTGGTCGCACGAGCATCGACCTCTGCCCCGATTGAGTAAAGCTATGCGATAAGGTCTTTTTGACCACAACAACGCCAAAGATGACGTCCCCGTCGAAAAACATCCCCGAGCCTCCGAGAGCTTCCTCGCCCGCCCCGGACCAACCCCGATCCTATTCCGCCTCAGTCCCCCGAGCCGACCTGACGGCGCGTCTTGCCTCTCCCGTTCCAGGACATTACCTCCACACCCCCCCTCCGCGCGGAGCCTCGCCCTCCCCAAACGCAGGTGGCAAGTCTGAGAGTCTTGATGACTTCGCTCCCCTGCCTGGAAACAACACCAGTGCCCAGGGCCCTGGTGTATCAGCCCTCGCTGCTGCTCTCTCCCACTCATTCGGCCAGTCACCACCTCGCCATGGCACACCTCCCGCGCGCCTAAGTACGCCCCCGATCCGATCTCAGTCTCCTGCCCTTGGTGGGCAACGAGGTTCGGGTCCCCCGACCAACTATGGCTCCTTTGACTCGAGGACGCGGCCCGCTCTCGGTACCAGCGCGCCTTTCGAGGATCCCGAAATCATCAAGCGCCATCTGGTTCAACCGAGTGATGACAACACGGCATCAGAAGAGTCGTCTCTGCTTGGTAACAAGGGCAAGAAGCCTGCCGAGGCTACCGCTACAGGTGTAAGCGAGGAGGAGTTCTCAAGTCTCCAACTTCAGGGAGGAGATGTGCACCGGGGCATCTACAAGTGGACAGAGCAGGCTGAGGCCAAGTCCAAGATGCAACGCAGCAAGAGCTTCGACCTGGGCAGACCCGAACCCGAGGCCGAAGTGCTGGATATTAACTCAATCAAGGTTCCTGGTGGCTTCCGTAGAAATCATATCCGCCGATCCGCCCGTAGCCCCAACGGACTAGGCGGGGACCTCGAGGACGGTGCCGAATCCCCCCAAGGCGGTCAGCAGCAACTCTTCACGTCGAGCTTCCTCGAGTTCCTGTCGATATACGGACATTTTGCGGGTGAGGAGCTGGAGGAAGACGACGAAAACCTCGGGCCCAACGAATACTTCTCGTCCGGCGAGGATACCGACGAATACTCCGATGACGAGCGAGAACCGATGGAGGACAGTGCTCTGCTCACCCCGTCGAGGCGGAGGCGCAAGAGAAAGGTGCGCGGTGGTAGCGGAAAGAACACCCCCCTAAACGCCGCTCTGTTACTCCTGAAGTCGTTTGTCGGCACTGGTGTCCTTTTCCTCCCCCGCGCATACCTAAACGGCGGTATGCTGTTCAGTAACCTGGTTCTCCTGGGAGTCTCCGCCCTCAGCTACTACTGCTTCGTTCTGCTCGTGAACACTCAGATGAGAATCGGTGGTTCGTTCGGTGATTTGGGAGGTGCCCTCTATGGCCCGTACATGCGCAATATCATTCTTGCATCCATCGTTCTCAGCCAGATCGGATTCGTGGCCGCCTATATTGTTTTCACCTCAGAAAACCTGCAGGCCTTCATCCGGGCCGTTTCCAACTGCAAAACCAGCATCAGCATCCCTTGGCTGATTCTGATGCAAATGGTCATCTTCCTGCCCTTCTCCCTGCTCCGAGATATTGAGAAGCTGGGATTCACGGCGCTGGTTGCAGATGCCTTTATCCTGATTGGCCTTGCATATCTCTTTTACTACGACGTCTTAACTCTTCATCTGGAGGGTCTGTCGGATATTATCATGTTCAACAAGAAGGATTGGACCCTGTTCATCGGAACTGCCATCTTCACTTTCGAGGGTATTGGTCTCATCATTCCTGTCCAGGAGTCGATGAGGCACCCACAAAAGTTCCCCAAGGTCCTACTAATTGTCATGATCATCATCACCGTTCTCTTCATCGTCATGGGCGCCATCTCATACGCCGCATACGGGTCCCACACCGAGACTGTGGTCCTCCTCAACTTGCCGCAGGACAACAAGATGGTCAACGGTGTGCAGTTGCTTTACTCGTGTGCTATTCTTCTCTCGACGCCTCTGCAGATCTTCCCGGCCATCCGTATCGCGGAGACGGAGCTGTTCACTCGCAGTGGCAAGTACAATCCTTACATCAAATGGAAGAAGAACGTCTTCCGATTCTTTGTGGTTATGCTTTGTGCGGCCATCGCGTGGGGTGGAGCGGAACACCTCGACAAGTTTGTTGCGCTTGTGGGCAACTTTGCCTGCATCCCGCTAGTCTACATTTATCCTGTGAGTAACGCCCATGCTGAGGCGGAGAAGAATAGTTTTGCTAATGATATTTCTAGCCCATGCTGCACTACAAGGCTGTTGCGCGCAGCAAGTTCTGGAAGTACTCGGATATCTTTCTCTGTCTCTTTGGTTTCACCGCCATGGCATACACGACGAGTCTCACTGTCATGAGCTGGGCCAATGCAGAGCCGAAGATGCCCGGTTACTGTGATAAGAAGGGGATGGGCTTGTAAGAGGTTGATGTTCAAGGTGATGTTTAAGGTAGGGATGGGAAGAGAGTGGGGGTGGTTGTTGGATATGATGTGTGATGGGTGGCCGGGGAGTCAGGATGCGAAGAGATGGATTGTTTGGGATACCTTAGTCAAGATTGTCTGTCACCGGCCAATCTTGTCTTTTGCATAGCATGGTCATTTATAGAATTAGCCTCGGATTACATACCAGTCTGAGACCAGGGACCAGAGGCAGCACTGTTAGTAGTCGTCAAGGATTAGGGAATAGCCTCTTTTGCATAATCACATCGCGAGCGCTTTTGACCAATACCGTCGTGCTGGTTCGGTGACGTCGTTTTGGTGGGGGCCGGAGCTCGATGCCATGGATTATTTGCCGGTAAGTGGGGGGCAACAGATCTAACGCCCACGCCGCCACGCTCGGAGACCGACGAATAAGCCCGTTGGTGAATAACCCGTTGCTTACCCCGGGCCGCAGATCGCGGCTCTCGAATTGCAATTGAGCTCCGGCGATGCGGATTCAGATGGACGCCGCACCCTTTGCACCTCTACCTCACATCCGTCCTCCGCTATGCCTCCACGGCCAGCGCTGAGTCTGGGTCGCCAATGCGTCGTGGCGGCCCGCGACTCCAGCAACAAGAACCGCATCGGCATCGACATCCCGACTCGCATCCCGGCTCGCATCTCGACCGCGCACCGGCACTTGGCCTTCTTCTCCTCCCGACCCCGCCGCCCGCCGCCGCCGCCGCCGTTCAGCACCGTCGATACGTGTCCGGAGCCGACGTGCGGGTGTGCGGCCACGCCGGCCATGCCCGAGGGCCTGCCGCTCGATCGCGAGGGTCCCATGAAGGGCGCCATTGCTGGGTACGCGGAGCAGGTGCTCGTCTGTACGGGCCACAACCACTGGCCGTCGCGCATTGAGGAGGAGAGCAGCGGGGATAACCTGGCCGCGGACTTGAAGGAGCTGTTTGGCCGCGGCGGTACCTACAGCGATGTAAGTTGTGCTACGTGCTGCTCCTCTTCTCTTTCTGGATGCCATTGCTGGGTGCTAACATGACATCACAGCCCTTCCACAACATCTCCGTTCTCAACGCATCCTTCCCCAGCTCCCTCCCGCCCCGTCCCGAAGTCCAATCTACCTCCGCCTACCTCCTACCGAGCTTCAAATACGTGCCCTTCCTCCCGCGCGTCTCCTTCGACAGCGTCCAGGCGCTGGCCAAGGGCTTCCTTCTGCCCACGAAGCTGCACGGCGCCCACGACGGCCTCTCGCCCATCCACCGCGACCGCCTCACGCGCAAGGACGCCTACCAGGGCCTGCTGCTCGCCGTGCAGGACGTGCGCGACGTCCTGGTGCTGATCTGTGGCCACGCCGGCCGGGATGCGCGCTGCGGCATCATGGCGCCGGTGCTGAAGGACGAGTTTGAGGAGAAGCTACGCAGAGAGGGGTTTGATGTGCTACATGGACCTGTGCAGATTGGACTTGATGATGCGCCGCGGATAGATGGCGAGAGTGGCGAGGAGAGGACGGCGGCGAGGGTCGGGATGATCAGCCACATCGGCGGGCACAAGTTTGCGGGCAACGTCATCATCTACTTGCCTCCCGGCTTGCAACTAGGAGACAAGGAGCATCCGCTGGCGGGACATGGCATCTGGTACGGCCGGGTTGAGCCGAAGCACGTCGAGGGCATCGTCAAGGAGACGGTCATGAAGGGAAATGTCGTGGCCGACATGTTTCGGGGCGGCATCGATGCTCAGCGGAAGATGCTGCGGATGTGAAGCCGGCCAGGACGGCATATACCCAAGCGCAGGAACGGATACACATAGGGAGGAGCACATGTACGAGATATACGAGATAGATTTGGCAGAGTGCCGTGTAAACTAGACCTAGAGGCATAAACTCCACTTGATTTGATCGCTTTATGAACGTATCAATGACCGTCTCTCTATCGATGTCTTCTTCTCAACAACATAGCGGATGTAAGAGCCGGCTTGCTCACGTGACACCACGAACTCCATTTCTGCGATCGAGTGGTGATGTTTCTTCAACTCATGACCTCAATCAAAAGGAAAGAAGAGACAATCTGGAGCAAAAATCCCGGTGGTTGGTCAATTCATTTATTGGAGTACTCATATTCGCCTTTTTATGCATTTCTATCATCTCGGGCTTGAAATGGAGGCGTCATCGTAATTGGACAACTTTACCAGGATTGGGACACCTCATCTTAGCAGCGGGCTCACAGACGCCATCATGGGATCCAGAATGAGGTCCTTCACAGCTGGCTTAGGTCTACAGGCCTATCAAAGGAGTGGTAGTCTATTCCGTCAGACGAAACCTCAGCAATGGGCAAGCGCCTCCCAAATCTCATACCGGAGAGTCGCAACATGTCGAAAACTGTCAACCCCATCACCAACTCGGCAACACTCCTCTCAACGGCCAAACCTCGACGCTCCAAAGCAAGCTCGGGCATTCCCGCCCATCATCCTCCTCGGCCTTCTTCTTGTCGGCGGAACGGGCTACTACTTCTCCGCCGCTCCCTCACGCCCAGACACGCTCAACGACCGCTTCTTCGTGCCTTACACCGTCACCGCGCGCGAGGCTATCTCGCCAACCTCGTTCGTCATCACCATTGTCCCGCACACGCCTAATCCAGCTCATCCTTACCTCGTCCCCTCTGATTCATCCGCGCCAACCCCTGGCCGTTGGCGCCATCCCCTCTGGTCCGTCGAGTTCAAGCAGCCAGAAGTCCAGATCTCGCGGCATTACACGCCGCTCCCGCCCTTGAGTGGCGAGGACCCCGCTGACGGCGCCCTGCGCTTCTATATCCGTACCGTCGGTGATGGCGAGATGTCACACTACCTCGCACGCCGCCAGGTTGGCCAGGACGTACACCTGAGAGGCCCGCACATCGGGTTTGAACTGACCGAGCGGCTGGGCGACAAGTCGCGTGTGGTTTTTCTCGCGGGCGGCACCGGTGTCGTTCCAGGGATGCAGGCCGCCAAGGCAGTACTTGAAGCGAACCCAGACACCAGAGTCGACTTGCTCTGGGCTGTGCGGAATAGGGTGGAAGTGCAGCGCGCTGCGCCGCCCCCAACATCCTCCTGGAGGTTCTGGCAGGAGAAGAAGCAACCATCAGAGCTGGGAATTGAGATACAAGACCCCAGTCCCGTTGCCCGACACCTCGGCGATATCAAAGCCAAGTACGGCGACCGGCTAAAGATTCAAGTCGTCATCGATGAGGAGGGCACCAAGTTCCAGGACAAGAACATCAAAAGCATACTCACTACTGCCCCGTCCGTGGCGTCATCCGCCGTTGTTCCCTCCAAATCCGGGTGCAGGTTCCACGATCAGATGATGCATATTGGAGCGACCGAATTCGCTGCTCCCGAAGCCTCTGGCTGCATTTGTCCGTCCTCTGAAGGCAGCGTGCCTGGCAAGAACCTTATAATTATTTCGGGTCCGGACGGCTTCATCGAGCACTACGCCGGCCAAAAGCTGTGGCTGACTGGACACCAGACGCAGGGCCCTGTGGATGGAGTGATCGGTCGGCTACAACGCCAGGAACCTCAACTGGCTCAGGACTGGCTGGTGCTCAAGATGTAGACAATCCCAAGCCAAGTTTACTCTCACATAGACATTTTGTATCAACACGTGTGGCATAGAAGTGATAGATTTCATCAAGGAACAAAGAAAACGAAGTGTAATTCTACTGGTAACACTGGGATCCTATACACCGAACAATGCACATACGTGTTCCAACGCCCAAAACAAAGCAAATCCCATCATCGCAAAAGCGTTTTCATGTGCTCTGAACCTTCCTGTACGAAGGAGGCTTCATCGTTCTCCTAATCAGCTTCCCGGCATATGGCGGGACCAGCGAGATGGCCCCTATGGCTAGTACACGCCAGACGAAGCCCCTGAATATCATTATTAGCTACTGCATAGGATAGTAGGGTTTAGAGCCAGAGAAAACTTACCAAGTGATCAGGAATGCAAGGTCAAAGTAGCCACCGAGGAAGGGTATAGAGCCGATAAAGAGAAGAAAGGTTCCCACAATGCTGAAAATCATAATGGGATGCCATGTGGTAATCTCAATCGCCACCATGAGTAATTCGTTGAGGACCAGAACCGTGTAGCTGACGGCGACCATCTTGGGGCTGTCAACATCGGTGAGAATCTGTGACAGGCCTTGAATCATGCCGCCTTGGTAGATAGAGACAAAGACCCAGACAAAGAAGGTCCGATATGAGAGAGACCGACCCGTCGTGAGCTCCTTGTAGAGTTCCGGGTAAAGGTTAGCCAGGTTCTCGTCGACATCTTTGTCGAGGACGAGAGACAGAACAGGGGCAGCGGTGTAAACAGTAGCATATCCGACAAGGAGCCAGTCCTGCAGATGTGTCAGTAAGGGTCATACACAGCATCAGAGATATGAACGAACCTTGTATAAACCATCCGGCTCAAATTTGATGGCGATGCTGTACATAGTCTGGCAGACGGCGATGATGAGACCACGGTGGATAACAAACTGCGCGAGCTTAGCGCTGCGCTTGTAGCTGTTCCGGCCGTGCCAGACAAGCAGCTTGACGAGATGGCAGAAATGCTCGATAGAGAAGTCGGCAGCCAAACTGGCCTGGCGACCCTCCTTGCCAACAATTCCGACTCCCACGTCGGCAGCCTGGATCATGGACACGTCGTTGCCTCCGTCTCCAATGCAGCACACACGTTTCTTAGTGTACTCGCGGATGAGCAGAGCGACCTCGGCCTTCTGGTTCGGGGAACAACGACAGGCGACCACAGTAGGCAGTTGGACGGCGACAGAGATGAACTCGAGGCGGAAGTGCGTCAGGAATAGCGCAAGACTTTCGCCATCGATGAGGAGACAGGCGTCCGTCTTGCTGCGGAGGAAGTCGAGGTGGTCCTGAGCATTGTCTTTCTTCTTAAGCTTCTCAACAGTGTAGATGTACTGTCCGCGGGCGACAAGTTTAGAGCTGACGGCTACACACCGCGCCGTCTCCACTTTGTCGCCAGTTAACATCCAGATCTTGATGCCGGCGTTGCGGAGGAGTTCCAGAGAGGGTTTGACATCCTTCTGCAACTTATCCTCCACGCCGGTGACACCAAGAAGTTCCAGGTCATTCTCGAGGTAGTGTGATACGACACGCTGCATCCCGGCGTCACGTCCAGTGATTGCCATTGAGGCTTCCTGGTACCGAGCAGAAAACTCCTGGTACTGCTGATAGGAAAGCTTCTTGCGGCCGACCACCAGTGTTCGCAAACCCTCGCGGGCCATGTTTGCCGTTTCCTCGTCAAGCCAGTCGTTGGCCGCAACGATAGCGCCCATTACAGTGTCGGCACCCTTCTGGAAGAACCAAATATCCCCGCTGGACAGGTCCGGGTTCTTAACCTTGACATCTTCGTGAAAGTGAACAATGATGCCCATACGCTTGCCCTCAGAAGTAAAGGGGAACACGTCGAGGATCCTGACACGGACAATAGGTCTTCCACTCTCGGCGAATTCCAGAACCATACTCCTCCGGTCACGATGGACCAGCCTCAGACCAACAGACTCTGTCCATTTGACGATGGCAATTTCATCGGGAGAGGAGGCCTGGTACGAAGTGACCTCCTTGCCATCCTCCGTGTCAACGGTCGGTGTCACGTTGTGGCAGAGGGCAAGGGCAAGCACGACATCGCGGACTCGAGTTCCGATTTCTCTCCTCGTACGCGTTGCACCCACGTTTGCAGCATTTGAGTAAGTTGACGACGGAGTGATGAGCATATTCTGGGATGCTGGGTCTGTCGTGGCCTGGACATGAAATCCTTGTCGGACATACGAGGTCACCTCGTCCATAGCCTCGTTGGCATAGGACACTGTGCCCACATGGATTTTCTTCATTTCCATTTCGTTTTGCGTCAAGGTACCAGTTTTGTCGCTGAGAAGATATTCGATGCGTCCAAGATCCTCGGGGATTGTACTAGTTCGAACGACGGCGCCAGGCATCCCAGGATCCCGTTGAATGAACCACGAGTATGCGCTCTTCCCCATGTCGAGGTTTACACGCAGACTAATGGGAACGATGGTCGAGAAGAGGACCAAGAACCGCATGATTTTGACGTACCAGATATTTCCTTCCGTGTTGGAAAACCCTTCCAGGGCAACCAGAATGACCGAAATCGCCAGGGTCAGAGCGCAAAGAATCTTTGTCAACGAGTTGATTTCATACTCTAGGAGACCAGTTTTTGAGCGAGAAGGGGCTGTGGATAGGGCGGACCGCGTCTGAGGACCAGTGTACATAATAACAGCCAATGTGGTGGCTTGAGAGGCGATAACTGTGTTGGCCCAGGCAGTGTTGTCGATGGAGAGGGCGGCAGACTTGGAGGCATCGGGGTTCTGCTGCGGGGACGAGTGGTGTGCCAGAGCGTCTTTCCGAGAATCCACGAGCTCGATGGTACCCAAGAACTCATTAACCTTCCTGTCGGGCTTCCCACCCGTCACACGGAGGCGGACAAATTCCTCGGTCGGGAGTTTCTGCGTAAGGGGCGATGCCAGTCTGAGCTTCCAATCAGTCTCACCGTCGAGCTGATCGGTCCTGATGAACGTCTCCCCAGCGGCGTCGCTGGAATCTTCGTGTTCTGGTGCTTCTTCTGCAAGCTGTTTTCCTTTGGGGGCAGAATCCGTTTCGCCATCTCCAAACGCCAAAAGAGCGTCTTCTTCAACGGGCTCCATCTCCATCTCCGTAGCTGCCGCAGGATTGGGGGTTTCTGAAGAGTAGCACTTCAGAATGACAACGTCAGCTGGAACACGCTGGCCTTTGCTGAGTTTAAGCACGTCGCCAACTTTCAAGTCCTTGGACTTGCGGCTGACTTCCTGGACGGCGGAAGACGGCTGCACACCTTCGATATCGTTTTCTTCCACGATATCCGAGAGGCTATCTCGCACGCCCTTTGATTTCTTGGATCCTCTTCGCGCCGTCTCTGATCTGAGAGACTTCCGTTGCCGCATATTGTTATAGTTCAGATCAGGGTCACGGAACACGATGATCTTGTACTCCTCGGAGTTCGCCTCCATGTCTCTGCGCCTTCGGGCAATGTCATCAAACGCTTCTTTTCCCATGGTAATGCACAGCACGAACGCCAGAGGAGCAATATAGGTCAATAGATAGCCGATTCGGAGGGCAGGGATGGCCTGCGAGAGAGCCACAAGGAGGAAATACATGTTGAAGAAGAAGGAGAATTCGTTGTAGAGCGTGATTGGGAGGAAGGTCAAGGCCGTATACTTGGCGTTGGAGATGATATTGGTGGGGAATCGAACGGGCTGGCTCGAGCCTACAGCCACATGTCGGGACGCAGACGGGTCGTCCTCCTCCTGGTCGTCGGCATCGTTCCGATCTGGCTTTTTTGACCCGGAGATGAAGCTGGGAAGCCCAAAGCGAGACGGCCTACGTTCAGAGCCAAAGGACCGCCGGGGCTGCGAGTCTTGATCACCTAGCAGCGGTCGATTGTCCTCGCTGTAGCCACTCCCTTCGGACCAGCGCTGGCCGGAGCCGTCGGCTTCTTCCCCTAACAGCGACTGCGAGTGCTCGTCGTTCCCATCACGGTTCTGGCCCAGGTCTCCATAGCCCCGGCCTCGCTTGTTCGCGCGTCGCAGCCCACCCATGCGCAGGTTTCGCAGCGCTATCCGCGGCGTCTGCTGCTCGGCTGCGGAGCGGTCCTGTCGGGAGCCGCGGGCTGGCTCGGCAGCGATGGGGTCGAGCTCCTGGATGTCGAGATCGAGGTCGGAGTCGGAGTCATGCGTGGGCGAATCGGGCGGCTCGGCAGATCGGTAGGACGGTGAGGGAGGCATCCCGCGTCGAGCTCCAGGCGATGGAGAGGCGTGGGAAACGGATGCGGAGCGAGATCACGAGTCGAGGGCGGCGAGCGAGCAATGCTTCTCAGACATGCTGCGCCGGACGACAACAAGGGCGATGTTTCCTGCTTGCGGTATGTCGTTGTCGTGGGTTCGATAGGGAATGGTGATATCCGTTTCAAGGGCGATCGCGGGAGGTGGCGGCGGTAGTTCTCCCTGGTTTTGGCCTTGTCGCATAAGGTAGGCAAAGTCGCAAGGCAAAACTCGGCGCGTCTGGTGTCCGGCCTGCGAACTAGATCGAGAACAGCGAGGGAGGCGAAAATATAATCGGATTTGGGAGGTGCGTGATCGCCGTGTTCAAGGCCGTCGAGCTGGTATGGATTTGGGAACTAGCTTGGAGGCTCAAAATGACAGGACAGATCATAGTGTATCATGTCGCAGCCTATTCATATCCCCCGAGCTTAGCTGCCAGGGGATGATCGGTGACGTGGAGCAGTGGCGTACGGATGCAGCGGTATCTTAGGCTGACGAATACTTGGCTGTACAAGGTAGCCTGGGGCTTGTGAGGGTGTGGAGCAGGCGTTAACCTCCGAGATTGGTACCTGCAGGTACCCTCCAGCAACTTCTGATGTGGGGGCTTCCAGGGTCGCCCACTGAACTGCGTGGGATACGCGTGTTACCCTCGACAATATCGTTAGATCTTGCATCTTGCATCTCGAATTCGACTAAAACCAGGTTTGACAAGTGTTTGTGAGTGTAATTTTAGAAAATATTCAGATATTATACCGAAATGCACGCACAACTAACCCCATCTCTGTTTCTTCTAAACCGGGTGCTCTTCTCACATGCTCCGTACACTCTACATAATTCACCAGCTCGCCGCCCTGACGACACAATGTTTCAACTCCTTATTTAAAATGACAAGATGCAAGGATTGAAGTCGAGAATTCTATAGTGCATCGACGCATTTCTATGTACTCCGGATATCTACCCAGGTCAAACCTTTTTCTACACCATCCCATACTATACATGATACATCCCGTGAACAATTGCTTACCTATCTTTCCCCGCCCTACTGAGGAAAAGTGAAAGTCGGCTCTTCGATCAACTCCATCATCTGCTGATTACTGTTGAACCAATCTTCGAGCTGCGCCGTGTTGCTCATCCACATCATCGGGTTCGCTCCCCGTTGACCCTGCATTCCATCTATTGTACCCTCTGCTAGCTGTTGCCCGAAAGCTTGTTCGCCCTGGTTATGGCCCAACCCTACCACATGCTGCTGCTGTCGATTGTCTGGGCCCACGGGAGGGAAGCCTAGGGCGGCAAGGTATGTGTTTAGTTCGGCATTCGCCTGGGTCTCGTTCGCCGGCGGTGTCGAGGTACGAAACTCGACGTATCGGAGAGCTACAGTGTAAAGCACTTGGAATAGCCGGTGCATTTTGGCCGCAGCATCCGAGACTGTTGGGGCAGATTCCATGGAATTGATGAAATTGTGGAGACTAGCGAGGTCCTTCTCATCCTGAGTCTCGATGACCTGACAGAAGAGGACGATGAATGGGATAAAGGGGGCGAACATCAAGGTCCTGCATTCGTCAGAAGAGATCCAGTAGTGCGGCATTGGGGACCCCTTCCAGGGTGCCGAGGCCGGATCATTCTTGAGGAGTCACTCACCAGTGGACATATGAAGGAAAATACAGTGCATCGGCATCCGTGTTATCAACACAAGCCATACACTCTTGGTGCCGTTGGAGCGTTGCTCGTGCGGCGTCAGTGCACTCTGGAACAAAGATAGTACGAGAACCTTCAGGAACCGGGCTCGCTCGATACGTAAGAGTGAGGAGTGACAGACGGAGTACGTCATCCGAAAGGGATATGAATTGTACCATTGCGCCCCCAATGCTCTGGTGAGTCTTTTGCAACCACTCGTCCTAGATGTGCTGATTAGCTCAGGCTCAGTGCGTCCGTGTCCAATTAGGATGACCAGCTACACGACACAAAAACTTACGCTAACATGAGCGGTCTGTATCCTGATATCCTCCAGCTCCTTTGCGATAGCTTGGACCCGAGCTGTTCGCACATGAGCGGGCTGAGTTACAGAGTCCGGACTGTATAGCTTCTCATATATATTCCCCTGGCACCGGGCAGTCTTGATCCAATTGGAAAAGAATCCAGACAAGGGAGTAATATAGGTGTCATCCATCGAGGGTATGGGGACAGACACATCCCAGTCTTGAATAGTCGATGCTCGACCTAGGCGCAGTGATAGACTCTTATCCATGAAATACATGGACCAAAAGAGATATTGCTTCCGGTCACTATCCTCGGATCGGTCATTCTTCATTGATGAAGCTCGATGATATCCGAGTGTCTGACATAGTTCAGATGCCTTTGACGTCAAGGTCCAGGAAAGCGAGGGTTTCGAAATTTCGATAGAGTGATAGGCCTGGATGTATAGTTAGTTCGCCGAAGATCATAACAGGAGCAGAGGGGTAGGCTGACTCCCAAAAGAAGAGCTCTGATCATGCCCGAATTGGCGGGTAGATGCAGGGGCAGATTGCTCAGGGCCGTCTCGAGATTGACACGGCACATTGTAGCATACGATAGATTCTCTTCTCTCTCCTTTCCCTCGGGTTTGCTATACCCAAATTCTTGAAAGAGATACATCATGCCGGTGTTGGAGATGATGAAGTCGGATTCGGAATAGTCTTCAGAGAAGTAAACACCGAGGCAGATGTCCGAGAAACTATCCAAAGGGCAGACCTCAAAGATCCATGCCGCTATCTCTGATGGATTGTCTAGGAGTCCCAAGGGCCCGTAAGCACAAAGCGGTCAGGGGAAAGAAACCGCGTCGATCTCAAAGACAACGACGGATGGTTGAACTCACTTTTGGATCGGCGAATGATGGCTACGGTCTTCTGAATGGGTGGTAACTGAATCCCTGGAAGTGTGGGGCGAGGAACCTGGTTGGCGGATGTGTACGACAGTTCGCTGGCAGGAGGCTGCTGCTTCAGAGCAGTGACAATGTGGTGGAGTGAGTCTAGGGTCTCGCGCATTTCCAAGCTTGCGCCCTGGAGTGCGCCTGTTCCAACGGCATTTTGGAGAAACTCATTAGCAAAGACAGAATGGGCAGCTAGCGAGGACTCGCCCTCAATGACAGGGCTATCGGAAGCAGGTTGAACTGCGTGACCAAAGGGTGTTGAGGTCGATGAAGCCGATGGTCGAGATGTCCTATCAGCTGGAGTGCTTTTGTCCCGAGCCGCAGGCTGACCACTAGAAGCCGGCATACTAGTCTTCATCTCCTGAAGCAGACGAGTGACCCCTTCGAGCCGGCGGTCAATGAGATCGATCTTTCTCTCACTACATGACGAGGTAACCAGGGGTTAGCTTAGCTCCTGGACCTGCTAACATCACATGGGGGTAGCACGGTTTGCCTTGATGATAGCCAAAGCGGTTACAATCAAGGAGAATAGCGCAGGAGGGATGCTCACTATTGGGCAGACAGAAGGATGCGGGTGCGTTTCTCCTTGGGGCGTGTATCTGCGTGGGTGCAGGGTATTTTGGCATGTACACAATGGGAACACGGGGAGTTCCTATCGCAACGGATCTACACCACATTGTTTACGATTAGCTTGGCGCCTTTGTTGTGAGTGAACAGTTAATCAGGTGGCTAATATGGCATGGAAGACTCAAGAGGCCGTGTGACAGTTCGTCGGTGGGGTTGGGATGAGGTGAGGTGATGGCATCCACCCATGTGTAGTTATACCTATGCATCGCCAAGGTATCTGTATAGGGATGTCTAATGCGGGCGGCAAATAGGCAAGGATTTTGACATAGAGCACCAACTGACACGTACGTACCTTGCGGGTTCGACAAGCGTCACACTGCAGAAAAGCAAGTTAGGTGGGTGTACGATTGGAGAATGCGGTTGGGGCGTGGACTGACAGCTCGTCGAATAGAAGAGGAGGAAGCATTGTTCTGGGCAGAATCGGAGACATCATCCTGGCCATCGCCCAGGGCATCGACATCAGGAAGTTGTGAGTTGTCGTCGTCCATGATTATCGACGGGGGGCTTCACGCCTCACGATTCCCCTGTTCCGTCAAGCTCCCAAGGGCCTCCCTTACCTGAAGCCGGGTGTGAGACAGCAGCTTGCACAGCGCTACCTCGCCAATAGCGATAGACGAACCGGGCAATGCAGCGGCAATCGGAACGGGTCGGTTGGCGTAGGGACGCGACTGCGATTGAGGATGGATGGGAGAAATCACGGAAAGCGTGCAGGTCGGGCCCCGAGAAAAGTCGCAAAAAGTCACCGTTCTATTAGATGGCGCACCGTGTCATGACGTTTGAGGGCAAAATGCAGCAGACATCTTGTTAGAGGACGGGACGCGCGGGATCCGGCATTGGCGAGCTCTATTTACGAGAGAGCCAACGACAGGCAGAGCATGCGCCGGGGCGGATTCCTCAATGACCGTGCAGCCGACACAGCAAATCAGAGCTGGCCTAGATCATCTGCTTTTCCCTAGTCGGACGCAAGCAGGGATTCATGGGCGAATCTAGGCTGGTCAGGGTCTTCCGCCCCCATTCCCGCCTTCCGGTCAAGCCCCACAACGTCTAATCGGAGGGGCTTCAGATTTGATGATGGATCAGATGCTTGACCCTCGGGGCGTATTCGTAATTACATACGCCGACAGCACCAAGTGAATGCTCTCTTCTGTGCGAATACACTTGCAGCGGCTTCTTGGCGCTCCAGTCCTTGGTCTCCGCGTTTAGGCTGCCTTCTTGGCCACCTCACGGCCTCGGTAAAGCGGGCCAACTCCATCGCCGGGTACTTGGCCTTTTCACATCATACTCTGAGGCCATACGGGCAAACGCAGGAGAGATGAATTAAGGCCAAGCCACAGGTCCATCGCCCCATAAGTTATCATGATCCTTGTTGGTCTCCGTTTCGGATGACTCCCTCACCGTTACGCGTACGGGACGATCGCTCCCTCTCTCCATCTGCACCTTGATTTTCTCCGGAAATCGTTCTTCTCGGGGCTCCGTCCGGACCCCAAGAGCTCCGTCCTCCGCCCTCCGTCGTCTGTCTAGCTTTGAAATCATATTCCACCCCGTCGCATCAGTTATTCCACAGCCTCAGTGGGTTACTCGCGTCCTCACATGTCGGACGCTCGTTTGAACTGCCCTCAAATGTGTTGAGTTTTCTGTAACTAATAAGAGCGCTTGCCCTTCCCTTGGTTGGACCAATCCCGCTCATGATATGATTCTTGCCTTGTGGCTCTGATCCTCCGAATTTTCTCTCGACGTCTACAATCGACCTGGTTTGATCACAACAGCAGCAGCTTCGCTCACCGTGGCATCTTCGCCAATCGATCAATACTGCAGTTGGCAGCTTGTTCAACATCCAAAACATCATGGGCGTCGACACGAGTATCGAGGAGAAGGCCGGTGATGTGGCGTTATCGTCCAATGCCACTCCGACTCCCGATGAGCCCCAGTTAGAGACTGGCTGGAGTGCTTACAAGGTAATCAATAATCCCCCGAAAAGAAAAAGCAATCGGCCAGTATTGACGATTGGGCTTCGCAGCGAATCCTCACGCACGCAGGTCCCCTCGAGTATACGTTGCAGGGCATCGCCCTCTTTGCGGCCATCGCGTCCGGCGCCGGAATCGCTCTCCAAAACCTCATCTTTGGCAAGTTCATCACCGTCATCGCCAACTTTACTTCCAGCGTGTCGTCTCCCGCCAAATTCCGTAGTGATGTATCCGAGCTGGCGTGAGTGCCCCTTTGTCGTCCCCCAGCCAATACAGCACGCATCAAGGCAATGCAAGCCAAAAAAAAAAAACCGATACAGTTACTAACACTTAATAAAGGCTCTACTTTGTGTACTTGGGAATTGGCAGGTTCTTTCTCTCCTACATCTACAATACCCTCTTGACCTACTCCGCGTACCGCGTTGTGCGCAATATCCGCCATGAATATCTTCGCGCCGCTCTCCGCCAGGAGGTGGCATATTTCGACTTCGGGACCGGAGGTTCTATTGCCACTCAGGCCACATCAAACGGCCGTTTGATCCAAGCTGGCATTGCTGAAAAGCTCGGACTCACGTTCCAGGGTATCGCTGCCTTTGTGACAGCTTTTATCATTGCCTTTGTTGTCCAGTGGAAGCTCACCCTCATCTGCCTATGCATTGCTCCGGCTACCATGGTTGTGATAGGCGTCGTGGCTGGAATCGAAGCCGGCCACGAGACCAAGATTCTCGAGATCCATGCCCAGGCCAACTCGTTTGCTGAAGGCATCATAGCCAGTGTGCGCACAATCCACGCCTTTGAGATGCGCGCTAGGCTTGTCGACAGGTTTGACAAGTACCTTATTGAGGCCCATGCAGTCGGGGAAAAGATATCTCCCCTTTTCGGCATCATGTTCTCCGCCGAGTATACCATCATCTACCTTGGCTTCGGACTTGCTTTCTGGCAGGGCATTAAGATGCTCTCCACAGGAGAGATCGAAGAACCTGGTACCATCTTCACGTAAGCCTTCCCACTCCCCTTGCCCGTAGTCTAATTTCTAATCTATTGCATGTAGAGTTTTGATGTCAGTTGTCATTGCCGCCATTAGCTTAACCACCTTGGCTCCGTACTCGGTTGACTTCAGCCGCGCCATCACCGCTGCAGGCAAGCTCTTCCAACTCATAGACCGGAAATCCGCTATCGACCCTCTGGACAAATCCGGAGAAATTCCAGCTGAGACTGTTGGCGAGGTTGAGCTAGAGAATGTCAGCTTCGCCTATCCCACTCGACCTGGAATCACAGTTCTCGACGACTTCTCTCTGCGTGTCCCTGCGGGCAAAGTCACGGCCCTTGTGGTAAGTTCACTGCACCTCGCTTCTATGACATGCTAATTAACTTGCTTTCAGGGTCAAAGTGGTTCGGGTAAGAGTACTATTGTTGGTTTGATTGAAAGGTGGTATAACCCCAAGTCCGGATCCATCAAGTTGGATGGCCGTCCCATTGACAAGTTGAACCTCAACTGGCTCCGGAAAAACGTCCGCCTTGTTCAACAGGTAAGACTGGGTTTGTTTTGCCTGAGATGCTAGACACTAACAAATTCATAGGAACCGGTGCTCTTTGAAGGAAGCGTGTTCGACAACATTCGACATGGTTTGGTCGGGACAGAATTGGAAAAGGCACCACTAGAACAACAAATGGAGCGAATCAAGGATGCAGCCAAAATGGCATTCGCGCACGACTTCATCACCGAGCTCCCCGAAGGTTATGACACTCAAATTGGCCAGCGTGGTGGATTGCTCTCGGGCGGTCAGAAGCAGCGTGTCGCCATCGCTCGCAGCGTTGTTTCTCATCCCAAGGTACTTCTTCTCGATGAGGCAACCAGCGCTCTTGATCCACACGCAGAGAGTGTCGTCCAGCAAGCTCTCGACAAGGCATCCGAGGGCCGAACTACCATTGTCATCGCGCACAAGCTCGCCACGATCCGGAAAGCAGACAACATTGTCGTCATGTCCAAGGGGCGAATCATCGAACAAGGCACTCACGAGTCTCTCCTCGAAGATGATGGCGCCTACGCTCGACTTGTGAAAATCCAGAATTTGACCGTCTCTTCCGAGTCTTCTATTTCCGAAACCGAGGTAGACGATGCTGCCACTGAGACGGACCTGGACGTCACCAAGACCATCACTCGCTACGAAACTGAGGTCCAGCACCGTATGGAGGTCCAGAAAGAACGCGACAACTACGATAATCATAAGCAGGTTGGTTTCCTCTCAGTCGTGTTCCGACTCCTCCGCGAGTCTCCTGAACTGGGCTGGTCGTACTTCTTTGTGCTCGTGGGATGCCTCGGAGCAACTGGCTTGTTCCCCGGTCAAGCCATTTTGCTCGCCAAAGTTATGGACGTCTTCAATCTGGCTGGCAAGGAGATGAGAGACAAGGGAAACTTCTTTGCCAGCATGTTCATCGTCATGGCTGCTGGAGCCCTGGTCTCCTACTTCTTCTTAGGCTATGCCTCCAATACTGTCGCCCAGCACCTCAACCACAAGTACCGAAAGCAATGTCTTCGAGATATGGTCCGGCAGGATCTCCAATTTTTTGACCGGACTGAAAACAACACGGGCGCCTTGGCCAGCCGTATTGATTCTAACCCCCAGTCGATCTTGGAACTGATGGGGTTCAACATCGCACTGATTCTTATTGCTGTACTAAACGTGACGGCTTGCAGTATCATGGCGATCGCCCATAGTTGGAACCTTGGCCTGGTTGTTGTATGCGCTGGTCTCCCCCCGCTGGTCGGCTCTGGATACCTCAAGATTCGCTTTGATGCCAAGCTTGATCGAAACACCTCAAAGCGGTACTCGGCTAGCGCTTCTATTGCATCCGAGGCTGTGAACGCCATCCGGACCGTCTCATCTTTGGCTATTGAAGAGTCTGTTTTGGAGAAATATGTCGCAGAGCTGGAGCACGCTGTTTCCGGATCGACCAAGGACCTCTTAACTATCATGGTATGGTTTGGCCTGACTCAATCCATCGAGTACTGGTTCATGGCCCTGGGTTTCTGGTATGGTTGTCGGCTCCTCTCCTTTGGCGACATCACCATGTACAACTTTTTTGTCGCCTTCCTGGGCGTCTTTTTCTCAGGACAAGCCTCTGCTCAGCTCTTCCAGTTCTCCACGAGCATGACGAAGGGCCTCAATGCCGCCAACTACATGTTCTGGCTCCAAGCACTCGAACCGACCGTTCAGGAGACGCCCGAGAATCGAGGCAATGGACCCAAGTCGGGAGGCCCGATCACCCTTGACAATATTCGATTCTCGTATCCGCTTCGGCCTCACGCTGCAGTCCTCAGGGGCATTGAGTTGAACGTAAGTGCCGCCAAACTTCAATATTTAACAGCGTCCTTCCCGAATAGTGCTAACATTCATCGTCTCGCAGGTCAAGCCTGGTCAATTTGTTGCCTTGGTTGGAGCCTCTGGCTGTGGCAAATCGACTATGATCGCCATGCTCGAACGCTTCTACGATCCCAGCAGCGGCACCATCAGCATCGCCTCAACTGCCGTTCCCAAGCTCAGTCCCCGCCTCTACCGTGCTATTATTGGTCTCGTCCAGCAAGAGCCGACGCTTTTCCAAGGCAGCATCCGAGATAATATCGCCCTCGGCATCGACGATCCTTCCATCGCCGGAGAGACAGAAGTCTCTGATGCTCAGATTGAGAAGGCTCTCCGTGCCGCCAACGCTTGGGACTTTGTCTCATCACTGCCTGAAGGCCTTGCCACACCGGCCGGTTCTAATGGAGCACAACTGTCAGGCGGTCAAAGGCAACGTATCGCCATTGCGCGAGCGCTCATCCGCAACCCAAAGGTTTTACTTCTCGACGAAGCTACTAGTGCTCTCGATACCGAGAGCGAGAAGATAGTCCAGGGCGCCCTGGCTGAAGCCGCCAAGGAAGGCGACCGCATTACCATTGCAGTCGCCCACCGCCTCAGCACTATCAAGGATGCGGATGTCATTTGCGTATTCCATGGAGGCAAGATCACTGAGATGGGGACGCACCAGGAACTGATTGCCCAAGGCGGCATGTATCGCAAGATGTGTGAGGCCCAAGCCCTTGACGCATAGTGATGGTGGGGTGTTTTGTCCTTCGGGAAATCGAAGCTACACGACCGGCGCTTAAAATCTTTCTGTTGAGAAATTCTCATGTCATTTGTTCCTCGGCTAGGTATAGAGGAAGAGGTGTATAATTTTATAATTGTTTATAGACCCCACTTAATCTCATAACGACGATATAATTACTTCAAAAGATGGATCTTCACTTTCTTAAATTTCGACTCTCAGATCACTTGTTAGTGGTGACGTGCTAACCAGCGATTCTTTAACAGTGGTGCAAGGTATACCAAAGGCTGGCATATTTAATAAAGCTAATATTAGAATACATATTAGTGTTCTATTGCTATATTTTTATGTTCGGGTTTGGATTTTGCATGTAATTCATCATCCATGTCGCAGCTAGTACATGGAACGGATCAACTTGTAAAAATGGGATGTGCATGTTTTGGTTCTAATGATTTAGACTAAGAAAGGGCAATATAAATTTCAGCTGAGGTGGAATAATAGCAGCGTAGATGAAGGAACCGAAATTAGAAAAAAAAAATGACAAAACGTTGGATACACAATCCCTTGATCTGATTACTTCGAGATCTCATCGTGGATGGTATAGGGTGTGTACATGTGTAAGTTGGACAAATCCCTGTCACATGTAGAGGAGCTAGGCATTGGCCGGCTAATACTCGGGGTTTCGGAGAGTGGGTACGCCTGTGTCGAGTGGCGGATGTAGCGGGCCCGGCCGGTCGAGGAAGCAGGGAAGCGGAAGGAACGAAAACGGCACTTGGCTCGCTCGGGACGGCTAATTTTTGGTACATGCCAACTTGCACTTGCGATCTGTACAGTACCTTAACTTCCGGACTCCCTTTTCTCCTTCATTCCGCAAACGCCCTCGACACTCGACCCGGCTATGGCGAAGGCCGACTTTTCCTGAGACGACAACATTCGATTCTTTGTATAATAGGTGCGCCAGCTCCCCCGCCAGCATCTCGGCGCGCCCCTTGCCCCTGAGGCTGCCGATCCAGTGGCTCGTATCTGCAACCCCTTGACCCGCGTCCAGCTGCTGACGCCATCGCGAAGTATTCTGCTTCATTCACAGTCTTGTCTTCAACTACGCCTCCTCGCCTTGTTTGACTCGGCCTCGACATGGCTGCCGAGCAATCAAGCTCATCATGGCATCCGGCTGTGATGCCCAATAACCCGGATGGGGCTGCTGCTCCCACTGAGGCACCCGCCGACGCGACCAAGCCGACACCATCATCCCTCCCTATCCAGCCCGCGAAGCCTACAACGATAGAGTCTTCATCACCCGACGATTCGGAGACTTCCAGTGACGAAGAATCTTCCGATGCTTCGCTTTCACAGGATGGTGATGAAGGCGATGCCAGGGTAGCTTCCGAAGAGCCAGCAGCTGGGCAGCACCCAATCGAGGAGCTCCCCACCGAGCCCGCCGCAGAGAACCCCGAGGCTGAGACAACTTCTAAACCCAAGGCCTCGACCTCACAGCACGCTAGCTCCATGTCTTTCGCTCGGACCGTATCCCACGATATCACCTTTGGCGACGATGATGAGGGTGACTGGAATCTATCCCGCACGGACACTGATCCCTTCAAATTCATGCCTCCTTCAGATCGAACAAACTCTTTCCCGGTTGTGCCACCCATGTCCCCAGGCTCGGACTCGTACGGACAACCACTGCCTTCGAACCAGGCTGCAGATGTCCTGGAAGAGAACGAAAGAGACGTCGACGCCGAGGAGGAGGAGTACCAAAGGGGGAATGCCCCGGAAGATTCCGCCGTACTCGCCGCTCCTAAGAGGCAGCATGGACGGTCAATCTCCATTGGCAGGGACCTTCAAGAACCCGATGAACAGGACTCTGAGGCACGATATGAGGAGGGTATTCCATTGATCTCCCAAACTGGACAGGAGCAGCCATCCGAGAAGTCCAACGCAGCCGTTACTAGCTCCTTTGACGAGGAAGATGGAGCCGGCGATGACTTCTTCAGCCAAGTTCGGGATTCTAAGGCGGATGGCGCTTTGAATGGTCTGCCAGTGCAGCCTCTGGAGCGCAAGTCTACCATGCAGGTTTTGGATTCAGTTAACCCTGGCTCCCTCTCGCGCCAGTCTACTCTCGAAGAGGAGTCAGAGGAGTCAGAGGAGTCAGACGAGCCAGAGGAAGTCCTTGCAGAGGCAGATTCAAAGGCCCAAACTAAGGATGGCCAACCCCCCAAAGATCTGGCTGCAAAATGGGAGGCAGCCTTTGGTGACGACGATGACGATGACTTCCTTCTAGAAGACAGCACACCACCGGAAAACAAAGAGGTTGACCCAGCAGCTTTCTTGGGCAGCGATGACGAAGGTTTATTGGAGGATGACGAGCCGGCTCCAGCTCCTGCGCAAAACCCTTACCTCCCTCAAAAGCCAACGACTCAGCGAGCAGCCTCATATACCCCTGGAACGACGGCTCCCGTACAGACTGCTCCTGGTGGCATGTATAGTACACCCGCGCCGGCGATGACCCCATACGGATCAGCACCGCAGCACAACACACCAGCCCCTGCTGAGAGACCTGGGTTGCCGAGGGCCCAAAGCTTTGTGGACAAGGCCAAGGGAGGATATTCGTCTCCCTATGACCTGCCTACGGATCTTGTCACCCCTGTGATGAAGCCCCGAAAGAGAGCTAGCATGCATCAGCTTCCTCGAGCTTCTGCACCTCCTCCTCAGGGATCATCGCTGCCTAGAAGTAGCAGCATGTTCATGCCTGGCCCACCGTCTAATTCTCTTTCTCCCCCCACCTCGAGTCATGGGAGCCAAGGCCCGCCGATGCATCAAGCTTCCCCTATGCAACATAAACCTCCAACTCCTGGTGTTCAACACAAGGAGAGCTTCTTTGAGGAATTGCCTATGGTACCCAAGCCTCGCCCAAGCTCGAGAACTAGCCTGCGTGCTCCCTCTCCTGCCCAGCATCCTCCTCCAATGGCCTATGGCGCTCACCCAGCTCCCCCGCCTCCGACCATGAACCAGATGTTACCTCCACCTCTGCCCGCGCACCCGGTTGCTCCTAGCCAACCCCCTGTCACTCATCCGACTGGAGTTGCAAACCTGGTGTCCCCCGAACGGGTGAGCCCTTACGCTGCCCTTTCAACCCCGGCGAACCATCTACCTCCGCCATCCACCAACGGTTCTAGATATTCGCCGGCTCCTGGGGCTACCGGGAACCATTCGGCTCCCCCGGTGCCTATCAATAGCCGCTACTCTCCGGCCCCCCCTGCTACGAAAGGACACGCTTCCTACGGACCTGTTGCATCATCTGCAGTCCCACCACCAATCCTGCCTTTTCAACCTCGAACGTCGAGCCCCTTGACTCACTGTGAGACGAACCATGGCCCTAACGGGGAGTTGACACTGGCAGAACGCCGAATGAGCTCTTCCTATGAGCCACGGTTGAACCGCGTTTCCTCTCTACCCCCAACCCGCGAGGTTGATGAAGAAGAGGAGCAAACGACTCCTAATAGGTCTGCGAGCGCTACGCACCCCCCTTCTCATCTCGAATCCAGGTACAGCCCTGGAAACTCTCCAAGGGCAATTCGACGCACGCCGCCACCTCCCAGTTACGCCGGGCAGTTGACGCTCTCCCCCCCTAAGCAGTCAGGCCCGAGCTATGTGCCTTATGCTCCACATGCTCCTCCCACGGCACAGGCTGGATTTGTCCCACCTCCTCGGGCTCAGACCCAGTCTCCCAGCGCCGCATATGGCCACAAGCAAGGAACGAGATCTTCCGAACATGTTCGACGTCCCTCATCCGCCCACTCGGCCACCTCCCCAGTTATTACTCGGCCGGCACATACCTCGTACGCTCCCGTCAGCCGAGTTCGCGGCCAATCCATTACGATGAATATGGTTGCGCCAACTGATGGACGGGAGAAGGATCCTCTTCAGCGATGGAAGGGTGCCCCGATTTTCACTTGGGGTGTCGGTGGTACCATGGTCACGTCTTTCCCTAACAGCGTGCCTCGATATGGCATGAACCAAAGTGTGCCAACTATTATTCGCACACCTGGTGAGGTCAAGGTTCGTAATGTCAAGGATATTGAACCGCTTCAGGACCGCCTTGCCAAGTTCCCAGGCCCTCTCAAGGGCAAGTCCAAGAAGAAGGAGACCATCGCCTGGTTGACTGCTGGCATTGAGACGTTGGAGAAGGATGTCCCGGAGATTTCAATCCACTCCCAGCTCTCTTTGGAGTCCAAACGTGCTATTGAGCGCCTGCTTCTATGGAGAATCCTTCGTATCTTCATCGAGTTTGATGGCATACTTGAGGGCACTCCAGCAGTGGAGAAGGCAGTGCGAGACATTCTCTCACCTGGTACAATCACACCCACTGCAGATGACGATGCCCTATTCCCTGGTGTTGGAGGTTTGGGTGTTGGGCCTAGCGCCGTCACTGCAATGCAAGCTGATGGAGCTGATATGTCAACCATGGACCAAATTCGCCATCACTTATTGAGGGGTGATCGGGAGAAGGCTGTTTGGGCCTTTGTCGATAAACGGTTATGGGGCCATGCCATGTTGATCTCTCACACGGTGTCGGGCGATCTTTACAAGCAAGTTGCACAAGAGTTCGTCCGAAAGGAGGTCAACTACCCTGGCCACAACAACGAGTCGATGGCGGCACTGTACAAGGTTCTGTCCGGAAACTTCGACGACTGTGTCGATGAGCTTGTCCCTGTTCATGCTCGAGCTGGTCTCCAACTTATGTCAACTCAGGCTGGCCTGGGACCTGCAAAGGATACCCTCGACGGGTTGGACAAGTGGCGGGAGACGTTGTCTCTTATCCTCAGCAACCGCAGTGTCGATGACACTCGCGGGTTGAACGCCCTTGGAAATCTCCTTTCCAGCTACGGGAGAGCCGAAGCAGCCCATATCTGTTTCCTCTTCGGCAGGAATGCATCCGTCTTTGGTGGCCTTGACGACCCTAACGCCAACCTTGTGCTCCTGGGCTCGGACCATCATCAGCAGTCTGACCAGTTTGCCAAGGAAACCGAGGCTCTTCAGCTCAGCGAGGTATACGAGTATGGCATTTCACTCGCAGGAGGACTCGCAGCCGCGGCCGGAACTCCTCATCTTGCTGCCTACAAGCTCCAGCATGCTATGACTCTCGCCGAGTACGGCTACCGGGACAAGGCCTTGCAGTACTGCGATGCCATCGCAACTGCGATGACCTCCCAGACGAAGAGGTCACCTTATCACCACGCCATCTTGGAAGCTGCTTTGGAGGACTTCATGACCAGACTCAAGCAAGCTCCTAAGGATGAGACCAATTCCTGGATCTCGAAGCCCAGCATGAATAAGGTTTCAGACAGCATGTGGAACCGATTCAACAAGTTCGTCGCTGGAGACGAGAATGAGAAAAACGGAACTGGACCCGGTGGCGAGGGGGAGACTGGCCCATTTGGCCGCATTGCGACAACGCCGACTATGAGCCGGTCGCCCTCTGTTTCCAACTTTGAAGTATATGGTGGACAATCACCAGGCTACCCCATGGGGACTGCTCAACCTGCGGCAACTGCTGCAGGATCGCGGTATGCCCCAGGGGCGGTGACGGCTACCCCCTCGTCCAACCCTTACGAACCTACGTCCCAATACACTCCTGGCCCGAGGAGCTCCATGGACCGAGGCTCAAATGAGTACCCCCGGAACTCTTACGAGCCCTCATACCCAGGAGTTGCTCCAGCTTCGGCACCGTCTGGAGGTTATACCCCTCTGGTTCCCTCGGCGTCTGAGTCAACTCTCCCCCAGATGGACTCTGGTATGGCTGTAGCCCCGGGACTGGCACCAGCTGCTCAAATTATGCAGGGGGGTCAGCTTGGCGGATATCAACCTTTCGGCGTTCCCACATCCGCTAGCATGCCTGTATCTCCCACAGGTGGTGAGGACAAGGTCACCGATTCATCTCAGCAGGGATATCAGCCTCTGAGCTATGGATACGAGCCACCTTCGCTCAATTCCAATTCCCTTGCGCCCGAGAGCCAAGCCAACACTGCTGAAAGTGGCAGTGATGGATATGAGCCACCATCATTCCAGCCATATGGCTACGAACCACCTTCTTATCAGCCTGACCTGGGGTCAACTGCCGAGGATGTAGATGATACGCCAAAGCCCAAGAAGAAGAGCTTCATGGATGACGACGACGATGACATGCCTTCTTTGAGGCCCAAGGAGCAATCGAAGAGTGATAGAGATCGGGAGAACGATGAGATGTTCCGTAAGGCGGCTGAAGAGGATGGTAAGTTTATAATCCACAGTTGAAGAGACAGGCGACTAACTGGGAACTAGCGAAGCGTGCTGCTCAACAGTCACCTAAGAAAGGTTGGGGTTTCTCGGGGTGGTTTGGCAAGAAGGCAGATACGCCTCCTCCTGCCGGCGACCAATCGCCCGGCAAGCCTATCCGAGCGAAGCTGGGAGAGGCCAGCAGCTTTGTGTACGATCCTGACTTGAAGCGATGGGTCAACAAGAAGCCTGGCGCCGAGATCGTGCCAGCTAAGACGGCCACCCCCCCTCCCCCTAGGGCCATTCCTCGTTCCGTCTCTGGAACTCCCCCACCACAATCAACTGGTACGCCTCCGCCGCCGATGGCTAGTAGTGCGCCGTCGGGTGGCATGCCACTTCACATGCGCTCGGCAACCCCGGAGTTGACGAGGGCTCCTTCGATGGATAATTTGGGTCTGTCAGCCCCTCCTCCGCTCATGGCCCGTTCCGTGTCCAACCCTAGCTTGGGAGGACCTGCCGTTGGCCCTCCGTCCAGACCTACTACAAGCATGAGCAATGCCAGCAGTATTGACGACCTTATCGGCGCTGCCGCACCCCGCCGGCCGGGCGAGAAGAAGAAGCCTCGCAAGAGCGGTCGCTATATCGACGTTATGGCTAAATAAGAATAACTGAGCATATGGGCGCAAATGGTGTTTTTGTGCGACCTTGGCATCGGCCTGTTCGTCTGGCGTTTTCGTGGGGTACTACGTCTTGAACCACCCTGTCATGTATAATAGAACTATGATTTTCGTGTAATTTGCGTACAGCACTACAGGGAGGACCCTGATCACGGGCGGCTGTAATTCGTTGGGCTGTATGTTTTGGAGAGGAGGATACTTGTTTTAATCAGTTGTTTTTTTTGGATCACCGCAAATTAGACCAGGTGGTGTATCGTCGAGACCCCGCTGGGTTTACGAGTACACGGAATACGAAGTTGTAATGCAGTCAGACATTTATCTTGCGTGGTATGACCATCCTTCGCATCTATGGAACATTGTCTCTGGGATTAAACAATAACGCATATCCTGCCAACTCCCATGATAAACCATCAGACTTCCGTCTATTTTGATCTGAACCTGAACGCCATAAACCAGACCCCGCCCCCGATCAAACACTGTAAGATTGAACGTAATACTAGTCATTGTTAGTGAGATGATAGTAGCGAGCGGGAAGGGCACGCACCGTGACGACGGAGTCCTGGGCTGAAGCATCATCGTACTGGGGCACGTAGACGTAGAGGATTAAGGCATGGTCGTCGGCGAAGCATGCAATCACCCTGCCCTCAAGTCGGCCAACACTTAGGACTCTACTCCAGTCTTTTCCATCAACCCGAACGGTGGCCCACCTGTCCGGGCCATCCTCGCGGAACTTGGTGCTCGGGTGGTCCTCGACGGGGCAGTCGAGCTGGGCGGGATCCAGCTCCGGATTCTCGAGGTTGGACCACACACTGCATATATCGGTTGTCTCGGTGGCGATGCGCAGGCGGAGGCCGCCGTGCATGTTGGCGCTCAGGTCGAGCTTAGGAGCCTTGGTGGCAGCTGTGCCAGTGGAAGAGTTGGATGCAAGTGCCAGCTTGGTGAATCGGTCCGAGATAGCTTTGAGCTGGAGCAAAGGTGGTAGCTGAATGTGGACGTCCGGTTCACGAACCTTGGGCTGCATAATAGTCTCGACAGTTTCTGGGTGGAGGACACGAACCGGGATGTCCTGGGTGATGATCTTTTCATGCTCGCGCCGAAGGGAAGTCTCGAGATGCTCAGGAAGAAACATGTCATCGTCATCAAAGGGATCATCACCAGTAGTAGCAGAGGGCTTTGCAGGGCCAGGGGCGTTGGCGGTGGTGTTCGTGGTGATGGTCATAGAGAGCACGGGCATGCCATCTTTTTTGGTGAGGCGGAGGGACGCCGAGATGCTGTTGAGGGCAGATTTGAGGGCGCGCTGGAGTGGTTGAAGCGGCAGTTCGAGGTTGATGGTATTGGAAGTTTCTGCCGATTGAATGTGGTAGTTGTCAAAGATGAAGTCCATGGAGAGAGAGCTGATCAGTCAGTGAGTTGTTCGGCCAGGCAGTTGGGTGGATTCATGATAGTGCCGAGAGCGCAGAATCGCCGGAGGCACTGAATTCACTGGCAGCAGGGGCGAATGCAACGAGATAGAGAGACATACGCCCAGACCTGAGACCCCATGTCTGGGATGACCGTGAAGCGAGCGGTGTCATCGCTCAGGCGCAACCAAGCGATCTTTTCAAGGGAGGAGAGTGCCGCGGTGAGTTCTGGCCTATGTTTAGCACTGTGCATTCGGCATTCAAAGACGAGTCAAAGGCAGGTCATACTCGCAAAGGTGCGGATGTTTTTGAGTTCGGTTCGGAACCGCATTTTGGCGAGGAGGCAGTCGCGTCGGGATGCGATGCGTTGAGTGAAGAAGTAAGAGCGGTCGTGGCGACGTTGTGATGTAGCTGGGATGGTGTTGATCAGCGAGAGAGGTTTTGGTGGGGCAGGCAGCCGTTGATGTTGGTGTTAGTGGGAGGCAGGTGCGGGTTGCACTGCTCTGGGATATGGAGGGAACTAGTTGACCACCTACAAAGGCAACCGCCAGCAATGCGAGGACAGCGGTAAATACGAATATTTGGCCTGGAATCAAGGCACATCATGGTATTGGAAGCACATCTTACTGTTCGAAGCCCTCCTTCTGACGCAGAGACTCTACCTCTCGACTTTCCGTGGGAAGAACGCCGCGACCTACAACTTACAAGACGGGGAAGAGCAGCTTGCGCCACGATGCAGGATCCTCTTTCTGATAAAAACCAGACCCTTCCGAATCCATCCTGCCATCAATTACAAGGAAAGAGATGCCCGGACAGAGATGCTTGGGGTCAACAAAACCCCCATCTCCCTCCTTGACCCCAAAATCACTCTCCCACTCTCTCACCATCAACACCACAGAGCACACATTACACAACACACAACCCATTACTATACCATCCATTGCTACACCATCCATTACTCAAAGCCATCATCTTCATTTACCAACACAGACTTCCTGTCGACAATCATCATTCCATTGCCTCCCGCGTCGGTTCCCATTGCTCATCATCGTGAGCTGTGCCCCCCAAAGCCTCACTTGTCTCGTCACACCCTCTTCGTCTTTGCACCAACCTGCACCAACCTTCACCAACCAGACACACTCTAGATTTCACCATGTCTCAACCCAAGGAGAATTCTTCCAAGTCGGGGACCTCGTCCCGGATTCTTGAGCGCATATTCTTCGGTATGCCAAATCGAAAGGTCCGTCGCTTTGAGAAGGCCGAGAACCACTCCAGAGTCCACCACCCCCCTCCCATTCAAAGGCCTCCCCAGGTTATGGTCCCTAGAATTGATGACATCGTCGAACCGCCCAACGACGTACCACCCAACGACGCACCGCCCAACGACACACTGCCCAACGACGCACCAGCTATTCATGAATTTGACCACAAAGGAAAGAGCCCGGCCCCTGTCTCGCAATCAGACACCAACTCCAGCGGCATAGGAACCAGCTCTGGTGACCATCCACCGTTTCCGCCCGAGGAGCCACCTTTGAGTTACGACCTTGCTGTGAGAGCGGCCCCAGTTCAACTGCTACCTGATGTCGAGAACCTGCGTGACGACCAGGGAGGCACTGCATGCTCGATATGCGGCGTTATTTTTGGCTCACGAAGAGGCTTCCATTTCTTTCCAGAGCAAAAGGCACATCTCCCCTGTGGTCACATCTTCGGCCACCAGTGTCTTTTTTGGTGGTTGACCTGGAATCGAGGTCGAATGGGTAAATGTCCGCGAGGCGGATGCATTACACTTCGGCACGAGTGCGGACATGTTGCTGTTCCCACTACACGGCCCCACGAACGCTTGTTCACAGATGCTACAAGAAAAACAATTCCATGGCCATGCGAGTTTTGTGAGTCACCCAGGGGTGCGAAACTCTTCCAGTCGATTGAGCGCTCCACGGAGGGGACAAGACGCGCGCGGCAAGGGAGGAAAGATTTCTTGGGTACACCTCGCACAATGGTGTGGAATCTGAGAGAAAAGTTCCACTGGCACCGACTTTTCTCGAAAGAAAGCAAGCTGGAACGAGAGGCCTCGGCGTGGTTCAGGCGGAAATGGGCCAAGTTTGAGGATTTGTGTTGGAGGCATGAGGCCAGGGTGAAGGAGGGGATGTTCATGGGAGAAGAGTTCGAGGATGAGCCTGAGAACCAGAACGAGGACACGAATGCCCCAAGTGATCGCCAAAGGGAGAAATCGCGGTACACTGGGAACACCGGAGATGATGGAGATGGCGGTGACAATGTACGTGCCGGTGGCAGTGGAGACGGAGCGAAGTAGACTGCTGGAGACATGGAGATGGACTTGCGCAACAGTGGATGGGTTGGAAGCACGGGGTTCGCAGCGACATGATTTTAGCGGTATGGGTAAAAGAGGCTGAATAGTAGTCAACGTAGAGTACGCATACACGAATGGAACTGTCGAGCGTTGGTATGATCTTGGTACGTTATCATTGTCGCGATCATCTCGTGTGGTTTTCATGACAGTCTTGCGGCAGTTTGGGGGATTGGGAGAACGCAAATGCGTTCAATGTTGCATTGTAGGCTGGAGGAAAGGCTGAGGTTGAACATGCATGCTATATCCTGACATTCGTACTTTGTACCAGCCGGTCTGGCTCGTCGTCGCTGTCATCCCTGAACCCTTCTTCAAGACTTGAAGTTCGTGTCAGTAATGTGGCACTCTAATCCAGGGTATGGATTCCCGTGTTGGAATATCCGTGAAGGACCTACTCTCTACTCAGCCGCCTGGTATTATCTGGCTGTCGAGCCTGCGCATCGTTCTCCATGGCACGCCAGGTCTCGTCATCGACATCACCAAGTTCCTCGCCGTCGTCCTCGTCATCGGAGATATCCCCACCAACAAAGACAAGGTTGCCTTCAGGTCTCCATCTCGCGGGAAAGGGAATCGAGGCCAGGCGGTCGGTGATGCGCTGGCGGAGGGAAGACGTCTGGGAGGAGAGGGAGTCGAGGGGCAGGTACTGGCTGTAGCGGTTCCGGTACCGTCGCCAGGCGGGGATGACGAGGTATGTGAGGAGGACGAAGAGGATGAGGGAGATTACGGCGGGGACTATGAGAGTCTGCGTTGCGCTGTTAGTTAGCAACTGGGAGGCCTAGGAAGAGGTGTTGGAGGTCCGGATGCGCGGGATCGCTTGCCTTGATGACGGAGATGGTGGCGCCCATTATGCCGCTGTCCCGCCAAAGTACAAGATCAAATCTAGGTCGTGTGCTCGTGCGAATCTAGGAATGGCGGCTCTGCATGAAATCTCAGCAGGTTGAGGGCAGGCTCGTCGTGTGCTTGGCAACTCCCCTTTGCGAGCCACGAGGTGATCGTGACATTTGTTGCAGCCTACTCCGTATGTACCGACCGATAAGATACGGCTTTGGACCGAAGAATGGATTACGTAGGCAACCTCTTACGACGCGCGACGCCATTCCGCCAGAGCGCGCCATGCCCATTTAGCAGTGGAGTCCGACACTTGGCGGCGGACGGGACTGTGGAGTGCTTTAGCGATATGGATGAACACATGCAGCGGAACGGAGAGACCGGCCATTAGGGCGCGATGGGCCCTAAAACAACAGCCGCTGCATGCCGCCATACCCAAACACTCAATGTTTTAGGGGAACCAGCCACTGTTAAGTGCTTGTTCTTTGGGGCACTTCCGGGCAGATGCCATTGTCCCAGGGATGGACGTGGAGGCCGCCTGCTGTATTGCAACTGGAAGTAGATGCCCCTAGGCCGGGTTGGTATAAGTGGGTAGCCTAGAAGGTCTGGGGAAGATGATAGAATCCATGGAAAGCACCGAGATGAGACCAATCCGACCTCGCTGGGATGGGAGAGTGATGGACAAGGGGGGACAGAGTCCCTGCCTGTCTAGTACGGGAGAGTGCAGGGAGTTGACTGAGAAAGGGACGGAGCCGTCGGGAAGCCGGGAATTCAAGACAACGAGGCTTGCGCAGGGCCAGCTGGAAGGAGGTTGGAGGGAGAGATATTGCCCATCTGTCATTCCCTTTTGTGGCCGCTGTGGTTCAATGGGAAGAACAGATAACTACTACGTAGTACACCAACACATTTGTACTAGATTATGGGCTGAAGAGTCTTTGGAACTGGGAATTGCCAGAATTGATGGCGTGGAGACGATGCTTCTATAACTGTTGCGGCGCAGGCGCGCTCGAAACTGCCTATGATTGTGAATCTGGAGTTTGTCTTGAAGTATGCAGCAGGCGAGGCGGCAGTCACTGATAATTACATGCAGTTCAACGTCGAGACTCTCAGCATATTCAAGCTCTCCCAGATTGGGGAGCCACAGGGGAAGAAGGGGGGGCCTTTGGCACTATCGACCACCACTTGTTGGTATGAGACCCAATCCAATGTTACGAAATCCACTCGCGTCTCCATCTGCATCACACTCCACCCAATACGGCCCAGTCCACGGATGCCAGCTAGCCAATGCGATGCTGGCGTCTCCTAAAGAGGGCAGGTCGATCGCCTTTGACGTGGTTCAGTCCTGTCCTGTAGGTGCACTGCACCTTGTGTGAATGGGGGTTCGGGAGGATCGAGCAAGGGATGGAGGGAGGGGGAGAGACTCTAGGGATGCTATCAATAGTAACGGTCGCCATCTCGTCCCTTGCTCGACGCGCACAAACATCCATGGTTCCTAGAAGTTGGAGTAGAAAGTAGTGGATTACTTTCTTTCTTTATTAGCCGTTCTTCAGGGGGCCTCTCCAGGTTGCGTTCCCGGCCTTTCCATTCGGGGGGCTTCCATGCGAACTGCCGACGTGCTGGTAAGCCAGAGAGTGTCAGGCTTACTGCACCACACAGCGAAGAAGTGAGAATGTGTCATCTGTTGGATTACAGAGGCGAAGTATCTTCTGCGAGCACTCTAATGTGAATAGGAGACGGCCCGTTTCTCCCGCTGGTGGTCGGCCGTCGTCACTCGCTCGTGTGAGGTGCCCACTCTACACTCACTCACTCAAAGAGCTTGGGCACTCTACAGTGGAAAGGAGGACCCCTCTAGCGCCCACAGCGCCAAAGACAGAGCCCCCCACCGCCCCGGGCGCCCCTAGCGCTCAGTGCCTCTCCAGTGGCCACAGCGAGGCCCCCCAAAGAAGAGCGGCGGCGGCTAGCTGATAATTACCCATAATCCCCGTAACCCGTGCGCCAATCCGCATCCTTGCTTCCACTGGCTTTACCTTGGGCGACCCTTGTTCGACTTGGACCTGTGCATCGCCCATCCCCCGACCTTTGACTTGGGACCAGAACCGAACCCCGACCAGATCAGTCCCCCAGGCGGCCACAACTCCTGCTACTGCTGCTACGTCGCAGTGCTCAACTCGAACGCCGACGCTGCAAAGGACAGCAGTCACCGCCTAGATCCAGGGCCGTCTGCCGCCTCTCCCTCCCGCCCTCCCGCCCTAAACTCTCCCACACCTCCCACAACTCTCCGCCGCTCTCCGCAACCCCCCTTCCGCTTCCGCCTCTGCGCGCACCTGTGGGAGTGAGAGCCTGGCAGCCTGTGCCCTTGCGAAACCAACTTCGCTCCGTCATCGCACACTCCCGCGCCCGATCCACGTTTCAAGTCTCACCCGCCGGCCGAATCGACTCGGGCCCCTCTCCGGACCATCACCCAAGCCTGTTCCTGCTGCGTTTCGGCGGAGAAGCGTCTGCGTTCCCCCATCATGCGAGCGGCCCCGGGCCAGCAATCCGCATTCACGTGTTTCACCTAGCCGTTCGAACCCGCCTCGACCTCAACTCCTCTCACCCCCCCGGCGCGACCCCAGATACGATTCTACCCAAGACCACTACTGCGGCCACCTCCGCACCGACGTTGCCCTCGCCATGGCAGACAAGACGAGGCAGTCCTCGGGCGGCCGCTCCATCTTCTCCCGCAGCAAACATAAGGAGAAGGACAAGCGCTATACAGAAGACTCCCGATACCCACCAGACGACGCCGCCAGCTACCGCTCCTCGCGCCACCACCGAGAATCCTCCAACGTCTCTATTGAGCGCTCAGGGTCTCCTGATGGAGGCATCAACACCATGGCCGGGGTCATTACCTCAATCCCCTACGATACCCTCGCCGGCGGCTCCCGATCCCCGATCCCCGTCGAATATCTACCCAAGGGCGAGCAGGTGCCAGTGCGCCGTGAACCCCTCCCTCACCACCTCAATAAAGGGATGGACTTTCACCAATATCCCAGCTTCGATGCGCCCACTACACCCACCGGCGCCCATTCCCCCGGTAGGTCACCGGCTCCCAATAACCTCACCATGGCTTCAACAGGTCGCCAGGCCCAGTACCAGCAGTGGGGACCAGGCACACCCCGAGGCAGCTCAACCCCCACAAACGGCGGCCGATACGACTCTTACATATCCTCCAACGGACGGGGCTCTGCCGATAATCTGAGCGTCTACTCAGGGAACCCAGGCCCAAACGATCCCAGGCTCTCGCGCGCATCAAATCTGGCACCGCCCGGTGCTTCCGCCCAAAGCACATACGCCAACCAGCAATCCCACCGCCTAACCAAGTTTCCCGGACCTGGACAGGGCGGCCACGATGGTTTTCACTTCCCGAAACCCGACGACGATAATGTGGTGGAACAGATGTTCCTCCAGCTCATGCAGAAGCGAGGGTGGCATAACCTCCCCGAGCAGGCTAGGAGGCAAATGATGGCATACCCTTCGCAGAAGAAGTGGACGCTGCTATACCAGGACCGACTCACCGAATGGCAGGGCGAGCAGAAGCGCAGACAGAGTGTCCGCCCGAACCAATATGCAGCCCCCGATATCACCACTTACTCCGACGAGGAAGGTACCCCTGAATGGTACGTGAGACGAGTCATGGAGGATAGACTTGACACCAAGGGAATGGGGAGTTTGGAAGTCAACTTGAGAACCCAGCAGATTGGCTGGGTCAAGAGATTTGTTGAATGTCAGGGCCAGGTCGCCCTGATGACCTTGCTGCTTAAGATCAACCGCAAGACAGCGCAGGGCCCTGCGCAACCAGACACCAACAGGTCCGATAAGAACCTCGACCGCGAGTATGATATTATCAAGTGTGTCAAGGCCCTTATGAACAACAAGTTTGGTGCCGATGATGCCCTCGTTCACCAGAAGGTCATGGTCGCCCTCGCGACCTCACTCATCTCGCCGCGCCTGACCACCAGGAAACTGGTCAGCGAAATCCTCACCTTCTTGTGTACTTGGGGTGAAAATGGCGAAGGCCATCTTAAAGTTATCCAGGCGATGGACGAGGTCAAGTCGCAGGCAGGCGAGAATGGCCGATTCGACGCCTGGATGCGCTTGGTGGAGGTCACGGTTGATGGCCGCGGAAAGATGGGTAGTCTGGTGGGTGCGAGTGAAGAGTTGAGGACTGGCGGCATTGGCATGGAGAACCTACTCATGGAATACGCGGTTGCTACGCTTTTCCTCATCAACATGATGGTCGACTCGCCCGAGAAGGACCTTCAGTTGCGAATTCACATTCGCGCCCAGTTCACAGCATGTGGCATCAGGCGCGTCCTGCACAAGATGGAGGGGTTCCAATATGACCTCCTGGACAAACAAATCGAGCGGTTCCGCACCAACGAAGCCATTGACTACGAGGATATGCTCGAGAGGGAGAATAGCAGCATCAAGGACAACGTTGAAGGCGATGTAAAGGATCTTACCGACCCCGTGCAGATTGCCGATGCCATTCAGCAACGCCTCGTGGGAACAAAGACGCAAGATTACTTCGTCTCAGCCCTCCAGCACCTCATGCTCATCCGAGCCAACGATGGCGAGGAGCGCCTGCGCATGTTTCAGCTAGTCGATTCAATGTTAAGTTACGTGGCCATGGATCGACGACTACCCAACATGGACCTCAAGCAAAGCCTCAACTTTACTGTCCAGAGTCTGCTCGACAAGCTACACACAGATTCGGAGGCCCGGCAAGCTCAGGATGAGTCTCTCGAGTCGCGGCAGATAGCCGAGGCCGCGATGGCAGAGCGTGATGAGATGCAGGCAAGGCTTGAACTTGGCGCTGATGGACTGGTCGCCAAGATGCAACGGCAGATGGACGAGCAAACCCGGTTTATCGAGGCCCAAAGGCGGCAAGCAGATGGGCTAAAGGCCGAATTGGAAAATATACAAACCGTGCGAGCCAAGGAGGCTCAACGTAACGAGCTGGAGACGCGAGAGCTGTACCTCATGCTCCGAGACGCTCAGGATATCGCCGCTTCGAAGGCAGTCAAGAGCAATGCCAAGGCCGCACCCAATGAACCCCCGGCCCAAATGCAGGGCATCTTGGATCGCGATCGTCTCATGGAGCGCCTCCAGATGCAGATTGAGCGACAGAAGACCCAGTTCAAGCTGGAAGGCCGCGTGTGGGGAGAAGCCGTCGGCCCCTCAGATCGCCTTCGGGCCCTTCGAGAGGAAATGGAGGGAGATGTCCCGACCACACCCCCCGGCGGTGGAACACCACCTCACGACTTCACAAACAGTATGCTCGGCAGCATCAACCGACAGACCAAGATCCCCCGAAAGCCTATCAGGCGACGCGGAGAGGACGGCGAGGTGATTGAGGAAGGAGACGAAACCGAGGGCGAGGATGGCGTCGTCTACGAGAAGCCCAGAATCATCGAGATGAAGCGGCCGGTCATGGATCCCAGGCAGCAGGCTGGCTTGCTTGGAGAGATTGGATCCAAGGTCAAGAGATACGACGCCAGCGATTCGGAGGATGGCGATACCACTACCGGCCTATCTCACCCCAGCATGGAGTCGCCCATCACAACCCCTGGCGATGGCGAAGCGCCCAAGATCCAAGTTACCCGGGCAGGTGGACCACCACCGCCGCCTCCTCCGCCACCACCTCCCCTGCCCGGACATCTACCCGGGGCCCCCCCACCTCCGCCGCCGCCGCCGCCTCCGCCTCTACCGGGTCACCTTCCCGGAGGTCCGCCGCCGCCACCTCCGCCGCCCCCTCTACCTGGCATGTTGCCCGGTGGACCCCCGCCTCCTCCTCCGCCTCCGCCTCTCCCTGGTGCTGCGGGAATGCCACCACCGCCACCTCCCCCGATGCCTGGCGCAAAGTCTGGTCATTTCTTGCCTCAGCAAGCAGGCTTTGTGGCTCCCGGCATTGGCTTGCCTGTTGTGCGACCCAAGAAGAAGCTCAAGGCTCTGCATTGGGAGAAGGTCGATACCCCTGAGACCAGTCACTGGGCGGCTCACACACCCTCTGCCGAAGAGCGCGAGGAGAAATACCAAGAGCTCAGTAAAAAGGGTATCTTGGACGAAGTCGAGAAGCTGTTCTTGGCCAAGGAGATCAAGAAGATTGGCATGGGAAGCTCTAAGAAGGATGACAAGAAGCAACTCATTTCTTCCGATCTGCGGAAGGCTTATGGTAAGTCTTGGTCAGATTTGACTCATGTATGGCTGCTGACAACAATTAGAAATTGCTTTTGCCAAGTTCTCCCAGCATTCTGTTGAAAAGGTCGTGCAAATGATTATTCACTGTGACACAGAAGTCTTGGACAACCCTGTGGTCATGGACTTCCTGCAAAAGGATGACCTGTGTAACATCCCGGACAACACCGTCAAGCAGATGGCACCTTACAGCAAGGACTGGACTGGACCCGAGGCCACCAAGCAGAACCGAGAGATGGACCCCACTGAACTTACTCGCCAAGATCAGATTTACCTGTACACTGCGTTTGAGCTGCATCATTATTGGAAGAGCCGAATCAGGGCGCTGGCACTCACACGAAGCTTCGAGCTTGACTACGAGGAGATCAACGAGAAGATTCGCCAGGTTGTTGCTGTATCTGAGTCTCTACGGGACTCCGTGTCTCTCATGAATGTCCTCGGTCTCATTTTGGATATTGGTAACTACATGAACGACGCAAACAAGCAAGCGCGCGGCTTCAAGCTCAGCTCTCTAGCAAGACTAGGCATGGTCAAGGACGACAAGAACGAGTCGACGCTGGCAGATCTCGTGGAACGAATTGTTCGAAACCAATATCCTGAGTGGGAAGGCTTTGCCGATGATATCGGCGGTGTCATGATTGTGCAAAAGATCAACATTGAGCAGCTTCAAACCGACGGCAAGAAGTACATCGACAACATCAAGAACGTCCAGATGTCACTGGACTCGGGCAACCTGAGCGATACCAAAAAGTTCCACCCTGAAGATCGAGTCAGTCAGATTGTACAGCGATGTATGAAGGAGGCCAGGAGGAAGGCGGAGCAGATGGAACTTTACCTGGATGAGATGATGAAGACTTACAAGGATATTATGGTCTTCTATGGCGAAGACCCCGGTGATGAGAATGCCCGACGAGACTTCTTTGCCAAGCTGGCCCTGTTTGTGGGCGAGTGGAAGAAGTCGCGGGACAAGAACGTCACGGTGGAGGCGACGAGGAAGCGCAACGAGGCGTCGATGAAACGAAAGCACGCCCAGTTGAAGATCAACAACGCGACCGGAGACGCTGGCCCTACATCTCCTTCCAACACTGGCGCAATGGACTCCCTGCTGGAGAAGTTGCGCGCTGCCGCGCCGCAGGTTCGGGACCAGAGAGACCGACGCCGCCGTGCGCGCCTCAAGGACCGACACCAGGTCCGTGTTGCATCAGGGCAGAAGATTCCGGATATCGACGAGATTCCCGAAGCCGAAGCCACCATAAAGGCGGCTGCGGAGCCGACCATCGACGAAGATGGAAACCCGCTGAGCCCAAGCTTGTCGTCGCCTAGAGAAGGCGGAGACGACGTTGCCGACCGGGCAGCAGCACTACTTCAGGGCATGCGTGGAGGTGATGGCGCAGATGATAATGACCCGGAGAGGCGGGAGAGTATGCGAAAAGCGAGGAGACAGACAGCAGAGGAGGAGCGGAGACTACGTAGGAGAAGACGAGAGAAGGCCAGCGCCGCTCAACCCGAGGATGGCAAGGAAGAGACGAAAGAGGAGGCTACAACAGAGAACGGCCACGCAGGAGAGGACTTACTATCACCGACAACGTCCACGAATGGTGAGCCCGCAGAGGAGGAGGAAAAGGCATGAAGGAAAGGATTTGCTTGGGAAATGCATTGCATGGTGTCGGACGCCCAAACAGGAGCGAGCAGGGTGCGCAAATACCGCACGCGCGCCGCACATAATGTCTACATTAGCACATAGAGCGGGAGCACTGGAGAACAGAAGTGCGTTTTTGAAAGGAGCCAAGGTCGGAATCTTTCCAAAAACTAGAATAACTGTGGGCGGGTTGGAAGTCCTGGATGGGTTCACTGCGCTATGTTTACGGTGGGATAATTTATCATACCTGGTATTCTTACCGAAATGGCGTTTGCTTTTTGAACTGTGCAGCTCGACACGATGTGAAACTGATGACGCTTACTCTTGACGCGATAGTTTCGTACGTTAGTTTACTGTGGATTGTTCTTATGATGCCTAAACGCCAGCTGGACTCTCTTTCTCTTTCGCCTGGCTGTCTCTTATACAGGCTTGTTCTTTTTATTCCAACGGATATCAAATCATCAAGTCATACGTGCTCTGAATCGGGCCTCTACCAACCTCTCAACCTTCTCGCTAGCTTGGCTTATCTCGAAGGGCTCAGCGGTCGGTTGAACCCACCCTGCCGGTTCATGTACTGTCGGTACTCGAGCTTCTTGTCCTTCTTGACGCCGCCGACATTGTTGCCCGCAACCTTCTTGTTCTTGGTGGTCCCGAACCCGCCAAAGCCCATCATGGCCTGCATCGCCGCCATGTCGTCGTCGACCACGGGCTCCTCGTCGTCGGACACTTCGCCAGCGTCCATGGCGTCGTCCTCGGCGTCGTCGACCTTGTCGTTGCGCCGCTCGGAGTGGGGAGATCGGCTGTTGCGCGCAGAGACATTGAAGGACATGTGCGGAGCCGGCTTCTTGCTGTCGGGCTTGGAGCGCGTGGGCAACGCCGACTCTTGGGGTGGGCTGTGGGAGCGTTTGTGTGGTGAAGTAGAGCGGGGGTTTTTGCCTGGGCGGAGAGTCAGTTTCGTTGTGCTAGCAAGACTTGGGGTTGTGTGTGGGCGAGTCGAACCTCGTCTGTCCCGGTCGTCGTCGCGGCGATGTCGAGGCGCATCCTCGTCACGGTCGTCTCTACGTCGATCCCTGCGATCTCTGTCGTCGAAATGTCGTGGCCCGTCCATCCGCCCGCGCGACGGTCTGTTTCTATCAGCATCGCGGTCGCGGGGTCTTCTATCGGGCGAGCGAGAGCGATCTCGCTGCCCGCCACGACGGTCATTTGAGCGGTCGTTCGAGCGGTCGCGATAACCGCGACGATCAGCGTCCCTGTCGCGGTCCCGATCGCGGTTGTTCGGGCCGCCGCGTCGGTCTCGGCGGTCGGATTCGTCCCACATCTGGCGGCTGTCTGGCCGGTGGCGGCGGCGAGAGTCACCCATCGTTGCGGTGCTGGGGAGTAAATGTGTTGAAGGTTAAGGAGGTTTAACGCGACGTCAAGATTCGACAAGGCGTCGACTTTCGCCAGGCTGAAGCAACGGCGGCTAAGCTGGGTGGGTCCGGGATCTGGTGGCGGTGGCTAGTGCGCAGAGCTGGCTGCTATTGGCCGAAGCTTGTGCCTGCCCAGACTCTAAACACATGAGCTTCAGCCTTGCAGCTTGGAGCATCGTCATCTGCCACCGGGAAACGTGTTCACTCAACTCGGCCGCGCAGAAGCACGCCGATGATCCAGCGCATTTTCTTTAAATCCGTTTTCGTCTGACACCTTTAAAGGCCTCGCAAGCCTCGAGGACGCAAACTCGACCTTGCCACCATGCCGAAGTTGGCGCAATGGGTGGCCGCAGCCGTCCTGGCGCTGGGTGCTTCCGCTGCCGACGAAGCTGACTCTGCCTCTGTGCTCACCGCGGAAATCGGCCGTCAGAACAACGAGAGCCTCTTCTGGGGCCCCTACAAGCCGAACTTGTACTTTGGCGTGCGCCCGCGAACGCCCAATGCCCTGTGGACGGGGCTGATGTGGGGGAGGGTCGACGGTTACGACGACATTGGGAAGGGTGAGTGTGGGCGGGTGGTCCCGAAAGTGTGCGCATGCTAACTTTGGCCCGCGTTAGCCTTCCGATATACCTGCGAGCAGGGTGAAGACATCCATGGGTATGGCTGGGACGAGTACGATGCGCGTACTGGTGGCGTCCAGACCATCCACGATGAGGGCAACAGGATCGACATCACGACCTCGTTTGTAAAGGTCCCCGGTGGGAAGCATGGCGGCAGCTGGGCTACCAGAATCAAGGGCGAGCTGCGAGAGGGAGTGCCGCCGGACACCAAGACCATGCTGTTCTACTACATCGCGCAGGAGGGTGGCGGCGATTTGGAGACTGAGGGCGAGGGCACTAAGTCTGGTTTCGACGAAGACGTCACCTTCAAGGGAAACTCCAAGACTCTAGGCGACTACAAGCTCCTCGTTACAAAGGGCACTGGAGAGCACCCAACATCCAACCATCCCCTCGTGCCTGATCGACATGGAGACAAGACCGTCGTCATCAGTGCCGACGTCCCTCCCGAGGTGGTGTGGCAGGGCAAGCCGGTTGTCTTCAAGCACCTCCAGGAAGCTGTCAAATTCGTCCAGGACAACGTCGACATGGCCAACCCGCCGCCGGCGTGGCAGGTCTACCGCGTTGGTCACAGCCCAGGCAAAGGCAATGTGCACATTGTGCAGAAGACATTTGAAGGGGCTTTTGAGTTTGATGTCATTTTCTCATCCGCATCGGCTGGCCAAGAGCTGAAGTCCGAGGACGTGACGGAAGAACTGAAGCAGACGTCCCAGCTCTTTACCGAGCGGTTCTCGAGTGTCTTCGACCTCAAGGAGCCCTTCACAGCCAACAAGTATAAGAAGTTCGCCAAGAGCATGTTCTCCAACCTCCTCGGTGGCATTGGATATTTTCATGGCCACCAAATTATCGACCGATCGTATGCGCCTGAGTATGAGGAAGAGGACGAGGGCTTCTGGGTGGACGCTGCGGAAGCGAGGGGGCGAAGACAGCAAACGCCCGAGGGCCCGTACGAGCTGTTCACGAGCGTTCCGTCGCGACCCTTCTTCCCTCGAGGGTTCCTGTGGGACGAAGGATTCCACCTCGTGCCGATCGCGGATTGGGATATGGACCTGACTCTGGAGATTGTCAGTAGTTGGTACAATACCATGGATGACGATGGCTGGATTGCTCGAGAGCAGATTCTCGGCGCAGAGGCGCGCAGCAAGGTGCCCGCCGAGTTTCAAGTCCAGTACCCTCACTACGCCAACCCACCCACGCTATTCCTCATTATCGAGGGATTCATGGAGCGCCTCCGTGCAGCCAACGGAAGTCAGCCCGTCGCCAAGGAGCACCTATCGGCTGGCAACCCTCTGCAGATGGCTCACCTCGACAACGTCGAGCTCGGAGAGGCGTACCTGCGAAAGCTGTACCCCCTCCTGCGCCGCCAGTACGATTGGTTCCGCAAGACGCAGCGTGGTGACATCAAGTCATACGACCGCGAAGCCTTCTCGAGTAAGGAGGCGTATCGATGGAAGGGCCGAACGGAGACGCACATCTTGACAAGTGGCCTCGACGACTACCCCCGAGCGCAACCCCCACACCCTGGTGAGCTGCACGTCGACCTCATGTCGTGGGTGGGCCTCATGACAAAATCTCTCCTGAGCATCGCGGACGCCCTGGGGATCGAAGAGGACGTGGCTGAGTACACGAAGTCGCTCAGGGCTATCGAGCGCAACCTGGATGACCTTCACTGGTCGGAAAAGGAGGGTTGCTACTGCGACGCGACCATTGACGAATACGAGGAGCATGCGCTGGTGTGCCACAAGGGCTATATCTCGTTGTTTCCGTTCTTGGTTGGCTTGATGAAGCCCGAGGACCCCAAGTTGGACAAGATTTTGGACCTCATTGGTGACGAGGATCACCTCTTTAGCCCCCACGGACTGCGTAGTCTCAGCAAACAAGATGAGTTTTACGAGACTGGCGAGAACTACTGGCGTAGTCCGGTTTGGATGCCCATCAACTACTTGGCCCTGTCTCAGCTCCGAGTAGGTTTCGCCCTATTTTCTCACCTCCCCTATTTATCGTTCGATATCACTGACTTGGGCTGTAGAATGTGGCCACTGAGGATGGTCCGTACCAGGAGAAGGCCAGTGATCTGTTTTCTCGGCTGCGCAAGAACCTCGTGGATACGATTTACACGAGCTGGGAGGAGACAGGCTTCGCGTGGGAGCAGTACAATCCCGATACGGGTGCCGGGCAGCGGACTCAGCACTTTACTGGGTGGACTAGCTTGGTTGTCAAGGTCATGGCTATGGAAGAGCCAAGCGATGGGGGCCGGACAAAGGATGAGCTGTGAGCCAGTCAATGATGATGTGTTCGGTAGAACGGCGCCAGATTTGTGTGTACAGAACCGAGATAGTGAACATCACGGGCAATTGAGTCGGTCCGTTGCTGGCAACGAGGCAGACAAGTTGATGACTCCTAAGCCATGTGAAAGCTGATGACCTAAGTGCAAGCCATGAAGTCTCGTCTTGCCATCTAATAGGCTAGAGCAAGCGCGGTGGTTTGGTGCCATCCGTGTCGATAAGCCGTTGTTGTAACGATCTCGATTGATATTACCGATTCTGTAGGGACCAGACCCATGTCTAAGTCGCTGATGCTATCCATGATACATGATAGATTGAGTTTGGTACATGAAAGACCAGGGATGCAGTGAAGCAGGTGAGTAATAAGTTAGTGTAAGCGGGCTCACCTGCGGTGAGTTGTGGAACTGATGACTGAGAAGAATGTCATGGGTGATGCACAAGCGTTGATGGTTACTCGGCAGGTCTATGAGCCGGCATGCGGATGACTCGAAGCTGCAGGAGTAACGTCACGATAGAGCACAAGTGCCGAGGCCCAGTGGTCTGTCAGAAGCTTGGAGGCTCAGAGCCGCAAGTTGGAACATGTCGTTCGTGCAGCGCGCGTAGCTAATTAGTGTTGTGCTATTCTCGACCGAGGTGAAGCTCGAAGCCCTGATTGGCGCTGTGGGCGACAGAGGCCCTGTGCGCAGGGGTTGTTCCTGTGAGACAACTTGACAAGCAGGGCTAGGAAGGTCCCACCGCGCTTCCTTCCCGAGACATGGCCTTACAGGGAAGGAGCCGGGGCCAGGAACAGCAGGAAACGAAACGAACGCCCAAGCGTCGACCGATCGGGATCTGGGCCGTTTTCTGAGAGGCAGCCGGTCTGACGGGCAAGGGAGCACGGAGCGCAGGCAAGGCTGACTAGGAGCCCGTCGCCATGTGGTTCGTCGAGCGGGTCGAGTGTGCCTGAGAGATGCGAGAAATGTGGGTGCAGCAGGAGGCTCGTGTGGTTGGTTAGAGCCATCAGTATGGTGAGGCGGTGCAAGCGGCTGGGGAGCGAAGCGGGATGAGGGACGTGCGGGCCGTCAGCAAACGCGCGCCAAGTAGCAAATAACGTTCCGGTGTGCTATTTTTACGGCGCTTAAACGGTGGGGAAGTGGGCAGTGGGGCTCGATATCGATAGTGGTGTGGCGGGGCACGAGCTGTGGCGCCGGAATGGGGCTGGTCCCGAGAGCCAGATGCTGGCTGACGCCTGTGGTTGGACGACGGCGAGATGCAGCCAGTCAGGCTTGGATGAGATGAGGCTGTTGTTTGTAGGGGAGGAAATGCAGATACGGGGCAGGGACTTACTCATCGGGCTCATGAGCACATGGGACCCAAGACATGCACCATGGTCCGTCTCTCGGCCGGAAAGCTAGCCGGGCGGCGTATGGCCAATAGGTGAGCGTCCCATCGATCTCGGTCAAGGCTGCACCCCCCGGTCAAGCCTCGCCAGTCCCTGTGTCAGTCTGCAGTCGGTTGTCAGAGCGAAGACTCAGAATGGCCGACGGGAGGTCCGTGGTGAACGGGGCTGCGGAATCTACTACGGTGCCACGATGCCAACCGACATGGCATGCAAAACCCCCGGCCCAATCACGCCGCCAACTCGTCTGTCAGATCCATCTACGACGATTGAGATAGCCCTCTTTGGGACCTCTACGGTGCCGCATCGAGACGAGCTGCTGCGAGCTGCTACGTTCCATCACCGGGGACACTGGCGAACGCGAACACGCCTTGTCCACTGCAACGACAGCCGGGCCGCTTACGTACAGCGATATCTGGGGCGGTGAGGTACGGGCAGGGCCGTGGTGATACTCGCGGTGAGCATTGAAGCATCTCGGGTATTGAGCTCGGCGATCGTGGAAGTCCGGAACAGGGTGTTGGCGATGATGATTGCGAGCACCGAAAACAGTGAGATCTAGGGCATGGTGAGGTGGTAGCGGGTGGTGGAGGTGGTGGTGACGGTGGATCTCACGGGGTTGGCCGATGCACGTTGACGGGCCATGGCATCATGACTATAGGCAGCAGTGAGATGGAATTTCGGATACAGTGTAGGCCTGGCATGTACATGGACGGGCTAGGAGATGCGTAAAATGACAACGTTGCGAGAATTAACTGACGTACGCAGAGGGTTGGGACGAAATCAATTCGGGTTCAATTGCTGGAGCCTTTTCAAATCGGAAGCCGTGGAGCAATGGTAAACGGGAGAAGTCGCTGAATGGCCCATCACATGCCCTGGACACTTGACCAGCAGAGTCACCCAATGACGTCGCCGGGACTTACAGGGCTCACTCACAGGGCGTCAACCAACGGCGAGGGCTCCCAGGAACCCGGGACAGCAGCCATGATGGCGGCACACAGCGGAACGTGCCTTGCATCGCAGGTCGCGCGCATCGCTGGCCGGGCCTGTGATGTGCCGTACACAGTGCTCCCGTCGAGGACTGCAACCATACCGATATCCAACCGCCGGGATACCGCCGACTTGCCCGGGAGCTCTTAGCTCACTCTCCAGTTCCCGCCGTCTTGGGTCGGCCGGCCACCATAACAAGGGTCAGGGGGACCAGTGTGCCAGGGGTGGCTGTGGCTGATGATGCCCCCCCGTAAGCAGAGCGCGTTCCATTTCCATCCCCAGCAGTGCCAGTGTAGGTCGGTACCTATGGACGGCTGTGAAGGGGTGGCGTCTAGCGGGCTGAATCGCTGACGGTCGCTGTGGCCCAGCCACGACTCTGAGTTTGCCAGTGCTCCTCAGCCCTACGACCCGCCGCCCGTTATACTGCCCAGTCACGGCGCGCTGGCCGCCCCTGCGACGGTGCGACCCTGGTCTGTTCGCCGACATGGCGCAGTTATTGCCCTTCGGCGTCCTGAGTTCCCGGTGTCCTTGGTGCCCTTTTCGGCTTTGGCACGCTTCGTTTCGCTGGCTGTTGCTTTGTTTGGAAACTAGCTCGGCAACTTAGCTCGGGAATGCAACATGCAACTGACCCTTGCCGCTGTTGGAGGGGCGTGGATCATCATCATGGCACACACACTTTACCTCGCAGTCTCGCAGACACACAGACCAGACATCCAGACATACACCCACACCCACATGCTAACAAGCTAGCTAGCAGCCTTCATCCTTGGATATCTTTATTGTGCTTCATTTGTATATAACCCTCCGGCATCTCCTGGCTTGAAACATATCTCATCATCACATCAACACACTCTCAACACTCAAACACAAACACCATCCACTACAACACTCAACCAACACTTACTTACAACCATCACCACCACTCAACGCCAACCACTAACCAACACATCAACCAACACATCAACCACCACATCCAACAATCTATAATAACCCACACGACCCCCCTCACAAAAACAACATCTCACACTCACACACTCAAAACACTCACACTCACACTCACACTCACACCTTTACAATGGCTGCCTTCACTCTCACCTATGCTCCCTCCTCCATGTCCTTCGGCCGCAGCGGCTACAACAAGGACGGTGACGATACCACCGACACCAAGCCCACCACCAACTCCGGCCGCTCTGGCTACAACGGCCCCGAGGCCAACTACGGCCGCTCCGGCTACAACAAGGACGGCGATGACGATGACTCCACCGGCAACAAGGGCCGCTCCGGCTACAACCGCACCGACGATGATGACGAGTAAACGGAGCTCCCTTTCCCAAAAGAAGAAATCACTTCAAACTCCTCCGCTTCGCACCGGATAGGTGCGACAGTCGGCTTGGAGACAGCATGGATGGGGCGTTTCGGAATCTTCCTTGAGAACAGCATTGGGCGGAGTCGGTTCTTCATTTGCATCAGCATCTTCATTTTCATTTTGCATCTACATGATATGCATCTGCATTTCCCACATTAGCATTAGCATCAGCATCGGCAACAGCATAGGCATCAGCATCGGCATTGGCATCAGTATTGGCATCAGCATCAGCATTGGCATCGCATTGCAAGGAGTTGAAAAGGCGAGTCCATTTTCGACACAGCATGGCATGGCGCAGCATGGAACGGCAAGCGAAAATCATCCCCCATCTTTTGGGCATTGTTTTGGATCTCCTTTGTTCTGGTTCTCATTTCCTCTATTCCCCTTCATCTTGGCGGCGCATCTCGAACACCCCGGTGGCAGACGGCTCGCTCGCTCTTCACACAGCAACAATTTCTTGTCTTTCCTTGTTTGCATTGGATGGAGTTTTTTAGAATCTAGACATCCTTTAGAATTGCCTTTGGCTAGATAGACCATGGGGTTTGCAAAAACTCCCATAATACACTGCAGTCTCCTTGACTTGCCTCTCTCGTTCCTCATTATTTGTCATTATTTACCCACGCAGAACCTATTAGAAATCCAGTCAGCATTTGTTAATCCTCCGTAAATCCTCCGGCAAAAAGTGGGCAGATAAAGAGGCGCAGAAGCCACAGTCAGAACCTACTTCTCGAAGATGACGCCAAGTACGTCCTCCACGTCTCCAAACTCGCCGCGCCCGGTTATGCGCGCCAGGCAATCAGCCGCGTACCGGAGGTACTCAGCCGCCAGAACCGCGTCTGCGTCAGGCTCGCCCTCTCTCACCTGCGCCTCCGCCATGAAGACCTGCAAGTGATGGCGGCACTTGACCAGGAGCTGTCGCTGTCGCTCCGTCACACCAAGGAGATCCTGGTGTTCCGCCGGCATGGATGTCATACCAGTGAAAGAACTAACAAGGCTGTCCATGACCATCTGGATACCACCCGGATCCTTCGTGTCTAAAGTTGCCGACTGAGCCTCCTTACACGAGATCGACACCAGCTCAGCCGCTGCTAACTTGGGATCCTGTGCCCGCACGGTCTCTCCAAAGCCTTGAATAAGATTGGTAAACTCGCCGGGATCAATCGAATCTCGTTTGTTGACCACGATGAGACAAGCCTCAGCCTGCGCTGCGAGGTCCAGTGTTTCCTTGTCGTACAGGATGAACGACCCGGCGAGGCTCTGTTCCACTGACGCAAGTACCACAACGATGTCTGAATCTAGGGCCTTTTGCTTCGCCCTTCGGATCCCTTCTTCTTCGACAGCGCCGATTGCGCCCGCCCCCACCCCGTGGATCATCCCGTATTCTTGTAACCGGAACCCAGCCGTATCCGCAAATGAGCAAAGATAGCCTCGTATGTCCAGACTAGCCTCCACAATATCTCGTGTAGTGCCAGCCTCACCAGACACAATCGATGCCTCACGCCCGACAATCAGGTTCATCAGCGAGCTCTTTCCGACATTTGGCGGACCCAAGAGCGCAATTCGGATTCCGTTCTTTAGTAGCTCATTCCGCTGGCTACCTTGCTCATGCAGCTCGATGCTGTGGAGCATTTCAGCCACCTGCTCCCTCACGTTCCCCAGCAGATCTGACTCGGACTCGTCAAAATGTTGGTCTTCGGAGAAGTCAATCAATGCCTCAATCTCAGCCCGAGCTAGCAGCAGTTGCTCTCTCCAGGCCTCGTACGCACGCCCGAGAGCACCCGAGTTGCCACGCACAGCAGCACGACGCTGTTGCTCCGTCTCAGCCGCAAGCGTGTCGCTGAGCGATTCGACCTGGGCCAAGTCGAGACGGTTGTTGAAAAAAGCTCGCTTCGTAAATTCGCCAGGCTCGGCGTACCGAATGCGTTCAGTCGTGGGGCACCGTGGGATTGCAGAGAGAACTGCTTTGACAGTAGCAGGCCCGCCATGGACATGCAGTTCCAGGACATCTTCTCCAGTCACAGTCTTGGGACCAGGGAAGTAGAGCACAAGGGCTTCCGAATCCAAGGCCACGGATTCCTCCTTTTGGGATTGAGGATCGTAGAGGGAGCGCACGGTTGCATATCTCGGCTTTAGGGGCGCCTTAGACGGACACAACGCCTTGTATATCTGAATCCTGTCGTCAGTTAACTCGTCCTAGTTGATAACAAGAGACGCACACCTCTAAGCATGATGGGCCAGAAATCCGAATGACCGCAATGCCGGCCCGACCCTGAGCTGTTGACAGGGCATATATAGTGTCACCTATAATTGGAAATCTAGAACTATCGTCCAAGTTGTTTGAGGACCATGGTTGCTGCGAGAACGGCCGTGACAGCGCTATGTTCTGCTTTATACGTGCTGATGATATCTGGGCCGCTGCAGAGCCCGGGTACTTGACGAGCGTCACAACCCGTGAGAGACTCGGGGCACAGATGAGTCTCCTCGGGCGGAGACTGCTCCTGAGCATCGGTGAATGGATTGATTGCGAGAATACCAAGATGAAGATCAGAAGCAAATGAGTGTGGTAGTTGTGCGCATGGTGGCTCGTTGTGGATGAGAAGTCAGAAATTTGCAACTCCAAGGATCGATGGGTGCTGGCAGGCCTAAGGCTAAGCGACTATAGTGGACGCCGAGGCTCTGGGCCAAAACGCGGGGTGCATGACAGCGGGGCCTTAGCGCATCCATCCCCTAGAAGTACTGCGTTGTGTTCTCCTGGTATCATGCATCTCAAAGTGAAATATTCTGGGTATTTTATTTATTTTATTTTTCCTTCCCAAAGCGTTATATTGGCAATATTGAATTCAACCTCTAGTTCTTGTGTTGATCCTCCTCCTAGCGCGTCATCTTTCTTGACACGCACCTGTTTATCAACATCTAATGCGCCATCCCATTTACACTTATTTCTTCAAATTAATGAATGTTACCAATCTGAGACGAGGCAAATGTCTGGATGAACTTGGCCAGCTTCTCGGCACCCTCAAGCGGGATAGAGTTATAGTTGCTGGCTCGAATACCACCAACACTGCGGCGACCCTTGAGGCCAGTGAGGCCCAGTGCTGTAGACTCCTTCGGGAACGCCTTCTCAGCAGCGTCCACGTCTCCACCCCTGGCAACGCGGAAGCAGATGTTCATCCTGGATCGGGCTGATTTGTCGGGGACAGTGCGGTAGATGTCAGGGTGGGCCTGAGAGCTCCGTAGATGAGCCCAGCCTTCGTGTTGGCCATAGCCTCCTGTCCGTCAACCTTGTCAGAGCAGTTTCGCAAAAGCTTCTTCAGTACTTGGCCGGAAATGTAGACGCTGTTCACTGATAGTATGTAACCACTTCGAAATTGATTATAGGCGACTCACTCAAAGATGCTGGGGGTATTGGAGAGAGAGTTGTTCTTGTCATATTGGAGAATGGTGGAAGGTATAGGCAGAGACAGTTTGCGGAGAAGGGCAACATCCGGCTGGGGGGTGATGGGAGCCAGGAGGCTCTTCTTTATCATGACACCGGTGATTCCGGTAATGCCAAAGTTCTTCTGGGCTCCGAAGAAGATGACGGAAAAGTTCTTGACAGGGATCTTCCTCGACAGAATGTTGGAAGACATGTCAGCAACGACAATGGCGCCATTGCCATCAGACCCGGGAAGCAGGGACTTGGGGAAGCCTGGGAACTCGACACCGTCAACAGTCTCGCTGTCGCAGAGATAACCCATGGCGTGATCCATGGAAAGGTTCCAGGTGCTCTCTTCAATAAGCTTGCCAAACTTGCCGTCGTTGACCTTGCGGGAATCAGCGACAACGTTCGCATAATCGGGACCAAGCAACCGCACAGCCTCCTCATATGCATTCTTGGACCAGCTGCCGGTCACCAAGTAGTCGACCTTGAGCTCCGTCTCCACAGTCTTGAAACCTCGACAACAGCAAGGTCGTCAATGGCTTGTCTGAGCCTTCTTCTTCGTCACCCAGGCACTAACTAGGTTATGCGCGGTGGCAGAGAACCCACTGGTACCGACGTGCTAAATAATAAGAACGTCATAAGTCTCGGGGATTTCGAGGTAATTGATCAGGTCTTCCTTGGCCTCCTTGAGGATGTTGCCCGCCAGCTCAGATCGATGAGAATGCTCAGCATCCGCCTCACCCACCATTAACATGCGTAGGGTGAGTGCCCGCCTCGGAGAAGGCGCGTCTTAGTGTCATGGCGATGTGCGAGATGATGCACTCGCGAATTACAAGGGAAGCGATTGCAAACCGCTGGGAGTCAGTGAGCTGCAAATGCCTGTGCTTTTGACAAGGGGTGTTACAGGTGCATGGTATTATGCCAATCCACCAGCCAAGCCGACGGCGGGGCAGAGACTTAGTCATCTCGCCGTAGCTTGTCGCCAAATGTCGACTGCCGAGTGCTTCCAGACAGGCATCAGTTCGCAGATATTACTGGGGTCAAAAGATCAAGAATAGCGAGTTTCCAATCACAAGCAAGCAATCGAATCATTTTGGTGCGAAGTCGCAGTCTAACTCTCAATGACAAGCCCATCATGAAAGCTCCCCAATCAGGAAGGCGGTGTGGCGGGGTATCCTCGGCAGTATTTGAGGCTGCCAGGCCAGGTCAAGCAGCAAGGCGACGAAGCTTGAGCTGCCTGGCGGCTGCGTGGACCTTGACCTCAACTCCAAACACCAACATCATCGCCAAACCTAGCTCCCGCTTACCGACCGTCACCATCCACGCCGCCCTTCCCAACCCAATCCCACCCTCCGACTCGATCCATAGCGAAGCTGCTAGAGCAGCCCAACTCCCACCATGTTCAGAAACAACTACGACAACGATTCCGTCACATTGTACGCCGCCCCCAAGCCTCCAGCGGGTCCTGCAGCTCCCCAGTGCTTCAGCATGCTAACACAGCACAGCTCGCCCCAGGGCCGAATATTCCAGATCGAATATGCCGCCGAGGCAGTGAAGCAAGGTTCGGTCGTTGTCGGAATAGCCAGCAAGACCCATGCCGTCCTGTGTGCGATCAAGGTGCGACCACTTACCTCCCTGGAGTAGCCGTTGGCATGCGAAGCAATGTGTTCCTAACCCAGCTTACAGCGCAACGCTGAGGAGCTCTCCTCTTACCAGAAGAAGCTCTTTTCCATCGATGAACACGCTGGTATCGCCATCGCCGGTCTCACCTCTGACGCCCGCGTCCTCTCCAACTTCATGAAGCAGCAGTGCCTCGGCCACCGACTCACCTACGGCCGCTCCATCCCTCTCCGCTCTCTGGTCGACATGATTGGCGAGAAGGCCCAGATCAACACCCAGGTCTACGGCAAGCGGCCATACGGCGTCGGTCTGCTCGTCGCTGGTGTTGACGAGCGCGGCCCCCACCTGTTCGAGTTCCAGCCCTCGGGCATGACGGAGGAGATGCTCGCTTTCGCCATTGGCGCACGAAGCCAGATGGCGCGGACGTACCTGGAGCGAAATATCGATGAGTTTGCCGACTGCTCGAGAGAGGAGCTTATCCAGCACGGGCTCAAGGCCCTCAAGGAGAGTCTGGTGCAAGATAAGGAGCTGACGGTGGACAACACCTCAGTCGGTGTGGTGGGCATCAAGATCGAGGGACCCAAGAAGACTGTTGAGCCCTTCAAGCTTTACGACGGATTCGAGGTGCAGGAGTGGATCGAGAGCGTCGCCGAAGGCCAAGGCGGCGGAGACGACGACGACGAGGGCATGGAGGTGGACAGCTAGACTACGACTGCTAATAGAAGGGGATAAATTGCGGCGTCGGTCGGTGCTAGCTAGTTAGATCATGTACAATTACAAGCTGCAAGGCAGCATTCATGGGTCTCACGTCAAGTTGATTGAAAGCAATAACTTTGATCCTCAGTTCATCTATTAGAGTGCTACCGTGGGATTACCCGTCTATATTCCCCCAATGCAGTTGTAGTGGGAATGCCATAACGCCAGACCGCTTTCCTATTGCCCGTGGAATGTGCCAGATACCCAGCATCGCTCTATACAAGAATTGCAGTCTACTGACTGCCCCACTTCAGCTTGTAGATGGCATCCGACACTTTGTAGTCGCGGAGTGCCTTGATGGCGCCCTCGGGAGTGTCGGCGGTGACCAGAATGTCTTTGTTAGCGGGCTTGACGAACCCTTCCTCGGCGGCCTTGTCCATCCACTGGATGATGCCATCCCAGTAGCCGGCAATGTTGAGGAGCACGATACCTCGGCTGTGGATGCCCAGCTGATTCCAGGTGGTCGTCTCGAAAATCTCCTCCATAGTCCCGTAACCACCGCTCAAGCCAATGAAGCCGCTTCCGGGGCCTCCATTGAATACCTCCTCCGCCATGAGCTTCTTGCGTGTGTGCATGTCATTGACGACAGTCGTCCGCCCGTACACGGACTCTTCCGGGACGAATTGGTTGTTGCGGTTGACGGTCTGGTATGTGCCGTCACGTTCATACTTGACCAAAGCCTCGGGGATGATTCCGTGAACAGAGTCCGGGCCGTTGATGGAAACAATGGTCTTTGCGACCTCGCCCATCAGCCCTACAGTTCCGCCTCCATACACTGTCCACCTACGTCAGTTACACGATCAAGGTTGCCGGGGGGTGCCGGTGATAGGCATGGGGCCGCCGGGCGGCTCCACGCGGCTTTCGGCCGGGTGACTCACCTAAGTCAATGTTGCTGGCAGCCATAGCTCTGCCGAGAGTGCGTGCGGCTTCGATGTGTGCAGGACTGGCTCCTGCGCTGGCGCCGCAGTAGACGCAGATTTTGGTGCGAGTTTGGCCGTTGGCAGAAGAACCGTTGGCAGCGGTGCCGTTCTCGGCCGAAGGTTGAGGTGCGTGGTTGTCGGCAGTCATGATGGTGTTCTTGAAGTGGAAAGGTTTGTAAAGAAGTAGGGAAGTGGTTGCGGTCTGAGAAGACGAGAAATATATTCAGGAGCAAAGAGACAATCTGGTGAGAGACGGCAGGTATGGGAAGAGATGGTATTAATAGGATGAGTGGCGATGAGAAGACGCTTGTCTGAGGACGGGATGTTGTGGCAAAGAGGAACGCGCCAAGACTTGGAGTTGCAGTTAAGTTCAAGGAGGCGAGATGGTAAAGTATACTGAGAGAGTCGTCACAGGTCGAGGGAAGTATGAAAAAGACAGAAACAAAGGAGGAAGATTAGGTTGGGACAGTTGAAGCATGGGGTCTCGTGGGAGAAAGAGAGCGGCGGCATCGGTCATCGGAGCCACTCCTCCTGTACCTGCGGTCCACCGACGAATCCTCCAATGCCGGCCGTGTCCAACTGTCCTTGCATCAGTACTACCGGAATGCTCAGCAGCGGCATAGCGACTGGCTCGTCACCGCAGGTCACAAGACGGGAGTCATGCCCTGCACAGGGGACGTTGCCAGGCTAAGCCTAGCCTAGGACGGGATGTTGTTGTACGTTGCAGAGCCTGGTTGGAATGCCAGGTGGCGGCTTCATCGTGGGTTGACCGTCAAATGTTGAGTTCGGGGCTTCTGAGTGGTGGCGGGGCAGCATCCCGTCATGATTGATGAATGAGGGGCAGCCATTGAGAGCATGTTGGCCTGGCCACTGAAGGACTCGCTGTCAGGCACCGGCACATGCCTAACAGTTCGCTGACAGTGGGGGTGTTTAGGCGGTGCGTGCTCTGCTCCGCTGTAGCATGGAACATTTATTAGCGGTCGTCGACTCGCCGCCTCAGTGGGGGTCGTGTTGTCTGGTCACGCCCTGATTCGCCCATCTTGCGCAGCACGTCAACGCAAGCTCCGGCCGGTCCACTACCCTGATTAGGTAGGCGGCCAGAGCTCGCTATCCTCAACTCCTCAAGACACATGGACCGAGGGGAATTTCCACTTGCGACAACCTCGACCAACGGCCACGACCCAACAGCCGCAACAGCTTGGCCCGTAAATCCGGCTTCTAAACCGAGACGTTCATCCGTCTCCAAGCCTATTTAACGTGCAGCTGTCTTCTTTCCTCGACCAGAGGCGACTGACGCGATGGCCGAAGCAGCCGTCCTACCTCGTCAGCCAGGCGAGCAGCCGCAAGGAGGCGGTGGTGTAAGTCGTCGCAACGCCCCAGGGTCGAAACCATGACCACTTAGACGCCTTGACTGATAATGCTTCTGTCTTAGGGAATAACCTTCAACAAGCTTCTCCTCGGCGGCGCCGTCTACCTTGGTATCAATTTCGGCATCAACTATATGAACAGGAAGGATCAGACCGGCATCGATGCTACCCACCCTGAGACCGGCAAGATCATCAAGGTTCCCGGAAACATTGACGACATCCCGCCGTTCGAATTTAGGGCCAAGGAGCTCAACGAGGGTGCGACGTACCGCCCAATCCCCAAGAGGGTCGCGCCAATCTGGCCCCAGGACACCCACCTCGATGTCATCGTCACCCTCTCCTCCTCGTTCAACCCTGCCCCCATCTCCCAGGTCCCCGAGGAATATGTCATCCTCATTGAGAAGGGGTTTCAGCTCAACAACTACTCGGACAAGCGCGTGGCGGAGAAGACGTTTCCGGTCCCCAAGTCGGTTCAGAACAACGGCACCCTCTGGGGTCACTTCTACGTCGGTCTCCCTGGCAGCAACCTGGATCCCAAGCAGGCCGGATTCGATCCCACAAAGGCGTATCATTTCGCATGGCCCCTGACCCACTACCTTCCCCAAAAGAAGGTTGCAAAGACCCGAAACCTCCTCGACAATTCCCCCGAGCCAGAGATTGAAACTCCCGAGGAGGAAGAGCACACTGGACCTCTGATCACCAACCACTACCACCCCAACGCCAGCTTGTCCTTTATTCCCGACTTAGGCGTCAAGGACTTGGCATCACTTACTCCCCCTGTTAAGCAGTTCTTCCGTCTCGAGGCCACTGGTGCCCGTGACGGTTCTGGCCAGAATAGCTGGTACTGTATGTGCAACCCCCGCCTTGCCATCACCCGTCAAATTAATAGAGCTAACCATGACAGACCCGGTTCTGTTTGTCAACACCTTCTGGCAGTTGAAGACTCACATGTCCCCTTTGAATGAGACTGTCAAGGAGTTGCCCATCCGCCTCGATCTCGGAAACCTGGTCAGCTGGCAGTTCCAGATCATGGCCACCATGGATGCCAGTTCTAAGGAGGCCGCCCGTCAGGCCGCATACGGCAACGCGCTTCCTGGCGGCGGCGATGGCTCGGAGATGGAAATGATCAAGGAAATCTTCATTGACACGAACCCCATCCTCCTTGGCATCACCATCGTGGTCAGCATCGCACACATGTTCCTGGAGACCCTCGCCTTTGGTTCCGATATTGCTCACTACCGCAAGAAGAAGGACAACGTTGGTATTTCAGTGCGATCTATCCTCGCCAACGTCTTCATGCAGACGGTCATCTTCCTCTATCTTTTGGACAACTCCCAGAACACGAGCTGGATGATCCTGGGTACCCAAGTGGTGGGCATTCTTATCGAGTTCTGGAAAGTTACAACCGTCGTCAACGTGCGCGTTGGCCCTAGCGCCCCCGGATCCTGGCTCCCCTTCGCTGTCGTCTTTGAGGATAAGCAGAAGCTTACTGAGACGGAAGAGAAGACTAAGGAGTATGACGAGATTGCGTTCAAGTATGTGTACATTGCCGCGGTGCCCCTGCTGATCGCGTACGGCATCTACTCGCTTATCTACGAGTCTCACAAGTCGTGGTACTCGTACATCATCACGACACTGGTGGGATCGGTCTATGCGTATGGCTTCCTGATGATGATCCCGTCGCTATACATCAACTACCGTCTCAAGAGCGTGGCGCACATGCCAGCCAAGGCCATGATGTACAAGTTCCTCAACACCTTCATCGACGACCTGTTCGCCTTCACCATCAAGATGCCTTTCCTGCACCGACTGTCGACATTCCGTGACGACATCATCTTCTTCATCTACATCTACCAGCGATGGGCATACCGCATTGACTACACTCGTGTCAACGAGTTTGGCCAGGGCGGTGATGACGACGAGGCGGGGGTGAAGAAGGAGGCCGAGGGCAAGGAGGTGGCCGCTGAGAAGGTCAAGGCGGTCGAGGCGAAGGCGACTGGTGCTGATACCGGCAAGGCCAAGAAGAGAAAGTAGAGGAAAGGTCTTGCTAGTTTTTGCCTCCTATGTCTCCTTTAATCGTCTTTTAGCGTCCAACGGATGACGATAACAGTTTCACGGGTTTTGGAAAACGCAAGGAACGAGTGGCTGTCTGATGCCTCATGATCTTTGCCTGTACATGTAAATGATAATTGAACGCAAACATCGACCAACTTCTGGAAACATCCGTCACAATTGTTGTCATCTTTTAGTATGCCCCTGGAGTTTCTCAGTCACACACCCGGCACTCGATCCCCATAATCCGATACAAACATTTCGTAATAGGTACCATGGGCCCCATTTTGTCTCCCTCCATCCCAGCCCTACACAAGCACTGTCGCAACGGCGTGGAAGTCACGCAGATTATCGGTCCAATCCCATCCATCAAAAGCGCCTTTGGTACGAAGCCCCGCTGAGCGCCTCCATAATGATGTCTGGAATAAGACTCGTCCCTTTTCTAGCGGGTTCGGGGTGCTGTAGGTCGGCTAGGTCCCTGGAACACCCTGGAACACACAGCGTCATAGCGGGCCGCCCTACGCTTTTAGGGGTGGCTGAGTGCTGGGGCGGCTCCCTGGACCAGAAGGGCACGCTGCAAGGGCGGACGCACGACGTGACGACAGCCCAGACCCCGTCCCATGGTAGGTACGGTAGGTACGTGCTTGGCGGTCTCTCCGAACGTCTAGGGAGCTTCTGTGAAGCTCCCTCAGTGCATAACGACGCTTTGGGCAGTGGAAGGCTCCGCGTGCGGGTCAAGGGCAGAACACGAGTTTGAAACCAAGCCACAGGGAAGTGCTGTTTCCCATTCCGTCTAGGCGGGAACGTACAGAAGCTAAAACCCACAACGTTGCAGCATAGACGATCAAAACAAGAGAATTACCGGTACAGTGACGAGTGAGTCGTCTGCTGACAAGTGCTTCTCTTTCGTCCAGTCTTCTTCTCTCCTTCTTCCTCAGCTTCTGCCGCTCTCGCTCTCGGCATCATCATCCCAGGGGTGAGAACCAAATCGGGCAAAACACTGCACTGCATTTAGCCCACCCACACACAGCCTCACTGGGGCCGACGCCATCTCACGATACTTTCCCCATTCAACATCCTTACCCCGGTCTCGCTCTCTCACACTGTTCCTATCCCGTCGTCGCCCCCCCGTCGTCCCGCAAACGTCCCCTACGGCGGAGCTCCGGGCAGCCACAGGCGCCCACGGCACGCACCCAGTCCCTCCCGCCGGCACTGCAGGCCTACAGCCTACCGCACGCCGCAGCCAGGTGCTCAGCCTCATGCTCATGCCCATGCCAAAGCCTCCGCCTACGTCTATCGCCCTGTCCAGGCCCAGCAACTCTTAATAAACAACATCCCGCCTCGCTCTGGCTGTCGTGCTCTTCTTCGAGCCGGTTCCCGGTTCGAGCCGACAATCCGCCCATGTACCCTCTCCGGACGCTGCTCCTCGCCCCGCGACGACGACGGTGAATGAGGTGTCCTCTACGCTGACTCGACCTTGGACCTGTCCCTCGATCTGTCCCGCCTCAGCCCCTCGAACCCCCCAGACAAACACACAGCTCGTCCCTCTGCGACTCGACGACGCACGCGACCACTTGCGCCCGCCCGCTGGGACGCCTTGACGGGCTCCGACGCCCCAGGGACGACTCGACTCTTCCCTCTCCCCGAACCATGAGCAGCTTTGACTCGGTCGGGACGTTGCTGGCGGCCATCGCGAACCTGATCGCCGAGGGGCTGCGCATCCTCAGCTTGGCCGATAAGCGTCAGTGGGGACCCGACGAGCACGAACAAGTGCGAGCCCTCACCGTGGTGCTGGACGAGGCCAAACAAGACTTCCAGGATCTTTCACCCCTCGTCAATGGACAGATCTACTACGAAAACGATCGCAAACGTGCGTGGTCCCTCCATCACCCACTCCCTGCTTGCCCTTCGCCTTCCGCTCCCCGCGCTCGTTCCTGTCAAAACTGATGCTGACATGGACCCCAGATGAATCGTTAGAAGAATTGAGGGCTTTGAGAGCCCTGTTTAACACTCACGTACAAAACCTAAGAGACTGGAGCCGCTCAGGCGGCCCCATCAACCCCATATGGGTGCGCGAGACGCACGACCTCCAGCGACAACTCCACCGCGCGCAATGTCGCGCCGCGCGTCGCATCTTCACATCCGAAAAGGAGGCCTCTTCACGTTGCCTAGGCGCCTTCCTGGTGTACCGGAAACAGCGGGAGTGGACTAGAAACCGGGCCGTCCCCGACGAGGCGGAATACCAACGAAGGTATCGGGAGGAGCTTCAACTGTGCAACACCGTTGGTGCATTCCAACGATTCAGCGACCGCGATATAGCATTCGTATGCGATTATTGCGACGGGCACATCATCTGGGAAGACCTTGAGGCCATGCCCTCAATCCGAACTTTTCAGGAGGCCGCCGCATCGCCCATTTTAACCCTGTCCCCCACGACGGACAACCCCCACTGGCAAGCCACCGGTTTCAGCATCTCCGCCCACGAGGAGAAGCAGGTCGTATTTGCCCCTGTTGCCATCGCAAATCATGTGGCGCCGCAACACCGCGACTGGCTGGCAGGTCTACTATGCCCGTACTGCGAAGATGAGTCGGCCGAGCCCCAAGAAGAGTACGACGACGACGATGCGTATCACCCAGATCTCGGCTACGAGGAAATAGGCACCTTTCAAGAACACCTCGAATGGCAACACACGACTACTGCACCGACATCTTCACAACCGGCGAAAACGGATAGCTGCCAGGTGATGTAGGCGGTGTATCACATCGAGCAATATTACCCAGGCTTCTTCTGGTATCTGCTCTACCATATTTCTTGATTTGATTTATTTGGGACAAGGTTTTGAATAAGGAGTCTGGAGTCGCGAAGAGTCCTACCACGGATCGGAAGCCCGACATGGGCTGGGGGACAGTGCACTAAAGTTACGGCCTTGACGAGCTCGCTAGAGACCACCAAACGAAACTGGACATGAAGCCAACGTAGATAGTCACATAATGTACATAGCCTTTGGCCAAATTTTCTCCCCCGTCGTCTCCTGATGCCACGGATGTCTCCGAAACCCCTTGCCTCAATGCCCGTTTCGTCCATCACTGAGAAGCCCAAAACAGAAACATGCGGATACGCCTCGCTGAATGGTGGTAGATATATCGGTATATATATGGATTACGGATCATGGCTCAGAAAAATCGCCAGTAGATGAAGACGAGGATGATAAATCCCAAACCTGCAAAGGGCGCGTACTGCTTGATGAGCAGCTCCCAGTTGATGCGGACGGCGGCGCGGCGGTACTTCTTGCTGTCGTCGCGCAGGCGGGAGCTGAGCTCGCCCATGCGTTCAAGGCTGTCGCCACGATACAGCAGATCCTCGATGTTCTTGGTCATGACCTTGGTAACATCACGCAGCTCATCATTGACCTTGTCGAGGTTCTGGGCAGCACGGGCGTCGGCGTAGGTGGTCTTGCTCTTGGAAATGAAGTTGTCGAACTCCATAAAGGCGTAGGGCCGCAGCGTCGTCGAGTGGACCTGGGCGATCGGGTAGGTGGTGGTGAACTCGCGGGCGAGGTCGGCGAGGTAGGTGAAGGCGAGTTTGCGCGGGTACGACGCGGCGCATACGGTGAGGAAGACGATGTCCTGGTCGATCAGGTAGTGCAGGGTGTGGGGGCCGGTCTCGATGCTGGCTTGCGCCTCGGAGTTGCGGGTGAGCTTGCGGAGGACTTGGCGGACGTTTTGCTTGGTTTCGACGAGGGCGGACTCGGCCTGCAGAGAAGAAGTGGTGTTAGTGCCAATTCGGACAAGGGAGGCAGTGGTGATGCTGGTTTATACCTGTTCGTCGTCGACGGAGGCGCAGAGCATGAGGCCTGGGGAGGTGTGTTAGCTTTTTTCTCCCACGGCCTGATACAGAGGAGCGCATACCATCTAGCCTAGATATTTGTGTAGAGTAGATCATGGTGGCGGCTGTTTGGGGGGGAGTATGTCGGGAGAACAGAGGCCGGAAGAGCGCAACGAGGTCGAGGTGGTAGTTATCGAGTCCCCTGGCGGCGCAGAACCCAACGTGTCAAGAACACCACGCGATGGGAGGCGATGACGTCGCGGCGGGACAGGCAGAGGCAGAAAGGCCACGGAGCTGGTGCAATCGGAATGTATATGGCAGGCACGGCAGATTCACGTACGGGAGCCTTGGATGCCGAGGCCGTGGGTCACGATGGTGTTGGGAGAGTTTGCCGTCGTGTCGTTCGTTGTTCGCTGTCGTAATGCTGCTTGGAGCTTCGGCGACTGGTCCCGGGATTCGGGGGGGGTCGTGCTGATTAGATAAAGGGCTGATGGGCCACCTTGTCGGAGCTCGACCACCAGGGTAAAAGAAAAACTACCACCAGGGTTTCTATTTAACTTTTAATATTAACAAAGATGTAATTTTCCAGACAGTGTTCTCTAGCAATGCCTTTTTTTCGACATTGTCTTTTGCAGAATTTGTGGTGACGTGGCAGAAGGGGCGCTGTATTCTCCTTGGAATGAGTCTCCCTACCCAGATTCCCAGGGCACACACAGGGTGACTCGAAAGAAGTAGGACAATGTCATCGAGCTCCCTTGCATGGATCCATCCAGCCGTACACTCTTCTTTGTGAACTGACCAGCCGAATGGCAAGGCCTTCGTGAACAAGGCAGGTCTCATCTCGTCAATCGGTCATATCTCGTCTTCCTCGTCATCAAAGTCGTCCTCCCGCCCCATCTCGTACAATATCCTTCCTCCTTCACCTGCACCGATATCTGTCTGCGCATCGAAGTAAGGCAGCACTATTCCCTCTCGGTCCTTTCTTTGCTTCTCCGTCAGCCCGAGGTTGAAGGTGCTTTCGGGCTCCTCTTCGCCTTCGCCCGTTTCGCCGTCTGCCGGCGCCCCCAGCATCGGGTGGTCCGCGAGCAGGCAGACTTTACCAGGGGTCAACGACGTCGGTGATGCAGAAGCCTCCTTTCGACTGAGGATGAACTTCTCGGCCACTGTTCTGCCACTGCGTCGTCGTAGTTCCATGTGCATCACCACCCCGTCACTTGCGTCGCTCTTGTCCCTCCCTCGCCCCTTCAACCCAACGAGCACACCCTCGCGATCCTCGCCTAGTCCCCATTCCGGCTCCTGGATACTCCTGTTGCGGGCCTTTTGCCGCTCGATTTCCTGGTACAGGCTGGAAAGCCTCAAGATGGCCGTCGCGAGGTGGCACAAGATGGTGAACGGGTGAGGCTCGTACTCGCTGAAGGACTTGGGGAGTACGATGGGAACGTCGTCGTGGTATGTGCCCACGATGGAGACGGCTGGCGTGATGATGCTAGAGAGAAAGCTTGCGAGCGACTCCGGGGCGGTAGAGGCCAGGGCGTTGAGGGAGTCGATGATAACAATAGCTCCTAGAAGAAACGATGAGTTGGAAATATCATGCGACAAGCTCATCTAACTCACTCTGTGTAGGTTTCTCTTTTGCGGCCAAAGGTTTAAATGCGGGATAATGGGCGACCAAGTCTCGTCTAACGGAATTCAAGTCTTTGCCCGCGGCTTTGACGAAGACGTCGACATCTCTGGGTTTCTTGAGCGTCACAAACGAGAGGAATATCACCGACGTCTTGGCGATCTGGACATCTCTATTAGCTCTATCGTCTGGGCGAGATCCCCAGCTCTGTAGGCGGTGAAAAGTACACTACCTTTGCCCGTGAGATAAACTCGCTCAGTACAGGTTGCGCGGGTTGCTCGAGGCTGTCGATGACGAGGGTGAGCGGGCTTGCGCCGTCGCGCAGATTCAAGAGTTTTTGCAACAGCAGAATGCTGTGAGAGCGAGTGTGGGCGTTAGAGGTAGGCGCCATTCTGGGTGAGATTTCTGTGAAATCGAATCCTCTTGCACTGCACGGTGAGGCTCTGTCGCCGGACGTCTTGTCTGTTCTCGAAGCGGTTGGATTCTCGAGGTCGAAGTGAGGTGAGTCAAGCTGGTGAGTAGTGAAGGCCGTCTTCGGCTTGAACTTGAAGTTGTGCCCAAGCAGATACTAGCATGGAGAGTCCAGGCGGGTGCTTGATGAGTTACTGCCGACGTCACTAAAATCTAGTGGGGTGCCTGCTGAACCCCTCCAGAGCTTCCAGTACCCCGCCAAAGCGACACCATGATAGAGCCAAGTGAAGGCAAAGAGACGGGAGACAAGACGAAGACATTATCATCAAAAATGAATGGCTCGTGGCTTGTGCATTTTATCTGCCCCCGGAATATTCTACCAATAATTATTCGCAACGTCTCATGCCAGTTCATCCTCGCTCTTCTCCTCGTAAGAGACAGGTTTCGTGCTCCTCCGCGGGCGGCAAACCGCCATGACCTTGTGCTCAACCTTGCGTGGGATCTCGGGTTCCTTGTGATTTGTACTGTCGACTTGCAGCTCGTCCACAGCTTCGGGTTCTCCTTTCTGCTCCTTTTTCTGCTCATTTTTCTGCTCATCGCCACGCTCCACCTCGGGATCCTCCATCTTAGCATCGCCGTCACTCGGAGCCGGGCGATGCTGCGACTGCAACTCTGGCGGTAGCTCCACTTCCCAGTCTTCCTTGAATTTATTCTCGAGGTGTTCGTCGAAATCCCCAGCCATTCTTCTCTCGTGGGCAGCCCAGGCCGAGGCAAGCCAGTCTGGGTCATGTCGTCCTTGCGCGATGTTTTCCGTATATGCTGCGCAATCATGCCGGAAGCTGTCATCGTTCATGAGCGATGCAAAATCTGGGCAAGCATCCTCAGTGCCAGCAGCCAAGACGTGCTGGTCATCTGGGAATAGCGCCAGTATCTCGGCCTGCTCTTCTTTGTTCAGTACATCCCAGGCCATAGGATTGGATAGGATTGTCTATGGGAAGAAAGTTAATGCTTGCAACCTCATAATTGTAGATGGGTTAGCCTCACTCTGAGATCTGCAGAAGCTAGAGGTGACTTAGGGTCAGAGAGGAGGCTCTCAGCATCCCATTTGGACTTCTTGGCAGCTCTTCTCACGACTACCCTTTTCCGGCTAGCCTTGGGTTTTGTGGTGTTTGAGACGCCTTGGCTCCTGGAAGGTGAAGACAGCTTGATGTCTTCTACTGGTGGCATTTTCTCGGGCGAGCCATCGGAAAGGATCGGTTCTTCGACCGACGAAAGAGGCGATGACGAAGGTGTGTGCCTACTGCTCCGCGCCTCAACCTTCCGGTCTCGCATTGTTGATAATTTCTCTCGGCTTGGAAGGCAATAGAGTGTGCAGTTTCAGAATGGTGAGGTGAGTGTGATTTGGTTCGAGTGACTGGGCCTGATGCTGTCTCGGATGTGCAGACTTTGGAGGTCTAATGCGGCACCCCGACGCAGGGGCGTAATATCGAGTTGAAATTGTGGGTTATAGTCTCTCAGTGATCATTTATTCGAACCCGATGTATCGTTTGTGTGCTTTCTTCGCTTGCTGTTGTTGCAGTTGGACGAATGGATTTCTCTAGGGTAGACTGTTCCAATGCATGAAGCCGTTGGTGGCGGCTGACAAAGCCCATCCCGAGCAAACATGCCTACCTACCATTAAGCTCACTCGGCGGAGAGCGGGAACGCCAGTGCTATGGGGTTCCGCCCGTTGGCTCCAAGCATATACGTAGCACCTATTGCCAGAACCGACTTGGTAGAATACGAGAAATGATTATGGCGTGTTTCAGGTATTGAATTGGTGGCGTTGCTCATCTAGTGATCGTGATCGGCACTCTCGATTCAACCTAGAGCGGCGACCAGTGTTTCCGAGTAAACCCTGTGAAGTCTGAGCGGAGCGATTGAATGCTCCCTATTTCCCCCCCCAGATAACTAAGTACGTGCTGTCAATGCTATGGAAAAGGTGAGGATGTTCACTATTGAGGAATGACTGAATCACGCAAAGAGCACGTCGGGTAATGACCTCGTTACACCGGGATGCTGTGACACCGTGACAACGCCCGACTCTGCAAGGAACGGTTAAGCTTCATGAAATGAAGGACCAAGCTGAAGCGTTTCAAGGCGTTAATAGGTGTTAAAACAATTTAAGAAAAGCCACAATTAGGCACGTTCCTACTAGTCTTGGGCCTAGACCTACTCAGGCCGCCCGTCTTGTCAGCCCTACTAGTCAGCTACCGTAATATTACTCCATGAGGCGCTATGAATTGCTTTCCCCGCGAAAACTACTGGATAGCTTGAGCCGAGCTGTATCAGCTAGGAGGTGGCGTAAGTCAATGCTATGATTTATTCTGTACAGTATTGTCTACTTAAACCGAGGCGTACCCCGAGGTCAACTGGCCGTTGGAGGTTATAATCGATATACACAACGCAACTCATCTATCAAAGACTTCATCATGGTTTCAATCAGAACACTTGCCATCATCTACAACGCCCTGGGCGTCCTGACAGGAGCCAATGCCTCTCTGTGTAGGCCAGCCGACCTCGCCGCCACCTCTACTGGAAACCCGCACGGTGATACCCTGCCCTGCCTCAGCTACGTCCCCGAGGCCGAGCTCCAGCTTGATTCGATGTGTGGCGAGCAAAACCTGGCAGCACCCGCATCTTCTGGCAAATATAACTCGGTTCCCTCCTCAGACTTCAACGCCTGTGCCGTGTTCTGCGATGGCACCGACCTCTGCAAGTCCTTTTCATACGAAGGAGCTTCGTGTCAGCTGTATCCCGACACAATCGACCACCTGGATTGCAAGAATGATCAAAATGGAGCTGTCTGGTACGACAAGGCCTGTTTCTTCTGTCCCAGCAAGGATGCCGAACCTTGAACACTGCGGATGGACATGCGATGGTTACTGGGGTTGGGATTGACACAGACACGGAGAGAGAGACGGGTAAAGAGAAAGGGACGGGGACTCATTAAAACGGCGTGATATCTCTTAACACACACAATCTAAAAAAAAAGGCTATGTACATGTACTATTTGGGTTTTTTTTATAGCTCTACTCAATATCATCAGAAAGATCAAAGCCAAATAGTGCTACCCGCACCACCAGAAGAAACATCATGCATACTGATCTCTGCCCGAAGCTTCAATTCAACCCTTCTGACTTCAACCCTGCTGTCTGCAGATCACATGGTCAGTCAACGACCCTATTGTCTGCAGTCAACGACCTTGAGATAGGAACCTTATTCCGAGCAATAAGATATAAGACAGACGTCTCCCGTCGTCAAGTGACCAACTTCCCTTCTATCACTCATCCCATCACAACAACTTTTTATCATGTTAGCTTCTTACTATACTATCTAGAACATCTGGATACAAACCAATATTGATGTCGGTAAGTGGATTTTCTTGCGAATCGACTCTGTTCCTATCGTCAAGAAATAAGCTGCATCCGAAAATAGCCAACGGATCCCTTGGATACAGCTTATTTCTTGACGATAGGAACAGAGTCGATTCGTAAGGAAATCCAGTTATCCGCATCAATATTAGGTGTATCCAGGCGTTCTAGATGGTGTGGTGAGAGGTTGAAGAGCCTGTTTTTCGGAAGGAATTTTCGATGGGTATTTAATTTGCCTCTTTCTATTTTGTCTTGTGGATTTCGAAGGTATCCAGTATTGTGCCGGAATCCGGTTTTGTATCACTGATATGCAAGGTCATTCTCGATAAGAGCTTTACGAATGATGGTAGTCGACATGATGAAAGTTGTCGAGATGGGATGATACATGTACTATATATCAAAAACTAGAGAATGGATAATGATTTCGCATTCGGGTTATTACCCGGATCCTCCTCTATTTATCCGCCTCCCCGCCTCTTATCCCACGGTGCAGCTCCATAACACCCGCTAATCCCACCCTCCACCATTCGACGTGCATTGTGCGTGACCAAATAGGGTATGACCTGCACTCATCAGCGGACGTGTGGTAGCACTTGGCTGAGCGACGAGTATGATCTCGGGTCGGGGTTCCCCCCGAGAACGGCGACTTGCTTCGTCTTATGCCCCCATCCCTCCATCGAATGACATATAACTATCCCACCTATTCGACAGCAACAAAAGAAATTGACACCGTACACTGAACATACTGACAACTTGTTACACCATGGACGCAACCAAAGGGCTATGCCTAGGCTACGACGGGATCCATCCCTTTGCCAAGGTCGATGTTACTGACCGAGCCTCCATCCAAGAACTTCTCCGCACGCTCCTTGACCCACTTGAGCCATTCTTCTCCCCCAAGAAAGCACGAGTTAAATGCCCTGGTGCTACAGCAGTGCGGTTTGACCAAGCTGCATCCGAAGTTGAGGGAATCTGCCGGCCGCTCTGGGGGCTCTCTGCTCTGCTTGCTGGCGGTGGTGAATATCATGGCAAAGAATGGTGGATCCAAGGCATCAAGTCGGGCACAGATCCCGAGAGCCCTGAGTATTGGGGCTATCCTCAGGACAATGACCAGAGAATGGTCGAGATGTGTCCATTGGGTGTGTTGCCTGCTATCAAACAGGTGCTAAGCTAACCATTCTATAGGTTTCGCCTTTGCTGTTGTGCCAGATATTTGGAGCAACTTCTCTGAAAAGGAGAGAGAAAATGTCGAGACCTGGCTTGGAAACTCGATTAATGAGAAGAAGTACGACATACACACTGATCATATTCCCCAGTTTACTTACTGGACATAGCATGCCAAATACAAATTGGCTCTGGTTCCGCGTGTTTGCGAACCTGGGATTGAAGAAGAATGGTGGTAAATTCTCGCAAGAAAGGCTTGATAGCGACATCAAACACCTGGATACATTCTACCGTGGAGATGGCTGGTCCAACGATGGACCAGAAGGCATTCATCGTGAGTCTCCCTGCTTCCAATCCGAGTGCGGTCGCTGAGAGAACTAGAAATGGACTACTACTCATCCAGCTTCGCCATACACTTCCTACAGCTCCTTTATGCCAAGTTGGCAGGAGAAGAGGATCCGGAGCGCGCAGGAGAATTCAAGAAACGAGCTCAAATTGTCGCTCTGGATCTCGCACACTATTTTGATGACGAGGGAAGGGCTATTCCATTTGGACGCAGTGTGGGCTACCGCTTTGCCATGGTCTCTTTCTGGGGAGCACTGGCTTATGCGGGAGTTGAACTGCCTGAGCCCCTGACCTGGGGGATGGTCAAGGGCATCGTGCTTCGCAACTTACGCTGGTGGCAGACCCAAAATGAGATGTGGACTTCCAGTGGAACTCTGTCGATTGGGTACTCGTACCCAAATATGTATGTAAGTGTCAGCCACTTCCGATTCTCAACGACGTCGACTAAGTGACCGCAGATGGCAGAGAACTACAACAGCCCAGGGAGCCCGGTAAGATCAGACTGATTCATGTGAGAGACCGCATCTAACGAGGTAATAGTACTGGGCATGCTTGGCATTCATTTGTCTAGCAGTGCCAGAAGATCATCCCTTCTGGACATCCAAGGAAGAACTTGCAAGCAGTGTCATCCCAAGGGTCAAATCACTCAAGCACCCCGGGCACATAATGAGGTGAGTACCGATTGACACGAGTCTAATCCAAATTTCTAACCCAATCTCAGTTATCTCGGAGGACATTCAATGCTTCTGTCTTCGGGACAGGCGTGCAGCTACCCAATGAAGGGAACCCACGCAAAGTACGGAGGATTCGCGTATAGCAGCGCATACGGGTACTCGGTGCCCCCCGGGCTGTTCTCTCTCGAACAATACGCCCTAGCGTCCCAGCTTGGGTTTTCGGATGATGGAGGGGAGTATTGGAAGACGAGGAGACTTTCGGAGTACTCTGGACTCGAGTATCGTGACGGCAAGCCTGTTCTCGTCTCCGTTTGGAAGCCATTCCCGGACGTCAAGGTCAGAACCATCCTCATCCCGCCGGAAGAGGAGACACCCAACTGGCACCTCCGCGTTCATAGAATTGAGAGCGGTCGGGAAGTCATGACCGCTGATGGATCCTTCGCCATCAAAAACGTGGACTCAACTACTGGGCGATACCTGGGCCTGTACAACGAAGAGACCCACGAGGGAACGTCTCCCAAGATCATTGGCAACTATGATGTCAAGTCCCCCGCAGGTTGGGCAGCTGGAACGACTGGGGCCTTTGCAGTATCCGAGGGCGCAGTGGGCATCAAGGCGCTGGAAAAGATGGAAGGACGCGAGGCTATGCTGGTGAATGCGGACCCGAACTCGAATCTCATCGAGAGTCGAAGCACAATCCCGACGCTTCAACATACCATTGGCGCAGGCCAGTCGGTCTGGTATGTTTCTGCCATCTATGCTAAGCCTTCTGCGCCCGGCGTCGTCAAGGCTAGCTATCTGGAGGGTTGGGGAAGGCCTCCTGTTTTGCCAAACTGGCTGGAAACAGAGATGGATGTCGCGTCGGGTCAGTGAGCTCCGACGGCGACTTCGGGAGCCCAATAATGGCTTTGTACACTTCACAGAATAGGTGGAGAGAATAGGCGGGCTTATGGAGACTCCTGTTCCTCCATCAATAGTATCGTTTTCCCCTCACTCCATATTCAGGTTTCCCCGCCAGTCGTCCGTTGCGGGGACAATCTTGTATCAATGTGGGCTCACTAAGATCCCAGGTCGGCTCAATTGTCATCTAACCACCCGGATGATTACCTCACCTTATTCGATCCTCTTATAACCTCAATGAATGCAATGCAGCTGACCCCTGTCCGGAAGGATGAATATCCACGTATCACAGTCGGATGCCGATAATTCAGGATAACACCCAGCCGTGAAGCGATGAAGAAGACACTCCATCGAAGGCTCCAGCCGAGAAGCTTTTCTAGTGGAGAATCTCCGCATCCCCACGCCGGTAGCGAATTCCCCGAAGACTGCCTCAAGTGCCAGCAGCGATGGTTTTAGACAACATGTCCGCGTATATCAACCAAATGCGGTATCCCCAAGTATGAGGCTCAGAGGAGGATTCAACTGCCTGCCCCATGCCTGTTACCATCAGGGTACCTCTCAGGGCCAGGGTACGCCGTTGCCGCACAAGTGAAGTACCTTCTACATCAAATGGCGGCTCGGAGAATATTCGTGGGGGCCCCATCTGCCTCTGACATTGCTCGTGAGCGGTCTATCCCCATGTATTGGTGATCACCTTTGCTGCTTGCCAAGGCGTTAGGATGAACAAACGATCTCACAACGCCCCGGTACAACGACGATGGACACGCAGGTCCGACATTCCAACGTCCTCATTCTCACAAGCAAAGCATTCATGGGGGATTTACGGCATTATCAGCAAGGAGCTCTACCACAGTTTCTTTGCGAATTCGTATCTCTCCGTGACTTGATCGAGATTACGCGAGCCAGCCCTCCCGGATAGCAAGTTCAGCATAGATAAGAGAGTTTCTATATTGCCCTGATGACGCTAAAGGTTTGGGCTTGGACGTGTCTGGTAATTTAACCCGGATTCGCAATTCCTGGCCGAAGGACAACACGAATACGAAGGCTGGCGCAGGAAGTTTGACAACCTGGATGGCAGGTATCCAGCCAGCCCCTCCCTAATCGTGCAGTGTGATCTGCGAACAAGTAACTAAGCAATATTGGGCGTCCAAAAGCTTTCCCTTAAAAATATACAAATAGGAAAGCACATGGCCTGCAGTGTGCTTTCGGTTGATAGTAACTTAAACTTCACTTATAGGAGCATAAGAGCACAGCTTTGGTACATACTTAATTACTAAATCAGAAGGGTCTTAGTGGCTCTCTACCTCCGCAAAGCAACCCCGTCTACAAGGCGTTGATCGACGGAGTGATGGAAAATGGAATGAAACACGGTGTAGGGACACTTATTTCTGTGTGGCACACTGTACTTAGCATAACCAAGCATCCTATAAACAACCGTATTTAAAAGCTATCTGAGATTTCTCGTAGATTTCTCGTAGAAATCTGATGGAATAAGCCTTGACGCTGACCTAATCGTGTATTCGGACACTCCACCATCCTTTCCCCACCAGTAACGTCCATTGCTTCGGAGAATCATCACCACAACATTACACTGCACCCTGGTATTTCCATCAAACAGAGCTGCTCTTTGCCAATTACACTAGGGCGCTGAACTATCATGGAAGTCGTTCGTTTTGATTCGGGAGGTAGAGGCGAACCACCACGCATTGGCACGTTTCTTACTCATAAATTTTATCATTCGTAATTAAAACTGTTAGGCAATCACAAGCACTCAACAACCTCAGGAAGCATCTTGGAAAGACTAGGTCTTGGGAGTTTAATATTGCGAAACAAATCGGACCCATTCTAAGACTCCTTCTCGGTTTCAGTCGTATGCTTTTTTTTCGAAAGCTTGTACGCAATATTCGCTACGCAGAACTTCTCACCATTTGTCTCCTTCAGAATCATAGGAGGTTATACCAAATCACGCTTCCTCTGACTACGTGACGATGAACTTTGAATTCTGAATTCTCACACTCACGCTACAGAAAGAGACATTCAAGAAAGCGAAGTCTTGGTGTTCCAGAAACACGAATTCAAGACTTTAGCCCAAGAAATCACCGATAAATTCAACGAAAATCCTGTCCTTTGGAAAGATTAACAGTATGTGTACCATATCCTTCCAGTCTGGATGGGGTTCTGGATGGGGTCCTCGCGGCTGGATCCCGGTGACCGAGACCCACACTGCGCGGTTGCGAGCCATGAACGTGGTGCTTGCCGCCGCCACTCAGTGGTTGTTCAACTTTATCATTGTCCAAAGTGAGTATCTCAGTTGAATATGAATGAAATTAGAGGATGAGAAAGCTAACTATCATACCAACTGTGCTCACGGTGCAAGCGACCACGGGCGAGGCCGGCTATGTTAGTGCTATTCCGCGACAACCGAGACCAGGTTTACGTATTGGACAACAATCTGCCAACCATGGGCAACAGTTGGACACTTTCTTCATGTTTGGTAGTTTCTGTATCCTCATGGGCATATTCGTGTGGTTCTTTGTGCCAGAGACCAAGGGCCTCATCCAAGAGAAGACGTACGAACTGTTTGGAGTGACGGAGTTGGTCAAGCGGCTGGGCAACGACTCGGAGAGCAACGACTCAGAGACGGGTGCCACGGAGCTACGCAGCATCCGGGAAGAGCCGGTCGGCACCAAGGGTTAAGGGGTTTTTGGGCGACGAGGATGGACTAAGTGTTTCGTACACGCATGCAGCCAAACAAGGGGTGGTCAGACAAGGAACCAGACAAGGAGTCAGATAGCCAACGAGACATGGTGTATCGATACCCAACCCGAGTCGGACCGAGATCAAATCGGGGAAAGGAGTGTGTTCTCATTTTTGAAACGGAAGGCTTCGAGTCGATCCTGGTCCCGGGTTGAGCTAATCAATGCCGCACCTAGCACAAGGCAGACGAGATGTTTTTTTGACATCTTCTGTGCAACTACTGAGTATGTCGCCGGGTGCGTGCGTGTGTTTACGCGCGGAGAAGGTCTACGTTCGTGTTAGTGGTGTTAGCGGTGTTGTGTAACTGGGCTGAAGTGAAGATGACCGAAAGTGCCGACGCTAAACTATCAGCGGGATCCATGTCGGTTCTGTCACTAACGAATTCAGAGTCTATGCTTTCGCCACGGTGTGTCGGGGGTAAATCAGAGCAAGGATCGTGGGTGTGGCATCGGATGGAAGGTTTGTACGGAAACGTCTACGCGGGAAGGTTTGCACGGGAAGGATTACACGTACGCAAAGGGACGCCAAGAAGTGAGAGAAGAGACGAGAAGAGACGAGACATGACGGGACATGACGGGACATGACGAGACACGGGGTTTGCGGGTCTTTCTCGTGTAGATGCGAGCCGCAGCATTGACTTGGCGACTCGGAATGGAAATCCGAATGGGTGCAAGTTCTATTCCATGTGTCTGATGGAATGCGGGATAACCGCTTTGAGAAGTCAGCGTCCGCCCTGGAAGTGGGTTTGCCCGACTCAGGATGCTACTGGGATGTGGGGGAGGGAGGGAACGCCTGGAGCTAAAGCACCTCCCGCCTGTAATAGCTGTAATCGCATAAAACGGGGCCGCCTAGGGCTCCAATGGGTGATTGTTTGCGCTGCTGAGTGTCACTCACGACCACTCTGAGCCGTCAGAGTCTTGAGTGACCATCCACTGAAGCTTTTGGGTCCGGGCCCAGGCGCTGTGGCACCGAGGCTTACTGGCAAACTGCCGGATCACGCTATGACGCCCAAACCCAATGGAACGCCCCGGACCCCGGGAGGTTTATGTACTGCGCAATCCAGTGAATCCAGTGAATCCATGAATCCACCCCCGCCCTCACACACTCGCACACGCTCGCCGCGCTAGTTCGGACCCTGAAGACTGGTACCAGTTAAAGCGTCCGGGCAGCTGCTCCGTTGCGACCAGAATGTGCCTATAAACAGCAGTGCTGCTGGCCCACTGCCGGCAGTAGTGGATCGGCGGGCTGTGGGCTGTGGGCTGCGGATTGATTTGGGCCTCTAGCGCTCTAGAGGGTTTGGATTCCCCAGCAAGCCCCTTGCAGCCCTGCTAGGGCTGTTTACTAGGTAGGTACGTGGTGGCTGTGGCTGTGGCTTGTCAGCGGAGTCGTTGAGCGTCGGGTCTTGCGATTGCGAAGCGACTTGCCACCTCCCGACCCAGCGCCCATCCCAACGTTTACCCTCCCGCAGCACAACACACGACAATGCGTAGGTTTCAACGGATCGAGGGTGAGGCGCGTGGCTGCTCCGCCGGCTTCTCCCCTCCGGCGCTGGGCTCGTCTCGAGATTCAGCCAGGCAAGGGCCCAGCTCGGCCAACTCCCTGCGCCGCCGCCGCCGCCGCCGCCGGAACCCCGGTATGGGCGAACGCGGCGAGTCGGGACGGAGACCGAGACTTGCGAGCGCCGAGGAGTCGTCGAGAGCTAAAAGATTGGGTAAACCAGGCCACCGACGTGATGCGCCTGCAAGAGGTGCATGGGTGACGGTGTTTCATTCATCACATGGTGCAACATCAAACATGCATGGCAGGGCACCGCATGGCCGTGGCGACGATCCCTCATTGCCGGCTTCCTACAGGCCCAGCTGCGCGCATGAGCACGCATGAGCGCGCACATGGGAGAACAGGCTATGGAACGTCTACTCCACCAAAAGTTTGCTGGATTCTCTCCGGTCTTCAAATTCCCCAATGGCGGCCACCCTGGTGTTGCGCCCTTTCCTGCAGCAGCACTGCAGCAAGCCCGCAGCCTCACAGATCCGGTCCTCTTTCAACTCTCTGGTGCTTCCCCTTTGAGTCGCCATGCGTGTGTTGGTTTGCGTGTCACCATATTAATCCGTGGCTTTCTCATATACCTCCATTAAACCTGCACTCCCGCGTCTCCCGCTTCCTCCCCCCATGTCCAACTTAACTTCGGTCACAATGGTGTTCTTCTATCGTCATCCGCCTCTCACCTCCCACATTCCACATTCCACAGCCCACAGCCCAGAGCCCACATCCCACACACATCTTTCCTCCTTCTACTCCGTAGGTCTATGTACGTACCATTATATGTACATGACTAAACCTATGTGGCACTGGACCTTTACTGCTTACAACCAACAACTCCGTCTCTCTCCCTCCGCAACCTGACCCTGACCCTGCTCGTCTGCACCCGGCCCACCATCCGTCCCTCTTTGCCCCGTTTTTCGTTCCCCGTCAAACAGTTCTCTGCTCCGACAGTTATACCGCATAATAATGTGTGTTATCTTGTCTTTTCCCATGTTGGTCCTCAACAAAGACGAAGACCCAGCACCGCAATAGACGTGGCCAGCAACTCATGCCCCCATCGTTTTTCCATACCCAGGTCGCGTTGCCGCAGTATTACTCCGCCGGAAACTGTAGCCTTCCTTGCTCCGTGCCGTAGGTGCCTTTTCTTGCCTTTCCTATGCTATCCATGAATCCAATCCGCGTGGCAGGACAAGGATGAGAGACCCTTGCAACTAGTCGGCAACCAAGCGGCCACACATTACACATTGCCCATCCATTGCGCACAACGACAACCAGGGCTGGAAGAGGTAACTCGGTCGCGTCCGTGTGTGTGGCCTGGTCTCATTCCCCTGCTTCTTGTTTCCTCTCTTCTCTCTCCGTCCCTCCCTTCCAAGCCTCCATCTGCCCATTCATCGTCCTCCAATGCCGCCCTCCTCTGCTCTTGTCCGAGCGTGTAAGCGATCTGGAAGCACGCACCCATCCCATGTCCATGCCCATCTTTGGCTCCTGCTACAGTACCTACCTACCTGCTTATCTTCCTGCCCGCTTGACTGCCCAGCCCGACTCCCTCTCACATTGGTAGCAGGTAAGGCTTGGAACTCAGCTGTTAGGGAGTGAGGCTCCCCTCGTTTTACTCGATGATTTAAAAGCCCACCCCCAGTGCCCTTCCTAACCCCGAAACGCCAAGTATTCCTCTCTTCTCTTATATTTTGCTCCATCAATTCTTCATCTTTGAATCTCGCCTTTCCATCTCACCGAAGTAGCGCAAATTCTACATTATCATTCTTCTACTCCCTCTCTCCTTCCCGAGTGGCCAACCTCACCACCACCATCCGCTACCACACCACACTCCGCCCGCCACAAATCCGTATCACACCTCACAACCAACCAACCAACCAAGAACCCGTCCAGGTCTGATATCCTGCTCAGTATCGACACCCGCTGCAACTGTTATTCTCCCTATAGGATACGGCACGTTCCGTTTACCCGTCAACTCCTTCACTGGTCGAACCAAACTTGCATATCGGTTGAGTCTCCGCCTCCGGTGCCATTCACATTCCACCGTCATCGACCTCTTGTCTTTCGTCAACTGCCGTCCAAACGGCCAGTCAATTGCCCCGCAGGTTTGCGGAGAGTTTTCTTGTCTTTGGGGGCCGACCAACACGCGGATTATACCTACAGTACCCAACTCGATATACCCAGCCTTGCACACGATACTGCGGTGCTTGCTCATTTGCCGAACCAGCTACATACCGGACCAGTTGAGTATCGATCCTTGAACTAGAGTGTGTTCGGGGATTTTCGAGTCCACATCACTCATTGGGTCGCAATTCGACATTGGCTAGAAATTCTAGTTGATCGCAAATGTCAGCACAGGAGCGGGTGAGTCGCGCCGCTCAAGAAGCTGCCGGTGCCCCGCGGCACCCTCAAGCAATTCCAGGCCCCTCTTTCCGTAGGTCACCCCTCCCTTCCCCTCCCCCACCAGATGTTCCGGGTCTACCGTCTGCCGCATGACAGCTGGCAACTGCCCTACCTTCCCAATTACCGTTCTGACCCTACCTTCCCTTCCCCAGGCCGCCAGGCCACCCCAGTTGTCGATTCTAGGTGGGCTAGTTGTCAATGATGTAATTTCTATTGCTCCTCCTCCCACGCTTGCAACCTTCACCTCTCAAGTTGTTTTCCCCATCACCATTTCCTAATCCTCCGCCACCTATTGCTGCCCAAAACCTCGAGATATCCCGATCACACATTTCCCAGTCATATTCCCCAAGCTCAAATACCTGCCACCGTGTGAAATCATCGACCCAAGAGGAGAGACTCGACCAGGATCGCAGTCAATTAAACCAATCATGTCCTACCCTCACAATGGCTGACAGTGCTGCATCCGCAGCCACCCATAACTCCCCGCGCACCTGGCTGCTCACCGCGGCGCTCTCACCTCTTGCAGTCCGCCTCATCCGCCAGCTTCTCGCCCACGGCGACTACGTTGTTGCTTGCCTACCGCCTCACGAGATCGACCACCCTGATCGCAGCCTCGAATTCCGAGAACTCATCGATGAGTGCAAGAGCAATCGCAAGGACCGAGAGGGTTGGAAAGACCGCATACGCGGCATACGCTGCGATGGGACCGTCATGGGCAGCTGCGGTGCTGCCGTCGCCGAGGCAATTCAGGTTTTTGGCCGCATCGACATCTTGCTGTGCTGCAAATCTGAGGGTACGTAGACGTGTCCCGCATCATCATCTCCACCTGAGAAAATCTACGACTCGTAGAACCCAGCGCTGACTTGACCATGTATGTGAGCAGCCGTGATTGGGACTGTCGAAGAGTTGTCTACGACACCTTTTACTCAAAATCTTGTCCGTGACCAGTTCGAGACTATTTTCTTTTCCCAGGTCAACTTCATCAAAGCTGCCCTCCCCCAACTCCGGACCCAGCATACCGGCCACATCATCGTCGTCAGCAGCACGGGCGGCCATATTGGCACGCCAGGCATGTCTATGTACACTGCGGCTACCTGGGCATTGGAGGGTTTCTGCGACTCCCTTGCCTACGAGATCGCTCCTTTCAATATCAAAGTCACCATCGTGCAGCCCAATAAGGAGATTCAATCCCTCACGAACCGACTCATCTTCGCTCCTCAAATGATGGTCTACGAGCAGGGTGGTCTTGAATCAGTACCCAGCGTCCGCGAGATGCTAACAAATGTACTCAACACCCATCCTGACACTGCTCTCCCTCCCCCAACAACGCCTGAATCGATCGGCGCTACACCAGGCACTACACCATTGTCGCCTAGCAGCGCAATCTTGGAGCCAGATATCGTTCCAGGAGACATCATCCAGCGATATCCGAAGCTCCCCCCGGGTGCGGCAGACAAACTGGTATTGGAGACGGTCCATGCCTTGACAGCGATTGGCGGTCATGAGAACCCCCCGGCGCGGCATATTGTCGGACACGAAGGCGCCACAGCTGTCAAGGAGAAACTGAAAACGGTGACAGAAGAGCTCGAGGACTTTGTAGAAGCCAGCCTGTCGGTCGATATCTTTGACACCGAGTTGCAGGCGGAGGCTCGAGATGGCAGGGACCAAGAGGAGAGTCCCAGGGGACCAGCTTCCTCAGTGGGTTAAGAGAAAGAATATTGCGGCTTGAAGAGATAGTATTTCCGGATAGGCATCACGGTTGAGTTGGCGTTATTTCTGCTGCAAGCAGCTGTGCTGGATTGAGATACCTCACTAGGATGATGGGCGAAACGACGACAACCAGATTTGTCGAGATGTTAGTTGGAATTGATTTCGGATACCCATTAAGAACCTTTGATCCAGCTGAAACAAGAAATGTGCCTAATAGTCAGCGCATTTCGATTACCAATTTGTGTTGGAAAGGGGCTCTATGAGGCCAACCAGCTCGGAATCGTAGGGGTTTAGGGTAGGCCAACCGCGATATTTGCTGGTGGCTAGTGGAGCTTTGATCTTCTGCCCTTGTTAGCGAGCCATCAGTGCCCCTCATCGCACTTGGGCTCCCTGAAGCCCCTGGAATAGCTTCGCCGAACCGCTGGCATTTCTCCCCCACACTTCTTCACCGTCTTTGGGGGTTTCGGCTCGCAAAAAGTTGACTCCGGCACCCGCCGACTCCACCATCCAACGGCGCTGTCCACTGTTCTTACGGCAGGGTACCTCGACGCTTGAGCTCCTAGCCGCATGCGACAGGTGTACCGAGTCCGATATTGAGAGGCCAGACATCACCGAAGCCACAAGCTCAACGACGACACCTCTACGAAGCGATTGTCCGACAGGAATGCGATTGTAGCCCGTCATAGAAGATCTGCACATTGATACCGAGGTAGACTCCTCCAGGGAAACTCCCTGAGCGAGCTTCAACGACACCGACACCGCGGATCATGTTGAGCAACACCAGATGCTAGGATGAGCTTGGATCCGCTGCTCCCCGTCGCTCCCGCAAGGGTGAAGGCGCTGCTGCTGCCGCTGGGCCAGATCAAGGCAGATCGCTTTGCTGCGTTCGTTGAGCGTCTCAACCAGGAACATGTCGTCCACCTACGGGACGTCACCGCCGATGGCCGGCCGAACAGGAGTAAGAGGTGCCGCCGCCAACGACCAGGAGGCCCAACGCTGACCGTGACACCGCGCAGATATGTTCTCGCCGCTGGCATACCCGGACGGCGCCATCATCTACGATCTCGTAACCCACGTACCCCCGCCATCCCACCTCTCCCTCACTCCCTTCGACTTATACCGAGAACCCTTCGCCGTCATTGCACTGGCCGACGGCAGCGAGCTGAACCAGGCGACCTTCAGCAAACGGAACTCCGCGAATGGCACCGGCCCGACCACGGTCGAGAAGAACATCCGGGCCCTGTACCAGGAGCTCGAGGACCTGCGCGACAACTACCCCAAGGCGCTGGCGCACCAGGTCTTGGTGTTTGATTACGTGGCCCCCAAGGACACCGAGATCCCAATGCCTGAGGGCCTCTTTGCAATCCCCCCGGCCGATGATTGCAAGAGAACGACCATGAAGGCAGTTCTGTGCGATGTCTCTTCCTTGCTCCTGGCTGAAATGACAGCCCTCGCCAAGTCTTTCGAAGCTATGACTACGATCGAATCTCCAGGACACTACTCGGGTACAAGGCACACGAACGGCGCATCCTGGGGTGGAGAGGGAGGCGCCAATGGAATGTCAAGAAGGAACTCGCAGTTCTCGCTGCCCCAAGGTCGCTCAAGCTCGGCTGGTGGCATCATGGACAAGCATAACGCACGCATGTCAATGCCAGCATCCTCTCGACCCCCCCTGCACTCTAGCAGCTCGACGCCGGGAAGACCATCAACGCCAGTCAAAAGTGGCCTCTCAAACACACCCCTAAGCTCCGAGGTTGTCCACAGTCCAGATAGTGACCAATCAACGCCAGATACGATGGCCTCCCGTCCAGACCCTGCGGAGGCAGCTCGCGAAATGAGTCGCGATCGGGTCTCGGTGCAGGGTTTCGGCCCTGGTGGTGCAAACGAACGCTGGAGGCTCAAGGGCAAGGGTCGCGTATCAATTGTCGTGGGATCTATGTATCTACAGGCCGGACGATGGAGCGATTCCCTAAAGGAGCTTGTCGAAGGCGCCACCGTTGCGCGATCACTCAACGATCATGTATGGCACGGTAAAGCGTTGGAGCTTATCCTGATTAACCTCCTTCTCCTGGGTTGGTCCAACTTGGAGTTTCAAATACCAGCTGTATGCTTTGGTCCTCAGGAGAGGCCCGCCAGTATCAGCTCCAAAGTCGACCTAGAAGGAGACTCTGATCAGCCCAAGCATCTCAAACGCCTACAAGCGATTCTGTCAGATCTAATGGATCGTATCCTGGCACTTTACTCAAGGATATCGGCAGAGAACCTCCCCCCCCTTGCTCTCGCCGAAACTCATATCCGGTTCGCCAAGATTTTCTCGGCTATACACCTGAGCGGTGGCAAGCTTGGCAAGCCTTCCCTCGACATTATGGTTTTGGGGTCGATTCCCGATCCGACTCCGACCCCTACTCCTCGATATTTGGTCTCCCCAACAAGGCAGCAAATCGTCACGATACTCTTCAAGGCCTTTCCCTCATCTGCCTCGGAACTCCTTACTACTGTAGACCGAGCGGCTATATTGAGCGGCATCGCGACTGTCTTAGGGCCTCTTGGGCTCCATCGAAAGAAGGCAATGGTGATACGAGAGCTTGTCTCTGTGCTCATTGGCGGCCTCGTTGAGGCTCGAACTCGGGGAGCCGCCGATATGGGCATTCATCCTGCTGCAGGGTTGGTCTCTCTGACAGCGAGCGGAGGTACGGGCACCGGAGCTATGGCCTTGGATCTCGGCGATGCGGACGTTGAGCAGGGCATCGAGGCGCTTCTTGGCCTCCTTTGCCGGTCCTATGGCATTGTCAGCTTTGACATGGCGAAGAAAGTGACCGCCGATTCGACCAAGGATGTTGACGACTCGGATGAGGCGGTGATTACTAGGATACTTGGCCAGTCCTCTGCGAGGTTCTTTGGTTTCCCTGAGGTCAAGCTGAATATTCTTCGAGCCTGTATCAACTTCTCCGAGGCCTTGCCGGACTTCAATGGGGCCCTCAAGTTCTCGAGCGACCTCCTTCGCACGGCAGGGTCGGGAGTAGCCCCGGGGCCACGACGAGAGGACGCATCACCAACCATCCATCGAGATGAGCAGGTGCGGCTGGCAACCAATATTTCCAGAACATCCACCCTCTCAAAGCGGTTGGGACTTTCACTATCAGCAGAATACTGGGACGAGTTTCTGGTTAGAAGTATCAAGCTGGAACCCCCCGCAAACACTAGAACGCCGGTAGCCCATGCCAAGAGCGTCCTGCCTGGTGCGACCGCAAGTCGAGCGTCTCAGGATGTGGATCCATTCATCTACAACCCCTTCCTGAAGAAGCCCGATGAGATTATCAGCGAGAATCTTGTTGCTGGTGAGATAGCAACATTCAAGATTACGCTCCAAAACCCCTACGATATTGAAGTGGACATTGAGAAGATCGAGGTGGCTACTGAAGGCGTGGAGTTTGAGCCGATACCCGAGGTCACGGTCATTGGACCCTACCGCACTCAGGTGTTACGGTTGAGGGGACGACCCAAGGCGGCGGGAGACATTAAAGTCATTGGAGCGGTGATCAAGGTTCGAGGGTGTAGGGAGAGGCGGTTCCCCATATTCTCGGCAGCATGGACGCCGACCAGGGATGACAAGGTCAAAGCCAAGGGAATGATAGGCCTCGAAGAGAGCGTCGCCGCAGTCAAGCCTTTTGCTCGGGCCCTGGTAACAGAGACGCTCAATCTCAAGGTTATCCAGGAGCAGCCGCTGGTGGTGGTCAAGGCTACGACTCTTGCGCAATCTTCGATCATGATTTTGGAAGGCGAGCGAAAGGTCTTTTCTGTTACCCTGCAAAACCTGTCTACAACGCCTGTGGACTTTTTGCTGTTCTCGTTCAAGGACTCGACGCAGGAACCACTCCAAGCAGCCCTCAGCAACCGGGACGCAACGCCAGCGGAGCTGTATGAGTACGAACTAATCTTAATGAAGAAGCAAGCCTTGCGACTACCTCGGGGCAACCAGGGCCGTAAAATTTCTCCTGGGGGCGAGGCAACATTCGACTTTGAGATATTCGGCAAACCTGGCTTGACGTCTGCGATGATCCAGGTTGACTACACCCACCTCGGTTGCCCTCAGGATGAGATCAAAGAACAATTTTTCACCCGCCAAGTGTCAGTTAATCTTACAGTTACGGTCAATGCTAGTGTCGAGTTGGCTAGGATAGATGCGTTGCCCGTGTACGGAGATATACCTCGACCGATCTGGGACCGCCTGGGGAGCGCGGTTGCAGCGAAGCCGAATGACTACTGCCTTGTCTCGATCGACTTGCGCAACGCTTGGCCGAGCCAGATGGCGATCCGCCTGGAAAGCGATGACGGGGTGGCAGTGGAAGATGATATCCTCCCTGGTAACACAACCCGCGTCATTCTCCCCGTGAAGAGAGTATACCTGGAAGACCCGCATGCCACGATCCCGACTCTGAATCCTTCACGAAATCGACAATTTGTGGTTAGCACCAGCAAGATTTCGCCGGAAATGGAGCGAGCCAACCGAGAAGCATTCTGGTATCGAGAGAGAATTCTTGGCTGTCTGAAGGCTACGTGGCGGACAACGTTCTTGCCAAAGCGGAGTGGTTCTATCGATCTTAGGAACATCCGACTGACGTCGCGCATGATTGAGGCGATCAAGGTGGATGAAGTTGGGATTGAAATCTCCGTGGAGGACACAGATGACCGCGGTTCAGAGAAGGACGTAGCATATGTGGATGAATTCGCGACGCTCAAGGTGCGCGTTATAAACCGGACTGCCAAGCCGATATGCCCACTCGTCAGAATCATGCCAGCCCTCTGCCACCGACCGGCAAATGTGGCCCTGGAGTTTACGCGCAAGTTTGCTTGGAACGGCACCTTGCAGCAGCTTATCCCCGAGCTCGAGGGGCACGGCAGCGCCGAGGTGGCTGTGGGCATGACGGCGCTTTGTCGAGGCGAGTTTGAAATCACAGCCTCAGTGGAGGAGGTACAGGTATGGGAAGATGCGCGAGCGGCAGAAAAGCCACAGGGGCGGCCGCGGTCGGACACACAGTCGATGATGGATGCGGCGCTGGGAGTCAAGCAGCGGCGCATGTGGCATGCAAGACAACCATGCAGGCTCACAGTGAGAGACCGCGAGTAAGGACAGCAACGCGATTCCGAGGACGAGACCGAGAGCCACGATATAGGAGCCATGATGGAGAAGGAGGAAATCGACATTTTAGTTGCGTATAGATTTTCGGGGACGAGGGAGAAGGCATTGCCAACCAAGCCCCTGAGTGAAGATATGTGATGATGAAGATGCAGACGATGAATATTCACACACACACACAGATATAGAAGCACGAATTGAAAACAGATAATATCGGATTGTTGTGATATTGAGAGGCCTGAGAAATTCCATACTGGAGTGACGATTGACTGTTTCTTGTCTCGGTTTCTGATTAATTGATGATGTCAAGTTCAAGTATCGAAGGAGGATACCCATATTTAGTGGACTAATTACCTACTTATTGATCGACCGCCAATCCACTAACTTAATCCATCAACACACCCTCTCAGGGACATGCCCTCCACCAAAACGGCTTAGAATCTGATACGTCGCCGCCCAAAGTGTAAAGGCGCCACCAACCCGGTGGTGACAGATTTTTTGCATGCCGCTAATGTCGCCTGACTGACTCACTATGCGTTACCAGCGGCTTTTGTGACGCCTTCTAACGGTTTGATACCAGCATTAGTCGCCCAATTGTTAACTTGGTACCTTTTCTTGGTACTTTTCCCTAGTACTCGGAGAAGGAGTCTTTCCGCCCTAGCCGGCGTATCGCACGCTTGCCATTCGAGTCAGTAGCAACGGCGGCAGCGGCTTTTCGCGGCAGAGGTAGATTTGAATGCCGGGGAGGTCTTATCAGGTTTTCTCTCTCTCCCTTCCCCTTCACCTTCACATCGACTTGGCGCTTGTTGATTTCGTTCATCTGCTCTCGGAGATTATTTTCAGAGGGGGAAAGGGCCGAGCGAAGAGATGGCGATGGGGTCGAGAGTCGAGTCCGAAGCTGCGACTGCGGCTTCAGCTTCGGCATCGCGTCCGAGGCGAATCCTCTTCATCGACGCCTACGACTCCTTCACCAACAACATTGTGTCGCTGCTGAGGACGATTCTCGGCGCTGAAGTGTTTGTCATCCGGATTGACTTGTCGACACTGGAAAAGACCAGAGACGGCGAGGAGAGCGGCCCGGCGCGGTGGACCGAGGCCGAGTTTGTCGATAACCTCGCTCAGTTTGACGCCGTTGTGTGCGGGCCCGGCCCCGGATCGCCGCTCAACCCGGCTGATGTCGGCGCCTTCCGGCTGCTTTGGCATCTTCCTCCGCATCTTCAGGTACCGGTGTTGGGTATTTGCCTCGGATTCCAGAGCCTCGTTGCCGCCCATGGCGGAGCGATTCGCCGTCTCCAGCGCGGGCTGCACGGCATGGTGAGGGAGATTGAGCATCGGGACGACGTGCCGGGGGACATTTTCCACCGGGTGCCCGACTTCAAGGCGACGCTGTACCACAGCCTCTGCGCCGACATTGGACAGCATGACGACCCGGATATGCCCTACGACGAGTGGCGACGATACGCGCGCTGGGCTCCTACGGCCATGGCCCCGGAGCTGCAACCCCTGGCGTGGACGACGGAGACGCGCGAGGACGGCCGCGGCGAGCGCATCCTCCAAGGCGTTCGGCACGTCTCGAAGCCGTTCTGGGGACTGCAGTACCACCTGGAGTCGGTGTGCACCGAGCCCGCCGCCCACGCCGTGCTGGAGAACTGGTTCCGCGCGGCCCTGCGGTGGAACGACACGCGCGGGCGGAGGGTCCGCGATGGCTCGCTGCTGCGGATCCAGACGCTGTCGCCGCCGAACCACCTTCAGGCCGTAGCCGCGCACAGGCTCCGGGCGCGGATGCGGGATGGGGAGACGGCGTGGTGGACGGGCGGAGCGCTGAATCATGTTGGACGGGACTGCGAGTACACGCACCGCACGATTCCGCTGCCGCGTGGAGTTGGCGTGCCGGAGGTCGTCGAGGCGCTTGGCCTGGCGGCCGGCGAATCCATCATTCTCGACTCGTCGAGCTCAAAGAACGGGGACCCGCTGGCGCTGAGCAGCATCGTGGCGTTGGAGGTGGAGGAGGCATTGCGCTTCGAGTTCCATGTTTCCGACAACTTCGTCTCGGTGCGTCTCCCGGGACGAGGTGGCAATGCGGACCAAGTCGACACGGTCAGCCTCGACGACGGCGCGACCAATGTGTGGGAGGTTATATCGGACTTCTGGGAGGCGCGGAGCCACCCGCCGAACTCAACCGCAACCAACTCGCCATTCAAGGGCGGGTTTATGGGATTCATCACGTATGAGATGGGACTTCAGGGGCTCGACAAGAATATGGTATCTGGGGAGAGGGGGCACAAACGACCCGATATCTGCTTAGCCTGGGTTACCAAGAGTCTTGTGCTAGATCATAAAGCCGGTGTAGCCCATGTCCAACACCTGAGGCCCCGAGGTGCAGATGACGAGTGGCTTGTGTCCATGTCGGAGAAGATCCAGATGTCTCGCGGCTGGCTACGTTCTGGACGTAATGGCGTCAATGGACACACTAATGGACATGCTAACGGTCGTACCAATGGTCACACCAATGGGCACAAAGGTTCGGTTCAGAACGGCCATTCTGACAACCGCCCGAAGATACGCACGCCGTGTCCAGCGACATATGAGGAGCAAGTGCAGGCTTGTCAGGACGTCATCGCCGCGGGGGAGTCTTACGAGCTTTGCCTTACCTCCCAGACGACCATGACAAGGCCGCGAGGACCACAGCTCAGCGTCGCCAACGCCGCTCGGCAAACCAACGTGGCAAACCAACCGAACCACGACGGAAGTCCATGGCACATCTATCAGACTCTACGGAAACGTCAGCCTGCCCCCTTTGGATCATTCATCCGTCTCGGCGGTGCAACTTTGCTGAGCAGTTCCCCTGAGCGGTTTCTGAGTCACAGCAGCAATGGACTGTGTTCGATGCGGCCGATGAAGGGTACTGTCCGCAAGTCGGAGGCTGTATCAACAGTAGCCCAAGCTGAGAAGATCCTCCATATCCCAAAGGAAGAGGCCGAGAACCTGATGATTGTTGACTTGGTTCGGCACGACCTGCATGGAGTATGTGGCGTCGGTAACGTCACTGTCCCTGACCTGATGAAGGTTGAGGAGTATGCGACAGTCTTCCAGATGATCACAGTCGTCAACGGACAGCTCCCGGGCTATCAAGGGGGCAAGATTGACGGGATGCAGCATGATACCTTCGACTCTCCCTGCCCTTACACAGGTCTTGATGCCTTAGCCGCGGCGCTTCCGCCGGGTAGCATGACGGGGGCGCCCAAGAAACGCAGCTGTGAGATCCTGCAGGTCATCGAGGGGCACCAGGAACGTAGCCTGTACTCGGGTGTCGTGGGGTACATGGACGTCACAGGGGCTGGGGATTGGAGCGTCACGATCCGGACCATGTTCCGCTGGGATGACGAGGAGGCCCCCGCAGATGAGGCGGCCGGTGAGACGGAACCACGGGATGTGTGGCGGATCGGAGCCGGAGGCGCCGTGACGATATTGAGCACACCCGAGGGAGAGCGGGATGAGATGTTTACGAAACTTGCGGGACCGATGGGAGTCTTCCGAGATACGGCTTAGGTGGGTATTTCATGGAAACACAGATTCGGAGCAAGGATCTAGACGGATGGGGGAAGAGAACAGGACGGGGCAGCATACTGGTTAGATTTTTGAGCGTGGGTGGCACAGGCTTTGACATTGGACATGATACCTCAACGTATATATCGTCGGAGTTTTTGGGATTCAACAGCATTAGACGAAAGAAGACGCAAGCAAACAAATGACGAATTGGGCAATGGGCGTGCTGGATCGAGCAGATAGGCAGACTTGGTAGCATGGCATTACCACACTATTAAGGACAACAGAACCGCTCCTCTCTTCGTCGTCCGTCACTCAAGCTTCCCTTGTCCAACATTGATGTAGATGCAGTCTCCCATACGTACTGACATGACCCACTGAATGCCCAAGTTTGAACTCCTCCCTCCTGAATCGTACATGCGTTATGCCGGCGGTCATGTATTTATCCCGCTATGCAAACGTGAGGCGCGCTTTCCCATCCTCCTTCGGCACCGCAGGGCTTTCCTTCAAAAGGCCACAGTGGCAGGAGTTGAGGGCACGGGTATTGGCGTGAGCGAGCGCGTGCGCGTGCGCAGATGGCCGCGTTTAGAACTCCTGCTCCTCGGTGAAAAACATGCTGAAGCTGATGATGGTTCCGTAAATCAGCAGGCCACCAACTATGGACATGATCATGGCCTGGACCTCAATGAGACCGGAATGCGCGAGGACGACGGGGAGGGCTAGAAGAGAGATGTTAGCAATTGGACAATGGATAGACGTTGGCATGTCCGCAGGACAACAAGCCGCAGCAAATTATTGCGATTCTCCGATTCCTGCCTGCTGATGCCTACGCTGAGCCAGAGAGAAGGACAGAGCAACATACCCATTCCCATGACGACAAAGAAGCCGGTGAAGAAGCGACCGAGGTCGAGGACGGCAGCGCCGGAGCTCTCAACGAAGTCATCGGGGTTGGCGCAGTGACCGCAGATCCAGTTGGGCACCGGGGCGAGCACATAGGTGGCGACGACGAGGAGCGGGTAGTAGACCTTCCACAGGGCGCAGGAGAGGATGACGAGGAGGAAGCCCACGGCGAGGACAAAGGAGAGAGCGATGATGGTCTTGAGCCCGGCGGTCGGCATGGTGGGCGGTTTGCGGGTGCGCGGAGCCGGAGTTCGGGATGCGATGGTCGGAGGCGACGGGTGACGTCGGCGAAGTCAAGGGCGGAAATAGGACGTGGTAGCAGACCGGCTTGTTGCGAGCCCCCGCGGGGGAAGAGAAGCAATCGAGTCGAGGGCGTGGAGAGAACTGAGCAATGCGCTCAAATGGAGGAGGAAACGAGGATGCGCGCGTGTCGAAGAGCTGGTGTGGGCGGAAGCTGAGGTGGTCGTGGCAGCAATTGCGCGGCTGAGGCTGGGGCGGGTCAGTTCGGTGATGCTATCGCCTGGTCGTCACCCCAAAAGTACGTACCTCGCTCCGTCATGGTTGCTCCGGCGGCAAAGCCAGCTCAGCCGCGCGGAGAAACGCAGCCTCCGAAGCTCCGTGCTGCAGCGCGCTAGCTTCCAACGCGGAAGGCGGTGAAGTGGACATTTCTGGCGTTTCTGGTCAGCAGCGACCGGGATTGGCGCGCTGCTGGGGGAGGAGTGGTCGGGTGGATGTACAGATGGTCCGAGCGTCCTACCGTTCACCCAAAATGAACGGGGACCCAGAAAAAAAATCCGACGGCGAGAGAAGCAGAGGAAAAAAACAGGGCCCCGCTGCCGCCTTTCGTTCTCTCTCTCTACATATCTCAGTCTTTTCCCAGAGACGAGATATTACGATAAGATCTTCTTTTCGGTTGGGAATTCCTCTTGGCCGGACCTTTCTTCTATCAATTGTGAAAAAGAGAGACCTCGTCTCCCTTCCAATTGCCCAACATGTCGGACGAAATCATCTGGCAGATCATCAACCAGCAGTTTTGCTCCTTCAAGCTAAAGTATGTTCCCTTGCTTCGTTAAGTCTCTACACCCTTGGAACACCCAGTAAGCCGAAGGCGAAATACCCTCAAATATATACTAACCTCTCCCCAGAACCGAGAAGAAGCAGAACTTCTGCCGCAGCGAGCACAATGTCACCGGCCTCTGCAACCGCCAGTCATGCCCCCTCGCCAACTCCCGCTATGCTACGATCCGCCAGCACCCTACTAAGCAGACCCTCTACCTCTACATGAAGACGATTGAGCGCGCTCATCTTCCCTCCAAAATGTGGGAGCGCATCAAGCTATCCAACAACTACAACAAGGCCCTTGACCAGATCGACGAGCGCCTCATCTACTGGCCCAAGTTCCTCATCCACAAGTGCAAGCAACGCCTCACCCGCCTGACACAGGTCCAAATTCGCATGCGCCGCATCGCCGCCGAGGAAGAGCGCCTGGGTGAAAAGATGGTTCCCAGGATGGCCCCCAAGATCAGGCACCGTGAACGCGCCCGAGAGCGCAAGGCCGAGGCCGCCGCTAAGCTGGAGCGCACCATCGAGCGAGAGCTGGTCGAGCGACTGCGACAGGGTGCCTACGGTGATCAACCCCTCAACGTCAGCGAGGACATCTGGAAGAAGGTTCTCAACGCCATGGAGCGTGATGGCGAGGGCAAGCGAGACAAGGACATGGACAAGGGTCTCACCGAAGATGGTGAAGAGGTTAAGGACTGGGACAGCGACGAGGACGAGGACGATGACCTGGAGAAGGTTGTCGAGTACGTGTCTGACCTGGACGAGAGCGAGGAGGAGCTGGGCGACCTAGAGGATTGGCTCGGCAGTGATGATGATGACGAGGAGGAGGAGGAGGCCGACAGCGAGTCCGAGTCCGAGATGGCGGGCAACAAGCGAAAGCGTGGCCGTGTCATCAAGATGAAGAACAAGAAGCCCAGACAGGAGGAGAAGGCGAAGATGACGCTCACCAACGACCTGGCTTGGTAAAATCGGAGTCTATACACATGGCGACTACGGCGTTCTGGAGTTTTTATCTCTCCGGCATGAATGCGCTTCTGCCGGAACACGAAAAAAAGAGGAAGGAGATGAGGACGATGAAGAAGAAGAATAGCATTGGGTGCTGTACCGGATACCAAAATATTTTATTACCTCCTGCCCATTTGTGTCATCTCGTCTCTTGTTAATGTCGCTGTTTGTTTATATTTGTGATGCCTCGCAGCTACTGCTTCTGTACCACCATGTCTGTCATAAGAAAGTGGGTTTGTTTTCTCAAGAATGTGTCTTAAAGATCAAGAACATCTAGCTTCGCATCATAAATTTACAAATAAATGAACTCGTTATCCGCGACGACCACGTTGGATTTGAACAACTATATCCGTGAGATCTCGGTGACCTGCAGGTGAATGTTTGTGATGTTGATCATCGAAGGCGACCAGCCTCGCGACGATATCAACTAGCCCACGTACTTGAGAGGTGAAATATGAGCTCCGAGAGAGTGCCAGGCTGAGGAGGGTAATTTTAAGTGTAAAGTGGACGGCTATGCTAACATTCTTGAGAGAAACTCTGCCAACGCTTGCAGATTATCGGGCTGTTATTCGAAACGCAGCGACACACGACCCGTTAGCCAAACGCTGCGTCTCGAGCAACAAACAGGGTTCAAATAATTGTAACGAAAGAAATTCTGCTTTAGCTAATACTTGCTCCTGTGGCACCTTGGCCTCCGTATAATACAAGTGGAGCTTCAAATGATTGTTCCACGCCTTAATTCACTGGACTAGGATCGATTTTGGGGTTTCTCTGTTAAGAAGGGGCCATAATGGGCAGGCATTTTGACAACATGAGATCGGCTTTACCGGTTGGCCGAACACACTTGATTCCCTTCTACAGAGTCCTGCGAAGATCAATAAGGCAGATTTGAGCATCTGGCCAGTGGATGTGTCAGTCTGACTCTGCCAGGAAAGTGACTTGTAGGCAGACATTTAGAATGGCCCCTCAGTGTCGTAGTCCTGTTATTTTTTTTTAAATGCCTAGACATTTTTAGAGTACTATTTTGCCTCTTGTCAAAGTTAATATCGTTGTTAGTTTCCCATACCAGTGATGCCTTGGAGTCCTGCCAGGCTGTCCTACTTTCCTACTGTCCTTGGCCCCTTCTGGCGTATGACAAGCGTAGGACGCGATCATTCCCAATAAGTCAAAGCCGGCTACCCTGCACCAACCCTCCCCACTTTACAGGGCCCTCCCAGTCCTACAATCCCTACCAAGTCAGCATTTTAGCTCAGGCAGCTATGAAACCAGCCCACTTCGCACCAACGTCACCGACTCCATCGCCTCCCTGTCCCCTCTTCAACCTCACACATCCCTCCAAACCGGCCAACTCGACTCCTTTCCACGACTCCAACACCCACGACCCGCGCACTGCAGCAGCGACTCGGAATTTCACACGATCGAACCCATCTCGCCAATCCCGCTTCTTCACGCCCTCGACGCACGTTGCGGACACAGACGTCCTCTTACTGAACCTCCACCCTCGCTTTGCGCCCACATCCCCCTTGATACGGACGAACACACGCCACCGAGAGACTCCAGGGCCGGAACACACCACTCCCACTCGGCCGGGACGCACCCAACGGACACGTTACCAATTGGACGACACACCGCTGCAGTGACGGACTCACCCGGCATCTGGTAGCCATGGCGTCCTGGTACTCCAACCTTCTCACCAAAACCTCGTCCCAGATCTCCAACCTCCGCTCCACCTACCTCGCGGGCGACGCCGACGGCGACACCGAAGACGACACCCACGTGTGCCGCGTCCTCCGCGGTTACTACGGCGAGAAGGGCCGCCCCTTCCCCTCGTGGCTGCCCCCGGACCCCAAGGCCGCGGCTCCGACGCAGCCCGTCCTCGTCAACAACCAGGCCGGCGCTCGTCGCGGTGCCGTCGGCGGCACGCCTCAGACTGCCGGCGGGCTCAGCAGCCTGTGGGATAACAACGCAGCCGCCGCCGCGCCGCCGCCCCAGAGCCTGCGGGCCGGGAGGACGCCCGCGTCGCTGCAGCCCGGCGGTGACATTGCGCGAAGGCCAGTGCCCGGCCAGCGCGCAGGGAGCCAGCAGAGCGTCTCGAGCCAGTACAGTCGACCCGAGGCGGCGAGCGTCCCTCCTGCAGGCGCGGCCGGTGGTGGCCGATCTGCCCAGGATCTTCTACGACAGCGTCTCTGGGGCGGTTCGCGCACCACGAGCCCTTCTCAACAAGGCAGCAGCCAAGGTCCATTTACACCGCCAGCTCCATCTGGCGGTAGCGGAGGAGGAGGGGGAGGGGGAAACTACGAGGATAGATTTGCGCCTGGTGGCATGTACGACAATCCCGGTAGCGGTGGTGGTGGAGGAAACGACAGGCCAGTAATGAGCGCCAATGCTCCTTGGTCCAGTGGTGGAGATGACTACTATAACGGAGGTGGTGGAGGCGGTGGCGGCGGCGGAGGAGGACGGCCAGCACGGAGACAGCCTGGGCTACCGAGCGGACCCAGAGGGTATAGATGAGCCGGAACCTCTTATAGTTGAGAGGGATCCTCGGACCTGTTTACTTACACACCGTCCCTGCCGGTGGCGTTGCGTTGCGTTATGTTGAGCACCCATAGAATGGCGTTATACCCGGAGGTAATACGAGCAACTTTTACCTGGTTCCGATCAAAAACGTGGATCGAGCCAACCGCTCTGTCATTTATTATGTCTGCGTGTCCTTCAGATAATACGATGCAAGCAATCCAGCCAAATCCTTCCTACAATAAGCCCTTTCGTATCTTCCATGTTACCAGCAACTCCATGCACCAAACCAAAAACACCATGCGCCAGCGTTTACAAATACAAGTGCGTAGAAGCGTCCATAACCAAACACGCCCGCCCATTTCTGCTGTCCCTCGTTTATTCGCCGCCGAGCTATGATCTTAAGCTCACTTGGTTGGCATCCCATCCCCTTGCGCCACCGTCTTGCGTGGAAGCACCTCCACCTCTCGACTGAGAAGCTTGCGTAGCTCTGGAGTAATGACCTTTGGCTGAGCTGGCTCCGGTGGGACAATTGATTTGCCCTTGGCCGGGGACTTTGCTGGGGACTTGGCCGGGGATGCGGTGGATGGTCCCGAGGGCCCTGCAACGGTCGACGACGTGGACGACTTCTTCTCGTGGACTCGGGGAGCTGGGAAGTTCTGCTTCTTGTCGACAGCCTCAACAAGCCTCTGGAATCGCTTGAACAGAGTCTCTGCGCGGATGAGGGTCGACTCGAGATCAATGGTATTGGAGAGCTCGTTGACTATTTGATGTTAGCAGCTGAATCATCTGACTGTTGGGATGGGGCTCATTTGACATACTATACTTGAGCACCTCGTCAAAGTGCTTGAGGTGATCCATGATGATATCTCGATGCTTCTCCAGGATGGCCAGTGCGATGAACAAGTGGAAGTTGGCACTCAGGCAATCCGTCCACAGGCCCTCCCACAGACGCAGCACATCCATCCATTCAAACTCACGCTTGTACCACACGAGGACCATGCGGAAGAAGAAGAAGAAGTTGGTGCTGTCGGCACTCTGGAGGTGATTCCACAGCGTCGGGTCCATGAACTGGACGAGTTGGTCCAGAGTCAGGAGCTGGTTGCGCATTCCTGACTGGTCGCGCAAGAAGTTGCGCTCCATGCGCTCCATAAACTTCTGGAAGCCCCAGAATGCAACAGCGTCGTCCTGGATCACGGCGTAGATGGGCGCGAGCAGGTCAGACATGCCCTGGACGTAGCCGAGATCCTTGTTGTACTCGTTATAAGTGAGCAGCATTTCCTTCATCTGCTCGAGATGGACGTTGGTGCCCACCTCGGCAAAGGGCGACTTGGGGTCGGGATGGGGGATGTCTTCGCCCTCAAAGATCGGCACGTTGCGATCCGTCCGGTGAACATCCTTTTCTATAGCGTCTGTGTTAGCAGGGGACGATATCAAGGGACGATATGTGACTTACCGATGCGCCCCTTTTGCTCGCGCCACCACTCGCCCGTCTCGCCTTCTCCTCCTTCTCCATCCAGTCTCTCCCACCATGAGAGCTTGAGCTTGTAGTACGAGTCTCTGAGAGACGCGATCTGGGCCTTTCTCTCATCCAACGTGCTGTACCACTCATAAATACCAAGCAAGTACAACCAAGCCTCCTTGCGGACGCCATCTTCAGGATCCAAACCACCGTGGAAGATACGCTCCTTGACTTCGTCAACGGTTACCGATAGGCGACCCGTCTGGGGGTCAAAGAAGGTTTCCCACTCCTTCATCGTCACCGTCTTCCTGCGCTCCTCTAGCGATAAGCTGCTAGTGCCCTCGAGAAGCTCAAACTCGCCGACATCCGTGTCCTCAAGCTCCATGACGTCGTTGGCGGACCATATTTTCTGTCGTCTATCCCGATCACTCTGCTCCTGAATTCCCATAGCCCACCGGGCAAGGTAGATGCGGGCACTATCGAACTCGTCCTGAAGGGTCTGGACTTCGGGGTTCTTGAGTAGCCGTTTCATCTGCGGGGGAATATTGGGGTTATCGACAAAGTCCTGGGCGGCTCGGCGAGTGAAGGTGGTGACTTTGCTAAACTTCTCCATAATGTTCCACCCCGTCTCTTTGATCAACTTCACAAAGGGGTCCATCTGAGCGTCCGGCCGGCTTGGCCCTGCACGCACCCCCGTAGAGCTATCCTGGCGGCCAATTTGTGAGGGACTCGAGGTGAGTTTATGACCAAACGCCTCGATATCCTCCTTGCTGGGCTCGATCATGTAGATGTTGGGCTCAGCACCAGACCTCTCGACCTTGACATATCGGCGCAGCCAGCGTACTATTTCATCGCCACCCCAGAACATCTGGCCACCTTCGCCAAAGGGATCAAAATTGTCGCGGGCAAGCTTCTTCTTCTGGAGGATGGTGCTCTGGCACTCATTGTCGTGGAAAAACAAGGCAGGGAAGCTGTCGCCGGCACGGGAATTGATGATGACAGAGCCGTACCACCAACCAAGGCTTGGCGGGCGGACGAGAAGTGAGTAGACGGCGCTGACGGGAATGGCAAAGGAGTAGCCACCGACGGACCCGACGTGGCTCGTAACGGTCGGGGGCGGAGCTACGAGGTACGACTGCTTCGGGGGAGAGTCGCCATCGCAGAGGTCGACCTTGACGTAGATGCTCGCCGAGTCGCCGAGGGATGTCTCGGGAATCCAGGCGAGGAGCAGGTCGGAGGAGGCAATCGAGTCCGTTTCGTTGGAAGCGGAAGACGTCGGGCGATCGCTGCGGCGACCTCGTTGCTGGAGGAGGGCGATGTAGCCGGGGATGTTGTCCTTTGCGGAGGGCGTCGGGTGGACGTAGACCTGGCGATGGTCAGTTGTTGTTTATCACATCATGACGTGGGTAGCGGGGTTGCGCCGGGGGAATCCGACTTACCTTGCTCTTGGAGAAGAGCAACTTGACGCCGCGGCCCGTCTCGGCGTGGGTGATGGTGTTGTACTCGCCCTCCTCGTCATCGCTCAAGGCGTAGAAGCTCGTCGAGGGCGAGGCAGCTCGCGCGGGTGCTGGTGGCGGGGCACCATCGCTGGGGCCCGAGTCCGAAGCCATCTTGGTCTGGGCGTCGTCGCTGAGGGTAGAGTTGGCAGAGAGACGTCGACGGAGGAGCGAACGAGGGGGATAATAATGATGCAGTTGCACACGCGGGATGAAGGGAGGAGGAAATAGAGGCGGCAAGTATGATGGTGTGTGGTGGCGTAGTGCCGTATTGGTGCAGTGTGCATGTGAGCCAAACAAGTGGCAGCCTGAATGCATCAGGATAGATGACGAACTTGCCCCGCCACGCTCGGCTTTAGCCTTTGCCCTTCGCTGGGCTGAGCCGCCTGGAAGGTGCCCGAGCATTGAGCATGGAGGGGCAAAACCCACTGAAAACTGAAAACCCCGTGGAACAGCTGCAATGCCAGCGATAATTATCGATAAGATTTCACCTCCAGAATTTACCTCTACTGCGCCCCAGCTCCAGCACGTGGTCTGGATGCTGCTGCTTGTTGAACATGGAGCTCAAGGTAGCTCAAGGCGTGTGAAGTTGTGGTATCGTGTGGTACGTGCGCAAACATGGGTCATGGGTGGCTCCGAAGCGTCGTCATGGTTCAACATACCTCCCTAGTATGAGAAGAGAGACTACGTACGCCTTGCCATGGGATACGTACGCTCCGCGTCAACAGCACCCAACCCGTCCAACTAGCCTATAGAAAGCAGAGCTGCAACCCTATGATGCCTAAAATGGACATCTACTATGCTTGTCGGGATTATATCTGCGCCTGGAAATAGACAGGGCTGGGATGCTGTGCTGAACTATCCATATTCCTCTCAATCACCTGTCCCTGTCTCTCAAGTCCCCATTGACATCACCAAGAGACGCGATCTTCAATGCCAACGCATTATGCGCACCCACCAGATAGACATCACGGAAAGAGGCAGTACCGAGAAATTGAAGTTGAAATGACCAGTCGGTCGTAATAAATTTCTTCGCCCAAGTTGTTGGGCCTATTAATATCGCCTAAACCCGCTACCTATACCCAAAGAGCCGTTGTATACAAGCCCTTGGTCATTCGTGTCTATACCCATCGATGCAATGCCCTTAAATGATATCAACTGCGCCGTTGTCCCTGGATTTTGGAACGGAGCCTTGCAAGGCACCTTTGTGAGTGCGCCCATCCCAGCCAGGCGCAAGCTCTGTTCACAGCTCAAAGTCGCATAAATACAGTATCCCTCCGTCGAATGGACAGGGAGGGCGCGAGGGAGAACTGTCAGCGGAACATGTTCTTCGTACTGTGCGTGGCTAATCCCTGCAACCCATTTCCACTTAGACGTCCTCGTTGAGGAGTCCATGCTGGAACTCAGGTTCAACAGCCGTCTCGGGGTCGGTATAATTGACCGGCTTATGGATGCGGAGGAATGTCAGGAAATAGTCCTCGAAGATGCACAGGTTGAGCAAGATGCCGTTTCCGTGCCACGCGAGCCCGCATACCATGGCGCCCGCAACAGCATCAAGGATAAAGTGGTTGGCGGTGGCGACGATGGCAGTCAGGATGAGGGCGGGATATGCTAGACCCAGTGCGACAATGGTAATTCGCTTCCAGGAGTTAGGGCGAAGGCCGTTGATGGGGAAGGTGGCGACGGTCAATCCGACGAGCAGGGAGTATCCAAAGTGCAGCGAGGGCATGGCAGCTACAAGTATGAGGGTTAGTCCATCTCTTTCCCGGGCTACATATTGGAGGGTTCCGTAAACTCACCATATTGGTTGCAGAACTTGTTGGTGGTCCAAACGCTGCTCTCACCGCTGCCACTGTGGACGGTGTCAACGAAGCCGAAGCTCTTGGCCTCGGCAGCATCGGGACCTTCGTAGTTGGGGTCGCTCAACAAACGAGGGGGCATGCAGGGCCACAGAGTGAAGACGATGAAGGCGATCAGGTTGCAGGTGGCCATGGTGCGTCGTCGGGCCTCGTACAGGGCGGGGCCCGCGATGATGTTGTCGATCTGGATGCGGCCGGCAGCGAGCTGGCGCTTGCGGGTGGTGGTGATGTAGTAGAGAATGACGAGGAAAGAGATGGTGCCAGGGATGTGAATGAATGAGTAGAGGCGGTTGATCCAGTGGAGAATGGTCGGGTGGCCGAGGAACCACTGCTGGAAGGGGACCTCCCAGAAGATGAGGAGGTTCTGTTCAATGTGAATGAGCTGAAGAGCGTGCCTGCGGGCGACATTGACGGTGCCTTCGACGAGGGTAAGGGCGGTGATGGCGCGGCCGACTTGGTAAACCTGTCGTAGACATGCATCTTAGTATCTCGTAGTGTAGTAGAGCAACAGCTACACTTACCCAGTAGATCTGGAACCAGTACCAAGCCTCGACGAGGAAGGGAAACTTTTGGAGGATGCGGCTGGCAAGGCGGTCCTTGAAGACGAGTGTGTTGGGAGTTGTGACGATGCGCTTGTAGCCAAACAACTGCAACTTCCGTCGACGCAGCGCGGGCTGCTCGTTGACGACCAGGCCTGGTGACGGGCTGCTCCAGCCGCTCATGAGGCTGTCACTGGACTGCTTGCGCCCGAGGTCATCGCTCTTCTTGCTAGTCCAGCCGGACTTGCCAGTAGAGATGCTGTAGTCCTTGTTGCGGTTGAAGTAGGAGCCTCCGAAGAGGAGGCTCACCACGACGAGTGGTTCGAGGAACGAGCCCACCCCCATTTTCGCGGATGTCGAGGACGCTGTGGCGGTTGGGTTTGGCTGGTGATGCGAGTTCGTTGGCGTTTAGGGATCGAAATTAGCCAAGCCAAGTACGCAAACCACAGGTGTAAGGAGAGGATGCGGGAGCCGGATGCGGGTTCGAATCGGGAAGGACGGAGACGTAAGAGGAGAGGGAGGGAGGGAAGGAAGGCACTATATCTTTCTAAGTGAGAAGGAGGAGGAGGAGTAGGAAAAACCAGGGAGTGGAGGTTATAAGACGGCGGAGAGAGGAAACGGAGAGAGGAAATGGAGATGGAGGGAGTGTGAGTGAGGGTGAGGGAGTGTGATTAAAGGAGTGAATAGCTGCCGGTACCAAGGTGTAGACGACGGGGCCTCTTCCCGCCGGTCTGGCTGGCTTCTGTAGAGGTATGACCACCTGCTTCTGTTTGGTGAGAGCTGTCCGAGAGCTGGCTGAGAACTGGCGGAGAGCACACGACTCACACCAGACGACGCATCATACCTGCTCCAGAAACGGAGCCGGGCTCGCTCGGACAGGCAGGGATATGCGTACATACCACAATGTACATCGCACAGAGGCAGCCAGAATGGCATGGTACCTCCAGAGACCTTCCAACACGCCGCCCAGTGCCGCATCTCCCGATGCCATCGCGAATGCCCACTGGACACCTCCGGGCTGCAAGTGGGGGCGGCGTTGCGGGCTGCCGGCCGCCAAGGATCGACGGCGGAGAGCTGCTGGCGCAATCGCAGCACTGCAAGGCCGCTGGAAACTGCGCTAGGGGGGCGGGTTGAGCCACTGACACGCGCCGGCTCGCCGAGGAAGACACTGTAGCACACGCAGGCCCATGCCGTCCAGTGGAGCTACGGGTCTTGGCAGAGACGAATTTCGGCGCCGCGGGAGCCTAGGTCGATCAACAGGTGCCGCTGACTGCAAGCTGCGTGGGCGCCGGCCAATCACAGCCCGGCGGCAGCTGAGTCCATGAGCTGCCACACACCTCGAGCACCCCTGTCCTGGTCGTTTTGATCATGTTCCTCTGGAACATTGCATGATGCCTGATGGAGCGTTTTCTGTTATGGAGCAAAGTACACATGTTGCGAGGCGACGACACCGCGACGACACCGCCGAGTTGTAACTTCGATCGAGTCCTGTTGCAGACCAGATCGGCCCCCTGCCATCCAGCCCATCCGAATCTCCGTCGGGATCAACAGCAGCAAAAAAAAGGGCGGCATCGTCACAGCTCATCTCCCATCTCCCTCCTCGTCCAGGGGTTGAACATCGACGTACCCCCCCCGGACCTGACGATGGTGTTGTTTGCCCATGAGCGTGGTTCTGTTCTGTACCTCCATCGTGCCATGCTGCCTTTTGGCAAGTCAAAGCTCTCGTGTGCTTCTCAGCCTCGCCCCTAACTCGAGCATCGTCGTGTCTTGCCACAGCACCCGACACGCCATCCTGGGATATTGCACCTTGGGCGAAACTGGTGCAACTTAAATTTGTTGGACCGAGTCTCTGCCCAGTTTCCAGTTTCCAGCTTTTAGCTCCAGCTCATCTCTGCCTGTGCCGCGGAACAACGGTTGCCTGCTACAGGCCCTTCCGATGCCTCCGGCGCTGGCATTAACACGCCAAGACGATACAAACGATACAACCGCTACAACGACGCCAAACCGCCGGAGCCACGGACTTGAGACAACCCCCGTTAGCACGCATGCAAGGCAACCCGCCAAGACTTCTGACCTCCGGAGCTCCGTCCACGGACGCCGATGGGAACATCGATTCACCATGCCTGCCTCGCTTCTCGGCATGGTGCGAAACCCCGATTTGGCCGTGTCACCCCATCGGAGTGTTGACGACTAACACGCACCAAACCTAATGGCTAGCCACAGCTGTAAATCCTGTTAGAGTGTGAAGTACAAGTGCCTCTCGTTGTAATAATTGCCGGTCATTGCCGTCCGGACTATGTCACATCTCACATGACTCTCGGATCAGACGGGCTCGGCAGCCCTACCCGTCTCATCGACGCCGCAGCACCAGCAGCCAAAAAGTCAACCTCTAGTGCGCCTCCATCAGATCCCGCCCCGCGTATTCAAAAATACTTTCGCGTACCCTTAAAGGGACTATGGGTAACTATGACGATCGACATGCAGTGTCAGAATGTTAGCAGGCTGACAACATTCTGACCGTCTGTGTGTGACAGTCTGTGTCTGACCGTATGCACGGCGTAATAGACACCGTGCAGCTCGACCAGCTCATCCTACTTCTTTGTTGTCCGTCCTATTATCGCCCAGTCCAAGCTACGTCACTACTTAGATGGAGACCGGGGCTTGCGCTAATGCTCCAAAATGCCACTCTCGTGCCCCCCCGGTCAAGAATGAACAATCGGTGTCGCGTGGTCTCGAGCCCAAGTTAGCCGTAGCTGGATTAGCCCGGCAGAGAGCTTTCCATGTGACTGGGTCCTGAAGTCATCGACTTATCAATCGCCCCCACCACTCAACTAGAGATGGGTAGAGATGCGCTGGAGGGCCTCAACTCGCAGGATTGATTACTGCAGCGAGCGTTGCAGTACTCCTGCAACATGTCCTGTGACCACGTCTCAACTAAGGACCGGCCACTCATAAATGGTTATTGTCGAGGAAACGTCGATTCCGTGTCGATCCGAGGCTGGTCTACTTGGCACCCCAATCAACCCCCCTACATCGTCATTTTGGTGTCTTTTATGTGCCGCCCCCGTCACCAGCCTCATCCGGGACATCCGGATCACGCATGGAAAAAGCATCCTATGGCCGGCTCTAGCCTCCAATTTCCTTGGCTCACCGACTCGTTAGGTTTGCCTACTACAAAGTTTTGTGACGTCTTGGCTTGCCGGGTCCAAACTTGTCTCGCTGTTGGTCGCCCAGCAAGGATGGCCTACCAGCTGTTCATCCACTTCTAGCACCATCGCCACTCCATCTGTGTAAGTGGTAAGCCTCCGCCTACCATTTTCCTGTAGTCAGCATCTCGATCACCTCAGTAATCCGTGCTAATAGCACCTGCAGGATAATCCAACGCCTCACACCCGTGTATACCCAATTATAAATCGTTAGTATAATCTGCCTTGGCCCCCCTCTCGCTGCCCATTATGGAAATTTCCACATCCTTCGACAGTTTGGCATTTACGATCTTGGCATACCCGATATTCAAGAGTCGGCATTATCAAAGTCGGTTGAACTATTTATATCTACCTTGCTGGACCCATTCCGACACAACCATTGCCATTTTCATTTTGTACGATTGGGATGTGAATAAAACATTCAACAATTACACGGTACCGTATTCAAACGAGAAGCGCAGTGCGCATCACCCGTGATAATCCATGTTGGCGATACATCTACCAAAAAAATGTCAACCCCTTTTGAAGTCCATACCCTGAAGCCATCAGGGAGCAAAAATGTCCAAACGCCGAGGATACAAGACCTCCCTTATATCAACATGTAACCACCCAACCTCCCCCAACCCCAATGTAGTCTCTTTATCCAGAGACATGAAGATGCACCAAATGGTCCGCGAACGCCCTTCTTCTCTCGCCTTAAGCATGCATCTCGTCCTCCTCAACCATCCTCCCCAGAATCAGGCTCTGGATCACTAACTCATCATCCAGCACTCGTATCTCACGTATGGTCTGCTGCGCCGCCCCAGACCTTCTCCGCTTCTTGGTGCCTGCTACCACCGGCGGTGCAAGGACAGCCTCGACAGTGCCCGTGCCTTTGTCGATGTAGAGCCAGTCGAATGGATTCCCAGCCTTCCGGTGTTCTAGCAATACCTCGCGGGCTTGTTGAATTGTGAACACTCTTGAAATGGATGGGCCTAGGACCGTGGCTAGGAATATGTACGGTTCTTTGGCCTCGCTACGCGCCTTCCTAGAGTCCACTACCACCAGAATTCGCTGGCCATCAAGGAGTCGGGGTCGTTGATCAATGACATCTGCGAGTCGGGCATCCGCCGCAGAATAGGGTGGAAGAGTCCGTGATCGAATTGCGTTACCAAGCACCGCGGAGACTCCCGCACAAAGAACGTAGGGCTCCCAGTCCACGATAGACCCCTTATTCAGACAGGCTGTGATCCATTGATGGGCCAAGCAGGGCAACCCTAGCGCTAGAGCTTGCATGTACTTGGCCTTGCGGGAATGACCGTCTGCCACTAGGGCCGTGAAGCCGCTCTCGGAACTCGATTTGGTGAGCTTAAGAGCATCCTCTTCGTCGATGACGGGGCTTGTTGTGTTCATGATCGATGACTGCTCAAACATGTCCTGGAATCCCTCGGGCAGAATCGTGCCTCCAGCTTGTGCAATTTTCGTCTCCAATTTGGTTCGCTCCTGCGGCTTAACCTGACTTGAAAAGGAGATGGCAAAGACCATGTTCTCGAATAGTCGCCCGGTCCTGTGCACTGACCCTAAGCTCTGTCTGAAAGACCTGTTGGACTTTGAATGGATTATGCTCTTTTCCAGCGCACTTGCTGATGGTGAATGATGAAGTTCATCAGTGGACTCGGAGTCCAGTCGCGGAAATCGCTTCGCCATCCTGGTAGCCCTTTTTGTAGGCTGGGGCGACTCGGACTTGCTCCCCCCTCGGGGGTCCCTCTTTCGTGAACCTCGGGCTCGGCCTTTAGCAGGGGAAGGTAAAGTAACTGACTCGGGTCGATCTGAAACGGGTGAATCCTGTGTACCTGGGGTGGTCTTTGCTGATGGTACAGGTGTTGAAGACAGAATGCTCAGGCTGGACGAGGTCGGCAAAATATTGCCAACGGAGCGTGCGGCGAGGGGAGTGGCTGGGTTCGTCTCACTACGGCGAGAACGCGTCGTCATGGGGGGCGGCAGCTCTGCTCTAGATTTCTTCGGTGATCTCTTAGAAACCCGTGGTTGTGCGACAACTTCAGCTCCATCCGTCGTCTCATCCTTTAATGAGGTGACTTCTTCTTCCATTTCTTTGGGCACTGGGGTGGGAACGAGGTCTTTCAATGGTGATGAGGCGGGCTTCGCCTTGTGCTCATGGTCGATTGTAATGGCATCCGAGTTGGAGGAACTGATAAATGGGTTCCTGCGGCGCTGGCGAACCGTCTGGCCATAACTTCTCGTATTCTTCCTTCGCGGTGGCGGAAGCGATGAAGGTTCCTCATCATCATCTTCTTCCACTTGGGCTTCCACATCGTCAATAATGAGACTTGGTAGTTCAGGTTCGGAAGGAGGAGGTGGTAGATCCAGTGGTGCGGTGGGTGGAATAGATGGCGCTGGACTAGTCGCAGGGATCATCTCTTCTTCTGTTGCAGGTTTCTCAGCGTCAAGTGCCATGATGGTATCGCCGTCGTGATCCGTTCCATCTTCTTCGAGCTCACCCTCCCCTGGAGTGGCTTTCGTGGAGGCAACGGGAAGAGTATCGTTCGAAGCCACCACCGCGTTCTGAGAATCATCCACAAGGGGAGGCAAGTCATCACCCTTCGTCTGAACCAGTCCCGGCTTGGCGTGTTCTTGGGCTACGTTGGCTGAGGGGCTGGACAGGACCCTCCTTCTCTTCCGTGATGGCTGTTCTTCTAATTCCCGTCTGCCTCTGGGTGTAAAGCTCACTCTCCCCATTTCCTCTGCAGCTTGAGCACGTCTCCTTTCAATTCTCTTGCGCCGTTCCATTCGTCGGATAGCATCATCGGAGTCACTGTCTGATCCCAGATAGGGAACTGCAGCCTCGCCATTCGTCTTTCTCTCCTGTGACTTCTTCATTGGCTCGTAATGCGCCATCGGCCCGATACTCTCAGAAGTATTGGGTGGCGATTTAGGTGCCTGGGCCCGTGGGGTACGGTCGGAGGATGGGGGTGACTCTGGGATCATGTCGCCGCCCGTAGATCTACTGTTGAGCGGGGTTTCGGCCTCCACTGGTTCCCCATCCTTGTCCCTCAGAGATGTATTCGGTATTTCGTGTAGCCGTGGGGGACTCGAGGTTCGGATATCGGTTGGCGAAGAAACATTGGCTCTGTTCTTAAGCGGCGAGGTCTCAATGATGGGGGAAATGGAGTTGAAGAGGTTCGGGGAAGGTCGCGAGGACGTCGGGCTAATTTTCTTCACGGCCGAGGAGAACTGAGTCTGGCCAAAGAGCTGGCTGCCGGCAAGAGGTGCCGCGATGCTTCCTTTCGTCGCGAATGGGTTCTTCGGAAGTGCAGGAGTCTCAAACGCGCCGCCATGGGGCCGACGCGGCGTGAAGGCATGGCTCGAGTTTAGTTGTGGTGTTTCGTCCGGCCGCCTCCATTCACCTCTAGTATTCTCGAAGCCGGCATCCTCAGAGACTTGTGACGATGGCCGAACAACCTCGCTGAGACCAAAGTTGACGGCGCCAGATTCGTTGCCTTGCAGCGTTCGCGGTTCGATGGATCCGGCTTGGGTGTTTCCGTTGACGGGGCTCGAGGGTACCAGGTCGCAGTATTCGCTGTAGTCACGGTCGTCGTTGACTTGGGTCGGGGTCTGCTGTGACAACGCCATCCTGCGAGGCGGCGCGATGGCAGCGACGGGCGGAGGCTTGCTGATCTCGTTGACAGAGTCTGGTGCCCCGTGGTGTGCTGGAATCAGACGCGAATCGTCATGACGCGGGGGGGATTGTTCGACGACATTCACGCCGCAAGGTTCGAGCACAACTACAGAGCCGCACGCTCCGTCCCTGGTCGATTTGGCGTGATTCGTCGAGTCTCCGGCATCGCCATCTGCTACCTCTGCAGCTGGTGCCTCCGGGGATGTATATTGCTTTTGCGGAGTCAGTGCCATCCCGGTCACTAGTCCGGCCCAGTGCGGCGGATCACAAACCTCAGCTGCGGGTCGACGCCCACCAAGACGCGCTTCAGCAAGCGTCGCGTCGCGGGCAACTGCATTCGGCCGTGGATCCACGGCTTTAGTAGTGGGTGATGGACGTTGTTTGGTTTCTGTGTTTGCCGTCTCTGAATAATAGGATCCTTTGGGAGGTGAACTGCCGAGCTATACCGCAGCAAACATAAATTGTTAGCACACACATGCATGTGTTTGCTTGCTCGCTGGTGGCCCGCGCCCAGTGCAACAAATCCACCAGCGGCACTGGCTACGTACCGTTGCGACGCCAAACTCAGCCGTGTAGGCCTCAAGGATGGCCTGGCTGTCCTGTGAGTCGTCGCCTGCCTGGACTAGCGATTGAGAACCTGCCATTGTGAAGCTGTCGCCAGCATCTTCTTCCTTTGACTGTTGCGGATAACAAAAATGCTGGAAAAGATTCAGGCGCAAAGGGTTCGACGGCTAAAATACTAAATTAACCTAGCCATCATGGAGTGGAACAAAGAGGGAAGGAACCAAAGCGAAATCGCGCCAGTAACACGCATTCACGTGATGTCCTCAAAGGCCGTTCTCTGCCCTGAACGCAGCGCCGTTTTGCGTCGCTGCAACCGATTCCTATTTTCTGGATTTCAATTCATACAATGCTTTGGTGACTAGAGACCCTCTCATTTTTCAGAACCCCCCTAAAGGCTTAGGTTTGAGGCTGCAGCGGTAAATGCGTTCTGGGACTTGGACCATAATCTACATGTGAACGTCATGTCCCGGTTAAATGATACGACCCTTGAACACGAAACATGAGCAAACGACAAATTCCACGTATAACACTGAGTCAAGCGAATTGACCACCCCAAGGAGAAAGCATCTGACCTGTAGTCATGACGGCCCGACAGGTCCTCCACCACGTCACCGTGACTATCAGCAATCACATTTTATTCAAGTAAGCTAGAGGCCTCCCCGCCCGTCTCACATTACTACCACCAACACCGATGCCTGCGCAAACCACGCTGGGAGGCTTATTTTGATATTCCGACCGAGCCAATACAGCATATCATGACCGGAAACTCACACCCAAGCGAGAAGAAGCCACAGCAAGGCCTGAAGCGGCGCAGCCACCCTGAAAACCATGGCGAAGACCAATCTACGAAGAAACAATGCATCACTCAAAGTGACGACAATGCTGACGAGGAGTGCGATAATTGGTCCGTTGCTGCCTCGGTTGGTGATGATCCTGGCTCCGCAGATGATCTTCCAGAGCTCGCCCAAACAGAAATTCAGCGCCAAACGTCTGGTAACGGGCAACTACCCAAGAATGAGGATTACACAAATACAACATCTGGTGGAAGTGGAATTGCATCAAAAGGGGGGCAGGAAGCCTAAAGGGCAGGGGAATCGAATAGCACATGGCCATATTATGTCATTATGTGTGATTTATACTAGAAATTTTCTCCAGTCCACTGTCCATCTCTCCCTGACTTCTACTACATCATCGTATCAAACAATCTTGAACTTCGTCGAATAAAAGACGGCTATGAACGCTACATAAACGCTAGGTGAAGGAGATGATCTTTTCCAAATCAAATCACGTTAATAATCCCAATCGTCTTCGTCTCCCCAGTCTCCGCCAGAGTAATCTGCCGCTGGCTTCTTCGCCCACTTATCGTCGACTGGGGGCTGGGGTTTAGGTGTTGGAGGCTCAAGTCGGTTGCCTTTGGGACTTGGGTCACCGTTCTTGATAGAGTTGGGTGAGTTGGGGCCTGAGAAAAGGGGGGCCGGAGTCAAGGTACGGCTGTCGTCGACAAAGGGAGTAGGTTCAGGCCGGGCATCCTGTCGTTGAGAGGGAAGTGCGAAAGGCGAAGGTGCATTTCCTTGGACAACCGGTGGCTCGTTCATGGGAGCACGGGAGCCTCCTAGGGGGGCAAGCGGAGCCGGCGTAGGAGTTTGAGTGCCGCTCAGGGTCTGATGGAGATCCGTAGACCGTCTATATACCTGGACGATCTGGGGCCGCAATACAGGCTGTGTTTTAGCTTCAGAAACCTCAATCGTGGAGACGGACGCCGTATCCGAGAAATTATCAGTGGAATTTGACGGCATTCGCCCCAATGATGGAAGACCCATGTCGGACGGCACTGGACTCGGTTCTGGTGGAGGAGGAGTCACAGCAAGTCGGGCTGATCCATGTCTGGGTGCTAGAGGTTCCATCGGAGGCGGTGGAGGTTGAGACTGTCCCGGAGAAACATTGGCAGGTGGCTGCGATACTGGCCCAGTTGGGGGAGTAGCTCGGCCGAGTGGCATAACAGCAGGACCCGATTTCTGGAGAGCTACCGGCGGGAATTGCCCTTGCTGTTGATGCTGTGGCGGTGCCATATTGTTTGGGATGCCCGGCTGCTGTTGGCCTTGGATCGGTTGTCCCTGCATTGGTTGTCCCTGCACTGGCTGTCCCTGCACTGGCTGTCCCTGAACTTGTTGTCCCTTAATGGGCTGTCCCGGCTGCCATACAGCAGGCTCCGCGTACTCGCCGCCACCCCAGCTGGGACGCGGATTATGCGAGGAAGGAATGGGCGAGAACGCCTGGGTTTGAGGTGTCGTCGGACTTGGTGCGACTGACTTGGGTCCACCCTTGAACCACTTGAGCCACTTCTTCTCCTTTGGACTATCAGCCGTTTGTGGTGGCACTGATCCAGGCCGGGAGCCAGGAGCCATTGGCGACTGCGTATTCGGATTCCATGGTTGCTGACCTTGCGGGATTTGGACCTGTGGAGACATCCTCCCGTTTGGAGCCTGGCCCTGAGGAGGCATCTGCAGGTGTGGGCGCTGTCCTTGGGGTGGCATCTGGCCCGACGGAATTTGTCCACCTGGGACCATCTGCATAGAAAGAGGTCTCTGTCCCCCTTGAGGTATCTGACCTGGCGGGATCTGTCCAGGAAATGGCACTTGCCCCATCTGTCCCTGAGGTGGCATCTGGCCTTGTGGCATCTGTCCACCCGGAGCCATATGCATGGAAAGAGGTCTTTGTCCACCCTGAGGCATCTGACCTGGCGGCATCTGGCCCTGGGGTGGGATTTGACCTGGCGGCATCTGTCCAGAAACGGGTCGTGGTGCTCCCATGGGAGTCTGACTCTGGGATGGCGGCTGGCCCGGTGGTAACTGTCCGATCGGAGGCTTCTGACCCTGAGGCAACGTTTGCCCTGCAGGAGGCGCCTGTCCAGTTGCTTGGGGCGGTCCTTGTTGAGGTCGTCCCTGAGGGACCTGACCATGGGATGGCATCTGTCCGGGCTGAGGCGGGGGCCCCTGTCCTTGTACCTGACCTTGGGGGCGTACCTGGCCTTGGGGTGGAGGCTGGGTTTGTAATGGTGTCTGACTCTGGGGAATCTGGCCTTGGATGATCTGTGTCTTCGGGAGAGGCATCTGTCCTCCTGGGGGCATCTGACCTCGAGGGGGGATTTGTCCCTGCTGAGGAGGCATTTGTCCTTGAGGCGGCATCTGCCCTGGGCGAGACATCTCGTCTTGACGTTGCATCGACCCAGATGGAGTCTGTCCCTTTGAAGGTTTGCGTTGCAGAGAGGCCTGGGTTTGGGGAGGCATCTGTCCAAGAGGGGGGATTTGGCCCTGAGGAGGTGCTTGTCCCTGTGGTGGCATCTGCCCAGTTGATGGCGCTTGTCCTCTTGAGGGCTTCCTCTTCAAAGGCGCTGGAACTTGAACCGGCATCTGTCCAGGAGGCATTCCTCCTTGAGCCACCTGGGTCTGGGGAGGGAACTGGCCCTGTGGGGGAAACTGGCCTTGGGGAGGCATTTGCTGAGGTATCTGCTGAGGTATCTGCTGAGGCATTTGCTGAGGAGCTTGACCCCGAGGAGCCCCCCTCCCAGGTCCCTCCCAGCCCTGAGGCACAACATTTTGCACAGGGCTCTCGGCGTGCACCTCGGTCCCTGGTGTTGTCTGCAGACTCTGACGGCGGCTACCTTGGGGCGACTGCTGCAACGAAGCCAGAGAGCTGCGTCGCGTGTGAGCTTGTGACTGGCTCGACGATCGACTGAGCGCCACGTGCGCAGTCTCTTCGTGCTCCTCGATGCGCCCGAGATATTGCGGGCCCATCGGCGGCGTCCCTGGGTAGGGAGCAGGAGGCTGCTGTGGAGGAGGCTGCTGCTGCTGTAGGGGTGGTTGTTGCTGCGGGATACCATTGCCTTGGGGCGGTTGGCGAAGGGAGTGGGAGCGTTGCACCAATGGCTCGGTGTGAGAAGCCGAAGAGAGTGGTGACTGTCCTGGGGGGAGAGACATGCGCTTCGCCGAGTCTGATCGACCAATTGACTTTTTGCGTAACTTGTTCTGGGCCGAGACGGCGTGGCCTTGGCCCTCGGCGTTTTGCATGGCGAAGTAGGATCCGGGATCTGCCTGCTGACTGGCCGGTACCGAGGGTGGCGTCGGCGTGAATCCCTGGCTCCCTGAGCCTTGGGAGACGGGGGACGGCGTGTAGTTGGGTTGGCTGAGGGCCTGGTTAAGCGACGCGGTTGACGAAGCTCGACGGCTGTTCTCCATCGGGGAGGGGGTTTGGAGCGGAGCCGTGGAGGAGATGCTGCCGGACCGCGATTCTATTGGAGAGACGACGTCATTAGCGAGAGACGAGTGCCGGCGCCTGTACTGTGCCGGATCTAGAGCAGGCTCATCCGGAGGGTATGGGGTATTAGTTTGCCGAAGTGGCCTTGTGTCGTCGGGAGGGTATGGTGTGTTGGTTTGTCGAAGTGGTCTTGGATCATCAGGAGGATATGGGGTTCCCGTCTGTCGTGGAGGCATATCATCAGATGGATATCCGGGCTGCGGTTGAGTGCCAACCCGCCTCAATGGCTGGATCTGAGGAGCAGGAAATGGAGCATCTTGTGGCGGCGGCACTGTTGATGACATCCCCTGAACGCGGCCTTGGTACGGGGGATTCATGCCCTGTTGCTGAGACAGTCTGGGGTCTTGTCGGCCTGAGCCTTGCTGGTGATTGAACGGTTGAGGTTGACCACCTCCCATCATCATATCCGGCATCACGGTAGCCGGCCTCGCTGGCTGTTGATGTCGTTGCGCTGCTTGCGGACCTTGAACCACCGGGTGGCCTCCTTGAATCATTGAAACTGGTCTTTGCGATGGGGGCTGATCCGGAGCAGTGTTCACTCGCTGGACGCCCATCCGTGGCTCTTCCTGTTGTCGCTGCTGCTGCTTCAGGGGAGAAGGGGTCATTGATGCCGGGTGCTGGCCATGCTTAGGAGGCACATAGCCTGAAGCTAATGGCGGCGCCTGGTTAGAGTTGAAGGTCTGGGACTGTCCTTGCTGAGGCTGCTGGCCTGGCTGTGACGGAGCCCGTTGGCGTGCGGGTCGTAGAACGGACGGGAACTTGGAGATTCCTCCATTGAGAGGCGCCAGACCGGGGCTATTCTCGACACCAGCCGGAGCTTGGGGTTGAATACCGGCATCAACGGCCATGACCGGCGGGGACGGTGCCTTGCTTTGGCCTGGTGCGTCGAGGGGCTCCTTTCGCGGAACTTGCGGCGGCGTAAGAGCGGCTGGGATGTCGGCGCGGCTGACGTCCATAGACCGGCCCGGCTTCAGGCCCATCATGAGAGATCGCTCACGCTGCAGAAGTGACATTCGCTTCATATCATTATCCCTCAAGTCCCTCGTGGGTGCCGGTATTCGGGGATTCTCTGGCGTCGCCATGCCAGGCTTGTAGGCCTGGAACCCGCTGGGCACTTCCTCCTCGGGGTTCCTTTCAACACTCGGCGGCTGAATCATGCCCTGCGGTGGGGCATCTTTCGTGTGATTTCGCAGGCTGCCTGGGGCAAGCATGGGCTCTGGGTTGGGCTTCGGCTCAGTGGGACTGGTGCTCTCTGGCAGCTCTGCGTAGCCCTCGGGCACCGCTGTCTCAATGGGAGCGAGCACCGTGTTGTCGGCCATCTCGACCGGGTCCGGGTTCGTCTCGACGCGCGCCGAGGCGGTGTCGAACGTGGGCATTTCAGCGACAATGCCAACTGGGTCAAATTGGTGGAATGGTTCCTGGACGGGCAGCTCGTGGAAGACTGGCTCCTCGGGGACAGTGGGCGGGATGGCCATGGTGACGGGCTCTCCCATGACAGCTTGAGACATGACGGGACCGCCCATGATGGGGCCGCCCATCATGAACCCATCTGGGACAGGCGTCGCCTGCACAGACGCCCGCGCAACCTCGCTATTCATGACGTGCGGCGTCGTGCGTTCACTGACCACGGGACTGACGCCCTTGCCCGCCGGGGGAGTTGCCTGCGGAGTCCACTCAACCCGATCCTCGATGCCGCCAGCCACGACCCTCCGCGCCGCCTCCTCCTCCTCCTCGGCCAGCGGGCTCACGTCATTGTAGGTGCCGGGGCCCAGGAACATGAAGCTCTCGGGCTGGAACACGGCGTCCTCGCCGATGTCGTCCTCCCAGACGGAGCTCACGGGCATGGCCGACGCCGACATGCCGTTCTTCCACGCGCCGCCATTAGCGCCGCTCCCGCCGCCCGCTCGCCCTGGGTTGCTCGTGCTCGTGCTCGCTTGCCGCTTGACCTGCTGCTGCGACTCGAGGCGTTCCTCAGGGGCCAAGGCCGGGGCGGGCGAGGCGGCGTCGATGAAGTCGGGGAACTCATCGCCCTCCTTGGGGAAGTGGTATTGGATGTGGCCGGTGGGCTTGTACTTGTAGAACCACCGCTGGCCGTCGTAGTCCCATTCCCAGTTTTCGGGAAGGCCAGACATGGTGTATTCGCAGCCCTTCTCAGGGTTTGTTGTGGTGGGATTTCGTTCTCGCCGTTTTGGATCGCCTTGGTGCTGGAGGTGTCGTTGGGCTGCGCAGGTCGCTCTGCATCGTTTGGGTTCGTCGGGTCGCCTCGTCGGGTCGGTCAATCACTCGATGCTCGCTACGAGCTAGGGGGTAATGCAGGGCGCAAGCCGGGCAAACAGAGGCGTATGCAATGCAGCGACACCGGGCGCTTTGCCTCTCTGCAGTGAACACGTCGTCGCAGTCTCTCGCCTGAGCCTCGTGCCTGAATCCTGAGGTCGGAGGGACAAAGTGGCACAGACACGCCGCGCAGCTGGTTAATCAATGTCAAGTCATTCGGGACCAGCCTGATTTCCGCGGCACTGAGCCGCCCACTAACGTCGAGCCAAGACAGAGGCTGAGTCTCAAGGCGCACCACTATTGGACGCTGCGTGTAAGGCGCTCCCGCGGCGCTCCCCAGGCGCTGGCTGGGAAATGCGAGGGTCCCGTTTTTGGCGGTGCGGAGGTGGTGCAGCGCAGCCTCAGCACAATTTCGGGGTCCTCAACCCGCTTCTAGACCCCGAGCTAGCGACTGCTCGCGGCTAGCCCTGATGGATGGGCCCTGCTGGATGGGCTGTTAAAAGTGTTAACTAGGTGGCGGGATCGAGCATCGCCGTCGGTTTAGTGCTGGGGCATCGCTCCAAACAAGACTCTGTCGTGGAGTATTCCAGACCCTGGTCTTGTCTGGACAAACATTGTCGCCTCGGCCAGCTCTCTTCAATTGGCTTTTGTGTCCATGATCCAATGGAACCCAGCTCTCCTCCCTCGCAGGGCTGATCAATGGGGTTACATTTTACCCGCTTGCTGTCCCCTGCTCCTCCAGCGCCTATCCCTGCCCAACGTTTCATCGGCGCACCTAAGCTTTCTGGGCCCATGATTCAGTGGCAGTGCTCGCAAATCCACCATTCAGTGCATTCACCCATTATTACAGTCAACATATGCGTCTCGTATTTAAAGCCAAGTAGTTAATTCCCTCGTGGACTATTTTGATTCCACGTCACTCATGATCCTTCAGTATTCTTTTATCATTTCCTGACCAAAATTCCGAATCACCCGCACAAAGTCTCCCGAAGAAGACTGCCTCAGGAGCCTCACCCTGGCGAACTCCTATCTCCATGTCCAATCTAATTATTCCGCCTCCTGACCGGAGTTGTTGAAAAAGAAAACACGCTGAAACGCAGTCCCAGAGACATCAATGAATATAGCATCATACCTAAACAAAGCATCACACAACGCAAGAGGTGTGCCCTGTCATGGCATGGAGTGCATCATGAAAAAGAAAATATCATTAGAGACAACGTATATCAATATGCCAAACAAAACTTTCTATCGTACTTCTAAAAATAGTCATAACGTGTCATCAATTTCCGTCTGTTTCTCAGACAATATCACCCTGTCTTTGACTTTTCGACTTGCTCCGTAACCGGCTACCAAACATGCGTGATCGACTCTCTGATGTCCGCACACGTTCGAGGCCCGACGAGCTCGCTCGTGGTGACGCATCCTGCTCCGCCTGAAAAGCGTGGTCCTTTTCCCTGATAGATGCTAGGCGGTGTGCCTGAACCTGCTCCTTTCGCGTCTCAAACACATCCTGGAAGTCCATGTTCGTGTCCAACGCCGCTCGATCTGCTCGCTCCGCTCGCTCCGCTCGTTCGGCGCGGCTGTACGTTGACCTTGAACGAGAGACCGGCGGGGCCTCATAATTGTCCTGGCTCTGATCTTTTCCATATGCAGGAGGCGGTTGCAGGCCTGTCCAGAACATAGGGTGCTCGCGGCTACCACCGGGGTCAACTCGGTAGGGGGCCTGGATGCCGATATCCACCATCTGTGTCATGAGCTCCGTGCAAAACTTGTTGTGTCGGTTAAGGCGCAGCAACTCGTTCTGGAAGTTACTCTTGTGGAAGAAGATAATGTTCATGGTGCAAGACCGCACCTCGTCAAGGGTTCGCATCTCGCTGATGATACGGGGTTGGTAGTCCCGCTTATTGGCCAAGCAAAAGTCGAGCATCCGAGCCTTCAGCTCATCGATCATATGAGCAGGGGTTCCGAAGCGCATCTTGAGCTGAACGGGGTCGGCTAAGCCGTTAGATCGACGCTGGTTGAGAATAAAGAGAGTGTTGAGAAGTGAGTTAGGAGCCTGCACGATGTGGCCTTCCATTTTCTTAAACTCAGTGTACAAAAGAGATATCTCCGTGACATAATAATCGTCACCCGTCATTGTAGCGCCGGTATTACCATAGACTGTGATACGGTCGCCGACATCGAAGGGGTGCTTGACGAAAACGAAGATGATGGATTGGAGGAACTCCTGTGCCGTCGCTTGGAGCACCCATGCAAGACCCAAAACCACGGTGCCTGCGGAGCCAAGGGCGGCGGCAGCAGAACCCGAAAGAATCGAAATGAAGACGACAACGGTGATGACGAAGATGACGAACAGGAAGACTTTGTCGAGTTTCTTAATGACGGAGTCGAGATCCTTCAGGGAAGCCGCAATTGCCTTCTTCTCGAGGTGAATCTCATTGCACACAGCCTCCATCTCCTCCAGGGAGATATCGCCGTTCAGGTCCTTGTCGAACAAGTAAAACGCACACTCGGCCTCTTCCTCCGTATGGAAAATAGCTTGCAGATCCTCGAGGTAGACAAGCTCACGGCCATCCTTTACGACGCTCCGATAGATGAGTCGAGCAAGAGTCTGAGCTGAGGCTGTCGTGCGCAGCAATTCGGATACGACCTTGCGAGGGTGGTTGTTATTCACTTTGCGGCCAATCAAGTCGTTGCCGACACGACCGGCAACATAACCAACTTTGCTCAACGCCTGGCGTGCGTTGTCCTGCAGGGTCTGCATCGGGGTCTGAGTACCACTGGCCGAGGCGCTGGTGCCGCGCTGCCAGAAGTAGTCCGGCTCCTCGTTATGGGCCTTCGCGTACTCGAAGAGTTCGACGAGTTGGCTGATGTCAGCTTTGTTGTTGTCGATGCGGGTAGCATAGGTACGCTGGTGGAATGAAGTGGCGATCCATTGAATGAGGATCTTCTCCACAAAGTTGAGTGTGGCCAAGGTGAATAGAGCAATTATGACCTTATTGACTATACCAATCCACTTTTGTTCGACTTCTGGTTTAGAAGGGACCCGGTGATCATTGATCGTTGGCATAAAAGAAATCAAGACGGCGAGCATCCAGAGGAAGAGGGCCGTGTGAAGGTCAAGCTCGGCACCGATGTCCCTCCACTTCTTGGATGTAGTTGATCCAAAGAGTTTGGCGACAGCCTGAAAGGTCCATGGCATCAGACTGGTAATCATCCGTGACACCCAGAGAGAACCCCAGACAATCTCGAGCCATATGCCGAACCACATTATATAGACTCCGCCAGTGCCACCAACAGCACGGTCCTGGGTGTTGAATGCGAGAGCGCCGAGAAGGACCGGGATCAAAAGGAGAGCCGCTCCAGGGAAGACGTACACCAGGTAGCGGAAGAATCGAGGAAACTTGCGAAGAAATACCCAAAACTTAACCAAGGTGGCATCGGAGTCCTTTTTCTTCTCGGGATGGAACGTCTCGGAGGGCATAGGTTGGTTGAAGGCATCCTCAGGTTCCACATGGTGGACGCGTTTTGAATGGCCATCCTGCTCCTCCTGGGATACTGCACGCTCGATACGGAGGAGTTCGAGGTCATCGTTGAAGCGGGTTGCGTTGGCGCGCTGCTCAGAAGGTGAGACAAGGCTGTGAGACTCGTTCGTTTCGTGGTTGGCCGTCAGTGTGTTGAAGGTGTCGAGTGATGGTGCCGAATGCGGTGCTGGATGTTTCTCATCGATAGGCCTCTCAGGAGACGTCTCTGGCTGTTTTTCGGAGTTTATCGTCTCGCGATGTGGTTGCGGATTAGTTGTGCCCGCCATTGTGAATACCGTGATTCGTCTCCGGGGCCGAAATGGAGTATGAACTTCTTAGCAGGGCGGTAGAAGTATATGATCCTCGAAAGGAAATGGCGACGACCTTAGATAAACGATTTCCTGAGAGGCCCTATCCGGGTAATTGAGTTGTGGAGAGCGAGCAGAGTATATACCCACCCAACAGCCGGTATGGAAGAGAAAGTGAAAGACTCGAAGTGGATCACAAACGCATTGATGATGACGCCGACTCTCAAGATGTAAAGATTTAGTCTCTTGGGCAGGTCTTGAACGTTCGCCACGGTCAGGTAGCAGTGGAGATGGCTTCAGGTTGGATATCCCGTCGTATTAACCAGCAATCCTTGTAGGGACAGTGTGTGACGTCGCTTGGGAAGATACACAAATGAGTATGATAAAACGAACAGGCAAAGCTCGCGGGTGACAGGGACTCTCCCAACTTTTAAGAGATGGCCTGGAGCGACCAGGAGAGAAGACTGGGTCCAGATAACCTTGGCTCAGGGAGAGCAGGGAATGAATCGAGGGATCCACAGCGTTCCCCATCCCATCGCCAGATTGCCAGTTGTCTTCCCCCCATACGACGTAAACACATTCGCCCTGCCCCGTCTCCTGGTCCTCCGTCCACCATCCTCAGGATAGACGTACTGGGTTGGCTGAAAGTCGGACCTGGGTGGCCCCAAAAGGCGAACCTGGTGGAGCCGCCGGACCAGGGCCAAGAGCCAAGCCAAGCCACCAGGCCCCACGGCCGGGTCCTTAAGCACAAGCATCATCGACGGCCGGGGAGCTTGGGCCGAGTGGACCGTGAAACCATGGGGCCGTGAGACTCGAGCGACAGATCATGGAACACCCAACGGGGAAATACCGAGAGAGCCGCCGCTGGTCCAACGCAATCGTTCATCTCGAGCCGCCGTGACTCGCGCGGCCGCCCGCGCTGTATGGTGCCGTTGAATTGCACTGCAGTGTCGATCCTGGATGTGCCCAAGGGTATCATGTGCGGACCCGTGCAGAAGCGGCCGAGGGAGTGGCTGGATCTAACGTTGTGCTGGCGCAATTCCGAGACACGAAAAGGAACAGGGAACACGCACCCTCAAGAATCTGTCAGAGGCGAATGTTGGTGGTAGCTCCCGATAAGGCCTCGTCGCCAGGCACATCAAGATTTTCCTCGGCGCAAATCCCTTCCTTCGGAGGCATCGCCCCCCGGAAGCGTGCAGAATTAGACATTGTCACCTCAAGCCGGACCTGTTGGGAGTCGCCTTCGCAAGACCACTAGGCCACCACTGACGTCACCCAGCAGAAGCGTTGGTGTCTTCAAGCGGAGGTGCCAAAGTGGTCCCTGACTGAGTCCCTTGTCACTTGGCCATGGAGGAATTTCCGCTGTGGAATGGCAAACCATGGAAGTGGACGGAGGATGCAGGATGCGTGATTGGACGTGCCGTCCGGCGTGGCTGCGTGCAAACAAGGAAACGTTGAGACGATTTGTTGATGGAGGTGTGGAAGGCGTGTGGAAGGTGCCAAGGTGCTCCTGCCCAGCGGCTTCCCCTGCATTCCCGTGGTGCCGCCAGGCACCGTCTACGGGCGCATGTCAGTATTTCCGGGCCGTCTCCCACTGTGCAGCCAGCGCCAGCGCCAGCCACACCGCGTGCGTGGGGGCTCTATCCACAGAGCCTCAGACAGTGAAACGACGCATGGCATCCTCTAAAATGCCCTATATTAAAGGTTTACAGGGGATGCTGGACATCCTCTGGCCAATCCTGGCCTCTGCGATTGTGGTTTCAGAACTTGGACGACAGCGCCCGCAGCCACCAACCATCACCACCATGTGAACGGCCCCTTACTCCTGGTGAGTGGCAAATTTAAGATAAAGGACGATTTTCGAGTCTGGGAGATATGTAGCTGCCTGAGCATGATTATTGTTTGGTTCGAAACAGTCTATCGTATGCAAGCCCCTTAACTCAGGGAAAACGCATTGAAACAGGTTTGGTTATCTGGCAGCGATTCGACTACACCGTGGAATAATGCCACGCGTAATTCGCCAGTTCTACTCCTCAAAAAAAACTCCCTCTTGGAATGGCTGCGTATTGGCATCATGACAGCTCAGTCCACGCAGGAAACAACTAAAATCATGCGTATAACCTTATTCTCGTGCATTTCCACCTAAATCACATCAAGATTTGTTGGTTTGAAAGGGGGCGTGTGGCTGGCTTCTTATCTGGACCTGAATTTCACATTCATCACATATCGAAACCCCTGGTCTCAGATCAGATGAAACCTCACAAAGTCTCTCCCGTTAGGAAAGTGGCACAGTGCTCTGAACTGTACCCTGAGCACTCACACCAGCAATCCAGCACAATCCATCTCTCCGCCCTGGCACCTTGGCACACATCTCAGTGGATATTCACATGCACGACCTCCAAGTCTTCCGAACGCCAATGCATGGATCATGGCCATGCTTGCGCGTCATGACGTCGTCAACCAATCAACAACACTGCCACAGACCATCAACCAAGCCAAGCTCGCTTCTCCGTCCCATTGCATCAAATTAAGCGACAGGGACAAGCGTTCAAGCTTTCGGCTCTGTACGAACTCTGGCAATCCTACGGAGCCCTCGGCGAGCGAGTCTAAGATTGGCAACATATAAGCTTTCAAATCCATCCTTAATTTGGCCCGTGCTGGTTACGTGCCCATCTCTTCAACCTTCTATCTTAAGAATTTGCGGGCCGTAATCCAGTTCATCGCCAATTTTGTGCGTGAATCGTAATGGGACATGACATCTCCACCCACTATCCCGACCGGAGCCCACTGGACGACGCGCGCTCTGGGCGATGATCGCCGTTGCCAACTCTTCCGCTGCCGATTCTTTCCCTTTCCGCTTCGCGCACAAGTTGTCTTCACAGGTCATCCATCTCCACCACGATTGTGTTCAGCACGGCCACGCGCGGATGGCGCCGCCGTGCCCGCCGCCTCTCTGGGCTCTCTATTCTGGCTATTCTCCACTGGTAACCAATGTGTCTACTCCAGCTTAATGCTCCAGTCTGCGCCAATCTTGGTTCCCACCCTGCCCACAGTCGCAAAGGCGGCTCGCCCTCTAGTGACGGCGTGGTACTGCACCTTAGCTGTCCACGTCTGGCCCTCCGACTCTACCTGAACCTCCTTCAGGTTCCAAGCGGACGGCGCTCCAACAATGACGATCTTGTCCACACGCACCTCATCCATAGCCTTGAGCCACTCGCCGGCCTCGATGGACTTGGTGTCCCGGCCCTCAGCGTCAACTGAGGTCAGGACGTTGCCACTGAGGCTAAACTTGCGGTGGATATACTGGCCTTGCTCGTAGTCGAACGAGTCTCCATCATCAACGTAGAGTTCGCCTTCAGCCGTTCCAGCCATGGACACGGTAACAACCAGCGTGTAGTCGTCAAACCGCATCATGGCACTTGATCGCCGAGGAATGTCGCGACGTGGAATCACGTGTCCACCGCGCATGAGCATGGGGATGCGGTCCAGCGGAGCAGCAACCGTTAGGTGCTTGCCAGCATGGGTTTTCTCCGTCTTGTAGGTAAAGTAGTCGTAGTAGATCTCCTCATCAGGAATCCAGATATCAACCGCCGACTTGTCCTGCTGCACGACGGGCTTCGCCAGGAGACCTGTTGATCCCACGAAAAACTGGTCTTCGATCGCAAGTCCGGCCTCTTCGGACGGATGAGTCCACAACATGGGTCGCAGGATGGGGCTACCATCTCGGTTAGCCTCGAAAAAGGCCGTGTACCACGCGGGGAGCAGGCTATATCGCAGTCGGAGAGCAGCTGTCACAATCTGTGTATATGGCTCGCCCAGGAGATATGGCTCACGGCGGCGCGCATCGATATGGGCGTGTCCTCGGAAAAAGGGATAGAAGGCGCCAGCCTGGTACCAACGAGCGATCAAGTCCTTGTCGGGGTTTCCAAAGAAGCCTCCAACATCAGCTCCGGCAAAGGGGAATCCCGAGATACCCTGGTTCAAGACCATGGGGATAGAAGCTTCCAGGTGGGCCCAGTCAGCTTGGTTGTCACCCGTCCACATGGCACCCAGCCGCTGGGATCCAGCGTAAAATGAACGAGTCAGGACGAACGGGCGTCGCAGCTCTCCCTTCTTGCGAGAAAGGAGGGCCTCAAAAGTAGCGTTGTGGAAGGTCATGCCGTTGAGGTTGTGGACATCGCGATGTTCCCAGTTGTCAAAGTGGATGTTGTCCTTGGGCATGGTCGTCTCAGGTCCATTAAAGACTGAAGGTTCGTTCATGTCATTCCAGATGAAGGTGTTCTCCATGGTTCCCTTGAAGGAATCATACTTGAAAAGTGACTTCCACCACTCAATGGCCTTGGGGTTGAAGCAATCGATCCAGTGCGATGAACCAGGCCAGCACCAACCTTCGAAGAGCTTGTTCTCCTTGTTGTGGACTGCAAGGTCCTTGGAGGTCATGTCAGAAACAACATTGTACCCAGCCTCGTTCTTGATGTGGGGGTCAATAATCACGACCAGCTTTCGGCCATGGGCGTCAAGTTGCTCGCCCATGCTGATGGGGTTGCCGAAGGAGTGAGGATCCCAGGTGAAGTACTTCTTTCCGTCGGTGTACTCGATATCCAACCAGATGACATCGTACGGGATCTTTGACTTGTCCATCTTGCGGTCAACATCCTTAACATCATCATCTGAAATGTAGTTCCATCGGCACTGGTGGTAACCAATGGCAAACTCCTGAGGCATGGCCGTGTAGCCAGTCAGCTCACCGTAAGCCTTGGTCAGGTCGGCAGGCGTGGGACCCATAAATACAAAGACATCGAGGAGGCCACTCTCTGAAATCCAGTGCGTGTGGGTGCTCGTCTTTGACTTGATACCAAGGCTTAAGGGGTTGACGGTGTCCTCACCCTTGGTAATATCAACCCAGGTCTCAGCAACATTAAGCCAAAAGACACCGACAGAGGAATCCTTTCGATGAGCCTGCATGAAAGGAATCGACCCATAGAGGGTCATGGGGCTGTCCATGATATACTCGAACACATCCGAGTTGTACATTCGGTACGGCTCCTCGTAGTTCCCATCGCCACCGCGAGTCTGCTTCAGAGACAGAGGGCCGGTATGCTCAGGAATACCGAATACATGGGCATAGCCAGGGAAGGTAATATCCAGTGCCACACTCTCGGGGCCACGAGGCTTGGAGTCGGTATTTCCGCCGAAGGACTCATCCCACCAGGTGCTCTCATCATCTGAGGTATCCTCGCCCTCCTCTTTGTCGATCTTGGGTCTCCAGTGCTCCATATTGAGCAGGCCGCGATCGTTGAACTTGACATGCGAGGCTCCGTCCCGCTTAAAATCAATCTCGAAAGGCGAGAACTTGATGACAGCCTCGTGCTTGGATTCAGGGCCATACTTGACGATGAGTTGGGTCGTGTCTTGCGAAGAGACCTGAGCCTCCTTGTCCAGCTCGAGACCGCCCACAATGACCCAACTTTCAGCCTCGTTGTATCTCTCTTTCCTAACTGGGCTGTCGTTCCGAAGCACAATGTCTTTCTGCTGTCGCTTCTCTTCGTCCACGGTAACTCGGGCGGTGCCGGACTGGAGGAAGGAGATGGTCAAAGGAAGTCGAACAGTATCGCCCTCCTTGTTGATTGTCTTGATAATCGTGGCCTGAAGCTGGCCATCATTCAATGAGGCAGAGTCAGCGAGAATGACGTAGGGCGAGTTCCAGTTCGAGTTTTGGGAGGCGGCATTGTCGGCGTAGGCACGGTTCCGCTTGCAGAAGCCAGACTGGTGGCACTTCTTGAAGTCGTTTTCCTTGACAGCGGCTAGGTCAATTGTTAGCGCAAGACAAGGGACGGGTATTGATGTATTCATAAGACGGCTTACCGGCAGGATGAATCAGGCAGACCAGCGCGCCGAGCAGGAACAGCAAGGCCGTCCATTTGGCGGACAGGCCAATTGTCGACCTCATGGCGACTCTAGCGGTCGAGGACCGTCCAAGAGGGAGAGAAACAGGGGTTCTTCAAATCAAGGTAAATAAAAAGACTTGAGAAATAAAGATGAATGAATTCCACAGGTTACGATGGGGTACCTGTGGAAGATGCGCGGATGATGTTGTTTTCCGATGCTGATACGGCCTCGGGCTTGGATGATGGCGAGGTCAAGCTGTCCCTTAGGGGCCTCGTGCTGAGAGAGAGCTCTACTCCCGATCAGGCTTGGCGTGGCATCCGAGACAAGCAGGGGGGTGGAGTGAATCGAATGGTGGAGGGGCATGACCCCGGTATGCGAAAAGACCCGGCATAGAGATGCATTTCGGCTTTTGTGCCTTAGCTTCCCGCCTGTCTCTGGTTCTCCATTTTGGTTCCGTGCACTGTACGAAGTACGTTGCAGCTCATGGTTGGTTCCTGAACGTGTTGAGACAGCTCAGCTCCCGCGATCAGTGCAGCTTGACTTACCGCAACGTGCTAGAGGTGCTCATGATTTACTCAGGGACAGCGTATCACTTGTTTTTATTAATCCGCGCGCCTCTTTTCACAGCGAAATCGACACCAGTTCTTGTGTTTAGCCTTGACAGCAGATCTCCCCTATTCGCACCTGTCCAGACACCTTGTCTTCATCTCTCAGCTTGTCAGCGCGCCCAGTTCAGTCTCTCGGAGAGTCACGTGTCCGTGCGAATTGTGCTTCACCGCCCACTGTCCCATCCATTGACGCCAAATCATCATGGCGAAAGACGACGGACCCCACCACAAGAAGGACCCCGCTTCAGGCGCTGAGCAGGACCCGGATCACCAGCAAAACCCGAAACGGAGGACTACGGAAAATCTACCCCCGCCATTTTTTATCCTGCTCTTCCTCCTCCTCGCCCTCTACTTCTTCTTTACTCCGTCTCTTTCCAGCCCTGAACCCTCAGTCGTGCCGGATTCCAATTCTCCTCTTACATCAACAACAATCACTTCAATCCTCCCCGACTCTTCGTCAAACAACTTCACCATGTCTTCCAACGAGCAGACGTAAGCTACCCCTCCATTTACCCCTCCAGGTTGAGATGTGTCCTGACAATGTTGCAGCTTCATTGCTATCAAGCCTGATGGCGTCCAGGTAGCCATTCCCCGGCATGATGCGATCATCATTCAAGGACTTCAACAACTAACCTCCTCCACAGCGTGGCCTCGTTGGTCCCATCATCTCTCGCTTCGAGAACCGAGGGTGAGAGAATTCTGCTTCCTTCTCGTACGTTGCTTGGGGTTCTAACACCGAATAGCTTCAAGCTTGCCGCCATCAAGCTCGTCTCTCCCTCCAAGGAGCACCTCGAGACCCACTGTTCGTCCTCTCCATCCAGTCCTCCGCCACCAGTCGACCTTACATGCTGACCGCCTCTTAGACGAGGACCTGAAGGAGAAGGCTTTCTTCCCTGGTCTGATCCAGTGTATGTGCATTTGCTGCTCCCCAGTCCATCTAATCCAATGCTAACCCGCAACAGACATGTCCTCTGGCCCCATCTGCGCCATGGTCTGGGAGGGCCGTGATGCCGTCAAGACCGGCCGTGGTAAGTTTCACCGTCTCCTTTCCTAAAATATTTGGCCGCTCACACCGCTCTAGTCATCCTCGGTGCCACCAACCCCCTTGCCTCCTCCCCCGGCACCATCCGTGGTGACTACGCCATCGACGTCGGTCGCAACGTCTGCCACGGTTCCGACTCCGTCGAGAACGCCAAGAAGGAGATTGCTCTCTGGTTCAAGGAGGGTGAGGTCCTCAGCTGGAAGTCGGCCCAGAACGACTGGATCTACGAGAAGGCCTAAATTGCCAATTACCAGACACCAGAATGAGGCGATGTAAAAGCACGTTCCTGGCCAATGAGTTGATGTCTCAATGGATATAAAAATCAAAAGACGTTCATCTTTTCAACATCTTTGACCCGATGCGGAGAAGTGATTCTTTATGACTTTCGCGTGAAAATGCCCTTGGCCCTCATCAGTACCCCGGCAAACCACGGCGTAGCCCATACGCTGCAGACTATCCGGATTGGCAACAGAGCTTTTGTAATGGCGTAGGCGAGGGCAACCTCAACCACTACCTTGTAACGTCCATCTCCGCTATGCCAACGCTCCATGGCCTCCTCGCTAGTGGACCTGATGTTGGTGGTCTCGTTGTCCTCTTGTCCAAACCCAAACCACCCCTTTCGTTTAAAGTACCTCTCGAACCGGGAGACACCATCTTGTACATAGCTTCCAAAGTACTCAGTCATGTACGTCAGAGGAATGTAGTTGGTGTAATGAAATAGCCCGAACAGGCCCAGAATCGGCACGATGGCCGTGAGCTCATGCAATATCAGGAAAGACACGATGTGCGAGACAGGTGCATTGCGCAGCCCGTTGGTGTACTTTTGTAGGCGTCGGGGAAGCTTTGCTGTGATGCGGTCGACGCGGGATGCTTGGGAAGATTCGGCGCGAATATGGGGGCGGCTCATGCGGGGAGCGGTACGAGGACGCAAGAAGGGGGGCCAATTGAGGGATATCGGGTTGCGTCGCATGATCGAGGTTGACGGGTTTATATATTGGACGCGGTGGTAACGCTTTGAGGGTGTCGTGAAGCTGACGGTAGTGAGGTTTGTTGAAAGGTGATTGTTAGAAATGGAGCCCGCTGACGCCGGCCCAGAGTGGGTTGCCAGAAAGGCCAGTCCGAACTCCAGGGTAGCTGACGGCGCAACAGTGAATGATCATGGTCGTTGAGACTGGAGATCTTCTTCGCCAGGAATTGAATATTAAAATTTAATTAGACTCATTTAATGTCTTCAATTCATGAGCCCACTAAAAGTGTCTCTTTGACTGTTGTGACAAAAATGCATTTGATGCTTCCGTTACGGTGATATCGAGCACAACGCGCATCCCATGACAGCGTTCAGTTCTACCACACGTCCCGAGTGTTACTTTGGTTGGCAATTTGAGGGCATTTGAGGGCATTTGAGGGAAACTAATCTCCAACAATTGATAGACTTCTATAAGCTATGGAATATTCACAGATTAGAAGTAGTCATTCGCTACAGACATGCTGCTAACGTCCCTAACAAGTTTGCCCCTGAACACTCGTCAACATGTCTGGTCGATTACGTCCTTGCCCATACAAGACCAGTTAATCGCTTACAAAAGAAATCCAGAGGAAAGTCTTTCTCCTGAGGTAGGTGGCAGTGTCAGCGGTTACACCATTCCTATCTTGTCCTTCGCTGCTGGCTTCAAAGCCATATTACCAACGAACACCACACGCATCGTCAGGAGAGACCCCATTCCAACCGTTGACCTTTCACGCTACCTTGCTGGATAAGTTGCGTCATCTACCGTCTTCGATGTTGAGTCATGACTTGGCATTGAAAATGGAGTTGCTGCTCTTTCCTCGTTGCGTGCCGCAACTGACAATTGCCACGAGGGTCCAGTCCGACTTGCTCACTCTGCAGCATCTTGGTCGCCTCAACTTGGGTTCCCTCAACAGGTTCAACAAAGATGACATGCGTTGCCTGGGATTTGTTGGTTTAGCCGGCTCCACCTTCGATCTCCCTCTGAACGGGCCTTACACAGAGATTGAACGGCGGCGTCATCCAGTTGTGCACCTGCCCTCAACTTCAGTTGATGCCTGAGAGCGCCCCCAACAAATCTTCAACAGAAACTGGCAGTCGAACCGCAAGAGACAAAACTGCACCGCCTTTCATTTCCCTTCGCTTCTTCTCCCACTTCTCCCACTTCTCTCTTCATCCGTCAACTCTTTTCACTCTGTCCAACCACCTCTCTGCTGTTCCTCTCTCAAGACAAAGACCACATCTCGATTCATCACAAAGCTCTCGCCCGTTACACTTTGAATCCTACTCCAGGATGTATACCAGCAAGCTTGTTGGTGCCGCCGCCATGGCCACACTCCTGGTCTCGACCCAGGCCCAGCAGTACCCCTCCGAGGACCTCATCCTCTGTGACTGTGGCACTGGAGACAACCCAGACCACCCCGAATGGTCCACTTCCCGCCAGATGAACTGGTATAAAGACATTAAGTGGCCCGAAGATGCCAAAGCCTTCCCAGATGCACCCGACATGCTTGTCGAAGTCCCCTTCAACGATGGTCTCTACCCCTGGATTCCATCTGGCGCCACAGCGAGAATGCCCAATAATGATGTTTGGACGGCTTACATCGAGGACGGCACTCCTGACGGATTCAAGGCCGGCACCGCCGTCACCACCAAGGAAGGCGGCCAGATGCTCAACTGCTGGGCGTATCGTGGACGTCCCGTCAGCGCTGCCCTCAACACGACTGTGAACCCCAGTGCTGTTTGCTGGTCCGCGTTTGTCTGCAACCGCGACGAAAGTGCCCCTCCTCCTGGAGATGCGGGCTCTCAATCCTCTACACCGACCGCTTCCTCTGCACCTGCAACGTCGTTCTTCTCCACGACACCCGCTACTCCCGTCCCTACCACCGGAGAACCAGCCCCAACCGAGACCCCAAACACCGGAGCTCTGTTCGTCTCCGCCTCAGTCAGCCCCCGGTTCCTCAACTGGAACAGCACTTGGGAGTCGTTCATTTCCAAATTCGCTTGGGACCAGACCACTGGCCGCTGTGTTGCCGACCCAGTCAAGGGAGATGGCTACACCATCAACATTGATTGTGCCGGAATCCAAATCGACGCCGACTCCCACATGACCCTCATCCTGATTCGAGCACTTCATGATGTCGGCTTGAACAGCACTTTGTTCAACCAGAACCCAGTCGTTCCTGGGCAGAACAGCGGCAACGGAAACCGCACCAACTCAACCAGTTGGGTGGTTATGCCGGAGTCCTTCAGCCTCCACGCCACGGACAAATCGGACCAGCACGCCATTGGTTACCTCAGCTACAACACGACCTACGATAACTTCATCAGCGGTCCTTGTTCTACTTGCGATACAAGCCGATTCGACTCTGAGTTCTTCGACCCCATCATCGAGGCGATGCAAGGCACCTATCCTCTCTACAACAGTTACAGCATCCAGGCTCAGTGCCACCCTTGGATGGCCTGTTAAGCATTGCGATGGAGCGGAGGAGTATCCCCAAGGCTTTGCGCATACCTAACCAACTCATGATATCTGTATTATGGCTTTACATTGGTGGATGGTATTATGACGGACATGACTGATCAAGGTGGCTTCTTACATCTTAGAGTACTTGTTTCGCACCAGATGTGTACTTTTCTAACTTCAATTCATGTTGATTCGCTATCACTCGACGTACCGGCCACTGTCTCACTGGAGCTGTTGTTTCAAAGTGAAGCTGACCCGACGTGGGCCATTCGTAACCTAGCATGCTTCCCTACTTTGAGCTCGGATGCTCTCATGCTAATGAAATGTCTCTCCATGCATAATCATCTGTTATGTGCTCTCCGAACATAGCTCCGTGTACATATGCATCTCCCACCAGTTTAAAGCAGTCTTCTTCAGTGTCTACTCTCCTCAACACCAAAGGAGTTGGACATCCCGAAACAATCATGACTTTGTCGCCAACTTGAGCTTTGGACGGGACAAGACAAAGATACCCACGTACAGTCCTTGCGAGACGTCGGTTCGGTAAAAGCGTTAATCGCAGAATGGCCTCGTACGGAGCAGCAGCCTTTCCCCACTCACCCATCATGGCTAGGCGATCTGATTCGGAGATCCGAGGGGTGGTTGAATCGTTGCGCAAGCCGAACTGGAAAAGCAGTGGGACCATGCTGTTTGTCTTGGGGAGAAGGTTGGTGGTGTCGCGAGAGTTGGCAAGCACCCACAATGGCTCAAGGCTGTCGAAAAGGTCAAAGACAAAGGGGTTTGAGGGTATCTTGGCACATAGGGCTGCAATGGTAATGAGTATCATCCAGGAGGCGAATGATTGGGCGAGGTGAGGAGGTGCAGGTCGTTGGACCATGTCAGAGTCCATGATGAGGGTACGCCAGAAGGCCTCGACGATAGGCTGCTGCGTGAAGGTGTAGACTTGACCACAATGGAGAAGGATCTTGATACAGGAAGAGAACTCGCCACGGAGCATCTCTGGCCACATCTCGCCGAGTTCCTCGATGGCGCCTAGGTGCGGGCTGATTACCTCAACGTGTAGCCTGCATTTTTCGTCATCGATGGTGAAGTTGGCGATATCATTGGGCTGTGCGTTACATGCGTTGAAGGGACGAAGCTTGGTATAGTTGACACCGATGATTGGGGCGTGGACGTTCTCGAACGAGGGGATCCAGGTCGCCATTTTGGACTCGACTTCGCGACCTGCTAGACCGGCAAGAGAGAGCAGATGAAGAGACTTGGTTTGCCGAAAGAGGTCCAACCCAAAGGCGGTGAGGACGTCATCATCAGACGACTGGTAGTCAATCGTCAAGCTGAGGCGTTTACCTCCCTGAATCTGCGCTAGACGGTTCGCGATGGCGAGGAGGGCGTACACACGATCTCTTCGAAACGTCGCTTGAAACCCATTGCTGATGATAAGGAGGCGGAGGAGAAGCGAGCTGGAATGGTTAGTTGCGATGCCGGAGGTGAAGTGTGTGCTTGAGAGAGCTTCTTGGAGTAGACCGTGAGATCTCTTGCTCCATTCACGAACGATCTGAAGACCGACGGCTTGGACTAGGCCTAGGACAAGTGGGATATTCTGGACGCCCGAGCCGATGGCGAAGAGGCCGACGAGGGCGTTGGAAAATGCGACGACAAGGGACGTGTGCCCGATAGCATCCCAAGGAAGTTCGTGATGGCCAATGAGGACAGTTGGGTTCCGGGATAAGGCCACCTCTTGAAGCATCCAAACTCTTCCGAACCACGACCGCGTGTAGACGTCTCCCACATCAGCCCAGTCCTCAGCTGTCAAAGGCGGCAAGCCATTTCTGACTAGCAACTCAGCATCGTCCGCGACAAACACATCCCCAAATGTCTGCGTGGACGCCCACTTCAGGATCTTGGCCACGGCACCCACGGCTGTCATCTTGAGCAGCTCGACAGCGCGGGCGGACCGCTCCGAGGCTGGGCCAAGCCAGATGAGCGTCTCGGAGGCCCCGGTGTAGACGTGGTCCATGATCCCAACCTGCGCAGAGCGCTCATGGGGATTGGACTGGTCGATGCAGATACTATCGACCCAAAGGTAACTGCCAGGCCTGGCTGCGCAGACTTGTGCGAGGGCATGGAAGAGATTGGGACGGACAGCGAAGGGACAGCCGTCCAAGTCAATGATAAGGCGGTCGTGGGCAGAGTAGGCGGGCCAACCTGGATCTGGAGGGCCCCATGTATAAGAGATGGCGAGGTAGTTGGGACGTTGGCTCAAAGGGAATGTGTGGAGGGTGAGGCGAGGAGGGGACGAGGTGGATATTGTGTCGGGGAGCCGGATAAGACGGATGTGCTGGTCACCGATGGTATCGCGGTAACTGAATCCAAAGACGAGCTGCGAGGCTCTCATGAATTTCTCTGAGACTATTCGCCAGGTTGACGACAAGACCCAAGACGCCACATCCCGAGTTCGCATGGTGTTGGTGATGATGAGGACAACCGCGGTGGCAGCGGCCCAGCTCGCCGGCCCAGCCGACAATTGCTGACTCGTCCGGAATCCTAGGGCCATTTTCCCGCGCAAGAATTTGGGATTAATTTATCATGCTAGAGTTGGTTGTGGATGAGTGAGGGAAGTTGAAGTTGGATGGATTGGTGATGGTCACGGCGGGGCGTGCGATCTTGGTCACAGCTGCACTTGTTCTGACGTAATGGTACTCGCAGTACAGATGTGAGAATACACATTAATTTTATTAAAAGGAAGCAGCCGAGCGATTAATATTGATGGATACAGTTGCAGGTGTTGTGCATCAAGGTTAAAACAAAAAAGCATTACCATAAGGAAACGCCAATATAATGTGCTTGATGCTCCATACTTCCGCCTGCTCTTGGCGTGGTCCCTAGCAATGGCGCAGATGTGAAGAAGATTGGGCCGTCTCACAACAAGACCAACGGTTCGCATCGTGGAAACAGTAGCACTAATGGCACTAGGATCGGAATCTAGGACCAAGTGCTGTTCTTTTTAACTACCGCTCTCCGAAAGTGATTGGTTTGACCGTTCGGGCTTGGTTCCCACTTACACAGTTTTGTCGAGGACGTTTAAAACAAGACCTACCAAAGGCAAGTCAGTATTTTCGCATTGGGTATTGAAGCGGAGTTTTCGTAAAGGAATTCCCAAAACAATGTCTAAATGAAGCTGTTCAAAATCAAGATCTATCTCTTGTCTATCATTCGTCGTCGGATGAATCTGTATAGTAGTCGAACTGTGACGGAACTTGTGTGTCCTTTCCACCAGGTGTATCGGGGTCTATCTCGTCTTTCTTCAGTGGCACCTCTTCCTTTGGCTTTGTTGTCGCATTTACTGCAGGTGCTGCTGTCTGTGTTAGAAGCGGCCCCCTCATCAGCGTCGTCATCTCTTTCGCCCACTCCCAAGGCCGCTCGTTGCCACCAGGCATGCTGTTGAAGTATTCCCAACCCATGACTCCCCCAAATTTGCTGTACCGTCCTAATAAGGTGGTGAGAACCATGCCTAGAGGATTCCAGTGCACAAAACCCGCGCCGTTAGCAGGGCTCGTGACTAAACCGACGACAACCTTCTCCGGCGGCCACCCCTTGCGGATCATGTAGTCGTACATGAGGGGAGTTCGGACGTCACCCCAGCCGCAGTAGAACTGCGTATTATACCAGGCAATGTCCCGGCCGCGCATGACCTCGAGTGCCTCGTAGTCGAAGCCGCTGAGGTTCTTGGTGAAGTCGAGCAACGCCATGGCAACCGGGGCCAGTGTGATGATGAAGTCGGGGCCAAAGTCGGTCCGCAGACGATCAATCAGTCGGACAATTCCGTTGAGGCTCATCTCCTCTTCCACGTCTAGATCCAGTCCGTCCAACCCATGCTCTCGGATCATGTCCCTCACAGGGCGGTAGTACCTCTCAAACTGGCTTTCGTCCCCGTCAAGCCGCTGATAGCTGCCCTTGGCGGCGCCGCCCAGCATGCCCAGGACTTTGATGCCGGAGGCCTGGAGGACGCGCATCTCAGCCCAGAGGGTCTGAAAGCGCGGGTGCGAGGGGTGGTCGTTGTTGAGGGTGATTTTGTCAGGGTGTTCGTTGATGTGAATGGCAGCAACGATTATGTGCGTGAGAGCGATGCCTGGTTGGGTGATGAGAGGTAGGACGGAGATTGGGTTGCCTGCGGAGTCATGGTGAGTTTGGTAGTATGTAACAATCCGAGGCAAGTGACTGGTGGACGAAGGGAGGGGAGGCATTGTGGGCGAATGGCGAAAGCAGAATATATGAAGTTGATTGTATGATGAATGTGCTGGTGAGGGGATTGGGCTCTGTTGTCCTTCCCAAAGCCTTGATTGCCTAGGGTCGCTGAAAGTTAGTGGCCATGTTCAAACTAGTGGTCCATTCCAGTGAACAGTCAGCTATTGTTTGTGTAACCCAATCATTGACAAACTTCACCTCTTCTCAATTAATAATTGTAACAACTCATTCCCTATATAAAGTCAGAGCTATCTCTTCGCTACGGCGTCCTCAAAAATTGGATGCACTTCTTGACTCTTTCTCTATGTCGGGCACTCTGACTTTCCTCCCAACACAACGGCCTGGTGCCCAGGCCGCAAGTAATAACACAGCTGCAGCAATCGGCGCAAACTCCAGACAGGCAAAGTATATCTCATGAGAGGATAGATAACCACCTACGCCCTCGGCTGTCTCTGCAAGACGGAAGCACGTTCGCACGTATACTAGGATAGTCGCCACAGAAAATGAGATGGCGAATCCTGTCAAACCCTTGCCGGGACGTTTGATCTCATGTCGCGCGCGGAAGAGAAAACTGGCCGATAAAATGACGAAAACGCCAAGGGAGAACACTTGGTACGCCAACCCGCCTAGGAGAATATTGTTGGCGTCGGTAGGGTCCTCTCGGTTGGACTCCCGGACGCCGATGAGGGCTGCGCCGGCGACCTGGGCAATCGTAGCGATGACATCTGAAGTGATAAAAAACCACAAGATTGCTCGCGGCGGGAGGAACGAGTACTGGCGACCAAGCCTTGGCATTAGTGCTGATAGGATCGTGTAGATGCCGGCGGCGAGGAAAACGGGCGCGGTAACGATGAAGAAGTAGTTGAGGATGAAGTACAGCAAGTTATACGGGTCCTTCTTGGCCGACAGCGTTCGGGCGATGTAGCCAACGATTTCGAGCAGTAGACCGATGGGGAATGTAATGAAGTACCAGCTTCGATAGCGAATCGTTTGGAATAAATGGACGAACAGGAATAGGAAGAACCACACGACAGCGAAGACGGCGAGCGAGAAATCCGGCGTGTAGCCATATATGATGACTGGAGTGTCCCATCCGCCATTGGGATTCGGGAAATTTGGATCTACGTAGCCGTCGATAGCTGTTACCGAAGTTAGCAGTGAAGTTGTCGCGAAATGTTGGGGAACGTACGTCGCGACGTAGCCTCGGCGCTCATGATGCTGCGGATGAGACTGAGTCTGAGATGATGGCGAGTTTTGGCAATGAATGGGCCATTTCCCCGGGCCTCCTAGCTGGAGAGGTGATATATATGTAGGACCCTACATAATAGATCTTGAATCCCGACGAGGAATTCGTAAGCCAAATAAGCGTTTTGTTGTTCATTGGAATCGTCCGCTTCCCTAGCGCTACGCCACGCCCACCAGATCGGTTGACGGAAGAGTCATGAATCATCGCTTTGCACATTACATCGGACAACGGCTGGGAAATTCGAATTATACTCCATTTACTCGCTGCACTAATCTGAAAGAAGCCCGACGAAAAACACTTGCCCCGTACAGCCCCATTTCGCGGTCTGGTGGTGTGTGTGCTCAGATTCCTTGACGATCTGTTTACCGTTTCTGGCTATTGGCGGGATGGATGGGGTCTGGACCCCTGAAAACATCCGGCTCTAGCACACCGAAAAGCACAAGTGACAGCGTCTAAGTAGCATGTAGACTTGTCTCTTTTCTCCGATGAGTGTCAATCCATGTAGGGATGGTGATCGGCTAGGCGATGAGGTTTAGCCAGGGCAATTGCCGGTTAAAGGTTCAATTTGAGAGCAGTCTTGTTCCGCATTGCTATATTCTCTGGGCCCAGTGTCAGGGCAGATCCAGTTTCAAGAATACCTCGGAAAAAATAAAGGATGGATCAAACAGAGGCCATCTCATGGCGATCCTGGTACATTATCCCATCAATTGACCACAGCTTCTAGCCTGTTACACAATACCGCCCCGACAATCCTTTGTCGGACGCTCTGTAAATCCAACTCCATATTTTTCATGGCCGTAGGTGCCACTCTCCCTGAGTTTTCGTCGCTAAATTTTCCTAGAATGATGGTGGTGTTAGGTTGCTGCATTTTTGGCAACTCATGTCCCATAAGTCAAGTACTTATTAGTGAAGACACTCCTGTCGGGTCCGGAAAGCCTTCTGCGGACAGGGCAGAGATTTAGTTGACAGCATGCCACCTGCCCAGCAATAATTTCAACAAAAAATTGTTTCTATTAAAGAGAGGGAAAAAAAATGAATAAGATATTTGTATAAACGTAAAAATTCCAACGCGGGCCGATTCTTCGAGATGGAACCAGAAAGCTGATCGAGGTGGTTAAACAACGAGAATGGCAGCTCGGCTGGGTGGAGATAAATCAGAGCTCCGGGTTTTGCCGGGCCTTTTCCGGCCTAAGACATCGGAGCTGTCTTGCAGAGCTTCCGGTAAATCCACCCTCGTCATCCCATCAGCAAATGGCTTCCCGACGGCCAGGCTTCCCCCGCGGAGGGAGCATTCGGGCTCTAATTCGACCTCAAAAGCAGCAGGGCGCATCGATATGTCCCTTCTGCTCCGTCGCCCCGACCGGCCGCGCACGCTCAAGATCCCGCCGCGACGACATATCCCGACGATTCCAGTCGACAACTGCAAGTTCGGCCAACGCACGCGAAGAGCTTGAGAAGGCTTTACTAGATCTCCAGAAGCATGCGCCGGCCTTTGTAAACCTCTCGAGGCTTCAATTGGCCCTCCAGGGTCTGCGACAGACACCCGGCCGGGAATCCGTGAGGGTCGCGATTTTGGGACTCGCGAATAGCTCAGATGCTGCAGTGACGGCAAAAAAAGTCTTGAGGGTTCTATTGGCAGATCCCCTTAAGGACGAAGAGGAGTGGGAGCGGAAATTGAAAGATCATGACCCAAGGAACCCGCTCATTATCCGCGTTGGGCCGGCTCCCAAGCAAGAGGGTGGCTTGACCATCTCCAAGACGAAACTTTTGAGCGAGATCCAGGTCTCGTCTGTCGAGTGGAATGGCCTCAACCTGGAGCTCCTGTTCATGCAAGTTCACGCACCGACGGCGTATGCGGGAGACACATCTGTCCAGGGCATAGAGGACGCACTACTTGTCCCAACAGTCAATATCCCCTCAGCCGAAAATCGGGTCACACCCGTGACAACGCCGGTCCACAAATCGCTCCTAGTTGCCGATGGCCTTATGGGAGCAGTGAACCTTACGCCATTGTCGGTTTTAAAAGGAAAGGAGTCTATTCTGACGGCCGTTGACCTGAAGGGTGTGAATACGGAGCAGCTTGAGGCTGCCTTTGAAGTCTTTGATGTCTCACTCGCCGACAAGGGTGTTAGTCTTTTCCGCCAAGGCCCTCAAAACGCCATGGAATACAATCATCTTTGGTCTGAAAGCAACCTACCTGCCCTCACCACGTGGCTCAAGTCTGGCCTCACTACCTCGGACGACGCCACTAAACCCGTGGTGCGACAACTTGTTACCTCTCTCCTCCAGAATACACTGGCAACAATTCAGGCCGAGCAGTCCGGAAAACTATCCAAGACACTGAATTCGTCCACTTCCTCGCCTGTGGTTTCCAAAGGTCTCAATGAGGGCCTCGCGGCGTGGGCACAGAAGGCACATGCGGAGCTCCAAGACGAGCTTGATCTAGCATTCACAGGTCACCGATGGCGTAAACTGGGCTGGTGGCAGTTGTTCTGGAGAGTTGACGATGTTGCGATGCTCACCAACGACATGCTCAGCCAGCGATTCCTACCTACTGCTGAGCAAGAGCTCGTCTACTTGACGGGTCAAATCGCGGAGTTTGCTCAGGCATCTCCAAAGTACCCTCAACCCGTATCTGAGAGTGATGCACCGAAGCAGCTGGGCTCCGGAGTGCTGACTCCCATGGTTTCTGTTATCCCCACATCCGCGCTCCCTAAATGGCCTGGCCACATCGCTTTCACCCGCCGATACCTCCAGAATGAGACCATCCCTGCTCTCCAGGCTCTGGCTCAGAGGCTTGTCTTGCAGTCTCTGGGAACTTCCGGTATAACCACATCCCTAGCTGGATTGCTCTATGTATCCTCGTTCTCATCCACTATCTTCGAGGCCGGTGCTGTGGCAGCACTCGGAATCATGTGGAGTCTGAGCCGGTTACAGAAGAAGTGGGAGAGTGCCCGTGGGTTCTGGGAGGGTGAAGTTCGTGAAGAAGGCCGCAAAGCCGTGAGGGGTGCCGAAGAGAGCGTGGCAGAGGTGCTGGACGGTGGCAAGCCAGTCAAGGCGTCGGTTGAGGGAACCGAGCAGTTCGATAAGGTGCGAAAAATGGTGGCTACGGCAGAGGATGCGCTGTCCCGCATGAAGTAGGCCAATGGGGCAATGTACGTTACAAGAGCAAAAGGAATCAATGAGCCCATAGACGGTGAGGAGATACCAGGCGTGGACATACGCCTTCTTATTTGTAGTCTACTCAATCTCGGCAGAAGTATAACTGCCTCCAGGACATGCGCGTCGCGATGCTCCTGATGATGCCTCTCCCGACCCTGGCGGGTCCCATGCGCGTCTCCAACAGTGCCGGTACTCTAGACTGGTATCGCAGCCAGGCTTTTTATCCCACGATTCCACAGCAAATGTTCTTCGAAATGACCCATTAAACCTGAACGCCAAGCACATCCCCCCACTCCACATCCCCTTCAACGTCCAAGCCTCGCTGGTTCGTTTACCGTCCTCCACGTCCACTCGCGCGCGCACGACTGACTGTCGCACGACCACGAGCCAGACCAACACCGCGACCGCGGACATTGCGGCTGCGGAACATGGGGGCGTTGCGCAACATGTCGGGGACGATGAAGAAGCGCACGTGGGAGCCGCGGATGTACACCTGGTCGAGGTGAGAGACGCGGCCGTCGCGGGCCGTTACGGTGATGTCCTTGAGCTGAACGTTCATGTTATCCTCGGCTATGTGAGGCGCATGTTAGCTGGAGCGTCTCGCGGGTGGGGATCTGGGGGTGTACGTGCCATCGAGGAGCTTGCCGCGGTAGGTCTGGCCGGAGGTGATTTCGAGGGTGACAATGTGGCCCTGTAGCGGGGAGGCTGGTTAGCTCATGCTGGGGATTCTGGAGGAGCTGGCAAAGGGACTGGGGGTTTTGAGGGCAGACATACCTGGGCCTCGTTGAGGAGCTTGATCGGGATGCCGATTGTGGACGTCATGATTGCGGCGTGGACGGGGTTGAGCTGTCGCGTGTGAGGGAAGGCCGAGCGGAGTGAAGCTTGGTGATGTCGTGAAAATTGGCTGGGCGTAACGGATTGGAGGTGTAGCGTGGAATAGTTAATCCGACCCGAAGAAAAAGATGACAGTGCAGAAGAAGGATAGATACTGTACAAATACCAATGGCACAGCTCCGATACACAGTGTAATTATCCTGATCTTTGCACTCCGTCTGCCTCATTAAGTGAGGAGCATGCGAGAGGCCTCAAACTGAGTAAATGGACAGTGGAACAAGTATTCCAACTAAGATCAATGCATTTATATTCCTGTTATAACAAATTATCTGAAACATCTCACAGCTCGCCCGACCGTTGGCGCGAGGTTTGTTCCTCGATGCTGAAGTCATTTATTTCCGGAAAGTCATTCAAAATAGATTCGGTTTCGTTTCACATGCGTCACAATAAATTCTGTACATTTCACAATGTGTATATAGTCCTATTGAAAGCAGACGGAACAGGAGCAAGAATAATTATCTACAGCTAGTGGGGGAAAAGTCACCGGCCTTCATCTTCACTACTGCTCACCGATATAGGATCATCCATTCTGTCTGCAGAGGAACATAAAATATTTGGTCCTCCGTAATTCCCCAATTAATCAGTGGCTGGGTCTGTTGGACGTGGCGTAGACCTCACACGTTACCATCCACCTGCACGTTGAGGCGGCTCAGTGACAGAGAGGTTGCAAAGCGTGTAATAAGCCTCAGCGGATATGCACATTTGCATAGCCCCGGAGTGCAACCTATATTCGAAATTCATTGGTGGGCGCTCCGCCACGATAGATCGCCTGACATTGCATGATTGGAACACAGCAGCGATCCGGCGCCGATGTTGGCTGCGCGTAGATCAAGAAGGTCGAGAAATACAAGACCCAACAATAAGCGACATTGTAATTTACGGCTACAAGTAAGGTTGAAAACCCTGTCCTCTAGCCTAAGTCAGACATTCGTTCCCCCACGCTTGCTGACAGTTTCTACTGGTTCTATCAAGTCCTAAAATGGACGCCCTCACTGTTGCGACAAGTGTGATCGCATTCGTCGACTTTTCTAGCAAATTACTTGCAAAGTCCCGAAAGATATACAAATCTGCCGAGGGTGCTCTAACCGAAAACGTTGACATCGAACTGATCACAGCAGATCTTCTCACTCTATCCCAGAGCCTGAAGAGACAACAGCCCCCCACCCCGACACAATGTGGCGACCCTTTATATAACATAGACGCTTTCGAGGACAAGAAATCCCTGGACCATATTTGTGAGAGATGTGTAGAGATTGCAGAAGACCTCATGCGGCGCCTCGAAATGTTGAAAGTCCAACCTGACGCTGGCAAGAAGAATGAGAGCAAGGAAATGACGACTGAGCAAAGCAATGTGGACTCTCAACCCGCCACCCGATCAAACCCTGGTCGTTTGAAACATGTACTACTCCAACATAATTTCAAACTGACTGAAATACCACGATGGATGAAATTTGACAAATGGGATGCTTTTCGAAGAGCCCTTGTGGCCTCATGGAACGAGGAAGAAATCGAGAAATTGGTGGCCACTCTTCGAGAGTTCAGAGATCAGTTGGAGTTTCGCATGCTGAACTCCATGCGGTATGGTGACCATCGGACTTTTTTCTTACACATCCAAAATGCTAATGCTTGACAGCACTGCACTCAATGATTTTGCTCTTCAGCATTCAAACCAACTCGCGCAGTCCACTCAGCTTATAGTAGACACTTTCTTGAACTCCAGGGAAGAACTTGCAAGCCAGCTTCGACTCGAGGCAAAGAGGATAATCGATTCTCAAACGTCTGAAGCAATCGACAACTTTCCAACGTCAAACTCCGTCGGCACGTTCCAGAATCCGAAAGGGACGACAACCTCCAAGAGTAAAGGCCTTGGACACTCTTCTGGAGACTCTCAAGTGGAGCAAGAACTTCGACTTCTCATGATTGAGAATGCGATTCTAGGGAGCCTATCTTTCACGACACTCACCGATCGCCAAGATCGTCTTCAGAACCCCCACGGCGGCACATTTGAGTGGATCTATCACGAGAATGGACGTTCCACGGCACCGTGGAGCAGCTTTTTCGACTGGTTGCGTCACGGACATGGAGTATATTGGATCAGCGGTAGACTTGGGTCCGGGAAGTCAACTCTGATGAGGTACATATTCGAGCACGAGAAGACTATCAAAGCACTTGAAGAATGGGCTGGTCCCATGCGACCAGAGACTTGTGGCTTCTTCTTTTGGAATAGTGGAGAAGAAGATCAAAAGTCTCAGTGCGGTCTCCTGAGGTCTCTCATATTCCAGATCTTCCAACGCCACCGAGAACTGATCCAGCAGATCATGCCGGACGTGTGGAGCGTCTGGCGTAGCAGAGTGAACGCCTATATCTCTGCTAAGATGCCACAGGACCCTCTCCTTCTATCTCCAGAGCCAACTAACTGGACCATGGCACAGTTGAAGCGCATTTTTCGAGATTTGCTTCGCAGCCTACAAGATAGGACTAGGTTGTGCCTTTTCATTGATGGCCTTGATGAATATGATGGGGATGATTACGACATCATTTCTCTCCTTCAAGAATATTCCGGATCACCTAACATCAAGCTCTGTCTCTCCAGTAGACCTCTGGTGCCTTACGAACAAGCCTTTTCCAAGTTCCCAGGCATGAAGCTTCATGAACAGACACGAGGAGATATCGAACACTATGTGCGCTCAAAACTACTCACACATAAGAACATGGTCAGGCATCGTCTGCATAACCCAAAAGAAGTTGACGCCCTGGTTGGTGACATTGTCAACAAAGCCAATGGGATATTCCTGTGGATCAAACTTGTTGTCGAGTCCCTGTATCGTGGTTTATCCGACTCGAACCGCATTTCTATTCTCAAAGAGAGACTGAACGAACTTCCTGACGACCTTTACGAGCTCTATTCGCACATGCTGAGACGAACCGATTCTATTTATCGCCCAAAGGCCTCGAGAATGTTTCAAATTGTTCGAGCTGCCCAAACGCATTCACCAAACAAAGTCACACTGCTTAACTTGTCTTGGGCAGCATGGGCCGGCGATTCAAGTGAAATACCAGCGGAAGATGCTCCAATACAGCCCCTCAGCCAAGAGGAGATGTCGATCAGGTGTCGGGATATGGACGATGAGCTCAAAAGTGTTTGTTCTGGCTTGATGGAGTCTACCGACGTCAAATTTTCCGATATTGCCCCGGATTCAAAAGTTCTGTTTCTTCACCGAACAGTATTTGACTGGCTTGCGAAACCAGAAGTATGGAGCGAGGTCCTTTCCATCACTGCGGGAAGCGGTTTCAGTCCCAACCTATCAATGCTGAGATCATGCATTATGCAGCTGAAGACTGAAAACAGTAGTTCAACACTCCGCCTAGATATGAACATCATACACAGTGCCTTAGTATTTGCCAAGGAGGCTGAGGCAGATCTGAACATAGGTTTCCCAGCTTTGATGGATCAGCTGGACTCGGTCGCCTCGTATCAGTGGCGTGAGGCGAGTTCATCAAGGTCAACCACGAGGCCACGATTTGGGGCATCTCAACCAGAAGAATCATCCCGGCTCTCGGAAATTCAGTTTTGGAACGAAGACGACGACGAAACCGCTGTTGACGAGACCCCATGTGCAGCAGGATCAGGTGACTATGAGGATGTGTTTGGCGACATACAATTTGCCGAAAATCCTCAAGAGTCCCAGCATGTTATCGGAAAGTCAAAAGTGGTTGATTTGGATGGCCGCGATGAGTGGTACAGCGAACTTTCGGGCTCCGAGGATTCTTTGCCTCAGTATTTCGATGCTTTGGAGAGTGGCGTCGCGACTAAGTCTTGGGCGCAGAATGGAACCGTTCCTTCATCTCGAGATGAAATTGCAGCGAAATTTGCGAAGCTCCGTGGAGACCACAAGTTGGACTCACATCTCCAACCTGAGGAGGTGCTTCTGCACCACTGGTCCTATGGTATCGAGATTCCTGGTATTAAGCCCTTGGGGGAGGGAAGTACTTTCGTCAACATAGCCAAGGACATGGGAATTTGCCATTACGTTGAATTCAAACTCGAATCTGGAAACGTCATCGACCAAGAAATAAATCAACACTTGCTTTGGAGCGCTCTTTCGATTACCAGTGGAGTTTGGGACTCCTACAAAAAAACACCCGATCCCGCAACGGTGGACAGAATTCTTCATGGCGGAACTGATCCAAATCTCCCATGGCAGGGCATAACTCCATGGCAAAGTGCTCTAGCGGCTGCAGTCGCGCACTTCACTTCGCCTCGTCATGCGTCACAACCAAGAAACGGTGAATACTCATATTCACAGTGGGAGAAACGTACAGAAGCTTGGGCTCATATCTTGGAAACTTTTCTCAGGCACGGCGCAGATCCTATGGTACTCAATGAGCCAGTTCGGCTTTCCTCTGGCTCAGCCCTGATTTCTCCCTTGGCGGTTGTTGGCAAGCATTTGCCATCATACCTGGTAGATAAAGTCGCTAATATAAAGCCCCATCCGCAGGATCGGCGGGCTAAGGACATAGAAGACGCTGTTGGGGAGAGGGTTGATGAGCAAGTCATGGCTGAGCGAAACTCGAGGAATAGGATAATGAGTTGGGTTATATCTTGGTTTTGAGAGTATAAAGAAGAGGCATGTAAACGGCAAATAAGTAAAGAGTATCGCTATTGGCACATAAGTGCAAATATTCTCCGGAAGCCTCATTTGAATTAATGTATCAACTCAATGTGCGCAGAAAATATGCTCTCAGGTTACAGGCCTCCGAGTATTACAAAAAGCCAGCGCACTGCCAAATGCAATACGGGCTATTTTGCAGGTTCAATCACATCAATATTATCGCCATTGGTACTTCTAAGAAGGGGGCTAGAAGCTTTTGTAGACAGTGCCGATCGATCTTGAGTCGGAAATATTTCAGAGTAAACTAGACTTAGCTATGGCGGCTCATAGTAGAACTGGTAGCCGTGCTTGAGCCCCATTTCTGGGGGCCAGTCACAACGACGAGGTAATCTGGGTGATCGAGGAGTGTAAGTGTCTAGCGGCAGCAGTTGGGACAAACCGAGCTCTTTGGAATCACATTTGCATGCCCTACACAGAAGTCGATTCACTCTGAAGCAGATAATTCTTCAAGTTTCCCATTCCAGCTGCACAAAGAAATGTCTCCTACCTCCCTGCAAGATGACAAAGAAATAATTTGTCGTGCAGGGCAAGTTGATACAAAATGAGGAACATGGCATCGTACGATAGTTCAAAAAAAAAACCCCTTGGACCGCATTGATGTGCTTCCTTTTTTTGAAGCTTTCCACAAGATAATTGTGAGACTCTTCATAACGAGAGACTTAACGCAAAGGCTAATCGCACACGAGGCCAATTAACTGAATTGCAACCTTCCCACTGCATGACGTCTACCGAATGTCTAAACGTATCCGAGAATGTTAGCATTGAGTACATATAGTGAGAGACTAATATAGGAAGCTCCGATCCATTGAGGCGTCCCACTCAATTTGCTTTTGCAGTCTGCTCAACATGGTTGTGTGACTTTGACATCCTGGTTCTCGTCAGCCTCACTTCTTGAGTATCATGCATGCAACTAGCTCCCCCACGCTCTAGCCATTGCACGGCCTCCCACTCCGGAAATCGCGCAAAACGTATGATTACGCTCCTAATATCGTCATACTTTTGCCATTGATCTGGAATTACTCTTAAGCTGGGCGTTGGGTGGGCCGACGTGGGATAATCTGACGACACCCGAGGCAGGGTTGGTCTAGACAGGTTGAAATTCGGACCATCTTCAGGATCTTGCAACAGAGGATAAGGAATGGATTGTGTGGGCAAGATAAATCACAGTGGGGGATGAGCGGTAAAGGAAATGTACTTGTTAGCAATCAAGCTATGGAAGTTGAACGTTTCAGTATCAATGTCGATCAATTGATGATTTGATATTCGCAGACTAATCTCAGATGCCCCCTAAAAAATTATAATTAATACCAGCGCGTAGCAAAGTTCACCCGTTATACACATTGAGAAGATCCCAATAACCGACGGCTAGTATGTCAGCCACGTGTCGACCTTGGCTTTCGTATTCACCCGCCTCTTCTTCTCGGCTTCCAGCCGCTTCCGGGTTTTCTTGTCCAGTACGATTGGATGGTCCTCGGAGGCATCGGAGAAACTAAATTTGAGCCCGTCTGATGTCGTATCTATGTCGATGATTGGCTGTTGGCCGCCACTGGCTTCACCGCTCACGCCTGAGCACCTTGATTCTCCGTCGTCGTCAAGCTCAGGAACTTGGAGGTGCTGTTGTGGAACAACGGCGCTGTTGGTGGCTGGTAGGGACACAAAGGGTTGCACGGCCGGAGGAGGGTAATAGTGCCTCATGGTGACCTCGTTGATGCCCATGAACTCGTAGTGGATGTATCGACCCAGCGCGTCTACCACGATTGAGTTGCGTGCGCTTGGCACGACTCGTGCCGCGATTTCATATGGGAGGTCTTGGGCTCGGTAGTAATGTAAGCCCGAGGGATGAAGAGCCCATTCCGACCATTGACCGGATGCCATGGCTGGTGCTGGTGGTACTGCAGTGGCAGCTTGTGATGCGGTGGCGGTTGGTTGGTGTTTTTGACCGGGTTGCGAGACGCGATTGCTTTGTTGAGGCTTGGCCATTGTGCAGAAGAAAGAGCGGGAAGCAATCCAATATATTTTCTTCGAAATTGTATGGAAGATGTTTGTTTGGTATTTTCAATTGGAAATGACAATGTGCAGACGGTGAGGACGTAAAGTAGATATATAAGCCCCCAGGACGGGTCACCCGGATCGGGTCAAAGCCACATTGATGCATCCCTTGCGTGGCGGCCCTTGTAATTGCATTGTACCGGTACTCACTTGGCAGCCTGATTGCGCTCAATACCGGCATGGACGATTGCGCTCGAAAACCCGTGGGGACTTGAAACGACCAAAGCTCATCCATCCATCGTCAGGCAGCGTTCGGGCTCCTCCATGTCCAACCCCAATTCCAGCGTGATTGGACATTTGGCCCGAGCCAGAAGCTGGCGCAGCTGTGTGGCTCTCACCTGGCCGTAGTTGGCCGACCGAGCAAGGTCAGACGCTGTGGGAGAGATGTGACCGACGACGCGTACCAAGGGACCGACCTATGGGGGCATCTGCGAGTCTTTGGGATTCTGTTGGGCTGGAAATGCATGCAAGACGCCCAATTGGGCCGATAAGCATTGCCCCAAGAATGTCTGCCTCGCCGGTTGCCTCGTATCTCTCAAGCTGAATTGACGTTGCGCTGCAGGAGAAATGCCCAATGCCAATCCAGGAACCACTCAAACCGCATGGAACTAGCGGAAAATCGAGGAACGAATTACACTGTCATTTGTGAGCATGTTGGGAAGCCTGCGTCATCAGTAATGAGTCAACGAGGCTCTGAGAGGGCTCACAATGTCACTCATTCCCCATGACTCGCAGGTGTCAGTCTCGTTGTGGCGAACCAGTGTGGCAGGAAAGATGGAGTCGTCGCACCGAGTCAATTTGTCGAAAAAGACACCATCAATGAATGTCGTTACAATTACAAGCTGCCTCGCAAGGGTGCGGTGGTATTTGTTATTTCGACGCCTCAACCACCTCCGCCGCCTCCGCTTCCTCCACCTCTGTGACCTGGGTATCGTCTCCCTGCTTCTGCTTTTGCGCCTGTTTGTGTTCTTGCTTCTGCTCCTGCTTCTGCTTCTTCTTCGCTTGTAACTTTTCCCGTGTTTGCTGTCTTCGAACTTGCTTGTCAAGGCTTCCAATGATGTTGCGTTCCTTGCCACAAGGCCACTTGGCCGATGCCGCTGCCTCATCTTCGTCGCTCCATTCGCGTGGGAGGGTAGCAAAGACGAGATACGAGGTATGAGTCTTAAGCTCCGCCTCGGCCCGGTGGTAAAGCCTACCGTACATCCATGGCTTAGCATCCTCTTCGCTCATGGGCTCTTTGCCATTTGCCTTGTCCTTATTGGACGTCGGCGGCGGCGTATCGATGTCCATTTCCGACGCATCTGCCGAATTGGTTGTGGAGAGAGCCTGCGCCCTGTGAAACTCCTTCGTCTTCTTGTTGATTTGCCGTAATCTATCCACGGCTTCATTCACATCGGCAGGCGTTTGAACATTGCCCTTTTCGGCTGGCAAATTCGCCCCGATTCGTTCCCGAATGGTGCTGAATCGTCGGTTCGCGATTTCAACCATATCGATGTCCGTCCATCCCAGGACTCTCATCTCTTCAATGGTGCGGGTAACTTGTTCGATGCACGGGGAAAATGTGCAAATGTGAACACTCTGCTTCGGATCCAACGGCGACAGCCACTCTCCACTTTCCGCATTGTCGCTGCCTTTGAGCTTTTCTGGCTTTTGTCGTGATAGGTGATGTAGGGCTTCCCAAGGAGCAGGGAGGTCCAAAAACACAGCGGTGGCCTTGGGAGACTCGCCACCGGCTAGAAATCCACCCTGATAAACGTCGCGATGCGTGAGCTGGACGATCCCGCTGAGTCTGTGACCCTCAACCTCCTCCTGCATCTTGTGGAATCGAGACTCGTGGAACTCGAAGCTGAAGACCTTTCCTTTCACATCAGTCTCGGTTTGGGGATACCCGTTGTAGACTGCTCGTGCAGATGCGTGTGTAAAGCTCCCACTTCCCGAGCCAGCCTCAATGATCCGTGTCCCGGGAACCGCTCGAATGCGTTGTAGGATATAGCTGTAGTCGGGGGTGTAAACGACTTGCGTTCGATGGGGCAAGCTGCTTGTCCAGAGCTCGGGAGTTGGTCGCAAGATGTGAATAAATCCACTCGCGGCAGCGACAGCCTTCTTGGCAGGTTTTGACGTCGTTTGCTTGTCCTCATCGTCGGGGCCCGTCGTCGGAGTGTCCTCGTCGGTGGCTTCCCGGCGGCGCTTCCGCCCTCTTGACCCAGTATCCACTGCAGATGCACGGACTTGCGATCCCCATGGGATGTTGAGAAGGGTTGAGTGCGGAAAAGACCCGAACCGGGTATTCAGCATAGTGCCTTCAGCATAGCCATCGACCGCGCCGCTGGACTCCTCGAGGGTGATCGGCTGGAGATTGTCGCGAGAAAGAAGAACGATGGCAAGGTTGTCAGCCGTGGTAACGCTGCCAGGCTCCAGGAAAGGCGATGGCCGGGCCATTGTCGCGGTATTAGGACCCTTCACGTCGGGTACAGTTGTCGATAGCGAAGAATGCCTGTCGTGGATCTTGAGGCTGGGAAAATTATTTCGACAGGCTAGCTTACGCAAGGCTGAAGAAGTTTAGCACAGGCCCCACTGGAAATTTAGTGAGGGGCAGCGTACATGACCCGCTAGAGCTTGCGATTGGCAAGGCTGAGAGGCGGGGAGTTCCCTGGACCCACTAACATTTAGGTGCGTGCTGGGTGCTGCAGGGCACCAGGTGGTGAGGGAGGGGTCTTGAATTTTGGGCGCTGGCGTGGTTGCCCTGGACTCGTCGTGACTCAAAATCGACAGCTTGACTCTTACCCACCCGCCGCTTTGACTCTTGCTCTCCTCAAGATACCCTCGTCTCCCCCTTTCGCTCCCTTCCCTTTCTCCTCCTCTTTCATTGTCTCTTCTTTTGATCCTCTCGTCCTTGCGCGTCCTGGATGAATCTCTTGCGGCTTCATCCACGCATTCGAATCCCCACCCCGCTGTCCCGACTGAGACTCATCCATCGCAGCTATTCGTTCCGTACCATGGAGTCGTTGAAGCTCTACAACTCGCTCAAGCCCGGCGCACCGGTGCCGTTCGTGCCCATCGAGGCTGGAAAGGTGTCTTGGTACGCCTGCGGACCGACCGTCTACGACAAGAGCCATCTGGGCCACGCACGCAACTATGTCTCGACTGACATCATCCGTCGCATTCTGATGCACTACTTCGGCTTCGACGTCAACTTCGTTATGAACATCACTGATATTGATGACAAGGTACGAGCTGTGTCTCAGTGATCAGGGGTCATGCGACCAATCTAAACGGCTGGCAGATCATCATCAAGGCCCGACGACAACGCCTACTGGAACTCGAAAAACAAAAGACGTACTCGGCCGAAGAGCTTCGCGAGCTCGCCCTCTCCGCTTTCCGAGCATATGCCAAGAGCAGCCTGCCACTGCTGCTCAAGGATGGCGAGGAACTCGATACGACCAACTACACTGTGCGAAAGGAGGCTGGATATGGTGGGGTGTTGGCTGGAGGAACCATCTCTGGCGAGGGAAAGCCGGGCGATGATGAAGCCAAGGTCAAGATGCACCTTAACAACATGAACAATGCCGTTGATGCCATCAATGGAAGCAGCATATTCCCCGGCACAGACGATATCCTGCTCCCCTACCTCGATTCCCTCTACAAGGAGACCATCGACACCCGCGACCAGACCATGTTCACGGATCTCACCCAGAGCATGGAGGATCTTTTCATGGAGGACATGGATGCCCTCAATGTTCTTCGCCCTGACGTCATCACACGAGTCACCGATTACGTCCCGCAAATCGCCAAGTTCGTCGAGAGGATTGCCGACAAGGGATTCGCATACGAGTCCGAAGGGTCTGTTTATTTCGACATTACAGCGTTCGAGCAGGCCGGAAACACCTATGCACGATTGCGCCCCGACAACAGGAACGACAAGTCTCTTCAGGAGGAGGGTGAGGGCTCGCTGTCCAAGAACCTGGGTGGTAAGAAGAGCCCTGGCGACTTTGCGCTCTGGAAGAAGTCCAAGGCTGGCGAGCCGTTCTGGCCTAGCAAGTGGGGAGACGGCCGTCCTGGGTGGCACATTGAATGCTCCGTCATGGCGTCTGATGTTCTGGGAGCTCAGATGGACATTCACTCTGGCGGTGTTGATCTAGCGTTCCCCCACCACGACAATGAGTTGGCGCAGAGTGAGGCCTACTTCTGCGACCACTCGAAGGGTGAGCACACCTGGGTCAACTATTTCCTCCATATGGGCCACCTTTCCATCTCGGGCTCCAAGATGTCCAAGTCGTTGAAGAACTTTCAGACTATTCAGGATGCTTTGTCCTCCACGTACACGTCGCGAGGCATGCGGATTGTCTTCCTTCTGGGTCGATGGAACGACGGCGTGGAAATTTCCCCTGACATGAGACTGCAGGGTGAGAATTGGGAATCCACCATTAGCGTATGTACTGTACCGCCCTTTCTCAAGCATCACAACTAACCAAGAGCAGAACTTTTTCATCAACACCAAGTCCCTACTTGCCGAAGCTGGCATTACTAGCGGCATCCAGTCGCTTTCCATCAACTCGGATAACAAGCCGACCGAGGGCCTCCTCGGTGAGCTCGAGCAGGCTAAACAGGAGTTTGAGGCTGCCCTGGCCAACTCGTTTGATACCCCCCGAGCCATGGCTGTTATTCTGAAGTTGGTCAACACGGCCAACATCCATCTCAAGGACAACAAGGATGCAGACCTCACGGCGCTAGAGGCAATGGCCCGATGGATTACCAAGATTGTTGGCATTTTCGGACTGGACGCCAATGCCAAGCCTCCGTACAACGGCCTTGGCTGGGCAACTGTTATTGCCGCCGATGTGGAGCCCAAGACGGCCGTAGAACCCTATGCGGAGATCCTCACCAAGGTCAAGGCAGATCTCGCTGGTCTCTCGCTTGAAAACTCAACCATCTCGACTCTGCTCGGACAGGATCCTATCGCAGAGTTTGAGTCTGTAGCTGCCAGCGGCTCCCGCGACCCGGAGCAACTGGCTCTGCCATACTTGCGTGTCGTGTCGAAGATCCGTGACGAACTCCGCCAGATTGTCGGCAGCCAGGCTCCTGAAACGAAGAAGGCGATTCTAGTATTGACTGACCGAATTCGCGACCAGGACTTTACTAACCTGGGTGTCTACCTGGATGACCGGCCAGACAACCAACCCTCCCTGATCAAGTTTATTCCCGCGGCGGAGCTCATTGCAGCCCGCGAGGAGAAGGCGGCGCTCGCGGCAGAGAAGGCGAGAAAGAAGGAGGAGGCCCGTCTGGCGAGGGAGAAGGCGGACCTGGAGGCGCGTGAAAAGGCCAAGGTTCCTCCGGAGGAGATGTTCAAGAACGACGAGAGGTATAGCGCCTGGGATGAGCAGGGAATGCCCACTAAGACGAAGGACGGCAGTGATGTGCCCAAGAGTCAGCTCAAGACGCTGAAGAAGCAGTGGGACCGCCAGAAGAAGGCGCATGAGGATCTCAAAGCGAAAGGCCTGCTGTAAGCGAGTATCTGTGAGCCCGAGGTGGCGATTGTCCGTGACGAATTAGAGAAACCATTCTTAGGACCAAAAAAAGCGGTTGATATGTTCAGTCATGTTGGAGCCAACCGGGGTTCATCATTCACTTCAATTGGTTGGTACGTCATCTGCGTTCGTGGAAATGGGCTGCTTTGACTGCGGTGTCACTCGTATGGCACCGAACGGTGCCATGGACCCAATACTCTGGATTGCGAATCTGGAGCTACAGCCGCTGCAAGGATCCCTGCATGTGGGTAAGGTGGATGTGCGAACGGCTACCGCTTTGTACGTAGTGCTATCGATTGCGCGATGCAAACCCTGGATGAGGAATTGCGAGAAAACGCATGAACAGGGGAGATGCTGGGGCAGTGGATATCGGCAGTCAGTTGGACCTTGGTTTCCCCGAAGCACACGACGAGATGGACTCCCCGAGATGGACTCCCCGAGATATGCTCTGGAGTTGTTACAGCCTCGGTGATGTTTTATGCAGGCAAAGAAAGAGGAGAATATTCGATGAAGGTGTAGGATGTATAGATGGCGTTGAGGGCGGATTTTAGACTAGGACACCCTGCAACACATCAATTGGATCAATATCTAGCGAGACAACACCTCACCACCTGCGTCTCTCGAGAGACCCCGACACTTCAACGAGATGCGATCCGCAAGGACTGGAACGCGTGGGCGATTTTACGGCGACGGTGAGATAGCAACGTCTCCAGTATCCTACCCTGGATGTCTGGGATGTCTAGGTGGGTATGCACTCCGCCTTGGTCCCTGTGGCCGATTGCGTGACAGCGATGGGAGATGGCACACATGGGCCGTCTCAGGCGTAAGACACACCATCTGTCCTCTACAACCGACCGAAACGTCACGGATTCCGCGTAAACGGGCCCGCAGCACGCGCAATTCGCCAGTCGCCGTCGCCAGCGGTACGAGGCGAAATCTCTGGCGGGCTAGCCTCGTTGTGCCATGGCGCTGCATGTACTGCAGCGTGGAGACGGCCATGGTGGTGATGCTGCTGGGGCTCGTGTGGACAGGGCCATCGCTGCACGGGTCGTCGCAACGTGGGATGCGATCCGGCCCGAGCGACGACCCTGGCATGGGACGGGAATAATAAGAGGAGGCCGTCGCCCGTGTGGTGCCGTATCTGGACTTTTGGAGCTTCGTGATACTCGCCGTTGTGCCCCGGCTTCCAATTCAACCTCCAGTTCCTCTCCTAGTGGCTCTGGTCGTGCCCAGTATCAGCTTCTGCCCCAGATGGACAAATTCGAGGGAGTCGAGGCTGTGTCTGACGGCCAGAATGGCGGCAGCTTCAGCGAGATTGACAGCATTGACGTCGAGTGGACGCCCGAGGAGGAGAAGTCCCTGGTTCGCAAGTGAGGATGCTCCCTTCATCATGTCATTCTGTGCCTCTGCTAACACGTATTGCTCTTCTTAGGCTCGACAGAACCATTATGCCGCTCTTGATTCTCGGCTTCTTTGCCCTGCAACTTGACCGTGGAAACATGTATTTGCTCCCCCTGTCCCGCGTCTAGGAGTCGCTTTGCTGACACTCTCACGCAGTGGCAATGCTCTCACGGATTACTTTTTCCGGGATGTTGGTATAACTCAGGCCCAGTTCAACGTTGGACAGCAACTTCTCTCACTCGGCATCGTGCTTCTCGAAGTAAGTCCACGACCTCTCAAGTGTCACAGTGCCGATGAATAATAACGTAAAACTAGATCCCGAGCAACATCATTCTATACAGAGTCGGTCCTTCACTCTGGATCGGATGCCAGATTGTAGCATGGTAAGTTCTACAAACCACCCACATACCCAATTACATTCAAGATCTCACATATTCCTTAGGGGGTTCGTTGCCACATTCCAGGCTTTCCAGAACGGCCTGGCCTCCTTCCTCATAACCCGACTTCTCTTGGGGTGAGTTGCAACTTCTAGTCTCGGTCTATGTAGGGCAGCCATTCTAACAGCAGATAGTCTCTGCGAGGCTGGATTTATCCCAGCAGGCCTTTACACCATCACCCGCTGGTACAAGAACGAGGAGACGAGTAAGAGATTTTCGTGGTACTTTATTGGTAGCATGACGGCGTCTGGGTGCTCTGGCCTACTCGCATACGGAATGTAAGTCCTTCCAAATTTGCATACATCTATGAAGTCTCCGTTGACACGCGAAATTAGTCTACACATGAGAGGAGTTGCCGGTCTCGCCGGATGGCAGTGGATGTTCCTTATCGAGGGCATGTTTACTGTCGTTGTCGGAATCCTATTTCTTTCGCTTTTCCCACAGAGCACCGCCAACCCCGTTTCACTCCTGGGGTTACGCATCTTCACCGAGAGGGAAGCAAAGATCCTCACAAAGAGGATCATGATCAACGATCCATCCAAAATTAACGTCAAAGTCAACATTAGTCGACAAGAGTTGAAGAATGTGGTATGTATAATCTTGCCCATTCGAAGTCATGACAACGTCTAACGATCTCAGTTCACCAATTGGAAACTCATTCCCCATATTGTCCTTACCATCTCATGCATTGCGCCAGCCGGTACAATGGGCTCCTATGCACCGACTCTCGTTAGCTCCTTTGGGTACGAGAGATTGAAGTCAAATGCCCTTGTCTCCATTGGCTACTGGATTCTCATGGTCGTTAACATCGTATGGGGAACCATCGCGTGAGTCTCCTCCATCACCATGTATAAGTATTTCTGCTCACTCGAGTGACTTCATAGTGATAAGATCCGTCTCCGTGGACCAATGGTCTTCTTCGGCTTGGTGATCTTCTGGTGCTTCACGGTAAGAGCATCATTCTAACCCATACCCTCGCATCCATACTCACACATTGATAGCTTGGGAATAGGCTACTAATCAACTCGCCCGATGGAAAGCGAAGACTTGCGGTCCTGATTTGCGGCCTCTCCTTCGCCCAGAACTGGCGTAAGTCCTACCTCCATACCAACAGCCCGCACTTTAGAGCTGCCTCTAACATGTCCACAGACCCTGTCAATAGTTCGTGGGTGGCGTTAAACTCCGGCTCTCCTGGAGAGCGATCTCTCACAATGGCCATTATGATCATGTCCGCCAACACGGGCGCAATCATTGGAAGCCAGTTGTTCCAAGCGAAAGACGGACCTCATTACCCAATCGGTTGGAGTGTCATTCTGGGACTTGTCACCCTAGGCGTGGTTAGCTCTTTCGTGGCGAACTTGCAGTACTTTGTCCTGAACGGTCGCAAGTTTACACGAAAGGGCCTCAAGTACTTCCCTTGATCCAGTCGTCTTAGAACCGACCCGAGCGCTTCACAATACCTGCAAGCACATGATACCAACTAAAGCATTTGATGGCCCATTCAAACCGGGGATTGCATTGGAGTTGGATTTGGGCGATTGAGCAGATCACGCACCTAAACAAGTAATGAATGCACAAGTTGCAAAGAATAACATATTATTATGAGAGGCATACCCAGCTACTCTAAATCATCACTCATACTGTTTCGCCAGGAACAAATCGCTCAACCGGGGCAATAAGTCCATGGCAACCTCAAAACCCAGTCTTCATAATTAGGTCTCAGTCCAACTTCTTCAAGAGCATTTTGCTTCAGAATCCCCACACTTATTAGCATAGCTCAGCCCATGGCCAAACTTGAAGACCGGGTTGCGGGTGTCAAAAGGCACGTCCTCCATGTTGTTCTCGACGGCTTCCATTGAGCGAGGTAGGTCGAATGGCAACTTTCCTCCGGGGCTGCTCTCTCCCAGAATCACGTCTAGGAATGCCTCGGTGCTACTGCCATAGCTTCCCAGCACAGCAGCGGCCTTCTCAACAACTTCGGGGATGACAGCGGGTCTGTCCAGGATGATGTCGACGATCGTGGGCACGGTGTTATAAATAGCCGCCTGGCGTTTCTGCTCAGTGGAGTTGTACGCAAGCGATCCGGCGTTCATGTTTGCCTCGAAGACACCATATCGAGGCTCATAAGGTGCTGTGAGGCGGAGCAACGCAAAGTCGGCCTCTTCGGGAGTTTCGACGGCAGTAAAGTTTCGGTTCTCGATGAAAGTCGCGTTGAAGCCCTCGATGTAGAACTTTGTCTTCTCGGGGAGGTTTGTCAGAGGTAGAATGCTGTCCTTGTTAGAAAGCAGCGTGTAGGATCGACGCTGCGCATCTTCGCCAAGACGAACAAAGTAGTCGTTTCCGACGATTCTAGCAGCAGCCTCCGGGTCGACAAATGGGTTATCAAAGAGACCAAGGATAAACTTCTCACGCAGGAGTTTTCGGACCGACGTATCAATACGCTCCTCGGAGATGATACCATCATTGACCAGTTGGATAACAAGATCGGTACGCTCTTCGCCGCCGAACTGGTCGCAGCCAGCGTTGAGGATCTTAGCTGCCCGCTCCAAGCCAGAGAGATGCTCAACGCCCCACGCTCGCGCTTCGAAAATACCTCCGTCCATCTCGGCGTCGGTGATCAAGCCCCAATCCGTAAGAACGATGCCCTCAAAACCGAGCTCCTCTTTCAGGAGTCCTGTTACGATTCCCTTGTTGAAGGAGAAGCCAACCTCTTCGTACTTGGTGCCGATGGGGCGGGAGTAGTAAGGCATCATCTGCCTGGCACCAGCGGCAATGGCGGCCTTGAAGGGAGTTAAGAAGTAGTCGAAATTGTTTCCAGGGTACGTCTGGTTTTTCCCATAGTTGAAGTGCGAATCCTCGCCATTCTCCAAGGGGCCACCGCCGGGGAAGTGCTTGGTGACGGTGGAGACGGAGTAGGGGCCGAGCTCTTCTCCCTGGAACCCCTTGATGTATGCCACCAAGAGCTCACTGGTAAGGGTGGCATCTTCACCCCAAGTTCCCTTGATACGAGCCCAGCGAGGCTCCGTTGAGAGGTCGACCTGGGGGTGGAGGGCAGCACGGAGGCCAACTGCGATGTATTCCTCACGCGCAACCTCGGCGAACTTCTTGACGAGTTCGGGATCACGGAGCGCAGCTAGACCGAGGGACTCTGGCCACTCCGAGAAGACGCCGGCTTGGAATCCAGTGCCAATATGCTCAGTGAAGCTGTGGCGAGGGTCCGTGGAGAGTGTGACTGGGATACCAAGGCGGGTCTGCAATGCGGTTTCTTGGATGAGGTTGGTAAACTCTGCCACCGCCTGAGCGTCTTCAATGTCTGCGACGAGGTTGAAGTGCGTCATATACATGTCGCCGATGGCAACCTTGGTGCTGTTGTACCCGCCGCCACCTTGGAACAGAGTGTTGTTCTCCCCTACGAAGAGCATCTGCTGAAACATCTGACCAGCCTTCTCTTCTAGGGTCATGCGCCCGATGAGATCCTCAACACGCTCACTCACGCAATAAGAGGAGTTCCTGTACACAGGAAGAGCTTCGTCCCGGCGATTCATCCAGTGAGGGCGGCGAGCAGCACCCAATGTGACTGCAGGCATAGCCGCGAGTGCCAATGTGAAAGCGGCAGTCCACATGATGATGACGGTGCTTCAAAGACGACCAGCAAGAAAAGCAGGAGGATTTAACTGCAGGTTTAAGCCGAGGATGCTAATATTAAAAGCCATAATAGGAGGTGGGAATACATCCTCCTTTTAAGTCAATTCCCGACCACTGTTCATCAAGCCATCTAAAGTCAACTTCAAAGACCCACAACACTGATCTTCTTCCCCGAGTCAAGCCCCTCTCCAAAGTTGCTAAAAGCTGGTGATGGGACCCGCATTCAGTGGTAGCCACGGGACGTGACGTCGGCCTTGTGTCGGCGCAAAGTTGCAGGCCGGGGCATCGATGAAGACCTCGAAAGAGGTTAGGACGACCGCGTGCGGATCGGTCAATGGCATGGGGTTGATTGACGACGTGGAAGATCGTCTGAGCAACCCGGAGGCTCCGCGGAGGGCATTATACAGACTTTCTAGTTGATTTGAGAGGCTGTGGAGGGGAGTTCCATTCTCTGCGAAGCGTTTACACTCGATCTTAACTCAATGGAAGACTAACAACTTCTGAGGCAATAGCAGCAACATCCGCGACACTTACAGCAGTTACTACCAATTTGCCGAAAGATGACACAAATGTCCCGATACCATGTACAACGAGTGCCGATCCTCCAACGGTTAAAATAAGGATAGACTCATGCTCGTGGGGAACCCCTCCCGCCACTTCCCGAGCCCGGCTACCTTCACGCGTATAACCAGACAAGGGGATCAATAAGGGGATCAATGCGGGCACTGAGTGGCTCCCAGCGAGACGGTCACCACAAATATGCTCATGACTTGTCAGTAAACGTCCTTGTAGCGGGCTTGCTGCCACATGGTGGGATGTTTCTTGGGTAAGTGTGGGGTGAACAGTCGGGCCTACTGAGGGTATCACAGGGATCGAGGGTGTGGAGACTAGAGGATCGTGATGTTTGTGAAAGCAGGATCCGGGGCACATGTGCAGACGTTTCCCCATGGGCCATGGACCGTGATTGAGGAGAACCATGCATGATGTGGGGTTCCGCACTGGAGTTTGCTGGTTCCGCGGTGTTCATGAATGCTCCGTCGTTCCGTGATGGGTTTACTTCGGGTAATGAAGCATCACGAGATGGAATCGTCGGACTTTTGGACTGGATCTGTTCATGGTTGGATCCGCTCAATCACCCAACAACATATGTAAGTTGGATGTCTCGAGTTCGGGCCTTTCCAGGGATCCGTCATCTTTCTGCCTACCTCGCATGTTAGTCCCTCCTCGTCTTGTCTCTGTGGGTTATTCCCCAACTCTCCTCCTCGGCCGGCTCTTCATTTCGGAAAAGCGAAATGTGGATACGGTCAGAGTGGTTAGTACTGCCATTCCGAGCCGGACCCGGTCGGCTTCCGCCTCGGGTCATAGAGACGCTCAGGCTCTCAAGCTGGTTCAATCAGCATCATTCCGGAGTCTAGTGTCAATCTAGTCGGATTCGAACTATTGATTTGATCTGATTTAAAGCAAAGTCGGGTGAGATCATGGCAATTAGGTTCACCGACACACGGAATCCAATTGCGATTTGCCCCGGATTCGTTCGTGATTTTGATTCGGTCTTCGGAAATAGTGGCCGGGTTTCATACCGGGATCTCGACCTTATTGTGAGCTTCACGACGCTCCAGGTATCGGCAATTAACCAGGTGACGAACAGGTAAGCTTTCGCTCTTTCTTACTCAATTCACAGCAAGACCTTCAAATTAAGAAGGCCACCCCGGATAAGCGAACCGGGTTGTTGGTTCTTCTTCTGCATCTGGAAGTCATATACCAAACGGGCGGTTCGGCGCCTTACAACTACAAGCAATTGTGACCCGGCCCAGTTCAATTAATGAATCACTAAGAAATATTCTCCGCTCTCGGGAAAGGTTCCCCCACGGATTTCCGAAAGCAGTTGGTGCCGCCATTAATAATCTTACGAAAAAAATGGTATTAAGCGACGCCGTCGTCATGAAAAGTTCGGGGGCTTTGGGGGTTTGGGGTAGCATTCGTTCGTCCAACATCAACATTGCTGCCCGATGGAACTCGTCGCGTAGCCCATTTAATGCTCTTGGCCGTTCCCATGTGTTTTGAGTCTTCTTGATCCTTTGCTGTCCTGTATTACTCTCTGTACTCGCTGCTTCGTTCCGTGATCCACAATGTCAGGCAAAACCTCATCTCCAGCGCCCCACGGTTCAAGTGGGGGCTCGGAGAAGCACCAAGAAGACATTGAGAAGCGACGAGAAGTGACAGAACAACCGCTCCCTTCGTCTACTTCAGATAATGAGCAGGATGACGATGACGACGATGTACGAGACACATCAAACCAGCCGGCACAGGACCTTGAAAGGATGAGCACTCTTGGCACAGTCCTGAGCAGGCTACGTTCGCGACGAAGCGCCGTGATTGAACCACCGCCTGACGGAGGCTTGAGAGCTTGGATGGTTGGTGAGTAGTCATGTCTACACGTGGACTCTAGCACGGCTACTAAATGACCTCGCAGTGTTTAGCACGCATCTAGTAATGATGGATACTTGGTAGATGCCCCCAAATACTCCAGGAGGAAGACTGTTCCTAACACTGTCTAGGGGTATCATTAATTCTTTCGGTGTCTTTCAGCCGTACTACATGGACAAGCTGAACCGCCCGCCCGCGGATATTTCTTGGATCGGTTCATTTGAGGTTTTCCTCCTCTTCTTCATTGGCACCTTCGCGGGCCGTCTAACCGATGCCGGCTACTTCCGCCCTCTATACATCGTGGGCGTTATACTCGTCAGCTTGGGCACGTTGATGACTTCCTTCTGTTCCACCTACTGGCAGTTCTTTCTTGCACAAGGCATTTGCGTGGGCCTCGGCAACGGCCTCCTCTTCTGCCCGTGCATGGCCGTCACTTCGACCTACTTTGCGAAGAAACGATCACTTGCCTTTGGCCTCACCGCAGCCGGCAGTACCACAGGTGGACTAATTTTCCCAAGCATGGTGAGGCAACTCCTTCCCCAGATTGGGTTCGCATGGACGATTCGCTCCATAGCCTTGATCCAGTTCGCGACGCTCATCTTGGCCGGCTTCTTCATGAAGTCGCGAATCCCACCCCGCAGCGCAGGGCCGTTGGTCGAGTGGGCAGCCTTCAGAGACTTAGAATACACTTTCTATGCCATCGGCGCCTACCTGGTAAGGTATTTGTTCCTTCAGGTTCGATCTTTGACGCTGACGGAGAGGATAGGCATTCTGGTCGACATATTTCGCATTTCACTATCTCGCCGCATTTTCTCGCGATATCCTCGGCATGTCCTACTCCTCCTCGCTAGACCTACTCCTAGTTCTCAACGGTATCGGTGGCCCTGGTCGGGTTATTCCTGCATATATCGGAGATAAAATCGGTCCCGTCAACGTATACATGAGCTGCACACTAGTAGCGGGCTTGATCATGTACTGCTGGGCCGCCGTCGATTCCGTTGCAGGCTTGTACGTGTGGGCCAGTTTCTATGGCATTGCAGTTGGCGGTGTCCAAAGTGTGTTCCCTGCTGGTCTGACGAGTCTCACAGCAGACCCGCAGAAGCAGGGGACGCGAATGGGCATGGTCTTTACGATCGTGAGCTTTGCCACGTTGACGGGTTCGCCCATAGCTGGAGCAATCATCAGTTCTCAAGGGGGTAAATATGTTGGCGCACAAGTCTTTTCAGGGACTTCAATGGTGTTGGCGACGGTATTCATTGCTGCGGCAAGGGCAGTCAAGACGCGAAAGACAGGGCTGGCCATCTTCTCTCTGGCAAAGGTATAAATCCAGACAAATGTGGATTAATAGTATTAACATGCACTCTATACTTTTTAAATTGGCGAATCAAAAGCATATTATTTCTATTACATCAAAAGGAAGACATTCGCGAATGCCATGCGTGAGAGAGGTAGTACAGCCACGAACATGTAGTATGTAAAAGTAAAGCAACCAAAGCGTTCAACAACGCTCAACGCAGCCTCAGTAAAACTTCCAGTGTACTTAAATACTAAACCCAGGACAGGACCCGTTGGCGGCGCCTCTGCGGGTGGAGATTGATGAGAGTTTCTGCTCCCAATGTGGTGCGTGTCGCCAGTCTCCAAGATAATGGACTATTTCTCGACAATGCCTCGAAAATTTATGTGTTCCATTCTATAGAGGCTTCAAGAAACATGTTGGCCAGCAACTTGAACCGTTTATCAGCCAACTATGCGAAGATCGGCGGTGCCTACTCAGATCGCTAGCACGGTGCTCTGTCCCGGGCGGCGAAATGACATCAATACAATTTGGTCAGATGCTTCTCATGGCTGGCCTAACTGCAACCATCACTTCTTAGGTTCCGATTAGCGAAATTGGTCTCCATTAAAGTGATTTGATCTAAGTAGATCGCGCCCACAACATTGGGATGAAAGACGAGGACGACTTCTCCAGGACCAATGCTGATCTCTCCGACGAAGAGAAGATGTTAGTATTTAAATAAAAATATGTTAAGGGGGGGTGGATGCATACTAATGCTGCTAAATTTGGTGGGAACTGGTTCCGGAGGACCTCTGCTGCATTCCGATACACTGATCTGACTAGGGGAGCAATGGGGCTGGTGGATGTTGTCTTCCACATTCCCATGACGGCTCATGCCAGAACCATGACCAAGTCACCCCAATTTTGGATCAGATCATCTTAGGGCTTACTATTTGTAGGCCAGACGGAGCCGTCCAACAAGAGATGGACCTACTTGGCGTACACTTGAGACGAACCCAGCCGATTAAAGATCAAGTCTTAGCATCAGGTCTTAGCATCGGGTCTTAGCGTAAATATGCACCGCCACAGAGGTTTGCTAAAGACAAGCTTTTTTTATCCATGCTCCAATTATTATGGGATATCCTGCGGCTTTCTGTTCTCCGCTCAGGAACTCTCTACCGAGGTCTGGACGAGTTGGTTCAACAGTGACGTAAACAGACGCCAAGCCAGGGGATTACAAGTCTCAATTGGTAAATGGCAAAAAGGCTCGATGCATTAATCATTTGACTCTCTCGCTTAGCTTATTAGTTTGAGTCCGGAACTGGTGTGGCTTGCATCTTCCCGCGAGAGACTCCGACCTCCCCGCAAATTAGCATCCTTGACGTCACCACTCTACACCCTCCTCATCATCTCGATTCGTGGCGTCAATTCGTCATTCTCATAATTCGTCATAGCTTTTTGGATACAACCTTGGAGAGGATTAAAACCGCACAGGTATCCTCCGGGTCGTACTTCATTCCTTCTTCTCAATCATTTACACCGAAGTACACCCTGTCCCTGTCCAACAACGAATAGCGGCCACAAATTCCATTCGCTCCAATCACCAAATTCTCTTATAATTAAACATGATGATCTCTAGACCCATTGTCAGATCCTTCCCCCGAGCTGCTCGTTCACCACGCGCTCCGCTGCGTCACGTTCGATTCCAATCGACGTCATCCTCGTCTAGCGGCTCTCAGTTCACTACCGGCATAGCTGGCGGAGTAGCCGGTGCAGCCCTCTTCTATGCCGCGTATTCCTTCACGCCTGCTGGACAGACAGCTTCAAAACTGAATAAGGCGGCCAAGGAAGCTCAAAAAACGTATGAGGTGGCGGCAAAGAAACTTCAGGAGAAGACACCAACCCCCGATGAGGCCGTCAGCGCAATCAAGGGATTTGCCTACTCTTACGTTGGGTGGATCCCTGGTGGCCGTTCATACGTTGACACCGCTTTCAACGACTGGGAATCTGTTCGGAAAAATCACCGCGATGAAGCAGACGAGCTCGTCAACGAAGCATACAAGAAGTTCCAGGAGATTTCCAAGCTCGGTCTCAGCGTAGAAACTGCGTCGCGGGCTTACGATGTCCTTGCTGAGCTTTCGAAGAAGATTGCCAATCTTGCTGGAGATGCACTTTCCGACATTCTCGACAACCATCCTCAAGTCAAAGAAAAGCTCGGTGGAAATGTCGATAAATTGAAGCAATTCGGTGAGCAATACGGCCCCGAGGCCAAGAAGCAAGTCGACGAGACGTGGAAACAGGTCAAGGAGATTTTTGCCACAGGATTTGGTGCCGGCAGTCTGGAAAAGGCCCGAAAATTGATTGAGGAGAAGGTGGAGCAGATCAAGAAGCTCGGCGACGAGGCCTGGAAGAAGGGACTCGAAGAAGCCAAGCCCCTCCTCGACAAGAGCCCCAAGGTGAAGGAACTTGTTGAGAAGAATGCCGACGCTCTCAAGCAAGGCAACATCAAGGAAATATTTGACAAGGTCAAATCTGCAGTCGAGTCTGGCGACCTGGGCGATTTGGAGAGCTATGTCAAGAAGGCTGCTGATAAGGTCAAGTCCAAGGGCTCTGAGGAGTGGGTAGATGTGGACAAGTACTTGAAGATGATTCCTCAGGGAGACTTTGTGTTCGAAAAGCTGCAACAACTGAGCGAAGTTGCGGACAAGCACAAGGAGGAGGGAGAGAAGTTGTTCAAGGAGACCATGGAAGAGTTGAAGCAAGTGCTTGAGAAGAAGTCAGAAAAAGCACATGAGATTGTCAACAAGGCCAAAAAAGATGCAGCTTAGCCATTCAATAGGCAATATAGATAGCATTCAGCAGTAAGCTGCGAACAAACATCTTGATCAGACTGAGTTAAGACCTCACCTCCCTAAACACCTTACCGTGCTCAGTGAAATAATGAGAGAGGGCATGCGCATAAAGTTGCAGGATTCTTCCGCACTCTCTTTTGCATCATAGTCCGTTATTCATTGCGATCTAAAGTATTTTCTTATTTCCTTATTTATCTTATTAAATAAAATATTTATTCAGCCTTTTGGCCTTAGTGATTGCTCTTTAGTGTTTGCTCGGATGAATGGTACTGAAACAGCTTCCCCGCCCTTTTCCTGTCGCAATTCCAGTCTGCATCTTGGAAGTCAGGGAGCAGTTCTAGGTAGGCCGGGTCCATGTATTTTCACCAGCTGGTAATACAGTAATCATTCAAGGTTCAAGGGAGATTCATTTCGATACTACTACATTAGAGTCGTAGTATAAAGCCATTTCCTGGGTCGTCTTCCTCTGTCGCAATCCCGCTACGGCAAAAGGGAATGATCACTCCTCTTGCTGGTAGCGTTATTGTGGTCCACATCTCCGTCTGACATCCTCAACCCCGTATGAGACTCGCACCAGTATAGAAACAGAACAGAATAGTGCCGCTCGACGACAAAAACATGGTCGATACCAAGCGCCCAGGCTGTTCCCTTGATGTGAAGTCAGTTGGAATCAGCTTCCTCGCCAATGCCACCATCGGATTCAGAGTCGCTCAGAACCACACGACTGCGGGAAGCCTTAGATGGAGTCTTCAGAATACTTCGAGATCGCTTTTGAGGGCTGAGTTCCTCAGTCGACTGAATGTCTCCATCAAAATTGGTCTGAAAGCTGGTTGTAATAGTCTTGACTGCCTTCTTCTTGCCCTTGGACTTGTCGGCCTTGTATTTCTTGCTGAGGGAAATATAAAGATCGATCGCATGGTCCTGGCTGAGGGTCGCAATTTGAAGGATGAGACCTTCTAAGAGTCTATGTTAACCACGATCGCACCTATATATATTCACAAGAAATAGAAACTCACCAGCACGCGACGCCTCCGCAAAATCGGGAATGTCGTTCTTTGCTGCGTCAATAAAGGCTGCAGCATAGGCCTGGACGCTCCTCGATCGCGTGACCAGGGCCGTTCTTCCGGAGCTCAGAATGAACGATTCGAACATCTGATAGAAGAAATCGGTTTCCTCGAGGATTGCCTTGTAGGCCTCCTCGCTTGGATCGAAGATGTCATTGTCGAGGTCTCCCTCAGCTGCGTCGATGCTTCGAAGACTGGTGCCATCGCTACTGATGGAAGTCCGTCGAGACGAAGATGGCCCAGGCCTAAACAGAGTTAATGGTTAGACGAGACACTCAGGTTACTCAGCATGGACCTTACTCACGTTGTCGCTATAACCGCTACGGTAAAAGGGAATGATCACTCCTCTTGCGGGTAGTGCTATTGTGGTCCATATCTCCGTCCGACACACGTCTCGGATAGCTGGATGACCCGTTGGGTCAATTTGGAAACCTGGAGCGAAAGCTAATCGCGAGGGTCAGTTACCAGGCGAGTACTTAAGGCTCAGTTAGGGCTACTCACCATTTCGAGGTTGTTGAGCATCGCCTTGTCCTGGGAAGGCATGAAACGGGCATCATCAACGTAAATCCATCACTTCGTTTGCTCGATGGGGGCGCCGGGTGGGGGAATTTCGGCACCAGGGTTGATATTCTCGGGAGCCATGCTGATATGAGAGAGGTTTGATCGTGATCTTGTTGTGGTCTGGTTGTGTTTGTAAAGTTGTGAAGAATGTGTTCAAGGACGTGAAAGGACGTGAAAGGATTTTGGGTGAGAGAGAAAAGGTGAGAGGTTGAGTGTTCCGAACGGTTGGCTTTTACGCACATTCAATCAGGGCAAATGCCCTTGGTCGTGGATTTAATGCGCGTGGATTTAACGTCAGTGAATCACCGCATCGAGCATCGCCTCTGGTGTTTGCCATGTTGTCGTGTATATGTCCCCATTCATCCAGCTGGCGGAGGTTGGTTACACGAATTAGACGTCCATTAGAATGAGATACATTTGGGGTTACTATTAAACAGATTTCAGGATATAGATATGTTAAAGTACAGGTTTGGGGGGGGTGGTGAGTCTGCTCAGAGATCTACTTGGCTGGGAGGAGGAACCGCCTGTCCGGTTCTGGAGAGACACGACAATGAATCTGGGCGTGCGTTGAGCTTAATGCAAGGTTCCAAGCACTACCTACCCAAGCAATCTAGTCGACAAGCAAACACGTCAAGCGCGAGCCGCATTCTTTCTCGCGACACATCACCGAATTGCGACGACATGAACCCGCCGGCATCACGTTGGTCAAGCGCAGCAAAACACCGGTTCATGCCCGAAAATTCTTCCACCAAGCCCTCAGAAGGTGACAGCGGCCTCGCTCGAAAAGAGAATCAGGACGCCGCTCTCTTGATGGACATGTTAATGGAGGCAAATCTTGAACCGGTTCAGGTCTCACCGCTCAGCCCGAGCTCGTACCGCACCGTCCTCTCGCTCACCTTCTATGAGATCTTTAGCCTTGCACATCGGGAACCAAAGTATTATGTGGTTTGCTGAACGGACAAAGCTGGGCGACAAACACCCCGGCTGCCAGAAAATTTTCTTCTTGGGGTGGCCACAAATAGCTGGCTATCGACCTCCGTACTTTGGAGTCGATGAAAAACAATACTCCGGAGACTGACATGTTGCCCGCAAAGATCATCGCCACTGCTTCGGCAGCAAAGAGCACCCGACGTGTCCGAGGCGGCGAGAAGGACAAGGCATCCTAGATGCTGAGGGCGAACGCCTTGTGGTCGTATTTCAACGCCACTATCGACACATACATCACCTGCAAGAAGAGGATCTTCATGATTGAGGTGTCGGAAATATTTCCTGACGGTCCCATCTTTCGCGAGCTGGACAGCGGCATCGTCGTTATGAAGGTTTCTTGCTGTCCCCAATGAGGTTCAGAGAACGATGCATCTTCGAGACTACCAAGTCGAAATGCCTCGGCTCATGGCCTTGCACCCCGAGTCCGAGATGATGGAGGTCCAGAATAAGATCACCCGAGATGAAGCTCTAGCTTCAGCTGGAAACTTGTTCGAGAGGCTGTGGACTCTGAATCATGACCGGGATGTGACCGCGGTAGAACTACTACCTAGATCAACCTAGTTACAATTGTTCTTAGGTTATCACTTTGTGGCACTTTGTCTTCGTATGTGGCGGCCTGGTTGCTGTTGAAACAATTGTGTTTGGTGAGCTTCTTGGAACAAGCAGACATCGCGTCAAGTAGTGAATGTAAGTTTACACCAAATACTAGATAATTCCGTCTTCCATCAGGATATGGAGCTTGGAGTTTGGTATACGTACTGACTCTTCTCGTGGGTATTACAATGCGTGTTAGCTGGGGGAACTTCAGCGACGATGGCTCTAGTTTGCTAGCATTAAAGAAGGAAGTTTGCTTTATAGGTAGGCTCAATGGGCTTAATTCCCAACCGACTAAGCTTAGTCACTCCAAGAGATACGACTCGGATCATCCGATATGGTGTAGTGGACTATCATTCCGCGTTTTCATCCCGATAACTGCGACCGCGGCGACCGGGGTTCGATTCCCCGTATCGGAGTTTCATTTTTGCGCTTCCGAGCATCTTCAGATATTTTTTTGAGATTTATTTGCGCTCCCTACGCTTCTTGATCGTTTTGCAGTTGTCGTGGACGCATTCCCGGTTGTCTGGACGTGAGGCTCGTTTGGGTACGTGCACGGACCCATCGTTTGTGGGGGAGGGGTACGTACCTACCCGAGGTGTGGGGGTGCTTGGACGTGCAAGACACACAAGACGACTCACTCAACCACCATGAGGATGGATTGATCTGAATTTCTCAGATCACTATTTGTTATGATAGTCAAAGAGCAAGTTCAAAGGTATTACCATGTGGAAACACTGGGAACTCCGAAAAATCCCTCTGTTGCTTGGTGCACACACCTGCTGTCGTCAAGTAATTGCCATGTTGTTGAGAGCAAGGAGAGTCCAAGGGAGGGTGTCATTTCTTGAACGTCCACACAGCGCCACTGCTCAGTAAAATATTTGTAGGATCCGTCGGCCCTTCTCCATAGAGTATTTTCTGATGCTAGATAATCCGGTCACGCCCTAGTGGAGGTCGACTTCATGATACGATGCCATATTAGAATATTAGACAGGGTTTATGGTCGGATTTTCGTATTGAGAGGCTATGCGCCGGTGCTAGGTGACTTGAAATGACGTAACTATGTGGGAGCAAATAATTAAATAAAAAATCTCATTAAATGAGGCTTGAATGAGCAGTGAGGAAAGGGGAGGATATCATGCTATGGATGGGCAGACTAGGAATGTGGAATTTTTTCAGCCGAACCCCACGAGTGTGTCGATGTATACTACGCAATTCAGATGATGTCGCAACCAACGGCACCTGCTCTTTCCTCCCGGTGTCTGCTGCAGATTTCAGAGATGCCAGTGAGTTCAGAGGGGGGATCTCGTTTTATATCAAGACTGCACACCCTCAAGTCATGGACGTACCCGAAGAATCCAAAAATGCATTGATGAACCCCGCGATGGCATCCTGGGTGGTAGCGTCGTCTAGATGTAGATGTTAATATTTTGAGTATTGCTATTTGCACACCTAAATATATTCTTAATCCTACTAAAAATTAATATTCTGCCAGAGTGATTTAGGAGATCCCTTTTCTAAAGACTAATATTTAGTATTATTTTATTTTCTTTATTTTACCTGATTTAATAAGAAAGATAAATATTTAGTACTAATTTTAACTATCTTAAGTATAAGACGGATAGATATCTTACCCGAGCTGATACTTGCATGAAGAAGCTTGTACCTGTATGCGAATAGCAATATTCTCATGAGAGGATAGCAATACTCATATTTCTTCAGAGAATAATTACTTATTTCAGCTATACTTCCGTCAGTCGACAATTTGACAATGACTCGACAGAGGCAGAAATGTGTCGTGATTACCGGATTAGTTCTTGGGATGGAACCATCTCAAGTCATCGGAACCGGCGAGGTTAGACTCCGATATCGGGAATGGGGATTTCAAGGCGATTCTGACGGACGGACGAACAACCGATGCGTAAACGTTGCCGATTCATCGATCGTCGATGTCTCTTAACTCTTCTTTCTCGTGGATCGTCGGTTGTTGGGCTGGTGTTCGAACGATGTCCAGGAAAGCTTGTCCTTTTTGCGGACTCTATCTAATGTGCGACCGTCCGAGCCAGAAGGACTGCATTCCAGTCGTAGGTTGGGTCTTTTGTTCGGTACAGGTTTGACGGATCTCCACTGCAAACGATCGACCATGTTGCCCCAAAAGAAACCCGAAAAAGGGCCAAGAAAGACGATGGAAATACGATGGATCGTCTCAAGACGCCAGAAACAGCAAGTGCATACTTTGTATAGTAAGTCACGGCGATTCCAAGGGATTAACAGAATACACGTAAAGAGGCAGAAGTTTCACATACTCAGACATCTCATTTTCACCAACTGTAACTTATTAAAGCGAACACAAGAAAGGAACATCGGTCTGTAGCAAAATGAGTCCATTCCGGAAGATTGCCTCGTTCAGAGGCAGCGCAACCATTCCATCCATCGATCCATTCTTCCTTCATTCACCTTTCCTCGTCAACTAGTTCCACATGAGACGTGGCGCCTCCAGCTTGTTACCAGTCCTTCCAGCCATTCCACCAAACCTGACGGAGTCGCTATTTTCGGCAACAAACCGATCGGCCGCGGCTTGGTCGTATTTTTCTTCAGCGTGCCTTTCTTCGCACCTGAATGGAAACTTTCGATTCTGCCTCAGTAAAACGTAGGCGACTGGTGGTATCGAAGATTGGAGGGGCCCTAGCACCACAGTCGTCCCATCGGCGAGATCCCAAGAACGAACACCAACCAGTCTAAGACCCGGGTTGCCATGAACTGGCATCGACCTGGAAATCCTCGTCGTACCATCCTGACGAACGCTTCAGAGCATCGTGCGCAATGAAAAGTTGCCCGACCGTGGACGGGTCGATGACTTCTTCGTTCGCCCACCATGCATTCCCACGTTCGATAGCTTGCATCTTGGTCAATTCCGAGTCGGTGATATGTCGAGCGAGTGTTGCCACGGTGGCATACAGTGGAATCACAGTACCAGGAGGTGCAACTGCAACACAAATCTCACATCGAACACCTGGAAGCCCCTCGTCCTTTGCCACCATCTGGGCGCGCCGGGAGAACTGCTTGAATCTGGAGTGAAAGTCTCCATCCAGATGACGCTTGAGATTGCTTGCCTCGTAGTGCTTCGACCTGGTTTTGTCGTCAACAGTCTCATCTGCCTGACATGGCGGGCAAGGGGTCATCTTGGCTTGCTTTCTGCCCCAACTCGAAGTCTCGGTGCCAGCAGATAGCCAGATTTCTATCGCACAGCGTGCTACAGTCGCATAGTCCATCTGGTCCAAGACATCTCCGATGGGGACCTCGTCAGGAAGGATTTGGGCTTCCTTGTCGTGTTCGATTCTCTCCTGAAACTGGCCCTCTGCGTCCCGTTCGCTCCCACCAGTAGTTGGATCCTCCTCTACTCCAAGAGTGCCAAGGGAATTTTCCTCCATCAAGTCGGAATTGGAATTTTGGGGGCCGACAGACGCCTTGGCCTGGGATATGATGCGACGGTTGAACTCGTTGCTCATCGATTGCAGATCGCTCATTCGGATGCCTTCAACAGTTAGTTCTTGCATTAGCTTCTCCCGAAGGTCCTTCATCAGACTTTGGAAGGCAGCGCGTTGAAGAACTCGGTCTCGGTTCTGCTTAGAGGCAGAGTCTTCATTATGGGGGTACTCGTCGTCACTATTGCGCAACTGTTCAAAGAGTTCGTTAAGTATCCGTGAAAGCATCCGGTAATTATCGTCGCTGAGTTTGGTCGCAGAGAGCATGTCTCTAAAGTAATCATGCCGAGCTCGGTCCTCGCCTAGAGCGATGGAGGTCAGGTTCAAGAGTTCCGTTCGATCGCAGGCGGAGGAACCCTCTGCGATAGTTGAGTTTGGATCCTGTGCCGTCATTTCCTTTGCTTGCTCGGGTCTAACTTTCTCTAAGAGTTCCTAGGCAGTATCGCATCGGAGGCTGTGAAATGTAATCGATTTCGTAATTCCAACTTTCTCTGCGCAGAGTTGCAGGTAGTCGGTGAAGGCCTCTGATGCCATCGGTTTGTCCAGATCGACATCCAAGCCGTGCTGTGTCCCTGCGACAAATACCGGCTTATCAAGGAACTCTTTCTTGATTGTAATGAATCGATTTCGCCTCTTGAAGAGCTCATCGATTGTCTGAATTCCATCAAGAGCACCTCGTCGGATGGCAATTGTCAAGAGTCGATGGGGGGCGGACATTTGGAAGGTTTGTTTGCCAATAGGATTTGAGAGATATCTTAATCAAGTTAGAGTTATTCAAGAATTAAAGAGGCAAGTAATACCTACAGAAACTCCCCAGGGTGTGAATTCATCATATCAGTCTTGACGTTCCGAATCGTGAGTCGAACCGAGAACTTTCCTTCGACATTGGCTCTCTCGATCTCACAGTCCCTCCAGGCGATAAACGGGAGGTGATCCTTCGGGTGAACGTGCTGGGGAGGTCCTAAAGAGCCGGGGGGTAGAGCTGCTAGCCGACCGAGGACCCAGGCAAGATGATGGCACTCGGCAAGTGCAATGCACGGGGTTTGGTTCATATCGAAATCTATCATCTGAAGGATTTCCCAGATACCGACTCGGGCATCGTTTCCAGTGGTTTGTCGGTCTTGTTCCAGCTTGGTGGACGGAGAAGCCCGTCGAAAATCACGCGCAAGCTCATCGAATTTCTTGGACTCTTCGCAAAGCGCTATGAACTCAGGATCGTCGGTTTCTTCAACTCGATCCAGGAACTGCTTTAGGCCTTCTTTCTTCCGGCCGATCTTGGGCGGCGCCATCTCTCAGGTCGATCGATTGAGGTGTGAAAGACTGATATTGATTGAATTGTTGAAAGGGGTCAGTGGCTGACGGATGCGAGGAACGGACCGATGTCAAGGTGAGAGAGAAAGATTCCGCGCAGGTGTTGCCAGTTGTCAAGTCTGTAGGCTGTCGATTGATTGGGTAGGGAATAGTAAACACAGGCTGAGAGAGGTGAAAGCGTGCAAGTGTTGCCAGCTATTGAAGATGAAGCCTGGGCGCAGGCGGCTGTCGGTTTGCCACCGCCAGTAACTGGTTCAACTAGAACTCTCACCGAATCACTGCCGTGTGGAAACTTGACGTAAATTAGACGGCAACGGATCGATGCTGCGATGGATTGAAGTCACAGGAATGAAACAAACAATCAAGCAGCATCAATTCGGCATAGATTCGAGGAGAGAAAGAGTCCAATTCCAGGTTCGCATCTTGGAGCGGGTTTGTAGTGGAGATGTTTGTACTGGTGATGGGCGGTTATGCAAGAACCCCAGCACTCTCTTTGTCAAAGGGAAGCAATCTCCTTGTGAGAACGTATGGTTTGGGGCGTGCTACACTGCCAGTTTGCGTTAAACGGCATTTGTTGTCTGTGACTCATAATATTTTCCCTACCTCGCTCCGCCATGAATCACTGTTCTTCCACCATGATGCTGCATTTGGGTGACGGATTTCAGCTATTTAATCCTTCTTTCATCCCCTTCTTTCCTTCACTCTTCATCGCCTCTCACCCTAATTTCTTCACACATTATATAAACACATTGTTTATTTTATTCTTACCTTAGACCTTAGACCTCAGACCCTATCTTTCTTCCTAAAGTATAACTTATGTGGATGCTTCGGTCGTTTTTCCTGTCTCTCAGACTATGGTTACGCTGCTGCCGTCAGCACGGCAAAGGGGGGCTTTAGAGATGGCGAGAACACCCAAGGAGAGGCTGCACTGATATAGTTCCATGGTCGCTGCTCAGAGTTTGAGGTGCGGGGACGTTCCGCTAACTGTCCTAGCCTCGAAAGCGTTCCTATGGGAGTACTTTGCGGGAAGCGACTCGGATGACGACGAGAACGCCATCCACCAGGAGATGTATACAATGTGTCTGAACTTTGTCGGTCGACTCATTGCCAACGGCCACACCGAGTGCTTGCAGGGCTGCAAGTGTTACATGCGAAACCATGTGAAGTGCTTGTAGGGCGAGCATCTCCTGGCTGGGGATCGATGCCTCAACCACACTTTGCGAGAGCTTCGTGCGTGCGCCGCAGTGTGCTTCTCCCCCTCAAGACTCCTGGCTCACAGCATTTGCCATCTCGGAGTTGTTACCTGGGTGGTCCAAGACAATGCAATCAGTTACCCTCAGAGCAACGTCGTCAGCAGGTGCAGCTCCAGATGGAACACGGCCAGGAAGCTCTCAGGGAATAGACACTTGGCAGTCAATCAAGGTATTCCACACCACCCTCGCCTGTCTCAGCAATTGCTCACTTACCTAAGTTCTCTCACAAGTCCGAACCAAGAGGAGTTCCAAGTCAAGCCGGACCACGTCGCAGACATGCACACGCAAGAACTGCACTGTCACTTGAACCTCACAACGCGGAAGAACGTTGTAAATTCGCGGCCGCCAACTCGAAACGCATCAAGCCTCAATCCACTTGTCCGGGATCGAGACGACTGACATTCAAGATAACTCCATTCTGTAAGAAGCCTCAACTTCAGTTGGAGACTTGTTCGAGAAGTTAGAGGGTACACATGAAGCTGCGACGGATGAAGGAGCTCGGTTCCATTGAAGCAGTCACAGACCGTGGTAGCCTGTGTCACGGAAGAAAGTTCACGACACACTTCAACTCTCATCTCAAACCAGCTGATCACTGCAGCAAAATCTTTTGCCAAGATTGGTGCTATATTATATAGCCAGCTCGCGCCCAACCTCCAGACGGCTTGAAGGCTTGACGGCTTTCAACTCGAACGACGGAAAGCAAGCGTTCGAGTTCAACAAGCTCCATACGCACACACCGTACACAACGAACAATTAATCACCACCAAACACTCGCAGGAGATCTTCAACAATACAAATACCATTATACAATAATATACAAGATCGAAGCCTATAACGAACACGCATATCACCCTCAGCTACCAATCTTCTATGGCGAGGGTCCTCGGGGGGGCCATCTCTAATCCTAGGCAGCCTTCCTTAGCTTAGGCTCAATTGTCACCTTATTTGGTACTCATCTCATTTCTTTGTTTTTGTTTCATTTCCTTATCTTGTTAAATTTTATACTTGCCCGCTTCCAGAACGAGACCGCCAACGAAATCAACACAAAGCAGCGCGAGGTTAACAAGCTCAACCGCCATCTCTCTAGAGGGATTAATTAAGATCTCAACATTTCTTTTTAGTCTCTAAGATTGTGGCAAATAGCAAATGACACTATATCGTTCGATGTAGACTTCGTGGCAACGGCCTCATTGTGTTACCATTCCTGTGTTTTCTACGACCGCGTTGCTCGTCCGACACATCACCAACTCAAACTGAACCAAAATTTGAGCCATATACAGATAAATAATGTTCCTCATTTGTCTACTCCTTAACAACTTACATTGTTCACCATGATTTGAAGCGTTATCGAGATGCACAAGCCGGAGACCTGTGACGGACTATAATCGCCAGCCAAAAACATCATAAAATACTAGTAAAATCCGTGTTCACAAGAATCACTTACAGTACTCGTGCCTATTTCGTAATGATTTTAATACCCAGGCATATGTAGTCATGATACTCCCTACTTACAACGGCTGTCCCTTTTAGGCCATTGCCCGTGTGTCGGAATCCAGCGCGGGGCATCGGGCGGACCCCACTCCCCAACCCGCCACCTCCACCACTTCCGACACCGCGGGTCGCATTCTCCAGCCTCACCTACAACTCCAGTCGCATATCTTCCGCCATCTCCTCCGCCAACTCCGCGTTCCCTACAGCACGACCTCACTCTCTGCAGCGCCCTCTCCCAGCTGGCAGCCCCATCATGGCCCAGTCGACCGCCCACCGCCGCCTCCTCCAGGAGTACCGCGCGCTCACCAACAACCCGCCCGAGGGCATCACGGCCGGCCCCGTCTCCGAGGACGACCTCCTGCACTGGGAATGCCTCATCCAAGGCCCCGAGGGCACGCCGTTTGAGGGCGGCGTCTTCCCCGCCGAGCTCAAGTTCCCCAAGGACTACCCGCTGGCGCCGCCGTCGATGAAGTTCCTCGCCGACGTCTGGCACCCCAACGGTTCGTCGCTGCCGAGGCCGAGCGTGCGCTGGCTTCTTGCTGACTTGTTTCCAGTGTACCCCAGCGGCCTCGTCTGCATCTCCATCCTCCACCCTCCCGGCGACGACCCCAACCACTACGAGCACGCTTCCGAACGCTGGTCGCCCATCCAGTCCGTCGAGAAGATCCTCATCTCCGTCATGAGCATGCTGGCCGAGCCCAACGATGAAAGCCCCGCCAACGTCGAGGCCGCCAAGATGTGGCGCGAGCGCCGCACCGAGTACGAAAGCAGGGTCCGTGGCGGTGTCCGGAGGATGCTAGGTCTGTAGGTCGCTATGTCCGGAATACGGCCGGAACTGCTCTTATTAGGCCGGACGACAAGAGCTGGAGTAATGGCGTCCATATGTTTCTCATTTACGTAGCATAGCATGGTGTTTACTGGCGCGGCACGGCCGCCGAAATCCTTATTCAACACCTCAGACATCTTCATCACTTGACCCAAGACACGCTCTATCCCGAGACTTAAACACGCTCTACAAACTCCGCTCATGCTTCATTCATCATAGCCCATTCTCTGCCTTGAACTTGTCCCAGCTCTCATTCAGCGTGCTAAACACCAAGCCGGCAATCAACCTCACCTCGGTATTTGCGTCCTGGGGAATCTAGAGTGGGTTAGTATCGCCATCTAGAAGGGTGTCGCAATGCTTACCTTGTCAGGGTGGGTCTTTGCAATAGCTTTCATGTAGGAAATCTTGACCTTGTTGGCCATGACCAGCTCGTGCAAGCCAATCTTCTTCCACCCACTGTTCTCCCAGAGGACTTGATCCATGCTGCCCAGCAGAGCGCGGAGATTGTCTCTCTTGCCGTCACGCCATGCCGCGACCCTGGCATCAACCTTCTCTGAGAGGGCAAACTTCTCGTCGTCCTCCTTGGCAGCAGCATCGTTAGCTTCCCGCAGACGGGTGACGGCCTCGGAGCTTTTCGTGGGCGCAAGGCTAGCGGTCGCTGAAGGCCTAGGTCGCGGTTTGACGGCCGGCTTGGGCGCAGGCTTCGGCTTGGGCGCGAGGGCGTTCTGGCAGCGCTGGCGACCCTTGATCGCGTTCGCACCACCGCCGCCCTCGACGCAGAGCTGCCAGACGGTACTGGCGTCCGCCCACTTCTCCATCTGCTCCAAGGCCTCCGCTTTCCGACTCAAAGCCTTGCCATAGAGATCCTTCATATCTCGGTTCTCATCCTGTCCACTCTCGCCTCTCACCGCAACAACTTCGTCCTGTCCATTCCCTGGACCGATGAGCTTCAGAGCGGTGTCCGCATCATCCACGGCCTGCTTCGGTTCACCGGTCTTGAGGGCCGTTAGGGCACGGTTGGTGAGAAGGACAATAACCAGAGGGTGCGTTGGGGGGACTGCCGATAGCGAGGTCGTGTACGAGGAGTGGGCTGATGCATAATCGCCACGCTTGAAGTGGGCAGTACCTTGGAGTCGGTGCTGCGTCGAGGTCTGCAGAGCCACAGGGCTGATGGAAGGGATCTGTCGGGTAGGGCGCGGGGCAGGTTTCGGCGCTGGTGAGGGTCGCTTGGCTGGCTGAGCTGGCCTTTGAGCTGGTCGCTGAGGGAGAGACTGGGAGGGTTTGGGCTGCTGTGAGTTGAAGAGCAGGTCGGGCTCTGGTTCAACGACCCTCATCGCGGGTGCTGGCGCGGGGGAGGCTGCCTTCTTCCTCCGGTTGGGACTGCTGTACGCAGAGAAGTCATCGTCTGCTGCCAGCCGATCAAGTCTCGACCTGGAATCAAACGCGGCCGTTGGAGGGGCATGTTGCTGCCACCTTGGGGCAGGACTGGCCCGGCTTCCCGAGGAGTGGGCTGGCGAAGGTCCACGAGAGACAGGCTGCGATGCGGTCCTATGCTCAGGAGCAGGTCGGCTGGTCCGCCTAGGCTCTGGACGGCCGCCAGCCTCGAGCATAAGAGCTTCGTCGGTGACGTCTGCCGTGGCTCTGGTAGACCCTTGCGTCCGGCCTTGCTGTGCCTCTCGCATCCACTTGGGTTGGCTGGGGTCGCCATCCTGTTGGAACTCTGCAACTGCTTGCTGCACCTTCTTTTGGCTCGTCTTCCAGAGCGAGTTTGCAGTCTTGAACAAACTGCTACCCACCGCAGCAGCCGACTTGGTCAAGTCAGGCTCTGCCCTAGCGGGAGACCTGTCGATACCCCGGGGAGCTCGGCTTGAGTTGGTAGATGAGCTTCTTCCCTGGGGTCCCTGTGGTTGTGGTGCCTGTCCTCCCAGTGCCTTTTCCTTGGATTTCCGGTGTGCCTCGTCCAGGAGCCAGTTGACTGCAGCTTGTGCGTTGTAACCCTGACCGCTCTCTACCAGGGCCCGTTGAGCATCCTGTGCAGAGAATCCGTAGTCTACGAGCTGTGCTACAGCTATATCAAATGGGTCCTTGTTCACCCTGGGCCGTCGTTCAACTGGCTGCGGTGGCTCATCGGCCGAACTCGAGTCGTCGTCCTCCTCATATTCGATTGGCTTTCCGGGTTCCGGGCGGGATGCGGTTTCTTGCTTTCGCCGAACCTCCTCGACAGGGCGTGCCAAGTCTCCCAAGAAGTCGTCGTCGTCGTTCACCTGCTGCCTCTGCGCTGCGGGAGCCGGCTTCATCTGATTCAACCCAAAAAGATCATCATCTTCCACCCCAAACCCTCCATTGTGTCCGCTGCTCGAATTCCCCCAAGCAGAAGGGTCGCTTAGGTTTATCGATGCGGCGTTTGCGGGAGTAGATCGTTGCGACTCGGGAGGGGGGTAGTGGCTAGCGCTGTCGACCTTCGTGTCCTTATTAAAGGCGGCGAAGAGATCGTCGTCGTCGTTCCTAGCGGGCTTTGCAATAGGGGGCGGCTGAGTTGCAGGGCTCGCCGACGAGCCTCGAGATCCCAGGGTGTCCCAGAACTGGCCATTTCCAAACTGTGCTTCGGCCAGCTTCCTCTTCTCCTCCTCCTTCTTGCGCTTCTCTGCTTCCAGCTGGGCCTGTCGCTCGGCCAAACTCAGGTTCTGTTTCGCCTTGGCGGGGCCAAAGTTCATCAAGTTGCTGAAGCTGTCTTGCGATGGCTTCACGGGAGCGGGCTTGGACGTGACGGAGCCCGATCCCTGGGCTGACAGAGGCGTGTTGCGTCCAGACGCGAGTGGGGATGGTATCGGTCGCAATGAAGTGTAGGCCGAGTTCATCACAGGCTGCTTCGGTTGCATGCCTGCTGGCTTGGCGGACCAATCGAGGCCCGATAGGTCGTCCATGGTGAAGGGATTGTGGTTACAGAGAGTCGTCACTCATAACCCGGAATTCGTTGCTTGTCGCATCTTCAAGCGTATCGTGAGCTTGAGACCCCCGGATCCAGGGGCGCTGGTGTGAAGTGGGGCTTGGTATGTGGCTGTGCTGTGGCGTGACGATCACATGATTGGCCAGGCCTCACGGTTCATGAGCACCAGATTAGGAAGCTGGATAACTTCACCTCCGTAGTTGATCAAGTTCAGAGTTGACTTGCTTAATTGGGCATTTTACTTTCTGGACGGGCGTAATGGAGATTACTGTAGATAGCGACGTTGGGTATGGAGGGGGAAATCTGTTAAGTACCGGTTGGTTGGAGCTGAAGGTGGTGAATCTATTGACTCGGTCCTTCACTTGATCATATTTTCTGCATGTTACAACCAAAGTCACATCTATTCTTTTCAGTGAATTTCAATTTCAACTAGAAAGGACTCTATAGATTTCCACAAGTTCATTTTCTTGGGATACTGCAAGGCTTGTCGTCAATGAGGTCCTGTCGTGACCTCATTACCCTACACCTTTCCACACACTACTATGCTCTGCTTTGACTTACACAACACAACTTCCCCTGATGCCCGTCACAGGCTCCGGTCAAGACCAGGTTACCTACTCATAAGATGTCTTCCCTTCGGGTCAATTAACACAGAGTCAAGCTTTGTGCTCTTCAAGCTCTTAAAACTCTCGGGCGCCGAGTCAGGGGTTGGCTGAATTAGGGATCTGGACCGAACCCAGACTCGTCCTTCTTTCTACGTAGCCAACCAATCGTTGGCCCCTAGAGCATGAGATATATTTGACACACGACATGATACGAATAACACCGCATTCTGTCACAGCATTTACGAGCTATACTACATGGTGGGATTTTGGGTGCGGACCTGAATACGTTTTCATTCCGGCGCCGTACTTGTTTGCTGCGCGCAAACAGCAAGCTGGGGGAAAGCCAACCAAGCCACGTCAAAGGAACACTAGTGTAGGATCGAACCACAGAATCTTGAAAGTCAGGAATGAGCTTGTGGCCGCAATGCGATACGAAAATAGTAGAAAAAGCGTCGTAGGATCCACAGTGTTCAAGCCTACATGAAAGAATGCTATATTTGGTGGCAGTCATGGGACTCACAGTATTGATCCACAATGGCTGTCAGACATTGCGGCGTGGTCTTACAGCATTGTGCATTGCCGGCAGCTTTAGCCGCGAAAGTCGCTGAGTCCGATAAATGCCAACGTGGGCTAGAGCACGGAGCAGCCGCAGCTGGATCAATTTCCCCAGACGCCCAGGCGAGTGGGGGACTTGTCCGGAGAAATTGAGAACAGAAGATGAGATGAGGTTGAAGGATTCAATTGCTTGGCCGCAGGATTTATGGAAGCTCGCCTCTGACAGGCCTTGATGAGGGTTTTCAGAGCCAACAAAAGTCAAATATAGTACTCATGTACGCTGTGTTAGTTTGGTGGAGGAATGACCTGCGGACTCTCATACCCTCCTCCCTTGGCGCAGCGTAGAAGGGTGTCATTCCGAGGTACGTACAGAACGGAGGCCGAAGCACATGTCCTTCCATCCAAAGTGCCTGCAGACGCCATCCACGCCACTTCCTTCACTGACGTAGAGTGGATCTCGGGAGTGAGTGACTGAAGCCCCGTGATTCGCTCCCTCTCTCATTTGAAACTCGTTTCAGGCCCTTGACAGCACTTAACAGGGTCGACATTGGGGCTGGTGACGATCCCCAGCTCCCGAAGATTGGGATAAACAGCCGGGATGGAGAATGGATGAACCAAAGCAGCAAAAGAGGAAGTGTCAGGCGGTCGCAGATTCTGCTCGTTTGATCATTACTTGTTCCATCATTGGTCGCGTGCGACGCGAGGGAGAGTCTGAGGACCCTTTGGATGCTAGCCCAGCCCGTCGTCTCAGGCTCTCAGCGCACCAAACATGCGACAGCGTCATAAAGTGTCACTAGCCGCCCTGGCATTAGCACGACCCTTGGGCTGCCGGATTGCCAGACCCCTGGATTCTATTCGCACGAATATCAAATTGCGGGAGAAGGATGCACGGCCACCTGGCCAAACAAGTTGCCTACCCGACCTCTAGAGTTTGCAGTGATTGAGCGGTCTGTCTGCTGTGCGAAGGGGCGCGCTTGGCAATCTATAGCTGCCGTGTTAGTTGTGCCTTGGTGATTTCCGCCCCTCCCAATCAAACAGCTCGCTACCACGATAGTCACTCGCGTGGAGCAGCACCACGTCTGAAGCATTTCTGTTCATGCAAGCAAGAAATCCAATGAATAGCCGCTATTTCGGGCTGCTCAGGCTCCTGCCAGTCCCAGCAAGCTGGTCTGTCACTGCGACCACGGTCGGAGATTCCAGGGCGACGAGCCGCGTCGCCTGATGGCTGCGGGTGCTGCGCTACAACGCCTGGGCCGTTCGACTCGCGGAGTCCACACACGCCCCTGCAATGGCATTCCTGCCCCTGCGCAGACGCCATCCCCAGGTATTCGCGAGGCGCACCAGGAGAGATCTGGGCGTCGGATCATCGTCTCCAGCAGAGGGCGGCCTGGCTCGAGTTGCTGGTACCTGCATGGCGCGCGTGGCCCAACGCAGGGAGCAATGTATCTGCGACCGCGCAAGTATACTGCGTAGTATCTACAGTATGCCCGCTCGGCTGCTGCTCTGTATCACGCTGCTCGCCGCCGTCCAGGACCCCGAAACCTCCAACATGCCCCCCTGTCGGATTGTCGCTTGACCCTTGTAACTGATCCAATCTTGCTTGCGACGCCTTCCGGGGCAGAATGGCCCCTGGGTGCGCCGTGCTCTGCCATGACCCTTGCCCCCAGATCCATCGGGCGATGCGGGTTCCGCCTCTTTCTCTCTTCGCTCAGTCCACTCTCTCTTCCTAGTTTGTTTCGCCGTACCGACTGTCCTTCCCTTCATTGGCTTTAACGCTCGCTATCCCTTCATTCGTCTTTCTTCCGCGAGTTCTTTTCTCTTTTCAGTAGCCGAGCTAACTCCAAGTCTTGGAATCCGTCCATTCGTTTCATTGCCCACTTGCACCTCCGCGCTCCCTTTCCTTCGCCTACATCGCCCTCGACCACATACATTCCTTACCTGCGAGGTCGACCACTCTCATTTCTTGACAACTTCGACAGACAATCGCTTACTACCCGAGCCGGGAGCCGGTGTTCCATTCTTTCTTTACTCATTCTGATTCAACCGCGAAGCCTCCCATTGTTTCCTGAGTCCTGTCTCGTTTGGTCCCTGGAAAAGGAAGAAGCGAGACCATCGCCGACAAACGCCGCACGATTTGGGCCCAAGAAGACCGCCTTCGTACCACGGATTTACCTCGTCTGAATTCAACTGCTGTCGGCTTGACCGAATTATAGCGCATACGTTCTTGCGTTGAGTGTTGCGACACCGATCACGGACACTCCTTAAGACGCATCCACCTTCACTTCCAGACCAAGGACTACGGCCTGGAACCATCCATTGGAACTCTCTCTACTTACTGCCTTGGATCCGAAAGACCGATACGAATTATTGGAATCCATTCTCTTGAGGCGACGAGCGTTTGGTACTGAGACAGACCGACAAATTCACCAAAAGCACGACCTCGGGAATCGCCACCGAACCATTGACAAGGCATTCTTCGCTACCTATCGCACCGATCAGCGCCTTACCAGCCATTCTGCACAGGCTCGTGACGCGTATCTAGCTCGTGGCAGTGCCGTGACGTCGGGACTCAACCACCCTTTGGAATCCTGAGTCTCAGAGCCTCAGTGGGGCTTGAAAGGGTTGCACGACCACCTCTCCAGCGAGCAATAAAGAGATCCGGTACTTTGCCAAGTTCGGTCCCTGTTTTTTCGATTTCGATTTCACTTTCTATCAGTTTTTGGAAGAGCTCTCTGTGGATCAGGGAGAAGCATCAAGGGGGAAACAAGGGCAACGCGCAATATTGGAGTTGATTCAATCTCCACGGACCCCGCAACAGGCAGAGTCGTTTTGGTGAGTCCGCCTCCACTTACACATCCCTCAACACCATAATTTTTCCCTCATGCACAGTTGGCGACCGACGAGTAAACGGATGTGAACAACGTGGGATGCAGGAGAGAGTGTAACTTGGGGCTATACGCAAGCAAGCCTCTGCCCCTGCGCCGTTCGTGGTCCCCTTCTCAGCCGGTTGCCAAGTCTAAGTGCTCCTTCCACTCGTTGCGAATAACCTCACTCGCGACTGCACAGTTTCAACCCCTCTTATACGACTATAACGTCCATCTTGTGCCCTCTAATCGCCACTTTGCTGCCACTGGTCTCCCAACTTCAACACTAACAAATCGTTAGACAGCCTCGTTGCGTCCCTTCTCTCATACGCACTCTTCTCACTCCCAACCCCTCAAGTTTGGATACACATAACCAACTATGCTCAAATCATTCGTCGCTGTCTCTGCGGGCCTCATCGGCGGCGCCCATGCCTTTTGGCGCATGGAGTGTCCTGGCCGCGTTGGCGTCGCACGAATCGATCCCATCGTCAACCCTGGCGAGATTTCCATGCACGCTCACTCGATCCACGGATCATCAGGTAAGCCCAAGACTTTAAATCCGTTTTTGAAGCGGTACCCAGCGGCGTGCGAATGTTCTGGCTCTTGGTGCTGGGACTGATCACTCTGGATGCGCTTGAATATCGTACGGAGCTGACACCTCATAGCATTCGCCGAAACTGTCACCACTGAAAGCCTTCAGAATGGCGACTGCACCTCGTGCCGAGTCACCGAGGACAAGTCTGCCTACTGGCACCCTTCGCTCTACTTTCAGGACAGCGACACAGGAGAGTTTGAACTTGTCAAACAGGTTGGCGGCATGCTGGCGTAAGTCTCCTCTTTTGCTACTTCTGCGTGTTCCCGTTCAATGTGAACCGAACCCCTTAAACTCATCGATCCACCAAATGTCGATAATATCAAGGTCAATTACATCAAAGCTAACACATCCCAAGTTACTACCTTCTCTATGGCGACAACATCACCGCTTTCCCTGCTAACTTCAGGATGCTGTCGGGAACGAATGACAGACGAACGTACACAGCCGGAGATCCAAGCCAACCTGACCCGGAGAAATCCCTCTGGGAATCGCTTGGCCAAACCGACCAAGACACCCTGGCCCAACGTGCGCTTGGATTCAATTGCCTGAACTACGCCAAAGACCCAGAGGGCACTCTTTATCGCCATTATCTGCCCGACAAGGCTTATCTCGACGCCAACTGCGCGGATGGCATTCGATTCGAGATCATGTTCCCCTCCTGCTGGAAAGGAGGTGACGAGACGGACAGTGATGATCACAAGAGTCACGTCGCCTTCCCTGACTTGGTCATGACGGGAACTTGCCCCGACGACTATCCCGTTCGCATTCCTAGTCTCATGTACGAGGTCATTTGGGACACTGCCTCTTATACCGACCGTAACGGCCAATTCGTCATCGCTAACGGCGATACAACCGGTAAGTTTAGCATTCACTCTTTTTCGGAATTGATACTGACTCGTAGAAGGATACGGATACCACGCTGACTTCATCATGGGATGGGATTCCGATTTCCTCCAGACTGCCGTCGACACTTGCACCAATGCGTCAGGAAGGATTGAGGACTGCCCTGTCTTTAACGTTGTTGATGAAAGCGAGGCCGAGACGTGCGAAATGACCTTGCCCGACGCATTGGCCAAGGAAGATGTTGAAGGACCCATGAGTGAGCTGCCTGGCGGTGTCCAAATCACGTATGAAGATGGAGCTGGTGAGAGTGCAAGTGCGAGTGTGACGGCGCCGACATCAACTGGCTCTATCCCGACCTTGACTTATGCTCCAGGCGAAACACCAAGCAATTCTGCATCGCCTCTTCCTGGTCAGGCTTTCAAGGAGGTTTCCATGGCTGCCGCTGCCGCTGCCGTCACCACCACCACCACCATCATCACTTCTTCTGCTCTGCCTTCCTCCTCATCTTACGATGCTGTTGTTGGCGTTGAGGCAATTCCCACCACGGCAATTCCCACCACAGCAGCGCCTGTCGCAACTACTAGCGAGACTGCTAGCTTCTACAGCACGCAATTTGTCACCAATGGAAACGTCGTCAGCAAGATTCTCTGGGAAGAGGAGGTCGTCTACGTGACGGAGCTGGAGGAGGAGACAGTCGTTGTCACCGTTACTTCGACGGCTGTAGTCGGAGCTCCTACTGCTGCTGCTAGAAGACGGCGTTGGGGTGCTCACATGCACGGTCATGGGCACCGCCATCGTTAAACGCGGCAAAGACAGTAAAACAAAAAACATAAAAATAGCATATACATACGGTTGATTGGTGCTATTTTCGTAGTCTGGACAGGCGCCAGACACGCAAGAGCATCATTTGAAGGGCATTTGCTGCCGCTGGTTTCTTCTTCATATGCGGTGATGAGCACCTTGGCTAGTCTTTGGCATATGTGGACTTAAAGTAGCTGCGCATGTACAGATACCGGAATGATGAATGATAAAAAAAAAACAAAAAAGGGCAACCTGGTGTTGCACATCCCTTTCTCCCTTTGTGATGGAGCACGTGCTTGAGATGTGACATGGACGCCAAATCTTGGCTAAATCGACGCTGAACGCGATTATCCTGCCCTTCTGCTTCATTGTTTTGACCACAAGTCACACGGCATGCGAAAATGATGATATGACCCACGAAGTTCCTTTATTTAATGGAGGCTCATCTTGATTTGACTTGCTGTCGTGCTGCTCTTTGGCGGGAGCTGGAATGGGTTGTGCCTGACAACGCATTCCACCTGATATTGCAGTGAAACTATCGAAATACTCTCAACACTGTTTAGGTGTCAGGTCACGAGTAACTACAGGAACAAAGTGGACAGAATCCCCCGAATCTGTTCCAATGTCTGATTTCATCCTCCCCTCAATCCCCCTAGCCGTTGTACCTGTCGACTTCTATGAGCACGCACTGAGTTGGCTGAGCGCTGATACACTGACGACCTCTTGAACGGTCTGCAGCGGATGATATTATGAGCCTCTTCTTACACTTTCGTAGGGGGACAGAGCCTACGGGGCATACCTTGGGTCTGGGATGGCTGCTTGCCTTCTCTCTGGGCGGTGCTGTGTTGCTCTTCACCTGCATCGGCTTGCTGCTCGCATGGCGCATCAAGTCTCGTCCGGAGAATAACACGACGACGACAACGACGATATACGAGGTTTCCGATGGCCCCAACCCAGGAAAGAAACTGGGATTCACCAAGCGGCTCACCAGGCGCAAGTACGTCATGGCGCAATCGACGAGTCGCCTCTCCCTCACGCTGCCGCCGATCATCCCCCCGCTGCCGTCGTATCAGAACTTTGTTGGAAACAGGAAGCGGTCGCGCAGCTGGGTGGAGGAGGACAAGTTCCATGGGCCCAAGGTTAGCAAGAGCTTGCGCAATAGCTGGTTCAAGCGGGATAGCTGGCTGGGCAAGGCGCCTACTCTTCCGAGTCTGATGCTGGATGATGCTGAGAAAGGCGACTTCGATGATATCCTGGACATCCACGGACAGAAGCGGGAGACCAACTCTCAGCGGCAACAGCAACAAGGGCAGGGCCAAGAACATGGACAGGACCAGCGACGCGGGCAGAGCCAGCAACAGCCGCAGCACCAACAACGGCCCCAGCAGTACCAGCAGTACCAACAGCACCAGCACCAGCCTCAGCCGCCACTGGAGACCAGCCAAACTGCCCCCGAGTTCTATCTCGAGGACCTGGTTGACGACCTGGTTAATCATTCACCAAGCAGGATCCAACTTCCCGTGCTGCCTCCTATGAGAGCATCCATAGCAGACACAGGCCTCCGTGATATTCTACGATCTACGGAAATGCGCCTCAAGGATGGCAAATCACCTGTCAAGACTCCCAACGCATCGCCCACCAAGGGATCGCCTTCCAAGACTCCCCACAGCCAAAAGACGGTCTCCTCCCAGGGATCAATCGGCACGATTGGAACTACCGGAACCGTTCGCATCACCCGCGTGTCTCTCAGCCCTAGCAAGAGGGCAACAATCCAATCCATTCCCTCGAACGCGCACACGCACAGCCGAAACGCCTCCATCAGCTCCATTGGGAGTGCAGCCCATAGCTTGATTGCCGAGGCGACGCATGAACTCGTGCTTCCCGGAGGCCTATCAAGTCCCAGCCGCCTCAGGGGTCAGCAGTGGGAGGCTCAGGGCGAGAAGATCGATCTTGACGTGGAGCCACGGGGCCGTCCAAGGTCCAAGTCATTAGAGAGCGACCAGTCGAGCTCTCTGTCAACCGTGTACAGCGTCGGGGAACACGAGGAGAAGTTGGCCGAGCAGCACAGCCCGCAAAAGAGAGCTTCCTACACTACCCACGACCCTTTCGTTGAAGGCTTCATGTCTGGTGCCACCCGGTTGGCCCCGAAGCCGACGCTGTTCGGCCCTCGATCGTTGAAGAAACATGGTCAAAATATGAGCATGTCATTCACCCCCAACCAAGCCCCCAGACCGGTCCAGTCTCAGCTTCGACAGACCCCGGTGAGCACACAGGCTGTTGGCGGCTCGCCGCTAGTCTCTATCGTGCTTGACCCGCCGACCGAGACTGATCCCCGCGAGTCGGAGTACTTCAAGTCCATCGGCAACAACGCACTTGCGTTGGATTTTCCACTTAGCCCCTCGATCACGAGCATAGTAACCCCGTCTGTGACCACCATGGAAGATTCAGATGACGGCGACACCATCGGGCACACATCTAATAGGAGCGAAAGCCCCAAGCCAGCGCTGCAATTGTCTCTGCCAACCGGAGACAGCAGTGTGACACTTGATGATGCAATCAGCCCGTCCACTATTACCTCGTCACCCTTCGATGAGCAAGACATGATGGCTCTACTGTTGTCGAACCCGGCACCTCGCAGAGTTCTGCCCGAGCCACCAAGGCATATCAGCCATATTGATGAGTCAATTATGCCAACACCCCTCTCCCCACGACCTAGACGTGACTTCTCTGAACAGTTGAGGAAGATGTCCGTTGTTTCGAACGTGAGCTCCCTGTATGACGAGGAAATTATGCCCGACGACCCTTCGGCTGTATCGACGGGATCGCCCAGCCATCGCTCGACGCTCCGATTGACGAAGTCGCCTTCTCTACCTCCCCCGCCACGTTCAGACTCCGTAGTCAACGTGGGATCTGTGGGAAACTCTGTCGCCGAGCTTCGGAGGATGAACAGCATGGTCAGCTCGTACAGCGTGGCGTCAGGAACCTCGTCCGTCTACGGCGACCCCGAGTCCCCGACCCTGCCTGCCCTTCGAGGCGGCGGCTTCTCGCCCTCGCGGTCCAAATCTGGGACGGACAGCATGGGGCGCCAGAACTATTTGAGCCTCGGCTCCGCTGCCAAGACCGACGGAGGTGCTGGACGTCCACTATCCGGTCCAAGTCCACTGTCAGGTCCACGTCCCATGTCTAGTCCACGTCCTTCGTCGCTGCCACGCCCGGTTCCAAAGAGTCGTGGCAGCCGCGGAAATCCGGGAGGAGTGGAGATCCGCGAGGACGACTTCGGAGAGGGAAAGGAGAACCACGGCTTGGACTTCAAGATGCCACGCATCGACGTTTCCATCCCTAATGGGGCACTTCGAGAGGCCCGTCGTAGCAGCAACCAGGGCCGCGAGTCGCTCCTTATGAGCATGTCGAAGCTGGGTACCGTCGTGGAGCACCAGCACGACATGGCAAGAAGCAGCGTCGATAGTTCTGGGATATACGACGAGGAAGGATTTTTAAAGGAATCGCCCGAGAGACTCGATAGGGACAGTAAGGGGCTGTGTCTGCGCATGTGAAGATGATAATGCATGGCCTTTTCGGTGATTTGTGTATTTTCTTTGTCACTTTCTCACCCTCTTTTCGGACGACTCATGTAATTTCTTCTATTCCTTCTCAAACTCACACTCATTATTGTTCATAGGTTTGTATTTTCTCTGTAACTTAGATAAGCTTGGAAGGGCTCGTGAGAACTGACTGATGTGTTTTGGAGCCCCAAAGGATATATACTCGTCAGATTTAATCTTAATATTAGGCATTTAATAGCTTCTGACGACTGTTTTGAATTGGCCCCGATCGGCCTGGTCGTGTCTTTGCTGCGCATCAGCTGTGCCATCCCTTTTGTACCGAAACGCCGATGCTCCTGCAGCTTGATCCTGGTTTTGGTCCGTATCGGATTAATCAACCCGTGTTCGCTTGTTCTCCGGGTCCTCGCTTGCTCCGTCCTCCTTGGCACCATCGCTTTCGACTTCGTCGCGGGCCCGCACTCTGCCAGCACCTTCACCTAGCTCTTCTTCCCCTTCCCCTCCTTGGCCGATCCAGTTGCCATCTTCATCAAAGTATTCGTGGACATTGTCTGCTGTGATCCAACCTCCACTCCCTGGCATGGGTGGAGGCATTCCACCAGTGCTGGAGCCGCGCATAACACCGGTGAAGCCCTCGATAGCCTCGTGCTCAGCGCTGCCCTCGAAGACAATCCGATCGTAGTCATCTTCTTCGTCGTCTTCGCCATTGTTGGGATCGGGGTTCAGGTCAGAGCAGTTAGCCATTGCTTCGTAGAGCTGCTTTGCCGGGCTAGGGTCGGAATCGGCGCTGGGGGGGATGACTGTAAGCTCCACGGTGTTGAAGTCGTCGTCGTCCGAACCACCCTCGGAGAACTCGAGTTGCATCCACACGGCCTGAGTCTGGTTTCCTTGCGCCTGAGTGCCGACTTGTTTCACAGCGTGGATGGAGATCGAGGGGTATGGGATCGAGACGCCGGCCTCAACCTGTGGGCCGAAGATGGTAAAGTTTCTACGAGGAGTTAACACACCGCAAATAATAAATAACAAAGACCATGAGCTTACTCAGAGTTAACAAAGATGTCCACCTTCTGCTCGACCAACTCCTCGGCGTCACCATTAATGCTATCGCCCTCAGGAGCAGTCGGTTTCTGGCTGGAATCGGCAGGGAATACGGCCAGCTTGCCGCATTGCGACTTGGGGATCCAGGCTTTTGCGCCTGCGACGTGGTAATGCAGGACGGGCTTTCCGCCGACAAAGGTCTCCGGGGTCTGGGACTGATAATCCGACAAGGTGGTGAAGTCCGCAACAGCGGGAGGCGTCCGGATTGTGGTTGGCAACATTGTCAGTTGGTTTTCGAGACGAAGGTGGACGTTGTTGATGTCTTGGAGGGGTCGCCCAGGCAGCTGGAGAGAAATTGAGCGTTGCGACGTGGGGCTGGGAGCTTTATCGCTTATCGTGCTATCGTTATCGGGACCTATCCCTTATCGCGCCTCGTTGGCCATGGGATGACGAAACCGAGGCAACTCAGACCAGCAACTTCACACTGACAAGCCAGCACGAGTCTCAACGTCGGAACCCGGGGCAGCTGAATCGCCTCCTCTGTCGAAATACCTGTTGTATATCTTTATGCGACTCCTATCGACATATTGATTTCGCGATTGACCCAAGCACTGCAGCACCGGGACCGATTGAACCGAGATCACCCCGCCATTCGGGATCTAGGCCACAATGCACAACGGTCGTAAGTGCCCTGGAACGTTCGCGAAGGACGACATTTAACGAGTGTGTGCAGGCTCTCACCCCCTGCTGGAGCAGGTTCCCTTGACAGTGTCCCCGTTCGTATCCCTCCCAGCCGCGACGACGCTCTCCTACACCTACAGGAGCATGCCATCGGCCCTCCCCCCTTCAGCTCTAGACATCGCCCCGATTTCAGACGATCCGGCGGGCCAACCGAAGCCCAAGTATGTGATATCAAGCACTGGACATGCTGCGCACCCTGACGATATAATCGCATCCTGCCGCGCGCTACAGGCGCATGTCTCGAAGATGCAGGAGGACGCCGATCGAGAGTTGAGGGAATTGGAGGAGAGGTTTAAGTCGCGGGACCTCGCTGAGAAGAGGAGAGTGGCACCAGGCTGGTTGGATAGCGAATCGCGCTTGCTGGAGCCAGAGAGGAATACTCCGGCGCAATCACAGGGCATTGGCAGTGTGCCAGAGGCGCAACCAGCCCAAAGCGAAAGGAGCGAGCCTACGACCGACGATCAAGGTGCAGCACTTGACCGTGCATTTGGAGGCATGGCATTGAGGTAGGGTGTTTTAACATGCGGTTGACGACCATATCACGAACAGGCGCAGGGGCATTTTCTTTTTGTTCGGAAGCAACCATTATGTCAAGTCAATTAAGAATACATTATACGGACATCGAATGTTATTATCTGTCGCGACCGTTTGTTTTATGGGCATTCATTAGGGATCCCGCTCTACATGAGACCGGCGACGGCGATGAGAGCAACGCCGGCAGCCACGATATTGGAAACGGCGAATCCGGGAGCTCCACCCTCAACAACAGAAGTGGTAGGGGTGCTGGAGGTCTGTTCTGTTGGTTAGAATCATCTTTTCTGTGTGAAAGGGGGATTTAAAGGATACATACCGAGTTGGAGCTAGGGGTGGCCACGACGGAGGGAGTGGTGGCGACAGACTCGACGACGACAGCAGTGGTGGTAACGGCAGCAGTCTCCTCGACAGCAGTGGTCTGAGCAGCCTCGGTCTCCACGACGGCTGTAGTCTGCTCAGCAGCGGCAGTGGTTTCAGCGGCGGCGGTGGTCTCCTCCACTGCGGCGGTAGTTCCAGCAGCAGCAGTGGTCTCCTCAGCAGCAGCAGCGGTGGTTGAAGCACCGGCGGGAGTGGCATCAAGACCGCAGGCCTCGGCAGCAGCAGTGACACCATCGCCATAGTCTGGCCAGAGGTCGTACTCGGTGGCACAGGCAAGACACTCCGCAAGGAGCTCGGTCCACTCAGAGCTGTCACAGTAGCCATCATCCTCGGCGTCGAGGATGGTGTAGCCTGAGTCGATCGTGTTAGTCTCGCTGACCTTTGAACACAATGGATTGCAACTTTATTGCGAACACTCACCACAGCTGGCGTGACACTGGTACTCAGCACCAGTAACCGCACGCTTAGCGATGGAGACAGAGGCCGGGAACTGGAAGCTTCGTCTGGCCTGGGCGTTGGCCAAAGCCGAGGCGCTGGCCAGGGTGGCCAGGGAGCCAAGGGTGAGGACAGAGGCGGTCAACTGCATCTTGAATGAGGCTTAACGAGTGGGAAAGGGTTGAATGAAGGTGGTGTGCTTGAGAGTTGAATAGGGTGATGCGTGAAGCTTCAAATGCGTATGCAGGTACTTCTGAGCTTACTTATACCCTCTGCGCTCGGCATATCGAGCCAAGACGTCCATCGCCAAGGCGCATCGCTAAGAGGATACGCGCGTATATCGGCACACAGACACTGCACATACAGTATAGCGCTCATTTAATCTACGGAGTAGTTGCTCAAATCGGCCGTCGCCAACCAAGCGTTCTAACTTCGGGTCCAATGTGCCAGGAACCCCGGCGACGGTCAGCGTGGGTTGGCCAGGATTGAGTCATGTTTTCAGGGCCCCTGGCTTTCTCTGGCGCTCTAAATCCGAGCTACCGATGTCGGCTTCTGCATGCTCAGAGCCCCGGCTCCGAGTCGAACGATTGAAAGTTGGGGATGGAGAGCCAGGAGGGCCAATCAGCGTTCATAGCAAGATCTGATTAGATTTTGGGTACTATCTTATCTGATCATCTGATAATAACTCAACCCACTCCTCGGGCCCCATCGCAAAGGTTGCAACAACAGCCCCATCTAGTTAGACGCATTGCATGGGCCAGCTTGATTTCTCCACCGATGACCGGTGGTACTGTCCGAGGGTGGGTAGGAGACATTTGTGGGCTGCAACCAAGAATGACACCCGTTATTGCCGTGAAAACTGTCGACCAGTTGAGAGCTCAGTTCTTAGATCGGGATCTCACTTTACGAGGTGCATTAGTATAATAAGGACGCGTAGGCCTGGCGCCACCACCGACAAGAAATACGAGGTAGTTGCTAACCTGAAAATTTGTGTTTCGAATTTCCTGCTACATTTGCAATCTCCGACAGTTTACACCCCTTGCCTACACATTGCTCAGTATGCCTTTTCTCAAGTCAGCGCTTGGTGGCTTGGCTGCAATGGTAGCTTTCGCCTGTGCTGCGACAGACTATGGAACCGAGGAAGAAATGGGCCCGGCTGCCTTCATGTGGCCGGCTGACAGAGTCTGGGCAGCCTCCATGGACAATACCGCTCCTTGTGGTTCTGTTGCAAGCCCCGGAAATAGAAGCGAGTTTCCGATGCGTATGTTATCAAAATCTTCAATATGAAGTTCTTGACTGACAAAGAACAGAGAGTGCACATGTTGCTTTGGTCGTCCAGGACGAGTCTTATACTATCCAGCTGAGCATCTCTTACCTGTCAAGTAGGTCGCCTTTGAATTCATCAGTGTAATGCAGCATCTAACAAGTCTAGATCCCAAACGCAACTCGGACTTCACGGTGCTTATCGACAGCGATGAATTCGAATCCATGAACCCCGGCCATACTTGCGTATCCGTTCCGGACGCTGTCGACTCCGTTAGCGCTGGCGACAAGGCAACCCTCCAGATCAAGTACATTGCAGACTTTGATTCTTCCGAGAACCAGACCTTCTATGCCTGCGCCGACGTCACATACGTGGAGCTCACAAACTTTGACGAGTCTGTCCCATGTTTCAATGCTACCACATCGGACGACGATGATTCTTCTTCGTCGTCCTCGTCGTCGACTTCATCATCGTCTGCGTCGTCTAGCAGCACTGCCAGTTCCGACTCGAGCAAGTCCAGTTCGGGTGGCCTTTCCAAGGGCGCTATTGCTGGCATTGTCGTTGGCTCAGTTGGCGGTGTCTCTCTGGTTGCTCTGGCTGCCCTGCTTATCTACAGACAAAAGAACAAGCGTCTCAATGCACTCAGGCAGCAACATTCGGCTAGAGGAGTAAACTGGACGGAACAGCCCCCCAAGAACTCCCAGTCTTCTACAGGGAGTGTCAGGCTGAATGACATGTCTTAGAGAATTAAGTGGTGGTGCTACGGCTTGGAAGGGGTGTGAGTGGGTGTAGGAATTTCTAATGGTGGTAATGCATTATGCTGGGATGAACATCTTTGACTAAATCACACAATCATCCATCAATCCATGATTGGCACGAGATCATTTAGGGAGCTGGTTGGAAGTCATGATAACAACTTTTGAGCACAAACATGGTGTCCCCATCCTCAGTCTGTCTGTAATTCTGCTTCCTGTGCCGACATAACCGAAAGATGCCAACCTGCTTCCCCAAGTCAACCTATAGCACCCAAAAGTTCACTCCCGGCCGTACTTGAGCCAATCTTCACTACAGTGTTGTGGGTCTGGCTCTCCACCAACAAGGGGGCCAGAATCGATAACCTTAGAACTTACAGCCTAGTCACTCCACCCGGGCGACAGTGGTTCCACCTCGGACACTAGGGTACCTATCTGACAGCTCGGTCTCCGCTGGACGGGTCACGAATACGGACCGACATGGCATGCGTTTGGACTCGATGTGCTGGGACCTGGCGAGGAAGTGCCGGATCAGGTCATGAAGTGGCCCATGTTCCCAGATAGCTTCATCTTCAAAGTGAGGGGGATACGCAATCGCAAAAAAGGGCCGCCTTGGCACGCGTTTGCCTGGCGTTAAATTTTGTAAGTAATTGCTCACTGAGAGCTCATGTTCACCGCTGGCAGCACTTTTGTCATGTACTCGGCCCCAATATTTCGGCCTGAATCGAATCATTTGATCCCGATTTCGGGGTTCGCATTCGGTAGTTCCAATAAGCTGACCCATGTTGGAACGTATTTTCAGCTCCGAAGCTTCAAATTAAGCTATATCCGGCCAAGCTTCCCTGACGTCAAATGGGTGATGTGATGCGACCAGGCTAATGAGGCCGCCTTAACCGTTGGATGACAAACAGATCTAGAAAAACAAAGCTGGGAATTAGCTTCATCAGCTTGCAATTAAAGCAAAAACAAGGCCTGAAGAACACGTAGATTAAATGCGGAACTTTTATCGGAACCGTGAGAGCGCATCTTCATCACACCTCGGCGAGCCCGTGGTCTAGATCACCGCCAGGTCACGTGTCGCACTCGGCTGTACGGAGTGAATGGGAGCTGTAGAATTAAGCTCAGAGCTTCACTAACACAGCTCTCCAGGAATGTAAACATGATCAATTTTGAGGTCTCGATGTCGATCCTCCCGGCTTGTAGTATAACTTTATCTCAAGCTTTCAGCTCTTTATGGCATGGTTTGCATCTGGTGCAGGCGATCCAGGGGCGGGCAAGAAGCGATCCGCGCCATCGCACAAAGGATGCTTTCCGCTTGGTGCTCCCTCGCGTCTCCCTTGAGCGACGTTTTCGGCGACGCTGGGCTCCTGCAATCCCGGCCCTCACCCACGGAACTACCGACGTATGGCCTGTACAACTTTGCCTTGCCTCATCAGGGCAAGCTCCGGTGGGAAGCTGCGTTTGAGCTTGAGCCGATCGCTTCTGTGTGCATCCTTCGGCTCGAGGTCACGATGGTGGTCCATGAGGGACGCGATCCCAAACCGTCGACAGCTGAGGGTAACCTTAAAAATCCAACCTGGATATAAGAACCGGATGTCTCGCATGTAGAAGGTTAGCCTGCACCAAATAAGCATTCCCGACTCTCCTGCGCTCTTCCACATCGGCATCCGGCCACTCATCTGCAACCAATTCACTTGGCAGTTGAGCAGCTGTGTGAAACACCAGCCTTCCACTTTGAAACACACGTCAACACCAAAAACTGCAATCATGTTCAAGGCGACGCTTCTTTTGCTGCTTGCCTCTCAAGGCCTGTGCAATCCGATAGGTGCTTATCGACACCCGCGCATGGGCGGTCGGGATAGTGCGCCTATAATTACGAATTTCTCATGGCAGGAGTTCGCCGCGAACACTGGCGTGGACCCAAAGGCATACATAACCAATCCTGGCAAGGGAATAGAGGAGAATTTTACGTGCACAAAGGTTCGACCACATCACTCCTCCTTTGATGGTCGTTTATTGACACATTCTCTAGCAAACTGGGCCAGACCGACTCGACTGTCCTGGTGCCATTTCCGCCTGGACAGAGCAGACGGAAGACGGTCACTTGAAGATTAAGGCGGGACAGTGCATCGCAGCCACCAAGAATCTCTGCCGAACCGTCGTGTGTGCTCCTCGGGGATCCTTGAATATCCACATCGACCAGATCATCGGGCGGATGTGGAATCCCCTATCGATGAGATGTGTGCTGGGAGGCAGAGGAGGAATCCTTCAAAGCAAAGACTCGGCGTTCATCATTGAGATGGGGACGCCACAGGAATAAAAGTTTGTTTGTGTTAGGCTCAATTAGCCTGGAGTTTGTGGTAAAAAAAGGTCGATATCTTCGGCGGGTCATTTTGGGCATTAGACGGTTTGCCTCGGTCGATGTCATTCCTTAATACGACCGAGTTTCTAGCTTGGCATCACATCTGATCCAAACTACCTTCTTTAATTCATCAATTCTTTTGTCATGAACTTATCCATTTTGGTGACTTGAAAATTACTAAACTCCAAGTAGTGGACTTTAAATGTGATACACGGGTCGCAAGCGGCGAGGCAATGCCAGCCTCAAAATAGCCCTCCGCCATTGAGAATGCTAGCCGCGGCTTTCTTCATGGCCGTGTTGGCGACCAGGAACAGGCTTGGCCCAACGCTGATTCTCGCAACGCCAATCTTGGCCAACTCACCCGTCGTCAACGCATCTGGCGTCGCGGCCAGCTTGACGGCGACTCGGCCGTCCAGCTCCTTGACCAGCGTCTCCACCCACGCCGTACGTATCCCACGCTCGGAACCGCCCCAGTAGAAGACAGTCGTGGCACCAGCATCCAAGTATGCCTTTCCGCGGGTGATGGCCTCCCGGACCATGGATTCGTCGTCAAGCTCCGTGTTGAGGTTGAAGATGTCGCACCGGGCGTTGAGCACAAAGTCGGGGCAGCCAGCATCGGCGGCAGCTTGGAGGGCCGTCTTGTAGCGCCGGACTTGCTCATCGATGCTGTACATGGTGGCAGTGGATGGAATGCTGTCCTCAATGTTGGCTCCAACTACGCCAAGTTTGACGGCTTGTGCCACAGAAGTGGATATCTGGTCGCCATAACCGTCTTGTAAGTCGGCGGTCAAGGGCAGGCCGGCGGCTTTGCACAACGGAGCAAGCTTGGCGATTGCCTCGAAGTTTTGTTCCATTGTGAGATCCTCATCCTTGAGGCCAAGAGCGGCAGCAACGGCCCATGATGCTGAGGCAATGGCCTTTACAGGTTTGGAGTCGCCATCATTGAGAGAGACGACAGCGTTGAAGGATGGAATGTCCCACACGTTCGGGAAAACGATAGGTGAGGAAGGGACATGCAGCGCCTTGAGTTGTTTGGCAGATTCATTAGTCATGACTGCTAACTTTCTTTGTGAATTGGATCAGGGGGTGTTTGTGAACCGAAGATATTCGGAATGCTCTCAAAGTCACTCTTATACTGCAAGAGGGAAACAGTTGTTGACTCAGACCGAAGCTGATGAGCCCGTCAACGAAAGGGCGCGGTAATGAGCGGGGCAATTCGAGGCCGAGAAGCGGACGGCTTGGCCCGGCGTTAGCCACTGAATAAGTTACAAGCTACGATCGTAGCGTTACTTCATTAGGTAGTGGTCGAAATTCAATCTGTGTGATTCCGGGCGGCTTTCCTAGTTCCGAGGAATGGTTGACCGCACACACTTGTGCTGGATGACGTTATTGGGCGGGAGTTGGCACGATTGCCGGACTAGGTCAATAGCTCTGTGGGGGGAAGGGTTTGCTGTTTGCTGTCAGCTGCAAGCCTCAAAAGAAAGTATTTTGCGCCTTAGTCGGACTTGGAACTAAAAGTGAATTTTCATACCCGAGGCTAAAACTGGGCGTTTGCTTGTTACCGTTGTGCCCCGCGAGTAAGATGACGTTCCAGATGCGAAAGGCCGTCCCGGCCGACATCCCGGCCCTGTGCGCCGTCTACTTCTCAGCGTTTTCAGACACGATAGTCGGGCGACAAGTCTTTCCGCCCGGTTCCGAAGCCGCGCACGTCTTTTGGGTCACCAGCCTGACGAAAGATCTCCCAGATCCCAATTTCGAGTTTCTCGTCATGACCACCCGCTCCGAGGGCGATGGCGAGGACCAAGTTGTCGGCTACGCGAAATGGGTCCGGCCTGGCACTCCCATCGAGATGCCCCCGCCGGCCGACGCCTGGCCGCAGGACGGCAACCCGGCGCTGGCCGTCGAATTCTTTGGGAAATTGACGGCGACGCACAAGCACATGATGGACGACCGGCCGCACTGGTACCTGTCGCTGATTGGGGTGCGCAAGGAGTGGATGGGAAAGGGGGCCGCGAGCCCGTTGATGCGATGGGGCGTGGAACGAGCCGACGAGGACGGGCTGCCGTGTTTCTTGGAGGCGACACCCAACGCCAAGGGCATGTACGAGAAGTATGGGTTCCGCGTGGTGGGCCAGCAGGAGTTTGAGTCGCCGAGCGGGAGAGTGTTGGATTTCTACATGCTCCGTGATGCAACGACGAGTGGGAATTGAAGAGGGAGCCAACGGCTTGGCAAATAGATCTTGTCACGCCTGCAGGAGTTGGAGTTGATGTGAATAGGATCGCACCGGACGAGATATATAGCCCTCATAGATCGACGATAGACAACCGGATTGCGACCATCCACAACACCCGCACCGCAACACAGACCGTCTCGCTATCCACTCCAGAACAGCCATCCGCAATGTGCAAGTGCGAGTTTAACCAATACGCCTGCGGGCACGAGGACAAGCGAGAATACATCAATTGCAAGACGGGACAGCCGATGGCGGACAGTCGGGACAGCTGCGGCTCAGTTCACTTCACACCGAAATACACCAAGGGGCCATGTACGACCGCCGGGTGCGACTACCACGAAGTCAACGAGAAGCCGTGGAAGTGCTGCCAGTGCAAGAAGGGGCCGAACGAGGAGCCCACTTGCGATAACGATACGAAGCCGTTCAGGTGGGACTTCTATGATTGCGGACACAGGCGGTGCTCGGCTTGTGAGGTGTGGGAGGATAAAAAGGACAAAAAGGGCAAGGGGAAAGTGACTGGCGGCGGTGGGAGTGGAAGTGGGAGTGGGAGTGGAGGAGCAATTAGTAAAGATGCTCTTCAGAAGAATCTCAAGCTGACTACGTCGGGAATTTCTAAGGGTTCCTCGATTGGAATGTAGTTAGTTACTTGAGCGCAGTCTGTTCATTGAACAGAGCTCTTTGGGTGGCGACTCGCTTCCCGGAGTGAACAAACCCGAGCCTCGGCTGGGTTAGGGGAGAGATTATAAGGTAGAGGGGCCACTCGGCCGAGAAATCGACTTTGAAAACTTGCCGGGGAGGGAGTCATCGTGGCGTGTGATGGGGAGATGGCTGCGAGATGGTGGCGTAAGTTATCCGACATCCGATCAGCTCTGGAGAGTAAATCAGTGACGATCGACTACTATTCTCGTCATCGTTTTGTGCCTCGGTGCCCCGGCCTGCGCCCCATCGTCACCCATGGGGGAGATCCATTCCCGTTGGAGTTTTCATCGTTAGCGGCAGCGATGACGTTTAGTTTTGGAACTTTTTTTTCTTGTGTGGTAATCGTGCACAAGACCAAGACCTCGATGCACTCGCAAATGGATCACCTCGGTCTCCAATTCGGGCCTAGACTCGCGAGAGACGCCTGCAGGATGGAAGAATCTGCTGGAGACCGGGCGATAGTGTGCGTCGGGACGATGGAAAGGTCGCGTGACTTGTTCCCTCTCGTTTGCGGTCTTGTTTTTATTCGTTTTTAGTGTGGTTGTTGTTTTGTTCACTCTCTTCTTTTGCTTCCTCGTCGATACCCTCACGTCGATCAAACTTGTGGACGAACGGCTATTAGTGCAATCAGAGCTCCCAAAGTGCTTGCATGTGAAAGCCAACTAGGCAAAAACACACGGACAGCCTACAGGCAGAAAATCAACCAAGCCGTGACAAGGGTAAAAAGGGGATCAGCCAAGGAGTCTGGACCACGTACGTCACCAGAATCTGACACCGAAACCGAGCAAAAAAAGCCACTGCACAGCGCAGCGCATTGCATCGTATTCGCGGCGTCCAGCACAGCCCATACTTTCACCCCTGGATTCATTCATTCATCATCACTTTCGCGTCACCTTCATTTCAGCCAAACCTCAACCTCAACCTCGCCCTCTCCTTATCCCGTCACTGCCATTTCGATTTTCAGCAGCTTCGATTCTTGCTTTGTGTTCCCTAACACTTCCGGACGTTCCTTTTTCGATACCAATTTGCGACTCACGATTTACGACCTGCGATAAGCGACCATCGAGCAACGAGCAACCAGCGAAACCACGACTTGGCCGCCCGCCTTCGTCCATCCGCTGCGATTGATTTAACCTCGCCACCGTCATCTTCACGACGACAAACTGCCATGCCCGCCATGGAACAATCCACCACCACCAAGCTGGCCTCGTACCTGTCAAGGTTGAGCCCTGTCCCAGCCTTCCCAGAGTACACCGGCCCCTACAAAGTCGGCACTGTCGACATCGAGATTCCCGTCTCCGAGCTGGAGTCGCCTGCACCTGTTCCTGAGGGCGCCAGCGACATCAACACCGTCCAATTCCGAATGTTCTACCCAGCCGTCTCTGCTTCGAGCGAGAAGCGGATCGGCTGGCTGCCCACCCCCCAGCGACAGCATCTCTCTGCCTACACCAAGTTCCTTGGGATTGGTCCCATGCTGGCAGAGTTCCTCTCGTAAGTCTCGCCCATAATCAGCCCATTATCTCAATACCATTCAGAATCAATACGACGGATGCATTTGCTGACCGCTTCGACCTCCAGATTCCTCCCCCGACACCTCCACTATACCACCATCCCCGTCCACAAAAATGCCACCCTGAGCGAGCCCACCGAGTCCCAGCGATGGCCAACCATGATCTTCTCCCACGGCCTAGGCGGAGGCCGAAACTCGTACTCGTATATTGCAGGCTCTCTGGCCTCCCACGGTATCGTCGTCCTCTGCCCGGAGCACCGTGATGGAAGTGCTGTCGCAACCTTTATACGCCAACCCGGTACCTCTACTGGACGCCGCCAGATCCCCTACCAGAAGGTCTCTCATGATGTCAGCCCCGAGGTGTACGACGCCCGCGAGGCCCAATTGAGGATTCGATGCTGGGAGATGGCCTTGATCCACCAAGCAATCCTGGCCGTCGACCGTGGCTCGAAGTACACCAACCTGAACCGCTCCACTCCAAGCCTCGCCCCGTTCGTTGGGAAGCTCAATGTCCACGACCCTGGTAGCATCATCTTTGCCGGCCACAGCTTTGGCGCTGCCACAATGGCGCAATTCCTCAAGAGCACCTACTACGCCAGCGACCCGAAGGTTGCAGCCATGGAGAACCCGCTGTTCACCCCCGCCGAAGGTTCCGAGATCCGACAGCAGATCACCGAAAAGACCATCACCATGTTGCTCGACATGTGGTGCATGCCTTTGATGGCCCCCAACTCGGCGCCGTTGTTCAACCTCCCCCTGCCTGTCTATGCCGACGTCCCCACGGCTCCTGGTGGCAAGGCTATTCTGGCCGTTGAATCTGAGTCCTTCTTCAAGTGGAAGGAACATCTTAATGTCAAGGCCCGGCTCTTGTCCCCCGATCCCACTGCTAAGACCGTCACGCCTGATTTGTACGAACGCCCCAGCGGAATGAAGCTCCCGGAACCCAACTTCTTCTACGTTATGAACTCGGCCCATCTGAACCAGTCTGACTTTGGAATCCTCTTCCCCTGGCTGACGAAGAAGATCTTTGATGCCGAGCAACCCGAGCGGGCACTGCGCCTTAACCTCCGAGCACAGCTACAGCTTCTGCGAGCCAACGACATTCCCGTCGCTCGCACCTACGTCGGAGACTTGGTAGACGGCACCCAGTTCGACAAACTTGACGTCAAGAAACAGAGTGGACCCAAGTGCCACGACGGCACCAACGACGACCAGGCCATTTTCGACAGGAGCAGAAGCGACTTTGTCAACCACTGGCGATGGATTGACCTAGTGGGCATGGGCGACTCCGGCGAGAAGGAGTCGGGCAAGACCGTTGAGGAGCAGGTCGAAGAGACCGAGCAAGATATGAAGGGCTCGCTTGATCCTAGCGAGGAGATGGCTGTTCCCGTGACCCAGACTGCCAACGCAGTTGCGGCCTAAGAGTGTTTTGATGGATGCGAGAAGACGAATTTCATGACGAGCGACCTCTTTTTGTACACTTTGTTTGTTTACCGCTTCGGTGGCTCTTTTCCCTTGTTATGAGATACCTCTTGGCGTTGGCATAGATACGGTTGTGAGTGCGGAGGATGGACAAGCTCCCCCACACTGGAAACATAAAAGATTGGGGGTTGAATGGTTTTGCTGGTGGCTGTCACAAAAGATCTGATAATAGACGCGCAGTTCATCCATGCCAACCCGACTTCATTACTATGCTGTCCTCTCTTCGCCACTTCATCCTGCCTCCCCACACCCCGAGAAGTTCCTCCACAAGCCGTCAAGCCCATTACTGCATCCCCAACGAAGCCGCCAATCTTGAGAACGAGGGTGACACCGGTGCCATCATCGCCCAGCATGGCCATGCATGCCCATCTAGCCCAGATGCGTCCATTCCCGTACGGCATCTTTATTCCATGCCACCGACAATACTTCCCCATGTCCATTCCACCCACATTCATTCCACCCACGTCCATCCCCATCTCTATGCGTATATGCGTGTACTCTCAGGTTTTTGTCGATAACGAAGCTGGAATGATATCCCAGACGGATATGGGGACACAGTATTGGTTTCATTAGCCACAGCTCAGGCGGCAGGGTTTCCCTGACGGTTCAGAGTGCGGATTCTCGAGACCGGTCGTGCGAAGTTGAAATCGAATGCTCATGTTGGCTTCACCTCAGAGAGGCTACTAGACTCAGCAACCACGGTAAGATGATTATTGATTTCCTGGGTGTTGGTGTGGGGATCGACGAGCATATCGGTAATAAAGTCGGCATCCACATCGGACTCGTGCTCGACCGGCAAGCTACCTCCTGCGTCGTCCGATTCGTCATCACTGGAGGTGACGATTCGCTTGCTCAACTGCCCTCTGCGCGCCTTATTACTGCCTGGTTGATTCCCTGTTACACCCCTCTTTCGCTTGGATTTACAGCGAACAACGGAGGTATCACTGTCGTCGCCCTCATCCGTATTGTCTTCTTGCGGAGGAGTGGAGAACTGGGCCACAATTTGGCTGGACAGCGATCGAATATGGGAGCGTATGCTAGTCGGGCCAAGTTGGCACTGTGGCCGAGATAGGCATGTTGAATAGAGATCCCGTTTCCCTTGTCCCCGTCCGCGCCCTCGATCCATCAAATTTTTATCCTCCGCGCCCTCACCTCGCCTCTTTTCTTCCTGTCTTCTTCCTGTCTTCATCCTCTCTTCTCCCGGTTTTCGCCCACGATGCCCTGTCCCGCGCTGCCACCCGCAAGTCCAAGGACAAGGCCAAGGCCAAGCGCTTCTCTCGCACTACCGTCTTCTCCGCCGGCTTCTCCGCCGGAGATAAAATAGAGAATGTGAATGATGATGAAGAGTTATGATGATGATAATAAAGAGTTATGATGATGAGAATAAAGAGTTATGATGATGTAGCGATAGTCGAGAACGAGCGGGTGAGAGGAGAAGAAGAACAAAGATTGACGGCGAGACGAGGAGGGGGATAATAACACGTATTCTGTGCTCTTTCCAAGTGTTAAGTCTTGCTTGGTATTGCCTTAGAAACGATGTATTCCTAATCGATGGAAAGGTCTTGCCCTCCTATTTCCCGAAAGTATATAAAAAAAGCATGGCTCTGGGATTGGGTAACATCTCATTAAATGCGATCACCTGGTCAACTAACTTTCTTACCAACGGATGAAGTAGCATGGATGGACTGGTGATACTAAATACCAACTCTTTTATCCTAATCGCCCTTGGCGATGTTGCACGTTGAGGGTTGACGTACGAGTACTGCGGGTCTATTATCGGATCTTTTGTGACAGCCACCAGCAAAACCATCCAACCCACAATCTTTTATGTTTCCAGTGTGGGAGAGCTTGCGCCGAGAGTATCCCAAGTACAAGAAAAAGAGCTGCCCAAGCGGTACATAGGCAAAGTGTATAAGCGAAGCCCGCTCGCCTTGAAATTCCACAAGGTGGACGGTAAAGCATGCTTGGGTGAACGTCGGTCAAGCGACATGACCTTGAGGGCTTGGAGGTCCATGAAACGACGTGACCTTGAGGGCTTGGGGGAAATATATAAGGCACTCATCGTTTGCCAAACAAAGTGGTAGTTCTCAGACATCAACATTCAAGAATACAGCAAGCGACTGTATACTTCTCAAACAAGGATAACTATCATGGACATCTTCGGAACTATGGTACCCCGCCGACTCCTGGCCATGATCAAATCAACAATACGACAACCACCTGGAAAGGTGCAGAACCAGGATTGCACCATACTCCAGTTGCCAGTTGAGGTGCTCCTTCTCATTCTGGAAAGCCTCCCTTTGTCCAGTCAAGTTAGCGTCTCTCAAACCTGCCGCCCACTGCGGACTATTTTGTCGCACCTGCGCAACTCGGCGTCGTACCTCCCGCGCGGCGAGTTCCTGGAGTTTCTTTCCTGCCTCGCTCGCAACATGCCTGAGAAGTGGGTGTGTGACGTGTGCCTCAAACTTCACCCTGTGCGCGTGCAGGACACTTGGAAGAATCCATACCGCAGCTCTTGTCCTCGATACCATGTGTACCAGAAGACATACAGATTGGAACACTTCAGCCTTGACAACCGCCATGTTCAACTCGCCCTCAAGTATACACGCATGGACAACATTAGCCAAAAGCATCAGCGGTACCTGAAGACACTGCTGGCTCCGCACCACGGAACCTTCGTCGCCGATTCGCTTAAGGACACACCACTTCAGCGTCGGCACTCGGTCTATCCCAAGATTGTCAATGGGAGGTATCTGGTGCTATCAGTTTGGCGCTACGATATGGATCGCCAGAAGGTGTCACGACCAAGAATGGGTTCCCTACGGGTATGCGGGCATCAGATATTCAACGACTGGGACGATGTCTTGAGAGAAATGGCCGGGTACCGAGTTCAGGATAACCCTAAAAAGGTGCTATGGACCGCTGTTGGCACAGCTTTCCAAGCAGAGGGTGCCGAGGTGCGCAAGTCTTGTCCTTACTGCCTGACCGACTTCTCCGTACAAGCATGTCCCGAACGCGCCACGGTGCGTATGTGGCAGGATCTAGGGCCTGAAGGGTCCCCATTGAACACAGAGTGGACGGAAAACAACATCTCCGTGCCTTTGAAGGAAAAAGAATTTAAGATTATCAATGACAAGATTCCCGGAGACATTCGCAGACTCTACGAGTTGGAGTGAGAGAAGAGGATGGGCATACGTTGTTTTCGAACTTGAAGAATGATTCGGCGGTTGCTAGCTGTAGTCGAAGCCAGTTATAAACGAATTTGAGGGTGAATCCTTGAGCGCAAATTTTCCATTAGCGCATAACGGCGAGCAAGATAAGAATTGAGGTATAGTTCAGGAAGCAGAGAAGATAGAGTAAGATCATGCGGTCCTCTCCAGGATACTGTCTTTTGGGACAACCGCTAGCTGATCAAATAAAAACATCGAACTCAGAATTTCTGGTGCTCCGTATAATATTGGACACTTTCGGAACGGGCCTCATCAAGTTGATGAGTTTGTTGTCCATAAGCGCTGGGCTGCGGCGGTCCGCATAGTGGCGCAGCAGGCAGACACGAGAACGCCTAGGCGGCAAAGCGCCGACCACAGCACTAGTGCCCTGAAACAAGAATCTCCCCCTTGCCGAGTGACTCCTCTGGCTCTGATCTGATTGAGCTGTGGCGTTTGCCCAGTCTAGAGCATTGGATGCGAGCCCCAGACGGGACGGTGGAGATGATGCCTGCGCCCTACTTACGGGCACTAAAAGCCCTAAAGGCCCTACGGCGGGGGATCTTTCCGGGGGGTGGCTGCGCTGACCAGGGATCTGGCTGGAGCAGGCGGCCTCATTCGAACCGAAAACAACGAGCCACATATCAGCTTTGCGAGGATGGGCTTGGGGGCGACGGAAATGGATCAGTGTGAGGGATCTTTGCTCATAAAAAACACATGTCCCAAAAGATTCTCTCCTCACTATTTCACGCCGCTTTAGTCAGGCACGGCTCGGTCCCACTAACTTTGACAGACCCCAACGAGCTGGGTCGCCTCGAGGTTGAAGGCCGGGTGCAGGAGGATGTCAAGGATACGATGCACGATCTCGAGCAGATATTGCAACACGCTCAACGGGGGATTAATATAACACCCATCGAAAACCACAACGTAGAGTAATGTATGGTTGCAAAATGTTTGGTTTCAAAGTCGAAATGCCATTCTTGTTATTAGCAAAAGAACCCTGTATATATGGGGAGAAGGTTAGCATGGCCTTATGGACTTCGAAACACTGGCATGCTCAATCCCAGCATATTGATCAATATACAAGTGGGCGCGCAAAAGTTCCAGCAATATGCCTGATTTGCAATAAAAGGGTTAGCTTTAAAAATAATAACAAGAGCTTACCTAATAAGAGGATTGATAAATTATAAATAAAAATAATGAAATAAAATAAAATAAAAATCTTATTATTTATAAAATTCGAATTTTAGTAATATTTTTTATATATATTAATATCTCAAATTAACTGCCATTAGCAATTTAAATGTTGTCGGAACTTTTGCATAACTGCACATACAGTACGCACAAGAGGCAAACAAAGCTACATACCTAGGTATGACTACCTTATGGCAGCACCCAATGATTCCCGCTTACCAGCTGCACCGCCCCGACAAGGATTAGAGGCCGCCTGCACCAGGTACAACCGCCACGCCTGTAGCCACCCACTCTAGCTCCGCCAACTCACCTCACTCCTTGTCAGCTTAAAGCAGCATGGGATTTAGAAAGTGCATAGTCGCCTTGTACCAGACAAGTTGTGGCTGATTTCATGTGGGTTGGACCAATGACCGTCAAGAACGGTGTGGATTAGCGCTGCTGCCTGTAGGCAGTCGGTCTGCCTGGTGTTTGGTGTTGGCAACGAGGGCGTGCATGTGGCAATCTCACAACGGCACATTCCCTGTATAAAGAGGGCTGTTGCAGCCTTCAGTCAGCCTCATCCGAACCATCTCATCTCCTCTTCATCATCTTTCTATCTCGCCTTCGCATCCCCCGTTGCTCTCCACCTCCTCCTCATCCCTCAACACTCGTCTTTCTTTCCCAACTGCAACACAAGAAGAGCAAGGAATCATGGGTGGCTCAGACACAATGGAGTCCGTTCAGAGCCGCGACGACGATAATTCCTCCATCGTCATTGTGACTCCTGCAGAGCCCGTCGAGGTTGAGACTAAGGGCAAGACTGTTAAGGAGACTAAGCCTGAGGTTACTGAGGAGACTAAGCCTGAGGTTACTGAGGAGACTAAGCCTGAGGTTACTGAGGAGACTAAGCCTGAGGTTACTGAGGAGACTAAGCCTGAGGTTACTGAGGGTAAGCATAACGAAGTAGTCCAACCTGACACTACTGCACCAGGTGCTAACGCATCCAAAGCCAAGAGCGGCGAGGACGTGGAAATGAAGGACGGGGAAGAGAAGAAGGAAGACGAGGAGAAGAAAGAAGACGACGACAAGAAAGATGACGAGGAAGAGAAGAAAGAAAAGATCATCGTTGGTCTCGTCACCGACAGCAAGGACTTGTACGCAAAGTACGACAATAATGGCGACCGATCATGGACCGACAAGTACCCCGACGACCTCGAAGAGGCCGCGGAGAACGAGGAGACCCAGAAGTATGCTGTCATCATCCGAAAGAGTAAGTGACACCAGAGCCTGAGCATCGCGAACCGTCACTGACTCTCCCCACAGTGAAGCCCAAGGAGGCCGACTCCACCAAGCCCCTCATCATCGACAGCATCATCATCCAGTCGCCCTATCTCAAGCGCGTCCTGGGCAAGGTCTTCGAGGGATACCCTGGCGTCGTCACCGAGGTCTCGCGGCTCAAGTTCCACGCGCCCTTCGAGTGCTTCGTCCACCGCTGGGACCGCTTCGCCGCCGCCAAGGATGACGCCGCCCACGACGACCTCACCCGCGAGCACATTGGGCTTCTCTACACAATCATGAAGGAGGAGCTGGGTGATATCATCCAGCTGCGCGAGGACTACTTCAAGAACCGCGCCGTCGCATTCGAGCACGTCTGGACCCTCTTCCCCCCCGGCTGCACCGTCTGGGGATCCGCCAAGGGCAAGCCTGTAGCGGTCAAGTTCACCTCCGGATCCTACGCCAAGACCCAGTGCGGCAACGTGTACGTCTTGCAGTGCAAGGTCATCGACTGGGACGGCACGATCATGGGCTGGACCAACCTGAACCAGCAGATTGGCGAGTTCTCCGGCACAGTCCCCTTCGCTGAGTTGAACTGCTACCCCCTCGAGTACCATCCTCGCCTGGACATGGCCAAGGCTGTCCTTGCTGAGCGCGGCCGCCGATTTGAGGAGCTTGCCGGATATTGCTACAAGTTCTACAAGGGCACTGCCGTTTGGCACGTCGATCCTCGCCGGTCCCGAAAGGAGAATGTCCAGTCCCGCATCGTCATCGATGGCGTGAACTGGGAGAAGGAGAACCCGGATCACGTTGTGTGGCTTGAAAACATTCACGCACAAGTTGAGTTCTCTGGCCCCGGGGGCCGTGTCGGTAACGACAATGACAGCGATTCCGGAAGCGACTGGAATTCCAACGCCCTTGACGAGGATGATGTTGAGGGCTTGGATAAGCGTCCTCCTCTGACCGAAGAGCAGCTCATCATGACCTACCCCATCGTGCGAGGCTACTCGCTGAAAAACAAGCGATGGATGGAATTCTTCATCGACGATGTCTCCGAGGTCAACTTCAACGACCAGGCCTTCAACTCTCTCGTGCTCCCCGAGGACCAGAAGGAACTCATCCTTGCTTTCGCGCAGAGCCAGGTCAAGTACAAGGATGCATTCGACGACATCATCTCGGGCAAGGGCAAGGGAATCATCATGCTCCTGTCTGGCGGACCCGGTATCGGCAAGACTCTGACTGCGGAGTCGGTGGCCGAGGAGATGAAGGTGCCCCTCTACATCATGAGCGCCGGCGACCTTGGAACCGAGGCATACGAGGTCGAGAATAACCTGGGCCGTATCCTCGAGATGGTGGCCAACTGGAACGCTGTCCTCCTGCTCGACGAGTGTGATGTCTTCCTCGAGGCCCGCTGCGCCAACGACATCGCCCGCAACCGCATCGTCTCCATCTTCCTGCGCACCCTCGAGTACTACGAGGGAATCCTTTTCCTCACCACCAACCGCGTCAAGAACATGGATCCCGCCTTCCAGAGCCGCATCCACATGTCGCTCGAGTACCCCTCGCTCGACGCCGCTGCCCGCGAGGCCATCTGGCGCGGGTTCCTGGGCCGCACCGTCAACCTCGACGCCAAGGTCGAGGGCGAGGCAGCGCACGCCATCTCAGACGCCGAGATCAAGGATCTAGCTAGGCTTGAGCTTAACGGTCGCCAGATCAAGAACACGCTCAAGACCTCCAACTTGCTGGCCTGCCACAAGGGCGAGAAGTTGGCGTTTAAGCATCTGCGGATTGTGCTGAAGGTAGAGGGCCACTCTTTGTAGTTGTAGGACCCAGCACGCTTGATGGTTTTTTGTTTTTTTGAGCGATTATGATTCTCATGATGAATATTACGGTAGCGATGGAGGATTTGGGGGCTTAGGATTTGGCGGTTTAGGATGAATGGCTCAGGATGAATGGCTTAGGATGAATAGTTATGGGAGACTAGCTGTACCTTAGGTATAAATAACAAGAACCAAGAATTTTACATAAAGCCGTCAAAGAAGGACTATTGTGTACTTGCTCAGTTCATTCCGTGCGTTCCAGACCTCAAGGCATCCGGAATCTATCCACTGCTGGGCTTTTCACCTCGGGCAAGGAACAGCTGTTGCTCTCCACCAATTTCCTCGGGCATCTTACACCTGCTCGATGTCCACTTCCAGCCCCAGCCTTCAAGGCCAGCCTTTTCGTAGGCATCTTTGACATCCTGCTCCTTAAACCCAAGGCGAGTGATGGTGTGACCCGACATTTGATGCACTTTGTCTGCCAGAGGACACCCGCTCTCCTTGGGTGCAACCCAATCAACAATCACTAGAGCTCCTCCTTCGGCGAGTCGCTCGGAAAGTCTCTGGATCATCACTGTGTAGTCTTCCACATGGTGAAGTGCCATGCACATCACAATGACGTCGAAGCCGAAGAACTCGGGCGAGTTGAGCTCAGGCGATGGAGTCGCGTCAGGTTTAAGGAGGTCACCGGGGATTGCGCGCCTCTTCTCTGGAGAAACCCCTTCCTCTTGAGCTTTTTTGTTGTATTGATCTACCATTCCAGACGAAATGTCCATACCGCGGATTGAGTCGACGAATGGAGCCAAGGCCTGTACATGTTAACGACGGGGATCGCCATTCTAAATGAACGAAACTTACACGAGAGGCAAGGCCATTTCCGCATGCGTAGTCGAGCATTTTAATCGTCTGAGAATTCCCATCTGATTCTGAACGCTTGATACCGATCCATTCAGTATTCTGGCTGAGGTTTGCGACAATCTGATTCGACATTTCGACGATCCAGGGAATCGTAAAAACATCCGCAGCGACCTTGCTGGTGCTTGTTAGCAATAAAGGACACCCGCCATAATCACGTACTTGGTACTTACTCGAAATGTTCCTTATTTTGTTCTCCCAAGGACTTCCCTGCACCATGATGGTGATGATGGTGGTGCTCCTCCATGGTGGGATTATGCGTTGCAAAGGTCAGGCTTACACCGTCTGATAGCAGATGTAGATCGGTCGGGTACTATTGAAGGTTCTTGTGCAAAGTAAATTGCAATGATAAAGTTCCTTAATTTGAAGGAAATGAAGACCGAAGCGGCCTCTATATATCCATCTACACCGAAAGTCACCGGAAAGTATCCGGCCACCAGTTTGTTTCCGCCCGTTTAGTATCCGGACTCCAATTGCGGACCACAAGGGTGCATAAACGGCAAGCATGTCAGGCCGCAAGCGTACATGGAATAGTGAACCATTTCAGGTGGTCGCATCAATACAGCCAGGCAGCAACGCGGCCAAGCCTTGAACATATGCCATCAGGGTTGGGACTCATTCATCATCGTCCGGTGACGGAAACAGCCAAGTATGTAGAGGTCGTGACCACGCCAAGTAATGATACTACCCCGGTTCGAAATTTAGGCTGAATATGTAAATTACAAGAAATTCATAGAAAATAGGGTATACCAGCTAAGGCACTGCTTCGGATTCCGGTTGCAGAGCCTTTTTAACGGCCTTGGGCAGCAATCATTACCTACAAGGCCAAACGTGTGCCGCCTTGCACGCATTAAAGCCAGAATCATTATAATACATGCGAACACAGAAGAGCCTCATAGTTTCAATCCATATAAGTAAACGATACACCTTAAAAGAATATTGAAAGACAAGTCTTGTATCACATAGGAAATAACCTCGTAGGTGTAGTAATTGCCGACCCAGTCGGCACGTAAGCTTCTTCTTCCGAAACATATCGCTTTGCCTCAACTCCTTCAATCCAACCTCCGAAAATTAGAACATCGACGATCAATATATAGCCGAAACGTTCAAGCTAAAGAGATGTTTGCCCTTACATCTAAACACGCCATCTGAAACTATTTCAAGCCTCTTATTCCAATCATATATTCAGCCCATAAACTCAACCCCTTCCCATTCACTCTGACGTGTGCACTTCCTTTCACCCAGCAAGTTCAGCCCTTTCACGAAAACTCAGGTTGCGCTGGGGTTCCTTTGTCCGTTGAGCCACACGGTGATCCTCGCAGAGATTCCCACCCACACCAAGCGCCCTTGCCGTGCATCCATTGTAGACGCAAATGTGATTTTGGCAAAATTTGGAGAGTTGTCTTGGAAACCTTGGGGTATAAGTGTCCATGAGACAATTCACGTCTCTCGCTCTGCAGGTGTGTTTGCTGCAGAACTCGCCCTTGCGTCCACTAGGAGTGACAACTACCCTTTTCATGCAGGTACCAGAACTACAAACGTCTCTAGGGCTCTGAATTGGCGGGCAGGTAAACTTTTCATCGCGGCTTGAAGGCAAACTTTGAGAGTTCTGGCGCAAGCGCTGTCGGTTGGATTTCGTCGGATTGGAGCGGTTATCAAAGCTAGCAACAAGCTGGGAGATTGCGTCGATGGGCCGGACGTCCTCTTGCTTCCTAGAATCAGCCTCAGGCATGACGGCGGAGCATTCGCGACAATACACCCCTTCCATAGGGAAATCTCTGAACAGGGTGTGATGAAGCTCGTTGATATCAAGGTCGTCAATGTGACAAAACAGATTGCCCCCAACACAATTCAATGGATTGGGGCATTTCATAACTGCATCCACCTTTTGATCATGCTGGCATTCAAAGGTTACCCTCAAAAGCATGCACATTTTCGAGTTTTGATCCCTGTCGTGGTAGTCGAGTTTGAACTTTAGAGGCTCACCGTGTTTGAACGTTGCCGCGTTGAAATATGCGCGGTCGTGAGACTTCCGGAGCTGTTGAATTCATCGTCTTTAAGTACATATGTAGGTATTGATTGAAAGGTTTGAGTTTACTTGCCCTTGACCTTATGTTCATTCTTGTGGTTTCAATAACATGATGCTCTCTGTAGATCTTCGACGAACAAATCCGTAATGTTCTATGTATTAGAGTATACGTTACCCAGAGACCACAGAAACAGAAACGACTTGTTTGATCCCTGTTCCTAGTACCTTGAACAAAGAAAGGCGAGTGTATTAATTCGAGAACAAGGTCAATGCGCACAGCAAATCACTCTGTTCGAGTCTTCCACTCACAATAAAACAATGAGGTTCCCGTCTCTACTAAATCAATGACGAATGTACAGGTTCACAATATGATTTACGTGACAGCAATGGCTAACGGGCCTGAAGAAGGTATTGATGCGACCATCTTGGTATTCTTATGTCCATCTAGGTGATGACTTCTATCCATCTTATCCACTTGACTACCTTGCGGCAGTCCAAAACACGGACAGCCTCGCCACAAAGAAACCACTGCCTTGAGCCCTGTTATGTAATCCCCCGTTGCGCCTATGTGTCCTGGCCTCCAATTCCTGTCATTCCCATGACCCAGGAAGCGAGAATGGTCCTTTGTTCAGCAATCAACCACCCCCCCTGGAACATATCCCCATTTTAAACCTCTTGAGCCACTCGGACCCCTTGGGGCTGTTGGTTGACTTGTTTCCTGCCGTGTCCTGCTCAAATCACTCAAACAGTTTCCTTGTCATCCTTCTTCTCCTCAGCCTTCTCATTTCCCTCCTCGATCTCAACAGACTCGACAGCGGCGCTCAGACCACTCTCCTCGTTAGTAGTCTCGAGGCTCTCTGCAGCCTTCAGGAAGTGCTGGGCGACGTCGTTGTGATTGTTGAAGTATGCGAGATCCAAGGGGACGTAGTTCTGCTCGTTTGCAAGCGCGGGAGAGGCTCCCTGCTCCATCAGAAACTTGATCGTCTCGAGGTGGCCGCCAAGAGCAGCCCAGTGAAGACCAGTGTTTCCGTGTTCGTTGCCCTCATCAAGGAATGCCTGCTTCTCCTCCTTTGGTCGCGACTCAAAGTACTGGACAAGTTCTCGTACAACCTCTTTGAGTCATATCAGCTTCAGATTCTCCGAATATTCAAAATACCGGCAGCGATTTCGCCTAGAACTTGCGCAAGTGAGGTGTTGACATACCTAAATGGCCGTTTCCAGTCGCCATGTGCAGGCATGTGGATTTGGCGTCATCCTGTGCGGCTGCGACAACCTCGGCCGGCGTCACATTCTCTCGCTCCGCCAGGCTCTTCAGAGTCTCGGCCAAATCTCCCTTTTCTCCAGCACGAGCAAAGTAAATGAGATCATCGATCTCGTCTTCAGTGAGTTTGGGGGCCATGGCGACGATTTATGATGTTTGGGATTGAAAAGATTCAAAATTTTATGAAGAGTGAGGGGACTGTGTGGGTTAATACCCCGCGCTTTTCGCACGGTACACGTGGGGCGAGGTACAGGGTAGGGTAGATGGTGTTGGTATAATGAGGATATCATCCACAACGCGGCTTTGGCTTGGCTAAGTTTACATCGGAAAAATTCTTCGACTTGGTCTGAGATTTAAGAAAGAGCAAGAAATATTTCTTGATCCAGCCATTGACACAAATTCCCGGACTCGTCAAGCCACTCGATTTCTGCTTTGATCCCAAGGTTAAGCATCACCTGTAGCTCCCTCATCATCTCAGTGACTTCCATCTCACCTGGAGGGGAGCTTTGAAGTACTTTCAACGCTGATTCAGCGGCCCGACGATCTCTTGAAGACAAGTAGATTATTGGATCTTGACAAGATGTTGAAGATACAGCAGTCCTGGTTGTGGCGAGGGTGAGTGCTGAGCTTTGGCTGTCTTGACTTGATGCTAGATCGGGACTCAGGTTCACATTCTCTGCTCCATGTATATGCATCAGCTGGCTTGACTTGATCCCAAGCCATCGTATTTCAGGCGTGCGAGCATTGATCTCGTGGGCCAGCTTCTGAGAGCCGTATCGGTAGCATTTGAGGATGTTGACACCGTCAGGGTCAAAATCCATCAAGCCCAGTATCGGCAATTGAGGGTTGGTCGTGTGGACCAGATTCAAGAACGACCGAGTAATCAAGTCAGGGTAGCCTTTGGCCTAGAGAGCTTTAGCTTCGTCCCCAGGGAAGAAATTCCGCCTACCGTCAGGACAACGCCAGGCCCACAAGAAGATGTCATCCAGAATTGGGAGGAGCACAGTGATCGGAATATTGCCTTTATCCATTAGAACTGCAATGTCCTACAAGGCTGGGTGTCTTACATCCTTCTCGACCACTAAGATCCACCTCAAATTATCGAGATTGACTTTGGAGATGGATGTGCTTGTGGGGATGGGAATGCCCTGGTTTGGTTAGAAGCAGCCCGGGGCATCTCATCATGGGTACTGACCAAATTACCCGCCGTTGAATCAAGACAGCTGCCATCTCTCAGTTCGATTACCAGAGGGCCTGCCAATACGCCTTTCGACGCAGCGACCTATTGCGATTAGCTAACATTGGCGAAGCACTTGCTGACAGGCGCACAATGTTCAAGTCTCCACGATTGACGCCAAGGGTAAAAGCGAGATCGTCGACGAGCTCGTCCACTTGGCTTTGCTTTTCGAAGAGGTCTTGATGCTGGTAAAAGATGTGCCTAAGACATGCACCCAATTAGCACATCGCATAAAGGTTGCTTCGCGTAAGTCGAGACCCACCGCTTGGTGAGTATGGTCCCCGAGACCAGTGCATCATGAGACAGCTGAAGAATGAGGAGAATCCTTGCTGGCGACTGTTAGTCAAGGCGAAGTTGAGGCGTTGCAGCGAAGTCGTACTAAACTTGCGGGCCTCCTGCACAGTTCGACCAGGGAAGCGAACAGGCTCGAGTCGGGTTTCACTGGTCCTACGATGGGAGGCCCTGCGGGACAGTGTGATTGACAACCCTTGACATGCAGCTAGAGAATCCACAAACGTCTCCAGGATGGATTCCATGGCGGCGACCACGGCCCCGACGGCGCCGTCGGGGCCGTGTCCGCCGTGATTTGTCGTATTCGTATCAGAGACATCGTCACCATCGTCCACATCGTCATCACTATCGTCTGTCGTCGGGTCCTCTTGGCCATCAACCTGATTACCGTGCATTAGTTCCGGGGTAGCAACAGGCTGACGAAGGACGCTCGTGGTAACATCCATGTTCATTGCCCGTCGACTTCAAGTCGTTGACAAGGGCCGGACAGAAGTCTCGGGAGCTGAATACGGCCGTGGAGGGAGAGATGCGGTTCAGAGAGCAGGAGAGTAGTGGCTTCACAAATGCGGAAACATGGCATCGTCCCCCTTCTCCAGTTTCGTGCCTGCTTGTCCAGGCCTCAATTGTCACATGTGAAGGGTTTCCATTACTCAACACTTTTAGGCTGAGGCACAACTTAGGGGTCCTGACCGCTAGTGCGGGAGTAACTGGGGAATACGGCAGGTACCGGGCACGCACGGGACGCCGTCGAAGAAATGGGGAAAGTGTCACCTTGGCCCAGTGGCCGGCTTGCTTAAGTACCTAGCTGCCCGCCACAACACGAAACGACAGCGCTTCTCGTGGCTCGAATTAATTTATCTCTCCACCGCCGCGCCAATTGCTTCCCTCAACCATCACAGAACCTAGGATTTGCTCCAGGGATATCGAATACGAAGTGCACTCGGCATACCACAGAGCCGAAGATGGTGTCCGCAACGGGACGTGACGTCAGCTCAGCAACGTCGCGTAAGCGCGGTGTCGACTCCAATGGCTCCATTCAGGGTCAGCCATCCCCCAAGCAGCCGCGTATCGAGGGGAAGACCGACCACACCAGATGGAGACTCAAGGATGACGACAGTCGCCACACGTGGCACTACCTCACCGACGACAAGGCTGCCGAGGAGTGGCCTCAGAGCTACGCTGAAAAGTACTACCTTAACCTGCCTCTGGTACATGCCCCTCTCCTTGTAGATGCTACTCTGCAGCTTCGGCAGCTAACCATTGACTTTACCTAGGGCCTCCCTGTACTCCCCAACCCCGAATCTCCCCTAGCCGCCGCCGACAATGGCCTCAAATTCTTCGAAAAGCTTCAATTGCCGAGCGGCCATTGGGGCTGTGAATACGGCGGCCCCATGTTCCTCCTGCCTGGCATTGTCATCACCTGGTACATCACCAAGACCCCGATATCCTCCGCCTATGCGACCGAAATAAAGAACTACCTCGCCGCACGGGCGCATCCGGATGATGGCGGCTGGGGATTGCACATTGAAGGCGAGAGCACCGTCTTCGGCACGACCCTGAACTACATCGTTCTCCGACTTGTCGGGGTTGACCCCGAGGACCCCTTGATGGTCAAGGCTCGAGGAACCCTACACAAGCTTGGAGGAGCTCTCTACTCGCCACACTGGGCCAAGTTCTGGATGGCAGTGCTTGGCGTGGTCGATTGGGATATTGTGAATCCCGTACCCCCGGAGATTTGGCTTCTGCCTGACTGGCTTCCCATCTCTCCCTGGAGGTGGTGGATTCATATCCGAATGGTCTTCCTGCCCATGGGATACCTGTACTCAAAGAGATGGAGCTGTGAGGAGACGGACATTATCCGCGGCTTGAAGCAGGAGCTATTCCCTCAACCACACAGCGAGATCAACTGGGCAAGCCACCGCAACAGCATCACGGCTGTCGACAACTACCACCCCAAGACATGGCTTTTAAACACAGCCAATTGGCTCCTGGTGAACGTCTATAACCCCTATCTCAGGACGGACGCCATCAAGAACAAGGCCGAAGCTTGGGTCAGCGAGTTGGTTGATATGGAAGATGCCAACACAGGCTATGCTTGTCTCGCCCCAGTCAACGCCCCTATGAATACCCTCGTCTGCTACGTTCGGGATGGTCCAGACGCCCCCACGTTCAAGCGACACATCGAACGTCTGGAGGAGTATTTATGGGTCAAGGACGAAGGAATGCTGGTCAACGGAACAAACGGCGTCCAGTGCTGGGATACTGCCTTCCTGATCCAGGCGGTGTTTGAGGCTGGGCTGCAAGATGATGAGAAGTGGCACCCTATGCTCATCAAGTCTCTCAATTACCTCGAACGCCAGCAGATTCGAGAGAATTGCGTGGATCAAGAGAAGTGCTACCGCCAACCCCGAAAAGGTGGCTGGCCTTTTAGCAACAAGGACCAGGGCTATGGTGTCAGTGATTGCATATCCGAGGCCTTGAAGGCGATCATCTTGCTTCAAAAGAAGGGAGGGTTCCCTGAGGTTCTCGAAGACCAGCGCATTTTTGATGCGGTCGACACGTTGCTTCTCTATCAAAACGATAACGGTGGCATATCGTCGTATGAACAGCGCAGAGGAGGCGAGTATTTGGAAATGCTTAATGCTGCTGAGGTGTTTGGTCGTATCATGATTGAATACGACTATCCCGAATGCACCACTGCTTGTGTCACTGCTCTTTCACTGTTTAATAAGTACTGGCCAGACTATCGGACAGACGATATTAAGCTGCTTATCAAGAGGGCGACCAGCTGGATCAAGACGAACCAGGCATCTGACGGCAGCTGGTATGGTAGCTGGGGCATTTGCTTCACGTACGCAACTATGTTTGCTCTCGAAAGCATGACCAGCATTGGTGAGACGTATTCCAACAGCCAAGTTTCTAGAAGGGGTTGCGATTTCCTCTTGTCGAAACAGAGGGCAGACGGTGGATGGTCGGAGAGTTACAAGGTTCGTTGCCTGTCGACTGGTCTATCGAGGCTGTTGCTAATTTATGTCTAGGCTTGTGAAACTATGCAGTACCATGAACATCCTTCGGGATCCCTTGTTGTGCAAACAGCCTGGGCCCTCATCGGCTTGATGGAGGCTGAGTACTCCAATGTGGAGCCTCTCCGGAAAGGAATCCAGTTCATCATGGACCGACAACAGCCCAACGGAGAGTGGCTGCAAGAAGCGATTGAAGGCGTGTTCAACAAGTCCTGTATGATCTCGTACCCCAACTATAAGTTTACGTTTCCCATCAAGGCGTTGGGTATGTTTGCGAGGAGGTTCCCGGACGAGAAGCTTGTGGCAGGGATCAGCTTCCCGTCATCGGATGAGGAAGATGAAGAGGAGGAGGATGAGAAGGAGGAGTAGCGAGCAACCTTTACTTGGGCTTTGGACATGATTACGATATGAACACTATATAATGCTAATAACATTAAACAACCGTGTTGTATCTTGAAATTCTTGGTGAGAGGGTAATGTTTATCAGGTACGCTGAGCTTTACATGTACCCAGTGTGACAATTACCCCACCACCTTCAGGCAGCTGTCGCCCCACTACAGCTTCCAGAACCAACCATTATCACCATCAAGCAAACAAAGCCAACATTTCCCAAGCCACAAAGGTCGGGAATTTCTCTTCTCTGGCCTCCCACAAGGCTGCACCTGAAAATACCTCAGTTTCTCTTACGCATCCTCAACCATGTCGCACATCACCCAGGCCGAGCTCGGTCTCGCCGCCGCCGAGGCGAGAAAGTGGGATGAGGCCGTCGACAAGCTCTCGGTCGCCCTGAAGGTCTCCCCGAACCCAGCCTGGCTCGTCGCCCGTTCCAAGGCCCTCATCGGCCTCCGTCGATTCCAGGAGGCCCTTGATGATGCCAACCTCGCCTGGCACACCGCCTACGACCGCAACAAGCGACCGCTCCTCGTTGAGGCCCACTACCGCCGCGCCGTCGCCTACCTCCGCCTGGGCCAGTATGCCAACGCCGACGCCTGCTGCGTGTATTCGATGCGGTTGATTAAGGGTTTCCCCGCCGTCGAGAAGGAGGACCCGGCGAAGAAGTTCACCGACGAGAACGGCTTCTACACGGTGACTTTGGAGGACGCCAAGGTCGAGGCCCAGAACGATGACATCAACAAGAACAAGGGCGACATGAGCAAGGCTTTGGACCAGAGTGGCCCGCCCCAGGCAAAGGAATGGCGTACAGCCAGCACCCTGCGGATGCAGATCCTGTTTCCCATGGAGAAGCTCCCCAAGGACGACCCTGCGCGGAAGCTTACTATTGGCCTGAAGCCCGAGCAGAAGGACCTTGCTGATCTCGCCACGAAGAAGCCCGAAGCCCCCAAACCCACAACGGCACCTACACAGGCACCAACGAAGCCCGTGGTTCCCAGCAATGCACCACTTCGACTCCAGGAGTTCCAGAGCCCTGCGACCATGTCCGTTTCCATCTTCTCCAAGGGTGTCAACAAGGAGAAGCTGCAGGTCCAGTACCTCCCTTTCGCCGTCGTTCTTGACTCGGTCATCTATCCCAACGGCGACGAGAAGTCATTCCGACTTGACCTCTGGGGCGAGATTGACCCCGAAGCTTCCAAGCACACCGTCACGCCCAACAAGGTCGAGCTCAGCCTCAAGAAGAAGACCCCTGGCAAGTGGCCTCAGCTCAAGGGTGAGGTCAAGGAGGAGCCTGCTGATGCTGATGCGGCAAAGGAACAAGCCGAGTAAGTATCACCCAACCTACCGTAAGGCTGGTCTAACTAATCATGCGCAGGCTGGACGTTCTCAAGGAGGCTAGAAAGAAGGCGATGCAAGCATCCGAAGATGAGACCAAGGCCGCTGCCGCAGAACCAAGTGTTCCCTCATCTACCGAAGCCAAGGGAAAAGCTCCCGCGGAACCCACCGAACCCTCCAAACCTGCTGGCCTTTCGTACCCAACCTCATCCCGCACCGGCGCCAAGAACTGGGACAAGTTTGGAGAGGACGAGGATGATGACGACGGCAAAGACGTCAACCAGTTCTTCAAGAAGCTTTTCAAGGGTGCCACCCCTGAACAGCAGCGGGCCATGATGAAGAGTTTCACAGAGAGCAATGGCACCAGCCTCAGCACCGACTGGAACGACGTCAAGGACCGTACCGTGGAGACGGTGCCCCCGGATGGCGCCGTGGTCAAGAAGTTCTAAACACGACAAAAGATGAAATGATTTACGATACACCATCTCTAGGTGTTACTTTATGATGTGCGTATCTAGTTGAGGGAAATGAACTGGCGTAACAGGGCAAGGGGGATATCAGGAAAACACCAAGTTGATTTTTTATCATTGCAAGCTGTAGTAACCAATCTACACCATTCTCGCTATGCCAGGAGTCCGTGATGCCATAATACACTCTCGCTGTATCCAAAATCGCTTCTTGAACAGTCTAGGCATTGAGCTGTCGGTAATGCTCGTCGCCCAACTCGGCCGCTCCCTTGGCCCGCAGCCCACCCATGACGCCGTCCAACTTGGCCTTGACGTCTCCGAACCACGGCGACTCCTTCAGCTTGCGGTCCTCGACGGCGCGATCCCACGCCTCGCCACCGCGGTACGCGTCGGCGAGCGCATCCGGCACATGCAGCACGCGGCTGACGAAGTCCTCGCGCTCAATGTACGCGCCGCGCAGCCAGCGCGAACCGCCGCTGGCGTCAAAGGCCCGCCGGCCGTGCATGACGCGCATGTTGTCGAAGAGCACGCACTCGCCCGGCGCCATCTTGACCTGGTACATGGCGGCCTCGTCGTTGATCAGGCGGTCGAACAGCCGCGCGGGTTCCAGCCAGGCGCGCACGTCGACGGTCGGCAGCTGGAAGCGGTCCTGGAACGGCGGGCTCCAGTACACGCTGGCGAGGATGTCGTCGGCCGCCGTCACGTCGAAGAGCGCGCGCTTCTGGCGGTACCAGTAGCCGCGCTTCTCGTAGTGGTACGGGATGCGCACGCGGCGCAGGTGCTCGACGGCGCCGCGCGGATCCTGCAGCCACATGAGCTTGCCGGCGCGCAGCCCGTCGCTGAAGAGCGACTCGCCGCCGGAGCACGAGTTCTCCATGCAGTGCAGGATCTGGATCGCCGGCGGCCGCTCCAGGTACAGCAGGTCCTGGTGCAGGCCGAGGTAGCCGCTGGTGTAGGCGACGTTCTCGGCGTCGGGCTTGGCGCGCACGTCGAACGTGCGGCCGTAGAAGGTCTCCTTGATGTTGGCGATGCGCGTCGTGATGTTGACGATGGAGTTTTCGTCGCGCGGCACGTTCTTGAGGAACACGAGGCCCAGGCTGGACAGGTCGAGGATGGTCTGCCAGAAGGCCTCGTCGCCCTTCATGAACTCGCCGTAGTCAATCTTGCGGATGTTCCGCTTGATCGTCTCGTTGTCCCAGAACGTCCGCCCCGTCTTCGGATACACGGCGTCCTGCCTCGGGTACGGCAGCTTCTCCACGTCTTGGTGGCCCAGGGCCTTCTCGATCGTCTGCCACGGGACCACCATTTCGTGGCCGCCCTCGGCGAGGCGCTGGATGTCGTTCCGGAACGTGACCCCGAGGCCATCTTCGGTCAGCCGGATCTGGTCAATCTCGACGTTGGCTGGGACGTCGGTCGACGCAAAGTTCTTCTGGCCCGACGCGGGATCCGTACACTTCACGCAGGCGCAGCTGTCGCGCAAGGCGGCAGAGTCGAGCCTGGTCCACCCGCCATGCTCCTTATCCTCAATCTGGATAAAGCGGTCGGAACTCGACACAGTAATGGCCTTGCCACCGTTGATTGAGCCGTCCAGGACAGTCCGGGGCTGAAAGGCAGCCGGAGTGCCGAAGCTCTTCGCCGAGACGCTCTGCTGCGCCTGGTTTGACGGAGGCTTCCCCTTGTTGGGCGACTCAAAGGGGAACTGGGGGCCGGTTGTCTGTAGACGAGCACTTGCTTGAAGGAGACATTTCCGAGACGTGTGAAGCCCCTGCCGCGAGGTCAATGGCGAGACACTTGAGAGCGAGGTCAGAGTCCGAGCCGGAGTTGACCTGCAGCTCCGGGCAAGCAGCCGGTTGGGAGAAAACATGGCGTGCAGTTACAGCGGCACCTTCTGATCGACTTCCCAGAGCTGGCAGTTTAGGACGACGATCCTATATTGCTCCGGGAGTTGCGCAATGGGAAGAAGCAGATGTCAACTTGTCGCAAGGAGACGGAGCTATAACAAATGTACCTCGGCCGAAAGGGATGCACAGCTCCATGTGGGGTGGTTCGGTTGACCCCGCGTTATCTGGACCCGTGGATAGCCATCATGAAGAACCAGAAGGATGGCTTGTGCCGATGTAGGATATCGCATGGCTTGGAGGCGTTGGGATACACGCCGTGACTATTGGACAATGGACACGAGAACAGGGGAGATCCGGAATCAATTGCCGAGCAATGCTGACGGCAATTGCAACGAGCCAATCGACTGGCCTGTCAAGAGAACAACTCGGCAGCAAGTTCACAAAATCGCGGGAACAACTTCAATCATGCCATGTGGTATTCATCTCGTGATATTCATCAGGGCTTCAAATTCATTGTAGCCAATTGTTGTACAATACATGGGTCTGCCTCTAGGTAACCATTTTGCTACCTGTTCCGGTTGCTCGACCATCGCTTCACCATCACTTCTCTAACTTTGTACAGCTCAAACACATTGGCAAATCCCTTTTCCAACGCTTCATCAAACTTTGATGGGGGTGGTACATCCACATAAACCAGTACCAAGCTTTTGGTGACGTGAGAGAGAACTCGAACGGTTGCGTGGAGCCACTGCCACGACTTTTGCAGGTTCTCTTTCTTAGACTCTTTCCACAGGGGGTCAGAGTACGATGGAATGACTATGAGGCCGAACTCGGCGTGATCGAACACAGGGCCTCGGGTGTACAGAAGCCAGTCGACACCAAACTTGATGCCTCCACGTGGCACCCAGCCCAATGACCGAAAGTGATGATACACCGAGTAATGTACCAGAAAGTTGTCATCAGGCTGCAGTGCGGGTTGTTCCGGCTCAACTCGGGGAGGGAAGTAAGAATACTGCCGAAACAGCGTGAAGAGCTCCATTGGGGGCAGCGGCGTCCCACCCTGGTCATTCACTGTTAGAACACCAAGGCCAAAGCTCAGGAAGAATGCTTCCTCTGGCATCATTTGGAGGTGCTCCTTGTTGAGGAGTGGGAAGTGAATTGTTTCAACCACTGGAGTCATATGAGCCGACTTGGCCACATCTTCATCCAGAGTTGCCAAAGGCTCACCACCGTTGGCCAACGGTGAGTGACGGTAGGGGCTAGGCGGATCGGCAAATCCAAAAACCGCCTTCTCGACCTGTGGGGAGAAGCGCACGCTCTTCTGTCGCTTGGGCTGCTTCGTCTTGCTCGTCATACGCGCACTACCAGGAGTAGAGACGGCTAAGTCGTCGGCGTGGGGATTGCCATTGGCATATGGAACGGCCGACATTGCGCGATCTGTTCCATTGGACAGATGTGGCAGTGCATCATCATAACCAACTGGAGACACCTCGAAGTCTATCCCATTAGATCCATGGGAAACCGCAGCGCCCATAGCAGTGTCGAGACGCAACTTGCCCTCGCCGTCAGTTGTCACCTCGCTGAGAGGACGACCATTCGGGAGGTCTGCCGATGAGTTTGGCAGAGCCAGCAGCTTCCCCGGGCTAACTGGTGAATCAAGAGCTGGCTCGGGGGCCGACTCCCTTGTCAGGTCAGACGTCTTGAGCTCAGCTTGGGATTTGGATTCCTCAGCCTCCTTCAATCTCGTCTTCTGAATGGCTTCCTGCTCAAGGCGAGCCCGCTCCCATTTGGCTCGGATACGCTCCTGGCGCCTCTCAACCGTCAGAATCTCACTGACGTGCGCCTCTTGAAGTCCTCGCCGAACCTTCTCCCGTTTCAGCCAGTTGGGTTCACTTCGACTAAGATTTCCTTTCCCATAGAAGCCTTGCTCCCAAAAGGCACGGGTAGAGTTTTCATCCAGGATGTGGACTGAGCATGTTGCGGGTGACCAGACACCCTCATGAACCACTGAGGGTTCTGCCGGGGGCGGCGACCATAATTGGCCTAGCCACGCGTATGCGACATGGAAGAGGGATATGGGGTTGTTCGGGTAGAACGCCGGGAGAGGGAATGTCTTGATCGGCGCTGGTCGCGCGTAGATCTGGTGCAGTGGAGGCCCTCGCTGCTGCGGCCGAGGCTCTGCAGTGGTTGAGGTGGGCGACTTTGCTCCAGGCTCTAGGGTGGATTGTTGAATCTCAGCCATTTCTCGCCGGTGTCATCTTGGTCTAGACGAATATTCGTCAGTAATGGTCTCGCGGTAATATGCAAAACTGGTGAGATGAATTGGATTTCTCGGTGTTACTTCAGATACCGTTGTAGTCTATAATCAAGGCAATCACAGAGGCCCAACTGAATGGATTCTCTAAGCACGTGATGGTGTCATCATTGTAACGAGAGGGCCATGGGACTTCCCAGGCTGTGTTTGTGTTTGGCAAACGAGGGCTTTGGCGTAGCAAACCGGCGAGGGAGCTGGCTCGCACATGGCGCAAACTGACCCAATTGCCGCAAACAAGGAAAAATGAGAGGAGGAAACCTACTGGTCTAGGACATGGTCCAGGCACGATGCTGGAGAATGATCAACCGTCGTGGCCATTCACAACGGCACACTGTTATCCTTTTACGGGAACAGTGGCAGTTGCTCAGCGTTGAAGCCAAGTCGAAAGGTGAATTGAGTGAGCCAGATGGTGGTGGATGATGAAGGAAGAAAGTCACGAAGAGTCAGCAAGGAAATTTTTCTTGAACTGGAGCTCCCCACTTTGGTGCCTCATGCGCAAGGCGTCAGTTAGTCAGGCTTTCAGGCTTTCAGGCCACGGAGCACAGACTTCATTCAGCTTTCAGCGGGCGGGCCACTGGCGAGGCGCTGAGAGTGACGTCTAGCGGGGCGACCTCCCACCGACTTTCCCGAGCTCTGCCGAGCAAGACACGAGGTGACACAGAAGAGCCAATCTGCGCGGATTCTTGGCCGTCTCCCTGCAGATCAGCTGGCTCAGGCCTCTCCAGCAGCGGTATTTGTCGCGATTGGCCCCTTCGATGTCCTGCAGCGCACCGTTTACGGCTCTGGGCTGCCTGGTGCGCGTACCATGTTTGTAGGCGGCTGATTCCATCAGCCCTGGCAGCCTTATTACTAGTGTCATCCACCCACTTTCCCTCCCGTCCCTCCATGAACAGCTCCCCGATCACACGTTTCAATATCCTCGTCTACTCTGTGTGAGCGTGATTTGTTTCACTGCTGCTGCCACTGCTGCTGCTCTTGTCCGTCGTTGCAATAACGTCAGGGGAGATGCTCGCCCGGATACCATAGCTATGGCTACATTCACGGAAACTGTTGCTTGGATCTGCCTGATCTGGAGTGTCTTCGTTGTCCTGGTCGAGACGATTGGCATTCGCGCCATGTATGTGCCCCCTGCTGCTGTGCCTTGGCGTTTTCTGACCTGAATCAGCTTGAGAAACTACAAACGACCGCTCCCTCCCCCAGTGTCTCCCAATCTCCGACAGAACGCGCCTCATGTAACCATCATCCGGCCAGTCAAGGGCGTCGAGCCTCAGCTCTACGAATGCATCGCCTCGTCCTTCCTCCAGGACTACCCCGTGGACAAGCTGTCCATCCGCCTTTGCGTCGATGACAAGAGCGACTCTGCGTATCCGATCCTTCAAAAAATCGTCGAGGACTTCCCCGCTTTCGACGCTCGTGTCCTGGTCGAATCTGAGGACCCTGTCCTCCACGGCCTCGATGGCGATGTGAACAGCTTGGGACCGAACCCCAAGATCCGCAACATTAGCAGAGCATACCGAGAGGCCAAGGGGGACATCATTTGGATCGCGGACTGCAATGTCTGGCTTGGACGCGGCGTTTTGGGTCGTATGGTAGACAAGCTGATGGGCTACGGCGTGGGTGGGAGCTCTGCTCGCCCTTACAAATTCGTCCACCAGATGCCGATCGTCGTTGACTTGACAGACTACTCCTCGCCACAATCCGGCGACAGCCAATCTCTATTGAATCCTGCTTCTGGAGAGCGCCTGACCTCGGATCCAGATGCGGGGATATTTTCTAGAATTTGGTCTCACGGTGGTGGCCGCCTTGACGAAATGTTCATGTCAACTACTCACGCTAAATTTTATGGAGCTATCAACGCTGTCGGCATAGCTCCATGCATCGTGGGGAAGAGCAACATGTTTCGAAAATCTCAGTTGGACCAGATCACAAACCCTGCCGAGAATCCGAACCTGCCTGCGAACAGGAACCGTCCTCTTGGTGTGGATTTCTTCTCCCACAACATTTGCGAGGACCACTTGATCGGCGAACTGTTCTGGCAGTCCAAGATTCCCGGTTACCGAAACCATGGGATTGTATGGGGAGACCTTGTCGTCCAGCCCATGTCGGGCATGTCTGTCGTCGCTTACGCAGCACGGCGCGCCCGATGGCTCAGGGCTCGAAAGTTCACTGTCATGGCAGCAACCTTGGTCGAGCCTGGTGTCGAGCCTTTCTTATGCTGTGCCTACTTCGCTTTTGCGGCCACAACTCTACCCTTCTTCGAGGAGAAATTGGTAGTGGCTCAAACGTGGTCCGCAATGGGACTTATCTGGCTCCTCTGCGTGACTACATGGATGTTGGGAGACAGGTACATGTTCCGTCGACTTCACAGCGGTCTGACAATGGCGACTGATGCCAACACACCTTACTTTGCTAAAGGAGCCTCCAACAAAGGCGGAATTCCAACGCGACCATTCCTGGAGTGGCTCCCTGCGTGGCTTGGTCGAGAAAGCCTTGCGTTACCTATCTGGGTCTGGGCCGTTGTGCTCGGGAGGACTGTGCACTGGCGTGGCAAATCTTTCCGGGTTCGCCTAGATGCCACGGTCTACGAGGTTACGGAAGATGAGAGAAGAATGCGGGTTGCACACACTCCTGAGATTGAGCGAGCATCCTCACGAAACAAGCGCCGAGTAGATTAGACGAACGAAATGAATCACGGAATGCCATAGAACATGATACGCAAATATGTATTCTCTATCTACAGTACCACAACAATAAAATATACTTCATACCATCATTATCATCGTCAATAATTATCCTCAAGCCTCCACAGGAGTAATCTTGATAACCTCCTTCAGATCTCGGCTGCTGAAGCCAACACTGATTACAAACTCGCCAGTGGGGATGACCCAATCCTGGGAGATGATGTCCCAGTAGCTGATATCACGTCTCATCAACTCAAATCCAACAGTCTGGCTCTCGCCGGCCTGCAGCCAAACCTTCTCGAAGCCTCGGAGTTGCTTGGGGGGAGTGCCCGCGGGGGTGCTATCGGGGAAGGTGACGTAGAGCTGGGGAACGGTGGCACCGTAGACCTTTCCGGTGTTGGTCAAGGAGATGGAGACGTTGTACACGCTCTCCCAGAGGGCGGGGTTTCCACCGGGCACGATGCTCAGCTGCTCGGGCACAGCGGTGATGCTCTCGACAAGGGGCTCGGCCGCGATGTCGGCGATCTTGAAGGTGGAGTAGGAGAGACCGAAGCCGAACTCGTACCGCACGTCAATGTCGTTGGCATCGAAGTAACGGTAGTCAATCTCAAGCTTCTCGTCGAACCACGACTGCCAGTCGTAAACGCCAGTAGTGTTGACGGCGGTGGTAGGAGGGGCGTTGTAGTCGCTGCCGTTGTAGGCGATGGTGTAGGGGAGCTTTCCAGAGGGGTTAACATCGCCGTACAGAACGTCGACGATGGAGTTACCGCTCTCCTGTCCGGGGTAGTGGGCAGCAACAATGGCGGTAACGTTAACGTGGTCGGCCCAGGGGAGAGTGTTGATACCGGAGGAGTGGGTAACAACAATGGTGTTATTGCAGACGGAGGCAACAGACTCGACGACATCGTCACCAACCCAGTCAACATTCAGGTGCTCGCGGTCAGCACCCTCCTCGGCCCAGGTCTTGAGGAAGACAAGGCAGACCTCGGGAGGAGTGGGAACCCAGAGGGTGGTGACATCAGACTCGGCAATGAGAGTGTTGTTCAGCCACTGCTGGACGAGGGAACCGTCCTGCTTAGCACGGGCATTGATGGCAGTGAGGGGAGAGACGAGATAAGTCAGGCGACCAGTGCCAGAACCACCACCAGCAGTGAGGGTGCCGTACTCGAAGTCATTTTGGTTATAGAAACCCTCGGTGTCGTCGCCAGCATCGTTTCCGAAGACGGCAATGGACTTGGGAGCCTTCAGAGGAAGGGCATTGTTCTCGTTCTTGAGAAGAATGGTTGCCTGGGCGCCGTGTCGGCGGATCTGCTCTCCATGGTCTGCGCGGACGTCACGGCTTCGCTCGCCAGTCAGGTTGAACTCTCGCAGCCATTTAGATCGGGGAGAGAAGGTGTTCAGGTCGGCGGAAGATGGGTCGACAGTGGGGAAGTTCACGTCCTGGCCGAGCCAGTAGTAGGGGGTCATGATGCGGACAATCATGTCGTCGACACGGGTCTCGTCGAGAGTGCCGTTGTTGACAGCAAGGGTGACATTCTTTCCAAAGAACGAGCCAGCCGCCCAGTCCATTCCGTACGCACCAATGCCACCGGGCATGTTCACTAATTAAGGTTAACATGTGTTGTTTCTCTTATTCGAGTTTGATAGAACTTACTGTCCAAGCCTCCCTCAATGGAGGCGACGCCGGAGTGAGTGCCACCCCAGTCGGACATGACATAGCCCTGGAAGCCGAGCTCCTCCTTCAACAGGCCGTTAAGGGCCTTGGAGTTCTCGCAGGCATATGATCCGTTGAGTCTCTGGTACGAGCACATGAAGCTGGCGCAGTTGGCCTTGACGGCGTTGGCAAAGGGCCAAAGGTACAGCTCGTGCATGGTTCGGTCATCGATGTTGGCGGAGACGGCCTCCTGGATCACGTCGGTGACAGTGCCGTTCGAGTCGTAGGTGGGGTTACGCTGAGTCTCCTGCTCATTGCCGATGAAGTGCTTAGCAGTAGCCTGAACACCGGCATCCTGGTGACCACGGATGGTTTGCTCCATGGCAACACCAGTCAGGTAAGGGTCGGCGGCGAAGCCCTCCCAGTTTCGGCCCGAGTAGGCGGAGCGGCCAAGGGGGCCAGCAACTGGAGAGAGGGCAACGTGAGCACCCTTGCCCTTGAACTCCAAGCCCAGGGAATATCCTCGCTCATACAGGATGGCCCTGTCCCAAGTAGAGGCGGCGGAGACACCCGCTGAGAAGACGCTGGCGTAGTCTGCCACGCGAATGGATAGAGGTCCATCGTGGAGACAGAGACCACTAAAGCCAAGGCGAGGGATGGCAACAATGTTGCCGACGCAAGGGCCTGCCGTTCCGGTGACCATGTCGGCCTTTTCGTCAACTGTTAGCAGGGCGACAAACTGCTTCGCCTTCTCATAGGCAGCCTCCCAGCCAAGGCCGGTGGTATTGGCTACACCAAGAAATTAGCCAACTACTTGCTTACACAAAGTCAAGTGAATAAACATACGGGAGGGCAGGACAGCGGGAGAGTGTCCATAGGGTCCGAGGATGGTAGTGTTCAGAGGCTGGACATAGCTAAAAGCGTTCCCCTCTCGGCCATTAGAATCATAGTTCTGGGCATTGACAGTAGAGGCTGCAAGCAGGCCTGAGACCACGAGAGACAAAACAGAGGCCATTGTGACTTTGGGCTCGAGGAAGCTGAGCGTGGGCTGGATCTGGGTAGTGATCTTCCATTGACGTCCCATTGATGCCTTTTATATCCTGTCAACGCCCTGACGTCTACATGGCTCCATGCTACTCCAATTTTTTAAGAGGCGATACCCTCCACAAAGGATCCCAAACTCCGAACTTCGTTGCGTCATCCCAGCTCTCGTGATGGTGAGCGAATGTTAGTCCCACATCTCTTTTGGAGCTAGCTACACATGTTTTTTTCCCCATTACCATGGTCCGGTCAAGTTGGAACCCGTCTGTGCGGGGGTATATGCGGAGAATATGGGGGACTAGGATAGTTTAATGGTATGATGCTAATGCCGCACTCAATTCTTCGCGGCCAACTCTGCGCGGCATGGGTTGTTCGCCGCCCACTGCGGAAACAGTGGAAAGAGTGGGAACAGTGGGATATATCCCCGGACAACCTGGGTAATTTACCGAACACAGCGCCTAGCTGCATTACACGAGTTGCCAGAGGGCCCTGCGAGAGGTACACCTGACTCGACAAAGCCGCTGTTCAGGCCGTCGGCCGTTAACAACGCCCCGGCCACGGGCTGGTGCGTGTGGAGCGTTCTCATGATATCATGGAGCCGGGGAAGTCGATCGCGGGGCACACGGGACTCCACTACTCAAATACGGCCGTTGAAGAACCGAGCTTCCGATATTTTGCCAGCGGTCAAAGAGCCAGGGTTTGTCGTCCCCGTGATGGACTCCAACTGCCGAGTGGATCTGGGGGGATGTGGGATGTGGGTGAAAACTGGGTGAAAGCCCTCATGAGAGCCCGCTCAATCCAGTGGATGCGCCGTTTCCCCGCTGGAGTATTCGGCCCTGTTATGGCTCTATTCCGGCCGACTGGCCTCGACGACTCCAGCCGTCTCCAGGTGGTTGAGGCCGGTGGTCCCATCCACGGCGTCGGGATCGGCCATTTGCCCTTGGCTCGCCTTGTGAGCACACGGGCGACCCGGCAGCGTGGGACAAACCCGACGATTCTCGTAATGTTCGCTGGGCAATGACCCGAGTAGGAGGTCGGGCGGACCGGACCTTCAGACACTTCCTAGTTAGTTGACAGCCGCGGCTATGAGTTCGCCATCGTCCGAGCAGATTGCAGTCACGGCAAGTCGAAGCGCCGCCCCGCTCAACGGAATTACAGACCCGACATGGACTGGCACCGACGTTTTTCAAGGAAGCTCTAGGAAGGGGTTGGAATTTGCAAATTACAGTCGGTTGTAGACCGGGAGACAAATCGCCGAAACTAGAGTCGAGAACGAGAGATTGGTCTAAGTAAGCAGGATCGAGTTCCTTACATTATGCAACAATATCCAGATGGAATCTCAGTATTATGCACTAGTAGGTCTCACTGGCCGTCATAGTTCGAGCCCTCATGAGACCAGCATCGGTACCCCTGCTGATCAACCATGCGAGTGTCATGTGCCAAAGCTGCTGATGATGGGAACCCGGTGGCGTTACCTTCTTGGTCAACATCACCAGGATATGCGAGCTCAGCCGAAGCGGCCGAAAAAAAAAGAAAGTAAATCTGTCGATGTAAAATTTAGAAAGCTCACAGGTACGAATGAAAGATCAAGTTTACCACTGATGTAGGTTCATTTATCACAAACACGTGCATACCAAAAAGAGGTTTCAATCAAGAGTAAAATTTCGCTCTGAAACCTTCTCCACAAATGATGTTGACCTCTTCAGACATTAGGATATCTATTACTACCGGCATGAGCTCGGTTTTCGAATCCAGATACCATTTACAGCAGGTTCTTGCAAGTGCAATGCTCGCTTGTGAGTAAGCGATAGATTCGTCAAGGATAGGAACGCCTCTACCGAACTTCCCTGCATCTGCGTCTTGATCCCCCGGCACAAATCCCGAGCCAGCGTTGCTTGAAACCAACAGATCGCTTGACTTTCCGCATCCGCTCCTAGCTTCCTCGCTAGATACTCAGGACAAATCCCAATCACAGCGTGATTTGTAAGACTGTCCGTCATTGCCGAATGCTTCAAATATTAGGTTAAGTTAGGGCTTTCCAAGAACAACCATTACAGATGGATACGGAAAATTGCATTATATGCCCAACAGTTACTTGCTTGTATGATTCCGTTCACCATTCTTGTGGGCGTGTTGAACTAGTCAGGCATGCAGCTTAGATAGTCTCGATCTTGATAGGCACTAGCGACCGCTGAAATTTGGTAGTCAGGCACCATCAAGAACGCCAAGACTGACAAAGTGCTATAATTTTCTAGTGGAACACGCAACAGAAATTTCCCAGAAGACGTTTGTCTCGCAACTTGAGGAGGTTGCAATTTAATTTGTGGCTTCTTGTAGGAAATAAATGGTTTCGGCGGTGATAGGCTGAGCAAGCTGAAGGTACGGTTTTAGGTTACAAGAATTCAATACTTCGCTCTCGAATATTCACTTTGCAATCCAGGAGACATTCAAAGGACATTGGGTTATCTATTTGATATACATATCACCTGCAACAACCACACGTGTCACAGCTTTCAAAATGATATTTCCGGAAGTCAGGGTCTGTCCAGTCCTCGCCCAATCACATGTCCGTTGGGACAGATTCGCGAGCACATCGAGGAAATAGTCCGCTGAGGCATACACTAGCTGGTTTTAGAAGTCACGTTCAATTATGCCTCGGCTTTTGTTATTACAATTTTTTCCCTACCAGTCTAGTCTCCCAAAATCGACAAATGCTTACGGTTTAGAGAGTTTCATGTTTTAGTTATGAACGTTTGTCATTATAATTGAACCAAACCCGTCACCATACCCCCGAGCTGAGCCCTATTGCCCAAGATAAATAGATTTGTAAGCTATTGGTTACTTTGACCTATACATTTTCTCATTTGTTGCCAATCATGGCAGGTGGTAGTAGAAACCCCTCACCGGGCCGTGAGCTGAACCTAGGGTAGGTAGCTGGCGAACGTGCGGGGATATGCATGGGGTCGAACGGCCCTGACTCGTCGTCCCGGCAAATGGGACCGGCAAGACGAAGGAAAAGTTGCTAATTTCCCATCATGACGTCAAAAGAAATTATTTAATGCTAACTCTTCGATACTAATTTTGCTTGGGGTAAGAAGAAGTTCTTGCAGATTGCCAACGCAGACTCTGCCATGACAGCGTCCTTCTTCCGTTGCCATTGAGTTTCACAATAATCTTCGCTTCAAGTTCGCGCTCCTTGTCGCCGCAATGACAGGGTAAACAAAACCAAGCGGTGTGACCCATGTTCCTTAAAAAATTTACTTCCCCCAGCTCAAGTTTACCTCGGGCTGGTGAGAGCGACGATCTCCACCCCAGTTCCCAGCGTTGGCTCCACATATTGACTAGGTGAGATGATAATCGTGGCGTTTACCCACACTCTGGGCAAATTCGTCTCGAATTGGGACGACGGACCGAGGCCCAATTGAGCGTAACTTCTAAAAATGCGTTTGTTCATACCGTAGCGGACTATTATCCTCAATACGATCGTGAATCCGTCCCAACGGACATGTAGGAATTACCCCAGCTCCCGAACATCCTACCGAGAGACTCCCCACAACCATCCAAAATCCGGTTTAGTCTCTTAATCCCCGCAATTGATGCATCACCTCGGAATCTGGGGTTCGATGCCAAGTGTGGGGAAATCTACTGGCTATTCATTCTTCCGGTCCATCAAGGCGTGTTGGCTGCGAGATCTGGGACAATGGTGGTAGAATATGTGGAGGCCGAACGATAGACGACTCCTTGGCTTGAAAAAGGTGGCAAGGGGAATACGTGTATATAAATCGTACACCCTGACATGGACTTTGAGATTCCCTCATGCTCCCTATCAAATACCGGCACCTCAATCCATCCTTCTTCTGTTCCAATGAAGGTTCTCGCCATCTCACTCCTGGGCCTGTTGGCTGCAACACAGGGCGCAGAATGCAGTGCCACGGAAAATCGCAAATTCTCCAAGAAGTGTGAAGGCTTTGGAAAGACCTTGGCCCAGCAGTTTCGCAACGCCAAGATTAACGGTACAGAGTTTGTTGAGGCTGGCACCAACCTGACAGCGCCATCAACTCACCCAACATGTGCTGCATTCAATTCGGCGCTTGATGTCGATCTTTGCCGAGTGAAGATGTACGTGAGCACCTCCAAGAAAAGCGGTGTTAGCCTCGAAACCTGGCTGCCTCTTGATTGGTCTGGTCGCTTCTTGAGCGTTGGCAATGGTGGTCTGGGTGGCTGCATTTCCTACGACGACATGGCCTACACGGTTGCGAGGGGATTCGCAGTTGTTGGAACCAACAATGGCCACGACGGAAACACCGGCCTACCATTTTACAAGAATCGGGAAGTTCTCGAGGACTTTGCATACCGCGCCCTTCGCACCGGCGTGGTCGTGGGCAAGAAGATCACCAAAGCCTTTTATGGGAAGGGACATACGAAATCCTACTATCTTGGCTGCTCTACTGGTGGCCGCCAGGGGTTTAAGGAGGCTCAGGACTTCTCTGCTGACTTCGATGGAATCGTTGCGGGAGCGCCGGCATTCGATTTCGGCAATCTCCAGGCGTGGTCTGGTCACTTTCTCAGCTTGACTGGCACTCCCGGCTCACCAACCTTCCTCACACCCGCTCAGTGGTCTCTCGTGGTGTTAGACGTCCTCACCCAGTGCGATGGGCTTGATGGCCAGGTGGATGGAATCATCGAGGACCCAGACCTTTGCCAGTACCGCCCTGAAAGCTTGATCTGCGGCGAGAACCCAACGAGTAACTGCCTCACGGGAATACAAGCAGGCGTTGTCAGAGACGTCTTCTCCCCGCTCTATGATGCCACGGGCACCTTGCTGTACCCTCGATTACAACCCGGCGCGAATTCCACAAGCACTGTATGGTCAGGAACTCCATTCCAATACGCCGTCGACTGGTGGCGTTATGTTATTTACAACAATCCTTCGTGGGGACCTGAGCTGACCCTCGCTGATATCGAGGCGGCCAAGAAGGTCGACACCTTTGGCATCAACACATGGAAAGGAGATCTATCCAAGGTCAGGGACCGTGGTGCCAAGATTCTTCACTACCATGGTCTTCAGGATCCCATCATCAGCAGCGACAACTCAGCTCGGTACTATAACCATGTTTCGCGCACCATGGGTCTCCAATCCGGCGAACTGGACGAATTTTACAGATACTTCCGTATTTCAGGCATGAACCACTGCACAGGAGGGCCCGGGGCCTTCAACATTGGCAACAGAGGCAGCGGCTTTGGTGGCGAAGAGCCTGAGCGCAACGTCCTGAATGCGGTGGTTCAGTGGGTTGAGGAAGGTATTGCGCCTGATTACGTGTTAGGCACTGCCTACACTGACGCAACCAAGACCAAGGTGGCTTTCGAGAGGAAGCATTGCAAGTACCCTCTGCGGAACAGCTACAAAGGAACGGGTGACCCTAACTCTGCTGAAAGTTGGCACTGTACATGACTTGCAGATAGTCGCCAATGGGCACCAAATACTTGGCCAGGAACATGTGCTGTATATATATTCGAGCCAAGTAGATCTTGATCCGTCAATTGATCATTATTGTTGTTACCTTCAATAAACAGTTCCCCCGAATTGTGCCCGAGAGTAAAATATGGTTTCCTTGATATTGACTAACCTTCCCTAGTTTCCAAACAGAAACTGCTCTTCTAGTGATATAAAACTCTACCCCTGTTGTATCGAAAGCTTGAGCACTTGATTCAATTAAGTCTTTGATCCAAAAGGAACCTTAAACTCAACTAGGAGGTTGCCAAAAAGTACTATGGGAATGGATGGCATCAATAGACATGTTTCAACGATTTATTGAGCCTGGTGTGATGATATAAACGCTGCATGATTCTAGATAGCATGGTGAATTCCGTGACAATAGTCATCATTCACCAATAGTTCGTGACTAAGTGATATCTAGAATACTCGGGCCTCTTAGACTCTTGCCAAGTTACTAATTACTACCACTTAATCGATCTCTTTTGTGTGCCAATGGGCACATGACCTGTATTGAAAAGAAGGTTCTATTTGCCGTTCCTTGGCAACAATCTGTTCCGTTCTATCCTCCTTTAATCTATTTTTCTTATACCTTCTTATCCCATCTAAATTCTAATCCGTTACCTTTACAAAATATGACTTGGCATGCTTCATAAGCATCTGGTCAAATCTTTACTCTTCAAATCTGGGGTGATATTCCAAACTGTTTCTCTCTTGAGGCTCTTATTCTGATCTCGCGCTCTTGGTCTTCTTGCTTCTCAGCTTCATCATCAAGAAAACCAAAGCATATGATGAAATGCAGAACAAGGCGGTGATTCCAGTCTAATCCTCTTTGTTAGCAAGCCATCACAAATATCAAAGTCTCTTGTACTCACGTCTCGCCAGCCGTAGTATTCCTCCTGGAGGTTGAAGGTCTTGGCGTAATCTGCTCCTGTGGAGTAGGCACAATATTGACAGTTCTCAGTGGCGTTAAGATCTGCCACATATCCTGCGTTGGAGCTGAGGAAGTCGGCCATGTATTCACCGCAAGTCTGTCCATCGGGGGCGTTGAAGGAGGTGAATTCTTCTGGGTTGCAGCGGACTTGAACATCCCAGATGATAGGGCCCAGCAAACCCCCAAAGAGATAGCGAAAGGGGTCGAGATAGTAGATCCAGTATTTCCAAAAAGGCTGCATGGCTGCGTATGGCATAACGACACCGCAGAAGGAGATCATGCCAGCACCGAGGAGAAGCGGATTCATGATTGCTGCGAAATATTCGTTAGGTGCATATGCAGCAATCGCCTGGCCGATTGAGGTGTAGAGAAATTCGTAGACTTTTGCATGAAGTTAGCCAATATGTTCTGCAATCTGAATAATACAAATGCCATGAACATACAAATCATCTGAAGATAGACATGTCCTGAGATACGAGCTTCAACTGGGAAGCCAACGGTGAAGTACCAGCAGGCGAAGTACAGTGTTGCACAAATAATGAGATAGGGGATTTCAGCCACGGTCTGCGACCCGATGAAAGCAACCCAGTGGTAAGTTTTGGACTAAATTTGTGTTAATATCGGCTCAAAACCGCAAGGAAAGAAAACCAACCTTCTTCTCTCTTGTCTCGAAAAGATCTCGATTGTGCAAGAAGTAAGGCTGCATCTGGTTGATGCAACCAGGGGCAACGAAAATGAAGTTGAAGATGGCAAAAAGTCTCAGCTGTAGGTCAAATGTTCCATCACCGATCATCCAGAAGGTGAAGCCACTAAACAGCGCGGCGAAGATATGCAAGTTAATCTTGTTCCACACGTAATCCTGACACGGTTAGAACTTGACTTGTGATAGTCTATAGGCAACTTACCGGAGATCTCCAAAGCTGGACCATTTGGCGTTCAAGAACCATTCTCCACTGGAACCACTTTGAGGTTGCAAAACTCGCTGAATCCTCCTCAACACTCTCGGCTTTGGAAAGAGCTTCCATGTTCAGCATCTCCAACTTCTGGAGGGCAGCCTGACGCTCGGAAGATTTGTTCCAAACGTCAACCCAATCGATTTCCACTTCCGTGTTGCCTTGGATAACCTCGACGATGTGCTCAGCTGGATTAGCGCCATCGGGGCAAGGAGCGCCGTTTCGGGCAAAGTAGTCCAGTAGGACATCGGAATATTGACCAGCTATCACCATGTGAGTTTAGAGGAATTAATACGGCCTAAGGATAACTTACTCTCCCCAAAATAGGCCATTCTACCTCCCTTGGCGAGCAGGAGAAGAGCGTCGAATGCATCAAAAAGAACAGCAGACGGCTGGTGGATTGTGCACAAAACAGCCTGGCCTCCATCGACGAGTCGACGCATGAATCGAACGATATTGTATGCAGACTGTCCATCCAATCCAGAGGTTGGTTCATCAAGGAACAATAGACTCGGCTTTGCGACCAATTCCACACCCAAGGTAACACGCTTCCTCTGCTCAATGCTAAGACCGGCACCGGGCACTTCAGTTGTCAGTATTGGAACAACCACATGGTTTGGTACCACTCACTTCCAATTAAGGCGTCGCAGATGTCTTCGAGCTCTAGAAGATTGATAATGTGATCGACGTAGGAAATTTTTTCCTCGTATGGAACGTCCTGGGGCTGACGTAGCAGGGCTGAGAAAATAAGAGCTTCTCTGACGGTAGCTGTGGCTTCATGGATATCCATCTGCTCGCAGTATCCGGTCATTCTCTGAAAAGAGATACCCTGGGGTTTTCCATCAATCAAGATAGAGCCTTTGATTTCACCCGCATCCTTTCGCTGGGCGAGGACGTCCAATAGCCTATTGGGATCACTGGTCAGCGATACAAGTTCATGAGAAGATCTCGGCTTCATACGTTGTCTTTCCGGCTCCAGAACACCCCATCAGAGCCACCAGGTTTCCAGGTTGAACAAATCCAAACACCTTGTTCAGGAGTTGCTTCTGGGCCCCTTGGTATTGTACGAAATAGTCAAGGTCGTGCCACGAGAATGTGGACTGTCGCGCAGCCTTGGATGGCATTTGAAGCGAGCGCTCGGGGACTTGGCCAGGTGCCATTTCAGGATCCGATGACTTCTTGGTTCGTGCGCCTCTCTTATAGAGCAAGACCGACGATCCTCCATGGTTGTTTCTGAGCTCGAATCCCAAAGCAGTCAAGGCAATGAGGAAAATCCAGAATCCAACGACGACACCAAATCCACGCCAGATGTGTCCGATGGAATAGCTGTACTGCTGCCGCACGTAGTCAATGCCATCGATCATCCCTGCGGCATCACTGCCCAGTACGGTGCAGCCTCGAAAGTCGGCGGTTTGGTTGTTGTAGTCAGCACCGAACGGGATATACTGCGGAGAAACGCATTCAAGTTTAAGCCCATCGAACTCATTCGCCATCAGGGATTCGAAAGCATAGGCGCCGGGGTTGAGATAGAAAATCCAGCGGAACCAGGGATGCATCTTGCTAAAGGGAATCAAGTAGCCTGGTGATTGAGTTAGCAAATGCGGAAGCTATCGTGGCTATCGTTTCCACTTACCGCCGTAAACGAAGAAAACTGTTGACAACAGGCCGGTGACATAACTCGCGGTTCCAAAATGGCTAAACATGGCTCCAACAGCCCTGAACAATTGACAAAAGCAAAGGGTGCTGGCGTTTACAATGATCCAACAGGTGAAGAACTTCCCAGCATCAGCCTGAAATCCACTCATGAAGTAGATGATCAAAGTAAAGCATGTGACTTGGAGCATGACCACGGGGATATCGGTGATGGCGTTGGCGATGCAAAAGGCTGTTGGGCGGTAGAATCCGAATCGTTTGTGGCGCACTAGAATGGGTCGTCCCATGAAAGATGCGGTGGTCTCCGACATAGACTCCAACAGAAAGTACAGAACGGGGAAGAAGAGGACTCCAGGGCGCAGAAAGATAGATTGGCTGGTGTCGGGAAGGTTGTAAAACAGGCTACCACAGACGAGGGCTTGGATGATTGCAGATACGACTTTGATGGCGAGAGAGAGGCGATCACCCATCATGATTTGCCATTGCCTAAAATGTTAGTCTTTGCTATCAAGAAATACACTCATGTGACATACCGTTGGGTGCAGTTGATGATTTGCTCTCGCATACCAGCAGTGTAGACGCCTCGCGTACCCAGCTGCCATCTTCTCTGCCTCTTCTCTCTTTCGACGGCCATTTTCAGGTCGTCGACTTGATGATGCAGACTCTCCGGCGGCTGAATGAGCTCCTTCATCAGTCTGCATGTGTCGCTCCGCTTGTAGGCACTCTCAAACTCCTCGGGCGTGGTCGGGACTTGATGCTCAAGCCCCGGTGCAATCTCGCGCTCGGTCTTCACGGTGACGGACGTGAGGAAGTCGGCGATGTTTGCTCCCCTGGGACAGACGAACCCCATGTCTTCAAAGTACGACTTGGCAGCGGTGCGAAGGCCGTAGTAAATGACACGGCCTTCAGCAAGAACAATAACCTTGTTGAATGCGTCAAAGATGCCGTTTCCAGCTTGGTAGGTTGTGAGTACAACGGACTTTCCGTTGACGTCAGCATCCTTTCGGAGGGTCTCCACGAATTCAAGGGCTGTCTTGGAATCGAGGCCTCGCGTTGGCTGATCCCAGAACTGCAGAGGACTCTAAGAACATAATTAGTCTCTAAAATCATACTGGTATGATTCGTTGAAAAAAACAAACCTGGCTAGCCATCACTTCCGCAAGGGAAACTCGCTTTCGCTCTCCGCCAGAAACACCGCGGATGAACTCATTTCCGACCAGTGTTTTCTTGGTGTGGCCGATGCCCAAAGAATCAAGAATGTTGTTTCGCATATCCTGGACGAAATGGTGCTTCTTTTCCACATGCTCGGGTCTATCGCGGGGAACTTTGTTTCGAAGTGCAAACTTCATTGTCTGGTTGACAGTCAAAGTCGGGAAATGAATATCATCTATCAAGGCTGTCAGTTTTTGAAATGACATCTTTGAGCGCTTCGGAACGGACCTTCAGTGTTGAAAACAATCTGCTGGCGATACTTTTTTGTTTCATTATGATCCATGCTACCGTATCGCGTCTCTCCTACGACTTCTTGAAACGACTCTCGGTGGTTGGAGAGCACGCGAAGGAGAGAGGTACAGCCTGATCCAGGTCGGCCCAGTACGAGAAGCTAATCTATCAGTAAAGACTAAAGGTTTTGGTTAATTAGAACATACCATCTCTCCTGGGCTCACTTGGCCAGTTACGTCATGTAGAATAGTCTAGTGCTGTTAGTGTTCCACGTCCATAGTCAAGCTGGATATTCAACTGCATACTCTCTTTGGTCGCTCATCACGACTGAACAGGTCCAAAAGCTGTCGAGGATCAACTCTCGACCAAAGAGTCTCTCCAAGAGCCTCATCAGGGGCGGTTACTCTCACACTAACATCCTTGAAAGTCAGGGTGAGGTGCTTCTGGATGAAGTCTTTGCCGCGCTCCTGGTCAACACTCTCTTGTTCCACATCTGTATCACTGGATGATCCGTATTGTGATCCTTGGCCGTGAAGCACAGATTGGCGTGGGAGTTCAGCCACTGTGTCGGTGTCTGTGGGTGTAGACGTCATGTTGGCTGCTGCTTAGCTCGAGGAGATACGTGATTTGGCGATGATTCTCTCCTCTCGCAACAACAACTTGAAGAAATTGAGGCTCAAGAACTGCTTCTCATAAATTATTTCTATCTAGACTCTCATGGTATATATGAGATTGTAAGTTCGGCAACAAACCCGATCGTTACTCATACATCCGTACTGCCGGATATCCGCTCTAGGTCCGCCATCTACCGTATTTCCACCGCCACGACCTATCAACCAAGATAGGGATTGACCAGCACCGACGAATCACTGAACGACAAATTGCAGAATTCCAGCATTTGGCCGCCCGTCATCTTCCTGACAAATCCATCACAGCGGATCTGGGCCAGTATTATTAAAGCTGGACGCTCTAAACCCCGAGACATCAATGTCAGCTGGATCCACCCTGACGTTTGTTGGGCGGGAACCATGCGTCCATGACTACAGCCGGCCGTGTTTATCAGGAAGCGAAGTTAAATGTCTGGCTTGCATCAAGAGACAGGAAGGTCTCCATATCCATAGTTCCAAAGTCAATATCCCAGCCGACATCAGCGGCTGTGAAGTCGATCTGGTCATCAGACCGCAAGCCCGATGACGGCGAAGTCCCGTTCATCCCGCCAGAAATGTCGAACCCGAATGGCATGGACGGGTACGTAAATGCCGGTGTCTCGCCGATCCCACTAGCTGGGATTATGGACGAGGGACCCGGCATCGCGGCGGAATGGACGCTTTGTTGGGCTTCTGATTGCCGTGCTTCCGGCTCCACTTGGTCCTTCAGTTCCAAGTCGGGAAATACTGAGCGGACCATTTGTTCGATTGATGCAATCGTAACAGGCAACTGCCCGCCGCTTTGGCTTCTGGTGACCATCGAGCGGAGACATCTGAGTGCCGAGTGAATCCAAGGAAGGTTGCGATGCGCAGATTTCCTCTCTTGCAACATGTCAAAGGCCAAAGCATAGCATGCGCCTTCGATGAAGAAGCCATGGTACTTGATGTCCTATTATTGGTTAGAGGCTGTAAATTTCAAAGAGAAAACCTGTCATCTCGCACTTACACGGCACAAGACGTTGGTAGCGCAAGATCCAGTCAAGAAACCGATTGAATTTCTCGCAGCTTCCAGGCAATATTCGCAAGCGGTGTTGAGCCATGATGGAGGGGTATGGTTGTTTTCCGCAGAGCCGTCGTCAGATGAGGAATTATCATGCTTCAACTTTGCTCGCAAAATCAAGAACGGCCTGAATGTCAATAGTAGGGTGTGGTGATACACTAGCTAGTTAGCATTAGATGCACGTCGATGACTCGGCTTTGACTTACTAGTAGACACCATAGCTTGGCAAACCCCAAGTTCTCCAGTACTCGCGTCTCCGACGAGGCCGAATTTCATGTCTTTTGACTGCCTTTCCGCAAATCGGTGTAGCTCGCGACGGATCTCATTTGCCGCGTTCCACACCGGTAGGAGTGAGTCATGTCGCGGGCTATAAATGAGGCGGACACACTTCGACATGATGCGAGATAGGGTGACGAGTGAGATCAGCAACTTGTGCTCGCTAGGAACTGGAATACTTGACCCCGGATCAGGAATAGAACTTGGGCGACCGACAACAAAGCAAGTCCAGCTGTTCTGAGGTTAGGAGCCGAGCATATTCAGTTTGAGGGGGATTGCAACGTACGTTTCCCAAAAATACAAGCTCCAGAACAATAACCTTCGTTGTTCTACATCCTCCATGGATTGACCGGGGCGAACGCAGAGGTCCTTATGTAAGCCAGCTGCGACAGCTTTTCTTACCGCAGTGCCGATGTGGAGAAATTGCGAGTTCGGCTTAGCTCTCTCCGATTGGAAGTGACCGTAAAGCCATGTCAGTAGATGAAAAGGTCCGTTGTGGGAAGTGAAGACTTATCATCATGAGGTGTATCTGAACCACTTGCGTGTTGACCACCTCATCCAGCTTGGCAGCTCCCTGCTTTGCCTTCTGGAACAAAAATTCCGCGATGGCTTCATCCCCGGTCATCGACGCCCCTAGTGCTACGGCCAGCATTATTATTATGGTGTCTGATGAGTCAAAGTCGAAGATTCCAGGTGGCTGAAACAAGCTATCCAGACGCCGCCTGTACGTATTCTTGTCCAGAACCGGAATGCCATGCCAGTACGTCAAGAGATATCTCTCGAGCAATCGTCTTGCCGTGTCAGGATCAAGCAACATGGCAGAATAGTCTTCAGAGATAGTTGCTGGCCGCTGGTTGTCGGCCAAGTCACCGAAGAACAATCGTCGATGGCTGAAGAGGTCCAGGCCTGGCCCAACCTCCTCGACGCCCTCGCGCGGTGGGGACTTGGGTCGCGTCCCTTCAATCTGGTGGTAGATGGAGTTGAGTAGTGCAAAATTAGATGACGGGCCATAGTAAAGCTGAAGAAGACATGAGGGCGATGCGCGATGGGTAGCGGCCACGCTCATGTTGTTGATGCTTCGCTCACTCCCCATGTTGGAGCCGGGCGGAGCGACCGAGTCCGCCATGTCGGCGGCTTCAGGGATCGGCGTCGGCGCGGCGACTGATCCATCCTCGGACGGTTCAAGCGACGGGGATTCCTGGGCCTCCTGCGACATGATGTTCTCATAGGCGGCCATTCGCGGTTTGGTCTTGCGCATGCGATTGCGAGCCTTTTCGCGATAGACGCAATTGAGGCCGCGAAACTTGCAGCTCTCGCAGGGCGTCTGGCCATTGCACTTGATCTTTTTGACGCGGCATTCTTGGCAGGCCTTTGAGATGCGCCATTTCGTCGGGTTCATGGTGGTTGTTCTCGATGCCGGCTGAATGAGCATGGCGTACCCGTATTACTGAGTGAGTCCGGCCAAGATCTGACTGAGTTGGGTAAACGTACGTGGATTGGCGCGCTAATCCGATACCGCGGCTTTGGTGCATAGTTTCATGACAGGTTTCGCTTTAATACATCTTCATGCTGCCAGTCCCACAGTCGGAGCATTCCATTTTGGGTAAAAGCTCCCGTCGCCGTCATGCCATGCATTGACGCCATGCGAGTGCATTCAGTTGCGTCTGGGCGTTTTTGCAGTCTCCAAAAACTGGATTGCTGGTATTATTAGTTACTGTAATTACGCGTGCTAGCTTGTTTTTTAATCGCGACTATTTCCAGTGCTCCTTGATGACATCCACAATTACTCCGTGGTCCTCGTCCTGCTTCAGTCCACTCACGATGACCGTCGCCACAATTCCCTCAACACCCTTGACGCGGATGGGAATCGCGCCACCGTGGATCGCATAGTTGCATTTCTGCTCGTCGCCGATGGCGAACTTGGAGCTGAACAGAGCCTCATCGCCATCAAACTTGCAGTGCATGTACCAGCTGCTGTTTCCGAATCGGAGAACTGTATTCCGCTTTCGGCTCACCCAGCGCTCGTTGTCGGGAACCACACCGGGGCCGGTCACCGTTTGGAAGACGACTTGTGAGCTGTTGGCCAGGGCAATGGAAATCAGCGCCGGCGTCTTCTTGGCAAAGGGGAGGAGACGAGCGTAGAGTAGGTTGCCCAGAATAAAGGTGTCCTCGCTGGTGAAGGAGTCCAACGTGAAGGAATCACCATCAATCTTGAGTTGCTCGGGCTATATTGCATTTTCGTTAACCATGAACGAACTAGCGCGTGGTCGAGCTTACGTCTGAAGAGGGCTTGGGAATCGGGACCGGAGCGCCCGGGTTCTGGATTGCCTCCTGCACCTTTTGCAAGGCTGCAACGGCGGGCACCTGGCGAGTGAGGACGGTTTGAGACATCTTTTTTCTTGTTATTCAAGCTTGATGTTTGATGAAGACAGGTTGACGTTGATTGAGAGAAGACCATCGCGACTCTTAAGAATACCACTGTGGACCTTACTCCGCATCTGCTTCCAGAGGTATTCCGCCGTGAACCTCGCCGAGGGCGGAGCCGTCGAGACATTCCAAACTCAAAACGTCTAGCTTCGCCGGAGATAACCTGATGATTGTTCCAATAGGATTGTCGCCAATAAGTCGCCAATCCACGCCTTGCAGCTCAAACTGCACATCAAGGCATGGAATTGAGCGCATCAGCTGCCAAGGTGATTGGCCGGTGTTAGGGCAGTGTTTCCCCACGGCGAGTCGCGGGCAACTCTCCGGCCTGGCAGCGCACGCAGTACCAACGCCATTGCATCTCGGGTCCTAGACCGGGATGCAGAGAAGGTGACGGAGCAACCAGTTGGGTAGTCGGCGCCGCAGCATCCTTATCTGTAGTTTGAGGCAGTTTGAGAGTTTTCTTACTACTATTATCACACAATGCGGATTTCATCTTCGCCGGCCCAACCCAACACCGTGTTATAGTGGCTTGTGGAGTCCCTCACCCTCTACGATACGACACAACTCAAATCTTGAATCCTGTTTGGAAATATCAATGGAAATTCTCCAAACTCACTGTCTTGACTATTGGGGTACAAAACATGGGTTCTATTTGCTGCACAGTATCTAGTAGGAACTTGTTGTCATGCTACGAACTGTGCAACACTTCTACGGGGAGCCCCAGCTGAGTGCCGCCGACACCAATAATTAGTCTGCTCTCGTCGTGATTTTGCTTCAAATATTTAGCACCACTAGGAAAGAATACGTTCCAGAGATTTCATTCTTATTTCAATATAAATTTAGCCATTATTCCATCATCTCCGATTACCACCATCTTTTATTATTGATCGGCGGTTTACGTGATGTCCTCGCCGTAACCGAAAAACCACTCCAAGAAAACAACCTTTCTTGACTATATCCGAATTAGGTCAACATCGTTGACTAAAGCGCCGGATTTTCTCAAATGGATAATGTATAGATATCTTGAGGCCACTCAAAGGCTGCTCATAGGCATCAAATTGCTGTTCTGTCCTGCAATGCAGGTTGACGACACCGCGATGATACCGTGGTCAGTGTTATATGGAAGCAATCCCCGGCCTAAAGCGTCAAGACAATGATAGAAGAAGTATATAGAGGACTTGCTCTGTCTGAGCTCATATTCAATTGGAAATCTATAGAGCCACCAATTGACAACTGACGACGGTCCTGAACCGCACCCTAAAGACATCAGTCGCTGAGATGCCGCATTTGATTTCAAGTTCATCAACCCCATGTACTCTTATGTTATTTTTTCCAAGATAGAGCGATTGCCTCGTAGGGTTTCTCTTGATAATTTAAAGATCTGAGTCATCTCGCTCGATAGTACCCTAAGAACCAGACATGGTGTCTGGAATTCACTGAACTCTTTTATAAATATCTCAGACCCGGCCGTATCAGCTTACATTGACCATATACGTCATTGTCGCCATTTCTCATCATTTACTGATTAACGAGTCGGCCCCCGAAAACTTAGAACTCGTCGACAGGAGGGCGTTCCCCGCTTAAGAATTCTTCGTGTTCCACACTGGCTCGGAGAAGCCGTTGATTGGACTGGCCGCGCCCTTCCACGCGCCCTTCCACGGTTAGGGGCGGCAAATCATGAGCGGATCTCGCAGCGATGGTCCGACATAACCCTCTCGCCATTTCCTACCCAGCATTCCATATTCGCAAGCCATCCCGTCGACAATATCTTCAAAAAAGCAACCATGGCGCTTTCAACACGTGCCCAGAACGCCGAGCAGGCAACCAAGGGGCTGCTCATCTGGGAAGTCATCCCGAACCTCTGGCACCCCGAGACGAACCCCGACGGTATCGTGAGCTTGGGAGTGGCAGAGAACTCCCTCATGCACAATGTCCTTTCAGAGCACATCCACGAGAACCTCGCCCTCTCGAATCCTGCCTTCACGTATGGCGACGGCACAACGGGTACCAAACGCATCAAGGCGTCCGTCTCCCGCTTCCTGACGAAGCATCTGAAGCCTGTCAGGCCGATTGAACCTGAGCACCTCTCCATGACCAACGGATGCAGTGCCGCTATCGAGCATCTTTCTTGGGCTGTGGCGAACCCTGGCGAATGCTTTCTTCTCGGACAGCCATACTACGGCACTTTTATCCCGGATCTCACTTGCCGATTTGGTGCCAAGGTTCTTCCTGTTCCCTTCCAGGACGTTGATCCGCTTGGCGAAGATGCCGTTCAGAAGTATGAGAATGTTCTCCTCGAAGCCCAAGCCAATGGCCAAAAGGTTGCAGGACTCGTCATCAGCCACCCACACAATCCACTGGGTCGGTGCTATTCTCGCAGCGTCATCATCAGCCTAATGAAGCTGTGCCAAAAGTACCAAATGCACTTCATTAGCGACGAGATCTACGGCTTGTCAGTCTGGCCCAATACTGTTGACGCGCAACCTCCTTCCGTTCCTTTCGAATCTGCCCTGGCTATCGACCCAACCGGCATTATCGATCCCTCTCTCGTCCATGTTCTTTGGGGCATGTCAAAGGATTTTGGAGCCAACGGAATTCGCGTTGGAACACTGATCTCTCAATCCAACCCTTCGCTCCATTCTTCCATTGTGGCTGTGGGACTGTACAGCTCGGTTTCGTCCCTCTCAGATCATATCACATGCAATCTGCTCGATGACGACGCCTGGGTAGATGGTTACATTGCAGAGAATCAAAAGAAACTATCCCAACAGTACACGCGGGTGGTAGCGTGGGCGAAAAAGAACGACATCACTTACGCCCCTGGCGTCAATGCTGCGTTCTTTCTTTGGGTCGACCTCGGAAAGGTCTATAGGGCACACCACCAGGTTGCCGAGAATGAAGATGTCTCAGATTCGATTACCAAGGCCTTGTTGTCGAAGAAGATTTTCCTCGCGTCTGGAAAAGATTTCGGATCCGAGAAGACAGGATGGTACAGGATTGTGTTTTCCCACCCTGATGCATATCTAGATGAGGGACTTCAGCGTGTCGTGGCAGCGCTAACGTCGACATTGGATTTCTCGAGACTTAGAATCGATTGATATTTCAGTTCTAGAATTCCTTTCATACATGATACAAGAAGAAAGATTGGGTAGCCTATCGTGCCATTCTTCGACGAGCCCAATGAATGCCTTCATAATCATCCTATCCAAAGTTCAGTTGCATGTGCTAGCTAGAACAAATCAGACCACATTTTGAATTTCAAATAGAGGGTCATGAATCCCCCCTCCTGTCCGCCACGTGGTACGGCTTACTGCGTATCCTTGCCATGTATTGTGCACATCTGCGTGCGGGGTTTCTCCTGGATCCCTGATCATTAATGTGGAACTTAACTGGGACGAAGACCAGTTTCACATCCTTCAACACCTCATCAATCCACGACGGCCTGGAAAGTGCCATACTAATAGGCAACATGGTGGTGCTGAATCTCGCCTATACCGCTCCAGTCAATCCTTTGGGCACAGCGCCAACCCTGACGCAGGATCAAGTCTGGGCTGGACTGAAGCTCAAGGCGCTCCGCCCGCAGGAATTCGTCCCCGCCATCGCTACTTGCGAGATTGTGTCTGAAGAGGCACATGAAAGTGGCTACAAAGTGGTCCGAAATGTCACTTTCCGCTCTGACTCCAATATGAAGGGCGACCAGGCTCCGGTGAAGGAAACATGCTACCATTATGCGCCAAACCGCGTTGAATTCCACCAAGAAGACGGCAGCATCATCTACAATATCATTAGCAAAGGGCCCGATGATCAGCTATTCCTGACGTATTCCTTTGAGTGGCACCACCCTGGGGTCCCAGACGGGAGCGAAAAGGCGCACGAGTTAGAGGAAACACATTGGAAGGTATATCACCCGCTCGTTGAATGCTAGAGCAAACATTCGGATTCTAATGATGAAATGCTAACACTCTCGGCAAATAGGTTGCTAAGATGGCTGTGGAGAAAAGCATCATGACTCTTCGTCGTTTGGTTGCTGATGGAGAGATTCAGTGAACCAGAGTCTTTGAGAACTATGTTGGAATGAGAGGTTTGATCTCAGAGCTTATCACGTGGCAACAAGAGAATTATATAACGGCTTGTGTCTATATTTCTATATACCTCGAAGAAAGTCCTGGTCTATCTCTAAATTTGAATGACAGTACATATGTGCAGTATATACAAGACCAGTTTCAATATCCTAACCTAGTTCTTATCGTCCATGATGTAGACATCACGCTCAAGGGCACGAGTGTTGAGCTATAGTACGTCAGTGTATAATTCTATATGCGAGTGGTAAAATAGTACTCACCACCTTGTAAGGGATGTTCTTCAGGTCAGAAATGCCGATCTGGGCAGCATCGTGAATGATCTCGTTCTTCATGAGCTGAATCAGCTTCGTGGGGCCCTCGACACCGTAGACGTTGGAGAACATGAATCTATTTCAAATTTCGTCAGTTTAATTCCTAGCCCACCAACTCTTTAGGGACTTACGGGCGACCCATGCCGACGGCCTTGACACCGAGAGCAAGCAACTTGACAACATCAGAGCCGTAGCGGACACCACTGTCAGCGAGAACCTCAGTCTTCTCGAAGACGTGGGGGGCGTTGCGGCGGATCTCGTAGGCAATCTCGAGGGGCGAGGGAGAGTAGTCAACCTGGCGGGCACCGTGGTTGGAGAGCCAGATGCCCTCAACACCCTTCTCAACAGCAGTGAGAGCATCCTCAACGGTGGCAATACCCTTGAGGATGATGGGAAGCTTGGTGCGAGACTTCATCTCCTCGTAGAGGTCCCACTAATAGCCGGTTAGCAAACGGTTCGGATACTTTTGGTAAGAGCGGCATACAGTCAGGTCAGAAGTAACGCCGTTGCTAATTTCAAGTTAGTCATGTTCTTCAGCCACGATTAAGATTCAACATACGCATTGGTGGTGTCGTAGCGGGCAGCACGGTGGCGAGTAGAGTCACCGGGAGCATCAATGGTCCAAACAATGGCCTTGGCGTTGGCAGCCTCAGCTCGCTTGATGATGTCCCAAGTGACGGACAGGTTGGCGTTGGAGTAGATCTTCTCGGATGTTAGATAAGCCACTCACTCATGGATAGGGCATCTATTACCTGCTGGAACACAACCTGGGGACCGTTGGGGGTGTTGTTGTGCTTGGCAGCGGCAATCTCCTCGATAGACTTGGAGGCGTACATGGCGGCCTATCCTTTGGGTCAGTATCGATATTTGAGAAGGAGCAAAGTCAACTTACAACATAGAGGATGTTCTCATTGGCGGAAGCATCGACGAAGTTCAGCTCAGCCCGGTCAGGGTCGCCATAGGCGGCTCGGGTAGCGGGGGAGATGAAGAAAGGGGAGCTGAAGTTGTATCCGAGGATGGTGACACTATCCAGTTTGTTAGGCTTGCCTGATGTGGGTGGTCATATATGGAGGTGTACAAACCCCGTAGTCTTGTTCACGCCAGAGACACCGACAAGTTGGTGAGGGCGAAGTCTCGCATTCTTCCAGACCTCCAGGTTGTGGCGGTAGGCTACACAACAACAGTCAGAAAGACTCCAGCATCTAAGATCACAAGCACATACCCCACTCGCCGGCGGCAGCAGTGCGGTAGAAGGCATACTGCTGGTCGGTCATGACCTGCCGAGCGGCGAACTCGAAGTCGGGGATACCGCGAATGTCCTTCAACAAGGGACGGGCACCCTCTGTGTAGTTGGTGCTGTCCAGGTAGGTCTGGAGGCCGGTATCGGGCTCGTTGAGCCAAGGCCGAGCCGCCAAGACGGCGGTAACAAGCTGAGAGACGACAGCGAGACGCATAATTGTGGCGAGAACCTCCCTGGGGGGTTTTGGTGAAAATGAATGACAGAGAGCCCCTGGGCTTTGGATTTAAAGGACCGACTTGGGTAATGTGATGAAGGCTCGTTGAGGCAAACGAAAGCCAGATGACAAGAGCGCCACGATCGACATTAATACAAAAAGTCGGGCCCGTCAACTCACCGGTTCACCCAGCGCCTCGGGATGCCCTTGACATCCCGGCGGAGCCGCTTTCCCTGAGCTTGATGAAGAGCGGGTACTGGCGTGTCAGGCGGCTCACTCGAATAGCTGCTCTGCCCTGTTTTCAAACCGTAGCGTCGGCTCTGCAGCCTGATGAGATTGATAAGATGGACCCCTAGTGCAGACGAAAATGGCCCGATGCAACCCATCGGCTGCAGCTAGCCGAGCAACCTTATGTGTCCCTTGGAAGCAACGCGCATCATCATGTTGGTGACGAGTGGTGGAGGTCTTCAGTCGACTTCTGGCAGAGTTTCCAACCCCAAGTCTCTTGCTTTTTTGCATTGCCATGCTAGACGCTATGAAAGCGAAGGTTTGTTTCAAGAATGAAATGCTTGACTGTCTCTGTATTTCAGACATTGGTCAATCACCGTCAGCGCCCCTTGCCTCCACTTTTTTGAGATTCGTAGCTTCACCACCAAGATCCGCATTTTCAGCCGCGACGAAAGAGCATCAAGCATTACAGCGGAGAACAGGAGCATCTTTACCCCGAGCACCCAGTAGCAAAAAGTCAACATCGGGCGCATCTCGTCATCCCACCCGGCTCCGACGTTCGCTCTGCTTATTGAGCCCCTCGGTTTGTTAGGGCTGTGCCTCTGCTCAGGCGGTATCCGACATCCGGAGTGGGAACACAGTGGGGGCGGTTCTTTTGCCAGCGGCCAACTTCCCGCTTCGGGCAACTGAATCTCCCGGAGGATCCTATCAGAACGGCGAGCTGCGCGATTAACGCAGGCACATAAGGAGTATAAGGGGGAGGCTAAACGTCGCGCAGGCAATGATCGCCGTAGTGGGCAGGAAATGGTGACTATGTCATGGTTGACAAATTCGCCGTCTCAAGCATGAATTATTTTCCGTCCCCACCAGGTTGGCATCACAGCTTCAACTACCGCCGCAAGACCCCCACGCACAGCCTGCTGTTCCCCTTCTCCAAAGTGCGGCGGCTAGAGACTGAAAGATGGCTGGCGCCTTGGCACGTCTCCAAATCTCCAAGGTACGTGGATGGCTTGTCTGGCTTGTTTTACGAGGCTTGGCCAAGCAATCTCCAAAAAGTCGATGTACCCTTGGCTTAAATAGCTTGTCTTGGCAATGGGGGTCACATGCTCGATTAGATTAATGCCGAAGAGCCTCATAAACGTCACTCTTCGACATCAAAAATACGATACTTTTAGAGTTTGTATTAAAACAGACCCCTTTCGTGAATACCCATATTTTAGAAATGGAGATGTGGCTGAGACCATTCTCTGCCCAAGCACTGCCGTAACTGGGCAATACCGTCCCGCAATGCCTTTAGGCGAATAGGACGTTTGGGAAAGATGAGCGTGAGGATCCGATAAAACACATTGAACAAAACCCGCCTAAATTTGATGTTGAAACTCTCTGTATTGAAGACACCAGTTGACCCCGCCGTTTGACCGTACATACTGCTTTGCAAAACGATTTAACATGAGATTGCGCAGAGAATAGACACCAGCAGTAATCAACGTCTACAGCCCCTATCAAATCCAACAACAAACATGAACAACTCGTAATTGGGCGGATAAACCCTCCCCGCTCTCTGACAGTGTATGCCAAACTTCCATTTTGTCCCAGTCCACATGACTGCCCCCCTTGTGTCACTCTAGGGTAGGGAATGACATGCCGGGCCTGACTAATCCGCTCATCCGAGAGTCCTGGCTAGTCAAAGGACCCTTGCACTAATCACTGCCGGATATCTCGGCCTCTGACCGAGGAGGCTTATAAACTACCAGGTATATATGCCGTGGAAAGAAACACCATCCACTGCAGATCATTCCTTCGGGACTGTCCGACACGTGGGAGGGCGTTTCGGGCTCCGCATGCTTATCTCTCGTCCCTTGCCTACATGAACTGTTGGGGAAACTTGGAGTTTCCGCACCTATGCACACATGGGAGGAGAAGATCTGAGCCCCACAAGTCGTAAATTATAAGTTGGTTGCATCTTGCCGAATAACAAGGGATCGTGACTCTCACCGGTGTTTGTATGGGTTAGACAAAGATGTACCCAGAGACATGTCCCTACGCCAATACATACCAGTTCCACTTGTGTAACTAGACCTTAAATGTGAGAGGGCTTGGCCTCGACAGCTTAGAGAAGTGGAAATAACGTTGCCAAGCGGGCTAGTGCACCAAAAAAACGTGAATATTTTATGCTTAGTCGTTAGTGTGGATGCCATGACACTAGAGATACGTCATCCTGACCTTTGAACATCACTACACGACGACCTGGGTTGAAGGAGAGGACTACGAAAAGACATTACGTTGGTAGTTTGGACCGTAGAAGGCAGTTACGGTCTACGGATTTCACATTGGGAATAGCAAGAGGAGGAGCGTAAAAAACGCAAAAGACAGCTTCATATCCGACACCCAGACGTTTCGATGTCGCAGCAATTTGTTAAGTCAGCTGTTCGCCTGCTTGCCAAGCATTTTTCTGATGGAAATTGACTCTACAATTAAACATGCAAGTGCTTACTTTTACGAGCCGTGGTTTTGGTCGCCAGTATTTCACCAAGTTTCGCTCACCAGAAATTCCAAGTGTTGGTAGAATGCATCCTGGATCCTGACCTAGCTATGAAGTCGAATCCTGTCGCATACCAACAGCTTGGACGGGGCCCACCTTTTAAAAAGATTTGTCTAGATAGGCGATAAGGGTGCACTGTTGCCAGGTCGGATCTGTCGTGGGTTGATCTAGATCCAGTCTGGGGATTTTCTGGAGATTCCTGGGGATTTCAAGCACAGGTGGCGTGACAAGTTGAACGTCGCACCTCAGATGGAACGGCTCCATCGAGATCATCTAGGACGGGCCCGCTTTGCAACAACATATCATCGTCGATGCTGGAAGCCTTCCGGGAGATGGTTTTGGGTGGCAGACAGCACGAGCCTTGGAGGAGAGAATTATTCATATCCGGAGTGATGCGTTCGTCCGAGAAGCTGCTGGGGCTGCTGGCTCGCTCGCCATGGCTGTCATACGATGACACAGATGATCCGGGAGAACGGAGCGACATTGTCGATATCTAGTGATAAAACCTCAACCGCGATTATCTCAACCAAAACGTTAGCCATTGATCTCAAAGCCGAGGTAAGGGGAATCACGGAAGCGGCATCATGGTTATCGCTTCAGCATCCGCGTTCTCTCCCGATGCATTTACCAAAGTGGCACGCAAGAGTGATATCTGACTCGCCGACAACTGACTCGAAAGGAGGCGACAGTGATTCTGGCCTTCTCGTGGAATGATAATGATTAGGAATAGTCTGATCCCGAAAAGATCCGAGGCGTGGTCTTGAAGGATTGTGCGCACTTCGCGCCCCCTTCATTTTGGGGTAGACGGAAAAGTTCCGATGATATAAGCAAGGTTGTTATCGTGGTCCAAGTGCCACAATAGCCTGGAAAACCGACATCGCTTCTGGAAGCCTGGCAAATGGGGTACGGGTGGCGCGCGGTGAGAAGGCCGATAGGTATTTCGAGGTTCCAGGGCTTGTTATTCATATCCACCGCAAACTCAAAGTCTTTGGTCCGTCTCCATACTGATGCGTCGCTTGTCAGTATTTGCAACCCTCGTGAACTGTCTGGACCGCTGGGACTCCGTAGGGCCCCGCTCCGTTACATGGTACCGTGGGCTTTCGTCGCACTGGATGTGACCTCTTTTTTTTCGTCTTTTTTATGCGCGCATGAGCCTCGGACCAGGGAGCCTTGCTGATCCCTGGCCTCACAACCAACACGGCGACACACCTTGGGGAAGCTGGACGGCGCAGGATGTGAGCCGTTCACACCTCGAGGGCTCGTCTCGGGGTCTGTAGGAGGCTCGGCCCCCAGATATTACCCCGGATCGGCGGAGAAGATAGAGATAACCTCGGATAACTCGCACCACGGCTCCAGAATCAGTATATCAGCCGTACGGGGCCCCAGACTCGTCGTTTTATCCTGGGTCCGTGGATGGATCTCGCCCGTCTTTTCCCTCGTGCGGGTCATACGAGTCGCCTCCCAGCCCGGTAAATCCCTGCACCGTTTTGCCGCCCACGTCCCAGCGCCGTCGTGACTCGTCAGAGAGCCCCACGAGGCTGGCCTTGGGCCTACGAATGCCTCTCGAGAGGGCGAACAACATGGATGCGCGGATCCGAATACACCTGCGAGCAGCGGATCCGTCAGCGATAGACGTGGTCCGTGTCTGAGCTGCGAGGATATATCGGACCATGACGGCGAGGGTGTTGAAGCACCTCCGCAGATACAATGGAGCCACGACTGGGCCATCGTGGACATCTTGGTCATCCTGCATACACCACGTGGAGGCTGCGGGAACCATGACTCAAGGCGATACGGTAGAAGGACCAGCCCAAGCTGTGGTGGTGAGCGAGCGTCTGGTGTCGGTGTGGCCGCCCCCCGCGTCGGGGGAACTGAGGTCATCGCGACGACGGCTCGGGCACCGCTCGGTGGCACTACGCCCAGGCAACAAGTGCCGAAGAGATCTTTTGCTAGCGGGTGATGGCGAGTGCAGAGCCTGCAAGCTGCTCCAACGAGTCCACGCATGCCCTGGTCGGGAGTCCACGCGTGATGAAACATCACCAACCCTTGCATGGGCATGTTGCTGGTTGGACACGCGCAAGGCGGGGGAGATATCCTCGTCGCCTCCACCTCTGCAGGACTCCCGGCCGTGTTCTAGAGCGCTCGTTGGGCCCCATATATTATCATTATCCTGTAAGCTTAACGCTGCACCTTAAACGGTAAACCCGAAGGTTATTGACGAGGAGCCTATCTTCGGTTGCACTGGCGCATCAGCTCGCGCGGGATCGGCGCTGCGAGACGACCCCTTCCGTTCCTTCTGTTCCTTCTGGACGCGAGTCTTTGCCGCTTTGGTCGAGCCGGTGCAACATGGGCAAGCAGTTTGCAAGGAAATGACTCTCGGAGCGAGCATCGTGCTCCGTAGTGTTGTCGCACATCATCGATGGCCATGCCGAGTAGCCGTGTTGGCAGCCCACTGACCAGGCTCTCCGCACCCTCCACCTCAATCTCGTTACCCTGATCCATGGTGTATACCCCGAGAGGGAGGAGAAAAGACGGAGAGAGGCTGGGGCGCGAACGGTGAAGCGAGACCGAGCACAACACCCTAGATACATCCCCGCCGTGGAGCAACACGCAACAGGCAACGTAGGCATTCATTCGTAGTGTCGCTCCGCAACGCAACGCCTGCCCGATTTGATCCGCTCTGGATCTGTGTCTTGCGGTAATTTCATTCGCTCCGTGGCCTCATCGCGTGCGGGCCTGGGTGCCATCACCATCAGACGGTGATTCCCCGCATGCCTCACCTCGTGTCGGACGGCGCCCGACCCGCGTCCAAACAGCGACAAGATCATCCCCCCCAGTTGCGGGGAAAGACACCACACGGAGATGCCCCCTCAGTCCAGTCCGCGACATCCCGGTTTCCCCAACTAACGACCAGCTAGCAACAGGCCAGGGCCCGCTTGCGCTGACCTACCCCACGGCGGCGTGTCATGGTTCCAGGGGGTGCGAGATAGCGTGTGGACTGGTGAACCTGGGTGAAGGTGGGAACGTTTGGGGTTGCATCTTGGGGATGTTGGGCGGCCGCGGCCATGAACGTTGATACATAAAGTAGCTCCCGTCTCTCCAAGTCGGAGGAAGAAGGGAGAGAAATTCCAGAAGATCATCCGCCCCGGTCTCTCTTCCCAGGTCTCTTCCAGGTCTTATAGTCTTATAGGCCTTGTCCCTTCTCCAACCCTCCAATCCTCCAGACTTTCAAACCAGTCCCAGCCAAGGGTTACACTGGCTGCTGAGAGCCTCCCTCTTCTTCTCTCCCCCTCTCTGTCCGAGTCCTGACCTTGCCTCTGCGTCATGGATTCAACTGAAACCCGCCGTGGCGAGCCCGCCGACCCTCTCGCCAAGGGCATCATCGCCACTGCCAAACAGTCTCTGGGCGACCTCCTCGTCTGGAAGCAGCGTGTTGTCGTCTCCAACGAGAACGGCGAGACGGCCACAGAATGGCACGACCCGGATCCCCTCCAGAACCCCATCAGCCTCATGGCCCAGCTGTCCGCAAAGGACTGGACCTTCTTCATCGTCGGCTTCTGCGCCTGGACCGCGGATGCCTTCGACTTCCACGCCCTCTCCATCCAGACCGTCAAGCTGGCCCACTACTACGACACCAGCAAGACCGCCATCACCACTGCCATCACCTTGACGCTTCTGCTGCGATCCGTCGGCGCTGCCGTCTTCGGTCTCGCTGGTGACAAATGGGGCCGCAAGTGGCCCATGGTTTTCAACATGATTGTCCTTGGTGTCCTGCAGATTGCCACCATCTACAGCTCAACCTTCTCCCAGTTCTTGGCCGTGCGAAGTCTGTTCGGCCTCTTCATGGGCGGCGTGTACGGCAATGCCATTGCCATGGCGTTGGAGCAGTGCCCGTAAGTCCCCCCCTCCCGAGTTGGAGAAAATTTTATCCCCGTTCTAATTTCGTGCAGCGCAAACGCGAGAGGATTAATGTCGGGCATCCTGCAGCAGGGGTACTCCTTTGGTTACGTCTTGGCTGCGTGCGCCAACCTTGGCGTTGGAGGCGCAACCAACACCTGGAAGACAGTTTTCTGGATTGCCGGTAAGTTGTAACCTTCGCTTGGAAACACCAAAGCCTAAGCATCATGGAACTAACCGCATGACACTCACAGCGGGAATCTCTATCGCCATCGGCATCATCCGCATGTTCTTCCCCGAGTCTCAACAGTTCCTCGATGCCAAGGCTAAGGGCAAGGCGACTGCCACCCCCGGCGCCTTCTGGCGAGACTGCAAGAAGATGTTGGTCCAGGAGTGGAAGATGTGTGTCTACTGCATCATCCTGATGACTTGGTTCAACTACTACTCCCACACCTCCCAAGACTCCTACACCACCTTCATGCTGTCGCAGAAGGAGCTGGCCAACGCCGGCGCTTCCCGTGCCTCCATCATGATGAAGGTCGGCGCCTGTGTTGGTGGAACCATCATCGGATACCTCAGCCAGTTCATCGGCCGTCGCCGCGCCATCATCATGTCCGCTCTCATGTCCGCTCTTCTGATTCCCGCCTGGATCCTTCCCGAGGGTGAGCGAAGCCTGAGCGCTTCCGGTTTCTTCATGCAGTTCTTCGTCCAGGGTGCCTGGGGTGTCATTCCCATCCATCTCAACGAGCTGTCCCCCCCTGCTTTCCGATCTTCCTTCCCTGGTGTCACCTACCAGCTCGGAAACATGATCTCGTCTCCGTCTGCGCAGATCGTCAATGCCATTGCTGAAAAGACCTTTGTGACGCTCAAGAACGGCGACAAGGTTGAGGCATACGGCCCAGTCATGGGTGTGGCCACCGCCATCATTGCCTTGGGAATCATCTTCACCACCATGCTTGGTCCCGAGAAGCGCGGTAGACACTTCGAGCACGCTGTTGCTGGTATGGGAGAGGATCTCAAGCCCGCCAAGGACATCGAGACTGGAAGCATTGACAAGGTTGAGCTGGAGGAGCGAAACTAATTGCTAGAAGCAAGTTTCAAGGCATGAGTTTATGGGAAAGATATCCAAGTACTTCAAGCCTATAGCACGTCCAGTAGAGATATTATGCATTGAGCAAATATGTACTCCATCAAGTTCCTCTTTCCGGCGATTGTTTAAGTGAAACTCGATGAGAAGTTGTGAAAGACATCAGGCTCACCTGCGGATAAGAATAGACTCAGGTGCCATGGATAAAAATAGACTCTGGTGCAGTAACGTTCCAGCATTTAGTTGTGTCGTACTGTCGCGGATAACTCTGCTAGCATGGATCACTATAGTATATTGATAGTATATTATGATACAATTTATTACTGAACTGAGAGTCAAGGTAAGAGTTAAAGTAAGAAATAAAGCAAGAGTTAGAGTCAAGTATTTATTTTATTTTATTTATTTATTTAATTGGTATTAATTGTATACATTTAGTTGTGATTAAGCTGACTTGATTTATCCCCCGCTAGAGAAAGCCTACCTCATCTGAATCTTCACATGTTAAGATCGTGGATTCTACCTGTGGTTTTCCGTATCCAACTTCTACATAGCAGTTGCAGTTTTTACGCATCGTCGAAAGCGTATAATAGCATGGCGTGGCCAAGTGTTCCAATCCCAACCATTCTCTTGAACCTGGGGTCGTAAGAGAATATAAAACGGGCAAAATACTGGATTACCTTCTTTCAATGGGATAGTGGAGTAGCACTTGGACTCCAGCGCTGTTAGACTATAGAATTCTGCAATCTTCTGGAACGTCGGGTATACTGGTACCCATGAATCTCTTTGGTTATTCGGAAGTGAAGTCTTCCAATGATTTGACTTTAATCCAGGTGGAAGAAAGAGATCGGCAGAGGTTAAAGGTAAGAGACGTTCTTCGTCTGTTTTTGTCTTCATGCCCTCCCGCAAGGCATTGAGCATTTCCCTTTTCATCTCACTCGATGCCTAGGTGGAAATGGCAAATAAAAAAACCCTGTGCATGATGGCCACATTTGAGAAAGTATTATATGTCTAGGTCTAGGTCTACCTCAATCGGCGCACCTCGAACGAGGGTTCATCGTATATACCAAGCCAAACTGAGACCAAGGTCAGTATGATCAGACAGTCTACAAGCGTTGTCAAGTTGAAGAATGCCGTTATGATACACGCTTCCTTTTTTAAAAAGAAAAAAACAAGGGCTGATTCACTGCCATTCGTCATAGAAGGCAAATATTAGTGCCTAAGCAGGTAACTCGTGAGCCGTTAATTGCTACTCCAGTAGTTGGTGCCAATATAGCGGTAAATAAGGTGAATGGACGAAGAATCACGGAGACTGCGCAATAACTGCATCAGGCAGAAACAAAAGCGGCCACAAAACACCACCGCACCACCTCAGAAACAAAAATCCAAATTCCCTCTCCATAACCACAAGTTCCTTTTCCACAACCACGGGTGACAGCATTGCAACCCATCCGCGAGGAGTTTTCGAATCTCTGGGAGTCAACTTCCCGGCGGACTGCTTCAATTACCCAAAGGTTGGCGCAAAGAAAGAGAAGACTTGTTTCCAAGGAATAATCGAGAAACCCGCCCGACCAGGATTGGAAGACTCGAAGCCCACTCAGCAATTTACCTCAATCAACACATCGAAGGCGTCAATTCCACGACCAGCGATGGCCAAGCGACCGGTTAAGGCATTGAAGATCACCCTGTATTTTTTAGAAGAATCCTACGTCCAGCTGTCTCTTTTGGGATATCCCGCCTAGCCAGGGCTATTGGAGACGTGCAACACCGCAGTCTCCATCTGCCTTTTGAGCGGGCTGTGGGTCAGTTAACCACGCTGTTGCTCATTTCCCCTACAAAATATAAGGCTGATAGTAAACCCTTACTTTTCGAAGTAAGACCCAAACTTTTCTTATTAGCTAAGTACTGAATAATAAAGGTCTAAGAGGCTCGTTAGAGACTGAAAGACACTGCCCACGTACTGTACTACACTACAGCCCGTACATACCTCTACCTCAGGAAGTTGTCAAATTTCCTGCACCAGGCTTCGTACTACCATCGCCCATTGGTCCTCTGGTTGATCTTCGGGACTGCCACCGTTTCTTACCGCTTAGACCCAAAGGTCTCACCGTCTGCTGATGATCCCACTACCTCGTAGCCACCGTTTTGTACGGCCTGTATTCCACCGTTTACAGCGAGCAGGTCGTCTCCAGCTCGCTCTACCTCTGGCTCGATGGAATCTTCGATATTACAAGATACAAAACTACTCTCCGTCAATCCAGCTGCTAGCGACCGTTGTCTCCTCAAATCCACTTCCCGCGATAGTTGCACGCCGATATACACCAAAGTTCAAATGTCCCTGTCCAACGAAGCCATCATCGCCATCGTCGGAGTCGCTACCAGCCTCCCCCCGGTTGCGTTAATTATCTGGCAATGCTGGATAAAAAACCCCAATCCAAGGGCATATAAATCCTGCCGGTTTGTCTGCCCTTTCTTACCAATGCTTCCGGGCTGGATGTTGATCACACATTGATGACCATTCAGGGCAGGTACTGCTTGACGATATCGAAGGCCAAGAGCTCCCCCGCCTCCGTTCTCGAACCCCAACGACCGATGTCATTGTTCTGTTACGACACTCTTGGCTCTGAGGCCGACTGAATTTGAATATGGAGTTGTCCGAGGGGATGAAGTTGATGGGAAGAAGCTTAATAGGAAGAGCGCCGCAAAGTTGTTTGGATCTAGATCTGAGTGGGTCCATGCACATACGGGGGACCTGTGAAGCAAAAAACAAACAACTTCCCGCAAGCCCCATGGCCATTTGGATCTGGATATGCGTATGTGTCCACACGTACACCTTCGTCAAGGTAGGGGGGCCCATAGCCAACTCTTTGCGAATAGAAACACCATCTTCTAGAAAATATATAGAAGTAATAAATATATCCTCTTGTATATTTTAAGTAATTGTCTAAATAGCTCTATTTTATTTTTATTTTTATGCTCTTCTATGACGGAGTATCTGTATTCTCGCAAATCTGCCTTGCTTTTTGCCTAACTAGACGGAGGGAGGAACCCAGCCGAGCCCGGGGAAAAAAAAACACAGAAGCGGGGGTTGGCCTGGGCTCAGGCAGCCGACCACCCCTACAGCCGCTACAGCCCCTGGGGCCCTCCCCTAGCTCAGGTACCTACAGTGGTGTACCTACCCACCTAAGTCATACACATTATCAACGCGCATCGTTGACCTCACAACATCAATACTACTGACGGCAGCCTTTTATCCTCCCGCATCGGCGTCAAGAGAGGCGACTTCAAGAGAAGCAGCCAAGAAAAATAGCCCATTTACTAGAAATTCATGTGCATCATGAGCGTCTCATTTCTACATGCGCATGCTGTCATGCAATGTGCGTGCCATCCCCAGTTAGTCTCTCTTAAACCATCCGAGTCTGCAACTGGGTGTTCTCCTCTCGCAAGCCCCTCAATTGCTTCTCAAATTCCTTGTTAACCCACTCCCAGTAGGCCGTCCACACACCCGCAGCGCCTGCATTACTGGTCGCTGCTCCAGCGTTACCCGTCATAGCCTTCATCTTCTCACCCAACAAGAGCGTCACTCTGAGGATGCTCTTGTTCGCCTCCTCTTGCTTCTCAAGGTCTTGCTTAACGGCGTTATCTTTGAGCTTGACTGACAGCACTGAACGGTACGACTCGGCAATCGGATTCAGTCGGCGGGCTGTCTCATCAAGATCAATCGCGATTAGCTTCGTGACCATGAGATTGCAGAGCTGGCGAATATCGTTGTCATCTTTGAGACCGTCAACAACACGGTCGTAGAAGTCAATGTTGTTGATGCGGCTAAAGGCAGTTTCCATCAGGGCGTAAAGGGTTTCATACGCGCTCTGCACTCAATTAGTATCCATTCACGGGTAGTTTCAGGGAGCGTCTTACCTTGCGGACTTCCATTCCGTCATCCACAGTGTGCTTGAAAGGACCCATCATGACTTCCCTGACGAGCTCCGTCTTGATTACTGACTCTCTTAAGACGTACGGCATCAGCTCGCCCAGATGCGGGTGAATCAGGTCGGGTTTGTTGCGCGCAGCTGTAGTGAGCGTTATCATCGCCAGGCGGCGAATGTCCATGTCCGAGTCCTGAAGCATAACGAGAAGCATGTCGATGAGAACATTTCGAAGCAATGAGTCAAAGGCCTCATCGCTCTCAGGTAGGGTGTAGCGCACAGCTTGGACAGCCATTCCGCGAACGCCCAAGGATTGGTCCCGGAGAAGAGTCTAGATTTCTCGTTAGCACTATTCATGGGATGAAGTTGTTTCGACAAACTTACCTGGAGACGGGGCATAAACACTGTAGGGTCAAGGGTGACAAGGCGCCCGACACACTCGGCACACACCACCTTGTTGTCGGCATTGTCGGATGCCTTCAAAAGCTGATCCCAGATAGCAGGAGCGTAGTTTCGCAGGTCAGTTGACTGTGCCGAGATGGATTGGAGAATCTCCTTGATGGACTGGATGAGCAGGTACTGGGTGTTTCCTCCCTTCTGCATCGTCTCCAGAATGACGGGAAGGAACTCAGGAACATTGCCGGAGCCCGCTCTGCCAAGAGCGATTGCAGCAGAAAGAGAAACCTTGTCAGGCTCCGTATGGAACTGCTCCAAGAAGAGAGTGGGCTTAAGAGGTGACTTCGTTCCAAGCCTCATTCCAGCCTCTCCTAGGACAGCGAGTGCAAGGCTCACCCGAGCGTCATCGTTACCCTTGGCGCTCGTTTGAAGCTCAGAGACGAAGCTGTTCAGCTTCACGCCAGCGGATTCACCTCCAGTCACTAGGAGTGTTCCAATCACCTTGCCGACGACTGCTGGGTCTCCGGAGACACTGACATCCTTGAGCAGGCCAAGCATGAGCGACTGGCCAGCACCACTTTCGCCAATGCTGCTGATCAACACTAGCAATTGATCCAACACAATGCTTGCAAAGTGTGACTTCAGGAGCTCGCAGAGGGATGTGATCATATCAGCAGTCACGACGAGATCGGCGTGGTCGGGTACAACCTTGGCCAGAATGAGAAGGGTTGGCCCGAGAAGGTGGGTGTCGCTGTGAGTGATGATAGGCATCAAGGCAGAGACAATTCCTTCAATGGTCGGTGGTTCCAGCTGGCCCTTGGTGGCATTTGAGAGCGCTAGGTGCTTGAGCGCCACGATGCTTGATCCTCGTAGAGCTCTGTTGGCCTTTCGCAGTTGGGCAGAGAGCTCCAGGGCAACATCTTGGATCCATGCCTTCTCGAGCTGGCCGGGGCTTCTCGAAAATGCAGCAACATTGTCGACTGCCCTCACAGCTGCCAGCCGCGTAGTCTCATTCTTGAGTCGCTCTTGGAGAACGTTCAGAGCAGCCTTGCGCTTATCAGCTGAGAGTAGGCTCGAACCCTCTGGGCTAGACGTTCGGGAGATGAGGACTCCAAGCGCATGAATAGCCCGCTGGCGAACCTCGGCGTCAGCATCGTTGGCAGAGGATCGGTCAATAATGACATCGTAAAGCTTCTCCAACTCGTCTTTGTACTTGGATCCAGTGTTGCGCGACCTTGGGGGTGTGATGGTCTTAACAAGCTCCTCAACAGTGCGGATAGCTTCGCTTGAAATCTTGTAGAAGCGGTCGTGGACGGCTGAAGCGACTCCGGCAACAATGTTAATCAAGTAGGGTTGAAGGATAGTTGAGGAGTGAGTCTTGGAGATATCGCTGATGAGCTTCAAGGCGGTAACTCGGAGAGTGCTAGGAGTGGCTGTAGAGGATCCACCCGCAGAAGCTAGGGAAGTCGAGACAGAACCAGAGCCGGTGGGCTTGATTGCTTCGATAATGGGACCAAAGACTTCATCGAAGTATTCGGCGAGGCCACCGTGTTGGACCGATACGATGTCATCCAGAAGGCTGATGACGGCTTGCTTGGTTGGGATCGTCTTGCCCTTGAGCTGCTTCGTGATGGCCTTGACAATAAGCGGTGTCAGACGGGCAAGGTCAACTCGAGGGCCAGTGGCAGGGAGTTTTTCAAGAACAGGCGAGGCAAGGCCAGGGCCAGCCATGAATTGGGAGACGGTCCCACCACCACCACTACTTTGCCGTCTTCGCTTCCGGCTAATGGGGATCCGCGACTCAGATTCTGGCTCATAGTCATCCAGCGACAGGTCGGGAGTTTCAAGTCCTTCTCCAGTCTTGCGAACAAGGAGAGAAAGTGCAGAGATGATCTCAAGTCGGACGTTCTCCTCTCTCTCATCAATGCGCTTGATCAGAAGGGGGGCAGCTTGGTTGTACAAAACTCCATTCTCGAGAAGATCTCCACTGGCGCGAGTCGAAATGAGAGTGTACAAGGTCTTGGCTGCGCATCGTCGGACCTTCCAGCTGGCGTCATCATCGTCGTCCTCGAATCCATCGTCGGCATCAAATTCGTCGTCATCGTCAGCTTCTTCCTCGTCCTCGTCCACGTCCATATCCTCATCATCATCATCCATCGAATAATTGGGATCGTATTTGATGAATCGAAGGCAAGACGCCATTGTTTCGTCAGTAAAGGGACGCATTTCTTGGGGGCAGGACGCCAGGAAAGCCTCAAGAGCGACGAGGGCAGCTTCGCGGACGTCGTTGAAATCCTGACCAAGGTCATCTCCATCGCTCAGCTGCTCTAAGTGATTTTGCAGCTCGTCTTCTCCGAGAGCTTGGAGAATGAAGGGAGCAGCTTTGGAAAGGTGAGGACCGAACCTAGAAGGAATGGACCTCGCCATGCTACCCAGGATCGATATGTAAAGGCGGCGTGTAACAGCACTGCTGCTCTGCGAGAGACCAGCGGTAATTCGGTTAACCACATCCTCCAGGTGCTCATCGGACAGGTACACAGCAAGCATCGAAATGGCGACAACAGCACGCTTCTTCACCACTGACGACCCCTTCTCGCTCTCGAGGAGTTGTATAACAACCTCCTGCATCGCTTCGACCTCGACCTGGATGAGCATGGGTCCGAAACATCGAACAACCTCTATCAACACATCGACAGCCTCGGCATTGAGGTCTCCATCGTTTTGCAGCAAGCCCTCTGGAACATCAGGGAGCGTAACCTTGGCGTTCTTCGGAACTTGTGTCTTGGGACCAGGTCCAATCAGTCGGGGAATGAGCACGCGGCTAACTGCATTATACGCTTCTTGGACATCGGAGGTGGGCGGGAGGCCTGGCACCGGGCGGGGGAGAGCGATTATTACGGATCGGAGGGCCAAAGACGGAACTGCGTTGTCCACCGAGTTCTTAAGCTTGAGGGACGAGAGCTTCTCGATCATCGGCGCAATAATCGGAGCAGGGACCTTGCCCACGAGAGGGCCCAAGCTGCACAAAGTTGGTCAGTGACTCGTTTGGTTTCGGAAACCGCCAGTTGCACGCACCATTTGATTGCCAAGTTCTGAACCTCACCGTTCTGGTCGTCGAGGGTCTTGATAATGCTATCCACAGTGCGGGCAGCGATGTTGTAGTCATGATGAAGAAAGTCGGGCTTCGCGTGTCTGAGAAGCTGCAACAAGTCGTTCAAGGACATGAACCGAAAGTCCGGGTCGGTGTCGCTGAGCTTCTGGACATGGCCCATCACCGCCTGAGGCGTGGCGTTAATGGTGGTGCTACTGGCCATGCTGGGCGAGCTTCGCTATGGCAGAACGAGGTGGGGTGAATGAAGTTGGAGGCTTCAAAACATATGTGGCGGGAGTTGGAGAGCCTCCGGGCACACAGTCCGAGGGTTCCAGAGCGGTAGACAAAAGCAAGGTTCGAGAGAAGATGGCAGGCAGAATCTCGTTCACCACCAGTGGTGTTGGAGGTGTGTGAGCGAGGTTGGAGGGGTCGAGCTCTCAGCAGGCAGGCGGGAGAAGCTCGGAGCTAGGGAGCGCTGCCCCGCAATGACATCCCACTGCCAGGCCGGAGCTCTTGGGGTGGAAATTTGGTTTATCCGATGGGCGGCTGGAGTGATCTTGCTCGAAACAAAGAACATTCCAGTTTAAGGACTAAATTAGGCTGAGATCCGAGGGAAAACGCCAGATGAATTCGGAATCGCCTTTTCGCCCAACGTACCAAGTTTCTAGAACCAGTCCAGAGACCCAGTCACATTAGCTCGCCAACATCGCTGTGGAGCCAACACTCTCCAAGCACTTTCGGTCGCGCGTTGGATAAGGTCCGCAACAGGTGCGCATAGACAAACTCCTCAATCTCGAAATGCCCAAGGACCCAAAATTAAGTTGCTATTAAATACTTAACTCATCGTGGCTTGAGCAATAATAGATGGCGCCTTAACTGAAGTTTGGGGGGTTAAGTACTATAGATTATGGGTTAAGCGCTACTATCTCACTTGGGGGCTAGCGGGGGATATTTTGAGATTATGTTGGCCATGGCACCTTTTGCGGATCCTGTTTGATGTCCCACTGTCGTCACTCTGACAAACGACAGTGGGTGGGACGAGGGGGGAAAGCATTCACGAACACTCAGTATTTATTTACTTTAAATAAATTAACAACACACTTATACTCGTAGATATGCAAGCCCATACCCGATATATCTCAATCATGTAGCTTTTGTTTCGTTTTAGTGGAGTGATTCATGGTGTCCCGACACAAGATCACGATCGATTCAATCGACGAGACCCTCCTGATTTGTATCCGCCAAACTCAATTCCCGCACCCTAGCTCCTCATTTCCTTCCGTGATTCGTTCAGATAGACCCAATCCAACTCAGGAACGCAAGACTGGCCCGCGTGGGATAGTGTCGCCACGGCTTCTGTCATTTCGTCGATGCTCGGTACCTCAGGCATGTCTGTGCATTCCTTGACAACCAGGACCTTGAGGCGGGTTTGCACAGCTGTGCTTAGGGCCTCAGTCGGGAACGGATGACGGGTTAGTCGAAGAGTCTCTGGGGCGCCGCCTATAGCGGCGAGGAAGAGTTTGAGGACGCGGGAGCCGATTCGCTCTCGCGTTGGGTGAGGGGGGAAATCAACGTCGAGCAGACGCAGGTTGCAGAACACGTCGTTTTTAGGCTGAAAGTCATTTTCTAGCACATCCAGGATGTGCTCAAAGCTTGTATCCCGATCAAATTCATCAAGAGCCCCATCTACCGAATCTGTGGGTGTAGTTGGCGGTCCGGTTACTTTACCACGGACATACAACTCTTCGACGGGGAGCTCAGACCCAAAGGAGCGCTCAACCAACAATTGGAAGAACTGATCGTCAAAGTCACTATCGTCGATGATAAGTGTTCGCAAGTTCATCCACATGTCAGGCTCGTCAAAGAAGAACTCGATGGCATCCCCGAGGGGTTCGTCCTCTTGCGTGCCGAGCTCCATGACCCGCAATTTGGGCATCACCACATAGTCCTGGCCATTGACAGCCTCATTCAGGATGCCACCAACAACATTGGTCGGGTTAAAATCCTGATGAGAGAGCCGGTGATGGAAGAACAGCGTCTCAATCTCCGGGGTCATAATAAGTACAGAGCCGAACATAAGCTTGACAAGCTCATCCAAAGGAGGAGCATAGTCCGTGTCGCTGTCAATTTCCTCGAATACGTTCGAAATATTGCCATAGTCCAACTCAAAGCCTGCGTGTGCCATGACGGCTGCGAACCCCATGTCCAGACCGTAGCGCACTTCCCACATCCTCCAAGCCCTGATGCGAGACGCTGACCATCCGGACGAGGTGTTCCAATCCAGGGCTGAGAGACATGCAACATGTTTGACATACGGACGAAGGCGTGGGTTTTGGGCCAGCAAGAGGAAGAAGTGAGTGATGTCGGCGGCGTCGGTCATCAAGATGAAGCGAAAGAGCAAGGGCTCGAGTATCGTCCTGGTGCTGCGGCATGTGTATGTCAACGCCCGCAGCGTACGATTGTTTTCAATGAAATCGGCTGAGTAAAAGCTGTCTGGGCGTGTGCTGTATGGCTCCTCTGGGAGAAGCAGCATACCGACATAGCGGACCAGTTCGACGGGCAAGGTTGAGAGTGGCATTTCGGCGATGGCCCAATAACCAAGCCACAAGTTGTTTAAAGACTGTGGGAAAGCTTAAGTAGGTGTGTATCATATGAAATCGTCTGTAAAGGTGGGTAACATTGCCTTTTGTACGGATACGGGGGGACAGCCTGAGACGGGCGCAAGTTAGGACGACGCCATGCTTTGTGGCTGACAGGCAAAGACGTCCCAACGAATCCAGCGAGCAAGTATCGCGGATCCTTGCGGCCGAGACCATTCGGGAGGTGCATCGTTGACCGGTGTGGGTAATATGCAGAAACAGGACCAACATGCAGCAAAAGACTCAGATGACAATATGTTGATGTACGAAGTAATATCTGTCATCCGAAAAAGGGAATCAGCTCAGGAGATAAGTAGTAATTGCTTTCTCCGGTCTGGGACGATGGTGTCCAGTTGTCCGCTGCCACCGGCACAAAATTGAGCTCCGGGGAAGTCGCGACCGTGCTCTACCCCCACGCCTGCCGCGTCTAGACGCCAAGCCGACTTCAACTCATCCCACACATTGGCCATCGCCATCGCAGGCCTCAGCATTCGATTTCTCATCTCAACACCCAGCTGCCAAGAAACTCCCACACATTACAAACTCGCTACTTCTGCATTAAAGCAACGAAAAAAAGCACGCTCGACGCATGTCATAGCGCACTACGCTATCTAGCTCGGATCTCAACCATGGCACGTTGCGACCCTTCTCCCCTTGCGTCTGCTCCATTTGTTGCTGCTTCTCAGCCGCAGACAATGCGACATGGACTAACCCCGGGCGCTCCCCCTCGCAGAACAAGGATTCATCCTTCACGTTTGTGCACATGCACCGGCCCCGCGACGCCGATCTGTTTGAGGATTTCTGCAAAGACAAGCTACCTGACGACGAGATCTACGTCCCGCCCGCCCACCAGCCCATCAACCCAGAGGACGAGGACGATGTCGTCCCTGACCAGCATGCCGCTTTCGGCATTCAGCGAGCCACCCAGAAGTCCAAGGAGCCCGCCTGGAAGGACCTGGGGCTGGCTGAGTTGATGAACAAAGGGCCCTCCGGCCGCGGTGGCGCGGGGTCCAAGAACGCCGGGACCCGGGCATTGCCGCGCTGAGGTGTACGCCGAGTTTTAGAGCAGCCATTGTGGCATCACTCTAATTGGATGTGTTGGCTCGTTTTTTTTTTCTTCTTCCTGGTGCCATGGCGTTGGGTGAGATTATTGTAAAAGATGGGGGTCAAAGCGAAGGGTGGTGACGACACCCACCTCGGTCAAGGATCAATTAAGGCATTTGAATGGATGGCGAGCAACAATCCGTCTGCAGGATTCAGTTTGAGGGATGCATCCAGGCTCGATCTGATTCAGGAGATGCACGCCCAAATCCCAAATAGTCACGGCACAGAGGCATTAGTGAGCAAGGGAGCAAGGGAGAAAGATAATGAGACAAAAGACTACGAGTTCTCGTATTCCGTTCTATCACGGCCATGGCCAAGCCCAAGTCAATTCCAGACCCCCAACTCCCAAACTCCGTTCGTGTCGTATACTGGCATCGCCACAGCCAGCCAGTTCAGCCAGCCATGTCTTGGCTTAGCTCTTGCCCAGAAATCCCTCTCGCTCCAGCACCTCGCTGCGGAACTTGACCAGAAACACCGTCTTCCCGGGCCACATCTCGCCCTCCCCGACGGTGTGCGCCGTCACGCGGGCGGGGAAGTCGGCCCCATCGCACACGCCCTCGACGACGCCAGCCACGAACGCAGCGCAGTTCAGCTGGCTCATCTCCTTGGGCACGCTGATGTACTGGTTGACCAGGGGTTCGTTGTCAATGATCATGTACTCGTCCGGCGTCTCGGGGTTGGCGCTCTTCTCCAGCCGGTCGGCCTGCCGCCCGAACAGGTGCTGCCAGACGTTCTGCTTGATGAAGTGCAGCAGAGCGATGATGGTGAGGGGCCGCAGCTGCGCCCGCGCGGGTTCGCGGTGGATAAGGAGGTCGAGCAGCTTCAGCCCGATGGGGTGGCCCTGGACATTCAGTCTGTAGAGAAGCATCGCACGCACCGTCAGCTCGTCTCGTCCCGTCCCGTCTCGTCTCACCGGTTCCGCGAGGGATGCCTACCGCTGCTCCAGCTCCTGGATGCCCTTGACGCGCCGCTGCGCATACGTCACCATCTCGCCGAACAGGTAGGCGAAGCTGGCCTGGCTCAGCTCGGCCGTCTTGGAGCGGTTGAGGGGCCGGTGGTAGATGGTCTTGCCGTTGCTGGGGTGCCTCAGGCCGGGCTCCTTGCCGGATGGCGTACTGGATTGGAGGTTGGCCATGGTCGGCTGCGTCGTCGTCGTCGTCGTCGCTGGTGTGGGCAGCAGGGCATGCTGTTGCTGCTAAGGTGTTTCCAGGGATTGGAGCTCCGGCTTCAACTTCGACGTCGACGGGGCGCACGTGGAAGGTGGCTTTGGGAAAGTTGGGGGGTGGGATAAGGTAAGGTGTGGGGTCCAGGAGCTAGCTCACCTGGCCTTGACCGAGAGCTCCCTTGCTCACCGTCGTTGATTGTAGGGTAAGTCATCTCCAGGCCGTTCAGCGATGGTAGGAAGGTAGGACTCCGTTAATTCGCCCAGATATCAAGAGTAGTATACATGACAGCGATTATTGTTTTATTATATGCTGTCCTTTTTTATTTACCATGTGCGTACATAAGCAATCTTTGTGTATAACATAACTAACACCCCCCAAATTCATCAATTCATAATGCTACCCCAATCTCCAAGATACCACCCAATATTATTTTCTTCGACTCTGGCCTCAACCATCTACTCTTATTACTGAACTGTCACTACCTTGGATTTCGACTCCTTTTGTTTAATCGTTGCCTCGATCCACTCGGATGCATCATCCAAGGCCTTCTGCGGTGTCTTCTTGCGCTTAAGCAAGAAACCTTGGATCTCGGCTGGCGAAAACATGCCTTCAGGAATCAGCTTTCCGAATTCCACTGATATCTTGCGCAGCTCCTCAGTTGTCACTCCCAGCCCCTCGGTCTGCTTCAACGCCACGTCGTTCTCCGTCTTCGCCTGCGACGGAGTCTTGGGGGGTCCGGAGGCGGAACCGTTACTGACAAGCTTGGCGCGCTTGGCCTCATACATGCGATGGAACAGCTCGGCGGCCTGCACGCTTGAAGCGTTCTTGAAGCCGACTTGAACGTCGACGCGACCTGGACGGATGAGTGCCTCGTCCAGAGATTCGGGCTTGTTGGTCGTCATGATGAGGATGCGACCTTCGTGCGAGGCGACACCGTCGATGGCGTTGAGCAGACCCGAGAGGGAAATGCTTTCTACTGTGAGGATACCGCTCATTCCTCTGCTCTGTTTTCTTTTCGACTTTGTCTTCTTTGTCTTCTTTTTCGACTTTTCGTCTTCTGAGCTGTCCGAGTCGCTCTCGGAGTTGTTGTCAGAGTCGCCGTCGCTCTCCTCCTTCTTGGACTTCTTCTTGGACTTCTTGGACTCCTTGGACTTCTTGGATTTCTTGGCATCTTTGGCATCCTCCTTTTTTTCGTCGGCATCATCTTTAGCATCCTCCTCAGCATCTTCGTCAGGGTCTCGCCGCAACCCCGCGGTGTCGATGTCCTCAAGCAAAACGATGCACCGTCTGGGAAGCCGAGTAAAGAGCGCCGCCAGATCCTCCTCGGTCACACTTATATCCTGTAGACTGATAACGTATATGTCGATTCCAAAAACTCCAGCCAGTGCAAACGAGAAACTGGTCTTTCCCGTGCCTGGGGGGCCGTGGAACAGATATCCTCTTCGGAGAGGGATACCACGAGAAGCATACCACCGAGGCGTTCCAGGATGAAGGTACTCGTTGACATCTCGCAGCACGTCGTGTTTCTCCTTCGAGTCGAGCACGACGGTGCGCATAGGACGAACAGGTCGCCTAGCGACTTGATGCCACATATGGCCGTCGCGTCGAGATTCCTTGGCGCTTGGACGATAGATGGTGGTCTTCTGTCGGGTATCAAGATAGTACATGGTCTTTGCATCTGCAAGGAGCTGTTTGATTGGATCTGTATAGACATATTAGGACGAAGGCCGCTTTGGTGAACAAGGGTGACTCGCCAATAGATCGACCAAAGCAGGAAATCTTGATTTCCTCGAGATCTTTCATAGCTGACCATCCAGAAGTATTCATGAACGACTCCTTTTTTCGGTTCACCCTGAAGTAGGTCCCGTTATGCCAAAACCCGGTTGTACCCATGGCTGGAACATATCGAGGGCTCTGCTTTGAGATTAGACACCCATTCATTCATCATAATTGGAGGTAGAATGGCTTACCGATCTTGCCGCTTGACTGGCAAAGTTGAGGTACTTGGGCTCATCATCGTCATCACCATCACCCACTTCAATCAGCGTCAAGGCATTTGCCATTTCCTCTTCTTCCTCCCATGCACTCTTCCACACAGTCTGGGCCATCAAATAACGGTCCTTTGCAATGTTCTGCTGGTGTGCGAGGAAATTCATAATGTGCGAGTAGATATGATCGTTCTCGCCCACATACAGGGCGCACATGAGGTAACGGCTGTTGAAGACTTGGAGCATACCGTAGACCTGGGTGAGGATCTTTGATAGACCCCAAAGGACACCAAGCATGGTGAGGAGCAGTGAAGGGTCAAGGCCAAACTGCACTCCGATCTGGCGATAGATGAAGAGGAACAGCTGCATCAGAGGCGAAGCCTGACCGGCCGTGGCGAGGAAACTGTCCACCATGCCGGGCGGGAATGGATGTGAGGCGTTGCCAGTGAAGTTGGCGCCTTGGGCGTGGAATAATGGAGGCAGGCCTAACTTGGTCATTTTTGTTAGTGAATCCATGTCGCCTCCGTGGCGGCTCGTCAAGTATGTGGCTTCTCGATCCTCCCAAAACCAAGTTCTGTATCAGCGAGAAACAGAGTGGGAGGAGGGAGAAAAAGACACACAGAGCGAGTGTGAGGGGAGGGAGAAGAGGGTGTAATGGTTCGTCACACAGCGCGGAAACCCCCGTCTTTATACGAAGCGCGAGGCACCTCAACTTGAAGCAGACTCAAACGCCGGCTCTGTTCGGGCCTTGGGAACGAATAATCCACTCCTCACAATGCGGTAGGACGAAACAGGAAGCTCGCGCATCATGCATCACGGTTTGGGTCAACATTGCACTGCATGGTTAGGCTGCCATTAAGGCGACGATGACTGACCCACGTCGTAAGGCTTCAGCCTGGGGCGCTGAGAAGTGGAGGGAGACATTCGCCCGAGCCTCAAGGCAAATCAGGACAACCGCGTAATGGAGTATGGCCTGGCGGATCGATAACAAGTACATGATAGTACTTGCAAACAAGGACGGAGCCGGGCGAGCATGCAGGGCTCACCAGGGGGGTCCACGTAGACTAACAAGAGGAACGAATCATTTGGCGCCACAAGTCGGGCCTGTGAGGATGTAAAAACATCATGTGCTTGCTGTTGTCGCTGCTTGACCGGCTGCATGAACACGGCTGGATTACTCGCTATTCGTCCCGCAGCGCGCATCTGCTTGGCCGCACTTGTATCAGTCGAAGAGTTGGTGCGCGTGTACCAACGTGCGTTGGTGTTGGTGCCAACCGCTCCGACGTTACAGCGGGCGTTTGTGTGCTGGGGAAATGCCCGCTATTTGGCCAGTGGCTGTGTCACGGAGTACAGGCACGGAACAGCCAGTGACTGCAGGTGCTCATCGGACATTTTTGCATGTCAGACGTCGCCAAACAGGTTTTGGACCCTATAACTGCCGACTACCTAAGTAATAAACAACAGTGAGTACTGGTAGGTATTACCAGAGTGGCCTCGTCGACCAATGTGCCCGGGCCGTTGATATGCGGCCCCCTCCCTTTTTGGCCAACAGCGCATCAAGTTTTGACAGACTGCATATTCAGCAACCAACACCTCCTATGGCCAAATAATACATTCCGACTGTTCCGGTTTATTTGTCTGTGAAACCACTATCGGCATATTTGGATCTCGGCTAAGGAACCCGAAGACTCGGTAAGCGGGTCGCCTTGGACATGATGTAGAAGAGGAAATGACGAGATTGTCACAGTTCTTTGCGGACTACTGGCACGGACTGACCAAAGTTACGTCGTGAAAGTCGGCGTTGGCATCTAAGTGGACATTACGGCATTCTTTCCTACTACCAGGAGTAATATTTCTTCAGACAACTCTCATGCATCTAGTAGCTGTGACGTCTCTGAGGCCTAGCGGCTCTATCCATACAATAGCACATAGTTGTCGGAATATTCCTCTTCATCTAGAACTTGGTTACATTTCCGCGTATAACTAAGTCATTCATGTTTCAGCTTCCTAGTGTTTGCCAAGAGAATGTTTGTGGAGGAGACAACTGGGCATCTCGCTAGGATTGTAACCTTGATCAAACACCACGGCCCGGATCTGCACGGAACGCCAGTCTCGGTACTAGTTGCCATTTTAGGACTTGTAATGCTGATTGAGAAGGATAGCTGCTTTGTTATTTATTGACTTGTTCAATGATTCAAGTCGTTAATTGTTGCTTGCTACACACTCCACAGGCTGGCAATGCCCTGGGAAGCGACGCCAAACCAACCCTGGAGAGCCCGACATGTTGAGCCGCAGGTCGCGCACCATGATTCCTCAGAAAACAATTGCCTATCCAAAACAACCCTGCAGGCTGAGTTGCATGACCGGATACCCGTGTCAGTGCTGGCGGGGCATCATAGGTTGCTGTGCCGTAGCCTAATAAGCGACTCCAGAGTCGAGTGTTGAACATTGACATGGTTGGCCCAAAGAAACAACGCATCTCTCAGCTGTAAACATTGCCCCATTCACGGCTGCATGCGCATCTTAGGACTCACACAAACCACCCCCCTCAGAGCCGCAACCCACTAACACCGCTGTCCCGTGCTGCCTCAGCCCTACCGCATTCCGCACCACGCGTGACGTAGCCTGGAGCGGGGCGAACCGGGGTCTTTTGCCAGCTCTGGCGGCGCACGCAGCGGATTCCAGCGTAGTCCTCATCAGGCAGCAGTTGCGTGCGTGTTGCAAGCAGCGAAAAGCCGATAGTGGCCGCCGCGAACGAATTGACTTGTCGATACAAGGAACGGCCGGGGCTTCACAAGGCTGTGAATGACTTGTCATGGGGCGTTGTGGTGCCGGTCTAGACATGCACGGATCCGAGTTGAGCCTCATGGTGTGGGCCAGGACTTGTAATACCAACACTTTCATCCGACCTCCGGGACTTCTATAGCGAACGTCCGGGGTTTGAGGAAAGGCTCTGGCGACTGACCGGGTCCTCGGGTTTCGGATATGCACCGAGTGTTCATTTCTGGTTGGTTTGCACGGGTCGCATCTTCAGCCCTATGCCCGTGTTGGCTGTTGAAACTTGAAAGTGTTGCTGGAAGATTCTTGATTGGGTTCCTCTCTATCGTTGCTTTTCCCAGCCTCTTTCAAGTAAATCCCTTTCAAGTACTCTGTAGTTCTAGTCTGTTCGTCTACGCCACAACGGGCTTCTCGTCCAGCTTGGTCTGGGCCAACTTCTCCTCCACCTCGTCCACTCCATTGCTCCTCTCAGCATCACCAACAGCAGAGGCCGGGACAGGGGCAGCGCCGGCAACGTACTTGACGCCCGAAACGCTCTCGTCGGTGCCGCCCGCCAGGAAATCCTCCGACTCGCCCACCAGCTTGCCGCCGGCCTCCCAGCGGCGCATGCGCTCCTCGCGGCGTTGGCGGCACATGTCGTTGAGCGCCGGCCAGTACGTGGCGTGGTCGTACTCGAAGGGCATGTCGCCGCCCCAGTCCAGGCTCCACAGCTGCTCCGCGGGAACGTACTGCTTCATGTCCTCGTTGAACTTGAGCTTCTCGCGCGTCACGGGGTCGATGAAGGGCGTGATGAGCTTGAAGAAGCCCCAGACGATCCAGGGGACTGTCAAATAGTTAGCATACGTGAACCTCTCAGCTCGAGGGGGTCGACAGAAATACCGTTGATGATGAGCGCCTTGCCCAGTCGCTCCGGGTAGTGGTTCTGCAGGATATGCAGCACCTCTCTGGCCGTCGACACGGGCACGCTGGTGTTCTTGCGCTCCTTGCTCGGCTTGAAGTTGATCAGCAGGCTCAGCATCTCGACGCCGGGCGGCATCATGTCGGTGACGCGCTCCACCATGTAGAACAGGTGGTTGATCTGGCGCGGGCTGGCATCCGTGTTCTGGCGGCCCGGGTTGAGGTACTGGCACGGCCGGCCCTGGTTGTCGAAGCCGACGATGATCTGCTTGCCCGTCTCCTGCTCCGGCGAGATGTAGTCGGGCGTGAACTCGTCCAACCCGTACTCGCGGCGCCAGGCGAGCGTCGCCAGCAGGCGCTTGGCCGAGTCGTCGACGGTCCACTTGGTGGCGCGCAGATAGCGCAGCAGACACTCGCGGGTGAGCCAGGCGCGCTCCTTCTCGGTGATGGGACCGGACTTGTCCTTCTCCTTGTCGCACTGCACCTCGGTGAAGGCCTTGGCCTGTTCCAGGAGCGCGCTGTACTTGGTCCGCTGCTCCTCCGTGAGCTCCGGCCGCGGCGCGGGCTTGGTGTCGGCGGTGGGCGCCGCGATGGGCGTCTTCCGAGGCGCGGCGGCCGCTTCAGCTGTGGACGCCATGGCTTCTATGGCTCTAAATTCCAAGAGAACCCGATGAATGCTCCAGGGAAAACGCGAGGAACACTCCCTGACCTCGACTCGATATCTGCGAATTGCAGCTTGTCGTCGGTTGGCTACTTCGCCCAAGTCAGCTCAGATCTGGTCTCCACCACCACTGGCTGCATCTCTCACCGCTTACTGGGAATCTGCCTCTGATGAGACAAAGGATGAGCCCCGCGAAAACTTACCGGCAGAGGCTGGCTGGCAATTGAATCCGAGACACTCCTTCCTCTGTGTAGTCCAAGGTCAGTCACACCGTCTACATCATATCCATCTCGTGGGGGACACGCACCAGATCGCAAACGCTTCAATTCAGATCTCGGTTTGACGTCAAGTGTTTCCGTTGGGACTGAGGAACAACGAAGCCTTATAACGACCTGCCAAGCACCCTTGTAATCGACGTAAAGAGCCGCAATTCAACCAATTGACAGCAACGAGTCGTCCAATTTCCAGGCCCCTGTCCTAGCTCTCCCAGTTGTCCCAGCGCCCAGATTGCGCTAAACCTGCCCTGAACACTCCTGAGATACAGTGGGGGCTCCCTAATCTGCTAGGCCCGTGGATTCCGGACTCTCGGGCCCATCTCTTCCCGTACCACGCCACTTTTCGTCATGACGCACATGGAAACACTCGCGATAGCGACTCATGAACTCTGTGCAATATGGGAACCCAATATCATCATCAACCGAAGCAAAGAAGGAGCCTCTTGGATTCTTTAGCTGCCCTTGTATGAGAGATTTCTCCCCCGTCTCAACTCCTTCTCGCCTACCCTACGCTGAGTGACCCGGTCTATAGTCATAAAGCCCCCAATACCTTCAGCTCCGGACTGAATGCTCGCTTGTCCATGTCTAAACAAAACCAAACAAGAAAGTAAAACAAAGAGAATAAAGAATAAGACTGTCTAGTATTGGTCTCACGCCACTCGGGGGCTTTGCGCCATCCATGCCATACCATCGCGACAAACCCGGTCCTCCGCCTAAACCTGGGGCCCCTCCTCACGCCGTGCTCAAACAATCCAAGCCAGTAACGCAGATGTGTATGTACCCGTCACCACATTCCCCTGTGTATTTTTCTTCAGAAATTACGGCACCTAAAACCCTAGGTCTTTCGACTTGGACTTCGGTTGTCTCGTCTCGCTGATTTCTCTTTGACCAGCCTCTGGCTCGTCACCTCGTCAAACCCGCACGTGTTTACTAGATATAGAATCCTATCATGTAGTGTTAGCACCGGTATCCTTCAGGAACGGGTCCAGGAAACTTACTTCTCTCCGGCCGTTTCTTCCTCTCGCATGTTTTCAAATGTTTGTTGGCTTTCCACCCATGCGATCGCCCTGCGCTTTGGGTCCACCTTCTTCACCCAGAGGTTGAAGCTCCCAGTCACAGGACGATGATCGCTTACACGAACTTCGTGTCTCTTGTAGTCTAGCTGTTCGATTCGTCCCCGACCTCTGAACAGCAGTCGATCACACCACGCTGGGCTTCGCCGCTTCTCGCTCGTGTCGTACGTGTCGGTCCCAACATCGTACTTGTACGTCGGCGCAAACGTGATTGGCAACTCATCAAAGGCTCGTAGCTTGAATGCGGGGTTACGGCGGCGGGCGACAAGAAGTTGATCGCGCTCTAGTAGCTTGCTCAGGTTGTTTTGCTTGACAGCTGTCACCACAGTATCCCGCGACATGGTGTCGATACGGTAGTTCAAATCGCCGTTGAGGATGCAGAGTTCATGATCGATAATCAAGCTGCCGTCACCGCCACCCACATACGTGTCCACGAGGACCCCGGGATCACGTTCGGTTGTGAACAGAGGAGCTTCGAGGATTGCTGCAATATCGCTGTGTCGTGCATTGGCTTGGGTTTGCCCAGCTGCCAGATGGCAGTTGACAAGGCAGATTGATGTGTCATCGATTCGAAAGCGCACCGCCACCGCACCTTTGTTGCCGTGTAAGCCTCCCATACCTCGCTTCACCTCTGCACCGCTTAGGTTCCGAATGCGATCTCTGAGAGACGACTTGACAAAGACGCAAGTAAAGAGTCCTACCATCGGTGCGGTGTGGAGGAGGTGATACAGGTCGTCTGCCGGCATGTAGTCGTCCAGGGTCTTCATCAAAAAGTCCCGCCAGTCTCGGTATTGGTGGCTCATCCGCTCTTGATCCGAACCTTCCTTCTTCTTTGGTTTTAGGAATCTCTTGGCCGTCAACTTCTTATCTTCCAAGTCCACCAACTCTTGGAACCCGAACACCAAAATATCTGGCGAATCAGCTGACTGGACCAGGTCTTGGAAGAAAGTCGAATCAGCGCCAGAGTAACGGAGACTGGATGGTGTAGAGGCGCCGGCGTTCCAGGTCATGAAGAGTGCCTTGAGATCATCGAAGTCGCAGTACTGTGTATCTTTTGACTTCATGGAATCCTCGAGCCAATCATCCTGCATGAGGCCATCCCAAGCTTTGAGCTTATTGTCGGCACCAAGTGAGATAACTTGCAGCCGATCTAGGAAGTATGCGCTCGATGGATCAGCCACCATCTTCACGATGGGGTTGTCATGTGCCAGCCACTCCTTTTTGACCGTCCAAGGAGACTCTTCAACATCATAAACACAAACCTTGCCAGTATTGTAAGCAGCCCAGACATGCCTCCCAACGTTCACTAGGGCATTGATCTTCCAGGTGCTGACGTTGATGACTCCCAGACAAGAATAGTCAATAGTGGAATACATGCTGACCTTTCCATCAACATGTCCAAAAATAACTGTGTCGGGTTGAGTCTTGACCAAGGTTCCGGATGTGACTTCGCCAGCGCTATCCACGCTCAGGGGCCGAACTAGGACCTGGAATTGTGCTCGGCCATCGGCCGCTGGTGCAAAGATACGGATTTCTTTGCCTGTGGCATGCCAAAGATCCTCGCCAATCACCATGGAGAACGTGTGACCCTTGGGAACTTTGTAGCTCTGGGTTGGGTTTCCAGTGAGATTCGAAACGGAATTGTCGTCAGGTCCCCAAACGAGCAAGGTGCCAGACTCATCCAGGGTCCAAAGTTCGTTGAAGTGGCGATAAATCTTTGATACTTCATTGCGTCCGTGGATATTTGGCTTGCTTGGTGTGATGGCATGTGTCGCAATTTCCACCTCCATGAGGTCTCCTGTGTTAGTACCGATCCACAACCGTTTGCCTTCCTCCCGCGGATCAGCGGCTGGCTTGAATGCGACTGCAGTGGCCTTGATCCCTTCCGTGTGTGACAGGCTCATGACCATCTCGCCGTCTAGTAAGCTCCACACTCTTGTCATGTGGCCACTTGCGCAGACGAATTCACCGCAGACATCAAATGTCCTCGCATCATACTTGGTCGCGATCTCAAAGGAACCTTGTTTGATGTACGGGGGGCGACGATTCGTGTTCGAGGCATCGGGATAAGCTGTTACGTGATTCAATGGTTCGGACTTTGGTGCAAGCTTGACAGCGACGGGCGTAGATTGTATCGGCTTTGCTGGCAAGGTAACTGCAGTTGGAGTTGCAGTTACTTTTGAAGGCGCAATCACTGTTGGTGATGCTGGGATAATACGAAACTCGACGGGGGCTCGGTCCGATGTTCTGTCTATTGTCATAGATCTCCCATGTGCTCGTGTTGGAGGAGCTAGTTGTTGCTGTTGGGTCGGAGTTGACACAACTCTCTTCGGGGGAGTCGAAGTGAGGGGAATGTCTACAGGTTGGGCAGACGAGATTGGTCGCGGTGGCCGGGGCGGAGGCTTCATGCTGTTGTTATTCGCAGCAGGTGATCGAGGCGGAATATCAAAGATTGGGGGCCTCGCTGGTAGGGCAGGGCGAGGCTCCCCAGTGGGTTGAGGAGTGATGTGACCTTTAAACGTTCCATTGGCTTCGGGCTCCCGATCCTTTCTCATATTGGAAATGGAGTGATGACCTGATGCAGGGTCGAATCCGATAATGACGGAGCGCGGACGAGGAGCCAAGTCGGCTTGACCTTGAGGCCTTGGTCTGGTGGGGAGTTTCGGAGGAGCATCGTGGGATTCAAGACTGCTGGGAGGACTGTTGAACGGAGATGTTTCCTGGCAAATGTCGCCTCTTCTGTTAAGTTGTTGACTCTGTGGGTCTGGTGATGTGCTGGGTTTTGACGAAGAGATCAGGGGCTTGCCGCTGTTGCGAGGAGCGGGAGGCGGAGGGGCAGTCTTCGTTTCCCTACTGAATTCGGCAGACCGTCTTGGTGGAGGCGGTGACGGGGGCTGCGATCCACCTGCTCGTGGGGAGCGAGGTAGACTCACAGAAACAGAGGGAGTGTGTGGCCGGCTTGGGATCTTGAACTGTCTAGGAGAGCCTCCAGGTGTACTCGGGGCCGCAATAGCATCGGGATTGAGGAAGGGAGACTGATCGGTCACCCCCAGCCCGGTAATGCGTCCCTTGGGCGGCGATTGGGGAGGTTGGACCATGACAGCTGGAGGAGGCGGCGCATGTTGTAGGACAGCTTGCGGTTTGGCGGCTGGGATCGGTCGTGTGGAAGGAGGAGGCACTGGAGGAGGGGCATTCTGGTCTTGGCTGACGGTTGAAAAGATAGCTGACTTGGGCCGCACTTGAGGCCTAGCAGGTACTGTTGGGGTTGAAGAAACGAGTGCTGGCTCCTGTGTTGCCTTGAAGTCTCGAAGTCGGTCTGGCTTGGGTGCCGGGGAGATGGATCGTGACGGTGTTGGAAGCGGTGCGGGGACATCGGCAGGTTTGTTGGAGTTGGTGGTGGTTATGTTTTCGAATCGCGCTCGAAGCGACGACACGGGTTTCTTGAAGCTGTTAGTCGGATGGCATCTTTCGAAGTGGGAAGCTCATACAATAGATGAGCCATCGGGCCCGTCCCCTTTGGGGGGGTCCATGGTGCAGGGACAAATGCTTCTCGGCAGCGGGGGTCGAGAGCTGTAATACCCACTACACCCACGCCCAGTTCGTCTCGTTCATCAAGTCGTCCACGCCAGGGCGCTTTGCTTGAGATGGCAACCGAAGCCAGTCGGGCTTGACTCGCGGGCGGACAGACGGGGTGATAGATCGGGCGAGAGAGAGATTGGGAGCGCAGCGAGGGACGCGATGCGAGCAACGAGCGACAATGACGAGGTCTCAGAAGCACGCGGGTCGCGGCGGCAGTCGTTGGGTGGTGGTCGAGAGTCGTTGGGGCTCGGCGTAGGAGGGGTTTCGGAGCTGAGGCAAGAGATTTAGCATAATGGTGCGCCGAGCCAGGACCAAAATGGAGAAAACACAGGATGCTGGACAACGAACAAGGCTCCAGGAAGTCGTTTGTTTTCAGTCAGTCCCCTATTCGCCTCGTGGCCTCGAGATGTTGCAGGTTGTCTTGCGTGGTCTCCCACAATTTCCAGCGCCGGTGCGACTGGCTGAGCCACCCTTATGTCATAAGTGGGTGCGCTCGGGACGAGGAAAGCACTGTGTGATGCACGTAAATTGGCGCGAGGACGACAGTGCGAAATACGAAACCCACGCTGGGACGCACGCCGGCCAGGGGCGCCACAGCGGGGGAGCGAATCTGAGGTGGGTGCTAAAAATGGCGGCACGACCTCCCCCCTGTAACGGCCGTGTTTGGTGTTTGAACGCTACGCTGTGACATGCAACGGCAGTTTGTGGGTGCTTGGAGGGGCCCCTGAGGAGAGCATCCTAGCGCCTCGCAGCGCCCCATTGCCAGCGCCATCGCCCTGTGCCTCGCCGTCAGTACCTCCAGGGGCCCCAGCGTACGGTTGCCGGGGCCACCTCCACTGAGGGCGGGCTCGGGACCCACACAAACTTTCAGTGTTGCCGCTGAATGTCCGGGTGCCACTTTGCGAGTGACGGTACGCTATGGGTATTCGCACCCGACTCATTGCCGTTTACACGTAGGTACAAGTTCCTTCACCTAAGGCTCACCTAGGACAATGTACCGCGCATGCACCATCAAAGGTTACATTCTTAGGCTAAAGGGCTATCCCTATCATTCAATTTAACCTGATAAATTAAACAAAAGTTAGCATTAGGAGAGATAAGTATTCTTAAGAATAAGTCTATTGAAACGGTATTTTCTAACCTGCTGTAGTAGGTACTGGATCATGTACTTGTGCGTGCGAATACCTGGCTATACTCGCCAACAATACAGTAAGGCGCTGAGAGGTACGTACCTCGCCCTTCCAATTCCACTTGAATGCCGACCGCCTGACAAGGCCTGGACCTGGGATCGCTTTATCATGTCAGGCCATCCCACTTATAGACTCCAACACCTTTACAAAAACCCTGTCCTCTAGATTTCTGCACCCGACCTCGGCTTGAAAACGATCAGATTTGCGCCTGCCGCTTTCAATTGAAAACTCTCGTCAATATGAACACCGTGAGCATCCCCATGTCCCCTCTGGTGACAATGTCGCATTACTGACCCTCTGCCCTCCAGGTCAAGTCTTTCTGGTTCGTACCCGCTCTCCACCGACTCTCGCTCGACCTTCTCCAGACTAACTGAACGCTTTATCGATACAGGCTCGGTTGGGGCTCTCTCTGCGCCGGTACGAAGCCCGCTCCCATGAACCGAACATGACCGTCCCCCGAACTTCAATTGACCTTGTCGCAGCCGGAGGTGGTGCCTACTACTTCGCCAAGAAGCAGATCAACGCCGATCGTCAGGCCAAGATGGAGGCCCAGCGCCAGAAGATGCGCAACATCGAGCAGCTCGAGTACTCGCAGGGACTGTCGTCCTCTGCGACCACGAACGGCAGCCCTGCCCGCACCGACAGCACCGGCTCGCCCAGCCAGGAAGCTAGCAACGATCCCGCACCGACGAGACACGCCCCCGCGACCGAGTCGGAACGCGTTGGGGAGAAGAGTAAATACGAGAGTAACACAGTATACCGGAGTCCAAAGGGAGACCGGTTCTCGTAGGCTGACAGGGTCCTGGAGGGATCAAGTGGGAGCTATTGCGACGTGAAGACTCTTTTAAGGAGCATGTACATTACGGATTAGAATGGCATCAGTCGGGTATGATTAAACGGAATCCAGAATGACCTGTTTCTCTTCTCCTTCTTAAAACGGACACTTATTCATGACACTTTCCGTGCTTGCCGCAAGTTACAGTATGGTTCGGCTCTGCGGTGTTTGAATGTTTAGATGCGCATCCATGCTCGGCTGAGTGGAGCGAAATCGCCGACGTCGCTGTTGTATTCCTACAGTATTTTGCTCAATAGGCCTCGTTACACAGTCAGTCAAATACCAACCCGCATCTCTCACGCCTCCATCCGCCTTTGCTTTATTCCTTCAATCATGACGTCGTCTCGTAGCGTGACCTCATCCATCATCATCAAAATGTCCAAATCTTTAGCTTGAAGCGGCGCCTGCAATTCGCCGACGCTCGGCTCCCCGCGCCTCGTCCGCGCCTCTTTCCCACGTGTCCGAGGCGCCGAAGTATATCCGCCAGGATGAATGCATGCTACGCGCGAAGCTACAAGCTCCGGCGAACTTCAACAAGCTCGTTCACCTCAATCGCGAATCGCCCGCTCGCTCCCTGAAGAGGCCTTTCTAGGTCCGGATCCAACTCTCCCTCTCCTCACTATGGCGACTCCGGAGCTTGCCATCGCAAAGGCCACTCTCTCTGCGACGCTGTTCCGCGCCGACCCGACCTCTCTCAGCCGCCCAGCTGTCGAAACCTTCTTCCCACTCGTCACCTCCGCCCTCGCCCAGTGCTCCCGCCCCAACGTCCAGGTTTGCTCCATCGCTTGACAAGCACTTCCCCTAAGTTGCCTGCAGAAGCACTAAATTTTTTCCTGTTTTCCGGAGACAGAAATGCAAGGCCTGGGTCGTTGACAATATTGCGCCGTCTCCCGCGCGCGTTGTAGCCCTCGTCAAGTACTTGGCGGCGCTGTCCAAGAACCTGCAGGATGATGGCGAGAAACCCAGTGTCAAGAGGAGGAGACTGCATGTTCTCTACGTGGTAAACGACGTGTTACATCATGTTGTGAAGAGGAAGGGCGACGCCAAGTTTGCGACAGTGTGGGATGCTGGCCTCCCTAGCCTGATCGCGAGCGCCGCCGCCTTTGACAACTGCCCGAAGCACAAGAAGAAACTCGAGAATCTCATCGACCTGTGGGAGGAGAAACAATACTTCAGCTCTGATCTCGTCTCCAAGCTTCGGGACGCTCTCGCGAAGGGCATCGTCTCGCAAATCTCTACGGTTCCCCAACCCTCGACGACCTCTCTCAAACTTGCCAAAGACACACCATATACCCTCCCCTCCCTTCATGGCGACCCGACATCGCCATGGTACGATCTTCCCGCTGCGTCATGGCTACCTCACCTCACGCCGAACTCTACAAAGCCCATGATCCCTGAACTTATTCGGCCGATCCAACTGGTCTCGGGGCCGGCCGACAAGGCTCTTGCGACCGCCGTGAAGAGCCTCCTCTCCGATGTTGAGCGCCTGTTCTCGAAGGACCAGAAGATGGATGACGACCCTCACATTGACCTGAATGAATTGGGTGAGAGAGTGGTCTTGGATGAAATCACAGGAGAGATTGTCGGTGGCGAGACTTACTATGGTTGGTCACGCCAATTCTGCGAAAAGATGACGGAGAGGAGGAAAAAGAAGGCCAAGGGCGCAAACAGAGGACGGTCGCACTCACGGTCGAGTAGCTACTCACGCGGCGGGTCACGAAGCCTGTCACCGCCCGCTTTCAAGCGTCGACGGCTCTCTAACGACTCGAGAGGCCGTAGTCCGTCGCGCAGCAAAAGCCCTAACCGACCCCATCGCCAGCCTCGCGATCGAAGCCGAAGTCGCAGTCCGGCCAGACGGTTCGACCGCTCTAGCCACCGCAGGTCCTACAGCAGATCACCCTCTCGCTCGCGTTCACCGCCCCCTTACCGTCGCGACGGCCCCAGTCGCCTCCCTCCACAGCCGCCGTACGCTCCTCCGTCATCCTTCCCTCCGATCCCTCCTCCGCCCGGCGATTTCCCTATTCCTCCACCACCGCCAGCCGGCTATCAAGGCCCCTGGCCGCCGCCATTTCCGCCTGCGCCACCCATGGGTGGTCACCCGGGAGTCATGTTCCCGAACCCCGGTATGCCGTCGCAGATGATGGGCAGCTGGCCCGCTCCTCCACCTCCTCCACCGCCGCATATGCCACCTTACAACAATCACTTCGACGGCGGAAGGGGTAGGGGAGGATACCGGGGTCGTGGAAGAGGCGGGTATGACCGCGGCCGAGGAGGTTGGTAAATACCAGGAGATGGCCTATAGATCTGGTTGAGTAATTAAAAGTGTACTATAGCAAGCCTGGGGCCCATCGGATCACGATACCAATCATGACATGATTTAATCACACTCATCCGCACCACACCGCAATTCATACTTTCGCGTGACCAAATTCTCTATCCGGTTGACTTTTAGTCTTGCTCATTCATCGTCTACATAAACCAAGGAGAAACCCCTACCCCTATCACCTCCTCTCCTTTCCACCCAGACACGCGCAGACAACGCGTCTACGCACGACGTCACACGGCACACACACTGAGACCCTGTGTGGCGCGGCGAAGCATCGTAATTCCTCCATACGCCTGATCTCTTAAGGTGTGAAGGGAGCAAGCAAGCAACAAGAAAAAAAAGGAAGAAAAACTAAAGAAGAAAAAAAAACGACAAGAGAAGAGTGACAGGGCAGAAGAAGAAGAAGAAGAAGAAGGGGAGAAAAAAAGTTACACGAGAAGCTTAAACGTCGACTTTTTTGTGCTCGGTTCGCGCTCTCTGTGTTCCCTGGGCCCAGATGGTCCCCGTACATCGGTGCGGCGCTTCCCAGCAGGGAGGAGAGAATGGATGGATTAAAGGATTAACCGCACACGAATCCTTTCGGGGGTAGATGGTGGTCTCGTCCAAGGTAGAGGCCGTGAAAAAGATGAAGCTAAAGATATGGTGTAGGAGGGCATCTAGTTCCGAGTGTTGCCAACTCAAGCAAGCGGCTGTGCGAGCATATCGCCAGGTCAAGTCCATCTTGTAGATGGCGATGGAGCAATCAAGACACCGGTTGTGTTGTCACCTGCAATTTGTCCCGCACAACAAAGGATGCTATCAGGATCTTTGATGCTTCCAATAATGCTTTGATTGAAATCTGCGTGCCTTTGCGGTTCCTATAATCTGAGACATGTTGATGCGAGTGCTGAACCAGAGCTCATGGGGTAAGTCTGTTGATTACCGACTCCTTGTAGATCCTACAGAGTTCTGGCGCTCATGGAGGCTTGGTCGACGGCCAGTTGCGGACCCGTCCTGCAACTTAAGCGAGTCTAGGCGCTTCTGGTTGTCTTCCGTCACAGGGTCGACCTCGTCAACGCGGGAAAGAGAGGTAACGTGGCTGCGTGGCGCGTCTGGCGCCCCGTTGCTTTCCCTCTGTTGCTCCGCCTTCTCGCTCAAGGCAGCCCACTTGCGCTCTCGGAGAGCCTCTCGAGCAGCGGCGCTGTTCTGCTGCTCAGTGTAGTCGTGGGAGCAGTCGTCGAATAGTTGAGGGTTAATCTCCATGAAGAGCTTCATGGCATTATAGACCATGCCGTGGATCGTCCTATTGTTACTTGTCAGAAGCTGTAACCCATCACCAGTATCAAGGGAGGTCGACTGTACCTGTTCCAATGGCCCTTTGAGTTCTCGTACAGGGGCGCGAACATGATAGGAAGGATAATCTCCACATTGTCGCTAACAAGGTTGCAGAAGTATTCGTTGTTCCAGAAGTACAGTGCACGCTCGGCGACTTGGAAATGCGGGCTGGCAACGGACTTGGCCAGCTGGTGGAAGAGGGGCTCCTGGACCTTGGCGAATTCGGCAGGGTCCATGACTTCGAAGATATCTTCGACCTCGTTAAGGAACATAACTTCCTTGGTGCTGTTGACCTTGGGCCAATAACGCAGCAGTCCAAGAACGACCTACAAGAAAAGTCAGAACATGTTAGAACACACAATTTCAATAGTCACATACATCTTCTGTCAGCGATGCATCCTTCTCTAGGAACTGGACGATGCAGTACGCAAGTTGAGGGTGGTACATGCTGAGGCTCTTGGGCTTGTGGAGAGGCAGCAGCACCCGGGTCAGGAAGATCTTATGCTCCTCCTTGAGGGGGAGTGCGAAGCCGTTGATAATGGATCCAAGAATCTCGAGGAGTTCGGCGATACCGTTGAAGCGTTCAGTTTCATAGGTGAATTGGAAGAAGACGTTGTTGATGGATCGTCGGATAAATGATCGCAGGTTGAGGAACTTGCCGTAGATACGGTGGAGGGTGGTCTTGAGGAAATCACGTTCGCGGGGGTCCTCGGAGTCGAAGAGCTCCAGGAGCTGCAGGACGAAGCTGTGGTCAATGTACGCCTTGGCAATGTTGGTATTGAAATCCTGGCTCTCGATGAAGCGCAGGAAGAACTCGTAGACGACCTGGATATGGGGCCAAGCAACCTCCAGAACGGGCTCGTCCTCCTCCGGATCGAAAGCCTCGCCTTGGGGGTTCATGGGTGGCGGGATGGGTCGGAACAGGTTCTTGGCGAACATGTCGACGACCTTGGGATACATGGGCTCGGTAATGACCTGTCGGTTGTTGGCCACATAGTCAAGAAGCTCGTGCAGAGCCAGTCGCTTGATCTCCTTGGACTTCATGTCGCCGCTCGCATCATTAAAGTCGAATATGACATTACACTGATCGATCTTTTGCATGAAGAGCTCCTGTCGTCGGTTCGGGGGGACCTCGTGGAAGCCGGGAAGCTTCTCCAGCTCACGGTGAGCAGAGATGTCGAATCGGGAAGAGTGCTGTCGCTTGGGGGTTCGCAGGCCCTCGGGGATCGCATCTCGGTTATCGATTCCCCTGTGAATCAAAAGAGACTTCTGCCCAGCCTTGGGAGGTGCCAGGTCGTGCGGCATCGTCTCGGCGGCTCCAGGTGGAGGAACGTGCTGAGGTTGAAGAGTTAGCGACAGATGTAGCAAGATGGGATGGGGCGGGGTCAAGTCAGGACGTACTCCGGGGGTAGGGCTGATGATGACAGTTGGAGGCAGTCTTGAGCTTCCGTTGGGGCTGGTGGCTCCAAAGCGATCCTCGCCAGCCTGTGTGACATTGGAGAGGCTGGAAGGCTGCGAGGCGCCGGCGTGATCGCTCCCTTGACCTCCATTGTTTGAGGGCAACGGTTTGTTGCGGATGTCGTTGAGTGTCGACGTGGAGGATGATGGCGTTAGGACGGGAGACTGGTTAGAGTCCCGTGATGAGGGAGACGCGGTGCCATCCTTGGAATCCTTGTTCTTCTTAGATGACTTGCTGGAATCTTTTCCACGCGAGAGCTGCAGGCAGGAAACGGGACATGTCAGCAGGAAAATCAGGGCGGCCAACAGGAGACAAGACCTACAACTCTCTGGCTGAAGCGCTTCATCTTGTCGGACAACAGTGTTACTGTAGGTGGGGGGCGGATTGAGACGCCCGCTACTCGACTCGAAGAGGGCGGTGGGGCAGGAGGGCAACGACGTCAGGGGCTCGAGGAGACGACGTGATGACGGCGGCGGAGCGAATGAATGATTGCGTTTGGAATCGAGAGCGGAGGACGTCGCGGCGATGAGGGACACGCGGGGATCGTCGTGGGCAGGCGATTTGGGGAGAGGGGGCGAGCCTGGCGAGACGGTGGATTCTGTCGGGGGGCGAGCCAGAGTCGACGCGGGAGCGAGACAGCGGCTGGGGCGGGAGCGGAAGCTGGAGCTGGGAGCTAGAGACAGGCGAAGAAGTGCGAGAGCCGAGGAGGGCAGTCGAGAGGGAAACTATCGCGGCGTCGCCTCCCACGCAGGAGGATGTAGAAGCACTGAACCAGCCAGGACTCGGGTGTCGGAATATGGGCGGTGCGTGCGGTGCGATTCTGCAGTCGGGTGCGGTGCTGGCTCCTTGCGCTGGCGCTGGCACTGGCGCAGCAAGACGGGGCGTGCGTGCGGTGTGTCGCTGCTGATGCTGGCGGAGATGTGTCTTGACGAGGGAGGAGAGGGAGGGAGAGAGGGAGAGGGAGACGGCCGGAGGGATAGGATAACGAAACGGCGCGGCGGATTGTCGTCGCTGGACGCTGGTTCGAGGTCGTGGTCGTGGCAGTGGCAGTGGCAGTTGTCGTTGGGCGCCGGCGGAGGGATGTTGTGCTTTGCGGGGGGGGAAAGCTCGAGGACGCGCCGTTATTCGTTCTTGGAGGCGGGAGGGAGACGACAGTGGAGGAGTCGACTCTCAGGGCAGGCCAATCGAGTTGGGCCCAGCGCGGTGCGATGCAGTCCAGGTTGTCAAGGCGGCTGGTGCGTGCTTCGGGGCTGCTAGGTGTTTGCTTTGGGGGGTCTTTTGGGCGTTGGCGCGCTGGAGCCGGGCAGTCAACTGGGGCTGGGGTGGGTTGGAGTGGGCTGGTGGTGGAGTGGGCGGTGAAAATCAGGTCTGCACTGGCTCTCCCTCTCGAGGGAGCTCCAGGGCTACTAACTACCTACTGTTTAATATTAGGGGCAGCTCCCGGCGGGCTGTTAGAGGACCCGACCCCTCCCGGACGGTGCTCCCAGCACGAGTGGGCTGTGCTGGATGGCGCCCGTGTGCCCTATCTCTAGTAGGTTTGGAGTACAGAGCGACGCGTGCGCCCCATCAATGCGGTGCAGTGCCATACAATGCTAGTTATGCTGCCCCAATCTGGATTTTGTAATTTCTGGCGACCCGTCCGGATCATGCGCGGAGCCGAACGCCTCTGGTGGACTGTCCCAGTGCCTGCGCGAGGCGACCGAGGTGACATCAAGCAGCACCAGGGAGGGACACAGCCCTGTGCGAATTCCATCACAATCACTGCGCTTGGGCACTCCGTAGACGGGGGGATCGGTTAATTAGAGGATGGGACGAAAGGAGAAGGCAAGGGGCTGGACACCTCGACACCAACCCCCGGTTACTGAAAGCCCTGAGCAATCCAGACATCGGAACGAGGGTCAGAAGAGGCAATTAATAGAAGCCCTACTCTGGAATCTTCTCCTCCTCTCGCATTGGTCGTACAGGACTCCCAAGTGGTACACAAAGCCCGAGTCTTGACACGGCTGGGCCGTGCCAGACAGACGCGAGTGACGAGTGGGCTGGAAACTCTCAGTCATATGGGCCTGACGAATGGTGGAGCATCCACGGAGATCATGACGCACGGGCCAATTTGCCGCACAAGCCACAGCTTAACCCTTCACAGGCTAAGCCGCCAGAGTCAAGCCACAGATACACCACAACCCGATTTCTGTTTGAGTACAGTGCATACCACCCCGCCCACACTTTGCCCATTGCACGTTGACAACGGCAACAACAGTGTGGCAGAAGACGGCAACATTTGCCAAATTGTCCATCGTTGCTTTTCATTCTCACCCGGGCCAACCACAAGGTACGTTTCCATTCCAGTTCCAAGGGTCCCCTGCGCAGGTCGCTTCCCAGGGCTCAACGCCTACGGAACTGCGCTGACGAAATCCTGTTTCGGCAGTTTTTTGGCGGGTTGCTTTTAAGAACTGCCTAGCAACAACCCAGCCCAGCATACACAGGTCAAGCACCAACAAGTTACCCTTCATTGGGTATTTGCCGGGCTTGCAACTAAACCCCTAGAGACATTCTAATTGGACAGACATCGTCTTTGGAGAATTCACCCTATCCATTGCGGCCTCAGACATAATGGACCTTTCATCAGACGAAGACCTTTACCGTGGGAGTAGCCCTGCAGACCTGCAACCTGACAGCGATGAGGAGCCCAGTGCTGGCCCTGCGCCGCCAGATGCTGCCCCCAAGTATACAGTTCCAAATCGAGTCCTTGGTGCGGTCGAGATTCCTGCTGTCGTGGAAAACGTGGATCGTGCTATCAAAGCGTTTGGCAGACGACCTGACCTTCAACACGTACGCCCTCTTTCTCCTCTTAATCCCAGCGTGAACATACTCTTTACTAACGTAAGTTTCAAGGTAATGGATCCCATCAGAAACTCAATTCCTTTCTATCTTACTCCTGAGGACCCATTTTGTAAGCCCATAATGTCTCACAATGCCAGGAGCCACAATGTTGTCCTCAAAGTCACCGTTCGCAAGAGGACTGGCAGGAAGCGAAAAAGAGGAACAAACGACCCATGGGAGGGAGACATCGAACTACCAGATGCCGAGACCGAAGCCGTCGAGGAGAATGAAGTTCACTCGCGCTCCCGTCTCGATGATCCCAAGATTTTGCGTCGAAAATTGGAAGACAACGTCAACAGCTACCAAGTCGAAGCTGTCGGGGTCATCAAACACACACATCGATTTCGCGGCCTCGCGGACTTCTATTGGGACATGACCGAGTCTTCGTTTGCCAACAGATACGTTGACCAGGTTCTACCCGGAGATGGTATGTCGCAAGTGCTTTTCGTAATGTGACACATGGCCTAACTCAATCACCACAGTTGAATCAATCAAGGAATTCAAGTTTATGCCTGGTGTTGACCAAGGACCAAATGTGGACATTCTCCCTCCACCTATTTTCACTCATATGAGCCTCCCCTTCAACTACCAGTACTCGCAAAACCCATACGTACGTGCCACCGAAGACGGCGGAACCGTCAACACTACCGCTGTTAAGCAGGTCGGTTATTTTATCGGAGCAGAGGACCCTACACCACTGGGACCTCAAATCCCCCCTGATATGACGGATCCTCGAATGGTCGAGATCATTGCAGAGCTAGAAGAGGCATTTGAGGACCGGCCAGTCTGGACTCGCCGGTCATTGCTCAATCACCTCGGTGGGAAGCTCAAGAATTGGAACGAGCTCAAAAAGTATCTCAACTACACGGCTTACCAGTTCAAAGGAGGACCCTGGCGAGATGGCGTGGTTCCATACGGTATCGATCCGCGGACAGACCCCAAGTACCGCGTTTACCAGACTCTCATGTTCAAACTTCCTAAGCAGAAACGCCCCCAAAAAGGTCAGACATGGAAGTCTCTGCGCAAAGCTCAGATGGGCCCGCTTAAAGAGTTCTTGGAGGAGCTATCTGAGAGCCACGTCTTTGACGGCGAAACTTATCACACGGATGGAAAGGTTTGGCAAGTCTGCGATATTTCAGACCCGCTCCTGAAGGACCTTCTTGATAACGCTGCTGTGCGTCCGACATGGGATCCCAGCAGCGGATGGTATCATGGTGGGCTTTGGGCCAAGGTCAAGGCGATTATGAAAACGAAACTAGTGGCCATTCAATTCGATCGACGACTCACGCGGGAGGACTTTGCAATGACATTACAGGCTGGAGACCAGACACCGATCCGGTCAACTTCAGCAACTCTTCATCTGCCTCTTCCAAACCTCCGCCTGACGGATGAGGAGCTGACCTTACTGCGAGGACGACAGCCGTCAAGGAAAAATAAGCACAAGGGATACAGCGTCAGGGTAAGGGACCCGGCTGCAGGCTCAAAACGCGCTGTCGACTCGCCATCAGTGCCTGACTCGCAGAACGAGGAGGCCAGGCTGCTCGAGATGGATGATATGGATTCAGGTCAGGATGAATCAGGAAGTGATGATGATGATGACGATGAGTCGGCGGGTGATGATGATGCTGAACAGGGGGCGATGCGAGATGAAGATGTCAGAGAGGACGAACAGGAAGACGATGAGAGTATGGAAAACGAGGGCACGATGAGAGACAAGGAGGCTTAGACGTATCTAACCCGGCGCCTAAGCATCGTAAAGCAAGGGCCTCACCGCATTGAATCACGCCGCCCCGCTCTCTCTTGTATCCTTTGTCACAGCGGGCAAGCAGCGCGCGCAGGGAGTTCCAATGCATTCAGCAGCTCTCTTTTATCATAGAGCACATCTAACATCCTCGTTTGGTAGGTCACATGTTCTGTAAGGCGCAAGGTAGCTAGAGTTTGCACCTTCCCTCCCGCTCTTCTTCTCACTTCGAGAGTTTTCCCCTTATCAGGCATCCACCTCAAGGTATTAAAACCCTCTCGTCTCTCTTTTCCTTTTCCATTTCCCCTGCACCTTTTTCTTCCATTTGCGCACTGTAGCAGACGCCAAATTGTCATCTCTTCAACTCGAACCCTCACCCTAGGGCATCCAGCTTTCTCATCCAGAAGGTCGCAGCTCAGGAGCAAACATGCCTTCCTCCAGCAAGCAGTCTGAGGGCACATGGCTTTGCAAGCCATGCAACCTGCTCTTCTCGAGCTGGGAGAAACTGCACCAGCACAAGGGCTCTATGCGCCGAGCCGGGAAGCTCAAGCACATTCACTGCAAGTTTTGCAGTGAGGACTTCAAGACTGAGCGTGCGGAGATCAAGCACATCCAGGAGGTAAGACCACGTCCGGCGTGCGAGGAGGTTCGAGAACTAACTCTTACCAGCTGCACCCGCAAGAACAAGACTTGGAGTGTCCAGCATGTGGTGCTGGCCCTTTCGTGCGTCTGGGAGGACTCATGGCCCATTTTGAGGGTAAATGTCACCGAGTTGACCCCGCCGTCCTCGAGGAGATGCGTGAGCGAAAACTTGAGTTTCCCAAGAAGCTCGAGGCTCTCACCGAGCAGACGGTCAAGGCCAACTACACGAAATACATGCCGTCCGCGAGTACCTGTGGTTCTACTGTTGCCTGGGAGACTTCTAGCAACCCCGAGCCTTTCTTGTTGAAAAAGAATGAATTCCCCGGCCTCTCGAGTCAGCCATCCCGTCCTGGAACCCAAAAAGTCGACAACCGCCGTGCTGAACCTCAACCAGAAAATCAACTGCCGATTAGCTGGGACACAAAGAAGAAGTTGTTCCCCGACGCCCCTCAAGCTCAGCAGCCAACCAAGGAGCAGCTAGATGGGGCGACGGCTCCGAGTGCGAGAATGATGTTTGAGGCTTTGGACCCTGATCACCCAGACCATCCAGCCTTCAATTCGGCCCGATACTACTCAACACTGACTGAGAAGTTCCTCTGTCCTCGAGTTGGCTGCCTGTAAGTCGAAGCACCTCCCGACTTAAATCTTCCTCGTCACTAATCGTGAGTAGGAAAACTTTCAAGAAAGCCGGTGGCCTGATAGGACATCTTATGTCTCCCGCCCATTCCAGCACAAAGTATCGATGCCCTTACTGCCTCAGAACATTTTCGTCTTTGACGGCAGTGACGCAGCACGCTGAGTCGAGTGCAGTTCGATGCCGAATTCGAGACACGGACACTTATAATGCCTACCTGGACCAGCTCACTTCCGGTATTGTGGACGTTTCCCTTGGGCGCAACCAGGATGGAACTCTGAAGTACAAGACGACGGATGTGGCGCGAGAGACCTTTAGACCTGGGAGCACAAAGACGGTCAGCACGGCCAGCGTGCTTGGAGAGAAGCTTGATGATAGGGATCCGTGGAAGGGAAAGGATGTTCATTGGTAAATTTGGCAATTCAGAGGGTGAATTTAGCCATGATGATGGCGAGCCGAAGGTCAAGACAGGGGCATGTTATGACGATGAAGTCGGTTGCGATTACGCAGTTGCCGAGGTTGAGACGTATCGCCGAAACCATATGGAGAGACAAAGGAAGTAGCAATTGATAATGATAGCCCCATCTAAAAGTGATTTCCTATCGTGGTTATGAAATTGTGAAGATCCCCCTTGTTTCCGCGTCCGCCCCCCGGCCGGACCGGGGCAGGATCGAAAAGCGGTGCCGGAGGGATCCATCACCGAATGCCGACTGCGCCCCCTGATGACCTAAGCTTGTACACCTCAGCCCTTTGGAGGTACGTAATTTCGAGGTCTGGTCTCTCTACTCGACGTCGCGGTACCGTCCGTACTGTAGCTTCATCAATAATCTCATCGCGCGGTGGTAGTGTACGCCTCGCACCTCTGTACACTCGGCTCATTTCGCACCCCACGTGGCATTACTCTCGTTGGTGCCTGTACCTGCGCCTGTGCCAGAAGCCGTCGCCGCTTCTTCGATTACCGTTGCGCTGGCCAATTCTCACATTTCCAATCTCGAAAACGCTCCTTCAACCGTTGCTCCCGCTTTCGATCCCGTTACCGGCCGCTGCCCCTTTGCCATCGGTGCCCCGTTGCGGATGATGGAATAGACGCCGAACCGCTCCCCCAATCGACACCGACTGTTCCGGACCAGCAACGGATCGGCACCGCTTCCGGCCAGACCAGGAGCGCGCGCGTGTGAAGAGCCGCCTCTTGTTCAAGGGGACGACGAACGCCATGTCTCGTCGGTGGGCTCGCAAGTTGGAGCGCGCGTGCTGCGCGTTCGCAACGTACATCCCGCTGGTGTTTGTCTACGGGCTGACATCATGGGCGGTATGGGTGGTTGTCAGCATTGGCAGCGCGAGCATCAAGAGCGCTTGGATAGGTACGGATGCCCTGGGTGACGATGGAAGCGGCTGCGAAGGGGAGAACTACGAGGAATACATGCTGACATGAGGATTCACAGGCAACGGTTCATCCGCCGTCGGCGTCGCTCTCTACCTCCTCCTCAACTGGTCCTACACGACGGCCGTCTTCACGCCCCCTGGCTCGACGACAAACGACATGGGCTACGGCCTCCTGCCCACGCAGACCACGCCGCAGGCCACCAGCTTCACCGTCAAGAGCAATGGCGAGTTCCGGTTCTGCAAGAAGTGCCAGGCCCGCAAGCCCGACCGCGCGCATCACTGCTCGACCTGCCGCCGCTGCGTGCTCAAGATGGACCATCACTGCCCCTGGCTGGCGACGTGTATCGGACTGCGCAACCACAAGGCCTTCCTGCTGTTCCTCATCTACACGACGCTCTTCTGCTTCTACGCCTTTGCCGTCAGCGGGTGCTGGGTCTGGAATGAGGTGCTCGACGACAACACCCAATACCTCGAGACCTTTATGCCCGTCAACTTCATCATGCTGAGCGTCGTCAGCGGCATCATTGGACTTGTGGTCGGCGCTTTTACCGGCTGGCATGTCCACCTCGCCGGCAAAGGCCAGACCACCATTGAGTGCCTCGAGAAGACTCGCTACCTGTCCCCCCTGCGCAAGACGTACAACTCGGCCCACAACCCTGCCAACCGCCTGCCCCAGGCCGCCCAGCAGTTCGTCGACTTCCACACCAATGCCCTTCCCGGCATCACGCGCCCGGAAGAGGGTGAGGAGCGCCGCACTCAGGAGCTGCCCCGGACGTATCCTCCCGACGGCTCACACCCGGTTCAGCTGTCGTATGCCGACATGGAGCGCGAGCAGCGGCGGAGACGCTACGAGGAGTACCTCGACGAACAGGACTCGGAGAAGCTTCCCAACGTATTTGACCTTGGCTGGAGGCGCAACCTGCAGCACCTGTTTGGCCCGACCCCGGCGTTCTGGTTCATCCCCGTGTGTAACACCACCGGAGACGGCTGGTCATGGGAGGCAAGCCCGAGATGGCTCGAGGCCCGCGACCGCCTCCGCTCCGAGCGCGAGCAGCAGCGCGCCCGCGAAGTCAATGCCGGCTGGGGCGCTCCCGACGGTGCTCCCGACGATATCCCTGACATCCCCGAGCGGTCCGAAGGCGCCGGCCGACACTTTACGCCCAGTCCGTCTAACAGACCCCTGAGCAAGGCCGACCGCGTGCTAGGCCGCGACCCGGCCCTCTACGCCGACGCGACGCAGAACGTGCCGATGCGGCGCCTCAGCCCCCGCGGCCGGACGCTCGAGGACGAGTTGGCGGACCTGGACGAAGAGGAGGAGGAGGATGATCTGGACTGGGACTCGGCTGAGGACAAGATCCCCGGCGGCGCATCAACGGCGGAGCAACGGCGAGACGAGGCCGAGCGCAAGGCCCTGGACGTAGTCACTAATGGCGGCTGGGGTCGAGGCGGCGCGAGCGGCATGCTGCGCAAGGGCAGCTCCCAGACGAGCTCCCAGACCAACCTCAGCATCAGTCGGACGGTGAGTCCGAAGTTCCACGACGAGGGTGTGGACTGACTGACTTCCCCTTCCGTCTGGGGACATGCGACACGCGACACGCGATACGCCTCTTTCACGTGCAGGCCGGGCTTTTTGTGATTCTGCGCGGCTTATTTCTGACGAGTACCATGGCTGGAGGAGTTTCTTGTGCGTTGTAGAATGCGCTGTCATGTTGCGTCTTGTTTTGGTTATGGGGCTTGTCGTCGGGGGAGGGTGGGGGCTTGCCGGAGGGGTGCCGGAGGATGGTTGCCGGATGGCGGAGGACGAGCCCCGGCGAATGCGACATGTACGAATACGCCATGTTATAAAGGTACTTACTTAACTTACGGGGTCTACGGATACTAATTATATTGGCCTTTTTGGAATTGGAACGCACGCGGCTTCCCTCGTCCACTCTGCGTCGCTATCGGCGGCACGTTGGCGGCTGTCTCTCTGCCATTGGAGTCCCCGGAGACAGGCTCTGGTGTCATGACGACGGCTCGGAGACGGCCAGGTGACGGCGGCTTGACGTGATGCATCATCCTCATCTCATGTAAGCGCGATGACAGACTGGCAGCGACCCATCACATTGCACTGCGCACACTGCTGGTGCCTTGAGCTGTGGCACTGTCGAGTGTGCCCGTCCAGCTGTGTATTGCGCCCTCCGCATCTCGATCCGGCTTCATCCACATCCAGCACCCAACTACGTCGACCACCAGACGCCGCATCCCACGCATCACCAAACGCATCCTACGCACCCATCACATCCGCTAAGCCCTCGCTCCCGAAGCCGTCTCACACGCCCGCCCAAAACGCACGCTGTCATCCGGTCCGTCGTGACCCTCCGTCTGTCCCCCCCCTTTCAGCTCTCCCTCGCGAGTCAAATCACCGCCCACACCCTCCCCCCCCCCCCATCACGTCCCCAAAATCTATCCCCTATTGATCCGTTCTCCGCTTGCCCACTGCGACCACCCCGGCGGGCCGATCGACCTGACACGTCCCAATTCCTCCTCTGCCCTCTACCCCAGCTCGCAGTCCCGCCTCCCCGCACGCGCAGGGGGTGGCGAAGGAGGGGGGCGCGCTGCGAACGACGCCACGTCGCGCAGGATCGACGGTCGTGGGGCGTCTGTTAGTGGACGTTTGCAGGGCGTGGCCGCGGCCAGGAGAAGGAGGCGAGAGAGAAAGAGGTGAGAGAGAATGTCAAGATCGGCAAACTGCAGCTGCACAGGGACAAGGCGTCGTCATTCCTCCATCTAGCGCCAAGGGTCCGGATTACTACACTTCTAATAGGAGATTCGTCACAGGGGCGCGCACCGGATCGTTTCAGAGCAGACCAGGTGAATGTATTTCATTTTACTTCATATCATTTCATTTCGTCAGAAGCTTTTTGCTCTCACCGCTGCTGGCCCGTTTTCCATCGCCAGAGGGGACACATGCTAACTCGGATACGAATGCAATCAATCATAAACGCCAGCCAGCCCCCAACCCAACGTCCGAAATAACATGTACAACAAGGGAAAATGAGAAGGAAAAGAAGACAGAAGCAGACCGCTATTCCCTCCAGAGTCCGCCGGCCAATTGTGTTGCAGCGCGAGCTACCGATGTGTAATACCATGCATTTCCCTCCCTTGCCGTTTGCCCTTGCCGTTCCCGTGTGTGTGCAACTGCTCCCATCGAATCGTACAAGAAACAAAACATCTTGGCCGTGCTCTCGGAAAGTCGACGGTTTCCCTGCTCGCTTGCTTGCCAGTTGTGCTTCCAGGGGGGAATCTCGCCCGCCTGGTCGGTCCTCTTGGCTTTCGCTGTGGTTGTCGAGGCCATTTTTCTCGTGTGGCAACATTCGGAGTAATCGATCAGGGTGAACAAGATGAAAGAAAAAATTGCACAAACAGAATTGCCGTGTGGTTTCCCTGCCTTGTGCCAGTCTATAATACGTGGTTCCAGTTCCAGTGCAATGCTAATTCCTGACACTCCAAACACGACCGAGCGTGGTGTATGCATATCCCTTTTCCTTTCCATTCCCGTGTATTGCTTCCCATAGAAAATATCAATCCCAATAAAAAAATTACCAACACCACACGCTTCGGGGGGGTATCCGTCCATCTTTATTTTTTTTCATGCGCCGTGTTCAAACAAAGGAAAAGTTGCGTACCGATAGTACATGAAAGCGACCGTTCGAAAAAGAAAAGAAACGGATGCTTCCGCCGGGGTAGAAGAAGAAAAAAAAATCCCACCGCTTCATTGCGCCAGGATCATCTCAGATCGTGGAATAGAGTGTGGTGAAGATCAACCTCCAAAAGCCCATAGTCCAGGGGGTTGTAAGAAAAATTGAAATAAAGGACGTCCAGTTCCAAAAAGGCCCGTCAAGAAACTCGAGTGTCGAGTAAAAATATGTCCGAGGAAGAAATATAGTGTACAGATCAAGCTTCCAATCATGGGTAGCTATCAAAGCTCGTCTTCTCCGTGCTGGACTTGTCGATCGTGCCTCGGGGGCTGGTGTTGATGCGGCTGAATACCTTGCCGCCCAGGCGGTTAAACTTGTTGCTGTCCTGGCTGCGGCGGGGCGCCTCGATCATCATCTTCTCAACCGAATCCACCTTGATCTTGCAGAAGAGCTTGGAGAAGAGGTACTGGTCACCAGCGTGGTTGAGGAGGGGCAGAGTGCGGTATCCTTGCTTGAGATTGGTGAGCTTGGCAGTGTAGGTAGCCACTGCTGGTCGTTCGTTGTAGCTCTCACCGTCGCTAGAGAGCTTGACCGACCATCGAACGAAGATCAGTTCAGGGTGCTTTGTCGTGACCCTGAATTTGAATTGGCGGTCAAACATGGGGTTGAAGCCGTTCTGGCGGATGACGTCGGTCTGTACCTTGAGGGGCGAGTCCAGGTCCGGGCACATGCTCGACTCAGGATCTTTCTTGTCGCGCTTGTCGTTAGCGTGGAAGATCTCCACCTCGACGTAAGGGTCCATCGACTTGTTAGCGGGGAGATTGGCTGGTCGCATAAGCTGCTGCGCCGAGATGACATCGATGCTGAATGACACCACGCTGCGCTCCTTCTTGCCCTCCGCAATGTCGGCGTTGAAAGGCAAAACTTGGATGTCTCGGAGCTCTGCGGGCTTGAGAACGTAGCCCGAGCAGTCCGAGCCGCCATCAAACATAGCGCGGTTGATTTGCATGCCTAGGTCGAAAGTCTGCCAGTTGAGAGCCGCCATCTGGACTCCGCGACGCCAGTAGTGGAGGGGTTCAAAGTTGTTGGACGTGATTCGGGTTCGGTCAGGGTACACCCTCATCATGTAGCGCATGTTGTGGATATCAAGAGCCATCTTCTCCTCCTTGACTCGAGAGTGCTTGGCGAAGCTCGACTCCATGAAGGAGAAGATGTGATTGTACTGCTTGGCTTCCGCAGTATCGAATCCAGCAAACTTGACCCCAGCGCAGTAAACGCCGAGGTCTCCAAGAACCTTAACCGTCTTGTTAGAGGCTTTCTTGGAGTTTCTCTCACCGCCACTTTCGTTGTCGCTGGTGCTGCTGCTCATCATATCCTGGACCCGACCTTCGGTGATTGTGTTGACTCGGGTCTTGCTGACCAGTCGGCGGGAGGAGTGACTGGGGCTCAGCATGGGGCTCTGGGGGAGCGACGGCGATGGGATCAGAGCGGTGCTGTCGGCCATGGGTCGAGTCAATGGCGAGTTCAAGCTGTTTCCTCGACGACGGCCTCGGAAGTCGGTGCTGGTAGGCTCTTCCTTGATCTGCGGCTTCTTGACCTTGATGAGAATGCGTCCCATAAGCTCAGATGGCGAGGGAAGCTTGTCGGGCGAGTCTTCCAAGGTCTCGAGGACCAGTCGAGGGCCGAATGCTTCCTTGATGATTTCAACCATGAGCACTTGCTGGGTCGGGTTGCAGTGAACCTCAAGTGAGATCCAGAGCGGGAATTTTGACTTGACAAAGGCGTATTTGTTGATTGTGGTCATGACCTCTCGGAAGCTGATCGAGGTGGTCAGCGTGCGGCCGTGGTTAACCTCCGGCTGACCGGAGCTCCCATCCCAACAATCGACCTCCACGCAGCGGCAGCCTCGGACCAGGGACGAGATGTAGCCCTCGACGCTAGACTGGCCCGCCACTTGTCGGCCAAGGAGGTAGGTGTTGTGGGAGCTCGAGATGATGTATTCATTCATAGGGCGGTCCAGGGTGTACTCCTTAGGTTCCGCCACAAGAGGCATATTGTGCTCTGAGGCCAGGAACCCGACCAGGGCAGCTTCCGACATGACCGGCATGCCCGGGATTTCCGCCTCGTCGGTTCGGAACTGGCTGCTGAAGTAGGCGAAGTGCTTTTCCCACATGGCCAGGTTCGAGTCGACATCCTCACCTTGGACGTCCCGCAGGAAAGCGATAAACTCAGGCAAGGTGATACCAGTCTCGGGGTTAGCTGCAATGCTGCGAATAATTCGCTGGATATCGTGTCTCTGCTTCATCCGACGGACAAAGTCTTTAAATTCGGTAAAGTTGAGCTTCTCCCGTCGTCGGGCGTCAGAGAGGAAGAAGTTGGACTCCAAGGTCCATTGTGAGCTGTAGATATGAAGGGTCTGGCAGACACGCTTCACTCCGGCAATGTTGAGCTCCTCCTGTCCAGGGCTCCGAGGCTGTGTGCCAAATTCCTTTGCCATCTCAGACTGCCAGTACTGCGCAATAGCTCGGTCGTTGAAGGTCATCAGCGAAGTCATCAAATCCTGGCGATGCTTCAACATCGCATCCAAAAAGTCGGTCCATCCCTTTAAGCTCTCCTTATCATCGGTAACAATGTGCAGAAACTTAGTTCTCGAATTCTCCGGGACCGTGTACATGATGGTGAACCAGTTCTCCATTGTTGACAAGTCAGATACTCCAAAGTCGAGGCAGTATTGTTGAACATCGGAACCAGTTCGGATCTCCTTGATTTCATCAACATGAAGGGACTTTTGGGGGCGGGCCGGGTCCCAGGAGAGTTTGTTGGATTCGGTCTCATACACAAGGTTGACCCGTCTCGTGCGATTTTTCCTGGACACCTTGAGAACTGGGTTGCCGTTCTGGAGCTGGGTTGGTAGCACGGGTCCGGCCATCGTGCTCGAGCTGCCACTGATAGAGCCGGCGGTGCTGTTGCCTGATGAGTTTTGAGTGGCGCCATCGAGGCCCAACAGAGAGATGGCATCGTCCTGCACTGTGTCCGCCTCCTCGTCGGTGTCAGTCAAGACGTTGGACTCTGTTTGAGTGGTGGCATTGCTGTCACTACGGCGGCGCAAGATGCTAGGGCCAACACTACCATCACGGCTAGCAGGGGCCGCCGAGGACTGCCGTCTCCTGCTAGCAAATCGATGAGCCCGGTTAGAGAATCGGCGCATGAGATTGCTCTTTGGGATGATCTCAGGCATTGTGCTGGGCGTGTTGATGAAACTCTGGCCCAGTGAGGTGGTGCTCGTCTTGCGAGACAAAACCGGGTCCGGTAACTGGAAGTTGGAGGGGCAGGGTTCCTCGTCCCGGCCTCGCATGGGTTCAGGCGACGGCTGGACCGACGAGCTGGTGGTCAGAACGGCGGTATCGGGTGACATGATGGGCGATCCTTGTAGTGAATTGGAGGCCACAGAGGACGCACTGATGGCGGACAGCGCGACGTTGGAGGGCTGGATGTGTGAGTGAAAGGCCGTCTGAACCTGGTTAGGGTAAGAGTTCGGCAACTGGGCCGGAAGGGAAGACATGTCTGTTTGTAATGGGGGAAGAAAGTGGTGTGGTTCGGGGTCTGAATTGAGAGGAGACATGGCGGTGCTTGTAAGGTGTTTGCACTACGTGAGTGAGCCAGGGCGCATCTGAAGGTTGCGTCGACATATATAAGAGATCAGGCAGTATGAGGAGCCATGGTGGGACAGGCTTGGGGGCAGTGATTTGCGGGGAAGAATCAGTTGCAAAGGCCGATCTCTTGTTGGAGCGTCGGTCGCAGACCTGGGGTACAGCCAACGTCAGGCGAGATGCCGCGGGAACTGAGCGAGGGCGTGGACGGACGAAGGTATCAACGTGGATGCAGGGACAAATGCAGCACGAGAGCGCCGTCAAGTGGGCCGCAGTGAGCAAGGCCCTGCCGTGGAGTGGGAGCTGCGGAGGTGCAGTCGAGGCCGATCTGATGCGCGGAGACGTGCCAGGTTCGTGGCAGCGTGGTGAGCTGGCAGAGGTGGGATATGCAGGTGGCTGCTTTTGGGCCGCCTTGGGGTGTTGGTTGGATTAGGGCAACCTCGGGTCCGTGGGGAGGCGGGTGACTGCAGGATGGCACAGCGCCGTGCAGCGCAGAGCGCGGAGACGAGGCCGAAAAAAGAGAAGTCAAGATAGAGCACCCGTCGAGGGTCACGGCTCGTAGTGAGTGAGTTGGCGTCGCCCAGCAAACGCGCAATTGGCAATTCGAGCAAGGCGGAATGGCGGGTCCTCCAGGTCCTTTTTCCAGCAAGATCCTCCTCCGATAGGTCCGTGGTCGGGTTGCACAGCTTGGGACGCTCGCGAGACGTCGTGGAAGCGGTTCCGCCGGAGCTGTTGGTGGAGATGGAGACGTAAGAGAGCCGCCACAACAGGAAGCGCGGTCGGTGAGCTCTGGCGCAGAGCCGCAGATACAGTCGCAGGCGCAGACAGGTCAGGTGTAGCCGTGACGGGACCTGGCAATGGCGGGCGTTGAAGGGTTGAAGTTGCAAGGGCGCGTTCGCTGAGTCACCCAATGCGGATAGTGAGGAACAGGGTCGAGATCGTGGGTTGCGGAAGGTTCGCAAGTTTTCCAGGAGTCGCAAATTTTCAGGTGAGTGTTCCTTCGGCAATGCTGACGGGGTTGCGGCAGGTGATAAGGCGACAATGGCGTATGTCTGTCCGTGAGTGCGTGTGTGTCTGTTGGGTGTTGAGGAGCAAAGCCGAGGGAGACAGAGAAGATTCTCGAGGTTGAGGTTGTAGGTCGGTGGTGGTGGTAGAATTTGGTGGAGCGGGAGTGGGTGGGTGGTAAGAATTGGGGGGAGTCAAGGTAGTAATAAGTAGTGGCAAGTAGTAGCAGTGGTAGCTCGGGGGCAAAGGTGGGAAATTCAGAGGATAGGTCCAGTAGGCTAACGGGCAGGAAAAAAAAAGGCAATTCCCAGGTGGGAAAGGAGGGAGGAGAGTAGGGCGCTTTAAGTGGAAGCACTGAAGCAGGACAAAAAGCCAGAGCTTGGGCGCGGGAGCGGCAGCGTCTTGTATCTGGGCTGGGGTCCGGGAAATTATGGCGGGATGGTCACAGCCAAGAAGGCCTTCTTTATTTGGAGCGCTGGACGACACGAGAGCGTGCGCGCTGGTGGTGCCTGTCCAGTCTGTGCCTGTCTTGTCGGTCTCACTTGGGAGGAGCAGCAGTACGTGGAGCTTTGGAGCGTGGAGGCAGGACCAGCACCAGCACCACAGCATCAGCGACGCAGCGCACAGAGTGGGCAGGCGACCAGGGGCGGGGGCAGCAGAGAATTGATTGATTGATTTGGCTGGGACGGACTGGGGTTACGTACAGTTGGGAGTGACGGGGGGGGAGACGATACTGGGGACTGGGGAGCGACTGGGGGGGCGTGTGAAGCTGGCGGCCAGCAGCCAGCAGCCAGCAGCAGCCAGAGGGCGAGCGTCAGTGTGAGGGAGCGTGGGAGGGGGCCCACGACAGGGAGAATGGGCCAAAAGGTCAAAAGGGTGAGGGTACACAAACCGAAGGGAGACGAGCGAGACTGGCGCGCGAGGGCCGGACGGACGAGGCGCCAGACGACGACCAGACGCCAAGGTGACGCCAGGGTGGGCGTAAGAAAGGGCCCAAGTGGCACGCTCCAAGGTGCAGATGTTCCCCGACAAACCCTGTTCGCAAGGGGAAAGGGGGTCGCCAGCGTGATGCCGGGTGTGGTCGCATCACAGGATGGGCGGGATGGGTAGCACTACGCAGCGAGAACAGGAACAGGGCGAACGAGCCAAGGCACGCACTTGACAGGGCCAGGGCTGCCCCGATGATACAGCCCAGCACGCAGCACACCGCACTGCACCAGCTCAGCGACCAAGCACCAGCACAGCGCATCCGCCGCCGCTACACAGTCACCCAAGTCGTGGTCATGGTGTTAGTCATGGGCGTGGGCGGGCGAGGGCAGAGTGCCGGATGCATCACAGCGCAAGGCATCGGTGCCGCCATACCACCCCCCGGTCGCGATAGAGCTCGCAGCGGCGCACCTTATTACACCTACATTACAAGGCAGATAGGAAACCGCTAGGAATGGCTGGCCGAGCCGGGACAAACAGCCAATGCGAGTGGCAAGGGATGCCATGGTAACATAGAGGGAATGGCGGATGATGGGCATGACTTGACTTGACATGGCCAACTAGGCATGGGTCCGGGGGCTACGCTGTTGTACGAAGGACGCCAGTCTACGAATGACGGTGTATCCATCAGTGTGTAAGAGGGAGAGAGAGAGACGGGCCAGTGTGGTGTGCGAGCGTGTGTGTGTGGCATGGATGGGACGGAACGTGGTTGAATGACGATGGGATGGGGGCTTGCACTGGTTCAAACATGATATAGCACTTGGCGTTGTTGGTTTTTTTTTTTGGTTTTTTTGGCGAGGGGAGCCCTGAAAGCCCTGGAAAGCCCTGGAGCCTCAAGGCCCTGTGGCCTTTTTTTGGTGGTGGGATTGAGGCTTGGGCGCCGGCTTGGGGGGAGAGAGGGGGCCGACCTGGCACGGGGGAGGCTTGGGGCTGGGCCTGGCGAAAAGGAAGCGGACCCGACAACCCGCGATGGATGATGGACAAGCGGGAAGTGGGATTCAGTGGGAAGATGATGGGAAAATGTATGACGGGTCCATTGTTTTGTTTTTTTCGTCCCAATTGGCAGCTTCCACCGCCTTGCCTACCCTCATCCGTCGGAGTTTTCAGTTTCCTATTCGTCTATTCGGAGTGCGGCAGTGTGACTCTGAGTGTGGGCGGACGCCAAGAGGTGGGACAGACTACCAAAAGGTCGGTCTAGTATGGCTCTGCCATCCTACCTAGCTCCCCTCTCTGGCCTGCTGGCTTCCAGGTGGCAGTTCAGTCAGCGAGCCCGAGTCCGAGCCCAATGCCTTGGAGGTGGGGAATACGCCATTCATTCATGCTTTCCATCTATCGCCGGGTGTGGGTTAGAAAGGGAGAGAAAGAAGCCATCGGACTTTTAGGCGCGTGGATGCCATACTCTAAATGACGGTGAGATATGAGGAGATTAGAACACGAGGGGAGAGACAAGAGAGTGAGAAAAGAGGCAAGCTACTTGCCCATCCTCGTCCCTCCTCGTTCCGGCTCGCCGGTCGCGCCAGTTAGCCAAGAGATGAGGCATGAGGATCTGCCTATCCCTCCAGCCCGTAATTCCAGCACGGCGCACCAAAGAGAACGATAGGCATGTGGTCCCTGAATGATCCGCAGCAGCGTAACGTTTCGGTCAATGAAGGGGAGGGCAGTGCGCCGAGTGGTGTCGCGCCGCCAGATGATGAGCATCCGACTAATAATGACGATGGGCATCGGAACAACGAACCGGAGAGTCTCGCCCCTCCGCCGCCTCGGCAGATGCTGCCATCATGCCATGCCAAACTTTTAAGCATGGACTGCACGTCTGGAGCTAATCACAATAAGATACGAGAGAGAGCGTATACTATGTTCACTGGGCTGGAGCGGGGGTCGGGTCGGCTGCCAGCAAGCGGCCGAACGCCTGGATTAGGACCAATTTTCCATCGTCCTCGTTTCGTTTCTCATGTCGTCGGTCAAGAATTTTTCATCCTCATTGGGTACGCCAAGGGCGGGCCAGGGCCCGATCACGAGGGAGGCAAAACGAGGTTCCTAGCCTCTTCGACGTCAAGTAGCTCCTAGCTTAGTTGACAGCAAACGAGGGGGGGGGGGGGGGCAAGAAGCGCGGAACCAACAGCACAACGGCGCTGTGCATTCAGTACCAAGAAGAAGCCCAAGCAGGGCCTGAGCATGGCCAAGGCTGGTCCCGGCCTCAGGTACGATGTCCAGTACGAGGTACGATGTGCGGGATGCTATCTTTGGGAGGTGATAAACGGAGTGCTAGTCGTATTCCGCGCTGGATTACACGATGCTCGTACTCGGGGGAGCCAGTTGACAGAAACCGGCGCCGTCGACCAGCAGAGCCGAGACCAAGATGGCCTGGGTATGGTAGGGAGCGAGTAGGCAGGTATGTGAGACCAGGGCAGTCCGGCCCCCGGATAGCCACAGAAAAAGAACAATTCCATGACCGGGGGGCAGACAGCCAGATGATGGCCGACGCCTCCAAGTTCCAGCGTCCACGGCCAAAAGGTACCGTACCCGTTTGCGTGTACCCGCCTCGGCCGGTACCTCGCCATGTGCCCGGCGCACCCAAGACAAGGATCTACCGACAGGGCCTGGCCGAATCTTGCCACCCCCCTTTATCGTCTGGACAAGGGGGGACGAGCAGTCCAGTGGCGGTACCTTGAGAAACACCTAGAATCAGCGGCGAAGCCAGGTACCCGGAGAAATCGATCTCCTGGCCTTGCCCCTCCCCGCCCTGACGAGAAGTCGCCCACTCGTCGCCATTCAGCGTCAGGGGCTGAGAACCTCGTGCTCCCAGCATGCCGGCGCCATCGCGAGCGGTCAGCAACAGCGCAGCGCCGGCTCCTGTCGAAGCGAGGAGCCAGAGAAGCGCACTGGAGCTCGCCGGCCGAGAATTTGAGCCCGAGCCTTGACCTCTGCTTAAGGCGACGGACGCATGGAGCTTGATATCAGTTCCGTGAAGCAAGAATGAAAATAAATAAAAAAAGACACCGAGGCTAAGAAGAAGTTCAAGGGAAATACGGATAGATGGTCATGTGCACCACACCCTGTCACCGATCCTGCCTTGCCGAGTGGGCCACCGTGGGCCATGGAGCAATGGGAACTTGTCCAGCCCTCTGCCCTGAATACCATGTCTGCCTTGGATGGTCCCGAGTCGGCCTGGCGTTAGATGTTGAAGGAATCATCCAAGGCCTGTAGCCGCCCCTCTAAGTTGTGTTTCACAATCCGAGTCGCCCCCAAGAATCCCCCGGGGGCACGTCTCATATCCCCATCTCCACGGCCGGCGTCAAGGTTCGCAGCGGCCGAGGCCTCTCTATTTCAATCATCGTGCTCTTCCGCCGCGTCGGTGTTGAAGGACTTCAAACGGGGCGCCACCACATCGCGCTCAGTTTGTTAGCGTGCCTCGTCCCCTCTAGTGACTTCTCAGCTGCCACGCCCGCAACGGGTCTGGACAGGGAATCCAGGCATGGACCAGTGGGCGGCTTGTTTGAGACGGTCCTTAGCTCCGACTACCTCACGACTCGACCCAGGAACGCAATCCCAAAATTCACCCAGAACGCCAGAGAGTCGCACCGGCCATCCTTCAGCCTGCAGCCTCCAACTACAAGACGCACGTTGCTCGTTGGCGTGCCCGGGTGATGTCCGTGTATCCACTACAGCGGAACCGAACACAGAGCTCTCGATCCCTGGGGCAGACGCTCCTCTCCAGAAACGAAGTAACCCTTGCCCAGCCCTTGGCCGCACCAGCGCTGTCAACTTGGGGCAAGCGAGCTGTTCCTTGCTGGCGGCTGACGAGACGTGCCTTGTTGGTGACTGGTTCCCCGCCGTCTCATTTCGACGCCGTCGACAATACGACAAACGGCGGGGTGCACCAGCTGCTTGGTCGAGAGGGGCAGGGCTGGGGCGGATAGGGCAGTGCGCTCGCTGCACCGTTGTAAATTTAGGACCACAGCCATTCGCACACACATCCATTGCTATTTGCACACGTCGGGGGCATTCTCAGAATCCAAGACTTGCTTTGCAATGTCTCTTGGGAAATGCAATATCAAAAGTGCCAATTAGAAAAACATTGCTGTTTCTATTACTAATTTGCATAATAGCGTCCAACTTACTTTTATTTTTATTTTTACTCCGTTTCGAGCGTCTCGTCCCCGCTTGATGCGGAAGCCATGTGCACATCAAACCCAGGTGGGCTCAGTGCGAATAGTTAGCCCAGGGTACATTGTTTAACGTGATGCGCAAACACAATCCCATGTATCATGGCGTGCAAATTTGATACGTATGCGTGCGAAGACCAATGGTCAAATTTAGACGCGATTCGCATCGTCATCCTCGTTTACAGCTTTACCCCAGGCGAGCATGTTCCGTCAGCGAAACACAGGAGCACCGGGCAACGGAGCATCAAAATCCACTCCAAGTGACGTGGCAGCCCTCGTTCCGTATATCTCGACCGTTACAGATCTAGCGGACGTTGCAATGCCTCCCGACGGGCATAGCATAGCCTGACACGGCCACCGATAGATGATAGGTTGGAGGATTTTGCTTGAGCACCCTCACGCTCCGACCGGCTCCAGCGTGTGCTTCCCCGTGCCCTCCTCGACCGACTAGGCTGAGTGACACACAAAGGGGCGGTAATGATGACCAAAATGCCTAGGCGCGAGGGGCCCAGACGGCGATGTGCCCAGACGGCAAGGTACCGCCGTCCGGGAAAAAAGGGATGTGGGATGTGGGGAAAAGGCCAATCGCATCCAAGGCCCAGAGGGTTGGATTGGCGAAGCGTCATGGGAGGAAGGGAAAAAAACTTTGTCGCAAAATGTCCCCGAGACCTTTAGCCCCTCCCAATGCCCCAGGTCTCAGGTTCCAGATACCCATCCGCCAACTGCACTGCGATGTGCTCTGTCTGATGCGCCGGGGACGGCCTGATTCCAGGGCAGAGACAATGGGTTGGGCCCTTGTGGCTGGAACATCTTGAAACAAACGCCTGGGACAGCCAGCAGCGGAATGAGATCATCAGGTCGTCGATCCTCTGGCGCCGACTCCCGTCATTTCCTTGTACGTGGGCTCCAGCCAAACAAAAAGGGAGACAGGGCGGCCAAGGTGGAAAGCTACGAGGAGCAGCAAGGGGGGTGTGGGCATTAAAAACATGCCTGGGGACTGGAGAGCTGCAGCCAGGATGCCACTGTGGGTCCCCGTTTGGGTATCTCGGCCGTACAGTACAACTGAAATCCCGTCACCATTCGTGAGTTGTCACTCGTCAGTCGTCAGTCTGACCCCCGCCTCTGTCACGAACCTTACTACGTAGTAGGTGCAGCACGTCTCTGCAGCCTTGTCAGTGCCCCGCCATCAGCAAAGTCCCGCGATTGTGCTTATCCGACTCTATCGCTGCAACCTGCTTGCCATCCACGTCAAGTGAGCTGATGAGACACTGCCCTTCGGAAAATCCGGGGGGTCATGGCCAGCATCCGCGGAAGTCGATGCAGTTTCCTATCAGAGCAAACACCGCCCGAAGGCCCAAAGGCCGGGATGGAGACCCAGGAGTGCCCTCTGGGCCGTCGGGTGAACCCTGCGTTGACACCCTCCAACCTTGCGATGGCGTACATGGTAGGGACTCTGCATGGCGAGCCAGCCTCTCGCACATCACGGCGGCCCTAAGATGGACAGGACCGCCTCGGTCCTGGGCAGCCCTTGGCGCTACGTTTCGAAGTGGTCTACTCCAATTGCGGAGTCTCGCGGGTCAGCATTCAACGGATTCCCGATATACACCGACATTTGGACAATCACCATCATGATCATGTGGTGTCGCTGGGCCAGTCCCGTTGCGGAGCCGCTTGGCGAGCGCACGTTGCGCCGGGGACAAAGAAGATAACTGGACACAACCGAGTCTCCGCGGACAGCAAGAGGCAGCCATGGCGACATCATCACATCACATGCGGTGTTTGCCATGCGATGACCAGCTCCAATGAGACAGCTCGAATCGGGTCACTCCAGTGGTCCGGAGGCCGTCTAGGAGAAAGACGGCACGGGGGCTCGGCGCCCAGTGAAAAGCAAACACAGAAGCAATGTCGCTGTCGAAATGCACCGACGAGCTGGGCCAGGCATAGCCGCTAGGAGAGCTGTGATTTGCTGGATCATGGACGCGCAGGGAAGTGTGCGACGTGGGGGAATGACGTTCCCGTCCCGCAATCTGCCCAATCGGCTGAGATATTAAGTGGTGCCGATACCCGGTCCCTAGGGTGATCTCAAAGGCCCCCGCTGTGAGACATGGGTCCGGGGCCGTCTCACTGGTGTCTATGGCTTTTGAGTGAGCAAACTGACGTTGGTTGTTCCATGAGGTCAACGACAGCGCGGTTGCTTATCTGGGACTCGATCATATCGATGACTTACGACGTAGATGGGACGGACAGTGTCCACCACGTCCTTATGCCCGTCCACCCACGTCTTCAACGCCATCGCCCACGCTTTGAGCCCCCCAAAACTGGTCCAAATCTGGGCAAATCTGGGGTACGCTTTCTGTGAACTAATTAGCACATCTCCCGGTGCACGCCCAGAGCAGAGCGCGGCCCGATTTTGCCTTGGTCGCAAGAAGAGGACCGCGGAGAACAAGGTGGCCGCTGGGAAAGTGTGAGCGCATCCCTAGCCAAGCGTAGGTGACGCGATTGGTCCCGCACCACGCAACCGGGTGACGTAGGGGTTCTCAGGAGCTCAGGGCGGGACGCGCGGAGGTAGAAAAGGTACCCGAGAACGATGCAGCGTCGCGATGCCAAAGCAGGTGTAGAGTGTCACGCGGCGAACTCGACAAGCTAGAATGGGACAGTGGTCGAAAATCCCTGGGATTCGCCCTGCGTAACTGGCTGGATGCCAGTCGTCGGCATCGTCCTGCACATCAAACACACACGCACCGCACTGCACTGCAGCGCAGCGCATGGCATCGCGTCGCATTCACATCGCCTTCGTCCACCCACAATTCTTGGATTGAATTTCCGACATTGACTCGCGCCGGCGGTACGCTGCGCTCGGCATTCCTGTTTGTTCTACGGAGTAACCCAGGCGCGTCCCAAAACTCATATCCCTTCATTCCCCGAGCTGAGCTCCAATTAGGGGCCGCGTCGGCAATTACCCAAAGTGTTGGTTCAAGGGTAAGCAGCCAAGCGCCGACTCCCCCCCCCCTCTCGCCGTCCAAATAGTAGTGGCATACGGAGTTTCCGTACGCGGGTTCGCGAAACCGAGCCCCAGACAGACAGGACAGCCCCCGATAGCCAAGTTTTGCCCTACGTAGTACGTATCTTATCTGGGGGTCCGTCATCGTGCGCTGACTACTGTACAATCGGCCTCTGTTATCGCGGTCCCATCGTGGCTCTTCCTTTTGCCCTCATGGGGGGCCACGCTGCGCTCCGCAGTGCCCACTCTCCAAACCGCATACTACGGACACACAAAGACAGGCGAAATGCTTCCATCTCCTTCCCCCTGAGGACTAGTTGAGATGCATGTCCGCCAAGCGTTTCCGGAGCCAAGATGGAACTTGCCTGTCCGTTCTATTGTGCCTCATTCGGGGCTGGCGTGGTTCGGGTTGTCAGTGGTAGAAAAAGAGCCATGTATGACGCTGAAAATGCCGGTCATCCCGTACCAAGACTTACACCCAGCACGCCCTCAATTTCGATTATACGATGGGCCGCCGTGACCACGTGCCTCTTTAAAGCGACGCACCCAAAGATCAACCCCTTTGTGGAACGACAACCAACCACACCCAGCCAGGCAGCTGCATGCCCGCGGGCTTTGCGGTCGAATCCTGGAGAGTCATCGGGTTGCTCCCTCTCGTGGCGCTCAATTGCGACTCGGGCGGCTTGCCTCGACCAGGACGCAACGTGTCGCCGTCCAATCTCGGCATGCAGCCTATCGCGTCATTGCGGTCGGGCAGCTGATGTGATGCAGCCATGCAATGCCATGCCAGCAAGAAGTGGCACAGCAGCAGAACCGCGAGATTGGCCCGTCTCGAGTCGGCCTCACTTGATGGAGCGACTAGGCAAGCGAATGTTCGGGACTCTCGAAGCCGGTCCAAGCCGGTACGAGCCAAAGCCATTGAGGATCCGAACGCGGGGCGGGCCCTTTTGGCGCACAGGAATTGCCCTCATTTATTTGTCAATATGATAAACTTTTTCGGCACATTGTATTGCAACTTGGATTGGTTTCGGCAGAGGTGAATCCACTCGCTTCCCGGCGAGTCCCAACTTGAGCCTCATAGGTAAAGAGTCGAGCTTGAGGTACCACAAACCCAGAAGCTCAGGAGAGCTCGCATCGAAATAGCTCAAGCTCTGGGTCACGCGCCTCCGAGTTGGGTGGCATTACACGATGCGGCGGCTCCCCTCATTTGGTATCCTCGATCGATGAGAGGATGACCAGTTCCTCGTCCCTTAATTGCTCAGAGAGGGCATGCTGCACGAGCCATGCTCCCATGTGCGCCCCCGCACAAAACTAGAGGATGGCCGCTGGAAGGTGATTAGGCGGTTTCCCAGCTGGTCCCTATCGGGCAATCCACGCTGCCCGCATCCCAGACGAATGGCGCATTTCGATGTGAGATAGGCATTGGCATCCCGCGTTGAACGCATCGCTGCCATGGCCCGTCCAGATCCGGAACTCCGAACCAGACAAGTGGTGCGGATGGAGTGCGGGAGCGCCCGTCTCTTGCGCGCCTGCCGCTGCATCCCCCTCATCATCATGACCAGCGATGCAATGCGGTTGACGCTGCTGCAGTTTCACCCCATGCGTCCTAGATGCAGAGTCTAGATGCAGCATCTTAGGCCGGGCCCTTACGAGGGACCCATCGCCCAATGCCTGGTAGGCCGCTTCGTGATGGCCTCCGGTCCTGTGCAGGTCCTAGTCCTGAGCTGTCTGCCGCCCAGACGGTAGGCCTCTGGCGGCAGGCACGGCAGTAATTAGCTCGAGTGGTATTGAGAGGCCAAGCAAGCTCGCCTTCTGCAATGAATGGCGATGGGCGCTCCGCATCCTACGCATGGACAAGTGATTAGGGTTGGTGAGATGGCCTCGAGCCAGAAACCGCCACTCAGCTGCCATCCCAGCTCTAGCCCAGCACCTGTACGACGGAATCCGGGGTCAATGGTGAAATAACGGGCCTAGCAATAGCTTTCCCGTCCCTTCTGCAACCCTGTGGCTCACACTTGGGCGTTGGGCGCCATGTAAGTCGGACGAGGCCATAGCATGATGCGACGCCAGTGACCTCTTGGGCTTGATTATCGCACGGAGCCTCAGCGGCAATCTCAGACGACGTCGAGTCAGTCAACGTAGTCGAGAAGCTCTTGCAGCCGCATCCATGATCCATCCGCGTGCTGCATCTGCTCTTTCGGATCTGCCGGTAAGCTCAGGGACAGCTCATCTTTCCACGACCCGGTTCCGACGTGCCAGAGTGTGTGGTGTACCCCAGCGGCGCGGCGCGAGCCCGAGTTTCCAACATGACCTGTCCCAGTCGGCCGGATAACTTAGCCGCATGATTTGCCAAGCCATATGCCCAACCGAAAAAAGATGATGCTCCTGAAGTTGGTTTCCAGGGTGAGGGCCGTTACGCACTCCTTCCACTACCGACCCAAGCCTGTGGAAGGGAGGCAATCTATTCACTACGCGCTACGTCGCCCAAAAGCGCCCAGGATCCGCGACAGGCTTCTACCCGCGCACCTGGCACTCCCTGCTAGCCATGGAACAGACTTCAACGAGGGTTCGGCGCCATCACCCCCCATGCTCCGCGGAAGGACCAGGTCTCGACAGCCGCAACGCACTGTCGTTGTGTCTACGGGACCGGATACCAGCCCACCAAGCCGTGGAATTGCAAAGGGTCTGGTCTGAGACGGCCGAACTTCAAAACGACACGCCCTTTTTTGGTAGCGGGCGCTTGGGCCTGCTGCACATCATTGATTGATGCGTTGTTGAGCAAGGGGTGCTCCTTGTTCGCGTGGGGAAATGAGGCAGAGACGGTCGGGATCCCAGCCATGGAATAATTCTAGGTGGAAACGGGGGGTAGGGCCTCAATATCTTGGTGGTCGAAGGATGAATTGCTCAATTTCTCGGGACAGATCCGCGGGATAGTCATGGCGGATGGGCTAGGTGCGCCGCTCTCAATTAGCGTCCGCCATGTCCCCCCAACATAGGAGAGGATAGATGAGATGCCAAGGCATGCCTCTTCCCTTGGCTCGTCCCCTTTCTGATGAGAAGATGAGAAGGCGGCCTCGGACGGTTGGGAATTGCCTACAGCGCGTCATCAAGGGGTCACGGCAGAACAAGGCAATCGGTTGAGGTCGCACAGGGCGATATGCGATGTGGTGCCATGTCGGTACGAATGCGAGACCATGACGCTCACCCAGCACACCGCTCCAGCTCGGCGGTCGACGAGATGACGAGGCTCACACCTTGGCTACTTGGCCTCGTCTACTTGACGCAATCTTTGACCGACGTGCAGCTGGTTGGGGAGAGAGAATTGCGACACAAGGCAACGACAAGCCCGCGACAGGCCACGACATGGTATCAGGTGGCAGCGGCCGTGTAAGCTGCGACGGGCAACGCCAATCCTGGTCCGCCGCCGTGGACGTCAAACAACGAACCAAGACCCATCCACCAGGACTGGGGTCGCATTTGACGGGCAGACTGGCCGGCATTACGTGAGGGAGCCGCGGTTCTGGTCATCTCGCCAACGTGTGTTCAGGTTCATGTTTCACCCTGTGGTCCGCTGTCCGCTGTCCGCTGTCCGCTGTCCGCCTTGTTGGGCAAATCGGCCCTTGGGATACGAATTGGCCATCTGCCGGCGAGATGCTGGTTGCTGGGCTGTTGGGTTGGGGGGTGTGTGGTTGGCACTTCTGGGGGAGGGCCCATCCATGTTGGCTTCAGACTCAGCCTTCTAGAATCCTTCCCCAAGAATCCGGGACCGAACCCCTGAAGGCACATCGCCAGCCAGCCTATAGGTGCCGGTCGCTGTCAGGCAGTCGTTGGCTGAGTGCATGACTTGTTGCCAGTGTTTGTCGATCATTCTCCGCAATTGACGGGGATGGACGCCTCTTTTCCTGGAGGGCCAGCGGCGCAAGTCTAATAATACTGCAAAACGGTGTCGCAGGCCCACCACCAAGGGGGTCCCTAGATGGGAGGTGCCGCTGTTCGTTGTTCATTGCCGGGGGGGCGTCTTTACTCTGAGGCGCCCGGTGACTAGTTTACAGCCTCGTTCGCGAAGCATGCCCCCCGCATGCCATGCTGCAGCCAGCCATCTCACCGCCAGAGTGAGCCATCATGGCGGGTGTCACCGCCCGGCCGCCGGCTGATGAGTGAGGCTGGGCGGTGTTACTGTCAGATTCATCATGGTGGAGATTGTGCGTGGTCCAGTCCCAGTCCAGCGTCATTGTGAGCTGGAGAGATACACCCGTCCAGTACATCTCGGACCTGTGTCAGATACAATATTGCGCATCAGGCATTGCCACGACAAAGATACCAGAGCCGGTTCCAGACACGGACATCTATTTCGAACCACGGTGCTACTCCAGCCTGTCGCAGTGAACGAGGCTTGACTCAAAACCCCATGTCCGATGTCTAAGCAAACGGACTACATACGTTGAAGGGCTTCTGGAACAATCCAGGCAGAGAGCGATGAGCTAGAACGATGGTACTGAGATTGGCTCATTTCCCAGGCATAACATGAGCGCGCCCCGGGCCTTCCGTCGGATCACGCCCCGTTGACCATTTTAGTCGGTTGTGCAGTAGCGGTGCCGGGTGTTCAGCCCTGTGTCTCTCACCACGGCCTCACCGCGGTCTAGGCGGTGGGATATCGACTTATCACGAACCGACGAGTTGACTCACAGCTAGGTCAGCTGGGCTACAGGCAGCCATGGGATGTAGGCTGACACCTGCAAGTTGACGGATTGGCATTATGCAATTTGCCTACTGCCTTCCGCCTACTGCACCTCTGCCTGCATCTCGACCGCCCCGAGGTTGTCGAGCAGGCGGTCGAGCTGCATACGGCGATGGAGGGGGCATCAGAACATCAGGACACGCCCCAAACGGACCAGTTGGACGAGGCCGTTGATGACGGAGGCGACGCCATCCTGGGCCAGGTCTGGCTCGGGCCGGCCCCCACGTGTGGTCTTGCAGGCTGACTGGTCATTTCTGCATCCGTTGACAGCAGCCGACACACCTCCTCCAGTGCAGCAGTGCAGCATTGCAGCATTGCAGCATTGCAGGACGGTTCAATCCCGTGGTGGGTGTCTGCGGCCAGGACGGGCGGACAGTGCAGTAGGTACAGACGCCATCGGAGAGACATGAACGCGTACATAGAAGAGACCAGTGAAGGGGAGGGGTGGCTTCATGGCAGACCAGGCAGAGCACACACGCAGAGAGCACACGCAGCAGCGCCGGTCGACAGATTAAGAAACGCCAATGCCATGCCTATGGTACCGCCCTAGGGTAGAGGAGGGGGCGTCTCCCAGTCTCACGGGTCTCTGCAGTCAGTCTGCAGCCTAAGGCCTTGCATACATACAGGTCTTTGGTCTGAGGTTGCGGGTTCTGAATCGCTGTTGGCTGTTGACCGGTGTCTCCAAGGCACCCGCATCAGGGCGGAACCGAGCTGTTGAAACCAAGAGGCAACCGGTGAGCATCGTCCGGTTGCACAAAGCCTACGGTGACGACAATGCTTGAGTCCAGGCGAAGGGGGGGCTTGAAGCTGCGTGGCTGTTTGCTGTTGTCTCTTGTGTGTTGGTGGAACCTGAGCTGTCACCTGAGGTTAGGCGCTCGATTCGACAGTTTGGGGCAAGACACAACCGAGTTAGGGACCGCGTTAGGGGGGTCGGCCTCTGAAGCCAACTAGAATTCATCCCTGTGCTGATGGATGCCTCCACTGTCACCCGGCACTCGACACCGGGGAACCACAACTGTTCCAAAGCCGGTAGCATGCGGGCCAGCGGCAAAGTGCCGAGAGGAGCAAAAAGAGCACAAGTTGGGTGGTTGGTCAGCTGAGGGTTCTTGCAAGACACCACCACCACCACCACCAACACCACCACCACTATACCCTACAGGACCATTATGCGGGTGACAACTCACCCACAGGCGCAGGCGCAGGCGCAGGCACAGCAGGCTCGGTAACAGGTCGCCAGGCCATAGACGACATGAATCCGGAAGAATGGTCAGTTTAGGGTCAGCGGTGCCGTCTCGTGACAGGACACCTCGTCCGGTCGTCTACCACCGAGTGTCGCGGAGTTGAGACTCTTGGTGGCAGTTTACAAGCAACGGGATTAATAGCCGCATGTATATCGCGCGTAGCAGTACCTGATTACTCCATTACTTTGGTTCACTGCCACCTCCAGCACCACCTCCAGCACCACCTTCAGCACCACCTCCACCGGGCTGTGCGCTGTTCCCTTCTAAACCTCCAACGTCCAGCCCCCTACGCAATTGCGTGCCACGTCAACCGTCGTCAAGACTGTTTCTGTCATGCCCGGTGGGTTGCTGCATTGATCACCCGGGCGTCCAAGAATGCAAACGACATCTGACCGAATGGCTGTCCGTCACGCCGTCCGCCGTCCTCCGTCCGCCGTCATCCCCCGTCTCCTGTGTCTGTTTCACGGCAGCTAGGCTGGCACACGGCGCCGGCGAAGAAACGTTGTCGCCGGAAGCGGGCAAGCTACAGGCGTCGTTGCGGAATAACAAGGCGGAGCAACACCAGAAACAACCGGGAAAACAACACCATGGCGCCAGGACCACGCATTGAATCAATCTCTCACGCCAAAGTGGGCATCAGGCCATTGCTCGCATATCACTCCAGTCACGTTTTTACCCACCACAGCAACGACGAGGCCAGTCAGAGCGCGCAATTGCACCAACAGCACCAGGGCAACAACAGGGAAGAGCCTTCAAAGGAGCAATCCTGTGAGCTTGGGCGCGAAACCCGCGGACTCGGTTCCGGGAGCTCGGTCCAGTGGTGCGGGGGTGGACCATGGAAATGGATGACAGCTGTCTAGGTTTATTCTGGTCGAGGCGAAGGAGTGTGGCGATGCTAGGTTTTGGACCTCTCATGGTGGGATGGAGGAATGGCCGCCAAGTGGGTAAAGTCAATGGCGATGGAGAATGGAGGATGAAGGATGAGAAGCAAATGGAGACCAGCCACGGAGCAAGACGGGGATATCCCAGACTCGCTCGGGGACGACGGGAACGGACGACGACTTGGGCGTGCGGAACCTCATCGGAGTCTATCCCCGGGTGGAGCATCCCCGGAGCTTTTGAGCATTCACCACAGGGCGGGATCGGGCAAAGCTCAGGCGCCGGTCTAAGTAAGACGGGCTTCCACTGTCCACCGAGTGCCAACTCGCCTTGACTCGCTCAGATTCGCTGGAGGGGGGATCCACGTCTCCGACCAGGTTCTGCGGGAGATGGAAGGGGTGGCGTGGGTTTGACTTGACGGCCCAGGATGTCATGGCCTAGAGCTAGAGACAGACTCCCAAACCCACGCTCGGAGCCACTGGCAGTCAGTCCTAGTCTGGGCTCCAATGTGGGCAATGAGCAGACAGAGACAGCATGGGCGATTTGGGACGTGCCACTATCACCCCGGGACGTGGGAGGCCATCCGCGAGCCTCCAATCCCAACCCGGGGCCGACTTAGAGTTGCTCCGTCTTCCTCTATTTGACGGACCGACGCCAGTCCAAAAGACGCCAAGAAGCGTAATCAATGTGAAAAAGGCCCTTTTGCTCGACGCACCCAGGACGAAAATCCTCCGAGCGGGTTGCCTGGCCGCGCCTTCGAGTTACGGTTTAAACATGCCCGGCGCCATCCTGCGCTGGTCTGGGAAAGCCCTCGCCGACATGCCAGCTGTGTTCAATCGACCTGGGATGTGCTGTACTGTGGATCAGGGGAGGGAGAGCGAAGGAAGGGCAAAAGGGAGTCAGAGGCAGACTGGCCCGGATGAGGTCGGCCGGGATGTCGGCTCACAAGCACATTGTGGATCGAGGCACACGGCTCCAGCAACACACGCGAGGCCGTCCCTCTAATTGGCGCTGACGACTGTTCCCAGGGGCGAACTTGGGGCAAACTGGAGATTCCGTGGCGTCGTCACTCCCGCCGGGTTCTCTTTGCGAGAGCGAGGCATCGACCTCCTTGTCGCGGAGAACTCGGCCATGGGGACACACAGACTTGGCCATGTGACTCGCTATTTGGTGTTCAGGTTTTCATTGTATTAACGTTGTCGCGTCGGCAGTGTTGCGGCTGTGTCTGTGCCAATCCCCTTGCTCCAATGCCTTTGCCTCTGCCAGACTATGCAAGCATATGCCATTGCCGATGCCGATTGACTTCCGTCGTACATGGAGCGATATCGTTGGAGGATCTTTTGGCCGTTACGTCTACTCCGTACACACGCCCGAGGAGCCCGCAAGTCTCTCAGTCAATGCTCGCTCCGTTGCTGGTCGGTTGCCATCCTTGCAACGGAGTACTATTTTCGTGTCCTTGTCTGCCGCCGCTCGACCGCCAACGAAACGCCCTCGTCCGGGAGCAAGCGTACACGTCCTTCCCAACAGTCTCAGAGAAAGCAGCATTGTTCCCCGTCGGACACGCGAGGCCTGGTATGAGACGGCGTTGTCCACGGTGCGCAATCTATCCTGCAGCGTCCCGTGGGAGCCGGTGTCCGGGATCACGGCCAACAGGAATAGCAGCTGGGGGATGTTGGGCGGCCTCTCATGATGAGCGCATCGTGCAGGTGCTGTGTTTCGTCGCTGCGCGCGTGAGTAAAATCATCGACAGAGTTTCCCCTTCGATGGAGCTTGTCTTCCGCTGAGAGGCCAAGCCGTGTCCCCTCTTGTTGGACGCCATGTCTAGAGTCTCGTCCTACCAGGACTCAAGGACAACGATTGACATAGCCTTCGGGTCAGCAAGCTAGGCGTCCATACGTCCCCTCACCCTCTCACCCTCTCACCCTCTCACCGAGGACGTCATACCTCGGCCGATTGCGTGCTCCCACAAGGTGAGCTGCTGATGCTGCTGTGCACTATTGGATTGAAGAGGGACTCGACGAAAGCCTTCGGATTCGGTATTCCGCTCGTGAGCCACGCAAGCCTCTTTTTCTCGTTTGTATATCCGGCGTGTCTGATATAATTTTGAGTTGCACGACGACCTCGGTTGTTTCGCTGTTTCTCGGCGAGAGTGTTTCTAAGTCTGTACATACTGGCTAGTGCTAGTTGCCTCGTGGGAGTACATGCGGGCTCCCGAGAGGAACTTCCAGATACGGATGAAAATTCTGGCCGGGTCTTTTGGCCCGTGGAACGTCGTAGTGCGACAGATTCGTCTGGGTATGCGGCGAGCGTGCTTGGTAGATGTGTGTTATTGTTGTTCTATGATTGAGGATGATGGTTCAGGGGTAAAAGGTCTCTGCCCAGGCCACATCACTAAACAAAGCGGCTGCTTTCTAGAATCCCAGTATGTACTGGTACAATACCAATGGTGTTTTACTCGTTGTTTTCCCTTTCACCTTGGTGATTGTGTGGTTACTCCGCTTCGATACTATCCGGCTTATCCATGAGTGAATGGATGATTCAATCTCAATTCACACATAACAAGACACCGGTTTCCAGCGTATGTGAGCGTTTCGTCAATTTAATGAATACCTGCATAGTCACAATATCATTATGTACGAGTTTCAGTGTACCTTGGCCTCGAAAGAAGTGAATGTCACTGGTGAATGCATCCAGAGGTAACATGACGCTTGGTATAGGGTAGCCGCGATCGAAAGAAACAGCTGAGTCTAATGGCATATTATTCGCATGGAGGCATTGCCTTTCTCTCTTGATCTTTGATCATTCTGAAACTAGGATAAACCAAGGAGTGAAGAAGACATAATAGTCAGAATGCTCTCATAAATATGGTGAGATGCAACAAGAGCTCTATTGTTCACATTTGAGTTTCCATGTCCTGGTATCACACATTACTCGTGTTACTCATACTTGACGGTGAATGGTGATGCTCATAGTGAACCATCGTGGATTAGTTTTGTCATTTGATCTCCAGCAATGCTTAAACGTAGATGTTGCTCCTGCTCTTTGAGGTTGACCATGAACGGTCACCCTTGATGTCTTGGAAACAGTAGATATTTGTCACGTACTACGGAGTCTGAGTACCCATCCGTTCACCACGGAAGTTCAAATGATACTCGCTTCTATGACGGAAGATATCCAAGATAATTATCTGAAGTCAACAAAGTTGAAAGAAAAACAAAGAGAAAGCATTAAAAACAATGCAAGTATGGCTGGATCGGGGTCCGTCCCAGTCAGAGGCTGTGCCTCAAGTGCTCGATAGGCGTACCATGAGAAGGGGCGCCTACTTGGCGATCATAATTTGCTGAGATGCGGCGTAAGAGTAGTTTTGCGGCTGAGGTAGGAAATGAAGCGGTTGCGCGCACGGTATACGGCTGCCTCCTCATTCTAGAAGGAGATTTGAGTCTTCTCAGGAGGTGATCGCATTTGACTATGAAGTGTGTCTAGACATGCGGCCTATCACAACCGATCACCGGCTTCTAGTTAAGACCTGGGTAGCCCAATGTGTCTGCACCTTGTCTGCTATTTGAATACGCATTCCACCGCATCTTGACGACATTGGGAACAAATGTGCGCCCCGCCCTGACTATGCTCACAAGGTACGTCTGGCTCAATGCAATGGTAGCACCTACCTCTGCACCTTTTCTCATGCGTCGCGATCTTCTTTTGCGGTATAAGCGAAAGGCAATGAGGACATGGCACCTCGGTTGCCGAGGGCGCACCCGCGGTCTCAATGCCTGTGCACTGAATCTCTTTGTCGATACAGCTACTGCACGCGGAACTGGTGCCGATCCATACACAAGGAATGTTGGAGTCCTTGCATTGATCACATTTGCCTCGACACTGAGCGACATGCTGGGAGAGCGTCAAAGCTGATCCATACGCATTGTCGCAGCGGCTGCAAATGTACTTGTTCTCAGCAAGATGCTCATGGCTAAAGCTTCCACATTCAAGTTTACGTTTCGAGCATCGCTCACATCTTTTACCTGGCCGGAAAAGACACGGGGCATTCCCTTTCATGCACTCGCTGCATTTGCCTTTGCACTGCGGCAGATGGTTCTTCAGGTTCCAAGGCCACATGAATTGTCCGCATCTCTCGCATGGCACCTTGACCGCAGTCTTAGCCGGGAGTGTTGGAGTGTGACTGAAGTCAGAACACTCCAGGCCGTTTTTGATACAGCGCTCGCATCTCTTTACCCTGTTGCCATTCTTCAAATAGGGAACATCCGCATCTTGGCAATGTTTGCATCTTCCTTTGCACTTTTTGATATGCTCAGGCCCACGCTTCGGTAAAGGCCCACCACATCGCTCGCAAGGAGCATCGGCGTGACTGAATTCAGTACAATCCAACCCGTTTCGTAAGCAACACTGGCAACTATCCGCTTTCGCGCTTTTGGTGCATGCTAAGTTGTTATCTCGGCACGACTTGCACCTTCCTTTGCAGGTCTTCTCATGCTTGCGTGCGGTCTCATCATGAGGAAACAGCCGGCCGCATCGCTCGCAACTTGACTTTTCTCGGAGGTTTGGCTGTTGCTTCGCAGGCTGCGCCTCTTCAGAAGAGTCTCCATCTGCAGTTGATTGCTTTTCGGTACGAGAGGCCTTGTTTTGAGACGGTCTTGCAGGTATTGGTGAGTTCGTAGCGCTGGGAAAGCCTCCAGCCTCGGGAAAGCTCTGGGTTTCAGAAGGCACGTTAGCTTCAGGAAAGGTCTGTTTTTGAGGAGGCTTGTGGAGTTCATGAACACCCTCTTCCTCCACGGGATTTTCTTTAACAAGGCCGTCCTCTCCAGAGCCCTTCCTAGCTCCAGAGACAGATCTCTTGATGTCCTTGGAGGTGGGCAACGTTTCGTTCAAAGACACTTCTTCGACTTCAGAAAAGGATCGCTTGGTGCCTCTGTGAATAAGTGTGGTTTTATCAGGTGGATCCAGACGACTTCGTTCGTCGGGAGACTTATCATGTTCCATGTCTGGGAAGTAGCTCTCGATGCCCGTCCTCTCCTCTTTGGCTGCTACCGAATGAGGCCTATGAGAAAGTGCTGTTGAGGTCCTTGTGGGGTCTGTCGGAGTAGAACGGCTTGTAACCTGAGGTGCAACAACAAATGGGCTCAAATACTTCGGGCGACCTTGTCTGTCAACCAGCATGAATATTGACGTAGCATCCACCCCCTCCGCTGATGTGGGTTTACCCTTTTTTTGAAATGGCTCATGTTGAATGGTTTTTTTGGCTTGGTCCTTCAAAGATCAAGTTTGGGGTTTGTGAGAGTAACTCTGAGAGACACTGCTTGACGTCGTCATCCAGGCTTGTCAGTGAGTTCCCGGCTCTTGTTTGCTCATCCACGGACGGCACTCCAGATTCAACGGGATGCTCAAGTCCTGGACCTTCATCAGACCAAATCATTTCCGAGCTCCAGGCGGGCAACTGTGCCCAGTCTTGCCATTCGAGTAGAGGGATGCCGACGAATAGTCTTCCAAGAACCTCGAAACTCTCTGCAATAGACGCCACGTTCTTCCGAAACCTTTTGCTGGTCCAGACACTCTTGTCAACCTGTACCCGCGGACATTGGGAAACGTCTCGTTGGAGCTGTCTGAGAATCCTGGTGATCGGGAGATACTCCGCAGACATCACCGGGACAGTCAACATGACTTGGGTTATGTCATTTGTACGCACTTCCATAACAAGGTCGTTCTTCGTCAATAGCCTATGAACCTCAGCTCTGCAGATACGTATAATTCGCTCGTTTACGATTGGGTGATGCTTGATTGGTCTGCTTGGGGCAAAAGACTTCGGCAACCCCTCTGCGCTTCGTTAGTTATTGTTCAGCCCGCCGCCACGTCCCGTGCAGGAGCAGTGCGTATGGAGAGGTATGACACGTTTGAAGAAGCACTTACCGCTCAGCTGATTCCAGTTCTGTCGTAACAGAATTTCCTCGTTGAAGAGGGCGCTTCGCTTTTGATTGAAGAGCCAAATGCAATTGATCGGGAAAAAGGCTGTGCGCAAATGCGGGGGAGCGATACTTTCAGCAATGTTTGAGACTTCCTTCTAATTCAGGCCGAATTCTCTCAATTGTATTCGCCCGTCCTCGTCTGTGCCCTCAATAAGACCTGCCGCCTCGGCGTGACGCTTGATGGCCACCCAAAGGATCGACAGATTGAGTGACTTCGAGGTGTCCAAACGCCAGGGGTGAATGTCATGTTCTTCACACAAAGATCTCCACATAGTTGTCAGGAGGTCCCTGTAACGCCGAGTGTTGGGAATGTTTCCATCCAATAACACTTGATCAACCAGAGATCGAGGCATACTGGCCTTTCTATCAGATAGAAGATGCTGTTGGAGGTAACTTCTTAGAGCCGCTGAGTTCAGGTAGTTTGATTCTGCTATACCAAGAACTTCAATGGATCCGATACAGATACTTTGTGTAAGTGGCACAACCACATTACCGCTGCGCCATGGGGAGTGAGGAAAGTCATCGGGCCTCAGGAAGGCCCTTAGGTGCTGGCTTCGAAAGGCTAATCGAGTTTTTGCGTGGGGGGACCACTGACCAGCCAGATGAAAGGTGTTATAATTCTCGATTAGATATGTCATGAGACGCATCTTGACCACTTCTCTGCTAGAGACCGTCTGGTTCAGCGAAAGCCTCGTCATGGGAAAGAAGAACGACCTCGCCCCTGGTGCCGACATTTTTGAATGTATGAAGAGAGGGCCCTTGTCGCCACGTCCCCGTCGTCGATTGATCTCATCATGTCCCAGAGCAAGGATTCTTCGATGTCCCTTCATGCGTGAGATTTCGCCTTGTTCGGCGCACATGCTAGTGGCACTGCCGCTGTAAACAAAAGTGTCTCCATTTTCGCAGTGTGCCAGACCGGTGTAGGTTGTGAAAAAGTCCCCGATAGCATCGCAACTGGCCAGGTCAGTGTGAGGATAACTGTCGAACATCTCTGCTGACCAACTTTGCTGTCCCAGAAGGTATTGGAGGGCAATGGGCTGCACGCCAGGACAGGTCATGATGTGTACTAGTCTTCGCCTACGTTCTGCCGACGCATTCGTCACAATCAAAAGGTACCATTCTCTTGGTATAGTTGTTTGGAAGCGATCGCCAACAGCGAGCATGAAATGGGCTATGCGAGTAATCAAGCGATAGAGGCGATCTCGATATCTCTCCAAAGCCTCAGAGATGGCTAGATACTTGTTCAAGATGTTCGCTAACACCCATGTCGATTCGAATCGGCGTATCATGCCAGTCACTACAGCGTTGACCAGTTTACCGTCTTCCTCGTACGGGGGATGGTTGAGTGAGGGGAGTAAGACCCCTCTCAGTGATTTTTCACAAGAGAGGCCGTCTTTTTCGATTTGCGCAAGCCATGATTTTACGTCTTGAAGCAGGTTCCGCAGAAAGGAATAGCCTGCTCGTTGTCGATAGGTAGTTGATTGAGCTCTCTGTTGCAGGGTGCTAAGAACTGCCTGCATTTGGCGCAGCAACCGAACGTTCTCTGTCTGTTCTCTCTTGATCGATCCAGAAATATCGCAAAGGTCAACTTGAAGTTCATGCGCTGAGAGTCCAGAAGCGGTGCTCAGCCAGTGGTGGTCAGCGTTGGTAGCCTGATCCTCGGAGTACTACTGCGAGTTGGGCATCTCGAAACGAGATTCGTCATTTTCAAGAGCGGCGTATGTCTGTCCCGGAGTAGGTGGGTCGCGTATATTGTATGGACTACTAAGTTCTCGCTGGATTGCGCGAAGCCACAGCGAACTGACATGGGATTCTGCTCCTTCGCCTCGGCGAGATGCCTGGACGGTCGACTGCGAGAAGAAAATGCTGACGCTCTCAAGGGCTACAAGTCCGCAGTTCCAATTCCACTGCTGCTGCGGAAGTAGCATGATCGTCAAAGTCATGTGCCGACCCTCGATTCCGCTCACGAGGCTCAAAGCTTGCGCAGCTCTCTCGTCTCTGCCCTCCACCTAGGAGTCAAAGTACGTCAGCGAGCCGCTATCCATCTGTGCTACAGAGATAGCCCAGTGACTACCAAAGTGGAGAACGATAACGGTAGTGAGAGAAGTGAGCAGCTTGGTGGAAGCGTCCCACTGAGATGGGCCTAACGTGGTGACCAATGGAGTTGCGATGATGCGTACATCCCTGTGCTGCCCGATAGCAAGACTCAATCCAGCGATAAGCGATAATTCGTTGAGATATTCTTCCTTCCGGATGAATCCGTCAAGGTTGAAGAGTCCAGTGAGATATTGGCCGACCGCCATCCCCCCAACAAAAGGTCCTGATGGTTGGATGTGTGGAAAATACTTGGCGCGAATCGTCTCCCAGTCGTCCTGACCATTTCCCTTCCCAAACAGGGATGAGCGGATATACGCTGGCCGAATATTTCGAATGTTGAGGTACTCCTCAGTCTCGGGATGCTCGCGAGAGAACCAGTAATCGAAATTGTCCAGCTCGTCGAATCTTAGGTTAGCCTCGAGAAGGGCCACGTGCGCTTGGTCTGTCATCGGTGTGGATGCCTTCTTGCCGATATCGTGGTGTGAAGGAAATTCCTTATCATTCGATTCCGGACCCATAGCCTCATGATTATGAATGTCATAGATTAGTTGCCAAATCCAGCCATTTTCAATATCGCTCCTGAAAGCTTGCGCCCTCCAAGTGCAACTGGTAAGCGTCCGACCATTGACCAATTTTCCGGATTTATCTCCGCATAGTAGTAGGCGAGAAATTTTGGGGCTTGGAGTAAGGCGTCGGTGTTCTCGGGCAGGCTCTATGATGCTGAAACCACTCTGTTTGGCGGAATGTCGAAGATACACCAGCAGCTCATCAAAAGTTGAAGCCGCTTGTGAGTCTCCATGAGGCAGAGGAATACCTCACTCTGGCGGGTTGGGGATCCGCACCCGGCGTCTACCAGTCATGCTGGTGAGGAGAGGGTGGGTTTGTCGGCCACATCGAAGGACACAAGATGCTGGCGGTGGAAGAGGCTGGAAAGAGCTAGGACGATGACCGAATCGGTCAGAAAGGTGAAATGAGGGCACACAGTTGACGCCGAAAGATGAGATGGGAAGGCTGGTGCGACTTGGCAGTTGTCGTTTGGAGATGCAGTATTGTTGTCGAGAAGATGTCGATAGACGGTGATAGGGAGTGCAGGGCAGGATTAATTATTGCAGTGCCAGTACCTGCACAATACACCCTGACCTGTACTGGTATTGGCGAATTGCAGTGGTGTTAGAAGACGAATCGAGGTAAATACCCACCACGCAGGTGTCGTTGGAATGACTCTAGTGGAATCACGGGGACGAATGAGACCTGTGCGTTTAACATCACGTGATTTTACAGAGCTGGCTGTGCGAATAACGTCACGTGAGGACTTTCCAGCAGGTCAAACGGGATAAGTCGGTATGTAGCTCCGACAGTCGAGTCCACTAACAGACTCATATGCCGAATTTTTTTTTTTGGAGATCCATTGTTGAGGTACCCTAATAGTGGGTGGGGCTGTATTCATGTGGGTACCTAGATGAGTCAGCCACTAAAGAAAGGCTGGGCTGGAACAGAATTTTCTTTAAGCACTAAAATACTCATCGCTCGCTTGATTTGTGCAATGCTTGCAGGGTCCCTTGTTCTTCTCCCGCTATAACCAGATTCACGATTGTCGCGCCTTGGATATTTGGCTGGAAATCTTCTACACAATGAGCGACACACTTGAAGCGGCGCCGCCGCACGATACCTTCGACGTAAGGACGAAGCATTCTCAACTCTCCATCTAAGACCCTCTGAACTGACCATTACTGTCGTCAAGACCGTGCTCGTCTTGGATCTAGGATCCCAGACCAGTCATGTTCGTTCTGCCCAGCTACTCCTGCTATGCGGGTAACAAGAACTAACAAAACCAAAGCTCATCTTGAGACGGCTGAGATCTCTTGGAGTGTACTCTGAGATGTTACCCTGCACCCAAAAGCTCAAAGATCTGGCTTGGAAACCCGTTGGGATTATTCTCAGCGGAGGCCCGTCAAGCGTGTATTCCCCCGACGCCCCGAGCGTGGATCCGCTGGTGTTCGAGCTCGGCGTTCCAGTGTTGTACGTTGTACGCCAAAAGCATGATGAAAAGCTCGCTAATATCTACGAAGAGGGGTTTGTTTTGGCAATCAACTGATTGGTATATCTCGCCCTTAGGTGTGTCCGGATGATCATTGACTAACGGTTGTCTCAGCATGGCGAGTAAACCCACGCAATGTAGCGCCCGGCGTGAACCGTGAGTACGGGGAAACCTCGATGGCCATCCACAAGATTGGCAGCCATGCCGATCGGCTTTTCGCGGGATTGGGAGACTCTTTGAACGGTTCGTTATGCCAATGGTGTTCGTCTGGCTTGGCTTGATGCGTATCTGACGTTCTTTGACTATAGTTGTAATGAGTCACTTTGACAAGGTCGTTCATCTACCCGACGGCTTCAAGACCATTGCCACCACTAAGAACAGCGAGTTTGCTGGCATTGCTCACGAGTCTCTGCCTATCTTCGGTATGGACATCTTCTCGAAGCTCACGCTAAAGTTTGCTCATAAGTTTGACTGATAGGCATCCAATTCCACCCTGAGATCTCGCACACAGAGCGGGGGACTGACATTATCGCCAACTTCGCTCTCAAGATCTGTGGTGCCCGAGCGGACTGGAAAATGGACAACTTCTCAGAGAGGGAAATCGTTCGGATTCGGAAACTTGTCGGCGACAAGGCACAGGTTGTATGTGTTTCTATCTTGGCCAGCGACACATGTCAGCTTGCTCATTAATTCGCAGATTGGCGCCGTTTCTGGGGGAGTCGACAGCACTGTAGCCGCCAAGCTGCTGACAGAAGCTATTGGAGACCGCTTCCATGCGATTTTGGTGGACACTGGTGAGATGGCGTCGCTCGACAAGATATCCACCCGCTTACTAGTAATGTTCTAATATGTCTGTTAGGTCTGATGCGTCTGAATGAATGCGAGCAGGTTAAAGAAACCTTAGATAAGCATCTGGGGATTAACCTCACCGTGGTGGACGGATCCAAGCTTTTCTTCGACCGTCTTGCAGGGATCACGGAGCCTGAAGCCAAGAGGAAGATTATCGGAGAGACTTGTGAGGCAACCCCCTGGAAGCTGGCTAGCCTATCATATTGACCTCAGATAATAGTCATTGACCTCTTTGAAATCGAGGCACTCCGGTAAGCCTACGCTCGTCACCTTTCGAACCGTGGAAGAGTTTACCTAACCCTATATTCAGTATAGAGAAAGAAGCAGAGAACACAACGCGTGCCGGAAAGGTTGAATGGTTCCTTCAGGGAACACTGTATGGTCAGTTGTTCACTTTGCTCACCAAGGATCGAAAATCCATTAACCCCGTCTAGCGGATATTGTGGAAAGCTTGAGTTTCAAGGGAGCCGCCAGTTCGACAATCAAATGTAAGTCTCTCTGTTATACTCCTCGTTGCCCCCTTTGTTGCGGCGAAAATGCGAAACCGTTTGCGCCTCAACCATAAAGGCAAACCCCTCGCAACACCTCGCGCCACACGAGTTACTCTTCCCAACTTCCCATCCGCCTCGTGAATGTTGTTGCAGAAACTAAGGCTCGTATAGCTCATCATAATGCCGGAGGACTTCCTGCTCGCATGCAAAACGGCGTAAGTTGCACTCACTATTTGGCATTTTGAGGGAAAGATACTGATAATCAACAGGACGCACATCTGAAGCTCCTTGAGCCGCTTCGAGAGCTGTACGTTATCGGTCTTGCATGAATCTAATAGGAGGATAATTACTTGTCGCGGTCGCTAAAGATAACATAGTTTTAAAGACGAAGTGCGGGAGTTCGGACGGCAACTGAAGATCCACGAGGAGCTCATTGGGAGACACCCCTTCCCGGGCCCGGGTTTGGGTATCAGGATTATCGGCGAAGTCACCCGCGAGCGAGTCGAAATTGTGCGCAAGGCGGATCACATCTTCATGTCTATGATCCGAGAGGCCGGGATTTATGACGAGGTTCGACGCGACCACCTGTCATCTGAGAGAAAGTTTGCTAAAGAGATTTTTCAGGTCACCCAAGCCTACGCCGCACTTGACACAAACAGAGGTACCCCCTTTCTTCCATTTTACGAGTTTGTAGCGATGTCTGACTTTTGCCACAGCCGTTGGTGTACAGGGCGATGCCAGGGTCTATGGCTACATTTGCATTCTGCGAGCCGTAACCAGCTTGGATATGATGAGTGCCGAGCCATACGAATTCAAGTGGAGTCTCATCAAGGCCATTAGCAGGCGGATTGTGAACGAAGTAGACGGCATCGCGAGGGTGGTATACGACACCACGTCAAAGCCTCCAGGTGAGAGCCTCCTTTATGCTTCTCTTCTTTCGCATGCTTGTGATATTGACAGAGGCCGATAGGTACGATTGAGTTGGAGTGATTTTCACCGATCGGGTTCAGAGAATAATTTCCAGGCTGTCCTTCTGGCGTGGACCTTATCTGGCGCAGACGGATAGTTGAGATTTGCGGAATAGAGGGATATTTTTCTTTGGCACGGATTTGCGAAATAGGAGGTTACATGACTTGACTCGACTCCCTAGCGACTTTGCAACGATCGCCATATCGCCATCTGCCTAGTTCGGCTCGGAATGCCTGAAGTGATCCCGGTGCCAGCTCAGCCGATTCCACATTGACTTGTCGCCATGAGTGTCTGGTCTGTTCTCAGCCCGGAGGCCAAGTCAATCCAGGGGGTCGCTACACCTGCCGACTCTAGGTCTGGAGAAATGAGACTACAAGGGTGACTAAATGCAAGGTCCTTTCTGCTGGTTTCGGGGAATCCGAAAGCTGCTCCTATGGCAGCGGCACAGGCATTCCAGGAAGTTACTGCAACTTTCCATCCACTGCCACGATGATACGGTGGAGGAGGCACAGACTATACGGTGAAATCTGTGCAAGGGTGTGGCTGGATGCCTCAACTCAGGGTCGGCGCAGGATCGGCGCAGGCTAAAAGCAGCGAGGCAACGTACTGTGACGTTTGAGAGTTGGCCGCAGTGCATGGTGTCGTATGGTGTCGTTCGTACTCTGTCGGTCGTTCTAGTGCCCGGTTGCTTGCGCGCGTAGCAACGCTACAAACTTTTGGAGGGGATGCGCCGACCGGAAACTGTATGCATGTTCATTGGAAGGGTGACGCTGCATTGTTTGTGCTTCGATGTCAGACTGCGTGGAGCGTGGTGCTGTTCGAGTTTGCGTCGTCATCGTCGATGGCTGGCCCTTACTGGCTGTTCAGTATCTCGCGCTTGCTCCAGATCTTGGCCATGATTAGCAAGGTGCTCTTGAGGGAGTGAAGAACCTAGAGTAAGAGGGTGGGATTCGCCATTACCGTAATCATCCGGCCCAACCCACCAGCGAACATACTCACTTCTAACAGAAGATATTTAAGATTGTTATCATCTATTATTCCCAGCTGTATCTAACTGGTAGTATCCAATACTACCTTACACACTAACAACACAACCCCAGAGCTGGTCATACGTAAGGCAAGATCCCACATTTTATTTCACTTTGAATCAACCAGCCAGAGGCGCTGGTTTGGCTTGAATCTCGCGGATCGTCTCCCTCGTTCGCGCATTTGCCTCAAAGCTGGCCTCAATCAGGTCGATGACCTCCCTGGCAGCAAAGTGCAGACTTAGCTCGCTCTCGAACCACATGTAACGGACTTCGTTCAGGTTACTCTGCAGCACTTCGCTGAGATATTTCAGCCGTAGCCAACTGGGGGCAAACTGTGCTGTCTCGGGATGAGAGTCCTTGCCGCCACTACCTGGGAAGAGGTCATCAAGCTCGGTAGCCGTGGTTATGAGCTTGGCGATGTTGTAGGCCTCGTCCTGGCCGATGGAGGGCATCTCTAAGACGTCGGTAATGAGTTTTGTGGCGAGTGTATCTGCGAGGGAGCCAATGGCCTGGGTCCAAACAGAGCGGGCGAGGATTGGCTCCCAGGTGGCAGCCATGGTACGGATGCGCGCGGTTCCCGACTCGATACATGACTCGGTCTCGTCTTGTTGCATTACACTTTGTGAGCCGCCGAGGAGATCACGCAGAATTGTCTTCTGAATGTTCATCTCGTTGGCATAACTGCGATTCGCGAAGTTCTGAAGGCTCTTGATGTCATTATCAAGACGGAGCATGTTCCGGGCTCGTGGAGTAAGGTCTTCACGCTTCTTCCAGCCGTCAGAGAACTCGGTGAGATTTTCTGCCAGGTACATGGCATCGTTGTATAGGAACCTGTATCATAGTTAGTGCTGTATCTCCTGTGATGCTTCTAGAGCATACTTACATATTGCCGCCATCGCTGAATGAATAATAGTAGGGAGAGATGGCCCGGAACAGAGCCAGAGCGAAGGTGGGTAAACTGAAGAGACCCGGTGCTGTGGCCGCAACGGATGTATGCTCGTTGTCCTCTCTAGTGAGCTTGGCGCCGTCCTCTAGGATGGCCGAGATGAGTTCGAGCACAGGATCGGGCATGGAGGATATGTTGTACGTCTCCCGGAGGACGAGCTCTCTGGTCTGCTCCTGTGCCTTGGTTGGCTTGCTTCTAGGGGCCACCGGCTCTGGTTCTGCTTCTTGAGCCGTCTCATCATCGCCCCATCCCCAAGCTGCGGCACTGTCGTCTTCATCGTCGTCCTTTTCATCATCTTTCTTCTCCACTTTTTCCGCCTCTTTCTTGCCCTCCGAGGACTCCTCGGTATTGTCCTCATCGCCCCAGCCCCAGGCATCTGCACCGTCATCTTCGTCGGTCTTCGAGGCACCAGGGGCCTTGGTTTCGGGGTTGGCTGAATCATCAGCCTGGTCTTTGTCCTCATCCCATGATTCGCCCCACGCGTCACCCCAATCATTGGATTCGGCAGTGGCCGCTGCCCCCGAAGTTTTGCTGAGTTCCTTGCCCTCTGAAATGGACACCATCTGCTTCTCGATCTTTTCGACTTCTTTTGGATTGCCAATCCCGCCCAGGAGTCTGGACCGGACCGTATCAAGAGTCGTTTCCCGGCATTTCCCGAGCCAGATCGAGGGGGCGTTATCCACCCAGTTCTTCAGCTCGTCGAAGCCAATGAACCCATCCCTCTCCAGAGCTTCGCAGAATTCCCGTGCCCTCTCAATCGTTGCCTGGAAATTCCCCATCTCCTTCAACGCCGAAGGGACAACCGAGTCGAGCCATCCTCCAATGAGTCTTGGGATGACATCAGCCATCATGAATTTGCCGAGTGAAGGCAGCAGATCCGAGGGGAGGTGTTTAGCAAGAAAGGCGAAAATGATTTCAAGGTCGGATAGCAGAGCTTCGACTGTGTGGTCAGCCTGCCCCGACAACTGCAAGACGTCATCCTGTACTTGTACTTTGGGGAGAGCATCGCTTCCGCTATCCATACGAGGAGACACAATTGCGCCGTCCAGGTTCCGCCACAGTTGCTCCATCCGTTCATCAACTTCCTTATACGCCTTTAGACCAACAACAGCATCGGCGAGATTCATCTGTTCACCTGTAAAAGTTAGAACGGAAGCGAGAAAGTTACGGCTTAGAGTAGGTGTTTACCCTCGATGTCATTGTAGACGGCAATCTGCCGGGAGTCAATATTGACATGGACTAAAGCCTTCCAAACATGATCGAACACTTCGTGAACGGCAGACTTGAGCTCGAAGCTCCGTATATTGAGCAACTTCATGACCCGGCATGTTTTGCTGACCCCGACTTCATCGATGGCGATCCATGATTCTTTGCGACGGTTAGTCGTGGTACGAGGATGGGTGAGAACGGCTGGACATACTTTCAAGTAGATGCAATGAATCGAGGATGCGGCGCTCATCTTTTGCGACCTCAACCTCTGCAAGCAGCCCGTTGACCTTTTGAATCCTTCGCAAGACACTGTGGAGCTGCTGGCTGTACTGGACCTCTCGATTTAAGAACTGGGCCTTCTCCTCAGCATCGTCGATGGATTCGCCTGAGACGTCTGGAGCCTCGGACTGCCGCACAATATCATTGGCAATAGTCCTTGAGCGAATGATGTCTTCTTGCAGGGTCTTGTGGTTTCTGGCCCATGAGCTAGCGTCTTCTTTTGTCTCTTCGTCGAGGGTGGTGAGCTCGGTCTACCGGAGTTGTGAGTATTTTGGATTGTCAGGGAGCTTCCCCGAATGGAGCCAAGGTACCTCGAGGGCTTTTTTGGCCTCAGCTAGGGCCTGGATCGCTGGTTGTAGGTTGATTTCGGAGACGGGAGGCAGGTGGGAGATGTCCTCGGGAAAGCGGCCCTCGAGGGAGAAGGCGACGAGGGCGTCGCTGAGTTGCTGCGACGACTCTGTGGCTGCGGCCATAGTGGGAGGATGAGGAGGGAGCAAGAGCCAAGGATAGCGAAGACTCGAGTGGAGGGTTGGTGATTTTGTATTGGAGGAGAGCTGCCGTCGTTTCTGAGATGGTGGGATGGGTGTATCCCGTCACGTCACTGAAAGGTGTCGTTGCTGGAGGAGTATCGTCCGTCGTTCGTGGGGGTGGTAGCTATTGTCGCAGCCGTGGCTATTGGGGGACCTCATTCGCATCCGTCGAGCCACATCCGGCGCAAAGTTGGTGTCTTTGTGGTTGTGCTCGTTGTGTTTCTGTCGCAAAGGCTGTGGTGGCGGCGTGCGGGTCACAAGCTGTCAACTTTCTAGACTCCCATCTGGAGCTTCCAGCAAGGACCGTGGGGGGGCCGCAAAAGGTACGTACCTCGGTACTGTGGGCGTGGTCCAGGCTGAGGGCCTATCAGGGCTCGGGCCAATGGGGAGCCAAGAGAAGACAATTGGAAACTGCGCTTAGCGGCTGAGCAGCCAATCGGAGCACGGGCCACCTGCAGCTGGCATTGTTCCGGAAGGCATGGCGCATGCTTGCTATTGTCCTCAACTCCGCGACTGCCCCGCTAGTCCCCCGCCGGTGTGATTGTCACTGGGCTTGCGGCGTTGAGTGCGGTGTTGAGGGCGCTGTGCGCTGTGAGCGCTGAGCTCCTTCCCCAAGCGTAGGTCGGATAGCCCGTGAGTGATGCAGGGAGGAGCGATATCTTTGTGTGCTTATAAACAGTCATCATCCTTCTTCCTCCCTTGCTTCCCCGAGGTTGCAATCTCAGCTCATCACCTCCCAAATCCCATCTCCTCGACCTCCTGCTCAGCTTGTTTATCGAGCCCTGAGAGATCAAAGCGAGTGGCTGCCTTTGTGAGCATCGAGCGACGCACTGCGACCAACCGACCTCTTTTGGTACAACAGGAACGAAAAGTACCGACCTTGGCGCTAGTACTGCTGCTGATTCTGCCTCTGCCTGCGTTTTGGCCGGGCTGTACGCTGGCTGTAGGTGCCTGAGAGACCAGTACTACCTCCCACGCAGTCCATTGCGGGGTATTTTTTTTTTTTTGTTTGGCTCGTTCTCGGTGATTGGCGCCTTCCATCACTCTCACGCATCCACGCCCAGAAAACAGGTGAGTGAGGCTGTCAATTTCCTGCTGACTGCATTTGCGCGCCCTCCTGTTGCCTAGCAGCAAGCGATGCCTGGCCATGGTTCGATTTCCTCTTCTCTCATCCTTCGCTTCCTTCTCTGTCGTGCGATTTCGCGAGTTTGTGCTCCCTGGCAATGTGTGTGTTTCCGCGTTGAGAGAATATACACTACCCCGCCTTCACGAGCTTTTGTTTTTGTTTTCGACCCTGCACTCTTTCACAGGAGCCGCAGGATTGGGAGCGAGAGTGGCATCTCCTGGTTGATTGGAGACTCAATTCAAATTCCCTCTCTTCAACTGCCATGTCCTTCTCCTCTCGCAACTCTTTCCAAGGGGTTCTCGCAGTGGTAGTTGCCCTGCTGAGCATCCTGGCCTATCTTATCGTCCTCAAGGAAGGGATTGGTTTGCAGTCACTGCCAGTTCCCAGTCTCGAGTTAGTTGCTTCTTACAAGGGTTTCTCGAATAGCACATAGCACCTGCTCTCTCCTGATTTTGTTTTTCCTTTCAACCATGGTCTATTTAATTGCTTTCTGATTTTCCCGTCGATTTCACTGCTAAATATGTATTGCGCCCATGGAGTTCGTTCTCGGCGTTGTATCAGTCCAAGGGCTCGGACCGCGCCCAACCAGTTCACCATCTTTGACTACTCTTCAACATCTTCTGCTTCTCTTCTGTTTGTTTAGTTTGGCCTCATAGGGTGACGCTGATGACTCTTCTAGCTCTCTGTGGAAATTGAGCGGCTTCAGGGAATTCATCATGCCTTCCGAAACTCCCAAGTCGCGGTTTCGCAAGATCCAGAGCTTCAAGGCCGACTATGCTCCCTGCACCATCTCTCAATATGTCTCCGAACGCAGTGGCTTGCAAGTCGTCATCGCCGATCGCAAGGGGCCCAAGGTCAATGGCTACTTCACCCTAGCCACTGAGATCTTTGACGACTCGGGAGCTCCCCATACTCTTGAGCATCTTGTCTTCATGGGCTCTAAGAGCTACCAGTACAAGGGTCTCCTCGACAAACTCTCCTCCCGTGCCTACTCCGGCACGAATGCCTGGACTGCAACAGATCATACCGCCTACACTCTCGAGACCGCTGGATGGGAGGGTTTTGCCCAAATCCTTCCTGTCTATCTGGAGCACATCATCCTGCCCACCATTACCGATGAGGGAATCGTCACCGAGGTCTGCCACATCGACGGCGAGGGTAATGATGCCGGTGTTGTTTACTCGGAAATGCAAGCTGTTCAATTTCGCAGTCCTGAGATCATGGACCTAAAAGCCCGCCGTCTTCTTTACCCAGAGAACGTCGGCTTCCGATATGAGACTGGCGGCATGACCGAAGCTCTGCGTGTCTTGACCCCCGAGCGTATCCGCCAGTTCCACAAAGACATGTACCAGCCCCGAAACCTTTGCCTGGTCATCGTCGGCGAGACGAACCACGAGAATTTGCTCCAGATTCTCGACGAGTTCGAAGAGTCCATCAAGGATGACATCCCCTCCCTTGATACCCCTTTCCAGAGGTAGGAATTCCCCGAAACGTACTATCCAGGCTTGGACTTGATACTGACCCCAAGTTAACAGACCCTGGATTGACTCTGCTCAGCCTCCTGCTCTCAACGACTCCAAGATCGTCACTGCCGAGTTCCCGGAGGAGGATGAGACGGTTGGCGAAATCCTTGTCGGCTTCTTTGGTCCCAACTGCATTGACACTACCGCATCATCCGCTCTCAACGTTCTCCTCACCTATCTCTGCGGTTCATCCGTCTCTATTCTCGAGAATGTTATGGTCGAGCGTGAGGAACTTGCCAGCTCCGTCAGCTACTGGTGGGACTCTCGCCCCAACTCCGTCATCTGGTTGCAGCCTACTGGTGTCGCCACTGAGAAGCTTGAGTTTGTTGAAAAGCGTCTCTTTGAGCTGTTGAAGGAGGTCGCGTCGAACCCTATGGATATGGAATACATGAGGGAGTGCATCCGCCGCGAGAGACGTCAGGTCAAGTACCACGCTGAGACTTCCGAGTCGTTCTACGCCACCAACATCATCACCGACTATCTCTTTGGAGAACGTGATGGATCAACGCTCAAGGATCTGCAGAATCTAAACGAGTACGATGACTTGGAGAAGTGGGAAGACAAGGACTGGCGCGACTTCCTCCGTAAGTGGATGGCGGATGCTCACCATATCTCAGTCCTTGGCAAGCCCTCCCTCGAGATGGCCTCTAAGATGAAGAAGGATGAGGAGGCTCGCATTGCCAAACGCAAGGAAGAGCTCGGACCCGAAGGCCTTGCTAAACTCGGAAAGCACCTTGAGGAGGCGAAGAAGAAGAATGATGCCCCTATTCCCGCCTCGCTCATCGATCAATGGCCTGTTCCTGGTACAGACTCGATTCACTTCATCGAGTCCGATACTGCTCGTGCTGGACGCGCTCGAGCTGTCGGCTTGGGTGTTGGATCCGCGCAAAAGTTCATTGATGCCGCGCCTAATGGAAAGCTGCCCCTCTTCCTCCAGTTCGAGGACGTACCGACCAACTTTGTTCACATTACCATCCACATCGGTACTTCTCAAATTCCGGACGAGTTCAAACCCCTGATGCCAATCTTCAGTGACAACTTCTTCAACACGCACATCATGCGTGATGGCAAACAGGTCGGCTTCGAGCAGGTCGTCATGGAGCTCGAGCGGGATACCATCAGCTACTCGCTCAGCTCCGCCCGATCTCTGGGCGATGCTGACGGCATGATGATTCAGTTCCAGGTTGAACCAGAGAAGTACGGCGCCGCTGTGGAATGGATCCGCACCATGATGTTTGACTCTATCTTCGACCCGCAGCGCCTCAAGGCTGGCGTCACCAAGGCTTTGGCTGACATTCCCGAGGGCAAGCGTGATGGCCGCGGCATGGCTGGCGAGGTTGACGCAGCGTTCCACATGGAGAGGTCGACTCTTGCTGTCGCCAAGCGTGTTCTTGTTCGAGCTGTGTATCTCAAGCGCCTCAAGAAGCTGTTGGAGAAGGAGCCTGAGAAGGTCGTGTCCTGGTTCAACACCGTCCGAAAGTCGCTTTTCACTTTCCAGAACATGCGCTTCCTCGTCACTGCAAACTTGGCTACTCTACCCGACCCTCTTACCACTTGGGATACCTTGTCCAAGTCGTTGACCGCCGAGGAGGACATGGTCGAGATCCCCAAGCCCGTGAGCCTTCTCAACGCCGAGGGCCGCAATCCTGGATCTGTTGGTGCCGTCATTATTCCCATGACCACCCTCGACAGCTCCTACTCTGTCTCATCGGCTAAGGGCCTGGAATCCTTTTCCGACCCCCAGATGGCCGCCCTCATGGTCGCCATTGGCTATCTTGAGGCCCCTGAGGGTCCCCTCTGGAACGCTGTCCGTGGTGCTGGCTACGCCTACGGCTCCTACTTCGCGCGCGACATTAACTCGGGCCTTCTCTCGTACCGAGTATACCGCTCTCCTGACGCCTTTAAGGCTATTGCAGCTTCCAGTGACGCCATCCGAAAGGTTGCCGAGGGAGAGGTGGACATTGACCGACACCTGTTGGAGGGTACCATCAGCCAGATTGTCGTCATGTTCGCCGACGAGCAGTCGACGATGCCCAGCGCCGCACAGCAGAACTTTGTCCAGGGCGTCGTCCGCGGCCTGCCCAAGAACTGGGACAAGGAGGTGCTGCGCCGCGTGCGCGCCGTGACTATCGATGAGATGCGCGCCGCTATGCGCGACATTATCCTGCCATGTTTCGAGCCGGGCAAGAGCAATATCATCGTGACTTGCGCAACATTGATGAAAGAGGTATGTGACGTACTCGTGCTCTCACTATCCATAACATTACAAATACACCTGGGAACCGTTTCTTAACGGCAGAAACCTCACTTGTGTACATGGTAACTAACTGTTCTCAGGGCATGGAGACTGCTTTCAAGGGTATGGGCTACAAGGTTCAGACACACGAGCTCAGCTACTTCCACGACGACTATGGCCTGAAGCCTGATGGCAACGAGGAAGAAGAAGAAGAAGAGGACGAGGACGAGGACGAGCTGGATGGATCCGAGGGATCCTATGATTCAGATGACTCCGAAGAGGACTAGATGAGTTGATTCACTAACTAGCATTGACCTCTGGCTAGACGACAGAGATGAGGGCTAGGTCCTAGAGGCGAACCGGGCAATCCGAGCATATCTGGTCCATGATGAACAAACTGGATGAAATTGCCCTGAGTAGTCACTTGAAATTTCGGTAGCAATGCCGATGACCAGTACGAATGAATTGCAAATGACTTGTATTGTACACGCGAGCCTGGGATCTATGACTCTAGATGACTGATTCTTATGGCCAACTATTCCTGTGAGCACCTCAAAGAGCTCACCTCTACACGAGATTTGTATTTTGCGACCTTGGCGGTGTGCACACCCCCGTGAAACAACTCCTTTTCTACTGTCTAAATGACAATGATGGCTTACAGCTCGTCGCGACCTGTAACCTTGGCGACACCCTCCTTGTCAGCCTCAGCGGACTTGTCGGGGACACCCTCGGTGACGCCCTCAGAACCCTTCCAGCCGAGGGCATTAAGGCGCTCAGAAAGGTGGGGGTGAGAGAAGTGGTAGCTGGCGTACATCCAGTCGGCATCCATGGTGCTGAGGTTCTGGATCTGGAGCTTGAGGAGGGAGCGGGCGAGCTCCTCGGGGTATCCGAGCTGCTTGGCAAAGGCGTCGGCCTGGAACTCGAACTTGCGGGTGATGATGTTCATGCCGAACTTGACAAGGAGGTCAGTAGGCGAGAGGGCATCAGAGAAGAGGATGAAGCCGATGATGATGGGGTGCTCCTTGAGGAAGCCAAAGGCCGAGTACAGGGAGTTGTTGTTGATGAAGACAGAGAAGAGAGTAAAGATGTAGAACAAATGGCCCTGCGAGCGTCAGTTAATTTTGAACATAGCGATAGACGGCTAGGAGTAGTGGTACCTGGGAGATGCCGAAGAGGCTAGTCGTGTGACCCAACTTCCAGTGACCAAGCTCATGGGCAAGGACAGCGATGACCTCCTCGCTCTCGCTCTTCTCAATCAAAGTATCGTAGATGACAATGTGCTTCTTCCAGGGGAGACCAAAGAAGTAGGCGTTGGAGTGGGCGCTGCGCTTGCTGCCGTCGATGACGTAGAGCTCGTGCAGGGGAAATTTGAGGCTGGCAGCGAGAGCCTCAACACCGGTCTTGAGCTTGCCATCCTCGAGGGGAGACAACTTGTTGAACAGAGGCAGGATAGCGATCGGGTAGATGGTAATCATGAAGACCTGGAGACCAGCAGCGAAGGCCCAAAGGTAGTAGAAGAACTGGTTTCCAGTCTTCTGGATGATGGCGAGGAAACCGGCGAGGATCGGGGGAGCGAGGATAAAGGTCAGGAGCTGAGACTTGAGCATGTCGGTAACAAAGAGCTGGGGAGTCTGTTTATTGAAGCCAAACTTTTCTTCGAGGACGAATGTATGGTAGATAGACGAGGGTAGGCGGAGAATCTGGCCGACAACCATGAAGGTCAGGACGAAGACAATGGAGTGACTGATTTCACCGGTGAAGCGTTCGGGAGCGAATCGGAGCAAGAGGTCACCAGACCAGGACCAGAGCTTAGGAAGGACGTCGAAGTGGATGAAGGCGATGTTTTGGAGCTGGCTGTAAAGACCGTCGACAATGCTGAACTGGGCCTTGGCGCGGCCGTAGGCTTGGGACTTGTCGAAGACCTCCTGGGAGACTTCCTTGGAGAGCACGGCGGGGGGACTGGGCTGCTGGAGAATGCGATACTGGCGGAAGGTGAGGAAGGTCTCGAAGAGGTACTGGCCGACCGAGAAGCCCATGATGAGGCGCTTCCATGGGAAGAGCGGGCGATCGAGGAAGCGCGCAAGGCGCTGTTGGGCAGCGGAACATGATTAGCAATTAGTCCCTTACGAACGAGCACCTTGGTATGCTGCACTGATTGCGTAACGCAATGTGACGACTTACCTGGAGAAAGTCCATGGTTACGGTTTGGCGCTGAACCGTGGGCTGATGCTGGGGTGTTTGGTGGGTTGAAGGAGTGAAGCCGGGGAGCTACTCTAAAAGGTGGGATGGGAGGTAAGGTGGCCCTAAGCTCACTCAGTGAGACGCGCCTGCCATTCTTGGACGTGTCTGGGGTCGGCATCGAAAACCCCCGATATGCCGACAATGGAGATATTAATAGACTCGGCACCCGGGGTACCTGGCATTTATACTACGTACACAAACTGAAGCTAAGTTTCCACGTACCTCGAGCTTTTTTGCACTTCTCTAAGGAATCAAATGGGTAGGGAAACGCAAGCTGGCATGTCGAAGCAAGCACGCGGTACAGATGATCGGGCGGGGACCAGGATTTCGACCCAAACCCCAAACCCCGGAGCTCCGGATGGGACATAGCTAGGTAGTTCTGGTACCATCATCCAATTTTTTTTAGCTGCAGTGGGTGCAATCGACAGGCTGCGATACGGGGGTTACTCCCTGTTTGCCTTTGGAAGTACAGGGCATGATGGCTATAAATGGTGACTCTAGATTTTCAACCACCCTCGCACCTCTTCCCACTTTCATACGTCACGATATCCGCGTCTTCACTCATCCACCTTGGCAAACAGGCGACAAGAGCCTCATTCCACGAGAGAACCCTGTCTAATATACACAGCCTGGCAAAGCAGTCTCGTCCCTGCATCACGGCCATAGAGTTCCAGGCAACACACCCAGCAGCAACGCTTCGAAGCACAGTGGGGCTGGTCTTTGTTGAAAGGGGATGGATCCAATTAGGTCCCCGAACATGGCGACGGATTAACAGAGCAGGTAGCTACGACAGCCAATCTTACACAGCAACAGCACAAGGAGCACCTCCAGCAGAACATCCCGGCCTGACAACTAGCTAGTGACTCGGACACGTACTTATCTCGAGTTGGTGGAGCAAATCCACTGCTCCCGGATCATGTTGGTCGAGATTTAACTCAGGTGCCAAGCGCCGTATGCCGGCAATACATGGAGTGGCCATTCTTACAACCCGCGCAACTTCCGAAGTCCTGCCCAGGTCATGTTCTCAATGGCCTCCTAATGCCCGTTGGTCGTTGCTGGCATTGCCTGAGGTGGGCGTTCCGGCCCGTACGGCACTGGGACGCCCTGTTCGTTGGACTGCGGCTCCTCCTCGGTGTCGTCGTCGAACTCGCTAACTTCTTCGTCGTCACCATCTTCGTCGGAGTAGTCGCTTTCGTCGCCTTCGCCACCGTGGCCGTCCGAATAACAGGTTTCCACAGTGTTGTTCATGCTCGGTGGCACCTTACGGCCCTGCTGCTGCATTTGCTGGATGATGCTCATGAGCTTCTCCGTCTTCTTCTCTGCGGCCTCCGTCTTCTTCTTCCACTCCTGCCGCTCCTCGGCCATACGGATAATGTTTGTGGCCGTGGCTTCCTTCTGTCTCTTCAAGGCTTCGTTCTCCTTTTCCAGACGCTTCCCCTTCTTGGACATGTCCTCCATCTCCTTGCGGAACGACAAGAATAGGTCGTTGCTGTTATTCAGTGTGTCCTCCACCTGCTGTGGGATTAGTCAAGATGCCACATTGGGGTTGCGCGAGGTCACCTACCTGCTTAAACTTGTCGACGTAGACGTTGAGTTGATTCCTCAGCTCCGTCTCCGTCTTGGTGAAGGCCTGGACTTGCGCTTGTAGGTGCCGGGCCTTCGTTGACTCGGCCTCGGCATTCTTCTTCTCGCGCTCGTACCGGGCCATATGGTATTGGACCTCGAGTTCCTTCGTTCGCATCAGGGAGTGGAAATGCAGCTCTCGTAATTCGTATTGTTCGATAAAGGACTTGAAGCGGACCCGGAACCTAAAAACTGATGTTAGTGGTGCGACGTTATATCACGTCCGGTTGTGATTCCTTACAGTTCGTCGACCTCCATGTCCACAACCTGTTTCCGTGGTGTGTCTTTCTCTTCCTGGTATCCCTCGAGTTTCGATAGCAAGGTCGCATACTTCTCGTCCCACGCAACATTATTGCGCTTCTGCGTCGTTTGATGCTCCTTGTTCTCATTCTGGTCGGCGCAGGTCAGTACAGGATTCGCTCTCGGGGTACATCGTCCACCAATGTCCAGGAACCCACCTTCATCTTGTTGTTGTCTCGTTGAAGTTCGCGGCAGAGCTTCTCAAGCTTCTCCTTGAGTCCAACCGTCTTGCTCAGTTCGGTACGGTTAGTATCTCGCTCCTTCTGCAGGTTGTCCCCGCGTCGCTTGTTCTTCTGGTTCTCCCGTTCCAGGCGTCGCATGTCGGCCAGTAGTTCGCTCGAGCGCTTGGTGAGATGATCGATCTTCTGCATGTTGTCCATTTTAGAGACTTGTTGGAGGAGATCGCGGTTCGCCCTCTTTACTTCACGCTCTATACCGGCCACGAATCAGCACACGTTCCTTCTCCCCTCCTGGGCATCGAGATCGACGAGGGCGCCATCTGTACGACTTTCGGTTCCATCAAACGGGGGCGCAACACACCAATCTCCAGCTCCTGGTCCTTCTCGCCGGCGGCATCTTGCTCGAGTTGGGAGATGCGGGCCTGGAGCAGGCGCGACGCTTCGTTGGAGTCCATGCCTTTCTTGCCCTTCGTCTTTTTGGCCGTTGCTGGCGGGGGATGGACGTGGCCGTCGTGCCCGTTGGCCAGAGGAGCGTCCAGCTGGCTAGCAGACATGGCCGATCAGGTTCGTCGAGCTTCGTCAGATCCGTCGTCGAACCGGTCGGGTGGGAGTCACGAGAGCAGTCGCAGAGGGGATCGAGGGCATCGAGAGTCTCGAAATTCGATGTCGTCAGCTGGTCGCGGGGGGATGGCTGAGGGAAGAGGCCGCGGCCAGGTCGTCGTCGCCGTGAATTCGTGGTCGGTGGTTGAAAAGAGGCCAAGTCTGGCGAGACAGATGGCGTCGGCTAGGCTGGAGAAATGGGCGTTAGTGAGACCGGGCGAGAATTGTCACTGTGCAGCGCAGTGCCCTGGGAGTGGCAGTACGACAGCCAGCGGGCGGAGTGCTGGGCGTTGCAGTGGGTGCAGGGCTACGCTTTGGGACGGACCTACGCTTGATGTGCGACAAGCAACCGCAACGGTAGTCGTGCAAGCGTTCCTCGGGGCTGAAGGCGTAGGTGGAAGCCACCAACTCTTGGGAATGGACGGCACGGGATGAAGGGCTCATGGAGTCTCGAAAGGCACCGATTGGTTTTGCCATGGAGCCTTTGTGCCATCATCACAGCCGCTAGGGCACTAGCAGGGCCCGGTAGCGAATAATGTGCCCCAGAGTTAGCAGCCTACTGGTGGAAGGGCCGGGAATGCTGGGGACCATTGAACAGCCGGCATCACACCCTACCTGACTAATCCCACGGCTCCACCCGGGGGCCCTGTCCGCTGTGGTCACTGGGTGGCCACCACTGAAAAGCCTCGCTGGCCACTGGACGACCCTGCTGGCGACTGACGTTGTGCGCAGCACGGCCACTGTGACCCGGCTTTACTAGGTACGTAAGGTCCCTGGGTTGCACTCCGCACCCTGGCCCGATCGGCCCTGTAAATTTTCGGGTGAGATCTAATTAGCCACCTCAGGCGAGGCGTCATTGACGTGCATCCGAAATCTCGACTTTTCGACCTTCTCTCCTCATTTTACTACGGAGCCGAGCCGCACTTCGTCGAAACACCCCTTTCGTCGGATCTTGCTCTGTTGCTGTAATATTACCTGTTCGATGTATCACTAGAATCTTCTTTTATAATTTCTCCTCCTCTTTTCCTCGACGACACCAACAGACGAACGACAAGATGCTCCGCAACGCGGCATCCACCGCCCGAAAGGCCGTGACGGAGCTCTCGCAATTCCCCAAGCCCGGCGAACAGCTCCACGGCTTCACACTCTTGCGCTCCAAGCATGTCCCTGAACTCAAGCTGACGGCTCTCCATCTTCAACACGACAAAACTGGTGCCGATTACCTGCACATTGCCCGCGATGATACCAACAATGTCTTCTCCATCGGCTTCAAGACGAACCCTCCAAACGACACTGGCATCCCCCATATTCTCGAGCACACGACGCTCTGTGGTAGCAACAAGTGCGACCTCCTCTTGCAAAATCGAATGGGCAACTGGACGCAAACAATGGCTAACCGCATGCTTCCAGATATCCCATCCGCGACCCGTTCTTCAAGATGTTGCCCCGAACCCTCTCCAACTTCATGAACGCCTTCACGGCCTCGGATCACACCTTCTACCCCTTCGCCACTACCAACGAGCAGGATTTTAAGAACTTGATGTCGGTTTACCTGGACGCTACTCTGCACCCCCTTCTCAAGCAATCCGACTTCACCCAGGAGGGTTGGCGGATTGGTCCGGAGAACCCGATTGCCGAGGATGAGGCCAGCAAGAAGTTGGTTTTCAAGGGTGTTGTTTACAACGAGATGAAGGGTCAGATGTCGGACGCTGGATATCTCTACTATATTCGTTTCCATGACCACATGTTCCCCGATATCAACAACTCGGGCGGCGACCCTCAAAAGATTACCGACTTGACTTATGAGCAGTTGAAGCAGTTCCACGCCGAACACTACCATCCAAGCAACGCCAAGCTCTTCTCATATGGCGATATGCCACTCGCGGATCACCTCCAAGAGGTTAACGCCCAACTCCAGGCATTCGACAAGATCAAGAGCGACACGCAAATCCATGAGCCGATCCAACTTGATGGACCCAAAGACGTCACCCTCTATGGCCCCCTGGATCCTTTGGTGGACGCCGATCGTCAGTACAAGACATCTGTTTCATGGGTTACTGGTGATACTAGTGATGTCCTCGAGTCTTTTTCGATTTCGCTCCTCTCTACCCTCCTGATGGACGGATATGGCTCTCCCCTCTACCGAGGTCTGGTTGAGGCTGGCATGGGTGCCGACTGGAGCCCCAATGCCGGATATGATAGCTCAGCCAAGCGTGGAATCTTCTCTATCGGCCTGACTGGTGTCCAGGAGTCTGACGTTCCCAAGCTCAAGGAGAAGGTGCAGCAGATTCTACGGGAGGCACGTGGCAAGGGCTTTGATCAGACCAAGATCGACGGCTCTCTCCACCAGCTAGAGCTAACTCTAAAGCACAAGACGGCCAACTTTGGATTCTCAATGCTCAACCGCCTCAAGCCCAAGTGGTTCAATGGAGTTGATCCCTTTGACTCGCTCGCCTGGAACGAGACCATCACAGCCTTCAAGGCCAAGCTGGCCGAGGGCAACTACTTGGAGAGCTTGATGGATAAGTATCTACTCAACGATAATGCCTTGACCTTCACCATGGCGCCTTCAACCACCTACGGCGAGGACTTGGTCAAAGAGGAACAGGAGAGATTGGCGGGCAAGATCCAGGACGCCATCAAGAAGGCGGGTGGCGAGGAGAATGCCCGAAAGCACTTTGAGAAGCAGGAGCAGGATCTCCTAGTGGAGCAGAACAAGACAAACACTGAAGACCTGAGCTGCTTACCCACCGTTTATGTCAAGGACATTCCTAGGACCAAGGAGCCTGTTGTAATCCGAGACGAAAATACCAACGGAACAAAGATCCAGTGGCGCGAGGCCCCTACCAACGGCCTCACCTACTTCCGTGCTATCAACACGTTGGAGAATCTACCGGATGATCTCCGCGAGCTGATTCCTCTGTTCACCGATAGTATCATGCGATTGGGTACCAAGGACATGTCAATGGAGCAGCTTGAGGACCTCATCAAGCTCAAGACGGGCGGTGTGTCGGTGGGATACCACTGTACCCCCTCGCCAACGGACTTCCACCAAGCCAGCGAGGGCTTGATCTTTACGGGCATGGCTCTGGACCAAAATGTCCCCGTCATGTTTGATATTATCGAGAAGTTGGTCCTGGGGACCGACTTTGATAGCCCTGAGGCAGCTCTCCGCATCCGACAGCTTCTACAGGCTTCGGCAGATGGTGTGGTAAACGATATCGCGTCGACTGGACACCGATACGCGATGGGATACTCTGAGGCTGGTCTGACCCGAGCTGCGTGGCTGCGCCAGCAAGTGTCAGGGTTGTCACAAGTTAAGCTGGTGACTTCACTGGCCAGCCGCCCCGAGTCGGATAAACTCGTAGATGTCATCGCCAAGCTGAAGCAAATCCAGAGCTTTGCGCTTGTCGGCGGTAACTTCCGCACTGCTCTCACCTGTGGATCGGAGAGTGTCGCGAACAACACAGCCTCTCTGCAGACCTTTTTGGGCAGCGGCTCCCGTGGACCTTTGGAGCTGAAGAACCCGGAGCCCCGACAACTGCCTCGCGATAGCAAGACTTTCTTCCCCCTCCCATACCAAGTTTACTACGGCGGCCTCTCGCTGCCGACGGCGTCATACACGTCTCCCGACGGAGCGCCGCTCCAGATCCTGTCCCAGCTGCTTACCCACAAGCACCTGCACCACGAGATTCGTGAGAAGGGTGGTGCTTACGGCGGTGGCGCGTACTCCCGACCACTGGATGGCCTATTTGGATTCTACTCTTACCGAGACCCGAATCCCCAGAACACGCTGAGCATTATGCGCAACGCAGGTCAGTGGGCAGTGGACAAGCAGTGGTCGGACCAGGACATGGAGGAGGCCAAGATTTCGGTGTTCCAGGGCGTTGACGCGCCCGTGTCTGTGAACCAGGAGGGCATGGGCCGATTCCTGTCAGGCGTCACGGAGGAGATGAAGCAGCGCAAGCGTGTGCAGTTACTTGATGTCTCCAAGGACCAGGTGCGCGAGGTGGCCCAGCGTTACCTCGTGGAGGCCATGAGCAAGGGCGAGGAGAGGATCGCGTTCTTGGGAGAGAAGCAGTCCTGGGTGGACGGCGAGTGGAAGCTTCGCGAGATGGACGTTCAGGGCGTCGAGTAGCGTGGATGAAGGGCGACCTTCTCGACCTACATGCTGCATTTACATGCCTGCGTGCACGCTAACTATGTTATAGAGATTCTGGCTGATACATGCATGTCGAGAGTTTGAGATGATACATGAAGGGCGGCTGCCCATGTACGATGAAGGTGTACATATAACCTACGACACACGATAGATGACCCTCCTCCACAATTAACGTTCACATAACGCCTGCAGGCGATGAAGCTGTCTGTGACTTGCACGCCCGGCCTCACAATTTAAATCAGCCCTTCTCTATGCATGAGAAGGGTCCCTTGACACACGCGTTCAGATACGATACATCTCTCTACCCTTCCTTCAATGGCAGAGAGATCACAGAGCAACGCAAGAACAAGATTGATACCACCTCCCCCACACCCCTCCTCCTCCTCTTTCCCCATGCCGACACACCTATTCCTGTGAACCTACACCTCATTGACTCTGGGGCCCTGACGCTGCGGAGCGCGAGCACCAAGCGCAGGGAAACAGGGACAGTGGGGTTGTGGAACTGGGACTGGTGCGAGGCTGGTGGAGGATGGTAAGGCAGGGTGTTGCGGTGGAGGAGGTTGAGCTAGCTCTCTCAGAGCCGGAGTCCTTGAGCGTTGGATTTTTTGCCGGACTAAAGAGCGAAGTACATACAAGCCCGGTGGTGCCTTGAGAATGCGCTGCGAGGATTGGTTTTTGGCCGTGCAGTTTGACCACATAGTTGTATGACGAAGACGAATTTGTGGTGTCAGTTGAGAGAGCTAGACAGCAAGTCGGTTACCGCCGGGAGTAAGTTTACGCCACTTTGATTGAAAGCGAAGGGGCTTTTGAACATAGTTCGATAGTGAGAAATGTTTTTACGTATAGAGGGGGCGTGAATATGAAACCCCGAAGCCAATTGGAAGAGCGTATAACACTGAAAATGGCTGGCCTGGGTGACATGTTGACAAACATAGGACCATTGCCGATTCGCCAGGGACTCAATGGGCTGACAGGAAAAGCTGCTGACCTCGAATTTGCAATACTAGGGCTGGCTCAAGTACGTAAATGTAGTTGGCATATATGGGCAAGGTGCGAGGCCGAGGACATCCCTGGCCTTCTTCTACATAGGTACTGCTGGTCTCCGCGTGTAAAACGGATAACCGACAGCCGAAGTAGTGACGCGTGAGCCAAGTGGATAGTCATGGCTGAGGGAATTTGACGGATGTTTTAGGGGACCCGCGCTGCGTATTACATGGGCGAGGGGACGCTCGATCGGCGATGGCTGCTGGAGTTGCGGTCTAGAACATGGCGAAGAACTGGATCCTGGCTTTTCGATGTTGGGCACTGCCGCGTCTGTGTCAATGTCTCCTGACGCAACCATCGGGTAGGGGGTGAAATGCCACAGAAAGACACGTGGTGTAATATTCCCACGGCCCAAGGTCTAAAGCCCCCCCAACCCCAGAGTTTCCGCACCTTTCGGAGTTTCTGTCTGTCGGTGTAGAGTCATTTTTGGCAGTGCCTGGTTGCACGGCCGAGCTGGACAATCGGAGGTGGGGCCGGACGCTGGGTACGTACTCTGTGGTATGCCCGGCGGATGCGGTCCCAGCCAATGAACCGGAGCCTAGTCGCTCTCCACAAGACAAGCATGGAAATGGAAGGCTGCATGGCATATTTCGGTGGGTTCGAGGGCAAACCTGTTACACAATGGGGGAGAGAGGAGAGGGGAATTTGCTTTTTTTTTTTGGTAGGTCTAGTAGTTGTCCTTCCAGGTGCCCTAGTTGCCTGGGTAATTATGCGTCGAGTCCAGCATTGCGCTACATTGGGGGTGTGTGCTGGATGGTGGGAAAGGCACATCCGAGTTCGTCGAGGAACGCCTCCTCAGCCACAGATCGACACGCCATGCCGCCTTTGCAGCTTGGACCAGGCAGGTACGAGCACTGAAACCCTACTGCACTGTGTCCCATGCTATTCCAGGCCCTGTGTTTCCAGGAGCTCAGTTAACTAGCCCCAGGTACCTTGCCTACCCATTTGGGCCAGACCTTATTGATGCCCGTAGCTCTGGGTTTAGCGACGAAAAAATCCTGGAAGCTTACCCGGAAGGCCCGTAGCGCCGGGGAGGAAAGCTGTCCACCGCCCATCCGTCTCTCCACCTGTCGTCTGTCCATCCAATTTTCAAAACTTGACCTTTTATCCATTGTCACATTCGACAAAATCGACACACGCTCCTCCAACCCCTGGATCAACCGCCATCTTCTGCAGTGTTGCGCCGAGCATTTCACTGTCTCAATCTCACTCCATAAGTAAGCGCTGAGATATATGTACCTGCTGCGCCACAACATGCCCTCCTTCCCCTCCTCGACCCTTGCCAAAAAATCTCAAATTTTTTCCGGCTCCTGCCCCTCTCCCGCTGGTGTCGTCACAGGGCATTTTATCGCTTGGTTGTCCCACCTTGCTCACCGTACACACCTCCCGCTTCACACCTCCACCACCCGTCCACACCACACCACAAGCACAAGCACACGGGTATTTTTGTTCGCGTTACGCCTGCATCCCTCCAATCAATTGCGACATTTAAAAGGACACTCGTCCTTCATCGTCTCTCCCCTTCCTCCTTTTCTGCTCCAGCTCAGCTCCCATCTTCATCGTCTCACCCTCCCATCTTCCCGCCACTCTCGCATCCAACTGCGACAATATCATCCCCTTTTACTGACTCTCCCGCGCACAGCCAGCAACAAAAACCACAGAGCTTGTCTCTACCTCTTCCCTCCCAGAACCCACCCTAGACCTGCCTTTGGTCTTCTCAAAGGCAACGCTTCCACCACGGCTCCTCCGGCCGTGAGCTTCGTCAGCGACAAAGATTTCAGTCTTCGGAAGACTTCACACATCATCAACGTCATCCCCCCTCCCGCTGCTGCAGTCGCCTTCGCATAAGCTCCTCGATCTCTTCGTCTTGCACGACCCCAAGTTCAACACTCCCCCGTCGACTTCCGACGACCACCAGCTGCCGCATAGGAGGAATCAAGAGGTTCTTCCTCTCGTTGAGGAAGAGTCGAGGAGGCCTCGCCAGTCCACTGAGGGACCAGTCTGCTACCGGTTTCGACCACCCTAACACCCGTTTGACTTAAAGGTTAAACTTCTTCTACACAACTCCATTCACCAAAACGTCTCCGAGGAACCCGTGTTTCACGCCCTCTCGACGTTTCTTCACCGGTCTCCCTCACCAATTCGTCTTCTCCGCCTATCCCCAGTCGCACCCCCGCAACTACTTGGGATATGGTTATGGCAACGGCTGTCCTCGACAATTACACCAACAATGAACATCATACACATGTCGCATTGAAGAAACCCATCTTTTTGGACTCTCTTCAGCAACATGGCGTGATTAATCCCAAGCAGCTTATTGGCGATGCCCTGCACCAGCGTGTTCAGGCTATCGACCATGAGTTGTGCGACCCTGGCGAAGAAGACACCTTCTTCGTTGCTGACCTAGGCGAGGTCTACCGCCAGCACATTCGCTGGAAGAAGAACCTCCCCCGTGTTCGCCCCTTCTATGGTAAGCTTTATTCAGCTCCTCGTCAATATCCCAATCCCTCGACCAGAAACTAACCCCTATTCAAGCCGTCAAATGCAACCCTGACCCCCAAGTCATCAAGCTCCTCGCCGAGCTTGGTACCGGCTTCGACTGTGCCTCCAAGACAGAGATCGAACAGGTCCTCGGCATGGGCCTCAGCCCCGACCGCATCATCTACGCCCAGCCCTGCAAGACCAACTCCTACGTCCGATTCGTCAAGTCCGCGGGCGTCAAGCAGATGACCTTTGATAACGCCGATGAGCTGTACAAGATCGCCAAGCTCTTCCCCGGCGCCGAACTTTTCCTCCGCATCATGACCGACGATAGCGAAAGCCTGTGCCGTTTTAGCATGAAGTTTGGCGCTGCCATGGACACCACCGAGAGCCTCCTCGCTCTCGCCAAGCAACTCGGTCTCAACGTCGTAGGTGTCAGCTTCCACGTCGGCTCCGGCGCCTCGGACCCCCTGGCCTACTACAAGGCTGTCCGCGATGCTCACTTGGTCTTCCAGCGGGCCCATGAATTCGGGTTCAACTTGCGCACCCTCGACGTCGGTGGCGGCTTCAGCGGCGACTGCTTCGAGGCTATGGCTGGCGTCCTCAGCGGCGCCCTGGACGAGTTTTTCCCTCCCCACAGCAACATTGAGATCATTGCTGAGCCCGGCCGCTACTATGTCGCCACGGCATTCACCATTGCCTGCAACATCATCGCTCGACGCACCGTCGAGGACCCCACTCTGGACGGCAAGGGCTACATGGTCTACGTCAACGACGGCGTCTACGGCAACTTTTCCAACATCATGTTCGACCACCAGAACCCCATCGCCAAGATCCTCCGCGCCGGTGGGAAGACTCTCTACGATACTTCGGCTGCCAACCCCACCCCCGTGGGCGAGGGCTTCGAGTACTCCGTTTGGGGCCCCACCTGCGATGGTATTGACCGCATCACCGAGAGCACCCGTTTCGACCCCATCCTAGATGTTGGTGACTGGCTCTATTTTGAGGAGATGGGTGCCTACACCAAGTGCTCTGCCACTCAGTTCAATGGCTTTTCTAACGCCCACGACGTCATCTACGTCTGCAGCGAGCCCGGTGCCATGGCCCTCCTTGGCCTCTGAGTGTGTTGATTGTGCTGTCGACTTGTCGTGAGCGGCGAAAGACAATCACATTCTGCTTCGGTGTGGTGACGTCCTCTTTTTGTAAAAGGAGACTTTGAGCCACCCGTTGCCCCATGTTACCTTCGTTCAGTGCTTTCCCTCCGTGGGACTGATTTGATAGACCCTTTTTGAAATCTCGCCTCTCTGGCTTCCACCTCCGAGGGTAGAGATACGGTCCACATCATAATGTGGTATAAAAGACATTTGAAATATTGCACATATATAGAAAAATAATGGTTCGGATTAGACCAGTTTGGCTGCCGATTTGCTTACGAAGATTGTTTCCATGCCGTGAACACTGCCTGTGATAATGATCTTGCGAGAACGTAAAATAAGCCATGCATGCACCCTAGTTACTAGCCAACAGATTGACCTACGTGTCTACAAACAAGTGTCCTCTGGAGAGTTTCGTATTAGAACACGAGATGTCATTTCGGATGGTGACATTCGGCCACCTCTATGCTTCGAAGTTGAAGACGTGATATTCCCGTTTGTTGACTGACAAATATACATACACGAAGGCGAATATGCCTTCAATGACAACATGTCATAATTGATTGCCCCAGCTAGAGGCCAATCTCCTGTGCGAAGTCCCTCGCTGAACTCCTGCGCGCCTCCCCTAACCGCACCCGTTCTCAATGGGCACAATGCCAATTGAGCCGTTACCCAGTCGTGTATATCACCCGAACAGGGGATCAAGAATAATGCTTGTAATTTCGAGAACAAACAGCAGATTAAGACAACCCCTCATCATGCCAAATTAACGGCATCGGAACGAAAAAACACGATACAATAAGGAAGACATGATACCATTGGGTGACTCAGGAGCCACGGAACAAAAACTGCATGTCCTCGGGGCTGAGAGAGTCCATCGCCTTGTCATCGCCATTGACAGTCGAGTGAATCATGTTTGTCTTCTTTTCCTGAATCAAAACCATGCGGCTCTCGACGGAGTCCTCAATACATAGACGGGTGATGGTACAGGGTCGGGTCTGCCCGATGCGATGGCATCGATCAGCAGACTGCCATTCGGCCGCAGGGTTCCACCATCTATATTTAAGTTAGTTATACCAGTATATCAACACGCTGATTAGAAAGAGACTTACGGGTCAACAATGAACACTCGCGATGCCTCTGTGAGGTTGAGCGCCACACCACCAGCCTTGAGCGAGACCAAGAAGCATTCCACGTTGACGTTTGTCATGAAATGCTCGATAGAGGCCTGTCGTTGGGCAGGAGTCATGCTTCCGTCAAGCATAACTGTAGTGATTCCAGCCCTGCGAAGGCGCCACTCAATGAGTTGCAACATTGTGGTGAACTGAGAGAAGATTATGGACTTGTGAGACGCATTATCAGAGCGGAGCTTGTGAAGCTCGTGCACAAGTAGTTCAATCTTTGACGAGGAAGTCCAATTCTCCATCTTGATTCGGTTAATGATGGAGTTCTTCTTTACCAGATTCTCGTCCTGTTCGATCTCAGGTTGCTCGAGATCGATTGATAGGGGAATGTGGCACCGTGGGCAATCAGGTTCAGCCGTTGAACGGACATAACCACCGACGCATGCCCTGCAGAAGTCGTGCTTGCATCGGCTACGAACCGTATCTTCGGAAGGTTCGTCACAGATGCAGCATACCAGAACGTTCTGGCCACCGTCGGCATTCTTCTTGAGGATGAGATCTGGGTGATCGGCAACTTGTCGCATTTGCATAATCAGACCGAAAATGTTGGCGTAGTTGTTCAAAAGCACACCCTGGGCGACATAAGTATCGAATTTGCGCTTACCGCTGGTCATGATGCTATTGGCAAAGTCGTTTTCTTCTTCTCCAAAGAACTGGCGATCGACATAAATCTCCTTGACAGGAAGCTCCATTGAGTTGGTATGATCCTTCTTCAGCCGACGCAACATGATGCGATCTGTCATTAGGCGAAGCTTTCTGAAAGCCTCTCGCCCTGGGCCAAGGTTTCCGAACTTCTGGATGGGGTTGAGAAGCTCCTGGTTGAAGACGGACACATGTTGCATACCCGCATGGTTGCATTGGCTACAGCGACTGTCCTCATTCATGGACCATTCAAGAGTAGAACAAGGGCATTGCTTGCAGAGGTAGGATGCAAAGGGACGGATATTGAGAAACCGAACCAAGGAGAAGAATTCTCCAATTCGGTTCTGAAGGGGTGTTCCCGTCAAACACCATCTGAAGTTGGTCTTGAGTGCGAAGCATGCCTTGGCAGTCATTGTAGTTCTCGTCTTGATGCAGTGAGCCTCATCAAGAATTGCTCGGTGGAAAGTGATGGAGTGGATGACGCTCTTTTCCTTGTATATGCCGTCCTTTCGCTTGAACCCCTTCTCCTGTTTTCGGTACATCGACTCAAGGCTGTTGTACGACATCATTATTACATCGTATTTCTTGAGCTCCTTGGCGGTCATGCTCTTGGTCTTTTGGTTTGTACCATGGTAAACAAACGTCTTCAGAGTGCCATCTGTGTAAGACTTGATCTCTTGTTGCCACTGCATCAAGGCAACAGGGGGCACAAGAACAAGGGAGGGTTGCTTGGCGGGGTAATCCGACATGATGAGCGAGACGGCTTGAATGGTCTTGCCGAGGCCCATTTCATCTCCGAGAAGACCACCCTTCCACTCGGTCTTCTCCATGGCCGTCATCCACGCAAGACCCTCCAACTGAAATGGTTTGAGCTGTCGAGATATTGTCTGAGGTTGGGGTGCCATGCCAGCTTTGAGAACGGGCATATTTTCCAGGTCCTGCCACATGGTCTTGATCTCGGGGTGGTTTGCCTCAAGACGGTCACGCTCCTTCTTAAGGCGCCCATTGTTACCCGGTCTTCGGTAAGCCCGTCGTTCTCGAGCGATTCTCCGCAGAGTTTCCAGGTCCCGATCAACGCCGCTGTCACTATTATCGGCAGAGCTCAGGCCACTAGCCACAGAGGAGATTTCCGAGAAGCCACTAGCAACGGCATCCATTCCAGGGTCACTGAGTATGTCTGACAAGTCCTCACTCGCACTGGCAGCAGAAGGTCCTGGTAAGATGGGTAGGAGGGGCTTCGCCTTTCCTACAGAAGTTCGCGGTGCCGGTTTAGTTCTCCCAGGCCTCTTTGCTAATGGTGCGTCATCTTCGCTCGAATCATCCTCGGCATCGTCATCATCGCTGACCTCATTTTTCTCTGCAATGGAAGCCGTCTCGGCTTCGAAGTCAAGGTCAGACATAGCATCGCCAAGGCCAACTGCAGCAGCCACTTCAGCGTCCATGTCGATATCAGAATCGTCAGAGTCAGCAATGACTCTGGCTTTCTTTGGTGGGCGATTAACCTTGCTGATGGAGCCAGTCGAGGGCCTGCCTCGCTTGGTGACAGGTGCTTTAGGAGGAGCTGGGGACGAGGCAGAGACCGAAGCTCGCGTGTTTCTGCGACGTGCTGGCAGCGATGGCGGGGCAGCTTTGTTGGCCTTTGCGAACTCCTCTTGTTGGAGTCGACGAGCTACCTTTGCATCTGGGGATGTGTCTGAGAATCCTTCCTCCTCGTCATCCGTGTCGCCAATCTCGTTCTTCTTGCTCTTTGGAGCGGACTTCATGGAGTACATGCTGTTTCGAAGCCCCCGCTCCCTGTCTGGGGCGTGTTGGCGGGATGGCCCAGGAAGATGCACCTCCAACGATGAGGAAGATTTGCTCAGATCAGTAGCAGCGGGCGTGGGCACCATGCTGGTCCCCGGTGTCGAATATTCGCTTTCAGATAAGCCCTCCACTGGGGTTGGGGCTGTGGAAACCGATTCGCTGCCAAGTAGCGAAGCCCGGCTTGGTCTTCCACGACCTCTTCTAGTAGGTGCAGTGGCAGGGGAAACGGCATTGCCTACATCCAGTGTTGTCTTTCTAGGACGACCTCTTGGACGCTTTTCCCCAGGAGCAGAAGTGCTTGGAGTTTCCGCAGCATCAGCAACAGCCGTAGCAGGTAGAGTAGCCAGGTTCCTAGTAGATGTTGACCGGGTTAAGCGGCCAGTCCCGGTGGATGAAGCATCTCTGGAATCTGAGATATTGGCTATTAGTGAATTATTTCAAAGATTGCGCACCACTGCAACTCACCATTTGCTGCGGAGGATGGGGTGGATGCTCCCCGGGCAGCGGGGCGACCTCGAGGCATGATCACTGCGTAGTTGACGCAAAACCGTTGAAGGCCAGTATCTGGATGAATGTAACAGATCAAAGTGACAATCGCAGCAACCTAGCAAAGTGTTCGATGGATCTTCCCTAAGAAAGATTGTGCGGACTTTGGTGAAAGGAACCGAAAATGCCGATGCCAGGGAGCTGAAGTGAGGTGAGATGCAGGCAGAACCCCTGCCGGTTCACACTACTGCGCTATCGAGACTGGGAGACCGGGACAAGAACGGTGGAAATATGCGTTTGCAGCATGCACGCGCAAGCGAACAAACGGGAAAACAAACAAACAGGGAGGACTGTCCTCATTCAATGGGAGATGAAGTTTCGGTATCAAAGACAGGTACTGGCACGAAAGTGAGATGAAGGTGAAAGAAAAGTTGCCACTGGCGGCTCCTTTTTTGGGGTCGTCACAGCCGCCAATTCACAAGTTCACAGTGCCTGATCAGGAAGGGCGACGGCCGCGTTGCCCCTCTACGCGAAATCACGTGGCGTTTCGGTGCCTTAAGTGCCTGCTTGGGGTTCATGCTGCACTGTGTGCTTGCACTTCCCTGGCCCAGCGATGCATACAGCTGCAAGCCCCCGTACAGTGCGCATTGTGTGAGTGGGTGCTTATCAATGTGCACTTGGTCACCTGACACCGTGTTAATCCCGTGCTTGGCCGTCTCGCGCTGTGATCGCCGGTAGCTGCTGGAATTAATGGAGGAACGCCACTTGCCTCGTGTTTGCGCCAGCCGTCAATCTGGCGGCCTTTCTGATTTTCCTCCACCAAAACCTCCAGATGGTGATCGCCAACGGCTTTGAAGACCTACCTGTGACATTTCGCCCCCGAGTGTAGCGCTCACCACCAAGACCATGTTGGTTTCTCTGCTATCATCGGCAGGGATGACTGAATAGCTAACTCCTCTGTTAGGGTGCGCCGAAGGAGCGCTGCAAGCCAAAATCAGGCCCAGAATAATGGACAGGCCGGCAATCAGAACAACAACCAGACTGGCCCCCAGAACACCACACAGAATGGCACCCAGGTCAACAACCAGAATCTGCCTGCGAGGCCAAATCGTGCTGTCTTCGGACCGTAAGCATACTCAACATGATTGTGTATGAAATCCATCTGCTAACGTTGCCAAACCAGGCAATCTGCCTTGACGGACTTCCTGGCCGTGAGTGCCAAGAGCCCTGTTCTCTTCCAATGATGCTAATAGATTGACAGTCCCACAACATCTCAGCGACACGGATCCGGGAGGATGCTGAAGTACGTCGCCGCCAAGCTGCCGCTGAGCAGAACAACGACGAGCTCGAGGACGAGTCTTTCGCAGCTCCCTCCGAATCGAGTACCTCAGCACGGCGGTCAAGTCGCCGTGGAAATGACCTACAGAAGTCGAAGAAGGAAAAGGATGAAGAGAAGGCGCTGGAGAAAATCAAGACGAGCAAGTCTTTCAAGAAGCGCAAGAAGAATGCCAATGATTCCGACGACGACGATGACGTCGCCCGCGCTATCTTTGAGCAACGAAGCGCCCCAATGCCTGGCCAGATGGAAAACTGTGCCATTTGCGAGAAGCGTTTTACTGTCACCCCATATTCAGTCGCCGGCCCTGATGGTGGTTTGCTATGTGCTCCCTGTGGACGGCAAGTGGCCAAAGAACAACAACAAGATCAGCCAAAGAAGAAGCCACGGAAGCAGGCTGCCGCAGGTGGGGTCGGCAGACGACGAGCTATCCAAAGCAGAATCCTTGATGGTGATGTTGGCACCAAAAGCTTGGTAACGCTCTGCGTGCAAACCTTGGCCAAAAACGTCGATCTGGCAGACAGTCTTGGGGACTTGCCTGATCACTTGGTTGACAAGATTGCACGAATGTTCTCAAAGCGACGTCTATTGAAGCCAGATACGCTCCCGCTCTTTGTACAGCCAACCACTGAGACTCTTCACATCTATGATGGCGCGAGGCTTGGAGAGCAAGACTATGTCAGCATTTTCCAAGTGTCGCCAAACCTTCGCCGGCTCAAGATCCGCTGCGGTATCCAGTTCAAGGATGAGGTAATGGATTATTTCTTAACCCGCGACATCTCACTAGAGTCGTTCTATCTCCATGGCGCGAATCTTCTCAGCTCGGAAAAGTGGCACGAATTCCTGGTCGCCAAGGGTAAGGCCTTGAAGGGTCTCCAGGTTTACTACACTGACAAGCACTTCGGTGATGATAGTGTGGGAATGCTTAGGGAGCATTGCCCGAATCTGGCCCGATTGAAGATTGAGAACAACCAGCAAGTGTCTGACGAAGGCATAAAGTCAATAGGAGAGATATCTAGCTTGGAGCACGTTGGTCTTCAGCTTCAGACGCTAACCTCTACTGCCGCCTACACTCACACTATCTCGCAAATCGGTCAGAAGCTTCAGACACTTTCCCTCAAAATCGTCCCCGCCGTCAACGATGAACTCTTGAAGGCAATCAATGAGCACTGCCGCTCCCTCACCAAACTCCGCATCACGGACAGTGAGATTATGACTGACAAGGGATTTGTCCACCTTTTTACCGAGTGGGCGAACCCACCCTTGCATATTATCGATTTTCAGAAATGCCGACAGCTCGACTCGACTCGACCCCGGGACAACCCTGACGACATCGGACTGTGCAGCGAGGGGTTCAAAGCTCTGATGGCCCATTCTGGACAGAAGCTGCGTTCTCTCAACGTGCACGCCTGCCGCCACATCTCTCGCGAAGCCTTTGAAGAAGTGTTCAACGACAAGGCTAACTATCCCGAACTACGAGAGTTGGAGATTTCCTTCTGCGAGGAAGTGACGGATTTTGTACTGGGGAGCATATTCCGAGCATGCCCTAACATTCGTGAGGTGAATGTCTTTGGCTGCATGAAGGTCAAGGAAGTGCGGGTGCCTCGTGGGGTCATCCTAGTTGGAGTTCCCAACGCGCAAGGCATGATCGTGGAGGGAACTCATGATTAATTTGTTACACGCATTTTGGACCTCTGTATCAGCGGAGTGTTGGCGTTTGTTTTTTGACCCCGTCAGGGCATGCCAGTGGTAGCGTCACCGTTGTCATGTTTCCGGGTACGGCACCAGTCACAGGGGGCTTGTTTTGGCCGACACAGGAGTAGGCTACGTAGACTTTTGCTCTCAAGACAATATATGTACAATATGACTTGTTTATTTTCATCCACCCAACATGAAGTGACGACATGGCAATTCGTCCCAAATCCATCCCAAATAGACAACGCTCTCCGAAATTCAACGCTACATCTCGACTCCTCATTTTACTTCCCTTTAGCTGGGCTGGTTGGCAACATATTCCACATCCAGCTTGGCGTACTGGTTGAGCTTCTCCTCGAGTTCCTCGTCCGTCATCTGGGCACCTCTCCACGAGATGCCGAGGGCGTTGCAGCCCGAGATATCCTGCAGGTAGTGGAGATGGGCTGCGATATCGAGACCAAGAGTGCCAGCGTTGCAGCTGATGTTGGCGTTGCCCTCGCACACCTTAATGTCCGACACCGAATAAGTAGTGGTATCGGAGGAGCCGGTGGCCAGCCAGTACTCCGGGGACGTGTGTCGGTAGCCGAAGATGATCGGAGGCAGACGCGGCACGGGGTCGGCGGTGTGGGTGACGCGGAACTCGGAGCCGGCTTGGTTACTCACAAAGTCCGCAAAGTCACCGTCGCCCACGCGCGGCGATCCATAGGTATACAAGTCCATGGGGATGCCGGCCTTGCGCAGGTACGCCGCGGCGAGTGTTGCAACAGCGCCGCCGAGCGAGTGGCCCGTGGAGACGACGGTGTAGGACGGGTTGGCGGTTCGCGCAGAGACAATGGCAGCCTTGGCAGCAGTGGCAATCTCAAACCAGGCATTCTGGAAGCCCGAGTGAGCGCCGCAGCCAGATACCAGCGTGGAGCATGAGTCCTGGCCAAAGTCCAGGTTGGTGATCCAGTTGCGGATGTTGCTGCTGCCACGGATGGAGATGACGATCTCCTTGCGCGCGGCGTCGGTGGAGACGTAGCCAGCAATTCCGGTTACGCTACCACTATTCGCGATATATCAGTACAAGACGCTTGTTTAAGAGGACATGAAAAGCGGCGTACCCGAAGGATGCTACAATAGTGGCAGCATCACCCTCCACGGACGGACAATACCCTCCGCAACTAATCTTAGCACCAGCTTTGGCATTATAATTGCAGTAGGCAGCGGCGGAGTGCTGAGCGTAGAACTGGAAGTTGGCCAGGTTTTGAGAAGTCACAGTCACAGCTATGGCAATGGTAATGGGTTAGTCTATGACGCCTTGCTTGGTTGTTGGATGAAAAACTCACCTCTATTCTCAAGGGCAAGGGCACGAGCATAGTTCCCAATGGAGGCTGCGGAAGCCACGCCAACAGAGGAGAGGAAAGACAAGAGAAGCATGTTGCTGGCTGATGAGTCTGAGAGCGTTGGATAATAGCACCTTGCTGTAGAATAGTTGTAGGGAATGCTGGGAGTTGGATAGTTATATACTAATCCCGGAGAAATCCACAGGCTTCTTTCAGGGAGGGCGACGTTGCAGTCTGAAGATACTCCCTAGGGTGAAGGCAACAAAAGACAAGGATGGACAAGGATGGCATGCCTTTCGATGTGATCAAGCCATCAGCTTCGGTGACAAGGCGACAGCTTAGATGAGTTTCCGGCTCCTCTCCTCAGCCGCATCCCTACCCTCCTCCATTGAGTACCCCCATGTTGGTTGCCATCCCACTCGGGAAGCTGCACGAGGACTCAGCTTACCCGCGGCAAGACGGCGGAACTGAGACATAGGGGCAAAGACAGAAAATGAGTCGTTTCTTTTTTGCAATTCTTTCCCTTTCTTTCCGTCTTCCCCGCTTGGCAGAGCCCTGCTGGCGTCGGGCGGAGTTTGGCCAGAGATGTTGACGATTGGGGGGATTTTGTTAGTCTCTCGGCGGCGGTTAGCGGCCTAGGGGAAGAGCGAAAGTCGGTCGTCGATGGGCCAGGCAAAGCCGGATGAGCTTCCCAGAAGGGCAAGACGGCGTTGCTGGGGATGGGCATGATCTACCGTAAGGTGGAGGGGCGGGCGCCACGTGAACACGCTCCGGAGGTTGGATCTACGCGGCCACGGCTGTGATATTGCCCACCCCTGAGGAGAAGCAGAGGTCGAAAAGGCGGGAGCGCGAAGAATGTGATGGTTGACGGGCTGTCGGCTGGGGGGTCAAAGGGCGGAACGACCAGGGAACGCAGCAAGCAATGGTAGCATTGGCAGGGATTGGACTGAGATGGGGTTCTGTCGGCTCTCGTAGGGCGACAAATAACCATGTCACATCACGTCACAAGGGTTCTGAACCACTCTTGACCCACGGCTGGGCCACTCTTGAACCCTTCTTACATGGGAGGAGGTTTGGAGTTGTTGAGTCGGTGGAGTTGCTGGAGAGTGATGGACGGGGCCTTGTGGAGAAGACTTGGCAAAAAGGCAAGTATTCACAAAAGGCAAAACACGGCCAAGCAAACAATGTCTCAAAGGCTGGGAGGAAATACCTGGACTATCGCCGTCGATTCGTCCAACTCTATCTCGCACACGAGGCTGTGGCCGTCAAATGGAAATTGCACATGCCAGACCCAATCGTGAATACGGGCTTGCCGCCGGGGCTGTGATGGCAGCCGTTACAAGAGCGCGAGGGCTTCATCCAACCACAGCGCCCACAGCTTTCACACTTGTTCACACCTCCAGAGCCAATTCATTAGCCCAGCACACCCTCTTCCGCGCGAGTGCGTCTTTGGAGCGAGCACACGTGAGGTCATCTCGCCCTAAAACCCCGAGTTCTTGGATTTCTAGAGCCCAGCCTAGCCCGATCCTCGCCACATCCCGAGATGCCAGGGCGGAACGTCTGCCTCCCTTGGCCGCACTCGGGCAATGGGAGCGGGTGCGTCTTGGTGCGTTTTTTTTAACCAAACGTGGCCCGCCCGCCGTTGCATTCGGCTTTTTCGTGGCCCTTGTCATGGCCCATGGGGCGCATTTTGCGGGGAAGCACGATTAGTTCTGTTGGGGTTACGGCATGGCGGAGTGTGATGATGAAGTCTACCCCTTGTGTGGCTAGAGCCGAACCTACCCCCCTAATAAACCCCTCCTAGCTAAGGTCATCTCTACCCCCTCACTAAGGTCATCTCTACCCCCATACTAAGATCATCTCTACCCCCATACTAAGATTATCTCTACCTTCTTATTAAGATTATTTCTACTTTTTAATTAAATATATTTTTATTTTTAATTTTTTTTATTAAATTTATTAATAAAAAAATTTTAAAAAGAATATTATATTTAAAAGTTTTTATTAATTAATTTAATAATTTTTAAAAAATAAAAAAATATTTAATTTAAATAAAAAATAAAGAAAACTTTAGGTAAGAGGTAGAGATAATCTTAGCGAGGGGGTAGAGATGACCTTAGTGAGGGGGTAGAGATGACCTTAGTGAGGGGGTAGAGATGACCTTAGTAGGGGGGTGGAGATAAGGGGGGTAGTGATGACTCTAGCCACACAAGGGGTAGACTTCATGTGTACTCTCGGCATGGCGTAAGTGCGTGGCTGTTCCCTGTCTTCGTCCCTGTCTTCGTAACTGTACGTCGCTCCGAGAGACCGAGATGTTCTCTAGGACTCGTGATCAGAGCCAGACCTCGCAACCATTCAACCACAAGGCAGACAGATAGATATATTATACAGTCAGACCAGACTCTGGTTCGTTCGCCTTGTGCAAAGCCGATTATGTCATTCCCCATCTCACCCGTTTGGCCGCTTTGCTCTCCGTTCGGTTACTCCGGTTCATCAAAAGCAGCCTGCCGTCATACTCGCCGCCCTGACTTGCTCACCACCATCACCACCACTACACCACCTCGTCCAAAAAGCCGCCAAGGTTGATCGGTACTCAGCTCATTTGCACCTGCATCGAACTCACCTACCTAATCCAAACCTCCCATCGAACCATCTCCTCCTGCATCTCAGCCCGGCTGACGCGGTGGCGGCCCAGCCCCGAACGTTTGTATATGCAGCCCCGGCCCGTTCATCTGCTCGATCTCGGCTGACGGACTCCTAGGTAGATTCCCATACCTGATCCTTCCGGTTTAGCTCTGGCGTGCAGCTCATTACCCCCTCTTTCCCATGCCGTGCCTCCATGTTCCTGATGATCTGCGTGTGTGGACCTGCAGGCCTGCAGACGCCGTCAGCAAAAGCTAGACAAAATGCCGAGGGACAAGAGCAAGTTCGTGTCCTCTCTCCAAGCCTGTGATTGTCGTCGTCCCGTATTCTGAGTTGTGGCTGTTGATGTCGTGGACAACACTTCGTCTGAGAACGGTCCAGACCCGAGCTCTCATGCAATGCCCCGCGCAGGATATGGCGGCAACGTCCATCACGAGGGCCTCAGTTTCCATCATTCCCGCCAGTTCCGACCCTCCGTTCTGCTTGCGGTGCATACTCCCGAGTTAGTTATGTCCTTGACCTGATTTGTAGTTTTTGCCGTCTCTCTTGCAAAGCGTCTAAACAGTTTGGGTTGAAAGTCACTGCAGACTAGACACCCGGTCATGTAAGGCCACGACAGCACCAAGTAATTAGGCTCGGTATCCCAATCTAGATGAACAGTAAAGGCTTGTGAAACTTGCCTATAGGAATATTCCTATCCGATACATCCGATAGGAAGTTGAGAAGCGTCTCCCCTTGGCCTTTCGAGATACTCCTCCACGGTCACTCGACCGATTCCAGACAACACTCCCTATCTTGCAACGGAGTCTCATCCTCCTGAGAAACCACAGGTGCACATCACTGTCCGTGCTCAATTTCAACAAGCCCATGAATTGTTCATTTATGGTTCAATTGTCGTGTTTGTACAGTTGTATCACACCAATGGAAGAGGACAAGTCATGTCTTCCCTCATCCCTCAACTTCCTTTCCCCATCATCCTCATTCGTTTATCGTACAGGAGATGGCCTTGGTCGTCGTGACCTTTCCCTCTCCTTCTAGGGCCAATTCCGTCCCCATAGTATGTCCAATGGCATTTCCCTTCGATTCCTAGTAGTGATCTGGTGCACTCAAGCGGCGATGTTCTTGCGGCCCTTGATCCTCCTCCGCAACAGGATCTTGCGGCCAGTCTTGCTTCGCATGCGGTAGAGGAAGCCATGTCTACGCTTCTGAACCAGTCGAGTATGTCCGTTCATCGTGTTTCGCGGTCCGCATCGGATCTGCATGTCTCCGAACGCGGGGTGCGCTGAGATGGCGGATGAAGGGACGACATCGGCGGCGCCGGCAGCGGAGGGGGTGAAGCTTGTGGGGGACGCAGTTCGGCGGATGGCGGCTGTGAGGGGGGTGAGGGACGGTCGGAGAGGGACGAGGGTGGTGAATGTCCTGCGAGTTAGACAGTTAGCGATGGATTGATTCTATGTGATGGTGGCGCTTGGGTGGACGGAGAGCGGCCTACCTGGGGGATTGGGAGAGCGGCTTGGAGATGACGGGGCGCGCAAGGCGCGTGATGGACTGGAACATGGTGTTCATGGCCAATTTCACACAGAGTGGTGGTCTGCGGCTGGGAATGGCTGGTGGAATGACAGAAAGTGGTGATGTTGAAGATGGATGTCGAAATTTTGGGCTAAGCTCGGGATTGGACGATTGCGGGTGGAGACAATTGGTGGAGTTGAACCTACCCTACAGCTTCCCTCGATACTGAAACTCATCACGCCCTCAACTTAGGCCATGAGTAACCCGATTAGCAAATGTCTGGAGTATCTAGTCTTTTACCAAAATTATTCTCATTCAATTTGGATACCTATGGTTTGTTCTTTTCATTCTAGTCTCAATGTTCTGACATGTTTTTGTAGTTGAGCACACCAATATTGGTTTAGTTCCTGCCCTTTTCCATATTCCCAATCAATACCCCATCCTCTCAAGGAAACATTAATAATGTTGTTAAGTGTACTACAAATACCCAAGGTCTTTAAAAGCTCTCATTAAAATCTCACGAATTACTTCTTCCTTACGCTTGTTGTATTCCATCACAGTCTCCCCCTTCTCGATGCTCAACTCAGCCGCCTCACTCTTTGTCTTCGCATACAGCTCCCGATCCGCCTGATTGCGCCTCAACCAGTCCGTAAATATAGCGTGACGAGCGGTCTCTGGGCAATCGGGACCCCAAACATGCAGATTGGTCGACATCGGCTCATATCCGCAGAAGAAGCGGTGCCCATGCCAGCCTGGTTCCCGAGTTAGGAAATGAAACCCGGCGGCCTCGAGCGGCCCAACATATGAGGCCTCGTCAGTCACGTCTTTGACGACCAAGTCGATGTCGATTACAGGCTTGGCCGGAAGACCCGGGATCGACGTGGAACCGACGTGGGCAATGGATAGGCTGGTCGAACCGAGAGCTGACTCGATACGCGCCTTGACGAGGCTGAATGTCTGCGGCCAAGAGGGATCAGGCTCGACGATAGCCAGCGGGGGTTTAGACCTGCGGAACGAGACACGATCAAGCAAGCTTGGGTCGAACTCGTAGTGCTTGAGCAGCGCTTCGAGAGAGGGCGCCATTGTCTGATTGGCCTTTTTCACAAGGGGGCTGAACTCTGTTGGTTGGTTGTTGGTCGTGTTAGTGCAATATTGGAGCGATTGCAGGGGTCGACAGTTGGGACCAAAATAGAAGGCCAAGTAGGAGACCAAATGGGAGGCCAAAACAGGCGGCCAAAGTGGTCGATGTTTGATGTTTCCATCAACTAGTTGCAAACGCGGGCGGCTGCGGCATTGTTAAATGCTTCCGCGATGGCCTCAAGAATAGGCTCCCTACCTGACACTTGTTGCACTATTGGGCTAACCTTCGGCATGACTCATTTGCCGAAATCTGGGAGGTGAGCTGTGATTGAGAGACACGGCGAACCTCTTCCGATGATTGACCGGTGCAACATTGATCCTGTAAGGGGGTTGGAGAGACCTATGAAATCCTTCAGCTCGCTTTAATACGACGCCGCAACCACATATCACAAACTAGAAACATCAAGGGGTCGTTCGTTTTAGCCACAACTGATACCCCTCTTGTCAGCTTCCCGCCTCCCGCCTGCCCCTTGCACATCCGTAGCGGGTCCCAGTGCCCCTGAAACCCGGAAGATAAAGACCCTGGATTTGATTTAACCTCAACTGTTCCAAACCCCAGGAACTACACTCTCCCAGTTCATCTGATCTCGACAGATGCGCCCGACCACTATGGCCTTGTATCAACTAATGCTGGTCCTTCCCCCTTAGACCAAAACGGCAGGTTGCTATTTCGGAGGTCCTGTCGACCCGCAACGGCCACGGAGTCGTAGTGTCGTTGGATGCAAGTACAGGGGGGAACCAACATAGCATCGCATCGAACCCCGTTTTCGACGAGGCTGAGGCAGAGTCGGGAGAATTAACCAACGAGACTCGAGTAATCGCCCTATCCCTACATGATATGGCTGCAATGAAGCGGCCTATTTGGTCGAAAAATACGTGGGCGGTTCTAGTCTGAAACGTTGTACCTAGAAGCTGCATATCTGAAGAATGAGATGGGAGATACCGACAGGGTTGAAGAGTCGAGCTGCGTTATTAGGCCCAAGGGAAGATTTGCGGCCGCAGGGGACTCCGAAATAGATAAAGGAGAAGCTCATCCAGTCCATTAACCCCCAACAATTCATCAATCCATCTCACCAGCCCTAACACCAATCATTCTCTCTTTCTCATTACCTTGTCAACCTATCTTACTCGACTTAATTCTCTCTTCATACCATCTTGCCACCATGTCGTTTTCATTTGGAGTGCCCGAACATACTCCCCGATCTACTCCATCCCGTAACCGCAGATCCTTGTTTGTCAATGCTGACAGTCCCCATGACTCTGGAGTGGAGGGCCTGTCTAACAATGCATCATCCCCGAGTCGGGTTCCCGACAAGAAAGAAGAAAAACCACAGGACGTACCTGATGACTCATCCTCTGTCTCTTCTGAGGCCTCTTTAGTCGAAGATCCGGAGAAAGGTAACGCTCTGACTGAAAATCCTTTCAGCACCGAGCGTGGAAGGATCTTGTTCGAAGCTATCGACAAACTTCAGAGTTTTGAATGCAGCAAGAAACTAGAGATACCACAGGTGCGTTGACGAACCACAGTTGATCGAACCTGGCTAATTACTTTAAGCTTATCGTTGTTGGAGGTCAATCCTCGGGCAAGTCATCTTTATTACAGAGATTGACTGGAATTCCCTTCCCAGTCGGCACCGGCACATGCACCCGCTTTCCGACGCGTATCACCTCCAAACGCACACCTCCCAGGAGCAAGGACAGCTTCCGTATCTCTATCGAACCGGCTGAGGTTACAGTGCATGGCCTGGAAAGAGCGCCTGATACGATTAGCAGCTATGCGTGCACCGGGGAAATCTTTACGGCTGAAGTGTTTGTCAAGGCTGTTAAGGAGGTACGATGCCCGCTTTTCCATGACTACAAGTGAGCTAATAGGATAGGTATCTTCAAAGTATATAGGAATCCGCCATGGAAAAAACGAAGACAGCAACAATTTCGCGGCGGAAGTTCTGAAGGTTGAGCTCTCCGGTCCAAATAGACCCTACTTCAGCATTCTCGACCTTCCAGGACTCTTCAACAGCACTTATGGTGTGAAAACGGTAGACATGGAAAGGGTTGAGGAAATGATTGTCAAGTATATGCAAAAACCTGAAAACACAGTCATGTAAGTCGAACCAGTCACAAATTGGGTTCCCCGAGAAGCTAACCTTGGAAAGTTGCGTTGTCGATGCCTCCGTTGATTTCAATCTTCAGCCGATTTTAGAAGTGGCACAGAACCATATCAATGACAGAGAGCGTATTATTGGTGTTTTTACCAAGTGTGATAAGATTGAAAACAACCTTGAAGAGGCACACGGGGTAAGTATTCCAGCAACGGGGATATATATTTATACTAACAAATATAGGCTGCGGATATCGCGGTCGGGTTCGATCTCAAGTTCGGTCTCAGACTCACAGAAGACGATCCAAGACTTATGTCAGATGGCTGGTTTGTTGTCCGCAATCGCAACGACAAGGACAAGGGCAAAGACGAACTTGAGCTTGAGGCTAGTGAGAAAGACCTGCTCAAGACTTTCCCCTGGGACAGGGTCCCCGAGCCGCGGCGTGGATGCGCTGCGTTGAAGATGCATCTGGGAACGATACTGGACTCAAAGATTACGTCTAGCTTCCCTGCTATCCGAGAGCACGTCGAAAGGAATCTGCAGGCCAAATCTTCCGAGGAAGCCATGCTGGGAGAACCCCGAGGCAACCACCACGCAAGGCTGAACTACGCAACCAACATCGCTAAGAACTACGACGAGTTGGCGATAATGGCTCTGGATCGCCCTGGTCGTTTGCCAACGCCAGTTATGGAGCTCCGGCAGGAAGTGAGTCGCTTGAACAAAGAATTCGACAGTTTCATGAGAGAGAGAGGAGCAGAATGGGAGTTCCAAGACTACGACATCAGCCCGACTGAGAAATTGAAAGAGCTTGCAGATATTGACAGCGGTGTTTTGTCTCAAACATCGACACCCCAGCGGAGAGAAATCCCCGACTTTGATCCCGCTTTCAATCATTGCATTCGGACGGGAAACTCAGACAAACTCCTCGAAGTGATTAAACAGAAACTCAAGGGTGTCCAGACCAACCAGCTCCCCGGCATCATTAACCCAGACATCTTCCCTATCATGTATAAGCTACAGGTTTCAAAGTGGGTCACGATTTCCAACATTCATTTACAGCGAGTCAGCAATGCTGTTCTCAAATGCATTGACGCGATTCTGGAATCAGTGTGCCCCTCAAAAGGCGGCACGGCAAGGTTGCACGCAGGATTGAAGGAGATGCTGAGGAAATGCTTCGATTCTGCCCGCGAAACGGCAGAACAAGCCCTTAAGATCCCACAACGCCAAGAGACAGAGTGCGAAACCCTAGGAACAACGGACAATACGTTTGTTGAGAACGTAGTAGGCTGGCGGAAAGTGAGATTTCAAGAAGCTTGTCTTCCCTCTCTCACGGGTAACTCGTTGTCGATCATCCAGGCTCTCAGCGTATGCTTCGACTGTGCGCACCCGACTTTGGAGAAGAACATGGTCAATGAAGTCCACGACGTCCTTAAGGTGTACTACAAGGCAAGTCCGAAACAGGCGGAGCGGAGTGCTCTAACTAGACTGCTAACACGCGACCGTGACAGATCTCTCTGGAAGCGTTCATCAGAAGCATCATTGGCACAATCGAAGCCTACGTGTCCAGCGATGAGGGCCCTGTTAAGGGTCTACAGGCAGCACGCATGCTTGAGTTGTCTGAAGAGCATCTGAACAGGATCGCAGGGGAGGATCAGTCGACGTATAACAAGCGATTGACCTTGGCCACAGATATCAAAGAATTGGAAGAGGCTCTTGCTATTGTGGAGCGGGCAAGACAAGAAGCGGATGGTCTGGTGTAGGATTGAAGGAGACTGCTCGGGTTGGGGTTTCATGTTTCTCTCGGAAGCTTTTGCAGTCGTGTTTGCAGTAGTGTTTCCATGCGTAGAATCATTTATGTATTTGTACTTGTGTATCTCAATAGGATTTTCCTTTCACCTCAGGCATCACTGACATCCTCATATTTAATCTCGTGATAATCCAGCCCTGCGCCTTCCCACCACTCCCTCCTCGCAACGTCTTCCCACGGCATCACCAAGACGACCTCGCCAAAGTAATTCACCTCACCCTTCTGCACGAAGCCCAACTTCTGGAACAGGGCGCGGCTGCCCGTATTGCCCTCTTTGATCTTGGCCATCAAACCCTTGAGCGCGGCAGGCTTGCCCTCTGCATACTCGCCTAGGATGTGGTCGATGTGCGCTCGCAGATATACGAGGAGCGCGCACACCGCGGCTCTACCGAAGCCCTGTCCGCGATGCGCCGTTGAGGCGATCATGACGTCGACTTCGCCAGTGCACCAGCCTTGCTCATCGGCGGTGGCGGCTTCGTCATCGTCGTCGCTCTCGTACGGGTACAGGAAGAAGTTGATGTCGCCGCGCATCTTGACATCCGCATCGGCGACTTTCGCCTTGACGATGGATTGACAGGCCTCTTCGGCGGATGGCGGTGCGCAGATGATGAAGGTGAGCTTGTCAGACGAGGTGCGCCATGATTGCTGGTTCTCGTACTCTTCGTCCATCGTCATGGGCTCCGACGCCGTAGCCTCCTGGATATCCTGGAGTAGGAGAATTAGTATGGATAGTATTTTCGAGCAAGAGAATAATGCAAGGGTTGACACAGAGGAACAGAGAACCACACACCGGGTCTTGCATCCATGAGTGGTATTGCCGCACATGGTGGCTTTCGTAGGGGACAAGCAGAGCTTGACTCGTGGCGATTGCTGCGACGAGTTAATGAAGACCCTAGACCGATGTGTCGCATCAGTTTCTGACCTGTTGTTTCGTTGATTTTCATTTTTGGAAGCGCGTGTTGAGAGTTGAGAGTTGGAGCGTTGGGGCTGAGAGTGAGAGTGAAACTACCGCATCGGGGAAAATTTAGTAGTCAGATGGGACTGCTGTAAGACCGAACCTGAGTGGCATCGCAACACATATAATGAGCCACGAATATTGATTGGACTGGAATGGTATTGTTCAAACACACATCATACATATTTTACATATTTTCCTCCGACTGAATCGTACACATGGAATGGTACATATTCAGTCGCCCAACAGAACCCCATTCACTGGCTTAATCCTTACGGGCCTGCTCCGCCACGGCCTCAGACACTCTGTTCAGGCGGTTCTTTGACTTGGAGGGCGCCGATGCAGTGAATTCTGCCACGGCTTCTTCGTCCAACAGCTCTACGCCTGGCACTGGCGGAAACAGAGACTCCCACTGCGCCGTTGCCCGATCGCGTGCCCGGTTCGTCGTCAGTTGCGCTGCTACGCCAAAGTCGAGATCCTTGCCCTTCCCGGCGAACTCGATAGTGCGTCGCTCGGGTTTCACGCCGAGGCCTTTTAGCAGCTCTGCCGCCTTGGAGGGCATGATGGGCTGGAGGAGGATACCCGCGATACGCAGGGCGTCGGCGCTCTGGTAGATGATCCAGTTGAGGCGCATCTGCGTTTCTGGACTCTTGTCCTTGACGAGCGTCCAGGGTTCGGTGTCGCTGATGAATCGGTTGGCCTGCAAAAGTTAGAACGTTTTGCTGTCAAATTTTGTAGTGATGAAGCTTACCTGCGCGAGGAGTTGAGAGATCTCACGGATGGCTCCGCTCAGGTTAATATCGTCCATCTGGTCTCGGAACTCTTGAGGAGCCTTTTCAAGGTGCGTTTCCAGGCTCATATAAATTGTGGCATCGGGTAGGCTCTCAATCTGCGCCATGTCGAAGCCCTTCTGAGCCCATTGCACAGCCTCGAGAGTCGACCACTTGCCGCCCTTGACGCGAGAGATGCGTTGGAAAAGATTTCCAATGTTGGCCTGCAATTCCTTTTCATACACGACCATAATAACGTCGTTGGAGTAGCCCATATCCTTGCTGAAACTAGCATTCCGCATGAGAAAGTATCGCAGGGGGTCAATGTCCCATCGCTGTAGGGCGAATAATGGGTTGACCACATTGCCGAGCGACTTGGACATTTTGCGGTTTGACATGGTCCAGTGGTTGTGGCAGACGAGCTTCTTAGGGAGTGGCAGACCAACAGCCATGAGCAGGGCAGGCCAGTAGACGGCATGGAAGCGAACAATGTCCTTGCCAATGACGTGAACATCAGCCGGCCAGAGACCCTTGTTAGCGCTGGTAACCTGCCAGTCGCTGCCAAACCCAGCCTTGGTCGCATAGCTGATTAGGGCGTCGACCCAGACGTAAATGGTATTGGAGCTGTCCTCGGGGTCTGGAATTCCCCAGCTTAGTCTCGAGGCGGGACGGGTGATGGAGAGATCTTCGAGGTGGTTCTCGACCCAGTTCCGGACCTCGTTCATGCGGTTCCTGGGCTTGATGAAGTCGGGGTTCTCGTCGTAGAAGCGGAGAAGTTTATCCTTGTACTTGGACAGCGGGAAGAACCACGTTTCCTCCTTGACCCATTCCACCTCACTTCCTGACTCAATTGCGGCCATGGTCTTGCGTCCCGTCTGCGGAACCACTGTCGCCTGAACCTCGTCTTCGGCGTAGAAGCACTCGTCGCTGACGCAATACCAGCCCTCATGCGTACCCTTGTACAGGCCCAGACCCTCTGGCGGGGTGTTCTTGAGGTGCAGCCAGAACTGCTCTACCGCGCTCTTGTGGTCCGCATCGGTGGTTCGGATGAAGAAGTCGTGTGAGATGTCGGCGGCCGTGGCCAGCTCCCGAAACTTACGAGAGTTATTGTCACAGAATTCCTTCGGGGGCATGCCCGCCTTGGCAGCAGCCCGCTGGATCTTCATTCCGTGCTCGTCGGTGCCGGTGGTGTAAAACGCCTGGTTGCCTTTGAGTTGCTCCCATCGTTTGAGGACGTCAGTCAGAACCATTGTGTAGAGATGGCCAATGTGGGGAGCTTTCTACGGCGTGAGCTGGGTTCAAACGAGTGTGATCTTGAGCTCGTTACTGACCAGCATTGACGTAGAATATGGGCGACGTGATGTAGTATGGCTTGTCCGTCGTCGGCGTCGAGCTGTTGGAGCTGCTCCATCGGGTCGCCGCTACACGATGCGATTGACAGCCCGGACAGACCCAGCTGGTCTGGCGAGGGAGTCTGGACTGCACCTGCCGCAGCCCGCGGAGGGATTGGAGGCTGAGTGACCTCATGGCGTTGCGCAAGTGTGCAGCTTGTTTGCAGAGGTGGGATGGATATGTCACGTCACGTCACAGTTGAGTCGAGGTGGGAGCTTCAAAAATGGTGTTGCTATTCGCACACATGGCCACGGTTATTTACACCCGTAGATGAATGCTTGAACCTCGTTGTATTTATTCGTCACCCCTTGAATAAAGCATTTCAGTGAGATTGCTTTGTGGGACATAGCCCTCAATATTCATTTCTCTAAATAAAGCCATTTCATTTTGCTATATATTCATCTGGCTGTCAGGTACGTCTTTTGTTTTAGATGGGATGGACATGATCGGGTACATTGATTTAGCTGATGACGACGTGCTAATTTTTGTACCATGTGCGACCAGTAGCTCTGTGCGTGCAAATCAAAAGCTCTCAGGCGATAAGCCGTTTGGGGGAGGGGACACAGCACAGTGTGCATTGAGTGACACGATAACTGTCTATGATTTCTACGCCATGACCGCATCCTTCAAAAGTTGACCAGGCTTCAACCTGCCTGCCTGTTTGCGCCGAAGCATTTAACTCCCCTTCGAGAGACAACGAGAGTCGCTTCTCCCTCTCACCATCGCCAACGACTACCGAAGCATCCAGAAAGAGAAACAATGCCTCTTCCCGACAGCGACACCTTGATCAGGGTCTCGAGCGAAGGTATGCCCAAAGTCCCAGCCATCGTCGCTCTTCCGTCAATCAGCCAGACACGAAACAGGAGCAACAATAGCTAACAAATGCCAGCTGCCGAGACCTTCGTCAGCCATTACTACCAGGCCATCAACAACCGATCCCCCCTCCTCCCATTCTACATCAACTCGTCCTCCCGCTACGCTATACCCGCTGACATCTCCATCAACGGCGCCGTCATCGCAACCCCCGACGACTACTCGAAGCTCCTCGAGGGCCAGGGTACCGGCGCCCACTACGAAATCGAGTCGTTTGACGCGCACCCGGTGAACCCCTCGTTCCAATACGGGGCCCCCGAAAATATTCAGGACAACGCAAAGGTGGAAAAGAGTGGTGGGAGGATCAGTGTCGCCGTCACCATCATGGGAAGGTTTCAACTGGGAAGAGGCAGAGAGGCGCCACAGACGATGTTCAACGAGACTTTTGTGCTTGTGCCAAACTGGGACTCTATGGGCAGGAACCCGCCCAGAGGAGTGAAGAAGTGGCTGATCATGTCACAAAACTTCCGCGCTTTGTAGGACGAGGACATGGAAAATATAAAACAAATACTTGGGAATGAGACTAAATTTATGACGGCTTAAATAAAAGATACCCTATCTAAAGCGATATACCTTGATACAATTTGTGGTTTGTCGTTAATGGAGATGGTTGAAGCTTTTGGTAGGAGAGTGTCACTCCCAGAATGTCGTGACGAAACCGCACAAATGTTGGGACCTACGCTCTACCTGGATGTATGTGCTGGGTTTAATTGCAATACAGTAGACAATAATAACAAGTATTGTTAGGAGGAATAAAGACTAATAGCTCTGGAAGCCACAAAGCCGTCCTCGGCACTTGCGTCCCCTTGCATCACATCCCCGTAACTCGACGACGCCACATCTTCTTGACACAGACGACAAGAACAATAGCAACAGGAATTATGCCACAAATAAACTCAATAGCCACACAACCAAACTTCAATCAGGAACTTGGCGGGGCCACTCCATAATCAGGACAATGGCAATGGCGCTGAAGCTTTGGCGGGGCACGCCCATACAATCCATGTCCACCGGCCACCCTGCATTTGGCGTCTAGGACGGACCACCAGACCAACCCCACCATCACCATCTCCGTCTCCAAATCCGACTCTCTACCCAGACTTGCAGCCATGCCACCCAAGTCAAAAGGCAGCTCCAAGGCCCCCAATTCCGAGCCCAAAGGTGAGCCTCCAGCACAAGCAGCTTCTATATTTCTTGACGTGTTGGCTTGCGGCACGCGGCAGCAGAATCCTCCGTTTCCTCCGCAACTCCTTCGCTGACCTCGCTCCGTCACAAGCTGCATCCGAGTCGCCGCTCCCGCAGACCGTCAGCCTCCGCTCCGAGCAGCGCTTCTTCAGGACCAACCCGTGCGAGAAACGCCGCCAAGACGTTGGCATCTCCGGCCTGACCCCCGCCGAGAAGAAGACGTACACCTACACCCACCTCATCCTCCCCGTCGCCAACCGCCACGTCCCGCTCTCCAACAAGGCCGAGCGCGAGTTCTGGAAGCACGTCACCAAGGAGGGCCTCCCGATCCGCCGCCTCTCGCCCAACTACAGCTGGGGCAAGGACCGCTCCGGTCGCGACATCGGCACCTACTCGCCCGACGAGCTCGAGCAGCGCACACTCAAGCACGCACGGCTTACGGCGCTACAGATCCAGCACCGACAGTTTCTAAGCAAGAGGGAGCTTGCAACCAAGAATCACGGCACCGAGGTCTCTAGTGAGGATATTGAGGAAGAAAAGAAGAGAAGACAAACTATGGCGGCACTGAAAAGGGACCTCTACGGGGAGACCACGGGAGCGCTGGCCAAGGACCCGGAGTGGGATGATGTGATTCCAATCCCCCAGGACGAGCCTGAGGGAGCTCTCGCGCAGATTGCATATCCCGATGATTATGCCGAGGGTATGTCAGCTCTGGCTCTGGACTCTTCTCAACAGAAGAGCTCGTGAACAACACAAACGACTCCTTTGTAGCTTAGTAAACTGACGAGAGTAGCCGTATCGTACCTCCGCGCCGTCATGGCTGCGGACGAGTGCTCGCCCCGGTGTCTCCGCCTCACCGAGCATGTCATCTCCATGAACCCTGCGCACTACACCGTCTGGCTCTACCGATTCAAGATCATCTCCGTGCTGAAGCTATCCATCCCGGATGAGATCACTTGGCTCAACCAAGTCGCCCTTGCCAACCTCAAGAACTACCAGATCTGGAACCACCGCCAGCTGCTCATGGATTACTACTATCCCGTCATTGAGGAAGAGACTGCTACCGTCCGCACCCTCGCACGCTCAGAGACGGCCTTCATCACCACCATGCTCGTTGAAGACGCAAAGAACTACCATGTGTGGTCCTACCGCCAGTACCTCGTTGGCAAATTGTCCATGTGGACCTCCAGCGAGCTTGGCTCCACGCAAAACCTCATAGAGGAGGATGTCCGCAACAACTCGGCCTGGTCCCACCGCTTCTATCTTGTCTTCTCGGACCCAACAGGCTCGACCGCGGGTTCTGGCCCGACGGAGCACGACCCCAAGGTCCCCGAGACCACCCTCAACCGCGAAATCGGCTACGCCCAGGAAAAGATTGCCCTCGCCCCGCAGAACCAGTCACCTTGGAACTACCTTCTCGGCGTGTTAGCCAAGGGCGGTCGCAAGCTAGCCACTCTCCAAGAGTTTGCAGAGCAATACATCACCGCGCTGGGCGAGGATGCTGAGGAAGTCCGCAGCTCCCACGCGCTCGATTTCCTAGCCAAGGTGTACCACGAGAACGGCGACAATGAGAAGGCGAAGTTGTGCTTGAGGCGGCTGAGCGAGAAATGGGATCCTGTACGTGAGGGATACTGGAAGTACCGAACTACGCTCCTTGAAGGGCCTATGGAGTCTGCATGAGTCAGCTATGTCGTTTATGATGAAAGAGAACCAGTCAATGAACACATTTACATATGGGAGGTATGGTAGAAAATCCCGAATTGACATTCCATTGGTTTGCAATGTCCGACAAACTTTTGAAGGTATCTCTGAGAATGAGAGACTGGCCAGTGAAGGTATCAGATATTGTAAATGGTCTCGGACTTAATGAGACAAGAAGTCTGTCTTTAAATTAAATGACCAAACCGGCCTCTGGTGAAGTAAAGTGTCTTATACCCGGCGTCCAACTGGACGAATCTGTAAGCCAGGAGGCGTTCCGGTATCCTGCTTCCTTAGCAGCATATCGAATACTCTAGAGTTATCCTTTCCATCCAGCGCCTATGGGTAGTCCCAAGTCGAGCACACCGAATTCTAATGCGCTGAACTAATATTATTTGTCTCCCATGCTTCTGGCGCTGGCTCCCCTCCAGGCGGCATCTGGTAACCCTCTGATACCTCAACGCAATATGCCTGGATTTTTCTGAGCCTTGGACACTGCGTTTCTTACCATACGATTGAATTTCGGCATGAGAGGGTCGGCATAACTGTGGATGTCAGCATCAGCGACATTGTAGTTGAGGATGGTGAAGTGTCAACCTCCCAGCGAAGGCGTGAGCGGCCTGAACGACATGGTGACGGCCTTAGGGGACAGCATATTGGCAGGGATAAAAGAGGGAACGAGAGCCGTCAAGTAGTCGCCAATGACCGTCCCAGGATCAAACATAATTATATCCATAAAACCTCTAAAGACCACCCGGTCGCTATTGTGTACGCCTCAACCGAAGCCCCAGATCTAATTCTCCGTAGTCCGGACTGGTCTAAGTGTTAAGTAGTCTAGACGCCACGATGAGGCATGCGCTAGGAAATAGGGCCTGGGACGGTGTGGCGACTTCTTCGTATCGCGGCTGACCTGATGTCCATCGTGCCCTGGTTATCCCTGAGGTGCAGGATATGTTTCTTTTCAATGGCCTTGGAAACAACTGAGATAGCGACTTGCGCGCATGTAAATTCAGTTTCGCACATTTGTCCAGACGTGAGTGTTGATCTTAGGTGTTTCACCTTTTCTCAACCCCGATGTTGTCCCAACAGAGTTATAACAAAGGTGCATGATAAATCCTTTGAGTTACGCAGCACATATACCCTTGAAAGTAGTGAAAATTACCGAAACACGTACTTCGTATGAGCCAGGTTCCATGGCATCTTGCTAGACTACGTAGACACAGGTAAGCCAATGCAGAATTATCCAGCGACTGACCTCAGAAACACTTGTTAGTGGGAACGATACCGGTGCCATAATCCACGAGGTCAATGTCGAAAAATATCATTGTCGAGACTCTTCGGGTTGAGCAGCATACGGACTAGAGAATCACAAGGCAATGCGATCCATCTCGTCCACTACCGACTACAATCAACATCGCCAAGACTTGGACAATCATGACCCCCACACACCACAAGCCCCATGGAATCCTCATTGTGCATTTGAAAGGCACAGCCCCACTAGATCACTTCGATAAGCATACAGAAGGTACAACACCTTAAGCTTGGCAAGGATCTATCATCCAAAGAAAAGAATTTAGAAGAACGAATCACATTACTAGATTATAATCGTGTAAATAACCGACCACGGGATGCCCTCTCCCAAGCCAAGTGGCGTCGCTCCCACCCCAACATACTTCTATTTTCCCTCCTGGTTCATAATGTGACGTCACCTGGCTCGTAGCCATATAATACAGTTGGTGGACTCCTCAGTGGATGTAACGGTGTCACACTGCAGCGGAGGAGAGGTGCTGAGTGTGAGGTGGCGCTGTCAGCCATTACCGGCTCTCGACACGCCAAAACTTCCAACCTTCTCTCTCGCCACCATCCGTGTGGACTCCAACCAGCTTCTCGACACCCTCGTTGCCATTGGCGTTGAGGAACTTCTCCAGATCAATCTCCATGCCACCTTCGCGGTCCTCTTCCGTTCCATTCTTAAGGACGGCAGGCCAGAGCACACCGACTCCATCGCCTCCTAGAGTCGTCTCGAAACGAGCGTAATTCTCATCCTCGAGTTGCCGCTCGAGTTTCTCGAGCTTCTCGCGTGGGGCATCGGGTCGAAGGAGCGTTATGGAGCAACCGCCGCCTCCCGCACCCGTAAGCTTGGTCCAGCCCAAACCCTCGTGATCAACGAGTTCCCGTACTCGCTCTAGCCTGGGATGAGATACGCCGAGAGACACCAAAAGACCATGATTGATGGTCATTAATTCACCAAGCTTTTGGAGAGATTCTTCTTCCTCATTATCGAACTTCGGATCCTCAATCACGTTTGATGCTGCTACGGTCACCTTGTCCATGGCATCCAGGATGGTCCCGACAAGTTTGGGGTGTTCGTCCTTGAGCTTAGCCACCTTGGCCACCTCGTGTGAAGTGGACTTAGCCTGCCTTGTGTCCACCAGCAAGAGGGGCAGTTCAGGGAAGTCCCAGAGAGGGCGTACAGCTGGGGGCTTGGAATAGTCGGTGCGCTGGAATACGACGGCCTTGCCCTGTGTCGCGACGGTGTTGTCTACACCCGAGGGGTTGCCGTGGATGCACATCTCTGACACAAATGCCCATCGGTTGATTCTCTCCACCTGGAGTCGGGCCTCGTCGGGGGGTTGATCAGGGTGAGGGCCAGACAGAGTGCGTAGCTGGAGCAAAAGGGCTGACGAGATGCAGACAGATATGGATGCGCTGCTGCCCAAACCAGCGCCAATCGGTATCGTCGATCGAAGGGTGTATAGGCAGCCAGGGAATGATGGCCATCCTAGCGAGAGGAAGAGGTATAGGAAAGCGGATGCGGAGTTGCGATGGACCCTGCGGATCTCTTCTGGTCGATCGGCGGAGACGACAGCAATATGCGGTTGGATAGCATCGACAAGGTCGGGATCAAGCTCAGTGACAAGGGAGTAGTATGACTTCTTCTTAAGGGGATGCTGGAAGGCCGCCCATGGTAGGTCGTCAATGTTCCACGAGTGGACGAGGTCAATGTCCGGGAATCGGAGTGAGACGGTGCGCTTCGACTTGGACAGGGTGGTGACGTGGAGGTAGGATCGGAGGGAAATGGCGGCAGCAATGGCAGCCTGTGTGTCAATGGCATTGTCAGCAAGAAGACACAGGGCGAGGACGAGAAGGGGGCAATTGAGGGTCGCGTGTGTGATTGCGGTATCGTACCTTGCCGTGGACGACCGAGTGCTCTCCAAAGACAATGACTTTGCCCGGTGCTGAGACCATAAAGGGCGGCGCCATAGGGCTCGACATCTTGCGCTCCATCCTCAGACGTTGTCCCAGCTGGCCGGCGCCATTGACAAACGACTCGGGGATTGGGTTGGAGCCATTGGCATGGACTCCATTGAGGCCGTTGAGGCCTTTGCGGCCGTCTAGCATGGTCGGATCTCGAGAGGGCATCAGGACGCAGCCAGAGGAGTTGCACGCGCGCGTCCTGGGACCGTTGAGGGTCGTTGTGGTGTTTTGGTTGTTTTTGGGGATGTCGTCACGGGTCAGGTCGCGGGTCGCTGGTGACTGGAAATGCGAGCGTGGGTACACCTTGTCGTTATGGGAGGGAGCGAGTCTGTGCGCGATTGTGCCTGTGATTGTGCCTGTGCTCGTGCCGGTCGGTCTTGTGACGCCTCGAAGGAGATGGTGGCGGTCTTGTGCGTGGTTGTGCACGTCCTGGTCGTGTACAGCTAAAGTGTGTGTAATAAAGGGGTAGGTCGTAGTGGGCGCGGAAATGGCAAATAATACGCCGAGAAAGCGTCACTTGGGGAGTCAGGATGGATCGAGTTGGAGACGTCGGTGGTGTTGTTGGAGCAACGCAGCAGGATCCGGTTCCCAAGCTTCAAGAGAAAAAGGAAAAAGGAAAAAGCGAAGAAAGCAAAGTCGGGAGGGACGGGAGAGAAGATGCGAGAGAAGATGTGTGGAGGTGGAACGAGACGAATGGATTTGCTTTGCTCCCCAACAAAAGAACGCCAGCCAGCGGGAGATGCAATGGGATAATATCGAGGAGAGGAGGCGTAGCGTCACGGAAGCAGCGTTAGTTTGGAGAACAAGTCTCAGTCAGTGGTGGCCTTTTCCCCCCGCACTTTCCCACAATCCCACAGGGAGCAGCAGGCGCGCGTGGGTAGTGTAGGTAGGCAGGTACCTAGGTAGGCGTGGTGGGTAGGCGTGGCAGGCGTGGCAGGCGTGGCAGAGGGGTGGCTGCCAGAAAGAGACAATGTGTGTGCCTGAATCAATGATTGTGTCCCACACTGCGGTCCTTGGTGCAAGGTCCTTGGACGCTAGAAGGTCCTACTCCGTGGTAGGATCACTAAGAAAGGGGGCGGCTCTGACTTTAGTTATTACCAGTGTCACAGGACAAAGGACGGGACGTAGCACCCTTCGGTAGCGGCGCAGCAGCCTGGGATCGACCTCACTTCAGCTGGGTAGCGTTCCCAGTGACAGTGGGCAGGGCCGTCGTACAAAGATCCAGCGAGAGCGGCGATTGGTACCAAGGCATGCAGGACCACCAGACGGCGTCGTCCAGAATAGGCAACGGGCGTGCTTGAGGTTGCGGGTGTGGGTCTCGACAATAGATGGAATTAATCGAGATAGGTACGAAGACAACGGACTAGCAGTTCCCGGTCAATAAAAGAGGGTGCGAGTGGGAGAGGGAATGAGGAGGCTGTGTGAGAGGTGCTGCCCAGCAAACAGGCGCAAAAAAGCCGTCTCCGTGGAGGACTTCGGGGTCTTAGAACCGGGGACGGACGGGAGTGTGTAATGATAGACCGCCAATTGGAAGAAATGGCGGTCTAGTTTAATCTTGCTCCAACACTTGTTTCCCTAGTTCCGGCTCCGGGCCTTTCCTTGCCTGGTTGTCCACGATTTGCTCAATACTCGTGAGCAACGGCAAGGCCCGGAGCAGGAGCCGACAGAGAGGGGAATGGGGAGAGCAAGCAAGGGGACAGAGAGGAGCAGTGCCCCCTTTGGGGACGGGGAGGGGGAACAAACGCGGCGGTCCCCGCTGGCAGCCTTCGGAAACGCGCAAGCGAAGGCCTAGGGCCAAGCTGCGAGAAGGCGGCGGCGGAAGCAGGGTGTACTCCCGTCCTTTCACACATACGTGGGTGGTGCGGCGCGTGATACCTCGATGACGATGACGATGGAGGCGGCCGATGTGCGGTTGAGGACGAGGGGAGCGGGGCCGACTGCGAGCCCATCCCGACTCTGTGGTTGGGCAAACACGGCGAGAATGAAAGATGGTCACCTACATAGGGCGTAGTCCATCCTCTCGAGACAAGGGCAAGGGGAGAACCAACGACCTCGCAAGGAGAGGCAAGGATGGAAACCTTGCTGTGGCCCCTGCCCTATTCTCTGGCGGATGACTGGATGGCTGGGTAAATGGATGGTTTTATGGCGGAATTTCTCGTGAATGTCGGTGTATTGTTCTCTTTGTTGTCTGTCAGTTGCTCCTCTTTCTCAGCCAAAACCCAACCATACACAGCTGCAGTTCAAGAGCAAGGAGCTGTACAGAAAGCAAGTATCAGGTCTGCGGCCAATCAAGCAGCGTCTAAATCCGAAAACGAGCTGCCCATCCACACGAGGCGCTTCTGGGTAGGTGACGACAGGTCCAGATGCTAGTCCCTGCAGCTCGCATGGCACGCTTGGGAGGGACTATCGCGATTGATTGGGATCCGTCGCCCTGGTCTGCATTAGGTGGAAGTGGGAGCCGGAGTGGGTGTACACGCCCGCCCACGCCCACCGGAAATGCTGTCAGATGCTAGAAATGCCGTGCCGTGCAGTCAGGCTAAAATATCCCGGGACGCGGGTGCGGACGCGGACGGGGACGCGATGCGATGCGATGCGATGCTACCTACGGAGGTGCCTCTTGTACTGGCGTGATTATTGCTGGTGGTTTTGGTCTGATCTGACGTCTTGGCGGGGTCCTCCGTACGCAGAGAGAAATTCCCGGGCAAAGCAATTTGACATCCAGAGGTGACTGAATGCGGCGACGTTGAAGACGTAAGATGCAAGGCGCGAAAACTCGGGGATAATGCCGTCTCACCGTTCCGTGACCAAGTGGCATGATGTTGCTTGTGCCTCAGGCTAGCCCAGATCTCTTGATGCACGGCTTGATGACTTTGAGGGTCGAGGCTTCAATTCATGCCGCATCCCAACTCGTACCCCAACTCCCTTGGCAGTGCTAAAATTGCAGTGCATCGGCATCGGCGACCGTTAAGCTTAGAGACGAGGCCCCAACTCGTACCCCAACTCCCTTGGCAGTGCTAAAATTGCAATGCAATCAACAGACGACGTTGAGAGACGAGGCTTCTACTCATGCCGCAACTCTAACTCCTGTGGCAGTGCTAAAATTGCAGTGCAACGTATCCGGTTGGTCTTCACCGGACGCATCAGCCTCCCTCGCCTCGTACAACCTCAGCTCCCTCCCGGTGGCGGTGAAGTCATCCACAATCCACTCGACGCATGAGCCTCATTGCCCTACGATTACTAGCACTAAAGTGCGAGTGCGTATCATCAAGATAGATTATCGCCTCGCCACTGCCCCGTTCCTCCATGTCCGCGCCACAATCAACACACCTACAATCGTCATCTATCAACGCCAAGTCAGATGGCCGGACAATTAGAGGCTCATCCGCCAAGTCACGAACCAACCAGCCAGCCAACTGTTGCAGTCAACTTGTCAACCAAATCCAATACACCACCACGAACAGACCGCGCGGTGAAGTGGCATTGCCACCGATGCTACGAATCACAAACATAGATTCAGATAACCATGTCCCAATTGAAATCTCTTTGCTACATCTAGATCATCACTTACGCAGCATACTATAGGTCAAGTTTGTAAGTCTGTCGCTCTAGGATAAAACAGCCTCAAAACACTATCCGCTCAGACTGTTTATCAACTTTCCCTTCCTACCTCCGTCACCCTTCATCATGAGCGTCATACGTGCTGGGGAAAATCAGCGTAGTTGTAATCGAAGATGGACCAAGCCCGGTCTTCCCATTCAGTCGTCTGATCAGGGTATTTTTGGAATTTGCGCCTGTTCACAGCAAGTTAGCTTCAAGTACCACCATCAGTTCCGCAGGATTGCGTACCAATACTCTTCAATATTTTGAGGATTATCCTGCATCAGGAGCCAGAAGATGAAGCGCGGGCTCCACATCCAGTTCAGCTTCTGCGGATCAAATCCATCGCTGATCCGTCCCAAGTTGTTGCTCGACGTTGGGAATTCGTCCAGCTTCCGGTCTACAAGGTCGAACAACGCGGCAGCGATGCGTCCCTCTTGTCTAAGCATGAAGCTATCGCCACAGTTAAAGGCTTCGATATTCTGGGACCAGCTCTTCTTAGGGGCGTATTGTCTCTTTTGGTACTCCATGTACGGAGAGAAGGCATCCACGAGCGGCGTCTGGTCGATGGCGAACAATCCGAAAGCTGTGGCATAGCCTTCCGAGAATGCTGTGGTGACTTTCTTGTCTATTCCATCGCCGCAAAATTGGTGCCACCCACCAGCTCTCAACTCTCCCCTTTTTCGAGCAATCCAGTGCAGCCAGTGGCCATACTCGTGCGCCATGACAGATGGGTTGGCAGCGTCCAATTGTGGAAGGTTGATGTAGGGCGGATCACCATACGATGCGAAGTACGCACCGCTGTCTGCAGCTCCAGGGAACCACACGTTGACCTTTTCCATCTCGTTCTCGCCAGTGGCTACCTGTGTGCGGACAAACTCGGTCAGGGTCGTGAAGGCATCGGCAACGGCGAGGCCCTGGTTGTACTCGCTGAAACCATAGTAGGCCTCCGCTCCGGTGATTTCTCCCGCGTTGACACTCCATTTGACAGTGTTCAAGTCTAGTTGGAGCACCTTTGGCGTCAACTGCTCCGTATCCAACTTTCGGCTTCCAATGTAGAACCACTCGGTGAAGAGGAACGTGAATATCCTTGTAGCCTCTACTCTCTGACCATCGCCAATATTGAATCTAAAGACTGCGAATCCGTTGGCGTCTGTGGTAGCCGATGCACCTTTCGACCCGATCTTCTCGTCGCCACTGTAAATGTCGTAATGAAGATAGCAGGGCAAGAAGCGGACTGGCCGCCTCTCCAAATTTCGATCCGCAAAGATGACCGCGCCTCTGATGTGTGCCGGTCGGTCTGGGGTTTGCCGAACAAGGAGGTGTTTATTGTCTGAAGTGCAAGCAGAGGGCGTGGGACATACACTAACGGTGCGGTAGCGAGTGATGATGATTGTGTGTGCTCCTCCGCGACCGCAGCCTCCAGACACAGTGGTTGTGACCTCGTCGCCGGTGGTCCCGGTATAAGTGTAACCGTCGGGCGGGGAATAATCGTCTCCGGGAATGGCTGTAGAGACGTAGGTATCATCAGGAGGAGCCGAGCCGCCATCGGGAGACGTGGTAGAGGTAGAGCTATCGGTGGTGGAAGTGCTAGTATAGCCGCCAAGAGTAGTTGTAGTCCATGATTCCCCATCGCTGTTTTTGTCGACAGGCTTCACCTCATTACGATGAATGACGGGGGCCTTTCCTAGGTCTCTAGGATCAGCTTCGTCTATGCCATTGCTAATAGCGTTGTTGAAATCTTCGGTGATGGCCAGGTTCACTTGATGATCGTAGTCTGCAATAACACGTGCGGCCCAGCTCCCTTGCTGCTCGGCATCGCGGGCGATTACGAATCCAGTGCTGTTAACCGTGATGAAGGCCGAGCCCGCTGAACCATCGTCGAGTCCAAGAGAAATGAGTACGTCTTGTTGAGGCTCGGCCATGTGGATGTAGACAGCTTGCGAGAATTGGTCCGCCGGGGGAACATCGATATTTTGTGTATAGATCACATCTGCTTCTGAGGTTTCCTCCCCAGCTGCAGTGCTGTTGAACAAGTATGGGGTTGTTGAGATAGTTAGAGCAAAGGAATTAGCGGTAGCTATTATCCGGGTAATGTTGACCGGGAACTCGACGATTAGTCCACCGTCAGAACTGTCAGAGTCCCAGGAGATGTAGACTTCACTCGCAGCCACGTCAACTTGCCAGCCACTGGTAGGCTGCGTGGCATGGACGGAAGCTAACGAAAGGGCCCAAGTGGCCAGGGTGACGAGACGGGCCATGTCGACTCTTCGTGTGAGCCAGATCCCAATCCTCTGAGACAGCGCTCTGCTTGTGATGGATTTCAAGGCCGTCTGCGGGAGGGATTAGTATACGGCAAGAGAATACTACGGCCGACATAATGCTAGCAGGATGACCACATCTAATATACCCAGGTAGTGTCCTACGCTTGGTCTTTTCAGCCCGTTGGAGTGACTTTTAGAACACGACTAGATGAGTCGACGCTTAGCCATTTTGTCTCAGGGCAGCGCAGTAGTCACCACCCTGTGCAATGCCCATTGGCGAATCTTGGTGGCTTCCAGCCGCTCCTCGAGAGCCGGGCTCGTTTTGGTCTGTCCAAGTGAAGGGCTGAGGATAGACTTAATACGCCACCATCAGCCCTGCCGCTTGTCCCTGTCCGAAGGAGAGGCGCTATCGCCTCCTCGCCGAACCCGCTGGCCCAGAGTCCATTTATGGACCCATCTTCTTCAGAAATATCCTCCAACATTGAGTCATTTGATCCCCAAAGTCACGGCACGGGTGTCAGGGAAGAAGGGAAACCCTTTCTCGCCACACTGCTGACGAGCCCTGGAGTCTGGTCAACAAGTCTTCTCAGTGCTCTCTACCTTTGCCAGTGTGTCAAACCTTCTATTTACGCTTATGTGCCGACATGTCATAGTCCCATAAATCGCCTGGTCCAGACCCTGCTGCCGGCGTATGGTAGTGAAGTGGCTGGAGGTTAGCAGAGAGGTGGATTGGATCAGACACCACACCTGTGATCCGGACATCTGGTTAGTGCTTCTTAGCCCCAGCCTCAACTACAGCGCCTTGTCGTTGCACAACGACGCCTCTTTTTCTAGCCGCGACGGTACATTCCTGCATTAACAACAGACAACGCCTTACAGTATCTGTCACATAGTTACACAGCCTCAGGTCCAGGCTCGGGACGTGAGACCCCGAGATGGGATTCTACATTAGGGTCGTTGTTAGGACGCAACCACCACGCAAAGGCGCACTAGCGCTCGCTCAAGTAAGAAACAAGCGTCAAATTTAAGACTGTTTCCTGTCTTTCCCTCGTTCTATAAAGTACGATGATCAATTCGCATTGCATTATCGAATCGGGGGCTATCTGGCGGGGGATTGACGCTATGAGAATTGACCTTCCAATACGGCTCTAGACGGAGGCTGCTGGTTAGCGGGGTGCAGTTATTGGCCGCCCCTGACGAACCACCACTTATGAGGATCCAAGAAATCATGCCGCACGGCCATTGTAATCTCTCCCGCTCCCAGAGTTGTAGCAGAAATGTAAACATAATTACTGACCTCGGCCGCCGAGCACTAAGGGGAATTCATTGCGATTCTCAGCTCGCTGTTAAAATACCATATGCCCTCATGATCAACCAGGCCTTTTTATCACGTTTTGCGTCGAGTTGGCACTGCTCAGTTCCAGCGACTTGCAACTATCAACACACGCAAGCCGCGTCTGCAAAGCCCCTGAACAAAAGTCTATCACATTTACCAGGCCAAGGTCACAACAGATGTGGACCATATACGAGCAGGGTGGTAACAGCCACCGTCGGCGTACTACGGCGCTCAAGTTTGTAACTCGATCCTGCGTCATAGAATCCCTTGCTGCAGGAGCCCTTGCAAGCCAGCGTCGTCCCACGACCTCTCTCTAACGGGGCGTCATTGCAATCAACTTGAATAATGAACTAGCTGTTTGTTATCACCGGCTCAGTTGATTCTACATCCACTCTGCCAAGAATGGCCACTCCGCCGTAATTTGACCCGCTCGTCAACGCAACCCCAGCGATGCTGGAAGATCGACGACAATGTTGCACGCGTCCATCATCACCTCCTACGAGAGGAACTTGCACTTGCAATCATCATCCACAGCCACAACCCAACGCCCTTGACGCATCACACAACAAGCTCATCCCACCATGGTCGTCATAGAATTCGCCCTGTGCCGACTGAAGCCCGATTACGAACAGACTGGGTTCTTCGGGGTGGGTCGACTGTGCCAACAAATTCAGGACACATGGATCCGAGAAAACCAGCCGCACCGACTGCAAGACAAGCCGTACTCGTCACTCAGCGCCTTCTTTCTCCAAAACACCGAATTGCCACATTTCCTCATCACCGCTGCGTGGGACTCCCCTGAAAGGCACGGCTTGTGGTTGCGGAGCGTTGAGAATATGGGCGTCCTCGTCAAGCTGAGGGAGTACATTGCCGACGTTCCAAATGGCGTCGTCGTCTTCCACATGGATCCAGCAGGGAGCGAGATCGAGCTACGCGGCGATCTTTTCGCCCAGGAGGCTCCATTCAGTCTGTGCACATTATCAGTCAGTTCCAGGCAAAAGGAGTCAGTGCAGGAAAAGTATCGCAGCATAGAAGCCCAGGCCCGAATTTCGAAGCCCAGCAGCAGAGTGTGGGCGGGGTGGAGAATTGAGAAGGACGACGATTTCGAAGAACTGGTCATCTTCTGGAATCAGGGTGTCCTAGATGGGCAGCTGGACGACTTGCTCAGCACCCCCGATGCCGAGCATGAATTTCGCCAGTTCCAGAATTTCGAGTAGCGAACACACCAAGTCGACCGCCCGACCGTCACGGAGATCATGCGCCAATACAGAATGTTGTGACTCGAATCGTTCTTTTTTCTTTTTGGACTCTATCCGAGCATCCTCCTTTCAGAGCACATGAAATGCAAGGTATCCCGAGACGCCCATTCGTGCATGTGAATCCTCCCACACCCAAAGCAGCCCGTTTTTCTACCACATTCTTAAGCCGACTTCTTGTTCTTCTTGGAGACGTCGGTCAGTTGCAGAGCTGCACGGCCACAGGTCAGCATCGTTCTTCGGTGATTCACCCGGTCGGTCGAGGGAGGGGAGAGGATGAGGGGATGGAGCGCATACTGGGGGGAAGGCTCTGCTTCAGCTTCTCGGCCTTGTCGGAGTCCTTGAGCACCAGGGTGTAGAGGTGCTTCTGGCAGCGGACCTTGAACTTGACGTTATTGGTCTTCTTGCTCTTCTTGATCCGCGCGGCTGTTGCTGTGTTAGAATATGTCTTCGTTGCGGCTCCCCTCTATCACCGGGCGTGGTCGTGCGGTGGTCGTGGGCTCGACTGGTCAAACATACAGGAAGCGTCCTTCCGACGGCAGATCTCGATGAACTGGAACAAGAAGAGTCAGCATTTCAACGGCGCGCACCAGACAGCATCCGAGCGATAGACGCACCTTCTTGATATCAGCGACCTCCTTAGGCATTTTGGCGGTAGTTCAATGGGACGTTTGAACAGGGTCTTGACAAGGCTCGGTTTGCGGTTTCAACAGTTTTGGGAGGAATTATTTTTGTGCGCTGCTTTTCGCGGGGCGGCCAAAAGCACGGACCACGTGTGGGTTCGCTCGGGAAACAGATGGCCGGTCCACCGATTGTGGCGTAAGGGCATCACCAAGATTGTGCTCTAGCCCAGGTGTGGCGGGGCAGGTCTAGACGGCAGGGTATGTGGCGTCAAGCGTATCGACTCTAGGCATCATCTGTTCGTTCAACTGGCCACCTTTCATCGCTAACAAGCAAGGTATCTGGCCAGTCTACCGCTGTCAGAGTCATCGTTTTGTTCTTTGTTTCTATTTAACCGCCCATCTGACCAAACTCTCGAGCCTTGTACTTATTCCTCAGCCACATCTGCTAGAGTACGCTCCAACCTACCGAACTACACATCTATCTTTTGTTTACACGTCCACTTTTGCAACCGAAGATGCCGACCGCACTTGACAACATGATGAAATCGAAGGTATGCCCTCAAACTTCAGAAGAAGAAGAAGAAGAGCATCAGGCCCATAATGCCATTGCTTCCTCAAAAACTGGAGCTAACTCAAGGGTGGAGAACATGGTCTGGGGTGAGTAGCCAGAACGTATAGGGTAACCTGATTGACGCAGTAAGCTGACGGAGCAACAGCCTTTGGCCTCGTCGTGGCTGCAGCAACAGCCAAGGTGATTTGGGGAGATGAGATCTTCCCGCCTGAGAAAGATCCCAAGGGCGACCCGAAGACTTGGACCCGGGAGGAGATGCGGAGATGGTTAGCTGCGGTAAGTTTTCACTCGCATTGTTGATAACATGTGGATCGCTGATGGTACCACGAATAGCGAAACCTATTTCCCCAGGACAAGGACACGAAAGAAGAGCTGCTGGAGAGAATTCTCGCAAACATGAGACATCCCAAACCATAAGGCTAATTCGTATACCGGTCATTGGAGCTCTTTTTGCTTGCTTGTTGTCACTAGATACCACCGAATCAATCATGTTTGTTTGACCATTTCGTCCCATGACTTTCCTGCGGTGTGTGTCTCATAAATTGTCTTAAATGCCAATGAGATTGTACCTGAGTGTACGCTGGTGTCACCAATACTCCGAGGCGTCAAGAGCGAGTACAATCTCTATTCCATGTGCCCTATTCTATTTGCTAATGTTAGCGCGGTGTGCGCTTCCAGCGCTTCGAGCCTTCGAGAAGAATGGGTGGGCATATTGGGGTGCTAGTACTCTGTGGAACCACTGCCACACTCGACGTCGGATTGCGAATAATAAGGTTTTGTTGCTTCCAACACTCGCTCTTCTGTCCATTGTTGAACTTCTCGCAGTAAACCTACAAAACGGGTGTGATTCCGCTGGAACAGGAGTCATTCACTTGTTTTATGCTCCGTTTCTGGCGCATTTCCTGTTCCGTCGATCAAAAAACACCCTGCAACCAGGCCTTGACGCCTGTGGATAGCTGCTTGCGGAAGCGGACGGCCCTGCAAGGTACATAGCTCGTAGCCAGCGAATCGCCTAAGCGCTAGGTACCTCGTTGCCCAACCACCCAACGGTTTTAGCCGTCTCACTTGCCGCACGTGCCACCCAGCCCGTTGTCTGCAACATGGGATCCCGTCCCCGTCTCATCTCTCTCCGTCGCCTAGAGCTAACAACCGCGGCATCACTTTCTCCTCATCGCCGGCGACCCGCCTGTCGCGATAATGTCCTTCTTCTAATAGGCATTCCCCGCGGAACCACGCCAGTCCTCTGCCTGCGCCGCCAGCGGTACCGAACCGAAGGACGTCGCACGGCTGCCCTTCATACAGCCCGCGACGTCATACACACGATCCGATCCACACCATGGCCTTCCTCGAGGACCCACGCTTGCGCCAGCGCTGGAACCAGATCACGCACGACGCTGAGGCCGTGACGGAGAATGCTGCCGCGGGCATCTGGTCGTTTCAACATAATTATATCAACCCGTGTTTTTCGTCTTTTGCCGACTCCATCGAGCAGTGCACCACAGTCTGCCTCGGCGACCCAGAAGAGCGCCTGCGCAAGCGCCGAGAGCGCGACCGCACCCAAGTTAGGGCCGAGTATAGCTTTGACTTTTATGACGACTGGTACGAGGAGGAAGAATCTGGTGGCCTCTTCAGTAGTTGGGGAAATGAGGACTGGGACCGCCTGCTGGCTGGCACGGGTAGCCAGAGGAAGCAAACTGGCGGAGAAACAACAGAGCAGCCTAGCAGAAAGCGAGGCATGAGCTATGGCACAAGGGGTGGACGAAGGAAGGCGAGCGAAAACGACCCTACGATCATCCCGAGCACACAACCCATTGGGTTCCTGAGTAAGCTACCCTGGAAGATGGGCGGCACACTACGATACAAGCCGAGCGCGGCAGATCTGCAAGATCATCCGGGGAGGCATGAGGAGGACGAAGGCGAACCTTTATTGGGATCAGACGACGAATCCGATCACGGCGACTTGCTTGTGACTAGAAAGCGAAGCGGAACGACTGGATCGGGCGACACCTCAGACTCATATCGATCGCGCGGAGACCTGTTTCCGAGCGACGGAGAAGGCGAGGAAGATGCAATACCCCTAGACGACGAAGTAACATACGACATGGTGAGGAAGGATGTCCGGAGCAGTGGGAGGACCCGTAGCAAGGGAAAGCGCCCAGCCAGCGGATTTTCTGTCTCCAGAACAGTTTCGAGGACGACGCTGGGATCCGTCCGATCACGAGACTCGCTCCGAGTCCCGTCTCGAGATTCGCTTCACGTTGGTCACAGATCGACATCGACATCTCTCCCCGCAACGCCAGATGTCGAGGATGTGCCATCACTCCATGATCTTGCATTGGAGGAGCATGTCCTGCAACAAGCCGAAGACGAAGCAGTTGCCAGGAAGAAAGCGGCAGCGGCACAGTTGGCGGCAGAGAAGGGCCTCGGCAGCACTAGCCCGGCCCTACGCTCCGTGCCGGAACCAAAACCAATTGTGGCGGAGGATGAGGTTTACGAACCTCCGGCTCACAAAGATATTCCTACCCAGACCGTCAAGGTGGCCGATAAATTGCACGCACCATATGAGTCGGTGGAACGAAACTCACCCTCGGTAAATTTGGAGGTGTCAGAACGTGACGTTAAACAGCGGCCCGAGGAGACGGCGTTCATCCCCGCCCGCCTACCGAACTTTGGATGAAGAAGAGAATGAACAAGGTGCACGAAAACGAATGGGTATGATACATCTGGGTCAAATTACCATTCAAGGGGCGCTATAACCGGTCTAGCGATTGCATTTCTTGCACTGTATGACTACTAGAAATGTGCATGCGGTAGGCGACGGTGATGACATAAACTTGCATGTGTGTATGATACCAACTTGAAGCAAAGGAGGGAGGGGCGCGACTTGCATGGATGGAACGGAGTTCTCAATCATAAGAATAGAAACTTGGCAGCCAAGCTGAGTGAGCTGTGGCTATATCTGCAACAAAGCATTGGCCTGTTTATAATTTCTACATCTCAGTCGTGAAGTATAAGGCCGGCCACTCGACGTGCTCTCCTACACCAAACAGAGTCCAGGACGTTGTTGCATCGGCTATTTACCCAGTAGCAAGTATTGGACAATATTGGAGAGCATTGGATGAATGGGAAGCCGATCGACTAACCACATGGTCTGGCGAGCTGGTTCCCCAAGGTGGAAGTACCTCGGTGCAACTGATTTCCCCCGCAAAGCCGATTTCTTGTTAGATCCGGCCCCATGTTTTCGGCTCGTTAAATACCGGCCACGACCCACCAGGTTGGAGATGAGAATGCATCAGAGACACCCTCGACCCTGGACATTGGATAAGTTGAGTGCAAGCTAATTTACTAGTGATTATCTCGACGATATACATCTTGAAGGATTATAATCTCGACGGGTTACCCGGGGATAGCGCTGGCCAAACCTCCTTCACTCGCACTTACACCATCGCCAACGGCAATTGTTCACTACTATAACCTCACCATGGCGCCCACCGGCCCCATCACGACGCCCCTTACAACCCTTCTGGGTATCCAGCACCCGATCCTCCTCGCTGGCATGGCCCGTACCTCAGGTGGACGCCTCGCCGCGGCCGTCTCCAACGCCGGCGGCCTCGGCGTTATTGGCGGCTTCCAGTACACGCCCGACCAGCTGCGTGAGATCATCGCCGAGATGAAGGCCAACTTCTCACGGCCAGACCTTCCATTTGGAGTTGACCTTGCGCTGCCCCAGCTTGGCGGCAACGCGCGCAAGACGAACCATGATTACACGGGCGGCAAGCTTGACGAGCTGGTTGACATCATTATCGAGAGTGGGGCGAAGCTCTTTGTTTCTGCTGTTGGCGTGCCACCGAAGAGTGTCATTGAGAGGTTCCATGAGAACGGTATCTTGGTCATGAACATGGTCGGGCACCCGAAGCATGCGGTAAGTTGAAGATTACCCGATTGATCCTCTTGCGAACTCGTTACTGAACACCTCCCCTCATCTAGGCCAAGGCACTCGATCTCGGCATCGACATGGTCTGCGCACAGGGTGGCGAAGGGGGAGGCCATACTGGCAACATCGCCAACTCAGTCCTTATTCCAGCTGTGGTGGATGTAGCCAGCAAGTACTATCCTCCGATGCTTGGCGGCCAACCGGCCCTTGTAGTCGCGGCGGGCGGCATCTCGTCAGGCCGCACGCTGGCGAGCTCGCTGATGCAGGGTGCGATGGGTGTCTGGGTTGGCACGCGATTCGTTGCGTGTGTTGAGGCCGGGTGCAGCGAGGAGCATAAGCGCGAGGTTGTGTCTTGCGGCTTCGACGATACCGACCGCACTCTGGTCCTGTCCGGACGGCCACTTCGCATGAAGGTAAATGACTACATCCGGGAATGGCATGCTCAACCCGAAAAGATCAAGGAATTGTGCGACAAGGGCACTGTCCCTATCGAGTATGACTTTGATGAGGGCAAGGACGTTGACCCACCGTATCTGATGGGCCAGGTTGCGGGAGCAATTACGAGTGTGTTGCCGGCGAAGGACATTGTGGATGAAATGGTCAAAGAGGCAGCTGACATGCTGAAGCTGGGAGGGGCATACCTGGCCGGGAAGAGCCGGCTGTGATGCACGGTGAAGGGTTGTGATTCCCTGATGTCGTGCGTTTCGACACCGAGCTTCAGCGAACCCAGAGATGTAACAGTACCACTAATTTTCTTCGAGTGTCAATAGAGCTAGCCAACATAAGTGACTGATACAGAGAGTCAGTAAGGTCATGCAATGGTCTAGACGATGACGGCGACGTTGAGTAGAATTGACACACAATCTGATGGATGAAGCTGTCCGTACCCTAGGAATGCCTGGCAAGCTAGGAATACTTTGGGCAATTACTCGCCATAGAAGACAACACCTCAGAGCATTCATAGTAAAGAGACATTTTACTTTCTACATCTTATCGGACCCCAAGTCTACTTGACCATCGCCTTACAATCATGGTTCTTTCACTCCTCCTCGTTGAAAAGGCCTCTAACTTAATCACACTGGTCATTGCTGTGAGTGAATAAATGCTGTAGATGAGTGTTTTGAACCCTTTGTCAATGTACAAGATCAGAAATTTCGGGTGACGAGCGAACAAGTTTGATCAGCCTCTATAAAAGCATCATCGTTCTAGATCTTCTCTTGGCTGGGTTTACTCTTCGGACTGTTCCATAGTGTATTTAAGGAACGTATCGTATTCCGAATTTATGACACTTGCTGTTCTTCAGTACACGAGTCGTGTTCAGGGTCGATCTGATACCGCTTGCTGTATTTTGCCGTCATAGCCAGTATGTCCTCGTTTTTGTGAGCAAAATAACCCCTTCAGGTTCGGGTTTGGGATATAGCTGACTCCTTGTTCGCAGATTCTGACATACATGCATATGCATCATCGGCCGTTACTAAGATCCTCACATCACCCAGAGGATTTCTTCCAACATCTTTCTGGCTATCGAGTTCGACCTGGGCATCATGAATAGGGCCTCTACCACAGGGATCGCTTGGTACGACCAAGTTGGACTAAGCTCAGACGACCTTGTGGAGAATATACCTCCGTATGAGGGTAGCCAACTGCGCGCAGAACCACCCGAGGCGGTCGATGATGTCTTCCCCAGAACCTCATTGCGAGAGGACATTCTCTTCTCAAAACTTCCACAGACGGAATATATACTACTCGCGTTGGACTTCAAGGAGCTTTGCATGAGCAGAGTAGGGAAGCACTCCGACGGTAAAGAATATCGGTATAAGCCCCTCACTGAGATTGGGTTCACGTCTCTGGACATGAGGAATGTTATCTATAAAGCTGGCCAGAATGTTCGCCCGGGAGACCGTGGATCATATTGGTTCAAACTTATGGCCCCGATCCACTTTAGGGTCGAAGAGTACCAAGATCATAGGGGGCATCTATGCCAGTCTGATGCCCTCCACGCCCAGTCCTACTCTTTCGCCTTTGGGAAGTCTAAGGCTCTAAGAGAAGCCGATATCGCTCTCCGGCTACGGGATATATTCACCGCGCTTCAAAAATCCAATCGTACCGACAAAGAGAAATCCAACAGAAGCAACCGGCAATTGATCCTCCTAACGTTCGGTTCGGAGATGGTGGAAACGACCTTGAGCCGTCTTGGATTGTCGTGGCTCACCCAGAACAATGTTAAGATTTGGGACGTCCAGCGAGACTGGGAACTTGAATTGCGCTTCGACTGGCCTAAAATGAAGTTCGAGCACGTCATGGAGATTCTGGGGGTGCGGTTCGAGGACACTCGGTTTGGAAGCATCACCAACTGCGCCGGAAACGCGTCCGTGTTTCTTATACAGGTATTCTTGGCGTTGTTCTACAAGAATGAAGCACAGTGTGTGGCATTTGCGGCTTGCGAGCCAGTGCCATGGCTCCCATTCACGTGGGTTGGGCACACTCTGGACCAGGCCAATATCGCGCCTGGAGAGACACCGCAACGCCGAACTGATGACCAGCTGAATGACTCTAATGTACCACAGCGGGTGAATCGAGAGGTATTTCGGAGCCTCTAGGTCCGCATCAAACGCATGGTTTGGAGGGCTCGTTTGATCAAACCCTTCCCTTTTGACAGTTTTACCTATCAATGGGAGCTGGAACGGCGAGCAGATAGTAATCACTGGGGCAAATATTTGCCAACTTGATGTCGTCATCGGCATAATGCATGAATCGGCCGTGTAGTCATCGCACACACCACGCAAGGATACGTGTCATCCACCAGGAACGTCCTATCACAGCTTGAAGCGTGACAATGAGGGGACAAAGGGGCACTGGGGCGTGTATTCCCGCACATTGTGCCATAGACCAGGGGTGTCTTATCCATTAGTCTTTGTGGCATCGTCGAGTTACTGGACATTCTGCAGTTATGTTTGCTCCTCTGCATTCGACATGACACTGCCGGAGCCGAACCTGTACCCAGACTGCTGTGGCACAATCACAGAAGCCCAGAGCCTGTCGCTTGTGGAAACGAAAACAAGATTACGGCCCACCGCCTTCAGTCAATGTTTGACGTTTGGTCACATTACCACAGTCATAAGACAAGTCATAGGCGAACCTGGCCCGCCCCGACAAACAGTGCGATACTGAAACACCGGGAGGCAGCACTTCGTCGTTTCTTTCTGATTCGTGTGATAAATATATCGGAGACCCATTTTTGGATTTCCTTTAATTATCGTGAGATCTTTCGCCAACTGAGCAGTGCGGAGTACTCGGTTGTGTTTGACGGCTCAGTCGCTCTTGGCGGGATGCGTCTTTCCTTCGGCGGCCCTCTTGTCATTCAATCTGTGCGGAGGCAACAATGATGTGTGCCTTTGCTCTGGACAACTCAGGCAAGTCATGACATGTTTCTAATTGCCAACTACACCAAACAGCGCACAAGGTAGCATCAACATCAGTATCGCCGCCCCAGGCACACAGTGATGCGACTATAAGACACCCCAAGATCTCGCCGACTTCGACCATCCACTCAGCTCTTTAGCGACCAGCATCTTCAAGAGTCATCGTCAATCCACGGCTTGTTTTGCAAGCTTCCGACCCGAACTTAGTCTGTCTTCGCTACCGAGGCGTCGAAAAGAAGTCATGGAGAGCTCCGAAAGCCCCGAAGAACTGTCTGGAGACCTCTACCCCTGGCTCAATGACGAAGACCTCCAGCTGATCGGCGACCTTGGTCTCCCAGACCCTTACCATTGGGGAAACCTGCAAGTCTGGACGGAGAGGTTCCTCCAAAAGTACCACGCCCGGATTTCGGATTCTAGAACTGTCCGCCACAGGTTCATTCGGACTCGATGCATTTCTTGCAGACGTCTCTGCGAGGGCGCGGATCTCGGAACCATCATCGACCCTGCCGTGGCGCTTCCTTGTGGCCACATCATGGGCTGGTCTTGCTACGCAGACTTCTGTGACAACTACAGCATGGGTGTAGGGCATCTGGTATGCCCATGGAACGGGCCTGGGCCGGACGATCCTGCGAACTGGTCTCCAGCATGCGACGAGCGCATCGTCTACGACTGCGAACACTCGTCCATCTTCGCACGTATTCCACCTCCGACCGAAGAGTTTTACATCCCCCAGGGGTTCTTCACGCCTGCCGGTGGCTTCGTGACGACCAACTGCCGCCGCTGTACCATCAAAGAACTCCTAGTTCAGTGGACTCGCGAAGTTCGACAGGATGAGGCATTTCCTGACGCATTTGCTGCTAGCTGCGGGATGCATGGACTTCTAGAGGAAGAACAGCCAGGAGTCTTGCCGGTCATTCAGCTGGGGCTTGAAGAAGATGCGGCGGTGCGGTCGAAGTTGCTGGAGGGTCTGTTTGGTTCAACGCCAACACCACTTGATGGGGATGAGCTGGAAGAGACAAGCACGGAGGTGCGTTTCTTCAGGACGGAGATGGATCCGGAAAATACTGGATAAAATGGAACGAGGTAGATGGATTTGAAAGATTCCTTGGAGGGTGAACGGTTGTGCTGTTGGAATAGCATCGGTTCGGTGGAGTGGTTGGCGATTGACACACCCACACACGCAAGCATCTTCACAAGCATAGCTTGCTTCATGCGACGAAATGAAATAAAAAACACTTCACAAGTCTTGCAAAAATAAACACTTCCACGGTCTATTGTGAGGTAAACTAGTGTAGGGTAGGAAACTTGGCGAACGGGTCAGATTACGTGTTCAACGAGGCGCACGATCTCGACTTGGTCCTTTCATCTCCAACAAAATCCGACCGCGACGACAATGGACGCCCATAGCAATATCGCTACCAGCGCCCCGGAGGACCAAAACATTCCAGCTAATGCGGCAGAGGACTATCTTTACAAATGGAGGGCCGAATCCAATGCTCATAATACGGCTGTAGCTACCATCTGTGGCAGAGTCAAGCAGTTTCACGCCCGCCAGCAGCCTTTCCGGATCTACCATGGATCGACTAACAGCACGCGACCATCCGACCGGCGCGTTGACAACACCGTCGATACGAGTAACCTTAACCATGTTATCGAGGTCAATACGACCAAAAAATCCGCCCTTGTCGAGCCAAATGTTCCCATGGATGCCCTCGTCGAAGCCACTTTGAAGCACGGGCTGATCCCGCTTGTGGTAATGGAGTTCCCTGGAATCACCGTTGGAGGAGGCTTTTCCGGAACCTCCGGAGAGAGCAGCTCGTTTCGCTACGGCGCCTTTGATACGACAATTAGCTACATTGAGATTGTGCTTCCCGATGGGACCAGTGCGATTGCTTCAAAGACCGACAAGCCCGATTTATTCTGGGGTGCTGCATCTGCCTTCGGGACCCTCGGTGTCGTGACGGCATTGGAGGTCCAATTGAAGGACGCAAAGAAATACGTTGAACTGACGTACCGACTATCAACCAATCCATCTGAAGCCGCAAACGACATTCAAGAGCAGTGCGGGAAGGCGGACAATGATTTTGTCGATGGAATTGTCTATTCAATGGACTCGACTGTGATATGTGTCGGGCGGCTTGTTGACGAGCTTCCAACCGGATCCACACCACGTCATTTTACACGCCGCCAGGACAGGTGGTTTTACCAACACGTGGAAAAGGTTCAAAAAGATTTGAAGAAGAAACCGTCGGTAACAGTGACCGACTATATCCCCATCGTGGATTATCTCTTCCGATATGACCGAGCTGGATTCTGGGTAGCGAAGTATGCTTTCAAGTACTTCCTGACGCCCCTCAACCGAGTGACACGGTACATTCTGGACCCTCTACTTCGAACTCGCGTTATGTATGCTGCTGGCCAAAAGAGCGGCCTCTTGGATTACTACATGGTACAAGACGTGGGAGTCCCCTACGAAAGCGTCGGCGAGTTCCAGACCTGGCTCCACGAACAACACAACATCTATCCTTTGTGGCTCTGCCCTTTGCGCCTCCAGCGCGACACTCCAGACTCTGGCTACGGCCTCCACTCGGAGTTTTCCAAGCCCGGAACGCCGGACCTCTTGAACTTTGGCATCTGGGGCCCAATCGCTGGGAATCGCCGCGATGCCATCCACTCTAACCGCGCACTCGAGCAGAAGGTCGAGGTGTGTGGCGGCAAGAAATGGCTCTACGCCCAAGCGTACTATACTGAGGATGAGTTCTGGAGGCATTATGACCGGGAGTCTTACGATGCATTAAGATCAAAGTATTCAGCAGAGTATTTGCTGAGCGTCTATGACAAAGTGAAGATGGACGTTGATGCGGTTGGTGAGGCGGCTATGTCGTCAACCGTCCGAACGCATTGGCCGACCCAGGGCTTGAAAGGAGTATACAAGGCTCTTACTGGGGGCGATTATCTCTTGCAAAAGAAGAACGGCAACTCAGCGACGAAGGAATCTGGAGGAACGCACTGAGAGAAGCCAGTAGTGGCTCGATTGATCAACCGTCTTTCCTGGGTTTACGTGGGGATGGAATGATGTCGCAATTTCGAGTATTTTACTGTAAAATAATGCTGATAATATTGAGACAGCCAGGTATCTTAGCTGATAGTAGCTGATACAGCCCTGAGAGAGTTCTCCGCCGGGTCTTGTATATAGTTAGTTAGAGACACGAAAGGCTCAAGTAGTGTGTAGGGCAGGACAAAGATTGACATCCTATGTAACATTAGCCTAACTCACTACGTTCCGGAAAGCCGAATTTGGCTACGAATTGAGCTGAAACCTTTCGAGGCTGCCAGGATTGGCTCGGCTGCGGAGATCTCCTTTTGTGTTGGCTGTTGGTTCGGTCGTGCTTGACTGTGACTGGGGTCTGTTGGATCCTACGCAAGCTGATATGTTCAGGGTCCATAAAGGGCGCCCAGCCTCCCCAGAAGCCCTGATAATTGACTCTCCTAACTTCCTCCTTCCAAGAAGCCCTCTTATTGGCTTCTCTCCCCATTTTCGACCACGCTATGGCTCAAGCGAATTGGGACCCGAGAAATTTATTGCAAATTACCTCCAATGGTGATTTGCAGTGTATCGGCCGAACTCAGAAGGGCCACAGGTGTTCTTTCCGGTCCTCAGATCGCTATGCCGTGCGCATCCAACCGTTACTCGAATTAATGTCCTCTATACACCCAAGAAATACTTGGCAGATGCCCCTAGATCGACTTGCCAGTCTCTGTCTTTGTTGGACTCACAGAGACGAAGCCACACGCATTGCCGATGGTTGGAAAATGGCAATTGAAGCCGCGAACTGGCATCATCAGCTTCAATCCGGGCCGGCCAGGTTACAGGCAGCTTACTTGGGAAACGAAGTAGAGGAATTACGCGCTGCTACGACTTACTGGAAAGAACAATTCGAAATGAACCAAGCCACCAATAGGACACAGGTATTAAAGCTCAAAGAATCTAATAAAAGCCTAGAGGACGGAATCAAGAAGTCATCAACGGCCCTGGATGTCGCCAGGAGAGAAACCCTTGGTTTACAGTTCGATTTGAATGAGGCAAATGATGGATTGCGGGCTGTCTCCGCAGAGGTGGACCACGCACGGAACGACAACGAAATGCTCCGCCAAACGATTAACAAACTTCAAGAAGACAAAGCTTCCCTTTTGGAAAGCGCCAAGAAGCGATGTATTGAAGCCGATGCAGCTAAGGAGAGGGAACGCCAACTGGTAGCAGAGCTTGAAGCCAACGAATCCTACTTGCACCAGTGTCGCGTAGAAATCGGAGATGAGCGATCACACAACGCCGCCCTCGAATCACTTGTTGGAAATTTGCAGAATATGGAAATCAAGATGACGAAGAGTATATCGGAGTGCTGGCTACATCGGTTTTGGGGATGGATCGCACGTGTGCGGGTATTTTTACAATGGCAGTCCTCATCACTTGCGACAAACGTTTGGCAGAGAACGGCAGAAATCCAAGTCACGTCACAGTTTGGAGTTGGACTTGGGAGCTTCTTGTGGAAGAAACCCATGTTTTGGTATCCGATCCAGCAAAGTATGCTGTATTATTAATGTACTTTTACGATATGTAGATATTGCTTTCGTTATTCTCCCCCAAAGCTTCATGGTCCCTCCTCCTTTCAGGCCACTCACCTCAGTGAGTGCCCGGATTTCCTTGTCCTCGAGCCGTCCTGTAGTAGATGGCAGCGTCAGAGAACTAATCTCTACGGATATTTGCCGTCGTGAGATCTGCCTCCCTCGGCCTTACTGGCTTATCGGCTGATGTGATGTATGAGACGCCCGCTAAGAGGAGTAGAGCACCGCCAATGGGAACCCTATGCAACGTTAGTCGGGCACTTTGTAAAGGTTTTCTGATTAATATCGTACCAATTGCGTTTCAGTGCCTCGGGACCGCCAGGTTTAGGTGGTGGCGGCTTCTGGCCTCCCGGGCCTCCAAGACCCTCGCCCCCCAGGAAGCGGATCTGAGTACGCCGGAGATGTGGGGCCGTAACTCCAGCGATGGGCCGGAGTTGGCTCCGGAAGAGGGTTCTTGAGGTTCTCAAAGCTGACATCGTGGATAGTAGACTGACTCAATTGAAGGTATGTGAGTCATGCGTGAGGAAAGACCATGCTAGCCATTTTTATGTGAATGGTGATCTTAGTTATGATGAAGTAGAAGATCTTAGGGTTATGGCAATGATGTGGGGATGACGTTGGGCTGTCACCAGTGGTTCCCCGTAACTTTCTTGCCAGACTGACGTAATGGATTGTCTTGAGATATGTTGAAACTATATTTATGATTGGCTCACTAATACATGTGCATGATATCGCTATTGGGGTCCTCCTACTGGCGATGACTAGTAGCAACCCACAGAGGTCGCGATGTAAAAGTCAACGACTCCACCAAGAAAAAAAAAAGGCTAAAACATACAACACTCGGAATTCGCTGGTCGTCACCGACCCAACTACTACTCAAGCGCTCCTCAGTTTGACTCTGGGAGAGCGGACGGGATCCCGTATTTTCTGGGGGCTGTGGTCGTATGTGGTAGGCGACCATCCAAGGAAGGGTTAAGATCACGGCTGTGTTGTGAGGATCTCGACACAAGCTGACGCACCTTAGGAGAATATTAGGCGACTAGCAAGATATAGTATAGGACTTTCCATAAATTGGCTTCATTCACGTGCTGTAGTGCCCTGACTTTATAACCTTCTGTTGCGGACTATTCCATGAGCAAAACACAGACTGTAGGAAAGAAACCTCACGCTAGCTAATGAGGGATCTGAATCCCGAAGGACAACTGCAACCTGGCCAGTAATGATCTACTCTCCCTCAGTCTCTCCTACACGCTATCAGTTCATCTGATCTACTCAATATGACTTCTTCTAGTACCTTTAAGGTCTTGGCATTCTATGCCTAAAGAAATTCGTCACAACCAAACCACATAACGGGCACGTTATCTCCCATCAATACCATATTTGAGATTCTTCATCCCGTGTGTGGTATCTTGATTCGAACAAAATGGGATACGGAGCAACGACGGCAACGACCGCTAAGACAAACGCCATCGCTGCCTGTATGGCTAACACGATGTGCTTGAGCAGCACCTTCGACGCTAAGAAATATTTAACTCCTTTTAGATTGATTATCTTAACTCCTCTGGTTCAGTAACATGCCAATCTGATATATATAAATGGAAAATCAGCTGGTTACAAGGACTATCTCTTTCTACATTTACTCCATGCGCCTTGCCACCTCGTAAACCAAGGCCGTGGTAAAAAGAACCCGCATTCTAGTACTAATATAAAGGTATCTTGAGCTTCTCTATCCAAGTTGTGTGCAAATAACGCCAGACATCCCCCAGAGTATGTAAGTCACCGCTGTTTAACAATTTCGAATCAGAGGTGCCGCCCCAGTAGAAACCAACACCTCTTTCTCCAAATATATCCATGGAATAGTATCGTCCAAAGAGTTTGAAAACAGGCTATCGTACCAACAAGCAGAGGTAGGAATTGACCCACAGAGTTGATATCCGACAGCCCCGAGATGTCGTTGACGTCGATGAGATATTCAACCCCCCCTACAGAAAAGGCGATCAACCCAATAGAGAGCATAAGAAGCCCTATTTCGACCTGTGGCCTCTTCCCAGCTCGACTGGCACGGTCATGCTTGAAATTGCCGTTTAACCGAAGGACCACGGCGAAGATGTTCCAACCAAGGAGAGCGACTGAGGAGACGAGACCGATGACTGCAGCCGCTTTGCCGAAGACGCGAAACCGGCCGTTGATCGAAGTGCGACCGAAGAAAGCAATCTGTTCGGGACAGTTCGGTATCGTCATCTCGTCAATGCCAGTGTACCAAAACCAACAACCGTAGGAGGAGAGAGCAATGTAGAACAACACGCGGCAGATGCCCGAAAACGAGCCGGAGTGGCTTATCCCATTACCAGTCAGGCTGGACAGGGATCCGCATAGAAGTAGTTGTGTGACGATACTACCGACAGCGCTCCCGCCTTGGGATGAATCGGTGCAGAGGCCGAGGAATATGGCGCACTGCATGATGAGGTTTACAACCCGATAAGCTCCTTCGTTGCGAGAGTCAAAAAGGGTGACAAGGAGAGTGGCTATCCATTGGGAATAGAGACCGATCCTCACTCCAATGCCGTAGAGGTCAGGGTTCCCTGTCAGATCGCATTGCGACCCTGACTGCGACATGCTGGATCGCTGGAAAGATGATGCGCAGTATGGTGGTGAGGATTGGGTCCGCCAGAGGCATTAATTCGTTTGTACAAGGTGTGAGAGCATCACAAGATGGAAGAGGCTCTGGAGGTCAACGGAAAGTAAAGCCGTGTGTGGTGTTGAATCTAGGCAGACTTGGCTCTCGAGAGTGATGTCGAGGACGAGTGGCGCAGGCTGTGCGCCCAGGACGAGTCAGCCTCACCCGCAGCAGCTGAAATACAGGGAACCAGAGCGAGCTGCAAGTGGCTAGGACGGGCCTACAGTATTGTAACAAATGCCTCGTTTCAGGCATATGTTGGGCATCGCCACCAAGGCGACCACCAAGGCGACCACCAAGGCGACCGCCCGCCACACTGCATTCAGTGCATAGCCATGCTTGGCGCTCGAGGGAAGAGAAAACGAGGCCTCCACCGCGGGCCGTACCCTTTCTCGCTCAGTAGAGGTGGCCACCCTGACTCTTGCAACGAACGACGTTCCACTGTTCAATTATCGCGATCGGGACGTCGGACTCGGTGATCCGGCGACAGCATGTATCTGCGTGCCATTTTTCATCTCAAAATCCCCCTCGTGAACCATGGCTTTGAACGCAACATTGACCGAGATCGCAACATGTCCCGTCACGGGCAACCCTGACCTTTACGGCTTGGGAAATCGCTTGGGCATTTATTTCCAAATGATGACGGTTCAAATATCATCGCTGATCAGCGCCATTACCCCCGTTGAAGACCGTGTCGGCCAATCCACAGTCATTTTTATCCTCGCCACCACCACAGTCCTTTTGCGACTCCTTTCAAGTCACGAAATCCAGCCCGTCGAGGTCGTGCCAATCCTCGGTCTGATATATGCGCAAATCGGCGTGTGCAGGGTCCCCTTCTCCGGATCCAAGATAACCCTCCTCATCTACGCCGGCGAGCTAGTTGGTATTCTTGCTCTATTCACGTGGTTTTGGTGGAAGGGGATGGATCTACTACCGAGGTCCTGCAAAAATGATTATGCCTTTTTCTTTGCAAAAGTCAGCATCTGGGGTTGGTTCCGTCGAATGAACAAAGCCCTTTCCATCATTTCCGTTGTTGGGGCCAGTTTGTCCTATCTCATGAGTAAGTGAGCGAGTCAGCGAGAATGATTTAATACGATCACGGGACAAGCAATGCTAATATTTACAGATTTAATCAGTTTCTTGTACATCGTGGTCAGGAATGCAGTGGATGACGAAGTGATGGAGCGATTCCAAAGTTCCACCGGTCCAATTGAGATAACAGTCAACATTGGTATAATAGTCTTCGTGGAGGTGTCATTGAAGTGGAACAACATCACCGGTGTTCATTCTTTAAGAGACCCAGGCCAATTTATGCCTTTCTTCATCTCCCTAGCTCAGCTTATCAGCACAATCTACCAGCTCCTGCTTTCCGGCAAAGCAATTGATGACGATTCCGACATTTGGGAGGAGGACGATGGCAAGTACTATTCATTTAGCTGCGGCGGCTCCAATGCTAACATTTGTTGAATGCTCAGATTCCGAACTAGAATGCGCTCATACGAAAAGCGGTTCAGGAGGGGATGTCGAGAACATAGCTCTGGACGAGGGCCAGGACGCAAAGACTTGAACTAATGACTCTCTTATGGGTATTTCGGCGGGTATTCGGGCGTTTCGGAAGGATGAGAACGAGCGGTGGATCTTGATTTTGTATTCGCTATTGAGGTAAACTCTGAGGCATTAGTAGATTCTAGTCTTCGTTAGGTCAGTCCCCACGTGGGTTAGAAATGAAATCTTTATTTGCCTTGCGTCCATGTCCTCGGTATGATCCACGGACACAGGCGAAAATAAATTCAAGTACGATTGCGATTTTCCACAGTCACCGAAATATTAACATTATCGGAATGCGGTCGATTGGGTTCGAGATGACGAAGGTCGGCAACAAGGGAGCTGTGTTGGTCATGGGCGGGTTACCGACAGCGTTTCGGCCTTTGGTGCAGGGGGGACCTCGACTTGGTTAATAACTGCAATTGAAATGAGCCAGCTTTAGAGGAGGAAAAATTGGATAGATAGAGAGCTTCGGTGCTGTGGCCTGAAGTAGAGAAGTTGGTAGTTTGGTCCGGAGCTTCGTGACGGTCGAAGTGTGCGAGGTCGAGTATCATTTCTGGACCAGCTGTCAAGGAGAGATGCAAAATCCGGGGAATACCGGGACTTTCAAGGGAGGGCTGAGACAATTGAAAAGAGCGGTGCACATGCTAGAACAGGCACCGGCCGTCGTGTTCGGAGTAGTGCGCACCGAACCAAGAGGCGAGGGCATGATCAGGGCATGATGGAAGGTATACGGAGTAATCCAGGGCATGATCCAGGGGGTCGGAGGCACTGAGCAGAGCGCCATGCCACTTGCTGCGCCGCTTGAGACCCGAAGTCACCCAGCAAGAACCAATAAGAAGAGAACCCCTCGGAATGGATCTGGACGTGCCAAGAGGTCACACGCCTGATGATCTGCCGTGGCCACTGCCAGGAATGGCGGGTGTGACTATTTCGTCGGGAGGCCCCGCCCAGATCATCAGATGGTCAGCACCCGAAAGGAGCGATGAGGATTGCACGATTGCCAGTGCACCACATCGACAGTTGGCAGAGCGAGCCCGACCCGGATGGAGCCGAAGGGACGAACGGAAAGAGAATCGGAATGCGCAATAACTTAAGTTAACTATCTAACTTACTTACTGAATGGAGGTCGCCGTTGCAGATGACGCAGAAGGTCACAGTGATTCCGAGCCCTGGCCAGTCATCTCGGTCGGATTACACTGGCCACATCCCTGTAGCGACTCGTTCGCAACCAGGGGCACGGACCAGGGCAACCAAGTTCGCGGGTGCACGTGCAGTTCACCACGACGACCATAGCAATAACACTCCGGAATATTACTGAGGCGTCAAACAAAAAGAATAAAAGAAATGCATCCATAACGATAACTCATTGGCCAACTGACGCTGTGCATCTCATCCCTCGATCTGGCCAGGCCCCCCCCCCCCCCCCCCCCCCCCCCCCCCCCCGAGCGGCGACGAAGGATCCCCGGAATCGCCCGAACGGGCTTACGACCAGGGCACCAGCGCTGCAATCATGCCACTGTCGAACTATCAACACGCAACCGTCGAGCAATACCGCACCACATGCGCCAGAGCCCAGCGAGCCGGTATACCATCCTCGAATGCTTTTAAGGCACACCGTCGTCAGTCTCGAGTCACTTTCATCCCATCTACACACGACAATCCAACTCTCGCGCTTGACTCTTACATTACCGCAGCCGCTCCTCGCTTGCGTTTCACGTCTCTGTTACACAAAGTCTCACTTACACGACACCCGCTCTACCATCACCACCACTTACACAATGGCCGCCTTTACTCAGCCCATGCCCAGGGGATCCGTGCCCAAGTATGTTCAAACCCCCCTGAAAGCAATCATTCAAGCATGCCTGAGGACTAACAAAATGCTAGGGTCGTCCCCGTCATGATGGTCGTCGGAAGTGGTAAGTCATTGACAATTATCCAAACCAACTTCGCGCAGCAACACGACTAACACCAATTCACAGCCGCCGCCCTCTTCACCTTCATCAACAGCCAGCTCAACCGCCAGTCCAACAAGTTTGACCGATTCTTCGACCAGTACAACAGCGCCCAGAGCGAGGCCAGCCGCAAAGCCGCATTCGAAGGCGCCGTCGAGGACCCCCGAAAGAGCTTCTACAACGTCCTCGGCTGGAAGCCCAGCAACTGAAATGATTGGCTATTTTTAGAGAGATGCATGTCGCAGAGTTATTCATTGGTTGTTGTGACCATCAGGGCAATGCCCTGTATGGCTTGGGTAGACGGAACAATGTACATAAGGGAGCAAGGAGCATCGATACCAGCCATATACTATGAGCATTGATTTAATTAACCCATAAATTCGCACATTTCATGAATCCCGTTAACTTGGTATATCAAATTTCTATGCTTACTCTTCCATCTAATACCGAAGGAAGAGTAGTGGGTAGATGAATCAGTTAGATTTTGTTGATCTCGGAGGGTAACCAGCAACTTGTGGATCCATTCTTTCGGGTTGCAGTGGAATAGAGAGCGAGTTAGGGCCAAGTGTTTGACCACTTACTCCACATCTTACCAAGTATGGTAGGACTGAGGGTGTCAAAGGACTACTTAGCTATAAGGGTTACTCTGTTTTATAACCTCCGACTAGCTTCGTACAGAAACCAAACGTGAAAGAGTGACCTAATTCAAGAAATAATGGGTCTTGGCCCCCTGAATCCTCCCTCCTGACCTTAATATGGTGCACCAAGGGTCAAGAAGAATGGTTGACAGCCAGCACTCAAGAGCTGGTACTGGTCCCTCTATTCATTCATGCTCTGTTGCTACTTTGCTGTATAATCTGGCCTCACGATTTCCGTCACTCGTTTTCAGCCCGGATGATTTTGGCACAGCTCCCCCTTTCATAAACATACCAATCAGGAATGACACAGCCATTAAAAGTGGTACACCGATCCCAACCCCGATACCGACTCCCAGTTTCCACCGGCGAGTGACCTCTCCCTTGGCCGCTGATTCCTGCGCGTCGAGGTACAGCGTGATAATATCGTCAAAGACGGAAAACTGGTCTGACGTGTCCACCCATGGGTTGGAAGTGTATTCCTCTCCGTATGGCTTTTCGGGTTGAGAGACAGTAAAGGAATTTAGTACGCTGCCAATAATGCTCTTCACTTCGTCAGAATTTATGTCGTATTTCTTAGTCGGGAAATCGGCAGCTAGCTCTTTGAAGGTGAATGAAAAGGAATTATCTCCTTTGGTGAGATCTGGGGTAATTGTTATCATAAAGTTGCCCTGGGGCAAATGCAAATATGCTCACTCTTAGACCACGAGTAGGACTCGCTAGTGGTGGCGTTTATGTATCTCCCAAATCTCCAATTCACAAGAACGGGGTAGTCAGGGTCGGCGGATGCCCAGGATAGATTGTACTTCTCGTCCCAGAGAACCAGAGCAGGGTTCATGCCTTCCTCGCGGTTGTAATATGGATACGTATTTTCTGGGAACGAGCAGCCCTTCGAGGTGTCCTGGTCATTGCTAGAGCACCACCGAAAGGAGGTGACGCAAATGGCATCGCCCTGTTTACATTGCCATCGATCCTTCGCAGGGTTAAATGCGTTGGCAGGGTGGAGGAGGGTGGCTGTAAGGAGGCCGACAAAGAGCCAGGTGAAGTCGTTTGCCATACTCGCGGCACAGTAGCTCAAATACAAGACGGTGGTTTGTTTGCAGGGTCAAGTCGGTCGAGTGACGGGAGTTTTCCATCAAGTTGGGAGTTGGGCTACAAATAGGTCCCAAATTTTGCCCTACGACCAGGGTTGTTATTATTAGCGAAGGGACAGTGCTGTCTTGTGTTGGTCCTTTGGGTCGCATGCCATCCATCTCAGGCTTGGCACTACGTTGGCGAGGGTTCCCTTCTGTTTTGGGGACGGTCCATTCCTTCATGACCTGATACGCAGCGGCTAACTACCTAGGCGATTGGTCGGTCTAAAGAGGCTGTGGCGTGGCGGCCCATCTGCACAGGATTTACTCCGTACTGCGCCTTAATTTATGGAAGCCAGTCAGAGGCAACCTTGAAAGTGGGCTGCTACCTGGTTTTACACACAAATTTGTATGGAGCCAGGAGTACATATTCTAGCCGCTGAAGGATGAACTAACAGCTGCATCACCGCAATAAAGGGATCTTCCAATGCTTAAAAATATACTTACTCTCTTGCAGCCTTATGTCAGTAATCTATTTGGATAATCTCATTGGGTGCTGCCGCATCCATGTTCACTTCAGCTAACCAATATTCGGTTAACACATGTCAACGTTATCGACTTAGCCTTGTGGCTGACAATTAATCAGCAGGAACTTCAATAGTAACAACTACACATCACTTTTTACAACACACACAATTTGAGAGACCCTTCGCTGATCCCGCACGGGGCAGTGCTGCATCTCCCCGCAGGGCCTAATGCAGTCAAAAGCTCCTACTCGCAAAGCGGCCTTTGCAGGCCAAGGACTGAAACGATGTTGGAATTGTCGCTGTGAGATCTTCTCGCTGATGGCGTGGTGGCCGACCGACTAACCTGCTGACTCAAATATTGTAGCGCAGAAGATTGCGTGCGATAAAGCCTTGCCGTCCTGTCGCAACTGTACAGAGAAAGGCCGGACGTGTTTGGGGTACGGATTAAAGCTATCATGGCCGCGAGATGACGACAGACGCCGATTTGTTCGTAAAAAGGAGCACTATTTGATGGCCGTACAGTCCAAGGGCCTGGAATTCATAAATGTTTCCCCCGAAGATATCGAGGCATCGGAGAAACAAGGTGAGAAATACCTAAATATTGGCTCTTTTGATGAAGATTACCGACCTGAGGAGCCAAATTACTACCAAAATACGAATCTAATATATAATTCCATTCTAGTGTTAGCCCCTTACAGTCAGGCAGTCTGCGATATGCTCTGGTTCTCTTACCAACCACGAAAAAGCATACCTAGACTGGATCCACTCCTCGCTATAACCCGTATGCTATACTACCATCTCCGTGATAATATGATGGTGGCTGACTCGAAGTACAGCCCACAGTCCCGTTGCTCGGCTGATCTCATCGAGCCACAGTGCCGACGATTTATACGGCCTTCTAATTAGACTGGCTCTAACCGATGACCAATCTCCTTCTTTGGCTGCAAGATACGCCATCAGTGCGTTGTCATATCAACACCTACGGATGGAAACGGCAGCGATTACGCACCAAGGCATCGCAATACGTGCGCTTCAGGCTGCCATTGAGGATTGTGATCCTTCGCGAGTCATGCAGATGATGGCCGCAGGCATGTTGTTGAGCATTTTCGAGGTAAGATGGATTGATTATAATTCGTGTCCGTTGACATTACTTACCATAAAGTGATAGACGTTGAACTTTACCTTGGGCTTCGATGCATACGGCCTCAGCTGGTCTATCTTCTTTTGCGGAACCAAGAAAATCGCAAGTTCCGTAACTAGAAAACACGACACGTGCTTTGGCGATGAAGCACTGATGATGGACTGGATTTTCTACCACGACGTCATGTATAAGTTCAGCATCCGGCACTGGGCATCCAAAAACACGGATCAGGTTAGCCTAGCAGCACAGACGAAAGTGATATCTAAAGCGGTATTTTCGCCTGAACGACAAGCTGTAAGCCATTTCACTACTTATAACCCCGACCTAATACAACTTGTTTAATGCTGATGCGTAGGTCGTGCCGACCCTGGGGTGTTCACTGGAATTACTCGACCTCCTCTGTCATGTCATTGATAGTGTACTTGAACCTCATGACCCGAGTTACCAATCACCGGAACATATGAAAAAGATGAGATCTCTCGAGATCCGCCTGCAAAGCCTAGAGCAGCGGCACACCGGGATCTCGGGAAGTGATCTTGAAGAGGTGGCAAATCAAACTAACATCGCAGATCTCTTCCGCCTGGCAGCATTGACATATCTTTATCGATTGGCAAAGGGTGAAGCTGGACAGTCCGAGTGTGTTCTAAGGGTGCTAAACCGGGCATTCATAGTTCTAGGCCAGGTGACGTACTGTGAACACCCTTGGCCTCTCTTTGTAATTGCTCTCGAATCACGGACAGAGGAACAGCGCGCGATCGTTCTAACGGTGCTGAAAGCGTCTCTCCAAAGGCAACCGCTAGGGTCAATGGCCCTTACCAGCCACATGATTCATGATGCATGGAAACAGCAGGATCTTTGCTCAGGCGAGATGGACCCATCGATTTTGTATGGCCTCATAATAAGCCGAAATCGAGTGCCACCAAATTTGGCCTGAGAAGAATCCCGATAAGCCACCGTGGAGATTATGGTAGTTGGAATTAGCAAAATTAGTGATTTTGGAAATTTTCATGAAGATAGTTCATACGATTCACGAGCAGAACGGCAATGAAATCAATCATCGTTGCTGGCTTGAGGTGACGGGTCAGATAATTTTTCAAGGAAAGCGGAATATATGCAGATACGTTTATCAATCTTGTCTAATTGTCTAATTATGTAAAACTATGTAGAGAGTGAGGAATTAATCCATTACCAGTGGAAATAATAACGATGCAGACCGCAGTGAGAACCCCAACGTCCACAATATCTAATAACACAAAAGCCCATTCAAGTTTCGAAGAAAATAGTTGACCATGACATGTTGTTCATGAAACCCAATAACTAACTATAGTGCACCTCACTATTGAAGCACAAAGAAAAGCGCTGGCTTACACGTCAGCCTAGACAATCTCTCAAAAGAGTTTCTCGCGCTTCATGAGGAGACCACTGATTGTGAGGACGCCACCACCAACGCAGACGAGAATGAGAGACCTCTGCATGGCTTGAGTAATGGCCAAGACAGCTTGATCTCTGAGTGGTCCACTGATTTCTTCAAAAATGCGACTCTGGGCACCAGCAACGGCGCTCTGAATATCGACACGGGTGTAACCCGTGCCTGCCAGGACCTTTGTTAGGTTCGCAATAGCAGCAGACTGGAAGACCTGACCGGCAATGACAAGCGCGATGACCGTACCGCCAAGTTGGGCCACATTCTGGAGGGCCAGGGCATCACCCATATGCTCGGGCGCTTTCAGAGTTGCGACAACATATCCGATCTGCAGTGTCAGGCCAGTACCGACTGCCGTGATAATAGTGAACCCATAGATGTAGCTTGAAGGTGTAGCAGGATCAAGGTATGCAGTGAGAAGAGCGCTTCCAAGAGTTATAAATGCACCCGATGCAACAAAGATAGGCATATAGTGCTTGATCTTGGAAAGCAGGTGTCCGGTACCGAGATTGAAACAAACAGTGACGACAACGAATGGCAAGAGCCGGATGGCCGCTCGAAGGGCTGAGTCGCCATGTACAAACTGAAAATAGATGGGTATGAAGTAGACAATAACAAATAAGGAAGTGATGTTGGATGCGGTGCCAATATAGAGGAGGATCTGAGATCTAGATTGGAGAAGATGGATGGGAAAGGACCGCGTCTCCGGGGTAGTGAAGATGGAAAAGGTTTGCTGAATGGCGAAAATGACCAGGACGACAACGAATGCTACTATTGTGGCAATAGTGCGACCGTCGTTCCAAGGCCACTGGCCACCTGCCATCGTGAAGGCCATTGTGAAAGACACCCAGACTCCAGCACCGAGGAGTAATCCCATGAAATCGATTTTCTTGACACGTTCCAAAACCGAAACGTCGGTAACCGGGTGAAAGGATGGCAGCCCAAAAAGATAGACTGGGCCAAAGGCTGCGCCGATGATCAAGTTGATATAGAAGGCCCACCTCCACGTAGCGCTAGATTCGACAAAGGAGCCACCAACAACAGGACCAAGGACGGCTCCGATGCCCCAGAAAAAGCCAGTGCCGGTGATGTAGCGACCTCGCTCTTCGGGGGTGGTCAGACAGGAAAAGTAATTCAGGCAGCCCATGAAGACGCCACTACCACCAGCACCTGCTATAACACGTCCGACAATCAGAGCGGACATGCTGGGAGCGGCACCGCAAATGGCAGAGCCGACTTCAAACACGACCAGAGAGGCAACAAACGCCCATTTCATATTGAAGGTCGTGTACACAACACCACTGAGCAGGATAACGGAGACAGATCCGAGCGGGAAACCCGCACCGATCCAAGCGAGCTGTTCGACATGGCCAAAAGCTTCGACAACAGACCCTTGGACATCGGCAGCAATGGTGGTGTCCAGTCCGTAGATAAAGATGGATATGTACAGAGATGTGCAGACAAGGGCCCATCGCAGGCCACTGATGGTGCGGGCTGGGGACGCCTCGGCCTTGGTCTCAACATCACCATTTTCAATGTCGGAGGTGATGAGGGAAGAAGGTAGGTTGGCAGGGGCGGGTTCCATGATGAATTGTTAAGACCCGGTTTTCGAATTGGTGGTTTTGTTGAATAGTTTCCTCGCAAGCTTGATTATGAGAAGAGAGCGCTTATGCTAGGCACAATGTAGTTGCTGAAGTTGTGTTGCGATGATGTTGAGCTGGATGGAGATTACGGCTCGCTTTAATAGAAAGTGACAGCCGCCATAGCTTTACCTTCTGAGTGATTGTTTAGCTTGTATTTGTCAGGGAGGAGCATCGAATTCAATAGAGACATTATTAATTATGTTAGGCTATGGAACTGGATTCAATGTTGCAGATTGCCATTGTACGCAGACCCTCGTCAGCTTCATTTTAGGTACGCTCGTTCAGTGGCTCAAAATCCCAGGATCGATCCAATCAGGCGCTGAGCGATGACTGATACCTTGAAGAGATGGCAGGTTTTTGCGATCACGTGAGCGCTCGCACCGCAAAGTGCAAGGGCGTAGCGCGCTAGTCAGCTAATCTCGCGCAAAAAGTTGCCCAAGGAACGAGGAGTGACAAACCACGCTGGATGGGACATTCACCGGACACCCAGACATATTTTTCCTGCTTCTTTTCTCTCGCTTTCTAGAATAACCTGAAATTAAAAAACTTTCATCATGGTATTTAAGGAATTCAAGTGGCGGCCATCGTATTTTCTTCAATTTTCTCTCTCGAGCACAATCACGAATTTGACCGCAATATAAGGCTACATCCCATACAGACCACACTATTAGCTGAACAGTATCAGCTCTCACCAGTTCTTGGCTCTAATTCACAGTGTGAGCGTCCTCCAGCTAAAGATTAAACATCAAAACAATCACCAGCTGTATCTCTACGCTTAAAATCAAGCGTCTCTTTATTAAACAAGCATGGGAGCATTGCAAGCGGGAATCACTGAATACGGCAGTATCTGCTGAGATTGACATTGACGGTTGCCGAGAGTTCCTTGACTCCCCTCTTGCATCTTCATATTAAGTAAACTAAGCTGTTTCTCAGCTTTACAGTATAGATAGGACAGTTACATAAAATACATATAGTCTTACAGCTTCCTCTTACTCGAAATTACTTCGAAATCCTTGTCTGAAGTCTTGACAAGTTCTTTCTTAACCCACGCAGCTATGTTTGAAGCAGCGTTCTCAGGACTCTCTAAATGAAGCTGAAAAAATCCTTGCAGAAGCGAGGGCGTAAAAGTGTCCTCTGGGATCTTGCTGGCAAACTCAATCGCAAGCTTTCGGATATCCTCCATGTCTAGGTGCGATGTGCAGCCCAGATCAGGAGAAAACATGCGAATAAACATTTCCTCTGCGGACTTCTGGCTGATGTTACCGAGAAAGACCTTCATGTCGACACGGCCAGGTCGGACCAGTGCACTGTCGAGATCTTCAGGTCGATTGGTTGTCATGATGACGATGCGGCCCTCCTGCGACCCAACACCGTCCAGAACATTCAATAGTCCAGACAAGGTGCAGTTTGGTGCGTTGTTGCCATCGTTTCCATTGTCGGTGCTCGAGCGGTCTACCCACACAGCATCAATGTCCTCAAGCAACACAACACACCGCGGCGGGATCTCTTGAAACATCTGCTCCAGGTCGGCATCCGTAGCGACGCTAGGAACCTTGACTTCGTAAAGGTCGAGACCAAACTCGCCCGCGATGGCGACTGACAGGGACGACTTTCCGGTACCGGGAGGGCCGTAAAAGAGATATCCTCTGCGGTAGGGCATACTGCGACTCTGGTATCGCAATTGGGTTTTCGAGTCGAGGTAATTCCGGATGTCGACGAGAAGCTCTTGTTTCAGTCCAGTATCGAAATGCACCGTCTCGAGGTGCCGGATCGGTCGGCGGGCCTTGGGCTTCCAGGCCAGCCCGTACCTGTCTCGTGCGTAGATGATGACGAAGAACTGAGCTTGTCTGTCGGAATACTCACGACAAGTCTCAATGAACCTTTTGACGGGCTCCGCCGACCAGCCGAAGCAGCTAATGGTGATGTCCTCCCCTCCGATGCCGTCATAACTCGGATCTGAAAAGGAAGCGCCGAAATTATCAAATGCGCGCGTAACAATGAAGATGTTGCTGCTGAACCAGAGCCATCTCGTATGCCAATGAGAGCAGTATTGGATTGGGTGTTGTGTCTTCTTGAGTGCAGCGGCCCGGTCGGCGCTGGGTCCGACTTTGGTGCGCCCAGTGAAAGATCGATAATGTCGCGATTGGTTAGCTAGGATCCATTTGACAACGCTCCTGTTGAGAGGATCGCCTCCGGGAATTGTCACGGAAGCCAAGAAAAATTGCCTGATCCAACCGTACGCTTCTCGCCAGGTGTGCTGTAAAAATTTCCAAGCCGAGGGTGCCGTGCTGGCAATGGCAAGAAGCGAACCGATCTGGGTAATATCAAGCTCCGACCATCGGAAGAACACATCTCTCATCACGCCAATCCCAATTCCCTGGGACCAAGGGTCAACGAGAGGCTGGACAGCTGCGCCGCCGGCATGAAAAAGAAAGGCCATGGCCCCAATGGCTCGGTGGTTGTTTGGTGAGCTTTTCGCAGGTGTCGCTTAAGGGGTTCGGCAAGCACCGGAACAGCGGATGCTGAGGTTCAGAGCTTGAGGCCAGGATGGCTGGAAAATATGCCTGCATGCAGCATTCGGGCGTACACGAGACTCAAGGAGAGAGGCAACCCCAGAAACGAATGAAAATTGACCAATTACATGTGAAACGAAGGACAAGAAGGGAAGCAAGAGAGCGTTTAGGTTGTCAAATGACAATCAGGGGCGATCATGGAATGATGTAAAGGAGGCCGGAATCTGGGGAAAACTTTTCGTCTAAATCTGACCGCGCCACAAGCACAGCCACAGGTCCATCAGGGGTCACGTCCAGTGCTTTGTAAGTGCCTAACCGATAGCGCACTGTGAACCCTGGGAAGAATTCGGGCTGTAAATTCAAGACATTATCCTCATTATTGGAGATAAAAAGTCGGGGTCCATTACCTTGCGCACGCGCGTCATCACTTCTCAATTTTGCTCAGGCTTGCTTGGGTCCTCCTGTACGAACTCCCCGTTAGACTTGGTGGGGATGGCATGCCTTGCGTCTGCAGTGCTACCTGGCTAGCCTGGTCCGGGAACAAGTCGGACAACAAGATTCAGGAAGAGCAGATGGGCCGATCGTCGGGAAGAGGGAACGGACGATGCACTACAATAGACCAGACTGAGCAGGGCTGAGCCGGGATATTTCCCATAATGGTACCGAGGTTGCATGAAAGGTCATTTCATCCCAGCGCATACTCCGTACGCAAGTCCAAAGTTGCATTATCATTTGTGGGCCTTGTAGCCCGGCGCTTAAGGTGGTGTCCAGCCCAGCAGTGATTTACCGAGCAATTGGGACAGCACTTCATTCGCGTTCTCATATTCCCCCCACTCTCAACCAGCGCTGTAACCAACACTACAACCAACACTGCTCAGAATTGTAGAACCGACCAACAACCAACAAGGCCACAAACCAAGCGGCCACACCCTTTTCTGAAGACCATTTGTTTCATCTGTCCTCGTGTGCAGACTTACAAGACCTTATTGGTGAGAGAAGCGCCTGTTGAAGCACGTCGTCTATATTGGGCTATCGCGGACAAGGTAAACGGCTAGCCCACGAACCACAATGGATCGCCTCCCAATTCAAGTTCCTTCCGTAGCCGCTATCACCTCATCGCCATGGAGCGTAGACGGCAAAATAGGGCCAGTCTTTTAATAGGTACGATCCTTCGTCGCGATGAAGTATAAATCAGATCCATGCCCGACAAATAAACACAAGGACAAATAAATCCAGACACTCGCTCCTACTATTTTATACCCACTGTTAGCTCTCAGCTGCATCGAATAAATCTTTCCGCTTTACCACCAAACCCCAAGAAATAAAAATGGGTAGTAGCCCCTCGAAGGTCATCCACGCCCGGTCAAAACATACAAAATGGCAATTCTATACCCACCAAGACGGCCGTTCATACTATTACAACCAGTACAACTACAACCAGTGCCAATGGTGCTTTGTCGATGAGCAGGGACAAAGCGCCTGTACCGACAAGAATGGTCTATGGTGCTATTCTGATGAATACGAGAAATTTCACTACTACGAGGAATATGAACAATCGATGTTCAATGAGGACATATCCGGTCAATCAACGCCATCAGGATACGGGTCAGTGAGACGACTAGGGGACCCAAAGATATCAATCACCATTATGTCTGGAGAGGGTATAAGTTCTGCTGGAACTCAGTATGTTGGGCATGATGGGCGAGACTGGGGATACGCTGGGTAATTGGGGAGGATCAATTGGCTGGTACCAATAGATATTAGAATGGCTTTGGGATCTGCCGGAGACGCGGCAGTTTTGTATTATTCTTCAGGTTCTCTAATGCAAGTTTTGTTCTCTCTAATTAAGTAATGAGACCCTTAAATTCCGCCTTCGTTCGCTATGCTCAGCGCGCCGCTCTGGTCAATATGCCGACGAAAATTCATTCCATTAGTATTCGAATTGTATCCGTGATGCACCCATGTCCTTTTTCTCGGCAGGCTATAAGTAGGAGCAGATATATCCTGGGACCAGAACCTCTGGACTGGCCATCTAAACTGTGACACAAAAGAACGAGGCAGACCTTGACCACGGAAAATTTTCCAGCGCGATACGACGAATCCTTTCTCAACATCAAGCCCATGGCCTGCTTCGTCAGTATGGCATGAAGTAATAGAGTGCTAATGAACCTATACCGGATATGAACGAGGACCTATCATAGTTCCTGTCATAAATGAAGGCCTGCGGAGTAATCCAAGGCGTGTTCTAATGATTCATAGAATGCCTCTAAGCCGCATTGTCGCGGTATGCCTGTCCGCCGTAATCACCAGTTTGCCCCTGATCCAGAGTCCTGGGAATGCTAACGCGACGCCACCCATATCAGCCAAAATCACCATCCCAAAGGCGTATATTGGCCCACTATAGCGGACTTCGGCATCCATCCCCATTTGCCACTAGGACACGCCTCTTCATCTGGTCCATGTGGGCTTTGACTACCATAAGCATCACTCCTCTGCCACTAGCTCTGTGGCATTGAGCACAGTTGCCTGGTACATAAGAACGAGGTAACTTACCCTGGTCTTTCCGAGGCTAAAGCCAACAATGGAAGCAGCGATACTTCCCATGGCCCCCTTGGTGGCATCGTCTGATCGTGTACTAGTGCTGAGACTGTACATGCCCGCACCCGCCCCAGAGCCCTCTGTTATCGCGCCAGGGGGCAGGCTGGGAGACTTAGGAGTCATACCATTCCTCACTAATGGAGGATTAACTCCCCCACATTTCTTCCCGTCGGCGATGGGCCGCGTTGGGATTTTAGTTCGCTGCTAGGCCATGATCTATGTCGATCCCTACGATGCATCTTCCCTGAAAAATGGGACAAGACGTCAGACACTCCAGATCAAGGCGAAGTAAATTAATCTCTAGCTCATACATCTAGTATCCGAAGGCTAGCGACCATCAGCGATTGACCAAAGATGATTTTCAGGTTGCGATGGATGGTGATGGCTCGAGTCATGCCTGAAAAGCCTCGTACAAGTAGATAACGCTAGACTGGAAGCTAAATGGCCGACAGTTCTCTTGCGGGCGCTGTACAATTATATAGTGATCCCTCCCAAGAGGCACTGCCATCCTCGGCCCATTGTCCCTTTACAATTCCTCGTCTGAATTTAGTACTTTCTCCTCATGCAACCGAGAATCCTGATGGAGACGCTGCAAAAATGGTGTCTAGTAATGCGGTAATGGTGAGTGCTGGGCTCCATCCTCCGATTCACCCCTTACTAACTGCGATGGTACTCCAGGGCTTGGAATGGACCTTCATCTTCCTTTCATATGTCTTGGTCAGCGCCCGCGTTTATGTACGGGTCTGGATGAGGCGAGACAGGCTTTACTGGTCCGATTGCTGGATGATGGCTGCTCTGGCATCAGCTCAGGGACTGGTAATATGCGACACCTTAACATATCAAATGAATGCGATGGACAATTTTGCTATTACTAGCGTTTCGCTTGATAAGGTATGTCGAGAACTGGACCCCAATATGTTGGGGGCATTTGCGTGGTTACCCCGACATATCGCAATTTCACAAGTGTGGGCCAACCACAGTAAGAAAGCGGTAACATATCATAACCCCGAGCATTTCAAAACGCGTTCTAACGAGTTTCATATTGCCAACTATAGATTAGATTCGCTACCGGGTACTTATTCGACGTTGGCATATACTTGACGAAGTTCAGCATTCTCGCTTTCTACTACAACCTCGTACCACTAACAAATCCACATATGCGGATAGCGCTTTACGTTCTTACTGCAATTACTGGTATTTGCGCACTTGTTACATTCATGAATATCACATTTTGGTGTGGACCAAACCCAAGTGTCAATTGGTGAGACTTCTTTGCCCTTCTCTTGCGTGGGTTGAATACTGGCGTCGTCCGCCATCAACAACTTATTGCACAGAACAGTTCTGACACCTTTGGGTGCATCATTATAGGTCAAGCGGCAATGATGCATGCTCTGTTTTTGAGTCTATGGTAGTTATGAGAGTTAACTGGTCAATGAACTTCTTCACTGAAGTCCTAAGTATATCCCCAAGCCGCAATTCTGATATCACAAAATACAATGGCTAATCCGAAATATTTTCCTCATTTAGATCTGATATATCCTTTCCCTTTGATCCGGGGCGTCAAAATTAGTTCGCGACGGGAGAGAATCAGCCTTGGCGTTATTTTCACCATGGGATTTATTACCATCGCCGTGAGCATTGGAAGATTCGTTATGATGCTTCATGTGGACAACGACATCACGATCTGTAAGTTAATATTACTCCTCAATATCTCTGGTACGTCGCTTGACATATTTGGCCTCAAAGATATATGGGCTACGGCAGAAATGTGCATCGCAATAATGATTGTGGCTCTTACCGCACTCCGGCCCCTGCTTCGGAAGATTGCATACATACTCTCTTCGAATATTACCAGCAGCGACACCAAGTCGGTCCACACAATTTACTCATTGGAGCATCAAAGCCGGACCAAAGCCCGCTCAGCCCGTCCTTTGTCAGGATCTCACTGGCGAAATAGCAACAAAACCCACCAAAGTCGGGTGATTGCAATACACCAGGATCCGACGGGAAGCCAGGTTGAGCTAAATAATATTGATAGCGGTAAGATAATAAAGACAGAGGAAGTTTTTGTGTTGAGTGAAGTAGACCTTAGCTCAAGGGGTTAAACGGTTCAGTTACTTAGGAATTAGTACGGTTTGTCAAATCCTTTCTCAAACAGTATGAATTTGTGTTAGCCATTGCGAATGTTGGCTCCTGTTAGTGCTCAATATTTTCTTGACAGACAAGACGTCAAAAGAATTGGCGGATTATTTCAACTCCAGGGACTCTCAATCAAGTGACATGTGAACTTAGTCTTTATTACTTAATATTACTGTCGTGGTTTGCAGTATCCCTAGGCCATTGTAATATTTCGCTTATTGAATCCTCAGAAAGCACATGAAATACCCAATCATGACCAAAGAAACACAACGCGGTTAATTGCCCATAAAAGTAGGCGTTTAATGCTTCTCGTCCAAATCCTTCTTCTCATCGTGTTGGAGGCTGGTATCTCGAGACTTTTCAACGTCGTTCGGATCCGGCTTTGCGTTGAAGACTGCACGAAATTGTTAGCATAGGGTCCCTTTCAATCTGAGAAATGGACTGTGATGTCTTACGAATTTCCATTTCTTCGAGGGATCTTCCCTTCGTCTCCTTGATAACCAAGAAAGAATACACCACAAGTGCAAAGTTGAAGATGGAAAACATGAGAAATGTCTTCCAGCCCAGATTCTCGATCGCGTGGGGAGTGATTTGAGAAAAGGCGAAGTTCCACAGCCACTGGGTCGCAGTTCCAACAGCGATACCACCCTCACGAATACGAGTGGGGAAGATTTCACTCATGTAGAGCTGGAATATGAACTGTTAGTATTTCGGATTATCGCCATATATAGACGCAAAGACTTACCCAAGGAACAGGACCCCACGAGATATTGTACGTCACTGCGGTAATTAGCAATTTTGATCTAGATCGCAGTACTCGTGTCTAGTTGGTTTTTCAACTTACTGGCTTCCAGATAAATCATGGTAAGAGATGCAACGGAGGCAGATGAGATGGTTGTGCTCGTTGGATCCGGTGGGTGGGTGGCGGTGATGACAGCCACGATAAGCATATACACTCCCATCATGAAGGATCCTCCGATAAGGGAGCCTCGTCGGCCGATCTTTTCAACAAGGAACATGAGGAAGAAGAAGCAGGAAACGACCTTGACCAGGCCAAAGAAGCCGCTGAAAAGGAAAGCATTCTCGCCAGCTCCGACAGCATTGAAGATCTGGGGTGAGACTGTAATATGTTAGTATATCTCTTGTCCCGTCAAAACTATTGGTCATGTCTTACAGTAGGCAAGAGATGTGTTTCCGGTAAGTTGGACGCCTATTACCACCCATTAGTCCTGCGTCATCACATTTGGAAATCTCAAGGTTGCTGAAACCTACCGATCTGGAGAGTAATAACGAGAAGCATTCGCCCTCTGTTGGCTGGAAGAAGGAATTCCTTCCAAGTCAAGCCTTCCGTTACGCGTTCCTCGTCAGCAATTCCGGCCAAGATCTCATCCATCCTAGAGTCCTAGATGTTAGTTATTTGAACTCATAGTAGGGGGGAATTTGCTTAGTAGCGTACTCTGCCTGGACCTCGGGGGTCAATTCTCCGCCACGAACCCATACCAAAGACTCAAGAGCCTCATCGTTTTGTCCCATCTTAGCGAGCCATCGAGTGCTCTCCTTTGTGAGAAGCATTCCCAGGCCCAAAAAGCCACCGGGGATAAGCTGCAGGGCAACGGGGATGCGCCACTGGAGAGTTGTTGGCTCCATATGCTTGGCAACCGCATAGTCGATCCAATAACTCGTGAACACGCCAAGGGTGAAGAAGAATTGGAACATACTTCCAAGCCGACCTCGGATCTCCTTGGGTGCCATTTCACTGCTATACATGGGAATGATGACCGTCGCGATTCCGACACCAAGTCCGGAGATTGTGCGGCCGGCGTACCATGTTCCAACGCTGTTGTTCGGGAAGAAGAGCTGAAGGATAGCACCGATGTTGAAGATGAAAGAAGCGAGGACGATGGACCAGCGACGTCCGTATTTAGCGGTAAACGGCCAAACGAAGAAACAGGCGAAGAAGGCTAAAAGTCAAGGTTGGATTAGAAACACGTTAGAAAGACATCGGATGGATGATGCGTACCTCCGGCTTGCAGAAGACTGGCAGAGTTAGAGCTGACGGTGGCTTTGGTTGCGGGAGTCATGCCCATGTCCTTTTGAAAACTTTCAAGGGACAGGACACCTCCCACAATGCCTGTGTCGTAGGCAAAGAGGAAAGAGCCAATGCAGCTCAATGCCACGAGGTATGACGCTCGAAACGTTCCAAGCCGCGACATGTTTGCGGTCGTGTAGCTGGTCTCGTCCGTCGTGGATGTCGATGCGGTGAGGATGTACAACCAGTTCCACCGAGAATGCCTTGGCTGTAGAATTATATACTGAAACCGGTTGGGAGGATTCTTTTATAAGGGGCCCCGCTTGGCTGACGGTTTGGTTCAATCCTGGCCACAGTGCCACCAGAGATTGAACCGGTGGTGCCAGGAGGCTGGCTCGGAGCTGGGGCACGATCACGGCCGGAGCTCGGTCAGCAGAGTTTCCTGTTAGCAGACATGGAAAGGGATGCGATGCTACCGGCTCCAGTTTTGCCGTAGCAGGGTCGTCAGAGGAGAATCCGGACATGGGAGGAGGGCCTTGTGGGGAGTTCGATTGGGCAAACGAACTCCCCGAGCACCAGAGCCAGGCCCCGCATTTGCAGGGATGGGCGCCGGAGACGATTATTGTTCAGCGGATCCAGGCCTGTGGAATGTCGAGTCAGCACGTCCACAGCGGAAATGGCCTGGGCCAACTCGGAGCGTCGGGGGTCGGCCGAGAAACGCGGGTCCTCCGGAGAAGTCGGTCGGCCCATGATCTCATTGGCCGGAGGTGCATAATGCGGAGACCCCGCACGCCATCGGGCCCTGGCCTGACGACATTGGATGCGCTAGACAATGCGCAAGATGATGATGCTTCATTGGGTGCTGCGCTGCGTTGTGAGGCGCTCGTCCGTTTCCAAATGGCGTGCTCCGCATCTTCAATGACTTCATGGCAAAACCGTTGATATCTGCGCCCGGGAGCGGGAGGGGCGGCCACGCGGTTGTGTCGCCAGTGCGCGCTGTGTGATTTTGCCTCATACAAACCGGTTATCTGCTGCACACTGATAGACGCTAATTAACGGTTGGGTTTCTGTGAAGAAGACATTACGTGTGTGTAAACCAAGCCGAACCAGGATGCCGGCGTGGCTGCATCAGCGTCCATTTACCGGCCCTCGTGACAGTGTCACCTAGACTCCGCTTTCTGCGACCGCTTCTTGCGGAGAGACGAGGCCGTTCAAATTCAATCCATATCCCTGTTAGCTAACTTAAGCAGAGAGTCGCGGCAACGCATTGGGTGGGATCTGGATCGCCCAAAGGGATTTCCCCAGGTTCAGCTGCAACCCCCCGCCCCATCTCCTCAAGAACCGAGCAAACCTGCCGCGAAAACACTCCCCGACCGAGCATCGTCCCGACTGCTCAGTCGCTAATCAATCGGCAAAAAGTCTATGGGGCCACAATGAAAGCTGCATGCGTTCAGTGTCGGGTCCGCAAGGTACGCAAATCATCCACCCGCCCACACGTGGTGGTGACGGTTCCCTGATCCCCGGGAGTCGGCCGGTACTAACTCCCCGGAGGTCCGATGTGACGGGACCGTCCCTCGGTGTCGGACCTGCCAGCGCCTGCAATTCCAGTGTTCGTTTGAGCAAGATGGATCGCAGCCTGTAAGTCAGTATGCGCCTCGGTTGCCGCCCAAATGTCGCGGGACCAAGGCCTGCCTCGAGTGCAGGTCGATGAAGGTTCGCTGCTCTGGCGACACTCCGCGATGTTCCAACTGCCAACGTCGAAACCGCGACTGTCACTACTCCACCCCTAAAAACAGCCCTCCCAAGACGGCAGCGACGGCATCATCATCTCAAGATGGCCCTGCAGCTTCCGACGCCACTGAAAACTCACCAGACCAGCACCAAAGCGCAACCTCCGAGTCACAACACGACAGCCCAAGCAACCACGATGATCCCATCTCCACAGCAGCCCCCTTAGCATCAAGCTCTTCTCCCTCAGAAGAGGTGACCGCCTTCCTGGTTAACCAGTACTTCGATCGTTTGTACCCCCTGGCTTCTTATTGCTTCCTCCACAAGGCAACTGTCATCCAAAGATGTCGCGACAAGACCATCGACAGGGCACTCAAGTTGGCCATATGTGCCATCACGGCCATGTACTTTCCTAAAAACAATGACGCCCCCAACCCTTGGGCACAAGAAGCGGAACGAATCATCCTAGACCGACTGGAATCTCCATCCATCTTCCAACTACAAGCCTCGCTCCTCCTCATACGCTACCGAGCCGGTGTTGGGCAGTTCCCTCGCGCCTTCATCATGGCCGGACTCGCAGCGCGGTGGGCATTAGCTCTACGTCTAAACTACGAGCACTCACGCCTAGGACCAGTCGCTCAGGAGGTCAGGCGGCGGACATTCTGGTCACTCTACCTACTCGAAGACAGCTTCTGCGTCGGACTAAAAGAGTTTGAACTATTCGATCCCGATACCATACATCTCCAACTGCCCTGCGAAGATGTCGACTTCCACCAAGAACGGCCCGTGAGTACTGGGTATCTGCAGCCGGGAAAGGGACTTGAACCGGAGGTGTTGGGATCTCGCGCTGCATTCGTAAGACTCGCATTTATTCGCCGCGGAATCATGCGGTATGTTGCCATCATGCTCCCTATTTATCAGTGATTTATTAACAACTAGTTCCTAAGACTCAATCGACGGGTGTTCTTAAAAGAAGTTAACCTTTCAGAGCTGTTCATTTCTATGGAGAAGTTCCAGAACGATCTCTTACGCCTACGGACCAGGTTGGCGCCCGCCGATCAATACCCACCCACAAATCCAGAAGAACTACATCGTCCACCGCAATACGCCATCACGGTAGGTTTTCATCGCAACGCAAGAACTATAGCTAACAGTCTTTAGCACATGAGCTGGCACCAATGCCACTGCGATCTCTACCGAATCTTCCTCACTGGATATCCCGAGTCCACCCCGCACGCTGCAGTTGAAGGGATGGCAGCCCCAGACAGGGCACTCATGAAGGACAAGTGCCTGGGCCACGCAGAGCAGATTGTCAAAGTGTTGTCGGACTTCGTGCAGCACAAAGACGAGCGAGACATGCTGGAATTTGACGCTGCCGTCTGTGCCTATCATGGCGCTCGTCTGATCTTATTCGGGACTTACACAGGAAGGGATAATACGGGTCTGCCCATGCAAATGGCCATCAACAAAGCTCAACTCTGCTTGGATGTCATTGCCCGATATTTTGACTTCTCAGCACAATTAAAAGCCATGGTAGGTGCCTCCAGAAGTATCGCTCACGGCTAGATACTAATAGTATGCAGCGTCAGGAACTTGAACGGGTCATCCAACAACATAAATCATGGCTGGAGTCGGCAGACCACCGAGCCGTCTTCACCGCCGACCCGAATCCTCGACCGCCTCCGAAACTGTCCAAAGACGCACACATTCGCCAGCGACTCGCAATCCACAGTCTCCTCCGACAGTCCGATTTCGTCGACGACAGCCGCGACGCAGCGCCCGAGCCGCCCGCCGAGCCGGCTTTGAGCTGGACAGCATCTACTGAGGAAGACCAGGTGCAAGAACCGCAAGCAGAATGGGGCGCCAGAGAACCAGGATTCCCCGCAGCAGACCCCATCACGGATCCCTATCTTCTTTTCGGACTGCCGTACGGTGGTTCGACCTTTGACATTAACGCGTGGAATTGTAACCCGGGCACTCAGGAGATGAGCGGTTACCTTGGCGCATTTGATGAACAGTACATGTACTAGTGAAAATGAGATTCCCGTCCTGTATTATCTAGCGTCTTAGTTGTTACGACCATGAGAGCAAGTCAACGCGTGTTATGTAGCTAATACACATAAAAAGCAACTCCTTTCCCGCCCCGCAAGCCCTATTTCCGGAAACGCAAGCTCATGAGGCGTCAATTCGTCCGCATGATGACCCTCAATTAGTGGCGTATGGTGCTGCAGCCGCATCCTCCTCATGGGCCAATGGGTGGTGTTGCCGCCCGAAATCCGTCCTCCGAGCCGATGCCGCCAAGTGGAGACCGGCCTCCGGACCTGCGTCCGGGATGTCAACTATCTTTGGACCCTGAAAGCACTCAAGCTCGGGAATCGGTGGCAGGCATGAGCTGCTGTCCATGGGCATGATGGAACATGTCATGTCGTAGTCCCCCGCCTCTCTGCCTCCCTGATGTGAACTTTTTCTGCCGCTCGTGTTTTTTTCCTCCATTGACTCTCCTCGACAGCTTTCCTCGGCGCGAATCTGCTCTAACTCTTCCTCCCCAGTCAAACAAACCATGGCAGCGACAGAATCGAAGACTGGCAGCGGCGATGGCCGGCCAAACGTCATCTTCATTATGGCTGATGACCATGCGTCCAAGTCCATCAGCGCCTACGGCGCGGGAATTAACAACACTCCCAACATTGACCGTCTTGCGAAAGAGGGCATGTTGTTCAATCATTGCTACGTCACAAACAGCATTTGCACGCCTAGCCGAGCTGCTATTCTCTGCGGAACGTACAACCATGTCAATGGCGTCATGACACTAGACGACCATGTAAGTCTTGCCGAGCGTCCGAGAGGCGGCGGAGTTGCACACGATAACGTACTAACGATTGAGCCGCTAGATCAACAGTCACCTTCCCAATGTTGCGAAACATCTTCGGACGGGCGGCTACCAAACTGGTATGGTTGGAAAGTGGCACATGGGCGAAGAAGCTCAGAACCAGCCCACAGGCTTCGACTACTGGTCTGTCTTGCCCGGGCAAGGCGAGTACTGGGATCCCGAGTTCATCGAGTCCGACGGAAACCACATCAACCTTGGCTATGTCACCGATATCATTACCGACAAGTCGCTCGACTTTATCAAGTCGCGGGACAAGAGCCGCCCCTTCTTCCTCATGTGTCACCACAAGGCGCCCCATCGCTCGTGGGAATGCGATGACAAGCACAAGGACCTGTACAAGGACCCTGTCCGACTTCCGGATACCTTCACCGACGACTATAAGAATCGCGCCCGAGCGGCCAAGATCGCCAAGATGCGCGTGGCTGAAGACCTGACCTATCAAGACCTAGGACTCGTCCAGCCTGACGGCGGCAGACGAGTTGGCGAGCGCGTCCAGCAGGAGAAGGGAGCAAGTGAGCGAAAGATCCCTGCGCCGACCGAGGAGGCCGAGTTGAAAGCTCTGAAACTCATCGACAAGGAGGATGGCACTGTCTTCACGTTCCAGACCCCGGGTGAGCTGGCCGAGTTCAAGTTCCAGCGCTACATGCAGCGGTATTTGCGGACGATTCAGTCAATCGACGACAGCGTCGGCCAGCTCCTAAATTACCTCGACTCCGACGAGCCGGAGCTAGCAGCCAACACCATCGTCATCTACACCTCTGATCAGGGATTCTTCCTCGGAGAGCACGGATGGTTTGACAAGCGTTTTATGTACGAGGAATCTTTCCAGATGCCCTTCTTAATCCGTTACCCGAACGAGATCAAGGCAGGGTCTGTCTGCAACGACATAATCTGCAACGTCGATTTCGCAACCACTTGGCTCGACTACGCGAAGCTCCATGTGCCTTCTTATATGCAAGGCAAGTCTTTCCGGGCTTTGCTCCAGGGGAAGACGCCGGCGGATTGGCCCCAGGCGGCGTACCATAGATATTGGATGCACAACGACATCATCCACAACGCATATGCCCACTACGGCATCCGTGACCAGCGGTACAAGCTCATCTACTGGTACAACGAGGCTCTCGGAATCAAGGGCGCTCGGCCAGGTGACGAGGAGTTCAAGGAGTGGGAGCTGTTTGACTGTGAAAAGGACCCCTTGGAGCTATTTAATGTGTATAACGAGGAGGAGTACAAGAGCGTGGTCAAGGATATGACGGCTTTGCTGGAGAAAAAGATGGTAGACATAGGAGATGAGCCTGTACATCCCAGGGCAACTGCGTAGATCATGTGGCAAAACTGTTTTTCGCCTTCATGAGGATAGGAATAGAGAACAATAGATTTGATATCATAAGATGTCGATTTCCATCAGTTCCGCCCAAGCGGTACCTTTCCGGCGTTGCGACGGTCCCGCGGGCCTGGTCTCGACTTACACCGCGAGTTCCGGGAAACAACTTCCTCATCGACTTAGCCTAAGTTAAGCCTCATGACAATGATTTACTAGATTTTACTCGATTTATCAGCAATATATCCGTTACTCCGTCCCTAGTAGTCATCATCCCACTTTGTAAGCCGACTTCCTTCAAGGGCAGAAGTCATGACACACCTTGTCGACCGGCGGATGGCGACATCAACAACGACCAATCGCACAAACCACCGACCGAGATGCGAATCCCCTCGGCCTCCGGTCATTCCACTCCTCATTAGACCCCAGGTTTACGGACTACCGAAGACCGGGGGTGGCGAGGCCCGATGCTCCACCCCGCAATTTAACGTCGCATGCCGTCATGATCCATGGCAATGACCTCAAGTAGTAAACGAACTAGTTCGTTACACTATAGTAGAAGTCTATAAGTTGTAGTTGGCGGCGCCCCAGTATTTAAAGCTATAGTCATATTCAGGGCACTGAGCTATCACTTTCAGGAGCTTTATCTACTAGGCGCTCATCATGGTCAAGTTACAGTTGATCGCGGCAGCTTTGGCGCTTTGCCAGCCAGGCTTTGCCGCTTCGGCGAAGTCCAAGGGAAGTCCTAAGCAGCGAGCTAAGGCCTTGCTTAAGAAGATGACATGGGAGGAGAAGATTGCCCAAATGGGCGGTATTAGACGGCTTCTAAAGTCGGGATCGGTTTTTGACGAGGCCAATTTTGAGAGCAGATACCAGTACCAACATGGAAACATTGGTGAGTGACGCTAACTCAAATATCATTCGATAGATTCAGTAGCTAACTTTGTCCTAGGTTTTGGGCCTATGTTCAATTGGGCCCTGGACGCTTTACCCATCGTCAATGAAATCCGCGAGAAAGAAATCAATAACAGTCGCCTCAACATTCCCTTTATCACTATTACGGACTCCGTCAATGGTCTCTTCATCTCTGGCGGCACCGTATTTCCTAGCAACCTCGGCATGTCCTCGACTTTCGACCTGCCTTTGTTCCAGGAGGTGACCGCCGCAATCCGTGACGAGCAACTTTCCCTGGGCGTCAACTGGGTCCTATCCCCTCCGCTTGATATCGGGTGGGAGCCCCGATACGGACGAATTGGCGAACTGTAAGTTTTTAAATATGAAAGCCACTACTTGGAGGATTTCTTGGCTGATATGATCGGTTTTCGTCAACAGCTATGGCGAGGATGCCTATCTCGTCGGAGAGTTTGGCCACAAGTACGTTGAGACAATGCAGGAACCTGACGACAGCGGCAACATCAAAGTTGCCTGCACCATCAAGCACTTCGTTTACGGCGAGACGCGTGGCGGCGTCAACGCCGCTAGCCAGTATTCCGGCATCAACCACCTCTTCAACGACCAGCTGCGCCCTTACATCCGCGCCCTCGAAGCCAATCCTCTGGCTCTTATGGTCTCTTACGCAACGGTCGACTTGGTGCCTATGTCCATGAACGAGTACATGATTCAGGACATCCTGCGCGGGAAGCTCGGGTTTGAGGGTGTTGTCATGTCTGACGCTGGGTCAATTCCCAACATGTACACCCAGTCGAAGGTGGCTACTTCATATGAAGATGCTGCGTTGCAAGCACTTGAGGCCGGTCTTCAGATGGAGTTGAGCCCGGGACTCCCCGCAACATTCCCCATGCTCATCTCGAGTGTTGGCAACAAGAAGGTCGCCAACCTCATCGACGAGGCTGCTCTCAACATCCTCACACTTAAGATCGCGACCGGTATTTTTGATAATGCTCTTCCGGACGAAGACAAGGCAAATAAGACCCTTCGGGCTTCATCTCACCTCAAGCTCGCACGTACTGCAGCCAGGGAAAGCATTGTCCTGCTGAAGAATGACGGCATCTTGCCCAAGGCACTCAAGAAGGTGGCGCTGTTGGGACCATTTGGTGATCTCCTCAACTTCGGTTCCTATGCCGCCATCAACGCCTCCAACCCCAGGTGGGGCGACTCCCTTCACACGAGCCTCAAATCCGCTCTGGGCGCGGACAACGTCGAGTTTGTTGCCGGAGTTGACCTCCTCGACACCACTGACGACAGCGGCATCCCCGGCGCCGTCGCTGCGGCCAAGGATGCTGGCTTTGCCGTGCTTGTACTCGGCTCCCTCTCGGCTCCTATGGAAGACCCCCTGTTCAAGAAGCGAACTGACGGCGAGTTCTTCGCCCATGCTGACCTTGGGTTCCCTGGGCTACAGCAGCAGCTCCTCGATGCCGTCCTCGATGCGGGTATCCCAACCGTTCTTATCCTCACAGGTGGCCAGCCCTTTGTCCTCAACGAATCGACGCTACGCTCCAACGCTATCTTGCACTCACTCCTCGGCGGCGAATACACGAACCACGCCCTTGTCGAGGTCATCACTGGTGCAGTCAACCCCAGCGGCAAACTGACTGTCAGCATGCCGCAGCTGTCAGCTGCCGTGCCATCATTCTACGACTACCTCCCCTCGGATGATTCCCCCGGCGGTGACTCTCGCTTGGGCTTCCACTCGGCGTGGCAGTGGCCGGTGCTGCAGCACGCCTCGCCCATGCCGTTCGGCTTTGGTCTGAGCTACACCACGTTTGACATATCGACACCGACAGCCCAGTACAAGAACGGCAAGGTCAGCATCAGGGTCACGGTTCAGAATACAGGTGGTGTGGCTGGGAAAGAGGTCGTACAGGTGTACCACCGCCCCAACACAACTGTCGGCATCGAGTTCCCAGTGCGGCGGCTCGTGCGATTCGAAAAGGTCGCGCTCGAGGCTGGTGAGAGCAAAGACGTTACGTTCTCGATCCCGTACAAGGACTTGGGATATTACATCAATACCAAGTTCAAGGTCCAGGACGGCCTTTACAATTTCTGGACAGGTTCGAGCTCGAGGGTGGAGGACCTAAAGGCGGTTAATGTAACTGTGACCCTGTAAGGCAATTCCGCAGTTGTCTTAATTCTTGTACATATTTATTTGATCAATGCGGTAACATAACGTCGATACTTTGAAACTCTACAATCGTCAATTGACGAATATTTAGACACATGTTTACATTTCAAACCGGAACTTGGTTAATTAATGGGTCCGGCGCGTCGTCGACTGGGGTGAGAGAGCACCTGATACTTTGCTCATGTACGAGTATTGGGAGAAGGCTGGAAACCCCTGTGGCTACACAGCAGCCTAACGGCTACACCGAGGACTCATGCAGGTCCTTGAACAATTTTCTTGATCGAACCACATTTCAAGTTAGTGTTGCACAAGCCCATCGTGTTACCGACGGGCCTATAGAATGTCTCCTAGCCAGGGTAGAGTCTTCCAACGCCTCGCAGTCTCGATCCAGTCATCGGTAACAAAATCTACGCCCGAGCACTGGTCCCACCCTATTGTCTCCGGAGACATCGATTGCCATGGACTAGGTAACCGAGGTCCACATAGAAAGTGTCCGCCCAAGCAACTTCAATTCAAATCCAATCAATTGCTCTGGAGAAAATTGGGGATCATACTGTACAATGAATCCCGTGGGGAGACGGGGAGGCGTACCGCTCCCTCCTTATCTAGGCTTAAGTTCTACGCTCTGGTATGTCTTGATGCAACGGTTCTAAGCGGGAACTTGAATTAGAACCCGTCCCTTAGCCTCTGTGCGGAGTCTTGTGATGCTTAGCATGTGTGCCCTTTTGTTTGGCCGCACAATAGGCAAGACGCTGGAGACGCCGAGCCCAGACACAGCTCACGAATGCAGCTGGGGCAGGTGACCGGCTAAAGCCTCGCTCGTATTTGCGCTGGGCTGATTGGGATGGATGGCCCAGACCATTGAGAGATTTCTGGGCCTGCGTTCATAGTCAAAAGGGGGCGTCAGGGTTAAGAAGGCGACGAGGAGAGGAGGCGAAATCAAACGCGCAGGGAAGTTCTGGGCCATCGGATGTCGCCACTGTTGGGACTGTTGCCATCTCAACGACCTGGATCAATCTTGCTGCTCTCGAGGCAGCAGGACGCATCAGGAAGTGTGGTATACACATTATGAGGTAATGGTTGACCATACAACGATCAGCTATCATGCTGGCGGAGCGTGGGCGTCCAGGAAGAGCGATTGGCCGGAAGTCGGTTATTGGGTTAGCCGAGATCCGAAGGAGGTTTGAGGGAAATGCGGGCAGAGGAGAATCTGGAAGCGACCCAGGGTGAGGCAACGGTGCTTATCGACGGCCTGGTCTGCGGGAAAAGGGCTCCCGATGGCTCGAGACGGGGAGGACATGATCAAGACGACGATACGCGCGGCATGTTGGGCCATTCTCGATTCTCCCAAGTTCGGCCATGTTGGGGGGCGCCGATTGATGATATGGCGGTAGTCGGAGCGGGCGTCGGCCAATGACGCAGTGTGACGCTACAAGGCGCAGGTGGGGCAGCGTGGCGTCCAGTGGGATAAGGAAGGTGACGCCCCCCCGACGAGCAAACTTCGGTTGGTCGCCAACTCCCCAAGTTCCTGCCCCCAGCATGCTCTTCGGGTCGTCGGGGCACCCATAGCTCGGCGACCTAAGGCATTATACAGGTATTTCATGTACAAAAAGCACAAAAAGTACGTACCGCAGCTGGTCTTGTCGCTGCCGTATTCAACTTAGTCCAGCTCCGCTAGCTGGCCAGGCCCATGGCGCACCACCCTGACAGGGCTTGGCCCCGGAACGGGCGTCGCTTCTCGGTGCGGCCTCGTTCTTATTGGTATCCCCCGGATTTTGCAGTTGTTGATTGCAGCGACGTAGAAACAGGGCGTGACGGGCGACATGTGTGCGAACTTTGCCACGCCGTGAAGAGAGGAGAAACCACGGCATTCACCGCATGGGAAGAGGAGGGGCGGATGCCTGCGGGGCACACCCAGCGTTAGGTGAGAGGTGTAGAAAAGGATCCTGTCGCTCGACACATATCATGCATTTTGCCATCGGTGTGTGCTGGTGAGTGACCGCTGATTCGTACGTGCAACCGGCACGGCCAGATGCATTTGCTTGGCTTGGCCGTTTGTACGCACCAGGTGCCAGTGCCTGTGCCTGTGCCTGTGCCTGGCTGGTGTCCACGAGACATGTTACCCCAAGCGATCCCGCCGTCGAGAGACAAACGCGATGCAACAATAACCTCATTGTGTTCACTCGCGGTTCCACCCGGCCGTGCGTCGGTGTGGTTTATTTCCAGGCTGTGGCTGACTCGCGGCTAAACGATCTAGATCGAGGCGTCGCTCCCTATCGCTTGCCACTCGCTCGACGGCACTCCCCTTTGGGCCCTTAGGGTGGCTCACGATGCTCGCCTGAAGACTCAACCAACAAAGACTCGAAACTTCCCAGCGGCGTTCCACACATCTCGGTCCCATGGCCCGGCGCAAGCAGTCAGCAAAGAGTTTTCCCACTGCCCGCTTGGCAGACAGACAACTCAGCCTATGAGGGCGACTGATCTCCACCAAGAGCGTATGGCTTGCTGCGCGGCCCACGCTAACCAACGTCCGCCCTTGTTCCATGCATTTTCTACCCGGGTCAGGTGGAAGGAGAGAGATATGGACATGAGCATGGGCATGGTCTGATCGTCATACACGCGGAGTGGGCGCCCATGTCGTTGGCATGTCCGGGTCGTCGGGCTGCCAGGCATTGGCCCAAACGTGATGCAAAAAACACGTTTTTATTTTGAGTTGATTGCTCATAATGTACTGATACATGTGCTCTTGTGATCATGCATTTGGGCGGCCTGGGTGTTAATCGGCGGGGCTCTTGTGTGGACGGACTGGCTCAGTGGAGCTGACCTCGCCCGGGGCCCGGAGCCCCCCCCGCCAGCGCACCTACCCGAATAGTTACTGCGTGACGGAGAGGCAGGTGCGCTTGGTGGGCGCTCCCCTCCCGCCGTCATTTTCCATGATGGGGGGTGAGAAAGTGCGACTGCGCCGCGCCTGCTAATTACTGTACCGGTCCCTGCTGGCCATTCCGGTCCCAGTTTTCCCACCTCCGCCATCTTTGACTCCCACCATTATCACCACCGACTTTCCGACTCACCACCGCTGCTGCACTGCTGCTGCACTGCCAAAATCGCCTGCTGCTCTTTCCCTCGGCCTCCTCGCCCCTCGCCCCATGGCCCTCGTCGAGGTCTCTCTTGGTGGATTACTCCTTTTCCTCGTCTCCGGCCTCGGCTCCTGCCCCCGGGTCCCTCGATGAGCCTCCCGCGCGTCCGCCGCTGCCATGGATCTCGCTCCCTCTACCGGCGACAACCCGAACAGCCTCATCTCCAACCTCGACCACCAAAACATCCCTTCACCAGCACCTATCACTCCGGCTACTAACAATGGCCAACCAACCATCTCCCAGCCGGCCTCCCACGCCAATTCTCCCGACCGCAAGCCTAAGAAGTCGTCCCTGACCTGCACCACCTGTCGCGCCCGCAAGGTCCGCTGCAACGGTGCCCGCGACGTCTGCTCTAACTGCGAGCGTCTCGGGTTTCCCTGTTCCTATGATGAAGCCGACCCTTCCACAATGTCCGGCGCCTTGCCGCGCCGTCGCGTCCGCCAGGCCTGCCTGAGCTGCCATAGCCGCAAGGCCCGATGTTCCGGTCATATGCCCGCCTGCGAGCGATGTCGCATCCAAGGGATCGAATGTGTCTATCGGCCCAGCAAGCGAGCCCGCATCGCCGTGCGAACCGACGGCCGAAGTCCCCAGAGCCAAGATGGCGAACGGGACGATGCCCACAATGATAGCGACCCGGGACTGACAGACCCTACTAGCATCGCTACTCCTAACGCTTATACTCATGATACGTAGGTCCAACTATATCGAGTTGACATGAGCCTCGACTAACGCAAGTACACAGCCCCTACCCCGATGAATCTTTCGACGCCTTGATAGGACGCACCTTCGATCAATTCTTCCGCCATGTCCACCACATTCCAATGTTCTCCTTTCTGCATCGGGCATCCCTGATGGAGCGTTATCACTCAGGCAAGGTCGAAAAGGCTCTCCTCCTCGCGCTCGTAGGAATCACTTCGTACCTCACCGACATGGGCCCAGGGATGCGCGAATATGGTGAAAGGTGCATTGACGATGCCGAGGGCTTCATCTTTGCCGAGTACAATCGCCCGACCACTATCAAAGTCCAGGCACTGGTTCTAATAATCAAGCATCGTATCCTCGGGAAAAGGTCTCCCAGCGCATTCATGCTGTTGAGCATTGCCTCTCGCTATGCCTCAGCCCTTCGCCTGAACCACGAAGCCCCAAATCTATGCTTCCTGGCACAAGAATCACGGAGAAGACTGATGTGGGCACTATACTGCGTGGACTCGAGCATCTCAGGGGGATATCGCGATTACTCGCTTTGGGCGGCTGATAGGATACATGTCGGACTCCCTTGCAACGAGCGCAACTTTGAATTCGATCTGCCCCAGTCCACCGAGAGGCTCATGCACAACCCCGACGCCCCTCATGTCGAAGATGTCGGGAGCTTGGCGCTTCACATCCGAATACAACACATGCGGCGGAGAATCATGGAATTTACCAGGCGAGTCGTTCTCAGCCGCAACATCAAGGCCGACGAGCTTCAGGCTGGTATCTGGGGCCTGCACAAAGACCTCGCCGATTTCGCTTCCCACCTCCCGACCTCCTTCCAGTTCTCTGAGAGCTCCCTGCGGTTACGCGCTTACTCTCCTCGAATATGCATCTTTGTCATGATCCATGTCTGGTGGCGACAATGCCACTGCGACTTGTATCGTCTGGCCCTTGTGGGGATGCGAGAAGCCCTACCTCGTTCCGCCATTGTCAACCTCGATGAAGCTTTCGTGAACCACTGCCAACAACAATGTGTCGAGCACTCTCTTGCCATGGCCAATATCTTTGCGTCAATGCAAAAGCTCAACGCGAAACCAGTGGCAGATTTAGACTTAGCGGTATGCGCATATCAGTGCGCGCGAGTACTGACTTACGCATACCACACAAATGGACCCAAATACGATTTATCCGGGGACGCCGTCGTGGATCGTGCAAAGGTTTGCCTTTACACAATCAAGGAGTGTTGCGTGGGAAAGACGGCCGATGGTATCAAGAACGACTTGGAAAAACTAATTGCTCACGGAATCAAGACAACGCCGTCGACCCCAGATGGACAAATGTCGATCGATAATGGATTCCCTCGACAGTCTCTCCTCAAATCCGTCTCGATGCCAGGCATCCATGAGTTGAACGAGTCATCGCAGTTTGGCTCCATGGGTCCAATGTCCCTAGGACCTATGACTGATTCGACATTCCCTCCCTCCCTCGTCGCCGATCCGTGGGCGCCCGAAAGTCAAGTATCCCCAGACTTAGTACAACCACCTGCCGATGTCCAGGTAACCAACAAGACCAACACGGCGATGCCCGAAATTGTCTCTCGTCCAGAGTTTGGCGTCTCGGAACTAAACAACGCATACGAGGGTGGATTAGAAGGTCTAGGTCTCGAAAACAGTGTGGATTATGGCATGGGACTGGATCAGAACTTGTGGATACCAAGCAACGACTGGCTTGGGGTGGAGTCACTTAATGGGGGCGTGGGGGCTTGAACTGGACGAACCGATTACAAGAGGAGGAACAGCAACACGATTCATGGATTCAGGGCTATATCCACTCGACGAGGACTGGAGAACCTTGACCAGATGATAAAGTCGTGTCGAGTGAGAGCATCAGAGTCTAGAGCACGAAGCGACCCCTCCAACGCGAAAAATCAAAGCACCAATCCAAAATATGCGAATCACGATCGAGAACCCAACCGTCGAATCTCAAGCCGTACACCGAAAGACCATGGGTCAGAATCACCATCACTCGAGTTTGTGGTCTGGACTTGGAGGCAAACGGGCTGTCCTAGCTGAGATGGGTTTGAGGTCGCTAGACACCCTTCGAGTCACCCACTAGGCTCACAGCAAGCCTCAAACCCGGATGTCGGCATTATATGGATTTGGTAATCGAACAACTCGCAATGGCGAAGTGAAAATAGGAGGGCTGGAGCTGAAGGCGGGAGGGTACATAAACTGAAGGAAGGAGGATGAGAAAGAGTGTTCATGGGCCACAAGGAAGTGACGGCGCCAAGTGTGAAGGGAACCATGACGATCTAAGCAGTCGGTCTGATCATGCCCGACACGATACCCAGTGATGTGAAACGACATGACACGACGGTCTAGAAACATATGTATATACATGCATGTACAGCAAAGCATTTAAAAATCAATTAAGCAGACATATCAGCAACCTAATCACCCACCGGTCCAGCAGGAGTACCAATCATCATCAGCGTGAAGCGTTGATTTTGAATGGCCCTGCGGTTCTTTTAGTTCATTGATTGTACATGTGAAAATCGTCAAAATAACCCCGAGTGCGCCGACCGAGGCGGGAGACGTAGCAAGCAACCGACGTGAAATACAAAGACGAGACAATATGTCAGTCGTGATAGAAGCCTGCCAGCACCGTACCACAACCCCCAAACAATTGTGAACCAGGCCTCCCGATCAAACAAAAACAAGAGTTGCGACCATGGAGATCGTTGCATGTGGGCGCCACAGTTCCATCTACATCTTGACACGGAGGAGGTACCGAAGCTTAACCTGGGCGACATCATAGACGATGTACTCATTGTAGTAGAGGCCAGCACCCTGGACATTCGTTTGTCCAGGCTTGATGGTGGTGTCAGGCTGTGATGGGTTAGTATCAACTCTTTATTGAAGGTGGCTTTGGGAGGAGATGGGGTGAGATCTTACCATCTTGATGCCCTTGAGGCTCTCATGCGCGATGCTGGCGTCAACCCACTTGCTGGGACCCATGCTGCCCTGGCCCCAGGTGCTGTACATGCCATTCTTCTTGGCATCCTCACCCGCGTTGTAGCTGGCGTTAGTAAGTTTCTGCATGGGGTCACCCAGCTCGGCCTCGCAGAGGAGAAGCAGTGCCTCGCCGTTGGAAATGTACGATGCGCAATAACCAGCGGACTTGGATGACATATCGGCGAGGTAGATACCCTTGCCGAACATGTAACCTGACACCGGAGCCTCAGGGGGGGCAATTCGTAGACCTTGGCTGAGGATACCACCGAAGTTCGTGCATCGGGAGCCGTGCCAGAGGAGGCGACGGTCCGAGTCAATCTTGGTATAAGGGGATTCGTCAAAGCGCTTCGTCTCGCCTTGGCGCTCAATTCGGAAGATATCCTTGACCTGGTAACTCACGTTGTGTGTGGAACCGCGGGACTCGTTCAGGTAGCTAGAGAGCTGAGTGAACTCATTGCTGCCGTGCTTCAAAGGCGTCATCTCCTCGAGGCCAAGACCCTGGAACTGCCGGTCAATGGGGTGGATGGTATCTCTTGTCTTGCGGTCAATCTTCATGATATCGGCAGCATCCTTCATGTCTGACAAGCTCTCCAGAAGCTCTATTTCCTTCTTGAGCATAGCGTCGTTTTGGATGATTGGGGGACGGTTGCGGCCAAATGCATGGGGGATGAAAGAGTAGTAGGTGTTGGAAAGATGCTCGGTAGCAGCGGATATGTTTGTGTTCCACTTGCTCGCAGCAAGGGTGGGATCATCCATGAGGGCAGCAAGATCCTTGAGCTGCTGGAAACCACGCGTAATGGTTGCCTTACTGAGCTTGCCCAGGGGAAGCTTGTTGGCGTCGTAGTTAAGGGACGTCATGGTGGCGTTAAAGAACTGCTGGTTGAAGATGAGTTCCATCAACTCCTTGACAGGTTTCTCAAGGGTGCATTCGGGTGGCGGGGCAGACTCCTCCTCATCGCCATCCTCTTTCTTCACAGCTTTGGCGTCATCTTCATCCTCATCGTCGTCGTCGTCGGGGTTGTAGCTGCGCTCCACAAAGGCATACTTTCCAGGCTTAGGGTCGCCACCACGCATATCCCAAGGCAGACCTGACTTGTCTTTGAACTTCTTTTCAAAGTTCTTGATGGCATCAGCCAGTGTGCCATTGCCCAAGGCGACGCCAGTGCCAGGTTCACCAACGCGGCCCCATCGAGTCCAAGCCTTGAATGTCTTGGACTTGGGCTCCTCCAGAACCTATTGGAACGAGTTAGCCTTTGCCCTGAAGTGATTAAAGGTCAAGATAGGGGCACCGACCTGGATGCGGTAGAATTTATTGTTGTTGTTGGATGAGTTAGACTGGTTCAGCGAAGCGTCATAGATGAGGCCGGAACTCGGGTCCACATAGACTTGATATGTGGGAAGCGTACAAAATTCATCAAGGGGAATGGCGATGCCCTTCTTCTTGATGAACTGCCCTTCTGCCACGATCTTTTCCTCTTCGAGGTTCTCCTCGGGCTCATCTTTGACCGTGGCCTTTGCCTTGGAAGCTTTAGTGGCCTTAGTAGCCTTGGCGGCCTTGGGCGCAGCAGCTTTGGTAGCTTTGGTAGTCTTAGGCGCGGCCTTGGGCTGATCTTCCTCCTCCTCCTCTTCCTCTTCCTCCTCATCGTCAGCCTTGGAAGCCTTTGTGGCCTTGGTAGCCTTCGTGGCCTTGGAGGCAGTGGCTCTAGAAGCTCTGGCTTTCTTGGCCTTGGGTTGAACTTCTTCCTCTGCCTCCTCTTCTTCCTCCTCGTCATCGGCCTTGGCAGCGACAGCAGGCCTCTTCTTTGAGGCTCCGTTGGTGGAAGCCTTTGACTTGGTGACATTTGCTTGCTTAGCTCCCCAAGTGTAACCATCGACACTGAGCTTCTTCTTCTTAGAGTCAACATCGACAATCCACTGTGGATTCACGAGAGGCAGGTCCTTGGCCTTCGCCGCGGCGATCTTTGTGGTTCCGGCTTCGAAGTCATCCTCAGTGCAGATGACGTGCGTCGTAGCCTTGGTGACACTTTTGGTGACGGTGCCACCGTGTGACCGGATGATGGCCTCAAGGGAGCCGTGGTTGTGTGAAATGGCGTCAAACTTGCCGCTGAGGGCGATGGCGCAGCCGTCCAAGGGCGGATCAGCGGGCGGTGCCGCTGCGGCTTTGCGTCTAGGAGCCATTTTTGGGTGAGGATATGAGGTGGAGGGTGAGAACAAAGTGGGAGAAGCCGCGAGGTTGAGAGGTCAAGTCGAACGCGACAGGTGAGGTGAGATGATGACCTGAGCTGGGACGAGACGGGCTGGTTGTTTGTTGATGTGTGTTAGTGAATAGCCGGGATTAAATTAGGGGGCTATGGCAGATGGGACCTCGCCAAATAAACTAACAATAGCAGGCGGGCACAGCGCAATTTGGTGGAGATGCGCGACCAACAGGTTTGGCGGCCAAAAGTAGTAATCGCCGGGAGAAGAAGACACGACACGGTCAATTGGCGACTGACCGAGACGGTGAGACGAAAATGTGTGGGTGAGAAAGGGTGATGAGATGATGATGAAGAAGGAGAGGGGGGAAATCTGTGGTTTGGGCAAGAGGGAAAAGAAGGATGCCGCCTGCCGTTTTATGAACGAGCAGCCCAGTGCCAACGGATGTACTCCAAGTACCGTCAGCTGAAGGCATCTCTGCCCCGCTCCTTCCCTCCACCGTCGCACCTGGGCGCATTCCCCTAGCTCCAGTGGTCCCGGACCCCAGCTTCGCGCGAGCTCTCCAGGCACCAGCGGGGCACGGTGCGCGCCAAAAGGGCTGGTTGCGGGCTCCGAGGCAGGCACGACTCTGGCGCGACATCACGTGGCGGCCAAATGCCCCAGCACCACCCATATTGCTGCGTCTGGGATGCAACCAACGCTTGGCGATGGGGCCCTGCTGCCTGCTTTTCAGAGTCATTGACTGTGATGCCTCGAATTTCGGGGTCACTGGAAGGTTGTACATGGCGACAACGCAAATCCCTGCTCAGGGATGGTCCCGACTGACCGCCGTTGCTATTCAATGGCACGGGTCGTTTCACGTCGTCCTGGTTAATGTCAGATCAATGTCAACGTCATATTCTTCAAAACCTTTGAGTTTGAAGTCGCTTCCCCTCTAGGTTTTCGCGGCAGACATCAAGGTCTGGCTTCCCTCTTGATGAAAAGTCTTTAAATTGATGACGAAATTCCCCGGTACTGCTTATAAGCACAAGGGGAAGAACCTCTGTATTGCAGTATATTGCAATTCCCCGTCCAAGACCCGCAGCATGCTTGCGTGTGCATAGCGTGGCATCACAACTCCCCAACTGCATCATCCCAGTATATTTAGTAACACCAGCCCCGAGCCTTTTCTTTCTCTTCTCACAGAAGCCGAGCCCTCGATCCCGGGAGGATGAAGTCTGGCCTTATCGTCACGCTGGCAAGTGCGCTCGTCCTGGCGAAACGGGCGCGGCTCCCCGACAAAATCAACCTGGACGAGCGCATCCGGTTTGGTTGGTGTCGGGAGGCGAACCAGACCGACACTTGCGACGAGCGGTTACTGGATCATGCGCGGTGCTGTGAGTTTTGCTTGTTCCTTTGTTTGTGGCAGCGTGCTGATGGGGTTGGGACGCAGACGACTTTGAGATCCTCGACGAGTACTTAAACGACAACGTCGAAACCATCACAGTAACGGGCGGACGATGCGTGATCTGGGAGTGCGTGCTTGCCCTACCCTCGGTCCTCCATCTATGTACGACATACTCACATACTCCTGCAGGAAGAACGGATGCCACGGAGACCACACGGGCATGATTGTCGGCAAAGACATCATCGCCGACAACGTGTGTCCCGGATACCCCTGGTCGCGCCGGGCCTCGTCGGTCAAGTGCTGCGGAGGCGATTACAATGCGCTGTGGTGCGCAGATCCGGGGAAGAGACCCAAGTGCACGGATTGATACGGAGGTTGGAAGCCATGTGCAATGGCTCGATTGGGTTGCCACCCCGTTTCCGTCAGTGTTTAAGAGCGTTTATGTTGAGGGTGCCTTTGGCCACCACCCCTAAGGGTCATCCTAGACCTAGCTTATAGCCCACCTTAGCTAGACCTTACACACACGCATTTCTCACACATGCCTTCCTTCCCTTGTGAGACCTTTACGACAGTTTATTAGCCTAAGACTCGGATCGAGTTATTCTTTCTACTATGACGGGCGGTCAGGGACTTCTGGGCTGGCCGGTCGCTAGCTGAGTCGTCTCTGGGATAAAGAGGAGATGTTACGATCCTTGCTCAACCTCCCTCTTCCACTCAGTCAGTCATCGAGCTGCCGCAGACCTTATTGAAGCCTTGCCAGCGGAGTTTTCTACGACGGAACTGATATTCCATCTCATGAGATGCTTTCCTATTAGGAGACACAAGGCTCAGATCCATCCGAGCTTATACGCCTAGTCTGGTCCGCTTCGGGCTGACCTTAAAAGACGCCTGTGCGACGACTTTCTGTGGATAAGCTAACGAGTTGGGTGTCGGTTTTCGTCCCTTTCCGCCGCTAAAGTGTGCTTTCCGTCTTTGTCGTTGTTTCTACCTTCTTGTTGGAATACTATGAGAAACAAGGGCCTGATGGTCTGGACTGGATTACCATAATCCAGCGTAAGGGGTCCCCCCTAAGCCCTAAAACCGCTTAAGGCCCTGATCTTTAGCGCTCTCAGTGCTCTATAATCTCTATAAAATACATGAGGCATTGTGTTGAGGGTGTGGCCTTAGGCTGCTACCCCTAAGGGTTAATCTAAACCCGGCCCCTTTACGGCCTATTGTAGGCTAGCTAGCTAGACTTCTATATACACACCTTATAACCCTTATAAGTGCCCCTGTGTGAGGTTTCACATATTGGCTCGTGTATTGGTTCACCGGTCGTTAGATCTCCAGGGGAAGCGAGGGGCATGGCTAATAGGACGGATTGAGGGGGACACCATGGCATCTCGTTTCTTCCTCAATCGTAACTCATCAAAATACCTGTGTCCGCCTGTACAACGGCAGTAGAAACCTCAGCATTAGCACCTCGTACATGGTCTAAAACTACCAGGCACCTCTTGCAATATCTTCCGTGTCATTGCCGTCGAACTTGCATCAAATGATTTCATCAATTTCTCCACGTCCCATAGACCCTCCCAATACTTCGCTCCAGATCCTCAGCAATAGCCTCTACAACAGCGACTAGTAGCAACTACAGGTTGCCGCTTACTAGAACGCTAATCCCCTCCCCATCAAGGAGGGTCACTAGCATCTGCTGTGAGAACGGCGCCGCCATGTTCGGACCTGCCGCGCAATTGAGTCAACAACGGTGACCATTATTGATCGTCATCGGAATTGTCGTCACCATCATCTTGTTCGTCTTCATCCGAGTCTGTACAGGAGGCCAAGGTTAGCACTTCAGGCTGGCCCTTTCACAAATCTAGGGCGTATTGGTCCCACAGACCATCGTCTTCATCAGATCCCTGCGATCTGTCTCCTTCGTCGTGTGCGTAAAGGACTTTCATGCCTGCAATCTCCTCTCCCACATAATGCCTCCAATCCGTGCCGGTATAGTTCATCATCGAGTTTCCGTCGCGGAAGGTGACCAACGAATGGGACGGACGCGAGTACCAATGCTGTTGGACGCTACCCACCATGATGTGACGTAATTCCAGTCCCGGGATGCCCTTGAGCCTCTCGAGGAACTTGCCCCAGAAGTTGACCTTTGGTGGAGCACCAACGTGGTTATCTGGGAGTCCCCGTCGAAGGGTCAGTTTCCAGAGCTGAAGTCTCTTAAGTGTCGGCGCAACCTTTCGGACGACGTTAAGGACCCAAGAAGCCTCAACATGCATGAATCCCAGATTAAGCTCCTCCAAATGACTGAGAGCCGGGGGTGGGAGCACAAGCAAAGGCGCGGGCACAGGCACAGGGATACCGGTTATAGTCGTAGCCATAGTCGTAGCCATAGTCGTAGTCGTGGCCGCGGCCGTGGCCGCAGGAGGCGTGGCAGTTGGTGATCCCGCCAACCATATGAGAAATCCACTAAGTCTGATGTCGTCCTTGCCCGCCTCGTTGATCCGGAGATGTCGGAGATGAGTGGTGTTCAAAAGAAACTTGCACAGCATAAAATCAGATGCCAGCAGCAAGTTTGGGTCTGGAGCGGACACCACCGGTTCGGTTCTCCAAATCATATTAACATCAAGATGCAGTTTCTCGAGGTTTTGGAGCACCGGCAGCACAGATGCTTCCATGTATGGAGGAATGTTGAAGGCGAAGCTCTTCAAGTGGTTGTTGTTCCTCGCCATGACCTCGATGCCCTTGGGTCTCGCCCCTGCTTGGCCCAATGCCATGAGCACGGCGGAGAAGACCTGGCTGCTGAAATTGGACGTAAACTTTTGTTCCCGGCTGTTATATCTGTTCTGGATAATGTTGGAATCTGTCTCGCGGTTGGCAGTCGTTGACCCATAGCTAGTCCACTGAAAGAACGGCCCGTCGCGGGCGCGCTTGCGAGAGTTGAAGTCGCGAATAACCACATCCTCGAGGTTTGGGAGGTTGCGGAAGGCCTCTGCGAGCATGTCGCGTTGGTAGCCGGTACTCCACAGGGTAAACATGTCTGCATAGCGCTCCAGCTGCCTCTTCTCGTATTGATCATTGGCGGTGCGACGCACGGCCGTAGGTGGGGGATAGTGGTCGAGGCCAAAGTGCACCATGCGAAGATGGACGCCGAGGCGGCTTTTGGAGATGTCTATGAGGGCTTGGAGGCTATGATCCGAGAGCATGAACTGCTTGCGGGTGAAGAACTCCTTGATGAATGTGGTGTCGAGGGACTGCTCGATGGAGCGACATGTCAGACGCACTCTGCCAAGGTCAGGCGTGCCGAGGAAGCAGGTGATGCGCAGGAGGACCTCGAGCGGGATCTTTTGGAAGGGACAGCTCGGCAAGGGAGCTGTTGGCGAGTTGACGTCGGCCATTACAGCGTCGGCGTCGGCCATGGCAGTGGTGATGTTGGCTGAGGAGGTGTTGGCAGTAGTATCATCCACTGTAGCGTCAGTGGCGAGGGCGATTGAGGAACTATGAGAGAGAGAAGAAAGAGGGGAAAATGAATGGGAGAACAATCAGGACCGCGGCCCGGAAATGATCGAGTCGGTGGCTTCGTCTATTTATGCCCCGTCCCGTCGCCTGTCTGATCATCAGTCGCTCTCTCGCTCGTCAACCCACTCACTGTCAACGGTAAGATTCACGGTCGGCGTGGTGCAGCGGGTAGGTGCCGCAGCAGGCAGCAAGGCCAGGCAGTCGAGCCCACCAGCTGTCGTTTCGTTCAGCGGCGCCCGGGAGAAGTGGCCGGGGGCTTAAGCGGCTAGGTACCTTGGGTAGGTACCTATCAGTGGAGCGGAGGGAACGGACGGTCGGGCGGACGGCGGCGTCGCAATAACGAGGTCGCTTCAGTCGCTGCGTTGCGTTGTTGGTTGTGCGACGATTCAATTGCCTCTGTTTGTGTTCTCCCATATTTATACCAGCCTGATCCGGAGCCAGATTCGCCGTCAGCCCGACAGACAGCCTGGACACTGATGTATTGGAGGCTTGAGAACATTGCATATTGTGGCGCGCCCTGCTGAGAGAGGTCGAGCTAGCGCTGAGGCTCTACAGTGAGCGGGAAATTAGTGGCGGGAGACCCCTAATTTCAGCTGCCGGTCCTCTAAACTACCCCCTCGGTCAGACTCGATACAGTGCATCTGTCTCAACTCCGCCAGTTCTCACATTCACTCGTACCTAAATCAAACAATCATGCACTTCGTCCCTCTGGACTCGGTTCCCAAAAATCAGTAGCGTATATATACTCGTCGCAAAATCCTGGTATATCCTCCACGCCTTCTCTCAAGTCTGAGAAGGAACATCAGCAACAGGAAAAAACTACCTATCCAAGCATGCACCCGTCTATTATCCCAAGCCCAAAAGGAACCAAAAGACAAGCCCTCATGTCTCGGCCCTGGTCCCATCCCATTGCCATTGCTCCCAATGCACGCGCGCACAGCCATACGGACTCCCTCCAATGATAAACCAAACAAACATTGTGGGTATAATAAACTCAGCCAAGTCCCATGAACTCGTTCTGCCGCAGGAAGCTTGTCGCCAGCTCGTCGCCTCCATGTTCCGCCGCCTCCATCCAGTGAACCGCAACGCACATCAGGCCCGGATCACTACGCACGTCGCTCTCCTTTCCATCTCCGGGGCCTCCTCCCAGGCCTCCAGATCCTCTCGCGCCACTTCCACCGCCGCCGAGCCCGTGTCCACTTCCACCGGGACCACCAGGGCCCATCCGGCTTCGCTCGCTTCGCCCATACATTTCCATCACAGCCTGCTTAAACACCTCCCGCGGCTTGGACAACGGCAACGTTGTCCGCTCTACATACTCCGGGTTGGAGAGGTAGAATAGCGCCAACTCTCGCTGCGCTGTTGGGAATCCTTCCTTTGCTGTGATGGCCCACATCTTACCAGCATCATCGAGCTTGTATGTTGTCGACGGAGGTGGCGGCGTGCCAGTCGACGACTGAGGCACCTCCGATGGACCCGAGTCGGCATGGGCCTTGCGGACATGCGTATGCGCCGCCACAACCTCATCCGCCATCTCCACCATGGTCCGGCACACCTCTGACTTGAGCTTCAAAGCCGCCAAAGCCGTGTTCCAGAACGCCTTGCCTCGCTCCGGCTTGTCCAGCACTGAGGGTGGTACAAACGAAGCGATGAACTGCAGATCGCGGAAGAGCGTCTTGGGTCGGATCGACGCTTCCCGGAAGAGTGCCTGCAGTTCTTTCGTGATGGCGTCCGTGTTCGCCGCACCACCGGACATGATAGACCGCGTCTCAGAGCTGGACTGCCTGGAATTGTGGGCAAACAATGGTGTTTCCAGTTGGGACTGAATAGCCTGGGACCGACGTTCCTTGATGTTGTCGATTGTCCCCTCGAGAGGCGTCGGCCTGCCGTTGTTGGCGTGCTCCTCGACAACGCTTGACCCTGCGTCCGACCGATTCCATCGAGGCCTCTTGTTGCTGTTCGAGTTGAGCGAGGCAATGATGAGGTTCTCCAGCTCATGCAGGGCATTCAACTTGGCATACGGATTGGGGTGGACACAGAACATGTTGAGCAGCCGTTGGTATGCTTTCTTGAACGGAAACTCGTTCACTTCCTTGACAGCAGATAGTCGTGGAGTCGAATCATTTGTGGCCAAGCCATCGTTGATGGAAATGGACGGTGTCTCTGAAGCCTCTGACGTCCGGTCTGAAACTGGATCGCCCGCGCCCCGCAGGTTGCCAAAGCTCTTCTTCTTCTCAATCACTCTAGGTCGTCCAGAGCTCCGTTTCTCCTTGATCTCGGATCGTCGCTTTGCCCGACGATCGAGCGCGTCTTTACGGTCAATGCACTGTTGACCCAATTTCTCGAACCATGCATCCGTCTCGGATCCTCGGGCAAATACTTGGTTGCCGAGATCCGACAGCAACAGACTGGTGAGAGATTGCTTGAGATCGGTAAGGAACCGCGTCTTCTCATCATCACCCCGCTGCTGGAAGACAGTCTCGTTGGATGACGCCGCCGTACCTGGCCGCCCAGTCGAGTAGCTCGCCGTAGACGGTGTATGGACTTGGTATGGAGGGTGAGAGAAGGTGGTGGAGATATTAGTCAAGCTCGTTGTCGGTGAATATCGGGAATTGCCCGAGCCTGGAGACATGACTGGCTGGAATGGTGACCAGAAAGTGCTCATCGAGTCACTCATATGAGCTGGCGAGGCTCGGTCAAAGTATTCTTGTCCATCCAAAATGTCCGACAAGGCGGAGGTCGCTCGTGGCAAGCTTTGTCGAACAGAGTCGAGCGAATTCTGGCTTGGGTTGTGCAGAGACAAGTTCCTCAGGTCCCGGGCGAATGAGCTTGGTCGGCTTGAGGACGAGGTAAATCTTCGGTCCTGCTCGCTGATGATGCTTGCAGAGTCATCTCCTTGCCATGAATACTCTCGCTCCCTTGCCCTCATGCGGTCGTACGACACCTTGTCGCGCTTATATAGCTCGCTAGACCACAAAACCGGTGCCTCGCGAATGGTTTCTCCAACTAGCTTCGAGATGCATTTATCCACCTCGCAGGCGAATCGGTGGATTCTCTCCTCACCCTGGCAGAAATTCTCAATGCCACACTTCTGGAGCCAGAGAGATGTGGTTTCGGCCTGGTCATCGCTAAGCTTGTTGGGTCCGCCCTGTTCCTCAGAAGCGGCCAGCAAATCCATGATTTGAGATTCGGCGCGATACAAATATGATGAATTTGGCACTCGTGCCATGTTGGCCCGGGATCGTTGGAAGGAATTCCAGCGTCGTGGCATGCCCATCGTCTTCAGCGCCTGGCAAATGTCGCGGCTGTGCGTGTACTCCTTGGAGTTGCGCACATCCGTCACATACCACATCTTATTGCGCATGGCTCGCACACGCTTCATCATTCGGTCAATGAGTCCCTCATGACGCTCCTGGCTCTGCTTCAACCAGACTAGCCAGGCATCGTATTCTTCGATGGCGGCTGCCGACCGACGGATTGAATCCCTGGGGCCTCTGGAAAAGATGTTGATGAGAACTGCGAAACCATTCTCTCGCAGGGAGGGTGATTCCAGGGCATTCAGTTGGTTGAGGGTCTTCCAGTACTGGTGAGACGATACAAAATCCGCCAGGGCCTTGGATTGGGCCGAAGCCGCCTTGAGCATGGTAATCAGAACAGCCTCTGGCTGCTCAAACTTGGCGGCGGAGTGAAGTCCAGATATGGCATCCTTCTTGGAATCTGTTTTGACGGGTCCATTGATGCCCTGCTTCCGATATGGATTACGGCTGGCCATTGATCTTTCAGGAGTGATGATTTTGGTTTTCGATTTGTACCTCTTGAGGCCTGAAGCGCGATTGCTGAGCTGAGTTCGACCGCTTTCGGGTTCCAAACTCCGAGGGATCTCGTAGTCTTCAACGAGTCTGAGAATCGAGTCCCGTAGCTGGTGGTAGTCCTTGTCGAGTTCAGGTCCATCCGGTACGTCATCCTCATCTGTATCAGTGCTTGATGAGTTCTCCTCGTCGTCGAGTTCATCCTCGGGATCAAAGGTCATGTGTGTAGAAAGACTCTTTCCATCTGAAGAAATAAATAGAACAACCCATCGCTCCGCGCAAGGGTGGCAGGAACCACGGACGGAGTCGGCTCCTAGATTCTGGGTCATCTCATGGAGGGCGAGGCGAAGGCGGTATCCGTCGTCCTCGTACTTGTTCAGTCGCTTCTGCATCTCCGGGTCCATTGCTGGGGGAGAGTACCGCTGTGGGGTGACCGAGGTTCCTTCGTCCATAAAGCCGTCTCTGGAGGCCGTGGCGTCGCTAAAGACCGATGAGGCGCTGGTGCTGATAATGGAGGCTGTCTCGAAGTTTTGTCTTGGGTTCGTCATCGATATGGGTTGGGAGATGGCTGACATGCCGGAGATGGACGCCGGGCCGGACCTGAAGCTGCCAGATGCAGCCGAGTGGGGTCTCCTCTCTGGAAAGATGGCATTCACCAGTGTCGCCAAGTCAGCAGGGCTGATGACCAGATAGGGGTGGACCTCCATGGTTTCCCTCAATGATGTGATGGACCTCGCGGGTAAGAGTTTGGCAGCGGGCACCTTGGACTGAGATCCCTGGAACCTGGCGAGGATACTCTCCACATGGCCCTTGATCTTCGGGGGCACGTCCACGGGAACACAGGTTGCCGAGGGCTTTCCGCTCCACATGCTGGAGACGTATTCATGGGCCTTCATGGCGACCTTTTTCAGAATCTTCTCGCGGGCATAGGGGGTAATGTGATACTCAGCCAGCATGCCATAGGACTCGGGGTGGATGATAACCCCAAGGAGGAATACAAAGAAGAGACATCTCCAAACTAGCCAGCGGGAAGTGTTTTCCACGTACTTGTTGTCCAGCTTCCGGAGGACGGCGTTTCCAAGCTCCAAAAGGCCCTCGGGTATTCCAGTGGCGTCCTCGTCGTCGACCAACTCGAATAGTTGATTGACCGCTTTTTCGTAGAATTCCTTGGCCGCAACTTCGTCCGAGTGGTTCCAATCTGACAGGTTGAATCGAGTGCCGTGCTGGTCCTCGGCCCGGTCCAAGAGGAAGGCTCCGTCCTCGAGGATCTTCATGAGGTACCACTCCATGTTGGACTTGCCAGACCAATCGCGCATGGCAGTCCAGATGTTGAGGACGGAAATGAGGAAATGCTCACCGTTGGATTTGGGCTCGGAAATCAGACGGGCCAGGGCGGTTGCCCAGATCTCAGTGCGTCGCTGGTCCTCGGAGCTGTCGGGTCCGGCAGAGTTGGCGAAGCAAGTGTGGATGAGGATGGAGAGGGGATCATGTCGCTGGAAGGACAAGAGCCGCTCAATGTCGGCGCTGGTGCTGCTTCGGCCGGACGCGCTTGCGTGGGACCTCGCGGCGGATCGGCCATGGAAGGGAAGGACGGATTCCACGGGCTCCAAACCTTTGTGATAGCTCAGGAAGGCATTCAACTCGGAACTAGTCAAGGAACATATGCGAGTGGCCAGGTAGTCCGGGTTGGTGCGGAGCTGTGTCAAAAAATCCAAAAAGGTATCCCGAGCGGAGGCAGAGATGTCGTGCAGGAAGGGCATCATAGTCCGAAGCGGGTTGGCTCCAGGTACAGAGTTAGTGGGGGTGTTTACACTATCCGAAGAGCCCAGGGCGGGCGGGGCCAGGCCTTCCATCTCGGGATCCAGGAGGGCGTATCGGCGGAGCTCGTCGCAGCTGTTGCGGACATCGTGAATGGCGTTGTAGAGGGAGGCGAAGTTGTCCTTGTCGTCCCTACGGAAGCCGTCAACGAGGTTGCGATGGGCAATCTCTCCGCAGCGGGTCAGGCGGGCACTCAGGGCAGTGGAAACCAAACTCCTCTGGAGGCGGAGGCGGGTGTTGGCGCGCTTGCGCTCCTGGTACTTGGAGAGTCGTACGAGATGGGCCAGTTCCTCGAGGGTGGTACTGTCCTTGTCCGGGGAAAGGTGCGGGTTCGTGTACTGGGACACATCCTGGAGGAGGGGTTTCGGAAAGGTCGAGTGGGCGGCGTCGGTCGAGCCATCGGTGGCATCGCCAGGAGCATGCCGCGGGCTAGGTTGGGTAGGCATGTTTAGCTGTGCCACGAGAGGCTTCCGGGCGGCGGCGGCGGCGCTGGGTGTGTGCTGCTGAGCATGGCCGCGGCGGGCGGCGTCGTCGCTGCGTCGGAGAGGCAGGGCTTGAGTCGTGTCGGGGGATCGCTTGGGGCTCGGCGAGCGGTATCGACGAGGTCGCGGCTGTTGCACATGGATGTCGACGGGCGGGTCGGTAGACGTCGAATCTTGGGTGATGGTGGGTGACACGGCTGTAGGGGCGGCGAGGGCCATCAGCCTTCAGGACTGGGGTGGAGAGACGGGAGACGGGTGATGGAGTCAGGGAGTCAGGGTAGGATCAGTGTAGAGAGTCAGGGTCAGAGGCCAGGCCGTCAGAGGTCCAGACCAACTGACGCCACGGACGCACAATACACAGGCACAGGCACAAGCGGCGTCGGAGCAAACGTACGGGGAGAGGAGTGGATGCAGACGGGCGAGGAGAGGGAGCGTTGCATGGAAATCATAGTGTGCCCATGGACAGGAGTCGACGTCGCAGCCGCGCAGCTCCGGTGGCAGCTCTCGACGAGAAGCTGCTCACGGGTCTGTCGGGGCGACTGCTTGAGCTCGATGGCGAAGGCCAGGTCGAGAGGCGGGAGGCGGGAAGCGGGAGGCGTGAGGCGGTTGACAAAGCAGGGCGCTGCCACGGTCGAGGCGAAAGCGGCAGGTCTAGTTGAGAGCGAGACAGTCGAGAGTTGGCGGTTTCACGGCGGAAAGACGACGGTTTGATCGAGTGAGGATTTGTGGGAGGAGGTTGGTTGGTGCTGGACCAGCTAGCAACCACGACAAGAGTTAAGGTGGTGGTGGACTGTGGGGTTGGGTTGAAGCGAGCACTCTAGTCGACGCCTCAGGAGGGGAAAGTCGCAAAGTGATCGGCGGGTTGGGAGGGAGGCTGGAGTCGCCAGCGAGAAATACGAATGAGAGAGAGCACGTTCTGTGTGGGAGCAATAGACAGAGAAGAGAAGAAGGTTGAGCAGCCGGAGGTGGGGGAGGGAGTAGAAGAGAGAGGGGGATGAGGAAGAAGGGGGGGGAGAAGGGAGTAAAGAGAAGAGAGAGAGAGGCGATCAACTAGGAGACAGCAAGCAGACAAAGGCAGCTCAGGATACATACCTCTACATAAAGGGAGGCGAATTACAGCACAGCTGGCAGTGTCGACTCCGACTCTCAACTTGCGCGCTCACTCGCCCACGGACACAAGCGGCCCATGTCCCCAAAGAACGATGGAACCATGCGATAGGACGGGACACTGGGACAGACCGGATGGGAGGGGGATGCGATCGGGCTCCGTCTTGGCTGTCAGTCCCGTCACTCAGCAGCGTCCGTCCGCCTGGGTTGGGATGGTGGATGGTGGAGAGCGAATGGCGGCAGTCCAGTGGACGGTCGACGGCCAGCAGCAGCCGACAGGGATGCGCTGAGTACCCGTAGCGGCAGCGTCGCAGCTACAATTAGCTGGAGATGTGTTACCCTTTACCCACTGCGGCCACTGGGACTGGCTGGGGCACACCACTGGAACCCCTCTGTTTTCTGCCGGGCAGCGGTCGGGGTGTTGTTCGTTGGCGTCGGCGTTGGCGCTGGCGCTGGCGGGAGCGGAGCGGGCAGCAGCGAGCGCTAAGCCGCCTTGGGCCACGGGGGGCATCCACAGGGCCATGCGGCAATGCGGGTGTGAGCTTGAGCCACCATTCGCCATTGGGCGCCCGCGTCCCCTGCCCGTTCCCTGCCGATTCCCTGCCGCCCGGTACCTGAGCCATGTGCGATTCGCACGTGTGTCTCCATGTCTCCATGTCTCTCTAGGCTTCGCTCACCTCCTTCTGCGCTCTGGTTCTCATGTATGTATGCGGTGTGCGAATGTTACACGTCGGACTTTGGGTTTTTGTTTTTGCTTTTTGTCTTTACATTCATGATTACCACCACCTCATTAGTCCGTGGGGGGACTAAAGAGAAAAAGAAACTACAAAATCCGTCGTGGGGGAGACAACAACATGCACCAGAAGCAGGTTTTTTTTTTCCCGCTCGCTCCAACGTCCACCGCGGCCAAGGTTGCTAAAAAAACCGTTGGGTTGCGGGCTCCCTCTGCTTGGTCGCGGTCGGGCACTGAGCTGGTGCTCTCTCTGCCTGCTGAGCTGTACAATTCATAGCCCGGTCCTCTTTTTTTTCTCGCTTGTTGTAATCCCAAATGCACAGCTGAGCTGGCCTTGCCCGGCTCTCTGCAAAGTCTGGTTTGGGCCCGTGTGCTGTGCCGTACTGCGCTGTGCTAGGGCCCTATTGCGAGTTGTCAGCTGTAAGCCGGGAAACGAGATGCGATGCGCTGTGTGATGCGACGAGACAATGCTTCCCGGCAGACAATACATGCACACAGAGGCAATAAAGGCACGCTCCCAGATTAAACTGCGCCAGATACGAAGAGCCGGGCTTTCCCTGCGCGCCCGTTTTATTACTTGCCTCTGCGGGAGAAGGAACCAGGTCCTGGGGCTCATGTATGTACGGAGGAGCATGTATGCAACTTGGCCAGCATCCTCAACGCCCAGAGCTGCGGCATCCCGTTCCTCGGGTCCCAGATCCTTGAGAGAACGGACAGTATGTACCTCATAGTCCGGAGACACAGTACAGGGACACGGTACAGGGACACGGCAGAACCGATCTGCCAGGTGGCAAACCCGTGCCCTTCTTTTCCAGCGCGCGAGCTCTGACGTGCAGACCAGATAGCCATCCGGTGGCCTATGCAGCCTCACCGACTTCTTCTTTCTCCTCCGCCATTCCCATTACCGAGGGAGGGAGGGATTATCTTGCAGCGCAACGCCAGGCGACCCTCCACTCTATGCCGTTCATCGGTGACGGTGACGGCCGGCGCAGAAAGGGCTCGCGCTCGGTGTGCGTGCGTGCGTGCAGAGTACACGCCATCCAACCAAGATGCAGCAGCCAGGCAGCCCAGCCAACCAGCCAGAGCTACACACAATGCAGATGGCGCTGTTGTGCAACACACCACATTGTCGTCTCCCCTCTGTAGCCAAAAGCCAAAGCGGAAGGAAGAAGAAAAGAAGAAGAAACAGGCAGGTGTTCTGCGAGTTGGGGCGTGAGTTGTCACTGCATTCCCGTGCGCCAGCGGCCAGCGGCCAGCGGCCAGCCCAGCTTCACCTCCTCGCCCCCTCCGACGAGCCATCCATCTACGTCCACGCAGCGACAGACGGACACAGACGGGCCGGGCGGGTGAGGCAGTTGAGGGCAGCGGCGCAATGCATGATGACCCGTATTCGTACATGTAGCCCGTCCCGTTTCTGCTTGATCAAACGGCCGTGAGGCTCGAGGGTTCGGCGCTTGCGTGCAGATGGAATCTGCAATGACGAGTGAAGACAGGCATTGAAGGCCCCCAACTCACCTCGCACGAGGTCTCAACAACAGACGGCCAGGGTATTCGCAGGGCCGACCGGCATGGGAAATGCCAACCACAACGCCCCGCGTCCCCAACCGGACGCTATTGCTCTGCTAATCCAGGTCACCCAGGTCATTCAGGCCACTCCGTGCGTCAATCATGAACCAGCTGGAGAACTCCATTGTTCCCTCCAACCTCCATCCCCATCCCCATCCCCATCCCCACAACCTCCCTCGCCGCCGCCCACCCCCTCCACCTCCGGCCGGCCTCCTCTACGCACACCGTCACCCTAGAGCCTGCAGCCAATCTGCGTCGTCCACGCCAGCAGGCTCCCCCATCTGCGAGCGAGAAACATGTGCGCGCGTGTGTCCGTGTGCGTGCGTTGCGTGTGTCTGTCGTTTGCCAACGCACCACCACACACACACGCCAGTCGCAGGCCCAATCATCTCCGGCGCCGCCTCCACCTCGCTGCTCGTCCTGCATCGCGTCCTCTGCGCCAATCACCGGCTGCCAGACCACCGCCCGCTTCCCCCTACCGACTGTCAGATGGCATCCTCGGCCGCGAGAGGCAGAGCAGATGGGAGGCAAAGCAACAAGGCGCAGAGAGACGTCGCAGGTCTTGCTGGCCACCGTCCCCCAGCCACCAGTCATCGGTCACGAGTCGCGAGCCGTTACCAGCCGTCACCGACCCTCAACTCCAGCTGGCGCCGGCCCGGGTCCGGCCTGACCGACCTTCGCAGGGATTGGGCTGGCTTTGCCTCCTTTGCCTCCTTTTCAAGCGCTTTCCTTCAGCCATCCAGTCCCTGCATTTGCCTCCATCATATCTATCCTGTTCTGTAGTAAGAGTAATCTTCAGCGGCGTCCACGCTGGCTTGCGAAACGTCCCCGGCCCATGCCTGTGTCCCGGTCGTCCCAGCCCAGCCTCGGGGTGAGCCGCCCGCCCGGTGCGTTGGCCCTCCGTCCCCACACCCGGCCCACCTCCGTCCCACCTCCGTCCCAACAGTTCACCAGATGCCGACCAGCTTTGTCCTCTCCGTCATGTCTCTTCGTCATTGCTCGCCCAGGAGCACAGGCCCTGACGATACATACAAGTTGAAGTAAAACAATAGTAAGACGCACAGTCAGAATCAAACGTGGGATGATCCGCCAGCTGGCCTAGCTCTCCCAGGAACCACTCTTCCATTTCCCGTTCCAGCATCGCACAGCGCCGTGTCGAACCATGCACGTCAGCGCGCCTCCATCGTCAAATCTCCTAGCACGAGGCAATAGCTCCAAGCAAGCGCACCCTCGGGGCGAGCGCGTCAAGGCCTTGTCGTGTCGTGTCGTGTCTGCACCTCAGCCCGTCCCGCCTGTCCGTCTGCGAGCTCGTGGCACGTACGTCTTACAGCAAGCAAGCATGTACAACCACCTACGTCGAGGTACGTAGAGTAGGCGTCCATGTACGTAGATAGGTCACTGTTACGAGCCCATAACGTGGCCCTCATCTCATCTCTCTATCAGGCCTCCCATTAACAGTCATGAAATTCACACCCTCTTCTTCTGCAAAAGATCCTCCCATCCAATATCACTCGCATCATTCGTGGTTCCCTTATCCGAAGCCCGTGTTCGCAATATATTGTTATTGTGTGCGTTGGCTAGCGTGCGCTTGCTCCATCCAACCCCGATCACTCAACCTGCTATCGTCCTCATCCATGTTGGCTGCTCCCTGGATCGACCCTGTTTCCCCCTCATGTCCTCATCGAGTCGCATTGGTTTCTCGGCAGCCGCCCTACTGGTCAGCCCCTTAATCCCAAAAGCCCTAGTTCGTGCTTCTAGAACCCTTCATCACGAGCCCCAGTCTTCACCTCTAACCTGCCGAGGTGGCCCGGCAGTGCCATGAGGAAGTGGGACACCATCACGACGTCATCGACACACACAAGCGGCATACACAATCTTAAAATGGCAACGGGATTATCATGTACGTTTGAATAGACACGTAGAATTCGTTGATGCATAAGACCGAGGTGAAGCTTCCTCCGCTTCACAATAAACATGGGTATAATACAACCGCTATCCAACCTGACCCTGACCTTTTCCCCATTTTGGCATGCTGCGACTATAGTCCCTGCATTGCCATAATAGACACATAATGCTCCCCCATATCCCCTTTTTTAGATTATCCCTTTTGTTGCTGTTCTTAGAATCCGCGCCCGAATCGAACATCAAAGTCCTTGAGGACACTCATGATGCTCGCTGCCTCCACTTCGATAGGCATCATTGCACCAGGCGGCTGAGGTCGGGCACCGGCTTTAGGGGTTGCCTTGAGCTTTGGCAACCACGAGCCGATATCATCAGCCGCCTTGGAAAAATTCCGATGGCTTGACAGCGTCTGGTAGGCTTCGGCACAGCTAAGACCGAGACTAGGCAGACTGGGTAGGGAAATCTTCTCTTTCTTAGGAGCCGCCCGCGTCTTGCAGCAGCCGCCATCTGCGCCCTTGCCGCCACAGCAACCACCACTTGGACCACCTTTGCGGTCCAAGTTGGCAGCCATGAGGCGACAGAAGAGACCAGACTTAGGGTCTGATTGACACTGGGTGCAGGTTCCGGGCCCATTGGGACCGCAGCCTCGGCTCTGAGAAGACTGGTTCTGGGTTCGACGTGGCAACTTGACAGCGCCGTCGGCCGTCATCTCCATTGCCAGTGTTGGGGAGACAACATCAGTCTCCGAGGGAGGAGGGGTCGAGACCTGATGAGAGATGGGGGGGAGAGTATCGTTGGGGGTCATGGCGGGGGTCGCCAGTGATGTGTCTGCGCAGACGCAATATGTTCCGTCTTTGCAAAACCCACAACCGTCCTTGAATGCCATATTGTCAAGAGTCGGGGCTTGGGCCATGGAAGAAGGGGTAGAGTAATGGGACTCTGGAGGGGCTGTAGTAGTCTCCTTGCGAGAGAACATAGCCGTGAAATCAGTCTCAGCCTCGTCGTGCACGGGGCTAGGACGGTGACGCTTCTCGGTGGAAGTGTTGGCTGATGGAGAAGCTGGACGCTTTAGTTCATGGGAATGCCTAAGAACTTCCGTGACGTCGTCGAGACACTGGCAACTTGAAGTCAGGCCGCACTTGCTGCAGCCATTCGCGGCCGTTGCCATCACCTCCTCGGCACAGGCACACCGTCCGTTTGGGGAACAGTTTCCACACGTGAGGTCGGCTTCCGCTGCATCGTTTGATGAATTCATATCGGGTGGTGAGATAATCTGAGAGATGGAAAAGGTAGTGTGGCTTGACTGCCGTTCCGCTGGTCGTCCATCGGCAAGACTGTGTCTCGGGCCCTGGCTTGTCGGGCTTTGAAGTCCATCAAACGGGTGAGAACTGCTCATGTTCCGGGACTGGTAGCCAGAGTGAAAGGCCCCCTCGTCAAGACGACGCTTGAGGGTCTCAGCCTCAGTCTCGACACGGATCCTGTCTTGACGCTCACGGTCGAGCATATTTTCAAGAAGCATGCAGCGAGAGCGGAAGGACTGGACGTCGAGCTCCAGCTCGTGGATCTTTTCCTTGAGATCAATCTCCTGTTTATCATGAACTTCACGCTGCTGATCGAGCTGCTCCTCGAGCTCGCCGACACGAGCGGCCCTCCGTTCCCGGAAGGCTCGCTGGGCTGCGCGGTTTTGCGCCTTGCGCTTAGTAGGAGGCGTGTCGGTGGCCGGCTTCCTGCCAGGCTTGGGCCTGGGAGGGATAACCCATTCCTTGGATGTCATAGAGACCTTGGGGGCCTCAGGCGGCGTCGGGTTGGGGCTGATTACGGACGACATGGCCATCTTGTTGATGGATGGAAGAGCAGTGCGTTGCTGTTGAGGTTGCACGGGTGGAGGTGGCTGTCCACTCGGCTTAATGGAGAGTGGCGCACGGAGTGGAGCTCCGGGTGTGGCTGGTGTTGCCTGACCGGGAGCGGCGGTGATAGGCCGAGGGGTCGATGGCTTAGAGCCAGCAGCAGGAGAGCCAGCGGCAACAAAGCCAGGTGAGTCGACGATGGTTCGTGGAGATGGTGCGAGGGAAGCGCTATGGCCTGCCATGATGGGAATCGTAGGAGGTAGTAGTGAGGTGTCGTATTTGTGTGGCGAGGCTAGTGGGTCTCGGTTGGTCGGTCGGCAGGCGCCCAGGTGAGGCCTCGGAACTCCGAGACGGGCAACTTTGGTGTAGCGGGCTGCAGACTCGGCAAACGCGCATCGACGACTCACGTCAAGCTCTTTGATGTAGGTCGGAGTATTGTTATTCAATCGATTCGCCAGGAGGAGGTGTCGATTAGAGACAGGTTTGAGGTTGGTCGAGAACGAGTTCGGGTGCAGGCGTCACTGCTCGGTGTTGAAGAGGAGCGCGTGGGTGTCGGTCATCGGCTGCAGGGCCTTCGGGGGAAGAGAGGTGACGCTAGACGGCCCATTCGCGACACGGCGATAGCGACAGCGATACTGGCGTGGACGTTGATGAGAGTCGCAATGCCGGAAAGATGTCATCAATTGGGAGAAAAGCAAGACGAGGGGGAGGGGGACAAAAAAGGGTAATGAGAGGGAAATGGCCGTGGGGTGCGCAGCTACTTTTGTGCCCCGACCGCATCCGACGCCTGGGAATCCAATGGTCCGATTCAAGGAGACGATGGGTGGATCTGATCCGATTGATAAGATTTGATTGATAAAAATTTCGCATGCAGCCCACGGCGCCAGGCAGGAGGAGCCACAACGCCAGGCACCCACCCCGGCGTTTTACGGTTGCGAGCCACTCCAGGGTGTCGGGGTGCTGAAGGCCCTTCTCTAGCGCCACTGCCCAGCAATTAGCAGGCGCCTCGCCCAGTAAAACCCACTGTTTTCATCGCCGTATTCGAGTCCTCCTCGGTGATTGCCCAGTGATGGACCAGAGAGTTACCAGCATTTGGCGGCCAGGCACTCGTCAGGCATCGAGTTACCCTGACATCAGTCATGAACCAGGACAAGGCCGCAATCGCCGGTGATTTCTCTGCGACGTGCGGGGATACAGTGCGGATGCTGCCCCCACATCACGCCCACCTACCACTGCAAATGCCTCCGGGCGGATTATCGCCCACTACGGATGCACCTCTGGCCTCTGGGGCTCCTCGGACCCTGTCGTCTTCTAGGTCGTCTGTTCTCCATACCCCAACAACCTCCGGCGTGGGAGGTCGGCGGATCGGAGCCGCCATTTCGGACTGGCTTTTGGATCTTGCTTCGCGATGACAGGCGATATGCACGCGACCTGACTAGGAAAAAGGATGTCTGTTACCGTTCCGTGTCCCCAATAGCGCCTGTGTAAGTGTGTCAAGCTCCAAGAAAGTATCTCGGCCGGTGGCGGACACGCTGGACTGACCGTATTTATCAACCGATCTTCCTCCCTCCGATTCCGTCTCCGGCTCCGTACCTTCGCCGACCCTCTCTGAATATGGGCATGCTTGCCTGGGTTTACTACTACATACCTACGTACGTACGTAGCAGATGGGCGATCTATCCGTGACGTATCTGCCAGGAAGGGTGTACTGTGTCCACACTGTAGGCACGGATCCCCGGTACCGTAATGATGACCACCACGAACTCTCTTCTGCCCCCCACGCAAGTCCATGCGGCAGTCTCATCGCCCTCGCTTCTCCACCTCCCCGACAAATCCTTTCCCTGGTGATGATCTTCTTTTCTCAGCTTCTTCGTTCGACTCGAGCATGGCCTCACCTGCGCAAGCCACCGGCGATGGTCGGAGCACAACGTGGAGCAAAAACGTGGAGCAGTGTGGCACCCATGTGTCCCAATCTGGAGCACTTGGGCGACAGCCGTGGGCCCCTGTTGGCAGGCTGTGCCACAATCAGGGTCCCGGATCTCCGACTTCGCTCTCGCAGCTCGGTTTGCAATGCTGACCGCGTGGTTTGCAGATTTATTACCTTTCTGAAGAGAGGATGGCGACAGTGCGCAAACCGCCATGGGTCCGCTGTGTGGGTGGGTGACTGTGCCATGTAACTCTGCTCTGCCGGGACTTTGACAGCCCGCTCGTACGAGCCGGGGCGGCGTAACAAGCAGCTCTTGGACCATGGTAAGTCTAGGGCCGGAAAGCCTCAACTGTTGAAAGCGTAGGTGACAGGTGGGTGGTTCGTTGAAGTTAAGGTCACGGCACCAAAACAAGCGCTACGCTACGACTTTGGCCGGAGGCGATGTGATCGATGAATCTGAGCCTGCTGAGGCGATCCATCTGTTCAACCCTTTTTTGCTCAACCCACGCACATACGTACGCACTTACATGGGGTTCCAGACGCATGACATGCCCAGACACCAGCCTGTACACATCTCGTGGAAGTCCCTACTAAACGCTGCGGGAGTGACAGCTTCCTACATTACCGACGCTCCGATATCCCGACGCCGAGACACACCCAAGGAATGACATCGTTCCTAAGCGGGTGGGTGTCAAAAGTTGCTTCTTTGACATGCTTGGCGCTAGTCCACCCGAAACATCTTCCACTTCGTCCTGAATTGGCAACATGCTGTGGCCGAACGCCTCTGGCTTGACATCATGACTCCGGCCGCCGGACCCAAGCTATCAGTGGTGATATGCCGAGCACAGACACCGACACCAGTCTCAGCATGCTCGGCAAACTCACGCCTACAGCGGGCTTTTTCTTGATCCGTGTTTCGCCACTTTTATGACCGCTTATCGCGCGCGCGTGAGCTCCCTCAACCGTCCCTGACCCCCAGCTCAAACTCCGAGCGCCAGCTCCACCAGCGCTAATAACGCTGTTGACTGGTCTTCGCCAACCAACAAGCCAATGACAATGAGCTCGCCGACGACCACCGCGGAATTACTTGTCCCTCGACTGTTTGGTCCCATTTAGCCGGCTCAGCCCATTGTGCTAGCACTCTTGGCCTCAAGGATCTTTGATGAGACAACAAGACCTAGAGAGAGAGATGCTCTCGTGACTATCGTCAAGGTCAACGCCTAGATAAAACTCTCGTCAGCTAGAGGACTACTGACAAATAGCATCCATCAAGAGCCGAGCAAAACATGTAAGGGGCGACCTGGGTAAGTTTCGTTCGCCGCCTGCGCTGTCTGTTTGGCTCCACAGTCAATAACAGATGTCCCCTCAGGACCGTTGGTCTGTGTGACATCGGCTTTATAACTTACGTACGAATTACCTGTATTCGGCGGAAGCTTACCTGCAGTCTCTTATGTATTCCGGGCATTTGGAATTGTGACCAGCGGGAGCTCTGAGAGCCTCCAGGAACATCCCAGCCGCCAACATCACACTTACAGCCGAAACCCGCAACGCCGGCATGCATCGGGATGGCTACGTGAGACTCATTTCCTCCTTGGAAAATCGAATCACATGATATTCTCGGGAAGGATTAAAACATAACCCCCATACCATCCATTCAAGTCAAAGAATCAAAGATCTCTCCGGTAACTAAAAGCGAGGGCGGGTCCCCTCCTTCAATACATTTAGTGCATCTTCCGCGCTCTCATTATTAGAGCTGAATATAGAATACTAACTGTATTGAAGACCAGCATTCCAGTTTGTCCACGATCATAGGTTGACTGGTGTCCTGTCATGGCTGTTTTTTAGCCATGTAAATCCATTCGTCAAGAAAACAGGTGCTGTTGGCTGGAGCGAGCCAGAATACCCCACCATGGATGACCAGTGACAACAACGCTAAGCTCCCGCCCGGGCCAGGGCCATCTCAGCGACCGTGGCAGCAATGTCGAAACACCCATCCCACTTCGTCCAGGAGCCGAATATCAACCCGCGACACAGCAAATAGCTTGGGCCAATTCGGATATGCACCCACTCTGAGTAAACGAATCAGAGCTTCCCATTTACGACATCCTATTGCTATTCGTTCCGGCGCCTGATTCGTACCCAAATCACCACAGGACCTCCCTCACGAACAACGACAACTCGTACACTTCCCCGACGACGCCGACACATTCACCTCCCCGTCAACTCGGCACTATACGCACACGTCCACTATGGCTGCTCCCGCGCCAGACCTAATACCGCCTGTCGCCTCAGCCCCAGGCCGAGGCGGCGCATCCCCAGCCTTCAACCTCAACTCCTCCGACTCCTCTGATCTCGACGATGACGCACCTCTGCCCTTCCCCGAGGCCCTCCCCCGATCCGATTTCCTCGGCCCCGATTTCCAGCCCGCTCCGTACCTCTCGGCCCTCCCGCACCGCCATCAAACCCTCGAGGACCTGCGCTCCGACCTTCGCGACCGCAGCGCCGCCATCAGCTCCGAGCTCCTCGAGCTGGTCAACTCAAACTACACCGCCTTCCTCTCTCTCGGAAACGAGCTCCGCGGCGGCGATGACAAGATTGAGGATGTCAAAGTTTCGCTCCTCGGCTTCAGGAGAGCCGTCGAAGAGGTCAAGACTCGGGTCTCGACTAGGAAAGAGGAGACGCAAACGCTCAGCGAGGAACTGCGGGGCGTGAGGTCTGCCATTGAGCAAGGACGTAAGATGATCGAGGTGTCAGAAAGGCTGTCGTCGCTAGAAGAGCGGCTCACCCTGGGAAGCCTGCCTGCGCCAGACGCCCAGCGAGAATGGGATGACGAAAGCGACGACGACGACGAGGAAGGAGACGATGATCTACTCGGGAGCTCGCCCTCCAAGCTCCTGGCCTCTGCTCAAGAATGCAGCCGCATCGTGGCTCTGTCCGACACAATCGGACATGACACACCATGGGGAGTCAAGACAGAGGAACGCCTGAACCGCTGTCGAAATACCCTGTTACTGGACTTGAGCAATGCCTTGAAAGAAGCTAAGAAGGCGGGGGCGCGGGGCCAGGACAGAGTTATCAAGTACCTCGCTGTGTACCGAGTATTGGGCGCGGAGGCAGATGCTATTAAGGCACTCCGCGGGGGTTAGGGACAAGCAATGCAAGATAGAAATTGAGCTTCCAACAAAGATACCCAAGTCAAACAAGCTCCTGTTCACGGGTCGTCTATTCGATAATGTGACATATGGTACAATGATACAAACCCCCGCATTCAAGATTCGCTATGTGTTTTTACATGACGCTCGACAACGCCGCAGGGGTCAAGTCCTCGTCGGCATCCCGCAACTTCCCGTTCAAGCTCAATCCCGGACCGTGTGTCGTGCTCAGGATCACTTCATGCACCTCCTTAGACACCTCCTCTGAGATCTCCGACGCCTCGGACTTGATCTTGGTCAACAGCACCTTGATGTTGGCCTTGAGCTGATCGGGAGTGTAACCCAGCTGGCCGATGGCCATTCGGATAACGCCCTGGCGCTCACGGTAGTCGGCAGCACCGGCCGAGTCACGCATCGATCTGACGACGTCGGGGACGACGGTGCGCGTGCGCTTGCTAGGCATGAGGCCTTTGGGGCCAAGAATCTTGCCGAGGCCGGCCTTGTTCAGGGCTTTCTCGCTGGCCTCGTGGCAGATGAGGCGGTCGAAGTTGATATTTTCCTGGCGAATGGCTTCGAAGAGCGTCTCCTCGCCGACAGCGACAGCACCGGCGGCCGTGGCCTGTTGAGCAATCTCGCTGCCCTCGGGGCACACGACGGCGATCTGCCAGTCACTCTGCACCGGGTGCGGTAGGCGGACGCTGTTGCGGATGACGGGACCGTTTCGGGCAGTCTTGAGGTTGACGTGTACCTCGTACTTGACGGAAGCGGGAGGTTGGCCGACTTCAACAGCACGGAGGACTCTGTTGAGCGGTGTTGCGTTAGCAGTGTGTCCCATCTTCGTATGATGTCGACCCAGATCAAGCACTCCACCCCCCGATCCCTTTCTTCAGTGGTGCACGAACCTCATAGCCTCGCATAGGGAGAACTGGGGGAAATCCCGTTTGCTCAGGTTGAATCGCTTGAAGTCCTTGGGAATCGTCCTCTTCTTCTTGGCCTTCTTGATGCGCACAACTGACGCCTGACGGGTCTGCACGGCGGCCGGGGCGAGGAATCGGGGTATCGAGGGAATGGCCGGTCGGGGGGTCTGCAGGAGTGACAGCCTGGCCATTGAGGCCAGGCAGCGATCGATTGGCGCCATTATGGGTGGGAATTGAAGCTCCTGGGAGACCTGACCTAGGTATCTTTGACACACGCAAAAAGTGAAGGTGAACGGTTTGATTGTGGCGCCTGGAAAATCAGGTACGAATTTGATATGCTTATCGATAAGGCTTACCCCATCTTCCAAGTTACCCCACCAAGTTGCTCCAAGCCGTGTCGCATTCATCCGTCGCATTCAGTCGCATTCAGTCGCATTGAGATATCAATAATTCGCCAGCAAATGCGAGTATTTATTGTCGATCAATTATATATAGTAATGAATAATACGTCTTCCTATGTCACGTTTCCATCTCCGCATCTGCAATATATACAGCTCGCCCTTCTGTTCACTCGCCAGCACCGCCACGGATCATTCTCTAATCGAGACACACGAGAATGTCCTTCAACTTGGCCAGCACTGTGTCTTGTCTGTCGTCGTTGACTGTCGTCTTGTCCGAGGCATCGCCAATGCTAACAGAGATGTGGCAACCACCGCCGAGAATCACTTCGGTCTCGGTTGGCAACCGATCACCACCGCACCACTCAACATCCGGAGGAGAGAGGAGGCCGGGGTTGATGCGGGTCAGCACCCACTTGAAGTCGGAGGCTTTGGTGCATTTGCCCTCGACCTTGGGGAAGTTGACGTTGAGGAAGACATCCTCGGGCAGGTAAGGCTTTCCGGAGTCGACAATTTGGTTGACGAGGATAGTGGCGAGCTCTGCATACACGAGGCTGCGTGCTGGCACGGGGGAGGTGTTCCAGGCCAGGTTGCCGGTGGATGCGCCGGAGAAGGCAATGGCCGGGATGCCGGCGTCGTGTGCGGCGTAGCAGGCGGCGCCAACGGTTCCGGAGAAGGGGACCTGGACCCACAGGTTGGTGCCGACATTGGGGCCGGTGACGGCCAACTCGGGCTTTGCGCCGTTCCAGAGCTTCGGGCCAAAGGTGTTGATGCCATACTTGATGGCGGTCACGGGGTAGGAGTTGACCCAGTTGAGGTCGGGGCGCGTAGAGTTAGAGCCGGTAGGGCCGCTGTTGGCGGGACAGCTGCTGTATTCACAGGCGTCCTTGCGAGCCACGGGCTCCTCATCGCTGGAACCTGATGTTGTTAGTTTGTGTGTACTCGCGATTCCGCAGGATAGTGGAGCTGTTGATAGGGGGTTGTTGACAAGGGGGACTTACTGCTGCCAGACTTGTTCTCGGCTGGGCCAGAGAGGACAACCTGGTGTCCTGCCGCGTTCAGAGCATCGTTGAATGAGCGGATATACAGCTCTGCCCATCCATCATCGTTGCTTTGCACGATTTTTACAGCCTGGACGGCCAGGACAGGCAACACGGTCAACGCGACAGCAGCTCTCATGATGATGGTATGATGAAGCGACGGTAGTTGACTAATCTGACAGAATTGAAACTATCGCGTACTCGAAATCTCACACGTGTCGGATCAAAGGGGAGGCTTCAACTACTTATGGTTTACCTGTGAACCCTATAGATGATCCCTATATTCATCTAACTCCATCCCCGACCGAGCAATCAATGCACCAAAAGGTTACTATGGCCGATCCAGCCACCAATCACGAGGGTGCGGGCCCCTGACCTCTAGGTCGCATGAAACCCCAGCACGCCACCAAGCAGCTCAAAGATGGACACGTGCGGCGCCATTGGGCTAATCAAGATGGCACAGGAGCAGACAAGGGGCGGTGGACGGAGAAACTACCGTTGACACCAGGCAGCTGAATGGTGAGAGCACGCATCGCTTGGAAGGGACGGCGACGCCGTGCGGAGATTGGGCGGTTCTGGGACTGTCGGGCCGAGCCGGTCGGTGTCCAATCCTGGACAGGAAGCTTGATTCTGGTTGATTCTCTCTTGATTACCGTATCTAATGGAGTTGCGACCACATAAGTGCCGGAGTCGGGTGGTTGGTCCGTCGCCGGTGTTCCCAGAAGGGAGGGGATGAGCGTGCTGCCCTGCCGGTGCGGACGGTGGTCTGCGCTTTAGTTACGAGCTACCCTGGGCTAATTGGACGATATGGGCCGTTTCACCAGCCTCACTCGGGGAAGCTGGCATTGTTTTGTGGGTTTTAGAACCGAACCACATGTGATCCTCTTGTTCCTTCGCCACCAAGCTTGAATATGGTGGTTGTCTTGTCTCAGGTCCAGCTGGCAGGTGACAACTGCTCGTTGGACATGAACCATTCCACCCAAAAGTCTATATTCGAGTGGCATCCAATCAGTTTTGTTTGGCGATCAAGTACTTTCAAAAGGGGATTCTCCTGACGTAAAGCACTTTTTACTATTGGACGGTTGTTCTCCATTCTATTTTATTTTCCGACTGGATGTCATGGTACAGTAACAGCGGCGAATAAGGCTGATGTTTGAGAGCGCACGGTTTCTTCTGCTCCGTCGGTTGGGATCAAAACTAGCAGCATCACTGTGCCTCCTCCTATTAAATCGATCCATCATGCACTATCCATGATCCCCTATTTCCATTTAGAATACGTATTGTATGTCGCATTGATTAGTAATTTAATGACTCGCTGTTGTCGAGGTAGAGCTAAGACGCGGTGAATGCAATGGGCTCATATCCTTGAGAGTCTGGTGAGCACGAATAGTATATCGTAACCCCATGACAAACTTTGAGTTTAGAATTCCAAAGGAAAAGGACGGATATTTACTCTAAGAAGCCATGCTGGAATCTACGTGTAACGAGATGGCAAGTTATTGTCGAGCCACAATACCAGACGGGCCGAATGTGTAGTATCATTATGATGCCCTGGCAAATATAACCCAGATACACTAACAGAGCGTATTTAAACATTACCTTCCCTAGGGTCCAAGTTCGTGGACCAAATACATAATTTGACCCAGGAGTGTGGATAATTTTCGCTCATGTCCCTCCAGATTTGCATCCCTCACTCGGTATGTATAGGGTAGGCGCAGTCGGGAAGATGAACCACGTCGACTTGGACGGATATCCTTTATACAGCCGACAACAGCAGGCGATGCATGTTTGCTTCACTACAATGTCCGAATATTTCTGTCCCACATTTTCTGGGGAACCCGTCTCTTAGAACCAAGGCTATCAGTAAAAATTCGTTGTCCAGACACCGATCATACGTTTCAACAACTCCATCTTCTGTACGTTTTCCGGCTTTCCGGAGAGGTTTCTAATGTATTTACAAGACTCGGACTCCTACTAAATATTGTACATTGGAAACGAGTGTTATATCTGGAGATCGGTCGCGTTGTTTCAGTGGAACGCCAAGAAAAAAGTTATCCACCATGGCTTGCTATCTATTGCATGTGCTGTAAACCTCGAAAAGGGGAAGGGCTGCAAAGAGCGGCCTGAGACATTTACAAATGTCAATATACAACATATGATACCGCAACTGTTACTGTATTTGATGACATTAAGTATGGTGCCGAACATGTGCGATTTTCGTGAGCTGTCATCGCATCGCTTTGATCCATTGGCGATGTCAAGGATATTTTATTTATTAATTTTTTTTCCCGGGAAAAACCTCTGGATATCCTCACCTGAACAGATTTTGCTACGAAGTATTTCTTGAAATAGTACAAACAGCACAGTTATACTGACGTGTCATAAATACATAGGCCTATCTTCCACTTGTAGCATTGGCGCCAAGACGAATGGCAAAACACATGACGACGACTCTGCTGCACTGCCACCGCCGTTGACGCCGAGTTTACATCGCAAGCCTTGATACGCCAGTGGACTTTTGTGGCTTTCTGTAGCACATCACTCAAAAACAAGATCAACGAGGTGCTGACGGATGCTTGATGAAGCATTTACTTGCTGGAACGGCGCACATGGCTCGTGCCTTTCAAGGATAGAACCTGGACGAATCCCAGCCACCGTGGCGGCAGCTCCTCCAGATCAACTGTCTCAAGACTCGACGAACCATTGGTCTTTACACAATTAAAAGAGATATGGTTAATATGTGTCGGCTATCTGCGGACCTAGCCGCCCAAACCCGAAGGTTGTGGCTCCAGAGGCGGTTGAGATGGCCTGGGCGACTCTGTGACGGGAGAGGACAGGATGGACATGGGAGCAATAACTGGAAACCCGTCGACAATCGTTGATTGAAATAGAAGTACTAGAAGTTGCAGATGTTAAAATAATGAACGTATGATACGTCAAACCATCATGACAACCAGAATCAAGCATTCGCTTCAACCAAAAGCCACAGCGGCAAGACAAGGGTTGGGCATTTAAGCTTAACTGGCGAGGGGGTTAGCGAGTCAAAAACCTGGCCGGAGACGCTCGGCCGGCCTTCCTCGGATGACGACGCCACCCGTCCAGTGGTCCAACGGCCGGCTCGATCTCTGACTTAAAAAGTGGGCGCAAGTAGGGTCCCACCAGAGCAGGAGGCCTCTCGCCAAGGCCTATTGCGTGGCCGCAGGAGCATGTCGCCGCTTCCTTCTGGTTGGTCGACGGGCGGGCTCGTGTCAGGGCAACCTCAGGTAGGTACTTGTACGGATTGCCATATGCGAGGGCATTGCCACTGGTACTTGCATTCACGACTACACCTCGGGTTCTCCTCCCCCTCTGAGCCAGTACCTACCGGGTATCAATGCACTGCCTCGTTCGCTAGGCCGCCACCATGTCACGTACCCACTTCTAACACTCTCTCCCCAGCTCTGCACTTCTTCGCAACCCTTTTCTTTCCTAGTCTTTCTTTCCATCCATCCTGCCTCACTTTGCTCTACGCCAATTCATACGGAATCACACGGGATCACACACGTTTGTTGAAGTCAACGACGGAAGACAGCCAGCCCGGCTCGTTTCTCAGTGACTAGTCCTCTGGGCAGCACGTCCGCACTGCCTCACGAGACATGGAGAGCGCGCCCATCAAGGCAGACAGTTCGTCTGTACCAAGATCGGAATGGAAACACGAGGAGGCCATCTCTTGAGACCTTCCGGCCAGTTGAACCCATGACGTCTTTCTTTGTGGATCATTCAGGCGACGGGTCTCGTACCAGGTTGCCCGGTCCCGAGCGGATCCCTCTCGACAGTAGGGGAACCAACATGCCGAATCTGCTGGTGAGTTTTGATAACCTGTCACATTTTCTTCACCGTCGTTTTTGGTAATTTGCATATTTCATTGTTCGTGTGAATCATTTCTCATATCAACTCTATTTCATCAACATCTGTCGCAGACAACTGCGTTCTTGTCGGGCCGGCCCTCTTCCAATCTTGATCACGAATCCACTCCGTCCCACTTGGCTTCTTGAAACCTGGTCTACTCAACGTAACTGACTTGACGCAGTTGACCCCTCACGCGGGATAATTCCCATACTGAATCAACTCGCAACTTTGGACTGTTCCTCGTCGATACTCGCTAGTTTCTTGCTGGGGAGTAGCTTGGGTTTTGTTGAGCTTGATGTTCGATGTCTGGTTTGACGCGAGATTTCGACCTTTTCGGCGCTCTCGCTCTGGGGAAAGCTCCCCACAAACGTCCTCGATGAAGTCTTCCAAGTTGCTGCGCCAATTGATGGTAACTCCTTGGGTTGTCTCCAAGCATTGCTATCACTGCCCCTTCACCACATACAGCCTTTGATCGGTGGGCACTTCTTCATCCTCATGCGACAACTCCCTCCATGGTTGCGCATACAGTGTCCCGATTGCCTTGGCGTTCATCTCCCTCACGTTCCCTGCCGACCAAGCTGAGCGTCGAGATTGATATTGATGTTTTCCTCGTGTTCGCTGACACGGAAAAACACTGGCGCGCTGCTGATTCAATCAAATATTGGCTCCTGCGCTCGTCGAGGCCATTACGAGGTCGACAAATCGTGCGCCTTGCTCCCCTCGGACCGGATCGCGAGGATGATCCATCTACGCCAGAAAATCTGTCGAAAAGCGTCCTCAGCGGTGGTGGTTCGACAAACGAGGGAAGGACCATGGGAACCGGACGACGAGGCGTGAATATGATTTCGGAAGCTGGATACTGGAATCTCGATCAGCACAAAAACCTCACGCATCCAACCCGAGAATATTGGCGTTCAACATACACCAGGCTTCTGTGAACCATACTTCTCGCCGGCCCAATTCTTATTTTACGCATCGCGTATCACTTCAAGGGTGGTCATCAAGGATCCGAGAAAATGTGGACGTGTTTGAATAGCCATGATCACGCCCTTCACTTCCTAGAGACGCCCTGGTGGACTCAGCATCGGCGTTACCCTGGATGTCAGAGATGACTCGGGACACGCTAGATGTCTCGAAAGGCGACTTGTCGAAAGGCGATTTTGAACGGCGGTCCTGATTTCGCGGGGAGGCAGAATTTAGACGGCTAGGAGTCCCGGCATTTGAAGAAGGTGGGCTTTGTCCCATGGTTGGAGGACTGGGAACGTGGAGGCTATCTACACCCGACGGGACCCGACGATGCTTGCCGTCTCCAGAGTCTTGCATGCTCGCACTCGCCAGTACCGAAAGTCTGTCAACGTGGTTAGGATCGGGCCTTGTCTGCCCAAGAATGAGTGCTGGCAGAGCCGGCAGAGTCGGGCCGGGTGGTCGAGGTTGAAGCAGAGATTGTCGCTGCTCTGGGAGAGCGGGTTGTGGGAGGCCGGAGCTTGAGGCGTCCGACATCCGCGTCTCTCTCTTGATCCCCACGATGGCATCCAATACCTCCCTCGTGCTGCTCTCCTTGGCGACCAGTGGCGCGATATACTTTGGATTGGCACGACTTGTGGACGATGACCTCGACAGCGGTTGGAGTGGGATCTTGGGTGGTGCAGATGCAATGAGTGGCAGGCCGGCGGCAGCCTGAGAAATGGTGGCTTTTGCTGCTTCGGTGGCGGGTTGGTCGGGGAAAGCCTGCAGGAACTTGTCGACTTCTTCTGTGGCGACGCCGTGGTAGCCGAGGAGCATTCTCAGCCGCGAGTTCTCGAGGGCGACGTTGCGGGCCGCCTGCTGCATTTCCAGTGTGGCCTCGACGCCACGCCGCTCATAGTCCTGGAGCTTCGCCTGCAAGCCCTCGACGTATTCCTTGTGACGGGCACGCGAGCGACGCTGGTTGTCACGAATACGGATGGCGGACGGATTTGCCGAATTGTCACTCTGCAATGGACGAGTCAGAGAAACTCGGAGCACGGCAAGGATGATCCCCAGAAACCCCTCTTCCGTCTAAGGGCTGAAGGTCGACGACGACTCACCTTTTCTCCCGCCATGGTTACGCGTCCACGTCAACTTGATGGTTGGGTTCTGGTCAACGCTACGACGGCAATTGTGGAAGTCAACGCAGATGAGCCCTGGGCTCTTGATGTATCGGCTCGTACCGCCAAGTCATGGACGCGCGTTGATGGCCGAGCTCCGAGTTTCTTGGCAGAGAGATCCATGTCCTGGGAGGCCGCAGATCCAGCTGCCGAACGAAGAGACTAGCGCCAAGGAGGTTTTAATCGTGCATCCAACCATAACAACCCTATCGGGACTTCGAGCATTCGGGATCCAGATGGTCAGATTATGCTTGGCAGGGTGTCATCGGCGCGGTATCACTGGCGAGAGCTCCTAGCATGACACGGAAACTACGGCCATGATGACAGGCAGCAGTGAACCACCAGCCTTACATCAGGTACGAAGGCGTCTTGGAATACGGCGCGGGTGGGATCCGTCCGTGACAATTCCGCCAGCCCTGCTTGGCTGGTGGCCAGTCAGACGAGAAATGCTTACAAGACAAAAAGGCAGTGGAGACGTTTACAGAGCCATCCGCCATAGCCACAATGGAATTCGAACGAAATGCCTAGTTGTGCAATGCGGCAGGGGACGGTGTCTGCTGCGTGGGATTGCCCAGCGCCCAGTTGACCCAGTTTTCCAAGCACGTTACTGGGCTGGCCAGGGCTGCGCCACGGTTTTTCGGGGCAGCCGACTGCCAAGCCAGCCTCTCGGCTCGTTCTATCCGGTTGACTTGCGATTCCGACTTTCCATAGCGATGGAGGGCGCTTTCGCTGGAGCTTTGGCGCCAGGATACGCTTGGCAGCAGGCTAATGCGATTTGGCAGAGACGTGGATGGGGGGGTCAATGGGGGGTCGTCTGGGGTTGAGAAGAGCAGTTCTGGCCGGGCCGGGTACCCTGCCAAGACCCCTCGCTCAAGGTCCCGCTTGTTCAAGCTGTCACTGGCCACTCTGGTTCGTCGTCGAGCGGTCTTGGCCACTGAGCGGTCCATGGACTCTCATCGAATAGGTGCTCGACCGGTGGACTGCAGTTGAGCAACGCCATGGCCCTCCCCAACCAGCAGAGCCCACTCCGGCATAGTCACTCCGAAGCTGAGAGTCGAGACCTTTGTCGCCAAGGCTTGGCTCAGTCAGACCAGGGCGTAGGGCAACTCATAGCCTGGTACGTAGCATGCATCGCATTGTGCCATGTGCCGCCAAATCCGCTTGGACGCCTCGAGTCGGGATGGTCACTGCGACAGCCAAGCCCGGCGCAACGGCACGGAATATTGGGCTCTCGCAAGGTGAGCTCACAACCATCGTATACTCGTAGCTTTACGTAAGTCTCCAACAAGGAGAATTTGCTTTGCTGTCAATTCCGCCGGATAAATTTACACGCATTGTCATGAGATCTAAGACGAAGTCATAACGCAAACGGCCATCCCAATACCCATCCATAATTAAAAGTCCCATCTCCGAGACGCAACTAGTTGTATGCAACAGCGCCGAAAATCAGTCCACCAACCCCTCAAAGAATGCGCCAATAGTACAATTACAAGTAACAACATGGAAACCTCGGTCCAGTTGTTTATGGGGTATCACGATTTGAAACAAGAAAAAAGTCCCTCCTCCCTGCGGCTTGTTACCTCCGACCCTGGCCCAATCTCTCGGATGTGACTCTGCCCCTCAGGTCAGCACCCCCTTGCTGACCTCACGCCGCCAACGAGCACCTCATTTGAAGAGCCGCTTGCCAGTGCGGGTTGAATATCTGTCGACGCCACTGTTCTGCTGGGCGTGCCACAGCTGCTGCACACCGACGCCACGACTCTCTCCCGAGAGCCTGTATCGGCGCCAGGCCTCGCGCAGGTGGTCGGGCCGCATGGGGCCGCGCTTGAGATCGAGCTCGGCCGCGGCCGCTGCGGCTGCGGTCTCGTCATCGACCGCAGCATCGTTGGTGGACGGGGGTGGTGTCGGTAGATCGCTCTGCTTCTCCCCCGCGCTGATCCACTCGCCTTGCACGTTGCGAGCCGCCTCGATGATTTCGCCCGCGAACAGCTTGGCGACGGCCTTGACGGCGGTGCTGACGTTTTGCGGCACCGACTGCGATACGGTTGCGTTGACCACCTGTGAAGCCTTGTTAGCATGTTCGGTTCTCCCAGGACATGTGCAGAGTTCTTCATACCCTCTTGACGACCGAGTCGGCTAGCTTTGCTGCACGCCAGAGCTCGTACCGGTTGTACTGCTGGCTGTCAAAGGCCTCGACGAGCATAGCACGTAATCTTATTTCCTCCTGCTTCTGCTCTTGAGTCCTGGCAACCACGTCCTCGAGGGCCATCTCTGCCTTGTCATCGTCCTCTTCCTCTTCGCCTTCCTTGTCGCCGCCCTGGCCGCTCACGTTGGTAGGGGCACGCCCATTCACGAGGCTGCCCGATTGGTCGTCGTCGGCGTTCTTTGCGTTCTTGGCCTTGCGACCGCGCTTCTTCTTGGGGGCGCCGCTGGCCGTGACCCCGCTGAGGGCGCTGCCGCTGACGTGGGACGATGCATCGACGGAGGGCGAACGCGGGTAGGGCGAGCGGGCTTCTGGGGGGAACGAGGTCTGGCGGAGCGGATGGGAGGGCGTGTTGGCGGCGGCGGGCTGCGAGGCCTTGCGGCGCTTGCCGGGGGGTCCGTTGACGTCCAGTGTGGAGGAGCGCTTCTTGTTCGGGATCTGTGTCGGAGATGGATAGGGGGGGGACATGGCCGATGGCGAGGTTGTGTAGGGCGGGGATGCCATGGTCGCGGTTGTCGATGTACGAGAGGTAGACGGCTGGCGGATCGATGAAGGGTTGTAGACGGGAGCAAGCTCGATAAAGAGGGAGCTCTATGAAGCGGGAGCTCGCGGGCGGGATGGAACGAGGAACGCGGTTATCGATAGGGAGAGTGAAAGACGGCGACTTCTTGGGAAGGTGACGGGCGATGCTAGCGCATCTGGGAGTCCAGCAATCGGTTGATGTTGAAATTCGAGGTTGAGATTGCGGCCTTGGTCTCAGGCCTTATTCACGACGCGCGGAAAGCCAGCTGCTAAACCGCGTGAGCGAGACTGAGCTTTAAGTCACATGATCGGGCAAGGTGGCTCCGCCGAGGGGCTCCACTCTCAGAACCGACCAATGCCGGGACAGACAATTTTTTTTGACGTCAAGGCACGAACGGCCGATAAGATAAGTCATGCCGCTGCTTTCCCCCCCATCGCCTATGAGCCCCTCTCAAATTTGCTCCGTCGGCGCTCCGATCCGGACTCTTTCTGGGGAAAACTGCCGCGCAACTTGAATCAGTCACCCCATAAGTGCTCACAACGCCTCCTTTTGCTCTTCCCTCATTTCTTTCACCTCATCTACTCGCCCAATTTCCTTCCTATTTCCTCCCCGGATACCCAACAGCTGCACAATGGCTCCATCGGAAGACGTAACCGCCATCCGGCCATCCCACGCGCACTCTAAGAAGCGCACGCTCGAAACCGCCAGCGTCTCCGAGTCATCGACCAGCAGCGACGATTCCTCGCGCAAGAAGAAGCGCCGCGACCGGAAGGCGCTTAAGAAGAAGGCCTCGGAATCTAGCCTCGCCGTTGCCGTCAACGGCGCCCGCTCCAGCGCCTTCGCGAAGCGCCGCAACAGCCTGGGCAAGGCCGCGCGCGACCCCCGCGACGAGCCCGTGAGCAGGAAGGGCCAGTCCGCTGCCAACGGCTCGTTCGTGAGTTCGGCCAACCCAGTCATTGATGACGATGGTCTCAGCCGACCGAGTATGACTCCCCTCGTCCCCGGCGACTCATCTTTAAGCTTTGTACCGTTGAAAACCGTTGCAAACTCAAGCAGAAGCAATCCCTGGCTGACATGACGTGACTCCCCCCCTGTTAGGCACCGGAACCCGCGAGCGACTAGAAGACGATGATGAGAAGGCCGAGCAACGGCTGGTCAAGATGCGCGGCGCCGTACGGACGCTGCTCGAGTGCGTCGGCGAGGACCCGGACCGCGAAGGCCTGCTGGACACGCCTTCGCGTTACGCAAAGGCGTTGCTTTTCCTCACCAAGGGCTACCAGGTCAATGTCGACAGCATTATCAACGGCGCTCTCTTCCACGAGGGCCACAACGAGATGGTCATTGTCAAGGACATTGAGATCCACAGCTTGTGCGAGCACCACCTGGTGCCCTTTACCGGCAAGGTGAGTTTCGCATAATGTCATTGTTTCCTCGGGAGCAACCGAAGCAACAAAACCCCAGAGGAAACGAGTGAAACACAACAAAGAGTCGAAGAAGTCGCTAACTTGAATGTCCTCCATAGATGCACATCGGCTACATCCCCTCCGACACCGTCATCGGCCTTTCCAAACTCCCGCGCATCGCCGAGATGTACGCGCGCCGCCTCCAGATCCAGGAGCGCCTGACCAAGGAGGTGGCCCACGCCATCATGGAGATCCTCAAGCCCCAGGGCGTCGCCGTCGTCATGGAGTCCAGCCACCTGTGCATGGTCATGCGCGGCGTCGAGAAGACGAGCACCACCACAATCACCAGCTGCGTCCTCGGCTGCTTCGAGCGCAAGAGCAAGACTCGCAACGAGTTCCTCAGCCTCGTCGGCGTCAACCGGTAAGAGCCCGATTGCTTCGCCCTTAGTGGATGGATGGAGATGTGTGTGATGAACGAACTATGGTGAATTGCCGAGCACTATGAGGTGACGTGCCGCCATGTGACATCGTCTCGATTGATTCCGTCGGCTTTTTGATCCCTTCTTTTTCTCCTTTTGCATTTCCACGGCGTTTATTGGGAGATTGGGCATCGCTTCTTTTGGGGGTCCTGGGGCGAGAGACCATGTATTCAACAATTTGGGTCTTGTTTCAACAGTAACTTGGGTGGGTGTGGTTGGTTTGCAGCCGCGAGAGAAAGCTTCTTCTCCCATATTAGACGGATTCCGGGCTCAACGCCCAGGAGAACATACAAGTAGATTCTTCTTGACTTAGTACATCTTGACAAAATATTGCATTGTACGATTTCCGAGTTGCTTATGGAAGTCCGACGAAAAGTCAACACTTCAAAAGAGGCTGCATTGTACCAAGTCTGTTGATCCGCGTACCACAAAGGCTGCTCTCCCTTTTCTTCTTCGTCTTGCACATTCTGCCTTCTTAGTACGCCCATAATTGATTTCATATTTGTACACTTGAAGGGGGGGAACCCATTATAATCATACACATGGCCCTATATATATAGGGCATGCAATTGCTCACCATGCCTCAACTCCATATCCGTCCCTTTTTGGTATCAGGTCATAACGCCTGCCACACACGCTAGCAACCTCATGCACCCAATCTCCATGCACCTACTCCCCGTCCAGGAGGGCGTCCATCCCATTGCGCTCATTCTCCAGAGATGCCGTTGTTACCACGGCGCCATCAATGACGGCGCCCTTTTTCTTGCTATCCTCTTCATCATCTTGATTCGTCATCTCCTTGAACATCTGATCCACATTGCCGTCATCCTCCTTCATCATGTCGTCCATGGCCGAGGGCGAAATAGATCTTTTGGCATCACTGATGGAGCCGGGCCGAGCTCCCCAGATGTCCGGCCCCCACATCTTCTCGGCCTGTTCTCTACCTGTCTCTGTCCGAGAGAGGATTTCTAGAGCCTTACTCTTTCCAGCCTCGGTATGCAGGTTGATGCCGTCGTCCTGGCCCTGCAGCAGCCTCTCTTCCAGAGACATGGATGAGAGGTCGCCAACCAGCTGCGGTCCGCCGGCACCCAGCAGTCCAGGGTGCAAGCCAGACATCACATCATCTCTGGAACGGTTGGACCCGGCCTGGGAGTGCGGCCGGTCGGGATGCCCATGCGAGGGGTTGCTCCCTGATGCACCTTGCGATGCTCGTGGGAAGAATGTCGGGCCAGCAAACGCTCCAGGAGCCCCAGAAGGTGGTGGGATGGGCCCGGTCCCCGTGTGAGCCGCAGCCGCAGCAGCCTCCGCGTTAGCAGCCTTCCGGCGTAAGCTGTTTGCCTTTCCCTTCGCGTGCTCGGGGAGGTCGTCAGGGTTGTCAACGCCGTACTCGACCAGCATCTTTTGGAGTTTCGTGGGCCTGGGCTTCCTGGTGCTGAGAGATACCTCGAAGATAGGCGGTGCGTCTGGGGCCACAGGGCACCATCTGTGCAGCTCCTGTCTGAAGAAGTTGGTTTCGTATGAGAGGAGCACCTCGGCACCCTCGATCTTCCGCAGGAAAAATCTTTGAGTCTCTGCTTCAGCTTCTGTTGAAAGGAGCGGGTTGCAGAAAGGGGCAATGTGGTTCCGGAAGTTTTGCGCATTATCAATAATACGGCGCAGCACATCTTCCTCTTCGGGCTGGAAAGGGAGCACCGCGACCTCCTCCATCAGAGCCACCAAGTCCTCGAGCTTGGGGCGCGAGGCATCTCGTGGGATTTTCATCCGCCAGTCGCAGATTGGACATGTGTACTTGTCGTCTTCCTTGACCTTTCCACGAGCGATTTTGAGACATTTGTAGTGGTACCTGCAACTTCGTGAGCAAAGAGTTATGCTGCTGTTTGAGTATCCGACTTACCATTCGTGGCAAAGTTCACATTCAATCATCATGCCGGCCTCGATCCGCCTGCAGATGCAAAATACCTGCCTGGACCTGGTCTCATCCCATCTAGTGACGCCAGGCTCAGGACTTACGTCTCTCGAAACTGGCTCTCCGGGTAACCTCGGTGTGTCATGGTCAATGTCGAAGCAGTCCATGTTGCGCTCCAGTACATATTCTAGGTGACTCTTGAGGATATGAAGGGGTGCATTCGACTTCCCAAACAACTTCTTGCCTTTTCTCATCCAATCCTCGTGACGCTTTCGTTCATTCTCTAGATCGATTGTGCCATTGGGTTTCGAGTTAAGATCGTCTAATTTCTTTGCGATATCGACGACCTCAGCGTATTTTGGTCGCAGTCGATAATCGGGGTTCCGACATCGTTCCGTCAAGTCGATGATTTGGCGATGGGCTTCTCGTTGCTTGTGCAGAATCTGATCCACAGCTGCCAAGGTTTCCTGAGAGACAGGCAAGGCATTGAGTTGCACCTGGTTGGATAGCGCCTCAAGCTGAGGATAGTGGACAAATTCCGCAACGATCAGCTCTCTAGCCTTCATCTCCCAGGCTTGCCCTGCCTGTAGCTGCTCGCAGTAATGCGTTAGATGATCATTGTAGGACTGAATCTCGAGACGTTTTCCCTCTTCGATGAGCTCTTGAACCTCCTTCAGGGACATGAACCCTCCACGGTTTGCACGAGCTTTCTGGTTCCATCGTGACTGCTCTAGTGCCTTAGAAAGCCGATCAACCTCGGGTGTATCTACGTTAAAGCTACGCCCTTCCTCAAGGAGCTCTTCAATAGTCTCCATCGGTATGGCGGCCGTATTTTCCAGAGCCCGAGCGGCATTGCTTTGGAACTGCTTCACAGCGTCTGCTCGTTCCTGAAGTTGTAGGATCTCAGGACAATCAAACCCGATGTGCTCGGCTTCCTGCAGGAGCCGGTAGATGTTGGTGACGTTGCGCGATTCACGATCCTTCTGGTCCTGATCCGCGCTGCCAATGGATTTTCGCATACCGACCTGCCATGCTTTTTCGTTTTTACGACGGTTCTGCTGTTTTCGGACAGTGTAGTTCGTCGCCTCTTCCACCCAGTCGTTGCAACGATCGACAAATTCTCGTAGCACAGGTAGGGAAGGAAGGTCGAACGGGATCCGTTCTCCTTCATGAAGGAGAGCTCGCAGTGACTTTAGCGAAGGTGTTGCCTCTTCATCCAACATCTTCTCGTACTTCGATTCCCAGACCACTGGTGTATGGGCTTTCTCGACAACCTTAAGATATGCAGCAGTCATGTCGTCATGCGTCTTGCGATAAATGAGGACATGCGATTCGCCTGAATATCGCTGTTGTTCTGTCAATTCGCAACAAGGGTGCTGCCCTGCATGTGACAAGCACAGCACTTTGCCAGAAATCAGACACTTGAATCGGGAGAGGTAAGAGAATGCTTTGCAATAGCTGCAACATTGTTCCTCTTCATCTTGGACATCTTCGTCCTCGATCTTGAACGTCAAAGCGCATGCATCTTCACCCGGTTTCAGAATGCGACACTCATGGGGCGAGGACTCAACATGCTTCGTAAAGAAGGCCTCTCGTTCAGCATTTTCGCGCTTGTGTATGCGGTCCAAGGCTGGCGCGAGCCACTTCGCGGTCTGGATTGTCAAGCCGGTAGCTGTGCTGCCTTCTGCAGCAGTACACAGGAGCTCATCATGGGAGAAGCATGGTTGTCGTCGGAAGGCTTGGAGTCGCTCAACGCCGGCGAGGCCGAACGGCTCCCAATCATGGGGAGCGAAGTTGACGGCTTCGTTGAAGTTGAATCCATGGTTGAATCCAGCGTGGTACGCTTGGGGGAATGTAATGACCAACTGCCCAGCTCGCTGATCGAGCGCGTACACTCGCACGCCGGCTTTTTTGAGTTGTTCGGGGGTCAGTAAAGTGACTAACTGAAAGAGGAGATCTGGCTGCGTCTCAAAGAGCTCGGGTACGGCCTCTTTCATTGCAGCCTCGAATTTCTCGGCATCGGCTCCCGGAATACCGTACCAGGTCTTGGTTGCGCCTAGGTGCTGATAGTTGGCCGAGTACGCGTAGTGGTCCTCGTTATGCCAGCAAAAGGTCGAAAATATCATGCCCACATAGACCCAGGGAACTGTCATACCGGAAATATCGGACTTGATGTGCCTAAACAGACTTTCCGGATGGAAGGGCAACGCATTGAGGTTCCACGGATCGGTGGCGTATGGATTGTTGGGATGTTTCTCGGCAGTTGGGAATCCTGAGCCATGTGTCGTGCAATGAATATCGGCTCCGTACTCAACTTCAACCGTCTCCTCCAAGTCAGCAACTAGTCGCCAAAACTCGGTTTCCACGTCTTCTTCCGTCACTGGTCGATGGCATTTGAGGGTATGATCAAAGGGCATCTTCTTCTCGAAATAACCTTGCTTGAAGTCGTTGGCCTTTTGCTGAAACTGCTTTAGAGAGTATAAGCCACCCTCTTCGAAACCGAATTGTCCATCGCCCACGAGGCAGCGTGGACAATTCCACTCGGCGTCAGGCTTGCGCTTGAGGGGAGGGTCCAGACACACGCCGTGGTATGCGTGATCGCATGATTCGCAAACAAGAAGGGGTCCGGCATCTTCGCCTCTTGTACATGTTTCGCATTTCTATACGCCGCGTTAATATAGTTGTCAGCGATGTAATGCGGTATGTTCTCACCTCTCCTGCTTGCGCAGCTTCGTCTCGTGGAATTCTCGGCACTGAAGGACGGAATGGCGTCATGTGTGATCCAGCCACAGTGGGGACGGCATCTAAGCACAATTGTTAGCGGGCTGTTGTGCGGCCAATCAGAAGCGGTACGGGTCATCGCAATGGAAATCCCTGCGCATGGTACCACGAACGGCACTGAAAGGGAAATGCTCTGCGCAAGCCAACCGGTTCCGGTGGTCGGCGCTGGGGTACTGGGGCAATGGAGGAATAAAACGTCCAACAAAGAACCGTGCATCTGTGCGTACCTTTTTTAAGACGCTTGCTGCGACGGCTGCCACCATCAATATCCTCCCTCTCATCAGCCTCTTTCTTGGCTGAATCTGAGGAACTATCACAACTCATTTGGCGCTTGAGTGCAGTAGCCACCAGGCTCGATGCGCGGTTGTCGGGGGTATTTTTGGCTGATGGGGTTGGACTGTCGAACCGCTTCGAATCTGGCGTGAAGTTTTTGGAGTCGCCATTGGTGCCACGATTGACACTCGTGAATCCGGAATTGACTGCCGTAAAACCTCCTGTGTTGATTGCAGTGAAGCCGCCGGCGGGGGCAGGTGGAGCATCGGCCATCGGAGTGTCTCGATCAACCTCCTTTTTGACTCCATTAATGGTAGACTGTAGAATGTCGGATGCATGGCGGGCTGGCGAGTCCCCTCTTCCGCTTGCAGGAGTGTTGACAGTCGAACGCTTGATAGGCGTTTGGGCTGGACTTGGGGTCAAGGGACCACCATACTCCTGCTCGAGTTGCTGATGCACACCTGGCTTGGCAAGGCGTAGATATTCCTCGTATGGACAAAGCCATCGCTGGTAAGAATTTTTGAGGGACGTGGAGAGAGATGACATGATTTTGCCACTGTAACCGAGGTCTCGGCCAATTTCTGCCCACTTCTTCAGCTTGCATACCTTGTCGAAGCCTCCTCGAGACTCGACAGCCTTTTTCAAGCGGTACAGATCAAGCGGCTTCTTGTCAACATACGGGAGGCGATGAAGATTGTTGCCATGCTGCTTGTGAAACTTTCCGAGGCCATCAAGATATGTCAAGTTGGCGCGGGTGCCTGAGATTGAGCGTCAGCTTGGGTCTCACAAATGACGCGGGAGGACCTCAGCGAAATACATACTTCCTTCTACAGAATTGAGCTCCTGTTTTCGGGTCCTGAAATGGAATTTCTAAGGGTCATTAGCGTGCGCTCTTGACGGATGCACGGCGACGCCGGTAGTAGGCGATGGCAGGCTCCTGCCAGACTGGCGCATCGCGACGCGCTCGGTAGGGCCAACATACCTCTGTGTCAATTGCAAACTCGGGATTCCAGGAGTCAGGAGGGATAATCTTGCAAATTCCGAACTTCGAGGCCTCGGGTGCGATCTTGCGCATGTACTCGAAGGGATCCCGCCATTCCTCCTCGGTCGGGCAGTAGGTCGGAGCCTCGTCGAGACCATGGGGCCGACCCTTCTTGATCACAGGTTCGCGGACAGCTGTGGCTTGGCCTCGTCGCTCAACGGAGGTCAGGTCGAGGGGTGTACTGGACAAGGAACTGAGTGGTGTATGCGTGTTCGTAGGATGGTAGCCGTTGGAGTTGACCTTGGGCTTCGGTTTGGACGACGAGTGGCTCGCTGCTGTGGCGACTGCGGGTGAGCTTCGTGAGCTGGCATTGGCGCTGTTGGTGCTGGCGGCGGTAGCGCCGACGGTTGGTACTGAGACCATGGTGAAAGTTGGAGCGGTAAATCGTGCAGAGGAGCGCGTCGTCGTGCCGTGGAGAGGGGCGTGTGGTGCGGATCGTCGAATGCTATGCGGGCGTGGCAGGCGACGGGTTCATGCTGGGTGTGAGGCCGTTGTCGTCAAGGAACCACGAGCATGGCAGCGGATCGGGATGTGGGAAGAACCCCCGGTCGTGGTTGGAACACCAAGCACAAAAGTAGTGAGCGGGTTCGTCAGGGTGATGTGAGGATTTAAACGGGATCGATCAGGGTGGTGGTCGGCGCTGGGCAGGTCAATATGAGAGTCACGGAGGAAAAAGCTTAACGGGGGAGCGAAGCACACGAGGGATTGACGATGGGGCCAACCAACTAACACGGGAGAGGAACTTACGTGAGGAAAAAAAGAAGGCCGCGCGAGAAGATATGGTGGAGGAACCGAGTGTGGGAACGAGAAGGGATTCAATGGAAGTTGTTGTGAAGGAGACGAGCGAGTCATGCAATCCGGGGAGGTGGGTGCAGGTGTTGACCAAGAGAAGGCGGAAGAAGAGGGAAGGAAGGAAGGAAGGAAGGAGGGTGAGGGTCGAGGGTGTGGGAGGTGGGAATGAATGGGTCGAGGCTCCAGATCTGGAGGTGCGACTGGGACTGGAACTAGAACTGGGTCTGGGACTCATGCTTTTAGTGCAGTGTGCAGTGTGTCGGGAGGTTCCTGGGGACCTGGAGCGCACCTGCACCGCACCCTGGAGTGAGTGAAGTGCGCTTGCCAACTACGCCAACGCCAACGCCAGCCAACGCCGACGCCGCCAATGCCAGCCTGGCTGCCCCCGGCCCACTACCGACACAGAAAGGCTGGAGCGACAACGGCGCCAGCAGCATCAACGACAAACTTGCGTAGCACATTGTGCCTACCTACCGACCTACCGACATACCGGCACAGACAAAGAACGTCGGCGCATGACCTGGCCAGCGAAGGCCTGATGGTAACTGCGTGGGCAGGCACTCAGCCGCCTGCCTCGGTGGGATTGTACGGCTACCTACCTGAGTACGGAAGCCCCGGTGAGTTCTCGGACCCGCCCCTCAGAGCTTGGAATCAACGACAAGAACCCCTTCCGGGGACCTGCACCGACGTCTTTTCGCGCCTTTTCGCATCCCTGCAGATCGCGTCCGATAGCAATAGCTCAAGGCACGTCTCTGAGATTCGATTCCGCCTCGTTGCTCCTCGTGGCGCTGGAAAACGCCGCTTCTGATACAGGGACCCGTGCTCTCATGTGGCGGACCCACTGGCGACGACATCCGACCGGGCATAAAGCCCCCATTACCGAGACAGGAGGGCCCCATCTCCCGTGAGACCCAACGGACGGCCAGCTCGACTAGGCCAGCTGAAGGAAACTCGCCCGCACGCACATTGCACTTTGGGACGGTAGACCTCAATCATTTTCCACATGTCTTGGGAGCTGGAACCGTGATCCCAGCTAGTCGTGACGGATGTCCGTATCCGATGGCAATAGCGGTGATATCGATTCACTAATGCAGGCCTCACGACCTTTGCGCCGGGGAAAGACGCCCCCCCACGACGCATCCTCGTCTCACGTCCCCGATGCCCGAGCCTCGTCTGAGGGCGAGCCCTTTATCGGCCCTGGTCTCGGCAACCGCAGTGTTGACGTTCAGTGCGACCCCGGCCGATATGGTGACTTGATATCGCCATTGCAGTGTCGCCTGCCTACTCCGGCCCATTCCTCGTTCAATCACTCAAAGTACAACTCGATGCGACGGCATTCAAACACAGCTATTCAGAGGCTCACGGACGCATCATTATTGCAAGTCTGCCGAATCCGGCGCGGCATCGTGACATCAATGCCGGGTCACGCGCTGATGAACTTGTCCCCATTCTGCTTTGAGTGGCTGATTGCCCCCTCTTTTCCGGGTGTCCCTAAACAGACAGAAAAAGAAAAAGCAGGTCCGCCCAACGCCGGGTCCCAGAAAAAATCAATCTGATATCGATCCTTTGGGTGGCAGGGGCCTGCTAATAATTGGCCCCTACCGAGCCAATCAGATCGACATGACGTTCAGCGCAAGGCGCCGCTCCGCCCGGGGGGGCTGGTCAGCACCCGCGGGGAACCCCGGCGTTGACGGCGTGAGAGTGACGAGACGTGACACCTGTCGTGGGACGACTTTACTATGTACGAGATGTCTCTTGAATTCCGAGATGCCGGATTCGTAGCGAATGCGGATGGGATCAATCATGGAGGTGCATCTTTCCCTTGCATCCTCCCGAAAGGAGCGATGGCTAGAACATTGTCAATAGCTATTTTCGCCCGTCATTAAACTCGGCCGTGTGGGTGGCGCCCCTTGCGTCAGCCAGGCGGGATACGTGCGCCAGTGACATCCAAAGTCACGCCTCATCACTACGCAATGCCGCATTGTGCATGATCCAAGGTGTTGAATTAACAATTCATATTCTCTCGCTCGGAACAGTGAGGTAAGTTAGCATAAATGAGTTGCGGGTATCTAAATTCTAGTCTTGCCTTCCCAGTGCCAATTCAAAACGCCGAGTCACGTCCGTCCGCCTCCCGTTCAAACCTCCAGCGTCGCGGTGCCTGCAAGGGCGTGTTCACGACTCAACTGCAGCTGTCTTTTTACTCCGCCGTTTCTTCTTGAGCAGCTTCTCGACATCTTTCGGGCTTCTTATTCGGAGACTTAGCTCCTTGATCATATCGCCCCATCGCACCTTGCCTCCACACGAAGGACATACGCAACGCTCCGGTATTAATGCCCCGTCATCTTCCCCGATTAGTGCATGTTTGCTCCAGCAATCGAGATGGCCCATGGCTTCGCAACCGTCATTGGGGCACATTGGATGCAGTCCCTTTGCTGACTCTAGCTCTTGGTGGCAGTGCACACAATGGCCCTCCTGCTCGAACGATACGACGTTGTGCGCCTTCTCCACGTACGGCTTAATGGGGGAATAGTCTAATGGCAAGGCGTGGATGCCTCGTGGGGCTGGCTCCGAGGCCTCACTTTCTGGCGAGGGGCCAAAGTCTGTGACAATCTCCATGCCTGCTTTTGGTGGCTCGCCGACGGACTTGAGGCGCGCTTCCCACGTAGTGTAGGCATCCTTAGCCAGGAAGTGCAGATTCAGCGGCCATCGAACGAAACTCGGAACGCCGATGAGCAGGTGAATATTAGCAACCACCGACTTTAGACTGTGCAACGGTCGTCGCGGCTTGCCGCTCCGCTTCTTCTGTGTTGCAATGGTGATGCGCGACTCTGTCGGGATATGCATCGACACGTGCGGATTTGTCAGGGCCCACCTAGAAACCCCAGTTAGCAACTCCTGGCAGGCAGCCCAAAACACCCCATGAACTCGTAACATACTCGAATTTGAGGGCAGCGATCATGCTCGGGAAGCCAGACACTAGAATGACCATCTCCCATGGCCGCAGAGTCTGTCGCGAGGTGCGCACAGCGCCGCCTGGAGCCTGGCCGTTGTGCTGCTTAAGCCGCCGGGGCGGGTTGGGCGTAGATCCGATGTACATGGAAGCATGGCGCACCGTTGAGCGCAGGACGTAGACGGTGTACAAGGCCGGGAGGGGCTTTGCGAGGTGTGACATGCCTGTTCCGAGGCATTAGAGTGAGCTTTTACATCTCACGCTCTCACCATGTTTACTCAACATGATCCGTTCACAAGTTGGAGGGGAGATGGAGCCTCTAGGATGACTAATCACCTCGATCACATCACGGACAATTAGGAGTGAGCTCACGGATGTTAGGCTGCATCTCGGTGTCGCACAAGGACGTCATACACGTTATTATAGTGGAGATATGTTTATGGCATCGATGTGATTCTAGATTATGCGAATTGGATCGCAAGATGCCCCCAAAGTCGCCATGAGTAGCCCGCCCTATTGATAACTCTGTGATATACACGTGAACCCTTCCTACAACAGACCCTGCTTCTGCAAATCATAGTACACCTTCTCGGGCATTACGTTACCCTCGCCATCCTCCATCTGCACCACACTACCCTCGTCCACCGTGGTCCTCTTCTTCTCCCGCTGGACCTTGTCCCACAGCTTCATCGCCTCGTCAATGCGCGTGATATCCCGGAACAGGCTCGTGTTGTTGACGCCTAGGCACTTGAGGCCGTACACGTGTCGCGCCTCGTTGAAGTGCTTGTCGAACGCGCGCCGGCCCATGTAGACAAAGTTGCCGCAGATCTCGCACGGGAACTCGACGCCAAGGCCGTGTAGGCGATACAGCCAGAAGGGGATGGGCTTGCCGTCCCAGGCCAGGGGCAGCTTGAGAGGGTTGTAGATTCTCTCCTCTCCATCCTCATCCTCGCCATCCTCCTCCTGGGCAGTTTCTCGGGGGCCCTCGGAAGAGTTCATGATGTTGTCGAGTTCTTGTTGACGCTCACGCTCGGTCATGCCCTGTTTGCGTTCCACGTTCACGCGAGTGTCGCTGCGTTCTGTGCTCATGGCACTGGCTAGACGCTTCACCCGGTACTCTCGCTCCGATATAGCTCGCTCTTTTAATCTTGTCGCGGAGACTGCTCCAGAACCGGGTCCACTCGATGTTCCATTCGAATCCTCCTGTCGTAGTTTCCGCTGCTCGGCCGCCTTGAGATGCTTCCGACCTGTCAGGTGGTTCTTGTAGACATTCTCGTTCTTAAACTCTTTCTCGCAGTCATCGCACCACATTGCATCCGCCGTCGTGGTGGTTTTCGTCGTGCCGTTTGCTGAAGGCTCCTCCTTCTTCCAGCCTTCAATCTCATCGCTATCCCATGCGGCCTCGAACTCCTTGTCGAATGACGCAAGCACCCTGTCGACATTTTCCAACGGCCTCGTTCGCCGCATAAAAGACTCGAGATAATCTGCCACCTGGCCGACGTACTTGAAGTACTGATCCGTGAGCTTGTCACCTCGCTTGACGCCACCGTAGCCCGGCGAGAAGTTATCGAATGCCTCGAGATATTGTAGGTACGTCAATCGCTTGACGTTAGGGAGGTTGAGATAGGCCTCGTGGCAGGTGGTGAGGTCAAAGAATCGTCCGTACGCCTCCTCTCCGGAGAACAGCGAATCCACAATCGAGGGCATAGGGTCCAATCCATCACCTGCTCGCTTCGCCTTGTATCGCTGCTCTGAGTTCTCGGCTTGCTCGTTGGGGTATCTGGCGTGGTGGTCGCGGACATCTTTCAGCTGTCTGTAGAATTCCTCGAAGGCGTCGCCAGTTCCAATTTGCTGGATTTCTGTTGAACGCACGCCAGTGTCGTCTTTGTAGATGCCCAGGAGGTTGCTGGACTGAACTTGGATCTGGTCTAGTAATTGTGAGATTTCGTGGTCTCTGTTGAGGCGATCGCGGATCTACAAGGGACATTGCAAGTCAGCTCTCTGTGGGCGGAAAGGTCGCGTTGTCATGCTCACATGTTTGGGTTCATCGCGGATGCGATCTGCGATGCCCTGCTCGAGGCGCTCCAAATCCTCATGGATGTATCGCTGTTCTTCAAGGACCAACATTGCGCCGTAGTTCGGCAGGGCGTATACGTAAGAAGCTCGTGTGGTTGCGTCGAGGGGAAAAGCGTCGTGAAAAAGCTCGTGTGGTTGCAGTCTTGTCGGTTGATGGCGATCCTGAGGTCTGCCTTGAACAAAAATTGCCAGCCTCGTCGCGACTTTACAGTGGCGTTCAGGCGCATTGGCCCCGCCGAAGTATTTCCGATTCCGCCGCCAGCTCTAAATTTCCCAAAACTTTGACCCGAGCACACTGCAACTCGGTCGGGACGTCACCATTTCAAACCGACGAAACATTCTCAAATAAATTTGCAATCATGGCTGAGGGTGCTGGAGGAATTGACCGCAAGGCGGATGAGCGAATGGAGTTCTCCACCTCTAAGGAGGTGACAGTCCATCCCACATTTGAGTCCATGTCGCTGAAGGGTAAGACTGTCGCGCGCTTGCTGAAGGACGAACCCGACTGATCAGTCGACAGAGAACCTTCTTCGTGGAATCTACGCCTATGGATACGAATCGCCCTCCGCCGTCCAGTCGCGAGCCATCGTCCAGGTCTGCAAGGGCCGCGACACCATCGCGCAAGCCCAATCGGGTACCGGAAAGACAGCCACCTTCTCGATCAGCATGCTGCAGGTTATCGACACTGCAGTGCGCGAGACCCAGGCCCTCGTCCTGTCGCCTACTCGTGAACTCGCGACACAGATCCAGTCGGTCGTCATGGCCCTGGGCGACTACATGAACGTTCAGTGCCACGCTTGCATCGGTGGCACCAACGTTGGCGAGGATATCCGCAAGCTCGACTACGGCCAGCACATCGTGTCGGGCACCCCTGGACGTGTCGCGGACATGATCCGACGACGACATTTGCGCACCAGACACATCAAGATGTTGGTCCTGGATGAAGCCGACGAACTGCTTAACAAGGGTTTCCGGGAACAGATCTACGACGTGTACCGATACTTGCCTCCCGCGACCCAGGTTGTTGTTGTCAGCGCCACTCTCCCCTACGATGTCCTGGACATGACCACCAAGTTTATGACGGACCCCGTTCGCATCCTGGTCAAGCGTGACGAGTTGACGCTGGAGGGTCTGAAACAGTACTTCATCGCCGTTGAGAAGGAGGATTGGAAGTTCGACACCCTTTGCGATCTGTACGACACCCTGACCATCACGCAAGCCGTCATCTTCTGCAACACCCGCCGCAAGGTTGACTGGCTCACCGACAAGATGCGTGAGGCCAACTTCACCGTCAGCAGCATGCACGGTGACATGCCCCAGAAGGAGCGTGACAGCATTATGCAGGATTTCCGCCAGGGCAACAGCCGTGTCCTCATTTCTACTGATGTCTGGGCCCGTGGTATCGATGTGCAGCAGGTCAGCTTGGTTATCAACTATGATCTTCCCAGCAATCGAGAGAACTATATCCACCGTATTGGCCGAAGTGGCCGTTTTGGTCGTAAGGGTGTTGCTATCAACTTCGTCACTACTGAAGATGTCCGCATCCTCCGAGATATCGAATGTAGGTTATCTGTCGCAACGGCTTGTACAAACCAATTGCTAACCTTCACAGTGTACTACTCAACCCAAATTGACGAGATGCCTATGAACGTTGCCGACCTCATCGCCTAAGTCGCATGAGTCACGTTCCGAATCACTTAAGATAATTGCGTCGCTGAGCCCCTAGCTGGGACCATGAAAGAACGATCCGCGTGAAGGGCACGCCGGGGAATGAGCACGTGGAGGAAAGGGGCCTTGTATCATTTCAAGTAAGTTGCCTGGGATACATACTCTGTGTCATATTGCGTCCTGTTTTTGCTGACGCGTTGAATATAGGAGTCAAAATGTAAAGATTGTCAAAAAGACTGCACCTCGGTGGGCCTGATCTCACAGCCTGAAGTCTTCAGCAGAGAAAAACAATGCCAAATCATTAATTCTTCACCTAGCAACTTTGTGCTTGTGCGTAGTTTTTATTGGTGATATAATGCTTAGTTGGTCGTGGCTAGGCTTTCATATTGACCGTGGTGTTTTTGATTCAATCATGCTGTTCCCTCTCTTCCATCCTCCTTGGTCGAGGATTCCCATGTTCCTGGGCAGCCTTGTATCCGCTATTCCTCGTCATGATTTGTTACACACCATCTCCTCTTAGTTTCCTCCGAATCGCAGCCATATTTGATACGAGAACAACAGAAGCCAACATTCTGTTCGCCTCTATCGGGTCCCGTAACACACTTTGGGTGCAAATTGATGTCGATGCAACCCTCCGGCAGGTCCTCGTGCGTTCGATAAAATACTTGAGGCTCTTCACCCGCGCTGACTTTTCTCATACACGCGTAGAAATGCCCGCCGGTGTCGGCAAACAGCGTGGGAACCATGTCGTCGAGGTGGGTTTGGAGCTTGGAAGTGTGCGTTTTGTTGCAGTGCAACTTCACGCGTTGAAGCTTATCGTCATCCACGGCGGTATGCCCTTTCGCGGGAGCTATGGAAAGCGGTCGAGTTTTGTTGAAAATTGTAGTCCATATAGTTGTGCTGTCAAAATCTTGGTGGAACACGAGCCCACTGCCACTTTTGCGAGGAACGAGCATAGCGTTGGCATCGCAAGTCTCCTCGACTTGGCTTCCATACCCAAGCTCCCAGTTAGTCAATTTAAGAGGGAAGTCCTTGTTTGAGGGGTCAACCCTGCTGACAACGAATTTCCAGTTATGCTCCATAGGACCAATTTCATCAGAGATGACCATCTGGGTCATCGCCGGAATGAAGAGGTGTGCGAGTGCGATGAGGTAGACGTATCGCGACATCATAGTTGTAGTGATAGCTGGTGTAGATGCCAGGTGATTACGCACTGGGATGGTATCGGCAACGGCTGGAGCCGGATATGACTATGTGATGGGATAGAGGCTGTTGGGCGAGTACTGGCTCTGTCGAAGGGGATGAAATGGAGATGGAGGAAAGAAATGGGTGCGAGCGATAACTTGCTGGCCTGACACGTAGAAGACGCGGGACAAGGTTTTTAAGGAGGTCCATCAAGGTAGCGGTTTTTAAGGCAAAAGATGAATACACATCAAGGTATGGAGAGTTTGATGGGGGTTATATTTAGACCTCGTGGCAAGTTGGTACGCATGCTATCTTCTGCGGTGCTTCGACGCGTCCGAAGAAGCTAACATTTCGCATCTCATTCAACAGACATTACGGCGAGAATATGTCGTGGCTCTCATACGAGAAGATCAATTGCAATAGGCAAGAATGCAAAGGGTAGCATCGCTACGCGGTCCATGTTATCTGGCGTCAGATCCAGCAGCCCAATAATTGTGCCACCTGTCAAAATAATGAATTGAAGCATATTCAATAATGTTGATTACGTGTATCGCTAATAATTTTATCCTTTTGGACGAACAGGAATCTTGAAGGCTTGTTTAGACAAGAAGACTCGCCATTTTGTGTCCTGGCCTCGGGAAAGTCCTCGATCTAGACTCAGAATTGGGCACCTTTGTCGAGGTGAGTAAATTTTGAAATACAATAGTAGACTTATGTCGGATACATGAGGAAGTAACGGCCATTTGTAACGGTTGCCTTTTGGACCTGTCGGGTGCTGTTCCTTTCGAGGTGAGCGTATACGTTTCGCAGTCTGGGAGGCATGCCTTCTCCGGTCTGTTCCCAGTGTGTACCCGGGGTCCAAACTCTCAAGAACTGCCTGCGCACACTATTGCTCACTGTCTTGGGAGATCATTGAAGCGCATGGTGTTTATAATGCGTATTGTCACCCTTGATCACGGCCCCCGACCAATCTCCCTCCTCGGATTATCTCCAAACTGCAATGCCTGCGTCTTTAGAACAGTCTTCAAGGAAGAAAATAATATTGCAGATCTCGAAATATCGCATCCCAGGGTAGTTATCAAATGAAGAGAGATAGTATTTTTTAGAATTCTTGTGTTGGGTGAAAATAGACACGGCATTACAGAGGCTCGTCGGAAGGACCCTCGATTTGCGTTCCTCTGGGTAAAAGTTTAGCCGTGCGGATTTCAAGAGAGTAGTTCTGCGTCTCGCCTCCGCTTTTCCATACTAATAAGTGTGATCAGGTACTCGTTTTCACTGCACTCGCCTGCACGCGAATATTTTTTCATTTTTCATTTTAGTAAGAGCTTAAATTCATTTGAATTGTAGTAAATATGATGTTGCTGCAGTTGTTGGCTGTCAACCTGAAAATCTACTATAGTTGGATAGAATGGGTTGATTGCTTGGGATCGACTGTGGAATTTGCAGAGGGACATGTGAGTGGTATTTCGGACGGGCTGTCAATTTGCGCCTTGGCATGGTCACTATATCGGACAGACGAAGTGAGTCTCGAGTGAAGCTGTTCATCTTGCGTCTTAGTGGGCATGATGGCGGACAGATGAAACGGGCGAAGATAGTAAACAATCTTCGTCTTGGATACCCACCAAATTAACTCGCCTCTAGTAGAAGATGCGCGAAAAACAAGAAAAGATCTTTCAAGATTAACAGTAAATAGGTATTTAAGTGGACAGCTATATGTTTATTCATTTGACCAACTACTGTAAGTTAGGTGAACGGAGAAGCCTGTGGTGGGCATCGGCACGTGACACGGGATAAAAGCCGGCTCCCAGCTTCTGATGGCATTTACCTAGCTTCCCATTGGTCGACTGAAGCCGATTTGCCGAGGATCCGTTCCGGTGCACGAGAGCACTGGAAACCATCATCGATTCCACATCTTGCGCCCTCATCCCGACGACTCCAACGACGGACGACGACGACTTCGCCGCTGAACGACAAAGTGGAATTCGCCGCCCTCGATCCAATTCCCCGACCGTCACGATGATCGCTCAACGAGTTGGCGTCGCCGCCCTCCGCCGAGGTGCGCAGTGCCCAATCCGCATCCCTCCGTCATAGCGAATAACCTCACTGACTTGACTCTCTCGATTCAGGCGCGGCCAAGCCTTTCTTCGCCCAGACCCTGCCCAAGGTCGCTCTGGCAGCTGGCATGTCGACGACTCCCACCCGGTAAGCCCAATTGCCCTTTCGCGGCGCCGCCAATGCTTCCTCTGCCTCTCCGATCGCGCCCGCTGACTCGCCCTGTTCGTGCTCTCTCCAGACCCGCCGCCGCCACCAACAAGCTCAGCCTCGAGGAGGGCCAGCAGGTCCTTGTCAACCAGCGCCTGAACCGTCCCATCTCCCCCCACCTGGGCATCTACAAGATGGAGCAGACCTGGTTCGGCGCATCTGCCTGGACCCGTATCACCGGCTGCACCCTCTCCGGCGCCATGTACGCCTACATGGCCGCGTACGTCGCCGCTCCCCTGGTCGGCCTGCATATCGAGAGCGCCAGCGTCGCCGCCGCTTTCGGCAGCCTGCCGTTTGCCGTCAAGGGCGGTCTCAAGTTCGCCCTTGGCTTCCCCTTCGCCTTCCACTTCTTCAGCGGCGTGAAGCATCTGGCCTACGACATGGGCAAGGGCTTCGCCAAGTCTTTCGTCATCAAGTCCGAAAAGATCCTCTGGGGTGCCAGCATTGTTGGTGGATTGATTCTCGCTTTCTTTGTGTAAAACCTATAAACTGGATGGGAGGGAACAATGGTGAATTAGATACCATGGGTCAACATAATTGACAAGCGACGATGTTCAGAACGAAAGGCTGTTCAGTTCCTCATCCAGTCCGATGCAGCTGCGCAGCTTGTAAAACATTCTGTGTATTTACCAAATTCTTTTATTTTATCTGTCATCGTGTCAATGCCAAAACGCAAAATGAAAGGCTCGCTCCAGATCCCACTCACCTATTCACAGTTAATCCGAAGTAATCGAATTGCAACAGCCATGCACTTAACTGTCGGCCCATCTGTCATAACGCGGAGTTGCTCTCTTGAACTCCATACCACCAATTACTCTCTGGAGAAAAGAAATTGATATCCTTTGACGACCCTCATGACGACCCTCATGATGAGCCGTATGAGCATCCATGATGTCATGTCTACTCCCTTCTAACGTAAGATTCATAAATTTAATATCACCATTCATTTAATAGTTAGTTCTGGAAGTCATGCTCTGAGATCTAAACGATCTTCTTCTTTCCATGACACTATACCTGCACTCGCCAAGCCCCAGGGACCGCACATGGGAGATGATCTGGAGCTGGGAGATCAGTGCGAGTTGTGATTAAGAACGAGAATCTGCATGGTAACAATATAGGGCTTTCATAAGATCGGATGGAGTGTAAGGAAGTAGAGCAGAAATACAAGTGGAATTATAAATGAGAATTAGGCACGCAAGTGTAATGTAGAATTATATTATTAGTAGTCAAATACTCTCTTGTGATAGATTTCACTTTGCCAAAAATCGGATGATTTAACATCAACGATACCTAGAAGAGAAGATAACTTGTAATAGAGTACATCATAAAACATAATATTATTACAAAACAAAACACTATCCGAATCGCAATATTGGGACGTGGGTTGTGATGGGGATTTGCAACAACAAGCATTTGAGGCAAGATATGACTCCTGCGTCAATGTACGTGTTTCCGCCAAACACTCGTGTGTGTTGAGTATAGTAATAACAGTGCATGTCATACCACTGACATGTAGAGAAACAGCCCACCATCGCTTTTGCAAACCCGGTTCCGAGAACGCCATCGATCTTGTACTTGAAACCATGGAAACAAACATATCTTCTCCAAAAGAGCCCTGAACTTGGGGATGAGGCAAACCTCGCAGGCCGTAAGTCGAAGAACGCAATCGACCATCCATTGCATCTCCGAGTGGTGAGACGTAGAAAGAAGCATTTTGTGGATCTCGAACTCGTGCATCGGGAATCTGCATAGTTCGCAGACACCCTTTACTGCACTCCAGATCCCCAGCCTCAGACTCGGACAACTAATACATAGTCTAGTACCGCAACACGAACGGCTCCATGGCGCGTAGGCTTTCCGGGGTCATCACGAGCCTGATGTGGCCATCATGTCATCTCCCGCCGGCGTATGTACGTGATGGATACCCGCAGCCGGGGGACCTTTGACGTCTACCCAATCTAAGGACCTAGGCTACCGGTGTCTTGGTCGAACCGGTCGAAGCGAGGTGCGAGAAAAGATGACGGGCGTCGGGGCCATGTCTCTTCTGGTGAGTAGGGTGAAACGGGAGGCTGGGCAGGCGAGCCATGTCTCAGCTTATCGTTCTATCGCCCTGGCGCAGTGCCGCCTTGTGTCTAGTTGGGAAATATCAGGGAAGGGGGATAGAGCGCCGGCTGGGCAAATGTCTCACGCCGTTCTTTCTAGCACGTCCTACCTACCATGAATGGCATCAGGGAATCATGCCTGGAACTGGTCGATGGCCGATGGCCTCGGTCGATGGAAGGTGAACACGGGCCAAGCGAGGCGAGGCGAGACCCGTGCGAGGTGCAGGCGTAGGTAGGTACAGATACTGGGTCCGAAACGTGGGAAAACGTGGGAAAACGTGGTCGCCTCGTGGCCCCTGGAAGATGAAGCCTCGTCTCCGTCTCCGTGGCCGAATGCCGCCTTGCCATTACCTCGTCATGTCACTCGTCGGTGCAGCTTGAGCCAGGACCCCAGAGGGCCCGTGTGCTCAACCATCCTAGATCCATGATCCATGATCCATCTGTCATCTCCATGGGCCCATCCTGTTCCTTGACTTTGCCTCTATTGGGAGATACATTGTACGTATTTCGTAGTGTGTAGTTGCCCCTGCCAGTCCCGCTACCACCTCCCTACCTTGGTGTCTTGCTACCCAGGCGCACTGACTGGTTCTTTGGGACCCTGGCCGCATTCCTTCTTGATCTGCTCGCGGTGGGAGGCGCGAGAGTCATGCAAGACAGTCCATTATAAACCGCGCCGGCTCGGCGGTGGTGTCCAGGGCCAGTCTAGCGAAGCTTAGCGGGCAAAAGGCCGGCGCCACCACATGGGGGAGCGAGGACTTGGGGGCCGGCGAAGGCTGAGAAGACGAGACAGTTGAGGCTAATACTGCGTACCATGTAGGTGCGAGTCCGGGCGCACGGTTCCGATGTGGATGAGGCGAGGCGAGGCGAGACGAGACGGATAGCTGGGACAGGGCGACTAGAGAGCTGTCAAGGGGGAGTGAACTTTGCTGAGGGAAGTCGGAGATGGGAGGAAAAGACTGGGGGATGCGGAGGACGGAGATGGAGCCGGCGACCGGGGCATTGGTAAGTACTACGCAGTAAGTTTTTGCAGCTCGGTCCTCGGGATTCGTCCTCGGGATGCATTGAGACGGGCGATTATACGTACTCGGTATAATCGACGAAGTCTGGATGTGTGTACGACGTGGTGGCATAGCATGATGGAGCTTCATAGGGCTGGCACAGGACGAGGGACGTGTAATGGCTTTGAACGGGAAAAGCAAACATGGTTATCATCCTACATCTGGAGTAGTTCATGCTGTACCACCGAACTTATTACGCACTGCGTACGAACAAGTCCGTGAGCAACGACATCCAGGCCCAAGCTTCCTTAATATGTTGCATTCGAAGCACCATCTTTAGCGTTCAGTATGGCGGCCTGAGCACCAAGAGTCAAATTCCCCATCTTCAGCACCAGCGCCAACTTGGGCAAGGTGTCAACGGGTGATTTCCAAGCTGCAGAACCAAGAGTGCTTGTCGGTGGGCTTCCGGAAAGTTGGGAGATTCCGGGGACCCAAAGATCCTGCCTCTAGTTCTCAGCTTGTCGAAGCTAGTATTGGGGGGAACAGAAAGAGATAACATCCTTTGATCCATATATCAGGCCGTCGTATTTGATCCTTGTGTTGGAAGAAATCATCAGGCAAAAAACCAGGCCGGAAAAGGGCTAGTCCACGGGTAAGGGGAATGATGAAGGTCTTCTGGCTTGCTTTAAAAGCTACTACGTAGTAGACTACTGGTAGTAGACTATCCGTTAATTATACCCTCCACCTCATCCCGGGAGCCCTTTGTGCAGTCACTGTAGAGTTGGAGCTATTGCTGCAGGACTGAACATACCAAATGCTCACCTCATTGCACTACCAGGTACCGAGTGCTACTACCACGCAGTACTCTCGACGCTAGGTTGGCCGACCCTTCTTCCCTCGACCAACACGGCAAGGCCATGGATCCCCCTGAGAAACAAAGACGGGCCTAGAAAGAGCCCGGGCCCGCCGGGGGAAGACGATCCGGCCCGATGCTCTGGAGCCAGCAGTCGTCCCATGCGCCGGCCCTGCCAGGGAAGGTCGGGGGCTTTGTCTTGATGCGGACAGGCGATCCCTGAGGCAAGATTGAATCAGGAGGCGGCGGCCATGGTACATCCACATTCAGATGATGGGATCGACGATTGCGAAGGCCAATTGTTCTTTTTCCCTCGTGCTCGGGGAACATGGATGGCAGGCCCGCCGAGGGAAGACACATGGAAACCCGAAAGGTTGGACAGAGGAAGAAGGGTCAAGGACCGTGGTTCAATGGCTTCGATTCCATGGCCCTAATTGGGGAGCTTGGGCGATGGAGCTTGAGTACTCATGGGGCTTGAGTACTCATCATGGAGCTTTGTTCGGCATACGGCAGTGAGCGCAGCGAGGGCGGCGATGGCCTCGTGCTCATCGAACCACCCGTGCATGGCCGCGAGTAATGACAGGTACAACGGGCACCCTACTTGAGAGGACGGCCAACCAGCGAATCGCAAACATGTCTAAATAGTACGACGCCTGCATAGACGCTCCTCCCAGCCGCTGCCGCGCTCACACTGGCCTAGTCCGGCGCGCGGAATGCCAACATCAGTCGACTTCTACTACGGAGAGCTTGCTCCAACATCGAAGCCCACATCCATCCCCATCACAGCCCACAAATTTCTCGGGTGCGTGCGTGCATGCATATGTAGTATAGTATAGTATAGCACGCCGACTCGCAGGTCCCAACCAGTCCCTGCACAATCCCGCGGACGTGCATCGCGGGTGCGGCGCAAGACGGGACACACAACGGACAACGGACGAACATGGATCATTGGATCACCACTGCACAACACTGGCATTTGGGCACAGTCAGCCAGCACAGACACGCACGGAAGACGATCAGCAGTGCATCCCTCCCCTTTCCCCCCAGGATGCTGATCAGAGGGCCGCCAACGACGGTCCTACCAAGTCGACCCAGTGACCGTTGGACCGAAGTCCCCATTTCGCACTCCGGAACTTCTTATACGGAGCCCGAATCCGCCGGCCGGGTGTGGGCTTGGCCGCCTTGCAGTTGGCGCGGATTTACCCCTGACTTGTTTAGTACTGCCACTACTCCGGCTGCGTAGGTTGGTCTACATCGTAATGGCTATTAGTATGTGTGTACTACCTGCTCGACCGGGGCACGGGAGGGGGGGCGCCGTTCAATAATCACATCAATCACATCACGCCAACAGCCCAAGCGAGCAACCTGGATGAGAGAATTAAAAAAAAAAAATGACAACGGCAACGGTGGGTTGGTTGGGTTACCGTCCAGTGCCATTTTTTTTTTCTTTACCCGTGGCCGACTGGCCGACAAGGGGCAGCATCTTCAGCGGAGCGGCGACAGCACCCTGCATGCAGTAAGACTCGGAGAGGGACTCGAGGAGGGGGCAGAGGCCTTTTCCGGGTCGTCGTCCCTCGTCCCGCGCGCAATTATTGGATAATAGAGTGGTTGTGAGACTGGGCTGGGGTTCTGGATCTGTGCCTGGTGCCTGGTTGTCCGTGAGAGACACTCTGCCGTGGGATGTGGGATGGGATGTGGGATGGTGGTGTGCATGCAGGCAAGGGTGCGACAGAAGCAAACCAGGGTCCAGGGGGGGGGATAGCTCGACGCTTCTTTCTGGATGCAAGGTACCAGGCACAAGGCACAAAAAAAAAGATCACACAAGGCATACTGTACCGACCGACCAGGGCAAACGACAAGGCCACACGCAAGGGACCGGGCATAAGGCTCAGCCGGAGGATCTAGACTTCCCTTGCATTGTGCTACATATACCACACACGGGCTAATTATTCCTCGATGTCGTGTCGATGGAATCGCCACAGCCCAGGTAAAAATAAATCCATAAAAAGGGTTCCAACACCACGGCACAGATCCGGATCGAGCCGAACTCAAGGTTTTTTGTCTTGCCCGTTCTCTCACCTCGCCGAGACGAGAAAATGGATGCGACCCGTTCTTGCCCCGAGATCCGCTGAGTCAATCAATCAATCAATCAATCTCTTGCGCCGCAGCTTAGGTAGGCATGGGGAGATTTTTATCCTCCAATACTGGGGCGTTGTCTCGACCGAGGCCGCCTCTGCCTTCCAGACGTTTTGGGGGCCCTGTGTCAAATCGGCGATAACGGCAGGATGGTAACAGCAAGATGGGAGTGAGAAGAAAAAGAAAATGAGTATTGCTATTCGCACCCGTTCAAAATGCTAATCGCACTCAAGTACACCCTTTTACACCTAAGCTTAGTGCAAGGTAATGTACCCGGACTGTACGCCCGCCTCAAGGTGTCTTGTTCTGAAGAAGTTCCTGCCCTAAAATAAATTGAAAGATAAATTTTAAACAGCAGAACTTAGAGAATAAATATTTAGAATAAAGCTTATTTAATTTCTTAGGTTTACTCACGAATAGATGTGTTGTTGAGACTTTTTGGTAAAATTGGTTAATGTCCTTGAGTGAGTGTGTGAATAGCATTTTGAGTGTGTGAATAGCAATACTCAAGAAAATCCAGGTGAGCAAACAAGCAAATGCTCGATTGGTCACGGACAGTATGACAGGTCATCTGTCATGAACAAAGGTCGAGGCTCATCCGGTCCCGTCGAAGCAAAAGAAAAACCGAGGCATCTCGTCATCTGTCGAATGCCACCCTCGGTCCCTTGGGCAGGTTACAAGGATGCTACTACCATGTAAGTTGTAGCCCATGAAAAAAATGGCCGGCAATTTTTTCTTTTTCTTACTCTCTTTTTCTGGTTCAATGGCTCGGTTGCACTCGCCATCAGAGGGCCAAGACTTCTCGTTTCTTCTTCCCGCCCATTTTCTTTCCTTTTTCTCCGTCCCGTCTGCTCTCCACCGCACCGCACCGGCAATACCATGTAGTCCGCCGTATGGCTGCCGCTGTCACCCCATCCCGACCTCGACGACATGCCGAATAACACACACCCAACCCCGTCTCCCCATTGTGGAGTTGACGTCGTCCCATGCCGATGGTTTCTTCTTCTTTTGTTTTCTTTGCTTCTTTTACATTTTGGAGAGCATCTGTGTGCCGATGTACCTGTGCGCATCTACATGCATCCTGCGTGCATTTACATGATTGATTGATTACTTATTCGGGGCAGGTAGGTGGAATGCGGAAGAGAAAAGTCGCCGCATCGGTTCCGCGAACAAAACAAGAACAACGTCTTGGGGTCGCGCCCAAAACCTACTCCCTCCCTAATTACTGGGTCGGGGTGGGCGGATCATGCTCTCTCTCCTCGGTCCCGGGATCTTCTTGTGCCGCTGAGTCGGGTCCGTTCCGTCTTGTATTGTGTCGATTTTTGTGCAAATAACTTACTTGTTAGGCCCTCGGTCGTGCGCTGCTCAATGGATCGTCGTCACCCGCACTGTGACATTGTCGTCGACGAGTTCATGACTCGCCGGCCCTCATTTCCGTGGCCCGTCTCCGCAAGTGGCCAGCTTGTTCTTGGGGGAGGGGGGACTATCCCCAATAGTCGGTGCCCGTTCGTCTTCCTTTCCCACGGATACGGTAGCATTGTTATTCGTGCTTGGGTGCGTGGTACTGTACTACTGTGCTACGCAGGGCGTCGGCTGCCCCATCTTACCAAGCCCATCGCAATCCCTCGCCCATCAACCATCCCCGATTCATCCAACCGCCCGCAGCCGGACAGGCAAGCTACGAATGGAGAGCGGAACTGTCAAACCCCGAGACGCTGCTGCTGGGACATGGTCGTTATCCGTACCGCACACTTTTTGCTGTGTGTCTCTCTCTGTCTGTCAGATGGTATCCCCTTGTTCGATCCGTGGCATGGCTTCGCCTAAGCTTGCATTTAAGCTATCGCCTCTCACGTGGATGTTGTGAATAAAAGCCACCACCGCTTGCAACAACAATAGAGAGAGAGGCGAACTCGGGAATATCTGGGCCTTGAGTCTGTGTAACCAAGCCGTTCAATAGAACAATAAGCAATAAAGCCCCGGGCGCGGTCTCGTTAATTAAGCCTCATGACTGCACCTGCTCCAACAAGCGCCCATCCCATCGCTGGCTGGCTCAGACCCCAACGGGCGCCTCGCAATACGCCAGCCCACCTCCAACGCAAGCGGCGTCTGCGACGAACCACTCTGGTGCTGTTATGTAGGACGGCCAAGCCCAACAAGCCAACAAGCCAACAAGCCGTCGCCCCAAGCCAAAACAAAGCCGTCGTCGCCCCAAGCCAGCCAGCGAGCGAGGCCAAGCTATTACACACGACGAGCACGCACCAGAGCACAATAGCACCAGAGAGCACGCACCATAGCACAATAGCACCAAAAGCACGCACCACAGGCAACTCGCCCCAGCAGCCCGTTCAGCCATGATCCCTGAACAGTGATCGCCCACCGAACCACGGCCCCGAACCACACCCCCGCCGGCCACTATGACTGTCCAGTAGTGAGGTACTGTACCTGCCTACCCACGCCCAGGTACCTAGGCCACCTACCTACCTAGACCACCTACCACCTTACCTACCTCACCTAGACCTACCCACCACGCCGCCTCCCAGGGGCCCTAAACGACGCTCGGGCGCCTCCTAACCATCGCCTGGACCGCTGTTGGGCCTAGCTCCAACCCCCGCAGAGGAGTCGAGGGTCCCCCCCCCCTGACGCCTCGTTCGCTTTCGTCTTGTCCGTCTCGTCTCTCTGCTCATCCGCTCTGGTCCCTCAAAAGCGCCGCGCCCCGTCTCCCGTCAACCAGTGCTACGCCTGCGCCTGTGTCTGCCTGTGTCTGCCTGCCTCAAGGCTCGAGCCTATCCCAATTCCCCCCCGTGCAAGGAAGGACAATCGCTCTCCCGTCTCCGTCTTCGTCTCCGTCTTCCGTTTCCTCCCTCCTCCCCCTTGCATCCTCGGCCCCAACGACGATTCTCTCTTCGCTCTTGCGTATTCCTGTGAGAACACAGGATCCTGTAGGCTTTGTCGACTCTTGTTCGCTTCGCCTCGTCCGCCAACTTGCTCGTCGCTCGTTCCTCTCCGTCGTCCGTCGCTCCTCGTCTCGTCCGATCCCAGAGCCCCACCATCCTCGTCGAGCTCCTCGCGCCGTATCAGCCCAGAACCGGAACAACACCACAACACCACAACCTCCCCCAAAACACCCACCTCTGCTCAATCACCATGGGCCTCTTCTCTCGCAAAGAGAAGGCCCCGAAGGCCGAGCCCGCCATCAACACCAACCAGTCCAATGCCAGCATCAACTCGCATGCCTCGAGCCTGAAGTCGCCTCCCGGCGCCGGTGGGCGCAACCCGCTCAACCGCTCCTCGGCCGCCAGCACCTCGCCTGGAACTCCATTGACGCCCATGTCGCCTGTCAAGCTCCCCAAGATCGACCTCCCACGCCCTCCGGACCCTCAACTGGACCCTTCCGGCTACCTGCGAAGTCTCGGCGCTGTGAGGGAGCGGAGCAAGATCGTCACTGACAAGGCGTTTCGCAATGATCTGAAGCACTTCGACGTCGACATGCAAAAGTTCCCCGACGTTGTTACTTTTGTTTCGGGTATCATCAAGGTATGTCTCATTGTCTTGTCTTGATTGCGCAATGGCCTTGGCGCCGTAGCTCGTCGCTCTCCAGAGTCACACGCCACCCGCAGCTTTGACTGCTTCCATGTTGGTGACGAGCATTGCCACTGACCCTTGCGCCTACAGAGAGATTACGATGCCCCCTTCACCAGTATTCCTCCCCACGGAAGATATCAACACTTCGCCGTCGGCGGTCGAGATCGTATTGCGCAGCTCCTATCAACCTGGCCCGACAACGTCGATAACACCGAGCGATGCCGTCGTCTAGTTGACCTGTTCCTCATTAGCGTCTTGCTGGATGCCGGAGCCGGCACCCAATGGTCTTACAAGAGCAATGAAAATGGACGCATATACCGCCGATCAGAGGGCATTGCCGTGGCCAGCTTGGAAATGTTCAAGGCTGTAAGTGCCTGACTCGTGTCGATCTCTAGTCCCAATCCAGTAACTGACTCGTCCCCAGGGGTTATTCTCCGGAAACCCCAGCAACAAGTTCCAGGTCGACAAGCAGGGTTTGAAGGCCCTGACTCTCGAGAAGCTTGGTGCCAGCCTCCAGTCGCGGCCCGGCAACGTAATGGCCGGCCTCGAGGGCCGCACCGACATGCTGGTCCGGTTAGGCAGTGCTCTCCAAGACAAGCCGGACTACTTTGGTGACGATGGCCGACCCGGAGAATTGATCGGTGAGTCTGCGCAAACGATCTGCAGGTTTGCCATGTGTTAACTTGTTCCCAGACCATCTCCTTGGCCATCCCTCGACTCAGGCGTCCTCAGTGCTCATCGTTCCTCTTCCCGTCCTCTGGAACGTCTTGATGACTGGCCTCGCTCCCATCTGGCCCCAATCCCGAACTACCATGAACGGCGTCTCCCTCGGCGATGCTTGGCCTTGCCAGTCGATGCCCCAGCCAGGCGCTTCAGCGAAAATATCCGCCTTCCCTAACAACTCCAATGCCGCCGCATGGGAGTCCATTCTTCCTTTCCACAAGCTCACACAGTGGCTCACCTACTCGCTCATGCAGCCAATGCAGTCTCTACTGAAAATGCACTTTGCTGGTACCGAGTTGCTCACAGGCTTGCCCGAGTACCGAAACGGTGGCCTCTTTGTGGACCTGGGCGTCCTTACGCTCAAGAAGGATGATTCGGAGCGCGGCCTTCAGCACTACGCCGACTGGTGCCGACGCACAGGCTCCAGTGGCGTCGAGGTTGCACCCATGTTCGAGCCCAGTGACGACGTCGTCGTTGAGTGGAGAGGTGTTACAGTTGGTTTATTGGACCGACTTGCTGCGGATGTGAACAGAGCGCTCAAGGCGGACCTGGCTGGCCACGAGTTGACTCTGGCCCAGTTGTTGGAGGCGGGTAGCTGGAGAGTAAGACATTCCCCCGAAACCCCTGGACTTTCAAGACATTGGACTAACAACAACCCGCAGGGTGGCCGTGAAATTGCCGAGATCAACCGGCCTAATACCAAGGAGCCCCCGATTCTGATTGAGAGCGACGGCACCGTATTCTAATGTTTAAACCCAGTAGAAAGGTGGTAGTATTGTGGGGGCGTTGAAGCAAAGAGAGAAATCATGATGCAACGCAACGTCATCAGAATAGAGAAAGGGTAAAGGGAAGGGGCATGTGTGGGTTTTGGCGGAGGTGGCAGGACTTTTTTATCTTCCTTGTGAAAACACCATGAAGCATTTCTAAAGACATATATTCCTTATGCCCCCGGGGCCCCCGTCGGGAAAAGGGGGGGCCTCAAAAGCAGCAAGGGCGGAAGGGGGCCCGCATCTTAGGCTAGTTCTGATAATGGAGAGTGCAAGCAAGTCGTGGAATGGAAGCATGTATTTGCGGTTTGGATCAATCAATCGGAGTGGTCTAGGCTCATCATGGTGGTATTTGCGGTACAAGTGGTGTCTATGGTTCTTGAGAGTTGCGATATCTCTTTGTGGTCCAATCAGAAGAGCCTCACAGGAACATCCACCGTCAAGATCAGAGTCGCAAGACGCAGATTCATATCTAGTTTCTTCATTGTTTGAGGATGGGAGTTCCCAGGTTATTACACTGTACATGTACACCTATACACTTGTACATTTCTCATCATTTCCAGCGCCAGAGGGGGAGCTTTTCTCGCTTCCCCATGCCTCTCTAATTGTACAATGAACCCCCGTCCGCTCCGGACGGGGGAGATGCTTTCCAAGGACCCAATCTCTTCCGCCCACCCGCTATATTTACACAGGCCCATGCAACGGCTGCCGCCTCTTTTAGATTCTCCGTGTCCTTACTCCGTGTAACCTCTGTTTCCCCTTGGTCGCGCGATCGCTGGCTTGCTTCCTTGGCTTCGAAATGGTACAGGCGGGACGTGATATTTTACTGGCCTTTGTACTTCTTCTGGAACTCGTCGCGCTCGAGCTGCTTGCGCATAGTCTCAAGCTTGCGCATGGTTTCCTTGCGCTTCTTCTCGGCGCGCTCCGCCTCGGTGCCAGCGTAGTTGCCGGTGTAGCTGCCAACCTGATCGGTGACGCTCTTCTTCATGTCACCCAGGTTGTTGGTGAGGCGCTCACGGAGGCCGGTGATGCCAGGGCTGGTGGGGCGGGGGGCCTCGTACTTGACCTCATCGACTTTGAGGATGGGCAGGCCGACAGCACGGCGGATGGTGGCGTTGTTGAGGACAACGGCCTGGAGGAGGGTGGCGGCACCGGTAGACACCATCATGAGGTTGACACCGGCGGAGAGGAAGGTAGTACCGATGAAGCCGACGGTACCAAAGACCCACATCATCTTCTTCATCATGGCCTTCTGGCTAGCGGGCGCATACTTGGAGTTGACCTGGTTGGGGTGTTAGAGCAGAAGTTCGGGACAAAATGCCCACAGGAGTGGAGGCTCACCATCATAGCACCGAACAGGAGACCAGAACCCAGGGCGGGCAGGATGAAGTAAGGGTCCGACGAGGTCAGGTCGGAGAACCAGAGGTAGCCGCTGGTCTCCAGGGAGGGCACGGGGATGTTGGACATGCCGCTGATGATTCGGAACAGACCGAAACTGAAGGGGATCTGCACAAAGGACCACAGCATGCCAGAGTTGTAGGCGCCGTACTGCTCGCGGACCATCTTGTTGAGGAACTGGCCCTTTTGGAGGATCTCGCGGTCTCCAGTCTGGTAGCCCTTCTTGACAAGCTCGAGGGCTTCCTTTCCGCGGGGATCCTGGCGCATCAGGTTCATGGCGGCGTTGAAGCGCAAGCTGCGGACCTGCGGGTAGAACATGACGGCACGCAGAAGCAGGGCCGTGGCGATGATGGAGCCACCCCAGCCCCAGCCGCTGTAAACGTGGACGTGCTCGAGCAGCCATTGCATCGTTGAGGTCGGGCCCCAGCCATAGTCGAGGCCGAGCGCCGAGAGGAAGCCCAGGCCCTCGGGCATGTTGAGGATGGAGGCGCTTCCCAGGTCGGCGATGGAAGCGAGGTCAAGGTCGGTGGGGAGGACGGGGGTGTCAACAGCAGCCGGAGGGGCAACGGCGACGATCTCGGCGGGCGTGGCCACGGCGTCAGAAGCCGCAGGAGAAACCACGGTCGTTTGCACAGGGATTTCGGGGGTTGTCGGAGTTGTCGTCGTCGTCGTCACGGCCTCAGTTACTGCCGGCTCACTCTTCTTTCCATAACCCCAGAGCGACAAGGTCCTAGCACCGCCCAGAACGGCGGGTGCCGCAACACCTTTCGCGCCAACCCGCGAGCCAGCCAACAAGGCAGCGCGAGGGCTCTTCATGGCAGTTCCGAATTGTCGGCCATCTCCGAGTCGTCGGGGAATAGTCCTCGAGATCTGCAAACGCACCATTACCAGGTCAGCAAGCCGGACGGAGGGGGCAAGGGCCAAAGAGCAATTGCGGAAGCAAATGGAGGGTTTGACGCACGGATTGACTGGATAGTTGCCTCTGGAACGCCCCTGAGGGCAGGGAGCGCACAATTCCTCTGCTGGGGAGCATGGCGGCGGCGTGGGTGGGTGGATAGAGAATGGACGAGTTGAAGATACACTGCGACCAAAAAAATCCCGGTACGATGTCTGCGTGATCGGCTAAATATCGGCTCCGCGCCGGTGGTCGGCACCCCAAGCGGTCATGGGTCAGTATGTCTTGGTAGATACCTATTAGGGAATGACACTGAAATGTTCAAGGGAGGCAGGTTATAGCGATCATAACGGATAGCGATATGCAGTGAGCCCTGATTAAAAAGGATGTGTTGGGAGAACCTTGCCCTGTTGGGGCTGTATCTACATCTGAGTGTGGTTCTGCATCATCGCTGAACCCCAAGTACCCGTCTAAATGATGTCGCCATTACATATGCCATGCTCCATGCTGTATCTATTTCTTGATTTCCTCAATTGCGCCCTGTATATACTCTTGGACCAAATGGAAACATAAATAGGTGGAGAGGCTGATGAGTGTCGAGGGAGTTTGAGCCGCACTTGCGCCGCCAAAGTCGATATTTGCCAGAAGGCTATATCGGATTCAAGTTCATGCAGTGACCCCTCACTCCAAGCTCGCGATGTCGTTTAGTGACGGCCGAGGGCTGTATGAACGATCCCGAAGCTCGATGCCGGGTCCGATGGGATGGGCTCTCCGCCGGGAGAGGGGAAAGACCTAGGGACTGTTAGCGCGAACCCCGAAGATGCGAAGCGGAGGACGGCGTTGTCTAGATGACCGCCTCGTGCCATGATTTCAACGCGGTATGGACAAGAGGGTAAAATATTCAACAGATATAAGAAGGTTTACCCACCTTAGTGCCTCCCCATCCTAGCCTGAAGGCAGCCTCATGGGCAAAGAGCTCCCCGAATCCCAGCATCATACCGTTGATGAACGGCAGCAACAGGTTGATGGCAGCGCCTCGGACCAGGGACCACACGGTCGGGGGCTTGTATAGGATGATAGGTGAGTTGGACGACGCTGGTGATGAAAGATCCTCGGCTGAGTACAGCTCGCTGTCGGAACGGATCGTAACGCCGGACTCGGAGAGGTGGTTGAGTTGCTCGTCGGAGGACATTATGGCGGTTTTGACTCGGTTTGAGAGTGACAAGGAGCGAGAGGAGATGCGACGCAGATGGTCGGAGGCGGGGCGATCGCGGAGTTCGAAAGGCTGGGACACGCCGGGTTGCGGTTTTGCGGGAGGATGAGCGCCAAGCTTCAACAAACGGCCGAGGATGGTGTTGACGACAGCCGCCCTAGCTTGCCGTCCCCAGTGACCGTGGCCGGGACTTCGGTGGATCGCTGTTCCGGTGGGGTACAGATCGTGGCACGCGCCACCACCGCCACCGCCACTAGACGGCTGTTTGTTGAGGCTGAAGCCTCAATGTGGGGGCGCGCTCATGGAAGGTTCGAGGTACGTACCGATGTTCATGCCACTTTATTAGCAAGCTGGAGCTTGGCTGACGAGGCGACGAGCTGCCTGACAGTGCAGCTGGCCTCTGACCTCCAACAAACTTCACCGTCACACCAACACCTTTTCACAATCTCACAGCTCCTTGCAACCAGCGTGGGCAGGAATTCTTCTATCTTTTCGCCTGCGACTGACTCTGCGCTTGACTGCGTCCAGATTCTGGCCTCTTGTAAACTTCCATTTTCCCGGTTTCCTCTCCAGATACCCCGCCTCCCGCTTGCTCAAGATGGCCGACACAGAAGATCCCGAGGCCAAGGTCCGCCAGTTCTCTGCCATGTGCAATTCGAGCGCAGAGGAGGTACAGTTTCTTTCTCTCTTGGCCAAATACTAGCCAAGGACCCCCGTGACAGTCACCACTGACTGTAAGAGCTAGGCCACCCAGTACCTCGAAGCTCACAACTGGGACATTTCCGCTGCCTGTACCGCCTGGTTCGAGGATGCTGAGGAGGAGCCCGCAGTCGCCGCACGTACCTCTCAGTCTCAGGCCGCGAGTGACAACTACACTGGTCCCCGAACTCTAGATGGCCGACCAGCCCCCGAAGCTAGCTCCAGCAGTAGCCGAGCGGCGCGCAAGCCAGCGACACAGCAAAAGAAGAAGGGCATTGCCACCCTTGGATCGCTTGGAGGCGGATCGCATCATCACGACGATGACGATGACGACGATGATGATTTCGATGGCGACGACGATGATGATGGACGAGGAAACCTCTTTGCGGGTGGTGAGAAGTCGGGCTTGGCGGTGCAGGACCCCAACAACAAGCCGCAAGATGGCGGTCCTAAGAAAATCATCAGCGACATCCTAGCCAAGGCCAGAGCGTGAGTTCCTTGCCCTTGTCGCATGGCTAACTATAAACCAATCTAACAGCATATAGCAACGCCACGCGCCAGGATACCGATCCCGAAGCGGGTCCTTCAGAGCCATCACGCTTCCGCGGCTCTGGTATGACCCTGGGTGGTGATGGTGTCGAAAGTCGAAGCATCCCTGATCCTCTGGGCGCTGCTCGGCCTAGCAATGCTCCAACTCAGGAGCGTGTGCTTCACATTTGGCAGGATGGATTCAGCATCGACGACGGAGAGCTTCGCCGTTTCGACGACCCGGCCAACCAGGTCGACCTCCAGATGATCCGGTCCGGTCGCGCGCCGCTGCATCTCATGAACGTGCAACATGACCAACCTGTGGACGTGAAGCTCCATCAGCACGATACTCCCTATACCCCCCAGCCCAGACAATACCGGCCCTTTGGAGGTTCCGGCCGTCGTCTAGGAAGCCCTGTCCCTGGTGACGGAAACGAAACCAGCTCTCTGGACGCCGCAGTGTCCACTTCAACGCTCGCGGCGACTTCCAGCTCCGGTGCGGCTCCTACCGTGGACAGCTCCCAGCCAACCATCATGATCCGCATACAGATGCCTGATGGAACTCGGCTGCCTGCTCGATTCAACACTAACCACACCATTGACGACGTGTACGGCTTCGTTCAGGGGGCATCGGCCGACACTCGGACCCGGCCGTGGGTGCTGGCCACGACATTCCCCAACAAGGAGCACAGCGATCGTAGTCTGGTCCTGGGAGAGATGGCGGAGTTCAAGAAGGGCGGTACGGCTGTGGTCAAGTGGGCATGAGTAGGCCCCGGTTCATGGATTGGCGTCAAGAGGACGGACAGGGGCTCAACGCCTCCAAAGTCTAGGAGTGAATTTGATAGAATGGAGACAGACTGCCAGTGGCTAGCTGCTCCCGTACGCATGACAAAATCACGATAGATGGTTCGCAAGGACTACATCGTCCTTTAACACTACGTTCTATGAAGGTGATTCAAGTTCTGTCCGTCGTGAATACGCTGTCTATTATCACACGGCATTCTTTCCATGCAGCCGCTGTGAGTAGCTCATCTAAATATCCAAAGTCATGTTTGCCAACGCCGTTCATCACCTTGACTAAAGTGGTATCTCGACGCCCAACGCCCAAGAAAAACATCCGTGTCAAACAACTATTATCTTCCTCTCTCAAACTCAAACTCGCCGCGCTTTTTGGTCTCTGATCAGATTACATTTACACATTCCGTTGCATCTCTTAGTTTGATGCTGTGGCCGCGGCCACTTGCGTGACGGGCCCGTCGAGGAATTTGAAGTGCTCAATGGCGATCTGACAGTTGAGCATAGCAGCGTTGAAGCGAGCCTCGCCTGGGGGCAGGACGACCATGAGGTAGGTGTTTGTGGTAAACTTGAGAATAAAGAGGCTGAAGCGCATGCCTGCCTTGTGCTCCATGCGGATAAACTGCTCCGCATTACGGGGTGTACCGGTGAAGCGGGAAATGCTTTGCTTGAAGTGCTTCATGATGTTGGACATGCGCTCAAGGCGGTCCTCGGTGGGGTTCCGGTTGCCCTCGGCGGAGGTCCAGGAGGAGACGGCGAGGAAAGATGTGCGCTCGAAAAGTAATAGCTCCTCGGCCTCGATGGCAAGACCTAGGTTTGCGAGGTTGCGTTCGATGGCGGCAAGGTTGGGGACCAGATCGTGGATGATGGAGGCCCAGGCCTTGTAGAGGCTCTGATCCCAAATAGACGTAGCGAAGGGGGTGAGCTCGACAGAAGCGGGGGCGATGCCGACCGAGTTTGCGTACTCGAACGTCTTCTGGCGGACGAGGCGGATGCGCTCGTCGTAAACGGACTCGCGGGCGGTGGGGACAACGAGATCCATCTTGTGGATGAGGATGTAGATCTTGGCGGAAGGGGAGAACTGCAGGAGGGCGGAGAGGATGGAGACGTAGGTCGCGAGGTCGCGGTCGACGTCGCGCGACTCTATATCGAAGACGTAGATGAGGACACCGACGTTAGAGAAGACGTGGACGCGCTGCTGCGACAGGTAGTTTTCCATAAAAGCCTCCTGGCCGCCGCAGTCCCACAGGTTGAGAGTGAGATTCCCGAGGAACTTGACGTGGGAGAGGTCGATGTCGATGGTTGCGCCGCTGCATATGACAGTTCGGGTCAGCCTCCTCCGCGCGGAGAGAAGGAGGGGGAAAGAAAAGAGGTAGAGAAACTCACAGGCGGCGGGTATCGCGGGCAATGTAGTTGCTAAAGATGATACTACGCATGCTGGACTTTCCAGAGCCCGACTTCCCCATGAGCAGCACCTTCTTCTTCTTGGGCTTCTTGACCTCGCTGATGATTTCGGCCGCGGGGGCCTGGGTCGGCTCGGCGAGGGGGGTATCGATGTAGGACGCCATGTTGGAGGAGAGAGAGCGAGACGGCGTCTCGTCGGCAGGGGGGTGAGTGTGTATTCGGATGCGCTTTTATGCGGGTGCTTCGTCGTGTGCGCGTGCGTGCATGTATAAATGAGTGCACCTACGTGTATGTATGGATCTCGTGGTTTGTCGGTGGTGGTTGGTGATGGGAGGTGGAAAGTGGAGGGTGGAGTTGGATCAGCCTTCCCGTCGATAGGCGGGCCTGTGGGCTGGCGCTGGGCTTTGTGGCCCCGTACCTGTTCTGTGGGTGGGCGGATTTTTAGGCGGGAGCTCCGTCATTGTCGTGCAGGTGGGGGGGTGACTTCAGCCTCAGGTTCAGCCGTGTAGGAGATTGAAGATGTGCTGTGTAACACTGCGTATATAAGGGGGGGATATAGTACAGCTGAACGAATTAGATGGGAAATGAGTTGATTCAAGCCTGTATCTAATGTCGGGACTTGAAAACGCTGCATGTACTATGCACTTGCTTCAGTCATGGTTTACACCAGTCCCCTCCACTCTTGTTTTCAGTTTACCTCCCTACCTCTTGGTGGCTGAGAACACACAGCGTCTTCCCTTACGCAACTACATGTCTCTCCTCACCCCTGCGACTACAATTGCATATTCACAACCCCCTTCTCCCCATACTCACAAATTCACCTCCCTGCTGTTCCCAACCGGAGTGTCTAGGGTAGTATCCGCACCAAGTGGCGCCTCATGGTGGGACTCGCCGCTTGCTAGTCTCCGTCCCTCATCTGCCCTAGCCCTCAAAAAACTAGCACCACCCGAATATACCTCATTTGCGGCAACCAATTCAACAACAACCGGGCGAATGGTTTAGTGGTATAATACTCCCTTAGCAAGATTCGTCCTCCGATATCTGGGAGTGGTCCAGGGTTCGATTCCCTGTTCGTCCAACTCGGTGGTTTAATCCCATCAAATATCCCTTCTTTTTGCAGTTTTTACCATTTTATCATCTGGATACTCTCCCTGTGACATTTGGCCGTCCTCTCATCGGGAGGCGTATTCTTTTTATAGGTTAGATTTTGAATAGTCACTGCTCACTACTTAACATTTGCCGCGCAAGTAATATGATCGAGAGACTCTGATCCGACTCCCAGTCAGCGACGAGCCGTGTCTATGATGGACATGCCTTATCTTGCACTCCTACAAGCAAGTTGTATTGGTGTGAATCAGACCAACTGCGAAATTCCTCAACAGGGCCCTTGTATTCTATAAATTGTCAAGTGGAAGCTACCCCTTACCCAAGAGTCCTGTAGTTCCTCATTTTTCTGCCTCACGTAGAAAATACAACGTGACCAAATACCCCATATTCCATATTAAACCACCCGCAAAGATGTTCACCTCTCGCCTGTCTGTCAAGGCCATTTGCCTTTCCAGCATCATAGTTGGAGCATTGGGGCACATGCAACTCTCGAACCCTCCCCCGCTCCGGTCCAAGTTCAACCCCTACACGGGCGCCGACATCGACTATAGCATGACCAACCCGCTCCGATCTGACGGCTCTGATTTTCCCTGCAAAGGTTACCAGCAACTCCTGACCACCTCAGAAGGCACCCCTGTGGTGACGCTTGAGGGCGGTAATTCGTATTCCATGGTTGTTACTGGCCAGGCAGTTCACGCCGGCGGCTCATGCCAGGCCTCTCTATCCGTTGACGGCGGGGAGACCTTTCGCGTGCTGCACAGCTACATCGGGGGGTGTCCCGCGGTGCCGGGTGATAATTCCTTTGCCTTCCGAGTGCCTGCCGACGTACCGTCCAAGGACCATGCTCTATTTGCATGGTCGTGGTTCAACAACTTGGGAAACCGCGAGATGTACATGAACTGCGCGTCAGTTAACACGAGCACCGGCGCTGGAAGCGAGGGGTCGAGCGGGTTTCTTAGTCGGCCGCTGATATTCAAGGCAAACGTTGGCAACGGGTGCGAGACGGTGGCTTCGGCAGACGTCATGATTCCGAATCCGGGACCAGAGGTAACGGTGAATAACCCGGGGGCAGTGCCGCCGCTCGGCACCTGCGACGCCGGTCCGGGAGCTCCGGTGTCTCCGCCGCCGGGGCCGGCGTCACGGTCGCTGGGTCCGACGTCACGGCCGCTGGACCCAACGTCAAGTTCGCCGGGTCCGAGCTCCCACCCGGCACACTCCGTCGCAGACTCCAGATATTGCTCCGCGACCAGAGTGAAGAGTGCAAGTAACAATCCCGAGACAAACCGGCCATATTCTAGGGGTTTTACGCCTGGGAATGACTGGCCCGAAGGATTTCAGGGTGCGGGCTCGAATCAGTATGGCTCGACGGCTGTGGTGATAGGTGTTGCTTCCTTGGTGGCCTACGTAATTGGTGCCTGGCTGTGGGTGTAATGGGGTGGTAATCTGTGACCTAATGCAATGCAATTGAGAAAATACGACCCAGCTGCATGGACTTTGATAATTCAACATATGGGCACCCCTACTGGTACGTTGGAACCAATAATGACATCCTTTTTGCCCTTTTCGATTCAAGGTTGGCACGATCCGACGGCTGTGATGATGAGTTTTAGTTCGCCCGAACTGTGAATGGTCTCCCGCTGACTCGGGACCGCCCGCTAGCGAAACGGAACCCCGGACACTAAACGCACGTTATAGCGGCCGGGGAGACACCCGGCGGTACAGTTGCAGGGTCCTCCACCACACCCACCACATCCTCCGCACCCACTAAGGCAGCATTCCACCCACCATCTCTCTGTCACTCCCACCAAGGAACACTTCCTCAGCTCCCACTGGACCGCGGGGACAAACCACCTGCAGCCCCCCCTAACAGCAGGGCTAGGGCCGTTCAGGACTCCGCTGAAGACGCGGAGCGTGGACGTTATCGCTCCCGTCGTCCACTCGCGGGTGTCTCCTTGGTAATCTGCATATTCGACAGGCCCCCATATCCATATAAATAAATAAAAGTCCCCGTACACACCCATGTCTCGCCGTGTCTCTCCCGCCTCCTCTTTTTGTGCTTTCCTCGTTCCCGCCTAGGTTGGTCCGTCATGGCCGTCCTCAGCCGTCTGAGCCCAAGTCTGAGCCCAAGTCTGAGCTTCGGTATCAGGCTCGGGTCCCTCCCGGAGTTGCTGGCCAAATGGTGGAGTGTCGCCGCAGTCGGTGGCGGCGCGCTGTACTTTGTCACGAAAGTACTCTACCGCCGCTTCCTTCACCCGCTTGCAAACGTCCCCGGCCCGTTTTTGCCTGCCGTGACGAGGCTGTATGCGTGGTACTTCAATGTGCCCAAGGAGGGCAAGTTCTACAAAGAGATTGAACGGTTATACAACGTCTATGGTGCGTACAGTCGATTTCAGGGTGGCCATCAACAAGATGAAACTAGGGCCAATCAAGACATGGAACTTACAGCTCAATGATAGGCCCCATTGTGCGAATCACTCCGGATGAAGTCCATCTTACCAACCCCAAGTACTACGATGTAGTGTATGGCGTCAAGAGTGACTTCTACAAGGACCCGCGCTTCTACGGCGCTCTGGGTATCGACAGGGCAACGTTTGCGACGGTATCAAACGACCTCCACCGCCGTCGCCGCGCCGCCCTCAATCCCTTCTTTTCCCGCCGCAAGGTACTCGAGCTGGAAGACATTGTCCATTCCAAGGTGGACAAGCTGTGTCGCCGTGTGAGAGCCAACCGCGCTACCGGGCAGCCCACCAATCTACACGCCGCCTTCCGCGCCATTAGTGTTGATACCATCACCGACTATGCCTTTGACGAATGCTGGAACCAACTCGATGCCGATGATCTCGGTGAGTGGTTCAGTGACATGGTTCGCGGCTCCACGCCCATGTTCTGGACCTTCCAGGCGTTCCCCTCTCTCCGCGACCCGATCCAGGGCCTGCCGGAGTGGATTGCTAAGCGCATGAGCCCTGCGGTTGCTGACTTTCTAGGCTGTCAGATTGTGGGTTGCTCCTTTGTTTGGGGTTGCTGGACTTCTTCCCTGTTGCTAATATTCACGTAGAGAACGAGTCAACAAGTTCAAGATGTTCAGGCCCGCATCGACCAGGGAATCAAGCCCAAGCGTCCTACCGTATTCCACCAACTTCTGGATCCCAACGCGTCAGAGGGCCACGTCGTGCCGACGGTCAACGACCTCGTCGATGAGTCTTTTTCCATCTGCACTGCCGCGGCCGACACTACCGGAAACGCCATGACCATGGCTGCCTTTCACGTCGTGACAAATCCCGTCATTTACCAGAATGTCATCCGTGAGCTGCGAGAAGCATTTCCAGACGCTACTGCCGAACTGAGCTTTACCGAACTCGAAAAGCTGCCTTTTCTGACTGGCGTCATCAAGGAGGGGCAACGGTGAGTTCACTGAGGGTAACTTGACCCTACATATCTGCTCATTTGACTCCTAGACTCTCCTATGGCGTCATAAGTCGTCTCCCCCGAGTTGTTCCTGAAGGTGGTGCTGAGATTGAGGGTCACTACCTCCCCAGCGGAGTACGTATTCTGTCTCCTGATCCCCGAATGCCTCCTCCGATGTCGTTCTAACCGCATCAGACCGTCGTTAGCATGTCCTCCTGGATGATGCACCACGATCCCGTTGCTTTCCCCGACCCCGAAGTCTTTGACCCAACTCGTTGGACCGATCCCTCCGCCTTCCATGAGCGAGAAAGGTGCCTCGTGGCATTCTCCCGTGGCCGCCGCATGTGTATCGGCCACAACTTGGCCTGGTGTGAGATGTACGTAACCTTGGGGACACTCTTCCGGCGCTTCGAAACCCTGCGTCCCTTTGAGGTCACCGCTGAGGACATGGTTTATGAGGACTGCTTCTCGGCATTCAACCCACCTGACAAGAAGAAGTTCAAGGTTATTGGTGGCGGGCTGGAGGACTCGTTTATTCACGTGTAACTCAGCGTTTGGGTCGTGGTCATCTATAGTGACACTGCTTGTTTGCTTGTTTTGTGAGAGGCCACGCGATACTGGCCATTAACAAACATTCGGGCGAAAAAGTGGAAAGCGTCATTTTGCCACTCTTGCTGCGACTGGACTAGTCCGTAACTCAACAACTACAAACGAGGATATCCCAAGGACAAGTAACAAATGGAACTACAGCCTAATAGTATCCTGTAAAAACCCTGTCAAATAGAAGCCTAACTTTAAGCGCAATAGCATGGGAAATGTTGAGGCTTGAGCGGTGGTGCCATTGACGTCCAGGGAAAATTGAAGGGATATGGAGCGTCATTGGGGTCAAGTCGGGATGAGTGTCAGCCAATTGAGTTGCGCAATCCTTCTCCAATACCTACCAGCTGGAACGTATCGAACAGAAAGCTCTAAGAAGTTGAATCGGAGACCTCTCCCGTTCAACGGCTAACGAGTCTGGTGCAGCAGGCTGATTAATATAAGGCTGGATAACCCATATAAAAACGGATCCCTCATAATATCGTCTATCTAATAGGAAACCACTAAGTGTGAAGAAAGGGTTATGGTTAGTTGACTAATCCAATGCTAAACATTACAAGGAGGAGGGTTTCATGGGAGATAAGATCCAATCTAATTTCCCGCCCTCACTTATCCAAAGAGATAATTGTTCAAGTGTTTGTACTATATTGTATGTAACCTACCGTGGTATCTCTTGATCTATGTAGCGATATTAAATATGCAAGAAGAAGATAAGTTAATTATACTTACCACTCTGCAGCTATGGGATCCGCTTTTGAGGTGGCTTTGGTGGAGGGCGGAGGATACCTGCGTAGTTTGAGTGCGGTAGTTTAAGAACACAATCATGGAATGGGGCAGCTCATCTGCAAATCTCTTTGTTGGCGTGGCAGCCTGAATGCCTCTAGCAATCAGAAAATTACCGGGCTTTCTAGAAAAACACTGATATGAGCAAACTGCCTTATTTGTATCAACTGGGCGAGTTAAGAACAAAGAGAAAAGAAGAGCAAGACTCTGAGAAGAAATTACTTAAAGACTGGCGAATGCCTTCTCACTTCCCATCTCTCCTTTCAATAATTTCACTCAACCACCCTACCTGCCCAAAGCTTAGAACCGCACTTTTCAGACATGTTATTAGACGAGATAACGCCCTCTGATGTCGACTCAGCCTCCGATGACAATGGTGAACCCCCTGTCCATCAGATTGACCGGCCGGAACATGGAGGGATAGACATCTGGTTTGAGAGAAACTGGGAGAGTAAGACAGTCGACTGTATAGATTATGTGATGAGCGAAGATTTATCTCACAAATTTAGGCGCTTCGGTAACGAGGCGTTTAAAATGGGGTTGGAGGGGATGTATGGCTGCACGGCGATCTTCATTGTGTCTAGTATGGGTGCCTTCATGGTAAAGATAATCTTGGCTCCCATCTGTGTCATAAACTAAAAGATCTTTCGGCGCATATCTAGGAGAAACCAGCCATGAGTCACGCCAAAAAATATTGGGTCAACTTTTTTCCACTTGCCCATCCTCGGGAAACTTGAGCGTGTCCTTTTGCAACACGGGTTCAACAAGAAAAATGACCCAAGCTTACAAGTTGCATTGTACACAAAGTGCAAAACCTCGGAAGAGCCCAAGATACAGGTCGTTTATCCAGTCCAAATCGAGGATATAAAGACGATGTTAGCCAAAGTAATACCTGGTCTGCCTGAGCACCATATCAGGGTGGTTCGGTATTATGCGGACGAAGAGAAGGCAAAAGATCCCAAACTGGCGGCCGGCAAACTCATTTTATGTTACGACCCAAAAGCAGAACCTGGAAAGATCGGCTGTGATGTGTGGGCAGGGTCACAATATGACGCCCAGGGCGAAGCAATCCTGCCGATCAACAACAACAGCCCAATCCTTTCTTGCAGGTGGAGCGAACGCAACTACGGAGAGCTCTATCGGAAGCCATGTCTCGGAGTAAAACCGGCACCTTCCGTCGTCCCTGATAGTCTCCCAGGGGCTACGGAAGTTCTGACATCCTTCATCAGCGCGGCATCCGCCACGTCCGTGAAGACTTCCAAGGAACTAGATGCCGGCACCGAAGAAGCATCTGTCTGGCATGAAGTACCGGAGAGAGATTAGAAGTATGGATAGCTTAGCTAAGGTGTGGTGGTTGATATATTTGTCGACTAATATCTAAGTCTTTGTTGTGACAGCGCTTGCGTGATGCGGTCAGGTGCATCCACGTTCCAGAAAATTGACGCCACAATAGGGATGTTGAATGTTCCTGGGAAGCTTTGTTCAAATACGCAAGAGACATTTAGGCAATAGAACATTTTACTTTTCTTTGTACGCCGTGATCGAGAACTGATCTGGAAACTCTATCTGTATAATTATGCAAGGATTTTGAGACAATGGAATTTCTTCCCTTCGTGTTCACCATAATTGAGAACTAACTTGGAAACTTCATTTAGGTGTGCAAGGGTACTGATGAACTCATTTAAAAACTGTGTTCATAGACAATAGCACCTTCCTTACTTATGTGCTCCACTATTGACTTATTTTCAACTCCTTGCAATATTTATACCACGTCGTATGGTATCTGACCGGTTCATTACTGGCAGAATAAACGAGATAAGTAGTCACCCTCCATCTCTGGCCAGCACACCTGCCCTTTAGCAAAAGAAATCACAGCAAAGTCATGACGGATGACATTGACACCAATCCCAATGACGGTTCCTTGCCTCTACACCATATAGGAAAGCGGCGTGACCGGATTTGGGTCCGTCTCGCCTGGGCCCGAGAGGCCATCCATGCAGGGCACGACGTCAACGAACTCGACCCCAACCCTGTCCCAGAAGACAATTTAGGTCGGCCTTTGCATGCTGCCCTCCTGCACCCAGGAAATATCGATGAGGAGACTGGTATCCCCCTTGGTAGATACGAAAGTCTTGATTTGATCGACCTTTATCTTGCCTTTGGGGCTGACCCTCGGTCCAAGTGCAGTAAAGACCTGGAGAGCCCTATGGATTGGGCTCGAGCAAGAATCGAGGCCCTGGTGGTGACGTTCTCTCCAAGGTCTTTTATGCCGAGGCTCTAGGACGAATGGAAGAAACGGTGATGAAACTCAATGGTATGCTAAGACTGATTAATTATGCGAGCCGTAAAGTGCATCATATCTAACTTACTCCTAGCGGAGAGAAAGGGCTATCGGAATCCCAACACATTATATACCACAGATAGAAGAATCGGCTTTCGTGCTACACGGTTTTACGCTGGTTGGATGGTCTCTGACGATCTACCTCTGCACACCATCGGGCCTATGCCTGTTAGTACCAAGGTCCGCCTGGCCTGGACCCGAGAGGCTGTCATCAAAGGCCGCGATGTCAACCGTCTTGACCCTGACACCAATGCCCGTAACCATAGGGGGCGGCCTTTGCATCAAGTCCTAGAGAATAATGGTTGTTCGCAGGACGACCTGAGTACTTTTACTAATGAGCCTGATGGCATTCTTTTGGTCGAGTTTTACCTCCTTTGTGGGGCCGACCCTCGACTCAAGGACCGCTTCGGGTGGAGGAGCTGTTTGGACGAAGCCCGACATGGGATCAAACAGAACGAGAATTGTCATAAGTATTGGACAGATGCCTTAAAATTGATGGAGGAGGCTGTAAAGAAGCTTGAAGGTATGCTCCAAGGCCACGTCATTTTTGGAACACACTTGAGCTAACATTACGTCTAGAGGAAGAAGAGGGAATCGTGGATCCAAACCAAGGTCCGTTGCCCTTGCACAAGATTGGCAGCCTGACTATTAGTATCAAAAGACGCCTCGCCTGGGCCCGAGAGGCTCTTCAAAACGAACACGATGTCAACGAACTTGGCCCAAACCGTGGCATGGACCCAAACCGAAGCAACACACACCTAGGTCGGCCTTTACATGTGGCTTTAGACAACCCCGGACGTCTTCTGGGTGTCGAGCGCCGAACTGCCAACATATATGAGGGCCTTGATCTGATTGATCTTTACTTACAGCATGGCGCTGATCCTCTATTAGAAGACCGTTTTGGGACAACGTCTATTGATAAGGCTCGAAGATTGCTTAATCAAGCACAGGCTAATGATGAGGATCCGGGATTTGGACGCTAGCCTTGGAAAAAATGGAAGAAGCTGTCAAAGGTATGCTTAAACCCCCCCTTTTCAAATTACTCGTATTAATAAATCTCAGCGAGAGAGGGCTTGCTCCAGAGACCACATTCACCGGAGGGCCAGCATGCTGACACTCCGCAAGCTAACTGATAACCCAGCGCATCATGCGCGACCTCAGCCACCCCAAGCAGAGGGCCGGACCGCCCTAAGGCACCTCAACTACTAATGTGGTTGGCCTCGGGCCAGGCAGGCGAAGTCGACAGACGAGCCAAATATGAAGAGAAAGCAAGCTCAGACAGTAGTGGAAACGGACATAAGTAGAGAGTATAGCCTTTTCCTAGGCGAGATTTTCCTTATAATAGCAGACGAGAGATATATCACAGACTGAGATTTAAGTAGGATAAATAGAGCGAGTTTCAATCAATATATATCAGAGGGGCATCATCCCTAGATTTATGTGTCTATGAAGAGAGGAGGCATAAATAGAGTGTGGGGTTAATCTTGGCTTGATGGAACTTGCGGCTTAGAGGAGGGAGGTTTGATCTTGCTGGGTAAAGCTGAGGGCAATTCAACTTCGGCTAGACCTACATAGTTCCTGCCCTAGATATTGTAGGTTCTCTAGATAATTAGTACTGGTTAAAAGAGGGTAGGATTATATAATAACATCTCTAGAGTAAAAAGACTTTAAACGAATCCAAACGAAGCCGCCTAACCTCAACATATATCTAGAGGCGTGACTAGGAGCTTTCATGGATGCCTTGCTGGTACCGGGAAACCCTCAAGAATGGTCATGATATCAATGACCTCGATCACGACAGCAACGACGCAAACATGGGGCGGCCTTTACACACAGCAACTAGTAGACTGGTGCTGCAGCTGCTCTGGCATCTAAGATTTTTCTCCTCCGATGCCGAAAGATTCCTGACTCTGCCCAGTATATGCCCTATTATCAGTCTGTTGCATAATTTTACAAACGATTCTCAGAGGGCTTGCTAGACCCGTGACATGTATGCTATTCAAGACCTTGTAATAGTTCTCGGCACTTTGGAAATGGTGCTAGACCTTTATGTCTTCAAGTCAGGCTCTATCAACCCCCTCCCCCCCTGAGACAAGCATATCGCTTTCGATCAAATTGCGTATCTTGTGTGAAAATTCGTCCAATCGCTTGAGGGATCTGATGATATTCTCATCAGCATCAAGAACGCACCCGAGGACCTCTTCTCCGTCGCGGAAACACGTCTCATCTGCAGTGGTCCAGCAAAATTGGGGCTATCTATAGTCCAGAGTCACTTATAGCCGGACTTGCGTCTCATTTGCCTCCCATTGCCTCGTACCTGAGCAGCTGTTGAAAAATGAACGGGCGAAATTGGCCATAGTAACGTCATTCCGCAGTGGCTGAAATCAAGGCGAGCTTCTGTCTACAGGTGAAGGTAACTAGCTAGTTTTACTAGGATACAAACGGCGTCGTTAGTTCCACCCAAGACGGACATCTGCCTTATTGGCTGTCTTATGTAGTAGATTTCATTTGCTCTGCTTCACTGCGAAGGCCTATATGGCGGCAACCCTTTTCTAGGAGCTTGTAACTGAGGTAGGCGATGGCGTAGTCTAGTCTCTGAGGCGATTTTTGAGGTGGGCGCCACACGGGGTATTACAAGTGGTGCCGGGATAACTAGCGATTATGATTATCTGGATCCTTCTAAGCCTGACCGCACGGCGGGAGAAGTTTGCTTGCCCATATCATCCACGGCTCTAATAATCTTCTTCTGCAACCTCATCGCTTTCCTCGCAAAGACTACACCGAGCGTGTTGGCAGTTTTGGCAGGATGGGGTGCTGCCATATAGCCATTTGTAAGAGCAACAGTGGCAGCTCCACATACGAGTTCTTGGCTGACCTCTAGCCATAGGGCTTGGCCTAGTCGGACGTGGGGCGGGACTTCGCCTACTCAGACGTTGGATTGGACTTAGCCTAGTCAGACGTCTTTTCAGTTCCTCCCAGTTTGTTCTAAGAGACTTGACTGGCAAGAAGTCCCAATTTTCAGACTCGCCAGTGAACTGTTCAGAAAGGTCTGTCCATTCAGCCTGCTCTCGGTTTGAATCGACCATGGTGCCAGTAATATTCTCCAAGCCATCTAGGTCCCGGCTGTTGATTGTAGATCTGGATGGATTGTACTTTTCTTTGCCGCCTATCCCGGAGGAATTTGATACAATGGCATCATCTTCACGATTGTCTTCTGCGTAAGACAGTGAGAGGAAGCCTAACGATTTGAGATGGGTGGCAATGTGCTGCCATAGGATCATGAATGGCTTTTCCTTGATGCGTTGCTGGATATCATCCGGGACACAGTCGCAAAGAGGACACACAAAAGGATCTCTTTTTGCCGTCCTTCGATTTCGAATTACAAGGCCTCGGATTTTAGGTTGCGTGAAGTCACCCGCGTGGCCAGTCTTTAGATGGTTAACGAATTCCGTCTCTTCGTCAAATGCCAGTGGCTTGGTGTTGTGGCCAGGGTGGCTATAGTCACAGTACCACCTCTTTGTGTGGATATTCTCTGACCATTGCAAAGAGTGTCGGGTCTGCATATGATCCATCCAAGTCCCCTCGCTTTTAAAGAACTGAGGGGGGTCGATGCAATCCTCGGAAATGCAGACGTAGGGTTCGAGATCTTGGTCAACATGGATCCTGAATGCGTGTCAGATGCATCTGCGTAGCAATGAATGGCAACACAAACCTCCAGGCGCTTGGAGTCAAGGACTTCGGGTTCAGGGGTGCATCACAAAGAATGCAGGATTGGTAACTCGCCCCCTCCTTTTGTTCCGGTTGCGGTGGGTAGTCGTATTCATTGCTCTGGATAACCGAACCTCTACTGATGATCGAGCTCGAAGGGTTCCTTCTTTCTTGAAGGACCCGGTGCCTCATGGAAGGAGAAAGTGACGATGCGAGGGTCTCTGGCTGTTTCATAGCTTTCAGCGTCCGAGGGCGCCCGCCCATTGTTGGCACCAACACCTCGTCCTTGTACCCTCCTTCGAGGTTTGTCGGTTCCTCTGTAGCATCCTCATCATGCCGAAAGGAAGCAAGGTTCCTATTGTGCTTCTTCAAGTATAATAATGATCTTCCTCGTATGTTGATAGAAGCGCCAAGCTGATTGCAAAGACTCTTCCTCGCGTTTGGATACCTCCTATTTACAAGCAAGCTGGTCAACCGCTCGGCTTGCTCATCGGCAGGCTCTTGGGCCAATCTGTATTTCCGACACGTCGGGCGTCGTAAATTTATTGCCAGGATGAATAATCGGTCCATTGCGGCTCTGATGGCTGGTATTCCGGGACGGATCTCGGAGTCATCTTCGCCGGCATCGTCAATGTTTACTACAGATATGTTAGCGCATTATTAGGAGAAATAAAAGGATTAGTTACCCCATCTGAGGTTGTCCTCGACCATATACAATAAATCAAGTACCATGTCTTTGATGTCCTCGTGGGGAGCTAGTCGGGCATCGAGAGAGGCCCGAGGCACTGCGAAGGCACCGACATAAGCTACCCATTGGTTGAATTGTCCACCTAAGTCTTCAATCGCCACATAACCTTCCGCTGAGCTTTCTGTCCCCTTAATAATATGTTCGAAATGGTCTGAGCAGAGCTGTGCGGCGTCATAGATAGGCTGGCCCGATTCGAGGACTGAGGTGGAGGCACGGGTGCTATCGCACGGGGGAGATTCACCCATGGCAGGATGTAGTAATTTCGGCCTCCAATACAAATTAGAGATGGTAATCGCTGGTCCCGTGTCCCGTTTAGTCTCGGGGGGAGGGATTACGGCGTTGAGATGCGAGAATGTAGGGCTTCTGAATGCTCGTAGAGACGCGGTTCGAGGCCGAACTGATTTGTAGCGGTGGGGCGCGGCCTGGGCATTGAATGTGTTAAGGAGGTACATGCTGTACTACTGGTGCTGCAGCAATTCGAATATCAATGTCTATCACAGCCTCGTTAAGGCTCTGGCCTTGAGCATTCTGACATAGCAGCCTGATATGGGCCCGACTTGTACTCTACCCCGCTCAGCTCACGAACGAACCATCTGCATTCCTCTGTACCATGACGCATGCTCCTAAGATCTTGCCGCAATTATCTCTATCAAAATGCGTCGAGTCGTGGAATCTGCGGAGTTGTTTTTGGCCGTTGTACCGGTTTTCGTTGATGCTCTCCCGTTGAGGCCAAAGCGCGAACCCAGGGCTACAGATCAACGCCAGCCACAACCTGAGGACTGGAGCCGAGCCGAGCGAGCCAACGCAATTGTATTCTTGCGGTTTGAGATTCAACAGTTGCCCGAAGTCTTGCCAAAAGATTATGCTACATATGATTTGTCAGATGAAATATCCCAAGTAGCGAGCGACGCGCTGGACGACATTCTTTTCTTTTTGGATGGGCTGGTCAATGACGCCATCATCGAACAAAACAACGATGTTTCTGTAAGTAAACTACGATGGAAAGCCTCTTGACTTTCGTCAACCTGCAAAGTGCTTCCCATGTTTGCCATCACCCCTTGTTCACATCTGATAGAGCAATACTGAGTTGACAACCATCCAGCCTGAGAGTTGCCAAAGGTTTTCCAACCTTGAGGCATTAAAATACGTCCTCTGTTCTCACAAACAAACCACTATTAGCGACACCCCGAGTCACTTTCCTGGCGATATACTAAAGTGGATTCAATACCCGACAGCAGGTGCTATGAGCATGCAATATCGCAGAATAGCCAACCCAGTAAAACAATTCCGAGAAATCATGAGACCGATATTTGAGGCTCACATAGTTAACGCCGAACCTGAGTTGGCCCAACCCAAAGCAACGCAGATCTATTATCCTTCTTTCCAATCTCAGCACAATCCTGAAGACAATAGCCGAAAGGCCGTCGCGGACATACAGCAGGCTCAACGACTTTGTGAATCAACTGTAAGCATTACCAAAGTATTCACCACCACACTTCAACAATGTCAGCCACCTCACTCCGCTCATATTCACTTGTCTGGATTCAGAAAACCCGAGATCGACATGGTTGTCTCGGTTTGTGGTGGAATCAAGTCCAAGAAATGGCACACTGTCCACTGGTCTATTCCAAGCGGTCGGAATCCGCGACAGCCTTGCACAAATACCTTTTGTTCTGAGCTCAAAGAATCACGTCGGCGTATGGCTCCTCTACAGTTACAGCTGCAGCATGACGGCTCTTGGAACAAGGGTGCTCCAAGCGCTAGAATTCAAGACTCCGTCTCAGCACCCACGGAATCTTTACAAGAATGGCTTACGCGGATGGAGGGAGAAGCAAGCCCGACAGAATCTTCAAAGTTGAAGAAAAAGGACATACTGCACCTCGCATTAATGATTGCGAGATCTCTTTTCTATCTTCTCGGCAGTCCGCTTCTCCAAGATCCACTGGAGACCGAAACTATTTGCGTCGCAAAGACCGAGTGCGGCTCATACGCTCAGAATTTGTGGACAAAAGCCTACACGACTGCACAATTGGCGGGCTACCTCGACAAGGAGGATCCTAACCAATCTGGAAGAGCGACGCTGTCCATCCTACATCTCGGAAGACTGCTTCTCACGCTTTTCTTCCGCAGGCAGATCACAGTCGAGGCAGAGGATGGTGAAGTCAATGAAGACAATGACGAAACCGAATCCTTGTTCTTTGCACTCAATCGCGAACACATTCATTTAAAGGAATCATCGTTTGTCGACCCTTCGTGCCTAATCATCATCCGCAACTGTCTTGACATCTGCTGGGAAGTCGATACGATTGACGCGCCTTTTCGCACCAAATTCTACTGGTCCATTGTCGAACCTCTCATACAATCATTTAGAAGTTACGACTTTTCAGGTGAGCGGACGGTGGAGATTGTCGAGAGTGCCAATCATTCACGCGGAGTTCCAGGCAACTGCGATTTGGACCAACAACAAGCACTAAAGATGGATGTACAGTTGGAGAAAAATGTTACTGTGATGAAACAAGGTACAATGCTCCAATCATGGGGGCAATTCGTTGATGCAAAGGTGCTTGCATCTACAGGAACAGTACGTGGCTCCGCCAATCTGCATAAGCGAATGTTAACTTTGCGAACAAACAGATACGTGATAGCGAATCGTGGCTAAATTGCTTTGACTTTGTTAATTTATCGCTTAGAGCTTCTCTCGCGAAAGGAACAAGAGCTTTACGGGTTGCTGTTCTCGACACGGGTTGCGATGTGGAGCACACGTTCTTTTCTGGACCTGGAGATGGCCAGGCCGATCGCTTGGACGGGCACTGGTTCGACTGCCTGGGTGAATCAAATGAGCCCATTGACGAGGATTTGGGCAGACATGGTACCGCCATGGTTGCATTGCTGCTGAGACTGCTTCCACACGCGGAAATATATGTGGTCCGCGTCGCCAGGGGGATGAAGAGCGACGCGGAGAGTGGCGTGGAGGGACTTTCTACTCTCAAGGAGAGTACTTCAAAGGTAATTGTATCCAGTATCATATATGTACACTCCGCTTATACGCATAGCAGGCCATCCGCCACGCCGTTGATGAGTGGGACATCGATATCGTGTCAATGTCATTTGGCTTCTCTGAAGAAATAGCATCCATACGAAATGCCATCTTAGACGCGGAGACCGCCAAAGATGGCAAGATACTGTTCTTCGCTGCAGCTAACAACGCTGGCCAGAACGAGCTCGAATTGTTTCCAGCATTCTTTGAATCTGTCATATCGGTCCGCGGTACTGACTTCAATGGGAGTTTCGACCCACAATACGATCCCCCATCATGGCCACACAAAGACGGCACATGTTATGGGACACTCGGAAAAGACGTCGCTTGCGGTTGGACGGCTGGCTCCCTGAGGAAGTCGGGATGCTCTGTAGCGACACCGATCATGGCTGCGATTGCGGCAACCGTGATCTGGTTCGTGGCGCGCAATGACAGCATATTCCCCCAAGAGGCCACAGACGCAATCAAAACCCGGAGAGGAATTCTTTCAGTCTTCAATGTGATGACTATGAGAAGCAATAGGTTAGACAGGCGGTACTTGGCCCCGTGGCAGTTATTTGGACGTGACGCTCAGAAAAAGCTGAGTTCGATTGCATACGCATTGGATGGACTACCTCCGCAGGAACCTGCGAAGGAACCCCGTCAGAAACCTCAACATAGCTAGACAGTCGATGTTATCACCGATGAGTCATCATTCAGCGTCGCCAACATGAAGACTGCCTTGGTTTGAGATCAAACTCTAACCTGACTTCTATTATTCTAGAGTCTAGATGCACCGTATGCAAATTTATGGCATTCGCATGTTCAGTCAGTGGAATAAGAAGGGGGGTTATAAGGACTCCGTCTATGACTTGACGTATAATTGATGACATAGTTACACCCATCTGTAAACAGCTTTGACAGGCACATGCATAGATAAGAACATTATATCTTTATTTGGCGGGGAAAGGTGGAACAGAAATTCTACATCTCAGAAGAAGGGACGAGAAAGGTCTCATGTCCGCGCGGCAACACTGATGCCCGTATTGAGTCACCTTGATAAGATGTCTGGAAGGCCTAAAAGCGCCGGACACTGACGTTTTCCTTAGGAGGGCAGCGCGGTGTACTGCAGCAAGCCTATATATTTTGAGTATTGCCGTTCGCACAGATGCATTTTACTACTCCCACACAGGTACAAAACCTCTTCCGCTGTTTCTCAGATAGCACAGTGTACCTGGTACGCGTATTGAGAGAGCATATTCTTTGATTTCAAGCCTGCTTGAAATAAATAAATACAATATACATAATATACATAATTGAAGCTTAAGGAAAAGACTATTATGCAGCAACCTTGTTGTTGAGCTACTGTTTCTGGTGTTGGATGTAGCACTTATTGTTTATCTCTACTGTTTGAGAATACTGCATGGCTTTGATCTATCTGATGATATTGAGTAGAGCTTAAAAAAACCCCAAATACACTCGATACAGATCAGGGACGACTACAGCCCGGGTCATAGATTAGCCCGAGCCAATACTACAACTGTCAGCGGCAGCAGCGCCGCAATGCAGCTTTAACCCGGATCCAAGACCATTTCGGTCAGCAACCGCTTGACCATATCCCCTATAGCAGAGCTGGTGACTCCGATTGACAAGGACATAGCGCGGAGACGGTCGCTTTTTGTTGCTATTTGAGAGGCCATTCGCAAAGCACCGAAATGTCATATTTCGTGTACTGAAGCTAGGGATCTGGAAGTTCCTTGTAGATCAGAGAGCCTCAACAGGAGGTTCCCCCGTAAGGGCTGCAGCCTACAGGAGCCCACATCCTGCTACCTTGAGCCACCGCCCTGCGTATAGCTAGCAATGTAGCATCCACAAGCAGCCTCAGTAACAAGTCGTTCAGACGCAGGATAAAATATATCGTTGGATTAATGTTCCTGTTTGATTAAGCAGGGCTGGGCTAAAGAATAAACAATCCACTACTGTCGCTAGCCCAGTCTTTAAATAGGCCACTCCTACGCAACACCGTGTAAGCCACAAAGCGTACCAGGCCTCTCAACATTGCCCAGTCCCTCACCACACAGCGACTTTTGAACAGGTTTCCCAGCCCATTGTAACGTCACACGCATTACGAAACGTCAGACAAAATACGAAAGCCACCGGCTAAGCAGCCAGTGGGAGGAAATGGGGTTTCGGGCCGTCGCAAGCCACTGGGAGGCTTGGCTACAGTAGCGGGTCACGCTTCTTTCAGCTTCGGCCTTCAGCTGACAGGCAGACACATTGCAGCTCGGCTCGTGAGAACTTTAAAGACGTCGTCTCCGGCGATCCGAAATCTCGTAAAGGGACTGGGATAAGTGCCTGGTATGTACCGCTTGCTTTGAGAAGGCGTTGTAAGTGCCATATGCTGACCGGTTGGGACTTGAGAGACGTCACCACCAAGTCGACATCACCATCACCAACACCACGAATACCACCACGACCACAATGACTTCCTCGCAAGCCTGGGTCTTCTCCGACCGCGGCCTCCCCTCGGACGTCCTCTCCCTCACCACGCGGCCAACGCCCACGCTCCCCCCTCCCGTGCCGCTCCCCAGCGACGTGCCGACGCCCGAGGAGTGGCTGCTCATCAAGACGAGCTTCGCGGGGCTCAACCCGGGGGCCATTTTCCAGATGGTGCTCGTGCCGGCCTTCATCCGCAGCGCGACCTGCGTGCCGGAGATGGACCTGTCCGGCACCGTCGCCGACGTGTGGCACCCGGACGGCGCCAGCCCGCGCTTCGCAAGGGGCGACAAGGTGGCCGCCATGCTGCCGGCCCACCACGCCATCCCCACCGGCACGGGTGCGCTGGCCGAGTACGTCCGCGTGCCGGCGCGGTACGTGGTGCGCAAGCCCGAGGGCGTCAGCTTTGGCGATGCGGCCGGGTGCTTGCTGCCGGCGTTGACGGCGTGGCAGATGGTCGAGGAGTCGGGCGTCAAGGAGGGCGACCGTGTGCTGGTTAACGCGGCGAGCGGCGGCATCGGGACTATGGTTGTGCAGATGGTGCGCAAGGTCGTTGGGGACACGGGTTATGTCGTGGGCATCTGCAGTGGAAAGAATGCGGATATGGTGAAGAGTTTGGGGGCTGATGAGGTGAGTTGATAGATCTCCCGTCATATCGTCTCGACGCGTCATGCAGAATAACTCCTGGAGTATAACTTACACACAGAAAGAAACGCCACTAACAAACCACCAGATCATCGACTACACCCAACACGACTCCCTAACCGCACACCTCACAGCCCGCTTCTCTGCATCGCCCTTCAACACCATCCTCGACACGTACGGCCTACAGGCGCTATACCTCGCGTCGCCGTCCTACCTCGTCCCCAGCGGGCACTACTCGTCCGTCGGCATCAAAGCACCAAACTTCTCCTTCCCAGACTTCCTGCGCGCCGTGGTGCAGATGAAGCTCAACGAGTGGTGGCCCGTCTCGCGGTGGCTCGGCGGCGTGGGCCGGCGCTGGTGCGGCGTGGCCATGATGAAGCCCACGCTCGAGGACCGCCAGCGCATCATCGACATGCTCGGCGCCGGCGACATTCGCCTCGTGAGGGATAGCGTGTGGCCCTTTGAGCAGGCCAAGGAGGCGTATGCTAAGCTGGCTGGGTTGCACGCCCGGGGCAAGATTCTCGTCAAGGTGGATGCTGCTGTTGGAGACGATGAGTGTTGATAGCTGTTCAATCAAAGCGGAAGACAGGGAGGACGTTTACGTGCGATGGTCATTTTGATATACTCCACTCTATGTTTGCTCCGCGATGGACTCGCAATCGTATATTTAATGATGCACCCATGTCTAGTTAATTGATACATTCCGTCCTTCACCAATCCTCCTCCGCAATACTCCGGCACAACCACAGGCCTCATCACATCAATTAGAAACCACAATTGTCATACTCTTAGTGCTCACATTTGCAAACTTCAAAAGGTCTCGGGACTGGGGCAAGCGGTGTTAAATATAATATACTTGTATTGCTATTCTCAGCGATACCCGTCTCAACTCTGCTAATCAATAATCATGTAATCCATACTCCAGAAACACCATACAATCGATCCGCCAGACTCCATCGCAAATCAAGTCCCATTCCGTGCACCACGCATGTACGAAACTCACAGGGCTGATCCCAGAGGACCCAATCATCTTCTCGCGCGCCCATTAAAGGAGAAGTGGCAGAACCCATTATCATAAGCACCCTTGCTCTCATAATCATCTACCCATCAGTCCCTCTCAAAGGGCACGGCCGTATTCTTCAAAAGGGTCCTCGCGCTCCTCTGCCGTTGCCGTGAAGTGCGGTCTATAGTCGTCATGACTCGCTCGACCGTGCTTCCTGGAGGGATCCTGGAAGCTCGCCCTCGGGCTCCTAGCCTGGCTCTGAGTTGGTTGCGGGACATTAAGATCCTGGCGTCCCCTTTCTTCGTTGGTATCGGCTGCACCGTCACCGCCACCCACCGCTTGGCCATCTTCAAGCTCAGTCTGGTGGTCCTGAAAGAGCTTCTCGACTTCGTGGTCCTTTTCGAGCCGTTGCATCAAATCCTGGTCCGTAGGCCAGTAGACGCGTCGAACCGCCTGCACCGCCAGTTCCACCACAATTAGCGCGGTCAGCTCCAGTAGAACCGCAGTCCACCATTGCAGCGTATGACCAAAGTTATTGATAAATGCATCTCGGACAATGTAGACGCCGACCTTTCTCGTGTAGAGGCCTGATAGCGCCAGCATCCAGAGAAACCATCCAGCCACCGAGACAAAGAAGCCAGCAAAGGTGATGATAGTCTTGCTGTGCAGCTCGAGAATTCTAGTTTTCAAGTTAGTCACTACGCCGGGGAATCATGGATGGATAACGAGAACTCACAAGAGCTTAATGTTGATGAACAGCACAGCGACGGTAAAGGAAACCATACCCATGGCGAAGAGGCTCGTGTCGTCGGGGGAGCCAGAACCATAGTACACCTCTTGCGTGAAGTACCAGATGATAAAACTGCCAGCCACACCCATGATCAACCACCCGAGGTACTGGATGTAACTGAATCCAAGACCTCTCTGTCCAAAAGTGTACAGCTCGGGTACTGCCAGCAAGGTTGCCGCAGAGAGATCTCTCTCAAAGATACCCAATAGGATGACTGGCAAGGAAGTGAAGGCGCTGTTGAATACGGTCAAACTCCAAGACTCGTACAACGACGTCCCAGAGTAGCCGTTTAGTCTCTGGAAATGCGCCTGGACCAAGAAAAAGAGAATCTCCTTCCAAAACGTCGCCAGCACGTACTTCCCCGTCCTCAGATAGTTCCAGCGACCGTGGACAAACAACAGTCTCTGCAAGAAGCGAAACTGGGCGATTGAGTAATCTGATATTCGGGATGCCTGGAGTCCCTCACGGCCGGAAATGCCAATACCGACATGTGAAGACTGAATCATGCCAATGTCGTTGGCGCCATCTCCAATCGCCAATGTCATACTCTTGGGGACTCGCTTGCGAATAGACTCCACAAGGTTGGCCTTTTGCGATGGAGAGGCGCGACAACAAATGACGGAGTCGACACGGATAGCGAGGTCGTAGAACAAAGTATAAAGACCCTCGTCCGCATCAATGGCCGCAAGGGTCTGACCATCGACGACAACAACTGAGTGAGGAATCATGCCGCGGCAAACATCATTCAGTGTCACGGTGAGGGTATCTCGCAGATTCCCAAGCGTCGCGTCCAGAATGTACAGCTCTGAGAAGGGCTTGCACACACGGGCAGAGTGTCCGATATTGATGGCCGTCTCGCGCTTGTCACCCGTGAGCATCCAGACTTTGATGTTCGCCCGGCGCAGCTTGTCAATAGTGTCTGGGACACCTTCTTGAAGCTTATCTTCGATGGCTGTGGCTCCAGCAAGCTCAAGGCCCTGCTCAATCAACTCGCCAGCTTCCTCAATGCGTTGCTGGCGCTCGACCAAACTCGTTTCTGCCTCTCGGTAAAGTTCCTTCCACTCGGAATACGATTCCTCGTCGATGTAGCGATAGGCGTAGAGAAGAGTTCGGAGACCTTCGCTTGCGAAATCGTCGATGTGCTGGAAGCATTTTTCAAAGACAGCAGTCTCGTTTGCCGCGACAGTTTCATCGATCCTCCGGTCAATATCCTCTAATGACGGCATACGGCCAAGGCTGTGCCTCGGGCTCGCTGGGTTGAAATAATCCGCCGAGACGCGGGGAGATCGAGGAGAAGCAACAATCTGAGACTGGGTCAATGTGTAGAGGTCCGTGGATCTTCTCCCAAGGCTCAGTCTGAGGCTCTCGCGCCGATTCGACGATTCGCCCCTTTTTAGGGCGAAGCTGTTTCGTGGGCTACCGGGGTTGCTCGAGGCCTGCGCACTGATGCGGCGATTCATCTTATCCTGCTCAGACATCCTCCGCACGCTCGCCCGTCGACCAATATCTTGAGCCGCTTGTTCAGCAACCTGGCTCATTCTGAGCCGGGACATGATGACGTTGTCAGCACCCTTGCAAAAGACGCAAATGCGACCATCGGGCATCCGGATGATGATTGTCATTCTCTTTCTCTTACTGCTGAATTCAATCACATCCAAGACCTCGTATGTTTCCGTGTGTAGGCTACCATCCTCGTCCACAGTCTGGAGCTTGATGGATTGAGCGGGCCGGTCGATCAGCAAAATGCCCAAGTCTCGGGCAGCCTCCACGAGGGCCAGCTCATCAGGCGATGCTGCTTGGAATTCGAGGTCACCATTATCCTTCACCTCTGGGAGACAAGTATGGCAGAGCGCAATGCAAAGCAAGAAATGCTTAGCTTTGCGAGAGAAGGTTGTGTTGGGTTTCCTGCGGATGTAGTCGAGTAAATCCTCCGTCTTCATCTCCGACTCCTCATCAGGGCGAACGGAAGACCTCCACCGAGACAAAGATCTGGAGGATGTCCGGGAGGGGCCCGGTCGCTTCTGGAAGCCCTCTCCCGGGACCGATTCGTCATCGTAATCGCCATTTGGCTTGGTTGCCACCGTGGATCGTTTTTGGGCCTTTTCCTTAGCTTTGCCCTTCTTGGGTTTCTCCATCTCCTCAATTCGCTTCAACTTAGCATGCTCGTCTTTTTGGAGGTCCATGTCATGAAGACATGCCACACCTGCGACGGAGAGCTTACGGAAACGCATTATGTTTTCCGTCAGAGTTCCTGTCTTGTCTGAGAAGACGTAATTGACTTGACCCAAGTTCTCCAGAATGGTGGTCGTGTTTGCCACCATTGGAGTGTCCGTAATTGGATCGTACATCTCAGGGTCCTGCAGCAACAGGAGTTGTCCAAGTTTGATGATCTCGAGACTGATGTAAAGCGAAAGAGGGATGAGTGTGTTAAACATGATCAGGTACCCAAAGAAGATATTCTTGAAGGGAACAGTGCCATTGTAAATCCCACGCCGAACGATGTAGAAGGACTTGTCCTCAGTGGACTTCTTCCAGATATAATACCCGATGGTCAACCCCATGGCGAGCATCAGCACAATGACAATCTGCGCTAGAACCATCCTATTAATAGTAGATTGCATTGCAGGCTTCTTTGCGCGCACGTTCTTGCTGGCGTTCATGCGAATTTTGCACTCCTCGCCCGAATTGATGACGATGCCGATGGCCTCGGTGGTGTTTCGGAGGGTGGAACCGCGATATACAACATTGTTGAGGAAGAGGGGCATTGTCTCATCACCAACGGTGACCTTGCCGTCGTAGCTGTAGAGATCCAGATTGGGGTCTTCGGAGATGATGGTGGCACGGGCGGCACGCAATTTCTCAATGGTGTCGCATCGTTCAGCAAGCAAGGGGCACGCCTGCTTGCTTTTGAGATTGGTCTCGCCATCCAAAGCCATGGTTTCGATGTAGGCGATACCGTTGGGACCGGTGGCGTGCAGGAGGACGATATCAGCGGGAACGTCATCATCGCGACGTAGACGGATGATGTCGCCGACTCGAATATGTTGCCACTCCACTAACACCCAGGGACTATCCGTGATGCGAGGGCGCTGGAATTCGAGATCGTCGAGCATATGTCCTTCACCATCCTCGCTTTCCTTTTCCTTCTTAGCTTTCTTCATCATCTTCTCGGCATGCTTAATGACCTTTCCATCGACGCCATCAGCCAAGATCCATGCCTCGCTACGGTTCTCGATCCGATCAAGCCTGTAGCGCCTGTAGTCGTCCCAACCTTCCTTTGCCATGCTGAAGGCCACAAATACACCGAGGGGCGCGATCGTAGTCCAGCGACCAACGGTACTGAGGCCAGGGATCAGCTGGAGGATACCCATCACCAAGAAATAAAAGTTGCCGAGTTTACTAAACTGGAATATGAGCTGTTTTGGCACGAAATCGTAAACGGTGTAGCGATTGGATCGGATAAAGTTGCTGAGGTAGGGAGCGTTACGGCGTTCGTCGATGAGGCGGGACCCATTGAGCAGGATATGGCGACCATCGGCGGAAGGAGGAAGTTTTCTGTGCCGGAGAACGAACTCGTAAACCAGCTTTTCGTATATTTGTTCAAGGCGCTGCGTCCATGTGGTCTTGATATTGGCAGCCTTCTTCTCGAGTTTCCGAGCCTTCCGCTCGCGCAGGTATGCCCTGACATCGTCGCGGATGGAGAAGTCCTTCTCCATCTTGGTGTGAGTGAGCGTGGCCTTTTCGGAAGAGTATTTGTCACCACTCGCCACGGAATCCGGAGGCGGGAGGGCGGTTCGGGAGGGGATAGAATGTAGTTCGTATGGGCGGGCAGAGGAGTCGTCGGGTCGCTGAGAAGCGGACCTTGGGTGGGAATCGGCAGCGGAAGGCAGAGGAGGGTGGTTATTTCCGGTTTCGCCGTGGGTGCGACGCGGAGTTCGGGGCCGAGAGAAGGAGTTGTCAGGCCGGGCGGGAGGGAACAGGTCGTCGACGGCGTCTTGGAAGTCGCGCGAGGTCGAGTCGTCGAGGTCGTTGGTGCCGTCGGCGCTGCGGCCGCGAGAAGAAGACAATCGCCGCCCAGGGTTGTTGCTTCGGCTACGGGCCATGTTACGGCCACCGATTCAGCATTGGGAAGGAGGACGCAGTTGGGTGCAGGCGGACGAGGTCGTCGCGACTGTGGAGGAGAAGAAGAGAAATCGAGCTGGGCGTGGGGTGTGCCGCCGCGTGCTGACAAGCTCGAGGGCGGCGCGGTGGGTCCGAGTGACTTAGATGAATCCGGGGGGAGGATGGCGGGTGGTTAGCACAGCGCAAGTACCTGGATACAATATACAGTGGACGAATAGTGATTCAGTGTGGAATGAGCTACGGGGGCAGAGGCGCGCCGGCAGCGTGGTGTAAGGCGACTCTCAAGAGGCGAAGATGAGGTACAGCTGGAGATGAAGGGCAGGGCCAAGAATCCATGGAGCGATTGCCAATCCGTCGGCGCGCGCTAGCAACACCTTAATTATTATCCACGCAGGCTCGGGTTCGGGTTTGCAGGGGCTGGGTACCCAGCGACAGCGTCATGGGTTGGGTACCTTAGATGGGAATGGGCGCAACTCGGCATCAAAGAAGAGTCCGACATCCGGACATGCCTGGATGGCTTCGCCTTCTCGCCTTCTCCAGCGCACAAAAAGCAAGAGCCTTGGATTCGGTCTCGCTTTTGCTGCAAGCTCAATCTAGACACCAACCCTTCCTTGCCGCCGTCGTCGTCATCGTCATCATTCACTCATCCCCATCGCCCGCTCCGCCTTTCCTCCTCCTCGGGGCCCGCGGCGGGACGGACGGCTCAGAACGACTGGGGGGCGCCCGCTGGCGTCAGTCGCGAATTGGGGCGCAGCACCGCGCTGGCGCTGGGAAAGGGAACTGAGCGACACCTGCGCCGACGGTGAAAGGCCAGTGTTCGGTAGTGCATGGGTGCTGTGGCACCGTCAGACAGGGCGCATCATGCCTGCTCACTGTCATTGGCGGGTGCCGGGATTCGCGAGTCGTCTTTCGACTATTGGACTTGCGATACAGGGCTCCATTTATTAACTACACGAGCATCATCAACCTTCAGCCTGTCTCTCTCAGTCTCTCTCTCCCGTCCACTATGAAGCTCAAAATGATTCTACAGATTATCATGACCACCTCCCTCCTTCTGACTCGCTCTCTCGAATCTTCTCTTTTCGCCAAGACTTCATCTGTCTGACCCTCCTCTCTACCTGAGGTATCTAAACCAACACACTCCCTATCGTGCCAACACGTGCATCCATCACACCCAGTCATTCACCCTCCACCATCACGGCCCGTAGCCCCTGCGCCTCAAAATCCACGCATGCAACCTTCAACCCGTCACCCGCCAGTCACCATCGCCAATCCGCCGCTTCCGCCCGGCTGTTCCACCTCACCTTCTCTGCTCTACACCGTAAACTTTATCCTTAGACTGCGTTGGCATCCAGGTTGTTGTTCGCCGATGTTAGGATAGGGTGATTTGTTTTTCCCTTCAACGCGGGCCAATCCAGGCGCCCGACTTGTTTATCTTGTGTGACAGGGTCTAAATGCGCCACGGCTTGCTTACTCGGCGCCTCGAAATCGATCCATTGTCTCTTGTTTCTCGGGTTTGAAACCTGCGTCGCCTGCATCTCGCCGGCCGCATTCTGTGTCACAACTCCAAGAGCCGTAGATCTCAATTGGACCATTGGTCCGGCCCAGACTTGCCCAGGCACAGCCCCGTCTCAGCATTCATCCACGCGTTTTGTCTCTTTCCGGTAGTCACCGTGCTCGCCGTCGCTAGTCGCTGCTTATTAACCATGTAACAATGCCATTCAGATGTGCCTTGTCCTCAATCTCACCAAACGCAATTAAAGCTGAACCGCCGTCCTCGCGTCGCTCAGCCAGCCTTCATGCCTGTCACAAGTGTCACGGGCAGTCTCAAAACAGAATCGACGAGCCCTATGACATCGAATAACTGCGCCTTGTAGTGCACTGGGGCACAGTACGCCTGTTGTCGTCGTACACCAGCTGCAAACTGCACTCTCATGTCTCATATACTTCGATAATACACATGGTGAACACTGTAGAGCATTGTACAAAGACAAGAAGGGACTTCAACCTCTCTTCACCGATGACAAGTTCCACATCATCAGCATATTGAACATAGCCAACTGCACAACGTCATCGGGGCTTGTCTGTCCCAGCCGCTGGGCTGTGCAGTCTACAATATGTACACGAGGAGACTAAACGATCCGAACAGTCCGGCCAAAAACCATGAAGCCCTATCCCTGCCAGGAACTTCCAAGAGAAGACCATTGCTGAAGGGGCACAGTCCAAGGGTCTAGGTGTCGCAAGCGGTTTCTCAATGGTGCTACCACTCTCGTATGCCAAGTGGAAAATTCACCACTGTGGAAACAACGAGGACAAGAATCCAGGAGATTGGGGGATACAGAATCTCCCGTTGGGCCTTATTCGGCTCATTTGTGGTACTCGCTCCAAGATGAGCCGTCAATACCCACAACCACACATCCTCTCGTAGGTCGATATATCATGGGCACGGAAATCTGGGATTCTACGTGCCTTGGAGGTCAGACACAACCATGCCTGAAAAACACTACCAGTGTCATATTTCTGAGAATAAGATTCGCCGGCTCGAAATGCGTCCCCTTCACAACGTCTACATGCTCTTTGATGCCGTATACCAAAGTGTCGAGGCAGTCTCGACTAGCCCTAGGACCACCATGAAACGAAAACGAGCCATGGCGAAGGCGATGGCCAAAAGAAGAGAGAGACGCATACTAAACCTCGTTAGAAACACGATGTATTAGTGATATTCCACCATTCGGAGACTGACTTAGTGTTAAACCTTCGACGGAGGCGGCCCAGCAGCTCACTTCCCATTCTCGCATTGCCATACCCGCGGCTTTGGGTTGGAGCAGCGATTAGTGCTAGTGACACGAAGCACACGACTCCTTTACCAACCCGATCGCCCAGAGAAGGAATTCATTTTGACAGCCAAGAAAATTCTCGTAATCCTAAGTGGAATCCCAGTCACAGTTTATAATCCAAGATGCTGTAATTTTAGAATTCATGGAAGATTCATTTTGTCAAGGCTTATTGAAAATACTACAGACATATTCTGACAACACGCACACACTAAGACTCCTTTAATCTATCTACCTTCAATTTTTTCTTTATTTCTTGAAACTGCTCAGTATGTTGATCGAAAAGACTTTATCGATTGATGTCTCCAAGTAAACAACTCATCAACAACACTCTTATCCGTCCATCGCTAGCATTATTAACATATTAACAAGTCTAGGGACTAACCTTCATATTTGGGACCAGCAGTTACAATCAACCCATTTGTGAAGGTCATTGAAATTAACAAGAGATTTTTGTACTATTGTATTTTCTGAGCAGACGGGTCCATAGTTACAACAAAAGTAGCTACATATTTTCCATATCCATTAGCGATGGATCTCGTAGCACAAGCTCGAGACGAATCCCATCTCCCTTGCCAGCAAAAACTTGTTGCTAGAAGCCGTTGGTTGGATAGTCATCCCGATGGTTCAACTGAAAGCTCCTTCACAGCAGGGTCGCCGACTCCAAAGAACCCCAAGATATCGCCCAAATAAAAAAATTGTGCCCCATTAAACAACCCAAGGACCCTGAGCCAAGCCTCCTGGGCTTTCTTTCCCGATTCCAGGCATAACACACAGAACAAAGTGATAACAAAATTAAAACACATAGTCCCCGGTTTTTTTAACAATGTGTGCGTATACATTAAGCTCCCTGCGAGGCGTGCGGTGGTCGTGCACCCACGAGGGCAGATGAAGGGCCAAGCGGCAAGACAAAAATGACTGCTCGATCCAAAAGAAAGAACCAATGACCACCCAAGAGAGTAAAGCATATTCGCGGCAAAAGATTCAACTCGAAATATTTGGACGCGGCAACTGATAAAATATACGATCGCTGTGCTGTACCCGACAAACATGACCGATATCGAAGAAATATATCGTCATGCAGATTCATCATGGCCGTAGAAAAAGGGAGGAGAATCGAACTGAATTCAACCTTCCTTCAGTATCAGCAGGTGGAGATAGGAGGAAATCGTCGATCAAAGAAAAGTCCGCCAAAAGGGTGAGGAAAAAAGAGAGAAAAGGTGAAAGGGTTCCCAGTGGTATATAAGTTGCCGTCAAACGCCCCGTTATGATGTCTCCGACAAATAAGAAACACTCCAGTCTAGCCATGCTTCATGTACACTCGCTCCTTGTAACGGAGGGCCGTCGCCCTTCCATATGCCTACCCTTACTGATGAAGGGGCATCGTTTCAGGAGATAGGCTCGAAGGGTCGACAGTATCAAACTGAACTAGCTGGTCCATGTCGAGGTCCGCCTGCTGGTGGTGGACATAGCCAGGGGAGGCAGTATGCATGGGGAGGTTGATGGTGTGCTTGGAGTACATCTCGTTGAGGCTCGTGCCGTCCTCGGAAACCGCGCAGGACCCGTCGTTGACAGGGTACATGTCGGCCGAGCCAGGTCGTCCCATCATCGACATAGGAGGAGACTGCTCAACAATGGACGGCTCCCCGGGGCTGTTGAATGGCAGAGGTGAAACTGAGTTCGGGATGCCAGTGTCCGGGTTAACCATGGGTGACAGATATCCATTGCCGTATGGTGTGTTGTAGCTTGAAGGAGGCATCGCAGCGGCTTCAGGGGCGTGAGGGAAGAAGCCAGGGCTCTGTGGGAACTCTGCGGGAGATGCAGTCGTAGCAGACATGGGATATTGTCGCATATCCAGGCCAAAGCCAGCCTGGGTGTCGATGCGCAGGCTCGGGCCCATGCCGCCGGGAGGCTGAGGGATGGGCGCAAAGATATTGGGGTTATGCTGCGGGGGGCCCATCTCGCCAGGAGGTTGGATGTAGAATGAGGGCATTGGCTGGTTCTGGAACATGGCGAAGTCGACAGGTCCGGGGACGGATCGACTACGCTGTCGCTTGTGTCCATGGGCAGGGCGCATGGCCGAGTGCATCTGGTTCATTCCCCACTGCTGCTCCTGGAACATACCCATTTGAGGCTGGAAGGTAGGCTGGGAAGAAGGTCGGGCAGTGGGCGAGACGGGAGCCGAGACGGACAAAACGTGAGGGTCGGCAAAGGCGTGATGGGTGTTGTGGCGGTTCATGAAGGACTCGAGCGAGACCAGCTTGGCAAGCTGGCCGCTGAGAACCTTGGGGTTGCCGCCTAGGTGGTGGACCAGGCACTGCGTGGCCTGGAGATCTTCGGTGAAGTCGCCACACTGGAAGAAACCATTGGTGGTGGGCGACGAGTCCATGAAGAAGTTCGGGGGTCGGTTCAGCTCGATGACAATGCCACCGTGCTTACTAGGGTCGCCCTCGTTATTCTCAAGAAAGATGTTCTTGATATGGGAAAACGGGTACTCGATTTTGTATCCAGCCTGCTCATTGTTGATGTAGTAGGTCATGGTGCACTTATCGGGAGAGTAGAAGATGATGAGATCCATCGTGTTCTGTCCCACGCGAGTCCACTTTCCGATGCTCAGGGCCCGGCAAGTAAGATGGTGAATCACTAGCAACACGGTTAGTCCTCTACATTATGCACGCGTCGATGGCTTCGTCCATTGGGACTTGAAACTTACAAACTTTGCCTTGACCGCCCTGGTCGCCGCCAAGCATCATGCCGCCGTGGCCAAAGGGTACGAGTCCGGTACGGCCGAGATAGCTTCCACCAAGGCCCTTGCCGGACTCCATGGCCTGCATGGCGAGGTAGGCTCGCATCGATTCGGGGATGGAGTCAATATCCTCACCCGTCTCCAGGCTCTTCTTCGCCAACAACTTAATCTTGGCGCGCCTGCGATACACTGTCAGCTTACTGGCGCGTCACCTACTCAATGGGAGCCATGGTTTCGTACCTGTTCTGGAACCAGATCTGAACAGACCTCTCAGTCATGTTGATCTCCTCGGCTATCCTCTCGCGAACAGTGGCGGTCGGGGTTGGGTTCTTGTTGAACTCCAACTCCAGGGTCGTCAGTTGATCCTGGGTCGCACGCTGTCGCTTCTGGTTCTTCTGCTGCTGGGTGAGAGTGCTCTTGCGGGGAGGCCGCCTTGAAGCAGACTGTCCATTTGAGGTGCTGGCGGAAGGAGATGGGCTTTGCTTGATGGAAGGAGTTCCGCCGCATGTCGAGTTGGGAGTGGAGGCTCCTTGGGGGGCAGCTGGGCCAGTTGTGACCATGGCCATGGACTGTTCAACCTCAGTGGCCATTGCTGCAAATATGATCGCTTGCTGCTATCCGCTTTTGGTGGTAAAAATGTAAATCAAGTCGATTACTGTGTACGTCGTGGGGTGGGCGCGGCCGGTTGTTGTCGGCGTCGTTGAGTAGCGGCGGAAAGGCGCGTTTGGGGGGTTCGAGTATCGATTATCGGGGGACTCGAACAAGAGAGGGCCACGAGAGGTCCAGTGATTGACAAAAGTGGAACAAGTAACTGGTGTAGGGAATGTAGAGAATGATGAGACCCCGTAAGTAGGGAAGTAATGAGTGTCGTCCTGATCCGTAGACAGGTGGATGAGGAAAGGGTAGCGAGTTGTGCGCGGCGAGTGCCGGGTGGTCTCGGACGTGTAGAAGGTGTAGATGCGCTTGAGGCAGCGTCAAAGCCGAAGGAAAGGAATGGACCCGGAAAGAGTGACGGGCGCCGATATGGCAGTTTGAAGATGAAGTATCAAGAGAGCGACTTAAAGGAAAGAAAAAAAGAAGAGTGAGCGGGGGGAAAGAAGGGGAAGAAGCGGTCACAAGGAGGGACTGGCGATGCAAGATGGAGAAGAGAAACAGAGAGAGGGGGGGCGGCGTCAAAGGGGAGAGGGAAAAGGGAAGGGGCCCTAAGAATGGGCGGTGGGCAGCCAGTGGGCAGCGGGTGGGCAGCCAGTGGATGGACAGCGGGCAGACCAGACTTGCAGAGCGTGAGCAGCGTGGGGAGTCGCTGCAACGCCGCCCGAGTGGGCGTGTGTGGGTGTGAGCAAAAAAAGAAAGAAAAAAAGAGAGAGCGAGGAACCTCCACCCAGGTACCTTAGCCTCGCCCGCCAGGCCGTCTGGCTCAGAGACGGGTGCTGCGAGTACCGGGATGCCGTCCTGCAGGTACCTTGCCGGCTGGTACCTGCGAGGCAGACCACCTCACCACCTCACCCGCGGGACCATCCACGCCTCCACTCCCACTTGCGGGGGCCACCAGCGCCGCACGACAGCGCACCCTACGGCAGTGCAGCGTCGCGGTGCAGTGAGTCCGCCCTGAACCCCAGTGATGCAGCTCGGGGGCGGTAAGGCCTTTGTCGCCCCCCTGGCCCCGCTGCCGGCTGTTCGCCGTTGGGGGTCTTGGGCCACAAGTCGGCGCCCACGTACGCCCGGCGTGAGGCAGCTAGCAAGCTGATCACTAGCACTTGACTGGACTGGAGCGGACCTGGGCCTGGGCAAGCAAGCAGCCATCCAGAACCACCCCCGACTTCGAAAACCACCCGGTCCTCACGACATACTACGTAGTAGTACGCCCATACACGACAAGTCAGTAGATCCAATCGCCCCAGGAAGGGGGTCAGCCAGCCTCACGCTACCTTGCCAGCGTCGGGCACTTCCTTCGAGGTAGACGCCTTCACGCCCGTTCTTTGGCTACCCGCAAGTCTGCCCGGTGGGTGCCAACGGCGCGGATGGGCGGCTCCAGACGTCCAGTCCGGATTCAGAACCCAAGACCTCACAAGACTGCTGGGGCCCTGTCCCTTTTCTCCTATCCTCCCCTATCCCCTCTTCCATCCGCCCAGCTGCATTGCCCACACCCGTGGCATCCCCCAGGAGCGCAGACCCCCCGGAGCCTTTGGCCCCGTAGACCCGTAGCCGGCGCCGGCACACGGGCCAGTCAGAGACCATTGGCGGACCACTGTGCGCTGAACGAGCCACTGGCAGTAGACCAGTGAGCGGCCCCCACCACCCACACCAACTGCCTCTGGTAGGTGTCGTGCTCTATGTACGTTCCTGGCATTCAGACCCTCAACCCATCCATCCTTCCATCCCACATCTTCCATCCACCCAGCTTCCGATCCACCACTGCCGCGCCCCAGAAGGCCCTCGTAAACGCCCTAGGCTTATTCCAGACATACCTTGACCTCCGCGCCTCAGAAGGAGTGGTTCGCTCCCAGCTTGGGCGGTTAAAGCCCGCAAGACTGACGGACTGATGTCTGTCACCACCAACAGGGAGTTCAGACGTCGCGTCGTGCGAATGACCACCTAGCATCCTGGAATAGCACAAACACACCAGCCCGTGCCCTTGCTCTAGGCCCCAGCAGCCTTTGCGCTGTGTCCTGTGTCCTGTATCCTGCTTCCGCCTAGTGCCCAGTGTCTCGTGTCAATTGTCAAGCGGTGTTGCTGTCTCTGCGGATGCGCACCCTCACCTGAATCCCAAGACTGCGGAGGAAACACAGACAATACGTACAACACCACAGACATGCCCTGAGGATTTCTCGCACACTAAAACGTCTGGGTCAGCGTTCCACAAACCCCCCCCATTGTGGGCCTATTTTCCTCCCCGTGCATCAGTTGCCAGGGACTAGCCGGTACGAGGGTCACTTTGTGCCACCCGAGAAGGCACAAGGGGGCGCGGAGAAAAGGTACAGGACAAACATCGACGGCCTGAACCTCTCCCAAACTCCAAAACTCCCAGACGTCGGACCAGGATGTTTGTCATGCAAGACTTTCCTGTCTCGGCAGGGGGGCACCTTGTTGATCCCCAAGGCTCAAGCTCACGGCGAGAAGTGTCGGAACAGGGGTCTTTTCAAACCCGCGCTACTGCAAGGTACGCGCGATAGCTGAGAAGTACAGTGCGGCCAAGTCCCGCGCTGCACCGGTCCCGCAGCCCCCAAACCGGCGCGCCTCCAGGCAACTCCCCCCTATTGGCCTGCTGTAAGCCCCCCGGGCCCCGCGGGCGTACCGTGTCGCGACCGGTGATCTCACTGTATGAGGCAGCCCATCCCGATCAAGAAGCCGTGCTTTTTTCCCGGCACGCCACGCACGTACCCACGTATTCGCGACACATCAGGTTTGTCTTCCCTATCCAGCCTCAGTTGTCTTAGGGCATACATCGGATCGGATCTTGCCTCGTCCTATATTCTCGACTTGCATGCCTTCGCCGAGACAGGCCAGCGCCGTCCATCGATAGTCCGCCAAACGAGCCGCCGGCGAGAGACTTGTGGCGCGGCTTCTCTACTTCAGGATTTGTGCTAGAGTCGGAAGATGGTCGACCAGGGGAGCGAGCCACAACCATCAGACAATTGTGGGTGGCGCGAGGCAACACTTGCCCAGCACCTCGGTCGTGTACGAATACTCTGTATCATGTACCATGCCATGCGGCCGCTCGAGCCGCGAGCCTTACGGAGGGTGATCGAGGAGGGCTGTGACGGTGGCAAAGACTGGACTGGAGGAGTCTAGGGTGTGCAAGGGCTGTCGCTGATCAAGCCGCCAAGCACAGCAGAAAGGAATCGGCTCGACCACATTTTCCGCGGAGGCAAGAGTGCCGTCTCCCCAGGTTTGTTTCTGCCTCACCTCTTTGGGGTTCTCACCCCGCCATGCCGCCGAGAACTTGTTCCCAAGACAATGCGTGAGAGAAAGGCCGAACCGAGGAGGGCGCCGTTCATCCCGACACTTCCTAGAAACGGCAGCATTGACCAGGTTGATGTTACGGTGCTCTGTTCTTGGTGGTGGCCGTGCCTGCTCCGTCAGGAAATACGGGGACCCCATGCATGGCTGACACGGGTAGCATCATTCAAGAGAAAATCCCACACGGCTTTGACAAGGGCGAGAAACGGGCGTTGATTATTCCTACATCGGTCACATCGCCTACCACCCGTACGGCGCAGTACTTCACAGTACATCGGTACGTTCTGCTCACTGTCGACGTCAACCAAAGTCCTCTGCCGTCGTCCTAGTACAATTCAGCATGGCGGTTCCTTGCCAACTGTAACGATGAGGAGGAGTGGCTCCGCGAAAGTCATCCGAAGAATCTGTGGTCCTGAGGGGCTTGACAGGGTGCCACCTGTCGTGTGTGAAAGACGGCTGTTACGCTTACGAAAAGGGTATCCGTCGCGTCCCAGGCGATGCCGGAGGGTGACGCCCGACGGTTCGATGGGCCCGGCGATGGAAAAGGGGTGCCAAGACCTCGAGACGGCCAGTGACCGACGGCCAGAGCTTCCAGCGTTCATTGAATCATGTCCTGCACCAGCTCTTGCAGCTCCCGCATCACTCGCACGAGGACATGCTCTCTCGCCCGAGTCTCGATGGATCGGGCCCGCCAGATCCCAACGACGCTGTCATCGGAATCACACCATGTCTTGTTGGCGACTCCTCCGACTGACCTGGGCGCCCAACAACCGCTGTGCGAGGTGTGCTCCAGGACCCTGTTCCTGCAGTAGCCTGCCGCCTCATTGTCATGCAGTGGGTCAACCCGGGGCCTCGGCGTACAGTGCATTCTGAGCTTCGCGCGTCATTCCGTCACTGTGCCTCAGGCGCCTTCCCATGGCCCAGCGTTGATCGACAAATCTGCTTCGGCATGGAGCAAAACATCGACCAAGGGTTTTCCGGCGCGCTCAAGCGTTAGTGCCGGAGGCCCTTCAGGACTTGGCAGTCTGCCGTCGACTCGCATCACGATTGACTCCATCCTAGACGCGGTATGGATCCCTATGCGCTTGGCTTTCCAAAATATTTAGATAGAGGTCATGCACCGGCATCGTCCAACCCGAATACAGCCATGACGCATGACGGACCATGGCCTGCCGTTGCAGGCTAGTCTAAGTTTTTGCAGAACGTGGAGCGGGCCCTTTGAAGAACATTGGTGAAGGCACTCCATCATGACAAGTTTCCTGGTTGGGTTTACCTTGCTACTTACTATACGCGTAGGAGTCCCGCGTCAGCCACCAACGATCTCGAATACTTCTTGCGCCGGCACCACTCGGACTGTCAGACGCGTTCTCGCCCTTCATCGGCTGGCCAAAGTTCAGATGGATCCGTGCTGTCGAGAAAAATTAACGCCTCATTGGTTGTTGGCTTCAACGCAGTGTGGTAGCCAGGTGAATCCTCCCGCCATTGAACGCCTGAACACCGTTACCCCTGACTTAGACCCCGGTCCCTTACACCTGGTACCTTGCAGGATCACCAACTTTGGCAGCCAATCAACGCTTAGCCGTGTCTCCGCCTGGTGAGCACATGCCATTGGACCTGGATGTGTGACGGTTTTACCTCGCCCGAAGCAGCTTAGGTAACGATCGCCTGTCCGATATCAGGTCGCGATTTCTCCTCCATCTGCCTCTTCAAGCATAAACTTGGCGCAATTGTGCACGCCGCCCGAGGCTAGGCTACCACGGGACCTAGGAACTGTATGGTCGTACTATGGAGTTTGACCTCCTGACTCAGCTTTCGCCTTGCATGGGTGGATGCCGGAGGGTGACACGGAATGGGTCGGGGTGTGAGGCTCCCCCCTTTTTCTCAAGCATCCGGGCCGGAATTCGATGATGCGGCTGGAGTCGACAGCATTCGCTGCCTGAAGACGCTGAGATGCGCTTACATGATACAGGCGATCCAGATAACAATGGAAGCTCTTCTACAGCTCCTGACCAACGACTCGCCCTCTCGACCTTGATCCGGGGTTCCCAAACAGGCATGGTGGTGGCTTAGGACAAAAGGACAAAAACAATTCGGTGTGAGAGAACGGCGACCAGAACCCATCGTGCAGATCGAGTTTAGCGAAGCCAGTCCCGTCGCCTAACTCACCCTGCGGGCCCCTGTGGTCATCCGGTGCTCCGCACAACGACATCCGACTTGCATGACTGGTTGACGACTCGTCCAATGGAGGTAAACCTCAAGCGGGCGAGCATCCACCACAGGACCGCAGCGCGTCGAGCGCGTCTCTCAACCACTCGAAGCTTGACATCTGCTGCAGAATACGACATGCATCGCCCAGGAGTTCTGCACCTTTCGTTCGGCCGCCAACCTCTAAATTCCAAAGAATCCTCGTGGTCGGGTCCCTTCAGCCCGCCATCGTTCGCACTGTCAACTACACTGGCCAGAACACTCAACCCTGAAGGTCTGGAAGCGTCGCTGGCACGCCCAACTCGGCGGACACTTCCACATGGCACGGCTGATCGTGACTAGTGGAGTTGGCGACATCATTGATCCAAGCGTCCACAGGTGCTCCCAGCTCTTAGACACAAACCAGGCACGTTCCCAGGCGGGCGCGCTGAAACGTGAGTCGCTCACTTGCTGGTTCCATGCACGGACAGGCCATCGAGGGTGCACGAGCGACAAGAGAGCTAGCTTGAGTCGCCCTTGTGGGAACACAGGCATCCTGGGATTGGAAGGCCGCCCTCTTTTGCTCCCAAATCTGGTCAAAGGCGGACCCGGCTGGCTGCTTGGGCCGCTCCATTCCTACCTTGGACGGTATCTCAACCGGGTCGAACCCACACCCGATCCTCACCCGCAAGCCCTAGCTCCGGCCAGAGAAGAGCCGATCAACGTGCGAGACTATGTCGCGGCCGTCGTGACCCGTTTAACCTTCGCCCCTTGCGTGAGGGTGAGTCGGTGGCACGCGGCCTTCGAAGCCCGATCGACACTAGCCCTGGCCCCGGTACTGTTGCTCACTAACACCAAGCTTGCCAGTAGCACATATGCCAAGCGACCCAGGCTCTTATATGCGTCTTTCTCGCATTTCAGGTGAATATTTCTACAATGCGTTGTGGTAAGTGGCAAGTCCAACTTAAGTCAGCACGTCCAGGCGATGGAATTTGCCGTGATTCCGACGCAACCATTCATGCTCTTGTCTCACGGAACGAAAAGAGCCGACGAAGCGATGAATGCGAAAACAGGGCAAAACAAATGTTGAGTCCTATCTGTCAAAGTACATATCCTGACACCTAACTCGAGGCTGCATTCAACTATCCTCCATGGACGGTCCCTTGTAGTTCTTCGATGCGTAACCAAACCAATTAATTGACCCAAATATGGACATAACACCGATGACAGCACATGCGTAGTCTGCGTTACTTTTATTAGTAGGAAGGACGGTATTAAGAGGAACACAGACTCACTCATGTTTCCGGCGGTAACAGGCAGCACCGTCGGGAGACAATAGAAGATTAGGGTCACGACAGCAAACACAATGGTGAGGCAGTTGGCGACCCATCCAAACGGTCCCAGCCTGAATGGCCTATTCTTTGGCAGGAATCGAACTGATCTCTTCCTCCATAGTAGGAGCGCGGCAGGGAAGGCAAAGCTGGTTTGCAGCAAGATCAAACCAGTTGAAACCATGGCATTGAAGGCGGAAGTCGAACCCAGGTATACACAACCGATAATGGCAACCACGACGCCGTTTGCCAAAAGAGCAAACATTGGGACTCCGTAGGTTTCACTCACGGTTGACAATTTGGGAGAAAAGAAGAGGGCGTTGTCTCGGGCAAAGGAGTACGTCAAGCGAGAGGCCGTCTGGTGACATCCGATGATGGCGAAGCAGCCGCAGATGGTAAGGATGGCGGTAAAAACCACGGCTGCTCCCTTGGACCTGGTTGCCTGGTACCAGATTTCGAGAATCGGAATTCTGGGTTGTTTGTTAGCCGTGACAACATGATGATGGAAAGCAAGATATCGTACGGGGCAGCCATGACGGCGTCGAAATCGGTGGTGCAGTAGGTCATGGCAATAGCGAAGGAGAAGCCAGTGATGAATCCTACGATGATCGTCGACATGAGGGCCTTTGGCACCGTTCTCGCGGCATCAGTGCATTCCTCTGCGAGGTGGACAGCACCGTCAAGACCAGAGTAGATGAAGTTGGGATTGGACAACCCAATGAGGAAGACAACTCCGTCTGCCGACCAACCAGAAGGGTTAACAAAGTTCCCCCAGACAAAAGCATCGGACTGCTTGGACTGGCTCCGAGCGAGACAGGTAATGAGGATAACGAGGAAGCTGACAAGAGAGATGACAACTGTGACGGGTCAGTGGGCCGTTTGCAAGGCGAGCACGAATACTTACATCCAACGTCGTGAATCCATAGCGTTCTCTTTATGAGGAATATGTTGTACAGGATGAACATGACGTTCATGAGCTGGAAGATCAGAAAAACATGCCATGCTTCTATGGTGTAAGTGGGATGCATGAAGGTAGCCAATCCGGTAATCAACTGAGCCGTGGTGATGACGAAACCAGCAGCGGTGGCAATCCACCCGAGCAGGTTGATAGCACCGCAACAATAACTCTTTTCGACGTTAGGATTAATCCCCAAGGCTATGATCGAGCAGAGGGCGTCTTACCAACCCACGACTCCATTTCTTGGGCGCGAGGATGCTGGTCCAGTGGTATTGTCCGCCGGCTGTAGGGTAGACACTCGCGATTTCAGCCAGGGTGGCGGCGGCGCTCCCGTTGAGCACGACGATCAGGAGCAGGCCGTACAGCAGCGTCACGGAGCCTCCCGAGGCGATGGAGAGACTCATGGTGGCGCCAATGGCGGCCCAGCTGTTGCAGATGTTCCATCCTAGGGCGATGATGCTGATGAGGCTGAGGTCGCGCTTCGTCTGCGAGTTGATGCCAAGGCGCGACAGCTCGAGGCCGTCTTCGACTTTTCCCGACCTGATGGAGCCGTCTGTAGGCGAGGGCAAGGGTCAGTTCTTGTGCAAGGGAATGAGGTCGAGTGGGACGAACTGCTCTCCAGCTGGGGGCCGTCGACTTCGGCCGACTTCATCTCGGGGGAGAAATCATTCTTCATGATGCTGTTGTTAGAGTCTTGGACTGGTGGGCTTGGAACGAGGAACGGATCACAACCGAGAAGCGTTCTAAGCCATGATTCTTATATATATCTATCCCGCTGGAATTAATCTTTACTACACAGAAATGCCCTATCTCTGCTTCTATCTGTGCTCCGTGGGTATCAGGTGCCGTCGCGGGCCGTCTGATAACGAAGACTTACGGATGCGGCTCAGCGTCTGGAGCAGCGAGCACCAGGCGAAGATGTCGCGCAAGGGCAGACGCTGAAAATGGAAACGGAAACGAGAAAACGAGACACTATATCGACGTCGCGAGGGGCTCTGGGGAACGGCATCCCCGTGGGGGGGAGGCGAAGTTCATATACGTGGCGCTGATAAACGCGGCAGCGCGAGACGGATAATATCGTGGTTGGCTGCCGCGTGGGCGGGCGATGGAGGATTTCCCGATGTGGTAATTAAAGTGAGAAAAGCGAGATAAGGCCGCGGGCGATCGCTGCGATAAGAGATGCGCCATGCAGCAATCGATCTGGGCTTTGCCTTACCGGGGCAGTATGCTACAAGATATGGAATCGAGGGGGGCGAGCGAGCGTTCCGAGAGCGTTCCGAAAGCGGAAACTAGAGTGAGATTTTTGGTGATGCCGAGTTACGTTGGTTGACTTGAGTTGTGACTTGGAGAAGCAGAGAGTCATGCCGAGGATGGCGGAGGGTTATAAGAGGCAGGCGAGTTGCCTGGAACTTTGGTGTAAATCAGACCACTTCGAATCCCCCCATCTATTCTCTCTCTGACTGTAGCCCCGGTTGTTCGCGTCTTACACAATGGCATTCGAAGAGCACTTCACCCGCGAGGGCCACCAGTGGACGCCTCAAGCCGGCCTCCAGAGCGGCATCCCGTCCATCGGCGTCATCAAGCCATCCGCCAACCGCCCGTCGAACAAGGTCCACGAGGTCCTGGTCATCGGCGCCGGCTACACGGGGTTGACGGCCCTGCGCGACCTGACGGTTGCAGGCCACGATGTCATGCTGGTCGAAGGCCGCGACCGGATTGGCGGCCGCACCTGGTCGTCCAACATCGACGGCTACGCCTACGAGATGGGCGGCACTTGGGTCCATTGGAATCAGCCGTTTGTCTGGCGTGAACTGGCCCGCTATGGCATGAGCAAAGACCTCGAGATCTCCCCCGTGACGGGCCGCGGGCTGGATCGGGCGACGTTTGTGAGACCCGGCGGCACCATTCACATGAGCAGGGAAGAAGAGGTTAGTATGTCCGAGGAGGCCACGGCGTTCGTCCGCGGTGGCCTCACTTACACCGATAACGAAACAACCCAGTGACTGACATGCCACTCGACAGTTCACCGTCCTCAACACGGCAGTACGCAAGTTTGTCAACGTCGATGGCAAACACGGCCGCGGGCTCATCCCCTTCCCGCACAACCCGCACTTTAACGCGGACGTGGTGCACTACGACAGCATGTCCTTCGCGGACCGGTTCGCGCAGATCGAGGACGGCATGACGCCGCTGGAGCTGCAGCTGCTCAAGACGTTCCTGTCCGTCACATCGGGCGGCACCATGGAGAACTCGGGCTTCTTCGAGTTCCTGCGCTGGTGGTCGCTCAACAACTACGACCTGCAGGAGCTCGCCGAGCTGTGCCTCACCTTCAAGCTGCGCGACGGCCAGTCCGCCCTGGCGCGCCGCATCTTCGACGATGCCGTGGCGACGGGCAACTTGACCTACCGCTTCGACGCCCCCGTGGCTTCGGTGACGGACGCCGGCTCTCACGTCGAGGTCAAGACCCGTGGCGGAGAGACGTTCAAGGCGAAACGAGTCATCACCACAGTGCCTCTCAACGTCCTCAACAACATCGTGTGGTCACCGCCACTGCTCCCCGGGAAGAGCGAGGCCTCGGCCAAGGGCCACGTCAACCACTGCACCAAGGTGCACGCCGAAGTGGCCAACCCGGCGCTGCGGTCCTTCACGGGCTACCAGTGGGAGGGCCCTCTCAGCTGGACGTTTGGCGACGGCACGACGCCGGCCGGAAACACGCACCTCGTGGCCTTTGGGCCATCGTACCCGGGGATCCAGCTGAAGCCGGCGTCGGACTCAGCACAAGGCGCACTGGCGGCGTACAAGGCGTTCGCGCCGTCCGAGTTCACCGACATCCGGCGGCTGGTCTTCCACGACTGGAACGAGGACGAGTTCGCCATGGGCACGTGGGAGTTCCTGGCGCCCAAGATGTCGACGACGTACCTGGACGTGCTGCGCAAGCGCCAGGGCAACGTGCTCTTCGCGAGTGCCGACTGGGCCATGGGCTGGCGCGGCTTCATCGACGGCGGCATCGAGGATGGCGCCAATGCGGCCATGGAGCTGGCGCTCGAGTTCCGGGCTGCAAAGGACGCCGAGAAGAAGATTGGCCAGAGGGATCTGAACGGCGGAAAGCGGATTTCGCATAAATTGTAATTGATGGTGAAAATCGTCGGAACCATAGGGTTCGCCGTGTATATTAGTTAGTAGGAGCATCGTCATGACGCATATGAATAGTATTTCCCGATTAGGCAATCTCGAGAACACAACTCGCCCCCCGTATGCCACTACCCGGCAGATACAACGTAATACCGGGGCTCTCCGCTGTATCGCGGCGTGACCTGGATACTACCTCCAAGTCTCTATCTCCAGGCGGAAAACGCATGCCCCCCCTCATCCAAATCCCAAAGCCGGATCCGAGAATCCCCTACCGCTCGGAATGCGCAATCGAGATCCGTGCCGGGCGCTTTCCGCTGCTGAGCCCAATCAGGGCCGAACCCAGGCTTGATAAACGCGGCATCTCGATAATCGATAATCCCAGTTCCCCCAATCCCCTCTGGACCGTGCATGCCGGCGCCGCCGATCGTCTTGAATCGTTCCGGGCACGGCATTCAACTCCTTGAAATCCTTATCTATCGGGACCATGCCGTCTCCTCACAACTCGTCTGCATCACGGTCAAGCATGGAGTCCGCCCACAGCAGCGCCAGCCCGCCGCCGCCGCCGCCGCCGTCTAAACCCTGCTACAACTGCGTCAAGCGGCGCATCGTCTGCGACAGGACCGGCACGCGCTGTCGGAAGTGCGCAAAGAAGGGGCTGCGATGTCCTGGGTACGGCATCCGCTACCGCTTTGCCCACGAGTTCCGCGACCAGAAGCCCGCGAGTCCCGGCGAGCACCGGCCGAGCTCCGTCGTCGAGTACTCCGGGCCGCTGACGTGGGTCGAGGCCGAAACCAATTGCGGCCCGGCGTCGAGGAGTAGAGAGGATGCTGGGGATGCTGGGGATGAGACCGGGGAGGATGATAGTAATGCAGGCACGCCGTCGTCATCGGAATCCACTTCGGAAGGCGATCAATGTGATGAAGTCGTTACACAAGACCAACCTCGTGTCGAAACATTAGTCCAGCGACCACGGTCATTAGAACCCATCGACGCAAACTCACGATGGATGTTTCAATATTGTATAGACACCTTCCCGCGCGTCCCTCACCGTCCGCCGTCCCTTCACTAACACCGCCCAGTCTCAGAGCACGTCTCGCCCGTCATGCTCCTCTTCAACAGTGCCTCCAACGGATACAGGCGCTACGTGCTCCCCTTTGCCACGTCCAACCGCCTCGTGCAGCGCGCCGTGTGCGTCGCGGCCGCCTTCCATCTGCTGCCCCGCCGGCCGGAGCTCCGTGCGCCGGCCGAGCAGGGCCGGGCCGCCATCATCCAGCGGCTCCGCGAGGACGGGCTCTCGGCGACGGGGGCGCCGGTCCTCGACGACGCCACGTGGGCGACCATCTTGCTGCTCATCGTCGGGGACCTTGTGAGGGGGGATGAGCAGGTCATGATTCTGTATCACATGCTCGATGCGTTTGTGCGCGCGAGGGGAGGGAATGAACCGACGTCTCAACTCGAGACGTTTCTCAATTCACAATCGCGGCTGTGAGTATCTTAGAATCTCTTACAAACCACCCGCCAATAACTGCATCTAACATGACCAAAGCATCAAATTCTTCGGCGATCCCATCGTCAGTGAATCCAACGTCCCGCAAAGGCGGCCGAGCGGCATCCTCACCACCCTCTCAGGTGCCGAACTGCCCACGCCCGACAAGCCGCAGCTCCTCAACTACGTGCATCTCTACGAGGAAGCATTCTGCATCGCCATGGAGATCTACATGGCCCGGGCGCGCTCCGCCGTCGTCCCCGTGGACGAGGACCTCATGGCCCGCCTCGTCCGGCAGCTCAAGACGGCCCTGGAGCGCGTGGACCCGGCGTTCCCCGGGGCGCATGTAATTGTATGGCCGAGTTTCGTCGGCGCGGCCGAGGCGGAGGAGGAGGAGCAGCGGGATTACTTCACGGAAAAGTTGAGATATATCTGGCGCACCACGGGGTACGCGAATGTGCTCAAGGCCATTAATTCATTGCCGGGCATGTGGGAAAAAAGGGGCGTTCAGCGTTGGACGACGAGACTGCCACAGGTGTCTGTCATGATCATGTAAGATGTAATTGCGAAAGGGGTAAAAAAGGACCATGCAAATGCAGCGTGGAAATAATGACTCTATGTTATTGGGACTGTAGGTGCAATACTCTTGTTATAACTCCCTCATGACTTCCTCTACCGCCCTTGCCGCCATCCTCTTCCGCTGCTCCTCTCCCATGCCCTCACCGGCCTCTCGGACCGCCTGCAGCTTCCTCATCATCTTCTCCACTTTGGCAACTTCATCTTCGTCAAGGTCCCCGAGACCACTGTCTTCTAGTACCTTATCCCCTGAAGCGTCTTTCTTCTTTTCGTCGCCTTCTACCTTTGTGTCGGCGGCGTCGTCAGGTTGATCTTGTCCTGCCTCCCAGATGGCGCGCCGCAGGCCTTCAAAGTCGGCTTGGTCAAAGCCGAATCCCATTTTCCTGGGGTCCAGGTCCTTGTCGTCGGCAGCTTCGTCGTCGTCGTCCTTGGCGGAGCCCGTTTCAAAGTCGCCAAAGTCCGATTCGTCGAAGGGCAACTCAATTTCGGTCCAGTCGTTGGTTTCTAGGGCCTCTTTGACACGGGCGATTCCCGTTTTCTCTGATTGATGTCAGCGTCTCTATTCACAATTAATTCGCCATTTGTGGGTGACGAAAACGAACCTCCAAACTCATTTCGGCCTGAGCTCTCCTTGCTACCCACCATGACAAACTCCAATCCCGCCTCAGCGCAAACCTCGTCCCATTCTTCCTGGTCCCCCTCACCAACACCGACTGCCAACCCCACACCCTCCCAGTCCCAGCCGCCCAGGCCCTCTTTCACAACCTTGCCGACATGTTGGATCAAGCTGCGAGTCGGCTCTGCAGCAATCCCGGTGGCCGGCCCCGCTTTGAAGACAACAACGACAGCCCCGAGCACAGCGAGGACCTCGACGGCCTCGGGAGACAGAAAGGAAGAGGACCACTCTTTGGGGTCAGCGATGAGATCAAGCCATATGGGAACAGTGGTGGAGTAGTAGGGAGTGGTGAGTTTCAGTGGGTGAGTGGTGCCAGCCAGGGAGAGGTCGGCAGAAGGTGCTGAGGGGGCGGTGCCAGTGAGATCTGTAAAGAGAAGAGGTTAGCGAAATGAAGCTTAGGGTGAAGTAAGAAGTTGTGCGTGGGAAGAGGAGGTGGGTATATTAGTGAAGGAGAAGACGATATGACAAAGTCAAGTTGGATATCATCCGTGTCTTCCGTCGTGACCGGTGACCATCCTCATCTGGAGGTCACTCTCAAAGTCCCCCCTTTGTCTCCCCCATCCCCCTCTTCACAAAACCACTGCCTAAAAAACATCTCACCTTTGACCACCCGCGTCAACGCCGCAGTCTCGCCCTCCAATGCCACCGCCAAGATCCTCCTGGAAGCTGAACTCCCTTCATCGGCCATTGTTGATGCTCTGCTCACGGGGGCAGGTTTCTCTGTCGCTGTCCTTCCGCCTGATCTTCTCTTCAGAGTAAAGCTGCAAGGAACAGAAAAGTATCCAAGACTGCTGTACGACGGGTTCCTTTGTAGACGTTGATGATGGTGATGATGGTTGCTGAGGTAAGTGATGAGTGAGCATCGAGAAGTGAATAAGAACCGATGAGCAATGCCCCGCCCCCACCATTCCACATCCACATGTGCGTGGCTCACTGCGAGTGCGCCACAGTGGCGTTTTGTATTGATCAACTTCCGCGACAAGCACAGTTCTATGAATCACCGCATCGAATCTAGGATGTTGTGATGTTCTCGCTGCAGGTTTTGGTTTCAATCTCTGAGCTGTTATTGAGTGTTACTTTTGCAAACCGACGCCATCGGCATAGTTCATCACCCCGGAGTCATCATCTCCCAGGTAAAGCAACATGTTGCTGCCTTTGGCTCGCAAGATGGATCTTTAAACATGGCCGAAACGATCAGCATTATCCAAATAACGTCTAAAAGAAATGCCTTCTATTTTCGCTCTTTGGGTTGAGGAAGTCTTCCTCTCTCCCGCGGCCCGCGGGCTATACACAAAGGGAAAGAGTAATCACACTACGAACATCGTTGCTGAACGATGAACGGGTGTTTTATCATACACGGGGCCCCATTTTGTTCCTCCTCTTTTCGCCGACGGTTTGGTCAACTGCGCTCCCTTACGAGCTCACATCCACTAACCGGCCGGCATCCCACTTCTTCTTGGCTGCCTTGATCAACACATCCAGCTCTCCACTCATGTCACACATGCTGCGGAATGTGCCGTCTTCCTTGTTGATCAACTCCCATGGGTGAGCATACTCCACCACCTGGCCCTTGTCTAACACCAAGACCTTGTCATAATCCACAATGGTCTGCAGTCGGTGCGCAATCGTAATAACCGTCCCTGTCAGCTCCCGGATCGTCTCCTGGATCTTCGAGTCCGTCGCGTAATCAATCGACGCCGTCGCCTCGTCCATCACTAGAACTGTCGGTGACTTGAGCATGGCTCGCGCCAGGCACAGCAATTGACGCTGGCCCTGGGACAAATTCGACCCAGATTCTGACACAGCTGAACTGAGGTCCAAGAAGATGTTTTTGTTCGTCGCCACTGACGAATTGGGTGAGCTAGGGGTTTGGCTCCCTGTTCGTGGCAGCTCATCGGGACTGATGAGCTGGACTCGTCGGAGTGCTGCAAAGATGTCTTCATCCGAGAACATGTCGAAAGGGTCCAGGTTGCTTCGGATCGTTCCGTGGAATAGCGTTGGGTCTTGAGGTACGATGGTGATGTTTTCTCGCAGATCCTGAAGACCAATCTTGCCAATGTCCAGATCGTCAATCAGGATCGTGCCCTTATCCGCCTCCAACGCTCGGAAGATGGCCAGCGCCAGCGAACTCTTGCCGGCACCTGTGCGCCCCACGATGCCCACCTTCTCTCTCGGGTTGATCTTGAGTGTGAGATCTCGGAGTACCGGGTCCAACTCAGCTCGATAACTAGTCGTGTAGTTGATAAACTCAACAGAGCCGCTTCCGGGCCAATTCTCTGGTGGTCGGTTATCCTCAATTACAGCTGGTGCTTCTTGTTCGACGTCCAGGTATTCTTTCATTCGCTCCATGGAGTTCATGTTCTGTTCGTTGATGGCGTAAAGCCGCACGAGCCAGAGGACGCTCTCGGTAAAACCCAATGCGTAGCTCAGCGACACACCCGCTGCTCCAGCATCGATTGAGCCCAGACTGAGGATAACAAACATTCCAGCAAAGAACGCAACCAAATCGCCGATCAGATCCGCTCGGAATGCCAACCATCGGTTGCAAGCCCAGAGATAAATGAATGGCCGGGCTTGAGTGTTGATCTTCTCCAGGTTGTCTCGGATAAAGCGTCGCTCATCACCATAAGCACGGATGGTTGTCATTCCACTGAGCGTTTCGCCAAATTGCTGGAAGAGTGGGCTGCGTTGCACAGACTCCATGCGCTTCAGATCCCGGGATGCTCGGAGGTAGAAGGCGGCGACCAGATAGAAGAGAATGCTAATGAAGAAGGCGGCAATCAGGAACTTGGGAGTGATGGAGGCAATCAAAACAACCGTCACCGTGAGTGAAAGGCCACAGCTGATGACGCCAATGGCTACAGGAGCAATCTCCTGGTCAACGGCTTCAAGATCTTTGCTAAACCGGTTCAGAAGCTGGCCGAGGGGTGTGACATCGAAGAACTTGAATCTGGCGCGCGTCACCGAGGCGATGAGATGGTCGTGAATGCGCTTCGAGGCCCTCAGGGAACCCAGGAACAGCCATAAATCACGGATAAGCGCGGTGAATGCACCGAGTGCTCCAATTATGGCGAGAACCGTCAGATAGTACATGGCGTTGACTGAAGGTGTCGGATCCGACAAAGAGATCTGTGCATCCAGAATATCGGGGGACCCTTCGGGTTCGATGCCTCCGAGCTTGGCAATGTTGGCAAATACCACAGCACTAAACTTTGAGCCTAGAGAGTAGTGGGGAGAGCTGAAATTGCCATGGTTCACCTCGGCAGAGACCCTGTCGTATTGGTTCGACCACTCTCGCACCCAGAAGTTGGTGGCGACGGCCGAGAGCTGTTGCGAAATGAAGACAACAAAGGCCAAAACCCAGAACCACCAGGAGCCCATAGCCAGGAGGTAGTGCTTCATAACAGACCACTTGACGGATCCTGTTGCTTTGCCTTCCTCCATGGCATCCTGCTTCTGCTTCTTCTTGGCATTATCATGGTTGGTGCTGTCCACACCATCGAGGGCGTCGCCTTGGCCGTTGACCATGGTTTCATCATCGCCAACACTCGAAGGGACCCGGGAAGGAACTCGCGAGTGGCTAACAGAGGCGGGTCGGGACTTTTGAATCTCTTCACCAAGCTTGCCAGAAGCAATGACATTCTCTGAGGATCCTTGGATGGCGATTCGTCCGTTATCCATGAGCACGACATAGTCAGAAGAAGGAACACAGAGCTGGACGTTGTGAGTGACGAGAATGCAAGTGCGATTGCGCATCAACGGGCCCTTGATGCAGTTGCTGAAGATCCATTGAGCGGTATGCGAATCCACGGCGCTGAGGCAATCATCGAGGAGCAGGTGAGCCGAGTTGGAGTACATGGCACGCGCAAGCGAGATACGCTGCTTCTGGCCACCAGAGAGGGTGATTCCCTTCTCTCCGACTAGGGTCTCGTCGCCGTTGTCTAGAATCTGCAGGTCTCGCTCGAGGGCGCACGCTACAATGACGCTTCGGTACCGTTGTTCGTCGAAGGGCGCAGAGAAGAGGATGTTGTCTCGGATATTCGCATTAACCAACCATGCGGCTTGCGCCACATACGCAATTGTATTGGCGAGATTTGTCTCAGGATCAGGGCGAACATCCTCTCGGCTGCGGCCACCAGGACAGTAAACATTGCCTTCCATCAGAGTCATTTCACCGAGAAGAGCCATCAGCATCGAAGTCTTTCCAGATCCGGTGGGTCCGGCAATAATGTTGAGCTTGCCCAGCTGGAAATCCACATTCATATCCATGAGGCGGAAAGCACGCGATCCGTCCTCGGCCACGGCATCCTTACTCCCCCAGATGAAGGTACCATTTTTAAACCCTAGTCGCCTGACGCCCTCGTCATCCACATTGTCCAGACCCAACTGCTCGTACTTGTCAGTCTCGTCCTCCTGGAGGAACTCCTCGACACGGTCGATCGAAACCTTGGTTTCCTGGACGTGCGCGAACATATCGCCAAACTGGTCCAGGGGAACACGCAAAAGCATGAAGAGTGAGATGGCCGTGAAGGCAACAGAGGGATAGAGTGGCTTCTCCTCGACGATAGTGTAAACGAGGAAGGAGAAGAAGGTAATGAGAACAGGGACTGAGTTCCAAATAGCAACGGCCAAAGCCCAAACCATGAATCGGGATCGAAGGGCCTTGAGCTCAGCCCTTCGCTTCTCATCGATGATGCGACCGAAGCGCTCTTCCCAGGCAAAGTACTTGATGATGCGGATGTTCTGTAGAACCTCATTTGTAACGTTGATGCGCTTGTCAGTGGCAGCAAGAATCTTTTTCGAGGTCATGGAGAAACCCCTGGCGAGAGCGTAGTTGATGGGCAGGAGGAAAACCATGATGATGAGTCCAGGAATAGCGCTCAAGCCCATGACCTGCCAGAGCAATACGATTGCGACCACCAACTGTGTAGGGGCAGCAGCGCAGAGGAAATGCAAATAAGCGGTAACCTCTGCGATCTTGAAGCTGTCGACAGACATCAGGTTGATGATTGTGCCCAAGTTCGCCTGCTCATCATCGCCTTCTCCCTTGGCCTTGTCATCTTTGACACCGCCGTTAGCAGTTTCCGCATCGTCGGGAGTGACCTTCTTATCGTCCTTCTTAAGGCTGAAGACGCGTTTAATCTTGCTTATGGTGCTCTCCTTTGAATCGCCGTCCTTGGTAGACTTGGCTTTGGCGGAATCCAGTAAAACCTTGTCCTTGCCGGCGGCTGCCTTGCGACGGAGAGCCTTGGCGTAGATATCGCCAATGATGATAGCTCGAACCCGAATGCAAATCTTCCGGCCGATCCACAAAGCCGCATTGTCACTGTACGAGCGAACAAGATCGAGGATAGGAAGACCGATAACGTAAAGCCAGAGCACATTGACTGGGGTATTGCCAGGGGCCTCGACATATTCCAGAATGGCCTTCAGAAGGAGCGTGGGCGCAAAGGTGAAGAACCCGGCAATGACGGCCAGGAAACACTGAGCGAATAGCATGCCCTTGAAGTACTTGACCAGGTGCCAAGCCAATGAGCCCGTCCTCTTCATCTGACGATAGTCGGCAATGACCGTAGCGGCCTTGTCCTTGGGCAAAAGGTTCCAGACGTGCTCCATTTCCATGCTGCTCTTCCAGCCACGCCAGACAATGGCATCGACCCAGCCAAATACAGCGAGGGAGAGAAGACTCGCGAGAGGCTCGCGCGATGGTTCCATACCATCCTCCCACTCCAAGATGACAGTCTTGTTGCCCTTCCTAGTAGTGACGGCCAGACCAAAAAGTAGCGACACCAGGGCGAACTCGACAATAACCAAGATTTGTGAGAGTTTCGAAACAGGGTGGAGGATGGCGGAGCGGAAGACGAAGATGGACAAAACCCAATTGACTCCATAGATGGTAGCAGTATGGTTCCAGAGGTGAGGAATTCGCCATTTGGAGTTGCCAAAGACGAGGCGCAAGGTCGAGAGAATGAGGACGTAGATCCAAGTAACCAACCCCGCAACGGAGGCGATATGGCTAGGGCCATGGTAGGCGCCGTTGATGAGGGCAATCGAATTGATGGCAACGAGGCCGCAGATGGCCAGTTCCTCAACTACTTGGGACAACCACTGGCCAGGGGGGGTATCGGCCTGGACTATGGAACCACGAGTGGTCGTCTTGACGAGCGCAAGACGGCCGCCATTGATTTGCAAGTCTTCGTCGTCGTCGTCGGTATCGTCGGTCTCTGCCGGGGGCAGATCCGTGTGGCTATAACGTCGGTCGTCACTAGAAAGTTCGCTATACCTAGCCTTTGAGGCAGACCGGGCTTTGCTAGCCCAAGCGATACTGGTCCATGCGAGGTGCGCAAACGAGAAAAAGAGGATGGCTGCAGGGAAGAGGACTTTAAGATAGCTGCGAGAGTTGGAAAAAAGGCAATCGGGTTAGCAAAGCGGTAGTCTAGGGGGATTGAGGAGTTGAGGGAAGCACGAACTGTTGCTGGAAGCAGTGGGTGAAGTCATCAACCAGCCATACCGGCTCCTTGCACTGCGCAAAATTACCCATGATGGCGGAGATAGCGCAGAGTGCTAGAGCGTCACGCTCTCTTCGCGCGGAGAGGCGACGTCAGGAATGGGGAATTGGGGGGCGAATCGAATCGAATCGGGATCGCAATTCTGGCACGTCGATGTCGAGGAGCAGAAAAGGCTCTCGGCGAGCTGAGCACTCGAGGGTGCCGCGGCACCGGAGCGGCGGTGGAGGCGGGAGGGTGGAGGGGGCCTTTGACCTGGGGGTGGTTTGGGGGCGAGAAAGAGCAGCGATTGCGATTCCGGCGGCACAGCTCCGGCGTCCCACGTCCCACGTCGGTTCAGACAGTCCCTGGCGACCACCACGAGCGACCCAGCTTCAGCTCAGTGTGGCGTGACCGCCGTGGAATTGAGGCGCTTTTCGCCAATGCCAATCCCTCAATGTCCAAGTTCACGGTTCGGCAGCGCTCATTCGCAACGTCTCTCGTCCAAATCCCACGGCAGGATTGGCGTCGTCGGTGTCGTCGAGTATCCAAGAGGGTTTTCGCAGTCGGCCGTCCTCCCTGCAGAGCAAGACACAGGCGTTGTGGGAGAGAGGAAGGATACAAAGACGGGAGGGAGAGTGGGCAAAAGAAGGATGAAGAGAGCAAGGATGCAACCAAATCAAAATTCGGGGGAGAGGCGAAGGATGTCAGAATAAAAAGATGTCTCGGTGGAGCGAAGAATGCGCCGCGTTGGTCGACGAAGAGAAGAGCCGGCCGAACTAGCACAGGCGAACAGGCGGGAGTAGTGAAGTACTGTAGGCACTGCAGGAAGTACGCCAGCCCAGCAAGCGCACCCGCACCTTCGTCCTTCGTACCTACCTAGCTCGCCGCGCTGGGATGCGCTTGGGTGTGGGACAACCTGAGAAGGCAGGTGCCCGCCAAAGTCGGTCGGGTTGCTTGGCCGCCCTTGCTAGGGAGCTTTTAGAACTCCTCCAATGCCTGCGGTGATGGGAAAGACCCAGTGGGAAACCATCCAGGTGGGGGCCGCTACAGAAGGCCGATGAACGAGGAGAAGCTCAAGCGGGTCCGCGGCGCCGGCTTCTCGTGTGGTTGCTTAGTGGTGACAGGCCTGTGAGGTGTTGATGTCTGTCCGTCTGACTTTTGTGTCTGTCTGCGATTCTCTAAGTTTCTGTGTACGAGCCAGAGCTCATCGGCAACTTACTTCCTCTCTGGCTCGCTGTTGGTATCTAACTTATCTGTTAATCGCAGTGGAGAGCGTGGCAACGGGACGCAGTCGTAGGCGTCATCCACTCCCGGCATTTCCCCAGCGGTGGAGCTGTCAACCAGACTACGATCAACCCAATGACAATGACGAGGCAGCTGTTGGACGAGGCGAAGCGTGAGGCGGGAGAATGAGTTCGTCTAAAGCGTGCACGGTGCCTGTGTATCTCAGTGCGTGTGTGCATACCGGCAGTTGCCAGCTTGTAGCTCTGCACTGGGAGGAATTAGACGCAACCCCAAGCATGCGGCCTGGAGACTGATGGTGTGGTGTGTGTGCCTGTTGCGCGCGGAGCCATCACCCCTGTTGTGTAGCACTGCAGCGACTCCAGCATGCTGCAGCTGCAAGCGCAGTTGCGGGGGTTCGTCTCGCCATACGCCATACGCCAACGCCTTTGCTATCGAGTGGGTGCGTATCTGCAAGGTTCAAGGTGCATGGCGGATGGCGGATGGCGGATGGCGGAGGCTGTCCTTCGTTCAACAAGACCGTTGCGCTACCATGCGCTACGCTCACAATGTCATAGTCATGCGCGGTGCGATAAGGTCGCCGATGCATGCAGTGAGTCCATTGTCGTCTGGTTTTGTTGCTGACATTGAATCCCGAGCTCTATTGAACATCAAAACACTCATTGACGGACAGTATCTACCGTACGGCCGCGTGTGTTCTATTCCCAGCTCCAGGCCTTGCCAAGCTTCATATCACGCCAACGTCACACAAGCCTCCCCGAGCCTCGTCATCCCGTCTGCGACAGATTTCAGAAGCGCAGCGCATCGAGAACCCACCGACGGGATGGACAGAGAGGGATGAGATGAGGGGTGCGACCATCGACATCCCAGTCCAACCCCCCAGTCTCCCCGGAGGCTTCAGGCGCGATTCGTGTCCCCTCGTGCCAGAGCCTCCAGCCAAGGGCAACAGGGAGGAACGTGGGAGTTTGACAGAGGAATCGGCCCAAATGCCAGTCAGAGATTCCCACCGCTGGTTCACACTTGGATAGCACGGACGACCAGGATGACCAGGGCAACCAGCCACAGATCTTGATGACCATGTTTCCTGTACGTCAGTCTTTGTTCGTCCTCCGTATATCGGATATACTCTCGACGCAGCGTTGACTATGCTTTCTTTTTCTTACGTCGTCATCCGTCCATCTCTTCCCCCACTCTTCCGGATCTCCGACTCGCTGTGAGACTCGGGCTTCGACTATCCGGATCAACCAATCCCAACGTATGCGTACATCGTCGCACAGAGTACAGAGAAATAAATTACTGGCTTCCGGGCCCGACGTAATACAAAAACATTTGTTTACTAGAGTAGCCGGTAGCGTCGTACACCCGAGATGGCAGGACGACACCATCGTCACAGGGCGTTTTTGGGCCCGTTCCAGTCCCACCGCTACGCCCGGAGGTTCTGCCAACGGCGCCCATGCCGCCTGTCCATGTCGACGACCAAAGCCATGTACGTACGTTCGTTCATGACCTAACCTTGCTCTTAGATTGCGCTTAGAAGCCGGTCTATGCTTCGCCAGTAGCCCGAATAGTCCTTCCACGCGTTCCAATTCAAATTTCACTCGACAAAACGGTCACCCACTCCAGCGCTCCAACGGGGGCTGGAGTCTTCTTCTTATTTAGCGTGTTGCAGCATCACCAGACCAGCCGCAGACACCGACAGCGACTCCACCGAACCCCACGATGCGCGCTGACAGGCTGCTCCAGGCCAGAACGAACTCGGTCGTGGTGCAGGGTCACGCCAGCCTCACGCCAGGCAACAAGGGCCTCGCCTCCATTGTCAACAAGTCAGTCGCATTGTCAAGTCGGCACTCGACGCTCTCCTTGTCATTTGATGCACGGACCGAAAAGATGGTGAACCTCGCCAGCAAGACTCGAACCGTGCACGGCTTAGTTTCTTGAGCTGACATCATACATGGTGCCAATGAGGAGAAGAAGAAAGAAAAACTGAATCTGCTTCGGACTCGGAAGTTTATTCCTTAGAATTGCAAGGGTTCTTTTCCTCCTTCACCTGATTTTCTCAACACCGGCTCTCCCAACTCTCCCTCCCAAAGCCGACCCAGCAACCCCTCCGGCCCAATCTGAAGTGAATCTTTCCACGTGTGCCTCATACGTTGGAATTAATAAAGGACGTCCATGAAAAAAATATCCGACTGACTGAGACGTTACGAGTACAGCATTTCACCCAAGTGGGGATTTCTCCTCTTTGTACCTTGCTGTCCCTTGTTTGGTGTAACATTGGCTGTAGCGCTCTCAACGACTCGGAGCAAAAGACGTCACAGCCGCTGCTCTGTCTCGTTTTCACCGTGTTCCACGGGCTCCATTCCTACCTGGCTTGGTCCATTGAGATAATCGAGCTCAAAGGTCTCAATTCGCATACCCACTTCGAGTCCCTCGCGTCGACCTTGGCCCCCAATTGGCTTGTCTTGGATTGTTTCCCTATCTTGGATTATCATGTCATGCCATGTCTTGCTTGTCATGTCGTTTCTTGTCATGACCCCATCTCAGCTCTCTCGGTTCGCAGACTTAGATAGCTCGTCCAGGCACCCTCACAGATCTGCACTGTAACATCTGGCCTCATAACCAGGCACACCCGGCAAGTTTCGCCGGCTCGCAGGTCACAAGGTGCAACATCTCCGCAGCATTCCCTCCCCCCTTTGCCCCGCACGGAATGGAGGTGACCCATGCAGCAGCTGCGTTATCCTTCTCGTCTCTTCTGTTCTCTTATCTAATGTCTGTGTCTTTTCCCGCTCATTCTGCCGTGCAATTGTAACAAATGCACCTTCAATACTCTTGTACTAGATCGATTCGATTTCGAACAAGGGTCTGTTCTCCACTCCCCGGAAACTCTGGCTCCTGCTCACCGCCGGCGATTCACGGATACATTGTTCAAGGGCGTCTTCCGCCCTTTCCTCTCATGCAGTACGCACTCTCTTATCTTATTGCTAGGGTCACATGTTGATCGCAGCTCGTCCCGGACCTGGTCACCCCCTAGTCCTCTCGCTTCCATAATTATCCTCTCCGATTAACCCTTGTGACAACCTGTTCGACAAGTGTGTCACTCCCAGACAGCACCAGTAAGAACCACCAAAAGGTCTCATCCATCCACTCGGACTATCCCATGACTCTACAACTCCCGGGACCCCGGCCATTCATGCACCCAAGTTCATCCCGGTGGTTCCACTCGATGCGCCGAATTCACTCCCGGTCTGCTCCCAATCCCGAATTTTTCATTGCCAAGCGGCCAGCTCCACCAGTCCTCATGTATCATCACAACAAGAAAATGAACTAGTTTTGGAGGTTTGTGTTTCTTAACCCATATGAGTAACGAAACTTTATGCGGTACTCTAAACGCTATTGGCGTATATATTATTGTTCAGCTTCATCGCCGGGAAGCCTGAAGCCCTTAGTGGCATGGCCCCCTAGCGAACAAAGTTCAAAAGCAATAGATATCCATCCGTGTGCTACAGTGTTTCGCTCCTTCATTCAGTCTCTTGGAGTTGAAGCCTAGTCTACAAATGTTCAAAAGTAATATGCTCCTGTTTGCTCACTGACACAGACCGTCTCAACAAGGAGAAACCTTTCCAGAACCCACAGCAACCTTTTATAGTCTTCCGATTGCCCATTATCAAAAGCATTATGCAGTAGATCCTGGAGGTTCCCAGGCCTGTAATTCTCACATGTTAGTCAATTCTACCAGCCCAGCACAAAGCCCAGCAATATGCATCCATAAATCGACATCGGATGTTTCCAGCACATAATTCTGCAACCGTTCTGCCCCGCAACCATGCCGCCTATCGCAAGCCATGGCGGGAACTGATCAGTCCCCCGCCTTTCTCTTCCACACCGGTCCATCCGTGCCTCGCCTGGCCTTAAACCCATTGCGCCATCGGGGAGGATCACCCAGATGGAGGTTGCAGCAAAGGCGGCCCGAGCTTGCGGCGCGGCCACTCGCTGCCGCGTAATATCGCGGTGCTTGCTGCAGCGTGCTGTGCATACGCACGCCGCCCCGGACTTTGCAGCCAGCCAATTGACGGCGCGGCGCTTTGTGCTGTAAGCCAAACGCCGTGCTAATGTGTCTCGTCCCGTTGGTCTCGTGCCCGCGTTCTGGCGTCCAGGGGTCCTCGTTTTCGGCCCCTCCTCCGACTACTGCAAGGTCAGGAGAATTAGCATGGGTCGCGACGGATTACCGACGGATGGCGAGACACGCTTGTTGGTGATCAATACGAGGGACGGGATGGGCGGTTTCTGTGCTGGTTGCTTCCTTGGACCTGTCTTTGGGGAGACCCATTGCCCTACAAAGGTTCCCCGAGCTCAAGGGCCGGCCAACCGCTTTCGGCATCGGGATGCCTATCTTGGAGGGGCACGCGAACCAGCATAATTTTGCTGGTTGGAGTCATCGTCTAATTTTAAGAGATAACAGGACTTTATCGCCTCATGTCTAAGGCATGCGATGCGATTGAGTCATATAGTTCGCTGGATGGGTTACGTGACACAAACTCAGTGTCCACATTCCGCGGTTATCCGTGTCAAGGCAGAGGAAACCGAGTCACCGATCGCCCAAGTATAACGCGCTCTGGAACTGACTTCAGAATCTCGATCCCCTCGCAAACAAGGAGGGTATTCTCTGGTTTCCGCTCCAATTCATCACCTGGCGTAGGTATATGGTGGATTGTGGCCAATCCAGTTCAGAGTTCACCTGCAGCTGCCCTCGCCACTCACCGTGTTCAGTGCGTCGAACCACATCACATCATCACCACACCGGCGTGACTGATTCACACCCTGCCCCTCTTCTCTCTTTTGGATCTGCATCGGTGACAACAAGGGCTCTAATCCATCCATCGGCCAGCCTAAAGCTGCATGTCAGCTGCACATGCAACCAACCACGTCGACGGCCCTACCGACCCTGAATTGTGCTACCCTACACCGGCACTTTTCATCTTATCTTTTTTTTATCTCAATGTGACATCAAGTCTGCCATCACATGTTCGATCGAGACTGTTGCCTTGTTTAGATATTTCTCGGTGAAGAACAGTTGGGGCTGCTCACACCCATTTGAACCGAAAGTTCTTTGTATCGTGACAGCCCTCCGGCTTGAACTTATACCCTGCTGGATCTACAAAATATGTCTCCTCGCAATGGGCACACCCTCACTTACTACAGGCTGTAGTAAATAAGACGGACCAAAGATACCTACGATATAAAGAAAATAAATGAAGAACCAAACGCCAATACCCCACAATGACCACGCGAGTGATCACGATCAATTCCAGCGTATTGCAGTCCCAAGAAACTAGGAAGACCCTACCGAAATTGTATGGTGCAGGTGCCGTGCTGTGTTGACCCCAGAAAAAAAGTAGTGTGGACCAAGATAACATCGTGAACACATATTCATAGTCTGATTAAACACATCGCACACCGAGATGGCATTAAATTTCTGTCATTCATATGTCCTGTAGGTACAATAGAGCTCTCCCGCAACTGCCCTCCCAAGAGGGCCATCCCATCATAGCAGCTCTTGCTCCTCAAACTATAGGTAACCCACGAAGACAGCTCGACACGATACTTGGTTAATAATCTTGACAGTCCTAGATCGCCGCCCAAATGCCCTTTCCAACCCAAATTGACTTTACGTCCAGACTCCCCTTGATTGTTTTTGGTTGCAAAGGAAAAAGAAAACCTTGTATGACTATCTTCTCTTTTCGTCTTCTTTCTGGTGTCTGTTGATACACATTGGTCCGTCTCGGTCGGGACCCCAATGACCAATGCCAATTAGGCGTGGCTTCTTCATTGGTTTTTGTAACCGTCAGCGGTTAGCCCATGATCATGCCCTTCATGCCGGACATATCACCCTCCTTGGCAGCGATTTCGAAGTAACCATAGATGATACTGTGACGAGTTAGCGATTGTTGCCTATGATTAATGCTGAAAGGAGACGGCAACTTACGTGACAGCAAGGAGAGTACCGGTACCAGAGCCGAGGGCACCGAGAAGATCGCTGGTGACGGAGAGCGCACCAATGCAGGCACCGCCAAAGGCAGCGGCAGTGGGGATGATGCGCTTGAGTTCCTTGTACATGCTCTGGTCGCGGTGACCAGCCATGACGAGACCCTGGTCCTTGAGCTGCTTGGCAACGTCGCGGGGGCTGGAACCGGACACTTCAATCCAGGTCTTGGAGAAGAGAGCGCAGGCACCGAGCATGTAGACAATGTAGGCGGACATGTGGATAGGATCGAGGAGAGCCTCCTTCAGGTTCAGGGGAGGAGACATGTAGTAGACAAGACCGGAAACGGCGTGGAGCTGCGAGGAACCATCCTTGGCCTCCCAGACACCGAAGAGACGGACGAGGAGGTTCTCAGAGAAGCGGGAGTAGAGCATCTGGGAGATGAGGAAGATGTTGGAGGAAAGAGCGGACTGCAGCATGATGGGCATGTTGGAGGTGTAGAAGAGGCGGACGGGGTAAGAACCGCGGGCACCACGCTGGCGGGAAGACTTGACGGGGATCTCGACGCGGAAGCCCTGGAGGTAGATGACGGCGGCGAAGACGGCAATGGTGGCCAGGAGGTTCATGACGTTGGGCAGGTTCTGTCTGTAGAAGGCCTCTTGAAGAGCACGTTGCTTGTTGGGCCAGGTCATGAGGAGGTGGAAGAGGGCGATGACGGCACCCTCAAACTCGGGGCCACGGCCAGTGTTGATGGTGGTGGGAGAGAAGGCCTTCCACATGATGGACTCGCAGATATTGGTGGCAATGAACAGAGAGATACCGCTGCCGAGACCGTAGCCCTTCTGGAGGAGCTCGTCAAGGAGGATAACAATCATGCCAGCAATGACCAGCTGGAGGATCAGGAGGAAGACGATACCGGCACCGAGGTCGGAGGGAGGGCCGTAGAGGCCGCTGAAGACGTAGACGGTGGCGGTGCCGGCGGACAGGATGAAAGCGAGGAGCTTCTGGGCGGTCTGGTACAGCTCGCGGTCGGACTTGAGGTCAAGGTTGACATCGATCATGTGGGTACCGGCGAGGAGCTGGAAGACCATGCCCGAGGAGATGATGGGGGTGATGCCCAACTCCATCAGGGTTCCACGGTTGCTCGCAATCACCATTCGCAGCCAGTATAGAGGATCCGAGTTGTCGGACGAGACAATGCCGTAAAGGGGCATCTGGCTCATGACCAGGAAGATGAGGAGGGTCAGGGCAGTCCACATCAGCTTCTGGTTAAAGGGGATCTTGGTCTCCGGCTGCTGAACCTCAGGGAGGAACGGCACGAACGGCTTGACCAGGTCGAGGAATCGGACTGCGTCGCATGCGTTAGCCTCGACGTCGCCGGGCGCCATGGCGCGATGGGGGTGAATCAATTGCGCGCATCACGTCGTGTCGGGGTCGCGCGAGCGGCCACCCGGCAAGCTCATGCGAGCTCCGACAGCTTTGCGCAAAAGGAGACGCGACAGGGACGACTTACGGGAACTCATGGTGGCGGTGGCGGTGGGGAAGGGGGAAAGAAAGAATTGGACTACTTCATCCAAGGAGGGGAGAAAGAATGAGAAGAGGAAGCCGAGCTTGGAGAGCTCAGGCACTGGGCGAAGGGATCGATGGATTATTAAAGAGCTGGGGAAGAAACGATGTGGCTTCTTGCTTCCTCTTGAGATGTGGCCACTGCCACCGGGTGCAATATTGCCACGTGACCTCTCCACTCTCGCCGGCCGCCCCAAACAAGCCCCAGGCTGAATGAGCCAAAAGGTTAGGTGCTCCGTCAGGGTCTTGGGTACCTTTAATTAGCGGTCTCCCCGGGCGCAATTTTCTCCGGCATGGATCCGTGAATGATCCTTTTCTAGAACCAGCCAAAGCTTCTGGATGGAGCCGACCCTTGCTATTTGCTGGCCTGCCAGGATAACCTCAGTCCCTTGGCCCACCAAACCTTGGCCACGCCATAATTACAGATGACGATGCGCAACGCGGTCTTGATGGCCTGTAGACTTTAATGTTCAGTCGCCTGAGATTCATTCTCGGGCGCAATGTTTCAACAATGGCCTCTGCTCGAAAACCTCCCGCAGAACCCCTCGTGGTTGTCTTAGGCTCCACGGGCACTGGCAAATCCGAGGTACGCCCACCAACATGGCCTGCTACATTACCGTCCCGCCCTTCTGACGATGCGAATAGCTAGCCGTTGAGCTGGCCACCCGCCTCAATGGCGAGGTCATCAACGCCGATGCCATGCAGCTCTACAACGGGCTGCCCATCATTACGAACAAAATCACCCCCGCAGAACAGCGTGGAGTTCCCCACCATCTCCTCGGCCACATATCCCTCGACGAAACTCCCTGGGATGTTGACGATTTTAGACGAGAGGCCAACCGGGTGATCCGAGATATTCGCAGCCGAGGCCGCCTACCCATCCTCGTCGGAGGCTCTCAATACTATGTCGACCCGCTTCTCTTCAAAGAGGTCATCCTGGACGACATGGAAATGGACACCTCAACATCGTTCCCCATCCTGCAAGAGTCGGGCGAAGTAATGCTACACGAGCTGCGAAAAGTCGACCCCGTCATGGCCGACCGCTGGCACCCCAACGACCGTCGCAAGATCCAACGCTCCCTCGAGATATACCTGCGCACCGGCAAGCGCGCCTCCGATTACTATGCCGAGCAACAGGCGCGCAAGGAGGCTGCGCAGCAGGATCCCACAGACCAAGAACCGTGGGAAAACCTACTGTTCTGGGTGTACTCGGAGCGCGAGGTCCTGCGAACGCGCCTCGACAACCGCGTGGATAAGATGGTGGACGGCGGGCTGCTGCCGGAAGTTCGAGAACTGTTTGAATTCAAGCGTCAGAAAGATGCGGCGGGCCAGATTTTGGACATGACTAAGGGAATATGGCAGTCAATTGGGTACAAGCAGTTTGAGTCGTACATGACGGCCGTAGACGAAGGCAAACAACAAGCTGAGACGGATCGCTTAAAGACAGCGGCCCTGGAGGAGATGAAGACGGCAACGCGGCGATATGCCGTTTACCAGACCCGCTGGATCAGACTCAAGCAGATCCCACGCCTTCGCGATGTCGGCCCTGAAGCCATCAACAGCTTATACCTCCTCGACAGCACTGACGTCACAAGCTACAAGGACAATGTCGTTGAGCCTGCTGTCAAGCTTGCCACCCAGTTCCTCCAAGGAGAAGCCCGCGCGCCACCCGCAGACCTGTCGCCCCTGGCCCACGAGGTCCTCACGCAGGTGTCCAACCCACCGCCAAAGGCCACGCCGTGCAAGCGCATGTGCGAGGTCTGCCATACGGTGCTGATGACGGAGGAGGCCTGGGAGAAGCACCACAAGAGTGCTACGCACCGGCGCGTCGTGCGGAAGAAGAAGAGAACGTCACTGGTGCCGGTGGAAAATACCGCCGAGGCCGAAGAAGCAGAGGATTCAGGGGGTGACAAGTCTAGCCCAGATATAAGTTCCATGTTTTTAGAACCAACAATCAACAAAATCTAGACCACAATCCAAATAGCCCCCTATCCAGTGCGCCATTATATGTGTTATATGCACGCACAAAATCTTTGCGTTTCCAAGATTCTAAACACCAGTTTTTGGTTCCGCCCGCCATCATCAGGACAAGTAAAGCCAACGCCCGAAGGATATCTAACAGAAATAGTCTCAAAACACTACGCCCCAATCTCAGCCTTGACCCACTTCTCGAGGCCGCCGCGGGCGATGATCTCCTGCACGTTCGGGGGAAGCTCTCCGACTTTCTGCTCCCAGGTCTTGCCATCCTTCTCGGTGACGACGACCTTGCTGCGGCGGACGTCCCAGACGAGCTTCCAACCGGTGCGGCGGGTTCGAGGCTTGTCGGTGTCCTCCTTGTACGCCTCGCGGAGGCGCTCGACGAGGCGGGGCACCTCGAGGCCCATGAGGGCGTTGTTGATGCTATTGCGGCTGAAGATGTTGCCGAAGCTGCCGGAGACGACGAGCGGGATCTGCTTGGCTAGGATGGCCGTGGCTGCTTGCTCGCGACTCGATCCACAGCCGAAGCTAAATCCTGCGACGAGGATATCGCCAGGGTTGGTGGTGGTGCGAAATTCGGTGTCGTAGTTCTCCATACACACCATTGCCATGTCTTCCTTGGTCAAACCGTCCTGGTACGTATATTTTCCAGGATATATGCCGTCAGTCGATATATTATCTGCATCGCAGAAGACGATCTCGCCCTCAATCCTCTCAGGGAAGCCGGGGAGGATGTCGGCAAGGATCTCCTCGTCAGCGGGGGCAACAGCTGCCTCGGATTGTTCGCCAGCCCCGTCTTGCTCGGCCACGGCAATCATGCTCTCAGCTTCAGCGATGATTTTATCCAGGGCATCCTCAATGGACAGCGCCTTATCAGCGACGTAATCACCGCTGCCCTCGCCGATGATGACCTTTTCGACACCCTCGGGCTTCTGGTACCAGCCGGGACCGGCGATCTTGCCGTGAAGGGCGCTGGCAGCAACGACCTCGGGGCTCGCGAGGTAGGCATTCGCTTCTCTCGACCCAAGCCGGCCAGGGTAGTTCCTGTTGGATGCTGAAATGCCAACTTCACCCGGCTCTAGAAGACCGGTCCCGAGACCGATGCAAGGTCCACAGCCTGATGTTAGAACTTGGGCACCAGCATCGACCAGGACCTTCCAGTCTCCTGCCTCCTCCGCAGCCTCCTGTTCAACAATTGAGGCGGCAGCAATGTAGAAGTTGACACCGGGAGCAATCTTGGCGGGCTTACCGTCCTTGGCGGCCTGGCGGAAGACAGAAGCAGCGGCACTAATGTTAGAAAAGCGCGCTGCGGTGCAAGAGACTAGGTAAGCTTTGTTAATAGGGATGTTCTGGGCCTCGATGTCCTTCAGAGGGGTAGCGATCTTGACGGAGTTGGGACCAGAGACGAAGGGGGACAGGGTCGAAAGGTTGCAATATATTTCCTTGGCGTATGTGGCACCAGCATCGGCGGCGAGTCGGCTCTCTATCAGCTCGTCTATACGCTTGTGGTTTAGGCGGCTGCTGGAGGCACTGTTGGGGTCCTTCATAGCTTCCGTGGTGGCCTTGGCGCGGAGCCAGGAGACGAGCATGTCGTCGATGGGAAATAGACCGCTCAATGCACCCCACTCCGTAGTCATGTTAGCAATGGTCAAGCGATCATCGATAGGGATGCTTCTCATTGTCTGTTCGGAGCCGGCGAATTCGATAGCGTGGTTAAGAACATCATCCTGGTTGAAGAGACCGCAAAGGGCTTCACGGGTGAGTGAGATGAGACAAGACGGATTAGGGGTCTTTTATGGAGGCTCACCTTGGATGACATCTTTGCCACTGACTCCAACGGGAAGGACACCGGTAAAAGTGACCTTGGCGATGGGGGGAACTTGCCACCACGTACGTCCAGTCGACCATACAGAACAGGCATCGGTCCTAACAATAGCCGTGCCAAGGCATCCAACACCTCCGTAGTGGTTGCTATGGCTATCGGAAGCGACTCTAATGTGTGTTAATTCGGGATATCAGAATCGAACGGGGAGCTGACGTTAAAGTACCGGGCCAAGCATAGCCCTCCTCGACCATTATTTGGTGGCCGATACCTCGACCAGCTGGATAAAAATCGACACCATGTTGGCGAGCAAAATCCCCAATCAGGCTATATTTTTTGAGGTTTGCCTCGGATTTGTTGCCCACGTCATGATCCAAGGTGAACACCACCTGGCGGTTGTCATGGATCTTGGTGGCTCCCACTGACATGAACTTCAAAGCGACGGGCCACGTGTTATCGTGGGTCATGCAGTGGTGAGGTTTTATGGTGACATAGTCGCCGGACCTGACCTTCTTTCCGGGAGCGAGACCGACCGAGTGTTGCTGGACAATCTTCTCGGTGAGGGTCTGGGGGTTGACCGGTCCGGCAGGCTTCGGGGAGGAGAGGAAGTCGAAGGCGTTCGGGACACTGTCGAGCTGCGACTGGAAGGCGTGTTGCCGCAGCGGGCGAGACGAGGTATAGGCACGGAACTGAGAGACGGCGGCGGGAAGAGATCGTGAGCCGGCGAGGAGTCTTTGAGCCTGAAGCCTGGGGCCGGCGACGGCGTTGAGAGCGATGGCTCTCCGCTAGAGGGGTGAGTCAGTGAATAGAGCAGCGAGCAAGGATCAATTGCCGGTGGGGGGACATACAAGTGCAGTCATAATGAGGATTTATTGAGAGAGGATGGCGTGGGCCATGGCAGAGTGGTCAATTCGGAGAGAGAAGAGGCCGCACGTTGAGGTTGTGACTCGGAAGAAACGAGGTTGCACTTTTTGTTTGCGGTAGCTTTACCTTGAAAGCCGGCCTCGGCGCGAGTCGCCCTGGCTTGCGTTGGAAAATTTGCATCATCGGAACTCCGAGGCTTGTGATTGGCCGGACGGCTCCTAGTCCGGGGGAGAAGTGCTTCCCCGCTGCAGTGGAGGAGACCGCGGGAACTGTGCTGGAATTAGAGGGGTGATTCGCTAACCCTGGCCGTCTGCGCATCGGAACGGAGAAACATCGGCAATCAGAGGAGCCGTCACGTGAGCCCAGTCTTACTCTTCTGAAAAAATTCCTGCTCTCCATTTCTTGTTTCGCTTTCCTCTTCAGATAGCAAGAAAGTCCGCCGCTCACTGTCCATTGGGGGCAGTGTTACCGGCAGGGTCTTTGGACTCGAGGATGTTCTGAGAGGAAATTGGATCCGTCGTTAATCTCGACACCTAGTGATTCCGTCTAGGTGTCGTTTCATTTTTGAGATCTACATTCTTTCGCGTTGCCTTGTGATGTTGTAAGCTTTATCGACGCGTAACCTGGGTGCTTTGGCTAGCACTGAGCCTGGGGTTGATGCTGTTGTATGAACTATATAAATCGGTCGTTTATTGTCGTACTGTCCGAACGCTTTACTGTGGGCGGCGAGTACACTGTCGCGTCGCGTGGCTTCACCTGAGAGCCTTACCTTGGGCCCTCCCTGAATTGAGGGCCACCAAGCTTCGGCTTTGACCCAGGCTTCAACATCCACAAGCTGGTAGACATCAATAGAGGCTTTTCTCATTTGATTTGCATCTACCTATGGTGTCTTGGCTGGCTGTGCCTCCCTTTCGCTATATTCCGCCAATCTTCTCCCAGTCGGACTGGGATGAGCGGTCTGACTTCACGCAGCGTTCTGAAGCTGTCGCTTCACGATGCGTCGTCACCCCTCGAGATTGACATCCCTGATGATCAAACACACACTCGTCACAGTGCCGCGATGTACCTCGAATGGGCTACGATCTCACATCCTGAGGCAGCAACCGTAAGTTGGTTGTGATTAGTTGATGAGCATCACTTGAACAAAGGCATGGTGGTTGTACTCTAAGAACACTCAAACCACAAGACAGTCTGCCTTCATCTAACAAAGGCTCTTTAGTGGAAAATTCGATTGTCCACGGATATTGCAGTGTCATGTTCCCACCACAGTATCATGTTCACGGCTCTCCAACCCAAACGAACCCCGAAGAAATCCCCTGTATAAAGTCCCTCCACCGCCAAGACTTTCCGGTCTTAAACAATACCCATCACCAAGCACCCTGATCATGACTACAGCACCAACACCATCAAAAGCCCCTGGGCCAGTTGACACGGACTTTGATATCCTCGTCTCCCTTTCAATCATCCTCGTCTTCGTCGTCTTCTTGCTCCCGTGCTGCTGCTTTCAGTTTCTGGCCCACCGCCAACAGACCAGAGAGGTGCGGCGCAAGAAAACCACCTGGCCCAAGGGCATCGGAGTATAATGAGTCTCCGATGTGTGTCATCTCTCCACTCTACAGGTGTTTGGGTGAAGCTAAACAGGCTTTGGTGTGTCAACCCGTACCATCGTTATTTCACACGCTGTAGCAATGGCACATTCATTTCCAGATAACAGTGTAAAATAATAGTAGTAATAAAACAGAACGTTCTCAAGCGGTGATTTGTCTTATTAAATTCGGACAAGATACAAAACTCCATCCGTCCCAGATCATGCCCATCACATCCAGGACGGAGTAAACAAGACCCTTCCCAACCATCTATCTGCCCAGACGCCGCCCCTGAAGTTCGTCTATAATACAACCAATGCCCGTTGGGAATCCCCATTTGCCGTCTCGTAGTCGTCTCGCCATGCTTTTTGCGGATGTGTTAAATCATAATTGCCGTGATAGCCCTTGGATCATCAGTGCATGCCCCCCATTCCGAACCCCCCAAAGAGCGACGTTGTGGGTATCTGGCTCTGCTGTGCGTTGTTTGCGTCCCAATTTATATCCCAATTCAATGCTGACACGTCCAAATAGCCGCCCAAAAATTGATCCATGTCTGTGATCTGTGTTGATGATGTGGGAGGCTGTGGGATTGATGTTGGTGGGGGCGGCTCGGAGCATCGAGATTCGGTAGGCGAGCATTCCTGAAGACGGTAGATGAAAGCAGGATAATCGAGGGATCGTCCTGCTTGCGCATGGGCTTTCTCACGAACCTTCCACGCCTTTAGGACAAGCTGTGCCTGGACGGCATATGCCTTCTGGTTCATGTCGAAGAGTTCCGAGTGGTAGTGGTAGATCTTGTCGATGAGGTTCCAGGCACGGTCCACAAGGGTACCCATTGCACGCTTACAGAGCTGTCCTGTCATGACGGCGAAGATGTCGAGCTGGAAATGAAGCTTGGTAAACCACAGGAACCCCGTGTTTTCCATCACCTCGTACGCATTGGTGCTGTGCTCGTTGTTCATGATGAAGATCTTGAAAAGATTGTCCCTTGGGTTGAGGATTTCGGTTCCCCACTCAGGCTGCTCCCTCATTGGCACTAGCAACTCCTTCATCTTGCTGATAAGCATTGGCCGGATGGAAAGAGCAGCAACATGAGCTGGTCCAGCGCTGGCGTCGATGTACCGGAGTTCCACGGCGTGCAGTCGGTTTTCGAGTTCAACCACAAGCTCGCGATACCTCTCGATCGACGGGTAGGGAATCGGCGATTCTTCTGAAATGCCCATGATGGCGGCCTCGAAACCAGGGGTCCCGTGGAGGAACTCGGCGTTGACGAGGAAGTTGGCAATTTGATAGCCGATGAGACAGAAGGCCATCTCGGTAGGTCCCTCACGTGGTTGGAGAGGTTCGGTCGATCCTGGAAATAAATCTGCATCGTTGACATTCTGGGGCATTTTCGTGTCCCAGTTGGTGGGTAGCATGGAATTGCTGAGGCCGGAAACCATTGCATTCTTGGCGTCCTGGAGGATAATCTGCCACCACATTCGTCGTCGCATCTCGGTTTCAAAGGGTGTCAGGTGTAGAGACTCGCCATCTCGGTGGTATCCCATCTTCTGTGCAATTCGAACAATCATACCACTGATGATCCAGGCCGCGTGCCTATCATATCGATTCTGGAGGGAGAACTGGTAGAGGATTAGCAGGATATTTACCATTGGGGAAGAGACATCTATACCAAGTACAACAATAAGGATTGTAGTACCACCATGTCATAATTTTTGAGGAAATTAAACTTCTGTAGTGCGAGCTTGGTACCCATGGTAAACCGTCGAATGGCATCTTCGCGAGAGCATCCAAGCATCTGGGTACATTCGTTCTCGTTTAGGGAGACGGCGGCCATAGTGAAGACGGAGAAGAGAAGGGCCTGGTAATTGACGGGGATAGATTCCATGTTTGTTGTCGCATCCATGACATACGGCTGCACCGAAGGGACGTGGATGACTTTCATCAAGGGGTTGACACGGTCCAGGAATAGTTGCCATAGTCTAAAGATGTGTACAGGGTCGGGTTGGAGTTCTTCGATGGACTTGCCGGATGAATCGCCAGGGAGCAAAAGATCAACATTGGGATCCGGACTCAGATCATCAGATCCAAGGACGCTGCATTCCTCCGGGTCGTCGGTGTCGACAATCTCTCTCATGGCTTGAAGCTAGCGATGGGACATATATTAGTATTGGGGGTCAAGGGACGGGACGGGTAACATCACCCACCTCCTCGTGGATGCTTGCCCAAAGGTAGCTATCCATAAAGCGGACACCTCCGTCGTCTTTGACCATTTTACCGGGAGGCTTCCACTTGGGAGGCGGTTGCGACTCGGAGCCAGTGGGGGTGGTGACCGAGACATCCGACTGCGAGCCATCCCGGGAGGGGAGATGGGCGGACTGCACTGTCGGCGAGGGCACTGAGCCATCGGCGTACTGCTTGAGCAACTCCTCACAGCGCGCAAGTCGTTCTTGGAGATCTTGGTTTGGGCGGCGGCGCTTCCGCGCTGGGGCCGGTATGCTTGGGGTGCATGTTACGTTTGCCTAGAACTTGGTGAGCTGTGTGGGCCGGCGTGTGGTTCCCAGCATGAGGGAGTGGGGAGGTGTGAGCTCAATATGGGACATGAAGGATGAACCTTGAGCCTGAGGCATGGGAGCAGAGTTGAGACGCGTACACGGAGAAGGCAGAGGTGGCTGGGGATAAGGCTGAAGATGAGGCTGAAGAAAGCTCGAATCTATATGACGCACCTTGAGGCAGTTGGAGCAAGGCGTGTTGCGGTCGCATTTGATCTTGCGATGCTGACAGAGGACGCAAGCCAGTATTCTGGAGCCCTTGTGGGAGCCCGGCGTGGTGTTGGTCGACATATCCGTGGGATCCGACGCGCTCAAGGGCCAGCCTCACATGCCAGCCAGAGCCAGAAAAGTCGTCGATGTTTGCGCCTTGGGTCCTGGTGTAGTGTAATTGGAAACTGGAATTGCTCTCTCTGACCGTGGATCAAACGGACTCCACTAGAGCCGCCTGGACCATTCGCTGCGGGCGGGCGATGAGGGGGAGGGGCAAAAAGTACGGGTTGGTTGGCAGAGGCAAAAGTAAGAAACGACGCCCGGAAGTGGGCGGGAGGAGGCGGAGAGAAAAGGCGAAGGCGACGACGACGTCTCAGGGATGAGATGAGATGACGGCTTGAGGCCAACTTGGCGGGAACCGTCGTCGCGCGCAAAGCCGGTGCCTGGCGGAAGGCGTCGCAAGTTAGTCTACCCTGGTTTGGGCGGCAAGCGGACTTTGTGTGCGCGTGAGCGTGAGCGTGAGTCTGTGTGATTGCCGGATGGGTGGTGGGTAGTGGGTGGTGTGCCAGGGACTTCCAGGGAGACAGACAGTACGGAGTATACCTAGGTAGGTAGGTAATGCTAGAAGATAGCAGTCGACGGGAGTTATGCAAGGTCGCGTCCCGGGACGAGCCAGTGCCGTAGATCTAGCACGGTACGACTTGCGACTGACGGTGCCGCGGTGGGATTGAACGCTGCGGCAGACTCCTGGGACCTCGGCCAAGGCAGCGAGATGCGATTGATAGGCGCTGACGGAACCGGACCGTACGGCAACGGTGGTGAACGGTGGTGAGGCGGCGGGGAGGCAGCCACGGACGCAGAAGAGACGATGACGACAACAGTGGGCAGTGAGCAGGTCGATGGATCGATGGCCGATGGTCAACTCTCGGTACGAAATGACGGAGAAATGAGTAGGAATGGGGCGAGGGCAGCGCTGCGCAAGGGGGCAATCCGAGTCCGCGGGTCCGCTTAGCTGAGTCCGAGTCTCGTCGTATTTTGGATGAGTCGAACGGGCAAGGCACGGAGTACGAAAGGTGACTAGGCGGCGATCGGAAGACTCCAACGCCGTACGCCGTGCGCCGTAAATGTGATCGGAGTTAGCGATGCTGGCCGGATGACTGATGATGGCCTGTGGCCTGTGATAGGGAGCCAGAGGGAGAGCCAGAGGGGTCAGAGGGAACCAAACGACAGGGAGAGCAAGGGACACAGAAGGTTCTCGCCTCTAATTAGTGCCCTGCCTTCTCCGGCTGGGCCGTGAGCAATGCGATTTGATGCGTCCCAGATTCAACCCCGGTCAGTCAGCGACGGCCGCAGCGGAGCGTTCGCACTTCGTACTTCGTACACGGACTAAAACGGATGGAAGGATGGAAGGATGGAGGGGGGAGACGTAATGGTACTTTGACGAGTGCCCGTGGTCAGACCAAGAAATGCGCAAAAATTGGGAAAAGAGGCTTGATCGACGGTTCAAACGCGCTCGCTCACTGGCTCCCTACCTAGAGATAGTAGTAACCGGTGCTGAGCAAGCAAGCGTGTTGGCGCCGCGGACAGCGGAAGCGGGCGGAGGTAGTGGAAATGGAAGCGGAGTTCCGCACAAAATCCCTCCGCGCGCGATAGTTTTCAAGGATGGACCGCCCAAGCTCCAAGCTGCCAGGATGCCAATGCTGGTGTTCGATGTCATCCACGACACCTGACAGCGGAGTTTGTTATAAATCAGGCCCAGCGCCCACCGTCCTGGTCTCCGCGCGCGAGCCAAATCGGATCGTCTCTATTGAGTCGCGTGTGTGGCTTGTGGCTTGCGGCTTATTGTCAGCGATTGGCGCTGTTGCGCGAGCCAGAGGAAGGGAGTCAGAAGACAGCCCAGCCAAGAAGAAACCCACCTCCCAGCACGCCGTGTGTCCCAGAACTAAACTAAAACAGCCCGGCAGCGCAAGAACCCTGGGAATTCTGTCCGACGCAATAGGCCGGGAAGTGTAGGGATTCAACCGCGTGGAGGCAGGCACGTGCTCAGCGCACTGCTGCTTCGCGAGACCGGCCGGATTGACTGACTTGCGAGCAATAGCCTCTGTGAGTCAACCGGGAAATCTGCGAGAGACAATCGCAGCCCGAGAGCGATGTTTGAACGGTGGCTTCTCGCTTCCGAGTCAACTGACGTGAAATCCGTGCTTGCGATACAACACGCGCGAGACAAGTCGGATCTGAGGCGCCAAGCTGTTATCGTGCCGCTGGCGATGACGTCGGATGGCTGCCAGGCTCGGTGTTAGAAATTTGCCGTTCCGGTCCTTTCGGATGGAGGTGATTCGTAATAATGTGCCGGGCCAGTCACCTTACATACACGGGCCTACGGATATTTATTCGATTCGATATCATTTACAGCGTCTGCGAAGCAGGTCATGAGCTGGCATTGCGGTGTGCGCTGGGTGTTCCACGGCAGGGATGCCTTCATATGCGCCGCTTCAGCTTCGTCCAACAGGATCCAGTAGCAATGACTCTAGCTACTGCGGTCCCTCTTTTATCTCCGTTTCCCCCATAATCGTTTGCATTGATGTTGGAATTTATATTCCACAATTTCCAGAACCATCGGCCGGAAAGTCGATCATTTCCGGCCCCGAAAGTTCTCGGATCCCTTCGACAATCCGAGTTGTCCCAGATTACCAAGTCGCCACCACGACAAACCCCGAGATTCTGTCCCGCGCGGGAATGCGACCCGGATGCGTGATCTCGTTATGATGGTGTTTAACTAGCTGACGAGCGGAAAGTCTAATCTCTTCGGAAATCGCCGATGTCTATTTGCCTTATATTTTAGGTGTAAACCGGGACGCCTGTCAAACATGTGTCTGACAGACGAAGCTCCCACTGGAGCAGAGACTACTGAACTATTCCACTATTCCCGGCCCGAAACAAGTCAGGTCTAGCTACCGTGACAGCGCTGAAACGGCGATGAGGTAGACCCAGGAACCTGGACAGGATACTACCCAACCCAAACAGCTACGGGACTGGTACGTGTTTTCTGGGCATCAGCGGGGGCAACCAGATACCCGTCAGCACATCACCCCTCCAACAACCCCCCCACCCACGGCCCTGGGACAAGGTCGTAAAAGATGCGAGCAGTTGTCACGCTACCATGCAGAATAACCTTCAACGTCCATATCCTTGCTGCCCTCTTTGCACCAATCATATTGATCATTTTCTGACATAATTTCGAAGAGCAGTTCCACAATATTTACAGAACGAGCCTCTATTCCGAATCCTCTGTCCCATCCTGCTATCGACACTGGGAGGTACAGCTTCATCCACGAGATCTTTCACGCTTGACAACCCGACCGATATATCCGAGTTTTGGCACGGCAATGGTGATCTAGTTCCGTGAACCCCGGGACTGTAATGATATTGTCAGTGTAGGTGTAAGGCGGAATTGAGAACGGCACATGAACGAATGATTGCTACTATTTCCCGCCAAGATTGATGCCCTTGGCAAGTGTGAGTCGACTAAGGCGTTTTGCGCCATGTCGATAGCACCGCCAAGAAACAAACTGGTGGTTTTATTAGCTAAGTATCCTAAAGACTGAGAGATAAAAGTGTTGGAGAGCTTCGGCCTAGGCTCTTCGCTCGTGCTTCAGGCTCAGTGCACGAGGGGGGGCAAGATAGGACACTCAGGGGTTTCCGCAACCCGTGAACCACATGCATGCCTAATTTAGTTCGTCGCATGTTCTAGATTCCGTGATCATTGCTGCGCTATCTCTTTTGTATTAGCAATGTTATCTCAAGGGAGCACGGTGGTGGAGTGTGGTTAGTTCATCAACGTCTGTGACCAACCTCGGCGCCGTATAATTTAAACCTTTTACAATTCACCGAGAATATTTCCGACATTCACATCACTACTCACAGAAGCTTTAGTTTAGTTGTGGTGATTTACTATCGTATCTTTATTACGTCTTAAACTGGTGTTAGGGATTTGCACCTTGCGAACCCATTTTTAACAAGCGACCTTCGGCATCACAAACACTCTACCCTCCACTAATCACACTCCATAACCGCAAGCCTGCCGTCGCGAATCATGCGACAACACTAAACCGAATCTCTTTTTAGATGAGGGAAGGTTCATTCAGTTTTTGTCATATACATCTTGGTAATTTATTTCCTCGTTTTTCCAAGAGCTAGGCTCGTCTCCTCGCTGTTGAGTTGACATCCACTTGAGAGCAACTGGAGAGCAACTGGAGATTCAAAGCAAGACCGAGCAGAGAAACTCTTCTATCTTGCTAGATCTACAGCATAAGTTAATTGGTAACGTAAGTACATTGCAGTATTGCCTTGGAGGTATACGGCGATATGCGTGATGAGGTAAGTGAGAAATTGGGTTGGAGACGTACGGCGCTTGTTGAAACCTAGTTGTATTGGAGTGCTGCGGTTCGAAGAGGTCGTTTTCCAGGGTCGGGGGTAGACTATCCGCTCGACTGGAGATGTCCCTGATATATCCTATGGTTCAGTACGAATTTATTCCCCACTGACAGCAAGATTGGAGATAGAAGGATTGGACGAAGCGCTTGATGCAAAGGCAAATGTGTAACAACCGTCTTCTACCAGTTATGTCTTTAATCTATCTGATGATATTGCACGTTCAAACAAAAAGTACCGATTGTGAGCATTGCTATTTGCACACAAGTATGTGTCATTCCCGATTGGCATTGTTAATGACTCCCCTAATATAGGAGTACTAATCCCTAGTATTTATTCATCTTCAATAATGTTTATTTGGTTAGTTTATTAATAACAGTAGGTTTCTAATCTAATAATTCCATGATAAATTGAGCAGGTCAGATGAGATATCTGCCAGTAAGCAGTCCGTTGAGGATTGCTTCGGCTGATTCCATTCTTTATGACGTCTAGAAGTTTCCTGGTACACAGTATGAGAGTTGTTATGAGACCTACTCTTTCTGTCTTCAGCCCTTTATGCCTCCAACCTCTTCTCCTTCTTAGAGGTGGGTCACTTTCGTCATGTCGTGTATGAGGTCCAGAAAGAATACGTGGAAATCTCGACGGTGATGGCATTCCTGAAACTATGCAAACAATTTATCATTTGTGAAACTACGTAATATTCTCGTCACACCCTGCCTGCCGTTTTGATGAAGCCGCTGCCCAAACGCCATTCGCCCTGGTCTTGTCATTATCAGTTGCCTACTCCAGAAATCGAGCATCCAAGATCGTCCTGATCAGCCTCCGGTTGCCTGCCGAGGCGATTGTCTGTCCCACAATAGGTCCAATGAACTCTTTGAGATCCGATTCTTCCGTATCCGCTGCTGTGCCATTGACGCCATTGACACCTGGCTCGCCATGCTGCGATAGAGACGCGACGGCCTGGACAATGCCCTGTACTAGCATCTCGTAATCCATAGTTCCTTCAGCCTTTTCCTTGAGAGGCTGCAGGATGGCCGAATCAAAGCTCTTGAGGTTTCGGAGGACAAGGACTCGAATGGCTTCAGGGCCGCCAGCCTCGAGGAGACCGTGGATGGCGCCGTAGAGGACGGCCGGGGGTTTGGTGGGGTCGAGGAAGTACTTCAGACACGTCCGCGTGAGCTTTGGCCGGAGGAGAGTATTGGAAGCCGAATACTTTCGGGCGATTCGTCCAACCAGTGAAGCGGCAAGCTGTCGCAGGTCATACTGCTCCCGGATGGCATCCGTTCCCTCGTCGGTACCGAGTTTTCGGGCCATGAGGCATGTGAGGGCCGGCGCGGAGAGCGGGCTGGCATAAGGATCCAGGAAGAGGCTTTTGTTTTCGATCAGGGCATTGGTCAACTCCATCATTTGCTTGAGCGTAAAGGTATCGTCAAGGTGGTGTGTAACGCGATCCATGATAAAGTTGATGAAGTAGGGGATGAGCTGATGCAGACCGGGGTCGTCTCTCACAGAGCCAAGAGCGGCTTGGCGTAACCGTACGACCTCCTCATCGGGGTTGTCGTCGAGGATGGCGGCCTGGATCTTATCAAAGTAAAGGATGAGCTCCTTGCTCACGATATGCTTGATAGAGGGCTTCATGGTGACATTGTCGTTGCCAGCCAGGGCGGACAGTGCAGGGTTAGCACCGGGACCCTTGGGTAGGAGCTCTTGCGATCGTGATTCGGAGGTAGTTGGATTCTGGGGGATCGAGGGCTGAACACCTTCAATGGCGAGCCAATGCGCTGGAGGAGCAGGTTAGCGCTGCGGACTACACGAAGAGGTCAGAAGTCAACGTACCGGTGAAGCTCATGTCGCGCGGGACCTTGGGCAGGGGCGCATTGATGAGCTTTTCAAAGTCGACCTCCTCGTCTTCGATGTAGAAGAGGGGTTGGCCTGGTCCGAGGCTCGCCTCCCCATAGCGCAAGGGCCGTGTCGAATCGTATCCGTAGAGTGGCTCAACATCGAGAGCCTTGAGGGCGAGGGAGATGTCGTTGACGGTCAGGGTGGTGCGGCGGGAGGCGCGCATGAAGCGCAGAGCCTCGACAATGACCTGGCCGATGCGGTATTCGACATCCTGCGTCAGGGACTTGAGGGCCTCGTCGTTGAGGGATCCGATGCCGACCGATTCAGCGACGTCCTTGACATTGTCTGGGTTCCAGAGCAGCTTGGGCGTTTCGGCCGCCATGGCGCTGGCGGGTAGAGGGCGAAGGATGGAGGAGGTGCTTCTAGTGGCCGTGGCCGTGATCGGGATGGTCGTCGCGGAGGCGCGCTCGGGGTGGTGTTGCGGTGACGATGGTGGTAAGGTTGAGGTTTCGACGGATGGGATTGGCGGAGACCGAGACGAGGTTGGACAAGGCTGAAAGCGTCGGCCTGGCGTTCCACTGGAGCTCAGCGCGGGGTGCGCGCCACAGCGCTGGCTACAGTGGGGGTCGGACGCTGGGCTGAGGCGTCCACTGAAGCGCGTCGTGGCGCAGCCCTGCCACCTGCTGAACGACGAATGCTCATTCTGGAACAACAATATTGCGTTTTCATTGTTGCCAAGTGTTCATGATAATGGAGAGGATCTTATCACTGACCACTCTGAGCAGAAATCAACATGCGATGTAATGTTTCAGAAGATCTTTGTGTGAACGTATTCGTAAAGAGATCGACCAACAATTCCCTTGATGGCTCCGCGTTTGTCAACCGCCAAGACACTGAAGATTGACGTCAGGATTCTAAATTGGGCCTTTGACTGAAATGAATGGATCGGTCAGCCATGCATACTTTTATCTCTCCTAGTTTTATTTAGGCTTATCCAACCGAATTGTGCTTGGGAATCCTCCCTCAAACGTGCAATGTGGAGCAGTGTGGGCCTCCATAAATACGCCCAAGCAATACGGCGTATATATCCGCGTATAGCAGTCAGTTTCCCCCAACAACACGTCAGATATTTAACATCCTGCTGCAACTGGCTGAATGGGAAGAAAGGGGACGCGTAATTTGAGGCTATGTATGACACTTGTCGTATCTGAACCCTTTAGAGGATTAGTCTAATACGAGAAATGGTTCAGATACTCTCCATAAGTAACCTGAGTTAGCCGCACAAGTTTCCTGCACTGATTTCCAACCATTCTCCTCCCAAAAAGCGATCAGAACCAAGACGATCTCCACCCGTCTGCTACATCCTTAATACAGATATATCTACTATCTACTCTACCCCTACCTTTTGGAATCCCCCACAAGGAATTTTCTTAGCTCCACCACAACAGACCGATATCACGATGGACCGGATAAAGGCCTTCTTCAATAGCCACTGGTTCGATGCGCACCACAAGACGAGAGTGCATATTGGCCAAATCGTTCTCGTTATCCTCATCATTGGTCTTTCTGGCGCTCGAGTTGCCACCAAGCCGAGCGGCATACCCACAAGCAGATCTGATACGATCGCCATCACCATGGTACGGACCCAACACTATCTCATGGGCCCTGAAGCCTTTTCGTCCGGAAAACTAACACTGGACCCCCACAGAGTGTCAAAACCCTGGTCATTCTCACATATCAGCTCGTGACTGAGCACGTCTCGAACTTCAAGAAGTGGGGAAGTCTAAAAGCATATGCTATCCTCAACACACTTGAGATCCTCTTCTGGTTTGTTGTCGTCATCCTCGCATTTATGGGGATCAGCACGTTTTGTCAAGGTACCAACTGTGCCATGATCTGGCTTGTCGCCCTGGTCGGCTTCCTCCTAACGTATGTTTTCTCACTCCATTCTAATGTGACCCATTGAGGAACTGACCTGATTGCCGGGGTTTAGTGCCGCTGCATTCTGGACCTCTGTTGCTTCGTGGCTCAACTTCCGCTACTTCAAGAACTATGGTATCCACCGCGGATCATCCCTTCCTCGACAAAGACCACAGGACCCCTATAGAATGGATGACTCTTCAATCTCGAACCAATCTCAGATGAAGTAAGTTAAGGGGAGACGATCGATCCGGGTCAGGATCGTTGGAACCCCGGCTTTGAGACTCCAAGTCAAAACGCAGCCTGGAAATGTTCGAAAGAGTTCAAGAGAAATTACAGCAAGGGTGGTTGGGACGGATTCTTTTTGGAACGGAGTGTATCAACTCTAGTCAGGGATTAGATCATGAAGAAATGACATACGTAGGTGAGAATATATATCCTAAAAGTTTAAAACACCACGTCCACTTATTCCAAAGAAGCAAGCCTTGGAAATAGCCGCAATGAATTCCCCCAAAGTTTAGAACAACCCCAAAAGTAACATTCCAGGTCATACTTTCGGCGTGAGCTCGTTGCCTAAAGGCATGAGTAAGAGTACATGTATAGCGGAGGATAATAGCTTGAGGTGCTGACGCCCAGATGACAACTGAACCATCGCACTAATTGCATGGAAGGAATGTTGCGGAGTCCGATTCCTGTGGGAATTGGCAGCCATATGCCTCCATGGCGTTGTCGAATAAAATTTAGCAAAGAGTAGGATTGTTGCTTTTAAAGTTTGCGAGACTAATCTACTATTGAACATCCACGACTAAGGTGCTCTATCTATGTTCCGGAACAAGCAATATCCCCTGCGGGCGCATACGAAGAGAGGGTCCAACAATCCGAATTGTGACGCTGATAGAAAGCATGATCTAAGCCCGTGGTACCGATATTGTGGCTGGTTTGTGTACGAAAAAGAGAGAAGGAATAACAGTATATGACTAGGGGGGGATCGATATCGTGGAGGAGCTACTTCTCCATACTCTTTAGCCTCGATATCTAAAAATGGAACCCCTGAGATCTAACAAACCGGTCACCCCGACCTTGTCCAGGGAAATTTGCCGTAGTTGATTTACTTCTTGTTGTAGTATTTAAATCAACGATGGATATTGGTGTCGTTTCTATTTAACATCATGAGGCTTCATCAAATACTAACTTATGATGTTCCGTCAGCCTATCGCAAAGTTTATCTCTATCTTTCCATTCGCGAATGCTATCAGCAAGTTCGCAACCAGTCTGGACCAGTAAGTCCCAGAGAGTATCTTCAACATCAAATCCAAAGAGTTTCTCCAAGTCGGATTTCGGCCCAAGCAGTCTCAATCTTGACTTCCCATCCACTGCGATCAAATCTCCCTCGTCGACTAGATGGCCGGCATTCATCTTCGGTGTGTTGGAGTGAAGAAAAGCAGGACGGACCGTCCCGCTGGAGCTTTTTTGACTCTGAGCCAAGTCGTCCAGGGGGAGGTATTGGACTATCGCCGTCCCTTTCTGCATCTCGCCATCATATCTGCCGACACTCATCGGGGGAGTCTTCACCCTGTAATGCATTTCATTCAAGGCCACGGCGGCTGCCATGAATGTCTCCTTGTCGCCTTGTCCCAGTGCTCCCTGGCTCAAGAGTGGGTAGAAAATCTTTGGCCCAAACATATTGTAGTATGTCGCTAAGAGAAGGGACGCGAGATGTGTTTCCTTGTTGATAACAAGTTGGCCTGACTCGCTAGATGCTGGCGGCAATTTCTCTGGGAAATGTGACAATCCAGCGATATCCCAGAACCGAGGCGACTCCGTCGCACCCCAGAAGTCGGGCCAGGTGATGAGCCCGTGAGAAAGATACGGTTCCGCCTCGAATATGTTTTTGTTGGGTTCAACCAAGGGAATGCTGTCGCTGTCGAGTAGCAAAACCTCGGAGAAAGAGGAGAGCAGCAGCGCGGCGGCCTTGAGCTGGTAATGTTCGATCTCCAACCCTTGGGGATTTTGTGGGCTGCCCTGGGCTTTGAACTGCGACAGCACCACGCATTTCGCGTTCAACTTGGGCAAATATCCACCACAAATCTCTGCCTCATACTCACTCTCGTTGGGAACGAATACTTCAACCGGTAGCTCGCTGCCGGTTCGTCGGAGCATGTGTATGCCAATGACAGCAGGACCAAAATACTCCCCTCCACCAACCATCACAATACCACGGCCATGGAATAGTTGGTTGTCGCCATTCGTCTTCAATGCTTCCAGCTCAGCTACAAATTGCGCATGGGACAGGCGTAGATGCTCTATGTCAGCATCGTCGGCGCGAGTAAGGTCGCGGTATGGTTTTCGTGGGTTGTTCGGCTTGGATGGTTTACTCGTCGATGCGCCGCCGACGAGCTTAATTGGAGACTCCAATATGGGGCGGGCATCAAAAATGATCTGGCTCCATTTCTGCCAAAATTCACCGATTGTGTTGGACGACTGAGATGCGTGTGGTTTATCTTCTGCTGCACCGGTTGCGCTTTGCGACTGAGATTGTGGGGAGCTCGACGATGGGAGCTTGGCACCCAGACTAGCCAGACTGGGGCCGTTTGATCGATAAAGATAAAGGAACAATATAATCGCCGGAAGCAGAAAAGCCAGCCATCGCAGAGCTAATCGCATTTCTGTCGGATTGTATGTAGGAGTGCTGCGGTTGGAGAGAAGACAGATCATTTAGGCCATGAAGCAACGGAAAGGTGCTTAGGCTCATCCACGCGTTCTATTCCCTGATCGGGTTAGTCACAGTGCACGTGTATCGCAATCAAAGGTGAGAATGTTTCGCAAGTTATAGGGGTGTGACGATCGAATTGACGCGAACGAGGGTCCCTGGTCCTTGACCTTAAGTTATGTAAGTGGGCTTATGTACTACTTACACAGTTGCTTTCCGAGCGAAGCCAACACATTTCGCCATTGCTGAGTACCATCCTCCGGTTCACAGATATCGTAAGCATGTATGAGCATCATTCTACAAAGATAGTCGGCTAACACTGCCTGAAGAAATTTCTGCTCTGAGATGATAAATCGAATTTAAAAAAGAATAAACTAGATGCTTTCTTTCATCGACGATGCATTGATAGACAAGAATGGAATAATAAAGCAAATAATACCCTAATTGCAATATGTGCCGTAATGTACTATGCATACTTGCCAAAGTCTTGAGGTGACTGCGGTAAACCCCTCAGATCAACAGTACATGAGCTCTTTCTCCTTTGTCATCTAAACCGAAGGAGGGGGGCCACCAGGACCACCAGGACCACCGGGGCCACCACCACCACCAGAGTTGGGGTTTTCCACGCCACCACCTTCGTAGTAGGTCGCTGCTGCGCTGACATTGCTAATCAGGGATGAATTGACTCCGAAGCTCAGCCAGGCGAGGAGACCGTCAGCAAGAGAATCGCCGAGAAGCACGTATTGGACAAACGGATCACTCGTCTCGGCAATGGCCTCCAAGATAAAATCATCGGCGTTGACAGTAAGGGCTTGGGTGTTTGTCGTATAAGGGCTCAGATCCTCGACATCGTTGATGAGGTCTTGGTCAAAGAATATCTGACCCACGTGGCTAGCGGTGGTAGACCTGATAGTACCGTTGGCGAGGGGTGTAGCATTGACGTGCAACATGACGTGGATGTGAGTGGTGCGTCCCGTGTAGTGGCCAGGGAAAAGCGTCTCGAACTGCCCTACCCCATCTTCGTCCGTCTTCACTGCGCCCCGCATGAAGGTGGTGTTGAGATTTTCTGGGGCGCTCTCGTAGTCACCGCCAGAGCTGACACCAGAGTAGACTCCAGTAGAGTTGCAGTCTATTCAAAAAGATTCATCAGTATCTTGACTCGAGTGATGTAACATGGCCAAAGAAGTTGGCGTTTACTTACGCCAGATCTCGAGGTATGCGCCAGTGACGGGATCACAGGTTTCGATGTCGAGAACTTGCAAGTCGAGTGTCAAGTCTACACCGGGCTCGCTCTCGACAATGTTCTTACGGACATATTCTCCCGACACATCTTCGCGGTGAGACAATCATCAGCAGCTGCTTGACAGAAAAGCATGATATTTTCCACCTACAGTATGGTCCTTCGATGGACTCAGGAGACAAAACACACGAGTTGTTAGATGCGAACAATGTCGATTCTGGAGTCTCAAGAGTGTACTCAGTGTCTGAATGATGAGAAACATTAAGAAGACCGGCCAAATCACGATCTAATTTCCAATATCAGCAAAAGTAACTTCGAAAATAGGTAGCGGAGATGCCATCTAAGCCATCATACCTTTCAGGTTGTTTCTCTTCATCAAGTGAGTGGCTAAGGCGGCACGTCGCTCGACAGAGCGTTTCTCCAAACCTCTGGCACGGATCTTCTCTGCGCAGTGGCTCAAATCCTTCTTAGTATGCTGCAATGCGGCAGTGCGTTCGGCCAACTCCTGATGATGATCATGTCCAGGGTGTGCAGACACCATGGAAGCTGCAACAGCAGCTGCAACGAGGAAGTCAAAACGCATGGTTGACGGAGGTAGTCGGTGATAGATGAGGTTGTCAAGAAAGTGGTGGATCTAGAAGTCAATGTCCAAGGTGTGCTGGTGTCGATACAGTCTCACAACTCCATCAACTTCAACATGCTTTATATAATCGACGCCAGGTAAAATCCCATACTATATCGGATTCGACATCATCTCTCGACGTCATGATCCCCTTGCTACATCCCAAACAAGAGCGGAAGGTCGCAACATCCCACATACCGACGAATTTACTAGTTAGGCAACTGTGGCTCATGCTAACCCTGCTCCCACTATCCGACGATTCATGCCAAGACTCAATCTGAGGCTTTGTCTGCCATGTGAAAAAATATTTCAAAGCAAAAGTTCCATGCTTTGGTACACGCCAAGCGTACAAGAGCCAGGAATACTAATACTGCGACAGCAATTGGTCAATGGGCATGAGTAGACAGGCCTCGGGTTGTGGGGGTGCTTTATCTAGGCGGGGCATTTGTTTAAAATGGCAAAAGTGCCGGGGCATTGTAACCTCGGAAAAGGCAGGTTCACAGACCGCTACGGCAGACAAGCAAAACACCGATCAGAGAGATTCGTTTGCTGTCCTTGGAAAATTACACATGCCCCAAATTCATTCGTTTGGTAGATTCATTGACTGATGACGCGGCCTTTGGCTCGTGAAACGAGAACAAGGGGGTGCAAGGCATGTAGTTTCCGCAATTGGCAGGTTCACAGTTGATCAGGATCCGACGTAGCATTCGAGACGGGAAAAAATCTCAAAAACGACATTCCGACAGGAAACAAACCGTTTTAGAAGGAGGTGATGGTCTCAGTTTCATAAGGCAGCTACATATCAATATGGGATATAGTCCAAGGTAGGCTTCTCTTAGAAGTAGCTATAAAGACTCTTATACATTTTTTAGAGATGAATATGGGCTATAAGTGTCTGGATGATAGGGTATAGCTCATAGCATGTAGCTACTCACAGTGGACTGGCTCCGGGTTCTTGAGTGAAAGAATAGCTGGTTTCCCAAATTTAGGCTGTGGACAAGGGGCTGGATCTGTCCTCGGAGGAAGGGCAAGCGAGATTGTTACTATTAAGGTTTCAACTCCGTGGCCCGTTGAGTAAACAGGGTCAATGCAAGGTCCGGGCGATGAGGTTGCATTAGTGGACCGGGGAGTTGTGGCAAATAAGGAGCCAAGGGACGGAATTGATCCCCTACGTTTCTTCCTTCCGGGAATTAAAGTAGTTTTGTGTCAAGATCGGAGGTACAGTACCCTCCGCCGATCTCTCTGTAAGCCTGTAGAATCTAGAATCCAGGAGTATGCAGTCTCCGTCTAAGGGCAATATCGGTATATATTATCTTGGCTTTACCAGAGAACAATAAGAGTAAATGTGGAATAAAGCAGACAAAGCTTCGGTTAAGATAATTAAAACAGATAATGACGCATTAGAAAACTATGCCGCGAGTAAAATACATTCCGTTGGTGCCTGAGCGTCACAGTCCACGACTTGGCGCATTCGCGGGCCGTGTGCCGCGGCAAAGCTCATGTCACATCATGGAAACTGTACCCATATTTTGCCGTGGTGTCTCACGTATTTTTCCACATCCCCGCTTGCATTGACCTCGATGGTGTGCTCTTGTAGCTTCTAGGGGTGAGTGGATGGAAAATTACGTATTTAATCCCTTCTGTCCTGATTAGGTGCTGCTCGGGATCCCGTGGGGGCAAGCATAACATGTGGAGAGGGGGCCATCCATGATGTCAAACAACAAACGTAAATGCCGGGGGTGGTTAATGACCCAGGGTCTCGTACGATCCATACAACAACTACATCAAATGGATAATCACTCTCACACTTCCGAGATCTCACAATTCTTGGTTATCGACACAGTTCAGTTACCTAGGTCAAATATCTACCATTACTAGACGTGACCGACGTCCTGATCAACTTTATTCAGGGATCTCGAACGGTCGACCTACCTTTACCCTATACCTTAAAATCTAACTGTCCCGCCACATCTGACAAATTTAGGAAACGTCAGTTGTACAGCCTAGTCGAGTTGTCGAGTACTAGTAATGGATCGTAAGTTGCATGCTTAGGTCGAGGCATCTTTTAGGTGGACCTATATCAGAAACGATTCATCCGGAGCTCTAAATGAAGAAAGAAGAGAAACAACAATTCGGCTAGCTATGAAGCCGTGCAAGTATTTCTTTGTCCTAACCATGTTCAATATTATCAGATAGATTAATAGTAATAGCAATCTTTGTTAAATCATCCTTTACGACACCTCTCCGCAGTTAACTCAAGAGCTAGTCAATTTCACTATCTAGCCGTAAAAATATGTTTATAAACAACAGTAGCCAGCCCAGTAAGCTCCTATACTTCTTAACAAAAAAACCAAGTATATTGATTGGCTTTTACTCTAGCCACTAGGAGCAAGAGGGGATCGAGCACGAGCAGGAATCTTAGAGCAAATCGTTACCTACACCCGCTACACCGGACTCTTTGGGACCAAACCGCCCAAGATTAGCACTGCAGCTGAATATCGGCTATGAGGCACCCGAAGAATGATAGAAAGCCGACCTGGACTGGCAGGAGATGGTACAGTAGCTCATATCCATTTCGAAGGCATGTAAGAAGTACATTGATCGCAAGGGAGAAAGTGGCTAGTAAGGTAATGGAAAGACCGATAACACCGGCACCTGCTATCGCGACACGAGGTTGAGCCATTGTGCTTGGTAATTTATTGATGATAGACTAATGCCTTATTCGAGAGGAAGAGAATTTTTTTTGAATGATGAAGCTCATTTTCAGAGGGAGGAGAAGGCTATCAAGCAACGGCAGACGGACGGAAAGACAACCGAACTGGGGATGGTCGGAAAGCCAAGCCGTTATCAGACATATGGTCACTTGACATCCTAGATGTGGCTTATCTCTCGGAGGGAGATTTCTAATCATTCCGGGCGTCAACTTGACTAATCTCCCAATTGTTTAAAGTTGGTGTAGCCTGTCAACATTGTTCGCAGGCTCCCTTCCCCACAAGACAGGGATGAGCTGGTAATGTAGTTATCGGTAATTCAAATTAGTTTCCGATATTTATTGTGAGTGCCAAGGCGTCCGTCCGTAAACATGACGTCAGGACGTGTGAACTAACACTTTGAATTCCCGACTCCGACAATCGGGATCGGAAGCATGCTCCGATCAGTTAACAAGTCAACATCAATATTTAAAGAACCAGTGACCAGAAAGCAAATGTGGCGCTAGATGCATGGCTTGAAGGCGGCCTTGTACTCCGTAAAAGCATTGGGCTAGGAATCATGGATCTGGGACTTGAGAAGGCTCTAATTAACTTGGCAAGGAAGGAAAAAGTTGGGTGCAGGTTGGATGAATGTTTTACTGTGAATGAACGGATTCGAGGCCGATAATAAGTGAATACGCACGATTCCGCGAACCTTTGGGCCGCTGTAGGGTTAGGAGTGGACTATGAAGGCCGCAGATATAATTAGCTTCCTGGGAGACTGAAGAAGCCAGGGAGATATTTAATCACGAAAGCTAGTTGTTTGAATAGCTACACGATTTTTTTCCCCCATAGAACGATGCTAACACTAATAAAGACCATGGGAGCTAGGATGGTCGAGAACTCAAGGAACCGCGCCGCGAAAGCACAAGAGTGAGCGAGCCCGCAGAATGTCGCCCGGACTGAGAGATTGATACCGCCCCCAAATGATTCGGGACCTGCGCATGTCAGAGATTCTACTAGTCGACTCGATACTGGAAGGAATAAAGATTCGTAAGCTTCCAAACTAAGTTAGTTGATGCCAGCCCCCTAGAATTGTCGGAGGTCGGGACCCAATCCCGATTCCGGACCTGGGGTCATCACCGATTTATCATCGCTGCACGTCCCTCAAGTACACCCCAGTCTTTCCATTCGGCTATGTTTTGTTCCAATCTCGGCTGAAGAGTTTGATCGTGTTATCTTAAACGAGGTAGCTTAGGGAGAGAGTGTCACCGCCGGGTTGATGGCGGCACTCGGTGATTGACACAACTGCCAGGCTGGGAGCGTTTCTGAGCGGCCTATGAAGTAAGCCCCTGTGAACAAGAATACACAAAATGGGTGTCTATATGTATTGGCGTAACTGGTATCGATAGATGATCTCCGAAAGTAAATATGGTTGTCCTAGACCAGACGTATGCTGCCACCGTTTCTATCACCTTGTGTGCTTTTGCCAACTTTGATTGTTAAAACGGCGGTTAAAACAACAAAGTAGGCTAACTACAGCTTGATATAACCATATGTGAGACTCAAATTAGAGTTACCGAAGGTACCATCTCGCGGCGTCGCATCCCGGGCTCCATTCTCGAGAGCGGAATGGGCCTCCGGTCCTCCAAAGATGCAACTAGGGACCTTGGCTTATCTCCCCCCGTTTACATGAATTGGGTATCCAATACAAAACAAAGCCATTCCTGGCCTGATTTTAATTCAGCCCCAGATAAGGCTAAAGTCGTCAGCCCGGTTCGCACTAAGGGGTTCCCCGGATTCCGCCACCAAGTCCAGCCCATCCCCGCGCATGGTGCAGTCATTTTATACAACCATGTTGTTGGTAACTTGTGTGATATAGCCGAATAATATTGAGGGGGAATAGATAAGAGAAGTACATCCAGAATCATGTTTAAAAGCCCGTTCCCAATCTCAGTGCCAAATCACAATCCATCTCAACGTCCCAGGCAATTCTGGACTTGTTCAACCAACGTGACTCCTCCCCATTTTCAACCAGGAATATCTTTCACAAGCATTTTGTTTTTCAATCTGAGTCTTCACTACTCATCATTCAATACTTATCATGAAGAGGGAACGCACACCAAGGCCGACGATGGCATTCCCCACGGAAGTCCACCACGGAAAGGAGGGTGGGATCGAAGAAGATCCCGTCCGCCTTGCCGCAGTGACTTCATATACAGACGGCGATGTCGAACCTGCTGGCTCTAGGGCCCTTGGTCGAACGGAAACCCACCGAGGTATCAAATCTCGACATTCACAGATGATTGCAATTGGTGGCACCATCGGTACCGGTCTATTCGTTGGGACAGGTCAAGCTCTGGCCACCGCCGGCCCTGCGAACCTGTTCCTCGCCTACATCATCATCTGTTTCTTTGTTTATGGCATCGTAACTGCCACATCCGAAATCAGCTCATATCTGCCGACCCCTGGCTCTTCAATGGCCTCCAATGGTAGCCGCTATGTCTCGAAGAGCTTGGGATTTGCTATGGGGTACCTGTATTGGTACTCCTTTAGTATTCTCGTGGCATATGAAGTTACGGCTGCAGCTCTTGTCATCAACTACTGGCCGAATAGTATCCATATTGCAGTATGGATTACTATTATGCTGGCTGTTATAATTTTCTTGAATATGGCTCCAGTTGGCATATATGCCGAGTCTGAATTCTGGTTTGCATCGGTGAAGGTGTTCATGATTATTGGGCTACTTCTTCTTGCTGTCATTCTTGCTTTTGGGGGTGGCCCATCGGGCCAGCGACTTGGCTTCACCTATTGGAATAACCCCGGCCCGATGAATGAGTATCTTGTTGATGGCGCAGGCGGTCGATTCTGTTCATTCGTGTACGCTTTGACATTCTCGACATTTTCTTTTGCCTTCGGCCCGGAATTGATCGTTCTCACTGGAGGTGAGATGCGAGCACCGCGGAAGAATCTGCCTAGAGCCGCCAAGTCGTTTATCTGGAGGTTGATCTTCTTCTATGTCTTGGGAGCCCTGGCGATCGGTATCATTTGCAGGAGCGATGCCCCTGGCCTAACCAACGGTGGTTCGGGTGCGGCAGCATCACCTTGGGTAATTGGGATTAAGGAAGCCGGCATCAAAACGCTCGACAGTGTTATCAACGCGGGCATTATCCTCTCCGCCTGGTCTTCGGGGAATTCATTCCTTTATATGTCGAGTCGATCCCTTTATTCTCTCTCGAAAGTTGGTAACGCTCCAGCTATTTTTTCCCGATGCAACCGCTGGGGCGTCCCTATCTACGCCGTCCTCGCCAGTACTCTTTTCGCGCCATTGGCTTATCTCAACGTCGGATCATCAACAAGCCTGGTTTTCAATTGGCTTATCAACCTAACTACTACAGCAGGATTCAATTCCTGGATGTGCTGTTGTATCATCTTCTTGAGATTTCGAATGGCTTGTAAGGCCCAGGGTGTTACAAATGTCCCCTACCAGTCTGTCTTACAGCCTTACATTTCTTGGGCCTGTTTGGTCTTCTTTACGGCCATGCTACTTCTCAACGGCTTCGGTGTTTTCTTTCCAGGGAACTGGTCTGTTTCATCTTTCCTCACTTCCTACATTGGTCTTCCAATTTTTATCGTCATATACCTATCCCACCGTATTTACTCCTGGAACGAGTCTTGGGCAATTGAGCCCTCCAAGGTTGACTTGCACACTGGCCTGGATGAACTTCTGGCTTTGGAAGAAATGAGCTCCGAAGTAAATGTTGCTAGTAACGGGAAGCTCAGGAAGATATTGAGATCTTTGTGGGAATGAGGGATGATGTCCAGAGCTGTCGGCCCAGCTCAGGTGACGCAAGGCAACTCGGCCGCCCGAGGCACATGCACTTAAATCCGAGATAGTTACTTGACATGTTGAATATATGACCGACCTTACCTAATTAAGGAAACTGTGAGGCATTGTGTTTACATCGCCCAATAGGACGGGTGTGACGGGAACTTTCCGCGCCAACTTTCGTAACGAAGTTTGAGTGGGTTGCAATCCTTGTCCTGGTATCTAGACCTGATCGCTATGGTGAAGCTTCAGTCTAACTCAAAGGAGTGAGAAGTGTCCGGGTGGCAGCCCCACACACCACACCACACTACAGCCACCGGACCTTTACAACCTGATCCGGTCTGTTTTCAATCAAAAGTCATAAAGTTTGGCACAGAATACCTAGGATCTTGCTGATAAACGGCTGGCTAGTTGCCCTCTTTATTACTCGAGCAAAAAAATCTTTGCACTCCAAATTACTACCTGTTGCCAATATATAATGACCTCGCGCTCCAACATCACAGGCGTTCCCATCCTCATTCACGTTTAAATCCATTCTATTACAATCAACTTCTCTCAAATCAACCGACCATGTCTATCCAAAACACGTTTCAGAGGTTTGCAAGTAAGTCACCTGGAATATTTAGAAGTTGACTGCACTCTGACGCATAAGAAACAAGGCCCCAGTGAGAGGCGCGTCATCAGCCGCGAGGATCTCGGATTCTACCATGCCGTGGTTGTGGGGGCGGTCTATGAGTTCCCAAAAGAGGCTCTGGTCGATTCTCCCAGCACATTTTTCCAGCCCCTCAGGCGATGCATTGAGACATGCCCTCATTTATGCGTGGTCGTGAGGGATGCGCACACCGAGAAGCCGTTCTATGAACGCGTTCCTCACATCGACCTTGAAGACCACGTATCTATTGTCAAGAACAATTCGCCTAGCGAGGAGTTGCTTGCGATCGAAAATGCGCTAGCCGCAATTTTGGATGAGCCATTCCCCTCTGGTATTCCGTCCTGGAAGATTGTCATTCTACCTTTGCAATCATCGCGATGTTTTGTTGCCTTCGCCTTTTCCCATGCAATTGGTGATGGGCCAACTGGGGCTGCCTTTCATCGCAAATTCCTGACAGCATGCAAAGACTCCTCAAGAATGAACATACCAGCAATGCGGGTGGTGAAGACGCTGGATATGCAGCTGCCCAGTCCTTTCGATACTGCCGAAAGATTCCCAATTTCTTGGGTTTACCTTCTGGCACCGCTTATAATATCTTTGTTACCAACGCTTATTACAAAGTTCTTCGGTCTACAGGCGACCGCTTCTACCACCAACGCCAATACTTGGACTGGCTCCCTCATTTCGAACGACCCCCAAGGTTCTCGTAGCATGATTAAGGTGCGCGAGATTGATGCAGTTCATCTCGAAAAAGCTCTGGTCATGGCGAGAAAACATGATGCAAAGCTAACTGGAACGATGCACCAACTCATCGTCCGGGCACTGAGCAAGATTATCCCTAATCCCAACATTACCGACTTTGTCTCACAGACACCCATCAACATGCGTCGATCGATCGGCATATCGAATGAAGAGATGGGAAACTTCTTTTCAGGTAACTATGTGGTCTATCCGCGACTCGACAGCTCTACCCCCTTCTCCCAAGAAAACTGGGAAGGTGCCTGTGTAGCGACTCGAAAGCTGGCAGAGTCCGCCTCAACGCTGCAAGACCAACCCATTGGGTTGCTTAGATACTTGTCAAGCATCAGGAAGTGGACTCTTGAGAATTTGGGACGGGAGCGAGACTGCTCATTCGAGCTGAGCAACATTGGTACTGTCGATGGCAGTCAACGAGAGACTTCTAATGTCGACGAAACTCATCAAATCAGACTCATGAAGATGGTTTTCGCACAGCCAGGGCATATAACTGGTCCTCCACTCTGCTTCAACATTGTGAGTGTAAGGGGAGGAAGCTTGGTATATACCATAACGTGGCAAGTGGGTGCGCTGGGCGTTCCGGATGGCGATGAGGAGCGATTCGTTGACGACATTTGTTCTACACTGGCCAAAGACTTTGAGAACATACAGTAGTTTGAACTGAAAGGGGAACGAAGGAGAATATGTGGAATCAAGTCATCTTACCACTTCAATCCCCAAGAGCACCTTGCCCTGCAAGTGATGACATGTATCACGCATCTAGGAAACAAACGGCCTCTCATACGACTCATCCCTCAGCTCAAGCTTTAAGAATATGACTTGAATGAGAGATCTTTGAGTGTCTCTTATTATCTCCGGCTTACCCGTCAAGTGGGGGTCAAAAAAAATAGCTCACCAAAACCAACTTTCCTCACACACACACACATCAATGACCGGTTCAAAGCACTATGACACTCCAAAGAAAGCCCGGCTTCGAGGGGCACATGCATTTCTCAAGGCAAACGGCATTCCTTTTCAAAAGTCTGATCTTTTTGAATTTTTCCAATTTTCTAGACGGTCAGGAAATCGGATCCTAAATGCAGCCTCCGATCGCATGCGTCACAATCAGCCGGACCAGCCCGAAACTCGCGGACGCCCGAAAAAGCGCTCAGACGATGACCTCGATCAGCTGGAACAGATGTACGAAGACGAAGGCTTTGAGGCAAAGAGGCTCTCTTGGTCTGCTGCAGTCACGGAAGCTGGTATTGAGACAGATATAGCAACTCAAACGATCCGACGGGCAGCTCATACGAGATAGCTATTCAAGCGGATTGCCGCACAAGCTGAATATGCCAATGCAGCCGAAATGACACGCCCGCAGGCTTTCGCAGAGAAAGCTCTAGCCCATCGACCAGAGCCAGAAGACTGGGCTAACGTCTATTTCTCTGATGAGTGCCATTTCGGCTATGGCGACGAGCGCCCTGCTCTAATTGCCCGGAAGCCCGGTACCCGTACGGATCCTTCTAATCTCCAAGAGACGAAGCTGCCAGCTGACCGGGATCTCAAATGCTTACACGCTTGGGCTGCAATCGGCTTGGGGTTTAAGAGCCCGTTGGTCTGGTACGAGATTCCTTCCAATTCGAATGGTAAGATGACTCAAGAGATTTATATTAAAGAGATCTTAAAGCCTTACGTATGCAAGTGGCTAGATAAAGATCATACCTTCGTCTTGGAAGAAGACAGCAATAGCAGCCACGGGCCTAGTCAATCCAATCCCGTACGGACTTAGAAGGAAAAGGCCGGACTTTCTTTCTTCTTCAACTGCCCCCGTAGCCCGGATCTATCGCCAATTGAGAACTGCTAGAAGGTTCCAAAGCAATACATCCGTCAGTATCCACACTGGGATACTGATACCTTAAAGGAACTTGCAGAGGAAGGCTGGAGGCAATTAAAACAGCCAACTATTGATAAATGGATTAAATCAATGCCGCAACGGCTACGAGATGTAATTAAATTAGAGGGAAAACGAACAAGCTGGTAGATGCAGTCTTGGTGGGCCATTTTTTTTGACCCCCACTTGCCCGTGTCGTCAAGGGGCGTCTAACCCTGCTTATTCAGCCTTCACAAGCAGGCGGAGATTAAATGTGGTACTATTTCAAAGCTGTCCAATAAGCGACCCTGTAATTCGCTTCGACATCTCCGCTTCGGCCGTGATCACATCGTACTCTGCTAGATTCACACAACAGCATATTCTTTGGGTTTATTCTACGTCTCCTGCACCCAAGCCACAGCCCGCAGGCATCACTTCTATGTCACCTCAAGCTTTGGCCAATGACTTAGTCTCTCAACAGAGCCTGGGAGCTCTGCGAGGTGCATGCGAATTGTGCCACAGACATAAAGAAAAATGCATCTTGGAGCACGGGCAACAGGCTTGCCGCAAGTGCAGGGCACTTAAGACGGTATGTGTTCTTCGAAAGAAGAAACGTATGGGTCGACGCCCCGGCCCAGAACGGTTTCCACACGGGAGTTGTTCGATCCTCGAACTCAACCCTGAGACTCACGAACACCAAGAGACCGATAAATCAAAGGAAGGCTACCAATCGGCCAACTCACAGCCAATATATCATGATGCTGAACCAACTAATTGGGCCCCTCTTGCTCATAATTTCACGGAATACACTCTGAATAGCTCAATGTCCGAACCCTCCAGTCAGTGTCAATCACTCAAGGTTGCTCCTTTGACCGGGTGCTCATCCTATTCATACACCCTGAAAGCGCCCATTGAAGCATATCCTGGGCTTGGCTATGTACTGGCGACTAAAGAAGGTTTCTTTGACGCTCATCGACAATTTATGCTGGGACGAAGTTTTATCGACGAATATCAACACGCCGTTCAGCTGTTATTCACTCGGGCCCCACAGGCACTGGGGTTAGTCTACTCAGCTACTTTGCATTTGCTGAACCACCGAAAGGAGCGCCCCGGAGGAGTGGAAGGACCTGATGTGTCCCTTGGATCTCAATGTCTTGGATGGCTTATCCACGGATCATCGCGCATAAAAGAGATGGAAGATGCTGCGGTTGTCCTCATGATGGGACAAACCCTAATGGTTTACAACACGTTGCTTCCATCCCCCTCGTCGCGGACCATTATACGCGGTGCATTATTGAGCACTATGAACTGGTACCCGACTCTATTACAACAACCTAACCTTGATCCAATCACTCTCACGCCGATTCTGTTGGACACTGTCGATTGTTTGATCCGACGACAGACGCCAATTGTCCGGTTTCCAACAGCCGGAAGGTTAATCGTTGACAGACTCATAGGGCTCTGTTCGACACTGCTACCGCTTCTTTTCGACTTGTGTGACCAGAGCCACCAGGCCAAGATAAAAGCATCAACGTTGCCTCTCGCAGGTTCTAATAGCGACCCGTACATTGACCTAGAGCGCAAAATAAGTTCGTGGACGCCTAGATTGTCACCAGACCTTTTTCTCAAGTATCAAGCCTCAGAGATTGCAGCTATGTCAGCTCAAGCTCGATCGTACCGTACCGCGGCTTTACTTATCATCCACCGTTTGCGTTTTCCTTTGGGAACCGAGGACAGTGTTGGTTATAGCTACGCTGAGAGTATATTGAATGAATTGTCTTTCATGAAGCACTGGCCTATTGATGGGGCAACGGGTCTTGGATTGGATTTCCCGCTTATGGTTGCCATGCTGGAGATACCAAGCTCTGCAATGGAATTGTTTAGAGCTTTTGACACGCTGAGATACCAGAGACATCTCTCAGAAAGCTTCATAGAGTTTGTGGGTTCAATTAGGAAAGCATATGATGAAGGATATGGAGGGCTATGGCTTGACCTGGTTACGGATGAAGTATTGGATCTAATGATTCCTTAGAACTCAGAAGTTACTTAACTGTATCTTCAGCTATTTAATGGAATAAATTTAGTTTTCAAGAATTTCGACCCTACCGGTGCAACTGCGTCCATGAGCGCTGAGAACATCATGGGCTGGTAACTGATCTGGTCAGACGGGCACTCATGATGACCCAAAAGCTGTTCGACTGCGCCGGACTGGGTTTACCCCTCTACTTCCTCCAAATCTGCCCCGAACAACATTGGCGACGCCATGACTGGAGCCATCCTTAAATCCTTTAAAAGAAGACGCAAAAATCTTTTTCTCTCTTGGGCTTCCTGTCATCTTGATTTCTTAATTCGGGGGACTTAATAACGTGCCATGGTGCATGCCTGTCAGGATCTTGGGCTAGAGGGCTGCATATTGAACTTGACTTGGAGACACACATATTTCGTAATCTAGTGCATCGCGGTGACACAAAGCTCATTAGCGTGCCCTGGAGTATTCACAGACTCTACGAGGGGATGGAGGATCTTGTTCATTTTGTAGCAGACTGAACTGGATGAAGTAATATATGAACGTGGATTCAAGCGAGAAAATATCTGGTTAGCTGCGCAATCCATGTATCGTGGATTTTGGATGCAAATTGTATCCCAATGTGAAAGGAATAATAACAGCTGAGACAGTACATTTACGAACGTGGACCCTGCCGAGCCCTAAGCTCTTCCAACCCTTTGAGCAGCTTTAACATTAGAGGCGTCGCTACTGCTCCGTATCGCTGGTTCAAGGGGGAAAACAGTTTTCTCAGGCGTAACCCCATCATACAGGTTGTCCCACCGTGGTTGTAGCACCTCTGGCGTCTCCCAAGCAAGCTCAGGGTCCCGGAGCCAAAGGCGGACGAGGTGCCGTCTAAGCAACAGAATCGAGTCAGCGTCTTAGCATCCAGTTAAGTGTAATTTATCAACATACTGCTTATCGGGCGAGTCTTTGAACCCTCCGCGAGCGTGGAATATGCTCAAGTTGTTCACGAACTGAATATCCCCCTTGTGGAAGTCTAGCGAAGCCGCATACTTCTCGGCCAGGAAGTGCAAAGTATCCAGAGCCTCTGCTTGGGCCTCGGTTATGGGAGGGATGTCCTCAGATCGGGGGAGGCCCCAATAGCCCGTGAATTGACGACGTGCGTACTGGATGATAAGACGTTCAGGGGTCTCAGTCGTGGCAGGCTGATGGTGCACCAGTGGCCTCAGCGTAAACCTCTTTCCAGCTCTGCCAAATCTACTCCCGCTGTCAGTTTGTGCTCTTATTACCTCTTCCATTCCCAAAATGACTCACTCATCAGAGGCCCATGGCTCTGCCAACGTTCGGATGAGGTCAGGTCTCGTGGCGGCTAGCTCATTGTACACATGCCAACTGCTGGAAAGGTAACTCTGCCCACCTTCTGCCGCTTCACCGAGGGCAAACAGAGCAATGACATCGCCAGCGTCGGTATGGAAGACCTGCTTCTCTGCAGTATATGCAGGGGCACCAATACGGTTGGCATCAACCTCTCTGCTGATGTCCTTGATGTGGGAGATGACAACGTCCGCAGGTTTTCCTTGCCACAAGTGGTCTTGGCGGCCGCGGACAGGTGCAATGTGAGAAGCCAATCCGGCATAGACAATGATGTTCTCTTCCCTGGTGTACTTGTCTACTGGCACACCACGAACGACCTTGAAGCCATGGCCTTGATGAATTTCTCGGGAAATGGCGCGAAGGGTGTCGTGGAGCTTTGGCAACACGAACGTCTCTTGGTTGATTTGACCCAGGGGCACATTTAGAGCTAGTATCACGTTAATAATTAAATAGCGCCCATTTCGGAAATGTTGCACAGCTAACCCTTGAAATTACGGAGGGCTTCATCGAGTTCCTTGAGATCAACCTCAGTTAAGTGGTAGTCCCAGTCGTATGACTTGGCCAAGTTCCTGCCATCCCACACCAAGTCTGAGATCAGTTTCTCGGGGAAGCCAACCGGGAGAGTTTTTTCCAGCTTTTCGGTTTCCTGGCGTCGCTTAACGCGAGCAACATAAGTCTCGTAGTTTGGGGTGTAAGCAATGTCGGGCTGGCCGACGGGCCCGACTGGAACTGGGGGTTGGACTGTTGCGGCTGCCATTGGGAAGGTCGTTAGATCAACTTATGGAGTTTTCCGTGTGTAAAAAAGGGTCAAAGTTGAGTTTCAAAGACGGCCGACAAATGACCGTTATTTTATACTATAATATTCGCTGGACATGAGATCGTCATGCTCCTTCTCCGCAATGTTGCAATGTGGGATGCATATCGCTCTGAGGATTTGTTGCTCAGCAGGTGTAAAAGAATGGATCTCATTTGTTGCCTCATGTGTGGTCGATGTCGTCATCTCCTCTCATCATGCTGTGATCACGTCGAATGCTACCCAATAACCCCGGCAGATCTATGGGTCAGCAAGACGATCCACGCTGGCTTGGGGTCGTATTACAGACGGGGTGTAAATTCAAAAATAAAAAAAGATTATAGACTGTACAAATAAAACCGAAGATGAAATAATAACATTCTGCGAGGTGCAGTACAAGGGCTCGGCAGGAGTGGTACAACCGGAGAGCGAGCCCAGAAACGATCAATGTCGGATTGCCTAACGCATGAAAATAACCGACGCAGGTATCTTTACAATCTGTTAGGAGATCCAGAGGCATGGGCTTGGTGAACAACCTGCCTTGGTTTGTGTTTCTAGCTCTGAAAAGAGGACTAATCTAAATTCTGTCTGCTCCCTCAAGATGCGCAAGTTGCCGGCACAATATAGTCCCTAGTTGTGTATCTGTATATAATGGTTGCAGGGCTTGCTGGTTCGGCAAAAGAGAACAATCCGCATGATCAGGAGGACCCCCACCAATCGCTTCTATTTCCCAACCAAGCCCCAAGTGTCATGGAAATGTGGACGACATTCCAGCGCGGTTCATTTCCAAAACACACAAAGTTCTGTGCCAGGGTGTCGAAGAGAGAAGAAAACGCTCGCACGGCTTTCGTAGAGCCTCGACCCTCCACAAGTTCCTGGAGCTGGGCAAGTTCGTCTGTTGTCAAATGCTGCTTGATATAACTCTCCACCTCTCGGGGGTTCCTCCACCATTGAAGGTCCTCCTTCTTTTCAGCATACTCATGCAGGACTAACTTGCACACCTCTGCCATTGCTTCCTTGTCGGCGGGGTAGTCTTGCTCGTGTAGTCGCTCTATGTATCCCTGATTTCGGAAATCCAATCTCGCCTGAGCAATAGACATCAAGAAGTTATGGTCGTTAAGGTACTTGGAGTGGTTGAACATGCGATCCAATCGACCTTGATCTGAAAGGTTTGGCTCTTGCGGATTTTTTATCTTCCTCCACAGAGAGACGGCGTGATATGTGCATGCCCAATAGAGACAGCCAGCGACGGTGAGTAGTCCATCCCCAAGGTACGGAACTATATCTGACGGTGTATCATATATCCGTACCAGGCGGTCTGTATCGAGCCAAAGTTGTTGACTTAATATGGGTGGGGTATGAAAGTCCTGGAGTAGAGAATTCCCGCCAGTTTCGGATTGGTTTGGGGGTAGCCATGGCTCCGGCAGCGTCTCGCGCGTCAAGGGCAGAGCAACCAGCGAAGTTGGCTCGCCATCTTGAGAAGAACCAACTTCCTCCACTGGACTTTGATCAACAGTTTGCACGCCAGCAATTGAGACTGCTTCTGAAATGGCATCTTTGAGCTCCTGCTCCCGACGTCCGCTGGTCGAGGCTACCGTACTGATTTTCTGAATGGCATCTTTCAGCCTCTGGTTTTCTTCCTGGAGGCTCTGGAACTTGGAGTTATGTCGCTTCCTATATTCCCGCTGGGCCACTCTGCCACGTTCGCGTTTGGACTAGGGCGAGGAAATTAGCAACATTGGCCGGATGCTGATTGCAGTTGTGGGTGGGCGCTTGACCAGAAATCAACAGTGGATATTTGCACGGCAGGGATACTCACCGGTTGGACGGCATTTTTGTCACGACGTCCGGTTGGCGGCGACATTGCTTAGAATTGACTAAAGAAGGAGCGGCAGGTGAATAACGTTATTCTGTATGCCAGGAGGGAAGTTGAATGTTGAAAGGGGCAATGCACTGGATAACGTTATAGAAACGCTTGGTCGATAACGTTATGTCTCGAGTCGTGATTAATAATTCAACGCTAGGCCTCACATGGCACCGTGATTATTCATCCTACGATATGGACCACCAAGACGAGGACGAAGACGTTACGGAAACCCGACTATGAATCATGGGAAGCATGAGGCATTGGATGATCCTAAAGAGTAATGTGGGTTATCTACGATGTGTTCTGGGTGGCTGGAAACGGAACCTCGGAAGAGATAGGAACCAAAACCAGGGGTCCCAGGAGCCATTAATAAACATGAGCGTATGTATCATATAAGAGCCTTGAAGATTCTCAAATCGAGTTCTTTTGAACAAATCAGAGCTAAAAGAATACCTCCATCAATATCTCCAATATCGATCCCTCGCATCCCCCAAAGAAAATGGCGTCCAAGTCCAAGATCAACAGTATACACCAGACCACATATCCGGCCATCTCTCCAAAGCGTCCGGAGCTGTCAACCCAGGGGAAGAATGCCTTGATCACTGGGGGCGCCTCCGGGATAGGTGCAGCCATCGCCCAGTCCTTCGCAAAGTCTGGCATCACCAATCTGGCCATACTGGGAAGAACGGAAAAGTCTCTTCTAGAGCAAAAGACCCAAATTCAGATTTTGAGTCCCGAGACCACTGTGTGGACCTATGTCGTGGATGTTGTCGATGCTAAGGCTACACATGCGGCTGTGAAATCATTCGCTACTTCTATTGACGGCAACATCGACATTCTCATCGCCAACGCTGGGTACATGTCTTCCTTGAACTCCATTGCCGACTCGGACCCAGAAGATTGGTGGCAAGGCTTCGACATTACGGTCCGGGGAAACTTCAATCTACTTCAAGCATTTCATAAATTCGCTTCTGGGCGGGCAACCGTCATCCACATCTCCAGTTCGGCGATCCATATCCCTTTCATGGAAGGCTACTCGAGCTATCGGGCTTCCAAGATTGCCGCCTACAAGCTGTTCGAGTATTACGAAGAGGAAAATCCAAGCTTCACAGTCATCCATATCCACCCTGGTCTCATCGCTGGAACTGCTATGACGAAGAAATTTGGTGCAACTGTTGAGAAGTTTGGATTGGCCTACGACGACGTCGCTCTATCTGGTGATTTCGCTGTTTGGGCCGCGAGTGAGGAAGCCAAGTTTCTCAGCGGTAGGTTGATCTCGGCGACATGGGATGTCGATGAACTCAAGGCAATGAAGGACGAGATTGAAGCGGATAAGACGAGGTTCACAATTGGCTTGTTTGAATGATATTTTGGCGGGTTTGCAGCCGAATACGGAAGAGGAGGTGTCTGCTATCATCAATTGTGCATACATAAGAATACAGAATAAGACCCTCTGACCCACATGCCTTTTCTACTATGCTTGTGGTTCAAAAGTTGAGAAATGCTGAGCTTCGCTCGCCCCCACGGCGCCTCGTCATCCCCAGATATCTCTGACCAACAATGACCCATCTCTCAACATCAACTGGACCAATCAACTCCATTTCGGTGCAAACCCCAGTTTTTGGACAGGTGGTGCATTGAGCCGGACCCCCGACTCGGGCCGGCTGGCCTCCCCGGTCGGCAGATCCCATCACATCAACGCCAGGATTATGACGACATCGTGTTCTAGGAAACTCGTCCCCGGGACTTGCTTGAAGCTTTACCACGTTCGAGTCTAGTGCTCTTTAGAGACGTAATATTTAGAGCCGCGCCCCGTAAGAAAACGTAAAATATACGGACATCTTCCACTTGCCGTCGTCATGCATGTTGATTTTGCGTGAAGGGGTTCAAGACAGACAGACAGTCGAACATCGCCTTCCCCGATGACCCCCAGTCGCCCAGTACCAATTAGGCAGCTGGTATCTTCGTAGAGGATATCCAGATTGCGTTATCTATACCTTGAATTGAGAAATCGTCGTGTTTCGTGCTGGTTCCTTGTTCATCCCACATCGTTGTATCCCGCACGGGGTCTGTCTGTATGAATCATGTTACCATGAACCAACAGTGGCCCCACGGGTGTTAAAGTCTGGGAATTGGAATATGAGTCTTCAACAGAGGTGTCTCGGGGTATTTTTTACGCCATCCTGTTGTTCTATCTCGTCATCATATCGGTCGTTGGAAGACCCGTTATGTTGTAGCGCGGAAAACCGTATATACTTTCGAGGGCCTCATAATGACTTCTCAAACCTTCATATCAGAACTCTTGGTTTAGCCAATCAAATCTTACAGCGAAGCTCTCATTGAAGAGCACACAGGGAAACTCACCATGTCGTTCTGGCGCCGGCCATTCAGCAATCGGCAGGGCGACGCCCCCGAAGCGGAGGAGCGGGGACGACAAAACAGTAACGATGGAGAATTTTCGGATGGCAGTGTTCACTATGTTGTGAGAAAAGCCGGAAATGACTCTGAAGTCTCCTACCAGGACACCATCGGCGCCCCCGTGGAGGTTGACTCGCCTCTGGGATACACCGTTGGGCCTATTACCATCATCTTTTTAAACATCAGTAAGATGATTGGCACCGGAATCTTTTCAACCCGTAAGTACACATAATTGACCTTATTTATGAGTACCAGAGGCCAGTTCTAACTCTGAACAGCATCAAGCATCTTGAATGGAACCGGTAGTATTGGATTGAGTCTGATCTACTGGGCTCTCGGGTTTTTAACCTCGATCACGGCATTTTCTGTGTATCTAGAATTCGCATCATACTTCCCCAATCGATCTGGCTCCGAGGTCGTCTACCTGGAGCAGGCGTTCCCTCGGCCTAGGTGGCTATTCCCGACTGCGTTCGCGTTCCAGTCCGTGGTCCTATCTTTCAGCAGCGGCAATGCCATTGGTAAGCGGCAGAGTTAAACGGGGGCCTATGAATGTGCTAATTGATAAAAGTGTTCGCACAATACCTTTTTGCCATCGGAACTCATGACCCTACCGCCTGGGAGTTGAAGGGTGTGGCTATTGCTGGTTATACCTTGGCCGTCCTCCGTAAGTGTCACCAGTGTAGTAATGTATCCGCAGACGATTCTAATCATAGGTAGTGGTTGCTCTGAATACCAAATACGCCTATTGGTTTTCTAACGGAATTGGAGTCGTCAAAGTCCTTACCCTCCTCCTCATCACTTTCACTGGGTTTGCAGTGCTTGGAGGCCACACTTCCATTGAGGATCCAAAGCAGAATTTCCACAACTCATTCGAGGGAAAAGCCACGCCATATGGACTAACAAACGCACTCTACAAAATCATTTTCTCATATGCTGGTTATGAGAATGCCTTTAATGTTGTCAACGAAGTCAAGGTGAGTTATAGACTCCGCGAGGATGTTCGTATGAACCGTTGCTGATAAGGGATGCATTAGAACCCTGTCAAGCAAATTCGCAAGAACGGACTCATCGCTCTATTATCCGTAACACTGCTTTATATCTTGACAATCGTTGCGTATTACTCTGCCAGTAAGTCTCCCGAATTCACAGTACGTTCAGAATGGAGCAGTCTAACGAGATGCACTCAACAGTCCCCAAACTTGATATTATGGAAGCCAAGCAAATCACCGCGACTCTATTTTTCAACAACGTGTTTGGGTCCAGCCGCGCATCCCGTGGTCTTAATGTACTCATTGCATTCAGTGCTCTTGGAAATCTGATTGCAGTTCTTCTAGGAACATCCCGTATCATTCGAGAATGCGGAAGGCGAGTAGATTCCTGCTTTGACTCTTCTTCTGGATATTTGCTAATATACTTATGCCATAGACAAGGCGTTCTCCCCTGGCCCCGATTCTGGGCTTCTACACGACCCTTTGGAACTGCCCTTGGCCCTTATGTTGCCAAGTGGATCATCACAACCATTATGATTCTTGCCCCTCCAGCCGGTGATGCGTTCAACTTCAGTAAGTGTCATACATGATAATATTCTTTGCATAGATGCTGATATAAGGCTACAGTCACGGATTTGAAGATCTTCCCTGCTGCGTTTTTCGACTTCATCATGGCTGTCGGCCTGATAATTATCCGTCGTCGCCGTAAGCGCCTAGGTCTACCTCATCCTACCTTCAAGGCATGGGATTGGGTTTTGGCTTTCAACATCATCAAGAACGTCTACCTTCTCGTCATGCCTTGGTATCCACCGGATGGTGGCCCTTACTCTGGCGACGTCAGCTTCTGGTACGCCACGTATGCTGCCACTGGATTGGGAATGTAAGTTTCGTCCCTACCCTTGTAATCTTGGCCACGCTGACTTAAGGGCTTAGCTTGGTTGGTTGTGGTGTTTACCACTGGATCTGGACCGTTGGTATTCCCAAATTGCGCGGTTACGAGATCCGACAGGAAATCCTCGAGTTAGACGACGGTGCGCAGAGTCAGACACTCATCAAGGTGCCAGTTGCAGAGCTGGAGGCATGGGATGCCTCTCACGATCATTCAGGGCGACGTTTGGTTTCCAACGTCCCGGAAACCAGCTTCACTGGCAAGGGAGAAGACACAGATTCGAGCAAGGGTCGGGCCAAATGAGAGTGAGGTTCACACATGGAGACCTAGGAGCTTGCACTAGCAAAGGAGGATCATATTATCGTTTTCGTCGCTGGGGGCAAGGTGGCTCAAATATGCGAGAAAATGGTCCTGAATTGCATCTATGGGCTTTGAACATAAGGACATTCTCCTTTCGGCCTCCTCCAAGACAGTTGTATCTATACGATTGGTTCACATATACTCACGTGTATTCGCATCGTGATGTCCAATACTGTGTTAATCTAATCAATGGGCGCGAGACGTTAACTGTACTTTGGTCGCGAATCTCTCCTGTTATTCCTGAAACAAAACATTTGTCATTTATCATGTAACTCATGCAAACCAAACGCATCATCGTAAATACTACTTTCAGTTCAACCAACCAGACATATCAAGAAACCCGGATGGCGGGGCCGAAGACTTTTGTTCATATACATTTCGAGCCTCAGAATCATCATAGATTCGTTTCCTTCAGGCCTGGGCCGTCCCTGTGGGCTTTTGCCCGTATGCCACAACCCTACAGTCGGTCAGCACAAATAATAGAGGTATAAATGAATGGGATATGGTGGGAGGAAGAACTTACATTTCAACGTATCCATGGATCTTGGGGTTCATCAGGTGTCTCTTCATATCAGCCAAAAAGACTTGCGTCTCCTCATAACTCCACTGCAGTTTATTAGCTCAGTCTCCCAGCATTTGCACCGTCAACAAAGGAGTTCTACTCACGCCAAGGACACCCGTCATCATTCTTAGACCAAACCCCTCGAGGCCGTCTGCCAAGAACGCGCGACACCAGGTCCCCCAAATCTTTAGCGTCTCGTGCCTAGGCCAGCGGCCGATGGGCAGCTTCAGCCGCATCTCGTTGACGTTCTGGAACCCAGCCTGACGCATGGCGTCGGCGGCGAGGTCGCTAGCCAAGAAGGTCTTTCCCATCTGTTCACCCGCAACGGTGAAGACGTGCTCCCACTTGGAGAATGGCATGTCGGGGGTAACCGTGCCGTCATCAGACAGGGTCTTCATGCCGAGCTCGACCTGCTCGACCCAGCCGCCAGGGGAGAGGTGTTTTAGTACTTTTCGGTGGAAATCGGGCCAAGAGGTGATGGAGCCTGTGAGCATGCGGATGTGGACAAAGTCGAAATGACCTTTGGGATATGTCCAGTCCAGGTTGACATCATCGACTTCGAATCGTACATTCATGGGCACCTGCGCGAAAGGTTAACAGGCAGGTCAATGTGAAGGTGTGAAGGACATCATCACCGTACCATGCTTGGCTGCACTGGGGATAAATCTATACCAATGACTTCAGCCGACTCATGCTGCTGAGCAAATTCTCTACAAACATGTTAGCTTCAAGAGAGCGCATGAATGGCGAGGATGGCTTGCATGGTCCAGATTCCGGTGCCACAGCCGACATCCAATACTCTCTGTGGCCTAGTTAGCCAGTATGATATAAATCCACACTTTGACATCTTTTACCTGTGGGCTTTTGGAGATAGGTGCTACGTATAATCGACCATCGAGGATTGTCAGGAACATCGAGTGCCTAGCTATGAATGAGTTGGATGCAACCGAATATGTGCTTGGAAAGGGCCTCACATGAAATCTTCCGTGTCTAATTGTCGCTCGTCGTTCGGTCCCCTGGTTCTGTGTTCAGTCGCATTCAAGCAAGGCCCAGCGCAGAAGAATATGGCTCACCAGTAGGCGCCATCACGGTAGGCATGATATCGACGTCCATTCTCCCATGTGTACTTCAAAACGGACGACGACAATGACTTGGTATCGTCTTCATCCCAGCTGACGGAATGGTCAGCCACTTTGTGATTCTCCGGCTTTATAAGAGGTCATTCCACCCACGAATCTATCCCCAAAGCCGAGTCATTATCGCTGGCTCCGTCATCCTTCTCCAAGTCAGAATTTTTGGCGATCGCCGACACATCCGGCACGCTCGGCAAATTGGACTCACCACTGCAATGTCTCCTGTGCCCAAACGCTGCTGGTCAGACGGGTTCGGCTGCGCCATACCGTGCTGATTTCGGATAATATGGGGTAGATTTGGTGATCGTCCTAGGCGTGTATGAAGGCTGGGCAAGTGAAACGGCGCATGTGAGAATGAAGTCAATCGCAAATCATGGCGTGTTAGAATAACGTGGCCTGGCAAGGAGGAGACAGTCCCGAGCGCAAGACTGTGTGGAGTCGTTGGGTTCATAATAAAAGAGCCAGGGCTTAGCTTGCGGGAATCATTAAATCACTAACCCGCCGCTAATCCGCCTGTCAAACGGCGACTAGAGATATGATTGTCGCCATTCCCATGCGGCTACGGTGGCGGGCGTCTCATCCGTTTCCCCCGCCCGCTAGTGATGATCAAGGCCGACAGGTTGCAGCGCAAAACATGAGATGTGATGCGTCCACATTCCGGGGATTGTGAGCTCCTCACTGTTTGAGCCTAGTTTCTCGGTTATGTTTTCGAAACCCTGGCCATGATACGAACCCTAGCGTGGGCACTGGGAGAGTAAAGAAACTTCCGGTTGATGAATTGTACAGAATACGTTGACAAGTTGTCACGAAACTAGGAGGCAAGTTCGACATGATCTGTCTTTCAGTGAGGAAGTTCCCTCTGTCCAGCGTTGAGAGAGCCTCGAAAGTCGACTCGATACTGGTTGACAAGTGCACTGGGGGATTCCTTTAAGGATCATCAGGTCGAGTCAAGCCCCTGGCCATGGTCATGCCATGTACACGTCACCACGCCATCAGCGCCATTGATCCATGTCAGCTATTAAAGAACAGGCAACTGGGCTCTGCGCTTAGCGGAATCTCACCACCTACGAATGAACGACCCTGGAGACCGATTTATCGTTGTAACACCACACGGGCACGCACCACAAATGAGTTTAATCCGTTAGACACAAATCATATTCTATAATTCCAAAGTACCTAGTGCTCCAAACAAGAAAAATCGTCATCGTCATCATAATCGTGACAGCAAGGAAATAAACGCTATAGTTGCGGTGGAATTGGATGAAGCTCTCTGCTCTGTCAGAACGTTAATCCATTTATGAACAGCAGGAGAGTTCGCTATGGTGCCTTGCGCTAGCTTCACTGGCGTGTCGACACTGTAGATGTGACACTTGAAAGCGAGATCGCCTTTGCGTAAGTGACGTGCTGGAACCACAGCAGCACAATTTTCAATTTTGGGGTGACCTCCAAGACGTTGGACCACTGTCACATCTTGGACTGCAGTAAGGTTCTACGCCTGATATAAATGGCGGAGGCGAGGGGCGGGGAGGGCGACCACGGTCTTCGGCGGAAGGGTGGAAGCAAGAATGGATTCTGGGACCTTGGCGGACGTAGGCAATGAAGCCATATGAGGGACTGCGGCAGTCCGAGGCGCTAGGGCAGTGATCAGGGCTCGAGCAACGATGGGGGCCAGGGCAACCGCTGGAAGAGCAGCAAGGGGCGGCAGAGGAGCAGTAGGAGGCGTGGGAGCCAAGCCGGGGAGCGGCCCGGGAGGCGGCACCGGGGCAGCCTGTGGACGCGGAGCAACGGCCGGGCTCCGGACAACTTCCGGTAGAGGGGCAACCACCGGACGGGTAGCCACTGTGGGACGAGCAGCTATCGCCGGAAGAGGAGCAGCTGTTGGAAGAGGCGCAGTTGCAGGATGAGCGGCAACGTTTGGGGTAGGAAGCACAGCAGGGCAAGGAGCAACCACTGGCGCCGAAGCGACCACCGGGGTCTCGGTGACTTTTGGAGGCCCTGCAACACTCGGGACCTGGGCGGTTCCGGGGAGTTGAGCGGCTGCTGGATGCTCTGCAACTGCAGGAGTAGATTCGACCGTCGGAGCCGCGATGACAGGGGGAGCCTCGACAACTGCGGGAGCTTCAACTACTGCAGGGGCATCTGCCAAGTCGGGCTTCGCAGTCGTAGAAGCAGTAACGGTAGTCGCACTAGAGACCTGTCGAGACCGCGGTGTAGGAGCCCTAGGGGTAGTCACAGTGCTCACGCCAGACACTTGGCGAGACCGGGGCATAACGGCCCTCTGCGGAGTAGTTGCGGGGCTCACGCCGGACACCTGCCGAGATCGCGGCTTCGGGATGGCGATGATGGGTGTATCCACCTCCGGGCTCTCGGGCACAGCCGTCAGAGGGTTGGCCGGCGGCGTAACGGGGCGATTCTCCTCGCTCTCAGCCTGGGGCTCGACCATTTCAGGCTTTGCCTTGGAAGATCGAGGCGATTGCTTCTTTTGCTTTACAGGCTCGTTTGGGGTGATTGGGCGCTCAGGCTGGTTCAGCGATGCCGTCGAGGAGCGACGGCCCAGCGTCGCGTTGGAAGGACGGCGACGGACCATTGTCGGCGTCGTCGGGCGACCTCCTCTAGTGGGCGTTCCAGGACGACCGGAGCGCGTCGGCGTCGACGTCGGAGGAACGTCAGAGGACGTTCGTCGAACGGGACTGGTTCGGCGGGACGAGGATTTCGTGGCGGCGGCGAAGCGTGGAGAAGCAGGGGGAGACGCCATGTTGTTTGGTATAATTGGATGAGAGTATATAAAAAGACAAGGAAAAAGAGACACAGCAATAGATACAAAGGGAAATGACCTGGAAATTCGGTCAAGTGGATATGGGTTTACCTTAAAGAGTAGTCCAGAGGACAGACAAGAATCGGGTTTAAGAAAGTCGGCACGAGGTGGACGGGGAGAACGGGCCTATATGCGATGATGCTATGCTTCCGGTTCGTTCCCGTCACATCTGGGGAAGGCAGGTGAGGGGATCCATTTGCCAGCTGTGCGGCATATATCTATATATAATCTGCAATATCACCGCCGGATGGCGTTGAGACCGAGACATTGTCGTCTCGGCCGTGCAAGAGACATGGATGACCCCGGGATAGCTGCACAACACGCCCCCTCCACATGATGAGGCAGTATCAGGACGGTGGGACTCGACGACGCCATCGACGGCAAATGAGCTGCGTCGCCACGAAGATGCGTCCAATTGCAAGCTGAGGATGAGTGTGATCGCATCAGCTGAGGCTGGAAGGCGCCGCAACCGCGTTCTTGGAACCTTGTCCTTGTCCTTGTGTCGTTGGCTCCCGAGAGGCTTGACGCACATCATCGGAATATCGTTACCGGGAGATCCCTGCCAGCGGGGGGACGCAACACAGGCAGATAACAGCTCACCCGACAGAGATCAATCAAGATTGGATCGGGAGCGCTCTGGATACTGGGATGTTCGCCGACAGAACGTGATGGAGCTGACCTTCTCCCTGGCTGATGATGGGTCAAGCGATGCAGCTCACGTACAACCATGCCGGTCAATTGCCTGCTGCGCGGGTGCCCAAACCTCGATCCAATTGCAACTGCACAACATCTCGCATCTTCTTCTTTGTACCCAGCATAAACCTCCCTTACTTCTGCTTCTAAATGGAACGAACCGAACGCTCCACTCAAGTTACGGTGGCAAACAGCGAAGCAAAGCAGCGCTCCTTTAGTCCGGCCCGGGACATGGCGGGTCGTCGGCGTTAACACGAGTCTCGAGGGAAGGATGAAGAGCTCACTGTGGAAAAGGCGGCGAAAGATGAGCTGTACTTGGCGGATGGAATCAGCCAGAAGAACAAAAGCAAAAAAGGAAACAAAGAGTGTGGAGTCGATCAACACGGCATCAGAGGAAATAGGCCGATGCCGAGGATGCGTCCCTTGCAATTACCGGAAGCGCTTAGGACAGAAATCAATTGTCCAATTATCCGCATGACTCTCTTGCTCCGAGATTTGCACTTACTAGGATGGAGAAAACCCGTTCCTCATTCCAACAAGTCAGACATCGAAATCTCAGCTCGAGAAAGACGCCCGATTCGTATCCACTCCTTATGCCCGTTGGTTAGGGATATTATGACGGCATATTTGGCTACTCTAGACCAGATCCAATAGGACAGCACAAGCACTAGCATTCATGCCACGACGTCTACATAGTCAGCTCTTGGAAGACGAAGGTGGACAGAAAATAGGACGAGCTTGAGTCCACGCGGGTCTTGTGAGGATCAAATATGTGGGTTTGCGGCACAGTCAGTAGAGCCCAAGTTCCTTAGGTGCTTAGTGAAAGATATAAGATATAAGTGCAAAGACTTTCCCGAATGTTTAGGGAGTTTATCAAACCAGGTACTGTTCAGTCCATAACTGCTACCGCACTGTACTGACCAACATAACAAAGAGGAGAGTCGTGGCCAATGATATTTACCATACATAGTCGGAGGCAGATGCCAACGGAGGTCAAAGATGACACGAATCTGTTCTAATTCAAGGTCTAAGCACACGTCCCGTTATAAATGGATCATGGTGCACAGCCTTACATCCAAGGAGTGTATAATGAACCCTCATCCCCCAACTTCCTCAAGCAACACAATGCAAGCCCAGGGCAGTAATTCACCCCCTCCCCTTCTCATCCTTCACCAGGCTCTTCGCCCTCGCTCTCCAACTCCCCTTGCCGCTCGTCGCGCTGCTCCTATTCTTCTCCGGGACCTGGTATCCCCTCTCCCTCTCCAGCCGATGCCGCTCCCAAAAGTCACTCACCTCCTCCCCAAGCCCCGCCCGGGCCCGGGCCTCCCGCTCGTCCCGGCCCGGCCCCGTCCGCCCGTGCCGCCGCTTCGGCATCACCTCGGCCGCCTTTCTCCCCACCGGCTCGCACACCGTGGCCCACAGCCAACGTACTGCCATGGCGTATAGGTGGCTCAGCCAGCGGAAGAAGCGCCGCGCTGTGGTGCTCCAGGCGATGATGAGCGAGCCTATCACCAGAAGCATGCTCGACGGTAGTGAAATAGCCCCAATCGTTTTCAGCGGGAGATTGTCAGCGCCGCCCCATTCTCGCGTGTTCATACCAAACAGGCCCGTGAAGAAGGTCAACGGCAGGAATATCACGGTAAACGTCGTAAATATCATGACGCTTCGGCTCTGCGCGCTCGCCAGGTCAGCGTGCAACCGGCTGAGCCGCACCTCGTCGACTTGGGCCTGACGCTGCACCATCTGCAGCAGCTTGTCGTAGTCATCGCGCGTATTCCGCACCCGCTGGATCATCTCGTTAGTCTGGTGCACGTACTCGCCCAGCTTCTTGAGTGCTTCGTTGAGGAACACGCGCCCGTTGGTTGTGCGCTCCCGCATCTCTGGCCGGCTATATGTCGCGTGCATCGCACTGATGACCTTGGTCTGCCGCTCGAACAGGTGGAGCAGGATCAGTAACTCGTCTTCGATGTCTCGTAGCTCAAGCAGCGCCGACGTATTGTCGCGGTTGTCTTCCTCGGCTCGCTGGCCTTCTGCCTTGTGTCGAGCCCTGATTAATCGGACCTTGTTCTCGACGGGCTCAAATGCCACTGCTTTATCGCGGAACCCCTCAGCACGGAAGTTCTTCAGTGACGACGTGAGCTTTTCGGTCTAGGATATCTCGTAAGCTAAAGATACTTCTTCATGTCTTCGTAGTGTCAATACTTACCAACACACTAATCGCCTCCTCAAAGATACGGAAAACCTCCAGATCTGGGTGTGATGATCGGTCAAGCAGCACACTAACAGCATGCAGCGCCGCCAGAGCTGCTAGATCCAGGGCATTCTCGCACTGTCGCGTGAGATCGACGTTTACCTCATTGAAGATGCTGTCACGGAGATCCGCCTGCTGGTACAGAGGTCCCTCGATGGCATCACCCTCCCGCTTTGGGAAGAATGAGAGCAAGGTATCTGTCCTATTAGTTCTTCTTCCGACAGTTTCTGAATTGCAACTTACGTGAATCAATCACCCACATCCAGAGCTGATCTACCATCAACACATTCCCGTTCAGTACATCATCCTTCTCCTCGTCTTCTGAATCCTGATCCCCATCCACATTGCCAGTCTTCGACTTCTTACTCGAGCTTTCGCCCGTCTCTGCACTACTAGATGACCCTTGTCTATCTAGCCAGGTTTGTTCCCCTGGAAGCTGGCCCCGTTCCTTGGTAAGCTTGTACAGCATCTGGTCATCATCTCTTGACCGCGTGTCCCGGAGTGACGGATATCCGTATTGGTCCAACGTGCGCCTGCAGTTTAGTGGCGGGTCGTGGCCGAGAAACTCCCAGATGACTTGGACCTCGAGCGAGTCGCACTTTCCAATTTCCTCGGGAATAGGGCGTGCTCTTCCATGGCGAAGACGTTCGAGGATGGCTTCGCGGCGCTTCAGTAACCTCTTGTAGGAGTCGAAGTGAAGGTACGGTAGGAAGAGGCAGGTATAGGTGCCATTGTTTGGCGAGGGGGATACGGACTGATTCTTGGAGGAGCTGGCTCTAGGTGAAACTGCAGGCTATCAGCATTCCAGTTCAACTCTTACCGCTTAACTTGGGACTTACAATGGCGCGGTGCCGAAAAGTAACAACCAGGCTTTGCGAAATAGGCATAGTGCTGCGAATGTCGCCCGCGAGTATGTCTCGTCGCCCAAAAGTCCATATTAAACAGCTGCGTGTAGTTCCGATGGTACGACACCTGCAACGTCTCAAACACTTTCTGTCCACAGGTCAGTCTTTGTCTCTCTCCGTAATGCACCCCCTCGAAATGGTCTCTTACCGTCACCCATGTCGGGTTGTTATATGGGAGATGAATCCACACAAACTTCCTCGCATCCACCTCGGGCTTCGTAAACGCAACGGGCGGCTCGTCCACAATCACCGTCTCGCTGGCTCTCCTCTGCCTCTCGTTAGCCGCCTTTCGAATCGCCACTACCGCCTCTGGCAGCCGCGGCGACGCATCCAAACCATGATCCCTGTCGTCATCCTCGCTAAAGTTGGCCTCAATCGTGCTCCGACTCCGTTGCGAGAAGGGCGGGAAATCTCGGTATTCGTAACCTCCAGACGCGTGGCTCCCCATGCTGAACGACCGACTAAGAGAACGACCCATGCGGCCTCCGGGAGGCGGCGAGAGACGGTCTACCATCAGGTCTTGGTCAAAGTTGGGACGGAACATGGGTGATGGCCGCCGCATAGGGCTCGAGTATCGAGTAGGAGGAGATGTTCCTCGGGATGGAGGCGTTGTTATAGGAATCCCAGGAACTGTCTGAGGCGCCGACTCAGTCCTCGTTCTCAGAGGAGCATCGACAGGTCTGAGGACAGGAGATGTTGGAGGGGACAACGGCACTACCCCCTCCTGTTGAATCCCCAGCGCATTCTTATTCGCCCCAGTGGTGATCTCTTCCGTGCCCGCGGGCGGTTCGTGGGCGTCGATCAGTCCTGTCCTCCCTCTGTTACTCAGAAACCTCCTCTCCTCGACTCCCTCCACCTCATTCAACCTATCCGCCAGACACTCCACAGGTCCTTTGCGCAGGAACTCCTTCAGTGGAAGCCTTGTTGACCACGCACGAATCGTCCCATCTACGCTCTGTGGCCCGACGGGGTCCTCGAAGAAGCCATGAACCTCGATGCTCACCCGCTGCTCCAGGTTCAGCGACCAGTGCCCATCCTCGCGCGAGTACTCGTCGGCGCGCTGAATCAGCGCCTTCAGCTGGCGCAGGAACAAACGCATCGTGTGCACGTTGTTGCGGCCGAACGAAGCCACGTTCGCGTGGTCGCTCTGCAATGGTAGGATTGTCTCCTGGCGCATGCCTAGGATGGCCGACTTGATGGACGTGAGGGGTGCGGTAAAGTAGACGTCGCCCGAGCCAGCGCCCGATAGGCGTGAGTCGATGGTCTCGTAGAGAGTCCAGACCCGCAAATCGGTCGCGATGGCCTTGAAGTCGTCGTCGAGATGGAGGAGGAGCCGGTTGCCGACACGCAGCTCGTCTGTAATTGCCGTTGGCAAAGGAGAAGACAGCTGGAGTAGACCCTGGATGCTAGATGCCAGACTGGGCATGGAAAAGTAACTCGAGCCCTGGTGGGGAGTCCCTAACGCCGAGTGAATATCTCGTTAGATCGTGTTCCATCGTCAACACCAAGGACTCCAACTTACCGAAGAAGGCAACCCCGTAGCACTGTCTCAAGATATCCTCGAACCTCGGGTTCCGACTTGCCTTGACCAACACCATCTTCACTACGATTCCTCCCACGCTGTGTCCCACAAATACAACCGGTCGTCCCGCCGCATTCTCCCTCGTCCGCAGCGCCTCCAGCTCCTCCAGCAGCGCATCCGCCAGCGCACTCAGCGTCATGGAGCCGCCCTCTGCCGGCGCGGGATGTTCGTACAGCAGGATCCGCGCGCGGTTGGCCTCGCGCCGAATGCCCTGGCGGACCCATGACGGCGCTGGGCGGTCCGGGTCATTGCTGTTTGTGCTGCTTGTGCTGGTTGTGTTGCTGCTGGCTGTGCTGCTTTTGTTGGTGTTAGTAGTAGGCCCTTCAGCTTCACGCATCGACGGGGCGCCGAAGTAGCGACCCATAAGAGCGTCCCGATTCCATGTCTTGAGGGGATGGCCTCCGGGACAAGGAACTGTGATTATATCCACAGTCGTCTCATCGTGTGTGAGTTCGCCTGCCGGGTCGAGGATGAAGCGGCCGGGGTGAAAGCTGGCCGGTGGAGTCGCGTTCTCCTTTTCCTTGATCTCGTCTGCCACGATGCCTCCCTTGGCATCCACTTCCGTCTCTGTGCGTGTAGATGTCTCCTCTGGGTTCAAGCGCAAGTCGTCAACTTGATCGTTCCTGTTCGTCGAGTAGTTGCTGAGCGGCGGCAACGGGCTGGGCGGGCTGCCTGGATTGACACTGAGGGAGTCTGTATCGCCAGAAGGTACCTCCAACAGGCCTTGAGAGATGATCCCTTCACTCATTAGGCCCTCGGGGTTTGTGGCCGCCCTTTCAGGCCCGGGGGGTTGCGGTTCCATTTCTATATCCTGCTCTCCTCGCTCGCTTGTTAACTACTCTGGCGACAAGCGTGCAACCTTCATCCAGCGAGAAGATCAAATGCAAGCGCAAAAACACAAAAGTCGTGTAGGTTGTAGAAGTAAAGAGATGAAAAACAGCGTAAATGATGCAGCCTAAAAAGTCAACCTCTTCTCTTCTCAAACACTCATACGCATCGCCGCCTCACAAGACTGGTGACGAAAACGCACCCACAAACAGGTCACCAACCCACCACCACAAGCCTCCAAACCCAACTTCAAGCTTCATCAGCTGCAGCTCCCCGTGACACGCCCCTGCACTTTCAAAAACGACCATCCTTGACTGTAAGGCGTTGCGGAAGCTCGTATTGGGTTTGAGGGCTGCTCACCCTACACCACCTCGTCGCCACAGCCGCTAAAGACTGAGACATGGCTGCGTCGTGACTCCAGCACGTGGGCACATGACAACTTGGCCTTGAACACATTAATTATGGGGTGATGCCTAATCTCAGCTTTTGCGTCGGATACCTCGGGAATTCATTTCCCCTCGCTTTTATCATATAAGTCTATTGTTTTAATGCTAATATTGCTGTACCGTTCCATCGCCCGCCTTGATAGGTTGCTCAAAATGAAAAGTAGAGCAGCCCCTGGATAGACTTGTTAAGAACTAACTCCCATGCGCACGTATATGACGATAGAATAAAGAGCTGAATAGCAATGCCCCCTGTATTTTGGCTGTCCCAAAACTCCCAAATAATATTAAATTCCTCAATAGTCAGCAACGCTCCGCTACTGCAGCTCAAAGTTCGCAATTGTCGTGCAGTGCACCACAGAGTCGACATAGAGTCGATTTTCCACCTTGCACGTCTGGCCAGGTCGCACCACAAACATGCCGTTGGGACCCAGCTGGAATGATTTTTCGCTCATCGTGACGTTCACCTTGCCGGCAGCTACCGAAACTGTACGCAGCCTGTCATCCTCAATGGTCCAGTGATTCGAGGACCCAGGCTTGATGACCAGTACGTTAAAGCTGACGTCCTCGGATACAGAAACGGGTTGACCGCTTGTGAGGTATGAGTTGGAAAAGGCAATATCTAGTCGTCCACTGTTAGTTTCCAATGTATCAAGGGTCATTTTCGGGTAGCAAGAAGACACTCACTTTGAGAGGAAGACCCATCTGTCATCCTTCCTGGGGCAACCTCCCATTCCTCCATTTCCAAAGCTGGCCCGGAAAGCTGACCCGCCGTCTCTACCGTCTTACTCTCCACCATGGTGACTGAAGTCGCCGACGCCGACGCCGACGCCACATGCCGCCTGCGTGTTTGTCTGAGATTTTGCACCGGATCCTCATCTGAGTCGGGCTCCGACTCGGGCTCTGGCGCGACTGGCTTTAGCTCCGACTTGTCCACCTCCGTCATGTTAGGCTTGCCGGCGGTAGTTTCTGTACTTGAGCTAGACAACGCCGACGCCCCTCGTGGCACCTGGGGATGAGGAGACCAGTCGCACTGGTTAGTCTGCCGCTGCAGATGGCTCCAGTACCTACACCCAACGCACGTAAGGAACGGCGAGAACAATCGCTTTGACGATACGTGCATATTTGCCGGTACTCTGATACAATGCTTTGACAGTCGCGACGTTGGTCGTGAGTGGTACCGAGTATGGGACTCACACTTGTCAGATCCAATAACCTCATCGCCGGTCAAGTATGCTAACGCGCACGCGTAGTGAGTGGAGTCCAATTCGGTGTCCCGGTGGCAGTCGATCCATGCTTGAGGTAGCTCGCGTTTCTTTGGCAGAGTAATCATGTACCGGACATCTTCTCGTTTGTAAATCTTCTGCTTAGGAAGGAGAAATCCATGTAGATAGTCCTTGACTCCTGAACGCGGACTCGGAGGAATCTTTGGTAGAGGAACCGCACTGACTGTGCTTGGCCTCAGGGAAGGTTTCGGGTTCTCAGGCGATGTCAACTTGGGAGTGGGGGTGTTGATGCGTGCTGAAAAGAACGAAAGCCCTGGGTCAATTGGCGGCGGCGCATCTGGAGGAAGAGGATTCCGTGATATAACAATGCCTGGTGTGCCTCCAAGGCCATGGTTGACATATGATCCCACCTTGCTCAGGGTCCCGTCTCCATTGTCGTTGAAGGTCAATGTGCAGTGGCCTGCGGCGAAGTGCCCGCCTAGGCCTTTAAGAGAAGGGAATAGGCGACGGCAGTCTCGAACAGGGCAGATAAAGGGAAGCTGAGGGTTGTCGTGCAGCTTGTACTTTGCAGGAATGAGTGCACCACGAGCGGATACTGTTCCTCCCTGAGGCTCTATATGGGATTAGTATGTTGAGATGAACGGAGTTATATCTTATGGCATTACGAACCTGGATAAAGGGAGTATAGCCGGTCGCCCTCTGCTACGGGGATAGCAGCGAGTCGATCTCCAACCTTGGGCGCCGACTTTCCGCTTGCCGTAGATGTGGTCACAGCTGTGAAATGGCCTGTAGACGTAGGTGGTCCTGTTTTTGGAAGTGTCGAAGACGCGGGCTGAGAACCAGGCTGGTCTGCCTTTTGAGGAGCAGTCGGCGGCTTGCCCTTTACTGTAGATGTAGACTGAGAGGCAGGTAGCTCTACCTTTTGAGGAGGGACCGCCGTCTTTGGCTTTGCTTGAGCCGTAAACTGAGACGTAGGAGTAGGCGTCGTTTGTGATTTTGCTAGAGCCACAGACTGAGACGCAGACACCTCCGTCTTCAAGTACGCAGGCGTGACTGTGCCCTTCAGAGGCCCCTGCTTGATCATGGCCATCACCTGCTCGGGGGTGGAAGCCTTCTGTTGCCACTCGGGCTTCGGGGTCGTGTGAACCGTCAAGCTGGCCATGCGCTTGGCGACCGCCGCGTCAGTAAAGCGACGCGCCTCGGCGCGGACCGAGTTATGGCCCTTCGCCGTCGACAACGGCCCGCTAGGCAGTGGCCGGCGGGAGACCTGCTGCTTCTTGTTAGGGGGCTCTGAAGACGGCGTTTCCGGGCCGGGGCGTTTCTTCTGGCTGGAAATCATGGGGGTGGTGGCGGTTGATGGTGGCGCGGAAGCGGACGCAACACCAGCTGGTTCTGCATACTCATGTTAGATGTTGACGTTTCGTGCTTGAGAGTTGGTTGAATGAACCAATGAAACTATTCCAGCCAGCGAATGAGAAGAGAAAAGGCAAACTGACCTCGTCCTACCAATGACGCCGCTGTTTGCGCAGTCGGGCTAATAGCTGGTCCTTTCTCGGCGCCCGTATCAACACTGGGCAAACCACCCACGGCCCGCTCCCCGTCGTCGAGCTGGTCCTTCTCCCACACCGCCTGCATCGCGACAATCTTAGGGTGCGCCGACAAGCCCTGAGACACGCTGGGCGGTCCCCCCTGAGCCGCCTGCGCCACGAGGTCGCTCACGATGCGCGCCGGCTCCGGGCTGGGCCCGTCCTTCTTGGGTGGCGACGCAGAACCCGTCGCGCCGGGCGAGGCCTTGCTGCTGCTGCCCATGACGCCGGAGCTCCATGACGAGAAGTGCGTGCGCTTGATCTTCTTTGCCGGCGTCTGTTCCTGCATGATTCTGAATTTGGGCCAGTTCGCACTTATCAGTGCCATCCTCCTCAGGTCCCGCAGCTGTTCGCTTTGGCGCTCTATGCTGTCTGCCGCTGCCGCAGGGCTGAGGACGGGACGGAAGGTGTGCGACAAGGGATGAAAACAAAAGACGCCGTTTGAAGCATGCCACGCGAGCAAAAGAAACCCCCGCCGTGGCACACGCCCTCCCAAGCGATGTGCTGTCTTTGGTCGTTGGGATCTTTGATGGTGGTTGAACTTGCTTCTGAGTGCGAGACGCGCCACGCGCGATGCTCTTCTGTGGGTAGCAGGTGTACCCTGCTGCAGAGATTAGGTGGGAGGTACTTGATCGCGAAGCCTCGTTACAGGTCAATTAAGTGCCTTATGCTGGTCCACCATAAGTCCTAACCTAGGCAGGTACGTGCTCAGTGCCTGAGGACCATTGGTAGATGTTGGAATACATATATTCAGCAGAGCTCAAACGCAGAGACATGGTAAATACAAGCATTCTAACATTGTGTTTTAGGCTACTGTACAAAGACTACACATGTTCCTACATGCCCGGCATGATGCAATACGCCACCACGCCTTTCCAATCAGGCATTGGATTGCCCGACTCTAATTCTTTACCTCTTGCTCTTCTTGGCTGCCTTCTTGGCCGCTTTCTTGCTGACCGGCTTGGCCATCTTGATCTCGCCGCCGCCGCCGCTCTCCGCCCGCTTCGCGTCTGCCTTGCGCTGACCCTCGAGCTCACGCTCCCGTCTCCACCGCCGGTGTCGGAACCATTGCTTGCGCGTCCTGAAGCGCTTAGTCTTGAGACCCGTCGTCTGCACCAGTCGGCCAATTCTCCAGTTGTCCTCGCGGTAACTGTAATCCTTGCGCAGCTTCAGGATGCGGTCCGGCTCGCCGGCCTCCACTCGAGTGACCTGGAAGGGGATGCCTGAGGGCGAGAGCTCGGGCTTCGGTTCGGCTGGCTTGATGGTGAAGACCGTCTTGTTGAGCTTGCGCTTGGTCTCCGCGTGGACGGGGTAGGGCAAGGTATCGGCCTTGTTGAAGACGACACCGATGTACTTGCGGTCAGGATGTCGGATGGGATCGCGGTAGTACTTGACGTAGCCGGTCGCCATGGCGTGGATCGTGTGGTCACGGCCCATAATGCAGTTCTCGCCGGGCCACCAGTGGGTGCCTCGCTGCTTGTAGAGGATGTTGCCGGGGATGACGAACTGGTCTGTCGCTCCAAGTCAGCGTCCCGTCTCCATATCCTCAATTAACACCCCCGGTCCCCTTCCGCAATCTAGCAAATCCCAGCTCGACGTACCTCCAGTTCGCTTCGCACCCAACTTCTTGGGAATGCCTCTCTTGCTCTTCTTCCTATAGGCACCCTGCGTCTTGACGGAGGCGTGTCGTCGGCCCTGCACGAGGGCATTCGCCAATTGGGCGCCGAGGGGGGCGACAGGCGCAATGGCCGGCCTGGCAATGACGGCCACTGCCGCCATTAATGGCCGATGCGTGAGGAGGAACCGCATGGCCGGCTGTTTCGTCGGTTGCTGGTGGTCTGAGGTTAAGCTGCAGCTGTGATGCCCGCGAGTATTTTGGGAGGAGTTTTCGAGATGGCTTAGTCAGTTACAGTCGCCTTATCGATAAGCGGACCCATGCATCTGGACAGCAACAGCATTCAAAGAGCACTCTACGACAGTAGCATTATCTCGTACTCTCACTCCCTCACCATCCGATTGCTGGAGTTTTCTTTCTTGTTTTTGTGAATCCTTGTAACCGTGCAGCTTTTGCGCAACAAGCCGCCACGATGCGCTACCTCATCGCCCTCCTCTCCCTCCTCGCCGTCGCCAACGCCCAGTTCGGCGGCTTCTTTGACCAGATGTTTGGCCAGCAGGGCGGCGGCCACGAGCACCAGCAGCAGCAGCACCAAGGGCAGCAGAACAACCCCAGCGACGCATCCCACTACATCCACTACTACGAGCACTGTACGTCTGTTCCCGATACTCGTCCCGCTGCTTCCCGCAGTGCCCACGCGAGGCTTTATGGTGGGGAGAGTCACTGACTTGATGTAGCTTCTTGCGACAAGTACCTCTGCCCCGATACCCTCGCCTGCGTCAGCTTCCCGCACCACTGCCCCTGCGCCTGGGACGCGCACCAGGAAAAGTTCGAGCTGGCCGAGGGTCAGCGCGTCTGCGTCTCCCGCGGCGGGTTCCGTGAAGGTGAGGCGGCGCGCAAGATCGAGCTCGCCAGGAAGGGCCTCCTGTAATGACGGGAGCCGGAGGTGTTGTTCGTGACAAAGACGTTAGAACTTGCAATGGCAGGAGTTAAAGAGTTGGAGAAATTACGATATGAATGACGGCGGAGTATTGGGATGCGGCAAAGTTGAATGATGCACACTTGTGTAGTTGGCCGTCTGATGCAAGTCGTGATACGCGAGAAAAAGTATGGATATGAATATAAATTCTAAGCGAAACACATGTACATCTGTCGTATATCAAAACCGAAACAAACCCCATCCCCCAGTCCAATCCTTTCCCCTCCCTCGTGAGAGGGCCATCATCTTGAGAGAAAGAACCCTCGCACAAGGTAGGTCACCACCCTCCAGCTTCCCCTCTTGTACCAACGCCCCATGGTGGTATCCGCAAAACTCCAGGAGAAGAGACTCTTCTCTACAAAGGAAAACCATACAATCCATGCAAACTCTGACATTGTCATCGTCGTATCATCTGTCGCTTCGTTCATGTCTGTGGCCGTGCCCAATCTATGCGGAGCCGTTGGGCAGGCGGGGCATCGGCGGCGGGGCAGAGTCATCGTCCTCGTCCTCGTCCTCGTCCTCGGGATGTCCCAGCAGCTGAGCGACATTCTTCATTTCGTAGTGTCTTTTGCGCAGCTGCTCAAACTTACGGTGCTTTTCGCGTTCTTCCGGAGATAGACCCGCCAGTTCTTCGTCGGCGTTGTGACCGATGCTTTCGTCGTCGACGTGGACGCTTTTTTCGCTGCGAGCCGGCGACGGCGCGCTCGCTGCTTCTTCTGGAATCGCCTCCTCCGGTTCGCCCAGCGAAAGGCCCGGAATGTCATCTTCATGGCCAGGACGTGGAGCTTGACGGCTATGACTAGAGTCCGCCATAGGATCCTCGTCATCGTCAGACGGGTCCTCGGCGGGGTCGTAGTGTTTCGCATAGGGAGTCTTGGGCTCGGTGATCTTCATGGTAGAGGAGCGCTCCTGTTCGGTCAGGTAGAGGTTGGCCTCGTCCCACTTGAGGCGCTGGGAGGAATCAGCGTCGAAGTATTCGGCCGTGTTGGACTGGCGGCGGGAGCCCGTGGGGCGGCCGCCTGAGGAGGAGCGGCGGTGGCCGGCGTTGATCTGGGTGTTGGCAATAGTGACTTCCTTGCCGGACAAGGAGCGCTCCCGCTGGGGGGAGACTGGAGGTGACCTCTGGAATGAGTTCTTCAGGATGCCTGGATGAGCATTCGTTATTAGATGGCGCCATGTTAGGATACGGCTTTCATGGCCAGGTCCAGACTCACCTCGAGGTCGCTGGGCGTTGGGGCCGGGAGGCGAATGGGAAGGAGGGTTTCCCACGGAAACATCCATGGTGAAATATCTGCGATCGGAAACGAGGGTGTCGTGGGTTTATCGGTGAAAGAGTTGAGTGCGGTGAGGTGCGTGTGAGCTAAGCAGTCTCAAAGTCAAGGTGGGCATCAAGTGCAGGCCAGGACGGTTGATGTGGTCGTCAGGAGGGGTCGTGTCGAGCGAGAGGGAGAGAATCGAGAGAACAAAGACGTTAAAAGGGTATGGCTTCAACTCGTGACGTTGTCGTCAGATCTCAGAATGTTGCAAGGGGTAGATTTAATCCTCGTGAGCAGCCCTCGCAGTAGATGTAGACGAAGGAATGGAGGCGGGGCTGGGCCAGGCGGGGCTGGATTAAGCTGCGCTGAAGGGAACAATCAAAATCCACGACATATTGACGCACTGGGCGGCGGCCGTTGAACTGAACGGGCGTGCGAGTGAGGGGCTTCCAGGGCTTTCTGACAAGTCACAGGCACTCGCTCGTTGGCTCCGGGGGAGAGCGCCCTGTTTTTACAGCGCACGTCACTGTCACAGCGGAGAGTTTTGCAGCCAATGTCACCCCATCACCACCCGTTTGCGACCTGGCTCGTCGGTACAAGTTCCCCAGGAGTGACCCAGGCAGCCCAGGGATCTGCACTCTAAATGCCCGAGATCATCGCCTGGCGCAAGTATCCCCCGGCGTGCAAGAACCTAGCGCCTTGGGTACAACTTACAACTCGCCCCTCAGCCATGACGAGCAGAAAGAATGGAACACTGAGGTGGGCTGGATCCCAGTCGCCTTAACCGCCTGATAGCCGTCTTGTTGCTCTTTCTGCTATCTTTGCTCTCCCATGGCCAGAATGTGACTGCGCCGTCGGCCGTAGAAATCTCCCTCAAGCGTGCATGTGCCATGTGAGCGGCGCGAGGTGCCATTTCCAGACACAACGACACCCAGCGACGAAGCACGCTGAGATCATCACACCACCTCGCACGCCCATCATGGGTCACATCCGCGACGTCATCGATCCTGCGACGACATCACCTTGGACTCGACCCGGACTTATGATCCGCTCTCACCTTTTTCATGGATGGTCTCCCAGGAACCCTGCACGTGAACTCATGTTAACCGGTGGGCAAAATACCATGCTATGTGATTTGGGCTATATTCATCGCACTGGCGGTACTTGGTAGTGATTCATTATTCAAATCAAACAATTGCTAGTTCATTTGCTCTAAAACCAGGGTGCGCCTAAAGAGCGAGGGGACCATCAAGTCCATCAAGTCGCGACTTTAACAAGCCGAAGCCGTATCCTCATCCGTCCTTTCCTCTGCCTCCCTCTAATACCGCACTCGCCAAAATTATACACATCTCCATACGGCCGTTAAAACAGCCGCTATGTACCGGAGCTCCCAACACTAATAGTTCGTATCCCCTTCAAGTCTCGCCCACTTGCAACATCCAAAAGACACGTCGTATAAATCAATAATTCCCAGTTTCCAAAACGCCTAGTAATCTCACGACCATCCACCGAGCCTTTTTCCATTCCGTCTATTAATAATAAACAATAAAGGAACGCAGCGTAAGTAAGAAGGGTTGAAACTGCATCTTTAGCGCCAAATCCATCCTTGATTTGGACACACTTGAACTGCTTCATGAGATGTCAATGGGCCCTTGTCCGCAAGCAAAGTCCCCAACCCTGATTGTCATTGGCCAGAGGACGACTGGGGTAGAAGCGTTAGAATAGCCAGCAACAGGTTGTATCCTGTTCGATAGCACACGCTCTTCTCTTGTTCGCCGCTCCAAATGTCCACACAGCTCCGTAGGGTGTCCAAGATGATCTGCCGGGGCGGGATCTCGCAACCCATGGCCGAGGCGTTAGCCAAAGGCGCCTCCTTTCTCAGAACGTGGACGCACGCCGTCAGGGCGGCCGAGAAAAAGTCAAGCACAAAGGCTCGACCCACCAGATCCAGCCGCTGGCTTTCTTCACCGGACCACAGCTCCCGGTAGTGAATCAACAGAGCCAGCGAACACTCGAGGGAGCCCCAATATGATTCGGGGAACATGTTGGGCCCCTCAGGGTGCAGGGCAAACGGCCTGTGCAGAACCATCAGACACCGTCGTAGAAAGATATCGACGGTGATACGCTGCAGTTGGCCGGAGCAGACACGCTGCGCATGAGCCATGAGCTCACGGATTTGAGTGTTGTATCGCAACACATCTGGATACGATATCTGGTCCTTCTTCGAGTTGAGTTGCCCGAGAATAGTCAATACCGTGGGCAATGACTGGTAAAGGACCATCTGGAGACTGTCGGGCTGTCCCCACTCGGGCATCGTCTTGAGGCTACCCAGTTCATCTGGCCGCGTTAGGGGCGGCATACCCGTGCACATCGACACCTTGATGTCCAGGTACAGAATCGTCAGCCAGAGTTTCCGTCGAGCATCTCTCTCCTTGACATCCAGTATTTCGTCCTCCGCTTCGATTCGATCTTGAGGTAGTCCATAGATAAAGGCAGTACGAACCAGCAATCCGAGGAGTGACCAGCAGGAATCAACCGACCAGCAAGTGGCATTGCACACCTGCTTTGCCACGACCATCAGAGTGAGAGCCTTGAGGGCCAGCATAGTCGGCCGGAACATGAACGGCGTTTGCATCAGACAGGCCTCTGCAGCCATCATGAGCTCGGTCGCCTGGTGAGGTTCGTCGACAGAGGCAAAGCAGCCGAGTCCAAGAACCATGAGAAATTGGGAGAGCCAGCACAGTGTTACGGCGTTAGGATCATGCCAGTATTGCTCAACCTCTCGATTGAACTGATCCAGATCGAGAATCGGATTCACGCAGTCGAGGAGGTTAATGTACTGGTTCATGTAGGTTCTGCAGTTTGCTCTCTCTCCATCAATTAACCTCGTCACGGCATCCCGTGCAAAGTACTTGGTGGCCCCCGGCGTCCCGAAGGGGAAGTTTCCGGGGAGGGTAAAGTTGGCGAGACAGGCATTTGTTGCCACGTCCTCGAGGGCGGCAGCGAGAGGTGGTGAATCGAGGGTGGACATAGCACCGATCTATGGTCTTAAGTCAGCACATGGCAAAGTATGATGATGAGATGCCTAGGAATTATGTCGTTTCTCAGAGGCCCCCCCCCCCCCCCCCCCCCCCCCCCTCCCCCCTGTAACAACGATCCAGGAACACTGAGGATCCCCTTGAGAGCCAAAGTAAATGAGAGTGAGGAAAAAATTACCTTGGTCATCAAGTCCCTCCAATGACTGGAGCCTCGGACTTTGTGCTGGACGTGCCAGGTAGCAATGGTAGCTTTTGAATCATCGCCAGAGGCTGTGACGGGTGCTGTCGGACAGGGAAACTTTCCGCCGTTGGGGCCCTTGTTGTAGCTGTAGTAGCACTCTCTCCCATTCCCGCTCGACTTGCAACGGCCGCACGGCAGTTCCTTGTCGCACTTGACCTTCAGACGGTGGCACCTCAAACAGCTGAGACAGTTGCGCTTGCGCTTGCGGATGATACGCTGGCCTGGAGCGGCAGTGCTAAGTCCCGGGACAGAGTCGAGCACGACACCCGGTTCCGCGGATCCGGGTAGGAGAACAAGGGGTTCCGGGCTCTCGGTAGAGGTGGTTGGCGAGATGAGACCGCCGTTGGACAGGCTGGCGCTGAGCTCATCTAGCAGCGGGGATGAAGCAGCGTTGGAGCTAGGGGCGGTGACTGATGCCGAGGGTGGAAATGAGGCGGATGGAGAGGCGGAGGCGGGAGTGGTGATGGGGACGGTGATGGCGGAGGAAGAGGCCGCTGCAGCGGCGGCGGCAGTAGCGGCGGCGACATCGAAGCTACAGCGAACTCCCGCCTGGAGGCAGCGGGAACATGAAGGCTTGATGAGATCGCAGCGTCGCTTGAAGTGGCGACAGCGGTCGCAAGTCTTGACTTCGCGCATATGCGGCATGGCGGGCTAGAATTTTTGGGTTATCTCGGCCCGTGGCGGGATCGGAGCGAAGCGGCAGCGAGACGCTTGGCGGGGTGATGGAGGGGAGGCAGGATAGGACAGGATAGGACGAAATGACTACAGCGCTGAGAAATGCAAGAAATGCACAGTTGTCAGTCGTCAGTTGCAGGTACAGAACTTGGTCGGTTGGTCGTTGGTCGGTTGGTTCGCTCGCTGCTGCGCGGGTTGGGTGTGTCGTGGGGAGTCTGACGGGGGGGTTGTCTGGTGGATTGGGGTCAGAGTCGGACGAACCCTTGTCGGAGGCGACGGAAGAAGGCAACGGGACGAAAGCCAAGCACGGGAAACGAGGGTGGGTGGCAAGGGACTTGAGGGTGAGGGACCTGAGGGTGACGAACCGGAGCTGACTTATGGACTTTGTTACTCGAGCGGAGGATCAAGCTCAAGCTCAAGCTCTGGAGGGCAGGGCAACGCAGCGCGGGAGGCTGTCAAGATGGCCCGTTGGGCACGGTGCACAGCTATTCCCATTCGCACTCGGCCGAGAAACGGTTTTTTTAGGCAAAAGGCCGTGACAGTGAATGTCGCAGTCGCAGTCGCTTTCGCTCTTTACCTTGGCAGCGATGGGATGGAGGGGCAAGCAAACTCGGGGGACGGGACGGGTGCTGCGCCGTAAGAAAGCAGATGTTGGCAGATGGTTGTCGGTTGTAGGTCGTGGCCAAATGGCAGCGGCACGCAGGCGGAGATGGTCAAAATGGTGAGATCCAGCAACGCGGGAGGGCGGGTTTAAGGCAAGGTACGATGATTATGGTGCGGTAAGATGGGGGATGAGGGTGGGGATGGGTACGGATTGGGGCCTTTGCTACGCTGGAGCGCTGTTGGCTGTTGGACAATGGAACCAATGCTAGGCGACGGGCGGATGGGGCGACAAAGGCTGAGGCGACGCGCGGGTGGCTGGCGGCGGCGGCGGCAGTGAGGCAGAGCAAGTGGTGGACCGCGGCGTGTGAGCGAGTACTCGCAAAGATGCGTGAGAAGGCGAAGAATTATTTGTCCAGCAACAGGAGTTAGTCGGCCTTAAGCGGACGAACTGGGCGCCCAGCCTTTTAAGAGAAGAGGACGCCCGAGTTGTTACTGTGTCAGCAGGATGAGGAGGCGGGTAAGGCGGGGACTGCGGTTCGACAGCGTCGGATTGGACTGGATTGGATTGGATCCCTTGCTGGAGCACGTTTTGGGCGGGACGCTTCCGGGCACTTTTGATGGCCCTCTTTGGGGATGAGGCGGGAGACTGTGAAGAGTGGGTGGGTGGGTGGGTTTCGACGTGAGGCGAACCGACTGGCACCAAGGTCAACAGCCGACGGGAAAGCGGGAAGCAGGTTGTGCGTGCTGCGTGCGCGCTGCGTGCTGGTGGTCGCAGGCGGGTCGCAGGCGGTTGTAGGCGCTGGCTGCCGCTGTAATAAGGCTGCCGCCGCTGTAATATGGCTGCTGCTGCTAGGTGCTGTAACAGCTGCGGCGCCCAATGTGGGTCGGCCGACGATAGCTCCGTCAAAAGCCGATCGTTTCGTCTGCGATGATTCAAGAAGGATGCGATTCTCCCAGCAAAGAGGAGGCCCTGACAAACGAATTGATTCTCTAATGAGTGAGACGAGTAAGTAAGTATAAGAAATAAATGCAAGTGCGACCCAACAACGTGGCCAAGTGAGTATAGTATATCAATGTATGAGCGACGACCAGAGGAGCCGCGGCAGACGGGGCGGGAGTAGCGCGGGAAGGGTTAGGGGAACCGAGGGTGGGCGTGTGGAGTGTAGTTTACTGGTGCCGTTGTGGATTTCCTGTCTGTGCTTCACTGCTTGTGTGTTTTGGGGGTAGCTTTGTGGTGTGATGTGCATGGGAAGGGATTAGGGAAAATCCACTGGGCAGAGCCTAGACGATGCAACGTTCACTGCTCTGTGGATTCGGGATCGCAAAGCGTGGATATGGATTGCGTGGGGTGGTCGTTGAAACGGGGCCTGCTTCCCAGACGGGCAAACTGCACCGGGGAAGCTTCCTAGGCGAGGACGAGACAACGGTGACAAGGTGACCGAGTCAGGGGACAATGCCAGGACCAGCCCACGAGACGAGCCGGCCGGGGATTTTTGCAATAAGTACGTATGGTTGAGGGGGGAGTTTGATGGAGGGGGGGGGGGGAGGGTTCTGGGGTTTTGGCTTTGTGATGGCCAGGAAGATGCCGCTAGATGGATGCCTGGAAGCTAAACATTTTAAGGTAAAGTGTATCGTAGAGAATGCAGGTATCTGTCGATTCAACTTTGAACGTGCCAGATAAGGGATGTGGGAGGATGTAGCAGAGTAGCAGAGGCAGGGGAGACGGCACCCGGCAGACGGCAGACGGCAGACCTCGAGTGGAGTGCAGGGAGCGATCCCAGCAAGGTGAGGGCAAGGTAAAGGGCAAAGGATGCTAAAAGGATGAGATAGGAAATGCAACGCGATGCATCCATGCGCCGGTTAAGTGGAATGGTACGTGTATGTGTGTGCCTGCGAGTGTGGGTGTGAAGGATGTGTGTGCGTGCGGGCGTGCGTGCATGCGTGCGTGGTAAATAATGAACGTTGAATGGTGGGCAGTAGAGGTAATATGTGACAGGTAGTAGAATAGATGTGATGGATGTAGGATGCGTAGGATGTGTCGGATGCGATGTTTGCTGAGATGAAAAATAAATCTCGATGATGGCCAACCTTGAAACAAAGAGCCTTTCCAAGATTAACGAATCTGGCTGTTGGGTGACTTTCTATCTGCCCGTTGGTCGATCACCAAATCCGGACGTAGGTTTGATGATTAACGTTAGGCCCCCAATGCTGTTGGCTGCACCTCCTCGGAACAATCAGTAATCCTGGTCTGTGCCTGTGCAACCTCGCAAGGCTGAGCGTTGGTGGAGGACGATGGGGGGGGGGGGGTCGGTGCGATATGTACGAGATAGATGGAGTCTGGCGCCCAAACGATGGAGATGGAGATGGGGGCGGAAGATCGCTGGTTCTGCCGGCAGATGACGTGAAGATCGCAGGCGAGAGGACCAACAGAAAGCGAGAAGATGTGGATTGATTCCCCAAAAAGAGGTGAGCGGCGGGAAATCCTACCACCAGGAGAGAGAGGGAAGGGTGGGTTTATCTGTCTCGCGGGGACTCAATCCTGAGAGCGTTCTTTGGGCATCGCCAAGACGAGTGGGAAATAGAGACTTGGCCTATTAGGCACACGCAGCTTGGCCAACTACTATTAACCATGCCCAAACAGACGCTACGTACGACATGCTACGCGCTATCCGCTTCATGCTTCAACGATGAGGACGGCGACCTCGGGGGGTGCTCTCTGCATCACAGTATTAGGTGCAAGCTCGCCAAACGCAAGACCAAGCCAAGCTGGGAAGGGTGGGCACGCACGCACCCGCCAGGGCCTTGGCACTCGACGTAGTATCAAACCGAGTCTCGATTGTATTCTTCCTTTTGCCATTCCCTCCACAGGACAAAAGGACAAAAGGACAAAAGGTAACAAAGACGCCAACAATGCCAAGACTGACCTCCAAGGAACAGCCAAATCCACCCGTCATCATGCATCACAGCCTCCGCGAACCAGCGGCCGTGGAGCTCTCCGTCGACTTTCCGGGCAGGGGACCGTGGGAGCCGGAGCCAGGTACTCCAGAGGCCTGAACGAAACGGAAGACGCCATAAAAGGCAAAAGCAGCCATGAGCAGGGCCCACAAAGAGGCTAAGGGAAAAAAGGCCGAGAGGAGGGAAACGCAGCGACCGGGGGGTTTAGACGTGACGGGGGGGGGTGATACTGTAGGAATGGGAAACCTTGAGGGCGAGTGAGTGTGCTCCGTACGCGCCAACGACGGGAACAGCACAATGCATGGCGACTTCACTGCTAGTGCGAGCAGTTACAGCGGCTGCGAGATGAGAACGAGGCGGACGGAAAACGCTCGACCACGCGCCAGAAGTGGGTGTGGGCCTCGCGTCTGGCACTGGCGCTGGCGCGGGCACGGGGGATCTTTTGGTAGTGGCTCATTGTGGGCGCGGGAAAAGAGGTCATGGCGAATTGGGACGGTGATGGCGGAATGGGCCTTGCGATGGTCATGGTGACACATGTGGCAGCCAGGAACATGCCTGACCGGGCGGATGGAGTAGCATCCGCAGTTCATGACTTGTTGTCCAAGCTTGTGTCTGGACCCTGTTTCTCGCCATGCGCAATTGACGGCCTCAAGCACCAGCTACTCACTCACACACACGTCGTCTCCAGCATCAAGGAAAACCCAAATGCCATGATCGCCGACGGGACGTCCATCCCAGTCTCCCCGTTGCAAACCCTCAATGCAACAACAGAACTCTCTTTCTCTGCGTCTCTCTTTGCCACCATTCGCCCACCCACCATCCAGCAAATGCAAATGCAAATGCGAATGCGGTGCCTACCTACAGCCGCGTTGCCCAAACGAGGAGCGATTTACATTTGCCAGTCTAAGCCCTGTTCAGTGGAGGAGCTCTAGCGTCTCCCCGTGCCGCCAAGCCGCTAACGGCAGAGCCAAGAATCAATAAGCTGTTACATTGTCGAGCTACCCAGCAGCAGCTCGAATCCAGAGCCAAGCAAAGGCCAGCCCGGGGGGGAGATAGGGCGATGGGGGAACGAGGGAAAACGGCTATTTGTGCCTGGCTCTGACCCAACTGCAACCGAGCTGATGATGTTCTGTGCGCCGATGCCATCGCCTACTAGCTTGCTGACGTCCGGTGAGGAATGGGGGGGGGCTCCACGTTGCTGGGATGGTTACGAGCGAGATGCAAGATTGGACCTGTGTGGGGAGTAAGACGTACGGAGTAAAACACCAACCGGGTGCATTGCATTACAGCAGCCCGCAGCGAATGTAGGTGATGAGAAGTTGCGTATGCACTCCACGCAGCCACCCACCACACGGTGACGAGTTCGCGTGTCGACGGGGTGGCTCCGCGGGCCGTCGCCAACTACTGCTGCTCGCCCGGTTGACGAATGGCCCGGGGCTTAGCGCTTGGCGGCACTTGTTAGGTGCGTAGCACGAAGCGATCCCAATACGGGCTGTGGAAGCATACCTAAGCATAAGTAAGGCTTTTTACATAATTCTGTTCTCGGAACCTGGATATGCCGTGAGTCCCTACCTAGGCATACTACGTAGTAAACGCGTTGACAGGGCAGTATGTTAGCAGGTTGCGGGTCCCGAGGCAAAAGTCTTGACTGTAATTACGCATCCGAATTGCCCCGTATTACAGATAGCAGTTCTGAATCAAACTTATCTCCTACGTATCAAAAGATCCACCGCCGGGATAGTCTTGTCACGAGGATCCACCACTTATCCCCCGCGAAAACACCATCCCCATCAACATCGCAGGTGCAATTTGCAATGCATCCCGTTCTTCCCCTCCATCTCCATAATCTCTTGGCCACTCCCCTTGTCCACCACCAAACAGCCACCAAAACCACCACCCATCCCGCAACGCCCCCCCGGTCCGTCCTGCAGCAGCTTGGCCAACCCCCTGTCTGCGGTGTGATGGGTGTGGTGCGTGGTGCTGGATGGAGGGGGTGATGGCTCCATCCACCTGCCGGATCTTGATCATCACCCCCCCATCCATGTTTTATTCCGCTCAACCAAGTCGGAAACAAGGGCTCGATTTGTTTCCGCGGTGGGACGCTCACATATCTCGCTGTGTACCAGTATTTCCACCAGCGAGCCTTAGGGGGGCTTGGTTTGTCCACATCGTGATTTCCCGCTGGAACCCCCAGCCATCGTCAAGATCAGCGAGATCCCCGGTTGAACCCTTGCCCACTTGCTCCATACCATCGGGTTCTCAACTGATCACCGCAACCAGCAAATCATCAAATAAAATCCCCCCCGTTCGGTCCGACCCGTTCCACGGGACACCCCCAGCTCGAGTCGAAGAGGTCGAGGCCCGTCCAAGCCCCAAAACATGTCTCACTGCTCTCTCGTTTTAGGTGATGATTATAGCGATCAATCACGAACAGCTGCCCTGGGCAAGACGTCCGCCCAGACCATAGCTTAATGAGTGAGCGGGGCTTGGAAGTTTTCCACTTGCCAAGTTGTCTAGATGCTCAGATCGACTTGTGTTTCTTCTACTTTCGGCCTCGTTTAAGTCTGTTCCCTTTTCTGCCAGTCAGAGAACTGGCAGAAAGACTGGGTCCAAGACAGCATCAGACAGGGGTCGGGATATGATGTCGTCTGGCGAAATGAAGCTGACCCGTCGGCGAGCCACTTCAGCACAACATAGTGCTCGTAGCGCCTTTGGTCTTTACCGGGGCAAATCAAAAATTAAGTCCTACTACGTAGTATCTCAATTCTAACCCAGCTTTCGATTTCGCCAAGCCATCGATATGGCGTTGGCAATGACTACTAGATATCATAATCATTCTCTACAGACGGTGCATGACCCTATCATACTATGCACTCTGTTTGTGCTCAAACCAAGGGGGCTTCCGAGACGTTCTAATCTATATTCATTCTCCAAGTCACTTCCGGGTGTTCCCTCTTCTGTGATCTCTACAGTTCGTTGCTTGGTCATCTCCCCGTCCCCAGCCACCACTCCTCCACTATCCGAGTTGTGCATCTTGCCATCCCTATGTACTGTCGAAATACGTGTGTCTCCAAATACCCAATACCACGGGTTGTCTTGTTAGCCAATCACCAAATAAGATATACGTTCGTGGCAAATTTTACAGCTCATGGTCCAGGGACGGCAACGGTGTTGAGATTAGACATATCGACACAAATGGGTTCTTAACGTCAAGTAACATATCCGCGTTAGTTGCCAATGGTGGGTCCATATTCGTCATCTTTGTGGCAAGAAAGAAGGTAAATTAGATGGAGAAAAAATTGTTGGACATGCTTGGAAACTAAATGAGAAGTAACACAATCTCGCATAATAACCAGATCAGCGTCTCTACAATCGTGTTATCTCCCTCCAGTACATGAGCAGTCGTGAGGTTAGGTGCCGAGGTAAGGATCTGAAACTCTTGGACTATAGTAGGAGAGTATTATCAACAGTCTTCTTGCGTTAGCCAGGGACCCCCCTGTCCCATGTCCAGGAACTTGCCGTTCGTTGCGCCTCCCTCGCAAATCCAAGATCTCCATTGGAGCGACTGAGTAAGTTTATACCTGGTGGCCCACAACTTTTCGATGATTGTAATTCTTCGTACCAGAGCACCCTTCTCAAGAACGCAGCATCAAAGTCTATCACTTGTCGGCTCAACTGTACAAAAGCAAGTATTTAATCTTATTCCCTCACCAAGAGCCGCTCAGGGCTCTCAAGGTTTCGTAAAGTTCCCGAAACCCCAAAAATGGCCTGCCTTTAAGTTTGAACTCGCTCACATCTTGAGTTATGATAGCAAAGTCAACGGTGTCCTCCCCATAGACACGACTCAGTCGATACACACAATTGAGGGGCACAGGGCCATCCACCGCAAACTCTTTCCCACTAGGTAGTTTAGGAAGGAGATTAGGGAGGTGTACCGTTATCAACAACGCCAAGATGGAAAAAGAAGATCGACTGAGGCCAGTGTCAGTCGGACGTTAGCCTAAATTGCCATTTGGGCCCCTGTCGGCATGGTCAGAATCTGCTGTGACTGCGAGGTTTCGAGCTTGGGATAGCATCGCTCGTACAAAATACGTCATTTTCACTCCGATCGACCGGCAAGTGGGAGACGAGAATGAAGCCGATGGACGTTTGCTTGTCCAATCCCACCGCCGATAGAGTATCAGCGACATGGGAAGTGGCCAGGGGGGTCGACAAGATGTGCGCACTATGGAGTGCTACGTAACTAAGTCGATATGGAGCTGGATCTATTCCAAAATGTGGGGGGAATGGGTTGAATCGTCTCTTGTTTTCTCCACGATGTGCCCTCACATTTCATTCACCACAATCAGAGACTGCGCCGAGCTGGCCGCCGAGACTCAAGATGCAGGCGGTTCACTCGTCACACACAACCTTGATGCCCGTCCGCCAAGCAAATAGCGAGTCTCATTGGCCAGCCAAGCCTTGGCTTCCTTGGCTGTACCAAGTTCGCGCCGTAATTGTCGTACTACGCAGCGGACAAAGTGGCAGTGTCAGTTTTAACTCATCAGCAGCTGCTTCGCCAAGTTCGCCAAGTTCGCCAAGCAACGCCCGGTCCCTCGCGTCCAAACGATGGAGCTCAGCATCTTGAGCTTATTTCTCGTTAGTGACCAATGACCCCTGTATTTGTGCGCTTTCGGGGGGTGGGACCCCGCTGCAGGCGCCCGAGAGAACACCACCCCCGCCTCCGGGCAGCCTTTATGTGTATCGAGGTCGAGCACGTGGGCAATTGGCCTGATTGCTCAGATGATCCGGAAGAGTTGTGACGGTACCAGAGAAGAAAGAGTGGCCCGAACTGTTTATGGAAATGTGTGCATATTCAAAGGCAATGGCATGATGCTCGCATTTTTTGAACCGGAGAGTGGCAAAATGGGCGGCGACATCCGCTGTCGCTGTTTGTTGCGTGTTGCCACCAGGTCGTGGTGTTGACCTCACAGCGCATCACACCGGATATCAAACGCTAGTACCTCGTAGATACAGGTGAGGTACATAGAGCGCTGCTGCTAACTGCTATCCGAACCGACATCTGTCATAAAAGAGGCAGTGCTCGGCAGCGGGGAACCATTATCTTTCTTGATACGGCTTTCCGAGACGCATATTGGCCACGACATGCTGGTCCCGTGCTACCCACCCTCCTGGACGTTATCAACTTGGCCTACTGCGTTCTGGACCTTGACCCTCTCCTCACGCGTCCCATGGTTGGAGCTGTGGCACGAACCAGTACCCAGCCACGCAATGCCCTCCCGCGGGTCGTCGCCAGCCGTGTTCCGCCAAGCCTGTGTCCCCGGCTCGCTCGTCATCGACGCTAAATGTTGACCTTCGCTGCACCTGGGGAGGACTTGGGCCTCGCAGCGTTGCGAAAATGGGGAGAGAACCGCCTGGGAGCGCGTTCTAGGCCTGGGCCCCAAGGCTGCTGTGCGCCTGTTGGCCAAACAGGCCACTGGCTAATGCCGCCAAGGGCTTGAAGGGCACATGTCATGACCTTTTTCTTGATATTTGCAGTGTGTTCGCTCCGCGCGCCCGGTGCTCATGACTCGATATAACTGCCGGCCGCTGCTCTTGGGCCTCGCTTCGAGGTGCTCATAGATAACTACACAAAGTAATGAATCCTTGGAGTCCATCGCTCTAGCAGACTCAATCAGTGTCTTTACTGCAATCGCCTCCGACAGTCTGCAAGTTTGCGTCGCATCACTCTGGGCCTCGTTACGGATCGTCGTGTGTTTGCCCGTGACCTGCATTCCCACCATTGACTACCGCCCGGCAACCTTTCTACCGCGCCACCTCTCGACATCCTCATCGTCAAAGACGACACTAACGCCGCCATGGAGAAGGTCGGCATCATCCTCCTCGTCCTCTTCCTTTTCATCATTATTATAGGTCCCCTGTACGCATTGCTTCCATTCGTCAACCTCACTGCGGACCCGCAAGTCTAACACCAACGTCATAATTAGGACCTGCTTCAAGCTCTCCCGCGACGACAAACCCAAAATCTACAACCCGCAGCCGGACCAGCTGGACGATGCCCGGCGCAAGCTCAGCACCTACACGACATGCTCAACCGTCGCCCAGAGAACCGGTGGCCGTAATGCCGACATCGAGGCCGTAGCTCCACCGTCCGAGTTCGGAGAATGGTAAGTGCTCGCGTGCTTCCAGTCCAGCCTCAGCCCCGGCCCCGGCCCCGGCCCCGGCTCACTTCCACGTCAGCGCCGTGTTCATCACCGGGTCTACAACTCGGTGACGGGACTGAGCTGGCTGGTTGACCAACTGACCGACCGACTGACCGACTGACTAATAACTGGTTGATCTTATAGCCCCATCTGCATCGGCCCTCTCATTCCGGAGCCAGCGCACACCGCAGGCTCAGATCCCCTCCCGGTCGAGCAAGTCACATCGGTGGCAACCAAAAACCCGAGAACAAGCCAGGAATCGTGTATGGTGGAGGTCAGTCGGGCCGGGCAACCATCACGCGAACCCGACACGCAAAGTATCCGATCCGAGACGGTCGACGACGACATTTTGACCCTGAACAGCTGCGGCCACTCATTTCACTGCAAGTGCCTGTCGTCATGGTTTCTAATCGAGCGATTCGATTGTCCCGTGTGCAGGGAGCCATACTACAAGTCCCATCTACCACGAGAACGAACCTTGACCGTGCCGCCTTTCTTTTGATTCGATCGAGGAAGCATCCCATTGTTACGGAACCGCCATAATTATACCCCAATGTTACAGCTCGAACGCAGGCCACAACATGAAGCCTAGTCAGACGGGCGGGAAACCATGATACTAATCAATAATTAAAGATCTGCCACTTGATCAGCGCTAGCGCACCTACGCATGCCAACTGGGCTCTCTAGCTTCTACGCCACCAAACCTGGAAGTGTCATCCAGCTCAGGAGCAGTCACCAGATCTACAACAGGTGTTTAGCGTCATCACCACTCCAGGAAATCTCTGCCATCTTGGGGAGCATAGTGGGTTCCCAGTGTACGCCAATTCCTACTTGACTCCCAGAAATGGAAGCTCGTTGGCACCAGAACGTCGGGGTGCCGGGGTGGAGTCCGAAGCACCAACAGTCGGCCAACCAAATCGGCGATCGACACTTTAGAGATGATGACTTCATCACCATCATTCGACACCTGAATCGAGAATTACACTAAACGATCGACGTGTTCATCGTGGTACCAAGCTCATAATAGAACGGGCAACCAGTTACTACCAGCCCTCAACAATCCATGCATGACGCGCCCCGCGTCATTGGTTGGTCTGCTGCACAGGCGAGATCGCTCAGTCAAACGCTGGTGGCTCTCTTGCAAAGCTGCAGTCAACCACCTCCTTTTCTCCTCCACAACCCCAACGCGACCGGCTATGGGTAGGACATACTCCTCCCTGTCCGTAGCTTGACTGCACGCCGGGCACTTACATGCGTTCCCATTTATTCCCCTTTCCCACCCTTAAGTCCTGTCTTGGCCGAACGGCATCAACTCTGCTTTCCACTCGCCTCACTCTCGCGATGCCGTCCAAACGAAAACGAACGGGAGAACAACCACCACCGCCATATTGCGATGGCCCTCGAAGAAGTGCGAGGAATGAAAAGGGGCCATCGTCCACGAGCGATGAAGCAAGCGAAACCTCTCGCATGGATGTCGACCCAATGATCCGGGCGCAGCCCATGGGACTCTGGGAGACCAAGGAAGGTGTCCAGCAGGCCAGGCGGGAGTTGAGCGAGATGGAGCACAGGTTTCAGAGCTTAGTTAGGAGACAACGACTCGCCGTCCAGAACTCGGATCTGAAGGCCGACCCCTTGTCCAAGCAGGTCAGCTTGAAGCCTGCGCCATACTTGCCCGAACGAGACGTACTGCATGGGAAGTCCGAAGGCGAGCCGCGATCTACCGAGCAGGCTCCGTTGGATGGTTACGAAGCAGATCTCGCCGCAGGCGATGTAGATTCTGCATTGGAGGAAGATTGTGTTGGGAAGGGTGCTACAAGACCTCCCCCTCTCAACAGTGGTAGACTCCCTCTACCGTGGACGGGGCGTTTAGGCTATGTGAGCGCCCTTCAATAGTGAAGCCTCTGTCGTACGCCCAATTGGGCTCGGCAGGAAGGATTACATGGCTAATAGCCAACAGGCCTGCCTCAATACATATCTACGGGTCGCAAATCCTCCAGTTTTCTCGTCTAGGACCTGTCGCATATCCACAATTCTCGATCATTGCTACCCGCTAAGGGATCCCTCGCAACCCGAACACGCAACCAAGAACCGACGGGACAAAAGCCGGACCCCTGATATCGAACGAGGTCGGAGACACTTGCAAGAATTAGGGTTGGCGAATGCAAGGGACATCGTCAAAATGCTTCGGTGGAACGAAAAATACGGCATCAAATTTATGCGACTCAGCAGCGAGATGTTCCCGTTTGCAAGCCACCGAGAGTACGGCTACGAGTTGGCACCGTTCGCCTCAGAAACGCTTGCTGAAGCAGGCAGGGTCGCGGCCGAGTTGGGGCATCGACTGACGACGCACCCAGGCCAATTCACCCAAATTGGGAGTCCGAGAGATGAAGTCGTTGAGGCAGCTATCCGCGACCTCGAATATCATAACGAGATGCTCACCCTTCTCAAGCTTCCCGAGCAGACAAACCGCGATGCCGTCATGATCGTACACATGGGTGGGACTTACGGTGACAAGGCTGCGACCCTGGACAGATTCCGAGAGAATTACGCGGGGCTGTCTGATGGCGTCAAGCGGCGTCTTGTCTTGGAAAATGACGATGTGGCATGGAGCGTCCATGACCTGCTGCCGATTTGTGAGGAGTTGAATATACCTCTGGTATTGGATTTCCACCACCACAACATCGTGTTCGATCCATGCATGCACGAAGGTACGCTCGAAATTATCAATCTCTTTGACCGTATCAAGAAGACATGGACAAGAAAGTCCATTCGGCAGAAGATGCACTACAGCGAACCGACCCGTGGGGCTGTCACACCCCATGAGCGCCGCAAACATTCCGCTCGAGTCAAGACGCTCCCACCCTGCGTTCAAGACATGGATCTCATGATCGAGGCCAAGGACAAAGAGCAGGCAGTCTTTGAGCTGATGCGGACGTTCAAGCTCCCAGGCTGGGATAAATTCAACGACATTGTGCCGTATGAACGAGAAGACGAGCCGCGAAAGGCGATCAAGAAGAAGCCCAAAAGGGGGAAGAGGAAATCTTCCGGGTCCGGCGAAGAGTGCGAGGACGATATTGAAGTCCCGGAGAGGATTATGACCTCTGAGGAGTTTGGGATGGGCGGGCCGAAAAATCGTGTCTATTGGCCTGAGGGTATGGAGGAGTGGCTGCGGCCGAAGAAGAGAGAATTTAAGAAGGGAAATAAAGGTGAGTAATGGTGATGATGGACGCTTCCCACATACTATAGTCGCCTTCAGCCGGAGACATCATGAAGAAGCGATCATTCATTGTAGCTGTAATTCTGGTTCATATGATTAGTACGCTGGTGGTTGTGTTGGAGCAAGCCGAGAAATCAAGAAACTTTTTGGACGGGGTTCCCTTCATGAAACATAAACCAAAGGGTATTTGCTTCAACACCTATCTGCCTCAAAAGGAAATTGATATCACGATATCAATGGGATTATGCTTCACCCACCCAGCTCTTGGTGCCGCGCAACGAGTGATATCCCGAGATGGCAGCGTCGCGATGGTGGAACTACCCTAGACCCATACTGTGCGAATTATTGTCGTCGTCAAGGCAGAGCTTCACTATGCACACTGTTTTCCTCACCGCAGCAACAAGCGGCTTCTCAATCTTCTCGACCTCACCTTGACAAATATTTGCACCTTGTTCTTAAAAGTTCTGTCGAGCTTCAGACTTAGCCGCCCCATTGAAGGGACCTCCCACATTCCTTCTGGGTTATTCAAGTCTCTTCCCTGACCTGCTCAAATTTTCATCCTCTGAGATGGATTCTTCAAACTTCAATGGAGCTAGCGAGAAATTTCTCCAGTGGTTCCAGTCCCTGCCTGGAGCGACCTTTTCCGATGCCATCAGGATTGTCGACCTTCGGGATCGGAATGCTGGCCGTGGTATAAGTACGATGAGATTGTTCTTATTTGACTAAGCGAAGCTAACGCCGTGATAGTTGCTACTCAAGACATTGCTCCAGAGACGACCCTCTTCACCATCCCCAGAAAGGGCATCATCAACATCGAAACCTCTGAGCTGCCTAAGAAGCTTCCCGATGTCTTTGACCTTGATGGTCAGATGGTTGATGATGATGAAGACGCCGTGCCGCCTATGGACTCATGGAGCTCCCTCATCCTTGTCATGATCTATGAGTATCTCCAAGGCGACAAGTCTTCCTGGAAGCCTTACTTCGATGTCCTGCCTTCCGCTTTCGATACTCCCATGTTCTGGTCGGAAGAGGAGCTGGGTCAGCTTCAGTCAAGCCACATGCGATCGAAGATTGGCAAGGCTAGCGCCGAGGAGATGTTCCGAGGAAGACTCTTGCCCATCATTCGCAAGAACGCCGGCCTCTTCCCGTCTAGCGAGTCTAAGAGCGACGAGGAACTCGTTGAGGTGGCGCACAAGATGGGAAGCACCATCATGGCTTATGCTTTTGATCTGGAGAAGGATGAAGAGGCAGAGGAGGATGAAACTGATGGCTGGGTCGAGGACCGGGACGGAAAATCTCTGATGGGAATGGTTCCAATGGCCGATATCCTTAATGCCGATGCGGAGTTCAACGTACGTCAGTCACGCGCCGCCCAAGCACTCACTAACATCGATACAGGCCCATGTAAACCACGAGGAGGAGAGTCTCAGTGTGACCAGCCTGCGACCTATCAAGGCCGGCGAAGAGATCCTCAACTACTATGGCCCGCACCCTAACTCCGAGCTCCTCAGACGATACGGCTACGTCACAGAGAGACATTCTCGCTATGATGTGGTAGAGATTCCATGGGATGTTGTGGAGTCGGCTATAACCACCCATTTTGGGATACCGAGCACTACCCTGGACAAGCTGGTAAGTTTCTAGCAAATGTGGTTCAATCCCTTTCTAATGAGCGTAGCGCAACGAGCTTGAAGAAGAGGAGGAGTTTGAGGATACTTTCGTGCTGGAGCGTGAGACTGGCGAGGTCAACTCGGATGGCACCTTTTCTGGTCCCGCTGCCTTTGAGGGCATGCCGGAAGATCTGCAGCAACAGTTAAAGACCTTCTTGAAGGGCGTAAAAAAAGCACAGCCTGACGCGATCCCGGACAAGCGGAAGCGTGACGAGATCCAACAAACTGTGCAGGCCAAGACGCTGGAGTCTCTCGTTTCCAGGTACCCGACGAGCATTTTTGAGGACGAGCTGCTACTGAAGAACAAGGACCTCGGCCGTCGTGCCCGGATGGCTGTCGAGGTTAGATTGGGGGAGAAAAAGCTGCTCCGTGAGGCCATTACGGCGCTTTCCTCGGACGGAGACGTGGAAATGACACTCGATGAGGAATCTGGGCCGTCAAAACGGGCCAAACGGTCCAGTTGAGATCGACGCCCGAGGTACCTTCACAACACCCTGGTCCCGCCTAGGACCAACACCATGCCGAATGCCGGATCGAGGTGGTGACTGCAAGAGTGAACACAATCGGGAAGCGACCATGTGGAAGATTTGAGATATGATACTTTGAAGATCACCTGCGCTCTGGACGGAGCGACTCGAGGCATGCGGCTCTCTGTCGTGCTGGCGGAATTGCGAACCATACTATCAAGCGCGACGAGGCAAAGAAACGCTAATCAGAATCAACATGCGCATTTTTCTGTCGTTTATATCACGGCCGTCTTCCCAAGATTTGCCCAAGTTTCTGCATCCTTATGAATGCTAAGCAATTTTCTCCATGAAGCCTACAATACGAAGGTGATGGCGCCGGCTACCCTGCTCGGATATTCTGATCCCCTCCGCTGAGCCGCAAATGAATGGCTAGTTCCCACCTCCTGGACCATCCTTGCCGAGGACAGCACCACGTCGCCGAATACTTCCGCGCGTATCGTTTCGACTTGCCACAGCGACAAAGGGTCCTTGTCAGTGCCACGGACGCCAAGATAATGTCCTGCTCAGCTGATAGTCACCGCACAATGTTCAGCAAGGCCGGTGGTGGAGACGACAAACAACCGCTGCGGATATCTAGTGGGCGCTATGTAAGGGATGAAACGGAGAATACTTTCATCGCCATTCGCGGCAACGCTTACAAACCAAGATCCAATGGAAGGTGTCCCCCCTCGGCTTACCGGTGCCACTGCTGCACTCCGCTGTGACCGGCTTCCTGCGAGTGTACCGGTGTCTACAGATCACTGGTTAGGAGAGCTGGCCGCTGACGCCTCCTGGAGCAATGATCTGCCCGGCTTGGATTCCCATCTGCGAGATGGCTCAGTGACTTCTTGAGGCCTTATCAATCGGACCCCGACAGCTTCAGGCGGCCCAAAGTTATCAAATGCATTTCGTCATAGAGGGTTCCCGCGGGTCGCCCGTGCAACCCAACCCCCAAACGGGCTGCAGGAAGCATGCCGCTGGATGTCGGAGAAGCACGGCTTTGCTTCTGGACGTCACTCGGGCAAGAACCGTCCCAATATTCCGCCGAGTGTTGGACAGACGCCTGGCAAGGCCCGAGATTGACGCCGCAACTTGCTTTTGAGCAGGGATCTAGGATGGGTGGAATATCCCTCACAAGGCTCTCCACGTTCCCATGCCTCTCTGATGGTCTTCCGGAATATCAAATCGCTGAGAACTGGTTCGTGCAAGAACCGGACCGACAGTGTATGTGGCGGGGCGGTTCCATACCTTTAGCGGCGATCAGGCTGAACATCCGCGTTCCCACGACCCGAGCACAGCGCAGGCCTCCAAGATTCCCTGAAGCCGAATGCGACAGCATCATATCGCAATAACACTCGCGCTAGCGCCGGCATCAGATCGACACCCTAAAGCTGGGTGATGTGATCCATTGGCCCGCGATGCGCACCTCCACCTGGCCAGCCGGTCTCTGACCCTTGGTCGCAAGGCCGTGCCACATCTGGGTCCCATTCTGGCTGCAGAGATACCCTAGCCCAGGACTTGCTAAACCCGGCAGATGTCTGGCCACGAGTGATGGCCAGCGAAACGGTCGTCAGGAGACCGGTCAACGTTCTGGAGAAGTTGGTAGTGGTGGTGGTGGGGTCGAGTATCTGGGGAACCAGGGTGAGTCCTGAACCACTGGCCTGGCCTCTATCAGCTGCAAGACACGGCGCCAGGCCCGGGCATGCCGTGTGTCTGCGTGATGCTAGTCCTGCTCGGGTCGGGACGCAGTGGCGTCGGTACCATGATACGAACGGGGCATGAGTGGGATGCTGTTGGCTTCGGGGGGATGGGCAAGCTTCAACAGCGTCCAGGTTGGCGTCCAGGTTGGCAGCTTGAGCCAACTTACGTATAGCAACGTAATCGTGATGCATGGGATCCCCACGGTTTTGCTTGTTCGAAAGTGGGAGTCTCGTCCAGCGGCATCCACAAGAAGGTCGAGCAGCGGGTGTCGTTGGTCAGATTCTGAGACCTTTCGACGCCTTTCGCTCAGAGGTAGCTGACGGATGGCATGACGGCCCAAGTTTACTTGCTTCGACGGGGATGGGTTTCTTGGGCAGCTACACTTGCGGCTCTGCTGCTGGACCCGTGAGGAGGGCTGGGAGGTGACGGATAAGACACTGGTGCTCTGCGCTGAGTTGAGTCTGAAAGCTGGAGGGTCGCCAATTCCACACCCCGCCTCTATCCGCCTCCTTGCACCCGATACCCCAGAGAGACAGCCGAAGATGTCACATGCGTCGAGAGTACCGGTGCGTTGTTAGCTGAAATTGGGGCAGCAACCACAACAGCTAACAGACCTCAGTCCAAGAGCTCGTCAAAGAAACATGGCGGACATGGCTCAGGACGCGGCAAAGGGGCTAGCTATGACGAGCCAATGGCCGGGGTGAGCTTTTTATTCATGGTGAATGAACTGCATTACCACGGGCCCGAACAGGACTGTTACCATAACCTCGTGCCTCCCACTGACCCAACATCATACACGGCCGAAATCCCCAGCAGCGTCATGTACTACAGAGACGGCAACGTCACTGTGGCCGAGGGTTTCCACTGGGCACGAGAGCCGCAGTATCCAGCCGACGGATATCTCTGGGGACCAGACCCAGAGACGGGTGAATGGTATCCCGTGCACAAATACAAGACGTTTGCTGTCTTCGCCTGCAACTCGCACCTCCCCATCATGGTCTCTCCCTACGATCCCCTTTCCGTCAACACCCGCTCGGGCTGGGAACTGCTCCAGCTTTTCCACCCCAGGGGGGCACTTCGCGGCATCTCGCAGGTTGCGTGTGAGGATAGTGAAATGGCCGAGGGACCTGGTCTCGTGCGACACGCCGCGGGCGCTCGACCCAGTTGGATCCCCTCGCTTCTGCCCTCGACGTACAAGTCAACCGCGACGGAGCCCCCGACCTCACGGGGACTCGGTGGCGAGTTGGCCATTATCCTGGGCCTCATGGCGCTCAGCGCGGAGCCAGATCCGATGGGAACCAACGACAATATAAACAACGTCTTTGTAGGCCATCAACGGAGGTGGCGCCGGCAGCAGTGGACATACGATGAGCGGCCTAGAGGATGTGAGTAGGGTTTCTAACAACTGCGATATGTCTTTTTTGGATCCTTGACCCTCGTTGATGCTGTGCTTCAGACGGCTGACCTGTGTCGATCGCTAATCACGCTTTCACTAGATCCCCAAACTGACCGGGACGATCCGAGAGGGTTTCTCGTCAATGTATTCCACGACCCGATGAGCCCAGAGACATCCACCGACGAGGTTCTGAGATACTTCGAGTGGTCGGATGCTATTGTCCGTGAGACTCGGTCTTGAAACAAGTCTCCCTCCCTCTCCCGTGATGGTGTCGAAGGCTGGTGACGTCCCTGATCGTTTTGATCATGTTGATGCTGTTCGATTTTATGCATGTTTTTGAGAAGCGGTGAATATGCCACACATTAGGCGAAGGGTTCTGCATTTGCTAATTTTGCGTCGATTCATGTCCTTCTGTGTTTATGCCTTGGATAACAACAGTATTTTGAGACTACAGTATTGCTCACAACAGTGTGGATGAGGAAGCCTAACATGATGCAGGCAACAACAGAATGACAGCGGGAAGTGAAGCGTCGACAGGATTCGGTCTTTAAGGGTTTCTATTATTCATTCATCTTGGCTGTGAATATGTTTCTTTTTATCAAGTTCCGTCCCTTACGTGCTGGTGCAGCCTTTCCCACGTCCCCCCTTTATGTAAAGCTCCCTCTCCTTGTGCCACCGACTCCCCTCCCTGCATCACTGTGGTTGAAGCTGGTCTCTGTCTCGTATGACCCGTGTGGCCGTTGATCCGGATTTCACCAAACCCTCGCTGCCAACGTTGACTCTGGCGCAGCAGACCTCGACCCCAGGCCGGTGGCCGTGCCGCGACGTCCTCGTTGCGGTTGGCGGGAGGAAACGGGTCGTTCTTCGTAAGGTTAAAAAAATGGGTTTAGGTCTCTGCGCCGTGGGACGCGGCTCAGACGGCGTCAGGCAGTCGGACAGCAATGTCGCCGGACTGAGTGATGTATCGGACCCAGGGGAGAGAAGGGTATTGCAGCTGCAGGGGGAGGTTTGTGAGCATTTATACAGATGGAAGATGCGGAGATATCAAGGCCCCTTACCTTGGGTTCAGTAATCTTTAGATATCGCACTTGGATACCGCTGGTGGTGAAGTAGGGAATCTCAAACTTGACCTGGATGGGCCTCTTGGCACCCTTTCCGGGACCTCCAACACCACCCATGCTGCCTCCAAAACCACCAGTCATACCACCACCGTGCTCATCGTCGCCCCTTACGCTCGGCAAGCCCAGCTCGGCGCGCATGAGGAACTCCTTGCCGCCACCAAACTGCTTGATTTTCCAGACAATGGCGCTCTGCTCAGGGGCGTAGTGGACGGAACCGATGTTGGTGCGGAAGCGCGGGCTGTCGGCGTCGTCGGGGACGGGGACAACGATCTCGACGTTGTTTGCGGTGCTGCGGCGCTTGAACTGGGCGCGGGCCTTGAGCATGTACTCGATACGGGAGCCGGAATGGGACTCGACGACGCATTCGACCCAGATAAGGGGCTTGACCTGGGTGTTGAGGCGGTAGGACATGAGTTCGAACTCGCCGTCGGGGGGGATGAAGGAGATGGTGCGGTCGTTTTCGAATCGAGACAGGCGGACACACTGGTGGAACTTGACGTCCTCCATCTCGATGGCCTTGCCGCGGGTGGTGCGGCCGGTTGTCTCGAACATGACCTTGTCGTTGAGGCCGAGACGCAGCTCGGGCATACCGCTGAGGTAGCACTTCATCTTGATGGCGCCGAGAATCTCACTACGTAGGACGTTGCCGTTTGCGCTGACGAGAAGGTTGAGGCTCTCGACGACGTCGAGGAAGACCTCGTTCTTGCGGTAGCGGATGCCCTCGGAACGCCACGAGACGGCGTTTGTCACGGCGATGGGGGGACGGGCCTGGATCTCGAGCTTGTGGGACTCCTGGGTGATGTACTCCTGGAGAATCTTGGACTCGGTGGTCTGGGGGTAGCCAAAGTCCATCATCTCATCGAGGAGCTCGTAGATGATGACGAAGTTGTCGCGGATGGACTCTTCCTCGAGGGCCTTGAAGTACTCGGTGAAGACCTCGACGACCTTGTGGAGGAAGAGGAGGATCTCGGCGGCATTTGTGTTGCGTTTTGTGAGGGCGAGGAGGTAGAGGTTGTTGTGTCGGATGTAGAGGTACTAGAGAGGAGTTGGCCAAGTCAGACGGAGCCTATGGAAGGCCGATGGGCGAGATGTGGTTCCCTCAAACGGAAAGGAGCAGGAGAGGTCACGTACGTTGATGCCCTCGTGGGAGAAGCATGGTGGCACGGCAGAAGAGTCTTCTTCGGCTTCGGAGAGGAGGATGGGGAACTTTTCGACGGCGGACATGGGGAGATCACCTCGGTAGTTGCGGGCGAGGAGAGTCTGCGCGCGCAAGGCCAAATCAGCTTCAGGGTGTCATGGAGTCGACCGCCTCCGGAGCAGGTCCGTAATCCCGGGACGGGAGCGGGAGCGGGAGCGGCAGCAGGAGCACCGGAGGCAAGGAGAAGAACGCACCTTGCCCTTGAGGTCTAGGAAGAAGAGAGCCGACGCCATGGTGGGCAGGAGCGTATCTGTTGCGAGGGAGAGGCGGTGGTGGAAGCTCTAGGAGGACGAGGCGGGTCGCGAGCGAGGGGCAATAAGGAGGCAAGCGGACAGCGTCGTCGGAGTCAATTGGCGGCGCGGCCACGGGGACAGGAGGCACGAGGATGGGCGGCTCATGCGCGGGAGATATTGGAGGACGGCGTCACAGGAGGTCGCAGGCAGACATTTTCGGTTGCGCGACGGGGGGAGAGGGCGAGGCGAGTCGGAGCTGGACGTTGGAGCTGGATTACAGATTATTTGGCATCTATTTGGGAGCCTGGACCTGGCCTGGGCCATCTAGAGCATCGCAGCCGCCATGGGCCGGCACAACGTCGGAGCCGGCTTTGGTGGGGCTTGTCCAGCGTGGGAATTGGGAGTGTGGTCACGTGAGCACAGAAAAATATTCGTTAACAAAACTGTCGCCGTTTCTCGTCCCTCTTACCCTTTTCTTCTCTTTCCCTCAACGCACCCTCTAGACAGTGCAGACCATCTACAACCCCTTCAAACGGGTGGTCCACTCCCGAAATGGCTTTCTGTCAGACCGCCGTGGATTGTGGTGAAACTGCGATTTCGTGGTGCGGAGAATGATTTCTTCTTGGTTTTATAAGAACTGCCCAAGTTCATTCTCTACTGCTTGGGCTAGTGTCAGAAGAACCGCACATTTTGATGCCGTAGCCATCCATGCCCCTGTGATTTTATCTTCAGGCTCGCACAAGGAGAGCCGACCTTTGCGCACCATCCCCCACAGTTCCGGTCATAGAAATTTTCGGTTCAGTCGATGCGATCTTATGTCTACAGCAATCGCGACATAAAACCTCCTCAGGGTTGTCGCGAAGTGATGCATGGAGTGCTGGGACCAAGACCTCACAGGGATCGGGTTTCCGTTGTCCCGCGCTGGATGGGATGTGGATGTTAGCTCTATCTTCATTCCCTCCCCGCCTCGAAAGCCTTCACCTGAATCCTGTCGCTGTCTCGTCAGTCGAGAGCCAAGAAGTTTAAATCTGCCTGATTCAATTCGACATTGCCAATTCGTCGCGTCAGAAGGACCAGAAATACCGTCATATAAAACTGTCTTCAGTTCAACTGCCGTCATGTGACATCGTGTTTCTGTGTGCGAATCGGCGGCGACGCCACAGGCTGTCTCTGGCCCTTCAACGAACAACTGCCGTGTCTCGGTGATTGAGGCGTCGCGACGGTCAAGCTCGGTTCCCTGAAAAAAGGGTTCCAGGCCCAAAGCCCATACGTCGTTGTGCAGCACAGCGCAGATGCATATCTTGCGGGGGACGAATGAACTGGGCAGGTGATGAAGCGATAACGGACGAAATCCTTCCGAGATTGCCATGTGAAGCCTCCCGACGCTGCCCACCTTGCCGTCGTGGTGGCGACGTTGATGTCGTGGTGGTCACTCTAAATCCTCGGTTGACTCTCCCCAATGTCTTGGTTCGATATATGTGCCTCCAAGTATAACCTCTGGCGCCATCGTCAACTTGTTGGGAAAGACATTTCATCGTGATAGCATGTGAGGCTTTGGTCTCCAACAGTCAGATGCCACATGGAGAAAGCATAAAACCACAAACAAACGGCGGTGATCTTGCCTCCCCCAGTAGGATCCCACACTAAGCCTATTCAAGCGGGGAGCTTCATCCATCATCCATGAATGTAGGGATCATCCTCCCACTCGGGCTTTGCTTGTGGAGGGACCGTATTGGGCATGTCGGCTGCGTGGGCAAGCTGACGTTGAATTCTGTTCCCATGGCCTCGGGTCCGTCCCCGGAATTCGAAATGGAAATCGATCAGAAATTCCTACCTTTTTGGAGCTCAGATCCAAAGGACTTGTCTTTGGGAGGAGGAGGGCGATGGCTGCCCCACATGTGTTTGAGTGGGTTGCCGGCGGCTTCGTGATGTAACCCGAAGCTATTTCCTGGAGGCCGGTGAACAGCGATGATTCTGCAATACGGGGGGACGTCTGGGGAAGAGCAGAGTACATGGCCGGGGAACGGACTAGCGAAGCTTGGCCGACTCTGACTGCCGACTAGGTAGCACAGGCTGAACATTGGCAAGGCTCGGCAACGGCATGGCATCCGATGGAGGAGGGAGGGCGGGCGGCCTGGCTGATCAAGAGGGCGCAAGCACGAGCCCAAGAGGGCCGAAGCTCGAGCCATCGGCCAGAGGCAAGCAATCAATCGGGCAATGGGATGGAGGGCAACTCGGAGCGAAGGGGGGACCGGCCGGCAACCCGGGAGTTGGATAATGATTGGGGGGGTCGGTTATAGACTACTGTCGATGGGGGCCACGACGGGATGGAAGGTAGGTTGGTAACCTGCGATATTGCGTCGCAGGCAAGGCAGCGAGATACAGAGCACTCACTTCCCAACAAACATGGCACAAGCACGGGCTTCGTTCAGCGTCGGCCACTCGTCAGCAGGCACGCACACGAGACAGCCAGACCATCCAAACCATGCCGTGCCGTGGCTCGAAGCCAGGCTCGCGGGTGTTGGGTGTTGGGTGTTAGCCGCCTGGCACATGACTCGAGCCCGTTGCTTACCACCAGGATATGTTAGCCGAGTGACTTGGCGGGCTCGGCCATCCGTCATTCTGCGAGGTCCGTCTATGATTTTCCCGACGAAGCTCAGAGCCCGGAACCTGATTGCAACCGACCGAGTCAAGGCGCGATTTATTAGGGATTTGGGGGATGCGCCGCGGGGGGGTTCAGGATGGAGGATGGATGGGGGATGGGGATAAGAGATCTCAGACTTTTGCCTTTGCATGTGATCCCGCAGCGCAAATCGATCCATCATTGATCCATTGCCATCCCACCCCTGGCCTGTTAGCCCTGGCCTATCAACGGACCCCTGTTGCCGTGCTTGAACGCACCATTGCCCGGCTCTGACACGTGCTTGTGATGATACACGATGCTACATGGGACCGACGTGATGGTTGTATCCCTACTACGTAGTACACACCAGGTACTCTCCGGAGAGATACAATCACGGCTCCCATTCGTTGTCGCTGCCAAGTCGTGGTTCATCGACTTGTGCCCCCCGGTTGTTGTTACATGCCCTCCCACAGGATAATAATTGCCTGGCTGCCCTTCATATGGCGAGGAAGTGAGCCGGCCGCAAGAGCCTGTCGCCGCTTTGCATCCTTTGCATCCGCGGCACTGTCTGTTAAGTAGCCATTCTGCTCTTATAGATATCATCCTCGTCCCGCCCTTCTCCCCCTTTGCCCCTCCTCCCCCGTAATAAAAAGAGAAGGCTTATTTTTGACGACCATGCAAGGTTGACGCCGACCTGAGCCTCAGTTCGTCATCGTTTATTTTGTGCTTCACTGCTCAACCCTCCCCCCTCTCCGCCGAATCTCAGCCCTGGGTCGTTGTCCCCTCCTCTCTCTTCCGGGGCGGCCTTCGTCCTCCACTTCTATCTCTGGGCATCGTCGTCGGGCGTCTCACAGGGCGTCTCACAGGCTTCTAGCGGGCTGATATCCCCACTATTCGGCTGTCCAGGTGGCGTCGTTAGCCACTGACCGCCCACTAACCCACTGGGATCCCACCTGAGCCCGGTCCGGTCTGCGCTAAAGCTCGGCGTCCACCTCCTCGGCCTGGTCCCTGCAGCTGAACCCGCTGGAGAGTTTCTCAGCACGAGCGCCTGACGTTTTTTCCCTTCCCTGTGGCTTCGTTGGTGGTCCCCTGTGGCTCCCTGTGGTCCCTCCCCTGTGCGCTCCCAAGACCCCCGCCGCGATCAACTGAAATACCCTTTGCAGCCGCCCCCTCAAGCGCCCCTTCCGGGCGTCACCTCATCTCTCATCCCATTCATCCCTCCTTCCCCAACCCTTTTGCGTCTTACTCCTCTCTCGCACCACCAAAGAATTGCCGACAAGACACAATCCTCACTTAACATCGCCCTCTCTTACTCCACCTCTCCGTCTCTGGCCCAGACGGCGCGCACCGCATCGCACCCGTTGGACTCTTCCGCGCCCGGTCAAGCGTCTTTCTCGTATCCCGCACCGATGTCCGGTTGACGTACCCGCCTTATCGCCGACGCCAGCTCCATGGAGCGCAATCACATGCTTGCCCCAACCCGCGATCGCGAGTCCGCCTCATCCCACGATGCCGTCCTCGGACCGCCGCCTCCTCTCCCGACAGCCCATATGATGGGCTTCTCTCCTCCCGCCTACTCCCCCTCGAGCCACGTCGGCGCTTCGCTCCTCAACATGCCCGATGTGCCCACCACCGAGCTGCCTCCCCCGCTGCCGCGACCGCTACCGCCGTTGTCTCATCGCGATGCCGATATCAAGTTGCCTTCACTCAGCTCCCTCACCGGCGACTTGGCCCTCAACCCTCCCAGCAACCATTGGCCTCATATGACCCCCCTCTCGCCGTACCACCCATCCGCTCCGCAGCCGCTGCACACCGCCGACAGCCCAAACAAGATGGACCTCGACGCAAGCACCAACAGTGTCGCCAGCGCTGCGTCTCCCGATCGCCTCCTTGATGCGAGATCAGGCAGCGTAAGCCTTGACGACCCCGATGTGCGACTAGCCGCCGAGGCGCTGGGCGATTTGAGAGCCGGTTAGACCCCCTGCTTACCCTCATGATGCGCAGTCGCTAATCATGTGACAGACTTTGTATCGTCACCTCCTAACAGAAATTCATCGCTCCCCGTGAGCCCACCGACCTCTCACAGCTATCAATCAAGCTCCCGGACACGGACGCAATCCCCACAGCCCGAGCCCTTGCTGTCTCTCCTCACCACATCCCATCCGTTGCTCGCTAGCACTATCGAAGGCGCAACATCCGCCTATGGAGGTGCCAAGAACTTCTCCCCGCGCTTCCGGTCTGGCGCCGAGTACGTCGAAGGTTATCTCACGCCAATTGCCAATACCGTTGGCTCAGTCGGTCGGAGGACTGGCGTCGAAGGTGGTGTGCGGTGGTTCTTGGGTGCAGGACGAAGGCACAACAGCTCTTCCTCTGACCTGGAAACTGGAAATGGCTCCAAGAAGCGACGGAAAGTTGACAACACCCAGTCTGTCAGCAACAAGCGAGTCGAAGGAGAAGGCATGAAACAGATTGGCGGTCTCCAGCAGCTCCCAAGCGAGAGCGACGGACTGCAAGACCCGTTCTCTCCCTCGTCCAGGTTCGCCTCCCGCCGCATGTCTACAACGAGTACCGTCGACACCTTGCCAGCCTACGATGAAATACGGTCGCCTGCCTACACCGAAACGGCTGATGCACAAAACTCTCCAAGGCCGTCCAATGGAGCGTGGCAGTCCCGCTTGATCATGTCCACTTCGGGTTTGAGCATCGCGATGAGCGATGAGAGCCTACGCAGCTTGAAGTACTGCTTGCGATGGCTGAAGTGGGCCAATAGCCATATTGGCCGCGTCATTGGTGCCCTGAAGGACACCCTGGAACAGTTTGACAAAGAGGATGCCGCGGCGGCTGCCCATTCTCAAACATTTGAGCAGGATCACGCCCTCGGCGAGCCGAGCAATGGCGCAGCTGTAGATGACCAAGTTGAGTCGCGGAGGGAGATTGCTGCTCGGATTGCCACCCTTAAGGGTGATGTCCTCAGGACTCTCCAGGAAGTCATCATCACCGTCTCAAAATACGCTGGCGGTGCCCTGCCTGAGAACGCGCGCATTCTCGTTCGCCGTCATCTCACCAGCCTTCCCCAACGCTTCCGCGTGGCTACTATGTCGGACAATGCCGCACAGGGCAGTGACGCAGACAGCGAGTCTGCCCTACGTGAGGGTGCACAGAAGGTACTGGTCTTGGCCAAAGAGGGTCTCGACATGGTGGCACAGGTCAGCGGTGTCCTTGATGGCACCATCGTCAGCGCGGAAGAGTGGTGCGAGCGAATGGGCAAGCGACGACGCAACCCCGATGAGGAGAAGTCAGTGTTGCCACAAACTCAGACCAACGGCGATGTAAAGATGGGTTGAATGTTTCATCCTACAAACCGAACCGTCTCACGAGACGATAAGAGGATGATGCAGAGAGAAGCAACAAAGAATCGGAGCGAGGCGATGCCAAAGACAAATGGCCGACGAAAAGGAGCAAGAAAAAAACAAAATGGTTAAAAGCAAAAACAAAAACCTCATGGAGATGGTGAAAGCCTCTCCATAAGCACCGGGGACTGAGTGGTGGCTTACGGAAGACGTTGAGATGCAATGGGCTAGGATGTGGACTTGACATGATACCTGACTGTGTGCCACAATGATGGAACACGGACATTCCTTTACACCGATTTCCTTGAGATACGAGAGGCAACGAGCTAAACATTCGGGGCAAGCAAGCGGGTCATGGCTGGGAACTGTTTGTCAATACTGACTTCCCACCTGACCATTTTATTTACCGTTTCTGTTGTGGATATGGCGTTGATGGTTTAGGGATGCCTGTCAATATGGGGCTGTTTTGGAGAGTTGATATTGAGCAAAACTGTTGCTTTCCCATGTCTTGGGTATTTTTCGAGACGAGTATCTGAGGATATCTCAGCGTTCATGTTGCGATCCATTTCAATGTCTCATCTTGTCTATGACATCGTCGTCATTCTTGGCGGCGTTTTGCTTGGAGCGGTATGATACCTAGTTGTGAGTTTGCGTGTGCCGTTGTATTCCTGACTTGAGCTCTAGTTGTGATGGGTTCACTCCGCTTGATGGAGAATAATGACATCATTTCTTGAACTGAGCTGCCATGATATCGTTCAAGGTAGCCCACGGCATGTATTCCGAATCGTGCCAATGGGACTAGTTAATATGGGAAATAGTAATGAATCAGCCCAACTTGTCCTGCAGCCCGAAAGACACGCAATGAAACTGCGCGTCACAACAAGAGCCCCGTTAATTCTTGAGTATTTCTATTCGCAAATATGTGCATTACATTCGCACATGGGTATGCATTCTTCGTCTAATAGCCAGGTAACTTCATGAACCTGTATCCGCAATTAAGGGCAGGATCTGAAGTTCAAGGTCTACCCTTGCTATCAACTGTAACAAAATAAGCATTAGCCTTAATGGATAAATACTTAGAATTGGCCTCGTTGATTTTCATCTCTAAATTGCTCCACTGGAAATAATCGCCGTTACTTATATGTACTTTAACTTAATCTATGTGGAAAGATCAGCCATATAACAAGATCTACGTACTTCACAATGATGTATACGAAGTACGAGCAAGAATTAAGTCTTCCCGTTCGCCTCACCCCGCTTCAGCCGCACCGCCTAGTCACTTCGCATTCACTCGTATTCATCGTATTGTCCTCTCAGGCCGCTCTCTAACAGCGTAAGGGCTCTTAAGCGATCAATACGGTCTTCTGCCCCCGGAGACGGCAGACTTGCTACCACGTCATCGTGGCATTAGTCCGATCCAATGGGGCTATTTTCAAGGGCCGGTAGACCGTGCCACCAGTTAGCATGGCGGTAGATGGGCTGCAGCGGGTGAGGGATCGAAGATTATGTGGAGGGGATGCTTAGATGGAGGTTTCGGATGCTAGCTACTGGCTGGACTAGCTGTAGGCTGCATCCTCCTTTCTCATTACTTCGCAAAATGGTCGATGTATCTGGAACCAGGCGTGGCTGCAAGTGGTTATTGAGAAGCGGCAAGCCCTGGCTCAACGTGAATGCATAAATAATCCCATATCCCTCCCCATTATATCATCTGATGGGCCACCACTCGGCATAGATCAAACGCTGAGATCCTCATTATGAAGCCTCCCACCGCAATATCACAGCTCGCACTGCCCATCTTGACAGTAGCCAAAGGCGAGAACTATCCCATCCCTCCTCCAACGGCAGCTCTCGACTCCGGTCCAATCGTCGGCGTTTCTGTAGAGCTCCTTGATTCCATTTCTCCAGTCAATAAGTATCTCGGCATCCCATATGCGTCGCCCCCGGAACGGTTCAGTCGTGCAAAGAAACCACAACCGTGGACGAAACCCCTTCCGGCTACTAAATTCGGACCGGCGTGTACCCAATTGTTTGTCAACAATGGTAACTCATCCTCTTGGTAAAACATTTATGTGCACAGAGTACTAGTAATCTCACTTGAATAGAACTCGGCCCCGGTGTGGATATCCTCAAAGATTTCTTCGACAACAACCCGCCCGAGAGCGAGGACTGTCTGTACATGAACGCCTTTGCGCCGACGAGCCCACAGCCCCCTGAGGGCCGCCCCGTGGTGCTCTTTATTCACGGCGGTGGTTGGCAACAAGGACACGGAAGGATCGACATGTCTGGGTTTGCAGCGTATGAAGACATTGTCGCGTTCTCGTTCAACTACCGCACAAATAGTATGTGGTTCCTGTTTCTCACACACCTCAAGACAACTGACCGACGCAGTGTTCGGGTTCGCCAACTCTCCTAATATTCCCGTCGACGAGACCAACCTCGGTCTGTACGACCAGCAGCTCGCCATCGAATGGGTCCAGGCCAACGCCAGAGCCTTCGGCGGAGACCCGAGCAAGGTGACCATCTGGGGCGAGTCAGCCGGCTCCATGTCCGTCGACATCCAAGTCAACGCGTACGGAGACGCCCACCCACCGCCCTTCCGCGGCGCGATCATGTTTAGCGGCCAGATGTCTGTAGGCCTGCTGGGCTCGACTTCGAATCCTCGTGACAAGAGAAACTGGGAGGCTGTCGCGCGGGCGGTAGGGTGCAACGGCACCGACAACCAACTGTCCTGCTTGCGCGCCGTCTCAGCAGACGACCTCATCGACGCCATGTCCGCCACGCAAGTCACCTTCATGCCCGTCACCGACAACGTGACAGTGCCCAGCGGACGGGCGGAGCGGTGGCGCAGCGGCGAGAACGCAAAGGTGCCGGTGCTGATGGGGACGATTGCGCAGGAGGGTCGCGCGCTGGTGAACCGCCACATCAACATGAGCCTGTTCCTGGATTCGTACCTGATGGAGCCGCTGGTGACGCGGGAGCAGCGCGAGGTGATCTTGGACGTGTACAGGGCGGATCCGGAATTGGAGACGGACTTTGATGTTGCAGCGGCGATTTATACGGATTATTTCTTCCGGTGTGTAAGTGAAGGTGACCCCTATCTTGGACCCCGAGACCTGAACTGGTGCGTAGCCTCAAGGAATACTAGCCAACATCTCGGCTTCCATCGACAACCCCACCTGGCGGTTCTACTTCAACGCCTCCCTCACCAGCATGTTCCCGAGGAACCTCGCCTGGCTGGGGAAGTTCCACGGGTCCGACGTGGCGCTGCTCTTCAGCTCGCCCACATTCGAGGGCGACGCGGGGGGGTTGCCGTTGACGCCGCAACTGTATACGCTTGGCAACTACCTGCGAGGCGTCGTGGGGAGGTTCGTCAAGAACCCGCAGGGCGGGCCCGGGTGGCCGGCGGTGGGCTCGCGGTATGCGCCGTTTGACGTGGCGAATCTGGGAGATGTCGGGAGAGAGGTGACGGTGGCGGGGCCGACGATGGTGGATCAACGGGTGTTGGATGAGAGGTGCGAGTTGTACGAGGCGATATATCCTGTGCTTGAGAAGTATGTGTTGTCTTAGTTGGGCATTTCACAAGGCAGACGTGGCAGAATCAAATATCAAAGTGCATGGCGAGTTGAGTGTTGTTAATAGAGTAGATTTCTCGAATACGGACGTAACTATTCGGATAATCTTCTATCTACATGACATGTTTATCCCGTCATGATGGCTTAAATACCTGTAATAAATGTTAGTCAATCTTATCAATGACGCCTCATGCTGCGAATCGACACTCACCAAGAGCCTTCGCAAGGGCGACTCCCACGCCGTGTGCAGATCCAGGGTTCTGGCCGGAGATGATCAGTCCATCGACAACGACCTTCTCGCCCCAGGCCTCGGCAGCCTTGACGTAGTTGCCTCCCACGCGCTTGATCTCGTCCTCGAGCAGGACGGGCATGTTCTTGGTCATGTCGACGGCGTGCTCCTCGGCGTTGCTGAAGCCGGTGACCTCACGGCCCTTGAGGAGGGGCTGGCCGCCGTTGACGGTGACGTTGACGAAGACGATGGGGCCGTGGCACACGGCGGAGACGGGCTTGCCGGCCTCGTAGAACTCCTGGATGATCTTGAGCGAGGTCTCGTCGTTGACGAGGTCGAACATGGGGCCGTGGCCACCGGGGTAGAAGACGGCATCGAACTCGGATGCCTTTCCGAGGAACTCGCTGAGCGGCCGCGTCTCCTCCCAGAGCTTCTGCTTGCTGTTGAGGAACTTGACGGACGCCGGGTCGCTCTCGAACATCTTGACGGAGCCTTGGTCGAGGGGCGCGACTCCTCCGGCGGGAGAGGCCATTACGATTTCGACGTCGTTCTTCTCGTCATCGCCGACGAGGGCGTAGTAAGGGTGGGCGAGCTCGGGCTGGAGTGGTGGATGTTTAGCTGGGGAGCTGGGGAGCTGGGGAGCTGGGCAGGGCAATTGGGTGAGGCTACAAACCAGGTACCATCCGGTGGGTATGCCGTTGTTCATCTTGTCACGGCTGGTGAGGACGACGAGGATCTTCTTGACGGCCATTTTGACGAATGGATTGAATTGAATTCAAGGTTGGTGGCGTTGTTAGTGATGGTGGGATGGCGGGATGGTAAAAAGCCAATGTATGTTGGTGTGAGCGGGGGAGGGGTTGTAGGATGTCACCAGAAGACGAATATGACGACAGGGCGTATTTATATATACGACCTTGGGCTTCTGCAACCCCTTCCAAACGTAATATTTACCGCCCCTGCATCAGTCCTCAATGCAGGTAGAAAGCCTCTGCTCGAGCTAGCGATCACCAAGCCCAATGCCGTTTGCTTGACGTCAGACGGCCAGATCAACACCAAAGCACGGCCCGGAGCCGTCCATTCTCGGCATCAAGCCCGATAGCGCCGGGTCGTCGGCGGCCTGACACCGCCAAACTGCCAGCAAGGGCACGACGGCCGAGGCTGAAGGGCGGGGCCGTGGGAATTGTCGAGCGTGTTTTTCGGACTCGGGTAAGCAAAGTGCATTAGCTCGCTGCTATCGCCGTCGGAGCTTTTATCGCCGCAGGAGCTTCCATCGCCCATACGAACTCGAGAAGCCCGTGGAGCGGATTCTAGGCTGATCAGCTCTTCCCAACTCGCAATTCAGGGTCCACTCGTGGCGGTTGCACAGACTTTTAACAGTGATACTCGGCCCAACTGTCTGCTATGTTCCGGGCTCACTGACAAATCCGCCGTCAAGTTGCTCCGAACGGGAAGTGTTGTTTCTCCGGGGAGAGTATTTACAGCGTCTACGCCGCAGAAAAAGCTATCCAACTAATGGTGCTCAAGTTGATATATTGTACTACGGAGAACATAGCTAGCTCAACCTAAGTAGAATCCTTGGCGATGGAATGGAAGCTCCCAACTTCTGGTCTAGCGGGGAAATCCAATCACGGGGTCCACTCTGAAGCTCCACATGACTTCATCGCAAGACAACGACAACCTCCCTCAACACCACAACTTACTCACGCATCCTTACCCAGCGCACACAATGTCCCTGTAGAGATCCCCTCTCTTATTACCTCGTATCACATCCAGGCAGCCCTGCCACCTGCCACCACCTCGTCGTCGTCATCATGGCCCCCATCCACCACTTCTCCCTCCGCGTCCTCCTCATCGTCCCCGTCCTCCTCGCCATCGCCACCATCGTCGCGCTCTTCGTCCACTCCGACGTCAACGCCGCTCTGCTCTGGTCCCAGTGCCACTCGCACGCTGCCCTGCCGCTGCTCAGCCGCATCCCTCTCCTGGGCACGCCGCTGTGCTACCTGGTCAGCTTCTTCCATGCCGCCCTCGACTCGCTGCGCAGCGTCGCCATCATGGCCGCCGTCCTCGCCTTCGTCGGCGGGCTCTTGACCGTCAGCACCGTCGAGGCTGCCCGCGTCTGCAACGCCCCGCATGTCCTTGTCGCCTATCCCACCGGGCCGTGGCTCGTCTTTAACCTGCTCGGCGGTGCTGTCGTGTGGGAGCTTGTCATTATCCCAGCCTTCTTCCATTCCACCAAGGCCCTCTTTGCCGCGAGGAAAAGACGCCAGGATGCCAACGAGGACCAAGAGGACCAAGAGGCCGCTTCCGAGACGGAGGATCAGAGTAGCCACCTCCCAGACACCGACGTCGTTGCCATTCCCGTCAGCGTGGCCCTAGGCTACTTTGTCCCCTCTATCCTGATGCTCGTCCTCAACTCTCCCGTCTCCATTGGAATCTGGCTCTTCTTCCCAGTCTACGTCTCCCTCATCCGCCAAGCCGTCCGCAAGGTGGTCACAGCCGTGAAGAAGGTCAACCCCACCCTCATCCATCTCGAGTCAAACCGGCGCTCGCTCGCCATCGTCTACGCTCTCCCCATTGTCCTATCCATAGCGGCCCATGTCTTTCTGCTGTGGAATCTAACCCGGTCCGATGATCGCAAGAAGGTGACCAAATCTACCCTCACATTCATTGAGATTGATATCCAGTTCATATTCTGGACTGTTCTATACTGGATGCTCGTCGAAGTTGGTTGGAGGGTCCCCTTGGCCACGGTCGCCTGGTCAGTCTTCGTTGGTCCTGGAGCGGGAACTTGTCTGGGATGGGTCTACCGCGAGACGCTCATTCATGATGGCCGTAGCCTTGACGGACACGAGGAACCCGAACATGGAAACGACGAACAAACCGGCCGGCTGGCAGACGAGGAGACGCCCCTGCTACAGTAATGATTGAACCGTCTCCTAGACATGAAGATGAGCGCTTTTAGATACCCAGACATAATCGTAATTTACCATGACACGTCCATAGCAATACAAGATGGTTCATAACATGGGTGTTTTCTCCTTGGGCCGACCGCCGTCATGGTTTGTACAGAATCCAGAGGCCTCATCCCTAAATGGTACAGTTATATGATACAGATTAGTTTGCCCCCCTATGCCCGCACCTTGCCCAGTATCCGCTCCCGGATGACCTGCGCTGCCACCACGGATCCATGCTGCAGGGTGATGGCGCCAAGAATCGCCAGGATAGCGCTGTTGAGCACAACTTCGACACCGGAAGCCTTCAGTTTCCGTACCTATTCACCTCTGTTAGCGTCTGCATCTCAATCAAACCGGCCGCAATTCGCCATCTAGTGACAATAAACAGCGCTTGGGAATTCCTTGTCCACGTACCAATCGGGGCTTCCACCGCACAACGTCAATCAACCCCACTTCAATGGCAAGATCGTACAGCTTCTCTTTACCGACGATGTCCCGCGGCCCCTCCATTGTCAGGTTGTCTATCGAATCCAGCTGCGGGTGTGTAAACGGTTGTCGGTTGAACTCATCCGCCACTTTCGCTCCGGGGATGGCGTCCTTGGCCACAATTTGCTTGGTCGTCTCCATGATGAGCGCCATTCGGCCTGCACAAAGTCAGCTCATTATTCCGTCCCGCCAATCCCAGGCCAAGGCCTCCGCAAACGGCCGCAACATACCGACGAGCGCCAATCGGTCGTTGAAACCTCTCCTTCCCTGGTCAAAACTCTTGTGCGTCACAGCCAACCACTTGAGCTCCTCTGGCAAAAGCCTGCTGCCGTTGGGGCCCAGCAGGCGGTCGTACACCTCGTCCAGCTTCTTGGGGTCGTTGTTGACGGACCAGATCTTGTTGTGGGCGTACTTTGCAAAGTCGAGCTGGACATCGGCCTTCATTTGGGGAGGCGTTTGGGACCACCGGGGCACTGGGGAGGCGGCGGCGGGCGTGGACTTGAAGGATTCCGGGGTCGCGTCGGAGGCATAGGAGCGCACGCAGGGCATGAAGGCGCGGGCGGCCTGGCGAGAGCGCGCGAGGCCGGCGCGGCAGGGTTGTAGAGCCATGGTTGTAAGGAATTGGCCCGGCTGCGAGCGTTGAGGCGGTTCGGTCGGAATGGAGTCGTCTTGCGGATTGCTGCAAAGCTGCAGTCGCGAACATTTTCTCGAGGTCACGTGGCCAGACCGCTGGCTTCCGCCGTCGCGGCCCCACTTCCGGGCTTGACATGTCCGACTCGATACTCCAGCACTTAACTTAGACCCAGACTTAACCCCCAATCGAAAGACAAAATTAACCATAGTTAATACCCATTGAGTAAATTTGAGGCATTGGGTCTTTTACTTATGCCAAATACGATAATCACACACACTCATACACCATGTCCGCATAGGAACAATTTCAGGCGAACCTGGAGTGCAGGAGAGAACGGATTCGACAACGTGCCAAGACGGACCGGCGAAAGCGGAAGCCGACCGGTGACGCCAACTCCGCAGAGCGCATGTCCTAGAGCACTTGATGTAAAAATATATGCAGAAATTGGGCTACCTTTATTAGGCTAACAATGGAAGCCATAAAGGGTCGTGACCTTATTCAATGGGCCTTGGCCAGGGTTTATGTTAATCATCGTGAGTGGCGTGCTGAGCTTCGGACAACCTGTTTACCCGCCTGATGCTACGGCTTTCTTACGCTCCCTTGAAAGTTGCGAGGATGAGGTAGGCGACTTTTTTACTTTCAAGTACGCCCTGCGATACCCGGGACTTCGTTCACATGTCGCCGGAGCTGTGCAAGTTCACTCGCTGCGACTAGAGAATTCCAAAATATCCCAGCGGTAATAGCAGCGCAGATATTGGGATTCTCTACCAGAAGGATCTTCACCTGCAACACGAGAGAGCTCCGCTCGAAAAGGCCAGAGAGATGTGCCTGGATCGCGGTGGCCAGGTGGCACATTACTGGGCACGGTGGATGCCAGAGAAGTTCGGGCTGCAATTTAGCAAGGAGAGGAGCTACTTGTTCTTGCGACATGGGATTCAATGAAGCCCGAGTATACCGTTCCAATTCCTTGATATTAAAAGGGCTAATAAACCTTCGTTGTCTATAGATCCAATTAGGTCGAACAACGGCCGGCTGCAGCGGTGGAGTGCTAGTCAACCATTTTTAATACAGTTAATGGGTCAGAAAGAATCGAGGGTACCTTCATGCGATTGAGGCAGTCTTCGGTGGGAGTCTCCTCCGTAATTCGATACACCTGGAACGGGGTACCTTTCTACCCACACATCCTTGCTCAGATCTTAGTTGTTAACCGACTATCGTCAACTTTTCGGTTAATCTACATCAAGATGAACTACAAATTGAAGCCGCTAAAAAAGGAATGGTTTCAAAATGAGTGGATAGACCGTCAATACTCGTTAAAGACCGAATCCTTCACAACATGTCATGATCCCATTACTCTCATCAATGAGGTACAGGGTAGGGAAACTGTCACTGAACTAGGGTACCATTCGGCAGGGCTTAGACCAGGGATAGCTCCCCACTGTAGCTTACCCCTGCCCGCCTGACAGTGATGGCTCAGCCACTAACGCACGCTGCACAGTGCGCTGTGGAGCTCCCCAGCGACCAGTGCAGCGACCATTGCAGCGAACGACCCCCTTCGTCTGCATTTCCAAATCGACCTGAACTTAGACCATCATCAACATCCAAGATGCCCTCACAACACCACGGTGATAGCGGCCTCCGCAACAGGCTGGCTGCAGTGCTCCCCAAGGACCACCAATTCGGGATATACCACATTTCAACGCCGCCCACAAAGTCCGATCCGCTGTACTCGCCCCCGCCCAGCGAACGCCCCGAGCGAACCTACTGCGAGCACCACTTCCTCGCCGTCTCCATTGACGCCCCCAATGCCTCCCCGACATCGACCGAGACGGACCTCACGACGGAGAAGAGCTTGAAGAAGCAGGTTCTGGTGCTGGGCGTCGAGGTCTTCATCTACACAACCGCCCGCTCGACCACGCTCTTCGTCTCCAAGGCCGACTCGACCGGATACTTGAACCTCCTCAACCTCCCCAAGGGCACCGCGAGCCCCATCCGAGAGATATGCGCTACATTTGTGGGATACTTGGTGGAGAAGCGGAAGCGGAAGGATGTGCAATTCATCGTTAGCCTGTTTGCTCGAGCCCAGGACCAGTACCTGTTCCCCGGGAGCGTCGACTACAGCGGGAAGCATGTCCTGGACGACCGAGGCCTCATTAAATGGTGGTGCCGTGTGTTGGATCCGCTCTTGGGTCCTGCTCCTATTGGAACTACGGCGCCCTGGAAGACTTCCAAGGCCTACCTGGTCGTCCCCGGTCTCGAGACGTACGAAACCAAGGCGCTGATCGCCCGAAATGCGGGTGCCTCTTCCTGGTCCCTTGCACACCCCCTGGAGCGCATCTCCCACTACTATCGCGAATTTGACTGGGTCCCGCCCCGATGCCTGATCCCTCACTTTCCCGACGACCCCAAGTCTCGTTTCCGAGACGAATTGGACGAGGAGGCTGCCAGTTCAGGGGCCATGAAAACGACGGGTAGCTGGAAGAGCGTCAAGACCCTGGACACCTTTTGGGAAATGATGGCATACAGGCAAGAGTGTTCCAGTGGCCGCATGACGGGCTTCATCTGGGTCGTTTTCGATGATGTGGAGGAAGCCCCCGCTCCAGCACCGGCGTCAGCAGCCGCAACTCAGCCTACAGCCTCACCAGAAACGCCTAAGAAGCAACGCATGGTGGCATGCGTGACACCCAACACTACGCCGCGCAAGCTGTTCCCGTCAAAGGCAGACCTCTTGAAGATAGACCAGGACAAGGCGAAGGAGAAGAGGACGCCAAAGAAGAAGACCCTCAAGGGCCTAATCGTTCCCCGGAACCCTCGCATCAAGAAAGAGCAGCGCAATTATCTGCTGGACCGCCCCGCTTCAACGGCATATTACACTTGGCCTCCCCAGGGCCGTGGCGAGAGGATCGTCGACGAGAATGAATATAAGCGCATCGTCGAACTCTTGCTGCATCTGGAATTCACAACCCTGAACAAGGCCACGGCTAGTACCCGGCGATGGGTTAGCGAGGTTGGCACTGGCAGCAAATGGGGAGCCATCGTGACCGGGACCCGTGAGCTTCCAGCACCCAGCCAGAACGGCGCTGGAACTGTGAGCCAAATCAACAATCTGGCGGGGCTTGTTAAGAGAAAGCGTACCGACTCGGCGAGCAAGGCGCCAGAGGAGCCGAACACCAAGGTCAACGTCCTCAGCGCTGGCCTGGTCAAACGGAAACCGAAGGAGGAGGAAGTGACCAAGAGCGACGAACAAAAGGAGCCAGCAGTCAATGTTCTCTCCACCGGCCTGGTTAGGAAGAAGCCAAAGGCTTAAAATTGGGTTGTGGATTGTATTACTTAGAGTATGGCGTTGGACCTGGACGATGGCAAACCATCAGGCTGGACGGATATCTGTTGGGGATTCTGAGCCGGAGTCGGGGGAATGTATCTGCTGTAACAATAGGAATTATTTGGTAATTAAGATGAATTGTAATCAGCAACTTAACAACACCACCCATGTATCTCGTAGGTCCGAACAAGCCAAGTGTCGTCGTTGTTCTAGGTGCAAACACCCTAGACCCGATCGATCCCCACACTCCGGAGCCCCGGACCGGGAACTAAGAGAACAGTCCCGCAAGACTATTAGACTGAAGTTTATGGTGTCCTCTTAACCCCTGACATATTCCCGGCCATTGATCAATACGAGAACCTATCTCTCCGATCCCTCTTCCACGCGCTGTATTTAAAGCACAACCCCAGCGCCCCGAACACGAGCGTGCATATCGGAACGACTATGGCAATGATTTCCCTGAATCCCAAGTCTGACGGCGAGGATCCCTGGTCTGCCGGGTTCGCTGCCGTGGTTGTTGGCCGGGCGTCTGTGGACGAGACGGTGCCGCCTGGATCTGCCCACCCGGTTTCTGTGAACTCCGGCGGTGCTGCTGTGGGACTCGGGAAGATGGTGTTTTCTGTCACGGCGCCGTAGTTGTCGACCATGAAGGGGAGATGGATCGGCATCGTGAAGCCCGTGTACGTCAACTCGACGCCGTATATGTTGGAGGCGCCAGTCTTTCCGCACGCAAGGTTGAAGTACGGGTTGCCGCCGAAACTCCACGACATGGTGATGCAGCGGGGATACGACGCGCTGCTGCTGTTCGTCCGAAGGAGCGTGCTTAGCTGCGGGACGAGTTATCGCAGGACGGAAACCGCGTGTATAGCAACTCACCATTTCAACGTGCTTCTGTCGTCCCAGCAGGACGTGCCGCATAGAGAGAGGTTCGTCGACTCGACGCAAGCCGTCGTGTAGGCCACGTCGACGGCGTCCGACGCACACACCTGCAGCGAGCGCTGCGAATTGAAGAAACAGGTCGCGTAGCCGGGGCAAGTGTGCGAATACTCTGGACAACAGTGAGAAAGCTGGAAAATACTCGACCGGACGAGATAACGCCAGGGCCAGGCTTACCCTGTATCCCCCATATCCATCCACAGAGCGCTTCGTCTATTGTCAACTGCCGTCGGCGGTCGAGGACTGTGCTGGAGGAGAGTAGGGCTGGCGGGGGCGTGATGAGGGCATTGTGCGTGCTGAGAGTAGCGGCCATTGTCGAGCCTGCTCTTGGTCGCTCGTGGGCGTCGTGTGCGTTGCCAACCGAAACTCTGAAGTTGATGGCGATGGTGCAAGTACAGAAAGACAAAGTCACGTCAAGCCTGCCATTGACGAGACGGCCGCGAGAGGAGCCTGGACAAGGCAGAAAAAGCCCATTGCCTTGCCGCCGAAAGAAAGCCACCCTTTTTGTCGTCCCTTCTCCCCAGCCCTGCCAAAGTGAGGCTGACCGGCCGGGCTTATACCAAACTGGCTCGGTCGGGGTTAGTGTAACTGCATGGGCAATATGCATATTCAGCAGAGGCAAGAAGCTAGTGCTGATGATTGGCGGAATGTGAGGAAGCCAATAGGTTGGATCAAGGCATTTGTACACTTGTTTATCGACGGTTGTTATTGGGCGTGTGCTGGAGGTGAAGGCTGGTCTGGTGGTGACCGAGAGCTGAGCCTGAGTCGCATCCTGGACGTGGCTGATCGTTAGTCTGTCGTTAATAAATAAGGCCTGGGGAATCGTGGCGTAGTTGCCGGTTCTCAGGATGGGCTCCTCGTAAAAAGGACCTGTGGGAATAAGTTCAAAGGAATTGTCCTTGCTGTATTCCTAACCGTCAGTTGTAAGTGCGCTCTGAATAATCAGCCTCTCAGGTAGAACGACATTCCTCATTAAAGCGCCACTGGATCCTTACCACCAAAAAAAAAAGAAGGGAATACCATCGAATCGTCGTTAATCATGTGTGTATTTTTGGTTTCTTGTTACAATGACCCAAACGCCTCGTCCCATAATGCCCATGCATCTACCCGCCCATGCTCTCCCCAACCAAAGCTCCATTCCCGTCATGTCATCAAAAAGATGGTTGTGGCCTCTCTACCGCTTGAGGTAGTGCATGTTGACCGGTGAGATGGCATCACCGCCGCTCAACACAGCCATGATGTTCCGCATGCTCAGCTCCTCAAAGCCCTGGTGCGTCTCAACAGTGCCGCCGGCGTTGTGGCAAGTCAGCATCACGCGACCTTTGCGAGCGAAACCCAGCAGGCCAGCGTGTACGGCGGGTTCGTTGGCGTGAACGTCGAGGGCAGCCGTTGAGATCTGGCCGTCTTCGAGTGCTTTGGATAGGGCGTCTTCGTCGACGAGGCTGCCGCGCGCAATGTTAACGAAGCGTGAGCCCTTGCGGAAAAGCTTCAGGGAATCCTCGTTGATGAGTGCGCCGTCACCCGCGGGCGTGCACAGAATGACACAGTCGGCAACGCTGAGGAGGCTCTCGAGACTGTCATGGGCCTTGGCTTTGAGAGGCTCAGTGATGGAGGCTGGCTTGGGGAAAACGTCGTAGTACTGGATGTTCATGCCGAAGCCGTGATAGCATCTAGAGGCAATTTGCTGGCCAATGTTGCCGAAACCGATAAAGGCCAGAACCTGACCACGTAGGTTGTGAGCCTGAGCTGTGACGTCACGGTGGCAGGTCTGGAAGTCAGCCTCGTCGTTGGACGTGGCCGAGGAGATGCACCATGGGATCTGGCGGAAGGTGGAGATGATCATGGCGATGGAGAAGTCGGCCACCGCGTCGGATGCTGCCAGTCCAGAGTTGCAGTAAATAATGCCTTGATGTTGCCAGTCAGTTAATTCTCAACCTTCACAACTGCATCATTCAGTGCATTGGCTGACCTCGTTCGCCTAGTAGCTTCGTGTCCGCCCAGTCAAAGCCAGCGCCCGCACTCGCAAACACCTTGACACTCTCCGGTAGCAAGTCTACCAACTCGGCATCCCAGTTGCCCATCTCGCCGCCAGTGCCCCAGAACGGGCGGAAGATGGCCTGGAATTCGCCCCATCTCCCCTCCTTGAGCGCTTTGATGAACTCGGGCCGCTGACGCTCCTCCGTCGACGGTCGGATGACGTCGCACTGTGCGCTGAAGCGATCATAGGTATCCGGGTTGTATTTGATTGGGTCACCAATGTGCAAAACACGGGGCTTTAACGACAACATGGCGAGCTTGGCTGAGGAGAGAGGGGAGCCTGGGTGGGAGAACAGAGGGACTGGAGGGGCCGGTGAGGTAGCTCGAGGCGTAGATCCAGGCACAGGCGTGTTGGTGGGTTCGGCCATCGTAAAAGAATCCGTCGGCAGGGGTTTGGGGGTTTATAAGTGCAGACGAGCAGAATGCCGGAATATCGGGGGTTCTCAGTCGTCGGTTGTCGGTCAGCGGTTGTCAGACTCAGTGAGGCGAGGTGTGAGGTGACAAGCCCGAGTCTCAAGAGCCGCATCGACAACGGGGGCGGCATGTGCCCGATGGAGCTTCCGCAGCCCAAAACCCGGTGGAGCGATGCTGCGACAACGACTCACACGCCCGCCCTGGCGCCCGCGGCCACACCAAAGCCCCCACGGACCGTCGTAGTGGCCTACGAGACGACGATGGACCCCAGTCAAGGCGACAAAACCGAGATAAGCGCCGCTCCCGACTCCGCTAACGCTGGCTAGGCCAATTGCAGTTGGCCGTGTTCAACGGTCAACGACTACGTATGAACATGGCCGTCGAGATGGGCCGAACAGTACTGAGCTGGAACGAGGTAAAGATGAACGACTTGTCTCCCCCAAACTCCAACGTCTTACCACTGGAGGGATGCCAACGAGAATTCCTCAAAAAGTAAAAAAAGCGGGGGATTTCCCCACGCCTGAGGCGGACCGGCAGATGAGCGGACGGCGCCATTGTCCGGGGCCCCAAGTGGTGCACGAGTGTGCCGGTATTCAAATGGTTGGAGACCTGGAGAGGACCGGAAGCACGCGGGGTTGTTACACGGTGCTGACGCCGGGAACCGTGTGGGGGAATCAGGAGAAGGCTTCGGGAGCTCTGGGGCGTCTCGTGACAACCGGAACTGCCCATATCCAACGGCGGGTGTATTGGGCGGTGGCTGACCGCCTCCCATAGTGGTGTGACTTTGGGGGCAGCGGAAACCCTTGAATCGATCTCACAGTTCATCCGATAGGCCCTGAGGTTGTAACATGAGGAGCCGATCCTCGTTGTTGGCAGCGTGGGAGCCTTTCTCGAGAGGGAAGGCGAAGCGTCCGGCGCTGACCTCTGTTGGCCAGTGGGCCTGCTCAAAAGCCTGTTTGACGAGGCGAATCATTCCAACTTCACTCCCAAAGCTCCCCATGAGAGAGACGCAAACAGGTTGGTATTCAGTTCTCCCACTGATGCGGGAGTAGTAAGGCAGCTGAGCGACTGGTCGGTAAGGATTCCGGTTAGCACCCCAAACTCTCCATCGGGTGAGGCGAGGCAATGCCTCAGCTACTTACAAGGGACGGCTAGATGCGGTGCCCCCAATATGGAAGCCAGGTACTCGGGAGTAACCCCCGAGGAGGTGGTTGGTGGACTAATTGTCGTCAGCACGTTATGCAGGCTGCAGACGCCATGAGACGCACCTTGTGGTGTCGTCCCGGTGCCGGGTGTCAGAAGTCCCGCAGGGCAAGATCATGATGGTTTCAGCGTTGGGGGTTGCATCTAAGGACATGATGTGTTCGTGGAACCATGCGCGATATATCTTGAGGCGCTGCATGTGCTCCTTGTATTCGTCTTTGGTAATCGACTCACCCACGTTCCTATTTTCGGTCAGTTGCAGAAGCAAAGACATTGGCACCAAACATACCAAAGGAACTGAGGCGTCGCCTCGACGAATGGGTTCCTGTGAAACTTTTCGCGATACCCATCTCTGAAATCATCAAAGGCATGATAATATTCGTAGCACCATGAGTGGAACGGGACCTTGATCGTTAGCATCGATTTGGAACTGACGGAACATGGACTTACATCTTTCATGTATATTTGCATCCCTTCCCCACGGGATTCAACTGGGCGGCTTTTAGCCCACATCTCTCCGAGATTGACCTTTTCCACCCTGACTCGCATGAACTCCTCAAGAGTAGAAACGAATTCGTCCACCAAGCGTTGTTGGCTCTCATTCAGGGTCGGATGCAGATCAACCGGATATATGATCTTTTGGGGTAAGTTGACCTCGAGAGAAATGATACCAAGAGTAGGGGTCATCTGAAGAAGGTCCTTGAGGTTGCGACTGAATAAACGTCCATTGTCATAGCTACAGAGCAAGTTAGCATAAATTAAGTAATTAAGTTTTGTTGACAAACATGGAAGATTTCATGATGCCAGTGAAAGAGACGCTGCCAAGAGAAGGGGCGATTGAATAGAGGCCATGCTGGGCCGCTAAGCCATGGTCTGTAAAGTAAGTTAGTCCAGGAGAATGAGTTTTCGTATCAACTCACCATCGCAACCAATGCTCTGCTGCAGCCACTCATATCCTAACAAACCAGCCGCAGCTCCCACAGATGGACCGAACAGCGTCTGATATCCATCGCCTCTTGCACTCCACGGGGCCTGCTCATCCACCCACTCGACACCGGTACTCAGGTGGGACGTCTTTGTCTTGCCAACAATGATCGCGCCAAGATCAATTAGACTTCGTGCGTGACCAGCTGTGGTCATAGAGGGAGTGCTGTAAAGAGACGCCCAGGCTCGGCTAGATAAAGCCGAACCTGTGCCATTGAGTGAGGTAAAGTCGCTGATGGAAACGCGGATGCCTGAGAGAGGTTTCCGGAGAGAAGGCCGAGGGTGGTACAGTTTTGAAGGAACAGCAATTGACTTGGAGCTACCCTGGGAAGATAATGAACTCAGGACTTGGAACCTGATCGTGTCAGCAGCGAGCGCAACTTGCATGGGTGGCGACCTACTCGTCTGGGTGATTGACGTCGTCGGGAATAACACCAAAGGCAAATGCCCCCAAGTCATCGTCATACAGCCTCCAAGCTTGGTGGAGATTCGGCCCGTGCAAAAAGTAAGGCCCGGATGGCAATTCCGCAAAGTCGTCGCTCAGCCCGACGATGTCATCGAGGTGGTAAACCTGCCGCGCCGAAGAGTCCTCGAGAGAGTTCACTGCACTTGCATTGCCATTTCCTGGCTTTTCTACCAGCACGGAACCAAAGTCCGGAATGAAGACGTCATCATAGTCATCGAGAAGCTGAAGTAGCCCCTCGAGGTCGCCGAAGACCTCGTCGGTGGTAAGGAGCGTGATCGGGATGATGGCGTCTGAATTGATGGTTTCTTGAATAGAGCCCTTTGACGCGTTAATATGGAGTGTGTTAAGTTTGGGCTTAAATTGGATCATGTACAAGTTTCTGAGGATGAATAAGGTACTGGAGACCCGCGACGGCGCATGTAACGATGGGCTTCATGATGGACTGAGGCGCTTCTAGGGAGAGGTAGAGCAGAGGGTCAAGCGCGTTAACGGAGGGAAACTGCAAGTCATGTGGCGAAACTAGGATCGGAGCTTTGATGCGGAATATGGATAACTCTAGGGATGATGGAAAGGTGAAGAATGTCTCGACTTGAAGGTCGTCGCGTTCGCCGACGAATGAAGCACAGGCGGGTACGAACTACTTATGGCGGGAGGGAGACTAGCGGCACCTTCCCGGAAACCAATCCCCGGTGAGCCTCGGTGAGCTTATCGCTATCGCACCGCTGTGGGGTAAAGTACACCAAAATTTCCAAATCCTCCACCCCCACCAAGCCGTCACCGATTCGACATTACCACCAAACATCCCCCGTCCTGCAAAATCTCCAAGACCGCAAAAATGGCCAAGAAGAAGGGTAATTTTCTCCCAGTCACGCTTGCCTCGCTCTGTAGTTTAACTTCCCCCTCTAACAATTCTCCTAGGACCCTCCGGCCGCTCCCGCGCCGCCCGCCGCGCCACCTCCCCCGGCATCGACACCGACAAGTCGCTAAAGGACGTCAGGCCGCCCTCCAGCACCAGCGCCACCACGCGGCCCTCGGTGCTCGCCGTGCACCAGTCCGCGGGCGTGCAGAAGAAGTCCAAGAGCGGGCGCAAGAGCCAAATGTCTGCCCGGGCGCGCCGGCGCCACGAGAAGGGCCTCGAGATGGCCGAGGCCGTCATCGAGCGCACCTACCACAAGGTCGAAAAGAGCATTGACCGCGGGCGCAGCGTCAAGCAGCGCAGCAAGGCGTGGGAGGATATCAACAGGATTGCCGAGGCTGAGGAGCAGCGCGAAAAGGAGCTGAAGGAGGCTGAGGGTGGTGATGGGTGGGAGACGGACGAGGACATGGGCGGCGCAAACGGAGACGCAGTGACAGCACCCGCTGTGGCTGCTCCTGTGCCAGCAGCTGCTGTGCCGTTGCCTATGGATGATGATGACGAAATTCTCTGAACAGTTGCGACACTTGCGATGCTACGTAAACGGGATTGGGGTCGGAGTTTGGGTGTGCAAAATTCGGGTCATTGCCTTTTAGAGGGATACGGGTTATGTATGCGGCCTGATGAATGATTGGCCTTGGTTTCTTTCTTTTGCTACCTAGGTTGTAGACTCGCCTATTTGGCAGAGATACCCAGAGTATATACTATTGATACATATATCACCACAGCTGTCTTCTCCAGTACGGTACCTTTAATTTGTCAAACCACTGCACCTGAAGAAACTGGACAGATTATTTCGACACGCCCTCAAGGTAAAGTCGCAGTGTCTTATTGACGTGACCATTCATGGGCTTGTACTCCCTGGCGCCCACCTCCTCGACGCCCTTCTTGACCTTGTCCAGCACCTCGCCGGCCTCGGCATCGTCAACCTTGCGGCTGTTCTTCTTCTTGCCGAGGATGACCTCGACGCGCATGCCCTTGGAGAGGAAGTTGCTGAGCTGGCGCATCTTGGTCTGCATGTCGTGGTCGCCAATGGCCCAGTTGAGCTCCAGCTCCTTGCTCTTGGCCGAGGTGGCCTTGGACACGCGGCGGCGCTCCTTGGCCTCGCGCTGGCGCTCGTACTCCTCCTTCTTGTTGACCACCTTGCACACGGCGTACTGCGCGGGGATGCCGTCCTTGGGCTTGGCCGGCACGTAGGGGTTCACCATCCGCAGCGACTCGCCGTCGTCCAGCCGTGTGAGTACGTGGCGTGTGAGAAGCGGGCCGTCGAAGTTGCCGTTGTCGAGAACCATGATCTTGGGGTCGGTGATCTCGTGGTCCTGCGGATAGCGGTCGCGGCCGGACTTGGTGACGTCCTCCTTGGTGGTGTAGCGCTTGTCGAAGCCGCGGTCGTCGTCGTCGACGACTCGAGGCTCAAGGGCTGGCCGGAGGGATTTCAATCGGGAGGCCGATGCCACGAACGACCTGGACTGGTGCAGGCCATGAATGCTGGGCGACCGAGCGGCCGGGCTGGCGTGGCCGTGGACGAGGGGAAGCAGTTGGCGCTGCAGGGAAGCTTCCCGGCGCTCGAGAGGGGAAACGAAGACCCGGTACAGCGCCCGACGGGAGTTGTTGAAGCACGACAGGCTGCTCATGATGGTAGCCGGGGGTTTTCGGGCTGTATTTCGACAATCGGAGTCGGGAGACGCAAAGAAGGCCCAGCAGTGGCACCTGATGTTTCGAAACGTGAGGTCGTGAGGCTTGCTCGAGGCGGGCGGCCGGCGTCGGCAGAAGGTCGTCACTGCGGGACAGCTTGGGCCCGGCCAATCAACGCACTGAATGCTCACGAGACCCTTGCTCCAAGCTTAACACACCAGAGAACAGCTTAAACCTCGCGTCGACCATTCCTATTAGCCTCGCTCGCAGCCTCTTTCATGTGCACTTATGAGTGACATGACACTACCGGCGCAGACATAGACCATCCCTCTCATTGGGCCTGTCCCCTGCGAGGGGTCTGAACCACCCAAAATGCCCTTCTTCCACTTCGCACGCCACCCCGTGCGCACCTCCGTCTCGTTCCTCAAGGCGACCTGCCTCATCCACCTCGGCCTCTCGCACGGCTACAACATCAGTCCGGCTCAGGGCCCGTCCATGTTGCCCACATTCACTGTTGATGGCGATTGGATCCTCTGCGACAACACTCGTCGCTGTGGCCGCGGCGTCGGCATCGGTGACCTCGTCGTCTACCGCATTCCCGTCTTCTCCAACCAATGGGGAGTCAAGCGCATTATAGGCATGCCTGGCGATTATGTATCTGTCGGAACTCCGGGTGATCCGGGCGAGGAATTGATGATCCAGGTACGGTTGACTCCTCTTACTGCCTCTAATGTCGCATTGTTATGTCCATTCTCCACGTGGACGTATCCATATGCAAGAAAACCACACTCCCAACTCCCAACTAACACACTTTCAACATTCAGATCCCACAGGGTCATTGCTGGGTGTCAGGAGACAATCTCCCTGCCTCTCGCGACTCAAGACACTTTGGTCCCCTGCCACTGGCTCTCATCTCTGGTACCACCATTGCCAAAGTCCTCCCTTGGAACGAGCGGAAGTGGATGAAGAATGGGCTGGAGAAGGTCGACTAAGAATTGTGAACCTGGCTATGGCCATGTAAAATCATGTATATTAGACACATGCCGCACTGCTTTAATACGAATGAAGACCCAGTGTACAATATGACATCTTGCGAGGGTATAGAAACTATCAGCGTCCGTTGTCTAATTACATCTGCTCGCATCCATGTCCACCCTCAAAAATAGCCCCTCCTCCCGCTTAGCCATTCATTGATAAGGTAACCCCAGCGGCTACATATCCGCCGCAAATGCTTCGTTACAAAGAAAAAAAGAAATGCCAGTGGTCCTCCTGCTTCATGCCTTGACACCGCCCCCCTCGCCAGGGGTCCCGGCAAGCGTGCTTCGTCCGTCGAATGTCGTAGTTGGAATAGGAGAAAAGCAAGAAATATAACAGCTCCAACAAGAGCAATGCAAGCCTCCATGTAGTAGAAACACAATTATCCCGGTAAAAAAACCAAGCAACAAGTCTTGGAGAAAGTTCAAGACGCCTTCAACACCTTTCCGCCTGCCGTGCCGTACTGCAACATCCCCCTAAACGCTTCGCTTTTTCGAGAAAATGATGAACTGCTCCAACTTGGAGCGGGATTCAAGTGCCTACCGGCTGTGAACCCTTAGCCCTCAATATGAGCCTTCGACATGCTCTGTCCCAGGAGCTCAAGGCAGCGCTGGGCCAAGTTAACCACCTCACCCTCGTCCTCGTCCTCGAATTCGTTCTCGGGCTCGATCTGGCGGTTCGCAATGGTTCGGATGTGCTCGATGATGTCCTCTGCCTTGCCGATGAGTCCAATTAGGGTCTTATCCTCGGACTCGAATAGCTGCAGCAGCGTCCAGACGGCAATGTGCTGGAAGGTGGCGTCGCCCGATTGCAGGAAGCGGCAGAGGTAGCCATGAATGCCACCGTTGGGCTCAGTCCAGTTTTGCACGAAAATGGAGTAGTCGCCAACTATTGTCGTCGGTCAGAGTCTGTCATGCGTAAATGTAGGGAGGGAGCTTACCTTTAGAGGACAGGTTACCAAGGGCAGCAGCGCTGTTGCCTTGGACCTCGATACTGGGCGAGTGTGTCAGGGGGATCAAGACACTGCACACGCCGAGGTTCAGCAAATGCGACTTCAGGTCATCACTCAGAGCGAGGACCGCAATGGCAGCCGTCATCTCCGATTGGACTGTGACAGGAACATCCAAAACGAGTTGCTTGCACTTCTGCACGGCGCCAGCATCTAAAACGAGGGCCTTGTTGCGGTCCGAGCTGGCTGCCAGGTTTCGGAGTGTCGAGATGGCGTGGCATTGGATCTCCTCGTTGTCGGTGGATCCAAGGAGGTCGACGAGGGGCTTGAGGAAGTTGGTCTCGATGATGGGGGACTCGTTCATCGGGTGGATAGAAATGTTTCGAATGCAGGCAACCGCGGAGAGAATGAGAGGCAGGTAGGAGGACTGCAGGAGGCGGAGGAGTGGGTGGAGGCCGTTGGCTCTCACGATATCGAGCTGGTACTTCTCATCGGAAGCAAGGTTTCGGAGGGCAAGAGCTGCCTGGCACTGGACCTTGGGAGAAGTCGAGTCCATCAAGTTGACCAAGGACTGGACCAGCTTAGGCTCGGACTGCGCCAGTTTCCGTCGGTTGCTGGCATCGACGGCGATGTTGCTGAGGGCGGTGGTGCAGTAGTATTGAACATCGACATCGGGCGAGGAGAGTAGCTGAACGAGGACCGGGATAGCTCCGGCGTTTACGAGTTGCTGTCGGTTCTCATCTGGCCCTTTGTTAGCTTCCTACTCAAGACAAGTTGCCCAGAGCTCAATTTACCAGAGTGTGTCATGTTGAGCAGAGCACCAGTTGCGTTCCTCTGAACCCGCATGTCGCGGGATTTGGCGAGCCTGGTAAGGGGACCAAGAGCACCAGATCGAGCGATCTTGGCCTTGTTTTCCTCATGGGTGGCCAAGTTCGTGATACATCCCACGGCGTTGCACTGAACCTCGACGTTGGGTGACATCATTTGGCGGATCAATGGGGTTAGGCCACCAAGCTGCACAATCAGGACCTTGTTCTCCGCTACACGGTCTAGGTCAGTCTTGTTGAACATAGATAGCAGCATCATTCGTGGACGTACTATCAACTGCCAAGTTTCCCAGGGCGGCGCTGGCCGCCCTTTGGACCTCGATATCGGGGCTCTGAAGCAGAAAGAGGATGGGCTCGAGGGTATCGCGATCAACTTCCCGGACATCTATAGAAAAAAGCGGTCAGCATACTATGATGATAGAGAGGGTAGGCAAGATGGGTCTAAGGTTGGGTGAAGAAGTATCTGCCCATCTGCCTCTACCGCCACTCTTCCTCTTTACATACCTCGCTCGGTAATCTCGGCAAACGTCAAGCTGGCACTGCGTTGGAGATCGATGTTCTCTGAGAAGACCAATGTGCTCAAAGCTCGGAGAGGTTCGCCCGAGAAGAAGTCGGTTTCGCCACGCTGCTGCGGTGTCAGCTTGGTAATTGGCACGATTAGGTCTACTGCGAGGGGTCACAAACGTTCTCCAGGTACTGCAGCAGGTCGGCAACGGCCTCCCGCTCGCTATCGGCAAGTACAGGCTCGTAGAGGCCATCGCGAGATCGTCCTACAGATGCATCAGCTCCAGGTCCATCAAGTCTGCAGTCGATGCGGGCAGGATGGCGGGTGGCGTCTGAATCATCACTAACCTCCACAGCATGTCGAGCAGGAGACACCCATGGCCGTGACGAAGGGCTCAGCGCCGCTGGTGTCGCCGGGAAGTTGTCTTGGTCGTCGGCAGCGGCGGGAATCGACGTGGGTGTCGACGTCGGCGTCGGACTCGCAGGCGTGGCTCGAGGATGAGACGCGGGTGGGTTTGTTGGAATCGGGACGGTTTGTTGTTGACGAAGCTGCGGAGCGGAAATAACGTCACAGCAACGGGGCGTCTCGGGGGCGAGTCTCGAATTACGAATATCGGGGCAGGGTTGCTGGGTGCAGCAGCCGCGGAAGGAGGCTGAGCTCGGCGTCCGACACAGGGATAGAGAGCGAAAAAGGGCTCGGAACCAATCGACGGCGGATGCGAGGTCGTGGGCGGAAGCGGGACGACGCCTGGATGAGGAAGGGGAAGAGAGTGATGGAGAGGAGGACGGATTGGTCTGCGTTGGGGAATAACGAGACGCACGGGTACGAAGAAGCAGGGCAACGGGCAACCTCAGGACCGGAGCAGACTGCGAAGAGAGTCGGAGCTCAAGCAAGGTACCGGCCTAGCGCCGCCTCAGGTACATTCTGGGTACGCTGGGGCTCTCCCGGGTACGTGGGATGGACTGCGGGGAGCCACTGAGGGCGAGGTATTTCTCAGCGCTTCGAAGGTACCACCCCGGTGACCTCACGAGGGGAGCCACGATTTGAGGGGACCCACCGTACAAGGCGCTAGCAACGATGTAGCGCTATGATTTTGCTTCTGCGTGCGCGCTGTGGTGCGCTACGCGGGTCATTGTAGTGGAGTTGACGCAGGGTGCTCCAGTTGCTGCAGTGAGCTGCAGTGGGTCTGCGTATCGAGAGCTGGGGCATCCTTCTCGCTCTGGGCCACGACCAGTTCACCGGCTCCTCCCTGGAATCCGACGGACAGCTCCTTCAAGAGCAATGGTTCCATTCCAGTCACTTCCCGCGAGCAAATATGTTGTACGGCCCTGTCCGTTGGTCGACAAACTTCCGTTGGAGACAAGGACCCGGGTATTGGCAAGTGCCTCTTAAACTTTAGTCCAGGCTATCCAAACTCACAGCTGCCTCCCGCGAGAGCTTCCTAGGCAGTCCAAGCTTGTGGCGCTAGGGGTTGGTCAGTCACGACGACCAACTTCTCGAGTGGTAGCACAGGAAACCGGATGCCTGACACGAGAATATTGTATTCGCACACGGGTGCAAGCTTCTTTAGGTAAGGTACTGAAGCATCAGTTTGGCCAAGGTACTAAATGCCTGCCGTTCTTATTAAACTAGACCTTATTATTACTATAAAAACGTAAATACTAAATATTAGTCTTTAAAAAATTATCTTCTAAACTACTCTAGGAGGATATGGTATGCTTGTTAGTATGATTATGGATATAGTTATGTGTGCGAAAAGCAATACGCATAAGCATTGGTTTCTCAAAATACTACATTCCCCAGGACAAATCCCAAAAGGGACAGCTCTCGCTCACTGATACCCTCCGTGACCGCCAGTTGCATGTGACGCTGGAACGGAGAGACGATCTGCGGTGATGGTGCATACATGGACTCATGCTCATCTCCATTGTTCCAGGTTGCGGGCCTTTGTCAGCTCACAGCGGGCACTGTCGGCACGCCTCGTCTGCATCCAGCAAGACTTGGCCTGAGTCTGACAATCTCTGGCTGGGCACACCATCTCGACCGGTTCGTGTGCTGCGGTCCCGCCACCAAGATCAATATTTGTTGCACTTATGATGACACCCCCTACGTAGGGCGTGAACTGCCGGCTCAGCATTCAGTTGTCGATGCCTACTCAGTTGCCACTCCAAGTTGGGAGGGATGCACCATGCGTCAGCCGTTACGACCACAGCCTCTCGTCGTTTTATTAGGACGTGGGCACGAGGCTGTTCCCCATCCCCAAATGGTTGACTGAACACACGACGGTGGTGGTGTGTGTGACATCCCAGCCTTCTTCGGGCAAGTTTACGCCTCCAAATATCTGGCGGTTTCAGGCAGCACAGGCCTTCCTCCAAGACATGTGAGTCGAGATATGCCAGGACGGGCACCAGTGCTACGAAGATGAGCGCCTCCAAGGACCTTTGTTAAACCGAGTGCAACATGGCCAACAACCGCAATGCGCCCCAAAAACGTGGCAGCCAAGGTATACTTGATGCTTATGCCTTGTATTGCAAACACAACGAGCCGTTCGGGCGACAGTGACATCCATGCGATCCATATTTGTCGATCCGAAGGGAGGGGTGAACTAGGCTGGGCAACGACAAATGGGTGTCACCAACCATATGCTCTACAAAAAGAGGGTCGAAAGGAAGGGTCTCAAATGTTGAGATGGCTGCCTTTCTGTCCGAATCGACTGAGTGAATGTCTAGTTGCGCCATATAAGTGTAGCTCATGGCTGGTGACGTATGACGACGAGTCTCTCCAATGCCTCGACGACGATAAGCCAATGCCAACTCGGTAGGAAGTACAGATGCGTAGACCGTAAAACATAGAATGAGAAAGGATGTGGGTGGCCTAGATGAGAAGGTCTGGCACATTCCTCGTCGGGTAGGGGCGTACATGCAATGGAAATCCAAAACATGTCCAGTCTAATACGAGGCAACTGGCGGAAGACTCTCCCGAAAGACCGACGACGCTGGCCGCCAAGACGCCCGAGCTCGGCGGCGTAGATCAGATCCATGACGGTGTCTGGGGGCCAGGGGGGGTGCGCATTCGGTGTTCAGCTGTGGTTGCGTTGGTGTTGGCGTTGGCGGCGTTAGGTGTTGGGCCGGATGTCTTATCATATTTCCAAGGTTATCAGTGACGCTGATTGCACCTCAGTCGGGGAGGAGGGAGGGCGGCTTGTTTGGTGCCTCGAAAACGAAACTTGTCTTAATAATAAATAATTGATCCATCCTAGCCGAGGGATTTGGAGGGGAGAATCAGCATCCCATCTCGCTGGCCTTTCCATCCTTTCCGCTCGCGTTTTCCAAACCCGCCCACTTCACAACGTCACCGTCCCTCTCTCGCCTTCTGCCCCTCCTACAGGGGATTTCGACGATCTGGCCCGCCCCCGTCAGTCGCCAACCCATTTCCACTTCATTTCTTTCTCTTTTCTTTTCCCGGACGGGATCATCAAGGGAAACTCGAGGTGAACGGACGGCTCCTGACAGAACGAAGCACGGCACACGGGCGGGGTTGTGCAGACCAGAAGCAGCTCAGGTCTTGGAATGGAGGGAAATCCACAGGCTGTGCGAGGGGGGCCTCTCTCCGAGGCGGACGGCGCCACCCTCACGACGGACCGAGACGACGACCACGGCGGCGGCATTGGCGGCAGGCGAGGTGAAGGCGATGCCCAGCTGGGAGTCCCGCAGCAGCAGGGCGATCAGGGAAGTGCTCCAGTCATCCAACGGCGGCGGTCTCGAACTGACGCCGCAACCGGTGGTACGCTGCCCATGCGAATACCCGTGCCGGCGGACAACTGGTCCAGGCCCAGCGACTACATGACGTCGTCGTCGGCGTCGGCGTCGGCGTCGGCCATGATGGACACCACGACGGCGGTGGGAGGCATCTCGCGGGTCAACAACAGCGGGTATTACGCCGCAGGGGTCGCAGGGGGATATCCCAATAACAATGGCGGCGTTGCAACGGCGTCCGCAGCAGTTGGTGGTGGAAGTGGCATCAAGCTGCTCCAGTTTGGTGGCCCTGCTGCTGCTCCCTCCACAGAGGCAGTGGCTAACAACGATGGGCCGACTCCACGCCGGGGGCGGGCGTCTACCACTACATCCACCTGGGCCACCTGGGCCGCTTCCAGTGCCTCCGCCTCCACAGACACCACTGCCGACACCACATCCTCCACCACGACCGCGGGCGCCCAAGGCCATGTCCCTCACTTTGTCGCTCCGTCATCCTACCTCCGTCTCCGCCCCAAGACGTCCACCCGGAGCGCAATGGCGCCCAGCGAGCCCAAGCCTCTGAGCCCTCTGGACAAAGACCAGCTGCAGGGTCTGGTATGTTCATTCTCTCCCTCCTTCCTTTGCTCTGCCGCGCCCGGCGTCTCTCACTGTCGATTCCCCCGCGCTTCTCGAGTGCATCCTGCCGCCCGCCCGCCCGCCCGTCCGTGATGCGCCCGCCGCTTTCGCCCTCGGTCGCTGTGGGCTCATTACGGCCGCGTGCGCGGGGTCGCCTGCGCTCCTCGATCACCACCGAGGACAATCATTGCAATCTTGCCCGTTCGGATACAATCCCAGTAGCTAACCGTCATCTCCTCTTCTTCTAGAATGCGATTCGCGATTTCCTCAAAGTTCGCACCAGCTACGATGTCTTGCCCCTCTCTTTCCGCCTTATCGTTCTCGATACCGACCTGCTCATCAAGAAGAGTCTCAACATCCTGATTCAGAACTGTACGTCCATCCAGGTCCCTGGCCACTCAGGCAATGGTACCTGCCAGCCGGTACCCGGTGCCAATGCTAATACTTGGACCAGCAATCGTGTCGGCCCCTCTCTGGGACTCGCGCACCGCTCGCTTTGCCGGCATCTTGACCAGCACCGACTTTATCAATGTCATCCAGTACTACTGCCAGTACCCTGACGAGATCAGCAAACTCGAGCAGTTCCGGCTCAATAGCCTACGAGGTTAGTACGGCCCTGTCTGCACACTATTTGGCTATCCCTTGGCTAACCGCCGTATTAGACATTGAAAAGGCCATCGGGGCCGTCCCCATAGAGACAGTCTCCGTTCACCCCTCCAGACCCCTCTTCGAAGCATGTCGCCGTATGCTCAAGACCCGCGCCCGCCGAATCCCCCTCGTCGATGTGGATAGTGAAACGAACAAGGAGATGGTGGTCTCTGTCATCACTCAGTACCGTATCCTCAAGTTCATCGCCGTCAACAACGAGCATAACACAGTCCTGCTGAAGAAGACGGTCCGCGATATCGGCCTCGGCACCTACTCCAAGCTTGCCACGGCTCGCATGAGTAGCTCCGTCCTCGACGTTGTTCATCTCATGGTCGACCACAACATCAGCTGCATCCCCATTGTCGACAACGAGAACAGGGTGCTCAACGTTTTCGAGGCTGTCGACGTCATCCCCTGCATCAAGGGAGGCATGTACGAAGAGCTCGACGCCTCCGTAGGCGAGGCCCTGTGCAAGCGTCCTGACGAGAGCCCTGGTATTTACACCTGTGGCGAGAACGACCGCATGGACTCTATCTTCGACACTATCCGTAAGAGCAGGGTGCACAGACTGATTGTGGTCGACGACGACAACAAGCTCAAGGGAATCATCTCGCTATCAGACGTCCTCAAGTACGTCTTGCTGTCCGGCGTAGAGGACACGTCCAACTGGTCATGACGGGTTCATGTCCATGACTCAAAACATGACGACGCCCATGATTGCAATTGCCCGCGACCAAGGAAGGGATTTCCTTATGAAGAAGGGATGGCACAGTCAGGGTAACGCGGGGATGCATCTAAATGGCGTATCGGGATCTATGGGTGGAATACCATGGTGTTGTATAGTTTGTTCTTTCATTATAGACTGCCGGTGGTGGGCGGTGGCCGCCCGATGTCACGCTGAGGATTGCTGTTGCTACAGAGGCGTGCCAATAATGCTTCCCTCTTCCCTTTGGCTCATGTTCGTTTTCCGTTGCAACCCAGCTCTCCAAAGTCACTTTGACAGGTCTGCTGTGACTCCGTTTGGTTACATGCGTTGATAGCCGTGCTTGAACCAAGACGCTGTTAATGGGCTTGTGGTGTCACACAGTCAACACATCCATGGCCACTGTCGCACACACTCTATTCATCTCTTTCTCCTTCAGGTGTTCCCCCTCCGTCATTGGCAACGAGGCGGAGTATCCACTACGAGGTGCCTCAGAAGGTGCCTCAGAAACCGGGTGGCCGCCTCGTGGTTTGGTCAGGTGCCGAGAGGCGTGCTCCTCGCTGGCGGGTTGCATTCTGACGACAGCTGCTCACCCACGTCATCCATTCACGAACCTCAACCACAAAAAAGAAACTTGCAGACTGCACAGCCTTACTTCTTCCTGACACGGTTTCCAACAGATCACCACTATCTTTATTCTCCCATCCGTTGGGTCTAAACTGTTACTCCCTCTTTCGGTGCCTCTTTCGCCGCTGCAGGTTTGATCAGGTTTGTCGGCATCTGCGGCCCAGGGCAATAATATTTACGGAAACCATCCCCTAGGAGATATTCACGTCATCGTATTCCTTCCCTCGCTACAAGAACTTGGTGGTCAGTCGCGATGGATCTAGCATTGTCTCGTCAACAGTCACGCTGCTCTGACACGTGAACCTGGCTACTTTTCTAAACGCCTGCCTACGAACCCAACACCTTGCCCTCTCCGAGCAAATAGTCTAGTTGCAGATTTACTTCCATCATCTTCAGGTCGTCTAGGACGCGACGGTTCGCCGACCGCGCATCTCGATGGCAACCATGGACCCCTTCGCGAGCTCCGACAATCTCCGCAATCAACCCGCTCCAACGGCAATACCTCCACGCCGAATGCTTCCATCCGTCAGCTCAGGGTCCTTCAACTTCCCGCAGAGCGTCCCTATGCGAAATGTTCCGAATAGAGGGCCGCAGATGCGCACCAGCAGGACTTGGACGATAAGTAGCGGCGAGCGTGGCTTGTTGAGTGATACGGATGAGGTGGGAAACAGGGCTGCCTTCGTCCAAGAGTACAACCGACTGGCAAAAAAGGTGTGGATGGGAGCCGCATTTCCTGTAGGGATGGCGAGACTGACGATTTACAAAGCATGGCGTGAGGGTCTTGGTGGTTGAAGACTTCGACCTCAAGCAAGCTGTGAGTTCTCCAACTGACAAGCCTGATCACCGAGAACCTAACATTCCTTCTAGGGAACTGGACCTCATAGCCCTCAAAAACGAGGGTGGTTTTATCGAATCCTGCGATCCACCTCCGGCCAAACCCCGACTGTCCTACGACCACGAACCCTCGAGGGTCGCAGCAAGCGAAGTGTCTCTGACCTTGCCCACAACCTCGCACACCCTCGACGCGAAACTCCTAAAACCGTCGATATCCAGTCAATGATTCGGTTGAGTGGCAAAAGTGTCTTCTATCTCCCGCCCGAGCATGCTCCGTCTGCCCTCGTCCTCCCGACCTGTCTGCGGGCCACGGCCCATTACCTCGCCCAGAATGTTGCAACTCGAGGCATCTTCCGCATTCCAGGGTCCGTGAGGGTTGTGAATACCCTCTTTGACTACTACTGCCATACAGAAAAGGGGGGTATTGACATTGCTGGCACTGTTCGATGTGCCAACTTGCCAATGCACATCCAGGTCTCTGTTCACGACGTTGCCTCAACATTCAAGCGCCTCCTCTCTATTCTACCCGGAGGTATTCTGGGCTCCCTCCACATCTTTGACGCCCTCGTTGCGATCCACTCTCAACTCAACGGCGATCCCGAATTCCCTCGAACAAAGCAGACCAAAGTCCGGGCTCGACTCATTGCACTGGCCATCTCCACGATTCAATCACAATTCAGAAGAGAACTCGTTTGTGCCGTGTTTGGACTTCTCAGCTTGATTGGGCGTGTGGCTGAGGTTGCTCCCAGAGAGGATGATGGGGGGCGGCCGCTTCCTACAGGAGACCTGATGGGATACTGCGCCCTTGGAATCGTCTTTGGACCGTTGCTTCTTGGTGACCTGTTGGACAGCTACTCCATGAAGTTGGCCACACCTGATTCGGGGTTGCTACTGTTCCACCTGAGCCCACCCAAGCACCGTCGGGACCGTCGCAAGTCCAAGGCCGTCGAATTCAAAAGCATCACAGCACCCGCTGTCAATAAGATTCTCATCGCGAATGGAATTACTGAGATGCTCATAGCAAACTGGAGAGACATTGTGCGACAAATGAAGTCATTGGGAATGCAACGCGGGAGAGAAGTCCCTTCCCTCGACAGTCTCCGAACCGAGTCGTTGCAACAGTCTACATCCGAGTCGTTTGTCATCAGAAAGCCTCCCGACTGGGAGCAAGAAAACGCGTACAAGAGAGACATGCGAGAAGAGGAAGAATTCTTCAAAAATGTCAACAATGGAAGCCCAGAGCCAGATACGCCAACACTAGCCGTGAGGCGGCAGCGTCTACCGAAGAGAAAGAGCTCGGCCTCGAACCGACTGGGCGCAAGACCAAGTATCGGTGTTTTGAGTCCGACGGCAGAGGAGAGCGCGGTAGACGAGGAATCTCGTGAGCCGGTACAGTCACATCAGGTACGAAGTACTTTGGTGAACGACAACCAAGCATCAGGACATCGCCCAAGCCTACATATTCTACATGCCGACCAAATTACTGACGAGGACTCATGGACGGACCCTACTCCTCAGAGAGTGTCACAATCACAACATGATCGGAAGCTAGGGTCCGTTGAGTCTCATGAACGTCCTTCCCTGGCATCAGCGAGAAAGAGAAGAGAAACGACAGGGTTTGAAAGCCCAAGGGTGTCCATCGAAGTCATCCCTCCACGTACTTCGTCAAAACAAAGGCATGACACTGACTTATCAACCCAGCATGAGCTATTGCCGCATACTCACTTGGAGAATGTAGTTGGCAGAACACCAAACACAGAGCCGACACCAATTGAGAGGAGAAAGGCACAGAGGGCCAAGCAGGGAGGGAAAGATAGGTCGCAGATCCTGGATCAAAAAGTCTTGAACACCGAGGAACACGAGCAATCTAAGCCGTCTCGATCCTTTTCTTTCTCAAATCAGCAAGATGAAAAGCTTGCTGGCATCGAGGACTCTCAGGCTCAACAAAATGGAGTGAAGGCGGGATTCCAGACTCCTTCTAACAAATTGATACTGTCGTATTCTGAACGCTACCCGGACTCTTCATCCATTACCGAACCGTCTCGGCCGAGTTTCCAATCTGAGAGCTCCCAGCATGACTCAAACCGTGGAAAACGACTATCAGCGGTTAGTTCGGTTGAGCCGCACCAGACTACAGGCAAATCCTTCAGCTCTATAGATCAGAGTTCGAGGGTTCGCAAGTCCCCTCAATCTCAGGGTTCAGCTTTTGGAAAGTCCGTTGACAGACCACGAAAGGAATTTTATGCAGCGATGCGGATACCGCCGGGTCTTTCGGGACAGAGCACTCAAAGCGGCCAAGATCCTTCAGGAACTGGGGCAGCGACCTAGAAGGTTTCGCCAGCAACTCCAGCACCAGCACTGCCTACCTTCGGGGAGATAGAAGGCCTGGATCTCAACTTCAGCGGTAATTCTGGCAAGCAAGAGAACAACAGCTTCCACCCAACTAGCATGAGACACTCTCACGGGTCTCAAGCAGCTGCCCAACTAGTCCACCGATTTGATACTTTCCCTAGCGGAGGATCTCAGTCACACAGGCCATTGGCAGCCGAAGCGTCTGAGCTATGGGGCGGCATTGCAAAGGCGCCTGAGAAGGCACCTGCTAGGCCGAGTGTAGCCCAGGTGGCGAAGAAGCGAGGAGCAGTCAAAGCCATGGCAGCAATGTTTGAAGGAGAAGAGTCCAAGCAACTACTACCCTCACGACCGGAGCCGCAAAGCAGAACCCAGAGTCTAATATCTCACTATTCACAAGCGTCGCCCGAGAAATCCATTCGGTCGTCGAGATCTGGGTCTGTTTGGACACAGCAGAGTGTCCGTATGCCTTCGTTGTCAGATCAGAATCAACGACATTCTCGAAACTTGTCAGGAAACATAATCCAACAGGCAAATACCATACTCGATCAGAAAGCGCGAAATTCAATGAACGAGAACCTGGCATTGCGACAAGAGTCAACCCTGGACGTTGGGAAACCAGATCAGGGTTTTCTTCCAGACAAGCCACAGATAATGCTATTTCGAAAACCCATCCCCATCAGGAAGCCCAATCTAGAGTCGAACGGGGCATCGCTACAGAGTCCCCCCAGTTTGGGAACCATGATTCCTCATCCGGAGCACCCGCCCATTGCCCAACACCTCAACTTGCTTCGACCTTCGTCATCCACGTCGAACATCCAACAAGATTCTGAGTTTCTTTCTCTTCCCCAGAGTACTTCTACACCAACACCGCGTCCTGGTAGCACGACCATGTTGCATACGCAAATTCGTATTCTCCAGCGCCAACTAGAGGCCAAAACGGAAGAAGCCGCCCAACTGAGAAGGCAGCTGGAGGTTCAAGAGAACGCAGATGTGGGAACAATGAGCCAACAACTGCGTCAAGCAATGATTGAGGCGCAGACGTGGAAGGAGAGGGCCGAGGCTGCAGAACGCAGAGTCAAAGTGTTTGAGAGGTTTACAGCAAGGCTGAGGGGCATGAGAGAAGTGGCCGCCACTGCGAATCGTCAGAGCAACGGTTCAAGTTCGGCAAGCAATTCGACAGTACATGATGGAGGCGGCAAGGAGGATGGTCAGTCAGTCTATCAACGCCAACACTCATCAGGAGAGAACCAACGCACTGGACGACAAGTGAGTGACGCACACGAAAGCGATACTTCTAGGAGAACGGAAGATGTCGGGGTCATTACGGCGCGAATTCGCAAGTGTCTTCATGGAGGTCCTGGCCGGACAGATGGTCCCATAGACAGTCCTCCCCCTTGCCTTCAAGACTTGGTTGAAGGAGTCAAGGGTGTGGGATGCGAGGACAGGATGCGAGAGTTGAGTCTGAGCACGGTGGAGGTTTGGATGGCAGCACAGGAGCTGTTTGATTTGGAGGAGTCTCGGTAATTATAATGGGCAAGAGCTGCAAGCTGGCGATGGTCAAGACGGCGAGGTTGTGAAGTTGCGATGCTTTGTTACTAGGTAGGATATTAATTAGGTGAATTTGGATTACCCTGCCATTGGGCCGGAGAGATGGATCATTGACCATACTTTTGAGCCCCAAAGGACAGATTGCTTGGTGGCTACACACATTGACTTGTGGTACACTTGAGTTGCATTCTGGCCGACCCCAAGTCGCATTCTATCCGGCTGCGATTGACATCACGAACCGCCAAGCTTTTGGACTATTTACAGCATTTCTATGTATGTTCTCCGGCGCAGGGACTCTTAGAACCCTATGGATCCAGCTAATTCTCCGATGTCAGTATGCGACATGCAAAGTGCGTTCGTCCCCTGGTTATCGCTTCCTTGGCGTAATTGAATCACGCATCTAAGCAAACCCGAGGGGATAACTTTGTGAGAATGTTTAATGCTGTCGATGTGGTATTGTAAAGACGAGGAAGGATGCTCTGCTGGTTTAAGGGAGCATTCTATGATTCCTCATTCCCAGTCCGCCTAATTCGCCATCGTCCTGCTTGATCCCTTCCCATGGTAACATGGATACGGGCAATGCCGTCAAGGACTGAGGCGAGGAGCTCAGAATCATCGGGCTCTGAGGAGGCGACGGAGTGAGATTGATTTGAAAAGTGGCTGTGACCAACAACCGGATAGAGTTCTACAGATCGGGAGCTATTCGGTTGTGTGGAATAGTCCCAACTGTCGTCGCCCTCTCGTGGTTGGGTCAAGGGGGGCGACGGAAGCATGCTGGAGGATTCAGAAACGGAGAAGCCCTGGGAATCAAGGGGCTGCGAGGGGGTGTAGGGCTGAGCGGAGGGGATGCTCCGGGAGGTGCCTGAGCCTTCGACCGGTTGCGTGGAGAAATGGTATTGGGGGGGTGAAGGCAAGGCGTGTCCCACAGGCGATGACTCTGACGAAAATAGCTGAGTTGTGGTCGAGGATCCAAATGGGTGGTTGCGTGTGAAGATCAAATCAGAGCTCGATGTTGAGAATGTCGAGAATGAGTCCGCGGTGGATGGTCGATGGTCCTCTCCCGAGGAGTAAGCCACAGGTGGGATTATTGGTGAGATTGCGGGAGACATCGAATCTGAACTAACGGGAGGGTTACGTGTAATTATTAGATCAGAGCTTGATGTTACGAAGCTCAAAAACGAATCTGCAGTGGATGGTCGACTGCCGTCACTCATGGGATACGACGGACGCTGGAGTTCTCGCACAGGTGGTATTGGAGGGGACATTGGATCCGGGGTGACTAAATTTGAGATATCGTATCGAGAATCAGAAGACCAGGAATTTGAGAGAGCGCCTTGGCCGTCGGGAGGAGAGGCGGAAGTCGGTTGCGTCATGGAGGGTGAGGACCAGACCATGGCCACCCGCGGAGTGTAAGGGGGCTGTTGTGAAGGCTCATAACGGCCATGATCTGGTTGAGCCAGTCAATTGTCCGAGACAAAGATTCCCTTGTGTCGATGGGTGGCCTCGACGACGGAGGTATAGAGACCGAAATCTGCAATACAAGTTAGCTGGGGGAATCAGAGACGTGAGAATGTTGAAGGGAGGGCACGACAACATCAGCCCAAGACCCTAAGGTCTGGAAAGCCAATGGAAGCTCAGGGGAATGAATATTCGCAACAGGGGTTTCCGTGATGGCGGGGCTAAGAAGCACAATGACGCGAGAATTTGATGATCCGCCTAATTTAGGAGTCAAACTTAAACTTACCCACGTTAGTTCCAAGGTCCTTCGAAGTCAGCACTTTGATCGAGAGGTCAGGATTGACCTTGCCAATGACCTGGACAGTACTTCCATTGGCGAGATGGGCGTCCTAAGCGGATGTCAGTATTCGTGGCATATTGTCAGGGATGCACTGGACCGCTTCCACGGCTGTAAGTGGTTCAGAGTCCCGAGATCTCGGATTTCGGGATCAGACTAAAGGTGCCGAGTGCCACTTACCCGGTTCAGCAGCACTGTGACGGTTCCATCGGAGTCTAGAGTGGCCTGGTCGCCTCGCAGCTGCGTGACCTTGCCGACGAGCATGACGACGCGCCCGACGAAGCTGTCGAGGTAGGAAGCGGTGATTCGCGGGGTAGAGAGTTGCTCAGCCATGGCTAGTTTTGGCGGCGATTTGAGGTCGACAAAGAAAAGAAGAACGGCTAGGCGTAGGATGCCTAAAGGCGAATGATGAGAAGGTCTTGCGAGATGGCAACTGGAAAGACGAATGCGATGTCGTGTTTGGAGGAGTCTGGCGGGATGCTTCAAAGATCTGGTAGCGGGGCAGGCACCAGGGCGCGTTTCGGCGCATCGCGAGGTCATGTGATGGGTTGAATTGCCGACTGGCGAAGCATGCACGTGTTCTGGCACGTGCATCTGACGACATCTTTTGGGGGATGCCTATTCTCAAAGGGCAAGCTGGTTGGCCACTGAGCTGGAAACTGGCCCGCCCATAATGGACGGCCGTTGGCGAATCACCAGCACAATGGACGACATGGTCCACGCACCGGCCTCGCCACGGCCGCAATGGCCTTGTTTCTGGTCACAAGCCGTGATTCCACTTCGGAGTCGTGTCCGTCCGTGTCCGCTGAAGCCCTGCAGGCCCTGGACTCCTGGAGTTTAGGCAGCAAAGTGACTGGATCGCCAAGGCCCATCGGTAACCGTGCTCCCGAGCAGGCCTCCTCTAGCCTGTTATTATTCCCGTAGCCTGATCGGCACAGCTCCAGTGGAGAACCCCTCCCTAGCTCGAGCTCGAGCTCGAGCTCGAAGCGAAGGCTAGACGATGTTACAGGCGATATCCAGAGGGCAGGTCGAGCGCCGAGCCTGAGATGGGAGAGGTGAGATGTGCTGCTGTTCCATGACTTTCGACTATTTTCTGCCACGGAACATGTAAGTTGGATGAACCAGGAAAGTTTGCTCCGCCCTGAAACGCCGGCTGCTGTTTACAGTTAAGATTATCCCACCAGCTTGCCATTACATACACGACGGGTGGTAGCGATGTCTCGTGGACATCAGAGACTGGATGCCGCTGCCACAGAACCCTCACGCTCGAGGTGGGCCTTGCTGCGAGAAGATCCAAGCATCCATGGTTCGAAGGGGACCCTAACAGGGGGGTTGCGTTGCGTCCGTACAGTTGCCTCCGTGGTGGCTAATAATCCGTGCTAATAAAGCCAAGTCTGCCCCACAGGTAAACCTACAGGAGCATAGCCTTCGCTAGCGCTGCAAGCAATCCGATATCCCCTGCCATCCATCCATCCACCCGTACAGTACAACCCTCTTTTATATCCCATTCTTTCATCTCTGACCTGAGTATTTTGTTTGTTTTTTCTTGACCGGTTTGGTATGCTGTTGTGTGGCCCCTGTTCACCGAGACAGTCTACTCCACCGAATATCCTGCCTTCACGTGAAGGCGAAGCGTCGCCCGACCATCCGTCAGCCCAGGATCGCGTCTAAGTCGATGCCCTGGTCACTCCATGCACTCCACTCGTCCTTGCCCGTCAGGGAAACTCGATACCGGCTCACGCTCGCGATAAACCTCACTGCCTCCTATACCCTTACATCAAGGTTTAGGTAAGTTGGGTTCCCCAGTGCTCAACTTGGCAGGTCAAGTCCATGTACGCTTGTTATAACCACTCGTTTCCCCGGATCGGGTATCGGAGCTCCCCTTTACCTGACAGTCTCATGCATTTATCTGCATAGACATGGTTTCTACCTGCGGCCAGTGTCCCAGCCGCTCTTCGGCTTATGTCCGACTTCCGCCACTTGATGACCAAAGTGCAGTACAAAGTGCAGAGGGGAAACACCCGTTGTTCATTGCGTCCCGCAGCCCCGCCTGTTTTCCTTCCCACAAGAACCATCTAAGGCAGCCGTCGCTGGTTGGCCACGTCCCCTCGTTCAGATACCGCTGTCATTGAGGTATTATGAGCATAGTACTTTTTGCTACTATGCCCCCGCTCGGATTCTAGTGCTCTGCCTTCCACATGTTCCCACGGGACCGTCGACCGTCCAAGTTTTGAAGTTGCACAAAGAAAAGAATCAACAAAAAGAAAATAAGAGGAATCTAACTTATCCTGCTATTAACAGTATCCCTGGGGGTTGTAGCTGTAACTGTCCACCTGTTGGGGATTCTCCGGGAATGATCCAGCCAAGCCGGCTGTCGTTCCCGTGTAGCAATCCGCCACCAGCGATCAACTTGCATCCCTCCCCTCTATTACACTCTTCCCTTCTCCCAAACCAAATCCTGTACCTGGGGGAAAGAGATACTCCAGTCATCGACGCTCATCAAACGACTTGCTTCTGCACGCCTGTGATCACCGCGGCCAGCTAGTCTAGGTTCGCTCCAGTTCGCAGACAGCCTGATCTCGTGTTCTTATCGCCCCCGAACGGGCTGATCCTTCGGAGCTCACCATCTCCAACCCAAAAATACACCAGTCTGTAAGCTTTGACCTCACTGCTGCTAGAGCGAGACCTCCAACCCCGCCAACCGAGCTCTCTTAGCTCTACCGCCATCCGACAGCGATCGGAACCGCCGGTGCTCGTTAAACCAACGACCATCAAAGCGGAGATCCACGCCGACGAGAAAGTATTTGACCGAGATGGACCCCAGAAGGCACAGTATTGACGGAAGCGGGAGCTTTTGGGATGTTGGCTTCGGTTCAACTCGGACTGTCAGTGTCGATTTGGATATTGACCCTCTGCTCAGCTTCGCTCCTTGCTCGGACGACATGGTGACTTCTCCCATCTGGAATCCTACTTTGGATCAGCAAGCTGGGTTCTTCGATGCAACGTTTGCTGGCGCTGCCGTGCAAGATGTGTTGCCGACAGCCGTCTCGGGCAGCAGCCATTACACGCGGTCGCAGTCGGGAACAATCCCAAGCGAATCGATCATGGGGGCATCCCGAACCTCAAGCCAGTCTTCTACCCCATCTTCCCATGCCCCATCACCAGAAAAGGGCAAAAAGACCGGTCAAGGCAAGCAGCAACGTCAGCGACAAGGAACCCAACACCAAAGCCACGCCACCGTACGACGGGTTCAAGAGCCATCGCAGCCATCAAAGGTCAAAAAAGAGGAGGTCGAAGACGAGTTCCAAAGCGAGGGGGATGAGGAAACAAAACGAAACCATTTCTTGCAGCGCAACAGACTCGCAGCGTCCAAGTGTCGACAGAAGAAAAAGGAGTGGGTGAACAATCTGGAAGTAACCAAGACGGGATTGGAACAACAGAACTTAACCCTGCACATGGAGAAGAGAGAGCTTTCTAATGAAGTCAGTCGGATGAAGCATCAGCTGATGTCTCATTCTAATTGCAAGGACGCCAACATCGACCTATGGATCGAAAACGAAGCTCGTAGGGTTGTTGAAAATTCTGCCCAGCGACGCAGCAGCACAACAGGGCTTTGCGATACTGGCATTTGCAGCCATAGCTACCATCGCTTGAAGGGTATGTTACTATTCCCCGTCCAGGAGTATTTGATGAGTCCTTTCCTAGAAGTTGATGGTTAATGGGTTGCCGAGTGGACGACAACAAGCTGATTCAATGTGGTACAGATCGAACGTCTTCTCGATCAGACGCGACTGAATCACCCGGCGCCGATATAAACTACGATTACATGCCCGCCGACATGTTTCAGTCCGAAGCCTAGACATGGGCTGGATGACGACGTACGCAAAGCCCTTGTTTGCTAGCGCAGAAGGGACAGGGGCATTTCCGTCCTTGATCGAGGCACTCAAGTATGTTGGCTGCAGAAAGTCGGGAAATAATCATTCTTTCTTTTATTTCCAACACATCTGCTTCCTTTTCTTGCTCGGCCGCCCCCGATTGAGATTTGGAGGTTTGATTTTTGTGCGCCACGGCTTCGCCGACCGAAAAGGGAAACGGCTCCCGGTCTGGGATATTGGAGCTCGATAACGGCCGGCGCGAATATGAATAATGAGGAAAGGATAGAACATGCCGGAGCGTGAACGGAGTACAGGACCCGGGATGGGGCACACGGATTCAGACTCCGAAAAAGAAATTGCTTCCGCAGTTCATGCTTTGGCATGCCCTAGCAACTGGAATGGTTGAAGTCCCGGAAGAAAAAGGGAGGGTATTTTGGACTATGAGTCAACAAATGCCGGATAATGACTTATGATCTCCTTATGACTCGGCTGGAGCCGACGGATTGGTTGCTTGGTGGGATTGCTCCTTGGTTTCTGGCTTTGCTGGAACGGGTAAGCGTGCGTGGCATTGGCACGAGTCTCCGGTTCCAGGATTCGAGATTGAAGAAGGAGTCAATTTTCTATCTTCAGGTGAGGAAAGAACACTTTTCCTGGCTGTATTGATACGATGGACGGATGGGTGATGGTTGGGAGCCGGCCGATGGCGGTCCGGGCTTTATAAGTAAGGCCTCGGGTTTGGAGCAAAATGAGGAATGAATCGAGTGAGTTGCCACCCTTGCAGATTGCGTTTCCTGCTTTCTCCGCGATGTGACGGACGATGGATTGATGCCACCCGGTTGTTTTCGATTGCTGTGCTTCTTGTGCCGTTAGCCAGCCGATTGCTCACGATTGCTCCCAACAGTGACATCCACAGGGAGCGACAATTCTGGCGAAGACTGCCGGATCATTGGTCTATTGCATCATGACTGGTCTTGGAGATCAACCGACACCGTCGCCGGGATTGTTTACGGTCCCGAGCCCGCGGGTGCCGACTCTAGAGTCCGCGGGGAATTGGTCTCTAGGGAATTGGTCTCTGGGGAATTAATTGCATCCATCAGGAGATGCATGTCCGTCACTCGCGAGTGCAGCCTCAGGCACTCATCGACGCAAAACCGTGTACCGACATACATACAAAGTAGTCGTCCCCCATCGAAAGCCGTCCCGTCGTATTCCCACCTTTCTCGCGAATCCGAATGCGATTTACGACGCTCCAAATTCCATCCACGCTTGGTCTGCACACGCGGGACGGAAGACAAGTCCGACAACCGGCGGGTTCTTTATTTTCCACCTTTGTTTCTAATTGGTCTACATCGACAGAATATGCCGTCCCCTTCTACACGGCTTGGCCACCGGAAGTCGCGAAACGGGTGTCTTCGTTGCAAGGCGCGACACGTCAAGGTGAGGGTTGCTCCGGTTCTTAGTAGTTGCCCAATTGAGCTCGTGCTGAATACTTGCCACAAATAGTGTGACGAACTGCGCCCTTGTAGTAATTGCGTCCGATTCGACCTTGCGTGCAGCTTGACTCTAAATCCTGCGCCACAAGTTGCTGTGGGATCTGTTGGTCATACGACTCCAGCAACACCAGCGCCAGCACCATCATTGGCACCATCATTGACGCCAACAATAGCAACTCAGCCACAAGCGCACCTGGCAGGCAATAACACGGCTTCTCCGTCACCGAGACAGGATCAAGCCGACACTCTGCCACCAGCCCGCAGAGACTCAGCTTCCAGTGCTGTGAATCCTCCCCCAGACTCGGCATCCCCTGTGCCAGTACCCCCTCCAACCCCGGCGAGCTTGGTTGATGGCGAAACTTGTCAACAATTCTCTCCAAGTTGGATGCAGAGCCTGAGGCTTCTCCACCATTACAGCACTGTCGTCTACCCAGCGCTCGGCCGCGACGAGACGACTGTAACACTATGGAAGACGGTTGTACCTGAGATCGCCTTCTCTCATGTAAGTCACTCGGTGGAGGTTAGCATCTTATCATTCTAATCTCTACATAGGAGTTTCTCATGCATGGATTACTCGCCATGTCGGCACTGCATTATGCTCGCAGCCACCCGGAGCAGCGGAGACAATATGTCCTCGTATCATCATACTATCAGAACCTTGCTCTGCAGTACTTTGCAACGCGACTTCATGATATTAACGAGGAAAACTGCGAGGCCTTTTTCCTCCTTTCTACATTCATCTTCATAATAACCATGTGTTCGATTGCAGATCCGCAAGACTTGGATACGCCCATCTCTCCACGCGATATCGCCCAATCGTTCACGCTTCTGCAGGGAATCAAGACCATCCTTGCTTTCAAGCCATTGGCAAGATGGAGGGAACAGGGGCCGCTGGCGCCACTACTACAACCCTGGGCACCTGTCAAGCCAACGCATTCCGGGCCATTCTTGGTGCAAATGGACCGGGTCTCCAATCTGGCCAGAGACATCGACCCATCCTTCGAGGTCATCAACCCCCAGTCGTCCTGTTTGTTGGCCATCGAATCTCTCAGAACCACCTACCATTCTACAAATGGAGAGGATAACGAGAAGGGCATCCCACGTCGTATGTGGCTCTGGCCAATCACTTTGACGAACCTATTCATCGAGCTGATCGGTAATAATCACCCCGTTGCGCTTATTATCCTGGCACACTTTGCCGCACTGGCTCGGCCATTTGAGCGTCAAGATTGGGTTAATCAAGGGTGGAGTAGGAATATTATAGAGGCAGTGTCGCGAAGTTTGGGTGAGGAATGGCAACAATGGGTGGCCTGGCCTCGGCGATCCGTACAGGAGTGCATTGACGTGGATGACATGGATGTATAGCACCTTGATATCGTGGAAAGAGATAATTGGCCGCACACTACTGCAATATCCAGATCGTGACGTAGTGCAAGAATCTAATATTAATATGTCCTTGCTTCAATATGAGAAGTTCAGATGACTCTAGGTATCCAACCGGCCAGGGTATGGTTTATAGCAGATGCAGTGAACCCAGCTCTAACAAGTATAAAACAGGCCCAAAAATTAGAAAATCGGACAGTATACAAAAAATGCTAGGTAAGCTACAGATCGCTCATCTTGAACTTCTTCCTCAACTTCTCGCCAAATCGCACAATGAGGAATGGTATTGGGATGAGAGCCACAGCGATCAGACCGAGCAAAGTGTTCCCCCATCCCAGGCCAAGAGCGTCGTACATCCTCAGCGCGAAAATCGGAAGGATGCCCCCGGCAATCGATCTTATAACGGTATTCGCGGCGAGTGCTGAGGCGGCGTACATCTCGTAGGCATCGACAAGGTAGACGCTGACGGCCATAAAGCACACCAAGTTGCCTAAAAGATTAGCTCCCCGCCGTCTATCGGGGGTAGTAGATACATACCAACACCAATAATACCCAACCCAATAATCGGGCCCATCCAGTGCGTTTCATAGTCCGTGGTCCATCCGTAGATGAAAAAGCCAATGGGCATAATGATTGCTCCAGCTGGAAGAAGCTTGAGGCGAACTTCGGGCTTTGCCTGGCCATGCTCTTCCCCCATGTGCTTTTTGACCTCTTTCGCGCTGTCCTGTGCAAACCAGATCATGCCGATAAAAGATCCGACTCCAAGTCCGAGATATACAAGCCCACTGGCGCTTGTGCTAAAGTTGTACGACTTTTTGAAGACGTAGGGGACAGAAGTGAAGAGGATATATAGGTAGCCATATATCACAGCTATGTATACGGCGAAGACCGTACAAATAGGAGAGAATATTAGCAGCTTGATTGGACGGACAATGGATCGTTTGAAGAGCTCTGAACGAGTGCCGCCTGTATCCAGTTTTGAGCAAAGGAATGCGTTGCCGGTCTCTTTGCGCAAGCGTGCAGCCTTCCGGGCCAGAATGATGGGAGCATAACTCTCCCGCATCAATAAGAACATGGCGATAGAAATGGTGCCGCTCACTATGGCAACAACCCAAAAGACCCATCGCCAGCCCTTTGCATCTGTCAAGAACCCCCCAGCAACAGGTCCAATAATGGGGCCAAGCAACGGGCCTGTACTGAAGGCAGCCATAACAGCCCCACGCTTCTCCTGAGAAAATATATCGGCCATACTGCCTCCGCCGTTTGTGAGGGGGGCTGAACCAAAGGACCCTGCGAAGAAGCGAAAGACGATGAGTGCTTCGAGTGAGGGAGCGACGGCGCAGGCCACTGTGAAAGCGACAAAGCACACGTTGCAGACATGGTAGACTGGCACGCGTCCATACATTTCAGACAAGGGTGCGAGTACCAGAGGCCCGACGGCAAACCCAAGGACGTAAACAGAGACGACGAACGCGGCCAACTCGGTGTTGCTGCTCTTGAAGTCTATCATGAGATCCGGGACGCCAGGTGCGAAGATGGACGATGCCAGAGGAGTGACAAAGGTCACAAGACTGATGAGCCCCGCGTTGGTATATTTCTGCCAATTCGGCCAGTTGTACGGGTTTTCGGGGTCGTTTTCGCCATCCCACCACACCAGGCCGTCTTCGTCGAGCCAGGGGTTGCCTTCGGTGTCACTCTGGGCGGACGGATCGTTGGAGGGTTTCTCGGCGGGCTGGGACTCGACTGGTTTCCCGTTTGACGGAGAGCTTCGATTTTGTCCAGTCCCCGACGGCTGGAGATTTTCCATCTCTAGATCCTGGGGGTTTGTGTTGTGGGAGACGGCATCTGGCACTTTTTGGTTAGCCGGTTGGCCTCCCTGCTGACAGATTTGTATTTCCGCTTTCCCAACTTCACAGATGGGCATATGGACTTCTAGAAACCCTGGACACCAGGATACCATAGGGTCAAACTAACCGTGCATTGGTTGTGTGGACCCTCGAGAGTCGGACATTCTTTCGTACGGGTTGGAGGGATTCATGGCAAGCCGATGAGAGAGATGGAACCAAGAACAGAGTGAGAAGCAAGACCAACATTTTAAATGCGGTTCAAGTACACAAAAGCAATCAGCCATCTCAACTCCAGATGTCTAAGCCTATGCATGGCAATAACACGAGACCACAGAGACCAGCTCGAGGTACGAATCCGAATCCGTTACCCAATCAAAGCGAGCCAAAGCCCATCTTCGACTTTCAGGAACTAGGGTCCACCAATATCCGCAATACGCCGACAGGGGTATCTGGGCTTAGTGTCGTACATCGCATTCGCATATCGTATTTCTTCCAACCCTACTTTAATCTAGATTACTGGGACCACCACGCGGGGGACTGGCGTCGTCTGGGACATTCTTGGCGAGATCGTCCCCATTGACCTAAGCCGATAGAATGATTGATAGGATGGAATCACTGTCGAGTCGACCGGGGAGTCTAGCTCATTGGTCCAAGGACCAGCTCGGCGAAAGCCATGCCATGTGTGGGCTTTCGGGAGAACTTTTCGGGGAACCCCGAGGGGAGGGGAGGCGGAATGCCGTCGGTATTAATGACTAAATGGGGCATTTCAAACTACTCGGAGTGAAGATGCCTACGTTGTCCAAGGAGACTAACTTGACCCCGTCACAGAGTATAGTGTATGGCGGAGCCGTATAAGGGACTAATCGAACACTCTCAACTTCAGGCGTACAGTGTGAAGCATAAAGTCCTGATCCAAAATACTGCATATATTTTATTACTTGATGTATGCTAAGCCTTTTTTTATTTTTACTCTTGGGCCTGGCTTAAAGATCCATATACTTACTCTAACCCTAACCCTTAAGATGGCAATATATATATTATACCCTAGTGAAGAATAGATTGTACCGTAATGTAATTAGCGTTCTATACCTACCCAGTACAAATTTGGATCAGGAGTTTGTGTATCCCACTGTACCTGCACCTGGTGATCTGCTGGAATACCATGTCATGGATCTATAATGACAATACCATGCGCTTCCTAACCGGTGTTGAACTCCGAGATCTCGGTCTGTGCAGGCAAGCCAGAGGCTAGTTGCGACCAGAGCACCGGCGGGATACAACCCTTGGTACTCTTTTCGTTGCTTTGGCGCTCTCTTCACGCAGGGCAGTCCATACACCAGTCTCTGGCAGATAGTTGGGTCGACAATTATGCCATAAACACATTTGTATGATTCACGACAAAGAGTTTGGGGTGAACAAAGTTGAAGATTTTGATTGCGGCGCCCGCCCTTGGTACTCCTACATAGAGGCCGTCGTCTAAATGTACAATGATATGATACACAAGCTCCCCGCTCACCTCTTCTTCGTCCATCCCTTTGCGTTGGAAACGCCCCTGATCCGCTTGGTGTACTTCCACAGGTGGCGGTACTTGGGACCTTGTCGCTTGGCCTCCCATCCGCGAGGCTTGACGGGCGGCTTGAGGCTGTGCACGCGCGTGGGGCGGAACTCGAGATCGGCGCCGGGGATCTCGTGGCGGGCCATGACGGCGGCCGTGTTGTCGTCCCAGACGGAGCGGAAGAGGTTGAAGCCGAAGGGCTGGAGGCCGAACTTGTCACGGAACGACTTGAGGGAGAAGCCGTCGCGGCTGGCGTAGAGCTCCTTGAGCTTGGCGACGTCGACCTTCTGGCCGGGCTTCTGCTCGAGGAGGTAGATGCCGAGACGGTGGTAGGGGGCGCCCTTCTGCGAGAAGGCGGGCAGCCAGGGCACGGCAAGCTGGTCCTCGCCCTTTATCCTGCTGAGGGGCAGGGAGGTGTCGGTGGGGTCGAGGGGAATGTTGGCGGCCAGGTAGTGGCAGCGCTTGGTGAAGCCGTCGTTCTCCGGGTCAGGGACGTCGGAGTCGAGGACGACGATGGAGACCATGCGCTCGCCCTTGTTGAAGACCTGGACGCGCAGCCGCGGGGGGTTCTCACTGACCAGGCTGTCGACGATGGTGCCGGGGGGGACCTTGAGCTTGCGGAAGTAGAGTTGGACGTCGGCCGAGGGCTCGAGCTTGGGCAGCACGTCGGGGACGATCTTGAACTGCTTGATTCGCTGGGTGATGAGGCGGTGGTCGTAGGAGCGCCACTTCTTCTCGGCGTAGTAGCGGTAGATGGGCTTGTTCATGTCGCCTGAGATGGTGGGTTAGCATGACAATTCCAGGGCAATCGCATGAATTGGCCAATGTTTTCCCAGTACAACGGCAATCCCAACAGCAACTTACCCAGTCCGTCCTCATAACGCTTCTTGACAATCGGGTCGTTGACGTCGGCGAGAATCTTGAGCTCGTCGGCATGTCTCCGCAGACTGGCCAGCTTTATGTTCTTCCTCTCCAGGCCGCCCTTGACCTCGGCGTCGTCCTTCTTCTCCAGCAGCGAAATCTTGTTGAGGGTCTGGGTGATCTGGGCCAGCTTCTGCTCGCGGTCGGCGGCGAGGATCTTGCGGGCTTCCTGGAAGGCCTGGTAGGGCAGGTGCTCAAAGGGAATGTCGGTGGTGGTGCGCATGGCGACGCGGCGGCGGCGGGAGCCAATTGGCATCTTGCCGGCCTTGACGAGCTGCTCCTCGAACTCGGGCAGCACCGTGTTGGGATCGAGGTCGAGCGGGTTGACCGCGGGCGGCGGAGTCGAAGCCGTCTCGGCCTGGGGCGGGACGTCGGCGGCGCGGGCGGCGGCGGAGGTGAAGGGCCGCGAGAGGCATTGCGGGCGCAGCTGCCGGGCGAGCGGCCGGACGACGGCCTGGCACCGCGACATTGTGACGATGCGAGACGCTGGGCGCTGTGGGCGGGGAGTTGAAGGGCGGTCCAAAATCGAGTCTATCACCGGATTCGTGCCAACGCAAAAAAAGCTCTGAGCTGGGATGTGCACCGCCGGAGGTTGCACGCCATGGGCCCCACTAAAGCCCCCGGAGCCTGCACTGGAGTGGACGGAAGTTGCCGCACCACTTTTCGGCGGCGTCACGATTTTCGACCCATCGCCAATTCGAATTCAAGCATTCGTCTCGACACAGCTCTCGCAGCACATCCGCCACACGACCAATCCCCCGGGGCGTGTACAAGATGGCTGGAAAGGGAATTGGCTGTCTCGCCGAGGCCATGGGCGCCTTGCGCGTGGCCGCGACCAAGGTACGTTGCCAGCGGTGGAATTTGAATTGCAGTAGCTCACAATGGACATAGCCCGCGACCTTCAGCAGGACGTTTACACGCACAATGGCCACGGAGGCATCTTCCAGTGAATCCAAGAAGTCTGCCCCTGTGGCTACTCCCCAGGCCATTCTCGAGTCGTGGAACCCTAGTCAGTCTTCTCTCCCCATCATGTCGATGGCTTCACCCACTCACACTCGACGCTTCTAGTCTCAACCGTCCCCCTCACCATCCACAACTTCCCCTCCCTGGAGCCGACGTCCCTTGAGCAATGGTCCGTCAACCACCTCTACCTCCCCCTCCGCCGCGACCTCCTCCACCTCGCCGTCGTCTACGAGGGTGACAACACCCGCCAAGGCACCGCCTCCTCCAAGACCCGCTACGACGTCCACGGCTCCCACCGCAAGATGCGCCCCCAGAAGGGCACCGGCCGCGCCCGCATGGGCACCAAGCAGAGTCCCATCAACCGCGGCGGCGGCAAGACGTTTGGCCCGCAGCCCCGCGACTTCGGCACCAACCTCAACCGCAAGGTCTACGACAAGGCCTGGCGCACCGCCCTGAGCTACCGCTACCGCAAGGGCGACCTGATCGTCTGCGAGGACGGCATGAACCTGCCCCTACCCACCGACTTTGAGCTGGTGGCCGGCCAGTACCTAAAGGACGGCCTGAGGGAGACGTACCTCAAGCGATATATGACTGGGGTCCTGAGCAACCTTGGCCTTGGACGGGCCAGCGGCCGCACCCTGTTTGTAACGGGCGACCGCCGAGAGGCGCTTTTCGAGGCTATGGAGCAGGTGCCCCAGGACGGCCGGGTGCTCGATATCGAAGATGTGGATGTCAAGGACCTCCTCGAGACCGGCAAGCTGGTCCTGGAGCGAAGCGTGCTAAAGGAGTTGATTGAGCAGCACCAGAGCGACCTGGTGAGCAAGGTCGTGATGCAAGGCCTTGTCAAGGGCGGGCCTGCTGTCGGGACAAAGATCCTCGGCGCTTAAGCGGTGTTGTGATGTGAGCAGGTGGTTTAGTGACCTGTGTAGACTAGACATTGTACTATTCTGTATACAAAAATCCCACGTCAAGGGACACGATACACTTATGCATGTTGTCTCCTGTTTCCGATGGAGTGACGTTTCTAAGTTTAAAGGTGGGTATAATCTTGAATTAAATCCAGGGCTGAACCGCAAGACTCGAAAACCTAGGTCCCCTAATCTACAACGACCGCGAGGTCTCATATATGTATCACAAAGCCCCGCCAACCAGCGAGACAATCCACATGGCCACGCGCACCTTGAGCCCGACCCTGCGCTCGTTGACGGCCAAGTCATCCCTGGTGACCCTGGCGGCGTGCTCCTGCAGCCAGCGCTGCTCGTCGGCCAGCTGGGCCTTGAGGCCATCGTCGCGCGTGACGATCAGGGCGCCGGCCTCGAGGTCGTGCGAGTAACTGCGCTTGGTGTAGTTGGAGCTGCCGATGATGCTCATGGCCGGGTGCGCGTCGCCCGGCATGGTGACCCAGAGGCCCTTGGCGTGGTACGTCCAGCCGCCGGGCTGCCCGACGACGCCGTGGCGCCACTCCTTGAGCGTGATGGAGGCGTCGCGGCCCTCGTGGTGCACGCGGTGCAGGAAGCGCCGCGCGAGCAGCGTGTAGGCGTCTGGGAGGAGGCCCGACACGCCCTTGGACTGGTAGAAGCCGTTTGCTTCCGGGTGCGCGGTGATGACGGTGTTGTTGGAGGATGCGGTGCCCATGAGGAGCTTCGTCAGTGAGGGGGCCGGGTTGAAGTAGCCGGCGGTAAAGGTCCACGAGGAGTCGCGGTAGGCCGGGGATCCCAGCGTCTTGAGGATGTGCGTGACGATGGGGAGCTCGGTGGAGGTGTCGGGCTTCATGATCTGGGACATCTGGCCGAGCATGTACACCCTCGTGTCTGCGATGTCTTCGGATGTGGGCATGGCGCCGGGCTGTATCAGGGCCTGCAGCGTCGACGTGGTGCTCTTGATAAAAGATTCAGGCTTCTCCAAGGGCGACGGCGCCGAGTTGGACTTGGGCCATGCGAGGGTGAATCCCGCGGCTTCATCCTGAGATGGCTTGACGAGGAAGCTGAACGATGCGACGCCTGAGTGGACCTGCCAGAAGTGCTCCGTGATCTCCTTGGAGGAGAACAGATGGTATCGATCCTGGCGGTTGGTGAAGTAGTCGGTAGACAGGTTGGCGCTACAGCGTGTTAGTCTTCTCTCATCTCAATTCTTGTCAGGACAGCTGCAACATACCCAGACATGATAATCTCATCATCCACGCCGTACAGCTTCATGTGCTGCAACCCCCACCCCTCATTAATCCTCTTGGGGATGTACTGCTTCCGCAGCCCCGTCAGGTTAGGCGTGTGATACATGCGGATCTCGACGCGGTCCGCGCCAAACTCCGTCACCAGCGGCGCCAGCAACGAAGCGCTCGACGGGTCGGGCGCCTCCCGCGTGCCGCGCAGCGCATCGCTCAGGATGCTCAGCTTGAGCCCCGGCGTCCGTCGCAGCGCCGCCTGCAGCGTCTCGATGAGCTCCTTCTCCGACTTGCCAATGTACAGCGTCGACAGGAAGATGCGGCTCCGGGCGTTGCGGATTCGGTCCTAGTCCTGGCATCAGCCCCAGATGTTCCCTTCGTTCTCGTCGGTGGTTGCAAGTCGCCTCGCTACACGCGCAGGCCGTCTCGTCTAACCTTGAGCGTCTCGTAAAACTCGGCCGGCGTCTTGATGATGCAGATCTGGTCGCCCCGGACGTCGAAGCTCGGGGCCAGGCGGTCCAGCTCGCTGACGAACGGCGCCAGGGCTCCGACGCCGGTCACCGGGCCGGCGGGCGACACCGGAGCTCCTCCGGCGGGCATCGAGTACCGTCTGCACTGGAAGCGCGCGGCGGGCGCATGGGGCGCGGCCGCTTTGAACACGGGGGCGCGGAGCTTCGCGGTGCAGCGGGTGCAGCTCCGGACGAGCATTGCGCAATTGGCCTGTCTGCCGGTTGCTGTCGTCGACTTTTGTTGGGTGGTACTCAGATCGATCAAGGGTCTTGATAAAGCTCTTGCCTCGAAATATTATGACAATTTGGGTACGTACCATAGGCCGTCATGGATGGGGCTGGTGCAGGGGTGTGGCTTAGCCGCGGTTCATCCGGCCCGGGCCATCTTCAACTGCCTCGACTTTCTCGAATGCATCCAGACCTCCCCACGCCGACGTCCATTGCCGCCAACCGCAACCATGTCGACCATCTCCCGAACGCTGAGCAACCTGTACAAGGTTGGCATCAAGGTACGTGCCGCCCCCGAGCCGCCAATTGCCCCCGCCGAGCCTCCAAACCGCTGACTCCCCGCACAGGATTACTTCAAGCAGATGCTGGTACGTAGCCGACACCCTCGAACCACGCCGACCAGCTTTGACTAACGCCGCCCGCTCGCCACGAACAGTACATCGGTACGCACCCAGACGACGCTCCCGCGACGAGGATCGAGGACTGACCATTCCCGCAGGTGACACCAAGTACGGTCGTCTCGTGGGTACCGACCGCGCCGGCAACAAGTTCTTCGAGAACAACGAGGAATTGCCGCTACGAACCCGCTGGGTTGAGTACGCCAAGCACGACTACGATGCCGCCCACATCGAGCCCGGCTGGCACGCCTGGATCAGCTACTCCCTCGATACCCCTCCGACCGAGGACGCGCTGATCAAGGCCGGCACTCGTCACTTCGAGCCCACCAAGGCCATTCCCAACTACACCCAGACCCGCGGCGCCTTCAAGACATACAACACGTACGTTTTGTCCAGAGAAGTCATCGACCGGAGAGGGAGTGCTAACAAAATGCAGTACCAAGCCCAAGATTCAGGCTTGGCAGCCCGTGGCAACCCCCCGGGCATAAGGGAGAGCATCGGTTGCAGGACGCGTGTGTACATATTTCCAACATCGGGATTAGACGAATGGACCTCTGAAGAAAAAATACCACCGAAACGGTGTTGAATTCAAACCAAATATCTCAATGTGCCGCTTGCGTGCGACAGTATTCGCACAGCGACTAATGCAGAACATATCTAGCATCTAGGAAATACGTTGACGCTATCTATCCGCTGCGAGATGGAATCGCTCACACTACTAGGAAACATGCAAGCAGGACATGACTCAATTCTCTATGCTTCCAAATGCAACTACGACTTCGATTCGATAGCCGACTTGATAGCTACACGGTTGTCAGTATGAGAGACAGAGAAATGTGGCAGAATACTAACCTTCACATGTGACTCTAGCGTCACCAAACAGCATTCTTGCGTTGGGCATGTAGAACATGGGGTTCGGCACATCCGCTGTAACTCGTTAGCGAATGCTCGTTTCCAGAAATGGGAACTTACCATATCCACTCGCCAAGCTCCTCTTCATCACAACCACCTGCTTAGCCTTCCAAGCATGAAGCACGGGCATGCCCTCAATTGAACTGCCCTTCTCCATAGCGATAGGGTTCACTGTATCATTGGCGCCAATCACCACAGCTAGGTCAGTATCGGGGAAGTCGTCGTTGATCTCGTCCATTTCCAGAACGATGTCATACGGCACGCTCGCTTCCGCGAGAAGTACGTTGCACTGCCCGGGCATGCGACCTGCCACGGGATGGATAGCGAACCGGACCTTGATGCCCTTGGCACGCAGCGTCGAGACAATGCTCGATAGGGCGTACTGCGCTTTGGCCACAGCCATGCCATAACCGACGATCAGAATGACGGACTCAGAGTTGAGCAACGAGTCTGCAAGTTCGTCTACAGTGGTTTTCGTAACTTCTCCTTGGGGTTTGTATTCTTGTACCGCTGTTGTCGTTCCTATCCCACCAAACAAGACGTTGGTGAGAGAGCGATTCATGGCCACGCACATTACGTATGAGAGGATAGAACCAGATACGCCTATCAGGGCTCCAACACTTGTTAACAGTGGATTGTCAAGCATGAAGCCTTCGGCCACAAGTGCAAATCCACTGTATGCGTTGAGAACCGTGATAACGACAGCTATAAAAAATGAGCATCATCGTTGTGCTGCGCAAGGACTTGACTTACGCATATCGGCACCGCCAATTGCTGACGTGGTGGTGTATCCCTTAATGAAACTCATCGCGGCGTTGGCTGCCAGCGCTCCAGCTGCAATCATGGGGCTTCCCGGAGCCATTGTGATAAAGGCGCCCATGGTAGCGGCGTTGGTTGCCAGTAATCCCGAGTTGATGGCATGACGACCAGGTAAGAGCTTGGGCTTAGACGACATGCGGCCACCAAGCTTGAGGAAGGCCACGATGGAACCTGTAAAGGTAATGCCACCTGTTGGAGCATCAGCATTGCAAAATGGATAACTGCAACAATAGTCTTACCAATAAGAACTCCAAGATATGCTGTTACCATGTGAAGTGTGGTAATATCTACACTTCCAACTTCTGCCATGACGCTGCCAATGCTGGTCAAGACGGCGGCGAGACCTACAACGGAATGAAGGGCGGCAACGGTCTGAGGGAGGTCGGTGGGCGTGATTCGCTTGCCGATGAGGAATCCTGATATCTTAGTCAGTCTCCATGCTTGAATCTCTGTCGGGGCTACACACCAGCAAGAACACCCATAGTAGCAAGGCCACCAAACTGTGCAAGAACCTCGGGGGAGAAACCGGCGGCGAGCAAGCTAGCTAGTACACCGGTGCCGACACCGAGCATGCCAAGCATGTTACCCATGCGGGCAGTGGTTTGAGAGGCCAGGCTAGAGAGAGAACCGATACACAGCATAGAGCTAGCGAGGTAACCAGCTTGGACAAGGCCGGCAGCGCCCGTCGAGGCGGCAGCGACGAAACCACCACCACAGAGAAGAGCCGGGATACCATAAAGCCAAGGGTACTCGGGAGGATCAGTCGGTCCTAATAACAGTTAGAAGAGTCGGACTTTGTATGTTTAGGCTCAACTCACGCTTGAACATGTCCAGCATGCGCTTCGTGATGACGAAGCCGCCACCAACATTGACAAATGCAAGAAGAACACTGAGAGCTCCGAAAACTTGAGGGATCGTCTCTGGAACATATCCACCGCCGAGGATGAACAAACCACCGACACCGACCATACCGGAGATTGCATTGGTGACACTCATCAACGGTGAGTGCAGGGCAGGGGCGACACCCCAGATGACGCGGTAACCGATCAGACTAGCGAGAGAGAAGGTGAAGGCATTAGACATGAGCAGCGGGCTGGTGAACTTTCCGAGGGCTAAAACACCGCCCATACCCGCGGTGATGCCAGCAACCTCGCGCGTCTTCTTCTGCCACGGGGTCAACTCAACGGGCTCAACGAGTACAGCCTTGGCTTCATCCTTGGCTGGTGCAGGAGGAGGGGTTGGTCTGGGAGCCGGAGGCAGAATTTGGCCGTTTTGAGTGACAATGGATCCGCGGACGACTACATCCTCCAGATCGATGCCGAATTCGTTGGATCTTGGGGCCATGGAGAGGAGCAGCTTGGTGATGTTGTTAGAGTAGAGCGTGGATGACTGGGTGGGCAACCGGGATGGCAGATCAGCGTATCCTGTCATATCGGTCAGCACGAATGGTTGAAATCGACAGCAAACGGTCACTTACCAATGATCTTGACGTCGTTGTAAGTCGCCAACTTGCCCTTCACGGTAGCCTCACAGTTGCCTCCAGCCTCGGCGGCCAAGTCAACAATGACGCTTCCGGGTTTCATAACGTCGAGCATGTCCTTGGTAATGAGCTTGGGGGCGGGCTTGCCGGGAATCAGGGCAGTCGTGATGATGATGTCGACATCCCTAGCCTGCTCCTTGAACAGCTTCATCTCAGCCTCGATAAACTCCTTGCTCATCTCCTTGGCATAGCCGCCGGCGCCATCACCGTCCTCTTCCATCTCAACCTCAATGAACTCAGCGCCGAGGGACTGGACCTGCTCACGCGCAGCAGGTCTCGTGTCAAAGCCACGTACAATGGCACCCATGCGACGAGCAGTGGCGATAGCGCTCAAACCAGCAACACCGGCACCAATAACTAGGACTTTGCAGGGAGGGATCTTGCCGGCGGCAGTGACTTGGCCGGTCAAGAATCTTCCAAAGACGTTGGATGCCTCGAGGACGGCCTTGTAGCCGGCAATATTGGCCATGCTGCTCAGGGCATCGAAGACTTGGGCACGTGAGATACGAGGCACCATGTCCATGGCAAAGGTGGTGGCCTTTCTAGCAGCAATCTTTTCGACGAGGTCCTTGTTCTGGGCAGGCTGGAGGAAGGAGAGGATGGTCTGGCCCTCCTTGATGGCGTCGACTTCTCGGAGCTCAGGGCCACGGACCTTGAGGACAATGTCGGCATTGGCCCAGACATCCTTGCTGTCGACAAGAGTTGCGCCAGCCTTTTCGTAGGCAGCGTCGAGAAAATCAGCGGCTGTGCCAGCCCCGCGCTCGACCAAGACCTTGCCGAAGCCCTTCTTCTTTAGCAGGATGACATTGGCAGGAGTGAGAGCCACACGCCGCTCATCGGGGAAAATTTCCTTGGGCACGCCGACTGCGAGCTCACTGTAGGGCGTGGATGGGGGCAAAACAACAGTCGAGTAGGTGCTCGGGTCGGGAGGTGACGAGGTTGCGACGGCGGAGGCGGAGGCGTGCCGAATAAGTGCGACAGACTTGGCGAGCACCGGAACGAGTGCGCGGTGACTAGAGGCCGAGGGGATGGAGCTGTGCCATTGCCTCCCACGGGACAAGGCAATTGAGTCTGTATCGAGCCAAAATATGGTCGGTCAGCCGAGAAATTTTCATCGGGAGCTCGGGAGCTCATGGAAGAGTCATAGACTTGCCTCGGAGTCGCAAAGTGTGTGTCGCAAAGAGACGCGGAGCTGCGCAAAGCTCGGGCGTAGCCGAAGCCGAGGCCGAAGCCATCGGACGAAGCACGCTGGAAGCCATGGCGCAAAGGGGTCGTCAAGACTGCAACTACGAACCGGCTACAGCTCTCGAAATATCATTTGTGTAATTATAATTTAGTAGTGGTGGCTGTCTTGCGCGGTGGAGCTGAGCGGGAGCGAGAGCGAGTATCGGAGCTGGCCCAGCTGGTGTGGGCGATGCAGGGTGACGTTGGAGGCTCAAGCAGACTTACAGCCACTGCGGCGATGGACAGTGCAAAGAAACAAAAAACCGTGTTAGCGGAGCAAAGGACAAGATAAAGCCTTTCTACGAGCTTTGGGTCTGGCCTTGAGTCCTCGGGCTTTGCTTCGAGACGAAAAAGGGCCAAGAAAAAAAGAAAAAAAGAGGGAGAAAGAAGGAGAGAGCGCCGCAGGAAGGCAGAAAGGAAGGAAGGCACGAGGAGGGGTCTGTCTGGGCTGTCTGGGCTGTCTCTGACTCTCTCCCGTCCGCGCCTCCCTCCAGCCGTTTCCCGATCGGCTACCTGGGAAGGTACTACCTACGAGACACACCCACAACACGCACCCCATGCCCGAGGCTTCAGGGCCCCCCGGATTGCCTGAGGCGTCACGTCACTCGAGTCGCCAATGCACCACTCACCACTGGCTGCTGGAGGGCGGCGAGGACCCCCCCGAAGCCCCCGAAGCCTCCGGCCGGAAACCCCCAAGCCACGGGACGATCAATGATCAATTAGCCGGTGGCCCGACCCCCCCTGAAACTCTGGGCGCCGCGCTGGGCGAGCCCCCTGGCCGAGGTGTCTCTGGCGGGCAATGACCACAGTGACCAGCAATGGTGAGCAAACTCTGGCCCAGTGTGGGGTGATGTGCGCTAAAGCCGCTAACAAAACCCGGGGGCGGGGCATGCCCCTCCTGGTCCAAGTTGTGCCCCCTGCTGAGAACCTTCTCAAGCACCACCCCTCCCAGAATTCATTCCAAGGCTTCGAACAGTGCACCACTTACCATGGGATTGGATTGCGCTACTCCAGGACTCGGAGGCGTCCAATCCCACTAATACACATGAACCCATCACCAAACAAAGGGGGGTCACCCCGGCGACCTAGTGGCTAGGACCGCGACGCATGGCACCGCGGGTCATCGTACACACCATGTACCAGCGTCGATGAGGCAGGGAATGGACGGTGCAGGGTATCGCTGATGGAGGGGGGGAAGAGGGGGAAGAGGGGGAATGGTAAGCGAAGCCAAACCTGCTGAGCAGCCCCTAGCCAACGGCCTGATCGATCCGCTGATGCAGGGCCTTGGCGGCTCCCGTTCGGTGTGTTTTCCATCCTTCTCCTGCAGACAAGAGGGTGTCCTGTTCGGATCTTTCTTCGGGTCGATGGTCGGGAACCGATCGGAAAACGGGCTGGAGAGGTGTCACGATGCCAGGTGTAGATGAGGGGAATGAGCCAAGATGTGGGAGAGCCCAAGATGCGGGAGAACCCCAGATATTCCCAACCCCAGACAGGAGATGGATTCACTAGACTCCATCTCCAGATGCCAGCAAGACCAGATACCCGATACAGCACGTCCATCTGTAGCCTTCCACTATTTGTAATAAATCGCATGTCACTGGGGCGCCCAAGTCCTCGCTTCGTGGCCCATCTATCCACCCGTCAAAGAGCGGCCCGAGCCTGGTCTGCTCATCGTACCCGCTTGCCAGTCTAATCTTACGTATGCTTCCTACGAGACTTTCCACACCTTGAGACGACGTGTATTCATCAGAATGCTTTCACCGGGTGCTTCCAACAAGCGCCAAAACATTATTTGTAAATGAGCGACTTCAGTTTGAGTACAAACACCAAGCTAAACGAGTGGCTTCCTCCATATCCCAATAACCCTCTGGGGGTCTGTTGCTTTGTCCCATCCTTGCCTTCCCCTCTTCGTGTTCAACCCATACCGTCATTCTTCGGGGAATACCACAAGCGTCCCAATCCCAAATAGCCTCACATCCAAAACTTCCCCACACGACCTCCCTTCCCAACCCCGTTGTTGTCGTTCGTACCTCCGGGGGCCTTTCCAGCAATGCACGGCGTCTCACATCGCCCTCTAAAGTCTGGCCCAATGTTCAGGCACGTGTCGCATCCACACAGCAGCTCAATGTGATTGCCGACTTCCTGGTTCGCGCCCTCGCAGAGACAGATGTACAGAGCCGATGTGACGTTCGATGGTGGAGTTCCACCGGGGCAGTTTGCCTGGGGCGTGTTGCAGTACCCTTGCGTTAGCTGCGGGACTGTCCACGGCTTCGCTGTTATGGTGTTAGTCCGTCTTATCTCATAGAAGAAAGTCCAACGCTTACGCATATCCATGAGGACTTCGGCACAGTACGTATACCCGCACTCGCAAATTGGTCCTTGGTGCGGCGCTCCAGGTGGGGGTGGTGGGGCCGGGTCCGTGGGGTTCGGTGCCGGGGGGTTCGGCGCCGGAGGCGGAGGCGACTCAGGAGGTGGGACAGGGGCCGGCTTATCGGGAGGAGGCGGAGGAGGCGGCGGTGGGGGGGGAGGAGGCGGAGGCGGGACAGGGGGTGGTTCTGCGGTAGGAACAGGCGGCTGCGACGAAGGGGGTGGAGCTGGAACTGGGTCGACTGAAGATGGAGGAGGTTCTTGGGGCAAGGCCAAGGCCAAGGCGGCCAGCCCAAGGAGGGTCATCTCCAGCTTCATGGCAGCTAGACGATGTGTTTTCGATCAATGATGGACTTCCTTTCAATCTAAGAAGTGATCTTGTTTTACCACTGGCGACGCAGATTTGGATTATGGATTGGGAGCCTTCATGATTCTTCTTATACACGACGAGTCTTCTAGATCCGTGATCGTGTTGTAGTGCCAGGTCAAACATCAACGACAATCGAGAAACAATTCCGGTCCACGGCCAGGGGAATCAGGAACCCGTCACTGAAGTTCTACATTGACATACTTCGGCAGTTAGAAAGGCACGATCGAGAGGTTCACGTGAGGTCGAAAATAGACTTGTCCGAGTGTTGAACACCCGATTGTCCTGCCTCCCTCTGCCACTGTCATGATCGATTTTGAGACGTTTTACGATTCCGACGCTTTGACAAACATAATCACTAGCCAAGAGTCCATTGAGAATTCAAATGACGAATTTGTGCTCGCTTGACGACTCCATAAAGGTGCACTTGGAATTGCCGTGGGTGTTTGATGATTTTCTGTCCTCGCTCGTGGCGGACGTAACTCGTCACTCAGGCACCAAAGTAGAAAGTGCAAGGAACGTTAGACTACCTAAAACGGAACAAAGGGAGTGCCTTAGCGAATCATGAACACCATGAAACCTTAAGTAGTACTGGTTTCTGTAAGCCATCACCCCTGGATGGTGTGGCACATTGTTCCATCGGTATTCGGGATGTTGGGCAGCCGAAGTTTGTTGTAGTATGTAACTTTGAACTTTTCATCTCTACAGAGTCTATGACTAATGTAACATAGTCACTCCTCACCTCTATTAGTCGTGGACATTTGAAACTCAACACAATGAACTATCAGATATGAGAAACCACAACCTCACTTGTGGTTCAGTCCATGGTAGTTGAAATGGCTCCGGCATTCCGTGCCGTACTGTGTGCGAATAACACACACTGTACCATTGAAACTGTGCCAGTTACCCCACCATCGGTAGCGGACCGGAAAACATTCAGCTTTGCCCCTCCATTCCTGCTTCAACCACACACGACTACACCTCTTCTTCTCATATCTTGTAATTCAACCTCGCCGTTAGTTTTCGACATGTCCGAGACTCAGGCAACCCAGGGCAAGAGGGTCTTCAATGTGGGCACCCGAGAGTCCCCCTTGGCCATGGCGCAGGCGCACATCGTCGCCAACTCCCTCAAGGCCCACTTCCCGGAGCACGAGTTTGCCATCCACGGCATGACGACGACCGGCGATCGCGACCAGAAGACGGCGCTGTACAGCTTTGGAAGCAAGGGCCTGTGGACATCGCAACTGGAGGAGAGGCTGGTGAACAAGGAGCTCGACCTCGTGGTCCACTGCCTCAAGGACATGCCGACGGCCCTGCCCGAGGGCTGTGTCATTGGGTGTGTGACATCTCGCGAGGACCCTCGGGATACACTCGTGATCAAGAAGGAACTGGTGGAAAAGAACGGCTGGAAGTCGCTGGCCGATCTGCCGGCCGGCAGCGTCATCGGCACCAGCAGCGTGCGCCGGATCGCCCAGCTCGTCCGACGATACCCGACGCTCAAGTTCAAGGATCACAGAGGCAACATCCAGACGCGATTGAGGAAGCTGGAGGAGGACCCGGCGCTCACTGGCATTATCCTGGCGGCCGCCGGACTCCAGCGCATGGATCTTGATCATCACATTTCGCAGTTCCTCGAAAAGGACACCGGTGGTATCCTGTGGGCCGTCGGCCAAGGCGCCTTGGCGGTCGAGTGCCGCGCGGACGATGAGGCGGTGCTCAAGATCCTCAAGACGGTCGAGGACGAGAAGACGGCGCTGGAATGTGAGGTCGAGAGGAGTGTCATGCGGGCGTTGGAGGGCGGATGCAGTGTGCCCATCGGCGTGGAGACAAAGTGGATGGACGGCAAGCTGCGAATGCGGGCTACGGTGGTGTCGGTGCGTGGCGACGAGGGCGTTGAAACCGAGATGACCGAGGCCATCACCACCATCGAGGCCGCAGATGACTTTGGCAAGCGGGTCGCAAAGGACCTCGTGGACCGGGGCGCCGGCAAGATCCTGGATGCCATCGTGGCGTCTCGGCAGGTGCCTGATACGATCAAATAGGCGGGAGCCGAGTGTGACGGGAGACCAGGAATTGGTTGTCAAGATATGAACTATGATGTATGCCGCTGATGAACCGGCAATAAAAAACCCCAAATATACCCCCGGGATGTGAATCACCAATATGGTACAACTCTACGTCTATTTCGTCTCCAGGTTGAACTGTGCTTGCTCCCGTCATGGCCTGAAGACTGCATCCTCGGCATCAATCATGCGTCCGCCGTTTTACCCGATCCAAGTCGTTTAGTGGTCCTCGCCTTCGGAGTAGGCCTTGTAGGCGTCGGCATCCATGAGCCCCTCAAACTCCTTGGCACCGACCTCGTCGACCTCGACCTTGGCGATCCAGCCGCCGCCGGCGCTGTCGTCCTCGGGGACGTTGTTGATGGTGGAGGGCTTCTCCTCGAGGGAGGCGTTGCTGTGGGTGACGCGGAGGCGGATCGGGGCGTTGATGTCGCTGGCGCTCTTGACGGACTCGACGGCCCCGACGGCGTCGCCCTTCTCAACCCAGTCGCCGGCCTCCGGGAGCTCGACGTAGACGACGTCGCCCAGCTGCTCGGCGGCGTACGAGGAGATGCCCATGACGCCGGTCTTGTTGTCGGCGGACAAGTCAATCCATTCGTGCTCCTTTGTGTACCGGCGGGCGAGGCCTGATTGCGCAATCTCGTCAGCTACAGAGGTTCGAGGGTGTTGTGTGCGAGCCCGGAGGATTTGGCCGAGGAGCACGTATGGGCACATCCGGGAGAGGGGGACTACTCACTCAGCTTGGAGGTGGAAAAGGGCCGGAAGGCGGCGCGGGCGAGAGGCGCGGCGCGGGGGGCAAGGGCCCGGGCGACGGGAGCGGCGGCGCGCAGAGATCGAGCAATTGAAGCCATTGCGAGGGTGAGTTGTGATCGGGCGAGGGAAGGGAATTGAGGCGACGAGGAAGAAGAGTATTCGGAGGGGACAGCCGACGGACCATCAAAGATAGATTATCAGGTGTCATTCGGCCGGCACTAACATTTCGTTATCGGATAGAACGAAACGGTACAGTTATCTGACAAACGGAGCGCTTAGTCAGGCGACGGGACGCCAGTCGACCGACACACAACACGCAAGCCATTGACTTTACTGCGAGACAGCGGGAGGGATGGATGGCACTTGGAGCCAATCAGGGCCGTGTAATGGGCGCTGGAAGAGGCGGCTGTACGGGACAATATGCCACTGCCAGCGCGTTTCGAGTTGACTCAGGCTCTGCCGACTCGAGTGTCTTCAACGGTCTCATGCCGGCACGCGTGTCTGGATTGGAGAAATGAAATGGGAAATGCAGAAGTCGATGAGCCATTACGTAGCTGGAGGATTGCACATTGACTTGTTGGATTCCTTGGATGGTCATTTTGATTGAGATTGGAAAGCCCGTGCTTCCATGATGAACGGCATGCCCGGAGCCTCCAAGACACAAACATGGGAGAACCTGGTAGCGAATATGCAATGCCCGTGGCAGCTAGGAGAGAGGCTTGGATGCTGGCGGTCGTATAAGTAATGACTGACGAGTGCCGCTCAGGTCAAAACGCCATGACGAGATGGGCTTCACCAGGGCGGGGGACAGAGTCATGGCATGGATTCTTAGTAGGGCTCGGACGAGGCGAGGACCAACCCCGTTCGCGCAGGACTTGTGGTGGTGCAGTGCAACCATCAACAAACAATAAGCGAGTTGTTGTTGATGTTTACATTACATGTTGTCCACTGCATGATGAGTTGGGGTGTGGGGGAGAGGGGGGGCGCAATCATCATAAATAAGCAGAGCATCTCACCAACGCTTTGATGGGTCGAATGGGGGCGCCCGTCGCTGGCTCTCGAGTCTCGACCTCGCGCAGAAAGATGGAGAATGGGCTCTTCGCTCGCGTGCTAGTCACGATTGCATCATCTCGCCGCTCGATCTTGTGGCTAGCACTGGGCGAGTGTAACACGATCCAGAGGCAAAAAAGAGGCCATCTTTCCTGTTTGAGCCTTCAGCCAGCCCAGCGAGCCAGTCCGCAATCACCTCGTATCATTGGCCCCGACTGGGCGCGTTAGTTAGGACCTAAGATAGCAGGTAAGTAGCCTGGGACATCTGGGCAGTTTTAGCGGAGGTACAACACGCGCGCGTCACACCCTCCCGCTGGCACAAGCCCCAACGCGTCCCAGACGCCCACGCACAAACTCCACCAACACATGATGCGGATGGATGCTCCCTTGCCGATCGCCGGGCAGTTGACGAGACATGGCTGGGGAGTTTCTGCAGCGAGGCGAGGCAGAGACAAGATGAAATGGGATGGCTGCAAAAAAACAACGGACAAAGTAAAGGACCGGTTGTATGTGCCCAATCACCGCCAACCATGGCCGCGGCGCCGGGCGATGCAGTTGTCTTGCTTGCCTCGTAGCGAGAGACAGCGCGGCGACCGATGAATCAAGGCGGCGCTGGGGCTATAGGTAGGTAATCAAGGCGCTGAAGGGCGCTGGTTGAATCAACGGGCCTCTGAAATTCCGCCCCGCCCCTCCCTCCACACTCCAAATCCATCCCCCCCAGGGGCCTCCCCAGTCCAAGGCGCAGTCCAACCAAATCCCAGACTCCGCAGACTCGCCGACTCGCAGACGCGCGCAGACTCCCCAGCAGCAGCAGGACTCACGCTTTCAACGTCAGCGACGAGAAGAGACGAGACAAGGCAGCGAGACGCAAAAAGCACAATACAAGTTCAAGATCGGGTTCGTCTCCCACCTCGCTTGGGCTGTGTTGTCCCTGGTCGTCTTTTTGTGCCTTTTCCCACCCGTCATCCATCATCTCTCCATCGCCATCTCCATCTCTATCCGGAGTTCTGTTCTATCATCCCTGCCTGAATTGGAGACAGCTTTAGCTTAGCAACGACTTTTGCTCCTCTTCCCTTGTCCCCTTCTTCCATCTCTCCTTTCACTTCACTTCTGCCCCGCCTCGCCCTTCCTGTCTTTCCTTCCTTCACTTGTCCTGGCTGTCCGGCTGTTCTGGCTGAGACAGGTCTCAACCCATCGTCGCCACCTCCTCCGCTCTGCAGTCCCCTGTGGCTTGTCCCTAGCTTGGGTCACCTCTGGCGCTCACCAACAGCAGCCGCTACCACATCCTCCGGCACATCATCGTGGGACCCGTGGAGCCTCTCTCTCTCTCTCCACCTTGGCCTCCAACTACCGCCCTGCGTCCATCCACTCGCATCCGCCCTCCGCCATCACGACGTCTCCCTCGCTCTGCTGCTGCTGTACATCTCACCTCTTCCACCATCGCCGTCGCCGTATCTAGCTGCCCTGCAACTGGCTGCTCAGGCTTTTATGCCTTCGACACCCTGACGACGTATTCCTCTCGTCTCGACGCGCCCACGACCATCACGTTCTCTACCAGTCCGGTCCACGACTCTACAACTCGCTCGCTCATTTCGCCTCCCACACGCTCCTTCGACTCGGCTTCCTTGGTCTAACCGACCTTGGCCCTCGATTTCACCGTCGACTTCGACCCCGACCTCACCCCGAAACCAACCCCCCTCACCCTCACGCTGGAGGACCCCACGATCACGGCGGCCGCCATCCCCCTCCCTCCTCCGGACTACGGCGCCGTCGACAGCATGGAGATGGAGGCTCCTCCCCAACACGACGTCCACGACGATACCCTCGGTGGCATCGAGGGCTCCCCCCACATCGCCTCGAGCAACGGCTTTCGCCATCAGCAGAGCCAATCTCTAGACCAAGGTCTCACCAACAGCCCCAGGCAAGAAGAAGACCCCAACGCCAGATACACCCCTCCCGTCCAGGCCGCTCCCTCAATCTCAAGACCTGCCAGCGGTCTCTCAAACTCGGCCCACCAGAACTACAACGACTACAGGCAAGCCGCGAGCGCAGGGGCTGAGTCCTCCAACGGCCGAAACCATGTCGTCATCAAGGTTGGAATGGTTGGTGATGCCCAGATTGGCAAGACCTCCCTAATGGTCAAGTACGTCGAGGGTAGTTGGGACGAAGACTACATCCAGACCCTTGGCGTCAACTTTATGGAAAAGACCATCTCCATCCGCAACACTGAAATCACCTTTTCCATCTGGGATCTCGGTGGCCAACGCGAATTCGTCAACATGCTCCCCCTCGTCTGTAACGATGCCGTCGCTATCCTGTTCATGTTCGACTTGACGCGCAAGAGCACATTGAATAGCATCAAGGAGTGGTACCGTCAAGGCAGGGGCTTCAACAAGACTGCCATTCCTATCCTGGTTGGTACAAAGTATGACCACTTTGTCAACTTCCCGCCCCAGGACCAGGAAGAGATTTCCAACCAGGTACGTCGACCACACTACATGCATCACTGCGCTTGACCTAACAACTCAACAGGCGAGGCGGTTTGCCAAAGCTATGAGGGCGGCCTTGATCTTCTCAAGTACCAGCCATAGTATCAACGTACAAAAGGTTTGAATCCCTGTCGATATCGCTAGAATTTCACATGCTCATGATTTGCAGATCTTCAAGATCGTCCTCTCAAAGGCATTTGACCTCAAGTGCACAATTCCCGAGATCGAAAACGTCGGAGAGCCCCTGTTGCTCTATCAGTCTGTGTGATCTTCCCTGTCGATCGACGACCCATGACGTTTCGTTTAAATCGATTGAGTCGATCCTACACCCAGAACGAGCCAACCACAGGCTTAATTCTGGCACACCACCAAAACGCCGTATCTTGGCCACGACTTTATGTCAAATTCCTGGAGAAACACCCATGAACCCCGTACAAAATTACCCCACGCCTCGCTGGCTAGACTGGAACAGCTACTGCGAACAGAACAAGGATTAATCTGGACGGAAGCGCCAGAAACTGGCCGGATCAACACTTGTCCAGTCAACTAGAAAGAAAGAAAGAAAAATAGTAAACTTATTTGTGCTCTCCAACACACCGAATTTCCCTTTGTCATACACACGCACACCATCTGGATCATTTCCCCCTTCCCTACCACCCACCTAACTGCCTTTCTGCATTTTGGCTGTCTTACTATACGATCACTTGAGAAGAGGGACACGGCATGAGGACCTCCCGCGGAGGATACTATGGGACGTCCTAGCGCGCTGAGCTGCGCAATACATTCTGCGCCAGCCTGCTCGATGCTTCGGCTTTGCTATTTTCTGAGACGTCATGACGGACACTGAGAACGATTGAACACAAAGAACCCCTTCTTAATTGCTGGACTGTTGATTATTACTACTTCATCACCCTTTTATTTTCTTTCCATTTCGACGACAAATAGGTCGGACGATGCTGTATGCTTTATCGGAATTAGGGGGAGACGCAAGAGACGTAAAGATGAACCATGTTGATTAGAGAGGCAGACATGAACGAGAAAGCAACGACGAGGATGGTTGCATCAAGTTATACAAATTTTCTATTAGTGATTGTCCCCGAGGCAGAAGTTTCTGCTGAGTTGTTTGAAGTATTCACATGGCGCAGGGGCAACACTTAGTTTGAATTTAGACTGAAGGAAGACAAGTTGATTGCTAACTGTTTACAGACACTCTACTCTGTTCCATCCCCAACGTTGCAGCAAAATCACCAACCCTTACATTTGCATCTCCATTTGAACTCGCCTGTTGGAAGTCAGTCTGCACTCTACCAGTGCTTCCTTGCTTGGTTCACGCCCAGCGATCCCCGTTCATCCTCTCCAGAAGGCGCTCCTTTGGTGTCATGGTCTTCGGGGTCCTGGAATACCTAACACCCTGGTGGAGAGGCCAATCCTCCTTTCCCGTAGGGTCGCGGTGAAGCGGCTGGACCGATCCGTGATGGGCAACCATGTCTCTTGGGAGGGCTGGCGAGGGCCCTCGTTGATCACCGAGATCAACCTCTTGGAACTCGCCACTGGGGCGAGGGGAGGTACGACCTCGGGGCGTCTCGCCGGCGAGGTATTCGTCGATGTCGTAGTTGCGTAGCTCTTCTTCAACCCCGAGCCGCCGGACCCTCTGCCCCGGAGTCTCTAGCATCTCCCACTTTCCCCTCTCCGCAGCGTCAAGGTCATCTTCCTCCGCGGACTTTCGTCTTCCGCAACAGTTGCGGCAGCTGCCGTCGTAGCCGCTAAAGAGTAGCGCGACTATGAATATGAAAGCGATGATTAGCACCGAGAAGGCGATCACCCCCCCGCTTGGGTTGTGTATCTTGGGCTTGTCCAAGTTATAATCCGGGGACCGGATGTCGGACTTGGCAATGAGGGTGGCGTTATAAACCATTGTAGAAGCTGTGATGATGTTAGGAATCGGGCTTTCTTCTGTGGAGAGTTACTTGAGTGATGTTGAGATTTTCTTGGGGTTCTTGGGAAGAACCTTGGGAAGAAATCCTTGAGAAGAAAGACTTGAGTTGAGTTGAGTTGAGTTGAGTCAAGGTGAGCTGGATTGAGCTTAGTTGAGTTGATTTGGTTGAACGGAGGAGGGAGTCTAGAATTCATTTATAGTTTTTGAAGACTCTCGTTCATGCCAGAGCCTGCTGGAACTAGTGGTTTGAGCTGTCTGTTCATTGTAACTGGGCCGTGTGGTTGTTTCTCCAAGTCTTTGTTGTCTGAACAGACGGAATGTCGTTGGTACTTTTTGCGCTTTGACGGGAACAAGGGCATTGTGCTACCCCTTAATGGCGGTGTTACTCTGTCGCCTGCAGTAGTATTCTAAGACAAGGCCATTGACCCGGTACAGAAATTTGCGAACGATGGATCAAGGGTACTCTAGACTTGTTTAGAGCTAGGTATCGCTTTCGCACGATGAACGTAGATGAAACGAGATGGATGTTCTATTGTGTAAGTGTGAGGGGAACATTCACCATTGTATCAAGTCCACCAACAATGAAACAGCAGCGAGCAAGGCCCTATTTTGAGGATTTGTTCATGCCGCAAGTATCGCCGTTCACGTGTACCTCTACGGACTGCTTGCTTTGATTCGCCACATAAAAAGAGTTTATATAACGTACGTTGTAAGCAAAACATATAAGGCAACCATCAGCGATCTCCCATCATATTTAAAAAGCATTTCCAACCAGTGTTGTGGGTTTGTAGATGACACAACGTAATTTGAGTCACGTATAGGCGCGATCTCGATGACTTTCGGTTGATTTCCCAGGAAATACTGTACAATCGCGTTGTGCTGACTGCAAGCCAGGAGCGAGTTTCAAACGATACTAAACCACGGACGTATTTAATACCCGTTGCCGACAGAAAGTGGTTTTCTGATCGGAAACGCCACGAAAAGGAAAGGGCAAGGAACAGACCCAGGTCTAATTCTATAACGGAGGAGGGTTTATTTGAAGGATAACACTCTAGGTCAAGGAGTTTCTACATGGCATTACCGAACCATGTTGCTCGCGAGGTCATCGTATATCCTCCACAAACGATTAGAAAAGCTTACGAGGCACAGGGATACGATACATATGGTCGTCCATGACTGCCCTTAGGTGCTGGTAAAGCCATTCAGGACATTCATCGCATTGATTAAGTCATAGGAGGTTGAAAGTAAGCTCCGCGAAGAGTGGGGATTGTCTATTCAGGTACTACTCCATTGTCTACATATTGACCTCTTACATGCTCCGGTCATTAGTTGATATGCTCACCAAGAACACCTCCCTGGCTGCTCTGGGCGCTCTGGTCACCCTGGCCGCCCTGGCGACGTCTCTGCTCGAGCTCAATCTCCCCCGACTCAATCTCCTCCAGGGGCTGGCGGCCTCTGTAGGCTCGGACAATTCGCTAGATGAGAAAGGCCAACAGGGGGAGGACAAGCATCGAGGTGATGACGATCATCAGGGCGATGGTGATGGCTCTGTTAGTGCGGCTTACGTGGTGCTCCTTCTAAGGCTCTTCCTCGTTGCCCCAGATGCTGAGGCGGGCCATGTCAGCGGTGAGATGATACATGCTGAGTGAGTTGAGTGATTTGAGTGAGCTGTGTGGTGGTTTCGTTAGTTGGGCGTGGAGTGGCTCCGTGAGTAGTGGAAAGACTCCGAGATGGCCCCGAATGCTGAGGCGGGCCATGTCAGCGGTGAGATCATACATGTTGAGTGAGTTGAGTGAGCTGTGTGGTGGTTTCAGTAGTTGGGCGTGGATTGGCTCCGTGGGTAGTGGAAAAACTTCGAGATGGATGGGTGGCGGGGAGACGGGGGATTTATCCTAGATGGCAGCCTAGCGACAGCAGAAACACCCGTTTAAGGGTTTTAGTTGAATATGCAATGGTTCCTTGAACACTATGTGTGTGCGGTAGAGGTTGGTTGCTGGTCCTGGTTGCTCCATTGACGAGTTCCGAGCGCGGGTACATGGTTCGTGTTTAGAGAACATACTTGGTGGAACAACAGAAGAAGAATATAATGGCTAAAAATAGGTGAAATAGTAGCATTGTGTGAGCCATCGTTGGGAGTTAATTCGTTATTGAAGGAATTGCTCTTCAGGCTTGATGGCATGTACATTAAACACCCTTGCTTGTTAGGCCCGTAGTCTTCATGACGGATGGAACAGATGAACAGATGAAGTAGCGGTGATGATGACTGCCCTCTAGTGTTCCCGAAGATCAGATATAATAACTGAATATCGTACGAAACCTCTCGCCTCGTCTCCGTTCACGCATCGGACTAACATCTGATTGAGTCTCTGACGGAGAGACATGTGCGGTTTAGCGAATACAAGAGTTTCAACGACGCGTGATTCATATCCGGTTACTTCAGAAACTCAGCGACGAGGGCTACTATTCAGTGGATACTACGACCGTGAACGTTTGCAAAGAGTTTACAGTTTCTCATAAAAGGCACAAGAATGTCGGACGGCCACCTCCCCCCCATGGCGTCTTGGAAGCCATTTGGAGATCAAATGCCAGGTCCGGTTCGCCAACACCCATTCGAGAAGCCCACACTTACGACCATGGAACCCCAAACCTACAACTACTTTGTCTACGTTGGCCTGATGGTGCTCGGCCTAGCCGTCCTGGGCTTTCTCACATCCATCATCTGCACCGTGTACCAGTCGCGGCAGGCCAAGCGGCGACCCCATCAACCCCTGCGGCCGCGCTGCGAGCGCGAGGACGCCAAGAACGAGCACGAGTGGGTTGAGCGGCGAGAACATCCGTGGCTCGACTCTATTCGCGCCCAGGAGCGGCCTTTCGAAGACGATCTGGAGCCGACGCCGAGGGATGTTACGCCGAAAGAACCGTCACCCGAGGAACCCGCGCCGCCGCAAACTGTTTTCGAGAGTATACAATCTCGCTGGAGGAATGGTTTCTGGGGGGGGTCCGAAGGCAGGAGAGGTGTCGTAGTTGATGCTGACGAGGCATGCTCGGTGGGAAGGGAACTGAATCGGGGTTTGTGAGACGGGGAACTGGATCGAGGCTGGTGGCAAGACGATATCGAAGAGGTCAAGGGATCGGAGCTATGGTTGAGCGGTATCGCACTTGTTAATGGAGTTATTAGGTATCTCATGCTGGATCGGTTGACTAGAAGCTATCAGGTAGAACAACAACTCATCACTGTACACAACCAAGCTCAACCCACGAGCATCGACAGAACCACAGCTCAAGACCAGAGCCACAAAAACCAAATCCAAGACAATAATCCCCCACAGAAAAGGCCTTCCTTCTTATAACCCATGCCGTTGTCCAGCCCCTCCCACCACAGCCGGAAGCTTCGGAACAAGAAGCGATCCAGTGATCCACATCACCCACATCGACAAGCCCACCCACACACAACCAGCTGCATCTCCAGATGACGACCAACAAATCAGATAAATCCAGGCAATTCTCGCATTCCTGAATTGGAAGGGGGACCGGTTTTGCTGGGGGCCCACACCGCCGCGCCTTTTTGTTCTTCGCTCGTACAGAGTACCCAGTACACACCGACACATGAGAGTTCCAGTTTTCCCGCCCAGCCCATGGATCAGCTGCCCCGTTCCTGCAAGATCAGCCGTCTAATACCAGATCCGTCGCGTTCCTTGCAGATGTATTCGTAGCTCGTGGGGGACGGGATCCACGCTCAACGTCAACGGCACCAGTAGAGACCTGCTGAGAGTGAACCATCCCAGGAACGCTTGAGACCAAACGTCATGCGAGCGCCACAACGCAATGCAAAAAGGGCAAACATCAAACACATGAACTGAGCAGGACAACAACGACACAATAGACGTTTGAACAATGACGGGGAAGCAATATGCTCCCATCCGCTTTCCCCCGCCCCATGTAATGGGTGCGAGGGTGTATTTCATATTTCCTCTTTAGATGGACACCAAGAAAGTGACTGTATCGTGACCCTCTATGCCGACCGCAGGATAAAGAAATGGCAACTAGTATAAAAAACCAGACAAACAATCGACAGACTTTGTTCTGTACTCCATAGTTCCGTTCCAAGATGAATGTCACCAAAAAGAGTGGAAACTCCACAAACGCCCCATCATGATGTCAAAATCCAGTGTTGCGCTCTTTGACAGGGAAATAAAAAAAGACAGGAGGAAGAGACAGGGCCCGAGAATTACATGTACAAAATGGGGTCTGAATCTTGAGGCAGCGAGTCGATGAGTCCCTGGCGGGCGTAGCTGCTGCTGCTGCTATTGTGGTTGTTGCCAATTGGGGGTATCTAGATATGCTGAAATCCGAAAAACAACGAAGGCTGTGTGTGTAAATGGCGGGTTGTCGAGGGCTGAGTTGTGACGGCCGAGACGGCGTTGTGGTTGGTGGTGCGGTGTTGTGATGATGTGAAGGGAGGGAAAAACGGCGACGCGATTATGACATCAGCGTCTTTATTTGTTGTTGGAGCCCCAGATGGGAGCGTGAAGAGGCTTGCTGATGCCGAAGCCGACGCCTACAGCGATGCCGATGACGAGGAGGATCATGAGAACCTTGGCGATGATGCGGTTTCGGGGGCTGAGCTTGGTCATAAAGGTGCATGCCCTGCGCTGCTTCTTGTCGAGCTTGGCCTTTTGCTTCCAGTGCTCCTTGCCAGGCCAGACCTGGCACTCGGACTTGCTGACTGCGGGAACGACCCTTTGGGTGCCTGTGTCGGTGGTGGTAGCGGGGATCATGGCCTCAATGTCTGTATCGAAAGGGTTGAGCTTGTCGGTGCGCGGCGTGTACGAGTCGCTGACCCTGGGGGAGTCGAGTGGCGACGGGCAGATGGTGGTGACGTTGGAGAAGGCAGCCTTTTCGGGGGCGGACATGGTGATGGGGGTATCCAGGCTGGGGCCACTGGGGCGGTCCAGTTTCTCGTAGTTGGAAGGCATCGTGGATGGTTCAATTGAAGTCGAGAGGTTGAGAGTTGAGGAAAGGGGGTTGGTTTGTGGCGATCGATCTGCAGGTTTCGGCGCAGGGATGTAGATTGACGTATTCAGGGGAAGTGAATCGCGATATTAAACGAGGAGAAAGTCTGCGTCAGGCCTGAGTCTGAGAATGAAGAGTTAGTATGGATGAAGGAGGTAAAGTGCGAGGCGATGAAAGATCAAATGATGGGAGTGCTTCCATGATGGCTGGGGACGAAGCATGTGGGTGGTGCATTGGAGCTTGGAGCTTGATGGGTCGGGCCAGTGGGGCGAGGCGCTACAAAGACCAAACAGGAGGACAATGCAATGCCATTCCGGTTATGCGATGGACGTACCTTTGTGTATATCTTGCACAGAACACAGAACACAGGGCTAGTGCGTGGGACGCCAAGGTTTATTGTTCGGTGGCGGTGCGAAGGTTGTTTTCGGGAGGCGGACGCAGGATTGGTTCTTCGGGAGGAGAGAGGAGAGCGACAAGAGGCGACAAGAGAATCAGAGGAAATTCAAGTGGTCAAGTAGAGACAAATGACAGGACGAGAGTCGCAATTGCAATGAGGGTGGCGGGAGGGGCGAGACTGTGACGGAAACGGCTGGTTGGCGTCTGTTGTTCTGCGTCTGGTGGTCCCTTGGGTCTTGGATTTGGGTCTTGGTGGTCTGGTGGTCTCAGAACAAGGGTCCAAAATAGGTCGGTTGGGTCGATCCAAGCCGCGTGGACTGGATGGCTGCGACAAAAAAGGACAGGTGAAGCCACGAAATAGAAGGAACGACGAGGGAGAGAATGAGACTCTGTTCGTTCTACTGCCCGGATAAGAGGTGGAGGTTGAAGAGGAGGACGAGGAGGAGACGCGCGCGCTCCTGAGGGTGGAGGGCGGAGGATGATGTATGGGAGGAGAGATTCAGGGAGAGGAGAGGGCGAGAGATTGGGATTGGAGATTGCGAGGGAGGTACCTGAAGGGGCAGCCAGGGCAGGGTCGCGGTTTTGAGGATCGCCTCTTGGGGGGGGGATTCACAGTGGCTAGCCCACTACAAGCCCACCCGTGGACACACCTCGCAGCGGTTCGTCCAGACGTGCTAGGGGCGCCCGTAGGCCGTAGGGGGGTCGCGACTAGGGGATGGGCGGGCCTGGTCAGTGCTTTTCCACGGCGCCGGTGGGCTTTCGGCGGATGTGGATGCGAATGTGGATGGGATGTTGGGCTGCGGCTTGCGGAAGCGGGCAGCGGAAGTGGGCTCGACTGTAGCAGACGTGGGCTCTTCTCTGGATATGGACCTAGGTAGGGACCTATGGACCTGCTCTAGCTCCCTCTGCCGTACTTGGTACATCGGCTGTGGCCAGGACCGCACTCTAGCGCCCTCGCCCCCAGCACCTCGGGGCCCTGCAAGCCTGGCCCGCCTGGGGTGGCACCTGGACTGGCTCACCACCACACCACTCACTCCCCCCAGCGGCAGCTCCAGCGGAGTTGTGTTCCCCCCCCGCCGCTCTATCGCCTTTTGCCCCCATCGGATGGCCCAGAGCGAGATTGCTGCGTTGCGCCTGTTGCTTCCCCTCTCGCCGCTTGGGCTTAAAGCGGGTGCACTATGGGCGGGCTTGTCGCTTCTGGGCCTGGTGCCAAGGGGCAGCGATGTGAGGAGTCGACTGGAGGCATGGCGAAGAGTTGGGAAATCCTGTTCCTGAGAGAGTGTCCCTGTTCGAGAGAGAGAGAGAGAGAGAGAAAGTGAGTGAGAGTCTCCTGTAAAAGGCCCAAGTATCCTGGAAGAGTCTATTCTGCGCCGGCTATTAACGCCGAGTCTGTCTCTCCCCAAATACATTGCCCGCATTGCTCACTGCGTCCAGGCCCCATCGCCCATTGTCCAGGCGACTTTGTCGTTTGTACCCCATCGTACTGTACTCGCTCCATCTCCATCATACTCCATACAGACCCAGGTCTAGAAAGGCCCAGCCTAGTAAATGCAAACCCCTGGATCCTCTCCGCTCCCCTCCCATCCAACCCATTCGACCCCCGGCCCGGCGCCGCCTTGGCCCTTGGCACTTGGCAGCACATGGCCCACGGTCCCAAAGCATCGTTCCCCCAGGGCCCTTGTCCAGGGCTTGAGATCCAGTCTCGTCAACCTGCTACACAGCTCTCGCCGGGGGAGGGCAGACTGCTGGATCCATCCATCGTTCCGTGCTCCGTCGCTTTCGCGCTCGTCGCTCGCCTCATGTCGTATTCTCGTACACAGCCCGCCAACGCTCGCTGCTCTCGGTGAATAGACGGCCGTCAACATAGGGGACTGGTGCAATAGGGGGCAAAAGAAAAGGACAATCCCGGGACCGAAAACGATGGCAGCGTCGTATTGCGACGACATTTCACCCACCACCAAAAAAACGACCGCCTGGGATAGGACGCCCGTCGTACATCGTAGCACACGCCCACACATCGGCCGCGTGGCCCTGTCCCTCGTCCCGAACGGGTCCAAGCGACTGGAAGTTCTGCCCTCTGTCACGCCTCTTCCTTGCGCATATGGCTCACGGGAATCCAGGAGTCCCTGGCTGGTCTAGGTTTAATCCCCATGTCTGGCCGATTTTAGGCGCGATGCTATGCCCGCAAGATGCATCCGCCGTGCGTCCACGGCGCATGGCCTACACGGCGCATGGCCATGCCATGATGCTCACCATTCTCACCATGCTACTCCAAGCCGTAGCCGTTCCCTCTGGGCAGAGTCTGGCATAGTGGGATGCCACTGACGCGGCGGGCACGCCACACGGCCAACAGGATAAACAACTCCCATCGCGATTCTCCTACCTGTGCCCTGACTCGCCACCAGTCTGTCTTGCTCTGTCGCGGGCTTGCTATAGCACAGTCCCGGCCCTGGACGGGCTTGAACATGACGCCTCGATGTGACATCCATGGCACCCTCCCAATCCAAGACGGAAAGCAAACCCAGTTTCCTGACTCTCACTGAGACCCTGTCTCTGCTGGTGGCTTTTTTTCCTTTTGTCGCGATTCTGGCTAATCATGGTCCTGGCAAATCGCACAACAAGCAACGAGAAAATAACCACGCATTTGGCGTCCCGATACGAAAACTGACTGACTAGCGCCCACACACCACACCCTCGTGTGCCGTGTATGTCAGGCACACAGTCGTGGTGACCTGTTTTTGGTCGATGGAACCCTGTGATCCTGGACGTTCGCTCGTTGGATGCTGGATGGTCTCGACTCGCGACTTGTTTGTTTCGAGCGTCCCAAGAATCGCCGTCCTGGCCGCCCCAATGGCATGACCGGCGAGTCCACTTGCGACATTGCGCTGGGCCTCGCAAAACTGCGTCATGATATGACACCTTTATACGCGTGTTGACATCGGGGGCCTGCGATTTCTTTTTTTGCGATCCGAGATTGAATCAATATTGGCGTTGGAGGGATATGATTGTTCGGATGAATTGCTAGTGAATATATGTGCAAATGCACAATTCGCCCCCCTCGTCGGTAAGTCAATGCGGCGGCACCGTCAAAAAGCCAAGGAGTGAGTGGCATGACGTCCGGCTCATGGAATCTTGGCAGGCGTCCATCCCATCTCCAGATACTTGGTCCTGACTCCTGACGTATTCGCTGCGCTGTTGGAGTACTATGAACTCATAATTACTGCGTAGAATATATGCTCTCGCATTTGAAGCAAGAGTTGATTGCCACTGAGTGTATTGACGGAACATACTTCATGCTACACAGCATCGGCGTTGGCACCGAGCCGCCGCATACGCAAGCTTCCGCCGGCGTTTCGCCTCCCGCTCGTCCATGTCCATCCCGGCTCGTTCTTCTCTCGAATGCTTATTCTGCCCGTGCCCATTGTCCGTTCGCCGTGGCTCAGGTCCCATCAGCCATTTCTCAGTCCCGTGATCGTGCGTCCCCTGCTTGGGCCGCTCTGCACACTCGTAGACCACTCACTGACCTTCTTCCGCTGACTGAACTGTTTCGAGCTGAGGGGCACCGCAGCCACGGACCGCTCCCCGACTAGCGGCGTGAATAAAACCGAGGGAACAAAACTCGGGATCGGTCTTGGTGGGATGGGGATGGATTGCATAGTGATGGCGTTTCGGTTTGATGGCTCGCCGGGGTTCGGTGACTAGACTAACAAACCTACTTTAACACCCGAAGTACGGGATTTTGACAGGTACATGGAGTCGATAGCGGCGAGATAGCACGTATCCCGATCGTCGGATTACACGATTGGGCGATTAGACTTTGATTGGAGGAGCGGATAACGCCCGTAATTCTGCACGAAGCGCTACACATAGATATGCTAGACTCGACCTCTTCTCGATACTCCTTTTCGCGGCCTTCTCCAGCCAATGCGCCGCCATGTACGTGAAACAGGTTCACACTATTAGTCGACCATATTCACTATAAACTTCGAGAGTCTTGAATAGGCTGCTTAGATTGTCCCCAGAAACCTCAAGAATATGCTTGCCGTTTTGAAATATCCAAAATGTCGGCACAGTCTTGACTTTGTATTCCGTCAGGATGTCTTGATTTATCTCGGGAATAACCACGGCGATGGATGCATGGCCAGACGTTACGACGAACGGCAGTCTGAGTCATGTTAACAAAGCAATGCTATTGTAGGTCGGGCGGGCTTACGGAGGGACATCGTTGGCTTCTACCGAGTGCCTTCCAAAGATTACTACTCCGATAGTGTTGTGTTGCAAGAAGTTCTTCAACGCCATGGAGCTACACCAGACGCCATCAGCACGAGAACTCTAGAGCCGTCTGTGACGTGACTTGCCTGAATATCCTCGTGGTACTGCCATGGCGGGGATAAGTATCGAGGACCAATGCACTGGCAGTCTGGAGCAACCCAAACGCCAAGAAAGCAAGTGTAACGAAGGACTTGAAGAGGCGTGCCGACAGCATTGTAACCACGCCGCTTACGAAGGAAGGTTCCCTACGGTTTTTTTTTTGTGGAATACCCTTTCTTATTGCCAAGAGATGGATCTGGAGTTGGACGCCAGGCCGCGTCTTGTTCATTCCTGTTGCTATGATACGCGCGGTGTTTCGGATACTTTACGTGAGGTGAGTGGACTGAATTGAGACACCACTCGCGAAGCAATGCTTGGCGAGAGCCAAGCATTCAGTGGTGTTTCTCGACTGAGGGAGATGTCACTCATTGAACCTCAGTGGCTCTGGTTCACGAGATATGGTAGGCTGTCAGGGTGCAAGTGGAGGAGTCCCAGGAATGGAATGCTGCCACGGGGAATGGCGCCTTGCCAAGATGGCGTGGCTATCACGCCGCCCCGATCCAGTCCTTTCGGATTGTCGATGTGCGTGTCGCCCTTGAACATGGGGGCTAACCGTCCGCAAAACGAGAGGAATCACCATCCGCGTATTCGATATCGTAGAGTGAACGGCGGCATGGGTCAAAGAGAGTACGGATACGCTGGGAGGCCCATAATCCAGGTCCATTTCGGTCAGACGGGACTAGAAATTGGGGCAATTTCAATGGGGCCACTGTCCAAGCACATGCGCTCATCATTGTTAAAAGGCCGCCGATCCAACTGTGGCCCAGCCCATGCCGCGACTCAGCAGACGAAAGAGTGAATGTGACGGAAAAGAAAAAAACGACGACACACACGCGGACGGAATCATCCGTCGCGGTTCCCACAACGAGTCCTAACTACGGAGTCCTATTGCCCATCCAGCTGGGACGAGGGGTCTAGAACCTGGGCGCCCTCACTAATGCAGGGTCTCTAGCCGCAGGGTCCCAGTTTATAACCAGCAGCACTTGCATTAAGTCGTATTGGGATGACGGGCGCCCCAGTTGAGACCCAGTTCCAGCACGTCCAGACTGACTGTCTTGACTCAGGCTGTCCAGTGTGTTTCTTCCCCTTGGCACTCGCTTGTGTTTCCCTCTCCACCCGTCCTACGACCTCAGCACCGCTTTGGTGGCGCAGCGGCAGCTAACCCAAGTGACCTTAACCAACGTCACCAACACCGATTGCACTGCGGCGGACGCTCTCATTAGGGATTTCCCTGCTGCCGGTCCCTCTCAGGTCAACTGCGGGGAAGAGGGGGCGAGAAGAGAGGGAATGTAGACTCTCTCTCCCCTCCTCGGCCCGGGTCTTCTTCCCCTCTCCTGGAGCGAAGAGACGGACGACGCCATGGCTCCATGACGTGCAAACCTACACGGTAGCACGGCACCCGAACCTACAGCTGGAATCCCGAATATCGGACCCGGCAACAGCTAGCTACAGAGTGCGCATCATTTGTGCGTTATCCAGCCCCGAGACACTGCGGAGGCGTAGAATCGGAGACACATTACGCAAGGCCGTCCTCATGTCTCGGAGCGCCCGCGATAACTTCCGTTCGTTTGCACATGCTCGAATCCCATGCGCAATGACTGCCTCGTGACTGCATCTCCTGCCAGCGTGGGTCAGCCTGTAACTACAGACTAGCTCGCACTGGCCCGCTTCCATTGTCTGCTGTGGTGTTCGTCTACTCTATCTGCGAATCTGTGCCGCACAGGGTTTGGGGCTGGATGGATCTGCTCCCCGACGAGCCGATGCGCGCCTTTCCCTCAGACCAGCCACACCCACCCATCAATCCGGGAAGCATGGCACACTCTTGGCCCTTGGCTCTTGGCTCGTGGCCCTTGGCACAACTGACAACTGCCCTCCATCTTGGCGCGGCACTGCATTGCACCTGTGTTATCTGATGTCCAAGGCCCGCGGGCACCACTTGCCTATCTAGGTAGGTGGGATGAATGATACAAGAATAGGTGGGCGAGTGCAGCAGAGACCTAACCGAGAATTCCAGCAGGGAACGAGATGCATGTGTGACGAAACAAACTGGCCGATCCTGTTTTATCATGTCGCTATCCGGGAGGTGACGTTGTGCGTGCAGAGCATCTATCCGAAGTTGGCCCGCGCATTTCATGTAGATTGGGACTCTTCTGTTCAACACCATGTAGCACGTCATTCGTGATTGTACTCGTGTCGTGATAGTAACCACCATCTTCACCACGCTTGCAATTTCATACCAGGAGGACCATGAGAACCTTCCATCGAGTGTCACCGTTGCCGTGCTTCAGGCAGGACCCAACGAGGAAGGCAGCTTGATCTGGTCAAAACTCTCATCCCGACTGTCAAGTCCCTCGGGCGATCAACCTGCCCAACTCCGCGATGCCTTCATCTTCCCTCTTAGAGCTGTACCTAGCCACAGACACCACGACACTGTGTTGAACCTTCCAGTGATTCACGGGCATCCACGTGTTGGGTCGTCGATGGTCCCATCTTGTGTTGGTCCTTCCGATATTGCGTCCTCGTACCGGCAATTGCTTCCTTCCACAATGCGGCTTCGTCAACCCCATCCAGCTGTGTTCCCATCGCCATGCTCCCTCCGTCTCTCTTCCACTTCCCACCAACATCGTCTATTCTTCACCCAGGCAGCATCCAACCTGGCTTCATTTTAGCCCGGTAGCCCTGTGGAAGTTTGCGTTTTGCCCCCTCATCCTTTACTCCGGTGTATCTTTTCAGACCGTCTGCCTGTGCAGCCAACTCCCGCCCACACTTCCATCCGCGTTCTCGTCCGGGTCCTGCCCAGCCCGGTCGAGTATGACTCTCCAGCTTCATTGGACTCGCGACCCTAGGTTTCGTCATCTCCGCAAACCTCCTACCTGGTACCACCGTCGAGCCACTCCCTTCTGGACACCGAGACCAGCCGCCAGGATGGAGAAGCAGTCGGCAGAAGAGCGAAACCGTGACTGGCAAGCTTCGCCAAACCCCAGCGACTTCTTGGGTACTTCACTTGTCGAGGCAACTTGCTGCCCCTGCGGCGTCTATGGCCGAACCTCACGACGTCTCAGAGCTGCCCTCGGCGGTCGTGATGCCGATGACCTTCCCGAAGAGGGCTGCGTTGCACCCGACTGCGTCCAGTTTGCCGTATGCTTTCCCTGTGAGTAACCACCCATGTGCTTGTCATCATTGTGTCTGCCTCTCTGACCGTCTTGTTCAAGTCTACGGCTGTCTTCTGGCCAAGCTTCAAACCACTGTCCGATCATTTTACGACATCGAGGGGGCCGATGTCTCGGACTGGTGCCTTGGTTGCCTCTGTCCCTGCGTCACACTTGTGCGCAACGAGAAAGAAATCTTGCTTCGAGAGAGCCAGCATCAACGCCTCAAAAACGTCCTCGATCGTGACAGCTCCGTCCTCGAACCGTACCGACCTCCAGCTCCCATGGAGAACCCCATCGATCAGTACCGGCCTACAGTTCCAATAGAGAAACCCGTCGACAAGTACCGGCCTTCAGGTCCCATGGAAAACCCCGTTCCATTGCCAAACATCCCTCGCAGTACAATTATGTCCCCTGACGATATCGAGTCATCGCTTGACACGCGCATCCTGCCATCCATCGCAGAGGTCAGCCGGGAGGCGTCAACAGCATCGGGAAGTGCCTCCCACTCAGGCCACAGGGGATAGGAGCCCTCAAACGCTGCTGATCCTGTGGCATCCGTCGACACAACAGTTGTCGAGGTGCATGACCTTGGTCAAGACAAGGATCTGGTTCCCGTCCATGGCACAAGCACAACCCATCGTCTCGAGGATGACATTGCCACATTAATCAACCCTCCTGCGATTGACACGTCTCATGAACTTAGGCACGATGCCCAGACTGCCCACATAGAGGTCCCAGGTACAGGCCATTCAGTTGACCAAGATCAACTCGAACTCTTGAACCTCGCTGGGAATGATTCATCCAAGCATGATATCGACCAGGATCAGACGGCACCAAAAGCTCGTCCGGTGACTCCCCACGAGTTGCAAGACGATGCTGTGGCTCCTCCAACTCGCCCAGGGCCGGTTCCGCATTCACTTGATGAGGATGAGGCAACGTCCAGCAAGTCTACACCACGCAGGCCTCACAAACTCCGAGATGACAAGTGAGATGGAATGATTGGACCGAGTCTGGAGAACGATGGAAGAAGGACATGGGACGGGCTGGGCCGCGGGAAGTTTTTGATGGGGGTGACCTTGTGAAACACATCAAGTATTGATTATCGACACGACAGGCGAGCTGCAATAGACTACTGGGTTGTTGGCCAATTCCGAGGTGCTTGTCCCCCAACAGTTTCAAGGTGATTGACGTTGGATTCTGTCCGTCAGCGTCGTAGTCGCAATACTGCCTAGCCGCCACTCCTGGGCTGCCACTGACTCTGCCACGGTCACGGCCTCGGCTGCAGATGTGGATTGGGCGCCGAATTTCGACTTCAGTGCGCAACCTGAGTTGGTAGCAGAATACAAATGATGGTCCATCTGACAACCGCTTGATTGAGGACGGAGCCAGCCCCGATACGTGACGGGCTGGGAGTCAAGAAAACCACGAAAGATGTATAAGAAGGCGAGATCTCGATTCCAAGTTCGAAGCAAGGGTCAGTGAGTTGTGAGACAATGTGGGCTCGTCATCGTGGCAATCATGCTCGGACAGAGAGATGACCGAGGGATGACCGAGAGATGACGCTTGTCATGTCTTGATCATCCATTGGGGGTAGTAATTGAGTGGCTGGGATTTGTAGTCTCATCTGCAACCAGATGGTCCATCTGTTGGTGTCCATCTGTCGGCGTGAAAGACGGCCAACACTGAGAGATAAGACGGTCTCGAAGATGCAAGAGGAGCGAAACGCCGGCCATTCCTCCAGGCTCGCGATAAGACCTCGGTCGGTCATGAGAGGGCGGATGACCTCGACGAGATCGACAAGTGTATGATGGAGAGGCTGAGTAGTTAAGGGCTATCGAACTATCGAGCCCCTGCATAGCCAGTGCTGATGAAGGAGGACTCCAACAGTCGAAAGGTGGGCGGATGGTCACGACATAGACACGGACACGACCACGTCTACGCGACAAGACCAGTCCAGTGGAACAGAAAAACGCGGGTGGTCTGGCCCTCTTAATAAGTATGTCTTTCGGTCAGCCAGCCTCTGGGACGGTGGTAGTGCCCGGATGGAGACGATAGTGTAGGACATGATACGCTTGGCCGTTAGACATGGCCAGCGAGGACAGATGACCATTCGACCACTGAAACTAGCCCATCCTGGAGGCCCGCGGCGGCCCCGTGAAACTTGGACACGGCACCAATTGGGAGGGCTGTGCGAGGCGAGTTACGACACTTTGGTTTGGTTGGTGGTTTTCGGGTGCGAAGGAGCGGAAGGAAGAGAGTGGAGGGCATGGCCGCATCGAACGCGACCTCGAACAGAAGCCGGGGATGCCTGCGGCCGGGAATCGCGGGACCGGGGTAGGGCGGTTTGGACGCGTAAAGGGGAGAATTAGCACTATTGGAAAAGGCACAGGCGATGAGGTTTGGGGAATGGAAATTCTTAGATGGGTTTCTGGAAGACGAGGAGGTATTATATTGAATGGGTGGGATGGTAAAGGAGTCGGTATCCCTTTGATCTGGACAATGGAGGATGGACTGGATGGATGGATGAGGAATGAAATGGGGCGATCAGCGGAGGTTTCAGAAAGCCTTACGAGGTCCTGTAGCGGTTATAGTGGACGTTCGCATGGGCTAGCGCTGTAGGACAGGCATCCCGTCCACTGCCGCGAGGGCGAGTGCGCTGGAAAACGCGTTGGAAGCGGGGTGGGCGCATCTTCGGCCAGACGCAACCTGCCGAAACCTCTTGGGTCCGTTCGTGCAGCATCCGATGGGAATTGTCTCGTCCAACCTCATCAAAACTCTCCCTTGCATTGGCGCCCGGCCATCACTCAACGCGTCGATTGGGTGCACGAGGGAACTCGGCTGCGGCTGTGGTGCCACCGATGCAACTCGGTCCATGCGAAATGCACCCGTGCAGCCAGTGGCGGGCGGCGGATGGGCGTTGGACCCGACCTTGGCTGCATCGAGAGAGGAGCCGATCAGTGCGAATGCCCATATCCCGTAGGCCACTTTAAAGAGCTTCCTGCGCCACTAGTGCTAGTGAGATGCAGTGACACGGCAGGACGCGTTGGGGGGATACGATTGGGCCGAGGGGGACTGGGCTTGAGGCGGCAAATGACGATGAAGATTGTGCTGTGCGCTATCCGGATGTGCTACCTATTTATGCGCTAGAGGGATCTGTGCTCCGTCTGGATGAATGTGCTATTTATGCGCTAGAGGGATCCAGATGTGCTGTGCTCTATCCGGATGGATGTGCTATGCAGCGGGTTCCAGTGTAGAGGAGGATGTTACTTACCGTCGCCTGCACCAGCTGGGTGAATAAATATATTCCTCTGCTCTCAGCCAACCAGCCCGGATTGAACATGTATCCCTCAGACACACAAATCACACTGCATTTTCTGTAACGGCACTTCCCCCGTGTGTTGGCAACTTCTCGCAACCCGCATCCCATCCTGCATAAGTCGACTCTCGAGTTGTGCCAGATCGCGGGTCTCCTCGTCTCGTTTAAGTGCATCACAGCCCACAGCCCATAATAACCCACTCAACACGTCCCGTCCGCGCCCACACGCCCACCACACACGCCTAACGCACCAAAAACGCGCTGAGCCCGGCCCCCGTGTCAGCTCCCCCAACTCCACTCCCCCCCCCCTCCGCACTCCCCTCCACTCCCTTAATACCTTAGCACTCGCCCTCCTGCCCGTTCTGCCCACCTTCCCACCTTCCCACCCACACACACCTCCGCCAGGAAATACCCACTGCATCCTCGTGCTGTCCGCTTCTGCTTCTCTCCCTCTCTCTCTTTAAACCCTTTCTGTTCTCCCTCATATCATAACAAGTCGGACACCACACGCCCTCGACGAGCATCGTTTTCATAACAACTTCGCGATACCCACTCTCAGTCGTAAACAAACAAGACAAGACAGGACCGCCACCCGCTCTCCACTACAGCTCAATCAACACCTGCTGCTTACTTGCTCCGCACCTTGGTTGTCATCCATCTGCCACGCAACTCAACTCAACTCGACCTGACGAGACGTCTTGCTGGACACGTCTCGCATCCTCCACGCCATACCCAGTCTTCCCTACGCACGCATCTGTATTCACAACATCCTTCGACATGGCCACCACCGCCCGTCAGCCATTTGCTCCTCTCGATGGGACTCGCCTGCAGAACCTGACGAGCCTCAAGAACAGACAAAATGGTACGTTATGACTGCTTACTGAATGCACTGCCAATTGGACATGCCGGTCGGGATTGGGGTTTGGGCAGCACTGCAACAATGCAACAATCTCCCCACTCTCCCTCAATCCACAACATGCATGCCTTCAAGCATCAGGCATCAAGCATCAAGTACCATCATCCAGCTAACTCGCCATCAGCCATCTCTTCTCCCGCTGCCGGCAAGCGCAAGGCTGAGCTGATTGACACCGACGACTCCGAGAACGTTGACCCTACCTTCGCCAAGCGGTCAAAGGGCTCCAACGTCGCCACCCCCGCCAAGGACATCTTCAAGCCCTCTGCCTTCGTCCTCAAGGCTGCTCCCTCTCTCTCCGCTACACCCGAGATCCGTTCCTATGCCAGCCCGATCAAGCCCGCAACCTCATCCCGTCGCACCCTTCACCCCCGATCCCCCGTCGCCAGGCTCAATGCCGGCATCTCCAAGTCCTCTCCCATCTACGCCCCCGCTGGACGCTCACCAACACGTGGCAAGCGTGCTGGCATCCTCTCCAACCGCCGCCGCACTGTCGGCCCCTACGCTCGCGTCGATCCCCCTTCCTTTAGCCTCGGATCCGAGGCCCCCTTCTCTCTTGATGCCGCCCTCAAGGGAACCATTCCCGGCTACGGTGCCTCTCGACCTGCTCCCAAGCAATCCAACGCTCTTCCCGAGCCTGACATGAAGGCTAGCTGGTTCTTCGAGATCCACGAGGACACTCATGAGCAGGAAATGACCAACCTTCTCCAGCACAGCACCTGCACTCTTGACATCTCTTCGGACGAGGAGAGTGAGCGCAAGGCCAGCAGAGAACGTGCTGAGGGTCGTGACAAGGAGAACATTCCTCCCCCCGACGACGTTTCCCAGACCTCATCTCGCCGGGCTGCTCGCCTCAGCGCCGACGATATGGTCGTCGAGAAGGAGCGCGTAGCCCTGGGCGAAATGAAGACTTCCGACTTTTACGCCGAGGGTTGTGACGAGACATCCGTTATTCTGGTTCCCGCCGACGAGGAGGAGCAACCTCAGAAGGTTGAGGTCCCCTCACCCATTGTCAAGGACTTTGCGTTGGTCCCTGAGCTCTCTGCTGTGGACTCTGCCTCAGAGACGGAGCAGGACATCGACACTCTCATCTCCAAACCCAGCGAAGGCTCATCCAAAGCCGCTGTTCTAGAACCCATGGAGGGCACTGGTGACAGCTTTGAGCTTTGGGAGAGTGGCAGCGCCAAGGACGAGACCGAGGTCGCTGTTTCCGCGAGTTCATGAGAGAAACGTAATGATAATGGGCCATGAGTAATGTGTCCCGGTTGGAATGGATGGACGAAGCGGGTTATGGGTTGATTAATATCTGGATTGGAGTATAGGCTGGCGTGTCGGCGTATATGGGAATCACTGTGACGCAGGCTACCAAGGGCTGGAGTACTGTTGTTTTTTGGTTGGATTGTTAGTTGTTTTGACTCTGTATGCGATTCCGCACTGAACGGAACTTGTTCGATCAAATCTCGTCAATGCAAGTTGAGTGACATGTCATCAATGCGGCAATTGGAAGCAACCCCGCCCGTTGTAGCTGGCAGGTGTAGATTTTGGACTTGGAACTTGTGTGCTCCAAGCCGAGCTATTCAGAGCTACTCAGAGCGATGTACTGTCACAGGGCGGACTCGGTAGATCTGTCAATTTACCATGATCTGATGGTTCATGCCCTCTTCCGGTGCCAAGGGAGAGAGAAGTGTCTTGCCGCATGGGGTCAGATGAAAGGCCGATTGTCCCATCAGCTGATGGTTTCCTCGCACTGTGTTTCAATGAGTTCCAGCTCGGCCAGCTCGGCTGTCCACGTGAACGTGCACCCGAACTTGGCCGGAACGCCGACGCAAGTGGCGGCAAGCTAATCTTCACAGTGTGAAAAGGCGCATCCGAGGACGCCCGCCAATCCCACTTCCCCTCACGTTGTACAGAGAGCAAAGCGACAACTCAACTCGTCTGCAACTGACCGATTCGGCCGCAGAAAGTAAAGCCGACAAGGGGAAAGAGACAATTCACGGAGAAAAGAAAGTCCCCTGCTGCATACACCGCAGGGATGGCATCCATCAACGACCTCGCCACGGCCGCCATTGCGAGCTCGTCGGCGGCCGCCACTTCGGCTGCCGAGGGCGGCGCTGGAGAGGCTGCGACGACCCGGGGCACTTTTGTCGTCCTTGAGGGGTTGGATCGCAGCGGAAAGACGACGCAGGTCAAGTTGCTGGAGCAGCGCTTCGTCGAGGAGGGGAGGCCTGTCAAGGTTATGAGGTTCCCGGGTGAGTTGTCTTGTCTTGTCTCTGAGAGTTGTACGAGTGGTGTGGGATACGGGAGGGACGGGAGGGACGGGAGGGACGGGGGGCAGACGGCTGTGAGATTGTCGTGCACAACAAGTGTTGGCATTGACGGAAACATGCACCTCTAGGAGGATAATGGCTAAGAAGGATGTGACAGACCGTTCAACCCCAATTGGGCAGATGATCGATGCCTACCTCAAGAGCGACGTTGAGATGGATGACCATGTCATTCATCTTCTCTTCAGCGCCAACCGCTGGGAAGCTGTGTAAGTGAATATCCTGTCCTGGCATCACCACGGCACCCATTTGTTCAAGTCTGACATGGATTCAAGCACCCAAATCCAGACCCTTCTAGCCTCCGGCACCACCATTCTGTGTGACCGTTACTACCACTCCGGCATCGTCTACTCGGCTGCCAAGCAGAACCCTTCCCTGAGCCTCTCCTGGGCGCGGGCACCGGAGCGTGGCCTACCCCGCCCGGACCTGGTGCTGTTCCTGGACCTAGACGAGTCGCAGGCCAAGGCCCGCGGCGGCTGGGGCGGCGAGCTGTACGAGAAGGCCGAGATCCAGAAGCGCGTGCGCGAGCTGTTCTGGGGCCTGAGCATGGGCGGCAAGGACATGCAGGCGGAGGGCTTGGTGGAGGGCGCGGGCGGCTTGGAGGGCGCGCAGTGGAAGCAGGAGGAGGAAGACTTGGTGGTTGTGGATGCGGGCGGTAGTGTGGAGGAGGTCGCCGAGGCCATCTGGGGCAAGGTCAAGGGACGGGTTGAGCTGGTTGAGAAGGGTGAGGTGGGCAAGAGTGTGAGGACGGTGCGGTGATGCTTGGAGGTGTTGAAGCCGTAAGGGGATGACATGGGATCGACTGAGGAGTTCTGGAAAGAATGCGAGGTGGTGATGAGGTTGGAAGGGAGGTGATTGTACGCTATGGGGAGCGATCTATGATACGGGCCAGTCTCTTCTTGGTTGTACTTCTGTGTACTTGAGATTCCTGGGGGAATAATTTAGGACGCACATACGCTAGCAAGATTCGACAGACAATGACATGATATGGAATTGATCCAAGGTTGGCTGAGATGTACACTTCCATGTATGAGTCGCCCGTACAATAAATAACTAGATGTTCTGGTTTGTAGTCAAACTCGATCGTCTTCATACAGCCGGCATTCCCTGCATCGAGGTAACCAGTTACAAACTAGAACAACGCATGAATGTGTAGGACAGAGGGCATTAACTAGAATGGCAAAAAGAGAAGCACCAAGTAAACTTCGTTGACTTGATGGTGCGGACAATTGCCAGAAAAGGCCAAAAAATGAAATCCCCGAGACCTGGCTCGAACAGGTGACCTTTCGGTAACGAAGGTGGCAGTTACAGCCGAACGCTCTTCCAGCTGAGCTACTCGGGGAGTTGCTAATGGAAGACAGGGTCTTTGCTGACAGATGGTTGAGTTAATTCTAACTATCAGCCCCGCATGAACTAGGCCCGCTGAAGAAAATGACAAGCGTCAAAGGAGGGGCAAAAAGATGGGTGCCAAATCCACCAACAAGACTCCAGAAAGTTGGCACAACGGCAAAAAGATGAGATCCCCAAGACCTGGCTCGAACAGGTGACCTTTCGGTAACGAAAGAGGCGGTTACAGCCGAACGCTCTTCCAGCTGAGCTACTCGGGGATTGTATATTGGTGGTGATGGTTGAATGGCATATATGCGAGGTTCTGCTACGCTGACGTGAGGTGGCATGGAGGTATAGGGTGGGGGTTTTCGGGCTTTGCTGCGGGCTCTGCAATGTGATAGGAGGCGGCGTGAGGAAGGTCCCCGAGATGAGGGGAAGAAAAGAGGAAATGCGATAAAACGGGGGGTTAAGGAGGAAGAAAGGGGATTCAATGTTGAAAATTCGGAGTTGAAGTTTTTGTTCCCTGAACATGCTTCACCGACTCTATGTCTCAGTGCCCAACTCTGCCGACACCGGGAGAGTCTCAGCCGACAGCATACACCCTAAATCACATCAATTGGTCGGTTCAGATTCGGGTTCACGCGGAAACAAACGGCTGATCTATTCAATTCGCTGTAAATTACTTTTTGCGCACAACGCCTGTCCTCGCGGCTGTCAACTTCAAAGTCGTGAATCGACCACTGAGGTGCAAAGCCAGAATTCCGTCTATGTTTTTTTCTTTTTTTTTGGTTCGCTTAGGCGCTTAGGCGCGCTTAGTTGAAGACGACCGTCTTGGAACCGTTGAGGAACAGGCGGCGCTCGGCGTACCAGCGCACGGCGGCGGCCAGCACGTTGCTCTCGACGTTGGAGCCCTCCTCGGACAGCTCCTTGGCGTTCATGCTGTGGTCGACGCGGGCGACGCGCTGCTCGATGATGGGGCCCTCGTCGAGGTCGGCGGTGACGAAGTGGGCGGTGGCGCCGATGATCTTGACGCCGCGGTCGTAGGCCTGGTGGTAGGGCTTGGCGCCCTTGAAGGACGGCAGGAAGCTGTGGTGGATGTTGATGATGCGGCCCGACATGGCGGCGCAGAGCGTGGGCGAGAGCACCTGCATGTAGCGCGCGAGCACGACGAGCTCGATGCCGTGCTGCTTGACGAGGTCGAGCACCTGCGACTCCTGCTGCGTCTTGGTGTCCTTTGTGACGGGGAGGTGGTGGAACTCGATGCCGTAGCTCTTGGCGAGGGGCTCGTAGTCGGGGTGGTTTGAGACGATGACGGGGACCTGAGGGAGCGTTAGTGAGTTGTGGTGTTGGTTGTCACAGGGCACCATCTGAGGGCATCCAGGGAGAGGAGAGATGAGAACGGAACGAACCTCGATGCGCAGCTGGCCAGTCTTCATCCGGAACAGCAAATCATTCAGGCAGTGTCCAATCTTGGAAACCATGATGAGCACGCGCATCTTGCGGGCGACGGGCCGAATGTCGTAGTCCATGGTGTACTCGGCGGCGAGGGCCTCGAAGGGCGCGACCAGGTGCTCGGTCGACTCGGACTCGGTCGGGCCAAAGTGCACGCGCATGAAGAAGCGGTCGGACACGGGGTCGCTGAACTGCTGCAGGTCCAGGATGTTGTGCTTGTTGGCGGCGAAGATGCCCGTCACGGCGTGCACGATGCCGGGCTTGTCCGGGCAGGACAGCGTGAGGATGTGGTCATTGGCCATGTTGAAGGCAATGGGGATGGGCGTTGAGGAGGAGTAGAGAATAGGGGAGTGGGAATTGGGAGGGAGGGAATTGAGAACAAGGGAAAGTTTTGGTTTGCGCAAGATTCAGATTCGACGACGGCGCAACTCTGTTCGCAGGATGACTACCTATGACTCTAAGCTCCGCAGGCGAGCGAGTGAGGGGATTCGCCCCGCGGCCCCACTGCGGGCTAACCCTTCCGGACCATTCGGAGCAGACTCGGCAACTCTCTCTCCGCGCTGCATCTGAATTCTGAAGTTCTGGACGCCGTAATTATGCGTCTTCATGACGCTGATGGAGCGTCACCTCGTTTTCGCAACCAATTCCCCATGTTTTATGCGTGACCGTCCCCGTCCCGTCCCTATCTCCATCCCCGTCCCCGTCCCCCGGTCCCGTTCCCATCTCACCCGCCTACTCCTCTGCGACGCCGCCCCGCATTGCCGACACCCCCCGGAACGGCACTGTTTGAGTGGCGGCGCTGCCACCGGGCGGTTGCTGTTGTTTCGAGACTTGGTTTCCAGTGCAGGGCGATGGGGGCTGTCGTCGTCGCCTTCTAGTGGGCGAGTGCGGGCCTGACCATGTGTTGCGCCGACCATGCGAGGAAATCTGTGCAACTTGCTACCTGTTGGATTACTCGTCTCCTCCCTCAGTGTCGAGATCGCCTGCTTGGTGAAGTAAGCTGATGATGCTTTCACGCTGACGCTGCTGTTGCGCAAGAATCTTTGGCCATCCTGGCATCATTTTCCAATTAGAACTAATATCGGTGGTCTCGAGCGGTGGCACGACACAATCAATGGGCTTCCGGCTGTCATCGTCTTTCCAGTGGATGTTGGCCTTTCCAGTGCGAACAAGCATCTCAACGATACCCGAGTCGTTCAATTTAACAGCTGCGTGCAGAGGTGTTCTTTTCTTCTGATCTGTGGCGTTTATATTGATGCCCTTGGCGGCAACGAGCAGCCGGACGATACCCGAAGCCCCGATGCTAGCAGCAATATGGAGTGGTGCGTTTCCATCCTGATCCGCGGCGTTTATATTGACATCCTTGGCGGCAACGAGTTGCTCGATAACAGACAAAACACCGCCCAGAACAGCTAAATGTAGAGGCGTGGCCTCACTCTGATCTTTTGCGTTTATATTGACATCTTCGGCGGCGAGGAGCATTCCAATGGCATGCTGGGATGAAGACTCAACAGCTGAATGGAGAGGTGTCTTTCCACTCTCATCTGTTGCGTTTATATTGACATCTTCGGCGGCGAGGAGCATTCTAATGACATGGTGTGATGCAGACTTAACAGCTGAATGGAGAGGTGTCTTTCCACTCCCATTTGATGCGTTCAAATTGACGTCTTCGGTGGCCATAATAAGCTCAACGACATGCGAGCTGTGGTATAGAAGAGCCAGATGTAGAGGCGTGTTTCCAAACCGATCTGTTGCGTTAACATTGGCCTTCTTGGTGTCGAGGATCGCCGAGATGAGGCAAGAGTTGGTGTAGTTATCCGTTGAGGGTGGAGGTATGTTGCGAGGAAGTGTTTGGCGATTTTCTCTTCTCGCGGTTTGATCTGCAGCATCATTGAAGAGTCGTTCGGTGTAACCGGGGGATTCTATCCCAAGAGCTCGAAGGAGCGGTGTTTGACCCAGATCATTTGTTGCGTTCACATCAATACCTTCATGCTCAAGTAGTGACTTCACGACCCTCCAATTCCTATTGTCGATAGCCCAGAAGAGAGGTGTGGAGCCTTTGTAATTTGTTGCATGTAAGTCAACATGGGGGTGTTGGAGAAGCATCTGGACAATATCCTCTTTCTTATTCTCAAGAGCCCAGAAGAAGAGTGTTATGCCTCCAGGTCCTGGTGCATGTAAGTCAGCACGGGGGTGTTGAAGAAGCATCCTGACAATATCCTCTTTCTTATTCTTAAGAGCCCAGAAGAGGAGTGTCAGGCCTTCGGGACCTGTCGCATTGACGTCAACACGGGGATGCCGGAGAAGCATCCTGACAATATCCTCTTTCTTATTCTTAAGAGCCCAGAAGAGGAGTGTCAGGCCTTCGGGACCTGTCGCATTGATGTCAACACGGGGGTGCTGGAGAATCATCTTGACAATATCCTCTCTCTTATTCTCAAGAGCCCAGAAGAGGGGTGTTCGACCTTTCGGATCTGTAGCGTTGATGTCGAGTCGAACATGGTTGAGGAGCAACTCGACGGTAATCCTGGGCCAGAATATCATAGCCAGAAATACGGGCTTCTGTCCGGCATCATTTACTGCATTTAGGTCGATATTGTCATGCTCGAGGAGCAGTTCGACCATAGACGGAGATGCACGTGAAGAGGAGGAAACCAAATGCATAGGCGTCCGGCCTGCATGGTCTTTGGCGTTGATATCGACGTTGCTATTCTCGAGGAGAACTTTCACGACTGCCTCTTGCCTGGCGACTATAGCGTAGCCCAGTGGTGTCTGGCTGAGGTCTTGTGTGGCGAGGTTGACATAGGCCATGCGTTCGTCGAGGAGCCACTTCACGATATCTGCCTGACCATGAGTTGAAGCTATGGCAAGTGACAATTCGTGAGCATTGGCATGGCTTTTGTTCGTGTCTTTCAACACCTGGTGTAATATCCCCTGCAAGCCCCATGCCGAGGCGGTGAATAACCAGGTCGACGGCCTTTTCTGATCCATGTTTGGGTAGCAACCCATCTTGTCGTACAACCCCGTCCAAAACAGTAGAAAGGACTCCGATGGCCATTTGAGCAATCCCATGAGATTCTCCTGGTTGGATTCTGTCGGATTGCCTTGTCTAACATGTGAAGGCCACGAGCTGACAGCGTACCGCAATAGAGGAAACCGATTTTCCAGCTCCTCCTTCGTGAGGGTCTCGGACTGAGAAATCTCTTTCATCTTCAAATAGCGGATACAGGATCGGGCTAAGCGCAGATGGCCACCAGATTCATTGGGCTTGGCAGAAAGCCTGTTGTCCAAAAAGAAATCCCGTACTGATTCGTGGATGAACTGAACAATGGGACCCTCCGAGTCGGTAGGTGGGATGATCTCAACTAAACCGCAGCCCAAAATCTTAATGCTCCATTCAATACTGTCGTCGAGAATAAAGTCTGTTGCACCTGCACACTTCTTCAATGACTTATGTGGGCTTTCGGCATCGACTGCCATGGCCCATCGTAGCTCATTTGGAGACAATGGTCTCGCAGCGAAGAGTATCCATTCTATCATGACCCACATGGCTGAGAGTCTTTCTTCGTCATAGATACCATCAATAACTTTGCGGTACATGTTGGACAACTCTTGAGGCATTCTCTGGATCTTCTTTTTGATGAGGGCTGGCGATGCTCGTTTCAACCTCTGGTCAACCACAATATCGCAAATGAGGCTCGCCCAAAGAAAGATACCATTGGCGCGTTCGATGATCAACTCCATAGCCTCAGACTGCTGGAGCATGTTTCTCCGAGAAAATCGTGCTCGAACAAAGCCCTCGATGTCTTTCTTATTCTCAACGTGCATCTTGATAGTCAGCTCATCCCTGGGGCTCCATATTGGCTGCTCGCGACAGGCAATGACCACGTTGAAGTGAAAGGGGCTTGGAGGGATGTTTGAGCACAATTCATCGATATATTCGAGCAGTTCCTCAGCTTGACCTTTGTCGCATTCATCCAGTGCGTCAATGGATAGGACTACCGGAACCTTCTTCAGAATTCTTGCAAGCGACGATTTGAAGAAGACTCTTAGCTCCCATAACTCCCACTCCCAATTTTCGTTCGGTTTGCCTATTACATCCAGTTTCTCTTGGAATGAGTCGATAAGCTCGGGTAGTTCTTCCGGGTAATTGTAGAGTAGCTGATGAAGCACTGCTCGGAAAAGTCCAATGCTTCTCTTCTCAAGATCATGGCCGCGATCATTGAAAAAGAACCGTAAACTTAGGGTCCCTGGTCCCTTGAATCCGGAAACCTCCTGGAGTGCATAACACAGCAGCGTAGACTTCCCAGACCCAGGCTTGCCCTTGATCCAGAGCGAGCTGCGGTCCAGGTCAACCCACTTCAGCCACACTTCATTTCTCAGTAACCATTTGCATGTGCCCTCAAGGAAGGGTTGGGAAGGGGGTGAATTGTAGCGACTGTTGATGCCTTTGAAACCAAGGGATTTCAAGCAGTCCAGGACTTGCCGCGAGAGTTGAGCTTGATCAATTAATCAGTAAATATTCCTAAGATATGCCTGTCCTGGATCTACGTACATGGTGTATTGGCGCCTTCATCGGATGCACGCCCCGCAAACCGTTTCGCCACGTCAGGTTTCGCCTTGTCAACCAACTTCCGGAGTATTCCCTTGACCGTTTCGTAGTTGCCATCGGCACCATTCTTATACTTCACCAGACCGCTATGATCTGCGGTGAGGGACACACTGTTCTCGTCGCACCCGGCCGTAGCAGATTGCTTATTGACAGTAATATATACATCACCGCTCATGACCACCTGCCCTTTGCTGTCAAGCTGAAGAACATGAGTTAGTTTGAGGTATTGGATTAAATGGGCCTTCTCACCTCTGGCGATGAACTCTGTTCTAGTTCATAGAAATTAACGAACTTATATTTTGCTCGACAGGTTGTTGCAAATCCTTCCTCAAGGACTTCCATGTAAATGGAAGGCATACGATCCCCATCGACAACAAGGTCATGTATCAGACCCTCGTTTGACTTTCCTTTGACAATCTCCTCCAGGTTGTCACTGCGCATACCCAGATGGGGTACGCCGAAGAAGAGGGTGGCGTAGCATGACGTTGCCAGATCCTTCTCTGAGGTCCCGGTTGTTTGATTTGCAAAAAGAAGTGCCTTGATGGATTATTAGCCTAACGCACGATAAGGGAATAATGAACCATCTCTCACCTGTTTTACAACGAGTCCACCTAAGCTGTGGCCAAGGAAAATGATTGGGCGGCGATTTGTCTGGGGAGGTTAGTTAGGGACCATGTCATGCATTAGGGGTGCCATACGCCATCCTCCTCCCGGAAAGCCATGATTTTGTCCAGCAAGGTCTTGCTCAAGGTCCGGATGGACTGTGTCAATTTTGTTTTCACCACAGGTGCCTTGTATCCGTAAGCCAAGACCCGGATGTTTGGGATATCGGTCGGAAGGAAGTCTCGTAGCCACACTTGGTCGTTGCCTGAAATCGGGGACATCCAAGATCCGAGCGCATGGCTCGCAAGACCGGGAACAGCCACGACACTGAAAGAACACTTAGTTAGTAAGGGGGGTAGTGAAGGAAGATTGGGGAGCTAACTCAACGTTGGCGCCCTCCCGAGCATCGTGTAAGGGGGTGATTCCATGAAACTCGTGGGAATACAAGTACGGGAGGTTGAGGGACTGGGTAACCTCTTCCAAACGTGTGCATAGATCGCTCCGAGGGATTCTGGTGGTCATGGTGACAGTAGCAGTAGAGTGAGTCTTGCCATGTCGCGCAATGGAACGTTTGAACACGGTGTCCACACTGCTTTTGAGGGTAGAGTCCTTGTCGCCAATGGACCGGATGTCTTGAATCAATTCGTCGGCGGTCGCAGTGTGGATCATCCGAACTTGAATGGTGATTTTCTTCTGAGGAGGAAGAGGAGGAGGGGTAGCATTCTTCGTGGAGAATGTCCCAAATCCCCAAAATGTCCAAAATAGGACAGGTAGACAGAGAACGAAAGCGTAGATGAGGTAAAGATTCGAAGACATAGTAGCCTGTTGCAATACCAGGTGATACGGCACCTGTCGGATGGAATTGAGAATGAATTTGGCGAGATCATCTATCACAAAATCGGATGCGGCGTGTAAAAAGATGGCAGGAAGGAAGAAATCAGGAGGGGACGGATGGGCGGGGAACGCCTGGTGTACAGGAAGCATGTCCCAGGTCGGGGGCCAAGCAAACGATGCCAGAAAAGGACGACTCATGCCACAATTCCTGGAGGGAGAGCGAACCAGCGTTTGAGAAAAGAATTGGCGCCCTGAGCAAATAACGCCTCGTCTGGGCATGCCCTGCGGGAGGCTGGAGGGCACTCCAAAAGTGATATCTTACACAAAAGTCGCCTCCCCCCTCACCTCACCCTTGTCGAAATGCGAGCTAAATAGACAGCAAAAAGCACTTCCTATTCATCAAATACGCCGTGGCTTTGCTTTAGGGGCAATAGTCACAGCCAGCTGAGGGCTAGCGGTTGGTGGTGCACCGTGGCCTGGGATTATCCGCCTGGCCAACAGAAGGAGACAGCACTTCAAATGCCGGTTTTTGGGATTCAGTAGGCACCATTGGGTTGCGGTGTTTTATTGAGACGAGCCTTAATTTGAAATGCTCCTCCGTAGTCTCATTGACCCCTGCTTGCCGTTCCGTGGCGGGCACTGGCGGCGACTGTTTGGTTACACACGGCGATGAAGAAGAGCCCCTAACCGTAGAGCTCATTCCGCACGGGTGCCAGGCTCCTGTTTGCACCGGAATTTGCGAGAGAACGTGAAGGGACTGGGAATCTTGTGGAAGGCTGAGTTGGCCACTTGACTCTGCCATCGACCATCGACTCTCCCACCGATCATCGACTCTCCCACCGTTCATCGACTCTCCCACCGTTCATCGACTCTGTCACCGACCACCGACCGAACCCTTTTCATGGCCAGCGACTGTAGTCTGGCATCGGCTACCGCCAAACTCGACTTCCCCAGAGATGGAGCCCTCTGTACCACCTTTTGGCCCGGAGTCCCAGCTTCTACCGGCGCCCAACGTTGGGCGGTATGTTCCCGGACACCCTCGTGTCCCCTTGGATGACACAACACTGCTATGGAACTTACTCGAGAAGGAGTTTTGTGCTGCCGACCTCGACCGAATTGCACCCTATTTGTGGTGCATGACGAAGCAAGACAGCAAAAACATTTCCGCACTGCACCGACAAAGAGTAAAGGGGCGAGACATCATCCTCACCGAGGATCCGAAGTTGCATCTCGTATGGATCCACGATCGAATATTCCTCAAACCACTCCCACAGTATCTGTCCTCCTATACATTTTGGCGACAGCACCTGCTCGATGACGACGACGATCCCCGACGAGCACACATCCGCCGCGCCGCGCTCGGCTTCCTTCGATCGTACTACTACATCATCCAATACGAATCCGACCTCCGTATCGCCCAGGATCCCAGCCTGTGCCTCGTTCCAGCCGCTTTCAATTGGGAGCAGTTCTGCGCTTTTACCTCGAACCTGGCCAATATACCGGATGACCAAGTCTCCCCCAGCGCTGACCTCAATTCAAGTATCAAGTCAAGTATATCAAGTAAGTCAAGTAAGTTGACCGCCCAATATATTTCAAGTAAGTAAGTCTAGGATGCCCCAAACTTAATTTACTTGAAATACTATATTTTATGGGTTTTCCTATGTGACGGCCCTAGAAGTGCCAAGGCCATTCAGAGCTCGTCGGCCTAAGGTGTAGGGTAATGAATTAGTATCGCCTTCCCCAGCTAATTGTACCAATGATAATCCAGGGATGCGGCAGGGGTGGCGCGGATTTATTATTTGTTCGCCCGTGTAGTCGAGATGTGTCACGGCCCAGGTTGAGACCAGGCGGTCACAACCGGCAGAACCATGACGTACCCACTTTTTCACCTGACACAGATCCCGAACTCACCCCGTATAAGTGAGCCCGGACGCTCGACTCACTTCCCCAGGATGAGCCACAAGATCGAACTCACTCTCACCCAGTGAGCCCGCATAAGCACCACTAGTATATAGACACTCTTTTAGCACTTTCATAGATGGATAGCCTCACCAGCTATCAACACACTTGGTTACATTGAATCTACTATTCTACCATTACCAGACCGTGACCTACATTGTTCACTACGACGTCCTGATCCACTCGATCATACACCTCACGCCTCGGACCTACCCTATACCCCTAGGTTAGACCCGACCGTCACAAGATGTATTGCACCTAACTTTAGAACCTAAGTCGTCCCTCTATAAGTAGTATCCACAATCCGCAATCTGCAATCCGCTAATAATCCGCTATACCTATAGCAGCAAAATAGCAGTTACTAGAAATACTCCTAGGGGTTAGCAGTTAGTACAAATTGCTAAAATAGCAGCTTAATGCTGTATCTATTAAGGCTGAATCTAGAAGAACGACTCTTGCTAACCTCCCAACAGTCCAGATCGGCTACAAGAAGTATATACCAGAGGAGTATATTACTAATAAGAATCGCAAAGGCCGGTAGAGCTGGATTCAAGCCTATAGATTCTTCCTTATAGAAGTCAGCCCTAATTTGCAGATATTATAGACCTACTGGGTTTACTTGAAATATAATAAATATAGAAAAAGCTTATTATTTATTGCAATAAATACTATATTATTAATTAAGTATCTTTAAAGGTATATAGTATCTATATAAGTCCGATATTTTTTTTTTTTAGTATCTTACTTAATATAGGTTCTATATAATTACTAAGGTAGATAGCAATATAAATAAAAATTCATCTTGCGCTAATATTCACCCCCCTTTAAAATAGCACTACCTAGAGCTTTTTATAGTAAGATCTAATATTAATAAAGTAAAGAAGCTAATAGTTAGCTAGATTATTACTATTAATCTTCCTTTTATAGTACTATTAAATCTATACTTATAATAAATACTTAACTTATATAATATATCATTAGTAAAAGAGATATTATAAAGCTGGCAGTTAGTATATAATACTATATAGAAATTATTTAAGATAAAGAAGGGAGTAATATTAAGCTAATTAAAAAAAGCAGTTATAAGAATTAGCTTTAGCTTTAATATATAGACTTCTCCAAACTAGTATACTTTCCTTAGCCTCCACACTTACTACCTCGACGCCTTCTATTAAGTCCAATTACAACTTCTTGCCCTATACTATATATAGGGAGCTTATTCCAGAGATAACCAAGCAACAATAATATACAACATCTTCAGCAAGTACAGGATACAAGATCGGATTAGCGCGGGTATCTACAACAATATCTCGTCCAATAATATATACTTAGCTAGCCTCTATTATTAACTTTCTCCTGTAATAGCTAAGGAGGATATTAAAAACCATTAAATATAGTACTTTGGGTATATTATTAACCTTATAGCTCGAGTATTCCTCTAGAGGAAAGATTCTGACTTATTTAAGCGAGAAGCCTTTACTAAGACGGCTTTTTAAGTTAAAGAGTATAAGCTTTAACTTTAGCAGAAATAGGGAGCAGTAAGTAAGCTGCATAATATTATCCGGTTTATTAGAGCTTCTCTATAATAGTAAGAGTTAATAAAATCTCTAGTATACAACTAGCATAATAAAAATAGCTATTAACTCTTTAAAAAGGAGTAAGCTGCTATTAACCTCAAGCTAATATAAAATAATAAAACCAAATAGAATTTAACTTTTCTAATAATTTAGTATATTATTTACAAATAAGAGTAAATTAACTATTTCATTATATATCTCAAAATAAAAATAGCAAAGCCCTAATAATAGATACCTATCCAAAATCAGCTTTTACTATAAAACTAGCTTCTATTAGTAAAGATATAGAGTCTACTTAAACTACTCTATAAGATTACTATAAGATACCAGGATTAAGCTAAAGAAGGCTATTATAGTACTTTATAAAAAGTAATAATTAAAATGGAATATTTACTTAACTTCTTTAAGAAGTAAAAACTGATATTCTTACTATCTAATAGTATTACTAATAAGCTATAGAATACTAAAGTCTTAGTAACTATAAGTATAGCTTTCTAGTTTATATTTACTTATCTTTTATACCTATTTTACTAATAGTTTCTTAGAATATAATACTCTATAAGTTAATTAAAATTATAAATATAAGAAATACTTACTATAGCATATTTAAGATAACTATATAGGTATATTCTTATAAACTAAAAATCTTAATAATAACTACTAATAATATATATAAATCTCAATTAATAACTATTAGTCAAAGCTTAATAAGTATTATATTCTCCTTAGCTAATTACTACTTTACCGAGCTATTATTATTCTTCACCTATACTAAAATATATCTTAGCTTAAGGTAAACTAAACTAGCTATAAGTAACTAGTATAGCTATAAAATACTAAGAATAGTATTCAGAAATTCTTTAAATAACAATATCTATATAAGAAGCAGTCTAAGATAGTAAGAACTATAATAAAAAAAGTAATATAATAAGATAAAGCCAGTTAATTTAACCAGTAGATATAGAGCTATAATTAGTATATAATAGAAGAAGAAGATAAGCTTGGAGTTTATATAAGACAAGGGCTAGTCTAGCAAGAGAATTTAAACCCCATTTTATAGTAGAGGGATTATTAAGAAAAATATCTACATCTAAGTAAGTTTGCCCTTAATATCCTGGTAATTCCTGCTATATCTATTAATCCTAAGCGGATATTTAGTATTATAAAGTTAATAGTAAGCTTGTAAAGGTATAACTTAAGCCTCAAGATAATAGAGGAAATACAGTACCTACAGAATTGGCTAGGCTATTAAGCGATCACTATAGGCGAGGTTATTAGCTTTAGTGGGGACCTAATGGGTTGGGATAGAGGGGAGGCGTGAGAGTACCAATTGCTTCATCCTAGCCTCAGGTCAGCGCTTTCAATTCAAGTATATCAATTCAATTCAAGTTAAGTAAGTTCATGGACGATTTTATTTCAAGTAATCAAGTTAGAGCCCCGAACTTGACTTACTTGAATTGAAATCAGCGCTGGTCTCCCCTCGCTACGCCTACGGCGAGATCCGTCTCACGAGACTCAACTCCTGGGCCCCGCTCCTCATCGGCAAGATGGACTTCCAGCGAGCCGAGTATCAATATGGAGCCTACTTCGCTGGATTTTACGGACCAATATTGTTTGTTACCTGCGTTGTGTCGGTCATTTTGAGCGGGCTCCAAATCGTCGCCACGGTGGAGCAGGAAGATGGTCGGGCAACAGAGACGGCGCTGTGGATCAGCGTCATAGCCATCGTGGGCTGCTCCAGCTTGCTCTTCTCGATGTGGTCGCTTCTAGTGTTCAAGATTGCAAAGGAGTGGAGATTTGCGCTTCTAGATCGACGTCGACTGGGGAAGGAGAGGCAGGGCGTTTCCGTGTAAGTTGGGAGCGGCCAGCAGCTCTCGGTCTGTGGTATGGGGAATTGGAACGGGCGATGGTATGCGGAGGACGCGAATGATCGACGTTTTGGATTGTTGGATAGATAGTTGGTTCTTCACTTCGTCTGGGTCTAGGACCTCGTCCCCGACCAGCTCTTTCACCCTTACACCCAGTTTAGTTCAAATCTGTCTTAGGCCGGATCTTCCTGAATCACGCGCGCTCACCATTCTTATCGTCTGTTAATTGGGTGGGGTAATGGTATGCTGGCCTCTTCCTCAAGTTACCACAACACACTCTCGATTTAACATGTCACCTACCATGATTTGTCCATACAGCAATTGCTCACATTCCCCTTCGCCTTACGATTTAGGCCTGAACTAGGATTCCAGGTAGTCCCTGTGTAGCACTTCTGCCACTGCTACGATTGTCGAGAACCACCTCAAGTTCTCAATGCCTTTTTGCCATGAGCTCCGGTGAGCGATGGTTCCTTTCTTGAAGGCAATCAATATACAGTTCATAGATACAAGAGATACGGGACTAGAATAAATAAAAGAGAGATTCATATTTTAGCTACGTTAGATACAGTGGTAGACTAGAAGACCCGCCCGTGAACACGTTTGGTAGTCCCAGTTGCCCACCAAAGATTCCTACCTCATCCACCATTTCTCTTCCATTTCACGTAACTTCTCGCAGTCCTTGATATGATCCAAAAAACCAGCCTTTGATCGTGCTCTTTCTGACATCCCACGAAAATATCTAATCTGATCGTAGCCCTCAGGTACAAATGCCGATAGCTTGCAGGGACGGTTGAAATGGTTTCTGCTTGCAACTTTGCAAGCCTGGCACCATATCCCATTCTCAACGGCTCCATTGGGTCCAAGTGAGGGGAAGTGGAAATACTTTAGCGCATGCCGTTCTTTGGAAGGCTGCTCCATTGGTTTCGGTCTTCGAAGAAGGTCTTCATTTGTAGAGTGATTGGATAGAGGGGCTCGCATGTACGGAGTCCAGTATGGGTCCCAGTGAAAAATGGGCTCTGGCCAACCGCAACCCCATTCTTTGACGTAAAGTTCCTTCACCATTCTTGCACTGGCAAGAGGAATGAGACGAGCGGAAAGGGTTAGTATGTTGATAGACGGTAAAGTATCGAAATCCTCCTCCATTACGCCAAAGAAGCGCACTGCATCTTCAAAAGAGATTAAGGCTAGGGACGGGTTTTCTTCCAAACAAAGGAAGCAACATCTTTCGGCAGTTACAATAAAAATAAAAGCCCCATATTCTGTGCAATAAGCACATTGCTGAGAGTGAAGTGTTGCGCTCAGTTGACGAATTGAGTGGAGGCCTATGGCGCCTCTCGCCTTGAGCCCCCCTAAAGGTTTTGATGCATATTGAACCAGTTCTTTGTACTCAGGTATATTTGTGACAGTTTGTCTGGTCAATTTAGACGCACAAGAGAATCGAAAGGCGGACTCTATATCGAGCATATTGATGACTGTATTTACAGCCTCGGTAGGGAGTACAAAAGTAGGTGAAAAGGTAATGATTTTCTGGCACCCCAAATACTTCAGCAGGCGGTCTAGCCAATTGATCAGGTTTTGAGGATGAAGCTTATCGGAAAAGAACCTGGAGAATCCGTCATGAATGCCAACAGAGGTATAGTGTTGAGAATTTGAACGACGCCGCACCCTAATAAACTCGTCAAGTAGATCATGTCGATATGAGCCGTATTCAGTGTGAGATTGGCTCGAACATACGGGTGGAACCCGGGGGTGTTCAATACCCCAACGAAATTTGCTTTCATCCTCGGGTTTTCCAGGCGGCATGTTCTCGCCGCTGTAAAATCGACAAGAGCGTCGATTAATGAGGTCCTGTTCGGGATCCGGATTGTTAAACAACATCATGTGTAGTAAGGATAGATGCAAAAGTGTCCGTATTGTGTTATGAAAAGGTGAGTGGCTGATAATGAAACCATGGAGAGAGATACGAGTATTTGAGCAAAAATGATGTCGCGTAGGATTATACCACTGTGCTAAGGGAAGAAATACCGTGAAATCGCGAGAGATGAACAAAGCAATGATCAAAGGAATAGTGAAAGAAATCGTCAAAGGAACAGTGAAAGGAACTTCTATAAGAGTATCCAAAGACAAAGCCAAAGGAGGATCAAGGCATCAAGTGATGTATTCATTGAAAAGTCCCTAGTGAGGGAAGAACCTGTTTGCGACGCTCTTGAAAGTGAGGAGGCCACTGCCGCGCCAGCCGCTGCACTGGCCTCTATGTCGGGCACTGCACACAGAAACAACCTGGCATCTAGGTGATAGTAGCCTTTATGGCTATTCCAAAGAACACGTGAACTTGTCTCCCTGAAAGAGAAATCGCACAGCACAGACGGAAAACGTCAGTGTCATGGCCGGCGTTGATGGACGCTTTGGTAGAATCATGACGTCCCCTCCTTTGTACTTGACATCAATTAATTATGTTGGAGCGTTGCAACCGTAACCCTCCAACGCATCTCAGCCCTACGGTATATGGCTGGAGCGCCATCGTTCCATGGTGAGCCAACCTGAAGTGCCAGGCCATGTACGCAACTCTTCCTATTGAGGATCGGGGCGGCAGCCTGGATCTCTGTGGCTTGGCGAATCACCAATGATTCGTGTGTGTCATCTGTGATCAGCTCCGGGGGAGGTCCGGCGGCCAAGACGTGGTACTCTAGAACACGAGCTGGTTAGTGTAAACGTGATCGCCAATCTGACTGCAATCTTTTGCTCTGATAGCTTATATGTTCTTTCTTTGAGTGTACTTACAGTGGTAAAATCGGAAGCTTCACCAATGAAAGATTAATCTAGCATAAACTTGGACATGACCTTGTCATTGATAGAATAGACAAGCTCAGCAGGGATGGGAAGAAGGGTTGTGTAGATGCCACCATTATCCCCGGACGCGCCGACGGAGATCTTCTTGGTAGGCTCCTTGGAAATGCAGTCCAAGACATATTTAAGCCGACCTCCAGTGGCACGCTTCATGTCGTGCACGACCGTCGTAGAGATGTTATCGAAGACAACATCAGCACCAAGGGCCTTGACATAGTCGAAATGTTTGGGCATACAGTAGTGATGACTTCAAGAGTAGACAGCTTAGAAGCTAAGGTTGTTTGAGACGAGGAACTGCAAGTCACCTTTCGCAGTAATATAAAAGTGCTATCCTCGTAGCGCACAGCATTCGAGCCATGGGCGAAACCAGCGACCCGAGCACCCTTTTTGAGTGCTTTAATGACGCTGGAGCCGACTTTGTCTACCCCACCAGCAGAATCACAACCGACACGGGGGCCGAGCGATGCGAAGTAGTCGATGTGGGGAACATCAGTAGGGTTGATGATGAAGGCTTTGACCTAGACCATCATGTAATCGTCTCGAAGTTTTGGAATGGATGCTTCGACAAGCTGGACGTCGCTAGGAGACTGGATGGCGATGGCGGGGTTGGCCATTTTATGAGTGTTGGGTGGAATGATGCCCAAAACTCGATGATGGACAGGATGTGTAAACTCGATGATGAACACACTGGAAGTGATGAGTTTAAGCTTAGATAGAACCAAAAAAACTTCCCCTCCACGCTGAGTTGCAAAGATGTTCTGCCACGGCGGTAGGTCTGGGACGCTATCCACCTTGCGTGTGCCGTATTGCACTGGCTCGTTCACCAATCAACCCCAGATCAGAAGACACTTCACATCTATGATTGCTAGTATTGTTGTTTCACGTTTAATGTCAGTGACAACTCTTTTCAAGCTTATGATACCATGACATACTGGCGTTCTAATTCCCAGTCGCAGAAAATTGTTGTAGTGGCCGCACGAGCTATGTCGCGTGGATGGCGGGTTCGTCTGGACATAGATACATGAACAATTCGTTCCAAGCTATATTGGACGGTTTAAACAATGATTCCAGTCTCGGGGCGCGGAATTAGTTTCGATAGCTCAGAATCAGCAGACTAACATGATTTTAATCTGCTGAGAGAGGAGAGGGTTGACAAACCCAAGCGGATATAGAGGGCAGCCATACCCGCACCACCGGTGGTGCAAATAAGATCGCACCACCGGTGTAGCAGCTACAGCGCCTACATGCCCTAATCTTCCAGCAGCTACAGCGCTAATAGCGCTCTAACCTCCCAGTAGCTACAGCGCCTATATGCCCTAATCTTCTAGCAGCTACACTATCTATAGCATCCTAATCTTCTAGCAGTAATAATATATGTAGCATTTTAATCTTCCAGCAGCCATAGTATCTATAGTATTTTAAGCTTCTAGAAGTTATAATATTTTAAAAGATTAAAATACTATAAATACTATAGCTACTAGAAGATTAGAATACTATAAGTACTGTAGCTACTGGAAGATTAGAGTATATAGGCGCTGTAGCTACTGGAAGATTAGAGTGCTATTAGTATTGTAGCTGCTAGAAGATTAGGGTATATAGGCGCTGCAGCTGCTGGAAGATTAGGGCATGTAGGCGCTACCGGTGGTGCGGGTATGGCTGCCCGGATATAGAGCACTGCTATGTGTAATGGTGTGCTCCAATCCTGAAGACAATTATTAAAAATACACCTAAGGAAGAATTTTATAAGCTGGGTCATGGCATTTCTTATTACCCATAGTCTTGGTCTTTATGCCTAATGCTCATTTATTGTACTTATTATGTCAGGTTTAATAATAAGATAGGTAACTGTTAACAGGTAACAGTTAAGAATATAGGCTGACTGTGCTACTAGGTACATTAATTTGCACGAAGTTCAGCTGCATGGACTTATACCTATGTGCGAAGAGAAATGCTCTAGTTTTTACAGTTCAAGAAATCCATTACCTTTTTCATCACTGCTTCATGTGCAAGAACAGCGTAATATCATCAAACCCTGGACTCGCGAATTTGCACACCATCTGTCTCATGCTAATCGACTTCGCTCGTCTAAACAAGAATCCTTGGGACATGGAGGAGGCAGTGGCGGCACGGTCAGAGACGAATCCCATGGATTCTTGTGGCGGTAGTTCTGAACGTAATCCACTGCTCATCGCCATGAAGGTTGGCGCTCCTGGATGCTCGTTTAAATGTTCAATACCGTGAACATCATCGTGTACAGTACCAAAAGCTCAAAAAAGCCATTCAATTCAGTCCCGGATGCCTTCTACATCATCATACATAACACTGCTGGTACTGTCATATTGACGGCGAGGGAGTATCAGTTGCGAAATGGGATGGATAGACGTACTGAATCGATCGCCGGGGCATATCTCGATGACCGAAAAGGTCGTCCTAACTGAACAAACTTTGCTTGTCTAATTTAAATTCCTTGGGCAAAGAAAACTCTGTGCATGACCTTGACGGCCACTTGCCTTTATAAAGTCACGGACCGACGTGCTTCTGGACTTACTCTTCACTTTCTCCCATCCATGCAAATAATTCACCTGTGGTAACTACTCAGCTGCAGCCCTTTTCCTTCACATCAATTAAAAACTATACCTCACCACAACAGACCCCAATACTACCTCGACATGAAGGCCGCAATCATCTTCACGGCCATTGCGGTCACCGTCCCCGGATCGGTTCTTGCCATCCCCATTGTGGGGCCAGATGGCTGCATTCCGCCGAGCCACAACTTGGACCGACCTACCAACTACATTGAGGGCCACAGAGTTGAGGCCAAGCCAGCAAAAGACCATGGTGTGAAGATCGACATCACCGTGAGCTGTGAGCCGCCGAATAAGTGCAAAGAAACGGGACCAAAGAAGACGGGCACGGAAACCTCGGACACCCATTCTCCCTTCTCTTGGTATGCGCTAAATCGCTGGGCTCGGGGCGTTGACGAGGGCAGCAAGAAAGATCAGCCCCACGTACCCAACCCGAAGAGTAGAGAATGGGGCCTCCAGTACGATAAGAAGCTCCCACCCTTGCAACAGGTGGAAAGCAAGGATGGAAACAAAAACGAGGATGGCCCCCAAGGCCGGACTCGGAAGTTCCCCGGAGTTGCCGGCATAATAGAAGTGCCCTATTAGCGCCCGGTCCCTTCGCGTAGTTGCAGGGGTGGTTTCATGGTGGACAGCTAGGATGCCTCGGCAAGTTGGGGATTTGGGGACGCTATCGGTCATACATGGAATTCGACAACGGGGCACATCAAGTATGTACTGGGACTCAATCCGTAAACTCTACAGCCAGTAATTCCGACTTTAATGCTTTATTTTATTCGGCCTTTGCGTGCGTTAGGATTTTGCACCGTCGCTGGGAAAACTTTTGCTTTTCTGCGCTGCGAGGACATTGAGGTGCGTGGTATTGTGGAGGGACATGTTGTGGGTCGGCGAGCAGGTGAGGGATGAAAGAGAAGAAGGCTAAGTTTATCATGGATTGTCGAAAACCCATTTTCGTCATTTCACCAATACAGACCTAACCTGGTGTCTGAAACCGAGCTGGTGTTGTCAGTGGATGGTGTAAGTGAGCCGAAGGGTGTCACGTGGCTCCAAGTCACCGGCCTAGCTTACTCCGCGCCTGACTAGCCTCATCAATTGTCCGCAGCCTCCGCATCAACATCCAAACCTCGGTTTTTTTGGTGACGGCCAGTTCAACATGCACTATGTCGAGGGCAAGTGGCTCCCGGAGTCGGAGCGGCTGCTCCAGTTGTCGCCGCCGGAAACGCCGATGTGATGAGGAGAAGCCCGTCTGCCAGAGCTGCCGCAGGTTAAAGTCTGATTGCGTGTATCCGATCACCGGATCTGCGTCAAACCCTCTGAAGTTCGTTGTGGCCACATCACCAGACCACTACATCATCCCCGTCGAAGAACAGACTCGCAAACCAAGATTTCTGCACCTCTCGTCCCACGAGCTAGGCAGCCTCTGTCCTAGATTTGCGGATACCGCGGTTGCGGAGAAAGGACCTGGCGAACCCGGCCACGTGGAAGGGGACCCTGATGTTGCTCTCATACTCCCAGATGGACCGCAATGGGACAGCCAACTCCAATTGAGCCATCAGATGCCTCGCCACATGACGCGGTTTATATTCAACGATGGGCGAGAACCCCTCTGGACTGTCGAGGCCGCCCTCATGCAATATTGTGAGTGAAGTTACCTCCTCACCCGGACCCTTGGAGACCGCTCCTCTGACCACCCCCAGATGCTGAAGTTGTCAGCAGTAGCAAAGTCTATGTCCAGACTGATCGGAATTCCTTCCGCACCTCGGTCATGCCACGGGTGTTGTTTCACCAAGGTCCTTTGCTCTTCACCGTACTCGCTATGAGTGCTGCTGAATGGGGACAGAATTCTACTGGGAATGGAAGAGATTATCGCGCACTGTCAGCCCGTTACAAGGTGCAAGCACTACATGAACTTCAGCTTTGCCTGTCGGACTCTGGAAACTCTGAGGAGAACCTTTTGACTTGTGTCCTCTTGGCCTCGTTGGAAATTGCCGAAGGGTCACGCCCGACCTGGCTCAGGCACTTACAGGGGGCGCTTGCTCTTCTCGACAATTTTTCCACATCGATTGACCCAGCTGTGGCAAAATTCGCCGTCCAGTATTTCCGCTTCAGGTACATCCTATTGGAAACAACGCAGCCAAAGAAGATCGCTCTAACGACGAGTTCTAACCCACATGCCGTGTCCTATCACCATGCAATAAACCATATTGCAGAGGCAGAATATGCTCTGCCACTTATTCAAGGCTCAGAAAGCCTGGTAGATGAACACATCGGCTGTTCTATGGAATTGGTCGACATTATCAACCAGACATCGGCTTTATCTTTGGCAACCGATCCATACATCGACCAAGATATGTTACTCGACCAGTGCCATACGGAATGCGAACGCCTGGAGCGCAGACTCTTGCAGCTTTCACCGGAGATTGTCGACATGAGCAACGACTACCTACTAAAAAGTGCAGAGTCGTTCCGGGTCGCTGCTCAAATCTATCTCCGACTCACATGTCTCGATGCTTCAATAACCCAGCCATCGATTGTAGAGCCACACAAAGAGCTTCTGTCCTGCCTCTCTGATATCATCGTCGAGGGCGAATCTCGTCGGTCATTCCCCATGTGGCCACTCTTCATCGCCGGGTGTGCTTGTTTTTCAGACGAACAGCGTAAAACGGTGCTTGGTCTGTTCTCCATTCTAGCCAGCAAATGGCCAATAAGCAACATTTCGGCCGTGTGGAAGGCAGTGCGGACCGTGTGGCACACTCGGGATCTCGCCGTATCACCTGCATCGTGCAAAGAGCAGGACTGGCAGGACGTCATCCACAGATTTGGATGGAAACTTTCGCTGTCATAAATATGCCTATCAGCTCGTTACATGTTGTGATTCTGCCCGTTAATCTACAATCGAGCTCTCAAAACCGTGTTGCTCTCCGCTTCAAGCTCTGACAGTTCCTTCGCTGTGCCAGCTCTACGACTTACAGCGTCGCCCCAGTTGGAACTCTGTTTCTCAGGGCTATTTCACTGCCAGCGCTGTAGTTCTTGATTCCCTTTTTTGCAAGGTCCAGAAACTATCTTCTAAATACCGGCATCGTTTTGAATGCATGCAGCATGACTCGAGTCATCCGGCAAAAGAACCAGGCTATTCTGGGTGCCGGACACGTAATCGATGCAGTATTCCGAGTCCTGTGTGTCAACACATCTTGCGATCGACAAAAAGGCGGTCGGCCATCCAGGGCAACGTCTTGCGGAGCAACCTTCATAGCTTCTGCTTGCCCTCTAACGGGATGAAGTCGTACATCGGGCCTTTAGAGGGGCTTGCCAGTGGAAGCGAGGTGCCACCGCGCATGTTTGTATAACCAGAGCCGAGAGAACATTACTTAAATAGACGTGTGGAAGGATTCGGCTCGGAATAATTGTCCAAGTTTCGGACGTTTGTGACAGGGAAGCCGCACAGGATGTTACACTCCTCCTAAGTGATGACACATGAGCGACGGACTAGCACCGGGCCACACCAAACTTGTCAGACGGAGATATGGACTCCAATAACGCTACCGCAAGTGGAGCGATCATTCCCTTTTGCCAAAGCGGTATTGCGACAAAACTTGTCCAGAACCTGGACGAGGGACTACCCAAAGACGTCAAGAGCACATATTTTTATGGAAGCCGAGTGCTCGACCTCACCTGCCGTCGTGATCGCTGCAGCGACCGGACTGGTCGTAACGGAGGGAAATGACTTTGCCAGACTTGTCGCCAAGCGAAAGCCGCATCCCCCGAGAGACACAGTACAAGTACACTGCTCGCAGAGTGTTGTCAGAATGCTTGTATCCACCTGCGGGATTGAAGTAGTCCTTGAAGGCATGGAGTGAACCAGAGAATTACCACCCGTAATCCTTGAAGTCTTTGACTGTGCTCAAAGACTTGATCCCGAATGTTAGACTTGAATGCTTTGATATCTTGCCAATATATTTTAAAGACCATTGACTACCTTCTGAGGTGTCCAGCCAGATGTGGCGACGATGTAATTCGTCCGATGGTAGTCAAGACCGAAGAGAGGGGTCTTATATCCTTCCTCGGCGTCTCGTAAGAGCCCGGTTAGAAACCGGAATTATGCATCGACGATGGGTTTTAAGAAAATACCTAGGTCGAATAAGTGCAAAAGATGTCCTGGTCCTCTGCTCGAACGACCTTGTTGAGGTCAGCTGCTGCAGAGTGCCGCGAATGTACTTTTTTGTCCCGCTCAAAGGCTGCAATGTTCGTGTAGCCCGCTTCCGCAAGGCGAAGAGCCGTCGACAGCCCCAAGGCGCTGCGACCGAGAAACACAATTGAGGCGACTTTGTTCATGATAAGTGGAACTTGGAATGGTGAGGATAAGTTTAAGTATGGAGAAGTGATCTCCATCTCACGAATGCTTTTATGTCCTATTCCACTACTGGCTCCACGTCGGATAGACTACTGACACTCATCCTGATCGTTCGCTGGGTGGAGAGTTGACAGGAGAACAAGGGGCACATGTCAAGCGAATACCGAATAATGGAGGCTGGAATTCGGTAGGTTGGCGTCAGAAAGATAATAACACTGATACTCAGCGACGAATCCAGACTGTCCTTGATTTGCATCTGCAGTTCCGAGCTCTCGCTGAGTCATTGTGAGCTTGAATGAGCTTCTCGTGGCGCAACAAGGTGTCTAGTCTCGACCACCTAAAACCCAAAGATCACAGCAGCAAGCAAAATTTCACCCGGTCACCTCGGCAAATTGCCCTGTACGGCGGCCAGATAATTTGGAGAATCTTTAGATTGGTGATGGATCCAATACGCCTAGGTCGATCAAGAGATAAGTAATTAATCAAATGGTCTGATTTCAATTGATAATTATATTGATAATCTTTTTCCCCCACCCCCTCTTTTCTAAGAGGGGCTTCTTCTATTAACCTCGCCACCTATGATGTCAATCTCGCCACTTATGACTAAGATCAGGATATTGACATATCAGAGGATTGCGTCAGACGAGGGTCAATCCAACAATTGGTTTATATCTAAGTATTGAAAGATGAGAGGATGGAAGCTAGGCAATTCCACCTGGGAAGCAGATGAACAGACTTTCCCATCGACACTGCCGTCACATTTATATTATACTTCCTTTAGTGCATTGCGTTTTACTCTGCCTCTTCCTTCGATAAATTGTAATCAAATAGCATTCTATTACACAATAACCTTGTAAAAATTATATCCGACAGATATCAGAGTCTAATTTACGGTTATAGCCAGCAGGCTGAAGGCACTGTCGGCCTCCTCAAGCATTTATACAAAACATCGACCTCTTCTATTACAGAGGAAGACTGTTTTTAAGACAACTCAAGAAAAGTTTACAGCAGGATTAAACTTCCACTAGAACACAATCTAACTTCTTGAAGTGTCTTTCCGTCTCTACTAAGTAAGCGAAACGGGCATGAAAGTACGGGCCTGGAAGAGGTATTGTAAGTTACTCGTCACGGCACAACTGCCGAGTCAGACCGCCTGACTTGGTGTTAGTCCGGTGACATTACTAAAGTTTATCTACGAAGATCGTATGGATTTATCACCTCGTATTAACAAGCCTTCGATGATTCGCAAGCCAGGCCGCGCGGGGTCAAGCGGGTAGAGCTTCATCTAGTCCTTCATTTGTTGGTATTCTCAGTGGCTGATAATCGCAGCACGGATGAGTTGTCTTCCGTTGATTGCATTTGGCGCTAAAGAACCAACGGTAGGATTCCACGTCAACTCAGTGTCTCGTGGCTGGCGGTAAATGGTGCAGACATCGCAGGAATACTACCGCATATGGAATCCTTCTGGAGGACACCACTCCAGCTAATGCCATTCAAGCTACGGAGGGCGTTATAAATAGACGTGGCGCTCGCCAAAGCAGGGGTCCCCTCCAAGGGTTTACTAATTTAATGCTTTCAGTCCAATAGATCGCGTCCATCAGCAGCCACGCTTGTCAAGAAAAGCTTGATTCAACTGCTGAAGTTGAGCGAGCGAATAGCACAAGCACTGCTTCATAGTCGAGAATACCGGCTACCAGGTGCCGAGTCGCCGAGTCGTGGCTGTGCAACCTCGTCATCTTGAGGTCAGAGTCACATGCGACACGCTTCGGATCAAAAGCTCTCCGCGCCAGCTTGGAATCACTGTGTACCAGTGAGCTGTAAGCGAAGCATCTCACGATGCGCCAGGACGGAAGCGTTCATTTGAAGACTGTCGAAACTTACCAGTCGAAGTCTATATAACGGGCTTCAAAATGCCAAGACATGCCTTTTCTCTCACCAGCATCAAACGTAGTCACCAACGTTTACTGCTACCTACCACTTAAGCAAGGATACAATAATCCAATTGCACCATATCCATCAGCCTCACTCGCTGTGATAAACCCTCTCCAAGATGCACTTCACAGGTCTCATCCTGCTCCTCGCCTCCACCGCCCTGGCGAGTCCCGCCAACTCCCCCGGCCACGATAACAACCCAAATGCCGACATCTTCCCAGACTTTGACCGCTACTCCGACTGGGCGATCTGCAAGGGCGAAATCACCAAGGACCGCTTCCCGAACCTGCAGGCCCCCAACGATCAGGGCGGCTGCGTCCGTTACTACCAGGGCATCGACATGACAGGCGTCGTCACCGAGCTACACTTCTTCTTCAACCATGGCTTCAAGACCGCCTGTGACTGCGCCGCAGCATGCCTGAATCGGCCGACCATTTGCACGAACTGGGTGTGGAAACACGTTTTTAATAAAAAGAAGGATAGTGGCAGGAGGTCGTGCACTCTGTACAGCAGTCCCAATCTGCCGAGCGGCGTGACGCTTGATTACAATCTGGCAAAGAGCGCGGGGTTTAAGCCATTAGATCCTATGAATAACCCACAGGCGGGAGCCCCGGCGCCATTGACTTTCTTGGACGCAGCAAATAAGCACCCAGATAAGTTTGGAGTGTCTGGCTTTGCAGTGCAGGATCAGAATGGAAGACAGTTCTGCTAGGAGGTGGATTAGGGATATGGTTGGGTGTCTTGGGCTTGAATAAGGCAGGTCAGATTGATAAGAATCATGATTATTGTTGGACTGTGACATTGTAATACGAAACCTTTGATCCATACCCCGAGTTGATCAGTAGAGGCGTGAGATGACATAAATTCCCTCTCCACAAAAGAGATGGCAGGGGTTATCCTAGATCAATATAATCACCGAATTCAGGATCTACACCCGATTGAACACTCATCCCTTATGACACGGCTTAACCACCTCGGAAGGCCTGGCTCACACAAATTGGACAATGTCTGGATAGACAGACTTGGTAAAATTTGAGAGAGACAAAAATACATCAATTGTTTACCCTCTCAGAGTAACAGTTCACTATTTCTAGATTGCTAGGATTCAGAACACCTTCCAGCCGCCCAAACTCTTCCTTCAGTGTCCTCGGCTAAGTAAATCTCACCAGGAGGTTCGGACTTCCAGCTTTGTGGTTTGTGCCGCTCTTCTGCCACTGCCAAGTGACTTCTGGCTGATTACGGCACCTGTCTTCTTGCAGTTGACGTAAAAGTTGCCAGCCGAGTATCGCAGCTTGTTTTCAACTTCCTGGACAAACTTCCTATCCCTGGCCAAAGTTGGACCAGTCAACGCAAACCCACCGCCCTGCTAGTCAATGCTACGTAGGAGCGCATCAAAATCTGCATCTTCGCAGACGTACACTGTTAAGACAGGGCCGAACAACTCCCCCTCAAAGAGTTGAGGGTCAAGTGATTTCGTCAAACACTCAGTAGGCAGGATGAATGGCCATTGCCGCCGTCATACCATCCTCCTTCTACCCGTTCTAGACTTTTATCATTGTTGGACTTGTCAACCACCCTGGTGATTTACCAAATAACCTCGATGAATAACGGGTCTGTAATTTTTTTTTAAAAAACTCTTCAGGCGCGCCAACTTTGACGCGATCCAGCTTCGTCTTCGACTCGCCAATGAACCGAGCTTCCTGGCTGGAGGAGGTAAGATGGAGCCTGGAGCAAGCTGAGCATTTTTGCCTAGCGTACCCAAAATAAGCTCTAATAGTGTGCTTGACGGCGCTGTTGATGCTGACAAGTGAATAAGATGGAAGTTCTTGCCGGATGTTTCTCCGCCCAGTCGGGGCTAATCTCGATAGATGTTGTCGGCGGTCCCTTCAGCAGCCCGGTGATAAAGAGACCGAAAGACTTATGAGGAGTCGGCAAAGTGCGATGCTGAGAACCGAGCATCCTTGAGGACTACAGTGGTGATTTGGTCAGGATCGCCATTGATGAACTGGATGACATTGGGTGGTAATCTAGCTTCTAGCAAGGTTTTATATACTAGGTTAGGAGCTAGCATATACCGAGTGAGGAGAGAGTTTCCAAAGCACAACATTTCCCATTATGGCTGGTGCCGAGACGAGATTGCCACCAATGGCTGGGAGGTTGAAGGGTGATACTACCTAAAAAAATCCTTCTAAAGATTGAAACAAGAGTGGCTACTATGCTTCTGCTCAACTAGATGGGATAAATAGAGCTAAAAGAGCTAATAGGTGGCTGATAAACAACTGAGCTGAAGTTGAGGTACCGAACGAAGGGGGTTATTCAAGCTGTACTAGATATTACTTGTGTTTTATATTATGATGCCCGGCTTTTAACTAGTTCAGACAGACATGGCTCTAAATAGGATTTCCCCGGCAATTGTTTTCAACTCGTACTACTCTAAGTTACACGAATGCCAACACTCTTCGAATTCAGTGTCAGAGGGGTATGCGGAAACATCTATCGAAGCAACGTCCAAGATAATCTGAATCACCTCCGGGTGTCCATCTGTACTGTTGGTATTCTTGTAGAAGGGCAAAGTGTCAAAATAGATGTCTGGGTAACCAACCCTGTATCCTATTGCGTCTTCCTTGATGCTCTCGAGCACAGTCAATCTATTGTCGACAAGACCATTGACCACATCCCCGAAAATGTGATAGCGTGCCCACACCGCATCACCGAACCGGCTTTCAAGGATAGCATCGACATACATAGTAGCCCAGGGCTCGACTACTGGAGTGCCAGCGGGTTTGTTGATCGCGTCGTCGAGAGTCACGTCCAAAAATAGTTGCTCAATGAGCGTCGTGTAACTAATAATAGGTACCTTCATGGCTACACGATTACAAAGTTAAAAGTGATCAAGTAAAGTGGTCCAAGTTGAAATACCTGGTTGCTTTATGAATTAAAAAGAGGGGAAATAAAATCGTGGTGGTAAGGCGATTAGTGCAAGGCCGAGGATGTGGAGGAGGAACCGAGAAGTGAAGGGGAGGGGAATTTCGAGGTCTTGGCTTTTGTATTTGGATAAAAGAGGGCGGGGCGATTAGGCAGCTGTGTGTGGGTCGCAAGAATGGGACGAGAAAATACGGCGCTCTTGAGAGGCCAGCCTGCTTCCAGGGGCAATACGGCAAGGGCGCGACCAACAGTCGTCTTGGAGCCAACAGGCTTTGCGTTCGTATTGGGTGTAGTCCTCTAGCCAAACTGTACTACAACGTGCCGATGGGCCGAGTGATGCAGTAAAAACTTGCAGACTTTTACAGCCTATGCCGTCGGAACAATGAAAGCCATGATAGTCTCATGCTAAGGGATCTGGTTAATCAAGGGGAAGTCTCTGGAACAACAGACCGCCACGGCACCAGCCATTCCACACTGCCAGCCTGACCTAATTTGACCACTTAGGTACGGCACGACAGACAAGACCGTCAAAATCCTAGTGATGCTCTGCATGGCCAAATCTAGCTCACTACATCCAAGCGAAGCTATTGTCTCTCCACTCTGTTTCCATTTATTCACTATGAATCACTCTATCGTATTCGCCTGCAACCTTGAGTATGTAAATAACATGTGGGTAATTTCGCCCGTTTTATGAAGCCCACCATTTTGACTACTGGAAGACTGGAAGACATTCCCTATATCGTATATGCGGCTCTTTCACCACGCTTATGATTAGGCTAAGCATGGAGGTGTTTTATACGCACTAAAAACCGAGTCGATGACCAAGCGCGCATCAATCCCTTCACCACCATGCAAATCTTGCTGTGCCCACATCCTCTGTATCATTTCTTCCGTCGAGTCTAGGTTACTGAGCGCTCTCTTCCTCCTTGAGCTCTGCAGTGCTTTGAGCATCAGCACCCTATCGGGCTCCTCCTCGGCCTGCAGCGACAGCATGAACATTGGAAAGGGTCTTTCGCAGACCCCGAGGTGTCGCAGTATCCCGAATGATTCCTTGGCAGCGTCTTGGGATACAGGAGAAGAAGCCGGGGATCCTCGCACCACGCGATCCAGGTAGATGAGAACCGCAAGCTGGAACAGTCGAGCAACCGCAGTGTAGTGCTCTTTGCTGCCCGTGCCATGGTATACTTCAATATCCATGCCACTGCAGAGCTGTTGGTCAGCGCGCTCGAGCCGATGCTGAAGCACGTCGATTGCCCGTTGATGATCTTCAGAGGGAGGTCTGTTGTCATTTTGAACACGAACCCAGTCGACAGCTTGGCTTAGAATACCAAGGATTTCGAGCGAGCAACCGAGAGTACTCTGTATCTGGGAGAAAATCAGTAATTGACTAATGATCCAGGATAACAAACCGTACAATCTGTCGTTTAGGGTGGAAGGTTGCCAGGGAAATGACGTTTTCACGGTTCGCAATGACTTCCTGCTTCTTCGTACGATGCATCCAGTGAGCAATGCCAAATTTGTAAAACACATTGTAGTACAGCACCCAGTCCAGTAGGGTCGCGCCATCACCTTCGGAAGGGACGCGTGTTTGCTGGCCTGTCTCAAAAATCATGAGACAACCGTCAAAGTAGATTGACCAATCCTTAGTCGTAGATCGGTCGACAGCCTAGCGCAGTTAGCGTCTGACAGTAAGCTGAATCGAAGTGCTTGCCTCGTAGATGCTCAGAAGCATGCTCGCTGCGATGGCTTGGGATCTAGACTTGACATCCAACACCTGACCGATGGTCTTTCGCAGGGATGAAATGGCGAGCATGCGATGATGGACAGACTTGGGGGAGTTTTGCAAGTGCAGGTAGGAGATTGCATTCATTGAATGACGGACGGCAAGAGAGGGAGGGGTGTCATCACCCAATGACATGCGTTGCAGGAGGCTGCAGATGTCTTGACGCAGGTCGCCCTGAGAAGTGACCATTTGCATGGCAGAGGAGTATTCTATATGTTCTTAGCCTAAACGGAACTCAACCAAGGATCTGGAATCTCACCTGCAGGAGTCATTTGCGTCCCGAATTGTGGTGTTCGCAATGCAGGTCTCGGGCGAGGGGCCTGCCAAACGCCAACATGGGTTGCTATTGAGCCTCAAATCAGACCGAGTCGCCAGAAGGAAGTGGATCCATGCAACGAACCATGGGTCCCGGCCCCTGTCGCATTCATATATAGACTGACATCCCATGTGGAGGTATTAAGGAATGCAACCTGGGCCGTCGTGGTGCGGTTCTGGACGTTGGCCACGGAAGCCCGGCGTCTATCACCTGCACGAGGCCAAGACAGATTGACGGCATAGCCCGAGCACACCTTCTTACGTCTGGTACAGGTGGTACATGTCGGCAGGGACCTGTCACAGGCAATCTTGCGATCTGGGCGGTCTTAATCCCCGGTTGACGAGAGCGAGGGTGCGGGAATAACTCACTGCGGCAATTCAAGCAGGGTTTCTGCGCAAGGGTCACCTCGGGCGTGGCTGTGACGATATCTGCCATGTTGCCCCGAGTCAGAACAGAGACAGGAGGCTCTATCGTACCAACAACGTCAACAGAGGCACGTTCACCAAGCCCAATCAAGCAGGGAATTGTGGTGAAAGGTGGAGGGGCGGGGGGTGGAACGTCTTGGCGGCACCATCTCGGGAGCGGAGATGTACCGCTACAAGCAGACTGGCGCAGGACTTTAGTAATCCAGCTGGCAATGGGCAACTTTGCCCGCGATAAAACGTCACTGGCTTGGTAGCGTGGGAGAACGGCGTCAGAGTTCTCTCATTTTTCCAATTATGATGCCGTTTTGTATTTGTAAGATGTATTCGCGCAAATCAGAGACGGAGCAGGATAATTATCTGAGATTCCATAAAAGACCGTTGTCCCGCAGCTTGCAGTGATTCTTTCATCAGACCAGACGCACGCCGAGATATCAGCAGAAATCATCCAGAACAGGGACTTGTACAAATCACTTGTGAAATCACACCCAACACTATGCCCGCGACCAAGATCCTCATCACGGGTGCCACTGGGTACATGTAAGTCCTACAGGGAGTAACGACCTCACCAAGAACTTACTAACACTTACCAGCGGTGGCTCAGTGCTTACAACCTTGCTCGAGTCCACAGATGCCAATATTAAAACGAGCAAAATATCAGCTCTGGTCCGCAAGCAAGACCAAGCCGATCTCCTCAGCGCAAAGGGTGTCAATGCTATCCTTTTCAGTGGCCTTGACGACACAGCCGTCGTTAGGGATGCCGCCAGCAAGCACGACGTTGTCATCAACACTGCTAAAGCATTTCACTCCCTGGCGGCTGAGGCATTGATCCTCGGTCTGGCAGATCGGAAGAAGGAGACTGGCAGAGAGACGTATCTGATACATGTGAGTTACCCCAATCCCTTGCCTTCACAGCAGCTGACGCGTGCAGACTTCGGGTACCTCCAGCCTTGGAGACCACCCCATTACGGGTACCTTCACAGAGACGCGCGTTTTGTCCGACAAGGACAATGTTTACGCCTACGAACGCTCCCGCGAGGACCTTGAGCCGTACCAACAGCGCACCACTGACTTGGTTGTCTTCGAAAAGGGCGAGGCAGCCAACATCAAAACGTACATCATCATGTCACCGACTATTTACGGGCCAGGCAGTGGTTTCTTCAATCGCACCTCTATCCAGATCGATGGCATCATTCGCGCCGCGCGCCGCGACGGATTTGCTTCTGTTATTGGCACGGGTGCTGCGGAGTGGGATCACGTCCACATCAGCGACTTGGTCGGTCTGTACGAGCTGATCCTCACCCGGCTGCTCGCCGGGGGTGATTTGCCATCGAACAAGAGGGGCATCTACTTCAATGGCACAGGCCACCAATCCTGGCGTGAAATCTCGGAGCGCATTGCCAAGGAGGGGCGGGCATTGGGGTATTTGGAATCGGACGACGTGCACGAAATCTCCCTCGAGGAGGCGCTTGAAAAACTCGGAAATGCGCTTCCGCCAAGTGCGATTGAGCTGGGGTTTGCTTCACGATCGCGGACACAGGCGGATTTGGCTCGCGAGATTGGATGGATGCCAAAGAAAACGAGAGCGGACTTTGAGGCGAGTTTTCTCGAGGAGTGGAAGATCATTGCGGAGGAGTTTTAAAGAGAGTTGAGTGGAGATGGGTACGATCCTGCACTTGACGCATTGTAACTGACTCTGGATCTCGAGTAAATAGATTGCTATAGTTTTTGGTCTAAGTCAATGGTAAAAATATGAATAAACGAACAGACTCGTATCAACACAACCATGCCCAAGGGCGATTAGACAATCCGGTCCTGCTTCACCGTGAAACATAGCTCCATGTGCGCCTTGCTTAACTTTCTTCAACCCTGTCAATTCACCTTCACAGGAGATTGTCGGTTTTACTAATAACACTCTGCTCTATGGCCATGATAATCGAGCGCTCCGAGTAGACGGGGCCCTGGCCGTCACAGTAGGCGTAGTGCTTGAGACGTTCGCTCACGTCGCCCACGTCAACAAGACCCTTCTTGAAGAGCTTGTGGTTAATGATAAGATCCCAGGTGGCGCCGGCGGCGAGGAGACGCTCGCCATCGTGGGAGGTTATGATGCGGTGGGAGGGGGTCTTATTGGTCTCGTTTTGGAGAATATTTGAGTAAAATTTGGAAGAGTTGAAGGGTGGGAGGTCGTTGGTCGGCTCTGAGGAGATTTTGTGCGTGCCACCTACCTGGGAGGTGGCGCGGAGGATCTCGTTCTCGGTGGAGGCCCTCCGGATGTCTTGTTTGAGGCGCTCGTTCTCGACAGATACTTGTTGTCGGGCGGCCTCTAATTCTGCGAGCTTGGCTTCGAGTTCCTTGACGTGCTTTTCCTTTCGCCTGCGAAAGGCTTGTTGACTGTCGGCCAAGAGCATTAGTAAGATGGATACAAAGCATTCTGTACGGCGGGCTAGGGCTCGGTAAAGTTTGATCAACAAATAGAGTGGCCGGGAGATTGGGTCCGTGTAGGGCAGTTGAAAGCAACGCGGGCGGGTGAGTCCAGCGGTCAGAGGAAGACGTACGCAGCGCGGTTCTGGGCCTTTCGTCGGGACTGGGCTGGGGTGAGGGGGTCGTTCTCCTCGCTGGTTCCACTGTCGCCCACGTATGTCTTCATGATGTGGTAATGCTGGTGGGTTCGCGTCGGGCCAAGGTCGTTCTGGACAGGACTAAGGGGCGTGGCGGGCTGAGAAGGGTGGGCGTGAAAGCCCTGACGATAGTCAAACGGAGGGTGATGGCTGCTGAGGTACTGAGGCAGGGTTTCAAAAGCATCCTATTTAAGAGCAAAGAATCAGCCGGGGGGGGACATGAACCATGAGATAGGCGGATGTAGAGGCGGGTACTAAGACGTGAGGGTCAAGCAGCGGTCAAATCTGGGGCATAAAGGCAGGGCGAGGGCGGGTTGTGGGAGTGGGGTTAAATGCGACATCAACATACTGGTGGCGAGGTGCTAAAATCATCGGGACCGGAGTAGGACGGCGATAGGGACGGAATGGGCATAAATTGGTGATATGGCTGAGCACTCGGGGCGTTGTATTGGAACTCCATGGTGAGTAGTGAGTGTGAGCTGTGAGAGTGGCACTGAGAGCGAGAGACGAGTTGTGAATAAGTGGTGGTGGGTCTGTCGTGGTGGTGTTCTTTCTGGCTTGGCCTGACTTGGCTTGGACTTGGCGGTTAGAGGCCGATGCGTCTGGGTCCTGTTGGTGTTGGTTGCACAAGCGGCAGAGATTCCCGTACAACCGTCAGGTCAGGGAAAATCAGCGGCAACGGAGTCGAGTATCGAGACTTGGGAGACGTCAAAAAACGGGGAGAGGCAAACGGGGGGAAAAGAGGGGAAGGGAAGCCTATATACGAGGCTCGCCGCAACGCAGCCATCGAGGAGCTTCGTGCCCGCGCCGCCCAGCGGTTTTTGCGCCCTGAAGGAAACGTCGCCAAACTTTCAAACTAGACGCCCTGCAGGAATGGTTCCAGCGTGCTAAGTAAGACTCCAGGGAAAAGGGAACCCCCCTTGTCAGTCCGGCGCGAGAGTTGGCAACTTTCGCCGCGACACGTGACGCCGGTGCGCCTTTGTCATCCGCAGGGCTCCGCTTTGTGAGCACCGCCGTGTGGAGCTTGATGCGGCCGCGAACAGCTTCACGGGCGAGGCGTGGCTGCGGATTGACACGAGCCTGGACGTGCTTCGGCTCATGCCAACTCCCCGTGATCTGATTCGCTTCCCATTTTTTCCAAATTCCCATTCTGCACCGCCATCAGCAACCGGCAATCTCCTGCGAGCTGGCATGCATCCTCGCTTCTGCGAGGTCGGCCGCCTGTACAGACAGCGTGGGCTTCTAGACCCCTAGAATCCCAAACGCCAGCACCCGAGCCAATTATTCTCACGGCCCAGGTTCCTCATCCCTACGTCACAAACGACACCCTGGTGCATCGCGTGTCAAGTGAGATGAGGCTTGAGATAAGCAAGCTTCGGTGTTCCATTAACCGGGTTGTCTCTTGATAACGGCCAACCTTCGCGGCATTCTTGGAAAACACTACGCCATCTTTTTTGAAAGTCTATTTTGGCTATTCTCCCGAGTCGCTCAATTAATTCCCCTTCGCCAATGCATGATTGCAGATCAAACGGCCAACCCATAAAAATTGTCACTTCAAAATCCACTCCACTCCGTTCCCACAACCTGCTCCACACTTCCCCACCTACTCAGCTTACAAAACCACCACACATAATAATGAGAATCTTTGTAAAATTTGGAGCGCCTAGGAATCCTGCGACTCATTCTTACTGCGTCAGCTCGTCGCATCACCACTGAGTCGTGATGGTGTTCTTTGGTGTTTCTAGCCAAAGTATAATAAAATACAATCTAGTTCATCGCTAGTTCCGATACAATTAAGAATATCTAGTTTAATCTCATGAAGCACCATCACCCCCCCCCCCCCCTCTTTCAATACTGGTCACTATCGCTCCCAGTTTTCCATGAGTCGCTATTAAAAGGTAAAGAGTAAAATTTTCGGCAAGAAAAAACAGTCTACAGTTTATAAATCCAAGTCAAGGTGGAAAAGTGAGCTCATCTACTCGTACTATAAATACTCACAGAGGAAAGGGTGAAGTTACGATTAATCCAGTTCGGTTTAATGCATCGCTTCCAGCTATAGCACTCGTATACTGAAGATGCTTCTTCACGCCCTTCCATACCTTCATCCTATCACAATCCCACAGCCGTTGCCACTTCTCCAAGTCAACTTTTCCTATCGTTCAACACCTCCCGCCACAGTTCCAACCACGGCATTCCTTCAGTGCATAACATGATACTCCCATCACCCGTCCAAGGCCCGGCTTCGACCACACCATCAGGGGTGCGGAAGAGTTCAAACATGTCCTTTGGTCAGACACACTGGACACCACTTTCTCGGGTGCCATCACCATTTCCCTTCCAACCAAACAAGTGGTGCCACTCATGTACCAGCAGAGTAGGACCCAAAACATAACAAGAACGAGGCTCAAGCCTGACCAAGGACGTCAATTCCTTCGTGAAAAGCCACGCTTGCGCATGGCCCAGTAAAGCCAATATCAACTCACAACGCCACATCGTTCTAGGATTCACAATGAACACCTAAAGTAGCACGCGCTCGGTTGCCTCCACCTGCTTGGTGGATAAAGACGTATCTGCCAGCCACCCTCTGCTGTCAGGTGCAGCGATCCCGTTGCCGGTAAGTCCTCCGGTTCCCTGTCCTTCGTGTCCCACTCCATAAGGAATACAAGAGAAGCCGATCTGCCGCTTTCAGCTCCATCCATACCGTCTCCAACGGTAGGCCACAGTCCGTACAGACCCTTCCGGGTGCCTATTCGACTCCCCCATTTTGCGTAACGCGAAAGGCAATCATTTTGTTCTTAATTATTTATCCCGCCTTGCTATATCCAAGGGATATTCGTATCACAGATTGACAAAAGAGCTTGCCTCAAGTCGCTTCACAGGTCACCGTACCCATCTCGAGTAGGAGAAGAAGAAGAAGAAGAAGAAAAAGAGCACGGAGTTCACCCTAATGTGAATAGAGCCCAAGATATTGAGATGGTGCTGAACGGCGTACTGGAGTATAATGACAGTAGGGTTAGCATGACAAGCTAGCTACTACTCAAAGTAAATGCTCTTTATATAGCAGGACGGGCATGCTTTTCCCTTCCTCAATTTGAACTTTTGAAACGGTCTTATCTCAATTTATACTATTAGACAAGCTGTCGCATCAGCTCTTATGCCTTTTTTATCATTCTTTTCTATCCCATTGTATTCCGAGGCACTTGATTAAGTGCTTCTAATTACTATTCTTGCCATCCCCTCAGCTAGTCTCAGCTAAAGGACCTCCTTTTTGACTCGACCTACAGGGTCTTTCAGACTCTTACTGTCCTCGGCCCTGTTGTGCACTAAGTACATCTCCCACCAACAAAGTCTTCCTCTTATGTTCGCTGTTCACATGATGTCCAATTAATCATGTCTGGGTCGGACAAAGCCTTGCCTCTTGGCCAAGGTTACGCGCGTTATTATCTCTCGACGAAGCTTCATTAATTATCTCTTATATCACTTTGAAATATTTAGCACGGATACTGAAAAGCGTGAGTTATTTATCCGCAGGAAGTAATTTATCCATCTCGTTTGTTTTCTTCCTGTTCAATCCCTGACCGTATTGCTTCTAAGGATGCAACCAGACGCTATAAAAGGTATCCAGTAGATAGCGATTAGGAGACTAAATATCGTGGCAGTTTTTCAAGTTGCTTGTATTTTATCCCCGCTGTCCAAGTAAGACGCCAATGAATCACCATGAATCCCAGAGATGGGCCTGTAGGAGATTTCCATCCTCCCCCTTCCAAGCCACAGATTTTCTCGACATTTGAGTTCAGTTGCGCGTGACATGATTTCTAGCAGGGTCCGCGGTAAGCCACTTACAACCTCTATTACCCCCAGAGAATATCTCCATGCTTTTGCTGGGTGTGGCGTAACCGGCTCTATATGCCGAGGGAAGTAGTCAGTCGGCCGGGAACCAGATTAGATAGGTCCATCACTCCCATCACCTCGAACAAGTGACGGAGGGGAGGACATGTGAAGTAGCCTGGTGAATAGTGTGACAGGCGGTCAGGGAATTTTGGGCTAGCTGGTCGCTAGCAGGGACATCTCAAAGGTTGAAAAGGGGAGATCAGAGCCGACAGAGGGAAGGGAGTATTGTGTTTCATTTTAATTGGGGAATTATCCAGCAGTCAAAGAGACCTAGAGAGCTTGAGACTGATTGTAAGAGTCTGTAAATTTATCATCATTATTTTAAGAGATTTATTTCAGTCTCTTTTAATTAACTTTTTAATCCCTATTTGGCCTCTATCTTTTATCTGATTAGATATTGGGCTGCTGCAGACCTTATTAAAGCCTTATCAGCTGAATTTTCTGCAACTAACCTGATATTCTATTTTCAAAGATATTTCCCTACTAGGAGACATAAGCCCAGATCCATCTGACTTTATACGTGTAGTCTGGTACAGCGTCAGGCTGATTGCACAAGACGTCTGTGCAATGACCTTCTGTGCATCTCCTTTAAGATAGGTTAATGAGTTAAGGGTTAGCTTTTTACCTTTCTGCTGCTAAACCAGTGGTTGTTATGTAGTCTGTAGACGTCAGCAATGAAGAGTAAATGACTTGTCCACGGGAATCCCTTATTGCCCAAGGCTGTAATGAGCATATAATCACTCGAAAGAAGCCATGGAGATGGCGAAGAAGCACATGCCGATATTTTGCAGAATAGCAAGCCGGCACCGAGCGTGCTCCTCAAATAACGCCAACACCACGGAATAATTCATCTCGGACAATCTTGATGGTACTTCCAAAACAAAGCTGGAGTTTCTCAACACAGAACCTGACCTACAGAAATTGTGACGCTATGTGTGCTATCATATAAGCCAGAGAATAGTCTGAAAGATTGAAGATTTTGTACTTGGTCTAGCAGTGAGTTGAGATTCTGTAGAGGATATGTAATCCAGAACTTAGGACTGAAGGTGTAGTCAGCCGCAGAGGTCAACCAAAGGGTTACGCACAACAGTTTTGGAGAATACACACGTTACAAAAAGACCCGTTGACTTGCATTGATCTGGTAATCCCAGGTGGCAGAGCCGTTAATAGTATTGTTGATTGTTGCATAGGGTTGAGGAAGACCATCAGAGTGACTAGTGGAGGCAACAGAAGCGAGATATTGGTAAGGCGAGGAGGCAATGATCTACTGAATGCGCTCAATTCTTTCTCTATATGATCTGAGGGCAATGATGGGAGACGGGCGAATTTCCCCCGGGATTCAACGCCCCCTTCTACTGCAGCTGAACCTAATAACCCTCGTGGAAGGTCATGTAGGACGGGTCTCCTCGCACCTCCGCTTGCGTTTCTTGCACGTGAGGCATCCACCTCGAGATCGCGTATTTTTCTCCGGCCTTCCGTCACCATCGAGCCACTGTGGTATTTTGATGCCAACAGGAGAGTGAAACTGGAAGTGAAAAGAATCGGGTGGATAGAGTCAACCAGGAATGACGTCTAGGTCTGTGAGTTTAATCTGAACGAACCCGAAGCATACGGAGTAAATAAAGGGATCAACAGTGAAGGGGGGAGCTGCTGTGTTAGGCATGACGTTTATCGTCCAAGTATCGTCCAATTACGGGATGGGCGACAAACTTGCGCAAAGACCTTCCATCAGCTATTCCCTCCTGTTGGATTGTGACCCTGCATTGCGAAACCTCGGAGAGATTGATATCCTGCCCTCAATTGGAGGGGGCGCGGGATGACATCAAAGCCCCTCTTGAGAAAAAAGGGGGCGGGAGGCATCCTAAATCAATACCACCATCATCAACCTCTTGATCGAATGGGGTGTACCAGGTACTTAAGTTACGCTATCCATCAGCTTCCACGTTCCGGCCCCGTAGGGCTTACCCCCTCTTAGTTAGCACATAGCCACAACTGGTACCTGGCGGCGCCACCGTGCTCGGTTATAAACCCCTCGGAAAATATTATGTGACTCGGCCGAAGAATGAGATACGCCACGGTGAATAGTGTATGCTTGAGGTATCATGAGCAACTAGAGTCGCTGATCGTACACCATTTAGAATAGTAGATCTCTCCTGTGCTAATACAGGCATGGGAAGATATTTATCATCATCTCCTGTTGCCTGCAATTCAACTTCCAGACCAAAGCAACAGCCTGAATTGGCGTCATGTCTAGCCACACACAGACACGTACCCCCTACCCCGCGTCCGCGTGGCCCGAGGGAAAGTAGGCAGGGTATCGAGCTTGGACTAGATCGATTGTGTGACAGTAGTGTTAACGATCTGGCGATCATTAGTTTGCGAGCTAAAGGGATCGTCATTAAACTTGAGGTCATCGGGAGGCGATCATAAGTTGATGCTTTCGGTCAATTGTAACTAGTCATGTCCTGACAGGTATCGGAGCTCGGCATGCCGGGGATGCAATCCGAGCCCCATAAATCAAAACTGACTATCGTCGTGGCTGACGTGAGCTAGCCCCTTGAAAGAAAGGGCAGAGATAACCATTAACTCAGTGGTGTACGGCGTAGTACGGAGTAATTCCGCTAGATAGGTCCGAGCAGGTTCCTGATGGCCAAGCAATGCAGGTAAATCTGCCTTCGTCTTAGCGTCTCGATTGTGCATCTACAACGAGGCTAGCGACTCGCGCACGGCCCTCCCCCGGATTGTGCTCCCTTGTGCTCTGGCGAGTTGCGTTCAAGAGATTTAGCTATGACTCGTTGAAGAGACGGGCTTTCCGAGGCCGATCCAGCGAGACTCTCCACATGAACCACAACCAGTGGATCGGATTACGGCCAAGTCCTTCCATCAGCTGAGAAGATTCAGGGGTCAAACTTTATTCTGGCCAATGTCTTGGATCCCCAACTTGGATCCCAAGCCAACAGAGCCGTGGCTGATTGATAGTGTGGCTGCTGGCTGCACACGGCGGCCGCCACGGAGAATAACGAGCTTGGCCGCGCTCACTAAAGGTAGAGCTAATCGCGTAACTTGATCAGTTGGTATTTAATAAATGGCTCAGGGCCCAGTGAGTGGCCTAATGTCTTGCTTTGAACCCGCTTCCCACCAGCTTTTGTCCCAGGCCAGGCCTACCTACCAAAATGGCCACCCACAGCCAAGCGGCAGACGCTCACGAATCGCGGAAATCGACAATCATCGCCATCGTGAGTTCAGTTCTGACCGTGGCGTTTCTCCTTGTATCGATGCGAGTATACACTCGTGCGGTTATATTAAGGAACTTTGGCATCGATGACTGGTCTTGTATATTCGCGTTTGTGAGTACCGCATGCGTTCGAGAGGCTCCCGTGTTCTGATGGCAAAAACAGATCTCGACGCTGGCGTGCGGGGCTCTCATCGCCCAGAGTAAGCTTTTGTGAGCGGCCTCGTCTTTCCCCTTACTAATAAGCTCAGATACAACTAATGGGCTCGGCGCACACCAGTCCACCCTTTCCGAGGAAGAACTCACAGAATATTTAAAGGTTGGTTCTGAGAATCTTTGTTTGATCAAACGCTAATCTTAGCGACTTAGATGTTTTACTGGTCTATCCTCATCTACAATATCGCCCTAGCAGCCATCAAAATGACCTTCCTTCTTCAATACTACCGTGCCATGACTACCCACAAACTGAAGAAAGCCTACATTGCCGCTCTCGTCGTTGTAGGCCTATGGAGTCTCTCTCAGATCTTCTTGCAGGCTTTTATCTGTACGCCTGTCAGGGCGTTTTGGGATAAAACCGTCAGCGGATCGTGCGTTCCGTCACACCCAGCGTGGTATATCAACGCAGCTGGGAACATCGCAACGGATATCCTCATTTTGATACTTCCGCTGCCTATTATCCTGAAACTGAAACTTGGCCGGCGCCAGAAATACATCCTCATGTCTATCTTGTGTCTGGGTTTTTTGTGAGTTTTCTGCCCTTGCACTCTCATTCGCCACTGACATGATCAAGTACCTGTACCATATCCATCATTCGCATTCGCTTTCTCAGCATTGAAGGCGATGGTACCTGGCAGAACGTCGACACGGCTGGGTGGTCGATTGGCGAACTGTGCTCTGGGATTGTTTGCGCCTGTCTCCCAACAATCCGCCCACTCGTATCTCGCTACTTACCATCCCTTTTTACCCTCGATCGATCGTCGGTGGGACACCAGGATTCCAGAAGCGAGCTGAGGATGAACCAGCGTTACGGTTCACGCACCCACGAGCTTAGCAACTTTCCCCACCGGAGTCTCCATTCATCGGAAAGTAAGGATGTGTTGTATGGCTCACAGACAGGAGTGGTCATAAGTACCAAAATTAGCCAACGCACAGAACTATCGAAAGACGGAGGCGAGCTCACAATACAGCATATAACTGTCAAGGGAGCGGACAGCAACAGAGGGTATAATTCCCGCGAGAACGAGGGCCAAGAGTCACAACATAGTAGATCGATTGATCTCAACCATAAGGAAGTTCCGCAGATGGCGCACCGACCGGAGGCCAAAGAATTTACTTAGCTGATTTAATACTATTCAACTTTCGCTAGCCAACCTCAGAAAGGACACTGATACCATCGAGTGCTCGTCCGGTAGATGCCCAAGCAGTTCGGGAGCCAAAGCCGCGCCAGATATAGCTGTCGCACAGATAATGCCCCATTGTGTGTCAATTATGCGATGGAAAAAGTTGACGTCGTTGGTGTTACGTATAACAGTGGAGATATCACCCGGTCGGATTGGGCGGCCGGAGTGGGTATTATGACCGGCAACGCCTGAGGTTCCCTGGTATGTCTCGCAATTGTCCTTGTTGCAAATGATGGGCTTATTGCTGCAGGACTGGTTGAGCTGGGAGCTAAGTTGCTTCTCTGGGTCTGTCTTATTATTAAGATAGATAGGATGGGTGGGCTGCGGCGTTATTTGGTTTTTTTTTTTAGCTTTACTCAATATCATCAGATAGATCAAAGCCATACAGTAACCTCAAACAGTAGGAATAAACAATAAGTACTATACCCAGCACCAGAAGAAACAGTAGCTGAACAATAAGGTTGTTGCCCACCGGTCTCTGCCTGAAGCTTCCATTCAACGCCTCTGACTTCAACCCTATTGTCTGCAGTCAACGACCTTGCTGTCTGCAGTCAACAACCTTGAGATAGTAACCTTATTCCGAGTAATAGGATATAAGGGAGACTGACGTCTCCTATCGTCAAGGGACCAACTTCCCTTCTAACACTCATCTATTATAACAACCTTTGAATATGTCGACTACCATGAATCGCAAGGCCCTTGTTATATGTATTCCTATGTATCGGGGATACGAAAATGGAGTCTATAATGATACTGGATTTATTTGGGATCTGCAAGATGAAAGAGAAAGATGCAAGCTGGATAACTATCTAAAATTCCTTAAAGAAAAAAACCTCCTAGACCTCTCACCACACCACCCAGAACGCCTGGATAGATCCCAAAGGATTGCGTTAGCTATTTTCGGATGCGGTCTATTTCTTGACGATAGGAACAGAGCCAATCCGCAGGGAAACCGGCATCGATATTATATTCATCCGGGTAGAGATGGCCGTATTGTATGACCTGGCCGATGATATCGAAAACACCGACGACGACAGGGGCCAAAAGTTCCTCGTAGAAATTGGCCGTGAAAAATACAACCCCTGGTTCCGGGAGTTATTGTGCTGCGTCGGGTTGGTACGGATGCTAGCCACCTAGGGTGCTGGGGAGGGGGGGTTCGAATGACTTGGATCTTGGGGCGTTAGGTCGGGTCGTGGGAATTGTCGGTGCATACATCAAAGTTAGAATGGGTCGAAAAAGTTAGACAGGATTCCGGCAGAGAAGAAAAAAGCAGCTTGAAACCCAAACTTGGGCCTTGGCAACTGTGACGTGCGCGCAACGAAAATGCAGTAAATTCAAACACTAGGTTCCCTCATCGAGGGAGGGCTGCGGCGTTATATTTCGGGGTATTTAATGGAACTGGAGACGGATGCGTGTTTTGGCCAGGTTTTGAGGGTCGACCTCAGCCGTCCTCCAACCCAAATCTTGCCGCTCGATGACCTCGAGGCCAAGCTTGACGCGTTGCGCAGTATCGTCGAGGGACAGAAAGTTGCTCGGTTGGACCCCGACTTCAACCTTATTAAGATTCAATTTTCCTTTCTCATCCGGCTGTCGGCCCTCCAAGTGACTTAACCGCCAGCCGCCCTCCGCTCTGTAATCGATAAACTGGGGCCCCTTACAAACCACTGTAAGTTATTTTTAGATTCTCAAACTGGACGTGCAATCGTAAGCTATTATTACTAATAGTTATCTCAGTCCTTCAGAGTGTTAAGTTTGCCGACAATACCAAGCGCAAGCACAGCCACAAAACGGGCAGCAAGAAATCTCAGGCTCCCAGCAACCAGCCTAAGGAGGTAACCGAAAGAACTAAATATAACGAATTTTCTACTAAACCAATCGGTAGGAATCAGAAAGTCATTAATAATTATCGGAAGCTCCACAGCAATCAATATATTATCACGGGTTTTACGAACCCCATAATCTGCCACATTATGCCATTTGCGTGGAACAACTCGGATTACAACGTCAATATAACGGAGCGATTCATCCCAACGATATCCAAGGTCTTGGATCTTCCAGTTGATTTGGACTCGACTAGAGCGCTTGCCTCACTCCACGCAACGAAGGGATTGCAGTCCATGTTGACAGGCAGAGTAGCCTCAATTTCCGATTTTAGTTCACCCCCTTGCATTGCCTGATTCTTGGGTGTAGTCTTGACCACCTGCATTATCTCGATGACAATAAAGAAATAAATTTCAATGCCCCGAGGGCCGCACACCATCCATACCAATGCCATAATCCTCGCCCAACTGTTCCGCGCCAATAGTCACCGGCGTGCTGTCCTGGAGCACATACATCATCCTCGCCCACTCCGTCTTGCTCCCATTCTCCCACGCATGCATCGTCCCGCGTTGGATGGCAACATCGCCGCGCTGCATGAGCCGCGTCTCGTCCGAGTCCAGCCGCAGGACCACGGTGCCCTCCAACACAACGCCGTAGTCGAGGCTGACGGTCCGGTGCATGGGCGACACGCCCCCGGGCGGCATGTCGACGAAGCGCACGACTGTGCCGCCGGGAATAACGATACCAGGCGGGTTGGTCATGTATTGTTTATATGACTCGATGTCCTTGCTGTCTGCCAAGTTCACAGGTGTCTCGCTCGTAGTGTAGCCGAGAAAGAATTTGTATCCTTCGCCGATAATTTGTTCGGGCAACTCCTCGGCAACGCTCGTGCTGAAAATAGCCTTTCCCTCTGGATTGTGGTCGGTAATGAACCGCTTTGGGTTTGGGGGTCCTTGGCCAGACATTTTTGTAGAGATTGATTAAGAAATGACAAGTGTTGGAAATGATTTTCTAGATATAAAGATGAGGTCCGATGAAGAATACAGCGGCCTTTTATCATCACCGTAGAGAGTGTCCGCCGGCAAGTGGAGGGGAGGGGAAGTGGAGCCGGAGCACTCGGCGATCTTGATCTCCCCGGCGCCGGCAGTGCACTTCGGCGTTGCTCCGCTCTCAGACCCGGAGATATATCGGTGTGTCAAGATACTGTAAATAGCCTCACTACCGAAAATACCTCCCTCGCCTCTAGGATCTTCGTTCATGTCTTGGAGCGCCATCTTGGCGAACGGAGTCCTTGGCTACGATACATATGAGACCGTCGCCTTAATCAGGAGCAGTTTCGGCACCGGCTCCATTCCACGAAATAGACAGTGACGATAAAAAAGATATCTCGGTACTGTGGTCAGGCGCGTAATGGGTTTATGGAGGCATGTAGGGGCGGTACTGAGATGTTGCAGAGCACAGTTATTGCTTCCGACTAGACTACAGTGAAGTCATTTCTGTTCCCAAGTTCAATCTGGGCAAACATTCCTTCACTCCAGGGTATGTCCAACTGTACAAGGTATGTTCAAGCACACTCTCGGGAGTTTTTCTCCTCTGTACTTCACAAATGGCTTTGTATTTGTATAGCTTTAGGGTTGAAGATAAGAAACATTCCGCGGCCAACTATCTAATATTTCTATGGTAGTCTAAGTCAGGATATAGATCACTGGTCCTCCCCATGAATGGTAAAACCTGACCTCTTAAAGGCAGGGACAACGATCAAGACTCAACACATTACACCTCAGAGATGTCATCTACCACTATGCATGCAAGTGACATCCCTGAACCGTAAGTGTGTAACCCAATTACGCATCTAATTCTATGACTGTTAAGACCGGCGTTTCCGTTCAGAGTCCCAAACCTACACGGTTGGCTGAATCTGCACCATCTCTACCGCGTTCGTTGCGACCGAGCATTGCGTTAATCCTTCAACACCAAGCGGTAGGTTGCAACTTCAAACGCGCCCAGTGTCACCTCAAAGGTACTCCCTTGTACCGGAATCTCCTCCAGGTCGTCTTCAAGGATGTTCGTCTTGAACACCTTTTCAACCGCAAGCGCCGTTTCAATCGTTCCCCTTGCCATGCCGCCCACCGCGTCGTAAATTCGCACCATGATGCTCCGCCCCTTTCGCTTGGGGAGATTGTCCTGCGACACGTCCTCGTCGTCCTCGCCGCGCTTGACCCAGTCCAGCACAAGGTTGTCGTCGCCAGTGAGCGTGATGGGGGGTTTGGACAAGATGGCTGGCGCGCCAATGGGGGTCGTCACGAGCCGCAGGGGATTGTTGAAGTTGAATGCAGCCCGGACTGTCTGCGCGCCGAGCCCTCCACGATGCGGCAATATGGCCCAGCGGATGTGGTGGCGGCCCATGTCCGCGTTGCCATCGGGCGCCTTGGGAGACCGTAGCAGCGAGAGCCTCATGACGTTGCCCACGGTTGCGAAGCCGTACTTGCTATCGTTTATGATGGAAACGCCGTAGTTGTGCTCGGAGAGATCGGCGAACTTGTGGCAGCAGACCTCAAACTTTGCCATGTCCCATCTTTATGGGTCACAACGTTAGCCATATCCCACAGAGAAACGCCAGTACCAAGAGGGTGTAAAAGACGGGACTTACGAGGTATTGTAATGAGTCGGACGCTTGATGACGCCGTACTGTGTCTCGTACGACGCCTCGGTGTTGCTGACCTGCACCGGAAACTCAACCTTGAGGAACTTCATCGTCTCGTGCCAGTCAACGTCGGCTGTGCACTCAATCATAGACTGTTGCTCATCGAGTACAGAGGTCAACGAAATAGTCGTCCTGATGGAGCTGGTCTCGCTGATGCGCGTCTCGGTCACCACGCTCGCTCGGTAGCCCTTGTCCTCGTGAATAGCGGTAGTCGAGCTGCTCAGCTCTTCGCGCGTCTCCAGGTGGTACACCTCCACGTCCCATGCCTGCCAGTAGATGGGCTTGTCGTCAAAGACGACGAACTGGTTGGCCTTTCCGGACAGCACTTCCCGCCTTGCGCGATGGTCGTAGACGGAAGTAATGCAGCCCTTTTCCACCTTGACGGTCAACTGGCCGTTTTCCAGTTGGAAGACGCCAGGCGTCGTCTCTTGTATGGTGACGGGCTTGGGGCCGTCTGAGGAGGCATTGAATGACTCGACGGCGAGCGCGTGGCCTTCACCAGAAGCGATGACAGCCTCAGTCTCAGAAACGTCGACCAATTCCTTTCGTGGCCAGGGCAACGTGTTCAGGGCGATGGCCGAGCCAAGGTTCAGGCCGCTGACTGCATCGGTCTTTTCAATGCCAAGGACGGTGAAGATTTGCTGGAGAAGCACCACTCCGGTCTCTCTGACGTTAGCATAAATCTACTTCCGCATTAGCTCTTGTGTCTCTCAGATTAAGTGTCCTGTTCCAAGGACTCTGACCTTTTCCGAGTCATCGTAGCACATTTCAATGGCTGTGCCAGGCAGACAGTCGTGGAACTGGCAAAGCATTATGCCCTGCCACATCTCATCCAACTCCTTCTTCGGGTACTTGTAGCTCTTGTCCTGGATGGAAGCGATGGTTACCAACAACTCGAGATCGTGCAGGAGGATCTCAGAAGTGCGGTTGTGGAGCTTGGTACGGGCCTGCGTGGTGTACACGCCGCGATGGAGCTCAAAGTAGAGCTCTCCATACCAAGTCACGAGGCTGGACGCCTTCGTCTCGAGTCGGTCGAAGAATTGGTCGACGGTTGCGCCGGCGTGGACGCGGGGAATAACGCCCATGGTATCGGCCATGCCTCGAAGTCGTCTGAGTCTTTCCAGATGCTGCCAAGTCGGGCCGCCTCCGCCGTCGCCTTTTCCGAACTGTGAGATGTGGCTGCAATTAGCAAGGGGTTCCCTTCCAAGATGTTTAGGGCCACTTACAGCCATGAGAGCCGTGTTGTCCTGGTCCAAGGACTTGTGATTGGATATGCTTTGGGTGATGTTCTCGAAATTGCCCTCTGCGGTATACGTCTTGCATGGGGGCATATGGCAGATAACCTGGCTTCCATCCAGCGCCACCCTGTAGTAAACACGTCTTTAGCTATAATCTTATCACTCGAGTTGTGGATAAGACGTACCAGTTAAAGGTCGTATGAGGAAACTCATTGACACTGTTGAAGCAGGGCTTTTGCGTCATGAACCTCGTCATACCAGCCAGGCGACAAATCTGAGGAATCTGGCAGGAAAACCCAAAAGTATCTGGCAACCAGGATGTCGTCGACCGGAATCCAAACTCGGCCTCGAAGAATCGCTGGCCGTAAAGGAACTGGCGCACGAGCGACTCACCGCAGGGAAGATTCGTATCGTGCTCGACCCAAGATCCGCCAATGGGGTGGAATTGTCCAGATTTGACCTTGGCCTTGACTCGTTCCCACCCGTATGGGTATATCTCTTTGAGCCATTTGAACTATAGCATACGTCAGTTGTGTTGGCTTGTGAGATGGACAGGGAGTTGCTGCTGACCTGTTGAGCCTGCGAACAAGCAAAGTTGAGCTCAGGATACCGGTCCATCAAGTCACACTGATTGGACCACGACCGCACGACCTTGCGCTTCGTCTCGGCCCACGGCCACAGCCAGCATGTGTCGATGTGACAATGGCCGATGGCGTAGATGGTTGGTCTACGGTCGAGAGCGCTGTCATAAACGGCCGCCGAGTCGATGTCGTCTCCGAGATACTCGGCGGCAATTTTGCGACACGCCAGGATAGAGTTATCATCTCCCACTTTGAAGGTATCGATGATTCTGCTAGCTACGTTGAGTGCCTCGTGCTGCTCCCATGAATCCTCGGGCAACGTCGTAGCAGCGTCGTGGATGATGCCAAAATCGACATGCAACATCCTCGCCTGCATATTGACGGCGACGAGCTTGGCCTGCGCCAGCTTAAAGTACTTGTCCTGGTCAGGCGGCTGGATCGAGTCGCCGCCGGCGTTGTTCTTGAAAATGGGCCGGCCAGGGCCGTTGCCAAACATGCCGTTGCAGGCCATCTCGAGGTAGATGACATGGTCTTTGCCGTCTTTGAAAGATTCGGGCACGATCCACTCGACGCGCTCACCGCGCCCGGTCAGTCCCTGGAGCGGCTCGCCCTGGGCCGTCCAGACGGTGGCCTCGTTGTTGCAGTCCCAATGGAGCTCGACGTGGGTGTCTTTGCCGCGGAGGGCTTCGGGCAAGGTGAGGGAGCATTTGAACCAGTGTGTTGTCCACGAGGGACCAAACGACTCGCCGACTTGTGTCTCCCTGTATGAATTCGACTCGGCAGTGGCCTCGAGAAAGGTAGGACGTGTCGTGCCTGGCGCGTCCCAGACGGACAGCTTGACATGTGGTGGGCTTGAGTATTCACCATGATTTAACACGCTACAGCCGGGTAATAGTATTGTCAGCACAGCAACGGACAACGCTACGACAAATGAAGTTGGTCACCGAGGACGGCCACTCACGCCATCAGGTTCGCCTTCTCCCATTGTCCCGGCGTGAAGAAATTGACCAAACGTTTCTTGTACAGCGAAGCAATCTTCTTGCCCACCGGAGCGGGGGCCTTGAGGGGATACGGCTTCGCAGTGGTGGCAACGGGCCGAGGCGCGGCCTCGTCGGAGGCCGGATGATTTCCGTGTGAACACATTGGGAGTGCGTGCTGCAGCTTGGCGACGTATCTCCGTGTTGGTCGCCACCTCAAAGATGGAGGCAATGAGGAATGCGGACTTTGCGGTGTGTTGCTAGACGAACCGTGCCAGAACGCCGGGTTGCTTGGGCGTCAGCGTCAGCGACAGCTCGGTGCATAATAACGCGCCGTTTGATTGCAGCTCGGGAAGTTCACCGAAAGTCGAGCGAGCAGTTGGGGGCAGACTTGGCAGAGGGCAATAAAGCCTTGGCATAATATCACGGCTTTGCTGGTCAAGGAATTGGGGAGCGCGAGGAGGGTGATGTGGGAGGAGGGCGGGGGCGCGAGCGGGGGTTGCAATGTGAGACAACGGCGCAGCATCTCCATTTTCTCTAAGCGGAGTGGAACGAGGTTGTAGCGAGTCTGCAATGCAATGTGACCTTGTTATGGATTGTGTCTGGGGTATTTTTGGGGAGGGATGGCGTGGTATATGGCCAGTTCTCAGTGGCAGTCTGTGAGACGCTCGACTATACTTGAGCTGTTCTAAAGACTCGTTCTGTCTGGTTTCAAGCATCTACTACCGCGTACTTCAGAGGCAAACAGCTCCCGGAAAACCTCAACCGAACCGAGTCTAGGGTAAAGGATGGCCATCTTGTCAGTCATCTCCGGGGTCAGATTGGAGCGCCTGCAGCTTCCCCGCCATGGAGCATCCGCGTCGGCCAATGGAAGCACTGAATTCCGGGTTTGGCGAACATGTCCGGCACTGTTGTTTAAAGTTGGGGGCGGTGTGGTCGATCACGGCGAGGTTTGAGAGGTTCGAGAGGCAAATCCTGGTTACCCGAGGCGACTCTGGGCCTGCAATTGGCTGTTCTTGGCTGCCAAGTCTCTCATCCTCCCTAGCACATCACATGGTCTTGTCCTAGTTGTTTTGGGGTTTTAGCTCCGACGCTTAACTCGAGTGGACCGAAGCTGGGGAACAAGTGATTCGTGGAGCCCCATGGGGAAAATCCCCGCCCCCGTCGTGGGCAAAGTTGGGACGCTTGGGAATGATTGGGAAACTCGGGGTAGGATCGGCCGAAATGGATCCGGGGTTGGGGGTTGGCCGGAGGTTGATTGGAGGAGGACGAGGGATGGAGGAGGCGGAATGGGGAAGATATCCCAACTTGACGAACGGTCCGGGAACAAGGAACAAGGGAATGCAGCTGTGAGGTGGTATCAACACCATTGAGTCATTGACCTGATTGACACCCTGCAGCGCGACGTGCATATCTTCTCCACGTTTCCCTCTCATCCCAGACTCTCTTTTTTCCCTCCTCTCTCACCGGCATCAACTCCTCTGGCCCGCCATCTCCCTCTCCCATCTTGCCAGCAACCATCACCGACAACACCATGGCCGTCAAGGACGACGCCAAGGTCGAGTCCGGCCCCGCCAACCACAGCGAGTATGGCGCGTACAACTCCCAGGTCGAGCTCATCGACGCTGCCGTCGCCGCCACGGAAGCCGAGACGCTGCTCCCGCGCAAGGAGCTCTTCAAGCGGTACTGGCCCGCCGCCGTCTACAGCATGCTGCTCAGCTTGGCCCTCGTCATGGAGGGCATGGATGTCGGCATGATCAACAACTTCTTCGTCCACACGGGGTACCTCCGGCGCTTCGGATGGCCCGATACCAACGGCGAGCTGCACATTTCCACCCAGTGGCAGGGAGCCATCGGCGCTGGCAACAACATTGGATCCATCTTCGGCCTCTTGATCAACGGATACCTGCAATCTCGCTTTGGTTCCCGCAGGGTCTACATGGTAAGCTATGCCTCGCGCCGTGTGAATGAGTCTGTAGCCCGAGTCACCGCTAACATGCCTCCTTCTAGGGCGCTATGGCTCTCATGGGCTGCACCATCTTCATCCTCTTCTTCGCCACCAACGTCGAGATGCTCTTGGCCGGCAACATCATCTGCGGTATCCCTTGGGGCATCTTCCAGACCCTCACCACCGCCTACGCCGCCGAGATCTGCCCGGCCGCCATGCGCGGTTACCTCACGGCCTGGGTGTCCATGTGCTGGGGCGCCGGCAGCTTCCTCGCAACCGGCGTCCTCCGCGGCTCCCTGAACCTCCCGGGCAACGCGGGCTGGCGCGTTCCGTACGGCATGCAGTGGGTTTGGGTGCCTCCTCTGCTCCTCGTCGGCTTCCTGGCTCCCGAGAGCCCCTGGTACCTCATCCGCCGCGGCCGCCTCGACGACGCCGAAAAGAGCCTGCGCCGTCTTGCGGCCAAGGACCACTACACCGAGCAGACCATGGCCGAGACCCTCGCCCTCATGAAGCATACCAACGAGATGGAGAAGATCGAATCAGCCGACGCTAGCTACAAGGACTGCTTCCGCGGCACAAACTTGCGCCGTACGGGCATCGTCATGATGGCGTGGATCATCCAGATGCTCAATGGCCAGTCTATTACCCAGTATGCCGCCATCATGTTGACATCCGTCGGAATGAGCAAAAACATGGCCTTCAACTACAACATGGCCATCCAGTCGGTCAACATTGTGGCCACGGCTACGGCCATTGCACTCATGGGCAAAGTCGGACGTCGCACCTTCTACCTCTTCGGATCCGGTGGAATCGGCGCCTGCATGCTGGTCATTGGCATCATGGGATTCGCTGCTGAGAGAAAGACCATCGCCATCCCCACGGCCGCCTTCTTGATCGTCGTGCAGTGCATCTTCAAGGTCTCTCTCGGCCCCACGACCTATGTCGTCGTTGGAGAGACGTCCTCTAGCCGTATTCGAGCCCAGACCATTGTCCTTGGCCGCGCCGTCTACGTCTGCTGCGGCATTGTCGTCCAGCAGATCAACCCGCGCATGCTCAACAATAACAGCGACTCCTGGAACTGGGGATCCAAGACTGGCATGTTCTACTTCGGACTGTGCTTTTTCTGGGTCATCTGGATTTGGATGTTCCTCCCCGAGACCAAGAACCGCTCCTTCGCCGATATCGACTACCTCTTCCAGAAGAAGGTCAACGCGCGCCACTTTGCCACCACTGAAACCAATTGTAAGTCTTATCCTCTGGTTGTATATTAATGAACTTGGCTGACTTGCATGTAACACAGTGTTCGAGTTCACCCAGCCCGACTCCAAGGCAGCCCAGTTCGAGGAGCAAGTTGAAGATACTGGGGCTCCGCCCGCGCCTCGGGAGATTCACGATGAGAAGCGCGCACAGTAAATAGCATATCTGCAGACATTCAAAGGATTGCTGGATTCAAGAGGAACGAAATGGTCCTCAAGGGACGACGCTCTCTAATAAGGGTTAGTGGACACGATATAGTTGTGTCATCTCAATTTACTTAATCCCAACTTCCGCTACCAGTAAACGATCTTTCTTCCAACGAATAGACGGTCAAGATGTGTTCCTTGACATAACCAAGCCAGGGTGATATTATGAGTGAACATTGTGATTTCTCAGAACTCTTGTTCCGTTGGTTGCCGAATGGGATGCTACGATCACACACGGCGCCTCTCCCGTTTTGACCCAGGCGCTGATGACAGCCATCTCGTTAAAGGTATGAGCAACTAGGCTTCCAGTACTATGATACCCACCCGGGACCTCGAAATTCGGACGAAGCTTGGCAGCTTGTCGGGCCCGATCATGGCCGCAGCACGCTCCCACAGCTCCCGGGCTACGTATGGTGGCACAGGCACATCTGCACGTCGTCCTAATCTATCTACGTAAGAACCCGTTCGTCACACCTGGCTGATAGAGTAAATCATCTTTTTGAAGAGAGCTTATGAAGTGAATCGGGCTAGTTTCATTTCGAAAGTCGCACGCGGTTACGGCACTTACCATCGAGCATTATTAGGTACGTGCTCATCCTCCCTATGGCGGAGCTATGGAGTTACGCCATAACCCATGGTTGAACAATAGGGTCTGCTGGGACTTCATCGCAAATTTCGAGTTCTTTTCAAGCGCAAGGATGTTTTTGATAAGTACATAGTCTCACATCCATGACATACCCGTGTCTGGTTGACACAGCTTAGCCCTTTGACAGGGGATCTGTCAAGTTTGTGAGACCTAAATCAACGGCGTTGATCCTAGATGCTCCCCCGCAGCCATATTGCACGAACCGTCGATCTTAATCATCTAGATTAGGTAAATTCAGCCACATTGTCATTCGCTTCCCAATAATCGCACGGATATGACAGTATTGGATGACAGAGCCAGCTGTCTGTGTTGGGTAGACGAGCTGAGAACTAACTGTGGCTCATTCTCTAAGTTCTTTGGGGGCCCGATTTCAGATCATTTATAAGCAATCGCGTTTAACATAAGCAAAGAATAAAACAGTGCGTGTTGGATCACATTAGCAGAGTCTTCTTGCGGGCCGACATCTTGCAGATGCAAGCAGGAGAGAGTGGATCAAGCTTCTACAGCAACCAGCAGCTTGATTTTAGACGCTTAAGTACTCAATTATAGACTAGTCGTACCGATCTACGCAAGATCTTTGGAGAGTGATGTTATCATAGGTGGGACAGTACATAGGTGGGGTGGTATCACAGGTGAGAGTATCATATGTGAGATAGTAACCATGTAGGCAAGATAGTAACCATAGGTGGGGTAGCATCGTAAGTGAGACAGGCATCATAGGTAAGATAGCAATGGGTGAAATAGGTAAGGTGGGGTGAAGATCTGTTTAATCCATCACTACATTATCCAAACACCCAGGTGGTCTGAGTGCGCCGCCAACTTGGTCAAAGAAGTACGTAGTTGATAACTGGCAGCCGGACTCCAGTCTTCCCAAATCTCTAACTGGGCTGCGGCAAATATCTAGAGTGATCGAGAGTAATGGCCTAACTGGCTCTGTTTTACGAAACGCGGCCAGTTTTCGAAAAAGAAAAATCCATTTTTTAAGCTTGTTTTTAAGTTTCTTTGAAGTCCTTTAAGCTTAAGTCATGTGCCAAAATATCATCCCGTATCGGGGATCGGGATTGTCGAGAGCAATCTAACCCCCACTCTTCCCCTTGGCAATGTCCTCTTCGCTCTGCCAAATGCTATCAAGTCAGACAGAGATCGGCGTGTTTGAATGGAACCCCGCCCTCTATCCTCGGCTACCGCGCCCTGCAGACCCTTGTTGACTCCTATCTCAGGACCTTACTTATGTTCTTATCAGTCTAGGTGGAGACTATCCCGCCACTCTGAGTCCAGACTAGACCAATTACGTTATGTCGCCCGCACGATGTCGAATGTTCAGCGAACACATCCTAGCTTCAGCTCAAAAAGTGTGACTGACTACCATTCCAAGACGTGGTTTGTTGGTCCTGGGGCTTATACTGAGCATATCGTACAAAAGGCGGGGTGGCGACATCTCCACTGTCCCACGTTGTTTCCTCTATTGAACTTCTACAGATGCAACAACTTTGAATCAAAGTCTTGAGACACGCCATAGTTTTTCCTGAAATAACACTCTACTACTTAGCTGGTTGCACAACCATAGACTGGTGTCTCAAGATGGAAAAGGAACCATCGGCCATGGCCACGACCGCGCCCACAGACGTAGGTTCCAAGACTGAGTCACAGGTCGGCAGCACCATCGCGCTTTCAATGGAAGAAACAACGTTCGGGGTCGACGAGAAAAAGCTCGTCCGAAAGCTGGACCTACATATCATCCCGCTCATCATGCTCCTGTACACTTTCAGCTTCCTAGATCGGTCGGTCATTATGATGGTTCCTGCTGGCAAGGTGACTTGGCTGACTGAAATATTAGCGTCAACATCGGGAATGCTAGATTGTACAACTTAGAGGGAGATCTCGGCTTAGTCGGCAATCAATTTCAAATCGCCGTCTCAATTCTATTTGTCACATACCTTTTGTTCGAAGTCCCAAGCAACCTCGTTTTAAAGCCCTTCACACCGTCTCGGTGGATTGCTTTCATTGCTACCAGCTGGGGCATAGTCGCAACCCTCACTGGCCTTGTCCAGAGCTTCGGCGCTCTCGTCGCGGTCCGATTGATCCTCGGCGCACTCGAGGCGGGCCTCTTCCCAGGTTTGAATGTATATCTCACATTCTTTTACACGAAACAGGAACTTGCCCTGCGTGTGGGTTACCTTTTCGTTAGTGCCGCGATTGCGGGCTCAATTGGAGGCTTGCTTGCCTATGGTATCGGCCAGATGGATGGCGTACAGGGGATGTCCGGCTGGCGCTGGATCATGATCATAGAGGGTCTGCCATCCGTTGTTCTCGGTGTTGCGACGTTCTTTCTCCTACCCAATGACCCCGACAGCGCCTATTTCTTGAACGAAAACGAGAAAAAGTTAATGGTTGCACGATTCCGTCGTTACTACGGCGATACCGAGTCAGCGCAGCAATTCAGCAAAAAGGATATGCTTGGGGCGTTCATGGATTGGAAGGTGTACATGTTTTGTATCGGCCAATTTGGTGTAGATACCATGCTTTACGGTATGTGATGCCCATGCATCCTACGAAAATCTTGTCATAAGATTAACCCATATTTCAAAGGTTTTTCGACATTTCTCCCCACTATTATCAATGGATTGGGGGAGTGGACCACTGCTGAGGTGCAGCTCCTGACAATTCCTTGCTACTTCCTGGGCGCTGTTACCTATATGAGCACAGCCTATCTCTCAGACCGGCTGCAAAAACGAGGTATTTTCTGTGTGATATTCGGCACGGTAAGCGTGATTGGCTACGGGATTCTCCTAAGTGATAGCTCAGCCGGTGTCTATTACTTTGGGTGAGTTAATATCACGCTTCCAGTTTTCGAATGAAGTTGCTAACTCACTATAGATGTTTTACGATTGCTGCTGGTTTATACGTAGTTGTTGGATTGCCGCTTGCATGGGTTTGTCCACACATCTTGCTCGAATTGTGATGCCACTACTGACTTGCATAACAAAGCTCCCGACCAACTTGCCCAGGTATGGAAAGCGCACGACTGCCAACGGTATGCAGTTGACTACGGGGAATGCCTCTGGAATCATGGCTCCGTTTATCTTGTAGGTTCATCTGATCGCCCGCAGTATATCAGGGCCTAACCATTTTTGGATATAGCCTCAGCGCAGAAGGTCCTCGGTATACAAAAGGCAACGCGGTTTCGCTGTCAATGGTGGTTATGGGTACTGCTATCTATGGGTTCATGTGGTTCTGGTATTCGAGAGAGAATAAGAGGAGGGATCTTGCCGAGGCAAATACGGCTGAGGAGGGATCGACGCCAGCGGAGCTTACGGAGCTTGGCGATTCCAGCCCGCTCTACCGCTACACTTGCTGATTCTACCTGAAAGGTCGTTCATCAGCCCGAAGCTAGCTTAATAGAGCGTCGCAGCGAATTCTTGTCAATAAGCTTCGTTTGCAGGCCTCAAAAGGATGCAGTATCCCCGAAGTAAATGTGGTGGTTCTATTATATCAGCCTTGACGACCAAAACCTTCGGCAATTATCTACACTTGTAGACTGTTAATAATGAAGCTCTCCTACTGTATTACCTTCGCTAGCGTTTTGCTGTCAATATGGACGATATCTTACTGGGTCTTACCATACTTTACATATGCCAGGTCCACAAGCAATACCCTAGTCCCTTTATCTGCAAGTCCAGCAATATCCAGCTTGCATTTAGCCCCCGTAATGGCAAGAAATTCCTTTGAGTTGACCGCCAATCTTGAGCAGTGGCTTGAATAACTTGGCAAGACAGCAGCGCAGTCCGCCTCCCACGGCTTTTAAGAATCAGCAGGATGCTTTGCCGTACATTCATTACTTTCGATATCATCGGGATCTTGCCTTCGACGCGCCATTCGGCATGGTAATCAATGGGCGAGACTAGTGCGAGTCTACATGTCCAATATTGTGCCAGGACGAAGCTACTGGCCCAAGATCACCGCGATATCAGCTGTCAAGACTCCCGAATCGAGGAGCTACGTCCTACCAACTTGGCTGCTGCAAACAAGGCAAGTATTACAGGCCTGTATATTTCTAAGGCTTAAGAACAATGGATTTACTTATGATGCAGCTTTGGTGATCTACTCCAAGTGGGTAGATGCAGTCAACAGATGGCCAAACATTAATGCCGCTCACAGCCAGCCATTGAACATCTCCCCGCAGGCACCATTTACTGCTTCACAGTATAATGCAATTCTGGACAAGATTGTGCTATTATTTGCCCCTTTCTTCAACGTAATGGACTGCTCGGGAGATCTCTCTACTACATTGACCCCGCGTCGCCTGAAGCAAAAAGGTACCAATTTCATTTCGGTCCTAGCAACGTCAATCCCCAGGTCCTTATTCCTGATACCGAAGCGCAGAGGGTTGCATTCACCAATCGCTCATCCCTTTTGCAACCGATTCAGAACAGTCCCCCGATACATTTCAACACCACGACCGATCATACCAAAGAAGGCTCTCGACAAGCTGAGCGCCTTGTCCGCCTTTGCCGATCGGTGTGGATGAGAAAAAGGTCACCTTCACAGCCCTGGCTGAGGGGAAGAAACTCTTAGATCAGATGTTTCAGCTCGTTGTGTCGGAGAAGCGTACCGTCAGTTTGAATAGTATCTTCGCAGCATTGGGTAACAAATGCTTGAATTGTGGATAAAACTGTGTTTTTTTGACCTTGTGCCGGCAACTTGCTCACCTTGAGGGAGCAGACAGAAGTTAGATTAGAATAGTATCTTCGGAAAGGCATCCCTTTGGATCACGCCCTGCTACGAAGTCCTGAGCAGGATCGTCAGGCCTCTCAACTATTTATGAAATGCCTTCGAGGGAACCTGGCTTCAGATCACAATTAAGTCAATCCGCCGTTCCTGGATAGCGTCCGTCACACAAGTCGGAACAGTGGAATGGTCACGATCGCGCAATATGCTGAGTAGCTGGATCACCCTGGGTCGAGCAGCAGACGAGGTCGACGACGGATCATGACCGGTGAAGAAGCTGCTATCATCTGCTATTACAACGATGCGCCTATATCGTATCGTCCTTGCTAACTATGTGGTGCAAGAACACCTTGCTCTGGGCTACGGATACATGGCGCTCCCGGCCTCCAAGCGAGCGATCGTTGTTAACGAAGATTAACCCGTTCAACTACAGATAATCGCCTGGCTATCCAAACACTCTCCAATACAATGATTAAAAAAGCCTTAAAAGTAGACGAGTAAAAGTGTGCAAAGCGAATCGACCCGAACACTCGACACAATATCACTCAAGAGGTCATGGCTCTCAGCGACGCCTTCAAATATGAGCATAGCTTAACATCCATTGATCAGTGTTCTGCAAATCGACTATACCCTGCTCTACAATCACCTCGCCCTAATATGCTAAGTGTTTATGCTGTCTTCCCATTTACTCTACTATCCTCAGGACGGGCCTAGTTTCATAGTCCTGATAATATTATTTTTACAACAGCGGTACAGGATCTATTGAAGCACATTCCGCTCCCTATTTTCCTAACTGAGGCTTCAAAATACCATGGCAATGTATTAGTCCAGAGCCACAAGTTCTATCCTGTCAAACCCAGGAAACTAAGAATGTTTGAGGAATTCAGAATAGCAGGCTGTCGGCATCTTGCAGCTATTAAAAGACAAGTGTATCATCCGAAAAGATCTCCTATGCGACTTGAGGTCAATCCTCAACAACTTAAATAATTCAGGGAAGGACGGGGTTCTGGAAAGCTGTTGCTATCTAAGTTCCTGTCTCTCTTATTAAATTAAATTAAGTAAATAAATAACCAATATTATCCCTTATAAGTACTAAACAGTAGAAACTTTCCTTATTACGCTGATTTCTCAGGCTAATAGATAATTATTGGTAGAGTTAAGATATATAATTGTGAGTGCGAATATCAATACTCAACAAGAAAGCTATACCAAGGCAGCCAGAAAACCCCAATGCTATACTTCAGCAGTATCAAGTGTGGATAAGAGAAACTCCGCCCTAATTGAGATAACCAATATCTAGTCCCATATCGTCGAGAATATTAAGACGATCGAGCAGTGGACAAGAGTCTATTTTCGCCGCGGAAATGACTATCATGCGGCCGGGAGATCGCAAAGCCGGACCCACAGATCCGCCCGTCATCTGTTGAAGACTGGCCCTAAATCCTCATGAGATAGAAACTAAGAAATATTTTATCCGTAGATTCCAATCGCCAGACGTGACAACATCTAGGCGGAACTTCCTATACCAGTTCAACTAAAATAAGCCGAAAGAGTTTACGCGGAATCCCACGGAGAGCAACACGCTGCTGTCCCAATAAAGTATTGTGAGTTAGCTGTAAGTGAATATCAAGACGTTAGGGTGCGCTAGTACACACCAGAGGGGACTAGAAGCTCAGCAGTAAAAAAAGAAAACAGCAACAATATTATCAACAATACAGACCATATGCCCAGTCCATTCAAAGGTCAGCAATATCCTCAGACAGACTAAGGTATCTAGTCCAACTGGTCACCTTTCCCAATACCTCAATGAGCTGCAGTAACAGCTGCGTCTTGAAAAAGCTAGATCTTGGAAAAGGCAAAATCCTGATGAATATAAAAGAATTTGAAACAGTAGTCAGAATAGTGATTTCAACAATGCTGTAAGTGAATATAGGCCCTCGAAGGGCCAAATAAATCAGTGGCTCTCCAGACAGTATTACACTGGTGCACATAACGTAGATCCAACATACCTATCCAAAGTTGGTGAGTCATTATTGTATCTTGCCTCTTTCACATCACAACTGTCCAGGTGTACCAAATCCCCTTCGCCACGTGTCGACATCATCTCAGCTTCAGATATAAATCATCATAGATTCAGCTCTAGTATAGGGCGAAAATCGGTCTGAGAACTCGAGGAACCAGCCAAATGGTGTCAACACTAACGGTGTCCGTTAGAGCAGATGGGGCGGCATGGAATACTGGCGTGTGTCCTTGGTGCATGACTTGTTTTGCGAGAATTTCCCAAACCAGCTGTACGCCCCTTTGCTTCACTGCCATAATTTGAATATCTGTGTCAATTATGCTGATGAGTCATTTAAATTTAATAGCCTACACTCAGTTCACATAGTTTCTACTCTCCCATTCTCTAGAGTAGAAATTGCAAGCTGCGTGTCTGGGTGATTCAAACCCAACTTTGTCTGCCTGATGTGAACGCACTCACGCATCAAGTTCGTAGCTTCGGAAAATCTTTCCAGGCTTTTCCACGTGTATGCGAGATTCGCCATGCTTATCAGTGTATCGGGGTGATCTGCCCCAAGCTTGGCCTTAGAAGTCTCCATCACGTACACTTCAAGCTTCTCTGCCTCCTCCAATCGGCCCTGTTCCCAGCATGTCATAGCTAGGTTCCCCATACTTGCCAGTGTATTGGGATGATCTGCCCCAAGCTTGGCCTTAGAAGTCTCCATCACGTACACTTCAAGCTTCTCTGCCTCCTCCGATCGGCCCTGTTTCCAGAATGTCATAGCTAGGTTCCCCATACTTGCCAGTGTATTGGGATGATCTGCCCCAAGCTTGAGCTTGCAAATCTCCATCACATACACTTGAAGTTTCTCTGCCTCCTCCCATCGACCCTGCTTCCAATTCGTTGACGCTAGGTTAATCATACTTGTCAGTGTATTGGGATGATCTGCCCCAAGCTTGAGCTTGCAAGCCTCCATCGCATACACTTCAAGTTTCTCTGCCTCCTCCCATCGACCCTGCTTCCAATTCGTTGACGCTAGGTTAATCATACTTGTCAGTGTATTGGGATGATCTGCCCCAAGCTTGAGCTTGCAAGTCTCCATCACATACACTTGAAGTTTCTCTGCCTCCTCCCATCGACCTTGCTTCCAATTCGTCAACGCTAGGCCAATCATGCTTTTCAGTGTCTTGGGATGGTCCTCTCCCCAGATCTCTTTTCGTATCTCCACTGCCTCAATGTTGAGCTTTTCTGCATCACTCCATTGGCCCCCAAAGGAAAAATATCCAGCAATACAATTGAGGAGTGTTGCTTTTGCATCATCATCATCTCTCGACCCAACCCCGTCCAATCGTAGCACGGAATTTGCATGTGATAGAAACATAGCACATTGTGTTTGGTTTTCAAATATATTGCCATCGGGATATATATGCGATACTGTCTGGAGTGCTTCGCTCTTGAATCGAGTGATCGTGCCCCTGCCGTTAAGCCACTTGCGTGTAACTAACTGCACAAGGCGATGCATGTCGAAGTTGCCGATATTGTTCTCTGTCAAGAACGAGAAAGCCTTGAGAATGCCCAACGCTTCTGTGAGTTCCATATCGCTGCGCGGGCCCCCGTTCCGATCCTGCTCGCTGTAGTGCGATAGAAACTGCGCTGGGATATCCTGACGATCAAGAAGGCACATGAAGGAGAGGAGCTCGCCAGCAAAGACGTTTTGCTGCTCGATCTGCTGAAACGAAAGAATCCATGTTTGGGCCACCGGCTGAAGTGCATCGGAATCTCGCCCTATCGTCTCGAACTCCTTGCTGAGCAGGTCGATCATGTTCGTTTCACTGCCATCCAAAAGTTGAATGTATTTGGCAACTGTGATGCTGGTCTCCTGGATGTACGCTGCCCCCTGGGCGAGGGCGAGGGGCAAATTCTCCAACCGATCTGCCAGCATCAATAAGTCATCAGAGGCCGCGGTGGTGTCCGATAACTTGGCACGAAGCAGGTGCTCCGACTCGTTCTTGTCCATACAGAGCACTTCAATCGGCTGTTGTCCTTTTGTCAGCCGGACTCCCACCTGCTTGTTCCTGGTTGTGATAAGAATAGCACCATGGGCGCATTCGGGCAAGTAGCGTGCGAGGTTCTGCTTGTTCTTCGGTTCGTTGGTTGTAGCGGTGCCCGCTGGTTGACTAGAGAAGAGCTGCGCATCATCTGCATTGTCGATGACCATCAACCACTTCCCGTGGTTCTTCTTCTCCAGCCAGCTTTTCACCAACATCAAAACGTCAGCTTTTGGGTCGTTGTGGCCAGGGATATGGCATTCTTTCGCAATAGACCCATACGCCTGGCGGAAGCGTTCAGTAGTGCTCGCATGAACCCAGAAAACAGACGTCTGGGGACATGTCTCTTGCAGCCAGAATACATGTGCCAACGCAATCTGTGTTTTTCTGGACACCTATGTTAGGCCATCAGTGTAAATGAAGAGGTCAGGTGACATACCCAACCCCTCCCAGCCCGTACAGTGATACTCTTGCCTGAGAAGTGGCACCTGTCTGTTGTGTATCGCCAAATCGATCCTTCAGCTTGTTGAGGATTTCAGCGCGTCCTACGAAATCCGGATTGCTCGTGTATGGCACAATGTCTAGCTTTTGTTTAGTTTTGACAGTTCGTAGTTACCAGCAGTTTCTACTCACACTTGACAGGCAAAATCATTTGCTGTTCCTGTATATCTGGCGCTGTGGCTGTCCGGATTGGCATCACTATAGCAGGACCGCTTGGAGCTATAATCGCACAATCGGTTAGCTCTGGTTGCAAAGATCCCAAGTCATTCCAATCAGTCTAGTATCACTTACTTGCCGGTATGGAAGGCGCCCAGTGACTCAAAAAGGCTTTCATGCAAGCCGCAGCTGTAGCCGCGGCGTAGGGCTGTAATGACTTGCTCTTGTGACTGTCCGCGTAATCGCATGCACCCTTGATCACGACGGATGGGAAGGTGTCCCAAATTCCGGCGCCTTCCATTTCGAAAGCTATAACGCCATCTCTTGCTGCGATGTCGTCACGATGTTTCCCAGACTTCATCACCGAGTCGCCCGACGCGATCAGACCTATGTGGACAGCCGGTTTTGGATTGCCTTGGCCAGTTTCGAGACGATGGCGTGTTACAAGCTTGCCGCTGCACCCTACTTTCTCGCACGGCTCCTTGTCACCAATATGATCATATGATGCCTCGAATAGGATATCGTGTGTCGGGCCCGGATGCTGGGCACCTAGCGATGGTTCGATCCGAAGGATGTCGAGGTAGTCGGTCATCTTGGTGGCTAGGAGCTTACGGGCTCGAAGGCCTTCTAATTTCGCTAGCACCGCTCGGATCTCAAGGTTCGGTCTGCCCAAAGAATCGAGCACCGTGGCCTTACGCACAAGACCTCCTGGAAGCTGCCGTCCAAGATCGTATTGAATGACTCCATTGCTGATGACGACGTCTCCGAGTATAATCTCCTCGCCCCTGTGGCCAAAGGGAACAACACCGCAAACACCGACCACGAGAGCAAGCTTAATGCTTGAGAAGCTTGTCCGGCAGTTATTTGCGACGATGGCTGCATTGGTTTTCCCCATGCCCGGCATGCGCACGAGAACAACGTTGTGACGGCCGATGACACCGGTAGAGTATGCATTTGGGTCACCCGGCGCTTTATCGAAGGGCGGGTCTTCATCATCCCAGTAGACGTCGAAGAGAGCCTCGACAGCATCGGCCTCGAGGGGAAGGGCGCAGAAGATTGCGATCTGGAAGCCTTCGCGAGAGGCTGGGCGGGGTAGTTGAGCCTCCATGGTCGGGGAGGTCATCCTAGGGTATGATCTAGAGCTGTTCCGACCTGAGGAATCGCCTGTTGGTATCTTCGTTCATCAGAGTAGAGCCAAGCCTGCCCCAGCAACGGGAACTAACGCCAAATAGAATGGCAGTTGTATGATCGTGGAGACTGAAAAGGAAGTGGTTCGATTTCTGCCCTTCCAGTTCCGCCAAGGCGCAGCCGTAAAGTGCAAACCAATCATAATGCGAACAGCATCGGGGTATCCTATATCCGAGCCAGGCCGTAAATCAGCTAGATTCTGCGTATGCAATGAGTAGTTAGTTGGTTAATTCGATACGCACTGGGAAGCCGATTTGCTCCGAGGTGTAACAGTGGAGAGGACCTCTCCCAGTTGCGGATCATTTGCGATAAGAGGGCGCCCGTTGTTACTCCTTCCAAGTACATCAATCCAACATCTTAAAATTCAAATACACCATTCAGTCCATCTCTTTTTGTTAGCCATCCTTCATCTCCCCATTTGGGTCATTATTTTCTTCCATCTTCGAGACTGTACAAGATAGCCACTCACAAGCAGCTATGGCCCTCTTTGCCCGCCATATCCCCCTCCGGCCAAGCCGACGCCTCTCATCCCATCTGCTAAGGAAGAGAGCCGCTCCGGATGTCTGTTACTTGAGTCGTATCCAAATTATGAACATTTCCACTCGCGACATGACAAACAAAGACCTACAGAAACTCAAGGTCGACCAGAACCGGATGATGGAGACCCTGCATCATACCTGTACTTTCGGGCCAGGAGCTAGATGGGGAAGGTAAGTAATTCATTCCAAATAAATCCATCAAAACACAGTGCTTCACATTAGCAAGTCACTGACTCCATCATTAATAGCAATCCTACAGACACTGGCATGTCACGTCTGACACTGTCTGACGATGATAAAAAGGTCCGGGACTGGTTCGTCGAGACCACCAAGTCCCTCGGATGCAAGGTAACCATTGACGCCATGGGCAACATCTTTGCGGTCCGACCCGGTCGTCGCTCTGATGGTCCTCCAACTTTCGCGGGCTCTCACCTGGACACACAACCAACTGGCGGCCGATATGACGGCATCCTGGGTATCCAGGCCGGTATTGAGATGTTGAAGATTCTCCAAGAAAACGACGTTGAGACCGAGTTCCCCGTCGGTGTAGTCAACTGGACCAAGTAAATCGTCTGCATTCATTATTGTAAAAATGGTACTGACAGATGCGACAGCGAAGAAGGCGCGCGGTTCCCCATCAGCATGATGTCTTCTGGAGTCTGGGCCGGTAAAACCACCCTTGAGCAAGCCCATTCTACCAAAGAGGTCGATGGGCCAGCCACTGTTAAGTCTGAGTTGGAGAGGATCGGATACCTGGGCGAAATTCCCGCGAGCTACAAATCCACTCCTATGGGCGCTCATTTTGAACTGCACATCGAGCAGGGTCCTCTTTTGGAGAGGGCCTCGAAGAAGATTGGTGTCGTCCAGGGTGTTCAGGCATACAAGTGGTTCACTATTGACATTAAAGGACGAGGTTAGTCATATCAAAGTTGGGACAGGAATCTTGTCTGACCGATCCTGCAGATGCACATACTGGATCAACTCCTTTCGCCGACCGCGCTGATGCTCTGCTCCTGGCCGCTCGTCTCATCACGCACTCCCACCGAGTCGCAACCAAGCACCAAGCGCTCGCCTCAACTGGCATCCTGAGACTGAGTCCCGGCAGCACAAACACAATCCCTGGGCACGTCAGCTTCACCCTGGACGTCCGGTCACCAATCGACGAAACCGTAGACGAGGTCGAGAACCAGCTGAAGCACGACTTTGATCTTTTGGCTCGCGGCGTTGACGTAGACGGTCTGCTCACGGGTGCAACACCGAGTTTGCCATTGTCGGTCGCTTGGCAAACGGATACCATCTCATCAGCGACCAAGTTCCATCCAGACTGCATCCAGGCTGTGCGCGAGTCCGCGGAATCCGTGCTGGGCGACCGGGATGGCATGATTGACATCTCCAGTGGCGCGGGACACGACAGCGTGTACACGAGCATGCATTGCCCCACGACGATGATCTTCATTCCCTGCAAGGGTGGGGTTAGCCACAATCCCGAGGAGTGGTCGAGCCCGGAGGAGTGCGCTATTGGAGCCGAGGTGTTGTGTCAGGCTGTTGTGAGGTTTGACCAGAAGAGAAGCTGAGACAAAATAGACGGTTCTATCATGTAATTGAACTTATATATACAAAATTGGGTATTTGACTAAATCAGTCCTTGGGGGAGAGTCTTCAACCCCGACATCTTCATTCTATACGCAGTGCTAAATCCAAGTACTATATCCGACGTCCCTTGACCAGTATTCTCTCAGCTCTAAAAAGTCCATTAGGTGTCCATCAGCTTAAATCATGGCCAAAAGACCGGCAGCAATGGATAGGACGCCCCAGGCAGTGGGCACCAAAGCTCCCGCCCCTCCAGTGGGCACGGGGGTAGGAGTGCTCGAAGACGACCCTCCGTCTCCAGAAGTGGAGGAGGCCTTAAGATTAGCAACCCCAAGCTGCAACTTCTCGCCATTCCAAACAGTGTAGTAGCCCTTGAGCACAGGACCACCAAGAACCCAGACAGACGCGAGGTCGCTAAGGGGTTCGGGTGCGTTGAGGATGACGGCCTGGCACTTTCCAGGGTGTGCATCGTGCTCGCCGAGGTTGAACGAGTCCTTGGGCATGGTCAGGTTGACGAGCTTGTCGCCGGCGCCGACGGTAAAGGTCAGCTCTGGGGCCAGCTTCTCCATGACGTCGCAGTCGGCGCCCCATACGCCCTGCTTGTCGAGCTGCTTGATCTCGGGGCTGATGGCGGCGTAGATGTCCTTGGCGGTCTGGTAGTCGGGGGTCATGATGTACGCTGTTCCTGTGTCTAGGAGGGTGACAGCGCCGGGGAAGGCTTCGTCGGTCTTGGAGTTGTTGACCGTCGCGGAGTTGACGTAGAAGGTGGGTTGGTCGATGAACCACTCGCCGACGAGGCTGGTGATGGTCTCGTTGAAGTCAACGTAGGCAATGTCACCGTCGTACTTGGACGAGTCGATTCCGCCGAGTGTGAGCTCACCAGAAGCGCTGTTGGCACCTGCGTTGAGGTACAGCGAGAACAAGGGCTCGGGGACCTGGCCGGAGGAGACGAGGGTCCAGAAGGTCGTGTTGGAAGTCTTGTTCAACGCGGCGCTGAAAAAGGACGATCCGGGGGGTGAGAGGCCAAAGATTCCGTCAATGTTGAGTCCAATAGGGTTCTCACCCAAAGCCTTATCGTAGCTATCACAGAGAAGGAAGGGCTGGTCCTCAACGGAGAGACCGCCGAGAGTGACAGTATCGGATACAATAGTACCACTCAGCGTGGCTCCGTGTTCGAGAGGCTGGGCATTGCCGCCGGTACCAAATGTGAGGTTGAGCGGCTGGCCAGGCTTGTCGGAGTAGGTGCTTGACTTGGAGGGGTCAAAGAGAGTGTAGTTGCTGCAGGTGGTGCAGCCCTTCTTGGGGATGACCAAGTCGGTTGAGCCAGTGTCAAAGATAACGTTGCTGTGATGTATAAGTTGCCAGTTAGATTCACAGAAGATGTGAGACTTACAAATCCTGGGCGGGTGTACCGACAGAGACCTTGCCGTACCACTAGACACCGAGTTAGCAGCGCCATCTGAACGGGAACTGCACACGTACCTGGAAGTCGGTGACGTTCCACCAGTTGGTCAAAGCGATGTCCACCGAGGAAGAAGAAGCTCGCTTGGCGACTCGAGCAGCGGCAGAGATTCGGTTCGTTTGGCGGCCTTCAAGCTTGATGGTGATGGGGTCCGCAGCGGCCGAGGCTGTCAGGCCGGCGAGGAGGTGTGCGGGGGTGATCTTCATGGTTGTGAGATGAGACGAGAGAATGACTGGTGTACGGATAGACAGAGCAAAAGGAAATGGAAATGCTAGAGAGAAGACTGAGAGGAACGCTGAGACAGATTGATGCAAAACAAGGCCATTGAGTCGGCAGCATCGATTGCTTTATACTCATCCCCATCACTACATCACCCAAACACCGCCAACAGGGCTGACAGCACCCCTGCACTCGCAACAGCGCCATGGACGCCATCCCGTCCCAAACCGTCCATGAAGGAGCAGCAGGATCTCGGCCGCACAGCCCGCCAAGGAAGCCTCTCCAAGGCTGAGACGCCGCGAAGCCGAGAGGCGTCATGGCTTGTTTGCCAGCTGGCCAATGCGCGATCGAGCAAAGCACCAAAAGGGAATGGTCGTGAGTTCACGGAGTTGCTTGCCCCTTCGGATTCCTTGCTCGAGGCCCTGGTAGGGCTGTGATGGGGTCTTGTTCTAGACGGCGATTGGTCGGCTCGCCAATACGCGTGGCGTCGTCGCCAAAGCGTCGGGAAATGTGGGGAAGCGTGAGAGGAACCCAGACAGCGTGAGAGGAAGCGTAAATTAAGTCGTTGCAACGGCCCGTAACTCGGCGAGTGAGATGCGTCCCTGCAATGACTCCAGCTTCAGTACGCACGTCGACGAGTGAGATGTCCTGGTTCGCTCCATCGCCAAAGGGCTGGTCCAGCCATTGCCGCATAGGGCACACGTCAGACGGCAACAAGCTGGGTACTGAGGGTATCGAGACTGAGAGAGATGAGCGTTGTGATTGTGGACCTCAACTACTCTGGAATTACAAACCCCATCCATCATCCATCGTCAATGACTTCGTTTCATATGCGTCATTCACTATGTTCCTTTCATGAAGCATTCCCCACTCAACGTGAGAAGAATTCCTCGCCAGTCGACTCATCTCATCCATACATCTCGTCACATAGCCATGAACGCCAAATCCCATGCAGAGAGCAACAGCAACATCATCAACGCCCGCCTCCAAAGCCGTCCCGGGTCATTTACCTCCTACCGCGGCCACGGCCTTGACCAGGCATTCCACCCATACCGGGCATACCACCCATTCCCGGCATGCCACCTCCGCCCATGCCCATCTGCTGCATCATAGCCTGCATATCCATGCCCGCAGGCATTCCAGGCATGCCGCCGCCGCCACCTCCTCCACCGAGCATCTTCATGAGGCTGCCCATATCAGGCATGCCTCCTCCACCACCAGCACCGCCGCCCATGCTCTGAAGTCGCTTCTGCATCGCGGCAAGCTGCTGTGCCTTGTTGCCTCCGCCCATAGCTTGCTGAGCTCTCTGCATGTTCTTCATGTTTCCGCCCATCTTCTTGGCCATTCCAGCCATCATGCGCTGCTGCGTCAAGAGGTCCTCAACTTCTCGTACTGACGTCCCTGAGCCTCGCGCAATTCTCGTCATCCTCGTTGGCTGATCAATGAGAATCTTTCCGTCAGAGTCGAGTTCCTTCTCCGTCATGGAATCGCAAATGTAGATCATGCGCTTAAGCTTCGCACCACCCTCCTCGTCGTCCATGCCCTGCATCATGTTGCTCATACCAGGAATCATGCCCGCCATCTTCGACAAGGGTCCCATCTTCATAATGTTTGAAAGCTGGTCTCGGAGATCGCGCACAGTAAAGATACCCTCCTGGATGTGCTTGATGGTATCCTTCTGGTTCAGGTTCAGGCTCTGCACGTGCTCCATCAGGCCGGCCATATCGCCCATGCCCAACAGCTTCTGGACAAACTGCTGAGGAGCAAATCGCTCCAGGTCCATCATGTGCTCACCAGTACCGATAAAGACAATGGGAGTATGTGTTGCTGCGACGGCGGAAATGGCACCACCACCGTGGGCGTGACCGTCGGTCTTCGTGATAATGATGGCTCCAAAGTCGGATGCTTCCTTGAAGGCCTTGGCTTGCGACTCAGCCTGCTGACCGATTGAGGCATCAAGAACCATGATTGTTTCATCGGGGGTAATGGCTTCCTGGATATCGATCATCTCCTGGAACAGAGCAGACTCCTGACGGTGGCGACCAGAGGTATCGACAATGATGATGTCGAAGCGCTCCTTCTTGAACTGTTCCACACCGGCACGAGCGACGACGGCAGGATCAGTCTCCGTCAGGGAACCGTAGTAGGGGATCTTGGCCTTGGTGGCGTTCTGCTTCAGCTGGTCAAAAGCACCGGCTCGGAAGGTATCGGCGCACACCAGGCAGGCCTTGAAGCCCCTCGACTGGTAGTGGCGTGCCAGCTTGGTACAGGTCGTCGTCTTTCCGGCACCCTGCAGACCGACAAACATGATGACGTTGGACTTGCCCTTCTTCGGTCGGAACGGTTCGGTGTGGGGGTCGACGAGCTTGACGAGCTCATCGAAGACGGCCTTTTGGATGAGGCGCTTCTTGTTGACGGCGGGGGGGATGTCCTTGAAGTTGACGGTGGCGCGGATCGACTTGCGGAGCTGTCCGACGAGGCGGACGTTGACATCGGCCTCGAGCAGGGCGGCGCAAATCTCCTTGAGCATGGCATCGAAGGCCTGCGCACAAGACAAAAGTTAGCGATGGCGGGGAGGCAACGGGTTGGTGGGGAGGGACGTTCGTGCCTTCTCGTCGAGGTTCTGCTCTCGCGTCAGGTTGGAGACCGCCGAGTTGATTCGGCGGCCGAGATCTTGGAGAACCATGGCGGCGGATTGGCGACTCGAGAGTGGCCGCGCAGAAAGGAAAGGGTATCACGACAATGTTGGCTTGAGCCTCTGGCCACGAGATGATGCACGTTGAAGATGGCGGACGGTGCGGAGGTGGGGCAGTGGCCAAACGGTGCGAGGTTTCTCCGGCCCGAACATTGTGGTCCCACTGAATATGCCTACCTAGGTACCTTGATTGTTAGGGACTGTGCCCCTAGCGGCCTAGCCGAACTGCTAGACCTGAAGCCCGCTACTGGCAACTAAAACAAGCACAGGCGTGTAGGGTAATTTGGATGCCATTTCCCTAATCTGGCCTCATTTCGCCTAGAGTACATGATCTTACAGGAACGCAAGGATGGTGATATCCGGCTTCTAGTCGATTAGATGGGACCAGGGTGTGCATTGAGCCTGTCAGCAAAAGGTCACTGCCAACCTTGCGAGCATGGTTGAGGAGTTATCGACTCTATATCCCAGGTTATATAGAATTGGGACTGGGCAACAATAACTCACAACCACCTATTGAAGGTAATTAATGGCTAGGAACAAGGGAGAATATGTGTGAGAATATAGTATCCCCGTGAAACGAAGTCATCAACTGTGCGAAAAATTGGGGAGCTTATCCTGTCCGAAGCTCGCAGGCAAAACGAGTTCATTGGTCAACATCTGTCAAACCAGTCGAAGGATCACCACCAACGTCAGCATTACGAGTTAAGAAGTGACGGGACAAGCTTGATAAATGACACATGATATTCACTTGCACAGCCTATCATAATCATCTCAATAATCTTCTCGCTCTATGCCTATAGTCATCGTGGATACACATTCACAGTCCTAGGCTTGGTTGATAGCCTATCTCTGAGACTTATGTGCGGATCCTACCCTGCATCCTCGCAAGCCTCCACAGATAAGACGTCATGAATCTAAAACTAGGAGACAGAACAAAGCACAACATTTTGCGGCTGACAATTCCAGCGGAGGATTCGTCATACATAGCACCTAGCCAAGAAGTCTCAGTGGTGGGCGTGTGATTTCAAATTATCGTGACGAGACGAAAGGTGCATGAGATGACAAGGACTTACGCAGTATTCTTCACCGCCAACAACTACAGCAAGCTTTCATACACGCCGATCACGGAGTCCAGACCAGAAGCCAAGCTATGCAGGAGATGGAATCAATGATTCAGTCCCGGGTTATTTTCGTGTGCTGTTATCACTCACGGGTGGGTGTATGCCTTGAACCCTACACCAATTCAAGAGCATCAATTATCCATCAACACCAACCGTCTACTTTAGAATTAATCAGCACATCGATGCCGGATCACAGACGCCCGAACACAAAATAATTTCACATCGATTGGTCCTGGTTAGCCAGATAACCAGGCAGTTGTCCACGTCAGCTGACTCGGGAATCCAAACCGCCAACATAGCACCGTCTCGTTAAGCACGTAATGCCAAGGGGCGTGTTACAGCCCAAGGACTCTATCGTGACGCGGCCCAAAGACCAGAACCATGTGACTAGTCACCTGGTCCTCCCTGGCACGCTCGGCGGTGAGCTACCAAGGCCGGGGCCAAGAGTAGAATGCAGTGAAATCAACCGCTTTTGTAGCACATGGGACACAGGGTGGGTGAACCATGCGCCTTTGTGTCCAGATAAGCCATTGTCTTGACTCACTAGCCATCTCAACTGTCTCACTTATTTCAGCGGAATCTGGATCGAGAGCATCTCAACTGAATCTGTCTATAAAGCATTCGCGTCATAGTTCGCTTATCAAGCGATGGGGGATCGACATCGTTGCCTGACTCGCGAGTTTTGAGCATGTCATCTCGATAGTTAAACCGCCAGGCCTGTACGACGATCATGATAAGACTATAAAAAATAGTACTGGTCGGTTGCGAATGACATCAGAAACTAAGCTAGGGTCCTCGCAGATTGTGGCTGTGTTGAAATCGACTCCGCAGCTCCACGGGTCAGTTGGAATGCCATCGAGCCCGAGCACGGCTTAGGATGAGACAACATACGCCATTGTTAAGAAACGGACCGATACCCGTGCATGCAGGTGATTGTTGAGTTTCTGGTAGCCGCTTCTGGAGCCTGCTCTTTAAGGTTATCGATAGACTTATTCTTTGTGGTGTGCGCCCCATCTGCCGTAGCACGACGGCCGGATGCTTCATTGTCCGAGAGGCTCCATGCCACCGACCCTGTCTCATGCTGCGAGACGGTCCTGCGGGTCGCGATGGAGAAAGCGCGCTGCAGCTAGCCTGATTCTTCCCTGTTGGACGGTTTAAAGTGTTTGCCACGGCTGAGAGCCAGGTCTTGGCTGTAGTTCATATTCCGTCATCGACAACCTGGTGACGCGGCGCGGTTCCACCATTCCTTGCCGTGGAACAAACAACGGGAGCTGTGATGGAGGCGCTGCGATGCACGCGCAAGACACGATTTATCGCTGGAGAATGGTTGCACCCCTCCGCTCGACGGCCGGTTCTGGGCGTGAAACATGGGTCGCGTTCAACGACGTAGCTGATTTGTGGTGGCTGAGAGCAGACGCTCGCCTGGGACGTGGCCGCGGCGCACCCACAACGCCATGGGCAAATCTCCCCGTAAGGCTGCAGATCGCGATGAGTTTTTGGAGGACCGCCACTGGGTCATCATGTTTCCCCTCGTTGTTTCCCCTGGCGGGACTGGTGGGCCAAGAGCCCAAGTGCCGGGGTCCCACCCTTGGCGGCAGACGGGATGAGGCTGATGGCCCCTTGGCTCCTTGGCTTGGTCGGCGTTAAGGCTCACCACCTCCTAGTTCGCAAGATCTGCCCGTGATAACGTTTGTTCGGACATCTCCTAAGCCAAGATGCGCTGTGATACCTCTCGTTCTTGCCATTGTTTCAGCGGCGCCCGTCCGTACCGCAACGTGCGCCCATGCGGCCGTCTAGATTCGGGGGACGCATCTGGATTCGGCCTCGCGGAGCGTCCCCTACTTATCGTTTCACAGGCGGCCTCTTGGAACGCAGGGAGACGACTCAGATGGAACTTGGGTCTTGGGAAGGGTAACCCTTATCCTTGGCTTGCCACATGCCGGCCCTGCACGAGGCCGCAAGGGAAGTAGACTAAAAGAAGCAGACTAAAAGGAAGTGAGACTAAGATGAGGTCCAACGTAATCCAGGTCGGACAATTGTGCCCAACACGAGTCGAACCCAAAACGACCGGCATGGTTCGATCGAGTCCCACTGGGCTGGGTGCATATCCAGGAAAAAGGAAGCCCAACAGCAGAAGCAACGCCGCCCGCAGGGCCTGCAGGGAGCATCTGAAATCTGAAGCAGAGCGGTCCCGGCCCTTGGGATATAGCTAGGGGGTGGTTAAATTAAGGGCGTAACCGAGCGGTTGGGACGCGCCGCCGGGAGCTGAAGCCTGCCGTCGAAATAACCCGAGCAGGCGTCCCCTGGACAGACGCAGCCGGGGGGGTATCATCATGGATGCAACGGATCATGGATGCAATGGATAATGGGATGCATAGCCCACAAACTCCGCCGCCATCGCTCCCCGGCTTGGCGCGGAGCCCGCATGTCCGCATCGTGTGGACGAAGCCGGCCTGGCTTTTTATTTCATTTCCCCAATTCCCCCGTACCCCGGGACGAGGCCAGGGACTACCCCGGGGCGGCAAGCATATCAGAGTCATCCAGAGAGACGAAGATGGGCGGCGACGCTTGGCGCCCGCGCTAACACGCCCATCCTTGCCCTGTTCGCAGGGAGCAGAAGACAAAACACACTCCTTACTACGGATAGTAACTGGGTACTAAGTAGCAGTAACTCGGGGTGGGGGCTGCGAGATTGATTGACTGGTGCCCGATCTGACTTGGTACAACATCAAATCTTAGATCTCTCGCTGGTTCCGCTGAGGATGCATCATGGGCCACGGATCCCGCCCACGGGCCCGTCCCGTTTCCGGGTCCCAGCAGGGAAACACGCCCAATCATGCCTGTCCATGTCCCTCGTGGTCGAAGCCCAACGCCCTCTGGCTTCGAAAAAACTCTTCCCCTATGCCCAACCCAACAGCCTGCATCCATGCCGGCACGGGAAACGCACAGAGCCTCATTTATCATTTTACGACGGCCCTCCCGGGTGCGGCGACTAGCCGGGGCCAAGCCCGCCGGGGGGCGCTCTCCGGGAGTTCCTAAAGCATGCGTAGGCTGATAGCACGAGCATGCCATGCCATGCAGGTAGCAGCACGACACGGAAGCTATCGACGCAATGGCTGGAGGAAGCTTCCCCAGTCCCACTCCTCGTCGCTCCAGCGGCCCCAAACTGCAAGGGTGATCGTCGCCTCCGGGGGTCTTGGCTCTTGGCGGAGCGCACAGCTCCCGGCCATTGCGTGTCGTCGTGACAATGCCGTCCTTATCAGCACGCACGAGCTGTCTCTGCGGGTCGTCTTGTGCTCCCTGGCGCGGAGCCGGTGTGTAGGTATCCGAGACGGGGTCGGCCGTCAGTCCTCTGCACAGCCCCTGTCTCAATGGCTTTAAAGGCACAAGGTATGCCGCTGTGCATGCTTGAGCAAGCAACTCTGTGACTCGGGACTCAGTCAAGCACATCTTCACGCATCCAAAATGGCTTCAGTATTCATCCGCCAGGAAATCAGCCAAGAGCTGTGTGAGCGCTATGCTGGGTTTGCTTCACACATGGTGAGGTGGCAGTTCAAGATCATCTACTGGACTCTGTTCATCTCGAACCTGTTTGTCTTGTTTCTCGCCTCTTGGACCTATACTCGGTGAGTCTTCATACACCTCTATTGAAGTACCCGACTAACATCCCAAACTCAGAGGACAGGAGTCCCTCGAACGATATGCCCACAACTCCAAGAAACGCACCAAGCGTCTCCGACAATCCATCTTTCTATGTCTGGGATGCGTTGCAGTCTCGACGGCCATCGTCATCATGGAGGCCTATGCCATCATGGCTCTCCAATTCTGCGACGGAGAGGACCTCATCTCGCTTTATTGGTCAACCTGGACTATGGTTCAAGTTGGATCTCTGATTGCCATGGTCGGAATTATCTTAGCTATGGCTCATTCGTTGAGCGACCGACGCCATCCGTGAGTACTCCGACGTTCTGTCCTACACCTTCACTAACACGAAGCAGTCCTTGGGCACTCGCTCTCGGAACACCTGTTCTCGTCATCGCAGGTTTCCTACACCTCTTCCACGACTGCACACGACAGCGCATTAAGAAACAAATGCAAAAGAAGATTGATCAGGAGGAGGCATTCGGCGGCCCTCCCATGAGCCAAGCGTACGTGCCCCGAGATCTGAACTGATCTGGAACATGCCCCATTGAGACACCTGTCTGACAACAATCACAGAAACACGATTCAAGTCAACCCCGACGACGAGCCTGATGATGAGTACCGGGGAGAGGTGGTCGGGTTCAGCATCAGCGGAGGCCCGATTATTCGCTTCACCGACTCCATGCCTGATCCCCTGCCAAACCACACCCGACTGCTCGGGTACTGTGAAGATAGCCGCCCGATTGTCATTTGTGACCGGGACTCGATCCGCATGATGACCGAGTCGCCCCGGCCGATAATCCGCACTCCAATCCCAGCCAAGAAGGAGAAGGAGGAGGAGACGTCCTGAACGTGCAGGACGCTCACGTAATTGCAGCAACTCTCTGTCTCTGCAGCAGAATCCCGACCGACATGAACAAGACGCCGACATGGTCGCGCAGAACGCCAATCTCCAGAAGGATACGCCCGGGTCACCGCGGCCGTTTAGTCTCACATGACTATCAGAGAAGATTCTCGACATCCTCATGGCATCCTGCGATGGCACGTTCTAGATACGTGTTGGTCATTGGACAGTAAGGCACGGCCTTTCCTCCCTACAATATCCAAGACATCTCAGCTCCGATGGGTCATTTCACGACTCATGACGTGTCGGCGTCGCTGAGCGAGAGACTTATCTCAAACTAATAGCTCGCCATTCCACGGTGTCTAAGCGCAGCACTTAGCCTCGTGGAAGCATCTCCCCAGCTGGTCAGTGTCTCGATTGCTACGATGATTCACAATACATCAAGAACAAACACCATTGCAAACCGTCATCGCATGCATCAGACCCAACCACCCACTCCGGCTCAGCCAAGACGTCTCAATAGAGCACACTGGTCTTCGATGCCCTCAATATCGGCATCACATGCAGAAATATCCTCGTTCATATCGACACACCGTCGAGCTCCGTACTACCTCGTACGCGCCACTTTCATTCAGTTCTCCGCACTTTGCGCCTGTGTTGTTGAGACCTAGTCGCCGTCCATCGGGCGGGTCAGGTTGCTCACGGTGGAACGGTGGCCGCTTGCGCTACCATTCCATCGTCATTCCAAATCTCCCCTTCGCTTATTCATTCACTCTATGTATTTCTTTGACGGGCATCATCATTGGTGCCGCGCAGTTTAGTCGGTCAGTGTCATTAGGAGACCCTGGACCGAACATCGCTTGGACCGAGTTCTATATCTTCTTTTGTTGTGTTATTAGTATTCATTATCTGTCGAGTTTAAAATGTTTGGGTCAATTAGTTAGGACCCCAGAATAATACCACCATCACCAAGGCTTGTGGAAGGTTTAATTGCTCGTGACGTGATGTCAATTGATCAACCTGTGCACTGGTTACGCTTCACAGAACTCATCATGACTACTTTTACAACAGACCTGGACCGCTTGTAGTCTACGGTGATACCCGAGTCTAGCCTATTTTGTGTTGTATTTGACAGTGAATGAACATGCCAAGCTACCCAATGAATATTGAACAGTCGGTGGTGTGCTTGTGCCTTTAAATTCGGCCGTTATTTGTCGCGGATGTGAAGCTTCTTTAGAAACCCTGAAAATAGCAATCAGCACGGAGAAAAACACGACAAATTTTAACAGAGTCATTAATCTTATATAGTACTTCACCAAGTATTGCAATTAAAAACTATCCTAAAATCTTGTCTAGAGTATCGCAAGGTGACAAGTGTTTCGCTACAGGGTAGTTACCCCAGAACAGCCAGGGCGTGCGAGGCGCCTTCGGGAGGCGTTCTAGAACTGGCTCTGCGCAACTCCGGGCTAAGACGGCGGCAATAGTGGCAAATCACTGATCATCAGCGAGTTTCAGCGGGGTTGTACCGATGATAGGGCACAAGGCATAAAAATTTAGAGGCGACAGTCACTGGAGCCCCTCCCAAAACAACCCCTCTGAATTCCCCGCCTCATCAAGCCCCTCCATCTTGTTCCCCAACCAGATCCAGTTAGAGGAGAGAGTGGTGCCAGTTGAGTGGCGCATCTCCGTCAACGGCGACCAATCTGCCTGAGGAGCTTAGTAAAAAGAGTGCTTTCTAATCAACACCAACGCCTCCATTTCTAATATCTCGAAATCCGCTCCTCCACAGGCAACGCACACCGTGTTACCTACCTTGTAGCTTTCGTCCATCTGCTCCTTCACGTCGGTTGCGCCAACAAAGGAGAGATAACAGAAACAGAACCTCTAAAACCGTCTCGCATCATCTGCTATCGTCATGAGTCTGGCAAAGGTTAAGCACGTGGTCCTGGTTCGTACAACCTCTTGGCTTTGGCCTCTGCTCTCGAACTTCCTGACTGACATGGGTCTCAGGTGCTATCAGGCAAGGGTGGAGTCGGCAAGTCGTCCGTCACCACGCAGCTCGCACTCTCCCTGTGCCTCGCTGGCTTCTCGGTTGGCATTCTCGACGTCGACCTGACGGGCCCGTCTATCCCGCGCATGCTCTCTATCGAGGAGTCCAAGGTGACCCAGGTCCCCGGGGGTTGGGCGCCCGTCCTGGTGCACGAGGCAGACGAGAGCCAGGGCTTGGGCAGCCTGCACGCCATGAGCCTGGGGTTCCTGCTGCCCAAGCGGGGCGACGCCGTCGTCTGGAGGGGCCCCAAGAAGACGGCCATGATCCGACAGTTCCTCAAGGACGTGCTCTGGGATGAGACCGACTTTTTGCTGATCGACACACCACCGGGAACGAGCGACGAGCACATCTCGCTTGCCGAGACGCTGCAGAGGGATGCCAGACCCGGCCAGGTCGCCGGAGCCGTCGTTGTGACCACGCCCCAGGCTGTGGCCACGGCCGACGTCCGCAAGGAGCTCAACTTTTGCACCAAGACGAGCATCCGGGTGCTCGGCGTGGTTGAGAACATGAGCGGCTATGTCTGCCCGCACTGCTCCGAGTGCACCGACATCTTCGGATCGGGAGGCGGACGGTCAATGGCGGAAGAGTTCCATGTGCCGTTCCTGGGATCCGTGCCCATGGACTCGCAGTTCATCACGCTGATTGAGGAGGGAACGAGGCCAAGCTATCCCGCGGGCACCAAGGTTAACGGCGTGGACATTGCTGCTCACCGGTCGGCGGCGCAGGGGAGCGAAACGGCGGACAAGGGCGGGACCTTGGTCAACAAGTACCGGGATTGCTCGCTGTACCACGTCTTTGGGGGCATTACCGACAAGGTGAGGGAGAATGTGGCCAACAATGGGGCGAGGTGAGATGGAAGTCAGCCGTCCACCTGGCCTATGCCGTTTCAATCCTGGCCAAAGAGCACCTCAACCCTGGCCCAAGAGCATCTGACAGCTGGATAAATTCCCTGTGTGCAGCTCTGGATGGTCCAAAAAAGGCGCTTCCGTTTCGGGCCGTCGCCCATTGTCCGATATGACTAGAGCTCTTGCCGGGCGCAAAGCTCGCCCACTCCACCTCCGGCACATGTCAGGTCAGCTCCGCAAGCGAACCGAACCAATTCGACGTCAACATGGGCAAGTTACCGCTGTTTGCGTAGGACGGCATGATGGGATTGTCCCGATTTGCGGTCGACAATGACAATACTGTGCGTCTACGAATCACAAACTTTGTGCGTGCTTGCTGCACTGCACGTCTGCACTCACCGATGAACACGGCACGGAAGCGAGAGGGAATACGGGAGTGGAATTGGAGCTTGCAGACGACGGCTGGTTGGCACATGCGGTCGAGGATCTCGATGGTGGCGCGGGAGGCAGTACATGCCAAGTACTGTATTGTACCGCACCGGTTGGTTGGTGGGTCGTGGAGGAGAGGCGGCGCACGACAACGTTTCCCCGGACAGGAGAGGGCTGCTAATGTGAGCTGTGAGCTATTTGCAGTGGGTTTGCAGTGGGTGTGCACCCTATTTGTCCAGTGTGCTGTCGCGGGTTACGCACAGTTACGTACTGGTACAGCGCGGTGCTCGCAGCGCTGTAAGGGACATGTAAGGGACATGGCTGCACCTGCGTCCCGCACCTCGCACAGCGTCATGGCTGGCGGGTGTGCCCTAGGTAGCCTTCCGAGATCCAATAGAGTCGGCAGCTGGCGTACGGATGACGAAATAAAACCAGGGCCAGTGGCCCCAGAAGCTAAGGATCCAAGCCGAGACCTGCGCCTGTGTCCCACTGCGAGCCACCATATTTCTTTGGTTTGGTTTGCTGTCTGTCGTTGTCCCTGAGTGTCTCTTCCTGTCTCTTCCCGTCCCTTCCCGTCGAGTCACTCACAGCAGTCCAGGCCTAGTTGAGCTGTTCGCCGGATAGGTAGCGTCCGTTAGTGGCCGTCAGTGGCCCGCCAGTGGCCACAGCCCTCTCTAGTCGGCAGCTGTGAAAAAAAAAAGAGCAAAAAAAACTGCACGACCCCATGTTGGGCAGGCACCAAGCCACGGCGACAGGGAAGGAGCACCCGCGCGCTGCCATTAGCTCCGCCGCCCGCCTGCTGCTGCAGTGTTGCAGTGCTGCAGTGACTGTTCGATGCACGTCGACCACCTACAGGGTACGTACAGTACTCCACCCAAACTAAGGTATTGCGCGCCCACCTTTCACCCACCTTTCCACCTTGAAATTTACTTCTCGTCGTCCTCCACCACCACCACCACCACCTCCACTGGTACATCTGCCACAAAACAACCCCTCAAACAACAAAAATTCTCTCACCGACTCTCTAAAACCAAGCTTCCATCCTCTTTCTTCGACACAGAGCTTCTTCCTGCTCCCAGTCTCACTCGCCTCGCCCTTGTTCCGCCTGGAACCGCTTCCTCGCAACCACCCCGCCAAAAAAAAATAAAACCCGCCGCCCGCGCCCATCGTCATTGCTTCCTTCGCCCTCACGCGACCGTCTCCACGTCTCCTCCAAACCGAGCTGTCCTAAACCCGACCTGACTCTTACAATTCGATGTCGAATAATCGAGTCTAACTCTCATCACTGTCCAAAAGACACCTAGACGGCCGTAGTTCTCGACCGTCGCCCAACTCTTTCTCCGGTTCCCTCCCCGGGTCTTCTATGCGACCCACAGATCTCCTGCGCTTCCTCTTCTCCCGACCATCCAAGTATGCCATCTCTTCTGCCTCGCTCTGAGGCTCTGGCTCTATTGTTGAACCTATTACTCACATCTCCGTTCCAACAGGCCCCGATAGCACCCCTTTAACGAAAGGCATATATCAAATCGTCGACATCGACAAAATTACCTCCTCAACCCCCCGAATCTGCACCCTGCAGACTCAACTCTCTCTCCACCGGCCATCATTTCGTCACAAAAGCGGTTCACCCACGTGTCCTCCCTCCAACCGCCTTAACGTCCCCTCGAGAGACGTTAGCCGCTTCTATCAACGACGTATTGCTGCTGGCTCCGCCAGCATTTGACAAGACCCCGATCCTGTGGGCCTACTCTCTCAAACAGACGCCGCATAGTCTGTTTGAGCGGCAGCTAGTGCTCCGCGGACTCTGCCATCTGGGCAAAGACAACAAATCCACACCCCCGCTGTTCAACTGAGACACGCATCGGCCCGTTGCCAATCCTACATCTAAATCCACAAAGATGTTCGCCGCCGCCGAAGTTCCCAGCAACTACACCTTCTCGCCGTCTTCGGCCACCCCTCATCTGACTATCAATCATGATGTGGCCGCTGATTTGGACTCCTCCAATGCCTTTGAAGGTAAGCTCCAGAGCTCTCCTAGCACTCTTGCTCGTTGCTAACATATTTAGGCCCCGAGAAGCTGCTTGAGGTTTGGTTCGCCCCAAACGCCACGGCCCTGCCTCCCACGGCCCCTGCAAATGGATTGAAGTCTATCCCCGCCGACACTTGGGTCGGAATGCTCGACATGGTCAACTGCAAGATCCTCTCCGTCCTTGAGTCGGAGAACATGGATGCATATCTCCTGTCCGAGTCCAGCATGTTCGTCTTCCCTCACAAGATCATCTTGAAGACGTGCGGAACCACGACTCTTCTCCTCGGACTCCAGCGTATGCTCCACATCGCCGCTGTCCATGCTGGCTTCCCTTTCCACAACGCCAACTCTGTCAATGACATTCGCGCCGCGGCAACCCCGTATCGCGTCTTCTACAGTCGCAAGAACTTCCTGTTCCCCCACAAGCAACATGGACCCCATCGTAGCTGGAAACAGGAGGTCAAATATCTTGACGAAATGTTTGACGGAGGTAGTGCGTACATGGTCGGCAAGATGAACGGGGACCACTGGTACCTGTACCTTACGTCTCCCAACCAGCAGGCCCTCACCCCTCCCCGGACCCCAGAGTCCGAGGTTGAGGCGATCGGAGCGCCTGCTCGGATTCCCGTCGGAACGACCACCTTTGGCACTGGCCCCAACGGCCACCCCGACGAGACTCTGGAAATCCTCATGACGGACCTTGATCCTGAGAACGCGAAGCAGTTCTACCTGTCGCACGCGAGTGCGGTCGCCAGCGACAGGCTTTCTGCTGAAGCTCAGGATGCTCGAAAGAAGGCTATTGACAGCCTCGGCGAGCTTGCTCACACCCTGGACGAAGTGGACGTCTTCAGCAACGGGGCCGACTTGGAAATCGACGGCAACCACCTGGACTTGACCGAGGAGCTGACTACCGAGGGCCACGCCCTGGGAACCGTCGTTTCCGAGAGCTGCGGCCTTTCGGGCGTCTACCCCACCTCGGAGTATCCTGATGCTCGCGTTGACGCCTATCTGTTCAGCCCCTGCGGGTTCTCCGCGAACGGTGTCATTCCCCCTTCCCCCTCCACTCAGCCGGAGGGAGTCCAGCCCAAGTCTGAGCATTACTTTACTGTTCATGTGACCCCTGAGCCGGAGTGCTCGTTCGCTTCGTTCGAGACCAACGTCCCCGGCGGACAGAGTGGACGCACCACTGCCGATATCATCGAGCAGGTTGTCAACATCTTCCGCCCTGGTCGCTTCAGCGTCACCCTCTTCCAGGACAAGGGCCAGAATGCCAACCCTTACGGCATGGGTAACGACGACACCAAGACGTGGGCTGCCAACAGACTCGTCGACCCTGTCCGAGGATACCGACGAATTGATCGCATCGTCCACGACTTTGAGGACTATGATCTCGTCTTCCGCTTTTACGAGCGAGAGGGATGGGCTGGCGGCAAGTCTGCCCGAGTTGGCGAGCCCTGCATGTAAGCTGTGTGCTACTTTGTCGGGTTTGAGAATCCAGATTGCAATTGGGAACTGTTTGCTTTCGAGTTTCTGCTGTCCTTACCTGTTATTATTAGCGCTGGGACATTCTTTCGTTCGTTGTGATGAGTCAACTTGTAGTTGAGGCGCCCTTTTGGGGTGTAAGTGCTGCTGGTTTCTCTGGGTCTAGCGCTCAGTGCGTTTGTGATGGGATCGTGCTTGGCATCATTAATTTATTCGCTCATTTGATGCCCACTACAAACTTGCCTGACTAGTTCGGCGACATTGCAAACATGTTGATTTGAGTATTTCCATCCTAAGAAAAACACCTGGCAGCAAACTCACACCAGCAAGTAAGTTCAAATGCTGGTCAACGAAGAAGTCAATCGTAAAGTCAATGGGGTGGTCCGGGCGTCGGTTCCTGGTGCGATAACGATAATGATTGCGGCACGTGATCACTATCCCGGACGGCCAAATTTTTTCTGCTAGCTCTGGCGCTGTGCAGTTTGGCAGAAAAAAGTCAACACCACGAAACCAACGTCAACCAAGCCGATTCCGCAAACCAATCCGCCCACCATGCATCTGATGTACACCCTCGACGCCAATGGCACCCGCCTGTACACCCTCAAGAAGGTTGCCCACGGACAGGTCACCAAGTCCGCCCACCCCGCCCGCTTCTCCCCCGACGACAAGTGGTCGCGCCAGCGAGTCACCCTCAAGCGCCGCTTCGGCCTGCTGTTGACCCAGCAGAGTGAGTTGTTCCCCTTACGGCTGAGATTCAAGGTGTGGAGTGCTAATTGGGTGCAGAGGAGGAGTAGACGGCTCGTACGGACGATAGAGGACGAATGACGGGAGATGGAAGCTCAGAGGACGGGCTGAGGGAGGTGGATTGGCGTTTCTTAGGTCACATCACACAGAGGCGTTTATTGGCACATGGATCAGAGAAATGTGAAAAATTGACTGGCATTTTGATGGATCGATTCTCTATGTTCCTTTTTTTCCTTTTCCCGTTTCCCGTTTCCCGTTCCCGTTGCTGATCAATGCTTCCGCTTGGAGTTGACGGCGCGACCGGCTCCCACGCGAATCTTGCCGCCCGCCCCCGACCTGGCACCGCTCAGGATGTCCGGCAGGTAGTCCTGGTCCATAATGTCCTTCTTGCGCGTGCGGCGTTGCTCCTCGGCGGCGCGCGTGTACTCCTTCTGGTCCTCGGCGAGCACCAGCCCGGCGCCCCAGTTGCCCTGGCCGCCGGCGCCCTTGGCCAGGCGGCCGTTGGAGCTGCCGTGGACGGGCTTGGGCACGCTGTAGACGTTGCCGCGGTTGTTCCACTGGAAGTTCTTCTTGAGGTGCACCTTGAAGTTGCCGTGCGCGTCCGTCGAGCAGCTGACGCGGTTGAGCGTCGGCTGCCCGCACGACGGGCAGAACTGCCGGTTCATGTCCTTGCTGATGGTGAAGCAGCCGTGGCACCGCAGCACCCAGTTCTTGAGGTGCGTGATGCGCGCCAGCGAGGGCGCCACGAGGTTGAGGTTCATGCGCAGCGCCACGTTCTGCATCGCGTAGTCGGATGTTAGCACGGCGGCCTGCAGCGTCTTCTGGAGCGGCTGCGAGGGGATTGCTGCGCCGGGCGCTTTGGCCTGGTGCTTCTTGAGGTTGCTGGGCGTGATCCAGCCGCCCTCGTCGTCGGATGCTTCGCCGTCGTCTTCTTCCTCTTCCTCTTCCTCGACGGTGGCCTCGGGTTGTGTCTCGACAGGGGTGGGCTCTGCTGCCTGTGCATCCTTCTCCACCGCGTCAACGACTGGCTTCTCCGCCTCTAGTGACAGCTGTTGTACACCCTCCTCCAGCGATGCCTCGCCTTGCGCGGGCTCCCCTTCTACGGGTGCTGCGGTCTCTGTGGTCTTGTTTTCCTCTGTGGTTGTCGTAGCCTGGGTCTTATCTGTCGTGGTCTCGGCACTCGCCTCCTCAGGCTTGTCCTGGTTCGGCCGTCCATTCAACGTCTTCTGGCCCGGTGTGTTCCTCAACCTCCAATCGCCGCCATTGCGCTCGCACTCCAGCTCGTATCCCAGCGCCAAAACCTCGATATCGGGCCTGCTCAGCACAGCCAAGTCGCCCGTCCTCCGGGCAAACGCGGTGACGAACTTGACGCTCTCCGGCTTGGGCGAGCGCAGGGTGACAAAGGGCAGCAGGGTAGTCTCCACGCGGGACCGGGTGGCGGCGTCGCGGATCTCTGAGATGATGCAGGGCAGCGTGTAGAGCTGCTCGGCCTTTGCGCGGAGGGTGTTGGCGGGGGGGTCGTTCTTGATCAGCGGGCCGGTGTCGAGGACGAGGCTGTGGATGGGCTTGAAGGCGGGCTCGGCGGAGGACGGAGTCGCAGCGGCGGGTGCAGGCGCAGCGGCGGCGACGGCTTCGGGCTGGGGGGTTGCCATGGTGGCGGTTTGGAGTCCAGGAGATGGACGGGCGAGAGAAATATTTCGATCTGTCGCAGGTCGCTCTTCCGGCTGCTGATTTTGTGAAAAGCGGGACAATCGTTGCTCGGTTTTGTTAATCGGGTTTGTGGGACTGGGTCTCGTCTTTGGCTTCGGATGCTGAGGTGGGGTTTGGGCGGTGATGGGAATTTCTGTGGTGTTGATCGCGGGGCAGACTTTTTTTCTGCGATAAGATAAGATACAGTGCCGATAAGATTGGCACCAGACGCTGCATCCTTTCCCCTGCCTCATCTGGATTATGAGTCTTTTTGCTGAAAGTCATTTGGGTATTTCCTTGGATATTTTGGCTTTTATTTAGGCCTTAGTCCAGAAATTCTTGAATCTTGCTCGTCTCATCTTGCCTTTCCACACCACTTTCCGCATTACTCAAATGCATTCACGCCCAACTCCTCTCTACCTCATGTTCATTCCACCCATTAGATGGAGTATTGATTCCACAAGTACAGTTTAATACATTAATATCCAGACTGTTCAGCTGCCAACTGAGTCTCTTTGAAATCTGGGTGATAATCGAGGTGAGTGGGCTACGACGCTTGAGCCCCTTCGTTTTTGTGAGTTGAATGTATTCTGAAATCTTAACGCCTCGCCTGAATCTACGCTGTGTTAGCATTTCATACAAAGTAATTTTAGTTCTTGCATTTATTACCATCAAACAAAAATAAAACCTCTTCTCCCGTGTGCCGTACCAGCTCTGTTGCCAGCCCATGCCGTGAAGATGTTGCCACTCCCGTGAAATGCTTCAGGGGCCACTCGGTGAATCTTTGCTTCCATCTGTCGTGGAAAGTCAATGTGATAATGGGGTTTGCATTCTCCCTCTCCCTCTCCCACACCCTAACAATCTTCCGACGGGCCAACGATACGCCTCGCGACGATGAAGGGACGAAACAGAGAAACCCGCCGGAGGATGCCGCTGGGTCGCTTTCGATTATTTCCTTGGCCAGGAAAGTACTCAACAGCTTTCTGTCGCGGACTCGATTCATAAACATGTTGCAGGATGTGCTATCCGTAAAAGTGTACTGGGGATCTACCAAATAGACGGTGTAGTTGGTTTCCGATTCGACAGTGAGGAGCTGCTTTTCTAAGAACGTGACGGTATTCCAGTTTAACTGGTTATTAGTTGAAGGGATCGTGCCAAACTGAACTGTTATATGTAAGCGGTTGATATGATGTGACTTAAGGGTAGATGAATGTGTACTGGTGTGTGTCACAATGACGTTATGGTCAGAAGACTCGTACTGCAGAGTTCTGAACCGCGAAGAATAGTTGCATTCTAAGAGGCTGAGCCTTTCAAGCTCCAATGACTGTTCATAAATCAACTCCCTGTTTTCATCTTTGAGAACCCTGGGTAAAGTTAGTGATCCACTGGCATCGCACAGGCCTGTCGAATTCCCACAGTTTGGTTGGTAGCGATATCGCGCTCACGGATCTCCGCCGATCTGGCCGGGCTCGTCGCGGCTCCGTGTGATCTACAGATGTATCCGCTATTGGAACAACAAGGGTTGGACGCCTGGACATGGAGATGGTGGGACTCCAAGCGTCTGTGTCGGCCGCTTGGGCCCTTTCTCTCATGTCTCTTTCTCTGCTAATAATTAGTATCAGAATGTATTTCGACGGCGCATGCTCGTACCTATCTCTCTTGTCCCTCAAACGACGGCTCACGCTCTCCAGATCCCTCGTGATATACTTGACATCTTCATCTAGAGAGTTTGTCCATAGAAACGTCATTGCTACCTTGGTAGGCTTGCGACTCCTCTCAATCAGCTCCGTCGCCTGCTGCACCAGGTCTTGGATGCGACGGAGCATTCTTCTATCCCCGTCGGTTTCTGGATCCACAAAGTACTGGAGGTCCATGAGCTCTTCAAGGGCGTTCCGGAGGTATTTGACCTCCATGCCGACCTTGCGAGCTCTGCCAAGGTCGCTCGTCACCACGATCTGGATCAGACTGATGGCGGCGGCTACGGCGCCAAAAACCTCTAGGCCGGACATTGTGTGCGGCGAGGAGGCCGAGCAGGCCGGCTAAGAACGAGAACCGCAACCGACGGAATCCTGCGCACTTTGGAATTTGAAGAATGAGATGGGTTCGCAGGTCGAGGGGCAATATGACTGTAAGGCTGACTCGGGACTCGCGCTTCGTACCAGCGCCCCAAGCTTCCAGGGCGAGACAGGGATGTGCTGGCCCACGACGAACCACTTGCGCTGGGGTCGTGTGACATGCGACAGGTGACGAAGGCTATGTTAGGCTCTCTTTGCGAAGGGCAATCTTCCGTGGTCCAGCCGGACGAGGCTGGCGGCAATATCAGACGTGGCGTCTAGCAAGGGGCAGTATGAAGATCTCACCGAGCGAATGGAACCGCGACACCGCTCCACGTGGTGGGATTGAGGTAGCCCGCGACCCCCGTTGAATACGCCCCAGGACCACCACTAGCACCACTGCGAGACTACGAACGCAAGGCAACGGGGCGCAGTTACAGGTGCCTTGGCGGGACGAAGTAGTCATGAGCTGAAGTTGAATTCCATCCAGCCGTGTTGCCTTGGCTTGGGTATACATCCGTGTTGCCGGCTCCCGATTTCTCTCCTTTTTCTCATTCCACGGCCGCTTCGAATTGAATCCAACCTGCGAGCGACTGAAACTTGACTACATGACTGCAAGGATGGCGGACCATCATCCCCACGGGGAGCGTGAGCGCCGGGGTGTCTGGTACCGGTCTAACGTTAAGCCCGACACAGACCATATCCCAGTAGGACTCTCCTTTAGGCCAACAGGCGATTTGTCGCGATGTTTTTTTGCCGTTACGACCTAAATGGACAGTTGCTAATTCAGTTATCTTAGGATCTCAAACTAAGAGAGCAGGAGATCATTGGCATTCTGGAAGATCTCGGCTTCAATTGGACCGTTTTCATCGCCGTATCCGCAGGCTTCCTCGCCTCATCGTACACCATTTTCTCGAGCAACATCATCGGACCTGCGCTGGAGTACGTGTACGACGCAAGCACTCATGGGTTCTCTGACCCCAGTTTTACCATTGACATGGTCACCATCGGAACCACGACGCTGGGGATGCTCATCTTCGGCCACCTGGCCGATCGCCTCGGTCGGAAACGCCTGTATGGGATGGAGCTACTTGTCATCATTCTCGGGACGCTTGGGATGATCCAGTCCTCCGATGGATACTCTTCAGGAGATGGAAACCACTCGCTTAATGTGTATGCGGCCATCACAGCATGGCGCGGGATACAAGGTTTCGGAATAGGATCAGAAGTAAGTGGGCAATAAGTTGCTCTCAGTGTGCGACAACTTGCAGCTGTTGTCAGTGCTAATATGTTGATTCAGTACCCACTATCAGCGGTAATTGGAGTTGAATTCTCATCCACATCAACACGCGGCACGCTCATGGCAGCGTTATTCGCATGGCAGTCTGTAGGGCGAGTCCTTGCATACGTTGTTGCACTCGGTGCACTGAGTCGACTACCAGACGATACAGCCGACCACCGTGTTGCAATTGACGGACTGTGGCGTCTCGTCGTTGGTATTAGCGCTGTGCCAGCTTTGCTCGCCATCGGTCTCCGACTTACCATCCCCGAGACCCCTCGATACTATTCCGGCATCGAGAAAGACCTGAAGAAGGCTGAACGATCGATTGAAAAAGTCCGCCGTCCTGGAAATGACTCGGAATCTGTACACTCAGATGTCCAACCTCGTACAGTCGATGTGGAATCTGCCCGTCCCGACTTGCAGCAGGCTCGTACTGCTGAGGGTGTGGAACCTGCCCGCCCAGACCTACAACCGACTCGTACCATCGATGATATGGAATTCTCCCCTCCAGATGTCCAACCAAGTCGAGTGACTGATGACATAGTCTCCATCCCTTCAGACGATGTTGCATCCATCCATTCAGCCGTCCAACCCACCAAAAAGCAAAAACACAAAGTTTCGACACCTTGGCTCACCAGCGCCCGGGACTATCTCTTTGGAGAAGACCAGGCATGGAAACAGCTTTTAGGAATTACGTTCCTATGGTTTCTACTCGATATAGCCTTCTATGGTCTTGGTCTGGATAGCCCTTCGACGTTGAATCGTTTATGGCTTGATGCACCGCCGGAAAAAGTCGTCAACTGCACGAGCACCTTCATCGCCGAACCGGCCGCCACACAATACACCACCGCGACACTTACTTTGGCGAACAGCGTTATAACGACATTGACGGAAGTAATTGTCAACCCTACAATCACAGCGGCGCCAACTGCAACCCGGACCGAAACGGTGACTGTTGCGGTGAGCACAAACGCTCCTTGGAACCAGGATGAAGGTGATAGATGCGCATCAATCGGCGATTCCCTCAAAACGACTGCCGTACGCACTCTCCTTCTTAGCTCTATTGCATCCATCTTTGGATCCCTGGCTGCTATCGTCGTTATCAACCGATTTTCTCGAAGGAACTTGCTCGCCGTTACTTCTGGAATTTTGTCACTCCTCTTCCTAGCCGCGGGATTCTCCGTATGGCAGGCTACCGAAAAGAGGTCGAACGAAGTGAGCATGGTATTTTTTGCACTGACGCAATTCATGTTCAACCTCGGCCCCAACACGTTGACCTTCATCATCGCTGCGGAATCTTTTCCGACGGTGTTCAGAGGTTCCTTCGTTGGCGTCGCAGCAGCGGGTGGTAAACTTGGCGCTTTGGTGATCCGTCCGATAATGCATTCCATAGGGAAAGACAAGGATTCTCTGATGGGTGTTCTTTTCGGATTTTCCGGAGTCATGTTGCTAATGGCTGGCATTGCGCTTGTTCCTGGCGCAATTCTGGACATCCAACATCCTCGATTCGGGCCCGACGAAGGCCCATTAAGCAGGAAGGAGAAGAGCTGGAGATTCTGGGTCTTCGAAGGCCTACGCAATAAGTCGCTGGAGGAAATTGCGCCTAATCCGGACGGATGGCTGGAGGTTGACATAAGGAATACGACGGTGGAAGTAAAGACCAAGGAGGAGGACACCTCTCATCTGGCCGTCGAATTAATGCGGATGGAGCACGGACCCAATAGCTGGGGGGGAGTTCTCTCGAGGTAATTTGGCTGGATTTGGTGTTTGTGCAAAGATTGGTTCCTTAGAAATGTCTATTCGCATTGAATTTAGCTGCACCTGCAAAGTTGAGCCATACGGTGTTTGGTTGCTCCCTCTGTAACTTCGAACCCGTATCCCTGGCAAACGGTGTTCTAATTTAAGAGAGCCCGTGAGAGTTCCTAAGGGGAAAGCCCTTCCACGATATTGTCCAAGAGTCTCTTTTAATCCATTTGGTTCAAGTTTCATGCTGGATTTTGATCTATAATACTCAAGATAACACTAAAACTAATAAATGACGATATTCTGTGTTCTCAAACGATGATTACGAAGGTCTTGTAATTAGTTATTGCAATCCCGTAGACAGTTGGCAATTGCAAAACCATCCGAGTTGTCTCGGTTATTCGGAATTGGAACCTAGTCCTTGGAGGGGTTGGGAGAATTCCACCAGCGCGCTACCGAAACTGTCAGGGCAAGCCTCAGGCAAAAGGCGGGTTCTAGCGTCCCATGTATCGAGGGACGAACGACATCATCGGAGGAATCTACTTTAGAGGTTTAGAAGGAAATCATACCCCGGGAAAACTCAAGAAACGTGAGATAATTAGATATATTACTATGGCGAGCAATATCGCACTCGATGCTAAAATGGCGTCATCTGTTGTGACTCACACAAGGTTTCCAATGACTGGTATAAGAGAAGCGCCGAAGCAAGCCTCAGAAGAAATGTGTTGACTCTTAGCTTGTTCAAACATTTGAAAATTTGACAGAATAATGGCTGTAAGCTACCCGTATATATGGTCATGTTATCACAATACTAATCAATGCTAGGCGCCTTATCATCAGCTTGTGCTCTTTGGGGACTCTTTGTTGCAAGGGTCAATTGACGTCCAAAGCGGATTTTCATTCCAAGCCGCGCTCCAAGCTCGTATGTTGTCTACGATACACTGCTATCTTGCTCACCCTATCTAATCTCGCAGGCTTGATTCGACGCCTTGATGTGGTAAACCGTGGGCTTGCGGGTTGGAACACCAGGAATGCCGTCGAGTATCTGCCTAAGATAATACCGGAGCCCAATAATCTGTTGCCGAAATTGGATTCCCTGGTAAGTGAAGTTGGGCCGACTTGCTAGGACAATTGAACTGACCAACATAGATCGTTTTGCTTGGTGCCAACGATGCTATTATCCCCCATCCTGCGTCGACGAGGGATGTGCCTGTTGAACAGTACAAGGACAACTTGACACGTATCATCAACCACGCACACATCAAGTCTCACGCGCCTACAATTCTGCTGGTCACACCACCTCCTGTTGATGAAAGAACCGTCAAAGAGCTCGGCCATGAGACCCGGTCTGTAGACCACACAGCCTTGTATGCTGAAGCAGTTCGGGAAATTACGAAGGAAAACCCTGGGGTGGTTCTTATTGATCTATGGAAAGCTATTTTCGACAAAGTGGATTCATCTGGAAGGCAACTTGATCAATTATTTACGGATGGATTGCACCTGAACGGAGAAGGCTACAAGATTTTCTACGATCTGGTCGCTCCACATATTCCCGAGGGGAGCACTTCCCAATATGTGTACCCAGACTGGCAAGATCTCAGCTAGAGTATATAGAGTATAGCTAATGCTGTGATTTAAATAGTTTGGTTCGACTATGAATGCTCGCAAGACTAGTCTCGTGTGTCACTATTACCCGGTAATTTCCTTTCGACCTCGCATGCAGCTTCCTCCTCCCTCTACATAATCGTCTAGGGAGTAGAAATTCCAGTGAGAATATCATAGATATAGTCGACCATAACCTGTGCCATTTCCCGCTTGAACATCGACACGGTCAGGGTCCCGAAGCCTGGCCCCTGTCGAGAAGAACTCTTGTTTCTCCGGGTAAGGAATCTCACGCCAATCGTTCTGTGCCCGCCGGGCTGCTTTCAGGAAGCGCGCTTTGACGCCGCCCAGATCCTTAGCAGTCAGCTTGTGATTACGCTTGACAAACTTCCCGTCTACGAGCACATGCTCCACATCGCCAGGGTTAGAGTGAAGGATGACAGCGGCAACAGGGTCCAGCCAGCCAAGCATACTAGGGCCAGTAGCATCCCAGACGACAATGTCGGCCTTGGCCCCAATACTCAGCACGCCAAGGTCTGGGCGACGAAGAGCGAGCCCGCCGCTTCGTGTGATAAGAAGAAAAGCTTGAGCAGCGCTCATAGGGGTCGTCGCCGGGATCTCCCAGTTCTCCAGTAGCTGGTTGTTGATCTTTTCGCGCGTGCTTTGAAGCCACAGGCGAGCTTGACTCACTAAATCCGTCGAGACGTAGGCGTGAGTATCAACACCAAGCGCAGCCTGGTCCATGATGAACGCGCTGTGCGGGTGTCCGATTCCCATCCCCATTTCAGTCTCTGGCGTAATAGAGATGTACTGATTGGTGCTGCGTAGCAGCATGGCGCTTTCGTGGGTGATGTGTGTAGAGTGGGAAAAGACAACCGGAATACTTGTGTTGAGCATGTTGAGAGCGTGTAGCTCTGTTGGGGAATTTTCCGCTGCGAATGATCAGATACAAGAAGTTGGTATTGGTACAGTTGTTGGCCTACCTCCATATGGGCCTCCACTGCTATGCGTGGTGATAACGGCAACGTCAAGGTCTCTAAGGCGGGAATGTTGTTAGTACCAGGATTTTCCGTGCAACGATATCCAACCGTATAGGCGTGTAAACATACCTTGCAAGGCCGAACACCGAAGCTACCGATTTTGGATCGGCAGTAGCAGGACTGAAACCATCAAAAGCCACGCCGATGCTGACGGGTGTTTTATCCACGGGAGCCGATTTTGCAATATTGCGAAAATTAACAACTTGCTGGGCAATAGTATAGTTGGCAACTTCGTGAAAGGCATATGCCCAGAACACTCGCGCTCCGCTATGAATGCTAGCATTCAACCCCGCCCATGCCGTATCGTCCGACCAGGTATGGTGAGCATGGTCCAAAGAAGTGGTCGTACCTGCACTGAGCGCCTCATAGAGACCGGCTAGTTGACTGATATAAACCTGCTCGGAGTCGAGGCGCCCAGCGGAAGCATACTCGGAAAAGCGGCCAAAGTATTCGACAAGGGTGATGTTGGACATCATGGTTTTGAAGATAGTCTGCCAGCCGTGCCTGTGCGTGTCGACAAAGCCTGGCGTGAGAATCCTCCCTGAGACGTCAATGAGTTTGGTCTTTGGCGGGATGGCTACTGGGGGTGCCTCAGAGGCTGGCCATATGGCTGTGATCCGGTCGTTATCAACCAGAAGGCTGCCATTTCTGATAACGCTGAGATCGTTTACTTGGTGGTCGAAGGCGAGGATCGTGCCGTAGTTGAACAAGATGGAGGATGCGTGAGCTGGACAAGCTGCTTGCAGGAGCGCGAAAAGACAGAGAGGGAAAGCGGAAGACAACATGATGTTCCAAGGGATTAGGTGTAAGAATACCTGGAACTGGAAGTCTTCTCAATTTCCTCAACAGCGGATTTACCTTGGACTTTAAGCAAGAGCTCACCAACTGCCAAGGCTATGCCAAGGCTAACCTTGCACCATAGCATAGTTTCGTTTCCTTGGAGTGTTCTGGTCTGGGAGGCTCGGGTTTGGACTTTGAGGCCGAAAGTGCTACTCGGACTAGCGGCGGGTTAGCATCCGGCCTTGGCAAGCGGACTAGCGTCGGACTAGTGCGAGAATACTATATATAGATATATATCTCGCTGACAAACCAACATTCACTTCCCCTCGGAGGCGGAATATGCGGGGAGCACTAACATCCATCCAACTTTACATTGTTCCGTCACCGCTCTATTTTCGTGTACTCGATATGAATCAACATGCTCCTAACGCATGCCTGCCTTGTTCTTCTCACAAGCGTGCTTGCGATCGCTTAGTACCCGTCTGTAGTCGCTGTGCGAGGTATGGCTGCTGCCATTACATGTCGACCCACCGATGCTGAACACTTACGACTTGAGTTTACAGACATGGCACTTCTTGCCAATACGAGCGGTCGACGGGGTATCCGCAGAACTTTCCAGCAATTCGGAGTACAAATCAATACGGCTTGCAAACCAATACGGACCTTGACCAGTTACTGACGTCACGTCTCTTTGACACCCTCGCCATCATCGGGATCAAAGCTAGCTTGGAAGAGCTAACGGATGCGTATCTAGTATCCGTTCACCAATGGATACCGTTAATCCAGTCATGCAATCTAAAAAAACAGGTTTCAACACTCACCAGCGCTCCACTTGCCGAGCTTTCGGTATTCGTGCTACAGCTCATCCTTGTTGTCCCACCCTCCTCTTTCCCACGCCCGTCAGACCATGACGTCTTGCATTGGTTGTACAAGCAATGCAGAGAGACTTTTTCACTGCTTCAGGCACATCGTCGGGACAGTCTGCTCACTATTCAATCTGGCCTTGTGCTCGCCATCTTTGAACAGAGTCAAGGCCTCTATTCGGACGCTTATGTTACCTTGTCGATCTGTGCTAGTCTCGGCTACGTTATGGGCCTGGACTTTATCACCCATCCTACAGACAATGTATCTCAAGAGAAGAAATACGTATGGCAGGCCATCTTTTTTGTCGACGTCTTGAACAACCTTTCATTCGACCGATGCAGTCGACCTGAACTGGTCCAGACCTCCGACACCTCTAAAAAGCCCGAAATGTTCGGGGACCCTGGTTCGACGAATTCGCATCCTACAATTCGATCGCCTTCATCAGAGGGAGTGTGTACCTTTGATCACATTGACCGGCAAATACAGGCAGTGCATGTTCTACGGCGTGTACTTCGATTGACCAGAAACAAGGCTGTCTCGCTCGAGATGCTCTTGGACTATAAATCATGGGGCCTCGACTTCTTGATTCAGCAGGGCATTCACGAAGTATTAAGCGCGCCTCAACACCACCTCGAGCGCCAGTACGCGGTCGTCGTCATCTTCTTACTGTATGCAGCTCATTGGATCATCCCGTAAACGGTCAATACTTATAATCTCAGATCGACTTTCGAGCTACATAAGAAGATATTAGCGTGTTTGAAAAGCCAACACGGTCCTGTCGAAATCAGAAAGATATCGGTCGCAGCGCTGGAAACAGCTTTGAACTTGATTCAAGACTTACTCCGCGTGGAAGAAGACACTGGATGTTTCGACGACAAGATAATGCCTATAACTTTCGTCATGCTCATGGAAGAGGCAGGATCCACGGCCATACTACTAGAATCCGAGTATTCGCTCAACACTGACGGCGTGTTTCAACTTGCCCTGCGAGCATTGAAATGTGCAAGTAGTCGGTGGATAGCAGCAGGTCAGATTTGGACTTATCCCCCGAGCAGAACTGAGAATTAAGACTCACATTCAGCAGACAAGATTGCCTTGAGACTTCAAAACTCCCGATCTCAAGCTATGTATAGTCGAGCTGCGTAATTGTACTGTACAAGGGTGGTGGACAGAAATGCACATTTCAGCGACGGGAGCGGCATTTCCAGGTTGAAACCCAGCAGGTAGATCCTTTTTTTTTATGGACTGTGGAGTATAAAATACGCCTTTAGCTGGCCTTGGATAATGTTTAGTGGCATTACATCACATACAGGCCATACATATCATCCACACAATATCTTGCCCCCTGATACCCCAGACATGACGAGTCCACCCCCGCTTTAGTTGAGGCATTAAATTGCTGTTCGTTTTGACTACTATCGTCGCACCCCGCCAGACAGCGATCCGAGGTTAACCTGATTCTGTTAGTGACTAGTCTACAGATTGTTGGTGAACGTGACCTTAACTCGGGCACTTCTCCACCTCGCCTAATAACGACAGCCCCAAATCTTTAGGGAACTTCGGATAACCCCTGTCGCGCTCGCTCTTCGGCTTCTGAGCAATGTCCGAGATCCCGGACAGTCCAGTCCCAACCGACAAAGGTCACGCTGAAGATCGAGTTTTTAGAGGGATCAGCAAGGAAAGTTTGTAAAGTATGCGGGGTATGGCCGTTCGCCGTCAAGCTGAAACTCCGACAACGCGAGCAGCAAGGCTCGGAATATCAAATAAACGACCAGTGGAACATGAAACATGCACATCAAAACTGGCTGATCTTGCATCGACTACTAGGTCTGTTCTGATAATGAACCGCGCTATGATGAACCCTGGCACGATTGAGACTGAACTGATCCGGCTGCTCAATATTGGGGCTTAGCTTACATCCTGGCTTGCAGCATTAAAGCCCAATTAATACATCCCATTTTTATCTTTGGAGCCGCGAATTTGGTTGAATAGCAACTGCGCACCACCCTAGGCAACTATGCGCCACATGTAGCGCCCTGACGTTTACCATGCTTCGAGACGGTTATATTCACCCATCAACGTACCGGGAAACGGTCTCATCCGGCAAAACTTGCTCCTTATGTCGATTGATTGTTTGCTCAACTAGCAGGCTTTCAACCAACCTCGACTCTTACAAAATGAATAAGGAATATCAATTCATGGCCCCCAATTTACCCGGGCTGCCAGCTGTTTTTAGGCAAGAAATTAGAAACATCGGAACATTACCAATAATTGAAAAGCTGAGCCCACTGGTCGAGTTGGACTGGAGGTCGAGCCAGTATCGAGGTAGCCATGAGAACAGCTGGGAAGTCACTAAGGGAAACTTCAATGACGGTGAGACCATTCAGGTCACAGCTCCAGCAAGTAGGGGGTTTTCTATATGAAATTCGAGTGGATTGATCGTTCTGACGTACATGCAGATTCCTTATATGGGGCCCATGGTCTTGTACCACTTGCCGATATTGAGCCAGCGTCATCAGAAAGGAACTGTCTGATGCTTCGGGAATGGTTATCTACCTGTATGGCCAGCCATGAAAGCTGCCGCTCATCACAATCCATGACAGATGACCCTGCTGAAGATACCACGCTATTACCGACTAGAGTCATTGACTTGGGCGCACCAGAGGAACCAGGATCCCAGCCACGGCTCTTCTTGTCTAAGAAAACATCAGGACAGTACATTGCTCTGAGCCATCGTTGGAGTAAAACGATCGCGGTAAAATTGAAGCGTGAAAATCTCTTCCAGTACGAGAAAGAGCTCCCCGTGGACGGTATGCCGCCGACGTTTCGTGACGCTATTGAAGTGACACGCTAACTTGGTTTTCGCTATCTTTGGATCGACTCACTCTGCATCATCCAAGACGATGAGCTTGATTGGTTTCAGGAGTCCAAGAAGATGGGGACTATATTTGAAGAGGCCGCATGCACAATTGCTGCTGTCGATTCCGTGGACGACGACGGGATCGACCGCGGATTGTTTTTATCACGAGACGTTGATCCGGTTTCAATCAAATTCACGCTTCCCTACAAAAAGGCCCCTCTGAAGAAACTATCGGAACGAGTATTCGGAACTGATTCTCCGGTCTATATTTGGAAAGTTCGATGGTTAAGGGAAAAACCGACAATGAAGACCTGCGACAAAAACATCATCACGATTCGGCCACAGATTGTGTCTGCTTCGAAGCGTGTGTCACGGTCCAACTGGCATGAACGAGGCTGGGTCTTGCAAGAAAGGCTTCTTTCTCGCCGATTGAAATATTTCACCAAGGAAAAGCTCTCCTGGTCTTGCTTCACCAACAGTGGTGATGAGGAGGGTGGTGATCCCAAGGTCGCAGCCAGGGCCTCTCTACTTCCGGTGAGGAGAGGAAGTGATCTTCCAACATTCGCCGTTTGGCGGAATATCATTTCAGACTATTAAAGCTGTCAGCTGACGTTTAGTAAGGACCGATTGGCTGCCATTAGTGGTATTTCTGCGCGGTTAGAAGCCTACTTTTCATGCAAGGTCTACGCAGGAATCCTCCACCACTCGCCTGACGACGCCGCAGAGAACTTACTATGGTATGCTAGGAAGACGAATTTGCGGATCTCCAATGAGTTTCACGCACCTTCTTGGAGTTGGGTTGCTTTGTGTGGCGAAATATCTTTTCTCATGCGAACGCCAGGTGGACATGACAACCTCTTGATAACTGGGCTAGGCTTCAAGAGTCGTATTCAATGCGAGTCAACGGATTCATTGAAAGAATGCAAGGGAACATGCGTGTCTGGCAGCGTTTCTTTTGAAGGTCCAGTTCAGAAGCTCATTCGATCAACCAAATTGAAGGATCTGAGAATCGAGGGTTATCCGAACGAACCAATCACCGAAGGAAGGCTCCTGGAGGGGATCTTGGGGCCTACTCTTGTGTCAGACTTTGCCATACCGCGGGTTGACGAGCTGGGAAACGAAGTTCCAAGTCCACATGACTCGCTGGTGCCCGATCATACAGAGATCCTGGTCGAAGAAAGTGGCTGCATTGTCGGGTTTTTCATACCGGACCTCGAGAATGAGCTCAAGGAGGCCAGAGAGCAGCTGCCGGTCATCTGTGTGGGCATAAAGCGTTGGCAGGACCCGAATAGTCGACAAGAGGACACTATCGAAATCCTCGGACTCCGTGAAATATGTCATTCTACAATGACATTTCGAAGGTTAGGAAGAGGTAGGATCATTTGCAGCGGATGGCTGCAAAAGTGCAAGACTATGTATTTGACGATTATTTTAGGCATGTTGACGTCTGTTTCGAATTTACTTTGGTGTTTGGATCAACTAATGGGGTTCAGGGAACTCAGCGTAATTTATGACACTGTAATTCAGTTCTGTCTGAGGTATCCGGCATTCTCGAGCTCGTATTCTAGCACTTATGCAGTTCCACGGGTCGAGAATTGGACCAGGCATGGGAAGTCAGCATGATTTCGATTTCTTTCTTCTTTAGCCCCGAGTCTAAAGGTGACGAGTAGATTTCATGCAATCGAGACCGACATATCTACGAGTGGAGGCCAGCAGGTGAATTTTTCAGGGTGCTACACGCTTTTAAGCACTAGAACATATCATTATTTGTGAGTGGCTAGGCAAACCAAGGGCAAATGTCTGCTGGTAATCATCAGTGGCTAGAGGATACTAGATGCATCTAAGTCGAGCCTCGCTCAATATATCGAATTAAGCTAAGCATCTGGCTTGTTTGGGTGAAACCATCCATCTTTAAACTAATCCCTATGCTCTCCTGTCTCATGCTCAGCAGCCAGCTTTTCATCGAACCTTTCGGCCCTGCGAGCCAAGTCGGCCTGATAGTTGGCAGTGTACTCGCTTTTGTCCACGAAGGGAATGAACCAAGGCGCGTTGGCGAACAGGTAGTTCATCTCCTCTAGCGGCAACTGCTTGGTCTCGGGAACGAAGGCCCAGACACAGATGGCATTGGTGAAGTTGCAAATGACAAACACGAGGTAGTACTTCCATCCTACAGCGCCCATGGCGATACCGGTAACCTGGCCAATCATGGTGTTGAAAGCGAACGAAGTCATCGTTGCGAGGGAGACGCCCTTGGCTCGGGTGCGAGTGTCGAAGATCTCGGCGGGAATAATCCATGAAAGAGGTCCGCAGGTAGCCGAGAAGGAGAAGTTGTACGCCCAAGTAACGACGATGAAGCCCCAGCCCTGAGCAGCACTACCAGAGCCGGGGGGATAGACGGCCAGCATGATAGTGGCAATGATGAAGGTGACCATGTTGAAGAGGTTGCCCCAGATGAGAGTCCAACGACGGCCGAAATGATCGATGAAGGCAATGCAGAGGGCCTGAGCGATGAGAGCGATAATGGAGTTGATAGCCTGATACTTGAGAGCATCCTCGGGGCCAATTCCTGCCTGGCCGTAGATATCTACCGAGTAGTACTGGATAGCAGACACGCCGGTCATCTGAATGGACGCCTGAAGTCCACAAGCAATCAGGAGACGGCGGAAACAAGACATGTTGGTGAAGAGCTCGAGGTAAGACTTGGCCTCATTCGCATGCTCGTCAGCGATGCTTTCCTGGATCTGCTCCATCTCTGCGCGGACCCAAGGGTCATCTTCGTTACCGTTGGAGTGCAGACGAGCGAGAGTCTTCAAGGCTTTCTCCTGCTTGCCCTTGTCCATGAGCCAGCGGGGAGACTCAGGGAAGACAAAGATGAGAGCTCCGAGGAGGACGGCGGGGATGATCTGGATGCCCAGAGGAATGCGCCACTGTCGATTGTCGGTGTAATTCCTGTAGGTTCCCCAGCCCGTCCACGATGCAATGAGAGCACCGATGCCCAACATGAACTGCTGGAGAGCAGTAACCCGACCTGTCCACGGCTTAGTTAGGATTTTTACCAGTCAAGAATCAGGCTTGCTCACCTCGAATTGAAGGATGCGCGATCTCGGCCTGGTACAAGGGAATAATCATGGTCAGATATCCCACACCGAGACCAGCCAAGAATCGGCCCGCCATCAAGTACGAGATCTTGGGGGCAGCAGTCTGCAGGGCTCCTCCAATAATAAAGATGACGCTGCCAATGGTGATTGTCCATCGTCTACCCGTGTACTCGGTTGTGGGACCAGCGAACATGGCGCCGAAGAAGGCGCCGGCGGTGAACAAGGCGACTACGGCACCGCTGTGACGGTTTCAGAGGCATGTCCATCAGATGCAAAAGAGCCTGGAATGACTTACGTAGCAGAGTCGGTGGAGGTGGTATTGAAAAGGTCCTGATAAGACTTAGAAGCAATGACTTGAGCAATAACACCCAGGTCATAGCCAAAGAGCAGCGACCCGAAGGAGGCAAACACTCCGGTCAAAAATTGATACGCCTTAGGCTTCATGGCGACGGTTTGGCTGTTGAATAGCGTAGAGAAGACTACACATGATCGACAGAGAGCCCATCTGGCACTTTTATACTTCTCCGCACGGCTCAGGCAACCTCCACTTGATCCCACGTTGCAACCCCGGCTTCCTGGAGCAGTGTGCATTTGACACCTCTCTTCCAATAGCAGACGCAGTCTAGGGCAGGGGTGTATACCGCCAACAGAGGCATTCGTGTTACCCGGTTCCAGTAACTGAACGGCCCACGCGACCCCGTGGGGTGAAGGGCCCGAGAGAGGAGCAAAGTGTCGATAATTCAGTTAGAAAGGGAGATGATCGCCAGCAATTCTACCACACCACGCCACCTTTCTCCACAAGAGGGCTTTTGTTCATTGGTGCGCTACTGAGTCTGGAGTGGTAGCCCCTGGCTCATTCGTGATTAGGTCCACATCAAACCCGACCAGGAGGAGCTAAATCGAACTGCATCTGGGGTTTTCCCGCCAGTCATCAGAGCGTTACATTCACTCGCCTGAGCCTCGGGTGAGGAGTCCCCGAGCGCCGACTGAGCTGGCCCAAGAGCGGGAACAGGTCCGCGTCGACATTCGCTATTTGCTTGGCATTGCACTCTCTAGCCTGTACGAACTATTGTTTTAAGTGCTTGTCATCCCCACTCACCCTAAGCCAAGACTTTCTTGCGGCTCTCTTCACAAACCCGGCGACCCGTCACCCACTTCCTGCAGCCGAGAGTCATCAGCCCTTGACAAGTCAACCCGCGGCAATAGTACAAAAGAAAATACGAATGCAAGAGCCTACAGCGAGGCCTCGATTAGAAGGATAACTCGGAAGCCCTTTCTATATGCGGGAACTAGGATGGTGCCGATCGTGTCCACCACTTCTAGCGAGACTGTGTTCAATAACGCCTCTGGGTTACCGAGTAGAGTCTTTGAGTCCTGGCTCTCAAGATGAAGAGGCGAAAGCGAACTAGCTAGAATATTGTTCCTAAAGTATTTGGCTAGCATTGCATTTAAACGGATGAGGGGAGTCACGCGCATGACGGTTCCTCACACGGCGAGACCCAGCACCGATTCCAGGTTCCTTACGAAACTATTGCAGGTTGTTAGCTCATGACTGATCATTGGGCTCTTTCTCGTGCAAATTAACGGACTTTCTAAACGACTTGACGGCAGCCATATCACGCCCCTCCACTCCTGCTTGGGTAGAAATAGGTGCCCTGAGTCCTCGTCAGCTGTCATGCCCCCCGAAGTTCACCACAAGACTTACGGCTGTAACGTGCTGTCGGCTCCTATTCTAATTAGAACGGAATAGCCAATCCGTTTATCCACTCCTGTGTTCTCATCGAGGGTTGGCACCAAGCCAGGCCCAACTGCCCAGTACAGCCATCCGAACAGGATGCACCCACGGTAGCGGCCGAGCCGGTTGTTGGGAGTGAAATTAATTGAGCCGAGTCCCAAGAAACTCTTTTCAAGCCTAGAACGACGATAGTTATTCCAGCCGGAGCGGGAAAAATCCTCAAGAAGTCGACGGCCTTGAGTTTCCTAGCCGACTTAGTACAGGTTGTATGAGGCTTGCGGAGGAGGGTTAATAATTTCCAGTCTCCCTCCACCTTTTTGAGTGGCATGAAGAACAAGACACACACAAAGTGGTGAATGTTGTGAGCGGTAGTTGCATTCTCAAGATCCATCGCCATGAGTACTGTGGCAAAGACTGGAAGAGAGATTCAAGTCTCCGGCCCAGGAACAAGCGAATCCTACTTATGTGCGACGACGGAGACAGCACTCGCCACAAGCGTCTTGCCGGCACATGGCTATGAGGCTGATAGCCTTTTGAGGGGGTTTCATGGCTCCAAGTAAGATGAGGCAGAATTCGAACAAAGCCACGATAGACGGAAGCAGGGAAACCGTCCTCGAGTGGAACCGACGTACGAGCCATTTGGAACGAGCTCGACGCCATCTTCTCCGGCTCCCTTTTGATGTAGCATTTGGGCAACGGAGAACATGTAATGCATGAGAGGGACTGCCGTGATATGGTATAGGGGTAAGCAAAAAATGCTCTTGAATGACGAATACTACAGGAATCGATTTAGATAGAAGAAACGAATGGGATACTTTCCTATGCACTTTGAGCCACAAGTAGTAGTTATGAGGTCAAGATATGTTATACTTGAAGCAAAATGTCCAGAGCTTGAGGGAGCATGCGTTATGTGCCACCTTGTTTAAGATTGCTTGAAGGCTTGTATGCTATGGCAAGAACAAAATCAGTCGTTAATCATCTGGGAACACTCGTCAGCTCAGCTGGGAATTAGTGACCAAGTACGCTAGAAATGGTGGCTAGATGTGCTGTAAGTTAGGGGTTAAGCGCTAATAGTTAGGACAACTTGCGGACCTTAGCGCCTAGCCGGAAGCGGAGAATTAGGGCTCCGAGAAAATATCATGTCGTTTTCGGCAAGGCGGCGTCGTAAAAGCCCGTTGAAGGCATCAAACTGTTGAAGACAACCTTGAGATGGCAATGGCAGCTTCGCTCTCTTACCATGAGCCGTCCATTACGGCCATTTCCATTCTCTCTGGATTCTTACTACTGTTGAATTTGGTCAATTTTGGTCTGGACAAGATCGCGTACTGCGGCCTCATTGGCCAGGTTGCACTTGGCATTGCTTGGGGCACTCCTGGGGCAAAATGGCTCACGCCAGAAGTTGAAGATGCCGTGATGCAGCTGGGCTATCTCGGCCTGATTCTCATTGTATATGAAGGTACGTGATATTTGGATTGGCATATGCGCCTCTTCTAACGTGTAACATAGGTGGTCTCGCCACTTCGTTCAAATCCTTGAAGGCCAACGTCGGTCTCTCCTCTTGCGTGGCTGTTACGGGCATCGTTCTACCCATCGGCCTATCCTTCGCAGTCAAGTCCATGCTCAATGCATCCCAATTGCAAGCCTTTGCCGCAGGCGCAGCTCTTTGCTCGACCAGTCTGGGCACAACCTTCACTATCTTGGGTACAAGTGGCCTCTCCGCTACTCGCCTTGGCGTCGTCCTCACAAGCGCTGCCATGATGGATGACGTAGTCGGCCTCATCATGGTCCAAGTTATTTCGAATCTCGGCGAAGGCGATTTCGATGCTGTCACCGTTGTCCGTCCAGTTATGGTATCCATGGCTTTTGCATCTGTCGTCCCGGTCCTCTGCAAATTTGTTGTTGCGCCTTTGACCCAAAAGCTCAACGCGTTACGCGAGGCTCACCCAACTGGAAACATCTCTCGAATCTTCTTGTTGAGACAAACCGCCTTTGCCATTCACACCGCCTTTCTTCTGGGCCTCGTGATAGGCGCGACCTTTGCTGGTACGTCGAGTCTTCTGGCAGCTTATATCGCTGGTGCAGCCATCAGCTGGTGGGATTCCGAGGTCCCCCATGTTCCAAGCCGACCTGCCACTTCTGAGAGCGACACATTTCGAGGTGAGAGAACAGAGAGCACGAGGAGCACGTCTACAGACCCAGCACCCACCGCACCTGAGGAGGAACCTGGGGTACCGCTAGCCATGGAGGGCGGCTCGGGAATGGAGACTTATGAGTGCTACTACGAATCTTCCGTTCAACGTATTCTGAAGCCATTTTTCTTTGTAAGTAACCAAAGTCGACCTCGAGAATATCTACTAACCCAACATAGGCATCTATTGGGTTCTCCGTCCCCATCACCAAGATGTTTTCTGGCCCAATTACTTGGCGTGGAATCATTTACACCATTCTCATGACAGTTGGCAAGCTGGCATGCGGAATCTGGCTTGTCTCCTTTGCAAATCCCCTTCGCCCCATTAAGCACTTCGTCCGGAGATTTTTGTATCTCTGCAAGTGTGCGGATTCCGATTCCTCCGCAGTGTCTCAGGCCAAGGCAAAGCCCACAGCCGAGCGTGGCGCAGTGCTTCTGCAGTCACTGACCGACACAGCCCCTCGCCCCGTCTCACCTGAGATCCGCAACTCTACACCCAAGCCAGAGAAAGCCTTATCTATCTATCCGGCATGCATTATTGGTCTGGGAATGGTCGCTCGCGGCGAGATCGGGTTTCTGATCGCCGCCTTGGCCGAGAGTAAGGGGGTTTTCGGACGTCCGCCAAACGGCCAGCCTTCAGAGCTGTTTCTCATTGTCACTTGGGCGATCTCCCTCTGCACCGTCATAGGGCCTATTTGTGTTGGACTGTTGGTGAACCGAGTCAACCAACTCGAGATGAGAAGCCAACAGCGAAGGGGTGGAGGAGAGCGGAACGTTCTCGGGGCTTGGGGCGTCAGGTAGATGCCTCCAACAGCAATTATCGTCATTGAGCCAACGTTATAGCGGGGAAATGCTACAACAATCAAGCCACGTCTACTATCTGGGTGTTTCGGGGCGCATTTTGCGACTCTGGGCTATGTCTGTATGACCACTAATCCACGACTTATCGTGTGAGCCCCTCCAGCTATCCCCAGCTTTCAAGCCAAGAGCGGAATCCTCACACTGGTGTGACCGCTTTTCATGTGTCTGCCTTGATCATACGCCAGACTTGCCTCTGGGCTGCAATGCATCAGCGCCCAACATAAGCCGTGGCTTTCTCATTGAACGCTTGGCATTTAGATTGGATACGGGTTGTTGCCAGAAACCAAAAAAAAAAAAGAAACAAAAAAGCCACCCCTAGGCAGAAGTGCAAATAGACATGTAAATGCCGCAGTCGTCATACGTGCAGAACTTGAGTGAGGCTGACTAGAGCGTCAGCTTTAACCACATCTTTCCAGCGTCGCCTGATTTCCCCGGGTTTCATTAGGCTCTTAAGAGATTCTTTTTCTCAAGTCTAAGCACCTTCAAAGAATCGCTCTTTCTATGTTGTCTCAGTGAGCCGTATTCATCGACACGATGAGTGACCCTCTTTCCATCGCAGGCAGTGTCGTTGGCATTATTGCGCTCGCGGATGTTGCCTTTAAATATGTCTACAAATACGTCAGGGCTGCCAAGAATGCCGAGTCCGACGTCAAAGCCCTCGCCGACGAGATTGACGGCCTTGCGAGGCTGTTACGCCACCTCGAAGCCCTCGCTTCGGACTTAGAAGACGAGGGTGACAAATTTGACCCGGCCCTGAGAGCCCATTACTTGAGCCATTGCGAGATGACTTTGCAAGGAATTGAGAAGCGGGTCAAGAAGGCTGCCAACAGTTTCGCCCAGTCCAAACTCCAAGGATTTGCTCGGCAGCTCAAATGGCCTTACTCTGCGTCAGAGACGAAGGGGTTGCTCGAAGAACTTTCGCGTCACAAGGCGACCATCACTGCAGCTTTGGCGACGGACTCGATGCGCAAGTTACAGTTGTCGCTCTCAAAAACCTCCGAGCTGGACAAGCAGCTGGCTGCCATTGGGCAAACGGTAGCACAGATCGAAGTCAACACGCGCATCGACGTGAACGATCAAAAGCGGCGCGTTCTCGACTTTTTTATGAAGGTCAGCCCTCAGCCAAACTTGGAAACCAGTGTCAAGCTCCGGCATCCCATGACCGGAACGTGGTTAACAGAATCTCCGAGGTTCCTTCACTGGCTAGAAACCCCAGGTTCCAAGCTTTGGTTAACTGGCATTCCAGGGGCTGGGAAGACTGTTATTGCGGGCTCAGTGATCCAAGAAGCGCTGCACCGCAGCTACAATAACCAACAAGTCGGAGTGGCTTTCTTCTTTTGCGATTACAAGAACTCCGAGACCTGGGAGACGGCTGCTATTCTAGGGGTAATTGCTTCCCAACTTGCTCGCCAGAAAGATGAGGCCTTCGAAATCCTCCGCCAATATCATGATGAGCTCCATCCAAAAAAGGGCCTTACGAAGGCCCCAGATCCTGACGAACTCCGGGCCAGGATCAGCCAGATTGCCCAACTCTTCGATCAAACAATGATCGTTGTCGACGGTCTAGACGAGTGTGGCGATAAAGCAGATGATGTGGTCGACATTCTATTGGAAGTGATTGACTACTCGGAAAAATTGTCAATGGCTCTTTTAAGTCGTGATCACCTCAACATCCGTGATCGCTTGGAGCCAGAGTTCGACATCACTCCTATCGCAGCAGACACCTCGGACTTGAAACGATATGTCAACACAGAGCTTGAGCAACGCATTAAAGGTGGGCGACTGCGGCTTTCTGATATGAGTATGAAAGAGGAGATAGCAGAGGGTCTTGTGGGCCGAGCCGAAGGAATGTATGCTGGGTGTATCTCCTGCCTTTGATCAGTCATCAAACTCACGTTATACAGGTTTCGCTGGGTGGTCTGTCAGCTCGACTACCTCTGTGACTGTCTCCATGACACCGAACGACGAGAGGCCCTGACAAAGCTTCCCCCCGATCTTCCTGAGAGTTATCGTCGGCTCCTTGAGCGAGTCAATCGCTCGAAGACTGGTGCTCCAGTAATGGTTCAAATGTGTCTCCACTTCATTGCACATGGAGAGTTGACAATACTTCAACTTCGGCAGGCCGTTTCGACCCCAGCCACTCTAGGTGCTACATTTGATGGGAAAAACATGATTTCAGAACAAGAGATTTCTCGGAGATGTAGCAGCCTTATCCGAAAGTCGGCAGATGGGGAGGACTTTGAGTTCGCTCACTTCTCGGTTCAGGAGTTTCTCGAGGATGAGGAGGCTCTATCACGCCCGCTTAACACGCCTGGTCTTCGAATCGACAACTTTTTCATAACAAACGAGAAGAGTCAGTCGCTGTTAGCTGCTCAATGCCTCAGATTCCTGCAGCTCAGCAACTTTGAACAATCACCAACGAGCTCAAGTCAAGAGATGGAACTTACCTGGATACCTGATGATGAACAGTATTCATTCTACCAATACTCTGCCTTGGAGTGGCTCCGACTTACGGAAGAGGGCTTTGACGACACAGCGTTGTCTCTTGCCATCTCTCTATTTCACCCCAAGAGGAAAGCGCAGTTCTTAAACTGGACAACCACTGTTTTCATCTACACAAAGTATTGGCCCGGCAGGGTAACAGATTTCGAAATGAAGAAGAAAAGTGGCGAGTCGGCCGCCGCCCGCTTTCTCCGAGTGCGTCAGAAGGTCCTTGACAGTAACTTCAAACCGCTTCATATGGCGGCATTACTAAATCTGCCTGAAATCTGCCGCTACCTTCTCAACCAAGGTGCACAAGTCAATTGCCGATGGGGCGCGAAGAGGCCGATTGACCTAGCTTTCGCGACCATTGCTCAAGTGCCTGAGTGCATGTTTGATACCTCACCCGTTGGAGATGACCGTGATGAACGTGCTAGGGCTGCATATTTATGGTCGAGGTTTCTTCCCAGCAACAAACGAACAAGCCTCACCATCAATTGCCTAATGGAACACGGCGCAGAGCTATCAAGCAACCCAGTTGTTGAGGGAACCCTTTCTATGTTTTCCGCTACTTTCGCACTTGGGGCGTGGTCCGGTGATTTCAGCCCAGTCCTCGCTCTTCTTCGCTGCGGTATCAGTCCCAGCTCGATGGAAACTGAGAGGTTTGGCCTTTGCACGAGAGCGGAGAGGATGAAGGTGAACAATGACACGGAGTCTTCAACGCTCGCGATCCTAGAGTACCTCACTTCAACGTCGGCTTATGATACAGAGTGGGGCAGGCAAATGGGCTCAACAATTTGGCACTTGGCCGTCAAGCACGGCTTCTCATATACAGACGATTCATTTCTCGTCGACTCGGGAATCTCCATGTCAGAGGAAACCCTAGCCGTCAAGATACTCGCAGCGATCAAGGACGACGACGTCGAATCAGTGAAGAGATGCCTCGCCGATGATCGACTTGACCAGGGAGCTTCATTTTCCGAGGATGGGAACACGTTGCTGCACTTTGCAGTTCAGCTCGGTGTTTCTAAAACTCTTGAAGCGCTACTGGATGCGGGCTGTGATCCTTATCTCCAAACCGCCAAAGGTGACCTCCCGATCCATATGTATGACTGGTCATGCCAGAATCGCCAGGAGTGCCAGGTTTTTAGGACGCTGAAGAAATTTGGTGTCTCCCTCTCCAGTCAAAATGCCCAGGGTCTCACAATCTGGCACTTGTGGGCTGATTGTATCGACCGCGCCAAATTTCCCAGCGATATCCTCGAGCTTGACCGGGACGAGGCATCCTCTGCTCTTAAAATGAAGTCGTCGGGAGGCGATACGGCACTTTCGCTCCTGTTGTGGAAATCTCTTCCTTCCACCCAAAAAGCCGAGCAGGCCAACCAAAAAGCCGAGCAGGCACTCCAACTCGTGGACCAATGCTTGAAAATACCAGGCTACTGGCAGGATCATGGCCCAGCCTTCAGCGCAGCAGCATATTTCGGGTCTGAAAGGGTCTTACGTCGCCTGCAGGAGGCTGGTGCCACAGTCGAGACAGCAGTTGAGGGATCCCGCACGCCCCTGCACCACCTAGGGCCGGCGGCTTCGTTGCAAGCTGTACGAGCACTGTTGGACCTCTACGAGGGGGCATTGCAGTACAGGTTTAAAGGTGAACTCCCGGTCGAGGCCTACATCATGACATGTCTGCGACTTGGAGCCAAACCAGACGCGGCTGTTATTGAAGCCCTCGCGCCGCCAAGCCTCGTCAACATCCAAAAATCACTCTGGACCTTCGCCTGTCAACTCCCGGGTCGATTTTTGCAGCGAGACCTACCCTGGGATGAGGTCGATAGCTACATACTGTTGGTGGACGGCGTCACCGCGGCCGTGCTTCGACTTGGAGCCATGCGGGTCTACGAAGATTCCATGCAGCAGTCTGGATTGCTCCCACTTTTCCAAGGAATACTTAGGTGTGACCGGGCATATCAGATAATTTTATGCGGAGCTACAGACTCCATTCGCGAAGCACTTTCACAAACAGGCTATTTAGCTGAGGCAATGAATTCATCCGCCGTACTCGAGTTCTTCTATGAGACTATTCAGTGGTCGAAATTGGATCTAATTCGCCTGCTTCTCAACTACCAAATCAACATTCACAGCCCTTTCGACGATGGCTCTTCGCTAATCAACTCTGTCTGCAGATACGACAAAGCCCTCCGCCTTTCCTGTTCTGAGGATGGGATGGCCATCCTCCGGGAACTTCTCAGCCATTGTGTCGGTGATAAACTCAATGAAATTCTACCCGCCGACAATGGCTTAGGGCTTCTCCACAGGCTTGCGACACGCAAGGATGCAACCAGCATCCTTTGGTGGGTGGAGGCGTTGATCAAAAGAGGCGCTAACGTTGACCTGATGACCGAAGGCCACAGACGAGTCTCTGTTCTCGCTCATCACCTGTACGAATCTTCCACACAATGTGCCGAGCTCTTTCTGAAATTAGGGGCCGATCCCATGGCCAAAGGCTCCCCAAATTCTCCGACAGCAGTCCAAGCAGCCCTCGAAACCGGGAATACGGCATTTCTGAAGCTACTGCTTGTTCAACCCCCCCTTGGCTCTTCGGCCATCGACTGGGAGATGCCAATGTACATTGATTCAAAACGGAAATACGGCAGACGACTCATAGTTAGGCAGGCAAACGCCCTACATTGTGCCGCCCTGGGTAACGACGCAGGATGTCTGGAATTCCTGCTTGGCGAGAATCTCATCCCAACTCACATTTCAAAATCATCTGAAGGCTTGACTCCTCTTCATGTTAGCGCTTTTGCAGGTTCCGTGGAGACAACGAAGCTTCTTCTTTCCAGAGGGTTCAATATCATGGCGGAAACCAACTGTCGAGAAACTCCACTACATTTTGCCACCAAGGGAGGATCTCTGCCCGTCCTGAAACTCCTGGTCCAACACGGGGCATCGCAGACCATGGACATTCATGGCATGACCCCAGTGCGGTATGCCAATGGGGAAGACTTCGTTGAGATGATTTCACTTCTTAACGGAATGTCCACTGACGATACGAGTCAGCTGCCATTCGATCCTGAGGAGGATCTACCTCTAAGGCAGACCCAAGTCTTCGCCCATGCACTTGAGGATGCTGTCCGAGATGATGACCAAGCCAAGTGCGAGAGGCTATTCAGCCAAGGCTGCCCAGTCGATGTGTCGTTGCATAAAATCCGGGCGAGTTCCGCTCTGGTTCTTGCTTTACAGCTCAGAAGATTGGAATTGGCCGGATGGCTTCTGTCGAAAGGGGCGAGTGTGCTGAAACGTTGGAATGAAGCCCTCAACGCAAATAGTGTGATCGAGGAGGTCTCAGGTCTCAACTCGCTACTGCCAGAAATCGTCGAAAAATACTGCGCTCAAGGAGGAGATCTGGTCTCGGGAGATGACTTCTCATTGCATTGTGTTGTGCAGAGAGAAAATACAGACGAACTCAAGCTTCTGGTACAGTGCTTAAAAGCTTGCGGTCCTATACTCGAGTAAGTTGAGACTGAAACGTTTTGGCCTTATAATTGCTGATGAGATATTGAAGACGCAAACACAGAATGCGCTTCCACCAGATTAAAGTTGTAATTATGAGTCGTCTTGCCCATCAACGCTTTTCGGGAGGGAGCGCACTTCATCTTGCCTCGAGTCTTGGCAACAAGTCGATGGTTTCGTTTCTCATTGAGGAAGGGTCATCAATCGATGCAATCGATTCGGCCGGCGGGACACCACTGATGCGTGCTAGAACCGCTGACATGGCGCAACATCTGATTAGCTTAGGCGCGTCAACTAGTTCGCTGTGCAGACTCGGGCTTTCTCCTTCCCTGGGCTATATTACGGCGGAGCAATTTGTGGATCGGTATCCCATCATTATTTCACAACTACCCACGGGATTCTTGAACGACTCGCCAACTAGACTAGGCCCAACGCCCTGTTTTCAGATCAGTATTTCTCCCCAGGCTGTCTTAAAACTACACGAGATGAACTATCCCCTGCTCCTTGAACATGAGGGTGGCCCGAGCTTGATGCATTCTATCATCTCCCAGGACAATACTTCAGACGTCGTGCTCGATGCGGATCTTGGTCTACCAGGAACAACGCCTTTCCCTTGGCATTTTTGTTGGTTTTATTTCTCCAGACTTCCTTTCCTAACCACAAAATTTCGCAAATTCCAACGGAAGCTGTCATATGACACATTTCAGGCAATCCTAAACCTGGAACCATCCCGCGGCTGGAGCCCCTTGTGCCGCGCCGCATCACTGGACCTCCTCGACATCATGGTGAACTGCTTGGAAATGGGTGCTCAGATTGATTTTGAAGGATCCCCCTTTGGCTCCGCTGTCATGGTTGCGAGCCTGTGTGGGAGCCTTGGCGCTGTCAAGTTCCTGGTGCGCAACGGAGCGTCAGTCGTCTATGCCGGACCGAAGGGCACCAGAAATTGTTATGCACTTGCTGGGTCTCCAGGGATCAAGTCGTGGCTTCTATCTGGTCGGTTCATGGACCAACTATCGATCACGGCGCCCGGACAGAATGACGAGGGAGTTCTGATCAAGCCTTGGAGTGGTCCTGTTCGAGCCGGTGTGAGGCTCTATGGCAAGAGAGAGAAGTCACCGACTGCATCGATGTTGGACGATGCAAGGAGACTGGGATTGGCAAGAAAATACTGGGAGGGCGAGGCTGTGCCCTTTGACGAGGAGATTGAGACATTCCTTAAGAATTGGGACACAGAGATTCCCTAGCTACCAGGCTTAAGGACGTTGATGCAACAGGCGTACCGCGCTCAGTGAACGTTTGTCCACTTCTGTTAAAGCAATTCCATTCGGTAGCACATTTAATCGGTTCACAAGACCGCGAACCTCCTTATTCATAGTTATGCTATATGGCCGAGCTGATATTGCTCCTCGACGACACAGAACTAGTATGTATTTCTAGGAGAGGGGCCTATTAAAGGCGTCTGGCCGTATTTCCCTGACCGTGTGCTATAACTAGACTCGGAGAAATCTTTTTCAGAGATTGAATCCTACATACTCGCTCATTGCTTTTTGCCGGCGCGATTATGGCGTGGCGGCGCCGGCTCTTGACCGGTCACAACCGGTCGTCAACTTGGGTTTGGTGACGGTGGGGTGCTAATCATATCTAAGTCCCCACCTGTTGCCGAGGATGGCACATGTCAGATTGTTGTGGCTATGGCTACTTTGTTGGTGGGAGAGGTCTTTAGTGCGGACCACACCCGTCCGTAGGGTAGGGCCAGAGGGATAATAAAGGCAGCGGAAAACCAACAACAAAGCAGTTTTCTGGGGGCAAAAGATATTTAAAGCATCTGATCAAATGCTTCCTGATTACTGCCAAGGAGGGAAAAAGAGAAATAATATCAAGAGCTGCTGCGACAGCTGCAGTGGAAGGATCGTACTGGGACTCAAGGTCCCTTCTTAATTGGAAGAAGGAAAAGGCGTGCCGTTTATTTTTCAAGCTGACTTCACGCTTTAAGTAGGGATAGCCTAGCTAGCACAGGCCTTCCGTACTGTATTAAACTCCAGGTGGACCGTTGGCCCCATCACACTACGCCGCCTGGTTGAGTACATAGTTTATCTCTGTCTGGATTTCCAAGGGGAAATCAGTGGATAAATCCATGAACCAAACTCCAGTTTCTCTACTACAAGCCCCATCAACATATCGATTAGCATGTTCACCTAATCTTAGGAAGACGGTAATGTATTGTACCTAATATAGATTAGCGATAAATACCCAGTACAACAGCTGATAATGCGACTTTATGTATCTTACTGTATGTTCCGTTCTCAGACCCATGCACGCAGCACAACGCTCCTATACCCAGTTCCGCGATCCAGTTCGCCACAATCCACCAGCGTAATTGGTTTAGTGGTAAAATTCTCCGTTGCCATTCAAGCAGCGCTCGGGGAGCCCTGGGTTCGATTCCCAGATTACGCAAGGAAATAAGAGCTTCGTTGGCCTTATGATCTCCTCTTTTTGCCCTGCCCATGAATTCCTTGTTGGTGCTTTGCGCCTGAGTCTTTTTGCCGGGGACTGTGTACTGGCGAACTGGCGGCTTACTGTGCCGTATGCTGATGAAGGCATACCAGATTGAGTTAATTGGGAACCCCGCTATTATATTCCAGCTTCAAGCTCCGTCTTGAATCCCCGCGTGTATATGGTCGCAATGCAGCTCTTTCTTTATACCAACTTGTAGGCATTTCTCTTTTGTTCTCATCACGACACATCCAGGTCTAACTGTTCAGTGGTAGCAAGAGTTTCATTTGCAAACATGCTGGGGGCGTTGATACTGTGGATCAAAGTCGCCTCTAACTTCATCCACGCCCTCCAGGTCCGCAGCCACATATGCCCTCAAGGTAGCCTCACCTTCCACCCGCTTCCACCCCTTCCATGGAGCAAACTGGACTTCCCTTTTAAGAGGAATAGCCATAAAGCCCTCCAGGAACATGTGGAGGATTGAATTTAACGCAGCGGTCATTCTACCTACAAGATACGTTGGTCACCTGGCCCAATAAGTTCGATTCCCAGTTACAGAAAAAGAAGAGACGAACAAATTAAAGAAAAAAAAAAAAAAAAAAGAAAAAGAAAAGAGAAAAAAAAAAGCAAAGACAAGAAACACAAAGAGAAAAAAGACAGTAAAAAAAGAAAGAGAGAAAAAGAAAAAGAATCTCGACTGGGAAGCCATATATGCCATATGATTGAATATTTTTGCCAATTAGTTTAATGCGTCACATCGTCCCGCAGAATGCCTTGCCGATAAACAACCTGGCGTGAAATCTTTCCACTCTCAGTACTAGGCGGGTTTCCCCTAGTATCAAGAATAAATACCTCTGCTTCAGCACTTGCCTAAGGACCTGCCCAGTTCTCGGCTCGTTCAAATTTACATTAATGAGGCTCTTGGGCCCCTAGTGTGCTGGCCGATCGTCGGTACTGATTCACCAAAGTAGAGCGAATTCCTTGTCTTTGATCCCTTTGAAACCCTCCACTCCTTTAGTTCTTTTTTCTCGACCCCCGCAGTCCTGATCAGCCCCACCCCAGTAGTCTGACAGCATGCCGCCAGCTCTCTTGACCCTCTTCTCGATCCTCAATAAGGCGTTGACTGACGTCGCTCATACACGGGAGCAGTTAAATACTACCGCACTAGTATCAAAATCCTGCCCCGTTCGTCATCCAACCCCTCATTCGGCAGCTTCGCCAGCGTCCGAGAGTCTGGGGGGAATTTCTCCTAACACTCAAGAAGTGCTTGAACGACCAGTGCAGGTATGAAACTGGTATCTTCGTATTTACCGGAGGTATTTTGAAGTCCTAAAGCGGTGACGAGCTTTCCGACAAGCGGTGGGGTTAGATCGGAACTCGGCTAGATGGATACACTGACGCTAGGTACGACTAGAAGTACGAAGCCCATCACCTCTGCAAGGTGGGTGGCAACATTGAACGCATGAATCATGCCCGACTTCTAGAGACAGGAGGGCCACATCAATCTTATTTAAAATCAGGAGTGGTGATATTCTTTTTTTTTTTTTAAAAAATAGTCCAGGATGTAGGCCGATTAAGGTATACATTGCGAAGTTACGTCCAAAAATTATTTTCTTACTCAAGCCAACACGCCCACATTTTTCATTCCTCAGTCACTGAACTCTTTGCTAAACATCTTTCGTAAACCAATCTGCCACTGTGTTATCGTACCAAGTAAATCGAGGAGTCCCTTGTCACCGAGACCAAAAGATGATCCAATGATCAAAATCCTCGTCGTCCAATTCGTCGATACTTCCAACACGGTCTTCCGGGGGAACAATGGTGTTGAAAATTTCAAGAGCCGTCTGTAGTTCCTCCTTGGCTTCTTCTTCTTGGTCCATCATATTCAATACGTTTCCTTTCTTGTAGTGAGCTCTGGCAGCTTCCGGCTGGTGATAGGCGTCAAGGTTGAAGATCTTGAGGGCTTGGTCAAGCAACGCACTGCGAGGATTAGTGGCTGGAGAGCAGAATTTGCAAAGTGGAACTTACAGCGCGGTAGGACCGTCTCCCGTGCGAGCAAAATGGTCTGAAGCCTTTACACATCCGTCGCCGGTTCGATGGTGAAAATTGCCGACAGAGCTTTTGTAATGCTCTAGACATTTGACGTGGTACTTGAAGCTTTCGTCGAGTCGACCCTGGGCAGCCAAAACATTCCCCCAACCCATGTACAGTTTACCGTTCCTATATCGTTAGAATCCCAGCAAGTAATATGGTACAGTCCACTTACACAAAGGAGGAATGATCGTCCCGACCAAGCTCTGCATTCCGCTGCTTCAATGCAAGATCGAAGATTTGCACAGCTTCGTCATACCGTCCAAGGTAACCGTACACGAATCCCACATTGATTGATGCCATAGTGGTCTCCTGAGCTGAAGGGTGTTTCAGGTTCTGTAAAATAGTGACTGCTCTCTCAAATTCAATCAGAGCATCCTCGTCATTCCAATTCATCAAATAGGCACAGCCAAGCTCGTTCACCGTGGCGCCAAAGTACGAATCAGCTTTCTTGGCGTCATCATCCAGGAGTAGATCTAGCTGTTTGACACATTCAATGAAATCGGGCAAAGGGTGCTTGCGGTCGTTAATGTGCAGTCCGAGTTCTCCTCGGCGATAGTGAAAGGTGGCGTCAATCATCCGCAGCTCAAAACTTGGATTTTCTTCGCTCACGGCGTCTCTCAGGAAGCTGAAAAAGGCCAGCAATGTCGGCGACGCACTGAATCTGGAATCCGCAATGCTGAACCTATTCTATCTGTCAGTTTGCTCATCATACATCAGATGTCTCATTCGCATACATCAGCACATCCAGAGTGAAGTCCATCCGCTCGATCGCAGTAGCATGGGGAGCAACGGCCGGGTCGAAGCGATCTCGGTACTTGAACAGCGAGAGGGTGTGGGCCCAGAGCAGAGCATTTTGCTGCCAGTCCGTCTGTACATTTCCGAAGCCTTTGAAAACTCTTGGCCACCGAGCACCAAGCATATCCAGGGTTCTAGAGTATACTTCGTTGAACGTTGCATCATCCATCTGGGCTCTCACCGTATCCTGTATCAGCCGGTGGACACGCAAGGTCTTCTTGTCCCGGTTCCTGTAGATCAGTGACCTTGAGAGTAGCTCGGCACGAGCCTTTGAGTATTCCAATGCTGTTTTGGGATAGCGGTCCCAATCTTTGCATGCCGGATTCTTTTCGAGAAGTGATTCTGGAATACTATCCGGATCAAGGAATGATATGACTTCGAGCAGGGCCCTACCCTCCTTCAAGTCGTCCAGGGCCCAGACAGTACCAAGGGTCTGGTTGTACCTGCGGAGAGAAGCGGATTGTCCTTCTGAGATTCCCAGCATTTCTCTTCGTTCTGTCTCCTCAGAGTACAACTCAAGAAATTCGTTGAAACTGAGGTCTCGAGCAAATATCACTCCAGCCATTTGTGCAATGGCAAGGGGATATCTTCCCAATGCTCGAACAACGTCAGGCGCCTGCTTTAAATCAGCCTCGTCGTTCTCGCGACCAGTGAGTTGAAGGAGTAGAGCTATTCCGTCCTGCTCCAATAGCTCAGGAACGATGATTCCGGTGTTCCTCAAGTACATGGAGCTTCTGATCAACGGGTCCCGACAGGTAACAAGAACTGAGCCAGCAGCCTCTTTCGGCCAAAAGTCCTCCAGCGTGTCGGCGCTGTCCACATTGTCAAAGACTATGAGCCACGATGCCCTTTCTGGTTTGACGTGGTCCATGTGCTCATACGATCTGAGAGGGTTCGCAAGCCATGCCAAGAGCGTTTCTCGGGTAGCCGGTGGATCTTTGCCGTCGGCCTTTGAAATGGTGCCAAGTTTGGGAGCGATCTCTCGAAAGCCGTTGAGGAGTTTGGTCTCCTCGTCCGCTGCGACCCAGAAGACTGCATCAAACTCCTTCTCATACCTGTGAACAAATTCGTTGGCAATGGAGGTTTTACCCATTCCGCCTGGACCACAGAGGGAATACACATTCAGCGATGGGATCATGTCGCTAAGAGAGCTGTTGGACTCATTCTCTGGCTCCTGGATAGGAGCCAAAAGAGCTTGTCGAATGTTTGCTAGTGTATCCTCACGCCCAGAAAAAACGGGATCTCTGGGCAATGGAATATTCTTGCACGGCAAAATAGGGTCTCGATGTTGGATAGTGAAATCTTTCAATGCAGAAATGAAGTCGGGGTTGATCTTGTCGCTGCCTGTGGTAGCTTCCTTGGTCCATTTCGTTGAAGAATTTGGATCCGACTGCCCTAGAATGGACAGATCTTGAACACGGAGCGGGCCTTGAGGCTTAATTAGCAACACATATTTTCACATGGAACATCTCAACTGACTGGACACGGATTTGAAATCGGCCTCGAGATCCTCTTCATCACTGATGTACTCTCTGACAGTGGATTCATCGAAGACGGAGGGTCTTGCGTCTGTTGATTGTTAACACACTCCCAAGATGGCGTGGTGTACTCACATTTTGGGGACTTTTTCGCGATGGCTTGTCTTGTGGTATCTATCGCCGGATGAAGAAAATCAAAGACCTTTTCAAGTGTTCCGCTCCCCCCCGACATCATACAAAGGTCCTTGTGATTGGAGTCATGCTCTATCACGGTCTCTTGATCATGGCCGATGGTTGCCGAATCTCTGTCAACAAACTATCTATCATTAGCCTCAGGTTGAGGGAAGATGTGACTCTAGCTAGGAGACTTACTATGACTTTCTTTCCAATGAATTGTCTGCTCATTCCCTTCTTTTCGATCACTGTCAACACCTGCTTCTCGTCTTCGGCTAGGATGACTCGGAAGCTTTCGCAGTCAGCAGCCAAACTTTCGATGCATTGCAGTTCAAGGGAATTCTTCCTCCCTTGGGTGAATTTCTGTAGAATGATTTCGACCCCAGCCCAATCTTTCGGATCTCGAGACGGAGAATGTGGACATCCCATGAAAACGAAGCCAGCAATCCTGCGTATCACATGGCGATAGGTATTCGGGCTTTGCTTTGCTAGACAGATGGCCTAGAAAATTGCACGCTTAGCCGAATATCACAAGGGTCTTATGAGGAGAGACATACCCTTTTCACGATCAATCCACCTAAGCTATGAGCTACCAGCACAGTTGGAGATTGTGTCACCTATAGGGATCAGTTTTGCCCTCTAACTTGGGGGGGGGGGAGATGTACAGTCTCATCTTCAGCTAGACGGTGCAGCTCAGCGAGAAGAGTCGCGCCTTCTTCGTCGATATCCCTCCCAGATAAGACACCGTTTGCTGCAAGTCTGTTTGGAAACGACAGAATACCAATATCTTGTGCAATTTTAGCATCCAGTGTGCCCAGCCACAGTTTGCCGCTCGAATTTGTCCAGTGCTCTGGAGGGATTGTTCCCACTCCACCAACAGCGAGGAGGCTGCTGCGGTCAGCTATTTCGATATCCTTCTGGATGTGGAATGATGAGCGTAAAAGCTTGCTACATACAGAGTTCCGACTCTCGGGCCGACGTAAATCTGCTGCAACCCTCCGCTCCGAGTGGCTCTGACAGTCGATGGATCGCCCATGTTGACCTGTAGAATAAATGCGCTCAAACGGAGGAAACTATGGAGCAAGATGCAATATTGGCCGCAATGTTAGGTGGTCTCGAACAGTACCTCTCACATTTCACACGTCATTCGTAGCTGCTCAGCAGAGGATGGTGACCCTAAGCATTTGGGTGAAGAATTGAGCAATCTTCACGGCGTCTTCAAGCCTTGGCGGCTCTTTCTCAGACGCAAGTGAGATGAGGGGTTTGAAAATCCCCGCTCTCTCTGCAGATTGGGGGCCAGTAAAGTATCTTCCAGTAATCATGTGGCACGGCGTGACCGGCCAAGGATCTTACCTACATTAATGATGTGACATGACGCCACATGCAAAGGATCCTGCAGCGATTGTCCCTTTAAGAATGCTAAGGCAGGATTTATGTGCTGCACGGGGATCTCGGCGAATAGGAGAGAGTTGTCTCAAAGGTACATTGATTCCTACCCATTTCGCCTACGCAACGGGTATCCTCGATTTGTTTCATGCACAAGAATTTGAGTGAAATCGCCACCAAAAGCATAGTACTTGAGACCTCTAACAGCCATTGTGGAGACAGCACAAGAGAATACTGCCTTACCACTCTCAAACGAATGGCACGACGCAATCGGTCAAGGATCCTCCAATTAGCATACGACACAACGTGACCGGCCAAGAATCCCGCAGTGGTCATATGGCACGGTGCATGGGAGGAAACAGCAGCTTCCTATCACACGTAATCTAGGGTGTGTGACGATGCCGGAAGGAATGCATAGTCTAATTTAGTAAGTGAATGTTCTGCATAAGTGATAATCTTGCTGCCTGTTAATAGCAGCCTAGTTCAAATCCAAAGGACGTATTTCATTAGTGGAATCTGGACTGCCGACCGGACTGTACACAACGACTGTATGAGATCCAACAAGCGAAGTCGAGGAAGATGGGGTCGGGTCTTGGGCTGAAGGAAAAAATTGGCTGAATGGAGGATAAAGCGTAGCATGAAATTAAAGAAGGGAAAAGATTGAGTGTTCGACTGCTGGAGTAGCATAGTCAATTTAAATAACTAGGGCTAGTCTTAGACTAGCTAGCTAGTCATCGCAACTACCGATACATTGTGCACTCCAGCATCATCGCATTGCCCTACACTGACCCTTTTAGAGTAAACGCAATTGTTACAACTTGCGGGCTTGCCTAAGCCTGTGTTGAGGCCAATCCTCCAGTCCCTGCCTAGTTTCCAGCGGCATGTCCAGAAAGCTGGAATGTGATCTGTTGCTTGGCCGCAGAAGTGGCAGGAGTGGAAGTGCCAAACACATTGCGGTCGGAATTGTCATTGCCGTTGTTACCCAACAGCATCAACTGCCCGGTCGGAGCCTCTTTGGGAAGAGGAGCGTACCACGTCTTCCATGGCTGAGTGCGGGTGTCGGTGGAGTCGAGCATGTTGATGGAGCTGGTATTCATTAGAGCAAGCCTTTAGGTTTTGGAATCAGCAACTCACATCTGGATTTGAGTTTCGTTTGTGTTAAGAAAGTGTGTTGTCTTGTCTGAGTTGTTCGAAAGATTCGCTTTGCCGGGAGGCGAGATGGTTACATACCCTCCCGCTGAGGCTCCGGGTGAGGCTCCAACTCCCGAGCCTGATGGCCACACGGCCTATCTTTGCCGAAAGCTGACGAGCGGGCGTTTCGTAATGTGCGCATGACCATACCCCGCTTTACCCCGCTTCCTACGTGGCAGTTATGTGTCCGTGAATCGATCGGATTGGAGACAATTGAGCAGGTGTAGATCCGAGGTCTCGAAGTGCAGATTATCATCGGAAGGCCCCGGAAGAATGTGATAAGAGCCTCAAGTTGTTGTCTCTAGATGTTAATCACACACGTCATACTCTCCTGAACATTTGGGAACGGGATTTCATCACACAAACCAATCTTCTCCTCTTGCTAGCCAACGCGCTCAGAACTATGGCCGCAACGTATGCCCAGACCATGGCCCCGAGGGACGTCAACTCCCACATGACGTTCCTAGCAAGGAATGAATTGTACCAGACTGAAAAGCCTTACACGACGGATTTCCCTGTCGATGACATTGAGGGCGCCAAAATGACCAACCAGATATTCGACACTCAACCCGTACTCTTCCACGACGCAAGAGTTGCCAAGGAGCCTTTGACCTTGGATCAGAACGGATTCTGTTTCGTCAAGGCGAAGACCTCCCTCAAGGCAGAAGAAGCCACTCCCGAGAAGACTGAGTTGATGGAGCAGTATCTCCAGGAGGTCGCCGACATACTACAGGACAAATTTCCACAGTACAAAGAGGTCAAATCTTTGGATTTCCAAGTATGCCGTCTCCTATTTACTGCAGTTATGAGGAGCACTAAACCGTTTGAAAGGTTCGCAGACGACATCCTGATTTCCCCGGCGGCAAAGAGCGCAGAGCAGAGTTTGCCCAGCCGTCGACAATGGCCCACGCGGACTTCTCGAGTAGAGGAGCATTCCTGCGCATAGCCGACATCTTCCCAGGCGAAGAGGTTTCCTACGAAAACAGAAAATTCGACTTGATCAAGTACGTGTCTAAACCGCCGTGTATTTCTTTTGACTAACACCCCTTTCGTGTGTGGCGCGTTTTGAAAGGGCCAAGCAACGACTGGCCTCTGGCTATGTGTGACTTCCGCCGCGTCAGTACCGACAACGACGTCGTCATAAATGATGCGCTTCATTACAAGCGAGTAGGCGAGAATTCACTCCTGCATCACAGCGATGCGCACCGATGGTACTACCTCAGTGATATGAGAGAGGATGATTTGATCATCTTCAGGAATGTCGATTCGGAAGGGAAGATGCCTCGTAAGTCGACCGAACACGCCACTGATGCGCAAGCTTTTCTGAGACTCAATAGGGGGCTTCCATGCTTCATTCCACAATCCCAACGCAGCTGGTGAACTACGACATAGCATTGAAGTTAGGCTTGTGGCTTTTCGTGATTAAGGATTCTGTTTTCCCAAGAGAGCACAGGACTTTTTGTACTAGGTACCATGAAACCAGCATGAGCAATGTCATCTCAATTACTTTCAAGCCATGAAGATATGGGGCCGCCCTAAAGGCACTACTTGACTGGCACGTCGTAAGAATTTGGAGTCGTGCTGTGTCAGGCGCGACATGGTGAAGACCTAAGATCAAAAGTACTCCAAGAACTTAGCGCGCCTCTCGTCGTCTTCCATTTCCCGGAACACCTCGACCTCCTTCTCCTTCACAGGAATGTATGACTTGAGCAAGTCTTCTGGTATCCATTCCTTCACGGTTTCGTCCGACTTCAGTGCTTCCAATGCTTCCTCCAAACCATTCGGCATTCTCTTTTCCAGTCCGTACTGGGCCCGTTCTCTCTCGTCCAGCAAATGCGGGAAAACGGGACAGTCTGTCCAAGACAAAACCACCTTCTCGCTCAGCCCGCGCAGACCAGCCAGCAAGACAGCCGCGGAAAACAAGTACGGGTTCGAAGTGCCATCCAGCATACGGAATTCCCAATGCTGCTCGCTGATCTTGCGCACCGGCAAGTCACGGTTTTCAGTGCCAAACCCAACCCACGCGCCAGCTGCATCTTTGGCAGTACGAACATAGCCGTCAAAGTTGGCCATTCCGAAGGCGCAAAGGGACCCCATGTTGCTCAGAATACCTGCGAGGAAGTTGTCCGTGTCTGGCGGTGCGAGCTTGTCGACAGACATGTGCAGGTGGATGCCGTTGGTTGGCCCGTCGAGGAGTGGCTTTGGAGTCATGGTCGCCTTGATGTTGTGTTTAATAAAGACAGTGCGGATTGTTTCTTGCGCTAGGATAAGCGAGTCGATGGCGTCGAGCAGCGGTTCAGGACTGAGGGCGAATTCTATCTGATCGTGGGTTTCGGTATGGAAGTGATGGATAGGGATGGATGATTTGTCGAAGCTGTCGAGAATCTCTTCAACAATTTCCATTGTCTGGGCGCGCAGCCCAGCAGTTGTTTGGTAGCTGTTCAATCGGTCTAGCTGCCTGAGCGGCTGGAAATCCTCGTCCAGAAGCATGAATTCAATCTCAAAGCCGGCCAGTACCTTGGTATCCCATTCTCTCTCAAGCCGCTTCAGTGCACGAGATAGCAGCATGCGCGGACACTTGTTGAACGTATCTTCGGCCTCCTCGTGCTCCAAGAAACACATGACGGAAGCGTGACTCGGCCTGAACCCGCAGACTCGCAGCGAGGACCAGTCGGGACGCAGCACCCACCTTTCGACTTCGGTACCGGTCGGAAAGCATTTCGGGGCCGTTGATATTGGGATGATCATGCTGACTTGCGGGAGAAGGTATTGTTCGTTTCCTTGAGCGATCTGCAGGCATCGAGCGACAGGAACGAAGCGGGCGCGCAGAACGCCGGAGAAGTCGATCCACTGGAGACGGATGAACGCAGTGGGTTCCCCAGCGTGTTCGTTTTCAAGAAGAAACTGTCGAAGCTTGTCTTCGTCTGACAGCATTTTGGCGGAAGGAGATGAAGGATGTATCGGGATACTCGGTGTTGCAAAATAAGGCGGAGACTGAACGGGATTGTGATGGTGAAGGTGATGTTGATGGTGGTGATGGTTGTTGCCTCAAGGAATGAAAGAGCTTCCTCAGGCTCCCTTATCATCATCCCCGCTAAGCTCGGGCCGTGTTGCCCGCTAAGGCTCGGGCTGCACTTGCTAATAAACTCTAGCAGAGCCGCACGGGGCCGGTGAAGATGCGCCCGACTTGAATGGCCATGAGTACGGCGTACAAAGGGAACCAGAAACGCAGAAATGGCTGGCGTTCCACCCGCATTGTTTCGCCCGCCGGCTGTAGACCGCTGAGTTTGCCTATTGTATTGCCATTTTGTTTCCGAATCGCTTGTTGCGACCGCGTAAGTTACCCTACAGAGCACGGTACATAGTCAGGTGCCCTCCTCGCCTTGAAAAGACATCGACACTCTTGGTACATCACGAGGCGGGTTCCAGGAAGGGGAATCCGTTTTCAACCACGTACGCCTTGTCGGAGTACGAAGGCCTACGGTGCGCCGGCAAGGAGTTTGTTGGGGGCCATGCATGCAGTGGACCGACACGCGTCAGACGCCCATGCATGTAGGCTTCACCAATGAATAGCAACTCTTTAGGAGCCAAGGCAGGCTATGGCGACAAGGCAAATAAGGCAACCAATGCGAACTTCGTTCTCGCCAGGATGTACTGCCGGGAATACTCAATCGGGAAATCTGATGCTGTGAGGCATCCGAGACACCAGAAAGTGGTCACTCGGAGTCGCCCGCCTCACATTTTGCCACGTCGATACAGTGTTGCAGTCAACAGGGACTGTACACTTTATCCGTCCCCGCGCCTCCTCCTTTGAGTCCATTCCCGAGGGACATCAGATGCAATTCTCCGACCCTATTCTCGGTCTCAGCCACCGCTGCATCGTCCGACAGCACTCGCTCAGGTAATGACAAATGCGCCGACGATGAAATGCACCAATCCACCCCTTCAAGAAGCTCACTTCTTGATGTGTGTCTTCAGCTGTGCGTCGACTGTCAAGCTGCAGAGCGGCCTGATCCTGTCATCAACTCAGCCTCGTCGTGGTGAGACACGTACCGATAGCTATCTCGGAGATCCCGGAAGCCCGGGCGTATGGTACTGTATCTAGGACTTCCTAGCCTCTCTTACATGCTTCGTAGATCTTGAACCTTTTTCTGTAGCATTAAGTAGCTTTCATAACATGTAAGGAATCAATTATTCCACTTTTTTAATCCGTTTGTAGCACCCCGTTGCTCACGTTATGCTCCACAAACTCGCGCCCGGCAACAGAGAGAATGCGGTACCTCTTTCGGAGCAGCTACCGTGTGAGGTGATTCGAAACGAGGGGCTCCTCCAGCTGAATACCTGGGGAAATGAGTGCGGCCTACCATGGCCGGGGCTGGCGGTTACATCTCCCCCTACGCCACTCCCAAACGCCCTACGGCTCAAAAAGCAAGTACACGCCAATAAGCGCTCAGCTGAACACACAAATTAATAATAATTCTGCCGCCTGGCGTCTTCGTCTGCGCCTCGCTCACGGGCTGAAATACGAGGCGAAATGAGTCAAATGATGAGGCGTGAACAGGTCACCACTACATATAACGCGCGCCGTCGCCTAAAAAACCCGCCTTGGACGTCCACATGTAATACTCAATGTCCATGCATGCCCTTCTATGCCCATCCACGCTTCCGGGTCGTCATCGGTAAGCTGCACGGAAGATGACGTCCAGAATGCCGCCACACTCTCCTCGGACGAGAAGCAACACTAGCACTTCTAGCATACCGGAAAGCAAACCGATATCGTACACACCGATATGTAAGTGTTTAGCGTCAGACGACGCGACAAAGGGGCTGACCACGGCCAGGCACAAGCGATGAATACGTCAAAGCTATCGCGCACCATTCCCAGCAATCCAGCGCCGAGACGCTGTATCCCGGGGAGATCTATGATACGCTAAGACGGTTTCTTGAGCAAAAACCAGATCCTGTATTAAACGCTGCAAACCATGAGTCCAGCGATTTCGCTTGGCTCGTCAGTCCAACCCAGCTGGGCCAGCATTCTTCGTCGGACAAACAATTGCTGTCGGACACACATTCGTTGTCGGACGGCAATAAGAATCAGGGACGGTCGGAGGGATTTTCTGATCCGGAGTCATGCATAGAGGCATTGAGAAATAACATCGAGTTATCGCATCCACAAGTGTTATTCCTACGGGGCCATCCTTCACCGAGCTGGCTTTCAACCATCGGCGCTTTTTGCCGTGTCGATCCCGAACTATTTCGCTGGTTTCTCAGATACCGTGCAGGACCAGGGAGCGACCATTATTTCGACTCCGCTCCTTCTATAATGAGCAACATATTTCGCTTCAAATTCTTTACCATCGGATCCAAAAACCAACGACATCCATCATCTCAGGAGGAGGTAGACGCCTTGCGTGAGAAGGCAGCCAACGATCTCCAGAGGTACCAGAACGATTTGAGGGGACCCTGGGCTCTGAAGCCAGGCGACTCGATTGTGAGGAATTTCCATGTGCTAGATGAACGGCATTGTGTCATTGAACAGGAGATCCTGTTTTCCATTTTCGACATTGGGAAAACTTGGATGGGTATGATCCCCAATGCGTACCCGAAATGATAGATTTGCTAATGACAGTAGCCATCGCCTGTACAGATTCAGGACACGACCTCAGCCAGGGGTCGCAATTTTCCTGGCTCGGGGGTGGCGCGGAACGATTGCGAATTGAACTTCTCCCAATCGTTCAATACAGACCGAGATGTGCGTTGAAATCCCGCAGTATACACGAAACCACCGCTGTGCCGAAAAAAGGAGGCAATACGCAAAGTCTCGCCATCTTTCCGGAAGGCTACGGCCGTGGTCTAGACTGGTCACTCGCAAGATCAGACGGCTTTCATGTCTTGTCGGACGTCTTCAGACTGGCGGCATTCTCTCAGAAGCAACTCCTGAATGTCATGAAAGAGAAAATAGTGGCCGAAACGAACGCCCCATCGCTCAGTAATGAGAATCCAACATTGGCCAATCTGCTATACTTTCGGGATATCCTACAAGATCAGCTAAGCAACGCCTCGTATATGCTTCAGTTGACAAACGGCCAGAACAAAATCCTGCCAGATAATCGTCGGCCTAGCATCTCCATGTCATCATATCAGAGAAGCGTAGCCGACCACGCCGTGGCTGAAGTGCACAGTCTATTCCAAGACCTGCACGCGCAAGCACAGTCCCTGCAGGAGAAGTGCACTCAGGGAATGACAGTCATCAGCAATAACAGCATGCTCGCCGAGTCACAACGTGCCATCCAGCAGGCGAAGTTGGTTACGAAGCTTACACTCGTCGCCTTTGTGTACCTCCCGTTCACATTTACTGCTGGCTTCTTCGGGATGAACTTCAAGGAGCTGGGGACTGGTACCCTATGGATATTTTTTGCTGCCTCTTTTCCTCTGATGATTGTCACTATGGCATTTTTTGCATTGGATGCGCAAATGATTAAGAGAGGCTTGAGAGAGATGCATATAATAAGTGAAGATAAATTGTGAATAGGGCAATAGCGATTGATAGAACGTCACTTGTATTCAAATACTTATCTTAACGGAAGAAATAGAAAGTAAGGATTATAGACTTTTAGATATATTGGTTTTTAAATGATTGAGTTGATTGCGAAGATCACTCAATGGAGGCGAGGCGTCTGTCGAAAGACATAGTATCTTTGCATTTTAAGAGACGTAGACTTGCTGATCGTGAGCGCCATCGTCTACTTCGGATAGTTTCGCCTATTATACTCTAACTTGCATCAAGGAGGTTAATCTCGTAATAATTTATTGCCGTATTTACTAACAAATGTTGCTGTCCAAGTGCTTGGAGTCCCGGCGTGGTATGTGATATCTCGTGCCGTTCCTAACCCACCTGATTCATTCATTATTGATTTCGTGTATGCCATTGATCCTCATCCCTCAAGAGACGACCAAGTTATGCATACCCCCATACTTAAGCGTGAGAGAGATCAAGACCTCGAAGTAGTACATGGACCCCTTGCCTGTAGAATGATTGTTCAAGTGACTCCCCGGGTTCAATCTGAAAATCGCCCGTTATGCAACGCCTCGTAACATCGCAATAGCCTTGGAAGGCCAATTGGCTGAGCTGGGGAACTTTTTTATCAAGCAGCCACTGGCGGAATGAAGTAGCTGAATGCCTTCCGAACCACGGATCCCTTGTCGCCTGTTGATAAATGGACATGATGGACTCCCGAAGTCCAAGTTCCAAGAGGACAATCCCGAAGCTATAAATGTCGTGCCGGGCGGAGAATCTTGGGCGCGCCGTTTGTTGAGGCTGGGGAGCCGATGGGTCCAGGGCCTCCTCCGGCAGCCCCTGAACTTCGGGATGTCGGTAGAGATTCCATTCTAGATCATCCGTGACCCCTTCACTTTCATGGTTCTCCCCTCTCTCTCGTGAATACTCGAAGCCGGCGAGGTATGGCTGACCACAGCTAAACACTCCGTCCTCATTCTCAAAGAACAGGATATTGTCGCTTCGAATGCCTTTGTGCAGCCATCCTGCAAGATGGAGAAACATCAACGCCTTGGAAATAACCACGGCAACCTTGACCCTATCATCTACGCTCTTGTCGATGTTCTTCTGCAGAACCTGCAGCAAGGTGAGATATCGAGGCGACGGAAGCTTATAGACTAGCCCGTAGTCATGCTTCGTGGCAGTACTGCCCTTCTTCACGGCCACTCCCAGGCAGTCCAGAGTTCTCAGCTCCACCGGCTTGTGGTGTGAAGCCAGCAGGCGTGCAATATTGAATATGCGCGTCTCCATGGCAGATTTGTAGAGTCTGCCGAATCCGACCGCGTCGGCTTTGGCCGTGTCAACCGTCTTCCACTCGACTAGGACATCGACGACACCCCCAGTGCTATATTTACCACTTCCTCGTCCATTTCTCTTGTCAGCGGCCTTGCAACGGTCATCCAGGTTGCGGGGCTTGACTGAAGGTGGATTTGTACCGGCCAGTGCAGAAGATCTCTTGTCCATCGCCCCCGTGGCGTGCTTCATATACATGAGGCCTGCAACCAAGGGACTAGCCGAGGCAATAGTAGACGCCGTGATGTTGAAGTTGTTTGACGTTAGGGGAGCCAAAACGTGGCCTAGGGCGACTTGGGCGTGCGGGTCGTCCTTCGGCGGCGGGAAAATCTGAAAAAGCAAGTTTACCATCCTTACCACCTCGTCGAGTCGTTCCTGGACCCTGGTACCGTTCTCCAAAGCCCAATTCAGACGTTCCCCGATATTGGACCCAGTCTGAACCTCTTCCATTTTCTGAACAAGACCAAGGCGCTCTACGGAGTCGGGCCGTTGAAGGTCTGCAACACGCAGAGCGGACCCAGCAGCCGTGACTGGAAGATTTCCCGCAGCCTTCAAAGCCGGATAGTCCTGCTCTAGGTTCTTCAGACAGTGAAGTCGGTCATAGATCAAATTGATGTAGTTCAGCGCGGCATCCCGGTCCTGGTGGTATCGTGCGTTGCTGAAGAGTGGTGATTCTGCGCCTTTGTCCAGTTCCCATCCAATCTGCCAGCGATTGAGCTGACCTTCCGCCTCAAACCTGAGTCTCGTCGCAAAATCGACAGCCTCTTCGCCAAGGTCTTTTGTCTCCTTCCACAGAGAGAACCCGGCTTTGCAGCCTTGCAGCAACTGCATCGTCAGCCCCACGGCACCCATGGCGGTCCCGGCGACGCCAACTGGATCAGGACTCTGAGCCATGATCCGACGATGAAAACTGTTACTAATACGTTGAGCTGATACAAGGGGCAGGTTCTTGACAGCAGTGGTCGAATTGAGGGAGTAAAGGTGTTGGTGGGATGTTGCTGGGAAGAAGAACCACTAGAGGAAGTTGGGCATTGCCAATAATGCCTCTGAAACGTGACCGACGATTCCAGGCGTATTGCCATTCAGCCTCGGTCAGCACTATCAAGTTAGGGAGGCGCTAGGTATTAACACAAGCACTCGTAATGCAACTAGTCCGATTGGGCTGTTCGATAGATTCCAGCTGCAGCTGAGACAGGCATTATATAAGCCACTTTCAAGCGACAGCCTCATTCTTCAATCTAGTACCTGGGTAGATAAACAATCAACCCCCGACAAGGCAGAAGCGGCTCATCTCGAATCTCCAACAGAAGCCCCTCTTCACCTTTATACAGCGGCTACTTGCGACCATGGCTTACTCATCGCCATCTCTTGCTGAGGACTCGCAGGACTTCCTCTCTTTTATCTCTCTTGTGCTGGATGAATACGATTCGTTCGACCTCGGCTTCACGCTCCTGACTGCTCTTCTCGCACCAGACTCGTTCCATTCACGGTCAACGGCCGCTGGGGGACGGGCTTATGGAAGGAACTTCCAAATCACCATGTCCGAGTCCGAGACCTTGTTAGAGTCTCGGCAACTGCGCCAGGAACAGCTGCCAACGGGCCTATCGACAATGCCCCAAATGGTTGCACTGAAGAGGCCTCTTCCAAAAGATGATGATCCGAACGGCGTTGAAAACCGCAAGTTATGGACGTCAATCGCAAAAGAATTGAGGGTTCTCAAAAACAGCTTCATTGCCGCTCATCCAAACATCGTCACTCTTCTCGGTATCTGCTGGGCGCCTCTCCAATCTGACGCAAGATCTCTCATGCCAGTGCTAGTGCTTGAAGCTGCTCAACTTGGTGACTTGAGTGAATTCTGCATGGATGGGCGCCGTCTGTTTCCACGGAAGTGGATCGGTCTCTGCATTGATGTTACGTCCGGGCTAGCAGCACTGCACAAGGTCGGCGTCTTCCACGGAGACCTGAAGCCGCAGAACGTGCTCATATTTGAGGATAAACACCTGACATACACTGCAAAAATAGCCGACTTCGACTCGTCCATCTTCGTGGAGGACCTCCGCGGTCCAGCTTACGGCACTTCTGAGACCCCATTCTGGTCAGCTCCTGAACGGTCTGAGCCTTTGACTGGTGAGCAATTGATGAAAGCGGATATATATTCGCTTGGTTTGCTCTTATGGGATATGCTGCCTGGTGGCTTCTTGCAGCAAACGAAGTCTGCCGTCGACTCCGGTGAGATTCCTACAGGCAAAACGTTTGAACAGATGAAGGCGTCCGGAGAGTTGTCAGACTGGGCGGCGTACTACTTTTTACATGGATACTGGGACGGAGTGTATGAACAGTCAGGTGGAAGGGCCGACGACGATTCGAGCGCGGATACGGCCCCAACCATTGCCATGAGAATCGGCTATACTGTCATGAAAGCCTTGGAACCTCCTTCGACACGAACAGCAACTGTCCAGGATCTCTTGGTGGAGCTAAGAGAGATCCTACACTATGTTGTAAAGCACGAGCTATATGACTCGTTGCCTCCTTTCGACATTGATCAAATGACCTCAGCTTTCAACCCCCAGGAGGCTGATGCGCTGTTCAATCCTCCATGTAAGCTTTTTTTGCTTCAACTCCCCAATATTAGTTTTGTCTAACGCCTCATACTTAGTCACTTCAAACCCGTCTTCAGGCCCTCTTGATGAGGAATCACGGAGGTCGGGGTATGAAGGGATGCTTAGTAGTTTCCGGCAACTAGGACTAGAGCGCAGTGGCAGGACAGAAGAGCTAAACATGGACAGATTTTGGTAAGCTCCTAACACTACTCTGAACACATTGATATTGACCTACCCACCAGGACGGTACACTATCCCTCAGATTCTCCACCAAGTATATCCTTTTCCGGTTGGAGGGGAGTTCTCGATGTTCGTCATACAGCTACACAAAGTGGTTCAATCCGAGCTAATGTGATATCAGACGCAACGAATCTTTGGGCAATTGAGATTACTTCCCATTCCTGTGATAACCCAGCTCCTTGAGCAACTCAAAAAAGCAGCAAGCAATGCGACTTTGGCTGCCAGCCGTCGAGCACTATCGGCTTACGAGTATGGTATCTTGTCACTATCATTACTCCAAATCAGTATCCAAGAGCAACCCGAAGTCGACCAGGCTCTGAGCATGGTTGCCAAGGCGGCGGAGCTGGGCCACACTGGGGCTCGAGGTATTATTGGGTGGCTTCATGATGCTCTCGGCAGGACAATGACCGCCTTTGATCCAGAACTAGTACACTTGCGCTATCCTAATGTCATCGGAAACAGTTCAACTGCCCATAGGAGACTGCGCCAGCTAGGCAAGTTGCAGCTGGTGGACCAACGCGGCCTTGGATACCCAGGAATCAGGCACAGGGCAGCGAGTGGCTCGCAGCTACCCATGGAGACATACATTCCGAACAGAACTACCCCCAGCCAGCACGTCCAGCGTCTCCTGTGGGGGGCCTCCTGTCATGAGGAATATAGGATTCTTAAGCTTCTCACGACGCACCGTTTGCCGGAAATAAACAGCACAAACTACGAGGGGAATTCGGCACTTTTGATGGCTAGCCGCCACGGTCACCTACAGTCCGTGTTGCATCTGCTCGCCCAAGGGGCGGATCCAACCTTGGCAAATAGTCAGGGCATAACGGCCTTGCACTACCTAAGTGCCTTCCGAGACGAAGACATCCAAACCGTTGCACAGGCTCTCCTCGACAACAATTCTTCGATGGATGCTCGAGCGGCCAGCAGACACACACTGTTCCTTGATCCGATTTACCCAACGCCCGAAGGCACACCTTTGGCGTGGGCAGTAGCAGCAAACAACATTGCGGCCGTCACGGCACTGGTAAATCTTGGAGCCGATCCATTTGATGAAGCTGGCCAAACAGCTCAAACCAGTGACAGGTGGACAGAGTTTAACCGCCTCTCCCCTGTTTTCATCGCTGTTGTAAGACACCAGCACGAAATCCTTGGGGCGCTTTTCCCAGTCAGCCGGCGGGAAGCAATCCCGGATCTCGGGAACAGATTGAACAACATCCGCATCAATGTTGGCTCCCAAGGTGTCATTGACACAAGCCTCTTCGCTATCTGTGCGAGGTACGACATCGAAGGGCTCCTTCCTCGCCTGCTTCTCCACGGACGGAGCCACAAAGGAGCATTCAAGAAGACATTCGAGCTCCTCATCAACCTGGGCGCAAACCCCACCGAGACCGCCCACAGAGGAGCAGGTATCATCGGCATCGCTGTCCACTTTGGCCAGCCCTTTGTAGTGGAATACCTGATGGAGTGGGACGGCGGCAGACTCCGAGAGCGGTCTCGAGTATGGTACGAGATGATGATCAGAGCCGCACAAGACTCGGACCGGGTAATTTTTGGCACCTTGATGAAATACGAGGTCATGGATCAGATTGAGATCAGTGAATGGCGACGGTTCTTCGTCACAATGGCCAGGGAAACAAACGATGTCCATTTTTTGGATCCGTTTGCCCACAAGGCTCGCGAGGCCGGAGACCTGGGACCCCATTTATCCATTGCGATCGATGCTGGGAACTTTGAGACTGCGAGATGGATCAACACGGTGTCGTCAACTTGCGATATTGTCCAACCAGTTGGTGACGATGCACTCTCTCTTCTAGGTCGCATAATTCTGAAGTCCCAGACCTTTGACAGCGTGAGATCCGCCATACACGCTTTCCTCGACCTTCAATATGACCCAGATCATGTGTTTTACAATGTTATGACGATGGGAGAGTCTCAGCTGACGGCCTTGCACGTTGCGGCGTTGTATCTGGAGTATAGCCCTGGGAGTACGATGGCTGTAGGCATTTTCGAAACTATCCTGGACAAGTTCAATGAGCCTCGCCATCTCAACTTTCAGCTTACATCAGGCACCTACCGTGGATACTCACCCCTTCACTTTGCCCTTAAGTTCGGCAATGCTGAAGCAGTTGAGTGTATGTTGCAAGAAGTTCCGGAGGATGAAGGGGAGGACGGTCTGGATATCAATCTCGTCAACGGCGAAGGCGAGACAGCGATGGACATGATTTGTCGCCAATTCGGTTCCCAGAATAAATGGTTTGACATGTGGGAAGTCCCAGAGGAACAACGACAGCGGCTGGGCATCCGTCACTGGGACCATACCCTGGATGTGTTTGGGGCTCTACGAAAGAAGGGGGCTCGTAATCGCAAGTACATTCAGGTTGTCCTTCGGCCACAAGAAGATGTGTTTCTGGTGTTCGACTTCCGACCGAACCAGCCGCTCTTGCAGGTACCATGTAGGTCAAAGTCCTGACGCCCTCGATTACTTGGCTAACCAGATGTCGCCATGGAACAGTTAACCCAGAATCCATCTCGCAGGATCTCAGGGAGCGCCATCCGTATTTCACAGCTATATGTGCACTTGGCGTCCGAGATTGTTTCCTAGTAGGGGATCCTCGTTACGTCTCAACTGCACAAGGCAGGGCGGTCCCATTACCCCCAATGCTCGCGACTGATGGGCCCGAGCTGGATAATGAAGAGGTTAATGCGCGGTTTCTAGACCTTCTTCGTGCTCTCGGTATTCGCGACTGAAGTAGGCGGGATTAACTTGGGTCATATGATTATACATTTAAGTAGTGTGTATATAGAGCGCAGGGTGGATAAGGCAGCTTTTATCCAAAGACTACAGTCAGCTTCTGGGTTTGGGAGTGTCAGTAAAGAGGCAGTTTTGCACATCCACAATATATTCGACTGAGTGTTAAAATCTCAACAGCAGGTTAGAGCTCCAAGGACTCTTCCATCGGCATGGGCCCAGAATTTCGCTTCGTCATATCTGAAAGGATAGCCTTGGGTGACGATTCCCGGCTTCTGCAAGACGCAAGGATTTTTATCTTTGTTTCTCCTAGCGCGGAAATGACAATAGGCAGCCTACCAGCATGTTTTCGCGACGACGTCTCGCGGCCTGACTCGGCTTACTCCATTCGCGTCGACTGTCATTTCGTGACAAGCTGGTCGGGTCCGTGGGGTCCATAGCGCCGAAAACAGGGCAGGGGTACAATTCAAAGAACCATCTGCCGCACTGCGCGTGATGCTTTCATCATGGGAGCCATTCAGGGCGTCTGGGCGCTGACAGTGGGCAAAAGGCGAGCTTGGTGACTTTTGGCACGTTTAACTCGATGATGACAGGCGCAGTAGGACCAGATCCTATTGTGACGATCGTGATGCACGGTGAGTCGGTGACATTAAATCGGCAATTTTAGACGGCGTGATGAGAAAAATGCATGGTATACTGCTCCTCGTCTAGGGTTTCGAATAGCACGAGGACAAAGCCATGTTCCCCAGAACAACGGACATCCTAAATTGGACGATATCGTTTCTTCGGTGCTTGAAGCGCAATCTTGATCCATGTCGTAGGGTGTGATTGTAGCAGCTTCAGGAGTTTGGCATAGGCGTTTATGACGTGCAGTTAATCGAAACTTATTCGCAATCAACCTGTTGTCTGGTCGTTCAGCTTTAAACCGGGCTATTGGTATGCAGAGAGCTAGGAGCAAAGGTTCGCCTATATCTTCGATTGATTTTAGCAAAGATAGGGAACAGTTGAGCGCTATATGGCCACTACGGCGATAGCTGCCACCTGCTATCAGTCGTATCTAAGCGCTGAATCCGCTGATCCTTGCTTGTGCGTGCTCCGGGAAAACTACGACGTTATCGCTGACCCACTCAGTCGTCGACCCATTCAGCTGTCGGTCAGTCCGGGGTTCGCCTTGGCTTTCCAGTCGGCACGAAGCGTCATCTCCACATGTGGCTCGTTGCAGCAACTGCTCGGCCGTGGTTCACTTGTACGATATAGTGGCAAAGACACCATGGGAGGACAGGGTTGCGTAACAAGGCGGGGTATCAACTGCAGCAGGTCAATTGTCGTGATGTTAGTCATTGCCACTTATTGAGCGCCGACTGATCCAGGGATAATCGACGCTAGTTATGCTTGGGAGTAAGGTTAATTCGGTGGCGCAGTGCTCATAAGATGGGTTAATGCGAGAGTAAACTAGAAGGCCAGGGACTTTTGGTAGGCTTATCTCTGCAGATAGAGGTCTCGCTTCAAAGCGAGCCAAGGCCCTACCGTTGCGACATAGCACTGCTACCTGCCGTTCTTATCCTAGAGTCACATTGCACCACGTGCGAGCATTTGCAAAGTTCCCAGTGACGGCGGATTCGTGCAGCGCGTGCTCGGCCTAGTTACTGGAAAAGGCAGTTCCCACGGCCAATCGATTTGAGGCCAAGGCGATCGCCGACCACACTCACAACTGCCACATTCGGAGGCTCGTCCCAGCGCTGTGAAGCTGATTATTGGCTGGTCGTGATGCGGGGCGAGAAACTAACACTGGGCCTTTTGCGCTGCAGATCTCGGCATGACATGGGTTGTCGGTTGCTGGAATATATGAATTGACGAACCAGCCTTAAAAGCCAGAAACATCTCGACACAAGCTCTCTGCCTTTGTTTGCAGCAGTCTCAATCCCTTCTTTGCATTGCTAGTCCAAGATGAAGACCAACGCACTCTTCTCAATTGCCCTGGCTTTGGGCCTGCCTGCCTTGGCCGAGGCCAGCAAGGATAAGGGCTACCAGAAGCCCAAGACCTACGTCACCTCGGAGAAGCTCCAGAAGGAGATCAAGCTCAAGAACCTCCTTGCGGGATCTCAGAAGCTCCAGGACTTCGCCGATGCCAATGGCGGAAACCGAGTCTTTGGCAGCGGTGGCCACAATGCCACTGTCGACTACCTCTACAAGACGCTCAAGTCGACTGGCTACTACAACGTGGTTAAGCAGCCGTTCACAGAACTCTACTCTGCCGGAACATCCACCATTCTCATCGATGGCGCAGAGATTGAGTCCGGCATCATGACCTACACCCCTGCCGGCTCCTTCACCGGACCGCTCATCGCCGTCCCAGACCTCGGATGCGAGGCTTCTGTCTACCCTGCCGAGGTCCAAGGAAACATCGCTCTCGTGTCTAGAGGCTCCTGTACCTTTGCGCAGAAGTCCCTCAGCGCCAAGACGGCTGGCGCAGCGGGCGTCATCGTCTACAACAATGTGCCCGGATCCCTGGCGGGAACGCTCGGCAACGCATTTGGCGCATACGCCCCCATTGTCGGTATTAGCCAAGAGGACGGTACCGCTATCCTCGCGGCTCTCGAGGCTGGTGATGTGACGGTCGGCTTCGAAGTTGACTCTGTTGTTGAGCAGCGCGTCAACTACAACGTCATTGCTGAGACCAAGGGCGGCGACCACAAGAACGTCCTGGTTCTGGGCGGCCACTCAGACTCTGTTGCTGCTGGCCCCGGTATCAAGTGAGTCTTCTTAAAATAAACCTTCAATTCGCTTGTACTGACAGCACCCGTTTAGCGACGACGGTTCCGGCACCATTGGCGTCCTGACGGTTGCACTCGCTCTCGCCAAGTACAAGATCAAGAACGCCGTTCGATTCGCCTTTTGGGGCGCCGAGGAGTTTGGCAAGCTTGGAAGCTATTACTACATCAAGCAGATCAACGGCTCTGACACCGAGCTGGCCAAGATCAGGGCCTACCTCAACTTCGATATGGTACGTGATAGTAATGATGATGAACCGGACTTGTATTAACCACCACACAGATTGCCAGCCCGAACTATATCTACGGTATTTACGATGGAGACGGCAGTGCGTTCAACCTGACCGGTCCTGCTGGCTCTGATGTCCTTGAGGCGGACTTTGAGAAGTTCTACAAGAAGAAGGGCGTCCCATTTGTCCCTTCAGAGTTCAGTGGCCGCTCTGACTATGCCGCATTTATCGAGAACGGCATTCCCTCCGGTGGTCTCTTCACCGGTGCGGAAGTCCTCAAGACTGAAGCGGAGGCCAAGCTGTTCGGCGGCGAGGCCGGTGTTGCTTATGACATCAACTACCACAAGATCGGCGACGACATCAACAACCTCGCCCACGATGCCTACCTCCTCAACACCAAGAGCATTGCCAACTCCGTTGCCAAGTACGCCCTCAGCTTCCGCTCACTAGATGCTGTAGACATTAAGAAGAGACGATGGGCTGCGGACAACGTGCAACTCTTCCAGCGGGAGAGTCTTGATTCGCACGCCCACGGCCACGCTGGACCGTGTGGAGCAAGTGGCGAAACCATCTAAAATAGATAGGGGTTGGTAAAATTATGCATGACTCGAGATAGACGAACACCCGGAGGTGGCTTAACGAAGGCTTCGTACGAGTTATCCCTTACATAGTTAATGACTAAAATACGAGAAATGATGCAAAGTTGAGTTAGAGTGGGTATCTCATTAAATGTGATGAAAGGTAATCTACTGAGGAAAACGTTGCGTAAAGAAAAAAGGCGAGTTCGGTCGCATATAACCGGTCCATGCAATAGGAGTATAGGTTGACTGATGGGTAGAAATCTTTTTTCTTCGGAAAGCCTTGAGGCTCCTCTGTGAAGAGAATACTTGACGCGGTGAGAATCAAGGGTTTGTCTACGAGTAAATGACTAACAGCAGAACCCAAGTCTTCGATAAAGAGGGATAAAGCTATAATTACTCCGCTTCCTGTGTAGCACAGCTAAACCACCCCTAGCCATGTGGGTGGTGAGCTAAGCTCGTCAGTCCATAGGGGTCAAAATCCGACACTGGGATTGACTGCTCTTCAGGGGCGGTATGGAAATGATCATCAAAAACTGCCTCATACTTCAAAGGCCTCTTCCAATAGTTGCCGGGATCGCGTAGCCCGAGTCGATAGTAGTGTCTCTCTTGCCCTGGGCGATCAACCCAAGCTCGCCGCGCATGAAGAAGGGCCAAATTGTTGACGAGCTGAATGTCTCCAACTTCGACGTCCAACTTGATGGAATTCTTGTTGGCAAAAGTCTCTAGAAGATCCAGAGCTTTCCGCTGCACGGGACTGAGGAGATTGGTTCCTTCAAAGATGCGATGAACTACTTAACAAAGAACACGACCGTCTTGCTGGAAAATGATAGGAGTGTGAGAGGTCTCGGTCAAATCGTTGCTTGAAGATAATTTAGTAGGGAGACGCCCACAGTTTAACTGAAAATGGACTTACACCACTTTTGGCCATGGAAAGTCCTGTGCTAAGATGCGCAAGGCATCTGGGCAAGACTCCATCATGTCATTGTACACTTGCCAGGAGCTAGAAAGATATTGGTCCCCACCAATAGCGGCTGTAGACTTGACGTACAGAGCTAGAATGTCGGCAAATTTGCGGTCGGCGTGAAATTTCTTGGTACAATATCAGCCTCTGATTCCATGCGGTGTGAAATCTAAAGAAATCACAAACTAGAGGGGCCATCATCTTGGACGGATGTAACTCTATATGCTCCCGGCCGGCCGGTTTTTCATCTCGAGCAGCGTCTCGAAGGTGATCTGTATTTGAGATAAGCATGGTTATATTAACCAGGAGAATAATAGATCGCACTAACGCATAGCAACTCCATTATCGTTCGTGTATCTGTCCTTGCCGATGTAGCTTGATACGCCGCAGAAAGCAATAACACAATCTTCGTCTGGTCGGTCATTTAGTTTTAAGCCTCGCAGTACTGCGAAGCCTCGGCCGCTATGTATTGTGCTGCTGATACTCCGGAGCTTATTAGCTAGTCCAAGGGGTAGAGGGAAATTGACCGGATCGATCAAGGCGATGTTTTCGAGCTCGAGCGCTGTCATAATGGGTTAGGGAGGCACGGCTTGAAAGAGAATGTATCATGAGGGAGATCAATGCCTTTGAAGGAGGTGATGGAGTCTTCAATCGCGGCGAGCTCCTCCGTAGTTAGTTGTACAACATAATCGAGCGGCGCAAAGGAATCAGAGGTCCAGCATAATTCAGAGCTCAGGTGGACAGGGAATTCAGACAAAGGATCCTCTGGTATTTTCGTGTAGGATATCTTGTTCTCCGAGGCCTTGCTTGAAAAAGACCGAAGCCCTAGTGCATTGACAGAGCTGGGGCTCGAGATAGCAAGAGTTGCCATTGTTTCGTGGGTGCTTTGCTTGGAAGTGCCGTCTGGCCCGAAAGTTTCGTCTGAGAGGCCGGCGAGCCGGGCACTTTATACACCAGCGTTACTTGAGTCGCACCCGCGGAGTTGGGGCGGATCCTTGTTATTGGCATTAGCAAGCAGGTCTCAAAGAGTCAAATCACTGTGACTAATTGTATGAGATACAGGAGTCTCACAACCAACCCCGATACGAACCAAGACAAAAGTCCCTGGGATCTTTGCACTTTGTACGTCGGGGGGGATACGTGGCCTGTCACAATCAACGTCAGTGGCCCTTTGGCAGCCTCAGTTTGCTTCAGTGCCCGTTGATGGTGACCAACAAATACACGCCCTACAGCGACAACTCCACCTCTGACCGATTCGTTTTCAACTACAGAGCTAATAGCAAGATCTGATGGATGCAGGCGGTGGACAGCTGTTATTTCCAGCATGGGAGAGTGACGGAATTGAAATTACAAGATGCAGCCCAACGCATGCTGGGTGTGTTATCTGTTGCCTTCTGTGTCCAGACTTGTGTCCAGACTGTGTACACCCAATACGACTGATTACGACATGCTCCTATCAAAAAAATGTATGATCCACCAACCGTCGAGGAATTAAAAATAGTACCGCTATTCGCACACGCACGTTGCTACTCGCACACATAACCACACACTTCAATCCAGCGGATCATAATCTATTATGCTAATAGATTATTTAGAAAACTAATTCTTAGTATTTATTTTCTAATAACATTTTATTCTTATTTTTTTTTAATAAATATATGCCTCAGGGCTAAGAATTCCCATTTAAGTACATCAGTTTGACCTGGATTTTAACCAAAGAGGCTTGTACTTGTGTGCCAATAGCAACACTCGGTAAAAATGCAGACCAATGTACCTCATGTTAGGTTGGTGTCTGTTGCTTGATGAGTGCCTGGTGAGTGCCTGATGAGTGCCTGATGAGTGCCTGAGAGGGCCAGTGTCCCGGAGCATCTTGACCGGTTGGGCACGTGATCGTCGCATCTTGCCAGCCTCGGGTCAGATGGGCTGCTTGAGCATGCTCTCTTTAAACAATCGGCGCCTAGGGCTAGAGCTGGCTATTCCTCTATCGATTAACCATTCAATATTCAATCGCCGGCAATACGATATTCACAAATCAATGTCTACGGACCCAACCCAAAGCAGGGTTGGGGGCGAGGCCGCAGCTGGCGCCGTCGCCGTCGCCAATGTGCCACCCGATGACTCGATTGTGGACCCAACGATGCAACCGGTCAGTACCTACTTCTCCGCGACGGACGTACCGATGCAGAGTGCCTAAGTTTAGATCTGACGCCGATGGTGAATAAGGAGCATCAGTTCTTGGACGTTGACCCGTTGTCCGACGAGTTCCTGCTCGATAACTCGGATCCAGCAAGCACCGAGTACCTGGTTAGAAGAGCATCGCCATGGCCTGGATCAAGAGACAAGAGACAGGTCCGCTAACCGGTTATTGTGATTAGTTTCCACTCATGGGACTCTCGGGTCTGCCGAACCCCTTCGACATGGAACGAAACGCCCACCCTTTAGCGGATCTCCTATCGGAACCGCTTCTGTCAACCAATCCATCTTCGAACCCTGGACACGGTCTCGACAATGTCGATTCGGCGAACTCTTCAGCGTTTGGACCAGAGACACTGAGCTTGGCAGCCGTCGAGGCTGGCCGGATTAATGACCTCATTTACCCACCAGACTGGCTGGGAATTGAGTTCCCTGCACCACAACCCCATCCCTCCGACACCTCAAGCTGGGTGCTTATAGGATCAAGCCAGTTCCAGAGCTCATCCCGGGAGTCTACGCGCTTCACACCCACCTCGGATGAGCGAGAGAAGAGCAATCCCGACCAGCTGGCGCCTAGCATTCAGAATGACGATAACAGCGCAGCCCATTCGAGCGCGTTCGAGTTAGTTCTTCCCCCGACTGGTTTTTCTTCCAAGGAACTCGTCGTCTCTGCAAGAGAGAGCTCCACTGACATCGTCAACCAAAACCTTGCCGTACTTCACCAGCAACGGCTGCCGCAAAAGGTCCGAGGAAAGCTTTCGCAAGAACAACGGGAAAAGGTGAAAGTTATGAGGATGGTCGGAAACTGTCTACGATGCAAAGCATTCAAACTTGCGGTTAGTGTTCAGAATCAAACTGGTTTCTCGCGCTCGCTTTCTGAAACTCGACCCCAAGTGCGACCCTGGTACTCCATGTAAGCAGTGCCAGGCTGTTCTAGACAATGTCAGGTCTTTTGTCGATCCTTGCTACAGAGACAAACTCGATCGAGTCACGCTTGCTCGTCATGGTATGTTGCCTGCTACCCAGTCAGAGATACTACCCTCCTCTAATTCAGGCCAGGAAACGGGAGCTTCGGGCAACGCGACGTGGCTTTTGTCGATTACTTCTGGGCCGATAAGACTGCGCTTCCAAAGGCCCTTGAGATTCGATGGAATCTCCCTGGTGGTCGCGCTGTGGATCTACCGCTCCTGAACATCACCTGGAAAGAATTCATCCCCAGGACTGACGATACTCACTGCATCACCTAGAATGTTGGCGGTGAGATAATGACAGTTCCGTTGCCCCCGTTTGCTGGCGATGACGTGCAAGCCTTGAAAGCCGAAGTCGAAACGTTCCTAGACAAAAGCGTGGCAAAGGTGTTGGACTACATTCTTGAGGATACCACTGATCAGATCATTTCAGCGTCGCTGAAGGAAGCAATTCGCTACAGTCAGAAACACGCCAGTTGGGCTATAGATCTCGCTCTGCGGATTCGATGCGCATCATTCTGTTCGCAGGGGTGGGGTTCCATCACAGGACAAGAGTCGCTCGGAATCGCCGCCGTTGACTTCAATCGGCTGGGCAAAAGCGGGTACGCAGCATACGACCGGGGCATCGACCGGCCAGTCCCACAATCTATTGATCACCAGATTGATGTTGCCCTTTTGCTCACGATTAAGGAGCATCAAAAAGAACTCTTGGGGCATCTGTCGAAGCTCATCTTCGGGAAGGTTAAGAAGAAACCGTGGTACGAGATCTTCTTGACAATTTTCGTGCTCCTTTCCAATCTGGAGTATGTTCATGGGGGATCACTTTCATACTATCTCGCTCAAGCAAAAACGGTGAGTTCCTCACACGTTACATGTCAAGATTAAGTTACTGATCAACGATCTCTCAAGAGGAACGGAGCAACATGCTATTCTCTCATTCAAGAGATGATTGATGAGTTCACCTACTCGTCGGAGAACCTTCTCTATCACTTTTGCTCTATTCTTCGCGGCAGTATGGGATTTAAGCTAGCCCACGAAAATATGCGGGATTTGACGACTCGAGAAAGCCTCGACGAAGAGGCCGTTCTTTACATGACCACAATACTCGAAACGCTTCCCAAGAGCCGTCAGTGGCCCTCAAATGTACGTTCACTGCTGCATTGGCTAATGTGAAACAGATTTGCCCATACAGGCACCCGGCCCTAGTCGCTCCAGCGGCTCTGGCGGCTCCAGTTTATCGGACGAAGTTCCCCCATCACCCGACGGTCGGTGGATCATGAGGTTGTTTGAGAGGGTCAAGTCGTAACAAGTCGTACCAAGGGGGCCTTGGAAGCAGCCCTTTAGCATTGGGTGGACACAGAAGGCATCTGGTCTTGATCCTTGCCTCCCATACATATTATCTTTTAGAGTACCATGATTGGCTCGCCCTAACCGGCCAAGGCTTCCTGTCTGGGCGATTATGGCCGGTCAGGGCTGACTTGGGACCGGCCACAACCGGACATCAGCTTGAGTTTCGGCGACTGTAGAGTACAAGTTAATCATATTCCCCCGCAGATTCTACATTTCTATACTGACTTGAAATTCGGCGCATGTCCAATATGCGTCATATTTCTGACGGCTCGCCCAATGTTGTTGGTTCGACAGTGATGCCGACTTCTCATCGAACTCAGTCGAGTGTCTCGCACGGTAAAAACAACAACAATGCATTGCAGCCTGATCATATCTCGCCTAAAGCGGTCCCAAATCCCAGCATCTCCTCCACGCAAAGGAATAGTTCCATGACCTTAGAGGAGCCCCGAAACGAGTGGCAAGCACCGAAAGCCGATATGGATGAGTCCGGGCCTGTGAGACCTCACGCAGTCGATAAAGGAATGAAACATTCAGCTGACAAAAATTCTTGTCCAGCCCGCAGATCAAAAGTTCGGAGAGAGCAGGAGACCTAAGCCTTTGGAAGATGTGTCCAAAAACTCATCTTTTCGTGCGGCATTGGCTGCGATTCCCGCCTATACCATGCTCAACCACTGGCTCTTGACCGAAAATGATCCAATATCTGCCAAGGTAGGTAACGGAATCTTTAGGTCTCAACTTCATGAAAATTTTGGTGGAATAGCACATCCATTTCATTTGAACAAAGCAGTGGAGGTCTTCCGTGACGAGTGAGCAGTAGATATACAAGCAGTGCACGCAGCTATTACTGCAGCTCATTGAGGTATTGGGAAAGGTAACCAGTTGGACTAGAAGCCTTAGTCTGTCTGAGTAAACTGTTGACGTTTGAATGGACTGGGTATATGGTCTGTATTGTTGATACTATTGTTGGTGTGTTTTTTTTACTGTTGAGCTTTCAGTCCCCCCTCTGGGTATGTGTGTACTAGGGCACCCTAACCTCTTGCTTCAAGCAATGCTATCATTGTCTCAAATCAGGAGGATAGACACAGCATTAAGATTGTAGCCTACTCTTACAATGGGATGATTCATTCGTACCTGAGCATAACATCTCGTCTAGTGGAGTGCGCTTTCGCCTGTGTAATAGAGAAGGCAGAACTGGGTCTTGATGTTACTTCAAATGAGAAGTGGTTTGATACGGGGGGAGACTCAGGTGTTAGTAATTAGGGTATCTGCACACTGGAAAGGTAATACTTTTGAGATATCATACATATTGTATATAGTACGTATTGCTATTGTTAACAAGTACACAATAAAACTAAATATAAAACCTTCAGATAATATATAAGTTATAGAGTGGAATCTAAACTATCTGAATTATCAATTCAATACAACCTCATCCGAACTCTCTTAAAGTATTTAAGCACAAGCAGATTCTCTGACCCAATCCATTAGAGGCTAGAAGTAACCGCAATTATGGCATATCCAATATCTCCAGCTTCGGCTGCAGACTCTGACAGTCGGGTGCCTGAGGCAGCTGTAGTTGGCTTCGTCCGACCACTCCCCAACACGATCACGTGCCCGACCGGTCAAGAAGCTGTTAGACACCGGCCCAGGGCTTCCAATAGAACATCGACAAGCTGGACATCGGCCAGACCAAGCATTTAACAACTTCTGCCGCCTCACTTCTTTCTCCTCAGTCTTCCAATGCCATCTCGGATCCATCATGCACCCCCCAGCACCCGCTTTCAACGGCCCCCTGCGCCTTGCCCAGCTCTCTGATTTGCCACGCATCGGCGTCGTTGCTGCTGCTGGATTTTACCATTCGCCATGGTTCGCGTACGAACGGCCCTACTCTTCTCAGTATCCCTTGGACACACTGGCCAGTTACAGAAAGTCCTTCCGGAGCGCAATTCTCGATCCCGATTCCGTCGTTCTCGTTGTTGAGGATACCTTGAGCGAGACTGAGGCCGCCTCTGTCTACGCCGCTCTTTCAGGAGTATACCCGTCTTTTGAACAGCAAATCCCAAAACACCTCCTTAATCAGAACAAAGCCGTTGTGGCCGTTGCTAGCTTCGCGCTTGTCCCAAACTCCAACCGCCGGGGCCAGTTCCAGCCTCATGGTAAGTTGCCATGGCACCCCTTTTCTCAGCGCTCAGTGCTAACTCTCGCAGGGGACAACGCTGAAGCCCCCGACGATGCCGTGTCCAACCGGGACAGAAATAACACGGCATTTACCATCATAGAGGAGGTCCTGCATCCACAGGAGGTCGAGTAAGCATTCGTGAGCCGTGCTGTACGTGACATACGCTTACGCTTATGACTGTTGCCCTAGAACCTTCAATGGCCGCATGGTTATCGACATGATGGTCACACATCCCGCGTACTGGCGGAGAGGCCATGCAACCCTAATTATAGAATGGTTCATCCATCTTGCCAGACACGATCAGATCGGTCTGGGGGTGACCGGTGCACCGATGGGGAAGGCACTGTTCTCACATTTGGGTTTCAGCGAGGCGAAGACGGTCAAGATTCCGGGGTATGATGACCACATTGGTCCTCTCTATGCGTGGCTTGGACTCTGGGATGTCAAGGTAGAGGATTCTGGCCCTACAACGGACAAGACTTCTGCAGAATTGTAATATGGTTGAGAATATGACTCAACCATTTCCCGACCAGAATTAGGGTGTGCTAGTCACGAAGCAAGATAGAACCCCGACATAATCGCTAAAAACATAACATGTCATGTGGCTTCGATACTGGGAAAAACAGGACAGTGTGTAAATGTTCATAAATCTAACTTGCTACTATAAAAACAGACGCTTGAATGGCCAATTCGCTTAAGCAATGGGCTCGCAGGTGAAGACACCGCGCACAGTACCATCGCGGAACTGCATGATCTAAGAAGGAATCAGTATTGGATAGCAAGCCAGGAGAATCGGAGTACTTACAATATCATCGATACTGGCGTAGGTGCCGCCGACAAGGACGATCATTCCAATGATGAAGATCAGGGCGTTGGCAATGGCCAAGGGCAGGTTCTCCTTGGAGTACCAGGGGCCCTTGCGGATGAGCATAAACCACATGATTGCGGGGAAGTAAAAGGTAAATCCGGAGATGAAGAGAGACGAAGAGATAGAGAGAAGGTCGCTGAAGAAGGGGATGGACTCGGCGATGATAAAGGCAATGACGGTGATGACGGTGATCAGAGCCAACCAGGTGATCCATCCCATCTTGGTGTTGATGTAGCGGATGATGGAGTCCTTGAACATACGGGCGTGAAGGTAACGGCTAACGACGGTGGTGTTGATGGATCCCGAGATGAAGATGACGGGAAGGGCGATACCGAAAGCGACCTTGGAGATGAGATCACCAGCCGAGAGGAGAGCGGGGGACTTGACTTCGGAGCCGACAAAAGCATAGATGAGAGCGCCGGTCAGGGTGTAGATGGCAATCTCAATGAGTCCGAGGGCCCAGATAGACTTGACAAAGTCCTGAGGAGTGTGCATCTCGTCCATGAAGGAGAACTGGCAAACGGCGAAGGAGTAGGCGAAGACGATGTTGGTGATGGCGATGAAGGCCTCGGTGAAGGTGAGGTTATCCTTGGGCCAGGCGGACCAGTCGACGGAAGAGAGACCGCCGGGGGCATCTCCAGCCTTGATACCAGTGGCGATTATGGTGATGCCGACAGCCAGGGCAATGGAGACGAAGTCGATGTAGCCGAGAATGGCGACTTCGGCGAACGAGGGCGGGATGGCGATGATGAGGAGGATGATGGCAGAGACGACACCGAAGACGACGGAGCAAGCGCCGTTGTCAGTGAGGTTCAGGAAGGCAATGGTACCGGTCAAGCAGTGGGATCCGACGAGGAAGATGAGTTGCAGGGAGAACATGACACCGACCAGCTCGTAACCGAACTTGCCCATCATGAGTTGACCGGCATCAGCATAGTGGGAGACGTGGGGGTAGGCCAGCTTGACCTGACCAACGACGTAACTGGTGTAAATGGCAACGAGACCGAGACCAACGCAGAGGATGGTACCGGCAACCATGCCCAGGGTCGCAAAAGCGGAGGGGAGACTGAGACAGCCGAGGGCGATGGCCTCGACGATCAACACGACGGTGAGACGCTTCCAGCCGAGACGGTGGAAGTGGGCGTTGCCCTCGGCGGCCTTTTGCTTCTCAAGGTCGGCGCGGGTGCGCTCGTCGAGCTCAGCGACCTCGCCCACGGCCGTGTTGTCGAACATGATGTCCTGCTGCGCGGGGACTTCCTTGGGCTTTTCGTGGCTCTTGCGGTCTGACGAGTCGTTGGCAGACGAGTGCAAAATGTGGTCCATGATGGGTGAGAGACGGGGGGGCGTGTGAGAGGAGTGGCAAGACTGGATAAGTGGGTGGAGGGGGGGAGGCCCAGTTGATATGGGTCTTGAACAGTTCAATCGAGTGAGGAGAGTGAGAGTGTGGGAAAACAATGGGTGGAAGAGGGGGAGGTCGGAGGGTTTATGTAGTTGGAAGCTCTATGTAGGACGAGGCCTTAAGGATGGGGGGGAGGGGGAGGGGGAGGGGGAAAGATAAAGAGAGAGAGCGTTAGACACACAGGACTGACAGATGAACAGAACGGGACAGGCCAAAGGGCTTCGTACCGAGAGTGAGACCGAACTCTGTCGTCGAGGGCACCGGTGGGTCGAAGCCAGCCGGGTCCACCGCGGGTGCTCTGGATAACCGCATTGGGGAGGATGGAGGCATCTCAACACGGAGAACCCTGTCTGTGAGGGATGATGGTGCTCCGGAGTATGATGCTAACTCCAGAGTAGGCATCACGTAGCCCATGATGATGATGACGGCCCCGGGGTCGGACTCCAGAACAACCCCAGGCCTCCAGAACCCCAGGCCTCCAGAACCCCAGGCCTCCCCGCAGGGTTGATTGGAGCGAGAGGGTATTTCGAAGGGGTAATGGAAACCGGCGACGGAATCACGGGCATCCCCACAGAGTTGATTGGAGCGATTGGGAGCGGACGAGTATTGAAGGGGTAATGGAAACTGGTTGAGGGGGTTGAGGGATCACGGCCATCACAGGCCTCCCCACAGAGTTGATGGTTGGATGGAGCCAACGAGTATCGAAGGGGTAATAGAAACCAGGTCGAGAGTCTAGTCCTGGGTGCCGAAAGCCGACTCCCTGCTGCTTGTCTGCTTGCCTGCCTCTCCGCAATGAGGTGCATTCCCAGGGTCCTACTACAGTACCTTACGCAGTAGACGTGGTGAAGAGCGAGACAATCCCGGCTGGTGGATCACCCATTTACAGGCCTCAATTTCCGTTTACCTAATGCGGGCCCGGCAGTGCTACGACGGAGCCTCCACAGAGCCGCAACGCCGGCCTCTGCTTGGCTGGGCGCGCGTAGCGATGTGTCAAAGAAACGGCGACGGAGCCGCGCACAGAACAAAAAACCGGATCCAGAAAAAGAGGAGCCAAGCGGTGGGAAAATGCGTCCACTGTGGGTGGCCCTGGCATCACGAATGGATGAGGCAAAAAAACAGAGGCGACCTGTTGACGGTCCGCCGGTGGGCTGTCGCGCTCTCTCGCCCCATTATCCCCATACACCTAAACGGCTTCTCCGCAGAGTGAGTTTGAGATTGGGTTGGGGAGCGTGGTAGTTTTTACGTCAACATGCTGGGCGGGCGTGTTTCTTCAGTACTTAGATTGCGGAAGAGAGGAGAACTGGCCCTTTTCGCGTTTGGCGAGTTCTCTTTCACGCGTCAGTCGGGCGAAACCTGATTCTCTCCCTCTCTCTCTCAAGAAAAAAAAAAAAACACGGCGCTCCGGAGCTTCAACCGCGGCGGGCGCCAAGACGGAGACCCGGCGTCGCAATGACGGCGCGTCGCCCGGTGCTGGGACGGAAAATTCTGCACCGGGCTCGCCGAGAGAGCTCCAGGCGCTGGGAGGGCGGGAGAGCGCATCTCGTCAGCCCTGGGTTGGAAGTGTTCTGGAAGGCCGCTAGTCAGGGGGGAGGTGCGGGGGATTAGGTGTGATGTGGATGGATGTGGTGAGAGAAGAGAGGAGTGAAGGTGAAAATGAGGTCAGGGATACAAGGGGGAGTCGCTGTGAGGCCTGTGAACGGCGAGGTCTGTGAAGCCGGTGGGGAATCATCTACAGTGGAGTTGCTTCAGCGGACATTAGTGGACAGATCAGATGCTTCAGTGAGCTTCAGCAGACTTTAGTGGACAGCCAAGATGCTTCAGTGGGCTTTAGTGGACTCCCGACCCGAATCTGTCTGTCCCGTCCGTCTCCCAGATCATCCTCTCCGTCCAGCCTCATTGGCCGTCTCTGTACGAGCCAGAGCGACACTGATCCCAGGGTTTGGTCATCTCGTGTGTCCACTGAAGAGAGCCCCTGAATCTCCATCCTGGGCCATCTACCCGTCCTCATCAGGTATCGTGATGGCCTCGACGTCCCATGTCCATGCAGCAGACAGACTACCTACATCCAGATACTACGTCGACAGTCGGGAAGAAAGAAAACAACAAAAAACACGCCCACTCACCCCAAAAGACCACTCACACCACATCGAAAAACAACCCCATCGTCGCCTTCGCTTGCCCAGACCGTCGCGCAGTGGTACGATCATCCATGACCCGATCCGGCCGCTCGTCGCCCCTCGCCGCCACCCACCCTAGCCACGCCGATCTGCGTCTTCTACGTACCTAGGTAGTACTACGTAGTACATCATCACTCATCACTCATTCTCATCACCCCCCCGACTCTCCCCGTCCCGAGCTAACTCACCTAGGGAGGTCCTCCAGCTTCTCCCGTAGCGGCTCCATCAGCGGCGCGTTTGGCCATTGAAGTCCGGCGTTCGGTGGCTTGATTCCATGCGCCTTTTCTAGAAGAATAGACACAATGCCGCCCAATCACTTCACTGCCGCTTCCACTGGTGTAACCCACCCGGGATGCGAAACTGCAGTAGCAGCGTTGCGGCCCGCCATGCCATGCCATCCATCTCATCGCATCGTTGCCATCCCTCCCCAAATGTCCCGAAAGTACCCAACATTTGGCGTCTTGCACCGCGAGATGCAATGTAAATCGCCTTTAATTCTTCATACAGCCTAGTCGTTTGCCAAGCTCAATCTTCTGCGTCTTCCATGCCGTCTTCTCTTACATAGTGATTGTACATGAACTGCGACCACCCTTGCACAGACTCCCAATGCTTCTCCCAATTGCCCGCGCTTTGTTCCCCCATCGCCCACGTCTTTCGCTAGACACCTTCTGACGCTTTCTTCTGACACCTTTTCTACGCCTTTTCAGTCCTCACCCCCTCTGTCCACGCGCCCTGTGCTCACGCCCTTCACCCACGCGCCTCTGGCCACAACGCGGTTGTAACTCCCGCCCGACGACCAAACTCTCAACCCGGCATCCCCGGGATGGCAGGCTACTCGGGACCGGCAGCGAAAAAACACGCAGACAAAACAAAAAAAGAGCGGGCTTCAGAGATAAAAATCGCCATATTTTGCATTCCTCCTGATTCATCCTATGTGGTAAACGGTATTCATTAAATCCAGTCAATCAACCCGCCTGCCATTGGTCGCGCCCACCCTCGTCGTTCGTAGATATCGCCTGCGGGCCTGGCCGCTGGGGAGCTTGTGGAGAGTCTGGAGATGTCCACAGCCAGAGATGCTCTCGTTCGTCCACGGCTTGCACAGCAGGGCATCGATCTCTGATAAGATCTCATTTCTAATGCCATTATGAGTGTAAAATGGTCCCGCGAGCGAATCCTCATCCTGCTTCACTGGAGCACCGTTTCATTCGGCCCGCAACCTTCGCAAGGGACCATCCTAGACCCTCCGACGAGCTATCCACAACGACTCCGCTGCTTACGACCCCGTGCTTTGCATTTAGTCATATAAACTCCCGCCTACCGCCCATTTGCCTCCCAGAGGGTCCGAATCCCTGCCCCCTTGGGCTTCGAGTCTGAGCTTCCGTCTTGCGGAGTGAAATTGACTCAGGGTCTCGCCCGAGCTGTTGGTCTTTGGCATTTGTCGTGTGTTCTGCATGCCCCGCCACGGAGCCGCCCACTGACCACCATGCGAGCTTCCATGTCTTGCTCGTGTTATTATTAATGCCTCTCCGCGGTTCATTATAATCTGCCTTGACATTGTGCATAAATCGTCTTGGCGCCGTATCTAACATGGTGAAACCTTTAGCTAAAGGCATTCTTGGAACCCAGTTCCAGGCACCGGACATTGAATGGAGTGGTTATCACGGCTTCCTACTCAACGTCCTCGTATTGGTCAGCTTCATCCCCGAAACGAGACTAAGGTGCCAGTTTTCAAGCTATCATGGCTTCAAATAAGCATGCTCTCCGGGGTAAACTAAGATTCGCCAAGAAGCTGTGACTAACAATAACTCCCACGATAATTTCTCGTAACTTTCCATATAGACACCTCAGCTAAGGTGGTCATCCGACCCGAATCACTAGTTCATCAGAGTGTGCTTCAGCAGAGGGGCTTACACCGATGTAGTATTATACCAGTGTAAACAGGCCATGCAAGGTCACTCTAGATTGGTGCTGACTATATCGCAGTGTCACGTAGGCTACTAGTTCTCCATAGTCCGTTGAACTAGGACGTACAACCTCAAAATCCCTGGTTGTATAGGGTAGCGCCATTCACCACCAAAGTCTGGAAATTGGGCCATAGAAGGGGTTGATTAAAGCGGTAGAAGAAGGATGTATGAGATCTTCTGTTGGAAATATAGAACAGATTCCTGGGGAGACAAATTGGGAATGATTCAGGAGGATCGTCGTTGAATGGACAAACAGACGTGTGGTTTGTGACCCAAGCAGCCCAGGCTGAAGCCCTTTAACCAGTGTCCCGATTGCTCAACATTACGTACATCTATAAACAGATTTCCAAACAGAAGTTGTCGGACCTTCATCCGATGTGCCACTCAATTTGATTTTGTGCCGTGTTGATCAATTGTCTGAGGTTAGTCTAACAGCTAATTCTCCTCCAACCTCTAAGAACGTCTGAGACAATTTCAGCTTGCTAAAGTCCACCACCGTTCCACATAACATAAGTCGTTTTCTCAATCACGGTGACCATCAAAGGCAATTTCCTGTTCCTGCGTCAATGTCTTGGCGGTTGAAGCGATTGGCGGGCTTTTCCGCAGGCGCCCGGATTAGGCAAATCCCCGTCAGGTTGATCTTCGCCAAGGGCGTCGAGTGAGTTCGGTGGTCGGCCCGACCAGCAGATGAATGCAACGTGTTCACGGCCGTGCCAGAACTCAGAATTTTCCATACAAAGTATCCTATTCTTTACGGTGTAACATCGTCTGCTCGTTCGCAGACGACTGCACCGAGATTGTGGGTTGATTGATGTCGCATCATCAATCAAGCCGAGTGAGTTTTAACGGAATGATTTCTCCGTTGTTGAGAATCGGAGCGACTAATGGTAAATGCAAGCGAAATATGAGAAAACAATTCACTCACGAGTCCAAGTAAAGGTACCTTGGTCCTATTCTTTAAGAGGATAGACATAGCCCCATACCACCTAGTCCCTCCACGAGGATGGATCTCCTTGCAAATAAGTAGTCTAGAGAGACCTTTTTAGACCTCGGCCGCTAAATTGGAAAGTCTCAACATGATTTGATTGCATATGTGGGCAAAGCCCAAGCTCCGACGCAAGTTGGAACCAGCCAGCGGATGTATCGCTGTTAAATGAATTCAAGTGGACTACAGACAATGAGGATAAGATATAATTTAATTGCCAAAATAGGCTCTAGCTAGAATAAATACGTTGCATTTACACTCGACTTGGAACCTGCAACCGCTGCGCCTCGAAGAGAGTACACTGTGGAAAGGTTCTAGTAATGTAGTCTCTCGCCTGTCTCCATGCCAATGGAACTAACTTAGTTGCAGGTGGTGGTGCTGAACTGCCTGCAAGGGAATCCCTCGTAGTTCTTGTTGCAGTACTTCAAGTTATTGGTCAAGGTCTTGATGTCGCAGATGGGCATGTTGCTGAAACCAGGAGTGCGCGTGCCAGCCTCGAAGATGATGTTGCCATTGTTGCCGTTGCCGTCAATGGCTTCCGAGTTCTCGGGCATCTGGTAGCCGTTCTGGTTGCCATTCAGCTTGTAGCCGTCCCACGAGCTGATGACGATGTCATCGAGAGTCACGCCACCCCACTCCTCGCCCTTGAGGTTGTCGTAAGTGCCGCCGGGGAGGCTGTTGATCTTCCAGTCAATGAGATTGCCCATGTTGTTTCTGTACTCGGGGGTGCCGACGTAGAAGATCTTGTTGTCGTAGCACACGTGGATCTGGGCAGCTGTGGAGTCGTCGATGTGGCCAGCAAGGTCGCCCTCGCCGACAGAGGAGCAGGCGTTGTCCGTAGCTAGGATGAAAGGAGAGAATTCGCCGGGAGCCACCTTCCAAGCGGCGGGGATCATCTTGGTGTAGACAATCTTCTGGCCCTCGTCCTTGAGAGTGGCGAGATCAGTGCCGGTGGGAACAGCGCCTTGCATGCCGTCCTGGATGAGGCCGTACAGGGTGTTGAGAGTTCCGACCTCGCCGGAGAAGATCTTGTTGACGTAGGCGGCCTCGGCCTCCATCCACTTGCCGACAAACTTGCCCATGGCTTCGGTCAGGTCGTTCTGCAAGTCGGCAGCGGTGGGGATGTGATCACGGGAGATGGAGATGGCAAACGTAACAGCGGCGTTGAAGGAATCCTTGGCAACGCTTCGCCAGTCCTCGTTGTCGCTGTTGAAGATCTTGGCTGTCTTGATGACTGTGTTCCAGCTGTAGGCAGACGCGACGCCGATGACCAAGGCGAACGAGGACAGAATCTCTCGCAGAACGACGGACGAGTCCGAGATCTGAGGAGCAAAGGTCTCGGTGAACTTGCCCATGGAGTTTTGCATCTGGTTCATGGCGGAGTCGAGGCCATTGTAGCGGTTCTGGTGGACCTGGTGGATGGCGACGAAGGAGTTGAGGATCAGATAACCGGCTGGGAACGAGGTATCGTCACACTGGACCATGGTGTTGCAAGTACCGTCTCCAACATCCTGGCAGTTCATGTGCTCAGGGCCATGGAAGAAGTTGCTGACACTCATGGGGAAGGGCAGGACGGTCTGGCCGGTGCCTGCGGGATCCGAGTTCCACGAGTTGGCCACGGCGGACCAGGCACTGGTGGTGTCGACGGCGTTCCAGCGAACATCGGGCAGGTAGGAAGCGTCGGTGATTTCAGTTACCGAGCATGTTGCGTCAGACCAAACCACCGCGCGGTCCTTGACCCGCGAGAAGCCGACATCTGAGGCTCCGGACTTGGGGACGGGCGAGGAGAGGACGGAGGTGAGGAGGGAGAGGGAAACCAAAGACTTGAGGGCGGCCATTGTAGTTGTTGGAGTTGAGGAGTTGCTCTGGAGGTTGTTGTATCTCTTGATGTTCTAGCTGTGGATTGAAGATGGCTTTGAGTCGGGAGTTTGACGGTATTTATACAGATACTCACTTCAAGCAACTAAGAACTTGTTAATAGTTACAAAGAACCGTGTACTATCCTCTCTTCCACATGCACTCCTCGTATGCTCCAAAAGACTCAAGACGCAGCTCTCGTATATCACCAAACCCTTTATTTTTAGGGCAGCCATGGTGCTACTCTGCTGAATATGCACCTTATTCAGGATGACTGAGCCGTAGGATCGAAGGACGAAGGATTTTAGTTTCCAAGGAACCGTATATCCAGTGGCGTGTCTAAAATGTAGGATTTTGGAAAATGCGTTGACGGACCTAGCAATTGCCAGGACGCGCCCACGTGGGCTCGTGGGGCTGACGATCTTGACGAAGGAAGGTTTGGGAACAACGCGAATAGGATGTTTGGGGGCCGCAGGGATAGGGATGCCCCTGTAATTTTACTAGGCGCGTATTTGTCGGTGGCTTGAATGGGGCAAGACAGCCATCGCTCGGTCTCTGTATACTGTAGTCGGTTTGTTTCATCTGATGTGAGGCTGGGCTGTGGACTGGCGTGAGCTCCGCATGCGTGCATGTGGAGGGATCTTCAACACGGCGGACAAAACACAATAACAGTCACGTTGAGATCTTGCCTCGTCTAGCAACGAACATCAGGGCCGAAGTGGAAGCAATTAAACAATGGGGTGGCGCACTCCCGCATCACCAATGAACTTGGCTCGTGGGTCTGGCATCAATGGGAACCGGGAAGAGCCTTCAGCCCTCTTTTGCTCTCTACTAGACCTCAGCCCGCTCCTCGAATGATATGCCGGGACCTAGTTGATCTGACCGAGCACCATGCACGAACCTGCTTCTCACTCTTGGCATGCGTCCAGCTAGTCCGTTTCTTGAGGAACCCAATCCTATGTACCCCTTGCACTGTTTCATACGCGGAATTGCCCAATTTCACAGTAAGGACGTCACCTATGGTGTTGTGACTTAAATCGTCTCTCGTCTAGAATGAATCCTTCCTACGGGTTCTTGATTGCCTTTCTCCTCCCTGAGCTCGAGTTCGAAGAGACCACTGGTCGAGTCGGGCGGCCGCCGCGATCGGGACAAGAACCCAAGTTCAGTGTGGCGCAGTCAGCGTCCAACGGCCTTAAAAGCGCACTGCAGTTCTAGCCTGCACCCCTAAAATAGAATAGATGTTTAATTCTAGCTGCATTTGTTGACTCGGCCTGGGGTTGAAGGCCTGCAGTAGTCATTGACTTCTTCGTCTTGGAACCTCAACCAGTGACCTGTAGCCGCGCGTTGAGTGTTATAAATGGGTCGTGATGATTGTTACAAACACATCCAGAGATGCAGGAACCGTATCAATGTCATTTGACTGGAGGTAACTTTGGATCGATTCGCTCTGCATTCTTCACAACAAAATACTAGCTTAATTAGAAGGTACCAAAATATTGGAGGTTTGCAAGGACACATAAGTTACTATGCCCGGCCCAATGTAGAGGCATGTGGTCTAGGGCTTCTACACCCTCGCAACCTGAGTCTAAGACTGTGACACTACACTGCCAATACCCAGCGCCAAAATCATCGTCCCTTCTCCGGTTTTCACTATTTCCCGGTGGGTAGGTGACACTGCCTATAGTCGCCTGTGACACCAATAAAATTCTCCGTTCGAAGTGTGGGCCTGGGCCCTCTGAGAAAAGCAACCCTTTTCGTCGAGTGTGTTATTTCAGAAGTACGAAAATGTATTTTGTGCGTCGCACGAACGTTGGGCTTGAAAATCGCGATAAACAAATTCGACGCGGTTGAAAATTGTTTGGCAAAAGTTCCACGCCAAGAGCCAGCTGTAGGATTAGCTAAAGAGACCGGAATACTGGATGATGATGTGCGAAATTCGCTCAGCCCTGAGACTTAGCTATAGGAAATGTACGGGACCAGCGCTTCCGGTCTCGCTTTGGAGTTTCACAACTTCACAACTGGTAGATGACTGGCCGGGGAAGACGAGCTTCCGAGGCCTTTGACTTGGCATTGAAACAAGCAAGGGGTCTTAGAAATCTTTGCGGTGAATCCGAGGCCTCGTCGTTAAAATCCTTTAGACCAGTACACTGGTAGGCGATACAAGGCTTGATATTCCTATGAAAACAGATCCCCTATGCAAACTGCAATCTGAATAGGTTACTATTTGGCGAGAAAAAGAAGTGAGCTGTATGTGGTTGACGGGGATACTGAATACTTACAGAAGCCTGGGGAATTTTACACGTGATAGCAGGTAGTCCAATATCTCTACAATGTCCAATAACATACATGTCGAAATATTTGGGCCTTTAGGTTTACTTGTACCATCAGATAGATCAAAGCCATGCAGTATTAACAAATAATAGACACACATTTAGTACTACACCCTGTACTAGAAGAGACAGTAGCTTAGCAGTAAGGTATCGCACACTGATTTTGCCTTAGAGTTCGATTCAACCCTCCTGTCTTTGACTTTGATGACTGTAGACAATAACCTTGCTGTCTGTAGTCGGTAACCTTGATATCTGTTGGTGATAACCTTCTACCCGTGGGCAATAACCTTGTCCTGAGCGGCATCATATAAGAGGGACATCCCTCATCATCGAGAGGCCAACTTACAATCCCGTGGAGGATCTTTCAACAATCAAATCCATCACAACTCCGACAATGATGATCATCCGCAAAGCCATCCAGAAGAACGCCAAGGGAAGCCCCAGATACCACATGTCTAAATGTACACCCTTCTACCCATAACTCTTGGTCCATCTAGCCAAGTACATATACATATACAACCAAGGCTTCTCGTTACTCTTGGCCAAGGAAATGCCAGGCCGCAAAGCTCGCCCAGCAGCAGATAACATCCCAGCCAACACTACTGACTGCGGGATGTTGATGCAAAGTGCTAAGGATAAGACCCAAGTCTCCGCCCTCACTGTACACTTTGGCAGTGGCAAAAAACAGCAGAATGGCCACGGCCCCAACCTTGGACAGCATGGGTGACTCGTGGACCAGAGGCGCGGGCACATGGACGGGCAACAGGCTGTTCAGAAGCAGCGGAGCGAAAGCCAGGATGTGGGGTACCATCAGGACCGGCAAGAAGCTAGAGTGGCCGAAGAGGTCCGGGATGTAAGAAACAATGCTTATGTTGGCTCCAAGAATGAAAGGCCACCAGAACGGCGACGATGATGGCGGCGCAATTAGCATATCTGGCTGTGACGCCTTGGCAGCGCCGGGTTTGGCATTCTTGGAAGGAGAGGTTACGTTGTAGACTGTGAATGCGAGAAATGACAGGTTCGCAGCAAAAGAAATAGCAACGACCTGACCCAGAAGCATGAATGCCCACATGTGCGGAATGCATCTCTTCTTGGCTGGGCAAGATTGTTGTCAGCACGCACCGGGAGCAGGAAACGACCGAAAAGACCAGAAACTCACAATGAGCCGCAAGCATGACGCTCCAAATAGCGCAAAAAGCAAAGATCTGCATCGACCACCAGGCCCTCGGCGGCGTCTCCAACGTCGAAGCCCATGCCTGCTTAAAGAGAGTCGTGTCGCGAAGCCACTGCCCCAGATGCAGGCCATTGGGATCGGCCGTCAGGAGCTCCTCGGCGACGGACGAAAAGGCCCATTGCGTGTACGACCACTCGAAGAAGCGGAACATGTGGTACCAGGTGCTCCCGAAGCTTACGGCGGCGAGGATGCTGAAGACGGAGATGGCGGTGCGGCGGCGGGCGTGTTCAGCCAGCGATAGGCCCGCGGTCGCGTCCCAGCGCACGCGGATGACGGCGATGCAGAAGCTGGTGAGCAGGATGGCGGTCGCCATGTAGCCCGCCAGGATGGCAATTGGGCGGACATTGGAGACGGCGTCCATGGCGGGGGGGGGATGAAGGCGGGGGGGATGAAGACGGTGGTGATGTTGGTGATGGTGATAATTACCCCTGAAGGTGAGATGAGGCTGACGTTGCCCAACGAAAAGGCTCCAACGGCTGCGGCCTCGGCCCGCTATAGGTACCTACAGAGGCTCCAGTAAGCCCCGAATCTTACTCACCCACACAATTGCCTGAAGCAGTAATCGCAATAAGCTTATTATTCCCTCGGCAAAGGGCCCTGTGGGCGGTAGCTCTCGGAGCGAATATGTAACAGGGAAATCCTCAACACATTTTACCCATCAAGTTTGGTTTGCGAGGGATCGTATTCGTACCACCGGCCGGACGATAGACCGCAACCTCGGTACTGCTCAAGGTACGGAGTAGACACATGACACATTCCAGAAGGGGCATTGGCGCCGCGCCGCTATCATCCAAAACTCCACTGAGACGATGAGACATGGCGCACGCAAAAACTCAGACATCGGCCGAGACATGGAATAAAAAAATATTCAGGTGACGTTCCCAGCAAACTGGCTCAACTCAATGGACCGACAGCGGGATGACGGGCTCCCGCAGCCTCTGCCGCAGCCTCAGCCGAGCAGCGAGAACAAACACCAACACGATGGGATCCCACAGCGCGTCGCCATCATTGGCACAGGCCTCGCCGGGCTGTCCACCGCCTATCTGTTGCACAACGACGGGCACAAGCGCTATGCGGTGACGCTCTTCGAACAGGTGCGCGCCCTCTCGCACCCATCGCAAAATACCTCAGTCTTAGGCTTCGGCTTCGGCTTCGGCTTAGACTTGGACTCAGGCTCAATCCCAGGGCTGCACTGACCCAATCTCCCCTCACAGGCCGCCAGCCTCTCCTTCGACTCGGCCTCGGTCGCCGTCAGAAACACCAAGGCGGGCATCACCGAGCGCGTCGACCTGCCCATGCGCGCCGCCGCGGGGGGCTACTACGAGAACCTCCTGCGCCTGTACCGCCACCTGCGCATTCCGCTGCACCCCATCCGCTTCCTATTCGTCTTCGCCCGGGCGAGCGCCGATGGCCCGACGAAGCTCAACAAACGCGCCGACGAGACCGACGCCGAACACGCGGCCGCTGCGCCGGGCGCGTACTTTGTGCATGCCTCGAACCTCCACCAGATGCCGCCGCCGTGGCCTGGTACCCGTGGCGTGGTGCCGCACTTGGTCGAGATCCTGTACCTGATCGTCTGCCACTTCTGGTTCTCCGTCGCCTGCTTCGCCATCCAGCCGCTGGCGGCCACGGCGTCGTGCGACGGAGGCGAGTCGTTCGCCGACTATCTCCACCGGATATGGCTGCCGCGCCGATACGTGTCGCACTACCTGGTGCCCCTGATCAGCAGCGTGTCGACGTGCTCCCACGCCGAGCTGCTCGCGTTCCCGGCCAGCGACGTGGTCAACTACAAGAAGATGTCGCACGGCCACCAGCACTACACCGTCTGCGGGGGAGTCAGTCAGGTGCAGTCGAGGCTGGCTGAGGGATTGGACGATATTCGGCTCAGCACCCGTGTCGTCGAGGTGGTGCCGGGAGCGAATCGAGGCGTAACTGTGCGCTGGCAGTCGACGGATGGGTCGTCCCAGATTACGGAACAGGCGTTTGATCGCGTCGTCCTCGCCGTGTCGCCGGATGTTGCAGGCAGCATCTTCAAGCCATTGAGGTCGATACTCAACAAGATTCCCACGCTTCGCGTCGAAAGCTCCGTCTTGCGCCCCGAGCGGGAGCCGGCCAACTTCAAAGTCGACGACAGCGCCGGCCACGGGCCTATGACGTGCGCGCATCATCTCGGCGACACTTCTCCATCGCAGGTCATTACGCTGCGGACGCGTTTTTCCGAGACAAACGGTTCGCAGACGGAGGCCTTGCACATCATGCCCAGCGGAGTCGTCGTCAGCACATGTCCTCTCGACGGGACTGCCGATATGAAGCAATCCCTCAAGACGGCTAGATTCACGAGAACATTGCGAAGCACGGAGAGCAGAGCAGCAGTCGAGAAGATCATGAGCCGTTCAAAAGGGATCGCTAAGAAGGTAGATGGGGACGCGACGGCGTGGGTGAATGGCGAGGATAATGTATGGTTAACGGGCGCCTGGTGCTGGGACGGCATGGTTCTGCTGGAAGGATGCATCGTGTCCGCGATGAGAGTGGCTGAGGACTTTGGTGTCACGATTCCGTTTTAGATGAGGCGCAACGAAATGAGCGTAATGAGGTAGCCTTCGTGTCAGAGGGATTAGATGATAGAAGAGAGTACGATGAATATGATGTCATGTCGAACAAGGGAGCTAACCAAGGATCATGACGGTCCTTGTGTGTGTAACCCGCAACCCATGCTACACCATTGCGCATTTTACCACCAGCTACACAACATATTGTAGCTTTCCGCCATTAGACTAAAAGCGGCTCCTGTTCATCGTGATGGTTAAAAGGTATGGTGTGGCGGGTATCGTGGTGTGGCGTTGAGACGTTGTGTGCCAGCTAAAAGTGGCTTCCCTCTCGCAAGCATGCCCTGATGCAAAGCAAAAAATATCGACATCACGACCTGTAATCTAATAGAGCCTCATCCTGGGACCGCCGACGTCAATTCTTAATAGACATTATTAGGACGAGGATGAGTGAAATTTCGGAATCGCCTAGCCGGAAAATGTCAAGGTAAATGCATGCGCGAATATTCTGCGGCCGCCCCCCCCCCCCCCTGGAACCAAGCCGCTAACAGCGTGGGCCTTGGGTGAGGGCGAAGTGATTGAGACGGTCTTGTTTTCTTTGCAAGGCTCAACCTCGACTGAAAGTTTACTGACATAGCCAGCTGGATTTTAGTATTAATCAATGGGCTTTTTGAGTCAAAGCTCTCTCACAAAGTTTAAAAAGAAAAAGAAAAAAACGTAACGGTGGCGGCCAGTTACGGAGGCGTCAAGTCCTCTGAATCCTTGCTTGGTGAGTTGTATGGCATGGCAATTCTAGCCTTCACTTGCCAAGACGCTGGCATTCTGCCGTCCCTTACCGCTCATGCCACGGCGCAGCCATGGCGTCCGCCCAAGCAATCTGATCTCGCTTTATGCTCATGAAAATCGTTAGCCGACAGCCTCAACCACAACCATGGGGTCGTTCCAGGGCCAAGACTTTGCAGTGGGATTTGTGGCGGGCATCGCATTCATCTTGGTTCTCGCTGCAATTGCATCGGTTACCGTCCTGCAGATGACTGACAGATATGGTCTGGGTCACTGGAAGCTGAATATCGACACGCCTCTGAAATCTATGTGGATGAATGTAGGCTACTGGTAAGTTTGTAAACTCACCCTACTTTGCGATTGGCGCTGGGGTCAAGTAATTGCGCTTGTTAACAGTCATGTAGGCAAAACTCACAAGGACAACCTGTTCAAAACTTCGAAGAAGCATGCCTCGGCCTCCTCAAAGAAGTCGTGAAAGCATCCGGCATCCTAGATCGGGAGACCGCAAAGGAAACACCGCGCGGGTCCCTGGCGATTCTGGATCTTGGCTTTGGCTGCGGCGACCAGACCTGGGAACTCGCACGCCTCGCCCAGCAGGGAGGCTGGCTCGAGTTCCAGTACGTAGGACTCACCCTTAACGAGGCCCAAGTCCAGGCGTCGCAGCGCAAAATCTACCGCGAAGTTGCAGCTGCCGACGGATGCGATTTCAAGACGGATTCGTTCAAGCTCTTCCGCGCCAACGCTGCAAAGCCGGAGACGTGGAGTCCGCAAGTCACCGAAGCTGTGGAGTCACTGGCTGATGAGAAGTTTACCGAAACGTGGCTCCTTGCGCTGGACTGTCTGTACCACTTCTCTCCCTCGAGGAAGCCCATCTTCAAGTATGCAGCCAACAGCATCGACGCTCAGGTCATGGTTTTCGATCTTCTTCTAAACGAGAAGGCTTCCGTGCGGGACACGCTGATCGTGAGGGCTATTGGCATCATGATGGGATGCCCGGTGCGGACCTTCCTGACAGAGAATGAGTACAAGGACCAGCTGGTCGACTGCGGTTACGAACTGAGGTCGATCAAGATCCGCGAGGTCACTGAGGATGTGTTTTCAGGTCTGGTCAAGTACTTGGACCGTCAGGATCGAGCACTGGGGGAGTATGGCATCTCGTTGGGTGGTTTTAAGCTAGCACAAAGATTGTTTGATTGGTTTGCTAGGTCTCATGTAGTCAAGGCTGTCATTGTAGTCGCTCATACCAAAGGAAAATCGAGCTAGGAGAGGTAATACAAGAAGTAGCACTACTGAATCTTCCTTTCTGCACCGCATAGCCGAGATTCGCAACCAAAACTCCTCTGATCAATACCGATTTAGGCGGAATGAGACAGCCTGAAGGGCGCGCACTATCATATTTTGCTTATTCATATCACGCATCCCGCTGTCATTAGACGTCGAACATGCGATGCCCAGCGTCTGGAGCCAAGTGTCGCGCTTCTAAAATTGGTCAGCTTCAACCTTGGCTTGAAGGCTTCGCTAGGATTATAAAGGTGGAGGGGAACTTGCCACCACGGAGTAAAATCCCACAATAGTCCCCCCCTTCGGCCGCAGCTGTTTTGAAAAAGTCTTGTTGCGGAGAAAGGTGCCAAGATACGTTCTCGAGCGTGGGTGAATCTCGATGGTTCTACCATAGTTTGTGTAGAACTGGGCTGCATTAATACCTGAAACGCCGAGTTGAGGCCTTTACTTACAGTAATGGCGACAATCATATTTCCATATCCTGCGTATGTGGCGTCGACACCATTTATTCGCTCACCGTTCATAGAGTCGAGGGTAAATTTGTGTCGCTGCGTGCCCTCGATGCGTGATTGCGGAATTTGTCCAAGGAGCATTGAATTGGTACCGTCGACAGGTTTACTGAAGTGAAACACGATGGCTGAAATGCTGAAATAACCACAGCGAAGATCAGATCTGTCATTCACCCAAACACTGATTCCAGCCAGATATGGAAGGAATTGCCCGTCTGTACCGCCAAACAAGCACAGTGAGTTTGGAAAATGGGGGTAAATTCGGGTGTTCCTGTTTGCAACACTCGGAAGGAGTAGTCTCGGATCTGGTAGCTGGGGGTACCACAACATAGAGCCGTCGTTTGGGATAATCCTGTTACACCCTTCCTTACGAGGTGTTGTAGGCTGTTCGATGCCTTCTCTGGGGCCACGTATAGACAAATACACGAGTTTCAAGGCCTGATTCTGTCATTAATGGCACGTAAAACAATGGAATAAAGGATAGATGCTTACATCGAATCCTCCCTTGATGCCCTGGATGAATTGTGTTGAATCAGAATTTGAATTCTCACAAGTGACTTTTGTCTGGATGAGTGCTTCATGGTCTCCAATCCAGCATGACATGGCCTGGGCCGACAGAAAGCGAATGCCGCGGACTCCTCGGGAATCAAGTGCGGCATCAAACCCAACGAGGGGCCCCGGTGGCTTCAGGGTATCATCCCAAGTGGCATCAACCTCTTGCCGCGGGTGATGATATCCCAGCTGAGTTTCGTCGCCATTCTCCTGCGTGATACGAAGGCCAGAGACATATGCCTTGGCACTGAGCCGGACAGATGATACCTGGATCCTGGAGATTGGGCACTCAAGTTCCATCATCCTTCCATACATCGCTATTGAACCTTTGCGAAACGCATCATCCGAAAAAAAAGACGAACGGCGCACCTGAAGCTCTGCTGTGCGCCATGGTTGACCGGAATACGGCGCATCGGGCTCTAAAATGGAGGAACAGGGAGATCCATGGCACACCTGTGCTTCTAATCTCGTCTGAACCAAGTCATTGATGCGAGAGGCTAGGGCCCATACCCGCTCTCTGTTCAACATGGATGGGAGCGCTCGCAAGACTTTGATTTCAGTAAATAGTGATTTGCATCTTCCAGCTGTCGCCCATTGTTCGGTTTCAAAAATGTGAGAGAGCTCCCGGCCGGGCCAGAACCTCGATCGCCAAAACCCGTTTGGCAGCTCGGCGTTTGCAAATTCCCGCGAAGCCAGCCGAAGACTGACTACGTCGTTCGATGGTAGCCAAACTAAAATTTCGACTAGAAGGTCGGAGGGTAGGAGTTGGAATGGATCACTGGGGTTTGGCGTATAAAACTTCGGCTTCTGGCCAAGGTCATGGTGTGTGTTTGAAAGCCCATTATCGCCATTGGATGCAAGTCGACGCAGCTCGGGAATCTGGGCAGGGTCTGATTCATACGACGAGTTCTGAATCCGCCTGTCACTCAACTCAGGCTCTTCACCAGGAAAGAGGTTTTGGATGTCCACTTGATAGCGGAAGAATCCGCCGTAGTCATGATTCCAGTTCAGCGCACCAGACTGGACGGGCTGCGATGCGCAGACATCAAAGAGAGCCTGGATGGCTGCTTGGCTTTCGTAGCGGCCGTTGACGGATAGGATATCCCAACAACACGTATGCAGAGGAAATCCCAGAAACCACGAGTGTTCCTCTAGTGTGTTTTGGCGGGGCATAAGTGTGCCATAGTAGCCTTCCAAAAGCTCGACTGCGATCCAAGACTGGTCGACGATGGAGTCGGACACATCATACGTTCTGTTTGACTCGTCGAGCGGGATGAGATCCTGTAAATTCTGGCGCATCCCAATGCCAGAAATGCGAGCTGCATTCCACTCTTTGCGGCAAATGTATACTGAGAAAGTTCGTTAGCACCCACTTGTGGCTCGCTCGGTGTGACCAAAACTTACTGGCTTGAAATTTGCGCTTCCAGTCATTCCACGCCGGCGCGGACGTTGAAGCGTCGATACCAGCACCGCACAAGATGCATGACAAACTCCTCGGCATTTTAGAGATTTTAGAATGGGGTATAATTGAAGAAAGGAGTTTCTGCGCTCGCCTTGCTAAGGGCCTTAAACTGAAGGGTGCCTAGATGGCGGCGATGTGGCGATGGCCCAGTGTGGGCTAAAAACCACTTTAGGCACCGATTTAATCGATGTTTCCTGCTGACGGATAACACGTTGCATCTACATCCTAAAATAGGAAAGATATTGAACGCCAAAAACCAATCCTCAGAATCAATCCAGCCTGCTGTATGAAAACGTTTCAGGCTTCGCAAGTGCGAGATGTTCAATACTGTCCCCTAGGCGCGTCACATGAAGTCATCCTATGAGCCTGCCCCCGTGCGCCACCTCATCTTGCCGAGAAATCATACTCCTGTTCGATATATTGTCATCCACTGAATCTGCCCAGATGTTAAGATGCTACCTTCGCCTTCTCCCTGCAGCAACAGGTAGTAGGGATGGGCTCGAGGGGCCGAAAGCTAGCCTATCGGTCAACATTTCTTGTCTACATTCATGACCGGAATGATTCCATCCCTTGACCAAATTGAGTTATTGGAAACTGATGCATGGGAAAATTCCACTATTCCACATGGAAAATCTCTGGGTCTCTGGGTCATCTGGTGAGAAGACGCGATCGTGAACAGGAAATTGTGCTTCTCCTCGAGTCCTCCTCATTCTAGAATGGAAATTTAGTAAATCCCTCCGTATGCTCCGACGCAGTCTTTGGCTCTCCTCTTAATACTTGCTCTTTGAACCGTGAGGCTGACGGATCCATCACAGAAATCGCCATCGAGTCGTGCCGATAACAATTCATAGGGTTGACTGGTACTGCCACTTTGGTACGGCGACTTCGCGCTCGTCGTCTGCATCCGCCTGTCAAGTGTAATCCAGCCCAAGACAGCAGTGGATGTATATCCAATCCTCACATTTGTCTAGACAGAGACGTGCTCACTGAATATAAAGCTAGAATTAGGCAGCGACCACAGAGGAACTTGGCTAGAAGATGCTCGTCGCTTGCTACAGCGCAGTGGGGTTTGTCCAAATATGTCATACCACAAGACTGGGTACACTCAACCTCGATAATCGGCATTGAAAGGAAGACACTTGACGCACGCACGCCTTAGATCGACAGTTAGCTGCAACCCACGTTGAGCTCGCCAGGGCTCCGGGCAAAAAAAATGTTACTCACGTCCGCTACGGCAGGCTGAGTAACGAACGGTCCATCCTGCTGTATGCTGCGCCACTTGAGGATCGGTAAGGCTGTTCCTTGACTGTGAATTAACAGATCCAGCTTTGGTTCTCTATAGAAGGTGTACAATAAGATTTGACCATATAACCAGATGATCAAGGTCAATCCACCCCACGTAGGGGTCATTGTTCCCACATTCGCGCTTTGCTCAGGTTCCGTTACCAAAGCTCTCAATATACGGCTTGCCTCGACTTGCGCGCTGCGATTCATGGCCAGTGCTGCTTCCTCGGCGAGGAAAGAGAAAACAGTCTCAGTCCATCGCCGTTTTCAGTTTCAATGCAACCCTTGCCAAAAACCCCGCTTCTTGACCGGCTGCAGCTACAACAGCCCTGGTGAAAGACAGGCGAGGGATGCTGCAGCACAGCCTACCCAGGGGCTTGGTGGGGGCTGACGTGCAGCTGACCATTGTACGGAATGCGCAAGTTTGCCTCGTTAGTGGCATTATGACAGATGGAGGTGGGCCAACTTAATAGCCGAATAAGGAGGTTATGTCGAGTCACTGGAGGGTCCGAGAGAGGCCAAGATACTAGGAACCGCGCACTTCTTCTTGTGCGCGCACTGATTTATAGGCCATATAAGCCGTCTCTCTTCGATCAGCTTCTTGAAATCGTTGCCACGGTAAACAGGAATCTTAGCAGAGTAACGCTGCCCCCGATATACTGACCTAGTGAGAAATGTGGCCAAATTCTCAGCAGACACTCCATCTGCATCCCAACGCTTGGCCATCTCTGGCGACATCTTTGCCACGTACGCCGCATAGAACCATTCTTGAAATTCGCTGCCAGTTGTGATGGGAATTTGGCCTAGATGTTCCGAGTTTTGTTGTAGACTCCTCTCTTCTTCCTTTGCGACATCTAGGCTTCGCTCCAACTCCTTCAGCATGATCTCGGTCGTAATCGCGAGGCCATTGATCGCATCAATCATTCGCTTCATAGTCGGCGTGGAAGTGATACCGTCGGGCCTTTTATAGATGATGCCGTTGCACTTCGGCCCACGCTTGCGATACCACCGTCCCTATCTGGATCTCTACCCTTGACGAAGTGACACCCTTGGGCAGAGGCTTTTTCCATTCGACCACCATTTTCCACGACTTGTATCCGTAGTGTTCCCAGTGTTCATCGGCCCCATTGACGTCTTGAGAGTACCACGGCCCATTTCCATGTTTCTGAAGATCCAGCTTTCTGCCCTCGGTAGCGCCTCGCCCACCCGTGACTGTACCAAAAAGACGTTTCATGTCGAAGCGCTTCTTAATCTCCTTTGCGACCTTGACAACGTCTCTGGGGAGGTACAACCCAATGCGAACCCCAGCAAGGTCCCCCATCTCATCATGTTTGTAAATGTCCTTTTCCTTAGTGACCCAATCTCTGAAACTGGGATCTTTTGTCATATCCTTCAGCTTTTTCTCCAACGAGTCATATTTCTTAGCTCTGTACTGCACTACTCCCTTGGTGGACATGCTCTGTAGCAATTCCTCACATCGACCCCGGGTGAGCGCCGCCAGCGTCTCGAATCATCGTCCTGTCTCGGGCTTTCTATACTCGGCGAGGAACGCTGAGACTTGTTTGTCGCAAACACTGGAATTTCCCGTTGAGTTCATCGTAAAAGCTAGTCGAGAATAAGGTCAAGAACGTAGGTGGTTTAGTATTTGCAATGCTAGCGGTGGAGGTCAGCCTGCTACAGATAAAGCAGAGGCTGAAAGACTTGTTGATATATAATCTAAACTTTCCTCGACGCCAATTGCCTCACAACCCCTGTACGACTGGGTAAGGACCGGAAACCCTGTACGACTGGGCGAATCAAACAACAACATCAACTGGATTGAGATTAGGGCAATATATGTGGTGGATGTTGGTTGGATTGTAGCGACTACGACAGAGGGTTTTGATAGGAGGAAGGATTTAAGTTTTTTTATCTGCGTGCAGATTTTCCCAATTTGAGCCCCCTTGTTGAAAAGAGACCCTGTACTGGGAAATCTTTTATAAATTGATATCCGGACCTTAGTCAGAAGGGGGAGTCAGATAACCCCTCTTCCGGCCGGTCCGGATAACCAGAAGAAAGAATCATCAAGACTATCATTATCGATTTGAACACTATTTCCATAGATCAATTTAACCGTAACGGATCCATCACCCCTCTGAAGTTTTCATTCCCTATACCGGGCCTGGGCTGGTCACCTAATTAAATCGTGTTGCGGCAAATATCAGAGTGCACCTGGAACCTGCAGGACCAATAGCTAGCCTAGGAAGTCTTAGATATATATATATATATATATCTATAGATATATCGGATGTCGGCGATTGCCTTACAAATTAGGTTTAAATCAGGATGCCGGCTAAACTCGGCTGTGATATGCCTTTTAACAACACACTGACAACGCCAGCTGTCAGTAGAAGATGGATCAGATATCCCAAACGATGCGCTTCCACCTGAACGCTTGTGTAAGTCCCGTAAGTCCATACCGACAGGTATCAGTTCCTAGGCCAAACCTCGAGGGTAAAGATGCTTCTACAACGGGCAAATCTCTTAAAATAGCAAATGGCCGAATGAGAGTCATCTTCGCGTGTGACCGAAACAAACTACCACCGAACGCATCCATCAATCGAGTACATTGTACTTTAAGTTGAAGAACTGGGTGGAAGTTCTCAATCTTAGCCAAGCAACTATTAGATCAAAACATATAGGTGCTGAGCTATCGGCCAGATTAAGAATATGTCACGTATAATTATCCACCAAGCAAAGATCTAATATCTGCACCCTGTATATCGCCGATTTGATGAAGAAGATGTTACCACTGTCTCCAATCTCGCGTTATTGGGCACCAAGCTGCAATAGATAAGGATGTATCTATATAACTATTTGGATACTATTGCCACCCGACGAAATATTTTATAATCGGATTGTAACGATAAGGAGAGATTTATGTGAAGTATTGCTAGTTGAGGGGGCTGGCCTTGACGCCAGAAAGATGAAGGCAGCTGAGGCTGCGACACCGATAAAATGAGAAACGAAACGTACACATGGTAAATTCCAGCTTAACTAAATATCTCTTTGTGATTCTTTCCATTTATATTTTTATCTCTCGATCTTATTTTTGTCTATTTATTTATCCGTGAATGCGGATGGCTCGGTTTGTAACCCGAATTGTCGTCTGCAAACGTATCTAAAAAGCCACAATTGGCTCCCCAATACGGATACGGAGCGTCGGTAATGACGAATAGGTCCTGGATTTCTGCTCTAGAATGTCCTGATAAGGCTCGTTTCCGCCTAACCGTGTCCGTCTATCGGTAGTTTGAGTCGGCGATTACGATGGTTGCGTACAAGTGGGGCCTTGATGATGTGCTTACTGGGTGCAATCACGCACGCTTCATTTCTAGCTGGAACCTAAGCGCGAGATTCTGTTACAAAATAATTCTAATTGAGACATCAATCGTCGGGTTTCGCGTGGTGTAGGGAATCTGAGACGGGTAAATCTACCACACTGGTGAATGTTGCAGCATGACAATCCTACCAGAAAGCGCTGAGAGTCCCACCGAGGCATCCAGTCTCTTGTCAAGCACGACGGCGGTTGGCGATGATGCGCGATTTCAAGAAAATGGCTATGGCTCCGTGACTGCCGACTGTGAAAGTTCGAATAATTCCGAGTCCACAGTGTCCAAGCCAAAGTACAGCAACTCATATATTGCTAGAGTGGTCGCCGCTTTACTCATCGGTAAGTAGTGAGTCAATCCGGACAACGTGGTCGGAAGCTCATATCGCCAGGTGTCTTCACTTCTAGCACAGATGCATCCTTGGTGTTGGCGACCCATCCTGTTATCGCATCCGAGTTTGGTGATTTGGCAGACTCAAGCTGGCTGTTCATCAGCTTCATGCTCGCTGGAGCCGCCACGCAATCCTTGGTATGGTGATTGGTTCTGTTTTAGCGGCCGAGGAAGTTGATCTGACTCGAGCTCATAGTACGGAAAACTTAGTGATATCTACGGTCGGAAAACTATCTTGATAAGTTGCTATGGCCTCTTTGCCATTGGCTGGTATGTTTTATCCCTCCATCTTCGTAACACCGAGATGTCTCTGACGTAGATCTAGTGCCCTTGTGTAAGTTTCCCTTGAAGCTAGGCAAGATTTTCGATACTAACGAGTATGAAGCGGCGCTGGCCAATCCATGGGGCAAGTTATTTTAGGACGGTTGATCTCTGGGTCAGGAGGTGCTGGAATGACGACACTAGCCTCTGTCATTATTACCGGTATGTCATGGCGACGGATATTGGAGACGACAGCTAATGATTGGAGACTTGGCCCCGCTGAGAGAGGTGGCATCATGGCAGAGCTACTTGAATGTCATCGCAACGGTCGGCCGAAGCATGGGTGGCCCGCTGGGTGGGTGGTTGGCCGACACTATCGGCTGGAGATGGTATGTCCGGTCCAATCCCATTTCAAGTTCAAGATGTCTAAGATATTCATAGGTCCTTCCTCGGTCAAGCCCCGATCTTTGTTGTGGCCATGTTCCTCTGCTGGATATTGCTACCCGACTCAACGTCTTCTAACCAAGTTGAGAATGGAGTTGATCTGCGTAACTCCCTTGCCAGAATAGACGGACTGGGTGCCTTCCTCCTCGGCAGCGGAATTTTGGCCCTCATGTTGCCACTTGAGATCGGCGGCCAAAAGGTTCCCTGGACTCACCCTTTGGTGTTCTCCCTCGTTGGAGCTGGCATTCTGCTCCTCTTCTTTTTCGTGCTCGTGGAAGCCGGGTGGGCCAAGGAACCCATCTTTCCGCTCCGTCTTTTTCGCAAGCGTAACGTAACGATGTCATACTTGATCATCGCAGCACAGTCTGGAGCACAATTGGGAGTAAGTCGCTTCAATCGAGAGCTAGAGCCTTGCTAATCTTAGACCACAGATGATGTACTCGGTGCCAATCTATTTTCAGGTTACTCAGCGCGTTTCTAGTACAGTTGCAGGTGCGCATCTATTTCCCGCAGTCATTGGCAACACTATTGGCGGTATTGTCTCCGGAGCCGTGATCCAGAGGTAAGAAGCATATATACAATGTGAAGCAAGCAAGAAATACTAACGAGCTGTAGGACTGGTCGTTATAGAAGTCTTATCATCTCTTCTGCCCTCTTGTCCATTTCCAGCTACAGTTTGATGATTCTGCGTTGGAAAGGACATACTGGGTGGGCAGAGTCACTATATATCATCCCAGGGTAAGAAATCCATCTAGCTGCAAAGGTCAAAGACTAACTCATTTTCAAAGCGGCATGGGTACCGGTATCGCATTCAGCGCGGTATTCATTGCATTACAGGCAGCTATTGACCCAGCAGACAAAGCCGTGGCTGCGTCAGGACTTTACCTTACCGGCACAATAGGCTGTATTGTGGGCTTGGCTGGCTCAAGCGCTACCACTCAAGTCATCCTGAGACGGGTTGTCCAGGTCAAACTGGCCCAGCAAGGCATGGAAAAGTCTCTGATTGACGAAGTAAGTACTAGTGCTTGATGTTTTTGAAAGCACTGCTTAATTAACTCCACGTAGGTCATCAAAAAAGCGACTGAAAGTGTGACTTTCATTGATGAGGCACCCAAAAAGGTTGCAGACATTCTGGTCGAAGCCTATATAAAAGGAATTGAGTACAGTCACGGTAAGAAAACCCCGTTGCGCTTTTTGACTGTCTTTCTAAATTAATTAGGGCTGTCTATTATCTTTTCCTCCCTCGCTCTCGTCACCGCTCTGCTGATGAGGGAACGGAGGCTGTAACAGCTTGAAGATGAACCGGTTGGAATTATCCAATCACAGCTAATACACGCTCTTAAGCATCAAGTGGAATTATGAGCCTTGATTTTGTATATTTCTTTCTTTCTGTGCTGCCGAATTCCTATCGATAGATTCATGGCAACTATATATATAACTAAGATTATAGGAAATGTTTCATTTCTAAAGATTTGTAGCTTCTAAAATAATAAAGAAAATGACCTAAGTTTAGGTACCGTTGATTTGTTGACCGGCCAGACCTGGACTGTGCCATGGCTAACTCCCTTCCTTGAACTCCGCATCCAAAAACCCTGCGCGCCTTGAACCCTGCACTCCAAGTTTTAGTCATTTCTCGCTCTTATTTACCTGGCACCCAGCTCCAGAAATGAGACCGACCAAACTCTCCACCGCGAAATGAATTGATGGAAGTGTTGTGGTGAATCATGTCCAAAAATGTCAAATATTCCGAAAGTTGAAGACCCGTCTTATTCTCGGGGTGTCGTTGACTTGGATATTGGAGAACAGCCTCAAGTTTCTCGGTTGATGGAATCACGACTCGCCATGGCGTATTTGGAAACTTCCCGCACAGATTCCGGCTGTTTGCACACGCGAATTTCCTTGCCTTGCGGTCGGTATGTTACTCTGTTGCGACATTCGCCACAAAACTGCTCAATATCGTATGACCAAGACCCAACGTAAGGTGCGACTGCACCGCATACAGTTGTCATCAGAAGGAGAACCGCCTGGATACTAGAAGGGCGTTAGCAAGAGTTCCACCTCGGAACCTTAAGAGTCCTTACTGTGTTGCATTGGAGGGCTTCTTCTTGACTGTTGTCTTCGTTTGTCGTTCGCAAAAGGGACAGTCGATCAAGTCGGGTTGGTCTCCGAGTAGATGCAGAGGTGAGACAGTTGGCGGAGGTGCGGAAACTGTCATCATCTGTTGGTCCATGTTGCATCCATTCACCTGCCCGGTTGTTGCCTCTGGTAATGAACTGTATTCCACCGGCGATATTGTACCGGGCACCACCTGCGGTAAATCACTATGAGCCGCCTGCGGCAGTGTACTGTGAACCACCTCTGGATATGTGTCCGGCACCACCTCTGGCAGCTCGCAGTAAACCACCTCCGGGAGCGTCGACGGCACAGGTGTTGCGTCATCTCGGGACCTGTTGAGATTTGTCCGGCTTCCGCTCTGCTCGCTATACATTCCTCTGACTGCACCAGGGTGAGACTTCTCGTCGACAAATCGTGATGGCTGTGACATGGATTCGGTGGGCGTGTAGGGCGGGGGAGACACCGTGCCGTAAGAGTCTGTCGAGAGAGTCGACGCCTCAGATGCCATCGGTGACACAATCCATTCGCCGTGTGGCCGGGGAGTTTCGCTGCGATCGGACTGCATCGTGCTACATTACATGATTAGGTCCACCATGCCATGGATAGCCGGCCGTGAATGCTTACCTTTGGTTTGACCGAGAATATCGGTGCTAAAAGGAAAGAGATGGAAAGGGAGATGTGTATGATGGAAAGGGCGTTGAGGGTATTAGAACGATGAGAAGAAGGGGGGAGGCAGGTTCACCTCTAGCGTAAGGTGACCCATCATACATTATTAACCTTTCTGCACCCTGCTCTTGGGCCTACTCATTTGCTGTCTGCCGACCTAGCGCGTCGTCATGGGTTTATAATTAGCGTAGATCAATAAGCTACGTCGTATGGAGTGGTCTGTCCACTGTCTTGGACCTGATCTGGAGAAGGACCGTATCCAATAGCACTCCGCGCTGGCTCTGCTTGCGCGGTGCCATGGCATGCAGATCGTTTGACAATGGTAGACTGGCCTCAATCTGGAAACCCGGCTGGGTTGAGATTCGCGGCCCTGTAATAAATACTTTATCGACGTTGTTACTGAGGCTGAGCACATACAAAAGGGCCTGACATTCGACTGGCTTCGTAATGCGTCCGGAGTGGCCTACGACGCAACATCAAGAACGGGACTAGGGCAGGAGAAGATCCACTAGTCAAAGTTATTCAATCAGGACCGAAGGCGGAAGCGAAGCCGAAAGCGAGACCGACTCCATCCCCGCCTTTAATCTTGATCGGCGCCGCTCAACACGACTCACAGACCAACCACCATGGGGATTAATTCGTTAGCCACGGCTGTATCAAACCCTATCATCGAGAGCGGCCGGGAATGGCTTGCGATTTGAGGCTATGACGCAGATCTTGTTTCAATGCATCGTGCGGTCGGACGTCGGGACTGTCGCAAGTCTGCGCCTGGCGTCCGAACCGCAGCATCTTCTCAAGCGCTAGAGAGGGCTGTGACAGTGTTTCGCTTTCTCAACTGCCGCAAAAATAGATTGGGCGGCTTCATGTATCACAATGATTTCACTTATAAACCTATGCCAAGGTCATGATTTCTGGGCTCTGTATCAATCCAGCTCACCACCGATTCACCACATCTTCTACTCTCCATCTCAATTACCAACAACTCCAATCACCCCAACATCAACATCCAAATCTCCAAGATGGCCTTTGCATCACTGAAGAAGTTTGAGCCTTACTTTGCGCCGCGATACAAGACGCCCATGCACTTGGTTCAGATTGTACTGGTCATCATCGTGATTGGCCTGTCGGCTGCCCGAATGTCGATGAAGAACTCGCCCCGAGGACGATCCACAACGATCGGTCTTGCCATGGTGGGTTTTCTTGGCTGCTTTAGCTTGTTCAAAGCTGACTTTTTAGGGTGTCAAATCTCTCATCATTATCCTGTATCAGCTCGTCACCGAGCACGTTGACCGATTCTCACGATTCGCAAGCCTCAAGGCCTTTGCGATCCTCAATTCACTGGAAGTTGTCTTCTGGGGAGCCGTTGCCTTTCTGTCGCTGCAGGCGAACACCAAGACTTGCGAGGGAACCAGCTGCACTTTGGGCTGGGTTATAGTGGCCTTGGCGGTCATCTTGAAGTATGTCCAAACATGATACCTTGGTAATTGATCCCATACTAACCGCATATCCAGCTTTCTCGCAAACTACACCGCCATAGTGTCTGTTCTGGACTGGCATCACTTCCGCAACCACCGCTCCCCTCGCGGTATCAAGATTGCTAGCCAGGGAGATCAAGAGTCATCACTGTCGACCGTTCCGGTTTACCGACAGTAAGGGTCAGCACATGTTAGAAGTGGGTGTGTACCTATCATGGCAAGGTCACCAGGGCTGGACTCTGGTCCCGAATCATGATTTGGCGTTCGATAAGAGTGTGGGCTGGTGACATGGTAGACGTTCGAAGGGATATTTCTTTTGTATTTTATGAGACAAGGACATCAGGACAAGGACATTGAGCGAACTGCAATTTTACAGGAAATAGGGACTATAGAGAATGCTACACATGATACAATTATGGAGTTCACATGGGGATTTGAAATGCGCGTGTGAGAAAGTGAATGGTCTTTGCCTCTGTCCAGAGGTCAAAGATGCTTGTATGGTGGTGACAATCACCAGCTCGCTAGAAGGGAATGGGGTTTGTATCATGTCCCCGCTGCCTGAGGCCACAGCTGCCTTAGGCGTTTGCGGGCTTCCTTAACAGCTTCTAGACCTCGTGAGCTCCTTCGTATCGGGCCTTACAGCCTTATGCCCTGGACAGGGATATCCTGGAATCTTAGGGTCAGCCTTGGACGCCAAGTGGTTCGGGCACGTGCAGTGATAGAAAGACGGAGTGAAGTTGAAATGTTCATTTATATTTAGTGAAGGCCATGCTCCATGACCATCAACGGCCATTCCAAGGCCATACTCCAACTTGGATCCATGTTGGCAACAATGTCATCGAGAATATTTCTACCCCAGCCCCGTAAATACCAGTGATCCAGGCCTGTATAGTGTAAGACCACACAATAGTGAGCAATAATTGCCAACGTAGCAGGGTGACGCTGGCGAAGGAGATCCATAAACTCCTCGGTTAGGAAAATAGAAAAGCTCACGCAGACTCGGAGCTCGGGCGAGCTAGTGTTGCGCAAGGCGGTCTGGACCCAAGTGGTGATTTGAGGTATCGATTCCTTGAAGATCGAGGCACCTGTGGGCTGGTGCATCGTGTCGGGTAACTTTAGGTGATGCAGCTGTTCAACCATTGCATTGAGAAGCGGCGAGGATTCGCTTGCGTCTTCCTGCAAGAATAGCTGCGCTAGTTTCCCCTGGTGGAGAAAGTCGTTGTATGAGTCGAGAATCCTGCTCATGCCTCGAATGAGATGGAAAACATCAGTCAAATCATCGATGTGGGGCTTTTCGCTCACGCCTCCATAGCTAGAGAAGGAGGCGAACGCACAGATGGAGAGCATGGAGGATGCAATGAAGACCTCTTGGCATGTTTCTTCCGATATTTGGGCCAGAGCAATCCGGAGACCAGAAATGGTTACGTTCTGGTGCAGAGACGCGCAGATAGAGTAATGGCTATACCTCTCTGGTTGGATTTGGCTCTGGTGATGTGCTGAAACGGCCAGGATTTGATGCAGGAGAAAGGCATGGGACATGGCCAACCTGGGGACTTCGATCTGCCATATCTGCTGCAGGTCGGCGGCGCGAGGAAGCGTCAAGAAGGTGGATGCAGTGTAGTGATGCATGAGTTCCAGGTCAGTGATCCATGGGCTTTGGTCGGTAGATCCCGGCCCGGTGACAAACTTGTCAAAGTAGGGGAAGGGATCAGTGCTGCTGCTCCAATCGGGATCAGAGGGAGTGTGAGCTGCTGTGGCTGAGGTCTGGCTACTGCGGAGTGTGCGCTGTGTCGGATCGAGCGGACTTGTGGCAGAGTAGACGGTGTCCTATGGATTATATTGGTGGTGAGCACAGCCCGATGGAGTGTCATTGTGCATGTACAGCGAGTAGAGCGAGTACAGCGAATACAGCGAGTACAGCGCATGAGTAGACACGCATGAGTAGACACACGCATGAGTAGACATACCTTTCCCATTACCGCCGAAGCAGAGTCGCTGGGTGTCAACGAGACACTCCTTGTCGAGCCCTCCGCATTGGACGGACTCTGCTCCACGTAGGAGCATTCCAGGCCGTGTCTGGTGCAGGCCGAGCATGGCCGGTTCTCGTCACACTGAAGAAGAGACTTTAGTGAGGTTCCCTGCACCCGCCACGCGCGCGCGTCACCGTGTATTTACCTTGACACGTCGTTGCTTGCAGCGCAGACAGCCCCGTCGGGACTTCTTGTAGCCCAGACGAGGCATCTCTTCAGCGGTTATCAATGCCGGCGCACAGCGTCAGGAACAGAAAACCACGCGACTCGCTCGCAGCGATTGCCCAGGCTGGACGTCCTGGACCGAGACCGAAACCGAGGCGACCGGGGTATCGCGAGAAGAAAGCGGAGGTGGTGGATTGATTGCAGCGGGAAAAAACGTGGGATCGCGGGTGTCTCTGGCGACTGGCGGTACCGAGCGCGACGCAAGGCTTTGTACAAATAACACCTGGAACAGCGCGCTTCTTAATGACGAATGTCTTGAAGGCTTAGACGACGATGTCTTGCTGCAATTACGGTGTTTAGCGGTGGGAAAAACTGGCACAGCCTGGCGGGATCATGTACCGGCGAGATGGGAATCTGGCCACACAGGGCTGGCGAATCACGACGAGATCCGAAAGCGAGGACGACGCCTTGACGCCGCTCTGAGGAATTGGAAGATGAGGCCGAACTCAAAGAAGTCAAAGCCATTTCCCTCGGCTCCACAAATGATAGCTCGGTCTTGGCCGGAAGCGCTCAAGTCCTCGTCTAAAATGATCAGAAATCACCAGAAATCATCCCAAAGACTGAGCACGGAGCAGCGTGATGCAGGTTTTTGTTGCACCTTCGTCTCGTATCCTGCCGCTCAGGGTCTAGGCCCGGGGTCGACTGTCCGTGCAGCGAGGCAGAGCATCCCATCCCGTCCCATCACAGTTGCATTTGGAAGCGAGAGTCTCCAAGGCAGACTCAGCTTTTGGTGTTGAAGGGGCCTGAATGGGCCTGGATGAGTGAGGCAAGGCAGAATTGAGCCCACCCTATGAGGCTACTGCTCCTTCAACCACGGGCTGATCGGGGTGACGGGCCCACGGCTGTTTCCGCGTATGCGCATTTGCGCACATCTCATCACTCCGGGACCGCGACGACGGCTGGTAACCATCTTTATTTCCGCACTATTAATAGAAATAAAAGCCTGCATCCGATCGGATGGGCCGGAACCACGCAATTGTGGTGCACACACCAGGAACGCACAGCCAAGCATCGTGGCCGGGTCCGAATAACCCATTACTGGTGTTGAGGATGCGAGAAACAAACATGTTCTGCGCATTGCTACATCTTCCCTTGGTGGCGTGTTGACGCGTCGGCTTCGCCCTTGTGTCATGCAATGGCTGCGCCTGTATTCACAAGTCATGCCTCGACGCCAATGTCGTCATTCCTCAATGGCGGAACTTTTGAGTGTTTCTTTTTTTAATGATCCTGTTCTCATTCGCGCGTCCTCAATGCACATGATGCTCACAGAACAAGTGCCGAAGCATCCCCAAGAAACAAAGGAACGTCATTTGAACCCCTCCAAATAGCATGAATTAAGGTTAATTGTCTGCTATCATAAGCCAAAACTCCATACAACACGTGGTCACATTCTTCGGTCATACTACCAAGGAGTCCATCCATAAGTTGAGAAAGCAATTCCAGTGTAGGGTAGCAAACGGGGCTCAAGCGAGCATTCTGTAACCATCACCAAAACTCACACCCGCGGTCTATTTTCATGAGTCAAGGATTCTACAGATCGGAAGAAGATATGAAGATCCAAATCAATTGAGTAGAACCCTCTCATATGTCTTATCTTCTCGCAGCTCAATCCTTTTTTAACCATGCATCCTCAGCCTGAGCCTACCCTATAGAGTCACGTGACACCCTCTAGCCCATCATCCACCAATTCTGGGATAGCGTAACCAAACCGCAATCTTAGGTATTTATTTTGGATTCTCTTTCCTGACTAATAGCACGTGTTGTATGAAACGGGCTAACTCTGTTATCACTAGGAACCTAACATGAGCGATTTGGCAGTCGGTGCTGTCGTTGCAGTGTTGGGGCTAGGTCTTCAAGATTCACACAACTGGCCCTATTGATCAAGAAGATGGATGACGTAGACATTTTTATCAGATGAAAGGCGCGATAAAAATTAGTACAATATTTCTCACTCTGATTTTGAGCCACCAAATTTGCCCCGATATTTAGCTTATCTGCTATTTGGGGCTAAAATAGTCGGCTGCTCGGCACCGTCAACCGATGAGTATCCCTACAATCAACTTGGCAGTGTAGCAGCTGGCGTGTGATGCTGACGCCATTATTCACTTTAGATTGTTTCCGAACTCCAAAGTCCCAAACTTCTGGCGGATCTCTAAATGAAAGTCTCCGGTTATTGGCTGACGCGTCACTCTGCAACTTCCCAATCGAATATAATGGCCTGGCGTTGTGGACAGGTGATTTTCGTATGCAGTCAGCTGCATCGCCAATGCTTTAACCCAATCAGCAGAGCCAAAGACTGGCCGCCGTTGAGTATCGCCGGTGGCTAAATCTGCATGAGGGCGGGGATCAACTTCAGCTTCGGACCAGGTTCACGCTTGTTCTCCAATCAAGAGGCCAAGTCTCCATTAGTGCGACCGGCACTATTCCCTACAATTTTAAGGCTGACCCCGCAGATGCCCATGTCCGCAAGGCGCGAATCGTCGTATAACTACGTCTCCATCCCCAGGTTGCTGACGACGAAGCGAGAGCACCTACAACTCGAGCGAAGTCCTGGGAGTTTACACTCCTCTAATCCCTGAAACTAGACCAACCAGCCGTTCGCCATGGCTCCTGGGGCTGATGTCCCGCCGGGTCTCGCCGACGATCTGAAAAGCGACACTCGCGATGTGGCCGACCTGTGGAAAGAAGCGCTGAAAAGCTACAAGGGCATCGTGGGGTTCGACCTGGAACAAAAGTTCGCAAATGTCGACGCCATGATTGCCCAGGGTACCAAGGAGATGAACAATTTTCATAAGTTCCGCCACAATGAGAAGAAAGTCGACAAGCTGCGGACCCTGTTCTCCACAAACCTGGACTACCTCGAGAAGGGCGCTCAACAGCTCATCTCGGCCGCCACTCCAGCCTTTCCTCCAGCTGCTGCTATCGGCACGGCTGTCACATACATGCTCACCGCACGTGTATCTCTTCCGCACAGTACAACGCGAGTTAACCAAATCTCAGGCCTGTCGACAAGTTTCGGCTGACTATGACGTGGTGGTGGTCTTTTTCGAGGACATGAACAGCTTCCTGCAGCGCATTGTTATTTTGGAGACAAGATTGCCCAAGTACAAGGCCTATGAGAACTGCTTGATGGATGTCTTCACGTCTTTTTTGAGCATGTGCGGTTTTGCGCACAAGTACATTGAGCTCGGTCGATTCAGTGGGTTACACGTCATGTACAATGAGGTGAGATGAGATGCTGATGAATCAACCAGAAAAATGGATCTCAAATCTACTCGAGGGCGAGGATAGCGAGCTGGGAGGCGCCAGAAAGAACATGGATCTAAAACTGTCTCGCCTCCAGAGCGCCACAGAATTTGCCATCCTCGGCAACACCGAAGAGCTCCAAACCATGACCAGGGAGCTACAGGCCAACCAAAAGTCCCATACCGCTATGCTGGAGCAGCAAATGGAGGTCATGGGTTCAATCCGAGACACGACCGAGACCATCCGCAGCGACATGGCGAAGCTGCTCAAAGCCTTCGAGGAGGAGAAGAAGACCAAGAACAAGGACCAACGGAGCAAGGTCTCAGCTGCCGACCAAATCAAACCGGCCTCGGCGAAACGGATCCGAAACGTCCTCATGGATGTGCCCGACGAAGACCACGAGTACCATATTCTGAAGGAGACGATTGTAGCAGACACCTGCACCTGGGTTTTCTCCGAGCCCGAATGGGAAGAATGGTTTACCCAGGAGCCTGGGACGCAGCGCCTTCTGGCCATCATAGGCGATCCGGGGTCGGGAAAGAGTCACGTCGGTGCGACAGTGTACGAGAGGTTGCTGAAAGAAGCGCAGAGCGATACTTCGAAGCAGACGTGCGCAGCTCATTTCTATTTCCGAGAGCAAAGCAACAGCCTGTCGACATTTCTCGCCGCCATCATCACCATCATCAACCAAGTGGTGGAACAGAGCTCACCGGTCTGCGAGCTCATCAACGCCGAGTATCTCAGGGACGAGGTCCTGATCAATCTCCAGAACTGGCAGGACCTGGTACAGAAGCTGCTCGCTCCCGCGTTCAACAAGGACTCGAAAAACAGACTCTTTATTATGCTGGACGGATTGGACGAGCTGGATTCCCTGTCGTCGTTCACCGAGTTCCTGCAGATTCTGAAAAGCGACGACTTCAGGATCTCAGTGGTTTGCACGGGCCGCAAGAATGTTGTTCCCAAGATCTCCGATGTCACATCGCTATTGCAGATTGAAGTAAAGAAGGAGAAGCAGCTTGAAGACCTCAAGGCGCTTGTCTGGAATCGACTCAACACCCTCGATGTGCTTCGGACGTTTAGCAGATATGTGAAACAGCGAGTTGCCGACAAGGTCGAGGAGGTGGCACCGAGTAAGTACTCACTTTCGGCGAGCGGTTGAATGACTAACATTGGGTAGATATGCTCTATGCTGAAAATTTGCTGATTCGATTGGATTCCCTCCGCCGCGAGGGTGCTGTGCTCAAAAGGCTAGACAAGCCGCTGCCGACAGATCTTCATGAACTCTACGAGGACTTGCTAGGCGAGTGCCATCGCCGTACTGGGACCAGCCACCAGCAGCTTGTCACCAAACTCCTGCACTGGACTGCCTTTTCATTCCGCCCCTTGCTGCTGAATGAAGTGAGTTGCCTGCTGAGATTCTGGATCGGAGATGAGAACTTCGATCTGGAGGAGGTCCCCGAGGCTTTCGCAAAGTTTGTCCGCGTTGGTGATCCAGGAGTCGATGCCGAGGCCCGGGCAATGCAGGCCTTGAAAAGCGAATACACTGATATCCACGGCGTCGGAAAGAGCCAGGATTCCATGAACCCAAGCTTCATTTACAACGACGGTGCGCTACCCGTCAAGTTCCTAGAGCGGTCCATGAGGACCTTTTTCCGCGAGGATTCCAAGCCTGACGGCAGCCTCCGTTGGAGCGTCTCAGAGGCCCACAGGCAGATGTTCCTCGACGCTGCCAAGCTTGCGCGCCCAACGCCCCGGGGAACCATGTACATCGAAACCGGGCTCAAGGTATACACGACTCAGTATGTGCTTGATCACTGGAGACTGGTCAAACTTGAACAGCACTCGCCCGGACAGCAAGCCGAGGTTATGGAGGCTTTCGGAACGGTCTTGTCGAACAAGGAAGACTACGCCATCATGGTTGAATGGATCATGTCCAGCTACCAGCAGGGAGATTACAAAAGGACCTTCACCGACGCCACGTTTGAGAAGATCTCTCAATGGGCCAAGTTACTCGACACCGATACTCGCCAGCATCTCAGTGCCCCCATAGTCGAGTGGTGGACTGGCCTTGCTGAAAACCCTCGAAAATGCCTCCTGCAGCTGGCCCGCGGTCACGGAAAAAAGCTTTACTCTGCCCCTGACCTGAGGTCCGCCAACGTCTCCTTCAAAGCAGTGAGGCAGACTCTGGAACTCGTAAGTTTCTTCCAACGGATGTATGAATCACTTTTAACCACTGTTTTAGAGCCACCTCGAGGAAATGCTAGTCGCACAAGCAAAGACTAATTTCAAATCTGCGCTTGGCAAGGTCAGCAGCAAGGAGCCCCTTACGGATGAGCAGGCTGTTCTAGGGCTCGAGGGCGTGCTGCCAGACCTCGCAATGGATGCGGCATCCTATCGTGCAGTGGCCATGCTGCTGCTGAGCCACAAGCACAAGAAGCCGGCCCTAGTAACTTGCAAAAAGGCCGTTGACATAAGCGAGAAGCCCCTGGATAAGGTGAAGAGTCTGGAGTTGATGGCGAGAATCCTCCTCAAGCAAGGTAAAGCCGAGAGAGCGCACAAGGATATCGTCAGCTGCGTTGAAGACCTAGACCACGAGACAATTACCCCATCACTCCGACGTTCGGTTTTCGCGACAAAAGCCCGAGCTGAGATTGAACTGGACGACTATGCTGCCGCGGCCGAGTCATACCGGCAATCAAGGACCAGTGACCCGACAAATCTGACATCCGCATCGATCTTGGACGAGGAAATCACACTGTTCTCCGAGGATGATGAGGGCAAAAAGAAATACATGGACACATTGAAGGAGTGGAGTCCTCTGGAACGACTGACTTGGATGGCCTGGGATTACGAGGATATGTCAGATGACCGACACGCAGGACTCCGAGACGCAGCTTTCCAGAGCGGAGAGGCTGCATTTGTTGGTCAGATTTACGAGGACGCGATCCAATACCTGGATAACGTGGGTGCTGCCGCTCCTCTGCGCTGCGATCTTGCTTGCTTCCATCTCGAGGTTTCCCAGGATCTTGAAAAGGCACGAGCCGTCATGGATGAGGCTCTCGACAGCGGTTCGACAGGTTGGCCGTACGCGGTGACGGAAGAATACCCCGGTACCACGCTCGAACGGGCGATCGAGTTGCAGTCGGACATCCTCAACCGCCTTTTCATGAAGTCGAACGACCCAGTCGCCAAGACTGAGCTCCTCGAAGCCGTCAAGGGACTCCTCATGCGGCCGCTTGCATTGGATGTGCCCCCAGAGTCGGACACGAATCTCGTCCAGCGCCGTGTCATCATGGCGCGCATGTATCTCAAGATGGGGCCGGCTACCGAGTTCCAGGCAACGCTGCAGGGTCTTATCAACTCATGTATTGACGCACTTACTGATTCGGTTGGCTGGAACGATACGTACCAACTGAGATACCTGGCAACGGCTGTGTCTATCCTGGGAGAGGCGTTGCCGAATGGAGAAAAGTTGTTGAGAATAGCGCGGATTCTCATGTCGGCGCAGTTCAACCGCCTGGACCCTAACCTCAAACATGAGGACAGTAGCGACAGCGGGTCAGAATCTGATGGGTCATACTCGGGCAGCGAGTCGGACTGGGCTGGAAGCGGCTCGGAAGACGGGAGCTCCAGCTCCGAAGACGAAGAGCCGCCCACTGACGAGGGCGATCTCGACGAGTCGTACAACGTGGAACTATCGTGTGACGGAGTCTGCGTCCCAGTGAACTACTACGCCTGGTGGAAAGGACGCGTCGCGTACCAGTGCGTGACCTGCAACGACTTCCTATGCGAGGCCTGCTACGAGGCCCGACAGGCAGACAACAGGGGAGAACAATCCATCAAGGGGAGACAGTTTTGTGGGCGGGATCACACGTACATCAAAGGTCCCATCGAGGGTTGGCGTGGAGTCAAGGATGGAAAGGTCATGTTGGAAGGGGAAGAACCAGTTGAGTTTAAGGAGTTTCTCAGACACCTCCGTGATGAACTTTGTAAAGAGGCATGGGAGTCATTCTGGAGTGGTTAGCTGAGGGACGAACAGTTGCTGTGACGGATTTTGGATAATAGCGTTATTATTGTTCTGTCTCTTCCATTCCATCTGATTCCAGAATTTTCAGTGGTAATAGCCCAGATGAAACCCCCAAACGTCCAATTGATCGATGTGTCGCCCCTGATAGCATGGGCGAAATTCGTCTCGGCGCCACATTAAGGCTTGGTGAGAGTGAGGGTATCGAGTAGGGTTTGGAGGACATCAAAGCCAGAGTCGGTGCTCGATGAGCAAGCGGGAGTGGAGATGGTAAGCTGGGTCTGGAGGGCGTCGATAGCTTTTTCAAGGAGGCCGACAACGATTGAAAGAGGGACCGCAAGAAGACTTCCGGCGAGGGTGGAAAGCTTGTTGTTGAGGGCAGTTAAGAGACCGGCCAGAGCGTCGGTGACCTGAATGGATGGATTAACTTAAACAGCTGATACCTTTTGGCGGTAGTAACTTACAGTCTTGACAGCCGTGCAGACGAGCTGCGAATTGGCGATGGACTGTACAGAGACGGGCGCCGGGGTATTGCTCAGGGAAGTGGTTCCGGAACCAAGAGACAGAACCAGCTTGGTCAGATCACCCAGGACAGTCTAAGAATCGGTCAGAAGATGTCTGTTAGATCTTGCTCGGTTGTGCTCACAAATCCAGTGGTAAGAACGTTGCTCGTCTTGAGCTTGTTGACGGTGGTGGTCAGAGAGTTGGTATTCGTAGCGATGTTGTTAAGGGAGGTGACGATAGCAGTGTAGTCACCGGCATTGACCACAGGAACAGTGGCCTGAACCGAAGAGGCGGCCAGAATGCTGGTGATGATGGTGAGGAACTTGACCTGCATTTTGAAGGTTGGTGGCCACAGGCAAACTGTGATTGAGAGGTAGAGGAGTGTTGGAAGTGATAGAAGCGGTGTGTTGTAATGAAAAGAGAGGATTGAATTTCAGAGGAGGTAGCAATGGCACTTATACTACCAGCTGGAAGGTCGTTAGATATTTACTTTGCTTCCGGCTGGATGCCAAGCTACTAGCCAATGTGTACGAATCCCCGGGTCACATACCTATACCTTTCCATCGTCACGAACCTCTGAATTAGAGTTGCTTGACTTAGATTCTGGCTGTCTAAGCATAATCCGATAAATCTTCTTAGCGAAAGAAGCTAGCAAAGCCCTGCCAAGATCCGGGGTGCCTGTTTTCGTCGTGGGATTCGACTACCCAGTCGAGTCGCCCCAATTTTGGTCAGCTCGGTTGTTGGAACTGGAGCACCTTTCAGCTCCCTGTGCAAAAGCTTCAGCTTCGCGTGTGTGGAACCAGAGGACAGAGTTTCTTACGCGGGATGGACACCGGCGGAAGCAGTTCATTGGTCTTTCTAGGAAACAGAACCTACAGCTGGGCGAGATCGACTTGGGCTGGATCTTGGCAGTCCGGCATCAACGGAGCGTCCGGCAGGACAAACTCTCTGAAGCCGGTACAAATGGGAGACCCGTCTGTAATTCCGGTCAACCATGAATCTAATCTGTCGTCTGCATGATTCAACACCGCCAAAACCAAGTTGGTAGGATCTGGAAGCGAGTCTCGGCTGCGACTGCGTGGGGTAGCGGGATCGCGCTGTCGTTCTTGGCATCGCATCGTTTGTGATTTAAATTCCAGCTACGTGCAATTGCCGTGAGGTTCAGAGGAAGATTTTGGGAGCTTGGCCCAGTTCGGACGTTGATGGAATGTGAAGACGATTTAAGCGATGGTGATCCGCCGTTGTGGAGTCTTAGCTTCCTGCTACAGGAAATGCGAAGCGAAAGTGGTTCCGGCGGGAATCTGAGATCGAATCAAGAGTCAGTGGCAATATGCTTGACTTTGTGTCTTACCTAGATCTGGCTCCCGGCCGAAGCTATGCCTTTATCGGGACATTCCAACGCCAGATCGAGGATGGATCTCGCCTCGGAGACGTCAAAACCCAAAGCGACACGCCAAAGGTCCCGCCCTTTTCCTTTTCTGGAGGACTTCGCCGGCTCCCGCGCCATATCCGACGGTGGCGGAAGTGTTGCGATCGATCCCCCGCACTTATGCGAGTGGCGATGGTGACGGTTGGTCCAGTTTTAACCCTTCCGCTTTGATCTCCGTACGCTGCTGATCTGTGTATTGAAGGCTATTTGATGTGGTGTGATGTCGTGGCGATATTGAAACGGGTTCACTTTGGTAGGTATGTGAATATCTTGACAGTGGACAGAAGTCGCCGAGGCGAGACGTACGAATTGTGGTATCTGAAGCAAGCGAGAGATCACCATGGACACAGCTCCTCTAATAGTACCTTCATCAATTGTCCACCGTGGGCTTGGGCCATAGCGATATGAACCAGCTCAGTGTTGATCACAGCACTAGGCACACTCTAATAATGTTGCTGCGTCGGGCCAGGTGGTATGGAGCTGCTGTTACCATTACTAGACAGAGAGACGCATCTTTGCTTAGACCGACGCCCTGATATGCTGGCCTTTCATCCAAAGCCAAGCCCCATTGCGGTGTTGTCTGCCATACCTAGACTTAGGATAAACCTGATCCGGAAGTGTCTAACCTCTGGAAGAAGGACGGCATATACATAAATAAATACCAAGTTTCATAATTTGTCGTTATTTCGCTTCCGCTCGAGACAAATGCAATGACAATACACGGGGCATAGGGTAGCAAAATTGCGTCCAGTTATCCAGGAGAAGAGACAAGCCACACAACGTCCCAGCAAAGAAAATCGACTACGTGGAAAAACCTAAATACCATGGCCCATGTATTTCAGCCTCGAGATAGAATCCCATCATATGGTGGGACGGAATTGTAAATAGTTGATTCGAACTGTGCAAGTTGGTAAGCTGACGTCGGGCGGTGTGTTGCATCAGCGTTACTGACTCGGCAAACCGAGGCAGAGATATTTTTGGCAGACAAAAGTGGATATTATGTCGGCAAGCCGAAGAGGGTATCTCGGCAAACCGAGCAATCGGTGACAAGCGTGATGATGCAAACAATGGGGACAGTTCAACGCAATGCATCTATAAAGCACGTTCTCGACCTACCGTGAGGGCAGCTGGGTAGTTTCAATTGTATCAATTTATTCTCTTCTTCAACCTGACCCAATCACACACTTGCAAAATGAGCGATTCTACGACAATCAATGTACTAGGGTGAGGCTCGCCGCCAGTTCGTCATGACCCAATTGTTAACGGCAGAATAGCGCGGGAGTCATTGGCCTCACATGTGCTCTGGTTCTGAGCAACGACCCCAAGAACAAAGTCATGGTTGTGGCGGAATTCATGCCTGGTGACTACGACATCGGCTATGCGTCGTGCTGGGCCGGGGCCAATTTCTTTCCGTGAGATTTTCCACAACTCCATGGATTTGACAAAATGCTGACTTTCGGCAAGAATGGGGAAAGCAGGCTCTCTGCAAGCAGAATTGGAAGCCAAGACTTGGCCAGTACTGAAGAACTTGGCACAGAATGTTCCCGAGGCCTGCATCCATTTCCAAGGTATGTTGTTGGCCAAATTAATCGCACGCTCCTTGTGACTGCCGACTGATAGGCGGGGGAAAATAGATGCCGTGCTGTATAAGCGAGAAACAGACACGGGGAATAACGATCATCTCTTTATGGATCCGGGACAAATGCCGTGGTGGAACAATATTGTTGAAAATGCACGCCAACTTCCCCTTCTTGTCCTTTGATCCTTGGCACTAACTTTCATGTAGTATCGTTCCGTCCCGTCCAAATCTCTGCCTCCCGGAATCGCCGCTGGATCTCAATTCACGACCGTCTGTATCAATACAGCCTTGTACCTCCCGTACTTGTTGGGTCAGTGTCGTCGGCGTGGTGTTATTTTTAAAAGACAAAAGTTAGACAGTCTTGCAGACGCAACGAAGATACCCCACGCAGACGGTAGGCTCGGCAAAGTACTTGTGAATGCGACCGGACTGGGCTCTCGATGGCTCAAAGGCGTGGAAGATCAGACCATGATTCCAGCGAGAGGCCAGATCATGCTTGTTCGTAACGATCCAGGGGTGATGATGGGCGTGAGCCAGGGTGAGAACGGCGACGAACTGGGCTACTGTATGACCAGAGCTGCAGGTATGTTGTCTACATTATTGATGAAACCCCCCCCGGAAAACTCACACTATCTCGCAGGTGGTGGAACAATCCTCGGAGGGTGCTACCAGCTGAACAACTACGACTCGAATCCGGACATGAATCTAGCATTGCGGTTTATGAAGACTTGCGTGAGCTTTTGCCCCGCTCTAGTTGCCGCAGGAGAGGGTATAGAGGGATTGAAGCCGATCAGACACGGTGTTGGGTTGAGGCCTGTTCGCGAGGGAGGTGTCAGGATCGAAACCGAAACGCTCAATGATGATGTGGAAACCGCAGTCGTGCATTGCTATGGTCATGGGGGATGGGGATACCAGACAAGCTGGGCAAGCGCCGATGCTGTAGCGCAATTAGTTCGAGGCTTGAAGCTGGCAAGCCAGGCGAGACTGTAAGCCACGTTCCAAGTAGATATCATGGTCTAAATCAATCAAGCTCCATGGAATTACAGCCCGAAAATATAATTAATTTGCTGTTCAAGTGGCAGATACAAGCCTCTTTAAGTAAAATCCCTCGTTCTCCGGCCAATATGAATCATTCCTTTGTAATATTGCATCGACAGTGACCAAGAATGTCTCCACGTCCGTCTGCACTCGAGGATCGGCATGCTGAAGGTTAGAATTCTCTACTTGGTCATTGACGAGCTGATGTTGTCCAACAGTTGCTGGTTGGAATGGACGTTGAGATTGAAGCCCATGCTATTTCCGAGCAACATAACACGGCAAAGATTTGGGAGCCCTTTACATACTGACGTCAGTAGTGTATCTGAGCACAGATTGCCGAATGATTGACCAACTTTGAATACTGACAGCTCAAGGCTTCAAACCGCTGGATAAAGTGCGCGTGAAGGTTAAGCCTTTTTGTCTCACTTGTGAGGCTGGTTCAGTCAAGTATTGAATTTGTTGATGGATATTATACAGTGAATGTGAATTTTAGTGCAACTGTCCACCAGCGTAGCATGCTTCTTGTACCTATGAAAATTTCCCGTCTCATATGGCACAGTGGACAACGGTTAGACCGTGCCATATTACAATGTTTGGAGCTCCCGATCAAGCAATTCAAATAGATCGTGCCCTGGAAGCGGTATATGAGCTGGAAGTCCTTCTTTTTCCCGATCTGAGCGATTGTAATGAAGCATCGCCTCTTTGACAGAAAAGTAAGGTGGTCGATTGTGTGCTGGCTGATCGGGGATAATGTTTTGGGCGAGGCTGACCCTCTCATAAAAAAGCCTTAGGGATTTGATCTGGCGGAGTTAGCTCCTTATGACCAGAGCACTCGTTACTCAAACAGTAAACTACTAACCCAGAATGCGGCAACTGGCCACGTCTCTTGCATCTTGACCAGATATTGCAGATTACGAGCTAGTAGATCCTTGGCGGGCTCCCCAACAAACTCTTTACAGCTCTCCCACTTGGTGTGGGCACAGACGACGTGAAAGGAACTGGCTGAAAACAATAGAAGGGCCGAAAACGGGATGGCACAAGGATCGACGTGATGCTCCTCCAGCTTCACGAATGCATTTGTGAGTTGGTTAGCGAAAACAATCCCTTGCCTCGTTGACTTGGCCCAAAAGTCGGATTGTTCCGGATCCGAAATCAATCCAGGACCGTCACATGGTCCCTCGGCTGGGTCGTACAATGCTGGCGGGATGAATGGAAGGTATTTTCGGTGGAGACGAGTGCCAGCTGTGAAATAGACAAGGTGCATCAATCCAAAGATTTTGCCCTCACCACCAGCGTCATGCGATTTGATGTTAACTTCAGTGAAAGTCATGTATGAAGGCAAGGAGCTGTGCCAGTTTTGCAACTCCGTTTGCAGCCGCGAGAAGGGCATATCCTCGAGCCACGGCGAGCGAGGGTCCTCATGTCGGCCACCGACACCAGCTCCTCCCCATGCTGTGATGCGGCTTAGTATATCGATAATTCGAACCAAAATGGCAGGGAGGCTGTCAAGAGGGGTAGAAAAGCTGCCCAGACTCGGCATGCAATTGGCACGGCCGACAATAAAGTCAGCATGAGACGATGGAAGAAATGTCGTCACCCGGGGTTCTGACAAAAGCAGCGGACGGTCTCTGCCATTCGCCAGCAATCTCTCCAGACAAAACCAGGACCAGAAAGTTCTTCGCTTGGTTTCGACAGTGGCGTCATCATCATCGTCGTCGAAAGTTTCGTACAAAAGACCCAGAGACTGACACAGCCTAGCTGCAATGCCCAACAGCAGCCACGCTCGCTGTTCGTTTCCATGGCCTAGCTCGTACAGACTCATGATCAAATTACAGTGGACGTTAGTGAGAGTTATGTCGTCGTACATAGCTGACATCTCTTTGCGGGCGCAGGACGCAAAATGTTCGCTGGCTTCGATCGTCCCGCCATACATTCGATAGCATGGTTCAACGATACGTGCCACGAGGCTTAGCACACAGAGCAGGAGACAGCGTGGAACAGCGTCATCTTGTAATTCTTCAATGAACGTGTGTTTGCGAAAGAACCAGAAGGGAAAGTCACCATATATGTCGAAAAAGACATGGATTGCTTCCTTAAGTATGGCTGAAGGAGGTAGACTAATATTGGTTAGAAGCTCAGTGTGTGGTTATATATCGCCTGCAGAGGGTACTGACTCTGGCATGCTTTCATGGTGTGGAGTTAGAGCTGGGTGAGGTTCTGACGGAACACCTGCATATTGGCAGCCTTCTAGTCTTCGAGTACAAGCCTGGCATGAAGGCCAATCCCCTGAGCATTTCACTTTACGCTGCCTGTAGGCGAGTTAGGGAACGAGGGACGACGGCGGATGGACGAAACACCTACCGACATATTTTGCAGGCGAGAGACGTACGGCCGAATGACCTATTCCCTCTGGAAGCCATGGCTTAGGTAGAGTTTGAGAAGATGAGGCAGTTTAAGATGTTTGTTGTGCGACAATAGCCTATAAGTGATAGTCCCTGTCAGGGTTCCGTTTTCTTAAACTGTGACAAGTGAACATAACAGGCAGTTGTAGTTAACACGAGTAAGGTAGGGATTGTTACCCCTCTCCAGAAGAGAAATACCGCTTTCCTAATTGAGTTTAGACAGACAGAAGCTGCTGGATGTGTCACATGACTCTACACCATGATGCCACTTCCACTGTCCTCTAAATTAACCCGTCTTATTAGGTCCTGGTTTAAAGCAGTTCCTGTGAGCCCTCTTTTCTCCGAAAAGGCGCTCTGTTTCCGAGTTGAGCTACCCATTTCTTTTCACCAAAGCCACAAAGAATACGAATTCTATTAGCTGTAGCTTTACCGTTACCTGTATGTTGCCGCAACTAAACCTCCGCACCTGTACTACTTGTGGCATAGCTAAGTCAGTGAACTTACGGTTCCGTACCAGCCGTGACTGACGGGACGAAAGATTAATGTTGGTGAAATAGATAATGACGAAGAAAAGGACCACTAAGGGATGGGAGTATTTGCAGCATTCATGTTCGCGAGTACTGATCATGTATAGGTTGTTCCTGTACTTCCTCTCCTGGAAACCGCTCCGGGCTTCATTTTGGACATGTCACAGAGGTATCATCACAGAGTGTAGGAAAATTTTGCTTGTATTATGTCTAGTAAAGGGCTTGATGCTAACTTAAATAATACTGACACATCATCTCGACACTATAAACGGATTTAATAAGTTGTAGAAGAATGTGTGAGGACGGCTCTGGGTGACATGTGAAAAGTCTTATCTTATCGGTCGCGACCTTATCCGGAGGACGTAACTTACTGTACCCACGATAAGAAACTATCACGTGTGAAGATGCTCACAGCCAAACGTCAGATGACGAACATACTTGAACCATCACTTTTCTCTCCCCGGAGGCTCGGACCCGGTACTTCTTCTAGCCTTTCCCAAATTCGTTTCCCATCATGACGACGCCGAAAGTTCTCCTTCTCATGGCCGACTATGGCCACGAGCCTACCGGTATGTTGGGATACCTCAGTGTCAAGGGTGCAGATCGGCTCAATGGATCTTTCCGGTAGAGGCGACGGTTCCCTACATTGCATTCGAAAACGCTGGATTCGACGTGCAATTTGCAACGGAGAATGGCAAAGCACCCGAGTGTGACAAGATCTTGCTTGAGGGGTTCGGTCAGAAGCTTCTTGTAAGCGACAATACTGACAGCCGTGATGTGATGTATTGGGCTTCCAGTTCGACTGACAAAGAGTGTCATCCTCCAGGGCGCCAAGAAGTCTGTCGTACAAGACTACGCCAAGATGATCGCTTCAGAAGAGTGCCAGCACCCTCTCGCGTGGTCCACGCCAAGCTTCTCGTTGGACCCGTTCTCGCTCGTCTTCCTGCCAGGCGGCCATGACAAGGCGGTCCGGCAGATCCTCGACTCAGCCACCGTGCATGGATTATTGGCCGAGTATTTTCCCAAGACCCGCCGAACGGATGGTGTCAAGGCCATCGGTGCTATCTGCCATGGAGTACTTGTTCTGGCTAATGCTAAAGGCGCCGATGACCAAAGCGTGATTAGCGATTGCTGCACTGCGACCTTGCCAGCTCGGTTCGAGCAAGTCGCTTACTGGGGAACCCGGATGTTTCTTGGGGACTATTACAAGACGTACGGTGCTGGCAGCGAGAATGTTGAGGATTCAGTGAGCCAAACCTGACGTTCTACTAGATAGCTAACTTGTTGTTCGTGTTAGCTGACAATGATTATCACCAGGTTAAGAAGTGCCTCAAAGAGCCCGAAAAGCAGTATAAGTCGAGTATCGGATTGGCGTCGTAAGTTTTGTACTGACAAACTTTCTATCAATCACCCCTAACGACAGTGTCACGCCTTAGATTTGTGGTGGAAGATGCGCAATACAACTACATCAGCGCTCGATTTCCTGGCGACACGGAGGAGATGTCTCGAAAGATGGTGGACCTTGTCAAAAGTTTCCAATGAGTATTTACTCTGTTTGTCCTAAAATACCTAGCAGAATGCCACATATTATGGAGGCCCAGGAACTACCTCAACGCTCGATTCTCTGTGGTGGAACTCAATCAGATCTTTAGTCATATCGGGGGCATTCTAGGACGCAGTAATTGCAGAGATTGACAGCTGGATGCCTAACACTCCGGCGGCAACCACACCAGCATGCGCATAGCTTCTGGGACATGGTGACGGGGCCGGCGGCCTCATCACCCTTAGCCTTCTGATCGATGGGAGTGTTGTCGAGACACATGACTGTCTGGTTGTAGTGGCAAATGCGACTAAGGATTGAAGGGGGGGTAATTGAGGCTTTTGGTTGGGCGAGGAGAGTTTGATAGTGTTTCGGGATTGGTGTGCGATGCGGATTGAGAGATTGTTACTTGTGGAGGCCAATCTAAGGGGGAGGGACCAGCATAGGTACTTATACTGGAGTGCCAAGAGGTGGAATATTCACTGGTATTTCCAACACTTCTGTGATGCGAAGCAAAACCCCCCTTTCATAGAGATTGAGTGGTATCTTGGGTAATGATTGTGATACGGGATTGATTTCTCAGTGCCTCACTGTGAGAAGTGAAGGCCCCAAACTTTCATTCAAGTCGTGACCAAACAACACGGGACTCTGACGCTGCGAATCGGAGGCGGAAAAGCACACAGCTCCGCAGAGCTTCATGTCAACCATGTCAATTACGTGGCCTTGATTCCTGAACAAGTTTGCAAATCGTAAAGTGATTGTTCTATTGCTTCTTTGTGCATTCAGCCCAACGCAGTTGTATGCTGTATGAGTCTATGAGTTCTATCTACATGTGTCTATCATCCACAACGCCCCTGTCTATGTCTTGTCTATGCCCACCCAACTCTAAATAATCTATACCCGCTCTCATCTCCTCGCCCCACGCGACTCCGCTTCTCAAGTTTCTGGCTGTCGAGAATGCTGAGTAGTCGCCCGTCCTTGCCCCTAGGGCGATCCGTCGTGGCAAACGCCGCCTCGACCGTGTCGCTGATTCCGTCAAATCGACCATTCTGACGGACGGTGACGAGCAGCCAGAAGATTCCGTCTGCAGAAAGGAGACGGGTTGCGCAGTCACGCAGCCACATGGCGTGCTCAGGGGCGTAGACCACGTCCGTTGCAATCAGTATGTCCGCGGGAAGATCCAGAGGCGACTCTAGTACCGGTGCAGACCAGTCGAGAAGAGACGTGTGCATTGATACGGAGCTTTCCGAAGGGAAGTTTTCTGTGATGTTGGCACGCAGGTTCTCGAGAACGGCTGGGTGATAATCTGTGGCAATTACGTCTGACTTCAGAGTGCCCAAATGCGGAAGCATCTTTCCAAGCACCAGACTAACAAGTCCGGTTCCTGCTCCCAACTCGATAATCCGCGGTGATGTGCCGAGGCTTGGCTGTGAGAGACCAAAACGCGAGGGTTCGGCGCACATCAAGTCGGAGAGGACAATAGATGCACCCCAGCTCTGCAAGCCCACGTCGTCGCAGTCGGTTGAATTCTTGCCCGCCAGTCCATCGTTCAGTCGCACATCGACGGGAACCTCCTCTTGAGTCTCGGGAACTGATAACTTGAAAGAAAATTCGCGGGTGAAGTGGCTGTGTTGGTCGTCGTCGTCGTCGTCGTCGGCTGTGCTGGCAACAAATGACTCCAGAACCCAAGACGCTTGATCCAGGGCTCGGTCCCGCGCCTCTTCTAAGCCTAGGCCTGGCAAGTCATATGCTCGTGCCATGAAGCCAGTCAACCAGCGCTCTACAAAATTGCGCTCAAACGCATCTGCGCGGAGTGCGTCGCGGCTTTGCTCTACGTGCTCGACATCCTGGCTGTCATCCTCGGCCCCAGAGGTGTAACCGGAATCGACGAGGGGCGTTGACGCAGGATGATCAAGACTGTTGTTTTCCGGGCTCAGCTTGAAGGCAACCGAAGCGGGCAGGGGGCAATAGAGGGCGGACAGGCTCTGCAGCGCCGAGAGGATCTGTTGCTCGGTGAGTCTCTGCAGCGTCGATAGAGGCGGCAGGCTGCTCGATGGAGGCAGCGAACACCCCGCAGGCGCCATGAGTTATCGCTCAGGTCCGGGACCGCGTTGAATGAGAGAATAAGTGAGACAGGTCCCGCACAAACAACAGACAAAAGAAAATTTTATCACGATAAGGCACTATTGCCACGTGGGACTGTTTTATGGTCAATAATGCGCCAAGTGGGCTTTGCCATCTCTAGATCAGGTCTAGACCCACCATGGAAACGAGATTGAGGGTGGGACTGGCGGCGGAGTATCGAAGATGACTCGTGCTTGGGACCGAGAATAAAAGAAAAGAAGTTGTGGGGATGTTCCTGGATCGGTAAAATGGGGTTTAAGTGTAGGTTGGTTCTGTCAAGGAGGAGAACTTCTAGAAGAAAGGCGCAAAATGAATGGAGGTGAGGATAAGACTCTACCAGAAACAAGACAGAAAAAGGCGATAAGATAGCCGCGGGATTGCGAAGAAGCCACTAGAATGAGTGTCTCTTATCCGAGTGCTGGAACTTGCTGGAAAATCCCCCAAGGTCGTGTTACATAGTACCAGATACCCAGGATTACCAAGAGAGAGGCCGCCTGTATTCCTAAGAGGCGAGGTTCTAGATTCAGCCACCGCTTTGCAGTCAAGTCACGTGAACTCCCCGCAACTTAGGCAGCGAGACTGGTGATTCTGTCAACTCAGCATAAGCAACTTTGCAAGATGGCTTCTTCAAACGACAAAACCCTCTCGGCAAGTGAATCTCGGGTCGTTGGCGCGTTGCTGGGCGTTCATGCGGGAGACTCGCTCGGAGCCACGCTCGAGTTCAAAACTCACGCCCAGATTGCGTCCCTTTATCCCACCGGCCTTAGAGAAATCATCGGCGGAGGACCGTTCAACTGGCCCGCCGGCCATGCAACCGACGACACCGACATGACCCGCGGCGTCTTGCTTGCGTACAGAGATGCCACTCCCGGAGACGACGTCGCTCGCCTCGCTGGCGACTATTTCCTGAAATGGCTGGACGGCGACTGGCCGGACCGGATAAGCGGGGCTCCTCCGGAGGACATGGGCATGGCCACCGGCCAAGGCCTTGAGAAATTCCGCTGGTCCCGGGATCCAAACCGCGCGGGTGCTGGCCAAGGGAATGCAGGCAACGGGAGTCTTATGCGTTGTATCCCTACGGGCCTCTTCCAGTCTGACCCCGAGAAGCTCATCCACGAGAGCATACGGATCAGCAAGATTACCCACGACGACTTCAGATGCACTGCCGCATGTGCCGTGTACAACACCATCGTGTCCGAGCTCGTGAAAGGAGCAATCCCGGGCCACGCCGTCATGAGTGGAGAAGCTGTTGCTCTGCGGTTGGAGAACAACACGGCAGGTGAGGTGTGTCAAGCCGTCAGACTGGGAAAAGAGGTCAAGGTGGCAGACATGGCCCAACGGGGACCGCCGCCGATCATGAAGGGCAAGTGTAGCGGCTATGTGCTCGAGTCCTTGACGATTGCCATAGCCGCCGCCTTGGATGAGAGAAGGCTGGAAGACGTCTTGGTGGATGTGGTGAGAATTGGGAAGGATACCGATACGAATGCTGCCATTGCTGGAGGCGTCCTGGGAGCAAGAGATGGAGAGGCTGGAATTCCCAGGGATTGGAAGGCAACGTTGCAGTTTGCACAGGAGTTTGAAGATGTCGCTTTGGCGTTGATGAGGAGGTGAGCAGATAACCTCGCAGGAATTCACGAGGGTGTCTGCCTCGTATCGGCGACGCCAAATTCGGCATAATTTATGTAGCCAGCTGGATCCCGCGGGTAATACGGGTACTTCATATGAAAGATGGTCCTGGGATCTGTTAGGTAGCTTTATTATTCGCCGTCGTATTCGCTACACCAGTTTCAGAGTATCCACTGATGCAGGTAGCTCCAAGTCTCAGAGGCGAACTATTGATTTTGGCGATACTTAAGGAATCAGTGAGCCTATGGACATGCGTGATTTATGCACAAGCCTGGGGTAAGTCTGTTGCAATCGAGTGATATACACACAATATACCTAGCGCGCCTAGCTGGAAACGTGGCTTTGAATCACATCTTGCACCGAGGCTAGAACAAATCAGTTGCATTTTTCCATATCACTCACCGCTATTTAGGTAAACTGACTTTTCCAATGTCCTATACCTAGTCGATGTGGCTGAATGTATAGGGAATGTGATTCTCCAGCATACCATTAGAGACTCCTCATTCGTCTACTCAATCACCTCTCGCAACCGAGAAACTCTACCGTAAAATCTCAACAAACTCGTGCGGCTTAACGCCTCGGTAAAACTCTGGGGTTTCCGGTTATCTTTCAGCATTTCACGGATGAAGCTGTTTTTCTTTCCACTTTCGTGAATCTATCGGACCATTGTCAAAGCCGAGGTGCACGAAGCAGTTGGAAGTTCACGGCATTTGTTGAAATTGTCGCAGACTTTGACTTAGAAACATCTCTATATAGTTTGATTAGTTAAATATCGGTGAGATTAGGCTTTGGTCCTCTTTCCCGTCGTCGTCGTGTTATTCGTTATTCGGCCCTTTCCCCGCAATGTTTCTCCCCATTGCATGCCAGACAAGGAATGTTTCCATCGAAGGCTGAGACCGAGTGGAGACCGGCAAAAAAAAAAAACTCTCAAGATTTTGTTTAGTTAGAACATCTAATTGGAGATAATATCCCGGGGGATAGATAAGACAGGTCGGGGTATGAGACTGAAGTGCGCGTCAGAAACAGCGGGAGTAGAATGCGACAGTCTGGCCCATTCTAGTGCAGCCAAGTTCGGGAATACGAGAGTTGGGGACCTCAACAGATTCTCAAGGAGCTACGTCACCTGCAACGAGACAGCAAAAGAGGCTTCATGGAGGGAATGCGGCGTTGAAACAGAGCTTCAACGTGGCAGGATGTGTGAAATGCGGCACGAACTATTGACTTTACCCGTGGAGCACAAAGGGTCATGCGATTCGCCTTTCCCACTAACTCTGCGGTCTTTGACTCCCGAAGAAAATTCCTGGAGTAGGAGACGTAAGACAAGGCGTCGACGTGTACCTTTCCGGACGCTCACGACCCCACGAACGATGGCTATGGTTGTCTGGTGAGTGACACTGACGCACCAGTCAGCTGCAAGGGAGTAATGCAAGTTGGTGGGCTATTGGCCAAGACGAGAAAGATTAGGAAGAGTTGGAATTTACAGATTCAGTTTCAACTATTTAAGGCAGAGATGGCCCTCCTCGAAAATTAATCTTGCCCATCTCAGAACATTAGCAATTACCAACAGCCAACATCCGCAACCATGAACCAAAAGAACCCAGTGCACGCTCCTCTTGAGGAAGTCGACGTCCTTGTCGTCGGCTCGGGCCCGATTGGAGCCATTTTTGCCAAGACCCTGGTTTCGGCTGGAAAGCAGGTTGTGATGATTGACATTGGAGAGCAGTAAGTAATTGCCCTGGCACATGGTGAGTATTAACTGACACCTCGACAGAGCTACCAGGCGCGTTGGCGATCACAAAAAGAACAGCGTTGCAGTGCAGAAGGATATCAGCTTGTTTACCAAGTAAGTTTACTACGTGTGCAAAGGTCGAACTGAACTACAGACGCTAATCGAGAACTTCAGCGCGGTAAAGGTATGTCGAACAAGCCATATACAACAGGGAGTTAGAGACTGACACCCATCTAGGCAGAGCTACACCCACTGTCTGTCCCCACCAACAGTGTCGAGTCGTACCTCGAGCCGTCTTCCTGGGCCCCGACGTGAGTCTCCTTTCTGCTGAAAGGTACCCCGGCTAACACAAGCACCAGGCCGAACCAAGTCGGTTACCTGCAGAACGGCCAGAACCCCAACCAGAGTGCCTGGGACAACCTCCCCGCCGCGGCCGCCTCTCGCGTTGTCGGCGGCATGGGCTCGCATTGGACGTGCTGTACGCCCCGCCAGCACCCCGGGATTGAGCGATCCACGCTCTTCAGCGATGAAGAGTGGGATGATCTTTACACTCGGGCCGAGGAGATCCTTGGAACCAACAGTACTTCCTTTGACGACTCTATCCGCCAGCAGCTGGTCAAGAGTACCCTCGAGGGGGCGTACGAAAAGCGTGAGATGTTGAGCATGCCTCTGGCCTGCAAGCGCAGCGAGCAGAACAAGGAGTACATCGAGTGGGCGTGTTCTGCCACTATCCTGGGGGACCTCGCTAACCCTCGATACTCGGGTGACTTGTTCGAGATTAGAGCCAACACCCAGTGCGTCAAGCTCCAGCTCGATGACAACGATGGACAAGTTGCCTGGGCGGTTGTGAAGGACCTGATGAGCAACGAGAAGTATAAAATCAAGGCCAAGAAATATGTCATCTGTGCCGGTGCTGTTCTCACCCCCGGCATCCTCTTCAACTCGGGATTCACGACCGACGAGTTGCCAGCATTGGTAAGCTCCTGCAACTCATATCCAAGTTCTTGATCTGTGTCGATTGGTTACTGACGGTGAACGCAACACAGGGACACTACATGATGGAGCAACCCATGTCGTTCTGCCAAGTCGTCCTCAAGACCAGCCTCGTCGACAGCGTCGCCAACGCCAAAGAGGGCGATCCCAAGCATCCCGATTGGTACGCGAAGGTTCAACTCCACAAGAAGAAGGCCCCGAATGACCCTCTTCCTTTCCCATTCAACGACCCCGACCCGCAGTGCTACTTCCCCTTGTCCGAGGATTTTCCCTGGCACACGCAGATTCACCGAGATGCTTTCGGCTACGGAGAGGTCCCACCTACCATTGATCAGCGGCTCGTGGTCGACTTTCGTTGGTTCACCTATGTGAAGCCAGTCTATACCAACTATGTCGAGTTCTCCAGCAAGTGCAAGGACGAGTTTGGAATGCCTCAGGTGAGAAAGAATAGCCGATGGAGCACTCTCCGAGAGACCACTGCTGACACAGCCTTACCTTGTAGCCAACATTCCATTTCAGAATGGACCAGGAGGATTCAGACCGCACCCTGGATATGGTCACGGAGTGAGTCAAATCTTGTGATGTACTTTTCCGCGCATACTAACTTGGATCCCTTCTAGTATGGTTGCTGTGGCGAGGCACGTCGGAGGCTTCCTCCCAGGAGCGGAGCCCAAGTATCTCCCTCCTGGATCGGCCCTTCATATCTGTGGCACCTACAGGGCTGGTGAATCGAGTGATGACAGCGTCGTGGACCGCGCTGGAAAGGTTTGGGGACAGAAAAACCTGGTTCTGGGAGGTTGCGGAGTCATCCCCAAGGAGAACGCGTGCAACCCTACCATCACTGCGGCCTGCTTTGCTCTTGTGGCTGCTAAGCAACTCGTGCACGATCTGAGAATTACGAACTAGGGTGGTTCGAGGTTTGGCTGTGTGTATTTACTTCGTTTTGCAACTCTGCAACTTCTTTGAGACCTATATTCGACATAGGCCTCTGTCCTGGGCACACCATATTTCCTAACAAGTAGACCACTATCAATATCAATCTAATTACGGTCATAAAACAAGTAGCCAGAGAATTTGTCTGGATTTAACTCTGAGGTTCATCTGGGTTGGATGACATGCCTTCCTAGCCACATGCTAAAAGTACTTGGCATGCATAGGCATGGGATGCGAGAACCCTATGAGAAGACCTTGAAGCTAGTCGATTTTCTAGTGCTTCCTAAAATTAACATACCATGCACCACTCCCAGGGCCAAAGTATGGCATCAACTTGCGAATCTCCTCAGCGAATACCGGAGTCTCTGTTCCGTCTTGGTGAAGCTGTAGACAGTGAGTGAGTTTCTTTTGACGAAAGCGGCTTCCAACCAACCTCGATGCTCTCCCATCCCAGAAAATATACGCCGAGCCTTCGCTCGCCCTGCGCAATCACCTCATCGGGAGTGGAATTGAGAGGTGCTCCGCTGGATTCGTTGGTGTTGCTGGCGTATGCCCAGTTTCCTCCTGTGAACCCCAGAATTTGGTATGTGTCTGACCAAGTTTTATCCATGGACTTTTGTAGAGCCGCGTCGGATAAGGGGGCTTCATCTGTGAGTCGAATACAAGCCTGACGTGGGATTGTTAAACATGTGATATATGGGGAGTTGAGCCTGGGTGGGAACAACGTACGAATTCACAAACTGGTGCCGCAAGCCCCTTTTCAAGTTCAGCTAACTGAGCGGCCTCGAAATTGAACAACAAAGATGCTTCGTCTCCTGTCGTGATTTCACGTAGGCCGCTCATGACGGTATGTCGATCACATGCATCAGGCCATTCTGGACGGCGCTCAGGTCAGCTGCAAGATCTTGGGCGTAGGACATGGCCACATACGGATAGCCCAACAGATTTCGTGCCTCTTCCTTGGGAGAGGTGATGACCTAGTAGGGATTGTGTAGCCATAATACTGTTCTGCAGCCCCAGCAGCCACAACCTTTTGGCGAAGTTTGAGGAATTCCGGGGCCGAAATGGTAAGGGACGGCGGGAGCGTGAAGCGGATAATCTGGGACAACATATTACCAGTTGGGGATGGCACTGGAAGCCACTGAATGACTGGATGATTGAGTCCCTTTCTATTAAAACACTGAGGACGGAATGATGACCTTGATTATAACGAGGTGCGTGAAAGTTGGCTCTGCTGACCGCGGGGTCAATTCACACCGTCCGAACCAAGTAATTCGCGCGCGCTAAACGTAAGATTGGCTTATTAATGCTGCATTATGAATCAGTTCGTTCAATAAGCAGTTTAGGCAGCCATAGCGATGTTAGGTCCGTTATTATAGCGTTAGATATCGCCTACCAAGAGACTTCAAGACGAGGAGGTCGTGACTCTATCAACAATTTCTTCCCAATTTGCCCGCCTCGTGGACTTGGAACTTATCTCCTTCGACGCTTCCCGAGGTGTTAAAACAGTCTCCATCGTCCTGTTGGAACGGACCGCCATATTGATCAGATTATCACTAAGCGCGAAGAGACATAAATATGGACCGGGATGTCGGCCATGTATATAAATTGCTCACGATTTGTACGACTAAGTTTATGAAACTTATTTCTTAAATAATGAAGAAAGGCTTGTATAAATCCAATGTCCCTGGATGTAAGTATGCTGCAGACATTTCGGCGGATTGTTAGATCACTGGTAGTGCTCCTGGATGCCCCCCCGGACGATGTTGTGTTTGTCCGGGTCCGTTACTGAGACAGGCGAGATCCATCCGATGGGGCGAGGAACAAGGCATGCCTTGAAAGGGTCATGTGGAAGGTTATGGTTATGGGGAATGGTTCCGGCATCGTTTCCTGGTTGATAAAACATCTTGGGATCAGTATCAGTCGTTGATTGATTCAAAATGATTGTTCGGCTTCAATTATGTGATAACCTGGAACATATTTTCTCAAGGGTTCCTTGTAAATCCTTTATACCAAGAATTGATAATGAGGGCCATAATTAGCGGGACTGCATATACCAAAGGCTTGCGATAGCATACAGGTCAATAACGGAGCCTTCGGGGTTCACTGAATTCGCTCTTCAAAACGGACCGAATTCGGGTTCTTCATGAGACGCATGCGGACGTCGGCTGGCGGACGGCTAAAAGCCGTGACACAAGATTCGGCTTCCGACATCCAGCTTTCGCTCATTGTCCGCATTCCCGTCGGGAAATTCGGAGGCAGATTCGGCAGCCGTCCAGTAATGGTCGACGAGAATGAGTAATCATGTGAATTTGGGCATAAAACAAACAAATTCAACTGATTCTTGTTTATTTCTTTCGAAGTAAAACTAATCCGGTAAACTATCAACCGCTCCCAGCGATTCGGAAAATAGCTTGACCTCCTCAGATAAACCACATCCCGAAATGGAGGACGATGATGTTGAAGTCGGCCCTGGTCGCGCGATACCTACGGATTATATCCCGGTCAACCTCGTTCCAGCCAAGAATGGAGAAATAATTAAGCTTGGACTCATCACTTGCCGTGTGCTCGAAGATGGATCCCGGACAGGTAGGTTGGGTCGGATAACACTCCATCCAAATCAATATCTTCGCCTACATCACCCAAGGAACAATTCTTACTGATAATTGCTTGGTTGTAGACAACCGCATTGGTGCGGCCGAGTTCACACTCCCGCCTGGCCTTTCGGGACCTCCAGCTCACTGGCATGAGATGCATGATGAATGTTTCTTGGCAACGCAGGGCGTGATTCGCTACCATCTCCCAAAGATAGATGGCACAGAGGACATCATTGACGCGAAGGAGGGCGACTTCGTAGCAGTGCCGGTTCGAGCGCCGCATACATTCAGCAACCCGACAGACCAGGAGGCCAAGTTCGTGAATACGTTTACCCCCTCGCATTACATTAACTATTTCAAGCTCCTTGGGACATATGTGAAGGAGGGGAAACCAATCTCTCCAAAGGAGCACTTGGATGCGATGTCAAATTATGCTACGCTCCCAGTGCTGCATAAGAAGGCAGAAAAGAAAAGTAATTAGGGAGCATAAGAGCAATTTACAACTGGCGTACGTATTTGTATTTATCTTTGCATTGAACTGCCAAAACCTGTTATGTCTGTGAATAAATTTATATCGAGCTACTTGAAGTAATTACGTTTTGCACAAAGTCCACTTTTCACTCACTGCCATATCACTTTTAGAGGTGAACGGCGAGGGATGCCAGTGGGGAAACAAGTATACGGTAGAACCAGACGAGGGCCTGGGCTGCAATGCCAAAGGCAGCGATGGCGAGGGGAAGTTGCCAGTGCATTATCTCAGCTGTCAAGGGAATTGAGGCAGCAAGAGCGCACGATGTTATTCAGGATGGGCTAGTCTTGAAAAAAGTCAGGTAGAGCGGATGCTACAGTGTGAGTCTTGGAAATCTGATCAATAATAATTTTGTCGAATTGAAAATCCCAGTAATCAATTTCCTTTCTTAGCTGCTGGGCCCTTACTGAGTCTCCAATTCCGTCTTACTGGCCCCGGGTGCGGAAAAGTTCTGGAGGAGCGTCGTCGGTTCTGCAACCCTCAGCAATTAATGCTCGGAAAATTCGCGATGCAACTACACTACCTCACCCGCATTTCACCTACTCAAATTGATCGATTCCGAGACGGACAATAGCTCGGCCAGACCTGTACCCAAAGCTCGCCTGTTCCTCATTGCACCGGTTTGGATTGTGCCGTCAGATTTATGAAGGCGGCTCCCATACATGCCATTTTCCATCTACTTAATACAGAATTAAGTTACATTTTATTGCCACAACAATTATATTTTAGTATGTTTCTCTTACGCATTGATGCATTTCTTATTTCGTGTTACGGCTCCCTGCCTACGCTGTCCTGGTTTACTGTTAATCCGCCCATGTCGAGACCTGGGAGCTGTCACAAACAACCACCTCGGCTATGGCGTGTTACCATGGTGCGCTTCCAAACACAGCACACGTACTCTGAGCGCGAGCAATCCTTGCTCTTCAAAATCACCGAGTGGGCCTCTGGACGCTGCAGTTGGGCTTTAACAGATCCGCTCCTGCAAAAGCAAAACCTCAGCCGCAGAAGTGGGGAGCGCAGAATGAGCGCGGCTTGGCAGAGACGGTGGAGATCTTGTAGAGATTAGAGGGAGCATAGTTTTGTCTCGACAAGAGGAGAGCGTGTTGCTTGAACTTGAAGGTAACAACAAATTGAGCAAGATGTTACACCTCTGCTGCATCCTCATTGATATCCTCCCCGGAAAACAAGTGCCGCATTTCCCTCAACACTGTGGGTTCTCGCCGGGATGCGTACCGCTTTTGAAATTGAGGCGGGGAAGTTATGGGGAAATCCGATCCGCCAATCCACTCTCGGTGGATTCAGAGCGATCAGCCCCGTATTATCATAATTCGCGGCTTCGTGTCTATTTGAACAGTGCTTTTGAAGCCCCCTAGAGTGGCCTGCAACTTGGTCGCTTAGAATAGCCCGGCATTTATGCTGCCGACACAAAATTCATGCGCTCTTCTAAGATGGCAGACGTAAGAATGCTTGGCAATGTCAACCAGCACGTAGCTAGATCTGACAGTACGCCTGACTGTGCATGTGTGGCTGCTGAGCTCATCCTCGGTCACCTGGCTTGCAGTGATTTGAACATGGGTGAATGACACTGGGGAAGAAGCAATGGAGGAAGACATCACACGAGATTCACTCAGTTATTCGGCCTCAGTGTTGTTTGTCAGTTTTTTACTGTATTTGCTCAAGTCCGATAGTGGCCTCTGCCTTCTTCGTGGAGTCATGCCCGCTGCATCTGTTGACTGTTTCTCACGGCGAGCCCGACCAAATTGTCACCCTTGCCAATCTCATTAGAATCTCATATCGTACACTACAACTCATAGACGCTGCTGTCCGTTCAAAGAATACTCAGCCTGCAGCTTTTCAGCAGCAATCATACCAATCTGGTAAGCCGTGGACTGAATGTGGCAGCTGCGATTAGGTTAGCAAGTCGCCATGAATAAAAGGGAGAAAGGGCACAAACCTAGCAATGATGGGCATGACACTCATATCCGCCACTCGGAGACCGCTGACACCGTAGACGCGGAAACGAGGGTCAACCACGGCCTGCTTCTCATCACGTCCCAGCCTGCACGTTCCGCTCATGTGCCACGTGCTGGTGCAGTTCTTGCGCCAGAAATCGAGGATATCCTCGTCGCTGTCGGTGGCTGGGACGTCGAATTGCGATTGGGTCGGGTGTGCGTCCTTGGTGAAGGACGGGCTGGCCGTGACCTTGAGAACCTCGCGGGTCGACTCGATGATGACACGTCGGTCGTACGGGTGGTCAGCAAATGATGGGTTGAAGTCGAGAGGCACCGTGGGGTCAGCAGAGACGAGCTTTACGTTTCCAACGCCCTGCGAGTTTTGCACAAAGACCAGAATCGACAGGATCGGAGGCGCCGTCTCGGGGGCCACGTAGTAGTCGGGCGTGATGCCCAGCGCAGCCATCTCGTACGTGGGAATCGTCGGCTGGGACAAGCGAGCGCGCTCCTGGGCAGGCAGATCGGCAAACTCCTTGCTGGCCAGGACGCCGGCGCTCTTGAAGAAGCCCATGGTCATGGTCGTGCCGTTGGTCACGTAGTCGCCGGTGCGGAACAGCTCCCACTCGCGCATCGCAGCCGCCTGGCGCGCCTTGTCCTTGAAGAACGCGCTGATGGTGTCCGACTCCTCGGAGCGGCCGTACTTGAGGGTGACGTGGTAGTGGTCCCTGTAGTTCTGGCCGACGTTGGGGTTGTCGACGAGCGGCGAAATGCCGACCTTGTTCAGCTGGTCTGCAGGGCCAATGCCCGAGTGCATCAGGATCTTGGGCGTGTCGAGACTGCCGGCGGAGAGGATGACCTCCTTGGCGGCCTTCAAGACGGTTCCGTCGAGAAGCGAGACGCCGGTGGCCGTCTTGTCCTCGAACTCGACCCGGCGGACAGGCGCGTTGGTCATGATGTGCAAGTTCGCAGGCGCATTTGCCAGCAGATCGGCCGCCGTGGTTCTCGTGCCGCGCGTCATGGTCTGCGGAACGACCGAGATGCCCAGAAAGTCGCCGCTGCCCATGTCCCGGTTGATGGCGTAGCCGTTGGCCTCCCAGGCGTCCATTGTCGACGTGGTGTAGTTGTCCCATTTGGGCTGGAAGCCAATGTGAAGCGGTCCCTCGTAGCCGTGGGCCTCAGCCTTGGGATCAAGGTATTTCGTCACACCTTGAGGCACCTCGGGCGTCTTGTCGTGGTACGTCTCCAGCTTCTTCCACCGGCGCAGGGCGTTGTCCCAGTCCCAGGCCGGATCGGCTGTGAGCTCCGACATGGTCTTCCAGTCATCTCGAGGCCCGATTGTCCACGCCGTGAAGTTGACGGCCGACGAGCCGCCGAGGCCCTTTCCTCGCGCGAGGCCGATCCTGCGTCCTTCCAGGTGCGGCTGCGGGGTGCTCTCGTAGGGATATGTCTGCTCGGGGTTGAGGAATTGCACGTATTCGTTTCCGATGACGCGCAGGTTGGGCTCCTTATTGTCGCCTCCGGCCTCGAGCAGCAGCACAGAAGGGCGGGCCTTGCTGTGTGCTAGTCCGCGAGCGATGCTGCATCCCGCGGGGCCGGCGCCTACAACGATGAAGTCGTATTGGGTGTCTTGTTCAGCCATGTCGACGGTTGAGAAATGAGGAGAGAAGGTGAATTGAATGATGAGATGGGAAATAATCATCGCCACCATCAGCTAGCCCGACATCCTTATAACGTGGCTGTTGGCGGCTGTGGCCAAATGGATCTGCTGTATCACGAGTCATGCGGCCGCTCGTCAACGCTCAAATGATGCATTAGCTCTCTCCGCCATCCCCGACTGCGTGAGACGGGACAGGACCAACGTGACGGAGATGCGTAATCTTGCTGAAACGGGCAGTCCTCGAGCTGGGCCGAGCCGACTGGAGACGGGCTGAGTGATGCACTGTTGCACCAACACTCTGCAACCGCAGCTGCCCCTAGCTTGATTTGCCTAAATGTAGCAACGATAGACCGGCCGGCGGCATATACCCGCGAGTTTAGCACTGGAGTTGAGCGGGGGTGACCTGGCTGGGCTATAGTCGACTGCACCTAAGCCATCCAGGAATGTCTAGCGCGTTTGGGGGTGTCTTGGGGCTTGGCTGGCCTGTCCGGGAGATATCCCGGGTGTTCTGAGTCTGGGGTAGCGAGTCAGGCTGTCTCAAGGCTGCCTTGTCGCACTTGTTGCCGCTGTGGACCGCTGTGGTCTGGAATTGCAATGCACGTAGTGGCGAGGTTGGTGTGCATACGGCGAGGACGAGGCGCGGCTGCGGAAGCGGCGACACGGAGAGATGCAGCTGGGATCCGGTGAATAAACAAAACATGCAAGATACGCAGAAGCAAGTTCACAATCGACGCCGGGATGTGGCCTGTCTTTGTACTGGGGTGAGACCCAGTTTGCAAGCCAGTGCCCTCAGCTCGCGCCAGAGCCGGCAGCATCGTACGTCCTGCACAAGCACTCGACTCTTATCAATACCTGCGAGATGCATTCAGGTCATCATCCTTGAACAATCGGGCGAACGGGTGGTGATTATCTCTGCAGCTTCAGCGTCCGTCCAACTTGGGCCGCACGGGACGAGACGCAGAGTGTTAGGGAACGCACAGTCGGGAACGCATCGCCACTATCCCGGGCTCACAATTATGCAGAAGCACTCGCCGACTCCATTGATCCATTGACCCATTGATTGCAGTGCCTCATCAGTTCACGATGCGACACGCTCTGCGTCAACTTCATTCAGGGCATCGCGAATACCAGCTCCATCCCAGTTTGCGGGGCTGAGGCGCACGACGGATCTTCAGAAGCGGGCCTCTGGTGCAGATCATCATCTCAAATAGACCCTAATGGTCAGCTCGACTGCGCTTGGTTGAAATACCCCACCATATCCATGATCCATTCGCTTCGAGATCCATTTGCCGAAGATGCAGCATGGACGAACCTGAGTGAAAAGAGGCTGATATCTTTTCAACGTTGATGGGATGAAGCTACTGCGCTGGGACGAGCCACACACGGCTTCACTCATGTGGAACATGACGTAGTAAATGTATCCTATTGATCTTTAATCCCGTAATCTTCCCTTCTATTCCCGCCGCCACATGATGGATTGATCTCGTACATCTGAGAAATGCGCCCTTCTCGGCGTCTTGAATCCGAAGGCACCAGCGCGACATGAGAACGATTCTCGGAATTACAAAAACCTAGCCAAAATATTTCCCTGTAAAGCCCGGCACAATCTCCTGACCCTCCAGCTTCTCGTAACTAACGCCCTTCTTCTGCTGCCAAGTCTGCTTCAGTCTGGTGAACTCCCCCATCGTCGGGGCTGGATGCCCGCCGGCCTCGAACTCGTTTTGCGTGTAGCCCTCCCGCTTGAGAACCGGGGAGTCGACTGTTCCGAGGACGAGGTCGTTCTGAGGACGCGCAAAGTACAGTAAACCGAGGCGGTCGACGTGACGCTGGTCTTTTGGAGGCACAGATACCTGTTGAGTCAATTAGCACGATCACTTGCAGGTAGGCCAACAACCACGAATTCTTACCCGGTGGATGGTGGACTTGACGTATCCGCCTGTGAGGAAACTCAAGGCATCCCCCGCATTGACTGTCAAACTCCCATCGAGAGGTTTCGCCCACTTCCAGGTCTCAGACTCCTGGTCCCTGATCTGCAGTCCCGCAACGGGCTGTCTGAACAACAGCGTCAGAGAACCCAGGTCTGTATGTCCGCGGGACCATAAGCCATCCTCGAGAGCCTCAATCTCCTTGGGTGAGAACTTCGAGTACTTCATGTAGCGTAGATGTGACTCGTCATGGGTTTCCCACTTGTGGAGGTTGACGAAGAAATCTTCGGGCAGCTCAAGAGCAATTGCAATGAGATGGTTCAGGGGATCAAGAACCTTGTCATGCAATTCCTGATGCGCGAGAGTCAGCGTCCCTGGTCAAATCGGGGATTAGATGGTAGGTCTGACCTTGGCAAAAGCTTCAATCTCTTCCAGATGTTCCTTCAAGAGAGCCGGGAGAGGCTGTGTGACATGTCCATCATTGGCTATTGCAGCCATAAGTATTTGAACACCCAGATGACCTGTTAGGATTATGTGTGAAACTCACTAGCCATGTTCCAAACCTCGGTTTTCTCGAGAACACCCCCCGCCAGAGGTCGTCTGCCAGCAGGTCTGTACCCATTGTATTCACCCGCGTCTAAGTTGGGAACATAATTCAACTTCTCTTCCAACGGGAGATCATAAAATGCCTGGCCGAGGGCAAATTGTTTGTCGACTGCCGCCTGTGAGATGCCAAAGTTCGTGACGTAGAAGAACCCCTTCTTTCGAACAGCTTCGATCAGGGCTTGGGATAGCTCCGAGTTGCCTTGAGGAGTGCCATACTTGGACAGATCAATATCAGTCACTGGTGTAGGTTAGTGAATCATCCTCTTGTTTCCCTGGGAAGTAGGGTAGGAATAAACGTACAGTCAGCCCAGTCAAGCTGCTCCTTTGTCTCAGGGACATGGGAGTACTGGTACAGTTGAGGGATGGCAGAAGGCATTTTGAGATAATTTCCTGGTCTGCTCCTAATGTTTGTCTGTCAACGGTAGCTTGAGGATTTATAAAGACTCCGCTTCGTGAGGGGGCTTTATGAGTTTGTCTACAAGGAAATGATTTACATGTTACATCTAACTGCTGACAAAACGTGCAGAAACTCATGCCGGGAGTTGGTTCCATGTGCAAGACGAGCCAATGAGAATGCACCTAATCCCATCCCTCGATGTCGTGATCAGGTTCCCCGCAAACGGACTCCGGAACTCCCACGCTCTTTGGCTCCGTGGCTTATGGGGGGCTTATCCCATATTTCATCTTTTTGCAGAATATGGCGTGATTCTGTCGTATCTGCCTTATCCCGAACATATCACATAGACTTAGAGTGGGATGCTCATCCATTCTTCTTTCATCATAATTGCCCTGCATTATGAGACAAAGATGACACTGGATTTGCCAATCCACTTCCCAACTTGGATTACAATGGAGCTCTCCTTGTCACTCTGATGCGGACTCGCGTGGCTAGGAGGTTCCGTTGAATGACGCAATATAGTCCTACTCAACCACAAACCCTCAAGCTATTGCACATAGTACCATGACCCACGGCGTAATTGACAAGAAAACAAGACAAGAACTTGCAAGAAACCGTCAAAAGTCTTGAATGACTTGAAAATGATGGGGGTAACAACTAATTCGCAAGTGTAGTCGTGGAATGGATGATAATAGTTCAAATGCAAAGTACAGCCTTGCACGCTCGGAGTGCTGTTGGCAGAGCCATAATCTTTCGCAATCCCGCTACGGCAAAAGGGAATCATCACTCCACTTGTCGGTAGCGTTATTGTAGTCCATATCTCCGCCTGACATAATCTAGAAGCCCCACAGCTAAACAGCTAACACCATTTCAACAGCACGCACATGTTGACACACTCGAAGAGGCTTGCTCTCCGAGATTTTCTGAGCCACGTCAAAAGCGAGGGCCCAACAAGTTGCTTGTCATTCTGCAATTGATCATGTCCTCTCTATGAACTTCTCGGAGCGACAACTTGAAGCGTAATCGTATGCGCGCGGCCGCCTGAGTACAATGGCGTTACATGGATCTTCGCAGAGTGTACGTTGCATAGCCGTCACTGGGGCGACTGGGACAGCCTGTGAATAAAACAAACAAACGATCGCCACTGATTGCAGTTTGCACTACCCACCTTCTATCAGAAGTTGTTTCTTCGTACTTTATCAAATGTCACCTGTATAGTGGTGGAATGAAAATTCGCTCCCATGCTGGACCGCTTTTGCTCTCAAGTACAAGAGGTCTCATCAACCCTCTCCCTCTTTCTTCTTATCCTACACCACCAATATAGCAACCTGACGCAATCCCACTAAGAGTCCCAAAAGACCCCTCTACGGGGCTAGATAGGCTACAGATCCTACACAAGAAAGGCAGTCACTGGCTTGTCTTAGAGCAAATTTGCAATCGAACCACGAACCAAACACGAGCTTAAATAGCGTAGCCAACGGAAGCGGCACACCTCTTTACAGCTGCCACTGGGTTTTATTTGCAGGAAATTCGGAGACACGATATGGCGTTGCCCTGGAAGAAATGGATATAGGTAGCGAGATACTGATAGTCTTCTGCCCCCCAGGCGGCCTCGAGCGCTCCGAGTTCCCACCGGCGTAAAATACATCTTCTTCATCATCATCATCTTCTTCTCGCCTCCACCGCCACTACGTGCTCCAGCAACTTGACCGCTTCCTCGACTTGGCCTTTAGATTTGTACGCTACCGAGAGCTCATGCAGCGATGCTAGTCGAAGCCACGATATCACATCCTTGAGCCAATATTTGACTCCCTTATATTTAAAGCCAGGTGTAACACTCCTCAGCAATAGGGATGTACACGTTATAGACTGTCTTGGACCACAGGCTTGTAACGAAAGCGTAGAGGGTGAAAGAGAAGTCAGTCTTGATGCTCAGACCCTGGGCACAATCGAGGTCGTTGGGCTGAGTGACGGTACCATCAGCTCCAATAGTCTGGCTTGCTGTGAACGCAAACTCGTTGTTGAAACGGGGACGGGCGGTAAGGCCGGCACTCAAGTCCAAGACACCGCCCAGGGCATTAACAACGAGCTGGAATGTAACGTCGATCCAGGTGTCGGCCTTGGCGAGAGCACGCTCGGAGAGGTCGAGCTTGGCGTTGTAGACAGGCTTCCAGGGGGTGACGCTTGTCTTGGTATTGTCAAGGAAATCGAGATGAATAATGCCGTTTTTCAGACCGGCACCGGCGGACCCAGTGACAGTGACGCCAGCACCAACATCGATGTCCAGACCGACGGCGAAGAGCAGCTCCGGGCCGAGGGTGATGATGCCCGGAACGTCGATGATAGAGTAAGAGAGCTCGCCGGGGCTGTAGGTGAAGCTGTCGCGATATTCTGCCGTAACGGCAACAGTGACTCCAACCTCAGCGTCGATACTGGAGTCAACGTCGACGTAGAACTGCTTGAGCTTGCCTCCCAGGACATCATAGTCCAAAAAGCCAGAGAATGTGACGCTGGCCGTGACTTCAGCGGAATCGGCTGACACCTCGAGGTAGGGAGGGAAGGAGTAGATGGGGGTGTTCCTCGGGAGGCCGATCGTGCCAGCAATAGTCAGGCCCTTCTCGTTGACGGTGATACCACGCTCGTCGAGGCCCCTCTTTGCAACAGTCTGGCGCTTCTTAGCAACTGGCACAGCCTCAAAGGTGATGGCGGTGTTGGCTGCGTGAGGTCAGCTGTCGTGATGCTATCCACGGAGGTTGGGAGGCCTCTTACTAGCTGTGCTAGCCACATCTTTCTTCTCGGCGCTTACGACAACGGTCAGGGTTTCCTTGTCGCTGCTGATCCAGTTGACGAGGAAGACGCCACGCTCGGATTCGGTATCGCAACCACCCAAGTGGTTGGTGAAGAAAACAAGATCGGTCTCCTTCGACCAAGTCGCCACGGCAGCTTGGAAGTCATCCCCCGAAGTGAAGGAGACTGAAATAGAATCGTCGGAGCATGTCACATTGTCGATGGAGGCGACGTCTTCCAGAAGCACAGTTGGTCTCTTCATGTCAAGGTCCACATGGACTAGAGGGTCGGTGTCGTTACCATAGTCGAGACCGATAGACTTGCTGGGAGCCACCGCCGAGTCATCAGCGCGGGCCTGCAATCCTTTGGGCTTGGGGATGGGCTTGAGAGTAATGACGTCCTGAATGCTTCCAGCAATGGCCGTGCTGGCTAGAAGAGCCACAAGGCCGGTGTAATGGAGGGCATGCATGGTGACGGCTAATGAAGAAAAATCATGAGCAACTGGTCAGCGGAGGAGTGATCGAGACTTCAGAGGGGTGACTGTCAACTCAGGTAGCCTCGTCGGAAATAATGTCGTGGAGGTGAGACATTTATATTCATGGCCTATTCATTCAATTAAACACGTGCACTATGGTGTCAGGATCAGTGGAAATGAAGCGGTGCATTCCCGTTATCCGCCGGTACAAGGCCGAACCTGATATTGACATATTAGACAATGGCTAAGATAGTGTGACGATAGACGCCCGCAGCGCACTGGCAAGCTCCTACTGCCTCTTCCGGCAACCCACGTGGGCCGTGTCGGTGAAGGTATCATCATGTGCCTAGCCAGGATGTAACACGATGCGGACACCAGGGTCTATTTGGGATTCTCCTCCCCCAGGAATGGACATATGGCGCCACACTAAGCATTGCTGGTGGGTTCCGTCCTCCTATAAAGGCAGGTCCTCGAATTCGATATGGAGCAGCACATTCGGCGCGAACCGAGCCAGTAACTTAATATTCTCAGCCCACGGACTGAACCAAAGAAGCTCTGGAGCTAGAAATGCCGAGACGTCGTTTAACTTGCACACTTCTCGTAACGCCGATGGACCGACCCCTGTACGAAAGGTACCAGGCTAGATAAGGAAGATTTTGGCATCCATTCGGATTCTTTCCGGCTTGGATTCCGGCAACTTGCTCACTTTTCGGGAGCAGACAAAACTTAGATTAGTTCCGGCTTGGAGTCGGATTGTTCTCTACTACTAGATCCGGATTTATACAGGAGAAATAGCAGCCGCCGAGGTAGATCCGAAATGAATCGCGCTTTCAAAGCCTACTGACTAATTCGCCTATTCACCCACCTTCTTAGTCGGTATAACCATCGTCAGATTCTACGGCCAGCGCTTCGGCGGGCAAGTACATTTCTGGCTTCAAAAGCTGGCTCGGTTCGCAAACGAGGCTTGGTAGTAGAGGAGATACGCAGTATTAACGCAACCCTGTCAGGCGGGGGTCGGCAATTCACAAAAGCGGTTGTGGTGGAGGGGTTAGAGCAGCATTAAGCCGAAGCCATGCATGCTAGATGGTACGCAGTCGATCCTGCTAGATAAGCATGTGATACCGGGAATGGTGATATGATGAATAGTACGCATTCAGCAACTTGTCTCTGCTGCCGAAACAACCAGATTTGGATGTAAATAGCAACTTGGGCATTTAGAGGGGTCAAGCCTCCCGACCCCCTTCACAGTACGCTCGTGGTGCATTTATAAGCCAAGACTATGTCAATTATCGTACGAATCTGCGCTGTAATTGAACCGTCCTGGATTTCTATTTCTTACTCGACCCAGGGCTTTAGCAGCCAAGGCTCTGTTGAAGTTGTTCATGGAGGCACTCGAGATAGGCTCATTCCGAATGAGGTATCTGTCATGGGCACAGACTCGGAGTCATCCACCACTACAGCAACATCTGCCACCCCAGATCCGCGCAAAGAGCTAAACGCCATATTCGAGAAGTACAGAGGCCTCATCGATAAACGAAGAAATATTCCGATGAAGACCCTTAGCGCCACGCCCATTGATCCAGGTATGGAAATTCTGGTCTTGCATGTCCGAAAGATTTACTTCGTGCGTGCTAGTTCTTTCACGTTCCGCTGCGATCAGGGACTTCAACCGTGCAAGTGATGGCTCGATGGCTTGTCAGGTGACGTGGAAAGATGAGTTTTAAGGCAGCTCTCGAGGTCTGACATTATCTGCATCGAATGTGCATACAGTAACTGACGTACACAAGAACATGATCTGGGCTATCGGAAGCTGCCAGGCCGAGAGTCGGCGGTTGAGCGAGGAGGACGCAAAACTGAGTGCATATATCGAGGCAGTAATGTCCCATCGAGAACAGTCCAAGTCATACGCGAGGGTCCTGCTCGAATCTACAGCAGCGTTGCTCTCGGGTTGCCCACAGTCTTCTCTCATCACAGCTACAACACAGTCTCGAGAGATGAACTCCGACGCGGGACTCCGAGGCAGCGATATCCATTTTCGATCGGCAGACAGGTCAAGAACAGTTCGTACTAGAGACAACATTAATAACCAGCGACCAAGCCGTGGCCGACCTCCTACAGTAGTCTCGATGACACCCGCGCCTAATGAAGCTACTTCATCCGACGAAGCCAACCCGTCTGACTCTACCGAGCCTGCTGACGAAGCCAGTCTGTCCAACGAAGCAAGCCCTCTCGGCGAAGTCATCCCTTCCGACACAGGCAGTCCATCCGAGACACCTTATCTGCCCGATGGAGTACAACCTTCTGACAAGTCATGCCACGAGGCTACTCTGTCTGACGAAGCATATCCGTCTGTCGTAGCGGCCACGGCAGGATCATGTCAGCGCCCTAGGTCACCACGGCCTCAAGTCCAAAGTAATAAACAAGGCCCTCAGAGATCTCGTCCGAGTCAGAAAGGACCAACGTTACTCCGTGACGCTGTCGAAAAGGCGAGTTTGACCCGACTTGAGGCACTTCAGTGCGCCTGGCATGTTTGCTTCTTCGCACGGCATCGGCCTGACACCGGTCCATTTATCAATAAGAGTGAGGCAACCTATCTGGACCAGCTGTGGGCAAGTGCCCAGTACTACCGCTATCTGCGCAAGATATCAGACTCCCAAAAGCATTATGCGGCCGTTGCCGAGCGATTCTTCCTTATCCTCACAGCTGAGGAGTATCACGCACGATACGACGAGGCTGCTGCCAGTGGACTACTAGATCAGCTAAAGATGGCGATCATTGACCATCTTTTCCCGGCAACAATGGCAGTTGAGGCAAGAGGCGAAACGGGAGCGGACAAAGAAAAGCTGCGATCGAAGTTGGACTACCGAATTCGCATGGCGGCAAGGCTAGCTGCAGCGGTCCGACAATATGGCTTTGGCCTCCTCATACGTTTTCAGTTTCACAACGGACAGTAAGTACAAGAACTTCGTAGACCTCTCGGTCCCTCTTACATTGACGCACCAGCCTCCACAAAATCAACAACCTGGAGATCACAGAGTTCGTTGACACCATCGATGTGGACCGTCCGAATCTTAGAGAAGATATGTGCAACTTATCTCTCATCCTGCCAAAACTACTCATGTGGGGCTCGCCGCCTTGCAAGCTGGCTATTGAAAGGGTACCGTACGAGGACTTGAACCAGTTTGAAGACAAGCCACTTGACGACTTGTTCTCATTCCCGGACCAGCCTAATTACAGTTCCCCAGAGAACGTGCCGCGGCTGCCATACATTGCATGCTGGCCCAGCGTAGCTGGAGATTGTGCCGATCAACTTGGTCAAGAGCCGCGCCGAGCCGTTGAGACACAGTATGAGGACCCGCCGCCGCCGCCGCCGCCGTGTAGCAGGTTGCCGCAAACTCAAGTGAACAGTACGTCGCATCATGTGGACATGGAACCTTTGCCGCGGCCCTTGTCAGATGCCGAAGCTTGCGTTGAAAACCGGCCGGAAGCGTGTCTCCATACTCAAGAGTTCGTTCAGGCTATGCCAGAGTCGCAAACCGAGAGCGAACTGCGCAACATGTCTAACCTTTCGAGCTCAGCTACTGGCTGGATGACTGGGCTCGTGCAGAACTCCAGCGATGAGTTCGAGAACCTTCAATCAGTCACACTACTTCTAAGTAAGGCACTGGAGTGGTGTGTCAGCCCTGCAGACCTCATCATCAATGGGGAAGAGCTAAGTGCTCAGGCGTTCCAAAATGGCTACTCGCCGACTATGGTTGATGTTGATGTTGAATGGGACGAAATGTTGAATGGGACGAAATGTTGAATGAAATGATGGCCGAGCATTAAACCCTATTTCAGACAGATGCCCGCATATCTCGTAGTTAGCGGTGGGGTGAATGCAGACCAGAACTTAGCTGTCTAATCTAACACCAGCAGTGGGGTGGTGGTTGATGCAGCAGAAAGCCAGAACTTGCCATTTAACATCCAGCGATGGGAACGAGACAAGATTATCATAGTTTGCATTGCACCTTGAGTGCCACTTAAGTCTTTTAATAGCACCTTTCATGAGGAACGAGTGCCCAGGTCTGACGAGTACGTTTACGCCTGGACGTCCATCTTCTAGTCTTGCTTTGTCCCAATTCTGGCCATCACGCATCTCGACCTGAATGGCAATAGACTGGACTTTCCTGCGAACAGTGGAACGATGTGGGGCTTTCTGATGGATCTGATCGTCGGAACAGCACTTCGGGGGTGGGGGTAAGAAGTCATTTGGGTCTAGGAAGGGTTTGGTCTTTTGCATGAAGACGCTTGAAAGAGGGTCTAGCTTTGGTGTATCGCTATTAATAGCTAACAAGGTTGCCCCTTGTCAAGGGGTTTAAAACAGAGTTTTAAGAGGCAGGCGAGGATTGAGACTCATTAACTCTCTTATCTGAGGAATTTCTAGATTATATACCTAGTGACTAAGTTTTAGATAGATAGTCGCCGAGGAGTACCTTGATCGATCTTATCTAATTACCAGCTCAAAGTGCATTGTTGCTATGCTATAATCGAGCAACTCATCTAATCTTATTAACCTTATGATCATGATCATAGTCTTTCAAGCCTCCCTGCATCCACTGTCTCATCTCTTGCCTGCTTTAAAAAGGACGCTAATAGCGTCCCCCCCGGTTCCCCTTAACCCCCTATTCATCGGCCTAGCCACTAACTTAACTCTTCTCTTAACTATTAAGTGGCTATTGATGTGTGATAGCTAGATACAATGGGTGCTTAACGCACGCCTTAGCACAGCGTGTTTAGCACCACCTGACACGTTGGAATTGAATTCTGTGACGCTCGGGTCTGGAGCTGACTATAGGGCAGGCAGGAACAGAGGTTTGTTTTTATATTAACGAGTAAACCGGGATATCGTGTGCAATACTAGTCACTAAGCGCGGTGTCTGAGTCTAGGAACGGTACAGGCGAAGACGATACTTATATAGTATTGATAGCTGAAGAGCTACTGTTCTATCTAGTGAATGAATGTGTATATAAAGTAGGTGGATCACCATAGTTGAGAGGTGATCCCGTCCGTGGATCGTGTGAGGCTCACCGTGATCCAGGCGTGATTGGGAGAAATGAATGGGGGTGACCGGAGTCCCGTGTAGGCCGCATGCTGGGCCGTAACAATTTCGAAATAGAGAAGTGACTTGCGAAATTGCCAGTAACGTTCTCAAATCATATCCTGCACATTTCCACTGGCCCGTCCCAAGTACTGAGGTCCACCAACCAAGCCTCCCTTCAGTGCGCCAACGAATCCACCAACCCTTGTAACATTACTGGACGGGAATAAATACACAGTCTGTGTGTAATCAATCTCGAACTTCCAATGTTTGTTGGCCTCTGGATCCACCATTTCTAGCACATATCCCGTGTGCTTTGACGGAGGCAAAGGCTCCCCGCTTGGGTCCGATGTCAAATGGACGGCTCCGCCGTATGCTAGGTCGAACGAGCCGAATGTGCTGGTTGTCGATGCCTCTCGTTCCTGGGTACGGAATACCACTTCCTTTCCTTCCATAATCATGCTGGTGAAGTACGTCTGCCCGTCGACTTTTGATGTATAAACCCAGGCCATAAGAGTATATGGGCCAGCAGTCGCCCTAAGCATGTTCCAAGTCAAGCTCAACGAGGCCCAATTGAAAGAATTCCAGTTGCGCTCTCTACCCCCGATACCTTTGGTGGTGTATGGAGTCCCATTGACGACAAGATTGACCTCGGTGGTCGCAACGGGCACAGTCTCAGCCCAGTAGATATAGGGTGCGAACAGGGCGTTTCCACGGCTATCAGGGTAGACAAGGCCATTCGGATATACAGCAGGACTCAGTGAATCCAATGTAATTGTCCCTTTGATGGTAGCTGAGTCGATCGTAACAACCGTATGCGAGTAGTCGTTGGATGACTCGAAACTCCAGTTCATCCCCGAGGTCTCATTAGACCATGTCCCAATCGTCGAGTCTTTACACATTTGAATTGTAGAGACGTCTGCGAAATCAGACTCCATATATCTCGTCCCGTTGGGCCAGACAATAGTGATGATAGAGCGTTGGGCCAAGGGCTTTCCGGCGATTGTGCCGCGGCTGAGCATCCAACCCATCCCGGCTTTCCCATCTTCGGACACAGCTTCGAATGACCACTCCTCTCCAACCGTAGAGTTAAATCCATTCGTCATCGGAGAATCAAACGGTAGTAGTGGATTTTCATTCATACGAATGGTGCCGTTGGTGGAGACCCCGGCATGAACGGTGTCGGTAGTGCAACCTAGCTTGGCAAGACTCGTAGCAGTCACTGCCGATGCCAGAAAAGTGGCGAGTAGAAACATACCAGCCATGATTGGCAAAGAGTTGAGTAAAGATGAAGTCGGATTATCTGTTTGTGGAAAGATTGCCGGTGTCCGAGGAATTGGATAACTCAAACAATGTAGAGGCATAGAGCTTTTAAATAGTCAAGAAGCCAACATAGAGGCGAGGCATTGCCTTCGCCGTTGCATATTGGCAGACAGAGTTAATGTGTCCTCGTAAGCGTAAGTTACTTATTTTGGATGTAATTGTGATCCTTTTTAGTAGCAATGCTTCTTTGGGAAGCATACGAGATATTCATTGTGCTAGGCTCCCCAGTTATCATATCAAGGTGTACTGATGCCCTCTCTGGCTGCCTCGAAGTCAGCTAGCTTCTTTGGGGAGCATACGAGATGTTCATTTTGCTAGGCCCCCCGGTTATTATATCAAGGTGTACTGATGCCCTCTGTGGCTGCCTCGAAGTCAGCTAGCTTCTTCTAATAAAACTGTCGGGATTTCCACTGGGGAGTGCCAGCTATATTTCTCAGTCGGCGAAGTGAATGTACGCAATTCCGCAACCCAGTCGCCTTTTTGGCGCCACGTTCGCATCGATCCCGTCTGATCGGCCAGCCACCATAGTAAAGGATTTCGAGACTAGCTTCGACTTGTAACCCTAAGACATCCATAATTAGGCAACAACCATTGGCGATCTAACTCGTTTGAGCAGGGAGTCGCTAAAGGATGCCGCCCTGAGTACTGTCCGCTTCTATGGTTATGTACACAGCGTCGGTCTGGAATGCAACTGTGCGATTGTTAATTGGGGGAGAACTACGATTGCAAGGTATCCCTGGAAAGATGCATTAAATCGACCCTTAGAAGGGAACCTTTGTATGCTGGGAACACCCAGGTTATTTACAGGGGCTAAGTATTTGAGTGGATTTTTTGTGCCGCCAAGAGTGCCTTTTGACTAATTAAATGCCACCATTTGGCCCTAGAACAAACCTCGTAACTTTCCTTAAATGGAATAAGCTCTCCAATGGCGCTAAGACTGATGAAGAATTGATCGCCTACTGCGCCACCATACACGTAGTCCAAGGTATCCTGGAACAAAACTCGTAACTTTCCTTATTGGAACAAGCTCTTCAATAGCGCTAAGGCTGATGAAGAATTGATCGCCTACTACGCCACCATACACGTAGTCCACTAATCTGGCCTTAGCCGGGCCTCCCGCTCGTAGTGTGATCTATATCAATCGTGATTTACTACATCTGACTACAATCCCCACTACAACCTCGATTATTAGGAGATAGGGCAACGTCATTTATTATCGCTCATTCTATACCGCTAACCAAATTTGCAAAGACTCCAAGCATGCCAGTACCAAAATTGTCCAATAAGATAAGTGGTAATCCTGTCGCCAAAACCAGAGCATCAAAAGGAAGATCTCGGTCAGGTTGCCTGAGATGCAAGGAGCGAAGAGTCAAGGTAAGTCAGTCAACATCGAGTTCGGGTGAAGGATGCTTGCACCTATACACCAAATCGGCCACTTGTGTTCGTCAACTTGGTTTGATTCAAATCAGGCCGTTAGAATTAGAGTAAAAGCTGATTATATTTAGTGTGACGAGTTGCGTCCTTGCTCCCGGTGTAAGATCGGTCCACATGTCTGCGTCTATTCCATCGTTAGCGCGCCAAGCTGGAATAGTCAAGTCACCACATTCCGCTCGTCGATTGCCGCGGTCCCAAAAGCCGCCTGTCAAGATAATGCTGCTCGCTCCTCCGCCCAACCCAAAAAAACATCTTCCATCCTGTCTCACAGTTCACTATCGCATGGATATCAGATTTCACAGGTGATTGCAGATGATGCTCCAGTTTTCGACACTCACGATGTCTTCCTCTTGGCACATTTCAAGTCCACTACCAGTATCAGTCTTATTGGCAGTCAATCCATTTGGGTTGAGGACGTGTTGCAACTCGCCTTGCAAGTAGGTAAAACCCCGAAAATGGGGTGGGGAAGTCGTATAAACACTAACTACATACCTTAGTATGATTTCGTTATGCATGCGATACTCGGACTCTCCGCCCGACATCTCCAGGAGACCCACCGCTATGCTCAAAGTCCCTCGTTTGATAACTATGGACTTCTCGAAGCGCACCACCTGAAAAATGCTCTTTCTAGCTTCAACAAGCAATTTCAGAGTAGCATTTCGGCAAATCAAGACGCAGCACTCGCAGCGTCATTCTTGCTCTGTTTCCACGCTTGCTCTACGGTTCACATGGATCCACTCACGACTCCTTTCCAGGATAGCTCGCTCGCTTTCCTTCGTGGTATCCGGTCAATCGTTGCCAGCCGCCATCGCGCTGCCCACAGTGGTGTCTTCAAGTCTTTAGTGGCACCGCCTCGATTGACACGACGATCCATTCCCCGAATCGTACCATCTACAGGGCCTTTTGCACATTTTATAAATCTCCTCAATGGTTTACCTCCCATTCCCCACTTTCTCGAAAACAGAGAGGTATACGAAGAATGTGTCGAGTCTCTCGCCCCATTCCTGTCTCTAGCCGAGGAGCAGGATGATACCAGAACAGAAGCACTAGAGTTGTTGTTATGCTTCCTGGAATGGCAGGCGTTCTGTCCTGCTAAATTCGTCGCGCTGGTCAACACTCATGATCCAATCGCTTTGATCCTTTTGGCATATTTTTATGCTACGGCTGGCTCTGTTCTATCTGAAGCAAAGAGCAGGTGGTGGTGGTGGCAGAGCAAGCCGAGCTACATGGTGCAAGCAATTGATGAATACCTCGGCAGTGCCTGGACTGTTTGGATGGATTGGCCAAGGGCGGCCGTTCAGAAGTTGTGATGCAAAGCGTGAGCATCATCAGGCTACAACTGTCACGGCCAAGCCAAACTGAAATCAGCAGAGTGGGACATTATGGCAAGAAAGGGTCTTGGAAAGGTGTCTAGGAGAGAGATTTGATAGTAGAATTCCAGTCAGTATTGCTGATCGCAAGATTGCTTAAGCTGCACCGACGCTCTAACCGTAAATGTCACATTGGCCTACATACAGTGCAACTACTTATACATCTTCGCAAGGGAAAGAACAAGCGAGTCCTCACTACATTAATTGTTGCGCACACAGGCTAGTTTGGGTCGTATCAGGCTGCAAGTTGCCCTCAATTTCATACAAGTCCAAAGTTTGTGTTACGGCCCAGCTCACGATCCCAGAGCGGTCCCTATGGGATCACTCTGGGATCACAGTAAGCCTTATACAGTCCACAAACAGGATCACCTCTCCAACACAGTGATCCACCTAATATATATATATATATTCATCTACTAGATAAAATAGTAGCTCTTTAGCTACTAATACTATATAAGCATCATCTTCGCCTATACTGTTCTTAGACTTAGACACTGCGCTTAGTGACTAACGTCCGACCCCACTTTCTCGCGCACTCACCTCTTCGCGCATCACAATTACGATGCGTTTGAATCAACCTTCTACGATAAAACAACCGGAACTTAATAAATTATTGTCCAAATCGTGATTTTTTCCTACCATGACGCGCTACGGAAGCATCCGCGATTAAACACTTGAACAAGCAGTTAGGCAAGCCAATAAACGCGGTAATATTCGCGAAAGTGCGCGAGATTGGGGTGTTCACGAGTCAACGGTACGATCAAGTCAAAAGCGCGCTGCCGAAGGCCACATTGGCCGCAAGAGCACTCGACGACTATCTAATATATAAGAGGATAAGGTGTGCAATTAGATCGTACAAGAACAAAGATGTAGAAGGGCGCCTAGTCGGCGGCAAGTCCACGACTTTACATAAGATATCCTCGGTGAAGGTTCCATCGATAACCACCTAACTTATGGAGAGGACGAGTTGCAGATCAGGACCTAAGCTCACCGCCAACTATAGTCGGCGATGAATGTTATTCCGGCGTCCGTGGTTAATCAGTAATACGGCTGGGGAGAGCGCTTAGGCCACAGCGCCAACCCAAAACCCAGCGAACAGTTACCCCGTCTATCAGTAACCATCCAAGTAGGCCTAGGCCCAGTCCGTCTTAGATTTCCCCCCTGGAGGAAGATGATCGGGTTTACAACGTCTCATTCCGAAAGAACTTCGATATTTGTATGCCCGAATCGTCAGGCGGGTTGCATGAGGTGCTTGATCAAATAAAAACGCCGTCGTCCCACTTCCCACGGAAAGTCCATCACCCCTTTAGAATCATTCATCAACACTCGCTGAACCTGTCTCCTCCTCCAGTACTCTTGTCTCGGATCTACCCCCCGTCCATCTACCAACTACAAAAACAAAATGTCGGCATCCCTCGTCACCGGAGGCACGGGCTTCGTCGGCCTCTACGTGGTCAAGCTGCTCCTCGAACGAGGCCACCAAGTCCACGCCACCGTCCGCTCCCTAAAAAACAAGTCCAAGTGCAAGCCGCTGCTAGACCTCCAGACTCAGTTCCCCGATCAGCTCCGCTTGTTTGAGGCCGACCTGATGAAAGCCGGCTCCTTCACCGAGGCCATAAAGGGCTGCCAGGTTGTTTACCATGTCGCCTCACCGTTCCTCCTGCCCGACCAGATCAAGGACGGGTTCAAGGACTGCGTCGAGCCTGCACTCCGGGGCACCAAGAACGTGTTGGGTTCCGTCAACGAAACGGAGACGGTCCAGCGAGTAGTCCTCACCTCATCCGGTACGTGTGGTGCTTCCTCGTCTTGTCGTCCTGCCAATGATCTAACAAGCTCCCGCCCCAAGTCTCCGCCATGTACGGCGACAACGCCGATGTGCTCAAGGCCCCGAAGAAAACCCTCATCGAGTCGTGCTGGAACGAGAGCAGCAGCGTCACCCACTACCCCTACGCCTACTCCAAGCTGGTGGCCGAGCGGGAGGCCTGGAAGATGCACGACCTCCAGGGCCGCTGGTCCCTCGTGGTCATCAACCCCGGCCTGATCGTGGGTCCGTCCCTGACGCCCGACTCTGTTTCTGGCAGCTTGCACATGCTGGACGCAATGTACCGCGGCGAGAACCGCATGGGCGTCGCCGACCTGTCCTACCCCGTTGTCGACGTGCGGGAAGTCGCCGAGGCCCACGTCAAGGCTGGCGAGGACGCGGCTCTCAAGGGCCGGTTCATCGTCTCGGGTGACCGCGCCATCTCGTTGCTGGAGATGGCCAGCCTCGTACGCCCCGTACACAAGAACCCCAAGGCGCTGCCGCGCTGGAACCTCCCCGCGCTGATGGTCTACGCTGCCGGGCCCTTCATCGGCATCACGAAGAAGTGGTCGGCTGCGAACCTCAGCACCCCCTTCAAGGTCGACAACCAGAAAAGCCTTCGGGAGCTGGCCTTAAAGTACCGCCCCGCCGAGGAGAGCTTCCAGGCGCACTACAAATCCTGGGAGCAGGCGAATGCATGATATCGTCTTGTTGTTTCTGCTGCGTTAATGTCTGCATTCCATCCATGTTTGGGTCTCAGTCCCTGTCGAGTCTGCCGCTGCTGTTTGGCGCCCCCTGTCTACCAACCACTCAGTGTTCGCGCGCAGATATCCACGTCGTCTTTCGGTTGGCCCTGTACTTCTGCCTCACCCACTTATTATTCATCTATAGAACTGTAGCATGATTTATTACTATCATCAATTGTTAGGAACCACGCCTGGCAAGCATCCTACTTGTCTGCCCGTGAATCTTGACAATGTGCTTCCCCTCAATTGCTACAGTTTCTTCGCCCATGACAGTTCCGGAACAGAACCACGACCCGATGTCGCCCTTGCATTACCCGCATCATAGTCGTCATGCACTAGTATTGCGGCTAAAACTAATTTGGACCATCTGCCGAGCGACTTATTGGGGGCGACAAAGGAACCGGCGGTCGAGTTGTCCCGAGACTGAGTAACTAGTGCGCCCTCTGGGGGTTGATCTCCCAAATGCCCGTGGCCAAAGATGCCGAATGCAATTTCACTCACAGCCCACGCATCTTAAATCCAAACTTCACGAGTCATGACCACATGCACAAGTCCGAACGAAAACGTCGTGATGGCTCGATACCAATTTACTAATTCACCCGAAGGGTTGTACCACTCCTCGCCAACTACGTACCGTGCCAATCAGTTGCCCCGCGCGAGCAGTAATAAACGGCCTTTCGTCCAGCTCGCTGCTGCTGGTAGTTCTGATCAGAAGAACCGAGGATTCACATCTTGACAGTTTGCAAGAGCATTTACAGCAGACACAACAAACCCGATTGTCCTATTACCTTTACCCCCTCCCCCCCTCGTACCGAAATTCCCTACAGCTTTGAGACGATACCCCAGCAGTCGCTTGTCGTAAGTACTCCATGCATGGCTGGCTCCGTGGGCTTGGGCCTTGCCATCACCTGGATACTGATAGCTCTTGGGCGGTTCTGGAGCGGGCTATTAGCACATTTATTTGCCCGATGACTAAAGCCCCCTTTGCCTTTGACATCCATTACGGCTCGGAACGCCAGTGCCGACCGGAGACGCCGATCACTAAGCGATGGACTGGGTGCCTGGCTGCCACCCGGTTGATCCGGGCAATTCCTTTCCGACTTGTGCCCGAATCGCTCGAAGCGAAGCCTTTCCCAATTCCAAAGAAGGACTCTTGGTAGCTGTTCATCCGCATTTTTGCCGTTTGTTGGAGCGCAAGCGTCGCTGGTTCTAACAATCAGGACAAGACCGAGGGGTTTCATAAAAGACCCCCTTAGTCGGCCTGTTGTGAGAGCTCCAGTCTTGCTTGGTAAAAAGCGCAAATTGATCTCCAACAGTAGCAACCTCGATTTACCAACATCAGGCTCCCAGCGCCACATTCAAGCTGCCATTTTGCAAGAATCTTTCTTTTTAACGTAAAACTTTTACTTAGCAAGAGCTGTGCGCATTGGTAAGGGCAAAGGCTTTTCGCAGCTACAATACTTTCCGTGCTAGCAAATGTTCTAACGATATCATATTAATATTTATATACCGCTTTTTTTGGAACATGAATTTGGAAATGGTAAAACTACTCCTCATCGTGAGGCCAATGGTCTAGCGTATACCCATTATTCTTTGCATATATCTCAAGCTGCTCCTCGGTCGTATCGCTCCAAATTTCCACATTACCTAGTCATAAGAACAACCCCAAACCTCTCACTACTCCTGATAAACGTTCTCAACCGCGTGCAACATGGATTGTATAAGTTACCATGATCTCCTAGGTGTGTATTGTTAACGATCAACGTTGGTAATGGATTGAGCTTCTTACGTCCAGTTAGTGATTTCAAGTTCAGACCGTTGCGGGTCATAAAGTCATTCTCGCGAAAGGTCGTCGCGGATGCAATCTCTGGATTCAGGTGAATGGAGCTCATCGCCCATCGCGAAGAACGCGGGGAAACACCCCGTTTATTCCCACACTGTTACATGGCTCCCTACACTTAGCTGTTACTACCTCTCATTACACATAGCTGCGTCCTCTCGAGCCTTCGAATGCATGGCTACTTGGCCCCTCTGGTGGGGTGGCACCACTAGCTGCCCCGCCACATAACCCTCGTTGAAGGTTCCCAAAGAGATCAGGGGGCTCGGGTGACATCCTACGAAAGTAACACGAGGCCTGGAAGTTTGATTGAAGAATCGACACCTGGGGTGGGAGACCGAGGAGATTGGAGGACTCGGATGAGAGCCGACGAAAGTGGCAAACTGACAATGTCCGGGGGTCTTGCTGAAGAATCCGTTCCGTATCTTGCCGAGACTGAGGAGATTCGTGGGCTGTATGCACACCACGGGACGAATCTTGCAGCAGGCTTAGATGAACAAGCTCTCCAGAAATTACTAAATCTGGAAAGATGCGGAGAGTTCGTGGGTTGTCCGTACACCCTGGAGCGAATCTTCTGGGAGGTTTTGACAGACAACTAAGCTACTTAATCTCTCTAGAAATTACTAGATGCGGAAAAGATGTGGAGAGTTCGCGGCAGGGTGCCATCACACGGGCAGGCCTTAGTGCAGAGAGTGGGGATACTCACATTAGCCTAAGAGTCAAGTAACGGATGATACAGAAGACTTCTCGCTGCGTCATCGTCCCAGACGTTGACGGGGAGCTATAACACCATCATCATCTCGAAGAAAACACACTTCTCACATTCGCCGATGTCATCATCTTCGATATTAGAAACCCCCAACTCAACAATACCAGTGATGGCTCAGAGCAATCAATCAGAGCGTCTTGTCCGGATCGCTGTTCTAGACTGCGATTACACAGCACCCAAGGTCGCCGAGACTTGGGGTCCAACGTACGGCAATATCTTCGCCCATCGCCTCAAGGCAGCTGCCGAGTCAGTGTGCTCGACAAAGCTGCTAGACTTTTCCTTTTACGACATTCTCAAAAACGAAATTCCCAACGCCGACGCCGAGTTCGATGCAATTATCATAACAGGCTCCGTTAAGGCAGTATACGACCCGGATGCCTGGATACCCAATTTCAAATCCTTCATCCAGGAGACGTATCACCACCGTCCCCAGGTTCGGATGTTTGGCGCTTGTTTTGGTCATCAGATTATTTCAGAAGCACTACTCGAGCAATTCGGTGTAATAGTCGAAAAAGATCCGAATGGATACGAAGTCGGCGTTCAGGCCATCAGCCTGAACCCTGCGTTCACGGCGCATTTCCGTCATGTTTTGGATTTAGACGTCGAGAATAAGTTGCGAATGCAATTTGCTCACGGTGACCACGTCCGGCTGGATTCTCCATGGCCCGAGTCTTGGATGTCAATCGGCAGCACTTCTCACTGTCGAATCCAGGGTGTCTTCCAGCCAGGACGGGTTCTAACTTTCCAAGGGCACTTCGAGTTTGATCAAGATATTTCGACGAACTCGATGAAGTATTTCTACACCGCAGAGAGAGGGTTTACTACAGAAGATCTGAATTCCGCTTTTCGTCAAGTCCAACAGCCTGACGACGCGGACGAGGCGGCTAAGCTGTTATTTGCATTTCTGGCAGAAGTGTGATAGGAATTATTCCAATGCTAGCTTTAGTTGGACAAACAAAGATAAAGTTGAAGATACAAAAGTGAGAGTCAAACACCGAGAGACTTGTAGCCATTTTCGCCAATCTAAACGCCTTTCCAGTGCTCTCCCTCGTCCTCAAACCAAGTCCGTAAGATGAGGCTCGTGGGAGGCATCTACAAGAGCAAATGGCCGCCCCGGTCTTAATTGCGTGATTTACTCATGCAAGTCTGGTTCATGCTATGAGGAGGGAGAAGACGGCTCTGTCTTGGGTATTCTGAAGAAATCCTGGGCCTAATTGGAGGGCGTATTCTCACCTTGATCCCAAATCACCACGAGATCGTAGTAAAATGCAACTGCGCGGAACCCGCCGTCGGGCTGGCACAGGATGTGTCTCCATTTATTTCTTTCGACTTCAACAGAGTCCTAGAGCAAAGGGAGGTTGTCTAGATTCTTATCGCTTTACTCCAAAGTGGTAAATCTCACGCTTGCTTACTATCATCTGAGGCTCTACCCTTGGTCGCAAAAATAAAAATCCGGTCATAGCGATGACATAACGTCATAATCGTCATGCGTAGGGCGCAAAAGGGACTGAGAGGGGAAACCTGTCCAACGCAAGAACTCGCACGTTCCACGAGGAAGACTTAGTTTCAATCAGCATCACCAAACCTTTTACCATGTCGGACTTCCAAAATGTGGCCACCATTTACGGCAGATGGTTGGAGGCCGTCAGTCATCGGGACTGGGCCACCGCCTCAAACCATATCGCCTCGGAACTGATTCGCAACGATGAGACAATCTCAAGTATCACATTTCTTCAAGACTTGCAGAAGAGAGCAGAAGCCATTCCAGATATCAAGACAGAGATCTTTATGGTTGTCGCCGACAAAACCTCTGGAAAGATTGCTTCGATAATCACTCATAGAGGCACCCTAGTCAAGCCCTACAAAGGCTTTGAGGTGACTCGCGAGCAAATTGAGTGGTCGGAGTATGTCTTTTGCGAGTTCAACAACGAGAAGATGGACTCATATACGAGTTTGTCAGATTGTGATACGGTTGGAAATACCAGCACTCACATGTCGAACCCACCCACCTCAAATCGAATAATCAACGGGAAGAGCGATCTTGGCCTTGAGATTCTTTATCAACAATACATTCACGCCATCAACACTCTCACGATGGCGGAACACTTCCCCAGTTACTGCCAGGCGCAGGTAGTTCACAACGGCAGACGTCTGTCCATGGACGAGTACCGCGGCTTCATCGAATCCAGCTTCGACGAAATTCAAGGGCTGCGGTTCACGATTGCCAAGTTGGTGGCAGACGAGGAGGCGCAGCGGATAGCAGCAAGGCTGGAGTTCTCAGGGCGGCCCGTTACCGAATTCCGGGGTATTCAGCCCACTGGGAACGAGGTCGAATTTTCCGAGCACGTATTGTATGAGCTTGATGACGGAAAGATTGCGAGAGTTTGGTCCGTGCTTGATTTGGAGGCTTATCGAGCAAGCTTGGAGGATTGAGGTGCAGGTAGAAGCTAGACTTGCTTGCATTATTTGATGGTATTAAAATGTCGATGACGGACTGCTATAAACTAGACAAAAATACTAGAGATTCTGAGGTGGAATCAAACCACTCCAGGTTTATGACACAACTTGCAAATTGAGCTTATGGACGATTTGGTGATATCGATTATTATTAGAATTTGCTCTAGGGTCACTATTATCCCCCTGGTCCAACCATCACATACAGTGTAGGCCATCGTTACACTACGCATTGGAGGAGGGTTCATCCCACTTTTGGCGTAGCCGTCGATGCGATGCCAACTCTTCAGAACGAACTATCACGGGATCGACATTACAATCTGGTACAAGGAATTACCCTCTCTAGCTCCCCCACGCTGCCATCGCTGCAATCGGCGGTTCATCACCTGAATATGTATCACCTTACAATTAATTAGGGGCCAACGTGCGACACCATGGACATGCCACCTTCACTATCGCCTGCTGCCGGAGTGGAGGACTTCCACGAAGGGTTGCTAGGAGTGGCTGGCAGAGAAGTCAGTTTCCCTGGCCAAACTGCCGCTTTCACCGCGCGGACTGAGCTGATACTCGTGCATGCGCAGTGCTGTTTGAGGCCTGTTTGTCGAGGTCAAGTTCGTAGCTCAACGTCGGCAGACATAGACCAATCGTCAGGCCATATTACTCCCAACTGAACATTGGAGGGCAACTTCTCGTGAAAGGCTGCAAATACCAAAGCTGGAGCATCGTCTGTGTCGGACAAACTGATAGGGAAAATTCAGCTTTCCATAAGACCGGATCCGTACCGTGGATGCCTTCGAACCTAGATGTACTCAACAACCTAGATTAGCCTCAACAACCTAGATCTTCGGATATCAAGGGCATCATCTGATCAAAAGCATCAGGGTCAGTCAGATCCCTAGGCATAAATAGCTAGCTTTCTTCCTTCCTAGACCAAAAAGACAAGATCATCCATCGTCCCTAAAGCTGTCTCAACCAATCCACTTGTCTGATAGTCTGGAGCATCCTCAACGGGGATACCTAGGGTAATGGGCAGGAAGCTGTCTTCGTGCCATGTCGAGTACAGCCCCTCATCCGGCTATCAAAGCGTGGCTGCGCCAGGGAACCTTGAGCAAGTCATCAGTGGGGCGAACACAATCTGACGGGACTAAAGTTGGCCTACTCACAATTATGCTCCAAGTTAGAGAGTAACTTCTCTTCATTTGAGCTTAAGACCATCCCGGAATTTTGTTTTGCATATGCATCAAGGTGTGGGTGGTGACGGATATCTCGTGCTAACATCCTAGTCACGTCGCCGCCGTTTGTGTTGATGTTGGCTCAGTGGGTTGTATGCTAGCTCGTCAACCTCTGTGCAAATTAACAACCATCTCCGTCATAAAAGAAGTCGACAAGTTGGCTCACCTTGGACGAAATATCCACATGGCGAAGACTTGCAGAGTGGCTCCTCGATTGCTAGATCTCGAATCATGTCTCGCACATTCAACGCGATTTCCGTGACAGGCTCACTTTCAGTGCCCGCCTTGTGCATTCGGCTAACCACAAGGTCGAAAAAATCCCGGTCAATCTCCTCCCGTGAACTGAGCGGCAACGACACGGCCATGCCACAATTGGCGCCGCGCCCAAGATACGAAGCAGCCGGCTCTCATCTGCCTTCCTTGCTTTTCTCACCCTGACCGACGGAGATTCAACGGCCTTGGCGAGCGTCCGTGGAAGATGGCTACTGAGTTTCTCTTCAGAATCGAGCCCTTGAACTCAACCTGTGCCGCAGCCTGAATGGGTGCGCGGGCTCGCGACATGAGCTCGTTAGACCTTTGAGCCATCTCTGGCGTCCACAAAATGCGACGAGGCAGTTTCTCGCAAACAAGCCACGCCTGTTGGAGTATACTGGCTGCTGCATTGTGGAGTCGAGCAATCTCATGAGCGGACGGATAAAGCTTGGGCCATTCTAGCCTCGATGGGATGGCTTCTTCGAGGCATGTCGGCCAACATGGTCATGACTGTAGCTGTCATGGCAAGACACGAGAGAACGGGACAGGGGAATTGGTAGAAAGCCGGGGATGGTTGTGGCGAGTTCCGGACCGACTAAAGGGACTCGGAATGAGAGGGAAAAATGGTGCTCTGCAGAAGGCTTGTTGCAAGTTCGACGATGTGCATGTGTCTAATGTTGATCATCGAATAAGGCTGCAGGCCGGTAGATGTATCTCTTCGTAATCCCACTTTGCTCGTCAATAAGCGCGCGGAACTCCCTGGATGAGGCAATGCAGGGAATGGCGTTGGGTGTCATGGCGATGATAGCTGGGGCTTGTTGGTCGGCATGCGGCTAACCGCCTCATTGGGACCGACGACAAGCGCGGGTCGGCTGTCGAGATGTTTGAGGCATGAGTGTCTCTCCACAGTCGTGAGCTAATTCGGGATGCCTCGTGGCAGTTTAATCTTCACGGGCCGACGGCGGATAGTTTTAAAGTCGCGGGTTGATGTCCCATCATAGTGAAGTGCAAAGCGGAGTGTCACGGGTGAGAATAGTTACTTGGCGTCAAGGCGTGGTTTTATTTGCAGTATTACGGGGTATCGAGGTTGCCATGCGCATCAACATCATTCTTTTAGTATCCAGGATGCCTTCCACGGCCCGTACAGCGTTGGATCCCATCCAAAACCGTCAGCATCAACCATGTCTGCGAGGTCTATCAACACTCCGCTCTTCCAGTTACTGGACGCTGGCGATACTGTGTGACAGAAGCCGGTGAGCCAAAAGAACCGGTCGACTTCTTCAACGACGGATGGGTCGTTCTCGCCTTCCTCGATGTACTCGTAAATGACGGCAATGTATTCCTCCCCGGAATCGACCGATCTCTTAATCTTTGAGACGGTGTAAGGTTGAACGCGTAGGTCCATGGGCAAGTCGTGGAACATCTCACCGGGGAGCTTCATCCAGCCGTAGCACTCCTTGAGGCGGGGAATGGATGTGATGGGCACGCTATTGGGGCTCTCTGGGTCGATAGTCGAGAGGGAGGCCGGCTTGGAGCCGCCTTGGCTGGACTGAGCCAAGTTCTCGTCGGAGAAGGCGAATTGGTTGTCCAGAGCGTCATTCTGGGTTTGAGGATTGGCATGGACGTGGATGGTTCTCGAATCGGCGGCCGCTTGTGCCATGGACGCCTCAATCATCTGCAAGATGGCGGCGTTATGGCACTCGCGCTGGGCGGCAAAGTAGTGAAAAAAGTCGGGCGGGTTATCCCAAAACTGCGAGGCGGATGTTAGCTCGACGTGCGGTTTGCAGACGGGTCGAAGTACTCACCAGCTTCAGGGCAAACGGACCCGCGTCTCCAAACCAGACCTTCCAGACATAACCGTCCAGTCCTCCACCGAGCTCGGCCTCCCAGGCCAGAGTGCTCGGATCCATGGTGCAACGTCGAAGTCGCGGCTGCTGGAAGTGCTTGGCAGACCAAGGCGCAGGACCGATCATGGGGCTCTCGTCGAGGAATGGCACACCCATGGCGGCGACCCATTTGGGAGGTAGTCGGGGGTCTTCGAGTTGTATGGCGCGGAGTTTCTCCTCCATGGGATTTGCTGTGAGGTCGAGCTCTGCACCCATTTTCGATGCGGCATCGTGTGCCTCCTCGGTTCGTGATGTGAGATCCAGCATGGTTGGTTTGGATGGCAAAGATGGAGTTTGAATGAAGGCGAAAGAGACGGGAGTGAGTGGTGTTTGAATAAGTGTGAAGTAAAGGCGTTGTGATCTAGTCACGTGCACGGGTGGCGGGGTTGTTCCCGGGTTCTTTGTGGCGGAGGACATGTTTGTTATTGTACAAAAAGTTTGATGAAGATCAAGCAGGCGACTCAGATCAGGCAGCGGCCAAGACTGCTTGGGTCAGGACGTGATGCGCGATTGGGTGTCATGGGCATCATTGTTCGCGAGAACGTCGTAACGCAGCCGCGACTGTCTTATTAGGCGATGTGATTGGAACGGGGCCAAGCATCCTATTCACAGTCCATCACCAACAACGGTTCAAACGGGTGCCAATCAACGTCTCACATGCATCTTGTTTGATTGCGAGTGTTAACAAACGCTGATGACACTGTTTTTATGTTTTTATGTTTTACGTTTTGATGTTCTTATGTTTTTATGCTTCTATGTTTTCATCCCAACTTGGACCATGTTGGCTCTAGTACAACAGCGGGCTTGCCTACAAACACGGCATCAAATCGCACGAACCGCGTTTGTTGGTTAATGATTGTTTCCTTCCACTGTCTACTGTGCAAGTTTGTTGTCCACTGTACACGTTTGTTGTCCACTGTGCACGTTTGTTGTCCACCTGTTCCGCTCGCTCTTCCTACCAACACGATTGTTGGTTACGCCCCTTCAGCATCATTGTTTGTTTGTTTGTTACGCTGCCGCCGTCAAACTTCGAATGCACCCTTGCAATATCTTGATCTCTCAAACTTGCATCTCAACATGCCCCATCGGCCACCGACCTCAAACACGCGGCCCATCAAACAAGGCAAGAATATAAATTGGTAGGATGAACCCACACTCTGAAAGCACCATCATTCTGACCACCTATGAACCAGTTGACCGCTGCACTCAACCTCTCTTTTCTTCCGTCAAGACGGTACTATCTTCCTTTTTTGTCGCCTTAACTCTTGTCCACCATGCCCCGAATTCTCGAGATCCTGACGCAGTCGAATGTCGACATTGACGGCTCTCAACTCCTTGGGGGAGGGAACACCGCAGTCACTGGACTTGCGGCACCCTCCAGCTGGCGACCTTGGAACGGGTTTGACTACGCCACGCTGACTGCGATCTTCCAAGAGGAGCTCGAAAAGGAGTACCGTTTCGAAGCAAAGCCAGCCCCGCTCGTGCAAGATTTGCGCATCTTCAACGAGGATACCCTCGATGACATCCTGCGTCGATTTGAGGTCGCAGTCGTGAACTACTGTCTCGTAGAACAGACTGGCAGCCCTCATTTCGGCCGAGGAACTCGATGCGAATCAAACAAATACAAGCCGGATTGGTCGACAGTTTCGCATTCCTACATGGTATCGTCCAACCGCTTCGACAACCTCCTCCCAGGAGACACCAAGGTCAGCAGCAAGTGGCGACCCGAGATGAAAAACGAAGGCAACGGGGTCGAGTGGCGGAAGGTTATGTCACAGATCATGACTTACATGGCCTACTACCGCTCACGATACGGCTTCATCATCACTGACAAATGCCTCGTCGCCCTGAGAATCACGCGAAAGCCTACCGGCTCGGGGATAGCTAGGACGCGCACGCAGCGGTCCACTGCCGTTCCCGTCCGCTATCCGAACGAGCCTTCGACCAGTAAGGGTGACCCGACCTACAAGGACGACAACCCTCTGGGGTGGGAGTACGAACTCCCAGAATACGCCATCGTCCCCTGGAGCGCCAAGGGGCCCGGCCGGCTTACCGTCAAGCTGGCCCTCTGGTTCTTGGGCATGATGGCCACGAACGGCGACAGGTACTTGGATTACTCGTACCCGGACCTGAACAGCTGGCGTTCCGAAAGGGGGGGCTACACCCACAACACATCGGGTGTTAAAAAGCCCCAGCTATCCAACGGCGACAAGCGCCAGGACCGCCGTGACCAAAGACAAGCCTAGACGCACAGCAACAGCGACAGCAGCGCCCCCAACCACCCTCACTGCACAGCCGACACGGGAACCTTCCGGGGGCAATAACTGGGGCACTGGAGGATATGACTTGAGGCCCCGGGGAGGCGAGACCGGCCCGGCCGGCGGTAGACCGGCCGATCGGAGAGGAGGTGACCCGAGCGGTAGCAGGCAGGCCGATCGAAGGGGAGAAGACCCGGCTAGCGGCCGGCGTCACTAGAAGGGAAGAGCTGAAGGGCGTGGAAACAGTGAAGAGCCGTAGGGCGTGGAAGCAGTGGGGAGCGGGTCGCTGCCGCCACTGGACTGGCAGACTACAAAAGCAGACGAGGGAGCCGAAAGCTTAGCTGAAGGTTTACTGCAGGTGAAGGTTTTAGGGGGGAGGGTTGTTATGTATTAGGCTTAGTCCTCAATTGACTTCATTGAGCAACACAATAAACCTGTCCTAAATCTGTCTTCTTAAATGCCACATCCTCCTAATCCCAGTACGATACTGTCATTCTCTTGAAAGCTCAATATACGTTCCTTACGTTCAACTTTAGCTGATTCGACATGGGCCGTCATATTGACCCCCAGATGTTTGTGATAGAGGTGATTATCAGTACGAGGTTTTTGCAATAGCCGACCGCACTGCCAATAAACGTTGGTCATAAAGGTAGATAGAGCATTGACCAAAGATTGCCCTCCCAATTCAATGCATCCCTCAGGGACGATTTCGGGCAAGAGTCCCTCTTTAGAAGAAATAGCTGCTTCGCCTGCCCCAGTCTTACTGCTTAACTGGACTCAAAGAAATATCATGTCTTACAGGGAGTACCTGCACCCCCGCGTAGCTGTCAGCCGGATCGTAATAGCCGCTGCAGCTAATAAGGCCCTAATCCGCAGAGACCCCAGACCCCAGACCTTAGACCCCAGACCTTAGACCTTAGACCTTAGACTTTATTATTATATCATAACTCAAACGCAAGCCCATTTATCTAACCGTTCTGGTAACCAGCCACTGGTGTGCTTCAACGATGTTTTCCTCTGCGACATTGCCGATGCAAAGCCCTGGCCCATAATCATCTTGTCGTCCATCTTGCACAAGTCCTCCACGAATGTCCACTGAACGCAGTTGGACCAGCCCGTGCAGGCTGCCTGGCAAGCCTCAACCGACTCCCAACCCTTGTTCCAGAGATCCGCATTGTACTCATCTTCTGGGTGCGGCGGTGCGTCTTTGTTGGCAGAGGTGACTTCGTAGAGATTGGCCATGTTGTCCCACCACTCGAGCGGCTTCTGGATGCTGGGAAGAATCATTTTGGAGAAGAAGTCGCGATGGAGAAGCGGTTTCTGAAGCGCACTGTTAGTTTTACCATTAAAGGACTTTGACACAGAAAAGAACATACCGAAAAGTCCCATGCCTTCTCCAACTCGTAGTACTGCGACACATCCCGATTGTGCACCTTGTGCCAAGACAGCAAAGGATGGCACCAATTGTGCATGCTAAAGGCAAAGGTCCAGTGAACAACGGGATTAAATCCCCATGTGAACTTTCCGTCGCCGCCATTCTCTCCAAACTTGACGCCGTACTTGTCCAGAGCGTGCGCGAGGACCTGGTCGCCGCAGCAGTGGTCGGCCGTGTACTCGTAATACTCTTCAGTCAGGTTCGAGTTTTTGCCAAATGACGCCTCCCACGCGCCGCGAGATACCGCGAAGCCTGCGCCGCCATGGGCAAAGACCACGTCGGACTTGGCCGCGTAGCTGCCCAGATATTGAGGCTTGCGCCAGTCAAACTTCGACAGGTATGCCAGCACGTTGGGCAAGAAGAGGTACGCATCATCTTCCATGTAGATGTACCACTTGGCAGCGGGCCAGTTCTCGCCCGCATGCTGCATGAGCGGGATGAATTTGTACTTGTCAATGATCCAGCCGCCCGTCGGGCCCCATTCGTCGCCATTCACGCCGGCGGCTTCGGCGTAGTAGTTGTTGGCCATGTACTCAGGCTGGTCGCGGTAGACGTCAAAGTCAGGTCTGGCTTTTGCGGAATCCGTCATGTTTGCGAGCACGTCGATAATGTCGAAGCGGCCGATTGTCTCCGGGTAGTCCGAGTAGACGACGACGTTGTCTGGGCTCACGCGTTCGCTGGCGAGGGTGGTGGTCAAATGAACGAGCAGTCGCTTCCACATGGTTGTGCCGCCGGTTTTGACAATGAGCAGCACATCGTCTTTGGTGAGTGCTTCACCGAGAGGAACGTCCTTGAATGACTGTGTTGAAGCTGGAGGCTCCTCTACGACAGCGCTGGTATCGCTGGCCGTCTCGTTCTGCGCCGGCGCATGCTCAGGTTGCTCCGAATGTTGAGTCGGGTCTTCCAAGATCTCTGGATACACGCGCCCGTAGTTTCCTACCGACGGGTCAATCAAATAATAGATGAGTCCAATGCATAGCGCAATGATGACGGCCGGCACCAGGCGATTGTTTCGATACGTGACAATCATGACGGCCACATGGAAGATTCGTCAAGCAGCTGAGTCCGGTTTGCGGACGACAAGAACCACAAAAGAGCGTGGTCGATGAGGTCAAGTATCACAGGCCGGCTCCAGTAGGGCTGATGCAGGGATCAAGGGGCAGCCTCCACCGGAGATGGATCTCGGTGATTTCCCAAACAGGCTGGCGACGGTTTAAGGAGATGCAATGCGTGACCCATGTGTATTTATTACGGCCCACAACTGCTGCGGTATCGACAGGGGCTTCGTCTCATGACGCGGCTTCATGGTGAAATTGGCTGTGCTTCATTTGCAGATTGATTATCGGCATCTCGGTCCGGCCCGGGTGATCAAAACTCTCCCTCCTGTAGATGCTCGTGATGGCGAGAATACGAGCCGATTCTAGTCAAAGGATCTTCACGATTGCTCAAACTCACGAGGCCGCTAATTTTAGTGTCAACTCCTCCTCATACCACGTAGTATAATGCGCCACTGAGGCGGGAATGGACGGGTATATTAAGTCTGTGCTAAGAAATCGGCCGAGTGCAACGTCAACGTCCCCAGAACTCCAGGATCCCTCCCCTATTTCGTCCCACTCAAACGTATTTGTCACGGGTGAAGTGGACCGTTTTCACACATTGTGAAGATGCACGCTCTTAGCGTGCGGCGAAGTCTCCGAGCCCACGGAGCCGTTTTCGAGGAATGCAGATCATTGTCAGTTCCGGAAGCCTAATCAACTCGACCGGACTAATCAAAGGCCATTATTACAAGAAGCCCACTCCTTTTACCGAATGACTCCTTGGTAGGCTGTGTCACAAGGAAGGTCGTGTTGTTGCCAAGCTAGACGACTTCTAGAGCGCATGAAAATTGGGCTTTTCCCACCTATAGCTGCATGGTGCTATATTGAAGGGTCGTATTCTCGCGTTTGGCCCTATCGCATTCATCGCAGCCCACTCCGGCGCATGGGATTTTAATTCGGCGGTCAATTCCTAATATCGCAACGCCCGAAACAAGGCGGCCGCTGTCCCTCCTGTAGGGCTAGGGCAGATTTTTTACCCCTGGCATTACCCATACGGATGGGCGACTCCCGGTCGATATCCCAGCATCTCCAGGAATATCTTGGCTTCCCCAAGACGCGATTCCCAATGAGGAGCAACTAATAGGCCAGACCCTCGTATTCCCCAGGGTTCAGTGCTGGACATCTTTGACAGCTCGTTACAGCCAAGAGCCGTGATGAGGCCATTCCACTAAGGAATATTGCCTCCTGACGCTAAGGATGCCGCTGCAGCCGGCCTATTTACACTTCTGGGTGCGTCAGAGGGGGAGTTATTTTTATCTGTCTGGACGAAAGATGTACCCTTTTACTCTCCCCTTATCTTCTCTTTGATCTTGGATACTCGTATACGTGTATTGCTCCTCTGTAGCAGCAACACATCGCAGGTGGTGACTCCTGTTCAGTGGCGGGTATCAACATCTCGACCATGGAGAAATACCCGGAAGAAGATGTCCAGCTTGCCAGTCAACGCGGCCAACACGTCAGTTGGCTGCGCAAAGCGGTCAATATTTTGGGATGCTTGATGGCGTTCCCCATTTATTGGATCATGACTGTGAACTGTAGATATCCCGTAACACTGGACTTGGCTTGCACCATTATGCTGGCTGAGCTCAATCGGTTCATCAACGAAGGCCGGCGCATCGGTTTTTACGCGGAACAATCTCGACCACGCAGCAAAATGGACTCGGAAAAGTTGGACTTGGAACGACAGTCTGCATCGCCGAGGTTGGACTGTGTAGCCGCCGTCGTGGGTTGGAGAGAGGACCCGACCTTGTTTACGCAGGCTCTGGAGAGCTACAAGGTGGCGAAGCATTGCTCATTCATGCTGGTTGGCATCGACGGAGACGAGGAAGAAGATCAAGACATGGCTCGCGTTTTCAACAAGGTAAGACACGCCAGTTGTTTCTTTACAGGACATATTCTGACATATTTAGGTGTACCCTCGTCAATCAAGGACCATTCACATCCCGGAGCCACTGGGCACTGCAGCTGAGCATTTCATGACCAAGATGGCCTCAATGAAGAAGCAGTACGGCGAGGAAATTGACGAAGACGAGTGCCACAACCTTGCCATGGATCACTGCATCCAGCTGGCGCGTCGCACTCTAGAGCAGGAGAAGATCGACTTTCGGGGAGTTGATGGCGTCCGGCAGCTGTGCATTCGGCAAAAGCACATGCATAAGAAGGGAATTATGTTCACCACCTACGTCTTCTCCCTTGTCATTGCCGATATGCTGGGCCTTGAATTTCTTTGGTCGTCGGACTCGGACACCTTGGTTCTGCCGGACTCACTCGAGCGCACCGTCAACGCCATTGCTGCTGATCCCAAGATCGGAGGAGCCAGTTCTGGTCTCATTGTCCACAACGAGTCGGAGACGGCAGTTACTAAACTGTCGGCTACTGTGTACTGGGGCGAACTCTACCTGACCCGATCTACTCCAGCAGCTACTGCGACGAGTGATTGCCAGAGTGGGCCAAGCACGGTGTTCCGACTCGCAGCTTTGCCATCAATTCTTGTCCCATGGTATCTCCAGACGGTCATGGGTAAGCGAATGGTGAGAATATAATTACCCCCTCTCTTGGTTAGTACACGTGAAGACTAACGAGTCATATTTCAGATTATCAATGAGGACCGACACTTGACGACCAATCTCCTATCTCGCGGCTGGGGCGTTGTCTTCGCCTCAGACGTGCTTACCGCCACGGAGACGCCGACAACTCTTTCAAGATGGATCATGCAACAAGTGCGATGGGCACGTGCAACGCATATTGAATCTCTCCTCCAGCCGAAAGTCTACCTCATGAGCCATCCGCTACTCTTTTACGGAATGGCCAAACGCGAGTCTGGCCCTGTACTTGGAGCCTTTGCCGTGCTCTATTACTTCCTCACTTCTCGACAGCTGTTTGTCATCTGCGTCTTTGATCTCGCGATGCGCATGGCAGTCAGCACGACCTACAATATTCTGAGAAATCCCCAGAGACTTACTAGAAAGTCACTGGTTTGGGTTATCCCTGGGATATTCTTTTACTACGTTCCCCTGCCAGCTATCCACGTCTGGAGCATGATGACGCTCACTGCCGATGGATGGGGGACTACCATGCGCGCAGCCAGTGAACGTTCTCGCGCATCAAGCAGGAGAAAGGCGTGGTGGGAGCTCGGATTTGTAGTAGTCTGGATGGGAATTGTTGCAGGAGCACTGGCAAGATGGGTTGCGACGAGTCATGGTCTGAGCCCAGAGCATCGAGCCCTTTCGATGCTCCTGAGTTCTCTTATCGCATCATTTAGCGCCTGGGTGGTATTAATAAAGTAGACGGTAAAGGTTAAACTAATAGAGAGCGGCTCTGTGGTAGGACGGAGATCGCCGGGGCGCAAATGGATGGTGCTTGGTCAATACTTTCGACCAACTAGAAGACCTCTTCTAAACCTAGACACAGATAAACAAAATAGACTCAAGAGTTCGATATCTGAAATTAGTTTGATCGACAGCCGCGAGTACAGACAAGTTCCAATATATCACGAGCATACTACTAAGTCTCCCCCAACAAGCAGAAGCAAAGTCCCGTCACATTAAGCGCCAGGATTTGTGGGTAAAATAAAATGATTCCAGGGGTGCCGTTGACCGTCCTCGCACGTCTAGTGTGCATAGTCCACGGCAGGGCTGGAAATATCCGTAGGGCGCACCATGCGCATCAAATTGACCACTTGTGAAGGATGCGAAAGAAGCACCATAGGCAGGAAACTCACGGCCCCGAATTACGACTAATATTGTAGGGAATTAGGTATGTTGACAGTTGCTTCACCATATGCACCGCGGCGGCCTTGCTTGTGTCGTATGAGGACTCGCTAGGAGCCTGCTATTAAACACTGTGATGCTCGCCGTAGTGATTATATGGCTTGATGCATGGTTATTCTGCTGCAACCAGAAGATTAACATAGCCGCTCGACTCTTAGTTTCGTCTATCCCATCTACGAGGCTTTGCGTAGCAGTGATGCCGCGCAGGGTCTGTTAAAGTTTTCCATATCTAGATGATGTCAGTCAACGGACTATGTGACTTCTTCAATCGGGACGACAGATGGTATTGTTGCCGATATCCAGACAGCCACCACGTTTCTCGAAAGCTCCGTTGAGGGACTTTTTACTCCCACAGAATTTATTGTCACTGCTGTATGTCTCGGAGGTCACGTCAGTTGGGATATCCTGGCAAGAGATCATCGCATTCAAAAAGCCATAATCATCGTCGGATCGCCGAATCTAACAGAAATGCTCCTAGAGTAGCTAGGATGGTACACCTCTATGACAGATGTACCTGATGCTATGGAAGAATGGCCCAAATCGACAGAAACGTCTATTTAGCTCGAGACAAGAGTGTCTGGGGGATCTCCGGCAAAGAAATCCTCATCTCGAATGGTGCCATCGATCCTCTCGTTCCGTCCAAGTTCACCTCGCCTTGGGTAGAAAGCTATGGTGCTAACAACAAGGTTACGCTTTTTAAACAAGAGGACAACGGGCATTTGGTGTCAAATAATAGTCAAGATGGCAGATTAAGTAATGGGGGTCTTGGCTTAGATCTCTTAAACATGTGGTCGATGTTAGATTGACTGTCTCAGACTTCTCATCAATATCCTGCATCCCTCTCGCCTTGATGACGAGAAAGGAACCAGGATCCTGTAGGCTGAGAGTTTTTATTGACACTTGGACCGCCATCAATAGCTCCAATATGGACGAGAATTGAGGATCCAGCAGGACTTGTCTCGGGAAACCCCACTGAGACACCAAGAGATGAAACCTAGAAGATCGATGATGCTTTAGACTCTGTTGAAGCCGACTCGCGTGTCCTCATCCGTCAGCCCGACTTTATCACCTACCTACCTTTGTCACGGGGATGCGCGTGCATTAGGTGGCGCTAACCAGGATCGTTTGCGGGGAAATACCACTCTGCACATCGCAAGTACGGCTGCAAGAAGTTTAAAACTCCGTGTTAAGAAATGGCCATTGTACCTTTAGCTCTTATATTGAAAGGGATCAGGGAACCTCTTGAGTATCATGTATCAATTACTGATCAGACTGTTGGATGGCTGTCGCTCCAGGGTAGTACCGGTAGAACCCAAACTGGAGCCAAGCCCATGTTACTCGCTTCAGTTTAGTTTTGGGGTATTTCATCTACCGCGGTCGTTTGCCGTGTTGAAGCTAGTAGAACCCCGCTGAGTAGTCTGCGGAGCTTCGAATAGTCGTGTCGGATATTCGGATTTGGGTATACTTGACAAGCCCCAAGTAAAACCCCAACCATCTGCCACATCTCGGATCTATCCTTCCGAGAACTCATCACATCGACATCTTTACACATCTATACCTTTCAAAAGCTGACCGAACTCACCCCGCATCAAGGTGGTGACCAATATCGAAATTGCCTCTTCTCAAGCCATGTCGAAGATTTCTGTACCGTCGGCGCAAAGCGCCATTGTCGTCAAGAAGTTGGGCAAAGACTGGGAGTTAGAGATCAACCGCTCTTACGCCATGCCCCAACTTGAGCCGGGCCAGGCCCTTGTTCGGCTGTCACATACAGGAGTCTGCCATTCGGACCTTTCCTTAATCAATGGAGGATGGAATCGACAGATGGTTTGCGACGTACCTGGTCATGAGGGAGTAGGCGAGGTGGTCGCCTATCATGGCGACACGGATCCATCTACAGTGCCGCCGCTGGGGACCAAGGTTGGCGTTCCATTAATTCGACGCCCTTGTGGAACCTGCATGCCCTGCAAACTCGTCGACGGTGAAGTGATGTGTCCCCACAGCGGGTTCAACGGTTTGGAGACCAACGGCACATATCAACAGTACATATCGGTATATACCTCGTACCTCGTGTTACTGCCAGAGTCGCCAACAATCGGAGACGCTCTTTTTGCACCGGTCCTCTGCGGAGGTGTCACTGCGTACAAGGCACTGAAGAAGTGTGGCGCCGGGAAGGGAGACTGGGTTGTCATTGCAGGAGCTGGAGGCGGACTGGGCAGCTTCGCGGTGCAGTACGGCGTAGCGATGGGTATGCGTGTTATTGGGATTGACACAGGTGAAGAGAAGAAGGAGGCCACGCTGAGACTCGGCGCTACAGCTTTTGTCGACTACCGCGGAGAGGGTGAGGTGCCCCAGAGAGTCAACGATCTTACTGGCGGCGCCGGTGTTAAAGCCGCCATCGTTCTTGCGCCCAGCGAGGTGACATACAACCAAGCCCTGCTGTATGTTGGTTATCAGGGGTGCATTGTGTGCGTTGGACTTCCTCACGAGGACGTCCGGATGGCTGTGCCGCCAGGCCTTGTTATCCACCGCGACATCACCATCCGTGGATCCATGGTTGGCACCCGCAAGGATATTGCTGAGGCACTTGACTATGTAGTTCGTGGGCTTGTGAAACCCGATGTGGTAGTTCACCATCCCGAGGACATTGTACAGATCTACCAGAAGATGGAAAAGAACAATGTTGTTGGTCGAGCAGTGCTGGAGTTTAGTCGTTTTGAATAAATATGGGGATTACGCGATAGTTTGTACAGCCGCTTGCTGAATATTGAAAAGAAAATCACACCAAATATTACCGTCGAAATGGTGAGACCAAATTCGCCCATGAGCAGAGTAATGAACCTGGTTTCTTTGACTTGATTAATTAATAACATAATGTCCCATGGCCAGCTCTTTGAATGTAAGTCTATTTCATCTACGAATGAATAAATAGGCATTGTTTCATACTCCAAATGAATCCTTTAATTGTGATAACCACAGTCTGCCCAGGAACGTGTTTGTAGTAGTCAGCTACATACTATTGCAAATGTCAGTGTTCGAAGCAATGCCCGGATGGACGTGGAACTCCTCATCGTGATACAAATGGCAATTCGGCCCAAACATCCCAAAGGCATATTTACGCAGACTCCGGCTTCCGAAAAAGATAAGAGTAACTGGTCACATGCGCGTTTATAGAGAGCCAAACTGACTCATGTGCCAGATTGGCGCCCTTCATATAGGAGTGAACTCATTTGATTGCCGGTATACACTAGACTAACCTCGAGTTTATGTTGAACCTGCCAACATCCTGATTACAATTACCAGTCTTAACTGTCCAAGTCGTCTTCGAGAGCCAAAATTGGAAATGCCAGCCACTGAGACCAATATCCTTGGAGGCGTTCAGCTATAGACTCGATAATAAAACGGCCGGCGTCCCCAACAATCCAAGCATTGCGACACCGATGAAGCAGCACTGCGTAAAAGGCAAGTATAATTAAAGCCTCGGGCTTCTGTTGATCGATCATGGCGGTGAACTCAGCGCTAACATGAACGGGAAACGTCATAATCGACGCCGATCGTCGTGTAGATACTTTGGCAATGCGATGATACATCCGGAATGATTTTTCAAGGATTTTGGCTGTGTCTCGACAGATTTGAATTGATGTCGTGCTTAAATCCGAATGATCGAGCATCTCCTGTAAAGGACCACACTCAATATCCAAATCTTCTGTATTGACGGTGCCGCCGGGGTCTTGTGAAAGCTCTGTCCCCATGGCGTCGCGAATAATGTGCCACCAATCTCCAACTATGGCGTTAACACCGCGATGAACAAGGAGATAGTTGGCGAATTGATCAAGAAAAGCGGCGAAATCATTTCTGTTGCTCTTGAGAGTCTGCTGTAGAACGTGGACAGCGATGAATGATGAAAAGTAAAACATGGGAAGACATGTCGTTTCTGAAGGCTGCTCGCAATCATTGTTGAAGAGCAATATGCTGCGTCCTTGGAGTTGTGTGGCTAGAAGGCTATAGCGTTCAGCTTGTTCCGGCTGAATCGTGGCTAGATGAAGTGCCGAGAGTGCCAGAAGTGCGTGCATTAAATATGGAGTCGCCAATGCTACTTCCAGCCCTCTGATAGCCATGCCTTCTGTTAATTCGTTGGCCATGAGGACCTCGAATTTGCTGCTTTCAAAGTGGTGGAGCAGTGACAAGTGCTCCATGGAAAATAACAGATCATTGCGTGCCGGGGTGAAATCTTCAGTATCGGTTTCGATTGGTGTACCATCGGGCTCTGACGGAGGGTTTGAGTGTGATGTGGCGCCATACTCAGGCCCAGTCGATGGCCCGGCAGTTTCAGTGCTCGAAGAAGGTTTTGGAGTTTTCGAGGGCGGCTTATGTAGCTCCTGGATGGAGTTCAGATAGAAGCAGTTTCGATCAGCCTTGCTGCAGTTGATGCACCGTGGCCGAGTCTCATCGCATCTCATATGCCTCCTCTTGCACTCAACACATCCACGCCGTGATCTGCGGTGCTTCCGCCGTGATCGAGCGGTATCTTCGTCACCAGCACCAGGGGAATGAAAGCCCGTGAAGGCGGGAGAAAATGACGACATACAAAAGGCGGCAGTAATGAGCAGCTGGGAAGTGGGAACATTTCCGATAGTGACTGAGAATGAAGGAGAAAAAAATACATTACCTGACTCGGCAAATCAGCCTCGTATTTCCACACGATCCGTCACGTGATGCAAAACTGCAAATTTAACGCCAAACTGTCAGGTGGTGGAAACTGCCATAACTAAACGATGCAAGATAGTTTGATTAGTGCTCAAGGAGGCTAGATAAGACCTTAGATTGCTTTTTTTTTTTCTGATGTAGCGATACTTCCAGGCCCAGCCGTTTGTTGAATACCGTACGTTAAATTCGATCATAGCAAAAGTGCTCAATGGAGTGTGAACCAAATCTGATTATTGTCCTCATCTAGGATGACCTCCCGCCCCTTCCTGTCTTGTGGAGGGATTTTCAGTCATCGGGATATTGAATATCAGAGGATGATGCAGATCCAGTTGATTATGCCGCTACAGGAGATGTCAATCCAGCACCATACCAAATAAGAGTGCATGCACTGTCACGATGTGTATTTTGGATAACTGGACGTGTGATTGTCATAGCAATATCCTTAAGGATGGTAGCAAGTTGGAGCGGGAACTTGACGCAATGGAGAAAAGCGTACACTCAACCAGACACTCCAGATAATATAGGCTGGTATCATGCACTGGCTTAGTCCAAAGAATAATAATAAGAAGGGGTAGAGATGGAGTGTTAATATGGGTGGAAAAATATACCCACAGTATCTATTATATCTTGCGTCGTCGAGTTCTTATAGCCCGTGGCGCCCAATACACACTGGCTCACTCGTATTTTATTGATAGAAAAGGAATTATGAGTGGGGAAAGAAAACAACAAAGTTGGGACCGCTCGTTGTTAGTAAATGAGTCATTTTAGCGGCGGAAAAGAATAAAAACCAACACTCAACCATTGACTGATCCTTAGGGAGATATACAAAAACCATCGTACAGTCACCTTATAAGGTCAGCCTGAAGCTTCACGCCAGACTATATATTTATAGTCGTATGGATCCGAAGCTTCTATCTCCCAATAGGAAAACATCTAATAATTGGATAAGGATCGTGATGTGAGTTGAAATAGACTCGAATGAGTATCTCAAGATAAGGGAGAAAGGTTAATGACTTTGATGATAAATCTCTCGAGCCTACTGGCTCTCTGACTTCTACTACGAAAAATCTCAAGAATGAAAACGCAATGAAGTCTCTCAACTCTGTTTGCTGTTTCCTCCTCTATTTATCCCTAGAGGCATATTTGCTAGCGAACAGCTAGCCCCAGAGTCCCTGACCGCCCTCACATCATCGGGCTGAGAATGAACGGGAGTCAATCAGAATTATCGCATTGACGGCTACAGAAAAAATGGAATGAACACTCCGCTGATGTGTAGTGTAACTAAGGCCTATATTATATGTGACATAGATTACACGTTCATAACAGCGATGGTTGGTTTTTGTTTTGTTTTAAAATAAGCATGCCGTCGCGTTGCTCTCTTCACCTCTCGTACATCGTTCCATCTGATACTGTGACAGGCGGTTAGGGACGCTTGGGCTAGCTGGTCGCTAGCGGGGATGTCTCTAGGGTGACCCGGATGGGGTTAAAAGGGGAGGACAGTGCCGTCACTGGGGAAAGATCATCGCTTTTCCTTTCATCAGAGATTCTTCCTAGAAGTCAGAGAGGCCGGAAGGGCTCGAGGCTGCTAGGGAGTCGATTAATTGATTGCCTTCATTTTTGAGAGATTTATTTGAACCTTCTTGCCATCACTACGTTCCCTGTCCAACCTCCGTCTTCAACCTCCCTCAGATATCGGGCTGCCGCAGGCCCCATTGATGCCTTGCCAGCGAACTTTCCTGCGACCGACCCGATATTCTATCTCATGAGATGCTTCCCTATCAGGAGACATAAGCCTCAGATTGACCCGACCCCATACGCGTAATCTGGTGCAGCTTCGGGCTGACCGGCTAAGACGCCTGTGCGACGACTCTGTGCATTTCCCCTAGGGCAAGTTAATGAGTTGGGTGTTGTTTCCGTCCTTTCCTGCTGCTAAAATACCCATCTTCCTCCATCGCCACCTCCAGCTCACTTGGGTAGGTCAGAAAGAACAATGTCATCGTAAAGGCCATCAGTGAAACATCGAAAACATATAGCCGCGATTCGTGCCCCCGCAAGTAGCCTTCACTGCCCACCGCATACCGACAACAAGCGGAATGCAAAACTACATTCGGTACCGGAAAAGCTTTTAGAGGGGCGCAACGGTCAAGATTCCGAACACTACGATGAACACAATGGACGCTAGCCACTACGGTATGTACTGCCATTGCGGATAACCGTTGCATATCTCCAGGGTAGGCATCGTTTGTTGAACTGGCCTAGATGGGTGGGATACAGAGAGACGACGATGTGTCAGATGACGAGACTGCAAGGGTCCACAGGGGACGTCCCAATGGTTCGATATATATATTTCCCGTAATTTTGGTAGTATTATTCTTGTATGAACTAATGCCAAGTGAGGGAGCCGCGCGTTAATTGCGATTGTGAACCCGAACCTGTATTTCTATACGCGTACTAAGCTTGGTTAATGTCAGGTTGTACACGTATCCGAAAGAGGAAAAGTCCAGGCGGCATGGTTAATTTCCGCTGAGGAAGCGCCGACGCATTAACGCAGTCGAGGCGCTTTGGTGGGGCGTTGATGGTAGATCACCACAGCTGAGTTGGTTTCAGCGTCTGGAAATGACGCCGAGTGCGGTGGATTACAAGGCACCATCGGGCCTGATCTATCACTCTTACTGAAGGAGGATCCGTTCCCCAACTTCCCAAGCGGTTGCGTCTTTCCCACATGTCGATCTGTCAGAGTTCTGCTGAAGCGGAATGCAAAAACTGCCCCAAGAGATGGAATGGTCTTGACAGGAAAGAAATAAAGAAAATAAGATGAAACAAACCAAATGAAAAGTTCCGGTATGACGCCTTGACTGTCGCAGAGAACTGCCCTCAGACCCAATACCAGCCCGGACACAACCGCTCGCCCGCCATTTCACGGCGACCCCTGGCCTCAAGGACCAGATGTGGGAGCAGTAAGCATAGCCATTATGCATGAGCAGTCTGAGTGGGTTGAAGAACACGTGGCTGGCTGACCGCAGTCGCTGTTAGACCGCTTCACAAACGTTAGGCCCGTCAAAATACACGTATACACGGTCCGAGTCCAGGCCGTGAACGAGCCAAGCAATGGTCAGAAACGCACGACGGCCTATGCACCGTCATTGCCGCCAACAGAGTCAGTCTAGAGACCCCACTGTCTTAGATTACAAGGGTACACTGGGAAGGGTGATCTTGGCATCACTCGTATCCATTTTAGGGAGCATACGAATATGCTTAAATGTACGCATTTCTTACTCCTTCTTTCTCCTCGAGTCAACAACAGCACTTCTCATCTTTTCTCTGTAACGGAAAAAGTATTTTATTTTCCCATCGCCATTACCGAACATCCCATCCGAATCGAATGATCGACGTTGTCAACTTGTCTACGCAGCGACCAAAAACCAACATCTTCATTTCGAACGAAAGGGGTGGCATCCTCCCAAACCAAACATGGGTTTCTTCAGCAGTCCTCTTTTCAATCCCGAATACAAGACCAAAGCCCATATAGGCCAGTTTGTCTTGATTGCTATTATCATAGCCCTCGCCATCGGCAAAATTGCGACAAAGCCCAGCTACATTCCGATGAACCGACTGGATATGATTGGCATCAGCATGGTAAGTGGTTTGCGCATTATCACGGATTCCAAGAAGACTTGAGCTAATTACTTGACTAGAGCGGCAAAACGATCATCGTCATTGCGTACCAACTTTTGACCGAACATGTCTCCCGATTCCAAAAGTGGGCTAGTCTAAAAGCCTACGCGATACTCAACACATTAGAGGTTTTCCTGTGGTTCGTAGTAATCATCTTGACGCTTTGGGGTATTTCCATGGTTTGCGTTGGAATTAGCTGCGCTTTCGGCTGGCTGGTGGCACTCATGTGTCTGGTGATGACGTAAGTTAGCCATTGATCTGAACCGATTCATCAAGTTAGACTAATCCGTTTCTTTGATAGCCTCGCCAGCTTCTGGATGGCTGTTGTGAGTTGGAAAGAGGTCCGAAGCGCCAAGGACTTTGGTAAACAAGGTCCTGGGGTTATCCCTTCGCATCAACCCTACAGAATGCCTGCTTATTCATCATCCAGTCAGTCTATGGCAAGGTAGATATGTCAAGGTTTGAATAGCTGCAGGCCGAAAAGGTTAGACAGGATTCCGGCAGAAAGGGAAAAAAAGCAGCTTGAAACCCACACTCGGGCCTTGGCAACTGTGACGTGCATAACGAAAATGCAGTAAATTTAAACATTAGATTCCCTTATCGAGGGATTAACCTAGACGTAAAGAATTAAATCAATTAAAAGTCCATGTCTTTTAGTAAAATACTATTCTGTAAAATTAAATATTTGGTTAATGATAGGAAATTTTGCCACTGAGACTTTAATAAGATTCACAGCAGCTTGGTATGAAGGTGAATAAAAGAGAGAAGTTGAATAAAGCTTGAAATATTAATTAAAAATAAACTTAAATAAATATCTTCAAGTAAAAGCAATAAATTTATTAACTCTTACAATGGTTCTGAATGTCTTTGACTTTAAGGAAATAAATCTAAACAAAAGAAAACTCAAGCCCCCGGGTACCTCCTCTTTTCTGTCTGCGGCTATCTCTCCTTTCATCCCCAAGATGTCTCAGCTAGCGACCAGCTAGCCCAAATGTCCCTGACCGCCCGTGATATTAGCTTACTATTCCAAGGCTACTCCCATTGAGTCTATATTCGGGGAATATCATAGAATATCTCTGACTTGCTCACTCCTTCAACCCTTGCCGCGGAATTTCCGTTACGCTTGGTTTGCTGACGGCCTGGCAGTTAGAGAATACATATCAACTGAGTTATCATTTTCCGAGGTGAGGACCGACTTGTCCTCGGTCTGGATGATCTTGCCTGGGTGGAAGTAATTAAACATTGCAGCCACAACAAACATCAGCGCCGCGTCGAAGACATAAAGGTAGACCTCGTTGGCTAGTAGTGCTCCATCATTTCCCATGACATACTCGGCAACTCTGAAGACCGATCGAATCATGATTAAAACGCTTGCAGCGTAGAGAATCCAGAGGAAGCGTTGCCAGACCATGGTCGAGGAGTGCCAGGAGCTGGTTGGGGATGCAAGGATGCGGTAATGAAAGAGGCAGATGACGACAATGAAGACGCCGAAGAAGGCAATCTGAATGGCGAGGCCTGCGATGATGACGTTTTCGCCGAGCTTGACATCACTCATTGACTTGGCGCGGGCAAGGATAGCACCACCTGTAGTTTTGGGTCAATATTTCTCATCCCAGATTCCCGGACCCGTTGTAAACTTACCTCCACCTTGGGTTAAGAACGACAAGACATCGCCCAGGACGAAAAGCTTCGTCAGCCATTTCGGGTTGATTGGAGAAAGGTGCTCTGCATTAAGCAGACGGATCAGTCGACCCAAGACCATGTAAATGGAAGCAGCGAGAAGAGCTGGGCCGAGGAGGAGGGTGAGGCTCTGGATCGTGAACGACCGGGTGGACCAGTTCGGGGTTTCTGTCGCTGACATCGCACGCCCTATGTACCCCACAATCTCAACTGAACGACGGCAGATATTAGTATCCAGGAGTGGAGCTTGGTCGTGGTCGAGACTTACAGATGCAACCGATGAGAAAAGGTATGAAGTACCAAGACCGCAGCTTGATGACTTGCCAGAGGTGTAACAATGCCGAGATGCCGAAAAGAACGATGAAAATGATGGCCGCGGCGAGGGAGGGATCATAGTGGTAGAAGACAAACTCGCCCGGCTCCTCTCTCGGAAGGTGTGTAGAGGACATGATTCGGTGATGTCTGAGGGATAGATAATGTTGCTGTGATGTTGCTGTGGACCTTGGTGCTGAGGAGTCGTGATGTTTGAAGTACGGCTGGGTTGATGTGCTGGGGTTTTATAGATATATCACACAATTCTTCGATCAGTGAGATGCGGTGCAAATTAAGTTTGACATTGACTTGCAACGTCATGGTTTCTTGGAGCCCTTGAGCAGTGCTGAGGCTGTGCTACATGGTGCTATCTTCCAGGGATGGCTTTTCAAGGAATGGTCTAGCTCTCTTCTTACCAATAGCACTCGGCCTGGTACCCAAAAATAACAGAAGAAATGCCAGCATGGAAGCGTCGCCAAGCAAATATCGTAAAAGACGACATCTCCTTGGTTGTGTCCAGGTTGCAGCAGGGATGCCGACAGAAGAACAACGGCCAGATTAATTGCGCCAAGTATCTGTATCCGTATTCTTTATTCGTCCGCAACAAGACCCCACGCACACTCAAACAAAGCCAAGTGGCCCTGGCGCCTCCCGGCGGAACGCGTCCCGAATCGTGGCGGAGTTGCATTCCAGGCGGACTACGTAGTACGGTATTAGTCTATTCCCCACCCCCCTCTTATTTAAGTAGCGGTCAATGGTCGCTCGGATTCACGCTGATGTTAAGTGCTGCTCGGATTCGAAAACGGCCTAGAGGCTTTCTCCCCAGACACAATCTCCTCGCAACGACCTCAGCCCCGTACACTCGACGTCTGGAATCACCTCAGGCCCATCGCCCGAATGGCAAGGATTGGGCACAAGAAGTCCCGCAACGGTTGCTCCCGTTGTAAAGAGCGAAAGGTCAAGGTGTGAAAACCCCATTAGGATTCCGGGCATGCCGAAGATGGTTGGAGAGCGGCCGCTGACCCTAGAAGTGCGACGAGCGGCGTCCATGCGGCGCCTGTGTCAAACTCCGCGACTGTTGTAGTCTTTCTCCGTCATCTAGCAAGATCAATGGGGCATCCAGTGCTCAAACTCCGCCGGATGCGAGGGCAAGACGACGGGAAGAGATCGTGCTGGCCACTCCCAGTGCCTCGCCTCCTCGAACCAATCTCGCAGATCCACCACATCCAGTGTTCGTATCAGAGCTGTTCTCCCATATAACCCAACCTAGTGTGGGCCTTCAACCTTGCGTGGGACTTCAACCTGAACAGGCATTCAACTGGGCCATGGACCTGGGCTTGATGAACCACTACACCTCCCTTACATCTGGAACCCTGCCAGGAGCCAGCCTGCGAGTGTGGCAAACCGAGATACCAAAGGAGGCCATATCATACCCGTTCCTCATGCACCAGATCCTCGCAGTCTCAGCATTCCACCTTGCCAGCCTTCAACCGGCTCGAAGCCAGATACATTTCACCCAAGCTCTCCAACATCAGCAGCACGCAATCTGCGGCATCAATGCAGAGGTCTCCAACGTCACCTCCGGCAACTGCCATGCGCTCTTCGCTGCGTCCTCGCTGCTGTTCATTGGGGCATTGGCCGCCTCTTCTCCAGCCCTGCACAAAACCCGCCAGTCTGAAATGGACAACATTGTCGATATTTTTACTCTCATCCGAGGCGTGAGCGGCATCCTAGGCTCTTCCAAAAAGGACATCCAACAGGGCTCACTTGGAGATTTCATGGATTGCGTTCCTCATCCGATAGAATCCAGGCTACTCAATCTACTGCTTGAGAAGATTCCTGAGATTCGTCGAACTTTGCATGAAAACAGTACCCAAGCTCTAGCAGACGGAGCAATTGCCGGTCTTCAGGAAAGTATTGCCAGAGCTTCAACTACAACTCCTGAGCTTACCGTTGCTATTGTCTGGCCCATGACTCTAAATGATGACTTTCTTGCTCTTCTGCGCGAACGCCACCCGGCTGCCCTGGTCATCGTGGCCCATTATTGCACAGTCCTTCACGCTGCAGGGTCGGAATTCTGGTTTATGAGAGGATGGGGACGCTGCATTGCCACTACGATTGCGGAGTGTCTTACGTCACCGTGGAAGGAGTACATTGAGTGGCCCTTAGCCTATATTGGTGAAGCCTGAGGGCTTGCGTTTCTTTTGGATATTGGATTCCTGGAGGCAATAACAGATTGAATCCCGACAAAATTAGCGGGCGGAAATTGCGGAGTACGGACTGGGTCTGCTGGAGCTCGTTGGTGTTGTCTCATCACTTAATCAAATTCAGCACATTCGTCACTAAATCGCGATAATGTGTATGGTCTCATTGCCCCAGAATAAACCCATCATCGTTGAATCATGTTCATTGGATCCTTCAAGATTTGAATCCGAACCCGACAAGATCTAACACTAATCAGGAAAGGTGCCCATCGGAATTCGGTTCGAGATCTCTGAACAGGTGTGATCCCTGTAATCCGAACCCGAGATATCTAACACTAATTGGGAAATGTCCGCCAGTCCCTCCGCTGGGTGCAATAATGGTTGACGGAGATTCGTAAGCCATGTGTTCGTCCATATGCTTTCCTTGTCAAAACACGAACAACTACTCGGAGTCTCATTACCAAAGCTCCTCCCTTAGCAACCTGTCGAGCTTTATTTAACATCCAACTCGGACCTACGTGTCCCACCTTTCCAATGCCAATCAACACTGTCATGCCAAATTCCTGGCTGTCAACTTCCATCATCTTCGAAACGTATTGACTGCTCAGCTCCTCGCAAAAATGCAAGCCTGGCAATACACAACCATAAAGGATACGCTAGAGAGCTCCCTCGCTCTCAACGAGACTGCTACTCCTCCCGATGCATCCTCGTTAAACAATGACGATGTTCTTATCGAAGTCATCACGGCAGGCATCAACCCCGTCGAATACAAACTTCCCGAGATGCCCATGTTCGGAAAATTCATGGTGCAGCCACCTGCGAGTCCCGGCCTCGACTTCTGCGGCCGCGTGAAGGCGAAACATGCCACAAACGAATCCTTCACCGAAGGCCAGCTCGTCTTCGGCGCCTTGAGCATTGCGACAAAATTCCCCAAGTTCGGCTCTCTTGGACAGATCATTATTGCGCCATGTTCTGGGATTACAGCTCTTCCGAAGGGCGTTGATCCCGACGGTGCTGCAGCTGTGGGCACAGCCGGCGTGACAGCCTTGCAAGCCCTTCCCCGGGACATTGTCAAGCCGGGATCGAAAGTCTTTATAAACGGCGGCAGTGGTGGAGTGGGGAGCTTCATGGTGCAATTCGCAAAGGCTCTTGGGGCCGAGGTCACGACGACGTGCTCCACGGGCAATGTGAAGCTGTGCCGCAGCATCGGAGCCGACGAAGTTATCGACTATCGGCAGACAGATATCCTCGAAGCATTGAAACAGAAAGGGCAGGTCTTTGACCTCGCTGTCGACAATGTTGGCACCCCAGCCAACCTATACGAACGGAGCGATCAGTTTCTGAAGCAGGGCGGCACGTTTTCGCAGGTTGCGATGCAGAAATCAGTGGGCGCCATGCTTCGCAGGAGCATCTTGCCAGGATTTCTTGGAGGTGGACGGAGAACACTTCGCACCGTGAGGGTGAAGATGAACGAGGACGATTTGAAACAAATTGGCCAGTGGATGGCTGAAGGAAAGGTTCAGGCCGTGATTGATGAAAAGTTTGAGTGGAAGGACGCCCCGAAAGCGTACACGAAGCTCAGAGGAGGACGTACGGTGGGAAAGATTGTGGTTCGTCATCTCTAAATCGGACGCGATATATTGTGATATAACTGTGGGTATTACTGTTGACCTTTGAATAGACTGGGTATATGGTCTGTATTGTTGATACTATTGTTGGTGTTTTTTTTTACTGTTGAGCTTCTAGTCCCCCCTCTGGGTATGTGTGTACTAGGGCACCCTAACCTCTTGATAACTGTGGGTAGTTCTGTAGCGTGTACGTTTCCTTCAGGTATTAATAGTATTCTTATACCAGTACTGAGCACACGAATGCCCAGATGCCCGTGTAGAGACGGTGAGGAACCTAGCAGGCAAGGATGAACCGAAAAAAGGGAATGAAGACAACCAGGGCAAACTGTATACTTTGTTGGTCGAAGAGGCCTTTAGTGTAGACCACACCCGTCCGCAGGGTAGGAGCTGGAAAAGGATCAAAGATAAGAGAAGGCAACGCAAAAGCTGTCACCCAGGGGATTGAAATACACGGAGAAATTGGTGCTCTGATTTCTGATATTACCGGAGAAAGAGAGAAGGAAGATATTAATAAGAGCTGCTGCAACGTCTGCAAATAAGTGTGAAGCGACGCAAGGTGTAATGCAAAATTGGAGACAAGGAAAACGTGTTTTTCTTTTAAAGAAAAAGTAGACAAGACGCTTTAAGTAGAGCCATACTGAGTTGGCTGCTGGCCTCTGCTGTATTAAAACTCCAGGTAGACCGTTGGCCTCATCACAATATATACCAGCCTATATTTTCTGTGATTTATTTTACTGCTCTTTTGCCAAACTACAACCTAATCTGCCCTCCCAATCTCGGCACATGAAACCTCGGCCTTTTCCTTGTAGACTCGGTGTCATACCGCAGTCCGTCATGTTTACCACTCTTGAACAGCGCCGGGGTCACAACAATCTCCACGGACTTCAAACAGTGGTCAACAGATGTCTCCAGGTCATCTTCGGGTTGACTGTCCATATCTTCCATAGTTGAGGGTTCGATGACAATAACGACGGCGCATTCATCGTGCGGCAGTGGGTTGACAGATATCAGGGGCGGAAAGCGAACGCTCCAGCTCGCGCACTGTCGGCGGAGAAGCTGCGAGAACTCCAAGGCGGGGAGAAATATGTTGTCTATGAGCTTCTGTCTCAGTTCTCCTATGTCTGGCTGTGAGGTAAGAGGAAGGATGACTTCGAGAGTGAAGTCTACCTTGTCTTCGACCGAGTTGATAGTATCCCGTGGCCATCGACCAGGAGGATAGACTTTACTCAGCAGAGCCATGGTGGTTGTTCTCCATCGATGGAATGCGGCGAGGGCTACAGCCTCGCCTAGGCTTTCGTTAGCAATCTCAATATGCGAAGGGGCGCCTGATAGCGTACCAGAACTGAGCAGTGTTGTCTCAAGCTCTCTGACGGCTCCACAAGCCTCGGGGGGCATCCACAGGTCATGTCCCGAACTTGCAGGATGCGATGGTACAGGCAAAGAACGGATCATGGTCTCTGCCAAAATAAGACCAACCCACCCACGAACGAACTTGCGCCGACGCCGAAGATCATTCGGAGGCAAGAACCTGGGCAGATCTTCATGGTCCTGGAGGGATGGGAGAACTCGACGAATCTGGGACAAGTTGTCCTTTTGTATTCCAGTCACCGTCATTGGATTATTGGCTGCGTTGCAGAACTTGCTTGTCCAGCTCTTCAACTGGAGGGAAATGCCTTCAAAGTTTGCTAAGATGGTCAGATCCTGTTCCTGTCGACCGAGAAGCTCCTCTTGCGCGTCACGAGACGACTGCATGGCGCTGTTCCGCTTCTTTAGTTGGGCAGCTTGTTCATCCTTGACTTGCAGCTCGGCCTTGAGAGTGTCAATGTTGGAGTTTGCAGAAGCAAGTTGGTGCTGGAGACTCTCAAACTTGCGCTGATACACTACTGGTTGGGGACCAGTATTATGCGAATCGAAGTCATCCATAGCGTGACCATCAGGTGGGCCACGGGGCGCGCCCTGGTACGGGCCATGATTGTTCGATTCGCGACTCATTACTGTTTTTAATTTATTTCGGAGACGGCTCGTCGTGCCTGACGCACTGGTTTCCGAACGACACTCACGGTCGTGGTCACGATCTCGAGGACGATCACGTTCACCTTTTTCTCTCTCATTTTTTTGGTTTCTGATGAATTCTCCGGGCTATTACAGGTCAGACAGATGCAGAGGAATACGCAAGTGTCACCTACGAGGTTCTCCATACCCGGGCCGAGGTTGTGAGGCGTGATGGTCCGGGTAAGAATCAACGTAAGCTGCCCCGTTGGGAATACCGGTGATGTTGGATCCCCTAAAGACAGGTCTCTCTTCTTGATGGAGTAGGCTCCTTTATTGGCGGTGATCTGCACATTCCTCCCATGGCACGCCCTTGGTGTAACTCCTAGGCATGCCCATCATCTATTAATGTCGGCCTGGTGTGTGTGTGGCGTAGGGTCGAGAACCGCCCCTAAGTGCAACATCCGGCTCTGAAAGTTCTGTGATAACTGTTGAGCCACTAAGCTCGCGAGGCAAAAGAGGAACTCCATATCTATGGCTTGCGTGTGTGGATCTAGCATATACGCCTGGTCCCTTCAACAAAGGCCAATATGTCTCATTCTGCCGTTCTGGTCCAGGGCTGAGAGATCGAGACTCTTCTCGCATCCTGCCCTGTCTAAAGGCGTGTCACCATCGACAATCCTTTGTGTTGTGAGGGAAGTTACCCAGAGGTCGCTTGTGGACTGAGGCGCCACTGTTAACTAATACATATCTCTTACATATGCAACCACTAGCGCTTCTTGTTGCAGTGTGCATTCCACGTTTGGTCTGATCAACTAGCGTGACAGAATGGGACAGTACGATTGCATGGACGTTGCCGGACTCTGCCGAGCGTCGTGTCTCATGCTCTTAACCATGTAGCACTAAACTAAAAGCACATTCTTGTTGCAGCAGTCTCGTCCAAAAAAAAACACATCGTATTGCTATCCAATCATATCTAGCAGCTCGGTTTGACAGCCGAGGCCGGGGCGGTTTCGCCATTGCTACAGGCGACTATAGCTCTAAGTCTGAGAACCAATCTGGGATCCCATCCACCCAAGCCGCCAACAACTCCACAGCCCCTGGAGGAACCCAACGAAGATTCCCAAGAGGCTCAGTGCTGTTGGAATGAATTAAATCACCCTGCGGAGCCCGCTGGTTTTACGCTTAGCCTCTGTCTGGATCTGCTCCTTCACCTCCGCTGCAACGTCGGCGCGTAGACTGACCTGTTGCTTCTCCGTCTCCAGTAGCTGCTCGCGTCCACGCTCAAAATCTAGCTTCAATCTACGCCGCATTGCGCGGTCTTGCTCCTGTAGATTCTGTCGCATCTCCTCGAGTGATTCCAGCTGCTGCAGGTACTGCTTGCGGATCTCACCAAGGCCATCGCTGACATAGGATCCAGCCTCGGTCTCGTCCAACTTCTTGCCTTCGTTGATCATCTCATGTTGGAGGCGAAGCACGATAGGCTCCTTGATGACGAGTTGGCTGATGAGGGCAACGGCCGATGTGCGGTCGCCGTGGAAGCGGCTCATGAGCGAGCCGCGACCAACCATATAAGCCCAGAAGTCGTCCCGAAGTTGGCGCTCTCGTGATGCTTCCGTTGGTTCATCAACCTCATGCCAGCGGGTCGTGGTTAACAACACATTGGGGAGTGCTGTTTCACCGCATATTCTCTTGAAGATCTCGAATGTCTTGACCGCGGAACCGTAGTAACGAATGTCGGTGATTCGATGGACATAGATTATGCCCTTGAGCTCGAATCCGAGTCCGTATTATGCTGCAAGCAGCCTTGCAATTTCGTTCAAGATCTCAGCATCCGATCGCTTCGTATCGTCAAATCCCGGCGTGTCAATCAATAGCACCTTGGTGTTGCCGAGATCCACCGGAATCATCTGACATTCTTGCGTGCCTGTGGATAACATTAGCAACATGACATTGATACGATTCAGTGAGGCTTCTTGAGTCTACTCACAAGCCTCCAAGTCGGCACCCTCTTTGACGACCTCTCTTCCCGCCAACTTGTTGATGAGGTAGCTCTTTCCGGAGCCTGTAACCCCCATCACCACCACCATGCTCATGCCATTGACCCGAGGGGGAGATGGAGTCTGTTCTTCCGAACTGTCCATATTGTGTGCGAAGCAAACAGTAGTTGATGCAAGAATCGTGAATTGGAGGTGCAAAGTGAGTACGCGAGAGTCAAAGTATGGGGACCCTGAGTTTTGTGAAAATCCAGGCTGGATCGCATATAACCAGAGGTGATTACGGTATGTAAATCAAGAGGCTGTGAAAGTGAGTACCATCACTGAGCCAGGAACCAGGACAATCAAGTGATCGTCTTCTACCGTCAGCCGGAAATAGCGAAATCCCTAGATTCAACACTATGGCGCCCAGTAGCCTGATTTCGTCTCGTAAGGCATTTGCCTCCATATGGCGTCCAATAGCGTCCGAGTGGCTGACTACCTCAACCATTTGCAGCGATAACGTGGAGTATTGATATAAGACCGCAGCCGTATATTGCGGGGCGAGGCTCACTATACATGCGTGGTACCTCATAGAAGAAGTTAGAGGAATTACACAGCCTTGCCGTGTAAATCTTGGAATCGTGCCAAGTGCCGCCATTTGTGACACGAACTCAATCCTGGGCTGTCTTGAACCGTCTTCCTTCTCTGCCAATAGGCTCACCCTCCACATCAGTTCTCACGGCAAGTTTCAGGCTCACTTCAGCCGCACAAGGCTTGTGGGCCAGTGGCTGGCAAGACAGACCCAATACACCAGAGACATGCTCAGTGAGCTGACTAAAGATGCCGGAAAACGAAACTTGGGAGGGCTGATGAGCAGTGGCGGTAGCTGGATCGCTCTAGATCCTGCTAGGGAATATCGGCGTGGCTGGCAGCTGACCACAGCCAAGTTGTTTAGGGTTATAGCCGTAACTGTTTCGATTCCATCTTCAACAATCCGGCGATTTACCCTCTCCGCTGTTCGGATTCCATCAGGCGCTTTGCTTGTCCTGCGTTTCTCTTGAGGGTCTACCCGTCCTCAAACCTCCTGTGAGGGTATTTGGATGAGCCTCCACCATCCAACATCTCGCCAACCGTGGATTTACCCTGCGTCTCACCCCAGATCTTGACACGTCCTCCAAATCAAATCCCCACGTTAATTTCCTCCTGATTCCGCAGGATGAATTCGCTCAGCTTGGAAATTATGGTGGGGATTGACTTCGGGACAACGTAAGTCGGTGTTATAGTATCGGTTTTGGGCAATCAAATGCTAAATCGTTCTGCTCAGTCATTCAGGTGTCTCGTGGGCCATCAACGAGGGCCAAAAGAAGATTCGACTCATCACAGATTGGCCCAACCTGGGTGATTCCCTCGCAAATCAAGACAAAGTCCCTTCCATCATATCCTACAACAACGGACGCGTCGCGAACTGGGGCTACGAAGTGAGCTGCAAGGAGGAATCATTTCGGTGGATCAAGATTCTCCTCGAACCCGAATCGAAGTATGCAAGAACAGTCCAAGATGTTCGTGACAGCAACGAGCCCCTCCAGAAGCTCAACAAGACGGCCGAAGAAGTTGTCCGCGACTATCTGCGCGAGATTTGGCGATACACTACGGAACGTATCCGGAAGCGAGTCGGCGATGATGATTGGGAGGAAACATTCACCATTCACGTAGTCCTTACCGGCCCGGCCATGTGGTCCCATGCGGCAAAAGACAAGACTCTGAAGGCTGCGCGTGATGCAAACTTGCCTGCCAACATCAAGTTGGTCACAGAACCCGAGGCTGCTGCGTTGGCGACACTCCACGACAAGGCCGAAGACAATGCGCTGTCGATATGTCTTCGAAGTACATGCTTGTCTAGAGCTTGAACTAATCAGAGTAGCCTGGTGACGCCTTTATAGTGTGTGATGCTGGAGGAGGTACAGTCGTGGGTATCTTTGTCGGCTAGACAAACGCTGGAGTCACTAATATGCCGTCAGGATCTAATCAGCTATAAAGTGAACCAAACAAATCCTCTCGAGATCGAGGAGTGTGCCATTGGAGACGGTATGGATTCATTCCTGCATCCCAGATCGACATCATTTGCTGACAGTGGAATAGGCGGCGTGTGTGGCTCTATCTTCCTCGACACGTCGTTCGAGAAACGCATTCGTACACTGGTTGGCGAAACGCAATATGCCAGGATCAAACCGATTCATAAGCTTCGAATGATGAAGATGTTTGAGCTTGGTGTCAAGCGATCCTTTACATCGGATTCTAACAAAGACTATTCCGTCGACTTGAGGGGCGTTGAAGACAACGCTGATGAAGGTATTGAGGATGACTGCATCACTCTAAAAAGGTCCTTGTTTTTCTATATTCTTGTTGCGCTTTTTCTAACCACGGACATCTTAGATCCATGCTCCGGACAGTCTTTGATTATGTCTGTGACCAGATCGACACTCTGGTCCAGGAGCAAGTAAACCAGGTTGAAGACCGTGGGTCTAAGGTGAAGGTAAGCTACGCAGTCCAAATCTATACCATTGTGCCTGTTGACTAGCTAAAATCACTCTTAACGTAGGCCATTCTACTCGTTGGCGGATTTGGATCTAGCAAGTACCTACACCAACGACTCGAGAGCTCATTCTCATCTCTTGGTATCAAGGTGCTTCAAGTGGATGGGGCGTAAGTAATTGTTCGTGAAGCCTCAATTTCACTGAGTTCTAATGTTATTTTAGTTGGTCTGCCATTTGTCGAGGTGCTTGTATGTGGGGACTTGAGCATGCCCATCGTCCAGGCGTTGGAGCAGAAGAGCAGCACAAACCTACTGTCATATCGCGGATTTCTAAGTACAGCTACGGAGTGTCCCTAGCTATGCCGTTTGACCGCAAGATACATCTCTGGGAGGATAGGGTGCTGGATCCTTCAAACAACACCTATCTGGCGAGCAATCAAATGAGGTGGCTACTGAGAAGGGTGAGTCACGAGTTCAGAGAAATACGCTCCCTTATCTAACACGATGAAGGGTGAAACAGTCACAAAGGAGCGAGTCCTCAACATCATGGTCGTTAGCTCTGTTCATGGTGTGGGGTTTCGCAGCATCGGGGACCGGAATTTCTCACATGAGCTCTTGTACTCCGAGGAACCTGAACCTCCATCGAGAATGGATGAGAGTAAGTTTCAAATACCAATGATAAATTCTCCACTGTTTGATTCTAACGACGAGGATGACAGATGTAAAACAGCTATGCTCGGTAGATTTCAATGTCCCGGAGTACAAGATTTGGATGGAAACGAGCTACAAGAGCGCTGCAGTTCCAGGGAAATGGCGAGATATGACATTTGAAATATTTGTGCTGTTAGGCAGCACAACTCTGGATTTTGTTGTTGCATACCAGAATGAGCCTGTGGGCCATGTCGAGGCAAAATACATACAAGATTTCTAGTTCTGCTCAAGGGGGCTGGCAATGAAGCATTGATAGTCGGGATTTAGGTAGCTCTAGTTTCAGAATTACTTCTTGAGATTACGCTTGGGTATGCGTAGACTTGACTTTCAAGGCAATCATCCTTCATTTCAAATCTGCAGTCCCAGGGCCGCGTCTTCTCTATAAATGCGCACGGCACCACAACCAAATACTTTGTCTGTCACGTTTAGAGACCGCGATGAGCCGTCGGAAGTGGCCATCAGTGAGTATTTTATGGCCATGGATTTGATCAGGCCCTTTTCTTTTCGCTGGCCGGTGTTGTGAAGTTTGCTATCAATCACTTATGAGTATGCCGAACTTGCCACAAAACATCCGTGGCCGGAACTTGGTAAAGTATTGACCACAATGTCGTTGCTAATCAATTCTCCGTGGAAAATGGGAAATACATGTGTTGTAGGGTTGTTGGAAATCCCGCCCTCCATTGAATCATGTCGCCGGCCCAGATCACGCCGAAGAAGTCATCGGGGATAGGAAACAGACGACAATGGAAACATTCGACATTGGTAGCGAGGTCACCCGGGGATGTTCATCCACACTTACGAATCTGTGTCTCGCCTCGGCTCACCGCAGAAGGTTTGTAGATCGTATGAGAAACGGACCAAGGTCTAAAGTGATCCGGAAAGTGGAGGTGGGGGCCCGAGGTTAAACGATATAACTCGTATAATCCTACACAGCCACCGTGTGGTTCTACAACTGCATTAGGTGGATATAACAACCTTTCTCTACCACTCAAAGACATCCCAATGAGAGATAGTATGGAAGGAACCCTGTCTAAGTTTGAGCCTGAAGGCAACGGAAATTAGCGACGCAGGGGTTCATGATGACAGTTTACTAAGCGGGACTACAAATACAAAGTGTTTTGCGTTAGCCCTTCCCCCACTGTCGGAAAGCTCTTTAACACAGTTAATTATGCTCCAACCGCGTTAAGGTGTGGGCCCACGCATTCCTTCGACCGTTTTGACATGAGACTGGAGAAAAGGCTCGAAGCAAAGCGTCCAAGCCGGCCGTATTAGTGATGTACGGCGTTGCATCTTGGTGTTACCTGCGATAAAAATCCTCCACGACAGCTCTTGAAGTTACCAGCCATGCAAAAGCAGCACAGCCTTCCAGACAGGTCTGTCTCGCGAGCCGTCTTTAGCACCCGAAGCTAAACGAATTCGATGGCTAAACGAGCCTTCCTAGTCGAGCACGGACATCCCGTCGAAGGCCGTTTCTTCCGACGGCATGGGGCTTTTGGAGGTCTCGTCGTGGGGCCGTCCGTCGGCAGGCTGGATGAAATGAAGCTGCAGTTCTCATAAGAAGAGAAGGTCGCAACGATATGTCCACTCAATCCAGCACACATCACATCAAGACTCGCACGTCATCTAAGCGCTCGACAGCCATGCTTCCTGGTCTTTTTATCTTCGCCTCCATCGGCCTCGCCAGTGCTTCGGCATCGCCGCAACAGCGAGACACCGAACTCATCCCCAAGCAGATTGCCATTGTGCGCCGCCGGTCTGGGTTGACACACAAGGAATACGTCAACTACCACGCTCTAATACACGGCCTCAAGTCGTGGAATGGACCCCGAGACAATTCTTTCCCTGCGGCCTACATCCAGGACCACACGTTTGACTCCGCTTTCGGTGTCAACGACAGCGTCCCGAACCAGATCTACGTGGGCCGGGACGATGTCACTGAGCTCTACGGGAACTCTTCCACTTCGTTCACATCGCCGCCTGCAACGAATTACACGGCCGAAGTGACCGGGCCTGACGGTTATAACTTCAATGATCTTGCAACTGCATTCTCCATGTTGGCATATGAGAAGCCTGTGCTTGGGTCTATCGACAGGAGTGAGACAGTGACCGACAAGATTGGCTCCGGTCCGGTTGTAGCCTTTTTCTGGGCCGCAGCGAAGCCTCAAATCTCGTCCAACGATACCTTTGGGGTGGACCTGGCGAATCAGATTGTCAAATTGATTCCCAAGGACACTCTCTACCGCGCCACCGTTCACATTCCAGTTCCAGGATCTGACACCAGACCGTACTTTGGTGGTGATACCATGCCGACTATGAACGCCGTCGTGAAGCTGTGGCTTCACCGCAAGCGCAATGCAGTTGAGCTGGTCAGGGCCGCCCAACTTAAGCTAGACAGTGATGCCCTGAACCTCAACCAGGATTTGTCTTTCATCGTCTTTTGTAACGAGGTAGTTCTGTGGGATTTTGCTAAGAAAGCCAAAGTGAGTAATAATCCTCCGTATTAAGCCCCTTCCGATAACATGCTAACGACTTTCTAGTTCGACGAGAAGCGAATCCAGGCTCAAATCAACAAAGAGTCGTATTAAAGGACAAGCTCAATAGGACAAGTTCAATAGGAGAAGATGTGAAAGGGTGCACTTTAGGTTCTGGTGAGAACTGAGCAGCTGTGGATGAGCTTAGTAAAGAGATTGTACGTAGTATCAAGAGGTTAGTGTGCCCTAGCACACACATTCCCAGAGGGGAGACTAGAAGCTCAACAGTAAAAAGAAAAACACCAACAAAAGAATACGGAGGCTGAGAGTAGGGTTTGCGGGGTGTCTTAACTTGGTGACGCAGATACAGGTGCAAAAGGGAACGCTCCACAATGTAGAGCCTTATGTACCGTACAATAGCACACTCCATTAGTACTGTAGCTCACTAAATATTATTGCTAAGACCGGCCCGTCCCACGGCGGTCGCGTAAAGCCGATTGGATTACCCTTGTTGTCTTTATTCTCGCGAAAAGAGGAGGTATACTCAATGTTACCCTAAATTGATTCACCGGATGCAGCCAAGACGGCTCCGGAAATTGCGGCATTTTCTCAACTGATATCACCCGGGAAAGCCTTAGGCTGCTGCTACCTGATTTTATAGCCTGCAGCGGCACTAAAATAGCTGTATATTTTGTCGTACGAACCCTATATTGCCTTAGTCAAGCTGAGGTGATCGAAGGGGCTGAACTGGTTTTATTTAGTCTGAAAGAGGGCCAAGTGGATCAAATGACTAAACGACGAAATTATCATCTCGGCGTTGTTCAAGTAGTGGTTCTTGCGAGCATAGGATACCGGGTTCGGGAGGGGAGACCGTTCCGCTAGTATTGCAACCTGACAGGGCTTGGTCTTCCGGATCACTGCTGCGAATCACTGTCAGGTAGACCAGGTGCTTGTGACATCCCGGACGGCCCGCATAGAGAATTGAGGTTGTTGGAACCCCAATCCCAGTGCTGCACGTCAGATGGGAGAAGGGAATTCTGCCCTCACCGACACCTTGCTGATAACGACATTGGTCAAGGAAAGGCAATACTTCCAGGTGGGTGCTATGTTGCAGACAGCGACCCAAGACGTGGCAGAGCGCAGCTCGTCAGAGACCCTGTCCCATGCAGTATGTAGGATGCAGCTTGCTGATGCAGCTGCGCAATCATATCCTTTTTAGAAGAAGGAATGGATATCAGCGCTACTAGGGGGGTTTGCTTTTGAGGCTTTCTAGTACTAAAAATAAATGCTTGACTTGATTAGGGTGCCAATTAGTATGGGGCTTGGAAGAGGCCGCGTAAAAGAAAGGGCCGAGGCGACGCAGACCGTCTAATAAATAGAGAGCAATATCGTCAATAAGAACTGATTCTTAAAAACATTTGTTAGAGTCATTATTTTGGCCCACACCTTGTGTCCTTCGTCCAAGCAATTGCATCGAAAACATAGCGTAATCATGGTCGACGTCGTCTCAATCGTTATCGCTGTCATTTCCCTCGTCGGCTCGTTTCTCACCGCGGGTATTACAGGGTGGTCCAACCAGTACACAGAAGACCGAATGCAGCGTGCTGAAACCAAGAAGCTGATCGCTAAATATCGCACCCCCCTCCTCTTAGCAGCACAAAAATTACAGTCCAGGCTGCGTGCTATCACGAAGGGGGGCATCCTTCTCTGCTTTGACGACGACGACGACGACAGCGACGAGATGATGGAGAATCTGAATTGCTACACATGCTACCTCGTGGGACAGTTTCTGGCCTGGGCGCTTATCCTCCGTAGCCAAGCACCATTTCCGCGATTCTCAGACGACAAAGGACAGCTCTTAACGCTCATTGACAACATTCAAAATACCTTCACTATTGACGAACTTTCCTATCAATATGCAGCAACCTAACAGTCCCGACCTCAGGGAACCTCTTCTCTCTCTGGCCTAGCTATCATCAGGCAATCGGTGAGATTATGACCATCAAAAGCGAGAATGGCGAGCGTGTCTGTATGGGGTATACTACCTTCATTGCGAACTGGAGGGATACATCTACGCCGGAATACACAAAAGACATGCCACTGCAGGCTGACAAGCGGCTTTATGGCAAACCTTTCCGAGCTTGGTCTGACCCACTTGTCAGAGGAATTCGGTCAATAGCTGAGGATTACAAGAATCCAGAAGGGGCCGTTAGGGGGCTGGATGGTGTCCTACGGAATTTACAAGATGAGTTAGACAGGTTGATTAAGACAATAGATCCGAAGAATCAGATAGTAGATGGAGAGGGAACTAAATCACATGAAATGGCCAGGCGTGGCTGGGACTGGAAAATTGTAAAAGGCGGCCAGAAGCCGAAGCTTAGTGTGACGGGCGGTGGGGGACTTTTAGGCTAGCTGGTTGCTAGCAGGGACGTCTTAAATGTTAAAAAAGGGAAGTTATAGCAGATAGAGCCGACGACAACAATCTGACACTAACCACGACGATAGTTGAGGGCGTTCCAGATCCACCCACCCCTTAGACGCGGCTCTACATCGCCCAGAGAACTTAGTACGTACGTCGGCGAAGGGGAACCGGGGGTGGTCGGCGGAAAACTGGGCATAGGGGTCAAAAGACAGTCTTGAGACACCCAGCTAGCAACAAGATAAGAGACCTCGTGGCTTGGGGGGAACTTTCAACCGGCGCAATCCTGTGGAATTCCTACCCAGTCAGTGTCCTTACCAGATATTTACATCACCACCCAGGGACACTCACACCGAAACTCGATGCCCTGGTTGGAAGCTCCTCTCTGATCTCCTTGACCAGTCCCTACGTGCTTGCCAACGCCTTTCGGAAAGAGGCTCATGGGTGTGATCTGGAAGGCATTGGGCAACAGGTATCCACTGTCGTGTCACAACCCAGGGTCTTTCTTGTGCTATTCAGCCAGGAAGGAACTCAGTATTGATTCCATGGCACCCAAGTATAGATTAATCGAAATGGGACAACATAGACACAGATTCCGGGCCAGGACTGTTGTCTCCGCAAACCGTTCCTCCCGTCCCTGGGTTGATCAAAGTCCCGCTAGTCTTCCACCGAGGCATTCAGCCCAGAGATCCGTCGCCGCTTTAAGAACCTAGTTGTCGACCAGGCCTCCATTGTGGATGCTGCAATGCATCCCTTGGGTCACTCATACCTACCGCCTGAAGTGTCTCTCAGTACCTGGCTGGAGTGATCCCAGGATCTATGTCGGTCCCCAGCCCGTGACAGCATGCTTATGGGACAGCAGTCCTTGCAGTTGAAGTATCCTTGAAGATTGGCCGGGCGCAAAATGTTAAGTCAGTAATACATATACTAACATTCTCCTCAGTCCTGCGGCTACACTTCTATCTCAAATTCTCTCCACCATACTCTACCACTCCTTCTACTGCGTCTTTTGTTCCTAACAGCACAGCCACGTACCTCGCGCTCTCCGTCCTACTCAGGTTCTTCCACTTATGCATAGGTGCCCTCTGTATAACCACATCTCCCTTCTTTACCACCCTCTTTTGGCCTCCATCCAGAGCTAACTCTAGCTCCCCTTCAAGCACCACAATGTAATCTATAGTCTGCGTCCGGTGCCAGAACCCTTCTTCCTGTTCCGGATTAGGCCCGAAATCCAGATAAGTGATAGTGCTACTCTCTGCGCCAGGAAACTGATATGGGGGGCCAGAGGAGGCAGTAGCGTAGTAGTGGGTTAGGTCCGCATTGTTGGTTAGGGTAAAAGAGGGCGGTGTAGAATAGATGTAGGATAGTGTTGCTGTAGGGCCTAGAGGTTGAGGCAGGGGTGGTGTAACGGAGAGGAAAGAGCTTTTAGTATCCGAGCTCGAGCCTGTTGTAATATAGACGTTAAGGTCGGAGGATTTGGTCGCCATCTTGATTGGGTTTGTTTGGCCCGAATTGGTTTGTGGTACTGGGCTCCTAGACTTATGATAACGAGAGAAGGTTGATTTATATTCCTCGGGCGTAACAACTCGGACTTCGGATTCTACAAAGCATTTGGGTCGTTCTCACATTAGGGTAAACGGTTCAATTATAAGTCCGAACAACAAGAATGTACCGTATACGGTTCAATTTTAAGTCCGAATAAGAATGTATGGCACTTATACGGTTCAATTCTGAGTCCGAAAACAAACCTGTGCGGGACACGGTTCAATTCCAAGTCCGAGCCGTCACGTCCCCGCTCGGCTGCAACATCCGTTGCCACGTGGGCATAAGCGCCCCCACTACTTTCGACTAACCACTCTGGATCACCTAGATTACATTGTGAAGAATATGATCTGGGATCACCAGGATTAGTATGTAATCCTGGTAATCCTCACTAGACAGCCAGTACCTAAGTAGTTAACTGAGGAGTATACTGAATCTAAATATAGCTTCTTAGCTATTAATATAATTTAATTATCTAGCTAACCGCACTGGCTAGGTATCGCTAGATATTTAACCTACCTGGAATAAGCAGGTGGATATCTAACTATGTATTTCTCCTGAATAATAATACTTAAACTTAGTTAAAATTAATTATTAAGGACTATATCAGTATGCACATAACTTCTTTAACAATTACGCTTTCTGTGAGAGCCGTGCTTAGTCCAGGCTAGCAGTCTAGGGTAGGCGCGGGTCGTAGTGTTCAGTTCCCAATACGGATCAGGACGTAGGGTGTAAGTTAACTTAAGTCGCAGTGCAGTTACTGCGATTCTTGGGGTTACGATCCTTGGGTAATTGGCCAGAAAAGGTGAGTACGTTACGGTTCTGCCGGTTGCGAACCCCAGTCCAACCAGGGCGTAACACTTTAACCATCAGCCCAGACTAAGCACGGCCGTCATATATTATCAGATCATCCACTGATTGCTCTTTCAAACAGCAGAATTCAGGTTTCAGGTCTCTGGGTACTCTTGATGTATTGGTTGAGATCCATGGGTATTAGCACAAGATCGTTTTAACCTAAGTGCCCTCGACCTGAGCCTGAAGTGTGGTCTTGAAGCCAATCTACTGTGGCCCCACAGGGAAAATAAGGCAGGAGCTGGGAATCCGCCCACTTAATTTATAGGGGAATATTACCTGCCCTTGCTCAATAGAAACCACCGATCCTTACTCAGAGACTGTGAAATAACGGATGCAGCATAGAGCTACAGTTCACCAACTCACAGAAAAATTATGATTAATTGAAAATATAAGTGCTGTGAAGATTTTATTTTTTGTAAATGTCAATCATGTTAAAGAGTCTATAGAGTGCTAGATGCCGAAATTCTATGATACACCCCCCCTGAACCAACTTAATCAAACACATCTGTAGCATATCGCTCGTTACGGACACTCTCGAACCATGCCGCCGTTGCCTCCTCGCTAATCGAATCCCCTGGCTTCCCACTCTGTTCCATAATAATCCGGAATATAATATCCTTGACATCACTCGCCATCTTGTTAGAGCCGCAGACAAAGATCCTGGCGTCCTTCTGCCATAGGTCGACCAAGGTCTTTCTTTCTCGCCAGATACGATCTTGCACATATTTGCATCCCAGCGAGGCCGCAGGGTTTGCGCTGTATGCCCGGAACACGGTGACCGCGCCGGCTGCTTCCCACTTGTCAAACTCTTCACGGTAGAGATCGTCAACACCGGGGTCGCGGCAACCGAAGAAGAACGATGCAGGCGCAAGGGTACGTCCGCTCTCGAGCAGTATCGCACGCTCCTGGATGAAGGCTCTAAATGGAGCCATGCCCGTGCCAGCGCCAATGCAGATGATGGGGATGTTTTCCATATTGACGGGTAAACGGAAGGTTCCTGCAGCCTTGCGGACTGATACTTGCAGCTTCTCGCCCACAGCAAGGGATGAAAGGTAGGACGTTGTTACACCGAGGTGTCGTCCATTCCCGGACAAGGCTGGCTGGTCAAGGACACTGTAAGTCAAAGACGCTATGCCTGGGTTCGAAAGCGGAGAAGAGGATATCGAGCTATGGGAACCACAGGTTAGTCTCATTTTGGCAGAGACCTTGTTGTCTCGGACAGGTGGAACTGAGGTTGACTTACTACTGTCGCACTCGCATTGGTGGTAGAATTTGGAGGAAGAGACTAAGAGGGATTGGTAGGTCGGGGAATCGTTCGACAATATCTAGCACCGAAAGCCGCTTGGATTTGACCTCTGTGTCGTAGCCGTCAATCCCGAACTGCTTGATCTTCTGCTTCAGGGCGTCATCTTTCGCAAGTTCACAGAGGCCCTGTATGTTCTGTATTCTCGAGTCAGTTGAAGGCCGCAGTAATATTCCGGAATGGAATCAGTTTGCTTAATGGGAACCAATACTTACGCGCTTGGTAGCCGGCTGGTTAAGTTCCACGTAAGAATTCAGCACGTCAGTGACCGGAATACTGATATCTGTTGGCAGGGTTGTTGGAGAGGAGGCGGCAATGGTAACATGGCAGTCCCACGCCAAATGAAAGCGCCGCATGACCCTTGCTACGCTTTCCTTCGGGTTGTGCGGCAACACGGCGAGATAGTCACCTGCCGAGTAGACCATATCACTGGGGAGTGCCAAGGCGATATGCCTCTTGCCCACAGTTGTTTCCCCTGGCTCGAGAGTGCGAGCTTCAACAACCACGGCCTCCTTGACATCTTGGCGGAGGGTTAAGGCTCTGGGAGTCGAGAAGGAGACACTGAGGCCTGTTTCTACATCCTTGTCGTCAGTGGTTCGGCCACCAAATTGTTTTGCGAGTGCAGGCCAAAGTGTCTCGTCTTCCCACGTCTCGAAGTCTGTGAACATGTCCCTATCCTTGGCATTTGTAGTCCCTAGGGGGCAAACTCGATGAGCCCCCAGTTCCTCTAGCGTAGAATCGACCAGCTTTGGAACGCGCTGATACGTCTTGACCCAGTCTCCATGGCCTGTTCTAAAGTGAGTAAATCGACTTCAAGGAGGAATATCCGAACGTACCACAGCCATAGACGGCGTACGACACATCTTTGAAGGGGGTGCCCTTCAGATTCCCGATCCAGTCCACGAAATGGGCGGCATTGTGTGGTGGCTGTCCCTCGTAAGAAGCCGTGATGATGACGACGGGTCCGTCGGTGGGGAGTGCCTCTCGAGCAGCATCCAATGAGTCCACTGTAGCTTTAAAACCTTGGGCGGTAGCATCGCTTGCCAATCTTTGGGCCATGAACTCACACGTTCCAGCATTCGAACCGTAGTAAATGGCCAGCTTCTTCATGTTTCCACCTGTCGTTGAGGCCAGACTTGAAGAACTTCCATTGCCTTTACCATCTGTTGCCCCCGAGCCAGTGCTAGGAACATCGCCACGGAAGGAACCGGCCAGGCGAGATTCCAAAAGAGTAGGCGTCAGGCCGTCCCGAAGGATAGCACGAACGTTGAAATCCTTGGGCTTAATGGTGAGCGTTTGCGAGATCTGCAGGGTATAGGACGGGTTATCCATGACGAAATTGAAGTTTTGCATCAGCAAGGCCAAGGCGAGAGTCATTTCCTGCCATGCAAAAGCCCGGCCGATACAACCTCGCATTCCCGTGCCGAAGGGAGCCCAACAGTGAGGAAACTCCTTCATGAGCCTGTCGAAGTTCTCATCCAGCATTCTCTCCGGTTCGAATTCCTCGGCGGTATCACCAAAGACTGCTGGGTCAAGGTGTGACTTGGACAACATGCAGATGATTTGTTCTCCAGCTTTGACCTTGTACATGCCGCCAATTGTCTCGTCTTTAATAGCCTCTCTGGCGAATGCCGGGATTGGCGCGCTAAGGCGTAGAACTTCTCGGATGACCTAATGAGCAATGAGGTTAGTACTGTGACGAGGGCGGGAATTAATTTGGAGTGCGTTTGCCAATGATGGCTTCGATAACCACGTACCGCGGACAAGTACTTCAGTTTCCCAACATGTTCCACCAATATGGGACCTTTTCCGATGATATCGTCAACTTCTTGTTGAACCTTGCGGTAAACTTCGGGATGCTTGAGCAATTGGTATATGGTAAAGGTGAAGGTGGCGGCCGTGGTTTCATGACCTGCAACCAGGAAGGTGATCAAGTTGTCGATGATGCTCTCGTCGGTCATCTTGCAGCCTGTCACAGGATCGACACCATTGAGCATGGCGGTCAGCAGGTCTTTCCGGCCGCTGTTCTCGCCTTCCTTTTTCCTTGATTGCAAGACCTCGTTGGCTGTGGTGCGCAGGATGTTGATATTGGCCTTGTATTTGCGATCGGCAGATTTGTGGAAGACGGACGGAAGCACCCTCATGGTCTTGTCGCCGGCTTCTTTCAACACGGCGTACATGGCTGCGATAAATGGATGCATGTCGTCGCGGTAGTAAGAGTTGAATCGGAACCCCATTGAACACAACGCGACTGTGTCCAGCGTGAGTCGTGTTAGATCTTCGCCAACTTGAATGGCTGTTGAGGGGCCGTGTCGAGCCCATTTCATGGCAAGTTGACCTGCCACATCATGCATTTCGTCAAACATTCCCCTAATCGCTAGGGGACCAAAGGCAGTCATTAGTACACGATGAGCAATGCCCCAATTTGGCTCGCTTGCTCCTTTGGACTGATGGACGATTAGATGTGCTTTTTTCGCAAGGTCATATTCAGTATTTGGGAGGGTTGCTCACTGTGAAAAGGCCGTCGTGGACGGCATCTCTTAGCTCCTGGGGAGCGAATATTCAGCAGGGCATCTTGTGCATCAGGCGAGATCCGACTTACCTCGAGTTCACCCTCAATGGACTTTTGGAATCTCGTGTCGTCGCAAGTTTCATGGACGTAATCATAAGAGGACACAAACACGAGTTTCTTGCCAGCCAGCGTCAATTTGTAGATGGCACCTGCGGAATTAGCAAACCATGCTGTGACACGCAGAATATTTTTATCGGGGTGATTCTTACCGTACTTGGTTGCAAAATGCGTCAAGGACCGTAGGGGAAATTCCATATCAATGTCGCCGACATTGCCCAACAGGGGGATGCGCGGAGGCCGTGGGATGGGTTTGCATTCAGACGCCATGATGATTTGCCGATGTGGTTCGTTGGCTAGGTACTTTTCAGAGTCGTGAAGGCGGGTATATGAGTTGCGAGTTAAAAACAAGATACACTAACTGAGTGACGCCTGGTAGACGTCTTTATATTGCGAGGAGAATATGGCGGCCTATGACGTTAGATGATCCTACGACGTAGCCATCCACGAATAGGTCATTACAGGGGCTTATTCACTGGAACGGAACACACCGCCGGGCCTGTCTACGGCCGAGACGGGGAGTCTTTCGTCCATCCGGTGCCACTGAAACAAGGGACGCGCCTCCGCGGGCATCCGGATCTTCTAGGGCGTTGCATCGTGTGTGGCTGCGCCAGCGCATGATGAGCCACCTTCGGGCCCGCGGACGCCGATCAGCACGGCTTCACGTCTAGGTTGCAAGCCGAGCAGCTACGAGAATGTGCGACGCATGGACACTTATTATCACGGGAGTTCCGAATTGTAAAGCTGGATTTCCGTATTGCAGCGTTATATTGTCGCACAACCATTCTGCTGCGCATGCGTACGTCACCTCTAAGACCCCCATTCTTGTTTTTACTGCATTTCATTTTACACGCGAGCACGAGAGCAACGATATGGTCGAGCCAACCCGAAGGCGGAGCCCTCTAATTTTTATTTTTTAAATTCATTTCTCTCTATTTCTACTAGGGCACATGAAGATACCCGACGCGTCAGTGCCACCGAGGTTGCGCGACATACGCAGGTTTCGGCACTTGCCCTTGAATGAAGGTCCACCGCGAAGGACTTGATTCCTGAATCTAGCTACGTCCACAGACTGACAAACGCAAATCCAAAATCCAAATTTACAGACATGCCCTCCCGGTCTTCTGCCTAGCACTCGCCTACTGCTGGGTACTGTAACTGTCCGAGTTCCTGCGTCCATCACAGGTGTCCGAAGTCAGCTGTCCATCAAAGACGCCCGAACTCAGCTGCTCCTCAGAGTTGGCCGTATTCCGCCGAAAGACGCGTGACGTCCACAGACGTAACCTGCTTTGGCGCTTATCCAGCTTGGCCCTGTTAACAAGCCACCATTGAAGAGTCATGGCCGCCATGGCGCTGTTCCATATAAACCCTACCATCATCCCTACCGAGAATGACAACGAGGTGGATATGATGCTCGTTCCACAAAGGGTCATGACTCCAAAGTCATCAATACCATCGGGCAAAGCAAACCCCGATATAAGGAGCACGGCCTGGCAGAGAAATATGTCAAAGTATCTAATGATCTTCCGTATCCGGTACCATCGCCTATCCATGTAGCGCCACGACCGGAAACGCCTCTCGATAAAGTACAGACCGATTGCGAACGTCGAGAGAACCGCAGTGACCAGTCCGATGATCTGTTAAAGCAATAATTAGCGTCATAGCTGCAATTGCAACGCGCTGCTTACCCCGTGTTCCGTTCGGAAATGGTCTGACAATCCCATGCCAACCACGCCGCACGCCATGCCAATGGCAACAAACGGTAGAAAGAAGACCACGTAAAGGATGATCTGCCATTTTTCAATTCTTGTTTTGAGCAACGGTCGCTCTATCAGTTCGCAGAGAACTATCAAGGACGACAAGACGAGGATGATTGGATATACGACGAAGAAAGCAAGAGTCATACATCCCACTGTTTGGTCAGGCATGTTCAGTCTGGGACGGGGGATTAACTTACAGTGTATGCTGGTCATCAGAATCAAGAGAAACTCTGACACTGTATTGACGTGGTATGTGTTTTTCGGGAAATCGATTGAATAGGTGTTGCCAGAGCTGGTAATATTGACTGGGCATGTTGGAACTGACAAGCCAGCGATCTGGGACGCGGAGATATTTGTTTCGAGCATGTCCTTTAGCCCAGCGACACCCTTCTTGAGCCAGCAATTGGAGTTTCCCGTCACGGCGTCTATCTTTTTTTGCAAAAAGTCGGTGACATACAGCTCGTTGAATGGACTCCTGAAGCAGTCTAGTCCATCTTGTTCGTCCTCTGACCTTGGCACATGGGGCCATTGCGAACTCCGGATTGACAATAGCCCTGGGGTGTCGGTGCGAGGCTCTGCATGAGGTGTATCTGGTTGCGCGGCAGGCACTATTTCATGGTTCTGGTTGACGGGCAGAACATCGGTCTTGACCACCAATCTGCGGTGACTGAAGTCGAGATTCCGATCTAGGCTTCCGCCAATCTGGATCGCAATTGAGATTGAGGGGACACATGCCAGAAACAGCAAGTGGTAGATTCGAGACGACATAACGCTGGCGTGTTTTGTGGTCTGATGACGGAGGATCTGACTATCTGCCTAGGAAAGGGCTACTGCTAACTAAGTAATAACATCTTGGTCCGCGGGAATGTCGGCAAATACGAGACAGGGGCTGAGTCTCAGGATTACGCACAGATTCGTTCAGCCATGTTTTGAGTTCAAGCGTTGAAGTGAGACGGGCGTCCGCGGACCTCCGATGAATTAATTAGATACTAAATGCGGAGTGGGATTTGAAGTCTTAGGTCTATTTACAGGGGGCAAGATGCTTATCCAAGATTGCCGTGAAATCTCACTCAAGTGCCGAGGAATTTAGCGTCTCCTAGCCCATTTTTCACTCTTGTGCCTCCTTATCGGAGATGCAAATATCGATCGTTTTGCGGGTAAGAGTGGAAATCTAGAGACAATACCTTCTTGAACTTAGGGTTTTACAGTACCTTGACATGATAATATTTTACACTGGTCTCTGTGTTGATGGGTTGGCTTGGCAGCTGAGAATATCATCACGATATAGGGTATCTAGGGCGGCAGGTCGTTAAGACAACTATAGATGATCTTTGAGATCCCTGAGAAGTTGTATACACAATACACTGCACACACCATGTAGGGTAAGTAATCCCACAGCCGCACCGCTAGCCTGAGCCCGGCGGAGGTAGACTGCCAAGGGACACAAGCAGTACGAAATAAGCATCACGAAAGTTCAAATTCTTGGCCTTCCCGTTGGGCTAACCATAGACCACCCCGCTTGATTAATTCGCATTGCCGTGTTTCCGGATCGACTGCGCGGCACTTTCACAACTACGTCACTGGCAATTACGGAGAGACCGAGCGGGCTGAGCGGCCATGCTCGTATTGTATTAGCTTAGCGGTTTGGTGGCGCAGTTTCCGAGAAAGTGGGCCGTGAGTCCGAATTATGCGAGCTCGGTAGCCCGCGGACGTCGAGCGGCCGAGTTGACGATTTGCAAAGCGTGTTTATTGGTGATGGGAATCAGGATTAATAGGAAGCTATAGAATGTAGTCGTGTTGTAGCATTGGTGATAATTCATTTTAAACCGTCTTATCATCACACCGTTCCATCTTAACAGCTCCCGATTCCCTCTTCAAGGCCTCGTCGCCACCCCATCCGTATTATCAACACTTTCACAGCTGAGGATGCATACCGAAAAAGAAATAGAACCGTCAAATTCGGCGTCTCAAACAACTTGGGCCTCTGGAGAACGGCCGCCGGCGTCCTTACAACTACCGCCCCTTTCGCTTGAAAACGATACGGAGAGCACTGGTCGTAACTCTTCCGAAGACACCATGACCGAGAATATCAGCCATCACGCCCCCAATTGCCACCGGAGCCAAACCTACGAGCGTGCCGAGGCTATGGGGCCTGACTTGGTACAGCTTACCCAGCGTATTACCGCCAACTCCAACATTGTTGGAGGCAATGCGAACGCCCTAGCTCCACTCAGCGGCAGCGAACTGGACCCCCATTCTCCTATATTTGACGCAGTCGCCTGGGTGAAAGCATTTATGGCACTGATTCAATCTGATCCCGAAGCACCGCCGACCCGGAAAAGTGGAGTGTCCTTCCGTGATCTGAGTGCCTTCGGATACTCGCTGGGCTCTGATTACCAGAAGGATGTTGGCAACGTCTGGCTTTCTCTGCTCTCTTCCATTCGTAACTTGGTCGGGATGAACAGCAGCCGCCGCCGAAGAATAGACATCCTCCGAGATTTGGAAGGCCTTGTTGAAGATGGCGAGATGTGCATCGTGCTTGGTCCCCCCGGGTCTGGGTGCTCGACCTTTCTCAGGACGATATCTGGCGAGGCGGACGGCGTTAGCATCAGCCCCGACTCTTACTTGAACTTCCGAGGTATGCAGGATATCCTGAATTTGCGGCTCTTTCTCCGATGTCAACGCTAATACCAATCAAAGGCATCGATACTCGTTACATGCACAACTGGTTCTGTCGCGACGTGCTTTATAATGCCGAAGTCGATACTCATTTACCACATCTCACCGTTGGCGACACTTTAACATTCGCGGCTCGCGCAGCGGCTACGAACTATACACCAAGAGGTTTGTCAAAAGAAGAGGCTAGCGATATGGTCCGAGACGTTGTGATGGCCACGTTTGGCATCTCCCACACCGCGAAGACACGAGTGGGCGATGACTATGTTCGTGGAGTCAGCGGCGGGGAACGGAAGCGCGTTAGTATCGCCGAGGCAACGCTCACAGGTGCAAAGGTTCAATGCTGGGACAATGCTACCCGTGGTCTCGACAGCGGAAACGCAATTAATTTCTGTGACGCGCTGCGAGTTCAAGCGGATCTGATGGATATTACATCCATCGTCGCCATGTACCAGGCTCCCGAGTCAGCGTATCAAGTAAGTAGTTACATGGCGTTACCCTCTGAATTTATGGCGCTGACGACAAGGCAAGCTGTTCGATAAGGTCTTGGTCCTCTACGAAGGACGACAGATCTATTTCGGACATACTCAGGAGGCCAGGCAGTACTTTGAGGATTTGGGCTTTGAATGTAAGGGTTCCTTTCTACCCATCGCTGTGTTACTTCTAACTAACCACTCCCAGGCCCTGATAAACAGACTACGCCAGACTTTCTGACGTCGATGACAAGCCCCGAAGAGCGCCGAGTCAAACCAGGATTCCAGCCCTTGCCCCCACGGACTCCAGATGAATTCGCGCAGCGGTGGAAGCAAAGCCTCCAACGCGATCTCCTGCTACAAGAGCTTGAAACGTACGAAAAGTCCCACCCTCCGGTCCAGCGCCTCGATGAGTTTTCCCAATCGCGGCTGGGAGAGAGGAGCAAGATGCAACGCCTCAAGTCTCCTTACTCGCTTTCATACTTGGAGCAGATCCGGATCGTCCTCTGGCGCAGCGTCCAGAGACTGAAGGGCGACCCGGCGTTTACCATTGCGCAGCTGCTCTTCAACCTGACCATGGCTTTGATCCTTGGAAGCATGTTTTACAACCTCAAGCCGGATACGTCAAGCTTCTACTACCGCGGCGGTCTCATGTTTTTCAGCTTGCTTTTTAATGCTTTCTCAAGCCAGCTCGAGGTAGAAGACCTGCTCCCTGTGATGTCTGAAGAATGTGGCTAATCCATGGCATATAGGTCCTAACTCTCTATGCACAGAGGCCAGTTGTCGAAAAACACAAGCGATATGCCCTTTACCACCAATCCGTCGAGGCCATTTCCAGCTATATCATTGACCTTCCCTACAAGACATTAAACATGTTCCTCTTCAACGTCATCATTTACTTCATGGCTGGTCTTAGGAAAGATGCCGGGGCTTTCTTCTTCTTCTGCCTCACAACATACGTCATCACCCTCGTCATGTCCGCTCTCTACCGGACTCTCGCTTCCGTCACCCGCACTTCGGCTCAGGCCATGGTCCCAAGCTCTCTTCTAACAATGGGAGTTATGATCTACACTGGATTCACGATCCCAACGAAGTACATGCCTGGCTGGTCAAGATGGATGAACTACATTAACCCGCTCGCCTACGCTTTCGAAGCCCTGATGGCGAATGAATTCTCCGGGAGGCAGTTCCCATGCGCCCAAATTGTACCGGCTGGGTCGGGGTATGAGGTACTTCCAGTAGACTCGACCATATGCTCCACTGTAGGCGCCCTCCCAGGAACCACCACTGTTGATGGAGATCGCTACCTAGCACTCAGCTTTGAGTACTACAATAAGAACAAGTGGCGGTAGGTTCAAGTGTCTTCTCAGTGGTGTCACAATGCTGATCAAAACTCAACTAGGGACATTGGGATTCTCTTTGCATACCTGGGCTTTTTCTTTATTGCTTATATCGTCGCTGCCGAGTTCGCCAAGCCCCCGAAGACGCAAGGAGAGGTCCTAGTTTTCCGCCGTGGTAAGATCCCTTCGGCCGTTTCCATGGGCGAAAAGCAACAAGACCCCGAGTCACCCCCACTCAGCAGGCCGGCTGGTGCTCAAAAGACGGAAGCCAATACGAAACCTGAGCAAGATATACCTGGCGAGCAGAAGCCTGTGTTTCACTGGCAAAATCTCTGCTACGATATCAAGATCAAAGGGCAGCCACGTCGGATCCTTGACAACGTTGACGGCTGGGTCAAACCTGGAACCTGTACTGCCTTGATGGTAAGTTCGCCGGTCACCGATCAATGGACTAAGAAGCCGTAGGCTAACTTGGAGATAGGGTGCATCCGGAGCAGGAAAGACGACATTGCTAGACACGCTGGCCACCCGTGTCACCATGGGTTTCATCTCTGGCGATACACTGATCGACGGCAAGCCCACAGACGCTTCCTTCCAGCATCGCGTTGGATACGTCCAGCAACAGGACATACATCTTGATACCATGACAGTGAGAGAAGCTTTAGTATTCAGCGCAATCCTGCGACAGTCGGCCGAGATCTCCAAGCAAGACAAACTCGCCTACGTCGATCATGTTATTGAAATGCTTAGTATGCAAGAGTTCGCCGATGCCATCATCGGTACTCCAGGCAGCGGGCTTAATGTCGAACAGCGCAAGCGGTTAACAATTGGCGTTGAACTGGCCGCTCGTCCCCAGCTTCTTGTTTTCTTGGATGAGCCGACATCTGGTCTCGACTCCCAAACATCGTGGGCCATATGCGATCTTATCCAAACACTTGTCAATAGTGGGCAAGCCGTCCTCTGTACGATCCACCAGCCCTCCGCCATGCTCTTCCAACGATTCGATCGACTGCTGCTGCTACAACCTGGTGGCAAGACTGTATACTTTGGTGGTATGTCGGCCTAACGAAACTTATTATTCCGTAGAGCATGCTGACACGCGTGGCAGAACTCGGGCCCAATTCATCAACCTTGATCAGCTATCTAGAGCGCAACGGAGCGCCCAAGTGCCCAGCCAACGCCAATCCCGCTGAATGGATGTTGGAATCCACGTCACCAGGCAAGGGATCGTTGGAGTGGTTTGACATTTGGCGCTCTTCGCCTGAGTACAAGGAAGTACAGGCCGAGCTCCAGAGACTTCGCGATCGCTCCAACTCGCCTCAACCGGGTACTAACGACCAGGTGGATGCATCTCAACATCAGGAATTCGTTGCTCCTATCACTGTTCAGTCGTGGGAGGTCTTGAAGCGAACTGCCGCCCACTACTGGAGATCTCCTACTTATATCTATTCGAAAGCATCACTCGCTATCTTCTCAGTAAGTAAAATACATGCCTTCCCACTTATCCAGCACCACGATTTTAACAGAAACTCTTTAGTCACTATACATCGGCTTCAGCTTCAGCGCCAAGAACAGTCTTCAGGGCTTACAAAACCAACTCTATGCTTTTTTCATGTTTCTAGTGCTTTTCGGCAATCTCAACGAGCAGATTATGCCCTTCTTTATCCCCCAGCGCGCTATCTATGAGGTCCGCGAGCGAACTTCAAAGATTTACAGGTGGCAAAGTAAGTGCTATATGAACCTTGCAAACTTCCACTGCCCATACTAACCAAAGCTTCAGCATATCTCCTCGCCAACGTCGTTGTTGAGATAGCCTGGAATACCGTCTTGGCTGCCGTGGTGTTCTTTTGCTGGTACTATCCTGTCGGCTTCCAGGCCAATACCACTGGTGATGATGCTGCGAGTCGCGGCTTGCTCGGCTTCTTGTTCCTCTGGCAATTCTTTCTCTTTACCAGTACTTTCTCTCATCTCGTCATCATTATTTTCGACACGCCCGATCTCGCTGGCACTCTCGCCAGCTTAATGTGGATGCTTTGCATATCCTTTTGCGGGTGAGTCTACTCCTATTTGGGTCAAGAGTCTTCACAATAAGACTAGAGGAGACAAGTGGCTAATCGTACCGCAGTGTGGGTGTTAAACGTGTGGACCTACCAGCCATCTGGCGCGACTTCATGTATCATGTATCGCCAGCAACCTATTTGGTGAGCGGCGTGATGTCAACATGTATCCACGGCAGCAAGGTGGTTTGCTCGTCCAACGAAGAGTTGCAGGTAGCGCCGCCTACGAACATGTCTTGCCTCGAGTTTCTGGGCCCGTATGCCTCTACCGCTGGCGGACATCTGCTCAACCCTGCCGCAGTGGATACTTGTAGATATTGCCCGATGTCGAACACTGACCAGTTTCTCGCGACCTTCAACATCGACTACGCGGATCGTTGGCGCAATTTTGGGCTGCTATGGGTGTACATCGGCTTCAATGTGGCCGCCACAGTGGCCATCTACTGGCTCTTCAGAGTCCCCAAAAGCGCTGGCATGAAACAAGTCTCTGCAAAGTCTGGATAGACGAAGTGAGATTCATAGCCTACCCTAGGCTGGCTCTGCCATGTATTATTATCTTCCTTTTTTCCTTTCTTTCTTTATCTTGTAAGAGAAATGTTGTTGCAAAATTATAATTATAGAAGCGGTTTAGGGTAGCCATGATGTAGGGTGCTGAAAGCTATCGGTAAGGGAATGGGGTTGATGCTGTATATATAATACTAAATATCTGACTAGGAGGAAAAATGTATACTGATTGCTACTGTAATAGAAAGGTTGATATACTAGGTAGTAATTAATCGCACTAAAGAAGTGGTATCATAAGGGTTGGATTGATGTTTAACTCTAGGGCTACAGCTCTTTATGACCCTAAATAAGGGCGAGAACCGCACTGAGAATGACGAGGGCCATACTCATGCTGAGAGTAGATGCAGCGTCTGCTTTATCGTCATTTGAGGTGCTATCGCCAGTTGCCGTGCTAGAGTCACTTGAAGTGCTGGTTGCCGATGAGAAACTACCAGACGAAGAACTCTCGTCCGAAGAATCACTTGAAGAGGCACTTGCAGAGGCACTTGAAGAGTCACCCCCAGAACCGTTACCAGTGGTATCGTCGCAACTGCTTGCCGATAAGCATACCATGCCGTTCTCGCAATAATCGCCCGTTACGTCGGAACAACAATTGTTGTCGCTTGAGATACAGCCTGCAAGGTGGGAGAGTAAGTTGCATGTCCAACATAAGGATAATATCGTGGTTTTAGGTCACTTACCGCCTCCACAAATCGACTCGCCGCTGCCGCAATCGGGCAGAGAGCTACCACCACCGCTGCTAGAGCTATCATCGATGCACGTGTCTGATGTTGTGCAGGTTGTGCCGGCCTCGCAGTAGATTCCGACGGTAACATCGCAGCACATGGCGTCGGAGGGAATGCAAACGTCGGCGCACACTTGGCCATCGCAGCTATCCTGGCGAGAGAGAAGCTTGTACCCGACTGATTTGGCGACAAGGGCTGGGGTTCGGCCGAGAGCAAGCGTGGCTGGGATCTCAAACTGGAGAGATTCGCCCGCGTTTAATAGGAGCAGAAGAGAGGTCGTAAGGAGCTTCATGGTGGTGGTTGGACGCTCAGTTCAAGCGAGAAGACAGAAGACTATGTACAAGCAAGATGATAGATTTACTGAAGAACAGAGAGGGGGCTTGGCTCTTTAATGTATCCGAGGGAGAGGCACTCGGCCTTGCCAGCTGAATGTGGGTAGAGGGGACCTTAGTGGCACGATTCAGATTGGGAAACAGCCACATTCAACACTCATTGTGGGTAATTGGCTGGATCGGGGGTGTTATGTTCATAGAAGCCTTCGGAGCCGAGCCTAAAGTATGGTTATCTGGCTAGTCTGGACTAAGACAAACTAGTGAAATATCGAACGCCGCTATTTACCAATATTTCTCCCTTGGGCGGCATAGCGTAGGCATTCTCAGTGATCCTAGTCATGAAGCCCCATTATTCTCCCCCTTAGCGTTGATAACTGAGTCTCGACTGCCTTGGTCCGACGATCCAGCGCTTGATATTGACGGGCGTTACGGTGTGCTAACCTCGTTTCGGTTCGGATTTTTTTATAGCTGAGCTTTTCATTGATCACATCTAGCGAGGCGAACGCGGGCTCCAGTAGTTAATCTCTCATGTGACTGAATACGATCATCCGCGGACTCTGTTTCACCGGAACTTCCGGGTGGCCGCAAAGCACTAGTGAAGAGGCCCACGTGGATGCATCCTATTGAAGTCGAGACACTGGTCCAGGAGCACCTCCCAGAGGGAATCTTCAGCCATAGTAGTGCCGAGTTCCGGTCCATTACCCTCAGATCTAACATTTTAGCGCTACGTCCACTTCGGCAAGCAGGGCGAGCCAATCCATGCCTGCAGTCGCTGAGGTGTCGCCACCAGCTGATAAAGAGGTTTCTTTGACTCTACCAAGCCAGCTGTAGTCATATTCGGTGCGGACAACGCTGATGCCTTACGCGTTGAACATACTTTTTTGGGGAATCACCCAAGAGCACGTTGGGATTTATAACAGCCGGATTAACTCTCATTTGGCGACTCGCTCATACAAGGGAGACGACATCCTAAAGTGGGACCCCACAGTAATAAAAGCCTGTTACTTTGGGTGTTTTTGGGCCTGTTCCTGTTGTAATTCCTGAATAAATCACCGACAAAATGGAATTCCGTCACCTAGACAAGGCTGGTGACGGAGTTACTAGTACAGACCAGAAGACAACATGTAGCCCCTTGGGGTAGCAGAGCGAAATCGCAGCGAGGTTTTTATCCTATAGCTTTATAGCTGTAAGGTTTTTCCTCGCTGATTTAGCTAGAAGGAGTTCTATAAGCCCAGATATAGGTAAGATAGCGTATACAAAATAAGTAAATATAAATGGAATTCTGTTATAGGCGAGTTTTGACATAGGCCAATCACAACACCAGTAAAATGGAGGTTATAAAGTTATTGGTTCTAGAACCACGAAATAGAGGCATGTAAACACCATTAGGGAGGTTCAAAACAATAAGAGAAATTTTGTATAGCAAGTATAAAACTGGCTTCAATATAGCTACACGAGCCACGGTCGACGCGGGAAGTTTTTGAGGCTCAATAGTCACCGTCAATATTATTATTTTGAATCATATTATAAGCCTTTTAAACAAAAGCATATAATCATGAAACACACCAGATCAAGAACACCCACAAGGGGAATCACAATACAGACTAAATACCCAGCCATTTAAAGGTCAGCAGTTTACTCAGACAGACTAAGGTTTCTAGTCCAACTGGTTACCTTTTGCAATACCTCAATGGCCCTATTACAATACCTCAATGGCCCTATTACATATAATTAAAAGAAATACCCAGTTACAATTTTAATTCTAATTCTCCAGATCACACGCCTAAGCATCAAGCGGCAAAAATAGTACCCCACCCTTATTATATTTAGCCCGGCATCCATTGCTCTCAGCATACATCTGTATGACTTCTGGGATTACGCTGTAGGCCGCTCTTAGATATGCATCTCGGGCTTCTACAGCACTTTGAAGCGCCTGCTGCACGTCGGTTGCTATACCTTTAGTCGTCGATGTCAAGCTTGGGTAATCCTCGTGCCAGTGCTCCCATTCTTTAGGTCGATTCAGCGCCTTCCTTATGTTTGTAAGCTCCTTTTCTCCCTTCACCGTACCCAGGTACTTCAGCACTGTGTCTCGGAACGTTTGTTCACAGGCGTTAAGCTTGAGACCAACGTCCGCTTCGTATGTTAGTTAATTAGTACGCCTGTTCTTGAAAGGAAGACTTACGAAAGCCGGTGGAAGGTATGTCATCTTTATAATCTTCAATGGCGATTCTGATACTGGTAATAGCGTTATTGAGCTCCGCGGCTCTCTCTGGATCTGGAAATTTCGAGGAGCGATATCTCCACTGGTCCAAAAAGCTGCGAAGTATGTTGCTTGTTTCGATAGATGACAACCGCTTCTCCCCTTCTCGGAGACTCTGGAGCAGAAGGTTCACACTCTGCTGCACATCATTGAGGAAAGAATCGGACATCTGGGATGCCAACGAGGTTGTTGATGTCTGCGAGCTCACAGAGGCCCACGAAATTGATGTTGAATCGCTATCGGCCTCGCTGCGCGCGTATCTCCACGGCGATGTAGATGGATTGTCATCATGCACCCCATTTGCACGATTCAAGGAAGGGGCATCATTGCCCTCTTTCCGATCTCGGTCTTTCATCTTCTGCATAATAAAATGCTTCAAATCGTTGCTTGGCTGAGTCAAGATCCTTATATCCCTTTCTGTCCGACGCTGCATAATGTCTAGAAGGAATTGCCGGCAGCAGCGCTTGGCCCAATCTGTGAGATCTATTGGGGTGTGGTCATCTGTCGCGTCCTCAACATCCATAATACCTCTTCCCGATGAAGAGACCATTAGAGGAGCCGGTCGTTGATGCGGCCGGCGGTTGGTCTTTTTGAACAGGCTGTGATGAGGTCGCCATCTCAACATCTTGCTCCTCGGCTTGCTGGCCAGGAGCTTTCAAGAGATTCTGCTGATGTTCCGAGGCAGTATCAGCGAGAGTCAGAGTGACTGAAAAGATAAGATAAGAATTAATCCGGGATTGAAGTTAGGGCGATGAGCGAAAGGACGCTGACCTGACGGAATAGAACGTACCTATATATAGGTACCCAACGCGACATCACATATAATACATAATTTATTACGCTTGGGGCCAAGCCTAAAGGGCACCCTTGTTAAGATACATCATCCCTTCATACTAATTTGCCATGGCACCACAGGAGCCCGTACCCGCAACATTATATCTCTCAATCAACACGTTGGCCATGCCCAGCCTGGCAAAGAGGGTGCAGGTTCCTTGGCTGTGGTTGGTCCGGTGGAGTAAGTTCCAACCCTATCACATGGCCATTCGGGCAGTAATATGAGCGTTTAACCACGCGGCGGCATATGAGGGCAGTTATCATACGTAGCATGGCGCCACAGGGCCTCAATATCCCAATTGGGTAACGTGCCATGCGGCGATGATAAAGCATTACATTACCTGAGGCATCCCTTTAACATGCTCACTCATCCCCTGGACCGGATTCATTTTCTTCCTGTCAGTTGTAGCTAAGCTCACCTGAATAAACAAGAAAAATGGTTGACGTTGCGACTGGAGCCCTCGAAAATGAAGACCTGAAGGATGCCGAGTTGTTCAACTATGTCGACACCTCACGAACTGAAGAGGAAACTTTCCATTTCCTCGGATTCGAGTTCCTTCACCGTTTGAACATCGTCCGAATCCAAAACGAGCTCATTGAAATGAGAGAAGGCATTTCAGGCACTCGGGGACGAGGTTATGACAAAGGGAAGCTAAACGAACTGCTTAATGATTACAGTAAGGAGCCAAGATTCAAGCAGATTGTTTCAAAGCTCTAAAAACTCAAGCAACGGCACTCAGGAACTATAACTATATCCGTGAATCCAATCGGATTCACAGCGAGACCACGGAGCGGAGGAAACAGCGTCTCAAGCTCAAGTTTCCCTCTATGACGACGACCTACCAGCATACCCGCCCATTCGAGTCTCACTACTACTACCTACACGATAACGCCAAGAATCCAGCACCAGATGTCCTTCGCGATAAACTCAGACACTGGCTCCCGCCTCAGCTCTCTTACTCTGCCCAGGAACGCCTATACCGTAGCAAGGAGTTCGACGAAGGGAAGCCACCGGCCGAGATCTCTCCCTTCGTGGACAATCTGGTTCGGCTATCGGTTGCACTCGTCGCAGTGGTAGTGCTTGTTGCGCCGATGTGTATCATGTCTGTGCATCCGTCGCCGACGAAGAGTCTCATCACGTCGTCAGTGTTTATGATTATATTTGCGTGCGCCCTTTCGTTTGGGGTTAAGAGCTCGAACATCGAGACGTTAGTAGCGACTGCTACTTACTCGGCTGTGCTTGTTGTGTTTGTTGGGACAAATTCTTCGTCATAAGGTAGATCTAGTCAATCGGTTAACGCTAGGGTTGGGAAATTAGTTAGTTAGCTTTAAGACACTGACTGCAACATCCCTGTGGTGCTAGGACGTATTGGTGTAGGCTTAAGTATCCAGAGCTGATGAATCGGCGTTGTAGAGAGGGATCTGCTTGCCTACTTCCCCCCCACTCCTCATAACTTCGCCTCTCGCTGCTTCCACATGCCACTACTTCCCGGGGTACTCCTTACGGCCATAACCCATCGGCTTCTTGTCCCGATCTGTCTCTATAAGCTAGTTGTGGTCGTCTGCACTTCAAACAATGATAAACTCAGAAAATTGAGGTTTCACGGAGCAAGTTCCCTGGCTCTGGCATCAAAAGCCGGTCTCTTTCGTGCTACCACTGACCCAAACATAGCCATGACTCTTTGGGTGATATACGCAGAAACTGAGGGGGGGGGAAGCGGCATGAGCATTGACGAATGATAGAGTGACATATTGCGGTGCAGCTAACTAAGACAACAGGGGGTACGGACGACAAAGTGCACAGCTATTTTAGTGCCGCTGCAGGTTATAAAATCAGGCAGAAGCAGTCCAAGGCCTTCCCAGTGATATTTATTGAGAAATTCCATAATTCTTTGACTTGGGCCGTCTTGGCTGCACCCAGTGAACCAATTCAGTACAATACGTAGTATATTTTCTCTTTTCGCGAGGATAGAGACAACAAGAGCAATCCAATCGGTTTTACCCAGGACGGCCTGGTCTTGGCAATAATGTCTCGTGAGCCGCTGGCGGAATGTGCTATGTATGCTGTCGACGACCCATTGCTCGCCTCATCTAACACCTGACAGTGTCATGCCGTGATCCCACAATACTGCTTAGCTGACAGCCTCCAACAAGAATCTACCTAACTGCAACTGACATATATCTTTGTCTCTCCCTCGCAAGGAAGCGAGTTGCCGAGCGAAACGTACGTCTTTTAAGCTTGGGTTTTGCTAAGCTATTGTTTGTGAGTTTCTCGAAATAATCATCAGATGCCTACTGCTCCCGTAGACCCTTCAGTAAATGATCGGCTGCATGCATTTTGAGGCATTACTAGCTAGGTATATAAAAGTAAGCCCACTGGCTTTAGCTGATCTGGCCTGCTAATGTAATAATCGCTCGGTAACTGGGACCAGCTGGTAATCGCGTAAATTCTTCAACCCATACTACTTGGTTGCGGCCTGTCGGATAAGCTAATCCATAGGGATTTTTGCATGAGGCTGAAGACCGAATTTCCATTACCGCCAACGTAATGGTGGAGGAGTCTTCTTTGCGGACCCAAATAGGGTCGTTTGATCACTGACCACCGCCTGAGCCTCCCTCAAACGTACTCTAATTGACTACGTGCCCCTGCAACCTTCCAGTAAGCCACCTCAGCTCGACCAAGGCACTGTGCAGTTCGGACGGCAAAGTGCATAACTATTTTGGTGTTGCTGTAGGTTTGAGTATTGGGCACAATGGGTCAATGTATTTGCGGCAACGTTAGTTGGGAAAGTACTGCATCTTGCTTGTTTATCTGCGTTGGCTGCAGCCGGTAGACAAGCAACTTATATGTCTTGGTGTTGTGTGAGGCAAGACAGGAAGCTTGGTCCGAATCGCCTCTAGGCGCTCGGGGTGTGATGGGCAAGCAGCTCGACAAGGCCAGCGGTATATAAGCGTATCGTAGCTAAACCTCGGTAGGCTGTACTCAAGGAACAACAGCCGGCCAACCCAGATCAGGGCTGTGAGATCCTGGGCGTAGTCGTATGCGTTGCGGTACGCCAAGGGCGATGGGTGAACACCCAAAACGACTGCAAAGTGTACGATAGTAGTGGCTCCATCTTGGCTCTTGTAGGTCCAGAATACCTTGCGGAAGGCGGAAGGCGGCCTGACTCGCCGTGAAGTCCCGGACATAGCCAGGTTGCATCGCCTCGTCATCGCCATCGCCCTAAGACCTATCGCCTTTATGCTCTTCCTTATTGCTGTCGTTATCGCTTCGATCACCTGTGTAGTTGCTGTCGCTATTATTATCGCTGTGAAAGAAGTTGAAGAGAAACAACTCGCGAAAGAGATCTTGGATTTAGTGTGATAAGATTACGAAACATATTTCGTTGGAGATATCCATTAATTAATAATGAGGTTGCTGAGGGTTATCATCGGATTATGTTGCATCTAGCAGATGGATAAGATCATGTGTGTGAGAAGCTCTTGCTATTCTTCCTATCTAATTGAGGTCTGCTAGGTCAGTCTTATAGATAAAGATGACCTCGGATGACCTCGGACGGCCGAGAGGCTCCGGATGGTCCGGAGTCTTTGGCTTCAGCTAGCTATAGGAAAAATCAAGGAAAAGCTAGGACTATCATGAGATCGGTGACGAGGCCGATGACGAGGCAGGTGGCGATGGACGCCTATGATGAAGGAAGAAAGCTTCAATAGCATGATACATCCGGAATCCGATACCCCGATATATGTGACAGATTATTCAGCTACCTAGTTCTGTGCGACGTGAGCGCGTGGGATGAATCAGGGATTCAATATTTGACCCCGACAAGGAGCCAAAATGCACCAAAGCAAACTAGTCCTCAGTCTCAGCAGGCCAACTATTATTTTCTTGCTGATTGTTCAACGCTAGTGAGGCATTTGCCAGACATTAGGAGGTGTTCTGCCATGTATGACCGCCTTGTGCGACAAGGGTCCAGAGGAATCTCACCTTTCATGTTCATTTCGAGTAACTGATGGATCCGTTGCGGTCAAATTGATCCATGCAATTGTGTCAAATTGATGATGATAATGATGACGATCTTTTCTTGTGCCGGTCATCCGGGTCGACCGGAAGAGGGGATATCAGACTCTCATTCTGGCTAGGGTCAGGATATCAATCTATCAGAGGTTTTGTAATACAGGGTCACTTTGTAACAGTAGCGCATTCTCATACAACAATCACACGTAAGCGCAAAGCAATTCCCTCACTAGCCAAAGTCCAAGTTATCTCAAACTTCCCAGTTCGAGTCCTTGAGATCGCTTTATCTACCTTGAATAAATCGAGACTTTTCAATTTCCCACCCTCTCCGACATGGGCAATCGCCTTTTACACCCTGTCGCGGTGCTGCTTGCACTCGCAGCGGCACTGGTGGCCCTGTGGCCATCTTTGATGTCAAAACCAGCCCCCGAACAAATTCGCGGAAAAAACAACACAATCCTCTTCGTTACAAGTGAGCTACATGGCCTGGCCAATGTTCACCTCGCCACAGCATACGCTCTTCTCGAGTCACATCCGGATGCAAAGGTTCACTACGCCTCGTTCCCCAGGTTCGCCAGGAGGGTCAAGCGGGCGTCTGCCCAGGCCCGCAAGCTTATCCCAGAAGCACCAGAGATCGCTTTCCACGCCCTAGATGGCCGAAGCTATGCCGAGGCCTCACCCTTGACGCAGATTTCCAGCAGTGAAAAAATGGTTCACGCTCCCGGTCTGAAGTCTGCAGAGGGGTTTTGTCGTATTATGAAGAACGGTCTATCGCCATGGCCCGCAGATGAATACTATGACATGTACTTGTCGATAAGGAAAATCATTGAAGAGGTAGACCCTGCAGTTGTGGTTTTGGATATGGTTTTTAACCCGGCAGTCGACGCCACCCGAGATATGCACCGAGCTCACGTCATCCTCACGCCAAATGCTCTCACAGGCATTGCACCGGCTGTACAACCGGGCCATAAAGTGCTTTGGAAATATCCTGCGTAAGACCTCTACGACATTCATTTTCCTCTGACGTTGAATGTAGTTTAACAATCACTGATGTAGGATGGGATCCGGTTATCCATTTCCTGTTCCGTGGAGTCTCATTCCCGCAAATATATACTTGAATTTTCAAACTTTCCGCTGCGTGCTTTCAACCATTGGCGCTGGCGGTCGAAAGGCAGCCTTAAAGAGCATGGGAATACAGAAGCCTCTCGACGTTTTGGGTTTGTACAAGCCAGATGTCCCGTGGATCACTCAGACATTACCAGGCGCACACTTCCCGTTAGACAATATTCCACCGAATGTTGTTTGCGCAGGCCCCATCAACCTGGCTGATGTTGGAAATGAGCGGGAAGAGGGAAGTGACCTTTTAGACTGGGTCAAGAGGGCTCCGACGATGATGATCGCCCTTGGTTCCCACTACCAGTACACTGAACAACGAGCTCGAGTGATGGTGGACGCGATCCAACAAGTTCTTGGACAAACTGATATACAGGTGCTATGGAAAGTAGTATTGCCTGATGTAATAGACGATAGCTTTCTGCACAGTGCGAAGGCATCATCGTCAGGTCGCTTCAGGACTGAGAAGTGGCTGGACGTAGAGCCTCCATCACTGCTCCTAACGGACACAATGGTAGCGTCGGTTCACCATGGCGGTTCTGGGTGTTTCCATGACGCTCTTGCGTGAGTATATTCCCATTAGGAGGTTGACTGGCTCAGGCTGATTGAATTGGTATCACAAACAGCGCCGGTGTCCCGCAGATAATTCTTCCTCTCTGGATTGATTTGTACGACTTCGCACAGCTCGTCGACTATCTCGGCATTGGTACGTGGGCATGTCAGGATACAAGCCCCGAGTGGACAGCGGAATGCCTTGCCGGCGCTTTCCTCAAGATTTTGGACAGTGGCAGGATGGGTGCCGATATAAAGCGAAGGGCAAGGGAGTTTGGGGAGCAAGCTCAAGAACAATCCGGTCGCTCTATTGCCGCGGAACAAGTGGCCAAGCTAGCGGCTTTAGGCTACTAGCAAGTAATTATGTCCAGGATGACAAGCTGCGAAGGTTGACTGTTAATGTCCTGTACTTGAAATGCACGGCATGCCTATCTAGCAGGAAAAACAACCCAGTTATTACTCTCCCAACGATTTGCAGCACTCACGAAGAAGATTGTACAGTTGTCTGTTTGGTCTAATAACATACCAATAACTACCTCTATCCACGCTTGTTCAAGTTCCTATATGTAACGGATCCTACCCCATGCTCTGACCTGTTGACTGTTGACTCGGATGGTTCGTTTATTGACCCACATGATTCCCCACTGTCGGAATATGATCGATAGTGACACCATGGAAAGACAACGGAAAACGTCCGAGAAGACCGCTTTTAACCGAAAGAAGGCGGCGGTCAATTGATTCAAGCGACAAAAAGCGTCGACTCCACGCAACTAGTGGGTACGCCACCGATAGCGGAGCCATGGTTGAAATTTTTGAAGTTAAGGATGCTTCGTTCCACATTCTAATTCTTTCTATTAGGCTGTCAGTATCAATTGAGATCCTCAGTTTCACTTCTCTGACTATACGACCGCGACGTTGAGCAATCTGAGAATCACCACTGCTAGTTGATGGTCCAAAACACATCGACCATCTTAGCCCAACAATTGATCCGCCTCAGCTGCTGAAAATTACCACGCCATCATCTCAACCGCAACTTCCGAAGATGGGCTCTATTCCGACCGGACGCTTTTCCTCCTTACCAAAGGTTGAAAAGGATGAGGTTTTTGCCTTGCTCGGGCAGTTTCGTGCGGATACGTTTCCAGATCGAGTCAACCTTGGTGCAGGTGTCTACTGCTCCGATGAAGGCAAGTCATGGCCTCTAGAAGTCGTTGGAAGGATAGAGAAGAGCATGCATGAACAGCACGACATCACCCGCCACGATTATATCCCCATTGAGGGAGACGACCGATTCCTGAATGCCGCTAGGGACTTGGTGTTCTCATCTACCTTTCCCTCTCCGCCCGGCGAGCAACAATCAGATCCCCGAGTTGTTTCTGTGCAAACCATTTCCGGTACAGGCGCCAACCATGTCGGTGCTCGATTCCTTGCTGATCATTTGCAACCCCGTTGTGTATGGGTTTCCGATCCGACTTGGGCCAATCACCATGTCATCTGGGAATCTGTTGGCGTTACTCCGCGTACATACCCGTACTACAACAAAGCCGACTGCACTCTCAACTTCACTGCTATGATGGACGTTTTGGAGAGAGAGTCCCAAGCCGGCGATGTCATCCTGCTGCACGCTTGCGCACACAACCCGACAGGCTTGGACCCAACTCGAGACCAATGGATCGCGATAGCAGATCTTTGTTATCGAAAGCAACTCTTCCCGTTCCTTGATAATGCCTACCAGGGCTTCGCATCAGGAGACCCGGTTCAAGATTCGTGGGCAATCCGCTACTTTCATCAATACCAGCCACCCATGGAGATGTGTGTTGCTCAATCATTCTCAAAGAGTTTTGGTCTCTACGGGCAAAGAGCTGGAGCCTTTCACCTAGTCTTAAATGACACCTCAAAAATTACCAAGGACAGGGTCCTAGGGAACCTGGCCCAGCTAATTCGCGGCGAATACTCAGTAGCACCGAGGTACGGATCTACCATAGTCCGCACCATCCTCGAGAGCGAATCCCTGTCGAATGAGTGGTTAGCCGAACTGCAGTTGATGAGCAGTCGTATACGATCAATGAGAGTTGCCCTCTATGAAGAACTATGCCGTCTTGGTACTCCGGGGTCATGGGTGCATATAACTGAGCAGGTGCGACATTGCCGTCATGCTTCTTGATCTGGAAAACGCTGATTTTTGGAATAGATTGGCATGTTTTCGTATACAGGCCTTACCCCGGTGGAGGTAGATGTTCTGCGGAAGCAATACCACATCTACCTGCTGTCTTCTGGACGAGCATCAATCGCAGGATGTAAGCAAAATTCTAAGTTGACATGGAATAGCTGCTAATATTTACCAGTGAACTCTAAGAACGTAAAATATGTCGCGGCTGCTATCAGCGCTGTGCGAACCAAGTCGCATTCGAACTGATCACATGAGGGGGTTTGAGATACCAAATGGGATTGATGGGGGATAAAAACTGTGTGGTGAAAGGCTAGTCCAGGCTTTGCCATGCCCGATGATGGTTATCGGAGTGGGAATACCAGGGCTCCAAGTAGCAGTGTGAGATTTTAGACATCTACATTACTCCTTATCAATTGCCAATTTAACAATAACAGCCTCAAAGTCGTCCACTTTTTGCGGAACGGTTAATCGAGACACAATGGACCAGATTGAAGTCCTGGATACTTGTGGTTCGTGGAAAACAAGAAACACGTCATCAATGAGCTGGCACTTGCATCACTCGATTAGACGGATTAACTTGCTTCTCACATTCGGAGCACCGGATGACGAGCCGTAGGACCGCGAAATGTTACGTTCCAGGGACCGGTGTATACCAAAGAGCGAGCAGGAGATGAGACGCTGTTTCTTACCCAAGCTGATTATAATAGGCAAATAATAAGCACAGTTTCGGTCGTGAGTCATTCCCCGAGCAACGGCCAATCGTTGCCGAATCGGGTAAATCCCCCCAGCTCCGAGTACAGAGAACACTGAGCCCCAAGCATGAAGACTTAAAAGACGTGGAAAACTCTCTGGAAATACTAGGACTATTCCAAAATGCAAGATACCTCCTCCACGCGTTCTCTCTATCCTCCCCTTCATGGTCAAAATGTCTGAACAAGTCTCGGCTGAGGATCCGGCCACCCCTGGCCGTACCCAAATGGACACTACCGAGAAGAAGGAGGATGGCCCTGAGTATCCCGACCTCTATAAACGAGTCATTATTATGGTTTCTCTTTACCTGGCCATGTTCTTGATAATTCTTGTAAATCTCCCCCCTTGACCTTGTCCATGACAACTGTCCTACCGAGCTGCCACTAACATCACAAGGACGGAAACGTCCTCTCGACAGCCATCCCCCGAATAACTGACGAATTCGACTCAATTAGCGACATTGGCTGGTACGGCTCCGCCTACCTCCTCACCACCTGCACGTTCCAGCTCCTGATGGGTAAAATCTACAAGTTCTACCCGGCCAAGCCCGTCTTCCTCGCTGGCATCACCATCTTCGAGATAGGTTCCGCCATCTGCGGCGCGGCCCCCAACTCCAAGGCTTTAATCGTCGGCCGCGCGGTTGCCGGTCTGGGCTCGTCGGGGTTGTTCTCTGGGGTCATGGTTATCATGTTCAATACCATCCCACTGCAGGAACGGCCGATTTGGCAGGGAGGTATTGGTGGAGTGTTAACACTTGGCTCCGTCATCGGTCCCCTCCTCGGTGGTGTCTTTACTGACAAGGTCACTTGGCGATGGTGCTTCTACATCAACCTACCCGTTGGTGCCGTCTCCATCCTCGTCGCCATCTTCGTCGTGAAGCTCCCCAAGCAGACGCTTGACAAGCCTGCCGACGGCTGGACTGGCAAGTTCAAGCAGCTCGATCCCATCGGCAATTTTTGCTTCTTCCCTGGCGTTGTGTGTCTGATCTTGGCTCTGCAATGGGGAGGCACCACCTATCCTTGGAGCGATGCTCGCATCATCGTTCTTATCGTCATATGTGTCGTCATGGTTGTTGCTTTTATCGGCATCCAGATCTGGAAGCAGGAGGACGGCAGCATCCCTCCCCGCCTAGTAAAGCAGCGCAGCATTGCTGCGGCGACATTCTATTCCTTCTTCAATGGCGGAGGCATGATGATTATATCTTATTACCTTCCCATCTGGTTCCAGGCCATCAAGAATGTCAACGCCACCAAGTCGGGCATCATGCTGCTCCCTCTGATTTTGTCAACCATCATCGGCACCATCTCCTCTGGAATCATCATCTCCAGGACGGGATACAACACTCCCTTCTTCCTCCTAAGCTCTGTAATGATGCCTATCGGTGCTGGCCTAATATCGACCTTTACGCCCACCACTGGCGCCGGTAAATGGATCAGCTACCAGATCATCCTGGGCATAGGCTTCGGCTTCGGCGTGCAGCAGCCGATGAACGTTGTTCAGACCATCCTCGACCGGGCTGACATTGCAACGGGCTCCGCACTCGTCACATTTGTGCGTTTCCTTGCCTCGGCCGTTTTCCTGCCTGTCGCCCAGAACATCTTCCTCAACACCCTTGTCAAAAAGCTCACCAATCTACCTGGAATCGACCCCAAGACCGTCACTGGTGGTGGTGCTACCGAGCTCAGGAGCTTAGTTTCCAGCGACGACCTCAAGACGTTGCTGGCTGACTACAACGTGGCCATCAGGAACGTGTCGTTTCTGGCGATTGCCACATGTGCCATCACCATACTCGGTAGCGTATTCGTAGAATGGCACAATTTGAAAGACCACGAGAAAGAACAGGAGGGCAGTGCCAGCACGGCCGAACAGGGGAAGTCTGAGGTCGAGTCCAGTGCAACTCAAAGCTAATGTTCGGGAGAGAACCTTGGCAAATGGGCTCGTTTCGAGGCACAGCATCTGAGACGACAGAGAACGGGTGGTTTCCAATAATATCTCTATCTGGTAGAAAGATCAAAATTCTGCAAGTTAGTACAAAGGCATCAGTTCTCAAATTTTTACAACGTTTATTATTGTTTTTGAGTCTTCGGGGCCGATGATCCAACGGATGGTCCAAGGGTTGCCACAACCTCTGATTTACTTTTCGCCCATCTCCTTTGAAGATCCTGACTACGTACCATGGGACCAGATGCTACTTACTTTTTTAGAGTCGGCAATTATTCCAGAAGACAGCTCTTTTGACAGAGTGGCATTTGTTGTGTCAGTTGCCCCAGAGCGGTAGTTGATTTGTCTGGTGATTATCCTGGAGCGTGCACGCCACCCGGCGCACTCCAACTATACCATGAGAGGAGATCTTAACTGAGTGTCTTCATTCTAGTTATAAAATGCTTCGCAATCTTTGATCCGTGCCAACGCGTGTCTTTATCGCCTGCATTTGGGCGGGAGAGATTTTGTTCAAGTCTGCTATGCGTTTGCCAGGCGAAGCCACCTGGAGTTGCGACGGAACGCGCGTCCCAATGCGAAACGCGAAGCTCAGCATTGATATCGTGGCTGAATACAGTAACACCTACCTTCTACTTCGTAAGTCTTGTTTTCACCCTACAATCCATACCTCTTACAGTTAGCCCAATTGGAGATGAATCACAGTGACTTAAGGCTAAAAGACATAGATATTGCATAGGGCTTCAAACGCGTATTCCTCTTCTCGTGCCTGCGCGATCCCCTGTCCCGTTCGCGGATGAGTGGGCCGCGTTGCTCGAGTAGATTACTGACTAGGGACTGATGTGGCATTTTGTGGAGTTCTATGGTAGGGGGCTATTTGCAGGACAAGCCCTCGACACTAATAAGGCTTGTTCATGATTTTCTACTCTAGCTACCATGCTGGCATGTCCTAGGAAAAGCAATACGCTACGAAAGATACAGCTGTACAGGTCTAAAACATGAAAACACCACGGAAGGCAAGGCGGCCATCTCTCGCCCAGTATTGATGCTGCCCCCTGATGCCCCTGGATACGCGTGGACAGTCAAAATGAACATACCATCTCGCTGCAACTGGGCGACGCGTCCTCTCCACATAACACAACCGGTGGCCCACCTGCACCCGTTGAAGATGCGGCCTGTACGTCATCCCTGACAACGATGATCATAGCCGCTCAATAAGGATCGCCCTCCCGAGCCGGGTTGTGTTCCAGTATGGCAATGACGACGCTCCGAGCGACGCCCCGAGATTCACGCCAAGTGTTTCGGCCCATCGGTCACTCTTGACCACCAACAACACGAACCATGGCTTCTTTCGTGATTCTGTTCGCGGCTATCGTGGCATCGTTGCTCACTTTGCTCATGGTTATGGGAGCACGAGAACCGGCTTTCTTCTTCGTGACGGCTGGAACCGCGACGACTGGAACCGCAACGACTGGAACCGCGAAGGCTAGACCTGTGACGACCAAACCAGTTGCAGGATCACTGACAACTGAACCCGTGGGGATTTATGACTTGGACCTGTACAACTCGGGTGCTCTCGGTCAGAACCCCAACCGCACTTTTCACAGCTCCAAGATTGTGGCACCCAAGTTCGGTATCAACATTTGGGATGCAGAGCATCTCAGAGCCCACTCTCTACCCTTTCTATTCCTTACGGCCACGGAACCAGATTCATCTGCCTCGCCTTTCATTCTGAACGCAACTGACTTGAGCCTCGTCTGGGCGGATACAACAACGCACCGCGACGCGGCAATGAACTTCCGACCACAGACCTACCGCGGCGAAAAGTTCTTGTCCTTTTGGGAGGGAATCAACGCCAGTGGTCGCGGGAACGGGGTATGTGTTCTCTACGACCAATCGTATCAGGAGCGATACCGAGTCACGGCCAAGGACCTAGGGTTCGGCGCGGATCTTCACGAGTGCAAGCTCACGCACGACGGGACGGCGCTTATTACAGTCTACAACCTGGTTCAATATAACCTTACCGGCGTGGGGGGGCAGGATTATGACCAGCTCTTGGACTGCTACTTCCAGGAGATCGATGTTGAAACGGGCGATGTCTTATTCTCCTGGGCTGCGAGTGATTGGTTCTCGCCTAAAGACTCCTACGAGCAGTACAAACCAAACTACGATTTCTTTCACCTCAACTCTGTCCAAAAGGTTAGCAGAATCTCTCTGCTTTTCCAGGTCCCCATAGGCCAGTCGCTGACTTTGATATGTACAGGACCGCAACGGCAATTATCTAATCTCGAGTCGACACTTGCATACCATCGCGCTGATTGCGGGAAATGGCACCGAGACGCCTGGAGAGCCAATTTGGAAATTGAATGGGAAACAAAATCAATTTCACGATCTCTCTGGCGGAAATGCTCTCGATTTCTCGTGGCAACATCATGCACGCTTCCGTAACGACGAAGGCACTGAAATTACCCTCTTCGATAACCACCACCCGAGCAACGTTCCTGGGAAAACGGGATGTACTTTATCCTGCAGCAAGGCGATGGCAGTTCGTCTCAATTTCGAAAATATGACGGTCAGCTTGGTCGCCGAGTACGCCCATCCGCAAAGTGTTCAGAGCGGTTCCATGGGTAGCTTCCAAGCCCTCGACGCCGAAGGCGTGGCCAATGGCAATTTAGTCGTCGGCTGGGGCTCCAATCCTGGTGTAACCGAGTACACCCAAGACGGCAAATGTGTCATGGACATACAATTTGGGGCATATTCTCCCGGTTATAAGTTCGGGCACACTGTCTCAAGCTACAGAGCCTTCAAGGGTGATTGGATTGGTCGTCCAACAACCGACCCGGACCTTAGTACCAACTGGGCTGCTCACGAAATTTATGTTAGCTGGAATGGAGCTACAGAGGTCCGATCATGGGCTGTGGTGAGTTTCCATCGATTATGACATAAGGACCATTCTGACTCTAGTCTACAGTATGCCGGTGACAAAGCAAAAAATGATGTTGTTGCTGTGAGGCACAGGAGAAATGTTGCCAAGGATGGATTTGAGACAGCAATTCGTGTCCCGCAACACAGCTGGGTGGAAGTAAGAGGACTAGACATCAATGGCAAAGTCCTTGGATCAACAGGAGTCTGGGAATATAAACGCAATGTAAAAGTTGCTCTATGAAAGATGTCATAAAGACGTTTTACTTACTAGGAAATAGCTATGCGATTTCATTATTAATAAAACACGGGAAATATATTACTGTTCGACAACAAACTCTGTCCCGTTCCAAAATTAGGCGCACCCCTGTTGTTGGACAGTCTATTTCATCAGTAATTACCCAAGCAAAGCACAATAATGATGTCGATACTCAACCGGAATGTTTCCATTACTATCATACTATTTCACCCCCATTCTGACTTGTACTTCCTCTCTGGAGATTGTAATCGCAATGTTGATCTTGAATGGTAATCTCTGATTCTTCTTTCCACTCCACTTTTGTCTGCTGTCGAATGGAAGTGAGAGGGATCTCATCGCCGCTGGAATTGTGACTGCGCGTGTTCGTTCCAATTGAAATAGTCAACCCGCTGTGACCGGGGACGAGCGTCGGTTCTTCCTCTCCGGTTTGGCTGAACAGACTAGCATATGGATCTTTAGTCTTGCTGTTCTTGCTGCTTCTTTTGCCAAAGGTGACAATGTCCTTTCGACCTAGAGAGGCCGAAGCGCTGCTCCCCTTGGTACTAGAGTAAAAGGGTCGAATGAGCAGCTTCATTAGAGGGCCCAAGGTCGGCAAGCAACTGCTAACAATACCACTGCTAATCTCTATAACATTCCACATAGCACCCCTTGCCAAGGAGTCTGTAATTGGTCAGCTTCGGTACCATATTTAGTTGCGCCAAACTCACAAGTCATGTCTTTAGAATCATACAGAAGGTACACCCTGAACCTGTATATGCTTGTAAAGACGACATATGAACCAAGAAGAAAGATGCCTGTGAGAAAAACTTTCTGTACAAAGTTGGTTTGCAGCTTCCATACTTGGGGCATTGGCAAACACAGTATCCCAATGTCGCAAAGAATGTTAGGGACTGACACGCATAGAAAGGTCAAAAACAAGTTAATACAAGTTCCCTCGAGCCATGGCTCCCAGAGCTTGTTTCGAGGAGTGCACTGGAAGATGGCTGCCAAGTTACAGGCGATAGTCCAGGATATGGCAACACTCCCAAGAATGTAGCCACCGACCCGGACGCTTTTAACCGGAAATATTCGGGCATATAGGCATAGAAGCGACAGCTTGAACAGACTGACACTGGTGAGGTACATAATCTCACATCCCAGGAGGGTCTGCAGCCAATTAGAAACACAAAACTTCATGGGAGCATTGATAGAACCTGCCTTGTCAATCCTCTGCCTCTGCTCCAAAGTGAGAGCCCCGGCATGTTTACCAAGGCCCTGTCGAACGACTGTTCTCCAATGCTTAGTACAAACCCACAAATAAGATTAAGGAAATTTTACAGCACTCACCGACAATGTTCATGGCCATATTTCCAATCAGCATTATGACAGAGGCTAATATGAGCCAGTCGTCCCAGCCGTAGCGGTGGCCGAATTTCCAGCGGCAGAAAAATCGAACAGTGACGAAGACGACCGCAATGACGGTGAAAACGATACTCAGGCGAATTGTATGCGGGCCAATGTCATCGGATAGATCGTGTAATTTAGCTGTCTCATGTATCGTCTCCAAATAAGCCGCTTTGGCGGCCGTTTCATTGTACCGCTTGAGAAGAACGGAATCCATCATAAGCCTGAGCTGAGCAGGGAGACGGGGCTCGAGACTGTTTTGAATATGAGCATCCGACCGGGCACAATGGCACACTTAAATCATCAGATAGCTACCAACAGAGACAAGCCTAGCATGCCATTCACACGGTGTGAACAAAACCTCTCCAATTAAATCTCTGGGGTAGCGCAACTGCAGCGCGCTACTCTAAACGAGCGCCACTTTGAATCCACCAGGTTGAGGGGCCAGAATCATGGTTACACAATAACTTCTTCCTCCACACAAATGGATCTTTCGAAAGCCACCGCCACTATGGTTTTATACCAAGGCAGCGACAAATTCAATAGTAATGTGAATGTTATCCGGCCTCAGAAACCCAGTGTTGTAAGGACAGAATAGCTACCTAGTTGCTCTGTGTGGCAGCCTTCATCTCATTCACACAACCATGACCTGCTGAATGTTTCTCTTGTTTTCTTTTTCTTTTCTTTTCTTTTCTTTTTCTGAATCGTTCGCATTCAGCTGGCGTAAGCCGCCGAATGGCCCATCTCAATTTCCGCCACAGCTGAAACCAGACGTCGTTTTCGGTGTCATCGCCCACGCTAGGTTAGTTGATTGGCGAGGTTTCAGCACATGCCCTGCACCTTTACTGTGGATTTGTGTTAGAGCAGGCGTACAGGGATGAGATGCACCAAAGAGAGTGAATTGTATGAGTGTCTAGGATCCCTTGGACCACGGACCCAGCTGGCTTTATGTACTTGTATGTACTACACTTACTACAGCGCAATAGGTGTAGGCTGTAGATCCCTTAGGAATGTGTCTAGGAATGTGTCCGAGGTGACCGAAAGGATAACCTTATAGCCGAGGGCCTCGACCTCCGAGGCCCTATACCCACATGCCTCTCACAATTTGCGCTTAGACCGCTGCTCGAGTAATGAAAAACTGACAGGTCAAAACTGCATTTGCCACTCTTTCTAGTGCGTAGCTGTCACTGCGGGGTCAGGCTCTGAATTGTTGCGGGCAAACGGACTGGAGCAGGTCTTCGTGCGTCGAAAGGGGAAGCAGATTACATCAAATATTGGTACTATCATTGCCATTACCACCAGTAAAGAAGTCGCGGGCGTAACGCTAACCGTGATCTCCCTTCCTCTGTCATAGGCGCCACAAAGCGATTCCCAAATAATAGGGCTTGTAGACTGGTACTGCTTTACCAAGGGCGAGCTTCCACATAGCTTCTTGGATTTCAGTGAAAGTCACAACCTGCTTCTTGGTACGCGATCAAATCCTTTCTGAAACCATCGTATTTATTTCCGATAGTAATTGACAGTAGCGTCTGGCCGCATGGACATTGAACTTGAATATGACGAGTGAAATAAAATTCATTATCTGCTGGTCCAGTTATAGGGTAGGAACAGACTTCTGTGAAAGTACGGTCTGGGAAACAAGCTAGCCCACCGCGGGAAAGGAGCGGGAATTTGTGCACTGCATTTATGGTGTAATATACCCTTCGCTTCCTCGATATAAAGTACCGATCCTTAGACACTCCTACTTAACGGATGCCCTTCCCCGCGCCATGGACAGACAGAATAAAGGAGTGAATCGTGGGGTTTTTTTTACAATCTCAAGACCAAAGGTTCGCTCCGGCATAAAGGTCTTTCAAAATGAGCTGGAAGTGGGATAGCTAATGACAATGTGTTTAGAAACAACTTTGGTTTGTAAGATTGTAAGCGTCCCTATGACTATCAATAGTCCTACCCCTCTGCCAATATGGCCAGGGGGCTTGTGCAGCCTAAAGACGCCACCAGATGGCTACTCTTCTGGAGAATAGCAAACCTGGAACTCGAAGCAGCACGCCCCAGAGTTACCCTCGACATCGTAGTTGAACTGTGCCTCGTTATCTCTGATGAGAATATTGGGTATGCACTGAGTGGACGCTGCGCCAGCCAGCAACTAAACGCGCCAGCCTCTTTCCATGATGTGGAGAAAAGCAGCCTCGTCTACGGACTGACTGATAGTGGTAAGGATGCCGTGGTTTCGCAAGATATAGCCCTTCCCGAGAGGCTGATGGTAACGGGGGAATAGATGTATGGGGGGAAGTGCGCATGAACGACTTATCTCTCCCCTCCATTTGATGTGAGATATCCCACTTTGTCCATGAGCCTATTGGGATATATGTGACCGCCGAGCCTTATCTCGACCGGACCCCGCAAGCTGCGAAGTCACCGTCTTCGACCGAGATCCTGTTCCCTCGGAGATATCAAGTTCCGATGTGTCTCGCAAACTCCGAGTGTTTCGGATTCACCAAGCGCTGCTTTAGTCCCTGCGACAGACGCCACACCCAACGCCTTGGTACCTCCGAGCTGCCGAGCTGCTAGACTGGCGGTACTAGAATGGACACGCGGAGTTCGGCGTCGCTGGGTGGGGAGTCTCCTGGAAGGCCCCCCGTAGGCCGTGGATTGCGAGCCATTCCCTTTCTTCACTTTGTTCTACTTTGGACTCAATCGCATGTTAATCGGAACGCAATATACAAATTCTCGATACCGCGCGGCAGACGTAGGATGTTTATTTTTGACTGTGACCTAACTGTCTATCCAGTGTGACTCAGAACACTGCTAGTATACGTACTGCAATTACTATAATGGACTTAACAAGCCAGGCATCACGCCTAACGCTCGTCTGGATACTTAGCGAATCCTCTTATACCGGCCTCTAGGTTTCATGGACCACCCTCCTATTCAACTTCACATGCTGACTGCGACCCCAAAGACCCAGGGACTGGATGAGTGGCACGCACGCTAGTGAAAGGGCTGCTTGTAGATACACAGCTGGCTGCAAGCCACCGTGGCTGTCCGTCATGTAGCCGAGCCCGATGGTCAACACGGCGCCGAGGAGCTGGCCGAAACTCCACATGACTGTGATGGCCAGCTCTGGCCGAACAGGATAGAGAATCTCCGAGATGAACTCGATGGCAAGGGGGCCCGAACTGACGACGCCCAAGCTGAGCACCGTGCAGGTAGTGTATAGATAAGCGAGGTTGCCGCTGGGAGGGACCCAGACAAAAGCCAGTATGCCACATCCGATGATGATGTTTGTGATCTTGATGAAAAGTAGATGGCAGCCGAAGCGATCGGCCAGACGACCCAGTACAAGGGACACGACCAGCCCCGGCACAACAAACAGGCACCCGGCCACGACGCACTGGTCCACAGAGAAGCCATATGGCATACACATCTGGTAGAGAAGAAATGAAAGCGCGTTGAAGACACCGACGGTAACGGAAAAAGGAATGGCCAAGAGGAAAAACTCAGGCCGCCTGAGGAGGACCATAAGCTCCTCCCGATAATCAGTTGCTTGGTGCTGGACTACGATGACATCAGGCGCCGTAGGAGGCCTCGAAGGGAATAGGGGACTAAAACGCAAACAGCCGAGACCAGAATGGCTTGGTAGCATACCCCTGCCGACGGCATCCTCGGATGGGATCCAGGCCGTCATGATGAACTGGCCGATGGTGCCGCCCAGCAGGTTGGCCGTGGTGGTGAAGGCCGTTGCCGTCGCCCGGCGCTCGGGCGTGAACCATATCTCGGAGTAGGGGGCGAGCGTGATGAGCACAGAGGGCAGGGCGAATCCGATAGCCGTGTGTCCGACAAGCGCCAGGGCGAGGCTGGAGAGGTTGGTTCCGCCGTACATCAACCATGCGCCGGAGAACATGATGAAGCTTCCGGCGAGAATGCAAAGCTTGATGCTCCGCCGGGCCACAACGGACGCAGGGTAGCTGCCAGCCAGGGCGGCAAAGAGGAACGAGGTCGGGAACCAGTTGATGGCCGAGACAGAGGTGCCAAAGTGAGAGGCGGCATATTCAGGGACGACGGCAACGTCGGTCCACGCAATACTCGCCATAAGGTTGAGGCAGAAGAGCAGAGCCAGACCGATCCAGCGCCGCTTATAGACTCGAGGCTTGCTGCCCGTCTCCAAGAGGACGCCCTGCTTCAACGAGAGCGTCTTGCACAACTCTTTGGGCTCCTGCTTCTCTGCCCCTGAGATGTCTTCCTCGGGACTCATGGTGTGAGGATAGCGCCGTGATTGGGTGGTAAAACGAGGTAGATCTCACAGAAGCTGTAGAACGTAAGACTTGGGACTGCGGGAGTAGTAGCAAAAGTTGTTGTCCGGACTGGGTGGTGAATGTGCATTTCCACCTCGGCGCGAGGGCGAATATCACGGTTCAAATACGGCTTTGAGCTTGCGGGTGGCAGAACTATCTCCATCATTGTTATCTCGGTTCATTATGTGACTACTGCATATGTTGAGGGGGACCTAGTCGCAAGATATTAGTGATCAATGTCTTGTGCTAGCCGCTTGGACTAAGTGGCCGTCCTAAATCGAGAATCCGATGTGCCGAGTCGGTTTTCTGTGTCGACTCGCTAATCCCCCTCCCCCAAAGACAATCATATAGGTCAGAGAGGACCAGTTTAACTTACTATGTATTGTACTATACTATAACCTATCGTAGTGGATTGTGCAGTACGAATCCCAATTTCAGGCCTCGGCCCACACCTGTCAAACACTGCTGGTGGGTTCAAAAAGTGACAATCATGCTTGGTGCCTCCCAACTGAAAATCCATCACGGCAGTTGATATGAAAGAGGGGTGGGCGTCATCGGGCTACTTGATAAGAAGTCCAAAATGGGTTATCCGTCCTCGGTGCCCATCCTTAGCTTGTTATTCATTGGTGCTCGGACTTTCCGATTTTCCATTGCAACCCAGGTATACATGTCGATCAGAGTGGTACCTCAATGCCATCTCGCCAAAAATGATGGACATAATAAGCCGCATCGAAGAATTTATTTCAATGAGCTATGCTACAATACGTTCAACTTTCGTTTCAAACTCTCCGCAGTTTCGACAGGCCCCAGGTTCATTTGCATACCCCCCCCTTTCACTCAGACTGCTGACTTCATTTTCCCGCCAAACCAATAATGGGTAGCGTTCCAGCAACAGAAGAGGCCTACGTGATCGAGGAACATCCCATCAACGAGCCTCGGCCCCTGCGGATCATCGTCGTCGGGGCAGGCGCTTCAGGCCTCTGCTTTGCCCACGCCGCGCAGACACACCTCCGAAACGTCGAGGTTGTTCTGTACGAGAAGAATCCCTCCATCGGCGGAACGTGGTATGAGAATAAGTGAGGCCCCGACTGCCTGCCCGACCTCCTGGATCTTTTACATAGCCATCAGAGAAGCCGCTTGCTGATATGGACTTGTGGGTAGATATCCTGGTGTCGGGTGCGATATTCCTTCGCACAACTACCAGTTCTCCTGGAACCCCAATCCAGATTGGAGCCAATTGTGAGATTTCTTCCTCTCCTGCTGCCAAATCCCGTCTATGTTGGCTGACACGAATAAACTCATCTACAGCTTCGCCGGCGGCGCGGAGATCTTGAAGTATTTCCAAGATACGGCAATCAAGTTTGACTTGGACAAGTACATCAAGTTGAAGCACAAGGTGACCGGTGCCGTATGGGATGAAGATGAAGGTAAATGGACCGTCACGGTTGAGAACCAAGAGACCAGTAAGGTCTTCGAGGACTACGGCCACTTCCTGATCAACGGATCGGGCTTTCTCAAGTACGTCTTTCCTTCTCAGCTACTTTACTGCGCGCTTCCTCCACCACTCGCATCCGTTTCTAGAGTGCGATGATTTTGCCGCTTGTTTCATTTCACCTCGTTTCATTCTCATTATTTTACGCGACTTATAGACTGACTCAACAGCAACTGGAAATTGCCCGACATCCCAGGCATCTCCTCGTTCAAGGGCGAGTTGCTACACACTGCTGGATGGAAGGATGGCACGACCTTTGAAGGAAAGACCGTGGCTCTCATCGGCAACGGCTCTAGTGGTATCCAGATTCTCCCGGAACTTCAAAAAGGTCAGTACAAAATGACCACCTGAACTCTCTCCCCATGGACAGGTAGTCTGACCGTCATCTCCAGGCGCCAAGCAAGTTATCGCCACGATTCGGAGTGCCACTTGGATCACGCCGGCGTTTGCCCAGACCCATGCTGGTCCCAGAGGTGCCAACTTTTCCTGTAAGTATATGTCGGTTGCAGCGCTGAAGGGGTTTGGCGTGACTGACGCGTTCGCCCAAGACACCGATGAGCAAAAGAAGGAGTTCAGAGACGATGAAACCAAGTACATGAAGTACCAGAAGGAGCTGGAGTCTGAGCTCAGCGCCGGCTTCGCCCTCGTCTATAAGGACTCGGAGTATCAGGGTCAAGCCCGAGCCCTCGTCGAACAGATGATGAGACATTCCATCGGCGAAAACAAATCGCTGGCCGATATCCTGATCCCTGATTTCGGGCTTCTATGCCGGTGAGTGTGACTCCCGGCGAAATCTTGCCTTCCTCTCTTCAGCTCGGGAGACAAACGTAGACTGACCCAGTACCTCAGGCGACCGACTCCCGGCGTGGGCTACCTCGAGGCACTGACGGAAAAGAATGTGCGCGTCGTCATGGACCACGTCAGTGAAATCGTACCCGAGGGTCTAAAGCTCCCGTCAGGCGAGACGATCGCAGTTGACATGATCATCTGCGCCACCGGCTATGACTTGAGCTGGCGTCCACGTTTCCCCATCGTCGGCCGCAACAAGATCAACCTCCAGGACTTGTACAAAGATCGCCCGGTAGGCTATCTTGGCCTTGCCGCCCCGGATATGCCAAACTGCTTTGGTATGTGCCTTCTTGTTCCAGTTTAGTTGACGGTGCTCGTATCGGCGCTTGCTTCATACTGATGTACATGATCGCGCCAAGTTTACTTCGGGCCCAACTCGCCCCTCGCACACGGCTCGGCCTTGCCATCCTTAGAGCATATCACTTCGTACATGGTCCGGATGATCCATAAGACGCAGACGCAGGGATATCATTCTTTTGAGCCTACACAGAAGGCTGCGAGTGACTTCATTAAACACGCCGACGCCTTCTTCCCTCGGACCGTCTGGGGAACCAAGTGTCGATCTTGGTTCAAGGGCGGTATGTATTTCCACGAAATACAGCGGAGGATTAATTTAGAGCTTAATGTGATTGACTGATTTCTATAGGCAAGGAGGACGGGCCTGTGTATGCCCTGCACCCTGGAAGCAGGGCGCATTGGTTCTGTACCATGAACGAGCCTCGATACGAGGACTATAGCTGGAAAAGGTCGTCTGACAACACCTTTGCATATCTTGGAAACGGCTTCTCTCTCAGGGAGGTGGAGAAATCCGACTTGGCTTGGTTCCTCGGTAGACAGGAGGGGGAGGCATACAGGACTGTTACATATTGATACTGGACTATGGGAGACATAGGTGTAGCGAGAATCAGACCGTTATTTTCTCGTAGATTCCGAAATATTGAGGCCGTAAAATTACAGTGGATCCTCTTCGTTCCAACGTCAAAAGTATCTACGTTAGGCTGTCTCTTAATAGTAGCAGATAGACCATGCCTCGACTGAATAACAAGTGGCCTCAATGGAGTCGGCTGCCATGGGTGGAACCTCGCGGATAGGTCAGAAAGGCACCAGCTTTACGTACGAGAGCGATCATCATGTACTGGATGATAGGACTGGTGTTATGTTATCGTTTCGGTGTCCGCGGAAATCTGTGACCTGGTCACTGAGAATCCTGGGTGCGAACGTAGACATGTATTGTATTGTCCCCGTTGCAGCAAGCAGTCGGTGGCTTTTGGGATAACATCAACAGCTTGCAAGGTCGCGGACGTTCCGCGCAAAGCACCCGAATGGAGATGGGAGGAGGAATGATCTTCACTCTTCTGAACTGAACGGTAGTTGCAGTCCCCATTCACCGAGGCTCGTCGTTTCCAAACTGCCTTATCCCTTTGAATTGCTTTCTCTGCCAGCTGCGTTCGTTCATGTTACAATCATCGTACCAGGCCACGCTTCTCGATTGTGTTCCCTTTCAAGTTAGACGGCTGATCCGCCTGCATCTTCCCCTCTCAAATGCAACCCGAATCTGTATAGCAGGATCCGGTAGGCATTCCGAGTGCGAACTTACGTCTCGGCGCTGTGTCTCTCGGAACCACCGAGCTTCGGCGAGCCTTGAACTTCAACCTCGGAATGGCCTGGCAAGAAAGCATGTCGAAATCCGAAAGCATCTACGTTTGGATACGCCACACGCCGAGACCACGAATTGTTCTCGGTAGTTGAGAAATGCGATTCCATCTACACGCGTCTAACTCAACCTGGCTCATACTTGATACATGGCTAACAGCAGTACTACCTTCACCCATTCACCTTCGACTGACATAAATATGGGCGTTGTAGACAAATTCCAACTTCAAAAACATCCCGCCCTTCACTATTTACTAATTCACACTCAACGAAACCACCGCGTCACCATCCAATATCACCATGGCCACCGAAACTATCACCAAGTCCGAAATGGCCACAACCGCTGCCACCTGGTTCCCCCTTCCAGAGGGCAACCCGACGGTGAGGCGCGTCAAACATAATGAGGTAGATGCCAAGGAAATCGTCCGGATCATTCACGAAGACGGAGCCGTCGTCATCGAGGGTCTGCTCACGCCCGACCAGGTGGCCCGCTACAACGCCGAGATCGCGCCCGCTCTGGGGGAGATGCATCCTGGCTCCTTGTTGGACTACGAGCAAATCTAAGTCTTCTATGGCCTAAACACGAAGCGGCTGTCCAACATGACGACGCTTAGCAAGACATTCCGCGAGGAGATCATCGATAGTGACACCATCCACGCCGTCTGCGATGAGCTCTTCCGCAATACTGGCAACTATTGGCTCTCAACCTCGCAGGTAATGTCCATCGGGCCGGGCAGCCCGCGCCAGCCGCTTCATCGCGACCAGAACAATTGGTTTCCGGCTCAGGCGATGGGCCCCGGAGCGCCCGAGAGTGCCATCGCCTTCCTGCTGGCCCAGGATGACACAACCGAAGAGAACGGTGCGACACTTGCTATTCCCAAAAGCAACCTTTGGCCCTTCAACCTCGAAGATGGGAAACTCGGCAGCTACGAGCAGTGCTCCATCGTCGAGCTCAAGGCCGGCGACGCTCTCGCCATCGGCGGCAAGATCGTCCACGGCGGCGGTGCCAACCGGACAAAGGACTTCTGGCGGAAGGTAACCACCATCATGTTCTGCAATAGCGCTTTTGCCCAGGAAGAGGCCTTCCAGATTTTCCTCGACAGGGAGCTGGTCAAGCAGCTGCCGGAGCGGGTCAAGAAGGTGCTGGGATTCAGGACCCTCTATCCCATGAACTCTCCGGGTCTCAACACGTTGAACAATGACGAAATTTCGACGTTCCTTGGATGGTGAGATTTGGTATGTGGTAGAGGAGGGAGGATTGGTAAAAGCGGCACTGGATAACATCAAGAGCGCAGCAAGTGGTGTCACATATCGAGATATCGGCCGTCAACGGGTATTGCGGCAGTCAGCTGTTTCCTTCTACTATCATGGATGCCCAAGTCACCGGTTTAGTCCTAGGCATACCTTTTTCTTCATTCGGGCCTGCAGCCAGCTGAAGCCAAAGACTCCGCAGCATCCGAGGCGCCTCGGCTGTCCGCGGGCATCTGAGATTGTCACCATTCCCGCTTCTATAACACTGACTCAATGACGCTCATTAGATAGGACAAATATGAAGAACGTTGTGTAAAAATGATCATCCCCATCTACTAAGTGTAGCAGTGGGCTTTAGGTTAGAAGAATCATCTTGCGACCGCTGGATGAGAAGCCTTCGACGTCGGTATCCGATGGACCTGAGTGCCATCAATGAGTAATTTAGAAAAAGTCCTCGCAGCAACCTCGATTACTCTGTAGCCTCATTCGGTATCCAATCCTTCTCTCACGTCGCGTCAGTGTGGGGATGTCTCGGAATGTCCGAGGCCCTTTCTTAGTTAGTCCGTGGACGAGTACTCTACTTGGAATGGTCTCTGTAGCGAGGCTTACTATCCCTCCATTGTAATTGGCGCTATCTTGCGCTCAACTTGCACCCTGAAATATAGGGGTATCTAGGTTCCGTTGAGTACGTCATGGTACGTTATCTCCAATGTGAGAATACGTCGGTCACTCATTCTTCAACCCTTCAATCCCACGGATCAAGACGAGTCTTTCTCCTGATCAAGATTTTCTCGAATGGACATGCCTTCTCCTCGTAATCTGGGCGGAAACGAGCACCGTGTGGTGGGAGCGAAGTTACTTACCTCCTGCGATGCTTGTCGGAACCGCAAAGTCCGTTGCGTCAGTGAGTCATCCTTGAGGACAGACAGCCGTCGACCGCAGGAGCTGATGGCTTAATAGAGAGGCGCCATTCGGATGATATGTGCATCAATTGCGAGGTAAGTTATTTACGAGGCTTGCAGGCTAGCGAAACTTCAGTTCCCATGGCCGACTCATCTAACCCCCGCTCTAATCTTACTTCTTACTGAAATAGAGACGATCTCAATCGTGTTCAATTCTCCCACACCAAAACTCGAAAACCACCGGTCCCTAGGCCTAGGAAGTCCGCCCATGGACAGACTCTGACGTTCACTGATGCCGTGATCATGTCACCCTCCTCAAGTTCCGGCCCTGCCGGTAGAACAAGAACGACGACAAATCGCCTTGACACGGCGAGACGACAACAGAGCCAGGCCGAATCTGCATCTTCCGTCGCCGTTTCCACGGCGAATTCAATGGAAATGGGCTCATTGGATCATGTTACTCCCTCCACCGCCCCGACACACAGATCTGACTCTGCACCGCGCCCTGCGTCCAACGCGACATCTCCCGCTACACCCAACCCCCCTCTAGTCATGGTGAGACTCTACCCCCCTGCTACAACGGAAGTATGCGTTGCATATTCGGGAGTTGGCTGACTAGGTGTTTACTTTTATCCTGGCAAAGATTTACGAAAAGGATGGTGAGTCCAAACAGGTTCCCGTCTTCGTCGGGTAAGTCTCCGCTAACCTCCTGTGCATAGTCTCCAGCTCATGCTTGGCCTTCTTTTCGGACCGGAGGATAGCATTTCTGTCCAGAAGGCTAGGTCATACACGAGTCACGGACTTGATCCGACGAATTGACGCTGCAGTTCAAGGTTCAGTCTGGGGGCTGGTGAAAGACATGCCTTCCCCCGAAGTCTGCGAAAGAGAAGCAAACCGCATCTCACTGTCACACGAGACCAGGTCAAAGTTCATCGCCTGTCAGACCGCCCGATGAGAACTTACTCTCAGAGTCTGGCTGATTCGGTATCTAGCATAGTTCGAAGAAGTTCACCCCATGTACCCGTTTCTCGACCGCCCCGCATTCGAGGAGAGGGCGTTTGGCCAGTCTTTGCCCGAGTATCTGTCCACAGACAAGGAATGGTGCGCCCTGTACCATGCAGTAATGGGCATTGGTAGCCTCTACCACGACTGCGGAAGCTTCTCGGCCTTTTCAGGGACATCTTGGTGTATTTTTCGCGTGTCGTTGTCCCTATTCCCTCGACTCGTCTTCGGAAGCCGAGGGCTAGTTACTGCGCAGGTGCCGTCTACCAACACACGATTTCAAGAGTTGATTTCTAATCCTTATCTTAGGCTTTGACGGCAATGGTGAGAGGGCGAATTTACTTTATTCCAACTTTGGACGGAAAATTAACGTAAATGTTTTCTAGGCCATCTTTGGCTCTACGTACTCTGCTTTGCCTATCGAAGATGTCCTCGTCACCGAGGCTGGGAGAATTGCCACATCACTCCAACTAAATAACGAGGGTGTTGCATCCGACTCTAGAGTCGAATTACAGAGAACCTTTTGGGTTATTTACCACCTGGAAACCCTGTACTGCTTCAACACCGGGAGGTCCGGCGTGAGTACTTACCATTACTGTTTCCAATCCCTTATTTGAGCCCACGCGCTGAGCACTCATCACCGCAGACAATTCCGATGTCTGACATCTCATGTTCTATTCCAGACACGCCGTTGCCACAGGCAAGAGCGTTACCCTGGATACGGCTATTATCTGAGTACTCCCAAGTGCTTTCACGAACCTATGATGAACTCTTTTCAGCCAAAGCCCGCAGCAAGTCGAAGCATTCTATCCAAGCGGCGTCTAATCAGTTATTTGAGGAGCTGGAGTCCTGGAGACTTTCGATCCCAGCAGATCTTCGCCCCGGCTCGCCCATCCGAAGTCACCGGTGCGGTAATCTCTTGACGACCTCACTTGCAGTCCATCTACACTTCTCCTTCCACAATGCTCGGATCGCTATTTTGCGGGCCGCTCTACAAACCTGCTCCGAGGATACGGAGAAACATCTTGCCTATCAACAATTTCTCGTGGATTCTGCTCAAGGCATTGCCGAGTTGGTCCACTTGGTTCCACTGGAGCCCTTCGTGTCCCCCTGGTAGGTTTATTTTCCTCGGCCATAGGCTCTAGACGTTCCAAACTGAACGTAGACCAGGATACAGTACCACATGCCACAATCTGCCTTGTTCATCCTTTTTGATCTAATCATCGACACTCCGACCCACCCTGAGACGAAGAAGAGGTTGTCCTATCTGCAAATTTTAGTTGCTTTCTTCGCCCGGCTGGGGCATACGACCGGGAGAGAGTCATTTAGCTCAGTGCCCAGCGAGTTTTTGCAGATGGCTACAAAGTTCGTCGACGAAATGCAGTACGATGGGGTAAGACGCTTGTCGCACGACCAGGCAGTCCAGGAAAACATCACAAAGAAGTCTCTGGTCCCTGACCCAGGGATGACCGGAGGTCAAGACTTCATCACCGATGACATTCTGAGCTTCCAGGTAAAAAAGAAACTTCCGCTTGGTCACCAAGACTCAGTTGCTAAAACCTCTACAGAGTTTGCCATTCATGCTCTATGATAGGCCCCCGGTGGAGGACCTAAGCTTTCTTTTCGCAGACCCCGGGTTTGCGGACCTGAGCGGAACTTTCGGCTTTCAAGACTTTCAGACGAATTCTGTATGCGATGACATGTTATGATGGCATAATTTCGCCTCCCATTTTCAGGATGTATATATGTTCTTCCTGCTTGCTTGATTGAACAGTCAATGTCCAATTCTCGTATTCGCGTCGCTGGTCGTATATATTAGTGTTGATCCTACACTGCTCTGGAGGCAGGATCAGCTCTCATGCGACCTGAGAATTAAATAATAACGTTAACCTTCTTAGCAAAACAAACCTTTGTTTCGGGGCGACATGCACTGCCTAGCTTCTCCAACACGTACGGTATTTCTATCGGACTTTCTATCTGAGAAAATATGGCACCATCATCACTCGCTCGGATATTCTGAGGTTCTTATCCTGCGCAAACCTCCCAATAGCGCACCCAGCAAACTCAGCCGCCCTTGTGACTGAAAGCTTAAATTGAATACAGGTTATGATATCTGCCACTGCCGGATCCGTGACTTACATTGCTCACAAGCCGACGTCTGATCACAATCCGATCAAGGACCGAACGCCCCTTGCCTACCCTATACCCGTAGGATAGACCGGCCGTCACATAACAGATAGAGTAAATGCAACTGTAGTTTGAAAGTTTTCTGGAGAAATAGGGGGGTAAAAGTACTAGTGTCTCGAGCCTCCGTAAAATCTCGACACAGATGCTCTATTCCGCTCATCGAGGAGACTGGAGTACATTGCGGCTACTACAGAACTTTCCCTGCTCTTTCCCCATTGAAGGTGCCCACACAATTAAGGAGTGGCTGGACTAAAGGCTCGAACATTAGGATGTGGAGTTTAGCCGTCTCTAAATCCGACGTATATAATATCGAAGACATCAGCGCAACGAGGTCACTTGGTACAATAGAAATTGGACTCGATATATAAACTTCTGATGGCCACTACCAGTGTTTGGCTACTGGAGCGACCCCAAACAGCTAACTAATTAGCTACTGGAAGTTTTATTTATATTTTAAGCCTTCTCGACTCCAATAGCCTTCTTTTCCATCACAGTATCGAATGCTTCAGCAGCACGCTCTTCGGCCACGGTTTGATAGTGGCGGAATTGACGAGTCGGAACGTGGTTCATAAACAATTCATCCAGCTCCTCATAGGTCCTCATGCGGGTCTCAGGAACATAGAAATATGCCAGAACAGCAAAGACAAGCATAAATCCTCCAAATACGAACCCAATCCTCGCCTTGAGATTTCCAAATCCGGGGTTAAACATATATGGTGCAACAAAAGACCACATGGTGTTGACAGCAGAGGATGTCGATAGAGTGACGGCAAGCGTCTTTGTGCGTAGGATCGATGTCGGGATTTCGCCAGCGATAGTGTAGACTGTCGACCCAACGCCAACATTGTAAAAGAAATTGTACATGGTGTAGAATCCCACGGCTGCAGTTGTAGCGCTGGTTGAGTCAACCGAGCCAGCAATTCCCATACACACAAGCAACGCACAGAGACCAATGCAGCCGCCAATGTACATGGGCCGTCGGCCGTACAAGTCGGAAACAATGAAGGCAATCGTAGCGCCAGACATTGATAGGATCTGTGCGCCAATTGCAATTGCAAATGACTTTTCATCCGAAATGCCCAGATACTGGTACATGAGAGCACCATAGTTGGAGACAAAGCCGAGACCGGACATGGGCTCGGATAGAAAGACCATAATGGCGATCATAGTTCGACGCAAGTTGGTACCTCGGAAGCAGTCAAGATACGAGCCCGAGTTATGAGTTTCCGCCGCATCCAAGGTCAGTTTGATTCGCTCGAGATGCCCTTCAGCATCTTCGGGGTCAGAATACAAACGGCGCAGGACTTTACGAGCATCCTCCATCTTGCCCTTCTGGACCAGATAGACGGGGGACTCGGGCATGAATATGTGTCCGACAAGCGCCACTGCAGCGAATCCCCACTGAGCGCAAATCAGCGACTTCCAGGACCAATCAGTATCCCAATATTGAGTGAAGTAGGACATGATGGATGTAATGAAGGGACCGATGCACTGAGAGAGGTTGCAGAAGCCGATAACAGAGGCTCGAATCGCCAATGGCGAGATGTCGGCAACGTAGGCGGTGCAAAGATTGAGGAAAGCGCCGATAGCCACAAAGTTCATCATCTTTCCACCAAAGAACATGGCGATGGAAGTCGAGGCAAACTCAACAGCAATCGATGCAATATTGATAGCGGCCGCTGCCAGCATAACCGGCTTGGTTCCAAATTTATCTGCGAAGTAGGATGCAGCCCAAGCACCAACAATCGCGGCCGCATTGGAACCGCCGCTGAGGGCTGACTGCCACTTGGTCTCGACGAAGTACTGGCCATCCTGGAGTTTGCCGAAATGCTTTTTGAACATTGGAATACTGATAACGGTACCAGAAGATCCATTTTCAAAACCACGGACGATAAGGGTCCAAAGCATGACGCCAATCCAGAATAGGAGCCATGGATCCTTTCCAAGTGTCTGCAGATATGTCCGGTTGTGCTCCTGCTGTTGGATAGCCCGACCTCGGATGTCGTTGTTCGAGGATTCAGGATTTCGACTAACAGCCGACTGCTCGACGTGCGTGGCTGAATCAGCCTTCATCGTGGACCCGAATTCGGAAAGAGATGGTTGGAAAGAGCTGAGGAGTTGTGTGTTTGAATGGTCTTTGAAAACGGAAGTGAGAGTGCTGATGGCAAGACAGCTAACAGCGACAATGTGAAGCTATATACTCCCCACACTGCAGTCTGGGGAATCCGGGGCCTGGATCCTGGGGAAAGATGGGGTTGAGACTTGCCCCGAGAGTGATCTACGGAGAAATGACCTGTTTTCGGGAATTATTACATCGAGATTGCGAGATCTTACCCGCTCTGATTCAGTGGGGACGCTGGCGGTATACCGAGTCACGGAATATGGGTGGGACTTACACCCCTTTCGCGTCCATCTCCTCCGATGTGAGCAGCTCTTCGGTTCATTTCTGATCCGACTATCCAGGTTCCGGCCTTCCAACAGGCCGGCCGGGAATGATCCTTGTACACGCGTAATCGCTAAGCCAGTCATCCTAGCTAGCGAAACCCAGAGGTCTGTTGCGGGGTAACCGAGGATCCCCGTATTAAGACAAGGTCTGCCACATAAAGAACGCACAAAAGCCGGCCGACAACTGGCCGAACCGCCCAATAAGGGCATCAAGCCGTGGGAATGGCATGGGGTAACCCGTGGGGTCGGTAAGTTCCCACGATTGCGTCGGGTGAGTAGAGGGCGATCGATACAACGTCTTGGAGCTGCGGCTTTTAGTTTATTGCAGGTGCTGCATCTCCTGGAGTGTTTGGCTGTACAAATCCCTCGGAACCATGGCAACGGTTTCAACAAATCAGAGGAGGACGTGGCTTGAGCTGAGAACGGTATCTGTGAAAAACGAAGGAGGGTTAGCTGGACGGTTGGAGCAGAGACCGAACCGGAGAACCAGATCTAGTTATGGCACAACTTGTCGATGGCTTGAAAAATCCAACTAACCAACGAATGACACCCTCAACAGCTTGCCCGACTGATCCTCAAGTTGCTCGTCAAAGGCATCCGACATTCCAAGCAGCCTCCCACTGAGATGAATTTGCTAGTCTATTCAACGACTCTGCAAAGGATGATCTGGATATCTTCTCCTGATCACCCCGCCTATGTCTCTTGCAGTGTTTATATTTAAACCTTTAAGTAGCTTATATAAGTTTGACAGCTCGTTTGGGACACACTTCCAACATGCTAGTTAAGCTATGGTGACACTTGGTCTATACCCAATCGCCCAGTCCCAACTTCACTACATCACCCCTAAAGGCGAAACCTACGACAGCGGCTAAACCGTAATACAGTTACACTATGGCAACAAGACAACCACGTGTGAAGAAAATAGGATGCACTTTGTACAGAGATTGAAACATTTAAGTTTCTCTTTAGCTTGAAACAGCGGCCGTTGAACAATGACGGTCGAGGATCATTGTTCAATCTGCAAACATTTGTGAAAGTACTAGTGGCACGCTATGTTCACCAAGATTCGTAAAGAAGCTCCAGTCCTGCAATTTTCATAGGAAATGCATCTTTCCCTCATCGCCAATGCCGCTCTTCTTGGCTGGATTCGGAAATCTTGTAAAGGTTTAGGTGTTTGACTTTGCATACCTGGATGCCGCCTACATGGATCTCACTTGGTGACGAGAGGCAGCTCGCTCAAGTTCAAACGACCAATGTGTAGTTCACTTGATTGCCCTCGACGCGAGGGTACGACTCAATCACAAAGGTTGCTGACTGACCAGACTTCACCGTAGCCTCCACTGCGCCTGCTGTGATGGTCACGCCATCTTGGTTCCCTACTATAGGGTTAGTCTACTCATATTAAAGCTTTGTGTGGACTCACAGTTCCAGGTCCACTGTGCGCCATAGGTTGTTCTTCCTTGACCGAGTGGGGGGAGATAGATCGTCCAGTCATCCACTAGAGGCGTGCCGTCTGACTTGAACGCTGCGACAGCTGCAGGCTTGCTAACACCATTCCAGTTGACGCTGATGGAAAGTTCAGAGCCTACTACAGCAGCCGATTTAGATTTTGGAACTGCGGGAGGGTCCCAAAGTACCAGTTGAATTGGTATGCTTGCACCGGCAGAGAAGGAAACCGATAGAGTTGTCTTGACACCAGGACTGCTGGCTGGGTCAAAGTACTCGGATAGAAACGACGCATGTAGGACAATATTTTCATCGGTAATCGAATAATCAGTCCCCTCGCTCAGGCTGATGTCACCATCTTTGATCGCCTTGACTGAGTTGCCGTTGAACAAGAACGGGAGGCTCTGATCTTGCACCGAGTCATGAATTCTAAGGAACGCAAATGCCGACGAATACTGACTTGTTGCGTAAGCGTCGGTAGTAGAATCCGGTAGACTGTTGTCGATACCCTCCAAGGCATTGGTGAGTATCTGAATGCCGGTGGGATCGTGCCAGGTGTGCGACTGACGGTCTAGGTGATCATTTCCAGTGTCCCAAATAATAGGCGAGAAGTTATACTTGACACACATGCGCGCAAGGAAATCATGATACTTCCATCGAGCTGCTGGTTCGGAATGAACAGGGCTGACAAGCCATTCTCCAACAACCACGGGGATGTCGGTGAAGTTGTTGCGAAAGAGCTCAAAGCCATTCTCCAACAACCACGGGGATGTCGGTGAAGTTGTTGCGAAAGAGCTCAAAGCCATTCTCGAGCTGCGCCATGTCAGACTCAGACCCCCAAATTGTCTTGCCCCAAGCAGCAGACGTGAAGTCGTCTATTTCAAAGTCAGTCAATAAGTTATCGCTTACTGGACGTGGGGCGAGACAAAGACTTACAAGGAGCATAATAGTGTACCTGCAATGCGTAGGGATTTGTAAACTTTGCATCAGGCCTCTCGAACCATTGACTTGTTGCAGTCATATCTTGCCCGGGCCCACCCAATGTGGCGACTCTCTGCGCATTGAAACCGCCGGCATCATTGATGGCTTGGAGAAAGAGGTTGTTTAGGTTAAGCAGGCGTGCGAAATGCTCCTCCGTCTCGCCTCGAGGCTCGTTGATAGCCTCAAATGCGACGAGAGATGATGTGCAGGCAAGCTTCTCCCCGATTTGATACCACAGACGGTAGAACTTTTCCTCAATCATAGTGTAATTCGCGTCACTGAGAGAGTAGTCGGCCCACAGCGCTGAGTCGTGGTGTACATTGACAATAGCATATAGACCACGGGATGTGACCATGCGGACAACATTGGAAACACGTTCAAGCCAAGCAGGATCAACTGTCCAGTCTGGAGAATCTCCTTGGTTTGAAGTGCCGGTAAAGTGATACGCCCAGGTGACTAAGAGAGAGAGGTTAGGACTGGCCGAAGTGGTGATACTGTCCACATGGGTACCATACCTGGGAGACGAATGCTTTTGAAACCAGCATCCTTTACGTCGTCAAAAGTGCTCTCGACAACTTTAGGGTTATTCCAGCTGTCTTCATTGGGAAAGGCATCCAAACTGTTACCAAGGTTCCAACCAGGGCTGAGGCGATTCACGAATTCCGAGGCCGAAATGGCATCAAACTCTCCAGAACAGGTGACTTGGCAATGGACCAGCACATTTTGGCAAAGGCTAGCCAAAGCAATGTTGAGAAATAAGGAAACCCGGTGCATTTCGAGTGAAGGGGACAGATCGTACTGAAATCAACAGATGCTGCTGGCGATAAGATAGCGTAGATGTGTCCGTACTGCAGGGCTTCATATAGTCCGAATTAAGGTTGCGTCAGCCGGTATAAAATCAACCGAGGTCAGTCAATCCTTCGCCAAGAAGTTTGTGAACCCTCCTTGCCACGCATTAGTTTTGCAGGGAAGTCTCCAGTGGGAGGCGATTAGCGATTCGTGGGATGAGATTTCCGCGCAGACTACACGAATGGGTCAATATGGGGTGCAGACGGGTCTCGGGCAGAGATGGGACGAGCGGGTGGGCTATAGATCCCATGAGCATCATAGCAGGCCACTAACCCAAACTGATCGACAACGGCGGATGTGTGAAGTAGAAAAGCCCGTTGCTCAAAAAGGAATTACATGCGGAAAGCACGGTGGGAGTATCCATGCAGGAGATCCATGATGAGTACAATCATGGAGATTGACTAGTTTGGATCGCCGTCGAGACCAATTGGAACTGCTACTACCCATCAAGAATCCAAGACTCACATCCACAAGATTGACCAATTAATCGAACCCAAGCAGACGGCAATAATCTTAACGGGGGTTCCTGATTTAGAAAGTATGTCATGAGTTTGCTTATCCTCCTTACTCGTGCTGATCACGCCTAGCTCAGAACTTCGGACCGCCCCTTTGATCAAGGCAAACCTCAACTGTAGGCCAGTTTCAAACCAATCTGATACTTTTGGTTCTGGTTGTTTTTCAAGAAACAACAACTGATCTCACCAACAAATAAAGAGCCCAATTGGGTGATTGAGGGTGAAAAGTAAATAACACTGGAAAACCAGTCTCCTCAGCAACTTGCAGCTATAAAAATGAACATAGTAAAGGAATATTGTTGAAACATTCCTGCCAACACACTGCTTCGTGTATATCGTGTCTCAAGAAATCGCGACAGTAAGCGGATCAGACAGCGAGTTGTCAGCCGAGCTATCTCCCACATAGAACTGATATGTGCCCTTGTCCACCCTGTAGTCGCCGTCAAGCCAGTATCCCAGCTCCTTGACTGGAATCTTGATCTCAACAGTCTTTGACTCGCCAGCAGCGATATAGACTTTAGCGAAGCCGATGAGACGCTTGATGGGGAGTGAGAGTGGCGCCACGTTCTGTTTAAAATAGACCTGGACAACTTCTTTGCCGTCCATTTTCCCCGTGTTGGAGACCGTCACTGTAACGGATACCGTGTCCTTAGTACCGTAAGTCGACTTACCTAACCTCGCGTTGGTGAATTCAAAGGTCGTGTAACTCAATCCGTAGCCAAAGGGGTACAGGTAGTTCTTCTCAAGATATGGGAACTGGATCGCACCTGCGCCCTGCCAGTCACTCTGCTCCCGGTTGTAGTAGACAGGGTTCACTTCCGAGCGAGCCAGAAAGGTGATGGTCAGCTTGGCGCTGGGGTTAACCCGTCCAGTGATTATGTCGACTAATGCACGTCCTGTCATCTCGCCGCTGTGGAAGCAGTGGAGGATTGCCTTAGCATCTTGAGCGGTGTCGTACAACTCGAATGCTTGGCCGCCAGTTAGGATCAAGACCGTGGGAACTCCAGTTGCCGTAACTGCTTTCAGAAGCTCCTCCTGGCGCCCCGGCAGTTTGAGGGAGGCATGAGTATTTCCTTCTCCATCTGTGCGATCTCCAACAAGACTATCCTCCCAGCCCACAGCAACAGAGCCAAGCACAATGATAGCCAGCCCGGCCGCCTCCGCGGCCGCAACTGCCGAGTCGATGTCAGCGTCGTCAGTGTCGACGATGTCGACGCCTTGGACGTATTCGACATTTTCAGTCCCGAACTCGTCCTGAATCGCATCTAGGAACGTGTTGTTACCGTTCTCCTTGTTCGTCCAAGCGGCGTAGGTTCCAGTGTTGATGACAGAAGCCAATGGACCAAGAACGGCGACCTTCGTAGCTGAGTCCAAAGGCAGAACCCCATCATTCTTGAGCAATACAATCGATTCGCTGCTGATTTGCTCGTTGACCTTCAGGTGCTTCTGGTTTCGCAATGTCTTGAGAGCCTTGGTGTCCGCTTCCAGTGACTTATCAAAAAGCCCTAGCTTGAACTTGAGATCGAGTATCCGGCTCACGGCCTGGTTGACATTGGCTACAACACTCTTGATGCTGCTGTTGCCAACCAAAGACTCGAAGCCAGTAGGGAATCCAATCGCGAGCTCTAGTTCCACCCCTGCGGCCAGTGATTTGATGCCGGCATCGTTGAGGGTGGTCGCCGTGTGGTGTGTCAAATACAACATGGCAATGGCATCGGCGTCCGACACAATGACTCCATCAAAACCAAACTGATCTCGCAGGAGATCCTGGAGTAAGTACGAGTTACTGTGAGCGGGTACTCCATCAATGGTCGCGTATGACGGCATAACACTGGCTGGCATAACCTTCTTCAGGACGTTAATGTAAGGAAGAGCAAGGATGTTGTAGATGTGGTTAGGGCCACCGAGCATCGACGCCTGGTTGACGCCGCCAGTGGATGTACCATAGAGGTAGTGTTTGATGGTAGTTGCGACCTTCATGAAACCTTGCGCGTCTTCCTCTTGCATGGTTGAGATGTAGGCGGCTGCGTATTCCCCATTCATCCACGGGTCCTCTCCATACCTAGACAAGGACATCAGTCAGTCAAATAGTCAAGTCGCAGGCACGAGGATGAAAAATTCAAACTCACATTTCACCAATGCGGCCGTTTCTAGGATCGCGTGCTACATCAACTTCAGGAGAAAGCACCCAGTTGATGCCACACGCCATAAGTTCATCCCGTATCACCGCTGCGACCTCTGTATAGAGGGGAAGGTTCCATGACATGCCCAATGATAGGGTTGAAGGAAATAGAGTGGTCCCGCGGAGCGTAGGGCCGTTCACCGCGTCGGCAATGTGAACATATGGGATTCCCAGACGGTGCTCCTTCTTAGACGAAACAATCAGGCCTGAAAGCACCGGTACCGCTTCATCAGCGTAGTTAAGGTACGACCCGGGTGCTTAAAATCTACTTGTCAGCTTCAGGTGCGAGAATTGACAGGTGAAACCTACAGATGGTGCCATTGTGCATCTGTGCCTTCTCGCGATAATCTTTGACATCGAGCTTGGAATTCTGGCCAAGTATTCCGCCAACCCCACCAATTTGTGCCACCTTTTCCTCCCAGCACATGCGAGAGAGAAGATCCTTGACTCTCTTTTCTCGTGGAACTTTGGAGTTCAGGTAGGTGGCAGTCTTAGTAGCAGACTTGTCACAGAGGGGTCCATCTGCGCCATCACTTGCTGCTTGGGCAGAGAACGCGGCAAATGTTATGAGAAGCGAGAGACGGAACTTCATTGTGATAGTATGAGTGATCACGAGGCTAAAAAAGGCGTGTTGCAAAGACTATGCTTGCTAATAAGAGGGAAAACATGGAGCGAAGTCAAGTAGCCCATGGGAGTAGCAAGTAAAAGTCCGAACAGATCGGTTCATATATCAGCAAGTTATTCTCTTACTCTAGATAGAAGCCAGTAGTATCTCTGATGGCTCCCAGGCTGCACAAGACCACAGGCCACCATTGAAAAACCCCGCACAAATTTCACACTGCCATCATACGTCCTCGGCAAAGTTGCCCCCTGCAGGCTGAAGAACTCGCCATGTTATCAGCCGAAGCCATACGCTCTTACAGGTGACATGATAAAGTCGGCGCGTCATAGACCGAAGTCGTTCGCTTTACTCCGTGGTACCAGTACATCTTCAAATGTATATCGAGATGATTGGTGGGGCCATGTACAGGTGATTGCTTGGGGAAATTAGAATGCGGAGGAGTGTCACATCGCTTCTTCTGGCGCGCTTCTCCGCGTTTACCAAGCTCAAAGAAGGCATCGTAGCGAACACGCGTAAACAGGAATTATCTATTGCCATTAGGGTCATATGAGCGACGGAGCCTAGCAACGCATGATTCGATGAGGAATATGAATATGGACCAAGATCACCAAGCCACCGGAAACCCACCCAAAATCACACCAACCACAGGGTTACTTTATCCAGAATACTCAGTACGAAAATAGCGAGTTTCTTTTTCTGCCCACATTCGCGATCTCGGCCATTTGATTCCCGAGCTTTGCTGTGTCGCCTCCCATGTGCGGGTGCTTGGCCCGGCGCCGATACCACCACAAGACTGGGGAACGGCGGGGAACAGCGGAGATTCCTGTTGCGTAGCGAAACGGCTATGGTAAGTAGAGAACGCTGGATAGTTAAACCTTTCTCTTGAAATTCATTCGAGTATTTGGTGACTACTGACCAACGGCTCGATATGTGTGGAATCATCGGGTCGTATTGTAGCTTCTAAATTCGAAAGATAATAGTCAGACAAGCCGCACAGGGAATATCCTGGATGTGACAAGAGGTGGATAGAAGATAATGTGTGAAATCATACAAGTGAACTCGACAAGAACATCTGCTTCACAACGGCTGGAGTTGGTTGAGTGACCACAATCCAGTCTCATCAGTATAACTTTCTTGGCCTTCAAAACCACCAGTGACAGGTCCTCTGCCAGCCTGCCAGAAAGGAATATCCACAAACTTAAGGTTGCTTGTGATGTTCGCAACAAATATACCGGCGTCTCCCAGATCCCAGCGCATGAACATGCCTGCGGGCGCCGGAGTGCCAGGAACGAGCGGCCATATCTGACCCTCTCCCCATCCCAGAGTATTGTTCGGTCTGTCAACGCAACGAGCGGCAATGACCCGCCCATCTTCCCACCTGGCAAGATATTCCGCACTAATGTCTGTTCCGTCCTGTGCTCGTGAGTGCCACCACACAACGGCGTAAGGTCCGAGACGAGCATGGCCCCAGAAGGCGGCCTGGAGCGCCTTCTCGAAGGGACGATCAACCCAGGTCTTGTCGTGGTATCCATATCCTTCGAACGACATGGCTGTGTCGTGTATTTGGAGGGAAACAGTGGCGTTAGCGTCTGGTAATGCGTTTGCCCAGGCAACTCCTTCGATGTTCCGCTCGTCGACTCCTGCCGCGTCGATTCCGCAGGAATAGTGAGGTGGGGCGAGCTGTGTAACCAAGAATAGCTAGTCAGTATGGGAATGACGGAATGTTGTTGTCGATGGGGTAAATGGAACTTACACTGCCTTGGAAATTGATACTCCCTGTAATACCAGCCTGGGGCGCGTTGATGGTCACGTTGTAGACCGGTCTTGGCTTCAACAGGCTCGAGCCTGACCAACTGAACTCGTTGCCACCAAAGTAATCCACCCGCATACTTGTGTCAGCCCTCTCGGTAATGTTGACATTTTCGGCGTCGACTCCGTAGCTGTAGGCTGTACCATTTGCAAAGGATCCAAAAATGGTAACTCGATAGAGGGTTTTCGAGGTAGCAACACCATTATCGACTGGCCAATGCACCTCAAAGTTGAACATGACAGTCTCATTGGTAGATGGATTCATCGCTTCGAAGTACCACCTATGTATTTTAGCTACATAAACAATTCTTCTGGAGCGGGGGGAGGCTTACGAGTCAAATGTGGTGGCGTTCGGGGCCGGGTCAAGTTTGAAGAAGTCGGCCTGACCGAGAGCTTCCGTAGTGAATTCGACTTTAGTAGTGCCATTGTAGCGTTTATTTTCGAGTGAAATGACCCGATCTCCGATAATTTGAGCAGACGAGCAGCAAATTGACAAGCCTGCCACCGCCAACAAAGTTCGAAACTGCATCATAAATGCTCGCTAGTGATGCGCGGTAGTGAGGGTAAGAGAGTTGCCGTGAGATGTTCCCGTTGAATTTTGAGATAGATCTCAACTCTAAATACGCCACGGGAATACGGAGAAGATGAAGGATTAAGTACTATAATTCCGACCGACATGTATCGTGGAGTGACTTGCGCCGGAAAGGTTGGAAAACTGCCCATTCTAGCAAAAACGTTCACATTAAATTACAATTACCGAACCATCCGAGCTACTAGGAACTACCTTGTATATTCCTGAGTGACTCCATGTTTATCCCCGTAGGGATCGCCGCGCATTTCTGTCATGTTTAGGTAGAGTACTACAGCAGGGATTCAGTCTCGGTCTCGGGCTCGGATTCGGTACTTTAATTGCCTCGCTCAGGGATCCAGGATGGATAAAGCCAGTCATATATAATATAGGCCTATGTTACACTACGCATGAACCGTGTTGATCCCAATTTTGCCGTACTCGTGAATACGATGAAACCCCTAATCACAAGAGGGTTTTAAATACGGAGTTTCATGTGCGAGATATCGAGTTTTAAAGGGGACTGACAGATTACGACATAGTAGGACTGGAAGGGTTTGGGCTACTGTTAGTAAAGCAAAGAGCGCTGTATAACCACATGTTTCCTTCGAGATTTATACTCATTTGACTTTAGCCCAATATTCGCGTGCACACACCTTATCCCGGAAACTTGATCGGATCCCTAAGCTCTCCGATAGCGCTGACTTAACAGACGTATTGTCAATTGCTTCGCTCTCCTGATTTGGGGCTACCTAGCTGGGCCTTGATAATTTTCTCGGAAAAGGCGGTGGCAGTGGCGGAGATGGACACAGATGGTAACATCTCAGTAGATCATGCACCTTAGGCAAACAGATGACTGGCAAAACATGTGCAGGGAAGCTAGCATGGCTCCAAAAAGCAGGAGAAAATTCTCCGAACAATCCACTCTCTCCCTCTACCTCATCCATCACCCGGCCAGCTAGTGCCAGAGGCGTCGGCAGGGATGATGATGAGTCGAGAGGCCCCTAGCAGCTTATCCAGTTGTAGCAAGGCCCAAGTTAGCCGCTCCGGAGAGGATGCGGGCGAACTGTTAGTTGCGCCAAGTGCAAATCGATCCTGACGGTTACTAGGTCGTGCATGCTTCTCTAGAACTCCTTCTTCTGATGTTAGGACACCCCAATTGGCGGGCGTAGGGTTCGACGAGATCCAGGCGTCAACGTGTCTACGTTCATGCCGTAGAAGAGTATAAGCCATTAGTCAACAGTGCGTCTCTGACGAGAAATGATCCCTGGGGAAGGTAGTAATTGGCAAACGACTTGGTTAATTGAGATTGTAAACTGGCTACTACGAATGAAGTCTTTATCGGGTCCTGGCGTAGTTAGCCACGGAAATAATTAGGGTTGACGCCATATGGAAATTTCGGAAGTAGCCGACCCTATGGTTTAGCTAGGATACAACTTTAGCATTATTACTCCGTCTTCGGGATGTGGCCGATCTTCTTTGATGTAGTTCGGATGTGTCCGCCCGGCTCATGCCGTTGATCTTCTTCGACGGCTCGCTTAAAATCACTCCTAGGCTTCGTCTTTTCTATGGCGTCAATAAGACGTCTGTAGGGTGGGTTTCGTTCCGATATAGAGCGCCTGCTTTTTCTTGCTGCAACGATGTCGTCACTACGAGCACTATCCCTCCAGAATGCAGTCGCTAAACTGTGTTTCCGCCATAATCACAGAACAGTAATCGGCACACGCTCTGTGGTAACCCTCACAAAGCAAAACAGTCTTCCGGCTGCGTATTACCGCGGAGGGACTTCACGTGCCATCTTTTTCCACGACAAAGATCTACCCGCCGACCGTTCCAAGTGGGATTCCATCTTCCTAGGAAGCATTGGAAGCCCGGATCCGTACGGACGCCAACTCGATGGCATGGGCGGTGGCATTTCCAGCCTTTCCAAAGTCTGCATTGTCGGGAAGAGTGATCGCTCGGATGCCGACGTCGACTATAAGTTTGTTTCTCTCGGGATTAAAGACGAGAATGTAGACGTCTCCAGCAACTGTGGCAACATGTCCGCAGCCGTCGGGCCATATGCCATCGACACTGGCTTGGTATCTGCACCGCGAGGCGCCGAGACCGCTACTGTCCGCATACACAGCACAAATACGGGCAAAATTATTGAAGCTGGCTTTCCCGTAGTGGATGGCGAAGCAATGGTTTATGGCGGCTTTGCGATGGACGGTGTTGCTGGGACTGCCGCAAAGGTTGAGCTCAAGTTTTTAGACCCTGCGGGTTCAAAGACCGGAAAGCTGTTCCCCACGGATGCTGTGACGGAAGAAATCGACGGTGTTCGCACAACATGCATTGATGCAGGGAACCCTTGCTGCTTTCTACCAGCGGCAGATCTCGGCATTGATGGCACCATTAGTCCTCAGCATATTGAAGATCACCCAACCTTGGGCGCTAAGCTGGAAGCCATCCGTCGCAAAGCCGCAGTCAAGATGGGAATCGCAAAGACGGAGAGCGCTGTACCCGGCAGTGTTCCCAAGATCGCAATTGTGTCCACACCTAGAGACGCAAGCAAAAACAATCTCGTCATTCGCGCCATGTCTGTCGGGCAACCTCACAAAGCGATCCCCGTTACCGTCGCCTTGGCTGCGGCATCAGCGGCAAATGTTAGTGGAACTGTCGTTGCTGGCTGTCTCGCCGGGGGCTCTCTTGTCGGTCCAGAGGTCACAGTCAACCATGCTAGTGGGAGTCTCGTTGTAGCCGCCGACTTTGATGCCACCGGAACGCTGCGGTCGGCGACGGTATTCCGAACAGCGAGAAGACTGATGGAGGGAAGGGTGTTTTGGAAGTAGAGTGGCTGATACAACGTTCAGGATTACGTCAATGTGTCGTTACATGTGGCCTTCATGGGGTTTTAGCGTTTTGGTGATAGCATATAATACTAAAGACTTTTTCCCCCGCGTTTTGGATACAGTCTGGGTTGTCCGAGTGATGCAGAAATCAGCGTATGACTGCATACCTACTCTGCGAGCAGCTCCGCATGGTATGGTATCCGACATCAATATCACATTGGTGGTGACCAGGGGAGCAAAGATCGCGATTCATCTTGGGTTACATCTAAGTAAGTGAGGATCGTCCATCCCAAGTCGGGTTATGGACGAAATAGGGCTCACAATTGGCTTGGCACGGCGGCCGGCAAACAGCTATAACTTCGCAATCGCAAGGTTCTTGTATTTACTTCATAGCTGACATATATATGCGCTCTGTAAGCGCCTCATGATCAATTCCCAGTCCCTATTTCTCCACCATTCTTACGCTCTGCCATAAGATTCAAAGCACTTCCGGACTTGAAATATTCAATCTGCTCCTGGGTCATCGTGTGGCTGACTTCCGTATCCCACGTATTACTGTCGGCATTGGACGTAACGCTGAGTATCAGGTTCTTCACTACAGAAACATCCTTCAACCCAATTATGCTGATTCGATCTGATGACTGGATTCGATCGTAATCATCTTCGCGAGTAAATGTGAGTGCCAGCAATCCTTGCTTCTTCAAATTGGTTTCGTGGATACGGGCAAAGCTTTTAGCGATGATGGCAACACAGCCAAGATATCGCGGCTGAAGAGCCGCGTGTTCTCGCGAACTTCCTTCGCCGTAGTTGTGATCACCAATAACCACCCACGGCTGTGACAGTTCTCGATATCTCTTCGCAGTTCCGGGAACATCGCCCTCTTCGCCTGTAAGCCAGTTTCGCACGTTGTTAACCTTGCCGTTCTCTGCGTTCACCGCGCCAATAAGTGTGTTATTAGAGATGTTTTCCAGATGGCCTCTGTATCGCAACCAAGGCCCCGCGGGGGTGATATGGTCGGTCGTGCATTTCCCTTTAGCTTTGATGAGAATCACACAATTCTCGGGGTCCGAGCCGGGCCAGCGTGGAAACGGTGCGAGACGTTGCAGACGTTCCGAGGTGTTGGAGATTTGGATCTCCACGTCTTCACGACCGCTTGATGGAGGGCTTGTATAGACGTGGTCTGTGTTTGCGTATCCATTGGATGGTAGCGAATCTCCCACGGGTGGCTGAAACTTGAACTCTTTGCCACCAGGCGTCACTAGACTATCCTTGGTAGGATCAAAAGCAAGGTCGTCTGAGAAGATTTTGGCCATTACGATTTCCGCCGATGCGAGAAAAATGTTGGTGGCAGGGTTTCCGTCAAGCCGCCCAGTAAAATTCCGGTTGTAAGAGGTAATGATGGAATTTTCAATCCCCTGTTATACGTGTCAATGGGTGAATTATTATTGACGACCATTATAAGCGAATTTACCTTCTTCATGTCTTGTCGATCCCATGAGCCGCAGCAGGGTCCACTGTCGATTTATTAGTCTCTCGATATTTGAGGCGAGATGGAGCAGAAAGGTTTACCAGGCGTTGGTGAGCAGAGTACTTTGTAGTTGCTTAAATGTGTCAAGAGCACCGCTATCTTGGAGCGTCTGCCTCGTTTGTTCACTGCCAGGTGATAGCAGCAGAGGCATCTTTGGACGCAAACCAGCATCTAACGCCTGCTTCGCAACCGCCGCCGCTTTGGTCATATTCTCAAAGGAAGAGTTTGTGCAGGACCCGATGAGACCGGCGGTCAAATTTCTCGGCCATGATTCGTGTAAGACAGTTTCCGCAAACTTACTCATGGGAGTGGAAAGGTCAGGGGTGAATGGTCCATTTATCCGAGGCTCCAAGGATGATAGGTCAATCTCTACTACTCGATCATACTCAACCTGTTCATCAGCGCGGAGCTCATGGGAGGCGAAACGAACGGCTTGTGCGATATCGTGACGGTTGGTTGCCTCCAGGTATCGCCCCATGACCTCCGAGAATGGGAAGATCGAGGTTGTTGCGCCAGTTTCAGCTCCCATATTAGTCACAGTTGCCATGCCCGTGGCCGATAGGGTCTCCGTTCCAGGTCCAAAGAACTCGAGAATGGAACCGGTACCGCCTTTGACAGTCAAGATGCCAGCCAGATGGTTGATGATGTCTATTATTATTAGTTAGTGTTGTATGTATGAAGGTGCCAACTTACCCTTTGGCGTAGCCCATCCAGAAAGTTTCCCGCTCAGTCGAATCCCAATGATTCTAGGCGCCGTCAACTCAAAATGTAGGCCCGCCATTACATCGACAGCATCAGCGCCTCCCACACCAATAGCAACCATCCCCATGCCGCCAGCATTTGGTGTGTGTGAATCAGTTCCGACCATCAGGCCGCCTGGAAAAGCGTAGTTCTCCAGCACAGTCTGATGAATGATGCCTGCACCCGGTTTCCAGAATCCCATGTTGAAGCGCTTGGCCGCACTTGACATGAAGTCGTATACCTCGCTATGCATACCTAGAGCGTTAGGTAGGTCTTTTTCTTCACCATCCTTTGACACGATTAGGTGATCACAGTGAATCGTTGTGGGAACTGCCGTAGAGTCGAGTCCATCAGACATGAACTGAATGAGAGCCATCTGAGCGGTTGCATCTTGACAGGCAATGCGTCGCGGTCTCAACTTGAGCTGAGTTTTTCCACGCACAAAACGTTCCTCTCCAAGATTATCTGCGTGGGCAAACAGAATCTTCTCAGCATATGACAGAGGCCGTCGGAGGCTATCTGGGGTCAGCAGATGTTCACGGGGGTGCCTTTCTGTGCAGTGGCGTACATGTTACGGCTCGCTTCAATCTTCCGAACCAGATCAGCATAATCAATGGTGTTATTCGGCTCAAATCGACTCAAATTCGCCGAGGAGGATGCCTCACTGGACGTCGCGAGCCGTCGAGTGTGTGGGCCCAGAGCCTGAGCCCGAGCCAACTGCAAAATGGGTCTGAAAGTCATTGCGACGAGTAAATGGGGAATGAATAGAATGACATGGAAAGGGCAAATACAGATTTAAATTATCTCGGATTACAGTCATCACTTTCTGATTCGCTTTGAGGTCCTTTTTCGGACGCGCCGGTGCTTCGGCTGCATCCGACGCGGTATCGGATGGATCCGAAGAGTCGGGAGATTAGGCCCAATGTTGACCCACGAGTGTTGGGGCAGAGATTGATTATTTGGAAAGCCAGCTCTCAATAAAAGGGCATCTTTTCACAGTGCTGTTCCTGTACCTTTCATACATTCCGTGTTCTAAGTTCAACACACGCATCAGAATGGCTCTGGCAGCGACGCATGCGTCTCCCATCGTGGAGCACAAGAAACGAAAAACGCCCTGGTCAAATCTCGCAGTCGGTGCTTGCATGAACATCTTTCAAGGTTCGTAAAATAAAATGCACTTTTTACATGGTTTACGTCTGACTTTTGCAGTTACTTCTTTGGGACAACCTATGGAAGTATTGAAAACACACGTTCGTAGTGCTAGATGCGTTTTCTTCTTCTTTTTTTTTTCATGTGAATACTCACAACTCTCAGGTCGCCGCCAATAGGGGCGATTCTCTTGCTGATGCTGTACGGAAAACATGGGGTCGGGGTGGTTTCCGTGGATTCTACCAGGGCCTCATACCATGGGTTTGTGCCTTTCCCCAATTGCCGCTGCGGTCTTTAAGGCTAATAAGTACTCAGGCTTGGATAGAAGCGTCAACAAAAGGCGCCATTCTTATCTTAACATCTACAGAAGTTGAGTACTACGCTCAAAAGCATCTTCACGCGAGCAACACCGTCGCAGGAATGTTCGGTGGTGTCGCAGGAGGTGCTGCCCAAGCATATCTCACAATGGGTAAGATTGAAGCGTATCACATCCACATTTTCTGCTAACCCGGTCTTCAGGCATGACAACTTGTATGAAAACGATTGAGGTAACAAGAAATAAGACTGCCAAAGCCGGAGTTCGCGTTCCCGGAACGATGGAGACCTTTGTAAACATTATTCGAGAAAAAGGCATACGTGGCGTTAACCGCGGAGTCAATGCTGTCGCACTTCGACAGATGACAGGATGGTCCTCTCGAATCGGAATATCAAGATTTGCCGAAGGCCAAATTCGATCTGTGAAGGGAAAATCTTCAACCGAGCGACTGACTCTGGGTGAGAAGATTTGTGCCTCAACGTTTGGCGGCGCTTTGAGCTGCTGGAATTAGCCATTTGAAGTAAGTCATACTCGAAAAGTACTTTATGTTTACAACTAATCTTTGATATCAACTTAGGTAATACGCATCGAGATGCAGTCATTGAAGGCAGATCCAACACGCCCTGCGGAGGCTACCATGGTATCAACAACCAGATACATTTTCCGATCTTCTGGTCCCATGGGCTTCTTCTGTGGAGTTGTTCCGCGGATAGGGGTCGCTGTATGGGCGACGATCTGTATGGTTGGGTTTGGAGATCTAGTCAAAGAAGCAGTCTCTACACGATTGGGGCCGGAGGCAAGATGACCGACTGCAGCCAATAGCCTCGATGGAGAGGAAGCGTCAGCAGTCTTGTTCGCTGCATCGGCTGGCGTAGGCGCAGTTCACATGTACCTCAACAATGAGCGGAATGGTGAGCCAATTATTGCCTCAGAGTAGCTCGTACTTCATTGTTGCTGTTTGTGATGTTTTATGTAGCGGGCGTATGTGCTTTGCCGCTTCAGGATGAGACGAGTCACGATGAAAGTGCCAAAGGCGATCCAACCTTCAAGCTCGATTTATAAGTAAATAATGGCCACCTAAAACCTCTTAAATTTCTTCCATTACGTCTTTATTTCGCTTCGCTTGACGTTGACATGTCTGGGTTGAAGGCAACTTCTGTGGGCCGTTTGTCGGTGGGTGAGGTCCTTAGTGCAGACCACACTCGTCCGTACCTACCTAGGGTAGGGGCTAAGGGGGGAGAGGGATCGGAAAAGACAACACAAAAGCTGTCTACTGGGAGCGGGAGATAGCTAGAGCAATTAATTAATTTCTTCTACATCCACTTGAAGAGAAAGAAAAGAAAAATAATATCAAGAGCTGCTGCGACAGCTGCAGTGGAAGAAGCATACTGAGACTAAAGGTATCCTATTAATTAAAGAAGGAAAAAGCGGTTTGTCTTATTTTTCAAGCAGACTCATCAACGCCTTAAGTAGGTAGAGACTGTCTAAGCTAACACAGGCCTCCCGTACCGTATCAAACTCCAGGTGGACCGTTGGCCCCATCACAGCCGCTAATAATTTATGGTTAGCATCGAGTGTCTCGTCTTAGTCGCTGACTCGTACTTCGTACTTCGTACCTCGTTTCCCTCGGCACATGTACCGTATGTTGCTGCCCCTCCCCCCCCTTTAGTCTCTCCGTGAAGCAGCCGGCAGATCTAACGCAAGCTAAAACGTAAATGCCGGCCAACTAGAGGAAGCGGCATCCCGTGATTCGTCAATGCTACGGATATCCTATATGCTCTGCACGCTTCAAGTTTAGCCATCCCATGCGGGTGTGATAAACGAAGAACGAAGAACGAAGAACGAAAGCAGTATACGAGTTGACTGAGTTCGTTTACTGCAAGCAGCCCCACTTCCTTAGGAGCCCCCTTCGTTAAGAAGGTGATGTGCATTATGGTGACGTTGGCGACACCTCATAACCTTCATCCCACCTTCTGAGATTCCTCTGCCGAGATCAAAGTACTACACTACCCTTATTCCGAGCTGGCTCGGGAGGTACGCGTGTTTCTGCCCTCAGTATCCTTCTTCAGCACCGCGGCCCCATCGACAGACCCTTTTGAACCTCTCGCCGTCACTCTCATCACCTTCTCCTTCTTTCTTGCGGGCGGGAGATATCGGGATATTTGACAGACCATGGCCAACGAGAAACGAAAAACTCTTCGATACGAGCTTGCCGGCGATGAGTCGCCATACCTTAGCCCGGCGCCGACTTATTCGAGTCTAAGGAGGGCTGCGAGCACCGGCGACCTGGCAAATGCTGCCGAGATGCCAGCTGAGGCTTTGCCCGTGAGCCCTTCATCTACATTGGTTGAGTTGGTCGGAAGCGACGTTCAAACCACAGGTATGTTCCATCTGTCTAGGCAAGCGTTTACGTCCTTGGCTTTCCAAGCTCACTGCAACTGCAGATGATGCACGGGTCGAGATCGACTACAACTCGAAGCTCGTACGCAGCCTCTCATACCTGTACCGGACGCCTCCCGAAAAGCACCAGCCTCAAGAAACCCCGTCGCCTGAATATTCCGAAACCGAAACAACACCAGCCACATCGTGGACCACGAGACTGAACATTGTCATCCAGGTTGTGGGAAGTCGAGGAGACGTGCAGCCGTTCATCGCCCTCGGCAATGAGCTCCAGCGACACGGCCACCGCGTTCGACTCGCAACCCATGACACGTTTGAGAACTTTGTGCGGAATTCTGGCCTGGAGTTTTACCCCGTCGGCGGCGATCCGGCCGAGCTGATGGCCTACATGGTCAAGAACCCAGGCCTTATCCCCAGTATGAAGAGTCTTACAGCCGGTGAGATTCAGCAGAAGCGCTACATGGTGCAGGAGATGCTGGACGGGTTCTGGCATTCATGCCTGAAACCGGACACACTGACTGGCCAGCCTTTCGTAGCTGATGCCATCATTGCCAACCCGCCCAGCTTTGCGCATATCCATTGCGCCCAAGCCCTCGGTATACCTGTGCACCTGATGTTCACGATGCCCTGGAGCAGCACCAAGGCCTTTCCGCATCCGCTCGCCAACTTGAAGAATGTCGGTAGTGATCCTCAACTGGCAAATTATATCTCCTACAGCGTGGTTGAGTGGTTAACCTGGCAAGGGTAAGCTCCCTTTTACCATACCTGGAAGCCCCGCCATCACTCACTTCTCGAACGTACGCCCTAATGCATGGAATATCTAGCCTGGGCGATATTATCAACAAGTGGCGAAAGTCTATCGATTTAGAAGAGGTGGCCATGTTCGATGCTCCCATGCTCACACAGACGTTGAAAATACCCTTCACATACTGCTGGTCACCGGCCCTGGTGCCGAAGCCGGCCGACTGGCCTTCGCACATTGGTATGATATTCCCTCGAGTCGATTCCCAGTGTAGGTCCGCGGCTAACAAACTGTGTAGATGTTTGTGGGTTCTTTTTCCGTGACACACCCCAGTACTCTCCGCCACCAGATCTTGCTCTTTTCCTCGAGACTGGCACGCGACCAGTGTACATTGGATTCGGCAGCATCGTGTTGGACAACCCAGCCAAGATGATACAAATCATCCTTGACGCGGTTCAAGCGGCCGGCGTCCGCGCCATCATCTCCAAGGGTTGGTCCGATCTGGTAGGCTCGGAGAACAAAAATGTCTACTGGATAGGAGATTGCCCGCACGAGTGGCTTTTCCAACACGTTGCCGCCGTGGTTCACCATGGAGGCGCAGGAACGACAGCTTGTGGGTTGAGGAACGGGATACCCACCACCATTGTTCCCTTTTTCGGAGAGTAAGTCGTTTGTTTTACAGCCCGTCACGCAACAACTAGCTACAGCTTGTTCCAATTCCGAAGTGAAGCTAATCACTTGTTTTGCCAGCCAACCTTTCTGGGGCCAGATGGTCGCCAACGCAGGCGCAGGCCCTAGCCCCATAAACCACAAAGAATTAACAGCAGAGAACCTTTCTCAGGCTATTCAATACTGTCTCTCGCACAAGGCCGCTGAGGCTGCTGCGTCCATCGCCGCAAGGATGAGGGCCGAGGTGGGCGTCCGAGCTGCTGTGCAGTCATTCCACCGACAGTTGCCTCTGGAACGGATTCCATGCGACCTCATCAAGAGTGAGCCGGCCGTGTGGCTGTATAACAAAGCGAGTCGGCCCGTCAGACTTTCCAAGATGGCCGCAGAAATTATACTAGCAAACAAGTCGGTCGAATCCAAATCGTTGAAGATGTCAGTGTCCAGTATTTCCCTCTAATCCGCTGAGCTGACCTCGTGACTGCAGCTACCAGAGCAACCCCATTATTATCGAGACCACGCGATGGGATCCCCTTTCTGGGGGAGCATCGGCAGTCATGGCAACAGCAACAGATATGGCCGGATCTATCACGGGCATGGCCACCAAGCCGATCGAAGAGTACCGAGACGAGCACCAGCGGCAATCTCGCGAGCGGAAGAGGCTCGAAGCTCAAAGGTCTGTCACCAGCCAAGAGAAGATGGGAAGCGCCGCCAGTCTTGGAGGCCGCGCCTCGGGCGATTCGGGGAGACCAATGAGCACCAAAAGCGAGCAATCTGGCTCGTTGGCAGGCAGGATGGCAGGCGCATCAGCCAAGAGCGTAGGCAAAATCGCGCCCACCGCTCTGAAAGGCATGGTTGTTGACATCCCGCTCGCCATCACCGAAGGGTTGCGCTCAGTGCCTCGCCACTACGGCGGCGGCGTCCGTGACCACGGCCCCGTGACGGATGCAAAGAGCGGAATGATCGTGGCCGGCAAGACTTTCGCTTGGGGTTTTATCGATGGTATCAGCGACATCGTGGTGCAGCCGTACAAGGGTGCCAAGAAGGACGGCGCTCTGGGAGCCGTAAAGGGCCTCGGCAAGGGAGCCATGAGTCTGGCGACCAAGAGCGGCGCTGGCATGTTCGGAGTGTTTGCGTATCCCAGTGCAGGCATCAGCAAGAGCCTACGGACAGCGGTGCACAGCACAACCCGCAAGGCGATAGCTCACGAGCGGCATATAGAAGGGGTGTGGATGATGGAAAACATGGGAGCTGACATGGTGGACTCGGGCGAACTTGTCGCCTCCTTTATGCGCTTGCAAGCGAACAAATAGGTGTCATTGATCGGTATCATCAGACTACTACGTGTGTATTATTAAGGGACTAGGTGTATAACCAAAATTTGAGTAGAATTGATTTCATCGTGGTACTGAGCGAGGCTTCGAAACGAGGGATTGAGGCAGTGACATCGATGCTATTCATATACTAGATTAGGCATTCTCACCTTAATGGACGGCACTAGAAGCTACCCTACGCGTCAAGTCTTGAGTAGCCACTCTGTGGAGATCAGAGCGCATGATTTTCCATGCAGATTTTCCATGTACCGTAACAGCTCACTTGAGTCTCCCAAGTTGCATCTCCACCTTGTCTTGATATTCCTACTGTTCACCGCCAAAAATCGCAGAAGTGTACCAAAGCAGCTGATCTCATTTGTCGCCCCACGTTTTCATGGCGACCGCTACTTAGGCGAGATAACCGAATCTCTACCGTAGAAGGGACGGGATTCTATGAAATTGCATCTAGACACATCGTCCGGCCTATGTACCTAGGGTTTCGACGCTACCGCTTTGGGTTCGCCGAAGGTATGGACAAACTTTGACTATTCGGAGCGGCTCGCCCTCTCGTTTCTCGTATTTCGTATCTCGCCCCTCGCTCCTCGTTCTTCGTTCCTCGTTCTTCATAGTGAAGGTCAACCAGTCTGATCTAATAACCTCAACTGGGGTAGAGTTCAGGCCCACAGTGTATCCACGACAGTTGACATCGCGTCGTCTTCGATTTTCTCACGAGTCAGCGACCTATAAAGTTCCTAACGACGTTGAGATGGTATTTGCACGCCACTTACCCTCATTGAGTACGAAGAGACAGAAAACGTTTCATCAGCCAGAAACATGAAGGCCAGAACACTCATCATCGCGCTTCTCGCCGCTACTGAAGCAACCGACATCCCCAGCACCGGAACCACCTCGCTGAGGGAAGACGCAGCCAAGAAAGACATTTTCATCGGATCCGGGGCCATCAATCCGACCTACCTCGATGATCTTCAGTTCGCGGCCGTCCTTGCCGAACAGTTCAACAGCCTCTCTCCCGAAAATGAGTTGAAGTGGGTGTTCGTTAACCCGACCAAAGGACACTACGACTGGGACTCGCTCGACCGCCTCGTTGCCTTCGCGGCAGACAACGATATGGTGGTTAAGGGACATGGGCTCATCTCGGGCTGCTGTAATCCCGACTACATTCTCAACATCACCGACCCTACAGCCCTTCGTGCTGCAATGACGGCTCATTTCGAGGCGGTCATGCACCGATACGACGGCAAGATGGATCGGTGGGACGTCGTCAGTGAAGCCCTAGAAACGCAGGGCGGCGGCCTACTCGCCAGCGTCTTCTACAACGTACTTGGTTCCGGCTACATCGCAGATGCCTTCCGTATCGCCCGGGCAGCAGATCCGGACGCCAAGCTCTTTATTAATGAGAATATGGTCGAGTCACTCCCCGGCAAACGTCAGGAACTCTACGATTTAGTATCCGGACTCGTGGCGGATGGTGTCCCGATTGACGGAGTTGCCCTGCAGATGCATATCACCGAAGTAGCCCTAATACCGGGTGTAATCACGGAGATAGTCGAATCCTACAAGGCCCTGGGACTGGAAGTGACGATCGCTGAATTGGATGTCCACACGCTCAACGCCACACTTCAAAGCGAAATCTACGGCGCCGTCGTCGAAGAGGCTCTAAACGCGGGAATCACCGACATTAGCTTCTGGGGCTTCACGGATAAACACGCCTTCACCTGGCTGCCGGGCGCGAAGCCATTGATGTTTGACGAGGACTACAACCCCAAGGGTGCCTTCTACGCTACTCACACTGCCCTAGCGAACTTCGTCAGCGCGCCCTAGAGAGCTCGAGCAACATCGAGTCATCAGAGATTGCACTTTACACGACGGCGGTCGCAGCCAGGAGGATCCGGCCGCATTTGCGTCAAGGAGAGCAACTTCGAAATTAAACTTCGTAGCTATAGCAACTATTCGCTAGCATATACTATTTCAAAAGGATTGAATCCATCTTTACAACAATATTATTTTTCTCACGCCCCCTTTGCCCTCCCTATACCCCTACGATACACACGGATCGTCACAACCAGGTTGGAGAAAATTCGACTACCCTCCCCTACCGGATGACTCCAATATGGTACCCCTAGCCATTTCAAGTTCGCCGAGATTACCGGTATGCTCAACGTATGGGCTTTAGCTGCAGTCTTAGCTGGCAAAATAAAGCAACATCTGCCTACTAGAGGTCACGATATGATAAAGTAATGTTGTTATTACAGAGAGGTTCTACTTGCAGAGAGATTCTACACAAATGGAGTTTGGCCTTGAGTCTCAATTGACTTATTTTCATTGATGATAAGGGTTTAATGGTGTTTTTTACTATGATCTGCTATACAACGACATGCAGGGGTAGTTGAGCAAAATTTACTGGTTCAGAAATAGACCCGTCAATCGGTCTGGACAACCGGCTAAGACGACATCCAAAGTATAAGCTTAGATGTTAAAGATGATAATACTAAGAATCCAATAGGCACAATGAGCCGCAAGTCCCGCCAAGACGGCATGTCCATCGATTTTCCCCAAGAGATCGAGGTTGTTCTTGCCAATGGCACAATTTGCCGAGCCTCGGAAGTCGAAAATTCCGATCTGTTCTGAGCTATGTATGAGAGGCGCTGGTGCCAGTTTCGGCATTGCCACCTCGACACTCTTTTCAGTGCGGGAGAAGGCGCACAGGGCTGGGCATTTCTCTTCGATCTATTTGGAGGAGCGATGAACGACACTCCCGAGGATGGTACCGCGTTCCCGCATCGAAACTCCATCTACTTCCTTACCGCATATACTCGGACAACGGAAGAGACGCCAGCAGTGTGTCAACCATCTAAAATGCTCCTAAGCCAACCTAACGTAGGTTTTGAGTGGCTCGAGTATGCCTCTCCCACCGTCTCACCTTGGGCAGTGGCCGCACTGCCGCCCATTATCATGTATCCCAGATTACGAGCTCACGCTTGCCTTGAGACATGAGTTTGCAAGAGGATACAACGTAATAATTAGCGTTTAGGTTTATTATAGATTTAGCCTTTCAGTCTACCATCGGCTTCAGACTTGTCTTTACGAATTCTTCCTATTACTTTCCTCGTCCCGTAAGCCCAGGATGTGGCGTGAGACACCAGTATGTATTTGGAATCTATATACCATTTCCAACTCGGTCCCTTGGACCATACCTTTCAAATTTTCAGCTCAAATAGTCATTAGTTCAACTCAGGACAATGGTCATCGCGCTGATATGGTTGTAGCAATAACCGCTACGTCAAAAGGGAATAATCACTCCTCTTGCCGGTAGTGCTATTGTGGTCCATACCTCCGTCTGACAATGTTCTCTGAGAAAATCGTGCTCATCAATGTTGAGGACCATACATGCGTACCTGCCAGAAAATAAGGAACGAGATCCCAGATGCAAATGTCAGCGTCATAATCAATGAAATTTCTGTGAACTGAATGGAACCTGTCAGTAGCCGCATTTTAATCTTATAGTTAAACCTCGGTTTAGTTTTTGAAATGTTTATCCGTATTAATATATATTGGATTACTTCAACCATCAGGTAATACACCTGTATCTTGTGCAAAAGACCGTATGCCAAATAAACAACCCTTCTAGCCATCTTCACTGCCTGAATATCCGCTTCTCACCAGCCCGGTCCCGCCATCCCTATAGCTCATCGCGCTCTCGAAGGTAGTCTATGGCTCAACTCAAATAACACCCACGTGTCCTCTCTTACTTCTCCTCCACGCTATGATAACTTCCAGGTATGCCTGGATGGTAACTATTATCCATATGGAAGATGCTTCCATATCTGCCTCGAAACCGGTTCTTGAAATCGAAATCACTCCCTAATAGCCATCGAAGGCGAGTAGGGGTTTCATCTTGTTGGGGAATGAGTGAAGAACAGTGGAGTATATCCGGGGACTTACATATTTCATCGACGTTGACGCCAGCTTGCCGTAGAACTTCCATATTCTCATGATTTGGGAGGCACTCGTCTGCCATACGTTCGCTCCAGTAGCCGTAAATAAATTCTCGGAGAGGACGCTGTGAGCTATCAAGCTTACACTGAAACTCTTGTACAAGGTATTCAAGCCGCGCTCCTAGCTCTTCCTCTTCCTCTTGGATTTCATGGACATTTCCTGGGAATTGCTTTATGTTGAAGTGTTGACGCCTAGCTAAAGGTACCTGGGCGAAATTTTCGAAATAACAGCAAGTATGCGTCATCTCAAGAGCCTCAAACGTAAGATGGGTCAACAGATCCGTGGATACCTGCCTCCAAGCATTTTCCAGTCTCAGCCAGGGATTTAACAGACCTGGGTAGAGCAAAGAATAAGGGTCTTGCAGACTCCCATCCTTCAGCCATATTGTACATGGTAGACAGCCATGAGGGCTACACCAACACTTGCAAGAATCTCTAGATCGAGACCTAAGAAACTCGTAAAAGAATTGGCATACGGGATCCTGATTTAAAGTTGTCAAGTTAGGCAAAAGGCTCCGAGCCACAAAATGCCACCCTGTCGCAGAGGTATTGAAGCCGAGTGACGGAGAGTCGGCTATTGACTGATCCAAGTAAGAGTGATTCTTAAGCCAACTGAACATCTCTCTCTGAAGAGGGGCCGCCTCTGAAGCACCTGATTTCACCGGAAAAATGCTGCCGGTATTTGCGTAGGCCAGTGGCAGGAGGCCAACGCTACTTCTGTGATTAATCTCGCGGAAGCCTGCCTCGTAAAAGATTGGGAATTGCTGCAGGTCCAAGTTTCCACTGATATAAGTTCCTTCATAGTGCGGCGAAACCTCTAAGACGTCTGGAACGAATGCTCCCGCTTCGAGTACTTGTTCCATGACTAAACGAGCTCTTGCGTCAGGAAATTCATTTTCGCCAATTTTCCACTGGGCCAGCTGTCTTGGCGAAAGCGTTTCCTTGGCGATATGCCACAGCCTCTTTCTTCTGTCGGCCAAGTGTCCTGCTAAACATTGAATGCATTCAGGGGCTTTGAGGTAAAATTTCAATTCCGGTACGAATTGATACCAAGCAGCTCTATGGGACAGTAGAATTTCGCAAGCTTCTTTGCAAGAGAATTCCATTGCATAATCCAAGGCCGTCGCATGCAGTGGGTCTTTTTTGTTGATTATCTCGCCAAAAGGAGGAGAGCTAAACCAGTCGGCCAGCAGGAGGCAAAATGTAGAACCGTCAGATCGCCAATGCCATCTAAGATAGCCTGAGATGAGTTGTTCAATATGGAACGAATAGCACCCACAGACTTGAGGCAAATCGCAGCGATGAGGGGAGGGATATCCAGTGCTACAACCTTTCAGATTTAGACGCCTCAATTAGGAGTACGAGTCTTACCATTAACAAGTTCCCGGTTGTCAGTCATTAATCGAACGAAGTTTAGAGGGTCCGAACGAGTGGGGTTGAAGAAGGGTAAGGAATCATGTGATTGGGCGATATCAGCAGCAATTGTGCGTGCTTTTTCAAGATCTCGTCCCCGATTAAGTCTTTTATATCGTAACATTGATGTGAAGATTGAAAGCGCGTTCCTATAAGTTCATTAGCCTTGCGTAAGAATTTTTGACCTCTCGTGCTGAAATTTACCTTCCCATATTGTCCGGCTCGCCACAGGGAACGCCCACACGAATCAGGGTCTTGACGACTTTAGATAGCAGATCCATTTGCAGCGCCTTGTCAATCGATATGACTCCGAATAGCACGGCTTCCTGGAGATGAATCAGCCAGTGTGCTTTGCATGCGAGTAGTAGTCCTACATGGAGAAGAGTTCCTCTTGAGTTCATGTCGCAAGGTGAAACTTTACCATCCTGAAAAAGTCTCAATAGTTTCCGCTCTGTCAGAGCGAAATGCTTGTCACAGTCCTCAATTTCATTCGATGCTGAGTGTGGCCGAAAGGTCCGGAAAAGGCTCCTGATCAGGTCGGAGGCAGGACTCCTTTGTACCATCTGCTTGTAACGAAACTGGGGGGCAATCGAGCAGCCGCCGGCTCCAGATGTAGAAGATAGACTTAGGTCCACTAAGAAAGAGAGAGTGTGGTGGAAAGAAACTCTGAACCGGGCTCCGTAATCTTGGCGTTTCTGTGTTTTGTGGAACACACACTTTGCGGAGTGTTTGAACGATTCGTGCTGCTGATTATAGACGATGACTCCCAAGAAAATCTTCCTCTCCGCAGAGGTTCTAGTCTCCCTTTGGCGAAGATCACAAGTACATAGAGACGACATAGGGCCTTGTTGTTCGAATTGCAGTCTTCCGACCAGCTCTGAATGATCGTAACCAGCAGTGTCACAAAGGTCTCGCAAAGCAGCCGGCTTCTGAAGTAATCGAGCTCCAGTCTGAGAGAGTTTTCGCTGGTGAGTTTCCTGCGCACAATTAGCCCAAGGTGCACTATTGGACGGACGTTATCCCACAATATCTGCAAGTTGGCTCTGGGATTGCTCATGCTGAGTAATTATAAGGCTTGTGAGTGCTTCAAACATAGCTTGCATGTCGGCGCTGGTTTCTTGTTTTGCTGAGCGAACGGCCGTTATTACCGTATCAGAAGTTGTTTCGACAATACTCTCCGTGCTTCTCAAATGCATCCCACATTCTTCGGTCTTCAGCTCCAGATGTTGCAATCTCTGGTGTGTTGCCGTGAACTGTGAATCCATGGATTCTCCAAGTTTGGCCAATTCTTGGGTGTGGGAAATTCCCAGGTTCCTACAACGTTTGAGTACTTTTTTTGGCTGATATCGCAGATAAACCCACGTATTGATGACCTGGAGAGCAAGCTCTGTCGTCTCCGTAAGACGAAGCACGTTGTCTTGCATTTGGGTCAAGTCTTCCCGGCGTAGACCAAAACCCAGCAATCGCCCGGTATTCTTCATCTTGCCCTTCAAGTCGCTTGCCACCACATTTTGGAGCGACTCCAGCAGCACTCGAAGTTCCTCAACACCTCGTTCGCTCTCTTGCAGGCATTGTCGCAGTGTCTCGATCACCTCAGTGTCGGGGTCGGGAAGCGACTGGATTTTCGGAATCAAATCGCTCAGGGCCTGATACGTCCGTAGAAGATGGCTGACTTGGGTCGAGGCTGTGTCGAGGTCCTTGTCGCGGCCCCGCACAGAGTTGATGTAGTTGTATAGCCCTTGGGACACTTGAATCCCAAGGGAGATAATGCCAACGGCGCTCCCAGCCACAGAGAGCGGGTCTGACATGTTCGAGATCTTGATGATGATGATGATGATGTTGGAGAAAGAAGAAGTTTTAGGGAAGTCAGCCCAACATACCTGGTAGTATCAAATATGCAGTCTTCGTTGTAATGCATCTTCGCTAGCTGCATACATAGTCAGGCCACCAATCGACACGGAGAATAGACGCAGCCAAGCTCGAAGCGCCCAATAAGATTCATTCTGAGTGAGATTTAAGGCAGAATAGGCATCCGAACAGGGGCTGCGGACACCCGCCGGATCCCCCCAGCAGAATGCGAACCACATAGAGATATGCAACCCGTTTAGGGGCCACCAGATCGGCAGAAAGCCAAAAGTCAATGCAGTGAAAAGTAGGAATCCAGATGGCTAATTAAAACGCATTACCAAGAGGTTAGGGTGCCCTAGTACACACATACCCAGAGGGGGGACTGGAAGCTCAACAGTAAAAAACACCAACAACAGTATCAATAATACAAAACGCATTACAGTTTAGATTTCTTACAAAATAACGAGTGCCACTGTTCTATCATATGGGCGTTTTCCTCACTAAAATCCCTTTCCTACTATACTCCAACTTAGCTGGCACGTATCCAATCGACGACACAGCCAGTGTTACCCGCAGGGAATGAGTCTCAAATCTCGACATGTTGCAGGATTTGAAACAATTCACAACTAATTTTTTGAACAGTTTTACCTTGCCTCTGGTCACATCTAACATTACCTATACAAAGCACTCATTCTGAGCCCTGTTTGCATTCTAAAGGTTGAATGCTACTTTCATCGGGGCATCGCAGCTGCCTAGACCTAGACTTGGAGTATTGCGCTGAGTGACATCGGAAAACTTGCTAATTTATCATGAGCCTTCTTTGTGGTAAAGGCATACTAAAAGTTTGGAATTTGAGATACATTTGTAGGCAATAAAATAGTACTCTTTTGTTCTGTCAGCAAGTAAAATATCCAGATGGGAAACATGCATGCATTTGAGAAACACTGCGTCATTGCCGAGACCAGAAACGTCGCGAAAACAGGGACTCCGTAGACCAAATCGATGAAGCGACATTTATGCCCAGTTTATCGAATCTGTCCTGACTTCACACGATAATTCAGGTACAATCCATGATCAAGAAAACATGGCGTATGCATCCAAGGCAAAATAAATCTTTTTCCAATATTTGAACGGGCAGGGTTTTCGGCTTCAACAGTATTCATTTCTTGCCAAGCCATGAAATCTCTGCTTCCCAAATTGGTATGTACAAAATTCCGATAAAATCGTTCGTGCCTCTTCCATCGTTATCTACAGCGGCTGCCATTAGTGGTCGCAATTGAGCGCTTCCACCACTCTACCAAGGCCCTCCCGTATCCAATATGTAATATTTTTAGCCACTGCTCATCAATCCCCGCTTATCCAAATCTCCCTCATCGCACCTAGTACACAGTTGTGATAGGTGTCTTGATGTAAGAGGTCAAGCTAGTGGTGCCGTTCATCTTCTGGTAAATAGCCTGGACGAAGGCCTGGGCGGCAAGCTTGGCGCCTTCGGGGCTGGTGTGGGTGTGGTCGTTAGGGAACAAGGCGTTGACGGCCGAGCTGCCGAGCTTGAGGTTCATCTTGCTGACGGCCTGGAAGTGGTCGACGAAAGTAACGGCGGAACTGGCGATGGCATTCGCGGCCGTCTTCTGGTAGCCCACGAAGCGAGGCGCGGCTCCACCGAAAGTACCCGTCTCCCACTGGTTGTTAGGTGTCTGTGAGCTGAGGATGACAGTCGCTCCCTTGGCCGTCATGAGCTTAGACGCCTGGATGACATAGTAGACGAAGGTGTAGACAGTCTCGCCTGTCACGTCTGAGATGCACGTCTCAGTGCCGGCTCCCGGGCAGTCAGAGCGCTTGTTGTCGTTCGACGTAGGTGTGCCACCGTCATTGTGTCCAAACTCAATGACGACGATATCTCCCGAGGTGACGAGGTCCGCAACGGCCTGGAACCGGCCCTCGTTCCAGTACGAGCGAGCCGAACGGCCGCCAATGGCCTTGTTAACGGCCGTGACTGTCAGGTAGTTGCCGATGTAGTTGCCCCAGCCGTCGGTGCTGCCGTCATTCGCGCCGTTCTTGGCCATGGTGCTGTCGCCGCAGAAGTAGACGGTTGGCGTGGCTCGGGGTGCCAGGTTGACCGAGTCGGGCGCAGGCGCAGCTGCAACCTGCAGGGCGCCGAGCACCAGGGGAGAAAGGGTCGATAGAGAGAACTTCATGATGAACGAATTATATACTGGAAGCAAACACTTGAAATATTCCGACGCTGCAAATGATGGAGGATCCTGGGGGTTATCAATCGTTGGTCCGAGAAAGGAACAGCTACAGTTAAATACAAGACCAACATAAACGCCGCCAAGCCATGGCTCCATGTCAGCCGATCTCAGCAAACGACATGTTTCAGGAACGGATGACTATGCGCTCTCCGAAATGGAAGCGTCGCGGAGTTGGCTCCGCTTGACCGAGTTGGGCTCCTGTCCCGTGCCAGGTTCCTTTCTCTGAAACGGGCATTTTTCCACCAGTTACGAATATAAGGTTACTTCGGAACGATGGTGTCATTGACTTGTACGCGTAAAATTACGGGCCTCGAGGTATGCTTCAATTTAAACCACAAATCATAGCTATGGACGGCGTTGCAGGGAGGCCCCGGCCAGTCCATGCGATCAGCGCCCGGCTGATCCGCTACAATAGTCCTCTCGGTTGCACGCGAGAGCTACAGCAGGCTTCTCGCTAGAGAATCGACCCGAACTCAACTTTTAGGGTTCCTAGATGCACTCCTGGATAGGTGCGCTTCGGCTAGGTCGGCCTGGAGGACGTTCGGGTTATTATACAGCGAATCCCCCCGCATCCGCTCCGCTTGGCCAGATGAATAAAGTTGACGATTGCGGAGTGCAGGATGTGCCAAGAGCCTCTATTCAGACAACTGCGTCCGGTGGGCTGGGGTATTGATTGGTCTCGGTTAGTTGCTCCGAGCCCTCAGCCCCTGACTTGGGATGTGACTTGTGGGTTTATTCGGCTTGCTTCACGATCAGGTGGAGAATAAACATTAACAGTCGTGTTCTAGTTGGTATTAAGGGTGATATTAACATGGCGCAGGACTGAGCACCCGCTCATTTAGTCTTGGGCTTCTTAGAGCCAATCTTCCACGTCGACAGCTTCCCCCAGCGAGACCTAGATGTTCCCTCAGCCTTTGCTGCTGCTGGTACGGAGCCTTCCAACTCTTCTCTCGGACCTCCAATCAGGGTATTGCCCTCAAGCTCAGGCGGATCCACCCAGAGCTCCGATAGTTTGGCCGTACTACTTTGCCCGTGGTCACTCATAGGCGTCGTCGCGCTCGTCATCGTTTCTACCGGGCTGAAGCCGCTATTGGACATGGATGTGACACTCATGGAAGTGCTTAGCACCTCGGTTGAGTCTAGCTCCGCCGCGGGCTTGCAAGAATCGCCTGTGCTTTTGAGGTATTTGACCGAATCTGGGTCGGATGACAACAAGGCCGGCTTCTCGTCACCATGTAGCTCGGAGACGACATGAGGCACCGCAAGTTCTGCAGGGTCGTTTGAGTTTCTGGCCAGTGCAAGGCTGGAGGTGCTCATAAGCGATTTGTAGTCTGGCGGTTTCCCAAAGCGATTGCTGTAGATGGTCTCTTCGACGGCGCTTCGCAGTTTGTTGAATTTGAAGCCAATGGTAAAGTTGTTCAGCGGGAGGAGTTGGTCGATCTCGTCGTGAACCTGTTGCTGCAGGCGCTTCTCCTTGCCGGCGAAAGTCTTGATCATGTTGCTGGTGTAGTATTTTGCGGCGTCTTCGATCTGCTTCACGGAAACATACTTGCCGTCGTATCGAAAGGACCGTTCGAGGATGAGGATCATGTCGCAGGAGCACTTGAGAAGCATTCTCGCTGTTGGCGGCAGACCCCAGATGCAACCAGCAATACCGACGATTGCACCAATACCAGCCGTCGGGATCGCTGCACCAAGAGTGACTGCGCTCACGGCGGCGAATTGCATCAAAGAGACCTTCATGAACGTCTTCAGGTTCCCCATGACAATGTCTGACATGATCTTCTCTATTTCATCCGGGGTCGCCTTGGGAAATCCGAAGCATTGCAGGACGTGTTCGCAGATGAGTCGCGAGACGGTGGGCGTTCCGATTATGCCAGAGAATGGGAGAGGGACAGCGGCGGTGCGAATTGCATGAGTACCTAATCTCATACATTCTGTTATCGCTGAGTTGATTTTCTGTTCAACGTCGACGACTTGCGCCGCGACGCAAAAGAGACGTACACGTTCGTCAACAATAAGTCCGAGGGTTTGGGAGAGGAGATCTTTGACGCCCGCATCGTCATCTAGGAACAGATGTCAGAATCATGTTGCCTCATAATGAAGGAGACCATACCTTTTGAAAGACAGCAGTACCCATCGGCCTTGTAGTGTTCGATCTGTGACAACTGGTTTCTGAGCTCATCGAACTGCGCCTGTGCCATCATGTTGGCCTGTTCGTCCGCTAGCTTCTTGGCCTCTTTGTAATCGTTTGTCTTCTCCATTAGCTCCTCCAGCAGCTTCATTTTACGATAGCCGGTGAGTTTGTCCTTCTTCGTACCGATGACGAATACGGGGACTTGATGCGAGAATTGGGCAATAGTTGCAAAGGTTCGCTTGTCTGCTTCTTCGATGCGGCTCACATCGGCGTCCACACAGAACCTGGCGAGGATTTATCAGAACCGGAACCTCATAGCGCAGCGAACAAGAGCTTACCAAATGACGTGCAGGGCTTTGGCAGGGTCTTCCTGGAACGCGCGGTGCCTGAGAAACTTTGCAATTAAATCGAGTTCTGTGTCGCTTCCTGCCTGCCAGCCTCTCGAGTCGTGAATGAGCAATCCCGGGTGTAGTGGAGACTCAAAGGCTTCGTTTATGTCATGGACGCCCTGATCATAGGACTTAGACTCCCCCGTCATTTCAACACCAAACACCTTGTTGATTAGTGTCGACTTGCCCACTCCAGTCTTACCACAGACCAATATCCGAAATGCCTTGACACCGCTTGCTTGCAGTTGCATATCTCGAAGCCATGGGGCAAGCGAGTTGTCGTCATCGACCAGGCAAGTGTCCTGGAAGTTTGAGATTTTTGTTTTGATAGTTTTGAAGCTGGGAAGCTCAAGGTACCGAGGGTATCTATCGAGCACGCAGAAGATGGAAGCATGAATCACCGTACCGTATGGTCCTGTAGCGTATCAGCAGAGTCCAAACTCCGACTCTCAAGGGACAAACTGTACCATTGTTGCTCCATCCTTTCAGACCATCTGCGCCGAATACTTTACGTGTGGCACCGCGTGAGAAGCGCTCGGGGTCGTGTTTCAAGCTGTGGATTTCACCGCCGGCCGCCGAGCGCGCCGCATGAGAGCTCTGGAGGTCAAACATACTGACCTGAATGCCATTCGAATATTTGAGGCGCCATTCAATATCTTCTGAACCGTCCAGATTTGGCAGGTTACCAGCGTATTGGGGAAAGACGAGAGAGAGCGGATTCTCGACAGCGGTTGGTTTCTCCATGGAACGTACACTCAACCCAGCTGTGATGCTCTCGAGTAGGATCCATTGGAGCGGATACAGAGAAAGCCCGTCATTGGCAGTGCCACCGCACAGATCGTCGGTTGTGCCAAGAAACCAAGCTTGGATAAGAGACCGTCTCGTCATTTCAGTGTCGCTAGGGACTTCGAACACCTCTGGGACCCTGTTGGACCGGCTTTCGTTGATAGCGAGCGCATGCCGCAGAATCTCAATGGATGGACCAAGCGAGATGTCGTAACGCGTCTTCACCGACGTGAGCTTCACCGTGTCGAAAAGACCGACAAAGGGTATCCGAGGCGGGTCACCGGCGTTGCCTTTGACCGTCTGCACCAGGTGTGTGCCATTCCGATAGTCGTCCTCGAGCTCTGCCTTGATGAGTGCGCATGTTAAATCGAACTGGTCGTCGAATCTATGCGCGAACTGTTTCTTCAGCAGACCCATACGATGGACGATTCCAGCAACTGCGCGGGCCACAAAGGCGCCGTGGCCGGATCCATACAGCCAGAGCTCATCTTCGGCGTGTTCGAGCGTGGAGCACACGTCCTTGACGATGGTTTTAATGACGTCGGCGGTATCGTCGGTCGCGGGTTTGGACTTGAACTTGTCGCCGAACTTGGGAATGTTGCCGACGGCGACGTAGTATCTCGGTATCTGTACCAGAGCACGCCCCGAAGGGCATATGCCCTCTCGAACGAGCTGCTTGAGCCGTTGGATATTCGACTGGTTCACCTCCTCTGGCAGAACGGTCAGCTACAGCTCCGCGTCGGTCGCGACAAAGTGGAGATCGGCTCACTCTTCTTTTCGCGCGTCTCGCTCCCATCAATCAAGACCACCAGGCGCTTCAGCGTTCTCTGATCAGACATGCTGAACGCGACTCTCGATCAATCACCGGCCTGCGGAATTCCCAGTTAAACAATCATTTCAGGCAGCCAAGGTTGAAGATGTTGAATGTTGAGCGGGGAAGAAGCGTGAGGTGATAAGGCAAGGCTGAGCCGGAATTCGCAACCAGGGGCGTGATTCGGCTGCCAGACCGTAGCTCGCTTTCGGTTACGCAGCCGCTATTCGCTTTTGGGCCATCCGGCTTACTGCCGTATGCACCTCGACGTATTCCCAGCTCTCTGAAGCTTGGGGGCCATAACTCATAACCCACTGATAACCCTGGTTGCTACGGTGTTAATCTTAATATGTTGGGCTGCAGGGGTATTTTAGTCATGCCAAGTGTCCATACGGAATTTCCAGATAGATTTTAATCATGCTAAATGGTATAGCTGACTGAAGATCGGAACTGTGGCTCACAGCAAGTCACAGCGTTACTATACTTGGCTGTGCCATTTCGATATCCATTTAGCGTGGAATCGCCCAGCTAGGCCAATCCAAGAAGCAGTTTCGAGTGGAGGAGGGAGTACGTTGGTTGAGCTAATGATGTCTGACATTTCTGTCTTGTGAGGGATAAGGTGGGTTGGAGTTGGTGTATATGATGGTTCGTAGATCAATCAATGAAGTATAGTGACTCGTGGGAGGAGACATCCATTCGTGGCATTTGTTTGCAGAAGTCATTAGCCTATTCATCTACCAAAGGCAGACAGGTCACGGAGGCAAACACCCCGCGATTCCTGACACCTACTCGGCAACGAGAGCGTATGAGCATCGCTTAGGTAAACGACCTAGAATATCACTGCCCGCTATTCGATGTCTATTAGCTTCCATCTCTCCCTAACGAAGCCGTATGTTTTCCCATGACGCTTTCGCCAACACTTCGTCTGCCCTGGGATGATCACCGACATAAGACCCACCAACGACGACGTAACCGTTATTACTAGGTCTCAGCACCAAGTAACCAGTCGACCCACGTATCAACGCAAGAGAGTCATGGCTCGTCACCGGGCCACTCGTACTCCCCGTGATCCCTGTGTCGGTGACGAAAAAGTGAACGCCCTGCGTATATGCCCCGGCCTTCCGAAACCTGGCTATCCTCGACAGGCTGCTGAGAAACTGAACCGGGCTCCGGTAAACACGCAGAGCGACCACTACCACAACCGGCAGGACAAGAATCCTCCAAGCCCAAACAACGAAAGCGACCATGAACCCGATATTGGCCAAGGCACCGAGAGACCAAGCGATAAGGAATATGGTCGTGTCTCCTATAAACACGGCTGCAAACTGAATCGCAGCCGATATCAAGTGGCCCAAGACTGGGAGAACAAAAGTCCAATCCATGTCGTCGTATGTAGTTTGGAATAGGGTCTCGATCAATGACACGCGGAACTCCCAAAACACACCGCCTATAGTGAACAAGATGTCGCCGGAAGATTGACGCCACATATCGCGGTTTAGCCAGGTCCTGCCCTTAATAAACACACCGAAGGCTTGGTTAATCGCACTCATCTCTGTCATGGGCTGGCGCTCCCACCGGGGGTCAAGTTGCATGCGATGGCCGTCTGTGGGACAGGAAGCAACCGATGGAAATCGCATGCATAAAAGCTCGTGGATTCTGATTCTGAAGTACCCCGACGAATATGCTGCGGTTACATAGGCAAGTATATCGAACAAGTCCAACGTGCGAACTGCCATGCGCATAGACACGAAGACCTGAGCCATGTGTGACCGCCACACTAGGTTGATAGCGGTCTCCGTCAGGGCGCTCATCACAGGATCTGGGGCTTTGTTTCGTCTTCCGGTGCGAGGGTAGGATATACTTGCTAGAACTTGCCAAAGAAGTTGCACCGAATCTACAGTGCCTATCTCTGTCACGCGTCCGACTATCTTGGCTTCTACTTTCAGGCATGGTCCGTCAATGTCGTAGCATACTTCCTCGGGACTCGAAAGTGATGGTGCAGGCGTAAATGTGTCAAGAAGGCTGATGTGACGAGCAGAGTCGACGCGGGTTGATATCGGCTGCGTCCAGTCGGGGACCCAAGAAGGCAAGTCAATCAGCCAATCGGTGGCTGGAGCGTAACAGGCATCTCTTCCGGCTCGAAAGTTATTTGCAACTCTCAACACACGACTGGTCATGGTGAACATGGAAGCTGAGATGCCGTCGTAGGGGTTGCGTCTGGCGGGCAAAAGGAGGCTGTACGACAGACGTAGATAGGGATCCGGGGTTTGTGCCAGACGAATAGCATCCAGGTTTCCGTCCAGCTTGAAGCAAGCTAGTGCAACGGCCTTGAATACTTGGGCGTCCGTCTGGGCCCACATGGAGATTGGAATATCGTGGTCAATTCCAAGCTCCTGGAAGACACCGTAGAGCGAGAAGAACCTGTCCTTTGGGTCGCGGCATGCCTTGAACCGCATAGAATTCATGACGCTTGTAAAAGAGAACTGAGATAAATCCTCAAGGCGTGACTCGCCGAATCCTAAGTCATTGTCGTGTCTTAAATTATTGTCGTGTCTCGCTGGATTCACCCCTCTCTTCAAAGCAATGGCGTCGGCGAGATAGAATTGCAGCGCAATAGCCTGGTCGACATTGACCGACGCAGGAAGCACACCGAGTTTCCTCAAAACATCCCAGCCGCGACGGATGTATTCGAGCTTGAGATGTACGTCACCGCAGACCACAGTTACTCGGCCGGGATATGGCAGCGTAACCTCCTGGACTGGCCAGGCTCTAGTAAACCACGACCTGCCAAAGAAATCAGCCAGACTCTTGCTGAGTTGTGGCCACGTGCGGGCCATGTCGAGCCCGATCTTTGTCGCCTCTTGTTCCGAATCTCTGATAGCCAGGACATCGTCGATCCCAGATACCTTGGCGAAGTAGTCACAGACAAGGCTGCTGGAATCATCTTGTTCACCCAGCCAAACTCGAACGCCGGCCGCTGTCTTGTATATGTCGCCCATGATACCGATCTGCTGGATTTTCTCCTCCGTGGATTCTTGGTCGATGCAAATTGCGTCCACCCACATCCGGCTCTCTCCGCGATCCCCGTGGATATTTCTCAGCGCCGCCACGCAGTTCTTTGTGACGGAAATAAGTGCCCCATCGCAAATGATTCGTACAGTTCCATCCTGAGAGTCCCAGGCGTAAGACAGGGCTGTGAAAGGGGGGGCGGAATCCAACGGTACTTCCTCCATACAGCAGGCGATCGGCGCATTCCTGTCGTCATTGTGTGGTTTGAGGGTGATGAGCCGAATTGTTTTGGAGCCGGAAAGGCGCGTATACTTGTATTGCGGCAGGCTCTCGTCGGGGGGATTCAGCCGCGCCGGCGGCACTGGACGAGGGTCGATCCAGGACTTCAATAAAACCTCCACGGTTTGATGGCGTATCCAGCCGGCTCCTATCCCAGGGGATTGCCGAAAATACATCGGGTGCATTGCCAATGCAAGTTGGAGAAAATCTGACCAGGTTCTTGAATCCTCTGCTCTGAAGCCCATGCCCCGATAAACATCTTGAAGCATACGCTGCACGTACATGTCGAGCATGATGCTCATAGAGGAAGCAAAGATCTGAAGTTCGACTGACGGGTCACGCCATATTTCAGGTAATGTCTGCCGGACCCGGATGATCAAGTGAAGTGGTAGGAGCAGCGCACATGCCCATACGACAATCACGACGACGAACTCAGAGAATATAATCAGGTGTAGGTTGGCCATCCCCAGTCGCCTTTGTTCGACCGATGCGAGCTGTTCGATATGTTGATGTTTGTGTGCAATTTCCGACTACGTGAGGAGCAGGGCTAAGTTCGTAGGTTCCTACTTTGTAGTTACTGGCCATACAGAATCGTAAATATGGGGCTGCTGCCTAGAATGGTTCGCACAAATTGAAGTTAGGCTAATCACTCCCCTCACCTGTTTTGTAATTCTACAAGCTGTCAAAATAGCTTCACTTGGGATTTGGGTGTTGCAACTTCAATGACAAGAACTTGTGACCAAGCTGCAAGGAGGAAAATCATCTCTCTATTGAAACTTTGAAAATATCAAAACGATCTATATCTATCTCTATCCATGTTCCATCATTCCGTCTCCGTCTAAGGCCTCCTCTACTTGCAAGCATAACAAAGGAAAAAAGAGCAAAGAGTAAACAAAACAAAATAAAAAAAAGAATCAGTCTTGGTAACCCATCCGCAGGCGACGATTTCGCAACCTTGGCCTGGCCCTTCGCCGTTACGAACCGTGTGTGCCAAGATCGCCGGAGGAAGAGGCACAGCCTCAACAGCAACTAAGCCTACTTGCGAGTCAGGCGATTGACAAGGTACCGGTAGTACGTGAGACAGTTTGTAGAAGCATCGAACGTCCCCTGCTTACCACCACCCATTGCCTCCGTACGCCACTCGCTCCCTGATACAATATTAGTCACTGTACCCTAGAGTTGGGGTCAAAATCTCAAAACGGCTTACCAGCGTTGTCAAGATCGACGTTCAGAGCAGTAATGTTGTTACCATATCTTGTCAAGTCGACTTGACCCCCGTAAAATAGTCTGCTATAACGTGAGTTGGAACTTGTCAGTAAAGGCCAATGGAGACACTTACTCTTGGCTCCCCCGAAAAGCATATCGATTTTCCCTCACATGCCAATAGGCACCAGAATTTCCGAAATCCTTGAGTATCACATCACGGAATGTCCCATCAAACGTCCGCACCGTTCCACACCCAATACATCCAGAAGAGTCCTTCGCGACTTTGGAAACTCTCCCCAAGACAAGGCCGACATGGGTACAACCGTAAATGTTCTTTTTTTTCTCCTGTTGTATAAGCTTTTTGTACTCTCCCGCTGCCCATTTCCCTGCGTCTGTGTTCGGAACATAATCCGCTGCTGCTTTATAACAATTCATGAAGTAGTAGTGCTTGCCAACTTCGAGGCTGCGGCGCCCTGCTGCCTGCTTGGCAGCTTTGAAGGCCTGGATTTTCTCTCCTTCGGATAGTTCACCCTCGTCGGCGTCCAGCTTGCGTGGGAATCGCTGAGAGGGGTTTGGGATGTAATCAACCACCGATAGATTTCCGTGTTTGCCATCCTGTGCCACAGTATCCGAAGTCAGATTGAAGGGGCGGATGATGGCGCTGGAGGCGAGCCCGCAGAAAGTGACGAGGTGCAGGAATTTCATGGTGATGGTAAGTATTTCCCGTGAAATCGAAGCGAAAATGAGGTTGAGAGGTTGAGAGAAGAGGAATGATGCTGAAGTCTTGTCGTTGGAGTTCCTGTATTTCTCTTGGAGCGGTACAGACTGATATATATAGCTGTTAGGTGAGCTCACCATACCATGAAGGTTGAATACACTCATGTGGCCATTGTATGCTACTCGTGAATGAGGTTAGGGCTATTCTTTCACATCTAAATTAAGCATGACTACTAAGCGCCTGTATGGATGAAACGGCGTATGGCCCTAGGAGAAAACAGCCTCACAGACCGGGCGTTGCGTTCTTGAGTAGTGGTGGGGAAGGGCTCGGTGATTCCGCTATACATGCTCCATTACAGACTGGATATTTTCTTGCCATGCAATCCACAAGACAGTCGTTTCCTTCTCGAGGGGTGCTAGAGAAGGGCTTGGCGACTCCGTTACATGCTCTATATTTTAACGCGCTCCAACTTCAACTTCGTATTTTCTTCCAAGTGAATCATGCGCACCCTTGCCAGGCGTATATCCCCTACATGTCAATTCGCCTTGGAGCCATAAGACGACGTACTATCGACGCCCGGGAACCGCCAGGTCATCGCCCTCTTGATATTGATCATAACTCAAAAATAGCATGTCGGACCGACGGAGTTGCCTAACAAACTCAGACCTAAGGGTGAAAGCTTATTCTGAAACCTCCTAGTGAAAAAGCTTGACGCGACAGGGGTGGCTGGATAGACATAAATGTTTCTAAATACAGTTCTGATCCTGGCTACGGTTCAATTAACCATTGCCTTATCCTGTAAACAGTAGGGTAGGGACCCAAAGACAGTGGTCATACACGAGAAGGTGAGAGTGTTAGAGCTCTACTAACGGGCCTTGGCAGAAAATTGGGACAGTTGAACCAGCCTTGCTTCACTGAAATCCGTGTTGTCTGTAGGGTTGGGGTCGGAGGGGTCATTCAAGTATTAGTCAAATTTCAGGGGCAGGGTAAAAACCAGAGGAGGACGGAGCAGCGCCGGCAGCCGTCACAACCGACACAACCGTTACGGCAGCTCTTGCAGCAACCCTCACAGCCTCATATAGAGCTGTAGTAGCATTTTCAATGGCAGCTGCCGGAGTAACAGCCAGGCCGGGCTTAAAGTGACGAGTTTTCCCGGAAAACCACAGAGATGAGTTCAAGTCCAGTATGGCGTTTGCATTCAAGACTCCTTCGGGTAGCTATTGGTCCTGCAGGTTCCAGGTGCACACAGAGATGAGGGTTTTTTAACGATTTGGCTGCAGCCGGACTTGCAGGTTGTTATGTTGTGTTAATAACTATAGATTTCACTTATTGTTCAGAACATTCCCTACCTTACACTGTAAATTTGCTGTGACGAACGGAAGATCCAATATGCGGGGTGAAAAAAGTAGAGTCACAGAATACATACTGTGCCAATAGCAATACTCATACGGATTTCCAGCCGCCCTCGGGTAGATTGTGGTCGTTGCTGATTGTGTGGCGGCGCTCCTGATTAGTAAATACCTCTGTATATTTGCGTAGTAATTATGAGTTGCTAGAGGAGCCTCCGACGACTCTCGGAACTTGATTTGTAAACCCCCCGCAGCGATGACATATCGTAAGACTCAATTCCAATTGCCTTCGGCGCTTAACTTGCATTAGACGCCTCATGCTGCTTGGAGTTTTTGAGATTGAAGATGGAATGGATTTCTCCACTTTCCGCCCAAAGCCGTCCGAGTGGATACAAGCTTCCTGTGAATCCTGACTCGCTGCATGACGACATCACAGAATGAGATTTTAGATCTTCCAGCAGTGACACCTCCTGCATTCTATATATAGCTAGGCTGGCAGTAAAGAGCGTCCCGTGCACACTTTGGTTGGTATTGGGCGAACTGGTCGTTTGGAAGTGGTAGTTTGGGATCCCTATTACGAACCCACCCCGGATTTCCAATCACGACATTAGTAACCCCATACAAATAGCGAAATGGCAGTGCTACAGCAAATCCTAGACCAAATTAGTATATCTCGTAAAGATTACTTATTAATATACTCAGCTTGAACCTTTTCGAATGCCTTCGGCGTCTAAGTTTCGTCGGTCGGTTATGTAAGGTGGCCGACGGTCTATTAGACTGCCGAGTGTATTCACCGCAAGCTGACTGCAGAATGTATCCACTGGAAGCTGACCCTCAGCAACTGGTAGCTAAGGGTGGTTCGGTTGCGCCCATTGTCATCTTGCCGACATAGCCTTGCTATATAATACTTTTCTCATCTCGTAAATGCAGGATGCTTTCAATCAATCCATCAGTTCTCTTCTAGAGTAAGAGGACCTCATTTTCTCTTAAGACTATCTTATTACTCATTAAGATCTGTTATAAACTACAGGAAAATTTCCGATCAAGTCCGACAAGTCTTAAAGATGCACCTCAAATACTTTGCTCTGTTGTTTGCAGCTGTCGTTACTGCACTGCCGGCTATTCCAGTTGCAGACATTAGCACCGCAAAGACTCATGCCGCACCGGAAGCAGGGCTCGTGCTACGAGATTACAGTGCTGGTGTCAACTTGAAACCGAGGTGGAAGGCCGATTTATCCGGCAGAACTTTCGTGGGTGGAGGATGGACTGTGGTCATCAAGGAATGGACGCCAATGTTTACATCAAGAATACACGCACGCATCCCAACAAACGCACACGACATCACTGCGCTAGGGATGACTGTTTCGCGTTTATTCAGGCAAGCCGACCCCATGTCTACGCATGCCGGCGAAATTAATGATGGTTGGCTTATAGAGGCTTGGGCTGGAGACCTGCACTTCCCTATTCACCACTGGCCACGAGAGCTTGTATTGGCGCTGGTAAAGGCTGTTTGTTACGCGGCTAGGGATAATTACCCAGCCAATGGCTTTTTTTATGAAATTTGGTCGGCAGGTTATGGGGAGGTTTTAATGAGGCTTACTGTAACGCCGAGGTTCGACAACGGGTTTTAGATTGGAGTCAATATTGACCCGATGGATGAGAGGGCTACCAGAAGCTACCCGAGGCGACTGGCCAGCCCTCGGCAGCCATGACAACCAACAACCGTAACGGGATGAGCACGAGGGTGGTACATCTTGCGCTATTTGCGTTCTAGCCAGGAACCTCGGTACCCACTGATATGTTCTTTACTTCTAGACCTTTGCTGTTTTTCTCACTCTTTCCCCTTTAGCTTTGAGATACTTATCTTGTTTGTTTCTGCCTGGTACAGACAGTGGCTAGGTTGCAGGAGTCAGTTCCGATATATAAACTGGAGATTCACGAGATTTGTGGACGCGATTCTCAAATTGCGGGTAAATTTTATGTACTGGAAGAGGAATGCTCTAGCTATGTAGAAGTCGCTTCCCTTCCTTTACCCATCAACACATATCTATATACCAGTTCCATTTGTAGTAAGTACATTGAAGTATTAGGCTTTAATACTGCCTCGGTAGAAGTAAAAACAGTCGATGTGAACCTGGAAGGACGAATACTATGAGGTATCGTCTCATCCTGATCGGGTGGGCATTTAGCATTCGCCCTTCTTGACGGGCTCACAGTCACCGTTAGACTTGTCGCAACCGTCGTAAGCCTGGCACTGGACCTTGGGGTAGCAGTTGTTGTCATAGGTAGCCTGAGTTGAACGAGTTAGTTACGTTGGTGACATTAAAATCCGGGGGAAGATATTTACCTTGTCACCCATGTTGGTGTTGATACCCATAAGCTCACCACCGTCGATGGCAGTGACACCCTCCATGTGGACGGTACGGGCGCAGTTTCCCTTGCAGTTACCGCAAGATCGGTAAACCTTGCCGTAGTCGTTGGCGTAGAAGTTGATGACGTTGACATGGCCACAGCCGTTGTGCTGGATGACCTTGTCATCGGCGCCGTAAGCACCGCCACCAATGATGTTGGCAGTGCCAGATCCCTTGATGGAGATGGCGTCCTCGCAGACCTTCTCGAACCAAACGAACTCCAGGTTGCAGCTGCCCAAGCAGTAGACACCCTCCTTCTGGTCGGCACCGATGATGACGTTCTTCAGGGTAGCGCCGTCCTCAAGGACGAAGACGGTATCGGCCTCGCCTATGCCAAGTGTCAATATGTTGCTCAAGTATCCTGTGGGAAGCGAGTGACTTACCTCCTTCGCTCTGGCCGCTGCAGGCCTCACCACGGTCGTACTTGACCCAACCAGCGTCGAAAGTCTCACCAGCACCGATGTACTGAGGCTCGGAGAGAGTCTTCTCACCAGTAGCAGTGGGAACACCGCCCTCGTAGCCCAGGCAGGCCATGGCCGCGGGCACGGCGGCGAGGAGAGAGATGATGCTGACGGAATGCATTGTGAAGTTGGAAGTTGGTGAGACGGTGGTGGTAGTGGTGTGGGTAGTTGAAATGAATCCGATCAACGGAGAGTGTGGTAAATACAGAAAATGGAACTGAGAATGTGTGAGATTGTCTGACTCCAGGTCGTTGGTGAGGATGAGGAGAAATTTCGATGTGGAGGGGGCATCTGGGCGTATTTATCTACCATTTGAGCTTACTGCAGACATTATTCAGCCGTCACCGACGGTCCGCACCATGTTTCTCCGTCGTACTCCTGAACAGAGTGTGGATAAGCTTAACACATCCTCAGGGGTTACACCCGCTCCCTGTGCAGATAAGCTTAATGCGTCCTGCCCACTGGTCAATGGCAAGTGACATGTTCCGCTGGGAAGTGACATCTGTTGGCAGTGACATGCCCATGCTTGGTGGGAAGTGGCACACCCATGCTGAGTTGGGAGTGACACACTGCGGTCGGGGTTACCAACGCTACGTCACCCAGCCCTGTTTTACATGGATAAGCTTAATCCACGTTTCAAGGACTGCAAATTTCCGTTTGTTTAACAATTCATCCTAGTGGTTCGTTCGATAGACCTCTCAGCAGCAGATAATCCCCATGTCGAGGTCTACTTATAAGAGTACAACACGATTCCCAAGGCTCATATCCCATTGTTATCATATGTATAAGTAATGGATGAACTGAGTTTGCTTACTGCCAAATTACAGTTTTAACCCTATAAAGAAGCTAATATGTTTAATCCCCGATGGATGTTCTCACCAGGTAAGTCTCCAGAGTCCCCACCCCTGTAGATAAAACACTCGTTATTCATCGGCGCCAATCTTTTACCAGGGGGTGGCCCCTAGAAATTACCTTAATTTTACCGTCTGATGTTGTCCGGTGTGAAATCGTCCATCTGCTAGACGGAAACAGGTTTCCTGCTCATGGTTGCAGGGGTAAAAAGAGGGACCCGGTGGAGAATATTGTGGTGCCTCCTGAAACAGGCGGAGTTGATTGAAACGTAAGGGCGTTGGAGGCCTGACAGGATCTTGAGACGGATTCTGTATGAAAGCCGGAACCACGCCTAAAAATACGACGAACAGAAAGCCGTGTTCTCTCCGCGGACTGGTGGTGACCTAGACACTGGGGATTCGGACCATCGGGTCAATACGACCTTGTGCCTTACCAGGGGATGCGGACGAACTTCCAATTTACATCCGAGCGTAGCAATATTGATATCAATCCTGATAACCAAGATGAGAGGCGCACAATTATGTTTCGCATCTGCTGTGATTGCTCGGCGTGTCATATTGAGGGCGGCTGCTGACCAGTAGTGCATCATCGGATCACAATTGCGCAGGTTTCGTTGATAGGAAACGAGCCCAACTCAAAGTGAGTTGAAACCGCCACAATCAACGAGCAGACTCGAGTGTCACGAATGAGCTCAAGGATTTTTCAGAGTCCTCAGCCTTGGACTCTCGACTCGTGGCTGTGACCATCCTGTTATTCCCGGCAAGTCTACGGAGTCGCCTAATCGAGCAACGCCGATCTGATGTGCTTCAGCTCAGCAGTAAAACTGAAACTTCTTTCCGCGTTTAGTTCCGCCCAGAAATGCTCCTTATGACAGTTGCTCTTCTATGCTTGGTGGAATCATTGTGGGGGATTATCCGGGTCGCCCCCGCCAAGGCCCGCCAAGTACGCACCCCATGTAACTGAAACATGTCTGTGGTGCAAGGGTTGCGATGTTCCTGTTTGTTGCCTGCTGTATGATCTTCTCGATTGTCATGACCACAGTAATTTCATTGATACTGACGACGAGTGTCGTGCCGCGTCATCTACAATCCCTTGTACTGAATTTCTCACATCGGCAGGATCCTCATTGCACATTTCCTGACCTGGGTCGGTGGTCCACCGCCTCATGGGTCGAATGCCTGCAACCCTCCACCATCCTCAATCCTACCCTGCGCGCTGAATAAATTACAATGTTGTAATTGCAATCAAAGATGCGCCGAGTTGGTCTGTTCTAAAGAGGAAGCTATGTGCGGGTCCTTGTAACATATGATGCATCGCCACCTGAGCCCAACGTTCTGATCATTGTGATCTCCAGAAGAAATTCAGTTACCACTAAGACATACAGTTATAAGAAAAGGTCTCTTGTATCGTCGCAGTAACAACCGGGTATGGTAGAAGCGTTGGCTAATGTATCATGTTTGAGACAGAGCATCATCAATCTATCTTGTCTGGTGAGTTTAAGTATTTGTGGCCGTTGTTGATCTAACCAATAACCTACCTTATCAACCAAAATTTAAGATTTTCTTGGAAGACAAGTTTTATTAAGATTACGTATACACCATCCATTGACATCTACCTGAATAGACACAGCGAGATTGAACAACTTAAACTCGTCATTTACACTCGTAGACCAAGGAGGCTACCCTAGACTTCGGGACTTGAGTATCGTGGAGCACGTGAGATTTATTTTCTTTACCTTTTACACGTAAACACCCCTATTTATTTAATCACTCTATACCACTAGCCCAGCAGGCCCTTTTACTCCGGAGGGGGTGGGATGTGGGCATAAACGGGTGCCCCAGTACTTGCTGCATTGTAATTCTCTGGACCCCCGTCACAGACCCGGATGGGCAAGAGTTAGTCAAAACGCATAACCCCAAGGATTACAATATGTCGTAAAGAAATTGGAAATGTACAAAGGTAATGAGAGTTGTGCAGCCAAGACATCGAATGGAACCCACTTACCTATTTAGGGAGCGTTAAGCCGGAGCCAACGAAGAAGCCTGCACCGATATACCTGGCGACAGGTGGACCATTGCTGGCGCCGGAGCTTTATCCATGAACAGCTTTCTGTGTTTTCTCCACTCTTCTGTGGAGTGTCTCGGGGTGGCATAAGATGTCTGGAAGTTGGAGAGGAGCATTGAAGAAATGATTTGAGGATTATAACTTTGGAAAGAAGAAAGGGACTTAGGCTTATTTAGCCAGGGTGCGGGGAGGCTAGGATTAATGGCATCCGAATTAAAAAGCCAGGAGTCTTCCTAGTACTAATTTAGCATTTTAGTGTTTTGGGATGTTTCACTACTAAACCGATGAGTAGTCCTAGCAACCATAGCGACAGGATCCTGGTGATTGGTTTCCGCCGGTTATCCAAAGGTCCGGGAAGTCGACAACTGAGCGAGACCAAAGAGACATCGAGTGGCAAAATTACTCGTTCGATACAAGGCTCAATAGTAGCCTGTGTTGGGCATATGCGTTGATGAGTAGAATAAAGTTACGTGCAAGATGAAATCTATCACGTGTATATTTTTAACTAGCTTTTTTATTCACGAGCTATTGAGTAGATAGTGGTCTCAGACAGGTAAGAGAAAGGTTGTGCAAACTGTGGTTTGCCCGATTCTACGCTACACGAGGATTGACGCTTCTCTGTGGTCCTCCCCCAGATCATGTTTCGAGTTTAGTGAAGATGGACGTGGGTTGTAAGGATCCCTAGACACCACAGAAATATTCGTGGTACGTTATCTTTCAAAGTGCCGTAGGATATTGTTGAAGGGGGCAGCAAAGAAACTAAATATACCAATTGTGCTGATGGAAATCTGAGTGTCAATTGCTGAAGCTTTAATTGTCGCAAATCGGATAGTATCGAATATAATATTTATGATGCCCAAGAGGAATGTTGAATAAACTCCAACCTTTAGCGACCTCTTCATATTCAACCCTGGAATTATGAGCCAGGGTAAAGAGAAGACTACAAATATTAGTGTTTTTCTACCTCTCAGCCAGCTCGCTGCGCATCTCACCTAACAGGTCTCCAGTGATGTGCAATGTCCAGTTCGTTATGAATACCACGTTACCCAAACTGACTGGACAGGTTGATTGAGTTGAAAGGTCCCTAATCGCACTTTGTTAGTCATTTATTAATGGGTCTTTACTTTTGGACATCCAAGGAACTGACCAGTTGGTCTCAATTGGTAAGCAGATGAGACAAAACAGAAGGATGCTGGCTGCAAAGGATAGAGCAACGTAGATAATCGTTGCCCAAAGGAACATTCTCCGCTTTCGCATAAAATTGGGGAATATTTGCAAGTACATGGACAGTAGTGCAGCTTTAGAGAAGTATAGGGTCATGTAAAAGGGGATGCTTATGAACCAGAACATCTAGAATGTTTTATAAGCATCCATGTTGGCTTCGCTAGAAATCTACCCAGTTGATGTATTATGGATGGGATTTACGTACCTCCAAAACGAAGGATAGTTCTTCGGCATCTCCGGTAAAACCCTCCATGGTCGTCTTCACTTGCGGCTCAAGTGCACCATGTCGAGTAAGCACAATATTCATAGAATTAAGGCAGACAGCAGAAAGCCAAGCACCGCACATCAGAACATCACTGATCAATATTCTTCGATGTTGAATGTTGAGGCGGAGGTTTAAGCGAGCGATGATAACTGCCGTGGCGATAAGGATTAGAATCCAACCCGAAACCTGAATTGCGCCAGAAATTTGTCAACAACGAACCTTAACAATGTAGATGGGAGACCGAACCAAGATGGCCTTTGGCCCAGGGGGTTTTCCTCTCATGATGGCTAGACTTCCTTGATGTGGAGGTTGATAATTGCCGAGAGGCAACCGATTCACTTGAGAGTGAGAGAGCGGGGATCAACCGGCCCGTCGGGATTTACGTTCTTCGCTCACCTGAAGCGCGACGCTCCGATGTATATACTGGTTAGAGGATCGCCGACTGGAATGACGCGTGTCTGTTCGTCGCCCGCTCGCTGTAGATAACGCGTTCTCGGCCCGGCGAAAGGTTCAGTGGCGTTGTACTTAACACCACATCAACCCCGGTTATCTCTGCGAACAGTCCCCAGTTTGCGTCCAGTCGCAGCCTCTGCATTCCTCCGCACGCCTTGTTCGAATTTATATCGCCAGTACGGAGTAGGCGGGGGCAGTTCGCCTTCTTCCGAGTGGAGTTGATCACTGCGGAGCTTAGAAAATCATGAGAGATGGGGCGCGACTTGCCACCTGGTAGGAGGCAAAGCGACGCGCAATTACTTGCGCTTCGGCTTGGATGTGCACATCATTACATGAGATAATATTGCGTCTTAAACACTGCGACTAACGCCGGATTCCAGTCCCCTAAAGCTCCGAAAGAACATCCCGCTACTCCCCGATCAAAATACACCATTCGCCAGAGCTGATACCCAAAAGTAGGCTCGAAAAATGAGAGGCCACTCGCATAAGACTAGGTGGAAAATGCAGGCCCGCAACTGAAAAGGATCAAGGTGTCTCAACACGCCGAATTGAGGTCTTTAGCTGTCCCAAATAGCCCCATATGCAGGCATTCCTCTCGTCTCAAGTCCATATACCACCTTCTTTGTGATCTTCTCGTTCGCAATAATGATGACAGCCTCCGCTTTGAACCCTTTTGCCAAGTTAAAGCCCATCTTGACGAGATCTGGGCGACCCAGTCTTTTGGTGTCATGAATGACGGCGCCAGGCACTTTGTTCTCGATGGTGTCGCAAAGATCGTGCCCAAATGCCTTTTCCGGTTGAGACGTAGACCAGATGAGCTGGGTTTCGCAAGATTGGTTCTGGATATGCCCCAAAACAGGCCCAATGCCTGATCCCGTGGCAATTAGGACCACCCGATTGAAGAGTGTAGCGATACGCATAACGCCACAAGTAGGCACGCCGCGAGTCCAAATATGGGTTGGTGCTTGCTGTATGGTTGACTTGGTCCAGTCTCCCGCATTCGAGACAATAAGGGAATAACCCTTTGGGCGTCCTTTGCTAACCTCTGGGGCTGGGATAGTGGCGAAAGAATGCCACTCTAGCAGAGGACGCTTAGATAGACGGGTGAAAGATCCGTTGACGGGCACTGTGTAATCGAAATGGAGTCGCACAGCGTGGTCTGAGAGGACTTCTGCTTGAACAGGCACCTTGCGGAGAAAGAGCCACGACGAGGCGACGCTTGCAGTGGCAACAGCGAGGAGCCAGAATGAAGCTGACCGCACGCATGCACCGCCAAAGGACATGTCTACACCCTTAGTGTCGTTGCAGGCAATGAGCACCTGGGCCCAAAACAGACCAAGCATGGTCCATCCGATCAGGCGATGTGTTTTCTCGAACAGGTTGTGATGCGTCTTGCGTATCGACGGCCACGCAAGCACGAACATGGCGAAGAAGAGAGCTGAGAGGACCCAGGACACTACTTTTCCACCAAGAGATTGCTGGCCCCAGTTTGTGCATGTCGATGTCATACAAACAATGTCGCCGATATTGGAAGCCAGGAGCCAAGTACCAGCGCCTATCGCGGCGCCGGAGTGAACGCCACCAAGATGGTATATCTTCGCGCATCGAGTTCGGATGCAGAGTGGCCAAGATTTTGGCACGCTGCAGGCAATAGTATATAGAGCATTGATGACAAAGTCTTGTCGAATGAGGACAGCAATGGCGAGGTTGATGGCTATGATCGTGCTGATCCATTCTCTCTGGATCCCAGAAAACACAAGCGCCATGGTTGCTGCGATGTTGAACACGCCGACTAAAGTAAATAGACGACGGTAGACAATGAGGGCACGGTATCTTAGACCACGGACGTGTTTTCGGATCCTCTTCTCTGGAAGAGCAGCTTCTAGGTCGATATCGTCTTCGACTGCAGTGACATCTGACTTTTCAGAAGCTGAGCTGTTCTGTGTCAACGTTGATGCTGAGGAGTCGGACCTGCTGTGACCCAAATGAGCGGCTTTAGGATAGCGAATGGGCACTGTGGATGTCTCCTGGCTGGAGAGAGAGTTCCAATCAGCGGCAGCCCCCTTCGCCATGAGAGCTTTCTTGTCAATCTTTCCATTGCTCGTCATAGGCAATGAGTCCAGCAAGTGGAATTGAGATGGGATCGCATAATACGGCTGACGGCTCTTGATGGATTTCACCACCACCTCAAGATCACAGTCCTGGGGCGTGAGAAATCCATGAATCTCCCCGTTGACGAGAACAGCAGCCGCTCTTTGGACAGAAGGGCAAGAGTCGAGAGATGCAGTAACCCCGTCAAGCTCTACTCGGAAACCCTATAATTGTTAGTAATCTACAGGCCAATGACGTTTATGATCACCATACCTTGACTTTAACTTGGTCATCAGCTCGACCCAGGATTTCTATGGAGCCATCGGCGTTCCATCTGCAAAGATCTCCTGTATTGTACATTTTGGATCTATAACAATTAGTAAGTTGCAAAGATTTTTCATATCACACCTTGTATCTTACCTGTCGTTTTTAAAAGTGTCAAAGACGTATTTTTCAGCCGTTGTCTGCGGCAGAGCAACATAGCCACGAGTCACGCCTAATCCACCAGCCCACATAACGCCAATCTCACCAATTCCCACAGGAAGGTTGTCATTGCCAATTAAGTAGACGTTGTTGTTTGGTGTCGGCACGCCGATAGATAATCGCTGGCCGGGCTGGTGTCTGTGCATCGTATTGACAATAGTGGTTTCAGTTGGGCCACAACAATTGTAATAAGTGCAGTGAGAAGCCCAGGCATCCGCAAGTCTGGGAAATAATCAGTATTTTATATTGGACAAAGAAGCTGCGGATCACACCTCTGAGAAGAAGGTTCGCCAGCAGTAGCCACAAGCTTAATGTTGGGGTAGTCCGCAGGTGTGTATTTGGCGAGTATGCTCGGGGTGCATATAAGAACATCAATCTGGGGGAAGAGTTAGAAGAAAATTGCCTCATGAAGAGTTTTAATACCTCTTGCAATGCTCTTTGCCAGTTTGAGCCTCGGAGAATCAGGGTGCCTCCGTTCACAAGACAGCCAAGCATTTCCCACGCCGCTTATAGAGTTTCATGTAAGTCAACGCGATCAGGAGATGTTAAATTAGGACGCAACTTACCCATGTCGAAGCTAATGCTCAAAACTTGACCAACACGGGTACCTGGCTTAATTCCTAGATCCCCTGGTGACTGGCAGATGAGGTTTGTGACATTTTGGTGGGTGACATCGACACCTTTGGGTGTACCAGAGGTTCCTGGCGCGTTCAGTTTTGCCTTCTCATACCTACTGAACAGAGCAAAGGGTTACACATACCTGAGGTGTAGATCACATAGCATCCGTCATCTGGCCTGACGGGGCAAGGTGGTACTCTGTGAAAAGAGTAGTGATCCGTTCCGTCATGATCAATTTCATCGATCGCGATTACTTTTGATCCAGGAATGTGTTTCAGTCGATGAAGAGTGGACCGCAAAGCCAATACGGTGCACCCACGAGTTTGATCTAAGACGAATTGTAGTGTTGCATCTGGGACGACAGTCCCATCAAGGGGAACATATTGGGCTCGGCAAGAGAGAACAGACATGATGCCAACCAGCATGTCAATACCCCTCTTTACTACAAGAGGGACCCGGTCTCCTGGAACAACACCTAGTTTCCGCAACTTGTGTGCGAGTCTAGCACTTCGAGATGCCAGTTCCCCGTAAGTGATACTTGCCGGTGGCTCCATGGACAGATCCCGAGCAGCAATATCATCAGGACGTGTAGCCGCATGGTGAAAGAAGGCGGCAGTGAGTGTTGAGAATCGCGGGGCATGCAGGAGCCCGTAGCTGAAGGATATGGGCATTGACCGCCTGCAGGCTACTTGTGATTCTGATGATTTCTCCATTTGAAAGGAATACCGGCGAGGTTGGGTTGACGTAGACGGAAGGCCTTGTCAACAAATGACGGTGTGAAGGGCAAGTGAGCTAAATGCGAGCCAGAGGAAGTATCATGCAAGCTTGAATACGAGTGTGTAGAGTTTATCACTGCAGTCTAACCATTGCTTAAATAGGTTCCCCAATGATTTGGAATGCCTCCGCTCTTTTTCGGCATCACACAAGGTCTTGTCGTCACTCGTCTTCAAGCCAGGCTGAATCAATGCCGAGATGGCTGGTTACCCACCTGAAGAGTGAACACATGGTGGTTCCCATGCTCAGCTGCATATTCAGAGCTACTAGTTCCTTGTACGTGGCAGCCATTGTATGCCAGAGGATTCCAACACTCAGCTTGATGATCTTTTCCCTTAATTGCAGTAGGGGGTGGGCCACTGCTGCACTGCGATCACAGCAAATCCCACCTCTCTACCAAGGCTAAGGTGGTTGGGAACACTTTGGGGATACATTACAGGTCATCAGTTGTCGATTCACTGTATGCTTCGACTAAACCAACTCACATGACAACGGATATCCCGCTCCGCAGCTGATATTCAGAGCTGGGAAGTTCGCTAAGCGGCGCATCGCGGCTATAGCTGCACGAATAGACCCATGGTCCGGGAGCGGCGCGCCAAGGAAGCTAACAATCTTCAAGATCTGCGCGAACTGCAGCATCGTGCTTGGAGACGTGCAGAATCTCGAACTAGTGTCAGCTAGACAAGGGGCTGGGAGCCATGATTAGTCGTTCGCATGCTCTGATGATGGCTCGGCTAGGGCTGTGAGGCTGTGATCGTCAGCCGGGACTGTCCTGTCAACCGCTAGTAGCTCTAGTATCTGCGTACCGGGAGCGGTGAAGTTGCCATTTCTCGCTGTCTGTCTTGTTGAAGCTTCGGACTTGGTTCATTTATCGCCGATTTCCAAGGATGAATCCTAGCTAGTGAATCTGCTAGTGAGAGCATGGTTTCCCGCCCATCAGGTGGAGACTTGTTAGCGCCAGGAGGCCGTCCGGAACCAAGCTGAACGCGCCTTGCTCTGGTACAAAGATGGACAGATCATCAGTGAGTATTGCCGCATTGAGTGGCTGTCAACCAGCCTCCTCTGTCAAAATGGCTCAAATGGGTCGACGATCAGTCAACCGAGCAACCATCAAAACCCATTCCACCACGTTGGTTTGTAGCGGGACCTAGCTGATGTCTCAGTTGAAGTGTCTCGCTATGCTCGATTCTCATGCTGAGTCCTAGACATGGCTTTGCTACGTGTCAATTGATCGACATTCACAGCCCAATTCTTCAATCACGCCAAATGGCACCAGTCAATCACGCCCGTCTCAGCTGCGAGTGAAAATCCGCCCTTTCACTCCTCTCCCCTCTTCACCTTTGCTTTAGCTGCATTTTGTCCAGCCTCATCACCAACCTTCCCAGCTCGCCTACCTCGGTTCTACTGTGACCCAATCCATACAATGACTGAAGAATTGATCATCTGTTCTACTACGGTAAACGGAGTACGAGTTCTCGCCTTCAATCGGCCCACCAAGAGAAATGCACTGTCCGCAGAGCTGATCTCGGTCTTCTTGGAGCAGCTGTCGACAGCGGCCACGGACAAGGCGGTACGGGTCATCATCATCACCGGTACCAGCACCTTTTTTTCTGGCAAGTATCATGTAGAATATTCCATCAACCTGGACATTTCTAACTGTCTCCCACAGCCGGCGCCGATATCAAAGAGATCTCAGAGATGGATGCAGAGACAGCACGCGGCTGCCGCTATCTGAGGAACCTTTGCGATGGGATGCGCGCCGTGTGCAAGCCTTTAATGGCGGCAGTTGAGGGAATAGCGGTGAGTGATTCAAGTCCAGCCTCGCCAGTTAAACTAGTCACATATGAAGCACGACTGATGCATGTTGCCGCGCAGCTTGGTGGAGGCTTCGAAGTAGCTCTCATGGTAAGTCCAGCCGATCCTCGGCAGTTCGAAATTCAAATACTAGATTGGCAAAGGCGTCGTCCGCTGACGTCAAATTACAAATAGTGCGATCTGATCTTCGCTTCTAACATCGGCCGCTTCGGTTTGCCGGAGGTCACCCTCGGCTTGATTCCTGGAGCAGGTGGTACTCAACGCTTGACTAATGCTGTTGGGAAGTTCAAGGTATCCATCCATAACCTCAACCAACCCCTCTCTTCATGCTAAGTGCATCCACTGACTACATGAGGGATATAGGCTATGCAGATGATCCTTCTGGCAGCACCCATGACCGCCACCGAGGCACTCTCGGCGGGTCTCGTTGCTCAGCTGTTCGAGCCTGGAACTGTCCTTGAGAATACTGTCGAGATAGCATCGCAGCTGGCAGCCTCGAGTCCAACGGCACTGTCGCTGGCCAAAGATGCGGTATCCCGAGGTAGGTCAACTGCTTACCATCATCACATCTTGAATATTTCTGACAGATATCTAGCGGACGAGCTCGGTCGTGACGATGAGTTTGAACGGAACCTGTACTATTTCGCATTCGGAACCCAGGATAAAAAAGAAGGCATCAGGGCATTTCTTGGAAAAGAAAAGCCCAATTGGAATATCGATTAATTCGCCATTTTAATACGGGATTCCGGGTGAGAAAAAAGAAGTCATCTAGAAAGCTAAGACTTCCGTATCAAGTTTATACCCTAGCTTATTGCACGAGGCTAATATACACGTCGTGACTCCGAGATTCTGTTAAGTTGCATCGCGTCATGAATTGCACTCGACACTTCCGACCTTTTTCATTTTCTAGTCAACGTAGTAATACATCCACTATGACGTTTTATGCATTCAAGGTTCTCAGCTAAGCCTAAAAGAATGAGGGAAGAAGTATAGGCAGTAAATATCGCCAATTTGAATGGTCTCACCACAGCTAATGCTTCCTTGGACTGTGATGTTTTCATCGGCAAAAGTATCCGAACCTTGATCATTTAAACAACGCTGATGACATAGTGGTGGCGACAGAAGACGTGGTGCAGCTAATCCAATATAACAGGTAACGGTGGCAACTCCAAGGATCGTAATAATTCCTGGAGTAAGGCCGAGGACATTCAGGCAAGCGGGAAGCGATAGGATATCCAAACCTAGCTGACTAGTGATGAGCTATTTGGAATTGAATTAGTCAGTCGTGGTCATATGTTGCACGAATGTGATACTGCTTACCGAAAAGAGGGTGTGCCATCGACTCGTGGTGCGGTAATCCTTCCTGTTCTCGCCGCTGAACATTCCGCCGCTAACGTCTTCATCGGGGCCAGACCCATGACCGGCTTTGTCATCGCTACCAGACTTAGTCTTATCATTATCCCTGTCTAGCGGACAGGCGGTTTTGTTGGCTTCGTCCGGTGAGGAGTGCATTGTTGCGAATGGCTGCTTCACTGGGTCGATTATTGTTGGATCTAATATGTAGTCCGTTCAGACACAAATCATCCTATTTGTTGATCTCGGATGAGCAATCAGGAGGTTGGCTGACGACTGAATACGGGGAAGTATGAATGAAATTGATTACAGGTGGTTGTGACGGTCGAAGTGATGTAAGTAGAAGGCTTGAGCGGTCTGAGAGAATAAATATAAATTTACTCTTGCCTCCAGCACCTATCCCCTATAATAGATTTTCGCTAATATCGGACCTAATGTACTTTGTCTTTAACATAGTGTTAGGTTATATACTTAATAATTCCAACCCGTAAAAGTAAAGAAGGGGCTGAAAACTTTGACCCAAATGACGCAGCTGGTGAATCCAATACTGTTTGTTGGTGGCTATAACGCATGATAATCCCAGCAATCTGAATAGGGCTCCTGTTGCAAGGTGCTAGGAGTGATTGGTCAGAGCAACCCCACTAAGTGGCTCCGCTCCAACGTACTAGACGGCGGCAGACCGCCCTTTTGCTCTGTTAGAAATCAAGGCTCATTCATACCGTTGACGGTATGCGCTTATTGGGGAAATCGCGCAGCTCGTGACAGCTCCTATTTTGCAGATTTCAATAAATACATATTTTCAACTGAGTGACCCCACTTGGGGCACAAGGATACCAGGTGCCGCACTCTTGGACAATGCCTTGCAGTTTGCCTAGGCTGCATAGCCCAGTAGCTTCGCCACAACAATCGACAAAGCCCAACCTGAGACTGGTAAATACAGACTCTCATCATCTTAGGGTCATCTATCGACTCAATCCTCAAACCTACACCAAACCTTCCCCAGCATGAGGCTAATTTGTGCTCGAACCGTTGTTCAAGACGGCACCATCTCCTTCGAGGAGTTCTACAGCAACATCACTCCCAATTATGCGATTCTTTCACACACTTGGTCACATCTCCAAGAGGTCACATACGCGGAATGCAACTCCTCCTCCTCTAAATCGAAGCTCGGGCACTACAAGATCCATAACGCATGCATTCTAGCTCTGAGGGACGGCATAGAGTACGTCTGGGTTGATACATGCTGCATAGACAAGTCTAGCAGCGCCGAGCTGACGGAAGCTATCAACTCTATGTTTGCGTGGTATCAGAATGCAACGATTTGCTTTGTGTATCTCTCAGATCTTGCCGATATTGGCTCATTAGAGTCCTGTCGATGGTTCCGTCGCGGATGGACATTGCAGGAGCTCATAGCACCACGATACATGAAATTCTTTGACCAGACGTGGAATTATATTGGAAGTAAGGGTACCCTTGCAACGCGTCTTTCGGAGATCACGTCAATCGATATCGATGTTCTGAACCACAAAGCGCCCCTGTCTTCCGTATGCGTCGCGAAGAGATTTTCCTGGGCAGCTAACCGCGAAACTACTCGGTCCGAAGACAGTGCTTATTGCCTACTTGGGATATTCAATATCAACATGCCGTTGCTCTATGGGGAGGGCCAGGGGGCATTTCGTCGTCTACAGGAAGAAATCGTTCAGTCAGTTTACGATTTGAGCCTCCTCGCGTGGACACCGTCTGAAAGCATGAGCGGCGACTTCTGCGGCTTTTTCGCTGAGTCTGTCAAGGATTTTAGCTCATGTTCAAGCGTGTACTCTGTAACAGACTTCCAATTTGATGAGGGCGAAATGGAGGTCACAAACAAAGGGCTGAAGCTCAGGACGCCAGAGTATATACTGGCCTACGATGGTTTCAGATACCGATATGCCCTGAAACTGAACTGCATGGTTCCAGGGCACTCTGAAGACTTTTTGACGGTACCGATGCGCAAGCTTGGGCCCAACACATTTATAAGAGCGCGGGCTATGGATGAAGTTGCCTCATTCGATCTTCAGCCTGTGCTTTTTGAGGAGAATGAATTACACACCATCACCCTTCTCACGAAATTGCCAACCGCGAGTGTTCCCCGGGGACTGAACATCGTCTCATCCAGCCGCCACACGCTGGTTCAGATCGAGCTGCCACCGCAAATCCCGCAGGATGGGACACACGAGAGTCCTCTTAAGTGTTGGGATGTAGAAGACTGCGCTTTCTTCGGGAATCAAGGTTCTCTGCAGAATTGGGGTGCTATGAAATTTGGAAAACAGCTCATGTTCCTTTGCTTCTGGCGTCGATTGCTCAACCTAGACTGGACGTTCGAGGGGACGCTACTTACGACAGCGGACAAGGGTTTTGACGACCTTAGTAGGCATCTATTCTTGTTTGCAGAAGAATTTGGCTATCAGGCACCGACTGTTGCTGATCTGTACAATGATTTGTGTTGTGGGCGGGAACATATCACTTCCGTGCGAAGCAAGGTTGAAAATAAGTGGAACAGAATTTGGTTCAACACGCAACGTGTCGATGATCTAAGTATGTGTAGTGGTCCTCGGTGGAGAGTCCAAATTTTTATGAGTCAAGGTTGAAGTTTAACCTCCCAGTTAGGCTACGTTGTTACATAGATGCTCTCCTATTCAGAGGTTTTCACATCACTCTTACAACCACAGGGCGATTCAATATACAAACCTATCATAGTCAGCAGATTGAGGCACTAAGTTATCCAATCCTGTGCCTATTGGCTTTTTCCCGTCAGACATCCAACCTCCCCTCGATTTGCGGACGTTTGGTTACCACGACCAACGACCCTCAACACCTTCCGGGCCTATCAATTCCAGGTGGCAGCCTTTTCAAGCCCACGATCAATTTCGTCTCCGGCAATATCCGTGGCATCTCGGTGGTGGCAGAATACGGAGTAAGTGGCTTGCAACCCTCTCGGGTTTCTCATCCTGTCGCTCGCTGATCAAATCCTCGCCTAGGTCAAGACAACTCAGGTCAGACAATTTGGTGACAGTGTCAGAGAGCCTGTTGGCGATACCCCGGGCCATAGGGTCCAGTGCGTCACTTTTCACTGAGCTACTGCCCCCGCGTTATGCGCTACTCAACTACTTCAGTATCTCAGAGTCTCTACAACGTCATACCACCTCAAACCCAAATACCAAGAGCTCTTAAAGCCTACGTGAACCCCTGGGTTGGGGAAGAATACAAAATTCCCGCTCGGCCCTCAGCTAACCACTTCCCAAGTTTGATGGTCATTGCTATCGGGGTTTACATGACCGCTGCAAATATTCACACTGTCTCCGAGGAAATACGCGCATCTTTCACACGGGCATATTCTAAAAGCCTTTGGCATCGATGTGAACGCTCTGAATACGAACGTGCCTATGACAGCCAGCGATCCTATTCTCTTCATTGAACGGATATCTACTCGGTAATCGGTAGAGCAGGAAGCTTTATTTGAGGAATGAGAGAAAAGTATCACACATATCGATTTTGTCGTAGTTAGTCTCATCGTAACATTTCATCGTAAAACAATCGGTTTTCTTATCGCCCCAGGATTGGGCGCAAGGCCAGTAGTAAAAATAGCTGGGATAATAATACGGTATCCATAATTCGGGCCGACAGATGAAACAAGGTGCTTAAGGTTCCCAGTGAGTATAAACCTCACCACTATCCCAGGGGACGGTTGCATATCCAACTTGCCAAATATTAACGGTTCCGCCACCAAGGCCGGATACCCTCTAAAGTAGAACAGCCCAACTTGGTATTGCTATAATATCGTCAAAGTTTCTCGAGATGAATAAAACAATTACCACCCACTTCTTCTCGTGAATTTCTAGACCTAGCGTTGGCCCAATTTAAACCCACTCCATCCCTACTCTCCCTGCGAGGCAGAACCCATATCATTGTAGGCACCTGTGATGAGAAGCCTTCAGTCACCGCACGTGGTAACGGACCCTCTCGGACACGAACACTGGCTCTTGTTCAACTCCCATGAAATCGAAGGCTTCACCATCATCAGGACTTCAACTACCAGACAACCTCAATAAACTGACCCAGTTTAGCATCTCCACAAGTCCAGTCTCAACCACTGTCATAACTGATTTGTGAAGTTTTGCGCAAATCTGGAGAAGCTAAGCTGAGTCAAGTTACTGAAGTTCTACGGTAGTTGAAGCTGCCCGTTTGCTACAGGCTCACCGCATTTCTCAGAGCTTACCCTTCAGTCCTTGCCTTTCGTGGTCGTCCTCTTTTCCGTCGTGGACAGCTCGTGTAGTGAGCTATGATGCCTTCCCTTGTTGAGAATTCATGCCGATGACCGTTGTTGGGTCGCCAACAGACGAAGAGCTCGCTTCCGTCGTCGCAGCGGGACAGATGATCTTTGAACTTCTCTTCCCGAATGACCTTACCGCAGCTACACTGGAACTGCCGTCGTGGTCTGATGTGCTCTTTGAATCGAGCTTTGTTCGAGCTGCGAAGCTCCCCACACGCGCATTGATAGGGTCCGTCACAAAAAGGCCCCGAAAATTCGGAATCTCGTTGGCCTGAGCATCGAACACAGGAGCATCGACAAGTTGGGCGTTGATGCTTCGAAGTCAAGTGAGTCCTTATCACCATCCCATTAGTAAGTAATCCGGAAAAGGGCCGAGCGGTCTCATACTCCAGTTCGTGCTTGCTCGGGAATTTTCGAGGACATCTTTGACAGTAAACGAAGGCGGAGGTTATCGATTCGGGGATCTCGGTTGGTTTATCGATATGAGTCGGGGACGGGAGGAAGTTGGAGGGAATACTGGGCCCTGGTCGCGTCTCGGGGGACCAGGAAGCCCTAGAGTCAGAGAACACTATAGGGTTGAGAGAGGACAAGTCGGGATGCGTTGAAGGGGATAACAGAAGCGAAAGATTGTGGTCGTTGAAAAGTTCATGAGCCGTATGAGGGCGGTATTGCTGGCCGGCGGAGCATTCAGCGGGTGTGTTGAACAGGATGTGGTCCGAATTGTGGTAGCCAGCGACAGTCAATTGTCCTTGCTGATCATCACCAGAGTGTTCCAAGTTGTCACATCCGTAAATGCCTATCGGTGCGTCTTCGTAGTAGTCAATGTTGCAGAGCCAGAGTTCGTTTCCGAGAGGGTCAAGATCGTTTACCACGGTGCGAAAAATATCATCATTGGTAGCCGCTTGAATTGCTGTACTCGCAGAGTGGAATACTCTGCGAACAAGCCGAGCTCAAGTAAAAGAGGTTGGGTGAGGCTAACGTGAATCCCAGGAGGAAGGGAGAGATAAATGCGTGGATAATGGACGCGCCCGTAATAAGAACCGGGCAAGTAGTATGAAGGGGGGGGGGAAACTCCAAAAATGCTGCTGGCTGCTACCGCCTTTGGCAGCCAGCCAGCTGAATCTTGGAGGTTGATAAATTCAATCTAAAGAAACTTGTGTCAATCGTGCGTTTTATTATCTGTCGTTCCATGAATGTTTAGGTAATCTAGGTTGCCAACAGGCCAATTTCTTGATTCGTCGAGATGGAAGTGGTGGAGACAACTGTAGGCCAATTTTCTGATTCAAGAGTCGAACTACCACGGTGGATTTGCGTTGGCTCATGGGACGGTAGATACTTCACAATAGGAGGAAATAAACACCTCATGCAAACAGTAGTCATACAGAGACAAGTAATCCATCATCGTCAATTCGCCGAAAGCACCAAAACCCTGCAACCAAGTGGCACTCGTCGCCCTTTCAATATACAGGCAGGTGAAGGTATTGCCTTCACATTGAATGAAGTGGTCGTGGTTTGTGGACAAGTACTTGAGGTTATCATGTAAAACCAGGGGTTTTTGACTTCTCAAAGTCCAAGTCATTTTAACAAGAAATGACACCCAACACACGACGATTTCTCAATCACCGACGCCGGGTTGTGCGTGTGAATATTTCAGCCTTATACGAGTTCACCGCAAAACAGTCACATTTTTTTATCGCCCCTGGATTGGACGCGGGAGCATTGAATAGCCGGTCATGCCATTCCAGTGAAAATAACGCGCCACGATAGTCAAGTCTATAGAATACCCACTGAAGGTCGACATGGTGTGGGGCTTGCTGCGCCCTTGTCTTGACTTTGACATGTTCGGGCGCGAGCGGAAAATGAGTGGGCCTACTGTGGGAGAATATATCTACAAGAGAAATCCCATTATCAGATACGATACTTGAAGTAACCCAAGCTGCACTGAGTGAAGAGAGTACAACCTCTGCAAATTTCTTCAACTCTTCATCCTTCTATTTTTACCTTCATCATGTCAAACTCATCCGAGAACGTCGTCATCGTCGGCGCTGGTATTGTTGGGTCTGCATTGGCCCATTTCTTGTCTGCATCATCTACCAAGCGGAAAATAACCCTCGTCGATCGCTCTCTCAAGGCGCTTGTCGGATCTACTGGCCATGCCCCTGGCTTCGTGGGCCAGTTCAACGAGTCCGAGGTACTTACCCGACTCGCCATCGACACAGTCCAGGAATACACCAAAATTCCAGGTGGTTTCAACACCGTTGGCGAGTTGGAGGTAGCTTACAGTACCTCCGGAATTGACAGGCTGAAGTCAAGGTGCCTAAAAGCTGCCAGCTTAGGTCTCCCTGGCGAGATTGTTAGCATTCAGCGAGCAACGGAACTTGCCCCGGATCTCGTCAAGGCGTCGGATTCAGGAGCCGCACTTCACTTCTCAACAGATGGAACCGCAAATGCGGGCAGAATCACATCCTATTATCAAGAATGTGCCAAGAATTCCGGCGTGGAATTTTTAGAGAGGGATGTGACCAAACTTCTCGTCTCGGGAGGCCGTGTCGCTGGTGTCGAAACACAGCAGGGGGGTACCAACCAACAACTCCATGCTGACAGAGTCATCTTGGCGACAGGAATCTGGGCTCAGGAACTTTGCAAGAGCCTCGACTTTCCAATCCCCGTCGTTCCCGTCGGCCATCCCTACATGCATGGCGAAACCAGGAAAGTGAACACCCAGACTTCGCCCTTTGTGCGATGGCCAGAAGCACACGTTTACGCAAGAGATCACGGAGATTGCTACGGAATCGGAACTTACAACCACAAACCTATCCACTACGAGCCCACGAATGGTACAGCCATCGGCAACTGGATTCCCGATTTTGAAGATCCCTTGAAAACAGCGATATCTTTCCTGCCGGAGGCCACAGGGAGCGAGTTTCAGGCCGGGAAAAGCTTCAATGGCATCTTCTCAATGACTCCTGACAATATGCCACTGGCAGGCAAGGTTGAATCTGTCCATGGGCTATACTTGGCAGTTGCAGTTTGGGTCACACATGCTGCGGGCACTGCCAAATTCATCACCAAGATCCTGAATGAGGATGAGGTGGACCAGGCCTCTAGGGATGCTTTGCAGCCAGAGCGGTTCCGCGGACAGGACTTTTCAGCGCTGCAAGAAAAGTCGCTTTGTGGGTATAATGAAATTTACAAAACTGTTGGAGCTGATGAAACGGCTCTGTGAGAGACGGGGTGAAAGGAGTCGAAGGTGAAGCAGAGAAGTAGGGCCTAACGACTTGAGCGAACATATACAGTGAAGCGTTACAAGGCTTTACAACTGAATTAGCCACAGGAAGCTCTTTGAATACTCGTTTGGTACACTACTCACCGACGTTATTGCGGTCGAATATTTTTGTTTCCCAATGTCACGTGGAAATTTATGCGTTCGAGCCGTTATTCTCCATTCCCACCACCATTCCCTGGCTCACCAACCACGCGCAGCTAGTCAATGCGCCATTTTATGAGCCTCAACTCTTTAATTTTGCGATTCTTATTCATTATTAGAATTCTGTTCCGTTAGAATTGCTTGTGGTGATGGGTGGCGAAAATAATAGGTAGTAGTGTTGGAATACTGCGCAGAGCCTTACCCTACACACCTAGAACCAATCAATTTTTTTCCTTCTTGGACGGACATACAATGTGTAGAAATACCATGAAAACATGGACTCTTGGACCAGAACGTCGTACAGGTTGTTGTACAGCTATGTCCCATGTCCATTACTTTCGTGAATGGACCACATGTTGAACTGAAGCAATAGTCTCAAACTTGATATAACGTCTCGCCTTTACGCGTTGGACTCTTTGTGGGCATTTTTACGAGCAAGGGATACGCAGGCATCTCATTTATCAGGCATGGACATGCACGTTGACCAAACTTCTTCCTCACGTCCGGGGCAAGCCCCGGGATGTAATGAAAAAGAAAAGGAAACACGCCCGTCAGACGTCCATCAACACCCACCCCGAGCGCGCGCCCGAAGGCAGACCGCAAACGGGGTCGAGATCATCAAGAGGTGAACATCTCTCTCTATACAGCAACCGCAAAGCAGCACCGCCGTCCTTGCGGACAGAGCGAGAGGACCAAGGTATTCACTCTAGGGTGTCGAGGATATACACTCATCAACCAGGGTGGGATCTGTGGCTCTTTTAGGGAACCAAGAGGAGGTCGAATACTATAGAAATGATTCTCCTGCGCAAGGGTTAGCGAGCTGCGTGCGTGGTAGCAAGAGATCGTCAGAGAAGCTAGTGCAGGCAACTCAGAATAATGAGATGCGAGCGCTGGCTGCCCTGGAGACTGCTCTAGTAGGGGGAGGCTTACTGAAGTATTGTCGACGTGAAGAAGAAAGAAAGAAAAAGTCAAAGGAACGAAGAGTCGACGATATTTTATACGAGTCTGTCGGTGGGGCGGCCACTGGTAATCTCACCGCCTAAAAGTCTCTGGCGGCAGAATTCTCTTCCCAGCCGCGAAGTCGATGGCTGGGCAATATTACGTCGTAGCGAAAACTTTGACGAGACATGGCTTTTTTAATCTCGGTAGAGCCTTAGCCTTGATTTGTTCTCCTCTTGTGGACACGACCCTCATTTACTCTCCTCTTTTAGTCTGAGGGTTGCTCTTCAGCCGCCTGTGACAGGCTGCCGAGCAGGACACCTTGCCAGCTCTAACCTTGGATGAAAACAACAGTCTCAGCACGAACTTTCACCCTTTTCTCATGATAACCCTCGCAAATATCTCCGTCATCTTGTCAAGTTGAGCCTCGCCTCACTGTGGTAGATGATGTTAAACAAATCCTCCCCAAAGCTAGCATTCACCAATGTGCTCAACAACTCTATACCGCATCTCTTTCCACTGAACCAATCTCCTTACAGGACTCACCAACCACCTTCGGAAAATCCAGCGCTCGCCCGCCATCCACCCCGTAGGGATAGTTAGTGTTGCGAGCGGGTCAAAGATGGAACCATTGGCAATAGCTCCCTGCATGATACTCCCGCTGTACCGCACACTCACTCGCGATTGAGCCCATGATTGTTGACAATACCAAAGCCCAATTATCTTGTGCCGCTTGTTGGGATTATAGACAAAGATCCCTGCCATTGACATTGAGAGGTGTCGCGACTGCGTAATGCCCGACGTTAGTCCCGATATGATGCATTATGAAAGCCGCTCGGGAGAGACTACATAGGTGGTATATTTGTGCAGCATGCACTTACCCTGTGGCAACAATGTCGCTGAAATGTGTTGCACTGCCTAAACTTGTTAGTCTATTGTGAGGTCGAAGCACCTGGACATCTAATACGGCGAGGTCATGATATGGACGGCTTGATGTGACAACTGTCCGTGGAGCGGCATCGTCTTGACGGAGATTTCGGACACGTCAAACATGCGTTTTGAGATAGAGTCCAAGTTCTGACCAGCGATGAAAACTGAGTAACCTAGTATTAGCCAAGGCAATAGATCCAGAGCGATGGACACAGGCACCGTCAACTAAGTAACCTAGCATTGACCTAATGCGGTGGGCGTACTTGACTCTCAAGCCTATTGATTAGGCGCTGTTCTAGGACAACTATTTACCCAACTCGTACCAAGAACTGTCTCAACATGTCCGACCCCAAGTCTGCCAACGTCATGCGTCTGAAAAGGCGTGTCTCTCCACGCACTGCCACCGTCGACACCACTGCCACCAACCAAACGTTTGTGCTGCCGGTCTCACAGAATGGTCGCCAATACTGGGGCCACAATCGACGCCGCCGTCGCCACCACCCGCGCCACTGCTGGAAGCGCCACCATCCACTGCGCCAGGCCCGACGGAGGAAAGCCTACGACTGCGAGACATCGGCGGACGAGAACGTTAGGAGGAATGGGCCAAGTGGCCGTGAGCATGTGGGAGGAACTCCAGGAGGCAATCCACCTGGGAAGTTGGTATGGGAATAGGAGCTGAGTGTGGCAGTCCGCCTAAGAGGCCCACTCTGTTTGTGTTTATTTTATTGTAAACATCTTTTCTTTCGTTGAATGGATGGTTGATACCAGATGTGTTACCGCGCTCTGCCCATAAACCATGGTGGGCGATTAATAAGGAGAGGTCGGGTTTCCCATTCTGCCGACGGAAGACACCGCGCGTCGAAGATGGCGAGAATGGACGGATCGCCAACCCTGACCGGACTCAAGCTCCCCGCGCCGATGCCGACCTACCCATTCATTCTGCACTCAGCCGTCGAGATCAACAACAACCGCGAGGGACGGTTTACCGTCATTGCCGGTATGGAATGCGCAATGTTCCCGGACCGAGTGTGCGCTCGCGATTTCGCAGGCTTCCACCTCGCGGCCCGAGAGTACGCGCACCCGAACGTCACGTTGGAGCAAAACGTCTCCCTGGTTGCACAAACCTAAAGCTGGCACTAAGCAAAGGATTTAGACACAGGACAAGCCCACATTCTCCATCACGATCAACGGGAATACACTCGACCCGTCGACACTTGCCGCCGTTGACTCCATCGAGACGAACTACATTTTGGTCCAGACCAGGACCCTTCTTGGTCCGTCCGATAGGCAGAAGCTAGGCGATGTTGGCGTACAGCAACCGGATTACTCTTTACCACAGCATATCTACTTGGGAAAAGGCCAAGTGATAGCGGTGGCAGACACTGGCCTCGATCAAGGAGAACACAAGCCACTCCACTCGGCCTTTACGGGTCGTATGATCCGATGGTTCGGGAATAACACTGCCGATTACACTGGCCACGGCACCCATGTCTGTGGATCAGCTGTGGGAGACTTTTCCAATGCAGTGAACGGCCGAGTTACGGGTGCCGCGCCGGAGGCAAGCCTCATATTCCAGGGCATCTGGGAGCCTGAAGTCCCAGCACCGGGGGCAACAAAGGTAGAGGGGAAGTTGAAACCTCCGGCAGATCTTATAGAGCTGTTTGAGCCCCTATACAAAGAAGGAGCACGAGTGCACTCTAACTCTTGGGGGAGAATATCGAGGATCGGTACCAGTCGTGCCCTCATGCAACTTGGTTACACAGACCGTGCGAGGAAGATTGACACGTTCGTCTGGGACAACCCTGAGATGGTCATTCGCTTCTCGGCAGGGAACCAGGGCAAATATGCATTTGTTGGACAAGGCAAAGGACATATCGGGTCTCAAGCTGCGGCAAAGAACTGCATCACAGTGGGTGCCAGCAAAAAGTCCCCAGATCCCAACATAATCGCCGACTCCAGCAGCCTAGGACCTGTCATGGGTGGCCGCCCGAAGCCAGACGTTGTTGCGCCAGGCTCAAACATCATCTCTGCAAAATCAAGCCTTGTTAAGGATCTTAATAACACCAGCAACTCGTGCTCCAAGTCAGGAACGAGATGGCCACACCGCTCGTAGCAGGTTGCGCCGCCGTCCTACGCGAATCCCTCGTCAACCGTTCCCCCCCTCCAACGGCCGCACTGATTAAAGCACTTCTCATCAACGGCGCCGACATCTTAGGGCCTGTCAATAAAAATCCCTTGCCTGAAAATGTGAACAAGGCGGGATTTGGTCGCGTCAACATGGCCAATGCTCTTGCCGTCGTCCGCGGCGAGGCTGGGACGGGCTTTGAAGAACCTTCGGTCGATGACAAAACTCTTCTGTGGGAGAAAAAGATAACTGTAGACCAAGCGAAAGCCACTCTCAAAGTCACGCTGGTCTGGTCAGACCCCCCAGGTGACATGATTAAGAACCAGCTGCGCTTGGAGGTAAAGGACGCTGACGGACCAAAGTTCACTCCCAGCAACAATGTTGTTCAGCAGGTTGTCATTGAGGAGGTCGCTACTGGGGCAGTAACGCTTAAAGTGGGAGTTATTGGTGGGGTGCTTGACAAATCTCCTCAGAAGTTTGCCATATCTTGGCGAGTTTAATAGGCTTTGAATGTTTGATACTTTATGTGACTACTTGATAACTGTATACATGGAGTCCTAAACATGCAGAGAGAAATTAAGACTTTCGTGATATCTACCGGGACGAGGACGTGCTAAGAATGCACCCATTCTGACTAAGATCGGGACAGGAATCTAACTGAGGCACAGGGTCACTTTCAACACTTATTAAAGATTCAGCCCTGGATGACAGCATCGTACCGAAAAGGAGAGTCCGCTTGCTGCCTAGCTTAAGATGTGGTTTTAAGTAGCCCGTTGCATCCTAGAAACGCGAGTCTTCCGTCCACAGGGCCAGAAGCACTGCTCTTCATCCACGAGCTCTCCCAATGCTCTAAGCACCGTTCCCGTTGTATAGCAACAAGTTCGGCACATCCTTGCGATCGGAGATGACGCCCTTGATAGCAAGGTCCAAGATCCTAGCCTTCATCTCCGCAGGTGTTCGTGGTCCTTCAAGCGCGAGGAGGTATGCCACCACTCCGGCAACATACGGCGCCGCCATCGAGGTCCCCGACGTTGTATAGACCGCAGAGGATGACCCAACCCAGGTAGAAAGAATGGCTTGTCCAGGCGCAAACAGATCTACCGTAGAACCCCAGTTAGAAGCCGACCATCGATTGTAGTTATTGTTGCTGGCAGCAACGGTGATGGCAGCGGGAAGGTTCGCAGGTGACCAGTCGGCGGCATCACTGTTGGAATTGCCTGCAGCTGCGATGACAGAGACACCGCTGTCAATCACAGCTTGCACAGCGTTGTTGGTGATGGTTGAAGAACCGGACGCTAAAGACATGTTGATGACGGACTTCCCTATGCGACCTTTGCTCAAGATGTCATTAATGGTCCAAGTCAAGCCTGCAAGAAGCCAGGAACTCTGGCCCACAGTAGATCCCGTTACCTGTACCCCGATGAGCTGTGTTTTCTTGGCCACGCCATAGGTAGCACCTCCGATAATGCCAGCAACGTGGGTGCCGTGGCTGTAGTCGGTTGCGGCTCCGCCCGTCGCGTCGTAGCTGATTGCTCGGCCTTCGTAGTCTAGATGCCCCACGAAGACACCAGAGTCGAGGACATAAGAGAAAGTCCCTTCGCCAGCGCTCGAGTCGAAGATGTAGTTCGAGTTGGAGCTAGGCGGGTTGGCATGGGAAATTGCGGACAGCCCCCAAGGTGGTTGATCCTGAGCGATGAACGACGCCAAGTGTACCTCCTGATCAGGTTCAAGAGCCGATACCTACGACGATGAGTAATCTTCACAAAATACTGCCAAGATTTTGGTCCTCACATTTGGATTAGCTCTGATGGCTTCTAGGGTCTCATGATTGAATGACCCGGAATAACCTGCAAACCCAGGAAAGTCGAACTTCTTATCGAGGCCGCTCACGCCATCGTCACGACGCTCGATGCTGCGTGTGTGAATGTCCGATACCCAACGAGTGTGAAGATCAAGGTCAGATGCCGCTTCAGGCTTGAGAGCGACAATCCATTTGCCGGGGACCAATTCAGACTCGCTGGCAGGCGCAGGGAGTGCTTTTACGTGGCCGGCGGCCAGAAAAGAGAGTACCAGGGTAAAAAGACGTGACATGAGGGGCAAAGACGAACACACCAAGGTTGGGACTGTAGACAAACCAGTTACCAGCCTGGGGGGAGGTTGAGTTTAAGTATTCACACCGACTTAATGTGAACTGATGTCGTATTGCCTGAATTAGGAAGGTGTCGGATTGTCTTCTGGTTATGGTATTGTAATGCGAAACTCTCAAAATACGCCCAATCAGAGTGAGCTGCCAAGCCGTATTTCCTCGCAAATACGACATCTGTGATCGATGATCAAATTATGGACCATGTTTATGCAAAAGTGCGCACGTTCTTATCAGTTCTCTCAGCCAGTTACCAGACATTATTATCTCCGCTTATTCATTTGGCTAAGCACCTAGCTAGGCAGCTCATTGACCGCCTTACCGCCTTACGGCATTTATAGTCCCCTTGGTCTCATGACCACGTGTAACTTTTACATATGGGATAACAATTGGGTTTAGACCTCCTCTTGGCATTTGGTTCTCAATCCTGGTACCTTGTAGCTGCTGCACACTCAGAGCTCATCTTCATAAAACTAGTAATGCCTCTGAGCATGCACCGGATATTTTCAATACAGCCAATTCACCTTCTTGGGATGTCTTTGCATCTAGGATGCGCCGGCCACTGCATACGACCCAGTGCTTCATTCTAAATCGTATACTCAGCGGTAATCTTGCGAGTCAACGATCCCGCCCTCTACCAGGCAATATACTTGGATACATTTTTATAGAACCTAATTGCCAATAGTGACTCTGCTGCCGAGTGTCTCACGAAATATTTGCTAGACCAGAGATTATGGTCTAAGAGCGATACATAAAATAATGGCTTAGTCTTAGTGATGGTCGGATCGTTAGTGTTCTGGCTCAATAAACATGCCTACTAAATGAACGTCATAAAGAGAGACTGAGATACTGATTTAGGGTTCAGCAGCGCTACAACTGATCCGGCGAAAGCAACGGTGTGTCAGAGCCTTAGCAAAAAAGCTCCACACTACATCGTTGGAGTCTTCCAATTGAAACCCAGCACCTTCGATCATTTTGTCCCGAGGCTCCTTTCCAGGCGCTATGAAGGGAATGAGTTGCAGTCTTTTCGTCCTTGCAGTGAAGTTGCATCATGAGTCCATTGTGGCATTGAAAAGCAATACACTCTCGCTACCAACACGCGTCTCGACGCCAAGGCAGCATCCTGTGCAGTGAAGCATGCATGGTACTAGCCGCAGCGGGATATCTCGGCTTCCGAACTTTAGAGAGATGGTAGTTCTCCTCGGGGAGAAAGACATAAGGCCGAGTAGCGAGATGGAACCCCTCAGCAGGGTTTAAATGAAGTTGGGGTTAGTGGGTTGGAGTGGGACTGCCTCAATATCGCGCGACACGGCTAGCGTAGCGCAGAAAGCCGCCGCGTGGGAGAGATGAGTCAAAACTACTGACTGAATTGAGTACCGGAGACGACACCACTGGCAGAACTAATTGAGATGTAAATAGATTCACAACTCTTTTTCTGGTCGATAAGGATAGAGTGAATGACTGGCAGTGACGAACTACCAACCGATGATGATACCGCGACGAATAAGCTTTCCAGCAAGTTAATGTAGTGTCATCAAGACATCAATTGAACCATTGTTCTCATCCTGTTCGAAGGACCAGGCATGTGAAAAATGAATCATCACAACATCAAGAGCTTTCACCGTTTCCGTATAGAATCCAGTCGGACAAGACGTAGGTGCCCACCAACACTAATGTATGTGTGGATCTCAACCGACCGATTGTAAGACTCACACCCACCAGGGGGATTCAATAGCAACAACTACGCACAAGAGTCATCTGCTATGCCTAGCAAATTCATTGCGCTCAATATGCGCTAACCTTTAAAATAGCCGAACAGTGGGGTACTGGGGCAAGTGCGGAATAAAGTCGCCCAAGTGTGGATGACAACTACTAAGGCGTGCTCTGACACACGCATTATGCTGGGTCTTGCGGAGATGGCAAATCCCGCGTTGCGACCAAATAGCCCAAGTTGTAAACGAAGGGCGCACGCCTTGGCGAATGTGGAGGCACTCGTTTGCTCACTAACAGCAACACACGAGGATGATGCATGCAATTTGTTAGCCAGCGGCTCTCGCCTTGTCATCTGTTATATAAGGACCGACATCGCTCTTGACGGTGAGTGAGTAATATAGTAAAGAAATCTCATCGTGTGTACTGAGTTGTTCTGGCTACTTAAACTCCTCAAGTTATTACCAACATGTGTCCTCTCTTTTGTAACCACGCAAAACAACTACCCCGTCGCCACCACGCAGAGTCGAACATCCGGCTTTGGAACAAGATGAATCTCAAGCTACCTTTCCTACAGAGCCAAGCAAATGAGTTGCGCATCGAAATCGATCACCATTATACCTCAAAAACATACAGTTGCGGCTCAGCCATCAACGGCACCATCACCTTCACCCCACGAAACGACACCGGTGTGCACATGATCCGTGTTAGCCTCGTCGGAACAGCCAGGGTAGCGCGCCAGGATCTCGAGTACGAGAAACGATCTACGCATTTCTTCCTCCGCACCGAGATGGTGGTTCCAGAATCTGTGTATCCCGAGCCCAGGATCTTCAAGAGCGGAGACACGTACAGTATTCCGTTCTGGTTCGTCATCCCCAACCACCTCACCTCCAACGCCTGCACGCACTCGGTTGCTTCAGAGAGTGTTAGAAACTCGCACAGTCTTCTTCCTCCAAGTATGGGGACTTGGGAGCGCGATGACATGGGTGCTCCTTTGACTCAGGTCGAGTACAGTATCCAGGCCAGAGTGGAGACAGACCCTCAGCCTTGCAAGAAAGCCCCCGTGGCAGTAGGCAAGCACATCATCAATGTCTTGCCTTACTTGCCTGAAGAGCCACCACTGAGCATCGACAAAGTCAATTTTCAGTATGCTCTTGAGAAGACTAAGAAAGTCCGCAAAAACCTCTTCTCCTCCTCTGAAGGGCGTATAACTGCAACGGCCATGCAACCAAAAGCCGTTAATCTCGATTCTGACGGCTACGGATCAAGTGAGTCTACGGTTTTAATCGACCTCACTTTCGAACCCCTGTTTTCGAGTGCCCGTCCCCCGGAAATCAACACTCTTTCCGCCTCGCTACAAACCCAGACGTGGTCCCGCCAAGCTCCTAGTGTCAACTATCCCAACATGAGTCTACTGAGAGATGCGTACACAGACCACACGCCTCTCTTCTCTCGCCGCCAGGTTCAAGCAGTTTGGACTCCTTCTGTGAAAGAGTCTAAAGGTGATGACAGCTCAGAGGCAACTCCTTACTCAACGAAAGTCAGGGTTCCCTTCAAACTCCCTTTGTCAAGGAAGATGTTCCTACCGACCTTTCATACTTGCCTCGTGTCTCGTACATATAAAATCGACCTGGCACTAGCGGTTGGAAACTCGACACTGAGGCTTACCGTACCCCTTCAGATTGCGATGCAGCATATTGGACAGCATATGGGCGATCTGGCGGCGATGGCAAACGACTTTGAAGTCGGAATGAGAGAAGGCGGTTTATCCGAAGAACTGTGGCCACTCTTTCCAAGACCTGCCGACGACGACGTCTTGCCTCACTACCGGGCATAATAATCTTCAGTGAAGATTTGATATTGCAGAGGTTAAAAATTTCATTCATGTTGAGCAAGATCATCACTGTTTGTCTTAAATATATGATAATGAATAATGTCTATTATATTATTTCTTCTTAGACTGCACTAACACTTCGGTGGCCAAGCCCGGGTCTATTTCTCTTTCTTCCCACTGTCTGTGATTAAATGTCGTTCCTGGTAGTCCTCAACAGAGATGCCTGTGTGATATTGTCGTGGTCTTGGGCTTTGGACTCTATCTCTGATGAAATTCTAGGACTGACTCTCCTTCTACTATAGTGGCCCCTGGGGTTCAGTTTTTCTTGTTGTTATTTTTGCCTTTAGTTAATGTCTTGAGATAGATCAAAGCCATTCGGCATTTGAAATCAACGGATACACATGCGACTTAGTTTATGTTATATTTATCAACGAAAATAATTACGTCAATCCCTTCAACATAGACATGTTGATATTAAGAATAGCCAAGATTGATACTGATTCTATAAGATAAATTCCCATCTTAAAAAGACTCTGTGTCAGTTAAAGAACTTCATATTCTAGGTTTGGATTTCCTCAAGTCTATATTGGTACATTGCACATGGCCCTGCCACATATTCTTGCAGCCCAGCAGCCCAGCTCACATCCTTCTCTACTAGCAGTGGAGGAGGATGCTTCGGTATCGCAAGAGCAGTTGGGACGAGTTCGGTACGAGTTAGGTACCATTAGATTGTGCCTTTCTGCAGATGCCGACCCGGAAGCGGTCACTTCCACAGGGCAGTGCAGTTTAGTTTCAGAAATAGTTTTGAGTATTGCTATTCGCACACAATCAAAACACTACTCGCACACTTAAGTACATAGGCCAATTTCACCAAGAAATCTCAACAATATATCTATTAGTAAGTTAAGCCTAAGAAAATTAAATAAATTTTATTTTTTTTATTTTGTGAGCCTTTTTATTTAAATTTTATCTTTTCCGTTATTTTAGGGTATAAAATGGAAAATCTTGAGTGTAAGATATCTGGAGACGGGTGTCCAGTCCAGGTACATTACCTTGTACTAGGTAATCTTAGGTGTAAAAGGTCGTACTTGTGTGCGATTAGCATTTTGAACATGTGCGAATAGCAATATTCATATTCTTTTCTTTGTGTCTCCCAAAATTATCTCCAAATGGTTGTTATCATCCCATTCGAATTGTTGGGTGGTGACATTAATGAGTGTGTATGCCTATCTACTTCCTCTGTGTCTTCAACCATGATTCCAAAGAGGTGGGAGCCTTCACATGATCCAAAACCTCTCTCTCCTTCCAGTTCCAGAATCCTTTGCTCCCCAAAATAATGGCAGCCTTCGGCAAGTATTCAAACCAAGCGGCCCTGTCTTTTGTTTCGCGGTCGCGAGCCAACTCAGCCTCAAGGTCCTCCAGTCTTCCTTCGTTGACAACCTCGACCGTGGTCCCGGTACACTTCTCATAGATTGCTGCAAATTCCTCGACAGTGTTCTCACCGGAGCAGAAGCGGAAGAAACCTCCCTTACCTTCTTGGACACCCTTCCCGTTGATCAAGATTTCGATGGTCCATGCTGCAATATCCTCCACGGTGGACCAAGGGTATTTCACATCGTTTCCATTGCCCCAATAAGACATCTTCGCCTTGCCGTTCACTAGCTCGAAGCCTCCCGGACCGTACGGGGAGTAGACAAGGTCGGCGAATATGCCAGTGAAGAAGTAAACAGGCTTGATGGCACTGCTCAATGCGGCATGCTTCTCGAAGGCGATGTGAGCGTCGTAATTTTCAAAATCGCCGAAATCGATGTTTGTCCAGTCGTTGTTCCAAGAAGATGCAACGAAGACCTTGATTTGGGCTCGCTCAGCGGCACGCAGAAGGAGGAGGTTGCCGTCCAGGTCGAGGATGGCGGACGACGAGTAAGCGGAGATGACGGAGTCAACACCCGACATAGCCTTTTCGATGGCTGGAATGTCATAATAGGAGTCACTCTGGACGAAGGACTCGAGGCTGTTGAGCAGCTCAGGGTCGAGACTCTGGGGCTTACGACCCAGACCCCTAACCTGCAGACCGCGTGCCAGGGCTGCGGAAGCTAGGCGTTGGCCAAGATTGCCTGAGACTCCAGCAATCAGAACGAGCATTGTAGTGATTCTTATAGTCAAGATGTGGTATGAAAGAGATTTATGGGATGTGGGATGAGAAGTAGAACTGCTGAACGGGCGGCAACCCGGGCTTTTTATAAGCTGGCAGGACGCTTGAACGAGTTAACACTAACATCGATTGATCTCGAGGCTCGGCCTGAATAACTGTATCGATCCAAGGCCCGAAAGTCCGAAACCGAATCCATTTGTCAGTCTTTAACCAACTCGTCAAAGAGTTCATGTTGACCAAGTCACTTCTGGGGAACCGTGATATGGGACCAAGAACGCCCATTGGATGGACGCCGACCTCAGGTTGACATGGATCTCCTCCACCTTTCGAAGTCGCTAAGTATAGGTACTCTCAGTAACAGCAGAGATGGCTGCAGTGGTTGGTATAAGGTACGAAATGGCTCCACTATAAGCAGACTGCATTAGCGTAATTAGCCACGCTTGATTGGTAATGCTTGGACGGCCAGGATCCTGCTCAACGCGCCACTGCAGAGTTTCGTGTCCTTTTCCTGCCCTGCAAAGACTTCTTCTACGATGAGTGACGTGATGAATCCTCCGGAGGATCCCGAATCGACTTTCGAATTGCCGATTGCGGAGCTGGACCTGATGCCCCAACAGCTGGAGGTAATAGACCCAGCAGACGATTGGACCGGAGTCACAAGCGCGAGAGAGAGAAGGAGGCGACAGAATAGGCTTAATCAGAGGACTTACCGTGAGCTACGACCCTCCTTCTCACGAAAATTCAGTTGCCATTGAGAGGAGTAGCATGCTAATCTATACGCAGGTAAAAGGAGAGCCCCTGACTCTTCTCTCTGGTCAGATACATGCCATGATATCTCAAATCCGCTTGGACAAGAGAGTCCCTCATTCGCCCCCGGTGAACTCCTCGTGCCAACGGAGGGAGGGCACCGAGTATGGCCCCGAGTCTCCGAACACACAAATTACGGCTTCGCTTGTGGGATCCGGGTGCCCCTATCGTTGTCCATGGTCATCCAACTCAATACGTTCAATGCACTTGCTTATAATGGGTGTCTACTGGGTATTAAAGCAGAAACGCTTTGCGACGTGAACAGACTCTCTCCTTTCAGCGACGCGGCCTCGTTCAATGTAGATGGGAAATGCCCTTCCACGCTTCACCCGACCATCACCCAACAGACGATCCCTCATCATCCGTGGGTAGACCTACTTCCATTACCTCGCATGCGAGATAATCTCATCTGGGCTTTTCAAACTATCGACGAGCGAGAGATAGGTACCGACATCTTGAACGTTCATGATATATATAGCTCTACGTCCGTTGCTGGCGAGAAGCCAACCCTCATTGTATGGGATGACCCTTCGAACCCTCGGTCGTGGGAGGCCAGCCCTGGCTTTCTGTGGAAATGGGGTTGCTTGTTGAGAGGGTGCCAAGAACTGATTAAGGCAACGAACCATTGGCGTGAGATGCGCGGAGAGAAGCCATTCGTCGTTGATGTGTCCTGACAACAGCATGGACATTAGGATAAAAGTTGCTGTCACACGATGCAGCTAAGCGGCCATAACCAGCCACTGGAGTAGCTGTACACGGCATTATTTCTTATTCACAGGATCCCCGCACTCTGTAGATAAATCTTCAGATCGTGCTATAGCTAGAGCCAAACCCGAAGGTCGCACGCCACAATAGTTGCACTCCTTTAGTGAAATATTCGATTCGAGTTGACAAGGACGTCTCATTATGGGTGGGTAGGATTGGACAGAGGGACTATGAGAATAGCAGAGTAGACAAGTCCTCACAATGAACAAAGCTCCTAGAATCCAAATTTCTAATTCTTTCCGTGTCCCGCCAGTGTGAGGAGCTGCAGCATAATCGCCGCAGAGGTGCCCGGATCCCTGAGCTCTTAGCGATACGGAAGTCTTGACTTTCTAGTTCGGGAACTGTAGATCCCAAGAAGGGACCTATTACCCACAAACTGTCTTTGGAAATAGATTCGTCGTTCCGCAACTCGAGAACCCGGCCGACCATCAACCGTGGCCCTCGTGAGAGTATCATGGTACTTGCCCCAAACCGTTACTGACTAGTTTTCGTGAGACCCAACTCCAAAGTGTGCAGCCCGGCCACAAGTTCTGACCTGTGCCGTCCCATTATCCATAATATTGATGCCTTGCATGGTTAAAGAGTGCTGAGTGATTAGACGGGCAACTTGGCTTTGCAATGCCATAGTCACGTTGGCTAGCCCACTAATCACGTCTATTGGTGCAGGGTAGTGCATCGGAACAGCTTCAGGAAACACTGTCCCCAACATATCCCAGTCCTTATCGTCCACGGCATACGAGTAGCGTACGAAAGTGTTACGAATGAGTTCATAATCCGATGGAGGCTATTGGAAAGGGGAGTTCGGACAACTGGGAGTTGCCTCTGTATTGGCAGAACGGTTCATCTGGGGCCGGGTAATCGCTATAGCACTTCCTGTTGAACAAAATTGGCCAAACTTCTCCTAAAGCTAGTGGCGAGTAACTGCCAAACAGGGCAGCGTAGGTAAAGCCAAGAATGGATTGAGAGAGGCGCCAGATGTGATTGGCCAAGTCGGGTTTTTTCTATTCTATTGTTGAGTTATCCTAATTCTCTTACGTCGCCTTCATAAGAATCCCATATTTGAATGATGATGCAGGATTCACGTGTTTGATGGGCAGTCATCCGCATCGCCATCTTATTCGTCGAGTCTTGCCCCTATGACCTCTTGTCAGTACTAATTCCGAGTTATCCGTTGGAATCCTTGATAGAGTGGCATCGGCTAGGATACGAAAAATATTCACGAGCAGATTCAGTTACGCCGAGGTCCTCGGCTAATCCACACTTCCGGTCGTTCCGCCTCAGCTAATTAGAGCTTATCGGAATGTACCGCTCGAGCCACTTACCAGTGGGACGGACAGTTCTAAGAATGTCTTGATCAGAACATGTCTCAGGGAATGATGATGGGCAAAAGTGGAATGCTCCATATTGTTGGGCCAGGATCACATGCTACCTACAATCACAGCATCGTAAAGAGCTAGTAAAAGCCACATTTTCCTTCAAACATCCCTGGCATGTTTCACACCCTCTTTCAATTACGTTTGCCATTACCGTATGCTGTATTGAAAAGATCTGCCAGCCTTCCAGAATACCCGGACGCCTAGCCTTGGCATATGGGCTGATACAGACTCGACACCAATATTTCGACTTCTTTCGCGATGCAGACCCCGGTTTCTCGTTCTTCATCTCCTCAGCCGTCAATATCGATTTCTCCAACTCGTTTACTCGGCCATCGCTCCCATCAACCGTTCAATGTCTCAGCCTTCCACCCATACACGCTCTTCGAGATCCGGTAGGTGTCCACTCCATCCGGTCGCGTAAGGACATTGGAATCCATGGTCCCTAATCTCATGCAATTCACAGGTTAGAGAATGACTTTGTTTTTCTTCGGGGCGCTGCGGATGAGTCTGCGGCTCAGCTCCTCAAGGGTTTCCTCGTCCTCTGTCTGCAGTCGCCGCTGAGCGTAGAAGATGTGCATCTTGAACTGGTTGGCACTCTGCGTCATTCGTATGACCCTCTCAAACTTGAATCCCCACCTTGAATATTAGAACCACGAATGCTGACATTTTACAGTTGGACAGATATAGGCGTCTTGGGCTCCAAGATCAACATTCTACACCACCAATGGACCTCGTTTATCGGTGCAAATGGCACCAACAAAACTCTTTCCGCTGGAAACTACGAATGGCCTTTTGAATACTTGCTGGCCGGCGATGCCGCAGAGAGTATCGAGGGTATTCCCGAAGTATACCTTACATATACCCTCAAAGCTAGTATTATCAGGAGCAAATTCGCGCGGGATCTCCATGCTCGTAAGCAGCTTCGAATAATCCGGACTTTATCCACAAACTCTTTGGAGTTTATGTATGCTATGACCATTGAAAACGTCTGGCTTAACAAACTCGACTACTCCATCTCTATTCCTTCCAAAGCCGCAGTTTTCGGGGGCTCAGTCCAGCTGAAAATGCGCTTTACACCTCTTGTCAAGGGTCTTGAAATAAAGAATATCACGGCAACCTTGTTGGAAATCCGCGAATGTCATGTCCCAAACTTGACCTTCCCACACGACAAGAAGCATCGCACCGAGCGCATAGTGTCTACTTGGGAGTTCACGGTGTCAACGGAGGAAGATTGGCAGAACACAATTGAAGAAACTAGCCAAGAAGGTTGGGTTCTAACTAGGATGCTTGATCTCCCGGAAAAACTTGGAGAGTGCATCCAAGACCTAGATATCCATGGAATCAAGGTTCGGCATAAGATCAAAGTGTTCGTTCCACTCATCAACGCCGATGGTCATTGTTCCGAAGTAAGTCTCAATGGATACCTGTAAGACTTAACGACTTACATCCATAGCTTGCAGTAGCTCTGCCAGTCTACATCTTCATCTCTCCGAATATGCCTCTCGACAAACAAGGCAAACTTGTTCGCCAATCTCCGCGCGAATCGACTATTGAAACTGAGAATGAAGTTCTGCCGGGATACGGTGACCATATCTTGGACCAGCTTTACGAGGACAGTGACAATTGCGAAAATGTTGGACCTCAATTACAAACAAGCAGTTCGGCCGACTTGCGGTATGGGGTGGACTCTTTGCACAGTCATATTGCCCATACCGATCAAACGGCTACTGCAACTGCCTCACAGCCGCGAACTAGTGTTGGAGATTCATCTCACAGCCCACCTGACCCAATTGATCTGGGCTCAAACACATTCGAGGAACTGAGCCGAATTCCAACCTACCGAACTGCCGTTCGAACACCCTTACAAACCCATCTCCATTTTGGGAACGTCCTGCTTCCAGATTACCAAACAGCGGCAGGAAGCCCCAACCACAACAGAGGGCCCCCTCGCGGATCAACCCCGTGAAGCCTCCCTCCCAACGGGTACGCCATAATTCTTGAAAACGCTACGCACTGTTAGTATGTTATGGTCTAAAGTGAAGGAGGTAAACCAAAACACCGCCCGATGATCAAGACGACGCAGCCAGTGAAGACGGACTGGCATCAGCTAAGTCTTTTGTCAAATTAGCTACATGAATTGCGCCAAAGCCGAACACCCAATTAGTAATCAACGGCAAAATATTAATAGAGGTAGTAAATTACTGGAAGTTAAAATCATGAGAGGTGGACTACCGAACGGTAGGACAACTGTACATACGTCCCCGTGTCAGCTTTTAACTCACTTTGAAAGGTCAAAAGATGGCCGAGCAAAAGTGAATTTACCCTTTGACACAAACCATGAATACACGCGTTTGCCAAAACCTCTCATGAAGCTCAGTCTGCGGATAAATACAGTCAAGACATCAGTGTCTAACTACACTGACTACGATTGCATCGTGCTTGCAGTAAGAAAATGGCCGATGGCAATGGCAAACAATGACTTCATTCACCATTCAGTGCGCCTGTCTACCTATCACCATGAGTATTAAAATAGACCTTGATGAATTTATTGATCGACTCCAGATGTCTCACAAGCAACGGCGTGCCTGGGCGGCCGATGCCTGCTTCGAAGGATCTTCAGATGCTGCGGATTTCCCGCTGAGCCTCATGAAAATCCCGCAACGCTCTAATAGTGAATGGACAGGAGGCAAAGAGAGCCTGGAGGCAGTGCATGTTTTTGTGGCTGTCGATCTCGATCCACGAAGCTGTCCATGTGAGGCGATCTGCAACGAATACGAATAGCCATTTCGGTAACTCAGCGTCGATCGAGATCGTTCCTCGCCGCCTTAAGCATCCATGATAGTTTCATATTATGACACCTTGCACTTGATTAAGGTTGTCAAAGCCTAGAGCTCGTGCCAGGAAATGAGTATGTAGTCTAAATATTGTAAACGATTTTGCCTTAATTGAAACACAAGTGGAAACATTTAAGATCGACAGGCGGAATATTATGAGGTCATGTAGGATTGCTAAAACAAATAGCGCCATTATCTTCTGCTTTAAGGCCCAAAACGAATCCTCCGGCCCACGTGTATCACATCCGAAGGAATTTGTATCAAACTCTAAGTCGTTAGTCCCGTGGCGATCAGCCTTGGCCCGTCTCCCTACATTGGTAGCCTGTGGGGTATCATGGCAGACACAGAGTGAGTGATGATAGCCATGTCATCATTTCCCGAGCTGCCATTTAAAGAATGGTTCTGGGGGATCGACACTAAGAATCCTATCTTCGAGGCCGGGAGTTGGTTTGAAGGATTTAACCCTGCAGGGGTAGAGGACTTCTGTTACCTAGTGCTGACTATTGTACCGTGTAGGAAGACATCCGTGTCGCAAGTAAACAAAAGTCCATCATGCGTTGTCATGCTAAGCTCGCACCAAGCATGGGTTAAGCTTACTGGATGCGATGTCATCGATCTGCGCGACTACAACGACGTAGTTGATCTGTGACGGAAGACTAGCCACTTGTCAGCCTTGAGAGTTCTACCAAAGAATCTCGAGTTCTTGAGAAGTATAAGTAGCTGCGCACAAGCACTTTCCCAGAGAATTTTCATATCAACCCTCACCATTGCCTACAAGCCTCAACTTTTCCTACCATGCAAACCAAGCTTTTCACCGCGATTGCGCTCCTCAGCGCCGTGGCCTCAATCCAGGCCAAGCCTACACGGATAACGAAGCGCGATGTCCTCACGGCTCTACCTGAGAGTGCTGACGACATTGAGCTCAAGTTCCAACCGAAACTTGACTTTGACACCGATGGCTGCTACAACACAGCCGCCATTGACCCTGATGGCAACACCAACCCCGGCCATGATGCCACTGGCACCCCCCAGGGAGACTGCCGTGATCCTCATCAACTCGAGAACAGCAACGCCTACTCTCGGAAACGCTGCAACAACGGGTTCTGCGCTATCATGTGAGTTACAGTTCCGTACCTCAATGCTTGTGATGGATTAATACTAATGCCCATCTGTAGGTATGAGTACTACTTTGAAAAGGATCAGGCTGCTTTAGCCACATACGGTGCTGGGCATCGTCACGACTGGGAGAACATCATCGTCTTCGCTCAAGGCGAAAACGTCGTGCGGGTTGCCACATCCTGTCACTCTGGGTTCAGCGACGCCAGCAACGAGTTCCCCGCAGACGGCACAAACCCCTTGGTTGTGTACCACAAGGATGGAGGACAAACCCACTGCTTCCGTTTCGCAAATGACGCTGATATTGGCGGCGTTGAGAACTACTCGGGCTCTTTCTACCGCAGCCCGCTCGTCGGCTGGGACCACTGGCCTAACGTTGGCCTCCGAGACAAGTTGCTCAGCACTTGGAGTGGAGGTGTTGGACCTAAGTTGGATACTGAGTTTGGTGACAAGCTCAAGCAAGCTGCAGGTGATGGTGTTGCTGGTTTTGACCCCTACCTTGACGCCTGAGCGGTTCCGGAGTGAGTGGGGATATATGGAGGATCACCTTTGTAGATACGGGCTTGGTTTCCCTGGCTATTAGAATTGGGTGGACTCAGGTTTTATAAGCAAATACAAATACACGAAACCTTAACCTGTTGCGCATAAACTAGTTTGTTAATTACGTTGATGGTCAAATTCGGTGAAGTAGGCCAGGGTGCCATATCAAAAGATGATGGATATAAATTGAGAGGTTGAGTGCTGAGTGCAGACCCCATCAGTCTGGATGAGACGGCCCACCAGGAGGTAACCAGCAAGGCCTAGTGCGCCAGGTTGCCATCAGGCGTGGATTTCCCCTTAATACTCAACGAACTAACTTCTACAAGTGCCAATGGCTGGCATATTATGGCGGGTTACCTCTCGGCCAGCCAAGGCGCGTTGATTCGGCGAAACACAGATCTACATTGGCCAGTCAAGCCTGCATAATTCGTTAGCGACTGAAGATTGGTTTCGTAACGGATATTGGCGTTGTGCCCCGTGTATGACGAGCAGTGATACTCCCTTCTTCAAGCTAAGTCTGGGTAGATTTCACTTGTTGTTTCCCTTTAACACGCCCTACACTATCATCGAAATGGACAGGTTTGCCATGTGATAGCCATTGATCTACGCCAATAGAGTAACGGCGATCAGCACATCGCAATTAAACAAGCTGACCAGTCTATAACAATATTCTCATTAGCTCCACATCCGACATCTGATAATACAAGACGCAGTCAAGAACCAACATCCTTCTATTGCTCTATAACCACTTCTATTTTCAGCCCTTCGGCTTCTCTTCCAGCTGCTATTCTAAGTACGCATTGTACTGGTTCTGTTGCTGCGGTTTCTTCGCTTTCTTATCTTGCTTCTGTTGCTTCTGAGCCTTCTCTTGCTTCTGAGCCTTCTCAGCACGCTTGGCTTCGTCGCGACAGCTCACGCATGCATGTTTAGGCAGGTGCCATGTGTTGTGGATGCGGCACAAAATCATATGTGACTTTGTGGCACATCGAGTAGTCATAGCCTTGTGGCAACCTCCGCTGCTGGTTGTTACAATACTGAATGATATTGTGAGTTTGGGCTAGAAACTTACCAATGATGTCCTCCCATGGTGAATAGTAATTTTGGGCAGTTGTAACGTGGCTACAATGAATCGTGAAGCAGTCGTGAGAGAATGTTTCCACCGTTAAACTTTTTCGATGTTTGAGATGGTTCTTCATGTTAAATATGTCAAAGACTTCTTCTAGATCCCTTCAAATACTCCAATGAAGGTCTGTTGAAGACTCGCTGTTGAGTCTTCCAGTTTATAAAGGACCTTTGCAAATCCCCGATCTTCTTTCTTGTATTATCCCAAAAGGTCTACCCTTTGGCATGCGTCTTGAATGCACTCTTTGTGTGACAATCTCCCGTGGCTTACCAGCGAAATTGACTCATGTCTGTTCTTTTATCAGTCTTTGCGAACAAGCCGACCAGCGTTGATTCTCTTTGTGTCTAATCGCACTGCCTCTGTCCTGGCCCCCTTTGTTCCTTTCCTGGCGGCCGAAAATCGGATTCGCCGCAAGTCTGTGCTTTGTTTGCTCTTACGCTCAGTTCCATGTGATTCTGTTCCCCTCTATCGCCTTTGTTTGCTGGCATCTGCGCGGTCCGTTGTTCTTGTGTAACCAGGACACATCAGCACCCGGGCGTTGGCTGAAAGTATAACAAACCGACTGCCCCTTGCTTTTTTCTCAATTCTTCTTTCCTTCCATCGACATCTCGCACACTTTGCGTAGGAACTTCATCGCCCAATACGACGTCGTCCACTCAATAAACAGCTCTCAGTTGACCAAGACAACCATGGCGTCACTGGACAATCCCGAAATCCCCGAACGAGAATGCATGACGCCGCCTCAAGAGGAGTCGCCCCACGACGATCCGGAGCTCGAAAGCGACGACGAGGACGAGGAAGACCCTCTTCAACGCTTTGCAGCTGTTCTCGCCGCACTCAACCTCGATGCATTGCCTCGGCTTGCAGTTGAAGCTCGCCAGAAGCTTCATCCCGGAACTCAGTACGAGAACCCGACCGTGGGAGACCCCATGTCGGGGTCCTACCACATCCTTTACCCCCTCGAATTTGCCGATGGTATTCGTTGGCTAGTCAAAATCCCAGTCAACGGCGTGGAGGGAAAGTGGGATGAGCTGTCGGCGGCTTCTTTGACGTCAGAGGCCAATACGATGCGACTCCTAAAGCGGGAGACAACTGTTCCCGTTCCCGAAGTTTTCGAATTTTCAGCGACGACCAACAATAAACTCAACTGCCCTTACATCTTCATGTCATCCATTTCCGGTCGGCCTCTGCAAGAGGTTTGGCATGCGAGAAATTCGGGCGTTACGGATCCCGACATCTTACACGCCCACAGAGTCCGCGCGTTGGAAGGCATCGCCTTGGCCATGGTCCAGCTAGGCAAATACAACTTCGGTCAAGGAGGCTGTCCTCTATATGATTCGAAAGGAAACATCTCTGGAATTGGTTCGATGCGCTCGACTGATTGTCAGGTAGAGCTTGACCGACTGTTTGTCGATGGTGATCCATGTGACGATCCCATCTATGTTGAGAAGCCAGTTTCGCTGGATACAAAGGAATTTTATACCTTTTTCATGGAACTCCACCCGTCCACTCATCTCGTCCCCCGGGGATTAGACATCCTTCTGCGTCAACTCATTGACTGGCTTCCTAAAGTGCCCGGCCCCAACCCATTCGTCCTCGCCCATCCCGATTTCGACATCCAAAACGTCCTGGTCTCAGACGATGGTCAGCTTCAGGGTATCATCGACTGGGATGGGGTCGCGGCTGTGCCTCGCAGCACTGGCAATGAGTGTTATCCCTCGTGGCTTACTCGTGACTGGGATCCCATGAGTTATCACTACCAGGAGCCGACAGAAGACGACGAGGAGCCGCCCATCAACACCGAGGACTCACCTGAAAACCTCAAGAAATATCGCCAAGTCTACCGGGAGTGCTTCAAGAAGGCTCAGGAGCAGGGTGAAGGTTGGCTTTCTAGCCTCTGGAGACGCTGGTCTAATATTCTCTCCTCATGTGTCATGAGCCGGAACACAGGCCGGTTAGCTGGGAACGACGACATTACACGTCAGAGTCTGATTGCTGATAATTTGGCCATCGCAGCTGCGGATGTGACCTGTCGGGCTGCTATCTTGTCTACGGTCGTGCAGAAGGCCTCGGCTGCCATGGATTTGGATGAAGATGATGAGCTCTCACTCCTGGATTTAGCAGAAGGTCTCGCCGAGGACGAGTTGGAGGAATCGCTTTTGGAAACCTTGAAGTGCGGGTTTGAAAAGCTTCTGCAAATGCCTCTTTAGGCGACTCATGAGGAATAATTGATTAGATCATAGTCTGTGAATTCCGGGCTATCTCAATACCACTTTGTAAACCAGCGAATTACTGTGTGACGAATCTTATGGAATGACCCTATCAGAGGTTCGACTTCTGGGCACCTTAGCTAATTAATTAAGTGATGTCTAGAGTTCAAGTTGAAAAGCTTGATATTTGGTCATTGTGGTAGCATTGGGTAAGAAATGCTTGAATTGTGGATAAAACTGTGTTTTTTTGACCTTGTGCCGGCAACTTGCTCACCTTGAGGAAGCAGACAGAAGTTAGATTAGATGTCTAGAGTTGCTCTGTATGGAAAATTGGTAATTTGTTGCACGTTGCCTTATGCCATAGTGATGTAACTAGTCTGATTACAGACGCAACCTCCGACGCAACACCACACTTTCGACCACGGAAGCCGGTTTCAAGATGTCCACAGTCAGAATTTGACGAGGGCTCATTCTGGACTACTGTCACTCTTATTTCTACGATGCGCAGCTGTACTGCGAGTTCGGGTTAGGTCTCAGCGACGTGGATCTCAAATACAGCAACCCAAAATCTTTATGGCCGAGTAACAAAACACAAGACCTATGAACTACGGATTAGCCTTTAAAAAGATAATTGACTAAAAGTGTATTGGATTTGTTTGCTTTGTATTCAGACGCGATAATAAATTACCCAGACAGTGTGTGACTGGCATCGACCATTTGTCCAGTAAGACTAATTACCCGGCGACGAACTGTAGTCCAAACTCGCAGAGTAAACAACACCATCTACTCTCGCCTCTTGAATTCCATGTTCAAAGACGGATCAAAGGTAGAATCAAATCCAAATAGCATGCTATCAAGGCTTTCCCCTTCGTGAGGCCTGAAATCATACTTCGTGACGATATGGATCAGTATTGTTTTGACCAAATCAGCCGCATAAAACCGACCAGGACATGGTTGCGTTCCATAGCCAAACCCAAAATGGTCGACGCTGATTGTAGCCAGCTGATGCTGATTCTCATGACCAGGCTCCTCGCGCATCTTACAGAACCGGTAGCCATCCCACTTGTCGGGGTTTTCGTAGAACTCGGGATCCCACATTCTGTATGACGGCACAGCCACGGTGCTGTCCTTACTGAGTGCTGTCCCGTCAGACAAGGTCATATCTTCCAGAACAATACGTCTCAATACTTGTCAACCGTTAGCAAGGTGCCTAGAATAGTGAAGGGGAATGACAACGAACCGATGGCCACTGGCTTCATGCGCTGGCTCTCCTTGATCACACTATCTAGCAGCTTCATCTTTTGTAGAGAAGCTTTGTCCCAGCCGGACTCGTCGAGAATAGTTTCGATCTCCTGTCGAAGAGGTGCGAGAATCTGTGGATTCTGGGCTAAACGAACGAGTGTCGCGCAGATCAGGTCGGTCGAGGTATGAATGGCGGCAACTGAGAGAAAGACCTGAACACCGGTGTAATCGTAGTCTCTCCCACGCGCAGACTCATCAAACCATTCCAAAGAATCGGAAAATCCCGTCTTTCCGTCGGCCTTTTGCTTCTTACGTTTTTCCACGGCAGGTTCCACGATCTGTCGGGCCTCGGCCATCATCTTTCGCAGTTTGCTCATGCCTGGAATCAACCACTGTACAATGGGTCGCCAAGAGACAGGCCAAAGCCGCAGAAGAAATCCGACTGGAACTCCTGCAAGAGTATAGTCCCGGGTGATTCTGATCCAGTCTGGGTTGCAGGCAAATTCTTCTCCAAGGAAAACGCGTGCTACGCATCGTGCCACGATGTTGGGCGTTTCCTCCAAAATGCGAATCGCATGCCATTCTACCAATATTTAGCTCACTGGTGACAAGAGCTCGGGCACTCATGATTTACCTCCTTGGTCTGTGAAGATATCTAAGATGGCCTTCCCAGCCTCATCTGCCAACGGTTGCGTGAATTTGGCTTTCATTGTGGTGCGTATTAGTCTCACCACGGCCGTCGGGAAACAATTATCAGACAGCCTTACCTAGATTCTTGTTCAACTGGTTGTTACAAGTGGATTTCAAAATGTCGTGGTGATATCCGCCTTCCTGAAAGCCCTCGAAGCCAGGGAGGTGAGCATGAAAGGCCTACAGCATACATTAGTCGCCGTTTCCTCTTATTTCAGCTTGAGTAATAAGCCTAACCTTTCGTAGCCATAGGGACAAGCTGAGACGTCTCTCATTCTTTACTTCGTGGACCATATGCGGGGGCACCAGTACGACCTCCCCGTCCCATGTGTTAATCCTGGCGGCCTTGACAGGATTCCCGCTCAGCCATCTCTGGATAATACCATCTGCCTCTGTGAAGAAACTCTTCTTCGGCCCTATGTGTAGAAAGTCGAAGACGTTCTTCTTCGGATTGAGGAGGAGAACACTGGATGGGGTTTTTAAGAACGGGGATAAGCAAACAGCCAGCAAAACGAAAGGCACAATGAAGTAGGGTGCTTGAGTCCACAAGAGGCTACTCAAGAAACCATGAGCAACGTTTGGTGGAATGGTCACCGGGAAACTCGAGTTTGGTGTCATGTTGAATGGTGTTTGGGGATGGTTCATGTGGAAGATCCGGGAACGGCGGAGCAGCCGCTGATATTTCCCCGCGAGAAACGCCACCGTTCTCACCGGAACCAAGATATGATTAATATCCATACTTTCTCTGGTTTCACGGATACTGCATCGTAGTTTAGCTGCGTCAAACTAGATTGAATGGGGTCCACTGTTTGCCGATCTGTTGATTGCCAACCTGCCCCTGTCTCTGTGATCTCTCCATCGGGTTTTTGAAGATCTGTGCAAGCAACACTTACAGCCCAATATCGGGAGAGGTTCATTCCATATTCTTCAGCTCATACATCGTTCCCATTTACTTCCCAGAGTGATTTTCGACTTTCTTTCCCCTCGCATTGGGATCGTATCATCATCATGATCAACGCCGGAATGCTCGGGAACGGCCCCACATATGGCGTCTTCGACAAGGATTGCATGAATCCCTGCGGCATAAACCTACAAAACACATCGCTTCGGTACCGGTATCTCGACGGCACGGCTAAACGTAAGATCTGGTTTGTTAGGAAGTCTGCCCGTCGCTACTGCAAGCTAGTAGGGACCTGCCCAAGTTTGGAAATCAGCCGCGGAGTAAATTATGAAGGGATAAATCTTCAACCTCAGTGAGCTTCATAAGTATATCCAAGGACTCAATTCGATTCATTGCGTTTTCACAATTGTCGAGCCTGACGGCCCAGGCCGAGTAGAGCCGTGCTATGCCTGTTTCAATCACGGCCTTGTTCATTTACTGAAGAATTTCGCCGTCTGCATGAGCTCCTCCCGTGGAAATCCCCCACGACCAGTTCCAACCAACTGTCTCAGCATTGTTATCCTGATTCGATACTACGCTGGCAGGCCCTATTTACTCTGCGCTTTGATATTCTATATTATACATCCCTCCATGCTTCAGTGGTTCCAATCTTCCCTAAGAGCGTGGCCAAAACCGTAAATGGCTTACTACTTGCAGATCCAGAGGCGAGGATAGCCACGTGGTTCCCAGTGGCAACTGGTAACACAGCGACTGCTGAGTCAAAGCAGTTCTTCTTGGATCTAGACATAGCGAATTAAAAACGGGAATAGACTAAAAAGGGACACCTAGCCGGATTTATGTACGCCTTGCACGCCAGTGCTCGTGGCAACGGTGGTGATGTTTTCAATCATGTTCACCATGTCAACGGCCTCCCTCGCAATTCGCTACGTCACCAGCGCTTTCCTCATCAAGAAACTAGAACCCGATGTCGGTGGGTTATCCTTCACAGCTGGGAAGTCGGAACACGATACTCATGAGGCTGTCAGTATTAATCACGATTGCCTGGTTAATGGCTCTGGCCAACTTTCTCTCCGCTCTCTTCTGTATACCGCACGGGTGGGGCCAACATGCTTGGAATGTTACAATTCAAGACGCAACAAAATTGAATAGAGTGCGTTTTCCTTTTTCAGGCTGCTGGACATTGCTTACCCATGAATACCTAGTATCTACTACCAATCATGATAACATATGTCTGGTGCCCGGTGCTAACCAGACTGGCCATCCTCTCCGTTCTATACCGCATCGACCCATCTAGATGGTTCCGCATATCTGCATATGCTATCGCTTTTGCAGTCGTGGTGTATTCGGTAACGTTCACAGTCTTGCTCAGCGGTCCTTGCAATCCCATTAATGCCGGAGCCAACAATTGTTTGATCAATCTTGGCCTCGCTCAAGTGTTGCTAAGCATATTTTCGGACGTAGCTGTCATCATCTTGCCTATTCCCACGTTGTGGAAACTTCAAATGCCGTTCAGGAAGAAGATGTTGACAGGGGGGATACTGACTCTTGGGTCTGGGTACGTTGCATCTCATTCTGTCGACCGAATGTCTCGCTAATTGCCGTCGCAGAGTATTGTTGGCAACCATTGCCCGCGCCCCATACATGAAGCTCCTCGTTTCCAGTACCGACTTCACTCAGACAATGGCTGAGATAGGTGTGGTATCAGCACTGGAGCTGAATTTGGGCATCGTCTGCAACAACCTCATGCGTATGAAGCCGTTCATCAGCCGGTACTTCCCAAATCTCTTCATCAAGCTCGGATTGTCAACAAGAAATCTATCGAACATTCATGAGCAAATGTCACCCATTAACGTGGAAGTAGATAGGTCTTCTCACAGTTCCAAGATGCCAAACGTAGAGACGGAGATGGTCGAGGGGGCTCATCAGGAGTTTTATGGGATAGATACGGAAAGCAGATCCTTGGAGCTTGATAATAGGAGCACGAAGAGCATATTAGGATAGTAGATGGTGGTGCAACATATTCTAACGTAATTAATAAACGTCATTTGAAGCGGTAGACAATCTATGGCGCTCTGTGGCTGCTCTCTATAAATCTACTCTGCGTTTAGGGCATCGAGTCTCTCCCATCCTCATTATGCCAAAGCCTCTAGCACCTGTTTGCCGATTGCGATAACTTTTTCCTCCTCCAATCTTCCAGCTACAAGTTGGAGACTGATTGGTAGCCCATGCATAGTGTCGGCATCAACTAGTTATTGTCAGACACGAATATGACAAAAAATATCGGTGGCACACAATTAAACTCACATTCTTCGTTGATTGCCTTGCAAATTGGCCCCAAGGACTCGTACCCGGGGTCAATCCTGTCAATATTTTTGTCGACCGAGAATCCAGTTGCGAAAGAGATGGCTGAGTAGTCGAGGACGTTGTAAACACCAGTGTAACCGACTTTGATAATTAGCACCAGACCCTAGCAGTGTAGTGAAGGGGTAACAAACCATGCTGGAACTTTCCGTTCTTGACCGTGTTAAACGGAATAGTTGGGCAGAGAATGGCATCAATTCCGGCCTTGTTCCAACGGTCAAGATAGCGGTTCTGGAACTCAGTCCGCTCTAGGTGCAGTTGCCACATTTCGTAAGTTCCCAACTCCTTGGCGACGGCGTATGCTTCCATCTCTGGCCTGAACGGCTCTCCGGTACGCTCCAATTCCTTTCGAATCGCAAGACCTCCGTCTGCCACGAACATGCGTGCCAACAGATCATTTCCTTGCTTCTGGTCCACGGGGTCCCAGTCGATCAGCTCGTGGCCCGCAGCCTCCAACTTCTGTGCTGTTTCTCGCAGAGCGCGAGCTACTGGAGCTGTGGGCTTAACCATGCCATCGTGCCACATGACTGCAATTTTCAGCTTTTTTGGGAGCTCAACAGTTCTCCATGGAATCGGGAGGCATTTGGGGTCACGTAGCCACGGCTGTCCACTGACGACGCTCTTACTGTATAGCTCAACGTCGTGGAGGGTGCTCGCCAGCGGCCCGTTGACCGACTGTACCGCCTCTTGGCCGGGCATTCCGGAACGACAGTTGCGCACTGGGAATCGACCAGCGGATGGTCGGAGGGTGAAGATACCCGTGCATGCTGCAGGGATACGAAGAGATCCGCCTGTGTTGGGTTAAGACCATGATCATCAGGGATACTCAGGACAACACCTACCAATATCAGACCCGACGCCGAGAGGGCTGCCCTTCATAACAATGAGAGCAGACTCTCCACCCGAGCTTCCACCACTAGTTGTTTGCCTGTTTCGCGGGTTCATCGTTCGCCCAAAGACGTTGTTAACTGTCTCCGCGATCATCATGGCAGTGGGAACATTGGTCTTGACGTAAAACACGGCTCCGGCGTCCTCGAGCACCGCCGCGAGTGCAGAGTCGGCTTTAGCCGGGTTGCCAATGTGCGAGGCAAAGCCTACTGTAGCATCGAGGCCCTGGAGATTGAAGTTGTCCTTGAGCGAGATGGGCAGACCGTGCAAAGGTCCCACTGGCTTTCCTGTGCGTGCCAGATAAGCGTCCCGTTCTCGCGCAGTTGTGAGAGCACGGTCGAAGCAGGTCTCAGCCAGGCAGTTTGTCTGGTAATTGCGTCAATATGGCTTCTTCGGCGACGGTAGTCAAGCTGAGAACTCAGAGACTCACCAGCTGATGTGCCGCAGCAGCGCGCTTGCAGAAGGCCTTGGTGACATCCTCGGACTTGAGCTGCCCGGAAGCAAGTCTGGGGACCAACTCGGCAGCAGTCAAGTTTGTGATGGCGAGCTCCTCGGCTGTAAACCAGCCTGAAGTTTCCGGCCAGGCGGTCACGTCGTCTTGCGACTCTGGGGGAAGCAGTTGGGCAGGAATCAGCCACTCCTCGGGAATGGATGATTGCAGGTCCTGGCGCTTCTTCTCGCCAAGCTGCTTCCACGAGACAGGAGTCCCATTAGTCTTAGAAATGGCCATTTTGAACGATCTGCGTATGCTTGGCCGGCTTAACTAAGAGGTGGTCGAGCCTTGATTGTTATATAGGTTATCTTGCCCTTCCTTCTTCTTATCAAGCACCTGCAGCATCCGATGCCGGGTGGTTGAACTTGTGGATCGCGTGGATTGGCTCGCCGGTGGTCAGCCGATGGATGCAGGCGATTGAGGGGGAGTGGAGAAGATGGGAGAAATGATGGCTGGCTCCGGGAATAAAGAGATTGCCTTCCTATCTGAGTCAAGCGGCGCTCCTCTTCTGCCGTTACCCGATGTTGACCCTAGAATAAATAGGTTGCTTTCCTATCCAGGAAAGGTGTTCCGGTGTTTGCCCCGGAGAGAATACGGTCGAGCAGCATTAGAACACTTTCTTATCGAGGCAAAGCGCCCGCGGCTCCTCATTTGATTGCCGGTGCGAAACAAGGAGAGATTATGGGGTTTGGGATTAGATCACTTGCCTATCGAGGTTAAGCGTGTTTGCATCCTCTGGTGCTCAGACACGGCGACGCCTGATTGCCAGATCACCAGCAATGCAGCGGGCGTCTGTGGGCGATGGAACCATTGAATGCCGTTGACTTCTTTATCAAGCTGAAGATACAGCCGAAACATGGAAGATAAACTACGGAAGACGTCTACTGGTTTTAGATGAGGCCTCTTGTCCGCCACTTGTCTTCGCATCTCGCCAGGCTGCCCAGGTAGCGTGGAACACCTGCAAGATCGCAATCCAGCCAGTACGTGCGCACGGTAGCGCAATGCTGGGGTGTTGTTGAATTCATGCCTGCAAGGTACACGGGGGTAGCCAGGTGGATATGGAACGGCGACGATCGCGGTGTTGATGCGACCACCTCGCATATCCTGTTCACGGCGGATAGCATGGCCAAACGCCTAGGCTTTGGCGCTGCCTCTTTGTTGACTCTTTCAAGCACAGCAAGCGCCGCGGCACAGCGATTTGCGTTGGCGCATCGTTTCCAGGCTGTAGTGTCCGAGTCCAGCTGCAAAAGTTGATCCATGGCGCGAAGGCAGCTTCCCAGAGGATCGGAAGCCGCCTCGCCTTTTGCCACATCAACGAATAGTTGAAATGTATCAGCCGGGCATCCCACAGCGTCGAAAAAGCTGTCGTTCAATATTTCGCGATGCCAGTCGTCGAATATCAAATCCGTAGTCCCTCTCACGACGGTGCCCATTGTATCGTACCACACAAGCCGTGCCACAATCTCGGTCAATCCTGTCACACTCTGCGAGAGCTGGTCCAGTTGAGGCCGGCTTTGACAGTGACAATCCAGTAATGACCGCGCCCCGAATAGATGGCATTGCCATTCCCCAAACGCGCTGTCTGAGACTTCGAACACGGCAAACGCTGCAATGCCCAGAATCGCGAAAGGGTTTGCCGTCTGCAAGGCCTCGTTGAGTTCCATCAGGGCGGCCAGACGGTGACGCGCCACCTCCATCGACTCGGACGACCCCCCTTCAGTTAGCGCAGCGGTAGGACAACTCTCGATACGAGCCTGCATGAAGTCGTACAGGCGAGACACGAGTCGGATGGCTTCGGCGGAGAGATAGCGACCAGAGTCGGACCTACGCCCTTCGGCGGATTTTATGTGCTGACAGAATGCTGCGAGACGCAGGATGAAGCTGTTCTTCTCGGTAGGCAACGGATCGCTGTCGTTGTATGCGGCGTCGATCTGAATGCACGACGTCCTCTCCGCCTGGTCTGGTATTCCAGGATCCAACAGCGCACCCACTTCTGTCGGTACCGGAGTCTTGGGACGCGGCTGGGGTAAACTCCTCTGTCTTGGATTCGCGGATGCCGCCTTTTCCCCCGTCCAGACGACCCTCTGCGGATACCCTCCACACGCTAATCCGGCTTGCACGCAGGGAAGACATCGCGGGCGGTTGAGATCGCACTTGACGGCCCTCGTCTTGCAGGTGCGACAGTCCCTGTCCCTGCGCATTCCCCGCGGCTTTCCACGCCGCTGGGCTTTGGCTTCGGTGGACATGGTGGTCGGCGGTTGTGGTTGCTCTCGTGATGGCTTTCTAGGTCTCCAGACGTTACTCAATGAGTAGGTTGCTTGCTGGATGAATAGATTCCTTACTCGATAAATAGATTGCTTACTCAATGAGGAAGGGAAACAGGGACCATCACCACCTCAAGGGCGTATGGGGCAATTATAGACACGACGGTCCGGGGTTGCAGCGCAAGTTGACGTCTCCACTGATAAGTTCATCCGACTTCCCCGCAGATAGGATCTAGTTCTAAGTTAGCCCGAGTCGCCTGATCAAAATGCGGTATGCCTATCGGCCAGGGCAGTATCTTCAGCGCTAGTTACAAATGCAGATGGCGCGCTATCGCGTGGTGCCGTCAGGACAACTTCTTCCAACGTCCCGGTTGCGGAAGCCTCTGGGACTTGATAAGCCACGCTTCACACGCCGTTGATACAAATACCCACGACGATTCACCTCGAAAATGCCAATCCATCCATCACCGCACTCCCTCTCCTGGATCCAACCCACTGCAACCCTCAATTGTCTGTCGCAGCGCTCCTGTTGAGTCATCGCAATGGCAGGCTCCAAGATCCGCGACTACTTCCACGTCGACTACAAGCCCGGAGAGCGCGTGCTGGTTCAGAAAATCGACTTCTTCATTCTGACCTTTTGCTGTCTCAGCTACTTTGTCAACTATGTACGTCCAATCCGTGCCGATCCTCCTCCTTTGCAGGCTTTTTCCTAACCCCGCCCAGCTCGATCGCAGCAACCTCGCCAACGCCTATGTCTCTGGCATGAAGGATGAGCTTGGCTTCGTCGGAGACCAATTGAACATCATCAACACTTGCTTCACCGTTGGGTATGTGTCCCATCCAGATCCTGCGCTCTGTCGGGCCAGGGCACCACTCATTCGCGCTGCTAACGATCAATCAGCTATGTTTTGGGCCAGATCCCCTCCAACATCTCCCTGCACTATGTCAAGCCGCGCATCTGGTTTCCCTCGATGATGATCCTTTGGGGCGGCCTCACCATGGTCACCGCCTCGGTCCACAGCCCAAACGCCATCATGGCCATTCGCTTCTTCCAAGGCCTGTGCGAGGCTTCGACCTTTGTCGGCACACACTACATCCTCGGCGCGTGGTACACGGAACGCGAATTGGGCAAGAGAAGCGGCATCTTCACCGCATCTGGACTTGCAGGGACCTTGATCGGCGGCTTCATCCAGACGGGCATCAACCACAGCATGAACGGCCGCCACGGCCTCAGCGGATGGCGTTGGCTCTTCATCGTCGATGGCCTCCTCACCATCCCGGTTGCGACCTACGGCTTCTTCTTCTTCCCCGACACTCCCAACACTACCACGGCCTTTTACTTGACCGAGGATGAGCGAAAGCTGGCCATCTCTCGCGTGCCAGAGGTGAAAGAAGAGCGAACCAAGATTTCTCTGGGCTTCGCGAAGAAGGTTCTGACCTCCTGGTACTGGTGGGGATTTGTCGTCCTCTGGATCATTGCTGGTGAAACCGAGTCTTTCAGCACAAATGCCCTGCTCGCCCTCTTCATGCAGAGTCACCCGACCAACACGTACACCATTTCGCAGAAGAACAACTATCCCACCGGCGTCCCTGCGGTTGGCATCGTGTCCACCCTTTTCTGGGCCACATTGACTGATTTCCTCGGCGGAAAGCGCTATCTTGTTGGATACTGGATCGGCCTCACGGGAATCGCCACGTCAATCATGGTTCTCGTGGCATCGCAGAACCCGACGAATCCTACATCAACCACCATCACCTTTGTGGCCTACTACTGGGCTGGATCGGTCTATGCCTGTCAAGCCACCTTTTTCGCATGGTGCAACGACGCCATGCGCTTCGAGGATGGCCTCTTCCGCGGAGTAGTCCTGGCCGGCATGAATCTGGGGAGCAACTCTGTCAACGCTTGGTGGAGCATTATTTTCTACGGTGCCTCCATGGCGCCTTGGTTTAAGGTAAATTACACTATCCCCACTGCTACCCCGAAATATTTCTCACATTTAATCTAGCGCGGCATGTGGGCTATGATTGCTTGCTCGATTGCTTTGATTGTGTGGAGTGCAGGTCTATCCTTCCTAGCTCACAAGAACATCAAGCGGCGAGTCATTGAGGCTCGAGATGAGACCAATGAAATAGTTCAGAATAAGGTAGACGACAAGGAGGAGATCTAAACGAGGGACGATTCATTTCAGTAGATGCTAGAGATTTTTACATGTTCGTACACTAAAATCTCGACTGGAGATTCCAACAGGAGTCCTCGAGCATATCATTCATGACCAGAAGCTTCACATCACCACTTACACCAACTTTGAGACTACATATAAATCTCGGATATTTCAAGGAAATGTCTATAATTCTATTCATCTTTGAAGCTTATATATGCCGAACTGAATGTTATGAACAGTTTTTGCTACTGATATTATTCCTACACCTTCTCCCTACCCTGCACCCCAAAGAACTACTTTTCTGAGATCCCATTATGCCATCACTTGCCTTTTCTTGGCTGGCATAGCTGGTGTTTACAACCTTGGCAGCAAATGGCGGCTCTAATCATTAATAATACGATTTTCAAGGAAAGCTTACTGCAGCATTTGCTGCATCGCGTTGAGCCTATAGCTCTCTCTGCGCTCCATCAACTCGGAATGTCGTCCGCTGTCGACAATCTGGCCGCCCTCGACGACAAAGATGACGTCGGCCTTTTGCACGGTATGCAGTCGGTGGGTGATGGCCAGTACTGTTGTGCCTCGCGACGCCCTCTCGAGACCCTGTTGAAGCGCGGCCTCGCTGGCGGCATCCAAGGCGCTGGTGCTCTCGTCGAGGAGTAGTAGGCGAGGGCGGCGAACAAGAGCGCGGGCGATGGCAAGGCGCTGTCTCTGACCACCTGACAAACGAGAAGCAGAAGGGCCGCACTCAGTGTCGTATCCTTCGGGGAGTTCTGCGATCACGTCGTGGATGTTTGCCAAGCGGCAAGCCTCTTCGATCTCGGCATCAGTCGCCTCGTGGCCTGGCAGAGCACCTAATCCCACGTTGAATCGCACGCTACCATCGAAGAGAGCGGGCTCTTGAGGTACCAGGGCAATCGTATCGCGGAATGAAACAGGGAGCTTTCCAATGTCGCGGTCGTCAATGACAACGGCACCATCGGTGGGTTCATACAGCCGCTGCACAATGTTCATAATGGTAGACTTGCCGGCTCCAGAGGGACCCACGAGGCCACAGAACTGGTTAGGTGGCAGAGTGAAAGAGACATTGTCGAGGATGGTGACGTCCGGACGGCTCGGGTAGGCGAAAGAGACATTCTTGAAGGCCACCTTTGAGCCACCGCGGCGTTGGTTATCTTCGGGGCTACCGGTCTTTGCTTCTCCAGCAGCCTCGACATCGTCACCGGCCTTGGAGGGATCTGTGCCAGGCTTGCCAGTGTGGGTGCTGGATCCCATATCGACGACCGTCATGACGCGAGACAAGGCGAGGCGAGCACGAGAGAACTCCGGAGCAAGAGAGAACATACTGCTCCAGAGCTGGGCACTCGTCAACATGGCTACGAGGATAATGAGGAAGTCTTTTTGCGTGTATTCTCCCTTCATCATGAGCTGCGAGCCCCACCAGTAAGCCAAAGCGTTGACGAAGGTGCCAGTAGAGTAGGATATGGCGAGCCAGATGTTGGTAGAGACGGAAGCACGCACAACCTGCTTGCGCGGGGGCTTCAGCAGGCGCTCAAAGGAATCCATGTACTCCTTCTCGAGAGACAGAGTAGCCACGGTCTTGATGGACTGGATGGCCTCGGTGGCGAGCGACGTGGCAGTAGAAAAGGCCGAGCGGTGACGCTCCTCGTAACGCGCCAACATGCGCAGCTGCATAAAGCCAGAGCCTAGCAGGAGGGGGACAGTTACTAAACACACCAAGGCAATCTTCCAGGCGAAGATGTGCGAGATGATGATGGCAATGACGACGTTGATGCAGATGGCGAAGACGGTACCGAAGGTCGACCCGCTAAAGGCGCCAACCGCCATGCTGTCCTTGGTGATGATGGACAGCAGCGAGGTCGGAGTGCGACCTTCAGACTCGTGCCAATGTATGCGCTGCTCCAGAAGGGAGCGAAACGAGAGCACACGCAGGTTGTAGAGGAGTCTCTCGGCGATGATGCCGAATCCCCACCAGGCGAAGAAGTTGGCAATCAGCTCGATGCCCGCAAGCATGAAGTAGAGCCCGGCGAAGAACCGGCCCATGGATCGGATCTTGTCGATGGTGTTCTCGCAGGGGTTGAGAGCGCCGACGGTGAAGCCAAAGATCATACCCGCGCCGGAAAAGGTGGCTCCGACGAAGATGGCGGCGATGATGGCGACGACACACCAGCCGAGGGATGGTCGGATCAACCAGCCGAGACCCTTCATGACGGAACTGAATGGCTTGATGACGTCTAGCTCTTCATCTTTGGGCTCCTCATTGGCGTTGTCACCGTCCTTGTCCGCAGAAGTCTCGCCGTCGACAGCTTGCTTGGTCTCAGAGATTTCAGCCTTCTCGCTCACATGGACGTCCGTCTTGAGGGTCGACGCGTCGAACGAGTCGCCCGAGACAGATCCTGCGTCGGGACTGCCAGCAGAGCCAACGGATTGCAGCTTAGCCATGCGGTGGAATTCACCATCTTCCTTGGCCATGAGATCGGCGTAGGTGCCCTGTTCGACGACGCGACCAGCCTGCATGACGACAATGTTGTCAGCGTTGCGAATGGTTGAGAGACGGTGGGCAATGGAGATGATGGTCCGCTGCTCGGCGGCGGCCCGCTCGACGGCGAGCTGGATTCTCTTTTCGCTGGCAGAATCAAGAGACGCAGTGGCCTCATCAAGAACGAGGATTTCGGGATCACGGATCAGGGCGCGAGCAAGTGCAATTCGCTGTCGCTGGCCACCACTCACGAGAGAGCCACTGGGGCCTGCAGAAGTTCCGTAGCCAGACTCGAGACGCTCGATGAAGCTGGCGGCATCGGCCTGCTCTGCAGCGTGGCGGATCAAGTTGGCGAGTTCAGCAAACTCGGGGCCCAGAGAAGCAGCCGAAGAGAGCGCGTCCTTGCCGCTGGTGGCCAGCTTCGCAAGTTCGGGGCCGCTGAGGAGAGCCTTCAAATGCTGGTGAGCAGGCTTGGGCGAGTTGACGAGTCCAAGGGCGATGTTCTCCAGGATCGAGCGGTCGAGAAGCGAGGGTTCCTGCTGGACAAAACTGATGAAGCTTCGGGCAGACCTGACGTTGAGTTCGCGCATGTCATGACCTTCAAGCTCGACTGTGCCCTCTGTGGGATCGTGGAGACGCGCAATAAGAGCCGCAATGGTCGACTTGCCACTACCGGAGAGACCGACGATGGCCGTGTACTTTCCAGCGGGGAATTCCAGGTCGACATTCTGCAAGACAGGTTGGCCCGCTCGCGATGCGTACTCGAACGAGACGTTGCGGAAGGCGATGGACTTTGCCGTGCCCGACGGGAGAACAAGTCCGGCGTCAGATGTGCCGTCGATGGCAGACGGAGCCTCGATGTCCTCCATGAGACGATGGTAAGCGGCGACGGCACCTCCCAGGAAAGGAAGAGTGGGAGCAATTCCTCCCAGCATGACACAAGAGTCGACGAGGAGGTAGACGATGGCGTAGATCTGACCAACAGTGGCGCTACCGTCATTCCGCTCCGCCGCGTCGGCGATGCGGATACTTCCCTGCCAAAAGGCCAGAGCATTTCCCGAGTAGGTAATGAAGTAGAGCATACCGGTCTGGACGGCGGCAATGGCGGCCTTTTTCGTGGCGAACTTGCGAGCGCGCGCCATGTGATGAGCGAACTTGGCCTCGAGACGAGGGGCCGCGCCAAAGGACTGGACAACGGCGACGTGCTCGAGAGCCTCAGAGGCAATGGACGAGGCCAAAGCAGCCTCCGTGTTCTGGCGCTCAAAGAACTTGCCCAGGTATTTGCCGCCGACGATGCCCGAGATCAGGAACGCGGGCAGCATGCAGATCAGGATACCGGCGAGGCGCGGCTGCTGCGAGAAGGCGATGACGAAGACGGTGATGAAGAAGCTGATGGTCGTGATGATGTTGCCAACCTTTTCCGAGGTACCGGCCTGGACCGCCGTGATATCGCCATGAAGGCGGCTCGAGACTTGGCCAGAGGCGCCGCGCGTGTCGAAGAAGGCCGGCGGCTGGCGCAGCAGAGCCGAGACGTAGCGGGTGCGCAGGCGTTGAGCAAGGCGCTGGCTGATGATGTTCCAGCACGTCAAGTGGCAGTAGATGAGCACCAGGGCGATTGCGCCGATCCACGCCGTCGTGATGACCTTGTCGTTGATGCTCTTCTCGTACTGGAACGGGTCGATGTTGGGCGTGTCGGCCGCACATGTGGCGCTGTTGAAGTTGTCGATGAGCTGACCAAACAGGACGCCCATCAAGGGGAACGGAACTCCGGCTCCAGCAGCGCTGAGGGTGCCCACGATGATGAGGCCAATGTCAACCCATGTTGGCTGGGCGGCAAAGAGCAGCTGAAAGTAGGCAAAGGCGCCTTTGATAGACTGAAAACATGGTTAGATTGGAGTTCACATCTTCTCTTTTCCACATCAAAGCCACTAGAAGCCCAGAACAGAGGATGGTAAACTCACCGACAATGCGCCCTCCTTGACTGGAGCATCGGTGTTGGCGACGGCGGTTTGCTCCGGAGACTGTTGTTTGTCCTCGGCCGGCTTTTCGCTAACCGCCTTTTCGGGTTCGGCCGCCATGGCTATGGTTCCTGCTTCAATTCCCGGTTGAGGACAGGGGGCGGCAAGCTAACTCGTCGGCCGATCTATCTCTCCAGAGATAGCGACGCGACGGAACAAGATGCCGTGGGAAAGAGTGAGGTGACTACTTGTGAGGGTAGTCGGCAAGATCCTCTGAGCCGAGGAACGGAAAGAAAAGAGAGGGAAGAAAACAGCAAGTGGAGGCATCCGAGGCGCGTACCGCTGTATACATCATCACACAGCACTTGGCAGAGGGGCCGATGTAGGAGTACCCTGGGCAAACTGGTTTACTATGCAGGTAATTGACGTGGGTAGCTTCGGCATGGATCTACACGAGGAATATACTATGCTACGTAGTATCCCAATTACCAACAAGCCGGAACAGCATTGGATCGGGCGTGGGGTGAAGCAGTTAGTCATGTAAATACCGCATGAAGTCGGCGGCGTGGCAACGGCCCACCGGTCCCAAAGGTTCACGGGCAGAGAAATAAGGCAAAGGGAAATCAGGGACAGGATCGGCGGGTATTAACATGTGGCAACTATTCAGGGGCGGTGGAGTGGGCGAGGGAAGAGAGCAGAGGGTGGCATTGCAGCTGGAGGACGACGGCGTGCGAGACCAGGCCAACAGGGGCATGGACAAAGCAGCCAGCCCTAGCCAAGAGAAACAGAAGCCAAAGTGGGGTGACAAATTTTTCTGCATATCGGGAGAAACATGCAAGGAGCTGCAATGATCGTCAGCAAATCCTGAGACGTCCTCCGATCCGAAAGGAGCCAAGGCTCGGCTTGCGAGCGGGGGACGGGTAGGGTGGTGATGGGGGGGCCGGGATCAGATAAGATGGTCTGATTGATGGCAAGATTAGATCGCCGAGCTTCTGCCCAGACGCAGGGAAGCATGCAGAAGTGCAGAAGAGTGCAGAAGAGTGCAGCGGCGGGAAAAGAAACAGCCGACCCGGTAGGTGAGCGGGTACTCTCCATCCGTACGCAGGCAGTGCATATGTGCCTCCGCCCGGGATGTGTCAAGACACCAGGATCAGATAAGATTAAGACGGGACGAAGGTTGACAGATCGTCGCAGGCCCAACTCATGCTGTGGGAATGAGCGAAAAACGGCGAGGGATTAACGACCGAACTCGGCTTGTCGGCGTGGGGTCCATGATCAGATAAGATGCGCTGATGGAGGAGCCAACAGCCAACAGAACCTCGTGTGCCGCCAAGCAACGCGCGCTCAGCGCCAAGTGTAAGCAGGCATGAACTGCAATGTCGTAGACAGAATGGAGAAGGGATTGGCCACGCAACGAGTTTGCTAGAAGCACGCCAAATCAAAAGAGGTGCGATCGGCTGCCAAGCTTCTGCGCCAAGTCCGGGCCAAGGTGGGATTGTCGGTTTGACAGCCCAACTGGGACTGCCATGTGGGCACCGGTTACTCTCCCACATTCCAGGCCATCCCGGCTTCATTCTCAGTGAGGCCCTTGGAGTGATAATAGAGTAAGAATAGAGTAAAGCGGACGGTGGGGGGCACGTCCGGTTGACGCCAGACCGGGCGGCGTAGCTCCGGCGAGACAACCGGCGTCGGGGCCGAGACACGGAAGACACGACCGCATCGGGCCAAATACTGCCACAAGGCTCAAGTCTACGGAGCATTTTGCACAACGTAGCCCTGTTTGAACACTGCCGTGACGGCAGACGCTGACTAGCCTGCTAGTGTCCGCTGTGATTGAGAATCCTCATCCACGGCCGCCCAATTGGACGCCTCCCACACCCCAGCCCCGGATCCCACGTCGACTAGATCAGGCATATCTGGCCTAAACGAGCTTTAGCTTGTGCTAGGGACTGCCGCGGCGGGAGTGGCTGGAGTGGCTCACGAGTGCCGGGTTGTGGGTGGGTTCAGGGCTGCATGGGTCTTGCCAGAGGACTCGCTGTCTGTCCCGCCGGCAGTGGTTTGAATTTTTGGGGGTTTTTCTCATTGCAGACATCCAACGTGGTTCGTTCGACGGTGTGAGGGGATTACGCCGCAGGTATCTCATTGCCTCTTGGTAAAACCCGCCACTACTTCCAGCAACCAAGTCAACGTAGAGCATCTCATTCAAACTCGACCTCGGGCCGTTGCGGTATTTTCGCAATTCCCATCATCTTCTCTAGCCACTCCGTACTAAGAACCATATAATTGAATTTCAATCTAGGGTAGAGCCACGTCATTCCCAAGGCGCTAGCAAACATAGTTCACATGCCATATGCCATAGTGAAATCCCATCCTCCCAAATCAATCCGGGAATGGCAACCCGCGCGCCCATCACACCACATGCAGTAGGGAGTCCGTCAATCATTCGACTTGGCGCCTTGGAGCCAGCAAGCGCTGGGATCATCGCCGGGGTTGCTTGCCAACCAACAACGACGACTGGTGGCGTGAAAGCGGGCCAGCCTCCTATGATACGCGGAGCCGGCATCTGCATTGTAGGGCTTGGCGTGGATAGCAGGTGGATTAATCCACTCAATAGGCACAAACCGAGATATCCATTGGACCATGTGGAGGATGGGACATCACGCGGCTTAACCCACTCTATCTACATACTCGAAAGGTGCGTTGGATAATCCCCGGGATGGAACATCACGCGGCCTACTCCACTAAACAGGCATTCGACCGAACAGCCGAAATAACAAGTTACATTGGCCAAAGTTGTGTGAATTAACCTGTCAAATAGGCTTGTCCAATCGGATCCTGATGGCCTCCACGCCCCGCCACTTTGTTACCCAACCTAAAGAACACTGCAACACTATCTGGCTCATGCTACATTGCACAAGTTGTGAGGAGATATGATTTTATCAACTCTGCCCTCGCTTTTGGGTGCATAAAAACGTCCTCGATTCACTGGACGGCAAAGGGAGTCATTCATTACAAGCCGCTATTCAGGCCTGCTGTGGTGCTGCCAATACAACGATTATCCCGCTTTGATGCCTCATATGCCTCTTGCGGAAACGATCTGCGACCCCCGTGTATGAGCCAAGCCGCCGGATGGTCCCTGGTGCCAACCGCATTCATCCACTAAGAGTGCTCATCTTTGTGGCTGTGCCCCTTGGCAGCATAACTCGCTCTTCGTCCAAGCGTAGACTCTCGGAGCGAATGCATGGCAGGCATGGCGGGTATCGAGCCAAGTATTATGCCGGGTATCGTGCACACATGTGCATGCTACTGCTACTGCCAATGGTAGCATTGCATCCTTCTCACTGATACAATCGTTGGATTCTCCGCGAAGCTCGTCACAGACCTGGTCTCAGACCTGGTCTGGGATGGTAGGGTCATGGCGGGAAGAGATCTGCAAGTCTCACTACTACGTATTATCATTGATTACCCTGGTGCCCTGTGTGAGTATATAAGAAGGGGAGCACCGTGGAGAAATGCCCAGGAGAACAGCACCGGCACAACTACACACACAATAATACTCACAACTATCCTCCTCAATCCCGCCCACCATGAGCCAGTCGACGTTGACCACCGCCCGTCTTGAGATGGTGCCTCTAGGGCGCGAACATGGCGACTTCCTCTACCAGCTAGACGCGAACCCCGATGTCATGAAGTACATTGGATACGGCAAGCCACTGACGGCCGAAGAGTCCGGAATCGTCCTCAACCATCTGCTCGACACGGCCATGCCCGGATCTGGGCTTGGAACCTGGGCCGGCTTTGCAGGAGGCGAATTCGTCGGCTGGTGGGTGCTCGCGCCCAGCCAAAGCGATGACACACCACCGAAACTGCTCCAAGAGCGCACCATCTTCGGCTTCCGAATTGCCCCGAACTTCTGGGGCAAGGGGTTCGCCAAGGAGGGCTCCCGCGAGCTGCTGAAGCATGGGTTCCAGGACTTGGGCGTGAAGGAGGTGTTTGGAGACACCATGGCCGTCAACGCGGGCTCCCGAGCGACGATGGCGACGTGCGGATTGAGGCATGTCCGGACTTTCCACAACCAGTACGACAACCCCCCGCCCGGCATTGAAGAGGGTGAGGTGGAATACCGGATTACCAAGGATGAATGGTTGGCGCTGCGGAAGTAGGGACGGATTTAGACGACGATGACGACGGGTGTAGTAGACAAATGTAGTTTTAGCCAATACCAGCCTTTGCAGCATTCTATGTAAAAGATGCCGGGGTATCTATCTGTTTGAAAAAAAAAGCATTGCAGCAGTCTTACGAATTTGCCTGTATATTTTCCGAACGGTTACACGTTTCAGCGCGGTAGCCGTGGAAATAACAACTGCGCTGTATCACGGTGGCGACAATCCCAACATCAGTTTTCCTCGGTGGCAGCACCGGGATATGGCGCACGGAGGAACCCGCGTCGATCGAGCACGCAATTAATTGCTGGGTGTGTTCTTACGGAGTATTCGTAGCCAAGTGACAAGTTGTGGCTGACCCAGTCTGACCCAGTCTAACCCAGGCCCTGTTCTATCTGGAAATCCCTGCTCAATATGGCTTAGTCGGTGTTGGTTCGACGACTGGCTACCACTGGCTGCTACGTAGTACTCTCGGGGTGAGGCTATCCCGAGGCGACTCTGATCCCCGAGACATTCAGGGGTCCCTTGGTCACTCCTTGGCAACCCACGAACCATTGTTGCAGCCACGTAACGCGCGAGGAGCGTTACGTACATGGTTGTGAATGGTCCGATCTAATCAATCGTGGAATCAGATTAGATCAAAATTTTCACATCACGCCGGGTTCACGTCGCCGAGCAGCGTGTGACTCGTGATTGTGCCCAGGGTTTTACCTATTCCCACTCTAGGGTTTGACTTATTGCGTAGTACTACTTACTACTCGGCTACTCGTCTTGCCAAGGGCATTTGTCCACCGGCCGAACTCGGACGTACCCCACGCCTTTCCCACTTGTAACCTGATGCTGGATTAATGGCCCCCGTTATTCCTGCAGACATGGCCCTTTTGGGAATCGTTGGTCACCATCGCGGCATTCTGCGCCATTTGCGAACCAACAGACGCACACGCGGGACTGCACGCGGGACTGCACGCGCTGGGTTCTGGGTTCTGGGGTGCTGCACGCCGAGGTTAAAGATGGAATCCTTCGCTCTTCAGTTCGGTTGCATTCAGTCCTTCTCAGTTGCATGCGCATTTGGTTCTACCCTGTCTGCTCAACCATAATGTCCTTCCTGAACAAGCTCGCTGGTCGCAAGACCACCGACGACACGCAGCCTGACAATGTCGACGCCGAGACCCAGGTTGTAACCAACGACAAGGAGACCGGCGGCGTCTATCCCAACGACACTACGGCCGATAGCCATTCCGATGACAATGCGCCCGCCAAAGATGCCCAGCGTGGTGTTCAGGAAATCGAAGCCGTGACCCTGGTCTGGACCAAGCTGCACCTGGTCTGTCTTTTGTGCCTGTAAGTTCTGCTCTTCTCTAGCTGCGGTGCCCGTCCCTCACTAACCACCGTCTTCAACAGCATCTGGCTTCTTTTCCTGGTCAATGGATTCCGTCTCTCGATTCTCGCCACCCTGGCGCCCTTCGTCACCAGCGAATGGCTCATGCACTCGCTCACCACCGTCATCTCCATCGTCGCAGACAGCATGACCGCCGCGTGCTACATCCCCATGGCCAAGATGCTAGACGTGTGGGGTCGCGCTCAAGGCTTTGCCGTCATGGTTGGTTGCGCTACTTTGGGCCTTGTGCTCATGGCCGTGTCCCACAACCTAGCTACTTTCTGCGCTGCGCAGGTAAGAGAATCTTGAGCACCACGTTTCACACACCCCAAGTGCTAACCATGACATGACAGGTGTTCTACCAGGTCGGTTTCGGAGGCATCATCTACACCGTCTGTGTGCTCGCGGCCGATGCCACAAACCTGAGGAACCGAGGTATCGCCTTTGCCTTCACCTCGTCTCCTTACATGATTACCGCCTTCGCCGGATCCAAGGCTGCTGAGGGTTTCTACCAGAATGTCAACTGGCGATGGGGTTTCGGCTGCTTCGCCATCATTCTACCCATCATCACCACCCCTCTCTTCCTGCTGCTGCAGACCAACCTCAAGAAGGCCTACGCCCAAGGTGTCATCACCAGGACGAGCAGTGGCCGGACCTTTACGCAGAGCCTCTGGTACGGTATTGTCCAGTTCGATTGTGAGTCAAACAACCCAGTATCCTCCAAACTGCGCAGAATGCTAATTTCCGTCTAAATCAATAGTGCTCGGAGTCTTCCTATTTGCCGGCGGCTTCACCACCTTCCTCCTGCCATTTACTCTCGCCCGCTCCGCCCCCAATGGCTGGAAGACTGACTACATCATTGCTATGATTGTCACCGGTTTCATTGTCATGGTCATCTTTGGCCTGTACGAGATGTTCCTGTGTCCGGTGCCGTTCCTGAACAAGAAGTTCATGACTGATCGCACCGTCATTGCCGCCTGCCTTATCGATATGACTTACCAAGCGTCTTACTACTGCTGGGCCAGCTACTTTACGTCCTTCCTGATGGTCGTAAACAACCTGACTATTGCCGAGGCCGGATACGTCAACAGCACCTTCCAGATTGTCTCTGGCGTTCTTCTGTTCTTCGTTGGCTACATGATCCGCCGAACCGGTTACTACAAGTGGCTCTTCTACATTGCCGTCCCGCTGTACATCTTCTCCCAGGGCCTGATGATCCACTTCCGTACGCCCAACGGAAAGATTGGCTACATTGTCATGTGCGAGATCTTCATTTCCATGGGCGGAAGCGTCTTCATTCTTTGCATGCAGCTGGCCGTTCTCGCCGCTGTCGACCACCAGCACGTTGCTGCTGCTCTGGCCACGCTATTCGTGGCCGGCAGTATGGGCGGCGCCATCGGTAACACCATCTCTGGTGCTATCTGGACCAACAGCTTCCTGCCGGGTCTTTACAAATTCATGCCAGAGTCCTCGACGGAACTCATCCCGACCATCTACGGAGATATTGTTACGCAATTGTCCTACCCCGTTGGTTCCGAGGAGCGATTGGGAATCCAGAAGGCTTATGGTTTCGCCCAGACCAGAATGCTTGCCGCTGGAACTGGCATCATGGTCCTGTCTTTCATCTGGGTCTTCATGTTGAGGAACATTAATGTCAAGAAGATGTCGCAGACCAAGGGTACTGTGTTCTAAACACGGTATGCCGCAGGTTTCAGCAGCGCGCCTGGCAATACGATACACGATTCATGTCCCTGGGCTGGTGGGTTTAATCTGGAGGGGAGCTTGATTTCTGGGTCAGGAAGGAATTGAGGTCTGTTAAGACACTAGGTTTTAGTCATCTGTTGCGGCGGAATCGTTGCGTGTTCTGGTCACTCAGATATCGCATTTCTCACTTCAATTCTCTACAATTATATATTTATTAATTTAAAATTCATCCCCAGTTTGTCCCCCTTATTCTTTTCGTCTTGTGTTACACTGAATGGATAGGATCACAATGATGACGATGAAAGCTCTTGATTTCTAGCTAAGGGACGGGCCTAGAGCCCGTCTTTTATACATGATGAAGACGGCTGCTGCCGGAGGCGGCAGTCCGTCGCCGCCGCACAGGGGCCGGGGCCCTGTGGGTCCCGGGGCCCGGGATCGTGGTCATAGGGCCGGCGATGTGGTCTGAGGAAGAAGGGAAAGTCGCGTTGTCTAGGAAATAACCCCAAAATGTGACATCTTGTGTCCTTCCGTCGTGTGAACTTGATCGAAGAGTGTGATCAGACGAACTCTGGGTGAACTTGTGCACCCCCCGACGAGCATCCCGTATCAACTGGGCTTTGCATTATAGCGCCCGACTGTGAGGAGCTTGACCTACGCCCTTTCTTGACACCCAGCCTCTTCAAGGCCTAATTGCCCCGCATGTGGCGTCTTCGTGTCGCATTTCATCCCTGTCGACCCGACAGACGCTGGCACTTTGTTGGGCCCCGTGGCGAGAATCCAACCCCGAAGGCTACGATGCTTCGGATGATTCGTCGTTGCGGTGTCATCGTTGAAGGAGCCGTACCGGAGTGATAATGCGCTGACGGCATCGTGCGTTAGCAGAGCCGCGTCCAAGCCTCTAGCACCACGGGCTGTGATAGTGGCAGCGCCGCTCAACATCCCCGCAGCCGTCGATTGGCTGGCCCCTGGGACGGCACACAACATGATCAGATGTCGGCACAAGGGGCGGATTGAACGGTCGTTCCCGCACTAGGCCAGCCCGGGGACGTGGCTCTGGTACTCAGGGGCACGCCGAGACTGGCTCTAGACGATCTAGTGCCTGACCAGCCTCAAAGCTTAATGTCTCATACTCTCAGGTTCCGGTGGAAGAAGAAGCTCTTTGGCATGTTCACCAGGACCTGTCGACCTCTCCGTATCCCTCTTCTGAGCTCCTTCGCATGTGGGAAGACGTACACTGCCGTATTATCCGGGAACATCTTACAATTTGTCAGTACCATTGGCCATAGCACCAGCATATTTGCTGAGGCTTCTCTATTGCTCAAACGTCATACGGTTATGAATGGCTTCCAATAGTGCAAAACACTAACCTTATGTCCTCATTATTGGGAGGGATTTGGGCGCTTACTACATAGATGCTAGAACAGCTGAGGTTCTACCCCCTAACTAAAAGATGCACTGCAACACCACATAACCTTATTCCCCCTTCCCCTTTCTCCAAGCTTATACAGGTCAATCCTGCGTCATGGAGGTGTGAATTGGTTGTCCGTTCACCAACCGGGAATAGCAAGCTCAACAGCGGAAACACCCATCAACATGACAACAAACCTGCCGACTTTGCTTCTTACGGAAGTACTACTTACCCGCTGACTCCCATCACGATGGGGTCATCTCTCACGTCACACTCGGCACGGCCAAGTGTTGAATGGTCACATGTGACATCTCTCCATTTAAGCGCTGGTGAAATAATAATGACGGAGAACGTAACCACATGCATTGCATTTAGTAAAGACCCCGGTCGGGATGACGCCCACGGTATTAGGTAAGTTGGTTGCAGTTGAGTAGACACTATCGCACGAACAAATTCAAAAAATACAAGCACCAAAATTAAGAAAGGTTAAAATATAAAGGAGTAAAAGTACACTATTCCTAAAATTCTTTTGAATTATTGTCGATACCCTTTAGTTATTAAGTACCTGTGGCAGACTGTTGATCAAGGGGTATAGGGTAAGCCGTTTGAGAAAAATTGGGAGAGAGTAATGCAAGTGACCAAAGCTGACTGTAGACAGTCTCGTACATCCAAGATAAAATTAGCGAGAGTAGGATCTCCGATTAATATCCTCGGCATTGGTACACTGCCAACCAAGATATCCGAGTTATCCGCTGATCCGAATTGTCGAGTCTCCCTCACGTAGAGAATTGTCATGCTTGGCGACGGTCTGATTTAGGGAAACTTTAGTCAGTGCCAGGCACTTTAGAAGAGCCCAAAGGGGATTCGACCGGAGTAGAATCAACATCAAGAGTGCCTTCTATCCAGAAATGGCGTGTCGAGTACAGCCACGCCAGACGACTCCTGGAAGTGCCAAGGGGATATTGCAACAGTAAACACCGCATGACGGAGTTATCTTGGTCTACGCTGAGTGCAACCCCAGTGTCTTATCCACTCTGCCGCCGCCGCCACACACCTTTGGGCGGGAGGCCCGTCCCAGGTCCACACTCTACCGGGGATATTTCGTATTCCTATCGTAAAAGACGACTCTGACGGTCTGAGCTGTAACAAGCCAATCAATGCCAGGTGTCAGTTTCTCGTAGCGTAACGTAATGGGCGACAAGGACCAGGGTGACTTAAGCGGTGGTGGAGGGCTACTGTATAAGATATGAGGCTGCCTGAAAGAACACGACTAATGCAAAAGCAGTTCGACCAGAAGAGTTGTAAGAAACCCGTACGCTACGTCTCTGAAGATGAATAATATATTCCATTACCGTTGTCGGTTGTTATACTTAACATGGGCCCCTATTATAATTACAATTCCTTCTACTACAAAAGAGGGGCAGTTCTCGTCCCTACGCGGTACAGCCATCCGATGCGGGTAATCTATGCTTTAAGTTCGAGACAGCGTAAGAGCGAAAGGAGGAAAAAAGCCTGTGGCGTTGGTGGTGGTGTTGGAAGTGATGTTTAGGCCGTAGTTGAGATGTTGGTCAGCAGCCGCCTGAGGGGAAGGCGATTAACAGTTTACTCATGCCTCACACTAGACAAGCCACGATAGAGATAAGTGGGATTAAGGGGTAGGTCTATGGAAACCGGAGAAAGCGGCACTGACCTATTGGTATGTCAAAGGGAGCGGCAAACGAGATTAGTCTGCCCGCAGGAATATGACGTCTGACATATGCTGTGCACAAGTGGTTGAACAACGATAGTTTGGCAAGGATATATATTTGAATAAGCACTCTCCGGGACTCTTGCGTCACCCTAACCGCTCACCATACCCTCACCATACTGTCACCATGGCTGCCAATCTGCTGGAAGGACTAGGGCAACCGAAATTTCGAACCAGCTGCGATCAATGCGGTGCCGCCAAGGTGAAATGCGACCGAGGCCAGCCCGAATGCGGACGCTGTGGCTCTCACGGCAAGATATGCGTCTATGGGGTCTTACGGAAAATGGGAAAGCCGCCGCGAGTGAATCGAGCTGGTTTAAGTCGGACCCCGGTCGATCAACCCGGAGCTGGAGCCGGAGCTGGAGCCGGAGCTGGAGCCAGAACTGGAACAGACATTGCAGATGTGTGCCAGCTCGACACCAGCAGTTACATCAGCGATGGTATAATTGGAACGTTCGATCCGCTCTCAACTATTACTGACGTACTTGCAGCTTGGGATGCAAAGAATAAGAACGCCAATTGCATCAGCCAGGATGCATTAGATGGCTTGTTTAACGACATAAACGGGCAATTCATGCCAAATTCCCCTTCTTTCAATCTGGATGAATGGGACTTTACAGACTATTTCAATAACCACTTATCCTCTAATTTGCAACTCGGCCCACTTCCTACCCCAGAATCAACCGACTGGGGGGGTTGCCCATCAACCGAACCCTCTACAGCACAGCCCGCCGCATACCAATCCCCATCCGACCCAAATTTACATTCTGACCGAACTGAAATACCAACTGTAGGCATTAGCGGCCACGACTGTCCTCGGGAAGCATACGATATCCTACGAAACCTATCTTTCCTCAATCCCAATAGGATTCAACCGACCCCATCATCAGGATCAACGCCATCCTCAGCCACAAATAACGTCGACAATCAGGTACCATTAGACGACGTGCTACGCATCAACTCTGAGGCCAGTGAGAGGCTTGGAGCTCTTCTGAGCTGCCCCTGTGCTCAATCGCCACATCTTGCAATTCTCTATGCCTCAATTATATCCCGGGTCTTACAATGGTACCAGCAAGCGGCTGGTTCCACCCAGAGTGTCTCATTCAGTCACACCGCGTCAGACTGCTCCCCGACTATTGGTGGCTCAGAAAATAAAACCGCCGCAGTCGCTCCGTCCACAATAGGAATGGCACTTATGCCTGCTAAGATGGCCATTGGGAGTTTCACCATCGACGACCTACATATACAGACGGCCTTGAAGATCCAGTTGCTATCAGGAGAGATGAGGAGAGCCGGCTGCCTGATTGATCAATTTATGTCACTCAATTCCGGCGGTCAGTTTCAGACGGATAATTCCAATTTTAGCAGCGTTGATGGATTGTATCAAAGTTTACACTCATGGTTACGGGGCGAGCACTCAAGGATAGCAAATATGATAAGGTTGCAATTGAGAGAGCTAAATACATGAATACAACCTGGGGCCGGTGTGCGTTCCCTTGTGTGTGACCCTTGGCTTGCATCTTCACCTCCTGTGTTGCATGTATTGTCACCGTATTAATCTGTATGTCTCCCGGCTCGGAGGATTTCTTCACCCCTTCCCCGCATTTCATGCCGTTTCTTTACTCCACAGAGTGATTTCTAGCCTCTGAGAACACCTTCAACGGCGAAGGCCAACGCTCTTACACGTCATCTTGGACAGCATCTAGAGTTGCTAAGCTCTTAGTTGTATTATTCGTAGTAACATGAACGGGTACCACTCCTACAAACCCCGACAGACCTGTGGTCCGTAGGCTAGATCCGAGGTGACTCAATCGGTACTCACTGCTTACCTATAACTTAAAATAAGACGCATAGTACAAGGGGCACAGCTCGGTATGGGCGATGTACATCTGTCGCGTTTCCTTTAGGCTGAGTTTCCACGTATGGCTCGGCTTCCGACCAAATCTGAGTAACTCCTTGTATCCACGGTGATGGCCGACTTACATTAAGAGTGCATATGGATGGACGAGTGTACCTTTGCTATCTATACGGCACGGCTTCTTACCAGGTCGGCCCCGAATTTCGGTACCCGAATAGTATGCCAAGAGTCAAAGCCGGTTTTAAAAGCATGGCACGGCAAAGGGGCGTCGGTATTTGGTGCGTGCAGCTAGCCGTATCCTTGGGATGCCTGGCAAGCCAGGCATCTGCTGAGCAGTTTACCGATATATAAGACATCTGCTCGACTTATCCATAGACAAGACACCTTTGATTCTACACACAACTTGACCCCCATGGTCCACATGGCATGCGCATCAGTATTGTGGTAATATGCCCCGAACTCGCACCTTATTTCGCGATAAAGAGCTAGCTTGTACAGAACCCATGGTTTATCAACAGAGACGGGCTACAGAAACGTGTGGTTGATTGTCGCATTTACAAAACCTTTATCCCACCAAGCTTGCCCGCGGGTACTTAGCAGGCCGAATTTTGTGACGAATGACTGGACTACGATCACGAAGGTGGCCATGATACCCTACGGTCTACTGAGGTGTCGAACAAGACTACAAGTATGATCAAGCAGCTCATGAGTCAAATCCAAATACCGACAGATGAGGCCAAGAAAGATGGCATCGTGAATTGATCCAATTGCTCGGTTTGGACTAATAAAAAGGCGTGACGATCAACCAGAACCGACAATCTAGTTGGAGGCAGTGGAAACGGCACCAGAAAACGGCAGTGCTGCTACCGAAAAGAAGCGGAGCTACCCGCCGCAAGGATCCGTCATGGCCTTTCTGAACACCGAATAAATTCGATTTTTCCGCAGTGTACGGAGTGATGGGGCGAGACACGACTGGCCCAAAGTCACCACGACCATCGTTGGGCAGCCGCAGATGCGTATACGACCCCGGATTCGCACCCAGCGTCACGGGCTAATGCGAAGGTGCTGTAGAATCTGCGGAAGTCATCCACGGCGGCCGGCCTCCCGGACTACTCGCTCTCGCCGGCGCAAGCAAAATTCCTCGCGCTGGACTGCCGGGCATCAAGAGTGACACATGTGCTTGAAGTTGGCACTGGGGCGGATCATCCTGCATGATGCTGACCACCTCACGTAGTAATGGTCTCGCTTAGAAAGCAGGCCACAGACGTGTGTCGAGGTTTGGTTGCATTGACGCAAGGTCGTGTCATAGCTGGGGCTTGACAGAGGCGGCCAATTCAATCTCGTATTGTGAATTCACAGTGAAATGCTGCATGGTAGTATCGTCATCGTCATTTCTGTTCAATCAGAGTACCGCCCCTCCGTTGTGCCGACGACAGGTTCTCGTATCGGCTCTGCCACTGTAACTAGTTGCTGGCCTCAAACTGCAAAGCCAAACGCAAACGCCCCGCCTTCTTCGCATCACTCTTGCTGAAGCACGAATAGTGACTTGCTGATGCCCTGAAAATGCCGTCTGCGGGGAAAGGCGTAAGAGTGGGACCCGGATCGTATCATTCGGGAACCGAAATCTTGCAGAAGCGTGTCGGGGATCAAAGATGAAGTTTAACTGGCTAGCCTCGATGACCTACTTCGTTCCATGCCCACTCAACTACCAGGCTTGCCTGACCTGACACAGTCGATACATCGACAAATATCCGCCGTCGATCGTATCTTGCATTGCCAGCTTGTTGTATAAAAAGGTTGGCAGCTCATTAGCAGTCACCAATATGCTCAAAGAGGCTCAATCGATTTTAATCCTCAAATGGGTCAATCCATCGATCAGTACAAAAGTAACTTCATCCCGTCTCGCTAGATATGTAAGATTGCCCAGTTATTTCGACTGGTCGTGTGTTTTTTTCTGCGTGCGGTCATCCGTACGGAGACAAAGACCAAGTCAGATTATTACTTCGAAATAAGCAAGATCCATGTAAACTCTAGGGAATACTGAATCCATCACTAGTTGGTTTATCCAGAGATTGGAAAGGAAACGTTGTAACATGATATACTGTTGCGTCTGATGGAAGGGAAGCATTGGATGTGTCAAACTCTTGATTTCCATCTAACAGAGGGTTCGTAGCATTTCCTGTATACAAAGATGCATTTTTTATCATAGAGGCTGCAATGAAGTCCTTGATATAGAAGGTCTCACGGTCTTGAGAGACCGGATCACTAGGGATCCCCAAGTGACCAATCCGAGGAAGCCAGCACCCATGATCCAATGGCTTAACGCTCTGAGCCTGGGTTTATCTCCTCTATGCAATCAGACAGCCAGCCCATCCTTGAACCTCACAAGATGTAAGACCGCTGGGAATGTGAGGAATGTCTCAATAATCATTTGTGCGCCTTCCGAGTGAAGTGCATGATTGCCGTCTCCTCCGCCTCGAATGTTGCCCCTTCTCCTCTCCCAATCTAAGGCATCATTGGTGATTGTTTCAATCCCATGACCTAACCCCTGCGCTATCGGACCTGCAGAGTTCCTTCTTCGAGAGATGCACGCAGGAAAGATTGTCAGCACCCAATGCGTAACCAGTGGCCAACCTGTTTCCGGACTACCGCGGACAGAGTTGTCGCTCTACCTCCTCCATTGTGATCTCGGTGATCGAAGTCGAGCTGTGGCTGAGCTCACAGCTCGAATGTGGAAGCGCGATGCTAGCGGTATGCTGGAGGATGCATCATGCCGGTGTCCAGCAACCTCCACAAACCCAGTTGTGGCGCTGGGTCCGAGGGTTGAATGACATGCAGGCTGATGCCGCCGCGACACCCGTGGCCTCGCATATATTGCAGGTTGATACGAGGTCCTGAGGTCGTATTGGTGGTGTTAGACAGCTGCGGGCGGCTCACTAGTGGACGGATTATTGGTTTCATAAGGTTTCCGCCCTCTCCAGCTCTGTCATCTTTGCATACTAGGAGTGATAGCGATGGGATTCTGACTGCCGACTGCCACTATTGCCTGCAATCCGTCTGCAGGACAAAGGCCTCATGTATTCTTTTGCCGCGATTGGTCCCAGCTCGCAGAAGATACCAGGATCCCGACGCCATATCCCCAACACCATGCAGGGTTGGTTAAGTCGCCTCAGAAGTTGGTGGTTTTTTCTTCTTCTACCCTGGCAGGCAGTAGTGGCATATTGGCGGTTTGCTGTTGCCGTTTGGTTGCTTACTGCTTCGCTGGCAGTGAAGAGCGAGAAGCGAGCCTTGCATCATGCCGTCATTGTCACACCTACGGAGTATTGTGCCATATTTGCTGTGGGATGCTGTATTTTTGGGGCTGAATTGCTGACACTTGCAGTGTGCCGGCGTGCATCGACTACACCCAACAGGCCACAGTGCGATCACACGCACCACCCTGGAATCGTTCCAGGTCCAACGGCAATTGATTCCGACCGGTTGAGATGCCGAAGATGGTACACACCGTTTCTCCCAGGCATCTTAACCATAGACCGCTGAAGGTGGAAGCTGTTGGGGGCTGCTGAATGCGATAAGAGGCTTACAGAAGGCTCTCGGAATGGCTAATAAAGGCCACTCTGCCTTTGTGAGATTACGTTGGGGCCGTCCCTGTGCCTTACATATCCTCTACCCGCGCTAATTACAAATAGGCATTTTAGGCCCCGGACTCTAGATCGACCACCAGTGGCGGTACCGACCGTTTGCGAACAGTGCTAAGGGGCCAGGGCGGCCTGGCGTAGGGCGTACGCTCGATTACCTCATACCTAAATCACACGTAGCCCAGATTCTAGCGCTACGTGTAATGTGTGTCTGTGCAACGGCCCGAAGATACGTGATGACTTGGCGCTAGGTCATGTCTGCAGGACTAGAAGTCCCTGGGTGAGGGCGGATTTCACCCAACGCGGATCCTGCTCGCATTCGAGTCACCAGGCGAGAGCTCCTATTGGGTCCACTTTGCTTCCTTGATTTACTTAGTGACAGGAACGGCTCAAGCGATCCGACAGTTCCCACCACCACGGGGCACACCATCAGAATTACTGTTAACACGGACTCTCCATGTCCGTGGGCCTTCCCTGTAGGTCTCAACGGATCCTTTTCGGTCCCCTGACCCTGGTTGCCGATGCTGTTTCTATTTACGCCCGCATCTAAGGCTGAAGCCACCTGTACAACTTCGGGCAATGCAAACTGCAAAATGGGTCAATGAGATAGAATCCAGCCGCCTAATAGGCGGCATTGTGTCTTCACGGGTGGCTTTTTTTGTGTGCTAACCGTCAGCCTGCTTTTCAGCTCTACCTGAGCTAGGCTTGATATGCCACATTTAGGCTGTCCCGCTCAACAACTCCTCCGCCTATCTACCTGTGTACTTGGTTCATGTTCAGGGATTGCCTCTAGGAGCTCGGCCGAGCTCCCAGCTACGTACCATCACGCCTTGATTTGAGATGAGCTGTGGGGTGGTAGTAGGAATTGGGCCCGGCTATTCGGCAAGTTCTCTATGCCTGGGTCTTAGAACGCCAGCCTCTTTGGCTCGCCTTGATTGTTGCTTCCGAACGAGCACACGACAGATAAAGACCGTGGGATCCCGCCGTGAAGATTACAGGTTTTATTCCAGCAACCTCAGCCCACACTCTTTGGGATTCGTCGATCGTTCCATTCTTTCACTCGTTTGAAAATGAGCTACGCCGCCAGTGTTCACGGGGGGGCCTCTTCCCTGTTGCACTCTCGGGCTACTCTCAACTCGGGCAACTACTCTGATCTTTCTCTTGGAGGAGCTTTAAGCCAGTTACAAACCAATGGGTAAGTTCATCACTTATTTTTTATCTATTCTCCTATATAGTGATATAATGCTAAGTATTATAACCTCCCTCTACAGCAAGTCTGTCTTGGGAACGTCTAGTGCCGCTACACTCCCATACTTCATGACCAACAACCCCACCCCAAATGGATATCCTTGGAGCAATTTGAATTGCTACAGCAACTACTACAAGACCCATCCCAACACAGGTGTCATCAGGAAGTATGACTTCACTATCAAGCGGGGTACTATTGCCCCTGATGGCTACGAGCTGTCTGGCATCCTTATTAATGGGGCCTTCCCTGGACCTACTATTGAGGCCAACTGGGGTGATACTATCCAAGTGACTGTCCATAACAACATCGACAATGAGGGTATTGGCCTGCACTGGCATGGCTTCCTCCAGACGGGTACGCCCTGGGAGGATGGTGTTACTGGCATCAGCCAATGCCCTATTGCCCCCGGCAAGAGCTTTACATATCAGTTCGTTGCTGAGTTGTATGGCACTACTTGGTATCACTCTCACTACTCTGCTCAATACGCCGCTGGTCTTGTCGGTCCTATGGTCATCCACGGTCCTCGTGATAAGCGAGACTATGATATTGATATCGGCCCTATTATGCTCAGTGATTGGTATCACGATGAGTATTATGACATTGTCGAAAAGGTTATGACCCCCAACGGCGGTTTAGTCTTCTCACAGAACAACCTCATCAACGGAAAGAACAACTTCAACTGCTCTACGCTCTCTGCAGATGACCCAACCCTCTGCAACAGCCAGGCTGGCCTCTCCAAGTTCAAGTTCACACGTGGTAAAACCCATCGTCTGCGTCTTATTAATTCAGGCGCGGAAGCCCTACAGCGGTTTTCTATCGACGGTCACAATATGACTGTCATCGCCAATGACTTCGTTCAGGTCCAGCCTTACAATACCCAGGTCGTCACTCTGGGTATCGGTCAGCGCACTGACGTCCTGGTTAAGGCCAACGGCCAGCTTGACGCCTACTGGATGCGTTCTAATATCTCTACCCGCTGCAGTCTGGCCTCCAACCCCAACGCCTTGGCCGCCGTCTACTACGACAATGCCGACCAGACCAAGGAGCCCCAGTCCACCCCCTGGGATGTTCCTGACCCCGGCACCTGTGCCAACGACGACCTGAACAAGACCATCCCATTGATGAAGCTGCCCCTACCTGCCCCTGAACTAACCTATGACTTCGGGATCGACTTCTACAACAACGGGAGTAACATCACCCTGTTCAAATTTGATGGTGTTGACTTCCGCGTAGACTACAACAGCCCTACCCTGCTGCTTGCCAAGCTTGGAAATGATACCTTTAAAGAGCAGTGGAACGTGAGGAATACTGGCAAGGCCAAGAGTGTCAGAGTCAATGTCATCAATAACACTCCCATCGCGTAAGTTGACTTATTTCTCGACAAGAACCATCCTAACTCAACCGACACGCAGCCATCCTATGCATCTTCACGGCTTCAACATGTACATCCTCAACGAGGGCAGTGGACCGTGGGACGGCACCATCGTCAACCGAAATAACCCTCAGCGACGAGATGTCATCCAGGTCCGTCCCTTAGGCCATGTGGTGATCCAGTTCGACGCCGCTGATAACCCGGGTGCGCTACTTACCCCTGATCTTGACTCTCTCGGGTTCTCTCTCGCTAACAAGCTTGCTTCTCAGGCGTCTGGCCCTTCCACTGCCACATTGCCTGGCACGTCTCCGCCGGCCTCTTGATCCAGTTCCTCACGAACCCGGAAAAGGTCGAGAAGTTCAAGATCCCCCAAATCGTCGCTCAGACCTGCCGCGAGTGGGGCGATTGGACGATGACGAACATCCCAAACCAGATTGACAGTGGTCTTTAACTTAAGGGCCGCGTGGGCAGCGGTTTTAGCGTTGGTTTCACTTCTCTTCGTCTTCCAGTTTAAGATTCGTACTATGATCAATGAGTCTTTTTTCGAGAAACAGAACGATCAGAGAGCCTATCCCCCACTGATAATGGTACGGAGGATTTATTTTATTATTTGGCCGGATGCCGTTTTTATTTCATATGTCTGGATATAGGGGTTTAAGGTATGAAAAAATGACATGAACAAATCGCTGGTCATATCCTCGTTCCCTGCGTTGCGCCATGCTGTGATCCGAATGAAACTCTTGTGACTCTGGGATTGCAACCATGTCCACTACATCCTCATCTAATAGCGTCGTTTCCTTGCATGTGATAAAGCACAACTAGCCACCGCCTTGATAATTGTTCTATCGTGATAACCCTATTTACAGTCAAAAAGCAATAGCACGCAAGTCCCCCGCCAATCCCGGTCGAACCGTTCATTAGTCTCAATGTGCGTGCCCTAGTCAGTTGCTGGCTTTGAGGTTTGATTGATGCCACGCGTCCCGTCTTCCGCTTTTCAGTGTCATCAGTCTGGAGATCCTCCTGTTCCTTGGGGGCGGCCCCATTCGAATACAAAGGTACCGACGGTGAGCTTATCGACTCTTGTTGGCGGGCGTCGCCTTTCGTCTCCCCCTTTTCATCCTTCTTTTCGCCCTTTTGGTGTCACTCACTTCGGGTAATTTGGCCTGGTTGCTATCGTCCAGGATGTTTACCATCCGGGAGACGTACCCTTCCTCCACCTTGGCGTCATTGTAGTTGCCGTCGTTCTTGAAAACCATGACGGACTCGACCTGCCGGCATCATAGGAGCCCAACTCGATGACGCCGTGGGCTCTGTTCCCTGGTGTCCGCGTAGCGGTTAGGCTGCTAACAAGTATGGAGATATTATGCCAGATGCAGAGCAGAGCTTCATGGAATAAGAGTTGATGATGTCAAATTGCTCAATGTATGACGATAGTACCCATTATCCAAGGAGGGTATAAATATCAGGAGTTGATTATTTATTTACGCTTGAAGATTATCTTACTTAATGAACAACCAAATCGATGGAAGAATCTATTTGCAATTAATACTCTCCATAATAGTTTCTGCTCCGAACCACACCCAAATGCTGAGCCTGTTGAAGATATGCACAAGACCTGGAAATCGACAAGCAGTCATAATGTGATATTCCGTTAGCATAGAAAGTGTTGAGCCTTAAATATGAGCTGCCCGATTTACACTTTGAACCTAGTCTTGTGGCCTTTTGCAAGTCGGTAATTATAAACGGACGACATTATTAATTGCGAGTGTGGTTTAAGCCAGTGGTGAAGTGAGAAACCGGATTGTGTAGATGTCAGTTTCACAGCATTACGATTTCAATATAAAAGGAAACCCAAATCTATATAGTAGCAGTGAACACTGAAGTTATCAATAGTATTACTTTGTGCTGGAGAATAAGGGCCTGATCGGCCAGAGGATTATGATAATTCGAAATGGCAAAATTAAGACCTTTCCTCTTCAAAATGCTACTTCCGGCACTAAATGACCAATACACTGGGGCTCAGAGTTATGCAAGCGTCCAGATGTATCTTCTGGGGCTAAACTAATACTGTCTTTGCGCCTTGGCAACTTTCCTTCTTCAAGCCGAAAAATAGGCCCGAATTATCATAATCCGAGCCACGAGATAATCCCACTCGAAGCTGGATTACGATGATCTGGAGATGAGATTAGGCAGAATTCTGGAATAGGAAGGCAGTAGGCCATACAATGCACAAGGGATTCAAGATAGTACATCGGCCTCGCTGTGCAAGTCTGATGTATCTGTGGACCCTATCCACATTTAATTCGAATTATCATAATCCTCTGGCCGATCAGGCCCTAATAAGAAGCATCTTACGGGAATCCCGGGAGGAGCCCCACACTCGCAGGGAATAATTTGGACCGACCCTTCACGATGCTAAAACTGGCTCCACTGAAGTCGGGTGCAATTCTCCCGAATCCCGAACACAAGGAAGCACGTTCAATTAGGACAAAGCTCGCCATAACGCTGTTTTTAGACCAGCTACAAACAAGTGGGTGTAAAGACCCCCAATATGTCTGGGTCACTACATATTCCGTGATCAACACACAGATGTGCGATTTACTAATCATTCCGTATACACATTGAAGCCAGGAAGTCTGATGTGATTTATTGGATACTGTTGGAATATGACCCTGTATAACGAAACCTCTGATAGATTGATATCCGGACCTTAGTCAGAAGGGGGGTATGATAACCCCTCTTCCGACCGATCCAGATGACGAGGACAAGCAATCATAATCATCATCATCAATACGAACATTATTGCATCGATCAAATTGACCGTAACGGATCCATCAGATACTCTAAATTCTATCAGTATTGATCGCGTTGCTCCTTTCCTCCCTCCGTGCCCTTTCCACTCGCAATCTGCAGGGTCTGAGTGATTCCCTCTTCGACGGCGCCTAGGTCGGTGATGATTGACACCATATCGAAGCCCTGGCTAGCTCGCTCGAGAGACTGACTACCGTTGGTGCCTGGAAGAATCTAATTAGATAATGTTCCGGGATGTAATTGAAATGGAAGACAGCTGCGAGTTATTACTCGAAGTCGAGGGATTGGAAACTTACAGAAGATGGCCGCTTTCTTGCCTGCAGCGTGGGAGGCCTTTAGAATCGTTTGAATGGCAGCCTCATGTTCCTCGCCGCCCCGAACGACCCCCATCTGCTTGGCAAGATCAAAAGGACCTAAATAGTATGTCAGTAAGAAATTGAGATGGAGAACCTATAATTTCAATGCTTTGCCGTGCACTTCTAGGGCTGACCCGTCTTCCCAAGGTGATATATCATCCTCCGGTTATGATATAGGCTCTTGATGACAGGAATCAGGATAGACTTACCAATCAGGAGGACATCCACACCATCTGTCTTGGCAATTGCCTCCACATTCTCCAAGGCTGATCTCGATTCAATTTGGACCATGACCATCAAACTTTGATCGGCTCCGTCATCATATTGGCCTCCCGTGACTCCGGGGAGAGAATGGGGAGAAAACATAGGCCCATATCCTCGTGACCCAAGTGGTGGGTACTTGGAGTATTGAACAATACGCTTTGCATCTTCCTTTAGAGGTTGAAGCAATGTCAGTAACTGCACTCAAAAGTAGGGGTTGGACAGTTGATGAACCGCCACAGCTCAGACGTACCGCAGTATGACACATTGGCAATAGAACACCGTGGGCGCCAGCATCCAGAGCGCGCTTGATCATCCATTCCTCGTGCCAAGGGACTCGGATGATGGGGCTTGCCCCTTCGGAGGCGATGGCGGTAGACAACTAAACAACGTGTTAGCTCTTTTGAAATCAATGGGCGTCGTTTATGAATTGTGCAAACCTCATAATAGTCCTTGTCTGAGATCAATCCGTGTTCAGCATCAACCAGTACCCAGCTGAATTTATTGAAGGGAGAAGCCGACGCCGACCGGAGAAGGACTCGAGCAACAGGCGCACTGGGAAGCCTAATGAAGGAAACAGGTATCAGCTACTGTCAACAAACCAGGCCGCAACTAGCCCCCCAGAGTTCAACGAAAAGACCGGTGATGGTTTTCTGATTTGTAGTGTAGGGGCAGCGCTGGGAAAACTAACGTGAGCCAGAACCCAAACTGTGTAGACGGTCCCCCTTGGAGGGCCTTGCCGAGCGGAGTCTCGAACGTCATTTTCGGAATGTGACGGAGATGGAGTTTTTTGGGTTAGCGTTGCTGTCTGCGTGCTTCTTTATCTACAGAGTTGCCCAAAGGATAGAACGTCAGTAATTGAAAAGCTTCAAATAAGTTTAAAACTCACCTCCAATGTTGATGGCGAACAGTTAGAAAACGAGCGGGGTAGAGAGCGATAACCGGAGTTTTATGACGCAGCGTTCTGGCAATTGACCCACCCAAACTCAGATTGTCGACTGGTGCGCTTAGCGGATGACATTCCCAATTGGAGCCGTTTGTTTTGACAGTTTCTCAAGTTTTAGCGGTTCAACAGGTTTTGCCGATTACCTTCAAGTGGATACCTCGGACCCCGGATATGTAAAAACAAGACAGTGGTTGAGATGACGGGAACCGACGGTGGAATTGCGGAATTCCTGACGACGTGCGAAGAGACTATTTTTTCTGTCCCGTAATGGTTTTACTTTTAGTGGGTTGCGCTCTTGATGTGCGCGGAAGTCAGTTGACGTCTTTGTTTAATTCCCTCCCCCAGTCGGAAAAGTCACGGATAAGCATGTCTACGATGGCGGATGTCCAGGTTACAGCGCAATTCGAGAGATAGTTCAATAATCCGGTGAGATACTGGCTGTGCTTGGCCTCGGTTATCGGATAACCGCCATTGGCAACCGGAAGATTGGGGTAAAGCTCGCATCTTAAGTGCCGAGCCCCGACGCTTGATCTCATCGCCAAGGTCAGATGCACAAATGCTTCCACACGCGTTGCAGACTGCACGTATGGGAGTGGAATAAAAGAATCCTCTGCCCGTGACATGTACCGGTAAGAACTGGGCATTCCATCAACTGCAGCGTGGGGGTACATGTGTTCTGGCTTGCCCGAAGAGGGATATTTGTTCGATGCCTTCAACCTGATCTTGCAAGAGATTCACGCCCGAAGATTCTTCATACTCGAGCCTACAAAGACCAAAAAGCATATTGGAGGTGGTTTTTTGGTGTGGTATCCGCAGCCATCTAATCTGATTACTCTCAAGGAGCTGGAGAAGATCCCGAAGAGGGTCACGGCGCATGAATTCATGAATCGATCGATAATACGATAGCGGAGAAGTAAACAATTGTATTGGAGGCTGCTCCCATTCTCTCTGTCTCGTTCCCTTCGTGCCATGATGCTATGGTAAGTCGCCAAGACATCCCCTTGAATAAACTAGAAAGGATGATGCTAACGTAAAACGGCCGTATCGGACATAATCCTGTTCTAAACCCCAATCTCTCAATAGAATGATACTTCCAATCCATGACCCGCTGAAATCACGGCATAATGCTCTCGTCTAACCAACACGAACGCTCTAAATGATGATGAACAGTGAGCATGCCACAGCTGCAAGCGCATAGACAGAACCAGAGGTAAAACGAGCGCCCGGATTGGTGGCCGTCGGCTGGGCCTCCAAATCCTGCACTGCAGCACCGACGTTGGGACACTGCCCATCCACGAGGTCCTGCATAGTCGAACGCTTCTTCATCTTCTTGGCTTCCCCCGAGTCGATGGATTGAGCTGTGCACTCTCCCTCCCTGTAGCCACGTCGGTATTTCAGCACCCGCGAGTAGATGGCAGACTTCTGGTCAGTGGTGAAGCCGTCCTCGGGGGTTTTGCCGCGGCACGGCGAGAACTAGACGGGAAAGTGAGTCAACTTGTGTATAGTGAGATGGATGATGGCCGGGTGCTTACACTCATGTAGTTGATGATGTCCCTGGCTTTGGAACTGTCACAGGTTGTCTGGCTGCAAGAAAACATTTTATCTTGGAGACCACTTGTAACACTGGATTCGATTAAGCCATCTGCTGCCTTGCAATCGTCGACAGTATTGTCCACTGGCTCACGGAAGGTGTGTCGGAGCCCAAGCCAATGGCCGATCTCGTGGATGAAGCTGGGGACATCATCCTTGTTGATGCGGTCTTCCCTCATGACAATGCCATCCAAGGTGCCCTTCTTGTCCCACGGGAAAGAGGCGTACTGCAAAATTGTGAGTCATGAAATTGGGCAGGTTCAAGCTGCAACATACCCCATTCAGTTCCTTTTTGTCACTGCCTCGAAGATCATTGACCAGCCAAACATTCACCGTCATCATGTCTCCGGTGTGGCTTTGCGTCTGCCACTGTTGAAGTCGATCCTCGGACTGTTTAACCTTTGACCAGTCTTTGTTGGAACCGGAATCGGGCGGCGCCCACTGCTGATAGCTCTTGTAGTTGAAGGTGATTCCAAGGGGACCGAAGGCGTCGTTTAGACGTGTGACCTATGAGAGGTGAGTTATCTCCTGACCATGGTATTCTGTTTCTTGGTGACTCTTACACTGGTTTCCACCCGGTCCCCCAGATTGTTTGGGCGTTCGCTATCAGTCGTGTTTCTGATGTAGTTGAAATAGACATCAAAATCCAGCGACTTGACATAATTGCAGTTGCTCCTCAGATCTCGAGAAAAGACACCATTCAGACTCCGCTTTTGGACTTCAACTTTACAATTAGAAACATTGGAGGAAAGTTTGATGTTACCAGCATCGGCAGGGGCGGGATCGTTGCCGACAAAGTAGTCAAACATGACGGCCTCCATGACGACGACCTCTTGAGCATCCACGCCAGTGATGGCCGTGTCGGGCAAGTTGGCCTGGAACTCGGCTGTGTGTTGGTCAGGGGTAGTGATATCCGGCGGTGTTCGTGCCCGGGACTCGGCGCCATCTTCGGGATCGACTGAAACAATGCCAGTGTCGGCGTGTCCTGAGCCACTCCCTGAGTTTCCACCTCCCGAGTCCCCAGTTTCCGAGGATCCGGATGAAGAGGAAGTCTTGGAGCCTTTATCACCGCCTGCAGTGCTGCTGTCCTTGTGCTTGTCTTTGTCGTCATTGCTGGAATCATCGCTGGACGTGGGCTCATTATTGTCATCGGAAGTGGCTGAGGGTTCGTCATTAGAGTCGGTCTTCGAGGGGCTATCGCCATCAGACTGGGTCGTCTCCTCCGGCTTATCGTTGCCAGTCTCGGTCGCTGTTGGTTCTTGCTCGTCAGCAGCTGAAGATAGTTGGGCATCTGTCGATGCCGGAGCGTCTGTTGATGCCGGGGCGTCTGCCGATGACGGAGCGTCGGTGTTAGCCGCGGAGGAAGCCTCAGTGTCAGGCGGCGAGGAAACCTCGGCATCGGTTGGTGACGGACCTTCAGTCTCGGATTGGGTTTCCGCTCCGGCGGCGGTTGAAAACGTGGCATCTTGAGTGGCTGTGGGATCTTCATTAGCGGTTGGTGATGGTTCTCCAGCGTCTGTGGTAGACAGTTCTTCAACGTCTGTCGGCGACGTTTCTTCAACGGCCGTCGGCGACTGTTCTTCAACGCTTGTCGGTGACGGATCGTCGAGTTGAGTCGTCGGTGCGGCTTCAGTCTCACTAGCTGACGGCGGTGGAGATAACGAACCTTCGGTAGGCGACGGGTCCTCACCGTCAGTTTCTGACGGTTCCTGTCCAACGCCGGTTTCTGTTGGATCTTCAACATCGGTCGGTGACGGGTCTGCTGAATCAGTGGGCGGCGGATCTTCCGCTTCCGTAGGAGACGGATCGCTAATCACGTCGGTAGGTGATGGATCTCCCCCATCAGTGGGCGACGGATCATCAACTACGTCGGTTGGCTCAGGTGCGTCGCTGGGTACTGGATCGTCACTCAAGTCCGTCGGCTCTGCGACATCGGTGGGTGCAGGCTCGTCCGGGACTGATGTATCTTGTCTGGGGTGCACGGCGTGATCGATGGGAACTCTCTTGAAGGCCCACGGCTTGGCGAGGGTCGTCGTGACGGGGGCGTCTCTGATTCTGCGCTCATCGGACCGAGCCAACACCAAGCTCACACTTACCAGTGCGGCAATGCACAAGTTTCGTACGCATACCATCTTGGACGCGGGTTGGGCTCAGATTGGAGTAAACAACAATCCAAATGCCGAACTCGATTGAGAAAAACAGAAAAGGTGGTGTACGGACATGGTGCGCAGCATAGGCTGCCATATATGGATAGCTCCTGATTCAGCTGCCTCAAGCCGTCCGTCAGCTGAAGGCGATGGCGGTCTTTTGTCTTGGCATCCCAGCTATTCAGCGCCCCTGCCCCAGCTACTGACGCCTAATATAATCTTGATATGCAGCCTTATAGGGTCTCGACTCGGCTGAGAAACTTAGCTCTGCCAGCTAACTCTATCACGGGCTAATGCTAGGTTATGTGGCTCGACTGGCGTTAATCCCAGCCACCACAGACCGTCGGTCAGCGTGTATCCGGATTCCGAGTGGCGTCCAAAGTGTCAATTCACCGTCCTCCCAGAGCCACTAGCAACTGCGTGCAACAGCTAAGCCGGCGCCTCTCAACGCCACGACAATGGGCTAGTTATGTAAGGGGCTGGCTGGCCTGAACGATTCGCTACTACGCAGCAAGGCTCCGCCACCATCATGCCTAAAGCAAAGAATCCCCGCACGCCTGTTTCTAGTCATAGCAAGGACTGCGAAGCTGAGATTGAGCTGGTCATCCGCCGGGGGGTTAAGCATAAGCTAGGGGCTGGGCGTCAATAACGCCCCGGAAACACAATTGCCGGAAATGCCACTCTTGCTGGCAGGTCAACTCGCGCTTTCTCTGGCATTGCCCTGCAAGGCTGATTGACACTTTGCGGCGCTTTGATCCGCCTCACCAGGCGACCGCCGCGAATGGCGGTAAACAACACCGTCATCTGATTTGCGAGGCATTCCGAGTGAAACACGGGAGGTTTTGGGTAGAAAACAAGACGTATTCTGTGTCACAATCCATCTCGACCACTGCGTATGCGGTCAGCACAGCGCAGAACTTGAGACAAAACGGCCCAGACAGCACATGAGCTGAAAATGCCCCTTCACAAAGCCTGTAAGAATTGGCCCCTCCAGGATCCTGGATTTATGCCAAAGGATAAAGGCGCAAAGATCTCTGTAGCATATCTAAGGCCTACGGGGTAGTAGGCCGTGATGTCGCTGTTGAGCGTTCTAGCTTAGGTGGCACAACCGCTAACAAACGCCATCAGGCACCACCGGGACGCCTGAAAATACGCGGGATGAGGATTTGCTGATACTTCTTTAATCGTGCGCCACGCAGCTACGAATTTCTTTCGTATTTCATACGTGGACGTGTTTATGACTCTCCTTTCCACATCATTATCTACACCGTCCTCTGCACCACAGAAAACACTTCTACACACAGTGAAAATATCAGACTTGCCGCGTTCATTAACGCATATGCATACATTCATCTAGTAATGCGGCAGGCTGGACTCCAAGAGCACTGAATACAGCGCCACCCGTTCAGCCGCCTGACTTGAAATCTGACGCCGGTCAATCAAGAATTTGCTCGTATTAAAGTTGGCATTAATTGATCAAATGCTGTGTGGAGTTAAACTTCAGGCTTCGATGCAGTCGCGGTTGTGCATTGGAACTCTCAGATGTGTTGGGCCTGCAGGCCAAGGAATTTGGATTTTGCTATGACAACTTCGACAAGAACGGCTGGACATGGGCAACGAAACTAGGAAAGAAGAAGAATATATACACCGCAAGAATAAAGTGAAGCTTGCAAACATTGCCCGATATTTGACAGTCAGGTTGCAATTGAGATGGACTCTACCTATAGCCATGTCGCAAGAGCCCACTACAGAGACGCTCCACACTTAGAAGGAAAGAGTCTGGCCGGCAGTTCCGTAAACCTTGCTCTTGACGCTGCTGCTGCCGTAGTTGGTGTAGCTGTAGGGGATGGAGGAGGCCTTGAAAGAACCGGCAGGGGCGTCGTTGGTGCTGCCGCCGAGGGAGACGTCGCTGACGGTCACGTAGCCGTCCTCGTCAGAGTCGACAGAGGTGATGGCGGTAGCATCGCTGCAGTCCTCAAAGGTGGTCGACTCGACACGGACCTGGGCGCCCATGCGGGAGTTGATGCCGGTAGAGCCGAGGGTAAGGTAGTAGTTGTTGTAGATGTGAACAGTGCCGAAGCGGACAGAGGGAGCGCGAGAGTTGACGTTATACCAGTAGTTGTTGGCATAGGTCACCTTGAGATAGCCGGTATCCTCATCCTCGTTGCTGTCGGAGTGGCCAACAAGCGATGCTTTATAGTGGTCATGGAGGAAAGTATTAGACACAGTGATGTAGTTGGAGGCGTGGGTGATATCGAGGAGGCCATCGTAGTAGTCCTTGCCGTTGGACATATCGGATGAGAGGTCACAGTGATCGACCCAGACGTTGGTGGAGGCCTGAATGCCAATAGCATCACCATTGGCAGCCTTGACTTTGGAGATGGCCAAGTTACGGAGAATGACATTGGACTGATCCTTAACGTACAGTCCAATACCCGTAAGGGAGGAGCCAGAGGCGCCGACGATGGTCTTGTCAGACTGGACCTTAACCTGAGTGGCACCGGAGATGGCACCCTTGACGTAAATAACATAAGAGCCAGAGGCAGTAGCAGCCTTAGTGAACTGGGCTAGGGTCGACACGGTGGTGGTGGTACCGCCCTTGCCACCAGTGGTACCTCCATTCTGAGTGGCATAGCCAAGAGTGCAGGTCTCGGTGATGGAAGCACGCTTATCCAGGACGTGAGTAGCATCCTCCTCGACAGTGGGGCTGGGGTGGGCAGTAGCCAGGCCCATGAGGACAAACTGGATGGCGTTGGTGAACTTCATGTTTGCGATTTGAATGTCGTTTGGGTGTAAAGTTGTTCGGAACCAGTCCTAAAGGCAAGCAAGGCACAAGAAGAAGACTGAAGATGAAGAAGCTGGATAGAGATAGAGAACTGGAGATGGAAGTGAGGAATTAACTACAACATGGCCGTGATCGGGCACTTATATATGAGATGTCGTCCCGTTGTCGAAGTCGTGAACAGAGTGAAGGAGTCTCTGATAGGTGGATGCCATCACTTACACGGTTGGGGCTCTGAATATGGGGTACATGAAGTCCCGGGGGAGAAGTTGCACAAATGAGAAATTTCACCGTCAGTCTAGACCATGAGGAAGCTTCCACGGTAAAAAGAATCACGGTGTACGCACAAACGGAGGCGGCTGAGAGAGTGCTCTGGCAAGATGAGCGGGCAGGGGATGAAACGGACTGGGGCCAGGTGACGAAGGCGACGGTTTGGCTGTGAACAGGGATTGTGCCGCGCACCCGAGTGGATGGTCCGCCTCAGCCAGAAAGAGAATGCCCAGGCGGACGGTAATTGGGAGTTTCGTTTGCCGCTAACAAAGCGCCTCCAGGTTTATTTGCGATAAGTCTAAGTACATTAAGTCTAAAGAGAGATCTTATGGGCCGATCTGCAACAGGATTTAGAACCGTCGACGATCCCGCCAACGCGGATGATGATGCGTGCTGTCAAATGTCAGATAGAGCACGGGAACACAACATAGCCTCATCAGTCTCAACAGAATTGGCGAATACTGGTAGCCCTGTGGAACGTCGTCCTGGCCGCGCGTTCCTGCTGACGCTACGTGATGAGAACCGCCCTTTAATCTACCCTGTCAGGTGAGGGCCCCGACATTTCGCCCCTAATGCAACCTCCCAAGGGAAGCCATCGACAAGGGCAGATGACCTAAGCCAAACGCCTGTCCCCAAACGGCCGGCCCCCATATTGAGGTTATCCCTGTCGGCAATAGCGGGGACAGCCCATGACGAACACCATACCATCCAGCAAATCTACTGCGTGGGCCGGGACTTGATGCTCCGCGTACTGTTTGTGGCCGGTACGTCGTAATCCTGCCCCTGCCCATCTCGGCTTTGACCAGATGGCTGCAGCTCCCGTGTGGGGAGGGACTTGGCATGGGCTTGGCGTGGAGTCAGGACGCGAATGCTCCGAGGCCGCTGGTTCGACGACGTCTGAGAATTAGCAAAGATGTTGACAGCTTCACCGTGGTACCGAATCTAAAAATGTCCATATTCCCGGGTTTGCAGCTCTACCCCTGCTATTTGCTACGTTGTGAAGACTCTACCTAGTAATAGTTGCATTCCCCGAGCTTCTACTGTCAGTTCCAGGTGGAATGCCGTGACCTCCTTGGAGGAATTGGATCGACTAGACTCCCGCCGCAAGACCCAGGCATGCCCCCAACCCCCCAACATCCCAACCTCTTTCCATTTACAGCAGTGTACAACGAGACTAGACAATGAAAGGCGGACTCCCGCTTGGACAGGCATGTCTGTCTAGCTGCCGTCGGTACATGCATCACCAGCCCCGCACTCGGAATGTCCACACCGGCCCCTATTAGGAATCTAGAGGCCGTAGACGCTGGCAATCATCTGAGGATTCGCAAACAACGTGTGTTCAGGAAGACTCGCATCGTTTGAAAACATTTTGCTGGCAATACGGATAACCTGATACAGATCGGAACGTGCGTGAAAAGCCAAAATAGAAACAATCGCCCCCGGACAGGGATCTACGTAAACATGTCCGTTTGCCCCGCTTTCATGACCAGCAGAAATCGAAGAGGACTCAACAGAGGCGGAACTCAAACGGAGAAATTTCAATCATCGGACGTTGTACATCCTCTCACGTGAATGCCCTGGGAGCACATGCACGGTAGGGATGCACGGTTGACTATGTTAATGGCTTTAGGGTAAGAGGCGAGGTCACCGACAGAGATGTTACAACAGTCGCTGGAACTATAAGAAATACAATACAATAGCTCTGAAATAAGCCTCGAGTTAGAGCAAGGTATGGGGACAATGGACTTGTTATATATTCTTATACCTTTGCTCAATATCATAAGAGAGACTCCCGCTGTATAGAGGTTGCACCTCCTAATGTAGGGGCACATATTTAGTACTACACCTAGTACCAGAAAATATCACAGCTCATACAGTAGGGAAGGGGACTATGGACACTGGTGGAAAATCATTTGGGCGACGCTGGAATATGCTTAATGCTTTGCATATTATCTCGTAATTGAGCTTTTGCTACATCATATCAGCACACAGATCTAGACCGGCCTCAATAATGCCCATGATGTCGAAAACGTGAACACCTTCAAAGGGTTGCGCCCATAAACGAATGACTGCAATAGCCCTTCTCTTAGCCCTTCTGACGTCATCCATCTCATTCTGAATATCCAGGCCCAGATCGGCCTCGCTGATGATGATTGCGACAATCCTCATCGTGCGTTTCTCATTCTCCCGGAGATCCTCGCCAGCTGATAGTACATGAGCCATCGTCTCTAGCCATTTCCCCAAAAGAAGGCGCATTCAAGGTTACAAAGACTGTGGACGATGCTCCAAGTCACTGTTTGTCTTGTTGCCACAAATTGAACACCTATGCGTACTGTGATACTAAGGGAATGTGCGCTTTGGAGCGCAGCCCGGCCGACGTAAGCTATTCGCTCTAACATTGGAGCATCCTGAAAGACCCGCATAATGCTCATCGGGTACCTCATCTCAAGCTGGCGACATGATCCTAAGTCGGCATTCGGTCGGATATAAGCTAACCGAAAGAGGGCCATCGAGATGAAACCGAGGGGCCGCCAGGTGCTGACGGATCAAGCGGAGAATTCTTTGCATTTCTCAATTTCTCTGCCAAACCCCAGAGCCGAATCAAATTTCACTATGGCGTTAGGATCAAGGAGGCCGTGCCATTGTCTTTTCTAAACCCGAAAGAGGTTTGCCTCGTGAAAAAGATCCGCTGACTGATGTAGTGGATCAACAAGTGATTTCTAAATGAAAAGAGCCTACCCCCTGATGGTGAGCTTTCTGCATCGTCGGCAAAGAGACTTGCGTAGCTTGTCTGTAACAAAATGTCTATATGCGAGTCTGTTTTGCGGGCCTGCATTGTCTTCATATCTCGCTCCCGGGCCTCGAAGTAGGCATGATCAAGCTTGGATTTGCATCCAAACCGCTGTTACTATTTGCCAAAGACGGTGAGTTGGAGTGGATGTTGCCGTCCGATAACAGCCCTGGCGTATTGAAGAGTTAGCATAATTTTTACCGTATCGGTCCGGCCAAGAACCGGACGTCTTCCCCCCTCTCCACCCGTTATATCATCTCATTGCATTGTACCGAGTACACGTGTGGGATACCTCAGGAACGGATAAGTCGGATCTCGCCCACTGATCTGTCGCTTTTGCGACGGGCCGTTAGCGTTCGTGAGTGACGAGCACTAGCCACGACCCCATGTTACCTTCACACGCTTGTACCAATCACGGTTCGCATGGACCGGTCTGGAACGAGGCAGTGTAAGCCGACTTGGAACTTTGACGCCCTAGCGGTTCAGCTTGATGACAACTAAGCCCGAAAGACGCGGGAGAAGTTTGCGCACATAAGGAGATGGAATCCTGAATTGTAGGTTCATGGCCAATCTGCCAAAAGCACACGTCTAACAATTGCAAGGACAGAAGGTCAACATGGTCGACTCAACCGCAGCGCCAGAGCCAAAGCGCGAAATGAAGGTCCTCGCGCTGGGCCTCCCTCGCACAGGATCCGCCTCCATCGCCGACGCGCTGACCATCTTGGGCTACGAGAATGTGCACCACGGCATTAGGGCCATTGACTCAGTGGACGACTGGAAGGTCATCAACCGTGCGGCAGATGCAACATTCCCGGTTCTGCCCACCTACAGTGGAAAGCCGTTTACTCGAGACGAATGGGACGAGCTGTACGGCTCCTGTGAGGCAGGTACCGATATGGCTGCATTATTTGCGACGCAGCTTATCCAGGTATATCCCGAAGCCAAGGTGCTCTTAGTCGTACGGGACTTTGACTCGTGGTATAAAAGCTACAACAGCGTCTTTGATGAGCTTTGGAGCTTCAGAGCCGACCTGGCCATCGACTACGCCGAGCCATTGATCGGATACGAGACGGGCGTCGCCTCCCGCAAAGCAATCCTCGGTTTCTTCGACGCCAGGAATGTAGATGAGGCGCGGAAAAACGCGCGGATGGTGTACGATCGACACTACCGCCAACTGCAGGAAATGGTACCACCAGAGAAGCTGCTGGTGTATCGCATGGGACAAGGATGGGAGCCCATATGCGAGTTCCTCGACAAGCCGGTGCCAGACCTCGAGTTCCCTCGGGTCAATGAGGCGGCGGCGCTCAAGGAGAAGATGGCGAAAAAGATCAAGTCGCATATAACGAAGGCGGTGATGGTGTTGATGCCCTGGGTGGTGGGCGTAGTTGCTCTCGGAGTGGGATTGTGGACAGTGATGAGGAGAAATTAGTTGCTGGCATGGATAGTCTATGGGGATTGAAAGATGAACGAGCAAGATATTTCACCAAAAGATCGCGTAGTGGGAACGCGGTTTAAGGAGGTGAGTACAGGCGGTATATCACAAGAACAAGGAGCGTCACGGTGTATGGTCGACGGGAAACGACACTGCATCTGATGTTCAAACTTGATGTTTAAGCTTCCTGGTTTGACTGGAAATATATTCAGGTTATTGTACAGATCTAACCTCCGAGGCATTCCTGGCCAAATTGTCCAACTCACATCTGCTCACTGACAAGATTTATCGCAAGCTCAACCAGACGGAAGTTTGGTACAGCCCATCCCAAGACATAAAACAGATGGCTTTTCCGGACATCTTTGCTTTCGGGTATACGAAAGCCGTTTTAGCCATTACAACGACTTGCTACAAGACACACTTTTGCCCTGTTAACGCCAGAGATATGCCTGGAAGTATTCCGACACCTCGACTTCACCGCCATAGTGCAGGTAATTGGTGCATCGCCGACCATGCTCACCCAATATCAGGCGTCCAAGATTTCCATTACGCAGTATATACTCTCGGCCCCTTCATTCCGAAATCACCCCCAAGCATGACATGAAAATGACGACACGGGAGAAACAAGCTCAACATTGCAAGAGCCAAAGCATATCCAGACTTCCCTTCTGCCTACAGAATTGAACATGGTCTCTTCTTCTTCATCTATTTAAATACTGGCGCTCGTCTCCCGTTCTCAAAGGCACAAATCACTGACCTTTTCGCCTGCCTAGCCTTCACTTCTCGAACAGGTGTGAGCCATCCCTCGCCGGCGCCATCAAACATCTGACAGCACTCTAGAACTACCTGAACAAACGTGGGAAAATCCGAGCACCACTTGTCTTGAAGTCGCACGACTCTCGCTCGGCCGTAACAATTTTGTCAAAGCTATTAAAGAAGCCTATTGCACCGAACCCCCCGTAGAAGCCTATAATTGGGTTGCAGTCCTCTGACGTTGGACTCATTCTGCTTTAGTCCATGCTACTCATCTTTGCCCACCTTTGCCCATCTTTGCCCATGTCTCTTGGAGTACCGACTGGGCAAGGTGTTCGGTAAAGGAGCATCTCATGACATCGGCTCAGCCGAAAGAATGGACCTTTCTTTCCTGTCGCTCTGCAACAGGCCTTGGAAAAGGGCCTGATCAAAAATAGTGATAGGTGTTGATCTCGAACCCGCTCACCCAAATCGACACCTTAACGACCAGCCCGAACGAACTTCAAGATCGGGTAAGTGAGTGGTAGTATTGCAAGACCAAAGATTGCAAGGTCGTCGTCGTAAACAGGACGCACAGATACTGGGTAATGAAGACTCGCATTCCTCTGTAATGGCGCGCAAGCAGTGTAGCCTCGAATCATTGATGGTGTGCGCCATTGTCTCGAACGCAGCCCAGGAGACTGACTGTCTGCCGCAATAGCAGTTGCCGTCGGCGCGTATAGAACCCCTTGGAATATCCACGACCGACCCCACCAAAGCTTGATCAGTATCCCAGGAGACACTGTCAACTACAAGTCGTCCTTGGATGCCGTATCGAAGATCCATTGTACAACTTTCTTACCATCATTACTCTCGGCGACTCAGTGGTGAAAATCTTGCACAAACTTGAGCCCTCCATATGCCGGACGACTGTTTTTTGCGGCTTCTGGGGAGGTAAATTATGTGCTCCCAGGAAACATCTCGGCTAGGTTGAGATTTGCGCTAAGCAGTTCGCATTTGATAGACAAGTTGCTTCGGAGGGCTGGTAGAAGAGAGAGAGGTCGAATCTGTCAGGCTGAGGTGTCCGACCTGGAGTAGGTTGACCAAGGGAGAGAGGGGCGCCATTCCAGGACATGAAGCTATTGTTAAGTAGGCACTGCCTCCCCCTTAACCCGAATCCTATATCCACTACTGATATATTTTACTTTTGAATTCCCTAAGACCTTGTGCCGGCAACTTGCTCACCTTGAGGGAGCAGACAGAAGTTAGATTAGAATTCCCTAACAAGTGATGGCTCCTTCCAATCGCGGATTGCTTTAGCTCGCTCGCCAGACGAACTCGATAGGCTCTGGGTGGGCACCCGGGCAACTACGCATTCCGTCCGACCGCCACCTCCAAAAACCCGTCTGGATACGCCTACAATTAAGTTAATCCCCATCTTTTTATTGAAGAATATGTTGAAGACTTCGAAGAAACTGCATTGTGCATATCGCCGTCCAAAGAAGTATCAAGATGATAATTAACGATCGATTCCCTCAAAAATGAAACCGGAATTCTGAGAATAGAATATATCTTCTATTCAAAAACTGTGAGACTACTAGCTAATGAAATGTCTACTCTATATGTCAGGATATAATACATAGTCTCATGGTGTTAAATTGAGTGACTCGGTGTGATTCTGGATCATGCGGTGGTGAGCCGGTGGGAACGAACTTTGCCTAGTAGCCGATGCGTGGTGGATGTGACAGGATGCAGGCCATGCAGTAACATCCTTACTTGCTTTTAACACCAGCAACATCCTTCCTTAGGCGATAGGCAGCCTCGCTCTGGGTGCGCAGTGACATCCAAGGCAAAGAGGGCCATATTCTGTGCGTTCGTGATCTTTTTCTTTTCGTCAAGTTTCTTGCATCTATACAGTGCCTTGGTTAGAGCCTATGCATTCAACATGTCGGAAAGGAGCTTACTCTTCGGCATCATATTTGTGATCAACACAAAGTCTTCCCTTGCCAGTGGTCATAAAGACATGCTGCATTTCATGAACAATAGTCAAGGCAGCTGTCACGACCAGAGTTGTATCCTTCCTGTCAAACTTTCTAATGACTTCCTTGAGATCGGGAAGTTCGAAGAAGCGCGGACACAGGCCGATAAGCGTCCCTTTGAAATTCTGCTCCAAGCCTTTGTGGATGCCAGGGTTTATGGTGACGGCGAGAAATCCCACAAGACAATGTTCGTCTCTCTTAGGCCAGCAAGTGGAAGTCAACGCATCTGGGTCCAATGTGCTGGGCGTAAGCAATTGTGTGGTGGTTTCGAGGTGCAGACCAAGATCGTGGTGAGGTGCTTCGAAGTTATGCTTCTTGATTGAGTTTCGGGTTGAACTGGAGGCTGGAATATGGGGTATTAGCACCTAAAGCTGAACATCAAGACCTGAGAAGCTCCTTACGTATTCCAAGCGGACCCTTGTGAGGCTTGACGTTCCAGCAGAACTGAGGTGTTGCCAGCATCGAGGCTATAGGGTACTACATGACCCAGGGCTAGGCTCGCGAGGAACAAGCCGAAGATTTCGTGCATTCTCATAGTTGTTAGAAGTGCTAATCGGGGCAAGAGTGGTAATGGGTGCAAAAGGTTGAAGAATTTGTTTGATGAAAGATGATGTTGATGAGCGATGAGACCGAATAAGGTGACTGAGAGCTGATATATGTAGACAATTCGAGGGAGAGAAGATTTTTGTTTTTATCTTTCTAGTAAAGTACAGGTTTTCAAATACGATAGCTTTTCTAGTTTGTCACTCTACCCGGCCGAAAAGGATTGGAGAAGTTTTCGTCCACTTCTAAAATTACTTTGCTTATTGTGTGTGATATACCCAAATGATGAGGCTTAAAATTCATGCATTGCATAGCCTAAGAAATAACCGTAAACTCAATATTTTTAAGCTGTACCGGTCCGACGTAATTAATTTACAGGGGCCCGAGCTGAGAATAGGTCGGTGATCACCGAGCCCAAAGCTACAATACGGAATAGACTTTCACGTGGACCCTGCACTCTTGGCACATAAGTGAGTCCTAGCTAGAGGGGGGATTTCGCAGGTGAGTGATTAAGTCGATTGATTACTCGTTGTTAGTAATGAGATATGGGACTATACTGAAACTGTAGGGACTAAGGTTATGAGCTTGAATGGAAAGACCAGTAAAAGAATAATTTGGAAGCTATGAGAATGGTCACGAATGAGTAAAGGAGAGAGGCAGTGACAGCAATAATCAGAGCATGTATTACTGGTGCAATATGGCAATCATGAGATAGAAGTTATATGTCTCGCTACTTACAACTACCTAACCCGCACCTCCCGATGGAAATTGCTTTAGATCTTTGTTATACCGAGTGTTAGTGTTTATTGTTACACAACAAATTGGCTATTCCACGTCCATCAGACCCTTTATCGTCATTGTAAGAAGAAGCCCTTCCCCGAGAAGAATAAATGATGACTTACTCCGCTGGCAATCCAAGAGTCTGTTGACAGTTTCCCGAGTAATGATTTGGTCTCTTACCACTAATAAGCCCCGCAAAACTTGGGAGCCGTCTTTCCTGGTTACTTGGCGGCTCGTTTCTAATCGGGGGAAACCCAAGACGCTCCGCTTCGCTGAGGGTGGCACTCAGACGGCGTTCTGTTTTGTGCCGTAAGTCTCGAAAAAAGAGGTTCCGACGACGTGCGAGGACTTCGCCGCGCAGAACACCACGGCCAGTTTTGGTGTAATAACCCGGAATCCCACACCAGCTTCCAGGGATTCTTTTATAGGGCCGCTCTCCGTGCTTGTACTGCATGTCGCTCATCGGGCTTGGCAGCAACAGCAACTTCGCAGTCTGTATCAAACTGCTGTTCATTTGGCATTTACGCGTTGCAGAGGCATCCTTCAAGACGGATGTAACGATCCAGTTGTTACGTCGAACCGTTTCCGCCTCGAAGTGACCCTCGAAGTGACCCTCGAAGTGACCCTCGGACTGTTTTGTAACTGCTCGTGGCCTCGATGTTGCACTGAGTTTCGCGGTGGGGATCGTGATTGCTTGGGTAGTGTTCCCATTGTATATAGGGTGCTGGCATGTACATTAGTTACGAGTTCAGGGTGAAATGCAGTCGGCGGAGGTGTATCTAACCTTGGGACCTGAACGAGCATTTCCCGTCGGCTCGTGGCGTATGCAGTGCTTTTCTGGTCGGGGTTGAACAATAATTTTGTAGTTGGCGATTTTGAAAGTCGGTCCTTCGCGTTTCTTACGCTCCTGCTCTTTTCTGGGCCGTCCCCAAGGCTGCATAGTCGTGACACGCAGCGTTCGCATCCGAGTGTGCATCTGAGTGCGCATCTGAGTGTCCATGCTGCGTCTTGTATCGTCTCGAGGATGGGGTAAGCGAAGGTTGAGATAGCGCTATTTGTTTCGGAAAACGCGGTTGCAGATATTCTAAATAATTCCCTCCTCTTTTTGGAGAAGAGTCAGTAGAATGAAGTAAAACTAATCCTAGTCAGAGGCAAGAGAGAAGAATTGCCTTCTTGGGAAACTAGATATATGTAGTCACTGGTCAGATAGCCCGCCTTTCTACTAACACGGGACAGAAGACATCGAAGGGGCAGGGGTGTCATTGCCCCATTTGTGCTGTCAATGGGACGGGTAGACTGGGAGACATTAGCCAATGTCACCTTCCCTAGAATTACGGTGACTCTTTGTGTCAAGTCTCCCTCCCTTGTGAGAAATGTGGCTTCGTACTGTGCCCCGGCTAGTCTATGAGCCGGCGTGAGCTACAATCATGCCCTGTTTCAGATTATTATTCTTGCCGCACTCTTCGCCCGACAACTGAGAGGCTTTTATTGATTACCACCTCGCATGCAGAGTGTGGTCGCAATGGATTCGATAGATCATATGGTACCTACCAGGGCCAAGGATATTTCTGGACATGCTCTTGCATGTAACTCTTTCTTTAAATTCTATGGGTGACACATCAATATACTTGAAACTCTACTGTACATAGGGCATCCACTCATCCCTTTTAGTAGCCAATGGGATTGAGGATCAGCTGCCTTTATTCCATGGTTTCTGCATTGACTCTTGGATGATTTTGACACACTATGTCGGGCCGATAGTCACTGCATCCTTCTGATAGGTTATCCTCAGGTAAACCTTGCTTATACGCTTGGATTTCGCCAAATAAACTTGAAACACAGACTGGGGTACCCGCACATGCAAAATCCTTGAGTGGGCCGGGGTAATACTTACGTTGTATTTTTTGTCGGACCGATAACTTTCGAACAAATATTAGCGTCAGTATACATGCAAACGTCGGCTTGGCCGAAAGGCTCTTTCTCGTAAAGATGGACCTTTGAAAGGATTTGACACAGCAAAGAGAGCGCGATTCCACTTGCACTACAGAGTACGGGCCAGTTACGCTATTAAAAACAGTATATTTTTAGAACTCTCACGAACCAACAGGTTATTTAAAATTGTAATTTTGTCAGATGGAAATTATCCAGGTCGATAAGATACGAGTTGGAGCTTTAGGTTCAGCTGAATTATTCCATTAAGATATATCTTTCATAAATTAAGAAACTTTAAAATAGGTTATTCTGCTGGCGTAGAGTTCCTGTTCCTGTTATAAATATTGAAAAGTCGGCAGAAATAAATTATTATCACGACAACATTCTTACCTTTATCAGAGTCGCTCCTTCTAGCCTACTCTTGAGAGATACTTATTTCATTACAAATTCCTGCAATTCTTCTTCACATTTGACTACTGATTTTCGAACAAAATGCAACTCAACATTCTGTGGCTTGTTGTGCCTCTTCTAGGCATCAACACACTTGCCTTCCCATATCAAGATGGCGGAGTACGTTACGGAGGTGTGGTTGAAAAAGGACAGCAAAGGTCAAGTTCGATTCCGGATACCATCGCCACCGCTACTTCGTCATATGCAGCACCACCAACTCCATACATTATCATGGTGTCACAAAACGCCACGGGGGAACAGATTCGGGACATTCGCACAATTCTTCTTAAGTTTGCAAACGCCGACTCCGTGTCAGAGAACATCAGCGGACGAACGGGTCTCGTGGCATTTTGGACAGCAGAAATAACTCTGGCCGAAGTCGAAACTCTCCGAGCAACTCCAGGTGTAAGTCCAAAGTACATTTTCTCAATGCCAAAGCTAACAAAGCATAGGTATCTAGCGTAAGCGAAGATGAGATCATAGACAGCTTTCCACCTATGGGCACTTCGAATGAGCGCAGAATAACGGCTCGTAAGCCAAAAAGTGCTCGATTGCAAGGTGATGCCGTCGACGAACTCAAGATGGTTTCACAACCCCGTGGAGAAAAATTGAGTAACCTAGCGGGATACGGATATGCTAGTGAGGGCGGAAAAGGCATTACTATTTACATCATTGACACTGGAGCCAACGCCCAGCATTCGGTAAGATGCCTTGCTTGAACAGGATACGAAGATTTATTAACAATGAAACTAGGAATGGCTGGGTATGTCGGGAAACAAACGGTTCATGTTCCCTATCACTGCGCCTGTGCACTCAGACCCCAAAGACCACGGTTCCTGTATTGCATCCAAGGCAGCGGGACCAAAGTATGGTGCAGCTAAGAATGCTAATGTTGTCATGATACCGCTCTCCGAGAATCGCAAGGTTACCGACATGGTTCCGGCTTTGATCAAAGCCTTGACGGCAGTAGAAGAGGATGTGATCAAGAAGGGACTGAAAGGAAAGGCCGTGGTAAACATGTCCTTTGAGATGAGCAAGTGGATTTATCGTTCTGTTTATCCCTCTTTGGTCTCCTGTTTCTAATGTTAGTTGGGCAGAAATGAATGCAGAGATGCAAATCGTTCAGGATTATAAAAAGAAAGTCGCCTCATTACTCAAGAACGACATCGTACTGGTAGCATGCTCGGGCAATTTTGTACGGGCTGGCTCTTATCATCTCTTAATTTGTTACCACTGCTGATTATTTCTTAGCGAGTACTCGATGAGCAGATTGATAGGTACCCAGCACTCTTCGGTAAAGACCTAGACCTTGTCGTTGTAGGCGCTGTCGATAAGGACGGTAAACGGACGCAATATTCTCAGGGCTCAGAGGACCAATTGACTGTTTCCGCTCCTGGAGACGTTCTCTGCGCCTCGGGTAAGGATAATACTGTGGCACAAAAATCAGGAACATCATTTGGTATGTTTCCATATTCTTCTACAGCATGCTGTCTATACACTAGAGTGGTTCGCTTACACTACCACATCAGCAACGGCGACTATCTCGGGTGTTATTGCCGTTTTTCTCTCGCAGCCAGAGTACAAGGCCAAGCTGCAGAAACGAGGAAAGGTTGCCGCTAATGTCAAGTCGTTGCTGAAGGCCATGGCATACCCGCGCGTGAAAGATGAGCCAGCGGTAGTCTGGAATGGCGTCGACCCGCGTAGCTTAGCTTCTGTATGGCCAACAGCTGCAATTGGCAAGCTTTAACAATCCACATACACACCACTTCGCCGGAATCTAACTGTACAGGGACATCTTGCAGTATCCTGGTGGGCTTCGGGGGCAATACAAAGTTGGATAAGGTCTACAGCCGTTTTGGTGCTGGTATTATTGTCTATGGGATGGGTTAGAAGACTCTAAGATGTGACTTGAGCTTGTTTAAAATATCTTTTATTTGTTTTTGGTTCTCACGGACTGTCGGTACTTTTCTATTTGCGCCGATCCTAAGGCATTTCATTTGAAAAGGATTACGACCACATGTTCTATCAAGCGGTCGAGACTTGATTACATATATCACTGGTCTTGCCTATATACGTCACTCCTCTTGAGCTCCGTCGTCTCAGCATTGCCGCCTTGTTCTTGACATGTCCCGTGTCTAGGCTATTCTTAGTAACTTCGGACTGCTTCGGCCGGAGCATTGGTCACAAGCCAATCAAGTCGGAAACATCAAGGCAATTCCCAAGATGATGGCGACCAGACTCGTCAGGAACGACATGGGCACGAACGCATTCTGCAGATCAACAGCGCTGATCAACGAAAGCCAGACTAGAACGAAGGCGACCCCGGGAGATAATATCGCGCCAACCCAGCGCAGAATCTTCACCAGGCAAAAGCCCTGGGTGGTGTAGAAGCCCCATCCGGAATTGTACTGTCTCTTATGGAGCCCCGGGGGGGCTCGCAGTTTTGGGATACCGTCGAGCACCGCGCGCCCGTGTCGGCCGAGCTCAGGCTTTTGCAGTCCCTGGAGTATGGTCTCGGCCATGAGCTGCATGTGCTCGTCGAACTCGAGGTCCGGCAGGGGGAAATATTCGTATCCTTTGCACAATTCCCGAGTCTTTCCGTCTGCTTTCTGCTCGAAAGCCTTGACTAGATCGCTGTTGTCGAAGAGAAAGGTAAACTGAAAGGTGTGTCAGCACGAGTTCGTGGCTGCATCGGGCCAAGTGGCCAGATCCCATTTACCTTAGATAGCTGCACCCCTGTGCACGTTCTCCAGGAGCTCAAGCGATGCAGCCAAGATCCTTGTGCGGTCGTGAGACTCTCTCGAAGACGAAGAAAAAGCTGATGGTCGTCTTTCATCAGATCGACTGATGGGACGGTATACATGTTGGTCTGCTTAACACTTGTCCAGTACTTGTCGATGCAGAAATACGATTCTTTTCGGGCGTTGCTCGTCGGGCTGGATGCAGGGTTTGTTGCTGCAGTATGGCACTTGACCCCACGGTTTCTCCGCCAACACTGAAGTACCTTCATGGTGCTATTGCAGAAGGACTGCCAGCGAGTTGTCCGGCTGGGTGATGCGGTCGATGGGGAAGAACTTTGAGGAGCATTCGCTATTGGTAGAATCTCCGCGTTACACACATGTACGCGGTTTCTACAACTCTCGTACTGATGGCGATTTAAAAATATCGACATCTCCTGGCCACCATACTGCAAATTGTCAACAGATTTCTCCTGAGTATTAGTGGGCAGGTTAAAGTCACCTCCCATATGAGACGTGCTTCACTCTTAGCTTGACGCCGGTTCACCGGGGGTAGTGGGGACCAGTCAAACTGATGGCCGAAATGTCGCTCGATCCGCAACCTCAGCTTATCAAAGGTAGTTATTTTGTGAGATGTCGTATCGAGTCTCTCCAACCTTAGGTTCCTGACGCCATTTCTCAGGGGAAGTCCATTCGACGGCCGAGAATCAACCTGTTACAATTAGTACCCATGTCCACAGAGCCTTCAACATGGCTTGAACGAACGCTTGTAACTTCTTCTTGGCTTTCATCTCCCAATATTCCCGGCAGTGGGCGTTGTGCCATGCGTTGTGCCACGCGCGGAATCTGATCCGAGATGTCGGTACCAATTTGGGATGTTGCTTCTTTAAGAACAGAAACGAACTGTGCGGCGTCAATGCGTTCTCCAACGTCGACTACCAACATTCTGGTTTCTATTATATCTAGCATTCTACGCACAAAGGCTGTGCAGTTCGGTTGTTGGCGCAACTTGCCTATCCACTACAACGAGGGCTGTCAGCACAGAGGAAAGTGAGAAATGCCGTGAATAAAACTGACCTCAGTTACAGAAGGCTTGACTTCCGCGCGCAGAACACCAGCTACTTCATCTCGCTTGACAATAAAGTAGCTGTCATCAGCCGCTTTTTGGGGCCCGTCCATTGTCCGAGCTACGGTGAACTTGTCGTCAACGCCGTGAGACCCAGTCAGAACCCACGTTATGAGTTCAAGAAACAAACACCCAAGAGACCAGATATCATATGCCTGAGTGGTGGTTCCTCTGTCAAGATCGTATTCAGGGGCTCGGTACGTCGGTGTGTGCCGCTGCTCCTTCTGTCGGCTCCCTGCGGATGCATGGAAACTCGTTAGACCGAAATCAGCTATTTTCAGAATTCCGCGGGGATTAGACGAATCGTTGTCCTTGAACCAGAGGATGTTTTCAGGCTTGAGATCTCCATGCCGTCCGTATTCGATTTCGGGCCCCGAGAGTCCCTTTCTTTCGGATTTCCCTCGGCCAAACTTGTGTATCGCGCTTAAAGCTCGGGCTATGCCCACGCACTGCTCTGCTATCCAACGGATGCCCTCTGAATCAACTTGGCGAGGGGGATGGTTCGCTTTCCAGAACTGACGAAGATCGCGTCCCTCTGCCCACGGGAAAATGAGGTAATATTTTTCGCCGCGTTGATAGGTCGCCAGAAGGGAAACGAGATGAGGTTGACTTCCGGTGGGCCATTTTTGAAGGGCATTCACTTCTTGAGCCCAGTCATTCTGATTAGGACTTTGAAGTGTCTTTAGAGCAAAGATGCCGTTTGGTGCCTGTAGCGGATCAGCCTTGGTTCTATAGGCAGGAGAGGCGAGATCGTACAAGTTCATTGGTCAAGTTATGATGATCGGGATGGATTGTTATCTTCGTCACCTTACCAAACCCCCCAGTTGACTCATTGGTATAATCATGGGACTCGTCAGTGGTGAATGGAAGTATGGCTTTCGAATCGAGCTGATAATAGTGGACTTTGGACGCGGTGTTCGACTTCGAGAAAAATGGCGCAAGGAGTTCCCACTGTTGTGCCTCAAACTTCTCTTTGAATTCTGGAGTCCAATCACTGAGAATAAATGGCCTCTTCTCCCCAAGGGTTGCACCATCGTGGGTTTGCTGAAGCTGCCTTTTGGAGAGGGGAAGATCCTTGTCTGAGACGCCGGATCGAACGAACTTGTGGATATCAGCCGAGTGGCCTATCAAGACTAGCGTAGCGAACACTCGGAGGAAGGTTTGTGAACGCGATGCGCCGCTATTATTCTCGACGTTGGCGCCATCTGAGCCTGGCCGGCAGCATATTTTCTGCACAAGTTCATCCAGCTCCTGACTGGTAATTTCTGGCAGACTCTGGCCGAGTTCGTTCCTCACGCTTTCTTCGGTGAATAGCCTTTCCAGGACAGACCTTGGTATGAAGTGTCCCTCGGTCGCCTTGACACGAGCATTAGATAGGCGTGTCCTCAAGTCTTCGTGCTTGTTGTTGTTGGCCCCAGGTATATTGCTTTCCCATTGCGGATGAACGGCTCTCAAGCTGTCGCCCCTATCATTAACGATATCGATGTCTTCCTTGAGATCGTACATCAGCACATTCTGGGGCCCATCTCCTTGCTCATCGCCCGCGTCATTGATACGTTGTCCCTCCGTTCGAGGCTTTCTGTGGTGACCTGTTGACGTTCGAGGGCTGTTCCCGTTGGAAGAAGCCAAACCAGCACTTCTACTTGAGGTCCGCCTTACAGAGAGCTTCCATGGGATTAATGCAGTGACTTATATGTCGGGATGGAGCATACCTACATAGGAGCCCGTAGTGCGAACCAGCTCTGCAGTCCCCTACCAGTTCAATCTCGTCAGTAACAATATCACAATCAAAACTACTAGTACGTATTCCAAACGGCTAGTCAACCGGCATGAAGGCGACTCACCCGCCTAATGTCTGCTCCTGGGCTAGAGATAGTCGCCGTCGGGCTTGTAGGATTGCAGGACCATGTTTTGCGATTGGATCCGCCTGATGCCATACTTTATGGATTGAAAAGAGGGTAGAGGCTAGATGAAGATTTCTAGGTGCACAACAAGGACGGCAAGCTTGGGCGGTTGTGACTATATGACCACCCGAACCTTGATATAGCAGCAGCTCACATGTCTTCTCGTCCTATTATATTGGTCAGCGATTCTGCCTACGAGGCACTCGGCGAAGCTCTCACAGCCCCCACACAGCCCGGAGGGGAGCTTATCAGTTTTATCACGGCATGCAACATTGGCCAATTATCTCTCGCGACCACATCAGCTTGCTCTTGGCTGCAGACACAGCCACGAGGCGACATTTAACCTGAAAAGAGGCGTAGCAAGCCCATCTCTCCAGCCGGCAGCTTGGCTGCCTCCTTATTTGCTGCAGGTATTTATTGCCAAGTCGAGACCTGCATTCGGTTCAGGCGAATTTGGGTCAAGAACGCCCGCTGGTGAGCCTCTCCGTCACAGGATACTACAGGACTAGCTCGTATTTCCGATGAAGAATTCTGGCTGTGTAACACTATTCGCCGAGGTGTGGGATTTGTATTTGGCATAAACAGAGGCTTCTGTGTGGCTGGGTCAACTTATTTTTTAACAGCAGATATCGCGGGCTTGGAGTCATCCAAGTTTCGTAAATTATACAACGCACTCATGTTTCTTCCATCAGGATTTGCACAACAGTCATCATTCTGTCAGGCTCAGTCGCTGTCACGTCACAGTCACATGCTCGCTTGCATACCCCGCACGCTGGCATCGACATGTCTCAAGTCCTGCGTCGCCGCGACGAGTCTTTTCATCCAGAAATTTATCGCAATTAATTCCAGGGCGCGACCCACCGCTGCCATCATAGAATATGGCACCCGAAACAACAGATTCGTATATTATTGTCGGAGCCGGCGTCTTTGGCACGTCAACAGCTCTGCATTTGATCCGAAAACACCCCAGCGCCAGTATCACCCTCGTCGATCGGAATGCCTTCGACGCCGCAACCAAAGTGGCAGCCTCATGGGACTGGAACAAGGTTGTTCGCTCGGACTACAAGGACATCGTGTATACATCCATGGGCTTGGAAGCTCGCGAAGTTTGGTCGAACGACCCGCTCTGGAGCCCGTTCTATCACGAGAGCGGCATCTATTGGATCTCGCCCACCGGATTTGCTCAGCAGGTCCTGGACAATTTCGACAAGTTGGGTGCAAAAGCAGAGCTGTACTCACTCGGCGTCGATGAAGCGCGGATGGAGTATGGTGGGCTATTTGATGGCGCCGACTACACTGGTATCAAAGAAGTTCTGATCAACAAATCGAGCGGCTGGGCTGCGGCAAAGGATGCGCTGCAAAAGGTGCTTCAGACAACCATTGAATTAGGCGTTAAGTACATTGAGGCTCAGGTGCAGAGCCTTGAATTTGATGCCGACGGAGGTTGTATCGGGGTCAAGACCAGCTCTGGGCAGAACCTCGCGGCCTCGCGGATCATCCTCTCTACTGGAGCATTCACTCCAAAGCTCTTGGTGGACAGCGCACCAGAACGAACTGAACTTCACGCCGGAGGACGGATAATCGCTGCAGCTGTTACCGAAGCTACTTCTCGCTTGGGTTCCGACACTTCATCCAAGTTCTACAACGGGCCGGTCTGCATTCAAGAGGTTCCTAAACAACGAGGTCAGTCCGACTCTCCCAACCAACCCATCCATGTGAGACTAACAGGAAATAGGCGCAAGCAATGGGGTTGTACCACATGCACCGGACAAAATGGTCAAGTTTTGGGGCCAGTCCATTTTCAGAAACACTCAGACACACCGGTCAGGCCTTGAATTATCCATGCCTCCCGACAAAGCAGACTATGCACAATGGGATGTGCCTCAGTTGCTCAAAGATGACGTCGGATTTGCAAACCACTGTATATTTGGTGGACAAGGGAAAGACTTTCCGATGGATCAATTCCGGATATGCTGGTAAGTGCAGTGGTCGCTATAGTTGTTCACGGCTCTAATCACCATTGATCTCTAGGGAGGCTCTCACACCAAGTGAGGACTTCATCATCTCACCACATCCAGCTAGTAAGAATCTGTATATCGCAACATGTGGATCTTTTCACGGCTTCAAGTTCTTCCCCATCCTCGGAAAATATGTGACCCAAATGTTGGAGCAGACGCTGGACAAGTCACTGCGGGCTAAGTGGGCATGGGATCGCGAGCTGCCTTCCACTGATGATAACGTCATGTGGCCGAGAAAGGAGCTTGGGGATGTTGTAAGTCCAAGGTAGATTGAAACATGAGGGTATTCACAGCATCTCTCTTTTTTATTATCTTCATTAGGTACCTAGCTTCCTTCTTATCATGAACTCATCAAATGTCCTATCAAAACGCAATTTGATATTTAATTTCTCAGAGCTTGATATTGGGTTGTGATTATTATTAAGCAACATGATTGAACTTAAACATAATTTAATTATTATTAAATTAAATCAAAATTAAATCCCAACACACGCACTCAAGACATCTCCTGTCTAGTATAGCCAGGCTGGGGCGAAGACCCATACATTTCCACAACTGGCCTCTCTTGCACGCCAAGTTCATGCCTGACTCCCATGCCGTGAGAAGCATGGCCTCCATGCTCCGCTATCCGACCATCGTGGGGCAGCTCCGGTGGCATTCCGCCACCATGAGCATGTGTTGGGATATAAGGGACCCCGCCGGAGGTATAACCGGCTTGAGGCATATATTTTCCATTATGTCCCAACTCCGCGACTGTGCTTGCACCATGTGGTGGCTTTGGTACATCTGCGGTACTGACGTGTTGTGCTGGCGTTTCTAGCTCTGCCATCCCACTATGAGGCTGATCCTGCCAAGATGGACCCGGACCCTTCTGGGAGACCGTAACTCGCCTTCGACACATGAAAAACAAAGCAGCCGCGATGATGGCGACAACGGCCGCAGACCCTATAGCTATGCCCACTACTGCACCTGTCGAGAGACTCGAGTTGGACGAGGATCCACTCCCTACCGAAGTTGTAGACGAGGATTGACTCGCAGTCGAAGTTGTAGACGAGGATTGACTTGCAGTTGAAGTTTCGCTGATGACAGTGACAGTGGACCGTGACGTTGATGATTCATCAGTATTTTCCACAGGTGGTGTTTCGAGTGCGGACAGGTCGGATTCAGCCCATCGTATCTGGAATGCGGGAACGGAGACTGTATTGTCCCCAGAAGTGGAGATGGCATGGAGGAGGAAGTCGGAGCAAGAGTACGAACCAACATAATAACTCTTATAAGAATTTGATCCGACATGAAGTGTCTAGAAGGAGGCTGCCTACCTTGGAACACATATCGCTGCTGTCTCCGTTTGTCGAATAGGACCACCGTAGTCTGTGTCTGTTGGTGTGCATCCCGACGTGTATCCGGATGGGCAGATTCCAGGAGAGTAGAAACCGTAGTTGTACCAGACAGACTCGTAGTCGGGCGGATAGCAGGAGAGCGTGATGGTGGCGAAACCACCGAATGTCACGATGGAGGGACAGCCATCTGGAGGGGACCAGACTGTTGTAAGCGGTACGATGTCGAATTCGCCGAAGGGGCCACCGGATGTGTGGATAGTGCTGTAGGTATTATCGGACATCTTCCCTTCTAGATTAAAGGCAACTTAAGAGTGAAGGAGGTCTTCGTAAGGGACTTTGGTGTCTGATAAAGGCCAAATACATTTGAGACAATTAAAGTTTGGCTCAAATCTAGACCAGTCTAGCACTCAGATGATCCAAGAGCTGAAACCTCGTGAAATGTGTGATAGGTTAGCCAAGAGATTAAAAGCGCCACCCGACTGTTGGGTGTCAATAGTAGGTTAGTGGCGGCAGGCAGGTTCAGCTATTGGCAAGTGGCAGATATCAATTGGCTACTGGTTGACGATCACTGCCTGTAAGGGCGCTGGGCAGCTCCACAGGGCAAGGAAGAAGATCAGGCCATTCGGTCAAGGGATGTACGGAGTCTGGATAAGCTATTCTTTTTGGTTATCTAATCTGGTGAAATCAGGATACTTCAACAATCGGAAACAGTACTGGATGGTAGGCACGGCTTGTGATCTGACAATCGACTTGCCCATTAACAAATTGCACCATTGTATTCATTTACAATTTTCAGTCAGGCGAATCGGTGCTAAATATGTCCTGCCCGCAGGTCGCCTTCAATACCTCTTCTCAGACAACGAGCATACTCTCCACCCTCCTTCCGACTGTCATGCTCCAGACGTCGATTTTTCTGTACCACCAGTCCGCGAGATATAACGTTATACTCAACAGGACGACATAGCCAATGACAAACCCCCCAGCCTGGCCGACACGTTCGAAAAGCCTCGGCATGATCCAAAATCCAAGGCTGTGCAGGATTGGCCCGTGGACAAGATACAGCGAGAAGCTGATCTTGCCCAGGTACTGCGCCACCGGTCCCTCCAGAATGCCACGAAGAAAAGGACTTCGTAGAACGCAAGGGAGTAGCAGAAGCGCACCGATGGCTTGGTAAAACATCCAGCCCGACAGGGGAATGTAATACTTGGGGACGAAGTAAGAAAGAACTACGAACCCGGGTGTGTACTCGGCGCCGGCGTCAGGATACGAGAGAAAGTAGAGGGCCAAGATGATGACGCCCCAGCGCTTTGCCCTTGCTCCAAACGCCGGTTTTTTGAAGAGGGCCTGGCGACCCTTTGTGGCACCCGCAACAGGGGGCAAGCCTTGGACAGGATCGGACAGAATGTCAATCTCTGAAAGCATGGTGCCTCCCAGGAATGTGGCCATATCCCAACGTCCTAGGGTCAGGCTGTAGGCGGAGAATAGGGCCACAAAGCGTAGCCGCCACTTTACTTTCAGGGCTGCGGTTCCGAGCAGGAAAAGGTAGATAACCATGGATCCGCGGAGCTCCATGGGGATTGTGAATGTATGCGGATCGTATCGTGGATGGTAATGGCCGAAGTTGAAGGGGTTGGCCCATTCTGCATAGGCTCTCGTGAAGTTTTGGAGAGCATAGGTAATGTTGTCGTGGATAAATGGATGCTCTTCCCACGATCCGCCAAACTGAACCCACACAGGGTCAGTGGTGTTTGTGATGTTGGAGTGGTTACCAGCGCCGACTGCAAGGAACTCGTATGGCAGTTCATGCGCGTTCCTTTCCCTGTTGTCCTTCAGGTAGGCATGCGGAGTAACCTTTTTCTTCTTTCGCGTTTTCGTGCTGTTTGATGCTGCCGTATCATTTGCGAACAGGGCCTCGTATTCATCCTCCACCTGGTAAAGGGCCGAGGGGCCAAGCAGCTCAGATGAACTATTTAGACAGAGGATGTCGGTCCAGCCAGTGGTGTTCAAGTAGGCCGAGCTCCGCAAGCCCAAGGAATCGGCGACGGCTGCAGCGCTGTTGACTGGAAAGCTGCCGTTGTAACAGGGGCCACCCAATTGGGCGATTGTCACGGTGCCATTGATGTAAATCGAGTCAGGGCCCTTGTAGATGGCCATTTCGGAGCGGAAGACGCCCAACTGGGCTAGCATCGCCACCAGGAACATGCTGATGGTGGGGGGAATATAGAGACGAAACACTCGTCTGAAGACGGACGACGCCAACTTCTGGTAGGCCGTGTCCAGGCGTCGCTCGTGGATCGCCCTGAGGATATGGCGACAGAGCACGTAGCCCGAGATGGCAAAGAAGATGGCCACCATGGGACGGCCGCGGTTCAAAAGACATATGATGGGGAGGGAGGACCAGGCCTCGTAGGGCTCAGGGGCTCGCGGTGGCAATGCGCCATAGCCCAGCATAATGGAAGGCGTCCAGGGCCAGAGGAAGTGGTAATTGAAGACGATGAGACAGGCGATTCCACGAAGTCCGTCGAGGCATCTGACCTTGTCTCGGCTGCGCGAGGCTGAAGCTGAAGCCGAAGCCGAAGCTGAGCCCTTGTCATCGACGCCGCCACGGTCGCCGCGGTCGCCATGGCGGAGCTGCTCTTCGTCCGACTGGCGGCCGTGCGCCAGCGCAGAATCGGCCCAGAAGCTGGAGAGCATGCTGCCTTCTCGATTGCGAGCGCGCATGCAGAAATGCAGGAGGTGGCGAATCCAGATGAGACGATGGTGATGTTACTGTATCGTAGCTCCGGCGCATCCTCCGGAAAGGACATTCAGCCTTTTGGAGTCCCCGCCGGCTTACCTAATGCGGGATCGGCTTTGCGCCTCAGGCATCGAGGCTGTCCTGTTTCCCTAAATAATCGGCGCTGCTAATTATAGGTAGGTAACGATTTCGGAATAGAAGAGTAAAGGCGAGATATATTACAATACTATTTCTTTTAATACTAAGTATAGTATTTATTATTTATTTTTACTATTTAAAATTACTATATAACTTGTCACGGCCCAGGTTGGGACCAGGCGGTCACAACCGGCAGAACCATGACGTACCCACTTTTTCACCTGACACAGATCCCGAACTCACCCTGTATAAGTGAGCCCGGACGCTCGACTCACTTCCCCAGGATGAGCTACAAGATCGGACTCACTCTCACTTAGTGAGCCCGTATAAATATTACTAGTATATAGATACTCATTTAGCACTTTTATAGATAGATAGCCTTACTAGCTATTAATATACTTAGTTATATTGAATCTACTATTTTACTATTACCAGACTGTAATTTATATTGCTTATTATAACGTCCTAATCTACTTGATTATATACTATACGCCTCAGACTTATTCTATACTCTTAAGTTAGACCTGACTATTATATAACTTTAATTTATTTAATAATATTAAGTAAAATTTAAAAAAAATTAAATAATAAATTTTATTATTAATTTAATAAATATTATAAATTTAATATTAATTTTTATATTTATAAATATCTAATTTTAATTATATTAAGTAACTTTTTTAAATTAATTAAATTTATTTTTTAATTTAAAAATTTATTTATTAGCTAATATACTTAAAATTAATAACTTAAAATAATAAACTATATATTTTTTAATTTACTATAAGTTATATATATTATTCTCTTATTAAATTCAGTTTCTTATTACTAATAAGTATTTATTACTTTAATTTCTAATAATATCTTTTTATTAAATAATTTTATTTATTTTAGTTTTTTATTCTTTTTTTTATTAGCTTATCTTACTTAATTTTCATTATTTATTAATACTATTAAGATATCCTACTATAATATTAAAAAAATATAGTTTTTATATATAATTTAAGTATTATATAACTTAATATTATAGCTTATCTTATTAAAATAGCTTTAGCTATATAGCTAAAACTCTTAAAAATAGATAATAAAAATATAAAGAAATTATACCGGAATTCTTAACCTTACTTAGATAATAGAGCTATATTAATAGAAGAAAGAAGGATTAGAGTTAAGTATAAGGCTACTTTTATATTCTGTATCTCACTTCTCTTTATCTTCTTGCCCCCTTTCCTCTTGCTATTGCAAGCTTTAATCGTTTCATATTCTGTGTGGATAATAGGATTGTACAAACGCAAAATAACACAGTATTGAGAAGAAAGGATTTAACCTGGAATAATATGGCCAGCAGTGATGAGCCAGTGGAACAGCATGAGTCTGGGTGTTGGATGCTCTGGCGACCTTTCCGACAACTCAAGTCGCAGCTTTCTAAGGTCAACATGCACTCTACAGGTCAACTTTCAGGGGTGGAACTACTTACCCTAGGCGCTGCTAAAGTATCTTCTGTTGTTATCAAAGACCAAATTAACTACATATTTCTCACTTTCAATCCTCATAATTGTTTATAATGTGAGGGTTAGCACTAGAATCGTGACATCGTCCCCCGGCCTTCTTCCTGTGCGCTCAATAACTCCGCCGAACAGTATTTGTGCCATGTTCAAACCATCAATCAGCGCAGGAGATGCACTGTGACTCAAAGCTTGGCTCATTATCTCAACTGCTTCTTCAGAGGACACCAAATCCCATAATCCGTCAGTTGCGACTATGCCGACCATCGGACGCGAACCCTGTGCGTTCGTTACATCATCGTGACTTGAAATACCAACATCCAACGGAACTTTGGTCACTTGTGGCGTTGATGAAACGTATGGAGGGCTTTTGTATGCCCAAAAAAGTGTGTCGAAGCGATCGATAAGTGGGATAATCTTGACTCTCCCCTTGGAAGCTGCGGCTGCTTGCTGATGAGCACTCAACTGGTGTATCAAATCTCTATGCTGACTCCGCTCCTCGCGCGTCAACTCAGAGTATTTTGGCGATTCTCCTGCTGCATTCTGGGCGGCCATACTGCGGGCGGCTCGGAGAGGCAACTTGTATATGCCGTCTCCGAATGCCCGAGTCGACAGGGTCTCCCCAAATAGCCGCCCACCCACAAAGATGTCCGTTGGATCATCGCCAGGATGTTGGGATATGATGAGCGATTGCTCGTCTTTGACTGCCGAGTTGAGGTCGATGCTTGTGGCTTGGATAGTCGGTTCAGGGCTCAAAGATGCCACAACCACTCGCGAGTCTCCGAGGTTTATGATGTCGGCGGATGGCGTTCCTTGACGATCGTGTGGCACCTTGATCATGAGCATGGAGGCTGTACAGCCACTCAAGACTCTCAGTGCAGCGGTTGTACCTTCCGCCGTGATCTTACTTCCTGCATCGCCCGACTCGTCTTTATTTTGTCTCTTTGCCTTGGAAAATTTCGTTGTGATGGAGCTAAGGATTCGCCTAGGAGTATGGGCTGCAGGTTTCGTTGGAATAGAATGCGCATCTTGAAACGACGATGACATTTGTTGATCAAACCTCTCAAAGGCGTTTTGAATCGGCTTTGTCTGACCATCAGCGGCGCCACTGAGATGAGCAGCGGTTGTCAACACCTCTGATGGCAAGGCCTGTGCTACGTAGGCGGCCGCGGCAGACCCACGATGGCCGTCGTAAACACCGAGCAGAAGTGTAGTCTGTCCAGCTTCTAGCCCATCTGTTTCACCTACTCGGATATCGATCGAGTATCTGTCCTCGATTGGACGGCCAGTGGGTTGATGCTGGAGGATATGTATCGTCGCCGTCTTGTTTGAGCCCACGTCTGATTGTGGTCCTATCGCGATTTGGCGTTTATCAGTGACAGTATCGCCCTGCCCCATCTTGAGAGGTGCCACGTCATCAGGTCTGGTCTCGGAGCTTGGTTCATCCATATGGCCGAAAGGAATATGCTTGGTGACTCGGTGAGGGGTTATGAGGTTTTGAGAAGCCAGTCAAACTACCCAGTGCTGCCTAGGGCGAGGCTTGTACAGAATAAGTTTAGCCGCCTTGGTGTGGTGGTTGCGTCAAACTGTACATCGGACCATGCTGTGCTTTCATAATTACGGTGGTCTCTGTGTGTATGAGGAATTGGTATAAGCAGATGTGGCTGAATGATCTATTTGGGCTACCCATGCCACCAGGAGCTAGCTCGTTGCTTGGGTTGCTGCCACGGTGACTGGAGTAGAGATCATATACTGTATGCGAAGGTCGGTATTAGGAGAGACGCAAAGAGGGTGGACGAATGCCTCGATCTTGGTGATGGGCGTTAATGGAGTGAGCAATTCTGTGTCATGTGCCTGTTGCAACGGCGTGAAGGACGCCCAGCTCAACACCAGATTCCTTACCGATGTGGTCCATGCTTACCCCCAGGATCTAGGCTGGGCTGTGCTGGTGCAAATGCGAAAGACAGAGGAAGTTGGGAAATAAGCAAAAGAAGAAGTTGGGGATAGAGCTGTATATAGTAAATCCAGAGCCCTATACGTCGGCATCTCAAACTCCCCGGTGGCAATCCCTATTGGCACATGTGCCAACGAGCCCCTTACAGGGTAATCTAATTCCGCCAGACATTAATAATCCCAGGCGGGGAAAAGTGGGATGAGTGTGGTGCACAAGTCCGTTTGCTGCCGTTATCCTCGGGCCTATTATAAACCCAGCCGATGCGGCCTCTTCCGCTGCATGAGGGCGCGTATTGTTCAACGTTCCAGTATGCGGCTTTGGCGGCATGAAACTTGAGGATACAGCGTCTTTCGTGCCCGAGGAAATCCGTATCGCCGCTTACCAATATGGTTATAAGGCCAAGACAGGGTGACGTTTCGCGGTCGATGGTGGTTTATAAAACCTCCCCATTCCGGTTATAAAATGTCCCCATTCCTCAACCCTCATTTCTCTTCATCTGCCCCTCATCACCAAACACGCCATGTCCACTGAGAACTTTGCCACGCTGCCGCATCGTGTGGCCCGGGATGCTCACATCGAGCCCTTCCACATCGCCATCCCCCAGCACGAGATCGATAGACTCCATTTACTCCTCGACAACTGCCCCGTGGCAGACGCCAACTGGGAAATCTCGCAGGAAGATGGGCGTTTCGGCGTGACCAGAGACTGGCTGACCAAAGCCGTAAAAGATTGGCGTCACAATTACAACTGGTGAGAACCACGCCTAGCTAGGCCAGAAAAAAGGGACTGACAACCCAGGCGTCAATGGGAAGCCCAATTCAACTCGTACCCTCAGTACATGATCGACGTCAAGGACGATGATGGCAAAGCATACAGTATCCGCTTCAATGCTCTTTTTTCCACCAATCCAAAGGCGTTGCCAATCATCTTCCTGCACGGCTGGCCTGGTTCAGCGGTAGAATTTCTTCCAATGCTGGAACTTATCAAGCAGCAATACCAGACTGCAGACTCCTTGCCTTATCACATAATCGTCCCCGACCTCATCGGCTTCGGTTTCTCATCTCGCCCTCCTATCGATAAAGACTACGGTTATGATGACAATGCGCGGATTCTAGTCAAGATGATGCACAGCCTGGGCTTCACAGCGGAGAATGGCGGATATATGACTCAGGGAGGTGACCTCGGCGGCACTGTGGCTCCCAAAATGGCCGTTCTTGATCCGGAGAATTGTCGACTTGCACATGTCAACGTATTAGCGATGCCACCGCCCGAGGGAGCAGACGTTGAGGAAGACATCCGATCTGGCAAATACACACCAGAGGAGGCTGAGGCTTTGCGTAACGGCATGGCATTTTTTGCTAGGGGAGCTGCATACGCAGCAATTCAAGGCACCCGGCCTGCGACTTGTGGCTTGGCCATTGGTAGCAGCCCAGTCGCATTGTTTGCATGGTGAGTGGCATGCCAATAAGAATAGCCTTGAAATGACTGACCACGGCCTCGTCTATATCTTTAGGATCGGAGAAAAGTTCATCGAGTGGTCAGATCCTGAGTCGAGACCTTCTCTAGAACATATTCTCACCAATGTGTCTTACTATTGGTTTACAAAATGTTATCCCACATCAGTCTGGATCTACCGACTTATGGTCGCGGAAGGGTCAAACATTCGATCCGGATGGGTTGGCATTCAGCGCCCTCTTGGGTATTCCTGGTTTAAGTCGGACGCCTTCAATCCCCCAAAGCAGTGGCGCGATAGAATTGGCATAGCCAAATGGTTCCGATATCACGAACGGGTAAGCTTAAGTCACTTTATTCTTCAATACCATCATTCCTGGTTCTCCGCCGCAGATGAGCTAATCTAACTACTAGGGAGGCCATTTTGCAGCATTAGAGCAGCCAAATCTCTTGTGGGAGGATGTCGTGGATATGATTGCAGACTTTGACCTTCAGCCGCGTAATTGAGATGTGTCAGATTACACCGTCAGGTCAAAAACATAATGCACTACTACAATTAGTGACTGGTTGTGCATCCAAGTCTATATACCGCAATCTGACACACACACCCAGCGTGAACGACTTCTAGAGGCTCCCAATTCACGACTGAAATGTAAAGTAACTAAACCGTAAGTAGTGACACTGGCTGGTAATCCCCTTTCGAACCGACTTTTCGCTGCTCTTAGCTGGCTACTAAGTAATAAGCCCGAAGAATACGGACCGTGTATTAAATTAACAGTTAATAGCTAGAGCCCTCGACGGGTAGCGAAATTGGAAGGTTGAAAGGGATAAAGGAAGTCTTAATTCTCTTCTGGCGGTGCGGAAATGTGCCCAAGTTTGAGACATTTCAAGCTGCCAATCCTCTATAATTATAGCAGCGAGCTTATTACGCTCAGTCCGGAGATAGGCATCGAGAGGCTGTTGCACCTCGTCCATACAACAGGAGTACAAGTCTTTTCTATCGACTACCGACTAGCCCGTAAACATCGATATCCTACTGCTCTAGGCGATATGTGGACCCCTCTGAATTGGCTACACTCTAGCTCCGACGCTCTCAGTATCAATCTAAAACGGATTGCTGTTATAGGCGAGAATGCCGGCGTGGACCTTGCAGCAGCTGTAATAATTTAATCCAGGGATGAAGTATGCGGATAAAATCCCCTAAAAGCTTTTCGTTAACACCAGCTTGGTAAACAACCTACACGAGGTATTAGCGATCTAATCAAGGGTCGTACGTTGCAGTAGTTATATACCACGCACAGCGGTGTCCCAGAAAGTGCATCTTAACTTGATGGCTTCGAGAAGGACTGGCTCAGCCTCTTCCAGAGTTAGGTTATAGCCATAGGAGAATGATAGTCCCATGGCACCAAACCCTGGAACAGGCACCTGAATGTTGGCAAAGGGCAGGGTTGTCATACTGGTAGCTTCGTGTGTAGATAGAGAAGAATAGTAGAAATCAGATGACGTATCGAATGTTGGATGTGCAGAAAGGATGTATGATAGCGGTTGTTTTATACCTGATCATGGCTTTTGGTCAAGAGAGAGAGTTCTGACAACGCCATGACCCTGGCTCGTCCTTGTGTCCCTGTCTGCTAATGGTCCAGTGAAGCCGAGAAACCTAAGGATCCACCTGTGAATGTCCACCCAGTTCAACACGTTAGGGGCTGGGGACTAGTGACGACAGCTTGACGTATCTGACGCAGCTACGTAGCCACAACCCATTCTGCACGGAGCTAACGGAGATAGCGGCCTAGGCACTAGGCGCGACAGCCGGGATATTCTCATTAAATTTTCTTCGGAGCAACGGAGATAGCGGCCTTGGCATTAGGCGCCCCAAGACAGTCGGGATAGATATTCTCATTGAATTTTCTTCCGTACTCAAAATTTTCTTGTCTATCCAGGGCCTACGTTCCGTTGTTTTGCATTGTCAACTCTCCATTCTTAATGGCATCAACAAGCTGCTGCTTCCAAGGATCTGAATGGGGTGGTGAGCCCAGTGGCGTAGAGGGCGAATTGGCTGAAAATGACACATACATCACTGGTCAAGAGTCGGATAACGGTCTGGCCATTTTGATCATCCACGACGCTTTTGGCTGGAAGTTTCGCAACATTCGCTTGCTAGCTGATAAGTTTGCTCGTGAACTGAATGCCATCGTCTATGTCCCTGACTTCTTCGGCGGCATGTCACTACCTTTTGAGCCAATGCTCGATGGAAGATTCCATGAATTGGACCTCGACACCTTCAATAAGGAAAATTCTCGGGAGAAGCGAGAGCCTGAGATTCTAGCATGCGCTCAGGCTCTCAGAGCAACAAACAAGCATGTCGCTGCCGTTGGATTCTGCTTTGGCGGTTGGGGTTGTTTCCATCTAGCTGCGAAAAAACATGTCACCAAGGATGGTCATCCATTGCTCGACTGTATTTCTGTTGCTCACCCGTCACGAGTCACTACGGAAGATGTTGACGCAGTGGCTGTTCCCATTCAACTGCTTATCCAATTTGAGCCAGCATTTACGGCTGACATACAATCATACACCTTGTCAACACTCCCCAAGCTTGGAGTACCATGGAAATGGGAATATTTCCCCGGAGTTGAACATGGCGCACTCAGTCGCGGAAATCCCGAGAAGCCCGGGGAAGTGCAAGCTATGAAGCGAGCGGCAACGTCGGTCATCACCTGGATCAAGACGTTCACCACAGAATAAGATGTTGGTATAAGGGTCATATAAGGAAGATTCGAGAGCCATATTGAACTCATGCGTTCATCTAGACATGTTTCTCTTAGTAGCTTTCCACCCGGATTGCTGGAGTCTTCGTCTATTTCCGAGCAAACTGGAGGTTGGGGAATAACAAAACAAAAGATTGATTGCAATTCCGCTCCATATGATAAATCTATCATTCTCTCTGACAAGCGGCGGCGTCGCTGAATCAACGCCCTCTAGCTGTCTCAACGAGTCTCTTGAAAGTTTTGGCGGTCGGCCGCCTCGGTAAGCAGGGTCTTTAATAGTTTAAATAGATAGAACTACTATTAGTATATACTACTAATATATAAAATAACCCTGAATCTCACTGCTATTTTTTACTTTAGTAGTATTCTTATAGTAGATATTATAAGTATAGAAGAGTATTAAATTCCAGGGCCTAAGATAACTAGTATAGCAATAAATTCTATTACCCCGGCATATATATTTTCTTTATTTTCTACAAACTGTATCTGCCTTTTAATATTATAGGCATATTTAATATATTCCAGATAGGCCTAAAGTTTAAGACTCTCTATACCTGCTATAGATATAACAGGCAGTTGGTATTTTATTCTCTGTAAATATTTATTATAAAGTTATAGAGGGAGAAGAGTTAGAGGGGGGAAAGAGTTAGAATAGCAAACCCCACTCGTTTTTACCTAACTCTATATAGTTAGACCTTGCTTTATCAGGATTAGATTATATTAGTAAACTATATAATTAACTTTTCTTTATATATATTAGAATACACTATAGAAATATTACAGCTAAAATATTATATATTTATATAAGTAGAATTATTAATTATATAGAATATACTTGCTTACTGATAACGCAATACACAAGCTACAGATAGAACAGAAGTATCGAGTTCTAATCTGTAGCTATATGAAAGCGGCGGATAAGGAGCACGTAATAGAGTAGCTGATAATAGGCTTTCTGTTATCTGCTTTATAGGTTTCTAATCTGATCTGACCCTAATAACATTACGAACCCGGTAAAGCTACATCTAGCGGCATACCAAAAGGAGGATAAGGCTGCTGTAAAAGCAACCCTGCTTCAAGCTCTTTAGGATAGGTATAAGAGAGTAAAGCTGGCGATAACTGACCCTATAAGCTCTGCTATCTTCTTCTACTGTGAAGTAGAGATATTCTTTAAGCATTACGCTAAGGTTAGGGAGGAATTTGTATTTAGTTAGATTGGATAGTATTTTGGTGCTGTTGAGACTAATAAATGCAGTGCTCTTTATATCTATAATTTGCTAGGGAACTTAGAGCTTAGAACTTTATTGCGCTTATAGAAATAAGAAGGATAATAAGAGTGCAGTAATAGAATAGAAAGAAATTCTGAAATATGTCGATTCTATCTTTACCGAGGTATATAGTCTATATATCTATATAACTAAAGGCTAATATAGATTGGAAGCTAAACTATTATCTAGGATCTGGATAAATTTGCTGCCTTTAGTAAGAAGAGTAAGACTAGAGTAGTTTATAATAATATATCCTATTTAATAATTAATATAGGGTGCTTCTTAAATAGTTTAATAATAAAGCCTACTTTTATATAGATAGATTTAGATATATATCTATATTGCAACTTATATTAAATACTCTTATATTAAAAAAAGGGAAAAAATGTCTATATATTAATTCTATATAGCTTAGAAGCTTTTATAAAAAGTAAATTTAATATAGATATATACTTTAGCTTTAATATTTATATTTATAGTTAACTAATAGAATAAGCTAATAGCAGTTAGACTATAGTATAATTATAATATCTTCTTTATTAAAACCTAAAGTAAGATAATAATACTAATATATTACTTAATAAATTATATTATAAAAATCTAAGATCTAATTTAGAAGAGAGTAGCTATAATAGTAGAGCTTTTTTTAAGTATTAATATAACTAATACTATTAAGCTAGATATAATAACTACAAATTATAAAGCTAAGGTAAATCTAAACTGCTAGTATTTAATAAGAATTATAAATAAAGTATTTATTAAATAGCTATTATTATAAATAGAGGTAATTATATACTTTTTAAATTATTTAAGTAAGTTTTTAAGTATTAAATAACATATATAATAAGTAAGTAGTATAGATAAGTAAGTAGCACACTCTAATTTTCACCTTAAATTATAAATTTTAAAAAGTTCTTAAAATTTCAAATTATACTAGAAATAGCTATAATTTTAAATGTATATCTATTAAGTATATAATAATAAGTATAAGCTTTTCTAAATTATTAGAAAAATCCTTTATAGAGTTATTTAGAGAAATCTTATTTTACACTGTTTTTTTTTCTTATTTTTAATTTTAAAAAGTTAAATAAATTAATTAAATATCTAAGAAAAATAGTATCTTATAACCTTTTTAATTAAGTATTTAAAATTATTTTTCTAAAAATCCTCGAGCTATAGAGCCTGTTTTAGAAATTCTAGAATTTATACTTTTAGCTGTATAGTATAAGTGCGCTGCTTACTTATCTATGCTACTTGCTTATTATATACATTAATAGTTCTATATAAATATAATAATAATATACTGGGTAATACTCTAACACTAGTAATATCTCTAGTAATATAATAGTATTTAAGGCAATAATAATAATTAACCTATTAAGAATATAAGTAGTAATAAAAATAGAAATAGTATAAAAGCTAGTACTAAAAGAATCTTAGTAGGAAGTAATAATAAGAAGCTACTATATATTAAAGTCTATTACTACTATAGAGAAGTACTATAAATATTATACTTCTATAACTATATATTACTTATTATATTATAAAAGAAAATAAATTTATCTACTAAGAGGTTAATAAAGATAGAATTTAAAAGAAATTAGAAGCTAGAAAGAGACTGAATATAAATTCTAAGACCCCTAGAGAAGTATATAATACTATATATTAATAGCTTTCTTAATATAGACTTTAATATTAATTTAAATATAAATAAATACTGTAGATAAGTATAAGCTATATAATAGTATAAATAAATAAAAAGTATATACTGATATTAATACTAGAGCTGTAATATAGTATCTTATACTTTTTATATTATAGAAGAAGTTTATTATAGCAGTATTTAATAATATTAATAAAATCTAAAAGTACTAGAAATAGTAACTCTTTAAAAAACTCTAAACTATTACTTGTAATATCCAGCTATTAAAGTAATTAGTAGAAGATATATAGTAAGATATAAAGTAGTAGGTAGCTATAGAAGATAATACTATTTTAAATAATATTAATATTATAGAGTATAATCTCTAAGATTTTATAGACTAGTAAAAATATATTGCCCAGATTAGCTTAGTTAGCTTAGCTAATTAATTAAAATAATATAAGATACTATAGCCTCTATCTAGATAACTATAGTTTAAAGTATCTTTTATAGATATTAAATTAGCTTTATAAAGTCTAAGTAGATATTACTAACTTTATAAATAAGATTAAGATTATTACTTCTATAGAAAACCAGAGTAATACTAGCTAACTATAGTAGCTAGAAGTAAGCTTTTAATATAATATCAGCTTAGAGGAATTAAAAATAAGCAGGATTAAATAAATAAGAAAATTATAAAAAGAATTTAAGGCTTTAATAGAGTTTAGATTATATAAAATATAACTACTAGTATAAAAGTATTACTAAACTATACCTTTATAGTATAGAAAAAGATATTATAAAAATATTAGAAATAAATACCTAGAATACTTAGAGACTTAGTATTAAAATTATTTTTAGACTATTAATAATATTCCTCTATATTAATCAGGAGATTACAAAAAGATTTATATTAAATAAGTAGTAGGAAATTACCTTTCTTTTAGTATATTACTGTCTTAATACTATCCTAGATAAAGATAATAGTAATAATTTCATAATAGTAATATTAAGAATAATAATAATATATAACTATATAAGTTTCTAGATGGGAGGGCAATATCGGAAAGTCTAGAGTTATTAAGATATTAGTGAATTATTTACTAGTAAAGATATATTATATAGGCTGCTTATAATAGCAATATCGGGGCTATAGTAATATAGATTAATAGTATAACTATTTACTCTGTCTGTAGAATATAACTTAATATATCTAATAGTAATACTAATAATAGTAGTATAGTAACTTATATAGATAGTAATAGCTAAAGAAGATAGAGAGAAAAGTAGCTGCTTATTATTAACGAGGTAAGTATACTAAGCCTCTAAATACTCTCTAATATTAATAAGTAACTTTATGCCTTCTAAGGATTAAATTAAGATTTTAATAGTATCTTAGTAGTACTACTATTAGGAGATTTTTATTAATTCTATTTAATATAAAATAAGTTGCTATTAATATTATAATCTACTCTTAGAATTATAGATAAAATAAGAATATATATACTCTAGACTTAATTTACTACTATTATTATACTTATTAAATAGATATATATAGTAGAGGATTTAGAGCTGTAGTAGCTACTAATTTAAATCTAGTAGGGGCAGTAAGATAAGTTTAATATAAAGCTTCTTAATAGCTAGTACTTTTAGAAAGACTAAGCTATACTATAAAATAAGAATATTATAGTTATTATACTTCTTAATAATATTAAATAGTATCTAAATATAAATACAGTTTTAGCCTTTTAGAAATACTACTAGAAGCTAGTCTGGATATTTCTACTTTAATACTATTAAAATAAGCTTAGTATATTACTAATAATAAAAGAAAAAGCTATACTTATAGCTAGTATTAAAAAAAATAATAAGATTTATATACTAGCTATATTTATATTTATATCTAGTATATTAGTAGTAGTAACTAAAAATATAAACTTAAATATTAAGCTTATAAATAAAACTAAGTATAAAATACTAAAAGTTATATTAAATACTAAGAAATTTCCAGAGTATTAACTTATCTTAAATATTATCCTCTACTTTAAATTACCTACTAATATTATTCTATTATCTAAATTAACTAAGAAGTTTAAATTTGTTAGAGGTTATAAGGCAGTAGAAGAATAAATTTAATTATAAATAAAAGAATATCCTTATAAAGAATATATAGATAAGAGATAAGATA